ATCTACCAGGCACTATCATTAACTACTATAGCGCTGACTCAATTGCAGATACTGATGGTGCAACTACAGAGACCCAGCAGCTGTTCCCAGTTGAATTTCTTAATTCACTAGATGTTGGTGGAACCCTACCACCTCATCACCTCCGCCTCAAAGTAGGGGCACCAATCATACTCCTACGTAACCTGGATTCTGCCCATGGTCTATGTAATGGCACACGACTTATATGCCATAGATTACAGCCCCATGTGATTGATGCTGAAATTATAACTGGTGCTGCTTATGGTACCAGGGTATTTATACCCCAAATGATATTAACAACTAAGCACCAGCAATTACCATTTGTTCTACGCCGATGCCAGTTCCCAATCCGCCTTGCCTTCTCAATGACTATAAATAAGGCCCAAGGTCAAACAATGGAACGAGTTGGGCTTTATCTTCCATCACCCATCTTTACTCATGGCCAACTCTATGTGGCACTTTCTCGCATACAATCATTTAGTAATCTCAAGATAATGTTAGGGTCAGCTACACATTATCCTGATAGTGAACCTAAGACTAAAAACATAGTCTATAAGGAGATATTTTCTTAGTTTAATTTTATCTTTATATTAAATATATTTTTATTAGCTAATACTAATTTCTACCATATACTATTATTAGTATTAAAATTATTAAATATTTTATATTAAAACCTATTATATTCAAAAACAAATTTGTATTTATGTATTCAGCCCGCTGCAGGCGCTAGCAGTCTCCACCGAAATGTGTGACAAACAGCGTTTGGCACACATAGAGGTGCGCTTGCATCGCAAGCATGAGACTGCTAGTTACCTTTATATAAGATTTTATAGTCCAAAAAGTGTCCGACCGTCCGCTAGAAATTATTTAATTGGTTAAAAAGAAAATAAAACTCTTAAGCTTCAACACAGGTTCGAGTGACTTGCTCTGTAAACTCCTTTTGATCTTGTGCGGCATCTGACCTCATCGGTGAAACCAGGGTGACGAGTTGTTATTGTAGTGGTCACAGGTCTCCACTGGATATCTCCATTGGTTCAGCGCAAGAGCTGCTCTCATTGTCGGTCGGCCTGATAATTTCCATAGCATCATCATGGTGGTCATCACCGGCTGCGCAACACTCTTAGGATAGTTATTTATGAGCACCTATTGAATAGGGCCATATAGCTCTTCTAGCGGTCATGCAATATTTGTGGGTTTATTTTATAAATTAATTTGTCTTATGAACATGCGTAAGCGGTAGTATTTGGGTCACAATGGATCCAGTCTGTATAGACTGATTCAAGAGACTGTATGAGTGCTAAAGGCCTCAAGAACCATGCAAGCCAGATAATTTTTAATAAAAAGTTCTTAATGCTATGCATACGCAATAAAGCAAAACTGAACAGCATCATTTCTCTTCTTACTTTGCCTATTGAATTTCTCAAATGAATATTACCCGCAGCACTACTGTCATAAAGACATCGCTTGGTGGTATTGGCTTCCGTGATTCTATGTTGCCCCACCTAGAGCAATTTGTACATAGTGTCAATATCATCAAAGAGCATACATACATGCTTGCATGATGGATACTACTCCATCAGCTAGCTTACGATGATGCCTTTGACCCAGCAACATTTGTGAAAAAGGGGTTTTTTCGTTTTATTTATTTATTCATTTATCGCAACTTGAAGGCAAAGACTGTCATATCTGCCGAGGATTTCGTTAACCGGAAGGACAGGTCAGAACTGTTAACCGCCGATTTCAGTGATGTAGTTAGATATCACATTTATGATTATCTATTGCATAATGGCGATATTGAGCTACATGGCGTACGCGAAATGAATCAGGTAGCGACATACGTGGATACCGAGCTGATGACAACATACAAGAACAACATTGTGTTGCACTATGGCACTTGCCTACAGCGGATTCTGGCCAAATTGATTGATATTTGCTGCCGCAAAAACACACTGCGCAGTACAATGGGCAATGTGTCTAAGGCTGAGTTCAATAATGCATGTCAAATGTGTATTTATACACCTGCACAGAAGCTCCGCCAGGCAGTTGCCTCTAGGCACCCTGATCTCAGTGTGCTCACCCCACCGATGCTTGCAATCTACAACAAGCTGGCACCAGTCCTCAATGCCTATGATGCCAAGTACAGATTCACCAAAGACAGCCGATACTATGATGCCAAGGTAAATCCACTTAAGCATCTGCGTGCATACATTCGCCTATGCCAGCTTATCGAGAATGAGCAGCTTAGCAAGTCTCCTCCCCAATGCTTGCCTCTGCGGACATCATGGATCCCAGGCCATGTGCGTTTGGACAAGCAAATAATCAAGCAGGTGTTTGTTTCGAAAACACGTGAGGAGGTTACCAAGATCAACGCAGCAAAGAGGGCAGCAACAGAGGCAAGGAAAGCAGCAGAAAAGGGCGAAAAATTGGCCAAGAAGGCTGCACGCGAAGCAGCGAAGATGCCATCGGATGCAACAGAGGCCACTGCAGCAACTGCAGCAGTAGCGGCTGATTCACTTGCTGCTGCATCGGCAGCAGCAGCAGACACTGTTGCAGCACTTAACAATGCATATGCATCAGCACCCCCAGTCTGTGCACACGACCCGGTCCAAGGGATCACACAACCTGTGTGGGATGTGTGGGGCCGGGTCGCAGATCTAACATCAAAGCCATTTAAGGCGCATGGTGATAGAAAATTCCACGGAATGGCGACAACAGATGGTGTAACGATATGCATTCTGTTACAAGACAAGATATCCAAGGCTGATGGTGCAGTAGATGCTGATGGTGCAGGAGGCGATGCTGCGGGAGGCGATGCTGCGGGAGGCAATTCTGTGGGAGGCGATGCTACAGGCGATGCTGTGGGAGGCGATGCTACAGGCGATGCTACAGGCGATGTTGCAGGAGGTGATGCTGTGGGAGGCAGTACTATAGCTGACTGTCGCTATATCCACCAGATCCCACAGCCAGAGCTGCAGAATCTGAAAGGCCGCTGTGTATTCATCGATCCAGGTCGGGGCGATTTGCTATACATGATGCACGAAAATAGCAGCAATGGGAAAGAGGGTGAAAAAATGCTCTACCGCTACACACGGCAGCAGCGCAACAAGGAGCTCAAGCTGCGCCACTATGACAGGATTCGTTGGGATACAAAGGATCAAGTCCCAGAAGATGCTGTCCGCAGAGCAGAGGCAGAGCTTTCCAAGCACTGCTGCCGGACCCTTAGCCCAGCAAAATTCCGTGCCTACGTTGCTACCCGTGCATCTGTGCGGTGTGTCCTAGCACCGTTTTATGCCAACACGATGACAGCGCGAAGGTTACCAGAGCAGCAACTCACTAAGTCAAACAAGCAGCACCAAAGGCGCTGGAAGGCCCATCCAGGTGTCAGTACCAGTCCCAAGGTGTACCCGCTTCACCGCAAGCTGCGCCTTGATTCATTCATGAACCAGGCCCGTGCAGACCACAGGCTTGCCGCGAAACTCCGGAGCAAGTTCGGTCCAGACCCAGTGCTGATCATGGGCAATTGGAGTGCGCCGATGGCCCGACACCATGCGCCGATTCGTGGCAAGGGATGGCGCGACAAGTTCAAACACCATGGCTTTGAGGTCTATCTGATCGACGAATTCCGGACATTGTCGATATGCCCGTTCTGCTGCGAAAAGTCGCTGCAGACATTCCGGCATGTTCCCAACCCGCAGCCCTACCAGAGATCGAAGAACCCAACTGTGAAGTGCCATGGCCTTCTCCGCTGTACAAGCGAGTCATGTAAGCGGGCCATGGCACAATACAGGCGAGCCTATTCGTCTCGGCTCTTGAACCGCGACCTCGCAGCAGTTCTAAACTTCAGGCTCATTTTCCAGTCACTCTGTGATTCAGGCAGTATTCCTGAACGGTTCCATCGCTTTACAGCCATTGCTGCCAATACTTCTGGCACCACCCCTGCAACAAAGAACCTGCACAAGAGGCGTGCAGCAGCAGGCGATTCTGCTGCTAGCAGCAGCGAGCCAGCGCTGAAGCGCCTACGCAGAGCAAGCCATCAAGACAGGAGATGTCCATGATCGACATTGCACCAACAACCATCCGACACGTTCAAATGACCGGTTCGCCGTGATGCTCTTATCGACGTGTCAACCCATGCTGACTAGCAGCCGAGCTCGCATCGCGGGTGGGGTAATTCTAGTAATTGCCATTATCCGTAATCGTTACCAACAGGAAGTGCTGCTATGATGAATTGAATGGTTTTGATTTGGAAGAAGGGTTGATATTATTGAAGAGTTGTTTGAAAGTTGTTGTGCCCACCATCCCACCACCCGTCCTTCCCACATGCCTGTAAAAAAAACGTAAGCATACACAGAAAAATACAGAAGAGCTGAAAGCTTGAGCTCCAAGATGATGTGTCAGCAATAAGTGTCAGACACGGAAAAAGAAGTCCTTGGAATGCCTTGGGGCTTGATGATGACGCTGAGAGGCTTGTGGCGTCGTGCCGAAACCGAACCGTGCCGAGCAGCAAGGCGATCATATTCTGACTGCTCAATGACGACCGTTAACCGCGGTGATTCCAACGAGCAAGCGAGCGACGAGCCGCAGGACTTGTCCTGGTAGCGAGTGTGCTTGAACCGCCGTGCGAATCTTGGTCGAGCCGCAAAGCTGCGAGGAAGCATCGAAGCGCGAGTTGCCTGTCCAATTTGACTGGTGCCGGCCAACTGTCGAGAGCCGTCCAAAACGCGAGCAAAGACATAAAAATACAAAATCCTATATACTACTCCACACATGCTCTGTACATGTAACAACCACATCGCCAATGCTAAATATATCGCCTGTCCAACTTGCACCCTAGCTGACATCACCGTCGCCACTTAACCTTCGCGCAGTGCGCTGTCTTTCTGTATACTCCTTCTAAACATCGCCGCAGCATTTAACCGAAGAGCAACAATCGTGCAGCTTGTACCCAAAAAGCGATCTCTTGTACTATAGTAGAGAACACACGCAGGGTGCTACAAAGCACTCCACACAACTATCCTATGCAGAAACATAGCATGGAAACGCGGTGCAAAGGGGAGTGACTCCCGGTGGCTACAGGATAGCAAAAATGGTAGGCATCCACAAACACATTTCAACAAACACTCATCATGTCTTTCCTGGAGGGGGAAGGTAGCCAAGATGTGCCGAAAGCTGATGTGCCGTCTCCGTTCGCTGATCATGACCACATGTCGAAACGGCCGGTGCCGGCGAGGGGAGAAGATCGATCTGGACCGAAAATGTAACGAAAGCAGTGAAGCAAAAATTAGGCGAATGGTGTAGCAAAGAAGAGAAAGGGTTCGAGAATAATAAAATAAGGTAAAAAAAAGCAGCGAGACAACGAGGTCGCACGACATTGAGAGAAATAACAGGAATGCAAAGAGAGAGAAAGGGTACGCATGGACGAAGCCAGCCAGAGAAAGCAGGCAGCGGGAGGTTTGGATCCTTGAGCAATGTAGATAACGCTTGGAGGCGGCGGGCACGCTCATCCCTAGCTCCCCTATCAACGTGGCGAAGCACAGGCAAAAAATGGCTAGCGGAAACAAAACGAGGCGCTTGGGTTGCGGGAAGCACGAGCGATATCAATCGAGATGCATGGCTTGAAGTCGACAATAGACGAAGGGAGGGCGCAAGAACCGTAGCTTGACAGGCACGAAAGAAAAAAATCCAAGCACGAGAGATGCCTAAGGCGAGGGAAGGGATCCCGAAAACACCAGTCGACAAAAGGCAGACACTATTCACACACAGGGCCGATGCTTGGCAGCCTGAACAGCCCCCCCTTAAAGCACTTGGTTTACCAGTGTCGAAGGGCAAAAGCTTGTGGCCCGCAACGGGGAGCCCATGACAACTGCAGGCGGATACGACGGATGTTATCCCCTACACTGCTACAACATGCTTTTGGGCAGAAACACGCAGACGGAATGCAACGCATCGGAGAGGCCACAAAGACAGTGGGCAAGGTTAGTGCGCAAAACAGAGCAAGCGGGACGACACGGCCATCTCACCACTTTAGCTGTCAGCTAGCCAACAAAGAGAAGCAGACGCTGGCTAGCACAGAAAGCCTTGCGCGCAATGACATTGGACGAGCAGCAGCAGCAGCAGTTCTTCGAGAGGGAAAAACGAGTAGTGTGCGAAGAGGGATGCTGAGGGGGTGAGGAGAGAGAAGAGAGCCTCCAACCTGGCACTATTTATAACATCCGCGGGGTGCAAGCAAGCACATGCCCAGTCAGCTGATATCAGTGATGGGAATTTTTAGCAGTGAGAATGTTTGTTTCAGCGACACCCACACTGGTGACAGTGAGGACAGTAGCGGGCGAATGTCTTCCCGCCTGTCACTCTCGACATCACTGGACCAACTCTTTGCATATGGCCCACGCATATCCAAGCCTACTTGGATATCTTGCCAGCTGGCTCAACTCGACGGGCATATTGCAAGCAATGCCGCATATGGCACGACGCTTATATACACTCGACACATACCGCAGTTAAAATAGCAGTGAGGTTTACTTGAGGTAGAGAAGATATGAAGAGAAGGGGAGTGTCCAGACTAGGGGCAAAAAGAATTGGAAATCATGGCAAACAGCCGCAAATGTCAGGTGCGATGAGACAACCGCATCCGCATCCACATCCGTATCCGTATCCCCCCAATGCTCTTAGGCCTGGGCCTGGGCCTTGGAGGCGACAGCTGCACGGCCAGCCCGCTTGGCGGCATGGGCAGCAGGCTTGACGCGCGGGTTGTAGATGACACGCCTGCGGTTGGCACGACCACGGTTCTGGCGTTGAGCCTGGCCTCTGGCACCCTTGCGGGCGCGCTTGACGCCTCGGCGAGTACGAGCACGCTTGGGGCTGTAGTCACCATCGGGCTGCGCGCCAGTGTAAACGGGCGAGGTGGCAGCAGAAGAAGCATCAGTCGAGGACTCCTCAGCAGGGGTAGTAGGGGCAGCCAAGGAGTAGCCGGTAGTTGATGACGGGGCAGCAGACGATGAGCTAGGACCTGCTGATGAGCTAGGAGTTGCTGATGAGCTGGGAGCTGCTGATGAGCTAGGAGTTGCTGATGAGCTGGGAGCTGCTGATGAGCTGGGAGCTGCTGATGAGCTGGGAGCTGATGATGTGGGAGCAGCCGACGAGTACGCAGCGCTCGAGGAGGCCTCTGAAGACCCAGAGGATGAAGCAAGGGTCTCTGAAGAGCTAGGAGATGGGACAGGAGTCTCGGAAGAGCTAGGAGATGGAGCAGGGGTCTCCGAAGAGCTAGGAGATGGAACAGGAGTCTCCGAAGAGCTAGGAGATGGAGCAGCAGAAGTCGAGTATGGTGGGCTGGGAGCAGGGGTCTCGGAAGAGCTAGGAGGTGGAGCAGGGGTCTCGGAAGAGCTAGGAGATGGAACAGGAGTCTCCGAAGAGCTAGGAGATGGAGCAGCAGAAGTTGAGTATGATGGGCTGGGAGCAGGGGTCTCGGAAGAGCTAGGAGGTGGAGCAGGGGTCTCGGAAGAGCTAGGAGATGGAACAGGAGTCTCCGAAGAGCTAGGAGATGGAGCAGCAGAAGTTGAGTATGACGGGCTAGGAGCAGGAGCTTCAGACGAGCTGGGAGAAGGAGCTTCAGATGAGCTAGGAGAAGGAGTTTCAGACGAGCTGGGAGCAGGAGCTGCAGAAGTCGAATATGATGGGACAGGGGCAGGCACCGGGGCAGGAACCGGAGCCGGAGCCGGAGCTGGGGCTGGGCCTGGAGCTGGGGCTGGGGCTGGAGCTGGAGCTGGGGCTGGAGCTGGGGCTGGAGCAGGAGCCGGAGCCGGAGCAGGAGCCGGAGCCGGAGCAGGAGCCGGGGAAGGGGCAGGAGCAGGGGCAGGAGCAGGGGCAGGAGCTGGAGCTGGAGCTGGAGCTGGAGCTGGAGCTGGAGCTGGAGCAGGAGCAGGAGCAGGAGCTGGAGCTGGAGCAGGAGCTGGTGCCGGAGGCGGTGCAGGGGCAGGAGTCGGAGCCGAGGGGGCAGAAGACGAGTAGGAAGAGGCTGGTGCCGGGGCTGGAGCTGGAGCTGGAGCTGGAGCTGGGGCAGGAGCTGGTTCAGGGGCTGGTGCCGGAGCCGGAGCCGGGCTGGAGCCGGGGCTGGTTCAGGAGCTGGAGCTGGAGCTGGAGCTGGAGCTGGAGCTGGAGCTGGAGCTGGAGCTGGAGCTGGAGCTGGTTCAGGGGCTGGAGCCGGAGCAGGAGCAGGAGCAGGAGCAGGAGCTGGTGCCGGGGCTGGTGCTGGAGGCGGTGCGGGGGCAGAAGACGAGTACGAAGAGGCGGGAGCCGGAGCAGGTGCTGGGGCTGGAGCTGGGGCAGGAGCAGGAGCCGGAGCAGGAGCCGGAGCAGGAGCCGGAGCCGGAGCCGGGGCAGGAGCAGGAGCAGGAGCAGGAGCTGGGGCTGGGGCTGGGGCTGGAGCCGGAGCAGGAGCCGGGGAAGGGGCAGGAGCTGGAGCTGGAGCAGGAGCAGGAGCAGGAGCTGGAGCAGGAGCTGGAGCTGGAGCTGGAGCTGGGGCAGGAGCAGAATAACCAGATCCTGGACTAGACCCGTAGCTGGAAGCAGGAGCCGGAGAACTCATGTAGGTAGTGGCAGGAATATCTGAGGAACTAGGGGCAGGAGCAGAATAGCCAGATCCTGAACTAGACCCGTAGCTAGAAGCAGGAGCAGGGGCAGCTCCAGATCCATACGACCCCGAACTGTTGTCAGGGTTGCCATAGGACCCACTGTAACCCGAAGCATTGCTTGGCCCCGCTCCGTACGAAGGACCAGCATTAGGAACTGGTGCAATAACAGGGACAGGCGCAGCAGCAGGAGCCGGGGAGACAGCAGGGGCGGCTTCAGAGGCGGGGGCGGCGGCCGAGGAGGCCGCATAGGAAGGAGCGGCAGCAGGGACTGGGGCAGAGACAGGGGGAGGGGCAGCAGCAGGGGCAGAAGCTGGTGCTGGTGCAGAGGCATATACTGGAGTGGAAGTAGCAACTGGAGGAGCAGTTTCTGTCGACGGGGAAACAGATGGAGCAGAGGTCGGAACTGAAGCAGAAGAATATACTGGAGTGGGAGCAGTTTCTGTCGACGGGGAAACAGATGGAGCAGAAGTCGGAACTGAAGCAGAAGAATATACCGGAGTGTGAGCAGTTTCAGTCGACGGGGAAACAGATGGAGCAGAGGTCGGAACTGAAGCAGAAGAATATACCGGAGTGTGAGCAGTTTCAGTCGACGGGGAAACAGATGGAGCAGAAGTCGGAACTGAAGCAGAAGAATATACCGGAGTGGGAGCAGTTTCTGTCGACGGGGAAACAGATGGAGCAGAGGTCGGAACTGAAGCAGAGGAATATACCGGAGTGTGAGCAGTTTCAGTCGACGGGGAAACAGATGGAGCAGAAGTCGGAACTGAAGCAGAAGAATATACCGGAGTGGGAGCAGTTTCTGTCGACGGGGAAACAGATGGAGCAGAAGTCGGAACTGAAGCAGAAGAATATACCGGAGTGGGAGCAGCTTCAGTCGACGGAGCAACAAATGGAGCAGAAGCCGGAACTGAAGCAGAGGAAGATACTGGAGCGGGAGCAGCTTCAGTCGACGGAGCAACAAATGGAGCAGAAGCTGGAACTGAAGCAGAGGAAGATACTGGAGCGGAAGCAGAGGCTGGAGCCGAGACTGGAACGGCAACAGCAACCGGAGATGGAGTAGCCTCAGCCGACGGAGCAGCAGGAGCAGGGGCAGGCACAAACACAGTGGCTACAGTACCTGAGGGAGCTGATGCGTAGCCTGTGGCAGCAGCCGGGGCAGCCTCCGACGAAGGAATAGCGGTGGCAAGTGGAGAAGCTGGGCCTGCAGCCGTCGCTGGAGCAGCCGACGAAGCCGGAGCAGCAGCAGGAGCCGCTGCCGGTGAGGCAGAGTATGAGCCATTGCTCGCCGACGCTCCAGTATCAGCCGAAGCAGCACTATCACTGCTGTCAGCAGCAGGGGGCGAAGCAGTATCAGAAGTCGCCGCAGGGGCAGCCGACGACTCGCACGGCGGTGCCAACGACGAAGAGTCGAAGCTCGCTGCAACGACATCAACACTACTGTAGTCGGGTGTGTCAGACGAATCTAGATCGGTAGATGACTGATCGACATCATCGGATGACGACTCAGCATCGTAAGCGTCGGCAGTGTAGTCCTGCGCAGAGAACATGCGGCCCATTCGCACCAAGCCAAAGGGCTGCATCTGGTTGTCTGCGTAGGCAAGACCGCCCACTGGGATCGGCTCAGCCAATGTCGTCGCCAGCGAGGCAAGAGCAGCCAGGAGAGAAAGAGAGAAACTAGCCTTCATGACTTATGCAGGTTTTGTTTGAATGCTTGGTGATTTGATGAATGCGGTAATGCTTGGAGCAAAGGCTTGCTTGATCAGATGAAATGAATAATGAAAATGCAAGGGTGGATTGAACGTCGGGTGAAGCGAGGTTCAAGGAGATTCAATATGCGTATTTATATGACGGAAAGGGAGAGAAGGAGGGAGAGGGGATAGGAGGAGGGCTAGTTATTAAAAGGCAGTTGCCAGCAGATTGAGGAGCTGCAATAGAAATAAGGGATGATAAGTCAAATCAAGGTTGCTCGTACTCTATCCTTTATAAACGCTTTCTTCAGCTGCAGATAGCCTTGGCCGCTTGGTTTCTAATTAAGAACGTATTTCCCCGGATACAGCCGTACGCTCACCTTCTGTTTGTGGACGGGGTCAGCAGTTTGGGACCAGGCAATGCCTATTGCGGAGGGGTTCGATTTTAGAGAAGATGGAATGTAGCTAGCAGCAAGCAGCTTGCAGATCCACTCACCATGAGCACTCCGCGCTATCTCGTCTAGTAAGCGTGTGCGACTATTTTCTGCTGCAGATATTAACATCGCAATTGCTTTCCGCATACCCCGGCGCATTTCATTAGGCATGGAAAACCCTGAGGATGGAGATGGTGCGATCTGTGGACAGGCTTTGCGCATATACCCAGGGATGCAGAAATTATGAAACATCGTATTTCGCAAAAACACCCCAGGATAATTTTCGCGCTCCACCATTTTGTATGTTCGCACGGAATTCTAGCTGGCATCTCTCTGGCTGCGAGGCGGGGGATCATTGTCAGAAGCATCTAGGCGGCTATATACCCTGCATTTGGATACGCTCAGTTTCCTCCACTTCCCCTCCTGTTCTCGCAATGTATTGGGCTATATTTCCATATTCCTAAATACTAACAAACACTAAAAATTAGCGACATCCACCACAAACCAGAATTTCGGGATATCAGTGCTATGTGCTTAATTTCTCATTTCTAAAATCGCCGACAATGGCCCGGATAGTTTCAGCAAGCCCAAATGCACTGACAACAATACCAAACGCCAGCAGCAGCATCAGGCCCAGCAGAGAGCGCTTGCGGATATTACGCCAACCCTTCAGCTTGATATATGCTGCAATTGGTGTCAGATAGACAAGAACCGGGCTGGTTAGTGCGCTGACAAGCGAAATGACATCCTCAAAGAAAGGCAGAGCCTCTGCCATGCCCAGGATAACCAACGCAGCACCAATCCGAACGCACAGACGCCAAATGACTTCGGCCCGCTTGCCCTTGCTGGCGATATCAAGGCCGCTCTCAATTTCCAGTGCCATCTGTACCAGAAACAGCGGGCCAGCAAACAGCACATGAATGGTAATACATATATCTGCGAGTAACGTCGGCCATGTCCTTGGGAAATTTAGGGTTATTGGCGACAGCGTCCTATCACCATATGCGCTGTATCCGGTCGATGCCATGACCACGTAGATGCAGGTGACGACGAAAAGCGCAGAACCAAATACTCTACCAAACTTCTCTGGGTGCCGCATGCCACTCTCCAGGTGGGGGACAATTGTAGATCCAACGTATGCAAATGACATGGTGGAAAGCGAGACAGCAAAGCCGCTAGGCAAGGCTGCAAAATGGTGGATCGGACTTGAGTGCGCGACGTTACTGCTGATGTGCATCTCGCCATTGCGAATCGGGTAAACTATTGCCATGACAATAACTATCAGCGTGGCTATGATTGAGGTGGCAGTGCCGATCAGGCTGACCAGGAACGTCTCTCCCAGCGTCCGCGTAAGCAGCGTTGGAATGCACATAGTAGCGGTGGTAATGAGCATCAGAAAGCGCGAGCTCAGGTGGATGTTCACTCGTGCAAGCATCTCGGAGATGTTGTTGGCAGAGAGGATGGCATAGATGCCGACAGAGCCGATAATGCCGAGCATGTTGAAGGCAGACACGATGTAATAGCCAGGCTTGCCAAAGGCCTCGAGTCCGATTTCGTGGAACCCGCTGATTTTCCCGCCGCCCGCCTTCAGATACATACACCGGACAGTAATTATGGAGGTGATGAATGCAACGGTGCCAGCAACGAATACAAACAAGAGGCCAACCCAACCGCTCTGCCGGAGCGTATACGAGAGCTGCAGAGATCCTACGCCGATGGCCACACATCTATTGAAGGCTGCTTGCGCTTAATTCCTCTGCACTGTCTTTTGTGAATGCAATTCAGTGGTTTCAGGACAGCACTTACATGATGTTCAAAAAGGCGCTGAGCGATGAACCCTTCCCCGCATCGTCGTCACTGATATGGAACTGGCCATCGCCGGAATCGCTACTGTCTTTGGAGATTAGTGCCTTCTCTGTTTCAGGGCTGCCGAGTAGGGCGGACGATATCTGTGAAGCAGCAAACACAGACGACGACGATGATATGCGAGGGCTACTGGTAGTGGTGCCATTAGGAGGAGTCATATTGATGTCTCGAGTTGTGATAATAGAGCAAAATCGCATGCGCGCTGTAGAGGCTGGAGGACAGTTTCCGGGACAGATAGCTGCTTGTTTTTATTCTGGCGCTCTCTGGGAAACTCGCGGGCTGGGCTGCTTTGTGTAAACAACAAATACAGTCTGCTGGCCTCGCTTTCTCCCAATGTGCGTGTGGCTTTCTTTCTTCAACCAGGTCTGCCTGTATACGGCTGGGAATTGAGCACCAGCAGCCATGCTCCACCGGGCGACAGACGTGTATCTACTGCCACATTTACCCCCTCAAGCGCATGTTCTCCACTCCACCACCCACACTATAATATGTACGGTGCTACTATTGCTGAATGGTGCAACCTACATGCAGAAAGAAGTGCTACTGGTGTAGCTTTGCATAGTGCATCGAAATGGAGTCAAGCCAGCCTGCGCCGCTGCCGGAAATGCCCATCCAGCCATACCCCTGCGGGGGCTTTAGGATATGCTCGCTTCCGCCGCTTCCGCCCTTCCAGCCGCTGCGGTGGCCCTTGCGGGTGACGAACTCCAGTCCGTCAATCCACCAGCCCGAGCGCACCACAACATGGTCCAGGTCGTCGTCAGGCGCAATGAGCACCTCGGAGCGGTGGCCGCCTTGGCACTTGCCTACGGGGAAGCTCGAGCCATCGTCCATGTGTAGGATGAATCCGTCGACGAACTGGCCGGCGCGCAGCTCAATGCAGCGCAGCTTGGGCAGGGACGAGCGCGGCATATCCTTGCCGGCAAACAGGGCGTCGAATCTCTGCGAGTCCTTCATCTGGCCCTTGCCTAGCTGGTTAGATTGGAATACAAGGATGCCGTCGCGGTCGCGGCGCGATCTGTCGTTCATCAGGGCGCCAATGTCTTCGAGCGTGTCGGTGTCGGTGCTGCGCGAAGTCAGCACAAGCTGCAGCTTATCAGTGCTGGACCAGCCGCCAGCCCAGCCCTTCCAGGCGCCCAGGTTGACGAGGATCGAGCGCGGGTGGGCGCAGACCATCTCGTCTGGTGCCGCTGGCACGGCGCCGTTGCGGCGGCGCTCGAGGTTCTCGACGGTGTACTCGCGGTGGCAGCGGTAGTGGTCATTGACCCACACTTCGATCATGGTGATACCCGCAGCGCACTGCAATAGCAGGCCATCCTCGGTAGGCAGGGCCTCGAAGCCGCTCTCCTCCGTCTCACCTTTCTCCAGCGGCGGGTCTGTGGGCAGGCGCAGGCACGGGTGGTGTCGCAGGCGGATGACGTCGGTACGGTGCCAGTGCGAGCCGCTCTCATCGCGCTGGCGCACCGGGCCGGCCATGTCAGGCGCGCGCGCCATGAACGTGCGGTTGTAAAAGTTGAAGCCGCGCGACATGATGCCTGAGGGAGTGTGGGCCAGCGTCAGCAGATGGCCGGCCTCATGCAGAAACGCACCCATGCCGATGTTGGCCGCACGCCAGTACTCACCGCACTCGTTGCAGTCGTTGGCCAGGTAGCGCGTGTCGGTCTTGGTTGTGTCCAGGAACTTGGCCGCAACCTCCTCGGCGTTGCCAGGCCACGCGTGTGTGGTATGTGAGCCGAACACGCCCAGCCGGCGGTTGCCCACACCACCGCCCAGTGCGGCATGGCCGAGGATCACGCCGAGCTCGGGGTCCCAGCGCGAGTCCACCGACAAGCACACAACATAGTGCTTGTCCTTGAATGCCCCGTAGTCATCCAACGCCTCGTTGGCAATGCTGAACTGCGATTCGTCGGTCTTGCGCTTGTAGCCGGGCGGCGGGTTCCACTGCTGCGCACGCTCCTTGTCCTGGATCTCGGCCACCGTGCGCTTGGACCGCACCACATGCACGCGCGCCGTCATCCGCGGCACATTGTCCTTGGCCATCGTATCCGGCTCATACGACTCGTCGAGCCGGAACGTGCGTCGCCCGAATCCGTTGCGGTAGAGCTGCTCGGCTATGTACGCCTGCCACAGGTATGCGCAGCACCGAAACTTGCGTACTGCCGCGTCCAAGTCGCTGATGCCCGGGCCACGCGCGTCGGGTGGCGCGTCAAACACGCCCTGCGAGTCTCTGCCGACAATCACCGCCAGGTTGAGCGGTGGCTTGTCCAGATATGGCATCATCTTGATGCACAGCGTGCCCTGGCTGGCTATCTCGCCGCCCTGTCGGTAGTCGAAACGCAAGTTGTTGTCGCCGTTCTCCAGCTCCACCAGCACCTTGAAGAACCCGTCAATGGCTGGGAACGTAAGGGGTGGGAAGTACGGGTGGTGAACCACGATCTTGTCTTCGCTGCTGGTGCGCAGCCCCGGTACCTGCCCGTACACAATCAGGAACCGCTGGTGCACAAGCTCCTCATGCTTGACATTCAGGAACTCCATCTGCTGATCAGGCCGCCTGTCGTCGCGCCGCTTGCGATGGTGTTTCTTCTCGCCGTCAGCCGTCTCCGGCTGGATGTCATGCTGGTCCAGCGGCAGTGGAATTCCGGGCGGCACTTGGTCGCTGGAAAACGAGCCGAGGCTCTGCCCAAGGCTACTGCCTGCAGGCGCATGATGCCTTGCATCGCCGCCACGTGACTGATGCTGGGTATCTTGGGTTGGTGGTGGGCCGTTGCTCGTCCGCCGAGGTTTAGGCGGAGGTCCATCGCCGGGTGCCGACAACGGTGGAGCGCCCTGCTGAGAAGGAGGGCCTTGCTGAGAGGGAGTGCTGTTCTGGGAGGGAGGCCCCTGCTGTGGTGGCGGGTATCCGCCATTGCCACCCGGCGGTGGGTACGGCACGCTCTGACCCTGCCAATACGGGGGCGGCTGGCCCTGCCATTGCTGATTCTGAGGTGGTGGCGGTGGATACTGGCCACCTGGATACGCAGACATCCCCTGAGGACCAGGGTATCCGCCATAGTAGCCCTGGCCGTATCCAGGCTGCTGCTGCGGTGCCGGCGGCATAAAGAATCCTCCTGGACCAAAATCGCCCGGTGGAGGCGGGTACACTGGCTGAGGATAACCCTGGTTTGGTGGGTAACCCTGGTTCGGGGGTGGTTGCGCTGGATATCCCTGATTGCTATACTGTGGCGGCTTCGTGTTGGACGAAGGGACCGGCGGTGGCTGTTGCTTGTCGCGGTCGATACTGCGAGAACCGCCCGTGACGCCCAGCTTCTCAAACTTTGACCTGAGATTGTCAAATGTGGACATTGTGAGATAAATGCGATAGAGTTGACTTTGGAGACAAAAGTGCGTATTTTGCGGCTCATTCTTGGCTAGTTCCCTGAGTACCCCGTACTGAGTCTTGGTGCCACCCTCGACGTCATTGACATGGTGTGATTACCGTATTAAATGATCACACTAATGGCGGCCCTGTAAGTGCGCGTAACCAGCAGCTATTCTTAGAACAGGTGTTTGTGCTGGTTGGCTTCCAGGCCAGACCGCCGTGGCAGTATGAACACACCCTTTCAATAGCTTGTGCGCTGCCGATGGGCGCAAATCTCAGTACTGCGGCGGAGCTGTTGTCCTGGCAGTGCTGCCAATAATAAGCAGCAATGGTTTGAAATGCAGCATCAAGTTCTTGGCACATATGCGGCTGCCAATGGCTTGGCCGGCTGTTAGCACAAGTCATTGTAGCATTTACTTGTATAGCAAGACCTGCCATGAAATCTCAGGCGATATGCCACGGCAAAGCCCGATGTTTGGCATGCGGATCAAGTCGATCGCGTACTAAATGACACCACCACGTTGCTTACAGTCCCCATTGGCAACAATATCACCCCAGTGCCTGGATATAATTCTAAAATGCACATAAAACTGCTTTTACAATCCTAGAAACTGGATCTAGCAGCCCACCAACCTCGGCAATATCACTAGTCCACTGCTATAAAAGGCATGGTTCATGCTTAGTCTCCAAACAGAATCCCTCACCAACGGCACCAATAGAACCAACAGCCAGCTACTCGTGATACAGCCTCTATCCTCTATCCTCTATCCTTCCCGCGTTTACCATCCAACTCATCTATCCGCCAGCAATGAAATTCCTTGCTCCAGCCCTTCTCCTCGCTATTGTTGCTAATGCTGCACCTGCTGATCAGTCGGTGACTACTACATATTCTGAGACCGCCAGCACCGCCAAGTACCGCCAGATCGAGCGGACCACTGAAAGCTGCCTCAAGAGCCTGTTTGGATAGACTAGTCCTGAATGACAAGTGCGCCGCTCGTTATCCTGTCTTAATGTCATTCTTTTTAATTTCGCTACTCCTAATATACCCTATATCACGTCACACCACATATCCTCTCAATAGAGATATTGGCACTCGGTCTGCCTTGCTGCCAAAGGAGCTTTTCAGAATGTGTCAACAAACTTTCCCATGGGTTATACGCATTTAGAGCTGCTCTTATGTGTTGGGACTCGCCATCCGAAATACCCGACATCCATATAAATTACATCTTATACTCTCCGGTCTATCTCCATCCGGGCATGGAGAGCACCATCTGCTATGATTTTCTGTTTTTCAGGACATTTAGACAAGCCAGTGTTGTAGATTTGCGGTATTTCTCCGATATTGCTAACTCACACGATGTAATAATTGTTCGAATGGTTTAATCCACCAGCCTGGGTATTTGCTTGCACGCGTATCTGGGGTATTCATGTTTCTGTGGAGATTCTCAGACAGGAAGACTGAGAACACAGCTTGCCTCCTGTTTTCATAAAGCCTATTTCTCCAGGTCAATATCCTCCGTACTTTAGGTAAAACAATGTAGGTATGGATGTGGTTCTTCTATTGCGTGGAGTACAGACATATCAAACTTATCATGAGGTCCGTCAAACACACTGAATTTGAGACAGTTCTGATATATACCAACTGGTCTGACTCAAATCCCGTGAATAAGGCTTGCGCATACTTGTCCACTCTACACTAGTCTACCTAATCTCATAGTCGCCTGCATTCTCTTGCACCACTGACCATATCATTCTCTATTTTACTATTTATGAGCGTTTCTTTATCAACTCGATCGTTATACGCCTCTAATTGATACCTGCTACAACTTGGTATAATACTGTCCCTTTCCATACCTCGCATACATACCCTTTAATGAAAGTTGGATCTTTGGTTACTCTGGTGGCTATGCTGGCGTCTGGGTACGCCGACCTGCCGCCCAACTGGCCCAATGATATAGATCGGGTGCCTGTCCCTTGGGCACGAAATGGCTGGTCCACACAGGATCACACAGGCGCCCGTCCAATCCAGGCACATTATCCACAGGTTGCCCGGGGCAAGGCATTGGCCGTTTCTGAGGCTGAATACGAAGGGCAGGCACCACAGGGAGGTGTCGGCAGCGCGCATGGCCAGAAATACAACGCACCTGACGGCATTTCAGACGACATCATGTCCATTAACACATCCGAGTACATCGAGTATACCGAGACAACAACAGAGACCGAAGACGATTCGCTCCTGGAGACGTATACCACGACTGAGTATGTTATCATTTCATCCTGTTGTGGATCCTGTTGTTCGTGCGGCACAGCACCGAGCGCAGCGTACAATGCCGACGCTGTTTGCGCATCATCGACAGCTGCGCCGGCGTGTACAACATCGTGGTGTGCTACGTCCACGTCATATGTGGTATCTCAGGCACCACCTCCTCCTATTGTCACTCACACTTCGTACTGCGCAACAAACGAGCCGTTCCTTCCGTATATCACCATCACGACATCAGTGTACCCTGCTACTGTTCCCCACACAAGTGAAGCAGCTGCATACTCAACTAGCGCCCCGTATGTTAGCACGGTGACAAAAACAGTGACCTCATCTGTTACTGGCGCCGGCTACTCTTCGTACTCGTCGAGCAAAGGGACGAGCTATTCCGCCAGCCAAACAAGCGATCACCCGTATGAACATGGTACTGGCTCGCACTCGACGAGCTCTTCCGGAAATGGGCCGTATCCCACTGGGCCCTATGGTCCCAGTCCCAGTCCCAGTCCCAGTCCCGGTCCCGGTCCCGGTCCCAGTCCTGGTCCTGGGCCTGTTCCTACTCCTGTTCCTGTTCCGGTTCCGGTTCCCGTTCCAGTTTCTGGTCCATACAGTTCTGGCCCCGGTCTCGGTCCCTATCCAGCTCCTCCCTACAGCCCTGATTCTGTTCCTTATCCAGCTGCTCCCTACAACCCTAATGGTGGGCCATACCCAACGGTACCATACCATGGTCCGTACGATAATGCGCCATACAGCCCATATAGTCCCCTGTACGGAGGATCAAACAGCAGCCCATACGGACCTCCCTACGGACCTCCCTACGGACCTCCCTATGGCGCACCGCCATATAGTCCTCCCTACGGTGCACCACCATACAGCCCTCCATATGGAGAGCCTTATAGCACGCCGTATGGGCCGCCGTATGGTATAGGGCCAGATGCTGGTGACAGCGGTGGATACCCAGCCGGTGGTACTGGTGGATACCCGGCAGGTGGTACTGGTGGATACCCGGCAGGTGGTACTGGTGATGGATCTGAGAGTGGTAGTTCCAGCCCGCCTCCATATGGCAGTGGACCCAGTGGCGGAACCGGCAACGTGCCACGTATGTCGACTTCTCCTTTTAGCAGTGGCAGCGCACAAAGCAGCTCTACAGCCGCGTCATCTGAAAACAGCTCTGATGAGTTTGGTATTTCAAGCGCACCTTACCCGACCAGGTCGATCTACACCACCCGCTCCATGGGCACCAGCGGTGTCTATTCTAACCACCCTTCGTCTAATGGTGACACTGGAGGTGATACCACGTACAACTTCATCACCAGCTACATTATCAACGAGACCACCGCCCCACCGCTAATCGTGTCGGTTGATGATCCTGAACCAGACTATTCCAGCAAGGACACGTACTCGGGCACACCCGCTCCTACACGCACATCCTCGTACGCCTCTAAACCTGCGTCCACATCTACACCCTATTCCACGCCTGCTACCCCCGCATCGACCCCATATGCTGTGCCCGGTGCCTCTCCTGAGGCTGGTCCAACTGCGACATTCGCAGACAATGATCACGACAATGACTACGACAATGACTACGACAATGACTACGACAATGACGATGACGAGGGGCTCCATGAGCGGGTCACGCAAAAGAAGGTGATCAAGAAGATAGTGCGGAAAGCAGCTCTCGCCACCACCACACGCAAGCCTGCCATGAAGGTAGAGGATCAGAAGGCTGCAATCATGTCCCGGTTCCAGTCGCTCGAGCTCGCCAAGGCCAAAGCGCTGGGCAAGGCCAAAGCGCTGGGTAAGGCCAAAGCGCACCCAGCTTCCAAGGCGCCTGCCAGAGCCATTTTGCAAGAGAAGCCGAAGCCGCTGAGCAACAAGTTCCAGCGGAGTCGCCCGGTGCGAGTGGGCAAGGCGAATTACGTGAAGGTTGGTGGCCCTGAGGCCATTGAGAGGGTGGACAAGATAAAGCTCGTCGATGCCAAGCTAAAGCCAGACTTTGTGATGGACATTGGGTACAAGCTCAAGCGCCCAGGCAGTAGTGCTCAGGATGTTGACGCTTGAACGTGAAGAGGCACTGTCTTGCACTTGTCGTTGTGACCACTTGTTCATTTTCATTTTTCAGACATTCACGTTCAATTACTTTCTCAAATCGATAGCACATATCTCCCTAGCGACTTCGCCTTGGCTGGTTTGCAAAATAAACGCAGCTTTTTGTCAGCTTCGGAAACTACAAATGACAATGAATAGTTCCAAGCTACCCAAAATTTTTCCGTGCAATCCGGATGCTGCTGCGACCGGTGAAATACCACGGCCCGGGCCAACAATAATACTGCTTTATCATGTCCGTTACTCACCATCCAGTTCGCATCCTCTACCGGCACCAGAAACATAGCTTGAAAAATGAGCACGCTAGTTCCTCCTTCATTTGACAGCAAAGCTACCACCCCTTCTCCCAGCGTAACTAGCACGCTGCACATTCTACAAGGCACACTGGATAAGAAGCGCGGCATCAGCAAGCCCGAAGACGACCTGTGGCCCGAGGGATACGTCTGGGATATAGAGGATCCAGTTGAGCGGCGGTTCTGTGTTCAGTGGCTGACGCACTCGATTGAATGGGCCACAAAGCGCAGCATCCTGGTCGGCGACTCGGACGACTGGACATGGATAATGGACACAGCAGCCATGCAGCTCGCGGAGCTCTGTGGGAAGGGCGCATCAGGGAAGGTGAAGCGCAGTGTGAAAGTGTGGGGACCGGATGCAGAGGAGCTACCCGGGGTCATTATCAACGAGCCGAGCTTCGTCGAAGCAGACGTGGGGTGCCAGACGTGGGGCTCTGCTACACTGATGGCGCGGAGAATCTCCCGGCATGACATCCCCGTCAGGCAGTTCTCAAGCTGCCTGGAGCTAGGCAGTGGTACGGGACTGGCGGGCATGGTGCTTGCCCGTGAGCTGCAGCATGTGGGCGGAGTGGTGGTCATGACTGACTACCTGGCGTCGCTGTTAGACGTGCTGACAGCGAGCAGCAGAGACAACAGCGTTGACGACGGCACAGCACAGATCCGGCACCTTGACTGGTTTGAAGTGGCTCAGCGGATGCAGAATGCCGAAGCAGGCGTGGCGGCTCCCAAAGCGAACTATAGTGATGTGACAGCACAGCGCGAAGCCACTGCGGGAGCACGCCAGCTCGATGTGGCAGGCATGCAGCGCGGATTCAGTCTGGTGGTTGCTGCCGATGTGCTGTACGAGCTGGAGCACGCGAAGGTAATACCAATTCTTGCCGACTATTTTTTGGCAACATCTGGCAAAGTGACGCCCCGGTTTGTCGTCACCACGCCGCTGCGTGCGACACACAAAAAGGAGGTTAGCGCGTTCGAGGCCGAGATGGCCAAGATCGGGAGCCTGAGGCTGGTAGCGAGGGACGATACGACGCTGGCTGACGATTTGTCTGGCTGGGTGGAAAGGGTTGGTGCGGCCGAGACAGAGGCGATTACGCAGACGCTGACCGCCGATGCGAACGATACATGGAGGTACCGCACGTATATTTTTGAGCGCTGTTAGTAGCAAATAAACACCTTTGACTCTGGGTATTCATCCGCAGGCGAACAATGCCGCAGCAAGTATTTCTGTGGCAGACTAGAGCGTTTGTTGTTGGTGAGGCGGTCCTGAACCCCCGGCCAGGCTGGACAGGGGGATCAACAGAGCCGGTCTTTTTCCGGTATGTGGTGGCTGCGAAGCTTCTGCGAGCATGTTTATTTATGCTCTCCTTCTCCCAGTCCTCCCTCTTTTCTCGCTCCAAACCCCTCTTCGCTATTTCCCCCATTTCCCACCTCCTTTTCTGCAATTACGCAAGGTTGGCTCTTTTGCTAATTGGTCGGCTCAAATTCACAGCGGGCATGGCAGTAGTTACGCGCAGTCAAACTAGTCGGGTTGGCAAGCTTGTGGACGGAATCGTCCAGCGGCAAAACACTGAGCATGCGCCGGAGCCAACGCCTACTGTCTTTACTCGCAGGCGTGCGATCATCGCCAAACGCAAAATCAAAGATGGTAAGACACGGGGATATCGCAGGGCTGGGGGAGAGATGTGGCAAATGCCCATCCCCTCTCTCCCTCGATTATCGCAATAGAGTTCTCCATTGCTCTCTCGATGCAGATGCTGCCAGTCGTGGGAAGGGAGGGATATTGGCTCTGTGTTGTGGGAATAGGGATGGGCTGGGTCTCCTGGATCTCAAGGTGACGGAGACCGCTTTAATCGGCTGGGACCTGATGCTTTGCCTGAAATCAGCTATGCAGATACTGTGAAACTGGCTTCTTTGGCAGAGAAAAAACTTTTTTTTGGGTGTGCGTCTCTTCATTCGCCACTGCAGCTTTCTCACAACGATTACGATCCGCCCATGCATGCCGTGCTTATCACGCGGTGCGCTCAGCTGGCCGAGGGAGCGCCATGCAAAGTAGCTTTACTGCTCTCCTTCTCGCTTGTTTGCTGCTCTTCAGTTGTATTTCTGCGCATTCGCCGTCCCCCACTTTTTTGCTTTATCCATTCTGCCATCCCCTCAGTTTAATCGCTATCCCCACGCGCGCTCGCTGCATTGTGCGGGCCTCAGCAACCTTGTTTACTGGTGGGTGGAACGGCCAAACAGAAAAAGTTCAGAAAAGTACCACAGCTGCACCAAGCTGCTCGAGTGCGAACCGGGTCTTCTTTTTCAGTCCGTTTCCATTTTCCTTTCTACACCACACTCGCAGAATTCGCGCAGTTCCTGCTCCTCTCGTTCAAATGCGCCTACTGAGCTCACTCAAGCAGCAAATGGCGGGCTCGTCCTCACAAGGGCACTCGAAGCAGCAGAGTGAGAGGCGGCGAAACTTCCCGTCCATCAGGGTGGTGACTAACAGCCCGCCAAAGGCCACCAAAGTGCAGACTATCCGGCATGATGATGACTACCTGGAGACACGCGCGGCCATGGGGCCAGTCGGTACTGCACTGGAAGAGTCGCTCGAAGCACGCAGGGAGGCGGGGGTATATGCGCGGACAATAACCAGCCCAAAATACGAGGCCACCGCCCCCTCCCCGCTGTCGCCGCGGCCGTCGACACGCAAATGTGCAGTGAATCGGCGGCGAGCAGGCACAATTGGGTCAATCGACAGCGAGTCATATCTGCCATCGCCAACGAGCACTGCTGCAAACTCCATATCCAGCGCAGTTGGGCTGCTCAATACTGCCGACATGCCAGATACTGTCTACCAACAATTGCACTCACATCCACTCACTCCCATCTCGCCCAAATCCCCAGCATCTGCAATCGTTTCCCCTCGCCCAACTACCACCCGCCTGCGTCGTGCTGGCACGCTGACAGGCATGCATGGCGCTGCCGGATGTATCCCTGACCGCCTGCGGTCGTTTTCTCATGACACAACACCCCCTCCTCCCTCAACACCCCTACCGGGCTCGCCACAGTCAACAATATCCCACTCAGCTGCCTGCTCTGTAGTCTCTGTATCTCCCACTGTTACCCGTAGCCCACCGATCAAGAGCGAAGCCCGGCCACCGAGTTCGAAGCGCACACACAGCCAGGACTCAGATAACAACGCGCTGCGCGGCGCACCGCCTCGTGACGACTGGGACATTGTGGTGGATCGGATCCGCGAATACCGCGCAGCGCATGAGGCGCCCGTGGATACAGTCGGATGCGAGGCGCTGACCGAGGAGGAGAAGGACCCGAAGCTGCGGCGGTTCCGGTCGCTGGTATCGCTGATGCTGTCGGCGCAGACAAAAGATGAGATCACTGCAGAAGCCGTGCGCAACCTCAGCCAGCGGCTGCCGGGCGGACTGTCGCCCAAGTCTCTGAGCAGCGCGCCGATCGATCTAGTGCATGAGTGCGTGCGGCGCGTTGGGTTCTGGCAGCGCAAATCCAACTATATCAAAGAGGCAGCACGCACGTGCCTGGAACAGTACAACGGCGACATTCCGCGCACTGTACCGCAGCTGCTGTCGCTGCCGGGCGTCGGCCCGAAGATGGCGTACCTGACGATGCACGCAGCGTGGCACGACAACCAGGGTATCGGCGTCGATACGCACGTCGAGCGCATCTCGCACCGGCTCGGCTGGGTCAGCGCAGCCGCCAAGACTCCCGAGGCCACACGCCATGCACTCGAGTCGTGGCTCCCCAAGTCGCTGTGGCGCGAGATCAACCCGATGCTGGTTGGGTTTGGCCAGACAGTGTGCCGTGCTGTGGGCCCAAAGTGCGGCGAATGCCCAGTGGCCAACTTTTGCCCCAGCGCAACGATCAAGAAGGCCACAAAAGCTCCAGTGCGCAGATCCCGCAATCCCGCAATCGTCGGGTTCCCAGCAGAGGCAGGGGACGACGAGGCGTGCAATTACAGCGTGCATTCGGTAGACAGTCATCTGGAGAGCGTGGATGTGGAGGACCTGGCCAGCATCCTGAATGGTGCCGAGCATGCCGTGAGGTCGCGCAAGCTCAGTGGCAGCACACGCACGCGCCAGCCCCTGCCCCCACCCAAGACAGCGTTCCCGCAGATGCCCAACTCACCCGCCTACCAGGTTCCCCCACCCCAACCCCTTCCACTGCCCGCCGCTGTTACGGACGACAACGAAAAGCCTCTGCGCAGCCTGCGTCGCCGCCGTCCACCGCCTGTGCATGGGCTGCCTGCATTGCCCGATACGGACGAAGCCCCAGTTGTGGTGAAACGTGAGCAGGTTAATTCATGGGACGCCGAGTCTGAATCGGAGCCAGAGACCGAGCCGAGGGAATCGCCTGGGTCAAGGACGATTACGCCATCAGCGTCCCAGTATTTCATGCGGTCGCGGTCAAATGCCGCCAGCGAGGAGGTGCGCCCTGAGGCCAAGACCGATGCTGTTGTGATTGCTCGGGCCAAGGCCCGCAATGCAAAGCTGTACTCGAGGAGGCTGAGCAAATCCGACATGCAGTGGGCACTTGGTGAGGATTGGGACCCGGACAATGACTCGTCGCTGTCGGATCTAAGTGATCTCGATTTCGAGTCTGACGTCGAAGCCCCTGTGTCTGGGTGATATCTCTCCTATAGTGAGCCACGTGCATTATTCTTACCAATCCCCTCCCCTTTGTGTAAAACTTTTTTGTAGTTTTTTTTGGAGAATAGAAACCTTGTCTTGTGTACATTTGCTCTAGAGCTGTACATCATTACACACCACATACGCTGGTGTGAGCCTAATTTGGGCGTGGGCATGTCTGATAGAACCGCTAGCAACAGTTGCGATAGCCCTAAACCGTGTCGCCAAGACCAAGACTATATGGTGACCCAGACTCTGACTGCCATCACTTTTTTCTGGGATTGGCGAGCGCCGAGCGACGCCCGCAACATCTGGCAGGCCAAATAGGTATAAAAGACCAGTAGGCTGCCCGTTCCTTTCGCTGTTTGGTATTCATCATCTTCAGCATCCAGAAATTCGCATGCACATTCAGCTCACAACTTTCTTTGACCGTTCCAATGATATGAGATATCCACTTTTCTTCCACCACCATCATCGTTGGTGCTGCTACCGCTCTAGCCGTCGATGTCTACACAACCAGTGCGCCCTATGAGACCTACTGGCCTACTCCTGAGTACTTGTCTGCCCCATACTCCAAGGCTTACGGCGAAAAGTCTAAGCATTTCTAGGGCACCTATCATACCAAGGGCCATGATAGCAAAAAGTGCGACTGGTCGAAGCACGAAAAACCAAGTACATCACCAAGTGGGACGGCGGCAGGCGCCTCACCGACTACGACCATGTCAGCTATGCTTCTGCGAGTACCGACGGAGTCAACGATGCCTACACTGATTCTAGCGGCACCTACATTGCTTCTAGCGGGAGCAGCAGCGTCTACAATGCGTGCCATGCTTGCTGAACCCCTTCCTTTAACGGACTACCCTCTCGGTGTTCCTCCCATTTTGTAAAACAAGCCGACTCTTGTCAACCACATTTTTTTATGGTATCTAATTTTGATGAACAAACTATTATCATGACCACCAGCCCGTAGCAAATATGTCTGTGCATGTTGTTTGCACCCCTCACAATCAGATCAATTAAAGAAATGGACCATTGGCGAAACAGCATACTTGGTCCAAATATGCAAAATGAGAGGTAATTTATTCAAACAGATCCTTTTTGAACCAAAGCTGTTGCACACAATACTTACATATGTTTATTTTCAAGAGGTGTTTGGCAGAAGACAAGAGCAAGGTATCTACACTGGCACTTTCGCTGCAAGGGTATTTCAGGGACCATGCCAGACCGGAGATACGAGCATTCAAATATAGTCAATGAGGCGTTGTGACTCGGGCAGGCTTCAAAAAAAAGATCTGCCAGTATGTGCGGCGGCCTGTACATCCGGACATGCGTGCACTATATCGAAATGGACCGTTCTATTTACAGTAGCGGTCATATCCTAACGGACCGGGGTATTTTGCTGGCCAAGGTTCCGTAATCATTGTCCTGGTTCAAGCCCATTGTCAATATGATCGGCACCAACAATGGCTAGTCGACGGTCTTTTGCGTCCAGTTCCATTTTCAGTAAAATTTGAACCCGGTCTCTTTATACTACCAACCAAGGAACAGGCTTCTCTTTGCCAGGTGTCTATGGCCAGCTTCATGCAGCTACACTAGGCGGCACCTGTGTAGAGTGGTTAGTTTGATGGTTTCTATATAAAGTCCAGGTAAGCTGCCTACCTATCTGCCCACCTCACCATTCCATACCACATCCCACCAAACAACCAATCTCTCAGCCACTTCTACCCCTTCCCTCATAGCCCCCTCTTCAATTACTAGCCACTCTTCAGCGAGCACCCACTTCTTGCGACCTACAATGCGTCTTGTTGCTACGATCTCTCTTCTCTCTGCAATTGCTGCTGCGTCAAACTACCAAGCCAACCCGGCTCCCTCCCCTGCATACTCGAACCAACCCGCATACCCCGTTTATTCTGGCGGCCATGTGATTCCGACATACGTCCACGATGGTGGCTACCATACTGGTAATGGTGGTGACCATCATGATAGTGACAAGTATAAATCCAAGGGTGGCAACGGTGATTACCATGCTAGCAACGACAATGATAAGTACAAGACCAGCGGCAGTAACGGCGGCTATCATGCTGATCACGATGGCAACAAGTATAAGGCCGACCACGATGACAAGTACAAGGCCAACGGTGGTAACCGCGATTATCGCGCTGACAACGACAGTGGCAAGTACAAGGCTGACCACGATGGTGACAAGTACAAGGCTGTCCATGATAGCGACAAGTACAAGACCAACGGTGGTAACCGTGACTATCATGCCGACAACGACAGTGGCAAGTACAAGGCCGACCACGATGGTGGCAAGTACAAGGCTGACCACGATAGCGGACAAGTACCAACGGTGGTAACCGTGACTATCATGCGACAACGACAGTGGCAAGTACAAGGCTGACCACGATGGCGACAAGTACAAGGCCGACCACGATGGTGACAAGTACAAGGCTGACCACGATGGTGACAAGTACAAGGCCGACCACGATGGTAGCAAGTACAAGGCTGACCACGATAGCGACAAGTACAAGACCAACGGTGGTAACCGTGACTATCATGCCGACAACGACAGTGGCAAGTACAAGGCCGACCACGATGGTGGCAAGTACAAGGCTGACCACGATGGCGACAAGTACAAGGCTGACCACGATGGCGGACAAGTACAAGGCTGACCACGATGGTGACAAGTACAAGGCCGATCATGATGGCGATAAGTACAAGGCTGACCACGATGGTGACAAGTACAAGACCAACGGCGGCTATGGTAAGGGTGGTTACCATGATGGGAAAGGCAAGGGGGACTGCACTACTAGAACTCCTCCTGCCCCTGGGCCAACGTATGTTGCCAACCCTGCCCCAGCCCCTAGCTCCTGCCCCAGCCCCTGCCCCAGCTCCAGCTCCAGCTCCAGCTCCAGCTCCAGCTCCAGCAAGCGTCCCCCCCACAAACTAGCTGTATTTTCTCAGCACTATCAGCCATGGTCTCAAAACCTTTCATTAACACCAGGCATCCCTTCAACCCACCCCTCTATACTTTTGGCTTTATGCTTTTCAACAATGTCCTACCCCATGACTATGCCAGGATTCTTAATTTTGACGTGACCAAGCCCATTTGCAGCGTTCCATTGCAAATGTAAGCTATCTGCAGCTCGTCAATAAAATTTGACTTAGGAGTGAATAATGGTTTGGTTGTACCGTATCCCACTTATATAGCTCTGCTATAATCAGTTAGTTATTGACACACGATACATATTTACTAGCATTTCTAAACCATTCTCACCTGTGGATATAGATAGGGAGATGAGGAAATACCTATGTTTAGACAGCTAAAGAAACGATCCTCTTTGCCTGAGGGCTATAGCTCCATAGCCACACTCTTAAAGCAGTATGCAAGATGTTGGCATATAAAAGCTGAGCAGAACTCCAACAGAGCGAGGCTACCTACCATTCCAAAATCATAAATGTGCCTATTAGAGTACCATATGCTCCTATTTCCCAGGTCTGCCAACTGCTAAAATGAAATTTACCCTTCTCACCCTGCTATCATTACTGCGGCTGTCGCCGCAAATGCTGCTTCTGTTCAGATCGCCTATCAAGCAAACATTGAGCACAAGACCAAGCATCAGTCTGGTCATGGACCTAGTGTTCCATGCTGTCCCGCTGATTCCAGCAACTGCCTCACATGTTGTCAGCAGTGGTTACTTGGAAAAGGGTACAGGCGATGGTGCTGGCAGCCATGTCGCCGTTCCCTCGAACAGTGCCCGCACAAAGAGCGAACAAGATCCTTATATATGGTGATGGCACCAAGAGTGGGTTCGAAGCCAAGGGTGGCTACAATGTCAAGAACGAACCAAACAAGTCCTATGGTAATCACGGGAATGGACATCGCCATGCACCCATCCCTATTAGGTACAATGCAGGCAGCAAAATGTCTGGGCAGCATGCCTACCATACAGTCGCCGCTCCCGTCTACTAGAATATCCTTGTAATCTTAAATAGCATGTTTCACAAGAAATTCATTACCCCATGTCAGTTGACACAGCAGGATTTCGGCTGTTGGGGATTTTTGAAATATAAACGGATTGCACACCGAGGTCAGGTTACCCTTGGTCTCAGCCCCAGCGGTCAACATGCAAAACTACAGGCCAGAATTGGTGTCTGAAAGTCTCGTCTGGTCATGGTCACTCTGGAAAGCATATCTCTGGCTCCGAGTAATCTGTGGAATATTGACTGTGCGGGAATCACTATCGGGGAAGCAATTACCCTGGATCCACTTTATTGATCAAGATTCGGTTGCATGCGTGAATATCAGACGCAAAAGTACTGAAAGATATTTGGGTAGAGCATCCGAATGCGCATCGTCCTGGTTTACTCCGCCGGTATCCCCAAAGGGTCTGAATGATCCAGTGCTATTCTTACCCGCCACGCACTAGTGGCGGCCTAAACCCCTCGGCCGGCTTGGTGCCGTACAGGCTCAGAGTCATAACCACCAGTTGCTTTGACCCAGCATTGGCATATCATATGCCTGAGTTGTAGAAGGCTTGAGGCCGGAAGAATAGCTTGGCCGATAGCTGGTGGTCAGAGAACATAGAGAAACGTCTTGTATTTAAAGCAGGAATTGCCTGTATTTATAGCAGGAGTTGCCTGTATTTCCAACGCCCTGAAATTCTAGTTCAGCAACCTTAAAGCATCCCTACATATCACTTTCAATTCTCACATCATGCTCGAGCACAACTATGGTGGGCCAACGGCGGTCCAAAGTTTCGCCATTATGAGTGACGCATTAAAGATGGCACCAGGCCAGGACAAACACACTGACGGGGGTAAATTGGTGCTGGCCTGTTCTTCGTCACCTTCGCTCTCTTCTGCACATCCAGAAAAGCTGGCCATTAAATATCTCCCTTACTCGCCGTTCTCAAACAGGCGTAAAATGACGATCGTTCTGGTCATTGCAGTTTCCGCGCTTATCAGCCCGCTCGCTGCCAACACATACTACCCAGCGATTCACGAGACACAAAGAGAGCTTCACACATCCAAGGGCGGGATCGATGCTACCATGTCAGTGTTCACCTTTTAGCCAGGCTGTATTCCCGTTGCTTTGGAGTGTTTTCTCGGATAATTTCGGCCGACGCTTTGTATACCTTGGGTCGCTCATGGTCTTCATCGCTGGCAGCGCTGGATGTGCTGGATTAAAGAACCTCGCTGGTATGATTGTTTGCCGTATCATCCAGGCATGCGGCGCGTCTGCCGTGCAGGGTTCTGGTGCAGGAACTATTGCCGATATCTACGAGCGCGAGCGTCGCGGTACAGCCTTGGGCCTGTATTGCCTTGGTCCACTGTTTGGCACCTCGCTGGCTCCTCTGATCGGTGGATTCTGCGCAGAGAAACTTGGCTTTCGTTGGATTTTCTGGATTCTAGCCATCTTTGGCGGTGTTATGTTGTCGCCACGTACTTTGGCCTTCCAGAGACCCACCGCCGCGCTATGTCCGAAAAGTATGACACCCAGCCGATCAACATCCCGGTTAAGCGCAGCCTCATTGGCAAGCGCAGCAATCCGCTTCGGGCAATCAAGCTCCTCAAGCTCCCGAATGTCTCCATTGTCTGCTTTCAGATTGCAATGTCGTTTGGCATCCTGTACGGCCTTGCCAGCATCAATGCTACGGCCATTGAGGATATCTACAACCTTAGCCCCGGGCAGACCGGCTTGGGCTATATCGGCATGGGTGGTGGAAACATTATTGGTGCCTTTGTTGGTGGCCGCGTTACCGACCTTCAGATTCGTCGCGAGCAACGCCAGATCAAGCCTGCCACTGTCGAGACTGGGGGAATCACTAGTCCGCAGTCACCCGGAAGGAGTCCCGAGATCCGCATTGCTTCGTCGTGGGTCGGCGGACTTGTCCTGCTTGCTGGAACTCTGATGAACGGGTGGTTTATCCAGAAGAGGGTCCATTTGGCTGGCGTCATTATTGCTCAGTTTATGATCGGTGTTGGCACCAGCTTCCAGTTCAACCAGATGTGCAGCTACTTTGTTGACCTGTTTCCCACCAGCGCGGCCAGCATCACCTCGGTTCAGAACCTAGTCCGTAATTCATGGACTGGCGCGTGCATCGAGCTCCTGCCGACTATGACTACCAGCATAAACTGGGGGCCGACATTCACTATCTTTGCTGGTTTAGCGCTGGTCGGCAGTGTCCTTGTCGAGATTGCTGCCATCAAGGGGGAGTACATCCGCCAGCGCTTCCATTTCTCGCCGAAGCTCTAGATATTGGGGGCTCTGTCAGATGCATTTCGTAGGAAAATAAACAGTAAAGGCACTTGAGCGTATGATAATGGTGTCAAGTCTTTTGTGTTCTAGAAGACTGAAGCAGCAACGGCGCAGGACCCTGTGGGTCTGCAAACAAATAACCAGTCCGCCGCTCCGTGCACGATCTGTGGTTCTTGCTGTTTTCCTATAGGGCTGCATAATCACATAGCCAGGTGATGGTAGTATGAGGATCGGGGGTTGCACACGGTTAGCTTTGCGTGCCAGGCTGACTATAAATCAGTCATTGATGAGTAGGCCTGGGCACATGAGCTTGGAATTGCAATATTCTTCTGCCTTCGTTTATTTCTCGTTCACTCTTTGTCTTCAACCTACTGTTTCTACGCTTACAGCATTCCCACATACTATCCAGAGAACAATGTCCAAGCTTGTCGTTATCACCGGTGCCACTGGTCTTCAGGGGGGCAGTGTTCTCAAGTCGCTGCATGAGGCAGGAGGGTACAAGCTCCGCGCCATCACGCGCAATACTTTGAGCGAAAAGGCCAAGAGCCTGCAGAGCAAGTACCCAGACGTTGAGTGGGTTTCTGCCGAACTTGATGACTACGCGTCGTTGGTTAAGGCGTTTCAGGGCGCGGACATCGTGTTCGGTGTGACTTCGATGTACATTCCAAAGGATAAAGACGAGATCAAGGGAGGACACTCTGGCACCGAATACAAACAGGGAAAGAACATGGTTGACGCAGCAATTGAGGCCAAGGTCGGGTCAATGATCTACAGCAGCCTGGACTCGATGAAGCAGCTATCCGGTGGCAAAGTACACTGGTGTGTTGCACTTTGAGGACAAGCACAAGGTTGAGGAGTATCTGACGAGCAAGTCTGACAAGATCAAACCGTTCTTCATCTACCTCGGGTTCTATATGGAGAACTACGTCACCTTTTCGCGTATCTCGCCCGAAGACAACAAGACCGTTGAATTTACAATGGCACTCAAGCCCACGACCATGATGCCGCTTGTTGATACTGCCAACGACATTGGCTTGTCGTGCGCTACATTATCGAGCACCCAGAGGAGTGCATCTGCCGCTCGCTCGAAGTCAGCGGTGGTTACTACGAGGCGCAACACATGGCCAAGGTATTTACTGAGGTTACTGGTAGGCCGTCGCGTTATGTGGAAATCCCTTATGAGGCACTGGGCCCAGAGCAACTCGTCCAAATGTTCAAGGGGTTCGACGACTTTGGCATGTTTGGAGGCAGGACTGACTTTTTGAACCGTGACTATCAAACCGAGAGAAAGTTCACATCACCTGCCGACTTCTGGAAAACCCGCGGATGGAGCGGCCCTGCTGCCTAGCCACTTTCTAAGTCTAGATCACTCTATTATATAAGGTCTCATAGTACCTAATAGCTGTATGCATTGTCTATGCCCATCTCCATCTTCCTAACATGGTTATCAAGGTTCTCACCCAGGGCCACTAATGGGCCATATTCCTTCTCTGCAGCCTCATATGCAGCCTGCTCGTCGGTGACAGCCTGCATTAGCGCATCGCCAACACGCTGTTCGGCCGATGCCTGCCTGCGCAGCGGCGGCAGCTTCTCGTTGTCGCGGTCGTAGCGCTTGGCTTCCTCAAACGACATCACCGCCTGCCGCAGTCCGCGGCCGCCAGCCGACAGCTGGCCTGCCGGGAGCCGCTGCGTGCCCAGCAGCCCCTTGAGCTCGTTGATCGTCTCGGCTTCCGACCGGAGGACGTGGAAGATCCGCGCCATTTTGCCCACCGCCAGGATCTTCTTGCGGATTGCCGCGCGCCGCTGCTCGTGCTCCGTGCTCTGCGCCTCCGCCAGCACCTGCTGCAGGTCCGTCGCGCTCTCCTCCAGCTCGTCCTTGGTGCAGATGTCGAGAATCGCCAGCAGCATGTCCGTGACCTTCTCGCCGACAAACGGCAGCGACCACGTAAACACATCCATGAAGTTGGGCAGCCAGTACGGGTGCGCCGAGCTGTTGAACTGGCGGATGTTCATGACGTTGTTCTCGTACTTCAGCACCGCCGCCTTGTTGTTGTACACGTCGAGGTAGTTTGGCGCCGAGAACAGCGTGATGACCGCAGGGAACCCCGTGGTCTTGCTCTTGCGGTACATGCGGTATCCGGCGTCCTGCGCCTCGTGCGCGCGCACCAGCGACAGCAGGTTGTTGCGCTCCTAGGAACGCACACACCGCCGCGTAGTTGAAAAAGTACGAGCAGCCGCGCGCAAAGTTGTGGATAAAGTAGCTCTTGTTCTTCTCGTGCCCAAAGTCCTCGACCGGGTCGGCCCACAGCAGGTCGCACATCAGCCCGTGCGTCGGCGGCTCGCGGAACCGGTCCAGCTGCCGCAGGTCGTCCAGCGTGTGCAGCTCGGGACTCAGCCCGCCGTGGATGCACAGGAACTGCTTGTTGACCACCGCCGCCAGCGGCAGCGCGCAGAACGACCCCAGCGCTGCCTCATACACCCGCTCCGAGTACTTGTGCGTGCACTCCAGCTTGAACGTAAAGTAGTCCGTCAGGTGCTGGCACTCGTGGTTGCCGCGCAGCATAAAGAACGACGCCGGGTGCCGGATCTTGAGCGAGTACAGGTACAGCAGGCACTCTATCGAAAAGTACCCGCGGTCGACGTAGTCCCCCAGGAACAGGTACTGCGTGGTCGCCGGGTCGCCGCCCACCTCAAACAGCTTCATCAGATCGTAGTACTGCCCATGCACGTCGCCGCAGATCGTCACCGGCGAGCTCAGGGTCAGCAGGGTTGGCTCGCTCTTGAGGATTGCAGTGGCCTCCTCCAGGATGGCCAGTGCGTCGGACTCGCGCAGCCGGCCTTCGCGGAAGAAGTGGTCCTTCAGGAAGTCGCAGTTGGGCTTGGTCTGGTCGCCGTTCTCAAACACATCCGAGTGTTCTGGGATGGCTGTTGCTGGCGGAGCCACCTCAGGCATCATGCGGTCGGTTGTTCGCCACCTGCTGGCCCTCGTCTGTCGTCTGCACGGTGAAGCCGACGCGCGGGATTGGTGACCCGATGACTGGCGGCGCGTCAGCCATGGTGGCATCGCCTAGACTTCATCGATCGCTCCTGTAGCCAGCAGAATTCTGGTCTTGGTCGGCCTTTCTGCTGCTTGAGCTACTACTATCTGTGTCGATTTCCATTACCGCTGGTCCTAGTCGCATCTAGAGACTTGGATAGTAAGGAAATTAATATTGGCTGGAGGCGAAAGAAGAGTAGTGCTGGAAGGAAATCAGTGTTTGCGCACAGAATGTTCCATGGGCTGGTGGGGGAGAGGGTTTCAGTTTGCGTGAAAGCCTGCGCTTATTGAACCTGGGGGCGAGGGAGGGGGTGAGAAACGTACGTTGTCGGTATCTGTTCCCCCCCCATCACCACTGCCTGACACTACAGACATCAGACTGGGGGCAGCATGCATGGCCGTTCCACAGATCTGGATCAGCAGCTCCGTGGATCTTTAAGCGGGTGTGCCTAGCGCGGTCTTTAAATTACTTGTGGTACGGCATATAGGTATTCCAATCCCGCACTTGACGTCAACATTGTTTGGGGTTCAGAAAGCCGCCATGATGCGTTCACACATGTCGAGAGACACACATCGATCTGTATAGCATGCATAGGTGCGATCACTTAATCGTCGGATCTCCATGTTCAAAGATGCAGGATTCGGCCGACGTAGAAAGAACAAGAACCAGGAGGACTGGGTCGCCCTTCTCGGCTCGCTCGGCCCCCAAATATGCAGCCTGCGTGCCGTTCTAACGTCGATCGCCCGAGCAGGCGGACCATTTCGGTGTCTCGCTTGTTATCAGTGCCCTGGCGCGACGACGATGCACGCTGTCTCGATTGTTCTCAGGCGACAAGGGAGATCCGGATGCATGTTCGAATAAACGGCGCATGATTTCTCGGGCGCAGTGGTTCGAGAGGGGGATACATTTGGTGCTTGGCAGTGATGGTTGGGGCTGGCCAAACGCAGGTGAGGGGAGAGGGCGGTAGATAAATGTCAGTATGCGGATGTGTTCTATTCTTAGTCAGGGCCAGCTGGTGGTGGTGCTGACGTCGACGTGGCAAACCAACATCTGAACCTGCATCTGTGGGTGAAGAAGCAAAATCATTGCATCGGGTGTTCCCGTGTGCATAGGAGCAAAAAAGGAAGAGGGAATGCTGAGAGCGATGTCCATGTCGTGCCGCAGCTCTAAGCATTATTCGTGCAGAGAGAGCGCGAGTGGCCAACAAAAGGCGCGCGGCTGGCACAGTGTTTGCGCAATTGTTAGAGTGCACGCTACGACTGAACACGGAGATGTCACCCACACAATCTATGATGCGATGCGGGGTGTTGTGTGAAACAAGAAATAACTCGGCAGGGTGGGTGTTTGTTTGGCACAGGTGGGGCACGGCGATCTCGGTTTGTTGTCTTTTGATGGCCCGCTGATTTGACGTACCACACCCATGCGGCCAACGACGCAGTGCGCTGCCGGCTGGCCACTAGGGAAACGTCAGGCATGTTCAGGAACAAAATCTGGCCACGGCACGTACTCATATCGGCAGTCATCAGGCGGGCTCGACACATGCATTCAGACGGCCCCTCTCCGCTCCAAGTCGGCCACCGAGCCGCTCGCTCCTCCGACAATCAGCACAGGCGAGCCGCCCCTCCTCATTGTGGCGAAAAAGGAAACGGGTTCTTGGCCCTTCCACCGAGTTGGCTCGGCTCGCAGAGCCGAAAAATATTATTGCCGGCGGCTGGTGGACTTTGGGCGCGAAAAAAGACTGGCCAGCAGGAGCCAGGCGGTGATTGGACGGATATTCGCTACTCAGAGGGTGCCGCTTTTTTGTACTCTTAGGTCTTGAGGAAATTCACCACCGAGAGGGGAGTCCACTGGCTTGGCCCGGCCAGCCCTCTTGGGAGCCCGCCTTTGGGCTGCTGGCCAAGTCTTTTTATATCTCGCCCAGCGCTCCTGCCTCCCACCTCTGATGCCCCCTCTCTCGTCTTTATTTCTCCTGCCACTCCTACGCACACCAGCTATATTTTTCAAGACTTGTATTCGATTTTGTTTTTCGCAGCCCGCCTCGCCTACCAGAGTCCTGCAGTATTTACGCAGCAAAGCGTCCTTCCCAGACACCGCAGCTACTACCCTCTCCGTGGAAACCGCAGGGTGCAGCCTTCGGTTCATTTCATTTCTTAGGCTCGCTCCGTTTCTATCTTTTCATCTCCTCCTGCCTTCCAGTTACGACCGACTTTTCTCATCGATTCGCAACTGCCTATTAATTACGTGTTCTGAGAACCGAACTGTGCCACGTGCTTCTGACCGCGTACAGTTTCTACCTGGCCTCCCTCCCCGATCCCTTGCACCGCCTGCGCCTTCGGAGACAGCAGCCGCCCGCAGAACCATTTATACGCCCGGGACTGATCAATCAGTGTCTATTCGGTAGCGGACTATCGCAAAGAACCAATCCAGCAGAAGGTATGTTCCGCACCTGTGCTTTTCCTCCTATTTACCGAAACCCTATTTTGGACCTGCGGTGCTCTGTTCCCGGGAGCCGGATCCCTTTATCTGGCGGTCCTGGCTCGGTTTGGTTCAGCAGCATACGTGGCCAGCAGGTTTTGTGCGCCCGATCCGGGTGTCCTTCCAAATAGAGGGACCCGCTAGGCCCTGCAAAAGGCTACCTTGCCCTGTCTAGCATGATCCATTGCACCCACCCCCACCTGCTTCCCCTCCCTGCCTTGCTTTTTTTTCTACGCCTGATGAAGTGTCGCCGGTTTGCCACATGCTGGACTGCCCTTCAGCGACTACTATTCGCACAACCGCCGGCAATTGTGCCGGCATGTGCTTGGACAAGAGGGGCGGTGAGTGGCCACGAGGTTTTATTGCAACCTCAGGCTATATTTTTGGGGGAGGGCCAGAGAGCGGCGCGGGAGGCGCTCTCGAGCTTTGTGTGCAGGCTGTCGCTGGAAGCCCATGCATCCCGTGCTGTTTTGTCAGTGCAGGTCTGGGAACAATCGGGAGGCATGGCCTTTGTCGGGAGGCACAGTTTGTGCCATCGGCAGCCAGGATATTAAAACCACTTGGGCTCTTGGAAGCCCACGAAACGAGCTGCGCTTTTGTGCCGGGGTCGCCTGGTCGCCTGGTCGCCTATTGCGTACTGCCTGCCAAGGATTAAGAAGTCTTGTTTGGATTTATGTGTGTGGATCCTGCACATCTCGTTTCAAAAAAGCTCTAAATCCTGTATGCTGTTCGATTGTTATAGACAGTTCACAGCAGGCCACAAAAGGAGACTGGGCCCGGCCATACAACAGCTGTCCGCTTTAGCCGGTGCAGCGTGAGCGCATTCTTCGCATCGTTCATTGAACAGCCGGCAGGCGCCCACGCTCACAAGCTGCCAGTCCATTTCCCCTTTTATCTTACTGATCCTCTGGGCAGCTCCTTCAGCAGTCTGCGCAAAGACCGCTTCCCCCTCCTTTGTCTCCTTTATTCTCTGTTCGTCCCTTGTGTATCCTGCCTTCTGTTCCATCCCTTTCTTATTTCCACTCCCCTCCCCCATTCCGTTTGCCTGCGCTGACGCACAACTTGCATCTCCAAAGATAGGGCAGAAAACCGGCTTTTATCCCGCAGACGACCAGCAGAGACCCGCGTCGGCTCCCCCATTCCGGAAATAAAAATTAGACAACCACGCCTTCCCCCTCTCCCCTCGTCCACAGCACAAGCCCAATGATATCCGGCGAGAGCATTGACGCCGAGCAGAATGGGCCGGCTGCATCGCTGGCTGCACAGCACGCAGCAGGAGCGGACTCAGATGACCACGCCCCAGCAGCAGCGTCGGGGGCAAAGAATGCCTCGCTGCAGGACGCTTCACAGACACTTCAGGAAGCCAGCGGAACCACGCCAAAGTCAGAGCTCATCGAGCGCATGCAGGCGGCAGCGCTGAATACACCGGCCGCGGGTTCGCCGCATGTTTCGAACGAGCAGCCTGCGACGCTTTTATCCGCTGGCGCGCCGTCGACAGAGCCTGCGCACGCCTCACCTTCTTCTACTCTCCAAATGCAGCAAACCATGACACAAACACAAGCCCCAGCGTTTTCACAAACAACCCAGCCGTCTACTCAGATGACGGCTCCGCTGATTAGCTCGCAGCAGCAAGCCGCGGCGCTCTCGGTCCAGCCCGCCATCGCTGCCACGCTGCTGCATCCCGCCGCTGCGGTTACTGCGGCGCCGTCGATGGCATCTCCGCTGGCCGGCCTGCCTCCGACTGCGACCTCGACCGTCGGCAACAGCGACGATGTGGCTATGGCTGCAGCGTACGCAGCGGTTGTCGCAGCAGCTGGTTCAGCCGACGGGCTCGGGATTAGCGCACCGCACACGCTGGCTGGATCCTCGTCCACAGGCAGAATCACGGCTCAGCTCCAGCAGCATGCGGCGGACAATCTTTTGGCTCAGCAGGCGGCGATCGCTGTGGCCATCAATAACCCAGGGACAGCCCAGTCGGCAGCGCCGATACAGCCGCAGCAGCAACCGCAACAACAGCAGCAAACCATGGCCAGTGCAGAGGCAGCGGTTGCCGCGGCCACTGCCGCTGCAGTTGCATCACAGACTTCGCAGCCACGTCACTCGCATACCCGGTCCATTTCGGTTGTCGACGGCATGGTCGCCATGTACCCGAATGAACAGCCCAACAATACTGCCACTGCCACATCCATGGTGATGCAGCTCCAGCAAGCACAGCTCCAGGCACAGCTCCAGGAGCAGCAGACAATTGACAAGCAGAACGCGCAACTTAAGCTATCCCAGTCCATGACCCAGCTGCACCAGCTGCAGCAGCTGCAGGCAACATCATCGGTCAGCGCTGCCATCAGCGCCCTTCAGAGCGGGGTCCCGTCGCCGTTTGCCACACCCCTGCCGGGCTCCGGAAATGCCATGCCTCCAGGCCACCGTCGTCAGCTCAGCAGCACGTTCCCGGCACCCATGCAGCACCCGATGCTGCCACTTGAGACCCCGGTTACTTTGGCCACGGCACCCGCGACCATCGTGCCGGGCACGCCAACGTCGTTTGGCCAGCTGCCGTTCCAGGCACAGCACCCGCAACAGCAGCAGCATTCGGGCCACATCCGACACCTGTCGCTTGATGCAGCCAACCTGCGACTGATGGCAGCTGACCCGACGCTGGCAACATCGCTGCCCATGCATGAGACGATCCCAGAGCACCCAACCGAAGTTAATGCGGCAATGCAGCTGAACAACGCGGCACTAGCCTTGGCACAGCAGCAACAGCAACAGCAACAGCAACAACAGCTGCAGCTTCAGGCCCAGTTGCAGCAGCTACAGCATTTGCAGCAGGCCCAGGCGCTCGCACAGGTGCAGACGCAGCCCACTGCTGCACTGATACCACACACGGTGCCAGTCACCCCACAGCAGGCGAGTCTGCTCACCTTCGGGCTCATGCCACTGCAGCAGCAACAGCAGCAGGCGTCTGTTGGCGACCCGTCGCTAGTACAGCAACAGCTGATGGCACAGACCTCGCCGCCCAATCTGTCAGCCATTGCCACGCCATTTGGCGGACAGTTTGACGGAACGCTGTCGGGCCAAATGACGCCGACCGCGCTGCACTCGGGCTCGATGCTGAGTATGAGCAGCATGATCCAGCCAGCTACCCTGGTGGCACCGCAGCAGCTGATGCCGGCGTTCGCACCCGGAAGCGACGCCCTGAACCTCGACGACATTGAAGAGGAGTTCGAGGAGGACGAGGACGAGCACGCGTCCGACAAGGAAGCCCGGGATGCCGCCAATAAGGCAGCCGCCGCCGCCGCTGCCAAGCAGGCGAGTGCGCAGCAGCCCAGACCCAAGAAGAAGCAGGCGCCGTATAAGCGGTTCCGCAACTCGTTTATCTTCTTCGCCAACGACCGGCGTGCGCAGTGGCGGCGCGACCATCCCGAGGATACCAAGATCCAGAACCGCGAGTTCATCCAGGAAATGAGCAAGGTGTGGAACCAGATGACCGACGAGGAGAAGATCCCGTACGTGCGCATGGCCGATGAGGACAAGCTGCGGTACGAGGCCGATGTCAAAAAGTACGGCCCACTGCCGCAGAGCACCCCGACCACATACACAAATGCCGCCAGCTCTGCAGCTGCCAAAGCTGCCAAGGCTTCCAAGCACGAGGGGTCGCTGGGCCCGGCCGTTGCGCTCAGCTCAGTTGCGCCTGCTTCGATTGCGCCCAAACCGAAGGTAGTGCCGGCCAGCGTCTCTGTGGAGGCCAAGGCCACGGCACTGCCCCTGGAGCCTCAGAAGCCGGCGGCGGCAGTTCCGCCTCGCATTGCTGCGCGTCCTGAGCACATCCAGCTGCCACCGCAGCCAGCCATCCTGCCACGCGCAGCCGAGTCCGCCCCAGCGCTTGCCGCCATGATAACAGCGCCAGCCCCGACCAGTGCGACGCTGGTACCCACGAGCCACTCGCTTGGCAGCGGGCAGACGACCCCCCGATTCACTGGACTAGTGACCAACCCGCTGGCGGCGTTTGACCCAGTGGAGCTGGGCAAGACGGCGCTTACGCTGCAGGCATACCAGATGATGCACATGCAGCAGCCAGCGTCGCACGAGGTGTCTCCGCAGGCAATGGACTTTGACGCGTCGTGCTTTGATTTGACGGGCACGTCAACCACGCCCAATGAACCAGCCGAGCCAGCAGCCAGCGCCAATGGTCCGCTGATCCACACGCAGGTGGGCACGAAGCGCAAGAGCTCGAGCGACGGACAGCCAATGACAAACCTGCCGTCATCAATCAAGCGGTTCCGCAACTCGTTCATCTACTTTGTCAACGACAGAAGGCGTGCGCTGATGTACAACGCCGACGGCACGCCGACCAATGTCGAGGTGCATAACCGCGAGTTCATCAAGGACATGTCGGCCAAGTGGAAGCTGATGAGTGATGCCGAGAAGGCGCCGTACCAAAAGCTGGCCGACGTGGACAAGGAGCGGTTCACGAGGCAGATGCGCGAGTACGAGGACGCCCATCCCGACGAGTTCCCCAACAAGCACCAGAAGACCCACCGCAGGCGTAGCTCGACCAGCGCCAGCAATAACGACACCAGCGGCCAGTCGGCCGTAACCATGGGGCTGAACATCTCGCTGGCCGAGCAGACCTCCGCCGTGGGCGTCGATAGTGTGCCGGCGAGTGCGGCCGTGTGTGATGGGTTCTCGCACGAGCTGCTGCTGGCCATTGCTGCCAGCACGCCCCTGTCGACTGCGTTCAGCACGCCCAGTGCCACGCCGCTGCTGACCCCCAATCTAATGGGCGACAACAAGTCTGATCTGTCGGCATCCAGTGTTTCGGCGCACTTCCACAGCCTGCCGTCGGTGCCTGAGGAGATGGCTGGCGAGCCCAGTCCGGCCACTGTCGTGTCCAAGGCTGCCGAGTCCACGGATGGCAACTAAAAAATCACTGTGTGGTGTAAATATTGTCACAAATCCCCAACCTCCAACCTCTTCCCCCCTGTGTCCATATCTCCCCCCATCAAACGATACACATCTATCTATCCTCATCTCCTCTCCCCATGTATACATCTATCTTTGTCATACTTGTTTCATCCCCTCCAGTTACAGGACGTAGACTCTTCCTTTTTACCGTCCGTCACAATGTTTCTAAAAAAATGGTCTTGTATTCACAAACGCAGGCTATGATGGGCTATTGGGAGCAACACATGCATTCTCATATATCCGCCGGCTCCATGGGTATGTCGATTCTCGGGCATCGCGCTCGATCTTTTCGCACAGAGACCTGCACAGCGAGAACGGCAAACGAACCTGCAGCACCCGCGGCAAATGCGATATGATACTAAAAATGCTCTCACTCAGAATCTGCGGGGGATGGAACGGGATATTCAGCATGAACCACAGCATGGCATCGTGCGGACTGCTCAGCATGACTGGCCCAGGACAGCCAAGGGCAAGCTCGCATTGGAAGTAGTAGAGATTCGGAAGGTGCGTCAGCAGCATCGAAATCTGGTCGATGGTGAAGGCATATGATGGCGCACATAGCATTCCAAGATCGCTGCACTGCGGGACCATTTGCAGGCTAGGCTGTGGACACGCGCTGTCAATACAGAATGTGCGAAGGCCGCGAATAGCCAAGCACGCCTGCATGATCTGGTTCGACTCCTCATTATCCAGAACATGCTCGTTCTCCATACAGATTGTAGGAAACACCAGTTCCTGCGCCTTTGCCAACGTGGATGTACCGAGCACCTCGACCGTGTCCCAGGCAAGCGGGAAGTTCAGCACGCGCAGCTGTGTCATGGACCCAAAGAAGAACAGGTCCGCCAGGAACGTGTGCTCGAATATCGATAGCGTTGTCTCGTGGTCTGGCGAGACATCGCTGGGTGGGATAGCAACGTGCAGAAACTCCAGAGCGGGGAAATGCGACTGGGCGATGTTAAACTGCTTGAGCTTGGAGTCGTCAACATTGAGCGTCAGTAGACATTCGCGCATACGCGGAAACACAATTTCGCCAGAGGCACCGCTGACGATCTTTTGCAGCTCGCTGGGCCGCACAGATCCAACACGCAGATATTCGAGGGTCTGTGCGCTCTTTATGATCAGCCACACTGCGCTATCGTGGCTCAGGTGCCGCTGGTCGAATGCTGTCAGGTGCATGTGCGGGTCTATGCTCCGCATGTGCGTGTACAAGCGCACAAACTTGTCTCCAATTCCAACGTGCAAAACACCTGGGGCATATTCCACGCTAGCTTGCCCCAGGAACCACAGCCGTCTGGCACGTACTGTACCGAGAATCGCCTGCGCCAGCGTCATCGCCCTGTGGTCCTCGGCAGCAGTGGTGATCGTGTTTGGCGACTCGACTATAACAATTACCAGCGTGTCGACGTGGCACTGCCCCGAGTTCTCCAGCGCGCTGCGCGTCCATGTGGTCGCCCACTCGCCAAACAACAAGGCACCATCGAACCTCAGCCACAGCTCCTGTGTGTGGGCTTGGCTGAGGAACGGGTGCGGCGCCTGTGCGGCGTCAATCGTGCAGTCGCCGATCGCGTACCGGCTGAATTCGCCCAAAAGAGCCGTACGCCAGGCTTTGCACGTATTCATAACCGACCGCTGCCGCTCATCCAGCTGCTTGAACTGGCTGCCGATGCTGCTGCCCAGCGCAACTCGCCGCCTTGTGCTGTCTGATGCGCTGCTGTTGTACCAGAGCTGCCGGGCGATCCGCAGCGCGAGCTCACTGGGCAATTGAGACTGCCATCTGTGGGAAGCGCTGTTGGCGTGCTGTTCGGTGCGGCTGGCTAGTGCTGAACCACACATCTAACAAACATAAACTGAAGAGGGTCGAGAAGTGGAGAAGCGAGATGATAGACCGCTATTTGCTTGCTGAAATACAGGTGGGGAGGAGGAATAGGGATGGGTGGGGGAGTTTGGATAAAGGGACAAATATTCCTCCGTATCTCGACAGAGCTGAGCAAGAGAGAAAAACGGTTGATTTTACTCTTTTTTTTTTTTTTCGTTGGCTGATTGTTCAACGTCAAAAAGGTGGTTTGCCCCACACCGGTGCTCGGTTATTTGTTAGGACAATTGCCGCTTATCAGCAGGGTTAATGTCTGAAGTGTCAGCAAGCGCTCAGGCAGGGCAATGTAGGCAAATAAGGCGGCGGGCAAAAAGAACAGAGGGCTGAAGGCTGGAGGCTGGTGGGGTAGGCTGGCTAGAACAGAGAAAAGATTGGTGTGTCAAAAGCAAAGAGGAGTGGGTTGATTTTCTAGCGGCAACTCTAGAGGTGGGAATAGGATGCCAGCGGCGAGAAATCTGATGCAGAAGCCAGCGAGCCTTGTATTGAGGAAGGGAATGGGGAGTGGCCTCTCAATTTAATGTGCATCCTCCGAGATGTGCACCGCCAACGCATCTCACATCTCCAGAGCATGAAAGTGGAGAGGAGATTCTATATGTGGCAGCTGAGGATGTTTGTGCCTGTGCATTGGCGGAGCTGGTGGGGAACCGGGTCAGCAGAAATTACCGATACGCGGGATGGGTGCAGGTCCCAGCATAGGTCCCTCCTGCCATTAGCTAATTAGAGATCCCTTCTTCTCGACATATGAAACTGAGTCCTAGAATGGGCTAGTGGTGCAACACCAGGTGATTACCTTTCGGAGGACCAAAGGGTTTATGCGTTTGTGTTGGCATCCTGAATGGCAAGCCGATCCTGGGGCTTCTCTCGCTGACTCTTGACTGAAGGCGCATTGGTAAGCGCCAGCAGTGACTGCTAGAAGGAGTTGGAACCAAGGCGCACACGGCGATCCCACTTCTCGCAGGAAGAAAAGCGGGACAGCTGCCCTGATCTTGTGTGGAAAATCTGGGCTGACCCCCAGTCCTCAACCTGTGTCCCCCTCATGTCAATCATGAAAGGTTTTTTGCTGACGCCACTGGCAAAGAAAAGAGATTCCCTTGTTTCTCTTTCTGTCTCCCTGTATTTCTTGTCACTTTCTATAGACTATCTTTGTGCTCCCTGCTGAGGTCTCCTGGCGTTTACACGATACATACCACACTCGCCTTTGAAGTAGCCCGACAGTAGCAGTTGTTGAACTCCTCCTACACTGAGTCTGGAGCCTCCAGTGCAACAACATAACAACAGTCCTACCACCATTTGAACGGCGCCTTGAAATGGACATTGACAGCCCTACCAACAAGTCCATTACCGACAGCATCGATGAGTCTGGCGATGCCACCATGGCTGACGCGCCGCCAGTCATCGGGTCACCAATCCCGCGCGTCGGCTTCACCGTGCAGACGACAGACGAGGGGCCAGCAGGTGGCAACAACCGACCGCATGATGCCTGAGGTGGCTCCGCCAGCAACAGCCATCCCAGAACACTCGGATGTGTTTGAGAACGGCGACCAGACCAAGCCCAACTGCGACTTCCTGAAGGACCACTTCTTCCGCGAAGGCCGGCTGCGCGAGTCCGACGCACTGGCCATCCTGGAGGAGGCCACTGCAATCCTCAAGAGCGAGCCAACCCTGCTGACCCTGAGCTCGCCGGTGACGATCTGCGGCGACGTGCATGGGCAGTACTACGATCTGATGAAGCTGTTTGAGGTGGGCGGCGACCCGGCGACCACGCAGTACCTGTTCCTGGGGGACTACGTCGACCGCGGGTACTTTTCGATAGAGTGCCTGCTGTACCTGTACTCGCTCAAGATCCGGCACCCGGCGTCGTTCTTTATGCTGCGCGGCAACCACGAGTGCCAGCACCTGACGGACTACTTTACGTTCAAGCTGGAGTGCACGCACAAGTACTCGGAGCGGGTGTATGAGGCAGCGCTGGGGTCGTTCTGCGCGCTACCGCTGGCGGCGGTGGTCAACAAGCAGTTCCTGTGCATCCACGGCGGGCTGAGTCCCGAGCTGCACACGCTGGACGACCTGCGGCAGCTGGACCGGTTCCGCGAGCCGCCGACGCACGGGCTGATGTGCGACCTGCTGTGGGCCGACCCGGTCGAGGACTTTGGGCACGAGAAGAACAAGAGCTACTTTATCCACAACTTTGCGCGCGGCTGCTCGTACTTTTTCAACTACGCGGCGGTGTGTGCATTCCTAGAGCGCAACAACCTGCTGTCGCTGGTGCGCGCGCACGAGGCGCAGGACGCCGGATACCGCATGTACCGCAAGAGCAAGACCACGGGGTTCCCTGCGGTCATCACGCTGTTCTCGGCGCCAAACTACCTCGACGTGTACAACAACAAGGCGGCGGTGCTGAAGTACGAGAACAACGTCATGAACATCCGCCAGTTCAACAGCTCGGCGCACCCGTACTGGCTGCCCAACTTCATGGATGTGTTTACGTGGTCGCTGCCGTTTGTCGGCGAGAAGGTCACGGACATGCTGCTGGCGATTCTCGACATCTGCACCAAGGACGAGCTGGAGGAGAGCGCGACGGACCTGCAGCAGGTGCTGGCGGAGGCGCAGAGCACGGAGCACGAGCAGCGGCGCGCGGCAATCCGCAAGAAGATCCTGGCGGTCGGCAAAGATGGCGCGGATCTTCCATGTCCTCCGGTCGGAAGCCGAGACGATCAACGAGCTCAAGGGGCTGCTGGGCACGCAGCGGCTCCCGGCAGGCCAGCTGTCGGCTGGTGGACGCGGACTGCGGCAAGCGGTGATGTCGTTTGAGGAAGCCAAGCGCTACGACCGCGACAACGAGAAGCTGCCGCCGCTGCGCAGGCAGGCATCGGCCGAACAGCGTGTTGGCGATGCGCTAATGCAGGCAGTCACCGACGAGCAGGCTGCATATGAGGCTGCAGAGAAGGAATATGGCCCATTAGTGGCCCTGGGCGAACACTTAGACCAACACACGCGCAATATGGCCAAGGATCGTGGGGCATATCCAGTTCTAAACCCCTATATTTTCGAATGTACAGCTATGTAAACGCGTATTTAATCGTCGACATCTCGTGTATTTAGTGAACGGGTGTTAGGAAAATGTTATAAACAGGGTCAGAAGAGGTCCATTAAAATAGGTGAAGCGCGTGGTTGAATGACTTTACACTGCCTTGGCAGTCGCAGGTACAACAGGTTTGATCTCAGACCTTGGTGGTATCAGTGGCCTCAGAGGCTACCCCAGCCTCAGCGGTTTCCGCAATCTTCTCAAGGCTAACGCCAGTAGAACCAAATCCGCCAGCACCCCGATCTGTCTCCTCAAGCTCTTCCTCCGCCACCTCGAAGACCTCAGGCGTGCTGATTTTCTCAAGAATCAGCTGCGCAATTCCGGTCGCCCTTCTTGATCTCGAAGTCCACTTCGCCGTGATTGAACAGAATAACCTTGATAGTGCCACGGTAGTCCTGCGTCAACAACGCCGGCGCCCGTGTCAATACCGTGCTTGAAGGCCAGCCCGGAGCGAGGTGCTATGCGCGCGTATGTATCAGTGGGGATTGCAACAACGATGCCGGTCTCTACTGCTTCACGCCCACCCTTGGCCGGAATATGCGTGTCTACAGACGCGTACAGATCGTAGCCCGCAGCATACGGCGATCCGCGCGTCGGGAGGTGAGCATCGGCGCTCTTGCGGAACACACGGAGGCCATGGACGCTGGTGAGAGCTTTACAGATCTTCTTAACTGCAGGCATAATGAGTGAAAGGTTTGGCGATAAAATAAGGCTGAGAAGAAACTATTCGAGATAGGCAAGACAAGAAAGGAGAAAGAGGCAGAATCAGACCGCTCCTTTTATATCCAGTCGCGTAGCAGCTCCGGCTACACTGCACCAGTGCTTGGCCAATTAGCCCATGCTGGCGGAGACGCGCTTGGAGAATTCCACGCGTTTTTCAAGAAGCACAGCGTCGGCTGATGATTGGGTGGCCAGCAGATCAGGAAGACCGCAATTAAACCTGGTGATCTATCAGTGCTATGCGATTCCTAGATCTGTGTTTCCTCATGACACTCGGAGCTTCCGTGCTTGGCAGATGTAGCCTCCGTTGAGTTCCGCCGGGCTGAAAACGGCCAGATGAAAAGCACCGTCTTTGTAACTCGAGAAGCAGCGAGATAAGGACGAACAGCATAATTCTCCGCCACCGTCCCACAGTGCCGACCAGCGCTCACCAGTGAGATTTGCCAGCAAGGTGCTGTTTTGCGAATGGGGCGCTGTTGTGGTGATCGGACCACACCATCTCTGCCATTTGTCGTCGAGGACGAAGGCCAAACAGGCCGTCGCCCTGGTGGTCCCCATGGCCGGACGGTGATGTGAATCGCATGGCATTTTCTGCTCTTTTTGTATTAACCTGACAACTCGTGCTGCTGAGAGGAGGGAAGGGGAAGGGCCATAGGAAAGTGCGCATCCCCACATCTTTTTCCCCTCCTTTCTTCATTCTCAGGATTATTTGTAATACTCTGTGCCACTATTTACCGCCACCTAACGAGCAAGCGCGCCGGAAACCTATCTCTAGCAACAAACCGGAGTCTATAGGCAATAGGCATGGAAGAGCCTTACACACCGACACGACGCTCCCGGCCACCCGCCAGCGGCAATTCGCAAAAGCACACGCCCATTTCGAAAGTTCTCAACCAGACCGATACGCACAGCACACCCACGCGGCCATCAGGCGGTGTCCCGCAGTCACCGTTCAGCTCACCGGCAATACGGCAGCTAGGTACCGATGCGCTGCGGGAGCGGCTCAAGGAAGCGTATGGGCTGCTGAAGGAAAAGGAGCGCAATCTGTTTCTTGCAGCGACCGTTGGCCAGGAGCTGGTGGACGCAAACCAGCAACTGCAGGACGACTATGACCGGTTGCAGGCAGAGCTGGAAACCATGCGAGCAAAGCTGGCCAGCCAAAAGCCGACGAATACTGACGATCCACAACTTTCCAGTAATGGTGGATCGACCGCTTCTGGCAGTGGTTCGCAGGATGTTAGTCAGTTGCACGGACAGCAGCACAGCATGGCGGCACAGCAGACAGACGATTCACATGATCCAGTAGAAACAAGCTCAGAGTAATCCACAGGGATGTCCAGCAGCAGCAGCTCGAGAGGCAATGGGTGAAGACGCATGTCAAGCCGCTGAAGGCACAGCTGGATTTGGCTCGGGAACGCACTGACGAGCTGTTGGCTGAGCGCGAGGAGCTGGCTGCGCAAGTATACACGCTGAAACAGGGTCAGGCAGCCATGATGCGGCGAGCAACCGAGGCCTCAGCAGCCTCCGAGACCCTTGCAGCACAGCGTTGATATGCTGGAGGAAGACAGGGCTGATTTGCGAAAGGAGCTCGAAGCCCAGCGTACACTATGGGCCAAGCGCTTTGAAGACCACCAGAAGGAATACCAGGCAGGCAGAATGGACGCGAACTATGCAGAGCATCTCGCCGACCAACATGCAGCGGATGCCGCTGCCCGGTTGCAAGCTGAGCAACATGCTGCGGATATGGAGGATAAATATAACGCAGCACTGCGCGAGTGCGGCTTGCTGCGTTCAGAGTTGGCCAAGCAACAAGAGACCGAGAAGACATTCTGGCAGCCGCTACGTATGCAATGGCTAGCGGGGCAAGAGGAGATCCAGGACTTGCAAGAGTCTTACCAGGCTGCGTGCAATGCGTTGGCGCAGGCCGAGGTGCGGCTCTCTGAACTTGGACAAGAGCACCATCAGCGATCCATTACAGCCGTGCACAGAGAAAGCGACAACCAGCCTGCTAGGTGAGCTCGATCCTGGAACGCCACCGGGCGGTAGCTGAGCAGCAGGAGCTGTACAAGGAGCATTCGCAGCTGAAGCGCGCCTACGTGCGCACCCTGGGCGCCCAGTCTCGCATGAAGCAGCAGGTTGCACGACTCTCCCAGCTCGCTGCCTCAGGAGCGTCCGAGGCCCGCATGCGCCGGCTCGAGGCAGCCCTGGGCGAGGCCGAGTGTCAGCGCCAGGCCATGGCATGGGCCAACATGGCATCGCCACAGCAGCAGCAGCAGCAGGCTGACGATTTGGCAGATACACCGGCCGACGGCACTGTGCTGGTAGCTACACTGCGCACCAAACTCAGGCGAGTTGCAGGTGACCGTGACCAGGCACTGCGCGAACTGCGAACTGCGCATTTGCTGCGTGCAAACGAAATACAGCGCACACGTGAGCTTGAGCGCGAGGTTATTGATACCGAAAATAGGCTGCGTCGTGCCTGGGGCTGATATAGCAGCGCTGAAGGCGCAGTTTGAGACGCTGAAGCGCTCGACAAGGGAAGCAAAGAATCCCTCGCATGACTCAATACCCAACGAACCACTGATGGCTAGCATGCAGATTGCACCACCACACTCGAAGCCCAAGATGCCAGAGAAGGCGCAGCCACCGCGCAAGCGCACGCCGACCAGGAATCCGGCTACCAGCAAGTCTGAAGCACCGACCGAAGAAGTTAGGAAGCCGGGCCCGATGAGCCTGGCTTTTGTCATCAACAGCGAGAACAGCAGTAGGCAGCACCAGCAGCACCAGCACCAGCAGGATAACGTTTCTGGCACTGCAGCAGTCAATGCAGCCGATACTACACCGCGCAAACCTAGTCGAGTCTGTGAATCGCAAACGCTCAGTCAGTGGCTCACCAGCGGGTGCACAGAGCCCCAAGATGTTTGGGAATCGGCCATCCGATTTTACTGGACTCTCACTTACCACATCCACAAGTCGATACCACATCTTCTGAGAGCCCAACACTATCCTTTTTAGACATGCGCACGCTGGCGGGCCGCGGCATGCGCTCTTGCTGCAAGTCGCTAGCAAGCGCTGCCAAATCGGTAGGACTTTGCAGTGGTACAGCCAAAGTCACCACTACAGCCTCGTCGGATTCTACATCATCAGACCCTTCACCAGCTAGTCCCCCGACTAAGCGGCCGCGCAAGAACGGCGATACTAATGTTGAAGAAATACTCACATTCTCACACCTGAATAAGCAGAAGCCGACAGAGTGTGCCAACCAATAGTCATATGTATCCATCTTCCAGTCTGTATGTAATTACACTTTTCAATACTTGTTGAATGTGCTGCTATATTATCATCGCTACGAGTTGTTGTATTACTCAAAGCGTCCAAACAATACGATGCACCTATTCCAATGTGGGGATCATACTACGACAGCAGTATTGCCAATGATGATACAACTAAGGCTGCACAAGCATATGCTGCACTATATACTCCAACATTTCTCTTAGCTGATAGCACACCATCATTTGTTGTCACAATAACCACCGGGAACCCTACCGAGTTTGTGCTGGTGATATAGTGGCCATCCCCGCTGCCCGTGCTCGGTGAGTTGTACAGCGTTGTGTGGTATGTGGAATACGATGTCTGGTATATTGTCGTCAGGAACACCGTACTAACACTGTATATAACAACAGCGGTTCCTGGTGGCGTTGCTTTATACTGGGTACTCTCGGGTGGGACTGAGGCTGGGTTGTCCGGGTACACCGTCACTGTTGTTACACCGTAGACTGTGGTGGTGCTGCTTATCACGACCGGAACCACCTCGCTAGCACCTTTGAGTGGGATATACAGGGTCTGCACTGCACTGCACAGCATGCAGCAACAGCGCCACAACAATAGGGCATAGAGCAGCAGCCTGCAGAGCATAGAATAGAGGAACATAATGGATGGTTGCCTTTGTGGTTTCTCTGGCTAGGAATATGCCACCTGGAGTATTTTCTAATGCGAATACCAACCGAACAAGACGAGAATAGTGAATATGAAGGTTGCGAAGAGAGTGAAGGCTTGGTTGTGATCATGCAACCAAGGCGGGAAAGACACGAGGCGAGACGCTTTGGCTACCAGGTGGGGGTGCTCCTGCAGTGCGGATGGGGATGCTCGGTCACTTGATATCGCGCACAATTCACGGGCGCACCGTCGCCTGCCCTCACCTTGCTGGTCAGGCGGCAGTACGTGTGATTGAAGATGTGTGCGAGGCGCGCTTGGCGTGTATTCTGGGTGCACCGACACGAGGATTACGTTCACACATTATGTGGTTTTCTGGCCATTGTCTGATCCGAGCTCATGCTATCTCGGTCCATTTTGGCCAGGCAAGCAGTAGAATGAGCTGCACCGAAGAGCTTCGGTGTTTGCCAGGTACTGTCCGCTTATTTCCCGACCGTTCCTTGTGCGGGTTCAGCGGTTATTGATAGTTCAGGATTGACTACGAACAAGACCCCTCCTTGCTCGGGAACACAGCGCAGGGATGTGCCCCTTCTTTCGCAGAATGGCGCCAATCCATTGTTTGTCTTTGCATGGCCTGGGTGCTTTGGGCTCGGCCTCGCAGCAGAGATAAACAGCACACATTTGCCTCGCTTCCATTCGCACTGTATCCTTGCTTTGGGAGCGGCTGGCAAGCTCACGTTTTACTATTGCGTAAATAGCATGCAACATGTCGCACAGTTGATGCATTTTGAATTTATTTTCGTCTTTTCAGCAATGGCAAATCCGCCCATTTGGTGCAGAAAACATGCCGCTTCGGCAGCAACCGTCAAAGCGCACCCACTATCTTATTGCCCGCTTCATTGCACTGCAGTTCATTTCCTTCAAAGCCTTTGAAGCACAAACTGGGTGTAGAGGGCTGCGGAGGAGCATTTCCACACTTCATTATATATGCTGCCCATGTGCAGAACATCCTGCGCTTTCGAAAGCGGGAATATGCCAAAATAAAAGCCTGCCTACTGTGTAATTGGCAGCCCTAGATTGCCAGGGCGACCTCGGATATTTTTCACCTGCCGCACGCCTACCACATCCCATCTAAGGTACCATGACAATGGATGTACATCCTGGGCAGCCGCATGGAGGTAAGACATTGCATCCAGGCGCATCCCGTGCGGCAAAGGCTGTCAGTTATGTCGTCCAATAGGCTGTGCTGAGAATGCTGCAGTCATATAATTTGCCCAGTGTAGCCAAGGGCATGGGTATCATGACACGCCGAGGAAATCGGAAACCGGGGGCTTCTTTCAATTTCTGTATGATCTGTCTTGTACAAAAGACAGGTAAGCAATAGCCGCTGCTTTCCGGCTTCGATAATTGACAACAAAATATATGCAGCTTTCAAGTGCCTGCTGCCATCCTTATATGCACAGGAGGCATCGTGGCCACGCACATTTAAGCATGCAACAGCCCAGCCTGATGTGGCATGTGCGCCTACTCTGCGCTGGATGCTCTGGTTGCTCCCCAGCATTCCCTTCGATAAGTTCATCCAATTGGTGCATGGGGATGTGTGCCGAGAAATGAATTGACCATTAAGCATCGACTGCTGCGCGCTTGCCGCCTGTGCCGCCATGTCACCAGTCCAGCCAGCTCCTCTCCGGGATGGCAGGAAGGTGTTCTGGCTGGGATTGCCATTGATTTCTCTGGTGCGTCATGAGACTACCGTACTCGATTTGCCTCGCGCCTCGTTCCCTTGCCTCCCTGCCTTCGCCAGCTCAAAGAGAGGCGGGCGTTCCGTGCGAATTGGGCAACCGGTGCGGTGATCACTGCGATGGCGGGTCCACTTGTCAGAAGGCAACAGGATATTAATTTGCAGTGACATTGGCTATGCAGTTCGGGCAGAAAATCCCTCGTAGAAGCTCCTCTGCCTTCTTGGCTGATGTCCGGTCTGTTTGTCTGGACTGTGAAGGCGAAGCCGAACTAATGCACGGTCTGGCTAGAGCAGGAACACAGGCCACAGTCTAGCGGAAAGGCCCTTGGGTCGAACAGAATGCACAGGCGAGGCAGATACAGCGGCAGAAAGGGGCGGCCGTTTGGACCGGCAGACCTTTCTTTATGTTTGCCTTTATTGAGGCCAATCGAATTGTTTGTTCCTTGTTGACGCAGCCGCCCATCCCCAGCTGACAGGGCTATCCAAAAACACATCCTCTCCTGGTACCCTGTTCAACCTTCTCTGAATGGGCCACATGTGTGGTGTGGCCCGCATATGTTCCCGCCGCCGCGGCCAGCTTGTTTTCTGTTCATCCTGTTTAAACCGAAAAACAAAAAAGCCCTTAAAGCCTTATATTGCCGCTTTTTTATGCAAGTAGCCAGTGCCGATTTTTCTTATCCCCTCGCTCTTCGCACGAGATTCATTCTTTAACCCAGCAGTTCGCACTTGCCTTTCTGTTCCGCTCCTCCAATTCTTACTGATACCTTTATCCTCCTCTTTCGCTTATTGCCACTATTCGCCAAAACGAACAGGACTACTATTGCGGTTGAACGCGTACCTCTATTTACTGCATTTTCAGGCCATTCTAAAGAAGGGGACCGCCATCTAGGAGCAAGACCGATTAGATAATTATTTGTGCACCAGGGTTTCCGTTTACATCACACGCTAATGAGCTCGCATCAGTACACCCAGATGGTTCCGGTCGAGTTTCCGCAATCGGAACAGGACTTCCGCCGAAACCCACCGCCACACCAGGCTGGCGCTACATACAAACGCCAAATATACATGGTGAGGTCCGACAAGCTTGTTATAACAATTCCAGCCTCAACTCCAATCCCTCCAAACAGTGGGGTGCTTGCTGTGGTGTTTCTCCCGCCCACAAGAGACGATTCCGCTGAAGGACATATACCCAGCCAATCGGGAATCTGACCTGTCTGCATCCCCGATGGTGAGTCGCAAGCCACTATGCTCCTGCCAGCTCACGACACCCAGGGATGACGAGTCCAATTGAGCAAAACCAGGTTCGATCATGGATGGCCCGATGCAGCGTAAGCGGTCCAAGGACTCGCCAGGTAGACAACTACCATGGCCAGCAACAGCAGCAACAGCAGCAACAGAGTAGCCGGCGGCGGCTTGCAATGCTCGACATATCGTCGCGGCCAATACATGAGGGCAGCGAGCTACATTTCGATGATGCTGCGTACAATCCAAGCACAAATGGACGATGAAACGCATGACGATGACACATACGCACACGATGGCGACGACCTTCCGGTGGTTACCATTATGGACGAGACTGGGGCTGCATCGACCTCAATGACTGCTGCCAGCCCATATCTTATGCATGCATCTACAGTCATCGAGGATGACGTTCCGAAGCCCAAGAAACCACGCAACTCGTTCTTCTACTTCCGCCGCAGCTATCACAAGTCAACCAATGCCTCTGGAAATCGCATGCGAGCCAAAAATATATCTGGTGCGGCGGGAAAGATCTGGAAAGACATGTCCGAGGAGGACAAGGCTCAGTACAAGGAGCTAGCAGCCGAGGATACAAAGCGGTACAAGCAAGAGATGGTAGACTACAAGGAGAGCTTGAAGGCATATAAGAAGCAAACCCGGATCCGCGAGAAAGAGGCTGTTGGGGCATCCTCTGGACATGGGGACGCTGCCACGATCACCGCTGATAGGCAGCAGACTTGGCGGACCAGCCAGCGGCTCTCGTTTCCATGCGGTTACTGTAGTCCCGGCAATCCAATCTTTGAGAAAGAGACGCCGATCCAGCATAGCCGAGCAGCCATCCCCTTATGTGTCTGAAGGCAAAAGCTTGCCAAGCAGCAGCCCACCAATGACTTCACAGAGTAACACGGCACCCTCATCTCGCCAGCCGCTGGTGTTCTCTTTCAATGGCGAGGGCATGGGCTCGGGCATAGACACAATCACATTTCCACCACAATCGCCGCCCCGGCAAATGCTGCAGCAGCAGCAGCAGCAGCAACAGCCGGCCCAATGGAGCAATCTCAATGAGCTGCTGGCAGGAATGGGTCCACCAGTGAGCCACCCAAGTGTGCTCGACAGCAGCGCTTTCATGGCCGCGCTGGGCGACCCAGATGGGGGCAGCAGTTCCAGCCAGCACCCAGCCACTGAGCACCACCTAGGCGTGGGCACATCCGCTCCTCCTACACCCGCTATACGGACGAGAGACCGCAGCTCCGCCAGCAGCCAGGCCCAAAGGCATACTGGAACCGTCGTCAACAGCATGATTAGCATCCACCCATCGATCCCAGACATCGAAGTCATTGACGCCTCAAACTCCATCAGCCTCCGAAAATACTCGGTAAAGCAGCGCAAGTAGCAGAGTTGACCGTCGGCACAGTCCCAGCGTCTCGCCGGCGCCCAAAAAAGTAAGCACCTAATTATTTATTTATTTATTTATTTTCAAGCACTGTTGTAGACTTTTCATTTCCAAAGAGCGCAGTTAGCTCTTGTACCGCGTGTAAAAACAATAGTTTTTTGCAGAATAGCAGCTGTGGGCACGCTCGAGATTGTGCAATTGTAAAAATATACAGCCTTTTTGCGTTCTTATTATCCCAATGTTCTCTATTTTGGCTGCTATGTCCGCATGTCACCATGTGTAGAAATGTAGCCACTTGCCTGTAATTGCACAATTGTAAATATGTGCTGCTGAATTGTATACGGATCCCATCTGTCCACAATAGCACAATTGCGCTACATTCGCTGTGGTGCAACGACATGTGTAGCGACTGCTAAGAGAGCAAGCTGTAGAAGATTAATCCTCTAACCTGACATTCCCTGGCAGAGCCCATGGCTGGTATGCCTTAGAAGCTGTTAGAAACAGCTGACACCTGGCGGAGATGCTTTTTTTGCGCAATACTCCAGTGTGGGCTTCATCTGCGCTGCCTTTCCCTGGACAAGCTTACCAAATAAAACGGCCAGTCAGCTAATAAAGCCCAGATTCCTGGACCAGTCGACAGTTGCACGCCAATATGCGAGCCTCAGTAGCACCTACAGCTGTGCGCTTCTCGAGGTAATGGGCGTTGCAGCACAAATCAGCAACAGTCATACAAACACAAGATGGGGATTTCCCGCCGTACCGCCTACTGGGGATGCTCGCCATAGCAGATGAATGCACTTCCTCACAATTGTACAAGCGTCTGAAAATCAGCTCTATACCAGCGTGCCAGCTACAATTGTAATTTTAAAGTCCGCCAAAATAGGGCAAGGGGGCAGAATGTGCGACAGAAACGTAGGCGCAGAAATTCAGCCGGCGTAAATTGAGCCATTTACAATTGCTTAAGGCTTCCAATTGTAGAATAGGCGCAAGCTCCTATACCAGCAGGACGTGCTACTCCCTCTTGGCAGGAAAATTGCGCTACATAACATGATGTTTCTGGCAGCTACGCAGTTCTGGCAGCTCTCCTTTTTGTTTTCTCCTCTGCTCTGTTTCTTTTCATTTTGTCATCTTTTCATATCCTTTTGCTTGTGCACTCGGGTTGCTGTGCTTGCTGGCTGGTGCATGCCCTGCTTGTATATTTTCTAGTTCCACCTACCTCACTTCTGCTGTTTCTTTGTCTCCATAGCCAATTGGCACGCAATCACCGTCAGGCGTCTGTGATGCTCATGTATAATATACGTGCATGGGCGTGTTGAGCGAATGGCGAGGTAAAGGCTGCCTGTTTCTACACCCTGTTCCCTCCACTCCCACCCCCACACATTCTTTGCTTCCGATATCTCATATCCCAATGCTCTATATGCTTACCACGCATTTTGCTTTTTTTTTTATGGCATCGACTCCCGTTTGACTTCTGTTATTCTCCATTTCATATTCATTTACGCATCATCGCCAGACATGAAATGTTTATGCAGTAACTCTGGCCGCATTCACGGTTGAGTTCATGGCTGCTGCACAGGGCATGGCCGATGCTGAGATCACTGAATCATCGCTGTACGATCAGCGCCTGCCATGCGGCAGTCAGAAGGTAAGCTATCGCCGCCCAGCCTTGGTGTTTTTGTTGCAGTCTTTCACACTTTGCCCACATGCATGCCCTCCCCCATTTATGCTTGTGCCGTCCGCCTCCTTCCACCCACTCTCCCTCCTCAATCTGCACAGTTTGCCTCACATGATACCCATGGGGTACGTCCGCTGCTGTCCAGAGAGAAACGGGGGATATTGCTAATGATCCCCAACTCTTGCCGAGCTTCGCAAAATTTCTGTATCGGCATATTGGAGATGTTCGCCGAGACAGCCATGTGTGGACGTCCAGCACCTGCACTGCGGCAGCAAATCCATTCACCCTGTCCCTTTTTGCCTGATTTCCCATGCCGAGATGGCCCAATCGCGCTCCTACATCTATGGGTTCCTGAAAGGAAGTGCAGCACAGCCTTCACTTCGTGAACCCGGGCTAGCCTGACATGCTTCATGTAGCATAGCATTGTGCCGCAAAATCCTATTTTTGGTGACGGTGTTGCGTTCATGGGTCCAGAATGGCACTACGGACCTTCCAGTATTGCGCTGGAAGATAGCTGGGACATAATGGCCATACTTCAACTCACATTCCTATTGAGGCAAATCATCACACGCCGAGCGGAACCAACCCAACAGCCGCCGTGTACCTGCTTTAGGTACCTCCACGCCTTGTATGTGCACAAAAGAAGCTGCAGAGTCTGAACGACACCTGATAATGCCATGCGAGAATTGCTATACTGCTCTGTGCTGTGTTGCGACACATTCTAACCCCATGGGTATGCAGCATGCTCCGCTTGATCATGGCACCTCAGCAGCATGCCTGAGGGATTGGTTGTGGGCATAGTAAATCGTTGCATCACCAGGATCTTTCGCGCATGCCTCAGATGCCACACGCCACCAACACCATATCCGCAAAGTGACACGCATTGCTGCAAAAATTCACAATTGCCCTTGTCTTTTCCAGAATGTCACTGGTCACTGGGGTGGCTGTATTGATACCTGTGTCCGTTGGTGCTTGAGCAGCGGGGTGGATGAGCGTATGCGAAACATGCAATGCAAGGATGGTCATTGCATCAGACATGCTGCTGATGTTTCTGGTTGCTGTTTTTGCTCGGCGAATGCGGGCGACACAGGCAACAATGGTGCGAGCTGCAGCCGGAAAATACCTAGAATGTCCTATTTGTGCCCCAAGCCAGGCAATGGATTGCTTTCGACCAGCTTGGAGACGAGTACCACTTGCACAATCCGCTGACGACCCACAGACACTGCAATTAAACAGTAGACATTGGTTTCCTCTAATAGGACCGACGGCGCAATTTGGAAAGCAGATTCGAATGTGGATCCCAAGTGCGAGTACCTGTTTGAGATGCAGTTCTATACCTTGTGGATCATGGAGGCAGATTACAGAAACCCGATCTGCTGTAGGCTGTGTCTCATCGACGGCAAGGCCTGGTTGAGGATGGGGAGTGAATTCGTACATCGGCATGGAGTAGTATCTGCATTGAGTATTGCACGATTCACCCGCTGCTTCCGACACCTTCCTGATGGGGCAGCGTGCTTCTCGAATGCATTGGCACAAGGCTTAGCAATGATTGCATTGGTGTTGAGTGGCGGACCGACATGGAGTGGCAGTATAACAATAACCAATGCATTGCGGGCTGTAGCATGCTTCGGGGGTGTATTCATCACCAGAGCCGTCAGGGACAAGCAGGCGAATGGGAGAATTGCCAACCCCACGTATAAGGCAAGTAGATTCGCTTCAGCGATCTTGCCCACGTCGCATTGAGCAGAGATGATTGTCTTGCCGATTTTTGTTAGCCTCACACACACACACACGAATCGGCAAATCTTTGCATGGGTCCCGCGTCAGCGTGCGGGTAGGGGCGGACTACGAGTCTGTGAACGCGGTTGTTGTGAATTCCGTGTTGGTGCTGTTGCTGGGTAGGTATTTGCTGAGATCCCGACGCGACTCGCATGTCGGGGCCCTATTGTACCATCTGTATTTGTTTTATTCGCACAATAGCCCCTTGCGCACCGCAAAGGTTGTGGTATAATAGCGGTTAAATGGAAGGGAGCGTGTTATTGTGGCCCATTGTAGCGGTTATGGCCTGGTTCATGTTCGCATTCCATGTCCAATTTTTAGCCGTCTCACATCCCTTATTTGCAGCACGCCAGCTCCTGATGCAGCGTTCTAAAAAAACAAAAACGTTTTTTTAGAAATTTTCTTACAGGCTGGCACGGTAGATCTTGAGACCAAAGAATACATTTGTGCATTTGCAAAAATAAAACGTGGTCTCAACAGGCCTTTCGCTCTGCAAACTCTGCAAGCGCCGTATATTGCGTGCAGCTGAAATGTGTCATTTATTGCTATGTCTCTACAACTTGCTCATTGTTCATCCGAGACAGGTGCCGGTTCAGCTAGCGGCACTGGCTATCAGCGGCAGATGATTGTTCAAGGACGGGCAAACTTACCTGTACCTGGTGGCCCCTGATAGTTGCCCAGAGGACACTCCCTTGCACGATTCTACAATTGCACGTTTGAATCCGACACAGGGATTTGGGCCGCGACAAATGTCGAAAGCCAACTGTGATTGGCTAGACACGGGTAAACTTGCACTGGAGCTGGTTGCTCCTGATAGCAGTCCAACAAGTGCGCCTTTCTACAATTTTCTTTCCCTGCCAAAGGATGTTCAGGTAGGCAGCAGCAATCGCCCTCTCAGTTCTTAGGAAACCTTACGCGAGCGGGCTGTCAATCTGTGAATCAGCACGTTTTTTATTTTCCACACGGAGGCGAGCGCGGAACATAATACTGGACGGCTTCGATGGGCTGAAGCGAGGATCCGCTCTGTGTAGCCAATCCTTGGCAATGAAAATACAGACTGCTGGACACTACGCAAAAAGGGTGCAAGGTAGATTTGGGCAGAGAAACGTTACATGTACTCTTATGCTTGTGCATGGCAGCGAAGGATGCCCAACGGTGGATTGCGGAATAAAGGGGTATGGAGTTTGGGCAGCAGCTGGCCCGAGTCGGAAGAGCCGCCCAAGTATACACGGGGAGACGCGATTATTGCGGGTGTAATAGTTTCCTGCAGGTAGCCAGGCTTGAGCATGAAACTTGCATGCGCGCTGTTCCTGCCCATCTCACTGACATGCCGAGGAGGCGGAGATCAAAAACGACGGCTGTTGCTGGAGGTAGCGCCCGACCTTTTTATTCGCACCAAAGCGATGCTGCGGCTCCTATTCGTTTCCTGCGCTGTCCGTACACTCCTTTGGTGTACAATTTCCTGGTACACTTTTTATATCACCAGCCTTGCCGTTCTGCACCTGCTCGTATCCGAATATAAGCGTGACATGCACCTTTCCAGTCCTATCGCTCAGCCATTGGATAGTACCCCACGACGATTCTCTGCTGTAAATGTCTGTGCGTTCTTGCAAAATCAGCCACGCTATACACATGTGCCCATTGCCCATGCCTGACAGTTTTATGTGGTGCGGGGGCAAAAGCATCGGGAGAAACGGCTGATTTATTCGCACCTATCTGAGCGGAAGTATTCGGGATCTTTCTGCACACAACAAATTCTTTTTGTTGGCATGTAACGGGGTGAGGATGTGTATGCGGCGTAATATGAGCTGACCGGTGGCAGGGAGAAAGCAGTGCAGCGGGCTAGAGGCAGGGATGGAGTAGTGTATTGGCCTAAGAGACAGGCGGTCTTTATCTGCCCTCGCTTGTGTACCTGAGGCGTGCGGATACAGAAGAATATGGCAGTGACAAACGTACGGACCCAATCCCGTACACAATCGACCTCTATGCATCTGCGAATTGAACGTACATGGCTAGAAAAACATCTGATTCGCTGGCCAGCATTTTTTATTTTTCTCCTTTGCTGGACCAGGTCATCCCGCATGGAAAAGGACCCGCGGCGACAGCGAAGCTGGCTAATAGGTGGGATTGAAGAGATGCATATGCGATGCTGTGTACTCACGAGGACGGCATGTTTGGATGCCCCCTTCTGCGGAAGCCAGGGCGGAGCATATGGCTTCCTTTTTCGTGTGTATGCTGACGGCATGGGCAATTGGGAAAACAGGTTGCCGGTCGATGATGTGCATGTATTCAAGCACCCTTCTGCCGCTGTTGTGGTCAGCCAGCAACCTGGTTGCTGGCACCGATAGAGGAATTTTCAGCACTTTGGGGAGTCCATTCGTCAACGGGCTTTCGCAGCCGGCGACTACACCACAGTTCCACGCTGTTTTGCGTCTTGCAGGTTGCTGGTGTGGCATGTGTCGATCGGCATTGGACATGGGGAGGAGCAAGGGCATTACAGATATATTAACTGGAATGCAGATGGCGTACATTGTTGGCACCGGCGTAGGGGTTCGCGGACTTTTGGCACTAAAAGCCGCAGCTCAGCGCCGAAGGATGCGTTGGCTGCATATCGCTTCAGCAGAGCATACGGAGTTAATTGAACAGCTTGGCCAAGACCGAGGCGAGTTCGCAGTCTTCGTATCAGCACCCCTATGCCTGGGCTGGCATCACAGGCTTGATGTTTGTGGGGCTGCGATGATCCGCCGCCAGGCAGCTGGTGGAGAGTGTGACCGCTCAAAAAGATAGCGGACATGCGAGCCGTGTGCCGTGCTGACTGCAAAGGCTCCCTGTCGCTACTTTTCCGATGGCAATTCGCCAGCCGCACCTCGGCAGGCTCTTGCTAGTACAGCCGAGTCGTGTATGTGGCGGCCGCGCACATTTGGTATTGTCTGCTGGGCAGCCCTCATTGTCCGCCATGCACCTGAACCGAGTCGAAATCCAGGGCAATTGGATAAGTATAGGCATCAACAAGCTTCTCTAGCCACACGGAATATATGGGTAGGGCGATTGCCACCTTTCTGGGCAGGAGTGTGGTGTGGCATGTAGCCTGTTGTTTTATCCAATAGGATCCGCCACCTGTTGGTGTTGACACAGCACGGCTCCACCCCTGGTGGTTAGTGCCAAGTATCTGTCCTGGACACAGGGTCCATATCTCCTTGTGCACCATGTGGTCACCATCGCCATTTACTGAATCCGACGTATTGTTATTCCTTCTGAAGGAAAACTTGCCGCGCCGCCTATCCCATCTATTTTCCAGTTGCACATCCTCCCAAACCCATGTATCCAGCTGTGATTTCCTGGCGGCCAGATGACCCCCCTTGTGCCGTTCAGAGTTCACACACACATGGGCAGAACAATACACCTGCTGATACAATCCCCTTGCGAGGCACTGCCTTGGCGAAGCAGCGAGCAATGGACAGGACGAGGCTTAAAATAGAGCGGTCCTTGATTGCCAATGTTTGGACGATGCGAGAATGCCGCATGTTGGCAAGTGCTCCAGGGGTGTTCTGCTCCGGAATCACGTTATCCATCACTCGGATCGGAATTATGGACAGCTCTGGCAGCAGATACACAGGCTTGCAAGCTGCTTGCTGATACTCCCTTTTATCCGTTCACACAGGCTGGTAATTGGTGATGCAGCCTGGCACACGAAGCCATGAGCCTACTGGACCGGGCGGGTCTCGGCTCTGTCCTTGCTGTCAAGAATGGGGAGCCCTGGGCGCGGATTGTTGTGGATTCGGGATTCAACACAGGTGAGGACGCTTGGTAGACGGCTCAGCATCCTGTCCCCAGTCCACAGCCCGATAGATTCGATTCGCCCTCCTGCGTTGCCGATGGGCAATCCGTAATTTAAGTGGGCTTGCCACAAGAACATGGTTCTAGCCATTATTGCCCTTCTATGGCAACGATCCGCAAGCGAGCAGTCTTTACGTTGCAAATCCCAGTGCGGGTAGGAGGCAGTATCCTCTCCCGCCTTTCCTTACTAATCGCAGTCCTGTGTTTATGTGTTCAAACACTGCCCACGTAGTTGGTTTGGTGTCTCATTCAGCCCTCTTGGCATTGGTGGACGCAGGCAGCATATAGTAATGCAAATCAAGACGGAGGTGTCCTTGGCCGGAGACAGGACGGGATGTTGTGCTCAAGTGACCAGGGTGCTCATCATGGAACATCATCTGTCGGTGGAAGGCGATAGGAGGGACTCGTTCATACTGCGTGATCCATTGGCGGGTCCGAGAACATTGTCGTACATATACACAACACCGGCAGCCAGGAAAGTAATATCTGTATGGAGCCGGCAATTTGCATACCGTGGTTTCCCCGACATCAGCCCTGACGTGATTTGCCTGTCGATGGCTTATTTCTGTTTGCAAGCACCGTGGTACAAAGCATTCTGTCCCCAGAAAAGCCTGCCCTTCTCGCAACGTGCCCTTCATTTGCAGTTGCGACGAATAAATGGTCGCGGCAGATTGCACATCAGGTCTATTGTGCAAGATTCTTTCCGAGGGGAACCGAGGGGAAGAGCAGTTTATTGTTTCACCAAGAGCAGGAAAATGAATAAAAGGGTCACTTTGCAGGTGAATACTCGTCAGATATGTGTGAGACTAGGGCAATATAGCCTATTGGGGATGTGGGCAAGTCTGCGTAAACACATAGTATAAAGGGTGCCGCTTCACCCTCACGCACGCCATCTTCCCTGAACCAAGGCAGTCCTGCCGGTACGATGTTCAGAGAACCAAATGCAATTATTGCCTGCCGAGCGAGCTCTCAATATCACCACACATGCTGTCACTAGCGCTTGTTTTGCAATCGCTGTCTCTGCTGGGATACCTGGACAGCGTCAAATGAGAATGAGTGCCGACGAGTGACAGGACCTGTCACAGCACGCCCAGCAGCACCTGCCCAACAGAGACGACAGCAGCACCGACACACCATGTCATCCCTGCCCTCTATTCGCCATCCCCTTCCTAGGAGCTCTAAGTCTGTTCAGGCGAATTCATGAATGAAGATACACACTTGCAAGAAGGGGTGGGGATCACAAACCCCGTACCTTGCCCCTACCAGTGCGGCGAACCTCCCCCTGCACCCTCTCCTGCACCCCCTTCGCGAAGTGTATGCGTGTCCATTCACAGTTGCCGCTCCTTTTCCCACTAGATTTGTATTCTTTGGGCCTCATCGCCTTTTTTTTTTGGCTGCTTGCCTGTTGCTCGCAGAGTTGACTGGGTGCCCTAAGCCATCTGCACGCGCTTTTTTGCATGTCTCTATAGCCTGCCTCCCTGCCACTTTTCCCTTTCTTTCTCCCCTCGCCAGCCCAGCCAGTCTTGGTGGCGACCTACGCAGGTATATATTAAACGCCAGGAAGCGTCCCTTGCACATCCACGGCCATTTTATTTTATTCCTTGTCCTCAGCAGAAGAGCAGCCTATCCTCCAACTCCAACTCGGTCTCTTTTACACTCTGAACAGTTATAATTGAGGCGAACAGCCCAAAAGCCTTTCACACCACTTTTTCCCCTCTGTTCTGGCTATAGTTTGCGTTACAGCCCCTGCCTACATCTCTGAATACTTCATAACAAACAGCCATATATATAGTTCGCTCTTATCTTTCAAACCACCTTGATATCCAGCCTTCATCGCCATTCATAGTTATCTTTCTAAACCCCTCTTTACATTTGCTGCCCGGCACTTGTGCTCTATAGCTTTGCCCAATCGATCAGCTTGCATTGTCAGCAAAAAAAGTCATAGCGGGCATATCTAGTTCTTTGCAGGCACCCCATTCCAGCATTTTCATTATTCTTGCAAACTCACTATCACGCCTCAGCTGGTGAACTGATACCCAAAAAACATATAAGCCAATGGCTCGCAACCAGGCCACACAGCCGAACTCGCAGCAGCGGTCAACAAGCACAGGCCAGCAGTCCTCAACCCCGAGGCGGCGTGAGCCATTAGCCCTGCTCAACATCGATGGCAAGCAGTTCCTCGAGATCCGCCAGGGATATTCGCCAATCATGGTGCCGTCTCACATGCTCGACACAGTGCGCACAGTGCTGTCGGAGCACCTGCGGCGGTATCTTAATGCCCAGCAACCACAGGTCAGCTCGCCTCCCCAGTCTCCGCCTCATATTGCCTCTACCCCTTCCCACTATGTGGCCACCAATCCGTCGGCCGAGGAGCACACAAGCCCTAGCTTGGCCATGGTGCCGCCACCGCCACCACAGAGCAGCGGGATGACCATGACTGCCCAGCCGCACACCCCGTCACCGCCCCTGGCTTTCCTTGCCGCTGAGCGCACCACTGCCCTCCAATAATATGGCTAATAGACGAGCCATCCAGCCTGGGTCCTGCGCCGCGGGTCGGTGTCTTCACACGAGGGCGAAGACATGGATGTCGCCAGCAACTTTGACGACGACAGCGAGGAGGAGGAGCTGAAAAAGCCCGCCAATGCCTTCATCCTGTACCGGGCAGCCAAGAACAAGGAGCTGCGCTCGAAAGAGCCGAAAGCTGAGCGTCGAAGTTGCCTCAACCATGATCAGCAAGTGCTGGCACAACGAGCAGGAAGCAGTCAGGAAGGAGTTCCAGGACAAGGCACAGGCAGCACGCTGACCGCTACTTTGCAAAGAAGAAGCGGATTCTAGCCCGCCAGAAGCTGCGCAAGGACCGCGAGGATGCCGCCTTGCTGGGAGCTTCCAAGACCCTGCCGCTTCAGCCGCGCCGCACGCCTTCGGGCTCGCAGTTTGCTAGCCAGTATGGTTGTTGCTGCGACCCGTGAAGCTGGCCAACAACGGAGGGATGCAGATGCCTGCAGCACTCGGCTTCATTCTCGTCGGAATTCAACATGGGTATGCAGCAGCAGCCGCCGCCACCGCTGCAGCAGCCGCAGCACTTTGGCTTGGAGCGTGCGATGACTCATCCAACACACTCTGACATGAGCAGCAGCCTGCTTACATCGTCTGTTGCTGACACCGCATCGCTTGTTACTGGCATAAGCTCGTCATCGTTGACACCAGGCATGGGCGCCATGGGCGCTAATGGCTTCAACCTGGGCTTGAATACCAACGGCAGCATGCTCAGCCCGATGGGCTTCAGCCAGACAATGGACCCCTCCTTGACCCACTTCAAGTCAAACTACCACAACGGGCTTGATAACCCCTTGGCCATGACCTCCGCCACTCTGACACCCACCCTCCAAAGCTCAGACCCGGTTACTGCCCCAGCCAGCTCGGCTTGGCCAATCCAGAATCCCCCCCTTGATGATGACTCGTGGACCATGATTAGCTCACTGATCCAGTCGTCGGGCGTCGACACAAATGCGCCTCTGGCCACCCCGTATGTCGAGGACCAGCGCACTCTCTAAAAATATCCCCTATATTATTACCCAGACTTCTTGGCATTTTCCTTTAGCAAAGCCAGTCACCCTATGTAACATATAAGCTTATCACCAATCTAAATGAAAAAGATACACGAGCCAATATTTCTGACAAGCGCAAAAAGGAATGGTGCATTTCCCATTCTATACCAAGGATACCGACAGCTGCGCCTGTACTCCTGTTGTGGCCTTGGCAATGCCAAAAGCAGCTACAGCCAACCGAATAGACTCGAACCGGTGACACATGCGCTGGCATTTGCTTGTATGCTATGTTGAATGGTATACATGTGAAAAAGTCGCAAAAGAAGACAGCATTCCAACCCTCGCTGGCACTGGATCCTGTGCGAATCCTTCTTCATGATCGACTCCCTGGTCCGGTTCCCCAGAGAGGCGGATATCGAGACCATCAGTCTGCTGGCGATGGCGATGGGAGCGCCTGCCTGCACCTCTGTCTCCCTGAATCTCGACAGTATGTGCTGCTGTAGGTCCCGCAACGCGTCAGAGTGATCGTGGTGCTGGGGATCCAATGTGTAGTGTATGGGCAGCGGAGAACGCAGCTTGCTGACATACCTAAAAATAAACCTGCCCAGTTGACAATCGCTTTGTAGATCCACAGGCGCATCTTTGTAGTCCCATTGCGCGCTACAAAGGAACACAGGGGGAGAGGGGGAAATTAACGAGCATGGCCCTGAACAGAACAATTTCTCATCCTTTGGAACCAGAAAAAAAGGCACACTTGAACTGCCAAAGCAGGTGTGCCAAGCTAACAGGGCCCGGGTGTGCTAGGCAAATTGCTGGATTTGCGTCGTTGAGGGAAGCAATCTGTTTACGCTCAACGAAGGCACCAGAAGCTACACCACACCAAGAGACAAGGCCGCTAGCACACTGCTGCACTGGCTTGTCTCTCTTCTGGCCCATTTTGTTTCTTCGATATCGACTATACCCGCTGCACGTACAGGAAGCACCTAAAAAAAGAAATCCGCTACACGCATCGAAATTGCGCTGATACCACGAGCAGAATCCATTCATGTTCTTTTTTTAAGTATTGCTATTGCCATTTTCCCTCTTTGTATTCACCTTCTCACCGGTCCCCTTTGGCAGTCCTTTGCTCGCGCGCTCAGGCTCCCTCCTTCTCTCCTCTACAGCCATCCATTGACAGCTCTTGTTTAGTACCTATTTCCTTTATTGCATACACTTTTACATTATTTCACCTTTTCTTGCGCCTTAACACTTTATTTTTCACATCACCAACCTTCCTAGACCCTGGCCGGTTCCACAACAGTCTAAGCACAATGGTCGGTCAAAAATCACACCCGTTCATGTACCGCGTTCGGTCACCGATTCTGCAGCCGAGCGATGAGGTTGATGCCAGTACACGACCGGCAACGCAGAATGGCCGGCGGATGCTGGTACCGAAGAGCTCAGCACGGACGCTGGTGCTTGTGGACAGCAATAAGCAAAGAGTCCAGCAAATGCGCCGTCTGGCAGAACCGGCAGTTACACCGCCGTCGCCGACCATTCCGAATGAAGCCTTCTTCCAGGTAACTCCACCGCCATTGCCCCCACTGCCCCCACTGCCTCAGGTACCGGAAATGGCAATCCAGCCTATGTCAGCACCGCTACCAGCTATTAGCAAAATGATTACGACACCACTGGCCGACACATGGAACGAGCACGAGTCAAGCCGACAGAATCTACTGGACAGTATCGGCGATGCGACCCCCGCTTACCAAATCTCGCCTGGCGCTCACAAGATAGTGCATAGTGCTGGACATAGCACAGTGCCCCCCGCAAATGACACCGACTACAAGCGGGCGACGTTGAAGCTGCAGCGATTGTCGCTCATGTACAGCCCAGGTCCACTGTATCCAGTGATTGGAATCCTTCCCGGAGCACTGTCGCCGGTGGCCGACAACTACGAATTTGCGTTTATCGAGCGGCTGGAGCGGCGGTGGTCTGATATCCGGACCGAAGCAGTCAAGGTCCTGCGGTCCTGCGATTTACAAGTACTATTTCAGCCATGGCGCCTGGTCCGACTTTTCGCAAATCTTTCCCGACCGTATTGTTTCTCTTTGGCAAGCGTTCCTGGACAAGCTGCCGCCTGAGGAGCATGTCTATCTGAACATCCCGCTGGTCTCCCAAAACCCGTTCCTGGCTGAGAACAGCGACGAAAAATACACCCCGGTGCTGACACGGCCTATTCCACTCGTCCAGGTTCTGCAGACCCTAGCCTCCGACGACGACCATATCGAGCCAGGACAGGAGCCAGGCTCGCCGCTCAGCTCCGGGCCCAATGTTAACATGGAGTTTGTTGACTGGATTGCGATGCGCTTCAACATGCTGAAGATGGAGTCGCAGGAGGCCGGGACTCAAGCAAATGCAGCTGTGTGCACAGATAGGGAACTGGACTTGACCAACAGCATTGCCGATATTGCAAAGTTTTCTGAGCCGGCCACAATCAAGGAGCTGGGACTCCCACCATCACCAGAGGCTTCGGGAACTTACTCAGAGGCGGACTCGCCGCGTGAAGATAAGCACAAGGAAGCCGAGCAGTCGATGCCTGCTATCCCGATGCCCAGGAGCCCTGAAGAAGAAGAGGTGCCTAGGCAGTCAGAGGACTGGCCTGCGAGTGAAGACGAAGGAGTACAGTCCAAGAGCAGCTTCAGTATCAGCCAGAGCAGCATCTCATTGAGCCGCCCGACTTCAGCACACACATCCAGCGGCCGGCCTTCATACGAGGCCACCTTCAGCTCTGCCAACAGCTACGAGTCGGACACTGGTCTGCCTGACCTGAATCTGCCTGATCTGAATCTGCCGCCACTCGAGTCAAACGTGCCGAGCCTGCTGCGTACATCCTATCGCAGGTCAAAGCGTCGCACCATGAGCATTGGGTTTGGCAAGCCCGATACCCTAGAACAACTAGCATCCACGCCCTCGATTCCGCCGCGCACCGCCTAATATGCCAAAGCGACCGACCACACGCGAAATGATGCTTAAGGATCTGCCGCCGCTGCCACCTCTCGGCCAGCTGGACGACCTGAATTTCCCAGCGGATCCAGCACCGCAAGCACCTTCGGTTTATGCTGGGTCAATGAAATCGCGGTTCGATCCCTGTGCTTGCCAGCGACTCTGTGTCGCGCCCATCGACAGCAAGCAGCCATATAATGAGCCAGTATGAGCTGTCACCGTCGTCGAGCTCTGCCAGTCTGCGTGACGCGGCAGCGCGCAAGCCCAGTTCTAGCAGGTCGATAAGAATGCGGGCTAAGCATCTCGAGATTTCTGCAGATGCGCGGCCAAGCACTGTTAGCAACGACAGCACCGAGACCACGTACATGAAGCGGCCAGCAATGAATGCACTGGGTGAATATGACCCGGTGCCGCCTCTGCGGCTGACAGGCAAGCAGTCTGCCTAGAAAGGCACCACCCTACGAGTGGCGGTCGGCAGCTGATGCAGCGCGCAGTGAGTTCACAGCCGTACCCACGAAGCCCGTGCAGCCCTCGACGCTGCGGCGCGAGTCTGATCTCTCGTTTATGACTAACGCGTCAACAGACTCGATCAGCTGGCAGCCGCACAGCATCAAACCATTGCTGCCACTCAAGCAGCCCGTTGGCCATCCTGGACCACGTGGTCCAACAGGATGGTGTGCATGAATCTGCAGTCCCGCCGCAAGCTTCTGCCGTCTCTTCAGCCACAGACACGTTTGCTGACTCCAGCCGCAACGGCTAGCGCAGCCCCAGGTGGTACCTGTGCAGACACAGCTGACACCACTGAAACACTCGCGTAGTATGGCGTATGCGAAACCCAAGGACGCAGTTTCCTAGACTTGCCGACAACTCTTCCCGGCAGTCCTTGCAGTCGTCCGCCAGCCACTATGTGCCAGCATTGATGCCGCTGGCATCTTCCAAGGAGAGCGATGCGATATACTGCCAGTCTCAAATAACCTTGGTTTCACAGTCGTCCAAGACGTCCAAGCACTCTGTGGTGCCACCGCTGTTGCCGCTGGCAACCTCGAAGGAGAAGTCGGAAGAGGAGCAGCGTCAGAAGCAGTCGCAGAAGAAGGTGCTGCCGCTGCTCTCCCCGCTGAAGTCAACTGCAGCCAAATTCGAGCCGTTCAACCAGATCCAGCAGCCGGTGGGGATGAGAAGCAGTCCCAGTGATCAGGCGGGCACGCAAGATCAGCGTCTCGTCGGGTCGCTCGACCTGTGTTGAGTCGGTGCTGACCGAGGTCGCGCGCAAAAGTACTGGAGTCTGGGTCAGATTTTGAGCAATGCGAGCCCCTCGTGAGCCGCATGCGTGCGGCTGGGCTCGAGATCACACGTGTTGCCGAGCAGGACTTTTTACGACTACTGCGTGGACGAGCTATTGAAGGCCAGCACCGAGGCCTTCCACGACGTGTCGTCGATGATCAGCGAAACGCTGGCTGAGGAGATTTTCTTCTCGTTCAACAACCATCTCAACGAGCTACTCGCCTCGTCCCGCTAGACAATAGCCCACCACTCTTCACAATTACTACTTTGTACAGTTTGCCCCATTTGAAACTCTTTTCTAAATCTGGAAATACCAGGCGCAATCGGCGGAAAGGAGCCATGAGTTGGAAACCGAGAACACCTATTGTGAAGCAAGGTTGGACGAAAGGGAAGGAGATCTGCAAAGGCGACGCCCAGTATATATCGAACTGGAATGCATCCTTATCTGCACAATAATCGATGAGAGAGTTTGAACTGCGACGTTTGTGCAGACTCAACGCAGTCGCACCAAGATAAAATTATGGCCAAGCTGTGCTACATGCGCAGTCCTCTCCTTTCTCAGAAAGAAAGCACTGGAGCAGACACTGGCGCCAGTTCCCAGTGCGCCAGCCCCCATCCGCTTTCCCTAGAGAAGGTCGGGAAAGGCCAAAGGCGCTGCGGCTGATGTCGCATTGGCGACTTTTGAGTGTTGAAAATCTAGTCAACCAGGCAGCCGTATGGCTATTTTCTGCGCATTCAAAGTCACGGAAAATAAATGCTGTGCTTGGCTAGTAGCCGCTCCAGCAATTGCATTCTGCTTTGCTCTCCCTTCGACTCTTCAGCAACTCCCTTCCTCTTCTCTCCTTCCTTTCGTTTCTCAGAAATATTTTTGCAATCTCCTTCTTACAAACAGCGTCCTTTCACGGTACGCTCCTTTGTCTATATTTGACATCTCTTTCTGATAGCGCAAATCACGCCCAGCTGCCAAGCATACAGAAAGAGTGAGGCAATATGAAAAAGCTGACACACCGCATACACAACAGATTGCACAGGCAAAAGCCTGTGGAGCCACCCCGCGAGCGACCCACTATCAGGCTCATTCTCAACGAGAGTTCTGGCGACGAGGGCGACCCGGATCACGACAGCACCGCGGCGGATGCGTTTATCCCGCTGCCTTCGAAGGACTACAACCGTGCAGAGTGGTCGCAAGCAACGTCTAACGCCCAATTTGGCAGCATGAAGCCACGCAAGTCGCAGAGCCCGCCCGAAGAGCCACCGCAGCGGGAGTCGCTGCAGCTGCAGCCCGCAGAACCAGAGGATATGTATCAGCGGCCGACAATATACTCGCAGGCGTGGCTGCAGGAGCTTAAGCAATCCCTTGGCAGACGCCTTGAGATGTCCGAGACAGCAAGGGACGCCTGCCTTGAATGCACTGAACGAGCTGCTGTTTATGGCCAACGAATGGGTCGACTACCAGCAGCAGAAGCTGGTTGACACGTACGTTGATGGGCGCAACGTGGCCAGATTCGTATATGATTTTGACGAGATGGTTGAGGTGGCGTTCGCCGAATTTGCAATCGCAGTTGAGAGTGTATTGGCAGTAGTAGGCGAAATGGAGACCCGGCCGTCCATATCTAGCGACTGCAGTGGCCTAACCATGGTCGACAGCAACCCCAGTGGTTCCTACCCTCAGCAGCGCATAGCTTCCATCGACAGCGCCCTGTCTGGGATCATCGGCTGCTACGCCGACCGCACCTCACATGTCAAGGGCCTGCTGACTGGTGGCGTGCCAGCCTGTGGGGCGTGACACGCTGTGTACAATAGCCAGCGCCGGACACAGACTTTGCGCAGTCGTTTGGCGCTGACACAATAGATCCCGAAGACTTTGAGCAGGCTCTGAGTGCACTTGGTATCGACACAGTCAAGTACAGCAAAGAGCAGCTGGAGCTCTATGCCAAGACAAGCATCTGCAAGACTGTCACCAACCAGATGCTGCTGAGCACTGGAGTCGAGAACGAGTATATCGATCGGCTCGAGGAGGCCGAAGAGGGCCTGGCTGTCCTGGAGGACTGCGTCGAGACACTCCGGCTCTCTGAGGGAGATGTTGAGGCACGCGAGCAGGACCTGTGGCTAATGCGGCGAAAGACCGAGAGCCAGCGCATCAAGGTCGAGGGCTTAGGCGAGCAGGCCAGCGAGGCACGGCGCCAGCGGCGGATATTCGAGGCGCTGTTCACGCAGATTTCCTCGATATAAACCAACTTTCAACAACTCTATGCATTTCTAGACATTTCATCTACTGTATTCTGCACGGCTACTTCGGATGCTTTCTGGCACGAGTCGCCGAACGACCGTATACTAGACCGAGAAACACGACTCTTGTTGATGCCAACAAGCGCCAGAATGGGATGAATGTGAAGGCCTTGCCCCAGAACGAGGTGCGTAGCCAGAAATTGTGCGGAAACGCGAGGTCTCTGCCGCCAGACTTCCACTCGCTCTCTGGCCTGCTGTAAGGCGGAAAACGTACGCAATCAACCTGAGCTGGTGGGAACCGCAGGCTGTTCTTCAGCACCGAACGGTGGTGAGAGAAAGTGTCGAACGAATACTTGCCCATGTACCTGCCGACGCCTGAGGGGCCAGTGCCACCGAACGGATAGTGGTGTGCTGCCATGTGCATGTATGCATCGTTGGCCACTGCGCCTCCAGAGCGCGTATTGGAAATGATGTATTCGGTAGTCTTGGAGCTACCGAACGCATAAAGTGCCAAGGGCTGGTCGTGCGAGTTGATATAGTCGAGTGCTTCGTCAAGTATGTCGTAGGTGATGATGGGCAAAACCGGTCCAAAGATCTCGTCGCTCAGTAGTGAATCCTCTGGGCGGACACCATCGACCAGTGTCGGAGGAATATAGCGGTCGGCCTGGTCAGGCCCGTCGTCGCATGTGTTGAGAATATCACCCGTGGTGTTGTTCAAGAGTGCCATGATGCGCTGCCAGTGGCGGTCATTAATAATGCGTACATAGTCTGGAGACTGCTGGGGTGTCCTGGTGTAGGCATTTTCGATGTAGTTCATGCAGAGAATCGAGCAGCCTGTCCTTGACAGCCCGATGTACTAGCATATAGTCGACGCCGACACATGTCTGGCCAGCGTTGGTTAGCTTGCCCCACATGATACGTGCAGCAGCGGCCTCCAGGTCCGACACATCGCTGTGCACCACCACCGGCGACTTGCCACCGAGCTCCAGAGTCACGCCCGCCAGGTGTTCAGCAGCAGCCTTGGCCACGATCTTGCCCACCTTGCCGCTGCCCGTGTAGAAGTAGTGCTCGAACCGCTGCTTTCAGCAACTCAGTTGTCTCGGCAACACCGCCTTGCACCACACGTACTACCCTTGGATCCAAGTACTCCGTCACAAGGTCCCCAATAGCAATAGCTGACTGGACCGCCACATCCGACGGCTTCAGAACCACCGTGTTGCCGGCGGCAAGAGCACCGATAAGCGGAACCAAATTAAGTCGTGCTGGGAAGTTCCACGCACCGATAATCACCACAGTGCCCAGCGGTTCCTTGCGCACCTCCATAGAGCTCATCAAAAACGCAGTCTGCTCGCTTGCCAGCGGGTGCTTATCTGGCCGGGCCCATTTGTCTATATACCTTAGAAACTGTCCGATCTCATACTCGACTGGTCCGAGGTCGAAAAACCTGCTTTCCTGAGGGGAGCGACTCATGTCCATGGCAGATGCGTCCAAAAGAATCTGCTCGTGCTCGCGTAAACCACGCAGCAGCGCTTGAAGCTGCTGCTTGCGAAAGTTGATATCGCGCATGGTCCCACTAGCAAAGCTGGCACGCATATCCTGTACTATGGCGCCGATACTGTCGATGGGTGTAGTGGGCAGCTGGTCCACTATCGAGCGGTCAGTGATGATAGTATGCTCCTTGCTCATGGTTCCACGTTACATATATGGGCGATATTGCAAGAAAATAGAAATGGGAGGAGATGGAAGTTAGTGTCGGGGATAGAAAGCAAGGCCAAAGGGCCAAATAGCGGTTTTCCTGGCTTTTGAGCCATTCAGAAAAAGGGGTGCTCCAATGATGTCGCTTCGCCTTGTCCTAAACTCTTAGCTGGAACATTGTTTTCAGCATTGTTGTTGACAAATGGCAAAGCAGACAAGCGGTCCAGGCACTATTACTGTGAATTTCTCTCCCCTACGCAGTGGGCAACCGTGTTGCTGCCATACTCCAACAATGTCCATATACAGAAAGTCCCTTGTGGGACTTAGCCCCTATTTCTGGCTTCGAGGTTGAGAAACACTGAGCGCATGATTTCATGATCCTGGATACGGTGGATAGTGTGACTGGCGAGCTATAAAAAGAAGGATCGAGCTTCTTGAGAATCTGTGCCATCTGGGCTGAGAATAGCTATACGGCTTGACTGTGCACGCTTTTCTGATTTGCAAAATGTGGCTGCATACCATGTTGGTATCTGTGTTACCGGTCGCCATTCAATACCGCCGACATATTCTATTCCATGAATTTTATGCATGACACATTCCGCTTACATTTCAGCACATGTTATACACGTATAGCAAGCAGGCAGGCTCAATGAATAACATACTTTAAAAGTACTCATTTGCTATTGCTGACTGGTATGTGTGGCAGCATACCCGGCTTATCAGCACCGTTGAGCTGCCCTGCAGCAGTTCCTTGGTGGCTCAGCAGAGCAGTTCTTGATCTGTATTTTTTGCTCTTATCTCTTCAATCTCCAACGAATGACTCTACCTACACATTTTTGAATTAGCCTCCCACACTGCTGTTCTGGGTGTCCCTCACTCGATAAGTGGTTGCAGCTCAAGTGGGGCTGGAAATATGCTCCAAACATGTATATGTCAACAATGAATGGCTCCGCCCCGTGGTCAGCTCACTTTTTTTTGCTGCAGAGCAGATTGCCATGCGGTGCTCTGCCATTGTTCATTTCAGCCATTTCGTTGTTTTTCTCTGCGAAATGCAAGAAGCTTTGCTCCGGATCAGCGATAAGTGTCTATCCCGTGAGACGGGAAAAGAGGCGGGGAAGAGAGGAAAAATACACCAGCCTCCGGACAGAAGACACCTTCTGGAGCCATATAAAAGGGCAAGCAATCTGGTCTGTCTTCGAACTCGCTAGGAATGACACTGGAGTTGGGTGGAACAACTTGCCAGTTTAGAAGCTGGGAGCCACCTAACGGATGACGGTAGGTCGCCTAACATCAAGTCCTGCCACGGGACTACATGGCTCACTCCAGTGGGCCTCCTCATTAAAGCAGCTATTCACCTACCAGTGGTGGGGCGTCCTCTTTATGGACATTCCGCGGTGTCACTGTGGGTCACTTGAGGCAATAGAATACTCAAAGCGATTCAGATGCCCAGTGTGTGTTGAACGAGTGGGCTTGTTTCTCAATAAATTATCCTCAAACCATTTCTCTGTGTATATAGTAAGCAATGAGTATCTTTGACAGAGGCTCACACGTTGTCGGTGTTGTCTTTAGTCATATCACGGCCATACTTCAAGCTGCTTGCTAAAGTGCTGACTGAATCTATCAAGCGCCATAGCGGCACAAATGTGAACATTCTGCCCAGCACCGTTGTCCGCAGCCAGTAGTTTTGTGGAAACGCCACGCCAGCGGCATCCTGCTTCCACTCGTTCTCAGGCCCTGTAAACGGGGGGCTGCGCACCGAATCTATTGCAGGCGGCGGCAGCGCCAGTGGCGCCTGCAGCACTGTGCGGTGATTCGAAAACGTATCGAATGAAGCCTTGCCCATATATCTTCCGATTCCTGAGGCGCCGACGCCGCCAAACGGGAAATTGCTCGCTGCCGAGACAAACATGGTTTCGTTGGCAACAGCGGTGCCGGACCGGGTGTTTGTGAAAATGAACTCGGTTGTCTTGGAGCTGCCGAATGCGTAGAGCGCCAAGGGCTGGTCGCGCGAATTAACAAACTGCAGGACTTCGTCGAGCGAGTCGTAGGTGATGATGGGCAGGACAGGCGCAAACAGCTCGTCCACCATCAGCGGGTCGTCGAATGCGACGTTATCGACCAATGTTGGTGGGATATAGCGGTCGCTCTGATCCGGCCTATCGTCGCAGACCTGCAGAACTGTTCCAGTAGTGGCACTGAGCAAATCCATGATGCGCTGCCAATGGCGGCGGTTGATGATGCGTGCATAGTCGGGCGACTTGTGCGGGGTTCGGGTGTAGGCGTTCTCAATAAAGTTTTTGCACAGCTGGACGAACCGATCCTTGACCACCCGGTGCACCATCACATAGTCAGTGGCCACGCACGTCTGGCCGGCTGTAGTCAGCTTCGACCACATAATGCGCATTGCAGCGGGCCCCAGATCCGCCACATCGTGGTGGACGATGGCAGGCGATTTGCCGCCCAACTCCAGTGTCACGCCCGCCAGATGCTCCATGGCGGCCTTGCCGACAAGCCTGCCGACTGTGCCGCTGCCGGTGAAGAAGAAGTGGTCGAATCTGTGCCTCAGCAGCTCAGTGGTCTCTGCCGCCGCACCCTGCACTACACACACCACATTCGGATCCAAAAACTGTGCAACAAGGTCCTCTACTGCCACTGCCGTACATGGCGCCAGCTCCGACGGCTTCAGTACCACGGTATTTCCTGCCGCCAATGCGCCAATAAGCGGCAGCAGGATGAGCCGCAGCGGGTAGTTCCACGGACTAATAATAAGCACAGTGCCTAGCGGCTCCTTGCGCACCTCCATAGAGCTCATCAGGAACACCGGCTGCTCGCTGCCAAGCCTGTACTTGTCGGGCCGGGCCCATTTGTCTATGTCTTTGAGGAACTGGCCGATCTCGAATATGACCGGTGCGATCTCATAGAACTCGCTCTCGGTCGGCGGCTTGCTGAAGTCTGCAGCAACTGCAGCGGCCAGCTGGTGCCGGTGCCCGCGAATGCCTTGGAGAAGCGATTGCAGCTGCTGTTTGCGGAACGACATGTCACGCATGGCACCTTGGCTAAAGCTCGCCTTCATGGACTCGACGGCTGTGCTAATGGCGTCAAGTGGCGTGTATGTGAGCTGGCGCTCACCAGCATACGCGTACACAGAAGCGACCTCGATATTCATAGTGGTTATGGAAAATAAAGTTCATGAGGTTAAGGCGGTGAGAGAGGGAAGGTGTCCAAGTCACTGCCCATGCTCGAGAGAGAAAAACATAAAGCCTGGCAGGAATGGACGAGCGCAGCGGCCCTTTCAATTGTTGCCCATACGTATAGTAGCGCAGAGCAGCAGCGGATAATGCGCCATCTATTGGCGGACAATCAAATAGACCTTGGTAGCAAAATATTTGCGGTGCCAAGGAACGCCCCCACCCCCTTCCCACCTTGCAGGATGCAATATCCTAAGGCTAACACCGAGATACAAGTTCATTAGTACCGACTTTGAACAAGAGAGTTGAGAAACGAGATTAGGCTACTGCTTGGAAGCAGGCTTGGCAGCCATGTCGCGCCCCTTCGCCATTCCGCGCAGCAGCGGTCCAACGGACACCATCAGCCTCCACAGCGGCACCATCGTCAGCAGCTTGCCCCAGAAGGAAGTGCGCATCCAGTAGGTGCTGGGGAAGACTAGGCCGAAGCCCTTGGGCTTCCACGCGTTCTCCTCGCCCTGGTAGGGCGGGAACCGGAGCGAGTCGACGCTAGGGGGCGGGAAGGCAATAGCCTTCTTGAGCACCGAGCGGTGGTGCGAGAAGGTGTCGAACGAATACTTGCCCATATATCTGCCAACACCCGAAGGACCGGTGCCGCCGAACGGGAAGTTGCCAGCGGCCAGGTGGAAGACGGTGTCGTTGGCAAGGGCGCCGCCGGAGCGCGTATTAGCGAACACGTACTCGTTAGACTTGTCGCTGCCGAACGAGTAGAGCGCCAGCGGCTGGTCGTGTGAGTTGACGTAGCCGAGGGCCTCGTCAAGCGAATCGTAAGTGATGATGGGCAGGACGGGGGCAAACAACTCATCGCTCATCAGCGGGTCGTCGAAAGAGACATTGTCGACGATGGTAGGTGGGATGTAGCGGTCGTTCTGGTCCGGCTGGTCATCGCAGGTGTGCAGCACCGTGCCCTTGGTGCTATTCACGAGCGCCATGATGCGCTGCCAGTGGCGGTCGTTGATGATGCGCGGGTAGTCGGCAGACTTCTGCGGCAGGCGGCCGTAGGCATTCTCGATGTAGTTCAGGAACAGCTCAATCAGCCTGTCCTTGACAGAGCGGTGCACCAGCACATAGTCGACGCCGACGCACGTCTGGCCGGCGTTTACCAGCTTGCCCCACATGATGCGCGTGGCCGCCGGGCCCAGGTCCGACACGTCCTCGTGAACAATTACCGGCGACTTGCCACCGAGCTCCAGAGTCACGCCCGCCAGGTGTTCAGCAGCAGCCTTGGCCACGATCTTGCCTACCATGCCGTTGCCCGTGTAGAAGTAGTGCTCGAACCGCTGCTTCAGCAGCTCCGTAGTCTCGGCAACACCGCCGTGCACCACACGCACCACTTCCGGATCCAGGCAGTCAGTCACCAGGTTCTCGATGGCGCGTGCCGAGTTCGGCGCCAGCTCCGACGGCTTCAGAACCACGGTGTTTCCGGCTGCCAGAGCACCGATAAGCGGCAGCAGGATGAGCCGGATCGGATAGTTCCACGGGCCAATAATCACCACAGTGCCTAGCGGCTCCTTGCGCACCTCCATAGAGCTCATCAGGAATGCAGTCTGGTCGCTCACCAGCGCAGGCTTGTCGGGCTGCGCCCACTTATCCATGTTCAGCAATGCCTGGCCGATCTCAAACTGCACCGGCAGAATATCGTAGAATATGCTCTCCTGCGGCGCCCGTCCAAAATCTGCTGTGATCGCGTCGGCAATCAACTTCTCATGCGCACGCAGGCCGGCCATCAGTGCCTTCAGCTGCTGCTTGCGGAACGAAATGTCGCGCATTGTGCCCTTCTTGAAGCTGCTGCGCATATCCTGCACGGTCGTGCTGATGGCGTCGATAGGCGTGTAGGTCACGATGGTATCGCTCATTGTTGTGTCCTAGAATAAGGGGCGATTGTGAGTAAGCTGATGATTCACGGGCCAAGCTACTGCTGCATCGGCAGCACCGTGGGGAGAGAGAGGCTGCATGGTCCCCAAGAACGACAGTATCCGGCTTCATTACCTTGGTGTTGTCTGTGTAACCGAGAGTTTCCCAGGGAATAAAAGGGGTCTGAAAGGGGGGGTCGCTTCTAGCAAATACAAGATTACAGTAAAAAGAAGCTCAGGCTGAATGCGATAGCCAGAGACAAGGGGCGCTAAGGGGACGATAGCCGACCAAATAAAGCTTGTACGGCCGGTAACTGGACGTTGTGCACGGCTTTGTTCTGGCTCAGTCTGTTTCGCCAAGCTAATCCAAAAACAACGGCAAGATCTCAGGATCCACTTGCAATGCGCTTTCTTTTTGCGGACTTTGCTCAAGCATAAAAATGCACCAGCAGGTGAAAGGGACAGGCGATTGGACGCTCAGACAGTTCGGCCTAGTGTAGCGGCATGTGAATCCCGGTAGGCTGAACCGACGTCATCTGAAGACCGCCGGACGGTGCGGGCAATTTGCGAGACCTAACACGCCCCGGCGGCCGCTTGTTAATCACAGCCTGGTGATCGGCTGAAACATCAGTCGGGTGGAAACCAGGGGATCAGCGACAAACACCAAAAGCGGGAGTGGCCTGCTTGAGGTACACGTACTATTCGGTACAGCATATATTGCGCCAGACTGTAGGTGGATTTATAATAGCCTCTAGTGCCAATAATACAGCGCTGCGTGAATGTATTACGCAATACCACCAGCAGCTTGGGGAGCTAGCAAAAAAGAAGGTTCACACGGTGCATAGAGTCCCGCAGTCCTGATAGCAAATTGCGAATGGCCTGGGAACATAAACATCGCCGTTCCCAGGCCGGGGAGGCGTATAAAAGCGCCGCTCGCTGGCCGCAGCCCACCAGGCTCAATTCCTTGTTTTTCCCGCTAGTTCGCGTATTTTTCTACTAATTTCCTAAACCATGATACTACGCTTCGCGCTTCGCAGTCTTCCTGCCTCTGTTCTGTTTATGGCCGCCCTGGGCGCGCGCATCTTCACGCCCGAGGACCTGGTGCAAACCAACCGATTCAGCGGTTCGGTGGCAGTCGCACCCGACAGCCACGCGATCGCATACGTCCAGACACACTACTCCATCGACACCAAGCAACAGACAACCGAGCTGTTCGTCCAGACGCTGGGCAGCAGGACACCAGTCAAGCTGCTCACGTCATCAGCTGACTCACGCCTCAGCCCCAAGCAGCGCATCGACGCTCCCAAGAGCCTGCAGCCCTCGCAGCCAGTGTGGCTAGGCACCAATACCCTAGGCTTTGTGTCGGCAAATGAGCAGACCGGTGGCTCCACTCTGTACGCGGTGGACCAGCAAGGCGCGCAGTGGACCAAGCCGCGGCCGGTGGCCGAGTTCCCGGTGGCCATCGGGGACGTGCAGTACCATCTGGCAGCGGATGTGCTGGCATTCACGGCCGAGGTGCATAATGCCACGCAGTCGCTGGAGGAGTCGGCGCGGCTGGACGAGCTGGAGGGCGAGCGCGCCGACTCGGGCAAGGCGTACGAGGACCTGTGGATCCGCCACTGGGATACCTTTGTGACCCCGCGGCTGCCGCAGATCCACACGCTGTCGCTGAATACTGCTACCAATGCCACGCGCAGTGCGTCGAGCCGTGCCCGCAACATCATCCGCGACACCAAGGCGACGGCCGCCTGGAGGCCAGCAATTCGTTTGTGTTTGCACCCGACGGCAAAAAGGTCGCCTTTGTGGCCAAGAAGCCCGGCGTCGACTATGCATACCGCACCACCAGCTTCGTCTATCTGGCCGATGTCGATGGCTCCAAGGCCGAGCCCATCAACGAGGGCGCGACAGGTGCCAGCGACAGCCCTGCATTCAGCGCTGACGGCTCCAAGATTGCGTTCCTGCAGATGACCGATCCCAAGTACGAGTCGGACCGCAATCAGATCAAGATCTATGACACTGCCGACAAGTCTATCCACGACGTGGCCCGCGACTGGGACCGCTCGCCGTCGCAGATCCTGTGGGCCGACGACAAGACTCTGCTGGCCGTCTACAACGACTGGGGACACAACCGCCTGGCCAAGATCGACATTGCCTCGGGTGCTGTGACGCCGGTGGTGTCCAGCCACTCCGTTGGCTCAGTGCAGGCGCTGCCCGGCACCGACCGCCTGCTGATCGACTACAGCGCGCTGGACTCGCCGACTGACCTGTACACAGTCAAGGTGGAGTCTAACGAGCTCGACCGCGTAACCGAGCTCAACCCGCAGTTCCGCGAGACCATCTACCTGTCAAAGCCACAGGAGCTGAAGCTCACCGGCGTCGACAACTCGACCATCCACGGCTATCTGCTGCAGCCGCCCAACTTCGACCCCGCTAAGAAGTACCCGCTGGCCTTTTTGATCCATGGTGGCCCGCAGTCGAGCTTCACCGACAGCTGGAGCAGCCGCTGGAACCCGAACATCTTTGCCGCCGCTGGCTTCGTCACCGTCGCGCTGGATCCCCAGGGCTCCACCGGCTACGGCCAGGAGTTCACCGATGCCATCCGCAACCAGTGGGGCGGCAAGCCGTTCCAGAGCCTGATATCTTCCCTCGACCAGCTGCTGGAGCAGTACGAGTACATTGACCGCGACCGTCTGGCTGCACTTGGAGCCTCATACGGCGGCTACATGATCAACTGGATCAACGGCCACACTGACCGGTTCCGCGCTCTGGTCAACCACGACGGCATGTTCTCGACTATCAGCAGCTACTACAGCACCGACGAGCTGTACTTCCCCGAGACCGAGTTCGAGGGCGTGCCCTTCGACGACAAGGCCCGCGAGAACTATGAGCAGTGGTCGCCTGAGCGCTTTGTCAAGAACTGGAAGACCCCCACTCTGGTCATCCACAGCGAGAAGGACTACCGCCTGGTTGTCAGCGAGGGCATCAGCGCCTTCACTGCTCTCAGGCGCCAGAATGTGCCTGCCCGGTTCCTGTACTTCCCTGACGAGAACCACTGGATCCTGAAGCCCGCCAACTCGCTGCGCTGGCACCAGGAGGTCCTTGACTGGATCACCACCTGGACCAACGACGAGGCCAGCACTCCGCAGAAGCCCAAGTTCAAGGTTCAGTCCGAAAACTAAATGTCTCTTGTTTCCCTTTATCTGTCTTGCTCATGGTGGGTTGCTTTCGCTTTTTTAACATTTTACCTTGTATCCTAAAAATACATTGCTTTCCACCTTTCATCCTGAGCATAAATGCGTGCAGAACGGCTAGAGTACCAGTTTCTGTGATTGCCAACGCATTTAAAACCCCTTCTGTGGAAGCCATGTCCACAAATATCTGTGGGCTGGTTGTTCGCTCGGCTAGACGCGCTTGTGGTTTTCTTTATGTATCAAAGCGCCGCTCTATACTGCTTGTCGTTAGAGGGTCAAAGGGTGTGCAAATATACAGCAAGTCTGTGCACATTTCGTTAAATTGATCTGTTTGTTCCATACCAAAATTTTGTGAGCGACATGCTGAGAGCGGCTAGCAATATGTAATGGAGTGTTCACAGAGGTAGGAATAGCAAAGGCTCTACTGGAAGGCTCAATCACACCCCTCTAGTTACTACTATGACGCCGCATTCTGGTACTGTAAACAAATGTGCCGCTGTTGTGTTGGTGAGTGCTGATATGCTATGCACTTATATTACTTACTACCAGGAGTGCCATTGACAGAACCTCGCTCGTAGATTCCATTGACCCCAGAGCCTCGAGACACTTCAATACCGCTATGAGTGACACCAAGTCCATTTACCTCTTGGCTCAAGGGAACCCAGCGACGCTCCTTTTCTCAATGTATTTTTTGATCCCATTTTATTCCATAAAACTCATGTTTGCCTACCCTGCCACAGGGTTCATAGTACTTGATACAATCTCAGGTACAGTGGTTTGGATGTGTATGTCGGAGATGTCACCGACCGATGGTGTCTCCTTTGCAATACTTTCTGGGCTAGAGTTTGGAACCAGATTGAGGAGGATGCTATCAGTAGCAGGTTCTGAGGAGGTAATACCCTCTCCAATCAAGTCAACATCAGCAACCAGGCTATCTGAAACTTGGTCTGCTGTGGCCTCTCCTGTAGTTGAACCAACGACGACAGCTTCGGGATCGGGAACACCATCATCTGTGGACCCATTGCTGCTAGAAAACCCATGGACCTCAAGTGAATCAACGCTGCCAGTGTCAACATCAACAGACTGCGTGTCTCCATTGGAAGTCGACACCGTCTCAGATGCTGGCTCTGCATCTTCAACCCCGTAATCCGTCTGAGTACCATCCAAACTCCAGTTTTCGCTATCAGGCCTCGACTCCATGGCGCCTGGTCTTTCTTTGTTATCTGTCGCTGACAATTCTGGCTACTACGAGCTCATCCACCGCTTCGCTATCGTATGCCTCATCTGATTCATGGTCAGTGGCTGTTGTGGGCTCGATAGCAGAATCAATGTCACTCCCTGAGCTCAATTCGCCAGTAGTAATTGGGAGCACCCTTGACTCATCATCAATAACTTCGACGGTGCTGCCTTGATCAGTTTCTTCCGATGCTTCACTCTGTGATTCCTCTTGTGCTTCAAAATCCACCGGCCCCTGGTCGCTATTAGATACCAGCTTGGTGTTGGTGTACATCGCAATCCAATCAAGGACAACGGCATGCCATTGTAGAGAGTTGGCCGGCCGCAGGACCCAATGGTTTTCATCAGGGAAGTATAAGAAGCGTGATGGTACACCGCGGCGCTGCAATGCAGCAAATATCGAAATACCTTCAGTGACGGGCAGCCGGTAGTCCTTTTCACCATGGATTACTAGAGTCGGTGTGTTCCAGCGGCCAACATAGCGACGTGGATCCCAGCGCTCATAGGTTACCATACCATCGACATCCCAAGGCAAGCCTGACTCATGCTCATCAAAGCCAATCTCGTCGGTCGAAAAGAAAGTGCTGTAGGAAGAGAACTCTCCATCGTGGCACACATACGCCTTGAATGGTGTTGTCTGTCCAAGCATCCATGTGATCATGTAGCCGCCGTATGAGGCACCTAGTGCAGCCATCCGGCTTGTATCAATGAATGCGTACGTTCGTGTTACATAGTTCAGCCCTTTCATCAGGTCTTCAAATGGGTATCCGCCCCATTGAAAGCGCACAGCATCAGCAAACGCCTGACCAAACCCAGTCGAGCCGTGGAAGTTGATTTCGACAACGACGAACCCCTGGTTTGCAAAAAGTATTCTGGTTCCAGCGCCAGCTCCAGTGGTTTCCTGATGATCCGTATGGACCGCCGTGGATGATGAATGCCAGCGGATAGGTCTCGGTCATGTTGAAACCGTATGGCCGGTAGAGAACACCCTGAACGCGGTCACCAAGTGCTCCAGTAAAATAGAACCGGGTTGGCGGTGACATCCACACCATGCTGAGGACATCGGTGTTGAATGTCGAGATGATGTCGGTGTGGATTCCCGAGTCACTAATAGTCAATTTCGCGATCTCATTTGGGAACTGTGCCGTGTTGTGCATGTATAGAATCGAGCCATCAGCGCTCTCAAGTGGTGTCTGCACAGTTCCGTCGGTTGTCAATTGCTCCAGATTGCCTGTCTCAACACCAAGACGATACAGCCTTGTATCACCCTCCTCCTCGACCACAATGAGTAGGTGCTGGCCAGACTCGGTGAACTGGATACTGTCTGGGCTTAGCGACCACTGGGGCACAAGTCGCTTGGTTTCCGCATTGGCAGTTGAATACAGTATGACCTGGTTCTGGTCGTTGCCGTTGTTTGGGCGTGGCATTTGTAGCCAGGCAATATAGGCGCCGTCAGGAGAGAACGTCGGGCTCGAGCAGCCACCAATAGCCTGGGGATTGAGGCTGAGGGGCTGTGCCTGTCCATCACCGCCCACTGATACAGTAAAGATGTTTGCTCTGGTTGACCACGCCTCGTCACGGCCAGGGATATTGGCTGAGAACACTATTTTTTGGCCGTCCTTTGAAAACGAGTAGTCGTAGGGCTCCAGGCCCCAGGAGCCAGGATACGATGATACAAGATTCTGCGGATCAGCAGTAGCCTCGTACAGGCCATTTCTCTTGCCCAGCGGCAAAGCAAAGAGCTGCGACTTTGTGCCATCAAGCCAGGTATCCCAGTGCCGCACAAATAAAGTGTCGTACACTTTGCCATGTGCAGGCGCTGAGCTGATAGAGGCAAGGGTTTTGGCAGTTTCCTCGAGTCCCAGGCCCTGAAACACCGATGCAGTGAATGCAACGACGTTTGTGGCTGGGCTGTAAATCAAACCACCCACTGACGTGCTGAAGTTTGTGAGCTGGTACTGATTGCCAGTGTCGACATTGACAATGTAGATGTTGGACTCTGATGCGTTGTTTCGTTTGGCAGTGAATGCAATGTTGCTCTCATCGAGCCACACTGGCTCATCGTCAGATCCATCGATTACAAACTCAGTCGCATTACGCACGTTTGCTGGTTCGGCAATATCGATGAACCGGATATTGCTCGCCTCTTGATCACCGTCAATGGTGTATTTGTAGAAAGTGAAGGCTGCGCGTCTCTTGCTTGGAGATACAGCTAGTGACTGTACGCGGTTCAGCTCTACCATGATCTCGGGTGTGAACCTGTCCAAAGTGCTCCAGTCGGGGATCTTCTCGATCTCACTGGTAGTATTTGCCAGTGGCTCATATTCGTCGCTATCATCGACATATGGAATGTGTAGTGGCTGCTCTGGCTCCTCGGGCTCTAGGGGCAGGTGGCGGCGGCATGTTGTTGGAGCCTGCGACTGCTACGTTAGTAGCGCCAAATGTATTGAAAATGATCTGTCGCACACCACGCAGAATGTCAGCAGCGATATTGGCAGTATCATCAAATGCATTGTGGTTGTTTACGGAGGGGATGAGCTCTGCAGCAGACGTGGCCAGCGCTGGATGGCTCTGGGGTAATTGTAGCAGACTCGATGTAGCTGAAATACTTTGAATATAGTGGGCCATTGGACTAATTGCGGCAAGATATTGTTTGAGAGCTCGTGGAAGTACGAGTGCGCAACTGACCCAAGGGCCAAAGATGCGATGCCAACAACCTGCTTTATGAACATTGCGCTGACCTCGCTAGGGATGTCAATGCCACTTGAGGTGGTTAAATATATAGGGAAGAAAAGAATAAAATAATGTCGCTGTGAAGCAAAAAGGCACTGCAAACATTCCATCTACAGCAAGCGCTACGCCCTCAGCTTTATATATGGCAAGTGGCATGCGCAAAAAGGCTCTTACTAAAGCAGACAGTAAAGATACCCAGGTGTGCTGAGGCCCTATGCACCCCAAAGAGAAATAGGCAGTAAACCGAAATAACAGCCTCGCCAATTCCACGCAAGCTCTTTGGCTAACAAGCCAATGTCCCTCTACTGCCTCCAGCCCATGCACTTACTTTGGCACAACGTGTACCTTCTTGATCTTCAGGTAGTATACAGCAGCGAATGCGTCATCAGAGTGCGTAACCACCTCTGTCTCATCCAGCACAATGTGCTTCTTGAACAGCGGGCAGTCCAGAGTGAACGACTCGAACTCGCCGCCCTCGCCGCACGGGTGGATGCCAAACTTTTTATGCAAATCAAGCAGCTTTGGCGTCATCTCCCCTAGCGTCTTGCCCAGGTCAGGCTTGCCGAGACCCAGCGCTGCAACTTTGATCAGGACCGCGTCAACCTTGCTGTCGACCATCTCCTGGAGGAGCTCAACCTGGTCACGGTGCCACAGGTATGCCAGCATGGTGAGCCCGAGGCGGTCGCACACATGCTGCACGCGGTTCGCCTGGTAGCTCGAGAAGATCGCACCCACGCTAACGCCCTTGACATCGGGGTGGTGCTGCTGAACCTCGGATAGCAGAGCAAACAGGTCTTCGGTCTCGTCGTCCTTGGTCAGCTCGTAGTCCAGCTCCTGCGTCACGGGCTTACCCTTGATCTCGCGGTGGTAGAGCGGCAGGTCCATGCAATCGGCGATGGTGTGCACGGCGTTGTAGCCGACAGTCTGGAACAGGAAGCTGTCGAGCTCGTCTGAGGAGCTCTCGGGCGGGTGCGCGTGTGCCAGCGCGACGATCTCGTGCCCGTCCTCGACACACTTCATCATGTTGTAAGTGCTGTCCTTGCCTCCCGAGACCAAAGCGACGACCTGCATTGTTGTGAAATGCTGAATTGCGAGTATGTATTGACGAATCGTAAACAGAGAGACAAAGGCCACGCAATCGAGTAGGAAGGCAAAATTTTTCCATCGATCGCATGCCATTGACAGGTTCACGAGCAGGATTGAAGCTCCGGCTTTGACCGAGTAGGGAGGGGGCTCAGCAGCCTACTCGGCCTGCATCATCCGCCGGTACTTGAGCTGGTCCTGCTGCATTTCGAGCATGACGCGATACTTGCGCTCATGGATGTCCAGGACACCCGCATCTGTGGTGGGCCGGATCACGGAGCCGTCGCCAGTCATTGCCGCCATAGCATTCCACAGGATCCTGCGAATGGTCCGACGACTTTGGCTTGGCTGCAGTATAGCCCAGGATGGCACTGCCCAGTACCACTGCGCTGTCAACGAACCGCGGAACCACCACCTGGGCGCCAGGTGACATCGGCAAGGATCTGCGTGAACACGGCTCCCTGCGACAGTCCGCCCGAAATAAGCAGTTCAGTGACCCGCTGGCCACCAGCAGCAACCGCCGAGTCGAGGATCGCGCGCGTGCCATACGCCAGTCCACAGATGCACGCCAGGTACCTCGCAGCCAGCGCCTCGATGCTATCTGGGTGTGTCAGCGTCTCGCCGACAATCGAGCCACGCATGGACGGGTCGGCTAGAGGAGCACGGTTGCCGTGGTGGTCAGGCAAAAAGTGCAGCGATTTGACTAGCTTTACTAGGTGCGATTCTGGGACTCCGTTCGATGGCGTGCAGGCTACAGCAAGGCCGGTCAGCATGCTGTCGAGAATCTCATACACAGATTTGCCGGTCTCTTCACTCTGCCTTGCCAATGGACCGTATGCTGAGTGCGAACGCACCACATAGTCGATTAAGCTGCCAACGGCGCTCTGCCCGCCTTCCAGCATGTACCAGCCCGACAGCCCGACACTGTAGTAGGGACCCCAAACACCCGGCACCAGCACTGGCTTGCGGCTTGCTAGCAGATGGCAGGCCGATGTGCCTGCAATGATGGCCAGCCGCTGGCCTGCCAGCTCCTGGTTGCTGCGGTCCAACTTGTCGTCAGAAGATCCGCTGGCGATGGTGCCAAACCATCCGGCATATGCATCGATGACTGAAGCACCAACTGGCGTTCCAGGCGCCAGCCCTAGTTCTCGGGCAGCCTTGGCCGACAGGCCATTTGCCAACCGGCTCACCTGCCTTGAGCACAGTCAGAGTACTGTCGGACAAGCAGCCGCCGATCTTTGCCAAACCTGTCGCTGGACAATATCGTCCCAGCCCCGCCGCTGCAAACACCCTCTCATCCCATCCCACGCCGTCCTGAGCAGCGTCCGGCTGTGCAGGTGTAAATAACCACTTGCACGCCAGCGAGCAGTTCGATCTTGCCTTGCACCCAGTTGCCCGGAACGACAGGTAGTCTGGCAAGTCAAAGAACTCAGCGCGTGCCCAGTCCTCATCCCGTCCTGCCTTGGCAAAGTGCGACTTGACCCAGGCGATCTTGGGCAGCTCCATCTCGACCGACACTTTGCCGCCGACGTATTTCAGCACATTGCGGCCCGATGCGTTGATGAGCTCAGCTTCATGCTTAGCGCGATGGTCGCACCACACGATAATGTTCCACCTCTGGTCGCCAGTCGTGCTCAGGCTTACAGGGCTCGTCGGTTGCAGTATCCTAGCGCTACCAGCGAGCATGTTGCGTCCATGCCAATGCCCTTTCACCTGGTCATGCGAGAATCCCGGGATCTTAACCTTTGCTTGTTTAAGCGCCTCTTGCACGCAGAAGCAGATAGCTTGCCAGATGTCCTCGCTGCTCTGCTCGTAGTGCTCTGCTAGTGGTTGGTGCATCTGGATACTGCGCTTACACATCGCAACCAGTTCGCCTGTGCTGGTGAACATGCCAGCGCGTGCTGAATACGAGCCGACGTCGATGCCAACGAAATACTCCATTATTAATGCGAAAGCTGAGGTCGAGATAACTGTAGCAATAGAGAAAGCAAGGTGTAGGGAGCAAGAGTGGAGCCGGTCTGTGCGTCCTTTTATTGCCGACTTTCGGGTCAGGGGAGCAGCTTATTCTGGTGTGCGGCATGATTCACGCGACCTATGTCAGGAACTGGTCAGCCTATTGCTCAGCGAGCCAGCCATTAAAAAGCGCAGTCACTTTTGGTGGCTACTGTTTAGATATCGATGTTGCCATGACAGTCGCATTTGGATAACTAACACGATACGTGGGGTATGGAGGGTTGCTTCAATATGGCCGTATTATGCTCGCTTGTGATGCCAGCGTGCGATATGTGGATAGTATTTCCTCCTGTGGACCATCAGTAATCCAGCTCATCGTGGCTCTCACCACCCGATCCACTGTCATCACCGCCAGCCGAGTATGCAACCGGCCGCTGCGCGACTGGCACACTCGCCAGCGATCCCTTAGGCAGCTGCACGACGCCTGACTTTGCCAGCCTAATCTCTAGCGACTCTGTCGAGAACTTGTCGCTATTTCCAAACTCCTCGAATCCAACCAGCCGATCGACACAGCTGCCATTACGGATAGCCAACAGGCATGGCAGCGTACGCACCTGGAATTTGTTCACCAGGAATGGGCACTTTGTCGCATCAATGCCGGCGAACTTGGTCTCGAAGTGGATGCGGTGCCAGGACCTGCAGGTGCTTGTCCATGATCTTGCACCGTGCAAACTGCGTGTGTGTGAAATGCACGATAGCCATCTTCTCGGTACCCATCAGCTTCACCATGTCTTGCTCTTTGGTGATAATGGTGTAGGTGCCGTGGCCTCGTGCGCGTAGCTCGCGCGCAGTGTCGATCTCATGCTTTAGTTGCTCTAGGCGCGCTTCGCGGAATCGCTCGAGCTCCGGGTCATTCTCGAGTTCGGCCAAAAGCTCGTCGTCTGAGAGAGCGTCGTCGTCGCTGTCCAGTGCACGCCGTGCGGTCTCTTTGATCTTGGTGTCCATGGTTTGTGAGGGATGTGATGCGAGCTGTGACAGCACGTCCACACCCTCCACAGCCATTGCCCATGCGATATCGATTCGAGATCCTCGCATTACTTAGGGGGATTTCTCGACACTCACTTCTGTTTCATACATTTTTTGCAAGGCCAGGACACAGTAAAAAGGCTAGTATCTAGAAGGTCTTTGCGCACTTGCGCTTCTCGACAATCAGCGTCTCGGGGTCCTGCATTTCCTCCCATGACACTGGGACCATGGTGTTGCCATCACTGCTCTGCGCAAACACCACGCCGTGCTCGTTCTTGGTCGTCGACAAAAAGTAGGATCTCTGGTCGCCCAGCGAAATAACTTCTGCGCGAATAATATCGCCGGGCTTGAACGACTCGACCATCACCACCGTGTCCTTCTCGGTGGCCCGGATGTCCTGCACACGCACCATGCCCAAAAAGTCCTCCTGGCAGGGGACAGGTCCCACCATCATGATCGCGACCGATGCCGCGCGCGGGTTGATCCGCACAACACGGCCCAGCACCTCGCAGCCGACCACAGGGATTGCGAATTTGGCATTGTCCCGCTCGACATATAGCACCGGCTTGCCAGCTGCGGCCTCCTTGCCGTCGTCGACTGGTGGGCTCCTTGGTCTTTCTTGTGCCGAGGATCGAAGAGTAGACCATGCCGTTGCGCACATATGTTCCGATTCCAGCTTCGTACTCCTGCGCCAAGCCCAGGCGCCGTCCGGGCGTTACAACAACTGTCTGTCCAGGGGCCGACATATCTTTTGTTAAAGGGCTGTGTATTTTGGAGGGGTAAAATCTGTTGTGCGAAAGACGACAAAAAATTCCAGATCCCAACCGCTTAAAAAATCACACTCGAAACTCTTGCGAGCATTTGGGCATTGTCGAATTTATGGCAAAAAAATTGCTGACGTCCCAGACAGGGTAGAAACCGCTTAAGTGCCATCTCTTCAGATATACTGCTTCACATCCTCCAGCGCGACCTTCATCTCCTTGGCCTCGGGGTCCAGCGTGCACCCGTTCTGGAACGCATACGCAGCCTGCTGGCACCTGCCGAGCCCCAGCAGCGCCCGGCCCATGCGGAAATGGCCCTTGCTCCAGGGCCTCCTAATCCGCGTCACAATCTCGGTATCCCAGTACGCCTCTGACGGGTGGCCGAGCTCCAGCAGACACGCCGCACGGTTCGACAGCAGAATCGCCGACTCCTCAACAATGACCTGGCTCGGGTCCCACAGCGGCCGCTGCGACGCAACCATTGCGGCTTCGGTGTACTTTTGCGCGGCCTCAAAATGGCTCTGGTTGCGGAACTTGGTGTTGCCGTCGGACTTGAGCTTCTGGATGGCCTGCTGGATCTGCGGGTTCGGCGGGGGCAGCGCGCCGCGGTTCGCCGAGAGCTGGCGCGTCAGAAAGTTATGCGTCGAGTAGTCAACCGAGCAGTCAGCGCACACCTGCTTCTTGTGCTCGGTACAGTGCAGGAGCCCGTCGATGATGGTCACGTTTGGCTGCTCCGGAAGCACAGTCTCGGGCTTGCCGGGCTCTGTCGGGAATATCGGACGCGGTCCAAAGGGAACGTTCGCCATGTCGAAAGAAGTTGTATCGAATTCAGGAAGAAAAAAAGTAAAATGCAAGAACAGAAGAAAGTCGATGCAGAGGAGAGCCAGAAACGTTGCATTTTCTGGGTCACAGACCCTGTCAACATGCTTTGCCACCACCGTGGGCTGGCGAGCGGGAATTGGCTGGCTGCCAAGTCACATGCACCGGTATTTACTGGACAGACGATTTTAGCAGACTGCTGGTTCTACTGTGGACCGCTTTTACCGAGGCAGTGTCAGCGACGACGAAGCAGCCCCGTACGATCCATACAGCTCGCGCATCAGGCCGCCGACAATGCTGAGCTCCTGCACAATCTCCCATCCCAGCATGACCTGGGTGTAGTAGAAGACATACCGGATCCTGGCCACAGCACGCTGCACAATTTGTTCCTTTTCCGCGTCCAGATCCTCGCCATCGTCTGATGGCAAACTATCCAGACCAGCGATATGGCTTACCGCAGTGGCCGTCGGGTCAAGGATATCGCTCAGTGCCTCGGCCACTCGCCTCTGCGCAGCATGGATTGGGGGGAGAACCGCCGGCAACGGCGTTTTGAGGATAAGAGCCGATGCCAAGACGTACATGGTTAGGGCTACCAATGCATCGCGCTGTTCACGCACAGCGGCAGTGCGTTTCAGCAGGTCCTCCTCAACGATCTTGCTGATGCGCTGCGAGATCTCGCCTTCATAGCGCTCCCGTACATACCCGTGACTGTGGATTTCGCCATCATCGTCAGAGTCGTAGGCGTCGGCGTTGGCGGGACTGGATCTACCAACGCTGCCTGATGACTGGGGCCGGAGCCGGGGGCTGTGTGGGGTAGAATGCTGCCCACTGATAACCAGGCGGTCTAGTTCGAGTTGCTCGCGCTCAAGCATCACAGTTGATGCCATGCCAATGGGCAGATCAAGCAGGATTCGACCCTCCTCTTCTTCAGTAGTATTTCCGCTCTCAAGAACGCTGCTGTCGGTGGTGCTGTCGGGCAAAGACACAGATGAAGACTGTGACATGCGTGACTGCGAGCGACGAGCTGTGGGGAATGTTCTGTAGCCATGGTCACCCTCGTCAGATTCTGAGCTGCTATGCCGCTGGTGCTGCCTGCAATTATCCAGCTGGTTCTTGATATCGGCTGCCGACAAGCGCTCGATCGGGGCCAACTCAGTAGTGTCCACAACCAACTCAGGGGGCGCTGGAGCCTCGAACTCGTTTCTGCAGAAGGCATCAGTCTTCTGGATTGTGTCGGCTGTCGCTGGGCGCTCTGAAGCCGCTGGCGGCAGCGGCGGGAACTGGTCCAGCCGCGAAGCAACGACCATGGGCACTGGCAGCATAACCCAGCGCGCAGCAACCATGGCATCCAACACGCGCTGGCAGGCATTCAAGATGCGCTTGTAGGCGTCGATTGGGAACGGACCCTTGAGCCGTGGCTCATTTTGCGTGTCGTTCAACAGCGTCTGGATTTCCATCAGCGAGTCTTGGAAGCTGCAGTTCGTTATCCAGATAGTCGCGCACAGTTGTCAGTGCATGCCATTCAGCTGGCTCCGACACAGCTTGCGCTTGCCCGGTCTGCAGTGCCGAATGTGCTGCTGCGTTCTGTGCTGGTGTGGCGTAGGAGAGCCACAACGAATTCCACAGCTGATCATACAGCATCGACCCGGTCTGCAGCCACCAGCTCAAGGCCTGGCGTACGCGCACACGCGCTTCGTATGGCCAGACGTACATAGTGACGAGCATGCCAGCCATGACACCAAACGCAACCGACAGTGTTCGGCGCATAGCCAGAGAAAAGGCGCTCTCCATCTGATCCTCGCGTGCAACCCACTTGTTGATGAGGATGACGCCAAAGGTAATCAGTGCAAACTGCCCGATCTTGGGATACTTGCCGTTCAGAATAATGTGGAAGCATGGGACCGAGAACATCACCAGCAGAGCGTATGCCAATGCCGGTGTATCCTTGCCCACTTCATACACCAGGAATGCAGCGAGACCCCCGGCACATGTTCCAAGGATCCGATACACACTGACCAGCGCCGATCCGCCCACGGTCGGCACCATGATTGCAGCAGCAGATATCACCATCCACTCGAGTCGCTGGCGGCGGTACTCCAGGTACGTCTCCATGCTCCAGTAGCACGGCAGCGACAGGATTGTGATAAGCAATGCGTACTTTGTCGCAAACTTGACGTTGAGGCGCCGCGCCCACATGCACGCCTTCCAGATCGCATGCGACATGCGCTGGACCTTGGTCATGGGCCGCGGCGCGTGTAGAGAACGTGGGTCGGCAAACTGTGCTACCTCATAGCGTGCCTCAAGTTCGGTTGTCGCGCCGGTATTCCACAGTGCCCAGAACAGACCCACCACCCATACTACAAATGCCCGTGCCTTGGCTGTCAGCTTGCGCGGCTGCATTGCCCGCCGGAATGTCTGCCTAAAGGGCCGCGGCGGACGGCATACGGCAGCGACTTGTGGCAGGATGCCAAACAACTCGTCGACAAACTCGCGCATACTGAAGACAAAGAAATACACGATGAATAGCTGCTCTTCGGTCGTCGTCGATTTCTTCTGGCCGATGCCGTCGCGCAACGAGTCCATGGTCGGCGGCTGGGTCCAGGTGGCTGGCGAATCCATGATCGGGCCAGCCATCGACGCGCGCAGACGCGGGCTAATGGGAAGGCTAGCAAGATCATTGACCGCTTCGTCGTAGTCCTCCTGGAACGCCTGGATCACATCAACCATCTCCGCCCGTAGCCGCATGATCTTCGTGGTCACTGGATCGTAATCGCGATGCCTGCCGCACCGATTGCAGACCCCGCTACATTCAGCAGGATTCTGAGGGATCTCGAACTCGTTTATGTGCACTGGCGAGTCGTCGCACTCGCAGATACCATCGTAGTAGCTGGAGAATAGACGCAAGCTCTGCTGCTGGTCACGGTCCAGCGCATTGTCGACCATGTCCTGCACAGCCATTATAGTTTTGTCACATACCAGCCCGAGCGTCATTAGCGGAGCACGGATCCGCTGAATAACGGCCGAGTATGCCGCCGTGTCGAGATCGCCTTCATAAGCGTCAGAGTTATGGTCAATGACGCGCAGCTCCAGACCGCTGCTCATGCTGCTCAGATGCAGACTCAGGCCGTCCAGACACGCCACCAGGGCCGCGAGCTTCCGCCGCCGTGCCCAGATGTGCCACTCCGTGGGCTCCAATGTGATTTCCGACAGCTGCTTCTTTAGCGACTGCAGTTTTTGGCGGTGCAGCCGCAGACCCTCTTTCAGCTCTTCTGGCTTGGCGCCGTGCAGCTTCTGCTGCGTATTCGACGGAGTCACATCACTAACAATCGGCTCCAGCAGCTGTGGCAGCAGGTCGCGCAGAGATGCCAGGGTGTTGCGTAGGTTCTTGCGCAGATTTTGACCGGCTGTCATCGGCCGCACAAACCACCCCACTAGCATGCTGATGGACATTCCGAGCAGCACGGCAACTACAATGTGCATGGTCTTCTTTCCTACGCTCTCTGCCTAGACTGTCGCGGTCGCTGGGGAATGGCCATGGAACTTTGCCATTGCCGTCGCTAGTGAACACACGTGCCTCGGCCGCAGATTTGTAGTTGACGATCGGCGCCTCGCGTAGCATAACCAGATACAGAACGATGTTGCAGATCGCCGTCGCTGTCCCTACTGATGGCCGGTTGGCGTTGGCCTTGAAGAATGCCAGACACCAGCTGTATCCAAATACAAACACGACCAAGGCTCACCACCTTGCTTTCAAACGCCAGCGGTAGGGCTTCAGGGAACATCGTCAGAATTGCCAAGCAACGATATTGCGCTTGGGTCCACGGCATAGCGCTCATGTAGCCATTCGCCAGTAAACAGAGCTACGTACATGACGCAGCTGGTCACAAACACCCATATGATGCCCACCAGGCCGCCTTCAGTCAGCCCGCTGCGGGTCTTTGCAGCATGGTACCAGATTGTCGCATTGGTTACCAAGTGCGGCGACATGTAGTCGGGGTCGCCAAGCCAGTCGCGCAGAAACGGGACAAATGGAACCAGCGCTGCCAGTGAATACGCAAGCACGGCCTTTGCCACATTCACCTGCTCGGGTGTCAGCCCTGACATCGTGCCGCCAAGCGCACTAGCGATACGCGGCTTGATTGACCGCTTGAATACTGCCTGCTGTGCAGTCTCGGCCGATGATGCTGGTGGCAGAAGCGGGGATGTCTCTGCAGATACCGTCCCAGCACCTTCATACACGCTGCCTTCATCGCCAGTCCCATCGGACACCTCACCCAGTGGGCCCATGCTCGGTATTGTCGGTGTCTCGGGAGCAGTCACAGCACCGAAGGCACCTGATTCTCCTGCATTAGAAGACGTCACCATAGAGTACGTAGACGCCCGCCTCAAACCAGATGGCCACGCGCTCGGCATCGACCGCGGCGACTGGCTAGAATTTGTCCGGGGTGCCGCGGACTCGCCTGGTGTCGTCGCGCGTACGTGTGACCAAATGCTGCTCGCTACGCTGCCGCCGGCGGTCTTGCTACGGTGCAGAGAGCGCTGTTCTGGATGCCGTCGCGAGGACGCGTTCTCCGGCAGAACATCAGGAGACTGGATCGCCGGCCGTACAGGCGATATCAATGAAGCTGTTGCAGGCAGCACTGACGATGCGTGCAGTCGCTGGAACACAAGGCTGGCTCGGTTGCCAGCGGCTGCTCCTGTCGCCGGCGGTATAGCCACAGACGCTGTCGCCTGGGTGCTGTGGTCATTGTCTGAAATTGTATCGCGACCGCTCATTTGCAAACAGAAGCTGAATAGTGTTAATAAATAGCAACGGAGGGAGGGAGGCAAGAGGCACAGACAATATTTGTGGTACTTCAGCTTCAGCCGACTCGTGCCCCCTCCCCCACCGCTTCTTAATCGGTTGTCCCATGCAGCCGAGCTCGTCTGGGATGTCCAAATACGGAAACTACGTCAGGCTGCCACAATCGCACGCTTCGTAATTGCGATGGCATCAGCCTCAATAGACAACACCAGAACAAACCGGCCATAGGGACATGCTTGGGTTGGGAGCGCTCTAGGCCCGTTGGCTGCAGCAAAAAAAGCACGAAAACCGAGATCGTTCATAGGAGTGGCCATAATTTGTGCTGCGGTTCCTGCGGGCTAGGGCGTTAAATTGCAGACTATCATAGAGTGCACTTCCCTTGAACATACACCCTGCTTTAACCATTTCCTGCCACATAGTAGACATATAGACAGACTAAGATGACGTCGAACGATGATAATTACCGGGCTGCGGTATACACAAACGCGCTGATCATGAAGGAGGTCGTGCAGTACCTCGACAAACAAACGCTCGCCCGCCTCAGCCAGGCCGGCCGTCAGGGCTGGCAATACGCGCTGCAGCCGCTGTGGCGGATACTTCCATTTATCAGTGTGGGGCAGATTGAGCGGTTTGGCACAGCTGCTGGCAACACTATCATGATCAAAACACGAGGGTACGCGACGTACGGAGACCTAGTGCATACCGTTGGCCTGTCCTTGCTCAGCGGCCGCTGGGAGAAGGTGAAGCCTGAGCACCTCAAAATCATTGTTGAGAATTGCAAGCGGCTGAAGGATTTGGACATCAACCTGTGCTTGGCAATTGGGCCCGAATGGATTGCGCAGATATTCCAGGCTAGCCCGACCACATCCGCATCGCTGACTTCGCTAAACTTGACTGAAGTTGCTGTCAATGATATCTGGCTAATAGATATTCTGAAGGCTACGCCGAATCTCAAAAGCCTGGAGATCGGTGAAACTGATGTCACCAACAGATCGCTGCAGTACATTGGCGAGTCTATGAAGGCTCTCGAGTACATTGAAATGCGCGACTGCCTTGGAAATCGATGACAATGGAGTTGCTGCGCTTATTAGTGGATGCACGTCATTAAAGTACATCGGTGCGAATAACTGTCCGTATGTGGAAAACCACGCTGCTATCAATGAGGTCAACGAGCGCGGCGAGTGGGAGGATATCGAGGAGTATGTGAGTGACGACTTGACCGAAGAGTTCGATGAAGACGATATCGAAGAGGTAATTGAAGAGTTTGACAACGGTTTATTCTAATACATTTCTTGCCAAAATGACTAGCTGGCCACTATCGTGCTGTATTCGAGCCACCCTGGGTAGTATGCAAGCAGGTTATCTATGTACCCGGCCTGCGCCAGAATGCCCTCGGCGCGCCGAACCCTGTTGCCACTACGGCAGTAAACTACGAGCATTGTGGTACTGTTTGGTGCTGGCAAATTGAACCCGTATGTGTCTTTGAACTCGTCTTCGGACTTGGCCAGTGCGTCGGCCAGCTCAGCCACTGGAAGATTGTGACTGGATTCGACATTCCCCTCGGCGAATTCCTCGGGGGTCCTGACATCGATCACAACGTACTTTCCTATGCTGTCAACAGAGACAATGTCAGAGAACTCGCTAGCGGTTATCGACTGTACTGGCATGCTTTCTTTCATAGAGAACGGGAAAAGAGATAGGGTGGTGTCAAGCGCCGGGCGTGCCTGTCCTTTTCTTCCAAGCCTGCTTAGTAATTCGCTTGCGAAATGCTCCGGGTATCCAATTGAACGCGTTGATCAGGCTGGACCTTTGTAGAACTGCGAAGAAAATGCACCGAGCACGTAATCTCCGGGCAGCATTAGCAATACACTGTTGCCGAGTGTGTCCGGGTAGGTCTCTGCACTTACTCTTGCGAGGCTATGACAGCGCCTGACTGCTGCTCATAAGCATCTCTGCTGCTTGGATTGGCCATCGGAGGGAGGCAAAACTTCAGATCCCGGTACCTTCTTGTTTTACTCACTCGGCTCACTGTCAGACACCTCGAATGGAGCAACTGTGCTGGCTATCGGGCACATCCGCTGTTTCAATAAATTCCTGAACTTATTGAGCTTGACCCTATGTACAACCTCGTCTGTTGCGATGTTGACGTCGCAGAGTCTGTACAGCCTCGCATATGACCTTGCAATGACCTCGTCAGGGATGCCTGCCTGCACTGCAGCCTCAAGGATCCCGAGCCACCCTGTGTTGTAGTTGCCCAGCAAAAGACCCCCTTCTTGTCGCCTTCCTTGCCGTTCTGCCAAAAACTGTTTAGCGACTCCCAGATCTGTGACACACCCAAGGTAGACTCCTCGGCAATGGTAGTGGACACGAATTTGGAGAGCGGGCGTGAAGATCCCGAGTATGAACGCACCTGGTTTATGACATGGGAGCGCGTCATGTCAACCAGCGGCTTAAAGTGGCGGTCGAGCGTACTGGTGAAGGTCCGGCTGGCATCACCACGCGCGAATGCACGGTTGTAGCGCGGTGCTAGCAGCTCCGGGTACTTCAGCTGCTGCTTGGTTACAAACTGGACCTCTTCACCGCTGTGGTTGCCAGACGACGCGTATAGCCCTGGTGCCATGAACCGATCCTCCCTGTTGGTCCGTCGTATTACTAGCCCAATGTCACCGTTGCGTGTTGGGTCCGAAATGACGTCGTCGGCATCATCCCCGATCGCTGCCACCTCGGACAGGCTCGGGTTGTTCCTCATGCTTTCAAAGTTTGCGATCTCGACCGCATCCTGCTCGCCTCCAGGCTCTTCCAACTCCACATCGCCGTATCCTGGATCAACTGCCTTCATCGGATCAACGCCCAATGCCCTGTACGGATTCGGTCCCAAGTAGTTCAAGTACCGTTGGATCCCGATCGGTGGCCACAGCAGCGTTTTGTACTGCCACCCCAGCCTCAGCCGTTTGGAAATTGCTATCGTACGGGCTGCCCTTGGGCACATCCCTCTTCAGTAGAATGTGTCTGACGATGTCATTGTTGCGATCTTCAAGCAAGGCGGTCATTGTGCGCACTGCATCGTGTGCTGAGAGACGGACGTTATTGGGACCTGCATGTCTCTCAGCTTTATATCCTCTCCGCTTGGCCTTATTTTTTGCCTGCGCTGATCCAGCAGTTTCTGCATCCGAGTGATCGTGTAGAGCATCCTTCCCGCTGTCGCTGGATCCAATATCGCTGTCGCTATCGCGGTTTGCTGTGCTGCTGCCATCAGAGAGCTCTGGCTTGAGCTCTTTTCTTTTGCCTGACTCCACTGCGGACAGCTCGCTCTCCTTGTCCAAGGGGCTCATCGGCATGCAGGCCGCCACGTTGCAAAATGTGCTCTCTCTTGCCTTTTCCCTGTCGTGTAGTCCTCGTCGGTATCGTTTTCGTCGCTGTTAAATGTCGATGGCTCAAGTTCGTCGTCGTTGAATAGCTCAGGCAGCTTGTAGTTTACTGGCTGGGTGCGACTGCGCCTGGGCCGTTTCGGCTGTTGTTCCTCGTCTGGTGACTGCGCCTTGCGCGATCGCTTCTTTACGGTTCTAGCCGATTGTGCCATTGAGGGTATGTAAAAAATCGAAGATGTCAATTGTTGTTTGTAACTCGAGAAAAAATCCAGGCTCAGAGTGTGGCAACGGCATAGACACCAGCAACACTTTTGGGAACAGCTGCCCTCCACATATTTTGGCGAACATGTCTTGGTGTATTGAAAGGAATCGCCCACTCGGAGAGTATGGATTTAGACTGTCTTCCTGTCTGTCATGACCCTGACAATTGATCCCAGTCCCCCGGCCTCCACAACTCGCTCGTGCCAGCTCAACAGCACGCCGCAGTTGAACTCGGCGGGCTTGGCCAATCCGTGGTAAATATACTTCAGCAGCACATCCTTGGCGTCATCCGACAGACTGCCAACCACGCTGGCGATATCCTGGGCGCGTGTGGCAGTCAGTACTTCGCTGACCAACTGAGCGTTGGCGGCCTGTGCAGCCTCCATGCCATGGCCATAGGGGGGCTCGGCCAGGGCGCGCTCCAGGGCCTCGGCCGAGTTGCCGCGCGTGATAGCGGCGCGCACAGCTGCGGCTTTTTGGTCGACCGAGGAGACAAGCTCCGACGTTGTCTTTGTGCTCAGGTACTGCATTTGCTGTGTCAGCTCCTGGTTGCTCGCATCGAGTGCGTCAATGTCGAGTTTGCGGTGTGCCATTTCGGGAGATGTAAGTTTCCTACAAGAGTACAATCCACGAGGTCATTGAGTCTGAACGCACTTGAGGCCGTTTCCGCTGTCTAAGTGAAGCATGCTTACGTTTACAGTGAGTATAAAAGGTGCGAAATGGACTGTTGAAAAGGTAAAGCGCGGGCTATGAATTGGCCCGCAATTAAAGGCGGCTTGGCGAGCAATCCCCTCATCCACGCAAAGCGCAACAGCTTGATCCAAGGAGCGAAAAAAATCTTTGGGTTTGCTGCTGCTCTCCCCTTTATTTAGAACCGCTTCCATTTTTCACATTTTTCCAGCTCAAATGGACCCCGACGACCTGTACTCTGGCGGTCCTCGATTCGAATTTGGGATTTCACAGCCAGGCCGAGCCCCTCAGCAGCGGGGTCCCGGACCTGCCACCCTCGGACATTGGCATGAGCGTTGAGCCAGCGACCGAGGCAGGCGCAGAGAGCGACAGCTCTGACACGTCCTCGTCGTCGTCCATGCTGGAAGACGATCTGCTAGTACTGCGGCGCGCGTGGATTAACGAGCGCAACTCGCCCGAGCTCTACACATACGAGGGCGCAGCGCTCGAGAACCTGATGGAGCTCGTCGACTTTCAGCTGCAGAGCCTTGATGCGCAGCCGGCGAGCATCCAGAACGTGATCCGCATGGATGCAGGACCGGGTAAAGTACTTGGTGCGATCGTACCTAAGGACGCGGCTAAACAAGGTCGAGCAGCACCCGGGGTACGTGCTCCGGGAGATGAAGGAGAGGCTGTCGCAGGCCGAGCTCGAGTATGCGGAGGGGTTCCGGAGTCTGCAGGACGCGCACGTGAGAAAGTCGTTCCTGGACCAGTTCCCGGCCCACTTAAGGAGGGTTGACGAGGAAACAAAGGATGGGCTGAAGATGGTGCCCGAGCCGGACATGGACAGGGCAGTGTTTTGTCGCGTCAGGACGACGGTCGGGCAGTTCCAGTTTGACGAAAGGTACGTGTCCAGGCAAAGGCGGCCTGCATATTTGGTACAAACTACTAACATGCAATGTGTAGTGAGGACCCGATCGTCATGAAGAAAGGCAATATTTTCATCACCCAGTACAGCATCATCCGGGACCTGCTACGGGACGGCAGAGTTGAGCTTATATGAAAAAAGCGCGCGGGTGCCTAGAAAAGGCAACTATCCGTGCGATTCCTTGGTGCAGTGGTGAAATTACAGCGCACTGGGATCCTCAAGAAATCGCCTCCACCGAGTCCAAAAGCAATGTATTTCTCCGAGCGGCTCGCTGAAGGAATATTTGCGCCAGTATATATTACCACGAAAGTCAACCTACGGCAGCTCCGTGTAATAAAATTCTCCTAATGCTGGATGCTGAGCGGCATGTGCGTGATGACAGGGATTAGCCCATTTGGTAGCGGAACGGAGAATATTGCATCTGTGACTGGCAAAAAAAAACGATGGTTCCGGGACCACCCATGCGCAATCCCAATGGGGACATGTCCGTTTATTCCCGCGGCTGGGCGACTTTCCAAGCAGATGATCTCGAACCCTGCTGTCCGTCGCCAGCATCATTTCCGGCAGCTGGGCGGTTAGCCTAGGGCGCTGGTTGCTGGTTGCTGGTTGCAGCAGCAAGGTGCAGCGGATCACTAGATGGACAGAGGTTGCGGAGATTATTCAGAATAGACAATTTTTTATCAGCCCAAGGTGCGAATATATCGGGCAAGTAAATCCCTCGAGAGGGCGCATGCACATACGGGCAAGAAAACACATGTTGCCGTGATCACGAGAGGTAGCATGGAATATTTATACAAAATACAGATAAACAAATATAGAGAAAGGGAGGAATGCAACGAGTAATGTGGAGGAAAGTTAGAAGTGCGGGCGCGGGAGGAGCTGCTTGTCCATTGATTTGAGCAGGTCGGAGAGCGGCGGCAACGAGTTGGTCATGTGCGGCGACCGGGCCATCGGCGACGGCGACGCCAGCACCGGCGACGAGGCTGAGGTTGAGTGGACCGGCGTGGACCGCGGCGAGTTGCCGTTGGAGCTGGCGTCGCTGTCGGTGACCGTAGCCAGCATGTACAGGGCATCGGAAGGGCTCGCAACGCGCTGGCGCTTGGTGGGACGCTCGTCGATCTCGGAAATGGAGTCGACAGGGCTGAAGCCGGTGGGCATGGCGATGCGCGGCAGCAGCGAGTTGGAGAGGCGCGGGGCACAGCTCAGGGCGTCAAACTTGCTGATGCGGCAGACAAAGTAGACGTCGTCGAGCGACAGCTGCGATGAGGAGCCAACAGCGCCGACATACACGTGGATGTCGAAAAGGTCGTAGCAGCCAGTGGCGGTGCGCAGGTGCGCGCGCACGTTTGCCGAGACATCGCTGCACACGCGCTGCAGGAGGCGGTCGACAGGCAGTGCCTGGAAAGTGTTGGGATCGACTGTGCGCGAGTGGCCAAGCATCGGAGTGTAGGAGCGCGCTGGCTGCCCCAGGCGCGACAGCAGGCGCTGCTTCATGGAGGCGAAGGCACCCTGCACCTGCGGCACGTCGTGCGGGCTGATAAAGTCGATGATGCTGCGGTTGATGAGGCTCAGCAGGCTGTGGCCCAACAGGGCGCGGCTCACACCGGCGGACGCCAGCTCCTCGAGTCGCAGGCACAGGAGGCTGGGGGTCAGGAACAGGTAGGATGTCGAGCTGTTTGTGGACTCTTCGGTGACCGAGCGGGCATTGTCGGTGGGGGATTGTTCGGGGCGGGAAGCGTGGGTGTTATCGATGGTGGTGCGTGCGGCATTGTGCTGTGACTGCCGTGGGGCCGCTGGCGCTGTCAGGACGGGGCTGGCAGACGCAGTGGCGGGCGAAGCCGGCTGGGACTGGACGAGATTTACGCTGGATTGCATCGCACATGTGACCGCGGGCGGGGCAGAAATAGCCGTGGCTGTGGGCGATGGCGGTGCTGTGGTGGTGAACGAGAACTGGAACATCTGTGTCTCCATCAGCGACTTCTCGGTGCCGGCAGCTGCAATCTTCTTATCCTTCGAGCGGGGGCGCCCGCGCTTCTTGTGCTGGACGTCCTTGCATGTGTCGCACTTGCCCATGTTGACGCACCGGCGGCACGGCCGCTGGAGATCACAGGCGAGGTGTGCCTTTTTGCAATTTGTGCAGGCACTGGGCACATGGGGTTTGGCCCCGCGGCCGGTCCGCGCCGGCTTCTTTGCAGCGGCGGCGGACGGTCTTTGTGACCGGGATGGTGGCAGCAGTAGCTGTGTCTGTCATGGCTGCAAAAATAGTTGAGGAAGGAATTATAGGAGATGGACGGGTTCGGGAATAAAAACGATGGGGGGAGAAGGGCCACCCGGCTGGTTTTATACCCGCGGCGAAACGCACGGTTCCTTCGTCGTCACTGGGGGAAAAGAGCGAAAGCCGTCCCACATAAAAAGGGGGAGGAGCATGTCGGAGGATTTCGCCTTTGGGCGGCGAAAAAACATAAAAAGACTCGCGTTGTACGCCTCAGGCGCCGGCCACAACCCCCCGGGGTAGCGATCACCCTGGCTGGCCTCGGCATTTTCCAAGCACAGGCAGCCAGTGAATTTTCCTCGACGGCGACAGGGGGGAAAACTGCAAGCCTGCGGCAATTTCCTGGCCAGCCGTCTTTTCGTTGTGCAGTCATCCCATTTGTGTCGCGGCCAGGATATTTTCTGTCACTACTGCCCTTGCCCGCTGGCGGAGGGGCTCGTGCCAGCAAACGCCATCTCGAACCACTTCTTTTTCTCTCACTTCCGCGGGGGTTTTGCTTTTATTTCCGAGACCCTTTAACTTCAGCAGAAGAGCTTTAAAGTCGTCGGGAACTCTCGGTACCACGACTGGTGATATTAATTCCTCCCTCTTCGATACACCCTCATTTTAGCGCGCCGACCAGTACAGACTCCACGCATCAGACATGCCGCGGGTGTGCGAAATCTGCCAGGGCGCCAAGGCCATCCTGCGTCGGCCGAAAACCGGCCAGAGCATCTGCAAGGAGTGCTTCTTCCGGGTGTTTGAGACCGAGGTACACAACACCATCGTCGACAACAAGCTGTTCAGGCGCGGCGACCGCGTCGGCATTGGCGCATCGGGCGGCAAGGACTCGACGGTGCTGGCATACGTGATGAAGACGCTGAATGAGCGGTACGACTACGGGCTCGACCTCTTCCTGCTGTCGGTCGACGAGGGAATCTCAGGCTATCGCGACGACTCGCTCGAGACGGTGAAGCGCAACAAGGAGCAGTACGAGCTGCCGCTACTGATTGTCTCATACGAGCAGCTGTATGGGTGGTCCATGGACGCCATCGTGGAGACGGTGGGCCGCAAGAACAACTGCACGTTCTGCGGTGTGTTCCGGCGGCAGGCGCTGGACCGTGGCGCGCTGATGCTCGATCTGGACCATATCGTCACGGGCCACAACGCCGATGACGTTGCCGAGACCATCCTGATGAACATCTTCCGCGGCGACATCCCACGGCTGGGACGGTGTACTGAGATTGCGACGTCCGGCGACGGCTACATTACGCGCTCGAAGCCATTCAAATATGCATATGAAAAGGAAATTGTCATGTATGCCTATTTCCGGAAACTCGACTACTTCTCGACCGAATGCACGTACTCGCCCAACGCCTACCGCGGCTATGCGCGCGAATTCCTGAAGGACCTGGAGGCCGTGCGGCCGTCGGCCATCCTGGACATCATACATTCGGGCGAAGCGATGCAGGTGGCCAGTGAGGTGAAGCTGCCCAGCCAGACCTCGTGCGAAAGGTGCGGATATATCTCGTCCAACCGTGTCTGCAAGGCCTGCGTGCTGCTGGAGGGGCTCGAGCGCGGCGTCCCCCAGCTGGGCATCGGCAAATCGGTGAAGAAGACCCAGGATCTGCTTGCGGGCAGGACAGCCACGCGCTCGGGAAGAGCCGTGGATGTAGTGCATTTCGATAAGCTGCGCAAGCACGCGCAGGAAATGCGTCACGAGCGCTGCACCGGCTGCACCTGTGACACGAGCGCGCCAGGAACTTGAGGACTTTTTTTGCTCTGGCGTGTGGATAAAATATATCGACTTTTTGACTCGGTGGAATTGCACCAAGCAAGTTTGAGCAGAACGCACCCACCGGCCTTTGCGTTCTTGGAACTGCATGCAAGGACAATCGCGGTTTCCCCAAATCGATGCTTATCGATGCTGCCCTTTGTTGGCCCGTCCACCGCGTTGTTTTCTCAACGCCGTCCGGCCATGTGCCAGCCACTCACAGCGCGGGCAGCGTGCAAGTGCGCATATGATCCCGCAGGCTGGCGTCCCGGATGACCCCGAGTGTCACTCCACCTCCACAAGCATGTCGGAGATAACGCTTTCCTGATCAGATTCGCGCTGATCAGATCAAGGCACATGCGTGAGATAATTTTCGCCCATCACGCCTCGCTCAGGCCGGTCTGCTGAGCCAAATCATCCCATCGGCCTTTGGCTACGCGCTTTTTTGTTCTCTTGCTACCTCGAGCATTTTACTTCTTCCAGCTTCCATATTCATTTCTCGTTGAGGAGCAGGCGAAGCGCACCACCACTACCACTTCAAGTATGTGAGAAGATCGCCAGCCGCTATCCATCAGCCATCGCCGGGCTTATGCTAATTCAGAGCACCCTTGCATGTAGATACCCATCCTCCCAAAAAAAAAAGATAGATAGACATGGTTTCGACAAAGACAATCGTTGTGGCCTCTGCCGTGACCGCCGCCGTCGCCGCTGTCAGCTACGCCGCCTACTTTGACTACAAGCGCCGCAACGACCGCCAGTTCCGGCGCAAGCTGCAGAGGGACCGCAAGAAGGCAGAGAAGGCCGCGGGCAAGTCGGCAAAGACCGCCTCGGTAGACGTTGAGGAGCAGGCGATTGAGCTGCTGAACCAAGTAGCGAAGGAGAAGCTGCCGGTGACGGCTGAGGAGAAGGAGCAGTTCTTCATGGCACAGGTATCCAAGGGCGAGACGCTGTCTGCTGCAGGTCCCGGAGCGTATGCTGAGGCTGCGTGCCGGTTCTACCAGGCGCTGAAGGTGTACCCGAACCCGATCGAACTGGTGATGATTTACCAGAAGACCACCCCGGAGCCTGTGTTCAAGCTAGTTATGTCCATGATGGCCCAGGAGGTGCGCCAGAAGCAGGCCCGGTACTTTGACGTGTTCCCGCCGAAGGACAAGAATGTCGAGATCAAGGACAAGAACAAGAAGGAGAAGAAGAGCAAGAAGGGAAAGAAGCAGGAGGAGGCGTCCGAGGACGAGGTCGCGACGGCCAACCGCGGCCTGTTTGCCACCAAGGATTTTGCCGCCGGCGAGGTGATCTACGAGGAGGAATCCGTTATCTCGACCCTGCACCCGCGTGCCCAGAACGGCCAGTTCTGCTACCACTGCCTCAAGGCTATCCCTGGCGCTACCCCACGTGTCAAGAAGGCTGAACCCGAGGCTGAGAGCGTCGATGAGACTCCGGTTCCGTTTGAGGAGTCAAAGATCGAGGAGATCATTGATGAGGTCAAGGAAGTTGACGAGGATACCATTGAGGAGACCGCCGAAGAGGCCGCCGAGGAGGCCGCCGAGGAGGCTACTGAGGAAGCTACTGAGGAGGTTGTCGAGGAGGTTGTCGAGGAGGCTGCTGAGGAGGCTGCTAAGGAGACCACGCCAGAGGAGTCCGAGGCCGAAGGTGTTGCTCTGGAGATCCTGTCGCTTGGCAGCGTCGAGTCTATCGTCGCTGTGGCTACCCCCGCTCCTACACCGATCGTCACTGCCGAGCCCAAGGTTGTTGAGGATGCCCAGGAGGAGGAGGAGGAGGAGGAGAAGGAGGAGAAGAAGCCAACAGAGGAGGAGGTCGCCGAGGCCAAGGACATTGACACCGCCTTCGACTGCAGCAAGTGCCACGAGGCGGTCTACTGCTCAGAGAAGTGCCGCCAGGATGCTTTCGACGCTTATCACCAGTTCCTGTGCCCCAACAGCGGCAGCCCCGCCGCCAAGGAGTTTGCCAAGTTCACCCGCGACATCCACGAGCTGGCCGGCATCCTGGTCGCCAAGTTCTTCGGCACTCTGGTCGACCGCGAGAAGAAGAAGGAGCTTGCCCGCACCCTGGGCGGCGCCGATGACACCGAGGACGAGTACACGACCTGGGAGCACATCGAGCGCATGCGCTTCCTGGAGCTGATCCCCACCGCCAACGACGCCCAGACGCTGCACAAGCTGGGACAGCTGATGAGCGACTCGGTGCCTGGCCTCAGCGAGTTTGTCAACGAGGAGCGCTTCACTATGCTCAAGGGCAAGCTCGACTACAACGCCTACGCTGTGCACGCAGCCGAGGGCGTCGAGGTGCCGGCTGAGACCGAGGAGACGCATGTGTCTGATTCGGTGCGCGACGACCACTCGTCGGAGCCCGTCGGCATGGCGCTTTACTTGATCTCGTCTCATCTGGCACACGACTGTGACCCGAATGTGCAGATCGTGTTCCCCGACAGCACCGACAAGGCAGCCCTCAAGACGCTCAAGCCCATTGCCAAGGGCGACGAGCTGCGCGTGGCCTACGTCGACCCGGCGCTTGACAAGGAGACCCGGCAGAAGGCGCTCAAGGGCACCTACCGCCTGGACTGCACCTGCCACAAGTGCCAATCCGAGTAAATCCAGCACTCGCTGTATTTGATTAAATAAATTCTTGATTTTTCGCTACTTGTGCCAATTGGCCGCAGGCCCGCTTCTAGTCACGAGACCTGCGGGCTGCGGCTAGCAGGAGAAAAATTAGCATGGATGCGGGCAAGCGTTAAACCGAACACGCCCGCTGGCCGCAGACTGGATCAATCCTTTCCCCATCAGAGCTTTTTTCAGAATTGGTACGTTGCGAAGGAGATATAAGCGTGGCCGCATCCATGCCCGATTTTTGAGCACCTAGTCGTATCCATCCGTACTAATTTTCAATTCTGCTGCCAACTCTATAGTAAACATGGTTGTAAGTACCACATTCAGATTCGGCCGGCGACAGTTGATTTCGCGTTGAACCTTTTTTCCCTGGAATCGGATTCGGTTTTTGGTTTTTGGCACTGGTGTCTCTCGCAGAATGTGTCTGTTCTCCTCTTGCGAGCAGAGGGATTCCCGGCATTTGAAGGCTGTAGCCTTCAATTAGCAGTACGGCAGCAGCTGCGGTTGCCGCAGCAGCCTTTTGCATGAGATTCGGACGCTGCGGCACAGGCACGGGGCAGCCGCAGCAGACCGTTGTTATTTGTGGCCGCAGCCTCCTACTTTCACACAGCAAGCTGTGAGACCGCGGTGCAAATTCGGGCTCCCCCTCTTGTGACTGGAGACAGACTGGCTTTTTTCGTGTGGGAGACATGTGAGCAGAGTTCTGCGTAGACAACCAGTGGCCACGGGCTCTCCAGAGCTTGCGAGCACGCAGAGTGTGCAGCAAATGCAGTATGCTTCCTTTCAGTGGGCAGCGTCTACATGACTTTGCTAAACGCGCCTCTTTTTCTTATTTTGTAGCTTGCGGTCGATCTCCTTAACCCGTCTCTCGAGAGCGAGAAGCGCCAGCACAAGCTCAAGCGCCTCGTGCAGTCGCCCGACTCCTACTTCATGGATGTTAAGTGCCCCGGCTGCTTCAACATCACCACCGTGTTCAGCCACGCCCAGACCGTTGTTGTGTGCCCCGGCTGCTCGACCGTCCTGTGCCAGCCCACTGGTGGCCGTGCCCGCCTGACTGAGGGCTGCTCGTTCAGGAGGAAGATCAACTAAGCGAAGCGGCTTTCCAACGAGTAGAAATCCGAGTCTTGCGCTTAGCACGAGTCTTTCCAGAGTTATTTCTTTCCGTCACTGCTTTTTTCGCGAGGGAGAAAAATGTCATTTTTTTTCGTCTTAGAGATTTTCTGTGTTGGAAAGAGATGTCATCTCCAAAAATATTTGCCATCATCATAAGCCCGCCGGTGTGGAGACATGTGAGCCAGCTGCCGCCCAGGTGACGGTAGCAAGGGAGCCTCGCCGCCGCGCTGCCTACGTTCAATTGGCGCTCTTTTCGTTTTGATCTGTTCTAAATATACCCCGGAGCCTCGCAAAGACAGCACCTTTGTGCCAACCTCCTTCGGCTCCCAAACCGAACACTCATACCTCTTGGCGCCGCCATATCAGCGAATGTCTCATGTGTGCCTCTGTCTAAAATGAAATCAACACATGTCCTCTGCAGATGCATCAAAACCATGTGCCGCTTTGCGGCTGCTGGATCGCCATCCTCACCATGCCTGTTTGACATCTCGATGACCCAGGGGGCCGGCGGGGATGCCAATCGAATGGCTATTTGCAGCTGTTGCCAAGCAGTCCGACGGTGCAGACGAAGCGAGAATCGTGCCAATGACATGACCTTGACGTTTTTACTGGTGGTCTGTTGTCGTTTTGCGACAAAGAGCCGGCTGCTGGAGTTTTATTTATATATTGCCAAGCAATATATTTTATTTCTGCGCAGAAGGCTACCGCGAAATTAAATGAAGCGGGTGCCGCTGCGGAGCTGGACATGTGCGGTTTCGGTTGATCGGCCCACGCCATGCCACGTATCAGAAAGACTGCTTCTTGAAATAGTGCCTTGGTCTCTTGCCCGTAACCCGAGTCGGAAGCGCAGAAACCCGACAAAGAGGCTAAAAGCGACACAGCGACCTATTCGAAGACCAGAAAACCTAAAAATAGCGAGGATTGTCGCCAACTCAGTTTCTTATTATCTTTACAAAAGTGGCCATAGCCTCAGGCGTCTGCTGCCACAAGCAGCTGGACGGGTCGCCCAAGAAGAGGCTGTGTTGTGGAGGAAATAATCAGACGGGCTCCATGGTCCGCGGCATGGCAAAAATAGACTGTGGGCTATTCTGTGATCAGCAGGCGAATTGCAAACGGGAACTGGTGCATTGTTCAACCTTGGGGGGAGGCCAACCCACACACAAGCGTCACACAGTCACGCTGGCCTCTTTGCGTGAGATCTCAGGCGTGACGGCAGAGTCTCGCAGTTCCGTGAAAAATAAACCACATTTTTGCTATAAATCGACTGACTGGCCCGTGTGCTGAGACTTTGCGTTTTTTCCTTTCCCTTTAATTCTATTGCAGATTGCATTTTCACTCATCGCCTATCCCCAGTCATCGATTTCCTGCAGCCAAGCACAGGCACCCAAAAAATTATTTATAACATCCTCCTGCCTCTCCTCTTCCATCATTTCGGAAACCCACATATAGAGCTGGCTGTCCCAGTTATTCCTATCCCATCTCTCCTTATCTTCATATGTTTTCAACTCTTTCCATGCCCCCCTCTCTCTCGCCCGCACCCACCTCACTCTCGTGGGCACCATTGTACAGCCAGCCGGCAACGCCAGAGAAGCGATCGCACAGCGACAATGCGGGTGCACTTAGGCCCCTTTCCTTGCGGCCCCGGAAGCAGCATAAGGGCACAACAATAGCGGCAGCAAAGCTGCCACAGATTTCAACAATGGCCTCGAAGCCAGCGCTGGGAGTGCGGCCGCCCAGCATCGTGGTGTCGCAGCCGTCAGTCAGCGCTCCGCGGATAGCGGCATTGGAAGCGCAGAAAAAGCGCGCAGGTGGCGTGCACAAATAAGCGGCGGCCACCGCCGCTGAAGATTGGCGGTGGGCCGTTGAGTGCGCCGCTGAGCGTGCCGCTGAGTCCGAGTATCCGCACGGCATCGTCACCAGTGTTCCGCCTGCCGCTGTTTGGCGAAGCGAGCCCGAGCCTTTATGCAATTCCAACGCCATCGCCGGTGAGCTGGGCACCCAAGTTCTTTGTTACGCCGGCAACCCCACAGGAGACCGTAGCAGAGGATGGCAGCACCGTGTCGAATGCAGCTGCCGCCATCACCAGCGTGGCCGCGCCATTCAACTAGCTTGAAGGCGACGATCTTCGATCAGTTTGGCCAGCCACGCTTGAGTCCGATGGACTTGCGCGGGTACATGGGGCGGCGCAACTAGGCTGCCACTGTTTGTTCTTGCCTAATTTATTCTTCTTTTCTGGTGTATAATAGAAACTATGGTCGTCAACGTCCTTACCATGCTTGTTCTAGTCAACATCTGACGTAGCTTTAGACAGCATGCAAGCGCAGTCTATTTTTAGAATAGCAGAATATGCATGAGGCACCACAAAGCGCAGCCATTCTCCCCCATCAGTCAAAGAGGCATGCATAACCCCGGGCCAATTGCTTTTAATAGACACGCACTCTTGCAAAGGTATCATTGTCTTGGGGCCATTTAGTATGCACGTCCCGAGGTGTAGTGCACATGGTGTAGTGTCTGGCATTAGTTTTGTAGCTGCGCTATATGTTCTTAGATCCTGTCTGTAGCTGTTGCATGGATAAAGCGTTCCTGTTTTTGGATAAATGCAGTGCTGCATGACAGGCCACGCGATGTGGTGTCAGGTGTACATGGAGTGATAAAAAATCAACGGGCTTGGCTATTACATGTCGGCAATACTGATAAGATTGACATTTGCGTCCACCTTGCTTAAGGCAACTACTTGCATAGAAAGTTCTGTATTTCTACGTATCCAGCCAAGCGTGCCACCAGCGATCATCTCCCATCCAAACCCAAGATGGTAGCACCAGAACGCAAGTAATTGCCCTCATCATACCATGATATAGCAGCGACTACCAACTCAGAGCTGTATCCGCCAATTTCGAACCAAGGCGCACTAGCCACATCATCCAAGTGTGAGGGCAGATCCTAAAATGATTTCCTTGTTGAAATCGTGGGCATTGCCAGCTGCTACTTGTCTGGCTTGGAATTCCTTTAATCCCCTACCTTTCTCTTATGCACGGTGTGACATTCAGTACTACATATGTAATTATCAGCCATCGTCGTAACATATAGCAGTATATTTTCAAATACAGCTTCTTTCCATTATCGCTGCCAGAGTACATGGGGTGTCACCATGAGCGCTAAATCAATAGCAACTATTCACACTCCCTTAGAATCTCAAGTACAGTTCACATCCTGGTTCCGCATGCCGGTTCCCACTTTCAAACAAGGAACATGTCTCTGATTAAATCCATGGACAAGGGTCAGATACTATTTTTAGCTTGAAGGTTGTATTAGTGAGATAGGAGAAATCGACATGATCGACTTGTTGCGCTGATACCCCTTGCTGCCGAATTAACCAGAACAATACTAAGTACAATAACCGGCCAGAATACTTTAGGTTCCTGCTCCTGTTGCTGTATTTGCTGAGTTTCACGTAACCAACACTTCGCTTTGTCCCCCTCCACCTTTACTCGCCTTTTAACCACAGTATTTTACAGCATCTTTCCTATATATTCTATCATAAAACCCCCCTGCACTCATTTTCGAAAAGACAATCGACTACATGTGTAGCATGCAAGTTTTCCTGCACCCTCTGTACCCTCATCATAAGCTACCCGCGTTTCCCTCTGCTCCATGTGTGCCATGGGTGGAGAGATGCAGCCCTGGGTAACTTGTGCCGCGAAGTATACTGGTGCACTGTTGCCAATTTCTATGGCTGCCAACGTTACAAAGGAGAGCATTCGCTCGAACGATGGAGATTATATGTCACCCCTAAAATACGGGACATGTAAATAATACAAAGGCAGTCTATCTTCATAGGGCTTCAAGGGATACTCCTTTCTGGGGCGCTACTGGTTTGCTGAGGATGTCGCACTTCGAGAATCTGGCTCCTCCTGGAGTTACTAGTCTTGAGCTTTTTATTGACGACACTCGCGGTTCAAAGGTGTATGTGCAGTACAAAAATATGGCCCGTGCACAGCTGTTCTACAATGAGATCAAATGCATCTTTTCAGATGCTCAGGAGGTCCAAGTATTCTATGACGGTGAAGATTCGTCACACGCAGGCTATGAATTTTGGCATCGGCTGTCCACTGGCTTGCTTCTATGGAAGCCATTGATTGATTTTCATAGAGCCCACTTCAATCCAAACTTTGGGCACTTCGCTGAACCTGCTAAACTCTGTCGGGTGTTGATTGCGTGGGCGGGAAGATAGCCTGCAATGATAGAATTGATTCACCGAAATTCAGAGACATTGGAACAGCTTGATATAAAAGAAGGGAAACTAGCCAACTTTCCCGGGTTCCTCGTTCGGGATAATGGTGAGCCGGCTGTACATTCATGCGTGAAGTTGCTGGATCTGGAGTTGCATGTACTATCGGGAGGCTGTGGCGAGAAGAAGCTGATTCACCCTTGCCTAGATGGTGTGCCATTTCCAGCTCTCCATCACTCTGTGTGCATGAATGGACACTCATATGGCAATGACACCATCCTCAAAGGAAGTACAAGTATAATGGAGTATCTCTGTATACCAGCCCTATCAGTGATAACTGACGTACTCGTCCAGAATGGTGTAGCTGCTGCTGGCCATTTTCCTGCATTGAGAGTTGTGGAGGTTATGTCAAGTGATGATATAGCGCCCAATAATCAGTGCTATTTTTCGGACATGGACAAGGACAGCTGTGATGATGAATACGGTGGATATGTTTTGGATCTATGGTTAGCACAGCTGTTAATAAGTCTAGAGGGCACCAGGAGTGTGAAACGAAATGCCTCGTTGATAGATGAGGATCCAAAAAGTACAGAAGTAAGAGGCCTCCTAAGGGGTTGACACGAGCTACCTTATCAGATGTCATAGAATTAACATGTCAGTCCCCGGGAGACATCTTCGGATCACCGCTTTGGCTTATCCCCAGAGATGGCTGGGGATACTACGCGTTGAAATTTGGGAGAGACGTGTTGAAGTATACAACAGGTGCACTGGATTCAGATGGCGAGCCAGATGAGGCTGTCTCAGATACCTCAGACGATGAAGAGTCAGACGATGAAGACCTTGACATGGCTGAATTATGCCCTCTTGGTGGTCCATGTATATCGGATATGCCGGATGCATTGTATACGCTATAAAGTCTCCTTAGTAAAACATGCTTCCGTCATAATTTCAAATTGATCCTATGGTCATTCCGCATCAGGATTTTATGCGAGCGACATGCTGAGGGCGATTGGCAGTGTGCAGTAGGGTGGTGACAAAAGCTGGGAGCAACAAAGACCCTACCAAAAGGCCCTACCACACCCCTCTGGTTGTTGCCATGACGCCACATCCTGGTGCTGTACACAAATGTGTGGTGGTTGTGTTGCTGGAGGCCAATAAAACATGCACGTATGGTGCCTGCTGCCAGGAGAGCCATTAGCAGTACCTCGCTCGTTCTTTCCGCGCTGTGGGCAGCACCTTGTCGTCCTCTGCAAGGGTATTTGAAGCCGGAGCCAAACCCCGCTATCTTCACATGTACTGTGCCATGCTGAATAAAGTGCTCTTGTAATACAGGCGCTGTAAATTGATCTGATTTATCCGATGGGCAGTGGATATGGCCTATCGTGAACCGTGTAAAAGGGAAACCGGGTGGCCTGAGCGGTGGGAATTGCCGTCATTTTTTACTCGGAGAAACAGCAAAAAAGCACTTCTTGCTGAATAATGATCGTCCTATGACCCGGAGCAGACCGGAATAAGGATGACTTCCTGGTGGTGGGAAAGCTCCTGTGGCCAGATATATCGCGTGTCCTCTGACATGAACGTAGGGGGCAAGGAGCACGGATGATCCCTTGCCCAGGGTTTCAAGCGCCGCCCAAAGCCTTCCTTACCACTGTCGCTGGATAGGCTGGGATTTGCATGGAGGCAGCGAAAAAGCAGTCTCAGAGGCATTCGCAATCGGCACGAACCCCATGAGCCATTGCTGGCAGATAGCGCTCGGAAGTCGCAGGAACCCGTTATCACATTCACGGCATGAGCTGGAGATCTTGTTTACGATTTATACAGAATGGATTTCTTTGGTTTCAACAAACTTCAGTGATTAGAAATTTAGAAGGGGGCACGGAAGTTCTTGCCAGCGTAGACAGCCTTGTCGCCGAGCTCCTCCTCAATGCGGAGGATCTGGTTGTACTTGGCCAGGCGCTCCGAGCGGCACGGGGCACCGGTCTTGATCTGGCCAGTTCCGAGACCAACAACGAGGTCGGCGATGGTCGAGTCCTCGGTCTCGCCCGAGCGGTGGGAGACCATGACACCCCAGCCGGCGCCGAACGACATGTTGGCGGCCTCGATGGACTCGGTGATGGTACCGATCTGGTTGACCTTGAGCAGGAGGGCGTTGCAGGCCTTCTTCTCGACGGCGGTGGCAATGCGCTTGGGGTTGGTCACAAGCAGGTCGTCACCGACAATCTGGATCTTCTGGCCCAGGGTGGCCTGGAGGTGGATGTAGGCCTCCCAGTCGTCCTGGTCGAAGGGATCCTCAATGGTGGAGACAGGGTACTTGTCGGCGAAGCCGCTGTAGATGTCAGCAAGACCCTTGGTGTCGACCCACTTGGAGGGATCCGAGTCCTTGTTCTTGAAGTCCAGGTCGTACTTGCCGTCCTTGTAGAACTCGGAGGCAGCCGAGTCCATGCCGATCTCGATCTTGCCAGTGTAGCCGGCCTTGGCGATGGCCTCAGTCAGGAGCTCGAGACCCTCCTCGTTGTCCTGAATGTTGGGGGCGAAGCCACCCTCGTCACCGACGTTGGTAGCGTCCTGGCCGTACTTGGCCTTGATGACAGACTTGAGGTGGTGGTAGACCTCGGAGCCCATCTTCATGGCCTCAGTGAACGAGGCGGCGCCAGTGGGCAGGATCATGAACTCCTGCATGGCCAGCTTGTTGCCAGCGTGCGAGCCACCGTTCAGGACGTTGAACGAGGGGACGGGCAGAACGAACTTGTCGTGGTTGCGGCCCGACAGGTCGCGGAAGTGCTGGTACAGGGGGACACCCTTCTGGGCGGCACCGGCCTTGGCAGCGGCCAGGGAGACACCGAGGATGGCGTTGGCACCGAACTTGGACTTGTTCGGGGTGCCGTCGAGCTTGAGCATGAACTCGTCGATGGCCTTCTGGTCGGCGACGTCGATGTTGGCGGCGATCAGGGCGGGGCCGAGCTCCCCGTTGACGTTGGCGACAGCCTTGAGGACAGCCTTGCCCATGTAGTCGGCACCACCGTCACGGAGCTCGAGAGCCTCGTGGACACCGGTGGAAGCACCCGAGGGCACAGCGGCGCGGAACAGGCCCTTGTCGGTGGTCATGTCAACCTCGACGGTAGGGTTACCGCGCGAGTCGAAGATCTGGCGAGCGTGAATCTTGGTGATGGCCATTGTTGATATCTAGTGAAAGAATCGAGGGGGAAAGAGAGGGGGGAAGTTGAATCGAAGAAATTCTTGAGCTCTCTACGGCAAGGACGCGACGTGGGCCAGGTCTTATATACTCGTGGCGGCACTTGCATCAGCGCTGCCCAGGAGGAGGGGATGGAAACTGTGCCCATCACACAATGCACGCACTCATGGGGAGGGCGAAGGCGAAGGGCGGGAAAAATAGCGCGCTGCACCCGACAGGGGGTGGGTTGGCTGGCCCCCACCCTACGCATGGGCGGGGAGGCTGCCTGTGGTGTGTTGAGACAAATTGGAGCATGCGGGCCGGTCTAGGTCGGGTTAGGGTGTGTGGTGAGCGCTATGTGCGCGAATTCGGTTGGGGGGCGCGGTCGTGGGCCGGCTCGCCACCCAGCGGTTTTTTGGGAACTCGCTACTGCGAGGACGTCGGGATTCGGTGACGTCGCACACAGGCAGGCTTAATTTGCCAGCACGTCTCCGGCAACAGCAGCTGGCGTGTCTCCCCCCTTTCTGCTTTTAGCGATCGCGCCCGCATGGCCAAGGGGCCTGCAGCAGCCACAGACTCCCCTGAGTTCGCTGGCTGTGCCAATGCGCGGCTCGGCTGGGTGACGTGCCTGGTGGACAGGGTCGGTCCACTCGCGACAGTGTAGATCAAGAAGCTGGGGGACAGAGAAATAAACATCAGTTGATGCTTTCCCGATGGGCCGACAGGCGGACAAGCCAACTGGCGTGCGGTCGGGCTTTTTGGGGAAAAAATGGCCAAACACGCATGATGAAAAGTGATCCTGCATCATCTGAAGGTCAGGAACCGGAGGATTTCTGTCCCAACCGCCGAACACGCTGGCTGCGTTCATTGGGCGGTTAGTGGCCGAATGTCGATGGCAGGAAGAGTGATGTCCATGGGAGCAGCACACGCAGGCGGCGGGAAATCATTCCTGTTGCCAAAGAGCCAACCCAGCGTGCACCTGGGCTGGAGAGTGGCCCGCAATGACATCATGGGTGGGCACCGATGTAGTGGGATGTGAGCCCAGCTGTGCTCTGCATTCCTCGCTTCAACCAACCCGCCCCTTGGCTGGCCGCCTGCAGGTCCGCTGGCTTGGATCTCTCGAACAGCGCCGCCCGCCTCCCGTCCAGTGGCAAGCCAATGCCACATCTGTGCGGTTAATTGGATTAGGTGATTATCCAGGTGCTTGGGCATATATGTCCGCTGCCACGGGGAGCGGGCATGTGGAGTATCATGGCTGAGGTGTAGTGTTCCGGTCATCTGGCCCTGGTGCCTATTCTGCGTCCCATGCATGGCAGAGCCACAACGTACATCTCGCAAGCCTGGGGAGACAACCAGCTTGGGAATTTTTACTATTTCAACCTTTTTGTTCCTCATTTGAGCACTAATTTCGACTAATAATAATAATAATCAGGCGTGCAAATGGCGAAGGCTGCGACAGCCATGGTTATGACCCGGCAGGAGCAGAAGGACTACATCATCAAAAAGGGCGGGCGGGTGCTCAAGTTCACAGACAACGGCGGCGAGCTGTACTTCCGGTACTACTTTGAGAACCCCGAGCAACTGACGTGGTACAAGCTAGTCAGTGGGCTGCGCGTGTTGTTCAGTATCGCGCAGGAGGACGTGTACATCCAGTACACTGACGACACGGGCTCCAAGATCAATGTCACCGACGACGGCGGGCTGCGCATCATGTTCGAGGAGACTGCCAGCACCGACTACGTGCTGGTGCATGTCATTGCTGAGGGACGCACGGCGTCACGCATGGACTCGGTGCAGGCGGTCGAGGGCCGGCCCACGGTGGCCATGCCGATGCCGTCGTCGGGATTCCCGGGCATGGCGCCGAGCCGTGCCGGCTCAGAAATCAGCTTCACCAGCCTGCAGACCGGCGCTGGATGTCAGGCCACCGCGCCCGCCCGTGGCTACCAGTCCTGGCGCCTGGGCCGGTGCCGCAGAACATGAGCCAGAGCGCCATGCAGGCCGGACCTGTAGCCATGGGCCCTGGGTACGGCAACGTCAAGCAACATGTCAAACTCTACGCTTCCCCCGCCACGCCCGCAGCAGCCGCTGTCGGGAATGCAGAGCCCAGTGCAGGGCCACCAATAAATTGCCCCTCTTTTCAAAACAGCTCTGGGTCGATGCCCAGTCGCCTAAGCATGTACGCAATGTCAATGTCTGTGTTTTCGGCACTGGCTGTCTGCCGCTGTTCCTCCATCATCGGTTTGAGCACAGCAAACAGGTCCTCGCTGGCTGCTGCACACGCTGCCTGCCACTTTTCTACCAGCCCGTCGACTGTCTCTGCATCGCCCTTCTCGATTAGCAGATGCGCGCGCTCCAGCATCGCCTACCTGCTCGCGCGTCTCCAGCAGCTCCTTCTGCAGCCTAGGCTTTCTCCTGCAGCAGCTCTAGCGTCTCTTTGTCGTTGATTGCAAACCGCGGCGCCATCGGCGACTTTGACAGCACTGAGCGTAGGCTGGCGCTGCCTGTCTGCGGAGTGCGGAGTGCCCGTCGGGGTGTGCGTGTGGGCGTCTTTGGCGTGCTGGTGGGCGGTGGGCTAAGTCGCCGCTTCTTTGGTGGCGGTGTCTGGCATTCGCCTGCTAGCTCCTTGGCTGGCGTGGGCGGCAGCTTGCGCTGGCGACTTGAACGGCTTGGCCAGGGAATTGCGTGCTGATTTCGTCGAATGTAGCATATAATTCAGAAAGAGCGCCAATAATTTTATTTTAATAAAAGAACAGGCTGCGGATAAGAGAGCAAGGCCTACACCGAGTTTTTGATGATCTCCAGCACACGAATCTCCTGGCGGTACGTCTCGTTTTCCTCTGTGATCTCCTGCCAATCGGCGTCATTAAAGTCGCTGGTGGTCTCCCAGTACGAGTTCAGCTCATCCTCCTCTGGCTTCGTCCACCGGCCGGATCCACAGGTCTTCCTTGTGCCTCTTGTGCCTCTCCCTGTCTTCCTCGATTCTCTTCAGGATCTCCTGGTGCCGCATCCCGCTGCCTGTGGTCGTGCTGCCGCCAACGCGGTTAGCAAACAGCTTCTCGATCTTCTCCATCAATGCCTTGTCGAAATACCCCTTGCGCTTCCAGCCATTGACGACCTTGCGCGCCTGCTGGATATTGGCGTCGCCGCTCGAGTTCTCCGGGATCGCCGCCTGCACGATCGCAAACACTTCCTTTGCCACCAGGTCGTGCCAGTCGGTGGTGCTATTGCGGCTGTTGCCTGCCTAGAATTGCGTCTACCACAAACAGGAGGTTGAGCCGCGGCGCAATTCGAGAGTTTGTCGAGCTTCTCCAGAATGCAGTCCATCAGGATTGTCGGCGACCGTGGTGTTTTTGATCGCAAAACTCGATACCCGGTCGATGGTGGGCTGAGCGCCTGTTCAGGTTATCCAGCATGTTGCTGAACAGGAGGCGCGCCTCGAATGGGTCAATTTCGTCCATATGTGTGGGTGGAGTGGTGAGGTAGAATACAAGTAATTATGCACAGTTGGGGCTGCTGGAACCGTCCACCAAAACGGACAGGGGCGGACTATGCGCACTTGCTGCATAATGTTGCGAATATGGAGCCCGCTCACAACAAAAAAAGATTGTCATCCTGGATGGATCGTTCTCCCCTAGAACCGCATCTTTTTCTTTGCTTGTAAAGTTTTTATTCCTACCGTGCCTTTGCTTACCATGCCGGCAGACGATCGAACAGAGATACCCGTTGATGCATCTTCACAGACATCGCCGCCGCCCCCACGCATGCCCACACCCCGGTTCCTCTACGAGGGCCCAGGTGATCGCCAGCCTCGTGCTGTTCTCGATGGTGGGCGTGCTGATACGCGTGCACCTCAACCGGCTCTTCAGCTACGACGGCGCGCCAGCATTCGCCCTCATCTGGTCGCAAATGGTCGGGTGCTTCATAATGGGCATAGCCTCGCAGCTCAAGGGCGTCCTTGGTCAGCCACTCGCCGGCCCTGAATCTCGGTATCATCCACGGGTCTGTGCGGCTCAATCACCACGTTCTCGTCGTGGCAGCTGGGCGTCTACGATATGTTTTTCAACAGCCAGCGGTACAACCACACGCGGTTCAAAAACTTCCTTGGCGGTATGACCGAGATCACGGTGACATTGGGCGGGTCTGTCGGTGCGTTTCGGCTTGGCCAAATGGTCGGGCGCGAGATCCGCCTGTGCTATGATGCCCCAGCGAGGCCATTGCCAACCGGCCTGCCGATTGGACGGGATGGATACAGGAAATTTCCCAGTGCAGCCGGCCGCCAGACGTGCAGGCTGGATGGGCTGGTCGCAGTGGCGCCTTACCTGACGCAACCCTGGTAGTATTTGCCGTGCTGGGCACAATCGGTCCACTGCCGTGGTCATCGCATTAGCTTGGCATACGCGCTCTGTCAGTGTTGCGCTGTTGTTTGGCCCCATCGGCACGCTCCTCCGCTGGCAGCTGTCTAAATTCAACGCGAAGCCGCCACGCTTCGTGCCGCGCGTGCCCGCAATCTGCCCAGTCGGCACGCTTCCTTGCCAATGTGTTTGGGTCGATGGTCCCTTTCCATTGTGCATCTGTGTCAGACCGGCGCGGTGGTGGGTCCGTCGGTGCCTGCATGCTATGTCTTGGCCGCCATGGCTGATGGGTTCTGCGGGTGTCTGACAACCATCTCCACCTTTACTGTCGAGGTCACTAGCCTGTCGTCGCGGAGATCCATGGCGTATGCTGCCATCTCCATTGTGGCCGCCCAAGCGTTCTTCCTCTTGATCAACGGCATCTACTTCAAAACTGCCACAGTCGACTATGATACCTGTTAAGATGTGAATCTTGCACATAGTGGCACCAGTGCCAGCCCTCTAATTGCCTCTGGACCTCTTGCTCACTTTCTATACACACGCTTCCCTTTTTTCGAATGGCGCTTGCGCTTATTGCAGTAGTTATACAACTAATACCACAAACACGTACGCCATGCCTTGCTGATTCGTATATATTTGCATTTGTTTTAGCCGAATCGCACAACACTACGAAAGTAATGCCTAAGCGTGCCTTGCATTACGCATTGTATGGCGGTCGATAGGCAAATAGATTGCAAGCAATCAAAAGCCGTAGACATTGCCTGCGCACCTGCCACATATATGTATGGATTTGAATTGATGCATACCTGCTAAGAGCGAACAATAATGTTGTTCGGGAACAGCCCAAGTGTATATCATTATTGACTTCTATGTATGGAGCTGCAGAGGGGCATTTTTGCAAACAGACGAATGTATGCGGCCTATTGACTCTCAAAAATGGCATGGCTGGCACTGGCCATGTACGGCTCCAGTAGCCACCATTCCAGCCATCAATGGGCAGCCAAATGGGATAGAACGCAAACAGCAGTCGCTTTGCTATAATCCCTCTCCATCTGCCAGCCATGGTATATAACCCTTCTGCAAAGGGCCTGGCAAAGGCAAGGAGAGAAAAAGCATCAATCAAGTTCACCCTCGATTACAGATATACTCGCCTACTTCAGCAAATGCAGTTCAAGCTCTTCGCCATCGCCGCCATCGCCAGCCAGGCCGCCGCTACCCTCGATGTCCTGACCAACTCGCAGATCTCCGAGCGTCTGTTCGGTCTGTCGACCGAGCAGGTCAAGAACATTGACCGCGCCGTCCACGAGGCCACCACCCCGATCGTCCAGGTCGCCAGCCAGATTGTCCGCAGCATGCGCCCGACCTTCGAGGAGGCCCTGGCCGACTCGCAGAAGATTGTCCGTGAGGCCGCCCAGGTCGTTAACCAGGCTTTCACCCCCGACGTCCGCGCCAAGATCCGCACCAGCGTCATGAACGCCGTCAAGACCACCCTTGACAGCCACATCTAAACCCTCCTATCTCCTATATGTCCACCCGTAGACATGTGCTTCTCCCAGCTGGCTCGCTGAGTCCTAGGGATTGCACGGCTTTTTTGTTATTTTGGTCCATCTCCTTTGCATTTCGTTCAAACCCAAGATTGTCTAGGTTGGTGGTGGTGTAGTTTCACACTCTTGCCACTCCCTCCGCCAATCTTATTATAATATGTTTGCATTGGGTCAAAAATAACAAAAATGTCCAACTAATCAATGCAGATGGATAATGCATTTAAAATGTTCATGAATGGCTCTATGAATTGAAGTGGCGGACGGTTTATGTAGAAACCAATGTGTGGAATTGTGATAATTTAAGAAAAGAAATAGGTGTGGAAAAGAAATGTACACTAGGTGAAAAACAGAAAGTCGAGAAAGCGCAAAACAATCGACATGCGCAAGTATCATGCCTGCTAGCACTTACAGCCGTTGAAGGTTTCATGGCAGGTAGGCACACTGTATTGTATGCGTGCCACAGCAGGTGCACCACTGAAACCCAAAGGCCATATGAGTGCAGCCCTTCATAGCAATGGCTTTGCCCATATGCCGGATATGTGCTAGTTTGACTGGCCATCATGTTTAGTGTATTGCAACGAGAAAGTCTTACGAGGCAAGATGGAGAGGAGGTCGGGATGAACAAGGGTGTGGCAAATGAATAAGATTGTGTGCAAGAATGCAAATGCAAATGCAAAAAAGTGAGAGGTAGCAGTCTCAATGCAATGGCCTAATAGTGCTGGTGTGGTGATGCTGGGTGATGAGGTCGAAAGAGAGTATGCCGGAGGCCGCCATTACCATTTATAAGACTTTTCCTCGTTCAAAAGTCCAACATGTTTCAAGATACTCGTCTTACCGAGACAGAAATAAGGATACCATTAGAAGCATCAAGTATTTCTATTTGGGTATACTTGTTACATCCATTGTGACTGAAAAATAAAATGAAAGTCAGCGGCGCCTTGTTGGCAATGTGCAGAAAACATGAACGAATACGCCTATTGCACATCCTTCAGCTGGCTGGCACAGGCTTCTGTAAATAAGCATGCTTGATGAGGGTATCCGGAAATCTATTGTGCATGAGGAATGCATTGGCTAAAAATATACTGGGTGCTCAGACGTCTCGGGTTTGCGCAGCCTTTCTGCTGAGATGAATACCATGAACGTGGGTAGATAGTCTGACTTCTCCTTGCAGTCGAAGTAATACCTACAAAAGAGGCAACTGGAACCAGTGTAGATTCTTTGTGAAGGTAACGAGTACGCGATAATAATAGTCTGGCTTTTATTTTTACGCGCACATTCGGCTTCTACCCCACACCTGCAGCTACTATCTTTCGAACACTATCAGTAGTAGGGTTCCTGTGGGGTATTGCTGGTACCGAAAGTTGCGGGCTATTAAGATCAGCACCCAGGTGTGACTAGAATGAAATGGGCATGTTCATTGTAAACAAAAGCACATCTACACATCCGAATAACATTAAAAATTATATGTGCTGGACATGGCCAGCGTACGCACAATCTCGGTGATCGCCGCCCTGTTCTCCTCAGAGTTCTCGATCTCTTTGGCTGCCATCCGGCGGCGCACCTCGCGCACAGCCATGCCGATGCTCGGGCCGTGCAGCTCGGGCCAGAACTGGCACACAAGACCGCCCAGGCTGATATCCTCCGCCTTCTGCACCACCGGCCGCTTAACGATGTCAGCCCTGGTCAGAATCTTCTCCTCAAATGTACCCTCCAGCTCCAGCTCGCCACCGACGCAATGGAACCCATCTCTGAATATACTTTGCCATGCCTGTGTGCGCACCGCCCGCTGCGTTGGCACCAACAATAATTATCCATGAAGCACCCTCAGGCGGCACAATGTGATCCCCGCTTTCGTTCTTCAGAGACCGGACCTTGACCGCCATCAGGCGGTTCGGCAGCGTAGCAAACTCGTTGACATAAAGCGTCGTCTGGCCGCCTGGCGAAATCCTGTACTGCTCAAGGAGCTCGTCACTGGCCAGGGGCTTTTCGAGCCCCATCAGCCGCATACCAGCCGATGTTAAGCGCGACCAGCCATGTGGGCTACGCACGCAGCGCTCCAGCAGACTCCGGCTGGGGGTATCCAGATGGACAAATGTGTGCTTTGTAAACTTGCTCAGTCTGATCGACCCGAGTGGCAGACCGTCAATCACCTCCTGCTCCTGGCAGGCTCAGTGATGCCATTCTCACACGAGCATTGTATTCGTCAACCATGGCGCTGACAAGCTCATGCTCGTTCTTGTTATCCATGTAAATTGGTCTGCGGATACACCTGGTAAATAACCGCCTTATGTATGGCCCCGCTGCGGTCCTTGAGCGAGTCCAGGTAATGCTGCATTTTCTCGCACTGGTGTACACGGTCGTCCCACATGGCGACTTCGGAGATGTCTGGGAATGCCGAGATGATATCCTCAACCACTGTCATCTTGTAATCGAATGTCAACGGCGACTTGGCCTTGCTCACACGCGCCTCAAAGTCATCGGCCTGCTACGACCAGCGGCGACTCGCGTGTTGGCGTCTCCTTCAGGATTACCAAATCAAAATCGAGCAAGTTCTTGCGTGCCAACAAGCCAAGTACTAGTTTGCGGTATGCGATGTGCGAGCGGCCAGTCAATAGCACCACTAATGTGTCGTTACGCGCTGTCTCCTTGCGCACCAGCTTGACGACGGGCTCAATCCAGTGGTTGCTCGCGTGCTCTAGATACGGAGGGCTGAGGGTACGTGCGTCGTGGAACCACCCGAGGTCAGTAGCTCATCAGCATCCCGATCAGGCTCGAGTCCCAGAGCTCCGGGTTTGGCAGCGGCGACTTGAACAGTGTGTTGTCAAAGTCGATGATGGTCAGCCGCGTTATTCCCTGCTTGTTCTGGCGCAGCTGGCGCAGCTGACGGCGATACAGAAAGTCATCCTCGGTCATCGGCAGCTCCCAGTCAATCGTGCTGGTGTACACGGGCAGGTTGAACACCGCCGGGCTGCGCGTTGTCTGATACAGGAGCCAGTCTGCAGGCTCCTGCTTGCGGCGCACCGGGGGGCCGGCAGGCGCATTGGCGGTGGAGGTGGAATCGGGCATTTGGCAAGAGGTTTCAGAAAAAGTTTGGCGCGCAAATGGGGACGAATGGAGATAATAGTGTGAATTCCTGGGAAAAGCAGAGTAGAAAAAGCAGCGAATGAGTGGTTGCCGCAGTTGTGTGGCTGTCAGTCGCAGGCAGCAGTGCATTCCCTCGACCCGTGGCAGTTCCGTGAATAGAGAAAACTAAAGTTGCTATGCGTGCAGGATAAAAAAAAAAGGGCATCGTATGACCGATGGCTATTAAATCTGGAAAGCGTTTCTGCATTGCCGCCAAGGCTGGCAGAGGGATGGGCGATTTCTTGGGACCACATGATGGCACACCATATTTGTGTCTGGGACATGTGTGGGGCCAAAAACGAAAACATAGGTGTGGGGTGGTGGTGACAAGACCAGCTGGAACATCGCCACAAAATCACACTTTAGCCACCTAGCTGCCACTCGTTTCCCCTTCTCTTCACCTTGCCAGCACACCCTTTCAACGCCGTTGCTAGGTCTATTCTCTAATATTTGAAAAGCGCCATCAGCACATGACAATGAATATCGCCGATGCCAACCGGCCGTACACGATTGTGGTGCGGATTGACGACTCGCGCGAGGGCTACGCTGCTGCTGAATACGCGTGCTCTCTGTGCTTGAAGCTGAAGGTCAAGTACCGGCTGATATTCCTGTACGTAGTTGCTCTGTACAAGCGGTCAAACCTGAATCTGATCAACCGGCAGACGGAGCAGCTGAATGCTGAGATCCGCGAGAACGCCGAGGACTCGATGATGAAATGCAAGCAGTTTCTGTCGAGATTTGAGTCACTGCTGTCGTTTGAGTGGATCTCGATCAAGGACGAGGGCAATGTGGGTCCGATTGCTGCCAAGTTCATCAAGAAGGAGCTGCAGACGGTCGTGGATTTGGTCGTCGTCGGCAGGTCCGCCGACACTGCACTCAAGACCATTGTGGGCGGCCATGTTAGTGATTATTTCATGAAGACGCTCGAGGTGCCGCTGATGGTGGTCAAGGACGAGTTTGATGTGTCTGACGACGAGTGAATGAATGGGATTCGTACATTAAAATTTGCATAGGAAAACTTGATATGAAAGAAAAACGGTTTACTTCTTGCCAGAGTAGTCGTTGTCGTTGCTGGCCAGCGTGTTCTCGGTCCAGATGCGCTGCAGACGCTCTTGCTCAGCAGTGGCGACCTTGATGGGCTTGAGGAACTTGCGCTTGGCCAGCTTGTACAGCTCGGACATGATGAGGAACACCAGCAGAGTGACGAGCACAACGCCCCACTCCCAGCTGATGCCCTTGAGCTTCAGCACACGGGTGTTGAGGCCAGGGATGTAGAGGCACATGATGCACAGGATGGTACCGCTGATGAAGCCGCCAAACAGGAACTTGTTCTCGTGGAACCGCTTGATCATGCTCCAGTTCCACATGGGACCGCGTAGGCGGCGGCAGTTGTACGAGTGGAGGAGGATGGCAATAGTCAGGGTAGCAAAGGTAGTGCCGCGCGCCCGGTACACCAGATCGCAGCTGTCATTGTACTCCATGTTGCAGTGCTCGCCCATGTCGCCGTTGCCAAAGCCGCTGATGACCAGCCAGAAGTCGACGATCGACAGCATGCCGATGGAGAGACCATAGAACACAATGTCCGACTGCACTTCCCACGAAAACAGGCCGCTGGAGGTCGAACGCGGGGGCTCGTCCATGATCGTCGGCCACGCCTTCTCGACACCAAGGGCCATGGCCGGCGGCGTACCGGTCAGGAGATTGTTGACCAGGATCGCCACCGGTGACAGGGGGAACACAGTCTCGCCATTCGTGTCACTGAAGGCCAAGCCAAGCAGGAGACACGAGAGTTCACCGACGTTTCCGGCAACCAGCACGCAGCAGAAGCGCTGGATGTTGCTGAACACGCGGCGGCCTTCACGCACTGCACGCACAATGGTGGCAAAGTTGTCATCAGTCAGGATGATCTCTGAAGCCTGCTTGGCGACATCCGAACCAGCCATGCCCATGGCAATGCCGACGTCGGCAAACTTGAGGCTGGGCGAGTCGTTGACGCCGTCGCCAGTCATGGCCACAATGCCGTTGCGGCGATGCATGGCCTGGATCATCTTGACCTTTGTATCGGGGCTGCAGCGAGCAATGACATGCGGGAGCTCGGCAGAGCATCAATTTCCTCGTCAGACATGCGGTCGAATTCGCGAGCAGTCATAACCAGCGGGCCCATCGTCACAGCCTGGTGCTGCGCTGGGCTCTTGTCGGTCAGCTCAACAGAGTTCTCCTCGGGCAGGATAGCAACCTGGCGCGCAATGGCGGCGGCGGTTTCGGGGTGGTCGCCGGTCAGCATGGTGACCTGAATGCCAGCGCGGTAGCACTCGAGGACACTGGGGCGCGACTCGGGGCGCGGCGGGTCGTAGATACCAACAAGGCCCAGGAACGTCATGTTCTGCTCGACATCCTCGCGGTCGGTCCTTGTTCATATCAACAGTGAGCTCATGCTCGGTCAGCGGGCGGAAGGCAATCGAAAGCACACGCAGACCATCACGGGCCATGCTCTCAACCTGCGGGTCCAGGTACGGCTGCAGCTGGTCGGGGGAGATGGGGACAACGTGCCTGCCCTCCTGGACCGCCGAGCAGCAGGGAACAACGCGCTCGGTGGCACCCTTGAGCACCAGCAGCTTCTCGCCGGTGATGCGGTTTTCGATCACGACGCTCATGCGCTTAATGCTCGAATCGAACGGGTACTCGCAAACAATCTTCCACTGGTGCTCGTCGTTGGTCAGCGTTGGCTTGCCCATCGACAGCTTTGACGGCGAAAACCTGCAGAGCGACCTCAGTCGGGTCGCCGATGCCGAACCAGTCACCGGTCTCCTGGTCCTTCTTGATCTCGGACATGTTGCACAGGGCAGCAGCCTCGGTCAGCCTGCGGAACACAGGTGACATGTTGTCCTTGGTAACGACCACGGTCTTCTTGGAGTCCGACACCAGAGGCTCGGTCTCGAAGTTGACGTCAGTCTTGAGTTCCTCAGTGCACACAGTCTCGGTGGTGACCTCGCCGACGGGCTCGAATCCCAGGCCGGCGACGCGGAAGAAGCCCTCAATGGGCAGCCATGCACGCACCATGACCATCTTGGATTGCGTCAGGGTTCCGGTCTTGTCCGAGCAAATGTTTGTCACTGAGCCAAGGCTCTCAAGAGCCACGAGCTGGCGCACCAGCGCGCGCTTCTTGGCCAGTGTGTGGACGCCCAGAGCCATGGTCAGCGTGACGATAGGCAACCAGACCTCGGGAATTGGTGGCGATAGCCAGGACCGATGGCGTACAGCAGGACCTCGTTGCTAATCTTGAACTTGTTGACGCCAAAGACGATCAGCACTGAGATGATGGCAACGCCCAGCAGGACCCAGGCCATCTTGTCGAGTCCACGCTGCAGCGGGGTCTTCTTGGGCTTGTCGCTCTCCATGAGCTTCTTGGCGATCTTACCGACCTCGGATGCCATGCCGGTCGCGTAGACAACAGCCTTTGGCGCGGCCCTTGGTCACCATTGTGCTGGCAAAGGACAGGTTGATGCGGTCGCCCAGCGGCAACTCGGGGTCAGTGAAGGAATCAACCTCCTTGGAAATCGGCAGGGCCTCGCCAGGTCAGCAGAGCCTCGTCAGTCTCAAAGTTGAACACCTCGAACAGCCGGCAGTCAGCGCCGACCACAGTCTCCGGTCTCGAGATACAGGACGTCGCCAGGAACAAGGATCGATCGTAGGGATCCACAATCTGATGACCATTGCGCAGGACACGGGATGTCGGGGACGACATCTTGCGCAGTGAGTCCATGGTCTTCTCGGCTTTGAATTCCTGGAAGAATCCAATGGCGGTGTTGAGGATGATGATGGCGATGACGACAGCTAGACAATGGATAAATGCATGCGGAGAAAAGTTAGAAATGCCATGCATGGGAAAAAAAATATACATATTTCGCAATATTCGTCTTCCAAATTATGTATCAACTTACCAGCTTCAATCCAATCCTTTGTGACGAAGGCGACGACGACAGCGGCAATCAGAATCAGCGTCATGATGTTGGCCAGCTGCCGGAACAGGAATCTTGAAGGCGCTGGGCCGGCCGCCACCACGCATCTCGTTGGTGCCGTATTCGGCCAGGCGCTTCTCGGCTTCGCTGGTGCTCAGACCGTTCTCAATATTTACATTAAGATCTTGCTGGACAGCACCGATGTTCATGCAGTGGTAGTTCTTGGCGGACTGCGCATTCTGCGCAGAGGAGTTCTTTCCACGAGCCCATGACGGTGTGAATAAGAATCGGCGATGTGGTAGAGTAAAATTACAGGAGAGTGAATTAGGCTGCTAGTGATAGTGGTAGCAGAGGGGTAGAGGCTTTAGGGAGTAGTTTTTCCTGAAGTGAAAAGATCCGGCACGTAGAGAGGACGGGCGGGACAGTGCCTTTATATATGTTTAGCCACACTGAGGCGCGAGCAGAGGTTTCTCTGCGTCATTGCAATCTGACTCAGGTATGCAATAGGATGAGGCGAAACTTTTGCCTTGTTTCCCTTCTAAAATTCCACAATAATTTTCTTTTTTCACCTGCGGAAGATGTCCCCATAGAAGGCACTTTGTGTTCCTGAGTGGAGCCAAAATATCATTTCCGGTATTGCACTGGAAATAGAAGAAATGGTTGAGAGCGCAAATTACTCTGGCAGATAAAAAACTAGCACTGGATAGGTGGAGGGAGACATAATGGACACAGAAAAAGGAAAGTGGTGGTCACATTCTAGACGTCGCGTCCATTCCCGCAGAGTGGAAAATGGACAGTCTACGTAGAAGATGTGCCAGTCAAATCTCCATCGTCATTTGCCAACGCGTAAGATATTCGTAATTTCAACACATTGGCCTTCCACGCAGAAAAGCGGTGCCGCATTTGTACTGCTGCGTTGTGAAAGGCTTACCCCGCCAAAGACACATGCTCCAGCCAATCGGGGTGCGCTCCGGCACCCGTGCACTTGTCCCGTGCTCGCGTTAGCTTGAACTGTCCCTTTCTCAGTCACCAGCCGCTCAATGCAAAGGGCTCTGTGCGACCTAGCCAGTGTAGCTCTTATCGCGTTGGGATCGCTAGTGGACAAGCTTCCCAGCAACCGCCAGGGCCCGTCCAGTGCATAAAGTCCCGACAGGGTTGACTCTGGCCAGCATGGCCCGCAGTCCCCAAAAACAGCAAGCGACATGACGACGCCATGAGCTGCGGCTTGGTCTCGCCAGGTGATCAATGGCTGTCAATCTCTAGGGAGCAAGAGACACGCTACTATAGCCGCCGCTGATGCATGGACATGGCTGTGCTCATGCATGTCTGGAGCTATCGCCACCGAGCACTTAGATGGGCGGGTTGAAAGGAAGCGCCGACTGTGGCACCAGCCAACCGCAGCGCAGGTGCAAAGCTCCCCAGGTACTCGCTTTGCTCTGCCAAATGCGCACCCGAGCCCGGTACCGGGGGAGAGCAGGCAGACCACCCCCGTGCCAGCCCAGATCCCGAGGCTAGGCGAAAAAAATAAGCTAATGAATCGCAGGCCATTGTTTGCGTGCAACAATAACGCAGGTCACCGACGCATCTGCCGCTCGGCACCAGCCAGACAAACGGGCGGCGAACAAGCAGTAGACCGCCCAGCGTCTATGCAAGCCTGCCGCACACCCCCACTCCGACTCGTGCTCTCGACTTCATTAACAGAAGCCGGTGTTTTTGGAAATTGCTGGACAGCAGTTGTTCAAATTGGACAAGGGCGTTAGAGAAAATTTTGCGCACTATTAGTGGGTGCCTCGTCCATCGCGTGGTCCCCTCTAGCCCCTCACTCCTTTCGCCCATTTGCACGAAATAATATATTGCACGCTTGCACATTTATACACCTGCTTTTTCCCCCATTCCATTCCATTCCACTGGCATTTTACACCCTTCCAGCCATTCCTTGCGCGTAGTATTTCCTGGCCCGGTATCCAGCAGACATGCACGCGTTCCAGCCGAAAGTCCAAAGGCAAGCCAGAGCTGTCGCCGACGTACAGCGATGCTGACATAGGCACACGGCGTTCAATAGACGCGCGCCAACGTCCGGGCTACCACAACGACCGCCAGTCGCGGCTTAGTCTGGACATTGAGCGGCCAGCGGTGAATGAGATTTACCGGACGTCGAGCAGCAGAACAGCAATTTCGCCTCCGTCGAAGCGTGGCCAGATACAGCACTGGGCGTCGTCATTTGTTCGCAAGGGGACGTCGGTCATCAGCGGTGGTGGATCACCAGCGACGCGGCAGCACTCAGCAGCAACCAACACCGCTGTCGCCCGGCACATCCTACCCGTATGACAATAACGGCTCACTGTATGGCGATAGTGAGAGTGCTACTGCGCGCAGGCGGCAGTGGCGGCAACAGGGGGTATGCGTCGCCCCCAAGCCACCATGACGGCAGCATAGTAAGAGGGGATCCAGGATCGGCCCAGCAGTTTGACGACAATGCAAACTACATCACTCCCACTACGCCGCACCACCGGCCGTCTATTTCTACTATTTTGTCTGGCGGCCCGCACTCGGCCGAGGCGCCGCGCAGGACAGGCCCTCCGTCGGCTGTCTCCAGCATGAACCGGTCGCGCACCACACCGCAGTCACGCAGTGCTAATCGGCAGTCGGCAGACATGACCACCAGCGCAGCCACCAGCCACATCAACGGCCGAGGTCGGCGGTTCTCCCAGGTCGAGTACGAATCGCCGTTTGCAGCAGGACGGCCGCCGCAATTTAACCTCGACCCGTATGCAGCGGGCCGGAGCTCCTATGATGAAGCAGCCCAGCTTGCGCCAACAGCACCGGTGCGTGAGATGTCGCTAGGTAATGTGCATCACACAGCAGGAGGTCGTGGTCAGGACTGCGTCGTTTGACATACCGCCACGCGCTGGCGACGAGCCTCTTATCCGTAGCCCCGATATTTCCAGCATATCCGTCGCTAGCGGTGGCGGAGGCATGCGCCCGCGACACACACGTGTGGGCAGTGCTGTATCGCCAGTGACACGCGCCAGCATTCTCGAGGAAGCACGGTACAACACCGGCATGCCATACCGCGACCTGCCAGGCCGAGCGCAGCACCACCACTGGAAGGCCACGTGCAGTGAATTCGTGGTATGATGCAGTTCCCAGCAATGCACAGAACGAGCGGGATGCCTATAGCGAGTCCTTTGCCTGGGGAGCACCGACTCCTGCCACAGCAGCAGCTACGCGCCAGCGCACAAACTCATTTGCCTGTGGGACCCAGAGACCACTACCAGCACCCCTCGAGGCCAGGAGGCACTCGCCATGGGTACAGACACTCGCAGGCTGGATCACTGCAGATAATGGTCCCAGGAACAGCGTCGGTTGCGGGCAGTGCACAGACCCGTGACCGCAGGCCAGGGATCCGGCAGCCGGTCCACTGAAACCGCGTCAGTCCATGGAAGCTCGGCAATCCCCGGATCTGCAGCGCCACGCAAGGCACGGAAGCAGCAGCAGAAGAGCAAATATTCAAAGACGCCGATTAAGAGCAACTGGTACTACAAGGACGAGATGCTGAGCGAGAGCGAGCTGAAGGACCAGGATTTCTCGTCGAGCGATGAGGATGAGTTTGGCAAGGAGGGCTGTGTGCCCAGCGGCGATGTGGCGACGCAGCAAAGGCTGATCCAGAAGCAGCAGCGCGAGATCTTTGACATGAATATGCGGATGAAGATGATGACCGAGGCCATGAGCAAGACAACCAGACAGCCGTTCGAGACCCTACTGGACAACTACCAGCGCACCTGTGCATCGAATCGCCGCGCAAACCGTGAGCTCGAGGTGCTTCGTGCGCAGATCGCCGAGCTGAAGGGGCAGTGTGCCGAGCTCACCGACCAGGCGGCCAATCCGCCGCCGTGCGCACTGGCCCACGGAATGACTGATGAGGAGCAGGCGCAGTTTGACGACTTGCAATATGAGCTCGAGTCCTGCCGCCAGAAGCTCGAGGATGAGATGAGCATCGGCGCCAGGCTGCGAGACAACCTTGCTGAGAAGGATGCGCTGCTTCGTGAACAGCAAGAGTCGCTTGTCCGTGAGCGGCAGCGTGCTGACCGCTTGAAGAAGACATACGAAAAGCAGCTTGCCACTGCGAATGCAACAGCCAAGTCCGATGCAGCCCAGCACAAGGCTACCAGTACTGCTGCTGACGCTTCTCCGTTCCGTGTGCGGGCTGGCACTGCCACCACGACAAGCGAGACGCTGACGCTTCGTGCGCCGTCGGAGCTTTCGGGTGGAGATGATCACATGTCGCTGAGCACAGCGCGCTTTTCGCATGCTGCAACCGCAATTGGGAGCCGGTACGACGCCATGAGCAAGACTGAGCTGATCGGATTGGTTGAGGTGCTGGAGACCGAGAATTCCCGGCTGCATGCCTCGGTCAGCAACATGGAGAAGGAGCTGAGCAGGATGCGTGCGGAGACGAAGAGCTATGAGGAGCAGCGCGACACGATGCTGGGCACCATCCGCAATCTGCAGCGCGAAGAGGTCAGGGCTAGCGCCAACCCGATCGAAATCGATGAGCTGCAGCACCGCAACCAGATTCTGGAGGAGGAGTGCGATGGGCTGCGCGAAAAGTGCAGTGCTCTGGAGCGCCAGCTCGACGATGTGCAGCGCCAGCTTGAGGATGTGCAGCGGGAGATATCGGCGGATGTGAAGGAAATGTTCCGCGATGGGGATTCAGATACGGACGAGTTCATGGATGCTGAGGGCTCGGGAATGGAAACCGAGGAGGGAGGGGGTCAGCGCCGGAGTGCGGATTTCCGAGGCATCGGTGCGGCGCAAAAGGCCCAGATTTCTCAGCTGGAGCTGGAGAACAGGCATCTGCGGACCAACGCGGACCTCCTGGAGCAGCAGGTGCTCGACTTGCAGCAGAAGCTGAAGAGCGAGTCCAGCCGCTTCTACCAGCTGAGCCACGAGTATCTGCGGCCGGTGCTACGCGAGATCACTGTGGATGCAGCTCAGGCCGAGCGCGCAGACGCATATGTGCGCCAGTGGGGCACGCAGTCGAGTGTGGGCCTGGCAGCCGATTGCCAGCATGAGGCACCGTCCAAGCGAAGCAAGAGCCAGGGGATGCTGTGCAGCTATGAGACCATTGACTCGTCGCAGTCGTCGATGCTGGACCACGACGCACTGGCTGGCCTGGATCTGTCCAAGATCAGCTCGTACGATGAGTTCAACGGTGCTGAGAGCGTTGATTCGCTGCAGGAGCCGCTGCGTCCAGCGCCCTCTGGCAGGGCGGACGGTGCAGCGAGCCGGAGCAGTGAGCTCGAATGGCGCAACAGCATCAAGAGCTTTGCCAGCGGGATGTAAGCGGACCGGCCAAACCACTCGATCCATTTTAGTATTTCATTATGTATCATTTTCTTTTTATCCGAATCTAAATTTATTGCCTTTGACCAGCCTCGCCCTGCCACAGCGCCAGACGCTCGAGGGCAGACATTTTCGGGGGCTTGTTTCCGACCAGACGGACCTTGGTGTTGTGGGCCTCGCGGGGCACGAAGATGGGAGAGTCGAGGGAGAACATCTGGAGCAGGTTGTTCTCCTTGAGGCGCATGATTGACATGTTGAGGGCTGTGGATTCCCGGGCAGGCGAGTCGCGCAGATGATGCAAGATAGTGAGCAGGCCCTTGCGGGAGAGCGCGTGTGCGTGCATGCAGATCGGCATATTGGCATGGCGTAGGGGCTTGAAGGCAACGTCGACTTTTGGCTGTATGTACTCGAAGGCGCCGCAGTGGCCAGGGAACAGCATGTCCCAGTCGGGTGGCAGGTGACTGTGGACCGCACGCATGGTCTTTTTGACGGTAATCTCAATGTCAAGCGAGTCGTCGAGGACCAGGGCGGACTGATGGCCGGCATGGGCCATATTGTGCAGCACGCCAAAATACGTATGCCATGGGTCATTGACCTGGGGCACAAATTCTGCCGAGATCTTGAGCATCTGCAGGAGCTGAGCGGAGCGGGTGAGTCTGTCCGGGAAGGCCGGGTCGTGGATCACGTAGATGTGGTCGAAGCCGAGCTTTGCGTACACCTGCGGATGGTATTCGGGCAGAACAGGGAGGCTTGTTTGGCCTACCTTGTACGTCTGTAGGGCCGAGCGCGGTGCAGCGGGCAGGGGCTGGGGCCAGAGCGCGATGCCGACGAGCAGGCTCAGGAGCAGCAGCAGCAGCAGGTGTGGGCGGTGGGATGCTGTGCGCTTGGCGGCATCGGGCGAGTCGGGAGCATCGAGCGGTGTATACATGGTTCCACGTGTATATGATTTGTAGATGGCGGAATGATAGTGAAAAGATGCAGCTTGGCGGGTGCCTCCTTCTGTGTCAGACACCAGAACCACTTTAGCCTGCATAGTTGTAAACAGTGGCCGCTGCTATTTCTGTAATGCGTATGTCGGGAATGGCATGCATTTTGATTTGAGTGCGGAGATATGGCGAGGCGGAGGCAGCCCAAGAATGACGTATGGCGTCCAGGCCTGGCTCATTCTTGATGTTTTTCTTTCTTTTTTTTGGAGAGCGGGAAAAGAAATATATCTGGGGGCAGATGCTATTACCCGGTCATATGCTGCGTGGCGTGCAGTGCTATACGGAAAAACGGCTGCTGTGTGGCAGATTTGGGCGTACTGAAGGCGGAGATGCCAGTGATTAGTGAAGTAGAAGGGAAATCCCGGCGAACCCAGAAGCCCTTTATTCTCCTGCTTTATCGGCGGCCATCTACGACGACTAGAACTGTAGTGGCGAAGGCTCTGTGAAAAATAAATAAACAAGGTCGCCCCACTGGGTGGGCATGTGCTTTGGTTCTCTGTTGCCAAAGATGGGCAGTGCGAGAGTTGGCTGTGTTGCTGTGTTGCTGTGTTGCTGTGTTGCTGCTGATCGCCGGGGACAGGAGCTAGAGGCAGAAAAACAATTGTCTTTATGGTGGTTTTCTGTATCTGCAGCGATCGGGCCAATCAGGAGGCAGGGAACAAGCGTCTCCGGTCTCGTGGGCAAGGCAAGCGAGGCCTGTGTGGCCAGCTGATTGCCTTTGATAGCGAAGCGGTGGGGAGAGGAGTGATTTTCGGGCCAGGGCAGGATGTGTGAGAACGGCTGTGCTCATAAGGGGAGCAAATGGCATCGCACTCCCGGGGCGGCGGCTGTATATTTTCTTTGCTGGTTTTGGATATGCTCTGCTGATTAAACCGGAGCACCTAGTCCTTCAGGTATAAATACAAGCAGCGGGCACTCGCCCATTTTGTTTCCTTTCTTTTTGTTTCGGATGCTGGGTAATATCTCGGGTATCCAATTGACGTTTATTTTCTCTTTTTGTATTTATTGATTTGTTGTTGTACACGATGGTTATGATGGCGACAAACAGGCCGGACATATCGGTGGCGCCGACAGTGAACTGCTCGCTGGAGGCAGATGTGCGGCAAAAGAACCGGTTCGTAGTGCAGGGCGGGGGCGGGTCGCGACTGAGCACAAAAACGACGCTGGTGACAACGACCAATGTGCCGGTTGAGGCGGCGGGGCGGCTGACGCAGTCGGCGCCGCAGAGCCGGATAGCTGCAGACGGGCAGCATGCAGTGGACGGGGCGCTGTCGCTAACAGTGCGGCCGGCGGGGTGGACACAACGCATCCTTGGAGCAAGCATTCGGCGGCTGGGCGCAGGCACGGGAGGGTTCGTGGACCTCCATCGGTCGGGAATAGTTAACAAGGTAAAGTGAATATGCAGAGCGATCAAGATTGGAAGAGGTGGAAAGAGAGGAAAATTACATGTACAGTGATCGATATATTAAAGTGGAGGTAGATGCGCATTGAGCAAACAAACCATTGGTGGCACATGCAAATATGATTTGAGACAAGCAGGCTAATATGCGTAAAGTAGGTGTTTGCGGTGAAGACGTTTGCAGGCAAGGAGGCGGGGCAGGGCGGCGTGGGGGCGCTGAGCCGGCGGGTTCTGGAGGAACTCGGGATCGCCATGAACGTGCACCACCGCAACGTGGTGCGGACATTCGAGGTGGTGGTGGAGACGGACCAGCGGTGCTACGTGGTGATGGAGCCGTGCGCCATCGACCTGTTTTCGCTACTGCACCGACACACCGCTGCCCAGGGCGTATGTGTACCGGACCAGCAGCTTGACTGCTACTTTGTGCAGCTAGTGCGTGGGTTGGCGTATCTGCATGCGATCGGCGTCGCACACCGCGACCTGAAGCTAGACAATGTGTGTGTGACCAGTGACGGCATCGTCAAGATAATCGATTTCGGCTGCGCTACGCTGTTCCGCCGGCGGGTGCCCAACACGCAGCCGCTGCTGCCGAGCCGCGCACAGTCGCACCCGCCAGGCCCCATGCAATCACATCTGTCGGGCCGCGCCCTGCCGCGATTGCGCAATACCACAGGCCGTCGCCCGGCGCCATACAATATACCGCGGCCAAACGCGCCGGCAAAGTCGTCGGCAAATGGCGCCAGCGAGCCTGCCCACCACTACATCGAGATGCTATCATCAGGGGTATGCGGGTCCGACCCGTACATGGCACCAGAGCTCTTCACCAGCACCCACTACCTGGCGCCGGCAGCCGACGTGTGGGCGCTGGGAGTGATATATTTTGCAATGCGACACATGCAGTTCCCGTGGGCGATTGCGCAGCCGGCGCGCGACGCACACTATGCGGCGTTTGCGCAGAAGCCCGGCAGGTTTTTTGACGCGTGGTTTAAGCCGCGTGAGTGGGCGACGAGCTTCCTGACGACTAGAAAGAGCCATGTGAAATGTGCGCTGGACGCCAACGCCATTATGCGAAGGATCCTGGACCCGAATCCGCGGACACGCGCACAAATTGTGGACATTGTCGGAGATCCGTGGTTTGCATCGCTCGAGTGCTGTGTGGACAGCGAGACGTGTCGGCACGACCACTGGGTGCCGCAGATATGAATGGGCATTTCCCTCTCTTTCTCTCTTTCTCGAGCGCATATTGCGGAGACGAGCGTAATTGTATGTAGTTTTCTCCCCCTCCCTTTTTTGTACATTCTCACGTAACAAACTGGTTCATGGTCATTTCCAGCATTCTCCAGATGCTACGTTTCTCAGCCTTATGCATGGGCATTGTGCAGCTTCCGCATCCCTTTGTTGTACATGGTCTTTGACCCCTTTTTTCCGGTAGCACTTTTTAGTATACATTGAAACAGCATTCAAAGGATGATGGCGATTTCGGGCTCGCACGCAGCATGGTGGTATGGGCGCGCCATCAAGGTGTACTTTGGCATCAGCATTCTGCTTTCCTTTATGTGGATCCTCAAGCACCTCTACGTGGACATGCCGACAGCCTCAGCTCCATTTGCACTAGGCCCACCAGCCCAGCAATACTCGCAGGCATTCACCGACCACATATACTGCCTGAACGTGCAGAATCGGCTGGGGCGACACGCGCGCATGCGAGCCCTGCTAGAGTACATGCACCTGGACGGCGAACTGTTCACCGGGCGGCAGATCTCACATCTGGACGTCTGGCGCAACATCATCAACAACAACTTCCGCCACGCACTGGTGATCGAGGACGATGTGGACTTTGAGGTAGACTTTGTCGAGCGCATCGCCAAAGCCATGGCGGCTGTGCAGCGCAAAAAGTGGGACATTCTATATGTCGGGCACTGCTCGATGGACGAGGGCCAGGGGAAGCCGCGCGGACAGGATGTCTTCAAGGCCACCAAGCCGTTCTGCACCTCTGGGTATATTGTCAGCCGCAGCGGGGCGCAGAAGCTGTTTGCATATTTCGTGCGCAACTTGTCGGCTGCCACCCTCGACGTGTCGATGGTCGCGCTGGATTAAGCGCAAGCTGCTCAATGCGTACTCGCTGTTCCCGCCCGCCGTTTTCCAGCGTCGTGACCTGTACCCGGCCGACGACGGCATGGAGCTCAAGATCTCCAAGCTTTTGACCAACAGCGCGTGGGACGAGGCGAGGAGGCTGGAGCCGCGGCTCGCCAACTGGACCGAGCCCCTAGACCGCCAGTTCCTGGACCCAGGCGTACCAGCACATTCCGACATGGATGAGCGTAGAGAAGCAGATGGTCAATTAAATAAAAATATCTACGCGCGACACATCGCCCGAGGTACCCACCAGCAGGCACTGCGCTGGGTGCATGGGCTGCACGGCCGCCAGCGATGCGCCCAGCGGCTGCGTTGGCGCCTGCACCAAAGTCCACCCAAGCCCAATGGCGGAGCTGCCGATGCTCCTATACGTGCTGCCTTCAAACACCTCCAGAATGCCACGCCGGGCTACATACACGACCAGGAACAGCCAGGCCGGATTTCTCCATCCACGCACACTGGCTGCCACGCACACCCTTGAGCATCTGCACCGCCTCGCCTGTCGCCAGATCAACCAACCACAATCCGCCCCAGTCCGTCCCGACACGCCGCCACTTGGTTGCCCGGGGCTTCTGCGATCTCCAGCACGCGACGCGGCGGGTCGTGCAGCCAGAACAGGCACGGCACCAGAGCTCCCTGCGCGGCCTCGGCCGGAGCCGGGTCGCGGAACAGATACGACTTGGCCAGGCCCAGCACCGCCCCTGTGACACGCATAGCCACGCGCCCGGCGAATATCCGCCGCTGAAACCGCCGCCGTGTCTGCGCTGGTGCCAAACACCCCCAAGGGCCGCGCCCTGCTGCGGCGCCACCAGGAACCGCGCGGTCACTGCATCCACTGAGCTGTGCGCTTTGGCCAGCCCAGCCAGCGGCTCGTGCTGCGGCCCACAGCTCAATGCATCAGATATCCGGCACGCCGAACCGCCACTTCTTGTACGCGAACCCCGGGCATTCCTCGGCCGACGCGTCGACGCACAGCCGCAGCGCCAGGTACAGCGACTGCCCGTCAATGCTGACCAGGTGACCATCAGCAAACGTCAGATTGACTTCCTCGGCGCCGAGCTCCTCCATGCGCACACGGATGCCAAGCAGTGCGGCGCCATGCAGACAGTGCGTGGTAAGCAGGTGGCCGTGCTGCGAGAAAATTCGCAGATGCCCGGTCTCGTAGCCAACCGCCACGCACACTGCCGCCTGCCTGCCTCGGCTCCGAGCTGTCGAGTGTAACGCCAAGCAGCAGAGCGCCGTGATTCGCTCCCTAAAAAAAGAAATGAGCTCGGCAGATTAATAATGTTGTGAAAAATATCCCCCAAAAAAGGACTCTCTAGCAGGCTTACCCTGATATCGACGCCTCCGTGCCAACCGAGACCAGTGCGCACTCCGGAGTGCGGCCCGGCTTCGGCCGTTCGCACAAGAACATACTGTGACTCGTAAGCAATTGCCAGGAAAGCCCCGTCGATTGACGTGGCGAATTTGCACGCTGATAGGGAGATCTCGTCTGTATCATGCAGAAACTTGAGCACTGTTCTTGGCACCGTCGACCGCAGCGTCACGCCCACCTGGCGGTTTCTAGACGTAGCGATCGTCTGCGACATTTGTTTGTTTGCTTTGGGGAAGGGAAAGTACTATGAACAAAAAATCAGGCTGCGGCCATTCAAAGCCAGTACGACCTGCTTCGGTGGTTGCTATGTTTGAAAAGTGACACCTCGGCATCATATGGGGCTTCTAGGAAGTAGGCTGTGGATGTCCATGTTTTATCAACGGCCCACCCATCGATTCGGGTATTCGATCTGATGGTCCCCCTGTGGGGGTCGGGCAGGTTTGCGCCGGAGCTTGGTGATCCATCCAATTGAGCTTAAAACCGCTGCTTCAATTGTGGAGCACAGCGCCCTTGCTCCATTTGGAGCCCTGCTACGCTAGCATCCAGGTCACTGGTCAGACACCTCTACCTGCCCCTGTGCCAGATCGCAAACGAACAAAACAAGCCCTGGTCACAGTAAACAATGCATATCTGACTGTGTTTCGCCGGGCAAACCCGCACAATTCATGTTGACTCAGATGGCCCTCCAAGAGCGATTCCCGCGTCACGGTCAATGAAGTGTGCCAATCTGCTTGGCGCATGAAGACGGCCCAGGGGCTCAAGCAGAAAGACGCCTTATCAAGCGAAATGCGTCGCTCGGTTGTCATAAACCGCCTGTGCGAACGGCCCTGCTACTATTTCCAAACAAACAGCCTGACCAGTGTCAGGAGGCATGACTAAGCCGGCGCCGAGCTCTTGGCGTAAGACAGCTTGCTCTGCAGGGTAGGTGACAAATACAACAGAAAATCAGCAAGCCGTTATCGAATGTTCTTGTTTTAAAAAATCCCTCAAGAAAATAGCAATTTTTCCTGACAAATGTGCCAAGCTGCGGTCGCGCCATGTGGAAAAGCCCCTCACAGACAAGCTTTCTTGGCCAAGCCCCCTTGGCTCTGGGCAGACCGCATCCTTTTTTGGCTACGCATAACAGGTACGCGCTTGCACAAAAACAGTCAAGGTAGAGCCAGCCCTGGGGGCCATGGCTAAACCCGCAGTGGAAAAAGGCTTAAGAGCGCCCAAGCGACCCAGGGCCGGAGATAGGCCAGTGACATAGGACCAGTGATCCAGCGGGCAGTGTTGGGTGCGAGTGGAAACAACAGCCCAGTGAAAGACGCAATAAAACTTTTATGGCACGATATCCGTTGTGAACCCGAGGAGCCAAACGGAAAAAGGTCGTCCCTTTTCCAAGAAAGCCGATGTAACCCAAGGATTTGTAATTTTTTCACACTTGTTTGGGGGGAGCGATGAATGCCGCCCCCCCCCGGCTTGATGGCAGGAGTGATTTCGCTTGGCGTAGACTTTTTCCGCCAAGGAAGCGGGCCTCCGGGCCTGGGCGGAAGGTTATTTAAAGGACGCAAGGAGAGCCTGCCTTTTCGGCGTTTGATATCGCTACAGAAATCATCTTTGTGTATTTATCCCTTTCCTTTCCACTTGGCAACACCACAACCTATTTTTACTTGTACAGAGAAGCAAACGCACACACAAGGCATATACAGTTATTACTGCCACATATAATATACACTATGCACAGCTACAAGAACGAGGTCTCTCCGGCCAACACGCTCTATGACTCGGCATCCACCACAACCGGGGCACAGGGCAAGAAAAAGTTTGCTCCACTTCCGGCGGCTGTTTGGCAGCCTCAAGCACAAGCACAACCGGTCGACAGACTCACACAACAACAGCGCAGCCGCAGCAGTGCAGGCGAAGCGCAACCACAATGACAGCTCTGCGCAGAAGCGGCTGCAGCAGACGCCGACATCGAGCACAGTGATTCTGCGGCGGCCGTCGACAGCGTCGTCGTCGTCGACAGCCAGCGACGAGAACGTGCCAGTGATCAGCGACCGGGCGACCGGCTACATCCTCGAGACATACGGTCTGCCGGTGCGCACGATCGGACAGGGCACGGGCGGGTTTGTGAAGCTGCACCAGGCGTGCGACGGGCGGTACTACGCAGTCAAGACGTTTCACATTCCCAGACACAGAGGACCGCAGCAAGATGTGCACCAAGGGCATGAACTGCCGGCAGTGGAAGCACCTGCTGGACGAGGCGAGCTTCAGCCTGTCGCTGCAGCACCCGAACGTCATCCGCACATACCAGTTCGTGCGCGAGGCGGACGGCACAGTGTACAGCATCATGGAGTACTGCGAGAAGGACCTGTTCACAGTGGTGCAGGAGGGCTCGCTGACGGCCGAGGACATTGACCGGCTGTACTTCCAGCTGCTGTCGGGTATTGCGTATCTGCACGATGTGGCGCACGTGGCCCACCGTGACATGAAGCTGGACAACCTGTGTGTGGACGAGGACGGCAACCTGAAGATCATCGACTTTGGGTGCTCGTCGACGTTCGACCCGCTGGCGCCGGCGCAGACGCGCGGTGTGTGCGGGTCTGATCCCGTACATCTCGCCAGAGGTGTTTGTTCCGCGGGCGGCCTACGACCCGCGCAAGGTCGACGTGTGGGCCACGGCGGTGATCTACCTGGCGATGGTGTCGGGGCACTTCCCGTGGGAGGTGGCCAAGTCCGAGGACCCCAACTACGCGCTGTACCTGAAGTACCACGGGCGCGTGATTGACCACTGGCTGCCCAAGGACAAGGCGGCGAACCCGCTGATCAAGCAGATGCTGATGATCGACCCGGCGATGCGGCCCACAGTCGACGAGCTGATGCACGACCCGTGGGTGGCGTCGCTGGAGGAGCGGTTCGGACACGCAAAGTCGCGCACCAGCAGCACGGTCTCCAAGACCACGCTGATCGGGCTCGCACAGACCACCAAGCAGCAGGAGCTGACAGGCATCTACACCCACCCCAACTCGTCGACGTCGACCGTCAGCTCGGGGCTGTCGCTCTCGAGCGGGTATTAAGCGCGCCTCCTTTTTTAAATGTACATACTTTATTTAGACTGAACAGTGAATGAATTATCCTCAGCAAAATCGTGCATATGCGGAGTGACTGTTGCGATCGCGAAGCACCGCACGTTTCCCCCTTCCGCTGTTGGTGTCCATTGACCAGGCCCACTATTTTCCGCACTAATGCCGCAGCCAACCGCCGGAGTGCGGTGCGGAGTTTGGGTGAGGCCATGTCCGCGAATTCCCGGCTTTGCTTATCATCTGCATTGGCCGCAGGGCCCCGTCCCTTCATGCGGATCACCTGATACTGCAACTGACAGCACCCATTTCCCAATTGCTGAGCCCCCTGGAGCAGCTCACGCTGGCAGAGGCGGGGAGGGTCATGCTGCGAGCCTGTGCTAACAAACCCCTTTTCAGACAACAATGGATATCGCGGATTTCGTCGCTTCGCAGACACAGCTGGTCGAGAGGGAGCGCGACTACGAGGCCGAGCAGTCAACAGCGCTGGCCAGCAACTGGCTGCCGACGGAGCTGCAGCGACTGGGGTTCGCCCTGGTTGCACTGCGCATCACCCGGCACACCACCGGGCTGGGCGGCAAAAGCCTGCTGACGCTTGAGGCCCCGACACCCGGCACTGCCCTGCTCGCCAACACACTGCGCTCGGGTGACATTGTCAGCGTGACAGCGCCAGTGAACAAAAAGAACCTTGTGGGCATGCACGGCGTGCTGACGCAGTGCTCGGACATGAAATTGACGGTGGCACTGCGCACAGATGACGAGGTGCCCGGGGACTGGCACGAGCGCTGCTCGGTGCGGCGGCTCGCCAGCGACGTGACATACCGGCGCATGCTCCAGGCACTACGCAGCCTTAGCGAGCGCCCTGCTGCTGCGCCGGTGGTGCGCTGCCTTTTGGGCAATTCTGAGCCGCAGTTCACTGAGCCGGCAGGCGAGTTCTTCAACATGGAGCTGAATGCACAGCAGCAGAAGGCGGTTCGGCATGCGGTGACGGCGACGGATGTTGCACTGGTGCATGGGCCGCCGGGCACAGGAAAGACACAGGCGGTGGTGGAGATTGTGCGGCAGCTGGCACGCAATGGCCGCGTGTTAGTATGCGCGCCATCGAACTTGGCGGTGGACACTCTGGCCGAGCGCCTGGGCCACCCGGCCGTGCGTTTGGGCCACCCAGCCCGCATGCTGCCTAAGGCCGCCGCCATGAGTTTGGACGCCCTGGTGAAGGGCTCGGATTCCGGCTCGCTCCTGCGCGACGTGCGCATGGAGCTCGACCAGGCCCTGGCAAGACTGCCCAAGGCCAAGCGGCCGGAGCGTCGCGAGCTGTACGGGCAAATCAAGGACCTCCGGAAAGAGTTCCGGGAGCGCGAGCGCTCTGTTGTTGCCCAGACCATCGACAGCGCGAGGATCGTCCTGGCAACTCTGAGCGGCGCAGGTGCGCGCAAACTGGGCGACTTTCATGCGGTAGTTATTGATGAGGCAACACAGGCCACCGAGCCCGAGTGCTGGATCGCCTGCATTGCAGGCGTCCAAGCTGGTTTTGGCCGGTGACCACCATCCAGCTGCCGCCCACGGTTACGTCCGGTAAGCCGGTGGAGACTATGTTTGAGCGTGTGCGCCATCGCTGTCCCAATGCCTGCGTTATGCTGACAACGCAATACCGCATGCATGAGCAGATCGCCAAGGTCTCCAGCCAGCAGCTCTACGAGAACAAACTGGCCGCCGATCCCTCCGTTGCCGGCCATCTGCTCAGCGACATTGCCCAGTCAACCGACGACACCACTACTCCACTAGTTCTCTACGATACCGCTGGTTCTGGCATGTACGAAGACACAGAGGCTGCAGGCATTGCTGACACGGACTCCAAGCTCAACCGCTCCGAGGCCGCCCTGGCCCATGCCCATGTGCTGCGGCTTCTTGCGGCCGATGTAAGCCCCAGAGATATTGCTGTCATTTCGCCGTATAATGCGCAGGTGCGGCTGCTGCGCGAGCTGCTGCGCGACCACGTCGAAGTCGAGGTCGGCTCTGTCGATGGCTTCCAGGGCCGCGAGAAGGAGGCCGTGGTATTGTCGCTGGTGAGGTCGAATGAGAACCAGGAAATCGGGTTCTTGTCTGATTACCGCCGGACTAACGTCGCTGTGACGCGCGCCCGCCGCCATCTGTGCGTTATTGGTGATAGCGAGACCGTGGCGCGCCGCAGCCCGTTCTTGAACGCGCTGTTTGTACATTTGGAAGACAATGCTGATCTGCGGTATCCTGACTCCATGTAATCCGCTGGCTTGGGCCTTTTTCAAATCTGCCCGAGCTCATAGAATTTAATTCCAAACCTGCATCTTCCTCTCCCTCTTCTCCACGATTTCGGATATGGTTGGGACAGCCCGCTGTCGGTCCTGTCTGGATTTTTTATTCGCAATTGGGACCGAGTGATTTGCGCAAAGAAATACGTGATGCATATTCTTTGTGCTGTTCTTGGACTGCCGCATTGGTGTCATTCGTGGATTCGGTCTGTTTGGGATGTCTTGTTCCTGCCGCGACGTCAAGGCTAGCATCAGTATTGGACCAGATGCTGCTTTCTTTTCTTATCGTCTCTAAATCACAGCTCTGAATCACAAACCTGCTCCAATGTCGCCATCGACACGCGGAGCAGACATGGAGTTTGTTTTTACGGGGGGATCGTCGCTCTATTTTTCTGTTCTCTCGGCATTACATGCTAACCACATTGAGCCCATCTTGGACATCAAAATTATTGGCCAATGTACTCTGGTTGATTTGCAAGCCCATTTTGCAGCAGCCCTTTTTCACGCAACCCTACTTTGTCCCGCAGTTTAAGCGAATTGCAACTGAGGGGAACATTCGGCGCTCCATTTTCACACATATTTGCAGCCGCAAGGAGAGCATCCGGAATGAACTTGCCATTTTACCCCGTTCTATAGCTAGTCAATTTTGTGTTGCAGTACTAAACATTCACCTCTCCTTCCCCTCCCTAACCTCCAGTTTACGAATTTCTTTTCCTCCGTCTCTTCCCTCATACCCCCTCTTATTTTTTGTTACGCTTATACATTTCATATGCCCCCCACACTATCGTTACGCCAGGATGTGCGAACAGAGGTCCTGGAGTCCGAGGTCTTCACATCCCCACTATCAACAGCCGACCGCGTTCTATTCTACATCCAGCTGGCTATCCTGCTCTCTAACATCCCAATAGTAATCTATATAATCTGGAACCGCCGCTATCCGCCAATAAAGGCCAAGCAGGTCTGGCTGACATCCCTGCTGGGCCTCAGCATAATCCTCATGCTGCTCTCGGTTGCCGTGATGTTCGGTATAGTTCGAGCAGACGGGGATCTTCCGGAACTGCCACGTTTGGGGCACCTGGGTAATGCTTGCTGCTGGGCGTGGCGCCGACCTTCAGCCTGATAAACTACCGCCTGATCGTCTACTACCGCGTGTTCATTGCCCACAAGCTCTACTCGTTCCGCCGCCGCCGCACCTTGAAGGAGTTCTGCCGCTGCTACTGGCCACTGGCTGTGCTCATTTCTCCAGCCCTGATCGCCTGCATAGTCGTCGAGGTACTGCCCAAAGGACCGGTCGGCCGACTTCCGCTACTACAAAAACATGCCGACGTGTTTGTTCAAAATGCAGTGGGCATATTTCATCTTTGCCTACTACTTCGCCCAGGTGCTGCTCGCCTGGTGCCTGTATTTTGCCATGCGCCGGATCGCCAAAAGCTTTAACGAGTTCCGTTCCGTCATGCCTGGCCTGGCCCTGCTGACCATCTCAGCTCATCTGCACGGCCGTGGTCGTCTCGCTGGGCGGCGCCGGCCATTCCTGGGGCCGCACCCTGAACGGCATAGTCTTTACCCATAGTCACCGAGCTCTACTGGTGGATGATCGTCATTAAGCCGGTTTTTGGCCACATGTTCATGTATGAAAAGTGCCTCAAGCGCTTCCTCGAGGCTGTCCAGGACGATGGCATGACTGCGCGCCGACAGAATATCCCGGGCGTCCAGAAGCAGCTGTATAATATCGATAATACCATGAGCTCGGGCGGTGATACTGCGCGCTTGGAGTCCAGCGCGCGTCTTACGGGTCCCTACGACCTGGCTGAGTCCGCCACGCGCCTGGAGGCTGTGCAAATTTCCAGCGCTCGGCGTGCCAGCGATGTCTCAGACTTTGCCTACCCGGCGTATCTGCCCCGGCCGTTCAACCAGGACCCGCCCGATGTCCAGCCAGGCTCATTCAACCAAGTGAAGTTTGCACCGGCCTCCCAGACACATATTCTGTAGGAATGGCCGAGTGGCTTTTTATTGTTTACTTTCTGTCACCAAATCCTTATTATTTGATAATTACTGAACCCATGCATAGACATCTTGATGTCCAGGGAACTGCAAGAACTATGCATATGCAGGTTTTCATCCTCTCTTCAGAAATTGGGCAGGCTTTCGATCTGCTTCCTCGGTAGCTGGCAGAGTCCTGGGCTACTTGCCGGGTGCACTCGGGCCGCTGGACATAGGGTGATCTGGCTGGGGTGCTTCTATCAGTCATTTCTTCGGTGCACTTTGTTTTTTGTTTGGGTAGGCGGTATCGGTTTGTGTTTCTTGATATGGACAAAGGGGTAGTGTTTGTGCAACAGTGCCCAGCGCTGATGGGTATTGATTATGCAGACGCCCCATCGGATTGCGGCCAATTTATATGATTAAAGGTCGATGCACCTCTTGCATATGCATCTATTGTCCAGTCAGGACGCTCATGCAAAGCTACATAGACACTGTGGCTTTAGGGTTAATACGCTAGCAATATCATTTCAAACACCCACTATCTCTGCCTAGTCACCAGTTGTGACGCTCCGACCCCATTGTCACAGATACGATGGCACCTACTATGAATAACGGGTACTATTATTGCTGGAGTAGTGCCTGATATCCACTTTCAGTAATTGCTTCTGTCCTGTGTAAATCTTACGCAATAAGGAAATGCCACTGCGTCTTTATTTAAAGACCCCGAGCTGTGCGTATTCTCACAGTCAGATTGCTAGCCAACGTACACGGTGAAGCCCTCACCTCAATACAACACAGCCACTGATCACCTGTGACATCCACCGTGCCCATCACCATGCAGATACAATCCACTGTACAAACACTGGGCCGGACGCCCATCCTTTTTCTCAGCAATTTCCAGTTTATCATTCCATAAAGCTATAACTACTGACTCTCGAAGGTTAACAACTCAACGATATCTAATGAAAAAAAAAAAAAGAAGCCCACCGACCTACTAGCCTGGCTATAACACCAGTATGATGACTCCTCAAGCGTTATTCCAAAAATGCGCAAATAGGCAAAAGAAGGTTCCACCGAGATTCGAACTCGGGTTGGCGGAATCAGAATCCGCAGTGATAACCAGCTACACTATGGAACCAACTCATCATTCTGGATTCGCCAATTTTTAAAATATCCTTAAGCACTCTACTAATAGAACTAGCTGCTATCGTCGATTCGGGCATAGTTGCACTTTTATGTGATATTGGACTTCAGCCTTGATGTTGGTTATCATGTAGACAAACTACATATATCTACTGGTCCTGGTATCTGTATATATTGGTTTGTTAACACCATACATATGACTCTTGTTTAGCAAATCTATCAAGCATTTATATACCAGAGACAGGTTTTCTTGCTTCCTCCATGTACGCTGCCTCCCCTAGTCTTATGATACACCTTGCAGATGCACATGCTGTCACCATCAACACTTGCAGCGATGATTCTGACCATTGGTTATTTTGTCTATTAAGGTTCTTGTTCTTGAACTGGACACAGTTTAGTGAGGCTTCTTCAGCTAGAGCTGTGTGAGATGAGACAAGGATATACTGTTTGGTCCTGAACCTCGACCCTTGTCCTCGACTGCCTCTTATATAAATAAACATCGTTTTGCATACAGGTTCAAGTTCATAATATGAAATACGGACATCAACTATGATTTAATGTACTGTTACTGGAATGAGTGGTTACAGAATATATGGACATCCAAATGACTGAAAGTGGACTGGCTTTGTACGTATGCGTTCAGTCTTGTCTATGGTGCGCAGGGGACTCCGGACCCGAATGTCAACAGTAGCCCTTGAAGGACATGTATTAGCAACGATGATGCCTAAGATTATTCGCATCGAATGAGGTTACATAGAACCTATTTGTTATATCTAGCACTTGACAGGTGGTGGTCTTGCCGTCGTTATCCAGAGCCTTGATCGAGCTGTCCCACTTGTACTGCTTCTGGGCAACCACATACTGGTACGACTTGACACGAGTGATACTCTCGGCCCATTCCTTCTGCGTCTCCTTGTTGTGCGGGTTCTTCAGATCCGCCATGCGCACCTGCAGGAACTTGGTCAGCCAGACGATCTCGTCGACATTGTGGCCGTTGATCTTGAGCGTGCTGCCCGACGAGCCCTTGGCGATCAGCCTTGAATCGACGCGCTGGTCTTCTTGATCAGCGCACCAACCGAATCGGGGTCCGTGCCCTCGCCGTGCTGGATCGTCGTATCATAGAGCTGTGCGCGGGTCACATCGAGCGTAGCACCCAGCTTGTCTGCCAGCTTCTGCGACGGGTTAAAGTACATGCTGTCGCGCACATTGTCCTGCGCCTTGCGGAACTTGGCATCAGACTTGCCCAGCTTGCCCCACACGAGCAGTAGCCCTCCAGGCCGCTAACCGAGCCGCTGTGCGACTTATCCAGCTTCTTCATGACGGCGTCGTACTTGCTGAACTCGTCCTTGCCGCCAGTCATCTTGTGGTAGTCCTGCAGGACAACCCAGGCATCCGAAGTGCCAGGTGCAGAAACCAGCGATACCGGCTGTGTAACCACGCCCGTCCTTGATGTTCTCGCAGTAGTCGTAGTGGAAGGCAGTGTCGCCATTCTCGTAGATGTTGGTCAGCTGGAGTGCAATCTTCTTGGAGCAGGCAGACATGGCGGCGTTGGCAGAGCCGAAGGCGGCCACGGCGGCAACGAATCCGAGAGTAGCGGTGAACTTCATGGTGCTTGATTAAGAGTAGAAGGGGTGGAGTTGGGTGGTTTAGCTGCTGTTGTTGTCTGTTGGTATGGGCAGAGATGTAGGGCCTAGCAGGTGCCTTTTATACGTGGAATTATAGTCAATATAAAGTGCATTCAGCGTTCCCTCGACTGCATGGCTCTCTGTGTTCTGAACCTGAGAATAGGCATGCTGTTTGAGGGATACCCAAAACAGTACTCTTGCATCTAGATTCGAAATCGACAGCCTTGTTCGCCAATATCGAGATACGTGTATATTCTTGGTGTAACAGTGGAATTCCATAGATGCGAAGCCCATGTGGGAAAGGCAACTGGGCATCCTCAAATGGCAGCAAAACCTCAGTCCATATTGTAGAATGTATTTGTAGCAATTTCTTGGCAATTGGAATCGTGGAAGGTACTAAATTTAGTTCTAGGGAGCGTGGTACATTCGATTGAAATCCGCAAAAAGGGGGTTTGGGATTTCCGGCAAATATGCTTTGTTGACCGGCCAAGTGGTCTGGCGTGCTGCGCTGCGTATGTAGATGAGACATGCTGCTGCATGTATGGAAATCACGTATGGCCGGAGGACACTGCGCCAATAGCAACAGTCAGCTAGCTAGCAGGCTCGGCATGTCACTGCTAAGGCATTGAGGACAATGTGGTGCTGTAGCTGCAGTGCTATCGCTGCAGTGTGTGTACAGCCATCCAAAATCGGCCATACAATAGTGCGGGCGCCGAAGTGCATTGCCTAGACTCTGCATTTCTCTGGCCGAGATTGCACCGCTGCCTTGTGTGGATTTCCACTAAGTAATGCGTGACAGATTCACCGGGTAGGATCTTTGCCGCCAGCGCCTTCGCGTGTAAAAAAACTGAGGATTCTGCGGAAAGAGCCTGACTATCTGTTGCTGGCTTGCCCCGATTCTTGAGGCGGGTCACTTCCGATTGCGTTTTTCGGATATTCCATTACGCCATGGGTGCATTGTCCCCTTACTAATGACATAGTTTATCAGCAACGATTACTCAGCATGCTGGGTATGTTGGCGGTATGCCGAGGGCCAGGGTATGTGGGGTGGACAGACAGGTTCCAGCAGACAGTATGCTCGCAAAAGTGCTATCCTTCGGGTGTTTATTGGCCATGGCCACATTCCTGGGAGCATCAGCCAGGGGCGCCGCGGCAGCCAGGGGATAAACGATTTCCCTCCCCTTACCGTGAGCGGGGAATTATTTATCAAGGAAATTCCGAGGAGCTGCTGATTCACTTTTTCAGCCTGTGCTTTTCACTTCCCACACTCCCAAAGAGTGCCATAAAAATTTTCTGGTCTTGCTTGTACATTACACTAATGCCACAGACCAATTCGCAGGTCGCAGACACGGAGGCAGCGCCCGGGCTCCAGTCGCGCATGGCGTCGGCGTTTGCTGGTGCTATTGTCACATCACTGCTTATGACACCGTTCGACGTAGTCAAGACACGGCAGCAATCACAGACACTTGTTACCAAGCAGCCTTTGCCTCAGGTACAGCGGCGGCCAACAAATTACTGGGTGCCGAGGAATGCACGGCCACAGCAAATGGAGCTTGTGTTCAAGCGGTTGTGTGCACCCAGCACAGCCGGCGTTATAGGAGCAGAGTCGGCAAGCCTGAGAACCTCGGCGTCATTGTGCCTGTGTTCAGATGCGCTTGTGTTCGATGCTCAGGGGCGGCCGGTGGATGTGGGGCAGAGCTGGGATCATCCGGAGCAGCGCATCTGCATGCGAGGGAAGCGCGGCGGCAGCGTGGCGGCAGTTGTACAGGGACCTGGTAGCCGTCCCACAGGCAGGCAAGGCGGGGCTCTGGAAGCGGCTCGGCTTCACACCCAAGATCGAGCGGGTGGCAGGCGAGCGGATCACCAGGAACACTGGCGGGAATGCAACACATTGCCCGGACCGAAGGTGTGCGGAACGCTGTGGCGTGGGCTGAGCCCAACGCTGGTGGCATCAGGGTCCATCGACCATGATATATTTTGTCGGCTACGACTACCTGCGGTCGTGGATGGGAGCCAGGATGAAGGCCAGCGCGATGCTTTCTCCATACGAGCAATTCGCGTCTCTGTTTGCCGGCTGCATAGCGCGCACAGCGGCTGCATCGGTGATTTCGCCGCTGGAGCTGGTACGCACACGTATGCAGTCATCAGCAACCCACGACCTGCGCACGGTGATGCGCGGGGTTTCGTCAGAGATCGGACATAGCGGGCTGGGGACGCTGTGGCGCGGGCTGGTGCCGACGCTGTGGCGCGACGTGCCGTTCTCAGCGATCTACTGGTTCGGCTACGAGCAGTGGAACCATCGTGTGTTTGCACCGATCTTCGATGGCCGCCAGCACAGCAGTGGTGCGTCGGATACGCTGACCCGGCTGATGACGTCGTTCTGCTCGGGCGCTGCGAGTGGGATTGTGGCAGCCATTATCACCACGCCGTTCGATGTTGCCAAGACCCGGCGCCAGATCGAGCAGCATGCTAAGCCCGAAATCACATGTCTCACAGCACCGGACCTTTGCCAGCATGCTACGTCATATTGTGGCCAAGGAGGGGCTGCGTGGGCTGTTTGCTGGCCTAGGCACCGCGTCTGATGAAGATTGCGCCGTCGTGTGCGATCATGATCTCGTCGTATGAGCTGGGCAAGATAGTGCTGTCAAAGTAGACATTTTATATAATAGACTTCAATCAAGATGTTGCCTAGACTTCGGCGTCGCTGGCATATGTACTCTCACAGGGCTCAATGCTGCCGTGGTACCAGTAGAACTGCAGGAAGATTGCCAGATCAAAGAACAGCGTGCCGGTGCTGCCGAGGATCCACGGGATGTTTGCCAGAATGTAGTCGCTGTTAAGCGAGTATAGCATCAACGACATGGTGAACGACACATTACCAAGGATCGAAAAAATGAACATGCCGATCGACAGCCCTTCACACGATTTCTTGCGGTAGTTCTTGATAATCTGCGGGATGCGGGCGCCAAGGAACAGCACGGCAGAGATGTACCCCATAGCCTGCGAGAACGGGTGGATCTTGACTGGCTTTGACAATGACACAGTGCCAGAAACAAGGCTCTCAGGCATCGCTGGACCACGTTGCCAGCGCCAGGCTGACAACCAAGATGATTGCAATAATCGGGAACATGGCCGGCATCGTCAGTGCCGACCTACTCTCGTCCTGTCTCTGCTGTGCTGCTTGAGGCCGACAGTCGCATGCCCTTTGCTGCTGTTGAGGCTCATCATGCTGGTGGCTCTGGTGGCATGGGCAGTGGCAGTGATGCACATTCGACGGCCGCCGCTGTCCAGCTGCATCGCCCAACAGCGCACTTCCTTCACCCCGATCTGCCTTCGACTGTCTGAGCGCGCCGCCGATTGGCATAGTTGTAGTAGTGGATCTGAGCCAGCAGCACCGCGTCCGCAAGGAAGTAGTAGATATACAGGATGAGTGCGGTGATAATCAGGTCTTGCCCAAATGCGCCGATGAGCCCGAACAATGTCGCCGAGAATCCAGATATACAGGAACAGTAGCGATACGCCGTCGCCGCCTTTGCGTTTGTAGTTTTCATAAATCTGCGGGGCAAACACCACGAGCCAGCACCCGATTGAGAAGTATCCGAGCACCTTTGACACGACTTGGTTCCAAACCATCGTTTTTAAGAGTATGAAAATATGCGAAGAAAAAATGTGGAGCTGAGCTGTTTGTGCACAATATGCATTTTCTTGACCCAGTCTGAGCTCGGGTAAGCCCAATGGGGTCTTTTTGTGGATCTGGGTCCAGGCTCTTTTGTTTTTGCCTGGCATGAATGCGACCTGGCGGTTCATTAGCAAATGTCGTGACGGACGGAGCAGGTTTAATATGCAGGTATGGCTGTAATGCTTAGCCACATACATGTTCTGTTGCCTTTTCGTCCCGGCCTGCATATTCCTCAGTACCAAAATCAGTACTCTGCTAGATGGCCACCGCTTACCAGGTTATTGAACAACATAGTATTGCTTCAGAGGGCGCAGTCGGTCTATCCATTGGAGTTGCAGCAGCACTGTCTGCTCAAGAGAATAAGGCAGAGACGTCCGAACGGTTGCTTGCTACTGCTTCTGGTCAGCTGTGTTGTGCAGTCGACTTGCAGCGGCATGCGAAAGGTGGCAATGACTATAGATTGCGGCTTGGCCATGCAGTTTTATATCCCTCAACGCCCTTTTCTTGACTGTCATATATGTGCATGGTGGTGCCTATTACATCGCCGCTGTGGGACCATGCGATGAAGATTCCATCCAGGCCAACACGCTGTGGATGTAAACCGGTTCTCTCTACGGCTTTATAGTTCTATGGAAGATCAATTTATTGTGTGATCAGGGTTCACCGATGGAGTATGGCGGCAAGATATGTAGTCCAAGAGTGTGTATTTTTCGCCTTTGGTGCAGCTGCCATCCATGGCTTCGCTCTGCTATATATATCCTGTCGTATGTGCCGTCAGGCTAACGAAAGATCAGGTCATCACTGGTAAACATAGCTTAACTGAACTGCAGATCGGTCTGTTCTCGCTGGAGGTGAGACTGGGGTGCCACGTATAGAGTGCTGCTTGCATGACGCCTGTCTCCCCACTTTTAGAGCCGCTTGAGCCGCACAGTTCGCAGCAAGCAAGCCGTTCATTGCTGCAAAGGTTACACAACACCTCGCAAGGAACGGAATTGTACATTCATCGTACCACCCTTACGCATCCAGCGAATCGTCTTGCAGAAGGCAGGCAGCAAAGCTTTTACATCTGCTGATGCTTTTCTTACATCGCAAGTAAATACCTACAAGGTCTTGGAGACCCGGCTTGCACAATGTAAGGGATGCCGTTGGCAGTATACCGATTCCTTTGTATTCAACTAGGGACAGTTCAGGCTACAAGCCGGTTTATCATCGCGCGGTTTCATTTGCTTGACCAACGACAGCAGGGAGAGAAAAATGACCCAAACAGAAAGGGCACTGTCGGCTGTTCACCAAAAATCGGACCCAATCCTGCCAGGCGGGTATCACTGTGCAAATTGAGCGAGTCAGGGTATTTATAGGGCAGGGCTTTCTCTCACTCTCTTCCAACACCCCTCCCGTTCCCCCAAGCTTTAATGGCAATTCCTTTCCCTTTCCTTTTTATATCTATCTGCTAACGACCCTTTTTCCCGCCCCTCTCCCCTATTTTACGCCTCCCTCGCCTGTTTATCCTTTCCTCTATTTTTGACTATCTTTGCCGCCTGTCCTGATTTTAATACACATAGACGATGCGGTTTGTAAAGTACACGCCGCTGGTTTTCGTGGCCCTGCTTGCGATTAGTGGGCAATCGATCGGCCAGGATGCAGGTGCCGGTGCGGTGGACCCTGCAGCTAGCGCGGGTGGTAATGCTGGAGACGCTACACCCGGTGATGGAGCAGCTGGAGCTAGTAGTGCTGCGAACTGACCCTACAGGTACCTGAGGGTAACACCTCACCCACCGCAGGCGAGACGACACCCGATGAAGCAACGCCCTCGAGCGATCCAGCAACGACCCCAGAGTCTACGCCTGAGAATACGACGCCAACCCCGGTAGAAACCACGCCTGATCCCACCACACCAACCACTGAGGACCCTACGCCCGAAACGACGCCGGAAACAACTCCCGAAACGACACCGGAGACTACACCGGAAACTACGACCGGAGACTACACCGGAGACTACACCGGAGACCACGCCGGAAACTACCCCCGACAATCCTGCCACCACCCCAGAGACTACGCCCACCAATGACGATGATGGCGTTGTCACGGTGACCTCCACCTCGACGTCGACTCGTGACAACAATACAGCTGACTCAGCGTCCAGCGATTCTACACCGAACACCTGGTGCCACGCCTACGAAGCCTACGACGCCTACGAAGCCTACGGACATCTGGAACGGCATCACCCACCCATTCGAATACCAACGAGTCCAACACGCCGACCAATTCGACTGATAGTGACAAAAACAAAACTACGAGCAAGTCGTCCAAGCTGTCTGGAGGTGCGATCGCTGGTATTGTCATCGGATGTGTGGTGGGTGTGGCTATTATTGTGGCCGGCGCTCTGTTCTATCCGACGGTCACTCCAGAAGAGGCGCTACGCCGATAAGGTCGACTACTCTGATTTCCCTGAGTACAATCCGCCACGGCCGATCTCGACAGCAGCAGCAGGTGCTGGCCTTGGTGGCGCTGCCTATGCTATCCCTGTCTCTGATGCTCGGCTGGGCGGCAGCACTGACGTCCCGATGCCCAATTCGAGCCAGACTCCGCTGACTGGCTCGGGCAGCGCAATGCCGTACTACTCAAATGGCCGCTCGGGCAGCACTGTGCATGCTGGCGGTGCAGGCGGCGAGAACCCGGTGCTGCTCCGCGATCTTGACGAGGCATGAGCGACAAAAAGTTTGGTTTTAATTTCCGTTGTTAAACGTACAATAGATTGTCTTGCCATTGTCTTGACTCCCTTCTTGGCTGGTCTGCTCGATCGCATTACCAAACAAAACCTGCCCCTCTTGACTCTTCACGGAAGTAGCCCAATGCCCCAAAGCAAATTGCTCTCTGGTCCTGCGGCAGTAGACTCTAATGAAGGCAGAGCACGGTAGCTACCATTTTCTTGGATGCAAGCATGAAGCACCCTACCCTCCGACAGAACTGTGCCAACCAAAAACCAACTGAGGTCTTGCGCATCCACCCAGCATGGACCACTGTTTTTGAGCCGATTGCCGCGTAATGCGGAACCAAGCAGACGAAAAGAACCTGCATGAAAATCCTTTAGAGCCACACAGTGCGCCTTGGACTGGAACCAAAAGCTTGTTGGAAGCCACAGTTTGCTCAAAATCGGCTTTCACAGAGGCTTCGAACCAACGCCGATTTGCAGTTTCAAAACAAATAATTTGTTGTTGTTGCTGCCAACATGAGTATATCGAGTATTACAGCATACTTTGCTCGAGTCATACCGCGTGCAAAGGCTCCGATTGGCACACTGCGGTGAGAGAATAAGGGGATGAGCCCGAAGGCAGGCTCTCAGGCTTGTCGTGCGCGGAAATAAAGTTTTGGTATAAAAAGGTGACCCAGATGCCAGGATCCACAGCTTAGCTCAAACTACATTCATACCCACCCTCACTCCAGCTCTCCCCTTCCCTTCCCCTTCCCCTTTTCTACATTGTTTCGAGCAATTTCTTCACAATAGTACGTAATGCTCGTCAAGACTATTGCCTTCTCCCTTGCAGCTTGTGCCAGTCTAGTCACAGCTGCCACTATCCCCCCTAGCAAGTTCGTTGTTTTTGGTGCCTCGGGCGAGGACAATGGCAGTACTGCGCATCTTTCGACGATGAGTGCATACTGGAACGGCCGCTACAGCTCTGGCCCTGTGTGGGTTGAGTATGCTGCCAAGCTGCTCGGCTACACACTCAACGACGATCGCCTATGGCGGTGCCACTACTAACAACCAGTTCGTCTACGCCCAAGGCAAAGATGGATCGATCAAGTCTGTCAAAGACGCAATTGCCGACTACCTGGGCAACAACACCAAAGAGACTACTACCCAGCGCGCTGGTCACTATGTGCTGACCGACAGTGGTGGCAACGATGTTTTCTACTCTCTCGACAGCCTGGCCGCTGGCACCGACACCCCGGATGCCTTTGCTTCCAAGCTGGCAACGTACGTCTATGCCAATGTTGCCACTCTTCTTGACGCTGGATTCCGCAAGATTATCATTGCCAATATCCAGCCGGTTGGAATCATGCCTATCACTACCGACCTCGGAATCACCGACCTGGGAAACACACTTGAGACTGCCATCATCAATGCACACAAGTCCGCCCTTGCTTCACTAAAGACCAAGTACGGCAGTGCTGCCAGTGGTGTTCGCATTTTTGATTTGGCTTCCGCAACACGTGTTGCCAACGACTACCAGCTCACCGATGCTATGGCCATCAATCCGGCCGACCGAGTGCTGCATCACCACCGACTCGAACTGGTAATAGCGTCATGTGTGGCGACGTTGATAACCGCTTCTTCATCGATCAGTTCCACATGACTGCCAAGCCAGCAGAACCTGCTCGGCGTTGTGCTATACAACTGGGATTAAGACGCCGGCCTGGGCGCTTAGCGTGCAAAACTTCCTGACCATTGTCAAAAACTACAATATCGCCAGCGTCAACGGCACCAACAACATTGTGTGGAGCAGCTAAACATACGCATATCTAGCAATTTACTTTAAAAATATATTTCTTATCACTAGCATTGAGCAACACCAGCTTGTAGCGAAACATGCTGGCGCTATAAAACCTGCATTGGCGAAGAAATAAAAGGCAAAAGAAGGTTCCACCGAGATTCGAACTCGGGTTGGCGGAATCAGAATCCGCAGTGATAACCGGCTACACTATGGAACCAACCAATCATTCTGATGAAAGTCGATTTTTAATTGGTTATGAGTATCTGACTAGCTGCACCGATGGATATAATCAATTTCAACCTACTTATACCTCCCCTGACCATCTTCTGTACAGCATATTGTCTTGGAATCGTTGAGGTGTTTCACTGGTTAATGACAAAAATAATCCTATTACTATGCCAACTACTATTTAAAGTCATTAAGTTATTACCGTTAAGTAATTCATTTTAATATTCTAAACTATTATATTGGTTTAGAGCCTATCATAAAAGGAATAAATATTTGTTTGAAGTACAAATAAAAATAGTTTTTGAAAAGAAATAAGGAAAAAGGGAGTTCAACAGTCTGCTGATACCTATTGTTGTGCTAATAAGGGGGTGTGGATAAGTTTGAATTTCAAAACTAAAGAAAAAGGAAAAGAGAGGAAAACTGCTAATGCCACACATTAGCCTTTTTGAAGATTCCGCTGCAGTGGCAACATCTAACCTCATCGGTGAAACCGGGGCGGAAAGCTGTGATTGTAGTGGTCACAGGTCTCTGCTGGATATCTCTATTGGTTCAGCGCGAGAGCTGCTCTCGTTGTCGATCGATTCGATAATTTCCATGGCGTCATCATGGCGGTCATCGCCGAACCGTGCAACACTATCTATTTATGTGCCTAGTTCTATCTATAGTGGTAGAGGGTGATATCACCATTCTGGAGCTAATAAATCCTATATATATTAAGCCAAAATAATTATATATAGTACTAGCTCTATAGCTGGAATTACATAACTAAGTATAATCAACTTACTATTTACTATTCCTTCTATATTATCTACATTATCTAGTCCTAGATAGGGCTCTTTATTGCTCCTTTTTCTACTAATTTTCTGCTTAATGGTTTTCTGCACTCTTTTATGCCCTTCCCTTATATATTTAGGTATTTCAGCCAGCCCTTAGCTAAGTTGTAGAGTTCATATCCTTCTAACATTTACTCCTTATAATGTATATGAGCTAACAGCGATCCCATCCATAGTTGTTTTGCAAACGCCTATGATTTCCTTGACCATGATTAGTCCAGTCCCCATCGAAATCCACAAGTGCCATATCGTTCGTCTCTATAGAAATTGCATTTGTGCATTTAATCAAGATTCATATTAATCTTCAGCCAAGTTCGAATTCTATTGCAAAGAATTAATGTCTGCCTGCATTGGCTAGTTATATAAGCTATTACGCTCACCTTTAGATATGTGGCTACTTCATTTACTCGATTATGATGATAGCAGGTGTTTAGAGAATTCCAGCTGCAGTGTATTTATTACCAATTTAATTCTTCCAGTAGGTTATCTAGCTGTTTATCCAGTTTCGTATTGGCTATTTACTCCTTCTTATCAAGATTGGATTGGATAGATGCCTTATATGATTGCGTAATTCGATTGATAATATAGTCCAGCGTCATCACACCGGTTGTATCGAGCTGTATTGCTTCAGAGCGATGGATATCAATAAGCGACTTCAGCCTATTCAGAGCATCTCGGTAATCTAAGGATTTGAAAGTCTGTGTTTAAGCTGTCTGCAATATGCCAGTCGTTAAAGAAAATAGCCAGCTTAGGTGTATATATCACGCTCAAGTGTGGAGTTTATTGGGAATTTCGCCAACTTTTGCGCAATTAAATACGTGACAAATTTATCCTTCATAGTCCATGCAGAGCATGCCGCACAGAGTAGGTATACAACAGTGATGAGTTTCATGCGTACAAAATGTAATGGTAGACCATTATAGGCTATTCTACTCCATCGCTTGGTCCCTTAGAGCTTGAATATATAAAGGATCTATCGTGCTGTTACTGGCAAATGAAAATGAGAGACATTTAAAAACTTGTGTACTGCCATGTCGTTTAACCTTATGAAGTCATACCAGCTCTTGGTATGGTGCGGGGACAAGAAACTGTAGGTTTCTCTTGTGGCGGCAATGCCAGGTACCTGAGTACGCGTGCCTGCACACTCAAGTGGCCCAATCATAATCAGTAATTGGCTAATCTAGATTATCAGCATGTTGATGCTACGGCCTTGATAATGCTCAGCAAACGACAGGCTAGGCGCAACATCTCCGGCCAGCGACACAGCGATGCATGGTCTATGGAGTGCAGCACCATGATGGCAATGCCATCTCTGATGAGTTTGAGATTGCTTTTTCGCTAATAGGCTCCAGACTAAGAGCGCAAAAATCTGGATAATTTCCCGAACTCGGCGACAATCCTGCCGAATCCGGGTGCGAATCTCCGTAAGCAAATGCAGAATTGCCAGTCACAGATCTCTCACCCGTGCCAACGTGCTCCTGAAGAAACAAATGTCCACAATAAGGACATCAGCGTAATTGATTATGATGTGCTTCCAAAATTTGGCGGCTTGTCCTGTGGCCGCAGAGGAAAGGGCAGAGGGGCTGTGTATTTTTCCCGTATACTTTGGCCATTTGCTGAAGCACCAACTCCAAGCGAGGAAAATAGCCTGGTGAGAAAATCTTCAGAGAAATCTCGTGTTTTGGTCTTGGGGCAAATCCCAGCAAGCATGCCAGAAGCGCACTGCCGGCCGCAGCTGGTAGTTGCCCACTGGCTTTGCCAAGACAGCCAGCTTTGGTGGAGAAAACTGGCCTGGCTTATAAGACCTGGAGATGCTGGCGGCTGTACAATCTAAGATCCCGTGTCCTTCATCTTTTTTCCTTTTTACCACGCTCTACCTTTTTTTTTTTGTTCTACAATCTACACCTACTTTTTTGCGGCCCAGTTCACAGTAAGCCATCCCTCAATGTCTTGTACATGCTTGCCTTGACCCTTGGCGTAACCAAAACACACAGTTCAGTTGCCAACGCGTCAATATATAAGCGGATTGTGTGTTCCAGACCATCCAACTCAATCAGTTTTCTTTCTCTGCTTCCCCTCAGTATTAGCACTTAATTAAGCCTCTGCGTTGTCTCTAATCGTATTGTGACCATGGGACACGATCAGTCTAGTTCTAAAGAGGACCTTGGCAGCATCCACTCGACTAAGGGTGAGGTGGTGGGAACGACTACCTTCGCCCGACTCAGCTAGCGATCAGCCGCCCAAGAAGGCAGGGTTCTTCAGCAAGTTCGCAAAGAAGGAGCCCAAGGAGAAGACACCAATGGTCCCGCTCATGCAGATTTTCCGGTTTGCCGACACCGTCGACAAAATCCTGATTGCCATCGGCCTTGTGGCGGCATGCGCAGCAGGTGCCTCGATGCCGCTTATGACGCTCATTTTCTCCGATCTGACTGGTGAGCTGCTGATTTTCAACAATCAGGATGTTAATAATCCCATCGTCAGGCATGCGTTGGACCACTCTGTGCGCAAGTACTGCTGGTACTTCTTCGCACTGGGTATGGGCACCTGGGTTGTCGCATCCGTGCAGAAGCTTGTGTGGAGTGTTGCATCCGAGAGACAGGGCAAGCGCGTCCGTGAGGCTTTCTATACTGCTATTCTGCGCCAGGACATCGGCTGGTTCGATGGTCTTTCCACCGGCTGAGCTCACCACGCGTATTTCTGGCGACGTCAATCTGTCTGCAAGAGGGTATCAGTGAAAAGTTCAGCTTTGTCATTCAGTACTCTGCTACGTTCCTCACTGGTATTATCCTCGCGTTTGTCAAGGGCTGGAAGTTGACGCTGGTTGTGCTTGCGGTTATGCCTGTTATGGTTACAGCAGCATCGCTTATGGGCATATTGCTTGCCGAGAACACATCGGGCGGTCAGGACTCATACGCTGAGGCAGGCGGTGTTGCTGACGAAGTCCTGTCGTCGATCAAGACCGTCATGGCGTTTGGTGGCGAAGACCGCGAGCTGGAGCGCTACAATAGCAAGACTGCCAAGGCGCTGAAGGCTGGCTTGCGTAAGGCCAAGGTTCTCGGTGGATCAATGGGGTTCATCATGTTCACTGTGTTCAGTGTCTATGCACTGGGATTCTGGTTCGGCGGCAAGCTTGCTCGCAATGGCGAAATGAAGCCTGATCAAGTCCTCAACGCGTTCTTCTCACTGATTGTTGGTGGATTTTCCCTTGGCAATGCTGCGCCAAGTATCTCTGCGGTCTCTAGTGCTCGGGGTGCTGCCGTCAAGGTTTTTGATATAATCGACCGCAAGGTCGCCTATCGACCCTGTTGACACCGAGACTGGCATGTCGGCTGACGGCATCAAGGGTGAGATCGAGCTCTCCAGCGTCAACTTCCGCTACCCGACCCGCCCTGATGTCCAGATCCTGCACGACTTCAGCATCAGCGTCAAGCCCGGCCAGAAGATTGCGCTTGTCGGCGAATCTGGTTGCGGCAAATCGACCATGATCGGCCTGGTCGAGCGGTTCTACGACCCCGAGAGCGGCGTGGTCAAGATTGACGGTGTTGATGTGCGCGAGTACAACGTGCGCTCTCTGCGCCAGCAGATCGGTGTCATCATGCAGATGCCGGTGCTGTTCGGATACACCATCTACCAGAACATCATCTGGGGCGCTATCGACGTCGACAACAACCCGCCGACGATGGAGCAGGTCATCCAGGCATGCAAGGACGCCAACGCACACGACTTCATCTCTGAGCTCCCTGATGGCTACGACACGATGTGCGGTGAGCGCGGTGCGCTGTTGTCCGGTGGGCAGAAGCAGCGTATTGCTATTGCCCGTGCGCTGGTGCGGAACCCCAAGATTCTGCTGCTTGATGAAGCCACGTCTGCACTCGACTCGAATGCTGAGCGCGTTGTGCAGGATGCGCTGGACCGGGCATCGGCAAACCGCACCACGATTACCGTCGCCCATCGCCTCAGCACCATCAGGGACTCGGACGTGATCTATGTCATCTCCAAGGGTCGTGTTCTGGAGTCCGGCAACCACGAGGAGCTGATCGGTCTCGACGGTGCGTATGCCAAGCTTGTCGAGGCTCAGCAGCTGCGCCAGTCGATCGAGAGAGGCGTCGAGGAGTTCACTGCAGGTGAATCGTCTGGATCCGACTCTCCTGGTGCCAGGCGAACTGGCCGATGAGTTTACTGATGACAAGGTCCAGGCTATCTCGGCCACCGAAAATCATGTGGTGACCAGAGACTCGCTGATGAGAAAAGTTTTCGATTCAGCGCACCGGGACCGGACAGACTGGTCTTGAGACCATTGCATCAGTCAATGAGTCTCAAGCTGATGACGAAAAGGATATCGACCCGGAGACTGAGGAAGGCAAGAGGCTGGCTGAGGAGCGCGACAAGGCTATGCGCAAGAGCGGCTATCAAATCGCTGCCGCGTCTGATCAAGATGAACAAGAAGCACACCATCATGTTCATTCCAGGCTTCATCGCAACTGTCATCGACGGCGTCGCATTCCCGTGCTTCTCGATTTTATTCTCGGAGATGCTTGTCGCTATTGGTATTGACGATCATGATAAGCAAAAGCATGAGGTCAACAAGTACGCTGGCCTGTTTTTCATGCTCGCCTGCATCGTTTTCTTTGCCAACGGCGGTCGGTCATTCTTCTTTGGCACTGCTGGTGAGAACATCACGTACCATATTCGTTACGATGTTTTCCGTGCCATGATGCGTCAGGATGCTGCGTATTTCGACAAGAAGGAGAACGGCACCGGTGCGCTAACATCGCGGCTTGCAACTGAGGCTGCCGATGTGAACAAGTGCATCGGTGAGGCATTCCCTGCTTTCATCGGCGGCATTGCAAGTATAATTGCTGGTGTTATCATTGCGTTCAAATATGACTGGCGCCTGACGCTGGTGATTCTGGCCACCCTGCCGTTCCTCATCTTCGCTTTTGTCATGGAAGGTAAGGCTGTCTTTCAGTCAACCAAGGCAATGAAGGGCGCGTACGAGAAGGCGTCGCAGGAGGCTGCCGAGACTGTCTCGAACATCCGCACCGTGACCACTCTGACACGCGAGCACACGTTCATCAAACAGTTCGAGGACAATAGCATTGGGACCATACAAGAGCGCTATCCGCAACCACTTTATCAGCTCAATCGGCTACGGGTTTGCTCAGTCCACTATGTTCCTTGTCTACTGCCTTGCGTTCTTCGTCGGATCGCGCTTTATTCTCAGCAAGTATATTGATGTCTTGCACATGTTCAAGGTCATGTATGCTATTGTGTTTTCTGCCATGGCGCTGGGTCTGATGGCTCAGCAGTCGTCGACGCTGAACAAAAGTCTGATTTCTGCAGAGAAGCTGCTCAGGACTATCGAAAGCGTGCCGAATATCGATGCTCATTCTGACGAAGGCATCAAGGTCTCTCGCGACCAGATCACTGGCGACATTGCTGCCCGGAAGGTCCGTTTTGCGTATCCGACTCGTCCTGGTGCCACTATTCTGCGCGGTATCACGCTCGGCGTCACACCTGGCAAGACCATTGCTCTGGTTGGTCCGTCGGGCTCAGGAAAGTCCACCATCATCGGTCTGGTCCAGCGCCTGTACGATGTGCTGGGCGGCAGTGTCGACGTCGAGCGCACCGATGTTCGCCAGTGGAATGTCAAGTCACTGCGGTCCAACCTGGCGCTGGTGGGCCAGGAGCCGGTGCTGTTCGACTACACGATTGCCGAGAACATCGCGTATGGCCGCCCTGACGCGACACAGATGGAGATTGAGGAGGTCGCCAAGCAGGCCAACATCCACAACTTTGTCATCGAGCTGCCCGACGGCTACAACACGCGTATCGGGCAGACCGGCGGCCGGCTGTCTGGCGGCCAGAAGCAGCGCATTGCCATTGCCCGTGCGCTGGTGCGTAACCCTAAGATCCTGCTGCTTGACGAAGCGTCGAGTGCGCTTGATTCGCAGAGCGAGAAGCTGGTGCAAGAGGCACTCGATATTGCGTCTGAGGGCCGCACCACGATCACCATTGCCCATCGACTCAGCACAATTCAGAATGCTGACCACATCGTTGTGTTCAAGCAGGGCCGGATTATCGAGCATGGCACCCACGACCAGCTGCTGGAGCAGAAGGGTCTGTACAGCCTGCTTGTCGCTCAGCAGTCGCTGCAGATTACACACTAGTGCTCATCGTATATTCCAAATAAATGGAAGCATTACCCAGTACGCATTTTCGTGTTTTGTAATATATAGTGTTGGCACGAAGTACCGAGCTGTTTTCTACGAGGCTATTTTGAAGGAATAAAAGCACAAAACCAAAAGAGAAAGGAAAAAGGGCGAGGGGAAAGCTACGGCCGCTGTGTCGGCCTTTTTGGAGATTTCATTGCTGCGCTCAGATGCTGCGCAGCAATGGAACCAGGACAGCAGGCTGTGATCATTGTGGCCACACGCCTCCACTGACTCAGCGCTGGAATTGCTTTCGTTGTCGGTTGGCGTGTCGACTGGCATGGCGTTTCCGTTGGTTAGGTGTCGTCGGCCGCGCAACAAGACATGGCATATAGTGCGATAAAGCATGTATATTTTTTTGAATAGCTAAGATGTCAGAGACTCAGCAATGCCGACTTACGCTTCCGCTGCCTGGGCGTCGTGGATGGCGTTGATGGCACGCCAGCAAATCTGATCGGCCGCTTAGAACCAGCATCCTTTGCTTTCGATTTGGAATCCGAATCTGACTCGCTGTCGCTCGAATCCTCTGACGATGACGACGAGTCTGAGTTTGAGTCCGGAGTCGCTGCTGCTCGACGACTCCTCCGACTGGTTCTCCTGGGGTGATGCTGCACCGGATCCAACCGGTGTACCTTGCATGCTAGCAGAGGCCCGCGATGCTGCGCGCTCGGCCATCTTCTTTCGGATCTCCGCGTACGGTTTAGCCTTGGCTAGCTGTGAAATCGACATGAACCCGGTCTTCTGCACACCAACGCCGTTGCTACTCGCCGACACCCTTGGCCCTTGGCCAGCTCTAACAGATTCTTGTTCTTGGGTTGCAGTTTGCCCAGCACTGGCAGCTTCGCCAGCCGCCTCCTTGGCTGCTCGCTTTCGGTCTCGGAATCGGACGATGACGAGTCAGAATTGAGTAGACTGGGCTTGCTGAGCACGACCTTTCGCCGGGCGGCACTGGCGCCAGCGCGGGCTACGACTGACGCGGTGACGCGCAGCTTGTTGGTGGGTGTGGATGGAGCAGCCGATGCCTTGGGGGTAGGAGTTGCTGCTGCTGCTGGTTTGGCAGCTGTCACTCTGGTGGGCGTTACAGCGTTTGCAGCAGCTGGCTTGGTAGGCACAGCATTGCTCGCAGCTGTCGGCTTTGCCTGCTTGGCGCTGCTGGCAACCGCTGCTTTTATGGCTACCGACCCACTTGTTGCTGTTGTCACAAGACTCGCCTTGATCTCCTCAATCTTCGACTCCTTGCTTGCAGAGGAATCGTCCTCGATTTCTGATTCCTCAGAGCTAGACTCGTCGTCAGAGCTCGATTCAGAGTCGGACTCCGACTCCGACTCCTCCAGAGCTAGATTCACTCTCGTCGATATCGGTCACCATCTCCTCCTCCGAGCTCTCGCTGTGGTCGTCGGCAGCAGCAGCCGGTGCGGGTGCCTCTCCTGGCGGAGTAGTATCGACAGCCTGGGGCTTGAGGGCTACCGCGGAGGAGGCCTTCGTTAATGCAGCAGGCCGTTCATCCTCACTCATTGTGGTGTCGTCGGAGTTGTCACCGTCGTCGTCCTCTGAGCTCGACACCACAATCTGTTTGGCCGGCACAGTCGCTGTTTCTACTATAGCCGCATCGGACTCCTCCTCCTCCTCCTCCTCTTCTTCAGATTCCTCTTCTTCCTCATCATCATCACTGGACTCCTCACTGGATTCAGATCCGCCACTCGATTCATCCTCCGATTCGGTCTCCTCGCTGCTGGATACGTCGACAACCTCGACAGTTGCTGGGGCAGTGGCCTGCACTTCGCTCGCAACCTCAACCTCTTCTTCGGCTTCCTCCTCAGACTCATCATCGATATCCTCGGCCTCAGTTTCGCCCTCAGAGCCGGACTCCTCTTCCTCTGACGACTCGGATTCGGCTTCTGACTCGGTTAGCACTTCAGTGTTGTGGGCAGGGGCAGGCACAGCAACTTTGTCGGGGCTAGCTGTCTCCGCTTCTTGCTCGTCTGCTAGCTCCTCGCTCTCGTCTGACTCGGAAGCGTGTGTGGTCTCATCCTCGTCGTCATCCTCTGCCAGGATCTCCGCAGATCTTACTGGCTCGGTGACCACCTCAGCCGCTGGCTCAGGAGCCTCTTCGGCTGCCTCCACTTCGGGCTCTGGTTCTGTGTTGACAGTAATATCTCCGGTAACAACCGTAGTGACTGGCTCATCTGGTTCGCCTGCGTCCCACCTCTTCGCTCTCTTCGGATTCAGAAGTGTCCGACGCAGCTTTATCTTCCACTGGCTCCTCAGCGGATTCGATTGTATCAGCGGTAATGCCAGCCACGATGGCTTCTGGCTTTGGATACAGGATCTATTGCCATCTCCTCAACCTCAGGCACTGCTTCCATTGCGCTGTCCTTGGAAACGGCGGAGACGACAATCTCTGTGAGTTCAACAGGCTCATCAGATCCTGACGGTCCAGCAGACCTGGTAGATTCGCCAGATTCAACGGGTGTGGCAGGCACAGCGGCAGGTTCCTCAGCAGGAACTGCAGTTGCAGTCGATGCAGCACCTTCGTCGATGGCTGCCGCCGACTCGAGTTCGTTCTCAATAATCTTTTCGACAGCTGGGGCCTCATCAGCATTTGACGTGTCAGATTCGCCACCATCGGCGCTTTCTGTACTCTCCTCCTCAAGATCTGTCGGCCACTCGGTATACGACTTACCAGCAGCTCCTCTGCGCTCCCGTTGCACAGGGGCTGTCTCTGGCACTTCGTTATCGCTGTTATCGGTATCTACAGTTGCTTTGGATGACTGCCTCCTGGGGCGGCCTCGGCCACGAGTTGCCGGGCTAATTGAACTAGCGGCGCTTTGCTTCCTAGTACCACCACGACCGCGACCGCGACCGCGCGCAGGCGGGCTGATCGGCTCGGCAGACACCTGCTTTCTAGAATGACTGCGGCCACGAGTTGCCGGCCCAGTTGGCTCTGTGGTATTTTTGCCCTTGATCAGTGACGCATAGTCCACACGTCGCCTGCGCAGCCTGGTAGCAATTGTTCCCTCGTCTTCGCTGCTGGGCTCGTGCGCCGATTCTGGCTCGGGTTCCTTCTCTGATTCGGCCTCTGGCTCGGCCTCATCAGCCACATCTGGCTCCTTCTCGATGAGTGCCTTCTCAGGATTCTCAGCATCAATACGGCCACGCTTTGTAGGAGGTTCCTGACTATCTGAAACACTAGCCTTGGCGATAGCTACAGGCTCGGATGTATCAAGTACAAAGGGGGATAGCTGCTCCTGGCGGACACTGGCGGCCAGACCGTTCAGGTCCGGGCTGGAAGAGGGGTCCCATCCGCTCTTACGCTTGGCTGGACGACGTGTGAATAGCGATGGCGATCCAATACCACCGATACCTACTTCTTCGGCTCTAAGGTCCTGCGTCGGCACAGGCGGAAGCTCAGTGGCAAGAATTTCCCGGACTGGCGATGCTTCCTTGTCAGTTGGTGCATATGTAGCAGCTGCAGTATCCTCAGATGGAGCAGCCTCTGGCTCATGCTCTGGCTCATTGACCTTGGGCCCACTAGCTTCTGGCGAAAACGGATTGCTGCTCGAGTGGCTGATGGCTGGCGCATGGTGGATAATGTCGATGTTGCTCCAGAGCTCTGGGCTGGAGCCAAAGCGACTCCTGAGCACACTTGCACCATTGGGCCGATCCTGACGCTCGCCAACATAGAGGTTGTCGTCGTGTACATCCATAGTGCTTTGTAAGTCAGGGCCTGTCATGGACGGCGTGTGTTCGGGACTATGCGGCGCTGCAAGTCCGTGCCCGTTGATGCCATCGAAACGCGGGTGCTTCGAGATATCCAGGCTGTCGCTGCGGCCAGCAATATGGTTTGTGATGTCTGCTGGAGTGAGTGTATACCGCTTGCGTTTCTGCCTACCTGCAGTGGGTGGCGCAGCTGTCGATTCCGCGTTAGGAACCTCAAGGATTTCTAGTCCGCGCATTGCGGCGTACACCACGGGGCTCTCGTCGAACACATCCGAGACCATGAAATCGTCAGCCACATCGCACATCATCGAGTCGCGTAGCATGGCTACATCCTGATGCCTACAAACCCATCGGTGAAGTGCTGGACAAAACATAAGTTTGTTGCTCGCCCATACAGGTGCAGACCAGAATGAAATTCTGCTACTATACGTACCCGTCATCTGGATAGAGTTTTGCAAATAGTGTGTTGATCCCCTTGCGCACGTCACCGACCTGATCCGTCGAGTTGGCGATATAGATGAGCTTGCGGTACGGCTGTGTTCGGTCTTCGTGGTCGTACTCGTCAACACCAACAAAGTTCACGCGAAGCTTGCACCTGCGCTTGATGGCCTCAGCGTGAGCCTCCATGTGGATGTGAGTGTTGTGCTGTGCCGTGGCTGATGGTGTTTATAAGCGCGCTGCTGAAACGCTAGTTGAAGGTGGCTGAATGTGCAAATGGCTAGCGATTTCCAGGGAATAAGTCTTAAATTAAACAGACAATGCAGCACACTATGCCTGTAGAACGCAGCAAAGAGCAGGAAGGGAGTTACAGAGCAGAAAGTGCCGACACCAGCTGGTGACCGCAGGTTTTTTTATTGCTGCTACCGCCACCGCCTACTCAAAACATTTTTCCTGCTGTGATTGCCCCCAAGAGCCGTAATCAAATATTGCATTAGCAAGACCCCCAGTAAATCACCGGCTTATTTGATTGGGTCAAACGAGAACTCGCCCTGGATGAGCTGCTCCAGAGTGGTCTTGTCCAGACGCGCCAGCTGCGTCCTCACGTACTTGGTGACGGCATCAATCTCCAGGATGGCACCGTCTGTTGGCACCAGGTTGCGCCAGATAGCTGCAGCTAGCACGGCATCCGACCGCACCAGCCCCTCGTCTAGCGACATCACCGTGCCCTTATACGACGACACAAGGTCCTTCAGCGTGTCGTTGACAATGCGGCCCGACTTGACTCCGCTGTCGCGAATCTTCTTCTCAGCATCACGGAAGAAACAGTCCACCAACTCCTGGTTGTAGTGCTTGGCGTTCGGGTCGGCGCGAATGCGTACCAGCATCATCCACACGTACAGCGACGAGGTTGAAAACCACGTCTGGAAAGATTCGGGAAGATCACACTCGGCGACCCAGAACTCCTGGAACTGCGGGTATGTGCTGCTGATCTTGTACAGCTCCTTGCCAATGTTCTGTGCCTGATACTGTGGCAAGAAGTAGCTGAGGATGCTCCGTGCCACTTTGGCGTATTTAGGCGGCAGGGTGTACACTGGCCGGGGTGGGGGCGTCTTCTTTTCACTGCTGTACTGCATCCGCTGCTGGCAAGCCATGGGCTGCACAAGCGACATGGCTGATCTCTGTGCCAGGGTAGCTACTACGGTGCACTGTCGGGCGAGCGGCGAGCCGATGACAGCTGATCTCTGGATAGCTCTGAGCATAGATGTGTTCTACATGCAAAAGAGCGTTGGTTAGTGCTTGCGTAGCCGCTATGCAGGGCATTCGCGACGTGCATTGCATTCGATTCATACCATTTTGACTGTAAAAAGAAAGCAAACAAGGGGCAACAGACAAAGTCGAAATGCGCTGGCGGACCATGACGCTCAGCACTGGCCAAGATAGTCAACCGAAAAAACACAGCACAGCCCTTGATTCAAGCGCAGGCCAACCTGCCTTGGCTTTGGTAATTACGATCACACACGAGATCAGTTTTATCTCTATCAGTGATTGAAAAATGGCCCACAGCCTGTCTTGAATTGTGGCAATTTCGCATTTAGAGCAGAGTTTTGAATTTCAGCTCCCTTTCAATTCGAAGCCCTCCATTTATACACTACTATATTTTTTCGTTTCACGAAGAGACAAGGACATATATATTCGACATGGCTCACGTTCACAAGGCTCCGTACCCTGTTATTGACACCGACCCGAATTTCACTCGCGTTGTGCGGTACTTCCGCCCATCAGACTATGCGCTCGGCGCCGGCCTCACTGCCCTGGGCCCTGGCTTCATATACTGGATGGGTATGTACAAGTGGCACGAAATGGCGATGTTTACGAGAATTCACTAGCTAACATTCACACCATGTAGAGAAGTACCAGCCGTCGGGCAACCCCGGTAAGCCGCTGATGCGCGCCATGAAGATCGCCGGTGGAATCGGCGCCATGGCGGGCTTTCCTTACCGCCTACATGCTGACGTCTGCGCGTTTCTGGGGAGCCTCGGAGAACACGCGCGAGATCCAAAAGTACCGCGTCGAGTACCGCAAGCTGAAGGCACAGGGCAAGCCCATGTACGGCCCGTCGTCGCTGCCGCTGAACGTGCAGCGCGTGTCGGCTGAGTACTCGACGGGAGCGTTCTTGAACTTTGACGTAATCCCGTGGTTCAACGTCACCAACCATGGCTATCATGGCCAGAGCGAGGGCGTGATTCCCGAGGACGAGAAGTAAATGAATGTCTTTCCCCCTGTTTTACAAATATACGCAACATCTCTGTTTCCTGGACGTGAAAGTGACTAGATGAATTCCTCGATGGCCTCGACCTGAGCCATCTCGCTGCGGATCTTTGCCTTGAGATCCTCGATCTCCTGCTTCTTCTGCTCGTCCACCACCACCTCTTCCTCATCCTCCTCGAGCCCCTCTCCCGGCTCAAACGTATTAGCCTTCGTCCCCTCAATTGCCAGGATCGCCCTAGCCGCCTCAGTCAGTTCGCCCTTCATTTCAAATAGCTGCCTCGCCTCCTCCCGCTCCTGTTCCTTGACTTTCTCGAAATCCAGCACCCGCAGCGTTTTCGGCAGCCGCCAGATGCACCACAGGCGGGCGTTCTTTTTGCGCATCACCGGGTTGTTCGCCAGCGACAGACTCGTCAGGTTCTCAAGCCCACGGAGGGGCTCAAGCTCGATGAGCTCGCTGATCTCGTTGTTTGTCAGGATAAGTGCTTCAAGGCGCGGCAGGAACTCGCCGAGGCTGCTCTCGATCGAGACGATCCGGTTGTCAGCAATGTAGAGGCACCGCAGTCGAGGAAGCGATGGAAAGTTTCCAAGAACGCGGATGTTGTTGCTGCTGAGGTTTATGGCGTCGTTCAGATCCTATACTTGTGTGACTTTTAGCAGGATGTATGCTGTTCTGTGAATGCCGCCAGAATTATCTCTCACTTGCCTTTGTGGCGCCCAGATTCTCAATCAGCGGGATGTGGTTCCTAGACAGGTCCAGCTCGCGGTCCTTGATGGGGTTTATGAAGCTGGGCGAGTTGTTTATGAGATCGGCGGTGAGTTTCATGGCTGGAACAGAAAGCAAAGTACGAGGAAGGCGATGGTTTTACTGTACGACGTAATCTCGCGCTATAATCCTTCGCCGCCACATTTGGTGGACCAGTGGTTAGGGGAGGATTCACGGTCTACAATAGTTTTTGGTGTCTATCCAGTTCCTCGAACCACGATTGACTATGACAACAGAGCATCGCCTACTGTTTTGGTCGGGAAGCGTACGCAATATGGTGCTCGATTTGGCATTGCGAGGGACTGGGAGAGCAGGAAATAAAGTGGACTGTAGAGAGGACGCAGCCGTTGGCGAGGCTGTAATAGCAACTTTCACAATACAGAAGCCGCGTATCCTGCAGCTCCTGATGTCATGGCAGGGAGGACGACTGCATCTCTTTCTCACAATACGACGCACAGCTGTTTCTGCTATTTTTACCGTCCACGAGAAATGCTGCACGAGGACGTAATGCGACGAACACCGCCAGATGCCTGGTGGTCTTTTGGGTCTACAAAAGGTGCGAATAGGGAGATTCCCGCTGAGGTTCACGGGAAGCGAGGAAAGCCAGGGATCGACGACGCATTATTTTTCGTTCTTTTGAGGAGAAAAAAGGATGCCAAATTCCCTGGGCAGATTCGTCCTTTTTTTTTTTTTTTTTCCTTTTCATTTCTCCTCCTACCCGCTTTCCTCTTTTTCTCGTCTGTTTTATATTATATCTTGGCCACTTGTACGTTACAGCTCACTTGACAACCGGGCCTGCTCTGTTCTACTTGCTACGCTGGTCGTATATAAAAAGGCACATACGCAGACGGTCCTTATTTGAAGCATAAAGTAGCTGCGAAGCGCGATATCCAGCCAGGGACTATTTATATCTCACCTCTCCCTCACTTTTCACCATCCCCTTCCACATACCCCCACCTGGCTCCTTTTTTGCCCTCTTTTCATTTCACGTTATTTTCACCATGTACAAATTGATATCCGCACTCTTTTTCCTCACAGTTGCGATGGCCCAAACAGCCATCACAGCCTCCACAACTAGCACGCCCACAGGCGCCGTGGAGTCCACTGGGGTGGACATCGGCATGAGCAAGGGTGTTGTCCCGACTCGTGCCAAATGCAACCTGGGATGCGGCGTCGGTATTGGCGCAGGATGTCTGGGTGCCATCATTATTGCAGTAATCGCGTTTATTGCGGTGCGCCGGCAGAGACGCAAGGTTCGGACCATCGAGATGCATGACAAGTGGGTGGCACAGAAGCAGCTACCGGATAAGCCCATCCCAGGCGCCGCCCCCACCAGTGAAGTCCCTCAGCGGCATGCACCAGGTCTGAATATGTTTCTTTTTATTGTTCTGTAGTAAATGCAACCTTTTATATCATTCTGGACAGCTTGTGGCACCGCAAAGAGACGCACTATCATCAACACCCTTGGTAAAGGTGGAGCGCGAAACCTGCCTCACTTGCCAGACCCACCTGCTTGCCACCGCCCTGCTATTCAGGCGAATGTGAAACCGGTTCAGAGCTGGTTCCGGACTGGTCCATCTCGATCACACCGTAGAATTAAGATTAAATCAACCGCTAGAGGGTATGTTTTGACACAGGATATATAGACGGAAAGTGGTGGTTCTATCCAACGATGCTATAGCCACTCCCCAAACCCGCTCCAGCCATGACTAAGCGAAAGACACTGGCCGGTTGAGGCAGTGAGTGGAGAAGGGCGGGGAGGTATCTACTGCTTGGAGCCAAAGATAGCCAGCATGGTATGCCAGACAGCCTTGGGGCTCTGGGCAGCGTCAATCTGCCTCAGGATGCCACGCTCCTTGTAGTACGCAGCAACAGGGGCGGTCTGCTTGTGGTAGGTCTGCAGGCGCTTGCCCAGGGTCGCCTCGTTGTCATCAGAGCGCTGGATCAGTGGCTCGCCGGTAATGTCGTCGGTCATCGGGGCCTTGGGCGGGTTGAAGATCTTGTGGTACGAGCGGCCGGACGCCGGGTGGATCAGGCGACCAGTGATCCGAGCAACCAGCAGCGAGTCGTCAATGACGAGCTCAACGGCGTGGTCAAGGTTCTGCTTGCGGGCATCGAGCATCTCGTCGAGCTTCTGGGCCTGCACGACGGTGCGCGGGAAGCCGTCGAGGATGAAACCGTTCTTGCAGGAAGAGTTGTTCTCGATGTTGTCCTTGATCATGCCCACCATGATCTCGTCGCTGACCAGGCCGCCAGCGTCCATGATCTTCTTCGCCTGCTGGCCCAGAGCACTGCCCGAGGTAACAGCGGCGCGCAGCATGTCACCGGTTGCCAGGTGGCAAACGCAGAACTTCTCGGCAATGCTAGGAGCCTGAGTACCCTTGCCTAAAACAAACAGCACAGCGTTTAGCCTGGCGAATTCCTTGGACGCTGAATTCAAAGAAATCAGAGCCGGTACTTACCCGAGCCGGGAGGACCCATGATGACCATGCGCAGGGCCTTGGGGAGCGTAAAGTTCTCAGTGTTGGCAGACATGGCGCTATAGTTTTCTTTCGACTAAGAGGGAAAAAGGAAGCAGCAAAGTGGAGGGAATGTGAAAGGAGCAGAGAAGAGGTGCACGTTGGTAGTCCGAAAAAACCCACCTCTTTGCCGCGAGTTGCAGGAGATTACCAGCCAATGGCGTTCAGCAAAGCGGTTTCAACTTGAAAGCCTGCGACCAGACACTGGCGCACAGAGTCCAGTGAGCCGTTGCGTCGGCGTTGGGGGGAGGTGGAGGGTGGAATGGCACAGGCTGTGGAGATAAGGAAATGAACTAAACTTGCTGCTAGCCTACCTAATAAACTACGTGCAGAAAACTGTGACTGGCAATCGTCGCATCAAACGCAAGCGCGGAAACGGGGCGGATCGGAAATTGACCGTTTCGGAAGATAAGTAGAGCCACGTGAGCGTGAATGTATTGCTGATAACACACCTACTGAGGCCAGTGCTTCTTGTACAACTTGTTGAGCACGCTCTCGAAGCGCGTCAGGAACACATTGACGTGGGCCTTGGTCAGCGTCAGCATGGGCCGGAAGCGCACGCTGGTCTCGCCAGAGCCGCCCATGTTGACGCCCTCGTTCTTCATCAGCTCCAGCAGCTCGGCGCGTAGCTCGGCCGTCGGGCAGTCGAAGGCCAGGAAGGTGCCGGCACCACGCACATTCTTGATGACGCGCGGGTACCGCACGGCGAGCGGCTCCAGATGGCCCTTGAGGTACTTGCCGACCTCCTGGACCTGCTGCACCAGGCCCTTGGCGCGGACCTCGTCCGACGATGGCCTTGGCGATGAGGGCGCGCGATGGGTCGCCCATCCACGTGTTGAAGTTGCGGTACGCCTGGTCTGGCACCAGCGCGCGCGTGTGGTAGAAGCCGGCCGCCTGCATCTTCTTGGAGAATGTGACCATGTCGGGTGGCGTCTGAAGGTTCCATTGCTCATGGGCCCAGAACGTGCCCGTGGCCGCACAACCCGTCTGCACCTCGTCGACGATCAGCAGCACATCGTTCTCAGCGGTGATGCGGCGCAGTTCCTGGAAGAACCGCGGTGATGCGTGACGGTCTCCACCCTCGCTCTGGATCGGCTCGACGATGACGGCGGCGATTGGCGACGCGTTGGTTTTGAGAATCTGCTCCGTCTCCTCAATGCACCGCGCCTCCTCAGCCGCGTTCTCGGCCTCGTACTTGTCCAGCGGGTACCTGAGCTGGGGGAACGGCGCCTTGGGCCACTTGAATGCCGGAATGTCCAGCTTGTGGAGTGCCTTGGACCGCGTCGCGCTCAGCGAGCCGAACTGGCGCCCGTGGAAGCTGGAGCCGAACGACAGAATCGACAAGTCAGGGGCCCCCGGCGCCTGGTTCTCCATCACCGACTCGAGCTCCTGCGCATTGAATCCACGCGCGCCGCGCTTCTTGCGCGCGTAGTGCATGAACGCCGCCTTGAACGCAATCTCGTTTGCATCTGAGCCGTGGCTCGACGTGAAAATCATCTCCATGCCCTTGGGCTTCACCGCCATGAATGCCTCCTCCAGCACCTTGGGCCAGTCCTTGGAGGGAACACGCCCATTGCTGGCCGGTTCGCCAGCGTGATGGCCATCTCGTCGGTCTTTGCTGCCTTCAGGAGGGCCTCGTTGTTGTAGCCGACCGGAATCGATGCGATCTGGCAGTACATGTCCAGCAGCTTGTTGCCGTCTGCATCGACGATGTAGTTGCCCACCGACTGCGTGTAGTCGCCGACCAACTGGGCCGCACGCGCATCCTGCAGCTTGGCCAACTCGGAGAGGACTTTCTTGGACTCGGGCCCAGGGATCTCTGTCGTGACCGACGGCTCCTTAGGCTCGACCAGCTGCGAGAGCAGCCGGATCGTGGCCATGCGGAATGCGGTGGCCGAACGCGGGCTGGTGCGAGCAGCGCGCGAAGCGGTAGCGAATGTCTTGAGCATAGCGTACAAGTAGGAAATAGTGTGTGAAAAACGGGAGATAAACGTCCAACCTTGCAAGGTTTCTGGCGGCCCTGGCATTATTCACCAGAGTCTGCGCTATTTAAGCAGTTCCCTTCTGGATAAGGGTTGTGGTCGCAAGGATAATTTTTAACGTCAAGACACATTAGCTGGACATTATTTTTTCGCCTAGCTCTCCTAGGCAAAAAATGCACACGCACATGCGCTCAATACTGCATTTTCCGACTCTGTCGTGCAGCATATGGCGGGGATGTCCAGTCGCAAGGCGCGCTGCCTGGGCCTGCCCGCATGCGTTTTCACTCAGAGACAAGTGCCTAGCAGCCAGGGCACGCTTTTGATAGCTCGGTCCCAAGCCAAGCCATATGCGCTCTCTTGAGATTGTCACCATTTAAAACCGCCACTAATAAAAGCACAATGACTTGCAACAGAACCCTGCCCGGGCATGATCATGCCCCGAACACCCGCTGGGCCGCGTAGTTGGAGATATAGCCCAGTAGCGCCCATCTCTCCTTTTCGTAAGAGATTGTGGTATTAGATTTGTCGCTCTTGCCTGTCCTGCTGGGCGCTGAGTTGACAGCTGGAGCATTCAGATAGCAAGTGCAGACCGTAGATTGCGTCTCGCAATTAGATCACTCTTAGATACCGGTTTCTCGGTTACAGCTGACTGCGCAGCATACCGCATGCGCAACTGGTGCTCGCCAATCCACCACATTCTGGCAAACAATCGCAACGTGCTATATATTGCTCCTGCAGCGTATAAACCGAGTGGCTGCAGGAGACCATGCTCATTTACATGTAGCCTTGTCTTTTTAGCAGATGTCAAACACTAGCAGCATCTGCAGCTACTACTGTGGTGAAACTGGTGCCAAATCTTTTGACAAAAAAGCCACTAGTGGCGGTATGATCGTGCTATCGATCAGCAAAAATGTTTTGGAACGCAGGATCATGCTCATAGCATATGCAGCTGCGGCTGGCTTGGCCGATTGTTGGCATGGCAGGCGATTTAAATGTTTGCATATAAAGGACTACCATGGAATCCCTGACAATACTCCACGGACAAACCCTCCACTTGGTACATGGTTCAAAGCCATCAAGTTCCCAGATAACAGTATCATGGTTTCTTGCTGTTAATTTCAAAGAGAGCAAGTGCTTACCAGCTCTATAATGAATAGCAGAAAAATAGCAGAGGAGAAAAGAGAGACCGGTGGGTTCCTTGAGCTCAAGTACAAGTACCCGGACTTGCTTATAGTAGCGTCTCAGTACCGTGACACCCTGGGGTCAGCAGCCGCTACCACAATCCTACTCTTGACCATCTTTGGTCGACAGAGCATTAGTGTCAGGAGATCCCTTGCTTGCACTCTTGTCTTTCCGTGGCCAGTAGAACCCTGCTGGGCCAAAACCAGCAGGCGAAGGAGGATGCATTGGCAGGGCTGGAATATAGTTCAGCGGCGGCTTCGTGTTGGGAAGAAGGGGCTGGCAGCGGCGCTTGCTTGTCGCAGCAGACGCTATGAGACACGTCCGTGACGCCCAGTTTCTGAAGTTTTGACTTGAAATAATGGAAAAGAGACATTGTGTGTTAGGTGTGTTGGAAAGTCACGAGTTTCAGTGAGTGGTTTGGGCTGATCAGCCAGATAATTGTTCTATTGAATAAGGAGTGGGCTGAAAGCAGCCAGAAAAAGAAAGAACTACGAATAAGAAGGGAAAGTAGTTATAAGAAAGAAATCGAGAGTGGAGAAGAGAGAGATCCCAAAAGGAGGACTGGAGCCATGGTTGTGATGGCACATAGATCCAGTGAAGGAAAGGAAAAACTGTAGAAACTCCAGAGAATTATAAATTCTGATATGGTGCAATACAGTACTGGCTTTTGGAGAGTGATTTGTTTTATAATGACCAGTATAGTACAATCCTCACTTACCTCTGTGGTATCCACGCCTTGGATCTGCTGCTGCTGCTGCTGCTGCTGCTGCTGGATGCAAGTATGACCACTGCAAAGTCCGCATTGGAGTCCATAGTGTATACTCTGTGGATCATTCTTGGCGGATTCCCTGATAGCCCTATGCTGTGTCTTGGCGCTTCCTTCGAATATCTTTGTTCTCTTGCATCAATATAGTATGCCAATGTCACTCAAGATTGCCACGGTCACGAACTTTGGTCCTTCAAATTAGTAGGGGTGAGCAGGAAAGGTTATGAAACATTTCTTTGTTGGGAATAGTGACGGCCGCTAAGACGGCCAGTGCGGAACCAGGCCTGTGTGGTTTATTGGCTGGCATTTGAGCTCACTGGTGCCATTTGGGTCGATAGTTCACTCTCCATAGGTGGCACCACCTGGATCAAATGTATACCATGTGCACACCGCTACTAGCAATTTATCTGTGAAGATGTTGCTTGCTAGACGAGAGTCGCAAAGAAACTTGGCGCTACCTTCGATGTCATTGGCGTGGCATGATTACGATGGTTAAGCGATCAGATACATGGTAGCTCTAAGTGCATGTGTTAGCAGCTATTTTTAGAACGGATGTGTTCATGCTGGCTGGCTTCCAGGCTGAATTGCAAGCACGATCGAGTTTCGTCAGATAGAAAGCACCAGCCTTGATTATCTGAAGTGCCAGACCGAATTAGTCAGCAAAGACTACCTCAAGCGCCAGCTTGAGTAGATCAGTCCTGGAGCAAAAAGTGCGCTGCTCGTTATGCTGTCCTAATGCAGGTTTACTCTCGCTATTCGTCAAATATATACTACAACCTGGAAGTCCTGCATGGCATCTTAATGGCCACTTTACAACACAGCATCTGGAAAAGGAGGTGTATCGTAGCGAGACATCCAGTGTACCACTGTACTATGCATGAGTGGACTGTAGGCTCTACGATATATTGGTTGTCTTTTGCAAACACCTGTGATCTACGTCTGCTTGCGGTTGTTGTCCTTCTCATCGGCCACGTCACCCCATCCCTTGACGATATTCGAGGCCATCTTGGCAGCCAGCTTGAGCCCGTCCATCTTGACAGTCCCGTCCCAGAACTTGGTCAGCAGCTTAGTCTGTGTGCCGTTCTCCCACGACTCCATGTACTTTTTGCTCATTTTGTACCCGGGCTCCAGCATACGCAGCACAAACCTCCAAGCCTCGTTCCGCCATTCCACCACAGCAACATCCAATGGAGCCACAACAAATAAGCGTCCACGCTCGCGCTCATCGCCAATGACCTCTACTCCCATCTCCTGCGTGGTGCGCTTATTGCGCTCCAGCTGACGGAACTTTTCAATGTTCTTGTTGCCGTACACCTTGTACACTTGCCACCGAAGCATCCATCGCGCGTACCACGAGTCAGCCCAAATCCTCTGCTGGGCTTCTTGTTGCCGCCGCTGGCGCACCACCGACGCCATCCGGCGTGAGAGAAACTCAATGCACGAGTACTTGCCCGTGACTGGCGGTGCTGATCGGGCGTCGATGTAGGCGCCGTCGTTTATACAAAAAGTGAAGGGGCTGTCAAAGTCGTCCTTTCTGTTCTTCACGGCTATCCGTGTTTCGTTTATTTCATCCCACGTCGGCGCTGGCCTTGGAGCAGCACTGCCGCCGGATCCTCCGGCTGTGTTCTGGTCGGCTGCGCTTGTGTGCTGTGAAGTGGGCTTTTGTTCGGTGTCATTTCCAGTGGGCATTATACAAAAGGAATAATATAAAGTCTATGTTGGTGGCGAATTCAGAGTGGTGAATAGTAGTGGAAAAAAAATACAGAGAGGTTACATTGAAGAGGAAAAAGAGTCGAGTTGCAAACGCAAAAAAGCGGCACAGGGACGCCTAGCCTCGTAGTGGGTCCAAACATTCTGCACACTTTGCCATCGATGCTGGCTTCGGCAAGCATTGGCCTAAGCACTGCGTTTATTGGTTGCTAAAAACGAGTCACTAGGTCACGAGGCTGGTCCTTCGGACGATTATGTTAGTCCGAGAAATCCTCAATGTCGTCGTCGCTCAGCACCAGCTTCTGCAGCTCCATCCTGGCAGAACCAACAGCACCTGGTCAGACCTGCCGCTAGCCCTGTGTCATCCTGCCCGCAGGGTCCAGGCCTGTCACTAGCCATGGCCAAATCGATGAGCTGTTGATAAACGATTGGATTGCGCTGCCGCACCACTGAGCTGCTACCCGGCTGCCGTGGCACGATCTGAGCCCAGAACGCCAGCGAATCGATCATTCGCCCACCCCATGCAGCCAGCGTCGGCGCATTGGAGCCCAGATCGAGCAAGTCCACGGCTGTCAGACCGCTTGCCACTCGACTATTATACATGCGCTTCTTGTAGCTCTCAAAGAACATTGGCTTGCGGAATGCCTGGATCGACGGCCTGTGTGAGCCCTGGCTGGCCTGATCATGCAATGGTGCTCCGCTGCCGGACCAGCTCGGGATGGCCCTTTGCATGCATGAATCCGTGCATAGTCAACATCCCAGAGTAGATCTCAGCCGCTGTCTCGAACGCATCGTGTTTGGTCCGCCCGCGACTAGAAACCACGTCGGCGTCGCTAAAGTAACTTAGAGCCTCAGTAAGTTCGTCAAGGCTGCCACAAAAGTCGACACTGTTCTCGTGCACAAACAGGTTGAATGTGCTCATATCCACCGGCAAGTGGCCGATGATCTGGCTGGGGCTGGACTCCAACCGACCCCGCCCGCTGTTGCTGTCGGCTGTGCCTGGCGGTCCGCGCTTTGCATACAGAACCTTGCCCAGCGCATGAAACAGATCCAGCGAGACACTTTCGTGTTGCTGCCACGTTCTTGCCTTCAACAACATCGCTGCCTGTAACAAGTTTGGTTGCCCTTGACCGTTTGCGTGGGGTCAAGCTCTGCGACGACATGCCTGTGTATGCGGCCTGTGTCAGTTGAAGCATGGTGATGGCTGACCGAATATCCCCACCACTTTCACTGGAAATCGCCTTCACTGCCGCAGTGCATTCAGGCGAAAACCGCACATTTTTTTGCCCCTCCAGCCCCTGCCGGATCTGTAGAATCCGCTTCAGGCCCTTCGACACAATAGTGGGCGCTACTGGGTTGAATTTTATCGACTGACAGTACGCGGAGCTGTACACGGCGCGGGGAATAATATCGGAGGCACACCAGGTGGCAACTTCTGTATTGGTGCTTTTGTCGCCATCGCGCAGTCGCCAGCTCCTCCTGGAGGCATCATCCAAAAGGTCCTGTGTCCGAGAACGATTCGGTTACCACGATCACCAGCGGGAATGACTGTCGTGCAGGGATTGAAATGAATCGCAGTAGTGCCGATTTGAACGACTCGCGTGTGTCGCGGTGCAAAATGTTGGGCAGGTCATCAACAAGAACGATCTTGCCCCCTTGTAGAAGGCGCCGACGCCCTGCTGCCTGATGCTTCGCCAGATGCATCCAGTTGCAAGGGTGTGTACCTCTCAGCACGCTTCAGAAAAGCAGGCAAACTGCTCTACTACGCCCACCTCATCGATGTCAAATCCAAGCGCACCGGCTACCGATGACCTACCGCTTAGCGGGTTGATCCACTCTACAACACCGAGTCCCAGTTCCTTAGCTAGCACTCGCACACAGGTCGATTTACCGGCGCCTGCTGGTCCCTCTACTACCAGTATCCGAGCAAATGCAGATGGTCCAGCCGCTGCTGGCTGCATTGCCATCTCCAGCCAGCCACGCACCTGTGCGATCTTGCCATTGTGAACCCCCAGGTCATCCGACGCACTGTGGCTCATACTGTCTCCACCACATATCACCAATGTCAACGCTACTGGAATCAGCAGCTCGTTGGTCTATGTGGAAGACAGACCCCGATGGTGATCCGACGGCCCCTTGCGACAGACTGACCTGGGCATGAGCTACTGCCCGCAGTTTTAGCACTTCTAAATCGTGGTATTGCAGTTATTGCCCTATGTCGTCTAGCCCGCGGATTCTTTGCGATGCTATTATGTGATATGGTGGTGAACGAGCTGGACCGATGGCTAGCTTCTAGCCTTGACTGACTACTAGAATCGTGTCCGCTGGGCATCGGCTGCGAGGAGTCCTCCAATTCTTCAATACCAAAATCATAGTGCTCAATGTCTTTGAAGCTGTACTCGTCGTCAGTGCTGTCATCAGACGACGACTGAGGCAATGACTATTACGCGTTTGGTTTGCCTTGGCTTTGCCTTTTGCTGGTCCATTTTTTCGCGCCCGTAGTGCCATGTATACGCATAAACAGTGCTAGGATACAGATAGGTTTAAAGAGAATTATAGGAGAGGTTTGAGTAGCAAGTGGAGGCAAGCCTTTAAATAATCCTCACTTCCTTGCTCGTTGGGCACATGCCGAACTAAATGCGCAGTACATTTGTGGGATGGCCGCAGATTTATTGATTTTTATCAAGCGGAGCTCATTTACGAGCGCTGATTCAGGCTGTGGTTCCAAATCTTATGATTTTAGGAACCATGGATCAAGACCTTTAGGCCACAATGGCCGGCCATACTATTCCGGCGACCGGCGCCACTACTTAGACGGGCACCTGCCCTTTCACCTGGTGATTCCTCCTTCCTTCTTTCATACAGCATATTTCATACGTTCAATATACGTCGTGGAAAGGTGCTTGGAGAGTAAACGTGTTCTAGACAGTTGCAGGAGGCTGTCTATCTAAGTGTATCATACCGAGACACAACACAGGCAATAGACTAGCGATAGAGCTCAGAGGCAGATGTCAGCGATGAAATGGTTGCTGCCTGCCTCATTAGAGTCAAACTCAGCCATATGATGATTTGAATCAATAGCGATGCTCAACTTGCCGTCATACGAGGCACGGCATACCCCTGTCACATCAATCTCCTAGGGACCTTAGCCGCCACTCACAAATACCAATCCGGGCCTTTCGAATCGTCGGGATCATAGATATACCATTGACCATGTATTCATCCCAGTCATTGCTAGCCGCAGATGCAGTCCAGCCCATAGTTAAGGCAAGGGGTTACCCTGGGCGTGGGCACACGCAGAACGCAGCCGTCGATTGAGGGCTGTTCCTTGATAATACATGGCATGCTATACCCCAAAAGAATACAGCTAACAACGTCATCCTTGCAGGATAGCTGTAAACATATCGACGCTACTCTTCGGAGGGAGTGCAATGAGATCACGAATGGGAGAAACCGAGATTACAGTGCTGTGCTTGGCGGCGACAGCCATAGCAAGGGCAATGATGGCGCAAAACTTCATATTGTAGCTAGTTAGAGAGGTAAGGAAAGTTAAAACTAACTGAGGAGTCCTAGCTGTAGGCTGCTACACAACGCACTTTATAGGATTTCAGTATACTACAACTGCCGAGCACTTGAGGCGTATACTTCCCCATCCTGGCACTCCGTTCGATCACTGAAGCCATTCACTTGTATTGGATGCTGTGTAGTATGAGCAGTGATAGTCAATGTATTGTAGGTTGAATGAATGAATGAACATAGGAGCTGCAGCATGTCTTAGTGTGTAATCTGCAACGACTGTTGAGCGACAAGCAGGCTGTACAGACCCTTCTGCTCCAGCAGCTGGTCGTGGGTGCCATGCTCGACAATACCGGCCCTGCTTGAACACAACGATGTGGTCGGCATTCTGAATCGTGCTGAGTCGATGGGCAATGGTGATCGTAGTGCGGCCCTCAGACGCGATATCGAGTGCCTCCTGCACCAGCTTCTCGCTCTGCGAATCAAGCGCACTCGACGCTTCATCAAGCAGCAGGAATCTTAGGGTTACGCACCAGCGCACGGGCAATGGCAATGCGCTGCTTCTGGCCGCCAGACAGCCGGCCGCCGGTCTGCCCGATACGCGTGTTGTAGCCGTCGGGCAGCTCGATGACAAAGTTGTGGATGTTGGCCTGCTTGGCGACCTCCTCAATCTCCATCTGTGTCGCGTCAAGGCGGCCATACGCGATGTTCCCGGCAATTGTGTAGTCGAACAGCACCGGCTCCTGGCCCACCAGCGCCAGGTTGGACCGCAGTGACTTGACATTCCACTGTCGAACATCGGTGCGCTCGACGTCGACACTGCCGCCCAGCACATCGTACAGGCGTTGAACCAGACCGATGATTGGTGGACTTTCCTGAGCCCGACGGACCGAACCAGAGCAATGGTCTTGCCAGGTGTGACGCCGAGCGTGATACCGCGCAGAATGGTGGCACCAGGACGAGTCGGATACGCAAAACGGACCTTCCGGGCAGCAATGTCGCCAGTGATCTGGTCGCGAGAGACCTTGATGCCTTCGTCAGAATGAGCATCGATACTCGGTACGCTTTCGATAGTCCTTGAGCAGCTTGACTGAAGACACCTAGGCTCTTTGTCAACACCGACGACTGCTGGGCGAAGAGGCCAAGCTCCATTGCTGAGAATTCAATAGCAAACATGACGTTCAGCATCTGCTGCACGCCGATGAAGTCCTTGATGACAAACCGCGAGCCGATAAAGAACGAGAAGCAATACACAAGGTATACTGTTGACTGCGCAAAGCCCGTATCCGAGAGCGCCAATATAGTGGTTCTTCTTTGCCTTGCGGTACGGCCCGATGCTGTTGTCTTTGAAACGCTTGATGAACGTGTGCTCGCGTGTCAGAGTGGTCACGGTGCGGATGTTGGCGACAGGTCTCGGCATGCCTCCTGCGACGCCTTCTCGTATGCACCCTTCATCGCCTTGGTCGACGGCATACACCGACATGGCCTCCATGTAGTTGGCAAAGATGAGGAAGGGGAAGGTTGCCAGAATCACCAGCGTCAGGCGCCAGTCGTATGCAAATGCAATGGCGACTCCAGCGACAACCGCAGCAACCGCAGCAACAAAAGTAGGAATTGCCTCACCGATGCACTTGTTCACATCCGGCAGCCTCGGTTGCGAAGCCGCGATGTTAGCGCACCGGTGCCGTTCTCCTTCTTGTCGAAATACGCTGCATCCTGGCGCATCATGGCGTGGAACACATCGCGACGCGTATGGTACGTGATCTTCTCGGCTGCATGCGTGAAGAAGAAAGACCGGCCGCCGTTGGTGAAGAAGATGATGCAAGCGAACATAAAGAAGAGCCCAGCATACATATTGACCTCACTGCTTCTGCTGCGAATACATCCTCAATGCCCATAGCGAATCAGCATACGCGTGAACGTGAGAGAAAACAGTGGGAACGATGCGCCATCGAGGATTGTGAAGAACAGACCGGGAATTATTGTACGCCCGTGTTGGCGATTCATGCGGATGAGCTGCAGCAGCGACACCAGCCCACGCTTGCTCGACACACCGCTGTCCTCTGCCTCACCAACATCCTCAGCTGCCATGGCAGGATTGGTGATCGGATTGTGTGGTGTCGACCTTAGTCGATCAGAATAGCGCTTGGCCTAGAGAGTCCTTAGTCAGGATACGGTTCTTGACGGCGGAGAAGTCAGCTATGCTTTCTTCAAATGCAGCCTGAGCAAAATCATCCGGTGCTGTCGTCCTCCTGCGTGTGGCTACCAGATCCATCAGCGGAATACTCCTCGACGCCTCTCTCGATCGACTGGCGCAGCTGCTGAGCCTCGACAAGCTTGGCATACGCACCGTCGAGACCGATCAGCTCCTCATGGTTGCCGGACTCCAGAACACGACCCTTGGAGATGACATAGATCACGTCCGAGTCCCTGATCGGTGCTGAGCCGGTGGGCGACGGTAATCGTGGTGCGGTTTGCCGATGCCCGGTCCAGCGCATCCTGCACAACACGCTCAGCATTCGAGTCGAGTGCAGACGTGGCTTCATCAAGCAGCAGAATCTTGGGGTTCCGCACCAGCGCACGGGCAATAGCAATACGCTGCTTCTGCCCACCGGACAACAGCGCACCGCGCTCACCGCACATCGTGTCGTAGCCATCAGGGAGCTCAGAGATGAAGTCGTGTGCGTTGGCGTCCTTGCATGCCTGGATGACCTGCTCCATCGTCGGCGGGTTGTTGTCGACGTCAATAGCGCCCCAGATGATGTTCTGGTAGATGGTGTATCCGAACAGCACCGGCATCTGCATGATGACACCGATCTGCTGGCGCAGAGAGCGCACGTTGTACTCGCGCACATCAACACCGTCAATCTTGACCACGCCGCTCTCGGGGTCGTAGAACCGCTCGACCAGGCCGATCATGGTCGATTTGCCGCAGCCAGATTCGCCGACAAGCGCAATCTTCTGGCCGGGCTTGACGCTGATGCTGAAGTCGTGCAGGATCTGGACGTCAGGGCGGGTCGGGTAGCGGAAGTTGACGCTGGAGAGCTCGATCTCACCCTTGATGCCGTCAGCCGACATGCCAGTCTCGGTGTCAACAGGGTCGATAGGCGACTTGCGGTCGATGATTTGGTACACTTTGGCTGCAGCACCGCGCGCACTCGAGATGGACGACAAACTGGGAGCCGAGTTGCCAAGTGGAGAACCCACCAATAACCAATGGAGAAGAATACAGAAAGTGCGCCGTCTGTAGTCATCTCATGGTCGCGCACCAACTTGCCACCAAACCAGAATCCCAGCGCATAGACACTGTAGATTGTGAACAGAATAACCCCCATTGACACACCGAGAACCTTCGCCTTGTGTAGACCTTTTGCTAGGGCCTTGGAAATCTTGCTGTCGTAGCGCTCAAGCTCACGGCGTTCGCCACCAAATGCCATGACGGTCTTGATTGACGACAGGACTTCGTCGGCGACACCGCCTGCTTCGGCGTACGAACCTTGGCCACCCGATGCGCTGTCAGCAAGCAAGATGCCCATCACCGACACAGCTCCAACCATGATTGGCATGACAGCAAGCACAACCAGCGTCATCTTCCAGCCCTTGATGAAAGCAATAATAAATCCCGCAATAAACGACGAGAAATACTGGATGGCAAAGCTGAATTTTTCTCCCGTGCCCTCCTGCAGCATGTTGACATCGCCAGAAATACGCGTGGTGAGCTCGCCGGTGGAAAGACCATCGAACCAGCCAATGTCCTGGCGAAGGATAGCGATGTAGAATTCTTCGCGGATGCGCTTGCCCTGTCGTTCAGCCGCTGTTGCCCATGTCAGCTTCTGCACGAACGCAACTAGCCAAGTTCCCAAACCCAGTGCAAGGAAATACCAGCAGTACTTGCGCACAGAGTGGTCCAGTTCATCTTTGAGTTCTTGAGTTAGCCCCAACTTGCCGGGGTTGGCAAAGCGAATCATCTCGCCAGCGAGCTTGCGAAAATATAAGGGCCATCAGCGGGCCAGAAGCACCGACGCCCATTGCACAAACCGTACCAACAGCCATTAAGGTCCTGTCGATTGCATCGGCAAAACGGAACAGCTGTAGTATTGGCACGCCTGGGGTCTTTTTCTCCTCCTTGTCATCATTGGAGGCGAACTTGAACATGCGCTTGAGGAAGTTGTTGTGTGGTGTTTTCTTTTCATCCGACGTAGACGGCGTAGGTATAGCGACCGGGCCTGTGCCAGACCTGATCTTTTCTTGACTGTGTCTGTCAGACATTGGGAACAAGTATTGTCAGGAAATATCGCAAAGAAATTAATGGAAGTTTGTGGTGTTGAAAAGGCGATTTGGCGTGCGATTCTTCAGGTTTTATCTCATTTCCTTGGCTGCCACCGCTCCTCCCCTGAAGGCAAAGCGCGGGCTTTGAGGTCTTGGCAAAAGCGGAATTTTCTTGGAAATTTTTTTTCCAGATATCTCATTTGCCCAATAACAAACGTTCAGCATGGGACTTTTGTGGATGTATAGAAGCAACTCCGTTCTCTGTAGATCATGGATTGTAGGCGGCAGTGGGGAAATGTGTGTTTCCATTGAACTTGCTGACCGGCAGCAAGTAAACAAAGGTGCCACCACAGAATGAATTGGGACTTTACAGGAACTGTTGGATGGCAGTCTTCCCTGACTCGGGGACTCCTCTGCTATAGTGCCGAGATACGGTGAGGCAACCGGCAGCTGTATTTGCGACAAAGACGACCGGGTGCTTTGTATTTGGTAGGCGCCTGTGCGAAATCGTCTTAAGAGCGCATGTTTCTGTCATCTGGAACCAAACCCCATGTCCACCGGTCGAGAAGCGCAGACAAAAAGAATCCTCTTAGAACAGCCCAGCTTTTAAAATCTCTCACGGTCAACAGCCAAAGGGCAGGTTGAGTAAGGAGAGAATTCGGACATTCCGATTAGCGGTTCTGGTAAGCTTGGATCACCGGTATGCAGTGTTGTATTTAACACTCAGGTGCACGTTGTTGGCCTTCAGAGAGTCTAGTAGTTATGAGCTTTATGGAATGAGTATAGCTGGAAATTGCTGAGGAGAAAAAGGGAGGATGGGGCCGTTCCAGCCCACAATGTTTATACAGGTGGGGATTTGGATCTGCACATGGTGACGAAGGGCATGGGGTTGCCCGAATGTCAACAGTGCCAATTCACGTCAAGTGCCTAGTTAGAGTAGAGGTCAAACAGCGTCAGCCTCCACCCAATGCCCAGTGTAGATTCACTTCAGCATATTTCTCATGGATTGTCACTTTGGGCCCTTCAGTAACGCTCTTATGATCACGATGCACCTTATTGCAAGCGACATTTGCATCAATCGGTATGCACTTGATATGGAGCGATTCCAGTTGCAGGAACTGTGCCATTATGTTGCCAGGCATATCCCTATTAGCAGTGGCCACTACCAGTGTTGGCATTAGGCCGCCAACACTGCCCTGTGCCACTATGCTCAAGATTGACCACACACTTCAAAGGTCTCTAAGTGCCCAACAGTCCACCTTTTTCTCTTCAGTTGGTTTTGCACATGTTTTCCTTCATACATGCCGATAAACACTCGTTTGGCTGATTGTTAACTATTGGTGTTAGAGGTGGGGCTGAGCGGGGCATCGGACGTACTCGCGAGCGATATCCTCGATCTTGACGCATCCAGCGAGGGCCATAGCCAGACGGAACTCCTCGTTGATCATATCGAGCATCTCAACGACACCCTGCTCGCCATTGTAAGCAAGGGCCCAGAGGACGGGGCGGCCGAGGAAGACAGCCTTAGCGCCAAGGGCCAGGGCCTTGAAGACATCAGTGCCGCGACGCACGCCGCCATCCAAAAAGACATCGACCTTGCCCTCAGCAGCCTTGACGACCTCCTCCAGCACCTCAATGGTGGCGGGCGCGGTGTCGAGCTGGCGGCCGCCATGATTGCTGACAATAATGCCATCGACACCGGCTTTCACAGCCAGACGTGCGTCCTCGGCGGTCAGGATCCCCTTGACGAGCACAGGCACGGTGGCGATTTTCTTGACCCAGGCGATATGCTGCCAGCTAAGCGTGGGGTCGATCTGCGAGGCCACATAGGTGGCCAGGCCCGAGGCGTTGGCGGCCCGGGCATTGTCGCCGGCGGAAACCTGGGACTTTGAGTCGTCGAAGTTGGCCATGGTCAGGTGGGGCGGCAGCTGGAACTTGTTTTTGATGTCGGCCAGGCGGCGGCCCAGGAAGGGCGTGTCGACAGTGACGGCAATGGCCGAGTAGCCGTTGGATTCAGCGCGCTCCACCAGGCGCCGCGTGGCCTCGCGGTCCTTGTAGATATACAACTGCAGCCATTTCGTGGAATCGGCGGCGCTGGCCGTGTCCTCGATGCTGGTGGTGGACCATGATGACAGAACCATGCAGGTGTTGTGGTGGCGGGCTGCGCGCGCAGTGGCCTTTTCGCCGTCATCGTGCGCCATGCGCTGCATGGCAGTGGGGGCAATGCAGATGGGCGAGGAGATCGGGTGGCCGAATAGCGTGGTAGCGGTGTCGATTTTGGAGACATCGCGGAGGACACGCGGGCGGATGGCAATGCGGTCAAAGGCGCGCTGGTTGTTGCGCAATGTCAGCATGTCCTGGGCGCCGGACTTGTAGTAGTTCAGGGCATTGCGGTCCAGGCTGGCATGGGCGTACTTTTCAAAGTCGTCGAGGACTGACAAAGGGTGGGGTTCCGGACATTGCTAACTGTAAGAAAAATGATAGCTGCAAAAAGGAGATAAGAAGGAAGAGAGGTTCATAGCGCAAGAGAACGGGCGCTATCACCTGTCAGTTGATTACGCCACCCTGGCGAATGGCTAGGCGGATTTGGTCGGCCAGGCGGCGATCCTTCTTGCCCACCAGCGCAGTGACTTTGCCCTTGGAGCCGGCACGGGCAGTGCGGCCAGAGCGGTGCAGGTAGTCGATGGCGGTGGTCGGGAAGTCAAACAGCACCACGTGGGTTACACAGGTCGTATCCAGTCCGCGTGACGCCAGGTCCGTGCAGACTAGGATCTTGCGGTCGTCGGCAACCACTTCGCCCTTGGCAACTCGCGGCAGCAGGTGGGCGGGAACCGGATCGCTGCTGTAGAAAGCATTCAGTACCTCGGTGCGGTCGTAGTGCGGCACCGGCGCATGCAGGTCGTTGAGGTCAGCGCCGCTGATCGGTTCGGCCTCCTCGTCCTCAGCCTTGGGCTCCTTTGTGGGCTCCTCCTTGGGCTCCTTTGCCGGCTGCTCGGTGTACCAGGTCGCACGGTCCCATGCGTCGGCATCACTGGCAGGTTTCCTGGGGGCCCTGACGTCATCGGCATCGGCATCGGTCTTCGGAGCCCTTGCCTTGTCCTTCTCGGGGCTCTTGTCGGGCCGTGAGCCGACCAGCAGCAGAGCGGGGATTCCGCGGGCGTACATCTGGCGGTGGACCAGGTTGGCGTGCTTCTTGTTGTTGCAAAAGACAATCAGGTGCTTGTCGGCGGCAGCGGTGCGCAGCACATACCACAGGGCATTGAGGCGATGGCCCTGGAACTCGCGCGAGACGTCGATGAAGGACTGCGAGAGCTTCTGCGGGGCGCGGTGCAGGGAGGGCGTGGTCACGTGGACGACTTCCGGGTACCGGCGGATGATCTGCTCGCGAATAAGCTTGGGCAGCGTGGCACTGACAAACACTGCCTGCTCCTGCGTTTTCTGGGTCTGATTGGCACTATGCACCAGCTGCAGCACACGCGTCATCTGCTCGCCGAAGCTGCGCGGGTCCATCAGCGAGTCAGCCTCGTCCACCACCAGGTGCCGCACGTCAGCCGGCGACAGCAGGGGGTCGCGCTGCATGTAGCGCAGGGCAGCGCCGGGTGTGGTAACCAGCACATCAATGGGGCCTTGGGCGGCCAGGTCGCGGATGCGGCGCCGCGTTATTCCCAGATGGATGCCCAGCGCGCGCACCTTGGCCGTGTGCGCGAGCCGCTTGAATGTACCAACAACCTGCACCACCAGCTCGCGCGATGGCACCACGACCAAAGCGCGCGGGCGGGCGAGCCGCCTCTGAGCCGCCTCCTCGGCCTGCTTGAGCTGCGAGATCAGCGGCAATGCATACGCCAGGGTTTTGCCTGAGCCGGTCTCGGCAGCCAAAAACACGCTGGGCGCATGGCTGTGCTTGCCCTTGATGTGCGTGCGGCCGAGGATCTCTGGAATGCCCAGTGCCTGGATATCCGTGGGGCGGATCTCCTTGGCCGTCTGCTGCTGCAGCATACTGAGGGCGGCTTCTGTCACATCGCTGCGCAGCCCGAGCGTGGCAAAGGTAGCGTTCCTGACCGACTCCTCGAGCTCCTTGATGGTCAATGTGCGCTTGCCGCCTGAGATGGCATTGAGGCCGGAGCCTGACTCGTTCTCGATATGCATCAGCTTGAACCGTGCCGGCGTGAACCCCAGGCCGGGAGCCCCGCGGCTCTTGAGCTGCTTGGCGCGCTGCCGCAGGATGCGGGCGTCGGCCATGGCGCGCTGCTCGGCGGTCTCCGAGTGCTTTGCGGCAAACTCACGTGCCTGGTCGTGTTTGTTCTTTTGGTCGCGCGCCCGCCGCATGCGTGCCATGAATTGCTGCGTCTGGCCGCCGCTGGAGCGCCCGCTGTGTGTCTTGCCGTCGAGTCGCCGTCTCTGCGTGCCCTGCTTGAGGTATGCGAATTTCTCGCGTCGCTTGCGTTGCTCGGCCAGAGTGCTTTGCGCTGTGCGTGGGGCGTCCAGGACCGCGGCTGTGGTGCTGAACCAGTGCGCCGGCGGCCGGGGCGCTACGGATCGGGCTAGTAGGCGCAGCATCGTAGGTGTATGAAAACGGATCGGGAGAGATGAAGGACACCTTTTTTTTCTTGCTTGCAGTGATCAGGACCATGCCCTTTTTGCATGATTTTTAGGCCAGCGTAATCGCCGCTTGATTATCATTGAGATTCCTATTATTTGAAGTCACAACTCTTCGGAAACATCGCTGAAATGGCCCACATCTGCCTCCTCCGTCTCCTCACCCTCATCTTCTTCCGGCGCTTCCTCCTCCTGCACGTCCTTGATCTTCGCACCGCCATTAGCCGCTGCGTCGTCAACGCCGATCTGGACAAAGTACAGCTGCGCCGGGTGTGTGCCGATATTCTTGATGCCATACGAGTTGCCGCTGGGCACAATGAACTGGCCGAGAATGCCGACCTGCATGACGGCGTCGCGGATGGTGACCTCCACCTTGCCAGCAGTGACCAGGTAGAACATAGTGCGCTCATACGACTGCCGCACGGGCTTGGCACCACCGACAGGCAGCGCAAGCACGCCCGAGTTCGCATAGACGTCGCCATTGGAGTACTCGGCGTACAGGCCGACGGCCACGCGGTACTTGTCGCGGCTATCGTTCATCTGCACCCACTCGACCGAATTGCGGGCTAGCGCCACCTCCTGCTCCACCAGCGTCTGGACCATCGGGCCGCACGACCTGGCAGAGCTGCTGCTTGAACGCAATGTCGTCGTTGTCGTCGTCCTCATCGCGCACGCGCTTCTGACCAACACTCGCCGTGTGCTTGGAGGCGCGTGGGCCGAACTTGCACGTGCGGTCGCTGGACACGGGGAACCCGTAGTTTTCGTCATCGTAGTAGTAGAACTTGTTGCGGTCGTTCAGATCCAATTCGCCGCGTGGTGATTCCGCGCAGACTGGGCAGTGGCTGGTTTGCTCAGCGCCTGCCGCCGCCGCCGGGCCTGGCTCTTTTCCTCGGCTGTTTTGCGCACACGCACGATGTTTTTGACCTTGGGCACGTGCGCCCCCGACTCCGTCTGCTCGTATCCGTATTCGATGTGCTCGTTGCGCCAAAATGCCAGCGGTTGCACGCTGGTGCGTGAGCTGCGCCGAGTTGCCTTTTCCTGGCTCAAAGCCTGGCCATTCTTTGCTGGCTTGCTGTCGGGTTTGCGCGGCCGTCCCCGCCGCTTTGGCGTCGCGGGATCCTGTGGTAATTCTGGTTCCGGAGTGTCAGGAATGGGTGGCTCGGTGTGTTCGACTTGTGTGTCGAGGTCCGAGCCAAATCCCTGGTCGGCTTCTGGATCAGCTTCCTGGTCGAGTCCTGGTCGAACTCCTTGGTCGAACTCCTGGTCGAACTCCTGATCGGCCATTGGTTCAACCTCTTCATAATCCTGCTCTGCCTCCTCGACCTGCTCTTCGCTCTCCTCTATTCTGTAATCGCCAGCCTGCTCGGCCGCAAATTCGGGCTCATCCTCGTCACTGCCATTCACCTGCGTCGCATCCTCTTGCTCCGACTCAGTGTCCACCAGACCTCTTGGCTACCGGCGTACGCGGCGACCGCCGCATCGGCGTCATAGCCTCCCGTACCGACGCCATGGCCATAGTCGCCCGCCGCCCCTTGCGCGCCTCCCGCATCCACCCCAGGTCACTGCTGCTGGTGACCATGGTTGCCCGCCTATTTGCATTGCGTCTTGTCGTCACTGTCGGCGACTCCACCGTCATTTCTGTGTTCTGGTCCGACTCCTCTTCCACTGTGTCCAGACCATTAGCCCTGGCCTGGGGCTCTGGCGTCCTGCCCATGTTCTGCAGCGCCTGCATTGACGTGCGCGCGCGTGGTGTGGCCTGCGGCCTTGGCGGCGATGTCCGCGCAAAGAACGCATCGACGTTCTCCAGCCCGTCCATGTCTACTGGCACGTCGCCGGTGACTTTTACGCCGGTTTTGCGCCCCGTGATTCCAAGCTCTGTGTACCGGTTGCGCCTTGCCGGCGACTTTAAGTGCTTAGGGTCCGCGTTGACTCATATTGTGCTCTCTAGCTGTGCGCCGATATAAAAAGTAGAAGCTTTACAGGATAAAAACAAATTACGACCAAACACAACAAATCAGAAAAAGGAGCAGGCAAACTAGAGAAATAATTTTTTGAGCAGGCGGAACGCGTCGACCAGCGTGGGGCTTTCTGGCGGCCTGGCCCTGCCAAAATCGAGAATTGTAAGCCCGCACCGAGCCAGCCAATCACGCCGCAGATCGCTTTTCTCTTTGCATCTTTTGTTGCTGCATAGACGCTTTTTTGCGCAGCTCGCCAATTGCCCTTTTTCTGCCCCCTGAGCCCCTCCAATTCACACCCACTGCCCTTTCCTTATTTCATAAATGGACTGCAAAGAAACGCTCTTGCAGTGTGGCGTCGAGCTGCGTGATGGAGAACCGCCGCTCGTGCACACATCGACCGCGTTGTTCCGGTACAAGCTAGGCGAAGCCATCGCCACCGATCCAACCCTGGCCAGCACTCTGGCCGGACTATATCGAGGAGCTGCTGTCCGACCACGACCACATCTCGCTGTACCTAGAGCCCGCCTCCGTGACTGCAGCCAGCTGACGGCACTGCGGTGCAGCGGCACTGGCGGCTCAGCGCAGAGCGAGAGTCTGGTACAGCTTTTGCTCGGCTATCGACGCACTGCAGTCGCAGCTGATCGCCGCATTGCTCGACAAGTTCCCAGAGTTCATCGGCGATGACGACAGGCAACATGGATAGTGCGTCAGACACAAAGGTCTCGGTGCGGCTGCTGCGCCAGCTGCGGTGGCTCGACTATGTCATTGACTCGGCCGCGCTGACGGCAAAGCTAGTCGAGACCCTGGGATTTGTGCCGCCCGAGATGCAGAGTGAGATCATTGTAGCCCTGCCAGACATTATATCGGACTCCGATCACGCTGATGTATCAAAGGTGCTGGTCCAGTATGCTCAGGGATGCGCCAGCCCTGATGCTGCCTATTCTCGAGACCCTGGGCAGCCTCGAGTGCTCGCTGAACCAGCAGCAGGAGTGCCGCAATGCGGTGCTCATGCACATGATCTCCGCTGAGCCTGGCGAGCTGCCGGTCATGGTCAAGTATCTGCTGCAGTCGGTGTCGGCAGAGACCGCTCCTGCAACCATCCAGCGCATTCGCCGCAGACTCGACATGGACTCGGTGGTGTTGACCATGCGCCAGATGGGCAAGGTGTCCGAGGACTTGGCGCCCGATGTGCTTGATCTTCGATGTCATTGCTACCAGCCTAAAATCCCACCGCCATTTGCGCGAGGCGTGGCTCAAGGTCATTCGCCACTGACTGCGAGCAAGTTGGCACGCAGACGACACTGGATATCGTGGTGCTGCTGATATTGCATGAGATCACAACGCTATCCAAGCGTGTCGAGACAGTGCTCAGGGCCAAGATTAACCTTGTCTCGTCACACCCAGTCGCGTACACACCTGACATCATGGGTGACGCTGTCAGGCGGTTTCCGACAGTGTTTGCAGCGCATTTCTCTGGACTCTTGTCAGTCACTAGTTGGCTGATCCAGACATCGCCGCTCAACAGCTTCTCAAGCCAGGTGGTCGCTGCGATGACTGTGGCGGCATTCGGCGGCATGGGCACGTTCCAGCGACAGGAGATTGCGGCAGAGCTCGCAGCGCATGTTGGCAGCGGGAACGCAAATGAGGTAGATACTGCAGCGCGCATATATCTGCAGCTGGCCCAGCAGCACCCGATGGAGCTGCGTCCGTTTGCTGTCTTTATCAAGGGGCTTTTGGACTATGTCGACAACCTGTCGATTGAAAACATGCGCATGGTATTTGACACACTGGGCATCCTGGCCACACTCAACACGTCTGGCGGCGATGACAGCATGTTCAGCGACCTGTATATCTTTGTGCGCAAGCAGCTGGCTAGTGCCTTCCCAAAGTACAACCGCATCGGTATTGTCGGCACCGTGTCGCTTCTGCGGCAGCTCGGCACCAAAGACAACAACGTGTATATGAGCAGAGCTTTGAACGCCGGGATCGAGGGTGGCAGCTCGTCGCAGCTACCGACTGCCAATGTACAGGCGCTGCGTAAGGCCGTACAGCTGCTGGAGATGCTGGTGGATGCCGGCCGCCACCAGTCGTGGGCGTTTGTTTCGATGACGTATGATGAGCTAGCGCACATTGTCGAGGTACATGGGCTGCATCCGCAGCTGATGACATGGCTGCATGAGAACGTGTCATCAGCATTTGCGTCAATGTTCCTGGCCGACAAGGATATGCTCGGAGCGCGGTACATCCTATATGGCCAGCCACAGGTGTCATTGCCGTTGGATGAGGATGACGCAACAGTCCTCGATATACTGGCACACAACAAGGACGCAGCTGACCTGGGCATGATGGACGTGGCTAGGCGCGAAGATTCTGAAAGCGAGTGTGGTAGCAATGCAGCCACAAAGCTGCGCGGGTGCCAGCTTGCCTGCCTGCCGTCGCTGTTCCGCCTGATTCAGGTATGCGAGAAGGCACTGAGCAACGGATCGCTTGCCGAGGTCGATGCCTTGCTGGTCAGCGGGCTATACATGTTGCCGCCAATCGATGGCACATATCAGCCCGATCCGCTCAACGACACGGCACAGCAGTTTGTGCTGGCTGAGACCAGCGATCCCGACGTCAACTGTGCCAATGCAATTTCAGGCACAGCGCTGGTGGGCACCACTGACGAGATGCGCACTGAGCTGATGGCCAATGTCAGCACCTGGCGGCCAGAAATCCGCCGCGTGCTATGCTCGTCGCTGTACACATCTGTCAACTGGCTGCGCGAGACCTATCAATGCGTTTGCCGATCAGCAGTCGCCAGAGATCCGATCGGGAGTGGTGCAGCGCGCCAACCAGCTGTCACAGCTTGAAAGCGATCTGGTCACACTGGCTGGCACACTAAGCAGCACGCGCCACGAGTTCAATCCAGTCGCCGCAGGGCTCATCCCAGATATATCGAATGCCACTGTGGCGCGGCCAAGTAGTTTAGGAGCACTGTCGATTGGAAAGAGAGCCCAGGATGGTGCAGAATCGACAGAAGGTGCGCAGCCTGCCATGGGCACGCAGTCGGCGGGGTATCAGGTCGAGTTTGACGATCTGCTGCTGTCCCAGGAGGATTCGCGCAAGTTTGTCGAGGATCTTGTGGAGAGCAACGCCAGCGCAGCGAGTGGCAGCAGTGGCAGCAAGAAGCGCGGGCGTAAGGGCAGAGTTTTCGGCAGTGGCAGCGACCCTTTGGCTGGAGACTTTTGCAAAGACCCCACATGTGTTTTTACGCGAGCTCAGCATGTCGGCCTTTGGCATCCTGGCCATCAACAGCGAGGCACAAGATCCGGATGCACCGACCTTTGGCTGTGCGTGGCCTGCGGGTGGTGCTACATGAGCTTGGAATGGTAGGTTGCAGGCCAAACTGAACAAGCCGCAGGAGCGCCGGTTCCCGTGGGCCAGTCGGTTCGCAGGTCCAGGGCTCGCTGGCTACGTTCAGCTCCAATATCGCCAGTTGCTCGGCCAACGATCTGGCCAGACGTCTGTTGCCGCTGCTGCCGTCATTGCTCGCCTACCTCGAGAGCTGCTTGTTGGTGCGCGCTCGGTTCCGCAACGACGTTGAATTGGAAGGCAATATTGAGTCGCGGGAGCGGGTCAGCCTGGGCGTCGACTCGTCGGATGATGTCGATGTAGTTGAATCCTGCATTGACGTGCTGCTGCAGATTGTCAGTGCAATCCTGCAGTGGGACGGATTGCAAGGAAAGGCTGACGACAATGCTGGGTCGATACGCACGAGCAAAGATAGTATACTGACAAAGATTCCTGGAAGCACTTGCCGAGCATGGGGCGCTCACAGACCATGCCGAGCTGGCCGACATGCCAACAGACATGCTGGTGCGCCGGGCGTTTGACAGCATTCTGGCGCTGGCCAGCCTGACAGCGACAACCAGCCGGGCAGTCAGCATTCTGCGGATGCTCGCATCCATACGGTCGTTTGCACCGCAGAGCGAGACGCTTGAGGAGGTGCTTGCTATGGACGCTCAGCAGCGACAAGACACCATGGATGCGCAGATCAGTGCGTTGGCACAGCGGATTCTGTGCGGAGAGTGGGCCGATTACTCTGACGTCAAACCAGCCGATCTCGAGTATATTGTTGAGCAGCATATCACGCGGAGCCCTGGACAGGCTATGAATCTGGCGCATGAGTATGCAGTGCTGATCCTCGGGCAGTTTGCAGCAACAGGCAGTGCCGACCAGGCGATGCTGCAGCGAGCAGACATTCGCTTCGTACTACCGCGCAGTGACCTTAATGCTGGCGCGAAATGTCAGAGATGCGGGTTTCGGCAACATGAACGGTGGGGAGATTCTGGACTTTGCTGCCTTGTTTGCTGAAAGCTGGCTGGCACTGGCGCGCCTGACGCAGAGCATCCGATGCTTCGGTAAGACGGGCAGTGCTGACTGGCCGCACTGCGCGGCGGGCTGACGCTGGTTGACATGTTCACCAAGCACCTTTTGCCGCGGTTCGACAGCTACTTCTTGGTGCACAGCGACCGGATCATTGGTGTCGTGGAGAAGGTGCAGAAGTGCACGCGCATCCTGCAGAACATCTGCAATCACTCCAAGGCCGAGATGGATACCAAACTGCAGGCGGCCGTTCCGTCTGTCAAGCGCAAGCTCGAGTATCTCATCTTCGAGGTCTTCCGCATCATGGAACACAACGGATGTCTCCAGGCCATCGACATGGGCAACTTGAAGCACAGGGATCTGCGCGGCAATGTCGTTAGCTCGCAGATCGAGCGGCTGCAGGAGGATTCCGAGGACGACAATGGCATTGATGCTGGTGAGGAGGAGGAGCTTGTGGAGGAGGAGGAGGAGGACCAGGAGGAGGAGAGGAGCCGCCAGCACATGTGGATCGGGCGGCGAAGCGCAGGAAGAATGGGCAGATAAGCGCTCTGCAGAATCGTCGGCACGATACGTGAAGAAAACAGATCGGGCTGCACGCTCAAGGGGTTTGAAACAACGCAGGAGCGCTGCAATGCGGAGCCCTCGGTCAGTTGACGATGAAGCAGAAGAGGCTGGAGAAGAAGAGAGGAAGGAAAGAAGGAAGGAAGGAAGAGAGGAGCTGAGGAGAGGAGACAGGAGAGGAAGACGAGGACGACGAGGATGAAGAAGAATAATTAGCATTAGCTTTTGGTTTTTTTGATACATTTTACCATCTGCTGGAATATCTGTTTGCATATCCGCAGCAATCCACGGCGATTCGTCGTATCTTATGAACGCGGCTTGTTGGCCTCTGCTGCCATATAACTCGCATGCCTGTACTGCGCAGCTCCCATATGGCACAAATGCACATGCCCGTCCCTATATAGGTGGATGGTATCTGATTGGCAACAGTTCACACTTTGCTGACAGGCATGTTGCGCAAAAAGACTCTGGAATATGCTATTTTTGTCTTAGGGTATCTGAATTGCACTATTGCGTTTCATGGACGGCGAACAATCCCAGGTGGAGGAGCCGGACACCTTGCAGATCCACCCATTCATGATTCAAAGCGCAGCACATTTGCCCGTGTGTGAATCGCATGCGCAATTATCTCATGTGTCCCGCATTCTCGATTGTTCTGAACCCGGGCTTGCCGTTTTTTCGCCTGTTCCCTGACCCGCGCGCACTCTTCGGTGCATAAAGCCTGTGCATAAAGCTGTGCATAAAATGCAAAAACAAGGACATACATATACGACCCGCTGCTCTCTCCTCCCAACAGACACCAGCACCTTCACTTTTTCACTGCTATGAATATGCATTTCGTTACTTATTCTCCACTTGCTCTGGCCCTATTCCTTCAGCTCCCGGGGCTGTTAGCCGCACCACTCGCCACCGCCGACAAATGTGCACTGCCTAGCGACTGCTACGCGCAGTGCATTGCACAGCCAATGCCATTCTCAATGCCACCATTGCCGTGCAAAATCGGCATTGTCTGTCCGCTAGTGGACCTGGACCACTTGCCCCCCAAGTGTTTCCCGCGCCACAGGTCCGCGTCCGGATACGAGGCTGTGTGTGAACCAAGTGCAGACTGCCACTATGCGACCAGCACGCCTGGTCCTACGCCTACCAGTGCAAACAAATGCCCCACTGCCTCCCCTACGCCCACGTCCGATGAGGCTGCGCTGATCGGCTCGTACATGGCGAGTGTCGAGGATATGGGCGATCTTCCGTTCACCGCAACAAATGACAGCGAGGCGGTGGAGGACACTGGCGACGACAGTCTGTTTGTTACGCACCCGCTGCCCAGCAGCTGCTATAGACGGTGCCTGAAGTGCGAGACCTCGGCTGGCGATGAAAGAGATCCCGCCTGTGTCTCGAACATCTGCCAGGACGTGTGCCCAAGCACATAGCTCAAGTAGGGGTTTAATTAAATTGTAGTTTTATAATCACTATGTGTTTGTGATCCTGATGCCCAATGCAGTAAAGTCTAACAACATGCCAACACGAGAAATACAGGGTGCACTAGTGAGGTCCTCGCTGTCTTTTTTGCCCCATGATGCCATCTTGAGAAACATCGCAATTGCGGATACTGATGCGGGTTGATTTTTAGATCCTTTCCAGGCATGCATTTCCCTGTGCCACGCCCTTTTTCTGCATCACTGCGTTCAAAAACTCGCTTTAGCAATCCAACACGAATTCGCTCCATTTTTCTTCAGACTCTCACTTTTTTCAATTCCAAAGTCAAAGCAAATTTCAGCAAGGGATGGATTCCTCCGACCCCCACCTTTCCACAGTGCACAGCATATTCGAGCGGGTCCTGGAGCCGACGCTGAACCGACAAAAAGTGCTTCATGCCGAGCAGCAAGTGCAGGAGCTGTTGAATTCGCGCACGCAAACGGAGCATGTGTTCCAGCCGCAAAACAAGTTCTGGCAGGCAGTGTATTTCAAGCTAGCCGACCACTACCGCATGGGATCCGGGTACGGGCAACAGCCCGGCCAGGTGATGGTGATAAAAGGCGCCGACGCATGCATGCCAAGCACGACGATTGCGCAGTACATTGAATCACACGGGTTCCCACTAGACGAGCCCGAGGAAGAAGAGGGGAATGCAATGAATGTCACGATGATTATGCGCAGACGCAAGGACCAGAGCCGCAGTGGCAGAGATAAGCGGAAACACGATAGTAGGCCGGTGCGATCACAGAATGAGCAGCAGGGACTGAGGTCGATAGAGGAGCGTGAGGCCGAGTATGAGAGATTAAGAGCCGAGATCTTCCAGGGAGGCGCTGAAGCATCAGCGGCTGGTGCAGAGCCGGTATGTGCGGCGGATACGATCGAGAAGTGGCAGTGTGTGCCAAATCGCAGTCAGCAGGCGGGTGTGCACAGCAGTGCTGGATACCAGCCCTCTTCGGTGCGTCCGCCAGTGCGACCGTGGAAGCAGCTGTATGATCCAAAGAGCCAACCTGGTAATAGGAGGCAGCAAAGTCCGAATGGAAATGCACACGCTAATGGCACATATGGCCACCAGCAGCAGTATCGGCCGAGTGTCAGAGCGCCGGCAAAACAGGCGTAAGAGGAGAGCTTGGCAGCTTGACAATTTTGCTTTGCCTGTGTTTTTTTTTACATATATACTTCCCCCTTTGTCTAATTGATACAACTGACAAGAACAGACCGGGAGACGGGAGCTACACCGCAATATGAAGGAGCGTGCCTATACTGGTCAAGAGAACATGTGGCTTCTCAGAAGGGAAGCAAGTCACTGAAAAAAAGTCACACTATTTATTCACTCTAATCCGACTAGACGCCATAGCGGTCCTCGTAGGCCTTCTTTGAGTAGTAGGCAGCCGACGCCGAGCCCAGCACCGACATAACAGTGGGAACAGGGGCGCGTGTGCGCAGAGCCTTGGGCCCCATGGCAAACAGGAGCAGCGAGGAGGCGGCGAGGGCGAGATCATGGCCGTGGTCCTGGTTCTTCTGGATGCGCTGGGCCGAGTAGAAATAGACGGCACCGATGCCAACGCCAGCAACCGAGCGAGGGAATGGAGCGGCCCTTGGCATAGCCAATAGCACCACCCAGGGCGCAGATTCCGGCCATCGAGTAAGCGGGATGATGCGACATGATAAAAAAACGAAAGTGGAGGAGAGAATGTAAGGAACCAAGATTTCCGTCATCATCGGCAAACGGTCTCCTCTATGCGGCTTCCTCGGGCCCGAATGGTAATCAGGATTTTATGAAAAAGTTAATTAGCGATAAAGAAAAAGCGTTCAGTTGAGGATCCGGATGGCCCGCTCGTGGTGCGCATTGCGGTGCCTCGACACACGGTCGATGTGGTCCAGGGCAATGAAGCCGAGGGGAGCCGGGCCCTCCCCACGCGTGGCCACATCGTACAGGCACAGACTGTCGTCGGCCTCGTCGGCCTGCGGCTGCTGCAGCGGCGGTGGGGTGCTGTCGGGCGTGTGCTGGCCGGTGCTGGCTGGCGACATAACGCTGTCGGTGGCACGGACTCCCTGCAGCCACCTGCAGGCAGCCAGATCCTGGGTGCCAGGCGGGCCGTAGACGACGCCCATGTTCTTGAGCTCCTTCTCGCCCAGACTGAGCTTGGCCGAGAGTCTCACCCACGTGTCCTTCCAGGGCTCTCCAGGAATGAGCGAGAACAGGAACGGCACGCTGTGGGTGCGCACCAGGTCCTTGGTGAAATGGAATACCTCGACAGAGGTAGCAGCCTGGTCGTCGATGTCCATCTTGGCCGTAGCCTCGGGGTCGGCGAACCGAGGCGTGGATGGCCACGACCTCGCTGACGGCTGGGCGGGCCACCTGATCCATGGGCTCCGAGCCGTCGAGCTGTCTGACGATGCGGTGGGCAGTGACCTCGTAGAAGTTGAGCTGTAGGGGCTTGGGCGCGTGCTGCTTGTCGGCAGCGCGCAGGGCAGCCTCGACCTTGTCATAGGTGGCCTCAACCAGGGCCTGCGACGGCGCCGCCTTGGGCACCAGGACCTCCAGCACATGCTCCTCCTTCATGCGCTTGCCGACGTATGTGACGCGCACCGAGCGCATGGAGCCGAGCTTCTCCAGCTGTGACCTCCAGGCGCTCGTACATGACAACGAACTCGCGCAGCCCGTCGACGACGCTGTTGTTCTGCGTGTAGTACGACGGCGGCAGCATGTCACTGAGCGTCGATGTCGGCGTGGGCTCTACCGGTACGCGCAGCTGGCTGACTGGGCTGACCTTGTGGAACCGCAGCTTGTTCGGATCACGGGCGCCAAGCTCCGCTGCCACCCGCGCGGCCACAGCAGCATACGGCGTCCTGGTGCTCAGCGCCAGCGTGACAGGCGCGGCCTCGGTGGCAGCACCAGCAGCATCGTCGCTGGCACTGTCGGCTCCAAACTCGTCGGCGTCCTGGGAGGCCTGGCTTGGGCACGAACTTGACACGCACGCGGTGGTGCACGTCCTCGAAGAACTTGACGACATCAGGCAGCGTGTATGAATCGTCCGCCGGACCATCGACCTGGAAGCAGATGATGTCGCCGGTCTGGATCTCGGCGCTGCTGAACGTCAAGGCTGTATTCATGGGCTCGATCAGCGTGGGCTTGATCTCTTCAAACAGCTGCAGCGGCGTGTCCGCAGGCAGCCCGGCCATCTCGCACAGGACGCGGCTTAATGTCACCGACCTTATCGCTGCTCTGCACGTACAGGTGGCCGACGCCAGAGATCCGAGCCGTAGCAGGGTCGTAGAACTTGGCGTGCAGCAGGCACATGCCGGCAGGAGGCGGCTCGGTCAGGAAACCGGGCGGCGAGTCGGGGGTGCGCATCTCGCAGTACAGACGCAGGCTGGGCCACTTGCTCGAGCGGGTGTCCTTGACCTGAGCCAGCGTCAGACCCGGCGCCGAGGTGACCAGCGGCACGTCGCAGCGCACGGTCTTGTTCACACGACCCACCATCAGCCAGAGTCGGAAGTCGTCGGGCGAGCAGCCCAGCCGTGCCGCATACAGCGCCTTGAACTCCGACAGCAGCATGTTTTTGCGCATGCGCTCGCTGAAGATCGCGTTGTCAGCCGGCTGCCGCTCGTCAAAGTAGCTGAGGTCGAAGCCCTGGTGCCGCGCCACGTGGCTGTCGTTCACCACGCTGACAGGCAGCGTGTGCAGCAGCTCCTCCTTCTCACGCCGCCGCCGCTCAGCCTCAGCCTTAGCCTCGGCGATGCGTCGCAGCAGATGTGCCGGCGGCTGGATGTCGCCGCTCGCCAGCACCTGGTCACGCAGAGCCTCGCGGATATACACCAGCATGTATGCATTGGTGAACCGCTTGGCCTGGGCGCGCCGCATGCCCGGCCCCGGCACCGTAGGTACGATCTCGCCGCCAAAGTAGTCATCAAACACCTCATCCCTGGTGATTGGAATCACGCGATCATCGTCGAACCGGAACCACTTGTCCTCAGCCTTTGGGCGCAGCAGCCCAAAGTAATGCCCGCCATGCAGGTCGCCACTATGAACCAGCACGCCGTGCAGAGCATACCGCCACGGCATGCTGCGGTCCGCGTCATCCGACAGGAACTCCTCCAGGTCGATGGTCGGCGGGAACTCGTGCCGGTCGTTGATTTTGACCATTGCGTCATGCATAAAGTCGTACTCGAACCGCTTGAGCTGCAGCTGCAGCACCGGCGGGAAGCTCTCGAAAATCACTCCCTTCTTGGCGTCCTGCAGCCCATGGCCCTCGGCCTGGTACCGGTTCTCGCCCTCCAGCATCTCCACCTCGCAGTAGTTTGCAAACGAGTCGCGCAGCGTTGCGCAGCCCTTGACATTCAGAGAGATGTCGTAATAGTTCTCGACGCGCGACGACTCGTAGTCCACGTCCACGCACCGGATGAAGCTCTTCATCTTGCCCTCAAACAGCCGTGCAATCGCCCCGTCTGCCGCCGTGCCCTTCATCTTTGTCTCCAGGTTGTCCTGCAGCACGCGGTTGAACTCTTGCACGTCATGCTGCATGAACGACTCGAGCGAGTCCCATCCCAAACGACTTGGTCAGCTCCGTCGTGTCTACCGCCTCGCTGCTGTGTTCCAGGTTGTAGAACACGCGCTGCAGCGCCAGCGCTACTGACTTTTTCGGGTCGTCGTTCTCCGTGGGGATCTGGTACACCGCGCTGCGGAACTCGTTGGTAAAGTACAGCGACTGCAGCAGCGAGTTCATGTAGCATGTCGCTCCCTGGTTGCGCAGCCCCACGAACCCAGTCTGCTTGCGCGAGTCGTAGTTGTGGAAGTTGTGCCACAGCACCCCTGTCGTATCCTTAATCACCCGCACATATGCGCTGATACGCACGCGGTTGTTCTCCAGCAGCGCTGGGGTGTCCGCATCCGTCGGCGTCATCAGCTGCCGCAGGCCCATGAACCGCGTGAATCCCCAGTCAGACTCGTCCGCGGTGAACCGGTGCTGCGCAACGTTGTGCGTGAACACTGACGGGTCGCTGGTGTTTGACATCGCCAGGCAGAAGTTGGCACAGGCATGCCAGTCATCCGCCATGCCCTCCGCTGCCTTGTACTCGACATACAGCGACACCATGTCCTCAGCCTGGTTGCCGCGCGGAAACAGCAGGATGTCCCACTTGTGTCCTGCCACTGTGAACTCGCCGCTGGTCACCTTGTCGCCAAGCGCAGTCCAGTTGTCAATTTCCCAGTGGAACGCCCCCCAGCCCTCCGCCTCGTACTTGCCCAGCGGCGGCAGGTTCGCCCTCATGAACTCCTCTTCTACAAGACCCTTGCTGTCTATCAGCTATGCTGCCAGTTGTCCAATGCCCGCCTTGCAAAAAGTCCATTTTGGTGTCTGCTTACCATCAAGTGTTGTTGGCAGGTGGGGGGCTGTTGCCGGAACAGGCGCCGCCGCCTGACGACTGCTGTCATCCATGTCGTCATGGTTGCTGCCAGTGTCGCTGTGCGGAGGCGTCGCAACACCCTCGTCAGGGATGTCTGGCGTCGCCTATAGTGTGCCTAACGTTGTTCTCGCCAAGTTGACCCATCTGTATAATAGTCTTTTGAAATAACCTAATACCCAAATGCAATCTACAAAACTTTTTCCCTTCAAAAATTAGCAAAAAGCCAGCTGAAAGAAATTACGAGCTTCACTTTGCGTTTGTAATTCTCTCCTGACCTTTCTTTGATGGGAGGGGACAATGCCAGCGATTGAACTAGAAAAGTGTAAAGATCCAAAAGGCACTGACGGAATGTAGAGAAAAAGGGTTGGAAAACGAGAGAGGCAGAAAGGGTCGGCTGGCGGGAAACACACCACCTCAGTGATTGCGTACAAGCGACCCTGTAGCCAAGAAAATCACGTGCTGCATCCCAATCAGCAGTGCTGGCGCAGCTAGCACGGGGATTTATAGCCCTGGTGCTACGCATCCCCAGCCGACATCTCAGGCACACAGGGCTGCAGTCTGTGCCCAGATGCTAAGACAAGCGCCGTCTGGCATGGATACGCCGCATGCTTACCTGGCACCTAGCATGCACCGTCCTGCTAGGCCGTCTCTAATCTGGCTCGCTGAACCAATCATCGCTAGTGAAACCGTCAAGATTAGTGACGAAAGCACCGCTAGAAACTGCCAGCGGCTTCTGGCAGGAGCCCTCGCGCAAGCATAAAAGCGTGTGCGAGCCGCACTGGCCGCGCTTGGCTTATCTTTGCCATTTCTCTTCCTGTCTATTTTCCACACCCTTCTACTCTGTATACTTTTGTAAAAAAAAACGCACGCAGCCATGATCCGGGCGTCTGCCTTGTCGCTTTCCAAGACGGCGGCTCTCCGCCGCTTGCCGTCGTCGCTCACCACTGCAGTCGCTGCACAGCTAACAACACGTTCCCCCACATCCAGCATTTGCCTGCTGCACCAGCAGTCAAGCAAAATACACACGATGCCAAGGTACCGCGCACTGGCAAACGATATCACCATGCGCACGATCCGCAATCAGCAGACACGCGGGTACGCCATGGGTCCGGGCGGATTCCGCATGGGCCAGCAGCAGGAGCCCGTGCCAGAGCCCGGCCAGGCCCTGGCCAAGTTTGGCATCGACATGACCGAGCTTGCCAAGCAGGGCAAGCTGGATCCCGTTATCGGCCGAGATGCAACCATCCGCCGGGTCATCCAGATTCTGTCGCGGCGCACCAAAAACTCGCCCATCCTGACCGGCGTTGCTGGCGCTGGTAAGACCGCCATTGCTGAGGGTCCTGGCCCAGCGGATCATCAAGGGCGAGGTCCCCGAGAGCATGAAGGAGAAGCGCCTAATCGCACTTGACCTCGGTGCCCTTGTCGCTGGCTCCAAGTTCCGCGGCGAGTTCGAGGAGCGCCTAAAAGCCGTGCTCAAGGACATTGAGGATGCCCCTGACGTTATTGTCTTTATCGATCGAGATCCACATGCTGCTGGGGCTGGGCAAGACTGAAGGTGGCATGGACGGAGCCAATCTGCTGAAGCCCGCTCTGGCCCGCGGCACCCTACACTGCCTAGGTGCCACCACGCTCGATGAGTACAGGCAGTACATTGAAAAGGACACCGGCCCTAGGCACGCCGCTTCCAGCCCGTCATGGTCGACGAGCCGACCGTTGGCTGATACAATCTCGATCCTGCGTGGCCTAAAGTCCAAGTATCGAGGTGTTCCACGGCGTGCAGGTCGCCGATTCCGCCCTGGTCAGTGCCGCAACCCTGGCCCACCGCTACATCACCTCTCGCCACCTGCCAGACTCCGCCATCGACCTGGTTGACGAAGCCTGCAGCATGCTACGCACCCAGCAAGAGAGCAAACCCGAGCCCATCGAGCAGCTCGACCGCAGCATCATGACGAATGCAGATCGAGCTGGAGAGCCTCAAGAAGGAGCAGGACGAAGCCAGCAAGGAGAGGCGCGCAACACTCGAACACGATCTTGCCGCAAAGCAGGCCGAAGCAAAAAAGCTGACCGGGCAATGGGACGAAGAAAAGTCCGAGCTCGAGCGTATCAAGAGCATCCGCAAGCGCCTGGATGTCGTCACAAACGAGCTCGAGCACGCCCAGCGGTCTGGAAACTTTACCCGTGCGTCCGAGCTTCAGTACGGCGTTATTCCGCAGCTCCGCCAGGAGCTCCAGGCCAAGACCGAGAGCGCCAAGAACGACAAGCTGCTCAGCGACCGCGTTACCAGCGATGCCATCGCGCACACAGTCTCCCGCGCCACTGGCATCCCCGTCACCTCGCTGCAACAGAGCGAGAGGGCCAAGCTTCTGCATATGGAGCAGGTGCTGAAGAAGCGCGTGGTCGGCCAAGACGAAGCTATTGCAGCCGTATCCGAAGCCGTGCGCCTTAGTCGCTCTGGGCTCCAGGATGACAATCGTCCCATGGCCTCATTTGTGTTCGCCGGGCGCAGCGGATCGGGCAAGACTGAGCTGTGTAAGGCATTGGCACAGTTCCTGTTCGACACTGAATCCGCCATTGTCCGCATCGACATGTCCGAGTACATGGAGCGCTTCTCTGTCTCGCGCCTTATCGGCTCACCGCCCGGCTACGTCGGATCTGAGAAGGGCGGCGAGCTGACCGAGGCCGTGCGCCGCAAGCCGTACTCTGTCATCCTCTTTGACGAGATTGAGAAGGCGCACCGCGACGTCGCCAACCTCCTCCTGCAGGTCCTCGACGAGGGCCACCTGACCGACTCGCAGGGCCGCAAGATCGACTTCCGGCAGACCATCATCGTCTGCACAACCAACCTGGGCTCTGATCTCCTGGCAGCCTCCGACCCCGCCTCGCCGTCCAAGGAGGATCCGGCACCGAGCATCTCCACGCAGCTGCAGATTCCGCCAGCTGGTGGCCCAGCATTTCAGCCCAGAGTTCGCCAACCGCATTGACGAGCTGATCGTGTTCAACAGCCTGTCGCGACACGCCATTCGCGAGATTGTCGACGTCAGACTCGCCGAGGTTCAGCGGCACCTGGACGACAGACGCATTGCTCTGGAGGTTTCTGGCGAGGCCAAGGAGTGGCTTGCCCAGCGCGGATACGATCCGATGTACGGCGCGCGTCCGCTGAATCGCGTTATCCACAAGCGCTTGCTCAACCCGCTTGCACGCTGCCTGATCGACGGCAGTGTGCGCAATAACGAGACTGTCAAGGTTACGGTTGAGGGCAAGGACGAGGACCGCGAGCTGGTTGTTGTCAAGAACCACGAGCCCAGCGATGGCCATTCGGCGCATGACGATGGCACCGTCGACGCTGAGTTTGAGGAGATTTCCAAGGATGACTAAGAAGTTTACTTAGGAACATTTTTCTGCAGGTTTTACATCGCATTTCCCATACACACACTAGTCTAGCAATGTCCACATGTTCATATGCGATTTCCAGTTCCACATCAGCAGCCGCCGTCTATGATAAATCTCGTAATATTAGCATGGCCAAAGCCGAACTATTCAACTTCGCCGACACGCGCATCGGCACGACGATCAGCAGCAATTACCCGAGCACAACCGGCTATGAGCCCACCAATCTTATCCACCCCTCTGCTGCCGGGTTCCTCTCCGAGTCCTTTGTCCGCCCGCCCGTCGAGCTCACACTCGCGTTTCCCTACAGTCTTTCGCTGGCCGCGATTCTCATCAACTCGCGCATCCGGCTATACCACGTCAAGCACCTGGCGATATCCGCGCAATGCCAGTCCGACGCCTGGCTCCCGCTCAAACGCCTCGCCTGGGACACCAAAAGCAGCGAAGTAGCCGCCGTATACAACCCTGAGATTGGCGCCGATATGTGCGCGAGCAGCATTCCCGAGAGACATATCCAGCAGTGGCAGCCAATTCACCTTGGCCGGGCGTCAGACGCACGCATGTTGCATGCAGTGCGGTGCCTGAAAATCCGCATTACTGGAATGCACGACATGTCGGTTGTTGCCCTCGGCGGAATCAAGGTCTACGGCCAGCCTTCGCAGCAAATGACCCACGGACGTGACGCCAAGTTCACCGCTGCTCGCCGCATTCTCGCTCCGCCACCTGCGCTGTCCGCAGCCGCCCAGCTGCCAGCCGACAGAATCCCGCCTGAATTCATTGACCCCATCACCCAGGAAGCCATGCGCGATCCAGTCGTCCTGCCCAGCAACAATGTAGTTGACAGGTCAACCATCCATAGACATCTGCAGCTGCATCAGACCGATCCGTTTACCGGCCTGCCCATGTCGCAGGACGACGCAAAACCGGCGCTGCTGCTGCAAATACGAATCCGCGACTGGCGCCAGCAATAAAAAAAAGATAGGCGTGCGTTCATATACCGTCAGTAGTCTTAAATGTTAACGATTTTAATCATTTCATGGATAAGTCTAAGGTGTGTAATCATAACGCAGGCCAATCCTTTTTTCAGCAGAGTAGTTGAAGATGAGCCCGGGCATTGATCCCGCGAGGCAGCGGTTTCTGCGCGCCCGCGGGTCCAGGGCGAAATAGTCGCCCCAAAGCCGCATACCCAGATTTCCCAAAAACTGTAGCCCCTTTTGTCCTGGCGGACAGCAGGGCACCCAACACAGCCTGCGTGCCTCAAAACGGCACACATCGCACTTGCCAATACGCCATGTGCCAAGATGTCAGCAGCAGTATATTGAAGCAAGAAAAATTACAGGCAAACAAGTGAAGGTATGCTAGACACTGCTGTCGACCAGCTGGGTGCTATCTGCCTCGGAGTTGACAAAGGTGCCCAGCCGCCACGGCTTCCGCGCCTCCTCGCCGCTGCTCTGCATCGACGCCCTGCCGCCGACCAGATATGCGCTGGTGGTGGCCAGCTGTCGCACAATAGTCACCATGGCCGGCTCCTTCGGGAACCGCATGCTCTGCAGAATGGCGGCGTTGACATCGGCGGCCAGCTCCTTGCGGCGCGACTGGCTCAGCAGAAACGCCAGCGAGCTCTTGGACGGGTCCGGGTATGCAACCAGCGCGGCCACGTTTGTGATGTGCTCCATGATCTCGTTCTTCTTCTGCTTCAGCTCGTCGCGCGGCACCACCTGGTCGGGGGCTGACACGTTGCCGGAGGACGCAAACAGCAGGGTGTTCGCCAGCCACATGTCGAAGATCTCCGGGTACCGCCAGAGCGTCCGCTGGCCGAACTTTAGCGCATCCAGCTCCTGCTGGTTCGACACCAGCTCAACGTAGTACTGGGTGTCCAGGCGGAATCGCAGCAATGTCGCGTTGAACTCGCGTCGCAGCGGCAGATTGTGCACGGGCAGGTGGTCGGAGGGCGCGGGAATGAGCACGGTGCGGAAGTACTGCGACAGCAGGTCCAGGGCCACCTCGGGCTCGCCCGTCTCAATACTATGGCAGATTCCTACATGCAACAACCAAGAATTCCTTTCAGCGCATGACTCCCTGATGAAATGGCAGGCTTTCAGCTGACTAACAAGATGCAATGGAGAAATGGCAGCCTTTACCTTGCCTGATATGCAGATACTCGATGTGGTTATCGATAAGCTCGTTTGCCCTCTCAGTCTCGTCCCCCACCACATCCTCCTTGGGCATGCCCGAATCCTTCCTCTTGCCCTTTGTTGTCGGCTCCTCCGAAACCTCCACCTCCTCGCCGGTTGCATTGAACAGCTGCGACAGGTGCTCGGGCGCCGATGGACTCGTCAGGCGCCCAGAGGTCGCCAGGCCGCACGTCCGCGCAAAGGCCTTGGCGGTGCGTCCGCAGTTGTTGTGCAGGAGGTAGCTGTAGACGAGCATATGCAGGGCGCTGGCGTCGGAGGCTGCCGGGTCTGGGTGTTTGTCATTTTGCGGATAGTGTGTGTGAAATTGCAAAGCCAGGAAATAGTGTTGTAAAAGCAAAGAATGAAAGCTGGGCTACGCAAGAAAGAAAGGAGCCGGGGGAGGAGGCGATCAGCACAGCATTCCTGGAGGCCAAATTGGCAGGAGGGGCAACGTAACTGCTCTGCATTTAGCCCAAAACGCCCTCCCCCTCCGCACACATTCCCCAGTATATTTCATTTTTCCTTTGGAATATGGAAAGCAGCCGGCAGGGTCGACTGGGTTCGGCGAAGGCAACCTGGGTTACTCGACACCTGGGTGCAGGGCCAGAGCCCGTTTCTTCAACACGCGAAACACCGGAAGCAGCAGTCTTAGATGTTATTAGCGGGAAAGAAAAAGTACAGAGAATGTTCAGATGGACGCAGTGGCTGTAGCAGGAGCCGGCTGCTGGGCCGGCGATGGTGGCCGAGGCGAGATGGCCGGCTGCTGCGTGGTCGCGCTGTTGGCCGGCAATGGCGAAATAGGCGCCGAGCTGGATGACAGGCGGCGTATGCAGGGAGGGCGGCTCGGGCTGCTGGGACACGAACCGTGGTGGGGCGGCACTCGTCGGGGCGCTCTGCGGTGGCCTGGAGGCCATGGTGGGCGGGCTGGGCTTGTATCCGCTCGACACGCGGTTGACGGGCAGAATGAACCGCGGGCTGGACGTGCGCTTTGGCAGCGCCGCCTGCGACGCCTGTGGGGCGGCTATCCGCGCCTTGATGCCGCTGGTGCTCTCGGACCGCACGTTGCTTTGGCTGATCGAAAACGACGACAGCTGCGGGAACGTCGCCGGGTGGTCCCTCAACGTGCTGCGGTGTGTTGACGGGCTGTTGCTCACCGGGATACTGGCTATGATCTGGCTGGGCGACGACCGCTGTGCTGGCGGCGGCACAGCCGGCTGCTGCATCGGCGCCATCGACTGCTGGTGGTCAAGCACCGGCGACGAGACGTGCGAGTTCGGTTGGGAGTTGATGAATTCGCTGCCGATATACATGCCCATCTGCTGCTGTTGCTGCTGCTGTTGCTGCTGGCGCAGTCCCGTTGATAAAGAACGGCGTCGGCAACGGCAGGATTCCGCGGCGCTTGACCAGAGCCTCAGCCCTGTGAGCCCGTAGCCACGTACTCCTCGACCTCATGGTCGACCTCCCACGGCTCATACTGCACCTCGGGCGGCATGGCCTTGAACCCGCCAAAGTGCTTCGACCGGTCCCCGCGCACCTCAAAGTGCCTACGCAGCCACGACTCGCCCAGCATCGTTGCCGTGTTGCCGTCCACTAAGCAACCGGTCGCTGTGCCTCAAACGCCCACTCGTTGTCGAAGCGCATGCGCGCGCGCTGGCCCTCGATAGTGCCCCGGTAGATGGCCACCTGCCCGTAGTCCTCGCGGGTGGGCTCCAGGATCCGCAGCCGGCCGGGAGAACTTGAACAGCCGGAACGTGATGCTGTAGAACTGCGTGGCGCCCACCAGATCTCGCAATTCGGGGGACTCAATCCGCACAGGCGCAGGAGCACTGACCTGCCGGGCATCCATAAAGCCGACGCGCTGGCACAGGCGCTTGAAGTCCTCGGTATACAGGGCTCCGCCCAGACACTCGCCCATCAGCACCGGGTGCGACCGCACGTGGTTGGGCAGCCGCCGGTCCGCGTAAATATCGCTAAACTGGAACTCGCCGCCCTCCTTCAGGATATCAAACACGCTCTGCAGCACCAGCTCCTTGTTGGGCTGATAGATTCACCGCGTTGTTCGATATGCACAGGTCGATGGAGCCCGGATATAGCCCCGTGTCGCGTGACAGAAACTCAATGTACCCCTTCACAAACCGCAGGTGCGGCTGGAATCCCAGTGTCCGCGAGTAATCCTCCACGTAGTCTCTGGCCACTCGGAGCTGCTCGTCGGTCATGTCCAGACCAATGACCTCGCCTGTGGGGCCGACCAACTTGGCTGCCACGTAGCAGTCGCGGCCGGCGCCGCAGCCAAGATCCAGCACGCGCAGCCCGTCAATGCCCGTGGGCAGCGGCATGCCGCAGCCGTAGAACCGGTCACGCACTGCCTGCGGCACACGCGCAATTGCGTCACGGATAATTGGGTGCGGCGATATGGTTGGGCCAATAGACGTCTGCATTTTGTTCATGGGCGAGATCCGCGAGTAGTAGCTGCGCACATTATCATACACGCCCATCATGGACTCGTGTCGGCTGGGCCCGGCGCTGCCGATTGAGTTCGATATTGTTGCTGCCATTGACGCCAGTGTCGGTGTGTATGGCTGCTGGAACGCTGGCGGCACTGTCTGAGCAGCGGCTACAATGCAGGCACGACTGGGACTATTTTTATTAGCTTGCTGTGTAAATCACAATACCACGGCCCAGTTTTTTCTTATCAGAAAATCACGCATCTGCTGTGAGTACATCTCATACTTACGTGTAGGCAGCATCGCCGCTGCATTGGCGTTCGGCGCCCACGGCAGGCCCGCCAGGCCCTCCGCACCGCTTGCTACCTCCACCGACCGCCTGCGCTTCAGCGGCGGCGGCGCATCATCGTCCATGACCTCTGTGGATACCGATACAGGCATCCCAAACGTCGTGTGGTTGACACCGTTGCCGTTTGTCGCGACTGCTGTTTTCATCCGTCGCAAACTCATCCTTGATTTCCTGCGGACAGCCCGTGCACCGCTGCAAGGTGCGTCTTCATGCGCTCGGGCTGGCCCGACAGCTCGTACCCGCAAAACTTGCAGATGGCGCGGTGGTGCTTGGACCGCCCGGTCGGCTCATGCCGCTCGTAGTGTTGCCAGACTGGCGCAAAGTGCTTTGGCGCCATGGTTGGAGTGATATGTACACGCTAGAATATTGTCAAATAAAGCAAGAAAACCGTGGGCCAGAAGTGAAATTTAAACAGGGGAGGGAGAAAAAGGAGAAAAAGGATTTTTAAGCCAAAATCACGCTCGAGTCCTACCTGCCAGGCCCCTTTTATGTGTGAGTTTTGAACGCGGGAAAAAATTTTGCGGAGGATGCTCTATGCGATGAAATTTTTTGGGGGTACCAGGACGTGCGAGCAAAAGAGAAAAAAAAAAAGCGCCCCTCACTGCCCGATGAAAAACACGAAAGAAAAGCAGCAGAAATCTCGCTGCCCAATCACACCACCGAGCCAGCCTACCAGCTTTATTGAAAAGGCTCTCTAGGCGCACTCTTGGTAGCGATTCTGTGCAGAGGCCACCACAGAAGTCTATTGGCCGGCACTCTGCCGAAGGCATTGCGCCAGCCGGTAGTGGGCATCTCCGTAAGCCTTCTGGCAGCTAGTGCACGGTCGTCCCATCCCAAACGACTACTTTTAGCGCGTTTAAAAGGGAAATGGGAAAATGGGGAAGGGAGGATTCTAGCAAAACAGAGACAAGGTACCACAAAACCAATGCTTTTGGAAGGTCTGGTGCTCAACGGAACGGACATATTTCGCTAGCTGGGTTTTCCATATCAAGTTCAGGTAGCGTGCCAGCCGCCATGTGAAAGATGTCCTCGATAGATGCATGTTCATGTACGTCGCTATATGGCGTCTACTACTGTCGAAATTCAATATATATATATTTTTCATAATGGGTGCATGGCCACTGACCTCCGAGATAGATCTCTTTTTTTCCAGCTAGTCCCTTGACTCCCTTTTATTTCTACAATGAAGTTTGCAAAGATTATCTCTGTTGTGGTGTTTGCCGTGTCTGCTGTGTTGGCCACCCCAGTCGCCATCAGCCCGTATACAAATGCCCTGTCATCTGCACCAGCCCCCGCATCGGCTGAGGAGCCATCTCTGCCTGAAGCCAAGGCCATAGCCATGAAGCTAGCCAACGACATCATGGACGGCATGACGGGCATCCGCGCCATATCCCAGTCCACAATGCATGTGAACCGTGCCAAAGACGATGACGATGGTGACGACGGCGAAATCTCCCCCTCCAAAATCATCAGCCAGATCTCTACCGCCATCAAACCCGTGCTCAAGCAATTCTCAAACATCCTGTCATCCGCCGTCCCCGAGGGCCCGCAAAGGCAGCTGGTGAAGGCTACATCCAACGCCATCAACTCTCTGCTCCCGCTGATTCTCAAATACGCAATAGGACTGTAGGCACTGGTAAAATAAACAGATTTAAAACATTTACGAGGGATGGATGGCCCCCAGGCTGCTACGCCGGAATCCGCTGGGGAACTGGAAGGCTCCAAACTCGCCGCCCACCAGCGAGGGCCTCGCCATGTGCGCCCGCGGCGGCTGCGCAATGCCACTCTCCTGGCACGGCACCGGCACCGGCGACACGACCTCCTCCGGTGCGCTCTGCACCGGCAACGGCGGAGTTACACCGCCGGACTTGCCCAAGTCGAGGCTGCCGCCCATAGAGCCGCGCGCGTGGAAAATCGACCGCATTTTCTCCGAGAACTTGCTCGACGCCAGCCGCTCGTGCAGCGACGAGCTGCGGTTCGACATATGGCTCGACTGACTTGCCGGCCGCCCGCTGCTGTTAGGAGGGCCGCGAAGCAGAAGAGACACTGGAGGCGACCGAGGCGCGGCGCACACGCGAGGAGGGCGCTGGGAGCGGGCCGCTTGGAGAAGACACGCTGCAATCTGCCGCGGGCAGTTCACCTGCACCCATACGCGCCTTGGCTCGGTTGATGAATGGGTTCGTCGAAACACTGTCTATCGGCGCCGGGCCGCTTGCCGGCACAGCATCTGCAGATGGCGGTAGTGGCGGCACAGCAATTATGATGCCGCCGTCGGGAGCCTCGGTAATCGACAGTCTCTTGCTCACCTCCGCTGTCAGCGCCAGCGGGATATCGTCACTGGACATGTCGCCCAGCGGCACAGTGGCCTCTTCTTCGGGACTCATCCTAGGCGAGCTATCGGGCGACGCCAGGTAAAACTGCGACCCTGTCCGCTGCAGCGAATTCGGGAATCCGTTGACCTCGATTCTCGGCTCTACCGACAGCTGCCTGCTGATTGCCGGCGGCGTCGGCCGCGCCAGTTCCAGCAAAACCTCGTCTTCCTCAGAACTGGCAATCGCGTCGTATGACGGCGGCTGTGTGCTTGAACGCATGATGATTGTGCCCGGGTTGAGCAATGCGGCCTCGTACCGCGGCAGGATATTTGTGTCGTCACGTGCAGTGACCGGCATGATCGAGACGGGCACCGCAATGAAGATGCTGTGCACTAGCAAGAACGGGTCGCGGATCTTGATCAGAAACTTGATCCGGTGGCGGATCTCAATCAGGTCCGTCATCACGTCGTACTGCGTCCCGCCGTACGCTTCGGGAACTGCCAGCGGGATCTGCACGCTGGTCGCGTCCATAAGATCCATACAGTCGTCCGCCCTGCGCACCATCGTGCTGCACATGCCTGACGGATCCAGGTAGTTCTCGTTGCGCGCAATCACCCGGGAGAGCTTGTGCAGCGCCTGTCCGTCGGCACCATAGTACCGGATGTACTCTTTGATCAGCACCCCCACCGCAATCAGCTTCATGCCCTTGACACGCGGCTCCAACTCGAACCTGGTGTGGAACAGCTCGCCGTCCTTCAGCGACCTCGTCGGCACCGAAACCCGGTAGTCTAGCTGCTGGTCCCACTCGCCTGCCGCCTCGATGCTCTCCATCAGCGCCAGCGCCCACGGCGCGCCCGGCATCGGCCCGCGCTTGATCGGCACGTCGCGCGATGCCGTCAGGTTGACGTGGAACGACGGCCGCTCAAGCATCGCCGTCAGCTGGTACCGGACCTTGCCCAGCGTCGTCAGGACTGTCTCGGGGTTGTCGCCTGGAATAAGCAGGTCAAACTTGAATTCTTTGTCTTCCGGGCCCCACATAATTGCTGGTCCGCTGCGGCTCCAGGAACTGCCATGTGTGTGTGAGGATCTCGCGGTGCTCGTCTTTGGATGCTGGGCCGCCAATCAGTGTCTGGTTGAGAAACAGGTCGACGCGACCGGTGAATACGAGCTTGAGCGATTTTACACGGATCGGCTCGTTCAGATGCACCACCAGCTTGCCGCTGAGCATGGTCGGCGAGGCCTCGTCAAACGACCCCCGCACCAGGAGCTCAGGCTTGTCCAGTACTATTTCAATTGATGGGCCCGAAGAGCGAAGCATATTCATTCTATGTGTGCAAAAGTGTGTAAGAAATATGTGTAGTCGTGAAATAAATAAAATAAAAAAGATAAGAGAGCGTGCTCGCACTAAACCAAGCCCGGCTGACCCCTCTTCTTATTCAAAGCCTCCCTCTTAATGCATTGTTTGGTGGCTCAACTTTAAAAAAATCCACCCCTCCTCTGCCCAGAACAGTGCAACTTTTTTCACCACGAGTGTGGTGCGGAATACAAATAGACCCCATTGTGAGCGTGGCATTCGCTCTCGGAACAAACCCCCTGCGGCACACGGAGTCCTTGGGGATAGGGATGATACTGCCCGTCAGTTCTACCTGCGAGCTTTTTCCGCGTATGTGAGCAGGATCCGCCATGTCCGCAGCTGCACATATCTGCAGGCTGTCCCGTGGATTCCTCGCTAAAAAGGCACAGGGCTCGCGCGCATGCGCCTGCGCTTGGCCCCTCTCAATCGAGTGTTAATTTCCCCTATGCCATTGGCAGCATTCAAGCCTCTTTGCGCTAGACAAATGCACAAGTTACGAGTGCTATTCGCATTAATAGGGTCAATGGACGCAATTAATTTATGCGGCCAACCCGCGCCTGTATAGTTCCAGTCAGAAACTCCCCATTTTGCATTGGTTAGCCTCCTGTCTCACCTTCATTCATCACACTTCCTTGTCGCATATAAAGTGCCCTCGGAGCAACCTCCTTACCCTGGTCATTGGACAAAGAAAAAAAGAAAGGCGATCATGCCGGCGGAAGACCGGCAAATAGACAGGCCAGCATAACAACCCCCCCCCCACTAGCCCTCCCTAAGGAACAAGCATCTCGTAGCTGCGAATTGATCCTCGAAAGAGCTTTTCTCTGGGGCTTTTATTTATGCACACTTTACAGAAGAGGACTGTTTGAGAATGGCAGTTCCCGGGTTCGTCTCATATGAGCGGGATACGCGTTAGGTGATTGTTGCTCTGCCGGACAAGCGGAGGGGCTACGCCCAGGTCCCTCAGACACTCCTGCATTGGGATCTGATTCCGCCTTGAACCCTAGCCATTTTGGACTCGTCGGTCGCCCACGCATCCTGGTACATCTCCAGGTACTTTTGCAGCAGATACAGGTCGTTCAGCGGCAGCACAACGTCATTTCAACGTGCTCTCGCTGCGCCCGCGTCGCCGCTTTCCATCTAATGCACACGCCCGGCGCCTTGTACTCTGGTGATTTGCGCGCCGTTTTGCGGTGCACGGGGCTGGTGCGACTGCTGCCAGACTCGGATCTCCGGTCCTCGGAGCTGGCCCGCTGCGGGTGATCGGCGTTTGTCTGCCGCGCAATACTGGGCAAGTTGCCGGGCCATGGTTTTGCCGGCCCGTCGCCCGACGTCCTTGCCGAGTCTGTGACTGTCGACCCTGTTGGCACCAATGCAATGTCCTGCCGCGGCAGGGCAACGCCATCGCATATTTGCTTCTCAAAGCCGACTGTCGATTCAATTGGTGCCAAATCGAGCTTCGCTTCGGATCCAGCACATCCGCTGTTAGTAATTCCCATGTCCACAGTGGTATCGTCGGATGGCAGGGGCGGAGGCGATGTAGTGGGCAGTTCTGGCGGTAGTGCCAACGGGGGATTCCTTGGAGGAAGACTGGGCGACCAGAGCGTCGTCTCCCCTGGCGACTGGGACTTGCACGCAACAACAGTCTGAAACGAGCAAGCGAGATGCAGTGGCAGAGATTTGGCCGAAACGGTCGATGCCGTGGCTGCCTGGTCAATGGGGAATGCCGCTGACCGAGCGCACAAAGTCTGGGCTCTGCTCCTTGCTCCCATTTTGGGCGCTGGCAGCCGACGGTGGTGACACGGAAACAAACTCGGCTGCAGGCTTGGTCGCACCCGGTGGTCAGTGACGCCAAGAACTCGTGGAACCTATGTACATTTGGCTCAATGAACCCGCGGGCATCCGCAGGCCACTCATCCGCAGGCTTGGCTGAGTAATTCGACAGCCGCTGCATCAGCCGGGCCACGAGCTTCAGATTCGTCTTAATCTGGCCCGTCGGACTTGCATCCAGCAGCCCGTAAATGTTTGGCGATGCCAGTGCGGCATTGACAAAGCGCAGAAAGAATATGCCGCCCACCAGCGAATACGCCTTGGTGTCATCTACATCCTGGGAACCGCTGGCGCGTCGCCTGCAATGTGCTTGCGCAGATGGCCACCAGCCCCACAGGCACCTGTGGCCGCGCATTGATGATGTTGTGCAAGCAGTGCGTGGTCAGATGCACCAGCTGCCGCTGCCGCCGCCGGCTCAGGTTCTGCACCTCCGTGTACCCAGCTGCCTCCACCACGCTGACGGACCGGCGGCAGTCCTGCGCGACTCCTGCGTGCGTGCCCAGTCCTGGTACACTGAGCCAAGCTCCGACTCCAGGCTCGCACTCCCCAGCTCCACCACGGTCTCGATCGTCGGGCCCACCGCTTCCTGCAGGTACTCGAGGCAGCTGCTGTTTTTCAGGTACGCCGACAGCATGTGCACGCTGGGCGCATCATTGCGCATCACCGTGTCGATGGACGTCGTGCGCTCGATCTCGAGCTCGATGATTTTCGTAAATAGCACTATCAGCGACGGCTCGTGCACTGGCCCGCGAAACACCGAGTCCAGCACTATCGACAGCAGCGCATCGCACTCATGGTACTTCACATGGCTGATTACCCGGCTCAGATAGTACGGGTTGTGCACCAGCAAACGCATCATGGTGCCATACAGCTGCGCCCGTCTTACACTGAACATGATGTCGGCCGGAATCACCATGTTCGGGTCCTTGACGCTGCCTACCACCTTTGCGCCCTTCTCCTGGCCGTTGCGGCTATGTGGGTCACTGGCCGACTGCTGGCTGATTGTTTTCCTGCGCCGAATGCCTCCAAACACGCGCACCAACCACCCCTGGCTGTGGCTGTCGGGCGGGCTGCTGCTGATTGTCGACTGGTCGCTGGCCTGCGTGTGTGTGCGTGCTCGCCCCGGCTTTTGCCTGAACCTACAGAACGACACCGCCTCCTCGTCCTTGGATGCAAACGGCACGCCGTTGCTTTCGGGCTCCGCCTGAGCGCTTGCCTTGCCCATCGGAAGGTTTGCTATATGGCTTTTCCAGATATTAACAAGAGCTGCCGCTGTTTTTGGATAACACGAATAAGGGATATATGGCCAGAGAAATAAAATAAAATAGGTATTTGAATGTACAAAAAGGAAAAAAAATACAAAAGCGAATATGTAAAAAAGAAAAGTTTGGTGGAAAGGAGAAAAGGTGAAACCCACGCCTCGTATTCTTTCTCCTGCTTCGCGTGCACCTCCCCCGCCTGCTTCACTTGCATAGGTGTGGCGGAAGACAACGCCCTCACTACCCCCTGTGCAACCTCCCCCCAATAACTTAAACAAACCTTACCTAGACCGACGCGAATATTGCAGTTTCTGAGCTTTGACAGAAATCGCCGGCCAGCAATGGCAACTGGGTGCGAATCCCTCCTTGTATTTCTGGAGAGCGCCCAGACGCGTTCCAAGAAGCTCTTCCTAATCCATATGCGCATACCTAAAAAAAGAAAAAAGTGCTCCATGGGCAATCCGTGTTTTTTTATTGTTCCTGTGCAAGATATTTGCGATAGCCGCTTCAATCGGTTATATGGACCTGAATCCTGCACACCACCCGCCACCCATTACACAAGGTGCTGGCTTTCCGACGCCTCTTCGCCCGATCCCTTGCTCGAGTTCCCACGCGTCCGATCATCGCCATCATCGTCGCTGGCTTCGTCCCCTGGCTTCAGCCGGATGCCGCCTTCGGGTGTCTGCTGACTCCAGCTCGGCAAACTCATACACATCTCCGTCCTCGTCTTCCTCTGGCCGGTCTGCCGAGCGGCTTGCCGCGTGACCATCAACAAATCCGTCGTTCAGAATCGTCCAGCTGCGTCCACCGCATGCTGGCCAGCTTGCGCTCACGTCGCCGCATCAATAGAATCACAGCCAGCGCACTGAGCACGGCGCCCAGGAAAAAGAATCCGCCCGAAATGACTGCAGTAGCGCCCTTTCGCACAGCCGATGCCTCTGCGCCCTTCGTCTCGCTGCTACTCGCTGGCGTCGTTGTGACAGTAACCGTCTCAGTAGCAGTGACCTTCCTGTCGCCACCGACCGCCGGCACTGTGTGGTGCGGCTCCTCCTCGGTGCTCTCGCCAAACAGCGTCATCTGCCACTCATTCAGCCTGCCAGAGTGGCTCTGCAGCAGGGCGTTGCGCACCTGCAGCGTCCAGTTGCCGGCCGGCTCCTCGTCCCAGTGCTTGACAGTCATGAACCGCCAGCCATGCAGACCGTCGGGGTTTGAGTCACGTGGACGGGCCGCGGCCAGCTGGGACCGGATCCCACTCGGTGACTTCAGCCACACCTCGATGTTACCACGGAACTCGTGTTTAATGTCGACAGATACCGTCACGTGCTCGACCCGCTTCATCTTGGCATCTGCCACCTGTTGCTCGGTGACCAGCACTGTGCGCTCAACAGCCTTGCCCACGCCGTTGCGGCTGGTGATGGGCTCGATGCGCGCCTTGGGTGCGTCCTTGGCGGCAACAATCTTGGTCTGTCTACCGACCTTCTGGAACGTGCGCGCTGCCTCAACAATCCGTCCGGCATCCAGCTTTGCCAAACCCGTACTTGTGGTTGTATTTCCGCCCTTGGGCCACATCCTTCCAGTCGTTATCGCCGGTGTCTACCGGGATGGCCGTGCGCACTGCCAGATGCTGCACATCTCGCCATGTCAGGTCAGGACGCACCGAGAGCGCCAGCGCAAAGATACCGGCTGCCAGTGGTGCTGCCGCCGACGTTCCGCCGTGTTTGCTTGTGCACGCACGCACTCCTAGGTCAGTCGTAACAATTCCACGGTTATCGCCATTGCTGTAAGTCACTGCGAAGCTGCGCACTGCACATCTCGCTGTACGGCGGGTGCTGGTCCAGATGGTTGATGGCGCCGATGGAGATTGTGTATATCGAGTTTGTATACCCGTCAAAGTTGCAGTTGTCGCCCATATGCCCACCATTGCCTGTCGCAAACACGTACAGCGACCCGAGGCCGCCGCGGCCCTTTTCAATTCCGTGGATAAAGGCATCCTCGACTGGCTTTGTCGGGTCCCTGCACGGTCTGCCCGTCGTCGTTGGGCCCCCACGAGCACGAGTAGATCCAGTTTGTGTCCATGGCGTAGTTTAGTGCCTCGATTTCGTCGCGGTCGCTGACTTCGGCCGACAGCATCCGGATCCCAGCCACCTTGGCTCCATAGGCAACGCCGACGCCACACACGTCATTGCGCTTCGCTGCAATCTGTCCAGCGCACCGCGTCCCGTGGTAGTCATCGCTGAGTCGCGGCGTTGGCAGCTTGGTTTTGTCGTTGAAGTCGTACGACCCGCCGAAATCAAAGTTGTCCAGCAGGTCCTCGCTCGTGTAGTCGAGTCCGTCGTCAATCAGGGCCACCGTCACACCCTGTCCAGTGACGCCTATACTCAGCGGCACATATGTGCGCAATTGTTAGTGTCGAAACAATGCTGCAACTGCCTGCAATCGGCCCGCGGATTGTTGTTAGTCTTTCAGTCTTCGCAATCCCTTCTCCTTACCTTGGCGCCATACGCCTGTGACATTGATGTCGTGGCCCTTCTCGACAGTGTTGACCAGGTGCCACTGGTCGCCGAACTTTGGGTCCTTAATCTCCTCCCACTTGTTGAGACTCGAGCCCTGTGTGCCATCGCCGAATCCCGCCGGCCCTTGCCGTAGCACCAGGTCCTGTCTCAGAGCCACCTGCAGATCCCTGCGCACACCTTCGCTCACAAACGACCGCTTATAAAGTCGCTTTCTTTGATTCAGCACGGAAATCTCAGTGACACCAAGTTCCTCAGAAAGCCCGTCCTTTGAGGGCACACCGCCGTCGCGCTTGCCAAGTCTGCTCGAGCGCTTGCGGAACACGCGATAGTTTGGCAGCGAGCCCAGGGGCCCTACGTCTTCCCAGCCGGTCGCTGCAGAGTATTTTTGCGCCGCCTGCATCGGCTAGCCCACCTACTGACGCCGCAAACTTGACTGCTGTGTACTGGTATCCTGCCTCCGAGTGGGCTGCAGGGATAGGCGAGGTCGAGACCCGCGAGAGCTCATGCCACGAGCGCACCTTTTCGAACCGGCGGTCGTCGATTGCTGACGGGCTGCTGAGCGCAAGGCTGAACTGCAGCGCGAGTGCGGCAAGCTCGAGTGTTCTTACTTTCATGTGCTGGGCGGGTGGTTTTGGAGAGAAGGAGGGAGACTGGTTGCGGGTAAGCTGGAAACTAAGAAAAACAGAGGAATGGGAAGTAGAGAAGAACCGACCTGGCATACGCTTTTGTTTGGCTCTAAAAATATAAAGGAACCTGGCTGGCGCCATTACTGGGAGGGCTTGGCCTGCCTGCGTTTAATCTGCTGCTCACTGTCCAATCAGGTGAGCATCCCATATACCGAGTGCACGTGAGCATGTTAGTATCCTGGCCAGCGACCGCTTGCCCCAGAAAGCCATTCAGCGCAAATGCATCTTTCGCCTCTTCTTCTCCTTCTTCCTCTTGCTCAACATGTCAGCCCCTTATACCCCCCTCGAGCAAATCCCGTCCATGCACGACAGCAGCGATGATAGACCTGTGTCTGCTGGCCTGCTGGACAGCGGCACGGCCCTTGAAGACAATCCCAGTGCAACTGATGCTGTTAAAGCGACAGATATAACAGACGAGGGCCTGCGCAAGGAAATCGGGCTCTTCTCCGCCTCTGCAATCATTGTCGGCCAGGTCATCGGCTCGGGCATCTTCTCGACACCCGCCTCAGTCGTGTTCTTCTGCGGCACGCCTGCCATGGCGCTAATTCTCTGGTTCATCTCGGGTCTGTTTTCGTTTGGCGGTGCGTTGGCGTACGCTGAGCTCGGCACAATGTTCCCTCAGAACGGCGGCATGATTCGCTATCTCTCCCACGCCTACCCGAAGCCGCGTGCGTTTGTTGCCACCATCATGGCCTACTCTGTCACGTTCTTTTGCCGCCCGGCAGCGATTGCCGCCAATGTCGCGGTGTTTGCCCAGTACTTCTTTTTTGCTGCTGGCCACAAGGACTATATTGAATCGCGGGACTATCTATTAAGGGGGATTGGCGCGCTGGTGATGACGGCGCTGCTGATCTTGAATGTCATCTCGGTGCGCTGGTCGCTCCGGCTGCTGAATGTCTTTGCTGTCATCAAGATTGTAGCACTGCTCATCGTCAGCTTCACCGGATTCCTGCTGATGTGCGGCGCCATCAAGCGTACGCCGGGAACAAACTGGTCGCGTGGATTCAAGGGCACGAAGATGGATGCCCAGTCGTTCGCCTCCGCAATGACCCGCCTGTTTTGGTCCTGGGAAGGATGGAGCAATGTCGGGTACGTGGTTGGTGAGGTGAAGAACGTCAAGCGTACTCTGCCACTATCGCTGGGCCTGGCCATGGGCTCCATTGCTGTTCTCTATGTCTTTGCCAATATCGCCTATTTCAGCGTGATCCCGCTCGAGGACATTGACAATGGCATGCTTCTGGCGGCCCAGTTCATGGATAAAATCTTTGGCAAGGCTATGGGCCAGGTTGTTTTGCCGACCTGCATTGGGCTCTCTATCCTTGGTGTTGTCATGACCGAGCTATTTGGTGGTGGTCGTCTGATGTACACGGCCGGCAAGACCGGGTTTGTGCCCTACGGCGAGTTCCTAGGCCAGATCCACCCCAAATATGGCACCCCCTATCTACGCGCTGGTTATTATCTGGGCTCTGTCGCTCGTATTCCTTTTTGCTCCGCCGCCCGGCGTGGCATTTGACCTGCTGGTTGATCTGGTGCAAGAAGGCATGTGGTACTTTTACGCCCTATCGGCATTTGGAGTTATCGTTCTGCGTCGTCGCCTGCCTGTCTACCCGCTGCGTCGCTTCCGCTCATCGCTTATCTTGAGTTTCCTGTTTGCCGCTTTGTCTTTGGTGCTCGGTATCCTGCAGTTCTATCCGCCGGCCACTCTGCCCGGAAAGGAGAAGCCCAAGGTTCCACATTACCTGGCACCATTGCTTGGAGTCATATTCATGGGTCTCTGCGCTATTCCATGGTATTTGCGCATGTGGCGCTATATCAACCGTACCGGTAGACAACTGCTGGCGTGGATCGATGAGGAAGAGAAGGCTGTGTTGGCAACCATTGCTGAATCGGAATAAACGGCTGGCTACCAGCGGCAATCCACCTTGGACCATTGGTTGATATACAGGTTCGGGATAGGAGAGGGCTATCGGCTAGTAATCTGTGGCCGCCAGACCTTGCATATACAACTATTGGCATTTAAGATCGCTAAGATGCAACATAGGCTAGTAGGAGCCAATTACCTATCGGGCGCCACCGCATCTTGGCACCCCCCGTACATTGCAGCTACACTTCTGTCTCGCCCACCATTTCCAGGAGCATCGGGCTGCTCTATAATCTATCTCTCTTTTCTTAAACTGTATTCCCATTTATATTTTTACATATATCAATAGCACTTGCAGCATGAGAATTAGTACGTACAATGTATACGCCCTGCTGGCTGCTGTCCCAATGCTAGCCACAGCAGACGAGGGCGGCACACGCACGCTGGTTATTTCGCTCTCAGCTGGATCCAATGGCCAGCTCATCCCATTTGTTATGCCTGCTCCAAATGAGCGCGGCGATCCCGTTGGCCCTCCCACTGTCACTGATGCAGCCTCGTCACCAAGTGCTACTGATGCGACATCTCCTGCTGCCAGTACCGTCGACACAGTTATTGTTATTGGACTCTGCCAGTCCACCCTGATGACTCTATGGTCGACAGCGGTGCTACCACAGAGCCTGGAAGTATCGCTACTTCCGGTGCGCCTGCTGATTCATCGCCTGCCACAGATGCTCCTCCGTCAGAGGCAACAGACACTGCTGCTTCAGATACGCCTGCCGACACAGCAGTGCCGGCTGACTCCAGCAGCGCACCAGCCAACCCTGACGGCTCCGACTCTGGCTCAGGCTCCGACTCCGAAGATGAGGGCTCCGCCACCGGTGACGCCGAAAGCAACAGTACCTCCAAGAAATCTGCCGCCGCACATATGTCCCCAACAGATATGCATTCAATACTCGCTGTGGTTGCCAGCGGCGTGGTGATAGCATACGGGTGGATGTAGTATCTATGTCTACTCGACTAAATGCCTTCTCACCTGAAACCTCCTTTGCAAGCGTATCGTTGCTTTATTTGTTTTTACTACACAGAAATACATTATACAACTGCCGCCTCTCAGTATATATTAGAGTCCTTATCAACGTGCTCGTAGTCATCTTCCTCGACGTGCAACCTCTGAACATAGTCAAACACATCGGGGTACTGTCCCTTGAAGTGCCCTTTGAGCGCACGTATTCGCGTAAACACGCTCTGCAGGTCGTCCTTTAGCTGTGTCAAAGTAGCGATGTGCGCCAGATACTGTTTGGACAGCTGTGGATATAATTCGGCGCTCTCTTGCTCAGACGCCGCCAGTGACTCAAGCAGTTCACGGTACACCTGGAGCTGTTTTTCTTGTGAGACAAGCGTATGGTCCACGTTTAGCTCGGGTAGCCCTGGCACTGCTCCAAGCGGCGACGTTCCGGGCAGGCTTTTTGTCGTCCAAAGTCATTGGTTGAAATGCTAATAAAAACGAATACAGAAAGCACAAACTGCCTTTACGCTCCTGGTGGCCACCACACAAAATACTACCAGCTTAGCGCTGTGATCAAGGTGCTTGATCAGCTAACAAAGAAAAAGTTGACTTCGCTATTGCCCACCGCTGTCTTCAGGCCCTTCTCGCACCGCCCCTTTTTCCTCCCTACACCACAGCTCCTTTATTTACATTCCCAATTCACGCTTGGCAGTATACAAAATGGGCAGCAAAAAGGTCTCAGGACAAGGGCCAGATCGAAGCATGTATCGAAACGGCGCAAGGAGGAGGTCTCGAGCAGCTCGAGCTCCAGTGAAAGTGGCAGCAAAAGCGACAGCAGCTCTTCTTCCATCTTCCTCAGAGTCTGAGTCGGAATCGGACTCTAGCGAGTCGGAATCAAGCTCTAGTGAATCAGAGAGCGACTCTGGGAGCGATTCGTCTGCCAGCGACACATCATCCAGCGATTCAGATAGCAGCGATTCAGATGATGGCACGAACGATCTCACAAACAAGCAGAAAACTGCCAAAGTTAAGCGTAGGCGATTCCAAAGGCAGCTGAACGGGAAAATCGCAACAAACTTTGACCTGCTGGCACAGCAGCGGGCACTGACAGAAGAGGCCGAGGGCCGGCTAACAAAGGATCGGTTCAAGAAGACGTATATGGACTATGTTGCGACAGGATTTGGTGATGATCTGGATAAGCTGCGGAAAGAGGAGATCATCGGTGAAGAAAGCTTGGATGCTTTAGTAGACTCGCTAGAAATTGGCGCCAACTCGTTTGCGTATGCCGAGAAGAAGATGATTGCTGATGAGGCTGCACTCAACTGAGGGGAGTTTGGAGTACGAAGAGCCCTGCATTATTCCTCTCTTGAAATAAATACGCTCGGTGGATTCGCCATTGTTTATGCTCGTTTTGCAGTGGCGTCCTGCCGTGAGGGCTGATCCGGTGTGTTCAGTGGTCTACGACTTGCTGTAAAGCTGGATCTTATTGCGCATTATGCATGTAGCTACGAGACCAACCCTAAGGCGTGCTATAGAAGTGGATTAGAAAACGCTTCAAACTGTGCACTCCAGCAGTTGCATAACTTCACTGATACAGCCGATGCCTCAAATAGCCATTCCGCTCATTCAGACGTATCCTTGTAAACATGACTATGCATATCTACAACACACATATACTAGCTAGCGATCATTATCGCCAATGTGTTGTTGCTGTTGCACATGCTCTGTGTCGTGAAAAGTAGTACAACTATACTGTGAAGTGTCTTGCTTGACTATTGTGTTGACAAGGGAAGAGTGTATATTTGCAACAATGAAATGCGCTATTCGTAAATGTACATCACATTGCTATTATTTTATGTCTGCTGCTATACTCGCGCCCTGGGATGTTTATTATACTGGTGCAATGCATCTGGGCCACATTTTTCCAGCGCAAATGCGGCTGGGCGCTGTGGAAGGCTACTCGTCAATCATTTCGCCTAGGAATTTCTGAGGCAATGCATGCACTCGCATGTAAGCACGGGGGCACGAAGGGGGTCAAAGCCCCGGCGCTTTTGCGGGCATCCTGGGTCACTAGTGGTAAATAAATTCACCGAGGTTTCGACAGACACGCCTCTTGCTATCTCAGCTCTCATCTATTTCGGACTCCCACATTCTGCTCTCTTTTTAAAAGTCCAAGACACTCAACCCAATGCCTCATTCATCCAGGCTCCCACCGTTCGACGTTCCAAACACCGACCTGCCATCGTTTTTGTTTGACCATGTTCGCCGCAACACTGCCTACGGCAAAAATCCTGACCTGCCTGTCCTCATTGACGACAGTGCCACCCTGACCTTTGCTCAATTCGAAAAGCTCACGCACCAGTTCGCCTCCGGTCTAGTCAACACGGCAGGGTTCCAGCCAGGAGACACGCTGGGCGTCGTGCTGCCCAACACGGCTTTCTATCCGGCAATTGTCCTTGGCGTACAGATGGCTGGTGGGACTGCATCAACTTCGAATCCCGAGTACACGGCACGCGAGCTGGCGCACAACTTTAAGCTTACTGACACCAAGTTTGTGGTTACTATCAAGAACCACGTTCCAGTTGTTCGTGAAGCGCTGAGATTCGCCAAAATGGCTGTCCCAGATTCCCAGATCTTCACCATCGACGGAGACGGCAACACCATACACAAGCTTCTAAGCCCTTTGCCGTTCAACAGAATGGTGCTTACTACCCTCGAGCAGGTCAAGACCGGTGCCGGCGTTCATCATATTCAGCTCAGGCACCACGGGTTTGCAGAAGGGGGTTGTGCTTACCCACCGCAACATTGTCGCCAACATTTTGCAAAACATTGTGTTTGACACACATGACGAGACAATTAGTGCCGTCGACGCCAAAAGCTCCCACCAGACATGGATGGCTGTGCTTCCGTTCTTCCACAGCTACGGACTGACAATGATAATGATGCTTGGAATTGCCAAGGGAGCCAAGCTGGTTATTATGCGCGGCTTTGAAGTCGACAAGTTTTGCAAGCTAGTGCAGGAGCACAAACCAAGCGTTGCCCATCTTGTCCCGCCGATTCTGCTTCGCCTAGCCAAGGACCCAGTAGCCCGCAAATACGACCTGACCAGCTTTGTGTACATGAATTCGGCGGCAGCGCCGCTCTCCAAGGAGCTCCAAGCCGAAGTACAGGAGCGGACAGGAGCAACAGTGCTGAATTCCTACGGCGTCAGCGAGACTAGCCCCATGTCGCATCGGTCGCGGGTTTCCACCAACCTTGTTGGGGTCCATTGGTTGGCTTTTGTCGAACATGGAGGTTAAGATCGTTGATGAGAACGGCGATGAGCTCGCTGTTGGCAAGGCTGGTGAAGTTTGTATGAAAGGGCCAAATGTCATGAAGGAATATCTGGAAGAACCCCAAGGCTACAGCCGAAGCCATCGATAAGGACGGATTCCTGCACACCGGCGACATTGGCCATGTTGATGAGAACGGGAATTATTATATAACCGATCGCAAGAAGGAGCTCATCAAGTACAAAGGGTTCCAGGTTGCGCCGGCAGAGCTCGAGGGTCTGCTGACTGGACCACCCAGCGGTGCAGGATGCGACAGTCATCGGCATTTACGACGAGGAGCGTGCTAGCGAAGTGCCCAAGGCGTTCATTGTGGTCAAATCTGAGCATCAGAACCCCCACCGTTGCCAATGAGGTGCGCGAATGGTTTGATAAGAAGGTGGTTCAGTACAAGCGACTCCGTGGTGGTGTTCGAGGTCATCGGACATGATCCCCAAGACGGCGACCGGAAAGATTCTTCGCCGTGTCCTCCGTGATCCGCGAAATGGTAAAGCGCAAGCAGCTAATGGCCAAGCTCTAATAGGATGTTTACGACGGTTGTGACTAGCAGTGGAGAAACATTTTATCCATGGCCTGAAACGCATGCTGACCTATATGCAAACTAGAAAACAGAAGGGATGGCCGCACAGAATGGCTTTGTCTCGCTGCGGGTATTTCGGGAATGGGCTGTGCACCTCTCAAAAAGGATAGGAGCAGCTCCTAAAGCTCGGGCAGACAAGCCTAAAGCTAGCCCCGAACACCGACAAGTCCCTACCGTCTTGGATCTCCCCGCCTCCATGCACTCCTGCGCCAAAATTAATATAAAACACACACAGCCCCCCGTCATACTGTTTGCTGGTAGAGTTTTGGAATACACTGTCCTCCACCACACCCCGGTAATTGCCATGGTTTTCACATCTCCATTTTCAGATATTGCTATCCCTAATGCCGATATTCCCAACCTTTTTGTTCGAGTATGCGCGCAAGAACAGCATCTATGGTCGAGATTCCGAACCTGCCAGCACTAGGTTGACGACACGACCACACTGACATTTCGCTGATCTAGAACGCCTGTCGTTTGGGTTCGCATCGGGTCTGGTCAACAACGCCTGGATTTCAAGCGCAGCGATGTACTGGCCATAGTCATGCCAAACACTGCGTATTACCCAGTGGTTGCCTTTGGCACGCATCTGGCTGGCGGCATTGTCACTACTGCAAACCCACACTACACTGCGCGCGAGCTTGCTTACCAGCTGGCACTAGCCGAGGTCAGCTATGTGGTTACAATCCAGGACACTGTTCCAACAATCAAGGAGGCAGCTTAAACTAGCCAAGTTTTCGATTCCCGACAAGCCGTGTCTACACAGTTGATGGAGTGAACAGGTTTTTGGACATTGTATCTGACAAGCCGTTCCCGCGTATCCAGCTCACAACGCAGCAGGAGGCAGCCAACACACCAGCATTTATTGTGTTCAGCTCAGGCACCACTGGCCTGCCCAAAGGAGTCATGCTCAGCCACCGTAACGTGGTGAGTAATGTGATGCAGAATCTGCAGTTTGACAAGGAGGACCCCCAGATCACGGCTGCTGACGCCAAAAACGACCACCAGGCGTGGATGGCAGCGCTTCCGTTCTTCCACATCTACGGGCTGACTGTGATTATGATGTCAAGCCTTGCCAAGGGCGCGTATCTGGTCATTCTGCGCAGCTTTGGGCTTGAGAAGTTTGTGTCGCTTGCCGACAAGCACAAGGCTAGTGTGGCGCATCTTGGCCCACCGATCATCCTGCGTCTGGCAAAGGACCCGATCGTCAGCAAGTACGACCTGTCCAACTTTGTCTATGCCAACTCAGGGTCCGCTCCGCTGTCAAAGGAGCTGCAGCTCGAGTGCGAGGCGCGTATCCGGGCGCCAATCACCCAGGGCTACGGGCTGTCTGAGTCGAGCCCAACCACCCATCGCACGCTGCTCGCTGACAAAGTATTTGGTGCCAATCGGCAGCCTTCTGTCAAATATGGAAGCCAAGTTTGTTAGTGAGTCAGGCGATGAGCTCCAGATTGGCGAGGTAGGAGAGCTATGCCTGCGGGGGCCAAATATTATGATGGGCTATCTGAAGAATCCTCAGGCGACTGCTGAGACCATTGATAAGGACGGATTCCTGCACTACTGGCGACATTGGTTACATGGACAAGGAAGGCAACTATTACATCACTGACCGCAAGAAGGAGCTCATCAAGTACAAGGGCTTCCAGGTTGCACCAGCAGAGCTTGAGGGCTTGCTGACTGACCACCCGGCCGTTTTAGATGCCGCCGTCACTGGCACCTACGACGAGTTCGCGCGCCAGCGAGGTACCCAAGGCGTTCATCGTGGTCAAGTCTGAGCACAGGACCCCAACCATTGCCAATGAGGTGCGTGAATGGCTTGATAAGGAAGGTGGTTCAGTACAAGCAGCTCCGCGGTGGCGTGGAGATCGTCGGCGAGATTCCCAAGTCCGTCTCTGGCAAGATTCTTCCGGAGGGTTTTGCGTGATCGCGAGGCAGCTCGCCGCAAGCAGATGCAGGCTAACCCGAAGCTGTAGCCTCAAGCACAATGGAGCTATGCCATCTCGCACTCGCTGGAACTGTGAGCCTGGTTGGGACTATTGCCCAGACAGTTCTAATAAAACCCCCCTGCGACTCACAACGCTGTTGCACACTTTGAAAATGGAGTATCGCACTGGGTTGGGCTAGACTGCTCTAGGAAAACACAAATGTCCCGGAGTCAAGATCATACGATTTTGCATGGTTACCTTAGTGGAAACCTGCTAGTGCCAATGGCGCGCCGGATACAGTCCGACACTTTGTTTTGAGGGCACTTCAGCTGAGGGGTCCATACCTCCTCTTTTTCTCCAGCGACCCAGCTATCACTCGGCATGTGGCCTGCATCATACCCACTGCCTATCTTGGGGACACCATGCAAGATTCGGTGGTACCTATCTCTCCCATCTGTGTTCATGCGACGTGTATGCTCCCACCACAAACAGCCTGCAAATGTGCAAAGCGGAGAAGAACGCTGGGCAGGAGTGCCCCCGTTGCTAAATGCGCCAGCCGTCGGCGAATTAATGTTCTCATGGTTCGTGAAATCAGCCAAGATCGGCGTTGTTCCCACGAAAATGCCGACACCTGGCTTGACATGTGTGGCAGGCCGGCACCACATTCAGCTTTCGGTCCATTCAGCCTGCCTGAAGCTGTCTGGGAAGGTGACCGTGTGGAACCGGATTTGGTCACAGCCAACACTCGATGCATTAGCGCAATGCATGCTGCATATGCCCCTCCCCTTCCTTTAGCTGCCGTCTATTTGCTGTCTATATGCAAATCTCGGAGCGCGCGGACGTGGCAATCCCTTTTCTTGCCATATTGAGTAGCCTCTTTCTAGATACCCAACTGCAGCGTTTCTAGTATTCTCTTTTAGGCTGTTCTGGAACCATTGGCTACTGTTGTTGGATAGTGGTGGGGAGTATGTGAATATACGATCGTCCTACTCGCTTGGGTGCAGGATGTTCCTTTCACACACAGAATGCGTGCGAAGAAGCAAACAATGGCTCCCTGCCTGTGGTGGAGAAAGAACGTTCCCCTTTGCTTTGAACTGGGACAGGCGAGGGGGATAGGGGATCCAGGCGCGAAATGATGGGTGCTAGGCTTGTGATAGCCAGCAAACAACAGCTGTCCGGACGCCACGCATGCCAAATGGCCGTTCTATCCATTCAACAGCGTATAAAAGCACCGTCAAGTTCGCCCACCTGTCCCTCCCCGTTTCCCCATTGACACTTAACAATCTAGCTCTCTCTCCCACCTTCAATTTCACCTGCGTCCTGCTCTCCACAGCTGTGACCACTGGACATCTTTACTGCTACACTAATATATTGCTAGAAGACATCTTATCCGTCCTGCTCTTCTCATCTTAATATCACTTTCATATCTATTCGTCCAGCTCTTCCTGCCTGCCAAACCCAGCCCAAGATTGCGTTTTCCAGGAACCATGAGCTCCCAGCCCAAGGATTATGCGGACGGACTCTCTCTCCACCCAAGAGAAGCTCGCTGGCGGCGAGACAACTGCCTACTACGATGACATTGACTCAAACCTAAAGAATAGGGAGCACGATTGAACCGCCCGCTGATATGACGCAGGCCATTGCCGGCAAGCTTCAGCATCTGGACCCTTCTTGTCGTGATCATGGAGCTGTGCGAGCGTTTCGCCTACTACGGTGCCTCGCTGATGTTCAGCATCTATCTGCAATCAAAGCTCGGTCGTTCCAAGTCAGCAGTCGGTTGCCCTCAACCGTGTCAACCAGTTCATGTCGTACGCTACCACCATTCTCGGTGCCATTATCGCTGACCAGTGGCTCGGAAAGTTCAAGACCATTGTCCTCTTTGCCCTGCTGTACTTTATTGGCCTTGTTCTGCTCACCATCTCCTCTGCAGACTTCTCGATCAACGGTGGCTTTGGTCTCGCTGGCTTCTGCATTTCGGTGTTTGCCTTCATCGGCTTCGGTACTGGTGGCATCAAGTCCAACGTGTCGTCGTTCATGGCTGAGCAGATCCCGATCGGCTACAAGCCCACCAAGACCCTGGTGTCTACGAGGACAGCAAGCTGACTGTTGAGCGCGGCTTCCGCTACTTCTACTGGTCTATCAATGTTGGTGCCTTCATTGGCCAACTTATTTGCCCGCAGGTCGCGAAGAACAAGTCGTACCCACTGGCCTACATGATCCCCGCCATCATGTTCTTTGTCGGTATTGTTGTGTTCGTCGGTGGCTCGAAGAAGTACGTCAAGAAGCAGCCTCAGGGAACTGTGCTTGTCAAGGTCTGGCGCTGCATGAAGTACGCCCGTGCCAACAAGCGCGAGGGTCAGGCTCACTGGCTTGATGGTGCTCTCAACGCTGAGGGCCAGGAGTGGGATGACGAGTTCGTTGTTGGTCCTCCAGCGCAGTCTGCGCGCCTGCAAGGTGTTCCTGTTCTATCCACTCTACTGGGCTCTGTACAACAACATGAGCGACAACTTCATCAACCAGGGTATGACCATGGAGCGCCCTGACTGGCTCTCGGTTGACCAGCTCAACGTTATCAACAGCCTGGTGCTTGTTATCTCGATCCCCATCTTCGATAACTTCGTCTTCCCTATGCTCCGCCGTTGCGGCCTTCGTCTCGGTCCCATTGCTCGTATCACCACTGGTTTCGTTATTGTGGTCTGCGGCTTCATCTACGTTACCGTCCTGCAGAAGATCATCTACACCAAGGGTCCTAACTTCGACTTCAGTGGTCCCGATATCATGAACGACGGCGTCAACCACATCAGCGTCTGGTACCAGATTGTTCCGTATGCTGCCGTGGCCATCTCGGAGATCTTCGCCTCGGTCACTGGTCTCGAGTTTGCCTTCAGCCAGGCTCCCTCTGAGCTCAAGTCCGTCCTCACCGCTGTCTTCCTGTTCACCAACTGCTGGTGGTGCTCTTATCGGTCTGATCCTCTCGATCTGGGGCGGTGATCCCCAGGTTCTGTACGTGTTTGCTGCCGAGACTAGCCATTCCTTGGCGTCCTGGCTGTGGTCTTCTACTTCTGCTTCCGTCACTACGACGACATTGTCGCCGAGCAGGAGCAGTTTCGCCAAGTAAACTCGACAACATACCCAGCTTCCTTCTACAGAAGCATCACATGAAAACACCTAATTTCTCTGCTTCATTGAGTTTTTGTACTTTTCTTATTATAACATAAAGTTCTGGTAACGACAGCTTTTTGGGCACTCGGCTACATATATTCAGCCGCAGGCATCCACTGTCCAGCATTTAGTGGAGCGCAGCCTGGTATGCATACAGTAGACACGTCTACTAGGGCCCGCTCCCAAGATTGTACGGTATGAACTATGTGCTATATTGGCTTTCCTGGATCGGGAGAGATAAGGTTGTGGGTCCAGACCAGTGGACGCATGATCAAGGAGCTGTTACTTAATAGCGACGAATATAGCAGGCAGCGATTGGCATTGAGGTGCGTACACGTCGCTGAGACGATCTAGCAAATGATAGTAGCTACTGTGCGAATGTCCAACATGGAGATGAGGTCCATTTATCGGCGGATGTCTACTCTTTGGCCAGCCCCTCAAACGGCGCTGTACCGCTTCAATGTTCGGAGTAAACCCGCAAAGGTTCCAAAGAAAAATCGAATCGCGCAGTTTGCTCCCTTGCATGAACGATCTGCTATCTTCGCGCTACCACCGAATTGGTCCTGATCGATCATCCATCCACGCCCGTGTTTCGTACTCAGCCGATTCAATATTGGTGCCTGTTGAGTCATATAGGCCGGCGACTTGCGCCCCACGCACCATTACTCACGCAGTGCCGTCCGGAGACTAATCCCCTGGTGGAGGCGTGTGCTGGTCCGTGGAGGCTTTTGTGGCAGGGTTGGGATCCCAGGTATTTGCTGCGCCCAAACCAGAAAACAATCGGTGGTGCACCCGTCAGTCCACGGAAATCGTACGATCAGATGCATTGGATACACCTTTGTCTCCGATGAGGCGCGATAGCGAGCTTATCCTCCTCTTGGTCTCTCCCATTCAACCTCAGGTGAGCCGCCCAAAGCAGGCTGAAATGAAAGCCAATACGTCCCGAGTGATGTTGGGTTGCACCTTTGCTGGCCATTTACGTAGCTTTGCCAACACTCGCTTCGTAGGCTACCGAAACCACCCCGCGATTGGCGGGAGGGCCGTGTGTTGCCATATACGGAGGATCAGTGCTCCCTCATACGGTCTTTGGATAGGCTTGTACGACAAGCCCGAGTGCCAAAGAGGGGATGAGTTTCTTGCACATTGCACACTTTCTCACGTTAACGGCGATTCCCAATACGCTTTTGCTATGGAGCTCATGTTGGGTATGGCAATCAAATGCCTGTAATAAGACGGGCCCTCTAGCATCCGCGCAATCAGCTTCCCACTGTAGCCGCTAGAGGCAGAGGAGCGCAGATGCCCTCATGTGGGGTGATACAGGAACAGCCCAGCCGCGCAAGGGCTGACGAGCCCGTCCGCGCGGCCTGCCCCACGGCTGGATCCAAAAGCATATAAATATCAGCCTGCTTGGCGCCCGCTTTCCAGCAGAACAAAGCCTTGCCACACGTCTACTATTTTGTATTCTTCCACATATTTGCAGGAATTAGTATATTCATTCTCTGGTGCCTTTCTTAACTACTGCCTAGCACTACAGATCTTCCCCTCCTGCCCATCATTCCCCAGATGAGTTCTTCATTAGCGCCCAACCAACAAGAGCGCCTTAGCGGCGAACTTCTCCAACATGGAGAAGGGTGTCAATGGCCGCTTGGGCGACGACAAAAACAGCTTCGACAAGGAGAGCCAGTACAAGGATGAACAGGACTGCGAGGTCGTCGAGGTTCCTGCCGACATGACCAAGGCCGTCGCCGGGCCCCTGAGCTTCTGGACGATGATCGTTGTGGTCATGGAGCTGTGCGAGCGTTTCGCCTACTACGGTGCCACCATCATGTTCAGCATCTATCTGCAGAAGGAACTCGGCCGCTCGAAATCTCAAGCCGTTGCCCTCAACCGTGTCAACCAGTTCATGTCGTACGCTACTACCATTCTCGGTGCCATTATCGCTGACCAGTGGCTCGGAAAGTTCAAGACCATCATTATCTTCTCTGTTCTGTATCTCATCGGCCTTATCTTGCTCGCCATCTCCTCCGCAGACTTCTCGATCAATGGCGGTTTCGGTCTCGCTGGCTTCTGCATTGCGGTGTTTGCCTTCATCGGCTTCGGTACTGGTGGCATCAAGTCCAACGTGTCGTCGTTCATGGCTGAGCAGATCCCGGTCGGTTACAAGCCCACCAAGACCCCTGGTGTCTACGAGGACAGCAAGCTGTCGGTGGAGCGCAGCTTCCGCTACTTCTACTGGTCTGTTAACATCGGCTCGTTTGTTGGCCAGATGATTTGCCCGCAAGTCGCTCTGCACAAGTCGTACGCCATTGCCTACATGATCCCTGCCATCATGTTCTTCGTGGGTATCGTCATCTTTATTGGTGGATCCAAGCACTACGTCAAGAAGCAGCCCCAGGGCACTGTGCTTGTCAAGGTCTGGCATTGTGTCAAGTACGCCCGTGCCAACAAGCGCGAGGGTCAGGCTCACTGGCTTGATGCGTCGCTCAACGCTGAGGGCCAGGAGTGGAATGATGAGTTCGTTGTTGGCCTCCAGCGCAGTCTGCGCGCGTGCCGCGTGTTCCTGTTCTACCCACTCTACTGGGCTCTGTACAACAACATGAGCGACAACTTCATCAACCAGGGTATGACCATGGAGCGCCCTGACTGGCTCTCAGTTGACCAGCTCAATGTTGTCAACAGCCTGGTGCTTGTCATCTCGATCCCCATCTTCGATAACTTCGTCTTCCCTATGCTCCGTCGTTGCGGCCTTCGTCTCGGTCCCATTGCTCGTATCACCACTGGTTTCGTTATTGTGGTCTGCGGCTTCATCTACGTTACTGTCCTGCAGAAGATCATCTACACCAAGGGTCCTAACTTCGACTTCAGTGGTCCTGAGATCATGAACGACGGCGTCAACCACATCAGCGTCTGGTACCAGATTGTTCCGTATGCTGCCGTGGCCATTTCGGAGATTTTCGCCTCGGTCACTGGTCTCGAGTTTGCCTTCAGCCAGGCCCCTGCCGAGCTCAAGTCGGTGCTGACCTCAGTCTATCTGTTCACCAACTGCGGTGGTGCTCTTATCGGTCTGATCCTCTCGATCTGGGGCGGTGATCCCCAGGTTCTGTACGTGTTTGCTGCCGAGACTGCCGTCCTTGGTGTCATGGCTGTGGTCTTCTACTTCTGCTTCCGTCACTACGACGACATTGTCGCCGAGCAGGAGCAGTTCAAGTAGTGATCCGTACAATCTCCTTCTCATTTCTCAGCTCACTTCCTTTCTACACTCACTTTGTACTTGTTCTAATACGACATTTTCAGTCATACTGCATGCTACTGCAGCTGAGATTAAACAGCCACGTATACGGCCACGAGCCCAGCATGTCTGCGGGACATCACATACATGCTCGATTCCATCTGTTGGCTAAAGAAACAGTGGTGCTGATTATGATTTGATTTTCAAAAGGACAGTAGATCATCAGAGCCTGCCAATAACTGCCTCCAGCTCATCCTTGGTGTAGATCTGGAATCCCGTCTGCTCGGTGACCTTGGCAAGCTGGACGTTGGTGCTGCTAAGCTTCTCCTCCATAACCTGCTTCAGCACTTTGAGCGCCAGGGTCTCGGCCTCCTCCAGCGACATACCGCGATGGTACTGCTCCTGCAGCTCTGTCTGCGCGCCCTCAGAGCCGGCGCCGATTGCCTTCGCCTCGTACCGCCAGAACGTGCCCGACGGATCCGTGTGGAACAGCTGGGGTCCGCGGTCATCCACGCCGGCAATTAGCAGTGCGACACCAAACGGCCGGCTCATCGTCGACTGCTGGCCGTCCGTGCTCTCACCGAACCGCAGCGCCAGGTCGCACACCGACTGCGTCACGCTCTCCACCGGTACGGGCTCGTCATAGTTGAATGTGTGGTTCTGTGCCTCGATGCGCGCGTGCTCGATCATGGTCCGCGAGTCGGCAGTCAGGCCAGACATCGCACACGCCACGTGCGTATCGATTTCGAGGATCTTCTCGATCGAGTCGGCCACCAGAAGGGGGCTGGTTACGCGCTTCTCCACAGCCAGCACGACGCCCTCAGAGGTGCGGATACCGATAGCAGTCGAGCCAAGTTTGATGGCCTCGATGGCGTACTCGACCTGGAACAGACGGCCCTCAGGCGAGAATGTGTTGACTCCGCGGTCGTATTCTGAGCGAGTAAGGAACATTGCAAGCAAAAAATAAAATGGATAGCGAGAATTTCCTCCTGTTCGTTGCAAATGGCAAAAGTAGAGCTAAGGAAACGGTGGATTGCAGACGAGAGAAGAGACAGCGAGTACGAATGCAGAATGACGCTGGTAGAATTTTACGTAGGGCTGGTACAGGCTGCATAGTGGGTGCCGCGTCATCCGGCTCGGCACACTGCCGCTCCCCAACTCGGCTCGGTTGTGATATAAAAAATGGCTAGGGCTTGGTTGTCCGTGGACGACGCCCAGGCGGAGCTGGCCGCCTGAACTTGGTTTGTGTGGCCGGCGGACGCGGCGTGGACGCGCCTGAGTCGGTCTTGAACCCAACTTCGTCCTCCAGCGCCCTCGCTGTCAGCTCACGCGGCTCATCGACCTCCATCCGCACCGCCGCCTTAACGCCCAGCGCTTCGACCTCGTGACAAAGCCCCGCACGGAACGTTGAGTACAGCATGCGCTCCCGTACGCTGCTGCTGCTGGGGCATGCATAAATGAACATCACTGTGGTGCTGTCATACCAGTAGTAAGCGAAGCGCGGCATATCATCCGGGAAGCACTCGGCAACCTGCCCGTGGTCCTGCAGCGACTCGCTACGGTCCAGCAGCACGCGCTCGTTCTTGCTATCCACAGCCAACAGCACAAAGTTGACTGTGCCTGAGGCAAAGCTGTGCAGCGCCTCGCGTGCCTGCTCATCGATATCGAAGCTGACGCCCGTCACATGTGATTTGCGAGTATCAAGCGTTGGTACATCGACTGAGTTGCTCTCGATCTCCTTGATCCGCTCCAGCTCCAGCTCACGCTCTGTCAGCGGCGCACTCGACTCCTCATGTCGCCGGTGCTGCTCATACCCGGCCAGCGAGAACTCATCACGGGTGGTGCCATACAGCGAGTCGACGAAATACGAGTCGCCAAGCATCTTTGTTGCTGTCGCCCGCGTTGACGCATATAGCATCTTGTCGCGCACCTTGGCGCTGTCGGGGATGTATGCACAGAACAGCCATTTGTTGCCAGCAAGGTCTTGGCGGACCAGCACGTAGCAGGGGTCGGTGTCGTGTAGGAGGCTGGCCACATGCGCAAAGTCTTCATCAAAGGTGCCGCTGACCGTCTGCTCATCTGCCGCCTCAAGCGACTCATTGACAATGCTGACTTTGAGTGCGCGCGTAGTTGTGTCATTCAGCGCGCTGATGAACCGTGTTGCGAGCTCGTCTGAGACCTTGATTCCGCTCTGGTGGGCCATGGTGAATATGTAGAAACCGAGGTGCAAAATTAGTCGAGCTTGAAAAAGGCAGAGCACACAGGAGCTTGGTGGGCTATGACGAAATGGGCAGCTGTGATCGCTGTGGACCGCGGCTCGAGTCATGTACTTTTTTTTTAGCAAACAGGCCACGTGCGCCCAGACGAGCAGACGGTAGGGCAGAGCCTCTCCTTCTCTTCCCTCTCAGTCTTCACTAGCTCGGTTCCACTAATGCGCATAGAGTAAGGCAAGGAGACCTCCGTAGCACATGCGACAGCGACTAGCTGCTGCGCAGACTGCTAGGGTCCATTCTGTGGAATGCTGTCGTCTGCGCAACTGTAGCCCAGGGCCACGTATGGAAACACGATGCTGCCCACCTGAGCAGCATGCCCCATGCATGACTGGCTAGGCGGGAGCTACCTCGCCAATCAAGGAGCGCTTGCAGTGGAAGCCGGAAAAAGCCACGGGCCCACGCAGACCTATGAGCGTCTGGTTGTGGCCATGTGCGCTCGCAAAAAGAAAGCAGTGCCCAGGACAGCTGCACATTTTGGCAGTAAACAACAGCTCGTATTTTTGCGACGGCGCCTCTTTGAAACATTGGGGGAAGGAGGTATCCACAGCCAGTCATTCGGCCAGGCTGGTGCCTTTACATGGAATACATTTTTCGAGTCCCCTCTTTGCATGGCCGTGGTTGTCTCACCGGCTTAAATAGCTGGAACGCCCGCCCCCTGGGCCACCCCTCTTACGCTCCCATTCCTCTCTATTTCGTCACTTGGTGCTTACCTGGCCAGTCCCCTCTCTTTTTCTATCTGCTACCGACACAGCACACGGCTTTAGGAGGCACTCTGGCTCAGCGCAGATACAGACGTCCGCTCCCTCCCTATTTCGCACTCGCACTCTCTTCTGTTATTTGCTCTTTCGGCACATTATCTAATCTCGCCAAGGCAGCAGGAGAACCCGGCAAAGTCCAGAAACAACCTGCCTTGCATACCAAAGAGAAAGGGGCTTGCACACGAGCAGTTTCACAAAAATATTCGATTCCACACCTGTACACATCATCCAGGCTCCCAGTTCTGAATGTGGAAATCATCGTATACAAGCTGTCCAAATCGTTCCACAGATCTGCCCCACATGTACACATCATAAATACACATCTGAGCTGATTACTACGCCTGCTATCCCCCAACAACAACAGTCCAGTCCAATACGGCTTCAAGTACCAACAAAACTAGGGACTGCACCTTCAGCTATTGCAGTTTCCTTGCTTTCTTTTCCTGAGGTTTGGGACCCCTCTTATTCCTTCCCAGACTGTATTCCCAAATAATCTACACAGAACCATCCACCATAGAAGCGGAGCGGTCGGTACAGTTACAGTTTTCTTCTTGTTTTTCCTCCCACTTTATCTCTTCATTCTTCTTCTGTGCCCCTCCTCACACTTTTCGCCCTTATGTTTGACATCGAGCGGACTCCCACGCAGGAGACGATCAGCCGAATGGCGCAGCTCATCGACGGCGTGACGGCAGCGAACCAGGCCATTGTGGGCCCGTCAGTTGGCGATATCACTCCCTTCCACAGCCGCACGGTGCCCGCCATCTCAGTGCGCGACTATCTGCAGCGAGTGGCAAAGTTTGTCTGCCTCGAAAACGACACACTGATCGCGATCCTCGTGTACTTGGACCGGATAACACACGCCCAGACCCACCGTCCGTCACTGGCCCTGTCCCCGTATAACGTCCACCGCATGCTCATCACGGCCATCGTCGTCGCACACAAGTTCAACTCTGATGTCTTTTTCAACAACGCCCGGTACTCCAAGGTAAGCACCATATGCCGCCAAGTTCGTTTTTGGGAAATGCTTGCCATGTGAACTGACACTCAGCTCTTTGTCTTCCACTTTCCTATATGTCGATGACCGCAAATTCTGGAACGTGTGCGCATTAATAGGTCGGCGGTATTCCACTGGCCGAAATGAACCAGTTGGAGTTGGAGATGCTGTTTCTGGTCCGCTTTGAGCTCAAAATCGACGCCGAGGAAGTCCAGCGCATAGGCACATGGCTGATGACACGGCCGCTGCCGTCAGGAACCAAGCTGGCAAGCTCGGCAGTTGGCAGATTCTCCCCACTAGGCATTCTAACATTATACCGCGAAGACAGCATTCCACCACCGCAATTTTCGCACCCAACTCCCGGCTTACACCCGTCCCAGGGCGCTGCCCTCTCACACAGCACCAGCTTGCCACCACTCGAATACGTGACAGCAGGCATTCCGGACGTCAGACTCCGGACGAGTCCCCACCATGCACACCGCAACTCGCTGCCTTCGCATCCACCGCACAACGCAAGCAGCGAAATGGCTGCGACGCCATCCAGCCTGCGCACGCCGCGCATCCTCAATGGGTCACCTGTGTATCGGAGTTACCCGGGCTGCGATCTTGAGCCAAGCAGCATGATCGTGGATGATGTTGCTTACAAAACACATGTTGTGGGCGCGCAGCCGGTAGTCCACCAGGGGAACCAGTTTACGCAGCCCGTGTGGCGAGACAGCACGCTGTCGCCGTTCTCGCCCATTTCGCCGACCGAGCAGCTGTTTGGCAACAGCATCAACCAGAAGCGGCGCAGAATCCAGCCTGTCAGCGTCATACACAATGGGATGGGGCCTGCGCCAGCTGCTGCTACGGCTACTACGGCGCCTGCCGGTGCCCGCGTCTCGGAGGCGGAGTGAAGTGTGCAACAGCAGCTATACACCAAAAATCAACACACCCTCCCCAAACCAACATCCTCATGTACTTTAGATACAGCTTTTACTTTCTCTTTTGCATTCTACTTCATGTTCCTCTCCCAAAAATAGCAGCTTTGCAGGGCACACTCCCCCGCTCAACCATACCACATCAACTAAAGAGATCTGGGTATTTGCCCCACGTTGGCAGAGGCCCGAAAACGTGGGGCAAAGACGTAATCCACTCCAATGCAAATCGGCTCGCTGCGATAACAACACCCGCATATCCATACATCTCGGCGATCTCTGGGATGGCACCCGCATTACCACGCACGTGTACCACAGATAGCACCGTCGTACACCGCAAGCTGACCAAGGCTTCTACTAAATATGGCATGTGCTGTTTTGTTTTCGATTATGTGCGAACAACAGGCTTGTACATCCAGATGTGCGGACACCCCAAGTCGTCGTAAACATCGCCTTCGGCCACATACCCGCAGCTCTCATAGAATCCGCGCTTGTCGAGCTGGCTCCCCAATTTTGTGAGCATGCAGTCCTCGTAGTTTTCGGCCACGTACGACTCGGCGAACCGCATCATCTGCTTGCCGATCCCCTTTCCCTGGTACTCGGGCACTATGACTACGCGCCCGATCTTGGCCACGCCAGGCGAGCGCAGCACCCGCAGGGTGCCAACCACGGCACCGTCGTCGGTGCATACGATGTGCAGAGCGGTCTTGTCGTATTCATCCACTTCTTCCTCCAGCGGGAATCCCTGGATTTCGACGAATACACGGATCCGCACCTGCACTGCTGCCTTGCGCTCGGCGTCGCTGGCGACGTGGTAGGATAGGGCTGGCGAAGGCATTGACAACACTTGTAAAAAGTATGATTCTGGATCTAAAGAGTGGAGACAAAAATGTAAGCCCTAGTTCTACGGAATTCGCCGAAGCTCGTCTGCTGCTTGGTGACTCGTTTGCAGGCCCTACGCGCACACTCAGTGATCCGTGGGAAGACATTTGATAGGTCCGGTCTGTTGGTTCGAGAGGTGAAATTGGGGATTGCTGCTTGTCAGCAGACAGGCCCTAAACGCAAGCACAGCGGGCGGTTTGGCCCACAGCACGCATGGTCTATTAGAGGAACGTTTAGCCCGCTGTATATTGGGTATGCGCGCATAGCGCTACGTTGGCTTTTGCCTGGCTGTGCGCCCTAGAAAGCTTATATGGAACGGCCTATCCCAGCACGTATTGAATAGGTGTGTCAAAGAGCAGACACCATGATCGATTAAATTCACGTGACATGTAATCACCGCCCCTTTTGCCTTTCGATGAGGTGACGCGGCCATTCAAAGGCGAGGTTGCGTAGCAGGCCAGACGTCTTGCTTTGCACAGTTCGCCTTTACACTTAAATTCATACTGCCTTGTCTAAATCAACACTATAAAATGGATCTCGACTACACCACAAATGAGCCCAAGATGGAGAAGGACTACTCCGAGTCGGTCAACGCGCTGTTGCCAGAGGTTGAGCAGCTTGTGGCGACTGGCCAGCTGACAGCGGCCCTGGAGAAGCTCCACGGGCTGGAGAAGAAGACTCGCTCGGCAGCCGACCTTGCCTCAACAACGCGGCTCCTGACAACCATCGCAAGCGTATGCGGGTCAGCTGGCGAATGGCGTCTTTTGGAGGACGAAGTGGCGGCGATGGCCAAGAAGCACGGGCAGCTGAAGCAGGCCATCACCCAGATGGTGCAGAAGGCGATGGAGTATGTCGCGCAGACGCCTGATGAGGACACCAAGGTGGAGCTGATTGAGTCGCTGCGTACAGTGACTGAGGGCAAGATCCACGTCGAGGTGGAGCGGGCGCGGCTGACGCGCTATGCTGGTGGAGATCATGGAGAAGAACGGCAAGGTTACCGAGGCGTGCGACACGCTGCAGGAAGTACAGGTGGAGACGTTTGGATCGATGGAGCGGCGCGAGAAGACCGATTTCATTCTCGAGCAGATGCGACTGTGCCTGGCGAAGCGTGACTATGTGCGCACGGCGATTATTAGCCACAAGATCAACCCCAAGTTTTTTGAACATGAGGGTACCGAGGACCTGAAGCTGCGGTTCTACGAAGCTGATGATCCAGTACGACCTGCACGAGGAGAACTTTTTGGAGGTGTGCCGGCACTTCAACCAGGTGTACCAGACCAAGGGCATCAAGGATGATGCGACAAAAGTGGCCGGCAGTGCTGCAGAGTATGGTGCTGTATGTGGTGCTGGCGCCGATACGGCAACGAGCAGTCGGATCTGCTGCACCGCATCCAGACGGACCACAACCTGGAGAAGCTGGAGCTGTGCAGTCCAGTTGGTCAAGAGCTTTACGACCAAGGAGCTGGCGCGCTGGCCAGCAGTTGAGAGCCTGTATGGTGGCGAGTTCCGGCAGACGGATGTGTTCAGCGCCAGCACCGAGGACGGCAATGCGCGGTGGAAGGCGCTGCGCGACCGCGTCATCGAGCACAACATCCGCGTCATCGCTGGGTACTACACGCGCATTACACTGGCCAGGCTGACAGAGCTGCTGGATCTGCCCAGGGCGGATGTTGAGGCGTTCCTGTCCAAGGCCGTGGTTGACGGGTCGGTGTATGCCCGCATTGATAGGCCGGCAGGGCTTGTCAGCTTCATCAAGCCCAGGGATGGCGAAGAGCAGCTCAACGAGTGGGCCAGCGACATCAACAAACTGCTGGGCCTGGTCGAGAAGACCACGCATCTGATTGCCAAGGAGGAGATCGTGCACAAGATCTCTCGTGCCATCTAGAGCTGCCTAGTGTCGAGAATCCAATATTTCATTTATAAAAACTATTACTCTGACTCCTCCAGGGCGCTAGGAGACTCTGTAGACCCTGCCCTTTTTCTGCTTGGGCACTACGTCGTCCTTGTCAGGTAACGGCATGAAGCCCGGACGGACCACGGCCGACTTTGGCTCGTGCTGGGAACAGGTCTCCCCAGTTGGCCTTGCGCGCATCTCTGTACGCCTGCTTGTCGTGCGACTTTGTGAACGTCCACCTTTCGACATTGCCCTGGAACGTACAGACATCGACGATTACATGGCCCTTGCGCTTCAGCGGCGGCAACAAAACTCTTGGCCACGTATACGACTCGACCGACAGCCTCTCGGGCGTCTTTCTTGTAAGGCCGTTGGGCAGATATTTACCAGGGCTCTGCTGAGCGACCTCCAAGCTGACAGTTTCCTGCTCCTCGACCGGCTCTGCCACGGGCCTGGGGCCTCGACGCACGACAACGTACGAGTACTTGAGGTCTTCGATATTGGACTTGGCGCGCTTGACGCGCATCGTAAACGTGGGCCGCTGCGCACGCTGCGAAAAGTGCAGCCATGCCTGTGCGTTAGTGGTCGGATCGGGCTGGTCGTGGGGCAAAGGTGCAAACGTATGGACACCGCCGAGCTCCAAGAGCTGCGCACGGGCATCAGCGATCATGCGGGCGCTGTCAGGCGTGCCACGGTCAATCAGAACCAGGGTATCCGAGGTCTGGCTCCACAGATTCTCGACGGTGGTTTTCCGCACGCTATCCGATGGCAGCTCCGACAGGGTGAATGCCGAGATCACCAGCTTCGACTGCTCCTTGGCCTCGGTTTGCGGCGCCAGATAGCGCATAAAGTCGATTTCCTTTGCGCGGTTCTCCTCAGGTATCTTGTCCAGCAGGGCTTCCGCACACTTCAGCATATCTTCGGAGACGTCAATGCCGCGGTACTTGCTGAGCTGCGGCCAGACTTCCTGGGCTGCCCACAAAGCTGTGGCGGGACCACACCCAAAGTCCAGGATGCTGTCAGGACGGAATCCTGGAAGTCGATCGGCTAGCTCAGTCAGGATGTTGAAAATGACGCCGTATGTCGCCGGGGAACTGGAAGCCAGGAACGCAATCGACTCGCGGGCCCCGTATTCGATCGAGTGCGGTGTCAGCGGTGTGCCGGGCTTGACCAAGGACTCGGCTTTAGGCCGTTCACCACTCATGACAACCTCGACACGCTCTCCAGGCAGCGGCTTCGGATAGTTGTCCATATCCAGAACATCGTCCTCATCCTTGATCTCATCAGGGCTTCTCCTATCCCTGCGCTGCTGCTGCGCAGCTCGTCCCCCGTCCCTTGCCATCGGGCGTGATCTGTCCCGTCGACCTCAGCGCGTCAGCAATCCTGAGATAGTCGTGTCGTAGCTGTTTCTTGTCTGCCTTGTCCACCAGCTGCGAAATACCCCTCTCGATGTACTCGGGCATAGCCACCATGCCCATGTACTTGCGACCGAACCGAACTTCGTCTGTGCCGCGCAGGATCGGGCCCGATGTCTTCATGTGCTCGTCATATAGCTCACGTACATACTGGTCCAGGGACTGCAAAGACTCGAGGACCTGGCGGTCGGACTCGGTTTCGGTAGGCAGTCGGGCGATGCGGTCCGAGGGGGCGACCGATGGCGGCGGCGGCGGGTGCGTGGTCCACATGGACTCAGGCACCTGCTTGTTGAGCAGATGGCTGGTTGCTGTGAAGGGCCGAAGGCTGGCTGGCCTGAATGACCGCAGACCGCTGCGAATTGTCTTTGCTGCGAGCATTGTGATATAAAAAGTGCAGAGGTAGCTGCAGAGGCGAGAAAGGAGGGAATGTCCTGCTTAGCGTACAGTACGGCAAAATAATCGTGCTGATCGAGATCAAATAATCGAGCACTATCAGCGCGCCATTGGACCGCTGCTGGCCTAAAAAAAGTTGCAGCTTGGCGTTCGCTGTATTTTTAGAGATTGACGGTAGCCGATGGGCTTCTGTTGGGCGGCGAGCATGCACATTGCTTGACCACTTCACAGAGCAAGACCACTCTTCTTAGAGCTCTTCAGTTCCTTGGTCAAACCTTTTTTGCTTGCTACTTTTGCATTTTCTTTAGTTACATTTCGGCGTTTGTTTTATAGTCTATTGTGCGTTTTTGTTTCTTGATACCTATCAGACCGACTTGTTTATAATTCCACCTCCTTTCTCGTCCATTCATCTCCAGTCTTTCCCGCTTTTTTCCTCCAAAAAGGCCAGTTCGAATTTTCCAAAATGAACGAGACGAGCGGCCGGAGACGTAACATTCTGGGGTATGGCGCGCCCCCACACTCAATTAACACGCAACTTGAGACGAGCCTGTCAGCCGTAACCATCCACCCAGCCAGCAGCAAGGGCAGCGAGAGCGACCGCGATGGCAACACAGAACTCGACTCACCACTGAGCACCGAAGGCGCGCTCCTGTTCACTGCGCGGCCTGGAGGGCTGGCGCGGCGTGTGTCCAGCGACAACGACACCGAGACGTTGGCGTGTAGTAGCGATTTTGGCAGCACAACACCGACATACTTTGAGGGCGGTAGCGTGGTTCTGCGGCCGACACCACGACACAAGATTGCCAGGGCCGTTGGCGAGGAGGAAGTGCCATATCTGACCAGCCTTCTGTTGAGAGCCGTCCGAGTTGTCCCGTTTGCCCAGTACGTGCTGCACCCGCGCGTCGTTTGTGTGCTAGGGTGCATCGCATTTGTCGGCCTGGGTGTGGGGTACACCGTGCTGTCAAAGCTCTTGGACGACGACTTGGGCCTGCACTTCCCGTATGCAATGCAGCTGCTGGTGCAGGTGATGGCAGCTGTGATGCTTGAGGCATTCTCGCACCAGTATGGCATGTTCTCGCGCACAGGCCGGATTCGAACTGCACGTTTGTTGCCGCTTACAGCCCTGTACGGCGTTAGCGTGGTATTGAGCCATTGTGCACGGCAGGTCAATTCTGTGCATGGCACATATCAGATCACCCAGGCGCTCCTGCCCGCTGTGGTCATGGTGATGATGGGGTCAACCGCCACAGTATATGCTGCTGGCAGGAGACATCAGCGGGCGGGCAAGAACTGCCGCACCTCGCTGCTTGTGTTCCTGAAGCGCATGGCCAGCCGGTTTGTTGACCAGGGCCGCGACGCCCTGGGACATTCGAGCAGCTCGGTGATAGACCTGCCGCTGTTTGCATCCAGTAACTTGGCCGATGACTTTGACTCATCGGTGGCTAGTGCACGCGACAGCAAGCCGCAGCGTGTGGCGCGATGGCTGACACTTCCGGTTGCTGCCGCTATGGCTTTGGCGCTATGGGCGCCAGCGTTCCACATGGTGGCTATGCCTGAGCCCGAGACTGGCCTGAGCACCAGCTTGGGGTTGGCGCGCAGTATGCTGAACATCCTGCTGTCGCTGGCCAGCCTTCTGGTCAACGCCAGCCTTTTGGTGGGAATCAGCGATCATCTTCAGCAGCATCCAGGGCTGTCGGCTGCAGCGTTCCTCAGACATTTTACGCCGCTGTGCACTTTGGTCCTGCTGGTCCTGTGGCCGGTGCTGGAGGCGCCTGTGAACACGCTCGAGGCCGTGTGGCTAGGCCCGACGCCTGCCTTGCGTGTAGTGCTGTCGTGCGTGGGTGTAGCCACCCTGGGCGCCTTGTCATATCTGGCCAAGATTGCGCTGCTCAGATCTGCAGTCAGCGACGGACCGGTGGGCGTGGCCATGGCGGGCCAGATCCATACCATCATCTGCCTGGGCATTGGCTGGTGGAGCTACGGGTACGCACACTGGGGCCTGCAGGTGCTTGGATTCTATACTGCCATAGTGTGCTTGGCAGTGTGGGCCGCGAGCCGGATTACAGCCAATGTTGGCAATCTGGTGCCAGTCCTATCATCGCACTCGTTCAAGACCACGCGCTCGCGCAAGTACAGCTCAGCCATTTTCTAGTGTTTTCAAATAATGTTTCTACGCTTATGTCGCCGCGCCAGATTGATATCCGACAGCCGAAGGATCTGCGCCAACATAGGTGCTAAGGAGTAGCTAGTTGCTACCCCAAGCCCCCACCAAGCCGCTGGACCTGCCCAATAACATGGCGATTGAGATGGCTCAGCCGAAACCATGCTCCCATGGCGCTTTTATCCAACCACTAGACCGCCCACCGCCTGGTGGCTGGGCTTGCCAGCTGAGCCCAGCGCGCAGTCGGGGAGAAGGGCAGCCTTCATCTGAGCAACTGAAGTCTTATCAGCTCGCAGATAAGAGCAGATGGCCGATTTAGAGGATGCTGGGGAGAACGAAGAGGGGCTCGGACAGTATATCCTGTGGCCGTCGTATACCGCTGCGACCATCCTCTGACTGCGCCAAAGCAGCTGGGACCAAAGAGACATTTCTGCCCGGATACAATTCATAAGGACTATGCTTTCTGGTGCAGATATAGCACTCTGCTTGATGTGACCTTAATAGAAAGGCTGCTGTCCATAGATGCCAAGCGATAAACGGCTTTTAGATAGGTGGATGCGGCGAGCAGTCCGGCTCCTCCGAGATGTGTAGATCCCGGGTATCACTGAACCGTTTCAGGCAGATTCAGTGTAGTACTCAGACTGCCCACTTGTTATTTCGGGGCAGACTCGTCAGCTCTGGCAGCGATTACCTACAACGAGTGACTTTGACACCCACGAGTTATCGCCAGCCATTTCCTTTTTCTCCTTTGGCGGAGGGGCTAGGGATCGCCGGCTCACAAATAAGGAGCGTACCTCTCCTCCTTGGTGGAAAAAGACAGCGTTCTGGCGATGTGTCAGAATCCCGTCACCGGCACTGGGTCTAGCTGCATTTGGGAAGGCAAGTCTCCGAAAGGGGGGTTTATAACCTTTTTGCAATTAGGATAGAAAGGGCTAGGAGTAATACAATAGTTGTTGCAACCCGCAGGAGTGCAGGAGGGAAGGGGAAGAACTAGTTCTCGGAGCGAGGTAAGAATGTACAGGCAAAACTAAGGAACATTTTAGTGGTTGATGATGAACTCGATGGAGCACTTGCGGCACATCCACGCGTGGAACGCCGCCACTCCGCGAACCCACAGATCCGGATCTCTGCGCCTTAGCTCGGCAACAAAGATGTCGAGCTCAAACACAGGCTTCTCGCAATCCTCGGCATCAGACTCTTGACCGTCCAGTTCTGGGATGTTCGGGCTGCCCTCTGAGCTCCCAGACTTGGCCTTCATTTCCTCGCGGAAAATCAACTGCAGTCGCGAGGTCTCCAGGTTCTTCGACAGCTTCTTCTCGATGTTGGTGCGCTGGCGGCTGCGCATGTTGCCGTCCTTCCTCAGCTGCTGCCATTGGAGCAGGTAGCTGAGTGGGATAAAGTACCGGCGCCGGATGTTCTGCACCTTGTTGTACTCCTCCAGGATCGTGCGCCCCGAGGGAATGAACCGGTGGTCGCGCTCGTCGCGGCTCCGGTAGATGGTCGTGCGGAACAGCGGGTCGTTTAGAAACTCGTCTAGAAGGACGTTGATGATTTTGCGGGTCATTTCGGCCGGCCATGCGTGACGCGACCGCTTGCGTGACACCTGGTGGTCGTAGGCTGGCAGGGGCTCGGGCACCAAGACTGCAGCCTCCTTGGGTGACCCGAGCCGCGGCGGGTGCACGTGGAAGGCAAGGGAGTTCTGGGGCAGTGAGTTTGTTGTCAGCCGGGGCGGCATGTACACCTCGTCAATGGACGCCGAGGGGTTGGGCGGCGGCGACGGAGGCGGCATAGGGATGCGCTGAAGATGTGGTCCCAACATGGCTTAATGATATGTGAGGTACGTGTGGGGGAGAGTGTGGCTAAAAAGACAGTAACGCAAACTTATAAAAAGGGTTCGTGAAATAGCAAAAGGAAAAAAGTCAAAATGGATATATCTTTATTATCTCATGCCAATTAATGACAGAGAATTAGCTGAGGAAAAATAGTGGGCAGGAGGGAAAGAGGACGAAAGGGAGAGAAAAGAGAATTAGGGAAAAGTTTGTGACGAAGGACAGAGGGGGAGCCAAAAATTGATTATAAGTCTTTTCAGGAACAGGAAAGGGAGAAGAGGGTGGGTTGATTATTGACAATACGTCCTGGGACATGTTAGTCAACCATTCTTCTCTCCCCCATTCGCCTTGCGGGCTTGTTCGGAATTTGTATTGCCATACGTTTTTCCTCCTAGAAGATTTGCACACTTGGGCCAAAAATTGTAGTGATCATCCAGTCTCGTACATAGGCCCGGCTGGAGGAAAAAGGGCATGTACCTTGACATCTTGTCGACTCAGCCAAAAAACCTCGCTCGGGCACATGATTTGCCTCTTTGGGAGATCAGCGCCCATTGCAAGGCAGAAGGGAGAAATAATGCCGGAGATTCGCTTGGCTGAGGAAGCAAAAAGGACGGACGAAAGGGTATACGAGGGATTGCCCGGCTATGCATTTCGCCAGACCAGCCTGCGCCCTTGTGGCAACAGCCGGAGACACCCACTCGCCGCCTGGGAGGCGGAATGGGAGCTACCAGGGACTCGACTGGCCTGGCGGTGGCACCCACGCCGGTCATGAGAGGGAAATCGCTTGGCCGGTCAGACAGGACAGGAAATGAAAAGGTGCTGACTCTTGACGAGTCTGATTCTGCCTTCTCTGACGCCTTGCCTCTCCGCCTCGCTCCGCCCCCGGCAAACAAAAGTCGGCTGGCTATGCAGGCTAATTGTGACGCCAAATAAACAGCGGGATACATTGTCAGGCACAAACCCACTTTCTTCTGCTTCAGAAGAAAGCCTGGAGCGGGAATACAGGACGTGTGAACTCGGGAAAAAAACAATGCACGATGCTGTGCTCCCCATCCATGCCTCACGCAGACTGCATGGCCACATTCTACCACCTCTTATCAGGGATGCACTCTGTCGTGGACAAGCTCGATTCTGAGTTTTGCCCTATCACTTTTCTCATGCACATTACATGTTTCAGCCTGTTCCGTCCATTTGCTCGCTTTGGCAGTCAATCCACTTCTTTCTTTTTTGCCGCAGCGAATGGTATCCGCGGATGTTGCCATATCACTCCCGCATCATGCACTCCGTTTATTTCCAAACTGAACAGGAATCGCAACCGGGAGTGGAATAGTGCGTGCATCCAGGTGTGGGGCCATCCTGTGTTCCTTTTGGCTAAAGTCCGCCGACGCCATCGATGTCACCGCGTATAAATCTGGGGTTGGCCTAAAAATACATATCTCGCTTTCGTTCCTTCCCTTTTGGCTTCTATGCCTATCAAGATTTGCTAACGAAAAGAAGGTGCAGACGGAGATAAAGCGCTCCTTTTGCGCGCCCTCCGTGTTTCCTGCTTTCTGCATTTTTTACTACAATGAAATGTACACATGTCAGACACGTACATGCGCGCCCACGCCATTCACATGACCCTCGCTTGGAATGCCCCGTCCTGACCGCGATATTTTTGTGGTGCGCAATCTGACCCGGGCTGCGTGCGAATCACTGGATCTGCCCGAAGTCGAGGATATTTGCTGTCGGTGCCCAAACCAGGCAGCAGCCTTCCGCCCGGCTTGCCAGGGTTTGGCTATAAATGTCCGGTTCTGTCTGGTATGAGCCAGTTCCCTTAGATAGGCCTGGTCACGCTCCGACTCACGGTTAGAGTCACGGTCTGGCTCTTCTGGTCGTGCAAGTCCGGTTCCGGAAGTCTGTGAAACCAGTGCTTAATAAACCCACTGGACTGATTTTGGAGGTGTGGCCATGGGAACCCCGACTGCCGCCACCGAATAAAGAGTGGTGATTGCTATTGGTCTGGCCATGTCCTCAATTATTAATAGGGATCCAATATTAGTAAGCGCCTGCATGGACACCGCCTCTCGTCCGCTGCTGCAGCTGCACGCTGGCCCTTAAATAACTCTGCTTCTCCAGGCTTCAAGAACCCTGTGTATTGCTTTCATTTATCGCTCTTCAACTCTTCATACAGCATGGCTTCAGCTGCACGCGCGCTTCACATCAACGTCGTTTTGGATACAGTCTGCCCGTGGTGCTATATCGGTCGCCGGCGTCTTGCAAAAGCCATTGCCCTAGCCAAGGACAAATGGTCGGACATTGATATTTCGGTCGAGTACAGCCCGTACCAGCTCGACTCCTCTATGGGGACCGGTCTTGATAAGCAGGAGATCTACCGCAACAAGTTTGGTGCGCGCGCCGACCAGATCCACCAGCGCACGGCTGCTGTTGGCAAGGAGGAGGGCATTGAGTTTGATTTTGGCGGCAAAATTTCAAACACACTCGACTCGCACCGCCTGATCGACTACGCAAAGCTCGATGGCAGCGGGGCCGAGGAAAAGGTTGTCGAGTCGCTGATGCACAGGTACTTTGAGCTTGCGCAGGATATTGGCGATATCAGCACACTGGTTGAGGCAGCTAAGGATTCTGGCTTGGACGAGGCAACGACAAAGGCGTACCTGGAGTCGGATGATGGCATTGACACTGTCAAGCAAAAGATAAAGCAAGCTCAGCGGCTGGGTGTCTCCGGGGTGCCATTCTACATCATCAACGACCGGTACGGTATCTCGGGCGCTGAGTCTCCTGAGACATTCTTGGCAGGATTCGCCAAGGCGCTCGGGCTGGACAGCTAGTTACATGGTTCAGTGAAGTTTTAATAAAATTAATAAAATTTACAATTTACAAAGATGCTAACACGGCCAGACGAGCACCCATGTTTCAGCAATCATTGAGCACCAGACAGATCTAATACGCGGTCTGTGTCAGCGCTGCTGCCTACACCATCACTGCAGTCAGCCAGCAATGCATGCTCAGCTTTGGCCCATGTAGCTGGCCCACTATCTAGCACGCTGCACGGCTTGCTCTTGATCAGCTTTTCGACAATCGCGTTGATATTCGTTGCTGCGGCATCATCCAGTGAGCCGACAAATGTTTGGTCCAGCAATTCATCCGACAGTGTCGACTCCGCGCCGACAAGTCTACTGGCACCCGTAATGTCAGAGAGCGTCAGTGCGCCTTGCGTGCTGGTGGTATTGGTCGTATACACCAGGGATGGTGGTCCTTGAGTTGTGATTGGCATCAGAGACCTAAGACCTAGTGGCATTGCAGAGCCAAGCATCATCGTGTCGACCCCTCCCAAGTGCTCTGGGGCGCCAAACAGTGTCGGGCTGTTGCAGACCTGGGAGGTAGACAACGCCGAAAAATCGAATGGCGAAAAGGCCACCATGGCTGGTTGACTGCCAGCCACGCTGAGCGTTTGCCACAGTGAACCATCCTGCAACACGCTAGCTTTGCCCAGGGAATCCAGGAATGGAGATGACACGGGTTGCTGCGTGGGCTCCGTGAAGCAGCGTGACTGGTGCATGCGCTTGGCAGCAGGCTGCATTGGGCATGGCTCGGAGACAGACACCATGCGTCTGCGCTTGCGCGATAATCCCAGTGCCTTTCTCGAAGAAAATGTACCTGGTGCTGTGGCTTTAACATTCTCCTTGTTGTCACCAATATCGCTATACCAGTGACGTGGATCCCCGATATCCGATGAGCTTACCGCTGCAGTTTTGAGCGTTTTCAGATCAAATCCATGCGGTAGGAAGACCCCAGCCTCCTCCCACTCGGCACCATTGATGGCAGGCACGCCGCGGCACTTTTTATCGGTCTTGTAGAACTCGCAGTAAGCTCGGACGATTCCTGCCCATTGCGCCAGGTTCTTGCGCTGGAAAATCTTAATCAGTCGCTGCGCATAGGTCATCTCAGCCGTGTATGGGCGGACTTCCTTGGACGAGCGCTTGAAGATACTGTCAATGTTTTTCGCTGTTAGCTGGAGAACAGGGTACTTGTGGTCACTGCCATACCAACGCTGCAGCTCTGAAATTGCGCAGAATAGGCGCGAATTTTGGTTGCTGATGAATGACATAAGTGTCTGACCCAGACTCGGGTGGTCGGTCAGCTCGGGCTGTAGGCCAAGGATACTATGAACGAGCGATGGAAAGCCCGGATCTGTCGACTTGGTAATGCCCTCGATGGCGTTGCCGGAGGCCAGGAATCGGTCGAGCATCCCTTCCAAGATACAATCCTTGGTCTCGCTGGAAAACAAGTGCCTTCTATTCATTGGCGATTCAGTATCAATGGATTTGATTGCTGTTTTGGATAGCAGTGCAGTGAAATGAGATGGAGGAAAGGATACAGGAATGGTGATACACTACTGTATGAGATACATGCTGGAAGACGAGAAGAGAAGGGGGCTCACTGGTATTTATACAGAGGACAGCTGTCAGGCACCATGTAAGATTGTGATGCCCAAGCACTGGAAGCATGTCTCTCCCGCCGGTACGTCTGGGCTATTTTCGGACCAAGGATACTGCAGGGCTGCAGGAAAAGAGAATTGCAAAATAGAAAGACTATATTGAACTGCAGTCTCGCCAGCCCAGGTTCAATAATCGCTTTGTTGCACAGAGGAGAGCAATGAGGTCCTTTCCCCTGGAGCCTGGTGTCATTACTGCTGAGAGTTCTAATTTCTATCAACCAGCTGGTGTCTGTCTGATTTCTAATCCAGGGATGAGCAAGAGTTCGTGTATCACATAATCAGCACCCGGGCCTTAAAGTCCAAAGCGATTCGGGATGCTAGCATGTCTACACATACATTAGCGTGTCCCCAGTCCATGGCCTTTGCTTGAACTGTGAAGTGACGGTCGATGCTTGAGCACTGGCGACGTTCTTGATATTCACCATTGGGTAATCACGGCTCGCATTAATTGAGGCAAGGCATTTTTGCTGCCACGATAGCACAATGTAGCATGCCATCATGTTGTGGTGTTTACAGTGAGAGTCGGGACCACAATCACCCACCCTGTCGAGCAAACCATGTTATTCCCAGTGACACAGGCGCAGGCGTCATGCTGCCAGATCATGCATTGATTTTTTGACGGCCAAGCGTGTGTTTTGTATATGAATGTCGCGCCACACTAATACAAGAAGCTAGCAGAATGCTGATGTCTCGGCGTTGGATGTAGATCCAAGTCCGATTTCCAATGTTTGGAGCTGGATCGCTTGGATTCCAGGGAGTCATATATTCCGTGCACTGATGTTTCCAGCTGGCTGCTGCTGAGCAGAATTCCAAGAAGAAGCAGAGGGGTTTGGCGGGTTGGCCCCGGTTTCGCTGCAATGGAACAGGCGTGCCCGGCTGGTGGATGTGCGTTCTCCTCCAATTTGCACGGTCCAGGCACCAAACCGCAATTCTGAGCGGCGGACCCGCGTAGCATGCGGGTTTCCTCCGTCCCCAGGGTGGTTCTGTGAAACAGCACCTCTGGCTAGGTGCTGTGATCTCCAAGCACAGCGAGAGCAGGAAATTGAATTAGGGAAGGGGACTTTGATACCGATTGACTGCAGCTGTCCGCTTTATTGTGATTTGCACCTAAGGGAGCGGATGTGTCTGTTTGGGGCGCAGGACGCGAAGAGCGTGTGCATTGATTTCTGCTCGCATACGCATTGTGACCTGCCCAGATGCTGCTGGGCGGAGTGACAGGCGCGTTCGGAGACAGATCACAGAGCCCAACAATGGCAGCTCGTGAATCACATGCACACGACGGGCTCGTTTGGGCCATGCCTGTGCTGGTGGAGGGCAGGGCAGGGTCCGGTTGGGCCCCGCACAACACCTGGTGCCAATGAAAAGCATGGGCTGTCGCGGCAGCCAGAGGGGTATGTGTCATTTTACTCAGCGGGCACGGTGCAGACGTGTTGTTGAATCGGCTATTTACCTCGTCCCCCGCCCACCAATTCGCAATCGACGATCCCGGGGCTCGCCTCTGCCGTCTCATAGCCAACCACTGGTCTCACACATGTACTGATGCATATACCCCGTTCCCACCCGCATACCCTCGATTGCCGGATCATTAGCCGTGCTGTGACAATAACTCCTGCATTTCCTCGACAGTGGCAAATCCCTGTCGCCACCCGTCTCATGAGCGGCAAGGATTACTGCAGCCCAAGGCGCTTTCGTAATGCTGCAATAGTGCAAGCGGCACTGTGGGCAAACAGATCCCGGCACGTGGCGAGCCGCTAACGGAAGCAAACAGGCAGCCTGCTTGGCTCCTCGGCTCGCACGTCAGCGCAGCGCTGGGGGCAGCCAAGAGAAATGGCTGGCGATCCCAGCCATTAATGCAAAACTCGGGCTATACGCCGAAGGGGGAATAGAAAATCCACTGGCCATTGTGCGTGGCTGGCCAAATGCGAGCGTGCAGCAGGCCGTGGTCATGTCAGCCTTGGCAGCCCAACCGATGCTTGGCAAGGCGCTCTTGCCCTGCAATATACCATCTATTTTCACCAGGTTGCTCACGGCGGCTGCAGCCAGTCCCGCCGGCAATCTGCAGACAGCACTGTAGTCCGAATGTGCCGGAAGAGGGATTTGGCAGCCCGGTCCAGCGCGCCCTGCCACTGGGGTAGTAAAGGGAGCTGTAATCCGTGCTACCCTGGGTCCTAAAACAGGGAATTGAATGAATGAATGAATGACTGGCTGACTGTAGATCGAACAGCGACACCGCACACTCAGCACGGGCTGGGCAGTCAATGGCAGCTAAAACCTTGTTTGATGGTTTCGGACCGGCCCGTATCCTCCCACCCCCTCGGACCACCCTTCTCGGCCGCCCGTACGCGGCTGCTACTAGAAAACACAAAGCGCCATGCGGAGTTTGCCAGTGACACGCGCCAGTGACACTGGCCACTCCCAATCCAGCCGCTGGGCGGGCCAGCTGGCCTTTGTGGTGAAAGGGAATGATTGGCAGCGCACAAATAGGGCGATTGCGCTTTTTCGCAGGCTCAAAGTGGCCCCCTTTTCACGCCGTGACATGCGCTGTGCATCCCGGTCGCTTTTCGGACACCCCATCCAGCTGCAGCCGTCTTGGCTGCGCAAAATGGCGCTGCAGCAGCAGCAGAAACGTCCATCAACAGTAATTGGCCAGCCGCGTCTCTGCTGGCAACTTGGGGAGGCAGGCGAGAAATTCGGGTACCCGCAGATTCCCAGCAACAATCAAGATTTTTGCCCCTCTTTCAAGCATGCAGAAAAGGAAAAGCACCCTCCCTGCCCCGCACAGGAGGTTCTGGCTTTTTGCGATCGCTGGAGAAAAATATATAGCCTGCGTAGCTTGGGCCCTTAAACCAACGGGTTGTTCCTTTTTCTACTCGCCCTTTCCCTTCTCCCGTCTTCTGTCTTCCACACATTTTGTCTCCCTGGTACTCATTGCCCTCAGTTATCTGCTATATCCCACTCCTCCTTACTCTCGGTGGCGCCCACTTGCTAATTCATCTGGCTTTTCGGTAAGTGATGTGCCCCAATGCAGCTTGGCCGCAACCCTAGCCTTTCCCATTCCTGCCTTGTAAAATACCGCTCACAGCACCTCATCCCCGAATCGCGCTGGGGTGGGCTCTGTATTTCGATACCGCTCTTGCATCTGTCCTCACTGTTGTTTTTGAAACTATGTTGGCAGCCCTCGGCATCCTTCCCCCCGATTTGCCCAGGTCTTTTCTATTCTTGTCCAGTCAGTTGCATTTTACATTGTCCTGCATTCGCTCGCAGTGCCGCCGATTACAGGCACCATCACCACCACCACCCAAGCCTGTGCACATCTGACCTGCCAGTAAAACAGCGTACATGCCATCACGCTCCACTGGCCTATCTCACATTTTATGCCCCGCTACTATTACTTATTATCTCTTTTCCGCCCGCTTTTTCGATATATACATAGTACCATCCGCCTCACACTATGCGAAACACATCCAACAGCGTCCGGCAGCCCAGCCGCACTCGCACCGACAGCAACATGTCTGTTTTGGGACGTGGAGCATCGTGGCCGCGCAACAACTGGACAGAGAACGAGACGCGCGAGGTGATGGAGATCCTGGTCAGTGAGTTTGTCAACTCAAACTTCAACACTGTTGCTTACAGCAAGAGCCGGGCTGCCGACGCCCGGTTCGAGGACCTGTCGTTCAAGCGTCCGGCACGCGAGCTCTACAACAAAGTACAGAACCTACGGCAACGCTTCTTCACCCCGCACGGATACCTCCTGCGCTGGGCTAGCTCGTCGACCGATGAGCGTAACAGGAAGCGCTGCGAGAAAGGCCTGTCGAACAACAAGACGAGGGAAAGCATCCACGGAATTTTCGGCAGTGACCCTCATGCAGCTGCGGCAGCTTTGGCCGAAGCGGATGATTTGGCCATGGCCAGCGGTGCTGCAGGCGGCAACGATGGCAGCGGGGGTCTGTCGGAAAAGAGCGTGCACTACTACTCTGATATTTTCCGCCGCCGTGCCCCCGAGGTCTGGAGTCCAGTCGCTTGAGGCATACAAGCAGTTTGCAGCCATCCCGGAATACATGGCCACTGTGTCGACCGCCAGCAGCCGAAGCTGTAGACATCGTCAGAACACGCTCACGCACGCAAGTCATCCAGCAGCCATCGCTCAGCGACCAGCAGCAGTTCCATGATATGCTGAGCTCGCCAGCCATGTCTCTGGCAAGCACTGCTTTGCACACGCCAAGCACTACGCTGATGTCTGACTTTAGCACCACCGACGGCGGTGTTGATGCGGCGGACGAGTACAGCCCGTACATATTGCAGGCTGTTGTTGGCCACTCCTGGCACAAGTTCCTGTGCGACCGCAACCGCTGGGTATCGCTAGGTCTCATGTACGCAGACGAGTTGGACTGGGAGACGCAGGAGGCCGAGTTCCTGACTCAGCATCTCATTTCGATGATCGAGTTTGTCAGCAACGTAAATGAGATTCCGCTCATGTTGGTCTCGTCGCATACCGGCTCGTTTGATGCCAATAGTATCCTGCAGGCTGTTGCGCAGGCGGACACCGTGCTGACCGTGTCACTGAGCAACCTCAGCAGCGACGTGCACCAGTGCCTGCAGTATGTCGAGCGAGGTGGCCATTACACAATGCTATCGCTCTGCTTGCTTGCTGATCGACAGATGCAATCAGCCCCGTCGTTGGCACTGCTTGTCAGCCGCGGCGACAGCAGCAACCGCTTTGGCACGTACCCGCACCACGACCCGATGCTTTCGCGTCTGGCTGCAAACAACGATGCAATGTGGCACGAGTTCAGTCTCGCCGGCAGTGGTCTGGTTCCAGCAGAGCTGCAACCCCAGGGGTTCCCACCAGCACGGCGTCAGAGCGAGGACAACAGCATGGCTTTCACCTACATCGAGAATGGCTACAAGTACGCATTCTTCAGTCGCAGATGCGGCCACTTTTTTGAAATGAAGCGCTGTGACGACTGGGCACCGGCCATCTCATCGACGCTGCTGCGGCCCATCTGGTCCTCGCGGATTGCCACCAGAGACCATCTTGTCACCCGGCTCAGGGAAGACAACGAGAAGATCCTGCATGGCATGGTGGAGCTTTTTGGCCTGCGGCCCTTCTGTGCCGGATTCTTTGATGGTATTGCATTCGCTGGAAACGCGCGAGGTGCACCTCCCAAGACCCGACGCCGGACATCAGACGATCCTAACTGTAAGTATGCATAATGAACGCTTCCATGTATCCCGGCGCGCATGCTGGTATGCCAGCAACTACAAACAGCCGACGCTAAACACCGGCTTCCATGTTCCATGTTTTTTCTTGCTCTATTTTTAGATGGTTCGCAAAGGAGACGGCTGTCGACATCACGGCTTCGTCAGATGCGGTCAAGCGCGGACTCTATCCATACCATGAGCGCAACGTCGTCTCCAAACACAGGCTACATTGGCTTTGCCAGCTCAGGTAACCACAGTGGCCGAAACCCAAGCTCGTCGGCGGCGATTGCTGCGGCTGCGGCTGCTGCTGCTGCTGCAACTGCTGCTGCTGCCGCCGCCAACGCGTCAGCTCCAGGCAACCCGCTGTTGTCTCCAGGTTTTGGTCAGTCGCACTCCACGCGCGGCATGGGTACAGGAGGCCCACTTGTTCAGCGCGGAAGCCTGTCACGCATGTCTGCAGCACGCGCAATTCCGTACCTTTCTCCGCAGCATCGCTCGATGCACTCGTTTGCAGAGGACAACCAGATGGCGTCGCTTTCGCTGCCCACCACACCGTATATGACGCTTGGGGTGGACAGCATTAGTCAGTCGGCGCCGTCAAACCGCACACAATACGCCCAGCCAAGTCAGCCATCGCTGCACGGCAACAATGGCGCTAGCACGGCACATGACATGTTTACTTCGCTCAGTGACCCATCGCTGATGGACCCAGCACCAGCAAATGCAGCGGGCTTCTTGGCGGCCGAGTCATCGATTGGCAGCCTGGCTAATCTTGCAGCCGGAACGAGTGCCGGCCTGCACGATGACTCGCTGAACATTGAATTGTATCCTCCAGCCAATGGTGCTGGCGGTGTCGGAACTCCGCACGTAGGCTCTGTGGGCGCAGCCGGATTGCTGTCAGGTGTTGCCACAACAGGCGCTGTCGCTGCCGCTGCTGCTGTGGCATCAAGCAGCCTGCAGAGCGGCACGCCATACATGCCCAACGCTATGCTTGGTGGGATTGTCGATGCCGACCCCGCCTCCACACCTCACATGGCCATGCTGGGCAACAACTCGCCCGCTGTCTGGGACATTCATGGGACGAACCAGGCAACGACCTATCTCACCAAACATGGGCTCGCTCAGACTACATGGCGGGTCGGTGACGCACACAGCGACCCACTCCCCGGCCCAGCCGCCGATGGGGTTTCGCTCACCCGCCACCGACTTCACAGGAGTAGCGGCGACAGTGGCGCTGGCAGCATCAATCACCCCTGGTAGCATGGACTATCCGTCATTCCCAGTGAGTGGTGCGGCAGGGACTGCAGGCGTACCGCACAACAAGATGATGGTGTATCCGAACAGCATCGGCGATGCTACCATCTCCATGGCGCTCTTTGATGAGCGGACAGTCAACACTATTGCCTCGGTCTTGGCTTCGCCTGAGATGGCTATTCCCTTCGAGCAGCCGTCGCCAGCAATGACCAACTACAACGTGTCGGCAAGCGCGACCCCAGCAGTTGACGGCTGCTCGGCCCCATCGCTGACCCCCCAGGCGCATATGCTGAACAGCGCCCTGGCCATGCGCACACCCAGATCGCTGAACTCATCGCAGGCTGCACCTGAGGACTCGATTGCATCGTCGGCAATGGCCAGCTACTTTGGCACCCTAACCACCACAGAGTCGATGGTGTCTGCTGCCGCGCAAGTCCTGACCTACCCCCCGCCCAATCTGACGTCTGGCAACCAGATGGACTTTGAAGATATGCTCGAGTAGCACTGTTTGCTTTCATCTATTCTGCCTGTCCTCTCCCTCTTCCTGAATCTTGCTTTCTTGCTAGACTGTATATTATCACCTACCTTAACACACGTTAACAAATGAATACCCGCTTAATTGCCATCTGGTGTATGGTGCTATGCAATCGGGATGTATGCGCACATATAGCTACTTTGTATCACCAAGTGGTTGAAAAGGCTATTGCTATATGACTACTTTAACACTTTATATTGTGTCTATTTGCATATAATGGATCTTTCTTGTAACACACCTGCTCTGCTGTTTCAGAGCAATAGCTACTGGCCAACAACGATACTAGTAGCTGCTCCTAAGGTGTGTCCTTGCAACAAAAATGATCTGCTGCACCAGGCTCGTTTATTTACAAACAGCCTATTTGAGCTGCTTGGACCGGGCCCACATAATAGGTATGCAGTGCTTCAAAAGTGGCTAATAATAGCCTGAAGCACCATCCGCTGGCTTTGCCAAGAGTTTGGGATGGACATAATGCAGCATAGGAATACGGCCGAGGCTGGGATGGGATTTTTGTGATGTGCTAAGGATGCTATCGCAGGCTCCACCGGTAGCAGACACATTGCACACTAGCGCAGACATGAAGCAGTGTTTTCTTGGCACGTCGTTATGCGCTGCAGATGGCCTCTTCAATCGCTATGAATGTGCACCCACACCCAAATAATACTGTTAGGTTCCACGGCGCTATAGCGAATGAGAGTGCAGTGCGAGGGATGCAATGGGAATTCCTGAGCATCATTACTTCGTAATGTGTGAGGAGCGAGTAGAATTATTGTTCCAAAAGAACGCAAAATAAAGGATGTTGCTTCTAAAGCGTCATTGATAGTAGACGGTTAGAAGCATGCCTGAGATTTATGCCCGGCTGCAGTCCAGACAATACCAGAGACAGGACGGGTGGGCTCACCCAGCTTCATGACCGCTATAAAAGAGCATATGGCGACTTCAGCAATCGACTACATCCTCACACCAACCATACAAGTCCCAGCATCTTTCCCTCATTTCGACCATCTGAACTCCCCCGCTTTAACGAAGCACCATCCGTACCATCAGCAACCTATAAAATGAGAATCTCCATCTTCGCTGCTTTCGCTGCCATTGCTGCTGTCGCCGCTGCTCAGTCGGCCAAGTGCATTCCATGTCCCACGGATACTGATTTCGCCGATTCTGCTGCTGACACTGCTGTCTATTCTGCCAGCGACTCTGTTGCTGACACTGGTTCTGATGATGCTGCAACTGGTGCCTCAGAGGTCGAAACCTCTGCTGATACTGATGCCACCGACTCTGCTGCTGACACTGACACTGACACTGCCGATGCTGGCGCCACTGACGCCAGTGCTGTCTGAAAAATATACCAGCCTGCTGCAGTTACTCTACATACTCGCTACAGTCTTAGAACACAATAAACATATCTCACTAGCCAGAATATATTGGCAGTCCTGAGCCTGTATATGGTCAAGAAATGCCTCAATTCAGACATGGGGATGATCACATAACTGGTCTCGGCCCACGCTTCATGGTGTACAAGATGGGTAAAAAAGACCCACGGTTTGTCTTTGCCTGCTTTTCGCTGTTTTTTTCTTAACCACCAGGGAAATGGAGAATGTACATTGTTTGACACCCGACCAAGCAGCGCAGCGTCTCTTGTCTTTGGTGCAGACGCTGGGAATGGAAGGTCAACGAAACGAACGGTCGACAAATTCGAAGAAGGCGCGCAATGCACAGCCTGACCCGTCGAGTATCTCGTGGGCCTTCCATGAAACAGTTGACAAAGACGGGCTGCTGCGCTGGCTAGCCGAGAACCTTGATGCATCAAGGAATGGGCTCTGCGATGATGAACTGGAGTTTCTGGACTACCTTGACCGAATTGAATATACTGGCAGCGATCTCTCTGCAGCTGGTGAGAAGGACCTTGCTGCGTCGTTTGAGCTCAGAGCCCAGCTGGATAGACTCGAAAAGCAGATTAGTCAGTCAAGGCAGCACAAGAAGACACTGCAGGAACAGAGCGCAATGCTTGACAAGCGGACTGAGCAGCTCATGCAGCAGCTTTCCGAACTGCGAGTTGAAGAGGAGGCGTTGGCACGCGCAGCGAGTTCAGCAGATGCCGAGGTATCTCGTACAACGTCGATGTACCAAGGGTTCCTTGATGAGGCGGCATTGGCTACGCGAAAGCTGGCTTCGGCTCTGAGCCCAGCGTCTGGGAGGAACGCAGCCGGGTCGTTGACAAAACACTTTATGTTTCAATGCGAGGACGAGGTCGACGAAATGTGCTGTGCCATCAAAGACTACATGACTGAGCTTGGCGAGTTTGTCGAAACAGGGATGCGCAAAGCAGACGTCCTGCCCTCACCATGGAAAGAGTTTGAGCCCTTTGCAACTCGGAGCGTGGCCGATCTGCTCAATGTGGCCAAAAGCGAGCATGGGCGTATCGCCAGAGATATTGTCCCTATGGCCCAGCTCAAACTAAAGCTCGATATTGAAAGAGAGCTGCTGCTCGCGAGCAGAAGCGAGGCCGACAAGGCATTGGCCAGCGGTGATCTGGTGCAGCGCTGTGAGCAATACATGCACGATGGCGAACATGCTAGCGGCTGGACCAGCTCAGTAGAGGCCCATGCGGTGAACTTGTCTGGTGCAGTGCTAAGTCATCTGGAGGAACCGGGTCAGGTGCGGCATTTTGGTGATGTCATGGAGCAGCTGAGGCAGCAGTGGGCCGCGCTTGCGGAAAACCGGAGAGATCAACAGAGCCAGGATCTGGAAATAGCCGCGCAGTCTATCGGTCCGCAGCGGCAGGCAGCTGACGAAGCTATGCACAGGCTGGCTGAAGAGCAGGCGGACTCTGGCCGACTTGAGTGCGATGTGGGCGGTGGCAGCGACCAACCTGGAGCGGGACAACAAGGCGCTGGAGAAAAAACGGGTAGGTAGCAGTGTCCATGTTGAACAGCATACGGTGTCTGAAGTGTCTTTACAGGACAAACTGCAAATCGCTGGGCTTTTTTGCATGTAGAGTGGCCTGGAATCAGGTAGCGGAGACGAGTGCGGCGGCAGCAACAGACGGAGGCAGGCAGGTCATCCACCCAGGCGATACACTTGCACTATCGCTCCGGCAGCTGCTCGACGCCGCGTCCCAGATTGGCAAGAGTGGATTCAGCCCACTCCCATATAGGCGATCGGCGGCGACGGGCATGAACGAAAATAGCCCTGCATCAGAGGCTTCGCAGCGATTGGCCAGCATGCCAGACGGCGCCGACCAGCCCTGGCCCGGCGATGGTGCATTCACGAGCTGGGACTCGCTCTGCTCCGATGCTGCCATGTATGCGCAGATTCGTGCGCGTGCACTGGACGCCGTCGCTTCAGAGGCTAAGGCGGCAGAGGGCGTTGAGGGCCAACTGTAAGTTCCACAGCACACCACGATGCTCTGTTTGTTGATGCGAGCCACAATTCGGCTGCTGATATGCAGTTGCGAATCCTTGCACTGCTTTTCGTTCCGGAATGCGGACACTGCGCAAACTAGGAGCCCGCCGTCCTTTCTCTGTTTGCAGCTGGAGCCGTATTTGGGAATCATGCAAGCATGGAGATTCACTGCTTGTTTCTTTCTTCCCACACGAATGTTCTCTCGGCAAATGCCGCCAATTTGCGCGCTGCTGCTGCTAATGCTTTTTGACGACAATAAGCCATTGCTTTGCTAATGTAGGAACTGCTCGCTGCGTGACTTGGAAGCAGCTCTGCATGGCGGCGAGGTGTGCTCTGGGTCTGAGGAAATTGGCGTGATGGCGGTGGTACGTGTACAGTGGAGGGGAATGCGTTCATATCACCATTGTATATGAGAGGGCTCTGATGTAGTACTAATGTATGCATGATTGTAGGAGACCAAGGACGCTCTTGGTGAGCTGAAGAGCCAGGCTGATGTGTTGCGCAAACGCATCACCAAGGCGACCATGATGTCAGAAGAGACAGACAGGAATGGCGCCGCGGACTATGCCGCACTCTTTGCCGAGTATTTTTAGATGCCATGACTCGTGGTCTATTTGGGGCAAGCATGAGCAGCGATTTGCCCCACTGTGCTGCTCATGCAGCACTCATAGCGCGGTGCTGATGACTGCAAGTCTTGCAGCGAGCATGTCTCAACCGTACCATTTGCTCAGCGAGCTAAAAATGTACACAGTGGCCATTGTTTATAGCAGAACGGGCTATGCATGGAAATCAAGTTGGTCGCTTATTTTATTTCTCGGCCCCAATGTCCGGGGCGACCCTTATCGCGGGGTCGATGGCATATAAGAACTCGCTAGCGGGCGGACAAAATGTTGTTTTTCTCATTCCAACCTTAGTTCCTACCTTACAAGGTCTTTTTCAATACTCCCCCTTCCTCCGTTATATCTCGAAATCATGAAGTTTGTTTTCGCTTTCGCTCTGGCTTTGCTGGCTGTTGATGCCAAGAAGTGCATCCCCCGCCCGCACCCCGAGTACACCACCTCGGTTGTGTACGAGACCACCAGCGCCCCAGTGTACGAGACCACCAGTGCTCCAGGTGTACGAGACCACTTCGGCCCCGGTCTACAACACCTCTGAGGAGTCCCGCTTCCGAGCCTGCTTCTTCGGAGGAGCCTGCCCTCTTCTGAGGAGCCTGCTTCGGAGCCCGCCACCACCTCTGAGCCTGCTTCCGGAGCCTGCCACCGCTTCCGGAGCCTGCTACCGAGCCTGCTACCGGAGCCTGCTACTGAGCCTGCTACCGAGCCTGCTACTGAGCCTGCTACTGAGCCTGCTACTGAGCCTGCTACCTGAGCCCGCCACCACCTCCGAGCCCGCTCCTGAGCCCACCACCACAGATGTAGAGGTTCCTGCTTCGACTCCTCCCACGCTCCCCGAGTTCCCGGCCTCGATCCCTCCCCAGTAAACAGCCTTTGGTTTGAGAAAAGATGGTGTTCAGAACGGCCGCCTCTAACTCGCTCTTCAAAAAGCACATAATCTACTACCTCTCGCTGGATAGCCATATACCTCACTAATTCCACTCTTTATGACTCCTAAATAAATAAATACATATTGGGCAGAGAAACACGACTCTGAAGAAGATAGCGGCCTAGGTATGACACTACTGCGCACCTGGCCATAGCTATATGGAGCCTGTTCTTTTCCACTAGCTATAGACTCAACAAATGGTTCGCCCACCACCTTGTGATGGCGCAGTCCTTGTGCCAACACAGTACTGGCTACTCTTACACATTGCGTACACACGATGGTATATCATTCTGCTCCTGCATCCTGGCCAATGGCCGAATAGGCTGAAACACGGCTTATCCTCACCCTTGCAGCTTTGCACGGTAGAAATGCATTGAGACTGGGCATGCGTATCGTGACGAATACAATGCACTGGCAATGTTGTGCATTGTCTGCCTCTGCCGCAAAAAGGGTATGAGCCTCGGTATGCATATATGCCATTGGTATCCCAAAAGACCGCAAGAAAAGTGGTAGGTGCCCTGTCACAGACCCAGCACCGGTGGGGTGCACTGGTGGCTTCTTTGAGTAGTGTCTGCCATGGCCAGTGTTTACTGTGACATTGTAGATTGCGTGAGAAGTGATAGCCCTTTTTGGCACACCAGCAGTCAAAGTGTTCTCCTCGGATATCACGGAGTTCTCAATTAGTACCGATAACTGGTCATCACCCGCTCTGGGTCTGCGGCGTCTGCCACAATTGCCGCAGCAAGGCCGTTTATGAGCGAGAATATTTTCTCGAATATTTTCCAAAGATACCAGGCAAGGGGTTGTTGGCGGTGCGTGGGCGTTGTCCGAGGTTTGCCAAGAAGATTGACATCAAAGGTAATGCGATCTGTGTTTTTTTTTTTTCCATTAACAGTCCTACCAAACAGAACGTTCTGTTACCCTGGTGCCCAATGCCGGAGAAATGTGACAAGGCTGGGCAACTGCAAATCGCCTGCAGGAACGTCCGACAATGTCAAGACAGATGCAGGCCAAGAAATGCTTTCTACAAATCCTTGGTCTAGTAGGGTCTTGGCAGCACGGAAAAGAGCGGGGGTACTGGGGGGCGTGATTCAGTCAGGTGTGTGAAAAGCATTTCCGAAGGTGACCGCATGTTGACAAGCATGTTGTGGCCAGCACCGTCAGAGGCTCTTGTCGGAAAAAAAACAGGTGCTTAAATAGTTCCTATGACGCTGCAGACCAAACACCGCCTCTTGCATCTACAACCAACTAAGCAACCGTTCAATCTTGCTACAAACAACTACCAACTAATTCGCTACCTCACTTTTCTACTCAATCATGGCTGACCACATCCACGAGTTTGGCGAGTCCAGCAGGGCCAGCGGCTACGCACCACCCTCGACCAAGCCCTTGCTTGAGTTCAACCCGCCCAAGTTTGCTGTCACGCACAACATCAGGAGCGAGTCTGCCTACGAGTCAGTGATGACTGGTCTCGGCAATTTCTTTGGAGCCTTTGGCCAGGTCCCGGGTCTCTTCTGCTGCCCGAACCCCTTCAAGGAAGTGCGCCAGGGTTCAATTGGCCTTGTTTCGCGCTTTGGCCGCTACTACAAGACCGCCTGATCCCGGCTTGGTCAACGTGAACCCGCTGACTGAAAAGGTCAGGTATGTCAGCACCATGATTCAGGTTGCCAGTATTGGCCCCATGCCTATCGTGACCAAGGACAACGTCACCGTCGGCGTCGAGGCAGTTCTGTACTGGCATGTGACGGATCCGTATCTGGCAACGTACGGTGTGACGAATGTGCAGCAGGCCCTGACTGAGCGCACGCAGACCACGCTGCGCGCTGTGCTAGGTGGCAGGGATCTGCAGGACATTATCGAGAACCGCGATACAATCGCCTCAGCAATCACGGATATCATCGACAAGCCAGCAAACAACTGGGGCGTTACCGTGGAGTCCATTCTGATCAAGGACATTGTTCTGTCGCAGGAGCTGCAGAGCTCGCTCTCATCGGCAGCTACCCAGAAGCGTATCGGTGAGTCCAAGGTCATCCAGGCGCAGGCCGAGGTCGATGCCGCCATCCTGATGCGCGAGGCCGCCGAGATCCTGAACACTCCGGCTGCCATGCAGATCCGCACTTTGGACAGCATGGTTATGATGTCTAAGGCTGCCAACACCAAGGTCATGTTTGTGCCTGTCAACCAGGACTACTCGAGCGGAACGATCAATGCCTTTGGCGGTGCTGGTGCCACTGTCGGAATCAACACATACAAGTCTGGCAATGACAATCCTGGGGAGCATACGTCCGTCGTTGCTGACATCAGTAACAGCAAGAACGGGTCAAACCCCAAGAGCAACAGCTTGGTGCACGAATCGGTTCAAGGATGCTGCCATCTACAGCCAGCTAGTTGAGATGTAAAACAAAAACCCACCATCGGTATGCGTGATTCATATTTCTTAAGCTAATTATAACCCGAAATTAATTCAAATTAAGTCTATAATAAAAGTGTAGCAGGAGTTGTGTAAGCATCTCGCTCCAAAACGATGGGAAAATATTACGATGGTCTCCCAATATGGACGCGTGGTGGTGCAGGAATGTCGATCGACATGTGTTGTAATTCGATACCACTCGAACGGCTGCTCCCACGCTCGGTGACTTCAGGTGCTTGTGCGACATCAGATGTCCTGGGAATTCTGTGCCGGAGTGGCTGGTTTACGCGGTGGCAGGTTAAGCGCTGAAACCATATCGGACTTGCAGACTGGGCACGTCGCGCTGTGCTTTGTGAGCCAGGCGTCGATGCAGTCCGTGTGGAAATAGTGCCCGCAAACGAGGATGCGTACTTCAGACCCAGCCTCAAAGTCGCGAAGGCACACGCTGCAGTCAGGAGTGAAGAAGTTTCGTGAGATGGCACACTCGCAAGACTCGGTGCTGCTCACGATGTCAATGCTGATTATATGCTTGGGTATCGTTGCCTGTATCAGTGCTGGTTTGCTGTGCGGATGAAAGGAGCTTGTCGCTAGACGAGTTTCCAGTCGGCTCTTTATCTGTGCTCTTATTTGACGAATCGGATGAGCAGCTGCACGTAATTCGCGAGTACTTGTCTAGCTGCGTGGTCAGCAACTCGCGCAGCTCGTCCTCAGTTAGGATTTTGGTGCGTAGCAATGAGAGCTCATGCTCTTCAAACACATTCTCCTGCTTGTTCGGCGCATCGCGAGGACGGAACTGGAACCGCGGGACATAGAGTGGATCCTGCTGACGGCTCATTTCGCGTCTGTTTATAAAGTGGCAGATGGCAGTCATTATTATTCCAAGCCCGACCTACCCCAGTAATGGCTAATACAGCAAGAAGGTTAGAGGATACCATGTTGGAAACTATGGATTATGTACAACAGAAATGAAGAAAATGCTGTTTTGGATGTGTACTGCTGTGCTGGAATAGAGAAAGCGCCACATCTTGGGTGTGAAGAGGCGTTATTTATACTTGTGGCCATGGCCAAAATCCACTATTCTAGATGCCTCTCGCTCTGGCATTATTCATTTGCCGGGTCGTTTTTTTTTTTTGGATGCGGGACTTTTATGCATTTTCGCTGCAAACCCCTGCCAGAATATCAACCAGGCAAGCTGTTTATTTGTGGCCAACCAACATCTCTGTCATGCCTCACGGATCGGAGCAGTGCGGGGGCGGGACAGTTTTGTCAGCACAGATCGGAGCGTACGGTCACAGGAGACACATTTAGCACACATGACCTCGCTGCCCTAAGGCATTGAAATGCACCTTAAGGCATTGTATATGCGGTGGCGTATACTCGGGTGCTTGCCGCAGCATGGAATATGAACATCCCCCGCACTGTATGTATGGTGTTGCTAACAGTATGTACTGCGGACCTACCCTTGGTATGTTATTCCTCCCACCACTTCCATAAACGTCCTATAGGGTTCCTCTATCGGGCGGCCAGGGAGCTGCTTGCAGCGTGATTATGCGGTGCTTCTCTTTGCAGTGGTGCAAATCCTAGGTGTATGGTGAGTAACAACCATTGACACTTCGCGCCTCAACTGCACCTCGGCAAACAGCTACTGCAGACATCATCAGTGAAGGCCATGACTCGAGATTATCGTCCCGCCAGGACCGGGTCAGAGAAGTGCCGGCATGATGTCAAGGGCGCCGACGGCTTTCAACAGCCCAATAATGCTGGTGCTCTGTCCAGTAGTGTGTCATTTGGATGGGTTGACTCACAGTATTCTGTTTTCCCCACACTAAGCACCGAAGGGATTGTCCTTTGCAAGCTTAGTAATCTGATGCCTGTGTTGCGGAATTGGGTATTTGGTTTACCCATATAACGAATTGCCTGTGGCCGCAGCAAACGTTGACCTACATGACTGCCCACACAATTCCATGGGATAGTGCGGAAGAACGGCCCCTGGCGGCATGGCGAGCCACTGCTGCAGTTCTCAGAGTTAGCTTTTATTTGACAAAAAAAAATTGGACGACGGGCATACGGGCCCATGCATTCCCAGAGGCGGAACATTGATTATTTACCGAAGAGCCACTGCTGGTGGGCGGGACATGTGATGTGTATCCAAATCCTGGGCCGGTACGCTTGGGCCCAGACTTGGGTCGATGGACAGAGCAACATGATTCTCACTCGAGTTTTGTGGCTCGAAATCGAGGCCAACCGAGCGACGCGTGTCAAGCTTGCACAATGGGCAGCGGGCGCTGCGCTGGACAAGCCACACGTCGATGCAGTGGACATGGAACATGTGCCCGCACACTAGAGCGCGAACAACATCGGACGTCTGGAATGGCAAGAGGCAGATTGTGCATTCGGCAGACAGGTACCGCGGGCGATCTAGGATGTTATCTTGATGCGCGCTGCTGTTTGTACCAATCGCATCGATATCGGCCTGTGTCAGTGTAACGGTCTCCAGCAGCAACAGCTCGTTCTCACTGAACACATTGTATGGCTTTACTGGCTGTTCGTTGGGCCGAAGCTGAGTGGTGGTTTGGCGGACCGGCAGCTCTATGTTGCTGCGCGTCCCTGGTCACTGCGTAGAGTCGCGCAAATCGGCCCAGAACTATGAGTGAAACTGCGCAGGTAACAACCAGGCTGAAGAAAACCAAGAGCAACAGCGCGCCGGTATTCATCTGAAAACCCTGTACTGAGCGGTAGGAACCTTTGTTGATGCAACTTCCTGCACTGGACCAGGACCATCGAGAAGGACAAGAGACGAGTTTGTTTAGAAGGATAGGTGGATGCTTTCCAGTGCTACAAGGGATTCGGTGGTGTGCAGGTGAGGATTTCTATGCTGGTGAATGTGGAGCGTGCAGAGAGAAGAAAGAGTGTGCTGGGCCAGCAGCAAGGTACCCTGAGAGGTCCTGTGGTTCTGGCGAAGTGCAAGCAAGCGGGCAACCCGTGCACATGCACTATTTGCTGCAGGCTGGAGACAATCGCCTTGGTGTCATTATTGCTGCGTTGCGACCGGAAATGGCGAGGAAAAGAAAAAGCGTGGGTGCAATCAGTATCGCTTCTTACTGGGCGCTGCAAGTGCGATACACAGACGCTGCATGTTCTTTTATGAGCTCCAGAAGATACGTCAAGACGCTCTCGAAGGAACCACTGGGAACCAGTGTGCTCTATGCGGCAATCTGCTTGTGGACGCTGGTAAATCGCAGAGCTTGCTATCTGGGCAACAGGGTGGCGGAGAGGAAGAAAACCAGGTGTTCCTTTCCCTCTGCGAAGAAACCTGCGTGCATTGTATTTCCGCAGGTTATGCTAAAAACAGGGAGTGCCCATCCGTGTCGCCGTCCTTTGCTTCTTGTCTCTCTTGATTCAACCACACATGCACTATCCAATCCTCTAGTTGTTTCTCTGCATTATTCTGTACAGGCTGCGTCGAGCGCTAACCTTGAAAGCACACGCCAGCCTCTAATAGCCAGCGATCTGAATACACCACCACATCGCCATCTCCAATTGCAGTCGTGAGATATGAACAGTGCCCGCTACATAGCAGCATTACTACTGCTCGCAAGCGCGGCTAATGGGTCGCCTGTTCCGCTGGAAATACAGACAGAAACTACAGGCTTTCCATCTGCCAGCTCAGATACGCCGAGTCCTAGTCCCAGCAGCCTGGCATCCGCAACTCCAAGCGCCAGCGAATCTATCCCCTCAAAGAGCGAAACGAGCCTGTTTTCAGACCAGAGGTCGGACCTCTACGGCACCGGCACTGGGCGAATGTTCAATATATACTACATTTCCTGCGGTGTGCACAGGGCTCGCTGTATTTGCCCTGCTGGTTGGAGGCGGCGTCTATCGGTATCGCATGAGACAGGCAGCTGTTGCACGGGGGCTGATTCCGCTGGGCGAGGACAATGTCCTGCCTGCACGCCGGCGCCCCGCAAATCGGCAAAAGAGAAAGCGCGTTGTGTTGACTGAGGAGCAATTCAACCTGATACCGTGTGAGGTCGCTCATGGGGCAGCCCCTGATGGAGGCGGCTCATTCTCAAGCGATCCTGGCGATAATTCCAAGGCAGCTGTGACTGAAGACAAACAAGCTGTAATCGATATATCTGGCTGGAAGGAGCCGGACACATGCGCGGTTTGCATCGAGGATATTGTGGCTGGTGAGAAGCTCCTGGTGCTTCCCTGCCTGCACTCCTTCCACATTGACTGTGCCCGCCCTTGGCTGCTGAGGAAATCCACCAAAGTGCCCGCTATGCAAAGAAGATGTGAGGATGGGGCTTGGCCTCAAGATCACCGAACCTGCGCATGATGAGGACAGGATCGGCCATGATGGTCGTCGTGGACAAGGGCGCGCCCAGACGAGCAGCCGGGGTGGGGTTGCCACACCAGAGCCAGCCCGGCTTTCCCGATGATCGCGTCGGGTGCATATCCCCGTGGCCACTGTACACCCTTCTGTATCATTCAATGCTCAGTAATCCTGCAATAGGCACACAAACAGGTTCAGTATCCTGCGTGCCTGAGGGGCGCTCTGCCTCATGTATCATGGGTTCCTCAAGTGGAATTCCATGACAGAACTTGCGTATTTTTCTGGAAATCACCCGATAGCGCCAATCGCTGCCAAGGCGGCGAGCGGGATTTGTTTTTGGCGCCTGAAAAAGCAGCAGGTACACTACTCCACCACCTTGCCTCCCCTCATCTTCGCCCACCTCTTTTTGAAGTACTTTCTCTCCTTGTAAGAATGGCATTGACCCGATCGTCTGTGACTTCATCCAGTGTCGGCACCCAGCCGCAGTCAGATAACACACCGTCGGGATCTGTGCTGGGTGAGCTGCTGCTCGTAAACCCCATGCCTGAGCGGCCTAGACATGCCCCTGGCCAGGTGCCACTGGGCCGCCAGAAGAACGAAAAGCCACGCCTGAGCGAGTTCCAATTTGGCTTGTTGTATTTTACCACAGCGAAGCGCCGCGGCTCCACGGCAGAGGCGAGTCCAAAGTCAACTGACAAGATATATTTCTGGAACTCGCCCGACAACCCGAACCGCAAGGACCCTGACAGCTGTGCAGTGTGCATCGACGACATCAAGGTACAGGGATGAACTCACCTGGCTGCCTTGCGGGCACGCATTTCACATGAGCTGCATCAAACAGTGGCTACTTGAGCGGACCGATGAATGCCCTTTGTGCAGACAGTCCGTGCTGTACGGTCTCGGGCTGAACCGGTTTCCCAATAACAAGCTCGAGCAGCGAATGGCCAATAGCCCGCTGTTTACGCCGAGCTTCTATAGACGCAAGAGGCATGCTCTTTACCTACCGTACAGACATCCTTTGATATCTAACTGGACTGTAATCTATGCAATGTAATCCCTATGCATTTATCCCGAAAGCCACTGCTGATGTGCGATTTTGCTGCCCACTTTTGGAGGGCTGTCAATACGACTAAATATAGAAATCCATCTGCAATCCTCAAGTTTTGGCATGAGCGGATTCGTTTAAAGGGCTCCAGCTCTGCCTCTCCTCCCGGTGGCTAAAATAGAATTAGTCCTGTGCCACTGCACCTCATTTTTATGCCATGGATTGCCTTTCCAGGCTATCTGTATAGTCGCGTTAGCAATCGGATGTGGCTACTGCGGTGATACCACTGGCAAAGGAAAGAGCCTGCCACACACCTGCCACACACCTGCGACAAGAGACAGCAGGTTAGGGTTCAGCAGCAATGCGAGGCTAATTGCCGGAGTTGACTGTACCCAGTGCTCTATTTGTGGCAGGGCTTTGCCTTGCTGTGTGCCACTGTTCAATTCGCGGAGCAACTGCCTAAGCTACATTCAATAAACTAGGAAGAGTTGCTGCGCACTCACTTGCTAGCGTATAGATCCAAAACAGAACATTTATATGGTTTTTAGATAGACCCTTGCGCTTTTCGGCGTCCACATTAGGTAAGGAGAATAGCTCATAGCAACAACCAGCCGATACTGCATTAATTGATTTGGTTTATCTACTATATACTAGAGTTATGGCGCTCGTGATGCGAGCTCGGCTAGTCAGTACAGTTTAGACAGTCGATAATATGGCAAGGAGTCTGTCCACGGGGCTTCACGGCCTAAAGGCCGACAGAAACTTAAGCAAAGATATCTTTTGTTACACTCGAAAAATCGAACCCCGAATCAGCATTAATCATAGGCAATTGGGTGCACCGATGGCCAGACACCAATGCATCGATTCGCGGGCAAAGGATGGCACGATAATTCCAAGTACCATTGCCATTCTCCGCTGTACAAGCAAGTCATGTAAGCGGGCCATGGCACAATACAGGCGGGTCTATTCCTCTCGGCTCTTGAGCCGCGATTTCGCAGTAGTTCTAAACTTCAGACTCGTTTTCCAGTCACCCTGTGATTCGGGCGATATTCCTGAACAGGTTTCGCCATTCTACGGCCATTGCTGCCGATATTTCTGGACGCCAGTCCGGCAACGAAGAGGCCGCGAAAGAGGCGTGCAGCATCTGCAGGACGATTCTGCTGCCAGCAGCAGCGAGCCAGCGCTGAAACGCACCCTACTGAGCAGGCCATCAAGACAGGGGATATCCAGGATCACCATTGCACCAACAACCATCCGACACGTTCAAATGACCGGTTCGCCTGTGGTACTCTTATCGACGTGTCAACCCATGCTGACCAGCACCCGAGCTCACATTGCAAGCAAAGTATTTCTAGTAGATATACGGAATTGTACATTGTCGTGCGCTCATTGTGGCCAGCCAGCATATTTATAGAAGCGTCTCCGTGCTCTTTATAGCGATGTGGCTGGTATATCCAAGTGGCACTATATTTATAAACATTACGTTTAGGAATCGTCATTGGCAAGAATTCTGAACAACTACAGGCTGTTGCTGGTGAAACAGTCATGCCATTGCAGTCGTAACTGACGCACAATGGCCGAATCGAAAACAGCGTCTCTAAGCGCCACACATCGGCCCTATGCCCTACACTGGGAACTGAAAGCCACCGTCTTGAGGGTGCAAATTGCCTTCGCCATCAGTACTGGGGCCATCGCAGCAGCAAAGGAAACAATACCCATACAATAAGCAAAGGAGCCGAGACGTCGCAAGCATGCGCCGGCAGTATTCGCATTTGCTGTGAAGCAATATGCAGTCTTCCCTAATCCTCTCATTTTCGCCATGGCCACATGTCAAGCCAGGCCGGCGCAAGCCATGTACGACCCGCCAATGGCGTGCACAAGGAAGGGTGCAGGCTGACTGCGGGCCAGCCGCTTAGTGGCCCTCCAGCCCTTGTTGCCATTGGCCCCACCTACCATGAATGTGATGCAAATAAAGGCGGCCGTTCTTGAATAGAGGTTTCGACAGTTAGCTAGACAAGTCTTGGCGCCGCGACCCAATGGACAGGACAGGGGCTGGTAGTAGGTTCCGTTCTAGTTTTCTGTACCAAGCTGGCGTGCGGGATTCGCACACCTTATAAAGCGTGACTAGCAAAACCTTTTTTCCTTGTACCCAACCTGGGGGCATTTGCAATGCCGAAGGTCGATAACAATTGAGCTGCTTTGTCTCCCCTGCACTCTTCTTCTTAGCCCAAAGCTATACCTCTGTGCCCACACCATCATGTTTATATTTGCATCCCCTATCACCTACCTGCTGGCAGTTGCTGGCGTAGCGAGCGCTTCACCAATACAGAATTTGCGCTTTCGTGACACAGTTGAAACCGCAAACCCGGATTCTGGGAAGTGAACGGACGGCCGACAGGGACCGTAGCCACGGTCACATATCCTGCAAGCGATGATACTGCTAGTGCACCAGATGCGTCAACCAGCTTTGCCACAGTTGAGGGGCCAGACAAAACCGTGTTCTCGACGCCAACGTCGTCAATGGAGATAGCTCGCAGCCGACCACCCCCGGATATGTATGATGCAGATAGATCTACAAGCAACACGAACATGCGCCTGATTTACGGTCTATCTGTATCGCTGATTGTGGTTGTGTTTCTGTTCTGTGTCCTGGTCGTTCGAATGAGACGGCGGATCATTGCCACGTATACCAATCGGCTCCCCGCCCATCCCGCGACAATTCCGTAGCAGGCAAGGAATGGACAGGCCGTCCAAAGGAAGCCAAGGCCAGTTGTACTCAGCGACGCACAGTTTGCCCTCTTGCCGATTGTCAAGGCAACTGAAAAGTCGCAGCCGGGCTCCGAGAGTACAGAATTTGAAACACCAGAGGCCCCTAAGGGACGGACCAGCGAGGAAAAGCCGAGGATAACCGAAGGGGAGGGCAGGGAAGAAGCAGATATGTGCGCTGTATGTCTAGAAACTATGGCAGCTGACGGATCAGCTGGTTGAGCTTCCTTGCCTGCATGTCTATCACATTGAGTGCATTAAGGGCTGGCTACTGAAGAAGTCAGGACAGCTGCCCGCTCTGCAAGCAGTCAGTGCTGGCTGGGCTAGGGCTTGCCCCGTGTATACCCAGCAAATGCCGCAGGCCGGATGCGGACGCAACAAATGGTCAAGAGCATACAGCAGGAGTCGAACCAGGGCAGCAGCATACGCTGGAGGATGTCGCATCTGCAGCTCCTCCTGCGGCACCGGCAGTCCCTCCTGCGGCACGCACACAGCGCTAGCCACTGCAGGCTATGCATTATCCTTGAAGCCATCAAATATTTTGTGCATAGAATTGCATTTCACTTGAAACTTACAGCGCTGCTGCCTGTGCAAGCATGCTGCTGCTGTGTAGCCAAACACCCTGAGTACAGATAGCATATGCGACTTTTAGGATCGGTTAGCTCTGTAGATTTGCAAGGCAGGTCCAGGACGAGCACTGCGCCCAGCGAGAATGTCCATGCAGGTGATTTGCATATTTCCTGACATGTCGCTCTCTACCCACAGTCAAACTAAATGAAACTCAACAGACCACACAGTAGTGATAGTACCTGCTATACCTCAGCACCTAGTCTTTGACCGTTGGCGATAGCTATATATAGATTTTGCACTTTCCATTGAATCCAGCCCTTCTCCATGCTACTTTCCACCATCTCAAATGCCATACTTAACAGACAGTACTCTCCAACACACTATATTCAAGATAGCCGCTTTTTTGAATGACCACGATGGAAACTACTACGGGGTGATGTTAGTTTTGTTGACAGACTACACCGCGATGTCATTGGAAGCCGGCAATGTGGCTGTCAAAGAACCTACGAGCAATGGAGCGACCTGATAGTCTTATGACCATCATACCGACTTCTTTCCAGCCTCTTGCTTTATGTCGCCACTAACTCCACAGGGGACTTTGGACATGCAGTCCATTCACTGGAGATCCTACTGGGCTCGCTTCGTGCCATGGCTGAGTCAAGCAACTATTGGGACTAGTGGCAAACACAGGCGTATATTTGACGCTATAGCCGTGGCAGATTCATCAAATGGGCATGAAACGGCTGGTCCTAGCGGAATAAAGCACAGCATACATGGCACCAAGAAGCAAAAAATGGGGTGCCAGGAATACATTGTCATCCTGGACGACGAGGATGATATTCTGTAATATTTGCCCATGGGAGGCCAGTTGTCCACACTATCGGTTTCTGGTTTTTACATCATCCACTGCCATTTGCAGCCCGGCTTTCTTGTGCTAGTAAATACTATAAACCGCTTTTTTCTGTCAAAAAAGTGAAAGCTCCCATAGCAGTGTTTTTCTTCTACTTGTGCCGTTTTCCATATGGTGGCTGTACCCTGGGGCCACAACCCTCTGTCTAGGCCACATCCATGTTAACAACAAGCCCATGGACACGCCTCTATGTACCCTCGAGCAAAAACTAATAGCGAGAGGCGCTTGATCATTGGTGCTTTCCCACAAATGCAGCACCTGGTGCCTGGCCAGTTCACCCTCAGCTTACCTTCCAGCACAAGAATATGGCAGCCAGGCTCTAAAGAGAGCGGATTGAGTGCCAACAAGAGCTCTGCAGCAGGACTCTGCATCTTCTCTTTTCTTAGTTAGGTCATAGTTGGAGTTGGCCCGTTGCTGGGCTCTCTTTAGAACCTCTGCAGTGGGCATGTAGTACTGGGCTGTCGACCCTTAGGGCTGGTGAGTATTGGGGGCTAGCATGGCCGTATCCCGGCAGTACCCAGTCAACTGTGGCCGGCACGTTCTCTTCTGCGAATCGCGTGGCTGATTTTTGAATACATCGCTACCTATTCTTTCCTGCAGACTAGCCGCTTTCGCCCAGAGTATAGCTGGATGGCCAGCCTGGGCGCTGGGGACGTGATGCCCGTCATGCGCAAGTCTATAATCAATTAGAGACGTCACCATCTATGGCCTCATGCCTTTGTGGACATCACCGGTCTTCAAGCCTGATGTCAGGTCAAGACAGTAAATAGACAAACTGCACTCTTACCTATGGTTTCCTTCGTTCTGTTATTTTTGTCAATAGTAATTTTCTTTTTTCTTTTTATTTTCCATTTTTTTTGAAGCAGATGCAGGCATCAGTGGTTAGAACACGGGTGGCTGCAGTGGTAGTTCATATCTGGGCATATCCAGGGTTGGCTGCAGCTGCACCAGTCGACAGCCCGACGCCATCATCGATGTTGGCCGAATCAACACTGTCGGTTGACGTGAATTCGCCAACAACTAATTACACCTCAGTCAACAGCCGGCTCTACCTTATCGCAGGGATGACAATTGGCATCTTTCTGATTATTGTGTTTATAGGCGGGTTTTACCTGCGCGTCCGTTTGCAGAGAGCCAGGGGGAGCTACCGGTCCACCTGAACAGGAGTCCGAGAATGGACGAGATTTGAGACCCCCCAGGAAGGAACGTGAGGCTAACAAAGGATCAGTTCAGGTCACTGCGTGTACTTCGAAGCAGCGGAGACACCAGAAGGCCATGAGAGCGACATCTGTGCAGTGTGCTTGGCAGAAATTGAGACTGGCAACAAACTCGTTGTTCTTCCATGCGCCCACCAGTACCATTATGAGTGTATCGGGTTGTGGCTCTGCCGCAAATCATCTCTCTGCCCGCTGTGCAAAACTCCTGCGATAGAAGGGACAGAATAGTAGAATCAGGCCGTACGCCTCGAGTAGCAAAACAATCGACACCGTATCACTGGATCCACAGCATAGTGCCGACACATGGCCACACACATTGTGCGGTGGCAATAGAAGACAATGGGCTGTACTTTCCGCTGGACAATCGCCGGTCAAGATATGTGAACATTCGGTCGACAATAAACACCCACTTAGTGGTAGTATCGGATGACCCAAATGCACAGTAGGTGTGAATATGGCAGTGGCAGATTTGTAAATAGGAGATACTCAGCCTGGCCAAGACGCACTGTATTCTTGCCTGGGTGTCTGGTCTGGCAGCTAGCGTATATAATCAAAGAGATGTCGGCGGCAGCTTCCCCACAGAGAAAACAGCATATTCCCCTCAATCGCCGCCAACTACCGTCAGCCATGAAGCTATTTACGATCATTGCACTTTTTTTGCCTAGCATCCATTGCCTATACTGCTGAAGACTCTGCAGGGGCCATAGTCAATGACTACCCGTACAAGAATTGCAGCGGTGTCGACAAGTGGGGCTACTACAAGTGTCAATGCACCTCGTTCGCTGCATGGCGCATAAACGACCGCCTGAAAATCAAGTTTGACAACCAGTACAAAGGAACCAACTGGGGTAACGGCAATTCGTGGGACGAACGCCGCACGCAAGACCGGCGTCACTATCAATAGCACATCCCAAGCCGGGGGCCATTGCGCAGTCTGACACTGGCCACTTTCGGACACGTGGCCTGGGTGGCCAAGGTCTCTGGGTCCAGTGTCACAGTGGAGGAGTATAACTGGGCAAAGAAGGAGGGATACGGAACGCGCACTGTGCCCAAGAGCACATTCAACTACATCCACTTGAAGTGAATGGTACACAATGCGATTAGTGTACAGTGGTTTAGTCAATATTAAGCGAAGCAATACAGGTAAAAATTGGGGTGTTCAGACTTTCGTGTCGGTAGTGCTGGCGTTGCTAAGCCGCGCGCACCTGTTGCAGAATGGGCATTTGTCCGCAGTCCGGAACCACGGCACAATGCAATGATCGTGGAACTGGTGCGTGCATTGTAGCTGAATCACCACGTCGCCCGCCTTGTAGTCGTCAAGGCAGACACCGCACGTGATGGCAGACTCGAATTTCTCGTCGGCGTTGCTGCCTGTGCTGTCCTTGCCAACAGTACGGCGTGGCAGGCTCTCGATGGCCTCTTCCTCTAGCCGGCATGGCTGGTCTTTGGTCAGCAGCTGTTCACGACGCTGCCGCAGTGCCTGGATCTGCCGCTCTAGGTCTGCGCGTTCGCGTATGCGCATGGCTCGCCGCTTCATGCACATGTAGGAGAATGTGGAGCAGACAATGATGACAAACACTGTCATCCCAAAGAATAGCCCAAACATCAGTTTTGACGAAGGTCCGTCGTCGCCAGACATAGTAGCTAGGTTGTAAAAGCGGTGGTGAATGATAGGTACGTTTTGTTTGAAAAGCTGGTATCAGCGAAAGACAAGAGGACAGATGTCCCCTGCATGTCTTTAAGAGAAGCAGCACGGCGGACAACCATGGCCAGGCACTTCAGTGCTATCTACATATCTAAGGCCACTCTTTTCACTCAGGTCCAGTGAAGGCAAATTCACAGACGAGACGCGGGAACGTGGGTGTGATGAGGGGCCAGGATTGATTTTCTGCCGGCCTTCACTCCGACGATAGAATTTCCGACATGGAACGCGCCATGGTGATACAAGTGCTGATCGGGCCGATTATATTAGATTGTATCACGCTTGCCGATTAGCAGGTGGCCTGACCCAAAGCCACGAGCGGGTTTTGTCGCAGGGAATTGGCCGACGAGAGTCCCACTGCCGAGCTCTAGAACAACCCGCGGAACAGCACTGGGCGTTCACACAGTCCATTATCAGGAGGCCAAAACATTACCCACACCCAAAGAGGCCCGCTACAACAATGTAGGACTCCCACAGGTGAGTGAATGGTGCGATAGCTATGGGCAGAAGCGAAATATAATACACCGAGGCATGTTGGGTATGGCCCTCTGAACTAAATGAGGCAGCAAACATGGCGCCGTGATTTTATGCGGGTGTTGACACTTGTCTGTAAAACGCAGCGGGCAGATGTTGTCCTATTTTCCACCGAGCACGCTCCTTCTAGGCAACATGCAAGCAGCAGAGCCATGCATTATGAGGGCATCTGGGTCGTGTGAGTCTGGGGGAGGGCAGCTGAAGGTGGTCTGCGATCTGCTCCGTCCCCAAACCCCGTACTGCCCCCGTCTGCTCGGATATATGTGCGGAACAAATGGGCTGCATTAAGAGAAGAGAGCTGCAACCGCGTGCAGGATGTGCAGGCTTCGACAGGTGCAGATGGATGGGGAGTGCCTGGACTCGTGTGCATGCTCTGGCTCGCACGACCAGGAGGGGGTGTGTGCGAATCAATGGCTGGAGCCGAGCTGTCCCGTTTTTGGGGAGGGTGAGGTGCTAAGACAGCCCAGGCTGGGCTTGATGGTGGGCGCCGTTATCTGTATCTGGAATACATTTCGGTGATTAATTCCCAGTACCATTTATAGGGTGCGGCGCAGAGATACAGCCCCCGTGTGCTTCAGCGACAAAGGGCGCACTACTCAGCATTAGCAGTCATTTAAGCCGCAGGAGAGGGCAGGACGTCACCACGGCACCTCTGGACACGTTGCCTAACAATTGTCAACATAGATTTCGCGATAGCTGGAGGGAAGGGCAAGAAAAACATGGCAGGAGGCGCTGAGGCAAACAATGCATTGCGGAATTTTTGGGGTCGAGTGCTGGCCACACGAATGCGTTCAAAGAGGCAAGGACCAGGACAAAGGGGCCACCATACCAACCATATGCAAACACTACAACAACAACAACCAGGACGCCTGCTGTCCCATTGAATGGAGGGGCACGCCATCTGTGTTCCTTCGCTGCGTGTTGGGGTATGTGGGCAGGGCAGATTGGTAAAAAAACGCCTTGCTGGCCACAGCAGGGACCCCAAAAGCCAGAGTCCGACATCACGTTCCTCATAGCTCAAGCCCATCTATGCGGTGGTGCTCTGGTTCTAAAAATATGGAGAGTTTTGCGGTGATGGCCTACGAAATCAATGCGAAATAGCAAGACTTCTGCCTGTCGAACAACATCAGCGACATCGGCCTTGGCACAGACGGCCATATCCGCCAAGTGCAAATCGCTTGAGCACACTGAGGCACCTGGGTCGATCGCCAGCGTAACATGCACATCCTACGCAGCACCCAGGTACGACAATACGCCAGTGGATGACACAATGGCCCAAAGCCAAAAAAAGGTGCAAAGGCGAAAACTGCCCTTGCTTTCCCGCGTTGATATCGCCGGCATGGGTGCGCACTCCCGGGCAAATACCTCCCTCTACACTTTTTTTAGCGAGATATCCGCTATACATGAGGCTTTCCCTGATGTCTTGGAATAAAGAGGGAAATCCGAGGGGTTTGCGCTGTTCTTTCTGCCAGTGTTTGGGGTTTCTGTATATAAACAGGGCCACCTAGCATCCCACTCCGCCTCGTCGTTTTTCTACAGGATCCTTGCACAGCTGAGCGCTTCACTCTCTTCGTACCCCTGCCTCATCACATATCCTGCACGAGCCCATAGAAGATTAGCTCCCTTACAAAGGTACGTGTTTGCGTCATTGGGTATTCCACATTCCACACAACAAGCACCATTCGCTATTTGTGCCTGCTGCTGGCTGGGCGCCGCACAGCCCACCGGTTGTCTGTTGGTGCTGCTTGTCTTGTTTTTGCCCATCCGCTCTCGCCTGTCGTATATTGCTCCCACTATATTAGCTCGGAGTCGAGAGAACAAAGGCTGCGTATTACAAACATTGGCTGAAAATACACGAGACGGGGGAGGTACGCAGAGGGACAGGTGCACATCCCCTGTCTGCTACTGACTTTTTCTGTTGCTGGTCTGACTGCTGCTCCCAGGTTCCTGCATGCACGGCCTGTCTCGAGTTTTCTCTTAAATAGATATCGCATTCTCGCCATTCTCCACCTCTACAGCTCTCCCCACCTCGCCAAATACGTCTCTAAAAAAGTGTTCCTGCTGAGCGCTGTCTCTGCTTTCCGCCTTCTTTCCTTTATTTGTGTCTAACAGCTATCTTCAGAACTCCCGTTTTAGGTTCGCTCTTCCCATCCCACTCGTCCTCTTCGTACATTTCCTTGTATCTCGGCGTAAAAGTCCAGCAGCCGTGTTTATAGATAGCTGATCGTCCACCTCGCTCAACATTTTTTATTTTGGTTAATCCGTGGTGCTGGCTTAGCGCACACTATTTTTTACAGCCCATTCCCTTGGTCAATATTGGCACACTGGGCAATCTCGCACTGCAATCGACTACACGTGCGTACATACCGACAAACACTTTGCAGTATTCACTTCTCGCAGCGCTTTTCCTCCGTCTTTTTCTTTAATTCCCTCTCACTGTTTGCCCTGTCAGGACTGCTCTATATACCCGCTCAGAATGGACGTCGCTTGCAGTGATTTCCGGTCCTCTTGGTGACAGCACATTAACCGCCCCCAGCCAAAGCAACGCTGAGTCAAAGGGGATCCTATCGCCGCTGTCGTCTTCTAGCATCACCATTGCAACACTCAACGGACCGCGCCTCAGTACAGAGATCTGCAATGGCAAGGGCCACGACAGCTTTATAGATTTCGACCGCGACGCTCTTGGGATTACCCCAATGACCACAGCATCGACGGAAACCGCGAACCACTCGCGCACTAGATCTTGCCAAACCATCGCTGGAGCTGCCAAAAATCAATATGCGGTCGGTCAGTGCCGATTACAGCCAGGTCTATGGCACACATATGGGCTCGGCACAGCCAACTTCAGAATCCATGACACACGAGGACGACATCGAAGAGTGCGATGCTACTGCTGCTCGGGAATTGGCACTCACTGCTCCGTCCAACTACACACCCACCCAAGGATACTGTTGCTGCCAAGCCGTCAAAGCTTGCGCGCAGCTCAACACCAGTGCGGCAAAAGCCCAGGACACAGGCTAAGTCCAAATCTCCTTGATGTCCCGCGGGCTGAGCACATCGAGACCGGAGGTATCCTGAGTCGGGAGGCCTTGATGCGTGGCAAGGGCGAGGATAGAATCTACGGTGCTCTCGGCGTCGGCCCCACGCGGTTCCAGTCGCTGCCCCGGTCATTCTCGTCCCGCATCGGCCTGGGCAGTACGCTAGGCATCGCGCAACCGCCCCGGCGACCTGCGGTATACTATTCGTCCGCACCCACACTACTCGGAGATCGTCGAGGTCATCGACAGTGAGGAGCATGTCCCCATCTACCGCAAGATCTCGCGCTCGATCGAAGTCATGGCGCGAGACCTTCCATGAGGTTGTGGCAGACGAGAGCGATTATGCGATGCCTGGCAGCGGCAACCTGTTTGACAGCGACTATGAGCTTGGTGCAGCATTCAACGGCTCGCCAGGCAAACTTTGCCACTACATTTGAGACAGCGTATGGAAGCATGCGCGGCAGCCCTGGCTTCGACAGTGGCTTTTCCTCTGCAGTCAATGTCGCTGCGGGACGTTCTAGTCAGACAATGCCCGGAGCCGCGGCGTCCTGCGTGACATTCCAGTCGGTAGTATCATCGGCAGCTGACCAGCAGCACAATGCAGGTGGCGAAACTGTTCTTGCGACGCTTCATGCCAACACTGGGTTCCTGAGCACCGCCTCGATACTCAACGCTGCCGCGGTCCAGATGTCGCGTACAGGTACCAGCTTTGGCGCTAGCCGGCTTGGTGGCGGGTCATTTGACAAGGGATTGCTGTGGGAGGCTCTGGCTCCCTACCCGAATCAGTTCCCACTGCACATCAAGGACTCGCGCACAATCATCGACACTGTCTCGCTCATATCGATGGTTCTTGACCGCCACCACTTTTGCTATCGTTTCCAAATGGGCCCAAACAAGATGCGGTGGGTCGCCAAGCGTGTCAGGAAGCACCAGCTGGCTCTTTTGTGCTATGTCCGCAACACCATCATCGCCGAGATCTTTGTCGACTATGAGAAGGGATATTCGCCCTACGGCTCGGCGTTAGGTCCTGGCGGAATTGGGCTGTCCAGCAATGCAGCCAGCGGTGAGTCTACGCCCAATGGACCAGGCACCGATAGCACTGCTGTGGATGTCGACGACGGGATGTATCCAGTCATCACCATCCTGCCTACTGCATTCAGCCAGCTGGGTTTGTTCGATGCTGATGTGGTCGAATCCTTTATCATTTTTTCGGGCATGCAGATGCTAGAGTGCCTGCACCTCTAAAGCATGTGGCTCTACACGCACCAGTGCCATTGTCAAATATATATTTTCTCTTTATTCGTTTTTGGCATTCATTCCACGTACTTGGCTATAATAAAAGACCAGCACCAACCAGAAAGACGCCCAGCACTCTACTCTTGCTTGTTCAATGGTCTAATTTTTTTTGCTCATTGCTGTTGTAGCGGTCAGACAACAAATCCATCGCTCTGCCTCTACATTAATTTGAATGGAAATTGCTGGCCTTTATTGTTTGTCTGTTGAAATAAGACAGTGCCAGTTTTGGAGCAGACACTGAGTTACAAACGATCTGGGTGTGGGTTTGCAAGGGTGGACTCACTTTTGGATCCCGCCTTCGCAGTTCACTACCTGATGTCGATCGACAGGGTAGTTCAAGAACGAGCCAACTATGAAGCCAAGCCTTTAAGACTGCACAAAGCCCGTATGCTGCTGTGCAGGGGTAGTATGCTGCGGGTGCCATGAGTAAAAAAGGGCAGACCAATATGGAGCTGGATTTATGTATGCGGTGTGTGATAGGCGGCGGAGGCGTCGCTGTGCCACAAATGCCACTTTTTGCTAGTTGCAGCTGTTGTATCAATTCACACTTGCCACTATTGCTACAGGGAGCCTTCATGCGGGGTTCATGCTTGGCCGCGAGGGTGATCGAGGCATGCTGGACCTACCGCAAGCCGGCATGTGTAGTTCACCATTGCAACAATAGCAACCGATGATAAACGAGAAATCTACCGTGAATAATGGCTATAGCATGTTCGGGTAATGCTAGATGGATTCAAATCATCGATGAGTATGCGGATACGCTCCATTTCCATGCGGATACGGCGTGGTGCCGATGACCGCGGTCTGAGCGGTGCCGCTTCGTACATGAAGCGCTAATCAAAAGCGAAGCTTATATAAAGAAAACAGGTACTGCGTATTCCTCTTTATTCTTGTTTGCACTTTCTGCAAAGGATGCAGCAGCCAGATCCCAAAAAATATGAAGCTGTAGTCATCATTGTTCACAAAGAATAAGCTGCGCATCATTTAATTCCCTTGATAATCCCCATCCTTCGCACCCTAACCGCAAAGCATACCTTGTCTTTTTCCCTCAGTGCATCTCTCTGGGTGCTAGAAATATATCGCCCACATCCGGTCCTGAATAGTTAATGGCAGTGCGCGAGGAATTCAGGCTATGCGCGTATGCTTTGTTTCGAATACAAAAAGGATTGCTACGCAATAGCGAAATTCTGAACACTGAATCACAAATCACACATCCCTTTTTAGATGCTGAATGGTTCACCTTTTATTATCGCCATGCTCTTTGGCCCGCACCTTTCTTTGCACATCCTAGTGCTTCAAGTCGGATTGCGACGGCTGGCTTTGTCGTCCAGCGCTTATTCATACACTTATTTCCGGCTGCAATTGTATAATACGATTATAAAAATACGCTGTGGCGCCAGACGTGTGCGCGTGCTTTTCAAAAGAAACCATCTTGGCGGAGCAGCTGACATTGCCGAGACCGCGCTTATTCTTTTCCTGAGACTTTTGCATTGAACTCCACGCATTATTCTGTGCTCTGTCCTCACATTTCGCACTTTGCACATCCCTTTTTGGCGGCGATACTGCGAATACAGAACAATACCAGTTTGTATCACGGCACGAGCAATTCACCTCGCCCTCACACCGCTGCTTTTCATAAATTACAGCCACATCCGCCTACCTGTGCAGGTCACTTTACCACATTTTCATAAACTATCATATCTGCATACCATTCACTCGCATACATTTCTCACAAGTTTACTACCATCTGCATTATCTACACTTTGCATTTATAACTCACTCCAACAATGTTCTCTACTATTGACCGTCCTGTCCGCAAAGCCCGTGGTGCCCGCAGCCGCCAGAGTTCTACCACCACTTCTCTAGAGTTATCAAGACGAAGTGCAAGTGGCTTGAGGAAGAGAACCACAAATTCTTTCTTGCATTGACAGAGCTTGTGCGCGTTGACCACAGTGGTCTCCACCTCTATTTCAACTACTTGTCAGAGAGTGATTTGGAATACCTTAAGAAGGAGGAAAACAGGGGGACTGACTACCATTTGATTCGGGAGGGGCTTGTCAAGCGCAAAAAAGATACTGACAACAAGAAGGAGCCGTATAACCCTGGACTCGTGTTTGACCTTTTGCTCCAGTTCAAGAAGCAGTTTAGCAAGCACCTGCTCCAGGAAATCCATGAGAAGATGAAGAATTCGCGGCAGCGCTACTGCAACAAATTCCTCAACATGTTCGAGAGAGGCTGAGCTGCATTCACCCAAGGACACGCCGAAGAAGGAAAAGGAGGATGACAACGATGGCAAGAGGGCCAAGACCCCTGGCGATGCCCCGACCCGTGCTCTTCTACGCTACCTGCTTAGCAAGAAGCAGTCACCTCATACCGAACTTCCGCGTACGCGTGGAGCCAACGAGCTTGACCGCTGGATTTGGTCCATGGATACCTTGCACTCGGCAAGTTTCTACGACTTCATGGTCAAGTGTGCCGAGCAGGCCGTTGTCTACACCATTGTTCCACTGGTGAAACACGAACGCTCCCCTGCTGAGAACGGTCTGCTGGAGCTTGTCTCCGAAGAGGTTTACCAGTCGGTTACCCCGGAAACACTGACTGTACGTCCCAATAAGAGGGACAGCTCCAAGCGCACTCGCGAGGCTTCCTCATATCCAGACGAGGCAGATTCAGGCAAAGAAGATCAAGAGCAGCAAAGGAAGCGCGTCCTCAGCCGCTTCGAAGCGGTCAACGCGAGAGAATTTGTCGCGTGCTGGACTCCGTTACAAGCATATGGCTACTGTTGGTGGTGTACTGTCTAGCTCGAATACCTTGATCGACATCAAGTACCACCTTTATCGTCTGCGGACATGTCCTTGGGCGAATCATGTGCTTGAACGTTGCCTTCAAAGGTGATGCAGGCAGCGTGTTTGACGAGCTTGTCGTTGTTCGCCACTTCACGGCCTCGTTCCAGGAGGATATCATCGAGCGTGCGGCCCGTACTTCTCCTGAGCGCCTACAAGTGCGACATAGGCATGTCAGACCTCATCCTCAACTATACGTCCGATGCCTGCACCCCTGGTGTGCTGAACGATACCGCCATCTGGCTCAGCGTACTCAAGCGTGAAGACGACCGGTTTGTCTTAGCTCTCTTTGTCTGCAAGGAGTGCCCTGAGAACTGGAAGGTGTTCCGCAACAGCGATGCCGACTACGTTGCCAGTCAGCTGCCAAGCACTACAGGCCTGCGTCCAATATACTGGGCTTGATTTCTGGCCGTGGCCTGCAACCCAGGTGATTCTCGAACATGGAGAGACTGCTGAGCAGCGCGAGGGAATCACAAGGAGGATGCCGCAGGATGGCTCGGTTGTTGTCTGCGAGCACTCTATTCGACACGCTCGCTGAACCATGCTTTGAGCCGCGCATCCAGTCGGGTATTCTTCACAACATGACCAAGTCTGCCGCCGACCACAGGCATATCTTGACATCCCCTTCCTTTGAGCAGCTTGATGGGTCTGTTCCAAGCATTGCTACCGTTGCAACGAGCCAGAACATCCAGACCACGGCTCCTGTCAGCGATATGTCGTCCATCCTGGCTACTAGTATCTATCCCGCCGCGTCTATCGCACTCCCAAGCGACCCTGCGTATGCAGTGGGGGCAGTAGCAGTGGATTCCAGCTACGTGCCAACAGCAAGTTCTGACCACATTGCAGCTAGCATGATGGCTGAGGATACGCTCCCTGCAGTCTCCAGCATGTATGCAGATCGCTGTGGCAAATGCGCTGTCAGGTGCCTTTGCTGATCAGTTTGCAACCCAGACGCTGAACGCAGTGGACACCTTTGGCCAGCATTCCTCTTTCTCCTCCGCTCGACTTTGCGAACCAGCACCAGTTGCCCAGCATGCTTTCGCCTCTGCAAAATGCCATCAGCACGCCGATGTTTGATGGGCTGGCGGATATCCCTGCTCATGACCATGCGAGCCAGTATACTGGCGACATGCTCAGCATGTTTCACTACCTGGAGCCCAACCATCAGTTCAAGCCAGAATTACAGGACCTGCAGTTCTCGCAGCAGCAGATCTCCCCGCCTCGTGATTAGTAAGCCCCACATATAGCTCTTTTTGATCGCGTAGTCGCTATATCCGTTGCTCTTGTGTATCTAGTCTCTCACCATTGTACTAGTCTCCACGAGTTAAGGATGTAATTGGTACTCATTTTGGTAGTTAATGTGTTCGCTTTCATGCCTGCGCTTTTCCAGAAGCGTGTCTCTGGTGTGTGCGATGAGTGCAGGACATGACGAGATCGACATTAGAATGGCGGAACACTTCATGCGGTGCTGATACAGTGCATAAATTAAAAAAGACTTGCACCCAATTGAAGCTATGCGCTAGTGAGGGATATTCAAGGACGGTGATGATAGGTAGGCTTTCCTGCCGATCTACCCAGAGGACGCCTCTGTGGAATGCAGTCGCGCCGGTAATGCCCCAGCATGTGGCCAGCGTACCGATACCAGAGTTGCCAAAAGAGCTGGCACGGCTTGACTCCGTTTTGTTATGGTGGTTGATACTGTCAGCGACGCCTGTTGGCAGATGGCTGATGTACCCCACCACAAAGGGGAGGGCACAAAGACTAGGAGTAGTGCCACCGCGTAGGGCAGCTGGCGACACCTTTGTTCTCCACAGCTCGCCTCATTTTGAGACCAAGAAACTGTCAGGACAGGCGTCGTTCTGGCGGTGTTTCTGAGCTAGAGTGCGACAAATGATTGTCTGATTGGATGTGTTGGGTACATGCATGGCCAATTCCTTTTTCCAAGGCGGATGCGGCCAGTGTCGGATGATGTGCTGCGCTTGCACCAGGCATGCCAATATTGTCGACGTGCATTGTGAACATCCTCTTTGTTGGCGTTTTCCGCCATTCTTTTTGCCTGCGACCAGCAAGACGGCGTGACCGACAGTGCGGCCTCGGACATGGGAGGATGTGCTTGGATATTGGTAAGAGTGGTCCTGCAGCAAACTTGTTTGGGGAGAGCAGGCAAATCGCAGGGTGGCCGGAAATGGAAAAAAGGTCGCACTTTTTCTTCTGAGAACAAAAAGATGCCCAGGAGTACTGGTGCGATCTACATCATGTCCACGTACTTGTCCGAAATAGGAACAGGGACGACTGTCGCCCCTATATGGCGACCAGACAAACGCACCAAAGGCAAGTTCTGGCTATATATTGGGCGTCTCGGCTGATTCCTCTGCTCTGGCCAGCAATTTCCCCATCGCCAGCACCTTTTTATCCATTTGGCATATCCTTCTCCAGTTTATTGATATATGCTTGTGTAGGACGGCACCACCCAGAGGCTTGTGTATTTTCCTTTATAGCAAACAAACGGTAAGGATGCTTGCATGGCCCCGTCGCCACTTGTATGAACGGGGCTTCCCACTTTTGCAATATATTGCAATTTTATTGGCACCAGATAACAAGCAGGTCGCGTTTTGGTACAGCCACACACAACAATGGATGGCAGAGGGGGCCGTTCTTCTTATCGTCGTTTGTTGATATACGTGGGCTGGGGACTAGAGAAAGCCACAGGATGTTTGGAAAACAGTGGAGGGAGGAGGGAAGCAGCCAGCATCGGCAGCAGCCAGAGTTTTTCGGTAGCCCTGGAAATAATGGATATTAATTCGACGTACGCTTGAAAGGAAATCGATGTGCATACATCCTGAAAATAGCACACCGCAATTTCTCTACCTCTCCCCTTTCCTTCCTTGCATTTCCTCCCATTTTTCACGCTCTCCGAATCCGCTCTAATCCACTTTCTACGGGCCATTTACCCACATACGGTTAAAGACGCCTCTAACGCCAGCACATATTCCTCAGATATTAATTCGTACCATCTTTAATTAGCATTTTTGTCATGACAAGCTACAGATACTGGACCCTTGCAATGGCACTCGTCCGACGCGATATCCGGGAACTCGGTAAGAGCGTCATGCAGGCGATCTCGGTCTATCTGGTCGTATTCATTCTATTCCGTGTCGCCCGCCGTGCGCTGTTCTCGCCGCTGCGCAAGCTGCCCGGCCCCTGGTACACGAATATCACCGGGGTAGTGCGCAAGTACTATGCGTGGAAGCACAAGGAGCACATCTATTACATGAAGATGTTTGACGAGTATGGGCCGCTGGTACGCACAGGGCCAGATCGCGTCGGTGTGGGTGAGGTAGGCGCGTTCAAGAAGATGATGGCATCACATTCACTCCCAAAGACATCCATGTACTCTGACTTTGCAGTGGTCGGCGAAAACATCTTTACCACGCGCAGCCCTGAGCTAAATAGGGCCAGGAGGCGGCAACTCGGCCCGTCGTTCACTGCTACAGCTGTACGCGACATGGAGGTGTTTGTGATGGAGGATGGCGTTCGTCGCCTATGCGCGCTGCTCGATGCGCAGATCGACGCAGCGCATAAATCCCAGAGCCAGGCAACCATCATCAATGTGTACTTTTCGCTAGTGATGATGTCAACTGACATCATCAGTTCTCTCGGATTTGGCAAACGGTTCGGCGCCATTGATCTCTTGCGGACTATGGTCCTGGGCGACTCTAGTGTGGCAGCCAATGCCGGCGACAAGGCCGCTGGCGAGATTCTGCTGCCTGCCGACAAGATAATGCAGTACACTACACAAACGATGGAGCTGATGGTCAAGGTGGCCGAGATGCCCGCCCTCAACCGCATCCCACCTCATATGATGACAGCAGAGCTGCGTAACCTGCACAAGTCACGCGACCTATTCATGGACTTTGCCGAGGCAACCGTGGCCAAGCGCCGTGAAGAGCTTGCTAATAGCGACGCAGGGTCTAACCGCAGCGACATCCTCACACAGTACATCAAGGCCAAGGATCCGTTCACCGGAGAAATGCTGACCGACAAAGAGATCGGTTCCGAGGCCACAGTGCTAATTGCTGCCGGTACCGACACGACAACCAACACACTTACCCACTGCATACGCCTGCTGCTAAAGTACCCAGAGACATATAAGCGTCTGGCGGACGACATCCGCCACCAGTTCAAGAGCCCCGCCGAGGTGTCCTACGAAAAGGCTCGGCAATCGCTGCCTTACCTGCAAGCTGTGATTTACGAGACGATGCGGATGCGGGCAGCAACGAATGGCGTGTGGCCGCGCGACGCACCCCCTGAGGGAATCACTATCCATGGCTACTATATCCCGCATGGTGTGACCCTATGTGGCTCAATTGGCGGTGTGCACATGAACTGCGAGACCTGGGATGAGCCAACAAAGTTCAACCCTGAGCGGTTCATGGGGCCAGAGGGTGAGGACACGCAAGAGGATGGTCGTTGCATTCTCGACAGGCGCCCGCATCTGCCCTGGCAGGCATCTTGCTATGATGAGCATGACGCTAACGCTGGCCCATCTGCTGCTGCGGTACGATTTTGCGGCCCTGTCGCAGCCAGACATGCATGTCAACTTCTACGACGAGGTCGACGACCAGTGCCGCATCACCACCGGGCACTCGCACCCTGAGCGCGACTGCAATGTCATTATCGCCAAGAGGCTCTAATATTTTCAATCAATACTTTTTGCATTGCGTGTCCTCAGCATACTATTCGTCGTAACTGTCCACCAAAAAGGCAGTAAACAAGTTTGCTTAGTTAGGGCTGCCGCTCTTCCTGGGCTCCGCAGCAGCGGTAGCAGGGGGAACCTCCTCGAGTCCCGGAGTGGCGGAGGTGGGCAGGTCATCCTCGTGATCGGCATGCGCCCGGCTGTCATACAGCGTCTCGCTGCCGTAGTTGGCGGCGGCAGCCTGACCGGCATGTGGCGGGGTGCAGCGCTCGTTGAGTACAGTGCGCAGGACCTCCCACTCGGACACATCCTCGGGCGGCGGGATTCTGCCCGCCAGCACCTGTTCGGGCGGGGCGGCACGACCGTAGAAGGCCTCGTTCACGTCCTTGCGCTGCATGACAGCCGAGCCCTCAATTGACACTCCGGCAAACAGGCCTTTGGACTTGGAGTACGAGTAAACTGCAGCCACGTTGCTGGTGTTGACAGCCGCTGCAATCTCGCCGCTGCGGCCAAGCGGGCCGGCAGAAACCGAAATGTTGGACCCCAGCTGCACGCTGGTGTTCTTCTCGAACGCCTTGACAGGCATCCTCATTGTTCAGGATCATCACCACCTCAGTCAGCTGCGCACCAATCTGCCCGCCGATTCCGGCGCCAGCCGTGCCGATGGCCGAGGGCCCAGACCACGTTCCGTCGGGCAAACGAGCGCAAACAAGGCCGCTACCCACACGGCCGCTCCAAATAAAGCCGGCCTTGATCACCGACAGCACAGCGATGCCATGGCAGCGCTGCAGAACGTCAGTCGGGATAATATCGTCCAGCTCGCCAAACTTGGGCGGAACTACAGGGGATGGCGCGTGATAATAAGTACTAAAAATACTGACGCTTTGCCTCATGCTCGGGCTTGGCAACCGCAGAGCCCAAATACTCACCAACAAATTCTGTCAGAATACGCGCTGCACGCTCGCACTCCTTGGCCAGCGTGAAATTCTTGCCCACATCGTTGAAATTCTCCTGCACCTGGGCCGCGCCCATTCGCAGCTTGTCCGGTAAACGAGGGCATGCTGAACGAATTGCCGCCACCGCTATTGCCGCCGTTGTTGTTGTTTCCTCCAAAGAAGCTCATTTTGGAATAGTTGTGTGTGAGGTTTAGAAAGTATAGGTAAAGGAAAAATCGATGTTTACGAAAAATGCGGAAAGAGGCAGGAGTAGGGCGGGATCGGCTTAAATATCAAGTGGGACGAAGCGGCTGAGTGTGAAATCGATAATCAGGGAATTCGAATATCTAGAGTGCCTACCTCATCAGCACCATTGACATCGCTGGCAGTACGGCCAGCCCTCTCCTTATGGTAAACGGTATACTCTGTACTCCAATACCCCAGTGCCATGGTGCACTCGTGGCTTGCTAGCACAAGCAAGTCTTGCTGTAATGCAAGCAGGTAGAAGGGGTATTCGTCGGATGGTGACTGCCTCTATAGATCCGCCGTATGGCCGGCAGACGCTCCTGCATGTGGCTCACTGTCCGTGCACCTTGCAGCCTGCTGGAGAACAACACCATGGTATGCTCAGGGCGCTGTGCTGGCTGAGCAGTGGCTCTGACCATGTTGTACCAAGTGCAGATTGAGCGCAGTTAAGTTGAATATCGTACTATACACTCCAAACTAGAGGCATTGCATGCATATCTTTATATGCCGGGCGCATATCCGTAGACCCAGAGGAGAGGCTGTAGAGACAAAAAGGTGGATCCAGTGGTATGGCGGCCTCCCAGCAACTAGGGATGCGGGTGCTTGTGACCACTACTCTTCTGCCACTGCTAACCTTCTCCACACTTTGAGTTCCCTGAATGAAAAAGTTGTGCATCCGCATGGTCTTCCTATCTCTACTCCACCTTTCCTCTATTTCTAGCCTGTATATATTTTGTACTCTAACCCCTTGCCACTCATTGTCGAGCAATGGTTTGTGGACGCTTTGCTGCACTTTTGCACAACCAAAAGACGCGGGACGTTCTCAAAGCCATTCTGGCCACGCTCTTGAGCAGTCTTTTGATGTTTATTACGCCGATTCGACAGGCTATCGGGCCCTCATACTTCATGATACTGCTGGTCTCTGGATGCGCGCATGCCGGCAAGACAATCGGCGCTAACATGGAGCTTCAGATCCAACAGCTGCTGGTCAGCGTGTGCGTGTGGACGTACATTCTCATTGTCCAAGCCATCGTGTACGCAGTGCGGTACCGCGACAACTTTGAAACCGAGGTCTACCTGATCCACGCCTTTTCGCTGGCCATATTCTGCTTTGCCATCGCCACAGCCTACGCGTACCTACCGCGGCTCAATGTTGCGATCAAGCTGAACATGCTTGCGCCGATAACATCGCTGACAGTCACAAAAGTTGATCGGTGGCGCTACAATGTGCGCCCACTGCCTAGCACAATTTACGCGCAGCTGATCGGAATCGGGGTGTCGACGCTGGTGAATATTTTTGTGTGGCCGAGCACGTCAAGCCGGGAGCTGGCGCGGTCGTTCGAGGAGATGATGCGCGAAATGTCTGGGTGCTGCGAGTTCTTCCATCGCTCAGCAGCTGAGCTGGGGACAGAGCGCAATAGCACAAGGTGTGAGGCTGTTGAGCGGCGGAACCGCATCCGGGCATGCATCAATGCATTCGGAGAGACCGTCGGCGGCTCGGCTTACGAGCTCACCATTGGGCGGTTTCCACAGAGCGACTACCGCAAAATGTTCATTGAGGCAAACCACCTGGCCGAGGAGTTCTGTGGCATGTGCTTGCCGTTCGAGATTGATCGCGAATTCCTGGGCAAGCTTGACTCGACCCAGCAGGCAGACAGTTCAGCGGATCTTGGACTCCAGCGCATTGCTTTCATGCAGGGTGCAGCGGGCTTCAACGGTCAAACCACCGACCATTGATGGGGGTGCGCAGGGCAGCGATGAGTGGGTGAGCATTGTCAAGCAAGGGGCAGAGCTGTCACTAACGCCTGTGCGAGAGCTACTGGATGTGCACCGAAGGATCTTTTTGGTTCTCATCGACCGATTCGTCGATCTGCAAGAGGACACGGCCACCAAGGCATTGCTGTGGCTGCTATCACGACAAAAGGTCGACATTCCAGTATATACAGCCTGCACTACTGGGAGTGAGGCCAGCCACCTGGAGGCAATGGATCTTGCACAGATCGCCGACTACCTCGACAAACACGCAGCACAGTTCGTGGCCCAGGAGACAAGGCACATTCGGATGATCGGGCCGTACCAGCGGCTGATGGACAAGAGCACATTCAACCAGTACACGGTCCTGATGTCGTTTATCGGCATCCTCCAGGATAACTCGACAGCGATTGTAAGGCTTCTCCGACTGGTCGACGAGATTCTGCAGAAGCGGCCGATGAGAAGTCGCGTGTGGTTTCCGCGGCTACATATGAAGTGGCTGCTGCTGGGCAATGCGAATGATTTGCTGAATGGAGAGTTTGGGCCTGAGGAGGAGGCAGGAAACAATCTGGAGACAGCATACGAGACGGACGATTCGACGCCTGGATTTGATGCAGAAACGGTGGCCGATGCGGCGTATGACAGCGAGGAGGATGACCAGACGGTATATGAAACACGGTCGCCAAAGTGCGCTGCTAAACGCGGCTATATGATGGCCAATACGATGTCCAAAAAGGTAGGGTCTGCTGCACTGGCGTGCATGTCGCCATATCTCCTCTCTGCTAGCCGCTGGATTCGGAAGAGAGAAACGCAGTATGCGCTGAAGTTCACGCTGGCAATGATGCTCTGGGGTATATGGGCGTTTATCGGTGTGTCGCACGACTTTTTTGTCCAGAACAGAATCCACTGGGGGCTGGCAGCGATCACCTTCGTATATAACGTCTCTGTGGGCAGCACGCTGGATGCATGCATTAAGCGACTGGTAGGCACAGTGGCCTCCGGGCTGTGGGCAATCGTCACCTGGAAGGCCAGCAGGAATGGGACAAATCCGTACTATGCGTATATCTGCGTGTTTGTGTTTTGTGTCTCGACGTCCGCAATGTATTTTTACGTCCCACGATGGTCTGGATGCTGGATGGTCATGTCAGTCGCATACTCGGTGGTTTTCTTCACTGCCTACTATCAGGGCCCAGGGTCGGACGGCAGCCGAATAGGCTGGACACGGCTGGCAGTCAACGCCATAGCAATCGTCTATGTGATGATATTCTCAAGCGTCCTTGCGCCCTACAAAGCGCGCGAGGCGCTCCGCAAGCGCATGGCGGAGTTGCTCAGGCTCAGCAGTTTTATTGCGCGCGGCGTGAACTTCATCCATGCCACCAATAACGAGTTCCCCGCGGCTGCCAGGCTAGAGCAGCAGCGGATGCGCAGATTCATGTACCAGTTCCGGGTAGTCGTGCAGCAGAGCCGGGCGCTGTATAAGGCGGCCAAGGGGGAGCCTAGCATTCATGGCAGATTCAAGGCGCGGACGCACCGCCAGCTGATCGACATAATGGAGACGCAGATGGAGTGGTGGCTGTACTCGCACTCAGTAGCTGCGGCTGCAGGACACGGCACCAAAATGCATGGGTTCTGGTCGACGCTGCCAATGCGTGAAGACATCATTGGCGCCAACTGTCTGTTCAATCACGCACTGGAGCTGGCGCTATATACAAACACCCGGCTGCCGATGTTTCTGCCAGATTTGAGAACCGCTCGACACAGATTTGTCAGGGAAGCACAACCGGTGCTGTTTGAGAAGTGTAGCCAGGATTTCGAAGTCACATCGCTCTGCCGGTGGTGTGTGGGCATCTGGCATATCGTCGCTGTGCAGTCACAGCTGTGCGACTTAGTGGGCGATATCGTTGGGCTTGATTCCGGGGAGATTCCGGATGAAATTGCAACTGTGGTGTGCCAGCTCGAAGAGATCCAGCGGATGGGGCTGCCTGTGCTGCAACGTGGCAGAGACGTTGGCAGTGTACTCCCTGAACAGCCATACGGGGCTACTCACAGCACCGCACCACTGCTGGATCCAACAGGCAGCCCAAATATCGGGCCGTACAGAGGGTTCGGCACTGGAACAGATACACGCAGGCGGCGCTGGTTCAAGTACATACATTAAAGTCTTACAGCAAATAATACCATTCATCAATCGCTGAGATCCATGTCCCAACTTCCTCGGCCGCCAGACTGAGCAAATATGCATTTGTGTTTGTGTAGAGCGCCAGGATGTTGTCGCGGCCAAGCATCTGCGAAATATGCGAGCTGACGTCGACGCGGGCCGACGAAATGTTGATTACGTTCTCGAGACACAGGCAGGATTTGTCGGTGAACACGAATATGTACGGCCTCTCCACCACACACCACCGCCGCACCCATGTATCGGGGCCCGTGTTCGTGTCGAGGATTTCGGCCCACCCGCTGTGGCAGAAATGGCCCTGCATGGTAACCTGCCGAACGCTCGCCGGACGCCGCTGGATGGCGCGCCCAATGTCCTGCATGCTGTTGAGATTCGACAGCTTGTTGCCAATAATGCTGTCTTCCAGCGGCTCCTGGTGGAGCTCGAGGGTACTGTCAGGCACACACTTGAACTCCATGATCTTGGTGACGGCGGTCCTCACCCGCTGCTGGATGCGGGCATGGCGTAGCGACAGGTCAACCTGGGTCAGCTCCGAGCACTCGGCAGGCTTTGATTTCGGAATGCTGATACTGTTTGCAGGCGGGATGATCAGCGCAGGGCCCATGGCTTCGAGCTGCTCGCGCGTCCTGGCCACTGTCAGTCGCCACGCCTCCAGGTGCTCTTGGCGACGGAATTCCTCAACAACCTTGACGCTTCTCGGCTGCCACGGCAGCAGCGCCTCTTCGCCCCGCACGTATTTCTTCTCGGTGTTCAGGCGCCAGAGATTGTCTGTGCCCCGGGATGAGTCTGCCGGTGCAAGAACGACCAGAAAAGACACGAAACACTGGGCTCGGCTCAGACGGAAGGTACTCATTTGGAGAGCGACTGAAGCTGAGTCCGACACGGAAGAAGCCGGAGGCATTCTCGGCAATGTTTGACAGCCAGCTGCGGCCAACAGTCGACTGCCGGCCGTGCATCTGGACATAAATGTCGGTGGAGATCTCCAGCGGAGCTGCCCCGCGCTCTAGCGACAGCGTAAGCGATAGTGTCAGGCGAACGCGCTTCGTCGTGGATTGGTTGGCATGTCGAGGAGGCGAGACATGTACACAGACGTGTCCCACGGCAAGCACAATTTTGACAAAGCAGCGGTTATCCAGCCGTGCCTCATGGTCTGCTAGCTTGACAAGCCCCACTGGCACTGGAGCCATCCTGGATGCATTGCCCAGCGATCGCTCGCTGCCGGACAAGATCATCCCTTTGCTGTCAACCAGGATCGGGCATCCGATGGTTGCCTTCTCGACTCCTGCTATCACCAGATGCTGGCTGGCATTATGTGCAATGGTGATCTCCACACGCCTCTGCAGCCCTTGGCGTAGAATGAATGCTGGGGAAGGCATCGACCTCACGCAAGGCACGCTGTCCCATTCGCCGCCCTGGTCAAGCTCCAGTATGCGCACCCACAGCATCAGCTCGTGCTGCGAATCGACAAACAATTCCTCTTCATGCAGTCGCTCAACCAGTAGATTTTGACTGGCCGACATATTGGCATTGCTGAGCGAGGAAACCAGATGATCGGCCGACACTGTCGCGTAATGTGCTGTTGCCTCGCAATGTCTGTTCGATCTGGACGTCTTCCTGGAACGCCCGACGCAGGACCAGGGGCTGAGCGGTGCCAAACATCTCAATGGCGATACATGTATCTGCAGTGAGCATGTCGACTTGCCACTGCTGCCGGAAATTGATATTGACAGGGCCGTCATTGAAGCCCGAGACAGGCTTGCTGTGGCCGATGCCACGATCACTAACTGCACTGACCGTGACTGATGGCAGCTCGGGCTCGGCGGGGACATCAGCAGCCTGTGGGGTGGTGGCCAGCGGCAGGGTGAGCATCTCATGCTGATTGACTGAGGACAGCAAGCCCCGGGCTCGGTACATGCGAATGCGGCAGTGCACGTCTGTCATCTCGCTTTCACTGATCCCATGCAGTGACTTTATATGAATGATGACATTCCAAGCCAGCGACTTGGAGTCAGTCGTGCCCCTGACCGGCAACACTGCCAGATTTCCCGAAACTCGGCCCCGCTCTAGTCCGCTCAGCACGTCCACTACTGGTGCATCGATTTTGGCAGAGTATGAGGCGCTCGCTAGGGCCACACCGGGTACGAAGCTGAGCCGATGCAGGAGTACTTGGGTGCTGGACATGTGTGGAACGGGTCCAGCACTAGATGTGCCCTGTATGATCCCTTAACGGTCGATAGGCGCTGCATTTTCTCAAGCTGCTCCAGGAACGTCTTGAGCGACCACACATACCACGACTTGTGAACAATATCCAGAACCTTGACCACCACCTCAGGCACTGTGCCCATGGATGAAGGAGTGCTGAGCGATTTGCTTTGGCGTGCTGACCTAGCTGGGCCACTGGCTTCGCTCATGGTGATAGTGTCCCAGTCTGACAGTATTGCTGGCAACGCATCGGGCTCCAACGGAGACACAGGGTACGAGTCGGCGCCGCCACGCAATATGGCGAACTGGTAAACCACGCGCTGCCCGAGCTCCTTGCCGATGACGTTGGCTTCCTTCAGGTGGATTGCATTGCGCAGCATGGTCTCGCTGACCTGAACAAGCTTGTGCTGCCGCCACCTGTCGATGATCAGCCTGGCCAGCCGGCGCTCGGCGAATTGCCGTTCTCTGGGGTTGTCAGCCGGCGGCAGCTCTGGGAAACTGTGCGCGTGTCGGAGTAACTAGCGTTGACAGGGGCGAGTTTACCGCCGTGTGGTTATGCCAGGGTGCCACTGCGGATACCGTCAGACCACGGGCCCGCCTATTGCCAAACGATGATGAGGTGGGTCCAATAGACCCACCAAAGTGGGTAGCCTCAGCTAGCAGCGGACTCTGACTAGTGCGGGTAAAGGACAGCTGGGACGTCGGGCGCTTTAGTCGCTCGCTGTTGTGCACTTTCTGCAGGCGGTGACCCGGTCTGAACAGAGAGGCAGCCGACGGGCGGCGGGCACAATAAACTCCAGCTCCAGCTCCGGTTCCAGCTCCCGCAACAGGCTGGTGGGCATCCATATCAGAAATTTCACTGTATGTGTCGCTCCATCATGCTCCCCTGGTAGACCGACTGATCATCAGGGTCTGTGCCGTCAAAGTAATACTCTGACTCGGGATAGTCTGGGTGTGCTTCGCGCCAGGCGAAGCGCCAGTCGATAGGATACTCGGTCTCCCCGCTCAGATCCCCACTTTCAGTATCAGCGTCACCGGCCGACACGCTGGCTACTGAGTGTGTGTCCATCCTGCCACTGGCCCGAGATGTGTTTCGTTGACCATGTTGGTCTGTTCGACATTTCTCCTGTCGTGCCTGCACTGGGTGGTTGAAGCGAAAAAGGAACAGCTTTGCCAATAAAGATCCGAAAGCCAGAGTGCAGCTGTCGGGGCTCTGTTATCTGCTGGCCATTCACCAGCAGGTCCCGGCCCTCTAGCGGGTTGATAGTCACATTTCCAGTGGCTGTGTCGTAGTCAAAGTAGCAGTGGTTTGGCACCACATCCCCTAGTGCACTGAGCCGGATATCGGCGCTGCTGCCTTCATCGCTACTGCCGACCAGGGTCCGCCCAGGTTTCAGGTTATACACCAAGCACTCTGACATGAGCGGGTCCTCGCTGAGATTGACCTAGGTGCGGTATGTCCTTTGGCGCATGGAGCCCAACACCAACCCCGGCCTCGTTGGTGTCAATCGAGATGCCTAGTGCCGCCAGTGCCTGCTCGCGCTCCATCTGGATCGCCTGTGTCCTCCTCAGCTTCTCCTCCCACGTCTGATTCAGCTCGGCAATCAGCTTCTCGTTGGCTTGCAGCTGGTCTTTCAAGTCGCTTCCTCGGCTGTTGTTTGGGCCTGCCATGGCCAGCTTGCGGCGCAACAGAGCAACTTCTTCCTTAAGGTCGCGCACCAGCCTGACTGATGCATCTTCGTTGACCGTGGCCTGGTTGATAATATGTTTGGCGCGGTCTGCATACCGCAGCGTGCTGAGCGTCTCGGCATAGTCTGCCGGCGATATGGCCGCAATCATGACAGTGCGTGAGTTGCCGCCCAGCGAGTCCTTCAGCAGCCATGTAAGGACGCTGTCGCGGTAGGGGACATAGGCATCGCGCTTTTTGCCACCTCCGTGCTCCGCATTGTGTCTTCCGCTGTCAGCCAGGGCCGAGATGACCTTGCCCAGCGCTGCCAGCGACTGGTTAATCTTTGTGCCTTCCTTTAGCCGCACACCTGTGGCCTTTGTAGAGTTTGCGCGCTCGCTGCCTGCCAGGTCGACTAGACTGATCCGCGATGTGCGCTCGGTAATTTGGTCCATATCTGTATTGTGCGTGCGCCTGGTCAGCACTATTGTGAACACGGCGTGGGACCTGCTGCTCGCCTCGTTCATGTTGGTTGCTGCCACTGTTCGCGCCTTATTTCCCTGGCTCATATGTGCCAGGATTTCCTCATTTCGAGCTGACTGCAGCCTTAGTCAAATCCTCGACATATGGGCCGAGTGACGGATGCTCGCGGACCCGTAGGTTAGCGGTCGACCTGGGGTTAAGCAGATCCCGCACCCGCTCATTGTAGATCTCCAGATACGATACCTCGACATGGAACGATGCTCCAAGCATGCTGATGCGGGTGAACAACTCGTCGCAAACACGCGGAATCAGGCCTGGGTCAGCCTCGCTGCCCATCATTGTGTAGGACTTGCCGCTGCCTGTCTGACCGTAGGCGAATACGCAAGTGTTATAGCCTTCAAAGGCGTGGCTCAGGACAGATCTTCCTATGTCGTTGAACACGACCTGCTGGCTGGCATACTGCGGACCGGACGGGCTGCCGGCGGTCCAGTACGAGTAGTCAAAGCTGTATGTGCGCTGCTTGACTCCGCCGCTACGATTTCCGGGCCCTTGCAGGGCTTCTGGCGCCTCGAGTGTTGTCTGAGTCCCGCTCATCGATACCAAAGCTGCTGCTCCACGGGTCTTCTCTAAAGAAAAGGAGAAAGCTCGTCAGTTGTCAAGACCCACTACTGGCCGGCTCTCCCTTTGTGCATTGCATACCTCTGCTGTTCAACGGCCGGCACCGCACAGCTACCACCACGTTCTTGCTGAGGTTCTCGGTCATTGCGTGCAAGAGCGAAATAATGTACAAAATTAGAAAGGGGCTTTGCAAAGAAAAATATAAAACGGCAGGCCACAGGAATAACAAGGCTGCACCAAAGCGCGCATGCCATGCTGCATGTATTCTGTGCTGTTTGTTCCAACCCGGCATGTCATCGCCCACTCCACATCTGTCGCGGGAAGGGCCTATTCCTGATTCGTGCTGGCCATCCCAAACCTGGAACAGCTCACGTGCGCTGATCAAATCGGCGTAATCTTCATCAGCACTTTTATCTCCGTCGCGGCCAGGCCTGCTCTGCATTCTTCGAAATTGCTTGCAATAAAAATCTTTTTCAGTTAACGCCTAATCGCTCCTCAATTCCACACCTCGCTATCTTTGACACAATTCATCAAAAGCGCCAATGTCGAGCCTGTCGCGCCTATCGGTCCCTGTGTCTCGCCTGGCAGCCGTCCGCACCTACGCCACAAAGCGCAATGTCGCACCGCACCCCAACTCTGTGCCGCTGCAGAAGGCGATCGCGATCCTGAAGGCCTACGAGGTGGGCCAGCCCTCACAGACGGTGGAGCTGCACGTGCACTGCGCACCCGAGAAGGGCCAGCCGCCGATCCGCGGCTCGTGCATCCTGCCGCGTGCATTCAAGAGCGACATCTCCGTGCTTGTGTTTGCTGAGGGCGAGAAGGCAAAGGAGGCGAGGGAGGCCGGGGCCGATTTTGTTGGTGGCGAGGAGCTGGTGAACAAGGTGCGGGACGGCGAGGTCAAGTTCGACAAGTGCCTTTCCACACCAGGCATGCTGCCCAAGGTGGCCAAGATCGCACGTCTGCTGGGTCCCAAGGGCCTGATGCCAACGGTAAACAAGGGCACAGTGACAAGCGAGGTGGCCGAGGCCATAAGGTTCTCAAAGAACTCGCAGGACTTCCGTGCCGACAAGAAGCACATGGTCAATACGGGCGTGGCCAAGATCGGGTTCTCGGAAGAGGAGATCAAGGCTAACATTGCAACAATCATGGAGTCGATCCGGGCCAACGCCAAGGGCAACAAGACCAAGTTCATCAGCCGGGTGTATCTGAGCTCGACTCGCGGTCCAGGCGTCCAGGTGGCGGATGCCTAATGCTTTTCTGAACCAGCCAATACACATTTCTAGTCACGTTTATTCTTGAAAATACCTGTTCTTCTGTTCAGCGGCTAAGCAAGGGGCTTCTGGCTCCCAGCCCCATGTTGTGCCAGCCGCCGGTGGTCCCAGTGGCGGTGCTGCTCGAGACCGGCTCGGTTCTATTGTCAACATAGAAGATCCGTGATTGTTCCAGCACATAGCGGCCTTCCTTGTACTGCTGCGACCTGTCGTGCGCCCTAATGTACTTCCACCCAACGACCGAATCGCAGACGATGCAGCAAAGGTCGCATACCGTATGTATGCCGGTCATCAGCAGCCGGTCCTCGCATGCACCGAGTTTTTCGTTTACTACGGCCTCCGTCAAGTAAGCACGGCCGTGCCGACCTTGGAATGTGCGGGAAATGACATCGTCAATGCGGGCAATGTGGGCCTTGCACTCAGAACAGGCGTATACTGACGGACAATCGAGGTATTGCGGCAATATAAAGCCCATATTGTTATTTCTTTTTGGCAAAAGGAGTCGAGAGAATGTGTGTGTGTGGTGGCTCGCGCGAGAAGGCCTTTATAGTGTGGTGCCCATGCTCTGTTGCAGCTTTTGCATATGCTGTATCACGCAGATCATCCTCGCGCCCCTATTCAAGCATCGCAGGGTTTCTAGACTCCACTACTATGCAAATACAAGCAGCAGCCTGGAATGCGCTTGGACTGGGGTGGTCCGTGTATTCTCTCTGCTGCCAAACATCTCGTGTGCAAGTGACATTGACGTGCTGCAAAAATATGCAAGCCACATACAATTGTGTCTGATTGATTCAGCAGTTTCTGACTCGCTAGACAATGCCGACATCAGAAACCGCAAACATGCCTCCAGTTCCATGTTTTATGGCTGATACCAGCCTGGAAGACCGCCCCTCTGGCATCTGGCCCATTTAAACCACTAGAGACTTCCTATCCTCGCAGGGATCCGAATTCCCCACGTAGCATCCTGTACCTTTATCTGCTCCTCGGCGCCTAATTTTCCTTCGACCTCGCAGCACAACTGTAATCCTGAAAATGAAGATTTCCAAGGCCTGCCTCTCGTTTGTCCTCTTCGCTGTTGCCCTTGCCGCCCCTACCCCTAATACCTCACAGGGTACCAGTGCGCTTGGACGTCGTGCTGGTGGAGCTGCCGCTGAGAACCCGAATGCCCTTCTCAACGGTGTTGTCGAGGCTCTGGAGCCGTTCACAAAGGGTCTTGGAGTCACCGCGAACCAACTTCTCTTTGGTGCGGGTGCCGGTACTGGTGGAGCTGCGGGTACTGGTGGAGCTACCGGTACTGGTGGCGGTACTTCTGGTGGAGCTGCCGGTACTGGTGGTGGTGCTCCTGGTGGTGCCACTAATACTGCCGGTGGAGCTGCCAGTGGCAATCCGAATGCCCTTCTCAACGGTATTGTCGAGGCTCTGAAGCCAATTACTAAGGCTCTTGGAATCACCCTGGATCAGCTCCTCTTTGGCATCAGTGAAGCTGATAGTGCTAGTGGTTCTGGCACTGCCGGTGGTGCCGGTAATGCAGGTGGTGTTGGTACTGCCGGTGGTGCTGGTAATGCAGGTGGCGCCGGTACTCCTGGCGGTGCTACGGGCGCTGCTGGTGGAGCTGCCAGTGGAGCTGCCAGTGGCAATCCGAATGCCCTTCTCAACGGTGTTGTCGAGGCTCTGAGGCCAATTGCCAAGGCTCTTGGGATTACGTTGAACCAGCTCCTCTTTGGTATCAGTGAGGCTGGCAATGCCTAGAAGTAAATCTTAACAGCCAGTTTTCGTAATTCCATTATTCTAACCCATCATGCCTCATTGGAAAAGTTGGTCGAGGGTTGCGGGCCTGTATCGACGATGTTCAGGATAGAACTCTGGGTATTGACCTTTTGATGCTGGCAGTTTTCCGTCGGTGGCAGTGCAGCACCGTCCAATAGAACGCTGTTTTCCAGGAAGACGCATTCAGCATCCAAGCAAACGAGTACAGGCGCTATTGCGTTGCCAAAACCCCCTCCTGTTTCCTAGAGGCAACCATATTGCGGCTATAAATAGAACTGAGCTGAGCCTCGCAAATATGAGGCGCCTGAAATCAAAGAATGTGATATATCTTGTTTGGAGTAGTGGCGCGGATTCGCAGTTATTTTTCTGTTTTACAGTGCTGACAAGCAAGCCGCTGGACAGGACCTGGAATATAACAATGCTACATGGGCACAAGTATGTTTCGCAATTTTACATGCAAATATGACAGCGACTGGTGTTGTTATTGCGAGGCTTTTGACCATCCGCCAGTTTGTTTGGCTGTAAACAGGTTCAAGCCCATTTTTCCCCGTGCCTGAAGCAACAGAAGAGGTTCTAAATTGGCAACAGTCAAATATATCGTCATTGATTATTTGGATGGCTTGTGCCTGCCCTGGGACCGCCAGCTGCTTGATTATTTGGATGGCTTGTGCCTGCCCTGGGACCGCCAGCTGCTGGGCCCATGCTGGCAGGAAATACGGCCGAGTGGAGAGAAAGGACAAGACAAGCGCGAGGGTGCAGTGCGTTTTCCTGGGCAGTGTGTGCAGCAGAGGCCGCCGAATTCCTGCAACATGTGGTTTGCATATAAACTCTACTGGCTTCTGCCTCTGTCCAACAAGCTTCAGCAAGCATTAGCATTTCTTTCACCTTAACGGCCAGATATTTCCTCCATCTTCCGCTAACTACACATTCGAACTTCCTAAACACACCCTTCAACCCCCTCCTTCCCCTAGACAACCTTATATCCCTTTGCAGATCTAACCGCAATATACGAAATGCGCTACTTTGCATCTGTTGCACTTTCTCTTTCATCGATCTCGGTTGCCTTTGCTGCACCGCTCACTGCTGCCGAAGCCGCTGCTCAGAGCAACCCCAATGCCCTTCTCGGCGGTGCTGTTAACACTCTGGGCCCAATCACAGGAGCTGTCGGTGACACTGTCTCGGGTCTCCTCTTTGGAACCGGTTCCAAATCTGGGTCGCCCTTGCCTCCGGTCGAGAAGCCTCCGGTTGTGAATCCTCCTGTTTCTCGGCCTCCCGGCGACTACGATACTAACCATGGCGGATACAATGGCGGTGCCCCTGGTGGCTACAGCGGCCATGGTCCCGAGGGTGGTGAGCACGGTAACGGTGGCTATGTGGCCCATGGTCCTGAGGGTGGCTACAATGGTCATGGTCCTGAGGGTGGTGACCACGGCCACGGCGGCTACGAGGGTGGTGATCACGGTAATGGTGGTTACGAGGGTGGCGAGCATGGCCATGGCGGCTATGAGGGCGGTGATCACGGCCATGAGGGTACGGGCGGAGCATGGCCACGGCGGTTACGAGGGTGGCGAGCATGGCCACGGTGGCTACGAGGGCGGTGATCACGGTCATGAGGGTGGCGAGCATGGCCACGGTGGCTACGAGGGGCGGTGATCCACGGTCATGAGGGTGGTGAGCACGGCCACGGCGGTTACGAGGGTGGCGAGCATGGCCACGGCGGTTACGAGGGGTGGCTGAGCATGGCCACGGCGGCTACGAGGCCCATGGTCCCGAGGGTGGTGAGCACGGTCACGGCGGCTACGAGGCTCACGGTCCGCAAGGCGGCTATGTAGCCAGGCCTCCGGTCTACCGCCGCGGCGGCTATGAGGCCAGGGCACCTGAGGGTGGCTACGCTGCCCATGGTCCTGAGGGTGGTGAGCCGTGGTCATGGTGGCTACGAGGGTGGTGAGCCACGGCCATGAGGGTGGTGAGCACGGCCACGGTGGCTACGAGGGCGGTGACCACGGCCACGGCGGCTACGAGGGTGGTGAGCACGGCCATGGTCCTGAGGGTGGCGAGCATGGCCACGGCGGCTACGAGGGTGGTGACCACGGCCACGGCGGCTACGAGGGTGGTGACCACGGCCATGGTCCTGAGGGTGGCGAGCATGGTCACGGTGGCTACGAGGGCGGTGACCACGGCCATGAGGGTGGTGAGCACGGCCACGGTGGCTACGAGGGGTGGCACCACGGCCATGGTGGCTACGAGTCAAACGGCCCTGCTTATGTTGCCAGGCCCGTTGCTGCTTACCACTAGGTTCTCAATCTCATTTATAAATTTCTTTAAAATGTTCCTATCCTCAGTAAAACAGCCAAACCACCATGTTTACAGTGGTAAGCTAAAATGCCCGACCCTTTTAAGAGGAGTTATGCATGTAGCTAGCTTTCTAGCCAAATCTCTGTAAACCACATGCACATTTTCAATGCAATAACTTCACCCAACACACTCCAGAATTTTTATTGACAAATCCTCTATCATACTTGTGTTTGTTTGCTGCTGGTGATCTTTGCAAGGCCAAGTTACTCGCTAACCTTGCACTACTAGCAGCATCAGCAACAAACAAAACCAGCAAGCTCACATTCATCAGTCATCGACACAGAATCTAGATTTAAAGGGGTACCTTTGGTAATTTTTACAGAGTAGTTATATTGGCACGGAGGCTTAGTTGGAGCTGTTTACTCAGGAGCTTCCGGACCGAAATTATAAACCTTGAATCTGGTGTTTATAAAACATGAAGTAGCTTTCATTTGTAGCAGATGTGGTATGGATAACGTATTAAATACGTGTGGCCGTACAAATTCTGGTTCTGAAGCATTTGCAAATATTTCTATATAATTGGAAATCAACATGTAAATTTTTCCAAATATAAAAGGGCTGCATAGCCTGAGCGATATGATATAGGTTTTTATTTTCTAAACACGGAAGCACAGTTCACATTATATATTTTCCTTAACATAATTTGATGATACAGTCATTGTAATTAACATCTCACCAGGGATGCAGCCACTACTGCTGTTGGCTCTGAAATGAATTCTGCTCATTCTAGCCTAACATTTTCATGTTTACATTTCCAGCTTCATAGTATTCTGCAAGAAGATGTCGTCAGCGGCTAGCTTGAAGATAAAGGTATGACGTGTGTTGAATTATTCATGCCTTTTGCTATTATATTGAACCAAAGTGGCGTCCATGTATTATGTCCATGGTTCCGTACTGTCATAATGCTGATTATGACGAGACCTGTTGGTTGTTTCGTGGTTTGTTCAAACCATTTGCCTGACCAATGACGTAGAGCTGATTTCATAGGGACTGCAGTGCATCTACGTGCTAGACAAAGCACAAACCACAGTCTATAGGGAAACGACATGTAGTTTGAGCAACAGTAGTATAGCAAGCAGATGCTTTTTGTCTTGGAAAATCTACAGGCAGATATAAATGAGCAGGCGAAGGCACCTGTCCATCCGAACCAATATCATCAATCTACTCTACGTTCCTCCTTCCATATACCAATTCCCTCAACCATGCACTTCCTTCGCTGTTTCCACTCTCGCTCTCGTCTCGGCCATGGCTGTTTTCGCTGCCAGCACGCCGGATACTCCTGGGGGCTCTGCTCCTGCTCAAGGTGCCTCGATGCCTCCTGCTGGCTTAATTCCTCCAGGTTGCTCCAGGATCAGCTGATGCTCAGGGCCCTCTTGGTCGTCGTGCCAGCCCTGCGCCTATCCCGGCTCCGGGATCAGCCGGCTCTATGCCTGGACCAGCCGGCTCTATGCCTGCACCAGCCGGCTCTATGCCTGCACCGGCTGCCCCAGCTATAGCTCCCCAGTCTCCTGGACATTAAGTGCGTAGCACGTAAAGTCAGATACTATTGGGCTTTTCAGGTAGCTAATCAATACATGCTTGACTTCTCACGCAATGGCTTGAAAAGTAGTATATTAGAAAGTAACATAGGATTCAGATGACAATTTTATAATACCAAACTCACATTTCGGCCAACTGACTATATACCACTGAGTCCTTTACAGGTTGTGCAATCGGATTCCCTTGCTGCGTCCCCGACGAAGTCTGTGGGAAGGCGTTCTGCGTAACAAGGCCACCTGCACTCTGTCCTGGCGCAACGGCGTTGATTCCCAAAGTACTGCCAGCGCCGCCAAAGGCATTAATCGAGCCGTTCGAGTAGTCCTGGTTGACCGGCTACAAACAGCACCTTGGTGTTGGCGGCTTTTGCCATCTGCACCAGACTATCCAGGGTACGCATCTGCATGGCAGCCGGAGTGTTCAGGATCTCAGGCGGCCTCGCGCATCAGGATGGCGGCATCGACCTCGGCCTGCGCCTGGATGACCTTGGACTCACCGATACGCTTCTGGGTAGCTGCCGATGAGAGCGACGTCTGCAGCTCCTGCGACAGCACAATGTCCTTGATCAGAATGGACTCGACGGCCACACCCCAGTTGTGCGCTGGCTTGTCAATAATATTGGTGATTGCCGAGGCGATCGTGTCGCGGTTCTCAATCATGTCTTGCAGCTCCTTGCCGCCTAGCACTGCGCGCAGGGTGGTCTGTGTGCGCTCAATCAGGGCCTGCGAGACATTAGACACCCCATATGTCGCCAGATACGGATCCGTCACATGCCAGTACAGAACTGCCTCGATGCCGACAGTGACGTTGTCCTTTGTGACAATGGGCACAGGCCCAATCGACTCAATCTGAATCTTCGTATCCACATAGCGCACGTTCTCAGTCAGCGGGTTCACGTTGACCAAGCCAGGATCGGCAGTCTTGTAGTAGCGACCGAAACGCGAAACCAGGGCGATGGTGCCCTGCGGGACAGCCTTGAAGGGGTTCGGGCAGCAGAAGCAGCCGGGGATTTGCCCAAAGGTGCCAAAGAAGTTGCCGAGGCTAGTCATCACCGACTCGTAGGCAGACTCGCTTTTGATGTTGTGCGTGACAGCAAACCTGGGCGGGTTGAACTCCACCACTGGCGGCTGGTACCCGGTGGGCTTGGCGGTGGTTTGGTACGAGATGTTGTCGGTCATGGTAAAGCTCAGCGGTGATGGTATTAAGTCAAGAAAAACAAAGCAAGGAAAAGATGTGAATAGTGAAGCAGGCTGAAGAGAAAAGGAGGGCGCATACACTGCTCCAAATAGGGGATGGTGATCGCCGATTTTTCCTTCAAAAAAGTAGCGTGCATTCCGCTAAAACAATCAAATCCTTGATTTCAGGCATTTGGCCCCTTTCCGCCGCCACACGCATTGAAGGATTGGCAGCCTCTTGGCACACGTCATTCGTGCTCGCTTCCGCCGTCGTCGTCCGTGCGCACGCCCGCATCAGCTCTCTGCAGCGAGTCCTGCGGGCATATCGTATTGGCGGCAAACTCCTGGCCAGCTTGCCCGCTGATTTCCAGCGACATCGGAGTGTACCAGGGTGTCGGCGTATACTGCCGACAGCGGGATGCCGAGGAAGTGTGGGGAATCATCCATGGCCTGCAGAAATGGAAATGGCGAGTCGGCCATCTGGAAGTACGGCGCAGGAGCCACGGCTGATCCGCTGTCGGTCATACTGGGGAACTGCATGGCCGGCTGGTCGTCTGCTAGGGGCTCCACGGCCGCCACAGCGTACCGTTCTGGATGGCTGCACGCTTTCGGGCTGGGCAGACGGCAATTCATCGCTGTCTTCCTTCTCAGACGCCAGGATCTCATAGTCATTGCCGTCGATGATATCAACGCTAAGCGGCCGCCGGAACTTTTGGATCCGGAGCATGTTAAACGGCACTTTCAGATCCTGCAGCTCCTCCATGTCATCAGGGCCAGGCAGCATAGCGGAGGTCTCAGCGCGAAAGTACGCAATCAGATGCTGCTGATGCATGCGCGGCGGCCGGGGCATATGCTGGGCGAGAAACGCCTGCTCGTTGTCAGGGACATTCAGCGAAATGGTCTTCTTCATGAGTCCGCGGATCGTGGGGAAGAACACGCCCTTGTGGCTGCTGAATGCGCTGCTGGAGGGCGCTCCCTGGCGGTCCCACTTGTCGAGCTCCACAGCAGCCTCCCTGTTTGGCTGCAGCTTGCGGTCCACCTCGCGGTACACGAGAAAGTTGCCCATGATGCGCGATGGTGTCCAGAGTCGCCCGTCTGTCCATCGCTTCATCTTGGCTTCCTTCTCATCGAACACCACAACAGTGCCGTCGTTGATCTGCGCCTTTTCGATTTCAGTGAGCCGACGAGTGATGCGTGGCAGGATGTTTCGCCGACATGCTTCAAAGATGGTCAGCGCGTCGCGTGTGCTGGCAACCTTCAGCCCGGTAACTGTGACACAAGAACCCTGCCCGCCGATGACCACATCGGGCATGTTGCCAGGCATGTCGGAGTTTGGGGGCCGATGGTTTGAGAGAGGAAGGCAGCGGCAGCGGCGGCGTATTTGCCATTGTATATAAGGGTAGATGCGGTTGATGCTTGTGAAAAAGATACGATGTGAAAGAAAAGCGCTGGTGGCATGGGTCTAGGCCATAGCAACCAGCCTGGTGCTTATATAAAAGCGCAAGCCATCAGAGCTTGCAGTTGATCATAGCATACACCTGTGCATGTGCTTTTCCCTGGACATGTTGTCTGAGAGCCCGGGCTACGTGCGTCCACAGTTACATGGTGCTGATTGGGAAGGAAATAGATTGGGAAAGACCAGTCTCCTCACGGTGACCATCAATCCCTGACAAATGGATGTGTATTTTTTTCACAGCTGCGCACATTGCGCAGTCATATTCAAGAGTAAAAAGGATAGCGTGAAAGAAAAAGAAAAAAAAGAAAGGAATTGTTCAGCTGGAGCCCCATTCAACCGTGACATCGCCAAAGCTGTCCACAGCGATTGATGGCCTTTATGGCGCTCTCGGCCTCCCACCGCTGCTTGTATTTGACCGTGTACGTGAACGGCGGGTGGTCGCTGCTCGCGTCCTTGTCCATGGCCTCGATCTGGCCAAACTGGCCCATTGCCGAGTCCATGCGCTCGGCTGCGTCCTGGGTCACGTTCTTCAGTACCACAGTGCGTGGCCGCTTATCCAGGCTCATCGACCCGCGGTTCATGCCGCCTGCCCACGCGCCACGCCCACGGCCGCGCCCACGGCCGCCGCGAGTCGACGCACCTAGCCGCTGCGTTTCGGCCTGCAGCGCCTGCACTCTTGCCTCTAGTGCCTCGCGCTCGCTGGGCAGCGCCGATGACTCGCTGGCAGTATCAGTCTGCGTGGCAGGTTCGGGTGCTGCCGCTGGCGTTGCCGGAGCTGCGGAGGGTTGCTGCAGCTGCTTCAGTTTTGCCGAAATAACCTTGATCGAGTCCATAATCACCTTCTTCATGTCGGGGGCGAGGCCAGGTGTCTTGAGCTTGTCAAAATATTCCTTTTGCTGCTTGACGTACCTGTCGATCTGCTCAGCCTTCTTGATGCGCGCCGACTTGGGCCGCCAGATCGGGACCGCGGGCTCTGTGGGTGGCGTAGGTTGCGCGCCTGAGTCGGCATCGGCAGAGGGTGCGGCGCCACGTGGCAGTCGGCCCTTCAGGACACGCACAAAGCGGTTGTTGAAAATTGCCTCGGGCGTGCTCAGCGCCTGCTGCTGCGCCTGCGGCTCTGTGTAGTCGATGTGCGCCGAGTGCCTTTGGAAATCCACACGCACGGCGGTGATGGTGCCAAACTTGTCAAAGAACGCCCGTACGCCCTCCTCGCTCAGTGCCTCATCGGGGATGTTCGTCACATAGACGGCTGTAGAAGACATTTGGACCTCGGCATTGGGAGGCGGGCGCTGCACGCCACCGTTGCCGTTATAGAATTGCTGCTGAGGCTGCTGCTGGGGCTGCTGTTGAGGTATAGAACCAAACTGATTGCCAGGGGCAAACACTGGCACCGGGGCGCCGTTGGCCACCATGAACTGCTGAGCGGCAGCAACGACGTTGGTGGGAATAGCCTGGGTCCATTGCCATTGCCTCCGCAAGCGAGACATGCTGGAAGGTGCACTCGTTGCCGCGCTTGCACCGGCCCTTACGAAGGAACTCGTAGCACGGCTTGGCACCTCTCCGCGGCGGTCGCTGGGGCTGACCCTGCTGCTGTTGCTGTTGCTGCTGTTGCTGGCTGCTGCTGCTGGAATTGAAGCTGCTGCTGCTGCATCATCATATACTGCTCCTGGCTGACATGGTGCGGTTGCAGATGCTGGATGTCATTCTGGCTGTTCAGCACCTTGCCAACAGCTTCCAGCGGCACGTCCATGAACTTCGGATCAAAGCTACCGCGAATCGATATCCTCTCGGTGCTCTTCTCCCTCCGCCGTCTCTCGGGCGACCTACTGCGCCGCTGGCGATGACTGCGGCTCTCCGGGCTCCTGCTGCGTCTCCTCTTCCGCTCGACACCAGACTCCTCTGCAGCTGGTGCACGCTGGACCGGCGGCATGTGAATCGGCGAGGGTGCCCGCTTCGGCAGATATGCCTTGGTCCGAAGCGTGCGGAATAACAAGTCGACGAACTTGTCGGTTTGCTCGCCAAAAAACTCCTTGAGGTCGTTGCGGCAGCTCTCCTCTTCGGCATCGGCCTCGCCTTCGTTGTTGAGTGTAATCAAGACATAGTCAGCCAACGTGTCGGGCTCGGCACCACAGCTACAAACAAAAAATCGCACTCGTATTTTTTTAGTCGCCTAGGGTACGATTTGGGCTTGTGTGGAGCGGCAACGAGGGAAATTCAGGTACTTACTCAAAGTCATTCTTGATTTTTTCTGCAAGGAGCGCCTTGAGCTGGTCCGCATGGCGGTCTTCGTATAGCACCATTCTGGTCGTTTTTTGTTTGTGCAATAGAGGCGATAATACCAAAGAATACTTTAATATAAAAACGGCAAAGCGAAACCTACAAAAGCTCAGAGCTGGGCATGCAAACGCGCGTAGGCTTTTCAAAGCGAAAATTATTCGGCGAACGGGGAGATGAATGGTAATCGGCTGATATAACCCGCTGATCTGCGTGGCCTGGACTTGGCTCAGACTGGCCTCTGATGGCATTGTTGCGCGTCACACCCACCACATACAGGACCAGCGGCTCTCTTCTCTTTGCCGAAGCTTCCAGACCTTGAATTCCACAAACACCCATGGCCGACGCGCTGCTTTCCATACTCAACACATTTCTCGGCACGTGCTGCGCCAACACCCAGACTCTGGACATTGGCCGCCACACATACCGCGTCTCGCAGCAGCTGGGCGAAGGCGGGTTCAGCACAGTCTATCTTGTTGCAGACACAGAGCGTGGTTCCCAGTTCGCAATGAAAAAGATCTACTGCCACACGCCCGACATGTTCGCCAAGGCCCAGCAGGAGATTGCAGCGTACCGGCGGTTCCGGCACCGCAACATCATCAGGACTGGTCGACGCGCTGGTCGAGCAGGCGGCGGTGCGCACAGTGTACATGGTCCTGCCGCTGTACAAGGAGAATCTGTTTGACGTGACCGAGCACAGCAGGGCGTCGGGGATGTGCTGGCCCGAAGACAAAATAATAGCGGTGTTCAGCGGCGTGTGCGATGCGGATCGAGTACCTCCACAACTACGGCAAGCACCAGGGCAGGCCAGGGCTGCAGGCGGAGCAGGAGAGCGGCGGCGACTCAGAGAGGCTCTTGGACACGGCAGCGGAGGCTGGCGGGGAGAATCCACAGCAGAAGCCAAGCAGGCGTGGCGGGTACGCGCCCGTAGGCAATGCTGACGACGCCGAGCCGACAGTCCCGAATGGCCCTGTAGCCTCGTACGCGCACCGCGACATCAAGCTGGCCAACGTCATGCTGGCCGATGACATGACGCCGATTCTAATGGACTTTGGCAGCCTGGCTCCGGCACGGTTCAGGGCCGAGACACGCACAGATGCGCTGCGAATCCAGGACGACGCAGCCGAGAACTGCTCGCTGCCGTACCGTGCGCCAGAGCTGTTTGATGTGCAGCGCGGGGCCGAGTTTGATGAGCGCACGGATGTGTGGTCGCTGGGGTGTCTGCTGTTTGCGCTTGCTTTCAACCGCACGCCGTTCGAGGACCCCTTGGATCCGGGTGCCTCGATTGCACTGGCCTGCCCTCAATGCAAAATACACATACCCGGCAGACAGCCCGTACTCGGCACGGCTCATGCAGCTCATTGACTTCATGATGGAACCGGATCCGCAGAAGCGGCCGTTTATTGATCAGGTTATTGCAATGACTCGTTCGCTGTACCAGCGCTAGAGCAAAAAGAAGAAAGGAAAAGAAAAGTGATGCTAATAAAATCCTCTACTCCGACTCCTTCGTCAGAGTCCTCCTCCTCCAGCCACTGCAGGAATGCGGCCGCAGCCTTGTGGATCTTCTTGGCCACATCCTTCTCGATGTACTTCTTGGACGGCTTCTTGCCCCACTCAAGGAACGCTTCCTCCTCGATCACGTCGGCGTTGTAAAGAGCCATCAGAATGGGCTGCACCTTGGGCAGCAGCGCGTCGAGGCTCTCGCTGATGACGCGCTCAAAGCCGCCCAGGACGGCGCGCTGGTGCTTGTCCGAGTCGCCAAACGACCGGAGCAGCGTCGCGTGCTTGGCGACATCCTTGACAATAGTGGCCGGGTCGGTGAACAGGCACTGCACGACAACGACAAGGGCGCGGTGCTTCTTGTAGAGATTCAGCTCCTTGGCCTTGTTGAAGATATCGAGGTCCGACTCGGGCTTGGCGTTGATGTAATCGCCCAGCAGGTCGTACGGATCCTCGGCGCCCTCGTCCTCGTCGCCCTGCGTGAAGTTGCCAGCCAGCGCCTTCTGCCGGCGCGCGACAGGCCTCGGCGGACGTGTCCAGGTCGACCTCCCACTCGTCGTCGTCGTCAATCTCGAGCTCTGCCGCCTCCTTCGCCAGCCGATCCATCTCCTCGGTCGGGTCGCCCTCCTCCTCGCCACCCTCAGCGTGGCCGTTGCCCGACGAAGTTCCCGCCGACGCGTGCTGCCCGCCCTTCTTGTCCTTTGGCGGCGGGTTCTTGATGATGTACGTGGCAAGCTTGTGCCGCATATCCACATCAGAGCGCTGTCCGCATGCCATGCACTGCCGGATGATGCTCGAATCCCGCGTGATGATCAGGTCAGTCTCCGGGTTCTTGCAGTTGCCGCACAGCACGAACCGCTCAATGAACCCGTCGAGCAGGTCCTGCAGCTTGTTGACGTCGTGCGCACCGTTGACAATGTACCGGTCGTTCTTCTCCTCGATCTTGACCTGCGCGCCCAGCTCGCCGCCAAAGTACTTGGTCGGGTATGCCGGCGGGCGCGAGAGAGCACGGGCCACCTCGGCAATGTTGGGCAGCACTGTCTTGATGCCGTTGCCCTTGCCCTCAATCTTGCCCTGCAGCTTGGGCATCTTGTAGCGGTAGAACGAGTCCTTGACGTCGCGGCGGATGTTGATGGAAGCCATGGTTACTGATAGAGGGGTTTAGAATCTCAATCGCGGGGTATGCTGACACTTTTGCCTGAACTTTTTTGCTCTCTGGGTGGTGGTGTAAAGAAGATTTGGCATGAACGCGCGGCAGCCGAAACAGTTGAAGAAATCAAAGTGAAGGTGGAATGATTCAAGGACACGAGTTTGGGAATCAGAAAGAGCGGTGTGTTGGGTTCCGATTGCTTGCCGACTGGGTTACGTGTGCAGACTCTTCGCGTAAAGGTGAAGAAAATTTTTCTAGCTAGGCTGACAGAGAGGAAAAGCCTCGCTCAACAAAAAAGCTTTTATGCGTCCACGGCCATTACCGCCAGCCCCGTGATTGGATACTGCCCGCGGCCCAGAGCCAGAAAAATTTTAGGCCGAGTTCGTCGACACAGCGCGCAGAAAACGGCTTTTGTCCCCTCTCACACACTTGGACTCTTGAATTTCTACCATGGCGCAGTTCGATGCAAAGCGGGACAGGGACGTAAAGTTTGAGACAAGCAAGGGCATCAAGGTCGTGACGACCTTTGACGACATGGGTCTGAAGGAGGACCTCCTGCGGGGCATCTACGCCTACAACTTTGAGCGGCCCTCGGCTATCCAGCAGCGGGCCATCATGCCCATCATCAGCGGCCGCGATGTCATCGCCCAGGCGCAGTCGGGCACAGGCAAAACCGGCACCCTGGGCATCTCCATTTTGCAGCGCATCGACACGTCGCTGCGGGAGACCCAGGCGCTGGTTCTGTCGCCGACGCGTGAGCTGGCGACGCAGACGCAGGGCGTAGTCAAGGCGCTGGGCGACTACATGAGCGTGCAGTGCCATGCGTGCATTGGCGGCACAAAGATGAGTGAGGACTTCCGGAAGCTGGAGCACGGCCAGCATGTGGTTTCGGGCACGCCCGGCCGAGTGTACGACATGCTGAAGCGGCGCGTGCTGAGGGCGCGCAACATGAAGATGCTGGTGCTGGACGAGGCCGACCAGCTGCTGGACCGCGGATTCAAGGACCAGATCTACGACATCTACCGCCATCTGCCGCCATCCACCCAGGTCGTTCTGCTGAGTGCAACCCTGCCGCACGACGTGCTGGAGCTGACGCAAAAGTTTATGACCGAGCCCATGCGCATTCTGGTCAAGCGCGACGAGCTGACGCTCGAGGGCATCAGCCAGTTCTTTGTCAATGTCGAAAAGGAGGACTGGAAGTTTGAGACGCTCTGCGACCTCTATGACAGCCTGACTATCACCCAGGCCGTGATCTTCTGTAATACCCGCGCAAAGGTCGACTGGCTGACGCGGCAGATGGAGGACGCCAACTTTACTGTGTCGGCGATGCACGGCGAGATGCTGCAGAAGGAGCGCGACGCCATTATGACAAAGTTCCGGCAGGGCACGTCCCGCGTTCTGATCACCACCGATATCTGGGCTCGTGGCATCGACGTGCAGCAGGTCTCGCTGGTCATCAACTACGACATGGGCACAGATCGCGAAAACTACATCCACAGAATTGGTCGGTCTGGGCGCTTTGGCCGCAAGGGCGTAGCCATCAACTTTGTCACCAACGACGACATCAAGGTGCTGCGGGATATTGAGCAATACTACGGCACACAAATCGACGAGATGCCAGTGAATGTCACCGATCTGCTGTAATAAAAAAATGCATATTTGGTAGCCCAAAATACACTGGCGCAAGAGTCCTGGGCCAATGTCTGGCTGAGCCGCAGCGCGATTCGTGTGGCAGCTCCGAACATCCCTTCTCTTTCCATCAGCCTCTGATAATGTCCGACGGTGTCATGTCTGCGCTCACGACAAAGCTGCCGCTCTGGCAAGTACTGCTCTTCGGCAGCACCACTTTTATCGCCGGCCGCTTCCTTGCCCGCTACGGCGCCAGGGCCCTGCACACCACCGCTGCTGCCCAGAAGAAGCCCAAGCAAAAGCAGGTCGAGCCCGCGTTTGGCGAGGACACCAAGCTCGTACTCATTGTCCGCACCGATCTCGGGATGACCAAGGGCAAGGTGGCTGCGCAATGCGCGCATGCCGCGCTTGGATGCTACAAGCGCGCATTGAAGCAGAGCCCGGCGGTGCTGAAGGCATGGGAATACACAGGGCAGGCCAAAGTCACACTCAAGGTCAACAGCGAGGAGGAGATGCTGGAGCTGCAGCGGAGGGCGGCGAGCCTTGGTCTGGTGGCCCAGTCCATCTGCGATGCTGGACGGACCCAGATTGCCTCTGGATCGCGGACCGTGCTGGGCATCGGACCAGGACCGATCAGCCTGGTCGACAAGGTCTCAGGCCACTTGAAGCTCTATTGATAGACAAATAAATACTGCTTTTATTTTATTTCTTCACAGGCTGCGCTACGACGCTTGTAGATTTCCTCGACCCACGACTGCACCTGCGGGTGCCTGAAGATGCCTCTTGTCGAAGCGAAGAACGACTCGAGGTCCTTTGCATCCGACTTTTCGTATTCCAGCGCCTGCACAATCATTTCGCATTTATCGAGATCATGCACCAGGTGCGCCTCGCTGGTCTCGTCGTTCTCGTACTCGAGCCACAGATCCGCGATCTCTTGTGCGTATGCCGAGTCGCCCAAGGTGCGCGAGATCTGCCTCATGCCATCCAGCTCCATCTCACGCTTCTTCTCCTTGCTGACTCCGTCGTAGGGCGTGATGTCGCCGACCAGGGCCTCAGCCAGGTCGTGCACGATGGCCATCTTGATGCACCGCGTTCTGTCCAGCGACGGGTCCTCGATGAGCATCGCCATTATGCCCATGCGGTACATGTGGTCGGCGATTGACTCGGGTCCCGAAACCCCGTTGTTGATCCATCCCGTGCGCTTGGTGCGCTTTAGACGCTCGACGATGTGAAGAAAGTCGATGACACTGCTGGCCGACGAGCTCATGGCTGTGAATGCAGAACTGTGGATTTGGTATATGGAGGAAACAGAAAAGCCTGAACAATGCGGGCGTGCTCAGACTTTTCTTAGAATAGCCTTTTGGCACAAAGAGGAAGCTTGGAAATTATTGGATTTCTTTCGCTCACTGCTGCTGCTGCTACTCTGGCCTTTTCCTCTTCTCCTCTCGTTTAGTCTTTTGTCATAAAGTAGCCCTAAAGTCCTCTACATGCACAACCTTCCCTAGCCTTGCTGTTTCCGCGAGTATGCTACAATGTCATCCGCTGTTTCTGTGTCGCAGCCAGCCCAAGCCGCATCCGAGAATAGTGCCAAAAAGTATAGAGTAAACAAGTTAGCGCTCAAGGGACTCACTGATGCTGCCCAGGTAGAGCAGTTCTGGGCCCAGCAGACACAGAAATACGCCAAGGAGCTGACGCTTGCCCATGCAATGATCCACGACGGCATGTCTGGCACCGACCCCGTCGACATGGTCACCCGTGCCTGGCACCGGGGCGCATACCCGATTGTCGAGCTCTTTCGTGAGTCACTGGGCCAGCTCCGGTACATCCCCGACGCACGTGGCCCGCCAAACGCACAGGCAGACATGACATGTGCTTGTTTCGAGATGCAGCTGCGCAAGTGTTTGAGAATGTTCAGCGGCATGCGGGTGGCTCTAGCTGGGGATGCACTGGCAAAGTGCTGCAAGTACATGGGCGACCTCCACCGATACCAGGTCGACTACCAGATGGGCGATATCGATAAGGCGTGGGCGCGCGCATTGGACTGCTACCGGGCAGCGTGCCGGGTTAATCCGCACGATGGCAAGCCGTACCATATCATTGCCGTACTGTACCGTAGCAAGTCGCTGTTGCTGAGTTTTTATTACAGCTGCCGCGCCCTCAATGCCAATCGCCCGTTTATGCCCTCGCGCGAAGCGGCGCTCATGTGCTTTGGTGCTTCCGAGAAAGTGCTGCGCAATCGCGTCAGTAGCCTGGGCTACCAAAACATGGACTTCCCCGACGGCCGGGTTCCCAACTGGGTGCATTTTGCTATCAGCAGCAAGGACGAGGCTGATCTGGATGTCTGCTGGCAGCATACCTGCCTATACATGCACTCGATGATATACACCAAACCCGACATCGACAGGTTTAACAAGTGGCTCACATACGCGTATCTGCCGCTGCTCAAAGCGCGCATTGCCAGCCCATCGTCGGTCAAGCTCGGCACTCGCATAGCCATCCTGGACCTATCCGCTGTTCACCAGTACAGAAAGTGCGGTACCAAGCCATTCGCGCCCATCGCTGACGAATGCCAGTGCGCGATGCACATGCTGATCCAGACCCTTCATCTCTGTATCCGCCTGTTTATTGACGGATTCCACGACACCTCTGCGGCCAAGGCAAGCCAGACTCGGTTTGCAATGACGTACATTTCGGCGTTCCTTCTCTATATGGACCGGCCAGCACATGGGACGATCGAGTCGATGGTGTGCTGTGCACTGGATTTCCGACTAGCACAGGCCAGCACTCTGGTCGCTGATTTTGTTGCTGCAATGAACATGCTACTGGATGCATCGGCTGCAGAGAGCGGTATCACGGTTGAATCCATGGGCAACGTGCTCGTGCAGGGGCTGCCCGAGGACCTGGCCCTGCAGGGGATCCGCTGGATCAAGCCATTCCACGCCATCTCTTCCAATGTCAAAGAGGATGTGACACATGCGTGTCTGCGTCAGCTGCGTTTGCTGGCGCTTGCCAAGCGACTCGTTGATGCCAAGGTGTTGTATGTCAACTACAAGGAGCAGCAGGGTGGATTTGAGATTGCCGAGGCGCTCCTACGCCAGGCAAACGCCCAAGAGGCGGCCAGCAATGCGGCGGCCAGCAGCGGCCTGCCAGGCGCTAAGAAGCACGTGCCTGCCACTGGGCCATTTAGTGGTGCCACCAGTGACTGCCGATTCGTGTTCGATACAAACTGCTTTATCGAGGGCCTGGAGGAGATCGAGCAGATGCTGTGCCTTGGATGGCAGGTCATTGTGCCTGCAGCTGTGGTGGCCGAGCTCCGTGGGCTCTTGAGCAAGGGCAAGGACGAGGTGTGTGGGCCAGCCGGCAAAGCACTGGAGTTTGTCTGCCGGGTGCAGCGGAGGGATGGCGAATCTGGACTGCTGCAGATCTGCACACGTAGAGGCCAGCAGTTCAACTTGAACGCTCCGCCCGAGGCCAGGATCCAGGGAAAAAGCATGGATGACACGATTATCGAGACATGCGGGAACTTCAAACCAGACGTAGCGCTGGTGACCAACGACTGCAACATGCGGATCAAGGCGGCGATGCTGTATGGCCGCGACATGCACATTGGGGATTTGAAAGATATTCAAAGGTTTATTCGGGCACTCTAGCAGCATCTTGAAACTGTATTTAACATTCCGCAGCCAAAAAAAAACGACGGTGATGTGCTTCAAATTACAGAGTGATTTAGATATATACCAGCCAGCAGCTTCCGCGACTCCAGTACGCCCTTGCGCAGCATGCTTGCCGTGGCGTCCAGCAATGTCTTGTCAGCAAACTTCATCGAGATATCCAGCCCTTGGCGCGGACTGACATACGAGTATGGCAGCAGCTTTGGTCTATGCGAGTCGCCGCGTCTACGGCCACCAGCAAACGTCGTTGGTGTGCCTGCATTAACGTTGATGCCGCCTAGCTGCTTGGGCCGTGCCGCAAAGAAAAAGTCTGGAAACTCGGTATCAACTATTCGCAACGAGGGGAGCGTCGATTCACAGGACATGTCGATGGTGACTATGGCCACATCGGCCAGCGGCCACACGAGCTCAGGCGTGGCCTCATCCTGGTGATATACAAGTAGGTGGCCGCTATTACAGGCAACGTGTGCAGAGAACCCCAGCCTTAGCGTGCCTTTTGGCAGCGCGCGCTTGGCTAAATTGTCAACAACCGTCGCCGATACACCATCTGCAGGTCTCACCCCAGCCTCCTTTCCCAGCCATGCCATCAAGTCGCCAGAGTAGTTACTGGGTGGTGGCGCCTTGCCACCACTCTCCCTGCTTGTCGATATAGCCAGCCGTCTCAGATAATGTGCCTGGTATATGGCAGCCAACAATGCCGTATCCTGCGGCGTCTCGCTATCAAACGGCGATGGAGCAGTTGCCAGAGACGTGCGCGATGACGACAGCGATATCCGCGGCGGCAATGGTGGAGGCGGCGGATTAAATGTTGATGAGGATGCTGATGACCGACGGTTCTTTGGCGCCATGTGTGCTTTGATCTGCGGCGACTGCAGTCCTGTTGTAGTAGTCGGCGATGCGCTGGCGAAGCCTGGTCGAGCGAAAATATGTGCCTGCTCTCGGACTCGATCTTGTTCCGCAAGGTCTCGGCATTGCTGTTCGCCACATCGACCAGACACTTCACAAGTGCCTTTCCACGACCCGCATGCAATGACGGCGTTGCTCATAACGTCGCCGATGCTGGTCGGCGGCTCGTCGGCAGATAGCAGCATGGCGCGGATCTCTGCCGAGTGCTTGGCCTGCGCTTGCGTCAGCTCCTCCGACAGACTGCCATCCAGTATGATCCGGCTGCGTGGGCCAGCCGCCAGCTGGGATGAGCAAAAGGGCAGCTAGCGAAATGGTTGCCCAGTTGTGCGAGGGCGGCGACTCGGATCAGAATCTGTACCAGTGCTGTGATGATCGCCTGAGTATGTGCTGGCGGCGGCGGACAATGCACCATCGCTGGTCAGGCCGTCGCTGGTAGACATAACTGAGGTAGCGTTGGCGATAGGATGGCAAAACACTTAGCGCGGATCCACCCGATGAGCTGCGGCAATCGGCTACCGCCGGCCGTCCGGTCAGCGAGTCCAGCAGGGCCCGCGTGCGTAGCATCCGGCGTGGTGTCAAAACCGACCGAACCAGGACTGTTGGGCCAATTGCCTTGTTATGCAAAATTTCCAATGCCACACACATCCACGGCATCAGCGTACGGGATGCTTCAAAGGGTGATGGCGTAAACGGGTGCACAAGATGCGTCGGCTCTTCCATTTCTGCGTCCTCCTCCTCCTCCCATTGCGTTGCTATCGTCAGACGGGTGTGCCACCTGCTCGACAAACAGAGCATTGATGGTATCGACAAGCAGCGGCGAGTACTTGATAATGGCAAAAAAGTGCGACAGGAACAGGGTCACCACTTGCATAAACAGGGCTTCCTCAGGACTGGCCCCTGCCCGCCACCCAATCTCAATGACGTGCACAAATGTCCGTATCAATATGCGGTCGAGGAATTCTGGACGTTATCCGCTGGTTTATCCGCTCGACACCCAAGCCATAGATGTCGTTCATGTACGACAGCAGGCCCATGTGGTTCTCCAAAATCTGGTCCACAGCCGCCCATTCCTGGATCTCGGACATCCTGTTGTCGACAACCGAGGTGGCTATGGGGGCTGTCTGCAGGCGTGGAGTGACAGTTGGCATGTCAACGAGAATCCGGAAGGCGTCATCGTAGCAGTCCTTGAGAGCGCGCATAATCATCTGCCAGAAATGCGCGCAGGCTGGTGCGCTCAGGATGAACTCGAGTGCATCCTGGTCGTTGATGCGAAACACATTCAGGGTGATGGCTCGCACGGCCACACGCACCATCGAATCCGGGTGGTCAAACAGCGAGATGGCCGTGGTATACAGCGGGAAGTCGTCCAGCCGTTCGTTGAAAAAGAAATGTATAGTGTCGGTCGTCAGCTTCAACGACAGCGCCTTTAGGAATGCCACGTAGTAGGCCAGAATCTCGTCGTTCTCCAGGTCCACCGGCGCAGCTATTAGCTCGTTGACAAAGTTGTTGGAAAAGAGCGAGTACAGGAAGCGGCTCTCGGTGATACCGTCCAAGATAATGCTCAGCGTCTGCAGAACCTGCACTGCCACGGCCACCGACGCATTCCCGCCCCTTCTGTCCTGCAATAGCCGGAGGAGCGCACGGTGCAGGTTGACTTCAACGACATAGCTCAGCAGCTCTGGATTTCGCCGGTCGCTCCAAATGACCACTTCCGAGACCTGACGCACCGACTCGACTATTCGCTTCTGTGTGCTGCTTTTTACTTTAACTGCGCTTAGGTACGTCGCAAGCTGGAGAATTAAGTCCCTTCTGCGGTCACTCTCTCGTCGCTGGTCCTCGGGCGTGTTCTGCGTTGCCTGTGGTTTGTCAGGCTCACTGTCGCCGCTTACGCCGAGGAGTGTCAGGAAATTCCCAAACATTCTCTCATTTGCTTTCTGCAAAAATAGAAAAGTAAGCACGCAGGTATGTAAAACGTTTGGCTACCACGGTACAGCAGCTAGCAGCGAGGGAAACGTTATGACCAATGAGCAAAACAAACTATTAGTAAAAAAATACGTAGAGGAGAGAAGTTTGGTGCACGTCGTTTTTTGTTTTCGTCACTGGCGCAAATCAGTAGAGCACCTTGGCACACTACACGTGGAGAGCCTGCAAGATGGGGGGAAATGTGGGCTGGCTGTGTATATATCGGCTGGAATCGGGCTCTTCTGGCAGGACAGTGTCGGACTGTCCATTGTGACTAGCCTCCTTCCCCCTTTGGTTCTACATACATTAGTATGCGTCTGCTGAACCTTGCTGCCATTGCGCTGTTCTCGGTCGGACACGCCAGCGTCCCAGCCACTATCGATACCCACGATCCCGCGCGCCGCCTCAAATGCCGCGCAACAGCTGACACCCAGGGGCTGGCTGGTCATGGCCTACAGCGACACCCAGCAAGTCACTCTGGACTGCCAGATCCAATGGTTCATATGTCGCCAACAGCCCGATTCTGGGCTAGAACGTCCGATTCCTGCTACATCCCCTCCTACTACATGCAGTTATCGGCGAATGCCACTGAGATTGTGTCGTGTGACACCCTCCGCAATAGCACAGCGTGCCTAGTGGCAAACAATGCAGGAATCGAGATAATTAAGGAGTACGAGGGATTCATTAATCCGCCCGCGCGCAGATATCTCTGGGCGGCCGACAATCGGATATGGCCACCGGTGCGAGTCGTTGACCTGCGAGGAAGTCCCGGTCGAGTTCCCTATGAGCCGGTCGCAGGCGCAGGGGCTGCTGAGGTTTGACTTGGGGCTGTCCACGCAGTGTCTGAGCGAAGCAATCGACGACTCTGTGGTCCTTAACGAGAATCAGTGGGCAGCGCTGACCTCGTGGGCGTTCGATGTTGGGTGCGAGATGGCGTGGAACTCGCAGCTGATCCGGCGGCTCAATGGACGGCGAGTCTCCAGGCAAGGTTGCCTCCGGCGAGCTGCCAAAGTGGATCAGATACCGTGGCAAGACGACGTACAGCCTCCAGTACCGGAGATACGATGAGATGGCCTTGTTCAATACCCCATCGGGCAAGCAGGCACACCCGCTGTGCGTCTTGTAGCCTAGCCTACATATTGCGACCGCGCTGTTCCGTATTTTGTCGTACAGCAGTGGGGTTTGTCATCCGGCCAGTCTGCTTACACTGAGATTTTTGGGGCGGAGACTGGTAGAGGTGGACTGTCTCTTCTCAACTTGCTTTGTTTTCCTTCGTTCAATTCAGCGTATTAAATTCAAAATGTCGCAGCAGCCTGGTCCCGAGAAGACGCCGTGCAAGGCACCCGAGCCGAACCCCAAGAACCCACAGGGCCTGAAGCCGTGCTGCGTGTGCCTGGAGACAAAGAAGGCCCGCGATTCGTGCTATTTCGATCACGGCGACGACGCCGAGAAGAAGTGCCATTACCTGGTGCTGGCTCACAAGATGTGCATGGAGAGTTTTGGCTTCAAAATCTAATTAGAATAAACTCCTACAGCTTCTTCTTGCGCTGCTTGGCGTCGCCAGAAGCCTGGGTGTCGCGGTTGGCGTAGATCATGGTGGTGAAGGGCCCCTCGAACCTGAGCGCAATGTCGTACACCAGCCACACGTACGCGGTGACCAGCAGGCCGGCGGGCTTGGCGTACCACAGCGACGTGCCCAGGAACGACATGGTCGAGCCCACATACATGGGGTTCTCGAGAACGTTGAATGGGAACCCGGTTACGCGCTCATTCATCAGAATGCCAAAGTAGTCGCCCAGGAACGTGCCGGTGATGCCCAGCATGTATGTCGAGGAAACAACAAAGGTCATGCCGGCACCAAACAGCGCCAGCGCAATGGCCTTGACCGCAAAGGTGTCAAGCAGGGCCAGGGTCGGCTGCTCGCCCATGGCGCGGTTGAACAGCAGGTCGCGCACGATGCCGAGACCGAAGATGGTGGCAGCTATCGCGTAGCATCCCTTGTACCTGTCGTTGCCAAAGAGCTTGGTGATCCAGTGCGTCTTGTACTCTTGCCGGGCAGCGATGTTCCAGAATGTCGGGTTGAAGGTGATGGAAGCCAGGCTGACCCACAGCGAGCACTTTGAGAAGTCTACGAGCGACATGGACTGACAGAAGCTAGAGGGGATTTTTAATTTTTAGAGAGCGGGAGAAAAGAAGCTGCTGGTGTGAGTTTTTGGGCGCATTGTTATCAGCCCGCATTATCACGCCTGCACCTGGCTGTGATGTTTTGGCCAATCGATCAGCGCCAGAGCTAGCGGCCAGGAAATCATGGGCAAAAGCTTCCAAGCGCTTCCCTCAGAGCCTAGGCGCGAGCCAGGCCTTCCACTGTTCCAGGGTCCACGAGCTGGACACGCCGTCGTCGCGGATCCCGTCAAACACCACAGTGGGCGAGACGTGGATTCCCTGCGCCCGGGCCAGCTTTATGTGGTACTTTAGGTCGTTGGTTACGGCGTTGCCCCCATTCTTGGGCTCGCCGGCCTGGAATGTCAAGCAGCTGCAGCACCGCCAACGTGTCATCGACGGCGTTGACGCTGGCAGCAAGCTGAGCCAGCCTCCTTGTACATGTCTGAGCGCGTCATGTCGACAGTAGCCTCGTCGAAGAACTCGTGCTGGTGCTCAAAGAGCGCGGTCGAGTAGAGCGAAAAGGCCGAGGGGTTGATCTTCTCGACCGCCAGGCTGGCCTCGTGCAGCAGCGTTGAGGCTGGGTGCCATGGCTGCACCTGGTGCCGGAACACCACCTGCGACCTTGGGCTCAGCGGAGGCAAGATACGGGATAACGTCCTTGGTCAGCCTGCGCCAGATCTTGGCCGAGAACGGACAGGTATAGTCAAGAAACACCTCGAGCGTATGCGCGCCAGCAGCGGCAGGCAGCAGGCGGTGGGCAGCGTAAGTCGGTGCGAGAGCCATGAGAGCTAAAAGGGAAAATTCTATAGTAGACTTGTTGGAGAGAAAGAGAGCGCCTGCCGTCCCCGGCCGCCATCACCGGCAGCAGCCTGCCCGGCTGATGACGAAACCGCTGCTGTGTCGCCAAGCATTGCGCCAGCGAATCACGTGCGAGCACCCCCTCAATTTTTCCGCTCCTCGCCTGCCAGCGCTTTAAAACCTTGCCCCGAGGCCCTGTTCAGTCGAATTTGGGCAATCTAAATTCGCTCTCCTCTCCAAATGCCATTTTCTGTTCTTTTTTAACTCTCATTTTCTTCTTTTCTTATTTCAGTCACATTTTAGCTATTACCGTTTCATTCTACCCCTCATTAGCTGTAAAAATACGTAAATACACGCCCTACACGCCTAGAAGAAAGAGAACTCTTGCAAAGGTAAGCTTACTATCCCGCCACGTATCAGCAGTCTCCCCGTTTGCCTCCCCCGCTCGCATCTGCGCCGGCGTTTGGCAGTAGTGTGCATCCGGACGAGCAAAGAACCACATCTTGGTATGCGGAGACAGATCTCGTTCTCCACATGCCCGATTCTTCTCCCTCCGCACGCACCGAGTCTAGTGCTCAATCGGCCAAAAAAGAACAGCGGGCCTCCTCCGTCGTGCAATATAGAAGCGGTCTCCACGCCCTAAAACTTGTTGGTTAGTTGCTTCTCCACATGCAGCCTGGAAAAAGTAGGGAAAGCTGGCATATGCTCGGCATATCAGCTGGAAACGGGGGATTTTGCGGTTCGGGGGGGGGAGCGGGGGTGTAGCAAATTTTTCTTTGTGGCGGTCTTTCTAACCCCTTGCCGCGAAGCTTGCGGGCCTGGCTGCCTTATAACAGCGGCTGGGCTCGTCCCATCCTCCTGCCTGCTTCTTCTCTTCCTTCACAGTCGGGCTCGGTCTTTCTGCACTCTGTTAATCACTCTGCTAGATACTAATATTTGCTAATACCCCTCCTCCGCCGCCGTTTATTAGATATCCCTTTTCGCACCCCTATATTTTTCCTCCTTCCTACGGGTGATACACACGCACAAACACACGCACCAGCAGCCTATCTTAGCCACCACCACCACTATTGCCCTACTGGTACAGGCTCACCCGATAATAGCATGAATCCAGACGCTTCTAGCAATGCAAAGAACCAACAGCTCCCTGCCGGTCTCCAGCCCCTTTTCGACATGAATAGCAGCAACAACGCCGCAGCCGCCTGCTGCTGCTGCTGCAGCCGCTGCTGCCGGCATTGCTGGGGCAGGCGCATCACTCGACGGCGACAAGGCCGACAGTGCCCGCGTACTAACGCCACCCACGAGCACGGGAGGAATCTCGCAGCCAGCAGCAACAGGCATCGCTAGGCAGCAATGCCGGTGTGTTTGGCCGGCTGCCGGCCAACGGACCTCGGGCGACAGGCAATCTCGACGCTGGACGGCTGGGAGCTGCATCGCACATCTCATCTGCAGCAGGCAATGCAGGCGGGGGTGGAGCGCACAGTCGTACGCACAGCCGCACTGCGAGCTACGGCACATCACTGCTCGACACGCTTAACGAGGAGAAACAGCTCCACCAGCAGTGGCTGCCTCCCCATTCATCGGTGGCCGCCCAGCGCTCGCGCTTTGGCCATGGCCGCTCGGCTACCGGCGGCGGCGCGGGTGATCTAGGCACCGGTGTGATTGGCAGTGGGATCCCCGCAACCAACCCGCTATCGCACCAGCGCCACTTCACCTTGACCTCCACCACTGGCGGCGTGGGGCTCCAGTCGACTTCGCCCTTCTCTCTCCAGTCCCAGCCCGACGGCATCATGCGCCCGGATGGCTTCGTCAGCTACCCCGCCCAGCGTCTCCGGAGCGGGCGCCAGCACTGGCCAGCATGTCCGGGCCCACACCCTGACTGCATCGCCGCCAGGGTTTGGTCGCACCGCCGGCGGCAGCGGCGGCAGCAGTCTGCTCAAGCACCCGCTTCCCACCAACGCGTCGGGTATTCTAGGCGCCCACTCGCGGCTCAACTCGCTGTCAGGGCACCTCGAGCTCCAACCTTGTACCTAGGCAATCCCAGCCAACTTGGCCAACGCCAACCTGCTCGCCTCGTCGCTGCGAAACTCGTACTCATCCAACTCGCTGCACTCGGCGTTTGCCCGCCGCAGCTCGCCATCGCCGCTGTCACAGGATCGCGATGTCTCAGGCGTCGTCTATTGGCAACGGCTCGTTTGACTTTGTGCCGGCACTAGACGAGTCCAGCGTCTGGGGTCCCTCGCGCCTGTCCAACGAGCTCGATCTGCTGTCACTCCACGACGGCAGCATCACCGGTAACAGCAACTGCCATGGATGACTCGTTTGCACGTGAGCTGACCGCAGCTGAGGTTGCGGATGCCAACTCGCGCATCCGCTCGTACAGTTTCAACAGCCCGCCCGACGGAATCGAGGAGGCCGACGATGCCGACATTGATGTGCTTCCACGCAGCAGCTACCTCGCAGAACCCTGCTCTAGCCTTCCGCAAAATGATGGCCCGCACGCACGCCCGGTCCAAAACCCTGGCCAACCCGTTCGGCGGCGAGAGCGATCTGGACTACGCTCTAGGCTTCCAGCAGACACAGCAGCAGCGGTACGGCCTGCCGCTGCACATGCGCAATCAGAGCAACGCCTTCCTCCAGGAGCAGCAGCAGCTCCACCACCACCAGCACCGTCGTACAGGAACCAACTCGTCAATTTCGCTTGGTGTTGGGGGCACTGCTATTGCGGGTGGCAGCGGCGATTCGCTGGCGATGATGATGGCCGGCGGCGGACACTCAAAGAACTCTTCAGATGGTTCGAACCAGGACGGCGCTGGCTCCACGGTTCATATCGGAATTGGCGGCGAAAGCGTGCGTGGATTTGGACGCTCAGGCAGCATCACTGGGCTTGCTCAGCGCGGCGCTCCGTCAGCGTCGCATTCGCGCCAGGCATCGATGCACACACGCCAGCACTCGCTCGACTTTGACATGGCCATGCTTCACAGCGGCACTGGCGCCAATTCGGACAACGTGCCGACGCGGTCTCTCTGGGTGGGCAATGTCGACCCCGGCCTCAACACACAAGACTTGATTGCGATCTTTGGCAAGTACGGGCGCGTCGAGAGCCTGCGCCTGCTGCCCGACAAGGAGTGTGCCTTTGTCAATTTTTTGCGTGTCGAGGACGCGATCCGCGCCAAGGATGACATGCACAACGGCACTCGCATTGGCAACAACACGGTCCGTGTCGGCTTCGGCAAGGGCGAGTCTTATGCGACAGGCTGACGCCCAGGCGATGCAGCCGACGCGTGCGCTGTGGATCGGAAACATTGCGCAGGCGACGACGCCCGACTCGCTGAGTACTACCTTCCAGGCGTACGGAACCTATCGAATCGGCGCGTGTCCTGAGCCACAAGAACTGCGGATTCGTCAACTTCATCCGGCTCGAGGATGCCGTGCGTGCCAAGCAGGCGATGAACGGCAAGAGCATCGACGGGTCGGTCGTGCGCATTGGCTACGCCAAGGTGCCGGCGGCCAAGAACGAGTCTTCGCTCAAGCTGCGCAACCCTGTGCCCAGCGCTGCCCCCCTCACTGTATCGGGCCAGATTGCTGAGGCCTGATGCGATCACTGGCACCACGCAGCGCGGCCTGGGTAACAACATGGTCTTGGAGCCTGGCTTTACGCTAGCCATCGACGAGAACCTCGTCGCCTTCCCCTATGCAACTCCAGCTGCCGGCTCTTCCCGAGCCCAAAGGTCAGCATCCGCTCCGACCACGAGTCGTCCTCTGCCGGTGCCAGTGCTTGCCAACTCCCGCGCTGCCAGTGTCGGTGTTGGCGATGGCCGGATGCCTGTCATCGAGCAGTCGCGTCTGCGCGAAATCCGCAAAATACTGGAGATGTCGTCCTAGCCCGATCCCCAAGGCTGAGTTTGACCAGATCTTCAACGAGCTGCTCCCCAGCGCTGTTCGAGTTGTGTACAGACTATGTCGGAAACGTGCTGGTGCAGAAAATGGCCGAGCGTGGCGACCAGGTGCAGAAGCTGGCGCTGGTCAAGCGGGTCGGCCCGTACATGGCCTCTATCGGCGTCCACAAGAACGGTACGTGGGCCGTGCAGAAGATCATTGACACTGCAACCAACGACGACCAGAAGCGGGTGATTGTCGAGAACATCAAGCAATACACGCCCCAGCTGCTGCTGGACCAGCTTGGCAACTACGTCGTCCAGTGCTGTCTGCGGTTTGGCCCCAGCAAGTACGAGTCTGAGGAGGCCTCGAGCGACGCCAAGACCAGGGAGAACAGCTCTACGTCTGCCAGCAACGTCGATCAGTCAAAGATCCACCTGGCCCGTGCAGCCTCGAACCAGTTTGTGTTTGATGCGATCCATGCCCGGTGCTGGGATATCGCGCAGGGCCGCTTCGGTGCGCGTGCCATCCGCACCTGCCTCGAGTCGCCGCACGCCTCGAAGCTGCAGCAGAAGCTGGCCGCAGGTTGCCCTGGTCACTAATGCCGTGTCGCTGGCCACCAATGTCAACGGGCACCTGCTGGTCAACTGGCTGCTGGACTCGTCAAAGTTCACTGGCCGCTTCCGTGTGCTGGCACACCAGCTCGCACCACACCTGCGCTATCTGGCCACGCACAAGCTTGGCGCCTCGACAATTTCCAAGATCGTTGACCAGACCATGGAGCCCGATGCGCGTGATCTGATCTTGAACACGCTTTTCTTCAACCCGGACCCATCGGTCTTGGACGATGTTGTTCTGGACCAGGCCCATGGCGTGCACGTTATTCTGAAGATCCTACAGGGCACGGCTATCGGCGAGGCTGAGAAGGCCCGCATTGCCGATCGCCTGCGGTTCTTGACTTCCGAGTACTCAATCAGCAGTGCTCAGGCCCAGCAGCAGACAGGTGGCAGCGGTGGTCGCGGCAGCGGCGCTGCCGGCGAGATGTCGTCGGTGTCCCCCATCAACAGCCATGGCCGCAACTCGAATGTGCCCCCGTCGCAGCGTCTTGCTGATACTGTCGCTTCGGTGCTAGCCCACTCGCAACCGAACTACCCACCGACGCTGCCACCCGCCTCCCATCGCGCCTCGAACTCGGTATCTCAGGACATGCCGCCAGCCACGCTGGGATACCCGTACATGCAGCAGGGGAATGGTGCTGCTGGCAACCCATCCACAGCAGCAATGAGCTTCCCGGCCGCGTCGCTGATGAATCCGATGGGTGGTAGCGTGGTTCCTCCACCAGCTGGTTTTGGTGGCATGGTTGCACCGACTGCCCAGCAACAAGAGAGCCTCCTAGCTGCCTATTACCAGCAGCAGCAGCAGCAGCAGCAGCAAATGGGTGCGGGTGGTGTGCCGCCTGCAGGTTTCTACGGTGGAGCCATGGACTTCCAGCAGCAGCAGCAGCAGCAGCCAGCAGCAGCGTCGTCGGCAATACCGTTCTATCCGTTTGGTGCTGCTCAGCAGCCGCAGCCACCTCAGCAGCAGTCCGCAGCAATCGTCCGCTGGCGACCAGTAGACTGCACATAGGTGGTTTGCTGGTCCCCTCAAGTGATGAAGTATTTCTATCGTTGTGTTGATACCCGCTTCGCTCACCAAAATTTTTTTACGAGCGCCCTCTTATTTTTTTCTTTCACAGTATTTTTTCCTTGCAAATATTTATTCTCACAGGCTTCCTCAATTCGCGGCAATGACATTGGCAGGGACAGACGACAGCATGACCCTGGAGCAGCTCGAAGCATTTGTAGAGCGGTACTCAACCAGCACTGCCTATCGTTGCTCAGGAGGACCCCCCTGCGGTGAGCACTGAGGACTTGGTGGCCCTGCTGTCGCAGGCAATACAGCAAAGCGAGCAGCAGCCAGCAACGAAGCGTGAGGCCGAAGACGATGAAGATCCAGCTATAGAAACTCGCCAGCACAAGCGCCAGCGCACTGGCTGCGCCGCCGCTGCCAAAGCCTCTGATGGGCGGATAGACAGCAGCACGGCATTCCTGCTGCCACCACTGATGTCAGACATGGGTATTGACATGCTGACGCGCGTGCTGGTCCCCGATCTGCTCCAGCTGCCGCAGCTCGAAGTCCACAGTGACCCACAGAACCACGTTCATGGCACGTCGCTCGAAGTAATTGCCAGCTCGTGGGACGGGATCTGGGAAACGGGTCAGATTCACTTGGACAACACACTGGCGATTCGTGAAGTGCTGAGTTCCACGAACGACCAGTTGCTAGTGTGGACGGCGCCAAGCGGCTCGGGAAAGTCTGTGTTTTTGTCACTGCTGCGCAACTTTTCCGCAGCTGTTGCACCCATGGACCGCAAGGAGCGCCAGGGCAGATTCAAGCCATACGCGATTTGCGAGAAGGCGCCGCGATACTTCAAGAAGCATTTTGCACAGCACCCAGTTCTGTTGCTTGACGTCTCACGCGGCAAACCGCGTTCAGTGCAAGGCGCCATGTCAATCGTGGCTAGTGCAATTGTGGATGCTGCGAAGCAGTATATGAAGGTGTTCAGCAGCGAGCTTACCTGCGAGCAGCGATACCAGATATACAGCGGGATCACAGAGGAGTTTATGACGGCGGCCCACGCTGATCTGGAGCAGCTGCGTACAGAGTTCAATATATTGGAGAGCGGGGAGGTGAGCGACACCAGCCTATTTGTGACGTTCATTGACCGGCTGGTCCATTTGCTAGCAAGGTGCTTTGGTGGTAAAAAGATTGTGGTGCTCATTGACGGGTTCGACGTACCGTTTGCACATGTATTTTCGTCCTGCATGTCGCTAGACGAGCAGAACGCAATACTGTCGGTGTACGAGAGGCTGTATCAGCGGCTGATGGCCCAGGACGAGGTCATCGGCACCAGAATCATAGCTGGAATCCACGACGTGTCCAAGCGATTTCGCGTCGCTGATCGGAGGCAGGCGAACGACATGTTTGTCAATGCCACGGGCCTGTCGATTGACAGCGCCGAGCACATTATTTCCAGATTCGTCGACGAGGATTGGAGCAAAGGAAATCTGAGCGGTGCCTGCCCGACTGACAAGGTTAAAAGTGATTTGATGTGGGTCTGTCACCACCGATTCGGTAACCAAGCTGGTGATGTAAAGGATGAGCGTATCTCAAACATATACTGCTTCCTGAGGCTGCTGCAGGGCGTACGGAAAGAGCCTGCTATTATGCCTGCTAACCTGGTCCGCCTCGACTATTTTATGTGGCCCGAGCACACTGACGAGCTGAGCTTCATAGTTTCGCGAAACATCACCGATAAGCGTCTGTTCGATCGGTTTGCGAAGCTGGTGCTTGGGGCGTACCTCAGTCGCGACTTCCACATCAAGCAGGCACTGGCATCGGGCACATACAAGACGATCCAGGAGGCGATTACACACCAGAATAGCTGTACTAGAAACACGCCTGTAGCCACATGGTCCACAGAGTTCCGGGACATGGCTGCCAAGCTCGTGGCAGCATCGGTTGATCTGCCGCGGCACAGATATCAAGTCTCGACGCTCGAGATGCTGGGGATTCTGCTCTCGGTCGGATCGCTGGTTCCTCAAGCTCGGCACGCGGTGCGGATCTGCACGCCCGACGCATTTCTGCGGATGCTGGTGCTGTTGAACTGTGGCCAATACGGGTTTGCGACAGCTAGCTCGTACATGGAATGGTATGTAGAGTATGTCGGAATTACGAGCAGCAGCGCGTTCACATTTGGCGCAGCGATAGCTGACAGCGCTTACTATCTAACCCCCTACGGCAAGAACCCGATGCCAAAGTTTCCAATCTCGCTTGTGCAGTGTCTGACCCATCCGCTGTATCTAGCTGGTATCAAGATACTTGTCACAAGCGAGCCATCTGGGAATAACCGAGGCACATTTTGCTTTACGCTGAAGGGTGCAGCACGTTCCAGCACGTTTGTCGTAATGCAGGCGGCACACCCATCTCAGAAAAAACACATGGCCCGCTATGTGGAGGACCAGCTGAAGACTGCTAAGTCACCTGCGCAGAAGCAAAAGAACCTGATGCACATATCTAACGAGTACCTCCAGGCGTCTGTCCACGCAATGCCGCGGTACCCTGATCAGGCACCAATTCCTGGGGATATGCTGCTCTGTATTGGGCTGGCATTCTACGAAAAGCTACTTGGCATCAGCCTGCGTGAATACGAATGGAAAGTAGGACCGTCCACCCCTAGCCCCGATGGAGGCCAATGGACACACCGCGCCATCAGCTATGACATGTGCAGGTGTCTTGACAGCATTTCCACGAGAGCGCAATGGAAGGTTGCGCACGGAAATGTTTGCATTGGCTGCCATGTAGAATAAGACTCCAGCCCCAACTCTTCCAAATACCATGACAGACACCCTACGGGAGGCCATAGTGGAAGCCGCAAGAGCTACCACAGGCAGACACCGTCCAGCAAAGAAGCTAAATAAACAATTACTGCGTGAACCACTGCTTGACATTTGCACGATCGGTCTCGAACCACTTGGTGTTGGCCTTGATGGTCTCGATGGTCTGCTCGACCGAACGGCTGTATGTAGCAGTTGTCTTGCTAGCAAAGAACTGCTCAACCTCCTCTGCCTTGTCAGCGCCGATAAAGTGCTTGGTGGAGAACTCGACCAGGCTGCCTAAGTGGCGGGTCGAGACCGAGTAGCGGCTGTAAAGCGTGTCGTAGTTGTCCTTGAACCACGCCCACACCTTGTCGCCGCCATGTGGGTTGCCTGACACCGAAAATACAATGAGGTGTGAGTCCTGGCGGCGCACATCGTCGGTCAGAGTGAAGGCCAGGGCATCGTCCAGAAGCTCCGAGTCCGAGGTCTGGCCAAGTGCAGACAGAGCAGCCAGGCGCTGGTCGACAGTCTTGGAGGCGTCAAGGTAGAACTGCTTGACCTTTTCGTAGTCAGAGCGCGTACCTGTACGTACCACAACGGCCAGCACTGGGCGCAGCATGTCGCTGCCCAGTGCCTGCTTGTTTCCAGCAAGATACTCGTTCAGACGACGGTGCGCCTCGGCAACGACCTTGTCGTCACCGGCCAGTCCGGCCATGCGCACAGACAGAGCGCGCAGGCGGTTAGCCAGGCCATCTTCGGTCATCTCCCAGCCCAGGCGCTCAATGACCGAGCCGAACAGCTGCAGGCACATCGCGTTGATCTGCCTCTGGATATCGGCTGTCTCAGTGGCCCACGCCGACTGGAACTTGGCGAAGCGGGCCGCGATTTCGCCCCACACCAGGTACTCAGACTCGTTCTGGCATGCTTTGAGCAGGGTCAGGAATTCTGAGGTACGGCTGTGCCCGCTAGCAGCAAGGGCTGCAGCATCAGCAATGATGCCGATGCGATCACTGGTCGACAGCTGACCACCGGCAGCAATGGCCTTGGCCAGGTTGGCAATAGCTCCCGCCGGATAGTTGACGCGGTAGATGCCAACTGTGTCCTTGTTAAGCTTGTACCATTCGGCACCCGATGACGGAAGAGCGATCGTTGACTCGCGCTGAGTCAGCACATCGCCGGTAGGGGCATCAGCAGAGTTGGATGTCGTGATCCGCAGCGGGACCCACCACTGGGTCTTGTCCTCATCAGCAGCAGCCTCGCCTGAGGATAGGTAGCGGCTCTGGCGCACAACGATCTGAGACCTGTCGTCGGACTCAGACACGGTCAGGATCGGATAGCCGGTGGTCAGGGTCCACAGGTCCATGAATTGGCCCACGTCCTGGCCCGACGACTCGCTCAGCGCATTCCACAGATCAACAGTCTCGGCATTAGCGTACTTGTGCTTCTGCAGGTACACGCGCAGACCAGCAAAGAAGCTGTCTAGGCCAATGTACGAGCTAAGCATGCGGATCGCGCTGGCACCCTTTGAGTACGAGATGGCATCAAAGATCTGGCTGATGTCCGACGAGCGCTTGACCGGCACCTGAATTGGATGTGACGAGCGCATGGCGTCGAGGTTCAGCGCACGCTGGTAGTCATCAATGACAAAATCGGTCCAGACATGGTACTCGGGGAAGAACTGGTCCACGGCCAAGGTTCCAACCCAAGTAGCAAACCCCTCCTTGAGCCACAGGTCGCTCCACCACTCCATAGTGACCAGATTGCCGAACCACTGGTGCGCCAGCTCGTGGCTGACAACGTAGGCGACCTGCTGCTTAGCAGCAGAGCTAGTAGTGGCCTCGTCGACCAGGAGAGCGACCTCGCGGTACGTGATCAGACCCCAGTTTTCCATGGCTCCAATCTGGAACTCGTTGATCGCGATCTGGTCCATTTTGGGCAGTGGATAAGGAATGCCAAACACATCGGCGAAGTATTCCAGCACTTTGATCATCACGTCGAGCGCAAACCGACCCTGCTCGCCCTTGCCTGGGGACGTATAGACGCGGCACGGAATTGGGCGGCCGTTATGCTCGCCGCTGGTATGGCCTTCAACATAGTCAAACTCACCAACGACAAATGCGACAAGGTACGTCGACATGACCGGCGTGGTGTTGAACGCAACCTCCTTCAGGCCGCCACCGACCTGCTTGGTCTCGCGCACATCCATGTTCGACAGCGCTGTCAGATCGTCCTTGATGCGCAGCGTAATGGCGAAGGTGGCCTTGAGCAACGGCTCGTCAAAGCACGGGAAGGCGTAGCGGGCACTGACGGGCTCAAAGTGGGTTGAGGCCATGTTCTTGGTGTTGCCCTGACTGTCAGTGTACCGGGAGCGGTAGAACCCAAGCATTAGGTCGTTAAGCACACCCGTAAACTCGAGTGTCAGCACAGCCTCGCTGCTGGCAACCAGCGCCTGCCTGAAGCTGAGTTCAACGGCCTCCTTCTCCTGGCTGATCGCAATGGTGGCAGCAGTAGCAGTAGCATCCGAACCCAGGGTGCTGGCAAGCGAGGCCGACGTGACATCAAGGTCCTTGGCATGCAGCGCTATGGTGCTGCTGGACTCGTTGACACGCAGACGAATCGAAACCTTACCGGTGAACGTCAAAGCATCGAGGTCTGGAGCCAGGAGCAAGTCGTAGTGGAGCGGAGTAACGTTGGTCGGCAGCAGCTCGCGATCGCTGGCGGCGTCAGCGTTTGCAGTTCCAGAGCACATTTGTCAGGAGAAGAAAAATGGATTTTTAGAACAGTCGATATAATGATGGCAAAAAACCGAGTGAACAAGAACACTTTGAACAGTGACGAAAAGCTCTGTCCTTTTTGTAGCTGCTAGCAATGAGCGTGAGAAACAATATCAAGCAGAGGATTAGGGTGGGCTGTATTGGGGGCTCTGAGCAGCTACCAGCCCTCCACCATGCGCAGCTGGACTTTTCGGCCTGTGCAGCATGCCGATACGCCGAATGGGCCCTGGTACTGTCACCACTCTGCTCGCTATCTTCATTATCAGCACCGTGCCAGCAGCTTCGATGCTACAGTGGCGCACACGGGTTAGTTTTAGCAACACCATGCTAGGTCTGAAATCCGATACATTTTTCTGATGCATATTTTCAGTAGACTATTCCATGCTGGAAAATACAAAAAACACTCAAAACGCTGCACACAGCAGGCTCGTTGCAGCTTGGCTTCCACGCACTGAGCGGGCATATTACTGCGCACAGCCCCTTTTCGCATATCCATTCATCTGAAGACTGGGAGAATGAGCCAAATGCGGGGTATCTACGCTTCGTCCAAATCGCGCAGGAACACACCCTGGTTCTGGTGGTCTGGTAGCCCGAAGGCGCCGCCTGCACCGCCGGCCGGACCAACCGAGCCGTTGTGGTGCGGCGTGGAAAGGTTCGACTTGTCGCTGTAGTACCCATTGGCCTGACCCATCGGCGGCTGCTGTGCAGCAACCGCAGGATTGGACTGCGACGGATCGAACTCGGGGAACTCGTTGTAATCAATGTTCTTTGCAAACTGCTTCTTCTGCTGGTACCGGCGCCAGAACAGGAATCCAATGATACCGCCAATAACCACCACGATTGCAATAACAATACCCGCAATCGCACCACCACTCAGGCCCTTGCCCGACTTGGGCGTCTCCCTGTTCCCGGAGTTGGACTCGGTCGGGGTCCCTGAGCTTTTGGCTTCCTGTGTGCCTGACGGGGTTGGTTTGGTAGTGGCCTTTGTACCTGATAAGGTCGGCACCGTGTTCTCAGTTGGGCTGGTAGAGCCAGTCGTGTCAAAGCTGGTAGTTGTGGTGGTCGATGTAATAGTGACTGCATCTGTGTCCTTGCTGTCGTTGCTAGTGCTCGAGTTGTTCTCTGGCTTGCTCTCACCCTGCGAGGAGGATGTCGGCGATGACTCTGGGGGCGGAGGAGTCGTGCTCGAAGGAGGCGGGTTCTCTGTGCTGGACGGGGGATGCTCCGATGAGGAGGTTGGTGGGGGCTGCTCTGACGATGTGACCGGCGGCTTCTCAGTAGTACTCGGGGGTGCCTCTGACGTTGAAGGCGGGGGAGACGCAGAGCTCACATCAGCATGGGACCCTTCAGAGGAGGGCGGATCCTGTGCGACAGCGACTGCCGACATTGCCACTAGGGTGACTGCGAAAATTGCCGCGAACCGTGAAACCTTCATTAGAATGGAATTTGAATAAAAAGGAAATATATGCGGAAAATAGGGTGGCGAGGGAAAAGGAAAGGAGTGAGGGGAAGAGGGGAGAAGGAGAGAGCGCGTGGTCGTTAGAGGAAAAAGAGTAAAAAGGACGGTGTTAAACTGAGGCAAGAGTAAGGGAGGAGAGCGAAACCCGCATAAAAGCGAGCGAAATGATATGCTCCCAACAAGGCCGTCGATCCTCCAGGTAATTTTTGGCAGTGAGAAAACAACAACCACGAGCATGCTTGGGGCGTGACGACTCATAGTGGCACCACCGCCAATCAATCAGGCAAAATTAGCTGGGAACAGGCCCAGTTCGGTCCTGATGCTGCTAGAGAGCGACACAGGTACGCACGTCGCTGTGGATGCAGTGACCTTACAATCAAAGAATATCATATTTGAAAGATAGAGCGCTTTGAGGTGACGGCTTGGATGAGAGTGGCACTATCCACAGGTGGAGGCCGCAGCATGCGTAAACATATATTGATCATGAAAACAAGCAGGATGGGGCGAATGCGGATATCCAGAATAAACCCTTTTGAACTGTGTATGTGCGCATGAGACTGTTTTACGGGACTGAGTGATGGTCCTGCTGGTCCAGTCTGCTTTGGGTGGTCCGATTTTGGTTCGTCTCAGACCATCGGGCTGATGGCTGAAACAAAGATATCGAGCGAACTACGGAGTGGCGAATGTTGGCAGCAAGCATGTGAATTATTTGTTGCATGAGCGGATATGATGCTATTCATCGATCTGAACAAGCGTTTCTATAATATCAAAAAGGAAAAGGAAAAGGCATGAACTTCAGTACAAATATTCATCTTCATATGTAGGCAATAAGCTAACTTTTGCTGTAGGGTACAATGAGAGGTGACATTGGAGCTCACATGCTTGAAATTGGTATTCTATCTACGCAGCATGGGTGGCAAATATCGAGCACAGCTCTGGAAAAGCTAAAGCTCGCAAGACAACCTAACGCTATGAAAAGTATGAGGCAGCGCTCAGATGCAGAGGAATTGGCGACCACGACTCAGACCTTGGCAGATAGGCGCAGTGTCGCAGGCAGACTAGCCTCATCCGCTATTCTAGTATTCGTTTTGTTGAGTGGTTGGTGGTTGGTGGTGTTGTGGATTGGAGCTGTCAGAATGTGCGTCCATCCTCGCCGCTCGCACTCTTAAACCCACGCCCGCAGAAAGCGAGCGAGGGGGCGCAGAGCAGGCAAGATCATCGACGGGTCGAAAAAAGCAGCAGCGTCACGAATGAGCGCTGGACCCACACCTCCCTTTACGGACGGCGCACTGTCGGTCATCTTCCAGCGTGGTTCCAATGTCTATGTTCGATGAACAAAGAACTGTAAATTAACTGTAAACATAATCCTGATGAGAACAGTCGATTGAGGTTTCTCCAAGCTGTGCTGCAGCGGTGCGCAATTTATACCAGCCCGTGGTTGGGGCACTTGAAAGCACAATGATGGGACAATGACAATATTCACACCTTGCGTTGGATGGCTCAGAAACAGCGGTTGGGGGTCGATGAAGGGCGACACCACAGGATTTCAAAGTTCTTATGCCTAGAGGCTTACACAATTTGTTTGCTGGTGAATTGCATAAATACGTATGCCATTTGCACCCCCAGGTACATCTGATAGATTTCATTTTGGTAGTGATTACGCGCCTGCATCCGCTTCAGCTTGGAGGTCGATGTGAGGATGCCGTTGGTCTCAATATCGAATAGCCTGTGGTCAAGGTGCGGCTTCTTGATGGTTTCGTAGCCTTGTAGCTTCGCTTGCTTGTCGTGCTTGCTCAGCATACTGAGGACCTCGTCGACAACCATCTTTTCAGTGCAGCGCCCAGCAAACGAGGCACTAGGATTTCCTACCAGCTTGCGGGCCCAGGGGACAAAGGTCTCAGGATCGTGAACTGCTACCTGTTGACATTCGGAGTCCGGAGTCCCCCTGCGCCACCATAGACAAGGCCGAAATGCATACGTACAAAGGCCCAGACAGACGACCAGCCTTCCTTCTTCCCCTCAGTCACTTTGAGAAGTTATTTTTCCATATGTTCGATAACCACCCATTCCCCAAGTTAACACCCGCCGTTCATACCCGCTGAACATTTGTATCGCCAGATCAAATATGCAATCGCCAACAAACTTGTTTTGATACAGGCCTACTGCACATTGAAAGTTATCGAAGACGGTCTTGATCCCATCATAGATATCAGTGACATTGAGTTTGTCCTTGCATAACTCATTGCGCAGGGTGTAGGACTCGCATTTCTGCTGCAGGTTAGGAGCAACGTAAGATGTTAGCATTGTTTAGCAGCGGCAGCGGTTTTTGCTGCATTAAATGCAGTTGAGAGACTAGATAAGGATGGTTGCTAGCAAAACTCCGGCTCTCTCAAGCATTTCTGCTATCTGGTTCATTTTAATACTCGGAGATATCGAATCTTGTGCGCTCTACAGCCTCCTTCCAAGGACCTGGAAGAAACTGTTGCCCCGAATCCCGATAATATGCGGAGGAACAAGGAAATTGGCCCTTGGATGCTCGATTCCACGCATTGACCAAGCCGCGCACGGGATGGCTCTGGCCGTTTCCAGTAGCCTTTTTTTGGATGCTAGTCCATGACCATGCTGCGCTCCCATGTCGGAGCGGCGACCACTGGTTCCCGACCCCGAGCCAGGTTGTGTAGCTGTTTATCTTTGCAATCATTCTGATCAAAAGACAGTCCAGATTATATCGGAAGACCGCTGGCTTGCAATGACTAGCATATCGTCACCGTAATGGTCGCATGGGCCCTTGTGCATTTTTCCCTGGACGAAAATGGCATTTAATGCGTAGATGCGAAACAGTACAGTGCATGGAAATGCGTATGCCGCAAACACTCGCAGCCAGATCGTCTATCCACGGCAAGCACGAAGTACCCAGTTGCCAAGAGTTTGGCCGTTGCAGATAAACGACACCACAAACCGTCCCAGTTCAGACAGATACACAATATTGACTAGTACCAAGTTTCTTGCCTATATCGGAGGGTATGTTCTATTCACCCATGCCCATGCAACGAGCAGTGCAGTTACGCCATAAAGAGCAAGGCGACCGTACACGATAATGTGATTGGTCATGCCAATTGGATCATTATGAAATGGAGCCCATCTCCAGGTAACGCTTGCGAAACAGATATATTGTTGCCGCAAGTATAGCGGAATAGCAGCCAAAGTACAAGAAAAATGAATATGCCACATCCAGCTCTCAAGTCTGAGGGTGCCTGCGTTTTCTATATCTCTCCAGACCAGTGCCACCGGTCGCAAAATTGATCAAGGTATATTCCGTTTGGCCTGTTTGGTTTGCAGGCAATGTTTTATTTCTATGGTAATCCATGTTGTTTAGCCACATTCTGTAGACAACACATCCAGGTTACCCACACTGTGCTTTGCGACAGGCGCCCTCAGCAGGCAATTGGTACCCCTAGGAAATGGTAAGCAGATAATGGAGCACAAAGGACCGTTGTATAGTCCTCGATGCCCAGCTACCAAGAAATGACCCTCAACCGCTGTTTCTGAGCCATCCAACGCAAGGTGTGAATATTGTCATTGTCCCATCATTGTGCTTTCTAGTGCCCCAACCACGGGCTGGTATAAATTGCGCACCGCTGCAGCACAGCTTGGAGAAACCTCAATCGACTGTTCTCATCAGGATTATGTTTACAGTTAATTTACAGTTCTTTGTTCATCGAACATAGACATTGGAACCACGCTGGAAGATGACCGACAGTGCGCCGTCCGTAAAGGGAGGTGTGGGTCCAGCGCTCATTCGTGACGCTGCTGCTTTTTTCGACCCGTCGATGATCTTGCCTGCTCTGCGCCCCCTCGCTCGCTTTCTGCGGGCGTGGGTTTAAGAGTGCGAGCGGCGAGGATGGACGCACATTCTGACAGCTCCAATCCACAACACCACCAACCACCAACCACTCAACAAAACGAATACTAGAACAGCAGATGAGGCTAGTCTGCCTGCAACACTGCGCCTATCTGCCAGGGTCAGTTGTGGTTGCCAATATCCAGACTACTCATTTCTGTGTATCTGGAACAGTGCTGGGATGTATCAACACCATGTAGATGTAAACCTGACTCCAAGCAGCCCACATCAGAACATGGCTACACTCGCTGTAGTGTTGAATACGCGTTTTTTTTCTGGATGCGAATAGGCGTATTGCCTTTTTGCAGCCTACGAGAAAACTGCTTTAACTTTGCTGGTAGCATATCCAAAGGCAAGAAGTGAAGTTGTTGGTTGGACTCATTAATGGTGTGCCACTGTGGACAAAACTGGTCGTGTATTGTGAATTAGTTTATCTAAAATAGCCTCTACTCACGCAAGCTCATCCTTTTCCTTGATGACGCTAGCCTGCCACTTCTTGCCGATGACAGTGTGGATACCGCATGAGTGGATGCGGACGGTGTCTTCAATAGGGCGGTCCTTTGTCTCGGGAACAAACAGGAAAATGAAGACAACAGCCAAAATATTCCACGCCATAAAGAAGAAGAAGGTCCAGTCACCCATGGCCTCCTGCATGGGCGGAAAGATGACACCGATGACGAAGGTGAACAAATAGCCAATACCAGTACCAATAGCAGACATGGCAGTCATTGCATACCCAGGGGTCATTTCCCCTGCAACAGCCCAAGGGATAGGACCAGGACCGAGGTTAAAGAAAGCGTTGAACAGGAACACCATGGTCACAACAAGGCCAGTCACATCCTTGACAGACCCAGCAACCATGAGGGCAGAAAAGATACCCATAGCAGCATGCGCCATGATAAGCAGGGTGCGGCGGCCAAGGTAAGCAGCCAACACCATACCAAGGAAGGTGAAAATCATGGCAACGATCGAAATAACAAATGTCAGGATCTGGGCCAGAGTGGGGATGTCGGCCGGGTTATCATGGGTCGAGTTGTTGATGATCTGGGTCGAGTAGAAGATGACAGCGTTGATACCGCACATCTGCTGGAAGAACATAAGTGCTGATACGCACATGAGTTGGTGGCGGAGGTTGTCGGGAGTTTGGCCGCGCAGAACCTGCATGACGTTGACATCGGCTGTGCGCTCACGGTTATCCTTATCTGTCTGGATAATGTCGTTTATCTCCTCTTCGATGTCAGCCCCAGCACGGAACCTTTGCAAGGAAACGCGCGCCTCGTCAATACGGCCGTTCTTGACCAGCCACTTGGGCGACTCAGGGGCGAACGGGAACAGAGCAAAGTTGATCAGGCCAAAGACACCAGTAATGGCGAACAGAATGCGCCAGCGAGGGGGAGGAGCAAGACCCAGAGCGAAGCCATTGTTGATCATAATACCTAAGACACATGCGAACTGTAGAGCACCGCCGAGAATAGTACGGCCGCGCGCGGTAGTCATATCCGAAATGTAGGTGGCCATGGCGTTGTTGGCAGCACCGGCAGCGACACCGACCACAATGCGACCAATAATGAACTGCGGAATCTTAGTAGTCAGCGACAGCAGCAGGGCACCGACGACGTTGAGCAGAGCGAACCAGCAAAGGACGAACTTGTAGCCCTTGCGGTTAATAACTGGGTTGGAGATGACAGCGCCCATGATGGCGCCAAGGGCATAGCAGCCGACAATGATACCCCAGATGGTTCCGGACTTGACATAGATGCAAGACGGGAACAAGCCGTAATACTTCCGGCCAGTGACACAGTTCTGCAGGACATCGCCGGGGATGTTCACCGAGCCGATGTTCCAACCAAAGTTGAGACTGCCGATGGCGGCCAGGATGGTGCAGAAGACCTGATACTTTGTCACTCCGAGTGTACGTGAGTCGACAGACATGATGGACGATCGAGCTTGACTAATTAATAGCGAAAAATAGAAAAGTACAGCGAATTACTAGTAGTATAGCGATTCAAAGCGATAGAATAGCTTCAAATACAAGCAGATAGTGAAAGGTGAGAGAAATAATAGTGCCAGGGAACCAAGGGAAGCGATAGTAGATATCTGGTTTGGTTTTGTAGATATGATGGTGTCGCTCTTGTCTTGACCGCCGCCACCAGATGGCCATTTATATGCTTGCTGCCGGACGGCTCAGCAGAGGCAACCTGGAGGGGAGACGTCAGATTGCCGCATAGAAGTTAGTTGCGCTCGGAGATAAACAGCAAACCAGATCAGGTACGTAGGACCTAGACATCCGGACATTCTTTTTTTGAGCTTCGAAAAAGGAGCTAAAACATGTGCCACCGATCTCTAGAATTCACTCGGTGTTTCTGTGCACCAAAGATGCAAGTTATATTGAACAAATATGAGTGTATTACCTATTCCCTCCTTTCGGATTATCGTCAGGGCGGGCGAGTTGCTTTATATAGAATATCCTGCGGACATTCACAGTGCACCATTCAGTCATCGCCGAATTCGTTACGCTCCTTGTACCTGGCCGAACATTACATGATTGCCGGTCTCCAGAATTTACTACTGTGCTACATTACCGAATGCCCCTGGATAATTTGACATGGTCAATGCTGGCAATAGGTGCAGGACAGTTGATGGCTCTCAATCGCAAAACTGCATTACGTGCTGATTGAATATTTGACTTTGGATGGTACGGAACCCAGCTCTCGAAAGTTGACATGGTATAAACATAATGCAGCTAACCTTTTATCTCTTGTTCACGCTGCCCCTCGTACGCTTCTGTTTTACACCATGGCTGTTCGTTGCGCTAAAAGTCACACGAAAGAGCTGAAGGAAAGGGAAAGCTTGAAAATAGATCAGACGACATCGAGTGGTACAGGTGATCCGTATATGCGACCTTTGGCAATATCGGACATTTCGATTTTTCATGCACAGAGCAGGGAACAGGGGGTATAGGAGGTCTGTGCTACAAGCATAGCGTGCTCATCGGTCGGCACACTACACCGCATGAATTCAGGTGGAGTTGAATAACAGGTGATAGTAAGGGCTTGCGGAACTTGCACCACCAATGAAGCCCTTTCCTTCTCAGCCCTTTGCGCCGTAGCTAGACCACATTCACCTTCGGTCTGCCAGCGGAGTGAACAGAGGTTTCGATATCAGGCACCTGAATAGTTGCAACCGATGCAGAGACTTTCTAGGCAGCTACTTTGCCGAGTAGCTGGCAGAGAAGCTATTCGCATAGCCAGGCTCGGACTATCCAAATAATGAAATATCGCAACTGGTGTATCGGGGTTAGGTCGGAGTGTTAAGCACCGCTGTCCGAGATCATCCGATAGGCTGTTGCATTGCCTTCTATATCTTTTTTTAGTTTTTAGAACTGGATAAACGTCACTGGTCATGGCCCTCGATATATTGTTTGACAGTAGGTTCTTGCTGCTTAATAACTCGCTGGATAATAGGTTTGTTTAAATGCACGAAGCCATGCTTAAGGTCAGTGCCCTGAAACGGCAAGCATGAATAGCCATGGTGGATAACCCTTCGTCAGCAGATTTTGTGTCATTTTCTATTAGCAACCATGCCAGCTAGAATGTTCGCCACCGTCCTATTCAGTTATCCATCATCCACTACTTGCCGTGGCGTGGTGTAGCTGCGTCATATGTTAGTGAATATAGCGGCCATTGCATAGTTTGTTTCATTTAAAAATAGACCAGCTGCTACACATCTCCTGATTCTTTTTCACACCTTGCCGGTATACCGCTCTGGGTGTGGCTCGTGATAAAAATCATTCGGTGTGGCCTGTCCGAGTATGCCCATTCCTGGACATTCGCTGTTCCTCATCTCGAAGTACATGAAAATGGCCAGGCACTAATGTCCAGCTCTGTTGTACACAAGTATGAATATGCTGATACGGCCACCAACAACACGGCCGATACCAATGCCTTGGGGCTAGTATATAGCAATAGGTTCTATGATTCTGTCGCAGACAAGGGATGGTTAGCAAGGAGAGGCCATTATCAAACTCAATTGGCACCGCCTAAATGCGTCGGCTGCACCAGAATAATACCTCAGCGCTATACATAGCAAGGGTGTGGCTATATGTCCAGCATGCGAGAATAAATGTAGTGTTTCCAGAGCTGTGTTTTCCTTGTTGTATTAAAGTAAAAGACGTAATGGATTCGAAAAATAATAGCGAAAGTGAAGTGTGGCAAAAAGGAAGATGGGATCGATAGCTGTGAGGCAATTAACACAATATGAGGACCTAATCCAAATGAGAATAGGAAAACAAAGTAAGCATAGCACAGCAATCAGTACTTTGTCTCTTCACATCTCTTTTGTTACATCGAGCAAAAAAGCTTTAAATTAAAATAAAAAAGGATATTCAAATTATAGAAGCTAGCACTTGCTTTTGGCAATAATATTGTTTGTAATTCTGTATTTGCTTCAAAATGAATGCTAACACCAAATATGCAAGTACAAGTGAGGTACTATTTTGATAATAGTTTAGTTCATAGCGAATTTATTGCATCAGCTAGTTGCTAATAATCTACTATCATTTTTCATAATAAGAGGTAATTGCTATAAATACTACCACTGGGTATAACTAAAAACAAATAAAGAATAGGCAGTAACTAGTTGATGTGGGTGTAGGGGAAGAAGAGCTAGATGATGGGGGAGGCTTAAGCACACCATTTCCATAAGGTCCAGTTATATATGCTACTCCTGCAACTTTCTGAATCCATAAGAGGTAATAAAAGGTATGAGTATAGAAGCTATAGTCACCTGGGGTTGCACACTGGTTAGGTGGAAGGCTCATATACTGATTATAACTAACAATACCTGCACCATATGGTATGCCATTTATATTAATAGTAGTACTACCACCACTATCACCATAGCAAGTACCTACTCCTGGACTATATATATACTCAATACATATCTGCTCACCATTATTATCTGTAAAGTCAGAGTTTGCAGCCTGGCAATCATCAATTATACCTGTATAAACAGTTCCATGCTGCAGATATGATGGTGTGTCCTCTGAATTAGCATCCTCAACACCCCAGCCATAGACATCAATTGCCTGGTGTGGATCAATAGTACCATCATAGATAGTAAGTGCCTCAGCATACCCTGGAGTTAATGTAATTGCCCATGCAAGTTTAAGTACTCCTATATCATTCTCAATAGACCAAAGGTTAAATAGAGGGTGCACAAATGTTTGGCTAACATTCACATGCTTCTGTTTATATTCATTAACTGAGTTATAGCCAATAGTCATTTGACTTGGTGGAGTTATAATACCTGTTTCTGGATTATGGATGCAATGGGCAGCTACTAGAATTGTGGTGTTATCTAATATTGCACCAGTACATTGACTATAAGATGCTGAATTAGTTTGCCAACCATATAGAATAACAGCCCATGGTGCTGTTCCTTGTGGGGTATTAGTACCATTAGTAACACGACTACCTCCCTCTGGGGCAAAGGAAGGTTGAGCCAGTACTGAGCCAAAGAAGATTGGAAGAGTAATCTTCATATATACCAACACTTTTAAAGGAACTAGATAATTGTAAACTAGGGTTAAAATGAAAAGAGTGAGGCTTTATATATAACAAAAGCCTTTCTGCTTAAACATATTTGGCAGCTATCAAAATGGTTATAATATCAAGTGATAACTAAAGCCATTAATACTGAGTATGCCAGTTGAATAATTGGAAATTGATTTACAAATGTAATTGATGAATGGCAAACATAGAAACACTGGCTTCGTGTCAATACTATACAGAGATATTAGATAGCCAGTGTAGTTCAATGAGATTCAATTAATGCAATAAATATGGGCATGTACAGAAATTTGTCCAATGCCATTCAGCTAGTAACATACATTGAAAGATTCAACAGTGTGGTTATTTTAATGATGCCAATGTGGGTAAACAATCTTTGCCTCAACTAGTGGCCAACCACAGTCTATCATAAATATGTATTGGCAACATGGCAAGGTCCTAAATGCCAAATTCTGCTTGACGACTATGAAGGCAGTCAATACTACAGCATCTCCAGTCGAACTGCTCAAACGGAACAAGGCCATGCAGAGATTTGCCACAATGCGTGCATGAGTCAGTAGACCGCGTACTACTTGTTGGCACAGATTGCTGCTGCTGCTGCTGCTGCCGGCGCTCAAACGCCTTAAAGCGAAGCTCACGGTCAATAGCACGCTGTGTGGTTGGCGACACGGGACGAACTGGCACAGCAGACTGCTTCGGTGGCTGCTTCTTTCCTGATTTTTCCCAAGTCTTGTTTGCCGATGCGTACGCCATGCTGAGCATGCGGGTCCTAAGCTCGCTTTCAGACATGCTGTGGATGTTGTCCCGCCATGTGCGCTCCTCCTGCTTGCGCTTTTCGGCCAATTCCAGCGCGTCGTCCATGGCCTTCTGGTCGAGCTGCTCGGCGGCCAGCGCGCGTTCTTTCTTTTCTTTCTTTTCTTTTTCGCGGGTTTTCCGGCGCTCGCGCTCCTTGCGGCGCTTCTCCTTTGCCTTTTCGTCGTTCTCCTTCATTTTCTCGCGCGTCAGGGGCTCGGGGACACGCGCCTTGTACCAGGCGACGCCGTCAATGTCGCTTTCGTGCTCGGAACGGTATACACGGAAAGTGTCGCGGGTGCGTTTGTCCTTGGAGACCTCGTAGGCGGTCTTGCCGCCAGCAAAGAGCGGCGGGCGGCCATTGGTGACAGTTGGGTCTTCGCCGTTGTCAATCAGGAAAGGAATCAGGCCGCAGCGGCCGAGAGATGCGGCCAGGTGCAGCAGTGTAGGGGTTTTGTGTGCCTCGAGTTTGTCGGTGGACTCGAGGTAGCGTAGATCCATGGCCGGGTCGCCGAGCGCGTCCAGGAGCTGCGCCTGGTGCTCGGCCAGGTATGCGACCAGAGTGTCGTCTGACTGGGACTCGTCAAACATCATGTTGGCGAAGTGGTAGAGGAACGCCATCAAGTCAGGCCGCGGCTCGGGGTCGAGCGTATGGTCGCTTTCGGAGCCGCTGACTTCGGGGGCAGCCTGGTTCGCATCGTCAGCCGGGTCCTGGCGGGGGGCAAGCCGAGCCATATCGACAGTCTTGACCTTGACAGCAATTAGCTCGGTGTATGCACGCTCGAGCTCAGCCAGCGACGGGCGCGCCATGGGAACGGGCAACGAGCGCACGCGCGGGTCATCCCATGAGAGGGCCGAGCCGAAGAAACCCTTGCGGTTGCCGCGGGCGACGCGTACAAAAACGCGCGAGCAGGCACCGAGCAGCAGACTCCACTGGCCCATCAATGCATGGATGTCCTCCAGCAGCATGCGCTCGTTGTAGCGACGGATCTGGGCACCGGCGCTTTTCGCTGGGCGCCCCATGGCGTTGTCCTGGCGTGACTGCGAGCCACCCTGCTTGCGACGGGTGGTGTAGCGCTGGAATGTCTTGTGCTCGATCACCGTGCCAGTGCGGTTGTCGAAGATCGCACCAGCAAAGTATCCGCCGTTGACGCTCAGCACTGCCCACAGGCTGGTATGGCTGAGGTCTGGCACAGGCACAACGGTGGGCTTCGATGCCCCGCTTTTCTGTGACAACGCCAGTTTCTCCATCTTCAGTTCCAGCATTGTCTTTTTGGGCGGCGGGAGGTGCTGCATTGCCATCAGGTCGTGCAGGGCCTGGTCGCGGTCGATATGGACGTTGTGCTGGGTCTTTGGCACCAGAATTCGCCGGTGCACGCCGTAGACTGTCGCAATGCCTTCAGGAGCCTGCGTCTCTGTCTCTTTGCCCTTTGCCGGTCGCGTCAGCTGCAGCTGATGAGAACCAGAGATATGGCGAATTCACCTCCACCAGCACATGCTCATCGCTGCTGCTCGCCGCTGGCCGCGCAACAGCCGGCTGCTTGGTCTTTGTGCTGCTTTTCGGCTCATCGCCAACAGCGCTGATGTCCGACTCGCTCCAGATCGACTCGTCCTCGCTGCTGCTCTCGCTCGATCCAGGCGTGTCTGCATCGGCAAACATATCCTTGGCGACGGGCTGCCAGGGGTGGTCCTCTTCGCTTGCGTGTGCGTGGGTTTGCCGCCACTCAAGCTTGCGTGCCATGTTTGCGCGGTGCCAGTCGGTCTTGAAATGTGCGCGCTGCTCAAGCGCGTCTGCAAAGGCTACGCCGCCGCAGGTATGGCAGGTAGCAGAGGCTATGCGCGCAGACAGGTCCTTCATGCTGGCGTCCTGAGCGTGGTCGACCTGCGGTGTCGAGTAGTGCGTGGAAGCTGTCTGTTGCGGCTTCTCGGCCTTGCTCACTGCATTCAGCTTGTCTGACAGAAACAGCCCGTCCAAGACCGCTGGCGGCAGGTGGAAGACTGTGAAGGTCGATTTCATCAGGCGGAATTAGTCTGCAATAAAGGAGAAAAAAGCGTGTATGTGTTGATAAAAAAAAAGAAACAAGAAGAGATCGTGGTTTTAAGGGAAGTGGGGGAGGACAGGCTGGCTGATTCGAACCGCAGCAGCAAGGAAGGAAGGAAAAAAATCTGTTTCTAAACGAATCCGCGCCGCAGCGCCCCAATACCGACGCGGGACGGTTCGGGCAGGGGCTTTTTTTGCCTGCGGCCCTCATTAACTGCCTTTGAAATCTCCGCCAGGTTCGTCTCGACGACCATGCCGGCAGAAACAACCTCGGACAAAATATAGTGCACGTCGTCAAAGTGGAAGATCAGGTCGAGCTCACACACATTCTCAAATACACGGTCCAGCGCCTCGACAAAGACCTGGATCAGATCGAGAATGCCCAGCTCGCTCTCGGAGCTATCGACTATGAAGACAAAGTACAGGGTTGCGTAGTGCCGGTACACGATGCGCGAGCTCGAGCCGACCAGCTGCTGCGAGCCGTGTAGGAAATTGCAGAGCGTGTCAGAGCGCTTCGATACCAGGCTGTGGATTTCGCGCAACAGCTGCTGCTGTGTCGCCGTGTCCAGCTGCTTGTATGTCTTTATCAACCGCGGCTTGCCCAGCTGGTTGAATATAAGGACCGACTCGATCATTGGAGAAAAGAAGGGAGGAAGGAAAGGACGCGAGGGAGGAGAGGACAATGCGAGGTTTGAGACTGAGTCGAGCAAAGGAAAATAGCCTGCAGTGGTCTGCGCGGAGCTGCTATGGGCAGGGCAGGTGCCGAAAATACGACTTGGTTGCGAGGCGCGCGTCAAGCGGTAGGGAGGCGCGTTTTCACGCCTCGCACAAGGAAAAAAAGTAGCAAGGCTTGCTCTACGGGGTTTTCGCAATTCGACGATATTTTTCTTCTCCCTTTCACTTCCCCAATTCACCACGGCCCGAATTAGCGTTATTCCTTAGACTTGAAAATGACAACTAATGGCACAGAGGCGCTGCTCGACGACGAGCTAAGCGGACTGCTTTCGAGCAGCGGAGCGCACGAGCTCGGCACACAGGACCTGCACAACGACCTGGAGGGTCTGTCGGAGGTGGGACGGGCGATTTCGCCGCGGGAGGCGAGGATGGCGTTCCCGACCAACATAAGCATGACGCCGGCAGGAGTGGCGCGGCGGCGAGCGCGGCCGGCATCGGCAGAGCCCGCAAGCACAGGGACGCGGCGCGGGCATCCCTCGGACGGGTCGCTGACGCACATGTCTGACAGCGTGTGGCAGCTGCAGGGCCACCGGCTGAGCGTGCCGGAGGGGAGTGGGCGGCAGGAAATGCTGACGATGGTAGAGTATAGTGCGCGGGTCGAGGAACATGAAGAGTGGGCTGGTCATTATTTATTGTAAACAATCGTCCCCCCACTGCCTGGGCGATTAGGAGAACAAAGCGACGTGGACTTTGCAGTTAATGGTTGTACTGCCTCCTTTTTTCTTCTTTGCCGTAGGATTTTTCCTCACACTCGACGACGCAGCGGCCAGCGATTCCGTCGGCAGCACAGGCTGAAAGCCAGGGATGGGCGCAAAACGAAGCGGCGACAGAGTCGGGCGAGCGGCTGCCGACGTTCAGCTCACCGCATGGCGAGCAGCCAAGCACATTGCATTACGAGCAGGGCGGGCAGAGGAAGAAGAAGAAAAAGAAGGTGCGGCGGGAGCGCAACCATAGGACGATCCTGGACCGGATCGAGAATGGGTTTACCGAGCAGGAGCTGCAGGAGGCGAGCCAGGACACGTCGACAGACTCGGAGGAGAGGTTCAACATGCATGGAATTATGACGGCGTTCACGAGCGCGCGGCTGTCGGATGCCAGCCTGAGCCCATTGACTGAGGACCAGTCGATTGTCGAGCAGCGGCGCAACGAACTGCAGCAGCGGATTGAGTCGCTGGACAATGATATTGACAATGATATTGACAATGATGACTGGCAGCGGCAGCAGCAGCACCAACAGGTGTCATACAGCCAGCTGCGACAGCGGTTTCTTAATGGTCCGCAGTCATCATCGGTTCAGTCGCCAGTGGTAGCACAGGATATTCCCACAGGCAGTCCCTACCCGATGTATGCAGGGCTAGAGATTGAGTATCCGGCGCGGCGGCTGGGCAAGCGGTACTTTTCGACGCAGACATATGACCACCCGAACATTGAGAGCCCGTACTCGTCGTCGGCGGAGTCGTCGATGGGACCGGCTGACCGGGCGATTGAGGAGTACTGGCAGGCGCAGCAAGCAGCCGAGATGCAGGACAAGCTATCGCACCACAATCCTGGGCACTGATACCGAGTCTGACGACAGCCGGCGCATAGGCGACTATGCGATAGCATCGGCGGGAGACCAGCGGACGGAGGATATTTCGCAGCCTCTGGAAACAGCAGATCTTGGCGAGATATCGGCGGAACTCGATAATGGCAGTGCGGCTGAGAACACGTCGTTCAAACCGATCATGGACGCGGACGATCTGTTCGGCGACACATACGACCTGAGCAACCCGCGGCTCTCGGAGATCATGCGGGATCATGCGGAGATGTTCTCAGACCTGCAGCTGTCAGACGACGACCTGCCGCCGGACTCGCTGTTTGCATCGAGCGCATCAGTGCTGGCAGCAGTGGGCAGGCGGCAGGTGCAGCGCAGCATCTCGGTGTGGGACGGGCGGGATGCAACGCCGGAGGCCATGCGGCAGCAGGATGCAGCGATGGTGGGTGGGCAGACAGTGATAGAGCGGCTGGAAAAATCCAACAGCCTGGGAATGGCTTCGCTGAGCAGCTGACGCCAGCGGACTGCTGCCGCCAGAGGAGTTTTCGCCGCCAACATTGCCTACCGACAGGCAGAGAGCACAGCCGACGAAACTGGTCAATCGCGCGGAGGCAGCACATGCGCCTACGACGCCGCGCACGTTCCTGACACGCGACACGGAGCATTCGCCGACGCATAGGGTGCTGCGACACGTGACACCGTACGATTCCGACGCCGATGCGCGCAGCCGGCCGAGCACACAGGCGCCGTCGCGCAATGCACAGGCGGCGGCAGAGTTTGCATCGGCAGCAGAGTCGGCGCACGGGCTGGGGTCGCTGCTGCAGGACTCGGCACCGAGCATTGCTGGCGGGTCGCCGCACAAGCCGATTTCGCGGGTCCTGCAGACGCCGCGGTTCACCCCGATCCGAACGGTGTGGAATTCGCCGCAGTCGTCCCACGGCCCGTATGTGCCGTTCCAGGAGCCCACGGTGGACGTGGATCTGCTGCCGCGGTACCCGGAGGTGGACCTGGAGCGCCGCAGCATCTCGGATGGCTCGCAAACCGACAGTCTGGACGATCTGACCGAGTCGGATCTGGTGCCGACCATCAAGTACTTGTCGTCGCGCGCGTCCGGCGAGACGTCGCAGACAAGTCTGCCGGCAGCTGCGCGTGGACCTGTCGGGGTCGCGGCATGGGGCATCGGTGCATAAGCGTGGTCAAGTGCTAGGCCAACAGCAGTACGCAGGCGGCGACAAGCCGACGCTGGACGACGTCTATGCGCTGCTGAAGCAGGCGATGACCAAGATCGACTCGCAGCAGAGCGGCAGCCACGCCAAAAGTGAGCTCTCGCTGGAGGCCATAGCGCAGCTGATCCGCCAGCACTCGGCGCCAGCTAATCTGGCCATGGCTCGCCCGGCGCAGTTTCCGCAGATGAAACAGACGCCAGACGTGCCAGTTCCTGCCCAGCCCACCGGCTCAATGTACGAGCCAGACCAGTCATATCCAGAGACCCGCCAACGGCGCCCACGCCGCGTCATGCTCGGCGGCAGTTTGGTGGTGGCCCGTCGGAGAGTCTCGGCGAGAGCAGCACCCGAGAGCGTGCCTCGCCCCACCACGGGCGGTCTTCGACGAGCCGCGGCAGTGCACGGTGGGACCTGTCAACGGCAAGGCCAAGGTGCGCGACTACCTGCGCAAGTATGTCAGCGAGCAGCAGCCGAGTGCGCTGGGGTTGACGGAGGAGGAGCCGCTGGCCAGAAGCAACCGCGCGAGCGACCCACTGGCCAGTGTCCTGACACCGGAGCGCCAGCCCGAGTTCACCACGCTAGTAGCCAGCTCGCCGAGCCGCACAAGCACGCCGCGCCCGCGTCGCACCGACAAGGACTCGTCAGGGGCAGACAAGATCGGGCCGGAGCTGCTGCGCTTGCAGCAGGAGCTGCTGAGCAAGTTCGATCCAGTACCGCAGCGAAGTCGACCAGCTGCGGTCCGAGGTCCGCCAGCAGCGGAAGCCGCGGCCGTCGGTGCAATGGCGTAACGATACGCCGTCGCATCGTCCAGGCGACTGCTCCGCCCAGGACCGACCGGGCCGTGCAGACGCCACCGCGTAAGCCTACGGTCCAGGACGATGACTCCCTGTCTGACGCATCGACCACAATCCCGGATATGACTCGGCACGCTGCCCATGCGCGCGCCCCTGAGCCCGCTGAAGCGCCCAGCCGCACCGCCGGCCTTCGATCCGTGGGCTGCCCACGACGTGCGAGGCGAATCGCGCGACACTGGACAAGCTGCGGCGCGGCTCCGACGACTTCACGTCGGCCATGTACAGCAAGACAATGGTGCGCCAGCTGGCCGACACGCTGGCCGAGCTGCAGCGCGTGCATGCGCGCGACTTCCACCACGCGGGAGCCGCCGAATGCCCTGTGTGCCGCTCACTAGCTGCACAGGACCACGACCCGTATTTGTTCGGCCGCCGCGCTGTCGCCTACAAGTCGCTGACCACCGGCCAGCTGCAGCGCCTGCTGAACGCCTACGTCGCTGCCATGGAGGATGCCTTCACGTGCCAGGACGCCGATCTCAAGGGCATCAAGCAGGACGCCGAGTCCTATTCTGCTTATACACCTGCTCGTCGCCGCCACCGTCGCCCCAAGCCAAAGGAGAGCGAGGCGTCGGCTGTTATAGAGCTGCTGCGCGAGGAGCTGACTGCACTGGGTCGCCGGATACGACCGTCTAGCTGCCGAGTTCCATGCGCTGGACCCACGCTGCCAGGCCGACCAGCGCCAGCGCCGCCGCATGGCTCGCGAGCTGAAGGACCTGGTCGATATGCTGGACGTCAAAAGCGAGCAAATCTCCGTGTTGGCCGGCCTGCACCCCGAGGCCGCCAGCGCTCCGTCCCGCACGCCATTGGAGAAGCCCGCAGTGGATCCGCCCAAGACTGGCCGTGCGGGCATAATGTCGTCCAGTGAGCGTGCCTACCAGTCGGCGCGTGCGTTGCAGAAGGCGCTCGAGGACCTCTACTAGTGCTGGTGGAAGATCTGTGCAGAAGCAAGCCCGCACGTGATGTGCAGTCCTATCAGCGCTTGATCCGCCTAACAAAAATTCTCTCCGTTTTAAATGCATGGCAAACTTGCTTCCAGAGCCTGTTTTCCCTCAGCACCCTTTTTCTGCTTCGTTGAAATCGATTTTTTTTTCGCATACTCTTTTCTGCTCTTTCCCAGTGTTCCAAATCGCACAGGAAATTAGATCTCTTACCAAACCCCCTGCCCTGCAACCTCTGCGTCTCTTTTTGTTCAAGTGAGCTGCTTTATCGGGTTTTTCCTTTCCTCGTACTAGCTAGGCTCGCTCTTCCAAAAGATACGCAACTAGCACAAACAGACAGCAAAGTTGGCGAAATCTCTGCTCATTTTCCTCTACTCTTCGTCGACTATCTACCCCAAGCCAAGCAAATCGCGCAACAAGTCTTAGACTTTAACCACCCCGACCACCTTTTTATTCACCAGGTTCTTTTATTCATTTTTCGCCATGCTCTTGTTCAACATCGGCAGCGACAGCGGCAGCAGCACCATCATGGACGGCACGATTGATGATAGTAAGCCGAATAGTATCTATGGCGACAGCGCCCTCGACAGCAGCTTGATCGCTCTGCAGGACCTGTCGCCCAGCACTGTCCCGGTCAACGACGACGACGACGCCTCGGCTCTCGAAGACCTGGAAGGACGACATCTACGTGCTCGAAGACGCGACCGCCGTCGCCCACGACCTCTTCCCGGCCGAGTGCTGCGTCGAGCGCGCCTCGAGCAGCCGCCGTGAGAAGTACTACTTCACGATGGGAAAGAAATTCGGGTGGTGTTTTTGACGCGGCCTCGGCTGCCTTCGCCGAGCCCGGCGGCAGTGACAGTGCCGTCCGGCTCCCTGCCGTGCGACGCGGCAGCAGCGCCAGCAGCTCGAGTAGCCTTGGCGAGCTGTCGCGCCGCACCGCCGGCTTGCAGCGCCGCAGCCGTCCGCCCACTGTCGCTGCTGCCAAGTACCGCCATGAGCTGGCGATCAAGGCGGCAAACGACCTGCAGCGCGAACTGTTCCCGGTGGGCGTGCCGTCGCAGGGGGTGCTGAAGAGCGGCGTTGATGCCGACGTGCAGTTCCGGGCCATTGGGTGCGAGCGCCCGTGGCACGGCTTCATCATTGACGATGTCTTGTACGTGTATGTGTCCGAGTTTTACGGCGACGAGCATAGTTTCCGCAACGCTGTCATGGCGCTGATGGAGCTGGCTGAGGACGTGCTCATGTGCGCCTCTGTGATCGTCGCCCTGCCCAAGGCCCTGACGCCCCTGTCCAACAACGGCATCTCGCGCCAGGACACCCTGGCCGCTGCCAGCCTGGTGCGCGCCTTCCTGTACTCGGGCTTCGAGATGGTCTCGCCGCTGCTCTACCAGCCCAGCCCGTCATATGTCCTTGTCGGCTATGACGCCATGTAAAGGCTCCCACTCTTCTGCTTTAGGTGTGGAACAGTCTTCCTTTTTTTACTCAAAATTTGTTTTTCATTTCAAACAAAACCTTTAATTATCCCATGTCTGTGGTGCTGCGCTGAGAGCCGGCCCTGGCGGCGGCGGCGGCGGCGGCGGTCCGCGCGAGTGCGGAGCGCTGTCGTACCTTGACCTTGACTCGTCCGCGACCGCCCGGTGCATACGACCGCCCGCCATACGGACTGCGATCCGGGCCCCTGCTGCTGCCCCGGAACTCCCTGCTGCGACTATCCCTGCCGCGGAACTCTCTTGTGCGCTCGCCCGCACCCCGCCTACTGTACCTTTGCCCGTCGTGGTACGGCGCGGGCGCCCGGAGGGCCGGGAACTGTCCGCCGTACGCAGCTGTGATGCTGTCAATGACCTCTTGTGTCTTGTTGGGCTCCAACTCGCGGTAATACGCCGCTACCTGGTTGATGTGCTTCCAGCCCGTGTTGTGCGCCTTGCGCACGGATGGCGAGTCGTGCGTCAGGAAGATGTCACAGTAGTCGCAATAGTATTTGGGCATTCGTCAATGTGTGTATGAAAGAGGTTTGGAGGAATACGGACCTGGGCAATGTGGTGTCAGTGTTTTTTTTTTCCAGTTTCAATCTTTAGAGGGACTGCAGGGTTTGACATGATTTTGCGAGGCTGTCACGTGCTGTGTGTCACCTCACTGCGATATTGGTAGCAGCAGACATGAGGAGATGCCATGGACCTTTGGCCAAGGTGGAAGCGGTAATTTTTATGGTGTTGTAAGGCTACGGGGGAGTGGGTGGTAAGAGAGCCTGTCTATTCCATGGCCGTGGCAGCCGTCGCCTCCTGCTTGCGCTTCTCAAGCAGCTCCTGCGCTGTCTTGTCCTCCATGGCGCGCAGCTCCTCGATCGTCATGCCATGCCAGTCGTCGGTCTCACAGAACAGCTGCCGGTGGAACTGCGCCATCATCGCGCGCATGGTCTTGTGGATGAACGCCTCGACGGCAGTCTGCAGGCCGAACCACTTGAACTCGGCCGTGACCAGCTTGTAGCACGTCATCACGGGCTCGCACGTCTGCCGCCAGTCGGCTGCCGTCAGCGGCCCGCGCCCAGTCTTCTTGGACTTGAATAGCTTCGGGTCCTCCTCCTTCTTGTACGCCGACGAGTTGATCTCGTGGTCGTTGGCTACGTCGACTAAAATCAACCTTGCGGTACACCAGCTCGCTCTGCGTCAGGCTCAGGGCGTTCTCGGTGTCGCCGCGGTCGGGCAGGTGCATCGACTCTGTCACCAGCTGGAAGTTTTTGCCCATCCACTCTGACTACATCTTATGACCAAATTAGGTATATTTGAGTGGCTGTTTCCATGACAGTTCATGCTGCCCCTTCCCCGTGTCTTCATTCCCGCATACTGTTCCAACTTACCGTCAGGACTATTCACAGTGCATGCCGATGTCGCGTGTGAAATAAGGTTCCCCAAGCAGAATACCAACCAACCGTCCCATTCGGAAGCGCCCGTTCGCAGCCGGCAGATAGGGGATCGAGAGAAACAAGGTAAAAAATTTCGCAGTCATTGTTTAGTACGCTTGTGCATGAGGCTCTTTTTGTTTGTGTCGTGCGTCTGTGCATCCGCATCCTGCCTGCATTGCAGCGCCCTGGTGCACAGAAGCCAATAGAACATGCTCGGTTCCGAAAGTATAACCCTTACCTGTCTTGCAATGCGGATATCCGTTCCACGCCTCCTCGCGCAGTTTCAGGGATCCCTTAGGCGCAACGGCACGAATGATAGCGGGGACACGGCTATTGGGAAACGAAGACAGCAAAAAAAAAACAAGAATTGGTTGAGAACTGGTGTGCTCCAGAGTTTATGCCACCCCTAGACATAGACAATGGTCAATGGTCTCCCCCTTCCGCTCCACGCAATGCAATCCTATCCCGCACCAGGACGCACTTACCTCTCCAGGTGGTAGATTTTCAGCGTGTACTGGCCTTTGCCGAGCTTCGGGTCGTCGTAAGGCCGGTTCTCCAGCACCTCCGACACCCTCGCCACCGCCGGTCTCATTCATGGACATCTTCGCCACCGAATACAGCTGCGCGATTTTGTACTCCTCGACCGTGCAGTTGTTCGTGACCCGGTACTCCTTGACAACAACCATTGTAACTGAGATGACCGAATGCGCAGAAGGAACAGAAAAAAGGAACCCTAAATTAAAAAGGAGAGTGGAAAAAGAAAAAAAAAAACCTCTGCTGTTGGAAATTTGTGGGGGAACAGCAAAAAAACAAACGACTCGGGCTATAGTGTATAACACAGCCTTGGCAAAAGTAGACAAACAAAAACTAAACTTTGAGACTAGGAGGAAAAGGAGTGTGTCGTCGGGTGAGCCTGTAGAAGGTACTTTGGCAGCGGATGGCCCATCGCCGGGCGGTTCAATGACCACAAACGGTATGAGACCAGCGCCTGCCTGATGATTACATCCGCTGATCCCCAAGCGCTAGCATCATCTCACGTGACATGCCGTCATTGTGTCGCTGGGGCTGCTGGAGCTGCTGGCTGCGGCGAATGGGGACGGGTGCGCGCATGTACCACCACGAAGACTTGGCGTAACGCCTCAGCAAATTGTTCTCAGCACCCTTTGTGCCCAGGAGCGCCAGCGAATTCGACAATATCGAGAACCGTGCCTGCGCGCCAAAAAGACGAAAAAGTCCCTTGTCAAAGGACATTTTATTTGCATGCAAATAGCGACCCAACAAGCCTGCTCGTCACAGAAGACTTGCAGACTTTTCGTGCGATCACAAGCAGCAGCCATATATAAGCTTTGTCCCTCCCGAAAGCAGCAGTGGACGAGGACGATCGCTTCGCGTCTGGCTTTGTTTTTTCTTTGCTTTCCCTCGACTTTTGCTCCACTATTTTTCTGTGCTATTAATATCTGTTTATCTGAGCCATGGCAGACGATACCAGCAACTCGGATAACTCGGGCAACACGGTGTCGACTTTCGTTTCGTCGCTGGTCCTCAATATTATCATCGGCGTGGCGGTGACGGCGGCGTTTTGCATTCTGCGGCCGCATTTCAAGCGCGTCTACGCGCCGCGCACATATGCCGTCGAGAAAGAGTAAGTAGCGTGCCGCAGCTCCCTTTCGCCGGTGCCATCCTTTAATACCGCCTTCTGTGTATGCTCAGTCGTTGCACAAGCACTGGCGTCCTCCAGCGCAATTGCACCAAACACTGCGCGACTATTGCTTGGTGCTCTCAGGACGCTATGCGGCGAATCGAAAGGAGGCAGGATTTGTCGCACCTGGGCTTTGCATTACCTTGCCTCCCCAACTCTGCAGCCAAAAAAGCACACAATTTGTTCTCCCCACCAACTCCTCTTCTCAGTGCCAGGCAGCAGCATGGATCGGCGGCAAAACTTGTTTACGGCTACTTTTGGATGCAATGGCCTCACTGCTCGCAATACACCTGGCTGCAGCTCCTGCCCTTTATTAATAGCCGCTCCTCGATTTATCTTTGCATAGGAAGCGCTCCCCAGCAATCGGCGTCAGGACCACTTGCATGGATCTCCGCCGCTCTCAGCGTCAGCGACGACAAGGTCATTGAGCGGGTGGGGCTTGACTCGTACATGTTCCTGCGCAGCATCCGCGCCATGTTCTTCATGTTCAGCGTCCTCAGTTTCCTGTCGGTGGTGACGATTCTGCCCGTCAACATCACTGCCGGCGGCACTGCCACTGGCCTGGCGGTGCTGTCAATCGGTAACGTGCCCCCCAGAGCTCAAAGCTGTGGGTTCCACATCGTGTTCTTTGGAGTGTTTGTTATCTGGGTGATGTGGAGCATCTTTGGCGAGCTCAAAGGTATACACCCGTCCTGCGCGCCTGGTGGCTGATGCGGCCTGAGCACACGTCGACGGTCGGCGCCTCTACCATCCTGGTTTCAACACTGCCCGAAACGATGCTTGAAAGCGACGCCCGTATTAAGCAGACATTCAACATGTTCCCCGGCGGTGTTCGCCAGGTCTTTGTGAACCGCAACGTTGAGACTCTTTCCAAGGCCGTCGAGAAGCGCGACAAGTACGCCAACAAGCTCGAGGGGCTGCTGACAAAATATGCGGTGCAGTGCGAGAAGGCTCAAAAGCTGGTTGAGAAGAAGGGTGGCGAGTACAAGGAGCCCAAGCGCCCGATGATGCGCGAGAGCAGCGTTCCCTTCAAAGGCCCCAAAATCGACGCAATCAACTTCTACTCGACCCAGATTGCTGAGCTGAACCTGACTATCGCTGATCTGCAAAAGGACGCCTCCCAGTTCAAAAAACAGTCATCATGCGTTTGTGCTGTTCAACAAGCAGATCGCCGCCCACATGGCCGCGCAGTCGGTGCTGGACTACAAGCCGTTCTCCATGGACAATGTATCATTTGATGTCAACCCCGACGACATCATCTGGAGCAACCTCAACATGAACCCGTACGACCGTCAGATGCGTGCATACATGTCGTTTGGCATCACAATTGGTCTGACTATTACCTGGATGATCCTAACCGCGTTTGTGACGTCCTTGGTATCCATGGATAACCTGCGCAAGTACGAGCCCTTTAAGAACATCCCAGACAGCAAATGGCTCAGTCTGTTCCAAGGCTTCGTGCCCTCAATTGTCATTGCGGTCTTGATGTCTCTGCTGCCTCGCATCCTTCGCCTGCTGCTCAAGCTCGAGGGCACCAGGACCATGAGTGAGATCAACCTGCGTCTGCTCCACCGGTTCTACTTCTTCCAGGTGTGGAACGTGTATTTTGTCACCATCTTCGCCAACGGTATTCTGGCGGTTGTAGAAAAGGTCGCTGGCGATCCTGCCATCTATTGTCAAGGAGATCTGCGGACGGAGGTTCCCAAGACCGCAACGGCCATTGTCACATATGTGCTTTTGCTAGCGTTCTCTGGTGCTGCCAAGGAGCTGCTGCAGGGTGTGAGCCTAGCGCTGCGCTATGTGCTGCCCATGATCCTGGCAAAGACTCCGCGCTCGATCAGCGATGCTGAGAAAGCCGTCCGAGTTTGACTGGGGAACCAACATCCCTACGCACACGCTTATCTTCCTGATGGGCTTCTCGTACTGCTTCATTGCGCCAATCGTCAACTGCTTCGTTGCTGGTCTACTTTGGCCTCTATTTCGTCGTCTATCCGCTACCAGTTCCTGTATGTGTACAACGACGCCAACTGGATCACCGGCGGACTCTCGTTCCCCAAGTTCATCAAGCAGCTTTTGGTTGGCGTGTACATTTCCGAGGTCTACATGGTGCTGATGATGGTAGCCAAGCTCAAAGACGGCGGTGCAGAGGCAATTGTGCGCATCGTGTTTGCTGCCCTGATTTTGGCCGGCACCATTGTTGCACACATGTACATCAACAATGCCTACATGCCCATCCTCACCTACCTGCCCATTCCGCCGTGCTGCCGAGGTCGAAGAGAACCCCAAGCTGGCCCTGGAGTTCCCTGATGTCTATGCCGATGCCAGTGCCTCGCTCAATACTCTCGATTCGAAGAAGCCCGCTACTGCCGAGAGCCGCCGCCGCCGCCACCTGTACGCGATTTTTGGTACGCTGATTCCGATCTCGCTCATTGACTACATTATCCGCAAGGTCCCCAGTCTGATACCATCGCCCATTACGGATGCTCTGTCGCCGTCGCCCCACCGGGTCTCTGATGAGGAGATCAGTACTGAGCACAAGCCCCCTGTGGAGAAGCCAGCCACTGCTTCTGGTTCTGACAAGGCCTGGATCGATCAAGAACGCCCCATTCACGATGCCTGAGCCGCATCCACTATACTAGTACCGTGGACGAGAAGCGTGCCAGCGAAAGCAGCAATATCTTCAGCATCGACTCTGGCGCAGCACCAGTCGCCCCGGCTACTCTCCCCATCGAGGAGAACCAGCCCGAGATCTACCATAGCGCAATTTCCTGACCACTCGGCCACCGGTCTGCGCCAGCGCCGTCCGGCCAGTAACTTTGCGTCGGCCAACAGGCAACCACCGCAAGAGCGTCATGGCCGACAATCGTCTTCAGGCCGACGCTGACGAGAATATGCTTACCGAGGCCTTCTCCAACCCGTCACTGCTGGCCAAGTCGACGTGTATCCTGTGGGTGCCCATGGACAACAACCGCCGGTGCCAGGATATGTACGACGAGGTGCTGCGTGATGGCAACGGAACCATCCAGATCGTCACCGAAGGCACTTGGATCACGGAGAAGTGCCATGTCAAGGCCGATGTCGAGTTTGGGATGGAGGAGCTGGCCGCCATTGACGAGGAGCCCGTCAACAACAGTCACGGGCTGTCGGCACCTGCTGCCGCCACCACCACGATGCCCATGCCTATGCCCATGGCCAGCAACCAGCAGTAGTAATCGTAATCACCACATAATGTGTCTAATTCAGTTTCTCTACCAGTCAGTCGTCAATATTTCCCTAGTCAATTTCCCATCCCTCCACGCAATGGGTGTATAGCTTACATGTGGTGGCACCACTGAAGGGCGGTCATAAAAAAATTCGCGCTGGATCACCGGCCACTGAGCACAGAGAATAGCTGAAAAGGGCAGGTGCCCGAGCTCCGCCCTAACCAGTGGGTATGCCAATTCACTATCTTGACATTGTCGGTATGGCACTTTGGTGCCTATAAATTGGAGCATCTATAGCCTGGAAGGCTGACCGAATGAGCACTTTTCCATACACTCTGCAGGCCATTCCACTTCATCTGCTTCTCACCATGACTAAATTATACACCATTGCCAAGAGTTCCTGGGGCCATGCCTCCAACATCTACTGCGGAACATGCAAAGCCGATCAACTGCAGAAAAACGATCTCAAACTTGCCTATACCATCGAGTACAAGAGCGATGCTGTAGTGCTCGACACCGTCACAAGTAACTGCGCCAACGGTGACGACATGACTGCCGTGATCAACAGCGACGGAACTCCCACCGCCGAAATCTTCACCAAGGAGGGTGGCGAGTACAAAGCCAAGCGCCGGTTCGCCAGCATGGCGTGGAAGTTCATTGGTGACGGCGGCATCAAGTATAAATGGCACGTCTTTCAACAAGGCAAGGCAGTGGGAATTCCGCGACACACGCACCCACATCGTCGCTATATTCACAAACAACGGCCCATTCAGCGATATCCAGGGCGAGCTCAATGTCCTTGAGGACATCAGTGAGTCTACTCTGCGTCTCATGCTGCTGACATGGTGCCTGGTCAGAAAAACCCTTGACGACGAGCGCGTGCTGGGTGATTCGAGCCATATCTCTAAGCGCTACATTAGCGAACATGACTGGTATGTGGACAGGGTTCTATTGCGCACTGAACCGGGCGGGTGCCAGGCATGAAAACTATCGTAGAGATTCTGCTATTGGTACCACCATACCTCCACATCCAATTGCATCTGCTTGAGGTGCACTCTAAATATATTTGACACATTACACACTACACTAAAACCAACCTTTTCTTGGTGTTGGTCTAGGCTTTAAACAGTATACCACTTCATATACCATGGTATATATGCTGCTGTTGACTACCTGCAGTGATGACTGTTGCCATTCCTGCTATTCACATCCCTGACAGGACACCATTTCAACAACCACCTTTTGCCTGGTTGCTAACGCATGCGCAAGCTTATCTGCTGACGATGATAGCACGCTTTTGTACGAATGCATCCTCAAGAAAATGTTTGTTAAAATTGAAAGTGACCAGCAAAGTCTAAATAATTTGTGGTAGTGAAACTTGGAGGGTAAGAAAGACAAATAAGACTCCAATGATGTAATAAAGCCAACACAAACTACCAAGCCAATTCCAATTACGTGGCACAAACAAATGTTTAATATGTCATTACAAAACAGCTTGAGCTGCTACAGACGGTATATCCTACCGATTACCTGATGGCATTTCCTGTGGATGGCCGGTTATGCCTAAGCCTATTTTCATAAACATATCAGCGGGACTTGCGGGTATCACTTTCATTCATATCGACCAGACAAGCCCTCGCCTGACAATAGTACACAGTGGGTTTCTTCAGATAGCCTATGCGTATTATTATGTGTGCTCAGTAAGCAAAGGAATAGTATGCACTTTAGCCGTTGTCCGAAGAATAGAGCGCATACCTGGTTGGCATGCCAATCAGGTAGCAATTTTCCTTAATAGTACAATACTCCGCCACTTCCTAGTGTTTCTAGCAGACCACATTTTGTTGAGAGGCTGGGTTTTGTGCACACACCTCCTGCTATATTCCTGTTTGACCCAATGCTCCCAACGGTTGACCCGGCGGACGCTCTAGTGCAACGATCAGGATATCATTTCAAACAATGTCCAATTGGCAAACCACTTCACTAAGGACTCGGGGCACAATTGAATGTCCAAAAAAAACACTACGGCTCAAGGCACCTGTTTCCAGCACCCGCAGTCATTCGTGTCGCAAGCCTGTACAGGGCACAGCCTCAATACGAAATCCAGCAGCTGAAAATGGGTCAGCCTCTAAGGATGCTGCTGATGCTTTGACATGAATTCAGAATGCGCGCCGCAAAACTGGTGCTAGTGCCACTGCTCCGCAAATGGGCTATGTGGTTGGCGTTTCCAACAGCCTCCTTTGTTCTACAATACTAAATGACGTTGCTTTGAGCATCATCTGCCGTGTTTTACAGATCCAATATGGAGATATCCTTATTTCCATATGAAAGGTACTAGCACATAGTTTTGCTATGTGTAGGGGTATCTAGGACGGCAGCACTGGACAAAGAAAATGCTAGGCTCATTGTAGGTGAGGTGCTATGTTTTTCATACTATTGTGTGCAGCAGCCATTATCCACGGTCAGTCGCAAATGGAGAAGCAGCCTCCCAACCTTCACATCTGTTGAGATTTTCACTGGGTGACACGTCCACCGCATGCGGAGTTGAGTAACCTGGTGCATGATTTCACGCGAGTAGATCGTACAATATTTATATTCTGCATTACACAGTATACGCCAAATGCTTTTTACTATTGGTGCGTTTCTACAAACACCTAAATATGGCAAGTTGTCGTTTGGGACTGGGACACAAGGTGGTGGACTCTCACAAGCACAAGCCCCAGACCCCCTGTGGTACAGTGCCAGTGGAGACATTTGCACAGTGATGATCGATATTTCACACAAGAGAGAATAGATGACTTGTTTGTACCTGCAATTCACTGGGACTAGCCGATCTCCAAGAAAGCTGCTATTTTTACTTCTACTGGGCAAACTGCAGCTGCAACAGGCCCGTGTTCCACATATTTTCGCAGTGTTTTTGGGGAGGCCCACCAACCACTGCGCATCTCGCAGACCCTGTTGCTGAGAACACTCTTGTCACGGCCATTTTTCGGCTGACAAACTCAGTTATTGCTGACCCGCATTGGAGCACCAAGAATTAAACCGCCTTGGTGCTAAGCTGCTAGGTCTTGATATTGGACACACATAGTCTGCATTTTCATCATCAGTTAACCATGTATGTACCGCTCCGAGTTCCCTTGCGACTGTTTGCGTAAAACATGTATAATGATTCAGGATCATGGTGAAAGAGCGTTTGTTTGCATCTTAAGATCCAGGGTCTGTTTATGGCGAGAGCAGGTGGAGGCACTGCACCGAGGCCATGGTGTAACAACCCTGGGCTGAGTCCAATGAATGGGCGTGTATTAAACAATTAACCCCCTTTCTTACTCTATTGGTTGTGGCGTCCACCCTTTACCAGACCTTCAGCTCGGGCCTGCGCACTAGGATCGAAGTCAGAACCATATAAGGATATTTGCATCGTCTTATGGGGGCCGAGTGGAGCCCTATCTGCAAAGTGCCCTCCAAACACTGACACAGGGAAAGCCGGAAGGAAGAGAGGTTTCACACGTATTTTGGACCAGCTCAACACCGCATGAAATGTGACTGTTGCCCTGGCAATTGCGGCCAATATTCTGCCAACAATTGGGAGCATTTTGAAATTTGTATGGGCAAATCCAACACAGCTACAGCTACCAACGGTGGGTGGAGTTCCCTAGTGTTATCCCGGATAGTTCAAGACGGACTCTCCCTGGCAGATAAATAGCGAGATATTCTCTCAAATGCTTCAAAGCCTCATTACGGAATCGAGCCTGCCACCCTTGCCGTATTCCCTATTCCTTCGCTCCCTTATATCATATGAAATCTTTCAATCCTGTTTATCTCCTTGCTGCCTCGGCAGCATTCACAACCGCACTTGCCTCTCCTCTGAAGAGAGACAACGTTGTTGGTTATTGCCCTGTTCAAGATGCCCCCTGTGAGGAAAACCAGCAAGGCTGCAATGGCGCGTATATCGCTCTGTGCAGATTTGGCAAGTGGAACCTGCAGCAGTGCAACCCAGGCACCTTCTGCTACGATGCCAGAGACAACATCCACTGTGACCTCCCGAAGGGCCGCCCCACCGACGGATGTGATGTTACGCCTCCTACATCAACACCCACAACCCAGTCCTCCTCTACGCCAGCAGCACCGACTACATCTGACGTAACTTCTGCTACCTCTGATACAACTGTGTCTTCCACGAGTTCAGTTCCTAGTACCTCAGAATCGACCACTACTAGCGACGAGGAAACGACGTCTGAGGTTACATCAGAAACCACAAGTGAAACCTCTGACAGCTCTTCGACCGACAGCTCCTCAACCGATAGCTCCTCGACTGACAGCTCCTCGACCGATAGCTCTTCGACTGACGAGTCATCGACTGATAGCTCCTCGACTGACAGCTCTTCGACTGACAGCTCCTCGACTGACAGCTCTTCGACCGACAGCTCCTCGACTGACAGCTCCTCAACCGATAGCTCTTCGACCGACAGCTCTTCGACTGACGAGTCATCGACTGACAGCTCCTCGACTGATAGCTCTTCGACTGACAGCTCCTCGACTGACAGCTCCTCGACCGACAGCTCCTCAACCGACAGCTCTTCGACTGATAGTTCCTCGACTGACGAATCATCGACTGACAGCTCCTCGACTGATAGTTCCTCGACTGACAGCTCTTCGACCGACAGCTCCTCGACTGACAGCTCCTCGACTGACAGCTCTTCGACCGACAGCTCTTCGACTGACGAGTCATCGACCGACAGCTCTTCGACCGATAGCTCTTCGACTGACGAGTCATCGACTGACAGCTCTTCGACCGACAGCTCTTCGACTGACAGCTCCTCGACCGACAGCTCTTCGACTGACGAGTCATCGACCGACAGCTCTTCGACTGACGAGTCATCGACTGACAGCTCCTCAACCGATAGCTCTTCGACTGACAGCTCTTCGACCGACAGCTCTTCGACTGACGAGTCATCGACTGATAGCTCCTCGACTGACGAATCATCGACTGACAGCTCTTCGACTGATAGCTCCTCGACTGACGAGTCATCGACCGACAGCTCTTCGACTGACGAGTCATCGACTGACAGCTCCTCAACCGATAGCTCTTCGACTGACAGCTCTTCGACCGACAGCTCTTCGACTGACGAGTCATCGACTGATAGCTCCTCGACTGACGAATCATCGACTGACAGCTCTTCGACTGATAGCTCCTCGACTGACGAGTCATCGACCGACAGCTCTTCGACTGACGAGTCATCGACTGACAGCTCCTCAACCGATAGCTCTTCGACTGACAGCTCTTCGACTGACGAGTCATCGACTGACAGCTCTTCGACTGATAGCTCCTCGACTGACAGCTCCTCAACCGATAGCTCTTCGACTGACAGCTCTTCGACTGACGAGTCATCGACTGACAGCTCTTCGACTGATAGCTCCTCGACTGATAGCTCCTCAACCGATAGCTCTTCGACTGATAGCTCTTCGACTGACAGCTCCTCGACTGACAGCTCCTCAACCGATAGCTCTTCGACTGATAGCTCCTCGACTGACGAGTCATCGACCGACAGCTCTTCGACTGACGAGTCATCGACTGACAGCTCCTCGACTGACATCTCCTCGGCTACTGACGCTTCCTCTGTGGAGTCTTCGGCTACTGACGCTTCGTCGGATGAGTCTTCGGCTACCGATGCTTCCTCTGAGGAGTCTTCGGCTACTGACGCTTCGTCGGATGAGTCTTCGGCTACTGACGCTTCGTCGGATGAGTCTTCGGCTACCGATGCTTCGTCGGATGAGTCTTCGGCTACCGATGCTTCGTCTGAGGAGTCTTCGGCTACCGATGCTTCGTCTGAGGAGTCTTCGGCTACCGATGCTTCGTCGGATGAGTCTTCGGCTACTGACGCTTCCTCTGAGGAGTCTTCGGCTACCGATGCTTCGTCTGAGGAGTCTTCGGCTACCGATGCTTCGTCGGATGAGTCTTCGGCTACTGATGCTTCGTCGGATGAGTCTTCGGCTACCGATGCTTCGTCTGAGGAGTCTTCGGCTACTGACGCTTCGTCGGATGAGTCCTCGGCTACTGACGCTTCTTCGGAGGAGTCTTCGGCTACTGACGCTTCGTCGGATGAGTCTTCGGCTACTGACGCTTCGTCGGATGAGTCTTCGGCTACTGATGCTTCGTCTGAGGAGTCTTCGGCTACTGATGCTTCGTCGGATGAGTCTTCGGCTACCGATGCTTCGTCTGAGGAGTCTTCGGCTACCGATGCTTCGTCTGAGGAGTCTTCGGCTACCGATGCTTCGTCTGAGGAGTCTTCGGCTACTGACGCTTCGTCGGATGAGTCTTCGGCTACTGACGCTTCGTCGGATGAGTCTTCGGCTACTGACGCTTCGTCTGAGGAGTCTTCGGCTACTGATGCTTCGTCGGATGAGTCTTCGGCTACCGATGCTTCGTCTGAGGAGTCTTCGGCTACCGATGCTTCGTCTGAGGAGTCTTCGGCTACTGACGCTTCTTCGGAGGAGTCTTCGGCTACTGACGCTTCGTCGGATGAGTCTTCGGCTACTGACGCTTCCTCTGAGGAGTCTTCGGCTACTGACGCTTCCTCTGAGGAGTCTTCGGCTACCGATGCTTCGTCTGAGGAGTCTTCGGCTACCGATGCTTCGTCGGATGAGTCTTCGGCTACCGATGCTTCGTCGGATGAGTCTTCGGCTACCGATGCTTCGTCTGAGGAGTCTTCGGCTACTGACGCTTCGTCGGATGAGTCTTCGGCTACCGATGCTTCGTCGGATGAGTCTTCGGCTACCGATGCTTCGTCGGATGAGTCTTCGGCTACCGATGCTTCGTCTGAGGAGTCTTCGGCTACCGATGCTTCGTCTGAGGAGTCTTCGGCTACCGATGCTTCGTCGGATGAGTCTTCGGCTACTGATGCTTCGTCGGATGAGTCTTCGGCTACTGACGCTTCGTCTGAGGAGTCTTCGGCTACCGATGCTTCGTCGGATGAGTCTTCGGCTACCGATGCTTCGTCGGATGAGTCTTCGGCTACTGACGCTTCGTCGGATGAGTCTTCTGCTACTGACGCTTCGTCGGATGAGTCTTCGGCTACTGACGCTTCGTCGGATGAGTCTTCGGCTACTGATGCTTCCTCTGAGGAGTCTTCGGCTACCGATGCTTCGTCTGAGGAGTCTTCGGCTACCGATGCTTCGTCTGAGGAGTCTTCGGCTACCGATGCTTCGTCTGAGGAGTCTTCGGCTACTGACGCTTCGTCGGATGAGTCTTCGGCTACTGACGCTTCGTCGGATGAGTCTTCGGCTACTGATGCTTCGTCGGATGAGTCTTCGGCTACTGACGCTTCCTCTGTGGAGTCTTCGGCTACCGATGCTTCGTCGGATGAGTCTTCGGCTACTGATGCTTCGTCGGATGAGTCTTCGGCTACTGATGCTTCCTCTGAGGAGTCTTCGGCTACCGATGCTTCGTCGGATGAGTCTTCGGCTACTGATGCTTCGTCGGATGAGTCTTCGGCTACTGACGCTTCCTCTGAGGAGTCTTCGGCTACCGATGCTTCGTCTGAGGAGTCTTCGGCTACCGATGCTTCGTCGGATGAGTCTTCGGCTACTGACGCTTCCTCTGAGGAGTCTTCGGCTACCGATGCTTCGTCTGAGGAGTCTTCGGCTACTGACGCTTCGTCGGATGAGTCTTCGGCTACCGATGCTTCGTCGGATGAGTCTTCTGCTACTGACGCTTCGTCGGATGAGTCTTCGGCTACTGATGCTTCGTCGGATGAGTCTTCGGCTACTGACGCTTCCTCTGAGGAGTCTTCGGCTACTGACGCTTCGTCGGATGAGTCTTCGGCTACTGACGCTTCTTCGGAGGAGTCTTCGGCTACTGATGCTTCGACGACAGATGGAATCTCGAGTGAGATTCCTAGCGAGTCTACTGTGACCTACACCACGACCCCGTGCACCGGCTGTGAGCCCACGACTGTCACGACTGTCATGACCACCACCCCGACTCCGTCCAGCGAGATTCCTTGTGAGACGACCACCGTCACCTACACCACGACCCCGTGCACCGACTGCGAGCCCACGACTGTCACGACTGTCATGACCACCACCCCGACTCCGTCCAGCGAGGTTCCTTGTGAGACGACCACCGTCACCTACACTACGACCCCGTGCACTGGCTGCGAGCCCACGACTGTCACAACTGTCATGACCACTACCCCGACTCCGTCCAGCGAGGTTCCTAGCGAGTCTACCGTCACGTACACCACGACCCCGTGCACCGGCTGTGAGCCCACGACTGTCACGACTGTCATGACCACCACCCCGACTCCGTCCAGCGAGGTTCCTTGTGAGACGACCACCGTCACCTACACTACGACCCCGTGCACCGGCTGTGAGCCCACGACTGTCACGACTGTCATGACCACCACGCCGACCCCGTCCAGCGAGATTCCTTGTGAGACGACCACCGTCACCTACACCACGACCCCGTGCACCGACTGCGAGCCCACGACTGTCACGACTGTCATGACCACCACCCCGACTCCGTCCAGCGAGGTTCCTAGCGAGTCTACCGTCACCTACACTACGACCCCGTGCACTGGCTGCGAGCCCACGACTGTCACAACTGTCATGACCACTACCCCGACTCCGTCCAGCGAGGTTCCTAGCGAGTCTACCGTCACGTACACCACGACCCCGTGCACCGACTGTGAGCCCACGACTGTCACGACTGTCATGACCACCACGCCGACCCCGTCCAGCGAGATTCCTTGTGAGACGACCACCGTCACCTACACCACGACCCCGTGCACCGACTGCGAGCCCACGACTGTCACGACTGTCATGACCACCACCCCGACTCCGTCCAGCGAGGTTCCTTGTGAGACGACCACCGTCACCTACACTACGACCCCGTGCACTGGCTGCGAGCCCACGACTGTCACAACTGTCATGACCACCACGCCGACCCCGTCCAGCGAGATTCCTAGCGAGTCTACCGTCACCTACACCACGACCCCGTGCACTGGTTGCGAGCCCACGACTGTCATGACTGTCACGACTCTCATGACAACTGCACCGGCTCCTTCGAGCGAGTCTGTTGTTCCTAACGAGTCTATTGTTACCTACACTACGACCCCGTGCGTTGACTGTGAGCCGACCATTGTCACGACTGCCATAACGACTGCACCGGCTCCTTCAAGCGAGGCTGTTGTTCCCAGCGAATCGGTTGTCACTTACACCGCGACTCCTTGCGCCGGCTGCGAGCCAACGGTTTTGACGACTCTCGTTACGATTCCGTCTACTCTTCCGACTACTGCGCTGTCTGTACAGTCTGAGCACTCTGCTGTCTCTAGTGCGCCCGCTCTATCCGATTACTCTGTGCATTCAGAGACCACCGTTGTGGTTACTCCCTGCGATGCATGCGAGCCAACAACCATCACCTCCATGCTAGTTCCGCAAACATCTGCGATCTCCCCGACCACGACTGGCCCTGTCCCTACCGAGATCCGCAAGTGCCATATCGTACGTCTGTAGAGTTTCTCGTGTTTGTAGTTACAGCACATTTCCACTTCGATCGATATGAACAAATCGCTATATTATTTTTCCCTAAAATGTTTCTATGGAGTGAGCACTAGTCTTGCTGTAAAGCGTAATTTCTGTTTTGCACATTAATTTCGTATCATACCACTCATCGATGGTGAGTGTGAACCATGTTGCATACTAGTTCAGTACGCATTATTATGAGTAACTTGAGAATTACTGTAAGCAATCTATATATATTTGTTGCTTTGGTTATATTTCGTGAGATAAAATTATATTACGAGTATTGGTTAACTGGATATACCTGCTATACCTGCTTCAGGTTATTTATATATTTAATGGATGGCCATGCTGTGTACAAATACCTACAAGCTGATTTGTGAGGCAGGCAAGCTGAGGTGCTTGCTCCCTAAAATCTTGATTTGAATGCACCCATGCGTCGTGGGCAGCGTCATCCTTTTTGTCAGTTCATAAGATACGGCTGCAAAATACAAACTTTCTTCAGCTGGATTCGCTGTTGATGTTGATATTGATGTTGATTTTGTGTGTCAACATTCATTTGTTACCAGGACACTCAACTGCCCACCAAGCAATTCCTTAATTTTGCCTCTTAGTGCTTAAACTCAATACCACTTCCTTCCTGCCACACAACAAGCTCGAATCCTGAAAGAGTGTGGCAGAAATTCACCAACAAATGTTGCTGTGCACGAGTCACAGTGCCAGTGTTCAATTCAGCATTCACACTGCTGCCGTCTACCTCCAAGATCACACGGGCCACATCTTTTATTGTTTCCGTGTTTGGCCAACAGAAACGAGCGAATATTGTCATTAGAACTGTCGAAGCCTCCTCTTTGTTGTTTTATTGGCATCCTTTAGTGTGCATTTTGCTCTACCACAATGGTATGCACTGCGAATGCAGTACGGCCGACCCTGATTATAGCCAATCTTCCGCATCTATTGTCCAGGCGGTACATGCTTGGCTTATATTGTTATACACCGCGATTCATAAGCAGATCTGTGAACAACAAGAATAGTGGTTTGAACATTTGCATAGCCACCGCCACTGCACATTCAGTGGTAGGAAAATATGTGTTAGAAGCATGGCAGCATGGCCACAATGCAGTAAAGTACCTGCTTCGCCACCTGATGCACTACAAGGGTATGCTGTAAACCAGGTGCTGTAGGTGGTGTGCTGTAAACAAAAAACCTGCGCTGGTCAGAGGGTGTGCGCCCTATCAAAATAGGGAATGGGAACTCAGGAACCCTTCCTCCATCAACATGGAATCTGCTGAGAGCCAAAGATCCTGAATATAAGTATGCTACTCTCCGCCAAACTACCATGCATCCACCAAAACATTTCCACTGTTCCACTTACACCCGCATGTCCACCATCAGCCACTATTCGTCAAGTGACACTGTAAAGTGTGGTGATCCAGCCCCTCTTTCAGAGAAGCAAGATTACATGGATGCTGCCTACACAGCTATTGCCGATGTGTATGATGAGATGCACACCAAGGACAGGACTGGGTCTTGGTCTGTACGGAAAACGCGAACTCATCAAGTTGATTGGTGCTGCACCCGGCTCCAGGATGCTCGACATGGCTGCAGGGACTGGAGATGCCGCGATGCTATTTTTCGAGTATCAGGAAAAGGTCAATAACGACAACAAGGCGACAGCAACACTTGTAGACCTTAATGCGAAGATGCTGGAGGTTGCAGAAAAAGCGCCTGGCGGACACTTCTGGCCACAAGGATGGACGTATCGAGTACACGCAGGGAAATGCTGAGCATATGCCTGAAATTGCAGATGGCTCATTCGACGTATACTGCTGCATTTTTGGCTTGCACAACATGCCCAACCGTGCCAGAGTGCTAAGAGAGGCCTGGCGTGTGTTGAAAGCCTGGTGGAAAAATCTGCATTGGCGAGCTCAATGGAGGAAACGGGGCACTTGGAAAAGCGATCTTTGGTACTTTGAACAGGTACGTTTTTGTTCCCGCTCTCGCAATGGACGCAAAAGGACAGGGAGATGGCGAACCGCATTAAGGAGAGCGTGTTGGCATTCCCATCACCAAGCGATTTTGCCAATGAGCTAAAGGACGCAGGGTTTGAGCTCGAGGGCTGTGGCTACCACTCATTAGTTTTTCGGTATGGCAGTAGGGTTTCATTGGTATTAAGCCCATGTAGACCAAGTTTATACTTTAGGGAGTATATTATAAAAATCTATATCAATTGGTTTGTACACAGTACCCAGGGGCTCATGTCGACTTAATGTGCACAGAAAAGCGCAGTACTGCACTGGTCTCTTCAATATATACTGTACACATATGGAGTTTGGACATTTATCTGATAAGGAGTAGCCAGCTTCTACTACAGATTCCACTGGATAGGTTCGACATGTGACATCCCCACAATGAGGTGTTACCCTATTATACACATACTTCAAGCGCTCACTGGTGCCTCATATCTCTATAGCTCGCACCATTTCTTATTGCTCGAACCATGTCTCCTAAGCATACACAGATGCCCCTTGCAGAAACACATATCCTAGATGAGGACGAGTTCACGGAAAGACTCGATGGGATTATTGAGCGGGACTTTTTCCCTGACTTGAAGCAGCTGAGAGCCGAAAATCGAGCGTTAGAAATAGGAGCAGATGTTGCTAAGCCTGATGTTTCAGATACAAAAGTCAGCGTTTCCTTGGGTGAATTTCTAGATACCTATACTAGCGAGGACAGCGCAAGCTTTAAACGGCTTTTACAAATCGAGAACAAGAGCCGGAATGAGCCGGCGAACGAAGGCGTCTGGACCAGGCAGCGGCACCTCTAACCAATTAGCCCCAGGCACCAATAATGGCCAGCGCAAGCGCCTGCAGGCCTGGAAGTACAACCCAAGGAATGCGCTCATGTTTATGCCAGATGGCCAGCATGCCGAATGTGGCACCTCTGACAGGCGAATAGTTTACCAAAACACCCGGATGCCTCCACCAGCCGAGATCCACGACGATATGTCGGTGATGTCCGAGGAGACAGGACTATGGATACTCAACTCCGCTTATCAACGGATACAAACTGCTGAGCCCAGAACGCAACGACTATCTTGCCAACAGGAGATAGACCGAACGCCAAAGGGGTTCACCTATCATGCCTACTTCGCGAGGAGAAGCACTTGGGCTGAGAATGGTATCTAGACCACAAAGTATGCGAGTCAAGGGTGGCGTGCAGCGCAAAAGGAGGCAGCACAGCCAGCGGCCGCGCAGCAATACTTTCACCCGCAGCTAAGAGGCTACTGGAAAGATCCGCATCGAGCCCACGGCGGATCGGCCCACCAACACCTGACATCCTTGGCGACAAAAAGCTACGTGACCGGTACAACTCTCCCATACAATCGCCGGATAGGCTAGAACGGCGACACCACCAGCCGCTCTCAGTTGATAGTGGCCAGGAAACAAGCCAAATGTAGCTGGTGACTGCTAATCTTCGTCACCCAAGCCACTGTTAGGCGCTGCCGTCTGCAGAAGCAGCGCAGGGCCAGGAATCGCAGACGCTCGCCAGAGTAAATGGTGTGGGTACACTGAGTTGCACGTTCAATATGGGGATAAAATATTCTATTGCAGAGATCGCTAGAAAGGTAAACGCGCTTTTCCCTCCTATAGCTGTTACCCCAGGATTACTTGTTCTCCTGCTGGACTCGGCCAATGTAGGCGCGCGACACCACGTCCCAGCTAGCCAGGAATTTGTCCATGCACCGTCCAAGGCAGCCCTCGTCGGTGCTGCTCAGGCTAGAGCCCGGGTTGCCGAGGCACATTTTGTAGCAGTGCTTGTTGATGTTGTTGATAAGCTCCTGCGCGTTAGCCATGGCCATCTCCTTCCGCACCTGGTTCTTCACCTCCTCGACCTTCTGGGGCGTGTTGATGTTGGAGATGTCGATGTTTCCGAAGCTGCTCATTGTTACAAAGTATGGATTGCGCGTGTGTCTAATTGGGAGGCAAGGAAGCAGCACAAAAGCGATGTAGTCGAGTGAAAACACAGCAGCTGCCTGTGTCTTCGCCGTAAGCAGATCGCTGATCTCCGATTTCAGCATTTCCAAATCGGCATGATTACGATCAGAGAATCACATGGACTCGGCATTGGTTTGGCGTGCATATGTAGCCCTGGCCACTGAGTGGTGGGTGTCCAACAGTCGGACTATAAAACTAGGATCCACCTTTTAGACAGGCGGGCGGATATGCATGGAGTGTATGAGGAGGGTGGATTAGCGGTCGGTCCTCTCAGATAATTTGCTGAATAAATTAATGCGCTGCGCGTGTTGGCATGCATGATTTGTTGGTCCTCGTGAAAATGGAGCTTCGTACTCATCCCCCTTTCAGCTCTGCAAGTCCGCCTGCCAGCTCCCCCTGTTTATAGTCCCTTTGTATTGACCTAATCCCATCTCCACTGCATCGTTCCTATTCTCTTCAGGCACCAGATACTAAACATCAATAGCACATACCTCCATGGAAAGCAATAGTACCAGCAGTCGCGCCCTTGCTCTCGGAGCAGTAGCAGCAGCGGGGCTCTATGCACGGAGCAAGTACGTTGATGGCTGTAAAGTCAACGTTGTAAGCTCTGGCAAGGACGAGTCGGCGGTGGTTGGCATGACTGGTGATGGAGACCGTCTGACCTTGCATGACGTTCTGTACAAAGACTGCCCCTCGCTCACCGATCAATCCGAGGCGTACATGGTTCCCACCCCGTATCTCTTCACTGGTCTTCTGCAGATGTTTTTTGCTGCTGCTAATGTCAAGCGCCGCGATACGACTAGTGACATCCAGTACGAGCGTGAGCTGCTGACTGTGCAAGACGGCGGTACGATTTCGCTCGACTGGTACCCGGGCAAAGAGCCGCAGGCTGGTGAGGAAAAGATGCCAGTTGTGATTATGCTGTGCGGTGCAGGCGGGTCGTCGCAAGAGTACTTTGTCCGCGCCCTTGCCAAGACACTGGCACACGGCACCATAAAATTCCGCGTCGTCGTGTTCAACCACCGTGGTACGTCAATGACACCACTGACCTCTGCGCGACCCTACGACATGGGATTCACTAGTGATTTCCGCGAGGCCGTCAACGCCTTGCGTGGACGGATCGATGCTGATGCCAAACTGTTCAGCGTTGGCTTCTCGATGGGTGCCAATATCATGACCAAGTATATTGGTGAGGAGAGCGACAGGTGTCCACTTTCAGCTGCAGTCGCAGTCTGCTGCCCGTTCGATGTGGAGATCGCCGGTGCTGCAATGAACGAGAAAAACTTCCTCAACAACAAGGTGTTCCAGCCGCAGGTGCTCAGTGCCCTCAAGCGCTCGATTAAGCGTATCAGCCATCTGCCACCGGATCCTGCCTGGGGCCTGGATATGGACAAGATTATGAGCTCCAGGCAGATCTGGGAGATCGAGGAGGCATATCTGTGCAAGATTAACGGATACAAGGACCTAGAGGAGTATTATGTCAAGGTCCAGCTCTTCAAACTATGTCGATGATATTCGAATTCCGTACCTGGCCTATCAACAGCCTTGATGACCGTATCGCACCTCCCGCTGGAATCCCAGTAAGCAAGTTCAAGCAGAACCCGTATCTATCTCTGGCGCTGGTCCGACATGGTGGCCACCTGGCAGTTTCCTCACTGGGAACTCTTTCCCCCAGTGTTTGGTTTATTCGCCCGATTCAGGAATTTACATCGGCCATGGCAAAGCTATAAGATATCCCTTTTTCTACAGATCCCTTGCCGCATTATCGACTGTCTAAATCCCTACTGACTAGCTGAGCTCGCATTGACGAGCGCCATAACTCCAGTAAAGGTAAAGCGGTAAGGATATTAGATCAGCATACAGGCACTCAGTGATTTTAAGACTACTATTTGTTGTCAGGATCATGGCTGTTGGCCCTGGAATGCCGACATCATCCTGCGCCACCATGGACCAGACTGGGCTCATGCGAACCGACTCAAACAGACCGACGAGCTGGCCTCTTTTCCCTCAGTTGTTTTTTTCAGAGCCATTCTGCACACCCCGCCGATAAGCACTTGTTTTCTCAGTCCAACTACAGCCATCGATAGCCACATCGTTAGGCAGGCTGATGTTTCCTGAATACAATCTGCGTTTATGGAAGCATAGATACATGTTCACAGGCCAGACTAGCAATTGTCTTGAGGTGCCATGCACATATTAGGACAGTGCCCTTGTTGAAATGGTCACAAACATTCACACTGCTTTACTTCCAGGTTCAATGGTTGGACCGCTTGCCATGCGCCACTGGAATAGCTCAGTATTCCGGTAAACCAATGTATGGCTCTTTGTGAAAAGCAAGTGCTTTTGCTTTACAGGCAACCGTGCAGGGTTATAAAGGTATATGAGGCAATGTGTCCTTTTCGGACGTGGCTATCCCTTGGCCAACTTCGAACTTTGGACTCCTTTTATTAGACTGTTTTTCACTATGAGCAAACCAAGCTTTAGCCCAACCAGCCTCAGCATGGCTGCGATCGCTGCAGTTGGCAACTTACGCCAGAAAAAAGTACATTGCAGGCTGCAAAGTTCGCATGGTCACATCGACTGACAAGTCATCGGCAATATTCCGAACGCAAGGACGATCTAAATGGAACGACGCTTGCACGATGTACTACAGTCGGAGTGTCCCGTCGACTGACCGACCCCTCGAAGGCGTACATGATACCTACGCCGATATCTGTGCACTGGGGCTGCTGCAAACGTTTTACGCAACATCCAACAACAAGCGGCGCGACTCGACCAGCGATATCACATACGACCGTGAGCTGCTGGTCATGGCTGACGGAGGAACCGTTTCTCTCGACTGGTACCCGAGCAAGGAGCCACGGGAAGGCGAGGAGAGGCTGCCGATCATTTTCTTGATAGTTGGTGTTGGAAGCTCGTCGCAGGAATACTCTATGCGGGCACTGGCCAAGTCACTGGCTCTCAGCCCGCAGCGGTTTCGAGTTGCTGTTTTCAACCACCGTGGCACAGCACGCATGCCAGTTACCTCCCCACGTCCATATGATGCCGGATTCACCAGTGATTTCCGTGAAGCAGTGAATCACGTTCGTAGCAAAAGCCATCCCTTAGCCAGGATGATGGCGGTCGGCTTTTCAGTGGGTGCCAATATTCCTGACTAAAGTATGTGGGCGAAGAAGGCGAACAATGCCTGCTGTCGGCGGCTGTGGCTGTGTGCTGCCCGTTCGACATTCAAGGTGCTCGGTGAGGCGGTGAATGCCGACAGCTTCCTCAACAACAAGATATTTCTGCCGCAGGTCATCCGGTCGATGAAGCACAGCCTCAAGCACGCCAAGACCGTCAAGCCCCACCCCGAGTGGATCAACGAGATCGATAATATTATAACAGCAAGTAGGCCGAGACAGATTGAAGAGCAGGTCATAGCCAAGATCAACGGGTGCAATAGCTTGGAAGAGTACTATGCAATGGCCAGTTCTTCAAGCTATGTTGACAACATCCGCATTCCATACCTCGCAATCAACAGCCTCGACGACCCAGTCACCCCGCCTGCCGGAATCCCAGTTCAGAAATTCAAGCAGAACCCGCACCTTTCCTTGGCGCTGGTTCGACACGGCGGCCATTTGGCGTTTCTCACCGGGACCCTTTCCCCCAGGGTCTGGCTCATCAAACCGATCGAGGAATTCACATCCGCCATTGCCAAATTGTAGAGTTTGTGTTGAACACACCCGAGCTTAGGCTGGCTGGCCGAGCTCTCAGGAGTGCCAGCTACTTGTACTGCAGGCCCATAGAAAATGCTGTTGACCTGCCGTCAGTTGTGATGATCTAGAATAAATACCATTCCTTCGGTATAACAGGCACATGGAGCCAGGCCCGAGGACCATCCGAAGACCATCCGAAGACCACACAATGCGGACTTTTATCCCAGAATGGAATTATTGGAGTCGCTTGTCGGCGATTGATTGCTCCGCCCCGGAGCTAAGCTGTTGCGATCAGGCTCCAGATAGAGACTGCTTAGGTTCTACGGTAGGAAAAGGCACTACGCTCGCATCCAACGGTAGCAATAGCGCAGCATATCCAGAACGTGTAAGTATTCGGGGCGTGCTAGAAGCGCAGAAAACCCCTAGCGACAGTAATCCGTTGTTTTAAGCCGAGGCGGTTATTTGAGTAGTAGTTATTCCCCCTCACCAACCTCCCAAAGTGCTTTTCTCCTCCTTCTCGCTTTCCTAGTCGTGGTATTTTACTTGCTTTTTCACTCCTATTCAGAATTGTCTAGCATGAGCGGATTTGGCCTCGACAGAACCACAGTTGGCCTGGCGGCACTTGGTCTGACAGGGTACTATGCGGCAAAGCAGTATATCGAAGGCTGCAAGGTTGAGGTCGTCACCTCAGGCGAAAAGGCCTCTGCAGTGGTCCGTGAAACCGAGGCCGAGGGGTCAGTGACGCTCCTATGAGCTGCTGCAGTCGGAGTGCCCGTCGCTGACCGACCCCTCGAAGGCGTACATGATACCTACACCGTATCTGTGCACCGGACTGCTGCAAACGTTTTATGCGACATTCAACATCAAGCGGCGCGACTCGACCAGCGATATCACATACGACCGTGAGCTGCTGGTCATGGCTGACGGAGGAACCGTTTCTCTCGACTGGTACCCGAGTAGGGAGCCACGGGAAGGCGAGGAGAGGCTGCCAGTTGTGTTTACGCTTAGTGGCTGTCGGTGGGTCCTCTCAGGAGTACTTTATGCGGGCGCTGGCCAAGTCGCTGGCACACGGAGCTCAGCGCTTCCGCGTTGCAGTATTCAACCACCGTGGCACATCGACACACCCCAATTACTGCACCGCGGCCCTATGACTCTGGGTTCACAAGCGACCTTCGCTATGCGATAGACTATGTGCGCGAAAAAAGCGACCCAGCAGTGAAGCTTGCTGCTGTCGGCTTCTCGATGGGTTCCAACATCCTGACAAAGTATGTTGGTGAGCAAGGTGACAAATGTCCCGCTGTCGGCTGCTGTGTCTGTGTGCTGCCCATTCGACATCAAGATCTCTGGCGCCGCTATTACGGAGGACAATTTCCTCAACAACAAGGTGTTCCAGCCGCAGGTACTTGGTACGCTTAAACGTGCCATGAAGCGCGGTAGCCATGTTGCGCTCAACCCAGAATGGGGCATTGATATTGACCGGATCATGAACTCGACCAAGCTGTGGGAGATCGAGGAAGAGTACCTGGTAAAGGTCAATGGGTACGAGTCATTGGACGAGTACTACTCCAAGGCTAGCGCAGTCCATTACGTCGACCGTATCCGCATACCGTATCTAGCCATAAACAGCCTTGACGACCGTATCACTCCGCCTGTCGGAATCCCCATGGACAAGTTCAAGACCAACCCTAATCTTGCACTGGCACTGGTCCCGCATGGCGGCCACCTGGCGTTCCTTACAGGACTGGCATCGCCAAGAGTCTGGTTTATTGATCCAATCGCTGAGTTCCTGTCTGCGATAACTCGCTCGTAAACACAGGAGGCTTCATGTTGGAAATTTTAAAGGGAAGTTTAATAGACCTTCATGTGCACAACCCCTGCCGATTACGTGCATTGTCCTGGGTTACGCTCTGCAGCATTACATCGATGCGTGTTTTTTGGCGACTAGGTTCTCAGAGTACTTCCAGAGCCTGTCCTGCTCAGCCTCATCCAAGGCCTTTGGGTGCGGGTTCGTTGCCTCGCAACGCGAATAGTACTTGCCCGAAGCGCCCTCCACGTCTGGCGACAGTGCCAGGTAAATCGATGTCAGCGCCCCCGCCTGGGCATCAATCAGCACCATGTTGAAGATTGTGTCCATGATGGCACCAGTTCCCACATGGCGTGTCAAGTTTGTCTTGATCGATCCCGGATGCAGCGAGTTTACAGTGACGTTGGTGCCCTGGAGCTTGCGCGCAAGTGCGTTCGAGAACGTGACGTTGGCGAGCTTTGCCATCGCGTAGTTGTTGTTGCGGTCGTAGTTTTCCTTGTCCTCAATTGCGCTGTAGTCAATACCAGTCGTCATATACGATGCCAGAGATGCGACGTTGACGATACGGGCACCACCCTTGGCCGCCTTCAGAGAATCAAGCAACTGCGTAGTTAGCGCAAAATGGCCGATATGGTTGATACCAAACTGCATCTCAGTGCCGTCCTTGGTCTGCGAGTACGGACACATCATCACGCCGGCATTGTTAACCAAGATGTCCAGCGTCTCGTACTTGGCCTTGAACTGCTTGACGAACCCGTTAACTGATTCCAGCGACGCCAGATCCAACTGCATCACCTCAAAGTTCTCGAGCCCAGTCTGCCGCTTCAGCGTGTCAAGCGCCTCCTGCGCCAGCTCTGGGTTCCGGCATGCCAGGATAGTCTGGTATCCAGCCCGTGCAAGCGCGTTGGCAGTCACAAACCCAATGCCAGAGTTGGCGCCAGTCACGATTGCAACCTTCTGCACATCTGCAGTATCGTCTCTATGCGCGTCGCGGTGGTCCATCAGAATGCGGTCGATACGGCTGGAAGCAGAGGGAACGGAGCGATCAATTTTGCTGAGCAGACCGTACGAAATATCTGTAAACAGCTGGGCACCGGATGCAAGCAGCACGAGGGGCTTGCTGCCAGTGTTGGTCCTGGATAGAACCATGCTTTGGATAGTATTGGCGACAGATGCGAGCGTCATGGCGAAGGAAGCAGGGGGAGTCCTTGAACTGAAGAGAGAGAGAAATTGGCAAAATAATTCAAAGACAAAAAGAAGAAAATATTGGTGCGGAACGCCAAAGGCAAGACAGCGGCTGAAATGTGTTTGAAACAGCGACCAAACAGACGATCCGAGGGGGAGTGCAGTAGGATTGCTGAGGCTGAATGATTCCACCCCAAAAAAGTAGATAAACGCTTCATCAGTCTGTGCTGCATTGCCACATGCCGGACCGTGGCTACTGTTCTCCAACAGCTCTCCGCATGGTATCGCCGCATCGCAAGAAGCAATTGGAGGGACCGGGAGCTGGCTCCTCAGTCCTATGATAGCACTATCAGCAGACCGTGCTGTGCTAGAAAGAGGCATGGTGCCATGAAGTGTGGCATATTATTTGAAAAAGTCAAAGTCAGCAAAATTGCCATTGTTGATGTGGTTCTGCAGCTGTGATGCAGAACTCGCTGGTACCGGCTGCTGCTGCTGCTGCTGGGCGGTCGCAGCGCCGCCCATGTTCCCGAATGGCGATACTGCGGACGTATTGGCGCTAGTAGCAAAGAGGGAGGTACTGGTCTGCATGCTACCCGCAGCCATGCCTGTATTGGTGGTGCTTCCAAATGGCGAGCCAAAGTCCGGGATTGCACCATGCTGGTGGGTATTCTGGTCGCTAACAAACATGGTCTGCCGCTGCGTGAACGGGTTGTACGACATCTGCGACTGCTGTGATGGTAGTGGTTGTTGTTGTTGCTGCTGCTGCTGCTGCTGCTGCTGCTGCTGGAATTGTGTCGGCATGCTGCTGATCGTGTTTGCGGCGTTTGGCATTTGTTGCTGCTGGAAGCCCATTTGCGCCATTTGGTTGGTAATGGCTTGTGCCTGTACATCGTTTTGCGGGAACATTGACTGGCGGAACGGGTTATTGGCAGAGACATCGCCAAATGGTGCAGGCTGTGAGGTAGCCATGGCGCCAGTCTGGAATGGACTGGGGGAAGACATTGCTGCCGATGCGCTGCCATTCATGCCATTTCCAAAGGGCGTGCTACTGACGGCCGCCATATCGGCAAAGTTGGGCATTGGCGCGGACACGCTGTTCATAGTGGCACCAACGAGCTGCGGCGTCGACTGCACACCAGCCAGATTATTGCTGACAGCGCCAAAGGGCGACGATGCAGCGGGCAGCTGCTGGAACGCCACAGCGCTCTGGTTCTGATCCATGCTAAAGAACGCCTGCTGCTGTCCGCTATCGCTGGCACCGCCAGTGGTTGCTGCCGGCGTGCCTATGTTTTGCGCTGCAAACGGATTGCTAAGAGCCTGGAACATGGCCTCCAGATCGTTGGCATTGCTTGCAATCTGCTGCTGCTGCTGCTGCATCAGCGACAGATCAACACCAGTGCCTGCCGATACGGCCACCTGCTCGTGAACGTTGATGGTGTTGTCAGTAGCAGCAACAGTCTCGTCGTCAAGGCTCGAGAAGAAGTCGATAAAATCTTTCTCAGCTACCGCTTCCTTCTTTGCCTCGGGTGGCCGCTTCGACTGGCTACTCGTGGAGTTGTCCCGCGGAGTCCGCACGGTGCCCGCTGTCATCGATGTTGGCGTCGTCGTGGTCTTGGCCGGGATCGGCGATGCCGCAGAGTTGCCTGACATTGCCGTCAGCTCGGGCTTCAGCCGCAGGCCGTAATCGGGTTTATTGCGCGCTGCTGTGCTACTTCCGGAAGTCCCAGTGCGCGACATGGCCCGGGGCGCATTGGCAGGAGCGGTCTCGTCGGCAGGCTGCGGTGACGTGGGCTTCTTTGCATGCTTTTTCATCTCGCCCACGGTGCTGGTGCGCTCGTCCGCCGACATGTTCAAAAAGTCCTCGAGCGCGCGGGACAGCGACAGCGGCGCATGGGTCAGGTTCGGAATGGTGAAGCCGAATATGGCCTCAAAGCGGCGCGCGATCTTTAGATACTCGTCAGCGCGGTCAGTCAGCTTGACAAAGCGCTTGTAGAGATCCAGCGAACGCCGCATGTCGTCTTCGCGTACCTCAAAGTAGATCTTTAGCATCTTCATGACACCAAGGTTCATAACCTGGAACAGCTTGAGCATGTCGCGCAGGCAGTACCGGAAGGCAGAGAATGTGGTCTCGTTGTCCAGGGTGTCCGAATCGAAGCGGTTCTTCAGCACCGAGTGGAGCTGCTTCTGCACTGTGGACACCTCCAAAAGGAGAAACTTCACGTCCGTCGTATTCTTTGCGTAGATCTGCGAGCCAGCCGGATTCTTTGCTGCCACATGGTCAAGGCGAATCGCCTTGAAGGCCAGAACCTTGTCGTTGAGATACGAGGCGTACGTGCGGACATTCTTGCTCTGTTCAAACGCCGAGACACCTAGAATAGAGCGGTCTAACCTGGTTAGATAAACACTCTCCCCTTAGCGATTCAAAAGCCAGTGTGCATTGGCAAGCTTCATGTTTTTTTACCTTTTGTGCCGTGGCGGTCGCGGAAGCGGGTCATGTCTAGAGCGTTCGGGTGGCTAACAAGGTAGTCGTAGATCACAGCGCCGTTGCCCTCGTGCATGAGAATGTGCACCACGATAAGTGCTTTGAACGATATCTATCCCACCAGGCGAACAATCTGGTTAGTACCATGGCTGCATGATGCCAAGAGTCAGCAGGTGCACCCCCTTCTCCTGTTAGGGTGAGGCGGGACAGCCGGTGCAGCCTGTTCGTGGCGTTCTGGAGCGATGTGTGAGCATGGGTCCTCCCTCCGTCTCCGGTGTGGGGGACAGCGATATACTTACTACCCAGTTGGCTTCCGAGAAGCGGTCCTGAATGAGCATAAACAGCTCCTCCATAGATGCACCCGACCATGTCATTTGAATCAGTGCTACATTTTCGGGGTTTGTCAGAATTGCGAACAGGTGCGCCTGCTATTGTGCACAGGGTGGGTCTCAGCGAGGAAAGTACAGAACTTACTGTCGACATGTTTCTGCTTTGGATGCACAGCATCTTTCCGTGTTGCCTTGAAAACGGCCTTTTCCATGTTTTGCTGAAATTGTGGTCAAACCGCACCAGCCTGGCAGCTAACAAAAAAGAATGCAAGGAAAGGAGCGGGAAAAGAAAGGAGCGGGAAAGGAATTAGAGCTTGGGTGAATAGAAGCAAAGAGCGCAAGCACAGAGCAAAAACATTCCAGAGCGCTGAGACCGCCCGCTAATGCGGCGCTCTGCCAAAAAGAGCTTGGGTTCGGACATGCTTCTGGGCCAATCACGTGCACAGATCGTGTCGCACCAGCAGGGACTAGCGCTCTGGCTGCTGCTGTCCGCAAAAAATGACTTCACCCTTACCGAGGCTCAGAGAACCCTTGCTGGCCTTTAGGCGCAACTCTGCGGTGGGTGCCACTTTGTGTTGGGCTGCTAGGGATGGTGGTATGAGTTGTGTCGATGTGCCGACCACAAATATCTGACATGCTAGCATAATTGAAATTGTGTTACTTTGGCATGTTTTTGACGCGCTTGCAGTTCTCGCACACAGCGAGCTTGGGCGCTGCCGCAGCCTTGGCGCCGTCATTTGCCTGAGGCGACGAAACATCAAACTCGACGAAACCATGGTGACCGCAGTACTCGCAAGCACTGGCACCATCGGCCTCGCCGTCGGAATGCGATGCATCGGGCAGGGCCTTGCGAGCACGAGCGCCGCCCGCCAGCAGGGCCGGGGTCACAGTCGCTGCGACAACATTCCCCGCGATGGTCTGCGAGTGGTGGATGACAGCTGAGGAGCGGCGGTTGTTCTGCGACTTGCGGCGGCTCAGCTTGCTCCAGAACGACGTCTTCGCTGACATGAGTTCCTTGGGAGGCCCCGGTGCGGCGCGCGGCTGGGCAGACTCGGATGATGCCACAGGGATGTTCTGCACCGCAGTGTCGTGGCGGCCCTGGTGGCGGTGCGATGCGGCCAGCCCGCCAGCCTCGCTGGAGACTGACCGGGTGTGCTGAGAAATCCGGTCTCTCAGCGACGCTCGGCTGCCACGGTGCTTGAGCAACAACGATGTTCTCGATGCACTATTGTCCTGGGTGTACATGTGGTGCACATTGATGTCCTTGCGGAACACGCGGATGTTGCCGCATGTGTCGGCAGACACAATGATAGCAGTCGTATCTTCAACCAGATTGTCATCGCTGGCCGTGGGCAGGCTACTGGCAGAGGCATCGCGGGCACCAAAGGTGGCATTGGACTGCGGGGGGAGCAGGTTCTCGACCTCGCCCGAGCCGTTGGTGGTACGCATCTTGCGGCGCGACAGGATCGGGTCGTCGTGGGCGGCAAGGTACTGCAGGGTGCTGGCAGGCGCGAACAGGGCGGCCGAGACGGCAGCATCGTGGGCGGGGAAGTACTCGTAGATGGACTTTTCCTCAACCCGGCCATCCAGGCTCTCCCACTCGCCCGGGGTCTCGCTCTCAGCATGCGTGCTGCTCGATTCGCCGGCTCCTTCGATGGCAGTCTTGCGGCGTACAAACAGTGTGCCAAAGAGCTGCTTCTCCTGCGACTTGGCGGTGCTGGCGGTGGGAGTGGGCGGGGGGTGGGCGGAGGCGCTGCCCTTGACACGGCGAATGTGGTCGCTGTTGGGGTGTGTGGACACAGTGGCGGCGTTGTCCTGGGCAGCCGACCACACGTAGATGTTGTGGTCCTCGGAGCCCGAGATCACATAGCGGCCGTCGGAGCTCAGGCGCGCGTAGGCCTGGCTCGACGCGTTGGCATGGCCCTTGTACTTGCGGTCCAGCTGGCGCGACTGCAGGTTGAACATGCGCAGGCGCGAGTCATTGCTCGAGACCAGCAGCTGGTAACCTGGCTCGCTCTGCTCACCATCCAGCCCCAGGCGTCGGGCCAGCTGCGGCGTCATGGCGCCGGTGGGCAGGTAGGCGAAGCCGGTGATCTTGCTGCCCTTGGCATTGCGGCCACGCGACGAGCGCGCGTGCATACGGCCCTGGACAGCTAGGCCGTCGGCGGCATAGAACACACACATACCCCGGTACGTACCGGCCACGATGTGGTCGCCGCGTGGGCTGGTAAAAGCCACTGATGTCACCATCTGGCCGTCAGGCAGTTTCGTCCAATGCCGGACAGACCGTGCCGGGATATCCCACAGCCGCAGCTTGCAGTCCAGCGACCCAGAGATGAACGTCCGGTCGTCGCGCGGGTTGAACGCGACCGACGTCACAATATCGCGGTGCCGGAAGGTGCACAGACACTCGGGGCGGTGCGGGTGCCAGAGCCGCACCGTGCGGTCCATCGACGCCGACAGCAGGAACCCGTTCTTGGACCATGCCAGCGCCAGAATGTCCGACGAATGTCCGACATAGGACCGGAACGGCACTGGCTCCAGCAGCTTCGTACGCGTGCATCGGGTGCAGCTGCGCCTGCGACGCCGATGCGCAGTCGCCGCGTCAGTGAGTCGGCGCGCGAGGACGTTGGCGAGCCAGGCACGTCGCCGGGCTGCTGCGCGGCGTCGTCGACCAGCGGGAACTGGCTCAGCGCGGCCTGGTCGGGCACGTAGGACTGCGACCGCGGGCTGAGCAGCGGCTGCCCGACCGACACCGACCGGCTGTGTTTGCCGCTCTTGCTTATCGGCGCCGAGTTCGCATACGGCAGAATGTCCTTGCCGTCGATATACACCGTCGACGACCGCTTGTGTGCGCCAGGCTCGGCTCGGTGCGGATCACGAGCCGCGGGCCGTGCGCGCGATGTCGGCAGCTCCGCCTCCTTCTGCTGCTTGTCGCGCGCCTGCTCACGTGCAAACGCCGCAATGCGCCAGATGCGCACCACGCCGTCCTGGCCGCCTGCAGCCAGGTACCGCCCGCACGCGCTGAACTCCATCGTCCAGATACCGGTGCTCTGCGGCTTCGTTTGCTTTGCCGGCTCGGCGTTCAGCTCCATCTGCTGGCTGAACTGCGACGCGTGGCTTGGCTTGGTGCGTAGTGTCCGTGCGCCGTCCATATCGCTGGCAGCCACCGAGCCGTGCTTTGCCGCCGCCGTTTCCAGCATCCGCCGCCGCAGATTGCCCGAGTCCAGCACCGTCTGGTCGTTGCCTGGGATGTTGGGGTGGCCTGCCGACGGGTTGCGCGACCGCTGCGGCGACATGCCTGGACTGGATGGGCTGCTAGGAGCCATGGACCGGCTAGCCGGCCTTGCTGTATGCTGCCGGCTTCCGCTGCCAGCCTCGTCATACACCACTGGTGCAATCTCCTGCGCCAAGAACAGCCGCCAGAGCGCCCGCCGCTTGACGCGCTTGACGCGCGGGATGATGAACCGCCAGGGCTCCACCGCCCGCGTCTTCATGTCCGACCGCTGGTTCTCGGCTGCATGCGCATAGTGCTCGGCCATGGCCGCCGCACCAACCTCGTTTGCATCCAGCCCTGGCTCGCCCTCGTCGTCCGACTCGTCCGACTCGTCGCTGCTGCCCCGCGGCTCCTGCCCGATCTCCTCGGCTACCGCTCCCTGGTGCCACGCTGGTAGGTTCAGCTGCGGCGCCTTGCTCATGCGCCGCATGTACCGCCGCTTCTCCTCGGCGCCCGGCCGGAACTGGTGGCCCGTGCGCTGCGACACATTCATCGACACCGGGTCGTTTCTCACTGCCTGCTTGTACTCGGCATTGCTGGCGTGTTTGGACGGGTCTGTGACCGGCGCTGCCGGCATTCGCAGGATACTGGAAAACATGCTCTTGGTCGGCGTCGGCGGCCGCTGGTTCTCGGGGTTGTCCGCATTGGCATCCGCCACCAGCCGCTCGTCGATGATCTGCTGCCACCGACGTGCTGCCTGACGACACTCCCATGATGCTCGGCGGCGTTCCCGGCTTGCTCTCCACCGTCTCCTCGCTGTGTTCTGCCTTTGCTGCCAGTGGGTTGACGTAGCTGACAATGTTGTAGACGCTGTCCACCACCCCGCCCACTGCCTCTGTGACGCGGCTCTTCATGACTCGCGGTACTATAGCGATGCGCTCAAACGACTCGTTCAGTTGCTGCGCCTCTATCGGTTGACTGTTGAACGCCCCAGGGGAATTTCACTGCCGAGGGTGTCCGCGTTATCGCCTTTCCTGTGGGTAATGTGCTTGTGTGGAGAAAGTGAAGTAGAGATGTGCAAAGACGGTGCGTTGCTCGCCGCTGTCGGTTCCTCGCTAGCATGCATCTGTCAGGGGGGTTTTGGGAATAAGAAGAAAGGAAAAATGCGGATTGTATTCCGAGTATTTTGCGAAAAGGCGATTGTTGTGCAGGAATAAAAAGGAATAAATTCTGAGCCTCTGTGTCTATCAGCAGCGATCGTCCCCTTCAAGGAATTCGTCCTAGCGCTCCTGCTGTTTGTGTACTATTTCAAAGGATGGGCATGGAGACGGTCTAGATTAGCTGGCATCCTTTTCTGCCCAAGGCCGGCCCCGCACCGCCATACCGAGAGATCGGCCAGCTCGGCCATCAACTGCACAGTATGCGGGGGAGGGGAATGCGAATCGTCCCTGTGTTGTATATGCATACCTTTTCCGGAAAACCAAAAAATAACCACGGAAGACTCTCGATAGATAGGGAGCTGAAAAAGTAGTCGAAAAAAGCTGAGAAATCAATCCAGTGCAGAGGAGAAGTGTACCTCGTGAGTCTACCGCACACTCGTGTACGTTTCTTCACACTTTGGGGGATGAGAAAGGCGCTAGCCACAGGGTTTCGCTTGAACCACTTTTGAATTTTGTCTCACAAGCAAAAGCAAAAAGGTACCTGCCTAGAAATGCGGATTTTCGCCTCTCTTTTGCCCGACCAAAACCCGCACACATGCGGGACTGGGCTATATTGGCACTCAGCAGCGGATGCGCAGCCCAGGCAGACGCTATCCGCGGTATAGCCTCACTACTACACTTCCGTTCCCGAAAATCCTGGCCAGCAGCAACGTTGAAAATTGGGGAATTATGCTTACGGACACTGGTCCTCATGCTTTTTTTGCGCATACCTTGTGTGGAGGAGACGGAAGGCCGCTTGCTTACTCAGGTTGCCGGCTCTATTCTCCGGTGCAGCCCGGCAGACACGACTGAGGGGGCTTGTCGCCGATGCTTTCATTAAAAGATTGTGGCTTTGAACCAGATCACTGATTAGAAAGCTTCCTGAACTTTTTTGTATTTGTTGTTTACGATTCAATATTGCTGCCCAGAAGGCGGGCGGCAGACCTGCCTGCAGTTTCTTCCTCACTCTTGCACTATTTGTATTTTTCTCTTTTTTTTGCATTTCACGTCTGCTATTTTAAAAAAACTATCGATACTATATCAATAATGGACGAGCGGCCACCGTCCGCAGGTAAGCCCGGTGAGCAAGGCGCGTACACAAAGAGCTGATATCCAGGCAACTACTAAGAGCCGCTTTGCTAGACTTTGACCAAATCGATGATGTCACGGAGCTCAGGGCTATCCTGCGCGAGACCACTGCCCGGCTCCAGACAGCTGCGCAGATGGGGCTGTCTCTGGCCACGCAGAACCATGCCCTCCAACAGCGCCTTGAAACATTTGAGCACGAGAAAGACGAGCTGCACCAGCGCCTGGCTCTAATTGAGCGCGACCGGCGGCGCATGCAAGACCAGTCCCTGCTGGTCGACCAGTTGCGTGAGACGCTGGTAGAGCTGCAGTCAAAGTACTCTGGCCGGCAGCAACGGCGCGTGTCTGTGGACGCACGCGTCGACAGGGTCGAGCGTAGCGTCGATGCGGTGCGCGAAGAGCTGGATGGCCTACAAGCGGCTATGGCGGATGTCGATGGAATGCGATGGCGCAGCGAGCGCCAGCAGCTGGCAAAGGCTGTGCAGGGCGTCAAAGACGACGTGGAGGCTGCCGAGTGCCGGATAGACGATGTGCACGCAAAGGCCGCAGAGAACGAGCAGAGGCAGGCGTCCAGACATGCAGACGTGGCGAGAAGGATTGCTGATCTGCAGCGCCAGATTGATGCCCTGGCGGAGATGGGCGTGCGGTGCCAAGAGCAGATCGAATGGACGGCACAGGCGCAGGCATCAGTGGAGCACGAGATACGCGCGGCTGTGGCCGAATGCAACGAAATGGTAGGTGGCCATGAGGCGGCGATCAGGGCGCTACGCGATAGCAGCAGTCCAACCGGGCACCCACCCCTGCATAGCAGTCTATTTGAGCAGCTGCCGCACGAACAGCAGAAGAGAGAGCTCCGGGGGGACTCGGGGGTCAGTCCATCGCTGAACGACAGCGGTGATGCGGTTGCTGGAGGGGAGAGCCTCAATGACATTTTCGCTCACGATACCGAGCACCAGCCAACATTAGGGCTGTTCCATCGCCAACAGACATCGTCACCAACAGGCCACCATGGCACTGCGTCTCGTCATGCGAATGCAGTGGCGCTGGTGCCAAGCAGGCACCACCGCTGCTACCAATGCTGCTGGCAGCTTTCCCCTCGCCGCCCATGTCGGCATCGGGTGAGCTGGAGCTATCACCGCTGGCAGAGTTTGTCGCCAAGGCATCGACGCTGCCGCGCAAAGCCGCGTCGGTGATCGGCACAACCCTTCGCAACCCAACCCGCCGTGCAGTGTCCACACACGCGCGCCATCGGTCGGCCAGCGACGAGGCCCAGCAGGGTCTGCGGCCATTGCCGCCAATGTCTCCGACTCGCCCGGCGGCGCTGGACGGGCTGATTTCGCGTGCCGGGCATGTGGGTGTTGGGTGGGGGAACTACTGGGAGGCCCGGCAGCACAAGCTGGAGATTGATATCCAAAAGCGCCTCGGGTGTGCCGGCGAACGCCATCCGGGCGTCCAATGACGATGCCGTCGTCGATTAATTTATTTATGCCAACGTTTGCAACACAAATACGGAAGATTCTGCCTCGTGCTTTGCAAATGCTACTCGGGAGCGCATCTGCATTTGAGGTTGTGCAGGTGGCCGCCGCTGTTTGTTATCAGCTCGTTGCTGGTCACATACCTGATGCACTGCTGCACTAGTCGTTTGGTGAGCGTCGGTGCAATGAGGGTGCGGATCGATGGGATGCGTGCCAATACAAGTACTATACCAAACTCGAGCCTGGCGTTCTCCATAGCGGTTGATACAGCCGTCAGATGCAGCAGCCTTAGCGATTCGCTTACTGGGCCGTGCGGCAGATATGTGTCGCTGCCATTCTCGCCATCGTCGTCGCCATCGTCGACTAGGTCCAAATGCAGTGTGTGGAGGTTGGGAAACACTGATATGAATTTTGCCAAGCGTCTGAACCGCACTGGCGCTGCGATGGTGAGGTCGCGGAGCGCCCAGTGCCATATAGCGGCTATTGGCAGGTTCAGCAGGTGCGGCGTGTTGGTAATACCCAGCACAAGCGTCTCTATGGGCAATTGCGTTTGGAATATTCTGTCAACAAATCCCTGTACAGCATCTCGACTTTCGGGGTCTGTCCATTTGGCCATATCAAATGATACACGCAGATGGCGCAGTGTATCCGGCAGCTGGTCAAATGCCATATCTGTGATCCCCCTGTTGCATTCGGCCATTGCCAATGTCGTTAGCTTGCGTGCCCCAGCAAACAGGCGTAGGAATACCTGAACGTCGTATGCGAATGCACCGATTTCGAGCACACGCAGCGCTGGAAACATGTGGAGAGAATTGCGCTCGCCTAGAGCCATGCCTTCGGGTAACAGGGTTTCGTCAAATTCGAGCCTTAAACGCTCCAATGTCTGGAATACAATGTACTGGTCGACAGATGGCTCAGCAAGGATATCCACCAGCCTCCCCAATGTCAGACCACCAAGTCTTATTGATGCCAGAGAAGGCGCTAGCCAGTGCACAAGGCTCTGGTCCAGGTTACTTGTCAGTGTAGTGACATCCAGCCTGCCAAGATTCACCGTCCTTTATGTGTTTAGTCAATTCCAGGTCGAATGGTGTGCTGGATGATACATGGATGCGGTTGATGTGGCGGATACGCGGGTTGAGAATGCGGCTGAACATGTGGCGATGTGAGGCGACCACATCGTCGTGTGGGGAATTGTACCAAATGGTATGCAGCCTTGGTGTGTGCTCGCCGACCGTACGTGCCAGTAGGCGGATAGCTGTCAGCACTGTGTTGCTGAAGAGGACAGAGCCGTTCCCGAGGTCAATGTTCAGGTAGAGAGTGCGCACCTGCGACCATGCCGAACTCTCTCCTGACAATCTGGTCTGCCGATGCCGCAAACTCCTGCTCGTTTGGCTGCCCAGCGATGTCTAGAATCAGAATGCGCGAATTCAGCACCGTGCTGCGGTCAACCGTGGGTGGGAGCTCCGGTACAGTCACCAATGTGCCGTCGCCAACGATCCGGTACGCCATGACTGCGCAGTATTGTGGCCATAGGGCGTATCTCCAACTGCGACATATACTTGTCCCGTATTTCAACAGCGTCTTGTGTCTATCGATTGTGTCCCAGAAGGCAAACATGTTTGACGTGTGCGCAAAGCCCATGATGCGGTCAAGAACTTGCCCATTGAGTCTATGAACAGATGCAAGGGGTGGCTCGTGTAGCGACACAAGGGTCCGCGAGCCGTCAAGCTGTGTGTCGATAGAAGCGTCACCAAAAGGAGAAGCGAGCGATGTCAGCATCAATAAGTGTGCTGCCGAGCGGGTAGCTGATGATTTCGGGTAGGAATCCGTACTCGGCCGACTCTTCTTGACGCCTGGAGCGCGTTCTAAGAATGGAGCGCAGCTTAGACATTGCTTATATAAGAGGCTATGCTGGTGGTTTGTAATTAGAGAAGGGTCGTAAAAGTGAATGGGGAAGGAGAAACAAGCAGTCCGCAACAGTTTGGGAAGAAAGCGTAAATTTATACCAGAGTACATGCAGACAGACCCTGCAACATTTCTAGCCCACACACGCGTGCAACGTGCTCGCATGTCTGGTACGTGCAAGCAACCACTTCGGCCAGTTTCTGGTGCTCACGCCTTGATTTCTATTGTTTTTGGGCCATGCCAAGTACACTCGGTTGTGATCACATTGCCCACCTTGGCAAAGCCAAGGCGCTCGTACATCCGGATCGAGCCCTCCTCGAAGGCGTCCAAGTACACGCGCATACCAGGCACCAGATGCGCCAGTGCATGCTGGATAATCTCGCTTGCCAGACCCTGTCGCCTGGTGATCTGGGTGCGTGCCCACTACCTGAAGGTACGCGAGCTTGGGGGCCTTTTCCCGCGGTACAAACACGACCGCAAACGCCTTCTCCTCTAGCATCCACACCTGTGTGTCATTATTCAGCACCTGCCGCCTCAGCTTTTCGTCCAGCCATGCAGTATCTCCCTGCTTGTCGTACCCAAAGCACCAGGCATTGCACTTCGCTAGCTCCCCGATGTCGCCTTCAGAGCACCTGCGCACCCGCTTGCTGGTCTTGAACTCGCTCGGCTCTAGCCCATCGATTTTCATCACAGTGTCGTCCAAATCGCGCTCAAGCGCGAACCCGCAGTCGTCGAACCCCTTGATAATCTGTTCTGGGTGGTGCAGAGTCGTATCGATCGTGCATCGTGGCACAAGCCCTTGGGTCTTGTATGTGACCTTGGTGATGTGTGCAATGTTCTCGGGCGGGTCAGCCAGGGCAACGAGTCCGGCAGTGGGAAACTCCAGGTTGAAAAAGTCCATGTGCAGATGGTTGGTGTCCCGGTGAGTCGGGTTTGAGGGATTGAGGAACAGCCGCGCAAAGGTCAGGTTTTCGGTGTTGTCGCTGAGTGCCCGGATCGCCTCGCTGTGCAGAAATCGGTCTTCAACGTACCACTGCGGCAAGTACACCACGTCATTGTTGGGATTAATCATGGCTCGCAGGGAGAAAGGTAAAGAGTGTGTAAAAATGAAGTGCAATAAACTGGGGGTCTAGAAAAGGAGTGTGAAAGAATGAAAGAAAGAGAGAGGTCTGGAGGCACTGGGGCTGTACTCAGGACGGGGTGGTATTTCTAAAGCAGTCCTCTATGTAACAAACACTCCGGATTGACCCCCACTGGCTCCTGGCTGGCTCCTGACTGGCTCCTCAGTGCCGCCAGCACGGCCCGAGTTCCGCAAAGACCAGGTACAAGCACTCTTATCATCGAAGACACGCTGGTGCTAGCATGGGACGATTTTTGTTTTCTTTCGGGCTGGGGTTCAAAGTAAAAATAGTCGTTCTAAGGCTCTCTTCAGTACACCATCTCGTCCGTGTCAGGGCTGGGCATCGCACTGCCAAGCGGCTCCAGCTCGATTTCCTCCGATGCAGATGCAGAGGCGGATCGCTTCACCTTCCGCTTGGCCGACGATCTCTGGCGGCTGCCACTTGCCACTGGTGGCTCGGTGCGGTTCACGGCCTCGACCAAGATTTCATGGACCTTGTCGTTGGCCATCGTCGTCAGGCCATTCGCGGCCCGGATCACAGGCCCCCACAATCTCAGGTTGTGGACGATGAAGGCAACTCCGCCCAGCAACGCCGTCAAAACAAGGTAGATTGGGTTGAACAAAATCGTCATCGCCTCATTCCATCCCAGCACCACCAGCAGCGCCATCACCCACAGCGGCACATGGTTCTGCGTCGACACCATCGCGCGCTTGGCCTCCAGGTACAGTGCATCCGCCTCGCGGCCAAACCGCTTGCCCAGCTCACGCAGGCGCGCACCTGAGATCAGGACCAGCGAGCGGTCCAGCTCGAAGTTGGGCGCAAAGTACCCAGGTCGGCGCACAACACAGTCGTTGCTGACAACGATCTTGCTGAACATTGGCAGCAGCGACTGTGCTGACTCGCGCGCAACGGCAAACTGCGAGTCAATATCATCTGAGGGCTTCCACACGCGTGGAAGGCCGGCCTCATCGTACCGGAACTTATCCTCAAGCGCATTGCGCAGCTTCAACAGCACCATCTGGTCTGCTACCTCCTCCTTCAAGACGTCGACCAGGTCCTCCCACAGACCAGTGTGCAGCTTGCGCAGGAATCCGACCTGTGCCTCCTCACTGGTGATTTCTGCGTTGGTGATCCGCACCTGCAGCGCGTCTTCGGCATCGCGGTTCGTGGTCTCGAAGCCCTCAATGATCTTGCTCCACATCTGTGCATCGGGGTTGTTAAGTACGTCCTCGATCAGCTCGCCCAGCGTGTCCTTGGCGGTGCGCCGCAGCTTGGCCAGTGCACGGTCCATCTCTGCCAGTCTAAGCTTGGCTGTGGTCGCATCCAGCGTGGTCTCGAGCTGCTTGAGCTCGGACCCAAACGTCCATGAGCCGCCGGGGATCACCAGCTCGTTGACAATCATGCGGAATGACTCCGTCACATGCCGGCGCACCTTGCCAACAACCTCGCCGAAGCTGTACTCGGTCTCCGCTGCTGCGGCCTCCTCGAGGCGCTTGTGGCTCTCGTTGGCGAACTTTTCTGTGGCCAACGCCAGGGCATTCTTGACCTGGTTGACAAATACTGCGTGCAGCTCGCCGTCAAGCAGCTGTACAAACGCCTCGCGCTTCTTGCGATACACCTCCTTGTGGTACCGCGCTGCTTGTGAGTCGAACATTTCGATAGCAGTGTCGCGTGCCTGCTGTGACACCTGGCCAAGATCGGGAACGATATCTCCCTCCTGCACCAGCGGCCGCATCTCGTCAATAGCCTTGCGGAACGGAACTAGTGCCGCCTGCGCAATCTCATCGCACCGGTACTGTGCCAGCAGTTCCTGCTGTGTCGGCAGATCCAGGTCCTTATTGCTGACCACCTTGTCCCACACAGCCTCTGCATAGTGCGGGAACCCGTCGGCCGGCACACGGCGCTTGTAGCTGGGCTTGAACACATATTCCTTGGACCGCCGGTCTGTAAACTGGCTGCGCAGCTCCAGCGCTTCACGCTCAAAGTTCTCGGGCTGCAGGAGCTTGTGCGGGAGCGACGTGAACTTCAAATCAAAGTAGTCCGTCAGTCGCGCATTTTGCAGCTCGCTAGGCTTGTTGACGCTGGCCCAGATCCGCTCCAGATCGCTGTGCAGAGTGCCAGCTAGGTTCTCCAGCGGAGTTGGGCTTACATGATCGCGGATCACAAAATAGAGCAGAGTCTTGTTCTCGCGGTTCCCGCCAAACAGCTGCAGATTAACCTCGAGAACCGTCTTGAGCAAGCCCATGTTGGCGCCGTTGTACAGCCCGACCATGTTCTCCCACATGTTTACAATCAGCACCTCTGACACTGCCAAGGAAAACAGCGCACTCTTGCGCTCAAAGTCTTGGTTCTCGCCGCGCTCACGCCCGTCGGTGCCCTCCACATCCAGAATCAGTACATTCATATCTACACCACGGTCCGCCCAGATGCCGCGTGTTGTCTGCTGCCTCTGGTGCTCATCCATCACGTCAAACTTTGTGCCAAACAGACGGTTCAGCAACGTACCTAAGCAGATATTGAAAAAAGGCAGTTAGTGGCATCTTAGTCTACTTGCTAGTACACTGGAAGCAACTGCAGTGGCTTGTCTAAGACCTCGGTTACTGCGTCTACCTGCTCTTCCAAAGTCGGCCCTCTACTTACTCTTTCCAGTGCTCTGCGACCCGAACACTGCAACTACATTGTAGTCGAAGCCAGCATCACACAGGCTCCACTTCTTGTTCATATAGGGCTCCAACTTGTCCCTAGAAAACAATGGTGGTGGGAAAAATTAAGAGAACACGCTTAGTACCTGCCTCGAGTTACGGTTGCCTATCTCTGTTGATGACAGGAAACCACTCATCGGCATTCGCCCTGTGGGATACTTACGAGAACGCCTGCTCGTCGTCAATGAGCTGCAGTCGATTGTACTCGCCCCTCGAGCGGCCGTTGCGCTCGTGCTCGCGGTGGCTGGGAACCACCGACGCTGAATGTCCCGAATTCATGTCCGGCACGTTTTGACTCTCTGCATATGACGACATTAATGGCTGAACTGTTGGCTTTTGGTTGGAATGGGCAGAGATGAAAGGAAGGTATGTTGAAATTCGCTGGAAACAGGAGAAGGGGAAAAGGAGGGAAAGTGTCGCTGGTGGAGAGAAAGGCTAAATAAATGTGATCCTTGACGCAACGCTCATACCCAGGCCCACTGAATGCTAGCCACGGTGTCGACAGTGTGCAGATCACGGGCCGGCTCGGAACGGCTTGTGATCGGCTCGGCTCGACTGCTGGTCATCAGCTTGTCACCCGCTGAACCTGTGCCAGATATCGACGGCCAGTTGGCCACACGACTGCTGCTCCCGCCAGCAAACCTTCCTCCCTCCCCATCCATTTGCACAACCCATGTGCCTGTATTGGTCCCAGTTTTCACCACACCAGCACATACGCATGCACAAAATCGGCATGATGCTCGGCCATGTTCCATTTCACACAGCGCACTGATCTTCCCCACCCCAAGCTTTCACCCTGACACCTCCCCATCTTTCCCCCTGGAATAAACTCGCACATATACACAACTGTGTAGTTGGGCTAGTTGGTAAGACCGTGAACAAGAGCGCCAACCAGTGGGCAGGCTGAAGGTGTTTGAATTCAAGAGCTGTTCTTGATTTCCGCCAGCCATGACACCTTGTCCGCAACTTGATGCAGTAGTGAGGTGCGTGTCAAGAGAGATAGGGGTATTATTATTACGGTTAACTAAGGACAAGAGTGAGAACAGCAAAAAGCCTTGGGCTGGAAAAGACCCAGCATTAGACCGCCCCAGCAGCAATCTTCTCATGAACGACCTCGTCCTCAGCTGCAACGGTATCCTCGGAGTGGTCCTTGATGTTCCAGACGACGTAAGCCATGCTGACTAGAGAGATACCGAACAGGAACCCAGTTACCGATGAGCTGGCCCATGAAGTCGACACCCTTGGCCTCAAGCTGCCACGAAATAGCAGCACCGAAGGACTGCATACCCTTGTAGAAACCGACATAGCGAGAGAGCTTCTGGTTGTCGTTGGTAAGAGCACCAATGACCCAGTAGGCGAACGACTGGTAAATGGCGTCTCCAAAGCCGCAGACGAAGTACAGAGTAATGGGTCCACCAGCGCGGGACGAGTCCTTGAAGTCGATGGGACCTCCGGGGTAGTCAGTGGGGCCAGTGGTGGTAGGGCCGTGCGTGTACTTTTGCTGAAGAGCAAGGGTTCCGCCCCAGACAACATTGAAGAAAATAGCAACAGTGGCGAATCCAATGATGCCGCGCTTCTTGCGGTTCATGTTCTTGTTATCGAGGACGAAGGAGATGGCGTAGGCACCAACCATCTGGGCACCCCAGTAGATGATGTTGTTGAAACCACGAGTACGCAGGTTGAAGATGGCACCGTTGATGGCATTGAACTGGTAGCCGTAGAAGAAGTTGGATGCAAAGCACAACGGGAGCAGGCTGATCATCATCGGGTTCAGGAATAGCTTGACGATCTCAAGAGCCTCCGTACCGACATTGGTGTACTTGACCATGACGACCGACGAGCCATCGTCACGGACAACGCGCGAGGGAGGAGCAAGAGCAAGACCGAGAACGGAGCCAAGGCACTCGAGCACGACAAAAGGCAATGTAGACACCGTTCGAGAGCGACTTGGCCTCAACTTTGATTGTAGTTCATGGCGAAAGGAATGATACCGCCAAGCATACCACCCATGTTGAAGATGATCCAGAAGATGGCAATGTACTTGGCCTTATCCTCCTCCTTCGGATACGACACCATGATCATACCCTGAGCAGCCCACAGAATACCAGGCACCAATACCGAGGAGGGCACCAGCAGCGATGGTGAGGCCACCTTTCTTGGTCTCGTTCAGGTAGATGTACGAAGCAGAGTAGAGAGCGTAGGTGAAACCAGAGCCGAAGATAGTCCAGCGGACACCGCACAGGTTGACAATACCACCACCAATGATACCGAAAACAACAAAAGTCGAGTAGAGAGCCGTGTTACCGTTGGCACCAGTGGAAGCATCGACTTGACCACCACCACCCATACCGTTGAGGGCGTTGAACATACCAGGGCACAGGAAGCAAATGAAGCCCACGATGATGACCTGGGTCAGCGGGCTAGTGTAGCGAAGACCCATACTTTTAAATAATAGCGATACAGAGGGCTTGATTTAAAGGAAAGAGCGTATTAGGCGTGTCGAAATAACAACGGTATTTTTTCTGGCGAAGAGGATAGTTAGTTTGGCTGTATGAGGGAGAAGTGAGATGAATGATGAAGGAAAAGATGACAGGAGAGGGGATGCGTCAAAGGCATTTATAGTCGAAGGAAGTGTACATCATCGAGCAAGGGGAATGTGCCGGCAATGGTGCTAGAAAAGTGCTCTATGCATTTCACTTTTTCGGCAGCACTACAAAAAGAAAAACAGTGCCATTTATTGTATAAACCCCTATGTTGCACCCACCCCTGCTTGCTCTACCCACTGCAAAGAGAGGGCAAGATACGAGGAGCATCTCTTCGTATACAAATTGACGTAGGCTGGAAAGAGGGACAAAAATAAAATGGAAGGTTGCAAACCTGGAACCCACATGGAGAGCACTCCACTTTGACGCCCTTTGCTCCCGGTATACCCAAATTTGGCCAAGGTGAGTGTTGAGTTTCGAGTGTCTGTGGTCTCTTGGAGTCGAGTCTTGCCCATTCCTCCTGTGTCTTCTTTTTAATCCGCCTATGCAGAAGGGGATCTACAGCACACCATTGCCGCGTACCTTTTCCCTCTTGGTGCTTGCTCTGCCAGACAAGCGCACAGCGCTGCAAAAGAAGGTCACATTATACTCTGTGCAGCCAGTCGCTTTTCTAGCAGGCCTTTCTACTCAGTCATCTGTGGTTCTGGCGGATGCTTGCCAGGAAAAAATGTGACGAAAAATTGTACGCGAACCAGTTGAGATCTCGCCCCCCCCCCCGCAATTATATATTTGGTGCCATAGAATGCTAGAAGCCGTGCTGTGCATGTGTTGGCTCGCTCACCTTCTAGATGATGGAGGGGGTGAGTGGACCTAGGGCTGTGTCAGTGGGTAAAGAGGGACAGTGATAGCAACGTACAAATGAGGCAGGTATGATTGGCACTTCTATTCTTCTTTCTTCTGCAACATGCGGACAGCCAGAGGCTGCGTGCTGCATTCAGCGGACAAAACTACGGGCATGGAGCTCGAGAGCACAGAGATTCTGGAAGCTCTGCAATATGTTGCCTCGGTTCCTTTCTCGAACACTGCCTTTCCAGTGGAATATGCACCTTGGGTACTACTATCGGTCCGGTTTCCTTGATATCCATTTTGGTGACGAGCTGATCATGGTATGGCGAAGCCCAAAAAGCTGCATGACCCAAATTGTTCTGCCCATGTATTAAGGAAGCTTCTACATTCACATGGAACGGGCAGGCTACTTCCAATAAATGTGCATACTGCATCCATATACCAGTTGTAGTTCGAAAGAACCAGCCTATTCTGGAAGGATTCAGCATATAAAATGCTATACTGGGTTACTACGACACAAATTTAGTATATGCCTATATGCATACGGGCAGGAAACCTAAATCGTTACTAATAGCGGTGCCTCTTGCTATTTTGCATCAAACCCCGATTATGTAATATAGAACCCCTTTTCTGCACTGACCGCTGCTAACCAAAAAGCGCCTGCACAATCATCTCCTGTGCGGGGTTCCGCTTCGCATGTCCGCCAGGGTCCATCCCTTTGAGTTCAATGCGAGATCAAGAATCCGGATTCATTCTCTCGCATACCCTTCGCGCTATATTGAGATAGTAATTGCAAGCCTACGACATTGTGATGTTTGTAAACTTTTTTATAATAGGTCTTGATTCAAACCATTACACTATGAAACGAATATTAGTTATAACGGGCGACAGAAAAAACCAGCCTCTAAATTTAGGCGGAGATCTCCTTCTCGTGAACAACCTCGTCCTCAGCTGCAACGGTATCCTCGGAGTGGTCCTTGATGTTCCAGACGACGTAAGCCATGGTGGGCAGAGAGATACCGAACAGGACCCAGTTACCGATGAGCTGGCCCATGAAGTCGACACCCTTGGCCTCAAGCTGCCACGAGATGGCACCACCGAAAGGACTGCATACCCTTGTAGAAACCGACATAGCGAGACAGCTTCTGGCTTGTCGTTGGTAAGAGCACCAATGACCCAGTAGGCGAACGACTGGTAGAGAGCATCACCAAGACCGCAGACGAAGTACAGAGTAATGGGTCCACCAGCGCGGGACGAGTCCTTGAAGTCAATAAGACCTCCGGGGTAGTCAGTGGAGCTCAGTAGCGCTAGGGCCGTGCGTGTACTTCTTCTGGAGAGCAAGGGTTCCGCCCCACATGACGTTGAAGAAAACGGCGACAATGGCGAATCCAATGATACCACGCTTCTTGCGGTTCATGTTCTTGTTATCGAGGACGAAGGAGATGGCGTAGGCACCAACCATCTGGGCACCCCAGTAGATGATGTTGTTGAAACCACGAGTACGCAGGTTGAAGATGGCACCGTTGATGGCACCGAACTGGTAGCCGTAGAAGAAGTTGGAGGTGAAGCACATAGGAATCAAGGGCAAGCATGAGCGGGTTCAGGAACAGCTTGACAACCTCAAGAGCCTCCGTACCGACATTGGTGTACTTGACCATGACGACCGACGAGCCATCGTCACGGACAACGCGCGAGGGAGGAGCAAGAGCAAGACCGAGAACGGAGCCAAGGCACTCGAGCACGACAAAAGCAATGTAGACACCGTTCGAGAGCGACTTGGCCTCAACTTTGTTGTAGTTCATGGCGAAAGGAATGATACCGCCAAGCATACCACCCATGTTGAAGATGATCCAGAAGATGGCAATGTACTTGGCCTTATCCTCCTCCTTCGGATACGACACCATGATCATACCCTGAGCAGCCCACAGAATACCGGCACCAATACCGAGGAGGGCACCAGCAGCGATGGTGAGGCTACCTTTCCGGTCTCGTTCACGTAGATGTACGAAGCAGAGTAGAGAGCGTAGGTGAAACCAGAGCCGAAGATAGTCCAGCGGACACCGCACAGGTTGACAATACCACCACCAATGATACCGAAAACAACAAAAGTCGAGTAGAGAGCCGTGTTACCGTTGGCACCAGTGGAAGCATCGACTTGGCCGCCACCACCCATACCGTTGAGGGCGTTGAACATACCAGGGCACAGGAAGCAAATGAAGCCCACGATGATGACCTGGGTCAGCGGGCTAGTGTAGCGAAGACCCATGTTTGCTAGCTGAGAATTAAGCGGAAGTTATTAAATGTGGCGAGAGGAACGGGAGATGGGAAAGCTATCAGAAAGGAGGAATATAAAAGTATAGATTTTTGGGTGTTGGCAGTACTCCAAAAACTAAATAATAAGAGAATGATGAGGGATTCGGGAAGTTGGAGGCACGGCAGGCGTCCAGCATATTTATACCAGAGGTGACCGTCCAGATGGGAGGGACTGCAGCCATGCCCTGCCACACGGCTACAAACAAGGGGGAGCATCCCGGGCGCAGGCACACCCTTAGGAGCGGGATATCGATTGCCCGTCCTCATCCCTATTTCCCCCAGGCTGGCGAAGCACGCTGGAGCATTGTTTTTCGGCCCGTTTATTTTCTTCTCCTTACGCATCAGCTATACCGGCGTGCATCATCTGGGTTGCGGCAATGTTGGAAATAAAAAATATTGCTGATGTGCATAGGACGCCCAAATACAAACAGCAAATCGCACTCAACAAGGGCGTTCAGCAATGAAGGGGATTGCTGCCTGTAGATAGATGAGGTGCCTCTTTGTAGTCGGGGGGTGGCGATCCTCCTGAGTCAGGCTGGCAGCGAGGACGCTGGTGACCGGCTGCCGGTAGCATCAACTCGCAGCTGGCAGCTCTGAGCAGGTGCTTGGGCTGAGCAGAGTTCAGTGAGCCAGATCAGTGCTGTGCTGCAGTGCGTGGTCTCCGGTAACCGGCGAGGGATCATGGTTCCGCATACGTACTAGCAGATGTTTCTATGTGCGACCCTTTTCGAATAGAAGGAACTTGCTCAGCAGCACTCGAATTTTCTCCTAGGGGACACATGTTCTGTGCAAAGTCACACTGCAGCGCAATCCCTTCTTGCCTTCTGTTGCAGACAGTGCGAGGGAATCAGGTTTTTGCTGCCATGCCTTCATGTGCTGGCTGAGGGGTTCCATATGTCGGCGTGGCAGGCGAATGGCATGGGTGCACACAATAAAGAAAAGGATCGGCAACTTCCAGAGGCCTACTTCCGCGAGACCGGCCCTCCCAGGGGGTGGTGCGAACCCCCGTCTTGCCCTGTGCATTTTCATGCCAAAAAGCTGGTTTTGGCATGCATGTCACATACCGGCAGCACCCTGGCCAACGCAATTGCATGCCTGCCACAGAGGACAGCGCTCCTTTGCGCTCTTGTCTGCGATGGCTCTGGCTAAAAGATGCGCCGTCCCTTGCTCGCTGCCCCATGGGCCTTGCTTGGGGGGAGCGGGGGCCATGGGCAAACATAGTCGCAAGACCCAAGGCTCCATTTAGCTGGGACGCATGCATTGAGCCGCTCATTCATTCCCGTAAGCAGCGGTGTGTGAAACACCGGCAGCCCCAGTATGGCAGCGTGCTGGCTAAAAGCAGAACCAGGGATTCGCAATCTGGAGTCGAATGCTGCCCCAGAGCAGCGCTTCAAGCATGGGGTTTGCCAATCCCATCCGGCCCAGCTCGGCTAGCAAAAAGCCGGCTCTATCCTGGGTCCAGCAGGCGCCGAGTCCGTCCAATGCCCGACGGGACAGACAATCGATACATACAATGTGCCGATACCTTAGCACCGTGCATGGCCAATCTGGCACAGGTTTGCATAGCGCTTCAGCAACCGGGACCAAGGACTCCTGCTGGCTGGCTGCATAGCTGGCGGTGTCATCGCAAAGCACCAAGCAGGGCGAAACCGTTTTCCCTCTTCCTTTGGGAAGTTTCTTTATGTGAGCACACATGCCCGCTGTGCTGCATGCCGCGTCCTGAAAATGGCCGGGGAGGGTCGGTTTAATAGCCGTGCAACGACACCTGCCAGCGATTGCGTTCAAAGGCGAGCAGGTCATGCACCTGCTTTCTGGCCAGCCAGGTCTAATCTCCCTAGTATCTACTGGCTGTGGGGCGAGGTCAGGCACCCGCTATTCAATGTTTACAGCATATTACCCCAGATGCACTCTGCAAGCAGCTGATACATGGGGTAGGGGAGTGGCCAAAACTCGTTTTCGCTGGGCGAGAATGGCAGGCGGGCTGTGCGCCTGCATCTCCCCTTTGTTGCGTCCCCGCCATCTGACTAGCTGGGCTCCAACGCAGGACTATTTTCGGGCAATGGGCACTATTGATATTACAGCGCAATCTCCATTTGCGAGTGCCAAGGCGAGCAATATGTTGGGGTGATAGATTAATAGGAGCAGCAGACGCGTCGAGAAAGGCAGCGCTGCGCCGGGCCAATGCGCAACAGGCCAGCTTCCAAATCAGCCAGAAAGCGCTGCTCCAGCTCAGAGACAGGTGCTGGGCCCTTGCCTTCTGTTTTGGTGCCAACTGCGAACTGACCACTCCTTTACATGGCTAAAATTAGTAGCTCGTTTGTTATCGTGCTGCAAATAACAGGCAAGCACCAAGTGGGCTCCATGTGAGCAGCACATCCCTCACCGCTGTTTGGGCGGAGGCGCTGTTATTCGCGGGTGTCCTGCCGCCCAAGCGGATGGCAATCACGGAGGAGATCGGCCTTGCTTGGCCATGTCTGGACATGGAGCCAGTGCAGCTGCGGCCCGCGCTTTAAGACGGGCAAAAAGATGCCAACTTTCTAGCAACAACGCGGCACAGTACAGGTTTTCGTATATTTTTCTGGAAGAAAACGGGTTTCATTGAGGCAGCTTGTCAGAATTGCTGCCGCTCGGATGCAGCTTTCGCCTGAGTGGTTGGCGAGATCGACACCGATGCGCGTGTGATGGACACGCAGCACAGTTGCTGGATGAGTACAGTGGGCTGCCTCTCGCCACTTTGCGCTGGCCAGCATCCGTTTCTATGCGATGCATTTCTCGGACGGGTCAATGGAAGGACACAAAACAGGGATACCTGCTCTTCCGCGATTCTCGCCGATGTCTCTGCCGGGAGATGTTATCGACCAGGTGCTCGTGCCCGGGCCAGCAGCGCACACGCAATCCTCGGCTCGTGTATATCACGATCTTGTAGAGATGCTGGCTCTGTTCCAAGAACCCACTGCATGAGGGCTCTTACCCCACACACAGAAAGGCGCTCTAGCAAACAGGGAATACCATTGAGCAATTCAGGTCACGCACATTGGCTGCTTGTGCCCATCCATTTTTGTCCACTTGGCAGCGGCCATTTAGTGGCAATCTTGCAACACAGCTCAGACAATGTTGTTCTTGTGATGTCTGGGCATCCACATGTGGATACAGGCATGCTGTGCATCTTGCTTCTGCCCTCCCATCCAAACATCAAGCACCCGCTGTTTTCTGGGCACCCAACCCGGGGACGCACAATACGTTGTCAGCTGGGCACTCCCATCGTTTTTATGCAGAAACGCAATCTCCCTCTTTCTTTTTATTTCCGTACATGCATGTCGAGAAGCGAGCAAGGCGAAACATGACAGAGCGTCTAGCAATCGTCGAGATCTTCTGCCCGGCAAATGATAAGAAGTGGCCCGATATTTACACCGAGTCTGAGCAAATCTCGGCGGAGAGTACTGAGCGATACGTCTGCAGCAAGACATGGATGTCCCATCTGCCGGCCTTTACTCGGATAAGATCTTGGCCCAGGTTGCACCTCCGGCGACGTCGCACACAAGCCAGGACAACACTGGCAATCTGCTGCAGCGTCGAGTATTCAAGCGATAGCAGCCAAACTGCAGCACGGGTACAATCTCATTTGGAACTCGCAAAAAGGATTATGAGCCGAAGACTCACTTTTTACGCAACGAAAACTGGCCAAAGCCCTTGGGTTTCTCGTCGTCGTCGTCATCATCATCATCGTCAATGTTGATTGCTGGCATCTGGTTCGAGTTCTGTGTGAACTGCAATTTGGATGCCCCTCTGCCCATTGCTGCCTTTCCACGCCCGCGGCCACGGCCACGCCCGCGAGTCGCTGCCACCGGTGCCTTTGCAGCTCGCCTCCTCTTTGGCTCTGGGGTGGATGCCGTATTATCACCACCATTGAAGGTCGCTGTCGCTATCGTCAATAGCCACTGCTGCTGGAGCTTTCGTCACTCTCGACCTCTTTGCAGCCGCTACCTTTGGCGCATCGCTAAGATGGCTCGCCTCCGACTCGCTTGCTGCCGATTCCCCCTTGTATGCGACAGTAGATCGTGCTGTGCGTGATGGACGCGCGACTCTTGGGGCTGGCGCTGGTCTCTGCGAGACCTGGCTTTTCATTTCATCAGACTCGTCGCCACTCTCGTCGTCATTCTCATCCTGCACCAGTTCTCGGGATCTCGCTGCCAAAGCAGATGCAATGGTCGGTGCCCTCTTTGTCTTTCAGTGTTGTTGACCTTGCCGACGCCTTTCGAGCTCAGACGCTCGCCAGCCTCTCTCAGGTCCTCATCATCGCCGTCATCGTGCTCGTACGGATCAGGCATCTCGCCATAGCTACCTGGCTTCTTTGCTGTAATCTCAAACTCCTTGATAGCTTTTGCATCAGCTACTGTCACTCCTGATTTCTTTTTCGTGCCAGTAGTAGCAGCAGCAACTACCGTCGACCCACTCACAACGGCCAGATGTTCACCATTCTCTTTTGCCTGTTGTCTGCGTTCCTGCTGCACCTTTCCGATGTGCACCTCGAGCGATTCCGAATCAACAGCCTCGCCGTAGCCCAGCACCTGCTTCTGCACATCACCAATCGTCTTGATGAGCGACTGCGAGATCGCATCCGAATCGCCCTTTTGCACAAACAGCCGAAGCGCTTCGGCCAGTTCCACGTCAACCAGCATCCGCATGCTCGATTCATCCAGGAACTCGCTGATCAGGCTCTCGACCTGGACTGTCTCGACTGGCTGTGGGACTGATGGCACGACTCGGCTCGCCGTGCTTTCGGACCGACTCACTGCTTTGGCCTTGCGGAAAAAGTGGATAATATCGCGTGGGTTGGCGACGCGGTCAGCAAACAGCAGCCCAAACCGCTGCGGGTGAAAGCTCTCGAAGCCACCACTGTATTCGACGCGCACGCGGATCAGCGGCTTTGGAGAGTCACCCAGTCCGTTAGGAACATCGGGGGATCCCTCCTTGACCTGGTCTCTATATTTTCTCTCTGCCTTTTCGATCATTTCCTCGACCCGGTCACGCAAAAAGTCGACGATTTCGTCTTCCGAGCTCTGTGGCGACAGCGAGGACTCCTCGGACAGCACGACATCCTCAATGACAAATGGCCGCACGTTCTTCAGTCTGATCTTGTCGATTTTGAAGTTGCGGCGGTTGACTTTTAGCACTGCGACGTGCTTTTCCACGGCCTCACCCGAAGACAGCGCTGTGGCCACCGAGGATCCAGGCTGCGAGACAAAGAACGACTGCTGCGGGTTGAATTCAGGATCAATCTGGCACTGGTGCTCGTGCCCCCAGACGACCAAATCGAGGAATTTGCTCAGAAAGTGCTCTGGGATGTGGCTCTTGGGTCCGTGCGCGACTCTGTTCTGGTGCAGCACCATTAAATTGAACCACTTTTCGGCATCCTCCTCTGGCCGGCACATTGTCATGTTCTTGCGCTCGATCGTCCGGTGCAGTCGCTCGTCGCGCACATTACCCAGCCCAAATAGCGCTAGCTGCGTGTACCCCTTCTTCAAAAGCACCGGAGACACGCGTATATTCTCCACCTCCGACTGTCTGCCAAAATAGTTGACAAGCCCACTCACAGCCAGCATATCCATAGGCCGACAGGTTCCCGTCGCCCGATGGATCGTCGTGGTTACCATGGATCGAAAACACGGGGAGTGACACGTTAAAGTTTGGGTCCTCGTAGTTGACCTGCGGGAACTGCGAGCCAAAGTCGACTTTTGGGTCGCTCAGATACTCGATCGAGACTGGCTTTGTCACCTAGACAGTATTTGCGCAGCATCGCCATCGACTGGTGCAGGCATTTGCGCGACGGCTTGTTGTCATGAAACATGTCGCCGCCCAGCAGAATCATGTCGACGCTGTGCGACTGTGCAAGCTGCAGTATCTCCTCAAACGCTAGGAACGAGTCCTGCCCGCGGATTGGGTCGCGCTCCATGTAGCCCAGGTGGTTGTCGGTAGCAACAAGTATGTTGAACGTGTCAGTATCACTGATACTGTCCAAGTCGCGTGGCGGTGCCATATATGGAGTAGCTGCGAAAGTATGTGCGTGTATGGTGCAGGTAACAAGAGGTGATTCTCAGCCAACACGCAGGCACTGCGGAGGTCTTTCTTGCCAGAATCCAGCTCGCGCAGTTTTGGTTCATCGGAAATCAATAAATTGATAATTAAATCAAGGGCTATATGTAAACTCGATGGTATTTGCTGTATCTAACATGAAACATATTTACAAGACGCATAGGGCTGGACTATTGATAGGTATATGTGTTTGTCTTGTAGTATGTGCCAACATATGTGCCGCCATTGGTCAGGGCATCGAGGGCGTCAAGGGCGCTGCCGCCCTTGCCAGCGTCGAGGACGCCTGTCTTGTTGCCGTCTGTCAGGGTGTCGTTGGTGGCAGTGGTTTTGAGGGTGTTTGTCTTGTCCAACTTGAAGAAGAGCTTGGCTAGTTTGTTTTTGGTGGTGCCGGTCGTTTTCTCTGTCAATGTCATTTTTGGATCGAATGTGTTGTAGATGTAGTGGATTGGTTGTTTGGTGAGGAATCGGCTGAGCTGACTGCTTCTGCGCGAGCCATTTATACGGATCGGGCGGCTGTATCTTGGCACACTTATCTACCATTCCGCAGCGCAGGACATCGATACACGTTTCCCTGGCAAAAAAAGCATGAAGCTGACAACTAACCGGCATCCCACTGCCCCAAACGCAGCGGACAGGTATGATATTCAGATATTTGAAGTCTTGCGGCCATGGGCAATCCTACTTTTTGCATTGCCCTAGAAATCAAGGGGTGCATATCTGAGTTTTCTTGGGGAGTTTTCTGGCTGGCTTAGCCCCGTGCACATGCTACCTCTGCTGACACACGCAACGAGTCAGTTGTGCCAAGACCTATTCTTTTCCTTTTTTTGCCAGGGATGGGTGGCGGGTGGCTGCTGGCTGCGGCAGAGCTGACCAGAATCATGCTGATACACGTCGGAAAACAGACACAAGCCATTAATGTACGCGGTGCTTTCCTAACAAACAAAACCTTCTTATCTCGAACTGAGGTGTTTCTGCGATGTAGTGCATGGGCACTTGGCGCAAGACCCATCGGCCTGTGCTTTACTTTTACCCAGCTGGAACGCCTCTTGTAGCATTACAACACCATTCGGGTCTCGTTGATCTTTACATAAGAACATTGATTTTGAATAAATACATCTCTATAGCTATACAGAATTGCCTACTGCCTAGAGTAGTATGTCGGGCCGCTGCTGGATCCGACGTTGCCAGGAGACCCGGTCAGGTACTCAAGAGCATCGAAAGGGTTGTTGCCCTCGCCGGCGCTGCCGATCTTTGAGGTGAGGACAGGCTTGTTGACGGTGGTGTGCTTGTTGGAGGAGCTGTAGAGAGACATTGCTGATGATAGCGAAGGGGCTTGGCGAAAGAGCTTGGCGAAGGGGCTTGCTGAGGGGGTTCTACTTGTTATCGTGCTGTCTTGTTGTCTGGTGTGTATGATATGGATTTGAAAATACCTCTCTTTGACACGCTTTTTATACTCGATCCAGACGACATTTCATTTTTGCCAAGACAGCATTTTACTGTCGCCTTCAGCCCCACGATCGAGCCGCCCAGCATACCTTTATACCTGCAAAAAACATCACTAGTGTGTATGTTGTGCGGCGCAGCTGTAAAGGAAATCCTGTCTGAAACCGGCTGTCCGATAGAACCTTGGCATAAAAATGAGTCTTCCAGATCCTGCTGGAGTATCCATGTGGATTTTTAGGTAGGAAAAGCGCCAGTTTTGTCGCATTCAAATGGTACGAAGGAATATTCTTGGCGCTTTTCCCTCCAGGTGAGTTTTTATTTCTGAAAGCAGCGAGGTCTAGCAAGTTCGTTGAACGGACACCATGCAGCTTGAGCTGTTTGGCTTTTGCTAGGACTTTAAACACTACCTCCAGATACATAGACTCACATATGATGTGATGCGGATAACTTAAGAGTCTGCCATTTTTGTTCTGTAAGCATGCCACTATTTTCAGCTAACAGGCTACATACTCACTCGTCTGGCTTGTGCAAACGTGCTGCTTAACGTATGAAACTAGCTGCTCTGAAAAATGATCTGTCGTCACCACTGCCATGACAAAGGAGCTGCTAGCGCCAAGTCATGATTTATATCCCTTGCCAAACATTCTGCCATTACTTAAGCAGCGTTCTCTGCAATGTCCGACACAGCCATTGCGTATTCTTTTTTTCTGCCATAGCTGCACATAAGGCGCATAGGATGTGCGATTGCCAACAGTGCCCCCAGTTGATATCGCTCTTGCCAGTATTGCTTGTGACTCACGCATGCGCCCGTGGATCTGCTGGCTTGAATGGTGAAGGCAATGCCGTTGTCCCTGAGTCAAACCTCGGTGTTGAGGGGGATGTGCGTGTGAAATATTTACGATCGGAATTGCCAGGTCGGTTCAGACACCTGAAGGCTACGCACAGCCCGTCCAAACCCTGCTCGAATATAAGCGTTGCCAAAAATGAACATGTACTCAAAGTCCATACATTAGCATAGCAACAAGCAGAGAAATACGTCTGCCTGAAAGAAGTATGTCTTTTTCTCTTTTTGGACCCTCTTGGTCTGTTTCAACTTGTTTTGGCTAGGTGAAGCCCGTCGTCCTCGTGGAGCAAAGTGCGGAGGTTTAGAGACTGCTTCTTTGGAAAAGTAGGCAGGCATGTGCTGGGTCTTGGCCGATTTTCCATTGAGAGGCAGAAGCACTTTACCCACCTGAGCTGCTGCTCCGTGTCAGCAAGCAGGAGTTGAGGCAGGTCCCAGAAAATTTCCCATGCATAAATACCAGCAGAAAGCCGTAAATTCCGGCCGTCTGCATGTCTGTTGCTATAGCTCCTTACTTTTAAGTTAATATAATGCGCCACGAGAAGAGCAGCCAAGATCAAACCTTACGGTTCCTGCTGAAGCTAGCCACCCAGCAGGATGGCAACTATGTCGACTCTGATGCAGCAACTCTGGATCCGCCTGCAGACGAAGCTCCAGCTGATTGCGCAAAGGAATTTCCAAAGTACACCCGCTATGCTGTTGTTGCTAGCTGCTTTATGCTGCAGGCCCTGTCATGCGGCTCAATTCACTCTTGGGGTATCCAGCAGGAGTACTTGATTGCACACGACTTTGCTGGAGACAAAGGCCGAATCAAAACACTGAGCTACATTGGCACGCTCATGTATTTCGGCGTGTACCTCTGGGGCATGCTCGCAGGCTGGCTGGCCTGAGGTTTGGTCGTACCAAAAGATGTGCTTTATTGGCGTCGTTTTCATGGCGATTGGCCCTCATGGCAGCTTCTTTTTGCAGTGAGGTAGGGAAATTGCAGAAAGTACTGCCTGTTAGCACTAGTGTGGCAAAAAAGCACACACATGATGGCAAAGGAGGCACAGCCTTGCGATCCGCAAGCTACTCCTTGCTGACAACATACTAATAGCAAATTCTATTCTTACTGACCCATATAGCCGTGGCAGCTATGCCTTGCCCTGGGGATTATCTTTGGGCTTGGTGGTGGTATAGTATATAGCCCAGCATCCACAGCCTCCGCTCGGTGGTTCACGAAGCGACGTGGTCTAGCAACTGGGATAGCACTTGCTGGTGTGGGCATTGGTGGGCTTGTCATTGCTCCGCTGACGGAGTTCCTAGTGCGCACAGTTGGTGTGCCCTGGAGCCAGCGCATTGCATCGATATACATTATAGTTTTCGGATCCATATCGTGCTATTTTCGTGCGCGTGCCGTTCCAGGACAAGACTCGCACACTCAAGAGCTTTGACTGGTCTGCGTTCCGTGACCGCAGCTTTGCAGTCCAGGCGCTGATGGTGTTCTTTGCCACTGCAGCATACATTGTCCCGGTTACATATTGGCCCCAGTTTTGGACTAGCAAGGGCATCAGCCCCGAGACTGCATCGGTGATGATTGCAATTTCAAACGTCTCCAATGCTGTTGGACGCATTGTGATAGGGGTGACTGCGGACTACATTGGTGTCCTGAATTCTCTGATGATTGGAGTGGGCTGCTCGACAATTGGGGCTCTGGTAATCTGGCCGTTTGCAACCAGCGTTGGCTCTGGGCTGGTGATGGGAATCAATTTACGGGTTTGGTGCTGGTGGGTACTGGACACTTGTTCCGTTGGCTGCAGCAAAGCTTTTTGGTGATTGACAAGCTGGCGAGCAACACTGGGGTCTTTTACACTCTGTCGGCGTTGAGCGCTTGGATTGGTATTCCGGCTGCAAGCGAGATTTTGGCAACCTCCGGGCATGGCACAGACTTTATTGGCATGATTATTTATACTGGAGTCTTGTGGGCAGTGTCGTTTTTCTTTGCTTCATACAACAGGCTGTCCTATTCGCGCCAGGTGTTTGTCAAGGTATGATCTGGGCATTTGGGGTCTGGTATTTTTGTGTTAATTAATATACAGCTTGGATGGTGTATTCATGGGGGCAGCTCAGCAGGATTTAATACAAAACACAAGCCGGGATATGTATATTTGAATCCCACATATACAGCGATTTCCTAGCTTTGTAGCATGAGGCGAGCCGCTCCCTAAACTGCTGCGTATCAGGCGTAAGCCGCCAAACACTGACGTTATTCTGTAGAAACATGGATAAAAAATTGACCAGGTTGAAAAGAGCCTGCTGCAAATATGAGGGCGCATGTGTCGGTGCATTCGGCTTAACCTATTAGCAAATATGTCTGTGAGGGCTTGCGCATGCCTGTGATTGTACCCAGTGCACTGAGCGTAAAAGCTATCTTTGTTATCAACTCGGAGACGGCCAGCAGGGCTATTGGCAAGGCAGCGCTCGGATGTGAAAGGTGCAACTCCCTTTTTCAACTTTGGAGCGTTTTCATGGAGTTATTGTTTCACGGTGGTAGTTAGCGCAGACAGTGAGTCTGTCCAGCAATGTTGCTGGTTGTTCATCAATGAATTGCCGCTGTAACCGCAGTCAACTAGTGTATTGCTAGCCACAGAGATTCTACCACTGAATTATTGGGAGAAGAGAAATCATCTAATTACCTGATCGAGGTGCTTCTACACCCCCAAATTTTTTGCCTTGTTTTCCGGCTGCGGTGCGGATCGGTCTGGCCACACCCATCTCTCTTTCTCGTTTTCTTCGACATATAGACAAGACTTCTCATTTATTAGTTTATGCTGCGCGCCTTTCAACAGCTAGCGAAAATGGCCGTCACGACTACACCCACGACTAAAGTATACCCGGCGACCACCACAGCGCTAAAGTTCAGCAGCCCTCTCGACGACGGGGCATTCACGCACTCGGAGCCGGCAGCGTGGCTTGCAGCCAGCACACAGCAGCTGCGCACCAACAAGTGCGTTGGTATTCCAACAGAGACCGTGTATGGGCTGGCGGCTAATGCGCTGGCGGCACCGGCGGTCCAGCAGATCTACACGATCAAAGGCCGGCCGTCGGACAACCCCCTGATTGTGCACATTTCGTCGCTGCGCATGCTCCGCGCATTGTACCATCTTCCAGCGGCACCCATCACCTCAGCTCCGCCATTCCTCGGCACTGATAATGCCGCACTGGAGGGCGAGCGTCTGAATGCGCAGCTAGCGCAGCCAGCAGGAGTGTGGCCGGAGATTCCGGAGCAGTACCATGAGGCGATCCGCATGTTCTGGCCCGGCCCGCTGACGATTGTGATGCCCAAGCCCGAGTGCATTCCAATGGAGGTGCTGGGCGGACATGGCAATACGGTTGCGTTCCGGTTCCCGTCGCATCCGGTGGCCAGGGCAGTGATTTCGGACTGCGGGCTGCCGCTGGCAGCGCCTAGTGCGAATGCATCGGGGCGTCCGTCGCCGACGCTGGCCGAGCATGTGAGGCGCGATCTGGATGGCAAGCTGGCGGTGGTCGTGGACGCTGGCGCCTGCGATGTGGGCGTCGAAAGCACGGTTCTGGATGCGTTCTCGCCGAACGCATATGTGGATGGCGAATTGCGGCCGTGCATCCTGCGGCCCGGCGGCGTCACATTCGAGCAGCTGAAGGCTCTGGGCGGCGTGTATGAGAAGCTGCGGGTGTACAAGCGGGACTTTAGCAGCGACGAGATGGAAATGCACCCGACCACGCCTGGCATGAAGTACAGGCATTACTCGCCAACAGCACCCGTGCACTTGTTTGTGCCCAGACATGGGAATGTGCATGAGAAGATGCAGGCGATGGTGAGGGACATGGATGGCAAAAAGGTCGGGGTTATCGCTATCGGCGGGTTCGAGGCTGCGCAGGAGAATGTGCTGGTGAGGAGCGTCAAAGACGCAAGGGAGCTGGCGCACGAGATCTTTGCGTTGCTGAGAGCGCTTGATGAGGACGACGGTGTCGATGCGATTCTGGTGCAGGGCGTCGACGAGGACCACGAAGGGCTGGCGGTCATGAACCGTCTGGGCAAGGCAGCATCCAACCACATTGTGTGCTGAGGGCATAGGGTATATCGATTGAGGGAAATAAAAAAGTATCTAGGAAACACCTGGGGCTGGGTTTATTGTGAGCCCTGCTTGGCTCTGCTGGGAACCATTCCAAAGTAGTCGTGGGGATCCGCGCGGTCGCCGATGCGCGGGTCGCTCTCGGTGGGCGAGCCGCTGGAGGACGTGGCGACAGAGTCGTCCTGCATCTTCAGGCTGCGCAGGGCATTGTACAGGGCGTTGCTGCGCGGCTTGTGCTTGGGGGTGCCAGCCTCCGGGATGAACACCGGCACGGGGCTGGGGGTCTCTGCTGGCGAGTGCGACGGCCTCCCGTCAATCTTCCAGTTTGACTTTTTGAAAAACACATCGGGCGGAGTCAGCATGCCCAAGGCGCGGCGCATGTGCGACGTCAAGTACGTCAGTCCGACCTGGTACGAGCTGTTCATCCAGCCGAAGCCCTCGCGCGACACCAGCTTAAAGTCCACGCCGACATTGCCGTACTCGACCTGCACGCGGTGGGTCATTTTGACGACGTCGAATTTCTCGGGCACGACGCCGTTAAAGTCGACGAACGACTGCGTGATGGTGAACAGCCAGCGGTAGGCGCAGCGGCGGGCAACGTCGACGAAGCCGTAGTTGTACAGGCCGTACCAGGCCATGATCTGGTGCGGCGCCCAGCCGAACGGGAAGTCCCACTGGCGGTTGGGCCGGTGCAGCGAGATTTTGCCGCGCGACTCCTCCGTGCCGCTGACCAGCCCGCCCCTGACCTCGAATTTGTCGCAGGCAATCTCCACCAGCCGGCGCGCCTGCCGTGGCGTCGCACAGCCCGCCCACAAAGCCCACAGCGCCGTGACCGACTCGTACACGCACTGGTCGCCCAGCACCACGTCGTAGTCAAAGTACAGGCCCTTGTGCTCGTTCCACAGGTACTTGTCGATGGACTGGCGGCGGGACTCGGCGCGCAGCCGCCACTCGGCCGACGTCATCTCCGGGCCGTTGTGCCACGCGAACCGCCCGCCGAAATGGTCGTCGATGGCGTCGGCTATGTCGACCTCGTACTTGTACAGAAGGCAGTTGAGGTCGACGGTGGCCAGGTTGGCGCAGCGCTTCTCGAGCCGGTACGTTGTGTCGTGGCCGGACTCGCGCACTGCGCGGTCGTGCACAAAGTAGGCGTCGAGCTCCGGCTCGCTGATGCGGTCGGTCATGTACAGGTCCTTGTACTCGTCGATGGAGATGCCCAGCTTGCTGGCATATGGCCTGACAATGTGGTCAAAGTGCGTGCTCTCGGTCTCGGGCGGCATGCCAATGCCCGTCGGGTGGTAGCAGCTCAGACCTGTCTTCTCGTCGAACCGGGGCTTGCTCATCCACACCTGGAAGTACTCGGAAATGGCTGCATTGATGGCCTTGCGCAGCCAGGCTGCGTTCTTGTCCTGCTCCTCGCGCGTGTTGGCCGGCAGCGCCTCGTACACCTTTAGCGCCATGTCGGTCAGGAACGGCGGCTGCGAGCGCGTCAGGTAGTACGACCGGTTGGCATTCAGGATTTTGCCGTAGTGCTTGATCTGGTAGATGAAGTTGTCCACCATGTTTTTGGCCAGCTGCACGCGCCCGTCCACCAGCAGGCCCAGCGCTTCAAAGTAGCTGTCCCACCCGTACTGCTCGTTGAACCGTCCGCCAGGCACCACGAACGGCAGCGGCTTGTAGATCAGCCCGCCGTTCGCATCATACGACACATCCGCTGCCATCGACAGAATGCCAAACTCGTTGTTGATCGACTTTACGTACTGCGGCGTGATGTTCTCGGGCAGCCTGACCACCTTGATCTTGAGCTTGGGCAGGTCGCGCGCAATCCGCGAGTAGTACATGAACGCCGGGTGGTCGTCGTGCGGCACGTAGATGATCGGGTTGGCATCGCCCTTGGTGTTCTTTGGGTCTGCGCAGATTGCCTGGATCCCGGTTTCATCCATGCATCGCACCAGCCCGTTCCAGAACGTGGTGCGGATCATCCGCGACAGCCGGTTGACTGGGTTCTCGTTGAGCCGGGCCTCGTCAATAACCACCTGCTTGTTGCCGTGGTCGCGTGCCAGCGCCATCTCCTGCAGCAGGTTTGACAGCATGTATGTGCCGCGGATCTCAAACGTGCGGTACCCGCCGCTGCTGGCTGTCGGCACCTTCATGACCTTGGGGCCCGAGTCCTCGACCGTGATCTGGAAATTGCCGTCGGTGTCCTCTTGCTCCAGGATTGCTTGCTCCACCGAATCAATGTCGATCAGGAACCGCCTTGGGTTGGCTGACTTGTCATCGATGGACCCGCGCCGGTACAGGCTGACTGGACTAACAGTGCCACTGATGTTGTCACCGCCCAGGGTTCCGACAAACCTTTTCTAGTTGCGAGAAAATAATTTGGGGTGGGAAAGGATGTTTGAGTATGACGTGGCGCCCAACAAAGCCAAGCCTGCATTTGAGGGCAGCAAAAGAGAACAATAGGCCTGTCGCTTGCTAGCGCTTAGTCGCCCAAAAATAGTTGGTGCTCCCCTACCCATTACCGGCTGTGCACACATATGCCCGCAGCGCATACAGGTGCATGCATAGATTGCAAGACAAGAAAGAAAAAACGTGCCTGACACCGGGCTGGAAAGAGGGGTAATCGCAGTACTGTCGCTAGACGCGGGGAGGCATCAGCCAGGGAGTGACAGAAATGGCTGCAGTAGGCAATAACAGACACACTGATCGCTAAAGCGGGGGACAATGCAAAGAATGAACACTCTACCTGATAGCTGCGGGACCGCGATCTGTTGAAGGCGCTGGTTGAAGTACGGCGCGCTCCTGACTTGTAGTACTCGCTAGGCGGAGCAAGGACATCGACAGTTTGGCGAGAGTCCTCCATGACGAAAAGAAGAGGAAGAAGTTTGAATACAAAAAAGTGACTTGAGAAAGCGGAAAGTGGAGGGTTGGCGGGAAAGAAAGAAAAGACAAAGAGGAGATCTGCTCGAGTGTCTGCGTGGTGCCACACTGATGTGTAAGCGTGTGTGGTGGGGATAAACAAAAGGGAAGGAAAAACACAGGAGTGCAACAGAACGGAAGCAGCCGCGAATCCCCGGCCTAGCCTTTATATATGCCAGCGAAGAAGAAAAAGTTGGTTTGGGTAGACCAGCAGGGCAAAATTCTCCGCAACCGACGCCCGTGCCTATTGCTCTGTCAATGCCACATGTGGCCACGCAGACCAACGCAGGCAAGCGATCTGAGAGCAGAATGCTGCAGCCCGCCTTATGTTGTGAGTCATGTCCAAGCAGAGAGGCTTTTTTATAAACAGCGGAGGGCCGCATGGGCCAGGCTGCTCGCGTGTGGGAAAGCGGATACTTCCAGCACGGAGCCAGGCCTGAGGGACGGCAGCACATTCGTTTACTGCTGCATTTGGGAATCCAGGCGTGGTGTCTCCGTGCCGGAAAATACCTCAGAATGATGTGCTCAGGGCAGGGGCGCTTCCGAATATACCACCCACATTGTTTGGCCTCAAAACACAACATGTATTCACAAAATGATAACATCAAAACATTTTGTCATTTATTTCGCGCCATGTCGCCTGTCACGAGTTCCCGGCCTGCGCTAATCCCCCAAACCGGACAAAAAGTCAACGACGCTCCGAAGGATCAACGACAGGTGTTCAAAGTCCGCTTGATCGGGGAACGAACAGTGGGGAAGAAAGGATCTATGATCTGTACATCTCTGGAAGATCTAAAAAAAAGGACTTAGTAGCCGTCGTCGTCGCCGCTGCCCCGCAGCATATGGCCGCGCCGGTCCCGCTGCTTGCGCCGGTTGACGGCGCGTGACTTTGCCAGCTCCGAGTTGCTATCGACAACCACCCGGCCATCAGCCTTGTAGAAGTCGCTGGCGGACAAGTCAAACTCGACCTGGAAGATGTCGTGCAGTCAGCGGGTTCTCGACAAACTGCACCGGCAGCCCGCCGCCCAGGCTGGCGCGGAAGGCATGCAGGCGCAGGATCCGCGACCAGTCGTCGAAATGCACCGCCCGGCCCCTGAACAGCAGCTTCAGGTCTGGCGACTCACCCTCCTCGATCGTGCGCAACACATCCCGGATCACCGACTTTTGCATGCTCTTGCCCTTCTTGCCATGCCGCTTGCTGCTCTCCCGCTTCATCATCTCCAGCGTCGCCAGCAGCTCCTCCTGCCGCATAAACTCGAACCGCTCGTTCTCCTCCGACAGCTCCTCGTGCACCAGTGCAAAGTTCTGTGCTGCCGTCACACGCACCTCAACGCTCTCGGCCATCAGCGCCTTGATGTGGGCCGAGAACGCCGACTCGAACAGCTGCTCAGCGAGCCTGGCATCGCCACCAGCCGCCACCGTCATCAGGAATCCGTACGTCTCGAGCGCCTGCCGAATCACCGCCACCGGCTGTGCCTTGGTCTGCACGTCCAGGAAATTCGTCTCGACAAACTGCATCAGCTGCGCTGCGTCCCGGTAATCCACGCCCGCGACGAAATTGGCCACGCCCAGGGAGCTCAGTGCCAGCACGCGCACATTGGCTGACTTGTGTGTCAAAGCAATGCTCTTCAGAAGCTCGCTGGCTTCGGCATACTCCTCGGGTGCGTCGGCGCCGAAGTTTATGAACCACAGGGCAATGGCGCGTGCGGCAAGCGTGCTTTCGCGTTCGCTCTTGGTGCTCTTGACGCTGCGCTTGAAGCTGTCCAAATAAGACATGCGCGAGTTGTCCAGCTCCTCCCCCACATACTTGTGCGAGAACAGCCGGACAATGGTAGCCAATGCCTTTTCCCGTGTGCTACAATATGTGGCTCGTCAGTAAGTTCATATTACGCCTCCCCCTGAACAGCAACAGGGCCAATCCTGGGCTTGCATCTGCTGCAGCAACGGAAAAAACCAGTATTATCAGGCAAACCACCTGACCTGGCTATCTCTTTCCCCATCTGAAATTAAAGCTTACCTGACGCGCTTTTCTGACATGGCATCCAGAGCCGCCGTGATAATGTCCTCCCAGTTATCGACCTGTTCGACTTGCTGCTCCTGAGTAATATCCTCCTCCTTCACCCCCATTCCCTCCTCCTCCTCCTGCACAATCACCCACGTCTCGTCCGACATGAAACTCGCTGTGTCGTCGAACTCATCGTCGGACACGTCCCGGCTCAGCACCCGGCTCGCACTCCCCGAGCCCCTGGGTGTTTGCCGCGCCGACGACCGCCTGCTGGACGACCGGCCTTGTGCGCTCGGTGTCCGCCCAGAATTAAGTGCTGCCCGCAGCAGCTCGTTTGTTGAATTCGCCATATAAAAGTAGTATAAAGCTTGGAAAAGAGCAAATATATTCTCGTTGGGATGGGGTAAGAAAAAAGTAAAAAGGGCGACCTGTCTATCCCCGTCTGACCCGCTTTATATGCACACAATCAGCCCGCACTCTGGTCGCCGATTGAACATTCACAGGCGAAAAATTTTCCTACAAGTGTGGCCAGCACAGTCACACAATGGAGCCGATGCGTGTGAACAGCCGGCATGCCAGTAAACAGGCTTCACTCGCGCTTCTCCTCACTGGCGCACTGGCTCCAAATACTCTCTCAGCACCCTGCATCCGTCCTGCTCGTCCAGCTTCTTGGCCGCCTCCTTGCTGCTCTTGCCCCTCAGCATATTGGCAACCTCATCTGCCCTAACCCTCTCGACCACTTCAAAATCGTCGTCTATCCGCCGACTGCGCAATGCTTGCACATTGATGTTTTCACTTGGATCCCTGGGCGTTATCGGCGTCAGCAGCTCCTTTGGATTCAAAAAGTACTTCAGATTCTCTGCCACCTTGGCGTTTTCGCCTGAATCTACCTCGGCGTCTTCGTTGAGCATTTCTTGCCGAGTCTTCATGCCACTTGTTTGTTGGTGTGCTGCAGGCTCGCTTTTTGCTGCTGCGGCCATTTCTGCTGCGGCTTTGCGCAGCTCTGATGTCCCGCTGCGCGGTAACCGCCGAGTGGCTTTTGACGCTGCTTGGCCCATGCTCAAAGGTTGTACTAAATTACAAATGCGAAAAGCGGAAATGCAAAGAAGCAAACAGCTGCAGGCACACTCAAGATCGTATTAGCACAAGATAATCGCTTGCTGGGCTGATTTCATCGTCGGCTCGGGGGCTAATATAGCAAGGTAATTATACAATTAAATTTGTTCTTATATTGAGAGCCGACATCCATTGGTGGGATAGCAGTTTTCGGCGAATGTTATGTTCAGTTTCAGCTTATGTAGTGTCCTGGAGAGCGGCTTTCCATTCATTGACCTTCTCAACAACCTCATCCACTGGTTCAAATCCTCTCCGAAACACAGCGTGCCTCTGCGTGTAACCCATGAAATCGGGAATGATGACACCGCAGTCAACAAGGTCGGGAACGTTACGGCAGCGCTTGGCCAGTGGGGTATCAATGGCGCGGCGACTAGCCTGCTCGGCAACTGGCTTGCCAGTAAATGGCAACATAGATGAAGCAAACCTTGGTCGAGAACGAGTTGTAGACGACAGCCAAGGGACCGAATATGCCTTGGGTTTCCCAGTGAACCGGAGACATGATTAATAGATTGTCACCTTTCTTTTCAGGAATCACTGCCTCCCGAACAAAGACACCGTCGGGCTGAAGCTGTCGAGATGGTGCTTTTGCATTCACCTCCTGCTTGTGTGAAAAGTGAAGGGTCCGTGCAATATGCCCATTCCTAGAGTTCTGAGCAAGACATCAAAGTCCACTTTTCTCACATTTCTACGGCACTCGTTGCTCACGTCTCAAGTCGGCTCCTGAGAGTCAAACTCTTGAGCAGGTTGCGACGAATTTCAAGCGGTCGTTTTAGCTTACGTCAGCGGCTACACTTGGGAATCCATACATTATGCGAGTGCAAAGGTTTTGGTTGCTTCAGGGAATGGTGAACTAGAAAGAAATGGCTGGCTGGGATAATGAGGAGAGGAGAGACGAGGAGAGGAGAGTTGTGCGAAAGTGCCACGAGTTTATAAATGCGCAGCAAACTGCGATTCGGATCACAGCGCTTGTTTAATACTCATGGTGCGTCCGAAGCCACACTCTGGTCCAGGGACACAGAGCGCTATCTGCAACTTCAGACCTATTTGGCCAGTGCCATCATCGCAGTGGGGCTCCAGCTTGTCATTTTTACTCAAATAGACAAGTAAACTCGCCTAGCACATATCACTAACGACTATACTTGCCACAACACCCACGCGGGACTCCACAGCTGGGGCCCAAACTGAGCCTGCTCAGTCTGGGGAGAGCGGACCACATATTCATAGACTCTTCAGTAATAGAGCGCCATTCAGCTCTCATTTGTTCTTCATAAGCGCTCCATAGATATGTCTATATAGTTCGTGCGCGCACTGTGGTGCGTTTTACCTACGCGATTATCTCCATTCGTAATCTACATTGTACCAAGGAAGCTGAGCCAGTGGGTTCTTGTAAATTGCCAGGCAGAGGATGCGCGAGAAGCTCAGGATGATGGCGCGTATCGGTGTAATGTTCCAACTTGCGTAAACAATGCTAATCGATACTCTCATATGGTAATGCGCCGGATGTGGTAGGCCCAAACAAAAAGCAAAGAGATAGTGAACAGAATGGTAGTATTTAGAAATTAGGATGCTAGGCGCTGGGTAAACACGCTGACATTTATAATGAGTTTGCGCTCATAGCTCCAGTGCAAAGACGTCAGAGTAAGCGGCCCGAAAGCTGCTGGTGGCAGAGTTAAAGAAGTATGAGGATTATGAGGTGAGTGAGGTGAGTGAAACCACGCACATGTCTTGCACCAGCAAGCACAGATTTTTGGACAGTTTAGTTTTTGCAACGTTTGTTGGACAATTGGTCATATTGAATGCCTTTGGTTTGGAGCTTTTTCAAGATACACGGTGCTGCGAAGTGTTGAAATGTCATATAAAATACTAATGCATGATGTTGTGCGAGTGAAGGCGGTTGTCAACATCAATAGAAAATTCAATATTACCATCCTCAAGGCTTCGCATCGGCCTCGCTTGTAAACGGCACAGATACTCGCTTTTCGGGGCATCCAGCTGCATTCCGCACATGGTTAGAGGCAATCCAGGTAGAACCTGTTGCGCCAGAACGTGATAGCCGCCTTGAGCAGACGATCGCCGGGTTCACACCTGTTCATGACCTGTCTTCATGTACCGGTCATCGATCTGAACAATGGACATCTTCCGACTCGTTGCGTACTTTCAGCATGTGGGTTTTCTTGATTGCTTGGCGCATGTCCTTAGCGTAGTCGTTGCTATGATCCTGACACAAAGCGCTTCAGCCTCAAAGATGATCACAGGCTTGTTGCGAGCGACCTTATTGAACTGCTTGGTGGTTGTATATCGGCTCTAGCAACAGGTCCATCCGGCCTGCCTCTTCTGATTCCTCTGCAGTGATCTGATAGTCCACCCGACTCCATAGGGCACAAAAGAATATAGTGTAGCATTCGCTGATAATCCTTCTCGCGCGAGCTGCTCTCGAACGCAACCAGTGGCGTTCATTAGCTTATCGAGATAGTCGGCAAAGTGTGCAATCCTGCCTGTCGGTCAAGCCGAATTCTTGAACGATACTTGAGTATGGGTTCGAGTTCGCGCCAGGACCGCTCAAGGACGCCTTGGAGAGGTAGAAGGAAGCTATCGTAGACATATCGGTTTCGGAATGCCTATATGGGTCGACGAAATTAGCGCGAGGTAGCCTTGTATGTAGCAGATTTGGAGAAGAATCTTCAATCGGAGTGGCCTTCAGGCTTGTTGCGCGCCCGCTGCGGCTGTCCCTGACGTCGACATGTCAGCCGAATCAGGTGAACAGCAAGCCAGGCGCCAACGAGAGCTCCGCTACAGCCTACAAATATGGAGGTAGAGTCTAGCCTCTGATAAGTTGCACAGACGGACCGTATTGAAAACTCCCCTGCGCAACTCGTCCTATTCCCGTTTTCTCTCTTTTCTTCAGTATTAAATATCAACTTTTAACATCCCCACACATTCAACAAACATAACAAGGTGGGCTCTCATTGAATTCCGTCCGAAGTGCTTCTGCTACATCTTTTCCGTAGCCATCCGCGTCAAGATTGATCGAGAATATCTCTGTGTTGTGCTGGGCTTAGCATGTACCCGAATAAATCCATAAGCATCAACGAGTCCGTTAACCACTGCCTGCACAGCCATATATCAGAATTAGATTTTCCTCATTTCATTGTTCTATTTTCTCTTTATATTTTGCTACCCAGTCCAATACTGGACTGGATCCTTCTTGTCTTCTTTCTATATTTTTCTACTTGCTTAGTGCCTTTCTGCACTCTCTCACATTTTTAACCAATATATCCATCTTCGGGTGTTCCAGCCGCTCTATAATTTTATTTATATCGCTTGTAACCTTCTGACACCATATTTTCCCCTTTTCAATTGTATTTGGTATGCATCCCTATTGCTATGCTGATGACGATGTACATCACGATATTAGACACGAACAGCTTCAATTGCTGATATGGGTGCTTAGAAATTCTTCTGCTACTCTGACATTCATATCCAGGCTGATGACTGACGTATTTTCCAAAGTGCTCGTTGAAAAACTTGGGCTCTGTCGCGCCGATTCTATCATCAACCAATGAACCGCCTCCGACGCTCGGCTCTGGTCAAATCCATGGTATGAATCGACGCAAAATACTTCACTGTCGACAAGAATGCGGGTTTGCCGGTTATGCGTGGGCTGAACGCAGCAATCGCCTTGCATGGGCTCATCTCAAAAAAGAGCGTTCATCATATACGATTTGTCCACATATACGTTTCCGTCTTCTGACAGTTCTGCCCACTCAGATGTGTTCATATTAAACTCTCTCCCGCTGACCTTGCTCTTTAGGTGACAGAGAAGAAAGAGCTACCACCTGCCTTGATGGTGGTGTTCTGGGAGATGGATGTAGTCTGAAGCTCTAGGAAACCACGCCTCCAGCCTAGGTGACAGCAACAGCAAGAACGGTAGCACCAGATATGCTCAATCGAGACATTCTCCTAATTTAGGCTTCTTTGCTAGGCCGCTCACCATCTTTGGGTAACAGTCATTGTAGAGCAAAGGTGGAATTGTGATTTAATGTGTGTTTGAAATGCAAATGCAAAAGTAGAGGTTTAAAACCAAAGTACACAAAAAGCAGCAACTAGTGATTTTAGAGTAAACAGTGGAAAAGCAATTATAGTACAAGCGTAATTTTCAATTCAGAACGTAGTCATTCATGATTGAAGATAAGCAGCCACAACAATCCAGAACGGATAATGAGCGCTATGGCGACTACATATCCGCCTTAACTGGTATCATATCTGTGGGCATGCGGTTTGACCACATACTATTTATACACAAATGTGTTTCCTATGTCTTCTATATCATACATATACATATACAGGCGTTCCTTAGCAGTCAAAGTTAGGTGCTGTGCTCAGTAGCTATAGTAGCCGCCAGGGCTGCCATACCTGGGTGCGCTTGCTTTTTTTTCAAAGATTTCGATGCTGTTTTCAGATGCTGCGCAACATTGGTCATCTTAATTCTGAATTGAGAAGTTTTAAGTGGTTATTATTTGGAGAACAAGTGAAGATTGGCAAAATGGAACAAATGGATAGTATCATATGCATCGCTCAGGTGTTTGGCTGCAGCTGCTGTATACGCTGTTGCCCTTTCTGCGCACAAGCACTGCGGTGGCCAGGCTGCAGAGCATACTGGCATGGAGTAGCTGTTTGACTGTGTCAGTTGGAGGCTATTGACGTCAAGTTTCCAAAAATGGCCATCTAAAAACCACCAATGAAACACACCCAACAGCAGTGTGAAAGTATCCTTCAATCTTGTGATTTATGCCAAGGAAATCAAGCAATCCCCTGTGTGTTGCCTGCATCTAATTCGACCCTCGGAATATCCAGCATCATCATATTACATGGCAGTTCTCCATGGGTCTCAATACTAATAGTCCCCAGCCAAGTATCACTGGGCCATTATTTCCTCCGAAACGCAAATAAATACCAAGGCTGCTCACTGGCAAACTCATAGCCATTAGCCCACTTTTATTGCAAACCTAGCACTTCTTTACAATGCAACTGAACTTTGCCCTAGCCCTTTTTCTTGTTCTTATTATTGCAGTTACTATTCTGGCGGTCCTTTTTACCAAGGAGCTCATTATCGTCACAGGAATCGCTGCAGCAGGCTACACCGTCTACACATTTGTCATCCCCAATATCGGTCCACTCATTACATACATCAGCAGAACCACGCTCCATCTAGAGATCTATCGTCCAAACAAGCCGGCCCAAAAGGTCATTTTCACATGCGGTAAAAGATCTGTCAAAGATATCCGGGACTGAACTGGCCAAAGTGTTTGGAACGTCTAGCGACTCGCTGCCAAAGATCATGGTTGATGGATATGAGCTGATGGACAATGTGCCTGTCTCGCATGTTCTCAGGCCCGGAGCCAGCCTGGGAGTCACCTTTGACAACTAGCTTTTCCTATGTGCCCAATACAGAGCTGCTCCACATATCAACTCACCACTGGCATATATATAGGAAGTATATATACACTATGCATGCGAATTACAAACAGAATTGGCCATCAATTTGTTGGTACACCATTCTGATATAAGAGCTGACTATCACCAGATAGCCTTGGTTTCATTAAACATGCCACAATAAAGAAGTCCGATTTAGATTTCTTTGCATTTAAACTGTTGACCATGGTGGCACATTGAGTCTGAAAACTCAGGTCGTATATGGCTGCCTACGGTTTTGATGCAACATGTGTACTTGGCATCATCGATACTCTTTATTAATGATTGAACGGTCTGATACATCGCCAGAGTAGATATAAGCTGACAGAAATTAGAAGAGTATGTTTGTTGGATTCTCATAGAAATAGTATATAAATACTGGCTGAGTAGCCACTTTGTTGCCAATTGTCGAATGCTGAATTTCCTTCCAAATCGCTCATAGAAATGACTACTTATATAATTCGTCTGCTTGTCATTCGTCAGAACCTTGTTCCAAGGAAAATCATGTATGGCGCCCGAGGTGACCGAAAGCTGGAGGAGTTCAAAGAGGATATACGACTGGACGTTCTAAACCTCTCGCATGAAGTTCCAATTACGTTAACGGTCGATGACCACGAGCTCCACGGTAAAATCGAGCTTAGCAGGGCTTGCTACAAAAATTATTTGTGTTTACGTTGGATAGTATATCATGCAACCCTTTTAGTCACAAAGAAGCAAATAGTAGCGAGCCAATAAAACAGGCATTTCGCTGCAACTACCACCATCACGGGACCGATCAGCACCAAATGTAATCAGCCGATTAGCAGTTATCATCAGTGCCCAGCGTATTTTTCGATGCGCGATCCACCCTGCCAAGCTCTGAGCCAGGCTCAGGAAAGAGAATTTTTGCTCTTGTAAGCACGCTAATTCTCGAATTCCATTGCATTTCCCTCTATTTATTTGAAGATAGCGCACTCACATTTCTCAAAAACATGTTCCGCGCACTGTTCACACGCCCCTTTGCAGCGCCAGCACAGTTTCTGCAGCGCACGTACGTGACGAAACGGCAGCTTGAAATCACCAAGCAGGTGCTGGAGGACTCGCCAGGTAGCGATCAACCCGCGCAACTCGATTCCGGAGCCGGTGATCAGCACCGAGGACCGTGCACGCCTGCGTGCTGATCCGCTCCTTTCGCAGCTGGTGAACACAATCATGCGCGACGGCAAGAAGCTGCGTGCTGAGCGGTTTGTGCAGGAAGCGATGCTTGATATCCGTGCACACACGAACTCCGATCCGTACAAGGTGGTGCAGGATGCGGTTGAGCTGGCAGCACCGGTTATGGACACGAAGAGCGGACGGCAGGGGTCCAAGGTGATTCAGATTCCGCGGCCGCTGAACCTGCGGCAGCGGAGGCGGCGTGCAATCGTGTGGATTCTGGACTCGGTCAAGAAGAGAAACGAGCGCAAGTTCCACATGCGGCTGTCGGGCGAGCTGCAGGCGATTATCAACGGCACGTCAGGCGTGCTTGAGAAGAAGCTGCAGTTGCACAAGATGGTGCTGGCTAACCGGTCGAACATCAAGACATCGAAGCGCTTCTAGTTGAGCAGGGGTTATATCATCTATCACTTTAAAAAGAACGGGAAACATAGTCCTCGTAGATATTACAATACAGCCAAGTGCTTGTTATATGCCCTGTAGTCGACATTCCATATGAATGACGAGATGCGAGAGGTGCCGAAATCCAGCAGCGGGCGAGCATCCCGCCGTGCAGCCAGCTTGGCGCGTGTCAGACAGCAATAGTCAGCATCGTTGCGGCCGTACTTGGAAGTCGTGGCCCAGATCAGCGAGTTGATGCCAGCCCCATGCGTGACAAACACGACAACACGGCGCCTGGGCGGACCAAATGAACACAAGTCCTCCTTGTACATTTCATTGGCAAAGTATGTGCCAGTGCGGTCCAGTGTCGACACAAACCTGGCCATCATATCCTGGAAGTTCTCGGGATACACTGGCAGGCTCTGGCTCGCCTCCACATACCTCGCGTCATGCTGCATGTCCCTGCAGACCTCGCCAGCCTTAATCTCGGCGCGCCGCTGATCGATGATGGTGCTTGGCACCTGCTCGTCAAAGTACTGGTCGTTCATGAGCTCCGACAGACCGGGTTCCACAGCCACATTCCACTGCACGGATTTGGCCCTGGTACGGAAGCCTTGAAACAGACTGTCGGACGTCTGCACACAGCGCAGGAACGGCGACGTGACGACGTGGTACGAGGTCTGGGAGATGATGTCCTTTGCATAGGGCAGGGCACTGCCAGCCTCGATTTCAAGGTCATAGATAAGATTGCCGGTCTTGCGGGCTTGATGGTGGCCGTCGGCAGTCAGGGGCGGGTCGTAGGGGGTGGTTGCGGTCTTTGCCCACTCGTCGTCAATGTGGTCGATGCGCTCGCCGTGGCGGATAAAGTAGCAGGTGAGCATGCCAGAGGGCAGCTCAATCTGTTCGGTGGTGAGAGGAGTCCATGGTGTCTAAAACTGAGTACTAGAGAGGAGAGCTGCGTGTGTCTACTGCGCGCTGCCTCGCTTTGGTTTCTGGTCGTCTGCCGGACACCGTCGGCTTTTCCACGACCACGGCCCGGGGAAAAGGGCATTTGACGCCGGAAGATGAGCATCACATGCTGAGCCCAGTCGAGCGCGCTGATCAGTACCCGCCGGAAATCAAAGTGTGCGGATCACCAGATGCTGGCTGCCTGTCATCGGGGTGCGCTCAGTTAGGGTAGAGAGCGCTTGGCGGTTGCGCATAGTGCATTTGGGCATCTTTCGAAATTGCATACTTCCTTCCTGTTCTACCTCTTTCGGAGCGCTTTTTCCACCCTTACATTTCAGTGGCCTTTATTTCTTTCTACTTTCACTCAGAATGGCACAGCCGGCACATTCTCGCCCGTCGCCAGTTTCAGTGCGCTTGACCAACTTGGCCCAGGTAAGCCAAGCCGTTCCAAAAGAATGACGGATGCACCTGCATCGAATTCATGGCTGCTAACAAAAAGAGGCTGGTATCCTGTAGACTGCCCAGTTCTACTGGTGGATTGGGCACGTGGTGGTGCTGACGTTCGGTGTCATGTATTATCTGAAGCGGATGCTTGGAGCGAGCTCCGCCAACTGGTACTATTCGTCTGCGTACATGGGAGCGCTGCTCTCGTATACCATTCGTGATATACAAGACGTACGGTCCTCCGCAGCTCAACCTGGCGTTTCGTTCGGCGGCTGATTCTCGACGAGAACGTCGAGTACCTCCTTCTGGCGTTCTACTGGTTTACGCAGCGGGCGATTGTTGTGACATTGCTGCCGTTCGTTGTGTTTTCGCTGTTCCACGTGATTACGTACTCGCGGTCGACCCTGATTCCGATCTTCTTCCCCGGCGTGCCAGCGGAGCTGCAGGCGGCGCGGCAGGCGAACGGCGCGCCCATTGCCCTGAGCCCGGCTGCACGCTACCAGCAAGATGCTGGGAGAGCTGAGCTCGAAGTACTACTCGCCGGCGCTGCGGGAGGTTGGTGTGTGGGAGGTGGCTGTGGTAGGCACGTGGCTGACGCTTGGCGCGATTACGTTCCAGACACCGCTGCTGGCGCCGATCTTCTATGCACAGTTCCTGCGGTTCCGGTTTGCGCTCAGTGCGCCGACGCGCCAGGCGTTCAGGCGTGTGCGCACTTTCCTGGATCGTGTGCTGGTGCCGCCCCAGGCCAGCGCCAATGTGCCGCATGTAGTGACGGACGTGTATGTCAAGGGGCGTGACATTCTGTGCAGGATGGGTGCCATGATCATGGACCCTACTGCCAACCAGCAGCAGCAGCAGCAGCAGCAGCAGTAGATTTTCTTTGGAATCATGCTTTTTTAAACCCCTTCTCCACGAGGAATGTGACAATTGATTTACAATCATCCATCTCTTGGTCAAAGCGCCGCATATCCAGAAATTTGTTTAGAAGCCCAGCAGCATTAGTATTCGACGGCGCGTTCGTCTTTGCACTAGAGCTGTGCAGACGACTATACACAGCAGCAACCGCAGTCCTCAGCCCACGCGTGCGGCAAAAATGGTGGGATGCTAATCTGAACACGTGATTCGGATCGCCACTAGTCGGGGCTGATGTTATGTCATTGACAAGAGAAGCCCGATAGGCGGCAATAGCATCTTTTGTCTCCATTTACAGTCCCAGCTTTTAGATTTCAGCCATTTGCTTCTTATTCAGATTTCGCTAACCAATGCTCGGCACTACGACTAATATGCTGCGTCTGACGGCGCGCACAGCCTATACCAAGCAGCAACAGCAGAAGGTCCTAATTCGGCGGTTCCACCTGACCCGCCCGGTTCAGAACGAGACGCCAGCGCAGATAAACTGGCAAGAGTTCTTCCAGCTGCGCAAGCAGCGGCGTCTATGGGAGCGCCTGGCGGCGCTTCCCTGCTCGATGCTGGGTCCTGGCGGGCGGAGCAGCGGTATTTGCTTCACTGCCGATCAACCCGCAAACGACGCTGTTTGGCGTGGACCCGATTGTCATTCTGGGCGGCGCGACGATGTTCTGCGGCGTGATGGGATTTGCGGTGGGCCCCTCGGTGGGCCGCGTCTGGTACAAGATCGGGAACCGGCGGCTGGCACAGACGCTGGACCAGAAGGAGGCCGAGTTCTTCCACCATATCAAGGCAAACCAGGTCGGATCCGAGCTTTTCGTCGGTGAACAACCCGCTGCCGGACTTTTACGGCGAGAAGATCAACTCGCTGCAGGGCTACCGCAAGTGGCTCAGGAAGCAGCGCGAGCACGAACGCAAGGGCACATTCAAGCTGGGCGCGTCGAAGAAGTAGATTTTTGTCTTTCTACATTCCCAAATGGCTTTAGTTTACTAGTGACTTGATCTTGGAGATGATGTCGAGGTATGCCTTGGTGGCTGGCGAGTCAGGGACTGTGTCGGTGAAGGACGTGCCAAAGTCGCAGGCCTTGCCGATGCGCGGATCAAGGGGGATAGAGCCCAGAAGTGGGATGCCGAGCTCCTCGCACATGGCCTTGGCACCGCCCGTGGTTGGGTAAAAGATCTTGGACTCGCCATGGCATCCCGGGCACACAAAGCCGCTCATATTCTCGACGACGCCCAGGACAGGCACCCGCGCCTTTCTGCAAAAGTCAATCTCCTTCCGCACATCCTGCAGCGAGACCTCCTGCGGCGTTGTCACAACGACTGCGCCGGTGATGCCGCTCTCACGCAAAAACTGCACTACCTGACAGGTGCTCATCCGAGGTGCCGGGTGGGGTGTCAAAGAGCAGGTAGTCGAGGGAGCCCCACTCGACGTCCTTCAAAAACTGCTTGATCAGACCGTTCTTCTTGGGCCCGCGCCAGATCACCGGCTCCTCCTCTGACGGCAGCATGAACCCAATCGACATGACCGCCAGGTTGTCCTGCACGTACACCGGCGTCCAGCCATCGGCTGCGCCGTGGATCTCCTCGTCTTTGCACCCCATGATCCTCGGAATCGAGGGCCCGCAGATGTCAATGTCGACTACGCCCACATCTGTGTCTTCGTCAGTGGCCAGGGCGAATCCTAGCTGCGCTGTAAATGTACTTTTGCCCACACCGCCCTTGCCAGACAGCACCAGGATTTTGTGCTTGATGCCCTGGAGCCGCTCGGTCACTATGGGGATGTCGGGGTCAGGCCCGCGGGCCTGGGTGGCACAGATCCTGCTGGTTCGGGCAGCCCTCGCACCCTTCGGCCTTGCCGGCTTGCTCGCTGTCGGGACCAGGGCAATGCTCGTTGGCATTGTCTGGAATTTGGCCATTCAGTTCAGACATTCTGTGGCACTAAAAAATTAAAGCGAAAAGCGAGGGTGGTTTGGAAGAGAGGGGAGGCAAAATGAGGCATTAGTCATCGCCGCAGCGGGGGGTTTCAATGCGCTAATCGCCTGTCGGCTCAGGCGGCTCGAGGAAATGGGGGAAAAAAGGCACCATGGCTCGATCCTCTAAGAGTTCAGGCACCACTTCTGCCTCCTTCGCCAATTCAAAGTCTCAATTTCGCACACTTTTTTATTATAGAATGGCGGGTGGCGGCAAAAAGAAGCAGCAGCAAAAGGCAGCCGATCCTGCTCCAGCGACAGCCAAGCCTGGCAAGGGGAAGCAGAAGGGCAAGGTTGCTGACGAGCCAGCAGCAGCTCAGCCCGAGAAGCCGAACCCGAACAAGCTGCTTTTTGGCAACTGGACAGGCAAAACGCCTGTAACTCTGCTCAACGAATTTGTGCAGAAGAGCAAATGGCAGCGGCCCGACTACAATATGCACGGCGGGCCCTCCAAGGGTTTCAGCTGCACGATCCGGCTAACAAAAATCGAAAAGAACCAGCCGATCATGGTTGTTTTCAAGCCAGAGCCGACTGAGCGCGGGCCGGCCCACCTGCCCAGCGCCCTTGGAGGCCCGGCACATGGCAGCCACCTATGCATTGCACCGCCTACGCTCCAACACCAACATGCACCGGATGCTGCCGCCGATGCACCGCGAATACTGGACGGACCTCGACAAGGTCAAAAAGGACCGATGGCGAAAAGGGCAGCTGGAAGTACTCGGACGATCCGTTCACGGTCAAGGTGCTGAGAGAGAAGGAGAGGGACGAGCAGCAGGAGCGGAGGGAGAAGGAGAGGGAACGGAGGGAGCGAGCGGAGAGACAGGGGCTGAGCGAGGAATTGCTGAAGCCGTTTGCGCGCCGCCGATGGGACGACATGGCCGAGGTACAGATGAGCCAGACGAACCGAGATCTGGCAGAATCAGTTATCCGCACGTGGTCCGAGGCATGGAACCTCGGGAAGGCGCAGCCGGTCAAGCCAACCCCCACTGCTAGCAAGGACTCCTCGATTGAAAAGTCGCTGGTCCTGTCTGGGTTCCGTGCCGCCCACGTCAAGGAGGCGTTGCAATACACGCACTCCAAGCACGAGGCGCTCGACTGGCTATGCGTACACGTGCCTGAAGGACGACCTGCCCTGAGCAGTTTATGCAGCGTGCGTACCGCTCCTCTCTGGTGCTCGTATCCAACAACGACAACGACGACCAGCAGAGGCTCGCCCGCCAGCTTGCAGGCAAGCGCCTGGCCCGATCAGGCTTCCCGACGACCATCTGCATGCAGACCCTCAGCAGCATAGCTTCGGTGGATCTAGCGGCCTATGGAAAGCATGGCGGCGACAGAGCTGTACAACAAGCTGTGTGGCCAGGCCGCCGACGGAGCTGGCATTGGAGAAGAGCGAGGAGACGTACGAGTCGATCGAATACGAGTTTGAGGGCATCGAGGCCATCTACCCAGGCGAGCGCCGCGTGAAGCAGCCGAGTGAATTCCAGGTCAGCGTGGCGGTACGTCCGCAGCCGCGCAGGCTGTGTCCGGAAGACACCAGGCTGGAGTTTTGGTTCCCGCCCGGGATCCGGTATCCGGAGCAGTTCCCTGCGATTACGGTTTCGAGCGACTCGCTGCCGAGCTACCTGAAGCTGCACATTGCAAAGAAACTCAATGGGCTGGTCAGTCACGACGCAATGCCGGTGATTTACGAGGCAGTGAGCGTGGCAGAGGCGCAGATCGAGGAGTGGCTGGCCAACCCGCCGGCCCTGGTCGGTCTGATGCGTGGCATCGTCGACGGCGGGTCTGCCACAGCCAGCAGCAACACCTCGGATGCAGATGGCGTCCAGGCGGTCGTAAAGAAGAAGCGGCATGTGAAGCGGCACAAGCAGACTGCAAAGGACACTGAGCATCTGTCAAAGATGTTTGCTGCGCTGAAGCTTAACCCCAGCGTACTGCAAAATGCAGACAGTGCGTGAGTCTCTGCCTGCATGGAGCTTCCGTGCCAAGATCAGTGATCTTGTCGAGTCCCACCGCTGCACAGTCGTGTCCGGAGCAACAGGGCTGTGGAAAGTCCACTCAGGTACCGCAGTTTCTCCTGGACCAGGCGCTACAGACTGGCAAGCCGATCAACATTATCTGCACGCAGCCGCGGCGGATCAGCGCCATCGGCGTAGCATCTCGCGTGGCCGAAGAGCGAGCCGAGGATATCTCGGAGAACTCTGGCACAGTCGGCTATGCTGTGCGTGGCGAGTCCAGGCAGAACCGCAACACGCGGCTCCTGTTCTGCACCACTGGTGTGCTGCTGCGCATGTTCACCGATGACCCAGACCTTTCCAGGCGTCACTCACATTGTATGCGATGAGGTGCATGAGCGGTCGGTCGACTCGGATCTCCTTCTGGTGTTGCTGAAGCAGTGCTTGGAGCGCAACAAGCATCTGCGGGTAGTTCTGATGAGTGCGACGGCAGAGTGCGAGCTGTTTGGTGGGTATTTCGGGAACCGAACGCCGATTGTGGAGATCCCTGGCCGCACGTTCCCGGTTGATGACGTGTATGTCGAGGACTTTGTCAGGAGCCACCATGACCCAAGCACCGGCCAGGACAGGACACGGTACGAGAACATGCAAAGGAAGGCAGCGGAAACATCGGACGAGAAGGCGGCAAAGGAGGCCCAGAAATGGCTGAACCACGCAGACCACTACGTCAAGCATGGGCTGGATTCCGGGCAAGGCGTCGTGGATGGTCGGCTGGGACTCCAAGTTCGGGCTCGCCCACAGCGCTACGCAGATCGACTACTCGCTGGTGCTGGCCATTGCGCAGCACATCCACAAAACGTCCGACCCGACCAAGGCTGTGCTGGTCTTCATGCCGGGCGTGCAGGAAATCTCCAAGACCATCGACGCCCTGAGCGCCCTGCCGAACACCACGCTGCTGCCCCTGCATGCTGGGCTTGGGCCCGCCGAGCAAAGGCGCGTGTTCCGCAGGCCCCCGTCGGGGTCGCGCAAGATCGTGGTGTCGACCAATGTGGCCGAGACCAGCATCACCATCGACGACATCGGCTTTGTGGTGGATTCCGGCCGCGTGCGTGAAATCCAGTACGACGCCGAGTCGCGCATCGCCCGGCTCGCCACGGTCTTCTGCTCGCAGGCCGCCTCGACGCAGCGCCGCGGCCGTGCGGGCCGCAACCAGCGCGGAACCTGCTATAAGCTGTTCTCACGGCCCACGCAGCAGCGCGTCATGGCCTGAGTACACCAAGCCGGAGATCCAGCGCACGCCGCTCGAGCAGGTGTGCCTGCAGGCAAAGACCCTGGGCCACGCCGACTCGCAGAAATTCCTGGACTGCGCCATTTCGCCGCCCGACAGGCCTGGTCCTGTCGTTGCTGCCGAGAAGGCTGCTGGTGGCCGTGGGCGCCTCGACGCAGGTCAACGGCGCGCTGACGGCGCTGGGAAGGTACCTGGGCAGCATCCCGGCGGACCTGCGGCTGGCAAAGATGCTTGTGTACGGCGCGGTGTTTGGTATTCTCGACCAGATGCTCGTCATTGTGTCGCTGATGGCTAGCGACAAGCCGCTGTTCAGTGCCCCGCACGAGAAGCGCGCGCTGGCGAGGGAGAAGCGCATGGCATTTGCCACTGGCCATAGCGACTGGCTGGCAGACGTAGCCGCCTTTGAAAGGTGCTCGAAGGACGGCCGTCGGGCCTGCGCTGACAACTTTGTCTCGTTCACGACCATGCGCGACGTCAGGTCCAATATCCGCATGCTGCGCGATGCTATCCGCGACACCGGTCTGATTGAAGCCGCCGAAGCTGCCACGCCGCGGTCTGATGCCGAGACCCAGATGCTCGTCAAGGCCATCGTGTTTGCCGGCCTGTCTACAAACACCGTGCGTGTGCGTCTGCCGCAGCAAAAGTATCAGGAAATGATCGCCGGTACCGTCAGCGTCGAGCACGAGGCGCGCCAGGTCTCCTTCCACCTGGTCGATACGCTGAACGCAACCGAAACTGACTGGCAACGCTACGATATGCGGAAAGATACCCGCGTCTTTATCCATCCGCAGTCGACGCTATTTGCGGAGAACTCGTATCCGGTACCGTTCTTGACGTACTTTTCGCAGTCCTCCAACAACCCACAAAAGGTGTATCTGCGCGATGTCACCATGCCTGGGCTCTACGCCCTGCTCATGTTTGGGCCCGATCTGGTCGTCGACCACGAGAACAAGGTCATTGTAGTGGGATGCGGCGGCATATCAGTGCGGGCGTGGCCACGCATTGCTGTGCTGGTCAACCACCTGAAGATGCTGCTTGACCAATTGCTCGGCCGCAAGCTGGACGACCCGGCCATGGAGATCAGACACCACCCAGTCGTTACCACTATCCTGAGGCTGATCGCGACTGATGGTGTGTGAGGTCTGCTCTGAAAAATCCACGATATGTCAGTTGGTTAATGAGACTTGAATTAACGGTTGAAATAGAAGAAATGATACTACAGCAAGCTCAGAGAGAAATCGAAGGCCAAAGAGCGGGATAGTTATAACAGGAGCTTGGAAAGGGTAATGGTGACTGGCAAGATGGCGAGATCTCGCCAGCAAATAGCACTGCGTTTTTTTTTTAAACAGCGGCCTCAGCCTTGCCGGCAGAGAGCGCCTCCTTGTGGTCATGAGCGAATCCCTCCTCAACGATCTCGGACTCCGAATGGTCGGTGAGCCTGTTGATGACTACGAACATCGGGACGAGGGAGATACCGAGCAGGACCCAGTTGCCAATGAGCTGGTGCATGAACGAGACCTTCTTGGCGTCAAGTTGCCACGCAACAGTGGCACCAAGCGACTGGATGCCCTTGTAGAACCCGGCATACCGCGAGAGCTTCTGGCTGTCGTTGGTCAGGGCACCAATGATCCAGTAGGCAAAGTTCTGGAACAGGGCGTCGCCGATACCGTAGACCAGGTACAGAATGATCGGGCCGGCCGCACGGCTGTGCTCCAGGAAATCAATGCTGCCTCCAGGATAGTCAGTGGGGCCAGTGATGGTAGGACCGTGCGTGTACTTTTGCTGGAGAGCAACGGACCCGCCCCACATGACGTTGAAGAAGACAGCGACAAGGGCGAACGCAATGAGACCGCGCTTCTTGCGAGACCACTCCTTCTTGTCGAGCAGGAACGACAGCGCGTAGGCGCCAGCCATCTGCGCACCCCAGTACCAGATGTTGTTGAAGCCGCGGGTACGGATGTTGAAGATGGCTCCGTTGACGCAGTTGAACTGGTACGAGTAGAAGAAGTTGGAGGTGAAGCACATCGGCAGCAGCGCGATCATGGTCGGGTTCAGGAACAGCTTGATGATCTCGACGCACTCGGTGCGCACATCCGTGTACTTGACAAGGACAACAGACGACCCATCGTCACGGACGACGCGCGATGGCGGGCAGAGGGCCAGACCGAGGGCCGAGCCGATGACCTCGAGAACGACAAAGACAATGTAGACTGCGTCCGACAGCGAGTCCTTCGGGTTATGGTAGTTGATGGCGAACGGCAGGATGCCACCGATCATACCGCCGAGGTTGAAGATGATCCAGAACACGGCGATGTACTTGCCCTTCTCCTCCTCCTTCGGATACGACACCATGATCATGCCCTGAGCGGCCCACAGAACACCGGCACCAATACCCAGAATAGCGCCAGCAGCGATGGTGAAGGCACCGTTCGCGGTGTGGTTGAGATAGACGTACGATCCCGAGTAGAGGGCATACGAGAGACCCGAGACGAAGATGGTCCAGCGGACGCCGCACAGGTTGACAATTGACCCGCCGAGGATACCGAAAATGATGAAGGTGCAGTAGAGAGCCGTGTTGGCGTTTGAGGCCGTGGTGGAGTCCATTTGGCCACCGCCGCCCATACCGTTGAGCGCGTTGAACATGCCAGGGCACAGGAAGCAGACGAGGCCGACAAGGATGACCTGGGTCATCGGGCTGGTGTAACGGAACCGCCCGGAACTACCAAATCCAGGGAAACCCATTATTGAAATACGAATGTTTTAACGCAGGGGGGTGTGTGCGTGAGGTTGAATAATATTACAGACTATAGAAAAGAGGCAAGGAAGTGAAGCAACGAGCTGCGTTTTGGTCTGGAGAATGGCAGGAGGGGATGCTGCGAGCCCCCTTTATATACCTGTTTTTTTGTCTAACCTGCACTATGTTCTAGGGTGCCCTGCCATCGTTCCTGGCGGGCAAGTGCTATTTTCGGTCAGGAACTAAAGCGAACACTCTTCTAAACAGCTACTAGTGTTTCCGTGTTTAGCGAAGCCCGGTTTAGCTCGACGCGCAGGACCCAATGGGAGTACAGGAGGCTGTATTTCGCTCCGCCCAGTCTCGCCACGATATTCGTTGCGGCGGGGGACATGGGGAGCGTGCATGAAATTCCTACCCGCCAGCGAATGGTCCGTTGACTATACTGCTTTTGAGCGTGTATTTGTTGGCCACTTCATTTCTGCTCGACTGACTGAGCCATGCGCCTCTGTACCCGCCGGGGGAATGTCAATCCTGTCCGTTGCCAAATCCGGTTGGGCCAGGTCGGCCAGCACATGATCGCCTCCCTCCGAGCCAGCCAGATTGCGTGCCGGGGCGCTCTTATCCCGCACCGCACAATGTGCAGGCCAAATGCAGCAAGGATCGCTGCAATCAGCGACCGCACGGGCCTTTTCCCGATACATTTTCGCTGGCGCCAATGCAGGACCACAGAGAGATAGCGATTGCATTTCACGACACAAGGCATAGCTTGGCAGGATGTGCAGGCCATGCGGACCAGAGAGCGTCGATTAGAAGAATGGCGCAGAGGTTCCACATGCCCTGTTTGCCCGACAAACTCGCCGCTATGTGCAAAAGAGCGGCATGAAATGCGGTCCCGCACCGCTGCCTTATCGCATCTCATTGCAGCCTCAGCAACGAATCTCGAAGATAGCTGCTCTGCTCCATGCCAGCCAGTGTAATGAAGTGGTCAGAGCATTTTCGGCAGAGGGATGGCGGGCGCGATTTGCATCTGAGACTGATAAGCGCGGATGGTTCGTTTTCGGGCTGTTCCCATGCACGGGCACGCCGAAATAATTGCCACCAATTTGTCCACACTGGTCGGCGCTTCTCCTCCTTCCATTCAGTCGTTCTGTCCATTTGCAGGCACAGACTGCTGATTTCTGACAGGCCAGGCTGCTGCAAAAAGCATAGATAACCCAGAGCATTGCTCTTTGCAAATGTCGATCGCCATTTGACTGGACACTGCCGCTGGCCATTGCAGCTTGGCTGGGAGCAGGCCTGGTCCGGGAGAACAGCCATGCGAGATTCCCAGCGGCACATTTGTCGGCAAGGGATCCTGAAATCACTTCCCACGTCCCTTCGATATTTTGGCCCGCCTGGTGTGCTATGTGCGATCCATGATCATGTACGTGCCGGCCCGCACAGAGCACACATAGTGTATGAGAGGCAGGCACTTTTTTTGGCTGATAGGTACCGTGAGAACCATTTCGCGTGGCCAGTCTCAACCCAAGACTGTGCCTGCCCTGTTTAGCCCTGCTACTGCCAAAAGCACCTCCTCTATCCCCAACAGGTGGTCTTGCGACGAGCATAGCGCAAAAATAAATTGGCAGTTACCTTTTTTCCACACTCTTTCCCTCACTCCACTCCTGCTGAGTGGGGAATGTGTTTTTCCGCGCACACTGGTCCAAAGACCATTTGTTTTCACTCAGGAACATCGCTGAAAGAACAACAGGACGCAATAAAACTGGATGCAGCGTGTAACACGAGCTGCTTCCTCTTTCGCACAGATGCATTGGAGTGCTGGGGGATGAAATGTGTTTACCTGCCGTGGCCGGCATGTGGGTTTTTGGGCGTAGAGCCCTGCGGTGCTCTGCGATAGGAGGGCTGGCTTGGGGGTATTTTCAGCTAGAATGAGGTACTACCCATGCTGATGCCCTGTGATCTTTGGCGGGTACCGATGGCCCTGCTACTTTTCTTGATTCAGTGATCAATCATGATGAGCAATCTGTCAAGGTACGTACCAGGCTGGGTGGATGGTGTCTCAATGCCTTCAGCTACTTGACATCATGCTGCTTGATCTCTACGCGGAGGGTGTAGTTGCCCTTGGGTAGCAAACAGGCTTTCTCTGATGAGCCAGGATGCCTCACAATACAGCGCGTTCTGGCATCAAATGCCAACAGCTGGAAGCCCTGCACCCAAAGGTAATCAGCTGCATCACCAAAGTCGGTGACAACAATGCGAATCAGTGCATTGGCAGCTCTTCGACGCAACTGAGCACAAGCCTTGCTGGTGTTGCCGCATCTGTCAATCTGTTTGGCAAGCGTATAGTAATAGCTGCCCTAGCTGCGCCTTGAGGCAAAGTGATAAACCTGCGTGCAGCCTCTTCTGATTTTAGATACTAGCCATTGAATTTTGTGCGCGCAGATGGATCAGCTATAAGAGGTTTAGTCACAGCAGCTGGAATCGAGAACATCGAACCCCACGCTACGCCCTATGCATCAAGCCCTTGGGTCTTGGCTGTGTGCAGGTGCTCTGCCTAAAGTCTGGCTGCATCGATACCGGTATCGAATAAACCAAAGCTATTATTGGCATTGACTACATTCGGCACTCCGACACGCTTCTCGGCTGTCGATAACTGCATCCTCATATAAAAACTGTACAGCAGCTTCGACGCTTCCTCATTATATGCAATACTATTGCTTGTGCATGTGGATAAGCAACTGTAAATGTTGGATTCAGCCCACTTGTTCTTGGTACAACATATTTGCACGTACTTGTGAGCGTATTAATAGGATACAGGAAATCGCTATTTAGGCTTATTATCTTTTAGTCTGTGTTGATTCTCTTGCTGTAGACTGCGTATCTGTGTATATGCAGGCTTGGGAGGAGGCACCAGGAGGTAGTGGTAGCTGGAATTGAATTACAGAGTTTTTGGTACCAAGAAAATGCTCCAAATAGGCTATGTATCTCAGAAATTACCTGTCTGTAGAAGAGATTGAAACACATGTTTTACGTAGATGAACTGGGGACGCACATGGCTTTTACAGCAAGATCGGTGCATGTTCACTCAGCCATGCACAGCCGACTTCTTTTGTGTCCAACACTGGCCAGGAGTGGCGTAATGGGCCTGATAATACACAACATAGCAGCTCTCACATCAAACTCCCAGCATCGGCGACAACCAGAGATCCATTTTAGGCAGCATCGACATAATGCTGGAGTATGCAGTGTCAGTCATTATCGCATCTTGGACATCCCTGTGACGCATAGACTAGTTGACACCTGCTCATGCGACCAAAGTCGAGTGCGGCAAATTTATGATTCACATCCTGCCGCGTGGTTCAGGCTGAATTCTCTGGCTGTTTTCATCCATTGATTTAAAGAGCAAAAAGATACAGTTTGTAAATTGCTAGAAAACAAAGAGGTTTACAGTACAAAAAGAAGAGCCTAGAAGAGAGAAATATATGGAAAAATGTCGTCAAAAAGTGGGAACCGAAAGTATAGTAAAAGGGGGTCGAATGTGCCTATTAGCACACGCATAAAACACACGCGAAAAAGGAGTCACGAAAAATGCACTAGAGAAGAGAGGTTTGCCAAAAGTTCAGTGGGGTGAAAATATAGAAGGGTGCTTGAAAGGGGCCAAGCAGCATCAATGCAAAACCAGTTGCATTGAAGGAGAGAGGGTGAATTAGAAGAGGGTGACCATAGCAATGCCAACAATCATGCAGGCAAGGCCACCACCGCGCAGGCCGGTAACGGGGCGCTTGGTGGTCTCGAGACCGCCAGTAGCATCAATGATGACACTGACGACAAGCTGCGACACGACAATAACGCCGTTGGTGATAGCAGCACCGCGACGGTGAATGACAAGGGTCAGGATCAGGACGAAGATACCACCGAACACACCACCGAGCCAGGCGTAGGCCGGGGCGCCGCGAGCGGCCTCGGACCAGTTGACGGTCTTCCCGCCCTTGGTGTCGGCGAGGAAATAGATCAAGAGTGGCCAGAAGCCGAGGGCGAACGACAGGAAGGCTGAGAACGAGCCCGAAGTCGAAAGACCGAGCTTGCCGTTCATCGGGCCCTGCACGCCGGTACAGACACCACCGATAATGAGGAGAATGACACCAAGCCAGACCTGGTCAAGAGCGTTAGCCATTTTGTGTTGTAGAAAGTATTAGGTGTGGAGGTAAAAAAGGGAGCTGTGGCTTTAAAGGTGGCAGAGAAAAGCAAACAGTAGTGACTCCTGGGTCTAAGATATCAGTCCCGTGTGACGGTTTATAAACAAATATGAGAACAAACTTGTCGTGAACGGTACGGCGGGGGGAGGTGAAAGGCGGAGAAGTGCTTCTGTGGTTGAGTACCCAAAAAGAGCAGTGTGTGGGAGCAGAGGGTGAAGGTTTCTCCAGAGGCCTTCGTATTTATACAAGGGCGATTTGCACGCCGTCCCTCTGTGCAAACGCTTAGCCCCCGCCCGCGGGCAGCCTGTCGAATCGGAAACTCGAGAAGAGCAAAAATGATTAATAGACGCTGGTATTCTTTATTTGGACGCCCACTCTGTTCCCGAACCCAGGCAGAGGCCGGTCAGATCTGGCGGTGCGTGTACGCCATGCAGAGCACAGGCGCATCTCTGGGGACAGCTGCGGGTTGCCGAGGGGGAGTAGTCACATGGAGATGGATACGGCAAATTACAAAACGGTGCTCGGTGACAAACCTCGAAGAGAATGCCATTATTGACAGCAACGATCGCCGCCATTTACCTCGCCTCCCACAGTCCTGCATGACTGAGGCGGAAAAGCGGGAGCCCTGTGACATTCCTTCGCTCCATAGCACAGATCGCCTCAGAAATGTCACTGCTGTTTTTTAGACAGAAAACCGGTTTGTCTTGGTCGGGTGTACATGACGATAGATCGACAGCACCTTGCTGGCATCTATACATGCAGCTGGTGTGCAACATATCTGGGACGGCGAGTGAGGGGGTGGCTGCGTGAGGTGGGCTGGCACCACCTCTACACGTAAACTAGTTTTTTTGCTCGGCTGCGCGCATTTGAGGAGGAGGACTGGATTTTCGCCCTGCTTTATCGCGCGCCAATTTGCCAGCTTTTCTAGCGCGATAGCTGAAATTCTCCGCCATGCGCGTCGCCAATCTCCACCTGATATGGCAAGTGCGCGAATTTTGACTCTTGTCGAGGACACACCGACCAATTGCATCCAGGATCTGAGCTCCCTACATGAAATTCGCGCAGGTGCGCGTATTTCTGGTATCCCCAATACACGAAATCCTCCGCTATCCCAGGTCAGATTGGGAAGTGCCGATCGACATTCGCAGCATAATTGGAGCTTTGTCTGGCTGAATCTCCGCCAACATCATCATTCGTGACTGTCATTCCTTTGCGGGTGGCCTTGTGCGGGCCCATCTGGGGTAGATGATGCAACAGATATTACACAGACGTGCACAACATGTAGCATATCGACAGTAAAGGTGCTCGCATAGTGCTGCCGGGTGTCGCTTGGTACCGGACATCCGAGAGTGCATGCCAGTAATGTCGGTAGATGTGGAGACAATGCGCAGCGCAGAAACATACATTACCCAGATCCAATGGTGCCGCTCCATTGGTACAGTCCCCTTGGCCAGACATCGCTCGAGCACAGTAGGTTCATACCTGGTTTTCCAATAGTGCCGGATTGTCGACAGCCTATGATGCTGTCCAATGGTTACAGGTTGCCAAGCCCTGTCTGGTCCCGGCATCGATGGCACCGAGTCGCCGGGTTGGTGTCTGCCGGGCATGGTATTCACGGGCCACATTCTCATTTGCTGTGTGAAGCCGAATACCAAGCCTCTGACAACCCGAGTGAGCGCCATGTGCCTGTAGAGCGGAAAATGAGCGCTGACAGCGGTAGCTACACCATAGACAATTGTCCTGGTTGCAAGTCCTGGATCCACACACATTGCCTGTGCATGCCTTGCATTCCCACATCCTTTTTTGCGATTGCTTCGCTGTTTTATCCAAACCAAGATGATGCTGGGCAGATCACCACAAGGAGCTTTTGCCAAACATAGTATGCATAGCATTACATGCCAGCCCATGTGCCCTTCTGCGCATACTTTCTTCTGCCTGAAACCATGTCAGACCCATCTGAAAGGAGAAACCCGGCATATTTCAACAGCCCGGTCTCTGCAAAGGGGCATATTCATGCAAGCCTTGAGTCCAAGGCCAGACCAACCCTTTACGTTCACCTTCGCGGTGTCACACGTTGCAACAATGGACCGGTCTTATTGCCGCCAGAGATAGCGCAGCGAAAATCTGCATTTGGCTGCTGTCTCCGAGTGAAGAACGTCACGGTAGAATCGTCAAGGAGCACAGGCACATCGGAGCACCTTCAAAGACCGGGAAATAAAATAAAGAGTGGAAGCGACAATAGAAAGGACTCTGGGACTTCAATAAGCAGATGAATGCTTATCACTGGTGTCTGCATGCCTCTCCGTAATCATTCGCACCCACCGCCCCAAAAAAGCGGGGTTCGCTGCCTAGATGGCCCACGCTTTCCGGCACATCGCCAGGGCCATGAGCCGCTCAGATCCCATGCCTCTCATGTGGCCCGGGGTTTTGCCAGATCCAGCATCAATGACACCGCAAGACGAGAAAGAAAGCAGTCACACCATTAGACCCCACTGATCTTGGCACGGTGCACGTTCGGTGCTGTGCCCACTCTGTGCTGCTACCGATACATACAGTGCGCAGGAATGACATAGCGTCCCGGCCACTGGATCGCCCCCTCATTCAGTTGCATTTCGAGATACCTGGATGCAGACCAAGCGAATCGGTGTGCTGAGCATGGGTTTCATTGCTACATGCCTTGCTTGGTTGCTGGCAAGGCTGCCTATGTGTGCAGTTCGCAGCACTGCGCGGATTGTGACTGCGGCATTTGGGGCTGCAGAACAATGCAGCAGCTTGCCAAGAGGGCACTCGATTGTTTTGTCAACACGGTGCACGGAGGACTGTGCGCTATTCCCGTCTTTCGACATTGCCTTTGTTTCGGATGCACTGGAGGGCGGGTGAGCAGCCAGCCAGCACAAAATTCGATGTGGCAAATCTGTCCCCACCCATACGAAAAAGGATGTGCCAGCTGCATCGGCTTCTCCCCCATGTGATATTCTTTTGATGCCGCGTGCAGCCATTTGTGACAATTTCTCCTAGCCTGTGTCGCACCACTTGCTGTTTTTGCAATTTTGCACCCAGCCCACCCCCTCGATGCATGCTGCCATTCCTCCATGCTAGGCATTATTTTCCTTCAAATGCAGCAAAATGTGACAAATGGAGAAATCCAGGCACATCCTGTGTGACGCTCCTTGGCGCAAAATGGCCTCCGACGGCACACTGAGCCAAACGATCCAGCAATCGCCCCCTGTCCTTCGGAGCAGCAACACCGATGGAACGGCGACAGTGCCTGCCAACAGCCCATCTTTTGTCAAGCTGGTCCTGCCGCCTGCGAAAGGCAGATGGCTCTTTCTATACATAGACGCCTTCCATTTATCCAAATAACAGTCGTTCGAACGTGTTCTACGGCCGGCGCTCATCCTGAACGTCCTGTCTTGCCTGCATATGCCGTATAACCATCCTGCCACATGACATAGGCACTATGCTATATTTGCATTAGGTCCTTGATTTATACCAATTCAACGGAGCAGCGCATCTTTTGTCTTCAATAGACCTGTGCATTTTAGTGGGGCAGCGGGCGAGTGTGCATGCTTGTGTGTATGATTCAATTAGGCTCATATATTTGTTTCACTTTGGCTAGAGAAGAGAAGAAAACTGGTACAGTAGGTCGGCGTGACTGAAAAAGTGCGTGTGTTTTACGCGAGTGCTAATAGTACATGGCGGAAGATCAAGAGTGAGTGAGGGGAGGTCATCAAAATAGGCAATCCTGCCTGGAGCCTTGGCCAGTCACAGCCCAGCTGTGACTTTGGGGAGGCGAAGGGACACTGGGCAGAAGCGGAAAGAGGAGCAAGGACAGTTCCGTGGCTCGTTTACCCAAGGGCAACCATCAGCACGCCAGCAATCATCAGGGCAAGGCCGAAGATACGGGGCAGGGTGGCTGGACGGTGGATGCACTGGAAGAAAGCAAACGAGTCAACAATCAAGGCAGTGACCATCTGAGCACAAATGGTGATGCCTGAGACGACAGCGGCACCACGGTACGGGATGAACAGGGTAATGAACAGAACAAAGGCGGCACCCGGAATGCCTCCGAGCCACGCCCACCAAGGAGTGGTCTTGGCCGCGTTCTTCCAGTTGATGGCCTTGCCACCGCGGGTATCGACCATGAAGAAGACGAAAAGGACGGCTGAGCCGATCGCGAACGAGAGCCACGACGAGAACCCGCCGTTGACATGCACCGACAGCGAGCCATTGACAACCCCCTGAAGCGAAGTGCAGACTCCACCAAACATCAGGAGGAGGATATCAAGAGCCAGCATCTTGTCGAAAGTGACATTGCTGTTCACCCGCGGCTTCTCGATCACGACAGAGTTCTTGATTGCGTCGACAAATCCACCCTTAGCCATGGTATGTACTATCTGAGATGAAGAAGTGTCGTCTGGTAGATGTGGGGTTGAATGAGAAAGCAATACAAAGAAAGGCTATTCGACTGCTGCTGCGAAAGTTCGTGTGGGAAACAGTCTGCGAGAAAGGAGCGTGAAGGAAATAGAAGTTCGGTCAATGAACCTTCTCTCGCAGGTGCCTTTATATAAACGGCGTTCTGCTCTGGGCCACCCGAGGGCTTAAAAGTGCGCTACTGACGAATTGCGGTTCCCGAATGTGGCCAATTATTACATATCGCCGCGGGAATGAATAGATCGCCCTGCCCCGCTCCTTGGCCTTCCTGGGACTGAGTGTGTGCATGTCGCAAAGTGAGACAATTCGACTGCATCCAGAGCCGACTCCGCTCCTCTTCGCCGCCCCGATGGTCTTGCTACCCAGTTTCTCTCGCCCAGAAAGCCGAAGCTAGATCCACGCTCTTGAGAGTGGAGAGGGCGAGCCCGTGGCAGTTTGCTCTATCCGAGAGCTGGCTGCTACCCTTCCCAGGCAGTGCTTGGGGTTGCCGAGAAGCATCTTTTATCTTTTTCGCCATGCCTTGCAACCCAAACGGCGGATGCATGGAATCTTCACTTCAATGTCCAGATAGCCGGCCACTAGAATGCGTAGAGCAGTCGAACACAGCGAGTATTTGGCGCCTTTGATCTTAGTGACACGGGGGCATGCCTGTCACACTTCGCTTGTGCATTCCGCATATGGAAATATGGGCAGGGCAATCTCGTCACGGCGGGGCTGCGCTGGCCGCGCATCACATGAACTAGATTCGTTGTGGCAGCGAGTTCCGCCGCTCTTGTTTTTATGTTTTGGTGTGAGGAGGCCCGTCCGGGTCCGCGCGGAGGGCTGTGCACCCCGGCAAATATTTATGCTTGTGGTATTCGGGTACTCGCCAGCTGGTGGGGGAAAGGCGTTTGTCCCAGAAAAACCTTCTTTTTCGCTGAATATAGACGCACAAATGAAGGTGGGCACGGAAAAGGGCAGCGCCGGGCCCAGCCAGCCAACCCGGGATTCAGCTCCTGCGAAGCAGCCATTTGGGGATGGGGACTGGTATGAAAACAGCAATATCTCCTAAGGGGATACCGGGCACGTCATGGTCTGGCTGTATACGGAAGACACCGCTCCAAGAGGTATCGGCAATGACGGCATACCGACATAGCACGCATCCTAAACTAAGCCGAGCATGGAGTGAAATGCTGTCTTGTCAGAGAACACTGCCCGAGTCACTCGCACAGGTTGAGAGACAAGCCCTTCATTAATCGGGCCAGCTATGACGATATGCACACATTCTGCATCAGAATTAGAAGGTAGCACGGCACGTAGTGTTCTTGGGTGTGGGTGCGGTGCCGACGGCTACTGATGCCGGTCCTGGGTCCGTAGCAGCATAGCCAGGGTGGGTCTTAATCAGTCTGATCTCCAATTCCCATATGGGGCCGATCAGCGTATCAACCGATCACCGATGTTGATGTTAGTCATTTGGTGCTATCGATTCACCAATGCACTCTGCTGCTCACCACTCCGGCGGCAGCGACAGTAGGGCCTCGATCTCGCCACCTGAAACGCCTACGTATAGACGTCTTCGCTCTCTTTCCATCCAGCTTGCATTCACCACGTCGCCTCCGGATCTTGTCGCCCTTAAACAGTACACTCTTGCGAGCCAGCGCACATCCCCATTTGCCACTGCCCGCCACCGCAATAAGCAAATCGACATCTGAGATACTGGACTAACACGAGACACAGCGCTTCTCTCCAGCAAAAGGCACACCTATATATCCAATGACGCCCACAAACAACGGCACCTCAACTCCGGTTGTGTCCAGCGACATCGCACCCAACTCTCGCAGCATTAATGAAAACACGATCATGCCCAGCGATGTGAGCTCAGGCTACCAGACACCGGTGAGCGGATTGAAACAAGCGAGCGCCGCAGATGGGCCGGACTACTTGCAGATGATCCTCTCCTCGTACGTCTACGACGTGGCCACCGAAACACCCCTGACACATGCAGTGAATCTCTCGACGCGCACGGGTAACTCGGTGTTTCTGAAGCGCGAGGACCTGCAGCCCGTGTTCTCGTTCAAGATCCGCGGCGCCTACAACAAGATCAGCCACCTGACGCAGGAAGAGAAAGACCGCGGAATCATCGCCTGCTCGGCTGGCAACCATGCGCAAGGCGTAGCTATGTCGGCCAAGCACCTGGGCATCAAGGCCACCATTGTCATGCCGATCTTGACTCCAGCCATCAAGTGGCAGAATGTCAAGCGTCTAGGCGCTAATGTCGTCCTCCATGGCGCCGGCTTCGACGAGGCCAAGGTTGAGTGCAGCCGACTGGCCAAGCTCCACGGCTTCACCAACATCCCGCCGTTCGATGATCCGTACGTGATCGCCGGCCAGGGCACCATCGGCATGGAGCTGCTGCGCCAGAAGCGGCCGTCTGACATTGACGCGATCTTTGTTGCCGTTGGCGGTGGAGGTCTGATCGCCGGTATTTCGGCGTACGTCAAGCGTGTGTGGCCTGATATCAAGGTGATTGCTGTCGAAACCGTCGACTCTAATGCAATGTGCCAGTCGTTAAAGCTGGGCAAGCGCGTGGTGCTCCCCGAGACAGGCCTGTTTGCCGATGGCACTGCTGTGCTGCAGGTTGGCCGTGAGTGCTTCCGTGTCGCCAAGGATCTGATCGACGATGTGGTGCTGGTGACTAACGACGAGATCTGTGCTGCCATCAAGGACGTGTTCGAGGACACGCGCAGCGTTCTCGAGCCCTCAGGCGCCCTGGCGTTAGCTGGTCTCAAGCGGTACGCCAGGGACCACAGCTACAGCGGCAAGAATCTGGTGGCTGTGACGTCAGGTGCCAACATGAACTTTGACCGTCTTCGGTTCGTCGCCGAGCGCGCGGCACTCGGTGAGCAAAAGGAGGTTCTGCTCTCGGTGATAATCCCAGAGCGGCCTGGCAGCTACCTGAAGCTGCACGATGTGATCTTCCCGCGTGCCATCACCGAGTTTTCCTACCGCTACTCTGATCCCAACAAGGCCCACATCTTCATGTCGTTCGAGGTCAAGGACCGCACAAAGGAGGTGCCAGAGATCCTGAACGAGCTTAGTTCCAAGGACATGCAGGCCATCGATCTGACGGACAACGAGCTGGCCAAATCGCATGCCCGCTACATCGTCGGCGGTCGCAGCGATATCCAGAACGAGTACATGATCCGCTTCGAGTTCCCCGAGCGCCACGGCGCGCTGAAGAAGTTTTTGCATGGACTCAGATTCAACTGGAACATCACGCTGTTCCAGTACAGAAACTTTGGCCAGGATGTCGCCAAGGTCTTGGTTGGCGTCCAGGTGCCGCCCAGCGACGAGGATATGTCGCTTAAGCCCGGCGAGTTCCCCAAGGCAATCCAGCAGTTCCTGGATGAGCTCGAGTACAAGTACTACAACGAGACCAACAACCCAGTCTTCCAGCAGTTCATGCGCTACTAGTGGATTAGTTTCTTGAAGCATGCAAAGTTAAAAATATATACCGGCACTGCCTCATGCTACATGAAGTCGCAGTGGCCCTCCACTTGTGTCCTAATCTGGCGGTAGTCAGCGCGACACGCAACAACATCATAAACTTCCTCAGACCGCATGACGCCGTCAAACGTGTGTCTTGAGTACTGGTCGCGCAGGAACCCGCGCAGATCGCGCGGTGCCAGGATGAAGCAGTTTGCCAGGTCTTTGAGCGCCGTGAAGAAGCGCAACGTCTCTGGGTCGACATTGTTCTCTGCCCAGTCATAGTACAGATTCAGATCCGCAATGAGCTGGAACCCACCTGGCTCAGTGATCTGGAACCGCTTGATGTTCTCCAAAAGCACATTGAACAGCCTCAGTCCAATCTCGCCCAAAAACACTTCGCGCATTTGCTTCTGCGTCGTCATGCTGCGGATAATCTGCGTTGACTCGCTCAAGAACTGCACTGCACGCGTGCATGCCAGTGTTGGTGTCAGCGTCAGCGATGAGTTGCTGTTAGGATGGTAGTCGTTGAGGCGCTGCTCGGTGTCCAGAATGTGCTGCGTCTGCCGCAGGATGATCTCAATCACGCAGTCCATACCTACTGCAACATTGTCGTCGATAGCGTGCTCCAGCGCTTTCTTCTCCTGGTTGCAGATATTCAGAAAGTCGTCCTCGACAATGAACTGGCAGAGATCCCGCTTGTAGTAGATCTCGAGCATCTGCACCGCCAAGTCACACAGGTGGATCAGCTCGAAAAAGCGCAGCTCCACCGACACAAACCGGTCGCGTAGCTCCTTCTCGGCCTCGATTCGCTGCGCAGAATACGCTTGGCTATGCCTTCCTGCAGTAGCCGCATTGTCACCAGACCCGCTAGCTGTTCCACCCAGCATCGCGCGGCCCTGGGATCGCTGCTCGTGCGGAACCATCACAACCATCGCCGAGTGCTCGAGCTCCCGCAGCTCGGCTATGATCCTACATTGCAAACACTGATACTTTAATGTACACTCCAGGTTACAGCTTGCATAATTCTACGCAAACAAGCAGCCGGCCGCTAAATATTGATACAGAAACATGCGCGCACATATGACCTTGGATCTATCGAGTGCGGCCCATGGTATACGTGGATAATTGCAGGACCGATCGGAATTGGTGGCACAAGGTTCAAAATTCGCCGCTCCAACAGGCACATCCCATGCACACTCGTCCGCCTGAATTGGTGTCGCTTCCAACACGGCCGGACTGATGGTTCCTTCGCTTACCTTGTAAACACAGGCCGAACATGGTTGCCCACACTCTGCAGAAGAATGCAAAACACCGATTCGATCGCATCCTGCCTACACAAACGAGCAATTCCATTTTTAGAACCCGAGTGCTCCCCGCGAGCCCCCTCCTTCGGCTCATACAAGGAATGGGGTCCTCCCCAAACAGCGCAGGTGCCGCGCGCATACGCACATACACGGACAGGAAGAGGTTCCATTTGGAAGTATGGAGAGAAAGGGCGCTGCTCTGACGTCCGGTCTATTGAAGATCACCTCCGCAAAGGCAGAGCTGCAATCCGCCGGCACATCTGCTCCCTCCCCCATTCCTGCCCTGGTCACAAAAGCATGGAGGGAGTTCCAGGCAGCGCAGAGTCACTGGCAAATGTTTGCAAGATCCCCATCTGCATATGCACTCTGCATAGAACTCGAATGCAAGAGAAGGCACAAAGCGGGGGGATCCAAAGCCCAAACAGACAGCGCGGGCCTGGGTTGCATTAAGGTGGCATGTGCTGGTTGGCCTTCTCTCCCCAAATGCATTGCCGGAAGGACACACTGCATTCCGGTACAGCCCCTCAACAGCGCATGTCAATCGGTCCCAGCGCGGTTCCAGTTGCCAAATCCAGCGCACCCACGCAGATACCAAAGTACTTACGCTAGACGTCGCAGCCGCATATCCGGCGGTGCCTCAGCGAACACTGACAGACGGGTAATCGCGTCTCTGTTGGTAAGGACCATGTTCAAACACAGATCCATGCTGATTGGCGAGTTCCACAGCATGTCGCCGACAACAGTCCTCCTCAATGGCTCAGCTTGCGCAACGCTCGATCGTCTACGTGCCAGCGATCCTGCAAGCTCAGCATGTCCACGTCCATGCTCGCCAGCAGCATCCCCTACACTGCATTTTCTGACAGCCGCTGCTGGAGTTTCCGCTCTCCCAGACTCTTCTACTACTGTCTCCAGCTGCTCATCTGTAAAACTGCCAGCGCTTATTGCAGCTGCCGGCTGATCTCCCTCTCTGGCCAATGCATCCAGTTGATCCTGTATGTCGCTCGAACCCGCACGCTCTGCTACTTTCGCTGTATCAGCGCTGTCGAGATTGACGCCAAGTGCTTCAGCCGGCAGGCTGATGTTGAGCTTGCGTTCGAGCACTGTCAGTACATGCAGCTTGTAGTCCTGCATCTGCTGCTCGCGCTGGTGGAAGTTGACCAGTCGTATCGATTCTACCGTGCCACCATAGGCGGATGCTACCGAGTCCCGTCGCGATCGCTCCGCTCCGCTGCCATCGTTTGCAGATCCGCTGCTGCCATGCGCATTATCGTGTCTGCCGCCGCCAGAGCCGAAAGGGTCTGCCTTGGTCTTGGTCAGCCATTGACTCAGCTCGGCCTCGTAGGCTCGCTCGATGATTCGGCGCTCTAGCTGCACGTAATCCTGGATCACATCGTCAAAGGCAGAGAACACGCATCGCCGGCCAAGCTCGCTTGGAACTGCAACCGGGTCCATTGCGGACCAGCTATCAGATGCTACCAGCAGCTGTGCTACAATGTCGGCCACAGTTGTCAGATACAGAATATCCTTGGTTGCCTCATCTGGCACCACCTGCGTTGGCTTGCCATAGCGGGCGGCTGGCTCGGGGCTGGCTCCAACTGGGATCGACCGCAGATGGGCATAGAGTTTCTTCAGCGTGTTAAGAGCAACACCGTCGTTGCTAAAAAGCGCCTGGATAAAACAGTACAGCGCAGAGGTCGGCAGTGTGGGCAGCGGCAGCGCCAATGACACAACACGCGCATGTTCGTGGATCGTCCTCTGCAGCCCGTCCAGAAAGACATCGAAAGTATGCGCATCGATGACCTGGTCACTGGTACGCAAGACCAATGCATACTGCGAGTCCATTTGCTCGTAGCAATTGAACAGCGGGTGCGAGTCTACCAGGATCCGGATACACCCGCGCCCTTCTCGAATGTGTTCCAGAACACCAGCAAACTCGCGCATTCTCTCACAGTCGCCGTCAACAAATGCCTGCCTGAATCGGTCGCGGTAAGCCGACTCAAACTTGTCTGTCAACACCACGAGCCGCCGGTTGATCTGGTCGGCATCGAAGGCAAACTGCCCGCGCCCGAACCACAGCAGCTGATCCAGCCGCTCGGCTACCTCGGCAGGCGTACGCAGTATACGCTGTTTTTGCGACACGCGCGCAGGCACATTTGGATTGGGTCCACTGCGAAAGATCGCCGCGATGCTGTTCTCCAGTGTGCGGAACGAGTGGTAATCCCTGATCAAATCGTCGTAGACCGCTTTGAACAGCAGATCAGGCTCGCTGGCCATGATATCGAGCAGCTCGCTCTCGTCCTCGACGCCGCAGATTTCCTTCAGCAGGCGCCCGTGACTCTTGGGGATTGATATGCGCTGCCGCCGCTCCTTGCCACGCTCGCGTTCATGCCACACCCGCCAGCCGAGCCTCTGGATCATCATGCGCCAGACGCGGATTCCCAGGATTGTGTATGCTCTATCACCCACATCTTCCTGCAGCTCCTGGTCATTGCCGTCGTCGGCGCGGTGCACGTTGCCGCCAGGCTCATTTCTGCACATGACACGGCGCACAATACGACAGGAATTAGACACACTCAACATCTCGGGGACAGGAAGAAACATCAGAATTCGTGCTATCACCCGCGGTGGCAGCGAAATAAACGTAATCTTCTTCATCCTGCGGTGAAATAGCCGCTGACTCGCTCGACGCCTCGCTGGAGCCGTTACAATGGCTATATCATCGACTGCCTGGGCCAGCAGCTCGGGCTCATGTGCATCTTCGACGACATTTGCTTCGCTCATAACTGCGTGCAACTGCCGAGAAGCTGTGCTGCTGCACCGCCGGGTTGCCGTACGTTTACGCTGTGGAACCATCCCTCTCTGCTTCAGGGACACTGGCCGGATCCGCAGCATGCCTGGTGGTGTCACTGATCGTGCACTGTGTTGGTCGTCGTCATGTCCCCTATTGTCGTCCATATCTGAGACTATCTGCGACGAGTTCCAGAAGCCCATCAGCACGTCATTCTCGTTGACCAGAAGTGTGCCGTCTCTGGCCCGGCGAATGTACCGCCGACTGTCTTGGCCAAACATCGCGTCATCGCCGCCTTCATAGAGACTGCTGTCGAGTTCCTCCTCATCCTCCTCATCGTCATATACGTCATCATCTTCCTCCCAGTCGACTATGCCGGTCTCGTTAAACGTGCCGTTCCTGTTGTTGTTGTCGGTGGTTGGGATGAGTGAGCGTGACTTGCCATGCGCGGCATTCAGGACGAATTTGGTTGTGCGGTCCAGCAGTGCCTTGGGGCTGGGCATGGCGAGCCATGCTGGTGTCAATTTGCTAATTCCTGAGGCCTCATCCTCGTAATCTGACATGCTGCAGCGAAATGAAACGAATTAAAGCGAATAGAGTACAAAAAGCAAAGGCGACGCGCGTAAGATACAGTGAGGAGGCGAATCCCTTGGCTGGGCGAAACCTCCAGTCGAGGCAGACCACCACTCGTGATTTTTTTTGCACAGCGCCTGGCCGAGATGCCACTTGTCTGGCGTGTGGCGAGGGTGACTGTTTGCCAATGGCGTCAGTTGTCGGCTCGGTAATCCGAGTCGCGATGAGTGAAACCTAGGCCTGCTTTGGGCATTGTCTTACGAGAGCGCAGCTTTAGGTGAAACTTTATATTTGGCAAAGAAAGATCTCTAGGCAATAGAAGTGAAACAAAATGTGTTGAGCGTGACTAATAGTACAAGGCGTGGTCGTCAGGAAAAGGGGGTCATTACTATACTGTGGTGTTCAAGATTTGATAGACATCCAGTGTCCATATCTAGGCCACCCCCAAATGCGAAAAGTCGAGGCTTGGCTCCTTTCTCGCTTTTGCATCGAGGGTGTAGAGGGGGAGCTAGCAGCCAGACTGCTAGGCGTCTAGTGGTCAAGACTGACCATCAGCACACCAGCAATCATAATCGCGAATCCAACCAGACGGGTCAGAGAAGCAGGGCGCTGGTTCGCGCCAAAGAAGCCGAACGAGTCAATAATCAGCGACGTGACCATCTTGGCGCAGATGTAGATTGAGTACACAATGGCAGCACCATGGATCGGCATCATCAGGGTAATGACCACGACGAAGGCAGCACCCGGGATACCTCCAACCCACGCCCACCAGGGAGTGGTCTTGGTCGCGTTCTTCCAGGTAATGGCCTTGCCACCGCGGGTGTCAACCATGAAGAAGATGAACAGCAGCGTCGATCCCACGGCGAACGAGAGCCATGGCGGGAAGCCAGGGGCAGTGTAGCGCGACAGCAGGCCGTTGACGATTCCCTGGAGCGAAGTGCAGGTGCCGCCGATCACCAGGAGGAGGAAGTCAAGGAAGAACTTTTTGTCAAAGTTGATGCCAGCGTAAATGCGCGGCTTCTCGATCACGACAGCGTTCTTGCACGCCGTGCCAACTCGGGAAAGAAGGGAGGGCATTAGATGGCTAAGATTAAGAGGAAATAGGAGGGGTGTTGTGAGCAAGGAACTCTTGTGTTGCGAAAGACCGGTTTGGGATGCAGAGGGACAAGACTGTTCATTTTATACCTGGCTCTGCCTCTCTGCCATCTGTAGAAGGCGCCTTTGTGGCCCAGCACGGCCTGGGTAGCCGTTTTCTCCTGGTACAGCAGAATGCATTCATTATTCCTGCGTTCCGTTCGCTACACAGACCACATGCCTCCCAGGAGATCCTCCCTAGTTGGGCGAGGGCAGCACGGAAGGGTGCTCAGTGACATCAACACCATGCCATCGAGTTTCTGTATGGCACTTATTTGGGAAATGGCCCGGCCGCACTGCGAGAAGCAAGGCACAAGTGGGGATTTTTCCATGTCACTGCATGCCAAATAAAGTAAATTCAGCGGACCCGGACGATTGCCCCCTCCGGGTTGCTCTGGCCCAGGGCTGGCTGGCTGCCCGGCGAGCCTGTGACTGTGACATTGCTAGCCCTGCGAGACACTTTGTGATCGTCTGAACATATTTGAGCTGGGAGCTGCCTTCACTTTCTCTTGGAAATTTCCAAAAGCTATGGCGATCGCACATGCGCATTGCGCATACTCACCAGCCAGATAGCATATTCAAATCGTAGTGGCTAGCTCACTAAACACAGGTCGCAGCACCCGCTTTTAATCGCCGCGCCCGAATGTTCGGCAAAGAAGATTTATTTGCGCTGGGCACCAACCGGTTTGCGAGACAGTTGCTCGGGAGCTCACTGATAGCCTTTATGCGACGTATTGGACGCACGCTGGGAGAGCCTCTCTATGTGAGCGCCAGGCACCCGACAAGCTTTGACACAGCCAGCAGAAAGGACATTGTGGGATCGCCAGTGTTAGCAGTTCCCCAGTTGCACCAAGTGGCAATGCGAACGCAAACACCCTCCATGTGACCCGACGGGCACACTGAGCATGTATTGGCTCCACCGTGCCACTGAGACGGCGGTAGCCATCAAGAGATCCTGGTTCTAGAATAAAATCTGCGACAGGCTTGCCCCCTGCTTCAATCTGACGCGAGATCGCTTAGCGGCAAAATATATGGCATCTAGGTCCTGCCAAACACTGTCCCAATAGACAAAAGTACCACCCAAGCCGTCACACTGGCCAATTGCCCGCAGAGCTCCTCGGTCTCAGTCACAGCATGCTCGCTACACTCTGTTAGTCAAACTGTTGTCGGCTAAGTGGCAAAAAAAACACCAAGAGAAATTAAACACTCGAGTGAGTATTACATGAAGTACATGGACTCGTCCAGACGCTCGTGCGTCCTAATGATCTTTGCTTGCATGTTGGGGTCTGTGGCAGCCTTACCGGTCGTGTCGATGGCACTAGTACCGGTCCCTCCGTAGAAGCCGGCCGACTCGACAGTAGCGTCTCTGAAGGCAACGCCCATATCGGCAAAGTGGCAGCGGGCACGGTCGGCAACACGATGAGCATAGTACACAGGCGGCACCATTGACACGGAGCGCGTGCAGATTGCGTAGGTGTAGCACAAGTTGTATGTCAGCTGCTGGATCTCGTCTCGGGTGAACTTGGAATCATCATGGAGAACACAGTAGTGAGTCGGGCGCGATGTGCCTTGGATGGCGGCATGGGCAAACAGGTAAAAGTCTGCTATCGCCGGAAGGGTCACCGCGGTATCAACCACAGTTCCAGGAACACAGTTGCCCGTGCGGTCGCCGTCGCGGCCCATCGGGAAGAAGCGCGTGTTGTGTCGCTTCAACATGGCAATGAAGGTGACGTCCGGCTGGTAGCCAGTCTCAATCTGGGTACAGGCGCGGCTAATCTCGATGATCTCGCGGCTACGCACCTGGGCGAACTGGGTCTCGCTGACGCCGTCACGGTAGAAGATAATCCGCTTAGGCTTGGCCTTGGTGTACTTGTAGAACAGCTTCAGATGGCGGATGATTGCCTCCTGGAGTTTGTCGACCAACTCCTGGCGCGATGGAAGCTGAATCAGCGTAGCTGCGTAGCGCAAACCCAGGAAATCAACCGAGCCGACAACCGACGCCATGGAAGGACGGTCTGTTTCGCCAGGACTAGGGTGCGATACGTCACAGCCCAGAAAGAGTGTCGGCATACTGTGCAGCATTTTCTGCATAGCACCTACCGGCAGGCTTTGGTTGGACCCGCCCATCTTGACATTGATCTTCAGACACAGGTTGGCGCAGTACTGCGGGTTCGCCTTGTGCACATGCTTCGACTGCATGCACTGGGTGTGAATCCCCATCGTCGTGTATGCATAGTTCTTTATATTCTGGTATGTCTGCAAGTTGGTTGATGGCAAAATCACAAGCAGCAGCTGTGGTTTTGACTTGCATGCCTTGGACATCTCACGGCCGATATCGGCGCTGGGATTACCATATGTAATCGGTGGCCGACCCATGCCAATGCAGTAACCAGTGCTGTTGCACATGCGCACCAGGGTGGTCACAAAGTTCTGCACCTGATTCAGCGGCACCGAGCGCTGGTTCGCCAAGACAAGGACTGTCCATGACTCCAGAACCGCTCCAGCATGCATAACACACTTGTCACGCATGTTCCAGGCGCCCCCAGTAGGTGTGAATGCTGCCTCGCGCGACTGCTGGCCGTAGTTGATTGCCGGCGGCGGTAGAACACGAGAGTCAACTTCAGTCAGATTTGACTTCAGTTCCAGCCCGAACGCCTTGACAGCCGGCGACGCTTCAAAGTTTAGCTGGCCCAGCACATCGACGATGCGTTTGTGGTTCTCGCTGGGACGCTGGCAGGCAAATCGGACCATGTCAGCTGTCTGCTGGTCATCAAGCCTGCCCTTGTAGCGCTGCTTATCCATGACCTCGCACAGCTCTATCGGATAAATGGCGTTTTTACGTCCAACTAAACCAGGCAGGAATGGATACTGGAGCTTGATGTTGTAGCGGCGTTGGTAGTAGTCATAAATCGAGATGTTCTCGACTTTACCGGGGTTGTTTGGGTCGTCCCAGTCAAAGGATTCCTTGTCCAGCGGATTGCTGGTGAGCCCTTTCACGGCAACCTTGCGGCTTCCCTGAATGCCTCTGTGCCTGAGCATGATGCTCAGTCCACGCAGGTACGCAGCAATCTCCCGCACACCCTGGCTGCCTAGCCCACGCCGCAGGTCGTTGGGGTTACGCATGCCGAGCAGATCCTGGATTGCCTGCACCAGAGGACCTGGACGATACATGGCCGTGACAGCAGTGTTGACGTTCAGGTAGAGCTTGCCCTCGCCAGGGCGCACACTGAGTGAGAATCCACGCCACAGCTCAAGGCCACGGGATGTACTCATGGAATCAGCCCTGGTGAAAAAGCTGCGTCGAAAGCCTGTCATCTCGTCATGAGCTACTGAGCCCACGACCAGGTCAAGTGCCATGAGGGCAGGATGCACATCTTGGATTTGGAACTGCCCGCTACAGCTAATGAAGTCTCTCAGGGTGTCCATGCTGACGATTGCTGCTTCGCGGATGGCGACCTTGAAGTCCTCGGCACGACCTCCAATGCCATGCCTTGCCTAGTAATTGGGTGTAGAAAGATCAAGATGTCAGTGCAGTGTGCCGTGTGCTGGTTTTGTAAATGCAATGTCAGTATGTCCCTGCTGAGCTTACCTCCAGTACTAGCGTCTCATCTTGGGCACAGACACGTTTTGGTGCAAAGGCAATCCTGCGGGCATCGTACACCATCGGTGTGCCGCCCAGCTTGTCAGCCCGATGACGGCGCATGGCATCGTCAAATATGCCGCGCATAAAGTCTGGACGCGGAAGTTTCTTGAAGTCGCCCTCTCTGGGTGTAATAGTGATGTCGTACTGGAAGACATCGCTGACAGGGAAGGAAGTTATTTCGACAAAATTGGCAACCACACGCTGGTGTCTGCCGATGGTATCCTTGGCTAGGGGGGGTGGGTGGTCGCTGGCAGCAGTCATATCTCTGAGCATGACTGTATGAAGAAAGAATGTATAGGTTTTTTGCCGGTGGAAATAGAGGGGCCGAAGAACTAAATTTTGTTCGTTTGTGGAAATGGTGCGGTGGGCACCCGTGTTGAACCTTTTCTTGCTATGCTTATATGGTGTCCTGGCCAGCACTGTCTGGATCCGTGTTAACAGTGGGCTCGAGACAAATTGGTAGATCAATAAAGGAGTTGCCACCTGATATGTGGCTTCTGAGGCGCACCCACTGCCAAAAATTTGTTGCGTGCTCTGGGCTCTACCTTCAGTTGTAAAGCTTTTTACCTCTACCTCTTTTTCGCCAGTACCTCTGGAGCTCAACTGCAAGCACTGTAGTCGGGAATATGTCTATGGAAACAATATGCATGATCCCAATGCTACATGGGGCATATTAGTTCTAGAGCAGAAAATATCGCTATACCGCCCATACCAGCAGCGGTCGGGGTAGTGCACACAGCTGCTGCACCAGTGCTCAATTAATGACTCCAGCACTCAAGTTCCAGGAATTCTGGTGTGCCACAATCAGACAATGGTGGCGGGCACCTCACAATCCACGAGGATTTTGTGGCGAGCGCCTTTATTAAAATTACCTGAGAACTGAGCGATGCTCTCACTGCAGATTTTAGAGAGCAGCGCGAACACTGAGGTCAAACGAGTCCTCATCGTCTGGGCGAAGCGGCAGACACCAAAGATTGGGATCGCCCTGTCCTCTCATCATGTTCACTACAAAGGGCTTCTTTGGAAATGTTCGATACCTGCGACATAGTGTGATACTTCTGAGGTCATGAAAGAGAATCGTAGATGATCATGCATTGGCATCTGTATTTTTTACTGGCCGCCCGTCGAGTACGGTCTGCACATGAGGGATCGCATCATCGTCTGAAAATTTATACAGCCTAACGCGGCTCGTACACCTTGCTTCCTGTATTTACTATGTAGATCTAACACAAGACATGTATTTGCCTCCCAACCCCATACCTGGCACAACCTTTCTGTCAAATGTCTCGTATGCAGATATCCAGGCTGAGGCCAACTCCATAGCGTGCTTTTCAGTGTCGATCATTTGCCTGCTGCCTATGAAGCTGCCATTTTCAACCATGAACGGTCGGCCAAAGTGCTACAAACGCAAGCCGATGACTGCGATTGCACTTGAAGGTGCATTTGGTCTGCTCCCGACCTGAGTGCTGCCAGTGAATACCCTCTTCAGAGACACTGAGCCACCCATAGAAAACAGTTTGGACCAAAGAAACGCGAGGATCTGTTGTATTGGACGACCCGCAATAAAGCCCTTGCCACCTGGCGCCACAGTTTCGTGGACAGCACTATGGCACGCTCTTACTATTCTTCCCTCGCTACTCTAGTTGATTTGTTTCTTATAGTTTCACTAAAAATGCCCAAACTGCACACGCGAAGGCTTCCGTATCATATTGCGACCAATGCAGAAAAAGCCATCTTTTATGTCACCCTCGGAATTGACCTCATCAATGTGTTCCTGATTGCGTTCGCTATCATCCACCGGTCATATCTCCCAATCAAGTGCAAGCAAGTGTTCCTGACCTCAGGTATTGCCATTGGTAGCATGGTGTTTAGTGTATCATTCAGTCTTGCCGACGGCATGGTTGGATTCTACGGCATCGGACGCCATTGTTTCTTCTGGGTCGGCTGGATGCTGACATGCTGTGGGCTCGGCATATTTTTGTCCTTTATGAATATGCGACTGGTGGTCTACTACCGCGTATTCATTACCCGCAAAACATACAGGTCCAAGCGGTGCGATCTGCGGTTGTTTGTCCTACACTGGTGGCCGCTGGTCGTGTTCTGGCTGCCTGCATTTATTATTGTGACTATCGGCCAGCTCCTACCAGAAACCCAAACTGCACGCATTGTCATAGCCGATGACGGAACGCTAGCGTACAAGTACAACTACCCCTACTTGTCAGCGGCGTACACGTACTTTGCTGTGATGATTATTATCGCCTGGGCCATGTACTTTAGAATGCGCTCAGTAGCCAAAGCATTCAACGAGTTTCGCATGGCTGTCTGGACACTGTCTCTGTTCACCCTTCTTCTGGTGCTCAACATTGGGATAATGGTGCCGAACGGTATGTCGCAGCTGTGGGGTCGCGTTATGCTTGCATTTTGCAACACAATTCTTCTTAACTCGTACACTTGGCTGATTCTGGGCAAGCCTATCTTTGGCCACATGTTCAGGCGCAAGGAAATGCTTCGGGACCACCTGGAAACCATGTACACTGACGGTATTGTCGCGCAGCAGGCACATATGCGAAACCTACACAAACAGCTCTATGGCGTTGAAGATTCAAGCATGGCCCTGGATCGGACATCACAAGAACAGCAGGCATATAGCCGGCATCTTGACGTCCAGAATGACGATATCTCTGAAATTGACCGGGACAGTGTTGTCCCAGCTATCCAGCGACTGAGCTACCCACCAGCATTCGATCCAAATGATATGTATCCCGGAAACCAACAAGCAAGTTCGAAAAGGTCGTATAGCCCTCGCGTTCTGTAGTGGTTTTCAAGCATTCTGTGTATAAATAATGCCTTGCTTTGTTTCATGGAAAGGGTGCACCTTTGTTGACCGCACTGATGTTGGCCAGTATGTCAGAAATAGATACCTGGTCCCTGTAATTATTCTCTTCCACCTCAGCAGCTGGAGGGCAACAAACGAGGTGTGGTGAGAGGTATGCCGTATTGCTAATATCTCTATATTGTTGTGTGCATGTCGGGGCGGACATCGCTGCCACCCCAGAGCCGATGACCATGCGCCGGGATAGCTGTGTAACGATAAGCGCTCTGACCCCAATGTGGAGACCATGGACACAGATTCAGATCTGTAAGGAACACAGGGATCCCCCGTCAGCTGGCGCATTGCATAAATCAGAATGATGACACGATGCCATGATAAGGGAAGGGCCTAGAATCCAGTGCTCGTGAGCTGTAGCATTTCCTTTTTATTCCTTTCAGCTACATCTTTTTGAAGACCTTAAAAAATCATGCTGACAAAGATGAATTTACTCCAATATTCTGCTCGCAACAACAGGCTGCTGCCCAAGTGCCGGTCTGCCACCATCCCTTTGCAGACTGTCGACCTTAAAGTCAAATACACCATCGATATTTCCTCGAAACTGCTCGATTATTTTATTTTCAATTTTTTTGCCTTTTATAAATATATGGCAAATCGTTGCCGAACAGCATATAGTTCGTCTTTGCTTGTAACCTCTTCAGCCTGTGAGGCAAGTTTGTGTCACTGGATACGATGGGGCTCAAAGAGGACGATTGGGTGCGGCAGATTGATGGGGCATTTACTGCACTTGAGGAATTTGTGCGATCTATCGCACATCGCTCCTACTTACGCCTGGGTTTAGTATGTTATGAGCGGTATAGACAGTGGTTGAAAAATTGGAAACCAAAGATGAGTGGCAGAAAGAATGAGCTCATTTCGGCCGCACTGGTACACTTAAATACCTGGCTGCCCTTCCATTTCTGTGTAGCAGCTGACAAAGGTGAACGAAATGCTTGAACTTGCCTTTGATGCAACTGATTGCTTGATGCATCACCTTCACTTGTATTCATCATACATGAACTGAACTGGCTAAACAATGTTTAGGGAACCCAACAGCCAGGAAAAGTTGCTCTCTCTGATATAGGGGTGGCCCAGCGCTCTACCGAGTCGACTCTCACCGATAATAATTTTAATTATACATAGGATATAGATTCCTACAAAGGTTCACGTCAAATACTTTAATGAAGGTACGTAAATGAAAATATTGGAATGTAAAATGTCGGCTGATAGTCAAGATTAAAAATAGCTGAATGCAAAATTGTGGTCAGCAGCTCGCTTAATACCACACTTGTGTAAATAGCTTACGAGCTGTTTCTGCTGCGCTTCAGTGCAACAAGCAGCCAAATCACGCAGAGAACAATATCTGTTTCCAGAGATGCCACTCCTATGATGCGAGAAGTGTGATACAACCTCATTGAGCGGTCTCTTGCACGAACTAGCCCAGTCTCTTTCGGACTTCAGCCAATAGGTGATTCCATACCTACAACAAAGATCCTTGTCAAGCAGCTGTCCAATCATAGTAGAGTCGGTTACGCCTTTGAGGTCATTTTCGATATAGTATTTGACGAGAGGAGGAGCATGGAGGATAAGCAACTCTTTCAAGTAGTGGCCTTTCTGTGCCGCACCTATGGAATCTGGCGTCAATGTATCTAGGTACTGGGTAGGGGACTCGAAAAATTTGAAGAGGCTGAAATGGACAAATTTAGGATTAGTTGATTTCGCATCTGGTGTATCCTGACCTACCCCTGCTGCACTTTTAATAATATCATCAGTAATGTGGCGATAGTCCAATATAAGCTCAGCCACAGCTTTGTCCAACTTGTCCACTCTCTCGGATAGCACAAGCGACTGGTCATGCTGGTTGGTGGAATTATCTCTCACAGGGCCGGCAGTGGAAGGTAGAAATAAAGCGACATTGTGTTTTGATATAGTCAACACGAGTATTTCCTTATATGCTGAGAGGAGTAAGGATGAGACCTCGCTGCTCATCTTGTTGTTGATACTCTGCAACCGTTCCAGCTGCCCAGTTGCTGGATGGATCTGTGACGGCAAATCTACTTCTGTAGACGGAGTAGCGATGTTAGGAGAAGTATTCATGGTTAGAATGATAGGAAACTGGCAGTTCTACTCAAGAATATGAATAAATGGAATACACAAAGTAGGAAAAGAATGATGGCCGTTGATGATGGACCCACGGTGGCCACGCCTAGCTACTCCCATTTATACTCGTATCTGGTGGCTGCCACCGAAACGCCCTTTTCGGGTAGCAGCTAGAGAAGAGAATGTTAGGTTTGTGCAGTGGTAAGGAAGCATTGGCATGCAGATGGGTTTATACAGAAGATCACCACTGCATCTAACTCTATTTGGGGTTGCTGCACCGGCAACTACCGTTCGGCCTCGGAGCTTAAATGATCTGTTGTATTTCACAACATTGTCTTGTTGAAGAATGTGGCTATGCTGATACTAATTTATCGGCACAGAATGAAGGTTTTATACAAGTTTAATGTATGAGTTAAACACAAGCTAGTATGTAAGTTATAAAGGCATTTACATTGCGTGCTGCTTGTTAAAAGATTTCATTAGTAATAGCCACGAAAGTTAATGGATGCTAATGGTTGTAGATTCTTTGGTCCAAGCATTTTCACAATTCTCATTTGCTGAGAATGTGTACAAACAGCAGCCAGCATCGCAACACCGCAGAACTTGTTGTGCAAGTTGTAGTTTTGATGCACGGTAAACTTTGCTACGATATCACGCAACTCAACATCACTTGAATTTGCGAACTCCCTTTCTTGATTAATAGTTTGGATGGAGGAGTTAATAGTGAAAGCCCTATTAAGTTTGCATAGCATATCTGTGAGACCGGTTATATCCTTGATTTCTGTTTCAACAAAATACTGCACAAGAGGAGGGGCGTATAAGCAAAGTAGAGCCTTCCAATACCTCACTCGTTGTGAAGAAGGCATCGACTCTGGTGCTAATTTGGTTAGATATTTACTCGGTCCGACAGCAAAATCTGCGATATTGAACGGCACCATCTGGGGATCATTTAGAATATTATCAGACGTGTCCTTGACAGTTTGCGTAGAGCTTTGGATGATGTCAGAAGTGAATTCTATATACTCAGCTACAAGTTTGGAGGTAGTTTGGATAAACATCTCAGCCTTTTCGGAGAATTTTGACATTGCATCACACTGGTTGGCTATATCCTCCTTCAAGTCGCCAGAGATAGTAGGCATAGTGGCATTCAGATTATGCTTGTTGATCGTATGGGTGAGCATGTCTTTGTAGACGGCGAGCATCAGTGGAGGTAATTTAGTGCTCATCACTGTTTTGATATGTGTCAAAATATCCAAAAGCTCAAGCACAGGTGGGGTGGAGGCGGCGGATTTGCTGGTAGCCGTATCGGTGGACGGAGCATCGCTTGCGCCTGGTCTGAGGGTCAGTAAGGCTAGATGAAGACATACTACTACTTGAATGCGATGGATGAAAACTTAGCTGCTGAGACAAGCAAGGTGTAGAGGTAGAGGCATCATTTTATACCACCTCTGATAGAGCCGTAGCCATAAAAGTAACCACATGCCGGTAGCTGCGATGTAATGCAGGAGGACAAGCGATCTGCCAGCTTGCCGATGCACATTGTGTTCCGGGGTGTAGACATAGAAGAAATATCGAACGGCTTGGCAAAAGCCCAGCCATTGGCGAAAACTGGACAGCACTTGGTACTGGTCCAGACTTATGTGCATGCTATGGATAGTGTGAGCCATAGGTTACCAGTTTGCCATCGGCTGTGTGCCGAAGGATGCCCATATTTGGCAAAGCCGCTTATCGATGCGCATCTGGGCTCTCTCCAAATTTGCAGCAAAGTCCGCAGGCATCCCTTCTTCACTGTGCATTGCCTTCACAGTGGCTCTCGCGCAACGAAAAATGTAAGGGTACTCGAGGGAAGGGGTAGCCAAAAAGGCGGGACCAGCGAAACATTAGTCTGGGTAGTCCGCAAGTAATATTCCAAGGAGCAAGCCCAGTCACGCGCAAGCCCATCAATCTGGGGAGAAAAGAGTGCCAGAATGAGCAAAACCGGTCGAGCAATTCCCTCTTTAGACAGAAAGATGGACGCCTCTCGTTCTCGAGCGAGGTCTGAAGCACCCGCAGATTGGCAAAAGGAACCAGGAGCATTGTTGCTTCACTCTTTGTAATTTTTCTGAAAACCACTGCCACTACACACCACCACATACAACATGGGCCGAATCTACACCTGCGCCATCTGCGGCGTGTGCGAGAGAAAGTACATGGTGCCGCCGCCCACCGACGGTAAGTACAGCTCACGGGGCTCAAAACAGCAACAAAGAAATGCCCGGGGTGGCACAAGAGCTGACAGCGCATTAAAACCCTTTGTGTACGTTACCCGGGTAGCCTTGCTGGCGGCATGGAGAGACGCTGAGTTCCTGAGCAACATGCGCATCCTTAACCTGCTAACCGGCATAACCGACGAAAGCGAGCGGTGGTCAAGCGATCGCTCGACGCACATCGCCTACGCCAAAAGCGAGTCGAAGCTGAGCTTCATTGGCTTCATGCTGTCGCGGTTCCAATTGACAAAAACAGTGCCGCGGATTCCAGTCGACGGTCTGCTGCTTGACGACTTCGCACAGTACCTGGTGGTCGGGCAGCCAGCACACCATGTCTGCTTGGAGATTCTGTGCAGTGAGCTTCAGCGGGCGCAGGTAGCGTGGACTTTCACAGGCATTGCGCTGAATGTGTTCACGCGTCCGCTTGCCTGTCAGAAGACTGTTGACGAGCAGCTGTTTGCTGAGCGGCTGGAGGCCTGCATGAACAATGGGCAGCTGCCAGAGTTTGCGGAGCTTGGGTTTATGGTCAGCTGTCCGATGTCGATCCCGGAGCCGCCCAGCAGCGCAAAGATCGTCGGCGCCGCTGGATACTGCGCGCTAGCCGCTCCCGAGTCGCCTTGCCATCAGCAGCTGCAGTCGCCGCTGCTCTGCCTACCCGCCGAGTGCCAGGTGGAGGTGCTGCGGTACGTGGACATGCAGTCGCTTACTGCGCTGCGTAGCACATGTAGACAGGCTGTGAAGATGGCTGGCTTCTGGCGTGCGCTGTTCTTGGCCACGTACGAGTGGTCGCCGGTGCAGAGCACTGATTGGCGTGCATATTACAAGACGTGCAGAAGCAGCCGAAATAATCTGCGGAATCGGGGGCGGATCCAGCGGATCTGCCAGCTTGCCGTAAACGAGTTTGGCAGGTGGGACTCGCCGCTGGACAACGAGAGTGCAGCGAATGCAGCAGCATTTTTGCGCGACATCAATTACACCAGTCCATAGCGCGAGTTTGCGGGTAATCCGTCGCGTTTTAGGTAGTAATGTCTATCTTTTTCGGGTGCGGCATGCATATATTAAATTTGCTTTATCCAATTTCAACTGCACCATCTCCTCTGCGAGGTAGATGAGTCGTGTGTCGGGGGAAGATGAATTTACAAAAGTGAAATTGTGCTATAGCAAAAGTGAATAGGAGAATGGGAAAAGTGGCATGAGGGAGAGGCATGGAGTATACTACATGAGGAGGAGTGGGTAATTACAGCGCGTGAGGGCATAGACGTGAGTGGTTTGTGCATATTTTCATGGAAGCGACAGCGGCGTGTGCTGCTGGTGGGTGCCGAGTGCGTGTCCCATCTGGCGCGAGTCCTTGATGGCAAACGGCGAGGTGGTGAACAGCGGCGACTTCTCGAGCTCCTTAATCCTGGCCTTGAGCTCGATAACCTCCTCCAGCGGCGGGGTCATCTGCGTCGGGAACCACTTCTGGTCGCATGTCAGGTGGATTGACGAGGCTTCAGGCGAGGCTGCCTGTGAGTCTTCGGGAACAGCAAAAAACTGCGAGCGCCCCGCTTTGTCGGCAAAGCCGTGCACCGAGCGTGGGCGGCAGGCGATGAGGTGGATGGGCATCTTTGACATGGCGATGACCTCCTCCCAGTCGGCGTACGACGACGAAGTCTGCGACTGCTCCGAGATCTCGGATGCCATCGACTCTGCGTCCTCGAGCTGGCGGTTGTAGGACTCGACCATGTCGCTCAGTGCCTGCTGGTGCCGTCTCAGCAGCAGCGACTGGTGGTAAATCTGAGTCTCCATCTGCTTGCACATGGGGCCGCCCAATGGATTGCGTCTAGATTAGTGCAGAGAAAAAGAACGGGTCTGGCACATGTTTAGTACATACTGTTTCCAAAATGCTGCGGCAGCGCACTCACTACTGGAGGCGCGTCCTATTTATAATGGCCCAATGGCTCAAAGAGAGTGCCTAGCGGTCGTGGGCAGGCACGTGAGGGCTGAGAACAAAGGGAACAGAGCGTGTCTGGGCATGACTAGGCCGGAGTAGAGGATTTCCTCCATGCGCTCCACCGCTGCCAGTTGAGGAGGGATGGGGAGGTGGTGCGGAGAGGGCGGGTCACTTGTCCCTTTGGCTCACACGCGGTGCTCAGCAGCAGCGTGAGTGGGATGGCGGACAAAACATGCGACCGCTTTTTCTTCAGGTGTTTTTAGACTCGCGTCGCTGGGCTGGGAAGGAGGAGAGACAGCTGTGCAGAAAAGAAAGTAAACGCGAAATAGCTAGCGGCGCAGTAGCATGTCAAAAATCAGCATTCTCCTTTTCTTCGCGCGGCACACATCCCCCCGCAGATTCAATTACGCATCAAAAAACGTGCGGCTTTTGCTCCGCGTCAAAAAATTTTCCTTTGCAGAGATGTGTCTACATGCGCCCGCACAGCATCAACATTCGCCATCTCTTTGCCCACAAAAGTAGATGTGCCGACCAGGTAGTACCAAAAAATGATCGGCTGTGTTCATCGCCCATCCCAGACCGAGACATGTAACAGGGCCCAACCACGTCCTCTCCCTTTACCCGAATTTCCTGTTACAGAAATAGCCCGAGCACGAACCGAGTGTCTTACCTGAAGTGTTCAAGCTTGCGCATCAGCAGAATCAGGCGCTTGAGTCCGGTCTTCACGTAGTTGAGCGTCTTGCGGCTCTCGACGTAGAGCTTCTCCTCGGGTGGTACGAAGTCCCAGCAGAGCTGGACTTCATCGAACATGTCGTTCCGCATGGTTGAGCGAGATGTAAATCAAGTATAAAGTAATAATAGCGTGTGTGGGTAAACGAAGTGGAGAAAAGAGAAGCAGAGTAACAAAAAAGTCTGTATGCGTAGAGCTTTACTCAACTGTAACTGCTGTTTTATAAAAAGTTTTGAAATAAAGGTAGGCAAAGAAGCCGCTCCAGGAAAAAAGTAGAGGAAAAAAGGCTGCGAAATCGCCGGTTCTTTTATAGTCCCAAGCAGGCTTACTTGACCAGAGATTTCACAGGGTGGGGGGAGAGCAAGGGGGGTGGTTGCCAACACCCCCTCTTGTCTGAGACGCCGCAGGCCAGGATGCTGTCTATTCTTCGAGGTTGCGAGTTGGCCGCTGCAGATCCTTACTTTTTTGCTTTCAACAGTGCCGGTCAGCTGGGCTGTCGTGACTGCTTCGAGCTATGCCCTTGAGTTCTGAAGCGAGCGGAGCGGAGTTGCCACTCTGCCACATTTGCGCAGTGCGCGCGCGATGGATCACTCCCCTGGGTCCAGAGGTCTGAACCTTGATAAATATCCGTGAGGGAGGGGCGATCATATACTGCCCAAAAATGGCTCGTCCGATTGATATGTGATATGTGATGTGTTATAGATGAATTGCGCGGCGGACTGCCAAGAACAACGAGCAGAGCGCCATCAAATACACGGCTGCCCGGCCAGGAATAACTGCGAAACACTCGCATATCCCGGCGCTGGCCTACTTTCCTGCTGGCTGCGGCGAACGCCAGCCATCTTTCTCTTCGCGAATATGGAAGGCGGCATGGTGGAGGCCTTACTATCCGAGCAGCAGTGGTGCATGTGATCATTCCACCTCCATTTTGGAGTGCACATCCACCCTTTCATCTTATTCTGGTCCGGCACTTCTCTATACAAGAAGGAATAAGCCTGACACTCATGTTCAACTAGCGCCTTCTGCTTGGTCCTTTCGTGCTATTCTGCAGGAAAGCGCGCATAACAAAATCCTTATCGGCTGCAGAAGCTCGGAATAGCAACTTTGAATAGGGCGGTGCCAAGAGGACAGGAAAAGTGCCCGCTCCTGTCCTATACATGTCATGGGAGTGACTCCCCACTGTTCCATGTATCAAGTGCCCATGGTATGATGTGCTGGCACTGTTTATTCTTCTCTGTTTTTGTGTATTGGGGACGTCACCTTCTGACCGGCGTGGACGGGCACATGGATTCCAGCCTTCTTGTCGCAGTTGGAGCACGGGCAGCTATGTAGTGTACCTGGCCAAAGCGCACAATAGTGTAGGCCGTTTTGTTGTTGGTTCCATTTTCTGGCGACTTTGTTGTGCACAGCAAAGCTCATTCCCGCTAGCCATTTGGATTGTCAGATATTGGAATGTGGCGAGGGGCCTGTAAAGTACTTTTGAGTGTCGTGCTGGATTGTCTGCGCTATGTCTGCGCTATTTCTCCTCGCACAGACGAAGTGGCTGTCGCGTCTCGCAAAAGGGGGAACATCAGCATTTTTACACATGATGCAGAAGCGGGCCCCTTGTTTGCTTTTCCAAAAATAAAAATTTCTTCCATGTTAGAGCCCCTCCTGTCTTGGCCCTTCCGTTCGCCTGAGCTATTTCTTTTGCAGCCAGCATCTGAAAATAATCTTTGGCGGCACGCTGATTTCCTCTGGGCAGAGAGGGAGGAAGCAGCTCCTGCTATTGTTCGAAGCTGGAAGAAACGTGACAGGGATGGAGGGAGTCCGCCCGCTGCGCCCATGAAGCCAGCATGACCATACTGGGGACGGCCCGCAAAAAGAGCGCCAGCGCAATACGATGGGCAAAATGGTCACGTAGCGCAAACTATCCCTCCACTACCAACCCGCCCACGCACCAGAAAACGAGGTCATGGGAAACACCCAATGCAGGCAGGATGAAAGTCCCTTTTTCTCCTGCGCATCAACAAACACGGGGGGTGGGCAGTTTCTGGTTGGCAGTATTTGCCCCGGCCAGCAGGAGATGCAAGCACATGTGGAGCTGGTGCCGGAGCGGCGTTTTCTTTTACCATGCCCATGAATGGAGTGCTTACGTTTGTGCACTGCAGATGTTGCATGGAAGGGAGGAGAAGCCCGCGTTTCCCACCCCCACAGAACGCCCAGGAAGGGGGGCGATGTGCTGTTCAGGTGACTGACCTGGAGACCCTCCACCTTATCACCACCATGCAACGGAGATGCGTATGCGAGATAAGCACGCTTTTTTATTCACTACAAATGTGTCACCCACGTATCTCTCTTTGGCTCCGCCCACACCCTTCGCGGCGCGGCGGAACGAAGGGAAAGCCGGCGTGATGTGCTTTTCCACCCCTGCTAAAGCTTGTGTGCCTTCTCGTTGAACATCTCGCCTAGTGACACCTCCCCCGACCCACGCGGAAGCGGCTGGGGCTGCGACGGGTCAGGCTTCCACCCAATCTACAGCACAATAGGATATTTTAGCAAATGAAATTAAGCAGCTATTGTTGCAATTGCCAGACATGGCGATTCCGATGCCTTAGCATACAACCACAATAGATGCAACTTACCATGTATATGACCTGGAACGTAGCTGGAATTGTACCGTCCTTGTTTCCATGCATCTCTACAATAGCATACGAAAATATTGCGCGGTCGCTTAATATAGAGCTTCGTCGAACCGGAGCAGATTCCATATTACAAAAACATACGTGCGCAACAAACAGCACCTACCTTTGTAAATTGCCGAGGCCGCCAGCAGCGTATCCCGCTTCAGGAACGGCATCCGCTGGACCACCGAGTTGCCCTCGCCCATCGCGTTCAAGGTCCGAGATCAGGTGGAGCATGGTGGGGTAGTTGACAATAATGTTGTCGACATCAACAGTCGACAGGGTGAGTCCGGCGCGCTTCAGCAGACTGCCCATGTCGCGCGTATCGGTAAGTGGCGAAACCCGAGCTGCAATTCCGCCGTCCCGGTCGACGTCAGCCAGCTGCAGCGACGTTCTATAAATATACCGTGCGGACAGAGCGGGACAGGGTGAGCGTCATTTCAAAGGATCAGGAGTGCGGGGAGATTTGCTCATCAGATCACTGGAATGCTTACCTCAGCTCGAACAGGACTGTCTCCGCCAAACATGGCGCCGATGAACACGCCGTCAGGGAACCAGCGCCTTTCTGATCTGGATCATCATGCCAGGCAGATCGTTGACCCAGTGCATCGACAGGCTGCTGACGACAGCGTCCAGCGACTCGGGCTCAAACTGCGGCATCTCCTCGTCCATGACTCGCCGTTCCACCTCGACGTCATACTCTGCGTCCTTGTCGCGGTTCAGCGCAACCTTGGACATCTCAGCACATGACCAGCCTGTCCATCATGTCGTCGTCGACTGCCTTGGCCAGGTGGCCGCACCCGGCTCCCGATCTCCACCACGGTGTGGTACCGGCGCTTGATATCCAGCAGACGGTCTGCCACACGTGCTGCCACCTTCGTCTCGCAGGTAGTCGACTTCACGGCTGTCCAGGTGCCGGGCAGCAGGCACGGTCACGCTGCATGCGCTTTGCATTGCGGTCGAATACTTCAAATGGGGAGGGGTTTTTGTCCAGGTACTCGCGCGCAGGTTTCCTTGCCCGAGGAATAGAACCTGCGGGCAGTCCAGGCGGCGGAAAGCATTAGTGCGAATTAGACCCTGCATTTCGAATAGAGTGGCATGCAAATATTTAAAGGACCTCCTTGGAGAAACTAACAGACGAAGAGAGATAAGTTACAAAACGCCATGGCGCGTCTTTGACATCAGGTTTGATAATCAGCGAGCCGTCAGAAAATTTTACTTGGACGAGGAGAACGGATTGACGTCGCTGATCTTGAACCCGCCGCCGCACAGACGCAGCCAGCCGTTGCAGCACGCACAGCAGCCCATGAGGTTGTACTTCCAGCACGCCGAGCACGCCGCGCCGCTGCAGGCCGAGCTCTTGTCAGGCTCATGTGGCACCAGCTGGCCGTAGTGCGACCGTCTCCGGTTCGACTGCGACGGAGCCGAGTGGCGGCTCGAGTTCATGTTTGGCGGCTGGTACTGGCTCACAGGCCGCGACGTGCGCCCGGCTGGTGGCGGCCGCGGTCCCTCAGCCTGCGAGCTCTGTGCGGAGAAGGCGGTCTGCGGCGGGTAGTTTGCTGACATCATGGAGGGGTCCGGTATGCCGTTTCCTGCAGACTGCTGCGGCGCCATGGGTGGCGGGGCTTGCGGCTGGGTGGTGTATGGCTGCTGCATGGGCGCCTGGGACATCGGCGGGTAAGACTGCTGTGGGTAGGACTGATACTGGGTGCCAGTGTAGCCGCCGGCTTGCGACATGGTTCCAGTGACTGATGGTGGTGGCATTCCCTGCGGGCCATGCGACGGCTGCGGCCCGCCGTAGTTGTTCTGGCTCATCGGTGGCTGCTGATACATTAGAGTTTGCACGAACTGGTGTAGTAAGGTTGTAAAAGATGAAGAACGGGTATTAAAAAGTAACCAAATAATAGGGGTTCGGCTGAAGAGGAAAGTGGATTGATTTCAACCAGAAATGACAACTTTTTTGCCCACCACTTCGTTGGCCGCTCGGTCTACAGCCACTATCCATGCTCCCAGAAAGAGGGTTGCTTGAGGATGGGATTTGCTGCTGAGAGTAGAAATAGTGCAAAGGGCACTCTGTTCAACATATCAAATCAAATCGCCATGTGTGTACGCTGCAATGTGTTGCATAGATATCCGAAATGTGACCTCCGCTCCATTGTTGCTCTGCACAGACGTAGTGCCAACATGACTGGAGGTACGCGTATAGAACCGGGTTTGAAGGGGATGAGGGGTGCGGAGTAGCTGGCGAGCATGGGATCAGCTGGTGCATTCGTGAACATTCACAGACGGATACAAAAGCTGGACACAGGGAAGCGCTACATGCGTGGAGCTAGGTATGTACCCGGTGATGGAGCCGGGCATGGTCCAGGACATTAGGTAGAGCTAGTACATGTTGCCAACAAGCAGCGCATTTATTTCTTCGGTGTTGGGACAGGGCGGATAAGGCCGCAAATCTCCCCGCTTGCACCATTTTTTCATCGCTACCACTGCTGCCCAACAGGAGTTGAATGTCATTCTGAGGGACGATCGCCTGTTGCGCGTGGTCCCGTCGCTAGTGATGTAATTTCACTTGTACTTTGTGTTCCAAGCTACAGGTTGGGATTTGCCGCTTCAGGTGGTGGAAAAGGGAATGAAAACAACAGGAGAAAAAAGATGGGAATATAGGGTTCAAAGCCGGATGAGCACTCGGGCGCTGCCCTCCTTTCTTTCCATGTATCCATAATTTTTGTATCTATAATATACCCTCCCTATTCTAATAGTCTAACACTGCGGGTAAGGTCTTTGCGGGTCGTTATTGCGCGTGGAGAGGGGAGCGCACCGGGATGAATGTCGCAGCGCTGAACTCATGTGCCATCACCGCGTGGAATGCTATTTAAGGACTACGCATAGCGCTGCTTTCCGACTGAAGGAAGCACATATATTCGAGAGTCTTTCTCTCTCATTCAGCCACTAATCCCTCCTTTTCCGTCGCCACACATTTTCCTACTGTAGTTAACATGTCATCGACAACAGAAACAGCAGCGGTTCCGGAAACCAACCCGTTCTTTTCGCTGGTCGCAAAGAAGAGCAGAGAAGGTATGTCATCATTACTGTCCAGCGCATTCAGCAGAGACAAGGGGCAACTGTCGTCGAAAGGTGAGATGAGGGGGTTGTTCGGCAATGATTGATTCCTGGCACTGAGGGAATTAGAACCCGAAGGGAGACGGGCGAGAGGCAATTATGAACATATGAATTCATCGGCAAATTGTTGCAAGCAGGTCTAGGGAGCAATGGCGGCGACTCTGAGGTTCTCGAATCGATGTTTGGGCTGGACGATGAATACTGGAAGAACGTCGAGAAGGCGCGCACGATCCGGAAGAACGTAATAAAGATGAGGGGCTATCTAGGCAATGTCCAACCAAAGCTGGAGGCGGAGAAGCGGTAAGCACAAATGGCAGCTGCAGCGCTTCCCTTTGAGCAAATAAAGACAGGCGCACTAGCATGCCAATGAACGTGAAAAACTAAGGGAAACCGGTGGTCCTTGTAGAACCCAGGAGCTGGCTCGGATGAGGCAGGCGATTGCCAACGCAGAGCGCAAGCTGATGAAGTACATCAACTACTACGTGCTGAATTACGACGATGTGATCGCGGACACTGCGCCATCGAACGCCAAAGGTGGCGTCGACGGAGCTGGGTGTCCCGCTCTCTCCGCCCACATCCCCGGTCAGCTGGTGCCCCCGACCGGCCCCTGCCGCCACCGCCGGCAGTAGCAGTGGACGTTGGCAAGGCGCCGCCGTATGTCTCTGATGCGCTGCCGCCGACGCCCAAGCAGGAAAAACGGCGGTCGAACTGGTCGGGGCTGTTTGGCGGCGTCCACCTCAAGTACTCGCTGGATGAGAGCGTGTCAACAGACAACTCGGGCCACTCGAAATTCACGAATTCACAGCCACTTGATGGCTAATTGATGCAAGTGTTTATCCTTTTGACCAACAAGCGACAAGCGGCAAGCGGCATATTGTCCTGGCCGATTTAATAAGTACTTTTTTGTAAACTTCTGTACGTTGCCCGTTCACTTGCCTTACAATTGCGAATTGCGGTGAAAAAGCGAACAGAACTCAGGAAAGCGGGAGGCTTTTCCCTCTTGCACCAGCACGCGTAATCAAGGAGAAAAAGGCAGGACAAGCATGATCGACCTGGGTTGCTTGATCATTCCTGATAAAGTGCTCACAACATAGGTCATGCGGATGCGAATGTTGCTTATGCACGCCGGGCATTGGTATATTTTTGGCTTGACGCAGTGCCTCCCCAAACCAGGTGGGTGTGTGTCCTTGCTTCTGGCCACATGGCCATTCCGACTTGCAGCCAGGCTTTTGCTTTTTCGCAGAAAAGAGGCCCCAGGCGCTTTCCCATGAGAGGCACGGGGTCGTGGCATCCATCAGCAGATGAGCTGAGCGACAGGGCAGAGAGAAACAGAGGAGAGCGATGGCTAGTAGACTTGCATTTATAAAGCACTTTTCTCCTCCCCTCCCTTGTCCCTTGCAAGCACTTTCGTTTCTGGTTGTATGTTGCCTCAGCAGCTTCTCTAAAAACTCCTCTTTTCTCACAGCGACTCTATTTCTCTCACAATTCTGCAACACGGTGTCTATTGCTTCCAGGCACAACCTCGTCAATTTATTGCCGTTCTCGTTGAAATAAGCTTTTCAATATAGCCATTTTAGGACGTTCCGGGTGCTCTTGTTCCATATAGCGCGGGCCATTTCGCACACAAACACAAAACCAAACGCCACTCTTCCAGCAGCTCTACGACACTTTGCATTATAAAAGGGCTTACCCCAGAACCCGCTTGATATAGAGAGCTATTTTCAATACCTCTTTCATCCTCCACAGCCCAAAAAACAGCCCCTACCTCCTCAAAGCCATGACTACTTCGCTCTTCTCCACAACCTCCACATGGGACCTGGTGAGCCCCAGCGGGTTCCCGGCCGACACCCCCAAGTCCTCTCCTGAGCACCTGGCTAAGCGTGCGGGTGCCCTACTGAAGGGCATCCATGCGCGGTACCGACAGCTGTGTGTTCACTCAATGAAGCTGCAAAGCTTTAAGGCGAACCCGCTGGGCGGTGCCATGTGCGAGGACATCGAATACAAGATGCACCAGATGGCGCTGATGATTCGCAGCCAGATGCACGACCTGGCGCGTGTCGAGGCGGAGTTTTCCGAGCTGCCCCTGGACGTGCTGCGCGAGCAGCAGCTGAAGCGCGACGTTCCGTCGTTCAACGAGCCGTCGGCGATCAGGAACACTATTCTGAAGGAGGTCATTGAGTTCTATGGCAACGACTTGCCACGCATCGAGCAGAGCTCGCTGCTCAAGGGCTTCAGCAGTGTTCACTAATGCGGCGGCTCTGTCGTCCAAAATATCCCTTCCTCCGCTCTCAGAGCGTGTCCTGGAGTCAATGATCAAAAAGGGGCTCGGTGGGGCCTGCGGTCCACGGTTCCCTTTCAAGCTCCACTCTGTAAATTTTTCCACTTTTCTCTCTTTCCGCCTTTCTGTATATTCTTCAACAAAATAGCTACTACTTTACGATGTCTGAACTGTCCCTGCTGGACCACTACAAGCAAAACAGACCCGTGACGCGTGGACGGCTCGGGCATCTTACTGCATCCGAGACTGCCAAGCTCCAGCAGTTGTGGCAGAAGCTCATATGCGAGTTTGACGACAACAAAGAACCGCTGCCTGTGCGGTTTCCGCTCTTGCAGCAGCAAAACGACGAATCCACCGACATGGCCAGTCTATCGATGAACCCACTGGTCTCGCTCAGCAGCAAAGACAGCAAGCCTGTAAGGTGAGACAAAGCCCAGTGGCGGGTGGTTCGGATGGGCATCGGGCAGCGGCGCTAGCACACCGGCCAGTGGTGCGTCAACGCCGGTCCCGCTGGATATGAGCGAAGAGGCCGTGCGGCAGCGCACCGAGACCGTACAGCAGCACGTGCGGCGCACGCAGTCCCGGGACGTGCAGCCCGAGGGTTTTGTGCCATTGTTTGGGCAGCCGGCCGATACGCGCACGCTGCGCGCGGGATTCTGGCAGGCGGCGACGCAGGCATTGGACCCCTGACGCGTATGTGTTGCGGTTCCTCCGTGCGCGCAAGTGGGATGTGGATGCAGCGTTGGTAATGCTGCTGAAGACTGTCGAGTGGCGCGTGGCGCAGGCTATCGATGAGGTGGCGTACTATGGTGAGGCGGCGCTGCATTACCATACGATGGAGTCTGGGCTGGCGTTCGCATGCATGACGGACCGCCTGCGAAACCCGGTCTATGTGGTCCGCGTACGGGTGAACATCGCGCGCAACCGGAACATTCTGGCTATCCGGCGGTTTCTGTGCTGGCAGATCGAGTCAGCGCAGCTGCTGACAAGGCAGTCCGACGGCCGCGTCACGATCCTGTTTGATCTGACCGGCTTTTCCAAAGAAAACATCGACATCAAGCTGGTACGCACGCTTATTATGCTGCTGACAGCCTACTACCCGGAGACGCTGGGCATTCTGATTCTTCATGTAAACTCGTGGGTATTCTCGGGCATCTGGCAGCTGATCCAGCCGTTCATCGACCCGGCCGTCAAGGAGAAGATTGTATTTGCCAAGGGCGCCGCTGACATTGCCCAGTACATCGACATGGACGAACTGATCGAAGAGGTCGGCGGCAACAAGCCCTTCGGTTACAAGTACGTGCCGCCGCAGAGCGACGAAAACAAGCGTATGCAGGACATGGAGAATCGTAGGGTGTGTGAGGCGGCGCTCGAGCACGCAGTCAATCGGTACGAAAGTGCCACGCGGGAGTGGGTCGAAACTGGGACTGCGCCTGAGGGACGCACGCAGGCCAGGGACGCAGTCCTAAAGGCGGCCTCATCACTGGACCCGTATGTGCGCGCACATACGCTCTACCACCGCATCGGCTTTGTGCAGCCCGACAGCACGGCAGAGCTTTAGCAGCAAAAGATATTTCTGCAATACATCATTCGGCGCTTATATGATGACGCGAAGGCCAGCGCCCAGCGTGCATCCATCAGCGTGTTTTTGCACGCCCGGGTCCACGCGATCGTCCTGGCCAAACTGCATCTTGATCGACACGCTGCCAATGCGGTCCTGCTCGATGCGGTATGGCACGCGGACCTGCGGATTCAGACTCATGATCAGCTGCGCTATCTGGTCCAGGCACGCCAGGTACGCGACCATACCGCTGTCGATCTTGCGGCTCTGGAACAGCCGCCCAAAGTACTGGTCACCGGTGCCGAACAGCTCGAATGCAGCGCCGTCGGTCAGGCGCTCGATGCGCGAGAAGCCGCCCATGGGGATCAGCCGGTAGTCGAGGAACTCGTAGTTGAGCTTGCGCGCCACCGTCTGCAGCAGCAGCAGCGCCTGGCCCCACGCAGCATTGATCTCGGTCCCACTCGACGGAGCCGCGGCCGCCGAGCCGGAATCCGTTGATATTGGCAATATTGTCGACGACTGAGATATTGAAGATGTCGTTGTAGACGTTGGTCCGCTGCAGCTGCATGAGCTGCGCCGACAGCTTCTTGTACCGGTCGTCCAGCGCCCACTGCTCGCGCCCGCTGCGCTCCAGCACCTGCTGGTGCTCGTTCTGCTCCTGGAATGTGCGCGCCTCGAGCTGGTCCAGCCGCAAGGACTCGGCGTCCAGATCCGCCAGCTGGCCCGCAAGCCCCTCCAGCTGCGAGTCCAGGATGCCCTAGAGTCTCCTCGAGCGTGCGCTCCAGCTCGCCCTGCCGCGCCAGGTCCCGTTCCAAGTCCCTGATGTCGTCGGCCATGGATGCTGCATCTGCCAGCTGCCCGATCCCCTGGCAGAATCGCGTGCTCGTGCTCGCAGTCCTGCACTTCTCTGTCCAGCAGCCGCAGCATGGTCTCAGCACAGTCCTCGCACATCGGGTGGTCGACCATCGAGCGCGCATCCAGCTTGTCCATGATCCTGCCAATCACGCCAAACGTCTTTGCCATATCGTTCTGCTCCGCTCCCGTATCGCTCTCCTTGGTGGTCTCTGGCACCGTGCAGTGGCGCAGGCGGCTGTATCGGGATGCAGCTGCGAGCTGCTGAGCAAGATGAACGAGTCTGCCTGGCTGCTGGTCTGGCTCTCTTCGTCCTCGGGCGGCTGCCTTGCCTGCGCTATCCAATGCCAGGTTCAGTGTGCTTTCCATGTGCGCGCGGGCACTGACGGTACCGTTTGCATGGCGCTTGATCTGGTCGGCGCGGAACTGCTGGGACAGGTACCGCGAAATATCGGTGGGGGCAGTGGTGGTATTCAGGGCGCCCTGGACCTGCAGGAGCTTTGCATCAGGCAGGGTGCCGATAATGCTGTCGATGCTGGCGTCGGTCAGTGTTGACCATGAGGGGTCAGGAGAACTCGACTGTTTGTTTGCAGCGCTTGCAGTGCGACATTGTGTAGGGAAGCAGTGTGTAATGGTAAACATGTTTTTTTTTTCGTTCACCGATGCGGCGGACATGTTTGTGCCTGGTGATGCGATGGCCCAGGTTATGCGACACATTGGCCAACAAGGGGCGGGAGCACCTGATTCGGTGCGGAGTTTGATTACGAGCCTAAAGAGCAACATGGCGACAGCAAGAGTGCGCTTCTTGGCAGCGGATGAGGGGCGTGTTTCGTGGCCCGCATGCGGGGGCGGGTTTTGAAAGCTGGCATGAAACCGCCTTTAGCAGGAGAGAGGGGGAGTATTCAGCAAACAACAGATTGCCCCTCTTTTTTCCCTTTCTCTTTAGTATCAGCCATTCAAGAATCGCTCCCTTCTTCACTCTACTACTGCCATGTCGAGTATATTCAAGAGTCTTTCGCGGCAAAAGTCCAGCACGGACGTTGCCGGCAAGAACCGCTGAGACCATCAGCGCGCAGTTCACCAAGGGGCGGCTGGACAAGTCCGGGTGCTATGAGAATCTACTGCCGGTGGAGGAAAAGCTGCTGAGCGATTTCTGGGGGCGGCTGCTGGAGGACTTTGACAAGCCGATAGATTCGATTCCATGCGACCCGATCAACCGGCCGGTCGACTACGACGATGCGGCGGAGCAGCAGAAGGCCAAGGACACGCCGCCGTTCGAGGTGTACAAGGGCACGATGTTCAACGAGTCGGTGGCAGACAAGTGCAAGGAGCTGGGGATTGTGTCGGAGGAGGGCTCCGAGGGCGAGCTGGTGCCTGCGTATCAGACGCAGATCCGGGACAACACGCTGCGGAGCGCGTTCTGGTCGGTTATCCGCGAGGACCACCCGGACGTGCTGATGCTGCGGTTCCTGCGTGCGCGCAAGTGGGACCTGGACAAGGCGTACAAGATGGCGATTGCGGCGGTCAAGTGGCGCGTCACGGAGAATGTCGAGGAGATCATCTGGTATGGCGACCTCAAGAACGACGCGTCGCTGATGTGGAAGGGCGTCAGTTACGCCCACGGCCACGACAAGCTGGGCCAGCCTATCATGTAAGTTGTCTTTTCTGGGTACTAGCGGGTGGGTGCAAGGTTCTGGGCTTGTGTGTGGGTGCGGAGTTTACTGTTCTACTATCATCACGCCCTATCTCCCATGTGGCACTGTCTTCCCCCCCCGTTGTATGTGTTTGTCTGGACCCTCTCCCCAGGATATTAAACATGCAACAATTTGTCATGTAGCTGGTCGAGCTCGTGCCTGCACCACCAGAAGGATCAGTCGTACACGCAGCTGAAGCGGTACCTGATCTGGATGATGGAGACGCTGCGGACGCTGCTGGCGCCGACCGATTGAGCGCGTGTGCCTGATCATGGACCTGACGGACCACTCGAATGCCAACATGGACTGGCCGTTCGTCAAGACGTTCGTCAAGTTCCTAGAGTCGTACTACCCGGAGTGCTTGGGAGTGTGCATTGTGTACAATGGGCCGTGGTGGTTCTCGGGGGTGTGGAAGATGATCTCGCCGCTGCTGGACCCGGTGGTGGCAAGCAAAATCCAATTTGCGCAGAAGCCCGAGGGCCTGATGAAGTTCATCGACGAGTGCCAGCTGCTGAAGGCGCGCGGCGGCAAGGACGCGTACGAGTACGAGTATATCAAGCCGGCAGCAAGCGAGAACTCGCGCATGTTCGATGCGGCTGGGCGCGAGCAGGTGACTGCAGTGCTGGACAAGGTGCATGAGCGGTTTATTGAGGTGACCAAGGCGTATGTGCAGGCCAAGAAGGACGACGACGAGGCCAAGTTCAAGGAGCTGGCGGCCGAGCGCGTGCGCATCAGCAACGAGGTGCGGAGCGTGGCGATGGAGAAGGACGCGTATACGCGGGCGCGGCACTTTTACCACCGCACGGGCGTGCTGGAGGGAGTCAATGTCGACTGGACCAAGGTGCAGGCGGTCAGCCCTGAGGACCTGGCGGCGGCCGAGGCAGCAGCGCTGCAGAGCAAGATGACGTCGGGGCTGAGATCCGGCACGCAGTCACGCGCCAGCTCAGGTGCTGGCATCGCGCTTGCCGTCGCGCGCACCATCGATGCAGCCCGAAACCCCGGCCGCCTAGAGCACGCTGGCGCCGTAGCGGGGGATAGCCTACACATTTCCTTACTCTTTCTCTTTCAGTTCACAGAGAACTCCCAGATTACATCATTGGCTCGATGAGCTGAGCTGGATTGGCACGCGGCTGTGCGAGCCAAACCACGCAATAATAAAAATTTTATCGCTCCTGGTGATTGTCAGCGCCCTATTTCTCCTCCCTCGCTCTAAAACTTCAATTTCACATCATTGTCCAAAAAATCAGACGTTTTCGCGGGAGAGTATAAAGCATAAGCCATGTCCAGCTACGCCGATAAGATCAAGGAGATTGAGGCCGAGATGGCCCGCACACAGAAGAACAAGGCCACGGCGTACCATCTCGGCACGCTGAAGGCCAAGCTCGCCAAGCTGAAGCGCGAGCTGCTGACGACGCCCAAGGGCGGCGGCGGTGGCGGCGAGGGCTTCGATGTTGCGGGCACGGGAGTGGCGCGCGTGGGCTTCGTCGGGTTCCCGTCAGTGGGCAAGTCGACATTGATGAGCAAGATGACCGGGACGTTCTCCGAGGTGAGCGAGGTAGAGTTCACGACGCTGACGACAGTGCCGGGCGTGCTAGCAGTACAAGGGCGCGAAGATCCAGATTCTGGATCTGCCCGGGAATCATCGAGGGCGCCAAGGACGGCAAGGGCCGTGGCCGGCAGGTGATTGCAGGTGGCGCGGACGTGCTCGCTGATTTTCCTGGTGCTGGATGTGCTGAAGCCGCTGACGCACAAGGCGGTGATTGAGCGTGAGCTGGAGGGATTCGGGATCCGGCTGAACAAGGAGCCGCCAAACATTGTGTTCCGCAAGAAGGACAAGGGCGGGATTAACATGACCAACACGGTGCCGCTGACGCACCTGGACCAGGACATCGTGCGGTCGATTCTGTCCGAGTACCGGATTGCCAGCGCCGATGTGGCGTTCCGCTGCGACGCTACGGCCGACGACCTGATTGATGTGATCGAGGGCAACCGCGTGTACATTCCGGCGGTCTATGTGCTGAACAAGATTGACCAGATCTCGATCGAGGAGCTCGATCTTATTTACAAGATCCCGCATGCGGTGCCGGTCTCGGCCCACCATGAGTGGAACTTTGACGAGCTGCTGGATAAGATGTGGGCGTACCTGAATCTGGTGCGCATTTACACCAAGCCCAAGGGACCAGCTGCCAGACTACTCGGCGCCCGTGGTGCTGAAGCGCGACAGGTCGTCGGTGCTGGATTTCTGTAACTCGATCCACAAGGGCATTCTCAAGGATTTCTCGTACGCCAATGTGTGGGGGACCTCGGTCAAGCACAATCCGCAAAAGGTCGGGCGCGACCATGTGCTGCTGGACGAGGATGTGGTGTCGATTGTGAAGAAGAAGTAGGATGATGCATTAAAAGCCATTAAAAAAATCAATAACCATTTCCATAACACTGCACGGGCAGATGGCCATGTATGCCATCAAAACCCAAGCGCTTTTTGCGGTCGAAAAAAGGGACGTTCTTTTTTTTTTTCTTTCTCATTTTCATAACAGAGCACCATGTCGTCGTCCAAGCAGCAGCAGCAGCAGCAGCAGCAGCAGCAGCAGCAGCCGTCGGAGAACGAGCTGCGCCTGACGGTCAACCGGTACAGCAACGAGCTGAAGGCCATCGCCAGCAAGATCGGCGAGCTGGAGCTGGAGCTGGAGGAGCACAGTCTGGTGGTGAAGACCATGACGCCGATGTCGGGCGACCGCAAGTGCTTCCGGCTGATCAACGGAGTGCTGGTGGAGCGCACAGTCAAGGAGGTGCTGCCAGCACTCAAGACCAACCAGGAGGGCATCAAAAAGACGATCGAGCAGCTGGCGCAGCAGTACAAGGCCACGGACAAGGAATTCGTCGAGTACCGGCAGAAGCACCACATCCGCATTGCACAGCAGTGAAGGAGAAGATTTTATAATAAAGCATTTTTGAGAAGGCATCCTTAGTCGGATTTGACCACGCCGTAGGAGCCGCCGCGAGAAGAGCCCGCGCGACGGAACCAGGTGGTAGACGAGACCAGCGGCAATGGCCAGAGAAAGCAGGGCGCGCAGAAGCGAGCCGAAGAAAAACAGCCATGTGGTTTTGATGGCTGAGCCCAGGGCATGGACACCGCGCACCAGCAGGGAGTTTGTGCTCTGCGGGCGCAGTTTGCCCTCGAGGGCTGCGCGCACAGCCAAAAAGATGCCCATCTTGGAAGGCTCAATTTTAGAGCCATTGGCGTCCACGTCAAAGTACCGGTCCTCGCTGGGCTGGGCAATGACAATGGCGGGCCAGTCAGAGCGACGCAGGCGGAAGACGCGGTCGACATACGACGCCCACTTGTTGCCATCGACCCACGTGAACCGCACCGATCCCTTATCACGGCGCCCGGCGTCCTCGAATGCCTTCTTGTACTCGATGGCGGCCGCGCGCATGGCACTGCGGTAGTGGTCCATGTAGTCGCCGCCGCGGTCCGAGTCCAGCACAGCCAGCACAAGGTAGTCCGAGTCGTAGAACAGGTCGTCCGAGTTCTCGCGCTCCAACTGCGGCAGCAATGGGAAGCGCTCGGCGTAGAACCATTCGTGCAGCTGGTCGTCGTTGGCCAGCGCACCTGCGTACTTGATCGTCTGTGCATCCTTGAGCGCCGCCAGTGCCGGCAGCTGGGTGTCCTGGCAAAACCACGGCGGCCGTCTGTGCATTGTTGACGAGCAGAAGGCTCTTGGACAGGAATAGCTTTTGCGCGTTGGCCTTGACGCGGGCCAATGCAGCGGCAGTCTTGGCGCTGGAGTCGCTGGCGTCGTAGGCAAAGACAAAGACGACGTCGCGGTCCTGCTGCGCCTGCCTGCACATCCTGGACGCTCTGTGCAGTATGCGGCTGCGCCAATACGCTGTCGACAAACTTCTCCAGCGCCTTCAGCTCGCGCTCGCCCTTGTAGTCGGCGGTCTCGCCGTCCCACAGCAGCTTGAGGGTCGGGTAGCCCTGCACGTTGTACTTGGAGCACAGGCTGCTGGCCTCGTCGCAGTTGACGCTGCCCACGTTCATTTTACCGCGCAGTTTGCCGCCCAGCTCGGCCCATACGGGCGCCAGGTGCTGGCAGTGCGGGCACCAGGGCGCGTAGAACTTGATGAACCACGGGCCTGAGGCAGTGCGCTCGGCAAAGTTCTCCTTGGTCAGCACCACTGCCTCGCCGTCGGGGTTGTAGACAACCGCGTTGCGCTTCTCAGTGTCGGCATTCTCGTCGTGCTGTGCATTGGGCAGTGCCTTGTCGTCCTTCTTGGGTTCGTCCTTCTTGGGTTCGTCCTTCTTGGGTTCGTCCTTCTTGGGTTCGTCCTTCTTGGGTTCGTCCTTCTTGGGTTCGTCCTTCTTGGGTTCGTCCTTCTTGGGCTCGTCCTTCTTGGGGGTCTTGGGCGGCTCATCCTTCTTCTTAGGGTCAGCCTCATCGTCATCCCAGTCGCGGTTGTCGTTGTTGACCTGCGGCTCCTCCAATGCCTTGTCGAATTCGCCGCTGTCCCGCCGCTGCGCCAGGCGCTTGGCAAACGGCTGCATGTTCTCGTACGTCGGGTCCAGACCCATTTCCTCGATCAGCGAGCCCTTGTAGAATACGTGGATGGTTGGGAACCCATCGACCTTGTTGTTCACGCACAGATCCACGTAGTCGAGGCAATTGATCTCGCCGAAAAACACATGCTGCTTGCCCTCAGCCTCGGCCATCTCGTCAGTCATCTTGGTCCACGCCGGCGCCATATGGCGGCAGTGCGGGCATTTGGGCGAGTAGTGCTTAATCAGCCAGACTGCGTCATTCACCGTCTCCGTGAAATTCGCTGGTGTCAAAACCACGCTGTTCTGCTCGAACCGCCGCACCGCCTCATGCACATTGGCTGACCGCTGCACGAACTCCATCAGCTCCTCCTCGGTCTTGTCGCCGGACATTGCCTGCGCGCGCTTGCTCTCCTTGAACACCACCACCATCGGCCATGCGTCGGCCCCGTTCTTCGCACACAAGTCTTGCTCCTCCAGGCAGTTCACTTCGCCGTAGTGGACGTTGTTGGCAAACATCGCCTGGTGCGTGTCGCGGACTACGCGCTCCCACTTGGGCGCAAAGTTCAGGCAGTGGTGGCATTGGGGCGAGTAGTGCTTGATTATCCACGTGCCCGTCTGCGTCTTGCTCTCGAAATTCGTCGCGGTCAGAACATGGCTCTTGTCCGACACCGGTGCTCCCGACGCTGCCACCGCCGTGGTCAGCGCCAGTCCGGCCAGTCCGAGCAAAAACTTACCCAGACGCATTGTTGCAAAATGAAAAGAAATGAGAGGTAGTAATAGAGACGGAAAATTTGGGAATGGGGGAGTGTTTGTCAAAGGTTGCGCACTTTCGGTGGCACAAGCCCCCAGCTATAAAGGCCGCTCTGCAGCAAGCACCACGCGAGGGCCCAAAGCAAAAATTAGACTGCAACAATACTGGCGCCAGGCGCACCTCGCTTATACGCTGTGATCACCGGAATATTGCTAGAACGTGAAAAACAACCTCAAGCCAGCAGCGGGGGAATCCTCTGCTCGCCCAGCCAAAACGAATAAAAAAGACGAAAGACGCTATGTAACAGAATCTCAGAGCGACTCGGAGGCCTTTGGGTTGACCGCCTGCCGAATAAACTCGCCCACCACATCCGCCGTCTCCAGCGGATGGGACGTAACAAATGCATGCGAGATGCCCTTGTCGCACATAACCACGTTGCCCTTGTAGTTAATATGGCACATCTTCTTGAACCGGTCGCTGGGCACCCACCCGTCCTTGCGCCCGTAGTACATGACGAACTTGTCGCCCATCGCCCCATACAGCTTCTCATTGACGTCCTTGATCGTGGCCATCTCGTCTGCCGCCATCCGCAGCACATTGTTGATGCAGCTGCCATTGACCATCTTGTCAATGACCACCGCCGAGTTCTCGGCGTCCAGGCTGCCAGACCGCAGCGCCAGCATCTGCATCACAGAGTTGGGCAGAATCCACGAGCCTAGCTCGGCCAGTCCCGACACTACCTGCCGCACGCCTGGCCGGAACAGCGCCTGCAGCTTGCGTCCATTCGGCGTATCGCCAATATGGTCGACTGTCGGGAACAGATCAAAGACCCGGTCAACGCGGTCTGCACGGCTCTCGACAATCTACACAAAAAAATCAGCACCTATGTCACACTAGCCATTTCATCTGCCTGGTGCTGCTTCTTGTTACCTTCTCAGCTATGTACGAGCCGACGCTGTGCGCACACAGGAACATCTTGGGCGCTCCGCCGTACATGCCGTCGAGCTCATCAAATGCATCAATCCACCCCTTCACCTGCTCTTGCAGCGAATACACCTTGGTGTTCCGCACCACCTTGCCATTGTTGTCGCTGAACCGCGTATGCCCCAGGTGCGATATCGCCGCTATCTCCATGTCGTCGCTGCGCTCGTGCAGGGCCGTCGCAAACTCTATATACAGGTCAATCACCCCCGGGTTGCCTGGGATAAGCAGAAGCACCACCTTGGGCTTGCCGCTCTTGCACGGCCAGAACAAGGTCTCGCGCAGCTCTTTGTTGATCGTCCAGGTGAAGCGGTGGGGGAGAGGCATTTTGCTGAGGAATACTGACATGGTTGAAAAAAAAAATCGAAGGCGAAGGAGAGATGCCTGCCTGCCTTTTTTATCTGTTCCGCACAGACATTATCCTTGTCCATCTCGAGCCGATGGGTTAGGGCAGAACTCAAATACCCCTTCAATGTACCGGCAGCGTAGGAGGCACCGGGAATCTACGCATATAGGACCAGATGGCCCCTCGGTTACCCTTGCCCCTTCAGTTTAGGTGTGGACGAGAACGAATATATATGCGAGCACAAAAGAAGGAAATTAATACAACTACAACGCGGGCGAGAGAGCCGTGCTAGCCAAGCCCTCCACTGCTTATGCTTGCCTCCCGCTCCCCGCACAAAAAACCGCCCCTGATTTCAGATGAGGGAGCAGCAAATTTCGGAACCGGAGGCCTGGGTACAGCGCTTTGCGATTACTGCGCCGCCTCAACCCCCTCCTGGGCCAGGGCGTCGTCAAGCGAGCGCAGCAGTTCCTGCGCCGCCAGGCAGTAGCTGTCGCTGAACTCTGAACACATCTTTTGCGAGTCATGGGAGGAGTACGAGCTGACGAGCTGTGCAATCTGTGCCTCGATCTCCTGCACGTTCAGTGCTGCGTTCGAAGCCGTCGACGACGTGGTGATGGTACGCGAAATGCCAACCATGGTGTCTGAAAAGTCAAAGTATGTGTGTGCTATAGGAGGAACAAGTGTGTGAAGAAGAAAAACACCCTTTGCTGGCAGGGACAGCACAAGCTAGAGGTATAAATAGTTTTCCAGCCTGCTCAGCTTGCTGCAGAGGGAGCCAGTTTTCGCCTGTGCTGCTGCATGAAACCACACACTGAACCCGGACGATCCTCCCTTCTTTCAAACAGGAAAAAGGAAAACAGCAAAAGCACACTGGCAGGCGCCTTGGAAGAGCGCAAATGGACAGGGGATTATCAGCCGACTCGCGGTCTCAGCGAATACGGTGTTGCTGTAGCACGCATTAGCGACTAGAGCGCTTCTTGGCAAGACCTATTTCTGAAGCTCAGTCAGCAGCTTCTCCAGCTCCGCGACCTTGGCATCCAGCGGCTCCTCTTCCTCACTGGCGCTCCGCACTGGGCCTCCCTGCGGCTCCTTCAGCACACTGGTCAGTTGCGCCAGCGCTGGATCAGTCTTGGCGAACCTTCGCAGCACGTCCGTCAGCACACTGGCCGCAACCTGCGCCTTGGCGCTTTTGCTTGAAGCCTGTGGAGTTCTAGTACCTGGTGCTGGGGCCGGCGCTATCGATCGCGGACCGGATGTTGCGCGAGCAGGTGACCCTGGGGGTCTTGGCACCGCCTGTGCTGGTCCGCGGTGCTGGTGACGTCGCTGCCGGTGGCCGTGGGGCAGGAGCCGCACTGGAGCGTGCGGTTGTGTGCGCTGGCAGCGGCCGTGGATGGTGCTGGGGCGGGTGGGGTCGCGGGCGGGAGCTGGTCGCTGTAGGTGCTGGCGCTGGCGCTGGTCGCGGCTGGGGTGGACGTGGCCGCGCTGCTGGACGCACCTGTGGCCGAGACACAGGGCTCGCAACTGGTCTTGGCTGTGCATGTGAGGCGGGTGGATGTGGACGTACAAACTGCTGCTGCTGCTGTTGCTTTTGCTGTTTTTGTGGCTGCTGCTGCGTTGGAGGCACCTGTGGGCGAGGCAATGGGCGCACCTGCGGGGTCTGAACTATCGGCGGCCGCACACTGCTAGGCCGGATCGAAACTGCAGGCTGCTGTGGTATGGGCTGAGCTTGCTTCTGTTTCTGTGGCTGCGGCTGTGGTTGAGTTTGTTTTGGTGGCTGTGGCTGTGGATGTGGCTGTGGCTTCGCTACCATGTTGGAAGGCTGCAATGATGTACCCGATGACGCATGCGAGGATGGTTGTGATGACTTTGGTCGCACGATCCTCAGTCTTGCAGCCGTCTCTGATCCAGTACTGCTGGCCGACGCTGGTCGTTCCGCTGCACCATCATCAACTGACTGCGTTACCACCACGGCCTCCTTCGTTGGATTCCCTTCAGCCTTCGCCTGCTGGATCGGGACCGAGCCCAGCGATGTGTTGTGCGACACTGCTGTCGCTTGATCGACGACCTCTGCATCCCTGGAAACAGCCACCAGTCTGCGGCGGCCTGGCCGCGGGATCCATAGATCGTAGAACCGCACCGACACATGCCTATCCATAGTCCCCGTCGGAGCACTTAAGCTGCCCCCACGGCGGCTGAGCGAATTTTGTCCGATACGTGTCGATGCACTTTTGAATCAGCGGCATCCGGTACCTCAGCCGGTCATTGAGAAGCGCCAGCTTCCACGCCATCTCGTTGCATGTCAGCTCAAATTCCCACCGACCCGGCATGCCGCCGTACCGGGAGTGTTCGAGATCCAGCACACGCGGGAACACAGCATGGTCCTGCTTAAACTGTTCGCGCTCTGCCCTCTTTCGCGCCCATGCCTCAGGCGTCGTCTGCTGCTGATCCCCGGGCCGCGGCTCCTCGACCTCTGTATTATCGTCGATTTTGCTAAAGTTGATGTCCACGTCGATGGGCATAAACTGGTTGTTGACGAAAAGGCTGACTGTCAGATGCTGGGCGCTTTGCACTGATGCAGGCGCAGGTGTTACCGGAGCCGATGTCGACGGCGCCTGGGGCGCGGGATGCCACCAGCCCGCCCACTGCGCTTGGAACCGAGCCCCCGGCACCTCCATCTGCCACCGACCCCATTCTGCGGCAACGACAACGTCCGTGGCAGCTCACTGACTGCATTGGCCACGGCTGCAGCTACCGCCGCCGACGTCCCGGCAGCCGAGAACGCAGCCAAAACAGTCGGATCTGCACCCTCCACCCTCGGCCGCTTCTCGACCCGCTGCCTCGGTGGTTTTGCCAGCGGCCGCTTGCCTGGCTTGCTCCTCTGACTGCGCTCCGACTTCTCCAGCCTCGTGATCCGTCGGCTCTTGTGACCCTCGACCTTGTCCCGGTACTTGTTCACCGCAGACTGCAGTAGCCCGCGACGCCCCGACAGCAGCTCCTGGTTCAGGAATGCCTAGCTGCCAGCCAAACACATTGCATGTGGTCTCGTAGTCCCACCGGTTGCCAGTGTAGGCCGATTCGTGGCAGTTGGCGCGCGGGTACACGCAGTTGTTCTTTTGAAAACTCTGCGGAATTAGCGTGTAGCGGAGCGCGGTCGACGTCAATGCGGATACGGTGCCATTTTGGCTTGCCTTTCTGCACATACGAGAATATCATCCATGGAACGCCCTCGGGATCGGTCTCCAATGTCACATCGCTGGCAGCCTGGCTCGAATCGGCGCGGGTGCGCTGCTGGGTCGCCGACGCCTTTGGCGGTTCCGTCTGGTTGCTTTGATTCTGCCTGCATGGTCTGTGCTGGCACTGCATCTGCATTCGGACTTTGATGCTGCTGACTGCTGCTGCTGCTTGGCGTGCTGGCGGACGGGCTGCTGTGGGGTTTGTCAGGTTTGCTGCTTGCAGAGCAGTAATCACGCAGTCGGCGGTTGACGGAGGCAGCCATTCGCGCAACAGCGACAATGTAGTAACTGGTAATGCATCGTCTGAACTGCCTCCATTGGGTGTTTTTCGCCAGGGCCGACTTGCCTCGACCTGCACGAATGCCCGGTGGGCTATCGGACTGAGATACCGATCGGACTGGGCCGCTTCTGGACAATCCGTGGCTGCTTTGGAGGTGGTGGATCGTTCACCGCATTCTCGCGCCTCACCAGCACGCTGTTGACGGTTGCAGCACACTGGCGCAGCTGGTTGAGGCTGAGCTTATCCAGGAATCCCTCAAATGCCTTCATGTCGCTGAGGAACAGCGAGAACAACGACAGTTCTTCGAGCTCCAGCGGGTTCTCGTCGTCTGTCTCGTCGTCCATGGGCTCATCCCGACTGCACTCCGTCGCGTTGCTGGGCCACACGGCAGCCGATCCCATGCTGGCATCGATCTGTGGCGATCCAGGCCACTGGCATGGGCGTTGGTGCCGGTGTAGGTGCCGGCAGCATTGCAGTATCCACCATGCCTCCATGCGTTGTCGCCATTGGATCCACAGCCGGCACCTCCAACGACCCCCAGTATAGCTGCTCCAGCGCAGCCGACAGCTCGGCCTGATTAAAACGATCCCAGGCCACCGTTATCCATGTGTGCAACTGAGTTCGCAGCCCTCAGGATGGAGTCTGCTAGTTCGCCTTCGTCAATTGGCGTATGGCTCACGGTCTCGTGTGTATAGCCGTCAGTATGGATCGCAGCCTGGCGCTCAAACTCATCCAGCGATCGTAGACCGTCAAGCACAGCTGCTGTGGTAATGCCTCCCAGCTCCATGGCATCGTCAGCATTCACCCCCACAGAGTTCATTGTTGGCGTGCTGGCCGCAGTACCGTCCAGGGATCCCAAGAGCTCGGTGAGCAGGTCCATGTCTAGGGGCTCCTTTGTGAACAGGCTGTTTATCACATCGTCGGCGGGTGCTGAGATGTCGTTTGGCGGCTGCTGTGTGTGGGTGTCGCTGATCACGGAGCTGGGCGGGGCGGGCGGCGTGGTGCTGGGTTGTGCTGTGCCCGGCCGCATTCTGCTTAGTTGTAAATGAGCCCTCCTGCTGCTTGTGTGGAGGGTCGGGCTGCGTGCTCTGTGCTGTCGCTCGTTATGTCCTAGTCCTGCTCCGCTGGTAGTCCACCTGCTCTAATGGCGGCGAATGCAAAATAAGGAGTAGGAAAATTTTTCCTTTAGGTAAATGCGCAGAAAGTAAAATTACAAGAGCTTGCAGAGGCGAAAAAAAAAAAATCAAATTTTACTATTGTTGTCTACAGGCTTTCTCCATCATTTCCCCAACAAAAGCGTTGTATTCTCACAGGCAAGGGCGGATAGAAAGTGAGAAAACGTTCCTAAGCCCAGAGATCGCGCAAGTAGCGCTTCTGCTTGGCCCACAGCATCAGCACCTGCAGCGCCTGCACCTTGGACAGCCCGCCCTCCTCGGCAGGCGCCTCAACCAGTTTTTCGACGGCCTCGGGGTGCTTCTCTGCGTACCTGACCAGGATCTCTGCCAGCGCCTCGTTGACATCCTTGCCCATGCCCTTGGCATCGCCGCACACAAATACCATGGCGTCCTTCTCCACCAGCAGCTCAGCGATCCGCCTCCCACTGTGCCAGCATCTCGTCCTGCACGTACCGCGGCACGCCGAAGCGCTCGCGGGCACCAGCATCCCGACTAAAGCAGGTCGACAGCCTTGTCAGCACCTGCTTCGCATGCATGTCCTCGAGCTCGCTCTGGAACAAATAGTCGTAGGCGTAGTGCCGGCAGCCAAAGAACAGCCAAGCAAACGGCTTCTCCCCCAGCCTCCCCTCCTGGATCTCCTGCTCGCGCTGTTGCAGGAACCCGATGAACGGTGCGACCCCTGTGCCCGGGCCAACCATGATCACCGGCCGTGTCTCCGCCTCGGGCAGCCTGAAGCCATTGATGTTGGGCCGCAGTGCAACCAAGATTCTCTTGTCCTTCTTTGCCAGCTCCTCCAACCAGGGCGTGCAGATGCCCTTGCGGTTGATTTTGGCAGGGGCCAGCGACGTGCTCGAGTCCTCAGCGGTGGAGAACGGATCCACGACCTCGAGCGAATACTCAACGACATTGAAGGCAAAGCGCCAGCGCTCGTCCTTGGGCGCGCTGCAGATCGAATACGACCGCGGCTGCAGGGCCGGCAGGATTTCAACCAGGCGACCCGCAGTCACGCTGCACGACGCGAATGCATGCAGGATATCCAGAACTGTGGGCGCCTGGCGCCGCAGCTCATTGAAGGTCTGCACGCCCTGGCGGCTGCTCAGGAACAGCAGCCGGTCGCGGTCTGCTGTCTCCGCGCAGCAGTCTGCCAGAGCCCGCAGGGTCTGCTTGCGCGGTGCCGCCGACAGATCCACAGCCCACGTCAGCAGGTCGCAGATCGATACGGGCTCGGCAGTGAACCGCTGCAGGTGCGCAGGCAGCGCGAGCTTCGGGTCCACCGGCTCCACCAGTGCCAGCCGCGCAGCCTCCTCGGCACTGACGCCGAGTCGAGCCAGCAAAGCGGCAACCAGCTCGGCGCTGTTGGGCGCATACACATTGAATGCATCGCCTGCCTGCCACTGGCCATGAGCATGCCCATCCAGATCCAGATCCATCAGCCAGGTGCGCTTCAGAGCCTCAGGACTGGTGATCAGCTGGGCACTTGCGATCCGAGCCGCAAACGGCGCCCCCTCGCCTGTCTGTGCTGCAAGCCATGGGGGGCACACGAGGTCTGGTGGCAGGCTGCCCCGTGCCAGATCCTCGGAATGCGCAATCCTGCACAGTGCGGCTGGGGCGCGCGGTGCGCCAGTGATAGCCTTGAGATCTGCCAGCATGGTAAAGTCTAGCACAAGCTGCTGCGACACATCATTCGCTGGCTCGATGGCCATGCGCTCAATCGCCTCGGTCGCCTCGTCCACGCCCTCTGTCTCCCGCTGGACCACTGCCGGCAGCACTGCCCATAGGCCGTCGATCCACGGCTCCACTGTCTCCTCAAGCCCAGTCCCGTCATCAGCCAGCCCCTTGGGGTAGAATGCATGGGCGCCTGCGGCCTGCAGCTGCTTGTCCAGCCGCTGCGCTGTGTTGCAGAAATTGGAGTAGTTGGTGTCGCCCAGCCCCAGAATCGCGTACCGCAGGTGCGTGTAGGCGGTCTTGTTGCTGCGTGTGGTCTTGCGCAGGACTCGCCAGAACTTGGTCGAGTTGTCGGGCGGATCGCCGTCGCCTGTCGTCGAGACCACAAAGACCACCGTCCGGAGCGAATTGAACCCAAGCTTTTCGTGGTCGTCCAGCACGTGCCACGTCGCTGCGTAGCCGCGCTTCACGGCCTCCTCGTAAATGTTGTAGGAAATTGACTCAGCATTGCCCGTCTGCGAGGCATAGAGAATCGCCAGACTGGAATCGACAAAAGCGGCCTGTTCGGTCATTTGCAAGAACACCAAAGAAAAAGTAACCAGAGATAACCAGCCAACCACCGGTCTCTCGGTCAACCGCCTGCATTTTGCTCACGGGCTTTTTTCAGAGAGTCAGCGACTTTTCGGCCCCCAAAAAATGGCCTTTGTTGGCAGGCCACGGGTTCGATTTACCCAGTCCGCAACAGACACAAAATTTTTTGCTGGAGCGCTGGCCTGCTTTCTGAGGGTATTTGAAGAACACGATTGCGCGCTTGGCCCCTTCTCTCTCTTAAAATCTTCATTACTGGCGTTTTTCTGTTTCTTTTTTGCACCCTCCCCTTTATCTCCAACCCGTTTGTTCTCGCTCACCTTTAGACTTTTCTCACGTACCATAGACCCGGCCTCTAATTTTTACCGCAGCGCGTTTCATATCTACTGTTCATTTTTTATCTCTCCACAGTTACCCCTTTTCCTAAAAAGAATGGCGTTCAATTTGGCGACGACGTCGGCGCAGGAGACAGTACGGTATGTGGCCGCCTACCTGGACGACATCACAGGGTGCTCGCGGGCCCTGGTTCTGCAGGCACAGCACCCAGAAGCCCACGAGCGGCATTCCTCGCTGACGCTGTTCCACGCACGGTCCGTGCCTACCATAGACCTGGAAACGTACCTGTCGCGGATCCTCAAATACTGCCCGTGCCAGAACGAGGTCTTCTTGGGCCTAATCGTGTACATGCAGCAGATGATAGACCGGTGCGCGCGCCGGCGAATGCCCTTTGCCGTCGATGCCTATTCCATCCATCGCCTGCTGATTACCGGCGTCACTGTTGCGTCAAAATGGTTCTCGGACGTGTTCTTTACAAACTCCAGATATGCAAAGGTAATGTCCAAGTCTCGGTGTTTGGTTGTAATTTTGCACACAATCGGAACAATGCCGATGCAGTGTCATGGCTTGTAGAGGGGGTGCGATGGCATGCTTTATTGACCTTGGGGGTTGCAGGATATGCACCCTTGTACAGCTGCGAGGCGCGCGGTTGAGATGTGGATTCGCTGCCTCTCTTTCTCTTCCCTGAGTGCAGAAAAAACTTCAGATGATAATCTCGCCCCACCACCAATCTTTGACCCCCACCGCCTCGCACACACAGCAAACTCCACTTTGCCCGCCTCCCCAATCGAAGAGATCCCCCTCATCCGTTCCACGCGACACCTGTTTTTTGTTGTTGTTGCTGCTGCTGTCCACTTAAATTCTCTGTATCCAAGTAGGTTGGCGGATTGCCTGTGGCCGAGCTGAACTCGCTGGAGCTGCAGTACCTGAGCATGATCGATTTTGAACTGAACATACAACCCGAGCTGTTGCAGACGATCGGAATGGATCTCTTCTGCGGCACCCTACCAAAGTTTGCCAATGTGCAGTTCGAGCGCCTGCCGTACGAATTTGCGCAGCAACAAAATTACGCACAACGGTCGGAGCGTCGCCACATGTCCTATCCTGGTCCATCTGGCGTCTACTATAATAGCTCGTGCGCATACCAGACTCCGCAGTACTGCAATGTCCAGTCGACTGCAAAGCATGCGGATCCCTATGCAAGCCAGAACCAGCACCCGTCGTCTGGATCCACCTTGGCGTCGTCGTCGCCAGGAGATACTGCCGCTATTGCTGCCTACCAGCAGGGCGTTGTTTAAAATATTTATCGTCCACATCCCTTCACTCTTTTTTGTCATGATTAGATTCACGAACCTGTGTTTTTCCTGTTTTTGCCAACATGTACCTTATCTCAAGCATATGTCTACATGGTAGCTCGCCAACAGCATAGTGGCTGGGTCTACCAGTTCAGCCCAACTCAGCTGGTTCAGAGGCAACTATTTGCCTGTGGTGCTATATATACACAGCTGGCGCTGGATTTGGCAAGCCCAGGTCTAAAGAGAGCTTAAAGGCACCTACAACAGAAAACTAGAAAGAGCCATGAGAGTCTTAGCAGCCAAACCCCAGATCAATACTGGGTTTGGTCACAATGGCAATGGCTGAACAGGCTGATATGTGAATTATAGCCTCACATTTGCATTTGTAAATATGTCTAATATGAACATATTAGTTTCGAAATATATACTGCTGGTGCCTACGGCCATTTAAGAGTCAAGCTATGGAGAGAGGTAGGGGGCGAGGGTGGCGGGAAGAGGGAGGAAAGTGATTATTAAGTAGCGGAAGGTAGGGGAAGTAACAGGGAGGGAGGGAGATGGCGGAAGGAAGAGGGGAATCTGGGATGGTCGAAGGACAGCCTGAGTCCAGCAAGTGCCACCAGACACCAGCAGTCACACACAAGTGCTTAGATCATGGACGGGCTAGCATTAACAGCCTGGAACACAATGTTCTCGCGCTGGTCAACCGGCACAGCTGTGATCTGTGGCGGGATGCCCTCAGAGAAGACATAGTTGATCGTATAGAATCCGTTAAGCTTCTCGTGCTCGACTGCCGCACGGCCGCCATAGCCCTTGCTCGGAGCAGGCGCTGCAGCAGGGGCGGGTACTGGGGCATTGTCGTACGAAGCTGCCCCCTGTGCTGAGTATGCAGGGGAAGCAGACGATGAGTACGACGGAGCAGCAGAAGAGTACGATGCTGGAGCAGCTGAAGAGTATGACGGAGCAGCCGAGGAGTAGGATGGAGCAGCAGAAGAGTACGATGCTGCAGCCGCCGACGATGAGGGAGCTTCTGGCGACGCATAGCCTGCGGGTGTCTCAGCAGGGGCCGGGGCGCCCGTGGGTGCCTGCTGAGGTGCGCTGATATCCAGGCTGGCCGTCAGGTGGATCACGATGTCCTGTGAGGAGAGAGCCGGAGCGGCCGATCCGTAGCCGGCAGGTGCCTCAGCTGGTGCTGCGGCAGGTGCTGCAGGATGTGCAGGTGCAGGGGTGTCAGTGTCGTTGCCATCGCCATAAGAATCATCAGCAGCTGAGGAAGAGTTGTATCCTTGAGGTGCGGGGGCGGGGCGGGGGCGGGGGCAGCAGGGCTGTATCCTTGGGGTGCAGGGGCAGGAGCAGCAGAGCTGTATCCTTGAGGTGCGGGGGCGGGGGCAGCAGAGCCGTATCCTTGAGGTGCGGGGGCAGGAGCAGCTGGGCTGTATCCTTGAGGTGCGGGGGCAGGGGCGGGGGCGGGGGCAGCAGAGCCGTATCCCTGGGGAGCAGGAGCAGCAGAGCTGGACGAGCAGTCAGCCGAGCTGGCGTCAGAATCACCATATGTAGGAGCAGGGGCTGCGGAGCTATAGCCCTGAGGCGCAGGAGCGGCGGGGCTGTAACCCTGAGGTTCAGGGGCCGCGGAGCTGTAGCCCTGAGGTGCAGGGGCAGGAGCCGGAGGAGCCGATGAAGCGCTGTATCCACTGCTGGGCTTGGAGTGGTACCCGCCGGGCACATGCTTGTATCCAATCTTGGATGCGTATGAGGCACTGGTCGGGGCCTCAGAACTATAGTCATTCGACGCCGACTGGCTCTCATACTCGCTGGCCGACGGAGCAGCGCTAGAGCTATAGCCCTGAGGTGCAGGAGCGCTGTATCCTTGGGGAGCAGGGGCGGCGGCAGGAGCGGAAGCAGCGGCAGCGCCATAGCCCGAGTCCGATCCCGACGAGCTGTAGCCTGAGCTACCATAGGCAGGAGCAGGAGAAGGTGCAGCCGAAGCGCTATATCCTGAGGATCCGGAGTCTGAACCGTAGCCAGAAGCAGCTGCAGGGGCTGCAGGGGCTGCAGGGGCGGCAGCTGCAGGAGCAGCACCACCATAGCTCGGCGAGCTGGATCCGTAACCCGATGAGCTGGAGCCATAGCCTGATGAAGAGTCAGCAGGAGCAGCGGCGGCAGGCGCGGCAGGAGCGGCAGGAGCAGCGCCACTAGAACTGTAGCCGGAGCTAGGAGATCCGTAGCCCGAGGCAGGAGCGGCGGCAGCAGGCGCAGGAGCGGCAGCAGCGGCAGCGGCCCCAGCACCGTACGAATCCGAGCTAGATCCGTAGCTGGACGAACCTGAAGCCGGAGCAGGGGCAGCGGCAGCGGCAGCTGGAGCTTCATTGCCGGTATAAGAGCTCGATCCGTAGCTCGGCGATGAAGAGTCTGCAGGGGCGGCAGCGGCAGCTGGAGCAGCAGCAGCACCATAGCCAGATGAGCTGGAACCATAGCCCGACGAAGACGAATTTGCAGGAGCAGCAGCAGCAGGAGCAGCAGGAGCGGCGGCACCACCATACGATCCCGAAGAGCTGGAACCATATCCTTGCGACGCACGGGCAGCACGAGCAGGCCTGTTCCTCAGAATACTGCGCGAACCGTAGCCAGCAGGCTTGACGGCAGCGGCACCATACCCTGAAGGTGGGCTACCAGAGTAGGCAGCCATTGCAGGCCCAGAGTTATGACCTTCACAGGCAACAACGCTTGGGGCTGCGCTGGCGATGGCAGTCATAAGTAGTGAGATGGAAAGGACGCTCTTCATTTTGTGCTGAGGGAGGTGGTGTTGATAGCGCAGAAGCTAGGGTATTAGGGTTGAATTGGAGAGTGCTCGAAAATATTGAACTGCTCAAGGTTGGCAGCGAGTGTTACAGATGCTAGAATCGATAACGCTCAACGGGAAAGGTACGGGAAAGGAAGGAAAGAGGTATACGCGACAAAGAGGGGAAGGAAAGGGAGTACTTTAGTGCTACGCTTTAGCCAGGTGCGATAGTTTTAAGATCACTGCTGGTCGAATCGGGGATATTTAAATGTTCATTTGCAGATGGCCCTTCTGCACATGAAGGTCAGAGGTGTTTAGAAGTATACTTGATAGTAGTGTGCTGTCTTAGACCATACTCACACCAACTGCATTATTTGAGGCAAATGGCGGCTGGTCGGCAACAAAAACACCCTCCACATCAAATGTGGGTAACCCCTGTCTTGTTTCTATTAGTATTCTCAGTGTGGTCCCACGACTAATATTGCATTCGATGTAGCGAATACACCCCCAAGCTCTGCCCATGAGTGCCCCTTGGCGGTTTGGTTGTTTCAAAAAGGAGCCTAATGCCCGCAAGGAAACCATCTAGGTTGAGTATACAAGTGAGACGGTTACTAGCCACACCAAGCCAGAACGAGTAAATCAACATTGCATCAAAAATAAGAACATTGCGGGGGGACTTATCAATGATGGTAGTTCACAGGAACAAATGTGTCGGCGTTTCTCATTTTCCCCACATATTAGGTATCGGCCCAATTTCCGAGGATATAGGCATTTGCACTCACAAACGCCATTGCATCATGTGCATACGGAACGTGCCCGCACCCATAGCATTTTAAATATTTTAGGTGACTTTCTTGACGTGACATGACTGATAAAAAGAAGAAATTAGGAGAGGACGGATCGGAATAGCGTGGATATAAGGGATGGAGGTGGCGGGGAGGGAGGAGGGAGGAGGGAGGTAATGGAAAGGGAGGGAGGAAAGGTGGAGATATCAGCAGAGAATAGAGAAATGTAACAAGCAGAATACGGAGGGGTAGAGTGAAGGGGGTGTGGGTATGGAACGAGAAGGGAGTACCAGGGACTGGAAAAGGCAAGTAGGTTGGTGCAATGTCGCTTTACACGTTGTGCGGTGACATTGCACGAAGCGACTTAATCGCAATCCTCGCCAGCATTAGGCACGACGGTCTGGCCGGGAACAGCGAGCCACTGAGGTGTGACCCTAGTGGTGGCATAGACATACTGCGTGTTGACGATGGTGACGGTGTAATCGACACACGAGCCGATGGTGGCAACTGGCGCGCCGTTGTTGAGTGTCTGGGCGACCTCACCAGCCATCTGGACAACAGTGGTCACACAGTCCTCATCAGGAACCATGACGACGGTTGTGGTATCCTCGCAATCCGGCTCATATGCAGGGGTCTCGCAGTCGGTAGTAGGAGTCTCACAATCAGTGGTAGGGGTGTCGCAGTCGGTAGTCGGCGTGTCACAGTCGGTGGTTGGCGTGTCGCAGTCGGTGGTAGGAGTCTCGCAGTCGGTGGTAGGAGTGTCACAATCCGGGGTGGTCTCGCAGTCGGTGGTTGGCGTGTCGCAGTCGGTGGTCGGAGTCTCGCAGTCGGTGGTGGGTGTATCACAGTCCGGGGTGGTCTCGCAGTCAGTAGTCGGGGTATCACAGTCCGGAGTAGTCTCACAGTCGGTGGTCGGTGTGTCACAGTCTGGAGTGGTCTCGCAGTCGGTGGTCGGAGTATCACAATCCTCAGTCGTCGGCGTGTTGCAGTCGTCAGCACCTGCATTGGGCACCTGTACAACAGTGGTAGTCGGCTCGGGGACAGCAACTACGGTAGTAGTGGGCTCAGGTACCGCAACAACAGTGGTAGTCGGCTCAGGAACCGCAACTACAGTAGTTGTTGGCTCAGGGACAGCAACGACAGTAGTCGTGGGTTCACATGAGGTCGACGGAGGTGCATATGCAGGAGGCGACGAAGTCTCACAGTCAATAGAGGCGGCAGGTGCTGCGTACTGGACACCTGCGCCATGGTGTCCAGAACCAGAACCGTGGTGTCCAGAGCCCGATCCACCTGATCCACCTGATCCACCTGATCCACCCGATGCAACTGATGCAGCCGATGCAGCCGATGTAACCGATACAGCCGATGCAGACGCCGGAGCAGCAGCTGGAACGGTAGCTGGTGTAGCAGCATGAGTAGTAGCAGCAGCATGAGTAGCGGCAGCAGCATGAGTAGCGGCAGCAGCATGAGTAGCGGCAGCATGAGTAGCGCCAGGAACACCATGAGGATGACCATGGGTAACGACGGCAGGGGTGATTGGGGTGATCGGGGTGGCCGGGGTGGCAGACGGTGCAGGCGTTGCAGGCGTTGCAGATGTTGCAGGTGTTGCAGGAGCAGCTGGTGTGGTAGGTACAGCTGAGGCTGCAGTTGCAGGCGCAGCAACTGAAGCTGCATTTGCGACTACCGAGCTTGTAGCAGGGGCATGCTTACTGGCAAGGACAGCCGGAGAAACACAGGCAACGAGAGCGAGGGTGATAGAGACACGCATTTTAAACTATATTAGATGTGTATTATTGAATAGCAGGTCGTTATATAGCTGACGAATGTAGGTTGTGATTGTGTGATACGGGAGAGACAGAGGAGTGCGGAGGTGGGGGAGGGAGTGCGAATTAGGGGGGAGACGTATTAATAGGGTGTATTCTGCTTGTTTGTGATATCTCACCGATACCGGTTCCTATGAATTGCCTAGGGGTTCCTGGCTATATATACCATCCACCCCAGCCTAGTGCACCAGAAGGTGGGAGTGTGTTTGGCGGCAAAAACATTTGCGATGGAATTGAGCAGTCAAACCACTCCAATCCTAATGGTAGGTATACCCATTCATTTTCCCTTCCCGGTCTAGACATGCATGACTAGAGGGACCGCACAGGTCTACGGATCGTTTGCAATTCATACCAATTATTGCCGATGCTCAGTCTAGAGTTCCTATGTCTGATATCCATATTGGCCGTCTGGAATTCAGCGATCATCGCTAATACTGCGTGCGGTTGCTGTTCTCGGCCGACGGTGTGTTTCATTGGCAGCAGTGGGCAGCAGTGGTGATCTGATGCGTTAATTTTGATTCCCGCGTCTTAGCTGCACTTTGGCATTACGTAGGCGTTCTGCCACCCACGGCCCACGGCATACGTACCACGCTTTGCAAGGCAGACTGACGAGTGGCATATCCCTCTTTTTTTCTTCACAGCAGCCGCCAATTTCTATTCCACTACTTCTCTACCTTCGCAGGTCCTCGAGTAATCAGAGCTCTTTCTTTATTCTTCCCATTCAGCACACACTCGCATTGCTCATTATCGTCTGGCAGCATCATGGAGGCACAGTTTGCGATTGCAGGAAAGGACTTTGTCGTTTCGGTGACGGACAAGAATGTGGTCCACTCTATCGTTAAAATGAAGCACACCCAAGACAAGACGTGGCAGCTGTTGCCGATGACGCTGATGTCAGTGTGCGGCGAGCCGGGCGACACAGACTCGTACGCAGAGTATATCCAGGGGAATGCCAAACTGTACAGCGTGCGCAACGCGCGGGATCTGTCAGTAGGCGAGACAGCGAACTTTATCCGCGGCGAGTTGGCCAGGGCACTGCGCTCACGCAATCCGTTCCAGGTCAACCTGCTGGTCGCTGGGTACGACAAGGAGAAGAAGGAAGCGGCGCTGTATTGGATCGACTACCTTGCGGCGATGGCCAAGGTGCCATATGGCGCGCACGGCTATTGCTCGTACTTTTTGTACTCGGTCATGGACCGCGAATACACCGAGGACATCACGCTGGAGCAGGCGCTCGACATTGTCAAGAAGTGCATCGCAGTCATCAAGACTCGCTTCATGATCGACCTGCCCGACTTTACGATCAAGATCATTGACCAGAACGGCACCCGCGAGATTGAGCAGAGTGATCTCTAGGCATTTTGTTAGCAAGTCACGGCCTCCTGCTTTCCAATGAATCCGTCAGAATAACCCACCTGCCGTCCATGAGCCGGTCCGGCTCAGTCCTGAGCTGGAAACACCTGTGTGATCTGTGATCAGTACAGATCAGCGCGAATGCTTTTTTTCGTAGATATAAAAAGACGCGGGCCGCGAAAAACTTTTCATTGCCCACGCTTGTCTCTGCTCTCATCTCAAAGTTCATCTGCTCCTTTTTGCTGCCAGGCCTATTGCCAAGGTATGTTTTGATTTTGAATCTGCTGAGCGTGCTTGTGCTTGTTCGCAATGATGACCCAGGCATTTGACTTTATTTACCCGGCCCCACACCTCTTTCTGAGGCGGAGCAGGGTAATGACGACAACCTCCTGCTACCTATAAAACTTGTCTGAGCAAAAACACAAGCTGCTGTGCTTTTCTTTTAAAAAAACCGCAACCAGCTTGGACATCTTGCTAACATTATTTGTTACACGTGAACCTAGGTAGCAATGTGCGCAAGCGACTGCTGATCAGCGAGAGTCGGGCGGGCCACCAGCGACAAGCGAGCGAGTGCAAGGTACGTTCGTCTGCTTGATCCACCGATCTGGCGCGTATTGCAATGATGACCCAGGCATTTGACTTTATTTACCCGGCTCCACACCTCTTTCTGAGGCGGGGCGGGGTAATGACGACAACCTCCTGCTACCTATAAAACTTGTCTGAGCACACACATTGCCCAATGCCCATCTTGGATAGTGATGATATCGGTACTGACTTTTGTATTCGTTCTTACGCATATAGGTAAAGTAGCCAAGCCAGTGTAAATATACTTTCTTCACGATGTGCGATACATAATATCGGCACGTAGTACTGGGGGATTTTTATGAGTGCTTTTGTTAAAGAAATGAAGTTATCTAATGTTTATATCCCAAATGCATCTGACCGTCCGCTAGAACGTTTTTTTTATTGATTGGACAGATTCAGGCCCGTTTGGTCCTCACAGCGAGTATGCATGACTCGTTCTGTGAACACCTAAAAGCCACTATTCTCCCATTGAGCCGATGGATTCAGATCTTGTGGTGCCAGATATACTAGGCTTATGGCGCTCGCAATGCGAGCTTGGCTAGTCACTATGCTTTAGACGGTCGATAATGTGAAGAAATCTGCCATGGGGCTTCACAGCCTATGGCCGATATCAGCCTAAGTAAGGATATCCTCATAACACTCGAAAAATCGAACCCAGAACTAGCACTATCATGAGCAATCGGGGTGCACTGATGGCCCGACACCATGCGCAGATTCGTGGCAAGGGATGGCGCGACAAGTTCAAGCACCATGGTTTTGAAGTCTATCTGATTGACGAATTCCGGACATCGTCGATGTGCCCGTTCTGCTGCGAAAAGTCGCTGCAGACATTCCGGCATGTTCCCAGCTCACGCCCCTATCAGAGATCGGCGAGCCCGACTATCAAGTGCCATGGCCTTCTCTGCTGTACAAGCGAGTTATGTAAGCGGGCCATGGCACAATACAGGCAAGCCTATTCGTCTCGGCTCTTGAACCGCGATCTCACAGCAGTTCTAAACTTCAGGCTCATTTTCCAGTCACTCTGTGATTCAGGCAGTATTCCTGAACGGTTCTGCCGTTCTAAGGCCATTGCTATCGATACTTTTGGCATCACTACCGCAACGAAGAAGCTGCGCAAGAGGTGTGCAGCAGCTGCAGGCGATTATGCTGCCAGCAGTGACGAACCAATGCAGAAACTCCCGCGCTGGGCAGGCCACCAAGATGGGAGATGTCCATGATCACCATTACACCAACAACCATCCGACACGTTCAAGTGACTGGTTCACCGTGATGCATTTATCGACGTGTCAACCCATGCTGACTAGCAGCCGAGCTTGCATCGCGAACGGGGTAATTCTAGCAATATGGCCATTTGGTCCATATCTGTGTCCATGTTCTCCCCCAGAACCAAGTCGCCAGAATCGAACCTGTGGAGGGATTCACACACGCAATATATGCTAGTGAATGGGTGAGCCAGCAGGGACCGTCAGGTGGCCGACCTGTCGGGCCAATCACCTGTGGTGACGTGGAGAGCAGCACAGCCAGACTGCTTATAAATTAGTTGGAGCTGGCCGCTTGCGGTACCCCAGCTCTTTCTCCTTTTCTTTACTAAGTTTTCTCCTCTCTTTTACTTTTACCATGAAGGTTCCTGTCAGTCTTTTGCGTGCCTCCGGGCTTTTCTACGTTGTACTTATTTTTATGACGCTCAGTGCGCGTCTGGTCGAGGCGGCGCGTGGCCCGGTTGTCACAGATAAGGTGTACTTTGACATCAAGCAGGGCGACGAGAGCCTGGGCCGCGTTGTCATTGGTCTGTTCGGTAAGACCGTGCCCAAGACAGCCGAGAACTTCCGTGCTCTGGCAACCGGTGAGAAGGGCTTTGGCTACAAGGGCAGCAAGTTCCACCGCGTCATCAAGGACTTTATGATCCAGGGCGGCGATTTCACACGCGGCGACGGCACCGGCGGCAAGTCGATCTACGGCGCCAAGTTCAAGGACGAGAACTTCAAGCTGCGCCATACCGGCCCCGGTATTCTGTCGATGGCTAATGCTGGACCGGACACCAACGGCTCGCAGTTCTTTATCACCACCGTGACCACGAGCTGGCTGGACGGGCGCCACGTCGTGTTCGGCAAGGTGCTTGAGGGCCTGGAGGTTGTGCGCAAGATCGAAGGCACTGCCACTGGGCCGAGCGACAAGCCCAAGGAGGACATCGTTATCGCCGAGTCGGGTGTGCTGGATATGGATGGGGAGACCGAGACCCCTCTGCGCGTCGAGCTCTAGTAGCTAAATTCTCTTTCATCAATGCGATTTTATCCCCTTTCCACAGGCAGCGCTTGTGGTGTTTGCTCAAGGCTGGCAGTTAAATTGGATGGCGGTGAATTGGGCTTTGCGCACGCACGTTGTTATTACGGCCCCCGCAGACCGGGCGGTTGGAATTCTCTGCATGCGTGTGACTACGGCTGGAGGGGCAATTATTACTGGCAAGCCGTTACGACTGACGCATCGTTACATTGAGAGCTATCTCGGCTTACTGCTGGCGTCGGACCATATCGTTGTTCGTTTCTGAGTATGGAATGATATTTTTGCGGGAGAGGAGGCAAAACTGCACCTGGGCAGTAGTAAAGGGAGGCTCGGTTATCTATTGGCATTTTCACTGGCTGCTGGCAGCAGCGGGAAACTCTGGCTAATTGATGCCTGGGCGGCAGTAGCAAAAACCCTGACAGAGTGGCGATTACTTCTTTGGCTTGGACTTTAGGCGACTGAGCGCCTCCGCCAGCCCCTGCTGGGTGGCCGGGTTATTGACCATGGCCCAGCACCAGGCGTTGTCAGCCTCAAAGCTCTCATCGAACAGCTTCAGGTGCGCGCGGCGCAGGCTGCGGTAGGTGTCGGCCTGGGCCTGCGGCTGGAACTTGGCAGCAGCCTCGATGTGGCTCACAATGGCGGCCTGCATCTGCTCTTTCGTCTCGAACACCTCGTCAACCAGGCCGGCCTCCTTTGCCTGCTGTGCAGTTAGGGTGCGGCCCAGCGGGAGCATCTTTTCGGCAGTGCGTGGGCTGGTCAGATCGCGGTACCGCGCCGCAAGCCACTCTGGCACCGACATCCCGACTGCCACCTCGTTGAGCCCGATCGTCGATCTGCCCGCCACCATGAAGCGGCTCTGGAAGGCAAGCGCAAACACACATCCCATGCCCAAGGCGTGCCCGTTTACGGCTGCGATCGATGGCACCGGCATGGCGTGGATGCGGCGGTAGATTTGCTTGCCCAGCACCCAGAGGCGCAGGAACTCGTCACGAGAGATATTGTGGAATATTGGGAAATTGAACCCAGCCGAAAAGATATTGTCCAGGCCGGACTGCAGAACGAGGCCGCGCACGTTCGGGGCCGCTTCGACCTCAGCCAGGGCGTCGCTCAGGGCCACAAACGACGAATAGTCGAACGTGTTGGCCTTTGGGCTGTTCATGGTGATTGTAGCCAGGGCCTGGTTGTTGGCGAGCTGGCTGAACGTTACGTAAACCGGTTTCGTGCCCATTGGGCGCCGAGGCACTGCTCGCATACTGCTGGCAAAAGCCACTGACGTTCGACGTGCTGCATGTACCCGAAACATGTTTTCCTTCTGTTGCTTGTTCTGCAGATGCCGAGAGTGCGAGTGAGCCGCAACAAGAGTGCGAAATAGGCGGGAGAGGAGTGCGAAATGAAAGAGACAAAGGCGAGAAAGCGGCGTGCATCCCGCATGCTTGTCTCGTCAGATAGGGGGAGCTCGCCTCCGCCAGCTGCATCGACCTGCGCTCTTCATGCATCGCACGTGAAAGACCTGAATGTCGCGGAAATGGACCAGAGTTCATTTCAGCACTAAAAAGCCGTCTCCAATCATAGAACCGTGGGGCCGTCATGGATGTGCGGGTCGGCCAAATGATGTAAGGCGCACCCGCGCAATACACGCCGAAGACCAGTAGGCACAATAAGGTACACAACACTGAACCATGGCCCGGTTGTCCTCGGAGCATGTTTTTGTGTGTGCGAGCCTGGGCTGGAAAAGACCCGAGTTGCTCCGCTCTACAGGAGGACAATCGGAACACGTACATGTTGTCTCTTCGAGCTCCAGAGACAACAAGCGCAGGCTTCGGGCGTGAGTGTTGAAGGCTGTCGTTTTTCCCGGCTGATTGCCGATGGCTTGCGAAATTCTCGATTCCCACAGGACGCCATTGTCAAGAAAGAAATTTTTCGGTGGGCACGGGTACTGCCCAGCGTGCTGCGTACGCTCATTTACGACGCATGGCGCGGGGTGAGGAGGAGCAGGCTCAGGCCATGCAACAAGGGAAGAGAAGCGCACAGCATGCGGGTGTGCTCGGTGGTGCGAACAAGAATGTCACACGCAGAGGCTCGGTATATGGACACACCCAGCCGCGCGTGTGATCTGCACCGTTTCCCTGATATGTCGCTTTTGCAGATGCAATCGGCCTGTGCCCTGCTGTGCACGGCCGGCGGGGAGGGGACGGCTGGTGTCAATGACGCCTGCGCTGGTGCAATTTTGCACACCAACAATTTCACCCGCAGACAACTGAAGGGTCGTAACCTAAACAGGCCAACATCGTTCTTTTCGAGGCCTACATTTGCCGACACAATGCGCCGCTTGCATGGAATTGCACTTGTTCAGCTTTACTGCGTCCACCTTTTGCCTTGGCTGTTGCCTGTACAATTGGTCACGAGGGAGGGGGTGGGTGGGTGTGCTCATTCTCCCCGCTCAGCCAGGGGACCGGGTTGCGTTCCCGGCCGTACCCGCACCACCGACCCACCCCTCCCCGTATGAGTTTCACTTTATTCGCTGTGGAAAAATCACTCGGGGTTCTACTGTTCTGGGCGGTAATATAAGCTGTCTTTTTGAGCCCGGGCGCCTGTTTTATTTTATATTTCACGCCATCTGGAGCACCTCTTGACGTGAGATGGTCACTACTTTTTCCCTCTCCTCCTCCCCCCTCGATTCACTCACAGCACACTCGAGCTGCCTAAGCGCCCTCCACTATTTTATATAATCTTTGGTCCAATTCTGCACATCACCACTGTATATCCTTCTTTATTATTTACAGCCCTTCCCTGTGGATCACTCATTCCCGCATCCACCCCTGCTGCTTCTAATTTAACCCAATTCCCTCCCTTTCGCGTACAACTCTCTTCCCCCGTAGTTCCCTAGCATAGGTAAGCACCATGTCCGTCCCCCTGTCCCCCCTCTCCGCCTTCTGTGAAGCACCTGCATCGACTCCACAAATATGCACCACTCCCCCATTTTCTGCCTCGAATTTTGTTTCTCTGCATGTGTGGTGGCATGAGCGGCTGATGGGCTGCTTGTGCGCCTTGCCCACTTTGCGCATGTATGCCCACTACCCCTTCCCCCTCCTCCCTCCCTCCCTCTATCCCTACGATTGTGGTGCTGTGCGAGTGCCATTGCGGTTTTCCCCGGGTGCTGAGCCTGTCCGCCTCGCTCGCTATTTGGCGTGGTTCACATGTGTGCCACCGCTGTGCCCCTCACCTGCTTTTCTGCACCACCCTTTCCACCCGTTCATTTGAACGCCACTGTTTGACTAGCCCCGCCGGGCACACATACATCACGGTGCTTGGCAGCTATTTATCCAGGCATATATCCAGCCATTTTCTGGTCAATTGGGCATTGACTGCCGATGACAAGCGGGCCGGGGCGTGTTAATGGCCAAAAAATGTGGCCAGCGCCACGCACACATCTCCACCTGCGGCTCTAGCCTTATTCTCGCCTCCCTCTTTATTGCCCACATTTGCCGAAAAGAACGCACACCTTACTGCCGAAATTACCGCCTGCTGAGCGACACTGGCAAAATGGAGGCAGGCGAGTATGCTAATCCACCCTGCCCCGACCATTTTTTTGCAGAAAGCAAAGCGAACGGAAAAGGATCCGCCTGCCCGAATATGCGCTCTCTTTCCTTTTCGGCACTATTGATTGTTGTTCCTCACCTGGCCCTTGCCGGGGTTTCACAGTCGCATACCCTTCATTGCCGGGTGCTGTCTTTGTCCTTTCATCTTGCGCAGCGTTCTCGGGTATGTTGGTTCGCGCTTGGTTTCCGAAAGTGGGCGGGAAAAGGCACCTGTCATTCAGAGTTTGCAGCACACCCCCGGGTTGCGCAGACCCGAGACGCCGTCACTGTCTGCATTAATTGGTTTTTTTCATCTGTCGGCTGTCTCCGGCATCTCTCGACATAAATACTCCACATCTGCCCGCTCTTTTTCTCTTCCCGCTCACGTCTTTTTAATTTCCCCTCCTCTCTTTTCCTGTCGCTCGCACCCCCTTCTATTGTATATTCCTCTGCTCTTCAATACTGCCTCCTGCCTATCCTCGCACATCTTTTTATTTGCCTCGGGTGCAATCGAGTATCCGATAATTTTTAGGAACCTGTCTCCTTCCCGCACCAATTACCACGGCCCCTTGAACTATTCCCTACCTTCTTGGTTTGCACCCTTTTTCGCGCACCCCGTTGAGCTGCTCCCACCTTTTTGATTTGCTTTTTTTTTTTTTTGGCTCCCCTGACCAACAAAAAAAAAAGAAAGAAAAAAGATTGTTTAGTCATTCTCTTATAACTGGCTTGCTCTTGTCACAAATACTTAGTGTCTCCTATATTGACATAGGCTCTTCACTACAGCACCCCCTCATCATAAATGCAGACTACCGAAAGCAGCACTCGTGATTCCGAGCGGCAACGAGGAGGGGACACTGCTGATGCCCCAGCGGCCGCGCCGGTGCGCAAGCGGCTGTCGCTGGCATGTACAACATGCCGTCAGCGCAAGGTCAAGTGCGACGGAGCGCGGCCATCATGTAAGACGTGTGCCAAGTTCAACTGGCCATGCATCTACCAGCCATCGAACCGCAAGCGCGGGCCTCGGCCTCGGGCGATGGCAGGCATGGATGTGCCAGCTCCGTTCACGAGCCGGTCCCCGTGGGGCATGGCGCACGGCTACCCTGCGTACGCGTACGGCGGCGGGCCGCCTGGCATGGTGGGCATGCCACCGCCGCCACCGCAGCAGTATATGATGCCAGCCGATGGTGGCCCTGCAGCAGGGCCGCTGAGAGTCGACCCGCTGCATGGCCGGCCGGGTGGGTACAACCACGACATGTTCTCGTCGTACAGCGATTACATGGCGAGCACGACGCCGGTGCGTGTGCGGCCAGCACGGCCCATGGTTGTGGAGCCGCCCATGTACTATGGGCAGAACCCACGCAGCCCGCTGTCACCGCCAGGCGTGGCGCGGCAGCCGCGGCCGCTGCGCGGATCCTCTGATCCATATTCGACTGGACACCACTACACAAATGGCAGGACATTCGCGTCGCCGCCTCTGCATGCCCAGCAGCCGCCATACATCAGCTCGCAAGAGGATGTCTCGGGAATACACGCTGCAGGCGTCTATAATTCTGTCAAGGGCGTGCAAATCCCTGCGAGTGCTGCAGCGCTCTCGGCATCCGCCCAATCCGAATTCGACCACTCGCAGCACAAGATCGCCGGCGCGGACGCGTGCAATGCTCAGCCACTGTCTAAGCCTCTGTCTCACCCATACACCGATACACCCATGTCCGTGCCCATTCCGCATGCATCGGGCGTGCCGTTTATGTCACCGCCGCTGCCACCACGCACCAGCGACGACGTCTACGGCACATCGTCCAGCTCGATGCCAAACATGTCATCGCTGAGCGCCTTCAAGAGCGACGTTTTGCGCATGCAGCTGCCCCCATTGTCCGAGGCTCTAGGCGAAAGCTACTTGCGGCCAGCTGCAAGCAAATGCAGCGGAGTGACGCTGCCACTCAAGGACTCGTTCCATGAGGAGGTGTCCAAGATGCTTGCATCACAGAGCAGTGATATGCATGGCAGTAGTGAGAATCGCGTGCGGCTGCCACCTATTGTTGGCCTGGACTCGCTTCGAATCGACGGTAAATGAACCAAAAAATACCATGCCCTCCTTCCCAGCAGCACCTTGCAGCCTGTTCGTTTAGAAACGACCTCCAGCGCCCCGTGTATACTTTTTTTATTCCACATTGTTCACCATCAGCACTCACTTCCTCTTCTAATTTTATGCCCTACTATCTTCAAATAAAACGCCTTCTTTAAGCAGCCAGCCGCTTCTGTTGGAGTGCAACTTGTCCGCCGGGTGCTGAACCTTAATTCCATTCTCTGGAAATGGTGCCTTGCCCGCCCCTTGTTTCGCAGCATTGTCCCCAGCTCGTGTTCCTTTTTTTCTTGCTCTAGGCCTCTCAGAAGGGATGCATTTTTGTTTGTCCGAGCCATTCACCCTGCCCTATACCTCGTGTGTGTGACTCGCATTGTGCGTTGCGTATTTCCATTTTTGGGGTGGTGGAGGGCGGGTCAAAATAAACCCATGGACATTGAACAATCCCCATGATGGCCGCTCGGATGTGCCACTTTGGCTAAACGGCACTGCCTGTCACCGAGGCCACAATGCGCCTCCAATGTGCACGGAAAGCCCCTCGGTGAACGCACACGTAAAATTGCTTTTCTGCTGTTTGCGTGGACACTGCAATATGCCATGCCCAACGACACGAGGTTGCAGAGACATTCATACAAGAGCGAAGGCACCTTGCCCCATGTATGAAGTGGTTGTGTCACAGTGGGCCAATTGCCGATTTTGGACATCAGGCACGTGCAGAAGAGCAATCATCTGATCAGATTACGATTTCGGGTGATTTGCGGCTGCCAAGCCGACTAATTTTAGATTGGTATGCAAGCCAAGGGCTCCCTGATACCCACCAGCCCCACAGCCAAGACTGTGCTGCGCCAAAGCACGCTGTGTATCCACACATAAAGCGTGACGCATTCGGCAGCTGTTTTTTCTCCTTTGCTTTCCAAACAATCTCCGCCACATTTTCACTATATTAACAACTTTCCATGGACGAGAAACAAAGACTGGCCGATCTCGAGGCGAAACAGAGCCAGTACTTGAACCAGTACGGCCAAGAAGTTCCTGCTCAGCAGCAGCACCATGCGCCGGCGGGCGACACAAAGAACGAAGGTTACCAGACAAGCAGGGATGTGTATCCACCGTACACGCAGGCAGGCCCTGTGAGCCCCTATGGACCCGGCAGCCAGAGCCAGCCCGTCAGCCAGGCAGGACCCGCCAGGCAGGATCCCCCGCAGTACAGCGACGTGGGCCCTGTCCCCCCTGGGCAATACTCAAACGACCCGTACGGTGCACAGGCAAGCAGCAGCCGGCACACAGAGCAGCCGCCTCAATACCAAAGCAAGGCGAACCTGCCGCAGGAACCGGCTATCTCCGGACAGCAGATGAAGCTCGACCCAGGCACGTACATTGAGATTGAGGGGGCGCCAGCACAGCTCAACTGTCCGTACTGCCATCTACCGATTATTACTCAGATCAAGACAAAGACCGGCACCAAGACGGTGGTAGCTGCCGTGGCCATTGCGGTCGTTTTCTGGCCGCTGGCGTTCATCCCGTTCGTGTCGAAGCGCATGAAGAAGTCTGTCCATGTGTGCCCGCACTGCAAAAAGAACCTGGGCAAGGTCGTCACTGTATCTGCAGTTCGGCCCGTCCAGCAGCAATGAGTGTAGAGCTTTTTTTCTTTCTTTCGAATACTCCAGTAATCTATTTATTCTTCTTCCGTGCTGCTTTGCGCTGGCGTGCTTCCCGTGCCTGCTGCTTTAGCTGCTCGGGCTTTCCGACGTTCTCTTGGTTGTACGGGCAGTGTCTGCACGCATTGCCGCAGCAGTACTCGCGGTCAAGGTGCGACAGCTCTGTGAACACTGTGTAGCCGGTTGCTGGGTCGGTGTAGGTGCGGTCGCCGTTTGCAAGCGCAGCTTCGTGTATGCGCCTCCAGGGCGTGTCTTCGATATCGCCAGGCATGGTGAAGTAACGGACGAGCGGAAGGCGGCGGCGGACGGCGAGAGTGGCAGCGAGCAGCTGACGCATAAATACGGGACGCAACAAGAGGTGTGGATATTTGCAATTCTCTCACAGTGCACCCGTGGGAGCCAGGGCTGGCACTACTCCGTAGGCCATAAACGGTGATCCATATGGGCTTGACTCTACTACACTGTAGATCCCAAGAACTGCAGAAACCTAGTCAGACAGCGGCGACATGCGCTCGACCAATGTGGCAGTGCGCGGGGTCCTAGCGCTGCTCGCAGCTGTCCGCGTGTTGTCCACTGTGGCATCACACTCTGTATCTCCATGCATCATTGCTGCCACATCACTTGGTCACCACCAGGCTGCGTGATACCAGGGAAGGCAGGCTAGATAGCATAATGCCCTGCTGACAGAAAACACCTGGTGATGTACTGCCCGTGACTGCATAACGTCAGTCCGCAGGCAGTCTAGAGAACTGGAACCACATGGAAAGGATCTGTTTGCAGGAGCTATGTTTATTCACTATTCGTCTACCAACACACAGTGCTTGCAGCCAAAGCTATCAGGTGAAAAGCGGAATTCCTGGCCATGTGCTCCTGGTCCACGTCGGAATCCGCCGCGAGACTCGGCAACAGCGAGGAGCAGACAAGTGAGGGAGATTATAGCGAGGCGCATTAGCAGGGAAGACAGAAATAGCAGAGGCGAGAGAAATAACAGAGCTAAAATCGACAAACTAGGCAATCTGTGGTGGCTGTTATTGTTCTTGACTCCTGGGAGAATTCCGAGACATGCTGGTTCCTCGGCCGATCGATAACGCTTGGCCCGGGGATACCAGAGCCCCTCCCCCAGATACTCCGCCAGGATGTGTTTGTTTGCTGCGTCCCGATCGTGCATGCATATCTGCTGTAGTCCAACAAATACACTGTGCATGGTGGTGCATTCCCGGCCTGCGTGTCTGCTGCGCTCCGAGGGGCATGCACGTCTTTTCCCTCATCCCCAACAAAGCGTGCCCGGGGTTATAGCTCTTGTTTTTTCGCTGCAACTGACCTCGTGAGCAGCTAGTCAGTTTGGGCACGCACATCGCGTGTGTTTGAAGAAAAGTTTTTTTTTTTTGGTAGGCTCGGGTGGTGGAATGCCACCTGCTATTTCCGCGACATGCCTGGCGACATGGGCGCACAAGCGTGTGTTATTCTGACTGTGACTGGGCAGATGTTCCACCGTCCAAGGACTGGATACACAGTGGTGGCTTCCAGTGGCCATTCTGATAACAGAGCGAAATGGTACACCCAGCACCAATTCCGGGTATGGCGATCGACAGGATGGACGGACATTTGACTGGGATGGCAAAATGGGCAAAACAGCTAGTCAAAAAGAGCCTGTCCCTCCGCTGAAAAATGGACAAAAAATGGACAAAAAATTACCCACGGGCGTTAGGAATACGGGCCAAAGAAAAATGCGCGGATGGGAAGGGCATTTGGGAAAGTGCGCATGGTTAAGATTGGTGGCAGAGGCCAGGCTGGGGCTTGCCGCTGAGATATTTAAGGGAGCTGCCTCCCATTCCCGCTCTCCCGCCCGCCGACAATACTTTCTTCTTGCCTTTACTTTTCTGCACTTTTGGAACATCCAGTACACTTTTTCGTATTTTTACACAAGACCTCGTCTGTATAATCCTCAGGAGACACCTCTGTCACGTTTTATTCCTGGGACATTCGCTCAACTACATAGCTCTATAAAACCAACCACGCTGTAAACCAATCCCTGCTCGAGTTCAATGCCCATCAGCGTTCCATCGACTGCATCTGCTATTATCCGTGCATCTTCTGCTGCATCTCTCAAACGGCCCCTCGCTGCCGCCTATGTCCATCCTACACGCCTCGCTTTCATACATACTCGTCGTGCCTCGGGTCCAGCAGCCCTTGTCGCTCGACATGCAGGAGCACCCGCGACGTATCCGTCGGGTTCCCTGAGCCCGCGCAGCACGTTCAAGGCCGCCATGTCCGTGGCTCCCTGCAGAGGCATGTCGACTCTCGAGTCGCGCGCGCCAGCGGCTACGCACGCCGCCTCTGCAACCACGGACCCCCTTGCCGGGCCGCTTCTGCGCCCGGACCCGGCGCACGCTCTGAGCAAGCAGAGCGTGGCGAAGCTGATCCCGCTGTGGTTTGTCTACATGGCTTGTGGCAGCCCGCAGCTGGTGCAGATGGCACCGGGGATCCTCAAGCTGTTTGAGAAGCTGCGTCTCTCGTGGCTCTCGAACGCGGTAATGCGGCGCACTTTCTTCGCGTGGTTCTGCGCCGGTGAGAAGGAGAAGGAGATTGTGCAGGCCATGCGCGGCCTGAAGGAGTCGGGAGTCGGGTCGATTCTGGACTTTTCCGCTGAGGCGGATCTGGCTGAGGATCGGGATGCCACCGCGGCCGTCGCAGGCGCTGCCGACACTGCGCGTGCCCACGCCAACGTCAAGGCGGACGCCTTCGCCAAGGAGTACCTGCACGGCCTGCACATGTCGGAGCAGGTGCCGGGGTCGTTTGCGGCCATCAAGGTGACTGGCCTGGCCGACCCCGAGGTGCTGTACCGCCTGTCAATGCCGTACCGGCCCATGCGCGAGGCCTTTGTCGCAGCCGACCACGACAACGACGGACGCATCGACTTTACGCAGTTCAAGCAGGCGGTGCTGCCGTCGATGCCCGGTGGTGACCGCGTGTCGTCGGCCAGCGGCATGTTCTCGATGGTCGACACCAACAACGACGGCCAGGTCGACTGGGTTGATCTGCAGATGGCGCTGGGCCTGGACAACCCGCTGGCACGGCCGCTTTACCTGCGCGCCTCGCCCACCAGCGAGTACGGCGCCGTCGAGACCGACTTTGAGGACTACGAGCGCATGATCTCGCGCTCGCGTGCTGTGGCCCAGCAGGCCAGCGACAGCAATGTGCGGATCATGGTGGACGCCGAGCACTCGTACTTCCAGCCGCTGATCGACCACGTCGCGCTGGTGCTGCAGCGCGAGTTCAACGCACAGACCCAGCACGGCGGCCGTGCGCTGATCTTCAACACGTACCAGATGTACCGCGCAGACTCGTTCCAGCGCATGGTCGACGACTATGAGCGCGCCGCGCGCGAGGGCTGGCGCTTCGCAGCCAAGCTGGTGCGCGGTGCGTACATGGAGCTGGAGCGCGAGCGCGCTGCCAAGCTCGGCTACGCGTCGCCCATCAACCCGACGCTGGAGGCCACGCATGCGTCGTACAACAAGGGCGTCAACTTCCTGATGCAGGAGGTTGCCGCCGCCCAGGCTGCCGGCACTGTGCCACCGGTCCTGTTTGCTGCCACCCACAACAACGCGTCTATCGAGATGGGCATGCAGCAGCTGCGCCAGCTCAACATCGACACCACCAACGAGCCCGTCATGTTTGGCCAGCTGCTCGGCATGCAGGACGCTGTCAGCTATGCCATCGCCAAGGCCGGTCTGCCCATCTACAAGTACGTGCCCTATGGTCCGCTCGAGGAGGTCATGCCGTACCTGATCCGCCGCGCCCAGGAGAACTCGGCTGTTGCCTCGTCCATCCGCAAGGAGGCTTCGGCCGTGCTGTCTGAAATCAGGCGCCGCCTGACCGGCAGGTCCGCTGCTGTTGCCCCCACCACCACTGCTGGCCGCCAGTCGTCCTCGGCCCAGTAATCTGTACCGCCTTATCTTCCCTGCGTCAGAAAACCCGTTCCTTTGCTGGCTGACTACATTAATAAACTAGGAACCGCTGCTCCATAGAAAAAGTGCCGAAGCATTCCGGTCTGTTGTGGCTTCCCCAATTGCCAATCCTTGGGGGAGAGATTCGCAGTTCGACAGTGTCACTGTGAATCCGCCTGCAAGCGTGCGGTCAAGGAATAGGAGATTTACATGGCCCGTGCATCGCCCTTTTGACCTTGCCCACTATACTGCTGACGAGTTTACTGGCACTTTGGATACGTGTGGGCTGGCACAGAGACATGCACGCCCCGCATGCACGACTTTCGCTCGCCCACATCTCCATGCAAGACGTTCTAGGCGTTCCATTAATGTCCGGCTCGCTTCCATTGTCTGCCACGCATGTCGCCGGGTCGGCCGACTCTGCCTCAGCACCAGTGACAAATCACTGTATCCCACAGATGCTCTTCTGCGACGTGAATCTTCTCCCCCAGGCCATATGTCTCTTGTTTGACTCTGGGGTTTCTCCGTGCCCTTGAAACCCTATTCGGGCGAAACCTGCCAGCGGAAATCGGCCCCGGGTGGTATTGCGGAGAATCATTGCGGACCTTCATGCGGCCAGGTCCGCAGATAAAGAGCTGACTCGGAACAGTCGAAGGGCACCGAGAATGCAAACACGGACGATTGCCACTATCTGGCTATATTTCTGTCACTACACAAGATTGCTGTTAGACATCTATCAATAAACCAAAGTGGTGATGTCCCTCCAGAATTCGTTCTTAAGGATAAACTCCATCTCGGAGGCAGATGCAGTAAAGTTGACAAGGATGTCCTTGCTTGGCGGTGGTGCTGGCAATATGATATATTGCACTGCTCGGTAATTTGGGCACACCGTTGAAAACGCTTGAACACCGCTGCCGAAATCCGCGTGGTACAGCTTGGCCCTCGTAATGTTGGACGTCAATGTAATAAGAGCGCTCTTCATTCCACTCGCAATGAGGGACCCAGCCTTGAAGCTATCGGAGTCAACAAAGTCGATGAACGAGCCGATGAACGGGGGTGATACATTTGACAGCGACCTACGAACTTGGGCACCTATCTCCGCAAGCGTCTGAGGAGTGATCGGTTGCTCTGCGTGGCTCATCTGGTTATTAACAATCGCAGTGAACAGTGGATTGCCGATATAATTCGTATCTGACATTCCAAGAAGGCCACGAAGGTCACAGGCGACTGATAGACCATGCTCTCCTTTAGCATTCACACTGCGATTCGTAAGCCGTCCAAGCCATCCGATGTTGGCTGCATCTGCGTCAAGCTTTGCCTGCCCATGGACCTTGTATGCTATTGCAGATAGAAGGTCGTTGGAAGTAAGTCGCACACCGGGCGGCATGCACTCCAGAACTCGGCTATGAAGATGGTCGAATTTCTCGCGTGAAATACGGAACAGATGGCCGCGCGTTGGATTCCTGTTCCCAAGGTAGTTCAGGAGCTTTGCGCGGGAGTTAGGCGAGAGCCCCAAAAGCCAGTCTGCAATACGGGACTTTATGGTATAAGCACGGAATGTTGTGTCGTCAAGTGGCAGGCGCTTGCTGGGAAGATGTTTCTGAATTGCCTCCCGGTCAAAGCAGTAGCTGACCTTCTCTGCATGGACACCGGTAACCAACGCACGTGTTTCTGCTGCCCACTGGTTGAAAAACTCAAGACTGCCAAAGGCATCGGTAGCCACATGGTTGGTGTTGAATGAAATAATTATACCGCTGTTGTCCTTTAGCCGCACCACATGCGTATTGAGAAGCTTGATCACACCCGTGTTCCTATCAGGATATGCAGTATTGCCAACAGGTGCCAGGTCGCTGGGCCAGGCTGTCGGGTTGAAATCCGCTGACTTGATGTCGCTGAAATGCGTGTCTGACTGGGATTCGCGATAGCCGGGCAGGTTCAGGTCTGACTTGTCGACTACAACCTGTAGCGTGCCGCCACCCTTTTTCTTGATCTGTCCAGCTAGCAGGGGAAACTGCAACACCGTCTTATAGTACGCATCTTCCAGCTCCTGGGATGGCATAAAGCTGTCAGTGAGGTTATCGTTGGCGTAAAAGAAAACGATGCAGACGTTGTACGATGATAGAAGAACATCGTATTTCGTAAGGTCGTAGATCTTCGAGTCAATGCCTGTTAAAAACTGGCTCATAGTGAAGTTGTAAAAGTAGTTCAAAAGCAAGGAAAAGCATGTGGAATCATTTCCTATACAGAATCGTTTCTCAGCCATTTATAGTAGAGGCAATGCAAAGTATAGCATGGGAATATATTTGTTGGCAAGAGCAACCACTATACCATAGCACATATCCAAAAAAAATGTTACCAAATAGCGCATTGTTTAATATATTGCATTCCAGCTAAGCCTTTGTACGAGGCGAGTGTTTGTGCCATTTGTACAATTATCCCTAGGTTCTCGAAATAGGAACATTGTAGAGGGTCCACATATAATACTAGGTGTAGTGTAACAACAAATAACAATGACGTGAGCAAACTAGCGCATCTGCTGTTCCTAAAAATGCTATGTATTCTCATAGAACATGGCTCTAAGCTGTTTTACGAGGCTGCATCTATCAGTAAAGTATCGTGGCGACATTCTGCCATAACATATTTCTAAGGATATACTCCATAGGTGCATGATTAAGTGATAACCATTATTTCATATTGAGGGAAGCAAGCCGGTGTATTCTGTTTGGAAATGCCTAGCAACACTATTTCAAACTTCAAGGGAGGAAATAGGCGACCAACAGGCGACAGGGTCGTTTTCTTCACAGTACTTTGTAAAATTTTCTGTGATATTCTAACAATGTATTTTCATCTATAATGCACCGTAGTCCCTATGTAGATGGCGGGTGCAGATGGCCTCTCACCAGAAATCCCTGTGTCGATTCTGTCGCTACTCGCAGAGGAGCGGATTCACCAAAATCCCAGGCAGTAGTGGATACCGCTGGGTGCAGTCTATGGCAACCCTCAATAGTAACTTTTTACTCCCCTGAAGGCTAACAAAGCCAGCTACGCTGATGCCGCAGTGGTGCATGGAAAACAAATACAACTGCTGGCACCACTGTTTATGCAACCTGGAACTATCCAAAGATAATCAGTACAGGCCACATGGCGTACAACCACAAAAACAAGAAAATCATTGCCGCATACCGCGGCACCAAAATGCCACAAGGCTGGGTCTCCAACGTCAAATGCTTAGGGGATGATTGGCCATCGGGCGTGGGGGACTCTGAGGTGCACCAAGGATTCCTAAAGGTATACAGGGCGTCACAGCCGTTCATAAGCAAGTCGCTGAACACGCTGACAAAGTCACTGCCTACTTATATGATCATTTTTGTCGGGATCCCTTTGGGTGGTGGGCTTGCTTCGTTGAATGCTGCCGATGTCGCATAGAATGCCCCAAGAAGTGTGGTACCCGCTACCAGGCAAACCCACATGGTGTAGTAGTGCCACTGAGAACAAACAGTACCAGAATAACGTCGATGCTGACGATTACAGTACACACTCATTCCAAGTACCCTGGTTTATAGGCAATATTAATTCAAGAAATCACTATATCAACACTCTAGTGTCGGAATATCTTGGTTCGGCATTTGAGCCACAGTGAATTTGCGAGAGCAAAAATAAGTGGATTCATGGGTGTGTTTACAATATTTGGCTCCTTTGATTTCCAAAAGTGGCTTTGGAAATTAGGTGGAGTGGGGCCTTACGTAGAAATATATGGCTTTGGCTTTTGAATATGCACACAGACCCTCCTCCAGCGGCGCCACCTGCTTGGAATCAATGAGGCATCTGCATATTTTGGAGCCAAGCCTGTCAGTCCTTCAAATGAGTGAATTAAGCCCGGCCCGTCCTTGCTACTAGTGGCATGGTCTCGTTGTGATGTTTGGGAAATATAAATGCAGTAGCTTCCTGGGGATGCAGCCTCCAATACATCCATCGGCCTTTTGCCCATGCCTTCATATTTTAATATTTACATGATACTACACGCTCTATTTTTGCTAGTCCTCTCGGCCACTGCGCTGGCAAAGCATGTTGTGGTTGACTGGGATGTCACCTATGTTTACATGATGCGCGATGGAATCAACTACAGGCAGTCGATTGGCATCAATGGCCAGTCCCCGATCCCGCCTGTATATGCAACTCGCGGGGACACTCTCATCCTTAACGTGCACAATTTGCTGAACGTAACCACAACGATCCATGCACACGGCCTGTTCATGCGCGGCATGTCTTACATGGACGGGCCGGCAATGACTAATCAGTGCGGAATCCCGCCTGGTGAGTTGTTCACGTATGAGTATCACCTCGAGCAGGCGGGCACGTTCTGGATCCACGGCCACGACCACGATCATAGCGCCGACGGACTGCGTACTGCACTTGTTATTTATGACAAGGAGCCGCCGTACAAGTACGATGCAGAGCATCTGTTTACTTTCGAGGACTGGTTTGTAGGACAATTTACCGAGCGCGCTGAGCTGGTTTCTAGTCCGACAATGCCATATCCACCACCGCATACTGTCGGGTTTGGCCTGATTAACGGCTACAACGGCAACACCACGAAACCAATCAAGTTTGAGCCGAAGAAGACCTACCGCATCCGCCTTATAAATATGTCTAGCACCTACTGGTACTACTTCCAGATTCCCGGACACAAGCTGCGCGTTATTGAAGTCGATGGAATTCTGAGCGACGAACATATAGTTGATGGCGTGCAGCTGGCACCTGCCATGCGCTACTCGGTTCTGGTCACTGCACATAAGTCTGACGAGCTCAACTACTACTACAAGGTCAAGATGTACGCAGACTTTATTCCAACGTCACTAGGTGAGAACCCGCGGTTTTACTCAGGTCTAGTTGAGTACAAGCAGGATTCACCGGTCAAGGAGCTCCCTGACGTCGATGATAACAAGCTGACGTGGGTCGAGGATATCAAAATGACAGCACTCGATAAGCAACCGCCACTGCCAGTCGACCGCTCGCTGTATCTGTGGCTTGGTAACAACCTCTTATCCACAGGTCAGCGCCTGGACCACATCAACAATATCACATACTACGCACCGCTGGTTCCCTCCCTGTTCACCGCAATGACCACTGGCGACTTGGCAAAGAACCCTGAGGTCTACAATAACCGGACACATCCAGTGGTGCTGAAGCACAACGAGGTTGTCGAACTTGAAGTGCATAACCCAAACAGATTTCATCATCCTATGCATTTACATGGCCACGCATTCCAGGTCACCGAGTATGGCCCGTCGCTAGATGGCTTCACATCTGGTAACACATTCTCTCCGCTTGTACAGTCGCTTGTTGCTCCGATCCAACGTGACGTTATAGAAATTCCGTCATTCTCGTACGTAAAAATCAGGTTCCGCGCCGACAACCCGGGTGTCTGGTTGTACCACTGCCATGTCAATGTCCACGGCAGCCCTGAGAGTCTGCGGATGCTCATGACGTTCGTTGAAGCCCCTGATGTTCTGCAGAAGACGCAGACGCTTCCCAAGAAACTTATTAGGCACTGTGGGATGAGCGGAATCAAGGCATCTGGAAATGCTGCTGGCAATACTGGGCTTGATATGACAGGGCTGCCCTCTGTTCCATACATTGTTTCCAAATCCATTAGAAAACAAGAGTAGCTTCACTGAAATAAACCCACCCATATTAAATTCGCTGTGCTTGCTACAGGAACAACCCATCCCTGAATAATATGCTAGTGCACATTTGGATACATATAATGATCGATCAATACCTTGGCTTGATAGAAACAAGATACGCCGGTTGATAGCCTGCTTCTGGCTAAGCATTTAGTGGCAGTAGTTCCACATGATGTTTTTGTAGATATGTAGTTGAGAAGGCTCTCTTGGATATGTAGGCAACGACCAAAGATCAATCACCCAACATTTAACCAGCATCAGCACCAAGCAGCTACACCAATCAACAGCTTCATATCTCACCTTTAGCATGTTCTGGATCTGCACTTCTCTTCTTGGTTTTGTCACTCTAGTGATATTTTCTCTGTCTGCCATAATCAGCGAATGCCGTACACAGCTGACCATTAACCTGATCTCGTGGAAGCTGACCACGCTCGAGAATATGATGCTCTGCCAGACGCAAGAGTGCGTGTGGCAGCGCTCGGTCCTGGTGCACATGAAGGACGCAAATGTTGCGAGGATTGCCACCCAGGTGGCCGAGTTTTATAGTGCGACGATTGAAAACGGATTGCAGAGGTTGCTAACACAATTCCAGGGGCTGGGTGGACCACTTCAAGGTCAAGAGACTGTTCTTCCTGGCGGAAGCGCAAACGAAGAAGGTTGAGTGTCTAGCTGGTGCCTATTACGGAGATGAAGTCGCTAGGCTGCAGGCAGTGCAGGAACTGTGCAACCAGGCGCAAGAACTCGTGAACTACGACAAGCGGTGGGCAAAGCACATTCGGCCAGTAACCGTCGATGTTAGATTGCCTCATGATTATTAAGAACCCAGGAGCACTCCTGGGAGGGTGGGAACTGGGTGCACCGCTGTTCAAGGGCTTGGTGCCATTTGTGATCTACCAGGCTGCGAACTTGTAGGAGGACAACAGGAGTAAGTTGAGCTCCAAGGTCGTTGTGGCAGTCCTGGACAGGCTTACAGCAGACTACGAGTCAGCTACGGCGCTGGGAGGGGATGAGATGCGTGAGGAGGCACAAACACCATGAGATTGTGAAGAAGACATGCAAGTGTGATACAACTCTAGTTGCAGATGGAGGCGTGGAGCAAGTTCTTTATGCTGATGAGTTCGTCGTACGACGAGATCGAACGGTAGGCACCATCTACCACAGCGAGCCCACGGACGGACCTGCACCACAGCCAGATCGTTTCATGGCTGCAGCAGTACATGGACAAGGTACCGATTATGTGAGGCGGGCGGCTAAAGTCCATTGAGAAGCTGAAGCGCCTTGCCAGCGAGGGCGATGCGGCACCAGCGCTCAATGAGATGCAGAGATTGGCAGAGCCACCGATCTCCGATATCTTGGAGCCATCCAGCAGCGCGCTTTTCCCTACCTCTCTCCCGCTGGCTTCCAATTACATTTCTCGAATTCAGTAATTTACAATGCGCGCTGTCCTCCAAAAGGTTCTGCGAGCCAGCGTCAGCGTCGACGACCGTGTGGTCGGTGAGATCGGCCGCGGTATCACGGTTCTAGTTGGCATCAGCCAGCACGACACCAAGGAAGACATGGAGTACATGGCCAAGAAGATCCTGAATATGCGGGTATTCGATGACGCAGAGGGTGCCATGTGGAAACGCAGTGTGCAGGACGAAGGTCTGGGTGTCCTGCTGGTATCCCAGTTTACATTGTACGGCAAGACAACAAAGGGCAACAAGCCCGACTTCCACGAGGCCATGAAGTCTGCAGAGTCAAAGCAGTTTTTTGACGACTTTGTCAAGCGCGTCGGGCAGTTGTACGATCCGTCCAAGGTATCTACCGGGGAGTTTGGCGCAATGATGCAGGTCAGCCTGGTCAACGACGGACCGGTGACGCTGGAGCTCGACTCTAGAAAGTTCTCCTTACGACACGAAGGATCCGGCCAAGGAAAAGATTCTGAAGGGCAAGGAGCAGCGGCGCAAGGGATTCGAGCAGGGAAAGGCGAATTCGGAAACCAAAGAATAGACAACTTTCGATATATATTCCAAAACCTTTAGACAACCGGTATTTACTTCTTGCCCGACTTCTTGATACCACCGGTGGCCAGGGGGCCGCCCTTGGCAGCCTTGGCCTTGAGCTCCTTGAGCTTGGCAGCCTCCTCCTTCTTCTTCTGAAGGAAGGCCATGTCGTCCTCGTCCATGTCCTGCTGCTGCTTCTTGGGCTTCTTGAGAGGCTTCAGTTTACCACCTTGACGTCCGCTCATTTTCTAATGTCAGTTCTTGAATTAATACAGAAAAAGCAAAGAATGTTGAAAAGAAAAAGAAATTCAGCGTGCCCATCGCTAAAAAATTTTTATACATAGGGAGATCGAGAGGAGCGATGAGGTCGCCGGTTCTGGATCCCCAGCCAATCAGGCGCGTGGGTCCCTGGCGGTCTCGATCTCGGTTCTCAGCTCAGAGCGCCTTGGAGGCGGATGCGGGATATGAGATAATAGTATTATTTTACTAGAAATTCTACTACAGGCAGCCTTATTGCGACTTCTTGTCCGCCAAGGCAAGGTCATCGAGATGCGACTCGGCAGCCTCGATCAAGCGGTCATACTCAGCGACATCTGCAGAGGTGGCCGAGTTCTGGACAAGAAGGCTGCGCATTTGTGACGCGGCATTCAGCACCGCGTCAAGCTGGTCGATGGATCTGCCAAGTTCAAAGCCATGGTCCTGCTCCTTGGGCTGTGGCGCTCTCCTCTTCGGCCACATCATCGGCGCCAACCGGCCGGTGCTTACGCAACACCTTGCCAGCGACCGACGCCAATAGAGCCTGTGCCATGGCGCCGTACCGCGACCAGGGCACAAGGTTGTACAGCAGATGGAACAGGACGCCGTCAATGGCGGCTGTGATTAGTATGTCGATGTAGGTAAACGCGTGGTAGAGCGGCATGCCGGCGGCTGAGAATGCTACGCGGTCCTGCATGCCAACCGTCAGAATGTTGAAGAACGTAAAGACCAGCGAGTCCCAGTACGTCCAGCCGGGCTCCGTTAGCGTGAAGATGATCGAGCCCAGCAGCCACGAGGCAATCTTAACGAACAGCAAGGCCAGGAACACAAAAAAGAACAGGCGCTGGCGGTCGGCATGCATCTTGGCCGCCTGTGCCTCCAGGGCAGCGGACCCTGTCATTTGGCGTGTCGGGGTTGCCACCAGTGCGGCGCTTCTCGCGGTACACGGCTCTCAGACGGTCCTCGGCCTCGCGAATCCGGCGCAGCGGTATGGCATCGAAAGCGCTCGATGACGCCACGGGCGAAGCACACAAAATACACAAACATGATGAGCAGGCCGATGGGCAGCCAGAACAAGATGAATATCTTGCTGTTGTTGGTCTGCCACGTGAGTACTGTCGAGCCAGTGGTGATCATTGCGACCCACGAGTCAAAGCAGCTGTTGTAGGCGTGCCAGATTCTCTTATCCTCGACGCTTCGAAAACACCAGCGAGCCAAAGCCGGTCCAGATATTGACCAGGTTCGAGAGCCCGATCGCCCCTTGCATTGCTGCGCCCATGCCGTGGCCGCGCTGGTTGAAGTTTGGGGTTTTAATATAGTCAATGACCAGCAGGACCGCCTGCAAGTACGCAAGGGCAGCACCCACGTACACGCACACGTACTCGGGTGTAATCCACACGATGTTGTTGTTGATCTCGTTGCGCTGGTACACGGCGCCGATTACAATGCACACCGAGCCAAGTACCAGGTTGATCAGCACCTGGCTCGCCATGGCTACTGTCAGCGACGCATGCTTGCGGAACATGTCCAGCTGCCGGAACGCAATCGTCAGGGCGCTGCCAAATGCCAGCGACCGTCGCTATTGCGTTCCCAACCACGTAGCCCGTGGCCTTGTTGATGCGGCGGCCGGTGAATCCCAGGCTCCGACTGGATCCAGTTCGCTTCGACCGAGGTCAGCACAAACAGCACCAGTGACCGGCATCAGACACGCAGGCGGCGCATGGCAATATCCGCGTCTTGTCGGTATTTGAGTCGCGTGCGCTGCTCATGCGCCACCACTGGTCCAAACTTGAGCAGGGTACGGGACTGGGCTTCTCGTCGCTGTCCAGGTCTGGCAGGTCCAGGCTACCGTCGTGTGTAGGGGTTCAGCGGGTAACTGCCGCTGCGGATGGGACTGGTGTCGCGGGCCAGCGTTGACCGGCTGATGTCTGACGACAGGCTGTTTGGGTCCCCAGGTCGTTTGTTGTCCAGCGAGGCCATTTGTGTTGTGACTAGGAAAAAAAACAAGATAAAGCGTTTGGGCAGAAATAAAAACAAAACAGTGCAAACCAGGGAGAGGAAAGACGACCCCAGCGCTGAGGACGGGGCCTTTTTGGGCGTAAATCGCCAGCAACTGGGGCCGATTCACTGAATCGCCCTCTCCACAAAGGGACAGGCTGTTGCAAGCATTAATGAGGCACGCGCACTGGATACTCTGGCATTCACTGTCGCCGGGAAACGTGGACAATGCCAGTGCCACTTGCCCGGCGTGAATGCCCGTAACTTTGGATGGAAGGCTGGGGAAGGGTGGGTGACGGCTCTTCGCCTGCACCAGACGCCTCCATGTTGCTGTTCACATGCAGTTACATATGGTGGTAGACACTACCGTCTATTGTATCTCTACGGGCCAATACGGGTGCTTGCATAACCGCCCAGATGCATCGCCACAAAAAAAGGTTATGCTGACTGCTGGGCACGGCGGGCCTCGGACTCGATAATCCACTTGACCGCCTCCTCGACATGGTCGGTGACACGGTGCGCAGGATTCGCTGGGTCGTTTGATCCTTCGGGGCCACTGAACACACCGGTACGAACCAGCACCGAGGTCCATCCGGCACCATTTGCACCGGCAATATCAGCGGCTGGGTTATCGCCAATGGCGAACACGCGGCGCTTCGCCTGCACCTGCCCAAGGTCGGTATTGGGAGCTGCCTGCAACGCCATTCTATCTAGGACCCGCTCAGCGTACTGGTACTGCACCTTGTTGGGCTTGCCATACAGGGTGTAGTTGAGCGGCTTGCCATTCGTCAATGCAGCCCACATGGCTCGCAGGCACGTGTGGAATGCACCCTGGCCGAAGCGCGGCCGCGGGTACTCATTGCTGTACACCAGGTCAGGGTTCGACATATACAGCGGCATGACCTGATGGTCGGCATACTCGCTGCCAATGACACCGCCCCGCGAGCGCAGCACATCGGTGACGATCTGCAGGTCGCGGCCATAGTCGAACGAGTCGTGGAACTGCAGCACGGCGTAGAACGGATCGTTTGAGAAATCCCTCAGGGGCTGCGACAGCATCTTGTCAGTCGGCGCCTTCATGAACGGCCAGGCCGCTGGCTGCCAGGCAACAATATCGTTGGGTGTGCTGACATTGGTGAAGCCGTAGCCGCGTGCAATCTCCGCGCACCGGTGCTGCACACCGCCCACCACCAAAACGTGCTTGTCGGAGTACTTTTCTGCGAGCGCCTGCATCGGCGAGTGCGAAAGAATCACCTGCTCGGGCTTGATCTCTACGCCCAGCCGCCTGGAGATATCTGCAGCCTTGGCTGCTTCTGTGACTCCGCCGCCGTTGGTCAGCAGCACAAACGGGATCCGCTTGCCAAACACGTTGTCGCCGTTCAGCATCTCCAGAGCGCGCCGGCCCTCGTCCAGCGTGCGCTTTCCCTTAATCAGCACGCCGTCGATATCAAAAGCCACGGCGGTGTCCAGGTGCCAGGACAGCGGGGAGGTTTGCTTGCGTGCAACTGTGCTGGTCTGTAGATTCCGGTGCTGCTGGGCCAGCAAGCGCCTTGCACAAGTGCCCACAGCCTGACTGCGCATTCTGATTGTTGAAAACAGCCACCGATGACATTCTGGTGGGATTGCAGTGGTTATCTAAATCGCAATATCGGAAAAAGAGGGATTGGTGCTGGACTGGCTCAGCTGCACAAATAGTCGGCTCTCCATTTCACAGAACAGTGGACTTGCAGAAGAGTATGGAAATATTTGGGGGAGGGCAGCTGGGTGTGTGCGAACCCTACTCTGAAGCTGTCTCTGCCAGAGCTTCAGGAGACTCTCCAGCATTGATCCACAGCTTTGTCCTTGTTCGCCAGAGGTTGCGGTCCGGCCTCCAAAGCACATGCGGCTGCATTCTGGAGGATGCAAGTCAGAACATCTGGCATAAGCAATGTCCTGCTGTGGAGCTACTTGGAAGGAAAAAGGGAAATTTTCACATGAAACCGATGGTCCTGTGACGGCTTAATTTTCTTAGTGTGAGGTGCGATGCTCACATGGACAGCAGCTATCCCGCAGACAGGGCGCATTTTCACATGGAACAAACACAAAATTGACCTCTTCTCGCCCAGCCATTAGGGCAGGCTTCCGCTTCCAGCTGAGCAAAAAAACATAACTTTTCTCCACACCGCCCTTCCTCCTATTATTCTGTACTATAATACAACTCTAGAGCTAGTTAGTTTCGTCATGCCAGCTGTGAATTCAAAGCCTGCTCGCGGTCTGGCGTCCGCAAAGTTTGGAGGCGCAGTAATGGTCTCCCTAGTGGTGGTCCTGTACAGCTACATCCAGCACCGCCAGACCGCAGAAAAGGCCAAGCGCAGCATGTCATTGTCCGCCGCCTTGAGCACAGTCAGCATGCGCAGTATGCGTGGAGGTGGCACCTACGACTCCAACCAATGGACAGAGAGCGACGAGCGCGAACGGCGATTTGACAAGGACGCGCCGTTCTTCCCTGCGTCCCTGATCGACAGAGGCCAGGGCGCGAAAAACTCGGGCAAGCTGAACCGCACGTTCTTTGCGCAGCTGCGCGCACTGACCCGGATCATGGTTCCGTCACTGGCAAGCCGCGAAATGCTGATTATTGCCATGCACACGGTATTCCTTGTCCTGCGTACGTGGCTGAGCGTTGTGGTTGCGGAGCTGGACGGCAAGATTGTCAAGCACCTGGTACGCGGGCATGGACGCAAGTTTCTGGCTGGCCTCCTGTCGTGGTTCGCCATCGCAATTCCGGCGACATACACCAATAGCATGATCAAGTTCCTCGAGTCGAAGCTGGCGCTGGCGTTCCGCACAAGGCTCACGCAGTACGTCCATGACCTGTATCTGAACGACCATCTGAGCTACTACAAGATGCTCACGCTTGACGGGCGCATCTCCAATCCGGACCAGTTCATCACAACCGATATTGCGCGGTTCTGCAACAAGCTCGCGAGCTTCCTTTCCAACCTCGGAAAGCCGACTCTGGACACAATCATATTCAATATCCAGCTGATCCGGGGAGTTGGATTCCACGGCACCGTCGGCATGTTCGCCATGTACATGGCCACCGCCAGTCTTTTGCGCGCATGGACACCGGCGTTTGGCAAAATGGCTGCATCGCATGCCAAGCTTGAGGGCGAGTTCCGTGCCAACCACGCACGGGTTATTACGAACGCTGAGGAGATTGCATTTTACCGTGGCGAGAAGCGCGAGGAAGAGCAGCTGCAGTTCAGTCTCACAAACCTGCTCGAGCACGCCCGCAGCGTGGCCAAGCGCAAGATCTCGCATGTTGTGCTTGAGGATATGGTGATCAAGTATACGTGGTCGGCATTCGGGTATCTGGTCTGTGCACTGCCGTTCTTTTTGCGGCCAGCTATAGGCGGCGGTGGCAGCAGTGGCATCGGTGGTGGCGGCGATGACGGCGGATTCCGCACCCAGAGCTTTATCACCAACAAGCGCATTCTGGTCAATTTGTCCGATGCCGGTGGGCGCATGATGTATTCGATCAAGGAAGTCATGGAGCTGACCGGGTACACCAGCCGTGTGTACTCGCTCATCAGCACCCTGCACGCAATGCGTCGCGATGAGTACGAGAAGCCCGAGCAGACTGACGACGATGAACAGCCCAAGCTGCCCGAGTTCTCGCTGGCAGATATTAGAGGCGTGACATATCGAGGACATTGACGGCGTGCGGTTTGCCAGCGTGCCGATTGCTGCGCCTAGCATGGATCCGAACATCTCGGGCGAGCTGCTTGGTGAGGCCATTGACGTGGGAGGTGCGTCGCGGCCAGCACTGGATGATTGCTGGCCCCAATGGCGTCGGCAAGACCTCGGTCCTGCGCGTGCTGAGCGGGCTGTGGCCGGCATTTGCAGGCACAGGTTGAGCGCCCGGAGCCGTCAGAGATCATCTACATTCCGCAGCGCCCGTACCTATCGTCTTGGCAGCCTGCGCGACCAGGTAATCTACCCGCACACGCATGCCCAGATGCAGGCTCTTGGGCCGAACCGACGAGGAGCTAATGGAGGTCCTGCATGCAGTGCATTTGGCGTACTTGCCGTCGCGTGAAGGCGGATTGGGTGCGCGCAAAGAGTGGAAGGATGTACTGAGCGGCGGCGAGAAGCAGCGCATCAACCTGGCCCGGCTTTTCTACCACCTGCCACGGTTCGCTGTGCTTGACGAGTGCACGAGCGCAGTCAGCGCCGACGTCGAGGGGCTCATGTACGAGCACGCCAAGCGGCTGGGCGTCACCCTGATAACAATCTCGCACCGCCCGGCGCTCTACAAGTACCACACGTTCCTTCTGCGCCTCGGCTGTCAACGAGGCACCCACCTCACTGCCGACCATCAGCACCAGCCTGAGCATCCACAGCATCTCCGAGGAGAGCCACCCGGAGACCGAGACCACCGAGTCGTGGGAGACCGACATGGCGTCGAGTGGCGTGCTGTGGGATGTCGTGCAGCTGTCGACTGACGCTGGGACCACGGATTCTTCGCAGTCGAGCTCGCCACCGGATCTGTCGCCACAGCTGGGAAATGCTAGCGAGTTTGTGGCGGCGGATGCAGGCTCGCGCTGGCGCTATCTACAATCGCGGGCCACGAAATCGAGCAGCTACGAAGGCTGCTGGAGGCGAAGCGCGCGCAGGCTGCCAGTCTGCAGGCACGGCTCGCAGCGGTGCAGCAAGAGCTGGATGTGGTGACTCTGTAGCCATTGGACTACATGTTGACAATTGGATTTCTGTATAAAAATGACACCGCCTCCACACACGGAAGCGGGCAGAAAAGCAGTCTGGAGACATTCGCCACAGGTCAAATATGCGCCAGCGCTCTTTGCTGCCATGTCTTGAAGTGGCTTCACAGTGAATTGTCACCCGCATTGCAGCTCTGCGGAGTGGGACCGAGCTGCGGTGCGGTTCGCAGAGGGGGAAGGGGAGGGATATGCGACAATTACTGCATTGAAAGACAGTAGAAAAACGAAAAACCACAACATCCCTCCCTTGATACTGTGATGGGGGAGGGGAGGAGGAGGCTGTGTAGGGCAGCCGAGCGTATGTGCTGGCACATCATATTCATTGCATGGTGAATGCGAGTGCGATTCAGTCAACGGAGGCAGGAATAAAATAAACAATCCCAAAGGTGGCGAGAGTCGGGAATACACCCTCCAGTGTGCAGATTGTCCCAGCGGCATCTTGGAACGGCAGGCCAGGGGGGAGGTCTTGCGATGCTGTTGTTGTTGTAAGGGTAAACAGCTCTGCTAAATGCCAGTCAGTGTTTACAATTTCCAATCCCTCGCCACAGAGACATGGGGAGGTGCGCTGCGCTGTCACATTCATCTGAATCGAATTGGCGTAATGTGGATGCAACCAGGTAAAAAACTTTTATTTCTTCCTGATGAGCGCTTCAGCATTGGCTTTGTTTGTTGGACCAAGGGGATGCACAAGCGACAGACCGGTCCTCCGAATGGGCCAGGCTGCATGCATCATGCGTGGCCGTCATGGGAGTCTGGCGGTCTGTCGCTTGTGCAAAAGCGAAAACTGGTCCCAAAAAAGGGATGGGGAGCAGCAAGTTTTCTTTTGCAAAATGTTACTTTTATTTCTTCCCGACTGGGAATTTCTCTTTTATTCAGCGCCTCGCTGCGAGCAGAAATCTGCCTTGCAGTCCCACGACGCTCTCTTCCTCTCCCTTCTGTCTAGCAAGTCCTCAGTCTTTACCTAATTTCTCCATTCCAGCCTGGCTTTACGGAGCGACCGTGCTCAAGTGTACCAGCAGTCAAGCGTACCAACAGTCAAGTGTACCAACAGGCGTGATCCCTAATTTCTTTGCTGCACATCCCTCAGTTCCAACTGCGTTGTCGATCGTTTTGTCTTTTCAAATTCCTTAGTCCTCGCCAAATTTGTCGACATTTTTTAAACATACCACGCCTCCTCCTTCAGCTATTTCTCTACACTTTTTCCTATCTATAATTGCACAGCATGTCCCGTTCCTCATCCACAGCATCCACACCCACCACCACAGCGTCCTTGGCAACAGCATCGAGCCCCGGCAAATCCTCGCACCACAGCTCGCTGAAATCGCACACATCCTACGCAAACTACATGAAGCTGTCGTCCCAGGTATACAAGCGCGTCGCCTTCTACAGCGACACGCAGTCGCGGCGACGCCTCTCCCAAGGTGTCGAAGAGCTGGCGCGCGCTGGTAGCGCCGCTGCTCTGGGAGACAATAAATGTATACGACTTTAGCAAAGTGGAGGCAGTGGCCCAGCATGTGCACAAGCACTACAGGCAGCACGTGAGGCAGATAAACTTCCAGACACGGCACGGGCGGCGCGAGGTGCCGGGCTGGCTGGACTCGCCAAGCGAAGTGGCGATTATCGGCGCCTGGCTGGAGGTCGAGTGGCCGGCGCTGCATACGCTGGCGGTGCGGTTTCTGTTCACACCGGTGGATATCCGGATTGTCGATTTGGCGCGCAACATGCCGCAGCTGACGACCCTTGACCGTGGACAACTCGTATCTGCCATGGCGGGATGTGGCCAAGTGGGCGCTGTCGGCGGGCCGCATTAACGATCTGTCGGTCTCGTATACAGGCGATCTGGGCGAAGGCGACAGGCGGAGGTTTGCGCACTTGCTGGGCGATTACAATGTGTTGCAGGGGATCCAGGGGGATGGGTTCACGAGGCTGCGGATGCAGTACCAGCCGGACGAGCTGGGCGTGTTTTACGCGTCTGTATTACGCACCCAGCCGAATCTGCGCGAACTGCGGATCGACCGGATCCCGGCAGGTCACGTCGAGCTGCTATCGAAGCAGCTGTGCTACCCGTCGTCCATCGAGACGCTGTGTCTGGGGATCGACGCCAACGACACGCTGCCGGTTCTCGGGTGCCTGAACCCGCGGTCGCTGCCGAAACTGACCCGGCTGATGATCCGGTGCAATTCGACGCCATTGGCGCAATGCGAGAGCGTATTGGAGGAATTCGTGCTCCACTCGTGGCCGGACCTGCGCGGCCTGATAACATCGGTGATGACGAATGCGCAATGCGACCAGGTGGTCAAGGCGTGCCCGAACCTGGAGGTCCTGATGGTGCAGCCGGAGACGCCGACCGAGCGGCAGATCCACAACTCGGGGCTGGAGGCGGTGCTGAAGGGCCTGCGGCATCTGCGTCGCCTGCATGTGGTCCAGCAGATCTCGCCCATTGGCGAAATGCTCAGTGACGGGTTTGTCTGGAAGGCGACGCGCTTCGAGCCACCGAAGATGCTCAGCCTGCGCAAATCCCGGCGCTGGGAGTACTGGGCGCCCAAGCTCGCCAGCTCGCCGTGGGTATGTGCTAATCTGCAGGAGCTGTCGCTGTGCGGAGTATACATGACGTTCCCGGCGCTGGTGCAGCTCCTGGCCACGCTGCCGAACCTGCATTCGCTGAAGGTATGTGTGCGCGGTGGAGCCGTGGGCACGACGATTACGCCTGGCATGTTTGAGCCGTGGGGCAGACATAGCATGCTGCGATATTTGATTGTAGACGACATACAGGAGGCTGACCTGCCGCATTTGCGCAAGCTATGCGAGTTTATGCCGCACATCAGGCATTGCCGGATTGCCAGCAAGAATGCGCTGCCAGAATCGTTCCGGGCCGGGTCCACGCTGCCACTGCCCAAAGCCACCTCCAACCCATCTGCACATGACTCGACCGTTGGCTCTACAACAGGCTCGGCGAGATCCATTCCTGTCTAGTGAAGGCAAAGCCTCGCATTTTATGTTTTTTTGGATGTCTGATGTAAAACTAGCACAATTTCCTGCCAATCAGGCGGAGAGCATCTCGCTCTCCGATGGCGCGATACACAGTGGCTGCAACACCGCTGGTGCGCGAGAAACATGATGAAATAGTGGTTCCTTGTTACATGTATAGAAAGAATATGCAACCAAGATAGCTTGAGATAACGGCAATGGATTTTGTTTACAGGAACTCGGCCGGGCGCTCGCCGCGACCACCAGCCTTGTCAAAGACAGCACCGGCAACAGTGTAGGCAAGCTGGTCGCAGTCGTGGCGAGTGGCAGCCTCGGCATAGACGCGCACCGCATCCTCGGTGCCCGACGGGCGCACAAAGGAGCGGCCCTTGGGGAACTTTGCGACGATGGAATCAACGACGTCCTGCAGGCCCGCGGGCGACGTCAGGGTCTGTTCGGCGTTGGTGGTCTGGAAGACCGAGCGGTCGTTGACGACGACCTTGAGCAGGCGGCTGGGCAGATCAGTGTATGCCTGATCCCAGTCCGCCAGCGTCCACTGCTTGCAGATCAGGATGGTCTCGACCAACAGCATGTCGGACATGGCGTCACCGACCGACTCGTTGATGAGATCGCGCAGCGCCCACAGACGCTCGATCGCGTCAGCCTGGGCAGGCGACGTTGGCGTGGCATTGGTGAGGGCGGTAACCGCCGACGGGTTGAACAGCACGGTGCCGTGGCCGTTGGCCTCAAAGTACACGCCGATGGCCATCTTCTCGGCCTCGTGGTGCAGGTGCTTGACGCCGGTCTTTGCAAACACGGTGGGCAGCTTCAACGAGTCCTTGATGAAGCTGGTGGAGCTGCCGTTGGCGTACGCGGTCTGCACCGACGCCGACCTCCAGGTCGGTGATGCCAGCGGCGCTGACCAGATCGCGCAAGTACGTGGCCACCAGCGTCGCGATCTTGTCGCCATCCAGCAGGTGGAAGCGGCCGGCCTCGTCGGCGTAGTAGAACACAATGCGGTCGGCGTCGCCGTCAAACGAGCAGTAGCGGCCGCCGGGGATCAGTGTCACACCAGCGGGCTGGCGCTGGTTGGACTTGACGTAGTCGGCACCGCAGTCGATGTTGAGCTTGCCCAGGGTCTCGGTGTCGTGGTTGTGCACCTCGATGTTGAAGTACGGCGAGTTGATCGACTCGGCCAGCTTGCGCACCTGCGGGGCACCGACGCCGTTGGCAGCGTCAATGTGCAGGGTGGTCGGCTTCTCCTTGCCCTCGACCAGGCGCAGGTACGCACTGCCGTACTTGGCGTTGTAGCCGGTCTCCGTCGGCTCGCCGTATGCGGCCCTGGTGCCGGCGGTATTGAGGCAGCGCACAATGTAGTGGAGCTGCGGCGTGCTGATGATGCCGTAGTTGGTCGCCTCGACGTTCAGGGCCTCGAGACCGTCCTCGAGCGCCCCCTGCAGCAGCGGACCGCTGGGCCGTGTGTCCCGCGCATAAGCCACCTTGGCCTTGATCGACGTGTCGATTTTCTCGGCACGGGCCACCTCCTCAAGCACAGACTGCACGTCGGCGTCCGAGGCTGCGTTGGCCAGCTTGCTGCAATACGCCTCCCACGACTGCTGCAGCATCTCGCCCAGCGGATCGATGAGCTTGACGCCGTTGTCACGCTCGTGGTTGTGCGAGGCAGTGATCATCACGCCGATTACTTGGCCCTGCTTGCTCTGCGACCGCAGCGCGGCCAAGAGCCCGACGCGGAACACTGTGCTCTCGAGGTTCTCGCCGATGGTGCGGAAACCAGCGGTGCCGTACTCGTACGTGATGTCAGCGGGCTTTGGGTGCTTGGCAGAGTACTCGGGGACCTTGGTGAACGGCATGCTTGACGTAGGTTGATTGTGGTGGTAGAATTGATAATGGAGAGAGAAATGAATCTGATGTGGGGACGAAGGAAGAGAAGAAAGCGAGGTTCCTGGTGGGTGAACACCCGGCGCACTATTCGCTTATAAGCCCACTGGACAGGGGATCAGGGCTTATATGCGCTACACCGCCATTGGCCACCGAATGGCTTCACGTGGGTGGTGTCTCTGGCAAATCGTAAGGGCGCTGAGCTAAAAATACCCAGCCTCACGCTGGGGCGCTGTGCTGGAAGTTGCATGTTTCACGCTGTACCTTTCGTTTACAATTCCTCTTCACCACCACAATGCACATTGCTTTCGGCGTCAGGCCAGTTCTGAAGCAGCTGCCGGTGCGCATCGAGTGCGCAACCACATACGGCGACCGGCTGCTGCTGGGCACGTCGACGGGGGCGCTGCTCGTCTACCGCATCACCGAGCCAACACCCACGCGCGCACTATCAGTCACTCTACTGGACACAAAGAAGGCGTTCGCGCGGCGCGCGGTCGAGCAGCTGGAGGTAATCAAAGAGGCCAACGTTCTGGTATGTCTCTCTGACAGCCTAGTCACGCTATATGACCTGCAGACACTCAGCGACACAACTCCGCTCAACAACACCAAGGGCGCGAGCCTGGTGGCCGTGCATACAAGCGTGGACCACATCGACGGGATTCCGACGCTGGTGTCGAAGCTGGCGGTGCATGCGAAGCGGCGCGTGCTGGTGTTTGAGTGGCGGGACGCAGAGTTCTACAAGTCGTTCGAGTACTCGGCTGCAGAGCGGATAATAGCAATGCAGTTCTGCGCATCGAATCTGCTGGCGCTGTCGTCGGCCAAGGAGTTTCTGACGCTGCAGCTGCCGGAGGGCCAGTGGGACGACCTGTTTCCAGCGGATACGTCCAGCCTACGCACATTGGCAGGCGGGCTCATGGGTGGGCCGGCAATGGACAGTGCACCGGCGGCAGGCAGTGGTTCGGCGACAAACTCCGGCAGTATGTGGGGCTCGTGGGCCATTGGGCTGGCGGGCTCGGGTGGCGGGCTCAAGACGCTGATCCGGAAAATGCCTGGCGAAAAGTTGCTGCTGTGCCACGAGGACGTGGGTGTGTTTATTAATGCTGCCGGCAAGCTGTGCAGCCGCGAGTACACTGAGCCAATGCTGTTCAGTCAGCCGCCCGTGGGCATCACATACACATCGGCATATGTCGTGGCCGTGTCGCAGGCCCCAGCCGCGGAGGGCACAAGACACAACGTGGAAGTGCGCAATATTGCCACGCAGGCGCTGGTGCAGACGCTGCTGCTGTCGGAGGAAGAGCCGCTGCGTGCGCTGAACGGCGCTGGCGGCAAGCAGGTGTGGGCGATTGGCCAGCGCACAGTATGGCGGCTGATGCCGGCGCCCATCGAGCAGCAGGTCGAGGAGGTGCTGAAGGCGGGCCAGTACGACGAAGCCCTGTCGCTGGTGGCCCAGGCAGACAACATCCTGGAGGACGAGAAGGACGACCTGACGCTGAAGATCCGCTGGCTGCGTGCGCGCTGGCTGTTCCGCGACCAGGCGCAGTACGAGGAGTCGCTCAACGAGTTTGCTGAGCTGGGCGCCACGCCCACCGAGGCCATTGCGCTATGTCCCGAGCGCATTGCAGGAGAGCTTGCCGAGGAGTATAGTGACGATGGTACCAGCACTGACACTACACCAGAAGCTGCCGAGGCTGGCATCCAAAAGGACACAAAGAAACGCAAGCAGGTCGTGTGGCGCGAGGCCCTCTATGCCCTGATGCGGTACTTGACCGAACACCGGCGGTGGCTGCAGCGGGCTATGTCTGAGAGCAAGCGCGAATTGGAGTTCCTTGTGCGCGTGTTTGATGACGACGACGACAACGACGACAACGACAATGGCAATGACGACGACGGCCAGGTGTCAGAGGATGGGTCCTCAAAGTTCCCTTCACGCGATGCTGACAGAGACGACACCACGCCACACGTGCGTCTGAAGCGCCTAAACTTTTCGCTGCAGCGCATGCAGATCCCGGTTGCTGCCATGGCTCAGGTCGTCGATACCACATTGCTCAAGGTGTATCTGGAGTGCAGCCCTGGTCTGCTTGGTCCGCTGCTGCGGGTCAAAAACTTTTGCGATGTTGAGCAGAGCGAGCAGCTGCTTTTGGATGCCCAAAAATACCCGGAGCTGGTTGATCTGTACCACGGCAAAGGTCTGTACCGCAATGCTCTGCAATTGTTGCAGTCTCGTGGCCAGGATCCTAGCGCAGGGCTTCTATACGGCACATACTCAACCGTGCGCTACCTGCTGCGCCTGCCAGCCGACCAGTTCGAGCTAGTGCTCAGCTACGCCAAATGGCCACTGCAGAACCGCGACACAGCAGACCTGGATGCCGAGGATTGGCCCGCACCCGAATCTGTGGTATCGACAGTGTTCGCTGACGACCGGCCGGCTGCTACTGCGTTCCCACGCGCCCGTGTCGCCTTGTTCCTGCGGGATTTCTCGCCCTCCCTGGTTGTCCAGTATCTGAAATACGTGTTTGAGACGTGGGATGACTCGACCACTGGTCTGCATGACGATATGATCACTGCCTACCTCGACATGGTCAGCGAAAAGCGTAGTGATGCTGAGTTCGAAGGCAAGTCTCCCCGTCTGATCGTCTCGCGCGACGCTGAGCCCCGCCGTAGTCTGCAACTGTTTTTGAGATCCAGCCAGCACTACTCGCCGGAGCGCGCGTTGGCTAGATTGCCGGATGACGGGCTGTTTGAGGAGCGCGCGTTAGTGCTGGGAAGGCTTGGCCGGCATCGCCATGCGCTGAACATCCTAGTGTACAGCGTCGGCGATCTGCAGTTAGCTGAGCAGTACTGCCTGGATGCAGCCAGCGCTGGTGTGTTTGTTGAGTTGGTCGATATCCTCGTGTCCGATCCGCCATCCGACATCACTGATCTGGAAGCCGAAGACCTACGGGCTCAGCATCCCGACCAGGACCTTGAAACCGTCCGCAAACACCTGCACCGTGATTTTGCCGGGCACCTTCTGTCTGTCTATCACCATTATATCCCCGCCAACAAGGCTCTGCAGATGCTGCCCTCCGACATGCCCTTCACCAGCTCCATCAGTGACTACCTGCGCAAGCAGCTATGCACGCTAGATGAGAAAGTGCGGGCCACAGACATTGTGCACAACCTGCGCCAGGCTGAGGACTTGCAGGCGCGCCGGCGTCTGGGCGCAATGCAGGCGAAACGCGTGATAATCACCGAGACCCGTACCTGCCCGCACTGTCTGAAGCGGATCGGCGCGGGCTCTGCATTTGCAGTGATTCCGCCGCGCAAGCGCATGTTGGAGCCTAGCGTTGTGCATTACTCGTGCTGGCAGAGGCATTTGGCCAAGTCCCAGGAGGCCGTGGAGGAAGTGAACAGCGTGGCCGAAAGTGACCGGAGTGTGGACCAGATTGCGATCAAGTGGAACACGCTGGCTGTTCGCGATTAGAGAATCCGCAGTGTGGAGAAACATGTCGGGATATATCAAACGGGCGGTCTATCAGACTAGCTTGTTCCGCATGGTCTTGCCGATTACACAATTTCGCCTTATGTCTTTGCGACCAGGAAACTATGTGTAGGAGTCGGGTCTAGAATGAACACCATATTGTAATGTCGATCACATGTGTCTGACTGACCAAGTCTCAGGGATGCAGATAGAAACATGGCTAGACCCTCCAGGATGCTAATGCCGTGCGACAGAGAAAAGCCCAAATGCTGCTCGATACACGTATAAAACGCCCAGCATTTCCCTGCACTCTGCCCTCAAAACACCATCCCCATCAAGTAATAGTCTTCAGACGAACACCTTTGTTACTCATTTCACCCGCCACCTCTAACCGCAACCATGAAGTTCATCTCGATCGCCGCTGCTGTCTTCGCTGTCGCTGGTGCCGCTATTGCTGCCGAGGCTGGGGAGAAGCCCCACGCCGTCAAGGGCAAGGCTAACGAGGGCCCGTCCCCTCGCACGGTCACTGTGACCACCACGGTCAACAGGAACGGCGCCACTGCCTAACCAGATGTCGCTGGCTGCCTGCTGCCCTTGCTGGCGCCTGTTGCTTTCGCCTCGTACATCTAAGCACAAGGAGCACTTCTGCGCATGTCACCTAATTTCTGACATGCCAATGTGGGGTTAGAATTTCACCACAAGGATACATTTTATTACGATGTTTTCAATTACCCTGTTCCTTATACAATATAGACAGCAGCTTTATGGCTGACATGCCGTGAATATGAGTGCGGGGTAGGGTGAACCAGCCAGCTCCATGTCTCCACGCATGATTAGCGCAGTAGCACTTTTGTCTGAGCTGGAGTACTGCGAAAAAATATATTTGTCTTTTTGGCCGATGCGAGTAAATTGCAAAGGGTTGCTCTACTCCCTTGTACCTTCAACATTCTTTCGCAGAAAATCCCAGACCCCTCTTTACTTTTCGTATGCCATGGACCTGCATATCCTGTCTCTGAAGCGCTTCTTTGTCATGCCTCGTATACCTTGGACGTATATCGTATTGTTTTCTTCGGCAGTGATTCTGATGGCGGTCTCAGTGCATGCAGCCAGCGCACAATGTGACTATGCCCTGGACGGTCTGTGCCGCACACGGCAACCAATGAAGCGTATGTATCGGTCCACTGATAATCCTGTGACTTTAAAGGAACGGCAATGACTGAGCCCACTCCACATTTTTAACGATGTAGTGCAGAGGTTGGCCAGGCGCTTGGTGAATGACTTGGGCATGGCCGAGATCTCAGTGCAGGAGGTGACTCTGGCCCTGGTAATCGCTGCGGCTAGCGCTGCCTACGCCCTGTCGAGAGCGTAATGACGAATGATTCTTGTATAACAGCTGAGATTATGTAGGTTGGTGGAGGGAAGGGGCGATCAATATTCAATGTCGACCACAGTTCTAGATTCCAGATTCATCTGCTGTTGAGTGGCCTGGGTATAGGCGAGCTTGTCCCTGGAAAAATAAACGTAACTAGACCACATATTGGAGCATGTCTCGAATTCCCAGCCCTTTTGCGCGTATGGCTAGGGCAGGCATCCCGTCGTGTTGTATAAAAGCGCTACGACACTACCTCAATCACTCAGTTCCAACATCATCATTGCAATTCGCAAGACTACATCTCCATCTTGATAACCCCGCGCATCCCTAGCGTCCCACGACAACAACCCTTTACCCAGTTCTCTTAATCCACTTCACTGAAAATGCTTGCCAAGCTCTCTGCCATTGCCGCTGCTGCCGCCATTGTCGCTGCCAACCCCCCGGCCCCCGTCTACCCGGTCGCCAACGCGCACAACAATGCGTACCTGACTGTCACTGGTCCCCCAGCGATTGCGCAGCCCGTGCCGGTTGTTGCTGCCCCGTCGACCGTTGTGCAGAACGCTGGTACTGATGAGGTCACTATCACTTCGACGATCACCAACGGTGCTGGAACCAACGCGCTGGGCATGGGCGCCGTTGCCCTGGCTGGCTCGCTGATGATGGCCTACTTCTAAATCGAACACTGCATGGACTGCCATGCTCTTTCTCGCATGGACCCACTCTTCTTGCGAGCAGAGTGTGCTGTGATGGCTCTAGTTCTTGACAAAGGAGGTGATCTGCTGGCGAGTATGGTGTAGGTTTTAGAAAGCCGCTTTTCTGCCACCGATTCCAACTTCCACATCCACTTCTTTAAACATAAACCTCTTTACCTTTTTATGACACCAATTTTCTCTTCAGGACACCTTTTTTTAAAAGAAAGCATACTTAACAATATGTGTTGAAATTATCAGAGATGTATAAGAACGGCTACATAAAGGATGGCTAATGTGTATGGTGCAGAGAGCAATAATAAAGTTTGTACATGATCGTGTGCTGCCGGTTAGGCCTGCTTTTTCCAAAACTTGATGTTGCCAACAACATGCAGCGGGCCCTTGTACTCGTGGATGACCTGCACCACCGTCTTGCCCTTGGCCTCAGGCATAAACAGGCAGGCAAACAGGAATGTGATGAAGTTGGTGGCGGCGAACGGGACGAACAGATACGGACCCAGCGCCTTGTCCAGGACCGGGAACAGAAGGCTGACAACAAACAGCACGAGACTGTTGATTGACGCTGCCAGCCCGCTGATACTGCCAAGAACGTAGTACGGCAGCAGTTCCGAGGCTGACAAGTACGGGATAAAGCCAGCGCCGCTCTGGAACACGAGATTGAACATGTACATGAAAGCGGCGACCATGGGACCAATGTCCAATTTGCTGCCGACCACAATCAGCACGGCGCACACGCATGTCATCAGAGAGCTAGCAATCAGCACTGGTGCGACGGCCCAGTCGGTCCAACAGGTTCATACCAATGACTACGGCAATAGCACCAATAGCGCCGATGCCCACGGTGAGCAGCTGCGCAATGCTGGGGATATGCTGGATCTCTTCCTCAGTAAGGTGGAAGGTCTTGCTGAGGATCTCAGTCGAGTAGAACATGACGCCCTTGGCGCCGCTCCATTGCTGCGAGAGCATCAGGAACAGCACGCAGTACACCAGGTGGCGCAGATCGGTCGGCGTGTTTCCTGACAGCACGTCCCACAGCGACGGCGTGTAGTCGGCGGCAGTCAGCTGGCTAGCCTCGATGGCCTCAACCAGATCGTCAAACTCCATTGTGATGTTCAGATTTGGCCGCAGCTTCTGCAGCGCTGTCCGCGACTCTTCGAGGCGGCCCTTGGAAGCCAGGAACCTTGGCGACTCGGGCGCCAGCAGCAACAGCAGCGACTGGAAAATGGCAAGGGCTGCGCTGATCGAGAACAGGATACGCCAGAGCGGTGCTGTCGACAGGCCAATGGCCACTACCTGCGACAGAAACAGGCCGACCAGGATCATAAGCTGCTGGAATCCGCCGAGGAGTCCACGAGACTTGACAGTGGACGCCTCGCTATTGTATGTAGAGACAATGTTGGAAGCCACACCACAGGCAATTCCCGAAACGAAACGTCCTACGCCCAGCTGTGCAATGGATGTTGATGTACACATCAGCAGGGCACCCACCACGAAGAATACGTTGTTGGCTAGCAGCGTGGTCTTGCGGCCAAATCTGTCGGCGAATTTGCCCGAGAATAGCGATCCTGCCCATGCGCCCAGCGGCGTGAATGCCACCACAAGACCCCAGAGCGTGCTTCCCATCGGCAGGCAGCTAGGGAATCCTGCCTTCCATTCCTCAGGCCCGCTCGAGCATTCCTGGATTACCAAGCTGGGAATGTTGACAGACCCAATTACCCAGCCGTAGTTGATAGATGAGAGCGCAGCGACGGATGCGCAAGCAAACAGCATGCGGTTCATGTGAGACCCCCGCGAGTCCTCGCCCGACAGCTCCGTGAGTGAGCCGGAATCACCCTTTTGTGTGTAGGGTTTGTCGCCCTTGATATCCTGTGTAGTCGATGGCGGCCCAGACTCGGACTGCGACGAACCCTCAATCCCCCGGCTAGCGTCGACAGGCATGTTTGTTAATGAATACCAAAGAAGAAGAATTGGAAATAAGACTCGGAGAAAGAGTTGAGTCGTGTTGAGCAGAAAGGAAAAAGTCGGGGGAGGGTGGGATGCGTGCGCGTGGATCAATTTATATCTGGATACTGGCTCGCATAAAGTGGAGTGGGACGCCTTGGTAGGCAAGGACTTTTTCTGTGGTACAAGAAGAAAATAAAGATCTACCCCGGGATGGAACCGAACTTCCACTGGCCAGAGAATGGCCACCTGCTGTCTTCACCTCATGCTGATTTTCTACATTATAGATCTTTAAGCATGCTTCTCCCCTAAAGTACATGGCACAAAGGCCGCCTTGCAGGAGGAGGTGTGGGGGTGAGCTGCCCGAGTATGTTCGGTGTATTGGAGAGTTCCTGACCATGACCGACTGTCGCAAAAAAGCGGCTCTGGCCAGCAAGCTTTGCAAGGAGAGAATCTGATCGACGTGCTCCCGTGGAAAGAGATCTTGTCAGCAGGATGCTTTTCCGCCAGTTCCTGGCTGTGTATACGTCATGGTGCATGCTCAATTTAAGGAATAGCGTGAGGCACCATTTGATCCACATGGTGCTGGTGCTGCTACCAGCCAACAGCGTCTGATGGACGCCTCGTCCAACCCCGTGGCTCTATCTCGGTGGCTGCTGCCTACAAAAAGATCACACAATGACGTGTGGCGACAGCACCACCGACATGGGACCAGATATAGGCGGCGTGCATGGACCGAGGCAAGGGGCAAAGGCAACATACACGTATGTTGGGTTTTAGAAGGTGTGCTGAGCTAGGGCTGGCGAATCAGATACACCGATCGGTCAAGCTGGCCGTATCTGGCGCCGCTCGGACAATTTTTCCTGGTCCGCCCTCGCCTGCCTGTTTGCATCTGTGCAACCTTGATCGCCTACACGAGTAGCAATGCTGTCTACAACTGAAAAGTCGATCTGCGACCCCAAACAGGACCCAACAGAAAACTCTCCCAACGCATGCCTGCGATTCTAAACATGGTCTTGGCTGATGCCCATTTGACCTTCGGAGCATTTCTGTTTGTTGCTCTAGCCGAATGCGGGGCCATGCAGAAATACGTCAGCTGCATTCGCCTGAGAATGCTAAAGACGACTCCAGCAAGCGAGGGGATGGTATAGTACATGGCTTTCTGGGATTGCTGGTGGTGGAGTGATTTTTGAAAGTGCGCCTGAAAAGCAATGGAACCATCTATTGCGCTCAAAACGCAAACATGGCCGACGTGGCAAACATCGACACGATTGACCAGAAAGCAATGCATGCTAGTCTGCATTTGCAGACCCGCCCTGGCATTTGCCCGCATGCACATACTGTATCGGAAGTCTGGAAGCCCCATTCCACTAGATGATTCTTGGGTCTCATCGGCATCTTCCTAGTAGGCGTGCTGATGATTTCCAAAGCCAGCTTGCCAAGCTGTTTAGTTGCTGTGACGATGCAGAGCCGTTGGTTGAGCATGACAGAGACAAGCTGAAAAAGTAATAAACATGTCTCAGATATTCTCCAGCCAGGGGAGAGGTTGTCAGTTGCTTTTGCATACCATAAAATGCTCACTCCATAGCAGCGACAGTTTCCAACTGACCATATATGCACCATTAAGCAACTCGAACAGATAGTCTGGCTCCGAATGGTATTAAACCACCAAGTTACAAGATCGCAGCAGGATTTTGTGGATTATATAATACGAATAGTGGTTGCTCGGAATATTGTGCTTTATCCTGACCTCCCGAATGTTGCGCCTGCATTGGAAGTATTATGCCTTGCCTTAAGCTATACATGTCTTCAAAATACCCCGATATATAGTGTGCTTTTTTTCCTCTCCCCCTCGAGGTGACATATGAATTGTGGCATAGCATGTATGTTGGTACCATGTGTTTTCGATGGCAGGTCGTTTCAAATGCCTCTTTCCATGGTTTACAAATTCATGTGTTTCCTGTCTCTCTCTATAAAAATAGCAGCCCTGTATCATTGGATTGTACTTGTTTATGTGCGAAAAGGCTAATAGGAAGATAGTGTACGGCATCCGAGATGACAAAAGGTTCAGGGAATTTAAAGATGATTTAGCCATATTTCTGCCGAAAGATCCATCTCGCCTGGACATTTACGTTTACAATTGATCGGATACGAGCGATATGGTAACTTTGAGATGAATATAGTTGCTGACAAAGATCATCTGCGTGCATATTCGAGAATCGACTAGCAGTGTACAAATAGTGCCGTTCGGCTATTATCAAATGTGGTTTCTTCAGGATCAGACCAATGCAGCTGTTCGAGAAGTGTGTCTGGCATTTCAGTAAAGTATGCAAACCGGTAACCGCTGTCTTCAAAAGGGGTTTATGCAGTTGTGTCTAATCCACAACTGTGATGGGTATACAGGTTTGGCTAATGTGTCCTGCTCATCGCCCTACATGCACAAAACATGATTGTTTGATATCGCTGGAGAAGGGGAGTGGGCAGCTTGTGCCCATCTTTGAAGATTAGCACCATAACTATTTTTAGACTAGACTTAATATCAAGACGCCAGCACCGCTGACTTCTCTCTTCTCCATCTCTTCACTGTATTCAGCGTCACTCTATAGCATCAATACACATATTCATTCATCATGCCTCCTCGAGTACTGCTAAAGATGAACATACATATGCCGGATGGGTCCAGTCCGCAAGGTGATATATCCTATCGAAAGAGAATGTAACATGACCGAGCTCAGGAGACGCATGCGAATCAAGTTCTTACATGGCCGCGACGACACAACCATCACATTTTACGATGGCGAGTACGAGCTGATGGCCGAAGTACAAGGCAGTGAGATTATTGCCGATTGCCTTACAGTGAAAGTACCAGTACAAGAATTCACCGCGCAACGAGACATCTTCACCGTCGCTGCCGAGTTACACCGAGGCGCTTGACCAGCCAAGCCAGAACTCGCGGCAGGGGTCGCAGCAGAGCTCGCAGCAGGGGTCGAGGTGGAGGTTCACTAGCTAAATGTCCTGTCCTGTAGACCCAATGCACTAGTTGTCTTGCAGAAAGTAGGCCGAGTGGAGTTTTGTTTTCGTGGAATTCTCGCCATGCTTTGAGCCAGGTTGAAGGCGATAACTGCAGGTGTCAATCATGGGGTTTGGCAAGCAATTTCTCGAGCACTAGTCGATTTCACCAAGGGCATTTGCATTCAGAAAATCAGAGTGATCTTGAGGCACTATTTGCAAAAAGATAACACTCGGGTTCTTGGCATGAGCCTCGCTTCATCTACATAGCTACTCGGCTATACAGCAGCTGCACCTTTGCTGCAATTCGCCTGCATGCCTCTCTGGTGGGCAGAGCTGCATTTGGATTAAAAATTCAAATGGCAGACAGGTCCGCCCGCGATGCTACAGTAGCTTCGGATGGGACAGCTGGATCAGAAGGCCGAGCAGAGCCCGACAGGCCCACTTGCTGCCAATGCGGAGAATTGCAAGTATTCAGTGCCGCTAGTCAGCTCCGCCTTGTACGTGGGCTGATTCAGAGTATGAAGCGGCGGTTTGGCGAATGCGTGGCTACTTATCAGATGTCCGGCAACCTCCTTCTCTCCGTTGCATTCTCCCCTGCCGAACCGCAGCCGGACGTTAACCGAGCACGCAATCGCCTACCTTAATGCCGACAGTGGCTCATTATACCAGTCTGCTCTGTGGAGAGACCGGTTGCTGAGCTAAACTTGAGCCACGTTGGCGGGAGATTCCTGTGGGGAGCGGCAAGAGCGAACCAGCAGAGGGCGTGGCGAGGGCTTCCCACGGCAATTTACGAATAGTCCTGTTGCACGGTTGTTCCTTTTTTCGGCTCGGAGTCGCGAAATTAGGAGTGCTATGAGCTGACCTCCCCCAAAAACCTGTTTTCTCGGCTCTTATTGGCAGGGCCTTATCGCCTGGTACCATGGCCTGCCCAGTACTGGGCTAGCGCTGGCCGTGAATTGTTTCTGCGCGCGGGTGCGCACATGCTTGCATGCTGGCTGGGATTGGGGGGCGGGTGCAAATGGTGTGAGCAATTAGCAGCACACATTCAAGTCCCAGGCTGGATTTTCACAGACGGAATGGAAGCAGAAAGCGAGGCGCGGCCATGTGAGCAGCAAGGGGGCGCTCACACAGCCCTTTTCTCACAAGGCAGACAATTTGCTTCCTGTTATCGGCAAGCAAATCGCACCAGACAGGCGCCTACAATCCGTTGGGTCAGTGGATAGAGGTTTTCGCTATGGGATTGCCCAAGCGGGTGTGATTTTGGCCAAATGCTCACAGCATAAACAAATTGCCTGGAGGACAGTGATTTGCTGGACATTGCGTTATCACAGAAGGCACAGTTTTTTGTATGGGCGTTCCGGGCGGGCGCCTCCCCAAAAACGAAATGGACAAAGAACAAAATAGAAAAATTTTCACTTCACTCGGGAACTGAATGGGCGGTTTCGACGGATATAAAAGACGGGCAGTTTCCGTGCTCCAGGCGGACTCGAAACAAAAACACTTTTCTCTCTTTCATCATCCACCCCCTTCTTTCCTTTTCTCTGTACCTAATACATCTTCCAGGGTCAAGCACACAGCCATGAGCAACCTCCAGGACAACACCTTCCTTTTCACCTCAGAGTCCGTTGGCGAGGGCCACCCGGACAAGATCTGCGATCAGATTTCCGACGCCATCCTTGACGCATGCCTGGAGCAGGACCCGTACTCCAAGGTTGCGTGCGAGACTGCGGCCAAGACCGGCATGATCATGGTGTTTGGCGAGATCACAACCAAGGCACAGCTGGACTACCAGAAGATCATCCGCAACACCATCAAGGAGATCGGGTACGACAGCTCGGACAAGGGCTTCGACTACAAGACCTGCAATGTGCTGGTGGCCATCGAGCAGCAGTCGCCGGACATCTACCAGGGCCTGGTGCAGAACGGCGACGCGCTGGAGAACGTCGGTGCTGGCGACCAGGGTATCATGTTCGGCTATGCCTCGGACGAGACGCCCGAGTACATGCCGATCACGCTGGTGCTCTCGCACAAGCTCAACCAGCGCATGGCGGACCTGCGCCGCTCGGGCGAGCTCTCGTGGCTGCGTCCGGACTCCAAGACCCAGGTCACCATTGAGTACCGCAAGGACGGCGGCGCCCTGGTGCCTGTGCGCGTGGACACTGTTGTGGTCTCGGTGCAGCATGCGCCCGAGGTCGACAACGAGACTCTGCGTCGCGAGCTGCGCGAGAAGGTCATCAACGCTGTGATTCCGGCGCACCTGCTGGACGACCGCACCATCTACCACCTGCAGCCCTCGGGCCGGTTCATCATCGGCGGTCCCCAGGGTGACGCCGGTCTCACTGGCCGCAAGATCATCGTCGACACCTACGGTGGCGGCCACCACGGCGGAGGCTGCTTCTCGGGCAAGGACTACACCAAGGTTGACCGCTCGGCTGCCTATGCTGCCCGCTGGGTTGCCAAGTCGCTGGTTGTGGCCAAGCTGGCCCGGCGCGTCACTGTCCAGTTCTCAGTACGCCATCGGTGTTGCCGAGCCCCTGTCCATCTACGTCGACACATACGGCACCAGCGAGAAGAGCGATGCCGAGATCGTCCAGATCATTCCGCAACAACTTTGACCTGCGTCCGGGAGCCATTGCCAAGGAGCTCGACCTGTTCCAGCCCATCTACCGCAAGACCGCGTGCTACGGCCACTTTGGTCGCGACCAGTTCACCTGGGAGAAGGCCAAGGTCCTGAAGTTCTAAATCTTCCCCCTTCCATTTTCATTTCCTTGCTAAAAACATTTTCATTCCCCTGTTCTTTTCGCTCTTGGCAGCGCCGGGTCTGCCACTGGATGGCTGACCGAAAATTTTTTTGGGGAGGCGGAGAGGCGTAAGGTGTGTGAAACTTTGCTTGTCGGAAATATTCCGTGTCATGCAGAGAAAATTGGCAGCCTGGCTCGTGTGCTCTGTGATTGGAGGAACTGTTGTTTGGTACCAGGAAAGTCGGTACCAGGAGAGTGGTATTACTAGTTCAAAAAAATTAGCGGGTTTCAGAGGAAGCTCAGCTCCCTCCCACCCAGCAGTTGGCTCACGAGTGTTCGGCAGCCGACTGGTCCGGCCCATCTTGCATGTTCCAGCCGCCCCCGATCCTTACGCTCATGCGCTTCCACCACGTTCCGCCTGCCTGCGCATTGCCGGCATTTGGCCGTGGCGTCGGCACCGGCGGAGCCATCGGCGCCATGCCCGCCGAATGCGTCTGTGACCGGGCGCGACCAGCGAACCGCTCGGGATTCTTGACGGGCAGCGGCGAGAACTGTGCAGCGGACTGGGCGCTGGGCGACGTCGGCGGGACAAACACGCTGGTGATGCCGTCGCCGGACCCCCGCACCGGGAACGTGCTCATGTCGGGCACCGGCGGGGTCTCGCGCAACAACGGGCTGAAGGTGCTGCGGGTGCGGCCGTGCTGGCGCTTCTGCTGGACGACCGGCGACCTGACCGTGGAGGAGCGCTGGAGGGGCGAGCCGGCCGTGGGCGTCGATGCAGCGCTGGAATCGTAGTCGCGCGCAAGCTACAGCCTCGAGCCCGTCAGTGCTGGCCAGAATGCGGCTCAAGGATCTTGTTGACGTACAGCGACAGCGCCTTGTTCTCGTCAGGCCAGATGGCGGCGATCGTACTTTGTCTTGCGCAGTTCCTCCTTCAGCTTCGACAGCTGCTCTTCCAGCTCGGCCGTGCGCGACGAGCCGCTGACCGACAGTGCCTGGTCGAGCTCGGCAGCCAAATCAAGGCCGCCGGGATGCTGGCTCGCCGGAGAAGGCATCGAGCTGGGCGAGCGGGTTCTCGGGCTCCTTGGTGGAGCGCGCAGGCGACGGGGCCTCGTCGGGCGAGTATTTGCGGCTGTCGAAGCTGGCGCGGCCACTGGACAGCTTGAAGCCGCCCTTGATGGTGCCCATCTGCAATAGCATCTGGTACGACTCGTTATCCTCGCGCAGGCCCTCGTTCAGCTCGTTGAGCTGCTTGATGGTTTGCTCAAGCTTGTCACACTTGCGCTGGCTTTGCACCAAATCGGCAGCAACCAGCTGCGCCTCCCGCCTAACCTGCTCCGCCGCCCCCTCCATGCGCACCGCACGCGCCTCGGCCTCGCGCGCCTTGAGTGCCAGCCGCCGTGTCTCGCCGTCATGCTCCTCGCTGAATGCAAAGCGCTCCGAGACCGGCGACAGCGGCGTGTCGTGGGCGTACATTGACATCCGCCCATGGTCGGCGACCGCGCAGGCGCGCCCAGATTGACTGTCTGGCGCCGCTGCATGGTGACTTTCTTTTTGGCCGTGGCCAGCTGCTCGGCCAGCTCGGCTTCACGCCGCATGCCAGCGCTCCCTTTCGACCTCGAGTTCTCTGGTTTTGGCTTCGAGCTGGCTGGCCAGCGTGTTGTTCTGGCGCTGCGCCTTGTCCAGTTGCGCGCTGGCTGCCTGCAGCTGGCGCTCGGTCTCAAAGTACTGGTGCTCCAAGCGGCTGTGGGATTTCTGCAGGTCCTGGAGTTCGGCCAGAGCCAGGTTGTGTCTTTTTTCAAGCCGCGTATGGTCGAGCTGCGTTTTGGCGCTGGCGTCGCGGATCTGCGAGACTGTGGTTTCGAGCTCGTACAGGCGCGCACTGGCCTGCGTGTCGCTGCTGCTAGTGTACTGCGAGGACATTAAGATGCAAGGATATAGATATGGAAATAGTCAGGTGTAGGGAAGACAAAAGCAGAGCAGGGAGATGCGCAACCCAGAAGCATCCAGTATAGCAAAGAGAAAAAGTAAACAACAGACAATCTTGCAAACAATTTGCTTGCGAATCCTTCCTGGAACAATTAGCCCCAGCGTGTGTTCTCCGCAAGGATTCTAATCCCAGACCCTAAACAGTGTTTGCACCAGCATCACCAACCACGCCGCCCTCCACACGAACCGCCATGTCGTCCAGAAACTGACTTAACTTAAATATACGGGAAATTGGGAATTACACTATTTACCGGTTCCACGCCGATTTGAGCGACCACAGCGACTTGCTCTTGCGCATGGCCGGGATGCCTGACGGCTGCGGCTTGCTCGCCGATGCCCGCGGAATCAGCGACGTCGGTAGCAGCGACGAGCTCAGGCGCGCCACGCCGCTGGTCGACGGAGGCTTGATCAGCGATGGCTGCGACTGCTTGCGGCGAAGGAACTTGGGTGTCGGGAACCGCCGCGGCGCCTCGGGGACCAGCTCCGGCGACCCCAGGATCCGACAGCCGCGACTCCATCTTGGTTTCGTCGGGCAGATACGCCATCGACGGCACGCTGTCGATGCAGTCGTCGCAGTACGCCTCCATCAGCTCCTCCATGGATGCCTGACATGCCCAGCGTCTCGTCACCGGGCTCGTCGCCGGGCTCGTCCAGAGGCGCCACCTCGGAGTCGGAGTCGGAGAACTCGGGGATTTTGCCGCGCCGCGTAGGCTGACAGCCGCACGCTGGTCTTGAGCATCGGCGTCATCGCGCGCTCCACCATACGCGGATCAAACTTGCGCAGCACCAGGTCTGGCGTGTGCACCGGCCGCAACGTCAGGAACTCCACGTCGGGCTTGAACAGCGTGCGGACATCCGGCTTGCGCGTCCGCCGCGACTCCTCAGTAAACATCTTATGCAGCGACGCGTTTCGACTTGGCCGGCCGCAACCGCAGATCCGACGGCGGCCGGATCCCGCTGATCAGCGTGCGCGGCACCCTGCATCCCCGACTGCCAGCGAGCCAGGCGCCCGCAATCCGCTGATCGGCACGCTGACTGGCCCCAGCGGCAGGCAGGCTGAGCTGCCCGCCAGCCGCAATACCGGAACCTGCATGTCCGCGCGCGTCGACTCGAGCCGGTGCTGCTGCCGGTTTAGCGCCGCCAGCAAAGGAGTCGGCGCACGCAGCCCAGGACGCCGGGGATGGGATCCGCGACGCTGACTCCTGCCGGTGACACTAGCCCGCTACCGTCCGACGCGAACGGATCCAGCGACCGCACCGACGATGCGCGCGAGCCGAGCCCGCCCAGCGACTCGCCAATCGAGCTGCGGCTCGCCGGCAGCGAGAACCGCGGCGACCCAACGCTGCCTCTGCGACCACCGCGTACCCACTGGCAGCGACGAGCGTGGCGGCCGGATCAGGCTGCCGGTGCTGATCTTGCGTCCGCTCCCCAGCACTGCGTTCGCCTGCGAGATCAGCTCCTCCACCTCGCTGCGCCGCCGAGACACCGACCCTGCCGCTGCCCGCCCCGCCGCCCGCCGGCTCACCATGATGCTGTCGCGCGGCGTCGCCCGGTTGCCGAGCCGTGGGATCTGTGGCTCAGTGAACTCGCCAAGCGGGCGGTGGAACATGGCCCGCATGTTCATAGGTCGACGCCGTTGCACGCAGCTTGTTTACTGTTGGCCGGTCGGCGTCCGCGGTTGGTACCACCTGGGTCTTCTCCACGCCAATGCCCGCATGTGCAACCTCGCTCTCCGCCAAGGCACTGTCGGGAGAGGCTGATGGCGTCGGTACCTGCTGTGCCACCAGCGACTGGATGTGCAGCCGCGGCAGGTACGTCTCCACCATCTTGTCCACATCCATACCGCGCACAGAGCGATCAGATGCCTGTCGCCGCGTGCTCACCACAAACGAGTGCGTAGGTATCTGCAGCGACATTCCACGGAACGCAGACTGCCGGGCGCTCGGCCGCTTCATCCGTGTCGGCGCGCTGCTGACCTTTGGCCTCTTTGACCGCATCATTGCAAGCACCATAGGGTGCCGCCGCAATGCGAACTGCAGGTCTGGATCATTCACATCCGCGTCCACAAGCCCTGGCCGCCCCTGCGAGCTGACCAGCTCCTTGACCTCAACCGCTCCGGACTGCCCGCCCAGAGGCTGCCTGCCGAGCAGCGTAAATACCTTGATCTGGAAGCTGCGCATACTGCACGGAACAGCATCGGCAGTAGCTGCCGTGGCGTCTGCCATGTCCACATCCAACGTTCCTGCTACTTCTGCCACTGCTGCTGCTTTCTGCGATCTCTGACGAAACCGCCTCGGGTGCACTCCAGCAAGCCACCGAGTGTCTGCATTGGTGTGCCCAGCCCGCTGTCAAATCCAATGTCGTCAAAGTGCGGCGAGCATGGCGGCTGCTGGTTGCCAATCCAGTCGTCTGAAGCCATATCGCTGTCTGTGTCGCTGCCGCCTGCCTGGCTTGTCATCTCCCGCTTAAACTGTATTGCGGGCAGGGAGGCTCGGTTCCGCCGGTTGTGTGCGGATCCTAAACCGGGTGGGTAAATACCGATTATCAGTATCCAAGTGCTTGGCCAACTTTTCAACAACAAAAAACTGGTCGCTGCTATAGTCGGTGTTCTGACAATAGCACCAAGGCACAATTGTGCTGCGATACCCGGAACAAGACAAGCCAATTCTGACTTAATACCGCCTGGAATACCCAAATGTTGGCTGTGCAAAATGCGCGAACTGCAACAAAAGAAGCTTTATCAACATTGTCACTGCAGCCAGCTGTTATTGCCCAAACAAACGGAGACAATACACATTGCGACCAATACGCCGTCAATAGCATCCTTCTCGTTTCCAGCATGGCCACACGTCAGAAAACTTCGGCGACATGTTCGCTGCAGCAAGAAAAGAAAAAATTCCAACATCCACTGTGGACAATCCCTCCCCACACCTGCAATTTTACACCCGTGCCCCCAGCTTATACAGCGAGCTCATTCGGAAACAAGAAGCCGCAACAGAAAACACTGCGGGGGGAAGGGAGAAGAAAAAGCGCACTTACCAAATGGCTCCATGTTGCCCGCCGACGAGCCCCACGTCGAGGAAAACATGCTGGTGCGCCTCTCGCGCGCCGACAAGCTGTACCGGCGCCTAATGCGGTCGCCTTCCTCAATATCCTCCCTCGAGATGTGCTCAAAGAACGGCGACTCTGGCGGCATCTCAGCCTCCAGCATCCCGCTGTCGCGCTTCAGCGGCCTGGCCTCGCACCTCACCGACGCATCGTCCGTATTGCGTCTCGACGGGCCCGGCGTCTCAAACACAGGCACGTCGAACTCGCCTTCAAACAACTCTGCGGGCGGCGTAACTAGTGAGAGATCCTCGTCCATGTCCATAACGCTGGGCGACGAGGGCGGCGAAAGCTGCTGCGACTGTATCAGCGATTGCGTGCTAGCTTTGAGCTCCAGTTTGTGTTCTACCTGCTTGTCCAAATTATCGAGTGCCTGAAATGAGCTGGCCAGCCGCTCGGTCGCGCGGAGCTGGTGCTGATTGCCGTGGTGGGTGATCGCTGTGCTTATGGGCGGCTCTGGCAGCTTGTTCAAAAGCGCCTGCAGCATGTTGCCCTCTAGCCCGAAGCCGCTGGAAAGCGGGCTTGATTCGGCTAGGTCAAGGCTGGAGAAGTCCAAAAGGTCCATGTCTGGCATTGACAGCCGCATGCTGGACCGCAAAAGCCCGCTCATCTGTGCGTCCTCTGTATCCCAGCCCCCCGGCTCGCTGCCGTCCATGTGCAGACCGCCATGGCGACTTGCCCGCGTCTCGGCAAATGCCGATGCCCGATACGCCTGCATCAATTCTTTGCGATTCTGTCTGCTGCCATCTTCCATATCTGTCGATGTTTCATGCAGCATGGTCGGCATAGCAGGGTGTTAATATGAGATAATATCGGCGCGAGAAATAAGGATATAAAAACGGAAAGCGGGGGATGGAGAGGAAAGGGGAATAGGAATAACGCCGGTTGTTGGTGAATAGGAAGGAGGAGGAAGAGAGGACAAGAACGGGAAAAGGGCGCAAAAGAGTTTGGGAAGCACAAGAACAATTTGGTGTTCGAGGCAAGTAGGAACACAATTTAAAGATCCGCAATACAGGCCAGCTGCGAGGGGGAATACACAAAAAAGCACCTGAGGAAGTCCCTCTGTGAAAGCCCCCCACTGGAGAGTTGCACTGCCAGACACACCCTGGCTGCCCTTCTGAGACTCGCACACGGCCCATCCTCTCCGGAGTTGCACATCTGGCGAAATTATGTTCACATTGGGATAGTTTTGTACCTGGACTCACAGTCAAGGGATGATCGCCTTTTACTGGCGGAGGTGTGCGACGAACCAGTCGCCAGTGCCTGTGATCATATAGCCCCCAATTGTGTGCGGGCGCTGGGTGTCAAGGTGCTTTTTGTGCACTATGGAGCACCGTTCGGGGGCAAAAGGTGCTGCCAGCAGGAAATGGGCATGTCGCAAACCTCGTTTTCTTCCTCTTTTGGAAACACATTCTCTGAACATGCTCCAGATACCTGCCCCAAGCCGAAAATCCTGCAGGCACCTCGGCTAGCGGATATCTGTGCTCTGCTCCTCAGGAGCCGGCATATTCCCTGTTGGCTCCGGCACTTTTTCACATTGCCACGCACGGTCGGAGTATCGGGTCATGGAGGGCAATGGCTCTGCCACGGGCTGGTTTTTTCTTTTGCCACCCGCGAAGAAGGGCCAGCATGTTTACATTTTTTTTATCAATACTGCCAGCATTCTGCTCCCTCCTCTCAAATATTTTCGTTTTGCTACTTGCATATGCTCTTACCGCGAGTCTGCCAATGTTTTCGTTTTTAACAGTACAGCAGTGCATCGGATCAGCGCATCTCTATGGCGTCACCAATATAAATACTCCCTTTTCTACTAGCAAAAGGGGAGGGACTCAGCACGCGTCGCCGTACTGGTGGTATCGGCGTTTGCTATATGCTGGCTGCTCGGTCCCGCTCTCTCTTCAACCGGCACAATAACTGGCAAGAGATCTACATCCTGTATAGTACGCCAAGTATAGCACCCGTCCTTTTCTTCAGACGAAACCGATCCCACCTGCAATGCCTTTTTCCTTATTCCCGGTTGAGTGATTTCGCTGTTCTCCCTCTGCCTGTGCTGGCAATCAGTGCATAAATTTACGGATGTGAGCCGCCAAAAAGGAAAAGCAAAATATAAACAACGCCAGTGAGCATGCCAGGAGCCTCTCTGGTACCAACATTCAGCCGCTCATCCAGCCCATGTGGGCATGGCCCACCAAGTATATGGCGCAATCCCTACGGCTTTTCTTGAAGTATCAGCGCTGACTGTATACTGCGTTTCTTGATCGCGTTCTGCGGACCGTCGAGCAGACTGGTCGCTCGGACAAACAAGCACAGCCGGATCACTTTGCGCAGATCCTTCGGCCACTGCTAATCTCCACGACCTTCGACGGTCCAGATTTGCGACCAAAATTGCCGCCCGGTGTTCTCAATTGCTCTTTAGCAATCCATGGCCAGAATGGCTGGTGCTTCGTTGCTTCACAGTGATGGTTTTGATCGGATGGAGCTTTGGGATCATATCGCTTTCTGACGACTGTGGGGTGGAGGAAATGCTTATTTCGTTCACGCTGGTGCTAGCAACCTGTTGGATCGCTGGTGCTAGCAACCTGTTGGATCGCTGGTGCAAATGCTGGAACTTTGGCTGCCGCCTGCCAGCCATTCCTAGACATGGCATCCCTTAGGCAGCGCTGATATACCCTCCAATGTTACATAATCTAATTATCTGCAGATAATACGAGTTCGCTGGCATGGGGCAGTCTGGGCTATATATTCAAGCTCCGTAATTATTGTTGATACCAAATCAAGTAGCGATCTAGGGGCATATCTATATGCACAGCCATCGATAAGGCTGTCAAAACGTGCACCCTGTGGTGTTCAAAAACATTCAACCCACAAACCTCAGCCACTGTTCCTATTTTCCACTCCCTTGCATGTTTTTATCCTTATTCAATGGCTACCATCAGCGGCCTCCCCAGCCTTATTCTAAAAAGTACTATATCCTACCTGTGGTATCTTGAAGCTCAACTACAAAAACAAAACCAGCTTGTATCCATGTTTCCCTCTTGTCTGGATCTGTCAAAGGTGGAGGTGTATGCTGCTCCTAACTCTATTCGACAGCATTTACATACGTCAACAGTTGTGACTGGGATGGGTTCCTCGATACGACTATACCTACAGATATCACAGTCCGATTCAAACATAAACCCTATAGTGGATAACAGAGAATCAGTATACACACAAAAGCTATTTATGATGTCGGTTAAAACCATTCCCTAACTTCGAAATCCCTGGTGGTTTCCTGGACGCTTGTCATTTTGACACATCATTATGGCCATCAATATGCTGCTTTGAGATATAAGTTTAGCCAATCCCCTATTGTTTAGCATCCAACTTGAAGCTAACCCTGAGAAATGCAGCGGTATATCTATGTATCTATATTGACATCTGCCATTGCCTAACGAAATATTGCATGTATCTATCATGAAACGACTTGGTATTTCCACCATCACACCTAATTAATCTACGATTTGTCCAACTTACATCGACGTAAAGAGTAGCCCCATTTTATATATTCACAAATCATTCTCCAGATATCTAGCATATTTAAAAATTCGCTCGAGTACCGCAAAATCAAAAGTGCCATATATCCACACGCCCTCTCTTTGCTCATTATCTTTATGCAGAATTCCTCCAAAGCTTCCATGGTGGTTTCTTTATTCAAATAAAAGAAACTCACTGGATTTCTGTGAGCTTGAAGAGGCTATCATTGCTCCATATTCCTATCTTTTTGCCAGCACCATATGCCCGATTTACAAACGCTCAGCTAAGTTCTCTCTACTTCAGACGCATCTTGGAATTGTTTCAGAACTTGAACATATGGTTGCTATGTAACTGGAATATTAAGTTTCATATCCCCGATTCAACTGTGCAAGGCATAGGGGAGTCTGAGGAACTAGCTTAAACTATTTTCAATGTTCCCTGTCCAACAGCCCATTTCGAGCTTTTGGTCAATCACTAGTGGCCAATTTTTTTTCGGCTATTGCAAATGGATTTGGCTCAGGAAGCCAGGCATGCAAGCTTTCATATCACGTACCACACTCTACAGCTTAATACTACAGCTACCTGCTCTAAAAGCCCTGCCAGTGCAATTTGTTACTGAAGACCATACTATTCCGCAGGGTGGCAGGATACAGCATATTTCCACATACCGCCGAGGTAATATCATCTTGAGAAATAGCTCAGAGTCTCCTAAAATATTAGTGGGTACCTCCATTCTTCCGCTGGTTGTTAGTCTCGAAATCTTCTATGGACTTGTCACCAATATCTCTTCGCTAACCACGATCTGTGTTCCAGAATATTATCTTCAAGACGTAACTGGTGCTATCAAGCAAGGCGTCATGCTTGCATTCCCATACCTCAAGAGGCTGGATGCTACTTGTGTTCCTGATTAGTTCCATTAGGTGCGCGCTATGAAGGGTTCCCAGCTTTCCATTTGATATATTATCACTTCCATGCAAGCATAATTAAATACCGAATTCCATCCCAGTGGGCCTTGTAGGCCATGTCCAACAAGTCAACGCTAGCAGAATGGCGAGCCAATTGGGTATAAGCGATCTCGGCGCGATCTCGGAGATTCAACTTTTAGGCACATACTACTGCTTTCGATGGCTCGCTGTGGTTCATGTGGTCGAATTTCTCGCCAAGACACACCCGCAGGCTGTGGGAGGGTGTCAGCGGGGGATACGAGGCGAGAGCGCGCAAACGCTTGGCGCTTGAGGGGGAGGAGTCCGATAAACTGGCACCTATATTGCAGAGTGGGTGATTCTGGATTTTTTAGGGGCTTACAAATCGCAGCCTAGTTTTCTTGGCATTTTTAAAGCGGGAGACAGGCAGAGCCAGTGAGTATAAAGTCGGATCGCCCCCGTCACTCTAGTTTCTCTTCACATCCAAACCAAGCTTCATGGACTTTCATCTGCTGCTCTTACCACTCATCACAATAGTAACGTACTTTACTATGTCGTCCAGCACCCAAGTCGAGACATCGCCGCTGCCCTGGAGCCCAACCGTTGCCAAAGGCCCGCTCTCGTTCCTTGACGCCGTGGAGCAGGGCCAGCGAGCGCGAGAAGGGCAACCAGACAGAGACTACACTGCTTTCAAACATGGGCGACTCGCACAAATTGCCGTCTAACGCGCAGCTTATGGACGTGAGCATCGATGATGCCGGCAACTATGTGCACACACTAGCGATCAAGCAAGAGCAGGCGCAGCATAACCTGGTGATGACGCACGGGTACTTTACCGGCATCGGCTTACTATTACCGCAACTACCAGGGGCTAAGCAGCGCGGACGGCTGGAACGTGTATTCGATCGACTGGCTGGGCATGGGGCGGAGCTCACGGCCAAAGTTTGGCGTGTCGCATACGCTGCCTGAGGAGCAGCGGGTGGGCGACACAGAAAAATTCTTTGTCGAGTCCTTGGAGACGTGGCGGCAGAAGATGGGGATCGAGAAGATGCTCTTGCTGGGACACAGCTTCGGCGGCTACATGTCGGCGCTGTACGCGATGAAGTACCCGGAGCACGTGGAAAGGCTGGTGCTTGTCTCGCCGATTGGCCTGCCGGAGCCGCCCGCGGACTTGGCCGAGCGCCTGAAGAACGGGACGGTTCGGCAGCCCAAGAAGCCCGAGGACGACGATAAGGCAGTGGATGCCAAGCCCAGCTTCAAGCGCAACGTCATGTTTGGCATGGCCATGTCGCTCTGGGAGCGCAACTACACGCCGCAGTGGCTGGTGCGCATGGCGGGCCCGTATGGTCCGCAGACTGATAAACTTTTACGTGTCGAAATTCGGCTTCTTGTCTGACAAGGAGCGCGCCGATCTTGCGGCGTACGCATACCAGATCTCGGTCCTGCCCGGCAGCTCCGAGTACGCGCTGGGCAATATTCTGAGGCCCGGGGCGTTTGCGCGGCGGCCGCTGGTGAGCCGGATGCAGGGCCTGAAGGTGCCGACGACGTTCATGTACGGGCAGAATGACTGGGTGGAGGCGTCGGGCGGCGAAGGAGGCAATGGACAAAGATCCCAGCGAAGACGCAGCTGTTCACAGTCAGGAATTGCGGACACAATATCCATTTGGAGAACCCGCAAGGGTTCAATGAGGTTGTCTTGCGTGAAATGGCCGAGCTGAGCTGGGGAGCCAAGTAGTTGCTAATCAGGTTACTTCTTCACATGATAATAAATGCGGTTTGAACACATAGCGCCTGAGCAAATCGCCAGATCTCAGCATCCCAAAGTCCACCCCGCGCATCTTCTGAGTTTTTGGGGAACACGCCCAAGGCACTGAGGCGCGGGATTGCAATGGGTGTTTGGCCGGAAAAAATATTGCTAATATAGGCAGAGCCTCGACCCTTGCCCAAATGGCTCCATCATGCAGCTGGCAAGAGGCCCTTCTTCTCTCTCCTCAGCTCTTTTTCGCACTTTTTTTCTTTCTTTGCTCACTGCGAGTAGCCTGTTTTTCTTTAAACACTACTGCACGTATACTGGCATATATCGAGGCGGAGGTAGTATCACTCCCTGATTCTTTTTCTTTTTTTTTTTTTTTCAAGTTCCAAGCGACTCATCTGCTGGAGTAATTTGGTGGGCTGTGGAGAGTTCTTGACAAGAAAACCATGGCTCTGCTAACCAAGCAAACGCGGCATTTTGTCGCCGACACGTACCTGTCGTTTATCTTCTGGACGGTCCTGACGTCTCTGGGCCTCTGCATCTGGTACTTCCCTCTGTGGCACATGGGTATCTCGGGGTACGAGGTGCTACTGCTGTCGGACATTGCTCCGGTTCTTCTCGGCATCGGGCCTCTGCGGCGTCTCCTGCGTCACCACCGCGGGATCACGGCGCTGATGGGACTGGTTGGAGTGTTTGCGTACGCGGTGCAGGATCCGCTGCAGCGCCTGGTGCTGGTGGCGGTGGGTTCGGCGGGCGTGATGCTGTCTCTGGCGAGCGTTCTGTACGAGGACCGGGTTCCGGCGACGGGCCGGTTGGACCGCGACATTCAGGCATGGGAGGCTGGTCTTCTTCCTGAGTTTGGCGGTGCGGATGTTTTTCCAGACCAACAACCCGGTGTGGGCGACCATGAATGAGGAGAACGGCGGGATGGAACAAGACAGGTATTTTCCTGGGTGTGGTTGCGCTGCTGGATGTGGTGACGCGGCGGTCGGACGCGCAGGCGGAGGTGCGCGACGCCAAGAAGAAGGACCTGGCGATGCCGGCGGTGAAGCGGCAGGAGGCGGCGTGGGTGCCGGCGGCGTTCGGGTTTGGCGCGCTGCTGTTTGCACTGCACTCGATGTACTCTGACAGCGCGATCATCGGGCGGTGGACGTGGGACGGGTATCCGCACTCGGGCCCGCAGCCGGTGCCATGGGGTGGACTTGTGCTGATGGCGCTGGCGGGCGGGTTCTCGGTGGGACACCGGATCGAGCTGACCACGGGCATGCTGTGGTGGGGCGTGGGCAGCATCTGCGCGGGACTGGTGACGTTTGTTTCGGGCTGGTCTGGCTTTGTGCCGGGACTGGTGCTGGCGTTCTACCTGGGCAGCATTACGCGCAGCATTCTGCGTGTGCTGGCGCGGTGCCCGCCGGGCCGCACGTTCTTTGTGGGCATTCTGTGGTACAACATCCTGGTGCTGGGCCACGTGTGGGTGGTTGCGTACGAGTTTGTGCCGGGCGGCCCGCTGCTGCGCGAGCGCACATGGGTGGTGATGCTGGCGACGATGCTGTCGCTGTACGGCGGTGTGCGGTCGGCGCGTGCAGCGCTGGTGTCGCGGTCCGGCGATGTTCGTCACGAGGTGGCGGGTGTGCAGGCGGCCAGCGTTGCGCGGACGGACCGTCACCGCGCGCGCTCGGTGTTCTGGGCGTGTGTGGTGGCGGGCTGGGCGGCCATGTTCATGCGGTTCCCGGCAGCGACCAAGACACCGACGCCGCATCGTCCGGAGCAGCGGCTGATCACGTCGGCGATCTGGACGATCCACTTTGACCTGGATAACGACATGTGGCTGGCAGGAGAACCGGATCATCGATGCAGTGCGTGATCTGGAGGTGGACGTGATGGGATTCCTGGAGTCGGACACGGAGCGCATCATCATGGGCGGGCGCGACTGGACGCAGCGCGTGGGCGAGGAGCTCAACTACTACGTGGACTACGGACCATCGCCGCGCAAGCACACGTGGGGATGCGCAATGATCTCCAAGTTCCCGATCAAGAACTCGACGCACCACCTGCTGCCGTCGCCGCACGGCGAGCTGGCGTGCGCCATCCACGCGACGCTCGATGTGCACGGACGCGACATCGACGTCATCATCTCGCACAACGGGCAGGAGGAGAACCCGCTGGACCGTCGGCTGCAGACAACCGAGCTGGCGCGTATCATGCGCGAGTCGCAGAACCCGTTCATTTTCACTGGCTACGTGGTCACCAAGCCGCATGCGGAGAACTACAAGATCCTGTTTGACGGCGGCCGCATGCACGATATCGACCCGACCGACCACGACCGCTGGTGCCAGTACATTGGCTACCGCGGGGTCAAGCGCGTCGGCTATGCGCGCATTTCGCGCGGCACCATCACCGACACTGAGATCCAGGCCGGCAAGTTTGTCGTGCCCGGCGCCTGGCGAGGACATCTCCGGGTGGCAGCCGAGCTACGCACGCGTCGAGGAGAGCCACTACCCGGCCGAGTACCACTTCCCGAAGAAGTTCCACGGCAAGGGTGTGCGCGGACACTTCTACCACGTGTTCAATGCTCCTCGCTACTTTGACTAAGAAATAAAATTTGCTCGTTTATTTTTGAAAAAGATTGCGTCTATTAATCAGCAAACTCACGGGGCGTGCCAAAGCTCTGCATATTGGCCACGCTCTGCAGCGATCCGACCACAATGTTGGATCGGCGGCGCATGGCAAGATGCTGCTGGTGCGGGGACATGGCCGTGGCCGTCTGCACCACGTTGGCAGTCAGACCCACGATGGGCCGTGCCACGGGCGTCGGCGTGCGCTGCATGTCGGTGGCCGGCAGCTCGTCGTGCGAGTCGATTGACGACCGCGCGGTCAGCTCCTGGCAGGACAGGCTGCTGGTGCTGCGGCAGAGGCGGTCGAGGCTCAGTGCGTCGAGGCTGCCGGTCTGCTGTGGGGCGACGCCCAGGCCGACCAGAGTCGAGGTCGAGGCAATGGACGAAATCGAGTGTTTCTTTTGGTCGTGGCAGGTGCCATGCGGCTCCACAGCAGTGGCGGTGCGCGACCGGCTGGGCTCGGGCAGCGGCTGCAGCCCGATCAATACAAAGCCGTCCTGCGGCTCCTCGCTCTCGCCGTCCCGGTACGCGCTGGGCTTGGGCGGCTTCAGAATCAGCGGCCACCGCGTCAGGCGCATCTTGGCGAACCGCGCGTGCTCGGCCGTGCTGTCTAGGTCGTCCCAGTCGATGTCGGATGAGGTGCCGCTGATCTGCACCTGCACGTTGAGCTCCACCATGCCGTTGGCTACCTCTATGCCTTCGCGGTGATGCACCTGCCGGTCGCCAAGCACCGGCCGCGCACCGCCGGTATGCATGGTGGCAGACCGGTGCGGGCGCATCGGCGGGGTGTTTGGCGCTGACGACACCGCGCGCTCGCCGGCCGACGACAGCCGGCGCCGCTGCCACTCGCGACGCAGGCGCGAGAAATGGTACACGTCCGGACGCGCATCCCACGCCAGCCGCAGCGCCTTGACCACCCGCGCCACATCCTCCGGGTGGATGCGCGAAAACACCGACTCGCCCAGCAGCGACGCCAATGCGACCGGCGGCGTTCCCTCCAGCGTCGGGTCGGGATCGGCGCCGCTCTCGCCGTCGGTACTGGATAGGGTCGCATGGCGCAGCGGATACGCCATCTCCACCAGGCCATGCCGCGACACCAGCATCGACATCCACGACAGCGGCGAGTCAATCGTACACGGCTCGGCGTCGCGTCTCAGCAGCGGTGGCAGCGACGGCGGCGGGCCTAGCGATCGGCTCGATTCGACAAACCGTGAAAAGTACTGCTCCAGGGGCACGGGCGGCGGCAGCAGACTCGGGATGCCGCAGCATGCAGCTTGGTGCAGCGTCGAGACCTCGGCCACATGCACGATTGCCAGCTGCGCTCCCTCGCCACGTGGTGTCTGGTGACTCCGCCGCCGGCGTCGCCTTTGCCCACGCCTGCCACTCGTCCTCCAGAACGCCCGGCAGCGCATGCGCACACAGGGCAAAAATGCAGCTGTGCTTGGTGCGCCGAACCGCTGCCAGCTCTACGTGGCCTAGCCCCTCGTTACCGATCAGCAGCGGGTCGTCCTCCGGTACTTGCGCGATGTTGCGTGGCCGCTGCGGCAGGCTGTCGTCATCCACGTCCCGCACAGCCATTTCCGTCGCCTGGTCGGCTTCAGGGCCGCGCACTAGCCATCCAAGCATGCTCCACAGCCCGGATGTGGTCGAGCGGAGCTTTCTGCTGTGGGCTGCAAACTGCAGCACCTCACCCACCGTTGCCCCGACCCGCGCCTCAGGGGCGATGCTGTGGAACTTCCGTCTCAATGCATCCGAAAAGTGCACTATCGATGCATCCCGCAGATCCTCCATTGACACCGCCGCCTGCCCGGTGCGCTGCGCCGAGCTGCATGTGCATTTTCCAGAGCTGTCTGTCTTCCGCGGCAATTCCACAACCATGTGTGCAAACGGCCGCAATGGGCACGCGGTGTGTGCGTGTGTGGAGTCTGACGAGAGCCACCAGGGCGTTGCTGGCTCCGTCACTGTGGTTGCTATGCTGTGGTGCTTTGACACTTTGTCGGCCGTGTGTGGCCCACTGGACACTGCTGCTGCTGCCGCTGCTGCCGCAGGGCTTGCGGCAAACGCTGGCAGAGACATTAATGCACGTTAAATGAATGTATTATTAGCGTAGAATATGTGAAAGGGGGATGCCAAGATGTACGCAATAGAGGAGGATGAGGGAAGGGGGTCTGGCGGGATAGAGGAGTGGAAATAAAACAAGGAGAAAAAGTGTCGTTAGAAGAGAAGAGCGCTTTTGCAAAAGAATCGCAGCAGCTTGCAATGTTGTGATTTTTTGCCAGTTTGGGGGTCTGCGCATCGTGATTGGGCACCCGAAGATTGTGCGCTTTTGTTCGCTTTGCACGCAGGCATTCATGCCCAAAAAAGAAGTAAAAATCTGTCAATTACGAACAAGGCATTGACAGGGGCGCTTTGCCGCCGCGTCCCTCCTCCTAGCAACCAGCAAATCCCTGTCTCCGCCGGGCGCCAAGGAAGAAATGTTCGTCCCCGTGCCCAAACGGGCGGCACCAGTCTCCGCCAAAAAGGACGGACGATCATCCCAGAGCTCCGCGATAAACAGGCACTGTGCGCATCTCCTGCTTATCGCAGAGTCGGTGCCTTATTCAGGCATCTGGCGGGGGAGCACTGTGGGCTGACGATTGCAAGTACCGCCATCGGTCCCTGCAGTTGGTGCCCATCCGGCCGAGCTCCATTGAGATCGCCTCCCATGCCGCGCCATGCGTGCCCACCAGCCGCGCCAGCATCCTGTCCTCCTCCTCAGTCCACGCGCCCTGGTAGTTGTGCGGGTGGTATTTCCTCCGAACGTGATGGTAAATGGCCTGGATCTGCCGTGTCGGCAGGGCCTCCGACAGCAGTGGCCACAGCTCCTTGCGCAGCTGCTTCCCGGTCTGGTCGCGGTGCTTGCGCTGGAACAGGTACTCGTACAGTGAGCTGTGCGAGATCCCGTGCTGCTCGGCGAACTCGCGGATCTGCGTCTCGATCACCGCATTCTCGGCGTCGGTGAACTTGCCCTTGGTGAACACCACGCCTTCGCTTTCCAGCGCCTGCAGGTGCTTTTGCGTGTGCCAACGCCGCCCCGCCACTGTGCCTGTGCGCGGTGCCCCGGGCCGCCGGCTGGCTGTGGGCGGGTCGGCGGGTGCGGGTTGGTAGCTGCCGGTGTTTTTGCTATGCCGGATCCGCTGCAGTGCCGCACGGCTGCTGCTGGGCTTGGCCAGAACCAGGTCCGACGCTGCCATTGTGGCCTGTGCCAGTGCCTGTGCAACAGTCTCGACGCGATCGCTGAGCAGTCCCGGGTACGTCCGCAGCAGCTCTACCAGCGACAAATCGTCCTCATTGCCGTCCAATGCACCGTCCGAATATTCCTCTCGCCGTGCAGTCATTGGTCATTTAACGTCTGGGGGGCAGGCTAGTACCTCGGTGGATTCAGGTTGTATCTACAAAAAAAAGTTGGAGAAAAGTGGGTGCGAGGACGAAAAGCAGGGAGACTAAAAAATTTTGCCAATAGTGAAAAATTGTTTTCCCGAAGGCAGGCTGAACACTGCACCCAGCACCACGCGCGTAACTATTTCCCTCCCTCCCTGCTGGCAGAGGAATTCCGGGTCTTTTCTGGTTCCCTCTAATTTTAATTCATTTTATAATTCTACTCCTCTAATCTTCAAACCGGGCCCTCTGTATATTATCATTATTATTTTCTTGTGCGACTCCTCTGCGTATTCTACCGGTCATGTCTCGTCCTGCTCGACGGCACGCTCGCAAAGCCAGCGCTACTACGGCCGAGGATATCCTGATGCCCTTTGAGCTGACTGCTGGCCTCACCCGCCTGTCGCCATCGCCGCCTGCTAGCACGCCGTCCTGATCAAACCCTAGCTTTTGGCAACACATCACCTTCTCCGCAGCAGCAGCAACAGCAGGTACCGAAGCTGGCGCCGCTTATAGAAGCCCCAGCCGACGAAGTGGAAACTCCAGCGCCAAATCCGACGAAATTGGAACTAGCCCCCTTGTTCTCCTTTGACGACCTTGCGACAGCAACAACTGCTGAAGAGTCAGCAGAGCCAGTGGCAGCAGAGCCACCAACAGTGCGCACGCATCCTGATAAGGGTATTCTGAAGGAGCCAAAGAAGGAGTCCGACTGGGTCGCGCTGGTCACTGTTCAACAGCGCAAAGTGGTTTGGCAATTCGCAAAAGTCGTCGTCTGAGCACCTGCGGTTTGCCCAGGGCGCCGGGATCCCCGCTGCCCACATCGACGACGAAGCCGCTATGGATGGTCGTGCAGACATGAGCATGCGCACAGCACCTAGCATGGACTTTGAGCGCTCAACCTCGGTGGTACCACCGCTGAGCCAGGAGCGGATAACATCGACCGAGTTCTGGACAAACTTTGCCCTGGAGCTCGACCCGTCGAAGCTACGGCGAATCCGCTTCTCAATGCCCCTGATTGTCACTGAATTCGACCCCGAGACTGCCCGCGTATGCGACCGAAACGAGGACTCGGCGCGCACAGTGGTTGAAACCACCGACGGCATTCTGAAGAACGGCCACCGCGAGGGCCGCGAGATCGCAAAGGACGCGACACTGATTGTGGCCTCGCCTGCCGATGACGACGACGACGGCTGCGAGACGCGCAATAGTGCCGACAGCGAACAGAGTTTGGCTAGGGCTCGGACCAGCTCTGACGCCAGGCGGGATTCCATCGTCCAGTGGCAGCGAGCGGAACCTCGTGTGATTCGCTGATTGATAAGCAACGCGGCCGCAGGCCCATCCAGTGGGATGTCAGCGCCCTTACCCGCCGCCAGTACCGCGTCCAGGAGGTCTGGGAGCTGTACGAGCGCACGTGCAAGTCGCTGGATGTCGACCCATTGCCCCCATTCGCCGACATTCTGCAGACGCATATGCGCAAGGAACAGACCCTCGGCAGTCTGGACCTGTCGGGCTGCCAGCTGGACGGCGTGCACATGAAGTGCTTTGCAGATATCCTTGACCTGAACTTTGGTTTGGTCAAGCTGGAGCTCAGCCACTGCAGCATCGATGACGACGCAGCGCGGCTGCTCGTCTACAGCCTGCTGTGCAACGACAGCGTGCGGTACCTGGGCCTGTCCAACAACTCGCGGCTGCGCAGCGACGGCATCCGCTACATCTCGATTCTGATTCGCCACAGCAAGCAGCTGCAGGTGCTGGACATCTCGGGCATTGCCATCCGCAAGAAGAGCGCCGGCTATCTGGCGGCCGCACTAGCAGGGCTCGGCAGCAACTGGACAGTTGGACGCGGATCCATGCGCAAAAAGACATCCATGTGCGAGCAGATCAGCCTGAAGGCGCTGCGGATGAACAGCTGCGGGATCAAGCCGGCGGCGCTGGCAATTCTGGCCTCGGGCGTGCGCTTGTCGCCGCTGCAGCACCTGTCGCTGCGGCTCAACTCGCTGACGTCGAGTGCTGGCCCGATCCTGCGCGAAATGCTCTACGGCGACCCGCCCCAGCTGGCTGCAGCGGCGAGCACGCAGAACCCGGTAGCACGCGTAGCCATGACGCCCAAGCGGCCCATCAGCATCTCCCTGCACGGCCTGTCGGATGCCCAGCACTACCACGACCCGAGCTCCTCGCCGTACATAATCGGCGTGGCCGACACCCCGCGGACTGTCGCAGCTGCGATCGCTGGATCTGTCGCAGAACGAGCTGGGTCGCGGCATGATGGATCTGGCCGAGGGCCTGCTGTGGAACACGAATCTGAAGAGCCTGGTGTTGCGGCAGAACAAGCTGCAGCCAAGCATCCTGAGCTCGTTCATCGAGTGCCTGGGCGTCAACACAGGGCTGGCCTACCTCGACCTCAGCCGCAACCCGGTCTGCGGGCCCAGCACGCTGGGCATCGAGGCCCTGTCACAGGTCATGGCACGCAACCGCTCGCTGCGTGGGCTGTTCATGTCAACCACAGGCATGACCTCTGAGGGCGCCATCACGCTGGCCGAGTGCCTGCCAGACCTGCATGCGCTCGAGCGCCTGGACGTCTCAGACAACCCGGGCATCGAGCTGGCCGGGCTCATGGCTCTGTCGGCCTCGATAAAACTCAACCGGATCGCTCATCTGCTTCGAGATCACAGTCAACACCGGCGACGAGGTGTGCGCAGCCATGGAAGCAGGCCATTGCGCAGACCTGCATTGCCAATATGCAGCGCGTCGATGCGACCGTGCAGCAGCAGCACCAGAGCAACGGCAGCGATTTCGGCCTGGGCCTGGTGTCCACGCACGTCTGGCCGCACGCCGACAAGGCGCCGGCGTCAGATATGCCTGGCGTTGTGATCTCAAGATTCAGCAGCGAGGGCTCCGAGGACGGTCTGACCAGCCTAGTCACGGATCTGTCAGCGGTGAAGCGCCCGGCGGCGCCCGACATTGGCGGAATGCTGGACGAGGCGTTTGATGGGCCTGCAGGCCGACGAGGAGACTGGCGAGGAGCAGGCAGCCATGGAGGAGGATAGGAAGCCGTCTCGTGAAGACCCGCAGCCGGCAAGTCTGTTTATTCCTGAGGACCTGGCCGACAACTGACAGCCAGGCTATATGTGCCTTTCTACATCTTAAATTTAATCATCCCCTTGATACGTGTACTTTGACAATGTAAACGCTCAACTTTTATATCCACTCTGCCTATCTGGATAAAAAACACTAGTCGTCCCCGGGAGACACCCTACGCCTGGACGTTCCACAGCACAAGCTTGCCGTCCAGACCGCTGGTGGAGATTTCAGCAGCCGCTCCGCCCAGACCAGTGTGCATCTCAGTGATCGTGTTCTGGTGGACGCTCTTGAGCGAGCCGTCGGTGGCCGCGGCAGCGTTCTTGGCAGGCTGATTGCGGCTGTCCATCTGGCGGAACAGGTTGAATGCAGTGTTGCCGGTGGGCGACGCAGCAGCCGAGCGCCTGAGCTTGTCGTCGTCGCCGAGCCGCTTGGCAAGCCGCCAGGCCTGGCCGTCGAACGCGTAGACGAGCGGCACGCAGTCATGGCCCGACACCACGATGGTGCTCTGGTCAACCCACACAAGCGATGTAAGCGGCAGGCCGGGGGAGCGCACAGCGACGACCTCGCCGGTGGCTGGCGTAGCCACAGTCAGGCTGGCGTCGTGGCTCGCAAAGGCTACCTGACTCGCCATCGGGCGAAAACCCAATGCTGCGCACCCATCCGCCGGCCGGCGCCTCGAACTCGCCGCACAGCGTATTGAACGGCAGCCGCTCGCCCCACGCCGACGGCGCCGGCTTCTGGTCGACTCCCTTGATGAAGGCCGAGAACACACGGGCCTTCATGTCAGTGCCGCCGCACGCCAGCAGCACGTTGTTTCGGATGCCATGCCACCGACAGCACCGAGCTGGCAATCGGCTTCTTGATGTGCTTGCTCACCCACCAGTCGTTGTCCGACCCAAAGTAGCACACCGCCACGCACTTGTCAGCCGCTGGCCACCGCAAACTTGTTCTCCTGCGGGCTCCACCGCGCCTGCACCGCCGCACGGTTGATCCGGAGGTGCACTAGCGTCGGCTTCCACATCCCCGCGCTGTCCAGTGTCCACACGTACGCGTTCTTGTCCTGCGAGCACGTCACAATGCGGTTCGTCTGCGGCGCCCAGTCGATGCTCGTCACCAGCAGATCGTGCTCCTTCAGCACGTGCAGCTGCGTCCACTGCGTGCCGTTGCGCCCGTAAATGTGCACCTCGTTGGTGTTCGGGCACAGCGCTACCTGCGACTTGTCTTTGTTGAACGCATGCGATGTCACGCAGAACGGAAAGGTGAATTCCTCAATGACGCTCATTCTGGATGCCTGCTGTCTGTGCTGCTAATAATGTCGAGAGAGATGAGAAATAGAATGTGACGAAATGAATAAAACCCGAATTAGCCAAGGCTGAGTCAAAATAGCGGGAGTGCTTGAATTCGGCTGTCGAAACTAGCCTTTTGAAGCCCGCATGGAACTGATTGGGCCCCTGATCCAGCCGCCGAAAATGCGCTACATAGTGGAGGCCATCTTGTGCTAGCTGCCGCTGCTCGCTAGCCTGTCTGAGGGCCGATTCGGCGGATGTGCTTTGTGACAGGCGAGCCTAGCAACAAGGAAATGCAAAGTGGCCGAACGAAAAAGTCAGTGTACGTCTCAGCGAAAGGCCACCCTGTTCTGGTGATGGCCTGCCGGTGAACATATTCAGCACAAAACTGGTATTCGGAGTATATTGCAATAATCTGGCTTGAGTTGAACATATGGAGAAACGGGAAACCGAGAGGTCTGGGATGGGACAATATAACTAGAGTCGTCTCTGAGACTTGTTCTGTCTTGATGATTTGGCTGGCTGCGGGACAGGGTGCTTTCTGCGAGTCCCTTCTCTCGGCGGACTCCTCAACCTCCTTTCCATGTGATGGTCTGCCACCTCTGTCAACCTGATAGAAGACACTGTCATGAGCTAGCGAGCCTTGGACTCGCCATGTTGCTGAGGTGGGTGCTTCCTAAGGACCAGTCTTTCAGCCAGCGCCTCCACATTCTCCATACAAGATGGCCTGCCGCTTGTACTAGCTGCAGAAGGCTCACCAAGAGTAAGATGCCCTCGCTCTGTCTAGAGCGGGGTGGAGATGATGATGGTCCTGCAACTGCAGATGGCGCCTGGCGATGGTGGGGTGGTGGCTCTTCACCTAGATGTAATGACTGTCCAGCAGCTATGAGATACTCTTCCATGTGTAAGGCGAGCTGGCTTTCAATGGGTGTAGGCAGACTGGTAGGTGTATGCGGACTGGCGATGGTAGATAGACTGGTAGGACACAGGCTGGATAGGTGCATTCCTCAGATCTGGCTCGTGGGGTGGTGTGCAACGCAGGCACGTTCTCTGACTCGGCTGATGTGGTATCCTGGAGAGCGGCTTTCCATTCATTGACCTTCTCAACAACCTCATCCACTGGTTCAAATCCTCTCCGAAACACAGCGTACCTCTGCGTATAACCCATGAAATCGGGAATGATGACACCGCAGTCAACAAGGTCGGGAACGTTACAGCAGCGCTTGGTCCAGTGGGGTATCAATGGCGCGGCTGATTAGCCTGCTCAGGCAACTGGTTGCCAGTAAATGACAACATAGATGAAGCAAACCTTGGTCGAGAACGGAGTTGTAGACGACAGCCAGGGGACCGAACATGCCTTGGGTTTCCCAGTGAACCGGAGACATGATTGATAGATTGTCACCTTTCTTTTCAGGAATCACTGCCTCCCAGAACAAAGACACCGTCGGGCTGAAGCTGTCGAGATGGTGCTGTTTGCATTCACCTCCTGCTTGTGTGAAAGGTGAAGGGTCCGTGCAATATGCCCATTCCTAGGGTTCTGAGCAAGACGTCAAAGTCCACTGCTCTCACATTTCTACGCGGCACTTCGTTGACCCACGTCTCAAGTCAGCTCTGGGACTGGAGAGTGCAAAGCATCCTTGAGAGCAGGGCTTGCGACGAATATTGTCAAGCGGCTCCGTTATTTAGCTTACGTTCAGCACGGCTACACTTGGGGAATCTATACATTATGCGAGTGCAAAGGTTTTGGCTGCTTCAGAGAAGGATGAACTAGAAAGAAACGGTTGGCTGGGATAATGAGGAGGAGAGACGAGGAGAGACAAGGAGGAGAGTGTGCGAAAATGGCACGAGTTTATAAATGCGCAGCAAACTGCGATTCTGGATCACAGCGCTTGCTTTAATACTCATGGTGCGTCCGAAGCCGCATTCTGGTCCAGGGGACACAGAGCGCCTATCCTGCTAACTTCAAATCCTATTTGGCCAGTGCCATCATCGCAGTGGGGCTCCAGCTTGTCATTTTTACTCAAATAGACAAGTAAATTCGCCTAGCACATATCACTAACGACTATGCACTTGCCACAACACCCACGCGGGACTCCACAAGCTGTGGCCCAAGCTAAAAAGCGAAGGAAATAGTGGGCTGAATGGTAGTATTATGAAGTTAAGTGAAGCAAGAAGACCAGGAAAGGCAAATGCTGGGTAAATGTCCTGGTCGTTTAAAATGATGCTGTATGTTCATCGTTCTAATGACCCAATATCGATAAGCCTAGTGGAGTCCATATCATAATTCCAACACAACAACGTCCAGGCGAACCAATGAGATCTGATAGCGGAGCTGCTGAGATTTGAGGACAGTATGGTGATGGCACCACACTGCCCTTTTTCAGCAATTGAGTGTCATTCCAGTATATAGAATAGGCACTTTTCCCTCTGGTAAAAATGAGGATAACATTTCAAAATTTTATCCACCTGCTTTGGAAGCAATCACTGCCCTATGGTTTCATTATTATATCCTCTTACCATGACTCAGTTCTTGTACCGATATATACCAAAAGTCCCATACCCCGACCCAATATCCATCCCTCGTCAGGAGATCGAACGAATCATTTTGGGTGAAGAGTTTTGGCAACAATATCCATCGAGTCGACAACACAGACTGCGTTTTTAGCAGAGTCTTTGCCCAAAATTATTTTCAATTTCTTAATGAGAGATAGGTAGTGAATAGGAATATATGGCTCCTGGTATATATCAGCAGAGGAGTTGGGGCATGATAGAGATGCTATAATGAGGTGATGGTGTCATGGTGTCGAGAATCGGGTGTGTAATGAGTTCGTGATAGAAGTCCGGTAACCGGAGTACCCATAGATGTTCCAGTAGATAATCAAAAGAAGATAAATCAAACAAATCCGGTATTGATATATTCGGATAAAAGCAGGAGAAAACCAAGGAGGGGCAAAGGTGGACAAAACAGGAGAAATTGAACGTGCTGTTGACGACGTGTTTTATATAGCCGTCCCATAGGTGGTGTCATTTTAAACGTGAATGGCATCGACAATAAACATTCACAAACGCGATTACGGACCTGAATGTCGACAGCCCACATTATCTGCCAGGTTAAACACTACTGATTTTATCTCTAAAAGAAGCTCAGCTCTAACCAGACCTGGAGCACAACGCTAGCATATATCCATAGTATTTTAGTAGATTTCCTCCATGTTCGGTGCAGTACCCTTTTTGTCTTTTTGTCTTAATTTGTCTTCAAAAATGAGTTCTTTTCTTCATCTAACTAGTTCCAATGATAGCACACTGTCTGCTGGTTCTATCGAAAAGTCTAGCCTTTGCAGTAATTCGTATACAGATCGAATTTCAAGCAGTGCAAATTGGTCATCTGAAACCGATATTGTTTGTGGGAATAGTATATGCAGTAGCGATGGTGGAGGCGAGGAGGAATTTTCAGATATCGGTCGTTGTGATGTTCACCAAGGGCTGAATTCATTTAGGTATGAACGCTTTCAGTTAGTGAGTGAAGCTCAAATATGCATATTAACATACGTATATAGGGAGGACCAGCTATTGACGGATATAGGAAAGGTCCTACGTAGCGTCGCCCAAGGAAAGGCTTTGCCCGCTGAGATATACATGTGGATATCGGGGTATGTTCCATTGCATCCAGCTGCCTTCGCTATAGCTATTACGTGCTAACTGCATTTTTACAATAGCGCTGAGCATTCGGCTGGCGAAAAGGTTAATATGCGCAAAGGGCGTAAGTATGCAGCAATAATACCACAGCCATCTAGTACTGATACTAATCACTATTGCTGTAGTGGAGGCTGTGTGCATTTTAGACATCGTTTACCAGCTCCTAAGAACCGGGCAGATAGCATACCAGCGAGACATATACTATCGAGACATCGCTCTTTTCAAAAGCACAGCCAATGTCCGGGTCCTGTGCAACAAAATTGCACTATACTTCAATGTATCTCCAGCACGACTCAATATTGTAAGCACTTCATATCTTCGGACTTACTAGGAGGCTATAAGCTGAGCTAACATGCGCCTTGTGTAGATTCCTTGCCCAACAGGACTGATATACGGAAATGTCTCAGTTGAGCTTGGCGACGGAAACACGATCGACTACTCTACCTGCAGCGTAAGTTTTGACTGCAGCAATGATCGCATACTCCAAATATCTCGCTAACACTATATCTGTAGAAGCTACCTGTTCCTCACGTCCGATTCATTGTAAGTATATCAGCTATTGGATATTGAAGTTGCTGAGGATATCTAACCCCTTGTGCATCCGCTAGCATCACATCAGGTTTCTACACAAGATAAAGTGCATCGTCGTTGTTGAAAAGGAGGTACGTGAAACACAAGATGCCAATCAAGTAGACAAGTGTATTGACCAGCTTTTGGTTTAGACTGCGTTTTTCTCGCTCATCCAAGCCGGGTTTCTGGGCAGATTCCCCCAGGCGCTACTCATTACCGGGAAAGGGCTATCCAGTAGGTTGCACATATTACGCATGCAGGCAATGCTGTTAGCACATCCTAACCCCAAACGTGTAGGACGTAAATACTCGCGAGTTTCTTGCCATGTTTGGCGACAGGTTGCCAATTGCGGTTTTTGTTGACAGTGACCCGGACGGCGCCCGTATTTTCCAGACGTACCGCGATGGCGGGCAGTCAAGCAAGTTACCGGTGAAACTCCCGACAGCGTACTGGGCGGGCATACACCTTTCGACACAGATGATAGGGTAAGGACACAGTGTCGGATAGATAGGTCCCCAACACTCCTTCGTAGTCTAACATTGGCACTGGTAGGAGCAGGCTGGGAAGTGACGCTCACCAGCTACTCGAATTGACTTGTCGCGATCGTCGAGCTGCAGCCGGCCTCATCACCCGTTGGGCAGAGAATGGGCAGCGGCGTCGCAGAGTGGCCAAGATGCTCTATCTCGGCAAGAAGGTGGAGCTGGAGCTCGTGACCCAGCACCGGTCGACCTTGCTCGACTACATAGGCGATGTCTTGGGCGACAGGTCATGCTGGCTGTGATCACCGAATCAGTCCGTTGATCAGTGGTTAGCAATAAGCCTGTTCGGAGCACGATATCTTTTTCTCCAGCAATTTAGCGGTGCGAGGCGAATCTTCTTGACTCTCATTCCCTTTCAAACCTCCAATTTACCTAGTTCTACATTTAAGCCAAAAATGATGAACGGGTTTGCACTGTTCCGGGGCCTTACTAGCCGCACACCAGCCACAGCGATCTTTGCACGGGCCATGAGCACAGGCACACCCGCGGGTGGAGCGCAGTCGGCACTGGAAGTGCGGATGAAGTTTGCCAGCAACCTGAACAGCATGGTGGCGAACCAGGGAGCGAGCGTGGTGGGCAGATCGGTGCCGGTGGCGAGCGGCGGAGCGAACCGGGCGTACATGCGGCTGAACCGGATTCTGTCTGATAACGGGATCCGGCGCGAGTTGCAGCTGCGGCGGCGGTACGAGAAGCCCAAGTACAAGAGGCAGCGCCTGCGCCAAGAGTCGCACGCGAGGCGGTTCAAGGAGGAGGTCAAGCAGAAGGTGCATCTTATCATGCGGATGAAGAACTGGGGCATGTAGAGAGCGCGGGTTTCTCAAGCTGGTACAATAAAAATACTCTCAAGCGGTTCAACGCGCCGTGGCGTGCTTGTCGAGAAAAAGCAGTGAGGTTCTTTGCAGTGTGTGATTTGCAGCGCAACAATAAAGCGGGACTGTGCTTCAGGTTCGCATCTTGGCTCTGCTTCACAGCTATCCTCCCTATCTTTATTTCCCTCTATTTGTAGCTTCCTTACTATCCCTATTCTTGGCTGCCTAATGGCAAGAGACAACTTTGAATACGCGCCGCTGGAGGAGCGAGTGCAGTCCGGCACCACGGCCCGTGACGCCAGGCCTCTGGCGCTGGACCCAGAGAACGAGAGCCTGCAGGCCAGCAATTTTTCGAGCTCGCGACTCGAGCGCGGCGACTCGGGGCACCCAGGTGTAGATGGGGCTAGCCTGCGGGGCTTTGGCGAAGAAGACGACGCGCGGTTCTACGACGAGTTTACCATGTACGACCCGCACAACGCCAAGACGCAAGTGTGGAAGCGCAAGCGGTTCACGCTGATGCACATACTGCTGGTGGTGGTCGGGTGTCTGGGCGTGTTTGCTGCTGCGTCATCGCTGTGGCGCGTCATGCACGGCAAGGAGACCTCGGCTGTGCCTGCGCTGCCGGTGAATGGGGGCGACAAAGGCAGTACACCTGCGGTGTCCTCGGTGCCGGATAGTCGGTCGGGCAAGAAGCTGCTTACTTATGATAACGTCGGCAAAGTCAGCTCGCTGTTGGAGCGCAAGAGTCTGGACTGGATTGCGCACCCGACTGACCGGAGTATCGATGGGCTGTACCGCGAGTACCTGGGTCAGACATTTGATATCCTGAGCATCAGTAATGAGACGTACAAGGAGACGCTGGCAACCACAGACCAGGTGGTCAAGGCATCGGCTGGTCTGATGGACATGTTTACGATCGAGAGCTGGACGGTGTCGGCGGACTGGGAGTACATTCTGTTCAACACAAAGTCGGAGCGGGTCTGGCGGTATGGCGTCAAGGCCACGTATTTTATCTACAGCACCAAGGAGCGCACGATGATCCCGCTGACCAACGATGGCAACAACCGCATTCGCTATGTGCAGTGGGCGCCCAAGGGTCACCGGCTGCTGTTTGTGCGTGACAACGACATCTATGTCACTGACATGATGAAGGAGATTCGTGTCACAGAGGATGGCAGCGACGATGTGTTCAACGGTATCGCCGACTGGGTATATGCCGAGGAGGTGCTGGCCACAGACAGTGCAAGCTGGTGGTCGCCCGATGGCGAAGTGCTGGCGTACCTGCGCTTGGATGATTCCAAGGTACCGCTGTACCAGTACCAGATCTTCCATCCCGAGAACCACACGATTACGTACCCAGACAGCATCCGCCTGCATTACCCGAAACCGGGAGCCCCGAACCCGCAGGTCTCGCTGCACGTCTATCGGCCAGACTTTAGAGCCGACTCGCCCGACGTCAACCTTGTGAGCAAGGCCAGCGACAACAAAAATACGGACTACCAGCCGCACCCGATCACCTTTGACAAGGCGTTCAAGCCTGAGGACATGATCATTGCGCGTGTGACGTGGCTTACCGACAAGCACGACAAGCTCATGGTCCACGCCTTCAACCGCGTGCAGGACCACCAGCGCGTGTACCTCGCCAGTGCCGACCCCAAGCAGCTGACAGCCAAGATGGTGCGTGAGCGCTCGACGTCGAAAAAGCAAGGTGGTGACGATGCGTGGATTGAGATTTCTTCGGCACCGCTTTATGTGCCGGCCAACACTGTTGAGGGCGTTGGCAGTGACGGATACATTGAGATTGTCGAGAACGGAGAGTACACGCATCTGGCACTCTTCAGCTCGCTGGATGCGGCACAGCCTGCGGGCTGGCTGACGTCTGGCGATTGGGATGTCATCAGCGGCACTGCAGTGCTGGACCGCAAGGAGGCGAGCGTGTACTATGCAAGCACACAGCAGGCGAGCACCAAGTCGACCATCTACAAGGTGTCGCTGAACGCAAAGAACGCTGCGGGCTCTGCACCACAGCTGGTGTCGCCGCCTGACATCAAGTCTACCAGTGAGTTCCTGAATGCGCCGGGTGCGCGCGAGGGCACGTACGACGCCAGCTTCTCTGCCAGCGGTGGGTTCTTCCAGCTCAGCTACAAGGGCCCGCAGATCCCCTGGCAGGCTGTGTACAGCAGCCATGATGCCAAGTTTGAGCGCATCCTGACTGACAATGCCAATGCGCACAGCGAGCTGGAAAAGTACGACCTCCCCACAGTCGACTTCTTTGAGGTACCGAATGAGGCCGGCGACAAGATGAACGCCATGGCGCTGTATCCGCCAGGGTTCGACAAGAGCGCCAAGAACAAGTACGGCGTCCTGTTCCGCGTCTACGGCGGGCCGAATTCGCAGCAGGTGTCGCGCGCCTTTTCGCTCGACTGGCATGCGGCGCTGGTCTCGCAGCAGGATGTGCCCGATATGCCCTTCATCGTTGCTGTGGTGGATGGTCGCGGCACTGCCCACAAGGGCCGCAAGTTCCGCAGCGCTGTCAGCAAGCATCTGGGCGAATTCGAGCCCGACGACCAGGCTGCCGCTGCAAAGTACTTCCAGGGCCTGCCCTACATTAACCACCATCGCATGGCTATCTGGGGCTGGTCGTACGGCGGATACACCACCACTCGCGCGATTGAGCGCCACTCTGACGTCTTCAAGGTCGGTATGGCTGTGGCCCCCGTGACTGACTGGCGATTCTACGATTCTGTGTACACGGAGCGCTACATGAAGACCCCACAGATGAACCTTTCAGGCTACAAAAAGGCAGCAGTCACGGATGCCCACGCGTTTGCCAATGCCAAGTTCCTGGTGCAGCACGGCACCGGCGACGATAACGTGCATATGCAGCACACGCTGGCGCTGGTGGATCTGCTCGAGTCCAAAAACATTCCAGGCTTTGAGATGGCGTTCTACGCAGATTCAGACCACGGCATCTACACGCACGGCGTCAGGGCGTCGCTGTATGCCAGGATGACCAACTTCCTGTTCCGCTCGTTCCATGAGCTGGAAAACGAGCAGTTTGACTACTGGTACCACGACGCACAGCCAGATGCCAGCAACAAGTGAGGGATATCGATGTGCCTATCAATGCAGCAGACTCCACCTAATGAGATCATCAAGCTTAGAAATTTTGGCACCCCTTTATCTCTCTTCACCCACTCAACCTCCCGCCTTCCCTCCCTCGCCTCTGCCCCGCTTTTCTTTCCTTTTCTACTCTACACTCTTTTTTGCAGCACTATTCAATTCAAATGTTCCGTCAAATTCTCCAGAACGTAAGCACTAATTTCGCAAGCACCTGGCGCAGCTTCCATGCCTGCGAGTGCTTATGCTAATATCCATTCATTCTCCTGCATCTTTCCGTTGATAGGGCACTCTTCGCACAGCAGTCCAGCGTCCCCTGGCACAGCGGCTCGGTGCTACGCTGCCGCAGAGCTTCCTGGGCGCACGATTCATCACCGACCGGGCCAAGAGCATAATCGAGGAGGCCGTGAAGGACAACGATCTGATCGTATTCATGAAGGGCACGCCTGACGAGCCCATGTGCGGATTCAGCCGCGCGGTGGTCCAGATTCTGCAGATGCACGGTGTGGACGAGCTGGTGGGCGTCGACTGCCTGCAGGACCCCGAGATCCGCGAGGGCATCAAGGAGTACACGGACTGGCCGACCATCCCGCAGGTCTATGTCAAGGGCGAGTTTATCGGCGGTTGCGACGTCATGGTGCAGATGCACCAGTCCGGCGAGCTGCACGAGCTGCTGATCAAGGAGGGCATTTTGAAGGCAGACCCGGATGCCAAGCGCGAGGAGTAACGGGCTTTCTTTTCTTTTTTTTTTTTGGCTTCGTCGAAGTCTATAGTCCTTTTATTATGTCGGTCAAAGAAAGACTAATCTTGCTGGAGCGCCTGCAGCTCGGTGTCCTTGCGGTCAAGTGCGCGCAGGAGGTGCGAGATGCGCACAGTCAGCTTGCGGTTCTCGTCCTCGAGCTGCTTGATCGTGGCTGCGCTCTCAGCAGATGCGTCGGTGGAGACACCTGCCTGACTGTCATCGCACTCGAGCATCTGGCGCAGCTCATTGACTTGCTTCTGCAGACCGGCCACAGCAATTCTGTACTCTTCTGACTCTGACATCGGGATATATGAGGTTTTCGATTTTTTGTTCAGGATCCACCTAAAAATCACGGCGGATTTTTTGCTGGTAATGCCAGCCTGCCAGCTCATGGCAACGTTTGTGGGAACCCAGACCAAAAGGATGCCACTCCAAACTCTGGTACAGAATAGCTGCTATTGAAGCTGCATTTGTCGATTTAGGCGTACTTGTAAACTCTTCAGAGGTGCTTAGGAGTAGATGGGCCAGCGTGTTGGCAATATCGACGACACCCAAGCAAGATGCTTTCCAGACATGTTGCGAATATAGATGGGCATATGCATGGCTGTGAATCGCTTTGCAGCACAGATGTCTCTCTGGCGCTGCACTGCAGAGTATGAGCGCTGAATCTCGTTGCCACCATACTCGTCAAGGACCTGGCTGCGCAAGATAGGGAAACCCAACCCACTCTCAAAGTAGAACCACTTGTCTGTGGCTAGTCGCAGGATGCACGAGTACACCTGGTATGGACTTCCGCCACGGTTGAGAAATACCGCATACAGTGAAAATGATATAGTTTTAGGCATAGCGTCCACGGAGCTGCTGACATATTGCGCCATATCGATAGTTTCCTCAAGCTCGAATGCTGATATCTCCCAGCCACTGAACCTAGGACGCGTCCGGCCTTTGAGGCGCTGCAGATTCAAAAGGAGGATCACTAGGTGCGTGGCAATGTGGGTTTGCATAGCAGCTTTCATGTAGGCGTGAACCGGAATGTGGCCAAGGTCACTCAATACCGCTGCCCTTTGGCCAACATACTCTCAAAGTACTTGGTGAATGCTTCTGTCACCTTCGGTATCAAGGTCAATGTAAGTAGCCCCTCTGTCGTGCACTTTTTGCGTAGAACTGCTTCTATGTGAAGCCGCGTTCGGTAGCTTTCCAACCTTGTCGTCAAGAGTGGTGGTTTCAACAAGTCTGCCGCTAAACACACCGGCAAGCTTGGGGCGAGAACAGCAAACTTGCTGATAACAATGCCCATGTGCTCGCAAGAAAGGTTTTTGTAGCCAACGATTCGCGTCTGACCAAACGAGTTGTAGAACCTAAGGTTGTTCCACAGAGTGTGCGTGTCATCCGAAGTAACGCGTAGATAAAAGCTGGTATGGAGCGAGTCGTTCTCGAGTATTGGCCTGCCAGAGTTGGTGGCCGAGGTGGTAAGCTCCGTATACGCTACAGGGCATTTGTACTTCGCACACTTGACTTCCCTGGTCAGCTGGAGCTGAGCAGAACACTCTATGGCAGGACTAGGGCTGGGAGTGCTCGACACGGTCATATATATCGATGTGCCGAGCCTCAGGCTACTGTCGGCGGAGATGCTTAATCTCCAGATGCATGCCTCGACAAATCCGCTGGTAGAGATGCGATTAGGGTGCAGGTGGAACTCCCAAGTGTGCCCGCCGGCAAAATGACGTTGTTTGTCAGAGAGATACTGTGTGGATAAGTGTTCAGGGGCGTCCTCCAGCAGAAGATGCCTCAGTGGAAGATGCCGCACTCCTTCTGGTATCTAATAGGTACCGGTAAATGCCCGTCGATGGTCCTCATGTCAGCCATGGACATATGGTGCGGCCTATTGCCAAAGTAGAGGAGCTGCAGCAAATCGCTCCTATCCATCTGCTTTCACGCCGTGTATTGAAGAATAAATGAGGTGTGGGATGAAGAAAGTCATGGCCAGGGACAGACTTGGCCAGCCTAATAGCAACCGCAAAGCGAGGGGCATATAATGCCTGTGGGCAAGTCTGTCGCAAATCCCCCAACCATCGCTAAAGAGGAAAATGGGTTTAGTTTTTCTTTCGCCATAATGCGCTTTGTAACCACTGGCGGATGATCCGCAGCACTCCGGGCGTGCCGGCGGTGGGGGATTACATTACAACAAAAAGTTACAGCCCCTTCGCTAGCTACATGCTCCATGTCTCAGTGTGAATGTCAGTTAGAATTGTGGGCTCAGAAAAACCTTGACTCTGTCCTGCCCTGGTCGGCGCAATATGCGCACGGCCTGTATGCGATACCGGTCCCATCTACAAGGTGGCATGGCTGGTCTCTGCTGGCATGGGCTTGCCGACAACACGACATAAAGAACAACATACAATAGCATGCGATGTGCGAATGACGTGCACACCTCGACATCGCTCAGAGGCTACCAGCCCGTTGCATGTAGGCTGTTCGATGTCCTTGATTAATCTGCTCTGCTTCGGCTTGGGCTTGATCTGCGGCTTTTTGCCCATCCCCACCCGAAAGCAAAAAAAAAAAAAGATGATTAGTGCAAGGAAAAAACAAAGATTTCATACCCAAGCCTGCCGAAACCGTTCAAGTGTTTTCTCTTTATCTTTTCATTGCAACCACCGCATTTCAAATGTACAACAGCAGCAGCAGCATTCTACGGCGCCGGCTGGCCTTTGGATCACAACGGGCGGTGCTGACCGCGCGTAGGCAGTTTAGCAGCACGCGGCCAACTCAGCATACAGCCGACGATATGCTTTACAAGTCTGCACAGGCCGCGCCTGAGTTTGATGTGGTTGTTATTGGCGGAGGTCACGCCGGGTTGCGAGGCTTGCTCAGCAGCAGCACGCACTGGAGCAAAGACTATGCTCGTCACGCAGAAGCTGGACACGATTGGCGAAATGTCTTGCAACCCGTCGTTCGGCGGGATCGGGAAAGGAATCTTGGTGCGCGAGGTTGATGCGATGGACGGGCTGTGTGGGCGGACGGCAGATCTGGGTGGTGTTCAGTTCCGGATCCTGAACCGATCCAAGGGTCCTGCCGTGCATGGTCCGCGTGCACAGGTGGATCGGGTACTATACAAGCGGAGCATGCACGAGACTTTAAAGTCGTACCCTGGACTGACGCTCAAGGCGGGTAGCGTCGCTGATATTCTGCTGGAGCGGCCAAAGGATTTGGATGAGCAGTCTCTAAAGGTGCTGGCTAGCCAGGAGAGCGCTAATGCGCAGTCCTCGTCCACTGTGACTGGTGTGCGGCTGGAGTCGGGCGAGATCATCCGCACACGCAAGGTCGTGATCACAACCGGCACGTTCCTGGGGGGCGAAATCCACATCGGGCTCAAGGCATTCCCGGCAGGCCGCAAAGGCGAAGCTGCGTCGATTGGATTGTCCAAATCGCTGAAGGACGCTGGATTCCGGCTGGGTCGTATGAAGACTGGTACGCCACCTCGTCTCGATGGTTCAACCATCGACTACACACAGATGCCCCGGCAGCTCGGTGACATGCCGCCGACGCCATTTTCCTACATCCATACATCAGTGCCATATGCGGATCAGCAGGTGATGTGCTACCAGACCCGCACGTCGCCTGAGGCACATGAGATCATCCGCAACAACTTCGACAAGTCAATCCACATTCGCGAGACAGTGCGTGGCCCGCGGTACTGCCCGTCGCTAGAGTCTAAGATCAAGCGATTCAGTGCCAAGGACTCACATGTTGTGTGGCTCGAGCCCGAGGGCTTGCCGGAGCACACCAACCTGGTATACCCAAATGGAATTTCCAACACGATGCCCGAGGATATCCAGCTGCAGTTCCTGCGCACCATGCCTGGGCTTGAGAACGTAGTGATGACCCAGCCCGGATATGGTGTTGAGTACGACCACATCGACCCGCGTGAGCTCAAGCGCAACCTGGAGACCAAGCGCGTTGACGGCCTATTTATGGCGGGCCAGATTAACGGCACCACTGGCTACGAAGAGGCGGCTGCACAGGGAATCCTGGCGGGGGCCAATGCCGGCCTGGCTGCCAAGCACGACCCATTGCAGGGCGACGTGCCGCAGCTGGTCCTCGATCGGTCTGACGGCTACCTTGGTGTCTTGATTGACGATCTGATCACACGCGGCGTCGAGGAGCCGTATCGTGTATTTACTGCTCGCTCCGAATACCGCCTCTCATCGCGTGCTGACAACGCTGATCTACGGTTGACCCGGCGTGCTGCTGCGCTGGGTCTGGTGCGCGACCCAACCCGACTGGCCACTCTGGATCGCGTTGAGGCAGATATGGAGCACGCACAGAGGCTACTGAAGGCCGTCGTGCTCACACCCAACGCCTGGGAGTCAAAGCTTGGCAGTGGTATCCAGGTCTGCCGCGACGGTAACCCACGGTCTGCGCTTGATATGGTCCGCATGGGCTTCCTGCGCGAGAATGTGTGGACTGGGGCACGCGATCCAGAGAATATGCCTGCAAAATATATGGCCAAGCCGATGGCCGAGGCGGCAGGTCCGAAGCTAGATGAACTGGTTCCTGGATGGCGCGATATACCGATCGAAATTAAGCGCCGTGTCATGACAGAGGCCATGTACCATGGGTATCTGAAGCAGCAGCGCATCGAAGTCAATATGTTTAAGCGCGACGAGGGCATGCGGCTACCAACCGACCTTGACTATTCGCAGATACGCGTACTGTCGCGGGAGGAGGTCGATAAACTGACACTGGTTCGCCCAGACACGTTTGGTGCGGCTAAGCGCATTGATGGGATTACTCCAGGCGGCGTCCTTGCATTGCTGCGCTATGTTCAGCGGAAAGCTAGCCAGGACCAAAAGCAGGAGGCATCAGCGTGAATATACTGGTATCTGTTGCACTTTTACGAATGATAGCTTGACTTTGAAAATGTTTGACATTAGATATATATATATATATATATAACTCGGTGATACGGAAGCAGGAGATATAATATGTGAAGCCATTCGCCATATAGTCCCCTTACTCCTTTGATTCTGCCATCAGCGACCCTCGAGCCATTCACTCTCTAACGGTAATGCATTAGAACTATGAATGCAGCATCATAGATGCCCGCACATTTACCCAGCATCTGCCTTCCTGGTCTTCTTGCTTCACTTAACTTCATACTACTACCACTCAGCCCACTATTTCTTCGCTTTTTAGCTTGGGCCACAGTTGTGGAGTCCCGCGTGGGTGTTGTGGCAAGTATAGTCGTTAGTGATATGTGCTAGGCAAATTTACTTGTCTATTTGAGTAAAAATGACAAGCTGGAGCCCCACTGCGATGATGGCACTGGCCAAATAGGTCTGAAGTTGCGGATGGCGCTCTGTGTCCCTGGACCAGAATGTGGCTTCGGACGCACCATGAGTATTAAGCAAGCGCTGTGATCCGAATCGCAGTTTGCTGCGCATTTATAAACTCGTGGCACTTTCGCACAACTCTCCTCTCCTTGTCTCTCCTCGTCTCTCCTCTCCTCATTATCCCAGCCAACTGCCTCTTTCTAGTTCATCCTTCCCTGAAGCAACCAAAACCTTTGCACTCGCATAATGTATAGATTCCCCAAGCATAGCCGTGCGGAACGTAAGCTAAATAACGAGCCGCTTGACAATATTCGTCGCAGCCCTGCTTTCAAGGATGCTTTTGCACTCTCCAGCCCAGAGCCGACTTGAGACGTGGGTCAACGAGTGCCGGTAGAAATGTGAGAGCAGTGGACTTTGATGTCTTGCTCAGAACTCTAGGAATGGGCATATTGCACGGACCCTTCACTTTTCACACAAGCAGGAGGTGAATGCAAAAGCACCATCTTGACAGCTTCAGCCCGACGGTGTCTTTGTTCGGGAGGCAGTGATTCCTGAAAAGAAAGGTGACAATCTATCAATCATGTCTCCGGTTCACTGGGAAACTCAAGGCATGTTCGGTCCCCTGACTGTCGTCTACAACTCGTTCTCGACCAAGGTTTGCTTCATCTATGTTGTCATTTACTGGCAACCAGTTGCCTGAGCAGGCTAGTCGCCGCGCCATTGATACCCCACTGGACCAAGCGCTGCCTGTAACGTTCCCGACCTTGTTGACTGCGGTGTCATCATTCCCGATTTCATGGGTTACACGCAGAGGCACGCTGTGTTTCGGAGAGGATTTGAACCAGTGGATGAGGTTGTTGAGAAGGTCAATGAATGGAAAGCCGCTCTCCAGGATACCACATCAGCCGAGTCAAATAACGTGCCTGCGTTGCACACCACCCCACGAGCCAGGTCTGAGAATGCGCCTATCTAGCCTGCGTCCTACCAGTCTATCTACCATCGCCAGTCCGCCTACACCCATTGAAACCAGCTCGCCTACACATGGAAGAGCTATCTCATAGCGCTGGACAGTCATTACATCTAGGTGAAGAGCCACCACCCCACCATCGCCAGGCGCCATCTGCAGTTGCAGGACCACCATCATCTCCACCCCGCTCTAGACAGAGCGAGGGCATTTACTCTTGGTGAGCCTTCTGCAGCTAGTACAAGTGGCAGGCCATCTTGTATGGAGAATGTGGAGGCGCCGGCTGAAAGACTGGCCTTAGGAAGCACCCACCTCAGCAACATGGTGAGCCAGGCTCGCTAGCTCATGCAGTGTCTTCTATCAGTTGCAGAGGTGGCAGACCATCACATGGAAAGGAGGTTGAGGAGTCCGCCGAGAGAAGGGCTCGCAGAAAGCACCCTGTCCCGCAGCCAGCCAAATCATCAAGACAGAACAAGTCTCAGAAACGTGGTTAGTTCTGTTGCCTACCCTAGTTCATTCAATTTCGATTATTCAGTATGTTTGTTGTCAATTAAGTAGTTCATGTTATGATTTACATTCAGTAGGCCTTGGAGCAGTTGTATATCTGAGCAGCAGTTAGTGCTATATAGAGCGGCTTCGCCCGTGTAGTCCCAGACACAGGTATATCAGTGTAACTAGTGATCCTAAAAGGCCATGTAACACATGAGCCAGGGACTGTGCTGACTGTTAATCACCTATTAAACCTGCTCCAGTCCGATTTGCCGGATGGACCGAACCTCTATGAATCACCATCGGGCTAGCAAAATCCCAGTTGATAAGGCTCCTGCGGGGATTGTTAAACAGAACAAACAGTTCGTTGTGTCTGGAACTCTACTTTTGCCTCTCCTTTCCACCATTCTTTTTCGATTTCGCATAGCTACTCGATAAAAAGCAAAAAAAAAAAAACATGTTTGCCAGATCTGTCCAGACCGCTGCCCGTCGTGCCATGTCGACAACCACCGGCACCAAGTCGCTGACCATCGGTCTCATCCCGGCCGACGGAATTGGACGCGAGGTGATCCCTGCAGCGCGCCAGGTGCTTGAGGCTGCTGCCCAAGGACTCTCTGCCGGCGAAGCTCGAGTTTGTAGACCTGGATGCCGGGTTTGAGTACTTCCAGAAGCACGGCGTTGCGCTGCCTGAGGAGACGCTCGCTGCACTGAAGGACAAGTGTGACGGAGCGCTATTTGGTGCTGTAAGCTCGCCATCGCACAAGGTGGCTGGATACTCGTCGCCGATTGTTGGTCTGCGCAAGAAGATGGACCTGTACGCCAATGTGCGCCCGGTTATCTCTGGTGCTGCAGCGACTGCATCGGGTGAGAAGCGCGCTATCGACATGCTGATTATCCGCGAGAACACCGAGTGCCTGTATATCAAGGAGGAGGAGCAGGGATCGGACGCTCAGGGCAAGTTTGCTGTTGCGAAGAGGCGGATTTCAGAGTTTGCGTCGCGGCGGGCCGGGGAGATGGCTTTTTCGATGGCGCTGCAGCGCGATGCGATGCGGCAGCAGATTCCACTGGCGGAGCGCACGTGGAAGAGCCGCCCCAAGGTCACGATCGTGCACAAGTCGAATGTGCTGAGCATCACCGACGGTCTGTGGCGCGAGACGGTCCGTAGCGTGTACAACGGCAACCCCCAGTACAAGAGCAATGTGGATGTGGAGGAGCAGCTGGTTGACTCAATGGTCTACCGCATGTTCCGCGAGCCCGAGGCTTTTGATGTTGTGGTTGCACCCAACATGTACGGCGACATCATCAGCGACGGGGCGGCTGCGCTAGGTAGGCAGCCTGGGCTTGGTTCCCAGTGCCAATGTCGGCGACAACTTTGTTGTTGGCGAGCCTGTGCACGGCTCGGCGCCCGACATTGCTGGCAAGAACATCGCGAATCCGATTGCTGCCATCCGCAGTGCTGCCATGCTGCTGGAGCGCACGGGCTACGGCTCGGCCGCGCTGGCCATCTACCGCGCTGTTGACAAGGTACTGGAGGCCGACCAAATCAAGACGCCCGATCTCGGCGGAAAGTCAACCACTAGCGAGGTCACTGATGCCATCTGCAAGCTGCTTTAGGGCTTTTTGACTTTTTCACCCAGAAATCTACCGCCAACGAGGCAAAGTAATCGCTGCCAGTGACTCAGTACGAATCGCATATCCAGCAATGTTCCTTTTCCCACACATCGGTTGGTGGGCGATGGTAGCAGCAGCCTGGGGAAATCAGTATGGATCCAATTCAGTCATCTCTACTTGCCATGCTACCAGCGCGGGCGCTTAATGACACCTTACGCTCCCTCTGTTTGCCCGCATTGCAGCAGCGCAGAGTGGGCGACACGATTGGCACAGTCTTCGCCCGCAAAGTGAATCACCAGTGCCTTGATAGGATCTGGTCGGGTTGAGCGAACCGTATGCCGCCAGGCGATCCTCCCCTCCTGTGCCTGAGTGCATTGCCTTGGGGAGAGGCAAGGCCAAGCGAAATATTGCCTGCCTGCATCCCCGCCGCCAGTCCAACACGCTGTGCATTGGCGCTATTTTCAGACAGACATTGCCAGCTGGTTGGGGGATGAAGAGCGTGCCGCAGAATGAAATCCTACGCATGTTTTCTGGCTCAGGATGGTCAGTTGCGCACGGAGCATGTTAAATGGACTGGTCACGGAGTGATATAAAAAGCGCGCTTTCTGGTACAGGACTGCTAAATTTCTCCTCTTCAACCCTTGTCAATTTCATTTCTCGACTCCACTGTTTCGGCTGCCGACCGCCTGCTACCAAAAATATGCTGTCCAACACGCTCTCGCGCTTAGTAAATTCGTCTGCTCGGAGGCAGGCCATGCGCCCGGCTGGTGCCACGATCTCTGCTGCTCGGGTAAGTAGATGAGATAAACATTTGGTGATTCATACCTGCTTCCCACCATCTCAGGAGCATTTTTGGGTCCGGCCTATACGCGCTGCAAGGACCACGAAGGCTTTTGTGGCCGCTGCTTTCTGGGCCCACCACAATGAAACAGGCATCTGTTTATGCCTCCCGGGATTGAAGCCAGTTCTTAGTCATTAAATGCGGGACTGCCGAGCGTGTTGCACACAGAGCCTCCACCCCCCCTCGTCCTCCTGCCGACGCTTTTACTGGGCACAGGCCATCTCGCGCCCCCCGTCATTCTCGGTTTGTCTGCTGTATTTAAGACAGCCAGGCTGGCGCTGAAGCCCAGCATCGCTTCTTGTCCCTTCCCAACTTTATTTTATTTTTCGCTTTACTCACAAACTAACACATCTTTCCTTTTTCGGAAAAGCCTCCCTGTCGTTTTTTGACACGTTCAATAGTCGCTTGCTACCATGCCTGAGTCCGCTGCCAGAGATCCGTCCCGCTCGTACCTGGGCGGCCCTGCCAGCTACCTGAGCAACGTCTCCAACTTCAAGATCATCGAGTCTACGCTGCGTGGTAAGTGGTCCTGAAAACTTTTTGCATGTCCGTTATCTCGGCCAGATCGCAGGCCTGTGACTCACATTGATAGCAGCATCGATTCGCGGTCCGCTCGGCAACCTCTGTCCAATCGCCGACGCAGGAATGCAAAACCATTGTTTTAGCCTCAGCAACTAACCGAGATAATTTCTTTGGTAGAGGGCGAGCAGTTCGCCAATGCCTTCTTCACCACCGAGAAGAAGATTGAGATCGCCAAGGCCCTCGACGAGTTTGGTGTCGAGTACCTGGAGCTGACATCGCCAGCTGCGTCAACCCAGTCGTACAATGACTGCAAGGCTATTGTCGGTCTGGGCCTGAACGCGAAGATTCTGACGCACGTACGGTGCCACATGGACGATGCGAAGCTGGCTGTGGAGACCGGTGTTGACGGTCTGGATGTTGTTATTGGCACGTCGTCGTATCTGCGCGAGTTCTCGCATGGCAAGGACATGCAGTACATTATTGACACCGCCACTGAGGTTATCGAGTACATCAAGGGCGAGGGTCTTGAGGTGCGGTTCTCGTCGGAGGACTCGTTCCGGTCCGATATTGTCGATCTGCTGAACCTTGTACCGTGCCGTCGACAAGATCGGCGTCAACCGTGTCGGTATTGCTGACACTGTCGGCTGTGCGACCCCCGACCAGGTCGCTGATCTTGTGCGCACCCTGCGCGGTGTTGTCTCGTGCGACATCGAGTGCCACTTCCACAATGATACCGGCTGCGCCATTGCCAATGCCTACGCTGCGCTGCAGAACGGTGCCACCCACGTCGACACCTCGGTTCTCGGTATTGGTGAGCGCAACGGCATCCCTCCTCTCGGTGGTTTCATTGCCCGCATGTATGCCGCCGACAAGGAGCACGTCAAGAGCAAGTACAACCTGACCAAGCTGCGTGAGGTGGAGAACATTGTCGCCGATGCTGTTGGCGTGTCTGTTCCCTTCAACAACTACGTCACCGGCTATTGCGCCTTCACCCACAAGGCCGGTATCCACGCCAAGGCCATCCTCAACAACCCGTCGACGTACGAGATCCTGCGCCCTGAGGACTTTGGCATGACCCGCTACGTCGCCATCGGCCACCGGTTAACCGGCTGGAACGCGGTCAAGAACCGCGTTGAGCAGCTCGGCCTGCCTCTCACCGATTCTGACTGCAAGCAGATCACCAACAAGATCAAGAACCTTGCCGACATCAGGCCGCTCAGCCTCGATGACGTCGACAAGCTCCTGAGAAAGTACGGCGCCGCCAAGTCGGAGGACTCGCACCATGCCATCCTCGAGTCCATTGACACCCCGGACCAGATCACTCAGTGGCAGATCTAAGCACGTAGTCGCTCTTGACTTTCTACGTCTTTTATTTAAACTCATGAACACTAGTTCCCTTGGGATGCAGCAAGGCATCCCCCCACATATAGTGTGTCAAATGAGTGGCGCATGATAGGTTTACAACGTAGAAAGGCCTAGGGCTAGTGGTAGTGTAACACTCGGAGGAGTAGCAATTAATGTAGAGTAGATCCTTACAGAATCAGGGTAGAGAGGGTATATGCAAGAGTGAGCTTGCCCTAAGGCACCGACTAAACAGATGACCAGTTCAGGCCGACACAATGATGTGTGCTTGAACCCACTGCTTCTTGTCGCTAAGGTGACTTATAGCCATTGACTAGTGATACTCCATTCATTGAAGGTATTTATACTAGTGCTATGTCCAGAGCCAGGCTCACTAGTTGCTATCTCCTTGCCTTTCCGGCTTGGTTTGCCCATTGCGAGGTTGTAAAACATGGAAAGTAAAATGAAAATGGTTTAATAAATATCAAAGGGCTGCAAATCACAGGCTGAATCTTATATATAGCACGAACGATATGCACTGTACCTACTACTCTTTCAGTACAATACCCAAAGTGGTGACAGCACATGACTTGGTGCTATAGTGGAGACAATTAGCTGCATGTGCTGCATGTGTAATTGGCATCATTTATCAAAGACAACAGCATCACTTGTAACATGAATAGCTATCATAATAAAATAATAGATTCGTAAGAGAAATTATAGCCAGACATGGTTCTGAGCCTTAGATGCCCTTGCAGCAATTGTCAAGACTGGTTGGCATACGTTGACACAGTTCTTCTCAGGCTCACTATCAGGACTGAGCCATGTATAGAGCGCCTTATGCAGCATGCTTGTATAGAGCAGATGTAAAATGTGGAAATGTGCGTTTCAAATGCTTGCTATAGTAGAAATGTGGAGTGGTTGCGGAGGTTTACACATAGGGTACTAGTGCAGCAGCCATAGACTCAGCCAGTTGTTACAATTGAAAACTGGTTTACTAGTTTGCAGACACTTGCCACTACTTTTGTATTATTAGATGACATACAGCAGCATCACACCCTCATATCCAGGCAGTTGTGTTCAGAGTCATATGGTGCAGTGACTTGAAGTAGAGTGAACGGTGCAATGGGCTGCAGGCATCTGGAAGCAGCAACACACATGGCTTTGGATTTGCTCAACAGTATACTGAGACTAGTTATGTAGGTGGCATCATTTGCGGTTGCATTGTCTGGGCAAGTGTTTTGTGTCAGCGTTGGTGTAGTGCCAAGCAAGAGGTGGATCAGGCACGTGATTCAAGCTGCCAGCTGATCAGGCAGTTGATCCGAGCTAATCTTAGGGTAAATAAACAGGCAGGAAAACCGCATGAGCGCGTATATTTTTTCTCTCTTCTCATAACCACTGAATCGCTGCTCATAAAATTCACCACATCCTACTATTATTTTGACGAGGGAAAGACTAGTGGCATACACAAATGGACGCTCAAAGTGATATGATGCAGGAGGCGGCGACGCAGTTTACACTGCCAGAAACAAATCTTGCTGAGGACCAGTTTGCGGAGCGCAAGAGACGCAGTCCAGGAGTTCCTCGAGCGCGACAACGGCGAGAATGTCCGACATGGCGCAGCTGCGGCAGATCATCCGGTCGACGCGGCCTCGACTCGTAGTGTCGATTGACCATATCCGCGAGTTTGACGCAGAAGCTGGCGGCTCAGCTGGTGGCAGAGCCTGCAGAGTTCATTCCGCCGCTGGAGGACGCGGCGAAGCAGATAGCGGTGCGGCTGGCGAATGCGGAGAATGTGTTTATTCCGGACATAAAGACGTACCGGGTGGCGGTTGGGTTCCAGGGGTCGTTCGGGGCGCACCATCCTGACGCCGCGCGGGCTGCGAGCCAAGTTCCTGGGACAGCTGGTGTGCATTGAGGGGATAGTGACGCGGTGCTCGCTGGTGCGGCCGAAGGTGGTGCGGTCGGTGCATTATTCCGAGGCGTCCAAGACGTTCTACTGCCAAAGCGTACCAGGACCAGACAACCAGCGTGGGCGGAGGCGGTGGCGGTGGGTTCTCGAGCGCGTATCCGACGGCAGACGATAAGGGCCAGCCGCTGACGACAGAGTTTGGGTACAGCCAGTACATGGACCACCAGACAGTGAATGTGCAGGAGATGCCGGAGCGGGCGCCGCCGGGACCAGCTGCCGCGTGGAGTGGACATTATCTTGGACGACGACCTGGTGGACGTGGTGAAGCCGGGCGACCGGGTGTCGCTGGTGGGAGTGTACCGGGCGCTGGGCGGCAAGTCGACGACGGCGGCGTCGGCGATCTTCCGGACGGTGGTGCTGGTGAACTCTGTGCAGGTGTTTGGCGCAGGGTCGCTGGCGGCATCGGGGGGCAGCACGACGATCAGCGCGCGGGAGCTGGCGAGCCGGGCGCAGGCGACGGGGCAGGCGGGGGCGATGGCGCTGGCAGAGGGCGACATCAGCAACATCCACGCGATAGCTGGGCGAGCGGATGCGTTTGAGCTGCTGGCACAGTCGCTGGCGCCGAGCATCTGCGGGCACGCGGAGATCAAGCGGGCGCTGCTGCTGCAGATGCTGGGCGGAGTGGAGAAGAACCTGGAGAACGGCACGCACATCCGCGGAGACATCAACGTGCTGATGGTGGGCGACCCGTCGACGGCCAAGTCGCAGGTGCTGCGGTATGTGCTGCGGCTGGCGCCTCTGGCGATTGCGACGACGGGTCGCGGCTCGTCGGGCGTGGGTCTGACAGCGGCGGTGGTGACGGACCGCGACACGGGCGAGCGGCGGCTCGAGGCGGGAGCGATGGTGCTGGCAGACCGTGGAGTGGTGTGCGTGGACGAGTTCGACAAGATGACGGATGTGGACCGCGTGGCCATCCACGAGGCGATGGAGCAGCAGACGGTGACGGTGGCCAAGGCTGGCATCCACACGACGCTGAATGCGCGGTGTGCGGTGCTGGCAGCGGCCAACCCGGTGTATGGGCGGTATGACCCGACGCGGCCGCCGCACCAGAACATTGCCGCTGCCCGACTCGCTGCTGTCGCGTTTCGATCTGCTGTTTGTGGTAACCGACTCGATGGACGAGGCGCGCGACCGCATGATTTCGTCGCACGTGCTGCGCATGCATCGGTATGTGGTGCCGGGAGCCGAGCCGGGGCAGCCGATCGCCGACCAGCTGGACCAGGGCCTGAGCACGGCGGCATTGCTGGCAGGCATGGGCGACTCGGAGGAGGACATGGAGGCAGCGGGCCGGCCGTGCCGCGTATTCGAGCCGTTCAACGAATATCTGCATGCAGGCGTAGCGGCGGCGGTGCGGCGGGCCCGGCGACGGACGCGCAGCCGCCGGGCGGTTCTGTCGGGCGGAGCATCGGGCGACGGCGCCCGCGAAGTGCTGTCGACCGGAGTTCCTCCGGCGGTACATTTACTTTGCCAAGACAATGGCGCGGCCAGTGCTGGGTAGCGCAGCAGCAGACGATCTGGCGAATGCGTACGCGGAGCTGCGCGCGCAGGCGAGCGGGCAGGGCATGGGCGGGCGCAATGCGACGGGAGCGGTGGCCACAACAACACCGATCACTGCGCGTACGCTGGAGACGCTGATCCGGACTGGCCACGGCCCACGCCAAGGTGCGGCTGTCGGCCACTGTTGACCCGCAAGGATGCCGAGGTCGCCAAGGAGCTGCTGCGGTTTGCGCTGTTCAAGGAGCCGGTGGCGCGTGCCAAAAAGTCCAAGGCGCGGGGGCCCAAGCGCGCAAAGGCTGATGGCGACGAGGATATGTCCAGCGAGGAGAGCGAGCCAGGAGGTGGTCAGTGAGCCCCGGCCTACGAGGCGTGCTCCGCAGGAGGCAGCCATGGAGGTCGATGATCCGTCGGAGCTGGCGGCCGGGCGGCTTGATGTGTTCAAGGCGCAGCTGAGCAAGGCCATTGGCGAGCGGCGGCTCGAGTCGGACGGCTCGCCGTGGGCGTTCCCCGATCCGTTCCTGTCGGCGCTCAACGAGGGGCTGGACGATGGCCAAGCGTTCTCGCCGGCCGAGGCCGAGCTGGCGCTGCTGGCGCTGGAGAAGGGACAACCGCCTGATGTTCCGCGACAACATCATCATGATGATGTGAGCCACTCTTTTTCATTTTTTTTCCTTTCTATTCTTCAATAATTCGACTTTTTTCTTTTCTTTTTTTTTTTTTTTGCAAATGGCCACAGAGACAGCGACTGCGCAGCAGTTTGGCGGCGACCTGGACACGATGCGGCTCGACGAGCTGGCTGACAGCATTGATATTAGCGAGATAGAGCAGGCGTACCGGCAGCTGGAGCTGGAGGAGCACGCGTAGATGTAGAAATTTCCGAGCACATTGAGGGACGGCAGGACGTCGAGGCGCGGTTCGCGTCGCTGTCGCAGCTGCAGGACCAACTGGAGGGCATAGTGGACTCCCTGGTACCCGTGCAGTCAGCCATTGACACCACAGCAGCGAACGCTGGAGCGATCAGCGCACACGTGCGGTTCCTGGACCGCGAGGTAGCCAAATACGAGGCAGCGCTGCGGGCGGTTGACGGAGACTGAAAAGCTGGCGCATGACGTGGACGCATTGCTGGCAGCCATGCAGAAGAAAGACATTGATGCGGCGGCTGCGCTGGTCAGCCGGTACCGGGACAGCGGCGGTGCTGGAGAGTCCGTTTGTGGGGTTTGCGCGGCGCGGTGAGGCTGCGGGCGGGATCATTGCCGGGGCACGGCAGGAGCTGGTGGAGCGTGTTACCTGCATGTTTGAGGCAGCAGCCAGCAATGGCAATACACGCGAGATCAGCCGGTGCTTCCGGCTATTCCCGCAGCTGGGCGAGGAGCTGCGCGGTCTGGACATGTATGCCGAGTTCCTGTGCGGGCTGGTTGGTGACAAGGCGCGTGTGGCAGCCGAAGCCAAGGCGAACGTGTATGCGCTGCGGCTGACGCGGCTGTTTGAGGTCATTGCAGTGGTGGTGGACAACCACTTCCCAGTAGTCGAGGCCCACTACGGCGCCGGCCGCATGATCCGCGTCATCCAGCGCCTGCAGCTGGAGGGCGCCAAGCGGGCTAGCATGGCATTGGACTTTTTCGAGGAGGAGCGCCATGTCAAGCGCCGGCTGGCCCAGATCCGCCAGATCGACGCCAGCGCTGCACGCAGCAAGGCGCGCATGCTGGGCGATGGCGAGAGACCGGGCCGTGCGAGCGAGGAGGTCGTCACCGAGGACGACTTGCGCGAAATCACCAGCATCCTGACCGAGCTGGTGCTGATTGCGCGCCAGATCGCCATGTTCAGCCGGTTCCTGGAGTCGCGAGCCGCGCCCGAGCTGCGCGTGCTGACGGCCAAGGAAGGCGGTGCGGTGCTGGACAAGCACGGGGCGGTGATCCGCGCCGATGCGATCCCGTCGGTGTTTGTCAAGCCCGACGAGGTACTGCGGCTGATCCCATTGTCGATGCAGCAGAGCGTGCTGGGCGCGCGCAAGACCGTCGCGTTTGATGGCCACACCGGTCTGGTAGTGGACACACCGCTGACACCGCGGCTTGCGTGGCTGACCGACACATATATTGCCTTTGAGGCGTTCTTTGTCAGCAGCTCGGTAACCAAGGCCATGGCGTTGGACGACACAGGAGTCGCTGGCGGGGTGGGCCGAGCCACTCCCTGATGCTGCTGCAGTGGGTGTGGGGCAGAAGCCGGCTGCTTGCGCCAGTAGATGTGGGCCAAGACATCGTCGTGTGTCGGCGATTTATTCTTTATTGTCAAGACGGCGCTGGAGCACGCCATTGCCACGCAGCAGCCCAGCGCCGTCGAGGCCACCGCACAAACCATCCTAGGCATTCTGAACTCTGTGTACCTGGCAGCGCTGGAGTCGCGGGCGCTGGCCAAGTGGAGTGACCGGACGGGGACTACTCAGGACCAGGCGGGATGGCGCCTGGCTGCCTCCGATGACAACGCACCGGCCAAGCTGTCGCAGGCTGCGCGCATGCAGCGGCAGATCCTAGGTGGGAATCAATAACCTGGAGCTTTCCGAGGAGTACCTGGGCAAAACCGTGGCGGCGCTGCAGACGCGGCTGGCCAGCGAGTGGCAGCGGATTGCAGATTCTGATCACGTGGCACGGGCCGCCCGCGCGCTGCAGACGCTGGGCGCCTTTGCTGGCAAGTTCACGCACGCGCGGCAGCGTGCAGTGGAGCAGGTGGCAGCAGCAGCGCTGCGGCCGCGGGTGCGCGCAGTGCTGCAGCAGGCGTACCGCGACATCAAGTATGTGCTGACCGACGAGGAGTTCAACGACATGCAGAACGACAATCTGTTCCAGAAGCGCTTTGTCATGAAGCTGGGGCTGCTGCTGCGCGGCCTGCGCGCCCGCCTGCTGCCGGCTAGCCTGGCCAGCGCCCTGGACGCTATTGTCAGTGCGCTGTGCAGCGACTGGGAGCGCGCGATCCGCCAGAGCAAATTCAACATGCTGGGCGGCTTCATGTTCGAGAAGGACGTGCGCGAGATCATGCGCCATCTGGAGGCCGAGTGCCAGGCCCCGCTGCGCCAGCGCTTTGCGCGCCTGGTGCTGATTGCCGATGTGCTGGCGGTTGAGGGTGCTGCTGATGCCACGCATCTCGCCAAGGGCGCGGTACTGGGCCGTGACGAGATCCGCGCGGTGCTGGCCAACCGCATTGACTTTTCTGAAACGGACTTTGATCAATTGAGCTTTTAGAATCACTCCAGTGCGAAGTCCCACTAATCCGAGTCTGACCATGTGTCCTGCCGCTTGGCCTGCTGCGCGGCGCTCAGGCGCTGGCTCGCTGCAGGCGTCCAGACAAGCACGCTGCTGTCGCTGCCACCCGAGTACAGCTCCATGCGCCCAGTGCGCCAGGCTGTGCATGTGGGGTGGTCAAAGTGTCCGTGGAGCTCGGCAACGATCCGGCCCTCAGCCAGATCCACCACTCGCACAACACGGTCCTCGCACGGCACAAACAGCAGATCCGAGCCGTCGGTCTGCGAGCTGGTCCTGCACATCTGCACAGCCTGCTGCGCACTGTTGGGACACGGAATGTCCACTGGCACCAGCCCTGCACGTGTCCTGCACATTCCAGACGCTGACCTTATCGTCCAGCCCGAAACTGGCGATCTGCGCGCCATGCTCGGCGAACAGCAGCGAATTGACGCACTTTGTGTGGGCAGCAAAGTCGCTCACGTGCGTATCGGCGCGACGCACGTCCCACAAATGCACTCTGCCGTCCTGCCCGCCCGACGCCAAGACAAACGGATCCCTGGGCGACCACGCCACGCACATCTGCATAGGGATATCCAGTTCCTGCGCAAACGCGCCAGTGCGCAGATCGCCCAGTCTGAGGCTCTTTGCCTGCGTGGCTGCGGCAATCAGCGCATGGGCGCCAGTCGGCGACATTGCATGCATTTCAACACGGGCATTGAGGTCGAATGAGGCCGCCACCGCCATTGCATTTGTGTCCCAGACCTTCACCGTGCCGTCATATGAGCTGGTCGCAAACATGCCCGTGTCCACTGCATACCAGCTTACGCAGGATACCGCGCTGTCGTGGCATGCTGCCTGTGCCATTGATTTTATCATGTGCTTTGTGTCGCCATTTGCGTCAAGGTCCAGGAGATGCACTGAGCGGTCGGCCCCGCCTGAGAGCAGGTAGCGGCTATCGATGCTGTCGAGCGAGAGCCAGTGGATCGGCGCCGTGTGTGTGCGCGCGATCCCGCGGGTCTCGCTGAGCGCCAGCGTCTTGAGGATATGCGTCGACGCAATATGCCGCATGGAGGCGGAGGGGAGGATGCCACTTGCGCGGTCTCCGTACCGACCCGGGCGTAGCACCAAACATTTAGCTGGGGATTTCGGGAATATCGTACAAGAACTATTTGTGAGGTCTGATTACTCAGTCCGATGGGAGAGCTCAGACTCTCCAGGGGAATCATCAGACCTGCTAAATGATGGGATGGGATTGCCCACCAAAAAAGGCTGAGGATTAGTGCCCAATCACGTGTCCGTGATACTATTTGGGCGCGCTTTTTTCAAAGGTGGGACGGGATTGCGGGGCTTTTGTTCGCGCCGTGGAATATGCCTGTGCCGCGGTTCTTTTTTTCATGCGCACATATCTGTCGTCCCGTTGTTTCCTCTTCTGCCATCAAAAACTACATTTTTCCCTTTATCTCTCTTTTTATACAGCCACTTCTCTATCCCAACACGCGTCTTAGTCTGCTCGGGACTTTTTTGCACAGCTTGTCTTTGGGTACTCCTGTACTTGTATACCACACCCACTTTTAACAAAAACACCAGCTTGAATTCCTTCGTTTTTGCAAATGAGCGAGCAAGCAACACAGCAGCAGGAGGCACTCCGCCAGGATGTCATCGAGTCAGCCGTGCGGTTTCTGACCGACCCCAAGGTAGCCACATCAACCCTGGCAAAGAAGATCTCGTTTTTGGAAACGAAAGGACTGACTTCAGCTGAAATCGAAGATGCACTAGCACGTGCAAAGAGCGGCGGCTCATCAGCCGCACAACCCGAGCCCTCACAGCCAGCCGCCCCCCAGGCCTCGTACGGCTACGCACAGCAGCTTTCGCCGCCGCCGGCCGCCACCGCCGGCCGCAGCTAGACTGGAAGGACTATTTCATTGCAGCGGTGGTGGCGGGCGGGCTGGGCTACGGCCTGTATGTGCTGGCGCAACGCTACGTAGCGCCGCTGCTGCAGGCGCGGGACGACAAGGAGCGGCTGGAGGCGGAGAAAAAGCTGCTTGTGGAGCAGAACGAGCAGACGCAACGGCAATTGACGGCATTGAATGAGACGACCACCAAGGTCCTGGAGGCATTGGCGACGCAGTCGGCCAAGACCAACGAGGCCATTGAGGGCATGACGGCGCTTTTGGATAAGGTGGTGGAGCGCGAAGGGCGAGCAGGGCGTGGGCGTGAGGCGCCTGCAGATGACGATCGAGGATGTGCAGCGCGAGGTGGCCGGCGTGGCGAAGAAGGAGCGCGATAGCGGGTCCATTGCTGATGTGCAGTCGGATATCCGCAGCTTGCGCTCCTTGCTGCTTAGCAGGAGGGTGCCGGCGGCGGCTGTGCGTCCCCGCGACGCCCGGCAGCGCTCCGGCGGGATCGCCCACTGCGAGCTCGGCTGTCAGCCCTGATATGAAGGCGACGCTGACGCCGCCCCCTGCTGTTACTGTGGAGGACGTCCCCGAGGCTGCGACCGGACTTGGTGTCTCGGATGGCGCGGCGGTTGACTGATAGCCCTATTTCGAAGGTGCCGACACCCACCATCCCGGCGTGGCAGCTCAGCGGAAACTGATAAATCCCTTTTTTGCTTACACCACCACCATGCAATGTAAACCAAGCCTGTTCTGTTAAAAAAAAAAAGATCTATATGCTGATGATGGAAAAGAAGGGGTTCGTATATGCAAAATCATGCAGGGAGATATAGCAGCCTCTTCACACAACACACTGGTCAAAGTCCTGCTGCGTCAGGCCCTCGCCGCAAAACTCTGACTTGTTCTTTGGGGTCTCGGCCACCACAACCTTGTGCAATAGCGACCGGTCCGGCATGGCCATGGCCAGGCGCATCCAGATGAACACTGCCAGGTTCTCGGTTGTGCTGGGCCGGGTCTTAAAGAACTTGACGTCCATATCCAGGTTCTTGTGGTCAACGTGGTCGAGCACCGCGGTCTTGAGCCACTGCTTCAGGTCTGTGATGTTCACTATCATACCGGTGATCGGGTCAATGGGCCCGCGCAGCACCGTCTCCACCACATAGTTGTGTCCGTGCCCGTTCGCGTGGTTGCATTTTCCGAATCGTCTGCTGGTTCTCGGCCGCGCTCATGGACGGGCTGTTGAGCCGGTGTGCGGCGGAAAAGTGCTCGGTTCGCGAGACGTATCCGATGACAGGCATAATTAATTGTATAGGGGGAAAGAATTGCAGAGGAGAAAAGGGGCGCTCTGTAGAACCCTTCATCGCGCGATACCGGGAGAAGCAAAAAAAAAAGCCCAACCGGGCGGGTTTCTCTGGCGAAAGCAGATAATTTCCGCTCTTGTGCAGTTTTTTTTTGGGCCACAGAAAAAAAAACTCAATCTCGTGGGAAGTTCTTTACTTGTGCGTGACGCCCAGGATCGGCTTGTTGCGCTCGGGCACGCGCGGCATGGAGCCGGGCTTGGAGTGCTTGCGCTTGTTCTCCTCCTTGTTCTTGCGCGACGTCAGCATCAGGTTCTTCGTGCGCTGGGCGCTCTTGATGCCCTTGGGGATATTGCGCTGCCGCAGCACCTTGCGCACCTCCGGCACGTACTTGTACCGGTCCTTGAGCTTATCGGCATACTCGACAGCACCGCGCTCGCGCTGCGACTGGGCACCAGCACGCTCCGACGCACGTGCGCGCCAAATCCTCAGGTTGCTGTCGTCGCTGCCTGACAGCACGTACTTGTTATCCATGGTGTAGGCGACGCAGAACACGCGCTGCATGCGCTTGGTGGTGTAGATGTCGCGCGAATGGCCCTTGGAGAAGTCCCAGAGCCGCACCGACCGGTCGTAGGCGCCGGTGACCAGCTCCTGGCCGGTCGGCGCATAGTCAATGTCCATGACGGCCGACACATGGTCCTTGAGGACTGTGCTTGCGTGGTCCATCTTGCGCATATCGAAAATATACGCATTGTGGTCTTCGCTGGCTGTGGCGAACGTGAAGGCCTCGACCGGATTCCACGCAATGGCGTTGGTGCTGAGCGTCATCACCAGCTTGGCCAGCGGCGAGCTGGTGCGCAGATCGTAGAGGATGATCGACCGGTCGGTGCCGCAGCTGGCCAGCACGTTGACTTCGGTCTGGTTCATGCGCACCGCGTTGACCGAGTCGGCGCCCCACGCCAGGCTGGTGACCGGCTCGGACCGGTTCACGTCCCAGATCTCGACCGAATTGGCGCCCGTGGCAAACATGGGCCGGTTGCGGTGGTGGGCGACGCTGCTAAAGGCGCTCTTCCCCTGGTACGTGGCCACGGGCTCGGGTGTCACCCCATCATGCATGTACGCGCTCTCCGTCCGGCTCCACACCTTGGCCAATTTATCCGCGCCCACCGACAGGAACCGGTCGGTGTTGCCGCCCGGCACATAGCACACGCCCTTGGCTGCCCCGCGGTGCGCTTCGGCCGCCCGCCACACTGTCTCCTGCGACGAGAGCGACCACAGACGCACTTCGCCGTCGCCGCTGCCGGTCAGCACGCTGTCAAGGTCCCATGGGTTCTTGCCCATCGCGTAGATTCCGTCGATGTGTCCGCTCAGCCCGGCCACGAAGGGCTTGGCGAACATCCGCTCGAGCTTGGCTGCGTTCAGCGCGCGCTTGTATTCGCGTGCCCGCTCGAACCCGTGCAGTGACGGGTCTGTGTTGCGCGGCATCTTGTGGATGCTGTTCTTTGTCTCGCGCGTATACCCCTCTGTGCTCCGGCTCAACGCTTTTACCTTCATTCTAGAGCTGAATTTTGTTTGGGAAATAATGTGTATACAGGGTATGCGAAAGGACGAAGCTGGAGAGAAAAATTAGAGTCTATTTGCTGTGCCAAAAAGCTAGAGATCGAAAAAAAAAAAAAATTACTTGCCTCTGTTCTTTGATCCGTCGGATCTAGTGCCCGATCAGGATTGGGAAAGAAAAAAAAACCTCACTTTTAGGAAAAAAACGCTCCTCAGCTTAGGTCTCTCTCATTTCGTTTGTCCTGCACATTCTTAACGCTCCCTTTTATCCTCTATTGCTACAAACCATGGGGAAGGCTACCAAGGCGACACGCAAGTTCAACAAGAACCACCTGAAAGGCGAACTGGAGCGCCGCAACAAGCTGAAGAAGACCAAGCAGCAGATCAAAAAGCGCGAGGTCCAGAAGAAAAAGAAGAACCACACTGCGGACAGCGACGACGAAGAACAAGACGCGTTCACTGGCATTGATGAGGTCGACGAGCTCGCCGAGTTCACCGACACCACACCCAAGGGCCTGCCGAAAGACCTGGATTTGAGCAAGTTCATGGAGGCGGATCCCGAGAATGATGCCGAGGTCGAGTCGGACGAGGACATTAACGCCATCCTCAATGGTGACAGCGATAGCGAAGATGACGAGGACGAGGCTGACTCGGAGGATGCTGAGGGAGAGGATGCCGAGATGGAGGACGAGGATGATGACGAGGATGACGAGGAGGCTGTGTTCAAGAAGCAGCTCGAGGCCATGATGGAGAAGGACACGTCGTTCGCCAAGTACATGAAGAAGAACGATCCTGAATCGCTAAAGATCCTCGACGGTGATGCCGAGAAGGACAGCGAGGAACAGGACGAAGGAGATAGCGATGCCGAAATGTCTGCAGATGAGGAGCAAGGAGCAGGAGGACCAGGAGCAGGAGGAGCCAGCTGCTGCCACCGTGACCCTGAAGATGCTGCACGGCTGGGAGAATGCCGTCACTAACCAGCACTCGCTCAAGTCGCTGAAGCGGCTTCTGCTGGCCTTTTACTCTGCCTCACACATGGACGCCGAGGATGAGGACTCCGACGACGTCCCCTTCCGGATCGAGGGCATGCGTGTATTCAACAAGGTCGTCAGCACGTCCTTGCGCGTGGCCCCCAAAGCCTTTGCACGCTACGCGCCCGTGGTCGACGGCAAGGTCACCAAGAAGGCTGGCTCCAAGTGGTCCACCATCCAAGCCCTGGTCAAGTCCTACCTGGCCAGCCTGCTCGAGCTGATGAAGCAGATGAGCGACGCCGCCATGATCCAGTACCTGATCAAGGAGTCCGAGAAGGCCCTGCCGTACTTTGTGTGCTTTGCGCGCTTCACGCGCGACCTGCTCAAGGAGCTGCTGCGCCAGTTCGGCTCGACGACGGCCGATGACGGCGTGCGCATCCTGGCGCTGATGACGCTGCGCAAGCTGGTGTCGATGGCGCCGGCCGAGGTCACCGACATGGCGCTGAAGGGCATCTATCTGACACACGTGCGTCACAGCAACGTCAAGAACATCACATCGCTGACGACCATCCAGCTGATGCGCAACTGCGGCGTCGAGCTGTACGGCGTCGATGCAAATGCCAGCTATCAGCACGCCTTCGTCTACATCCGCCAGCTGGCAATCCACCTGCGCAATTCGATGCAGCTGCGCAGCAAGGAGTCGTTCCGCGCCATCTACAACTGGCAGTTCGTCAACAGTCTGCACTTCTGGACCGAGGTCCTGGCCACATACTGCGGCGACCGCGCTGACGAGCAGCCGCAGCTGTGCGAGACCCTCGAGTCCCTGGTGTACCCGCTGACGCAGATCATCATGGGTGTGGCCCGCCTGGTGCCCACCGCCAAATACTTCCCGCTGCGCCTGCACTGCGTGCGCATGCTGCTACGCATCTCGTCGTCGACCGGCATCTTCATCCCGGTCCTGCCCATGCTTGTCGAGGTGCTCGAGTCGTCCGAGTTCCTGGCCCGCCGCCCGCTCAAGAGCACCCTGAAGCCGCTCACCCTTGACTCGTACCTGAAGGCCCCCAAGGAGTACGAGCACACGCGCGTCTACCTGGACTCGATCCTGGAGTCGGTGTTTGAGCTCCTGGCCGACGCCATCGCTGCCCAGTCGACCCGCATTGCCTTCCCCGAGTGGGTCGTGCCGGCCGCGCTGCAGCTGCGGCGGTGGAGGAAGCGCGTCGGCAAGTCGTGGATGCGCTTCTCAAAGCAGCTGCAGGGGCTGCTGGAGAAGACCGAGCAGACTGCCAAAATGGTCCAGCAGCACCGCGCCAAGGTTGACTTCAGCCCTGCCAATCTCTCGGCTGCCAACCGCTTCATGGAGGACGTCCACCCCGACACCACCCCCATCGGCGCATACGCTGTCTCGCTCCGCAAGGTGCGTGCCCAGCAGCGCGCTACGTTGTTGGAGGCCGAAGCCGACGAGTAATAGAAACAAAACCATTTTTCAGCTGTTTTTTTTTTCGTTTCTCACATAAAATGAAAAAACAATCCTTGCTTCGCTAGTACAGATCGGTGTCGGTAAAGTCCACACTGAATCCTTGCTTGTGCAGGAGCTGGAACCGCAGCTTGTCCTTGCGCGCCTTCTCCTCGGCCTCCTCGCGCTGCATCTGCAGGATGTCCTCGATTGGCAGCTGGCGCAGCGGCAGGGCGTCTTCTGTGTCGCCGTCGATTTCGCCCAAGAGAACCACGTTTTCGCCGCGGATAATGAACACCCCGCGCTCAATGTCGCCGTATGCATCGCCCACGTATATGCGCTCGAGGCTGTCCTGCAGAACAAGGTTGGCGAACTGGTCATAGGAGCGCAGGATCCCGATAATCTTGCGGCCGTCGCGGAGAACCACCAGGAGCTTTTCTAATAGTCAAAGATTTATGTAGTTTGGGTGGCGTGCATAACGTAACACATGGGGAAGGGGCTGTCGTGGAATTAGGCTTAGTACGTACTGTCTAGCGAGTCCACCAGGCTCTCTGCTGTTGTGAAGAACTGAGGAACAAACGACATGGGAAAAGGGAGGGGAGAATGGTATGAGAAGTGATTCAGTAGATAACCCGCCAAAATATACACGCATGATATTACCATCGAGCATTGAAGTCATCAGATTTTGGTTTTCGGATTGGCTACTCGAAAATATCACCAGCGATGCTCATGGCACCAGGCATCGGCACCAGTATCTCTTTGATCATATGTAGCTGATGTAGATAGCCGCTACAGGCACTAGGGGGAAGCCGGAATAATCCAGGCACCAATTAATGGAGCACGATCTGGCCATAACGCACCTGTCTCCAACACCAGATATGAGTGCACAGATCTAAATTTTTCAGTAGCTGTATCCAGCCAAAAAAAATTTATGTAATGCTCATTTTACCATGGAAGGAGGACCGACAATCCGTGACTACATCGACGCACGCAAGAAATCCGGCATGTCGTGGGACGACTTCCGTGCGCTGAAAAATAAGAGCGAAAAGACAGAGCTTTCCGATGCTGCCATGGTCGAGTGGCGGAAGCAGCTGGACGCTGAGCGCGAGGCGCGCCTGAACAAGGGCAGCAAAAGATCCAGGGGACCAGGCAGGCGCTCCAAGGACAAGGACGATGAACGTCGTCATAGACACAGACACCGGCGCAGCCGTCGTCACAGCAGCAGCAGGAGTCGGAGCAGAAGCAGAAGCAGGAGTCCAAGGAGGCACCGCCAGAGCCGGTCTCCAAGGCGGGACCGGGGGCGGGACCAAGGGCGCTCAGATGACAAGCACAAGAGAGAGTCACGACCACACCATGAGCGCTCCCGGCACGAGCGCTCGCGATCAAGATCACACTCTCGGTCACGGCAGCCAAGAGAATCCGATGGAGCAGCATCTTGAAGTGGAATTGCAGGTATCCGGCTTCCACCACCTCACTCTCGCTCACCGATACGTCACACCGTCAGTGCGAGTCTTCTTGGTTGCTCGGTTTTGAATCCACAGAACCGGCTACTCCTAGTGTTGGGGGAGGGGAACGGCGCGGGCGTTAGGGGCCAGTAGCAATCGGCCAGCATTCTGGTATTGCCTGATTCGGCCAAGGACCACTGGTCTCTACAGATCCACCGCAAGTGTCCGTCGGTATTCTTTTTTTGGTGTGGGCAGGCTAGGTCTTGCCGCTTTTGAAGAAAACCAGGCGATATATGCAAATACATGGTCGCATGTCCATTTGAAAAAGCAATGTGCACATGCCTACGCGTCGCTTCCGAATTCCTTATCTCTGCTGTCTGCGGTGACTGCTGTCCGTCTAAAGGGAGATACGGACAATCTCCGAACGACGGGATCCGCCCAGTTGCACATGCGAGAAAAAATAATAACTGTGCACAGAGCATTGGAGATTTGCCTGGCCTTATCTCTCGTTGCAGCGACAAACATGGAAGGTCGAATGCCCGCATGACCCCAGTTGCCCGCATCCGTAAAGCCCAGAGGCGATACTGGGGGCTTCTGCTAATTTGCATGCTAGTTGTTTCTGCCAATGGCTGCGTGCCATACATCCAGCAGCTTCCTTTGTGGAAAACATGGCGGCAAACAGGCTGGTGGCAACAAAGGAGCGCTCCTCGTGGACATGCATCAGCCAAAACCTGCTGTGCTTGCTATTCAAGGTGGAAGGGGGAGCAGGGGGCGGGCTGGCACGCTTCCAAGGACTTTCATGCCGACATAATGCCCGCCAGTGCTCTATCAGCATGCTTGCTGCTTATCTTGCATGGGAGCCGGGGATTGGAGGGATGCAGTCCCTCATGTATCTCTGAGCGAGGAGAGGGTCAAAATAAAAGGATTGCCGTTCTAGGACCCACATATCGCACAGGCTGTTATTTCGCCGTCCATTACGCTCCACTAGCCCCTTATCTACGGGTGACACTTCGAATAAAATATGCGCACCTGCCCGTATGGACAACGTCTCGGACCTTGCGCATCTCCTTTCTCTATGACCACAAATGGAAGTAGCAACGGTATTTTTTTGACTGCTGATCGCTGCTCCCGCCCCGCTTCCCAAGGCAGGCCGTTGTGTTTCATAGACTTTCCTCCTCACCACCGGCCACGCTGGCCCTCCTCGAAGATCATGGAATTCCACCAACGAGATGCCCATATCTCCATCTCTATGCGGTGCTATTTCCACTCGCTATTTTTTCCCAGCTGGCCCATGCCGTGTCTCTTCCAGAAAATATGCGACTGCTGCTGCTCGTCAGAGATAAAGAAGGTTTAGCGCTAGCTGAAGCTCTCACGTGGCGGGAGCTTGTTGATGCTGTCACAAAAATTGGCAGCAAAAAACAAGAGATACAAATCAGCGCAATTGCAAAGTGCATCCCCGGTGTTGTCGGCCCACCCCCGGTACCACCCCCTCCCCAAATTACCCCTGCCCAGGATGCTACACTTTGGCCCAGTGTTTTTGTAGTCTGCAAGCTCCCAATTGCTCGTTTAGGCAGACGATGGTGCCTGGCAGGACGGTGGGGGAGTGCGGTAACTTCACCTGTCCAGATATAAAAGGAACCAGGCAGTCTGAATTCCAGCGACCTTGTGTCTTGTATCCCTTGTCTCTCCACTCCACTATTCTCTGTATTTCAGCCACCGGCTATTTCTCTCTGCGTCCAGAGCATCATCGACCCTAAGCCAGCACTCATTCTGTAATATCCTCTCTGCCCACTTGTTACAAGGTAAGCCGCTGCCTCTAAACCGGGAATTCGCCCCTTTGCCAGAGCGAATGGCGCCAGAGGACGCCTGGGCCTGCGGATTCAGCCAGCTGGACGACGGCGCAGGCCCCTCGCTCAGGCGTGCAGAGATTGACACCGCCAAACATCCTGCCCAAACCTCTGCCAGCCGCATGGCTTGATGCTCCCCGATTATTCCAGTCGGAAAATGAGGAGGAGCAACAAGGCCGCGAATCGCTAGCTGTATGCATACCGAACGCGCTGACCCTCCCCTGCCACCCCCTCCCCGTCTACCCCCACCCAACTCCACCAGCGCTTTCTCTAGCTTTGCTTAAAAGGCCAAGGCCATGGCGGACCTACTTTCAATCCCCGTCCTTCCCACAGCTTATTCCTGCAGCACCAATCTAATCTCTACTATTCTGTTACTACCACCACTGCCAGCTGTAGCCTTTTACTCTCTTCACAGGAACAACTGACTTTCTCTCAAATGACTACTTCGACCGCCCAGGAAGGTGCCTCCGAGGCTGCCGCCATCTACCCGCCGCCCCAGCGCCTTGTCAACCCCGAGAACGGCGTGAAGCCCTGGTGCTCGAGCATGGAGGAGTACGAGACGCTCTACAAGGAGTCGATCAACGAGCCCACCAAGTTCTGGACCCGCGTTGCCAACGAGCTCATCACCTGGGACAAGCCCTTCACCCGCGTCTCGCAGGGATCGCTCAAGGACGGCGACATGGCCTGGTTCCCCGATGGCCAGCTCAACATCTCGTACAACTGCGTCGACCGCTGGGCCCTGCAGGATCCCGAGCGCGTTGCCTTTGTCTACGAGGCCGACGCGCCCGGAGAGGCCTCCAAGGTCACATACGGTGAGCTGCTCAAGCAGGTCTGCAGCCTGGCCAACGTGCTCACCAGTTTTGGTCTGCGCAAGGGTGACACCGTTGCCATCTACATGCCCATGATCCCCGAGGCCGCTGTCGCTATGCTTGCCTGCGCCCGCCTGGGTCTCGTCCACACCGTTGTCTTTGCCGGTTTTTCGTCGTCGTCGCTCGCTGAGCGCGTTGCTGACGCCCGTGCGCGTGTCGTGATCACCGCCGATGAGGGTCTGCGTGGCGGCCGCCCCATCCGCACCAAGGCCATTGTCGACGAGGCCCTGCTCACCTGCCCTGAGGTCGAGAAGGTCCTGGTTTTCCGCCGCACCGGCAACGAGGCTGTTGCCTTCAACCCGGATCGCGATGTCTGGTGGCACGAGGCCATCGCCAGCCAGCGCCCGTACTGCCCGCCTGTCTCAGTCAGCTCGGAGGACCCGCTCTTCCTGCTGTACACCTCGGGATCAACTGGCAAGCCCAAGGGTGTCGTCCACACCACCGGCGGCTACCTGCTCGGCGCTGCCATGACCCTCAAATACGTGTTTGATATCCACGACGGCGATGTCTTCTGCTGCACAGCCGATATTGGATGGATCACCGGCCACACCTACGTTGTCTATGGCCCGCTGGCCCTCGGCTCCACCAGCGTCATCTTCGAGTCGGTGCCCACCTTCCCCGATGCCTCGCGCTACTGGAAGCTGGTCGAGGACCACAAGATCACCCAGTTCTACACTGCTCCGACCGCTATCCGCGCCCTGCGCCGCCACGGCGACAGCTATGTCACCAAGCACGATCTGTCGTCGCTGCGCGTCATCGGCTCTGTCGGCGAGCCCATCAACCCCGATGCCTGGACCTGGTACAACAACATCGTTGGCGGCGGCAAGTGCGCCGTTGTCGACACCTACTGGCAGACTGAGACCGGCTCGCATGTGATCACCCCGCTGCCTGGAGCCACTCCGGCCAAGCCTGGATCGGCCACCTTCCCGTTCTTTGGCGTGGAGCTTGCCATCCTGGACCCGCAGACCGGCGAGGAGCTCGAGGGCAACGACGTCAGCGGTGTTCTTGCCATCAAGCGCCCCTGGCCCTCGATGGCCCGCACCATCGCTGGGGACCACAAGCGCTTCCTCGAGACCTACCTGCGCCCGTACCCCGGCTACTACTTTGCTGGTGACGGCGCCAGCCGCGACGCCGACGGCTACTACTGGATCCGTGGCCGTGTCGACGATGTCATCAACGTCTCGGGTCACCGCATGTCCACTGCCGAGGTCGAGTCTGCCCTCATCTGCCACCCGGCCGTTGCCGAGTCGGCTGTTGTTGGCGCTCCCGATGAGCTCACTGGCCAGGCCATCTGCGCCTTTGTCACCCTTAAGGACGGCATCGAAGCCACCGACGATGTCAAGGTTGAGCTGGTCAAGGAGGTCCGCCACCGCATCGGTCCCATTGCCACCCCCAAGACTCTGATCCTGGTCGACGAGTTGCCCAAGACCCGCTCGGGCAAGATCATCCGCCGCATCCTGCGCAAGGTCGTCGCTGGCGAGGCTGACACCCTGGGCGATCTGTCCACCCTCTCGGACCCGTCGATCCTCGACGTCCTCATCAGCAAGGTCGCCGCTGCTCTTGCCAAGTAAAGCAAACCCGTTTCTCATTTTCTATCCTTTTCTTGCCGTTCGAATGAATTTTTTGTATCATTTCCTCGTATGCGCATCAAAACCATATGTAGCCAGCAAAAGATTCTACTCGAAAACAAAGGGTGGAGTCAGTAATGGCAGTTTGTTCCAGCTCTCCTCACTTTTCTTGAAACTGCATCCCTTGAACAGCTAGCTCCAATGTCTGCTGCAAACCCGCCGCTGGTCTGGATCGACTGCGAGGTATGTGTTCACGCCTGTATAATGTCCGCAATAAGATGCGCACATAATACTATATCTTTGTCACCTGATAGATGACCGGTCTCGACTACAACAACGACACCATTATCGAGATTGCCTGCATCATTACCGACGGTGACCTCAGTACCCTGGAGCAGGGTGAAGACATCATCATCCACCATCCCAAGGCAGTCATGGATTCGATGAACGAATGGTGCATTGAGCACCACGGCAAGGTAAGGCCAGCATGAAACAGAAAGGGCGGGGTACATGCCTACGCTATCTCTATAAGTACTAATCACTTGAACCACATAGTCCGGTCTGACCCAGGCTGTCCTGGACTCCAAGGTCACAATGGCTGAGGCAGAGGAACGCGTTCTTGCCCTGGTCAAGCGCCACTGCCCAACCCCACGCACTGCCATCCTTGCCGGCAACTCTGTGCACGCCGACCGTGCATTCCTCTACAGGCTGATGCCAAAGTTGAACGAGTATCTCCACTACCGCATTATTGATGTGAGCTCGATTGGTGAGCTAGGCAAGCGCTGGAACCCGTCGGTTTGCTTGAAGCGGCCCAAGAAGAAGGAGGCCCACCGGTAAGTTGTGTACAGGTAGAACGAGTGGTAGGGACCTTGGCTATGTGCACCAACGCCTAATCTTACATTGCTGTGTAGTGCCTTGGACGACATATTGGAGAGCATTGAGGAGCTGCGGTACTACCAAAAGAACCTGTTCAAGCCCTAGGACTTCTGGGATCCGTGCTCCTACCCATACACGAGCGGCTGATGCTCGTTTTGGAAATGAAGACTCGTTAGCCTCCCCAAGGCTATCAAGGCACTCTCTCTTCTGCATACAAGTTTCCTCATATTGTTTTTATTCAAAGTGCAACAATAAAACCTCTCTACATGGGCCAGGTATTGTCGCTATCATCGCGGAGGCTTCCTCAGGTATTGCAGACGGCACTACCTGAATACTTGACGCGTTGATATTAGAACGAATCTTCGGCACTCATGCATTTTTGTTTATAGAAAGCCAAGCCGCAGACGCACCCCAGAAACACCCAGCCGGCATGTAAGCAGCTGCCCCCACTTGTCTGGGTAGACCTTGAAGTAAGTGTCTGTGCCATCTCTGGAAACCACCTAGCGCCGGATGCTAATTTCTTACACAGTGCTAGACCACCGGGCTGCATGCAGAAAAGGACACGATCCTCGAGGCTGCACTGCTGATAACCAACAGCGACCTCGAGCTGCTTGAGCCACCACTCAGCCTTGTGATCCACCATCCGCCTGGTGCCCTGCAATCCATCAACGCCTGGTGCCGGAACATGCACAAGGCGTCGGGGCTGCTTGACCAAGTCGCACAGTCGACACTGACCTTGGCCTCCGCCGAACAGCAGATGCTTGATCTGGTCACCAAGCACTGCCCGGAGCCGAATCGGGCGATATTGGCAGGCAACAACGTCGGGTTCGACCGCAGGTTTCTCAGCACGTACATGCCGATCTTGCACGGACATCTGCACTTCCGCAACGTCGATGTCAGTTCGCTGAACGAGCTGGCCAAGCGCTGGCGGCCCGATCTGCTGCCGGGCGTGCGCAAGAAGTTTGGCCACCGTGCGCTCGACGACATCCAGGAGAGCCTGCGCGAGCTGCAGTACTACCGTGATCGCATGATCAGCCGTCCCGATCAGAAATAAATCAGATCCTGGAATTCTTGTACTCTTTTCTGCGATCTTGCTGCATTTCTCGGCCCAAAAACGACGCAGGTTGCCCGGCCAGCGCCATAGGTTGGCGATGTACACGGCGAAATACGGGCTTCTTTCTTTTCAACTTAGTTCCTCGTATCCATTTTCAAATAATACGACGTTGCCAAGATGCCCAAGTTTTTGAAGAACGGGAAGGTACGGAAAAGAGTGAATCGATCATGGGCACGGGATATTGGCGCTGGCGAATCGATCATAAAAAGGCGCAGAGAAGCGCGCGTCGATGGATAAGCGGGAAGAGAATGCATTGCGGGATGGGGAATTTCAAAGACAGGAGGTTTCGAAATTGCTCACCGCCATGAGAATTCGCCAGCACCAAATCCGCCTGCACGCCACGCACGCACGCTTTCAGCAGAAGGCCGCTGCCGCTCAGTAGAAGCATTGGCCAGCAGCACCTCTCCTCGAACGCCAAACTAAATCCAGCGCACACTGCATTGTAGGTTGTTATTATCCTCCAGGGTCGCTACGCCGGTAAGAAGGCCGTGATCGTTAAGAACGTCGATGAGGGCACCAAGGAGCGCCCCTACGGCCACGCGATCGTTGCCGGTATTGAGCGCTACCCGCTCAAGGTGACCAAGTCGATGGACAAGAAGAAGGTTGCGTCGCGCTCGCACGTCAAGCCCTTCATCAAGGTTGTCAACTACGCCCACCTGATGCCCACCCGTTACAGCCTCGAGCTTGAGGAGATCAAGGCTGCCGTTACCGCCGAGACCTTCTCCGAGCCCTCGCAGCGTACCGCCGCCAAGAAGGCCGTCCGTAACAGCCTGCAGCAGCGCTACACCGCTGGCAAGAACAAGTGGTTCTTCACCAAGCTCCGCTTCTAAGTTTGTTGCCTGGCATTCAGCCCTTTCTGTGGTAGGATTATTTCATTATACTCTCCACCATGTCTTGTTCAGTGGAATGCAACACTTGCGAGTGCATCAAAAGCAAAATAGACACGAGCCTTATAGCAGATGCTTGTGCTGATGTTGATATAGAGACGATAAGGATATGTGAGAAGGTTACATGTACTTAATGGTTGCTGTTGTTTGAGGCAGCTGCTGCTCCTACTTTCGAAAGCTTGGGGCGCTGAAGGGCCTGGAGCTTTCTCCAGAACTGCGTTGAGGTTTTCCACACCACTACTGTCGCCGCCCGTGGTGCTGGCACTTGGCGCCGTCGTCGGAGCCTTGAGGGGCTGCAGATCAGCAGGTGTGCAGTTTTGCTGGCCAAGAAGCCCTCTGTGCTGGCTCAAGAACGTGCTGGTCGCAGGCGATGCGTTCATGATGCCAGTGGCACTTCTGGCCATGGGAGGCACCGGCGACACAAAGTTTTCCAGCGACAGCGACGGCGAGGAGCCCCACGCCTGCAGTGGCGGAGCGGTCTGCGGCATGGTCTGCGCCTGCGAGTATGACAGTAGCGAGGCCGATATTGGCGGGGATATCGCTGAGCTGCTCAGCAAAAGACCCGACTGCATCTGGTGCTGCTGTAGAATCCGCCCCACCGTGATCGCGTCTTGCTGCAACTTTGGATCACTAGATATCCTGGCCACCGCCGCGCTTATATCTGGCACAGCGCCCAACGCGCTACTGGCTGACGTGGCTGTGATCGGCTTGCCATCAGGGGGGCGCACTGATGTTGGCGACATACGCATCCAGGACTTGGCAGCATCATGCTTCTGGCTATGCGGTGAATTCTCTGTCGAGTGTTCTGAACCAGAGCCCTGGCTGGGTGCAGGCGTGAAGAGATTGCTGACTGCAGGAATGGCTAATGGGCGAGGCGCAGTGGTGAGACCCGGCAGACCTGCTGCAGCAGGGACACAGGAAGCAGTCCTGGTCTCTGGCAAACTGGAAATTTCGGCACTCTCCTCAACCCTAGCTCTCTTTGTCTGCATGCCGCCATCGGAACCTGTTAAACCCATAGGTGCTGGCATCCCGGCCTCCGACATTGGAGCCGTATGATGATGGCTGTGATGCATTGGTGCCCATTTCTTCTTCGGCTGCTGGCCACTGGGGAGCGCTTTCTGCACTGCGCTTTAGTGTCTGGGCTGCCAAAGGATTATCGCCGGTATTTGGCCTCTGCCTTACCTGCGGGCTGGCGCTCCAGCCACTACTGACGCCATAGTCTATGTTCCATTCCTTGGGCTTTCCTTGGCCACTGGGCCCAGACAGCATCGAGAAACTCGCGGCACCATCATTGCTGCCTCCGCACAGCCTGTCAAAGTACGCTTTGTCGTACACAACGGAGCCCTCAGTCGACCCGTCCCAGAGGAAGGTGGTATGCATGGTACCGCCATGGAACTGCAGGCGGTTGCACGACATGGCGGCATGATAGGCACTGCGCGAGTCATAGTACTCTACCACGTACTCAAATTGGCGGCCACGATACGGGAAAAACGATACGACATTGCCGAACCGCTCAAAATACGCCTTGTCCTTGTCCTGGAACGACTCCTTGGGGCTGACCAGCGAAAACAGGACCGTGGCCTGGCGGTCGTTGGCTGCCGGGCAGCGCTTGTCGGAGCCCGGCCGCAGATCGGACGGGACAACAGTAACCGTGGCGTGGCCAATCCTGATGGTATTGTAGTTCTCTTTCAGAGCTTCGAGCGCACAGCGCGAATCATAGTAACTGACGTAGCATATCCCCTTCTGCCTGATAGAGGCATCAAATATATCGGCAATCTCGCCGTACTTTGCAAAGTGGTCATGGATGTCACTGCCGCTTATGATGGTGTCCTGAGGAACAGAGATAAAAAGGGTGCGTGAGACAACTCCGTGCTTGGGCGGCGGCGGGACCTCCAGGCGGTACTTGCCAGGAGCATCTCCATACCGTCCACTGCTGCCATGGTTTTCGGTAGACTGGTGGCTGTAGCCATGGGTGTAGTCGTGACTGGCGCCAAACCCGCGCCCGCGCCCACGCCCACGACCCCAGCCTCGGCCCCGCCCGCGACCTCGCCCGCGACCAGGAAGCATCTGAGGCTCATACATTCCTCTGTCAATGCCATCCTGACTAGCATAGTCGCCATGCCTGCTGCTGCTGCGAGAGTGGTCGCTGCCACGACTGTCGGCCATGTTGCCCCAGTGCTGGTGGTATCCCCTTGCATTGCCGTATTCTACATAGGTATGCTGTTTGTCTTAGTGCATCGAACCGCTGCCACTTTATACTGCGAATATACCAGGCTCCAACGCTGCATCACCTGGTCAATAAACACACATAGCTGATGCCATGCTTAGCTGACAATGCAAAGAAGGCTGCATTGTCCTCACAACCAACAAGCATCACCCCAAACTTGCTTTTCATAATTGCGAAACAACAAACAGGCGGATCCGCCACCAGCAAGTACTGCTGGATGCGGGTTTGCTGGTCGCTAAAGTGATTTACCTGTTGGGTCTGCTTCGCCACCATCACTGCTGATTGCGGAAGGGTGGAATGGATCGTAACCATCGTTGGTGGTGCTCGAGAACTGTGGTGCTGGCACCAGCCCATGATCAGCATCGCTGCCTCGGGCAGTACTGCCGTCATTAAACCTGGTATCCATGCTGTCGTAAAACCCATTGACATTGGCATATGGGGCTGGGCGCTCATCTCCGTCATATCCATTGAAGTCGTTAGAGTCATACCTCGGGCCACTATGCCAGCTATTGCCATGATATCCAATATGCCCACGGCCACGGCCACGGCCTCTACCACGGCCCCTGCCTCTGCCGCGGCCAGAGCCATTCTCGTTGTACTTTCCATATGCTGGGCCGTGTTCACGATAGCCCCTACCTTCCGACGAGTAGGGGCTGAAGCGGTGCGTATTGCCACCAACACTTGATGGATGCTCATTCCTGAACGGCATGATAACAATTCAACTTTTCCTCAGTCTCGCTTAATAGTAGGTGCTGCCTGGCAAAAGCGAGAATGTGACTCCCAGTGGTGGGACACGTTGCAGATCTTGTGATTCGCAGTACACGGAGGGTGAAAATAACCTTTTTCTGACACCGGCTGAGTGTGGGGAAAGTGTGTATGTCGAGATAGGCTTCGTCTACTTTGGTTGCTGGCACCTAGTGGGCACTGGGTGCGTGTCAAAAGCGAGGCGCAAGATGCAGGATATAGGGTTTGAATGCTAGGGCTGTGCGCCGCCTCGTTGATACAATTCAGGAGATACTTTTTCAGCTTGATATAGCTGGTGTGGGATGGAAGAGAAGTGTTGGCAACAGCAAAAGAAACCAAATGTCTGCACTGCTCCCCTGGTATGGGCAAGGTTTCGGCAGACTGGGTCTTCTCAGAGGGAGGTATTCTTTGAGGTGCGGAAAGGTTCGACGACACGAAAGAGTACACAAAATGAAAACAAAAAATGCAAGCAGGAAGCAAAAGCGAAAAGAGCGAGCCCTTGCCTCCCACACTCGCTCGATACCGCATTATGAGCGTGAGCAGCTAAGCCCACTCCCTACCCCAGCCTCAAAATTTTTTATCCCCGAAAATCACCAGTTCTGGCGCTGGGCTACTATTGCGATAGATCACAGTTTTGTTCTGGTTGGTCAGGCCACGGCAGCGGCCCTTGTGATGGCTGATGCATCTGTAGACCATTTACTGCGTCGAGCGGCAGCCTCTTTTTTTATCGCAAACAGTCCCCTGTAGCGAGTCCAAGCTTTGGTGCTATAGCCAGAGGGCAGAGCGATGCTAGCACCCTTGCAAACTCTGCTTTTTTTAGGAACGATCAGCCATCGGCTACTTGATCCCAGACCCATGCAGCATTCTCTGCTCGTCCTGTGTCAGAGCCATTGTCGAATTAGGCAGCCTGGTAAAAAAAGGCAGATGCCAGCTACATGTATCCACCATCATGTAGGATGTCAGCGACCAGTTGGCAGCCTTCCTGTTCCACTTCTGTTTCCCATTTTCTGATTTTCCTACACTTATTTTTAGCACAAGAATACTGTCTCTCCCCTTAAACGAAGCTGCATTATCACTATTAGCATACTCTTTGTCTGGTGTGTCGCGCACACAACGCCTTCAACCAACGCGCACTACGTCTCGTCTCGGCCATGGCCGAACAGGATTCAGACAAGAGTCAGCAGCGGAAGCAGCAGCCAGCAGGAGATGATGGCTGCGCAAGTGGTGCAAAGCAGTACAGCGTGTCTCAGCAGCAGTACGCATTACCTCCACCGCACACTGATAGCTACCCGCCTGCGCCTACATATCTACATCACCAACAACACCACCCCTCACCGGGAATACCAGTGCAGCATCCACTGATTTACCCTGGACAGTTCAGCACGGAAGCAGCACACATAAGCCATGCGGCCCCTCAGCCGCAAGTCGCAGCTCCCACCCCGGCAACAATGGGTGCGCCGCTCCATGCAGCACAGGTTGGCTATTCTGCTGCCGGTTTTTCCGTGGATGCGTTGTCAGCTGGCCACAGGAATGCACGACCGGCATCCACCGAGCAGCCAGAATCGGCAGCAGCGACCCCTGCCACAGCTACGCAGGAGCTGGTCTTTATTCCCGCCAATATTGACCGAATAAAGCGCGGCTATGAGGACAAGTCGCGAAAGCAGCTCACCGACGAGGTCATCCCACGGCGCCGATCACAGAGAGATTACGAAGTTCTGGTTTTCCGTGCCAAGCAGCCGCGAGTCCATAGAGATTCCGTACCACGTATTCGCCCAGCAACACCACAGTCACCTATTGGGACCCTAGCCAGCAGCCAGCGCCGGAGCATCCAAGCTTCTGACACAAGCACACACCATCTTCCGCTTCCCCGCCCCCCTAGCTCGGCCAGCGAGGCTGGCACTATCAAAAGACGGCACTCTGCTGTCCACCAGAAATCAGAGCCGGCTGTGTCACCGTCGAAGCACAAATTGGAAATGCTGTTAGACGACCCTATGGCCCTGTATAAGCCACTGACATATACAGCAAAGAGCGAAGCCGAATCGTCATCGCCAATAACTCCATATTCGATCGGTCAGTCTTTGTGTGCATACGAGGGTCCTGTATTAACACAACCACAGCCTGGCTCTTCTAGCAAGGGCAAGGAGCCTGAGGTTGTTTGCTACCCACCACCACAGCCCATTATCCAAAGCTATCCTCCAATTGGTTTTCCAGAACACTCGGCAATAGCCACGCAATTCAACGGTCATGATGCCGGCTTGCTGGTGCTCGAAGAAGTAAGTATCGTGATTAATAGCTGCAGTTCTGTCTGCTCAGTCATAGCATCCAGCAGCTCTTTGCACCTACTAACTACATACTGCCATTAATGTCTGATATAGATAGCCAAGGTACGCAGCGAACTTGACCTCATAGAGACCGATATCCACGCAATTCCAACTCCAGAAAAGCAGAAGCTGGCTGTCTCGTTAGCACACATGGCTCAGACACTCTCTGAATTCCGGCTGCCATGATTTGAGTTACTATATACCTCCATATTTTAACTGTATATTAATTAATCCATATTTGTATTTAGTTGCCATATGAATCAAACATATCAAGTTAGGGCGGCTTGTTGTATATTGGGCGAAGTGTTCGAGTAAACATTGGAGGATCTCCCATCTTGCGCGCCCTGATATGCGCCCGCCGTTTTGAGGTATCGCCAAGCTTTCCGCTTGCCAGCATCTCTTTGGTATCCTCAGGCGACAAGGTGTGTAACTGTATTTTGTTGGCTAGTGTAGGTAGGTTCTCCTGCATAACCTCTCGACGACAGTTGGGCAGTGGCGTATGCTCATAATTTAGAACATCAGCCAGCACTGTGCAGCTGGCTACCAGCAGAGTAGCTGCGAGATAAGTAGCCACATGCATTGTTCTTGTGAGGTCAAGTATTGAAATTGTATATATAGAGGCAGATACGTAACAGAGGACAAGAGATTTGGAGCATGCAGGTTAATAGAGGAGAAAAGTGTAGAAACTCCGAAAAAGGTAAGACTTGCAAGCTATTCCTCACCTGCAACAACCACTTGGCCACGCAGTGATAGTGTTCTCCACGCATATCTGGGGGAGGTTAATATTTTTGAAACATTACGGTGGAGACGATGTTTTATCGATTACTGCACTCACCAGATGCATGGGCATGGTATGTCTAATTCTGGATTATTTATTAAATGCACTAGTAAACAAGGGGTGTTACGTCATGAAAAAACAGGTAGTGCAAAAGGCACGCCGGCTCTGGAAAGGGAGCAGGCTTACCAAGCCCACCTGGCAAGGAAGCTGCTGGGGTGAGTACGCACCCAGTACTTGCGCAGCTCATCAACGCAGAGGATCAAAATGGCGAAGGGATAGGGATAAAGTAGAAAGGAGCAGGGATCGAGGAAGTGCCGAACACCGTCTGGAATGCGGGCACGTAGCAGAACAAGAAGACGACACCAAGGGTGACTGGAATAGTAAGCGGAAGTCTCAAGTTCTTGGTCGGACCCCAGAACGGGTTCTGCTGGAAGACACTGAGACGGCGGGTGCGGGTCGCAAACATATTGCCCCATTGCAAAATGACCAGGGTAATAAAGTACACACACTGGCCAGTGCTGAGCAGGTTAGCGAGCTCAGCCGTATCGTGGCCGTGATATGGTCCGATTGTCCACTTGTCAAACGCCAGGAACAGCTGGCTCGGCGAGAACCCGCCCTTCCAGTACATGAAGATGAAGTAGACCAGGTGTGCAATGACGGTCTGCATGACACCCATGAATCCGTAAGCATGGAAGAAGAACTTGAGATCGACCAGGTGGTCGCGCTTCGGGTTGCGTGGAGCACGATACATGATATCGTTCTCTGGCGCCTCGTACATGAGTGAGACACTGGCCCACACATCGGTGAGCATGCAAATAACGATCATGAGAATAACCGATAGTGGCAGCGGGATACCGAGCACCATGTTCAGGAACATAGGCATGAACTCGGAGAATGATCCAGCGGGTAGCAGATAGACAAGCACCTTCTTCAGGTTCTCAAAGACAAGGCGACCGTTCTCAATACCAATCAGGATGGACGAGAAGTTGTTGTCGAGCAAGACCATGTCGGCTGCTTCCTTGGCGACCTCGGATCCACTGCCCATAGCAACACCGATGTGGGCTGCCTTCATCGCCGGCGAGTCGTTGACACCGTCACCGGTGACAGCAACATAGCACTCGCGGTTGCGCAGCTCCTGGACAATCAGTAGCTTCTGCTCAGGTGTCGTGCGCGCAAACACGATCTCGGTGTAGTGGCAGATGATGTCCCAGTGCTCAGGCTGCAGGCCGACGAGCTCGCTGCCAGACAGGACCAGGCTGCGAATTCCATCGTTACCATGCCCGGCAGTCGTCACGGTTCCCTTATCAGTCGACGAGTCAATCGACGGCGTCTTCTTCTCGACACCGGCATCGGCAAGAGCACCAGGAGCGTGCTGGAGGGCCTTAGCACGGATGTCGTCGATGGAGTCAACGCGATCGTTGGTGATGATCTTGCACTGGCGCGCAATAGCCGCGGCTGTCAGAGCAAAGTCACCAGTCACCATGAACACGCGGATACCGGCGCGGCGGCAGGTGTCGACAACATGCGGGATCTCCTTGCGCGGCGGGTCGACAATGCCGACAAGCCCAACAATCGTCAGGTCGGTGTTGACGGCAGCGACAACCTCATCGAGCTTGGCCTGGTCATCCTCAATGCCAGTAAACGGGTTGGTGCCCTGGAACTCGCGGCGGCACAGCATCAGCACGCGCTGTCCTTCGCCCGACCACTTGCGCTGGAGTCCTTGCAGCCGCTCGAGGCTGTCCTTGTCAAGCGGGAGCACGTCGCCGCTGGCGTTCTGGATCGACGAGCAGCGCTGGAGAAGTACATCCGGCGCACCCTTGACCAGCAGGACCGGCGCAGACGGGGTGCCTGCGAGCTTGCGCAGCGACAGCATCCACTTGTTCTTGGAGTTGAAGGGGATCTCAAACAGCTTGGTGTACTTGGCCTGAGCTGTGGCAACAGGCTGCAGGCGCTCGGCAAACCGCAGGATTGACGAATCGGTGGCATCGCCGTTGACCCGGCGGTCAGCAATGGGCTTGTCCATGGAAGCAGGGTCGAACGACGAGCCGTTGCAGAGTGCTGCGGTGTCGTACAGGCGCTGGACAGCAACATCCTTTCCAGAGTCGAAGCGAGTCTTCAGATCGTCGGTAGACACGTCGGTGTCGATAAAGCCAGCGTGGACGACGGTCATCTGGTTCTGGGTCAGCGTGCCGGTCTTGTCGGAGCAGATGACGTTAACCGAACCCAGGGTCTCGACAGTAGTCAGGTTCTTGACCAATACATTCTGGCGCTGCATGCGCTTAGCAACAAGAGTCAATGTGAGCGTCAGGCAGATAGGCAAGCCCTCCGGGACAAACGCAATAATGACACCCGTGCTGTTAACAAGCGCATCAGAGAGGGTCAAGAATGTGGGGAACGAGCGACGGAGCCAAGCAGCCCAAATAATAATGAGAATCGTACCAACAACAAGTGAGAGTCCTGCAACCATCAAAACGAACCGCTCAATCTCCATTTGAAGCAGCGTCTTCTCATCCTTCTTACTGGCGGTCATCTTGGCAATGCGGCCCATGACGGTGCTGTCGCCGGTACCGATGACAACGCCAGTGCCAGACCCTTGCGTGACGTGGGTTCCCATGACGGCAATGTTGCGAGTCTCCAGGTAGTTCTCGTCAGTGTGGTTGACGGTGGCAACAATCGGGTCTGACTCGCCAGTGAGCATTGAGCGGTCGAAGCGCAGGTCGCGCGAGACTTCAATCAGACGGATGTCGGCAGGAATCTTGTCACCGCCGCGGACATGGACGATGTCGCCCTGCACAAGCTCGGTGGCAGCAACGCTGGTCTTGTTGCCGTTGCGCGTAACCATGGTTTCGGTAGGCAGCATCCCGGTGATGGACGCCATGACCCGCGATGTGGTCCACTCCTGCCATGCGTTAAATGCAGCCTGGAGGAAAATAACGATGAGGATAGCGATAGCCAGGGCTAGGTACTGAACGTTAGCTGGTTTACCAAGTGGCTTCCACGAAATCCAGACACATACAGCTGCAATCCACAGCAGCGGACAGAACCCACTGAACAGCCACTGGAAGATCTTGAGCCAGATACGGTTAGGCGGCGAACTCAAAACGTTAGGACCGTCACGCTCGCGGCACCGCTTGATAGCATCCGTCTCGAGTCCCTGGATGGGACTGGTGCTGAACTTGGTCAGGGTCTCATCGACAGTGTCGAGGTGGAACTTGAGAGTGCTCAGCTCATCGGCAGTGGCACCGAGTTTGGCCTCGTGCTTGCTTTCCGACGCCTGGCGGCGGTCGTAGGCTTTGCGAACAGGGAAGATGCGACTGAAGAAAGACTTGGCTCCTGACTTTTCAGCCTCAGAATATTGCTGCTGGTTGTGGCGGCTGAGCTGGATGCTGAGTGTGCGGTACTCAACCGTCATGTTGCGCTCAAACTTGAGCCCAGCATCGGTAGCGTTGCCCGACCTTTGTTTGCCGATTTCTTGAATCTCCATGACAGCGTCACGCTTGTGAAGAATATTAGGCGTATTTATACGAAGGAGGGTGGACGGGGGTGGAACGAAGAAAAGTAAGGTTGCCGCTGTTAAGCAGATGCATTTGAAACTTTGTCGAGGATGCACGACCTCCTTATGAGCGCGAGAACTGAACCCCTGGTGACGACAGAGGGGGCGGTAGATGTTACCCCTCCTTCACCACCGAGTTAATGCAGGATACACGCGCAAGCCTTGCAAAAGCTTGGTGAGATGTCGTATTGGTAGGCTGGACAGCGAAGGTCTGAACGTGCCGGTGAATGGCAAGACAGGGGGTAAGATGCCGGTATGTATACGCTGTTGAGCTGTAGCCAAAAAACATGAAACAAATTTTCAAAATTTCTATCTCTTGAATTTTGGCCAAAGCCTGGTCTGGTGAGCTCAGGGGGTGCACCAAGGGCAGCAGCAGAAGCAAAAAAAATACGTGGACGGGATCGACCAAACGAAAAAGTCTACAGCTGGGAGGCCGGGGACGGATGCCCTTTGCATGAGTGCGCTGCGATTTGTGGAGGCGGTTGCGAACAAATATCTAGGCCAGCCCGCTGTGGTCAGGGGTAGGCAGCTGAAATATTTGTGCCTGAGCCCAGCAGTTCCCACCCGCAACATTTGCGATTCGTGGAGAGCTGGTGCTAAGAGTGCAGAGTGGTCGCCCAGTGGGCGATCCGCTTTAAAACGTGGTTGTTGGGGCAGGCGCTCTGGACGGATAGACTTGGCGTGGCCCCTCAGCACCTTTTTTTCGCATTCGTCCGCATATCTCTCAGCAAATTCCTTGCCTGCTGCTAGAAATTGTCGTAGCGCTTTCGTGTTTTTGCTCACAGTTTTAGCAGGGCACATAACGCAGAGTGGCTGCGAGGATGTGCCTAGCCAAGCGCTGCAAATGTCGATGCCCGGTCAGCATATTGGTTGTAGATTGCATCGCCTTGGACGATATACTGCAAGTGCACATCCGAGCCATTGTCTGCTTACAAAGAACATCAACAAACAGACGGGGCAGGACGCGTCGCATCCAAAAGGTGAGATGTGCAAGGTGGGCACTCGCAATTTCACTTCAGATTGGGTAGAACGGTTATCTTTTGTTTTTGGTGAAGGCCGTGCCATTTTGGACAAGGGCAGTTTTGTTTCATAGCGCAGGCCACTGCCAGCTCACACTACATTACCCCTGGCGATGTCTGATGTACCCCTGTTTCATCATTGTGCGTTAGAAACCTCTGCACATCGCTCCTTTTTCTCGATGGAATTCTTCTGTATTGGATGCTTGATTTTCTGCTACTGGCTGCTCCTCGCTCGTGATGTGAATGCACCTCCACGTATGGCAAGTGCTGCATGTCTTGGTCAACACTAGCAGACTGGCTGTGTTCACCAAAATCCGAGTCGACAAGGCAGCAAAAATACTGCGAGTAGGTATCAATGCTAGATGCCGATGACCAATTTGCCTGATGAGCTCTCATGTGCTGCTTGTACCATTTACAGTTTGGGTTGAGAGCGTGCTTGATGTTGTTGGTTCTTCTTTGTCCGGCCATTGGTGGTTATACCAGCATTAGCAGCAGCCGCTGCATGCTTCTTGCGTGGCCTTTTCGTGGATATGATGGCAGCAGGGTTGACAGCAGCATCCTTTGGACAGTGGATCCTCTCAGGAGCCCTGCCTCTCTGGCACAGCGAGTTCAGGAGGATCGGGAAGCTGAGCACTACGGAGGGTTTGCAGTTGGATAGCCGAACTGTACATACCCTCTTGCAGTACATCAATGCCTGCTTGCATGACTTGACTGCACCAGAAAAGGTCACTGCAATTGACCGTTGGACTCAACCTTTTGCCAGCAACATGAGTGTGTCGCAGCTAGTAGCCTCTCAGGTTAGTATTGGGTTGCTGGTATGATGTGTACTACAGATGAAGGAAGGAGTCCATCGCTAGACTAAACTAGCATCAGTGCACATGGGAATGGGCATCTTATTATTTTGATCTGCCTACCACTGCTCTGCAGTTTGCAACTTCTCCGGATGGTCATGGCATTTTTCGTGGTTCTTGACACAAGTTTTATTTTGCCAGCTGGGGTATATTCCCTTTTCATGGCATAGCTGCTCATGGCTTTCATGACTCAAGCTGCCGCTTCGCGAGGCTTTACCATATGGACCCCTCAGCCGAGGTACCGGGTCTCCAGTACTTTATATGCCATCGCCTGCGTAATCACAATTGTGACGCCAGAGACAGCTGCGTCTAGTGTACAACGCTAGCACACATACCACTATTGCTCAACGTAGCCCTATATTCCTTATTAGATTGTTCTCATGAGGAGAATGGGGCAGCTATCTATAGATATTGTTTGACAAAAATCACCAATATGTTTAGATGTGCTTTTTACCAGACAGGAAAAACACAGCATTCACCTGTTGTGCCCGGGTGCCCAAAACTTATCCTCTCAACTTGTGGCATGAAGCAACATAGTATCGGCTGCCAGCGGGCGAGTGAATGGTCGTGTATACACAAACTGCCATCCCCAAATGTGTCTTCCCTCCATAAACTGCATAGGATCTGTGGGAAAAGCGGTCATTCAGCAAGGGGTACATGCTGCGGCATACGATAATTGCGCCCAATAACCACAACCGGGCAAGGTGAATTCTCTACCAGGTAGTTGACCTTGCTCCCGATAAAGCGCTCTTTCATGGACTTTGACGCGTGAGATCCAACCACCAGCAAATCGCACTTGAGCTCCATCAGCTTGCGCACCAGCTCGCCGCGGATGTCAACGCCGCGAATCGAGACTCCCTTGATCGGATACCCCTCGACCTTGATCATCGACGCATACTTTTTGAGCAGCTCATGGCTCTTATCGCGCTCAGCAGCCTCCTTGGCCGAGTTAACTGCTGTCAAGTCGCCAATAAGCCCATTCACAGCCGGCCGCACGTGGATCAGTACTACCTTGTCGCGGTTTGGGACCAGGATCTTTTGGATCGACCAGCTGATGATACAATCGGTTTGCTCGCAGTCCTTGATAGCGATTGCTACGAAGCGCTCGGGAAGCGGTGTTTTCGTGCTGTCCGAGCCGCGTCTCCGTGACTTGCCAGATGGCATGCCTCGTGGCTCGATGTCAGGAATTTCGATTAGAGTTCCCTTGCGAAATATCGATGGGTGGCTGATGCCTGTGGGCGACATTGGGCCATGTGCAGCCTGCTCAGCATTCTGGGCTACGAGTCTGTCAAATACGTTGTCTAAATTTGATGTCTGACGTTCGGATGGATCAGAAAATGGCATTATGCTGTTGCTAGTATCGACATATGGGATCGGGATCGAGGGTGGTACACTGCCAGTAGTGTGCTCAGACATAATACAACTTTATAGGTGATTTACTACGGTGGAAAGTGTGCAAGGTGTGGTTGCAGTTGACAAAGAGAGGAAAGAGTTGACTGGCCGCGCGCCAGCCGGCTTCCAAGGGTTTATTATAATGCGGAGGCGTGGAACACGCGCATGACAAGCCCATGACCTTGTGTAAGCATGCGGAGGAGGAGCTTTTAGGGATAGGGTTTGCACGCGGCTCTTCATTTGACCAGCAAATGCGGGTGTGCTGGCCAGCAAAAACATACGTCGACCGGCGGAATCTGACATCCAGCACAGGGGCATTTAGCGTTGTTAGCCGCATATCGAGCCCTCACCCCACATGCCGCCACCGGGGTTGATCGGCACCCGCTTGATCCCTAGATCGACCACCACAAAGAGCCAATCAGTGCCAGCCAACCACCTGGCTCTGATAAAACGCTGCTACGTGCCTGGCTGGGAGGAGCTGGCGCTGGGAAACCCGCCACCTTCCACGTAGTTGGTCGCGTCAAGGCTGCGAATGAGCAAAGCAGCTGGAGTCAGCAGCAGGCTTGCTCGGCGCTTTTCATCAGTACAATCCACTCCAGGCGCATTTTCTTTCTCTGTTCCTAAAATTCTATTATTCATTGCTGCCGCAATCTTGCCCGTCCTTCTTCCTTATTTCCACTCATAACGAAACAAGACAACTAGTCAGCGCATTTTACATTGCTGAAACGCGATTGCCAGAAAAAAAGGAGCGAACTACAATTAGACGATATATACATCTAAAATGGTACGCATTTCGCAGCGTGATGCAGATGCAATGGAGCAGCAATCCGTACAATGCAGACCAGCTGGATGCTAACTAGTCCTCTTTTCATTTGGTAGACTACCGAGCCGCTTCTGTTTGACACGCAGCACGAGGACATGATCGTACGTATCCCCTGACCGGAGTCTGAATTGCTCAGATGAAGCACGGAAATTTCAGCAGCTGAAACAAAGCAGATACTAAACACAGCCTGCAATTTGCGGAAACTAATGTGTAGCACGATGCGCAGCCGGACTACTACGGAAAGCGACTAGCGACGTGCTCGTCTGACAGCACCATCCACCTGTTTGACATTGAGGGCAACCAACAGAAGCTGATCGAGGTTCTGAAGGCGCATACGGGCCCGGTGTGGCAGGTAGCATGGGCGCACCCCAAGTTTGGCAGTGTGCTGGCATCATGCTCGTACGACGGCACGGTGCTGATCTGGAAGGAGACGCCGGGATCGGGCTTCACAGTGATCAAGAAGCACGACAAGCACCAGGCATCGGTGAACGCAATTGCGTGGGCCCCGCACGAGCTCGGCCCGGTGCTGCTGTGCGGGTCGTCGGACGGCAAGATCTCGCTGCTGACGTTCACAGAGGAGGGAGTGTGGGATGTGCAGATGGTGCGTAGCGCGCACACCACGGGTGTCAACTCGGTGGGCTGGGCACCAGTCATCTCGGCCGGCTCGTTCACACAGCCGGGTGCGACGCAGAAAGCCAGCCTGGTCAAGCAGTTTGCCTCCGGCGGCTGCGACAACCTGGTCAAGATCTGGGGATTCAGCGAGGAGAAGAAGACTTACGAAGTGATCCAGACTCTGGAGGGCCACACCGAGTGGGTCCGGGACGTTGCCTTTGCGCCCAACATTGGTCTGCCGCGCACGTACCTTGCCTCGTGCTCGCAGGACCGGAAGGTCTACATCTGGACACAAGACGCGCCGTCCTCCAAAGCCCCTGGCCAGGCTGCTCCCGTCGAGTGGCAGCGCCAGCAGCTGTCGTCGACGCCGTTCCCTGATGTTGTCTGGCGCGTCAGCTGGTCGCTGTCGGGCAATGTGCTGGCTGTTTCGTGCGGCGACAATAAGGTTACTTTGTGGAAGGAGAACCTGAAGGGCGAGTGGGAGCGCATCAGCGAGATCGACGAGAACACCACCAAGGCCTAAGTCAATTATCCATTTGCCTTACTTCATAAACGTTCATTTTATTCCCCTCCTTTCCTGTCCTTTTTCAAACTATCAAGTCACCAACCTCGTAAGAGTTGTTCTGCATCGGGTACACATCCTCAGCAAGTGGAGGTCTGTGCGGGGTGCGGCTGGCTGCTGTGTGTTTCTGCTGCTGCCTCAGGCACTGGTGGCACAGGTCATCATATGCAGCCTATTAAGTAGCACCAAGCGGTAGATGTTAGTGATCAGGGTGGTTCGTATATCGGGTATCATTACTGATATATACGCCCATACCCTGAGGCTTCTTAGCCGGCGGTCCATATCCTCGATTGTGTCGGATGCGACAGCACGTTCCTGGCGCTCGATCTCGAGTGCATTCTGGATCTCAGCCATCCGGTCCTGTGCCACTACATATACCGTTGTAGAATGTGTTTGAACGGCGGCGTTGCAGAAGAGCATTGGCGTGCTGCAAATTCATACCTCTGAGTTTTTCTGACAACTCACCAACTGACATGGCGCTCTGCAATTTTTCAACGCGCAGCCGATCGGTGACAGCACCAGCCTGTGCCATCTGGTATGCTACTTCCTGTGACACCTGGTAGTTCCAAAATGAGATGGCGCATATGCATATGTCCAAGATTTCGCGTGGTGCCAAGCTAACTAGCATATATGATCATGCTCCTCAGATATGTTCAAGCTCATAGCGATTACATCGCTCCTGTATGGAAAATTGTGAGATATAAGCAAGGGCAGCTGATATTAGCGGGTGGGATATTCATAGTGTGCACTGATCCGTTGGCTGCTTCCAATACTTACTCGGAACAGATTGGCATCTGGCAGGCTGGGCAGGCTGGAAGTGTCCGAAACGCACTGCTTGAGCACGCCATGCAAAATATATCTACAGCACCGTGATGTACTATGTGGTTATTGCAGGGAATGAATAAGCCACTGACAACCACGTATTAGCCTTTACTTACGCGAGCATTTAGTAACACACACGTTCTCTTCCTGAGACAGTGACCGGCGACACAGGATATTGTTGCAATGAAGAGGTACATCGAACATTGTAAATAAACCAGAGAAAATCATAGGGAAAAGAGTGAGATAAATGAGAAGCAGAGACAAAGAGCCGTTCTCGAGAGGTCTATAGAGCGAAGGCGGCACTGCTTGCGTGTTTCTTGCTATCAAGCATACTCCAGGTTCTCCACCAAGACCTGCCGTATATGCTGACCAGGAATCATGATCATGCCAACCGAGCGCTGAAAGTCTAAAACATAGGGTTATCGCATTTAAATTTAGTTTGCTAGAGTCCATGTGGTATTTGGTGTTGGTAACTATTCTTTACCGTTACGATGCTCGGTGGTGTCGGCTAGAATCAGGTTCTGTCCATAGTCGACGCATTTAAAGATTCCGACAAACTGCCTTCCATCGCTGCACGCGACCTTCATACGGTGGTTCAGGTACGAGCGCAGTTTTGCCTTGTTCGCACTGTCAGGCGTAGCAATGAGTGTCGCAGGTGAGGGCTGTGCACTGGCCAATGTTTCGGACATATCGATGGAAGGAAGAGATAATATTGGGAAAATGGATATCCACTAATTTCACACTCCCGAATACCACCTACCGGTAAACGCCTGCCAAACACAGTTATGGACGCCATTCCTCAGGAATGCATTGGCAGCCGCAGGTAGATATCCCGCGTTGTGTTGTCAGCGTGTGTGTATTTTAATACCAGCAGAAATTTTACATGGCTACGGACATGCGCGGGCTGAAAATAGACGGTTTTTCGGCTGGTCAGGGCTTCGACTCCTTTATGTAATTGCGCAGCAGCTTGTAATTGCGGCGGTTGACTTTGAAGATGCTGCGCGCAATCCAGCCGTAAACCGGAACCAGTGACATGATAAGGTGCTTGCTGATATTTCGCTTCATCTCCTCACGCATATAGGTGGGAATGACAAACTGGGACATGATCTCATCTAAGAAGTCGTTGGCATCCATGCTGGTTGTGATTCCGCCGATGACAGGAATGAATGAGACTACTGTGGGTGTATCTGGCCCTGAGCAGCACCGTCCAAGCCGGTTGTCAAGTAAATGTGCCTGCTTGCTAAGCATTCTGAGCCGCCTCTGCTGCTCACAGTGGGAGAGGTCGCTGGGTCGCTGTGGTCGAGACATTGATGCAGATAGATTTGCGGTAGAATAACTAGAGGCAAAAGCTGCGCCGATCCCTGATTCTCTCCAGGAAACCGGATATCAACCAGCCAGCAGCCGGGATGCCCTGGAAGGCCTCTGTTGCGGTATCATCGGAGTGCGGTCGACGAAGGCGTGCACAGCATAGGGTTTGTGCACTGTCCGGGCTTTAGGACTCCCGGCGTGTTTATGTCTGCCACTGTGCAATTTCGTCATCCAAGCCAGATTCAAGAAAAACCCCCGACGCGCCAGCGCACTTTTCAGCCAACCACAGGGCGGCAAGCAGGCAATCCATGCACGTTCTGCAGGCCGTCGATCCGCCCGTTTTCCACCTGTCCTAAACTGCTGAAACTCGCCGAGAGTTGTCGACCCTGGCCATGCCCGAGCAGCAACAGCAGCAGGTGTGCAGAAAAAGAACCAACTTTGGAACACGGTAATTGCAATAAGCAGCATGCCAATAGCATGATGCCGTGAAGTCCCCCAATCTGCATGCACGCAATATGCCTTGTGGCAGAGAGTCTTTTCTTGTGCTGCAGCTGCTGGCGCTCTGGGTACTGCGGCCAACAGGCAGCAAATGCTCATAGCAAGACGTTCTAAAGAAGCCACTGGCCAGCCACCAAACTTTTCCACAATGGCCCTGGGAACTGCTCATGCCTACTGTCGTAGCGCGATCCAGATGGAGTGGCCATCTAGGCAGCAACAGCACCAGCAGCAGCGCTTCTCCACACAGCGATGATGGTGCTGCCGCTGCCACCTGCTCGCTTTGCGACTTCTGGCTCCCTCCTTGGCCCAATTTGCAGAGGCAACTCAACACCGAGCCTCTGTGAAGCTCGCATTGGGCAAGGGCTAAAGCAGCGATGTGTGCCCTGGCCGGACTTGCAAGGTGTGTGTTTCCAATACGCATATCGCTGGAAAAACTAATGACGCGCAGAGCCGGCCTCTGGCCGGGCTTCTCTCTTGGCTGCTGGCTCACATGCTCTGGCACGCTGGCAGCGCACGCGCGGCCGTGCTGCAGATCCAATTGTTAGCCGCCCTTCTTTCCGCCAATGGCGGCCCATTGAGCGAACTTTCGTTTGTTCGTTGCTCACTACTTTCGCCCAATTTGGGGAGCTGGAATCCAGGCTCGCCACTGGCTATTTAATCCCGTCGGTGTCCAGCCTGGGGCGGCAAACCTGCCAGAATCTCTCCTTCGCTCCTCACAAAATTCTCCTCTCCCAGCCCTCTAGGCACCAAAAATTGACAGACGCCTGCTTTTCCATACTGCAATGAACGGCTCCAGCCCTGCTGTAGTTACCATCATCGAACACATTCTTCCATTCCTCAGCCAGAAGGACCTAGCCTCCTGCCGCCTGGTTAACCGCACATGGTCGGTCCTGGCCACAGTCCAGTCGGCACGTGCCCTTGAGAGCGCCCTGGTGCGGCTGCCTCTGCGTATCCTGCACTACCGGCGCAAGGGCCTTCTCAGCACTATTCGGTCAATGGACATAGACATCAGCTATATCGACGGATTCCTGTCGGCGCCCATGTACGAACGACGCATCCGCGACGCTATCGAGATGGTCAGCACGATGCTACCCATGGTCAAATCACTAAAGGTGCGCATGCAGCCCACGCACTCACTGCGCAGCCAGAACGAGACGCGGTTTACACGCATGGCGTTCAACATGCTTATGGGCGCGTTCCCCGGACTGGCGGCTCTGGATCTGAGCGAGTGCTCGGTGTCTGTCTTGGACACAGAGCAGGGTAGCCCGTTTGCCAGGCTGAGCCAGCTACAGACGATCAAGTGGTTCACGCTTGGACGCAACGATATGAGCTCAGCGGCGGCGCTGTGCGATCTGGCAAACGCCAACAAACACTCGCTGCAGGTGTTTTATGGAATGGCCGACGGTACCGATCGTGCGATGCGTGCGCTGTGCCAGGCGCCCAAAATCAAAAGGGTTGATATCAGCGGATCCAATGTTTCCGACGAGGCCCTGCTGGAGCTGGTGCGCGCGCGCGGCCACTCGCTGCACGAACTGACGCTGTCTGACTGCGCACGCCTAACCAGGCACAGCATTGGCAATCTGACACCTACTATGCTGCCCAGCCTGGTGTCGCTGGACCTGTACAATGTCATGGTGACGACCGACACGTACCAGCATCTGTTCAACATGCATACGTACTGGCCATATCTGCAGGACCTGAAGCTCAAGGCTGCTATCCCGCACATATCACCGCGCCAGGATTCGCTAGTCAATGATGACATCCTGGAGGCCATTGGCAGCCGATGCCCGATGCTGGTATCGCTGCGACTGTTTGGCTGCCACGGCATCACAGACGAAGGCCTCAGCTCGGTGCTGGGCAATCTTGGATATCTCCGCGAGCTGGTGGTCATGCACAGTGCTACCGACCCGCTGGTGCAGAACAACGGCGAAGATGAGGAGAGTGATACTGACAGTGATGCGACTTTCCACAGTGCACGTAGCAGCCGCCGCAGCAGCGCGCGGTTTGAATACAGTGCTACCGAGGAGAGCGACGACTTGCTCGCCGGAGCCAGCGACTCTGGCCACGCCGGGCCGTCGACAGGCGGTTTGCTTATGTCAGTGCCCTCGATCAACGACATCTGGGCCACCATCCCGTCGCTGCCAACACACGGGGTGCAGCAGCCCCCGGCAAACTTGGTGGCGCGTCGGGTTGATAGCTCGCCGCAGTCTACAGCGCCTAACAGCCCGTGCTTGACGCGCTCGCGCAATCAGCGTGTGTTCACATCGCAGGCGCTGAGCCGTGGCGTGCGCTCCCGCCGCTTCAACCTGCTGAACTTGGACATGGAATATGACTCTGTGTGCGCCGAGCACCTGTCGAGGCTCTCGCATTTGCACGTGCTGTGCGGCCGTGTGATCACCCGCCATGCCAAGGCCCTGATTGAGACTCAGTTCCCAAAGTGCAAGATGATGGTCTGGAACATTAACTAAACCATACATGTACTGCTTTCGCAGTCATGCTGAAACGCCATCTGCCCATTTGCACACAAATACCTTTTAACTTATGCCCACCCCCCACCTCCTTCAATTTTGTGCTCTAGCTTCTGTTCAATTACTGGTCCCTGTAGTTTTTCATTAATCCAAAATTATATAAACTGAAACTTGTATTTGCTTAAGAGATTACCTAGACCTGCTATATGAAACAACATTACCATGCAATCCGGGCAAGGAAACCTGATGGACGAGTTCGGATTGTTAGCTTGCGGATCTCGTCCAGGACAAGAATAACGATGGCGAAAGGCATCGGGATGAAGAAGAACGGTGCCGGGATTTGGTGTGTGCCAAAAATGTTGTTGAACCATGGCACATAGCAAAACAGGAACGTAATGCCGAGTGTGAACGGAATCGCACACAGCAGCCGCAGATTCTTGGTTGGACCCCAGAACGGGTTCTGCTGGAAGACACTGAGACGGCGGGTGCGGGTCGCAAACATATTGCCCCACTGCAAAACCACCAGTGACAGGAAGAAAACCGACTCGCCTGTATTCAACAGCTCGCTCAGCTCCGCTGCAGTCTTTCCGGGGAACTCACCGAGTGTCCACTTGTCAAACGCCAGGAACAGCTGGCTTGGCGAGAACCCGCCCTTCCAGTACATGAAGATGAAGAAGATGATGTGCGCAAACAGCGACTCGAGGATGCCAATGAATCCGTATGCCTGGATGAAGAACTTCAAGTTCACCAGGTGGTCGCGCTTTGGGTTACGCGGCTTGCGGTACATGATGTCGCTCTCCGGCGCCTCGTACATGAGTGAAATGCTGGCCCACACGTCAGTGAGCATGCAAATGACGATCATGAAGATAACAGAGAGTGGGAGGGGTACGCCGAGCACCATGTTCAGGAACATTGGAACGAACTCAGAGAACGAGCCAGCCGGCATCAGGTATAGGACAACCTTCTTTAGGTTCTCAAAGACAAGACGGCCGTTCTCGATGGCAACAAGGATGGACGAGAAGTTGTTGTCGAGCAAGACCATGTCGGCTGCTTCCTTGGCGACCTCGGATCCACTGCCCATAGCAACACCGATGTGGGCTGCCTTCATCGCCGGCGAGTCGTTGACACCGTCACCAGTGACAGCAACATAGCACTCGCGGTTGCGCAGCTCCTGGACAATCAGTAGCTTCTGCTCAGGTGTCGTGCGCGCAAACACGATCTCAGTGTAGTGGCAGATGATGTCCCAGTGCTCAGGCTGCAGGCCGACGAGCTCGCTGCCAGACAGGACCAGGCTGCGAATGCCATCGTTACCATGCCCGGCAGTCGTCACGGTTCCCTTATCAGTCGACGAGTCAATCGACGGCGTCTTCTTCTCGACACCGGCATCGGCAAGAGCACCAGGAGCGTGCTGGAGGGCCTTGGCACGGATGTCGTCGATGGAGTCAACGCGATCGTTGGTGATGATCTTGCACTGGCGCGCAATAGCCGCGGCTGTCAGAGCAAAGTCACCAGTCACCATGAACACGCGGATACCGGCGCGGCGGCAGGTGTCGACAACGTGCGGGATCTCCTTGCGCGGCGGGTCGACAATGCCGACAAGCCCAACAATCGTCAGGTCGGTGTTGACGGCAGCGACAACCTCATCGAGCTTGGCCTGGTCATCCTCAATGCCGGCAAATGGGTTGGTGCCCTGGAACTCGCGGCGGCACAGCATCAGCACGCGCTGTCCTTCGCCCGACCACTTGCGCTGGAGTCCTTGCAGCCGCTCGAGGCTGTCCTTGTCAAGCGGGAGCACGTCGCCGCTGGCGTTCTGGATCGACGAGCAGCGCTGGAGAAGTACATCCGGCGCACCCTTGACCAGCAGGACCGGCGCAGACGGGGTGCCTGCGAGCTTGCGCAGCGACAGCATCCACTTGTTCTTGGAGTTGAAGGGGATCTCAAACAGCTTGGTGTACTTGGCCTGAGCTGTGGCAACAGGCTGCAGGCGCTCAGCAAACCGCAGGATTGACGAATCGGTGGCATCGCCGTTGACCCGGCGGTCAGCAATGGGCTTGTCCATGGAAGCAGGGTCGAACGACGAGCCGTTGCAGAGTGCTGCGGTGTCGTACAGGCGCTGGACAGCAACATCCTTTCCAGAGTCGAAGCGAGTCTTCAGATCGTCGGTAGACACGTCGGTGTCGATAAAGCCAGCGTGGACGACGGTCATCTGGTTCTGGGTCAGCGTGCCAGTCTTGTCGGAGCAGATGACGTTAACCGAGCCCAGGGTCTCGACAGTAGTCAGGTTCTTGACCAGTACATTCTGGCGCTGCATGCGCTTAGCAACAAGGGCCAGTGCGAGCGTCAGGCAGATAGGCATACCTACTGGGACAAATGCAACAATAACACCAGCACTATTGACAAGTGCATCAGAGAGCGACAAGAAGGTGGGGAATGAGTGACGGAGCCAGGTGGCCCACAGGACGATCAGGAGAGTGCCGATGATAAGCGAAAGTATGGCCACAATCAGAACAAACCGCGCAATCTCTATTTGAAGCAGCGTCTTCTCATCCTTCTTACTGGTGGTCATCTTGGCAATGCGGCCCATGACGGTGCTGTCGCCGGTACCGATGACAACGCCAGTGCCAGACCCTTGCGTGACGTGGGTTCCCATGACGGCAATGTTGCGAGTCTCCAGGTAGTTCTCGTCGGTGTGGTTGACGGTGGCAACAATCGGGTCTGACTCGCCAGTGAGCATTGAGCGGTCGAAGCGCAGGTCGCGCGAGACTTCTATCAGACGGATGTCGGCAGGAATCTTGTCACCGCCGCGGACATGGACGATGTCGCCCTGCACAAGCTCTGTGGCGGCAACGCTGGTCTTGTTGCCGTTGCGCGTAACCATGGTTTCGGTAGGCAGCATCCCGGTGATGGACGCCATGACCCGCGATGTGGTCCACTCCTGCCATGCACTGAACCCAGCCTGCAGGAAGATGACAAGCAGGATAGCAATCCCCAAAGCCAGGTACTGAACGTTGGCTGGCTTACCAAGCGGCTTCCACGAAATCCAGACAAAAATAGCAGCAATCCACAGCAGCGGACAGAACCCACTGAACAGCCACTGGAAGATCTTGAGCCAGATACGGTTAGGCGGCGAACTCAAAACGTTAGGACCGTCACGCTCGCGGCACCGCTTGATAGCATCCGTCTCGAGTCCCTGGATGGGGCTGGTGCTGAACTTGGTCAGGGTCTCATCGACAGTGTCGAGGTGGAACTTGAGAGTGCTTAGCTCATCGGCAGTGGCACCGAGCTTGGCTTCGTGCTCGGAATGCTCATCTTCGCGCTGCTGGTATCCGCGACGAAGGAACTTGAAGCGGCTGAGCAGAGCGTTATACTTGCGAGTAGGCTTAGCGCCATGGAGGGGGCGAGAGGTTTGGCGGCTGAGTTGGATGCTGAGTGTGCGGTACTCAACCGTCATCTTGCGCTCAAACTTGAGCCCAGTATCGATAACAGGAGGCTGGCGGTTCTCAGCTATTTGGATTTCCATTCACAATCGAGAGGTGGTCGGGTTTGAAGTGTAAAAATTAGGGAAAGTGTAAAAGGTTATTTGGACATCTCGAGCAGGAGCAGAGGAGTGCGGCCAGCTTTATTGCAGTTAAAGGATGATTGGAGATGAAGGCGAAGTGCTTGACAACGCAACATCGGAGTGTGGGGAAAGACACGTGTCTAGCTGCAGTTGTCATTTGCAGCGCACACATTTGGTGAGATCAACTGTCTCCAGGTTTCTTTCGAAAAAATCAACAGCACAGCCTCTTTGATTGATAGAATTGGCCATCTATTCTCAGTAGATTGTGAATCTTCACCTTTTGCATCTGTAAAATACCTGAAACACAATTTCAGGACGCGTCAATCACCCCCTTCTTTCGACCGATACGAACAAAATTTGTCTTCTGCAACACGCTTCTCATGCCCCTTCTTTACCAGCAATGCCAACTTTTCGGCTATTGTCACGCCTATTACAGCACTACTAGTCAGGCATGTGTTTTTTGCCCCCTCGATATCATGAGTCTATGGCTTCGTCACTATGATCCACTAAAATACTCATACACTCAAGGTCTTTCGGAAACTGCTAATGCAGCAGAATCATACGGCTAACTGCGTATAATGTATGTCGAATATAAGATGTCTTCTGATAAACAGAAAGGCACTATTTTCTCACTTGTTGCGCAGAAGACCAATCGAACCGAGTCAGGCGAATGATGGCTCGGTTCGGATCACCAAAACCAAAAATCAGTGATTGCCAGTACTGGCAAATAGCAGTGTTGGGATATTTGTAGTGTACAGGCACGTGAGACTAGCCACGAGGGAATAAAGCACACCCCCAGGACACATAGATAAAAGGCAGTATGCAGCAGAGATACAGATTGTTTCTATAGGTTTATTCTTTTACTCAAAATATAAGCACACCATATTCCTAAATAGCTTTCCCTGTTGTATAGGCTATTGTATAGGCCAATATAGTACCCCAATGGTATGCATTCAGTGGTGATTGGTATTGCTTTCATTTCTCTATATTAGAGGTTATTTAGAGGGGGTCATTCCTAGACTTGTAAATTTTAGTTATTTGCAATTTAGTTAGATAGATATTTGAATAATTGTTTTCAGAACCATTTTTTGCTGTTAGATATTTTTGGAACAGATATTTATAATTGTTGTGTCCAGAATGTTTTTGCATATATAATTGATTTTAAAAATACAAATTTTTTTTTACTATTTCACCCAAACTACTATTGGCATCTTAGAAAAGTTTCAGTGAATATAATTTCCTTGTGGTTGCTTAGCCATATCTATTGAGATATTGACTTTTGTTGCCTAATAATAATTAACCCCAATTATGCAAAGGTTTTTCTTTCTAGTTGAAATTATATTCACTAAAACTTTTCTAAGATACTAATAGTAGTTTGGGTGAAATTTTTATTTCACTGAAATTGCCACTAGATACAGTATGCATATATAATTAATAGGCAGATATGTATCTCTTTATAACCCCCATTATAAATTCAGAAAGTTTGGAACTAAGAGGATTATGAACTTCACTACTCTTAAGAAGCTGAATAAACTTATTATAAATTTTGTTTTTAACTTTAATATCTCCTTTCTTTATATACCAGCTAATACAGTTAGAGCCAGACTTATATAAATCATCAACAACATCTTTCTTTTCAACTCCTCTTTCTAAAAGATATTTATAAATAATATTCCTAGAAGTAATATTCTTACAATCTATTGTAATATCATAATTCTGTAGATATATTTTGTGATCAACTATAGTATCAAACTTCACAGATAACAAAGAACTAGCAATTGCAATATTTGGTATAGATACTTTGCAAATAACAACTGGTCTATATTGTTCACTAGTTATACTTCTAATATATTGGAGGTCTTTCACAGCTAAGAAGATTTAATAAAGGTAAATATTGTATAACAGAATAACCAATTATGAAATTAGAAATCAATTACTACTAGCCAAAAAGTATTAAAAAAGTTAGAATATTTTGTAATAGGTAAAAAGATTCTAGCAACTAGATTAACAAATAAACAAAGATGCCAAATATGGTGCTTCTCCAAAACCCCCTTCAGCATCCTGAAAAATTTCAGTTGATTTCTTATGACCCAGCCTCTATCTCAGTAGAAGCATATTAATTGTGTATCAACTGAAATTTTTCCAGATGCTGAAGGGGGTTTTGGAGAAGCACCATATTTGGCATCTAAATAAGAAAATAATAAAAATAATTATTATTATTAAATTGCTAACAACTTCTGACTGATCTCCAATATCTCAATAAATGTGGCTAAACAACCATAAGGAAATTATGTTCACTGAAATTTTTCTAAGATGCTGATGGCAGTTTGGGTGAAATTTTTATTTCACTGAAATTGCCAATTGTTTCAGCATGCATAAATAATTGCTATGCAGATAGCTAACTCTAAATGACCTCCTATGACCCAGCCTCTATCTCCATAGAAGCATATTAATTGTGTATTAACTGAAATTTTTCAGGATACCAATAGGGGTTTCATAGAAGAACCTAAGTAAATAAGAATATGATATGTTAAAAGTTAAAAATATACAGTACCTAGTTTAGTAACTGCATAGCTTCTGTTCAATTACTGGTCCTTATAGTTATTCAATGATCCAAATTTTATACACTGAAAGCTATATTTGCATAAGAAATTACCTAGGCCTGCTATATGAAACAACATTACCATGCAATCCGGGCAAGGAAGCCTGATGGACGAGTTCGGATTGTTAGCTTGCGGATCTCGTCCAGGACAAGAATAACGATGGCGAAAGGCATCGGGATGAAGAAGAACGGTGCCGGGATTTGGTGTGTGCCAAAGATGTTGTTGAACCATGGTACATAGCAAAACAGGAACGTAATGCCGAGTGTGAACGGAATCGCACACAGCAGCCGCAGGTTCTTGGTTGGACCCCAGAACGGGTTCTGCTGGAAGACACTGAGACGGCGGGTGCGGGTCGCAAACATATTGCCCCACTGCAAAACCACCAGTGACAGGAAGAAAACCGACTCGCCTGTATTCAACAGCTCGCTCAGCTCCGCTGCAGTCTTTCCGGGGAACTCACCGAGTGTCCACTTGTCAAACGCCAGGAACAGCTGGCTTGGCGAGAACCCGCCCTTCCAGTACATGAAGATGAAGAAGATGACGTGCGCAAACAGCGACTCAAGGATGCCAATGAATCCGTATGCCTGGATGAAGAACTTCAAGTTCACCAGGTGGTCACGCTTTGGGTTACGCGGCTTGCGGTACATGATGTCGCTCTCCGGCGCCTCGTACATGAGTGAAATGCTGGCCCACACGTCAGTGAGCATGCAAATGACGATCATGAAGATAACAGAGAGTGGGAGGGGTACGCCGAGCACCATGTTCAGGAACATTGGAACGAACTCAGAGAACGAGCCAGCCGGCATCAGGTATAGGACAACCTTCTTTAGGTTCTCAAAGACAAGACGGCCGTTCTCGATGGCAACAAGGATGGACGAGAAGTTGTTGTCGAGCAAGACCATGTCGGCTGCTTCCTTGGCGACCTCGGATCCACTGCCCATAGCAACACCGATGTGGGCTGCCTTCATCGCCGGCGAGTCGTTGACACCGTCACCGGTGACAGCAACATAGCACTCGCGGTTGCGCAGCTCCTGGACAATCAGTAGCTTCTGCTCAGGTGTCGTGCGCGCAAACACGATCTCGGTGTAGTGGCATATGATGTCCCAGTGCTCAGGCTGCAGGCCGACGAGCTCACTGCCAGACAGGACCAGGCTGCGAATTCCATCGTTACCATGCCTAGCAGTCGTCACGGTTCCCTTATCAGTCGACGAGTCAATCGACGGCGTCTTCTTCTCGACACCGGCATCGGCAAGAGCACCAGGAGCGTGCTGGAGGGCCTTGGCACGGATGTCGTCGATGGAGTCAACGCGATCGTTGGTGATGATCTTGCACTGGCGCGCAATAGCCGCGGCTGTCAGAGCAAAGTCACCAGTCACCATGAACACGCGGATACCGGCGCGGCGGCAGGTGTCGACAACATGCGGGATCTCCTTGCGCGGCGGGTCGACAATGCCGACAAGCCCAACAATCGTCAGGTCGGTGTTGACGGCAGCGACAACCTCATCGAGCTTGGCCTGGTCATCCTCAATGCCGGCAAATGGGTTGGTGCTCTGGAACTCGCGGCGGCACAGCATCAACACGCGCTGTCCTTCGCCCGACCACTTGCGCTGGAGTCCCTGCAGCCGCTCGAGGCTGTCCTTGTCAAGCGGGAGCACGTCGCCGCTGGCGTTCTGGATCGACGAGCAGCGCTGGAGAAGTACATCCGGCGCACCCTTGACCAGCAGGACCGGCGCAGACGGGGTGCCTGCGAGCTTGCGCAGCGACAGCATCCACTTGTTCTTGGAGTTGAAGGGGATCTCAAACAGCTTGGTGTACTTGGCCTGAGCTGTGGCAACAGGCTGCAGGCGCTCAGCAAACCGCAGGATTGACGAATCGGTGGCATCGCCGTTGACCCGGCGGTCGGCAATGGGCTTGTCCATGGAAGCAGGGTCGAACGACGAGCCGTTGCAGAGTGCTGCGGTGTCGTACAGGCGCTGGACAGCAACATCCTTTCCAGAGTCGAAGCGAGTCTTCAGATCGTCGGTAGACACGTCGGTGTCGATAAAGCCAGCGTGGACGACGGTCATCTGGTTCTGGGTCAGCGTGCCAGTCTTGTCGGAGCAGATGACGTTAACCGAGCCCAGGGTCTCGACAGTAGTCAGGTTCTTGACCAGTACATTCTGGCGCTGCATGCGCTTAGCAACAAGAGTCAATGTGAGCGTCAGGCAGATAGGCAAGCCCTCCGGAACAAATGCAACAATAACACCAGCACTATTGACAAGTGCATCAGAGAGCGACAAGAAGGTGGGGAATGAGTGACGGAGCCAGGTGGCCCAGAGGACAATCAGGAGAGTGCCGATGGTAAGCGAAAGCGCGGCCACAATCAGAACGAAACGAGTGATTTCAATCTGGAGTAGTGTCTTCTCATTCTTCTTACTGGCGGTCATCTTGGCAATGCGGCCCATGACGGTGCTGTCGCCGGTACCGATGACAACGCCAGTGCCAGACCCTTGCGTGACGTGGGTTCCCATGACGGCAATGTTGCGAGTCTCCAGGTAGTTCTCGTCGGTGTGGTTGACGGTGGCAACAATCGGGTCTGACTCGCCAGTGAGCATTGAGCGGTCGAAGCGCAGGTCGCGCGAGACTTCTATCAGACGGATGTCGGCAGGAATCTTGTCACCGCCGCGGACATGGACGATGTCGCCCTGCACAAGCTCTGTGGCGGCAACGCTGGTCTTGTTGCCGTTGCGCGTAACCATGGTTTCGGTAGGCAGCATCCCGGTGATGGACGCCATGACCCGCGATGTGGTCCACTCCTGCCATGCACTGAACCCAGCCTGCAGGAAGATGACAAGCAAGATAGCAATCCCCAAAGCCAGGTACTGAACGTTGGCTGGCTTACCAAGCGGCTTCCACGAAATCCAGACAAAAATAGCAGCAATCCACAGCAGCGGACAGAACCCACTGAACAGCCACTGGAAGATCTTGAGCCAGATACGGTTAGGCGGCGAACTCAAAACGTTAGGACCGTCACGCTCGCGGCACCGCTTGATAGCATCCGTCTCGAGTCCCTGGATGGGGCTGGTGCTGAACTTGGTCAGGGTCTCATCGACAGTGTCGAGGTGGAACTTGAGAGTGCTTAGCTCATCGGCAGTGGCACCGAGCTTGGCCTCGTGCTCGGAATGCTCATCTTCGCGCTGCTGGTATCCGCGACGAAGGAACTTGAAGCGGCTGAGCAGAGCGTTATACTTGCGAGTAGGCTTAGCGCCATGGAGGGGGCGAGAGGTTTGGCGGCTGAGTTGGATGCTGAGTGTGCGGTACTCAACCGTCATCTTGCGCTCAAACTTGAGCCCAGCATCGATAGCGGGAGGCTGGCGGTTCTCAGCTATTTGGATTTCCATTTACAATCGAGAGGTGGTCGGGTTTGAAGTGTAAAAATTAGGGAAAGTGTAAAAGGTTATTGGGACATCTAGAGCAGGAGCAAGAGGAGCGCTACCAGCTTTATAGCAGTCAAAAAGTGCTTGGAGATGAAGGCGAGGCGCTTGACTACGCAGCATCGGAGTGTGGGGAAAGACATGCGTCTAGCTGCGGTTGTCATTTGCAGCGCATACATTTGGTAAGCTCAACTGTCTCTAGGTTTTGTTTGAAAATTCAAAGCACGGCCTCCTTGTTTGATGAAAATGGCTATGTTCTCTCCGTATGCTGGGAATCTTCGCCATTTGCATCTGTAAAATACCTGAAACACAATTTCAGGACGAGTCGATCACCCCCTCCCTCATCTGATGCGAACAAATTATGTCTTTTGCAACACACTTCTCATGCCCCTTCTTTACCAGCAATGCCAACTTTTCGGCTATTGTCACGCCTATTACAGCACTACTAGTCAGGTATGTGTTTTTTGCCCCTCGATATCATGGGTCTATCGCTTCATCTCTATGATGTACGAAGATACTCACATTATGCACAGTTTTCCAGTGTTTCTGCTGTATAAGCAGTTTCCGAAGAACCTTAAACTTGTACGTCGAATACGAGATGCTTTCTTCAGATAAACAGAAAGGCCTTTGCCTTTTCTCACTTTAGGATACCCCTCTACCTTCTAACCTGGACAAAAGCAAAGATCGGCACATATGAAACTTGCAACCAAGTTGGATTGCCCAGTAGGTTGTGTACGAAGCTGCATGGTCAAAGAAGGGGTTAGCTTCATGACGCGGCAGTGCGAGTCGGCATACTGAGCTGCAGCTTGGCCATTTTTTCATGCAGCCGTGCGTTCATCGTGCATATAGTCCGAATCTGGCTGATTCGATTGAAGTGCCAAATGCATATTTGGATCACGCTTGATAACATGATTCGATTTCTGCCAAATCACATTGCAGCGATTGGTGCTCAGAAGACCTGGAGCAGTGGGTAGTTGGGACGATACCGAACCCACGGTGACAGATAATAAAACACCCTTGGTAAATGTGGATAAGGAAATTGAACAAGACCATGTTCGTGATAATACATTAAACGGATTTGGGTGTGCATCTAAGTGGATGGAGATGATGAACCCAGGAATAGCCTGCTGTTACCACCAACCACCGTGACTGGGCAAGGCGAATTCTCAATCAAGTAGTTGACCTTGCACCCGATAAAGCGCCCCTTCATGGACTTTGACGCGTTTCTTCCCATGATCAGCACGTCGCACTTCAGCTCCATCAGCTTGCGCACCAGCTCGCCGCGGATGTCAACGCTGCGAATCGAGACTCCCTTGATCGGATACCCTTCGGCCTTGATTATCGACGCATACTTTTTGAGAAGCTCATGGCTCTTCTCGCGCTCCGCGACCTCCTTGTCGGAATTGGATGACACAAGGTCGCCAATGAGCCCGTTTACTGCTGGCCGTACGTTGATGAGCACCACCTTGTCACGGCCCGGAACCAGCGCTTGACGAATGGCCCACTCGATTATATCGATGGTCTGTGGGCTGTCCTTGATGGCAATAGCAACAAAACGCTCAGGCTTGGATAGTTTGGTCTTGCTTCTTCTCTGGCGCTGACGCTCTCTCTGCAATACTGCCTCAGGATCGACGTCGGGGATCTCGATCAACGTGCCTTTACGGAACAGAGTGGGATGGCTAACGCCTAGCAGGGAATTCGGGCTCTGCGCGCTTTTACCCAGGCTCTTGGCAACCAGGTGATCGTAAATATTGTCCTTGTCGCCGCTAGTCGCTGTGCTAGGAGAGCCGCCCTTGCTGCTCCCTGGGATGCTGATTCTGGGCGGCCGACTAGACTCAGTTGTGCGTTCAGCCATTGTGCTTTGATTTGCTTTGTTGTCAGAGTATTTCTAGTAGTCAGTAAAGAGAAATGCATATAATGCACCAAGCACGGTCTGTGGGAATGGAAAGCTGGTCGGTTTAGCCAGAATGCTTCCATACTGGCGGAAATCGCAGCGCATGTCATGCAGCGATATCGACCACTGTCAATAATTTATCGGAACACATCAAGGACGTGGCCTGCTGCTGCTAGCTCCTGGGGGTTGTGGTTAGTTCGTCGGCGAATGCATCCTGTTTCAACTTGTGGTGCGCTATCACGGCAGAGTGGATCTATTGCTATTCAAGTACTGGCCAGTGGGAAAACACTGTTGTGAAACCCGCCGTCTGTGTACACCCAACCTCTGCATCTCCCCCAATTTAGCAGTAGCCGACACTCTAGCAGCCGTCCTGGGCCAAGTAGGCGGTGCTTTCAGCAACACAGCGGTCGCAGGTGCACACAAAGAAGTAGTGCTGCTGGAGCCGCTCACGCCTTTCGCCGACATCCTCAAAGACCGATCCATACGAGATAAACATCTCCTCGCCCTGCCTGATGTCATGCAGGCACACAAACCTGATCTGGCGCCCCTCTCTGGCCTTGAACACGTTGGGCGCGCAGGAGTGGTTGAAATATACCGCAGTGGGGTAGATAGCAAACCCCAGCATCTCATGCTCCTCCCCATCTCGCTGGTCGTCAGCTGGGTTTTCGCTAGGGAAGGGGTCGTTTGGATCCCAGATGCCAAACGAGTTTGCCATCTCGCGGTAGTAGACGTCGCGGAAGTCGGCATGCTCCAGGGCGGGCAGCTGCTGTGCCTCGATGGCCTGCTGCCAGGCGCCGTTGAGCAGCCAGAATGTCTCAGCAGCAACGCGGAAAAGCGCACCCCAGCCCGTCAGGCGGATTTGTGCTGCCGTTGGGACCAGCGGAAGATGGATTGGCGCAATAGTCGCAGGATTGGACACATCCCCACCCTCGCTAGACCGGGTTAGCTGTAGCGAGTAGAGCTCGCTGCGGAGCCAGTTGACTTCATTCGGCTGCATGTGCTCGAGCGACTCCCAGGGAGCAACAGGTTCGGCGGCGACGGACCGGCGCACCATGTCTGCAGCCCACATGGTCGGATCGGAGCTGCACACCGGTTTACTATTGCTATTACTGCGTTTATTACTTCGATGACACAGGGCGCCTGCGATCAGCCGCGCGATCTCGCGGTAGGGGCTGTCCGGCAGGCCGCCGATGAAGATGCGGTCCTCGATGATTGAATCCCACACGAGCATGATCCACTGCGCCAGCTGGTCGTCCGAGGCGTCGTCAGGGTTGAAAACATCGTCTGTCAGCGATTTGCCCTCGCTGAACACCAAGCTAGCCTCACACGACTTGGGCTTCTTTCCTTTAGCGGCCTTGGTCATGCCCTTGCTGGCTGTGGCCTTGAGACGCTGGGCCTCGGCCTCAATAGAGTCTAGGACTGCGACGTAGCGCTGCCACGCGTGCCTACTGCCATGGGATGCAATGGCATTCTCCTGGCACTGCTCCGAGCAGAAAGCGCCCTTGTAGTGGCATGCCTGGTGGTGCTTCGTGCCGCCAGGGGCCGACACCTTCAGGTGGTGCTTGCGGCGATCATCAAACTTGAAACACCAGGCGCATGTGTTGCCGACCCAGTCCTCACTGATCGCGCAGGCCAGCGGCATGGCCTGGAACACCTCATCGCCGCGAGTGAAGTCCCTGTCCGCAAAGAATCCACGCCCGCGACCCGGAACATGGTGGATCCTGACTGGGAAATTTTCCGAGTCGTCGTTAGTCACAGAAGCACCCTGCGCAGTCTGACCACTACTAGTGCCTGGCGCAATGACCCTTGCATCGGATAATTTTCCGGGTGGAACTGCAGTTAGGGCGTTGGCTGAGAGGATAATCGACATTGGTGCCTTTTAAAGGTTCAGAAACAGTAGCTGGCTGGTATTGCGACACGATATGAATGAAAGCTGAGGGAAAAGAAACGGCGTATGAGTATCGGCTGTTTTACCTTGGCTTTCAAATCTCCTCTGCCTGCCACTATCTTTTGCAAGAAAAACTATTTGCTCTGCTAGCATTCCCCCAAGGTTTCAGGCATGACTCGTTCCAGCACAAACAATAGCTTCAGAAAAACGAGTCGAGCTCGCTGCAGGGATGCTCCAGGCTAGCCCGCTGATAGGGCGCAGGCGACACGTGTAGGATGAGTCTGCCAGTCCTTTGCTACAGCAGGCTCAGCGATATTTGTTGGGCTGGTGGCGGTGGCGGTGGCGAGTCCTCAGGGTGGATCAGCAGAAATCACAGTAGGCTGGCGAGCCACAGATATGGTGGACGCACTGCCGCTGTTTGGCGACATGCTGCTGGCATTGCAGAGAGCCCCATGGTGCACATGCTGTACACCATGGCTTAGGCTGGCCAGACGCGAGGAGGGCGCTTGGACCTGTTTTGCGGATCCACTAGCGATCGACCTTTTATACGGCAAAGGGCGAGCGGACCATTGCCAATGCACATGACGCACATCGCCTGTTTGCCCGCCAAGCACGAAAGTGTGAAAGCTGCAGCTACAATAGCGCAGAAAAATGTGTTTTCGAGTATTTTGAAGGTGCTTGCACCTTTTTTGTTCCGCTCACGCTTTTCATTTTAACACTCGTCCTACTTCCTCCTCTTTTCCCTCTACATTTGTTTCTAACCATGAAGTTTACGACTATTGCGCTTTCACTGCTTACTGCTGTCAGCGGATACACGATCCTGGACAGCGCCACGTTCGCCTCGGAGACCAAGGACGGAATTTGGCTGGTGAAATACTACTCGCCCACCTGCCCGTGGTCGCGCCGCTTTGCGCCAACATGGAAGCAGGTGTCGGGAGACCTGCAGGACAGCCTGGGTATGAAGGACATTTACTTCGGTGAGGTCGACTGCAAGGCTAACCGCGCGCTCTGCGACAAGGCCGACATTGACGGCTACCCGACCGTCGTGCTGTACCGCAACGGCGTCAACGAGGGCGAGGTCCCCGGCGGACAGTCCTACGAGTCGCTGAGCAGCTTTGCTCTGAAGCTCTAACTTTTTTGCAGCTGGTATCGGCGACCTCTATGTACTGTTTCTAAGTAAAAGAGCAAACTAGCTTACTAATGAAAGTAGACCCTGGGGTTCAATGCGTGTTCATCAGTGCCTCGATGTCCTCGACGGTCTTGGGGGTGCCGATGCTCAGGTTCTCCATATCCGCAGCAGTCTGCCCAACCACAATGTCGTCCTCGATGCGGATACCAATTCCCTGGAACGCCTTTGGGAACCGGCTGTCGTATGGGACATAGACCCCAGGCTCGACAGTGACCACCATGCCGGGCTTGAGAAGCTGCGAACGGGTCATGTCGACAGTATCGTGTACGTCCATGCCCAGGTAATGGGAGATGTGGTGCGGGTACAGGTGGTCGTCGATGTCGCGTGCCGAGACCTCAAAGCCGATTTGCCTGAGCTCCTGCTGCAGGCGGTAAGTCGACTGGCGGTGGATCTCGTTCAGCGAGTATCCAGCCGAGGCATGGCACAGCTGGAGCATCTGCTCCTGGACCGCCAGCAGCGCGCTGTACAAGTCGCGCTGCGGCGCAGTGAAGCGGCCGTTGACTGGGAAGGTACGCGTGATATCGGCAGCATACGAGGCATATTCTGCGCCAGCATCAACTAGAATCAGGTCCCCGTCCTTGACAGGACCCGAGTTATGCACATAGTGCAGGCACAGTGCGTGCTCTCCTGACGCAAACACAGGGACGTAGGCGGGCCGTGTCAGCGGAGAACGGTCAGTGCCATCGACGATACTGGCCTCCTGGCACTGGCGCGTGAAGATTCCCTGCAGTGTAGCCTCGCTGAGCCCCGGCCTGCAGTCGCGCATGATCCGCTGGAACGCGCTGGCCGACAGGCGACTGGCCTCACGCATCAGGCTGATCTCGGCGGGCGACTTGATCAGGCGCAGCTTTTGCACCTGCGATGTGAGCCGCTGGATACGCGACCCGACGCCCTCCTCCTTCAGCAGCTTGGCGAACCCGCCGCACTGGGTGCTGCGCACGAGCCCGTTGTCGGGTCCAGGTCGGTGTAGATAAAGGCGCCCGAAACCGGGCTCCCCTCAGTCTTGAACCGCCTGAGCATCTTGCCCGCGTGTTTATTGAACTCGCGAATCGGCCGGGCCTGGTCGGCGCCAAACATGTCGACTGCAGCCTCGAGCCCGTTGCGCGGGCCTTCCCACAGCTCCTTCTCGGGCTCCTTTGGGTTAGCGAAGATGGTCATTGTGTAGCCGCGCGCGGCAAACTTGTCCTTCTCCAGCACCAGCACCGAATCGGGCTCGTTCCAGCCGCAAAGGTAATGAAAGTCCGAGTCCTGCCGGAACGTGTGGAACACATGCGGTGAGACAAAAAACATGCGGGCGCTAAATGCCACTACGGAACTCCCTTCGGGGAGAGCGCTCATCAGTGCCTGGCGTCGGGTCTCGTACTCTCCGGCTGATATTCCAGGCGTGAGCTCGTCCGCCAGCACCAGCTCTGGGTGGGTTTCGTGCACAGGCTGTCCGTACCACTGCGAGGTGATGGGGTTATTGGACTGGGCTGTCTGCAACAGTCTGCTCAGTAGGCCGCCGCCCGCCGCATTCTTCTGCGTCAGTGCTGAGGCGTGGAGTGAGCGCAGCTGGTGGTTTTGGCCACGGAGCGCCGCCGCCGGTGGGGGTGGGGGCCTGGCAAGCGCGCTGCTGGTGGCGCTGATCGCAGCTGTGCCTTGGCGCAGAGCCCTTGCAGCGAGCCGGTTGGGCTGCTGGTGAGCAGCCGCGATCTTCGATCCCAAAAAAGACATAGTGGTCGGCGTAGGTGTTGAGTGTATGCGATGATGTTTAGAGATATTCGCGTGAGAGACAAGGCGGGATTTGCTTGAGAACCCACGCATCTGCCATTGCGCATATGTAACACTGCGGATCCAACGCGCTGAAATTAGGCGGTCTTATGGTTAAGCGGGGGAGGACCTACTGGTCTTTTGGTAAACAGCCTGTGCTATTTATTCTTTCACGATGGCTACTAAATATTGCTACAGCAGTGTACTATTTCAGGCGAGGCTCCCAAGCTCTATGGCCGGGCTACAGGGTTGGTTGGCTATGTTATTTTTGGGTTCTACCGTCAAACCTATTGATGACTGGTGTCAAGTAACTCGGATTGCTGGCTTGTTTCAGTTCACTGCAATTGCTTCTAGAACTCGCAGCAGACTAGACTCATCATCTCCTTTTGCCTGTGTAGCAGCTGCCATCCTCGATTGTTGACATCTTTTGTAGCTTGCAGCGGACGCCTGACTGGAGCAGCGCGTCCACACAGCCAGTGCGTCACCGGTAGGCTGCTGGCGATACCTTTGGGTCCGTGGGGTGAGGTAACGGCAGCCTGATAGTCCCACCAATGGCGTCGGCGTACTTGCATCTAAAACAGCACCGGCGACTTCACTGTGCCACCCAGTCGCAATATTGTTGAGCGCGGTGTACGACATCAGGCGTAGTGGCATGATGTAAAACTCTGTACCTCAGTAGATCCACCCACACCCGGTATTTTTGGTGTCCCAGTGTGTGCCTGGTCACCGAACAGCAACTGCTAAATTTAACGCGATTGTACAAGAAAGAACAAGAAAGATAAGGGGCATTTTGAAAGGGGGAGGGCAGCGTGTTCCGAGCGCAAGTGCTCAGTCCGGGAGGCAGCGGCATCCGGTGCGAACACGCTGCCACCCGGTTATAAATACGTGGCTAGTACCTGGCCTCTACCAGGATTCCTCATTAAATATTCCGGTATTGTATCAATCCCTAGTATTCTTTCTGAAACCTGTTACCTTGGTATTTGTCCATAGCGTACATTCCTTCCGCCACCCTTCCTTATCCCATCCCGACCAGTACATCTCCCTTACCCCCTTACCTCTTAACTTAAACAATGAAGTCTGCTATCTCGTTCGTTGCTCTGTTCGCCGCGGTTGCCTTCGCCGCCCCTGTTGAGGACATGTCCAGCCTGATGTCTGTCCAGACCTCCTCCGCTGTTGAGAGCATCACCAGCATGATCTCTTCTGAGACCACCTCTGTTATTGAGAGCATCACCAGCACTCTTCCTTCCGAGACCACCGAGGAGACCACCACCGAGGAGACTACCGAGGAGACCACCACTGAGGCACCACCGAGGAGACCACCACTGAGGGCCACCACTGAGGAGACCACCACCGAGGCTACATCTGAGGAGGCCACTGAGGCTACATCTGAGGAGACCACCGAGGCCACTTCTGAGGAGACCACTGAGGCTACCTCTGAGGTCACCTCTGAGGCCCCTGTTGAGTCCTCGGACGCCCCTGTTGAGTCCTCGGAGGAGCTCACTGAGTCATCGGATGCCCCTGCTGAGTCCTCTGATGTTCCTGTCGAGTCGTCGGATGCCTCTGAGTCGTCGGATGCCCCTGTCGAGTCCTCGGACGCTCCTGCTGAGTCGTCAGAGGAGCCCACTGAGTCGTCGGAGGAGCCCACTGAGTCGTCGGAGGAGCCCACTGAGTCGTCGGAGGAGCCCACTGAGTCGTCGGATGCCTCTGAGTCCTCGGACTCCCCTGTTGAGTCCTCTGATGTCCCTGTTGAGTCGTCGGATGCCTCCGAGTCCTCGGAGGAGCCTACTGAGTCCTCGGACTCTGACTGCGAGTCCAGCATTGCCTTGGATGTCGAGTCTTCCACCGACCCGTGCGAGCCCACTACCTACACCACCACCTACACCACCACTCCTTGCCACGAGTGCGAGCCAACCACTGTCACCGAGACCATCACCGAGACCCCGACCTCGTCGGAGGAGGAGTCGTCGGAGGAGTCGACCACCCCGTGCGAGCCCACTACTGTCACCGAGACCATCACCACCACTCCTTGCGACGAGTGCGAGCCAACCACCATCACGACCACCTACACCGTGACCCCGACCACCACCGAGGTCCCGTCGTCGGTCGAGCCTACCTCGGAGACCACCCCGTGCGAGCCCACCACCGTGACTGAGACCATCACTACCACCCCGTGCCACGAGTGCGAGCCGACCACCATCACCACCGTCTACACCGTGACCCCGACCACCACCGAGGTCCCGTCGTCGGTTGAGCCCACCACTGAGGTCGAGACCACCACCACCCCGTGCGAGCCGACCACCGTGACCGAGACCATCGAGACCACCCCGTGCCCTGATTGCGAGCCCACTACCGTCACCACCGTCTACACCGTGACCCCGACCACCACTGAGGTCCCGTCCTCGGTTGAGCCTACCTCGGAGGTCCAGCCCACTACCACCCCGTGCGAGCCGACCACCGTCACTCAGACCATTGAGACCACCCCGTGCCCTGATTGCGAGCCCACCACCGTCACCACCGTGATCGTCTCCACTCCGTCGTCGGTCGAGCCCACCTCTGGAGGTCGCTCCCACCACCACCCCGTGCGAGCCGACCACCGTCACCCAGACCATCGAGACCACCCCGTGCCCTGATTGCGAGCCCACCACTGTCACCACCGTGATCATCTCCACTCCGTCGTCGGTCGAGCCCACCTCTGAGGTCGCCCCTACCACCTCGGTCCGCAAGTGCCGCATCGTCACCCTCAACTAAGCTGGTCATTGCGACTACTCCGTTTTGAGCAGACTCTGAGCGTCTCTATGTAGCATCTTTGTTTCTTTTAATATCTTATCACTAAATGATAGCCCACAAAGGCGATCATCGTTTTTCTTCTCAGTGGGCATATGCGTTTTATGTTTGTTGTCTTCATTGTTGCAAAATAATACTGGAAGGCAAAAGAAATGCCACTATTGCCCAAACACTCAGACGATTGCATTCGGGGGGACGATCATCAGGGCGCTCTCGCGCACGTTGTGTCTGGCCCTTCTGCCGCCGCCAACCTGGCAGTTGATCATATTGCCTGGGATGTTTATGCAGCGGTCGCCGGGCTTGCATGAGCCAGTCGTCCACTGACCACCGACGCATGACAAGAACGCTCTGGGCCCGACGCACTTTTGCTGCCCGCTGGCGCACAGTGGCACCATAGGCTGGCACGACGCTTGCCCAACCACGCCTGACACGCACAAGTATCCGCTGCCGCACGTGAAGAGGGTCCATACGCCGTTGGTGCATCTGTAGTATGTCTGAGAGGTGCCGTCGGCACCTGTACACATACGCGAGCCCTCGGCGCAGCCTGCAAAGCGCGCCTGCATGGAAGCGCTTAGCGGGCTAGCTTGGCCGTTTGCGACACACACCGCCGCAAGTGTTGATAGTAAAAGTATGGATGCTTGAAAAAAACATGTTCGCCCGTATTGTTGACTGCAGTTGATGACGGAGAAAAAGCAAAACATCTCGCAACTCCGGGCGCTGTCTGACATTTAAAACTGTACAGAGCCCGCCGCTTCTAAGCCCAGTGAATGATGTGCCTAGACGCAAAATGGGTAAGAAATATACGTAGTGCGCGGGGTACTGGAAGAACAAGTGAGGATGGGATGCTCACACTTGTAGACGGCGTCCAGATCCCTGCTGCGACTTTATTTCCCTTTAATAACCAGCGGTATATTTCCTGGGCGAATTGGGACACCAGATTCATGGCCAGACTGCATCACAATCTATCGAAGCAACATGGCAACCCCTGTAAGAGTATTGCCCTGGGCCATGCGGTCCGCTACATTGCTTATATTGCCAATATTTTTCAACCTCTGGTGACATCCCAGCCCGGGCCATATACCATTTTTACGCTGTAATGAAGACACAAAACATGTAATAAGAATCTCAAAGATGAGGGTAGATATTGAGAGAAAAAGGAGGAAGGGAAAGCAAGCGAGAATGGTCGAGTGGAAAAAAGTGAGAGATACAGAAAAGGGGGCGGGATGGGAGATGAGGTGGTAGGCTTAGTTGGACGGGAAGTCCACGTAGCTGTACTTGTCGAACGGACTCGAGTGCTTGTTGGAGCACTTGTTGCTGAGCTTGAATGATGGCCAGCCGTACCCGGTCTGCTTCCATCTGGTCAGGTTGGCGTTGTAGTAGGCACGCGGGTGGTTCTGGATGTACTTGCCGGTAGGCATGTCAGGCGGATCGCACGAAAGGCGAATGTCATCCGGGTCTTGGAACAGCCGAATGTAGTCGACATGCATTTTCGCCGGGAACTTCAGATCATCGGCAATGTAAGCGAAGCCGCTAGAGATACCCAGGTTCATGATAATGTACATGGGCTCCTCGGCAATGATGCGCTGGCTAACCTTGCTGAGCTTGTTGGGGCCGATGGCACGCGCATCAACGTGCCACACGGGCTCGACCGTCAACATACCACCTGATATAGCCATGCTTACCTGGGCGATACTCGAAGCCGTAGGTCGAGTACTTAATACCGTTACTTGCGGCAGGATCCACATAGTGCAATGAAGAGACACTCTGCTGGAATGTTCCGCCAAAGTACGAGTTGTAGCGTGACCTGCCTATAGTGTCCTTGTCGGTCCCATTCCAAGCTTTTCCCAAATGTACGTGTAGTTGTCCTTCTGAATCGCGTAGTGGTAGTCGAAAGGAGCGACCTGATCAGACATGGACATGGACAGAACACCATCTCCGGACACTGCCTTCAAAGATATCGATTTCAGGCGCGCCGCGTCCGCGACCAGGGATTCGGGTGGTCACCGCTGCACACGCATGCGTTAAGCCGCTGGCCAGGGAGCATTGACAGCGCCGAGTTAGTCTGGTTCAGCATCACACCTTCATCGCAAGTGTCGTACGTGTACGGCCACATTCCGTCGGTGGTAGCGCCATAGCCGGCACGGCCCAGGTTGCCCAGGGTCCAGATAGCAGGCCAGTACCCCGATTTTGTGCCGTCTGCAGGCATTGATACCTTAGCCTCGAGATAGCCACCTTGGAAGCACCGCTTGTTCCACGATTGCAGCATCGACGAGGTGTAACGGAAGGCCCTCGTGGGTCATCTTCTTCTCCAGCGTGATCACCAGCTTGCCCTTCTCCGTCGTTGCATGGTACGGGTCATACCACTCGAGGTCACGCGTGGGCCAGTACCAGAGGATCCACGGCTTCCCATGTCGGGTCCTCGTTGGGACCAAATTTCCGACCTTCCTCGTTGAACTCGTCGCTGAATACGAGCTTCCACATCTTGCCATCCGCAGACTTCCCATTCCAGGTTAGGATCCGAATCAGGGTCGACGGGCAGTTTCTCAGGAACCAGCGGCTGGACCAACCGATGAGTACCTCTTTGCGTATGCGTTCACGTTCAGGTCGTAGTCGGATATCTGAATCTCCGGGGCCTGCGCTCTTGTGCTTGCGGCCCCAGTTGTAGTGGCCAAGGATTGGGAGCCCGATAAACATAAACAGTAGTGCAACCATGATCAGTCCGAGGGTCATGACATTGCACCAGCCGTGGCCAGACCACAGCAGCTTGGCCTTCCACAGGTGGTACCTCTTTCCAATAGACATGGCTTTCTTTTGTTTTCAGATAGCGTCTATAGCGTGCTGTCTCGTTGTCCCGTCGTCCTAGGGGAGCCGGAGTGTGCGTGGGAAGTGTAAAAAAGGGAAGCGTGGGTATGGATATAGTAGTGGATGTCGTTAGCTCTTGCCCAAGCAGCCGGGGTTGGATGGGAACTGTCTTTTATCGCCCTGCCTCTATTCCAGCGACAACAGCGTTTTGCAAGAGTATGGAAAATGGGGGAAGAGGAAAACAGAGGGAACGGAAGGATCCTCTTGTTTTTGCTTTGCGAAAAATGGAATAATAAAATGGAGGGCAGTAGTGGAAAAAGTTGGCAGAAAGGTCAACAGGAAGGGAAGAGTGAAGCGAAAAAGCGAGAGCGAAAAACTGGGTTCGACAGAGCACCTGAGCCGAACCCCCGAATCTGCTGCCACAGTGGTCAGCATCATTGTGCATAGGAGCTTCGATGTCGTCTGTCGCACTTGCATTAGCATAGCTTTGCCCGGGTGAATCCCTTCCAATTGGAGCGGCAGAGGCAGCAGCCGCGTTGGTCGGCTAGGACGTCTGTCCTCTCAAGAGATCGTCCGCCTCAGCACGTTTGTTTTACTCCAGACGAAAGCAATTGACTGAGAGCGAAAAATGCCGATGGGGCAGTGCAAACCTCGCATCCCCAAGCTGGTGCAACTGGCGCACAGTTTTATTTTTAGAGCCCCTCCCGTGCTCTAAACACAGGCCCTTGGCAAGGGGTAGGCCCCCGGGCGTACTGACAGACACCAGCTGGCGACACCTTATGTCGGCGCATGTCGACATGGACGATGCAAGCACAGGCAACGTGTGTCTGCCCGAGCGTGGGCATCAGACAGAACCAGAAAGTTGCTGTGCAATCAGGTGAAGATAATCCGACCATGATCAGGCGCGTTGCCACCGGCTGTGCTGCCGCTGCCAGGTGAGGCGGGCAAGTGTGGAGCCCTTCTTTCATATGAATTTCTCTGACCCATCTCTGCTTCGCAACCTTCCTGCAATCCTCCACCTTTCCCTTCTCTGTTTTTGCATTAGACCGCAGAATCGACAAAAGCAATGTTCATCTTTAACTGGTTCTGGGACGTTCTGGCCAACTTTGGTAAGTACACGCAGAGAATGTGCGCGCAAAAGAGGATCGAGATGAACCTGGAATTTCAGGCTAACGACCTGCGCTTCCCTTTGGCTGCCGCTGTAGGTCTTGTCAACAAGAACGCCAAGCTGCTGTTCCTCGGTCTCGACAACGCTGGAAAGACCACGCTGCTTCACATGCTGAAGAACGACCGCCTGGCGACGCTCACACCCACCCTGCATCCCAGTAAGTACTACGCCTGAAATGATTGGTGCCAGCGCATATGCCGGATTTTTTTGCTGACGTTTACTTTCTGTTCATGTAGCCTCGGAGGAGCTGTCGATTGGCAACGTCAAGTTCACAACCTTCGATCTGGGTGGACACAGGCAGGCGCGCCGGCTGTGGAGAGAGTACTTCCCTGAGGTCAGCGGAATCGTGTTCTTGGTCGATGCCGTCGACCGCGAGAGGTTCCAGGAGGCCAAGGCTGAGCTCGACGCCCTGCTGGCGATCGAGCAGCTGCAGAACACCCCGTTCCTGATCCTCGGCAACAAGATTGACTCGCGCGGCGCCGTCTCCGAGGAGGAGCTCCGGGCCCAGCTCGGCCTGTACCAGACTACTGGCAAGGGCAAGGTTCCCCTCAAGGACATCCGCCCGATCGAGGTCTTCATGTGCAGCATTGTAATGCGCCAGGGCTACGGCGACGGCTTCCGCTGGCTGTCGCAGTACGTCTAAGTAAACGTACACCCGTTCTACCTATTTCAGAAAATATTACTCTTCCGTTACGCTGTGTCCCTTCTGGCATGTTCTGCAGCAAATCATGCGGCTGGGGCAATATGCACGGCGCAATATAGTCGCTTACTTGTTTCCCAGCACCTCCCCTCGTAGTGCACATATGTGCGAATGAGGTGCTTGGTATACATGGGGGTGGGTGGCTAGGGGCATACAGTTGTCCAGTTTATTCGGGAAGCAGAGTTCAAAACAACTTAGTGACCGAAAACGGCGAGCTGCTCCTTGATGGGGGCAAGGTCGGCCTCCTTGGCGGCAACAGCCTTGGCACGGAGGTTGGTCAGAGCCTTCTTGCGCTCGTAGAAAGCCTGGGCGCGGACCTTGCGCTTCTTCTCGAGGTCGGCAACAACGTCCTGGTACTTCCAGCCGATCTCAGTCGACATGCGGCTGAGGGTGGTGAACTTGCGGCCGGGCTTCAGGTTGATGACGCGCAGAGCACGGGGGACAACCATGCGCTTCTGCTTGTCATAGGGAGGGGGGACACCCTCGAAGACCTTCAAGCGGGCAAGAGCGGCCTCACCACGGGCAGTCTTGTGCGGGATCATACCGCGCAGAGCACGGTAGAAGGTGCGCGACGGAGCACGGAAGTGGAACGGACCCCGCTTGGGGTTCGACAGGCAACGCTTGTTCAGGTAGTTCTGCAGCTTGATCTTGTTGCGGTAGAACGAGCCCGAGACGTTCATCTCCTCGCAGCGGACAACGACGACCTTCTGGCCGTTAAGCAGCAGCTTAGCGACAACGGAGGCGAGGCGACCGAGAAGGTGACCCTTACCGTCAATGACGTGAACCTATATGAAGCACGATGCCGGTGGTTAGTCGAGATGTTGTGTGGCCAGCGATGTTGTTTACAGCATGTGCTGTCTCCCGAATAAAGTAATGTTGTCCAGAGTATGCGCGATCTGCGAGTCTAGCAGTGGTGCGTGAATGCGGCGCGTATGTGTCGTTGGTAGACCCCGCTCGGCAACGTCTTCCCAGCAGGGCGAACCCCACTTTGCTCAGACTGGCTGGACTGCAAACATGATGCAGTTACCACTGTTGCCGCCAAAAGTGCCCTCCTCCCTGCTGGACGCGTCCTCGGCGCGCCAACCCACGTAGGGAGATCTGCTCCATGTGCAGCTCCTGCGACCCTGTTCCCACTGCCGGACACGACCACAAAACACACCCCGACACTTGCGCGCGCACTCTTCACCGATTACTTCCTCTCGGCAGCATTGGCCCAATGAATCTCGAAGGGCACAGAATCAGTGCAATCGCGGTGCCTTACCTTGGTGTACTGAGCGTTCATGGTACTTTTTGCAATATAGGGCGAAAAGGTTACTCTGCCGAATAAAGGTAAAGATAGTGAAAGAGAGGGAGACTATAAAGTGCTTCGGCCCGGCGCCCGCCTTTGAGGCACTTTCTCTATTTTGGCCTCAATTTTTTCCTCGCCTCTGATCGCTGGGGGGACCCCGCCCGGCTCTTAGCATGGCCCCTTGCTGGGCGAAAAAAATCTGGCCATGCCCACCCCTTCCAAGCCGGGCAGCCGCGATGGGGCGCGGGCGAGGGAGCCGGCTTGGGCACTGGAATGCCAGCCGGCTCGCGTGGTTGGCAGCTCATGGACAAGCACTAAATTTTTAGCAAACTGATCTCACGATCCAGGATCACTGTGGGAATCTGGAAACTGTAGGGTCTGGATCTCACGTGCTTGGGATTTGGGCGGCTGGTGGCCAACCGCCAACGCCGATAGGTGCTGCGACGTGGAGTGACGTCGCACCAGCAGCACTGGAGTGGGAGAACCAGCACTTTCAGATCCCTGCGATACACCCGACCGTGCGAGAGCTGCGTCAGACAGGCTCTGTGTTGGCCCAACCGCAGCATATAACCGAATACATTAGCAGCCTGCGACAGTTAAAGCGGCAAAGCAGCATACCGCCATGGCTGGAATATGAACCACACCAAGAATCCGTCATCACTTGACACCCCTTGATATAACACCAAGTACCGAGAGTGTCTGGCAGACCACAAATATACCGCCGGTACACGCAGTGATGAGGCAAGCCACCTGCTGAGAAATGCATCCAAAAACGGGCTAATCAACAGTGGTGCAGTCTGTGTGGCGTGTTGGTGTTCATATGCATGAATTGCATAAGATAGGCTGCATCCCCGAATTTACTAATCCCGAGTGCCATGTGGTGCAGAGCATGGTGCTCTGGTTGCCTGACTTTGACGCCTGCAAAGCAGTGAGCGAGAAACCCCTTCCCCTAAGGATGCGCAGCCGCCTAGTAGGGAAAGTGTGGGATGTCATAGCATTTGTCAAGAGCAGTCTCGAGTTGTCGACAAGCAGCACGGCTACATAGCCACTACAGCTTTGCGAATACTTGGGCACTAGCTCCACCACCTTAGCAGCGGCATATGCTGCTTATGAAATATGTGCGTGAATCAGCTTTTTCCGTATTAAACCGTGAAGCTGACACCGAGTATAGCCGAGGGCAGTGATCAAGGATCTTCCACTGTTATCAACTCCGCCGCGGTCCCATTTGAGCCGAACCATTATTTTCCATACGCTCATACAAGCCAGACACTGCGCTACATGGATGGCATGTAGGGGCGTGGAGACATTGCCTTAACGTATGCCCCGGGCGCAGCTTACACCTACGTGTGCATCTGCTTCGGATATCACCACCAAAGTAGCGGTGGCCATGCAACGCCACGAGTCGGACAGACGCCAAGAATTGCAGCACCGAATGCGCTTGCAGGAGCTGCTTTGCATCCTATTATTAGCCAGAATAATTACAGTTTATACCCAGAAGGAGTGGAAATCCACGTCCCCCTTTATGCCTCTTTTCTCCACAAAACCCACCGTATTTTTATTACCCCAGATTAGTAGTAGCAAACGTAGCCATGGATAGCACCGGTATACCTGACGATAATGTCATATTGGCCATCACTCGCGTGAGTACGCCCCCACTGTTGAGCACGCCCGTAGTCCAGCCAAACAAGTCGGCAGTGCGCGAAGGCGCTGCAGGGGACTCAGCCGACCCAACGGTTACACCCCCAGGGCACTGGCACAGTCTCGTGCATGCGGACACGCCGTGGCAGCCTCCACCCTCCCAGACACCACACAGCGGGGCTATCCGTGCGGGACCTGACTTTGTTGCTGTTGACCACCGGCATCACCCGTATACAGTGGACATGACCCCCAGCCATGACTTTACCCGCCTCTACCCATCGCATGCAACAAAGTCCGAGGGATCGCCGAAGCTGAGCGGGCAGCATCAGTCAAATATGCACCTGCACTCCGCAATTCCGCTGCAGGAAAACATTTCAGAGCAGTATCAGCAGCATGCGCAGGTACGCAAACAAAGACGCACACAGGCGTGCGACTGGTGCCACAAGAAACGAATCAAGTGCGATGGTGGCAAACCGTGCAATAACTGCATCAAGCGCGATGTGCGGTGCGAATGGAGGACGATGAAACGGCGCGGTCCTAAGCCAAGGGTGGCCAAGGCAGAACTGTCGAATGCCGATGCGGCCACATACGGCAAATTCACAAAAAAGCCTTCGGCAGCTGACATCGCCAATCTTCTGCTGGATGACGAGGTGGTCCGGACCAGCAGGCTGTATGCTTCTAGCCGCACGCCGTCCAATCCGCGGATGTCTTCTTCAGGCACCGATACCTCACGCCACAGCCCGTCGTCCGAGGACGATATGCACACAGACGGATTTGTCAGACCGCCAATTGATGGTCTGCTACAGGAATTCTATTCGGACAAGGTTGAAACGGAGACACGCGACGCAGTGCTGGCATATTTCGACTATGTGTATCCATCATATGGTGCCGTCTTCCACCCATCGACATTTTTACGCCGCATTGTCGCCAACGATGTGCATCCGCTGCTCATTGAGGCACTCAAGTGCGTGGTTGCACCATATGTTGCGCTGAAGAAGAGGGTCAAGCTTGAAACCGGCAACCTGGCAAGCGAGCTCAAGACCAAAATACTATTTTCGCTGGAGAAGCCGACGACTGACATTGTCTTGGCATTGCTCTTCTTGTCGATGACGGAGGCCCAGGTGACCCGTATGGATACCTATGCAGTGATAATATCAGCGACGACAGGTTTGATCATGCGCTTGGGCTATCACAAACTTGATCTGTACAGGAACTCGGACCCAAAGACATGGGAGGAGTGGATTGAGGTCGAGACAAAGCGGCGGATATTCTGGTCGGTCTTCCAGCACGATTCATTAATGGCACTGGTTCAGGGCTTGCCGACAATGATACCAGAATCGTCGATATTTGTCAAATCGCCCTGTGCCGACTCGGATTGGAACGATATCGAGTTTCCCCTCATCTACAGCACCGATGGAATGATGCCCGTTTCTGAGAGGGTATTGGCAGCCCATGGCGGCAGCTCAAAGAAGATGTCGTCGCACGAGTCATCGCCGGAGCAGGAAATCCCTGTCTCCGTCGTCACCGGAGCTGTATCTCATTCGTTTGCATTACTTTGCGAGTTTAGCACGCTGGATAGCCGCATTTGCCAGTTTCTGAGCGATGCAAGGGCAGCAAGAATCGACCAGGACAATATGGAACTGCAGAATCGCCCGTTTCCTGCGGTGGATTTCCTCGAGCCAGTTGCTGACTCTGGGCAGTTGGTATACCCTGTTAGGCGCATGGCCAAATTGGTGTCTGGCTACTCAATGTTCCACCAGTTTGATGCACAGCTGCGTGACCTACGCGAGCGAATCAAACCGCCCAAACACATTATTGGCCTTACATTTAGCGAGAGCGATATGCAGCAGTTTGGTAGCGCAGACTACAGGGCTTCAGTCATGCGAGTGCGCTACGTGGTCATCACGGCATATACGTGCAGTTCGACCATCATTCTGCACTCGAATAATCGGCCGTCGTTTTTTGCCGAGTTTGACCAACCGATCGAAGAGCAGGCTGACCCGAAAAGTGTGGCCCTTAGACAGGTGATGTCGACAATGTTTGGTACAGTCTGGAGTCAGGGGCTACTAGCAACGGATATTGTGCCAGAGTCGTGGTACATTTGTGTTCAGAGCGCACACACATTGGCCGAGTTCCTCAGGGATAACGACGACATACCAAGCATTAGGTTTGATGTAATGGTGTATATAAGCATCATCATTAATTCCAGCGTGCTTTTGCGGCAGATTCGCTGCTGCAGAGCAGCATTAAAAGAGGCGGACGATTCTGAGATGCCGCTGAGCCAGTGGCAGCAGGAACTTGACAGGTCGATACGGAATATCAGGTCGATGTGGGATGCATTGGTCAGGCTCAGCGAGGCCTGGAATCTCGAGGGGGCCACGGATGTCCTCAAAATGATGGACACCGACGATTTCATCAGCGCCACAGAGCAGTTATCTTTACTTTCGTTGTAGCCAGATATGCAATGCATGTTGTACCGAATTACCTAGCAGTTCAAGCGAGTATTTGTGCTTGCGCGGCCGGCAGAGTAACCACCGCATTAAGAAAGCCACAGGCGCCATTCGTAGACCGCTGTCGTGTCTCTGATGCACCAGTTGTATTCAAGACTGCCTCTGTGTTCGGCAAAACGCTTCATAAATAGCGCAATACGAATCAATATGCTAGAGGGCGGTTACTTAATTCCATCATATCCACCATCTGCTGCCATCGGCCTCGCTCTTCCGGGAAGACAGAAGACGTACTCTCCCATTGCTAATCAGAACCGGGTGCAGATGAGTAGTGGCCGTCTCACAATAAATTGGGGCATTGAATAGGTACAATCGGCACTATTTTTCTCACCATATATCGTACAACATGCCCGGCACAGCCACCCGGCAGCCATTGAGCGCTCAAAGGCGTAGATATTGCAGACCCGAAATTGCAAGCCATTGTGCAAGGAATGACCTATGTTAACAGCGCAGACCCCAGTGTATATGAACCCAGGAAGCGGGTGTAGGAGACCACCACCCACAAGTCCCCAGTGCCGAGTCTCCAGCAGCAGGGCTAAAATAGGCAGGCACTGCTGCAAAATATTCAGCAGGTGGCCCCTCCGGACATTGCCGGACGAAGGAATAAGACAAATCGCTTCATCATATTCGGCAGCAAAAAACTCATTTGCCAATCTTGCATCGGCAAATGTAGGCTGAGCCTCATTTAGTATCTTGGCCATGTTGTTTTTGCTTCCGGCACTTCTCGCCCACTAAGCCCTGTGCAGGCTGGGCTTGTCGTAGAGCCAAGATTTGTTTATTTCTCTTTGGAAGGGCAATATTTCATTAGAGGCTCAACTGAGCCTGCTCGTCCGTACCTGTGCGGGTTTTATGGCGGGCTTGTGCTGAGGATAAACGCAGATTATCCCTCCTTTTACCCATGCCGCAATGTGCAGGATTTGTCAGTTCCCAGAGAGGAAACCAGGCATGCCGTCGACATGCCATTCAGTCTCAAGGTCCTTTTACCATAGCAAGTAAACGCAGAGAGGGTTCTTTGGTTCGCGACCGGCCTTGGGAGGGTGCTGACACAGAAACGCGTATAAAGAAAGCAGCAGATCCTTGCCTCCCACATGGGACAGACGTGCTTTGTTTGCAAGCCAGTCTAAAGATCATTCCCCTCCCTTCCATTGCCTTTTGTAATCGTTTATATATTCCGGCCATTCTCTCTCGCCTGTGCTTCCCTCCTGCCCTCCTCACTTACGACCCCTGTGCACTTTTCAAACTCTTCCTCTCCTCTTTACCACACAGCGTAGCCCTGATACACATATAACCATGAGCCTCAAGTATACGATGAGATGGATGGTCAACAAGATGTGGCCGCGAATCGACGGATCCTCGTCATACTCCACACAAAAGGACATTCACGAGTCGCAGAGCCGGCGCAACTCGTCCTTCTCCGAAACCTCGACACTCAACAGCTCATTCTCCAACGCAGACTTCTTCAGCGTCGACACGACCAAGCTCAAGGCACTGAACATGATGCTCCGTGTCTAAGCTAACGATCCCTCGAGCTATCCACGAAACCACCTCTTCTCCTCAATGCCTGCTGCCCTCAGTGGATCCAGCTCCCCTTCACACTTAATGTGTATGAGTTTTCCCTTTTACTGTTTTTGCCTTATTCAGTATTCTTCGCTTATCTGTCCAACAAAACAATGTATCTTTTCGTACTCTCAGTGCGTATGTGTGGATGCTTCTATATCCAGTACAGTCCTAAACTGAGTAGGGGTTGTGTGCCTGTTTTCCATGATTGTGGCATGTGGCCAGTTTGTTTTGCTTTTTCTCTCTCGTAAAGGTGTGGTCGAAGAATAGTGCAAGGACTACTGCCCGCATAATATTCACCGTTGCCGGGCGTAGATTATTCTTCCAGAGGTCTACGCCTCATCCGTTTTGTCTATGGCGATACCAGTAGCCTTTTTCTGGTTGATGATATGGCGCCGTGCGGCATCCTCTCCATCTTGCGCAATACACAATCGCCGAATGGCGCTGCAACGGGTATGGTGTTCTTTGCACCACTTCCATGCCCCAATTCAAGAACACCTGTGCCATGCGAAAGAGGGGAAGGTTGCACCTCTGTGCATGACAAGGGAGAGGAGCTGAGAGCACGAAAAATAGCAAGGCAGTAAACCCCTCTATGTCTTGCTCGCCTACTTTGTCACCGGCAGTCTAAATTGCCGGGTCTACTACAATCGCAGGAGGCGAGGGCGCCTTTCCGCTACGGCCTTCTGGTATTCCCCCAAATAGGTGTATGTGAGGAGAATGTGCCGCTTGGTCAGACGATGTCCTGGGGCTCAAAATTAGCATCCCCGGTTGCGAAAAAGCGTGCGGGGGAGGGGGCGTGTGCAGATTTGATGACAGATACAACACAAATATAGACCGTTCTGCAGACCATGCGTGAGGGAGGGGCAGGTGTTTATTTTCCGGCGTCGCATGCTGGCTGGTCTGCTGTTGCCCAAATACAGCAACACTGCGTCTGCACCCTGGGTAACATATGGCAGGAATGCACTCGAAAAATAGAAGTGAAAATTCGTAGAGCCTGCAAAAATAGCATTGTGCTCTTGCAAAAAAAGCTGCAGCAACCACTACATAAGCCAGATTGGCAATGAGAGTCGTGTGGGTATCTATATCGTACGGTCTGCCGCGCCTTCTTCCCTATTTTGGCCAAAGCGTCTCAACCCGATTATTTCCATGTCCTAGATTTCCAGGTTCCGCTTCAGAACAATCAGTCGCCATTTGCTACATTTGCATATCCAAGCGGGGATCTCAGATACACCTATATTTCGTTCGGTAAACACCACACTCCGTGAAAAAAAAAACATCCAGCATGCACATCACTCGCATTGTGTCTAGTGCTGCCATCACTGATTGCTGCATACCCGTCCATCGCCAACCTGCCCAAATCGCCGTGCCCCGCACACACAGTAATATGCGCTGACGGCAATGGCCTCTCGTCCCGGTACCTAAAGTGCGTCCAGGGCAGCTGGGTCGAGGCATTCTGCCCCACCACGCATCTCTGTGTCGGCTCAAAGGGACCCACTGTGTTCTGCGCGGCGCCCGAGCCCATGCCAGCCGTGGCCGCCACTGTCGAGCGCCTAAGCAAGGGCCACAAGCCATTGCCAAATGCATCATCGCTTATCTACTTGCACCAGAGCACACCAGCTGTCCCCGAGCAGACCCCGGTAGTGGCGCGCGTGCCGCTGCTGGCTCCCATAGAGCACCCAGCTTCTGTGCCGCCGTTGGATTTGGCGCGCAGCCAAGGCCCGATCTGGATGCTCCCGAATGCGCAGTCGCCCTGGAGGCGTGACCGGTGTACCGGGTCAAGGAAACTTGCCAGTGCAGCGACCAGCTATTGACTTGGCACGCAATACCGGTCCTGTTTGGCTATTCGGCGGCGATACAAACCCATCCGATGGCAGCCGCGGAAAGCGCACAGGCTGCTGCCGACTCTGCACAATTCTCAGCTCCTGCACAACAGCCCGATAGTGCCATAGCGCGGCCCTCGTCTCCTGGGTTTCTGGAATTCCGCCTCGCGTATAGACGAAGAGGAGGCTGTGCCGGATGAGTCACAGCAGCCTCGTGTCCCGCACCAGCTCCTGGAAAGCTCGCAGCAGCTCCCGGAAAGCACACAGCTGGGCGGCATGGATGCTGACAAGGTTATGTCGGTAATTGCCAGTTTTATTATATTGCACAGTAGCGAGCGAGCCAATATGCCAAGCAACGTAATTGCCAGCCAGCCCAACAACCATCACAGCGGCCACCTGAACGTCGTTACTGCGACAGAGTTTGTCACCGGCACCGATGCCTCGGACTGCAGCCACCGTGCACGCGCCAGTCTCCAGCACGCCAAACATCATCACGGTCTCTCCTGTCGCTGTTCCCTCATTACAGCCAACCACAATGCAAATGCAGTCCTCGCTGCCGCCATTGACGCGCACGTCCTTCTCGGCAGCTATTCCCACACACCTTGCCACAGAATACACCGGTGGCACCCATGGTGGTTCCCGGCCTCGCCCGCATCGTCGGCGCGGGCGACGTCCACGCAGAGCCCGGCAAAGGCAAAACGTGATCCCGTACATTCCGTTCCGGGTTCCTCGCAGCTGCCGGCCGGGCGAATTCCTTTGTGAGGCGCATGGCTTGCGGCCGGGGTTCTTTGCGTGTGATGCCGGCGGACTGGCGTTGCCGGCGGCATGCTCAATCAACGAGGTGTGCTATCAGTACGGCCGGTCAATCTTGTGCGATGCCCCGGGCGGTACCATTCGCAATCCCTAAATTTATTCAGCACCTTCTTTTCAATATCTTATTTATGTAATGGCTTATATAGTTGTCAGTTTTCTCACTCGACGGTCTGCTTCCGCCTGATGGTAGCGTCCAGCACTGTACCGTAGAAATCGTCGTTCTGGTCGAGATCCAGCTTGAGCTCCACCGGCTCCGGCTCCGGCTCCACAGTATCCTGGATCTGCTGTTGCGGCCGCGGCCATAGGAGCTCACACAACCGTCGCCTCTTGCTGGCCATCCCACGAGACCCTCTCGGAGGCAACCGATGCGATGTGGCTCCTGTCGACTTTCTCTGGTAACAGCTGGCTGCTGTGGTGCGAGATTTTTTTGTTCATTAGGGATAGTGAGAACCTCATTAACGGGGGGATCAATAGGCAAGGGAAAAGGGGGAGACTAATTCGAGGTGGATATACAGACGTATATCGTAATGAATAAAATGTGGTGAGAAACTGTGGAAGAGAGAAGCAAATTGTCGTCCAAAAGCCCTCTCCCTAGAGACGCCAACGGCATATATGGTGTTATTTTCCTTCGTATTTACGTCTTGGACAGAAAGGGTTCTGGAGAACAAGCAGGCTGTTCGAAGGATAAGAGTGGCTTTGGGCCATTGACAACAACACGAGCTGCGCAACAAGCGAAACAATGCGATAAGGAAATAAACGAATTGCTCGGGCGGCGTATGTTTTGGACAGAAAACAGCTCAAACGCATTCCAAACAACCGACAGCAATGCCAGTGGCAAGGAAAAAGAGATGCCATGTTAGTCAACTCCCTGTTGAAAACATGCCTGGTGATTTGGACATGAGGCATGCGCGTCATTTGAGCACATCTCAGATGCTGGCGCCCAATCCTGTTTGCTTCCTGTGTAGAACCTCTGCGCAGAATGTCGACAGACCAGTACGTCAGCACCGTTTAGAAAAGGCCACGAGCAGACCACTTCCGGATTAGGAATGGCCAGTGTTCCGAGAAAATGGCCTAGAAGCACAGCGGGTGGAACCATTCACGTCCTCTCCCCACTCCCAAAGGGCAGCCTGTCCCAAAGAGCAATAAGCAAGGAAATTCGGATTTGGGAATTGTACGAGAGATAGGAAATGAAAAATTAGTTGCCCGAGGGAATGGCCTTGTACTTGAGCGGACCAGCGACCTGTCCGTACAGACCCAGGTTCTCGCGACCGATCATCTCGTCCTGGACCTGCTCGATGCTCTTGAAGTAGCGAACAGTCTTGACATGGAGCTCCAGAGTGGCGTCGTCGTCGCAGACGACAAGCGAGCGCGGGTGGGTCTGGATGGCCGATACGGTCCACATGTGGTTGACGCCCTCCTCAATGCACTTGGCCAGAGCGATAGCCTTGTTGGCGCCAGTGATGATGACAACGACCTCGCGGGCATCCATGACTGTTCCGACACCGACGGTCAGAGCCAGCTTGGGCACCTTGGACACGTCGCCGCCGAAGAAGCGCGCGTTGGCCAGGATGGTCTCGTAGGCAAGGGTCTTGACACGGGTGCGGCTCTGCAGCGAGCTTCCCGGCTCGTTGAAGGCAATGTGGCCGTCGGGGCCGATGCCGCCCATGAACAGCTCGATACCACCGTACGACTTGATCTTGTCCTCGTACTGCTGGCACTCCTCCTGCAGGTCGTCGGCGTTGCCGTTCAGGATGTTGACGTTCTCGGGAGGGATATCGATGTGCTTGAAGAGGTGGTTCCACATGAAGCTGTGGTAGCTCTCCGGGTGGTCGCGCGGCAGACCGACGTACTCGTCCATGTTGAACGACACCACGTGCTTGAACGACACCTTGCCGTCGTTGTAGAGGTTCACCAGACGCTTGTAAACGCCGATCGGGGAGGCACCGGTGGGCAGGCCGATGACGAAGGGGCGCTCGGCTGGTGGGCTTGAACTGGTTGATGCGCTCCTTGATGTACTCGGCTACAGCGAAAAGTATTGAGCTGGTGCATGCAGCATGTAGCCCGAAACGGGCCGATTTGGTGTAGATCCAACGGTCCTTTCAATCCGTGTCGCGCATGCAAGCATCTGCCACAAAAGAAAACAAAGCGACAATTGCCACGGCAATGGAAATGGAGGGCGAGGACAAACAGCGGCGACGCCCTTGTCTTCCCAGCGATCAGGAAAAATTAGCCTCCGACCGACCCCTTGGGGAAGGGAGGCGCAAACAAAAGCAATGGCGGCGGCAAGGTAGCGGATTAGAGCAGTAGGCCATGTAACTTACCGATGTAGTCAGCGACAGTGTCGCCGTCATGACGGATGACAAGTCTCATGGCTCGAAAAGGAGAGGAAAAAGGTTAATAGAAAAAGGTATATGGTAGAAAACAAGGAGAGAGAAAAAAAGGAGCAGTTCTGGACTCGGCCTGTATTTATATGATTTCCAGCAGGGGTGGCCGTACCGCTACAACCGCTTTTTCCTCCTGCGTGCGCAAGCTTCTGCAATAATTTTACTAGAGCACGCCCTGGTCCTTTACGGTCGGCATCACTGGCTTTTTCCCTCTTTATCTCAGGACAGCAGGAAAATAATGTTCCGCATAGGAGGGCCGGTCGGGTGATTGAGCAGGGAGTCCCAAAGCCTGCTACACAACACTCCGGGCAGGCCTCCCCCACTCCGGCGGTTGGTGGCAGCGATGGTTAGACCATCTGTGATTCGAAGCGCTCCCGCGGCCTTTTTTTCGGTCATCTCATCGTGCCGGCCCGTCCCAAGGAGCCAGTCAGACAGCAGATTTTTGGTTGGGGTGGGAGAGACGGGCTTGCGTGTCAAAGTGCTGGAACAGGCGAATGCTGGCCCCAATGGGAGATGGGCACGGCAGCAGCAGCACGGCCATTTCTTAGGAGACTTTTCAGCTGTTCTGGACTAACACAGGCATGCAGTGCGTCCATCACCCGTGCAGAGAGCACCACGTGAAGAGGGCTGTTTGCGAAAAAAAGAAGCAGCTTTTTTCGTTATCGAGAAGGGACAGATTGGCCGCGGCATGCCGCATGTCAGCACATCGCAAAGGGGAGGTAACATGTATTAGCTGATCACAAGCTACGGCCCAGCCGCCATGCGGTTGCGCACCCAGTTCTCGAGTCCGCCCGCAACAATGATCTCCTGCGCGGCCTTGCCGATCTTGGGCATGTCCACCTGCAGCACCTGGGCACCGTGGGCATCCACCAGCTGCATCTGGCCCGCAGTCAGCTCGACGTGGGCCTCCAGGCCGCTTACCACGGTCAACGGGCACCCGTCGGCCTGGTACTTGCTGCGCAGCCACTGCACCAGCGGTGGGCACTCCAGCACCAGCAGGCCGTTGTTGACGGCATTGCGCTTGAAGGTCTCGCTGGCGCTCTCGCACACCACCAGCCGCACGCCCGCAGCCAAGAGCGCTGTCGCTGCCTGCTCGCGCGACGAGCCAGTGCCAAAGTTGGCGCCAGCGACAACGACATCGTCGGCCTGGATCAGACGCGCAAACTCGGGGTCGTAGTTCTCCATGACGATGGCCTTCATCTGCTCGCGGGTAATGTCGTCCTGGTAGGTGTACTTGCCCGGGTAGATGCCGTCCGTGTTGAGGTTGTCGGCCGGAAGGAACACCAGCCGCCCGACCAGCCGCGTCGGGAATCCGGCGATGGCACCAGACGACTTGGCTGCTGCCGCTGCCGGCTTCTTGACCGCCGCCTCAATTCCAAAGCTGACCTGGCCAGGGGATGGCGACGAGCCCGGCGCTCCGCAGATGGCTGACTGCGGCGAGCAGATGCGACCAGCAATGGCTGACGCCGCGACCACTGCCGGTGACGCCAGATACGTGTGGGCCTTCTTGGAGCCCATGCGGCCCTTGTAGTTGCGGTTGGTGGCCGAGATGCCGACCTCGCCGTCCTCCAGCAGACCGACGCCCAGGCCAATGCACGGACCGCAGCCCGGCGGCAGCGTCCTGGCGCCTGCATCCACCAGCACCTGCCAGTCGCCGCTGGCCTGCGCATCGGCCAGCACCTGAGTGGACGCTGCCGCCACATACCAGGCGACGCCCTCGGGTGCCCTGACCTGTTTGCCGGGGTTGGCCTGCTGGATGGCGCGCACAACATCGGCGGCCTCCTTCAGATCCTTGGCACGTGAGTTGACGCACGACACAATGTAGGCTTTGTTGATCTTGATATTGTCCTTCTCCAGCGCCGACAGCGGCGACGCGACCTTGACCGAGTCGGGGCCCGACACGTGCGGCGTCAGCGAGCTCAGATCCAGCCACAGGTGCTTGGCGTATGAGGCGTCGGCATCGGCCTTGCCACTGCGACGGCTTGCGCCTGCACGCTGGCCCGCAGCTCGCCGACGGTCTTGTCGTTGACGTTCGGGTGGTCGCCGATCTGCTTCTTGATCCAGGCAGCCCGCTGCTCATACCACTGCAGAGTGATTTCGTCCACAGCAAACACACCTGCCAGCGCACCCCATTCGGTGGTCATGTTGGCGATTGCCAGGCGGTCCTCCACTACCAGGCTCTTGGTGCCCGCACCCACAAACTCAACCTGCGTGGTTCAGCACCTCGTCCTTGCCGAACAGCCCGCAGAGAGCTACAATGACGTCCTTTCCCACCACGCCCGGGGGCAGCTGGCCGCGCAGCTCGACCTTGGCTACCGGTCGGCACCTGCCACCATGTCTGCGATGTCGCCCAGATCGCCGCTGCGTCAGGTGCGCACCACCGGCGATCCCAGACAGCCAATGCCGCCGTACATGTTCGAGTGCGAGTCCGACCCAACCACCATGGTGCCCTGGCCACGCATGCCCCTCCTCGACCAGCACCTGGTGGGCAATGCCGCGTCCCGCCGGATAGAACCGGTTGCCGTGCTGCTTGGCAAACTTCTCAATCCCGCTGTACTTGGCCAGGTTCTTCTCGCCCTTGTTCTGGATGTCGTGGTCCAGCGCAAACACCGGCTGCCGCGCATCTGCCAGCCTTGGTGGCCCCGATGCTGGCAAACTTTGGAATCACTGCCCCTGTGTTGTCGTGCGTCATGATGTGCCGCGGCCGGATTCCCAATGAAATCGCCGCTGCGCACCTGCTCGCCTTCGCCTACGCCCACTGCGTACCGCTGCGCTATCTTCTCCACCAGCGTCTGCCCGCCGTGCCGCCGTGGTGCCGTGAAGGAGAAGCTGCGCTGCGATGTGAATGCCGCGTGCCGCTGCGGCTTGATGGCTGAGTCGCCCATGCGGCGAGCGGCTGCTGCTGCTACCAAAAGTCTGAAGCTCATTGTTTTATTGTAATCCTGGCAGGTGTGACTGTGAAACCCCCGATGCTGTCGCAAGAAGAAAGTGAAGAAAGAAGAAGGAAAACGCCAATAACTGTTATCTGGAACAGAAGAGTCTCGCTCCAGCAGGCTGGATTTTGAAGCCCAGGTTGGTCCGTTCATTCAGGCCCGCCTGTCCTCCCTCCGCCCTGTGTCTCCTGTGCCTAAAAGATAAGATCCGCCGCCTAATCTAACGTCCTTATTAGTCACTTCTCCCGATCCCGAAAATCATGACTCACTTCCTCCCTCCGATGCTACCAGCAGTCCGGAAGATCCCACCGGCATTCTCACTTGCGCTGGGATAGTACCAGTCGACAGTCACGCGTCCGGGTTTCGCAGGCGTACCAAAAATGTATCGCAACCGAATCCATTAGCGTCCGGATACCCACGGCTGTCCAGGACACTGGGTCCCAAGTGGTTCAGGTCGTCCGGGCAGCGCCAGATTGTAGTCCCTGAGCATATTGGCCGATATCTGTCATCATCTCCATTAACGACAGGTTACGGCCCGGGCACCCTCTGACGCCAGCGCTGAATGCACAGATGCTGCGTTTGGCATCAGGTGCGTCAATGAACCGACCAGGGTTGAATCTGTACGGCTCCTCCCACACATTTGGGTCTATGTGGGTGCCGCCAAAGCTAGTAAACACCACAGTACCGCCAGGCAAAAAATGCCCCTGCATGGTGACACCGCCCTCCGGCACTTCCTTTGGGTGCTGGTTGGACGACATCGGGGACACTCGCAGCATCTCATAGATGCACGCCTCCAAGTACGGCAGCGAGGCCTTGGCTTCGCCATATAGTGATCATGCCAGAGCCAGGAAAGTTCCTGCGGACCTCATCCACTGCTTTCTTGTAGATGTTTGGGTGCAGTCGTCAGCAAATGCACGAGCCATGTCATAGCGTTGGCTATGGAATCGCCACCGGCGGCTAGAATAATAATGCTGTCTGCCAAAATCTGGTCCTCTGTCATACGGACCCGGGATTCGGGATCCTCGGCGTCGAGGAATGCCTGCAAAAGATCATTCGGCTTTTGGCGCCCCGCTGGCAAGCAATTCACGCCGTGCATGGATTGATTCGCGGCAGTGCCTGATGGTCTTGTTTGCTGACCGCTGCCACTTGTAAAGGAGCAGTCGAAAACGGGGGCACTTTAATCAGTCGGGAACATTGCGTGACACGCATAGAAGGCAATGCCCTCGATTATATTGTTTCCCAGCGTCATGTCGTTAGTCTCCAGTCCATTAATTTCGTACCCGAATATCTGGGTGCTGATGATATCCAGCGAGGCAAGAACAAAATCCCGGTTGTATTCGATTTCAATGGTGCTGCTCTGAGTGAGCTGCTTATCCCACTTGGCCTTCAATGCGCATATTCCCTGCCTTCATAATGGCTGGCTCCATTTTCGCCAAGTACGAGAGCCCCAGATACGGGCCCAGCTGCCGTTTGCGCTGGTTCACAAGTGCGGGCGTCCGGGCACTAAACAGATTCTCTATCCCAAACAAGTCCACCGCCTTGTAGTGTGCTTTGGACTTGCGGAATGCGTGTGTGCCGAGCACTGTCCTGATATCTTCTTGGCTTGATACGGCCACCATGTTTGGGGCCATTACGTAGATGGGTCCGTATTTGGCGTGATCCACGCGGGACTTTTCGGCGTTTGCTCCTCGCAAGTGGATTAGGCTGGCACGCAGTCCTGAGAGGCGGGCAATGAAGGGGCCGGGTATGTTGCGCAGGGGCGAGAGGAAGAGTGCATTGATTACGAGGTAGCATGCGAATGCAAGCAGCAGGGTCCAGAATGAGCTTGGCATGCTCAATATCCCAGGAGTTTGTGTCCATTTGCAAATATAAATGCCTCGATGAAAGAAAACCTGCTGGTGTGCGCTGGTATTATCTGCTGTACATCTAATATCTGACGACTATGCCCTGCTGTAGGTGCACACAATTCCGATGACTATCAAGTTGCCACACACACTAATGCATTATGTAGCGGTATGTTATCGGCTGTGTAAATGCCACACGTCTGGCACTACATCTCTTCAATTTCACATACTGCAACCAACTGCATTTGACACGCCACCTAAAGATCTATGTTGTGTAAGTCACTAGTCATTGCACTGGTTTTAGTCGGACTTGTTCTCCTCTGCAGCCTCGAATCCCTCAATGTTGCGCTGCACTGCCTTTGTCTGCATCTCCATCAGTGTGTGGATCTTGGCCCTCTGGTGGGCGTGCTGGAAATGGCACAGCTGCTTGGACATGGAATCGCCACGACCGCAAATGTAGCTACGCCCCAGTTGCCGGCGCTGAAAATCCTGCCGCGCTGGAAAAACCGCAGGACCGCAACACCCGCACCCGTGCCAATTCCATACAGAAACCCCTCGCGCGCACACGGCTCAGTGCGAGCCACGCTTTTCATGTCGTCCCAATTGTGTGCCTACATGAAAAAAAAAATCTTTTGTGTCAGCCAAGAAGCAGTTTCCGAAAAGCAAGTATAGTGGGGTAGTTTTTTTTTTGTCTGCTACCTTGACGACGTCGGTGAGCGACCGCTTGTGCTCGGGGTTGGTCGCGCCACTGGGCTCGGCAGCAGGCTGAGGTGTGCGCAGTATCCGAAGGCATGAGCGACTGATAGTTTCGAAAGGGGTGGTGGTGGAAGATACGCTTTTTTAGTTACTGGAGCTGGGGTGTGGCATGGCTGGGGGCTGGGATCTACAACCCGTGTGGCTGCAGGCAGGGAAAGATGTGGGATATCCATGCTGGCATGAGGGACAGATAAAAAGCAGCTATTTTTAGTGCCATGTGGGAGAGCGCGTTCTTGCGCCTGAAAGCCCACAACAATGGATAAGGCTGTGTGCATGTAGCAATGCAGGACGGCCCCAGCGGGAACGTTGTATACAGCTACGAACGCGCTGGTCTGATTTCGCGTGCATAGACTTTTTGTGCTTTTTGTCAATGCGAACAACGTTGCAGAGTTTGTTATTGGAAACACCGCCCGATTGTTTCTAATTCAGATATAGAGCCCAGATGGTAGTAGCTGGCGTTTCTTGGTGCGAGGATTTAATATATCGACGAACAAAACGCTGGGCAAGCCGTGCCAAGCAACAGCTGCGGTCGGTCCAAAAATACCTGCTCCTTGTGGCAATTGTGATTGCCACTTGAAAGCCCGGCTTGTTGTTGTTTTCGTTCTCCTTGCCGCCCCCATCGCGTTGGCCGTGGATCCGCGCAAGCCCCTCCCGCATGAGCCTGCCGGTCAGACTGTTTTAGCAGACAAAGGACAATGCGGCTCTTTCTCGTTTCTGCTCTGCATCTTCTTCTCTTCCAAACTCCGCCTCATTTTTTCCAGCCTCTATTATCCTAATGCTCTAACGACAACTCCCTGCACGAAATTTATTTTTGCCAACAAGCCCACATCTATTTTTTTTTCCTTTATCAGTGCAGCAACACGTAATAACGATATATATCTCCCTTTCTCCAAACACCCGTTCTGAGAACACCATTTCTCTTTCCTATTTGCACGTAATACCACCCTTTATTTCTGCCTGTCAAGCAAAAAAATGATGGCTACCGTCAGGAGCAGCGGGGCGACAACGCCCTTTGCAATGCAGCAGCCAAAGCTGGACAGCCAGATGTTTGCGATCTACCTGGCAAATTCTGTGCGACGCGACGTGCTGCATTTGGCAGCAGTGGGCGCCATCAAGGAGTCGGACAAGAACGCGATTTTCAGCTACCTGCCGCGGTCGGTCGTGGGCATCGACGACGAGGACACGCTGTACGGCACGGAGACATGCAGCACGTACACCAAGACGACGAGCAAGAGCACAGCGTGCGAGCCAGCACGTGTAATCGCGACCCCGCGGCGGACTCCCCGGCAGCGGTCGGAGACGGCCCCGCAGCAGCAGATCCACACGGCCCTGCAGTCGCCGCGGTCGCCCAAGACGCAAAAGTTCGAGGGCCTGGGGGCCAAGCTGGGCGCGCTCTTCGGCAAGTTCAACGTGGAGGAGGCTGGCCGGCGCAGCGGCAGGCTCGCCGCGGTCGCCCAAGCCACACCAGCAGCTGGGGCTGCAGACGCTGGCCAGCCTGGCCGAGGAGGAGGCCAAGCAGATGCGCGACACCGACGACGCGTTCTTCCGCAAGGCGTCGCAGGGCAGCAGGCGCTCGGAGAAAAGCAACGACTCGGCCACTATCGCCGAGTACTCGTCGGACGAGAACTCGGAGAATGCCAGCCAGGGGTCGCTGGCCAGCCTGGAGTCGATTCGCAAGTCGCGCGTGTGGCAGGAGATCAACGACTCGCTCAATAGCGATACCTCGGCCTCGTCGACGCTGGCCACGGTGCGTAAGCGCAGCTACACGCATCCTGGGCGTCGCCATGGAAGCGTTTGCTAAAAACAGCATCAGGACGAACCAGGTCACGCCGCAGCTGCGCCGCGCCAAGGCCCGCCGGAGACCTGAACTCGCAGGCCAAATACACCGGCGTCATGACCCAGGGTGCGACGCACGCGGCGGCGGCGGCGGCGGCGGCATCGTCGTCGTCGTCGTCGCTGGGGCTGGTCCTGCAGCAGCCGCCCAAGCCGCTGCCCACGCCCATGCGCGGCCAGCGCCACCACCCAAGCTACGCGGGCGCAAAGTCGCCTCGCAGCCCGGCGGGCTCGCGGTCCGGCAGCATCAGCATGGGCAGCGTGGTGACCCACGCCAAGCTCGTGTCGCCGACCTCTCCCAAGGAAAGCATTGACTTCCCGCCCATGCCCTCCGAGGCCAGCCAGGCAATGCTGTCCAAGTCCATGGTGTATATGCCGCCCGTGGTAGAACAGCCGCTGGCCATGAACAAGTCGCTGCCGAGCCTGCCGCAGAAGAAGCAGAAGCAAAAACATGTGTTTGCCACGGCCATTTACGACTATCACCCGCAGGTCAGCGGCGATTTGCGCTTCTCTGCGGGCGACCGCATTCTCGTCAAGGAGCGCATCAACGACGACTGGTGGGCTGGCGAGGTTGTCACCATTGGCGAGGACTCGGTGCAGGATGGGCTTACGGGTATGTTCCCGCGGAGCCACGTCCACGTCGAGTCTTGGTAAAAAAAAACCACTTACACTTTGCACATTATCTTTTTGCTAGCTCTCTTCTCAACTCTCCCTTCTATTTATGCCTGAATGACATTATGAAAAGCTCGTGGGTTACAAAAACCGTAGATGCCAGCTGGCCAGTTCGCAAGGGGGCTGCTTGTCAGGGGCACCTCCGCGTGATGGTCTTGGGCCCAGGTCTATAAACGGACCCAAACAGCAAAACAGACGGCGAATTTGCCAGCTCACCCGAAGCACGCGCTGTTTCCGCCATGGGACCAGCTACGACTGGGCCGTCGCCGGCGACTGCGACTGCGGCGGGACTGGCTGCTGTGCTTTCTGCGGCTGCTGCGGCTGGGGCATTGGGGCCGCCGATCCAGGGAAGATGGGTGGTGGGAAGCGCTGCACAAAGGCGTCGACCAGCTCATCGTCCGATTGGATTACATGGATCAGCCAGTCTCTGCAGAACGCCCGCTGTGCCTTCACAACATCGGGTGGCATCTGCGGCTGCATTCCCGCCGCAAACTCGGCCGTTTGGCCCGGATTCATGCGCTGCTTGACCAGCGACACCAGCTGCTCGGCCAGATTTTGTGCCATTGCTGAGCTCGCGGCTGGCGGCGCCTGCGCCTGCGGTGTGCCAGGCACAAACGGCGGCATCGGCGCCGGAGACCCGTGGATCCCGGGGTGCCCGCCTGCCAGCTGCGGGAACGCATGCATGCCGGGCATCATGGCGAACTGCGGCGGCGGCAGGGGCCCAGGCGACGCGTGTGCAGGCATGCCCTCCATCGGCCCCATCTGCGACTGCCAGAACGCCTGCTGCATGCGCTGCGCCAGCGCCGGGTTCGCATTCGACGGCAGCGGCGTGGTGATGGTGGATGCTGGGTATGGCGACGGCACTGGATGCAGGGCTGGCGGCGATGGCGGCACCTGCACCCCGCTATACCCACCGAGACTCACCACAGTTCCGTTCTGCGCGTGTGTCGTGGGCACTGGCAGCGAGGACCTGAATGCCGACTCGCCTGTCGCCTGGCTACCGCCTGCCATCTCCTGCGGCTTCACCGACGACTTGCGCGCCAGCACAATCGCTGGGTCTTCGGGCAGTGCATTCGGCCTCGCGGCCTGCTCCTGCAACTGCTGCCCGCCGCCCGACGGATCCAGCCCCATCGCCTGTAGCTTGCTGACCAGCGAGTTGCCGTTGCCCGCTTGCACCTGCACCTGCGCCTGCACCTGCGCCTGGTTGCGCTGCTGCTGGATCTGCTTCGTGCGCGTAATCAGTGCCTGCAGCTCGGCGTTCTCGCTGCTGTTGGCTTCACGCTTGCTGTTCGACCGGCTGCGTGGGTATGCCTGCTGGAACCGCCGCTCCTCCTCGCTGTTGCGCGGAAACAGCCGCGCAGGTCGCTGTCCCGTAAACGCCGACTTGGCCGTCTTACTGCACTCCTCCATCTGCGTCGCAATCGACTTGCGGTCCGCCTCCTCGTAGATCCAGATCCCCATTACTGCCCCGTCCGACTGTCGGTAGATCAGGAATTCGTCCGTCGGCTGGATACTGATCTGCGGTCCAAGCAGCTCAGTGTAGTTGTCGATACCCAGCCGGTTCATCACCATGAATCCATAGTGCGGTGCTGATGACCTAACGTACAAAACAAACCGAGAAGGGGTTAGAGACGCGTCCGTGAGACCGAGGGAGAACAAAGCCCGTATGACCCAGCCCAAACAATAGCCAGTGCAAGCTCAGCGCTAGAATACAACCATCCCCGTGCTCGCCGTGTGCAGTGCCTCTCCTCGCTTACCTCTCAAAAAGAAATAGAGCCCCTTCCACGTCCTTCTTTGCCTAGATATAAGAAGAGAGCATGCACTGTTAGCATGGTCACGCTTGTCTTTTTCCCAATGCCCTTTTAATCCTGGCTGCTGCTGCTGCTGCTGCCAGTCCTTACCCACGTCGAGCTCTCTTGCTGGAACTGGTACAGCACAACATGGCTGGTCGTGCCAACAATAGCCTGAATGTGCTCGTCGTATCGGCGCAAAACTTGTAGGTTTGCCGCTAGCTTCTTGCGCGTCTCTGCCGTGTTCTGTTTATTCGGTGCCATTTGTATATTTTCGCTCAGAGTAAAAATAAGGTAGGTAAGGTTCGGGAATACTAAACGCGTTGTCAAAAATAGTTGTGAAAAGAAGAGCAGCTCAAACACCAATTCCCGCTCCCAATTTGACCCTTGGGGTCCAGCAAATTTGCGAGCAGACTCCCAGCTTTACGCACATTTTGCGAGAGTCACGTGAACGTGATCTAATATCGAGGTGCATCTGATCATGATCACGTGACCATTGTGGGAAGGCAGTATGCTGGAGCTGGTGTGCGGGATCAGAGGCACTCAGCCCGCGCCAGAAGAAACCACGCCATCTCCTTTTGGACCTGAGGGGCTGTTAGATGCCCAATGTCTGGACCTCCGATGCCTTGGAACTGCATGTCAGGTGCGGAGAAATACCCGTACCCCTTGTATCGACAAAAGAGATCGGCCTGGCTCATTTTTGGCCCGCTGTGCCGCTCATGGAGAGAGCGCATATAGCCGACAAATGGAGTCCAAGCAGCGGATCCATACGCAATGAGCAGGTGTATTCAGGAAACCGCCAGCGGTTTTAATCCGTTGCAGTCGGTTCTGCCTGAATCAGGTGTAAAGATGGCAATAAAGAGCCAGTTTTACTTCTTGCTATTCCCCTGGCCTTGGGCGTAAATCGTCCCGAGAATTTCATCTTGCTGTTCAGTGTAGACCCGGCCTATTTCCATTCGCTGGTCCGCAGGCACTATTGACAGAGGCGGGCTGTACGAATTGCTGCACATTTTATTCAACAGTGCATGGCTTGGGCAATCGTGCACATTCCTTTACTTTGCAACATGCACGTATTGCTGATTCCGTTTCGACAGATGCCGGACCAATGCAATATCGGTTGCGGACAAGGGGAGGAGGTCCACTTGGGAAATGCCTCTAAATGGCCCGAAACTGGGCTGCTAATCATGCTGCATACTGTAGAATGAACCTCCTCACTGGTGAGCGACATGTGCTCCTATTCTGCGAAGCAAAGCAACATCGAGATGGGCATTTTCTCTCTGAACTGGTTTCGCATGGTCAAAAACGTGACCACCGGTATTCCAATTTTTGTGTAGAATTGCTGTCCCTGGCTATATCACAAAGGAGGCACAGTATACAAATATCCTTTGTGGGTGGCATTGGCCAGATTCATGTTTGTCTTTGTACCGGCGTCAGATATATAGCACTTTTACCTGAAATCGCCTGGCAGAAGCTGTGAAATCTCAGAGCCAGCTCTCACGCAAAGATACCGGATCTACTTTCCTTGCATATCACCAATACTGCAGCCGAGGCATCCGATTATCGGGGTTTCATGAGAAGAGCATTGCCCTTGGTGTCTACATGATGAAATTGTGCCTGGCTGAAAAAATAAACAGCCCAGCCGATGAGTGCTATGTCGACAAAAAGACGCAGCGCATATCCGCCCAGCCTAGTCCGGCTGCGGCTAAGGTGCACAGACCATGAGCGCTTTTGCCATCGATACAGTACTCTTACGGCAGCCTCCGATATAAAAGTCCCAGGTCTAACCAAAGCGCGGAGCGTGTGGCCTCCACACATCGCGTTCCTGTCCGCGCCCGGCCATTTGCCCGGAGAGATGTGCAATGCTAAAACTGGATGATAGCCGGTCCACATCTGCAAACCGGACCACACCATTGTGCTGTGTTCCGACACACAGGCTGCTGCGCCTACGAGCCATTTTGCTGAGCGGGCCAGCTGCAGAGAGCAAACTAGCAAGGCCCGGAAATAGAATAAAACCCAAACATTATTTGCCTGGCGGCGGGGATTGCCAATGCAGTCCGTCCGCACATACTGAAAGCGCCGAGCCGGGCGCAGCACGGGGATTGGCATAGGCAACAGCATCGGCTTGATGGGGCAGGAGTAAAAAGACAGTGCTGCAAGCTGAGCGGCATTGTGCCTCTTCCGCCGGGCAGAGTACCCGGCCAGTTCCATGGAGAGATCCACCGGATACATGCCGATTAGTGTCGACACCCGATGTCGGGCGCCTATAGGCTCCTGGCTCTGTTGGTGGATTAGATACAGTATGTGCCTATAGGAGCCTGGTGCATGCTGATGAGCAGCACCTATCCGCTACCAAACCAAATGCGGTAACCGCACAACACTAGCACACCTGCGTGCTGTCCGCCGCTGATCCTATAGCCATTTCTGGGGGTGTCGCAGGTACCCGGTTCCCCCATAGCGCCACCTTATCAATGCGCTCTCACCCCAGTCACCAGACAGATGGGTTGTTTGTTGTCGCATCCTCAGCCCCCAATTCGCCGCTGGCACGGACGTCTTGTGCTGTGTATGTGCACGCTGCTTCATTTTCATTAACTGCACAAACATGAGCGAGCCAAGGAGGATCGATGTCCTCCCGGCTTTTTTCCTTTCCGGCTTGCCAAAGCTAGCCCAGAGAGTGTTCTTTTCTCCCACCTGCGTCGCACAGCGCGACCTGCTACCTTAGCCTCGCCCGTGCTTCCACAGACTCTGCCTGGCTCCCCTTGCGTCTACTGTTCAGTGTTCAGGCACTGAAATGAAGCCGGGATCTTGCATTGAACTGTGCTTTCTGTAAATGGACAGGCGAAAAAAAAAGTGATTGCCTTCCTTTCCAACTGTTTCAAGTGCTCCGCCAATCCATGCCGCGTGTTACAGCGACAGAGGCGGGAGGGGGTGTGCTGGGGGAGGGTGCCGGGGCCCTTGGTCATCCAGTCTGAGCTGCAGAAAAATCAGTACTCAAAAGCTGTGGCCCGAAGTGCTTGGCGGCGAATGTGCATCATTGGCTGAGGACCGGACATTCAAAAAAAAAAAGCGTGGTAGGATGGGATGATGCTTCACCCTGCCTCCTTGCCCCAGAGAGTGGAAATTCACTTGTCCGTCAACTTTTTTCCGGCGCTTCTAGAGCGGACCGCTGTGCGCTTCATTGATAAAGCCTGCTTTGCTCCCTGGCAATTTACACAGGGCTAGCCGGATCTGTATTTTTCTCTCCTTTATTCCACCCTCCTTATTTAGCCTGCCCACTTTTCCCTTGAGGCGTTTCAGCTCTTGCAAATACTCCTGTCCTTCTGGGTCGCCGATTCACTACCAGTATTCGCCCTCTTGTTACTTCTAGCCACCATTTGTTCATAATCTCAGAAACACAGCCCTCACACACGCAAATATGAAGCGGATACGCTACAACAGCCCGATGACCCAAGTGGTCATCATGAGCCTCATTTGCTTCCTGTGCCCAGGTAAGACACCGATTGACGCTGCTCATAGCAGCATACCTTGCTCGCGCGCCCACATACGCTCTGCCTCTCTATCCCTGTCACACAGCTCTGGTTCCGTATGGGAAGCCACGCTGTGGAACCTGACAAGCTCGCATGTCCTCCTTCCTCATCCCACTCCAGCCGGCCCCTCAATTGAGCAGGAGCAGAAATGATTGCCAATGTTGATTGCTACTCTATGCTCCGCGCGCATGATTGCGTATGGCAAGCGTACCTATTTCCGAAATAGATATTCTCGGCTCATTTTAGGCACCCAAACTGGCCCTGGCTAATAGCAATGATGCTCCGTTTGTTTGTTTATTCGCTGCTGCTCCTGCTCCAATGTTGGGTATTTGTGGCACTGGGGATATATGGCTTGCACTAGACAGGGCAAGTGCTCATATCTGTTTGCATCTCAATGTCGTCAGACCCCGACTTGAAGCAGATATTTACTAAATATGCGCGGAGTCGCTGTTTGTTTTCGTAGGCATGTTCAACGCCCTGAATGCTGTTGGCGGTGCCGGGCAGGTTGACCGGACAGTGTCCAACAACACAAACACCGGACTGTACTGTACATTCATCGTGTTTGGTGTTCTTGGTGGCGCCATTGTCAACCTGTGTGGAATTCGCTGGACCATCTTCCTCTCTGGTCTGACGTACTCTCTCTACTCGGCCTCGTACATCTACTACAACCACACCAAAAACGGTGCATTCACCATTAGCACCGGCCCGATTCTCGGGATTGGCGCTGGTATTCTGTGGTCTGCGCAGGGAATGATCATGATGTCGTATCCGAACGAGAATCAGAAGGGAAGGTACATTTCCATTTTCTGGGTCATCTTCAACCTCGGCGGCGTCATAGGCGGTATCGTCCCGTTCGTAGTCAACTTCAACGAGGACCGCGACAGCCCGGCGAAGCCACTGCCTGATGCCGGCTACATCGTCTTCGTTGCGCTTGAGGCCCTGGGTGCGCTTGCTGCTCTTGCCTTGGCCCCGCCCGAGCGTGTCGTGCGCGGCGACGGCTCACACGTCGTGCTGATGCGCTACACTGACGTGCGCTACGAGGCAATCGAGGTGCTCAAGCTGTTTATGAACCCGTGGATGCTGCTTCTGCTGCCCATGTGCTTTGTGTCCAACTTCTTCTACTCGTACCAGTGGGGTGCCTTCAACGGCTCGCTGTTCACTATCCGCACGCGTGGACTGAACTCGATGCTGTACTGGGCATCGCAGATGGCCGCCGCATACGTGATCTCGTTCCTGCACGACCGTGAGAAAATGAGCCGCCGCCACCGGGCACTCACGTCACTAGGCATTGTGGCCATCCTGGGCAATGTCATGTGGGGATGCACTCTGGTCATGCAGCAGCGGTACACGCACGGCCCGACCACGACCGCTGACACTGACTACCCAGGCGGTCTGATCGACTTCACCGAGTCCTCTCGCGCAGTGGGCCCGATCATCCTGTTCTGCTTCATGGGCGGCGTCGATGCGCTGTGGCAGTCCCTGGCATACTGGATGCTGGGTACTCTGACCAACGACTCGCAGATGCTTGCCCGCTACGCTGGCTTCTACAAGGGCATGCAGTCGCTTGGCGCCGCCGTCGCCTGGCAGCTCGATGCCAAGGGCGTCACGCTGATGCACCAGCTCATTGCCAACTGGGTGCTGATGGCCTGCGCGCTGCCCTTCATGTTCTACGTTGCCTACAACATCAAAAACCAGTCCGATGAGGTCGAGGATCTGCCGGCCGACGATTGGCTCATCAAGGGCAACCACGACGACCTCGAGTACCTCTAAAAAGCCCTGTTCTCCACGTGTAGTTTCTTGGTTTGAAAATAAAAAGATGAAACACCTGTAATGAAAATGTGGCGAAAGGAAACACAAGTATAACTACTTGAACAGCTTCTGCAGCGACGTGTTCTGCTCCGAGTCCTTCTTCATGATCTTGGATACAGCCATCTCAAAGTCCTCTTGTGTGACATGCACACGCCGCTCACGCAGCGCGTACATGCCAGCCTCGGTACACACGCCCTTGACCTCAGCACCGCTGGCTCCTGACATGCGCTCGGCAATCTTGCGCAGGTTGATGCCGCGAGTCAGGTTCATCTTGCGCGAGTGGATGCGCAGAATGTCGGTACGGGCAACCTCATTTGGAGGCGGGAACTCGATCTTACGGTCGATACGGCCCGGACGCAGGAGCGCCGAGTCCAGGATATCGATACGGTTGGTGGCCATGATGACCTTGATACTCTGCGACGGCTCAAAGCCATCGAGCTGGTTGAGTAGCTCCAGCATCGTGCGCTGCACCTCAGAGTCGCCGCCGCCAGAACCCGACTCGCCGCGCGACGAGCCAATCGAGTCAATCTCGTCCATGAAGATGATGGACGGCGCGTGCTCGCGGGCCATCACAAACAGCTCGCGCACCATGCGACTACCCTCGCCAATGTACTTTTGCACCAGCTCCGACCCCGACACGCGGATGAACCGGCAGTCAGTGTGGTGGGCGACTGCACGTGCCAGCAGCGTCTTTCCTGTACCAGGCGGGCCGTACAGAAGCACACCCTTGGGCTGTGCAATACCCAGCGCATCAAACAGCTCCGGGTGCTTGACCGGCAGCTCAATAACCTCCTTGATCTCCTTGATCTGTTTGTCAAGTCCACCGATCATGTCGTATGTCGAGTCAGGTACCTTCTCGACCATCATCAGGCTCACCAGCGGGTCGATCTTGTTGGGCAGGATCTTGTACAGCTTGAACGTATCAGACTGCAGTGCCACGCGGGTCGACGGCGTCAGCTTCGTGATGTCAATGTCCTCTGCGATATCCACCACGTGCTTGCCCTCGGGCTGAACCTTGACCAGCACCTTCTTCTTGCCCATGACCTTCACGACCTCCGCCACTGACGACCCTGGCTCCTGGAGCAGGTTGAGTTCGTCCTTTAGCAGACGAACTAGACAAGGAATATGAATACAGAGAATTGCGATTGAGTGTTAGGATGGGAACTGTGGCAAAATTGGGAGCCTGCGCAAGACACAATGTCGCTGGCATATTGCTCGTAGCTGCTTACCCTTCGTGTTTAGTGCATTGCGCTGGGCCTCCAGGCGGCGCAGGTTCTGTGTCTTGTCGACAATTTTCTGCTCCGTCTCCTGGATTTTGTGAAGGTGGTACTCGCGAATGCCCTGCTGGCCATTGCTCGCCTCGCTTTTTCCGACCTTTTGTGCGACCTTTGTTGCCGACATTGAAAGCTGTCTTTTCCGAGTGATAGAGTAACGAGAATATGTAGTGTTAGGACGGCTGGAAGAGGGTTGGTATTTGAGAAGAGCAAAGTGCAAGAAGCGAACCGAATTTGTTTAAAGCCCCCGCTGTGCTGACGAATTTGCGAGAAAAGCGCTGACGCACTCACCCGCCGCTGCAGATTAGTTGATTAACACGAATTGGACATAGTCACGTGGAACGGCTATCGTCAATGTGCATTGGGACCCGCCAAGAGATGTCCAGATATTTGTTGCTGGGTGTGTCCAGCATACATTAACCATGAAGCCAGCCATCAGCGAAGGACTACTGGTGCTTTCTGGGTATGGTGCCACCATGCTCGTGTGCTCAATGTCCTGAAGCTATTTATCTAGGAAATAAACATCCGCATGTCATCCAATGCGCCATTGTCAAGAAAGTACACACGGCGAATGCTTCAGGTAGTGGTGGACTGGATATGTAGTTTAAGTTAGAAAATATTAGGCAAGTATAAATTAAGACTGTATGGATTTAGTTGTGCTGGAACAGAACGCCGACCTCTAGCGTCGCAGGGCGGCCACCCTCGATGGAAGTGCCAGTGTACGGCGAGTCGAGGCTGGCAACAAAGATGGAAATGTCGGCTCCCTTCTGTGCAGCATCCACACACATGTAGGTGACATCGAGCTGGAAGTCTTCGATTGGAATCAACCAAGAACTTCTTCTCGACGCCGACCTTGGCAGGCTGGTGCGCACCGGTGACGGTAGCCTGGTCCCACTCGCCCTCGCCGCGAATGGCCCAGATCGTGGCCGGGGCGCTCTGTGGGATTTCAAAGAACGGCATGGTCAGCTGTGCACTTGGTGATGTACTTGGCATTCTGAACCGCCTCATCCGGCATTGTAAAGCCGAGCAGAATCTGGTGGACATCGTCGGGCTTGTTTGACGAGTAGATCGTCTTTTCCGTACCCAAGGTCGTGTTGTAGTTTTTCTGGCTGAGGCCAAGCGAGGCGTCCTTGGTAGGAGCAAATCTGTAGCTGGCGTGGATCAGCGGGATGGCAGAGACAGTCATGGCTGCGGTGGCGAGGAAGGCAGCGGCAGTGGCGAAGAACTTCATTGTCGGCAAGCGGTATTTGGTATGTGCTTTGTGGGAAGAGCGAGGTACTTGAGCTGGGCTGTAGTGAAGTGATGCTGTCTGGAGGAGGGCCATTGTCTGCACCTTATATAGTGTGGATGATGCGGCATTTTTGGTTAACGAATTGGGTATTTTTGGACTCAGCATGTGACTACCCAGATGATGCACCAGGTGCATTTGGTTGCGATCTAGTGGGAGCTAGCTGTTCCATGGAAGGGTGTCAAGGCCATATTTTTAGATCCTCATGCGTAAAGCGCCCAATAGTGCAAAGGCATTGGACTACCCGGATTTTCCGGTGTATTTTTGACTTTACCCAGGGAAATGCAAGGGAGCCTGGGAGTAGGGCGCACGCACTCCTTTACTCGGCCGCGCATTTGCTCTGATTGTATCAAACCAGGCTTCAGAAAGGGGGCTTAAGGGGCTTAAGGGTGCTTCGCTGGTGAGGATAGTGCTATATACCAAGTCCCTATATGCGAGCCATGCGTTATCTCAATCAAGCTCGTGAGAACATTGCACCGGGTCCAGGCTCCGACCGATCTCGAATTGCGCCGCCATTGTATGGTGTCGCCAATCACCAGTGCAGTCTTCCATCCACTCCTTCTCGCTCAGCAGCGCACGTCCAGCATCGACGTCCGGACGCAGCAAAACCACAAATGGCTCTAGATTCGGCGATGCTAATCCTCTAATTTCCAATGTGATTTAGCCACCTCGTGATCATCACCGCTCCAGGCCTCAGCTTTTGGCATTTTTGCTGGGCGGGCTCATACTGGGCAATTTAGCGCTTAAGTCGGCGACTCCCTCTTTCCAATAATCCGAAACTTTTTTTTGAGGATATATCAAAGGTAAAAGAGGGGAGATTTTGTCGTGGCGCAGCGAATACGGGCGTTGGATGCGGTATCGGTGGCAATGGATACGCGGGGAGAGCATTTTGCAGGACTGAGAGAGAGCGGAATGGACAGAATGGGCTGAAATTGCGAAAGTGCTGCTCTCCCCCTTGCCCCGGAAAAGCGCACCGCCAACAGAAAGGCGTGAAATGTGAATGAATTACCCGGAATTGCCCATCCCATCGGCACTAACAACACGCACCGCTTGCACCTGTAGATGGTTCGCCCTGCCCTGAAGGTTAACATTGTCAAGAAGCGCACTAAGCCCTTCATTCGCATCCAGTCGGACCGCTTCAAGCGTGTGCCCTACCTCGTGGCGCCGCCCCAGAGGTATTGACTCGCGCACTCGCCGTCGCTTCAAGGGTACCCGCCCCCACCCTAAGATCGGTTACGGATCGAACCAGAAGACCCGCTTCCTGCTTCCGGACGGCTTCCGCAAGTACACCGTCCAGAACCTGAAGGACCTCGAGGGTCTGGTCATGCTCAACCGCACCTACGCCGCTGAGATCGCCCACAACATCGGCGCCAAGAAGCGTGTCGTGCTTGTCGAGCGTGCCCAGCAGCTTGGCATCAAGGTCATCAACGCCGATGCCCGTGTCCGCGCTGTCGAGAACTAAAATGTCTTTCTTATATGTTTCTTGTTTTTCAGGGGCAACTTTAAATCTTGCAACGACAAACATTAACGGAAATAGGCATTTTTGACAATGTAACACGCAATCACACATGTGGATGATGCATATGTACATGGAGAGAGATGGCTGCCTGCGTGCATGGGCGTGGCATGCTGAGCTGACGCTGGCAGTGCCACGCGAACGGGCTGCCTACGAGCCAGGGCCCACCAAGACTCGCAGATGCAGCGAAATCGAGCAATCCGAGCGTATGCCCGCTGGATCTAGCATGTGGCCGCTGATGTGATTAGCAGATCAAAGACCAGGCCTGCACAAACGCCTGGCGGAGGGCTGGCGAGGGCTGGGCAGCGTGCACTGCCTCAAAGTTGCACCTTCAAGAGCGGCGTTGGGGGACTCTCTCTTTTTCAAAATTATCTTTGATTCTTTCGGAATATCTATCAAGGAAAACGTAGGTCGACCTGGGGAGATTTTGCACGCACATCCATCGGCGTATCCAATCGGCCATAGCACACTAGCCGGCGCGCGAATTTTTCGGAGGAGAGATAATTTGCCACAATGGCGGATTGGGAGAAAATGAGGAGACTGCCGATTCGCACCAGCCTGAGAACCCGGAATGGCGCTCGTGCATGTCGCTGGCATTTGACCCAACACGGTCATTTCAGCAAGGTGTTGAGACCAGAGGGTGTGCCAGCCATATGGGCGCCAGGCTAGTGCCGAAAGGCCGCGCGCCAGTCCTCCTTACGTGCTATGGCGACTGAGTGGCCAGGCCGCAACGTGCTTTAGTGCTCGCCTTTGCATATCCTCGCTTTTCAGGCACACGCTGCTAAACAACTATTCACCCTTTTGTGCTCTGTAGAATGGAGGCTGTTCAGACTTTCGGTCGCAAAAAGAACGCTACTGCCGTCGCCCACGTCAAGCGCGGTAAGGGTATGATCCGCATCAACGGCCAGCCGCTCGAGCTCCTGGAGCCTGAGATCCTGCGCTTCAAGGTCTACGAGGCCATCCTCATTGTTGGCGAGGACAAGTTCGCCGGCCTTGACATCCGCGTCCGCGTCCGCGGTGGTGGTCACACCTCGCAGGTCTTTGCCATCCGTCAGGCTATTGCCAAGGGTGTCGTCGCCTTCTACCAGAAGTTCGTCGATGAGGCCTCGAAGAAGGAGATCAAGGATCTGCTTGTCGCCTACGACCGTTCCCTGCTGGTCGCCGATCCCCGCCGCTGCGAGCCCAAGAAGTTCGGTGGTCCGGGTGCCCGTGCCCGCTTCCAGAAGTCGTACCGTTAAGTTTCGCAATCTTTTCTCTTTCAACATTTTCCGGAAACCAGACAGTATTGCTTTTTGTCGTCACCAAATCTATGCCCTTGTCCGACATATCGTTTGGCTGTTGCGAGCATGCATAATCTATATAGCTTTGAAAAAGTATTGGCAGTATAGTCGTCCATGTTGGTCAGCCATATACCAAGTGCGGTGTGGTATGTGCGTGTGCTGCTGCGGCTGGATAATGTGATGCTCCTGGCTCTTTGCGAGACAGCGCAGGCATGTGGCATCACTATTAGCAATCAGCTGTCGATCACTATGTCAACCTATCCCTTACTGTATCGCCCCTTCGTGGGGAGGGGCCAAGGCACGCGGGTCTTGGCTTTTCTCAGGAAGAATGCTGCATAGGCCGAAATATCGGCGGGCATGGTCAATGACGCCCCCCGTTACTTGGCAAGTCATGCAGTGTATCCTTTGCCAAGAAATTGCGGAATGATTTGCTGCTTTCATTGTGCTCCGCGTGTCCCACCCTTACCCACCACATAAAAGCACCAGGTGCCCCAAGGAGCGATGCGACTGCCCAGTTTTATGACAGCGGCTTTTCTGCTCTGCACTTTTACTAACTAACCATATAATCTTGATATTACCTAATGGCTACAGTCGCCCAAGAAAATATCCGGCTGCTGCCCAGGCTGCGGCGGTCGATGTCGACGATCAGCGGGTTCACAACCAACAGCGCGCCGCTGGCCCTAGGACGAGCCTGCTGACGACTATCTCACAGCCGACGACGAGTCGATCCTGTACGAGGACGACTACATACAGGTGAGCCGCGACGGGCTGCGCATCAAGAGATACTGGTTCCCAGCCCTGAACTCGACGTTTATCCCGTGGCACACAATTGAGTATGTGAAGACGGCGCGCGAGGCTAACGTAAAGTGGTACGAGGTGAAGGACTGGGGACCGGCGTTTGGCAACATCTGCTGGGCGCTGAAGCCGCGGCTGATCACGCGCAAGCAGGCGGGCAATATCGGGTTCAACTCCTTGGATGAGATCCGTGACAGTAATATTGTCGTGAAGGTTCGCGGCAAGTGGATGCGCCCCGGCACCTATGTAGAGTACCCTCATGAGGCTATGCGGATGATTCGGCGGATGGTTGCCAGTAGCCATCTGCATGCAGAATAGCTTAATAAAGGATCTCTTCAGAATGCCATTTGGTGTCATCTGTATCCAATATCAAAAGGGGGAATGCGAAGAGTGTTGCTGCTTGTTTATTGCCAATCAAGAAAGCCATCGATGGTTAGTAGTACGTGCCCTTGGTTGACCATGTCTGAAGCCGAGTGCCAGGTCTCCAGAGAGTTATGCCGAAAAGCTGTTCAAATCAGAGTCTCTGCCGCTATGTATGTGCATGTTGTCGACAAGCTGCTCTTGCTCACAACCATGACATTGTTAGTGTTTGGGGCCATTCTATGAAGGCTCTGAGCAAGTAGTCTGGTAGACTCTTTTAATCTCGAGATAGACGCTTGGGTGGGTGGGTTCGAATTGTAAACACAAATAAGAATATCCGCGACGTTTGGTAGCCTAATATTGCTAAGCATATCGGTGCGGGCCTTGATAGGAATTGAAGCTCCTCAGACATCTCACGCTCGTGTACATAACCAGCAATGTTGGGAACTGTGTCATCCCCAAGGTCGTGGATAGAACTTAAGACTCATGTAGTGATCGCTGAATGCCGACAGGTCCGAATTACGTTCTCCTCCGTATACTCGATCTGTATCGATACATTTCATACCCGAACCATGCTTCGTGGAAAAGTAGATGGTGACACGCACTGCGCCACGCTCGGCACACCCTAGGAACCGGACCATATAGGCATACTTTGGCGTAATGCTCCACAGGCTCCTAAACATAGTTGGTGCATGGAGCACATGAAGAAACTTGGCGATATCGATGAGCACGATTGCAGGAAGTCTTTGGGCAGGACTAAGGCTATGCAGGTGAGCCGGAGGGGTTGGGTGCAAGGGCCATTTTCGAGAATAGGAAGGTTGTGGGGGTGCATTGGAAGCATGTAGGCAAAGCAGCGCATTTATATGGCTGGCAGCCGGCTAAGCATGCACTTGTGTCAAAGGCACTACATTCGCATTTGTCTTAACCTCATATGGATCGATGAATCGGAGCAAAGTGCGGTGGCATTGATGATGGCAAATTGGACCATCGGACAGCACAGAAGGACTGCGGCTGCCAAAGCGAAATCAACAGATCGCAATCCTCCACCAGAAATCAGCATGCCATACACTAAGATGTAATCACCCAATCAGTTCTCGGTGAAAAAACGGCTTTGGCTGGGTCAGGCGCAAAACAGACGGGCTTCGCGGTAACATCGATCACACCCTTTTCCTCCATCGTTTCATTCATCTTAACGAAAGAAAGACGAGGTACGAGTCGATATTTTGCGCGCATCCATCATCGCATCCACGGGGCTGAGAATCGTACCACCAGCAGCAATCAAAAATTGAGGAGCAGCGAGACGCAATTGAGACAAAATCCTATAATTTCCGTAGCGGATGCGAAATTCCGGGGTTCAAGCATTCGCTGGTGCCGTCTAGTGGTGCTAGCAGAATGCAGGCTATATTGAGGAACCCTTTAGAGTCGCAGGGCTGGCCGTCGCGGAATGGACCTTGTTAGACTGCTGCTGGTGGTGGACCGCGTTGATGCTGGCGCTTGAGAAACTGGGCTGTAGTTCCTAGGAAAACGCTCCACCCCCAAAAGTACCACACCGCTAATCTCTGAAGCCCTGTATTGATCACCTTGTGTAGACCATGCTTACCAAACAGATTGCCAGTGCTCACCTGCGCAAGGAGTGGGACCTTAGGATTAAGACCCACTTCAACCAGCCGGGACAGAAGCTCCGCCGCCGTCGCGCTCGCTTCGCCAAGGCTGCTAAGATCGCCCCGCGCCCGATCGAGGCTCTGCGCCCTGTTGTCCGTTGCCCGACCGTGAAGTACAACCGCAAGGTTCGTGCTGGCCGTGGTTTCACCAAGGAGGAGCTCAAGGTAAGGATCGATGGACATGGGTCAGCGAGAACGAGCGTACATGGTACGGGCAATATTGTGTACTGAATGATTTCTGTTTTTCTACCTTTTAGGCTGCTGGCCTTACCGCCAAGTACGCTGCCACTGTTGGCATCGCTGTCGACTACCGCCGCCGCAACCGCAGCGAGGAGTCGCTGTCGGCCAACGTTGAGCGCCTGAAGGCCTACGTCGCCAAGCTCGTCGTCCTGCCCCGCAACGCCAAGAAGCGCTCTGCTGAGGACGTCGAGGCTTACAAGAACGCCGTCCAGGCCCGTGGTCAGGCTGTTCCCATCACCGACGGCTACGTCGCTGAGGCTCCCCGCGCCGTCACCGCCGAGGAGAAGAAGGCCAAGGCTTTCGTCACCCTGCGCGAGGCTCGTGGTGTCTACAAGGTCCGCGGTATCGTCGAGAAGCGCAAGGCTCTTCTTGCTGAGGAGGCTGCCAACAAGGCCAAGAAGTAAACACCTTCGAAATAAAATAACATTTAGCTGTTTTAAAGAGGGGCTGTCTTTCTTTCCTACGTCACCAATATTGAGCAGCATGTGCAAGAAAACGGAACTGTGATCCGGCGATATGCGACCGCGAACATGCCATGTGTGGGAGTACATGATGGTGGTGGTGGTGGTGGTGATGGCGTGGTAATATTACACATTAGCGGTGAGAGAGAGGAAAGTGATTGAAAAAAGAACGCGGAAAAGCTGGCCGTCCTACGTGCGGCGACGCTGGCTATGTTGTGAGGGCTGTGGTGGTGCATCGGACAGAGCATGCCGGCGGAGCTGGCGTGAAGACGCCGAATCCGAGGGGTCGATCCACGGATTGGACGGGTTCCTTGGGCTAGACGGCGAGTGGACCATGTTGCGCGAGCGAGACACCGGGCGCTGTATATGCGAGCGTGTGCCGTTGGTTTGTCTGATGGGCGAGAGCGCTGCCGCGTTGTGGTTGCTGACAGCCGAGCTTAGCGAGGTGTACGACGCACCGCGTCCACGCGCGCCCTCGCCCCTGGTCAGCACCAGTGGATGCAGCGACGGCAGGCTATCCGAGCCCTGTCTATAATGGCTGCGCTGGGCACCGACGGCTCCGTACTGCTGGTGCCGCTGCACCACGCCTGGCAGATCAGGGCTTGGCGACCTGAGTGCTGTCAGCGCATCGTCGCTGGCATAGTTGAATCGTGCCGTGTTGCGCAGCCTTGACGCAGGCACCCGGGCAGCTCTGCCTCCGTTTGCAATTCTCCGTGGCGGTATGCTGCCGGAACCAGGTAGCCACCGCCCGAAGCGAGCCGCCAGACCAGTTGGCTTCTGTGTGGCATTTGGCGGCTGCGACCGGCCGCTGCCTTCAGAGTCGCTGACATCGCCGTTATCATCAGTATCGTCTTCATTGCTGCCGCTGGTGCGGGCGCCATGCAGGAACGTGTCAGGCAGGAATGGTGACTGCGAGCCGTCGTCTGTGAGCTGCTCCAGCGACGGTCTTCCCAAATGCCATTCACGCGGGTCCCGCACGCCGTTTTCCAGAGGCACGTCGGCAGTTGCGCTGGCAGACGAAATGTGACCGCGGAAGTTGCTTACATGGATGTCGCTTGTGGGTGAGTACCTGCGCAGGACGCTATGTGAATTGCCTTCCCGGCGCTCAGCTGTCCGACGGGCTTCCAGGATCAGCGCACGGCCTTCCTCGTATGGCAGGGCCAATGGTCCGACCTCTGCTTCTTCGTCGTCGTTACCGGTGCGCACACCGGGGGAGGCAATCCGGCTGATGCTAAAATACTCGACAACACGGCCGTGTACGTTGAAGAAGGCTAGGGTGGCCGGAATCATAATCAGTACAGGGATGGCGCGGTTGGATTGCTCGCCAAGCACTGGCACAAGGTCAATGCGGCCCATGAACTGCGCAAACTCGGTCTCGTCTAGGCCGCCTGCCATGGTCAGGAAATTGTAGCACAGTGGGAACATCAGGCGGCACAGGTACGCGCCGCAAAACAGCAGGCTGCGCTCGTTGGTGTGGTGGTGGGCCTCGAGCGAGTACACATTGAAGATCCTGAGTTGCATCACCGAGCTGTACGCACACAGCGACATGTACGCGATCAGCACAATGCTTGTGATCTCAATGGCAAAGTACGTGAGTCCCAGTGAGCGCAGCACATGGTGCACGATCGACAGATGCGGGGTGGTGACATTGAACGTGACCTCGGACCAAAGCACCGATATGCTCAAAACTGCTGCGCTTAGCGATAGCGCGCGGAAGACCAGCGGGCGGAAGATAATGTACCACCACCACATCAGCGATCGGTACAGCGGGCTCCACTCGTTCCACGGGCGCAGATTCGACTCGATCTGGCGATTCGGGTTAACCCTGGATGCCAGTGCGTCCTGCAGGAAAAACGCGCGCTTCGCAGAGCTCCTCCACCGCCACCGGTCGCGCTCATCCCTAAGCACAGCCTGCTTGACGCGGTTATGCAGCTGCGCCAGGTACGCCTCGGTAATGGCCTCTGGCACCCTCGCCACAGACGCCTGTGGCGCCCTCTCCCCGAGCCTCGGGCATTTCTTCAAGATTGTCTCCACGCACGGCCGCAAATCGTCTGCTTGGTTGATGCGCCGTGCCACCATGTTGACCTCGTTGACAATATCGGCCAGTTCGAGCTCGGCATCATATGCCTTGTCCTTGTATGCCATTGCGCGACGCTCGATCTTTTGCAGCTCTCGCTTCATATCGCCGCGATGCCAGAGCCTGCGTGGAATCGACACAAGGCCGAAGCCCATGAACAGAATGACTAGCGCTAGACCCCAGAAGTTGGCCGCGGCCATGAGGAATGCCATCAGATCTGCGCCAAAAAACTGCCGGGTCACAGCAATGTACCCGATTACTACCAAGCCAATCAGGCCGCTGACTCCATAGAACTGCAGGTTGCTCCATGCGGACTCGCGCAGGCGGTCGCGGAACGTGAATGCACCAGAGTCCACATACGACATGATGAGCGGGATCACAAGCCTACAGCGCGCTCGGGATTAATTAATGCATGGTGTGGTCAAGTGGTGGGTGACGAGCATCGAACAGGGATTTCAAAAATCGCTTACCATGTCAGCAAGTACATTGTCCAGTACAAGACCCACCACATCTGCCGCGTAAGCCGGTCGCTAATGTACCCCATGGGCTCGTCGCAGTTTGCCGAGCACCCGCGGTACAGCGTCTACATGGTTATCACCCTTGGGCGTTGGTTAGCTGACAGGCTGTTTCAATGCCTTCCTCATGTGGGCTGTCCTGCCGAAGGCCTGTTGTCTTGTCTACTTACCGAGCTGAAGTCGAAGGGCAGAATGAAGACAATTGTGAATGGCAGGTACCAGCTGGTTACAGCCGCCACCTGCACATACCACGCACACCGCTTGCGGTCCCCATACAGGTGCAGCAGCCGTAGAATGACCGCCAGGCTGGCCAGGCCACAGAGCAACAGCGGCCAGAGCATTATATCGCTTTTTCTTTATCGTATGCCCAGTAATGCGGACGGGTTCTATATGAAATGCGTCAGCGCGAAAAGAGTCGTCTCGTTTGCCAGTGAAACAGTGATAGAGAGGGAGGAGTGTAAATTAATAGCAGGGCGGTTTGTCTAAATACGATAAAAAAAAGAGCGGAGGGCAAGGAAGAGGGAGGGGAAGGGTGTAGTGTCTTGGCCGAGCTGGCCGCTCCTTTGCAGCACGCTTTATTTTGGAGTGAGGTGTGGTTTTTCACGCGTGAGTGGGCTGCATTTAATTTCTAGACTATACCACTGTTGCGGGGGCCGAAATGGCGTGGACCATCGATTTTGTTCCCAGCCAGCCAATTTTGGATGCTGCTTATTGCAAACGGTCCCGCCGAAAAAAAGGGGCCGAGTCGCCAGAATGCGGGCCTGTCAAAAAGCTGAACTCGCATGCGCGGTATTGAGAGCAACTCCTGGGCCAGCGCCTAAAAGCAGGGAAAGGAGGCCTGGGCAGTAAGCGGATACGAACATGTGTGGCAGTAGAGCCGAATATAACAGGATGGCTGAGGGCCCGTCCACAAACTGCATTCTATAGGGAATTGACAGCTTGTTCAGCGGCATTGCGCGCCTTTAGCCGCCTCCCTTTCAGCTCTCTCAATGTACATTTATTAGTATCAAAATATGTGCTCATCCGAAGGATCTCGCGACACCGTCCAGACATCATGCAAAGCGCTGTCAAAGCCAACAGCGACGCTTCTGACACCCGACGGCGGAGTGCTGGCCACACGCGTGCACTACGAGACACTCAACGACGCACTGTTTCTCCTCAAAGCGACACTGTTCGCGTCAGTGCTCTGTCTGCTGGCATTTGTAATACTCTCTCTGGCGTCAGCAAACGTAGACATCCGGCTCGGCATGCTGGCGGTGACGACATACCCGAAGCTGCTGTTTTCATCGCCCGTGTGGTCATCGACCTCGGTGTTTGCCGCAATCCAGGTTGTGTGGTTCCTGGTGTACTGCCTGTTTTCGCATATCATCCGGCTGCACTTCAATACTGCAGACCCGCCGCGCGACTGGGACGATCGGAATGGCGAATGGTGTGTTGTGGAATTGGATGTGAGGCTTGGAAACAAGCCTACCGAGGTGGCGGAGTGCGAGGTGGAGCAGGAGGATGGCGAGTTCCGATCGGCGGCGGACCAGTGGAAGCTGTGTGTGCTGCCGACGCAGCAGCAGTCGCTGTTTGCGGGTGTGCCGGTGCAGATTGCGCTGCTGACGCCCGATCCCGAGCTGTTAGCGTGGAAGAGGAGAGAAAAGACGAGGCGAGCTGCGGGATCGGCGTGAGGTTTCTACCACGAGAATGGCTAAGTGTTTCAAATGAGATTTTATAAATGGGTACGAACAGGTGTATCGGATAAAAGAGGGGAGAGGGCACTTTAGAGTTCGTCGTGCTGGTTCTGCTGATCGTTGTCATCGGCCTGGACAGGCTCCTCAGCAGCGCCTGCATCTTGTGCGGCAGGCTCTGTCTGCTCCTCGGCATTAGCCTTTGCCTCCTCTCCATCCTCGTCGACAGTCGTCTCGACCTTGATCTTCTTGACCTTCTTGGCGATCAGTCGGGCCAAGCTGCGCTCAATGGCCAGCGCCTTGGCATCCATGGCATCGGTGGTCAGCACCGGATCTTCGTGAGCATGGAGGGCCTCCTGCTTGGCCACCATCTGATCGAGCCACGAGGCAGTGGAATCCAAAGTGTCCTCCAGGTCCTCCAGCAGATCAGCCACAGGCTCGAGTTCCTGCGCCGTGTACTCGTTGCGGTAGACAGTGGTCAGGTTCTCGGCCTGTGTGATGATGGCACGCAAGGGCACTGATGTGCTCAGGGCGCTTCTTGTTCTGGGCAAGACGGAGCAAGATCGGCTGCTCGAGATCAGCCAAAGCACTCAAATGCTTCTGGATCTCGTTCACAGATGCCTTCTCGGCGTAGTCCTCGAGCCACTCGGACGCATCCTGTACGGCAGTCAGCAGCGCCTCACGCTGGGCCTCGGTGGTGACGCTGGCGACATCGTCTTCTTCGATGGTGTCACGCAGATGGTAGATAAGGGATTCAAGCTCGTTGGTGGCTCTGTGGTGGGCAATGCGGGCAGAGTCGCTATCATCCATGCGCCTGAGCAACGCGCGCGAGGACTTGAGAGACGAGTTGGAGAGTTTCCGGATGCCGTGGTAGTCGACAGAAAGCTCCAGAGGCACCACTTCAAGAATGTGTTCTGGCTGGGCAGTGGGCTTGGCGCGCAGCTTGGTCTTGGTCTTTGGGCTTAGATTTGGGCTTGGTAGCAGTGGAGTCAGACTCGAGCCCAGTCCTCAGTAGCGGTCTTCTCGGCCTCCGACGCCGACGAAGCCTCAGCCTCAATGGATGCAGACTCCTGGGTCCAAAGCTCCAGGTCAGCGACATACTCGGCATGCTTCGGGTTGGTGACATTGAACAGAGCCTCGGCCTTGGAGACCTCGAACACGCCAAACTCGTTGGCCTGCACTGTGATTTTGACCTCGGGGACCTCGTTCACAGGGCTCTTTCCCTTGAGCTTACCCTTAGCACCGGCGACGCCCGAGACAGTAGCTGTGGCGAGCTTTGACCACGAGTCGTCAGGCCGCCCCCGACACCTTGGATTCGAATGCAATTTCCATGTCGGACGCACGCGACTCGCGGAATCAGGCGGCGAGCCCCGATGGCAGCGTAGTCCGGATACAGGTATGCGGTGTCATACTTGGTACTGCCTAGCATCGTCTTTTGCTCGGTCGCATGTGTCGAGCGCACAGCGAATGGCATGGCATCGCGCAGACGCACATCGCGCACGCGGAACTGGCTGCTGAGTGTGGCAGCCTTGAACACAGCACCCATGACGCTGGCCTCTTCAGCATTGACGTTCTTGGACAGCTTGTCGGCGCCAAAGGCATCGGCCAGGGCCTGCTGCACGAAGGGCACACGGGTGCCGCCGCCGACAAGCACGATCGAGTCGATCTGGTCCAGCGTCGTGTTGGCAGCCTTGAGGGCCTCATCAATCGGGCCACGGATGCGCGAGACCAGGTGCTTGGAGGCGCTCTCCAGGATCGGCGCGGGTGATCCTTGGTTGTAAAGTCAATCCCCTGGTGGACGCCCTCGATGGAGGCATCGGTCTCGACGTTAGCGCTGAGGATAGCCTTGACGCGCTTTGCCTCCTTCAGCAGGCGGTTCATGGCGCGGGCACTCTGGGTAATGTCAGAGGTTTCCGGGATGACTCTTTGCAAACTTTTGGGCAAGCAGGTCGCGCAGAATAAAGTCAAGTTGCTGGCCGCCGAGGCTGGTGTCCGAGGCGTGGGCGCTGACATTGACGATGGTTGACTTCTTCGACGCCTTGGTGAGCTTTGACGAGGCACGCACGTGGAAGCCAGCGACGGTTGCCACAGTCTTGCCAGCCCCCATGTCGTAGAACACATGCTTCTCGGCCTTCTGGAACTCGCGGTTCATGCCGTAGTTGAGTGCCACAGCGCTGCCGTCGTTGACCATGGCTAGAACGCGGAAGCCGGCGATATTTGCAGCATCCAGCATCGCCAGGCGCTGTGATTGCGTGAAGAACGACGGGATAGTGAGCACAACATCCTTGACCTCAATGCCCTCGCTCTCCTTGACCAGCTGCTTAGCGTGCTGCAGCTGCATGGCCACGATGTCCTGGACCGTCAGGGTCTCGTTCGCCAGAGCGCCATACTGGAACGCTACCGTGCCCTGCTCGGGTTCTTTTACCATCTTGTTGGAAAACTGCTTGCGGTACTCGGCAGCATCCTCGGAATCGTACGGAAGGCCCAGGAGGTTGCGCACTGCGAAGAACGAGTTCTCGGGGAACCGTGACGAAATGGAAATTGCGTCGGCACCAAATGTCCGCTCCAGACCGTTGACTGTGACCACCGATGCGGTTTTGCGCTTGGCGTCGCGGTTCAGCACCAGATCCAGGGGCCGTCCCGGGTTGGCCAATCGCGATCGTAAACCACTCGGCTCCAAAATCAATGCCCAGCACTGCGGCGTGCACGGTTGTTGCCAGTGAGGCGAGCAAGGCCAGCAGCAGTATGCATAGGCGCTTCACAGGTAAAGTTGCTCGGCTCATCACTTCCAATTCTCTAATTTCTGTTTTGCAGTGATGATAGGAATTGAAACACAAAAAGAAAGGTAAAATAGGAGGGGTAGCATATACGCAGCTGCTGGGCTTTATTTTGCGGGTGTTCGGCCAGTCCCTGGCGATGAACCACGGCTTTAGCAGCCGCTAGCCTGTCGTGGCAAGACAACGCATAGGGCTGGGATGTGTGGCAAACCGATCACGTGGCGATTTCCTGATTGATCGCAAAGCCTACCCAGATCTGGCTGCTGTGTCGTCACTGAGCGAGGGGCGGGGCTGTGCGCGCTGCCTGGTTCTACACAAGCAGCAGCAGCTCAGGCCGTCCTCCTTCCCCTTTGCGCAGTCAAACCGGTTTTCACATGGCAGGCCGTGGGACGCTTGGTCAAGCAATAACCGCACAGGTTTTGGCGGTTATTGTCTGGCATTGGCGGGCCATTGTATTTTTGCACTGGGGGCAGTACAGCCAGCCAGGCACATACGCTGGCTCTGCAGCGACACCGCCGGTCTGGGTGAGGAAGTGGTGGCCTTTTAAACCCCCTCCCGAGACAAGGCGAGTTCATGCATGGTTCCAGCAGGCAAATCAATTCTTCGCACCACAATCGCACACACTCTTCTCATGCAACCTTCAAGATCGCCGTCGCTCTTCGCACTTGCCCTCGCTGCTGCAGCGGCTCTCATGGTGCCCGTGGACGCCCAATGGCTTGGTGCTGGCATGGGAGTGGGCATGTACGGGGGGCATGTACGGGCATGTACGGGGGCATGTACATGTATGGCAACCCGGGCGGGATAATGTTCACCGGGCTTGGGCATGGCGTCATTCAGGGGGCATCGACCAGCGGCGCCATCATCCGGGGCCCCTCAGGCATGATCGTGGCCGGCCCGCAATCCGCTGGCTCCATCTACTTCTGAGCGACACCGGGGGAGGGGAAGGATAGTACACAGCAGAATGATACGACCAACGTTTCCATTTTTCAGTAATAATAATGCCACTAATTGTCTCCAGCGAGCGACGGCAGCCGGCCGCCAACCGCAAAACCGCAGCTGCTCACGCGGGCAGCTGCAGAGAGCGGTGCGAGCCAGCGGCCAGAGTGATATACGGGTGTTGATGCTGCGTCGCCGAGCCGGGTTAGGCAACAGCAAAATTTTTTTGGGGAAGGGGCGCAAGGAACTATAGAATGGAAAATGGACTGGCAGCAGCTCCCCAACAACTGATCTCGAGCCGTCATGAAAAATTTTTTCGTGGGCCGCTGGTATAAAAGCGCGGCAGGCCTCCAGACCGGGCTGGTTCTTTCTCTGCATTTGCTGCTTTCTAAAATCTCGTAAAAAGACAACAACAGGTAAGGACTTGGCTCGCACCCGCAGATACGCTTGGCTGGATATTTTGCTCGATGGCGAATCCATCGAGTATTATTTCCCAGGCGCATCCATTTCAACCACATCTATCCCCGCGCATCCGCAACACTGGTCTAACACGCCTGCACGTCCTCTGCGTAGATCACCATGGGTAAGGAGAAGAACCATATTAACGTCGTCGTCATCGGTCACGTCGATTCCGGCAAGTCCACCACTACCGGTCACCTCATCTACAAGTGCGGTGGTATCGACAAGCGTACCATTGAGAAGTTCGAGAAGGAGGCTGCTGAGCTCGGCAAGGGTTCGTTCAAGTACGCCTGGGTTCTTGACAAGCTGAAGGCTGAGCGCGAGCGTGGTATCACCATCGATATCGCTCTGTGGAAGTTCGAGACCCCCAAGTACTTCGTTACCGTCATTGACGCCCCGGGTCACCGTGATTTCATCAAGAACATGATCACCTGGTACCTCGCAGGCTGACTGCGCCATCCTCATCATTGCTGGTGGTGTTGGTGAGTTCGAGGCTGGTATCTCCAAGGATGGCCAGACCCGCGAGCACGCCCTGCTTGCCTTCACCCTCGGTGTCAAGCAGCTCATTGTTGCCGTCAACAAGATGGACTCGGTCAAGTACTCCGAGGACCGCTTCAAGGAGATCATCAAGGAGGTCGCCAACTTCATCAAGAAGGTCGGCTACAACCCCAAGACCGTTGCCTTCGTGCCCATCTCGGGCTGGGAGGGTGACAACATGATTGAGGCCTCGGCCAACATGCCGTGGTACAAGGGATGGGAGAAGGAGATCAAGGGCAACAAGGTCACCGGCAAGACCCTCGTCGACGCCATTGACGCCATTGAGCCCCCTGTCCGCCCCTCGGACAAGCCCCTGCGTCTTCCCCTCCAGGATGTGTACAAGATCGGTGGTATCGGTACCGTCCCTGTCGGCCGTGTCGAGACTGGTGTCATCAAGGCCGGTATGGTCGTCACCTTCGCCCCGGCTGGCGTGACCACTGAGGTCAAGTCCGTCGAGATGCACCACGAGGTCCTCACCGAGGGTGTCCCGGGTGACAACGTCGGTTTCAACGTCAAGAACGTCTCCGTCAAGGACATCCGCCGTGGTAACGTGTGCTCGGACTCGAAGAACGACCCCGCCAAGGAGGCCGCTTCCTTCACCGCCCAGGTCATCGTCCTCAACCACCCCGGACAGATCTCGGCTGGCTACGCCCCTGTGCTCGACTGCCACACTGCTCACATCGCCTGCCGCTTCGCTGAGCTCCAGCAGAAGATTGACCGCCGTACCGGTAAGGTCACTGAGGAGTCGCCCAAGTTCGTCAAGTCTGGTGACGCCGCCATCGTCAAGATGATCCCCTCGAAGCCCATGTGCGTTGAGGCCTTCACCCAGTACCCCCCTCTGGGTCGCTTCGCCGTCCGTGATATGCGCCAGACCGTTGCCGTCGGTGTCATCAAGGCCGTCGACAAGACCGAGAAGTCGGGCAAGACCACCAAGTCTGCTGCCAAGGCCGCCAAGAAGTAAATAGCTTCCTGACTGCTGACCATCGGTTTTCTTCCGCGCTCGCGTAGAGTTGTCGTTTTTTTGTCTTCAAAGAAATTAGATTGCCTCTAACGGGCCACAAAATATCTGGATCGTGTGCGCGGGCCAATGTCTTGCAGGTGCTCTGGGTCCGGCTCGATGCCGCTGCCGGCACAGTCGCGGATGTACTTGAGCTGCCTGAAGAACAGCAGCTTCTCCGCGTTCTGGTACGCCGCCGTGCGTCCGCTGGTCGACGGCATGGCGAACAGGTACGCGAACTTGCCCTGCTCCAGCTTGCCTGGCTGCAGCGGCGGACAGCTGGCTGTCGCGCTGCTGTCGAATTCGTAGACCTCGCGCTGCAGCCCCAGCTCGAATTGCTTTGCATTCGCAAAGACCTGGTAAATGCCCTTGCCGACAAAGCACACGATCTTGGGCGGATTCGCAGTGATCTTGCGGCACAGCTCGGGCACTGCCTCGCGCATCTCCCTGGCGCTCAGGTCGCTGGTCGAGCGCGTGGTGCGCTGGACCAGGTTGACGATGGACATGTTCCACTTCTCGTGCAGCAGATGGCCCTGCTCCGGTGGGATGGGCTCCGGAATCAGATCAGACTCGAACAGTCCCTTCCAGAAGTAGTTCTGTGGGTTGCCAAAGTGCAGCTGCTTGTATCCGCTGGTGTACCCTGGGTTGATGCCCACAAACAGAATGTCCAAGCCCGGCCGGATCGTCTCGGGGACTGGCGCAAAGGCGGCCATCTCCTGCTCGTCGGCAGTGAGCCGGTGCTGCTTCTTCGTCTGCTTCTTCTCCGTCTGCTTCCTGGCTGGTGGCTGGTGACTCTTTCTGGCGCGGGCTCTCGTTACAGGGGGCATGGGTTGTGCTTAATGGATGGTGTTTAATGGATGGTGTTTAATGGATGGTGTTTGATGGATGGTGTTTGATGGATGGTGTTTGGAGGTCAGTGGAGTGGATCGCCAGCTGCTATTCATTTCACACGCGATTGAACGATAGCCTCCTTTTTTTTTTTTTTGCTGTCCACGGACTAGGGGCGCCGCCACTCGAGGCAGGATCCACATTCGAATCAGCCAGCCATGGCGGCGAGGCTATAAAAGCCAGCGGCTTCAGCAGGCACCCCTTTCTCCTCTACAACGCTCCGCTTCTAGCCTACACATCTACCCCTCTACTATGAGCGCACTGACTGGAATTGCCAAAGCGTCGATTCGTCGACTGCACACGCGACAGCTCACGAGCTATATCCGGCTCTCGCCACGGGTCAGCGAGGCGCTCAAGAACAACGAGCCTGTGGTTGCGCTCGAGTCAACCATTATCAGCCATGGTATGCCGTACCCGCAGAACGTCACCACCGCGCAGCAGGTCGAGAGGATTGTCTCCGAGTACGGCTCGGTTCCCGCCACTATCGCCCTGATCGACGGCAAGATCCACGTGGGGCTGACCAACGACGAGCTCGAGCGCCTCGGCAAGAGCGGCAAATCGGCTGTGAAGACATCGCGGCGTGATATGGCAGCCGTGCTGAGCCAGAAGGTGCTCGGTGCAACCACAGTGTCGGCGACCATGATAGCAGCCCACATGGCTGGGATCCCGATCTTTGCCACCGGCGGAATCGGCGGCGTGCATCGGGGCGCCGAATCCACAATGGATATCAGCGCCGATCTGACGGAGCTCGGCAAGACACCGGTCACTGTGGTGTGTGCAGGCGCCAAGTCTATCCTGGATCTGCCCAAGACGCTGGAGTTTCTGGAGACCCAAGGCGTGCCGGTGGTGGCCTACGGCGAGAGCGACGAATTCCCGGCGTTCTTCAGTCCGCGCAGCGGCCTGCGTGCGCCGTGGAACATGCAGACGCCTGAGGAGGTCGCCAGGATGACGAAGACGGCGTTGGAGCTGGGTCTGAGCACAGGCCAGGTCATTGCCGTGCCCATTCCCGAGGCCTTTGCTGAGCAGAGTGCCGAAATCGAGCGGGCGATCGAGCGGGCCGTAGGCGAGGCCGAGGAGCAGGGCGTAAAGGGCAAGGAGAGCACCCCATTCCTGCTTAAGCGCGTGGTCGAGCTGACTGCTGGTGCCTCACTAACGGCGAACATTGCGCTGGTCAAGAATAACGCCCGCGTCGGCAGCCAAATCGCAAAGTCGCTGGCTACCTATGATGCCGGTGAGTAGCAAATTTGTCTGACAAGTCCTTTATAGCTGTCGGCTACACCGACGATTAATAAGACGAGCATGGGTATTAAGTGGCATCGACATGTGTAGGGAAGGCTTGGTAGCCGGCGCAGCTACTCGACAGCAGCGAGGCGGTCCGAAGTACTCTGGAACGCACGGCAGGCGGCCCCTGGTGGTGGTTGGCGGGTCTGCCATCGACGTTATGTCGCGGATCGACACTAGCCTAAAGGATACGCCCATTTCCTCGTCGTCCTACCCGGGAGCTGTGCATACCTAGCGTTGGCGGTGTTGGCCAGAACATGGCACGTGCCGCGCACTACCTGGGCGCCGACACCGTCTTGATCTCAGCTATTGGCCACGACACGTACGGCAGCAACCATCAAGGCAGCCCTCGACGACATCGGCATGGATACGGCCTTTCTGCAGTACCCGGGCAATCAGGCGCGTACCGCCGTCTACAACGCCATCCACAAACCCGATGGCGATCTTCTAGCGGCTGTTGCCGACATGGATATTAACGGCATGGTATCTGCACACCAGATTGAAGAGGCGTTCCGCAAGCTGGCACCTGGTGTTGTTCGCCCTTGACGGCAATATCTCGGTGCTGGCCATCTTCAAACTCGATCGTTTGGTCGTATCTGTACAAGAGCTGCGTCGTGTTCGAAGCCCACCTCGGTGCCCAAGTGCTCGGCACTTCTAAATGCCTTGTCGTTCATTAAGCGGTCTGGGACGATCAGCGATATTGCCAGCCGCGTGCACATCATCACACCCAATAGCCTGGAGTTAGCGCGTATGGCTACAGTAGCGCTGGAGTTGGACGCTGGTGGAAACCGCCCCACTGGCACAAACCGTCCAAGGGTACGCTGATACCCTGTATTCGCTGAAGGCCGAAGATATCGGCCATGCGCTGACGCTGTTCCCGCTGTTCCCCATTCAAATTGTCAAGCTGGGAGAGAAGGGCGTCATGCTCGTCAGCCCATCACCGGCTGACCCCGCAAAGCCGCTGCTTCGCCATATCCGTCCTCTGAAGCCCAGCCTGGTCATAAACAGCAACGGCGCCGGCGATAGTCTGGTGGGAGCCGTTTTGGCCTTCGCTCTATAACTTGCCGGTCACGATTGGCGCCGAGAGGCTGCGTGGAGATTGATCCCGGAGGTCCTAGGATCGGATTGTGAATCGCGCACAGAAGGCATCTATCCTGTCGCTGGAATCAGCAAATGCTATCAGCGAGAAGCTGGTGCCTGCATTGCTTGAGGAGGATTAGGCAGATATGAATATATCGTACACTGGTGCGTGGCTGTGATGCATGTGGGTATGCTGCTGTAGTCAACAATAGGACCCATCAAAGGCAGGCTAGAGCTTTGGCGTCAGCCTCGAGTATAAAAAGGCACTGCCAGTTCTGCACCCCTCCGTCAGCTCCCAGATCAAGCAGAAAGTTTCTCGTTTATAATGTTGCGCCCACCTTTCAACACAATATTGCATCAAACCAGCCCCGAAAACGGACGACTCCCTGAGGTAGTCTTTTACCTCCATCCTCACATATGTGAATATCGGCAACTCCCAGCTGTTCCCGTGGCAATACCAAGACCGCCCCCTATGGCATGCGGTGAAGGACTGTATCTGTAGAAATTGGCTCACTGGGGCTCTGCGCTTGGAATACGCAGATGCTTATTTAGATTGCCATCTTTCACCAATGCACTCCCATCCTACACGTGCATCAGGAGCTGGCTACATTTCAAAGATACACGACCTGCAGCGCGTACTGAAAGTTGGCTATGGAGAATTTGTTTCTCATCTAACAATCTGCATTCCGACTGTGCACTTTCTTGGTCGTTCCCGTGTTTGCCGACAAGATGGCGCTGCTGACTCAGAATAGCGGCAGCTACATATCACAGATTACTATTGAGATACGCGACACGAGCGAGGTATGCGATAATGGTGGTTCATACGAAGTAAGAGTTCAAACGGTATATCCCATGGTGAACTCGTTTATCCTCGTGTTGGTTGGATTTGCACCAAATGCCGAGCTGTACAGGGTTTCCAGCAGCACACCCACCGACGCAAGCGTAACATACAAAATGTCCAGGCTGCTGGTGAACATGCTCAAGCAGCATAGGTATATCAGTGGCGCCAGTGGTTTTTCTGAATGACAGTCAAGGGGCACAGAGGTGGAGACACATGGGCTCAGGATTAGCATACTCTTGTGACGACTATACGGAGTGGCCGCCACTCTCATAGGGGCGTTTGTGTTTGGTATTCTTGAGAATCAATGTCATTTCCAACATTTAGCAATTGCGTCGTGCTTGTGTTGACACTGGAAGAGTATATTATGAAATATGTAGTGTATTGTCTACCATCCTTACAATAGCCCTGGACGCGTTGTCTGACGTATTAAATGGATGTGTTATTTTCCTGCCTGCATGGCTTTTGCATGGCAAATACTTTGGACAATCTCAAGCGATATGTTTACATTTGGAGTTTTACGTGCAAACTGCCATCGGCGGTTCTCACTGACTTGGTTGACTCATCCCTTGCTCCTCTTCTTCCTTAAATATTTAAAGTGCCAAGGTGCCTTTGCGAATACGGCATCCTCCAGCATTCAAAATCAATATTTACTCCTTCAATATGGATTCTCTTGCAGCGAACGTCGAAACAAAGTCATACAAGTTCGGGAAGCTGGATGCAATTATTTCTATCTTGAGAGCTCGGATGGTGTGCTTCTATGAAAATCATGGTTCTTCCAGCACCTTTATGCCTAGCGACAAGCTCAAGGAGGGGTTCTCATAGGACATTAGTCAAGTTCCCTTGGCTACTTGGGCACCTTAAGCAAACGCGCGATGGGACTGTTGGAAGTCGCGGTCGATAAAGGGCAACCTAAATATGCCTATTTACCGCGAGAAGCAATCCGATGTGCACTTTTCTGATATCAAGTCGGCAGCCTACAACCCAGAGACGTGGCCAAGCGATCTAATCTCCACTAACAGCATTACATGTCCAGAGAAGGACACGGGGGTAATCAAACTCGTTAATGTCCACGTCGTGCGTTTGAAGGGGAACAGCGGAATGATAATTTCGGCAGGCTTTTGCCATGGCGTTGCTGACGGTACCAGCTGCTTTACGTTTCTCAACCGCTGGGCGGATGAGACACGCATGCTCATCACTGGTGACCCGCTGGAAGAGGTCGAGTACTGCTTTGATCCTGCTCTGCTGCTCCAGTATCTACCCAGTGAGCGCACACCACTCAGTGAGACGACGAAGGAGGTGCTTTCCCTGAACTCGCGCATAGGTAATTTCATTATGCGACTGTCGCCAACAGCCCGCGGGAAGTTGCTGAATTTTATTGACAGCAAGACTCCACTACATGGCCATCTCTTCCGCATCTCGCACAAGGCGCTTGATGAATTACGCAGCCAAGTTCTTGAGTGTATGCCGCCTGGGTCCCGCGTATCCGACAATGACCTTCTGGTTGCCACCGCCTACAAGGTCCACGGACAGGCCGAGCTAGAAGCCGCAAGCAACAGCAAGGGGTTGTTTGCCCGACTATTCCAATGCAGAACAAGAGCCCAAGGGGAGCACTGCCTTTTGACCAACTTCAACGTCACCGGTCTACTAGGAATGGGTAATCTGAACTACGTAGGGAATCCGCTGATGGGAGAGTACATTACGAATCCAATGGGCCACGCGCAGGTCCCGCTCACTGCCCAGACAATTGCAGACATAGCTGGTCAAGGTACAGGTCAGCAACATCCAACATATCGCCGCCATATGTTGCAGAGTACATGGACACCTTTAATGCACCAAGCTGCAAACTGGGCACATTCACTGCTCTAACTACGCATTACAATGTCTTTACCACCACATCGAACGTCAGACGCTTAAAGATGTATGACGCCGATTTTGGCAGCGGCGTGCAGGCGTTTACGACGGTTCCCCCCGATTACGGAGCAGGTGTATTCCTTTTCATGCCGTCACCATCAGCAAGCAAGGATATTATTGTCAATGTGTCTGCGTCGCCAGCGGTAATGGACTGCATCCTGAAAAACAGGCATTGGATGGAGCTTGCAGAGTTTGTTTACTAAGTAATGGAGACACCAAGATTATCGAAATATACTTGCTGTGAAGCATGATCATGAAATACGGCCATGGGTTGGGTAAATGACGAGACGCCTATCTCAGTGCTATTAATACAGTACAGGGCTGTCATAAGCAGGAGGTGAGAGAAAGGGAGGCGCCTTTGACAACTAGTCCAAGTACAGGGCCGCAGGGATAGGTCGCAGACATCAGCGGAGACTCGCTCACAATCGCGCCTCCTTTGTCTAGTTTTGTGTGTTGTGAAACAAAATCGTCTGTCTATAATTGACTTTGGATGATATTGGGTCTGCAGCCACAAGGTAGTTTCTGTTCAGATACTATAGACTGCGGCCAGGATTGTCCCCAGTGTCTCGGATTGTGGAAGCCAGATGTCAGATCACTTGTACTTGACAAGCAGCTCGGACTTAGGAGTCTGCTGCGGCCCAGATCGAGTATCTAAGAGATAAACATTATTTCTCTGTAGCAACAGCTGCGTATAAAAAGGGACTATACCGTCGTCTCGCCCTTCTGTTCTTTATCATAGACTCCGGCATTACAGTAACATGGACTACCTGCGCGACAGCATCGAATCAGCGACCTATCGCACTAAGTGTGCTGGACGAAGCTGTATCGTATGCGTATATCCGGCACGTAAACTTCTACAGCAACAGCATGGGCTCCAGGGACTTTATGGCCAAGGACAAGGTCGAGCAGGCATTCTACCGGACACTCGTGCATTTCCCGCCATTTCTCGGCGACATCACGCAGACAAGCACAAATAGACTGCAAGTTGTAGTTGACAAGGACAACCTCAACATCCCAAAGTACCTAGAGTCGCAATCGGGCGTACACTTTAGCGACATTGAGTCAGCCGGGTACCACCAAGATACCTGGCCAAGAAACCTGGCGACAGCCGGCAAGATTCCGTCGCCGGATCCCTGCTACAGGTCGGATCAAGCTCATTGATATTCACGTTATGCGGCTGAAGGAGAACAGCGGCGTGATCATTTCCACAGCCTTTGCCCATGTAATCACAGGATGGCTACGGGTGCTTCGAGTTCCTGAACCGGTGGGCAGACGAGGCGCGTGCATTGATCAGCGGTCGAGCCGGCAGAGCAAATCACGTATTGCTTTGATCGCTCGGTGGTCCACCAGCATTTGCCTGAAGAGAATGTGCCGGTCAAAAAAGAGGTCAGCGATATGTATTTGGGCGACTCATGGACATCGCGGCTTCCTGACATGGCTGTCGACCGGAGACACGCGGCAAGATCATGAGCTATCTGGATAGCATGGCGCCGATGGAAGGCTGCTTGTTCCGGCTGCCCCGCGAAAAGCTCAGCGGTCTGCGGGGCCAGGTGCTCCAATACGTGCCAGAGGGCACTCGGGTCTCGGACAACGACCTGGTTTCGGCATTGACATATAAGTTACTGACTCAGGCAACAACAGAAGCCACGGGGGAAGACCCAGGGCGGCTGGCAAAAACTCGTCCAGTCGCGCCATGGGTATCAAGAACGAGCACATGCTCGGGTTCCCTTGCGACATCCGGTTCTGGATCAACATGCAAAGCGAGAACTACATCGGGAACCCGCTCTACCAAGCATCCTTCGCAAACTCAATCGACTTTGCCAAGCAGCCTAGCAATGCACAGACCTTGGCGGAAGTGGTAGTGCAGGTGCGCAAGGCAATCTCCCAGGTGACGCCAGCGCGGATCGGCGGATTCTACAGCATGATTGAGTCCAAGGACGCAAAGCTGGGGGGCTTTCTTGCCGGCATGATGGCGTACAAGATGGTCAATGGCGTGTCGAACCAGACGAGGTTCAATATTTACAAGGCAGATTTCGGCAGCGGCGTGCAGAGCTTTCGCTACAGCTAAGCCGGACTTTGGCGATGGTGTTATTATCATCCTGCCGCCACCGCCACCAAGCAATGATCTTTTGGTCAATCTGACGGTGACGGCCAAGGTCAAGGAATGCATTTTGAAGAACAAGTTCTGGATGGAGCTTGCAGAGGTTGTTTACTGAAATAGATGCACATATGGCCATAGCATGCCTGTGACTAAGTTTTTTCTTCGTTAAATGCGGGGGTGAATTCTACAAGGGCAGCAGGGTGCTCTGCAGCAGCTCCAGAGCTTTGCGATCGATGATCAGGTAGTCGTGCCTCAGGATCTCATAAACCTCAGCATCGGCCAGCATTCATGATATCGACACCGGGCAGATTGCGGCTCGCCAGCTCAAGGTTGCGCAGACCCTCGGGCAGCTCCTTGTCCATCAGCGGCATCATCAGGACATTCGCATCGCCAGCAGTCGGCATCCACGCGTTCTGGACCAGAGTCCGACGCAGGTCCTGGGTCCGATGCGAGGCAACATCAAAGTCCTCGACCACAACAAGCTGGTCCTGCGCGTATTTGGCCGAGATCACCGCGCGCAATCCCATCAGCCACACCTTGCGCTGAATCTCAATCGCATGGCTCCGCGGCACCGGCCCATGGGCCTTGGCACCGCCGACATACTGCGGCGCGCGACGCGTCCCGTGACGTGCCATACCCAGGCCCTTCTGCGGGGTGATTTTGCGCGTCGACCCGCGCACCTCGCTGCGCGTCCGTGAGTTGTGCGTCCCCTGGCGACGCAGATTCCGCTCGTACGTCACCACTCGGTGGATGATGTCGGAGCGCACCGGTGCCGCAAACACGGTCCGCGGCAATTCCGCAATCGACTGGGGTGCGCTGGTTGCAAAGTCCAGAACAAAGGCCTGCACCGTAGGCGCCAGCGGGTTGATGGCCTTTAGGGGCTGCGGCGGCGGCCAGTTCAGGGCGCTTTTGGTGCCCGCCGAGGGCGCGATCTTGCGGGTGAGCGAGCCGATCGGCCGCAGGACTGACGGCTGGAGGGTCTGCGAGGCATCGGTGACCAGGGTGCGGGCCAGGCGCGCGGCCGAGGGAACGAAGCGGCTGAATCTGCCAGCGTTCATTTTAGCGAGAGAATAAAATAGCTGAATTGGGAGTATTTGTGGTAGAATGCTGACAAGAGACAAGCAAGAAAAAGTGCAAGGTGGGAGGGAAAAATAGGCAGGGCGCTGATAAACGCTAATCTAATACAGAATCACTGGGGTTCGACAATCACCTGGCCGCCAGTGGCAGGCTCAGGCTCAGGAGTCTGCGGCTTGGATGTGGCCAGCGGGGCATCGGCGAGCGGGAAATCGTCGCCATCGTCGCCACGGATCTCGACAGGCAGAATGAACCCGTCGTCGTCCATTTCGGACGCCGAGTCGCTAAAGAACGGGTCGTTGTCTGTGATATCCACAAACACATCGCCCTCCTCTTCGTCAGCGGGGTTCGGGCGGTCCTTGCGCGCGCGCTCCTCGTTAATGACCACGACATGGCCATCGGCATACGTGACTTTCTTGTCAAACTCGTCCTCGGGCTCGTCATGGTCGATGTTCTCTTCGAGCTCGCGGAAGCCGGGCGCAAAAGGCAGTCCAGTTCTGCTGTGGCACGCGCGTCCACAGATAGACCAGACCAAAAGTCGACACCGACGCAATAATGGGCCGCAAAGGGTGCACAGCACAGTCTTCCAGGAGCTCATTCGGTCCATCGAGAACCTTGACCAGGCTGCCTGCCAGCTTGTCCCACACATATATGTTGTGCTCGGCACGGTGCTCAATGCCGGCGATAATGTAGTCGCCCGATGCACTGAACACGGCCTGTGCCCAGTTCACGCGGATTCACGATATCCTGGATGCGCGACACGACGGACAGGGAGTTGTCGGTGAGCCGACAGACGCGCAGGGTGCGGTCTGAGGAACTGGCTACGATCTCGGGCGCACGCGCATTCGCCGCCAATGATCCAACGCGACTCGAGGACAGCCGCAATGAGCACACCGGTGCCAGTGTCTCGGTCTCCACAACATGCACGTACCCCTTGGTGGTGCCGAAAAACATATGCTTGCCTTTTTTGCCAAAGCAGCAGCACGTGGCCTGGCCCTCGATCTCCAGCCTCGTGCGTGTCCCGCCTGCAGTGACCATCCACGGCATGCCCTTCATCGGGCAGACCACCAGGAGGTGCGGGTTGCGCGGGTGCACGCGCGCGTCCAGGATGGGTGCGTCGAATTGCTCGCAGGTGCGCGTGTTGGTCTGCAGGTCCCAGAGAATGCACAGCCCGGCGTCGTCGTAGGTGAGCACGTGGCGGGAGCTGCGCGACCACCGCACGCCCATTAATGGCGCATCGCCATGTGTCAGCTTTCGCACAATGTTCAGCGTATCCATGTCCCAGATGTAACTCATACCATCGGACCGCGCCGTCGCCAGCAGCGAGCCGATTGTGGGAGAACGCACAGCACGTTGCGTATTCGTCGTCAAGACATGCTTCGATTGTCTCAGGGTACTCAGGCTCGAACGGATCCAGCAGCTTGCGGTTCATGGTGCAAAAACAGGAAAACAATAAAAAAAAAAGCCCACGGGATTCCGCAGCACACATTTGCTCCCAAACTTGTCCGAGTGGCTGTTGGCCATCAAGTATGGATCATGTAGCATATGGCAATATCCCAACTACCATCTATTAATTTTTCATGCAATGGACGACAGTACGCAGCCAGAAGGCTCGCTCCTAGACACACAGACCGGCGTTACGCAGACCGACAGCGAGCGCACAGCCGTCGACATTGCGCGCTACGCCCTGGCCGCCCACGCCGCCCACAAGCCATTGCGACGCGACGCCCTCCGCAGCCTCTTCCGCGACACCAGCGCGCGTCACTTCAAGCTTGCGTTCTCGCGCGCCGACGAGCTCCTGCAGCTCCACTTTGGCCTCACACTGGCGCCCTATCCGGCCCACGAAAAATCCCTGGATGCACCCGCACAGACAAAGCCCGTAGGGCCGCTGGACATTGCAAAGCACGCTGCCGGACGCATGCCGCGGGCGTCTGCAGTTGGAGCAGGACGACGCGCAGCTGATGGGGTTCGCTGCGGCGGTGCTCAGCCTGGTGCTTGTCAGCAATATGTGCGTGACCATGGATCAGCTTGTCTTGTACGTGCGGAAGCTCGGCCCTCCCGCCCACATTGCCAATGCGCCTGCCTCGCGCCTATCCACAACCGACGATGCCCAGCGCGATGCGTGCGCGCGCGAGGCCATCAATGCATTGCAGCGTCGCGGGTACCTCGACGTGCTGGCGCCACGCGCTGCACCCGAGGACGTCGAGCTCACGTGGGGCCCGCAGGCCAAAGTGGATTTCCGGCCCATCGACATCGCACGCTTCATTGCGGCGACCACCGGCCAGGAATGCTCGCCCGAGTTTGTGGCCAAGATCGGCCGCGCATTCGGCCGCAATATCGAAGGTTAATCAATAAAAAAAAAGAATCACTCTGCCACCGGCGACTCCCGCTCGGCCGGCTGGTACGGCTTGACCAGATCAATGTTGTTGACGGCCACTTCGAGCTCCATCTCCACCGCTGGGTCCAGTGCCCGGAACTTCTTCAGCAGATACTGCGAGTTTGCCAACAACTGGCGCTTACCCTCGGCTGTGGTAATCCGCAGCCGCGCGTACTGCGCTGTCAGCTTGTCGCCGTACATAGCAAAGATCTGCCCAAACACCCACCGCACCGCCGCCTCCGGCAGGTACCGCTTCAGCACGCGGTGCAGCTTGCGCACCTCCTTTGCCAGCCCATCGATTGCCGGCGCCGGCACCGCTGCTGCGCTGTCCCATTTGGTTGCCCCCAGCATCCGGCAGTGGTAGTCGCCCCGGTCCGCCATGATCTGCACCAGTTTGCGGTGCAGCTCGTGCTGGTGGTTTGCAAAATCGCCCACCGCGCGGTCCAGCTGCCCCAGCAGCCCAGCCTGCGTTGATGACATCACGTGTCGCAGACACTCCTTGACATACGGCAATAGCTCCATGCATAGCCCCAGCGACTCCGACGCCAGCGCCAGGTGCTTCGCCGAGATGTTCTTGAGCCCCGCTGACCGCATCGCCCCTGCCCCTAGCACCACCTGGCATGTGCGCGAATTGAATGCCTTGAACACCTCCACCAGCCGCTGCAGAACATCCGTCACCAGCACCGGGATGTTGACCGCACACTGCAGGTACTCCACCACGCTCTTGACTAGCACCAGGCTGCACCCGACCACGTGGAACGACTCGCCGCCAATATGCATCAGCCCGATCCCCGCCGTGTCCACTGACCGCACTGACGCCACATCAGAGTCCGCCGCCTTGGTTGCCATCACCATCTGCGTATGCACACCCTCAAACGCCCTGCCATCTAGAGCTTTGCTTGGCAGCGGCGACTCGCTACTTGTTTGGCCGCTACTCAGCGCCAACGGCCCACTCGCCGGTGTATTGATCCCTGGAGTGCCGATTCTCGGCGTACCAATTCCTGGCGTGCTGATTCCTGGCGTGCCAGCTCCTAGCACCAGCGGGCTGGTTGGCTCGGTCGCGGTCTGTTGACCTGCAGCCTCCACCACCTGATTGACCAGGTTCTGGAAGTCAATCGGCACCTCGGCCTGCACCCACTGCTCGTTCTCTATAAGAATGTGGATCTGCCGCGACTTTTCATTGTGGAAGTTGCTCAGAAACGCCTTTGCCTTGCGCCGTCAGCGTGCCACGCAGCCCAAAGCACATCTTGCCACACAGCTGCTCGTACTGCGCGACAAACTGCGAAATCTCTGCATACAGGGCATAAAACCCGGCCAGGCTCAGCCGCGCATTCTGCTCCGACCGGTGGTTCACCAGCTTGGCACACCGCACGTGCGCAACATCCATGAACGTCTCGAATGTCTCGTCCAGCGACCGCTGCAGATCACCCTTGGCCACTGCGTAGTGAGCCGAGCCGTCCAATGCGCTCTCGTCCAGGAGCTGCCATGATCGCACGCCTGACCATGCCAATATGCGTTATGATCAGAAGCAGAAGCTGCTGTTGCTGCCCTAGCAGGCTGCGGAACTGGTCAAACGTCAGCGCACGCACCGCCGCATTCAGGCTGCGCTGCTGCGTCGCATCGTTGAACATTGCGTGGCCGTGGCTGCGCGGAAAGCTGTGCGGATACAGACCCTCGATCAGCTCTGCTGTCTCGGCCATCAGGTGGTCACGGTAGATCCGCAGGGCGCCTGCCACTCCGCCAATGCGCGCCAACCCAAGCACGAGAGGCGATAGCTGCAAGCCCAGGTTCGCCTGGTAGATGCCCACCTGCGAGCTGTCGAACTGCCCGGCGCGCGACAGTCCGTCGTCTACAAACTCGCGCATATCCCGCAGCAGCGTGCTGGCCAGCTCGCGCTCGGCAAACTCCGATACCGAGCTGAGCGCCCGCGTCAGCCGTGCATCCAGCGCCCGGAACGCCCGCGTCGCCGCCACCCCCGGTTTGCCCTGCCCGGAGCGCATCGCGCGCTGCGCCGGCTCAACCATCTCCTGTGCTTCGACGATCAGATTCAGCGCTCCCGATGCAGTCGCCCTGACGCAATCAGTTCGTCGATGGTCGGCTGCACGTGACGGAACCTCCCCAGCAGCTCCACGTCGCGCAGCACTGCCGCCAGGTTATCCCGCCGCCTTCTGAGCCTGATCAGCTCCAGGCCGGGCGCGCACTGCGCGTGTGCCGTGCGTCGCAGGTCGCCGCGCAGCCCGTGGATCTCGGCTATGCACCGGTCGGTCTCCTTATGCAGGTCCTCCAGCGTCGACAGGGCTGCAAAGAACGACGGCGAGCGCCGCGAAATCTCGCGTGTCAAATACCCTTCCACTGTGTCCATATACCCAGACAGTGTCTCCTGCATGCGCGCTCCCGCCATGGCTGCGCGCTCCGCCGAAAGCAGCTCGGTGCTGAGCTGCGGGCCCAGTACCACCTGTGTGACTATGTCGAATGTCGCCGGGTCGCTCAGGTCAAACTGCTCCTGCAAAAAACACCGTCGGCACATCCTCGATGCCTGCCAGCACCACGCCATTGTCCGCCCCGAACTCACTGACCTGATTCCAATCCGAACTCGCTGCGCGTAGCCGTCCAAAGCCCGCAGCCGCTCCGCCATCGTCGTCGAGTCCATCGAGTACGTATGGCTGGCCGCTTCCAACACCTTCTCGGCATCCTCCACCGCCGCCTCGTACCGCTCCAGCTCATCGGTCGCGATCTGGTACCCGGTGCGGGCATTCATCGCATACTGGTCGAATAGGCCCGAAATGCTCTCCAGGTACCGGTCGAACTCGGAGCTTTTGGCTCGCGGGTAGTGTGTCTTGGCCACCACCGGCAGCTCGTTGCGGTGGATGCGCGACGGCACCTTGTTCGGGTTGCTCGTCAGCACTGCTATTGCATTGGCGCCGGTCATCGCCACGGTGCTGGCCGTGTCGGGCTTGTCTTTCTCGCTGCTGCTGTCGGTCCGCGCACTGGCCGCAAGTCCTTGTTGGCGCTGCCGGGTTGTAGTTTGGCTGCGCTCGCCGCTGGAAGTACGTCGACCCACCAGGAGACCGCCCATCCCCTGGATTGCGAATTATCCCAATCCCCGAATGCCGCTTCATTATAAAAATACTATTAGGCCAATTCGACAAAAAAAAAAACTTGAGGAAAAGAATAAGATCGCACGCCGTGCACAATAGAGCCAGTGACGTTGATGCAGATCCTGCACAGTAGAAACGCGCTGATTCTTCTCGCCACTGATCCTGGTGATTCCCAATTGCTCGCGGCTGTGGAGAGACACTGCTGCCTGCCTACCTCTGCACCATGCAATCTACAATGTGTCGGAGCCATGTCGGCAAACGTCCTGTCGCTAACTCACCAGTCACTCATCCTACACCTGACTGCAACCCAGTTCACATGTATCTGTTATCCAGACTTGAATTATTTGATGGTGATTGAGTACTGCATGACATTTCAGGTATCGTAAAGTCTAGTTGCTTAAATGTCTGTGAAGTATTAGGAGACTCGACAGCTTCAAAGAGGCACTCGAATTCTAGCCCTTTGCACTCACTAGTGGCAGCCATTCTACTAGACCTGGGCACTCTAGCAGGAGTCACCAACTGACCCACAGGCGCTTTAATGATGAAACGCATCTTCCTGGATCTGAATCCTAATGTGAATGCGGTTGCTCTTCGGCGAGTCCAGTGGATATGAGCTTTATGGAATGGATATAACTTGAAGAATGCTTAGGAGAAAAGGGAGAGTGGGCGTTCTGGCTCACACATCTATTGTTGTGATACTGGTACTTAACGTGGTATATAACTAGTGACAGTAAAGAACTGAGGAGGGCTGCTGAGCGCTGGGTGTACTGAACTATATAGTGGGGCACTATACTCTGCGTATGCACTGTGGCGTGGATCTAAGGATCAGGATCAGTTATGCAAATCTATGTTGTATTCAGTTTGTATATGATGCGTAGGACATGGGCTGCCGAATGTCAACAAAGGCAGCTTTGCATAACGGCTATTTACTTTGTACACTAGCTTTCCATGTCTGACTTTAATATACACATGCGATACAGCCAACAAGGCGGGTGGTGAGGACCGTGGAGGTAGCGCAAATGGATGACAAAGTATTACAGCGTAAATGCAAGAGATATGAAGCGAGGAATGTATCCTGCTCCTGTGACAGATATAGATTGTGGACTATTGGCGATACGTTGTTGTTTTCTACAAGTAAAATAGCAAAGGAATCGTCAGGACTTCGGCCCAAACTACCGCCACCATCCGCTGTTGAGCCCAAGAGGTGTTTTCGTCGATTCCTTAAACACAGCATGATACCTATACGCATACCTTAATGCACGTCTTGTAGCAGTGATTCTTTATACTGTTCCAAATACATGCTGCCTATCACAAAAGTGCAGAAAACCTTTGAGTATTCGTTTATTTGAATCCCTCTATCTGCATTCTAGAGCAGCTGTTTAAATTTTTGTGCTGTGAGCGGCTCCAGAAAATGAGATTCCCTCTGACATAGCCACTACCTTAAAGCATCTCTTGCTACTGTTCCTTTTAATTTAAATAAAAAAAATAAGCTGCTCCATCCGTGCGGTCCATATGCTGTGCCTATCTTTAGCATTTCAATTTTCAATGTGAGTAGACCTCGCGCTACCAATCGGCCTTTAATGGCTGGTTTCATACTAGTCGACTCGCACGGATCGGCCAACCCATGTGGCATGGGACAAAAAAGGCAGGCATAGAGCTTCAGTGTGATTTATACACGTGCTTCGCATGTACATACGTTGTAGTACTCGCATGGCTGACAAGCTCTTTTACCAGCAGTGCTGTCAACTGTAAAAATACACATGGCGACGGGTATAAAATCAAGTCGATTAGTCCTACACTCTACCTGCTATTCTTTTTTGCTTTTGCAACTACATTTCGCTGATACTTCACTGCCATGCCACAAGACACCAGCAGCCCTTACAACACGCCTCGTTTGCCTCACAACGAGGACATAATAGGCGACTATATACGGTCCAGTGCTACAAGGAGACGCCCTGTCTCCTCCATTGAGACGTTTGCCCGGCTCCTAGACTTGTCTGCAAGAAACCCGTCAGAAGCTGCCAAGGAGATGGCCTATATCATCTTTGATCTGGAGCCGCTCTTTCGAGAGTGGATTCAGAGAAAGTTGCCAATCAAGTTCCCACCCGAGTTTGAGCAGCTAAACAGCCAGTTGCAAGATGTGAGGCACCAGACATTGCAGGATGCTGAAAATGATCAAAACTATAACCCACGCCCAAGACAGGCTTTCCACGAGCCACACATGCTGCAGGGAACGGGAAGCAGGCAATCGCGGGAGGCAAGGCTAGACGCTCAGTATAGAATCTACTATGGATAGAGACACAATTGACAGATGCCAACTTTCAAGCGAGTAGATAGTAGCAGACTTTAGGTATACTTGAAACATTGTTTTTTACTCTTTTCGTTCATGTCAGTAGGGCTGCTAAAATAGAGAGTCATTGAGAATCGCTGCCAAGTGTCAGGCAGGTTTAGGTGACTATAAGCTGTCATAGAACAACAAAGGAATGCATAAGAATACTTTCAGGACCATTGCTGCTATTAAAGTGACATTGATTAGTGAAATATAACCTGAGGTTTGTGTAGAGGATGCTTTTACGGTTCACAAATAGCATTTATGTGATAGACGATCAACGAAACAAGAGTACTTATTGTAGTATGCTGTGAGATATGATATTCTGTTGCCTATTTATATCCTCTGTTTTGGCTGCCATATACTTGATTCCATATGTTTGTGACTATACTCCATTTGCTGACCGACAAAATCCGATACGTAAAAGCAGCCATCAGTATGCCACCAAAGAAATCGATTCTTCCTAAGGATACTGGTCCGACCGAGGAGTTCCGTCGAAATGCAGTAAAGCATCCAAGGTGGTTGCCGAGCGTCCCTAAGGTACCTCCACCAGGTACGACTGGCCTAGGATTGAAACCTGCAAAATAGATAGCTAATAAACTGCCCTTGTACTCGCAGCAGACCAACCAAAGATGATGATTTCGGCACTGATTCGCATCACAACTGTATCACTTCTCATATTCAACTTGCAGCGACATTAGTTACTTCTTTGCACAGAAAAGATCAGTGATAAAGGAGATCCAAGTTCAAATATGCTGATTACTTTATCGCAAGAGATCCTCCACTGCCATTGACCAGGTACAATAATGGAATGTGAGTCAAACAGACAAAGTACAGGTGCTGTCATTAGATATCTCTCTTGAAGTTATATAATCCTTGGCATTTTCAATATGTATCCAAGTTCGAGTCAATTGCTATCAACCTTAACATATGAATTATATACCCCTTTAGAACGTTGCACTCCACTACACATAATCAGGTTTTTTTTATCATGCCACGCTTTGCTACTATCATCGTAAATCGCTACTGGTCCATGACAACCCCTGTGTCCATACACATCTCCAATTAATCGTTCCGACAGCGGGCCAGCCAGGAGCTTTCTACGAACTTTTCTCTACAAGGAACAGTGCTTCTGACTGAGCCATCTGTGGTTATGTGGTGGTACTAGCTAGTTCAATTGATATTTGGATTGTTTCTATACAAATAATGTGTACTATAGCAATCTAATCTGCTGTGATTGTCACGGCATGATGACAAAGTAAAAACTAGAGCGATTATTGTCAAACCATCCAGGCCATCGATAATGGCGATGTGAGTTGTTGTCCTTTGTGCTCATCACAGCCAGCAGAAAGGGGATTCTTCAGTGGTGTGTGCAGTCTCCAGATCGCTTTTATTTTGGCGTCTGCTTATGTTATTATTATAGCCCTCTGTGGGTCTAGTTATGCGTTTTATTCACGATCCATTCATTTATTATGAAATTGAAAACAGGCCCAGGAGAATAAAATAAAGATCAGTGGGACTAGGAGACATGCGTCATGAATTGGAGCAGGTGATCAGCACACCTGCAACTTTACCCATTTCACCCAAGCAATTATTGGAAGCTATATAATTTTTCGACCAGCTTGCAGCATGTGCCCGCTCATTTTCTTCATTTTTGGAACTTGGCCTCACATAATTGCTATGTAAACGATACCATCACCAGATACATAACATGGACGACAGGGTGCATTTCACACAGGAGGAAGCCGACTATATCATCAACAAGTTTATCGAGACTGTAAAGAGCAAGCGACAGGGTGGAAGCAAATGAATTGAATCCAGTAATGATATGTACGTTTAACACGCTGCATAATAAATTCTTGTAAAGTAAACGCTCAGATATCGTAGGAGCCTGACAACCGTAGCAGGTGAGTGAACCATGAAACTGAGACATTAAACTGACTGGGAAAGTGTGGTTGAGTTAAAATAACATGGAGACAAGCGCCAGATCAGCAGTATAATGTACATGCAAGCTCGATTTTGTATCACTTATTATAATCTCAATTATGCCTCTGTATGAGTAGCTGGAATTGACAGTCGGAGGCGAAACTATAAGATTATTCGTGGTACTCCACAGCTACATCAGTGGAGAAAGGGCATGCGCTTCTTATTGCTACAAATTGGCTCACTCCTTAGTGTTATCATCCTGCAAAACTTTGTATCATCTGGGTATCCTACCAACTATAGATTTACTCCTTTGGACATTTACACATATATCCATCATGCAGTATGCAGCCGCTAGATGATAAGAAGGCTCAGCAATTAGTAGAAGGCTTACTAGCAGCTCATAGGTCAATACACTAGCATTCTAAGAGTGAAATCATGCATCACAGAACACTTATATTGAATATTCATATTAGATCAACAGGCTATTCTTATCAAAGTATCACAGTAGCAAAAGGTTCTAAGGATTCAATACAATGACAGTATAATGATAATATCACAGATTAGGTCAATTCAAGTAGCGCTTGTATGTATTGTGATAGGTATATTTAGTATTATTATAATAAGTATAGGTGGCCATTAAGTCCTTATAAATCTTATTTATAGAACAGGTGTTATAAAGGAAGTATAAAGCAAATAATGCATATAACTGCTATAACTTGGTAATATAATAGACCAATTCATATAACTATACACAGAGTACTAGCTACTTTTCTAGTGAATAATTGATAGTATATATTTAACTCAATATATATTCTAATATGCAGCCAAGTATATAATTGTATATAAATGGCAGCTATGTCCTATAGTTAAGTGACCTAGATATATTTATAATACAATTATATGTCCAGAATATACAAAAACTACTGAACCCCAAAATGTAGGATACATTGCTATAGAGTAAGAGTAGATAGTCTTCTTAGTATAGTATGGCAATATCCTCAACCTTTACCTCATTTGGCTAGGACTTTATAAACCACTAGAGAGAATGTATCTAAGATATATGTAGTACTGAGTTAGGAGCTGAGACAAAAATGATAGAACAAATCTGAATTATGTATTAGCTGTATAATTATAGGGATATGGTAATATATCTACCAGCTCTCTAGGGGGTTTAACTGCAGGTCATCTTGTATATCGACTACAGCATCCCTTGCAATATGCTTCTCCTCTACAACTATTGATTTGAAGTAAGTGGTATAAAATTACAAACTCAGATGGGTGTTATAGAACAAAAAGGTATTAATGGACAAATATGTATCAAGGGGCTTTCTCTACAGAACGAGCTGTACCCTAGTACTATATTTAATCCAAATACTGAACTCACCGAGGTTTTGCATAGGATATCTGGAAAGAATGACATATTCAAAAAAAAAAAACAAGAATCTGCTGCTCGTCCAGTAAACAAGGTCTCTATTACCGAACATCAAGCCGCATGCGAGTTTCAGCCAAGAACAGTTTTCTGGACTCGTACGCTAGCAAATCTGCCAGGTTACTGATCTGGGAAAGCTGATTGATTGAGTAGGCCATATCCATGCTAGAACAACAATTGGGAGCTGTAATGACGCATTAGAGCGGAGCCATAGCAGATCGACATCCGCCAGATGGTGGCATTTGACAGCTAGCTGCTTTTTATCTCTCCACAGTCCGTAGCACTACATCCCCTTCATACTCTTTTTCACATAATGCCGTTTACATTCCACACGCACTCTGGACAGTTCTGCAAGCATGCCTATGGGCTGCTGGAGGACACAATCCAGGCAGCAAGTTGGCAAGGGCATGCACACCATCGGCCTCACAGAGCATATTCCGCGGTGTCGTCCCCAGGATCCTGTATCCAGAGGAATCCGGGCTAACGCCTGAAGACCTTGAGACAACCTTTTCCGCATACGTCGCAGAAGCCAAAACGACTGCAGACAAAATACCAGGACAGGATTAAAATCGTAATTGGCTGCGAAACCGAGTACATTACGCAGCTAGATATGGACAGGGCCAAGCAAGTGCAGGAGGAATTCGGGCTCGACTACATTGTCGGATCAGTGCACCACATCGACGAGATCCCAATGGACTTTAGCCAGGGAGATGTACGAGCAGATTGTGGCCAAATACAACGGCGATCGCACGGCAGTGTTTAGGCGGTATTTTGAGCTGCAGTACCAGATGCTGCAGGCTCTACAGCCGACAGTGGTTGGGCACTTTGACTTGGTTCGTATTTTCCATCCTCGCGACCAGCCCGACCCGCTGCTGGCAGATGAGGCGGTGAGAAGGCTGGCGGTGCGCAATATCGAGTACATTGTGTCGTATGGCGGCGTGGTGGAGGTGAATTCGCGGGCATGGAAGAAGGGCCTAAGGGACGCGTATCCCGCAGAGGGATCTGCTGCGGGAGATTTTGGCGAGACGTGGCAGGATCACATTGTCGGATGACAGCCATGGCGGCAGCGACGTGGCAATGCATTACGACAGGCTTTATGCATATTTGATGGAGATGCAGGTGCAGGACGTGCATTGTGTCGGAACGGGTGGCCGGATCGAGGTGTTTGCAGGGGCGATGCAGGACGGGTTCTGGGCCAAGAACGGGTTCTGCGAATGAGCAAGTGGGGGAGGCGACGTCACTCTTAGAACCTACTGGTGCTTTTTTCCCTACTGTCAAGGAGTACAACATTGAGAACGGGAGGACAAGGCGAGAGCGCATTTGTGAATGGACTGTAATTTTTTCTTGTACCTCCGTTTTTTTATCGCGACTGTTTGCTCGCTTTTCCCCCCCCCTCTCTTAGTTCAAGCCCCGCACTCTTTTTCCTCTATCGATTATTTAAAAAAAAAGCTACATGGGAGACAACAGAATACAAGACTCTACGAGCTCGGCAGCCACGCACCGGCGGGCAGTCAGCAGCACAGATGGCAGCGGATCGCTGCGGGCCACGCGCGCGCGGCCACGCACGCACAGCCAATCGGGCACAAACAAGGGCACAAGCGACGCCTTCGCCAAGGCAGCGCGGCGGCTCAGCATCCCTGAGGCAGCACCGCTGGGCGGCGAGCTCAAGCTGGGGCGGCGGCAATCGCGCACGTACGCGGAGCTCGGGGTGCCCGCGCGGCGCCGCAGCCTGGCGTATGCAGACCTGATGGCGGTGTTTTACCCGCCAAACATCATGAGCCAGCCGACAGTAACCGACACGCCATTCGAGTGCCCCGAGTGGGAGGGGGTGGATGATGCGCAGCTGGAGCAGATGGAGGTTACGGCGACAGGCCAGCTGGGAGCCGACGCTGGAGAGGGCGATCAAGTCGATTGTGTCGATCAAGGCGCAGTGCGTGCGGTCCTTCGACACCGAGACCAGCGGCACGTACACGGCCACCGGGTTTGTGGTGGATGCCGAGCATGGGCTGATTCTGTCGAACCGCCACGTAGTCAACCCAGCGCCGATTGTGGCCCAGGCGGTGTTTGTCAACTACGAGGAGGTGGAGCTGGAGCCGGTGTACCGCGACCCGGTGCACGATTTCGGGTTCTTCAGATTCGACCCAAAGAAGCTAAAGTTCATGGCGCTCGAGTCGATCAAGCTGGCCCCGCACAAGGCCAAGATCGGCATGGAGATCCGGGTGGTCGGCAACGATGCCGGGGAAAAGCTGTCGATTTTGGCCGGCACCCTGGCCAGGCTCGACCGCACGGCGCCCGAGTACGGCGTCGGCGAGTACAACGACTTCAACACCTTCTATCTGCAGGCAGCGTCCGGCACCAGCGGCGGGTCGTCGGGGTCGCCGGTGCTCGACATCTACGGCGACGGCGGTGGCTCTGAATGCTGGCGGATCAAGCAAGGCTGCCTCATCCTTCTACTTGCCGCTGGACCGCATCGTCCGGGCTCTGAATCTGGTGCGGTCCGGGGATCCGGTACCGCGCGGCTACAATCCAGAGCGAGCTCGAGTATCTGCCGTACGACGAGCTGCGGCGGCTGGGGCTGGACATGGCCATCGAGGCCAAGATGCGCGAGACGTACCCGATGTCGCAGGGCATGCTGGCGGTCAAGACCGTCCTCCCCAAGGGCCCAGCCGACGGCAGTCTGCATGCAGGCGACATTGTGGTGGCAATAAACGGCGTGCCTACCATAGACTTTGTTGGGCTAGAGGAGGCCACCGACAGCAGCGTCGGCAAGGACATCACTGTGTCGGTATGGCGTGGCACCAAGGCATACGATGCCAAGCTGCGGCGTGGCAGACATGCACGGGATCTCGCCCAGCAGCCTGGTGGAGGTGGGCGGCGGGGTGGTCAACGACGTGTCGTACCAGATAGCCCGCAGCTACGGGCATTCCGGCCAAGGGCGTGTATGTGGCCAGCAGCGGCCACGTGATGAACTCGGCCAATCTCTGGCGCGGCTCCGTGATCCTGAGCATCGACAACATGCCAACGCCCGACATCAGGGCGTTCGCCGCAGCCGTTTGCAAGGCTCAGGCAGGGGACGCGCGTGGCGGTGCGGTTCTTTGCGCTGGACCAGCCGTACAAGCAAAAGGTCATGATCATGAATGTGTCGACGCACTGGCACGCGATGCGCCTGGCCCGGCGCGACATGGCCGGCCACTGGCAGTACACGGAGCTGCCGTCGCCGCTGCAGCCGTCGGACGTGGAGCCGCAGACCGCGTCGCTGGCGACCTTGCCCGGGACCCTGGCGCCAGCCGACTCGGTATGGCCCAGCATTGTGCATCTGGACTTCCACATTCCGTATCTGGTCGATGGCATGAAGAGCACGCATTACGTGGGCCCCGGCTTCATAGTTGACAAGACGCTGGGTCTGATCGTGTGCGACCGCGACACAGTGCCCATAGGTGTGGGCGACGTGCACATCACCATTGCCAACTCCATTGTGCTCACCGGCAAGGTCGCGTTTCTGCATCCCGTGTATAACTTTCGCCTGTGGTGCAGTACGATCCGACGCAGATTGGCGACACGCCCGTGCGGGACCTGGAGTTCCACCCCGAGTACTACTCGGGGCAGCGCCATCTGGTGCAGGGCGACTCGGTATTCCTGGTGGGCATCAGCAGCGAGCACACGCCGGTGGTGCGCAGGACGGAGATTTCCGCCCGGTCCATGGTCAGCACGCGCGAATGCCTGCCGCCCAGGTTCCGCTGCATGAACGTCGAGGGCGTCAAGCTCAACGACCAGCCGTCATCGCAGGGCGGCGTTCTCTGCGATGGCAGCGGCCGGGCATTGGGGCTGTGGACCAATGTGTCGTCGCAGGACACCAGCCACAAGGACACCAGCTCCATGACCGGCCTGGACGTGTCGCTGCTCAAGCCCACGCTCGACGCCATGCGCAATGGCCAGCTGCCGGATATCCGCTCGCTGGACGTTGAGCTGTGGACTGTTCGCCTGGCCGCCGCACGCACCCTGGGCCTGAGCGCCGAGCGCATCCGCAGCGTCGAGCAGACGCAGAGCGATTCGCCCCGCCTGCTGTATGTGCTTGGCCTGCTGGCCAGCGAATCGCCGGCCGCCCGGCTTCTGAGAACCGGCGATGTTCTGCTGGAGATGAACGGCAAGCCGGTGCGCAACGTCGCGGAACATCGCAGTCATCCATGATGCCGAGAGCGTCGACCTGGTGGTGCTCCGCGATGGCAAGGAGGTCCGAGCTGCACGTGCCCACCACCAGACTGGACGGCATGGAGACGCAGAGGGTCGTGCATTGGGCGGGCGCCCTCGTGCAGACCCCGTACAGGGCGGTGCAGGAGCAGATCAGGCGCCTGCCATCCAACGTCTATGTGTCGTGCACCCTGTATGGGTCGCCGGCCAACTGCTACGGGCTCAAGCCAGGCATGTGGATCACCGAGATTGAAAACACGCCCGTCAACGACATTCGACACGTTCATCCGCATCATCAAGGATCTGAGCCTGGACTGTGCCGCTGCCAATGGCCGGTACGTGAGAGTCACCGTCGTCAACAGGAACGAGATCACCCGCGTCCTGAGCCTGCGCGTCGACAATCCACTACTGGCCACCATGGCAGCTGCTGCGCGACCCCACTGCCGCCAGCAACTGGAGGGCCGAGTTTGCGATTTAGTTTTCTTCAAAAATGACTTTTCTATTAAAGCGAGTTCTTGGTGACAAAGTTGCGCACGCTCATGTACGCCGCATGGGCCACCTCGCGCTCCGACACGTTTCCATACAGAACAATCGACGCCTCCCTGGTCGGATCCGGCACCTCGAGCGTCTCGAGCTGCGAATCCAGCAGCCTCGGATCGAAGAAGTGCTCGGTGCGCTCCTTCAGCCGCCTCTCCAGCTCCTGCTTGGGCACATCGATATGCACAAACACCGTGTCGTGCGTCACCCGGTCCTCGTCGCTGCGCGACAAAAACTCCCTGTAGCTGCGGCGCAAAGGACGAGCACGCGCACACCACGTACATGCGCGACACCTGGTCGCTGCCGCTACGGTCGTTGACGATCCGCCGCACCCGCCTCAGCGACTTGTCATGGCCCGACAGCAGACCCTCGGCCTCCTTCTCGATCCGCGCCCGGACCGCGCTCAGCCACGGCCACCGGTCGCTGTCCACCAGCGGCTCGCCCCGGGCCATTTTGCTAATGTTGGCCTGCGGGTGCAGCGAATCCGCATCAATGAACGGCACGTCGCCGAGCTCTGCCGCCAAATCCCGCCCGATCGTGCTCTTGCCACAGCCGCTGACGCCCATGACAACTACTGCACGCACTGGGTACACGCTATGAGACTCTGGGACAAGCATCGCGCTAACTAGAAATCAGGAGTGTTGGAAGAGAAAAGTCCTTTGGAATAGTGAACCACTCTTTAGCCTTTTTGTTTAAGAAAGGCGTAGGCCATGGGAGGTCTGGCCACCCTTGCTTTTATACCCTGCCTGGAGCGCACAGAGCGCATTCACACCCTGCCCGCCACTGGGCTGTGACCTTTGATTTCATTGGTGGCGCATCACGGAATGGTGTGAGAGCAATCTCTTTCTTTCTGGTCTGCCTGTGAATCCCACTGACCATCCCATCCCTTCTGGTGACGCTTGCTGGCATTCTCCGAGCCCGCCTTTCCCACCGCTCCAAGACCCGGGTACAATGCATGCGCTCGGTCCACCTTCCCCCCCCACGTCACCGTCGAGCACACAGCAATTCCGCATTCGCAGCTGCCGTCAAAATGAATCCAAACATGAAACCGCTCTTCTGTGTCACGTTTGGTGCCCATAACGTACATGCAGTGCTGCACCTGGCTTATTTTGAAATCGCGATGATTCTTCCCCCTCCCGCAAAAAATAGAACGGGCCACTACTCTCCTCGCACTACACTACTCTTCACACCACCCATGGTCAAGGCTATTGCTCCCGAGCTCAAAAAATACATGGACAAGCGCCTGCTTCTGCAGCTCAACGCCAAACGCTCGGTCACAGGCGTCCTGCGCGGCTACGATGCCTTCATGAATGTCCACCTGGACGATGCCTTCGAGGAGATCTCCGAGGAGACACGCGAGCCCCTTGGCAAGGTCGTCATCCGCGGCAACAGCATCGTATCAATGGAGGCTCTGGAACCGCTTTACTAAAATGGCTTTCCAAATTAATACCATCGAATAAATGCTTAGAGAGAGGCGCTGGTCGACACGTCATTGAAGAACTTGACCAGCAGCTTGATTGCGTCATTGGCGCGCTTCGCCTGCGTTTCGTTCGACCAGTCGCCGCGGGCACCGCAGAACCCGTGGAACATGTCGTCGAATCTGACCAGCTCGCACTGCGCCCCAAACGCCAGCGCCTTGGCCTGCGCAATGCCCTTGGAAAAGTCTGGCTCGTCCTTGCTCGGCAGCGCCAGCACCGGCGCCTTGATCTGCGCGAAATCCTCATCCGTCACCATCGCCGGGTGCACGATCGCCCCGCCGGCCACCCCCGCCAGCTCCTGGAGCCCATTCATCACCATCTTGCCGCCCCAGCAGAACCCCAGAAGGCTGATCTTGCTCGCCCCGCCCTGCTCCAGGTACTTCAGCGCCAGCTCGTACGACGGCCGCACTGCGGGCCAGCTGCCGCGCGTCTGCACAAACTCCGTAAACACTCCTTCCTTGCCCAGGTCGGCCTCCGTCAGATACTTGCCGTCAAGGATGTCGGGAAGAATCACCCGGAACCCGGCCGTGCCAAGGATGTCGCACAGCTGGAGGACGTTGGCGTGGTAGCCAAAGATGTCGTAGTTGACCTAGGACACCGCGCGGAGACGTCGAGGGCCCGGTGACATAGGCCGAAATGCTGCCGAGCTGGATCCTTTTCGCCAGTGATGGTGTACGAGGCCTTGACAGGCGGAGTGTTGCAGCACGCGCTTGGGAAAGACATGGCTTATATTGCGAGAAGAAAAATGCGTTAAAAAGACTTGGAAGATAAGAGAGAAGGAGGAGGGGAACGTGCCAGGAGCGAGATTGCTTAGAAATGCAGGTCTCGTCGGACTGGGGCCAGGCGCTTTCTCATGGATTTTTGAATCGGAATCTAAATTTCTCCAGGCGCTTTTCTTTTTTCAGTCATTGCCCAGCCACCTGCGCTAGGAATGAGACTGTCTCCCTTAATCGCCTGGTTGACTCTGTCTGCCTGCGCTGGCCTGCGCCCAGTCGCCGCGCGCTGCCTGCAAACCCATGGTGCATGTCCTCGTACCGATCACGTACGCTCATCTCAAACCGTTGCTTGACTTGGGCGAATTCCTCCAGAAAAGTCCTTCTCGTCCTTGCTCTCGATCAGCAGAATAGGTGCCCTTGCATTCTCAAAGTCCTCAGGCGACCTAGCGCACTCGGGTGGACCAGGCAGCCAGCACTGATGCCCAGGTTCTCGCCGATAGCGCCCATGACGAGCTTGGCGCCCCAGCAAAACCCAATTGCGCCGATCTGCTTGATCCCCTCGTCTGCGAGCACCTTGCGGGTTTTCACGAATACATCGCGGTTAACCGCCCAGCCGGCCCGGGTCATCAAAAAGTCGGCAAACACGTCCTTGTTGCCAAGATCAGACACTGTTAACGGCCTGTCGTGCAGAAAGTCTGGCATTGCTATGCGGAACCCGGCCTGGCCCAGCAGATCAGCATACTGGTACACATTTGGGTGGAACCCGAATATGTCGTAGCAGAAGATTATGCCAAACCTTGATCTGGTGGATCCAGCAAGATAGATTTTAGTGCCGCCGATCTGTATAGCCGTGCCGGTTGGCGTATAATCGGCAGTCACCGGCGGTGTGTTGCAGCAGGCGTTAACAAACGACGACATGGCTGAAAAACCCCCCTCTAGAAAGAAAAATAAAGATGCTACCAACCAGTTTTTGAGCTGCTTCTAGGAATTTGCTACTTTTAAGGCGTTCTCTGAAGCTCGGTGACTCTGTCGAAAGAGCACAGGACAATACAGGAGAGAGAATGTTTAGACTGTTTTTGCGCTCCCCAGAATTTTGAAACACCGACAACAATCTAGTCTGAGGCGTATGACAAAAGCTGAAAGAAGTCATTGACTGTTTTTTTTGCTTCTGCCTCGATCAGCCACACGAGCCACACAAGCCACACAGCCCACTAGCCATTTCTCCAAAAAGAATACACAATGGTCAATGTAATGAAGTATTTTACACAGCTGATAATTTACAGGCACGCTTCGGTTTTCACGCATCAATCGTCTTCTTGAGTCGTTGTCTTGCAGCTCCTTGTGCTGGATGCCAAGCGTCAGCAGCAAGAACACGCCTGTGAATGCAGTCAGCGCAATGAACCCGACCTTCAGCGAGTCCCAGTACGCAAACTGGATCGCAGCCTTGACGCTCTCAGGCATACCCGAGCTGCTGATCGTCGACTGGTCCTTGAGCACCTCCAGAATCTCGTGCATGTGTGCCGGGAACCGCGCCACCACCTCGCCGATCTCGGTGCGCAGCTTGTTCTGGATAATGTTGCTCATGACCGCCACCGACAGAATCTGGCCCAGCGAGCGGAAGAACAGGTTGACTGTTGTCGTTGCCTGCCAGGTCCTTGCCAGTGACTGCCGACTGCGCAGCAAGCGTCAGCGTCTGGATGCAGCTGCCGAACCCAAGTCCTCCAGCGACAAGCAGACCGATGATCTTGCCCAGGCTGGCATCGGTGCCGAGCAGGATCAGGAGGCCGTTGCCTAGCGTCAGCATCGCCGCGCCGAACCAGATGATCTCGCGGAACCTGCCCAGACGGCTGACCAGGACCCCGCCCACCACCGACGAAATCACCATGGCGATGGAGAACGGCAGCAGATACAGCCCCGAGGTCACGTATGACGCGTGCTTGACGACCAGCGCCCACATCGGAATGAATGTGATGGGGCCGTTGACGCCAAAGCCAAAGAAAATGTGCGCCAGCGAGCACAGAATCACGTTGCGCCGGTTGAACAGGTGCATGGGCATGATGGGCTCCACCGCAAACCTGTACTCGTAGAACACAAAGGCGGCCAGAATGACAAACCCGACCACAAAGCACGACACCACCGGCAGCCGATGACCACGCGTAGTCGCGGCCGCCCCAGGTCAGCGCCAGCAGCACCAGGGTGAGCCCGGCCAGCGACAGGAGCGAGCCGATAAAGTCGACCTTCTTCAGCTTCTCGAGCATCGACCCCTTGGGCCGCGGAATCCGCAGCAGCATGACAATGAGGGCGGCAGAGATGACGCAGAACGGGATGTTGATCCAGAACACCACCGGCCACTTGCTCTTCTCGACAATGAGGCCGCCAATCATCGGCGCAATGGCCGAGCCCAGCCCCCAGGTGCCCGAGAAAATGCCCACGTACTTGCCGCGCTGGCGCTCGTTCATGATGTCGGCAATGACTATCAGCGCCATGCTCATGAGCCCGGCGCCGCCCAGGCCCTTGATTGCCCGACTGGCAATCAGCATGTTGAGCGAGTTGGACACCGCGCACAGGATCGAGCCGATGAGGAAAACCACAATCGCCATGACGATGGTCTCGACGCGTCCCGATCACGTCAGAGATCTTGCCGTAGATGGGCTGGATGGCCGTTGTGGTGATCAGGTAGCTGGTAATAATCCACTCGGCGCGATCCACCGACCCAAACTTGTCGCCGATGGGGATGTATGTGGTGGCCACGATGGTCATGTCGATAGCCGACAGGAACACAAGGATATCCAGGCTGATGATGGCCATCGCCAGCCTGTACCCGGAGAGCAGCTGGGTGCGGGTCTCCTTGGTATCGGCATATTCGCTGTCATGGGGTTCATACTTATCGTTTAAAGTTTCAGTAGAGTTGAACATCGATTCGCTAACCTGCCCATTGGCCAATTTGGATGGCTGGCTTTCCAGGGTCTGGAGCGACAATGAGTTTTGTGTATAGGTGACGAACTGATCTGATTTTGTCGGGTGCGCCATAGCGATGATATGTTTGAGGCAGTCTGTTAGCAATATAGCTGATGAGTTGAGATGTCAGAAATGATGGGCCGGAACTGCTGGTTTAAATAGGCCGGCTACGTAACGTATGGATATCTTGGTTATACAGGGTGCGAGAAAGAAGGCAGTGCTAAAAATGGACGCGAGTATCTCTCTAGGGATTCTGCAGAGAACACATGGCTGCTGCTAATACGCCTGCGCATCAATCTGCAGATTTTGCGTGTATTTTTAGAATCATGGATAAAACTTGCTTGAAGGTAGGAAGTAGTGCTAGCAGCTCCTGCGTGATACTGTCTACATGCTTACAGGATCCAGCATCTGGTCTATTTTTAAAGAGAAAACCAGTATTTTCCTGATTGCTCCTGAAACATAGGGATGAGGCTGTCTGTTCGCTAATCCATGTAGCCTCCAATTCTCACATAGGGCTGACCAATGCTGCTATCGGAGATTGCACAGCACGATCGAGAGACAACCTTGTTTGCTCAATTGAAATCGGCACGCTGTCGATAGGTATTAATAGATTGCCCGAAGCACACAAAAAGCTGCTGAAAAAGGCCCGTCGGCCGTGAATTACACTGGCCTGTTTATAGTGGATTCAGAAAATAGGTCTACGGAAATTCAGACTCCCAGGACATCGCATACGAAATCAGCAGTATGCAGCTAAATCAAGATAGCCAAAATCAACAGATGTTTTCGCAATTTCTGGCCCGGTGTCGGTAGTTTATCAACTACTGAAGAGGTAGTGTGTAGAGTCTGAGTCTGTTGGTGCTTGGGAGCCGGGTCTGAGCACCATACACCTATGTTATGACCATGACCTGTAATCAGGTTCGTGTGTATTGGCTAACCATGCTCAGGCTAGTTGTGCTACAATTACAAATGTGCTGAATATCATTTGCCTTTAAAGACATCATATATACATTCAAAACATAGGATAGCATGCTCAAGAAGTCGAGGCGTAGTCCATCGTCGCATAGCCATTTACATTCACAAAATGAAATAATTGAAGAATGTGTGCTATTTACTGTCGATAGCTGAATTGCACGTTTGCTTAAGCTTGACGTGCTTCAAACCAAGAGAAAATAGGAGCGATACTGATGACAACGCGGTTACGGCTATAAATCCACCGCGGATCGAATCTGAATATGCTTGCTGGATCTCGATGTTCAGTTGGTTGGGAATATCGACGCTGTTGATTACAGACGGATCCTTTGTAATGTGAGTGATTTCTGCTATATAGTCCGGAAAATGCCACATCACAGGCGCCATGCTTGATATGAGCGAGTTTTGAATAATGCTGCTAGTGACAGAAACCGTCAGTATCCCGCTCAGCGAATTGAAAAACGAGATCATGGCAGATACCGCCGCAATATCTTGTCCTGCCACAGATGCCTGGGCAATAAGAGTTACGTTCTGCGAACAAAGGCCGAATCCAATGCCAGTGATTATAACAAAGCCAATGGTTTTGGCCCCAAAACCTTGGTGTCTGGATATAAGCCAAAGAATAAAAAGGTCATAAAAACCCAGGCAGCTTGGAATATCTGGGAGAGGGAAGAAAAGAAGACGTTCCTGATCTTGTACATGCGTATCAGCACAATAGGTAGCGGTGCAACCTTCCACTCATAGAGGATAAACACCACGATGACTACGAGCCCAGAGACAAAGCTGCAAATGACGGCAGTTGATGACCACTTGTACTCGCGTCCTCCCCACGGACAGCGCCAAAAGAACGAGCACGATTCCAACAATTGACAACAGCGAGCCCCCAAAGTCGATGCGCCTTGACCTTTTCTTTCCACGTACCATCCGGGCGAGGTAACTTCAAGTATGATGTTAACAACTGCGGCAACAACCACACAGATGGGAATGTTGATCCAGAATATAACTTGCCACTTGGAGTATTCAACGATAAGGCCGCCGATGACTGGTCCGATCGCGGATCCAACACCGTATGAGACAGTGAGTATACTAAAATACCTACTTCTGTTCTGCTCGCTGGAAATATCGCTAACAACAATCCGTGACATATTCATGAGCCCAGCCCCACCTATGCCTTGAACCACACGACCCGCGATGAGCATATTGAGCGAGGCGGATACAGCCGCTGATTACCGACCCAAGCATGAAGATGGTAATAGCTATGGTAATAGTCCTCGATGCGGCCAATGATGTCGCTAACCTTGCCATAGATAGGCTGAAATGCAGCCAGTGCAATGAAATAGCTGGTGATGATCCACTCGGCACGGCTGGCTCCATTTGAAGTGACTTTCCAATCGGAATGTATGCTGTCCCAACGATTGTTATGTCAAGAGATGCGATCGTGCAGAATATAGACAAGCTCAGTAGTGCTAGAGCAAGCTTTCTGCCAGCCAACACATTTGTGTTCCCGCTGTCTCTCACCGTAGGTATGGAGTTTCCAAGCTCAGCTATGTGGCCACTAGATGAATCGTCCGGATGCCTCTATTACCTGGATAAGTGGAGTAGCACTAGGTATTGAAATACACTGCCGTTTGGTTTCTATAGAGGCAGTCTCTTCAGATAGTGAAAAAGATTGGCTATGCGTCGTTTGTTGGTACATCCTGGTATTGTGTAAACTACCCTGCGAAAGACAATCAAAATAACAGATTTTAGGGATCTAAAAGATACTTGCAAAGGCAAATAGAGAATTCTATTACTATCCACAGAAGTTGTGTTTGTGAACTATAGCTACCGCCGTGTGCTGTAGGAGTAGTATGTTGTGCTCTTCGGACCTTCTTTGTCTAGCAAAAATGGAATAGTGGCGTCGCCAACTACAATGCTGGTACGCTTAGCCACTAATAAACAGGCAGCCTTCGTCGAATGTCATGCTGGCTGCTTAATACTTCGACATAAACTGGTCACAATACTTGTGCGATGTGAAGTATGATTTTAGCAAGCTACTCACACCATTACATCTACTCATTGTTACGATTCAACATGAATCTATTTGGGAAACAACTAACAACTGGCCATCTCCTCTCATGTATAGCTTGTGCAAGACTTGTTTCAAACCAAGAGAAAGCAGGAACGATAGCGGAAGTCCAGTGCCGGTTATGACAATGAAGCCATAGCGTGTTGCAGCTGAATATGCTTGCTGGATCTCGATGTTGAGTTGGTTGGGAATGGCTGACACTGTTGATTGCAGACGGGTCCTTCATAATATGTGCAACTGTAGACGCATATTCCGGGAAACTGAGAAACCAGAGATCCCATGTTACCATGGAGCCTATTCTGAACAACATTGCTGATGATAGACACAGTCAATATCCCGCCTAACGAGATGAAGAACGAATTCATAGCAGACACTGCGGCCATATCTCTGTCTTGCACAGATACCTGGGCGATAATCGAAGTGCTTCTGGAAGCATAGGCCAAATCCAATGCCAGCAATTGTAACAAAACCGATGATTTTGTCCAACATTTGAATCAGGTGTGAGTAAAATAAGAAGTCCGTTGCCAAGAGTAAGGAGCGCAGTGCCTGCCCAGATAAACTCACGACAGCGTCCCTGTTCGGGAGTTTAGAACCCCACTACCCACTGTCGCAAAAATCGTCGTTATTGCAAATGGAAGCAGATATAGACCCGACGTTATGCTGGAGGCATGTCTGGATAGTAGAGCCCACTGTGGAATGAAGGTGACCGGACCGTAAAACCCAGCAGCTTGGAATATCTGGGAGATGGAGGAAACGGAGACGTTCCAGATCCCTGAACATATGTATCGGCACAATAGGTAGCGGTGCAACCTTCCACTCATAGAGGATAAACACCACGATGACCACGAGCCCAAGAGACAAAGCTGCAAATGACGGCAGTTGATGACCACTTGTACTCGCGTCCTCCCCACGGACAGCGCCAAAAGAACGAGCACGATTCCCGGACGATTGACAACAGCGAGCCCCCAAAGTCGATGCGCCTTGACCTTTTCTTTCCACGTACCATCCGGGCGAGGTAACTTCAGTATGATGTTAACAACTGCGGCAACAACCACACAGATGGGAATGTTGATCCAGAATATAACTTGCCACTTGGAGTATTCAACGATAAGGCCGCCGATGACTGGCCCAAGTGCTATCCCAACTCCGTAAGCACATGTTATTGCGCTGAAGTACTTTCCACGATCCTGCTTACTGGAAATATCACCAAGGACAATTCGGGACATATTCATGAATCCAGCCCCACCTATGCCTTGAACCACACGACCCGCGATGAGCATATTGAGCGAGGTGGATACACCGCTGATTACCGACCCAAGCATGAAAATGGTAATAGCTATGGTAATAGCCTCGACGCGGCCAATGATGTCGCTGACCTTGCCATAGATAGGCTGAAACGCAGCCACTGCAATAAGGTAGCTATTAATGATCCACTCGGCACGGTCGGCTCCGTTAAAGTGACTTCCAATCGGAATGTATGCTGTCCCAACGATTGTCGTATCGATGGAAGTTATGAACGTAAGGAACGACATGCAAAGTAGTGACAAGGCAAGCTGGATACCAGACAAATACTTTTGTTCGGTGAGACGCTGGCTATTGCCCTTATCGCTTGCCAAGTTGGAGACTGACTAGAGGCACATCTGGTATGTCTATCTCGGGAGAGGCGGACAGGTTGCTTGATGCTTCAAAAGGGCGGGTGTCCGCTTTCGGTATTAGCGAGCATCTCCTGTATCAATGGTATCTGACTGTACAGAGACGATCAGTATATCGTTGGGCGAAGTAGGTAGCTCCGACTTGGGAAAACACCTGGAGTGAAATGTAGATAGAATAAGTGTATGGAATGCAAGAGTAGCAAAAGTGTGTAGAGATAGTTGGAGAGACAGAAGAGGTTGTGGACAACAAAACAAGATCGCTTTTTACCCTTGCTGATGCTGGAGAGCCACGCCACTAGAAGAAAGGGCAATGGGAACGGGGCGCAGAGAAATATTGTTGATGGTTCAGTGGTAGCAGGTAATGGAGTGGATTCAAAATACATCTAGACAGCTACTAGGGTTACTTCGCTCGCGATGCAAGCTCGGCTGCTAGTTAGCATGGATCGGACAAATGTGATTTGTGGTCAAGTGCAGGGATTAATGCTGCTGCTGGTAGTGGCGACCTCCAGAGGGCATAGGTCCCGAGCTAGTCACGGGCCGTCTATGTCCATTCGAGTTGCCTGCTGGGGTCTGCTGGTACGCCTGGAACGATGATGTCGAGGGTCTTGGCGGTGGCGGGATTTCATACTGCTGCGAATAGTATCCACCAGACGAGTTTGTTTGCATTGGCTGCGCCCAGTCATTGTCACGCCCGGCATTGCTGTAATCTGCCGTCGGCAGAGGCACATCATGCGCACCATACATCGGAGTCTCGTAGTAGTCGCTCTGGGCGAATGACCGGGACCGGGACCGACTTGCTGGCATCTTTGGCGGCTGGTAGTGGCGCTGCTGGCCCTGCTGCTGGCTGGTGTAGTCAGGAATCGGCGCGCGCGAGTACATCCGGCTCCTGCGGGGTCCGGTGCTGCCTGTGTCATCGATGACTTGACTGTCGACAGCGCATCGATAGTGCACGCTGGTCGACCGCATGCGATCGCGCGACCGCGGCTGCTTGTTTCCAGGCGTCGCGTACCCAGCACGTGATGGCGGTGGAATCGGATATTCTGACATGACTGATGATGCGGTGCGGCCATATGCGCCATAGTCACTCATGGCTCCTGAGTGCTGCCTGCTGTCAGTGTAGCCGGCGCGTAGTTCCGCCGCTGACATCAGCGGCTGCGTGGACACAGGTGGCGGGCGGTGCACGGGCGCGTACTCACGGGACTGCTGGGCGGTAGCGGGGCGGGAGGGCGGCGTCTTGCTGTTCTTCTTGGGGCGTCCCTTTCAGCGCGTTCGTGCTTTTCTTTATCGCCGACTCGATGAACCCGGGCTTTGCTGGCTCTTGCTGCTGCGGGCGCTCCACAAACTCCCAGCTCTCGGGAGACGGATCCTCGCGCTTTTTCGCTGGCCGAAGCTTGCTGCGGGCTGCAGCCAGAATACTCTCGCCGTCGGCTTTGGTCTGAGTGACGGCTGCTGAGCGCTGATGGTGCGTAGCGTGATCGCCCGCCAGAGCTCGGAGGCGTGCTGGGTGCGGTTGAGCGACTGAACTCACGGCTGCACTGACGTGTCGAGGAGATGGCCGCGGGTTTCCAGAAGCATCCACAACTGGTGATGATCGCATGTAGGTGGAAGGCGGCGACGAGGTCGGCGGCCGCGTGCTCTTGGCAGCCGCAGATTCCATAAACACCTTCTCTTGCCGCTTCGGCGGCGGCTGTGTCTGGGGTGGAGACGACACCTTGTGCGTGCGGCTACTGGAAGGCCTGCTTGAGACCGGTGGAGTCCTGGGCTTGGACGGTGCATAGTAGGCTGGGGAGCTGTGGTCCGTGGGGGCTGCACGCCTGGGGGGCGACACTGGTCTGGGTGTGGCAGCGGGCTTTGGAGTGGTAGCAGCGGGCCTGGGGGCAGCGGGTTTTAGCACTTCCTCGGCATTGTCAGTGTCGCTGCTGATGTCAATAATCTCGACTGACACAACGCTTTCGTCATCGCGTCCGACATCGTAGCTAGGCGATGCCCGGTCACTTTGATCTGGCCGAGCTCCCATGGCTCATCTGGTCCTCAGTGGGCGTAAACCTGCGCTGCTGTGTGTTCTCTGCCCGCTGCTGCCGAACCACCTCCGTGCTGCTCTTCCACAGTCCTGGGCGGCCTGCCACTGCTCTGCGGCACGCCATTAACCGTCACTTCTCTGTAACCATCGGGCGAGATCTTTGTCACGGTGATGTTTCCTTGGCCGTCGTCTTCCTCAGTAGTCTGGATTTTCACGCCATTAACGATCTGAATCGACGTCCTCGATGATGGGCCGGCAGCGCCACGCATTCCGCCAGCGCCGCCCACAGACGACGAGACAAAGCTGAACGATCCCGAGGTAGGCATTGCGCCGCCGCCGCCGCCACCACCAAACGGCGAGTTGAACATCATCGAGCCGCCCATCATGCTGGGCCCGCCGAACATCGACGGGAACCCACCGCCATGGTTGACCTGCTGGACCGATGCGCCCGCATACGGCCTACGCTCGCGCTCAGTGGGCTCGACCTGGGTTCCTGAGTCCGCCAGGACCGCCAGCCCGCGTGAAAAACGGGTCGTCGAATGGATCCCGCGCAAACATGGAGCTCATGTTGAACATGAAATCGAAACGGGTCACGCCCGCCAAAGAACTCGCGGAAAATCTCGTCCGCCGTGCGGAACCGGAAGCCTTCGTAGTCAGCCTGCGGCTGCTGCTGGTGGTACGCGCTACTGGACGACGCAGGTTGGAACCCGCGCTTCAGCCCATCGGTCCCGTATTGGTCGTACCGCTGCCGGCTTTCCGGGTCGCTTAACACCTCGTATGCCTCGGCCAGTAATTTAAATTTGCGCTCAGCTTCTTCGCGGCAATTGGGGTTCTTGTCAGGGTGCCATTTCAGAGACTGCTTGCGGTACGCCTTGCGCACTTCGTCCTGTGTTGCACTGGCGTCTATGCCAAGCTGCTCGTAGTACTTTAGGTCAACAGCCATGCGGGTATATATGTAGAGTGTGCTTAATTAGAGTAGTGGGGAAGAGTGTGCGAAAAGAGACGAAGGAGGAAAGGAAGGCGAGAATGAATATTTAGACTTTTTGGGTCCCAACGTCGCCACAGCGGAGACACAACAACAACAACAGCAGCAGCAGCAGCAGGTAACGTGAAGCGCACATCAGTGCTGGTGCTAGCAAGTGCGAAGCTGGACCATGGTTCGTTTTTCTGGTGCGTTCGACAAACGTGCATTAATCCGACATATAGTACCGTATAGCCAATTATCTGCTCAGGCACCTGCAGGATTAAGCGCAGTGCGATCTGCACGCATCTGCTATCGATCGCCTTTCGCCGAGTCAAGCGACGGATGGCGGGTGCCAACATGTGTGCTGAGCAATGGTCAACGCACACACACACACACGCATCACCCATGCATGCATAAATTGGCAAGCAAGCAAGCGAACGAGCGAGTGAGCAACCATCGCGCAGCCGATGGTGACATGCACAGGCTGTATTTCGAACCAAAACAATAACGGACATTGGAGCACATGGCCGTGCCTGGTTGCCAGCAGGATGTGCGGGCGGACTTTGCCAGATGCCGCGTGCAAAAAGACGGACACTGGCTTTCTCTTCCCTATCCCCATGGACACCGCCGATTCCCAAAAAAGGCAAGCCTGGTCAGTCCACTTTTGATTCACCCAACCAGAATCCGGACCACCCTTTTTTTCCTAGAGCACATGGGCTGAGACATCAGGGGAAGATTCGCTTGGAAATGCATTGGGGAGATGCTCAAGAAAGCTACACCTGGATCTGCTAGGCTCGACCAAGGGGATATCGTGGATTCACCGCACACACGCCTGAAGCCTTTTTCCCGTCACATGGAGGCAGCAAGAAGCCGGCGCGGCCTGGGTGGTGAGTCAGCTAGGACAGCCTACTCGCTCAGCAGCACGTATTCGCGGGTGCTGAACGCAAACCTGATCACGTCCTTGGTGCGCAGCTCGACGTATCGCTGGGCGGGGATCCGGTCGCCATTCAAAACCGTCCCGTTGGTTGACGCCAAATCGATAACGTATGGCCTAATTTGAAGCAAGGATGAAACGGGCGCGGTTCCAATGGAGAGAAAACATTGGGACGATCGCCTTCCCTATGGGTTAGTAAAAGCAGCCTTCCTTGCCCGGGTTCTTCTTTTGGCGCATCTTCGTGGAAAGAGGGGACCGAGCGAGAAACGTTCAGGTATAGGCATCTCTCCGCAGGCAGCTGCCCCCACACACGTTTTTCAATCCCACCCCCAAATGGGCAGCCGGGCTGGCATCAACAAACACCAATCCGTTTGCGCTAAAGAACGCCTGCCAATCGCATGTGCTCGGACCGCGCGGGTACATGCACGGCAGCAAATGCCGTGGCTGCGTTTGAGGACATGGGATGGCTGCTCCATCTCCAGGCACACATGTGCTGAGGGGAAGGCGGGTGGGACTGGTGTGGCATTGGGCATGCGCCAGCGCACCTCTCCCCCAAAGCAAGTCCACCATGCCAATGAAGCAGCGTTTCAGATGGCGGACAGCCTATTTTTGGGGAGGGCCGGCCTGGGTCAGACCATCAGCAAAGAAAAGCAGCGGCAAAGAGGAATAATGCACAGCATCGGTTCGATGCACGGGGGTGGGGAGGACAGGGACATGGCGGCGGCGACAGGCTCACGAGAGAAGGCAGGAGAGAAGGCAGGAGAGAAGGCGAGGATCCTACCCGTGAGAACAAGTTGGGCTGACAGCCCGTCTTGCTCATCGCTGCGCCATGCAAGAGCAGGAGAGGCGATGATCCGCCTGCACGGCATGCCGCTGCCAGGCAACATAAACACGTACCTGATAGCGCGTGAGCTGGTCTGGCGAAACTGTAGCACTGCATGCTGGCCCGAACACGATGGATGGTCGGTCGGAATATCCGCCACCTACGCTGGCTTGTGCAGTTAGCAAGACTCCAGATTGCTGGCTAGAAACTGTGCAATTCCTCGGGCTGGCCCGATTTAGGCCACGTCCGATACGGAGCGTGGGGAAAGCTATAGCGCTATCCTCTTGGAGCAACTGCCAGGTTCGGCGAGCTCGCCGAGTGGCCAGTGAGCGTGGGACAATTTCGGAAGTTAGTGGGGGGATGGTGGACGGGGCACGCTGGGGAGGAGGAGGGCATAGGACTGGAGCTAGCTAGCTGGACGGCGATCCAAGTGCGTCAAAACGGGCAGGAGCGCTCAGAATATAGAAGGCAACGTCCCTTCCCAGCACAAATTTCCGCCGTCGGCCTGTGTGTATGGGGGTCTCCCAGCTGCTCACTCAACATACGGCCTAAACAAGCAGCTGGTAGCTGCTGATGCTAATGTCAGTCTGAATGTGTCGCGCTTACCTTGCGGTCTCGGCCAAACAGATATGCACTGGCCGTGTCGACATGGTGCAGCTCGACCTCCTTCTCGTCCTTGAACACATACAGACGCCAGCGGTCCTTGGGCTTCCTGGCCTCCGCCGGCTCGGCGTACTTGAGCACCACGCCGTTCACCGTGTTGGTTTCTGCCGCCAGCTTGCCTGAGAGCCCGAAATCCGGCTTAATCTCTGGCGCCTTGTCCGAGCCAGGGGGCGGCGACTTGCCTTTTTCGTTGTCTGGCCTGCGTGGACCCCTGCCAGGCCGTGCTGCATCCTCACGCTTGCGAGTGGGCGAGCTGTGATCGCTCACGTAACGCCGCCGTCTGGTACCATCCCCGGTTGCCGCTGGGCTGCGCGATCGCCGCCGTCTGTCCTGGCGCCGTGCCTTTTCGCGGTCTCTGGGCGACATGATAACGATAAAAGGAATATTCTCCAAGGCTACATACGAAAGGGCAGGCACGGCGCTGGCTGGTCGGTGTCTGATTTACCCAATCACTTGCTGGCGGGCACTAGTGTGGGATGGGGGAGGGGGTGGTGCGTCCCAGCGACATGCCTTTTTGGCAGCGCACTACCCGATGACTCCCACCTAGTGTCCTAAAGAAGACCTGCCGCCAGTGCTCATATCATATCTGCCTCTCCCATCCAAAGAAAGGACCATTCTGCAGCGCCAGAGGCGCCACTGCAGCCATAGCGGTGCCCATATTGCTAGCGCCCTTTTGCTAGCGCCCATGACGAGGCGAGTGCTGCAGCTCACTGGCCAGAACTGAGTCCAATTTATCCCGTCCTGTGAGAAGAGATTGCACAATTGCACCCGATTTCACGCAAAAATAAAACCCCCTCCTAGCACGTGCTTCTTTGGGGCACAGGAGAGAGAGGGGGTGGGCACTGGCGACCCCGGGGGTGGTCCGATGCCGAGGTCTATGAAAAATAATGAGCACACGCATTTTGGCCAAGTGTGGAGAGAGTATCCCCCAAAAAAATATTTTTTTCCTTTTTTCTGCACCTGCCTTCTGAGCGCATGTCTGTAGGGCAGGGCCAAGCGAGGAAAATGGAAAGGAGCGGGATTGTGTTATAAAAGGTTGCGCTGCTCCCTCCGGCAGGCGAGGGGCCGCAGGCGTGTATATAACCTTTTTCCTCTCTTTGAACGGGACCACCCTCTCTACTCCCCTTCTTTGCTGTGCTCTCTATATCCCCAATCCCCTCTTCTGCTCATATTCTCCTGAAAGAAGCGGCATTTAATATTCAGGCCAACAGCACTTGTTCAGCGGTCCAGCTTTTATACACATATTCCCACACTAGAGCATACATACCCCCCAGCCGTGTATCAGCCATGGGTGGCAGCAGTGCAGTTTCCAACGAGCCCACACAGGCCGCCGCAGCGCGGACGGGCAGCAGCTCGGATCTTGATTCCGAGGTGCAGTCGAACAAGCCGCTGTTTCTGAACTTTACAGCAGAGCTGGCGCCGTTCAGCGCGTCCAAGAAGCAGAAGAAGAAGAGCAATGTGTACAAAGTGAGCGGAGTCAACATTCTGAACAGGTAAGCCTGCAATTTAGCTATCCCGGAGCTTACAGAATGGTGAGCTGTGGTCAGAACGTATCCCAGATATTGGAGATCAGAAAACAAAACATGCGCGCGTGGATGACTTTAATATGAGCTAAACCGCAATTTTTCGCATGCACGTGCGCACACCTGCCCATGTAGAAACAGCGTCGACAGCAAGACAGCGCTGGAGCGGCTACAGAGACGGCGCGAGAACCACAACTTTGTTCGAGAGACGGCGGCGCGACAACATCAACCACACGATCACCACGCTGTCGACACTCATTCCGTACTGCACCGAGGAAGGCGTGAAGCTGAACAAGGGCAGCATTCTTCACATGGCCGTCGAGTACATCCAGGACCTGCAGGACATCAACGCAGCACTGGTCGAAGAGAACATCCGGTTAGGCGGCACCTGGCGACGTGAAGGTGCCGTCGCGCCACCCGTCCAGCCTCGACGGCAACAAGCAGGAGACGGCAAACCTGCGCCAGGCTCGACCTGAGGGCATGTCACTCTCGAGTGCCGCGCCGTCGCCGCAGGTTGGGCCCGTGCGCAACGGCGGTGGCTCGCAAAAGACGCCCTCGGCGCCTGGCAGCCGGGCCACATCGTCGGGACTGGCCGAGCCCGATCAATGGGTCCAACGACCGGCCCCTGGCCGCCACCCTTGCCGAGACCGCCAGCCGGAACAGTAAGTCTGCAGTAGCCCTGCCGTCGCTGAGTGCGACGGCTCCGGCGCACCACATGTCGGGCGCGATCTCGCCGCCAATCACTACAGCGGCACCGTCCGCGGTACAGTCGACCAACACATCGCCGGCGGCCCAGGCAACGGCAGTGACAGGTGCCAACCGCACAATCCCGCCTGTCACGCAGCTGCCGCCGCCCTCGCACAATGTGCAGAACAGCAGCATGCTGCCGAGCCTGGCGCCGCCAATGACGCCCCGGCATGCCGCTGGTGCGTCAGCCTCGATGACATTGCCTACAGTGCCCGAAATGACGTCGATTGCGCCGTCGATTGCACCGCTGCCTCGGTTCTCGTTTCCCTGCAGGAGCAGGCAAGTTCCAGGGCAAGCCGCCTGCGCAGTCGATGCCCAACTCGCCCAGCTTCCAGCCGCACAAGAGCCGCATGGAGCGACATGCATGCCAACGGATTCACCAACCACCCGTTCTTCAACAACATGAGCCCAGTAGGCCACAGGAAGGATGATATGCCGTCGTACCGGCACCACAGCGGCAGCACGCACCCGCAGCCGTACATGCAGCAGCAGCAGCAGCAGCAACAGCAGAACGCGGCCGGAATGCCCGTGCGCAAGAGCGGACTTACCCCGCCCCAGCAATACAGGCAGCACCCGTACAGCACCCCGGCCCACGTTCCCGTTGCTCAGTCCCTGCAAAACACCCCGCTAATGCGTCCGTACCGCGAGGGATTTCCCAACGAGGGATTCGAGCTGCCGCCAATTAACTTTAGCGCAGCGGCCCCACACCACCACAACCACCACCGAGCAGCAGCAGTCCCGCAGCAGCACCAGCACCAGCAGCAGTCGCCGCCCGCTGCCGGCTCTCGGTGATCACCACAATAAATGATATTGCTCCCAATATCGGCCCAGTGCGCTCGTTGTCTGCCTCCCTTGCCAATCAGATGAAGCGCCCCTCTTGTGCTCGCCTGGTGTTTATCTTTTTCGCTCTTTCTTGTTTCATAGCTCCCTCCTCTCTTTGTCTAAAATTCGCATCTGTTCCCAAACACAGCGCACGCAAGGCATGTGCCCCCCCCCTCAAATGCGTTTGTTTGTGTTTTCCACACTGCGACGCCAACGCCCACGTGCCTGGGGCGATAATTGGCTACTAAGCACCGACACTAAAACGTCCATGTGTCCTCTGGGCGACAATTGCGATGCGGCCAAGAACAGCAGTGTGAAAATCGTGCAGTTCACAGTAACGCTCATTTCCGTCTTGCCCATGCCCATTCTGGGGAGCGAAGGAAAAAAGACGCCTCTCCGCCGGTGGCTACTTCATCCCGCACGACGGAGATTGGTGGGCTGGCTTGCCACCTTTCGAAATCGGGATTAGTCGACAATGACACAGGGGGTGGATAAACACGTTGCGACTCGCGAACAACCGTGCTCTTGCGCACAAGCCTCCCCCAACACCATATCACCATCCTTGCTGCCCCCTACTCCCACTCTCTTCTGCCTGCTGCTGGTGCCGGTGACTGGTAGCTGGTGCCTCTAGACAAGCATGCACAATGAGGGCGCATGTCGAATGCTGCTGCTCCTGAATCCGAGAACAAAAGGCGCACGCCTCCACCGAGCCAAAAGACATCATATGCGAAAGTACCAGGGTGAAACTTGGTCACATTACTATGTGCGGGCGATCTTCAATTTAGAAAAAGTCAAGGAAAATGTCGTAATATGCCTAGCCAACCCACCCCCCTGAATTTCCGTTTTTATTTCCGCAACCTGTTGCAACGGGCACGGGGCCCGACGATTACGTGCCTATTTGTCGCTTCAGCTGCCTGTATGCTGTTGACGAGATTGACGTGGTAGGACCCAAGCCCGCTTGACTTGTACACGCCCAGCTCCCGCTCGACCGCATCCTGCGCCGCCCCGACCCACTCGCCCTTGTGCGCCTTCATGTACAAGTCGAACATGAGCTGAATCGACTTTTGGCGCTTGGCGTATCCAATTCTGTCGCCCACAATTGCCTTGAGCTGCGGTGCCACCGCCTGCGTCTCCGTCTTTGGATCGTAGCCCGGATGGCGGCGATCGTAGTTGAGAGTCAACAGGCGCCACTTGTCGCCGTCGTCCTGGATCGCTGCCGTCTCCTTCTCGAGTGCGGGTGCAATGACCGGGCTGCTTACGGATATTGCGTGCTTTGGCAGCTGGGATGCTTGCTTCGGTCGTTCGGACATCGCAGGTGTCGGTTTAGCCACTGCAGCCTTTGTTGTGGTGAGTCTAGAAACTGTTCGCCGCTGCCGCGGGAGCTGCCTTGCGCGGCGATGGCTGCTGGATGGGCGGCGAAGACAATGTGATTTCCTCGGTGCTGAATGCCTCGACACCGGAATCTACACCTACATAATGGCAAATATTTGAGAAAATAGCACATCCCTCCATGCGGTTCAGCACACATCCAAAACGGCAATCTGTCCGTTGTGTCCAAAACAAGACCTGCAGTCCTCGCCTACCTGACTCTGGCACAGCAGTCAGCCTGCCATGTGCCTCCGCTGGATGGGCGTAGAAGCAGAGCGCTCCGCGACTACATTTTTCCCGGAATGGACAGTCGACCTGAGCGAGCAGCTTTAATGTGGGAAACATATCAGTGTGTGACAAAAGTTTTACATCTTGTGATGTTTTCGAGAAATATATTCCGCCAACTGTTCAAAGCTTTGCCATGATTTCCAAACATGGATGATTATGAGCGCCACTGCCCGCTTCCTGTTAATGACAGTGTCACATCTCAGACACCCAATTAAATATGAAACGCCCATTGAATGCAACTCGGAAAGCCGCAGCAGCAGAGCTGCAGTGAATGACTCCTGCTTTATTTGTTGTGAGCAACAATTTTCCCCAGGGATTATTGACAGCGCTCCTGCTCACACGGCATACACGCGACTATACCCAATAACATCGCGGCGGCAGCATGGACAATGCTCAAATGACCGTGCTGCAAGCGACATGCGGCACTCATTGCATAGGCACAGGCACCGGCACGGGCGCAGCATCACACACCGGGTGTTGGTCCAGCAAATGACACACAGCATGTTTCCTCTGCCTGTCCTCACCGTCTTCCTCTTCATTTTGGCGCCGTGCCCTGGTTATTTGCATCAGCGAAGTCAGTTCTGGAGACGAGAACGGGAGACCAGGCATCTGCAGCACAGAATCCGCCGACACAGACTGGCTGTCCAAGTCTGCGCCCGTACCTGCTTCGAGTCATCATCACCGGAGCTGGCCCATTAGTGCTGGAAAGCGAGCCTGCTAGCGAGTGTGCCATGAGTACAAGCAGCGACGACATCTGGTCGTGGCGCGATGTCTCTGACGCACTTGTGATTATGTCACTGACAAGACCGGCTGTTTCGGCAACCTAGCTCCTCAGAATCTACAGGCTCGTCATCCCAGTTGGTTTCGTCGTCGTCGTCATCGCATCGCCATCGCCATCGCCATCGTCTGCACTTGCGTAGGCTGCTGTCAACATAGTCGAAATCAAAATCGCTCTCGGCATCGTCTCCAGCAACCACGTCATCCTCGCCAATCTCCCAGCTACGCAGCCCGCTGTTAACGGTGGTCATTTGCTTGGCTTGCAGAGCCACACCATCAGGTGAGCGGCTATTGTTGGTGCTCCCTGCCATTTGGTAACGCGAGCCCTTTCTCCACCCAAGACCAACCTCCAGTATCGCAGTGCACAGAGACCATAGAGCCAGCGACAATTTGCGCAGCGAATCAACCCGTGTATCCTTCAAAAACACAGCCATGTCCATCGGCCCTTCTGGCACCTCAAAGCTAACCCCAGGCTCATTCTCGATAAACACAGCGAACCCATTGCGCCTTCCCACACGCTGCGCCGATACAGCTTGATCAACTGGACTCGGACATTCTCGACCGAGCCGCAGACACCTGCCTGGAAACATACTCGTCCAGGGCAGTGCCTTTGGGCAGCCGGATCGCACCGCATGATCGCGAGTATCCGCTAGCACGGATCTGGTTGCTGTACTGCCTCAGACATGTACCGGCAAGATCCAGGATCTCAACACCAAAATCACGGCGCAGATCAGGACACAGTGGCAGGTACGTGTCCTCAATCAGGGCCCGCCCATCAGCCATTTCGGCCTCGTCATCCAGCTCAGGAGCCACAAATGCACCGTGCTGGTCATAAGTGGCCTCAGTAACTTGGTGGCTACCCTGCACTGCGCCTTGTCTGAGGAATCCGAATCTGTCGACAGCGCGCGCCATCGATCGAATTACAACAGTGGCCACAACAATGAGCACCGCACCACACAATAGAAGCATTGTCAGGACCTGGACGAACGGGTACAGCTTGAGAGCGCTCGGGTGCCGCATGCTGAACACAAAGTGGTCCATTACCAGCAGGTCGATGGCGCCAGTTGGCAGCAGCCGCCACTGCCATCCGCTAGACAGCGAGATCAGCAACTGGCAGATCACGGTCTTCTCCAGCACATTGAGCAGTGCCAGCTCCTGGATGCGCACCGAGCCACCGTAAAAATAATACAGCGAGGTGCGCTCCAGCAAGTTGCCAATGTTCTCGTAAGGCGCGCACGGGCTGCCCTCGAGCCGCGAGACAAAGATTTCCATACAGTCGAATATGCAGATTGTCACAAACACCAGCCACATGGCGCCGTCCATCGTGATAGTGTCTGCCTGTGCCTTGCCAAAGTACTGCTGGCAGAGCTGTGCGGCAGCAGAGATTGGCCCGGCCATCCACTCAGGAGCCCCATGCGTACGGGTGCGCGCCACTGCTATGCACATTGCCGCTGAGGCGCGCAGAAGCAGTATTTGGCACGGCAGATATAGCGCTACCCGCACTAGTGGCCGAAGTGGCCGCACTCGCTGTCGCCGTACCAGTATCTGGATACGACTGATAATGAATCCGACCACCAGAGCTACCAGAAAGTACCGCGATGCAAACAGCCCAAATAGCTGCATGTTCTCTGCTGGCGGCGGAAATCCACCGCCGACTGGTGCTGCTGGTGCTGTCTTTCTGGCGCTGTCCTGTCGGTGGTCGCCGGTCGGGATCGGACGAGGGGGGATACCACTTGGCGCGCCATCAAGGCTCCAGCTATCAGGTACGCCAACTACAAGCTCGACCAGTTTTGTGAAGCGCCCGCCGAGCCGGAGCTGCTGCAGCTGCTGCCAAACATCGGGTGTGGGCGAGGCATGTATAACCGCTTTTTGCTGAGCTGACATTGCAAAGGAGAGTCTGTGGGTAATATACAAATGGCTTTTCAGAATTATTATAAATTTGCTTGTGGAAGTAAAGGGGAAGGAGAACGAAGGCAAACAGCAGGCAGATGCCCAAATAGTATTCTGCCGAAATTGTGCACTACCCGTCCCGTGACAGAAGAATGCAATGGCTGCTGCAGGCGTGTGCCGGCGGCTCGCCCAACCCACCCACCACTATTACAAACAATTGTGCTCTTTGGTGCCATACACAAGCCGCCGGACCCACTGCGCCGACCTGGAGAACAGCCGGCCAGCCTTTGACGAGGGGTTGATTCTGGGTACAGCGCACAGATGCGAGCTGCCGCATACAGTTGATCCATCGTCGTTGCTAAACGCTGTCTGCCTGTGCCTGGCTATTTTTGACCGGCCAAACATCGCAAGGTTCCGATTACCGGGCCACTTCAACCTCGAATTACCCAGCGACAGCGACGAGCACGATCCGGCCGATCCCAGCCAGGGCCCAAGGAATGATGACGCAGCCGAAAGAGAGCACGTGCTAGTAGACGGAGATGAATCCGGAAACACAGCGCGCATCGTAGTCGATGGGTCGTGCATCGGGTCACCAACCCAAAGTTCCTCGGACTCTCGCACATATTGCCCGGCCAGAATCAGCGCCAGCTCATACGCCTGTGATTCTAGTACTTTTTGTGGATGCAGCAGTGCCACGCTGAATGTCGAGCCCGATCCAGCGGTGTCGATGATATATGCATCATTTTCTGAGAAGTATGCTGCTGCATGACCATGTTCCTCGGACGTGTTTGAGCTCTGCCTGCTGCCGGCCCTTGCACGAAATCTAAAAAACCGCATGCTACAGCAGTACTCTTTTTAGGAATGGATGGAAATGAGTATTAGGATTGACCTAGCGCTGAGTCTGGGCGGCACTGATCCTACTGGCAAACAGTACCGCATGGCTGCTTGTGCGCCTGTTCTTGTTTCCAACACTATTTTATGACCATTGTCAACACACAAGCGCTAGCGGCTTTGAACCCAAGAGAAATTGTCTAACCACTCCTCGCACCCTTTTCCACCTCCGATGCTGCTACAATCACATACTGGCTTTTCCACAACCTCTGGAGGCCGGTTTCCAGTACTGCTCCTGACAAGCTCTCTGTTGGAGTAGCATACCCAGAGAGACAGCTGTGTGTCACCCCCCCATGAGAAGAAGCAGTCTCCAAGCCAGCTTTCCACTGGAGCGGCTAAAGCATGATCTCCGACATGCATTTCCTTCCAGTCCCTCCCTCCCCAATCATGCAGCATGCTGTTGTCCCGTCTATCGACCAGTCTAGCTCAACCAAATTCGAGGACTCGGTCCACCTGCTTTGCTTGCCTGGCAATGTTGGCTCCCTGGTATCCTAGCGGAAGCCAGACCCCCTGAAGATCCAGTGCCCTGCCACTAGAGGAAGCACTGAAGGCATCCGCTCATTGGTAAGTATGAGCTCCACCTGCGCCGAGCCACAGCCTATTACCACACTACGCATCCCTGTCCGGCCTGACAATTGATTTGCCCTATGATAATTATAGGTGGTGCCTATTAAGCTGGCTGCAGCCGATGTATGAAGTGCATCTTCAACATGTCTTGCCTGCCCCTCGGCAATTGGCCAGACACCGAGCAGCCTATGCCCTCGTACTATCCCCCAAAAACAGGTTTCGCGCGCCTTTCGTAGCAGGCTTTTGCCTTTGTAGCTAGCGCGTATCCCTTTATAGCGCATATGCAGCAAAATCGCACTGGCTGCAATGAGGGATCGCCATTTTGGCTAATTCAATTAGCGGTTTCGACTGGAGGTTTCATGCCTCACAGCATAGGATGTCATTCTAGTAGTCCCTACTCCGTGCACTGCTGCTTTGGACAAATAGCGCATGGCCTAGTGGAGAGCCGGCATACCACCTAGCTTGAGAGGAAAAACAACAAATCGAGATGGCCATAGACTATCTCATTGCACCGCGCACTGCGTGCATATAAAGGACGAGCCGGGTGCCGCCTGGAAACGACGAAAGAGAAGCACCCACATCTGGCCAAGTATAATATATTTCCTTTTATCTTCACGAACCTATTTTCTCATTGACACATACCTGCACTCAAAAAATGGCCTCGCACTCACAGAAGGATGATGTTGAGCCAGGGCTGGTTGACCCGAGGCAGGTTGCACCCTACGCCCAGCAGCTCGAGACAACTGAAAACTCATCCGCCAACACCACCTACTCTATTTCCGATATCGAACTGAAAGATGCAAAGCAATACTCATCCTCGGCAACAGACAACTCTGACAGAGTCACAGCCGATAGCGACGCCGACGCCTGACGCCAGGGAGACCCGCACTCAGCTCCTGTCCGGCGGCAAGCTTGCCATGGCCATCATCAGTCTCGACCTATCCATGTTCCTGGCTGCAATTGACATGACCATTGTCGCCACCACATACGTCCCAATTGGCGACAAGTTTAACTCGCTTGACCGCGCCGAGTGGATTATCAGCAGCTATCTCATTGCCCAAACCGCGTTCCAGTCAATCTACGGCAAAATATCAGACGTCCTTGGTCGTGTCGAGACTATGGTCTTGGCCATCATCATATTCCTCATCGGCTCCATCCTCTGCGCAGTGTCCAACTCGCTCAACATGCTGATTGCCAGCCGTGTTATCCAGGGTATCGGCGGCGGTGGGCTTGTCAGCATGGTCCTCATCGTTATTGCTGACATCCTGAACGAGCGCCAGCGTGGAAAATACATCGGTGTTTTTACTGGAACCTGGGGACTCAGCGCAGCCATTGGTCCGGCTCTTGGCGGTGTCATCGTCCAGAATACAAAGTGGCAGGTCATTTTCTGGATCAACATCCCCATTTGTGTCATCTCTGCAGCCATGATTGTTTTCCTCCTGCGCATCCCTCGCCCCAAGGGCTCATGGAAGGAGAAGGTCAAGCGCATCGACTTTGTTGGCTCGTTTTTGTCCCTTGTCGGCATCACGCTTATTTTGCTGGCGCTGGCCTGGGGCGGCCGTGACTATGAGTGGAACTCGGTTGCAGTTATCTGCTGCTTTGTGTTTGGTACGGTTGTCATTATCGCCTGCGTGTTCTACGAGTGGAAGGTGCCCCAGGTGCCCATCATCCCGGTCAGGCTGTTCAAGATTCGCAACGTCTTCTTCTCTTGCATGTCGCACCTGTTTTTCGGATTTGGCTTCTTTGGCCCTATTACCTTCATCCCGCAGTGGGCTCTGGTCGTCAAGCAGGCGTCCAACATCACGTCTGGCCTCTATTTGCTTCCATTTGCCCTTATGATGGTACTGGGCTCGGTTTCAGCCGGTATTTTCACAGCCAAGACCGGCAAGTACCGCGAGATGGTCTGGTTTGGAACTGCTGTGCTCACACTAGGCAACGGTCTGTTCATCACGCTCGATACAAACACAAGCGTTGGCAAGGTCATGGGCTTCATGATTGTTGGTGGCTTTGGTCTTGGTGCTGCCCTGCAAACGCTCCCGCTGGCTGCTCAGGCTGCTGTGACCGGAAAGCACCTGGCTTCCATCACTGCGGTTGCTCTCTTCTTCCGCTCGGTCGGCAACATCCTTGCCGTGTCTGTTCTCAGCAACATCATCCAAAACAAGCTCAAAACACAAATCGCTGTTGTCATTGAGCACTTCCCCACATATGCACAGACGATCCTCCACATCACAAAGGACCAGTCGCTTATCAACAAAGCCAGCATCCCTGACGAGCTCAAGGCAGAAATCATGAAGGCATACTCGGCGTCTCTGCGCGATGCATTTATTGTCCTGACTGTTTTCACTGGCATCAGCTTCCTTCTCTCTCTGGCCTTCAAGCACATGCCGCTCAAGACGACCCTCAAGAAGTCGCTGGAGGATTAGTGTATTTCTACTTTGCCTTTTTACAATAATATCGCAACCAAGGCCATTTATGATGAGGATATATGCACTAGTGCAACCAACTGCAATTTGACGACCCTCTCTAGCAATCCCTGTTTCCAAAATCGAGATTCGCGTTCTCACTTCCAGTTTAGATCATGATCCAATTAACTACTCCTCGGGATCACCCTAGCCGCGAGACGCATATCCTGATGAACCAGTTGAGTAAATAGCAACAATGAAAGTTGGTCGGAGGCGCAACAATGGCATTTAAGACCAGCAGCGTAGGAAACAGAAACAAGGGTGTCGAAGCATTATGATGTACGGATGAGTGGGCTAGTTTATTCAGCTGGCTATAGCCTCCTGGGTCGTATGTGGACCAAGCGCTATCGACACGGAACCAGAAGACAAACATTGCTTCAGGGGTGAGGAAGATGCCATTAAATGCTGCCTCGGCCTGTCCACGGCAAATTTCCTGCGCAGCCTAACCATGTAGTGCATATGCATTTGAAATGACTCTGCCATGGTCATTTTGGATTTCCGTCCCTGGCAATATCCATTGGGAATATCACCTTAGCCCACAGGACTTTGAGCAAAGTTGTCAGGCCTTTGCCCACTAATTTCCAGAAGGACTGGATCATCAGACAGTCAAAAAATAGGGTAACATGTCCCTATACGGGGCATGACAAATTGGACCACTGTCATCTTCATCCAGGATGAAGTGTTTTATCTGTGCAGCCGTTGTAATGCTACCATGGCGAATGTTCCATAAAAGGGAGAGGTATTTCCGCATCACTTTCATTCTAGGAGTACCCTGCCAGCGCGGTCTCGGTGTGCGATACCTTGGCAGTTGACAGTATTTCGACCTATCCATGTCAGCTGGAGGGCCTTGTTTGACCATGCAGGCAGCAGCTGGACATACACTACACAGATACATTGATTTGTTCATCTGATCTGCAGATGGATTCTTGGGTTAATTTTATGATTAACACGGGATATTATCGGAACGGAAAAACTAAAATTCCAGCAGCCAGCACCACGGAAATGGCGGTGGGTCTTGCCCGTCTGTTGTACCGAACAGGCAGCTGATGGACGGACTTTGCACACGACTGCTGCTAAATCACAGGTATGTTTCGATCTAGAGGTAGCTCTTGGCGTTCATATATATAGCGGTGCTTGGTTCTGTCCACAATAGCTTGTGGCCATCAAGATTCTATTCCAGACTTGTATATCAACTCTTATCTCAACACCATGTCGTTTGTCGAAGCCTGCTGCAACACTCCGCCTGTCACGGCCAAGTATGTCAAGGCTGGGGAAATTCGCACTATCGATGGGACTGATGTCTACTTTGCTGGTCCAGGATCATCCAAGTTAGGCCTGATTTTTTGCTACGACATTTTTGGCTTCCATCCAAATGCATTTCAGTTTGCCGATATCCTGGGCAATGCTGGCTTCCGCGTTGCAATTCCTGACTTCCTCAAGGGCAAGCCAGTTACTACTGCTGAGCTTGGCAACCGCGAGCTCATTGCCGAGTTTGCTGCCAAGCGTGCCCCGTGGTCCTTCAACAAAGCAACTTACGAAATGGCACACAGTGCCCTCCTGAGTGAGGGTGCGGAAAAGATCGGTGCTGTTGGCCTTTGCTGGGGTGCCAAACTTGCCATCAGCGCGCTAGCTGAGGATCTTGCCGTTGCTGCCATACTGATCCACCCCAGCATGCTAACAGCTGATGATTTCTCTGAGGCTGCTGGTCCTGTTCTGCTGATTGAAACTAGGGATGAGAAGGATCTCAGCGAAGAGTTTGCCCTAGTAAAAGCCCGCTACTCTCTATCCGTGCGCGATCGCTACGATGATATGCACCATGGCTTCACTGGTGCCCGTGGCGACTACTCGAAGAAGGAGCAGGCTGATCGTGCCAACCAGGCTATCAAGGCCACAATCACGTTCTTTGCAGGTGTTGCCAACTAGATAAATGTCAATACATCTAAGCATCATCGCCGATATTTTGGTATTTCAAATACACAGTTCCTGCCTTCTATCGTTCTACCCACACCTGAGGTTGGTATACTTGTTCAGCTAGGATGGCGAATGTAAATGACAGGGATTTCTGAAAGTAAATTCAGTGGCCATTGCTAGAGTGAATAGGATTGAGTATTGTGGATGAATTATATTTTTGTCTGCCCCGGTAATGCGGATATCGCCAGGCCACATATCCTGCAAAAGCTGATGTGCCTTCTACATGGGCATGCACTGTGCTGGGATTCGATAGGATGCTATCCACTCAAACAGGCACTGTACCATATTGAGCCAGGTCCAGGACCAGACATAATTAGAGTTCTGAGCTAGTGTCGCGACCCTATTTAAAGGTCACGAGCTTCGTCTACTCGCCCAGGCACTAATCAATTGATAGGGACAGTTGATATTATTAAACAAGAAGAGATGATTCCTCCCGGGTCACTCCTGGAGTGATCCGGTGTCTATTTTATAGCCTTAACTATGTGGCCTCGCCTAGGGTGATGAATCAGTCTCATCATCTGTGATCGGCTGAGTCGCATAAGCATTGGCTTTGAGTGACTGTGGTGTGATCACCACATCATCCTCCTCTTTAAGAAGGGGTAGCCCTTTCCTGGTAACCATGGTCTTGGGTGGCATCGCTGTGGTCCACATGCTCAAACGATCATGGTGCACCAGTTCCGCAACTCGGCGTCCTTGTGGCGTCACAAGCTTATATGTGTTGAACGGAGCACGTTCCCACACCATATACGGGCCGAGCCATGGAGGGTCCAACTTCTTCTTGGCCATATTCTTCACCTTGACCCAATGTCTAACGTCATAGGGTTTCCCCGTTTTTGTCGCCTTAGAATAAACCTCATTCATTCTGTGTGCGGCGGCAAATTGACGTTCGCGAGCGATATGGCAGGTCGAATTGACCTTGCTCAAGCGGAGGACTTCTTGGGCATAGACATCACGGTTGTCCTTGTTGTTCCAAGAGACCGGTGGTATACTATCCAGTGGTAGCCTTGGTTCTTTTCCGAACAACATGAAGAACGGGGACAACTTCGTCACAGCATGCATTCGAACTCTTGTTGCCCACACTGCCTGGGGTAGATATTGATCCCAGCGGTGCTTGGCATGGAACGCAAGTTTCGATAGCATCTGGCCTACCACACCATTGGCACATTCAGTCTTGCCATTGGTTTGCGGGTGGTAGGATGATGTCTTGAGGTGACGAACATGGTTGCGGCGAAGGTAAGCACTTGTGACCTCACTAAGGAATGCAGAGCCACGATCAGACAGGATCTCTACTGGGGCACCGTACTGGAGTGCGATCTCACAGTAGATGAAGTCGGCAACCGTTTCAGCTGTAGCATCCTTTGTAGCTTTAGCCACGATCCAGTTTGATGTGTGCTCGATCGCCAGTAAAATCCAAGCGTTTCCTGACAATGTGCGGGGCATAATGCCAATGAAATCAATGCCCCAGCGAACAAATAGCTCAGCCGGCGGCACTAGCGCATTCATCGGGGCCTTTGACTTGTCATCTCTGCCAGCAGTCGCTGCCTGACATACTGGACATTGGGCAATGATGTCTTCCACATATGAGCGCATATGAAGCCACCAATGCCGCAGATGCATCAAGCCGTACACTGAGGATACACCTAGATGTGCGAAATCCAAGTGATAGGCCTGGACAAGTGCAATGCGTGCTCTTTCCCCCTCTACGATGGGAAGCCAGGTCCTATGCTTCTTGATAAGCAGCACGTTCTGCTTGGATAGTCGCAAATTGGGCAATGCACGTTGTACTCAGTTGACCTCTGGCTTAGTCACCTGCTCCGGCGGTGGTTGCTTCAGTATCAGAGCTCGGGCTGTCAGCTCCCACTTCTCCACCGGTGTTAATTCCTGCTTCGTAGTGGCCACCAGTGTGGCGAGATCAAACCGACGGGATAAGGAGTCAGCAACCACGTTGGCCTGGCCCTTCAGGTATACGACCTTGGGTGCTATGCTCATCCAGCACTCTAGCCAGCGGGCTATGCGACCATGGGGATTTTGCTCCGCGAAGACACCAATCAGGGACTGATGGTCAGTATAGACTGTAACCTTGTAACCGCGTACAATGTACTCCCAGGTTTCGAAAGCATAGACGATGCCTAGCATCTCGCGCTCTCGAGCCGAATAGTTACGTTCAGCTGGTCGTAAGGAGCGACTAGCAAATGCAACCGGGTGTAGGAAGTCGCCATAGGCCTGGGCTAGAACAGCCCCAATCGCGAAAGAGCTTGCATCGGACTCGATCACAAATAGGCGGTCCCAGTCCGGCGCCTTCAGCACGGGTGCTGCTGTCACAGCCTTTTTAAGGGCTGCAAAAGCCAGCCGTGCGTTGGCAGACCAGTTGACGTCATCCTTCATGGTCCGCTCGTGGGTCAGTTGGTAAAGCGGCGCAGCGATCGATGCAAATCCAGGTACGAAACGACGATAGTATGAGCAAAGGCCCAGGAATGACAGTACGTCGCGTGCTGTATTCGGCAATGGCCATTCCTCAACCACTTCGAGCTTGTCCTGACAGGGCGTAATCCCACAGTCAGTCACCATATGGCCCAGAAACTGTACCGATTTGGCAGCGAAGGTACACTTTGATGGCTTCAGGTGCAGATCTGCCTTGCGCAGCGCCTCCAGGACCAATCGTACATGTTGTCTATGTGTCTCCATATCCACCGAGTATATCAGAATATCATCCAGATATACCAAGACGAACTTGTCGAGAAATGGCTGAAGTACAATGTTCATCAACCGTTGGAATGTCGATGGAGCATTGCACAAACCAAATGGCATCACCAAGAATTCATACGCGCCATAGCACGTGGTGAATGCCATCTTCTCGATGTCGTCGTTGGCCATTCTGATCTGATGATACCCTGATCGGAGGTCCAGCGAAGAGAACACACGTGCAGTACCAATCTGGTCCAGACAATCGTCGACCCGTGGTAACGGATACTTGTCCTTGATCGTCCGCTTGTTCAATAAACGGTAGTCGACACACATGCGGGTAGAGCCATCCTTTTTTCCAACAAGGATTATTGGATGAGCCCATGGTGACGATGACGGGCGAATCAAGCCTTGTGCTAACATGTCGTCGAGCTGTGCCTTCAATTCCGACAATTGCTTCCGGCCCATGCGATACGACGCAAGCGCATGCGGTGGGCCATCCTCTAGCCGAATAGAATGCTCGACCGACCGGTGAGGTGGCAGTTCTATCACTGGCGCGAATAGTGACTCGAACTCTTGTATCGTCTGCTCAAGTTCTCGATCCTGGCAGACCACCTCTACGCCATTTGGGTTTGCTGGTCGGCGCAACAGCACAACCCATGCGTCCAATATTTTCCGGTCCCGAACTATACGGTGTAAGCCATTCAGGCTAATCACTGATTCCGGTACCGCCGTAGTAACCGTGATCTCTGAGCGTGAGCCATTGTGTTCTAGAATCCACTGGTTAGACTGGTAATCGGGAGTTAACCAGTTTTCCAACCACCAGTCGTAGCCAAGTATGATGTCTGTTCGATTCAACGGCAGCACAAATGCCGTAACCGGAACACATAATGCACCCACCACGAGGTCAAAGTGCACCGAGACTGAGATCTGGTGCACCGAACCGTCAGCCAAAGCAGCTGAATATCCAGACTCCTGGACTGTTTTAAGGCCCAAGTCTGATACTAGCTTTCGGCTGACAAATGAAGTAGTGGCACCCGAGTCCAGCAACGCTCTGACTGGGCGCCCGAGAACCGTGCCAATGAGCTGTGGTCTAGTTCCTGACCCGATCTGCAGTGAGGATAACTGCACGATCTTCACCTTTTTTGTCGGTTTATCATCAATCAATGACTTACACCGACGTTTTGGGCTACTGGCATCCGATTCATCCCAAGGCTGATCCAAATATGACCAGTCTTGGAAGGCATCGACAAACACATCGTCGCTGGTGACTGATCCTCCAGGATCAAATGTAGTGTCATCAACATGTTCGTCGAGATCATCTGCGGGTGACCTGCCTTCCCCCTCTGGCTCGCGAGAGTCAAAGTTCAGGGCTGGCAGTTCTGGTGTGGGCAACAGCAAATCCGTCACTGCTGCCCTGCACCTTTTCCTGGCTTCTTGGTGCAGTTCTGCGAAACATGACTAGGATCACCGCAAGCAAAGCAACGGCGTTGTGCACGTAGCCATTGCTTACATGTGGGGTGGTCCTTGGCCAAGGGTACCGAGATGGAACCGACCTTGATCCAAATGATCGAGCTACCCTTCGTGTATACCGCAGAAACTTCCATTGGTTCTGGTTGAGCTGGCAGACTGGATATGCCAGTTGCTGCTGGCTGCAACCCCGTAGCCTCTGCTACTGTCTGTTCTAACACATCGGCATTGTTGACTAGCCGTAGTGCTTCTACAAACTCAGTAGGCGCTTTCCGAACCAGCGCTTTATAGAGACTAGGATTCAGCCCATGCAGGAAATACGAAATTCGCTCAATGTCTGCGATATCGCTGCCGCCTACGATTTCTGCTTCCGCCACGATATATTGCTGTAGAGTTTTACCCCGCTGGTTCAGCTCAATCAAGCGGTGTCGGAAGACATACAGGTGGTCAGGACGCGAAAGCATTGAGTCGAATTCTGCAATGAAGAACGCCGGTGTGGCCATGATCAAAGCCTGCCGCCCCGGGTGTCGGCTTAAGTGCGCGTCGATCATCGTCTTGGCCTGTCCGACTACTGCATTTCGTAAGTACAACGCCTTTTGAGGCAACGTGCCAGATTGCATTGTGTCCATGTACGCTGACCATTTATCTCCCCAATTCTTAAAGGTAACATTCGACGTCACCATGTCGTATGGTTCAATATTCGGTGCTTCGTTGGCATGGACTGTCACTGCTCCTGGTTGGTTCTGGCTGTCCATCCTCTGCTGGATATAGCCCACGAGACGATCGCCCAGGACAGGATGCTCGTTCAGCAGCTGCAGGAGTTGGTTGAACTGGGCCTCCTGCTGCTCAGAGGTCGGGTTAGCGTTGGTACTGGCATTAGCGTTGTTGTTCATGGTGCTGAAAAATGGAGTGGACGTAGACGATAGTTCTGAGGACAGAATAAGGGACTTGGGTGATGCTACCAATGTCGCGACCCTATTTAAAGGTCACGAGCTTCGTCTACTCGCCCAGGCACTAATCAATTGATAGGGACAGTTGATATTATTAAACAAGAAGAGATGATTCCTCCCGGGTCACTCCTGGAGTGATCCGGTGTCTATTTTATAGCCTTAACTATGTGGCCTCGCCTAGGGTGATGAATCAGTCTCATCATCTGTGATCGGCTGAGTCGCATAAGCATTGGCTTTGAGTGACTGTGGTGTGATCACCACACTAGCCAGCTGTGATCTGCACGCATATTCCGGAACAGCCAGCTCTTTTGCTGGACCAACCAAGGCAACCGGCTGCCATTCTCGTTTGCGTTTGGTTCATGTATGTGAGAAACACCGAAGATGATTTGTCTGTTTCCGATTCGCATCTCCTCCACCACGAGCACACATCATGCACATGCTAAAGAGGGGGTCCACAGTCCCACACTCCATACATAGGCTTTATTGGGGTTCTGAAAATCCGGTATTCCTTTGCAAAAGCTAGCAGGTGGAGCGCTTGCAGATCTAGCTATCGGCCCCTATGAACCATAGCGTTTGGTTCACCCGCTGCATGCTTGACCTGCTTCTTTATCTGATTCCTGCATTATCCATTGTATTCAAGCCAAATGGGTCCCTCGACAAGGTTGGTCAGAAGCACGTACATACCCCGGAGAGAATAATGGACATGCGTGGTGAGTGGATTGGCAAGCTCAGATTATCTTGAAACACCGATGAACGTTTACAGTTGTAAAAAAAATCAATGGGACCTATACGACTGTCAATGGTGCTGCTGATTTCTAAAGATACAAATCTTTGGCATCCCAATAAATCAGAAGACCAGCGTGCTCCAAAGGGAAGAAATCAGTCGTCCAGGATAGCTGCTGGTCAGCTAAAGCCAACAAAAAATATGTTATCTAGTTTTTGAAAGCTGGGTACACCAAGGTTGGGGACTCATGCTGGATCTAAAAATACTTCCTCTGGAAAGAAATAGGACAGATATCTGCAAGGTTCCTAGCATGCTCTAGTGGATTTGCTCAGTCTGTTCTTTATCGCATTTGCGTTGCGTGCTATAAGGGACTAGGAGTTTGCGCTTGACATCATTCTGGAAACCTGCTTTTTTAAGATATCCATTGTGCTGAGGAGCAACCACCAGCGGTTTCCTCTATTTAAACCAGTGGTCTCAGCATGGCTCCTGTCCAAAGAGTACCATGACTCAACACACTCATTACTTCATTTCCTCTCATCTCCGGATCCATTTGTAGCCAAAATTCTGCATTTGATAAGCCAACAATTAATTATTATCTGTACACGTACTCATCGTCACAATGTCACAACCTTCAAGACCAGAGTATTTCCTGGAATGCGGCCAGGGGCATTCATTCTACCAAACTCTGGAAAGCCAGTCCTAACCTAACCATCAACACTCCCTACAACGCAGCATCAAACAGCTCGACTGCAACCATCAATGAGAAGTCCAGTCATCAACACCAGCGAATATGCCGATACCAAGGAGACCCGCACCCAGCTGCTCTCCGGGTACAGGCTGGCGATGGCCATCATCAGCCTGGATATCCTTGTGTTCCTGTCGGCTATCGACATGACCATCGTGGCCACCACCTACATCCCCATCGGCGACAAGTTTGGGTCGGTGGATCGCGCCGAGTGGATTATTACCAGCTACCTGATCACCACAACGGCCATCCAGCCCATCTACGGCAAGATCTCTGACGTGATCGGACGCGTCGAGACCATCGTCATGGCGATTGTGGTTTTCCTCATCGGGCTCGATCCTGTGTGCAGGTGTCCAACTCGCTCAACATGCTGATTGCCAGCCGGGCAATCAAGGGCCTGGGCGGCGCCGGGCTCATGAGCATGGCGCTGATAGTCATTGCCGACATCATGAACGAGCGCCAGCGCGGCAAGTACGTGGGCATTTTCTCGGGCACCTGGGGGCTGGGCTCGGCCATTGCGCCGATGATTGGCGGCCTCATTGTCGAGAAGAGCAAGTGGCCGGTGGTGTTCTGGATCAACATCCCGTTCTGCGTCATCTCTGCCGCCCTCATTGTCATGCTGCTGCGGATTCCGCGGCCCAAGGGGTCGATGCTCGAGAAGCTGAAGAAGGTCGACTTTATCGGCTCGCTCCTGTCGCTGGCCGGGCTCACCCTGGTGCTGCTGGCGCTGACCTGGGGCGGCCGCGACTACGCGTGGTCATCGGCTGCCGGTGGTGTCGTGCTTTGTGGTCGGGTTTGTCATTCTGGCCGCCTTTGTGTTCTACGAGTACAGGTTTGCGGTGGAGCCCATCATGCCCATGCACCTGTTCAACCGGCGCAACGTGATTCTGTGCTCGCTGGCGCACATTTTCTTTGGCTTTGGCGTCAACGGCCCCATCACATTCATTCCGATGTGGGCGCTGGTCGTCAAGCACGCGTCATACGTGACCTCGGGGCTGTATCTGCTGCCGTTCTCCATCGCCATGGTGATTTCGTCGGTGGCGGGCGGGGTCCTGGTCAGCCGTCTGGGCAGGTTCCGCGAGATCATCTGGTTCGGCGCAGCGATGCTGACGCTAGGCAACGGCCTCCTGATCCTGCTCGGCACCGATGCCAGCCTGGGCAAGATCATCGGTCTGCTTGTCGCCGGAGGACTTGGGTTCGGCAGCTGCATCCAGACGCTGACGCTTGCTGCGCAGTCGGCAGTCACTGGCAAGGACCTGGCGGCAACGACAACAGTCAACCTGTTCTTCCGCTCGCTGGGCCAGATTCTGTCAGTGGCGGTCATGAGCAACATTATCCAGAACAAGCTGCGCACCGAGATCGGCGAGGTGGTGGCGCGGTTCCCAGCACACATGCACGAGATTCTGGAGGTGCTCAAGGACCAGTCGACGATCAGCAGCTCGGGTATGCCTGAGAGCGTCAAGGCTGCGATCCAGTTTGCGTACTGGGACTCGCTGAAGGTCGGGTTCATTGCGCTGACTGCATTCACAGGTGTGTTCTTGCTGCTGACGCTTGGTATCCAGCACAAGGAGCTGGAGACAACGCTCAAGAAGACGATTGATGACTAGTCGTAAAGGGATGGGCGGCAAAACTTGTTTTCATATATTTCGTTAAATTATATACAATTAAAGCTTTTACTTGCTTATGTTGGCCTGTATTCCGTACATGTGAAAAATGCACCTTTGGCTGATCCCGTCTTCCTTAGAAGCGACTCCATATTCCAGCGACTACATAAGAAGGAGTGTTTTGGCAGCGTGTGACAATCAAACCAGCCATTTTCCACCTATTTCGTCAGTTCTTTGCTCGCGTTTATTCCTCGTTTTTTCAAACCTCCCCATGGCCACAAACAGTGTAAGCTTCAAGTTCGCTCACCAAGCGGCGGATCGGCCTCGGCATCTACTACCTGCTCGCCGTGGTCAATTCCTGGCAGACGGTAAAGTACGCTGTCAAGCCCACCACCACGCTGCTTATTGCGTACCCAACAATCTCCGGCTCGCGCACGGCCTTCTACGGCCTGCTGCTGTCGACGCTGGGCGACATCTTCCTGATGATCCCGCGCGAGGACATGTTCGTTCCCGGCCTTCTGTCGTTCCTGGTCGCGCACATCCTCTATATCTCGGCGTTCAGCGCGCGCTGGAGGATGTCATGGAGCATCGTGCCGCTGAGCGCGTACTCGGCGATCATGGTTAATCTCTTGTACCCGGGTGTGGCCAAGGAGGAGGCGGCGGTGCAGATTGGCGTCGTGGTGTATGTTCTGGTTATCACGGCTATGGTGTACAAGGCATCGCTGACGGGCAGCGGCACGCTGATCTTTGGCACTATTCTGTTTGCGATCTCGGACTCGGTGCTGGCGTGGAACAAGTTCATTGCAGTGCAGCAGTGGGGCGAGTTCACGGTCATGCTCACGTATTATGCGGCGACAGCTGTGCATATCTCTTGTTCATTGTTGAAAATAAAGGCGCAAGTGCAGCAATTTCAATAGGGTGTATGCAGTTGTGATGAGCTCGCCTTCTCTGCTGATTTATTAAAAGTACACATAGAAGTATCGAGGCAGATGCAGAAAAGATAGCGGCAGATTGGCGCAACAAGGAGGCGGCTGGCCGGACACGCACTGTTCTATACGGCGAGGGAAAGAAGGGGGAGGGGCCTTTTACAGTTGCTGGACCGACTGCTGCTGCATGCCCAATTTCTGCGCCGCAACCAAATCGGTCTGTAGCACCGACTTTGGGTCCTGGCGCACCAGCGTATTGTAGTATTGCTACGAGCTGCTCTTGCGTGGCCACCAGATGCCACCCCATCATGTCCAGCAGCTCGACCTCCAAGGCATTCAGCTCGTGCAGCGAGATGCCGCCCACCTTCGCGTAGTGCAGATTCGTGCAATATGCATCGCACAGGGTCTTGATTGCCACCGTCCCCGCGGCAATGATAAACCGGTGCACGGTCAGCGACGAGATCGTGAATGTCGGGTTGCGCTCGCATATCCGGTCCACGTATATCAGGATTATCAGCATGCACGCCGGCTCCATCGACGCGTACCTGGCCACCCGCAGCAGATAGTCGTTCACGGAGATGTTTGGCGGCGCCCGCGAGTGGAAGCGTGTTGGCCGCTGAGTTGTCGTCGGCAGCCGGATCGTTGTACTGCACCACACGCGAAAGCATGTTTCCTATAAATACAAATCGAGAATGAGCAATCTTGCAATCAACGCGCTTCGATAGCATGTACACATGACATTGACGCCAGAAAACACGTAGCGTGGGTGTATCTCGTACCTACTAGCCGTGTCAACCTCTCTATGTCGGCCTCAAAGTACGAGTCAGGCATGACAAAGACCTGGCTTTGAGGGTCCAATGCCATGGTATGCAGAAGGATAGGGGTGAGTTATGGATATGATAATGGCTGTAGACACGTTGCTGAAGGGACAAAATGGGCTGGCATTCCGCAGAAAGCTAATGACTACGACAGTTATGTTGTATGTGCAGTGTGCTTCTCCTTGAGTTTCGCGTAACGGCCTACAATGCGCTGCTGTATTTTCCTCCCCGAGTTATTGTCTTGTCCAAGGTTTGGCTCATTCAGCAGATTAGGCAGGGCAAAGAAACTGATAAGGAGGATAGCAAACAAAAATTATGTATTATAGAAATGCGCAGAAAGGAGTTGAGAGAGGGGGAAAGGGGTAGTAAAAAGTTTTATTGCGAACATCAAAAGCACTCGGTATTCAAGCAGGGGGCAGGCGACAAAGCAGGTGAGATAGGATCAATTATTGCCAAAAGCGGGATCGAGCGCGAGGTTTTTTCGGGCACTAGCGAGATAGGATCACAAGCGGGGTTTAGACGCGCCAATGGCTGCTCCGCCCTGGACCACCAGGCACCGCCAGCAGTCTGACATTGGACGGCACCAGGCTTGGTACACGGAATGTTAATTAGAAAAGAGGTAATAAAGGCTGCGGAGCGAGTTACGGGGGAGGGGGTGCATGTGCATTGGCCCAGGTCCGTCCTAGGCGGTGGCGTGCGAGGCACCAGCAGCAGCAGGCGGGTCCTGGCTCGGGCTCTTTGCACCAGCTAACGCTGCCCTGGCGAATAAAGTCCAGAACCGACTTCAGCTCGCCCAGTATCTGCTTCTCGACCTGCAGCTGGTCCTTGGCGTACGTGGCAAACAGGTCCTGGAAGTCCCTCTCCCTGTTCGCCTCAAAGGCCTGCAGGTCGGCAGCCAGCACACGATCAACCCGCTCGGCCCTCTCCTGCTTGCCATCGGCGTCGGCCTTGGCGACATTGAACTCGTCAAGCGTCGCCTGCACCTGTTCCGGGCTGATGGATGACGACGCGCGCAGCACAGCCACCGACTGGCGCTTGCGCTCCAGCTGGTGCTGGGCTACCTGGTGTTCGGTGAAGATGACCTGGCGGTTCATCAGCGTCTTCTGCACGTTCTCGCACGAAATGGTGTAGATGTCCTCGACAGCGATGGTCCGTGAGCCTTCCGTGTTGGCCTGCATCTGTGCCGAGTGGCCCATGTGTACAAATGACTTGCCAAACCGCTTGAATGTCCGTGCCAGCTGTGGGTTGTGTTCGATTACGCCCACTGACGTCAGCTTGTTGCCCACGTCACGCAGGATCTACTGATAGACGCGTGCGCGTGCGCGCCAGGCGCCCGTGCCACCGCCGGGCCTCGGGCAGGTTCCTGCCAAACAGGGCCAGGTTATCTGACGTCTTCTCCAGGTGCTGCTCAAACGGCGTCGGGTTGGCGCTATGCGAGATCTTCTGCTTGCTCTTGCCCCACGAGAAGAAACCTGTGTTCGACTGCGGCGGTTGCGGAACCACCGGTGCAAGCGCCGGGTTGAATGCAAATGGCGCTTCGACAAACTGCCTCAGCTCGTAGTCCTGCCGCAGGATCGGGTGGATCGAGACGCGCGACAGCCACTGCTGCAGCAGCATCACCACCAGCCGGTCGTTCTGGTAGTCAGGCACGTATTTGCTCACCGTGGTGCCAGGTCCCAGCGTCGGTACCAGGCACTCAGGGTATGTTCCGCGTAGGTGTGCCTCCAGCCGCTCAAATTCTACCTGGTTGCGCTCGATGCCCGTGTACTTGCGCCGCCGGTACGGGCTGAGGTTCGTGGTTACATCAAATGTGTATCCGGGCACCCGCTTCGACCGGTCCACAATGCGGCCCACTGAAAACGACAGCAGCGGCACTGGCTGCTTGGCGCTCTCCGGCGGTGGTGTCGGCACTCGCTGCTCGCCATTGCCCACATGCACGTCATCCCTGCTGCTGTCAGCCGTTACATTGGTCTGTTTGCTAGTCCAGAACGCGCCGTTAGCCTCGTGGTTATCGTCGGTCTGTGCTGCTACCGGAATTTGTAACGGGTCGCGGTGCGGATCAATGTCGTCCTCGCTAAACATTTGAATTAGTATGATATAAAGGTACAAAAATGATTTTTTCTACCGAAACAGAAAGTGAGAGACCAGCAAAGCAGAATGCTGCTCACCTCCCCTACCACGTGATGATGACGCTCGAACTTTTGGCTTCAGTTTTCCACACACACCTTGCTGTGGGACTCGGTTCCAGCAGCTCCCATCGGTTCGTGAAGCGGGAACGACATGAATCGGCATGGTCTTGATGTGCCATTACATCATGTGTTGCTATTTATATCAGTAGCATGAGTACACAGGCGTACGTCATACCTTCCACCTGCATCATCATACCCTGCACAGATAGATGTGGACAGCAAGACCAGGCGTACTTATCGTTGTCAAAGTCCTTTGGATCCTTGCGGCACGTGGGAAGATCTCGTCTACAAAGTGCTGGCTCATGCTTTTCTCACTTGTCCATAACCCTCGACTCTTTCTTCCGCAGACAGAGGGATGTCTCAGCAGGGCATAGCTCCTCTCACAGATTGCTGTGGTGCTTGGAAAACACAACCTCCATCGCCATAGAGAACATAGATATGTGGCGCAAAGGCAATCGGGTGAGCGCTCATCACGAGTCAACCAAGTGGAATCTTGGTGGCACACCAGCCTTCGGGTCGGGCCTTTAGACAGCGTTCACAAACCGGTGCACTACAAAGAAACATTCAAATTATTGGATTAGCAGTTGCCAATAACTGAAACAGAAAGCAGTATACGGCTTGCCTGCTTCATTGAAGCTAAGGCTCAGGGGTTCCTTTATCCAGTTGATGGTTATATCAGCAGCAGACAGGATTGGGCTCGCCTGGATTACTGCAGAAGTGGCCTCTTGCATGGGCAAGCCATGTCTCGTACATATTCTTCAGCTTCTCACTAAGCCTCCTGCACCTAAATATGAGACGTTCTAACAACCCGATGGAGGCCGTGTCGAAACTCGGGGTTCCTCCTATGTTTTCAAAGGGCAGTATTGCACTGTTTAGAGATTGCATGAAGTTGACTCTTAAGGCTCGCGATTCTCTCTACACGCTCTTCCTCAGCTCTCTTGGCCATCACCTCCATCACCACCTCAGCCCGCTTGGCCGCTTCCCTCACCGCCTCAATAAGCCTGCACGGCCTAAAGCACTAAAACAGGCAACTGTCTAGAACACGTTACTCTCCAAGCACCTTCCACGACGTATATTGAACGTATGAAATATGCTGTATGAAGAAGAAGAATCGCCAGTGAAGGCAGGTCCGTCTAATAGTGGCCGGTCGCTCAGAATAGTATGCGCCATTGTGCTAAAGTCTTGATCCATGGTTCTAAGATCATAAGGATTGGAACCACAGTCTCTCCACCTCCTAAGTCAAGCCTCAAGCTGGGTTACCTATCCCGCAGGTGTAGGCCACCTATCTGGAGTGGTGACTGGAAGCTACTGACGCCATCTGCAAAGCAGCCTAATTCAGTTCCGCTTGCGGTGGCAATACCGACGAATGGAGTCAGCTTGGTGTCAGTACGCAAGTGCTTGATCGGTCGGTTCAGGGCTGTTATTGTTGTCTATATAGTTGGGGGGTTTTCAAACCCATGGTGTGGAGATAGAGGAAGAATGCATTTCTTCCACCATTTCCAGATGACCAGAGTCCCATGCCTTTACGCCAGACGTGACTGCGCAATTCAGGGACAGCAAGCAACCGCAAAATGGACCAAGGCTCACGACACAGCTCATGAGCAGCATACCACACCCATCAAGTGAAACAGCATTTATTTTCCATTGTCTCCAAAAGCATCCAGGTGGCACATGGTCTAGGGCAGAAACCATGCTCCGTACATAAGAGCTGCCGAGAATTGGATTGCGTAGGGCATTAACTATTGGTGCTGTTTCTTGTATGATGCGATACATACGTTCAATTTCTGAACATATCGCGTATGTATGATCGGTACAGGCAATCCGGCCATATATTTACGCATGTATCGTATATCAGCATATGTCAGGTGTCGCATTACATATATATTGGCATTGATCGAACGAGATATAGTGCGTCGCAGCTACATGGATGTTGTTGGATATCATGCTTGGCTGTAGCATACATGAATACCGAACCATTCGATGTAGCACTTGCTAATGAGGCATATCAGTCTTAAAAGACCAATCGCTTGGTAAAGTTGATCTTTTGTCGCGTCATTTATTTCCAAGTGCAGCCAAAGACTGCCTGCAAAGCGTACTCACCTAAAGATCGATTAAATAACGAGTCTGAGGATGCTATCTACCCAGTACCTTGCCCTGCATTCTGGGATTTGAGCTTGGAGCCCATGACTTCACATAGGCTCTGCTGGATGCCGGTCAACCGACCCTGCACCTGGCACAGCTCTTCCAGCGACTGCGAGCCGGCATCCATCAAAAGCGCCTCTAGCTGCCCCAGCACGCCTGGACAGAGTCGGTGGTGGTGTGCGCTTCTTGGACCTCTTCGATTTGCGCTTTTTTGTGGGTGTGCTCTGTTCGCTGGTGCAGTCACTACTGGCCTGCGGCGACACGCGAGAGCGCTTTTTCGGCTGGCTGGCTTGGCTGGCCTGATACGCCAGAGATTTCTGGTGGCACTGCGGGCGGGTCCTGGGTGGGTGCCATATCGACATCAGCAGGTTCCTGGAATGACTTTTGGCGCTCTCTTCACCAGTGCATCGGATTCAAGAATCCCACACAACGCCTTGACAAGACCTGAGGCAGTCGTTTTGCTATCAAGTATTGGCGAGTGTTCGGCAGCCACCAGAAATGAAGCCAATTCATCTTGAGGCAGTGGTGTAGATGCTGCAGGGTCGGATTCGAGTACCTTGTCCAATACACCTCCGAGCTGGCACAGTATCTGGTGAACTGTTTGGGGGTCTTTGATTTTGTCGAGCATCGAGATAGGTCTGGATCGAACAGGCTAATACCGAGCAAGTAAAAGCAGAGCCGAGACTTTTCGTCAGTTACTTCAGCCTCAGCAAATGCCGAGATCGATTCGGGCGCAGTCCACGTACCACCGCAGGCAGAACCAACAGCTGCGATTCCAAGCAGCACGCTTATCGAACATGCATGTGGTACCCACTCGGCAGCATCTGCGCTCTTGGCAGATTCTCGAGCTAGTCTGGCAAAAATAGCTGCCGTTGGCTGATGGACCACTAGGTTCGTTTCCTTAATCAGCCTGACCACAGCGTCATCAGCGCACTTCCACATAAGGAGCCCAGCGTTTCACAGTACTGCTTTCCTCCGATTCATTCGTCGAGTCGCATGGCGCAGTAATGGGTGGCTGTTTCAGCAGCGTATCTGCAAACCACGGTGACCCGGAAAACAGAATGATCCGTTTGAAAAACACGTACGCCAAGCACTCCAAATCGGAATCAGAATCCAAGCCATAGCAGCTTTACGTCGCTTGGTAGACTCAGTTGCTCCAGGGACAGATACCAGGGCCTCGGCAAGGCCATCGCGATTGGCACTGTCTATGAACTGCAGCAGGTGAAAGGCGATGCGCATCCCGAGGTTGGCTGCCAGGGCTGAATGATCCAGCGTGTTCTGGCCATGCCACGCAGATGACGACTCGAAGCGACCTCCAACACGACGCCTGATATGCCGCCATTTCGACCGATAGCGTCGTTCAACCAAAGCGTCAATGTCATGGCATTCGTTAGATGCGCAACTGGGATAGGCCGAGAAGGAGTTGTGGGCTCAGCTTCGGTTGCCGGAAGTAATGCTGCTAACGCGCTCGTGAACTCGGACACGACTGCTGTCACCTTGGCTGTAGAGTCATCCACTGGTGGAAAGACCTGATCAACTACATCAGGGCCAAGTGATACGGTTTGTGCCAAGCGAGTGCCGACATTGTTTGTGATTGCGTAGAACAGAACTTCGTGTGGCGACTTCGGGTTCTCGCTTTCCACAAGTGGACAGCCGCATGGCTCCTGACCCGGACAAATAGGTGCAGTGGTGACAAAAACCGACCATATCGACGCTAGATACGAAGCTGATATCCTCATTCGTATCGTTTATCAAGCGCGTTTAGAGATGTGCAAACAGCATCACACAAGCATACGAACGACGGCAATCCACCAGTAGGCATCGTGGAACTCGCCGGAGCACAACGCAGCGATATACCCACCGATATATTCGATAACTATCGGCACAATCCCGCTTGCCGACTCGACTGGAACGCCGACCACATACTGGCCTAGCACCTGGGTATTGTCGCCTTTAGTGAACTCGTCCACAGATGAGAACGGGCCATGGGTTTCGGCCAAGCTCTTGCCATCGCCTGCTGCTAGAGTCGTCGTACCAATGATCATCGGGGAGACAACAAACTTTGGGATCTTATCCGGGGACAGCACGAACTGGTTTAGCAGCGCCGTCAGCACTCGTGCAACGACCTCCATGACCTCGATGCTACCATCCGCAACAACAGCCTTTGTGATCGGCTTGATCAGTGTTTCGGTGTGTGTGGCTACACCGTCGCCTAACGCATATACCAACGTCGCCCAGCACCGCACGCATGCCAAGCGAACCTCCACTGCCGATTCCTTGTTGCTCAGAATGGACACGATTGGTGTCATAATCAGTTGAACGCACTTTTTGAACCCTACACGGCCCTCCCACTGAAACGCATATACCAGACACCGCCACTGCATCAGCGCCGCGACCAGTACTTGCGGGTCTGCCGAATTAAAGCACTCCTGGATCACCCTCAGCATTTCGTTGATGCGTGGCCGGATATGCTTCGCGCACACAGTCACCAGCATGCCCCAGACGCGCGCCGCATACACGTGCTGGTGCTGCTGAGTCATCCGCGTCAATTGCTTGATCATCTGGCCGAGCTGCGAGTCCAAGAATGCCTTTGCTTCCGAGTTCAGCTCAGCCTTGTGTGCATCGGCGGCGAGCCACGGGATGTTGAGCCGGATTATCGAGTCAGGCCTTCGACCGCACACGCGGCGCTGGGCTGACAAGAGCGCGCAGCACGGGGAAGCACCAAAACGACGCCAGTTTGCGCATGTCTCCAGGCAAACCGGCGCACCAGCGCATCGATAGCTGTCAGGCACTCATATGCAATTGATGTGGATGTCTCGTGTTGCGCCATGATCCGGCTGCAGATCCGCACGATCCTCGGCAGCAGTGGTTGTAGGATCAGCAGCGGTGGGCGCATAATGCCAAAGCACCAGCTCGCGGTCCTGCATATTGCCTTATCGCCTAAATGTCGCTCTGTCTGCTCACACACGGTAGTGAGCGTGTCAGCAAGGCGTTGCGTAGGCAGTAGTACGCATATAGGGCTCGGTGTAGAGCAGGCATCCCAAGGCATTTGAGAATCGGCACAATCAGCTGCTTTGGCAGGTGGTCTGCAGAGAGATCGCGGTGGAGGCAATCCAGGAGCTCCACAGTTTTTGTCTTCAGCTGGGACAGTTGCGGTGTATGCTTTGCCGCCAGTCCTGCCAGCTCATTGTATAAGCCACAGGCAACAGCAACAGCCTGGCTGTCCTCCTTGACCGTTGTTGCTGACAACCTGTCCACATCCCGCGGAAACAGCTGCTCAAACGGCATGTCCTCCTCTGATTCCTTATTGCCGTTTCCAAACAGAACCCGTGCCGCCTCGTCCTGCCTGCTGGGCGACAACAGCGGCCACGCCGACTGCACGCTGGACTGCTGCATGTTGTCGCTGCTGAGCTGCGGTGGTATTGTGTCTAGCGATCGCGCGTTGCGTTTCAAAATGCTGCGAGGCGTGGGCCGACTGCGAGCCCGCGTTGGCGAGGATTGAGGGGTCATGCCGGTTGTGAACTCTTGTGTTTGTGGCGAAAAGTACACCCGTTTGGCCGACGACCCGCGCACCGCCGCTGCTGCCCTTGTGCGGGCTGTTACCGGTGTTGTGTGCGAGCAATCGTCCAGCGCATTTGGGCTTGTCATTGGAAAATGCAGAAAAATAAAGCAAACAGACAAAAGCAAGAGAGGAGAAGAACGGGAATACAAGCACCCCACCCCACGCTTAAGCTGGGGGATTAAAAAATAAAGAAATCTAAATTGGACGCGTTTTGTTGATCCCCTTGTCTTGCGGTGGGCTACTTGCTTGCCAAATCGCCTCCACTCCTCATCTACCTCCACAGAGAGCTTGCAGTTGCTGGAGCTTGTAAACTGACAGCCTAGACCGAAGAGCTAAGAATGGACTGAGCAACTGGTAGAGCAGACACGCGGTTCCATCAGCCAGGAAGAAATGGCGCCGATCACACTTTGCCGTTGATCTTGTTGAAGCGCTGCTGCTCCAGCAGCGCATAGAGCGACTGGCCGTCCCATCCAGTTTAGCGTCGAGTTGTGCAAGAGATGCGTAACAGACCCGTGTCTAACCGTGCCCTGCCTTCCTGGCGGGCCTGACTTAGGGCGAAAAGCGGCGGCTCGACACTGTACGCCTCGAGGTACTCTGGCTCGACCATCTTGATCAACTCCTGGTCAAATGGCACCCTAGGATTCGGCCAGATATTGTCCAGTGCGCGCTTGAGCCGCCTTGCGCCCTGCTGCGAAACTGCATATGCGTACGTGCACTCAGGTCTGGTCGACACAAACACATTCTTAGCGAACGCAGTTCGGCCGCTTGTTATCGTGCCCACAGTGGCCAACATACACAATGTCCCATGTCTTGGGCAGCACCTCGACCAAGATCGCGCATCCGGTCCTTGATGTCTACCTCCATGTCCACAAGATTGTCGAGCACCTAGCGCGCTCTTGTACTCCAGCCGGATCCACATCGTTGATCACGTTCATGTGCGTCCGGTACGCGGCCAGGTCCTCTGAGCTCAGTGTGCGGTTTTGCGGCACTGCCTTTCCACTCCTCTTCGCCCACCCAGCGCATGTACTTTTCTGGGTGGTCGATGTCTGCGGCAGTCACGGGCCGCGCGAATGCAAACGGGATCCCCTGGAACTCCATCTGCCGCGCCATCATCCATCGCCGGTTGGTGCTGTTCCGCTGTCCGATCACATAGACCTGGTGCATGCTGAGGCCCAAGTAGTTGCTCCGATTGCTGCATGCTGTCTAGTGTACTGCGCAAACATGAATATGGCGATCGTTGTGACGAAGCCTACCACCAGCAGAGCAGCAAACGCCTGCATCCGCCTGGTGCTCATTTGAAACAGTCGTGGCATAGTTATCGTGTATGTAAGGGTTGCAGAGCGAAGAGAAAAGGCGGAGAGGAGGTTAAGAAAGAGCTGGTGCCTGTGGCCATGCGCACCGCACTGCCAGCTTTATTGGCAGCACGAGGAATGGCGTGGTTCTTTTAATCCACCTAGCCCAAACCCAAAAAATGAATTTTTTTTTCGCCAAGCTTTCATGCGCCTCCAACCCGGCAAAATCGGCAAACGTCACCAACCCCTTTCTCGTTATCTCGTACCTTTAATTCCCTTCAAATTTCTTCTTCAATGCCACGCAGCTCTGCAAACAACACAATAATTCCGCTGTTGAAAAAACTCAGCGATTCTCTTGGGACCTCGCAGGCAAAGAACGAGCTCCGCTGGCTTGTCGAACACGCCCGCACCACCATCGCCGAGTCCAACAAACCGCACCACGACTCGCCTAAACTGCTCGCACGGCTCTGGCGCAACCAGCCAGCGCCTTCAGAGGAGGAACTTGAGCTCGATCGCCAGCGGCTAACACCAGTGCAGTGGGCGTGGCTGCGCCAAGCCGTGCACGACCGGACCAAGCACCACAAGCCTCTGCAGTACATCATTGGCGACCAGCAGTTTGGAAAGACAAATGTGCGTGTCCGGCCGCCGGTACTGATTCCGAGGTGGGAAACTGAGGAGTGGATGCTGCGGCTAGCGGAGATGATCAAGGCGGATGTGGCCGGCAAGAGATGGTGGAGAGCAGCGGCCGCTGAGTATTTTGGATGCCTGCACAGGTACAGGCTGCTTGGCGCTGGGTCTGGCCAGCGAGCTTCCAGATGGAGTAGCAACGATTGTGGGCGCAGATATCTCTGACGGAGGCAGTGGAACTGGCGAAACGAGAACCTTGCGTTTAACGAGATGCTACTCAGCAACTCTGTCGAGTTCCAGAGGCTGGACCTGCAGGCACCCAATACTGCTGCCAAGCTTCTCGGCTTAAAGGCCACATGGGACTATGATCATCAGCAACCCGCCGTATGTGACGCCGGCTGAGTACAGGGATCTCGATCCGGATGTCAAGGACTGGGAGGACAGGCGATCGCTGGTGCCCCTGCCATACATGGCTGATCCGGTGACTGTGAAGGACGAGGAGCTCGATCCGTCGGGATTGCGTTTATTGTGAATCTGGCAAAGGTGGCAAGGCAGCTGGGCTTGGACAAGTATAATCCGTATGTCGGCAAGCTACCGCGGCTTGTTGTTGAGATCGGCGGCGAGCACCAGGTTGAGCCAGTACGCCAGGCGATGCATGACCAGGGGCTGAACTCGACCGAGGTTTGGAAAGACATGGCTGGCACCGATCGCGTGGTGCTGGGCTATGTTAAGCCATGAATACTGCATGGCGGGATCTTGTCAACATTGGTTTAGTTTCAAATATACATGTAGTTACAGCGAAAGCGAAGATAGCTGGTCTGCTGCATTTATAGCATCATCGGTGTCCATCATCTTGAGAACCTGTGTGACGCCATCGAGATTCCACGCCTCGCTGAGCCTGAGCAACGCATCCCACATCGACTTGACATTCTGTATCGACCTGTCAAGCTCCTGCTGCCACTGGTTCAGCGACATCTCGGAATCATCCGCATCTCTCAGCGCAGCCTTGCACCGGCGTATCTGTCCGCAAAAGCACGCTGGAGTTGATGATGATGCTGATGCATACCATCTTCTCGATTCTAATACTCTGGTATGTCCTGGTTGCTTCTGAGATACCCCGCCAGCGTATGCGAGCTTCTCACGCAAATATCCCACGACTCTGGCTCGATATCTGTTGCCAGCAACCCTTGACTCCAAACCTTGCCAAACATCGTTGCCATGACCTGCTTCAGAGCCGCCGCACTTGGATCTGCCTGACCCTCGTGCGGTTGCTCGAACTCGGTGAAAAACGACGCCCGGTTATTCGAGTGCAGAATGACTGTTGTGCTGCATGTAAACGCCGTTATGATTACATAGCGGGCGCGCATGATAGATAAGCCCGTACTCCTGGCTGCCAAACCGCTGCACGCTGTCCTCGTCGTACGAGAATTCGGCAAGGTGCTTGGGCGGCTTGACACGCTCGTGCAGGTCGCGCAGCTGCGCATCAAACTGGCGGAACAGCGGATACTCTGACACCAGCTTTGTCTTGCGCTTAACCGAGTACACCAACTCCCCGGAACCAGCAACTGGTTCAAGGAAATCAACAGATGGGAATGGGCGGCTTTGAAGCTCTATGTCGTCCTGGTCGAATCTCGCCGCCTTTGCGTCGCCTAGGAATCGGCATATGCGGCTATCCAGTGTGTTGAATTCGCAAAGCAGCGCGAAGGAGTGCGACACGGCTCCAGTGTCAACAGCACCAGGAACCTCTCGTTCTGGTGACAGTTCGTGCAGCGGGCTCTTCTCTGAGCTGCCTCTTTGGATTGCTGCCAATTCCTCCGATACAGACAGCTTCCCGTCAGTGCTGTACAAGAGAGGAAACTCGATATCGTTCCAATCCAGAGTCGGCACAGGGCGACTTGACAAATATCGAGGACTCTGGTATCATCGTCGGCAGGCCGTTGATCAGCGACATGAACGAGTCGTGCTGGAAAACGGTCCAGAATATGCGCCGCTTTGTCTCGACCTCGACCCATTCTCCCCCACGTCTTTGGCTTTGTGTCCTTGTACAGGTCAATCTCATGATACCCCAGGCGCATCAGCATGCCGATTATTGCCGACATCAGCACCGCATACGTGTCGGTGCGCGAGACAACTACCTCGGTTGCTGCCAAGAAAATCAGAGTGAGAACAATGTCCGTTGTTGGTTTCTCCAACGAAAACAGAATCTTGGCCTTGAGCTCGCCTGCCAGACTATCAGTATCTATGCTGCTTCCGTTCCGGACCGCAATGAACGGCGCAACCATGCACTTGAGCGCCTCAATGAGCAGCGGGTCCACGTCTTTCGCGACCACGCGGCGTAAAAATGTCGAGGGATGGAATATCGCCATGTTTGGGTAGAAATAGTCAAAGTATGCCAGCACTGCATCGCGTGTCTCCGTGTCGACCTTGTCCGAGTAGAACTCCTGCAGCAAGCTGCCAACCGGCGGTTTGACAAAGCTGTCTGTATTCGGGTCATCTTCGGACAACGGACTGTACCTCGTCGTATCTGCTTCCGAGACAGATTTGTGTTCGCTCGACCTCCTGCGACCAGAAGCATACAGGCTGCTGGCCCTGACTGCTTCGTCGTCAACTAGGAGATTGGAGATGTCTGCTGCTGATGGCATCTTTGTGCTCTTTCCATATGTCGTCACCCTTGTGGTTGACTGCTGCGGTTTGGCTGTCTTTGGCTTGGGTCCACGCCGCTTCATCGTTCCTCCACTCACACCTCACATCGCGCTTGGTGCAGTTATTGCACGGTCTGCCGCCATCGCACTTTATGCGCTTCTTGTGACACCAGTCGCACGCCTGTGTGCGTCTTTGTTTGCGTACCTGCACGCCGTGCTGGTAGGGGTCCCCGGTGTTCGCTTGCAGCGGAAATGCAGAATGTATGGGCGTAATACCTTGATGCAGCCCGCTCGGGGGCGAAGATCCGAGAGGGATAGGCGGTATTGGGCGCGGCTGATATAGGTATGCAAAGTCATTGCCAGGCAGCAGCTCCACTGTGTACGGGTGGTGTCGGTAGTTAGAGGCAGCAAACTCGAGCTCGACCCGAACAGCGCCGCTGTGCGCTGCGTATAATGGCTGCGATGGCCCTGGTGTATATGGAAAGACTGGGTTGCGGCGGTCGCCTAGATGCACAGCATGCGAACCAGTATTGTAGCCAAGGTTCACCTCGTGCGACGCTGCTCTGTCTGCCTGGACCGAAAACCCATTCAAAGGAGTAGGTGTGTGAATATCTGCAAAAATTTGCTTGTTCTTATCGTCTGAAACACGGGCTTTATCCATAGCTGGCTGCGCTGATTATATATCTCTAAGAGTAGAGTATGCTATGTTTAAGGAAGTGGTGGTGTTGAGCGTTGGAGAGTGAAAAGCGGTCTTGTCTTGTAAGAAACTGCAGCTACCTTAGGCTAAAAATAGGGAGCAACGCGCGGCTCACAATCACATTCGGCACTACGTCGTCTAGGCGCCTAGGCAGTATGTGGCGTTGCGTGACCACCCTTGCTTCATTGTTGACGGCCATTGGGTGTGCTCATACTTATTCCACTCTAAGAGGTGCAAGCGGCATCAGTAGTTCCAAGAGCATGACGCATGCCCACGCCAGCCCGCATTTACAAAGGTATAAAGGGGTGGGTCGCTGAGCAACGAGCAAAATAGACACTGGATGAAGTGCCAGGGTCAAACCCAGTAAGCGAGCATGCCCTTATATTACAACAGACTGGCTCTAAGGTATCCACTAGGCATGCCGATGTAGGTTGGATGCAACGGATGTCGAGCATGTGAATAGGGCATTTAATCGCAGTACATAGAACCTGTAGAAATGCATATTCCTAATAGCAGCAGGTGGTTCCTGTATGAGATACGGTTGTAGAGTAATATACAGCCTCCTTGTACTACAGGGGCCATTCTTCATCCTACAGCACCCATCGCGATCCCTCTAAGTGAATGGGCTCCCATTCATGGTCGCTTTTGACTGACAGCCGTGGAATCCGGAACACTCATGAATGCTGCTTGCAAGAGATTAAAAGACTGTAAATTTGCGTCTAGGTTTTATAGCTACATGGCGAACGACGAGAACTGACCCATGCTTCCTGTGACTTCTTCGATGTTCAAGGCCCGCAGCATTCCCGCACATAAAGTCCGTCTTCCACATGGCACTGGCCTTCTGCAATGTTTCCCAGAGCACTTGGGTATCCTTAACCGATATGTCCAGCTCCTTGCTCAGCTGGTCAGGGTCCATCTCGGAATAATCACCGGCGCGCAAAGCCAGTTTGCAGCGACGTGCCTGGCGTAGCGGGATGACAGTTACGAGGAACACACAGAGAACCAACTGGAATGTATAGCGGGTGTATGGCAGATCAGTGTTCTGTCGGAGGAATTCAGCAAGGTTATGCGCTGAGCTTACACACACCTTCCAGGAATCTGCTGCGATGTCGTCAGCAAGCAGCCCCTGGCTCCATGTGCTGCCGAACACTTTTCTGAAGATCCGCCGTACCTCTCGCTCCTGCAGCGGCCAGACTGAGTGCAAGTCAGGCGGGTTCTCGAACTCCTCAAAGAACGATTCGCGATTCGATGAGTGCAAGATGATCTGCCGGCTGCAAATGTACGACTTGATGGACAGGTATCGGAGCCGCGCTGTGAAGTTGTCATGGTCACTGCCGCCAAAGTACTTGCGATTGCTTGGTTCGGTCAGGCTACCTTTGAGATGCTTTGGCGGCTTCAGGCTATCGAATAGACTTTGCAAGCGGGCTGTGCACTTTTGGAACTCCGGGTATTCAGAGATGAGCTTAGCGCTGTGCTGTAGCAGAGATGTGCTTGGGCTCTGGGCGGTAGCGGACTTGCCGTGGAAATTGGACGCCGGGAATGGCCGGTCAGCCTACTACAGCCAGCTTCTGTCCGTACCTTGAGGGCTTTGCGTCGTTAAGGAAGCGGATTATCCGGCTGTCTAGCGTGTTGAGTTCGCAGAGAAGCACAAACGTGTGGATATTGCTCCTGAGATGACAACCCGGCGACTAGTTTGCGACTGTGCCCCTGCGGCCTTCCTCTCCCACACCCACGTATCCTTGCTTGCGTCGTTGCCCTCGGATGTGCCCTCTGCTGCGGTTGTCCCGAACACCGCTGATGATTTCCTTCGGCGCTTCGTGAATCAACGTTCTCGTTCAGCGGCTCCGGTGTCTCTCCAGTTGCAGAGTCATACAGCGCGAATGTGATGTCGTTCCACTCCGAATCAGCGCATGGCGAGCGGACATGAATCTGCGACTCGGGAATGAATGTTTGTGCGGCCAAAAATCAGCGATGTAAAGTTGTCCTGCTGGTAGACATTCCAAAAGATCCGCCGCTTTGTTTCGTGCTCGACCCACTCCTCCCAGGTGCTAGGCCTCTGCGACTTGTACAGGTCCAGCTCATTCCAGCCGAGACGGGAAAGCAGACAGGTAGCAGTCCCAATTAGCACGTAGTAAGAGTTTGCACGTTCGTTTCCTGAGAGGTGTAGCGCTACAATTAGGAGCGCCTGGATGGCTTCCAGTGATGGCTGCTTCTAGGCTGAACAGAATCTGCGACAAAACGCTAGACGAGTACTCGCTGGCGTCCACAATGCGCCCTGTGTTGGCTGTTATATACCGGGCGCTGACAGCCTTGATCGCATCGATGAGCAGCGGATCGACCTCCTTTGCGACCACACGGCGGATGAATGTCGATGGATGAATAATCGGGATTTGCGAGTAGCTGTAGTCGAAGAACGTGAGTATTGCTTCGCGTGTCTCGGGGTCGACTTTGTTGGAATAGAACCGGCGCATAAGATCACCGATGGGCGGAGCCTGGAAGTACTCTGTGCCAGAGTCGTCATCCATTGCTGACGACGCCCCAAATCTGTCGGCCCAGCTCACTGCCATGTCACTACCAAGCGAAGGCGCTTTCGGGAGAGCGCTAGGAGTCGAAGCCATTGTTGATGCCGCTGTCGATGCTGTTTTCCATGTTGTTGTCGTCTACTGTGAGAAGATTGGAGATATCGGCTCGCGATCGCGGTCTTGCTCTGGCCTGCATCGTCTGCCTTGGTTGTGTGCACGGCAACCCACTGCCCATATTTCTTGGGCTTCGGGCCGCGTTTTTTCGTGACCCTCCAGACACAAGGAATCCCCCGCTTTACACAGTTCCGACAAGGGTCACCCACACACCGCGTCCTCTTGGTGTGGCAAAAGTCGCACGCCTGCGTGCGCCGTACCCTGCGGAACGTGTCGTACCACTGATTGGGATCTGTAGGTGGAGGCTGAGGAAACATGTACTGAGGTGGTGGATGACCTGGCTGGCCATGATGCGGCTGCACCGGAAAGAACGACTGGAGCTGGTGCTGGTGCTGGTGCTGTTGCTGGCTGCTGGTGCTGGTGCTGTTGCTGGTGCTGGTGCTGGTGTTGCTGCTGCTGGTTCTGCTGCTGCTGTTGGTGTTGTTGTTGCTGCTGTCCTTGAGGGGCGGTGTACATGGGCACAAAAGCACTCCCAGGCTGCACCTCATATCTATAAGGCTGATACCTGGGCGACGCCATTGGCTCGTCATACAGCCCACGGGTAGAGCCAGAGGGCGTATAATGCTGGGCGCTCATGTGCATCGGGGAGTTTGGCTGGTACTCCTTGCTGCTTGGGCCACCGGTCTATACCGCATAGGACTCAGGGCCAGCCATCCCAGACTCGTCAACAGCCATTGTGCAATCCATAGACCAGCTGTCTGATCGCGACCCCCGCGAGGCTTGTCTGCTGCCACCGGACTCTGCGAGCCGGTCTCCCATCGAGCTGCCAGCTGTGTCGGGCTCGTTTGTCAGCAGCGTGCCAGCTGGTCCCTGATGGCGGCCTTACAGTGCTTGAAGGTATAATGTTGTAGGTCTAATACAGCCGGTGGTCGCTTTTTTCTGCCGTCCTCAGCATTATATCCAGACATAATGTGTAAGGTTAAATGGCTGGACACTGTTTTGGTTTTTTGCTAGTACAGATCTTAGAAAGAAAAATCGCAGAAAGAGGAGAAAAAGAATCTAAAAAGCGCACAAATCAGCATTCGCCACAGGAGCGGCCGGTTTGTGTCGGTTTTATAATTAGACTGGCAGGGAGGGCAACCCGAGAAGGATGACCATCCTATGCCGACATATCTGAAAGGGCTCGTGAAGCGCTGGCAGCCGCGATGCATGATTGGCATTGATTTTCGCCCCCCAGGTTTTCGCCCGCTGCTGGACGGTCCACTAGCACCACTCGACGTAGCAGTCTCTGCTCGCGAACGAGGTGGGAAAATCAAGCAGAAAAAGGGAGTCGACTGGCAGGCTGAGGGAGCTCTAATAAAATAAGGAAACAAGCCGAAGCGCTGAGCAGAAGGGTCGGCGTTGGCACATGGTGGAAATAATGAAAATCGGATACGACATCCGAGACACCCGGGACGTCCGCATTTTCACGGTGGCTGCATGAGGACGATGGGAGAGGCTAAACAGCAATCCTTAATTTGCTTCACTTTTATCGCAGGGGTGCTGATAATAAATTAATGCAGCTGGGAAATCGGGGTTGGCGGGGTGAATTCGGATGAAGGGAGCAAAAACTGGCTCATGGTGCCAGCGATCCGCTGGCTTTGGATGTTTTGCATAATGGCCAGAAGCCGTATCAGCTCCACGTAGACAATGGACGTGTAGTCTACAGAACGGCAGCAGCCCATCATGCAGATGCCACTTTGCTCCAGTGCATGTGTCCTGGCTGCATAGCAAAATGCAGGGAACATGGTGGCAGGATATAGTTGGGGGCAGCCTGTGATAACGGCAAGGTCCTAATTAGCCTAGTGCTGTTGCACAATTCTTACGCACATCCCTATGTGAATGCTAAAAAAAGCATGCCAATCCAAAGCTGAGTAATACCTTTGGGTCTATGTGCCACCACAGTGTGGCTAAGGATACGATCCGAGCGCCTTGATGCTGAGAGCCCATCGTGGTGATTAGCCAGTAGCCTGTGGTCTGCACGCTGTAGGCTACAAGTTGTGGCTCTGTGGCTTAGCCCAAAACCGATGATCGGACTTGGCAGTTACAGAATAGCAGACGGCTGCAGAGACATGAAAATGGCAGCAACCAAAGATATTCCTAGTATATCTGCCGCATGCTTTCTTGGATGAATTCACTTGCACCATTGGAGATTTGCACCATTTGTGTAAGATAAGGCGTTTGACAAGACCAATACTCTTAAGTGGCTCAAGGCAGGGATTGCGCGCATGTAGAAACCAGTTTGGTCTAGTATTGTACATGATAGACGACTATCGGAATAGTTTACCTGTGGTGTCTTTAAAATACGCAGCAGCGACCACTGATTGATGTACAGGTGATTCTTGTACTAAAGATAATCAGGAAACAGACATGTGGTAGGCCAGATAGGCTGCAGCAGGCCCCTTGGTAGGATGAATCACTAAATAGATATGGCCTAGAGAGCAGTGAATATAAAGTAAATGGCACTCTAGGAAAAGACAGCCCAAGTGGCATTACAGAAAGGATGGCACACAAAAGCCCATGAATTTCCAAGTAGAAATTGGTCTGTAAATCGATAGAATGAGGGTAAGGAATAGATTTAATGTACATTGTTCCCGACAACGCCGTCAGCTACTCCTGAGAGATACATGTTTCTGACCCACGGTCAACGATGGCTACCGTATCCACTTATTTGGACACTGCCTATCTATATAAGCAGACATACGACTAGCGCAGCTCGAGTTCCCTCCTTCCTTCTTCTATGCATCGTTACCCCATACACTCGGATACACGTCAGTAGAAAGGTACATTAGAAAGTTAGCGTGCACAGAACAGCTGTAGGAGGCTGTTGCAAAGGCATTTCATATGAGGAGCCACACAGCCAAGGAATTCATGCATCCCCTCGCTCCAATACTGTTTTCATAGCTGGGTTTGAAAGAGCTGTAAATTGCACTACGACGTTTCTGGTTCAGTTTGTACAGTCGATCATTTGGTCCGTTTGTCCCCTATTGTAGGTTTGTCGAGATCATTCTGCGTGCAAGGCCCAAATGAATATATGCAATGTGGACTGAGCCAGGCATCAACCTGGAAAGTGCTAACAGTTGTGGATATCTCGCATGTACTTGTTGACAAGGTGAGTAAGTAGCACTAGGGTAGAGTGGACTGGCTTAACAGTCACCCTGTGGGAAAAGGGCAGCATCGCCTCCAAACAACTGGGTAGTATTGGCAAACGCAGTCTTTAGATATGCCCTCATGCAAAGTAAGAATAACAGACAGACATGATAGTTACAGCAGCGAACTCTGCCCACTCCGAAAAAAAAAAGCAATGGCATCCAGCTTAAGCATGCCTTTTTCTGGGTGTGCAGTCACCAGCGTCGTCACTCCTCAACAGGGTGTATCAGCCTCCGATAATCACAATATTAAATTGAGGGATTGACAGATGTGGGAAGGGGCTTTAACACTCCTGTCAACCATCTAGAAATGAAGTGAATGGTGCCCTTGCAAATCCAAGTGATCTCGTCCAGAGCCCAGCAATGTGCTGGTTGGAGTAGCACCTGGGTGCCATTCAGCAGCATGTATCGTCACTTCATTTCGGCGTGTGTCTGGTGATAATGCGAAATCCCGGCCATGCCCGTACTTCCTCTGACCGAAGTTGGCCAAGTACTAGATTTGTGGGTAAATTGCCTATCGTTTGTTTTTCACTCACTTCATCTTTAGGTAGGACTCATATGGCGACTCAGTCTGAAAGTTGGGCACAGTAGATGGAGTTTTTAGATTTCTCCACGTTTCAGACTAGGTCGCCATATAAGGAAGTCATAGTGTGTTGGATTTCGGTAATACCTAGTGGCACCTCGAATGGTGAGCTGGAGGAGCCGTGCTTTCTTCAAGCAGAGCCGACTTGGGAGGTGTACTATCCTTGGGCTTGTGCTTTCTTGAAAGGAATACGTGGGAGATTGTAGGGCAATTTTCCACTTTGTTTATGATGATTATTGCGAATCCCACTCTAGTCCGCGCAAGAGCAAACGCGGCCTGTAACCGAGTGCCTGAAAAAGGGGAAATGCGAAATGCGGATTCGCAGATGTACACTGACCTCATCCGACAAATACACTTGCTACCCCTGATGGGAAAACGCGAATATAAAAACAATTGAAGGCAAAATGATCGGTCAAACACCGAATGGCTATTTGCATCCACAGCTGAGCACACCTTGTCTTCGGCGTTGCCCATTCTGCAAGTTCTCGATACACTGAGTACGGCTGTGTTGTTCTAAGGCACTGCGCCAGGGCCAATGTTGTTGGGACAACGTCGTCTCTCATTGCAGCCAGTCTTTCAGGTATATTGCCTTTGCAGCCAGTCTTTCTGGGTGTCGCCTTTGCAAAGTATATGCGGGTAGGGCGTTCACCCGTGCCCAATTGCCTGTGGGGTAGCTGGATATCTGAGCTCATGAGGTAATATTTGGTGCTAGTCCAAGATGGACTACTGTCCACCAGCCCAGCTCATTAGTACTTTGGCTCTTGAACATGTCTGACATTTTCTGATGCCGAGCAGCTTGAAATTGTTGGTCAAAAAATATATATATTTGTACTGAAAATTGGGGAGCTTCAGGAGGGAAGTATATAGCTAAAGCTAGAAACCAGTTATAGTCCAGAGTTCAATACAACCCCAGAAGTGAACAAAGGTGGGCGGGGGGGGGACGATTCCAAAATGCTCAAATGTGCACGGGCAAAAAGAAGCATAATCTCAAAGCCGACCGTCAACCTGCAGCACCTATGCAAACTCAGCCAAAAGCACCCTCATAAACAAACGGGGCTAACCGCTTAGATAAATGGGCAATTTAGTGGCGGGGCTTGCACTTGGGGCCGTTGGTGCTGGCAGGAGCCTCGGTGCTGGCCGGGGCGGTGCTGGCAGGAGCCTCGGTGGTGGCGGGAGCACCAGTGCTGGCAGGGGCATCGGTGGTAGCGGGGGCGGTGCTGGCCGGAGCCTCGGTGGAGGCAGCAGGCGGCTTGTAGGTGGCCAGGCAGGCGTTGATGAGGTCACCCGAGATCTGGTCCAGGATAGCAGGTGGGGATGGCCTGGGGCAGAGCGCGCAGGAACTCGTCAGAGGGGTTGGCGGGCATGGTCGACTGGCCCGACAGGAGCTCCTTCAGCTTAGCGGCCTGCTCAGGGGTCAGGATGACAGGGGCCGAGGGAAGCAGGGGGTCGGCCTTGGCCTTGATGGCAGCCCAGTTCTGCTTGGCGCAAGCAAGGGTGGCATCCGAGGTCCAGTCGATGGCGGCGAACGAGGCAGCGGCGAAGGCAGCGAGAGCAATGAGAGTCTTGGTGAACTGCATTTTGAGATTAAGCGAGTATTAGGTTTGAAAGAGTAGGGAGAGAAGGGCGCCTGTGGGGTAGTGAAAAAGCACAAGAGTATACTGTTGGAGTGTAAGGAATCAGAAGCTGGCTGGCAGTCGGGCGGTCTGGTTTATATATGCGAGAACCTGAACCGCAAACCGGCGAAGGCGGATGCTCACGAGAGACCGCTGGCATCTCCGCTAATTCTGAAATGCTCCTAGGAGTTCGAGACGAATGCCAGTGATGCACATATCCTGCTTCCCTCCTGCTCATCGCCACGTAAACAACAGATGCGTGGATTATGCACGGACTGACCAACAGCCCAATCCAAGCTGCCTGTGAAGTTGCATCCAGCGAAAATGGTACAGGCGAGTGAATATAGACGGAATGCTGAGCGAATCCCAAAAACGCTGGAGCCAAATTTAGCTGAGTGCATCACACGCGGGTGCTCTCTATTGGGATTTACTATTCCCTCCTCCACCGCGGCAGCTTGGGAAACACTAATAAATCACGCATTCATGCTCCCTCGCATCCCCTTGAACCCGTGTGTCTCCAGTGCGCACAGTGGGCCATTGGTGAGAAAGGGAGGGGCACGGAGACGGGGAGGGGGCGCCTAGTCCACAGCAAGAAAAAGCGGAATGCCATTCAGCAAACCACCGCATAAGCCGTGCAGACCGAGGGTGCAGAAATAACCGTGAGCTCTCGGTTCAGGTGAATCGATTGGCACAAAAGGGGGACAAAAAGTGTGGTCGTGCAGTTGCTGTGTAGGCTAGTGCACTTGTCCATCCTCTGCATATTCACGAGCCCGCGAAAGAAAGCCATATACAAAGTATGTCGATTGCAATGATTGCCCCTTGTACGAAAAACGGCAGCAATCGACGAGAGACCAGAACTTGAGCCAATCCTACATTTCGAGTCTTCTCCTTTTCCGCCAGATGCAGATTGCAGGGTGATTTTGTGTTAACGTCGCCAAGGCACTGCTTTGCGTAGCAGGCACATGCTTATGCCAGCCTACTGGCAGGAAAGAGCTGATGCCTTTGCGGAGAGGACAAAAAATCAGAAGAGTGTCTTAGCAAACTGCAGCATGCTGCTGCAAGTGCCTTTGTCTTACGAGCTGTCTGAAAAGGGAGGGTCGTTGGCCACGAGAGCACAGCATGTGGTGACCCCCATTGCCTTCTTTGTACGGTCGCTGGTGCGTGCAGTGTACTGCGTATGCAAGATTCCGAGTGTAACATGGGATTGTGCAGATGGCGGTCGTCGTGAATGTGAAAAAGGCACGGCTAGGTCATTGAGGTGCGGGCTATGCACTGCGGTGACAGTGGGGTCTTAGGGCAACTTCTCTTTGTGGTCCCGAACGGTGGTCATGTGGGCACCCGCGAACAGGCCCAATTCGGTTAGACCGCTGGCCCACGATGATGGATGGAGTCCATCTTCGGCGGCATTGTCCTTGGCCTGCTGGTTGCCGCTGGCATGTGAAGGAGGATCATGGTTTCCCGTCTTGACAGGAGATGGACCGAGCCCGGCTTCCTGATTTGGGGCTGAGTCTGAGGTCGAGAGTGAAAAAGACGGCTCGCCGCCATCTCCGTTGTGGTTGTCGCTCGGTTCAGCAGAACCGGCTCTGGTCCCGATAAAACCAGGCATAAATCAGGTGTGCGATAGGCAAAAACGTCGAGAGTACTGGGAAAACAGGTGGTGTCATTTGGCAAATGTGGAGTGTATTCAATGGATATTGCTGGTAACATAAAATACTGGGCTAGCGGCGAAGGGACTCGGTAGTAGCCCCTCCTTTCCTTTACGCAAGGGACTGGTTAGAAGCCTGGTGGCAGTATGCAGTGGAAGCCCACAGCCGAAGAAAAGAGGGGAGAGAATCCCCTCTGCTGCAGAGGAATCCTGCTCATCTACCTGACCAGAGACAAAAACTCCTTCTCTGGTCTTGGGGTCCGAGCGGAACCGGCCGAGCATAAAGCTCGTGATGGTCTTGCTGCCTGGCTTTTGCACACCGCGCATCACCATGCATTGGTGACTACAAGAAAAAGAAATCCCGGAGCAAAGCATCGGGAAACGGCAAAAACAGGTTAGCAGCAGGATTTATAGGAAAACGATGTCGTCTGCACTGCACAAATTCCGTACTTACCTAGCCTCCATGACAACAGCGACGCCCTGCGGCTGCAGGATCTCGCTGAGCGCAACTGCAATCTGCTTTGTCAGGCGCTCCTGGACCTGCAGACGGCGGCTGAACATCTCGGCTATCCTGGCCAGCTTGCTAAGCCCCAGCACGCGGCGGTTCGGGATGTATCCAATTGACACCTTGCCGCAGAACGGAACCAGGTGGTGCTCGCAGAGCGAAAAGATGTCGATGTCGCGCACGATAACCATTTCCTCGTGATCTACAGATACCGGGCCAGCCAATGTGGGCAGGGGGAGGTGCAAAACCAGCAAATGCGGTAAATTTCGTGGGAATCTACGTCTCCGTGGGAACGGCTGTGCATATCTCAGGTGCACGGCAGTTCAGCAGCCGCCACACACGTACCTTCATCAAACAGTGCGTCGTTGACCACGTCGTTCATCGACTCCTCGTACCCCTTGGTGAAGAACATAAGCGCCTTGGCGTACCGCTCAGGGGTCTTGAGCAGGCCCTCGCGATCCGGATCTTCGCCAATGCACTCGAGCAGCGTGCGCACGGCATCCGACATCTTCTTCAGCCGCGCCTCCTTCTCCTCTGGCGATTCGGTGCGGCGCTCCTCAGTGCCAATGCCTACAGACGACAGATGCAAAGGTATTCAGTGTGGTGTGGGTTTCCTTCCCTGCTCATTCCACGGCACTAAAAATTGCATAGCGTTATATTCCAACAGCATAGTTTGCCCTTGACGCGCAAGCAACCAAGCAGGCAGAGGGTGTGCTGCTCGGATCCGAAGTGCGATAGCACATTATATGCAAACCGGTGGCAGAATAATGCGGTGCAAATTAATACAGCGCCGTTCTCTGGCTTGCCAATTGGCAGGGAGCAAAGATGATGGCGGCGCACGGCACGCATAATCAAGTGCGATGAGCAAACAAAATGTGGAAAGCGGGGGAGGGGGAATGGCTGTCCGGCACACTGGAGACACTTACTGGGCCAGCTGAAGCCGTTGAAGTCGATCGGGTGGCTCTTCTGGGTGCTCGAGGCTGGAGGTGTGTCCGACGGATGGAACAGCGCAGGGGTTTGTGGGCGGGTAGACGCAGGTGATTCGGCGACTGTCGCGGCCCCCGACATGAACGATGAGCTGTGCAGCTGGCTGGACTCCTTCTTCAGGCTGTGAATCAGCAGCGAGTCGGTATCGTTGTGTGCATCCATATTATCCTAAGCAATGGTTAATAGGTAGTGGGAAAAGCTGTGTGAAGGCAAGAAAGCGGGATAGCGGACGGAAACGGCGAAAAAAGTTTGGAAAACGAGTGCTGCTGCAGCGGCTCTGTTAATTAACTCCTCACAGATTCCCCCCGCAGATTCTCCTGTGCGATCAGGCCCACAGGTTCACGGAGCTGTCCATCGGAGAAGTCGGCCACTAAACCGCCCGCCTCTTGGTAGCTGGGCCTACCAGCTGAACCCATCGCTGTCGGGTCAGGACAAGCACCCGCCTGTGGTGCTGCATACACAGCTGGCTCTGGATGTAGCAGGTCTAAATCAGAAGGAATCTTAAAAATCAAACCTACAATGGAAGGCTAGAACGGGAGACTACTACCTGCTACTTCTTCATGCAAGGAGAGGGGTCAATGAGCATAGATGCTGTTGCGAGTGCTTCATGCGTAGAGAACTAGAAAGAGCCATGAGCGTCTTAGCAACCAGATCCCGGATCAGTGCCAGGGGCTCGTCGCACAGCCAGTGGATGGGCATGCTGGTATATGATCTGTAGCCTCACCCCTGCAACTTTAAACATCAGAGACGGGCAGGGGCAGAGGCGCTTGCGCTCAGACATACGAGCAAATTAACAGGCAGGGTATTTTGTATTAGGAAACAGGAAAAGGCGCAGAATATCGAGAATGGTCTATGATGAACTGGCAGCAGGCTGCTCGCCGCGGTACAACTTGTACAGCGCAACCAGCTCTGGCATGTATGTCATCAGCAGCGAGGTAACGGCCAGGGTGAATGGTCGATGTGCGGCTGCTGTTCTGGCCCGCAGCCGACGTGCGGTCAGTGAACACCGACAGCAGGGCGAAGAATACGGCGGCCCACCCAACTATGCGCGACTTTAGGAACATGGCGGCCAGCGAGCTGATGAACGAAATAAGATAGTACAGGCTGCCCTCCTCGGCGTTGGTCGCAGGCGTGTACGGCACGACATTGGCGGAACGGCGCGGGTCTCCGGGGAACTCTTTGCGGGCCATGGCTGCGAAATTGGTGCTAGATGAGGAAGCTGAAGGGTTGAAATTGCTCAGGAAGAAAATGCGCACACAGAAACCAAAGGGCTGGGCTCTGACTTGGCTCACTGGGGCAAGCGAATCCCTGGGCAGCCACGGCTCAGCCGAGTGGTCGGCGAGCCGGATTGCGGATGTCACCCGACAAGCCTGGCAGTGCTGGCCGCACCCCTTCGTCTCTGCTTTTCCTGCCTTGTTGCTGCTCCTTGTATAAATTCCGTCATTTCACCTATTGCTCTTCGAAACCATGGTTGCCGTGTACAACTACAGCTACGTCGCCAAGCTCATTATTATCGGCGACATGGGCTGCGGCAAGAGCTCGCTGCTTCGCCAATTCACAGAAGACACCTTTGTATGCTTATCCCTTTTCCAGAAGCACCATGCACGTTGCCGTGCAATAGGCCGGAAGGCATATCGCTCTCCACGAAGCGCTACCCCGCTAAATCTTCTCTCCCGATACCCATTAACTGTAGAGCGAAAAAACGAACCACTACGATCGGAGTCGAGTTTGGCACACGGATTATCGAGGTCGAGGGCGAGCGCATAAAGATTCAGGCCTGGGATACTGCTGGTCAGGGTAAGCAGCGACAACAATAACAACAACCACAGCAAAAGCACCGGTTCAGGAGGCTGCGTCCTTGTGGTCCTGTCTCCCGGTGTACTGCAATCAAGGGCATGAGCTCGTAGAACACAATGGCTGTGGATAGGCAAGGGCCCATGTGAGGGATGGTCGGTGCGCGCGCTTGGTACTAATTGCCTACATTTCACACCTTTTCCTTTTCTTTGCCTCGGCTGCCATCGTCGGTATTTGCGAAATGGTCGTTTAGAGAGGTTCAGGTAAGGACACTGGCAAACACGGATCGCATACAGTGGCTACTGCTGTTGTTGTGTGGGAGTAAACGTTTCTACTAAGCATCCTGCTGACCGAGTCTGCTGCCGTTGCGTTGTTTGCATCCCCTCTTGTATAGGTCTGTCACCCGCAGCTACTACCGCGGATCCATCGGAACCATCGTAGTCTACGACATTACAAAGTAAGTCCCTGGCCTTGCCAAGCGCAGCACACCAAAACTGCAGTGCTCGTTCTAATGGTTTTCTTCACAATAGCCGCGAATCGTTCGAGAACCTAGAGAGCTGGCTCGGTGACGCACGACAACTGACAGCGCCGCATTCGATTTTTGTGCTTGTCGGCAACAAGGCCGACCAGGATGCACGGCGCGTTGTTTCGTACGATGAGGGCGAAGCGTTCGCCAAGACCAACGATATGCTGTTCGTCGAGGCCAGCGCCAAGACCGGCGAGAAGGTCAAGGCGACGTTTGAGGATTTGGCAGCGAGGATACTGGCCCTCGTCAAGGATAACATCATCGATACATTGTCGCCAGACTCGGGCGTACAGAGCAAGAAGCCCCTGGATGCCACCAAGAACCCAAGGGCTATTAGAGTCGACAACACGCAGGCGTCGGGGTCCATGTTTGGCGGCTGCTGCTAGATTTCTGTTCCATGAATTTTTCCTTCCACCTGGTTCCTAAATACTTCACCTGTTCTATTGCTCATGTGCACACACGACGTACAGGTTACGGAGGTTCGTGTTGGGATGGTGGCTGACCGAGGGAGGCGGATGGGTGGCCAAAGCGTACACTCCATAATCATCTCGGTCAGATAAAATGGTACATCATCGAAAATCGAAACTTTATCAATGTTCACTGCATCATCGTTTATCCCTCACCTACCTTTGTTCATAATGTCTGACACGCAGCCAGCCGAAATCATCTACCCGCCGCTGGATATAAAGTCCATAGTCGACAAAACCGCTGAGCATGTGGCCAAATCTGGCGAGCGGTTCCAGGGACTTTTGCGCGAGAAATACGAGGGCAACGCCAAGTTCTCGTTTCTCTATCCAAACGATCCGTACAACGCGTACTACCAGCACATGGTTGTAAAATTCAAATCCGGAGATGTCACAGACCAGCCAGCACTGCAGAATACACCGGACAAAGCTGAGCCTATCGAGCAGGATCTGGAGACCGAGGCACCCGAACAGCCCGATCCGATCCAATTCGCATTCCCGATGCCTGCAATCTCAGCGCAAGATCTGGACGTGCTCCGGCTCACAGCCCAGTTTGTTGCCCGTAATGGGCGTCAGTTTATGACCACGCTGGCGCAGCGCGAGGCCAACAGCTACCAGTTTGATTTTCTCAACCCGAACCACACGCTGTTTGGGTTCTTCCGCAAGCTTGTTGACCAGTACACGTTGGTATTCTTCCCGCCCGACAGTTTGCAGCAGCGGGTAAAATACGACACTGAGGACAAGCACCAAATCTTGGATCGCATCAATCGTCGGATGCAGTGGGAGGCATATGAGGCCGAGGAGAAGAAGCGACGCGAGGAAATTGCAGACAGAGAGAAGGAAGAATTCTTAGCCATCGACTGGCACGACTTTGTAGTCGTTGGGACGGTCGAGTTTGTTGAGGAAGATGCGTTTGTCGATCTGCCTGAGCCCATGCTGTTGCAGGATCTGAAGAACATGACGCTGGAAGACAAGCACAGGTCGCAGCAGCAGGATGACACAAGCAGGCCTGCAGAAAGGACTACAGCAGCTGACACTCATCATGCTGCAGCCCAGGTTGAGGAGGAAGACGACAACGATGTGGAGATGGAGATGGAAGATGAGGATGAGGATGAGGATGAGGTGGAGGAGGAAATCGAGGCCGACAAGAAACCCGCTGCTCCCGCAGTTGATGTCACCAAAATGAAGATCCGCAAGGATTATGTCCCGAACCTGCGTCGTGGACCACAGTCTCGTGAGGTCACTCTGCAGTGCCAGCTGTGCAAGCTCGACATCCCAGCATCCGAGTTCGACGAGCACATCCGCGTCGAGCTGATTGACCCCAAGTGGAAGGAGCAGAAGCTCGCCTACGAGCGTAAGATCCGCGACACAAATCTTGTCCAGGAAGGCATGGACGTGGCAAAATACCTGCGCCAGATGGCCAGAAACCGCTCAGACATCTTTGGCCAGGATGGCAACCAAGCAAGCGTCGACGAGGAGCAGGCGCTGGCCGACTCCAAAAAGCCAGTCATGTGGGACGGATTCTCGTCAACTGCCGGCCATGCAGTCAGGAGAGCCCGCGAAAACGTTGCTGTCGACCACCAGCTCGCCGAGATCCACCGCACAAAGGCCCAGATCGGACCGCAGGCGAGCAGACCGCAGCACGACACGAAGCGCCGCAGGACTGACCACTGAAGCCATTAGATTGTTTTGAAATTGTATCGAATGATTTATGAAAACAGCGCCAACACCCCTTGGCAGTTGTCAGAAGGGCTGCTGTGTTTGCTGAGGGCGGCTCTGCGCCTTCTTCTTTGCGTCCTCGATGGCAGGCGCCAGTGAACCCTTCCCTGCCATGGCCTTGGCGAGCTGATAGATGAGCGGGATGAAGTTGTGCTTCCTCAGAGAGTTGTCAAACTTGTAACGCTCAAACTTGCCGTTCTCAACCTGCACCTTGTATGCCAGGTCCGCACGCTGGCTGTTCAGCTGGCCAATCTCAGTCTGCACTGCCTCAGCCTCAGCCCGCGACTCGTCCTTGTCCTCTAGCCGCAGCTCATCCAGCCGACTAGCTAGGCGCGCAATGTCGGCCTCGACCTTGTCAATCTTGTTTCTCAGGCCCTTGCGGCGGTCGCCAATAACTGCCATCAAGTTGAACCGGATCTCGCTCTCGCTATACTCTGACATGCGCTCCTGGATGACCTCGCCTACACGCTCAAGCCAGTTCTCCGCCGGGCCATGGTCGATGGGCCCGGGCTTTAGCCCGTCCAGCTCATACAGCCGCCCAGCTGCCGGCACATAGCTGATAAAATGGAACACGTCGTCATCGTCGGTTGCTGGCTTGGCCATATCCGAAATGAACGGGTCCGAGCGAGCAAAGCTATTATGCACATTGCGGATCTGGTCGCTGTTGGTCAGTGCCAGTCCGCGCATGTCGGGCGGCAGGTCCACCGAGAAGGAGCGGAAGTTTGTCGAGCACCTCGCCCAGATCCAGGTCCTGTGAGCGGTTGAGCAAAATTGACAGGATTGCCTGTGTCGCGCACGCATTGTTGATAATCTGCTGAGCGAAATACACGTTCTCGGGCGATGACGTCGGCTGCTCTGTCTGCGCACGCGGTTTGCCGCTGCTTTGCTGCCATTTGAACAAGAACACGAGGCCGTAGACGGGCGCAATCGAGTTGAGAGTGTCGGCGTCCAGACTGTAGAGCTCTTCGACCTGCACGTCACGCACACCCATGTTCTGAATGAGCTCAGTGAACACACCGGGATCGCTCTCGATTAGACACCAGTTTCCATTTTCAAGCGACATTGCGGGCGGTATATATTTGTAAAACGAGGATTGCAGCACCAAATTAAAAACGCGAGAGCTTTGAAAAGGAGAGAGAGGAGCATGAGCGTGACGCAACAGCTGCTGGGCTGGCCTGATCAGCCTGATCACCAACAACGCGCAGATCAACAGGACAACAGGGAACTGCCGTTCTAAATGCTAGCTATCCAGCATAGCTGGTGGTTTGAGGTGGCCTATGGTCCGCTATTATCTAGGAGCCAGTGCCGTTGGAGCGCCCAGCCAAATAATCAACTGCCGTTCAAGTGCAACACTGGACATGCCCAGTGGGTCTGGAAATGCCCATTCCAGTATAGTCCACGTTTGCTGGACCGCTAGGGAACCCAATCCATCACATTGAAGTTCAATGCCAGTTCTGAAATGAAGGCTCCGATAAGAATCCTCCAGCAGTAGACGTTACACACACGGCGTGTGCCACCAGCTCACCGACCCATGTTTAGCAAGAGGTCATAGACAGGTCCATCGGATGTAGCGGCCTGGGTAGACCCCGGAGCGGGTAATTTTTCTACACGAGATCAGCAGCTGGAATGTTCTGCTCTGTGCACCTGGCAACGATGAACACGCCGATCGCTACAAAAGTGAGGCGGCACGCCCTAGCCCGGCAAATCCGCATTGGCGCAGAGCAAGCATAATCTTTATACCTTATCCACGACTGCCATCAAGTATGCTGAACTGATTGCCCCCAGCCTTCATATGCTAGTGCAGGACCATCAATGCAAGCCGGTGGCAAACAGGAGCACACGTGATGTCGATAATAGTGGACAACTGGCTGTATGACCCATGGCCAATCTACATTGCGCCCGGAATATGCGGTAGACCATGCGGCCAACAGCACTGTCGGAAGTATGCAGCTGTGTACACCTGCTTGATTAGCATTGGCAAGGCAAAAGTGTCGCACAAATGCCAAATGTGGGGACCAAGCAGGCACATATGCTTCACCGGAGGAGGATGATCCATTCTGTAGCTCCCTCTTTACGAGCACAGAGTACACTAGCTGATAGCAGACAGCAAGCCCAGCAGTTATAGGGATCGGCGGTCTTGCTTTTGCAATAGATTAGACCATGGCGACATGTCAGACGGCCGTGAGAACAGTGCAGACCGCTCAGTAAGATAGGAAAATGGGGCTCTGGAGTCCCGTTTGACGTAGAGCGACTCAGTATATAAACCACCAGATGTAGACCGCCCACAAATTGTACTCATCCACAACAAACTGCTCCATCCCTGCCTGTCTGCTAATAATTAACTAATATCCATCAATGCTATTCAAGTTCTCCACTGTTCTCGTCGCGCTGGCAACGCTCTCTGCGGCGCTTCCTTCCGTCGAGCAGCCACCTGCGCTGTCTCGCCGCAGCGAAACACCTGCAGATGCTATCCATGCAATGCTGAACACTACCACGGCCGCGCTTGTCGAGTATAAGGTCCGCCAGATGTACCGTGATGAGCAGAAGAACCTTGCCGCTGCCAAGAGTAACAACCCTGTTGAGAAGGGAGGCCAGGTCATCATTACTACAACTCAAGCCACGCTCGAGAAGTACGCCAACTATGCTGGCGCTGCATACGTCGTCAACAGCAAGGCCTGGAACTGCCCCATCAGCTGTCAGACTGCCGCCACTGCAGGCACTGTTGTCTACCATCAATGGGCCGACGTCGTTGGTGCCAATGTCGGCTATGTTGCCTACAAGGAAAGCACCAAGGAAATTATCATTTCGTTCAGAGGCAGCCAGACCCTCTTTGACTGGATCACAAACGCCGATTTTGGACAGGACGCCTGGCCCAGCAGTGTTTCTGGATCCAAGGTCCATTCCGGGTTCCTTGATGCTCACAAGGCGCAGGCCAGCACCATCCAGGCCAAGATTGCCGAGCTTGTTGCCAAGTACCCAACGTTCAATATCGTCTTTACCGGTCACTCGCTAGGTGGTGCGCTGGCCTCTATTGGCGCTGCAGACCTGGCCCGGCTGCATCCTACCTGGGTGAGTCGTATTGTTCTGTACACCTACGGCCAACCTCGCACTGGAAATTCCGCTTATGCATCATGGGTTCAGAATCTCGGGTTCCCTATTTTTCGTGTTACCTACCAAGAAGACATGGTAGCCCGTGTGCCACCTACAAGCTTTGGCTACTCTCACCACAGCCAGGAATCGTGGTACCCTACCGGCGGAGGTCTGAAGTTCTGCGGCGCTAACGGTGAGAGCTCGACCTGCATTAACAGCATCTCCGTCTTCTCGCTCTCAACCGCCGATCACTCGGACTATCCTGGCCTTGCCCACTAAGCTATGCTGGTAAACAAAAAACTAATAAATAACTGCACTCCGTATCTAACAGCACGCTAATGACAGGACGGGATAGAGTCGGCATTTGCAATTTGACATGGTGCTTGCGCGAGGACGTGACGTTGATGCTGCATGGGAGCCATATTTCGCTTTGCCACAATTTGCCAGTGTGTAGGATCCGTCCACCCAGCTTCACATGCAGTGGCAAGGGCCACATGCACTTTTCCTTATTTAGCCAAGGTTTACAGCGTGACCTCCGGTGCCAGGTTTGTGCACGGTCTACCTTCACATGCTTTGACAGGAGATACATGGGTTGGTCATTCGGCAGCTAGCCATCGTGATCGCTGGTGCTCATCCCATGCATCGCCACATAGTCCAAATAGAGATCTACACGCAATGTGCAGAAAGCTTGTGCGTTAAACTTGCGAATCTACAAGGAAATCGCCGCTCTGGGCAAATCATCAACCACCAACTCCGACTGTTTGAATCACATCTCTTGGAACAGGTTGTGCCAGAATTATAGATTCTAAAGGGAGCTGTCGACAGAGCAGGCTGCAATTTCCGCCAGGAAACCATTCTGTCAAAAGCGTCGACTACAAAGACGTTTTCGCATGTGTAAAGAGTATGCCTGCAGAATACAATTGAATATTCGTACTTTATTGCTGCCGAGTTGGTCTTATAGAATAGCCATGCTCATTAGGTGACTCCGGTGTTTTGAAAGGTACTACATAAGGTCCACCAAACACCATAGCAACTCTCCAAGCAATTACTCAACTGCCACAGCCCACATTTTAATTTCTAAATGAGCTTTTGACCTTACAGATGCTGCTAAATACCCTACCCTTGGTAGCCGCCTTCACTGCACTGTCGTCAGCCCTCCCTGCTGCTCAGAACTTTCATCAGGGCGTCCGTCGCGACGTGTCTAAATCAAGCGGGTTATCATCATACTTCAATGCTGATGTTGCTGACTCTTTGAATGTGAAGGCCAAGGATGCGTACATGAAGACGAAGAAGGCGCAACAGCAGCCAGCGCTCACAAGTTATGAAGACAGCGTCCAAAGCTCTGTCCTCAGCATCTCAGTCGATTGTCGAGAGGTATGCCAAGTACGCTGGAGCTGCTGCAAGCGTAAATAGCACTGCATGGGATTGTCCAGGGGTCTGCCAGAGCCCCGAAACCACTCATACTGTGGTTTATCATAATTGGGCCAACGTGCTTCGAGCAAATACCGGCTACATCGCTTACAAGGAGGATACGAAGGATATCATTATCTCTTTCAAAGGAAGCACGACGCTGTTTGACTGGATTGCAGATTTGACCGTTCTTTTTGGTCGACTGGCCAAGCAGTGTCGGTGGGTCCCAGGTTCATGTTGGGTTCAAGAATGCGTATCAGGCCAGAGGGTGATACCATTGTGGAGGCTATATCCGACCTGGTTGCCAAGTTCCCTACATTCAAGATTACCTTTGTTGGCCACTCACTTGGCGGAGCACTTGCATCGGTAGCTGCAGCTGACTTTGTTCTGAAACATCCCGAGTGGGCGAAGTAAGATGCAGCTCTTCACATACGGCCAGCCTCGCACCGGCAACTCGGCCTACGCACGTTGGATTGAGAACCAAGGTTTCCCAATCAGCCGCGTAGTCTACAAGAAAGACCTAGTCCCGCGTGTCCCCCTTCAGAGCATGGGATTCCACCACCACAGCGAGGAGCTCTGGTACACTCCGGCTGGCGGATTTACCCATTGCGGTTCGAATGGGGAGAACCCAAACTGCCAGGACTCGGTTCCGTTCCTTACTTTGGATGCCCGTGACCATGGAGGCTACCCAGGACTGAGCTAGACTGGGAGTAAGTTTATGAGTGGCATATCGAACCATTTCTTCCAAGCCTATCTCCCAATACTATCGCTATCAGGATTGCTGACTTGGAAAGGATGAGTGGTCAGGAGCATCACATAAAAATACATTGAAAAATGAACACAGGAGGAAAAGGAGACCGGTCGGTATCCTTGGAGTCTGCATATGCGCGTGTCTGATCTGGTTCATGGCTGTGTTGGAGTGTGCTGGGACTCTGGGGCCAACATCTCCAATGACCTCTTGGGCATTTTATTTGGATTTCAGTGATATGTTTTCTGGTTAGTATAAACCTTGTCAACAAATCGAGACACGCAGTTCCGAACGATAAATGCACACATGGTCTGGATGTGGTCCTAATACATTTGATTCCACTAAGATCCTATGGAAGTCCTAATTTGCGATATACTCCTGGGTCCAGTACCAGTTTGACTGACCGAAGCCCACGCTATCATAGGGCCCGACGATGTTATCGTGGTGACCAGGGCTATTGATCCACGCCTTCATCACGTCGTCCACGCTGCGCTGGTTGAATGCGACGTTCTCAGCAGCACCACGGGCACCCGACACAAATGGCTTGATGCGCTCAAATAGCCCGCCCTTTGGGTTGTTGTGTGTCATTTGCTTAATGCTGTTCTGATACTCAGAGTGCTTCTGAGCTGCGCTGTTGAGACCGGGGTTGAGGGTGAGCGCTTTCTTGCCAAATTTTTTGCGCTCGTCATTTACCAGCTTCAGCATCTGCTCTTGCCAGCCGCCATTCGAAGCTGGGCTTTTCGCAGATTGCGCGGTTGTCTTTTGCGGTGCCGGGGCAGGCTTCTGGCTGGAGTTGGCGGGGCGCACGTATACTACTTTGTGCACGACTACAGTTTTCTGATTGCTATTTGCGGGCGACCGGCGCCCAAGGAATGGAATGAAGCTCCACGTCGATTTCTGGCTCAGACTGCCTTCTGACAAACCATGGATAGTGTCAGGGGGTGGTGAGTCGGTGTCAGGTTGCGCGATGGGCATAGCAAGTACTACGCCCAAGAGAACAAGAAAAGGAACGAGAAAGGAGGACAGCTTTTTCATGATCGTTAGAAGCGGAGAGAGGAGTCGTAACGAGAAAATGAGAATAGGAAAAGCAAGAGTGTGCAAAATGTTACCAGAACGAAGGTGCAGAGGTGAAGGAGACGGAGTCTCTGGCAGGGATGCCTTTCTGGCTTTATAGCCACTTTCCTTTTGTGGCCCAGAATGCCTGAACCAGATGTTGGCATCCAGCTGCGCTACTCATCCTCATATCATGCCGATATTTCGAATCTAAAGCGTTGCTGTGGTATCACAGCAGAGCCAGAAAGTGCCTGTGCTATTTGCTGAGAACTAGTCAATCACAACAGATTGGCCAAGAGCACATTGGAGGCGACGGAAGGAGCGCGAAGCTACGCAGCGTCGGCGTAAGCCGAAAATAGACAGGGACACCTTGGCTATCAGCTGTGTGTTTCTTGGAAAGAGAATTTTACTTTCTAGAGGACAGCGCCAGTTTTTTTTTGCAAAGCTCGGCACCGCCTTTTTGGGAAATCGTGCAGCATGATGTACATTTTTCGGCGAAGCTGCCAGAGGCTAAAAATATCCTTCTGCGTGTGGATGCAAATGAGCAACCAAGCCCCGCTACAAAGGACTGGTGGAAAGGGTACCCTGAGGACACACGCTTATAAGACACACGACACAACGGTATCCAGACACGAGCATGAATGAAAGACAGGTTGTGGGTATCGCACTCAGACTATTAATATTCTGCGCTCGGAAACAAGTTTTTCCAGAGAGCGATAAGAGGAATACAATAGCTGAGAATCTCGGCGCAGCCCTGGTTTCATGGCCACGCATGGTCTCTGAAAATAGAAGCTATGCAAGCATGGGTCGCTACTACAGTACAGTTGAAATCAGTGCAGGTTATATGTAAGCCTGCGAGGACGCATGGGCTGGTGCTGGTTCTCTGCTCACTGAGCCAAAAATAGATCATAAGCCAATGTATTCGCCTTGAAACAGCTAATCACTAAAGCCAAATCGCCCTAGAGGCTGGCAAACTGCTGGGTCCAGTACCAATCTCTCTGGCCGAAGCCGACAGCATTGTAGTCTCCAATAATGTTAGTGTGATGACCCGGGCTCTGGATCCACGACTGCATGACCTGCTCCACGCTGCGCTGGTTAAATGCGACATTTTCAGCTGCACTCCTAGCACCCGAAACATAGGGACTTATGCGCTGCATGATATCGCCGTTCGGATTGTTGTGTGTCATGGTACGGATGCTGGACTGGTAGTCTGAGTGAGCCTGAGCTGCGCTGCTGAGACCAGCATCAAGTCTCAATGGCTGCTTCCCATACCTGGCACGCTCGGCGTTGACTAGCTGCAGCATCTGTTCCTGCCAGCCGCTACCTGAGTAAGAGCCCTGTGCACCAGTCGAGGATCCGTCCAAAGGTGCTTTAATTGGCTGGCTTGAGGGATTTGTAGCTGCAGATGGCTGGTTGGTGTTCATTGAAGGAGGGAGCGGCTGCCCAGTGCGCCCACTGTTTCCAAACTGGTTCATCTGGTTCTGCCAGTTCATCACCAGAAGATCCCTGTGCGCCATTCGAGGACCCGTACGAAGGCATCTGGACCGGCAGATGCGAGGGCTGCTTGGGGGCTGCAGCAGGCATAGGTGCCCACTGGAATCTGGTAGAAGGAACGCCAAACTGCGTGCTGGGGCCAGAGGGATACGGGTTGAAGGATTTCTTGCCAAGTACGTTCACCTGATCCCTATCAGCGACAGGAGCGGCGAGCGCAACGCCAAGGAAGAGGAGAACGGCCTGGTAGATTGAAGGCATGGTCATCATTCGATACCTGAAGGAAGGATGGGGTGGAGGATGTAGAACGTGAAAAATGCAAGTGTTGCCAGAACGAAGTTGCAAGTGATGTGTGAGGAGGAAAAGCAGTTGGCAAACAAGGAGCTCTGTCTGGTACTTATATCCATATGGACGCCAGCCACATCTGTTCTATATAGGGCAGGCCACATAAATAAAACAGGGAGAGTGTGGACTGTAACAGCACCTTCCACATGAATTTTAGGGATTGCACGTGTAGGATAATCTAATTGTTTTTTGTTCAGTGCTGCACATGTGGTGAGGTGTATTTTTGTTCAGTGACACATCCACGATCCCTAAAATATCTTGCAAGACGAATAGTATATGCATACGAGTTGTTCCATTCGAAACATCGGCTCAAATAGGCCGCCAAAATACCACGCGTGGGCGATAAATAGATGGCCATCTATTTATATTTTGTAGAGTGAAAGATATGAAGCAAAATTAGAAAAGAAAAATGAACAGAGAATGAAAACAGGCTCCAAAGTGCAGGAGCAGGGAGAGAGGGGTGCTAACGAACATGCCGTGGATGAAGGAACCGGCCATTCCAATATGTCCTCCCAGTATGCCCCCGGTGGGACACAGGTAAACTACATCGCATAAAACAAAATCATCGTCGCTTCCATTCTACGACGCGATCTTTGCAAAGTCCTGTGTCCAGTACTTGTTTGTGACACCGAAGCCGACATGTGTGTAATCGCCAATTATGTTGGCAAAGTGCCCCGGGCTGTTCTTCCACCCGGTCATCACGCTCGACACATCCGGGTAGTTCCAGGCGACATTCTCACCCACCGCCATCCACGGAATGCCGGCCGCCGAGCACCGCTGGCCCAACGAGCCCTTCGGGTCGCTGTGTGTCATCTTCGAGATCGAGCTCTGGTGGTCCGAGTGCGCTTGCGCAAACGACGTCAGCGTGTCCATTAGCGCGACCGAGGACTTGCCGTTCGCCGCGCGGATTTCGTTCAGTTGGCCCAGCATGTCGGACATCCACGAGTCCGGGATCGTGGTAGTAGAGGTGGGCACGGAGGGCGATGCTGTCTCAATCACCGTCACGATTACGTTGTGGTCGGTCGAGCTGCTGCTGGTGGTTGTGGGGGCGTCGGTGCTGCACACGTCGTTGGTGATGAACTGCGTGACAGTCACAATCTGCATATTGTTGTTATTATTGTTAGCCGCTGAGGTAGCAGCGTCAGTGTTGACCTCGTCCCAGTTGCGCATGGCCAGCGGGTGGACGGGCGCGCTGCTGACAAGGGAGCCAAGCATAGTGGCGGCAACAAAGAGACCCGAAACAAAGTTAACCATGGTAAGATATACAGCTGGAATGGGAAGAACAGTCGGTATGTGAATGGTGGGTAGAGAGGTGATATCCGATCAACAGATGCCAAGGTCAAAGACAGGGAAAGGGGAGGTAAGGGGGGGCAGTCTCTGACGTGTGAAGGATGAGGGATTCAGACCAACTGCCAGCCTGTGCCTGTGGTTTATATACAAAGCATCCCATCGTCGTCCACATAGTTCTGGCCAGAGGGACATGGGTCGCTGGCTGAATAGAGTTTCAGCTATCAAAATCGGGTCCCAAAAAAGTCACTCTTGCTGAACTATACAGGCGTGCGGCAAATAGTAAGGTTGAACGAAATTGATGGGCCAGGACAAAAGCCGATCGGCAATCAGTGGGGCAATGCTTTCTCTTCCCAACACAAGCGAGGCGTTATCCACACAATTTTTTCAACGGCTCCATCGGCGTTGCGAGCCTCAGCCTAAAGCGCAAAAAAGGAATGTGATTTGCATCAAAGCCATATGTCTCCAGGCACCATTCCATTCGCCTGGTTGGCATAGGTTGGCATCGCTGCAACGCTATAGGAGCAGACCGAGGCGTTGCTTCGTTCTGGAGATCTGCGAATTGCACCTCGCAACCCTCTTCGCACCATTTGCAGCACTGTAAGCCGATCGCGGTAGAGCACATTTCCAGAGCCTATCCGCATCTCTGGGAGGTATAGAGAGGGTGTGCTAGCCGTGCCTTGGCGAATGGGGTCATATCTTGGCGCTTTGAGTGCAGTTGGAGGGGCTCTTGGCGAGTGCTGCTGCAGGCCATGTTTGCAGATACAGACGACGTTCTTCCCGGTGATCCGAGTATAAAAAGCCCAAGCAATGTTCGGTAGCGCAAGCATTGGCGCCAAATGCAGGATGCCGAGCCCTCCCAAGCTGGGCCGGAGGGCTGGCCTGGTCGGTTGCAGGCATAGAGCTGGCCAGGGATAGCGGGGTGGTGGGTGATAAAATATAACTCGACGATAAAAAATTAAGACAGCGAACGCATCGAGAAGTCAAAAAAAAAAAGTCATAGGTGGTCGACCAGCAGGCCGTCCACCAGCGTGCTGAGCTTGGGCAGCAGCAGCTTGAACACGCTGGTCAAGGTCGCAATCACCACGCCGGCAGCCTTGCACACGTCCTTCTGGTCCTTCGCCAGCGCCCCAGCGGATGTCTCCAGGGCAGGCAGGTTGGGCAGCGCCGATGACGACACCGGCGTGTCTTCGGGCAGCGCAAACCCACAGGCACTGAGCGAGTGCCTGTGGTTGAAGCCCCAGACCAGCAGCCAGATGCACGCAGCACTGACGCTTATCGGGCACTTGCCCTGGACAATGCCCAGCTTGTCGGCGCGGTCGTACGCCTTGGTGGCAGCGGGGGCGAGCCAGGCAGGCAGCTCCAGCATATTGCACCAGCGCGTGACGAACTCGGCCGGCGACGCGCGCTGCGAGGACGTGTACTCGTTGCCAAGCACCTGCTTCATCAGGTTGTAGTACATGCCGATTTCGCGCTTGGTCACGTTGCCGGCGGTGCAGATTTCGGCAAAAGTGCGCGGGTAGCCGTGGCGGCGACACAGAATGAACATCAGCGCAGCCAAGATGGCATGGCGCTTGCGCACCGGCTGGCGGTTCTGCACCTTCTTCAGCGTCTTGACCTGCTCGTACAGCTCCTGGGCCTCGTGCCAGATTGCCTCGGGCACCTGCAGCGCCTCCCAGTCCACCAGCGGCTTCTCCGACGGCTCGGTGGTACAGGAGGCCGGGTTCATTGGGCTGCGCTCACACGGCGCATTTGACTCACTACTGAGCTTGCGGGATTTGCGCACGGGCACGGGGATCTCTGCCGGGCACGGCGACAGGCCAGTGGCTGCCGGGCTGCCGGTTTGTGGCTCGTCGTCCTCGTCATCCTCGTCATCGTCGAACTCATCGGCGATTGTGCCCATGCTGCCCTTGCCTATGCACCCAGTGCGTGTGCGCTTGCCCAGCACCGGCGACACGCTGGTGGCCGAGTACTGCGACGGCGAGCGCGTAAACGATGCAAACGAGCTGGCTGGTGACGAGCCGCCAGGCATGCTGGGCACACCGGGCACACCGGGCATGCTGGGCAGCGCTAGCGCACCCTCCATGGCAATGCCGTCGTCAGGGTTGGCCGAGCGGATGTAGTCGTTCGAGCGGTCCATGCTCATGGCGCTGTGGCCAACAATCGGCGGCCGCGCAACAAAAATCTGCGGCTGCGCCGACTGTTGCGGCATTGCACGGGGCACTGGTGCAGCGCTGGGCTTGTTGTAAAATGGTGCGTCCGCATAGGCGGGCGGCGGGTTCACGAGTGTAGCATACTGTGCTAATCGTGACCCGCTTAATAATCGATTAGACGGCGGACCAAGACCGGACTCCTGTCGCCATAGCGCAAGCTCAAAGCTCTCCTTGTCGTTGATAATTGCATACGGCGGGCGGGCACCGTCCTGCTGCGTGCAGAGAATGGCTGACGGCTGCGGGTTGTCAGCGCCGGCTGCTGCTCCGGCTCGGGCGCTGGGTTTAGAAGCGCCTGTAGCTGCATTTGATAGTTGCTCCTAGGGGTTGTGAGAAAAAAGGTTTGAATTGAGTGCGAAAAGAGTGGGAAAAATTGCTTTTTCTGCAACAATAGAGGAAAGGTGCAATTTGCTGGCCAGAAAGTGCCCCCTATTTGAGCTTTTCTCGTTGGGCCGAAACTCGGGCCACTCATCGTCGTACGATTTTCTTTTGCGGAGAGGTTGCGTTCCTTAGCATCCGCTTGGTGCCCCCACCCACCCAAACAGCGCCCCTCCCTTTCGCTGGGGCTCTATGAATACGCACCTGGCCAATGCTTGGAGGATATGAGGGTGTTTAATGAATACAAAAAAGAAAGAAAGCTCGTAAACGCTACAGCATGGCGACTGAGATATAAAACAAATGGGATGAAAAGGCAGACAGGTATCCTCGGGTGGGAGGTCTCGTTGGCCAGGCTTTTATAGACCTCGGGCGCTGTAGCAAAAAGATGACACATAGTCCCATCTTTTTGGCTGGCCCGGGAAGAAAACAGGGGAGGGGGAACGCAGCTTTCGCACGCCCCTGCGAGGGCAAGCCGGCCAATCGCATCAGCATCGGCATCAGCAGCTGGAGACTGTTGAGAGCGACATGAAACGGCCGTCGTTCTCCGCCTTCAGGAACAGTCGCTGGTATGGCGGCGTCAGTGGGTCAAAGTACACACCTACAGCAAAAAAAGAATCAAAACATTAGTCCCATGACGCACCGCTCCACTGCATACTTGGCACCCTGCCAGAAAAAACCCGCCAGCGTCGCTTTTCCTTTCCATTTGGGGAGATAAATGAAAGATACGCTGCGCCCTATATGCGCCATATATGCATGATCTCCCTCCACCCCCACCATTTTCCCAAATATAGCACGTACCTTCTATCGATCCTGTCCGTCGATTCATGCAGATGTAATAGAACCCCGCTATGGTCAGACCCGTCTCGCTTGCCTCGACGTTGATAAACTCGGTCTCTACAGGCTGGACGTATGTTAGCACCGCCGGCCCCATTCTAAATCACACTGGCGACTCTAGCCACCTCCACTTGTAGTCATCATTTTCGCCATTGCCTACTAACCTTTCCACCGCATAAAGACGAAGTCCTCGAGCATCCTTGGAATGCGCTTTCCGCCGAGCGACTCAGGCCACTTTTGCAGAAACACCTCGGGGCTCTCGGCGACGGGGTCAAACAGCGACCAGTTGCGCGTGTCATCCTCGCACCGGGCCTTCCACTTGCCCGTTTTTGGCCAGAACCGCTGAAAGTCGATAATCTCGCCCTCCCAGCTTGTCAAAATGCTCTTTGGTGTCCGCGGGATGTTTGTTGCACGCATAACACCCGACAGCTTGGCATTCCGCATATCTACCGTCTGGATGGTCACATCGACATCCCACTTTTCGACATCCGGCGGCATGAACTGCGCCGACAGCATGCTGGCGCGGAATAGCTCGTTGGACTGCGCCGTGATCTTTTGCACGCCTTGGAACCGCATGCCAGGACGCAGCAGGAAGCAGTCGAGAGAACAGCGCTCAAGCGTGTTGGCAATCAGCCATTTCTTCACCCCTGCTTCCTTCTGCGCTCTAATGCGGCGGGCCCGGCGCCGGCCACGGGCTGATGCCGAATCTGACTCCATTTCGCCGCTCTCGCTCTTCTCCAGCCGACTCGTCTGAGTACCAAACAGCGCGCGGACGTTCTGGTGCGCCGACCGCACGCCATGGTCGACTCTGCCTGACAAGGCGTTCGCGTAATATGCGTCGAAATCCTCCGAGTCGTCAGAGTTATGCCCCGATGCAAACGTCCTGTGTGCCCGCAGCACCGCCAGCATCGCCAGCCGCGACTCCTCTATAGAGCCGTTCTGCGGGATCTGGGGGAGCGGCCCGAGCTGTGTGCTAGCTGCAGCATGCGCCCGGTACTGGTCGCCACGCGTAATCGGATGCGCTCGCAGCGCCTCCGGCAGTCCGGGCAGCCCCAGATCCTCGGACACCTGTAGCGGCTGGATACCGCTACGGCGATCACGCGCTCTCTCGTCACTGGGTGTGTCCTCGGTCTCCGATTGGTGGGTGGTTGACGGCTGGTTGTACCAGTAGCTGTCGACGTCGTTCGACGGGAAGTGCGCTGGCGCTGGCTCTGTGTCGCTGGATGAGTCGTGGCCAGGTGCGCTCTCCAGGGGCGAGGCTGTCAGAACCGCCGGTCCGTAGTGGTGCCGGATAGCTGTGGGGGGCGGAGTGGCGCGGCGGAACCGGATCCAGTTCCGGCCCACCCTCGGCTGCTCTTCATCGGGGTTGTCCTCCTCCTCGTCGTCGTCGTCGTCATCGCTAGACATCATATACTCGGTATGAAGATCCGCCCTGTGTCGCTGCTGCTGCTGGCGCAGTAACTGCTGCTGCTGCTGCTGCATTAGCATAAACCGCGTGCGCTGTCTGTCGGCAAAAGAACCCAAAAGCTCCTGCACTTGGTGGTCGCCGGCTTGGTGGAGTCGGACCGGCTCCTCGGATGCCAGGTCGCTGATGCGAAGTCGCGGCGGAGTCGGAGGGTTTACAATAGTGACTGTTGGCCGGCTATTGTGCGTTGGGTGGGTTGGGTGCATGAGGTGGGCCTCGTCGCTGCGCCGCACATCCGCCTCCACCAAGCGCCGTGCTTCAGTCCACACGGCGCTGTCGCCTGCCTGCTGCTGCTGCTCTGTCCCTGCGTCCAGCGCTCGTCTTTCACGCTCGGAAATACGCATGTTTCAAGGGTGTCTGTGGCAATAACTGGAAAAATAAGAATGATGGCACAAAAGTGAAGGAGCGCTGAGACAAAAGATATGCCGGATGGTGTGACAGAAAACACTCTTTTTATATCTGGGCCCCGTTCTTGTACTGCCGTCGTGCTGGGAAGGGGACGTCGAGAGTCTAGTGTACAATAGAAAAAAAGAAGCCTCTAGGATATTATGAGTATACTGGGGAAAAGGCTGTTGAAAATAAATAGTAATTTTACGAGAGGGAAAAGGAAGAAAGGACTCACACGTAGCATGTCGGCGGTGGCTCACTTGCGTCTCAGTAAGCTCCAAATGGTGCCATTGTGTGAAGTTTGATTGCCCGCATCACGTGTTTTACGCCGATGCCAACCGTGCAGTTTTTTGCAATATGCAGAAGCAAGGAAAAAATTGGGTTCCCAGTTACTACGAGCGGCAGCCCTAGACTTTCCTACCACTTCTTCTCCTTCGCTTTCACCCAACCCCTCCTTTTTAGCACTTGGCTAGCAGTCACCGCCCTTTTTATCTTATGCGCGCCCTCAACACAGGCTTCACCTGGCTGTCGGCCAACTACCTGGGCGGCATTCCGATCGACCGTATTGCGACCGTGGCCAGCGTATTGTTCTCCTATGCACTCGCTCACGTTTTCCGGCGCATTCCCGCAAGCAACGCGCCACTGCGACATGTCTTTTCGATAGCCTCGACACTGTTTCTGTTTGGAGCTGTGCAGGAGCAGTACATTGGCCTAGCGCACCTGCTGGTAGGCTCACTGGTCATCTACGGCATGATGAAGACTTTGAAGGGTGCGCTAATGCCCAGGGCTGTGTTTTTCGTGGCAATGCTGCACATGTCATTCAGCCAGCTGCGGCGGCAGTGGGGCGAGTCAGGCACGGTATCATTTGATTACACGGGCGCACAAATGGTGTTTGTGATCAAGGTCACGTCGCTGGCATACTGCGTATACGATGGCACATGCGATCCAAAGACGCTGTCAGCGTACCAGCGTAAGAATGCCATTGGTGGCGTGCCGTCGCTGCTAGAGTTTCTCGGCTACGTGTCGTTTTTCCCAGGATTTGCAGTTGGCCCCGCCTTCGAACTGGCAACGTACCGCCGCATGATCTCGTTCAACAACAGGCAGGCCAGCCGCCAGGTCAACGCACGTGCGTACACGACCCTGCTGGTTGGCATGTTCTGGGTTGCTGTTGTGGTGGTGTACGGCGATAGATTCTCGTTTGGATTCATGACAACCGACGACTTCTCGCAGTGGTCGTTTGCCAGAAAGGCTGTATTCATGGGCATCTCTGGGGTGGTGACGCGCGGCGCGTACTATGCAGCATGGAAGATGAGCGAGGGCGCATGCATGCTGGCTGGTCTTGGGTTTGACGGATACTGCGAGGACGGCTCGATCGCCTGGCTCGATATCGCCAACGTCCGTGTGTTTGACGTCGAATCGTCGTCCAGTCTGAAGGCAATGATCGACGCATGGAACATTGGCACCAACACCTGGCTCCGCCATCACGTGTACATGCGTCTGAACCAGGGGTCTGGGTCCAGCAGCCACGCAACCCTCCTGACATTCCTTGTGTCGGCCTGGTGGCACGGCTTCTACCCCTGGCTACTACCTGACGTTCTTTGTCGCTTCGCTGGCCTCAAACTCTGCCCGCGTGCTGCGCAAGAACTTGCGGCCACTGGTGGTTTCCAAGGAAGATGATATGGAGAAGCGGAGACCGCCAGTCAAAATCATGTACGACCTGGTTGGGTGGATTATGTCAAAGTTCACACTGGACTTTGTCGTTGTGCCGTTCATGCTGTTGAACATTGCGCCGAGCATCACAGCGTGGAGGAACCTGTATATGGCCGTGCCTGTGGGCATTGTTGTGGATAGAGGTATCGTTCAAGGTATTAGGTGCTGGCCAGCTGCTGAAGCCGTTTTGCCAAGGACCAAAAGGTTGCTAGCAAGACCACGTAGACAAATTTCATACTTTTTTTACACTTTACAATATCATTGAGCTAGAACCAGTATGTTTTGCAGCAGGCTCATTCAGCAAGGGCAAATCCGTACGCTTCTATTGCAGTCCATACGCATAGTTGGTTTCACCGTGGGCGCCTTGGAAAGGGACTGTTTGCAAGCCGTCCTCTCAATCCAGTAAGATATTGATAGTACATATACGAAGCCAAATCGCGTTGGAAAACCAGGCTTCGACAGTGAAGTGGCCAATACTCCTCTTCTCTATCTTTTCGTTTTTTTAGATGCTGCCAATGCATGCTGGCATGTTTACAGCGGCGGTTTCTTGTATCGTTTAGAAAGTAGCCTTCAACTTGCTGCTACTGGCGAACTAAAGGAACACACCGCTAGTGGAATTGTGACCACTATTATATCTCTGACCACCATGGTTGTATTTACCTATAAAGCTGGCCACAATATGATGGGTAATCTCGAAGACAGGTTTCTGGCAGATAACAGCGATTATGACTTCATGGTTGATATGGATAATGAAATAGGAGCTGACCATTTCGAATTATCCAGTGACTTTAGGGAGTTACATGAGAGGTAACCAAGTGAATAAATAAGGATTACTTTTCTTGCATACTGTGGCATATTGCTACGTTAGAAGTATGTGAGTGCTTGACTAATAAGACATGTAAATAGTCTATTCAACGCTTAGAGAAACGAAAAGATGAAGGCAGAAGTAGATGCTAAAACTAACATGGCAGAGCAATCACACAAATAGTATTTGAATCCAAATGATTAATAATCTGAGTGCGATACCCACAACCTGTTTTTCATTCATGCTCGTGTCTGGATACCGTTGTGTCGTGTGTCTTATAAGCGAGTGTCCTCAGGGTACCCTTTCCACCAGTCCTTTGTAGCGGGGCTTGGTTGCTCATTTGCATGCACACGCAGAAGGATATTTTTAGCCTCTGGCAGCTTCGCCGAAAAAACGTACATCATGCTGCATGATTTCCCAAAAAGGCGGTGCCGAGCTTTGCAAAAAACTGGCGCTGTCCTCTAGAAAGTAAAATTCTCTTTCCAAGGAACACACAGCTGATAGCCAAGGTGTCCCTGTCTATTTTCGGCTTACACTGAGTATCAGAAACAGCATTAATAGATTGACACACGAAACCCGCAAAAAAACAGGACGTTTGAGCGCATCAGGCCATTCGTGTCGGGTGCCCGTGGTGATGCGGAGAACGTCGCATTCAACCAGCGCAACGTGGAGGATGTGATGAAGGCGTGGATCAATAGCCCTGGTCACCACGATAACATCGTCGGGCCCTATGATAGCGTGGGCTTTGGTCAGCCGTGTAGTTCCCCAGCGGCCTGAGAACCACATTCGGCCCGTAAGATTGCTGTCTTTCCGAGGTTACGACTGAGCATCAGCCGAAGGGTACGTTAGACATAGCTTGCTCGTCAGGCGGAGGTTCCTCGCTTCACAGCAGTCCAATCACTTTTAGTTTACTTCACTACACAACGCAAGGGACCGATTCTCAAACAATAAGATATCTGATAGTTCAGAGTCCTACCTAATACATGTAGACGTCCACGCTTGAAACCAAATGTGGAATAGCAGAGATATCTGTACTCTCATTAGAATATTCGAAAATCAAAGAAATCTGAAATAAGCTGGAATCACGCAAATGAGACTATGCCCGTTGTCGTTCTTGTTGCCAACCACCTTTCTGCTGCGCTTCTCGCATTTATTGCTTTTTATGATGACCCTCTTCAGCGAGTCTGCGTTCACCATTGTCGACTTTGTCGCCCAGCGACTGATATATGTTAGCTGGATACCGATGGTGGTTGCATTTATAACTCTGTGTCTGTCCTCGGACAAAGAGCGACAGTTCGCCCGCCTGGCAAAGATTAGCCGCGTACTCTACCTAGGAGTTATTGCACTCCATTTATCCTACGTTATCCTCCATCCGAAAGCAAAATGGTATTCGTTCATGAATCCAATATTTCTCGTCATTCAGTTTTTTATGATAGTTTCGGACCCTGTCTTTTGGCTGGTTTACGGCGACAATGCCATCACTGTGGATGTAAAGAAGTACCGTTCTTGCCTAATGGCTATTGATGAATTAGCCAAAAACGAACTCTTCCCCGATTTTTGGTTTGGGATTCACACTTCAGTGTAGCCTTTGGAACGCTTGGTTTCGGTATTTTGTACGCCGTGTCACTAGCAATACCAATTAAAGATGAGGTTCTGACTGAGGACTTCAATGTCTATACTAGTATTGCAGCTTTTCTTGTTACTCTAGTCGCCTTCGGCTACGTAGTCCATATGAAAAAAGAAGACGCCCAGAAGTATACTGTGAAGGAACTTTCAGCAGAGGATGGTGTGGCCGAGACCATGGCGGAGTTTGCGAATGAGGAGGTACCCGATCAAGCCAACAAGCAAGTCTGATTGCGACATAGAGCGCGCTGTCTTTCATTACCCACTTTGGTGAACGTTACCAATTGAATCCAATATCAATTCCATGTCGTATTGAATGTGTATCAACGCTGTCTGTCTGTATCCATAGTATACTAGCTGCAGCAACCATGGACTAGTGTTTGCTCCAGCAGATATCTGGCCCAAAATCTGGAATCTTCATAGTGTATCCAAACAAGATATGTATTCACTAATCAGCTTAAATTAATACTTCAACTTTTCAAGAACCCCTCGGAGCACCTGGCAGCTTTGCCAGCGGCAGTGTTCGCGAACTAGAAAGGATAATACGAATAACAAATAGACAAAGAGGATACCAATACAGTATCGGGAGTTGGAATTAGAGTCATAATGAGGAAGGGGATGCGTAGAACGGAAATTAGAGGGGGTAGACCGAGGCATAGTGGATCCAGCAAACCAGGTATCCTGGTGGATCCGGACATAGGCCTGGAGTTGCTGATGGAGTCGTGCAAGCAGATAGCTCGCAAGCTTCGCAATGGAATACTGGAGCGTCAGTCGCTGTTTCTCCAAGTTTGCATTGCTTCATTCCAGGTGGCACCACAGACCGGCAAAGAGCTCGCCAGTCTACTCGTCCAGTGTCATTTTCACCATGAGAAGTGGTTTACCAATAAACAAGGCTTTATCACCGATATCCGAATTCTTGTTAGAATATTCGGGAATCAAGCAAACCTGAAACAAGCGGGAATTGCACAAATGAGACCATTTCCGTTGTCAGTTTTCTTGCCAAACACCTTTCTGCTCCGCTCCTCATACTTGATGCTTTTATGATGACCCTCTTCAGCGAGTCTGCGTTCACCATTGTCGACTTTGTCGCCCAGCGACTGATATATGTTAGCTGGATACCGATGGTGGTTGCATTTATAACTTTGTGTCTGTCCTCGGACAAAGAGCGACAGTTCATCCGCATAGCAAAGATTAGTCGCTTTATCTATTTAGGAACTATTACTCTCTATTTATCTTATTTTATTTTCTACCCGAAAGGAAGATACAATTCGCTCATCTATCCGCCATTTCTTGTCACTCATTTTCTTATAACATTTATGCACTCCATATTTTGGCTGGTTTACGGCGATAATGCCATCTCTCTGGACGTAAAAACATACCATTCCATCCGACAGGCTATTGAAGAAAAGATCAAAAGCAGACACCTCCGTCATATTTGTCTCAGGGGTTTAGACTTTGGTGAGGTATTTGGAACGCTTGGTTTCGGTAGTTTGGCTGCCGTGTCGTTGGTATTGCCAATTAAAGATGAAGTTTTAGTTGAGGATTTTACTGAGGATGGCAATACCTATGCTACTAGTGTAACTTTTTTTGTTTATCTAGCTTCCATCGGCTTCACGGTCTATATGAGGAATAGGGAAGTCCAAAAGCGTATTGCAAAGGAGTTTTCGGCACAAGGTAGTCTGATCGAGACCAAGACTGAGTTTGCGAATGAGAAGATGCCCGATCGAGACGACGAGCACGTCTGATTGCGATATAGAGCGCGCTGTCTTTCATTACCCATTTTGGTGAACTTTACCAATTGAATCCAATATCAATTCCATGTCGTATCGAATGTGTATCAACGCTGTCTGTCTGTATCCATAGTATACTAGCTGCAGCAACCATGGACTAGTGTTTGCTTTAGCAGATATCTGGATCAAACATCTGAAGTCGACACAAAGCAGCAAATCAAGAGATGATTTGGTCTCATCATCTGTGATCGGCTGAGTCGCATAAGCATTGGCCTTGAGTGACTGTGGTGCAATCACCACAATACAACCCAAAAAACGTAATCAATGTTCTCCAGAATGCTATAAAAGGTGGCAGAGTCAACATCGGGCAAGAACACTGCAGCAATCTCGCTGGTTACTTCTTGAGCACAAGAACAGGAGCTTTCAGCCACAGAACCAGACAGCCTAGCCCAGAATGAGCAGAAGCAGCCTGATCCAGCACATCAGCTAACTCCACAGGTACCAAAAGAATACATGCCCACCACTGACATTATCTTCAAAGCTATCGATATGGTGCGCAATAGCAAGGGCAATTATGTCGCCAAAAACAGCCACTGCATCACAAACTGCGCCAATCACAACTGCCAGTCTTTTGCTATAAAATTAATCTATGGCATGGTGCCGAAAATGAACCGCTAGACGGCGTGGTGTCCAGATGCATACGCAGAGGAAGGGATGGAGTGTTCATAAGGCTATTGGCAACAAGGGGCACAGGAACACATGCTGATGTGCATAGCAAACTCCGCGGTCCAGGGCCCTACGACGACGACCCTGGACACTCGCTGGGGTGCCCAGACCAGCAAGCTGGCGGAGTGGCACGCATTTACTTACACCCCTTCACGGCTTATCTCCAAGAGCTGGCAGCTTGAGGCACAGGAGGCACCAAAGAAAGGCAAGGCTGAGGCAAGACTAAAGCCGAGCCTACTTCTCTCGGGTCCACGATCATACAAACGCACAACCGAGCTTCAGGTCAATTGGTAACTCGAATTAGTTTATGAACACTGGAAGGAGAGAAGCAGGCAACAGCTTTGCAAAGAGGACGCTACGACGGTCAAGGAGAGGATCTGTCGCAAAATAATGAGGCGAAAATCCTTAGGCTTCTTGTCTATAATCTTTCCCCAAGCTGGGGTGTGAGTATAGGGTTGTTTAATCATATGTTCATCTAAGTAAATTCGGTTCATTATCATCCATATTTTCCTTGGAATGTTCGGGGATCAAGGAAACCTGAAATAACTGGGAATCATATAAATGAGACCATGTCCGCTATCATTTTTCCTGCCAAGCACATTTCTGCCCCACTCCTCACATTTGTTGCTTTTATGATGTTCCTCTTTAGCGACTCTGCGTTCACCATTGTCGACTTTGTCGCCCAACGACTGATATATGTTAGCTGGCTACCGATGGTTGTTGCATTTCTAACTCTGTCTGTCCTCTGACAAGGAGCGACAGTTCGCTCGCATAGCAAAGATTAGTCGCTTTGTCTATCTAGGAGCTATTGCTCTCTATTTATCATACTTTATCCTCCATCCGAAAGCAAAGTATTATTCTTTCGTCAATTCGCCATTTCTCGTCACCCGGCTGTTTATGATATTCACGAGCCCAGTATTTTGGTTGGTTTACGGCGATAACGCCATTTCTGTGGATGTAAAGGCATACTATTCTCGCCGACTGGTCATTGACCAAATAGTCAAAAGCAAGATCCTCCACCATATCTTTACACCTTTGTGAAGTATTTGGAACGCTTGGTTTCGGTAGTTTGGTTGCCGTGTCACTAGCAATACCAATGACAGACGAGGCTTTGACTGATGGTGCTAATATCTCTGCTAATACTGCAGCTTTTTTTTGCTTATCTAGTCTCCTTCGGTTACATGGTCCATATGAAAAACGAAGACACTCAGAACCGCATTGCAGAGGAACTTTCAGCAGAAGGTAGCGTGGCCAAGACCAAGGCGGGGGTTGCGAATGAGAAGGTACCCGATCAAGCCAACAAGGAAGCCTAACTATGATGTAAACCGCCCTGTCTTTCAGTACCGACTTTGGTGAACGTTAACGGTTGAATTCAATACCAGTGCTATATCATATCCTGTATCCACAGCATATCGTTTGTAGTAGCTGTGGATACGTCTTTGCTCCTACACATGTTTGGATCAAACACCTGAAGTTGACGCAGCACAGAGAAACAAGAGGTATATTCAAAAACTAGCGTAAATTAGAACCCAAGCTTCTTCAACAGCCCCTCGGAGCACCTGGTGACCTGGCCAAAGTTCTTCTCAAAGCCGTCCTGGCCGCCATAATAGGGGTCCTCAATAATGCGGTCCTTGTTGTCCGGGCTATACGAGCCAAACAGCGCAACCTGGGCCTTGGATCCGCTCGGCTGCTTGCGCAGCAAATCGCTGAGGTTCGACTCGTCCATGCACAGGATATAGTCGAACTTTTTAAAATCGCTGGCCTGGACCTGCCGGCCGTGGTGGCTGATTGGGACGCCGTGGCTTTTGCAGGTGGCAGCAGAGCGCGGGTCGGGCCTGCTGCCGACGTGGTAGCTGGCGGTGCCGGCGCTGTCAATTAGGAATTGGTCGCTGAGCTGGCGCTGCGCGACGGTGTGCGCAAAGACGGCTTCGGCCATCGGCGAGCGGCAGATATTGCCGAGGCAGACGAAAAGAACTTTGGTGCGGTCGTCGGTCTGAGCCATGGTTAGAAGTGGTAATGGTGATACTGGAAAGGGTAGAGAGCCGAATAGTAGAAGGGTTGAGGGGGCGACGTGGGGTATGCCAGGCTCTTTTATACGCAGGCGGTGGCAGCTGACGTATGTTGGGAGCTGGGTCTGGGGCTATTTGCTGTTTGCTGTACAGATCGCCCAACATGGAAAAACGGATCGTGCTTGGGCAGTGCAAAATCCGCATAAATTGAGAAGAGCAAGTCTGGCGTGGGGAAAGTTGTCGTGTTACGAGGCTAGTGTCTCGGTTCCTTTTCTTTCCTCCAAACCTTCTTTTTCGCCTTTTGTACGTTTTCTTCCCTAATCTAACTAGAAATTCAAGATGCCGTCCCGAACACCGCCAGCAATGGTGCGCATTAACATACCGACGGTCAATGTCAGTGACACATGGACGCCGACGCCCTTGCGCAAGCAGCGCCTGGCAACGCACATTCTGCGGCTATACCTGCCGTGCCTGCTGATCGTCTCGCTAGTACTAAACATATACTACTTCACGCGGCCCGAGCCCCTTGCACTGGGTCGCACGCGGCCGCGGCCAAGCAGCACGGGCGACCAGCGGGCGTACACAGAGGTAGATTTCAAGCAGCTGACGGACCTGGTGATAGTGCCGGGCCATGGCGTGTACCAGGGCAACGGCACGCCGCTGGACGAGTCGAACTGGTTTTTGCAGCCGGAGCAGGTGGGCTCGGTGGGGGCGTTCATGGCGCACATTGGCAAGGCGGTGGAGATTGTGAAGGAGCACGACACGGCGTTGCTGCTGTTTAGCGGGGGAGCGACGCGCGCGGGCGCAGGCGCGCAGAGCGAGGCACAGGGGTACTGGGCGGCGGCCGACCGCATGGGCTGGCTGACGGGCAGCGTGTACAGACGGGTGATGACCGAGCAGTATGCCAGGGATTCGTACGAGAACGTGCTGTTTTCGGTGGCGCGGTTCCGCGAAATCACTGGACGGTATCCGGACCGGATCACTGTGGTCGGGTTTGACTTCAAGCGCGAGCGGTTCATTGAATTGCATCGGAGGGCGCTCAACTACCCCAAGATCAGGTTCAACTACATCGGCATTAACCCACCCGGCAGCGTCGAGAGCATGGCCAAGGGCGAGCGGGCGAATGCGTATGAGCTGTTCAGCAAGGACCTGTACGGGTGCGGCGGGCGGCTGAGGGAGAAGCGCGAGGGGCGGAACCCGTTCCACATGAGCCACGGGTACCGGGGATCGTGTCCCGAGATTGCAGAGTTCTTTGACTACTGCCCAAAGAACCCGGTGCAGGTGTACGAGGGCGCGCTGCCCTGGCTCAGCTAGCGGATTTAAAAACAATTAATGTCATTTTTACACAGGGCATGTGGAGTCACTATGCTGGTTTTGGCAGGCCAGAGAAAGAAACGGTCGATCGAGGATGGTGCTGGGGGAGCTGGAGCCCGCATTGGCTCAAGGCTGCGCTCTTGATCACAGGGACGGGTCTGGACGGGGGTTAAACACGACATGACTCACTTTTTGTTGAAAAATAACGCGGCCCTGACCTGAGCAGCCCCAGTCTCTTATCTATAAAAGCTGGTGGAGGCAGGCGCCGTGCGCGCATAGTCGACAACGACTCTAGCCACCTCATTCCTCGCTTTTTCTCTTATCTCATCTTGGATTTCTTTCGTACCTCTCTCACACAAGAACAAGAGTCCTCTTTTTAAACAAAAATAAAGACGATGCTTCGTGCTCTCAGGACAAAACCCCTCAAGACGCTGTCGTCACAGCCTGTGCGGCTGTTCAGCGCCGCGCGCATCTCCCGCACCGAGGAGAAGCCACGGCTGAACCGGTACAGCTCGATCATCACGCAGCCCAAGGCACAGGGCCCGTCGCAGGCGATGCTGTACGGAACGGGTCTGAAGGAGGAGGACATGAACAAGGGCCAGGTGGGCATCTCGAGCGTGTGGTTCGAGGGCAACCCGTGCAACATGCACCTGCTTGACCTGTCGGCAGAGGTGAAGAAGGGCGTGCAGGAGGCAGGTCTTGTCGGCATGCGGTTCAACACGATCGGCGTCAGCGACGGCATGAGCATGGGGACGCGCGGCATGTGCTATTCCCTGCAGTCGCGTGACGTAATCGCAGACTCAATCGAAACGACCATGGGTGGGCTGTGGTACGACGCGAACATTTCGGTGCCCGGGTGCGACAAGAACATGCCAGGGCGTGCTGATGGCGATGGCGCGGCTGAACCGGCCATCGATCATGGTATATGGCGGTACGATCAACCCGGGCAAGGGGTGTGGCGGGCAGAAGCTGGATATTGTGTCGACGTTTGAGGCCTACGGATCGTATGTGGCCGGCAAGATCACCGAGGCCGAGCGGTTCGACACGGTGCGGCATGCGTGCCCAGGGCCAGGCGCATGCGGCGGCATGTATACGGCGAACACGATGGCGACAGCCGCTGAGGCCATGGGCATGACCCTGCCGTACAGCTCGTCGTCGCCAGCGACGTCGCAGCAGAAGCTGGACGAGTGCCGACAGGCAGGCCATGCGATCCGCAACCTGCTGGAGCAGAACATCTGTCCGAAGGACATCATGACCAGGGAGGCGTTTGAGAACGCGATCACGGTGGCGATTGCCATGGGCGGGTCGACCAACGTGGTTCTGCATCTGATTGCGATTTCGCGGGCAATCGGCATCAACCTGACGCTGGCGGACTTCCAGGCGATCTCCGACCGCACGCCGTTCCTGGCCGACATGAAGCCGTCGGGCAAGTACGTTATGGCGGATCTGCCGGCGATTGGCGGCACTCCGGCGATTCTCAAGTACCTGCTGAAGGAGGGCTTCCTGCACGGCTCGACCATGACGGTGACGGGCAAGACATTGGCGGAGAACCTGGCGGAGCTGCCGGGTCTGGCGGAGGGCCAGAAGATCATCCAGCCGGCGTCGTCGCCGATCAAGCCCACGGGCCATCTGCAGACGCTGTTCGGCAATGTGGCACCCGAGGGCTCGGTGGCCAAGATCACGGGCAAGGAGGGCCTGCAGTTTGCGGGCACGGCCAATGTGTTCGAGTCGGAGCCTGAGATGCTGGCGGCGCTGGAGCGCGGCGAGATCAAGAAGGGAGATGTGGTCATTATCCGGTATGTGGGTCCCAAGGGCGGTCCGGGCATGCCGGAGATGCTGACGCCGTCGAGCGCAATCATGGGAGCGGGTCTGGGACAGCACGTGGCGCTGCTGACGGACGGGCGGTTCTCGGGCGGCAGCCACGGGTTCATTATCGGACACATTACGCCGGAGGCTCAGGTGGGCGGGCCCATTGGTCTGATCAAGAACGGCGACAAGATCACGATTGACGCAGAGACGCGGCAGATCAACGTCGATGTGTCGGAGGCAGAGATGGAGCAGCGGCGGGCGGCATGGAAGGCGCCAGCGTTCAAGGCGGAGCGCGGCACGCTGTACAAGTACATCAAGAACGTCAAGTCGGCATCGTTTGGATGCGTGACCGACGAGTAGGCTTTTGGCTGTATATGAAAAATTGACCACATGGTCTTTGCGGTCCTCAATGATTGACAACGATGAAATTGGCCCAATCACAGGGCAGGGCGAGGACCGGAAACGAAGATTCGGCGCATGCGAGTGAGTGTGAAGAGGGCCGGGTCAGTTGTTTACAGCTGTGTTTGCTGATTGAGACTTTTGCGCTCTTTTTCCTCCTCTTCGCGTTTATTTTCTCTCCCTCTCTACTTTTAACGACCCCTCCCCTTTCCCTCTTCCTTTTTTTTTATTTTACGACCACAAAGTCTGACTATTCTAACCCAGACCGTCAGCACAACAGGCATCTATTTTTAAAGCAGCTCCTGATATCCCCTGGGGACGCATTAAGCTCTTATCCTTATTTCCTCTCTTCAATTCTTTTTTCACAGCTCTTTCCTCTCAAATGAACGCGCGCATAGTGGCATTTTTGGTTTTCTATATTGCAGCGGCTGCGCATACATGTTTGGCACAGTATAATGCGACAGGGCATCTAGTGCGGCGGCAGAACGCCGGGTGCGAGGCGGGCAAGACGTACTGTGAGCAGTTCGGGTGTCTCGCTACATCAGCGTGTCCGGAAGGTAGAGGAAATAAGGGAGCATCAGCACGTGGTTGAAATCAGAATCCATACTAATAACTACATATGGCCCTGTAGTGTGCACGAACCGCAAGGACCGCACGTCGTGCAATTTCAGCGTGGAGGGCCACGGGTGCCGGTGGGAATCAGAGGCATGTGTGGTGGACGTGCAGTGCAAGGTGAATCCGGACGGGTCGTGCCCGCAGTTCTGCGTGGGGTGCGGGGAGTTCCAGTGCGTGAATTTGGGGCTGAGCTGCCCGCTGCCGTGTGCGGTGCGCATGGAATCGGGGTGCAATACGGCGATGCTGTATAATGGGGTGTCGTGCAAGTGGCAGGGCGGCAAGTGCAGCCCGTGGAATGCCCTGGAGGATAAGCCGCTGGCGGCTGGGTTTGTGGTGGCGACGCAGGATTTCGTCACGGGGTCAGCCGCATCACGGTCGGAGGCGCCGACAAGCTCACTGGAAGGTTGCTGCGAGCACGCAGGAGAGCACGCAGGAAAATCTACTGGAGAGCTCGCTGGAGAGCTCGCAGGAGCCAACGGTAGAGTCATCCACAGACGAGCTGTCTACGGAGGCGGAGGACTCATTGGACGCCTCCAGTGAATTGGACAGCGCATCGGAGGAGGAGGATAGTGCCAGCAGCACGGCGCAGTTTGAGGGCGTGAATTCGACGGTTGCGTCGCGGTCGTCGGGGCTGGGGGCAGGGCCGATCGTGGGGATTGCGATCGGGTCGCTGGCGATCATCGGGCTGGTATCGTGGATTGTGCTGTACAAGGTCACGAAGAACCGGCGCGGGGCGGCAGACAGTTACTTGGACATCGACAAGCACAACCCCGGGCAGGACCCATACGGCAGCAAGGTCGACCTGATCACGACGGCAGCGGAGCTGGCGCACATGGGCAGGCGATAAACAAGTAGTCGCTCGAAAGTCTTTTGTAATAACACGACCGGTTAATTTTTTAAAGCAGCATCTTACGACGGCTCATCAAATGCAGCATCGGCGGCCATAGAGGAGTCGGCAAAGTCTGTGAACTCGGCCGACATGCGCTTGGGCGAATACGGCGGAATGGCCCAGGAGCCGATCAGCGAGTCGTCGAGATCTGGCAGCTCGCCAGCCTGCACCGAGCCCGGCGGCAGCCCCGCAGCCTTCTGGAACGCAGCGTACCGCAATGCCATCACCGCCTGGACGTCGGAGCGCTCCAGCGCTATGTCCAGCGGCAGCAGGCCGTGGGCGTCCGGCGTGTCCCACTGCGCTCCCTTGCGCACCAGATACCAGACCACCCGCGCATTGCCCGCACACACAGCCGCGTGCAGGGCAGTGCCGCCGGCGCTCTCTGCTGCGTAAGCCGAGGCGCTCACGTGGGCGCGCGCAGAGACACTGGCGCCCCACAGCATGAGCAGCTCCAGCATGCCAAAGTCGCCGTTACTTGCTGCTGCAATCAATGGCGTATTGCCGGACTCGCCGTCGTGCATGTTGGCGTCGGCGCCCTGGGCCAGCGCCTGCAGCGCCCCGGGCAGATCCTCTTTTTGCACAGCAGCGAACAGCTGGGTGTCGGGCGACTCGGCTCGGCAGACCCACACGCGGCTCGCGTACTTGGCCGAGAGGAACGGCGTGGCCTGGTCGCGCGGCGTGCGGTCGCTGGGCTTGTCTGGGTCGCCTGGCTGGCGGTCCTCGGCCTCGTAGATGGCGTTGACGGCGTGGTTGCCGAGGCGGAGCATCACATGCATCAATTCGTTCTCCCAGTGGTCCAGCTTGACCGACCGCACCTTGGACACGTGGACACCCAGGCTGCGATGGACGCCCGAGCACTCAATGCACATCAGCACGCCCAGATTGATCGCTGCCCACTCGGGCACCCGCCGCCCGCAGTCCACACACGCATTGTTGCCTGGGACCGCCCGCAATGCCGCCATGCGCACACGCGCCGCCTCGCCGTCCGAGTCGGCGCGCTGGGCGCTGGATGCGCGGCTCACGGCGAACTGAGCCGGCTGCCGGGGTGTTGGTGTGCTAGTCTTGGAGGGCGCCTGGGAGGGAGCCGCGGAGCCCTGCGGCGTATGCGCATACAGAGACGCCTCGATGGCCTGGCGCAGGCACGCAGTCCATGCGCTGAGCTCGCTGTCGCTCTCGGCCTGCAAGAGGTACGTGCGGGTGGGTGCGATCAGCTCGAAGACATTGCGGCGGTCCTGCAGGGCAGCGGGCTTGACCTGGCAGAGATGCAGGGGGATCGACTCCAAGTCGCGGCCGTCCATGCGCTGCACGTGCTCGAGCTGCCCGTCCTTGATTGCAAACCACCGGCGCTGCCACGACGCCATCAGAGAGTACTGGCTGCGCAAGGAACAGATATCCGGACATCTGGAACACCCCAGCGGCGTTGAGCGAAATCGACGCGACGGACCTGCGGCCGCGGCGCCTGGGCGGCTCTCTGGTCGGCTCAGATGCTGGCTCGCCCAGTGCCTCGACGCTGCGGACGCTGCCGAACATGTCGTCGTCCTGTTGCCCGACGCGCACATACCCGGATTCATCGCTGCCTCGGTCGGTGGTTTGCTTGGGCTTAATCACTAGCGCCTGCGACTCGTCGATCTCGAGCTCCGCCGCGCGCCTGGTCTTGGCCAGATGCTCGCCGAGCCTGCGCATGGCCGGCTCAAAGTCCTTGATGGCCGAGAATGCCTGGTGGTAGAACGCGTACTGTGCATACATCAGCGACAGAAAACCCTCGATGAACTCGATCCTCCGCACGGCCGCCAGCCGATTCAGATCTATCGCCTGTCTCTGCACTGTATTCAGGTACCGGCTCTTGGCCGCCTCCACATCGCTCTCTGCCTCGGCGTCCTTGCGGGCCATGGCGCGGGCCAGCTGTGACTCGTAGTCCGCCTGCTGCATGTCGAGTCGCCGCCGTCTTGTCTTGAGCTGCTGCACCGGCCCGTCCTCGCCCATCAGCGTTTCCAGCGGGCCCACTAGGATGTTCTGGAACTGCTCGCATTGGAGAATCCGGTTGCGTTCGATCTCCTGCGCAACCTCGCTGAACCCGCTCAGCGCCTGGTCAATCGCACTGTCCTGCATTGGCGACAGTTTCGATATGCTGCTGATGCGCTGCAGCAGCTCTGTGCTTCTGCTGCTGTACTCCGACGACACCTGCTGGAATCCCCGGCTGGCCTTGCTCAGACCCTGCACTGCTGTTTCGAGCGACGTCGCGTATTCCTCGAAAATACCCACCTTGTTGCGGAACCCCGGCGAGTCCGTCAGCCCTTCCTCGAGGTCAAGCAGCTTTGCTGCCGGTTTCTGTGCTGCCCATCCGTGAATTCTTGCGTCGCCCTCGAATGAAACTGACCGCAGATGCGAAAAATAACGGAATTGTAACAGTGTAATTCTACTTTTTGTTGAACGAGTGTTCTGGTGCAAGAGTCACTGAAGCTGAAGAAAAAACTAACGAAAACTATCTGCTAGACGGGCAGCCCGTGTGGTTTGCAAAAGTGACGTTTCAGAGAATCCTCCATTGCGATAATTAACTAATCACTCGGCTCGCCACCAACATTTCCATCTCTTGCCAAAAACGAAATACCTATATACCCTAGGTACAAAGCGCGAGCACACGCACTACTCGAACTGGGCCCGCCTCTAAACGCACCCTGTATATGGTACCATCTCAACTGTATGTACCACAAACAGTCAACACATCTAAACATGCAACAAGCCTGTTGGTTAGCGCATCTTTCATAATTCACTATATCGTTGTTTATTGCCAATGTTATATTTGGTTCCACTATAATCCGCTTGTTGCACTGAGGCTCTATGTCTATATCTACTATGTGTGACCAGACCCCGCCGAATATCTCTAGAAAGAGATGCCGCGAAGCAAATGTCGCCCGGTCACCCGGCATTCTGCCTCCGAGTCCACTGCGCAAGTTCACCAGCTGAGAATCGAGCTTTATTGTCCAGAGACACTGGCTGGCAGGTGAAAAGCAGGCTTCACATATACAGAAATGTCCGCTGGATGACTTGCTTGCAGAAATAGGAAAGCTGACTCTACTCAGTGCCATTGGCGATGCGTTGGTTGATCTCCAATAAACATTACGTACTGCCAAAGTCGTTGGATTTGACCAATTCTGCAAGCAGCCCACCCTCGTCACGTTATATGGGATACAGGTCGCATCAAGAGTGTAGAGGAAGCAATCGATGCGGATGTGGCTCCATATAAAATGGTTGATATGCCCGATATTGAGCACGAACCTACAGTAAGCAAGTTCAGACAAAAGAAACTCTACATGTATTTAAATCAGGGACATAACTGCGAATATATTGAAATGGGCAAGTACATATAGTTATGAGGTCTTAGTGAGCTGTCCACAGGTTATCAGAGACCTGGCGCACCAGCACCGCAGTTTCCATGGCATAGCTTCAAGATCTCATATTATACTGCCATTTTGCCATCTCTCATTCAATGTTGCATCACGCTTTAGTTTCTTTATTACTACTGGTTATTCAACACATCACGCTAAGGAGAGGAGGATCATATGAAGGAAACACTTCGTTTAAATACTAGCGTTGCAGTTTGTGCAACTGCACCAGCCAACATCTAAACTGCTGCAATCTTGTTACCGGTGTGATGCGCCTCATCTGGGAGCCCTCAGCGTGGCTCCCGCTGGCTCCTGATCCACAAAACACAAAGGCATCCTTTCATTTGCGATGTCGTGTTCATCCTGTCCAAGGGCACAACGATGGGTCTCTAGCGTGCAATCCCAACAAGGCAGACTCATAGTGACAGTACTACATGTGGGTACGCAAAAGAAAGTGATCTAGATTGAGAGATCGTAATTAGTTACACAGTAGCTTCAGTATTCGACGCCATCGACACAAAGCTAGTCTGCGTCACGTCGTCGTCGTCGCCGCCCAGCACGCTAACCCCCTCCAACCCACTGGTGTTCTGGGCCTCGGAGTCTCGAGCCTGCCGCGCTGCCTGCTGCAACATCTCACGCGTGGGCAAGATGGTCGTCGTGCCGTCCATATTCGTTAGCCCGCTACCCGTGTAGTCTTGGTTCTCGAGCGACATGCTGCTCTCATTCAGCTGCGAGTCCGTCGTGTTCGCATGCAGCCCGTGGTGGTCCGTGTCGTTCATATCAAGATTCGGACTGAGGATTGTTGCCGTCACATCCGAACCCATCAGCGTGTCGCTGCGGCTGGTAAACGACGCGCTGACCGGTGGCAGCCGATTGCGGCCGCCGGCGCTCGGTCCGCAGCCCCGCTGCAGTCTCAGACTGCGCCGAAGCCGGCCGATCGGGCTGCCGCGGAGCGCTGCGCACAGGCTGGGGACGGCGCGGCAGGCCGGTACGTACTGGAGAAGGCCCAAACGGATCGTCCTCACCATCGGCCATGCCGAGCGGCTGGAATCTCTCTGTATATGAGGTGGTGGGCTGAACTGCATGTGACGAAGCTATACGTGTACCGGGCTGCTGGCGCGATCCACGGTTGGCTAGCGGCGAAATATCATCGGTGTCTGCCTGCCGCATGTCCGTGCTGACCAGGCTGTGCCTTCCAAACTGCCATGTAGGACCATTTGGTACTGCGGGTCGTGCTATTGCATCCTGCGACCGCGGCCGGGTTGCTGCGTTCTGAGCCTGAGGCCGAGTCATTGCATTTTGCGACTGCGGCCGTGGCCGGCTCGATATAGCCTGCGAGGCTGGCCGTGCTGTCATGTCCTGCGATTGCGACCGTGTCAGGGCTTTGGCTGTGGTAGCCGTTGCCGCAGTAGGAGAAGTGGGTGACCCGTTCACTGAGGGCTGGCTGCCCGCTGATAATGGGGTGAGAGTAGTCCTGATCTGCGGTGGAGGCGAGATTAGCGACTCATCCGCATCAATATCTTCCATATGAACATCCTCATCGGCGCCGTCAATGTCCATAGCCTCAGCATCGCCACGCAGTCCCGGCACACCGGTACCAGTCTCATGTGCGCTCTCAGATCTAACGGCGCTCTGGGGGCTAGCATACTTTGCTGCCAGTGCCTGCATATCTATATCGTCATCGTCCTCTCCATTGTCCGATACAACTGGGACTCTTAGTTGCCTGACGCAGGAACTGGAATGACGGAACTCGATGACATCGATTTGACAGAGCTCAGTGGCAACGACTTGGCCGAGTCCGGAATACGTTCCTGTGCTGGTGACTCTCCGGATACCGATTGGGCTGCGCCATTTCGTTGGCCGCGGGCTCTCGTAGCGATGAAGCAGGGTGTTGATCTCTTCAAGCATTTCCTCTTCGTCCTCCTCGTCATCGTCATCGTCATCCTCCTCGAAGGCAACCTCCTTTGCCCGCAGAGTTGCCAGGCTGGCGCGGCGGTGCGATGCGACGAGACTGCGGCAAAGTAAAGGTCATTGTATGTGGCGGGCTGGTATCAGGCATCAGATCAGCCGTGCCAATCGACATGTTGTTCGACTTGCAACGAGTCGTATGAGCCTGCACTCCCGGGTGTTGCCCCATATCTCGGTGGGCGTCCATTGCGGTCCTGTTTCGCGTGCACCCATGCGCGCATCATTGACACAGGTGTCCGGGCGCTCGATGACGACGCACCATCCTTTCGAGGCGTGTCGCCCACCCTGCGCCGTTTCTTCGCCGATGTGCTCAGCTGGTCCGTTATACGCTTCGCTGCTCCAGTGCGTGGCGTTTGCGGTGAGGCGATCTCAGTGTCCGCGTCACTGTCTGCAGCCTCCTCATCACTATCGATAATCACCAATTGCATGGGCTTGTCTGGGAACTGTGCCGTGATCTCGCCTCTGCCCGCCTGTTCTTCGATAGCTGCACGCTGCGTTGGCCCCATATCGCCAAACCGCGTAGCGTCCTCGGCCCCCATGCTATGTGAGTAGGGCTCATCCTCTGGCGCCTGCACATTGCGCACAAACGACTCGTCGGACTGGTCTTCAGCCGATGCTACCGACATGAAGAACTGCAGCCAGGGATGCGAGGCTTCCAGAAGCTCGCTCGACAGCTTCGCCATCTGCTCAATCTTGGGCATAACGTCGCGCGCCATGGTGCGCTGGCACCTGTCAAAGTTGGCGTCAATCTCCTGCAGCGTCAATGTAATCTTTTGCTCAATCTCCTCCAGCTCCTCTTCGGGCGAGTATTGTCCGCGGTTGCTGCGCGCTGGCAATGGTGTGTGGCGGCAGCGGGGGTCGCGTGAATTCATCGTGTTTCAGCGCCTGACTCAGGGCATTCGTAAACCGTCCGCTGACCAGTCTTGACCCTGGGCTGGCCCGGCTGTCTGGCCGTGGAATTAGCGATGGGCGCGGTCGATTTGACATTAGAACTGCAACTGTAGAAGAAAGTGGTAGCCAGCGCAGAAAACTATTGAAAAATAAAAATGAAAACGCGTAGAGTGAAAAGCAATTTATAGTCAAGTTTGGGATCCGCGTGGGGGCCTAAAATTTTGTTATTGATAGCCAGCAGTCCGCAAACCCAGACTCTGGAAATGCTGGGCTCAGTAGCATTCAAGGATGTTGTTGCCCTGGTTTCGCTCGCCGGTCTCCTGCATCAACTCATCCTCGACCTGCGTGTCCAGGGCCTCCTGGTACAAGTGCTCTGTGGTAAGCCCGGCCTCAAGTCGGGCAAAGTCGATCTCGCAGAGCTTTGAATAGAACGATGCCTGGCTGCTGACGACAACCCTGCGCTTTGTCTGCTCCTTCTTCGAGGCTGACACGCCCGCAGCTTCCAAGCTGCCCTTCATTCCCGTCAAGCTGTCTAAGCACACCCTGCGCACGTACCGGGATGAGTCTCGGCACATGTCAATAAGCAGCGTTCCAGGCTGCAGCTCCTCGACGTATTGGAAGGTCAACGGAGCACTCGCTCTGGAGGAAAAGCAGCTCAGACAGCCTTGCCAGCACTCGAGCCAGCCGTACACGCACCTCGAAGTCGGGGTTATCAGCCAGCTGGTAGAGATCCTCGATAGGTTAGCGCCTGCAGCCACTCTTGGCTGGCGTCTTTTTTGCTCATGGAAAGTACCAGCTCCAGTGCAGCACGCCTGACAAACGCCTCACTGTCCCCAATTAGCGCTCGCAAATGCGCAGCATCGAGTTCATTGCAATCCACCACTGCGCGAACCACGTCTTGATCAGCATGCTCTACAATGCTGACCAATGCCTGCGCGCCCGATGCTCTAATGTACTCCTCTGGGTCTTCAAGCGCGTTGACAACGTCCTGTATCAGCCCCATATCGCCAATTACAGGCGCGACCTTGCCCCACTCAATCGTCTCTACCGCAGCATGCACGATCTCCAGCACTGTGTCCCTCGCCTCCCACTCAACATCTGCCAGCCGAGTTCGCATCGCTGAAACCAGCGCCCGAGCAAACTGTCCAAACAACACAGCCTCGAACTCTGCTTGCTCGCCGATAATCTCCAGGGCCACCATCAGCAGCGCCTTGACACCTGACGACCCAATGCTAAAGTTCGCCACCAGCTCAGGGAGCCTCATCAAGTGCACAAATCCTACGTGCTTGGCCAGCTTCAGCGACTTGACAGCCGCATCCAGTACCGTAGACAGAAGCTGCTGCGATTTCTGCACACGCTCAACTTCCAACTAGTCTTTCTAGCACTTCGAATATCGGCTGGTCAAAGAAGACTTGGCTGTAGTCACGAGCGATGCGAGCCGATTCGATTGAAACCTGGTTTAAAACAGCCTGATGGCCGGTCGCTCTCGGCAAATTCCCTGACGCACAGGCTAATCTGCTGTAGCTCTGGGTACGAATAAATACTCTCCTCAGCTACCAGAGGGAATCGTACGTTCTGTAGATCGGCGAGGATAGATACAGCTGTGTAGGCAATCGCCTTGAGCACATCAGCCGCGCTACGCCCCGAGCATTCACTCGCACCCAACCCTTTGACCATGGCCGCCAGCCCTCGCAGGGCTACTAATATATCAACCCTGGTCAGCACCTGAGCTGACCCTCTTGGCGACAGAGTGGTAAACATTTCGGCGTAGCTGCTGCCTGGATTTGTTCTGACCATGACCTCATATATATCCAGCGCCTGGTCGCGCACCAGCCTCTCCTCATCCAGTAAATATGGCCTAAGGCCGATCAGAGGAACCACCGAGCATACATAATCTCTTGCGCCCGCACCAAGCTGCAGAAGCGTACCAGCCACTGATAGGAGCGCTTTCTTTTGTGCCGAACTCTGGCGGTCAAAAGCGCGGCTAGCCAGACTACCAATCATGCTTTTCAGCCTCTCGTCGACATCGCTTGACACAGAGACCAATACTGACACGAGCTTGCATGCCTCAGCAACGATAAAGTGGCTGGCATCGAGCAGCCGACGCAGCACGTATCCCTGGTACCCAAGCGCAACTAGCAGAGACTCTGAATGTTTGTCGTGAATCTCGGCCGCCTGGCGCACAAAGTACAGACAGGCAAAGCGCACCAGCGCGTGCTGGCTGTCTGCATTCTCGATTACCCACTGGATGATATTCGAGTGCTCCACGTTGAGCGTATTCCATGTTTCTGCTGCTGTTGCTGCTAGCAACTCGAATGACGTCACCCATGAACCTGATGGCGACGGACGACACTCGGTAATCGCTGTCGGGTCCTAGACACGAGCAGACAATGCTATAAATATCCCAGTCAGTCAGACAGGCTATGGCATCGGGACGACTCGAGGAAGAGGCGCATGTATGAGAGGACCTTTTCGTGCCTGGTGTCATCGACAATCTGATCAGACATGCGTGGCAACTGCTTGAGAACACCTTGCATGACCTTGCGCGAGATTGTGGTATTTGGACATGGCCGGTATATTTTTAGTAGACTGAGAATGAAAGAAGAGCGGGTTCAGAATGAGGCAATCTCAACCGGAGCACTCGTAGCATAGTTTGAGAAAATGCCTTTGTGGCATTGTTTACAAGTATGGTTGCTTTGTCATTATTCCAGACATTTGGGCTTGGGCTTGTACTTGTACTCGACATGTGCATGCCGGGCATAATGCTTTCTTGCGCTTGCAAGTAGTGCAGAGGTGTGTAGATACTCCTCCAAGTCAGTGGAGGGGAAAACTGCTGATATTGGACAATACTGCTGGCTAATGTATGTGGCATGTTGCTACCTATGTGAGAGGATTCATATTCATCAACCGGTCAGCAATGGTGTGCTACAACCACATGAGGAGAACCAGCTCACTCGCACAGGAATCTTACGAAAAGTACCATGTAGGAACCTGTTTAGTGGATGCGTTGGGAACCCTATCAAGGCTCACTTAGATGCACACCAGAGCTCCTAGCCTGGTAGCAAGCCCTTGAGGCTGCTGAGTAGTTTATTGATGTTAGCTAGCGTGTAACAGATGTTTTAAGCGAAAATAAGGCTCGGCGATGAAGAGAAGGGAAGAGAGGAGAAGAGCACCATTTGCTTACCAGAGTTTGGCTGTCACAAAAGCGCGTGCAAAAGCCTATTTTGAAAACAATGGGTACATCTCGCTGGCTTGCTCACAGCTGCTTGTAGGTGGCGCCCTCGAGTGGTTCAAATTTGCCAACCTCAACGCGCTCCACGGTTCTGTATGGATTATCGACAAACTCCAAGCCAAACTTGGACTCGAGTGTCTTTTTGATCTCATCAACATCCTTGTATGATGCGCCCACCAGTGTCTTCATCATTTCAGCAAACTCGGAGCGTTTGCCCTCAATCTCCTTGATGTTCTCGACGTGCCTAGGCCTTGCTCTCCTCAAGCGCCTTCTCTTGCGCGTCCAGGCCCGCCTTCACCGCCCCTTCGTTTAGCTCTTCGTAGTAGTGCTTGGGCACCTCTACAGTGCTGGTTGGCAAGGCCACAAACACATCCGACATCATCGAGTGATTCTGCTGGTACCGCTTCAGTGAGATTTTGAATGGCTGGAATTGGTCCAGCTCGTCTCCTGAGTCCTCGTCCTGCGGCACACTGCCTGGGGCTTTCGTGTGCCTTCGGCTTGCGCTTACGCCCTGCGTGTCCCTGGATCAGTGCTGGGTGGCAGCTGCTTGTCCAGGGATGCTAATAGCCGGGTTTGCCGCAAAAACCTGCTGCTGAGGCACCATCCCTGGCCGCATTTGCTGCTGCTGCTGCTGCTGCTGCTGGAGCAGCATTTGCTTGTTGGATTTGAACCTTGCTGCTGCTGTTGTTGGGGAGTTAAAGCGCCTGCCCGGAACACGTCCGTTCGCCATGAGCATTTGCTGTTGCTGCTGTGGAGTCATACCAGACCGGAACATGATATTGGGCCGCTGCGGTGACGGGCTGCCCACGGACATGTGTTGTTGGCCAGGACGCGCTACGAACTGTCGGCTTTGGTGTGAACTGAATTGGTGTCTGCTGTCCGCTACTCATTGTAAATTAAAAAGGTACTGTGAAGTACAATTGAAGCTGCAAAGGGAGAATTTACCGAAACGCGACCAGGCTTGCTGAGCGTGCGACTGGCCAATAGGACCAGTAGTTGTGGGTCCTCTTTGTTGATCACAATCATCGATCACCGCTTAGGGTTGGCATAGCTTGCTGAAGCTAGTATCCCCCCTATCAAGGTGGCACAGATCTGTGCATGCGGTGATACAATACTAACTGCGTTTCTTCGTGGACAGCGCCACTGCAATTAGGGAGCGGCAGCAGCAAGAGCCGCTAAGGCAGCTGAGCATAGCATGTATTTCGCTTTGTTCCTCCTTGTTTATCTCATCCACAACACAATTTGAAAACATAGCCTCAACTAGTACCATGACACTGAGTCAACCAGACAGAGAACCCCCGGAAATGCCAATGGAGCAACATGACAGTCCGCTGTGGAGCTCACTTGTCAAAGCGTGGCCACGTAAACAGTTGGTGATAGCAGGCCGCTACATCTCTACTACGAAATATTTGGAACAGGCACAAAGAAGGCTGTGTTCATTCATGGCTTGAGCGCCGACCGGCAGATGTGGGAGAACCTGATCGAAGAATTCCTAGACATAGGCGACTACCAGTGCCTTGTCTATGACCAGCGCAGCAATGGATTTTCCGATAAAGGCGATATAATCTTCAACATCACAACGAAGCTGTTTGCAGCCGACCTGATGTCGCTTCCTGACAGCAGTCGGATGGGACAGAGGCGTCAATGTTGTGGGTGCTAGCATGGGTGGGATGGTTGCTCTGGAATTTGCCTGCAGCTATCCTCAGATGGTTAATACACTGACCTTGGCAGTAACAAATGCCGGCTTAACTGTGCCACCACTGCGCGGAATGGTTTGATATGCTCAGGTGCACCTTTGCCAGTAGCCTTATTTCTCGTCACAAGCTCACATGTGGAATGATCTTCCCTGAATCCTTTTTTGAGGTCGCCATCACCTGAAGGCAGCAACTGCAAAACCATGTTGGATTTTTGTGTCCAACGGTATATTCGTTGGGAAATGTATACGCACCCAATATCGTTCCTGCCGTTTTTGAGCCAGGTTGGCGCTGTTATCCGCCATCATGTTTCATCAACACGACTTGAGACTTTGGGCAAGACCGCTCCCCAACAAGCAGATTCTCATTATCACAGGTGATCAGGACCACCTTGTGCGTATAAGTAACTCATTCTACATTGCCAAGAAGGTCGGCCACAAAAACGTACGTTTCGAGCAGATAGAGCACGCTGGTCATGGCGTTATGACCCAATATCCAGAGCGGGTTTCCCAGGTGTATTAACACCATGATTGGTGAGGTTACAAAGAACCGATTACCCACCGTGGGCATCATTAATAACGTCAAAGAGAAGGCAGACTAGTTCAACCAGCTTGATAAGTGGATGTCTTTGCTTTGTGGCCACTGCATAATCTGGATCAACCAACCGTCTACTGCTAACTAGTTCTCTCGCATAAAACGCAATCATCCAACTGGACCTCATGTTTATTACTACACTGATTTATTGCTCTATGTAAACTTGGTAAATGAAAACTAGATGGAAGGCGCACAGAACTCTGTTAAGCGGTATTAGAAGTGGTACGTTTTGGTTTTTGAGTCAAATATAGCCCTTGCACTAGAGTCCAGGAACACTGCTGTCTCTTGATCTGGCGTGAATGGTGCTGCATCCTTTGTCTGTAAATATGGGTGGTTTCCAAGAAGTGCTCCCTGCCAGTAGCGGGTCGATCTCTTCATGCGCTCATCGACTTTGGCCCTGTACTCATCCAGCTCATCCTTTGATAGTGCTGCGAATAGGTAGTCTGGATGAACGATAAGTCCTGCTCCGTTTGACTGGCTGAAACCAAACGATGTGAAAAGTGCGGCCTTAACAGTTGGCACATGGATAGTCTTGCTTGGATAGACAAGATACTCGAACTGCTCAAAATCTTTATCAATATTGTCAGCATTTCTATTTCCTGGAATCAGCCCCGTCATCATCGACTGCAAAATCCCATGCATAGAGCAAGTTGCAGATGCGCCTTTCATATGGCCAAGAATCCATTTCTGGCACACTACAGGAATAGGAAGACCAGGCGTTCGTCCAATTTGCTTCAAAAGTGTGTTGACAATGTTTGATTCATTCTTATCATTCAGCTCCTGTGGACGTCCCATGGAATGACGATAGCCCAATATCATCTGCATCAAGACCCCATGTTGCAAGCGCCGCATGCAGAGGTGATATTGATTTGCCCATTTTGTAAAAGTCGTTGCCCCATGCTGATTTCATCCTGTTTTTCATCTTATCAACCATATGACAGCCAGCCAAAGTATCAAGTGCTGCTAATTGCTGATCGCGCATCTGCCTCCGGAAATTAATGTCAAGCAACTGATGGTCTGAAGGAGTAGGGTTTCCCCTCCCTATCGACAGTATTCCTTGGCCTGGAGCTGTATTATTGCGCGTTGACTTGTCTGTAGCAGTTGCAGACATGGCTAAAATGCCATAAATGGGTGCCCCGATTTTAAGTGCAGCAGATGCCTGACATTAGAATGGAAATACCTGAGCCATAGCCCTCGGTGAATCCACATCTGGTAGATGTGCATGGTCTCGATATTTCCTGTGGGACTCTCCCCTTTCTTAGCTCATTACTGGCACTTGCTGTGGCGCTCATCACATTGAACTCATATGCAGTATCATTTGCAAACCCTTCTCCAGCGCCAGCGATCATGACATCTGCTTTACCCAGAATGATCGATTCAGCAGCAAGATCTAGTGCAATGGCTGAAGTGGCACATGCGCCTACTGTCGGCTTTAATGGACCAGATGCTGAGAATAAAAGCCTATTGAGCCATGCGCTGATATTGTTGATAGTGCTTTCGATAAACACATCGGAGCTTACACCTTTATCCAGATATCTGTTGCGTATCATATTGACATTGCTCTGTGTACCTCCATAGCAAGAGCCAACAGCATGCCCAACTTTCGAAACATGGAAATATTGATAGAGCTCATAAGGATCAGTTATCCCTGATCTAAGGAGGGCCTCCATCGCAGCAATAAGCATGTAATGGTTTACTCTATCCATATTCTGTGCAAGGTCTTTGGGTATTCCAAGTCGAGTTGAATCCCACCCAGTTGGTAATTGTGAAGCAACTGCAGGACCATATTCAGTTGCCTTTGGCACATGGACCACAGCACCTTTAAGGAATCTGACAGACCACGTTCCATCAGGGTTTTCCCATGTGTCAACTTTCTCACCATTAGCCCGCCTGAAATGGGCTGCTTCCTCGGCGCTGGTCTCAAATGGAGGCATGTCCTGATCGATCTGAAGCTCACGCATGAATGACTTCATATCAACCGCATCCTCACCCCAAACTTCTGGCTCAACAACACGAATTCCAGTGTGCTCCAAGATATACGGCTCGTATTTAGCCTTAACATCCCTGTCATGCACTGGTTCCTGTGTCTTTGTATCAACCCACCCAATGTAGTGGCCCCTTGTTCCTGGATGATCGCCACTGAATCTCTTGATCAGTCCCATCATCCATGCCAACTCAATGCAGCCTTCCATCGAGAACACACCATGCGCCTCTTGTTCCCAGCGTAAGGCTGCATTTCCAAATGCCCCAACTTCTCCAAAACCTGTCACAACAACAATCTTATCCAAGTCAACCATGCCTTCCAGATATCTTAGGTGATCGAGCTGCTTGTATGATTTTATGGATAGGGAGTCAATCCGGTGCTGGGCCCGAGGGATCGTTTTGTTTGCATGCGTCATATATATAGGGCTATCTTTTTGTTCGATTGAAATGGCAGTACATACATCGTAGTGCATACGTCTCATTATACTGGCATCTGCCATTCGTATTAAACGCCGATCCAGTAACGTATTCCTAAAGCTGTCAATAGACATCATCCCTCCATTAAAGTTCCCAATTAAAGGATAATCATGAGCGATATCCTCCATTTGCTGGGACAGGAGGCAAAGTATGTTGAACGACATCTCCTCATGAGAGAATGTACAGATACCCATCTCCTCTATGCATGCAAATATGTTCGCTTCATCAGATGACATGTATGTGCTACGGGTGCATCCGATCTCGCCGCCAGTGATTGAAATATACTCTGACCATGACACTGTGTGCCAGTGGTTGTACAGTGTATGTAAAGCTGCCTTTCGTTTCACCATACATTCCATCACTGCCCATTAGCCATTGGTTAGTCGAGTGTGGCAAAACAAGTAGTGATGTGTGCAGTGTGTTCCCAGACTTTACCTTAGCCGCCTTAATCTGGCCAATCATCTGTAAAAGATTGGTCAGGAGGGTGCGAGTTGTCAGCTCAGAGTAAGAATCGATATTCTCTGCATCCATGCCACATTCTGGGAACACGGCGAGTGGGGCAATATAGTCCAGATCCCAGCCAAGGCCATCACTATCATAAATATACTGGATGAGGGCCTCTACATCACATGAAGACGCCTGGTTGAATGGGACAAGGACTAGCTGGGATCCACGAGAACCAAACTTTCGGTACATCTCTTCGAAGAATCGGACTGACTCAAGGGAAGAGTTGGACATTGTGGTAATAACCTTTGCACCAGCCGGAAAGCAAACCCTCGACCAGACCCAACCCAATGGATCCCATTCCACATCCAGTAACTAATGCACACTTGCCCTCAAACGAAATACCATTTATCGCTGCCTCCTCCATAGACTTGAAGTATTCTTCAGAATTAGCCTTGCTGTATGGCCAGGTGTTCCCAGTCTGCTGCTCATACATATGCAGTAGAGGCAATCCGTCATTGCTAGTCCGCTTCATATTTTGGACATAGTCATATATTGAATGCTCACCCTCTCTGGGAATCTCAGAGCCAACAATATCACCCTTTGAAGTAACTTCAGCATATGGTCGCATTGGAGTAGAGAGCTCTTTATAGACTGGGGCAGAGTTTTCTGACTCCTTACATTCTGCATAGATGGTCTCAGCTTGCTCTAGTGCGCGATGTGCGAGCAGGCCATCAGCGGTCTGGAGAGTCGAAATGAGTGCTTGCAACATCAAAAGCAGTCCAGGATTGGAGCGGTTCTTGAGCATATGAATACGTTTCATGTATGTACCCCGGTCCATACTTGGCTCCTCTCCGCTCAGGATGCCAGAAATCCATTCAAACGTATCCTGGCGGGCCCAGTTCCAGTATGAGTCATAGTGGCGGGCTTTGTTTGCATCAAACATCATCTTGGTCCTTTCGATAAATATTCAGCCAACCTCTTGTTTAATTTTATCGAGGTCCGACTTGAGAGTTGCCAACTTTACCTGGTACTTTTCAGCTGACCTAGCACCCTGACGCATATCGAGTCCTGCATATCTGGCGAGCGTCTCTACTTGCTCAAGGATGAGATTCTTTTGATTCCTCTGAGCCCTGTCGAATTCAGCACTATTGATAACAATTGAACCGGCGCTCATACCATTATTGTCACTATTTTTTGCTGTAGCTGTCAATGGTAGCCCCACATGTCTAGCATATATCTGGACTGCCGAATCCAGCCAGATTTTAGCTGCATCCTCATCTGCAAGTCGACTTGAGGGCTCCATAGTAGCTGATAAGGATAGAACGGCCTCCTGTCTACGAGGACCCAACCCGTATTTATCCATCAAATAAGAACGAGCAACTGACAGCGTGAATCTGCTCGGGAATTTGCTAGTTAGCAAATTAATGACAAGCAACTGCGAATACTTGCCAAGAGAATCCATAGTGCTTCCGAGTTTTATGGCGAGCTCCTCCAAGGACCACTCCTCTGCGTAGTCAGGCATTCGCTTGCTGAATTCCTTTTGAAGTGCGCCAACAAGTTCATTCTGAACTATTGACTTTCCTGCAACTAACCCTTTGATTGACATTCCAGGATTGATTTCGAATATGGATTTAGCGAGTTTGTGAGAGACTATTGTTCTTAGAATGTCAATAGTTGGAATAGGCACATCATTATCAGTTGATATTGTAGTTGGAGTAATGGGCAGTGGAGATGGCTGTTCCTCCAGAGCAGGAATTCCGGGACTGGATAGTTTTTCTGGAATGTTTGGTATACCATTTGTGGTCCTGGGCTGACGTTAGCAACAATGCGTCAGTAGACACAGCAGGCTTTCCCTCCAGACCTGCACTGTAGTACACATCATCCTTATCTCTTCTTGCATGTAGAATAGCAACTTCCCCATATAGCCAGGTTTTCGGTTTCCAAAGTCTGAGATGCCATACGACACAGTATTGGACTTGGGCCAATCTCAACCAGCCGCTTCACAGAACAAATTCTGAATATTGTGTCTTGGGTATCAATCCATTTTACTGTCGAAGCAAACTGGAATGATAAGAGCTCAATCAGGAGCGTGCGTGCTAGTGATATTCTGGTACTTGTGGAATTATGGCTGACTGCACTCCAACAGTTGATGACATCCTCAATTACCGGTGAGCGGGTGATGGCATGGACATGTCTGAAATAGTTTTCTGTAATCTCAAATGGCTGGCCAGACAAGTTAGGAATATATCTTCCACAGAGTGACGTATGTAGCCTACGGACGTGTGGAATCCTTTGGTCAAGCAAGCTACGGAATGTGTCAACACTTGTCAGCAATTGGCTAGAGTGTGAGGGAACATCAACGCCAGGGATACGGGTAGTTCATTCTACTATCTTCCTGTAGCTGCATATCTGGAGTTGCAGAGAGTATACCGTCTATTATATCCTGAAGGATGTTTCCCTCTTCCAGCTCTGCTGATGACAAACTCCTTTTGGATAGCTCATGCGCAATAAGGCACATGTCATTTAAACTCTCAACATGCCCTGTGACAACGTATTGCTGCCCTTGGACATTGTAGTTGATAACTTCTAGGAGCTGCTGCTTCCGCTCACGAATACAGTCAACAATTCGGAGCAGGTGCAGCTCGCTGAAGCCAGGTAGAACACGCTGAGGATTGATAGATGCCATCGCATACTGGGAGCGACCATTGGTATCGCGATCTACTGAAGCATGGAGCAAAAGCCCACGATAGAGGGCAATATCGACCGCATCCTCGACAGAGACAATCTCAGCAATTGCTGCGAGTGACCCAAACTCACCAAGCGAATGGCCAGCGAAAATAGCATCGTCCTGGATAAGACCATGAGCACGCATGTCTGCAGCCTGAGCTAGCGACATCACCGTCTGGATCGGCTGTGTGAACAGTGTCGCATTGAGCAGGCCATTTGAACACCGGTGCGTGTATGATTTCGATGACCGAGTGATCTCCGGAATCAGCTGCTCTATCTTGCCGTCATACTCACGTACCAAAGAGAGGTAGTGTGTACGAATTGGTGATGCCTTTCTTGCCACCAGATTTAACCAAGTACTCTCTCGGATTTTCTTGGACAATTTTCAGAAGAGAAACTCCATACTTCTTCAACATGTGTCTATCAGCTCGGTCCCACACATCTCTGGCAGCTGTGGATGACATGTAGAGGTCCATCCCCATGCCAACAAACTGCGACCCCTGGCCAGTAAACACATATGCGGTCTTTGCCTGGGCAACCTCTGCTGTGAGTGTCAGCACTGTTTCCCCATTCTGGTTTACAGTCTTGCCATTGATAATCATGTATCCAGTTGTTCATCCCTGCGTGAACTAGCTCTACCCGAAGTTTGTCGTTTGGATAGACATTTCCAACAAACTGGACACTGTATGAGCGCATGCGCCGAGGGTCGCTATCTGCAACAACACGCTCAACAACAGCGCGAGATGCGGCTGATGTCCACATTCTGTGACAAGTCATTTCCGATTCCCCAGTATATGCTGCAACATACGGGTTTGTGTGCGCCATGCTCTGATCGCCAGAGGCATGCGCAAACTCCCAATTTACTGATGGTGCTTTAAAGGACAAACCACCTGAAATTCCATTCTGCAATACCAGTGTACTGTCATACTCAAAATTCACTGTGCTCGCATCGCTCAGCTGGCTTTCATTCAAAAACTGGATGACATAGTTGTCATAAGCATCATTATTCTCGTAATACACATCAGCAATATGCTCATATTCTCCGGATGGTAGCAAGCGATACACAGGTCCGGCTGTTTTGATTTTGGAGTAGATCTCATTGGATTTGAACTGGTAGTGCGAATGGAGCCTGAACTCCAGAACATCTCCACGCATAATGCTGAGAGGCTCAGAGCCATCTTTGAATATAAACCACTCTTTAGCACCAAGCGCTGTAGCATCCTCATCTGATTCGGTTTGCATGCGTCGCACAGGTTCATCCATTGATCGGAACATTTGGTTGTATGCTGCATATTGGCCGCGTATGACAAGAACATCCTCACATATAGCAATGAGGTTTCCTTTGCGGTAAAATCTCGAAGTGAAGGATATTTTCTGGCCACTCTCAATGTTTTCAAGTGCAGTGAGTGATACCTGATAGTCTATGGTATTCTCCAACATGAAGTAGCGAAGCATCTGCTACATACTTGTACTATGGCTCAAGTGGATGATCCCAAGGAGACCTCTATGCAGAGGGGGAGTGGTCAAGATAGATGTCAATTGGCTAATTCCGATGCCGAAGAATATGTCCATTGGGGCCAGCTGTGACTCGTCGGCAGCCATTTTGTAATACTTTGACGTGATGTGAGTACTAGAACAGTACTTCTGAACAAGCTCCTGGCTGATGGTGAATGACTTGAGCGCATCAGCCGAGAAGTGCTGTTCTATACCAACAGAGTTTATATCGCCAGAGCCAACTGCATGGCCGTGTACACGCAAATAAGCATTGCGGTATGATAAATCCCGACCTTCAATATCTTCCAGTAACAAGTAGGTCCAGGTTTGGATGGCGTGTAGATGTACGGGAACCGAATCTCAAATTGCTCCTCGCCAATCCGATGGTAAATATTCACCTGAATATTCTTCTCGCCATCGAATTGTATGCGAATGTCCTAATAGCCCAGCTGGTCCATAGGATATCAAGCTTGACCGGCCTATCGCCATCAGATGACACTTCTGCTGATCTGCCTAGCCATTGGTCGCAGAACCTGCCTTATTGGATTTGCAGCGTACAGTGATTTGCGAAACCACCACTGGCGATGTGAGAAGTGCACGAAGCCAGCTCTGAGCTAGGACCTGCCAGTGCCTCCAGCCATACATCAGGATTCGGAAGCAGTGCTGCATCAGTCGGGAGCCTGTATGTGCGGCTTGATTCATCAACAGCCACTGCAACTGAGGTAGGGAGCGATACTGGAGAGGGCTCTGGTGCAAGATACTCGACAGTACAGATTGGGGATGGATCCTTATTGGATTCACGCTTGTTAAGATTCTCCATTAGCCTGGTGTAAACACGGTCGAGTATATCTTTGACTGGCTCGTTGACTGTGGTGGCATATTTTGTGTCAGAATTTATAATTCTCTGATTTTCTACAATTTTTCCTTCCTCATCGGATCCATGTGTCATCACAGCCATGACTCCGATCCTCCTTTGGGATCTCTCTCTTCTCCACTCTCGATTTCTTTCTTATAACTACTTTCTCTTTTATTCGTAGTTCTTTCTTTTTCTGGCTGCTTACAGCCCATTCATTATACAATACAATAATTGTCTGGCTGACTCAGCCCAAACCACTCGCTGAAACTCGTGACCTTCCAACATTTTGCAGATACAGAATCCAAGGAAATAATTGTGCGCTGGACATCTCTATCAACGACTGAATCTAAATCTTCATACTGCGAATATATGTCCTTCATCATCCAGACATGCAAGTCAGCGTCAAGGATAGGAACGAAGGGGACTGGCTTGGTCCCAGAGCGCTTGCAAAGCCAGACCAGATACTGAACATCCTCAAGCGCAATAAGGGTGCGGCTTATCTCTGGATACGTCTCATCCAACAAATGAACGACTTCAATTGGATCCAAAAGTTGCGAGGTCCATTGAAATGCCCGGGCGAGATCTGATCCAGATACTCGGTCCTCCATCCTCAAAATGAATTCCCCAAACAGCCTTCCATACGACACATCCAACCACCTGGACTTGTCTGCATTGTACATGAGCTCCACGAGTCGGTTGAGTACTTCCAGGTACGTCATCTCCTCCAGATCGACCACTCGACTGTCAGACTTCTTGCCAAACCATGGCCGCGTAAAGTCTTCGTTGAGCCGCTTTATGATATGGTCCTTGTTTGCTATGATTATCGGCATCTGGCTAGCTACCGGTTTTGAGAATATCATGTCGTTCAGCTCTCTGAGAGCCAGTGCAGCTCGAGTGGCCAGAAGATGGACATGTTCTCCAAAATCCGACATAATTGTTATCACTCCGCCAGCACTGCTAGTACATAATGCCCTCCGCTCACTTTATTCAGTGCCAGTGGCTGCTGCAATGAGCCCCTTTGCTTCCAAGGACGCCCCACTCTCTTTTGCGGCCAAAACACATGACTCAAGCAATACCCCGTCAACAGGCATGGGTGCATGTTCAAACTGGACACTCCACTGGCCGGAGAGATATGGCAGAATGCCGTCGCCATCGCCAAATCCTGACCCAACAACCAGGATGGTATTTGGCAGAGATCTGATTTTACTGTAGGTTTCCAAAATTGGCTCGTGGAACTCCTCACATGAATGGTGACCACTACCACGACCGCCAGTCCACTGGAATAATGACAGGGAAGTCTGGGTTTGCCCTGGCGATCGCAAGTGTCTGGAGAATTGTAGCGACTGACCTGGGCTTGAACGCAACATGGCGTATTCCCGCGTCACGCAACTCTGCGATTATGCCGTTAGCAACGTCAACCGAGGGAACACTGGCGCCAATACAGAGCCCTGTGATTGGCACTCCTTCCCGCCGCATACGCAGAATACTAGGATACTGGAATGTCCACTGCTTCTTGTTCATGTAGACTGTGTTGACGGCGAATCCACTACCTGGTTCAAGGAGGTTGACCAAATTCTCAACCCTTTTTCTGAACCCCGCTTCAGTGTAGATTCCACTACCAGCAAGCTCGACATGGTACCCAGCATTGCTGATAGCTGCGACAAAGTGCTCGTTGGACATAGTCGGGATCATTCCTGCAACCATCACTGGTGGAAGTCCAAGAGTGAGTGACATGCGGGTGCGAATATGAAGCTGACCCTCATGCGCGGTTTGAACAAGGCGTGGACCGAACGCACTCTGCCAGTTTGGCGCTGAGAAGACATCGGAAATATTCTGCTTGAACAAATCAGCCTTGGATCCCATGCGTGACTGGGTGTCAGAAATAAGTGCACTGGTGCTGATAACAGTTTTTCCGTAGCCATCCAAGATGTCCCTAGTGTATTTCCCAAAAGCACTGAACCTGCCAGGACTGAAGTCGACGATGTGTGTGGCATCGGTGCTGTTGACAGCTGCAGGCCAGTTGACATGATAGAGAAACACACTGCCAATCAAGTACTTAGTAAGGTCTACTTCATCACGAAGATCGTGACCATCCATACCAGCGTTTACTCGAATACGAAGAGTGTCAGCGTTGAGGACCCACCCCTTTGCGGTGACAACCTCATACACCTTCGGCACAACATCTGCCATTATAGCGCAGTGAGTTGGAAGCGTCATGTTGAGCGGAAGAACGATTGCAGCTGGTTTGCGTAGGGAAAATTGAACGCGCGACTGATCCTCTGTCGGCAGGGCAGTGTGCTTTCTAAGGTAGTTGGTAAAACTGCGATAGAATTCGGTTTGCCAGAAACGACAATGTTCGAGCGACCGTTAATTAAGGCCAGGCTAACTTTCGAATCCTCGACCATGCAGTTTGCATTAAACGCAGCAACGAATGGCTCCAACATATCCTTGGTCAGACCACGAATAGAGATCATCGGCACGGACAAGTTGCCAGTGGGTAACGAACATTCTGATTTGTCCCCATATGAGGCATCTGGTGAAAAATTCAGTTGGCCAATAACTGCTATCGCAAGGGAAATACTGAGCATACGTTCAGTAACAGCATAGAATGATGCCTCGTCAGTCACAGAAGCAAAGGCAGCAGCCATGGTTAGACCCTGGCTGTGTCCGATTGCAACTACAGATGTAGAAATGAGCCGTTAGTAATGATGAAACTCAATAAATGACACCCGCTAGCGTCAATGATGAATGCCTGTTCTTACCATTAAAGCGTGAGACAAGGTCGCCAGGGCTCATATTGAGCGTCTTGTACAAGACAACCACATGCATAGCCTGAATTAGTCCTAGCATGGGGGAAATAACTGGTGCAGTCAGCAAATACCTGGCGCCAGGCACTGTATCGGGAGAAGCAAGCCAGCCAGCAATATCCAGGGGGCATGAATAGGCCTTTGCAAACATTGGGTCGGAAGATACGCGCTTGAGGAAGCCAGACATATGGGCAACAAAATCTGATAGTAGCGGGCCGTATACATCGAGAAGCCATGCTGCTTCGTCAAGATAGCTGTTGGCACCGCCAATGCTACCAAACATGGCAGCAAGCCTGGTGTTAGAGTCAGAAAAGATGGCAGGAGCAGGGACCTCGGGCACCAACTGACGCACCTCAAGGATGTTCCAGACCGAGTAATACCCTTTCAGGACAGTGCCCGCTTGCTCAGCAGATAGATTCAGCCGCTGGACAACCACATGGATGTTCTCATCGGCACAGAATCCTTGGTGGATGTGAAGGAACACGGCAACAGCCACATCGGGATTGCGGGGGCTACAGTACTCCAAAAAGAGCGCGATAAGTTCAATTTCTGTGGAGACAGCAGGAGGGCTGCCATCCAGAAAAGACGTAGCGAGCCTCTTGGCAATAGAGAAATTGTCGCCAGGAATAGGAATATTTGTTGATACTCCGCCAGATGCGAGCGCAATCATGCAGGGAAAGAGATCCATTCTGCAGGAAATGCTTGAAAGTGTGTTCAGTAAGAGCTGGTTCTTGGGTGGTTGAAATGCGCAATATTTGCAATGCAAATGAGAAAATTGACCAACATCAACTGCCAAATGAGCGCACATATAAATGGCTCGCAGTATTTGCAATTGCTGATTATAAATTTGCATGGTATCCGCCTGACAAAGTGCTTCGCTTGGAATTCTGGGTATGCAGCATTTTCCACATAGGCTGATGTTAATTCTCTGCATGCTATTGTGCCAAAAAGTCCCTTGCAGAACCGCTGCATCCAATATAGCGATGCTAGATATTCTTTCAGACACTACATAATGTGATGAGGCGTGCTAGGTATTGATTGAGTAATGCAGCTGTATAGTCATAAAGGCATTCTTATTCATCAATGCTAGTGGCAGAAAGGAGTTATTGTCATTCGGCTCTTTATAGAATTTCACCTTTTATACGGAGTGTATATCAACTGGATACATATTGCGTGTGGAAAACAATACTAGAGGAGAATATGTGCAACCTGAAGATGGTGGTTGGAATGCCGCCACACAGTATATACCCCATTGAATATAATCGGCAAGCGGCGTGTCTCAGTAGCACTGTCTAGTGCATGGGTGGCACATTTGGAATATATCAACGTTAGCAACATAGCTGTTCACTCAGCTATACACATAATATAGGACCAATGATGAATGCCTCTGTCCGGAAATGCCCATACATTTTTGTATTTGGCCAGTGTGATATTAAAATTCCCCTGATTCAGCACTGCCTCATGCAAACATACCGGGCCAGTAAATATGCCTTTTGTCTAGCATCGATAGCCATATGAAGTTAGCGCGATTTGCAAGGATCACGAAATTTAATAATTAACCTGAAGGTTGCAGCTACCACCTATATGCCTTTTCCTTTATGACATTCCAGATTCAAATTTTGTATCATGCACTGTATTGACAGATCACCGCTACTCATAAACCACATGGAATAAAGACTGTGCTTGGCAGCTGTCCAGGTAGGAGATATGTGGAACCAGAATCCCTCCTTTTAGCAGTGCTCATGTTGGCCCACAAATAGGTAATAAAATAAACGGTCCACGCCTAAATTACCTCAGCCTAGATGTCTAGGAGATTTACTAGGCAGTGTGTTCTCCAGTAGCAAAATCATACCTGTACCGATAAACCAACCTTTAACGCTCACGAAAATGTATCGGCAAAAGCGGAGGAAAGAAATCCCCCACTGGCAAGGTGCCAGTGAGGGGGCATTTAAAGGCCAAAGCCGACCAAAATGCGCATACGGAGGCTCTTAGGCTAGGCCGCTCACCGGCCCTAGATAAAAGCTACGTAGTTCACCAGTAATCGGGACCTTAGAGATTCTAACAGCCTTTAAAAAGCGGATTACTCCCTTAGACACCGGGTCATACCTTGCCCGAGCGGTCGGATCCATATAGATATCCACCTCTTGGTCTGGTGTGAATGGCGGAGCGCTCTTGATTTGTGCAAACATATGGTTTCCGATAAGCACATCTTGCCAATAGCGGTTAGATTTCTGCTCGCGCTCCTTAACCTTGCAACGATACTTGTCTAGCACATCCTTGGATAAAACTGCGTGTACAAAATCTGGGTTCAGCACTAGTATTTCGGCACCAACCTGGCCGAATCCAAATGATGTCACAAGCGCAGCATCGATCCTGGGGGTCTGAATCGACCTGCATGGGAATAAAATGCAATCGTATTTCTCAAGCTCAGGGTCGACATTATCCAAGTTGCGGTTGCCTGGAATGATGCCTGTTTGCATGCTCTGCAGCACACCGTTTAGCATCCATGCGGCAGCTGGTCCTTTAGAATGCCCAGTCAAGTACTTTTGGCACACAGCTGGCACGGCATATCCAGGTGTGCGGCCCAGTTTCTTGAGCTGTTGGTTAATGACATGTGGCTCGTTCTTATCACTGGCTTTTGTAGAAGTTGCATGGAAGGACACGACACCAATATCATCCACTGTCAACCCCCACATGGCTAATGACCCGCGCAATGGGTGAAATTGTCCTGTCATTTTTCCAGAACTCGTTACTCCATGCATCATGCGCATCCCTAATAAGCTGCTGGGATTTGCTCTCGATGAATGATTTCCTGGAGCGAGCAAACTCGTCCGCATTATAGGCAACTGAAGCATCAGTGCCCATCAGCTTTTCAATTTCCATTTCCAGCCCCTCATACTGCTCGTCGACCCATTCCTGGATGGCGTTGAGTCTTTTCGTAAGCTGGCAGCGTCGATATGCAAAGTCCAATAATGGTGATGGAATACTCGTCGCATCTTCACGCACTGTGGTCAATAGTCCCTGTCCGGGTGCAGGTACAGTACGTCCCTCCTTATCTGTGGCGGTAGCAGTCATTGCTAGCACTCCATAAATTGGCGCCCCACACTCAATGGCCGCACTTGCAGACATTAGTGTCAAGATCCCTGCACCGGCAGATTCAACGAATCCATTGCGGAGTTGCCGCACAAGGACGAGACATTTCTTTAAATGTGCGCCCGTTTGCAAGCTCGACCTGTAGCATCTACTGTGGCGATTTATGGATGCAAACCCGAGTGCATTCTCACGAGTGAAGGTATCAGACGCCCCAGCAACCACCATTTTAGCCTTTCCGAGCTGAATCGCTTCTACTGCAGCATCTAATGAAAGTGCAGTTGTAGCACACGCACCAACTAGCAGGTTTAATCGGTCCCTGCCGAAGACAAGCAGAAGCATGTTTACCCATGCAGCGACCGTGTTTATAAGTGTTCTCCTGCAACACATCCGTTTTTCACATCTTTGTCCAGAGTATAGTTTGCATGCATGTCCTTCATCGAATCTAACCCCCCTAAACCAGACCCAATCGTGTTTCCAATGTCTGCCAGATGGAAGTACTGGTAGAGTTCATACGGATCAGTCACTTCCTGAGCGTAGGAGTGCCTCGATGGTGGCAACAATGCTATAGATTGAGAGCGGATCGATGAGTTTGACCAAATCATCAGGGATCCCGTATCGCTTCGGATCCCAACCGGCTGGAAGCTGTCCAGCAGCAATCCGGCTAAACTTCATTGCCTTAGGGACAGATATCACAGAGCCCTCAAGGAATCTTGACTGACCAGGTGCCATCGTTATTCCTCCAAGTATCGACCTTGTCGCCGTTCAATAGCTTGAAGCTTTCTGCTTCCTCAGCAGTTGCTTCAAAGGGCTCCATGTCATGGGTAACCTGGATCTCGCGCAAAACGGGCAATATCTCCGAGCTAATCCCATGTGTATTCTCTGGCTCAAGCAGGCGTATTCCAGTATGCTGGAGAATAAAGGATTCATACTTTGCCTTGATATCACGATCGCGCACTGGCTCACCCGTTTTTGTGTCCACCCAACCGATGTGTATGCCGCTACCATTTGGTAAAGGTCCACTATGGTGTCTGATCAACCCCATGATCCAAGCAAGCTCAACACACCCTTCAAGAGAAAGCTCGCCATATGCCTCCATTTCCCAGCGTGTGGACGCATGGCCGTAGGGCCCAATTTCACCGTATCCGGTTACTACTACAACCTTGTCAAGATTTACCATTCCTTCCAGGTGGTGCAGTCTCTTCCAGCTGCTCGTATGCCTTGACTACCGGCAACTTCATACCGCTATTGGCTTTGAAGTCGGAATTGTGCACAGTCCACAATTTTCTTGTCTGCTCACCCGACAGAATATTGTTTTCATGGGCATGGTCGGCAAATAAGGCTCTCCATTTGACAGACTGGTCAACCAGCACTTCACGCATAGCCGAAACTTTGTCCATGCAGTGGGATATTGCCTGGAACCCACCAGCAAGGTCCGCCCAGAGTGGCGCTTCCACCGCAAGACGACGAAGTTTGTAGTGGAGCAGACATAAAATGTTAAAGGCCATCTCGTTGACCGAGAATGTCCGCATTCCAAGCCGCTCCACTTCACTGGCAATGACATCATTCGAGTCCATGATGCCTGTACCACGCGTCCACCCGATGACTGCCCCAATGATGGAGATGTATTCTGACCATGTTTCCGATCTCCACCTGTTTAGCAATGTCTCCAAACTAGCCTTGCTTTCACCATAGAAGCCATCTCCGCCGAATAGCCCGTGATTAGGCGAAAGCGGAAGAACCACTACACTTGGCGACAACTCTAGTCCGAGACTGGCTTTAGCAGCAGCAACTGCCCCAACTAGGCGTATTACATTGGTCATCATGATTCGCAGTGCAAGCTCGGAATGTGACTTCAACGATGTAACATCGCTGCCGATATTAGAGGTGGAGGCGAACGGCAAGACAAAATCAAGGTCCCAATGTAATCCGCCCTCGCCAAATATGTGCTGGATTAGACTGTCAATATCGGAAACTGACCCTTGATTGAAAGGAAATACATGCAGCTCGGACCCACGCGATCCATACTGGCGATACATGTCCTCAAAGTACTCTGTTGTCCTGTAACTATAACTAGATGTAGTTGCGGCAACCCTGGCACCTCCAGAGAGAAGACCCTTAAGTATCTCGCTGCCAATGGATCCTCGACCGCATCCCGTCAGCAGAACAGTTTTACCCTCAAACGACATGCCATTCGAGCAGGTGTCGTTCATAGCATCAAAGTAGACAGCAGTGTGTTCACGACTATACGACCATGACTGACCTTGCTCCTGCGTACGCATATGTAGGAGCGGCTTGCCATCGACTAGTGTGTTTTCCATACTTGCCGAATACAGACTGAACGTGGAGTCACCGGGTCTGGCAACCTCAGAATAGAGTATTTCTCCAACAGCGTGCCCTCTAAAGTTTGCTGATACAATGCTATCATGGAAAACTTCGACACTTGGCCCTGTGATAGCACCTACCCCCTTGAACTGAGGTTTAGACGCTAAAGCTGGTTTACAGCTATTGATCACCTCCACGAGTTCTGTAATGAATGGAAGCGTCTGATAGTCGGCTTGCCTTTTCAGCATAGCAAGCAGCCCTTCAGCAAATCTTACAAGTGCAGGGCTTGACCGATTCTTGAGCATGTGTAGCTTTTCAGAGTCGATGAAGCGATTTCCCCGAAGAAGACCATTCCATAGTTCAAACAAATCCTGCCGTGCCCAGTTCCAATACGAGTTGTAGTGCCGACCCTTTTTAGCATCGAAGATGGAACTAATCCCTTGCAGATATTCATCTCCCTGTTCCCCACTAACTTTGTCAATTTCTGCTTGCAGTTTAGCAATCTCGCTTTGGGCTTGAGCGAGCTCTCTCTTGTCCTTGTGGAGATCAACACCAGCACTATGCGCAAGGACTGCCATTTGGCGCAAGAGCTGCTGCTTTTGGAGATGCTGTGCCTTGTCAAGCTCCGCGCTACTAAGTACTGAAGCTGTAGAGTGAACAGGTTCAGATATATCTGCCGAATATACAATGCCCTCGTGTTTCGCATATAACTCCTGCAATCGTGTGTATCCACTCGTTCACCTCGTAGGCAGTACCCAATCTGCTGGGCGGCGCTAAAGTCAGTGCAAGGAGAAGAACTGCATTCTGCCGCTGGACACCAAGACCGTATCTGCTCTCTAGATGTGCGCTGAGAATAGATTGGGAGTAATTACCAGGCATCTTTGTTGCAAACAAGCGGGCTAGGTGGGCATTTAACTGCTTCCCAGGAGTGCCACTGAATAGTCCAATTTTGTCTGCGAGGTCAGTGAGGTTCATCTCCTCCGCCTTGTTAGGCACTGCACTCCCAAATTCCTTTTGCAGCTCATTGACAATCTCGTTTTGCAACGTTGATTGACCTCTGGCCAACTCCTTGATGGTCTTGGTTGGGAGGATATCTCTGGCTGGCTTCTTCATCTTCAGGGCTATAAGGACTTGCAGCACATCAAGTGTTTGGAGAGGAATGTCTGGGACACTTTTAGCTGGAGCCGTGGGCAGACTTGCTGGTGGCCGGTGAGTAGCTGGTTCTTCGACTCGATCCACTTGCTGTGGGGCCAGCTTTTCTGCATTGTCTACTGGAGTAGTGCCGATGTTTGTTTCCTCAGAGCTGGGTTCGTACGCAAAACAAATATCGGCTTCATCCTGGAGAATGTGGAGTACCGATGGTTTAGTCCCAATACTTGCTAGCAATTCCAGTGTCTTGTTTGCCATGCCAGTCAATGTTGGCGTTGGACTGATCTCAATGAATCGACTAATGGACACCCATGTCAAGTATGAAACTCTGTGTTTCTATCCAACGAACAGGGGAAGCGAACTGGTATGCAAGAAGCTCAACAAGGAGAGTCGGTGCGAGCCGTGCAATCTCTGGATCAGACAATTCGCAACCATCTCCCCAGTTTGCTAGTTCCTCTGCCAGCACAGGCGACTTTGTCACCTCATGGACCAGCTCAAAGTAGTCCCTTGTAACCTCAAATGGTTTGGCAGTGACATTCGGAATGTAGATATTTTGAAGCTTCGAATAATCTACATTGCGCTCCGTCAACTTCTGTTTAAGGTATCTACGGAATGGCGCAACCGCAGGAAGCAACTGAGTGGAATGGGAAGGAACATCGACACCCTCCAACGGAATTGATGCTCTGCCACGTGTAGGACGCGTGTCACGATCAGGATGGGCAATAACACCGCGAATGATGTTTTCAACATCGCACTTGCCGAAGTCTGAGGTAACATCGATCCTGCAGGCGTGAATGGTATCAAGAACTTCACGCAGCGCGCTGAGCATGGAATGATGGCCAGTGACTACATACTGATGGCCAGCAACATTATAGTTGATGAGCTCAAGTAGAGCGCCACCTTGCACTCCGATACTCTTGACAACAAATGCCAGTGAATCCTGATCGAAGCTCTCCCCAACACGGCTTGGATTGATGGCAGCCATTCCATATTGCGAGCGGCTCTGCTGGTCCCGCTCAACAGATGCGTGGAGAAGCATCCCTCGGTAAAAGGTAATATCGATGATGTCCTCAAGAGTAAAGATGTCGCTCAGCGCTGCCAGCGCACAGAATTCGCCTAACGAGTGACCAGCGAACATTGCCCGTTCTTGGAGCAATGATTTTGATTTCAAGTGCGCAATGTTGGCCATGGCAAAAACAGCTAACGCTGGCTGAGTGAACTGCGCTGCATGCAGTAGCCCCGATGCTGACAGGTGTGTGTAGTCATCTGCTTCACCACTAGCTTGCGGGAACAGCTCTACCATGCTGGCCTCGCCATTATCGTCGATGGTTTCAGTAGCCAGTGACTGGTATACTTGTTGAACCTTCAGTCCTTTCTTGCCACAGAACTTCACTACCAGTCTCTTGGGATTGTTGCGCACGATGTCTAACAATGACACGCCATATGTGCTGCACATGTGCTTGTCCGCACGGTCCCAGACATTATGTGCAGCATCAGACTGCGCATACAGATCCATGCCCATTCCAACTTGCTGTGAGCCTAAACCGGCAAAGGTATATACTGTCCTTGGCTGGTCAACTTCAGCAATGCACGTGAGAACCACATTCCCATGCTGGTTGCACGTCTCGCCCTTCACTAGCATTCGACCATTTTTCATGCCAACATGGAAAAGCTTGGTCTGCAGCTGATCTCCAGGCTGGACCATATCCACGAATTCAGTCGAATAGGCACGGATACGCTCTGGCTGGCTGTTGGCAGCATACCTCTCAATAAATGCCCTAGTCGATGCTGAGGTCCACATCCCGTGAATAATTGGTGATGGGAGGCCGGCATGGTCGGCAATGTATGCATTTGTGTGGATTGGGTTGAAGTCACCTGCTGCCGCTGCATATTCCAGTGCGGAGTTTGGAGCCTTTGAAACAAGTCGCCCATCAATATCAGCCGGGATAATTGGGACACCTTCATGATCGAACAGCCTTTCGTGGTCAACAATGTGGCCAACTCGCTCCAAGAACCCAACCACAGGGTTACCAGTGGATTCTAACCACTCAAACTGAATGCTAGCAACATCTAAGCTGATGCTCTGGCTGTTGCGTCTCACCAGCCTGACAGAACCAACGGATTTCATGGATGAGTATACAGTGTCGGTCAGGTAACGATATTTAGAGTTGATCACAAACTCAAGAGCATCGCCCGGTGCAATATCAGTAGCCTGTTCCTCGTGGAACATGATCCACTCTTTTGAGCGAAGGAATGTCGACATCCAGCTGCGATTTAATCTCAAGCTGATACACCGGCTCGGCGACATGCTTGAATGCAATGGCGTTGTCTACCACAATGTCGCGGAATATGAATGTCGAGTATGTTTTGGCAAATACCTCACCATCCTTGTAGAAAACGCTTTGCACCTGCAGCTGCTTGCCAGCAACCGTGTTAAATAGCTCTCCGATGCAAATATCATAGTCCACCACATCACCAACCTTCAAGAGTTCAAAGTTGTCGGCTAGCTCCATCTGGTTTGACCTGTGGACCAGATTCAAGAACCCTGGGCTAGCCAAAGGCAACGAGAACAAGCTGAACATCCCTTCTGTGCTAATGACAAACAGCAGATCTGTCGGTGCATATGTTGGACGAGCAGAGTGCGGTTTATAAAGCGAAAGCCTGTTCCCAACCGACTTGCAATACTTTGCTACGAGCTCGTCTGTGATGACAAAGCCACGCCAGCGAACAGGGCGGCCAGAGCTAGGCAGGCTACCCACCTCCTGACCGAGGACATTATCTTGATAGCATTCGGTGCTGTGCTTGGCCCCATGGAGCGGAATGAGGCAAAATTGGCTGTCGCGACCTTTATTTGCGTCGTGTATCATGGCTGATGGCATATCCGGACGATACCTGTAGTTCAGCTCCCAGGGGTAGATTTTGTCCAGGGTGGCATGGTTGACGCACACCGTAATGACACTGCTTTCGTCTATGCGCAATTCGACCTCGGGATATGCAAGACCGGGCTGGGAAATTGTTAGCCGTGATGCAGTCCCAGATTCGACAAACAGTGTGACGACTTGGCCAGGACGTGGACGAACTATTCTGGGCACATGGTTGTCAGCATATTTCAGCCCCTGAACTATGGTAGTGGATGTTAGCAATGCGTGAAGCCAATCTTCCTGTGTCCCAACGAGTTCAGTAACCCACGAATTGAGGTCAGGTAATTCAGCATCCCTGGTTGGTAGGTAATAAACACTCCTGTCATCCAAGACTTTGCGAGGAACCGTGCATGGCGAAACACTCCGCTGCAGTGATGGGCTAATGTACTCCACAACAGGGACCCTCGACTTGTCACCACCATAGTACCAATCAAGGAAGGCTGATGTCTGGCCATTGTAGATCCCATCGAGGATGTCTTTGACTGGCTCATCGACCTTAGTAGAATAGCGCGCAGACAACGGGCCATGCAGGATGAACGTGCGTTGTATATCCTGGTCAACCAGCGCGTCAGCATCCTCACACTGTCGGAAGGTGTCCTTCAGCAGCCACACCGCAAAGTCCTCATCAAAGAGAGGAATAAATGGAACGGGTTTCATACCTCTCCGCCTGCAGCTGTGCAAGAAGTACTGGACATCTTCAGAAGAAATAACGGTGGTGGCAATGTCAGGATACTTCGTGGCAAAATGGCTGACCATCTCATTTGGATCACCGATCTCATCCAAAAACTGGACCTCATAACAGACCGACGCCCTAGTAAACCGGTTCTCAGCATGCCGAAGAAAGGTGGAAAACAGATCGAGATATGAGGGGTCAATCCAGCGCTGCTGGTGCTTGACGTAAAGAAGCCCAGCAAGTCGGTTAGCCACCTCCATGTATGTCATCTCTTCGAGGTCACAGGTACTCCCATCAGCCTTCTGGCCAAACCAGGGACGAACATGATCCGAATTCAGGCGCTGGATAATGTAGTCCTTTCTGGCGTTGAGCAGTTTTGGCTGCTCCTCACGAGGTTTGGAAAGAACGGTTTCATGTAGCTCCTTGATAAAGATGGCACCCCGTGTTGCAATAACATGCATAAGCTCGCCGTACTCTGAGAATGTGGTGACAACCCCTCCATGCGCACCGGAATAGGTCTTCTCCCATTCGCTGTTGGCAAGGCCTGAAGCCTGGGCGATCAATTTCTTTGCAGCCGTCGACGTCTTTGCCTCCTTAGAAATCATAACACGCGAAGCTACCAAGAAACCGTCAACAGGCATTGGCGCACAGCCATATTTGAGACTCCAGTTGCCAGTGAGATACGGAAGCGTGCCTTCAGCGTCGCCAAATCCCGAACCCAGAACCAGAACGACGTTATTCTGGGCACGAATCTTTGCATACGTGTCCAGAATTGGCTCATGGAAGTCCTCGCACGAATGATGCCCACCACCACGGCCACCAGTCCACTGCAGAATGACTGGGAAGTCAGAATTTGTCCGCGCAATCTGGAGGACTTGGCGGATGGCTGCTGCAGTGCCAGGCTTGAAAGCGACATGCCGAATCCCCACGTTGCGGAAGCTGCCAATGATTTCACTGGTCACTTCCAGCGACGGCACACCTGCGCCGATGCACACACCAGCAATTGGATACCCCTCACTGCGCAGACGAAGTATCTCAGCATACTGGAAGTTCCATAGGCGCTGGTTGAAGTATATGCAGTTCAGCGTGATACCCTGGCCAGGCGCTGTCTCCAGTACCAAATTGTCAACCATGCGCCTCAGCATCTGCTTGCTGTAGATGCCTGCCCCGCCCAGCTCGGCATGATAACCAGCGTTCTTGACAGCCGCAACAAAATGCTCGTTGGCAGTGGTCGGCATCATGCCTGCAACCATGAGCGGTGGCTGCCCGAGAATACGGTGCATCGGCGTGTCCAGGTGCAGCCGGCCATCGTGCTTGGTGCGCACAAGTCGTGGGGCAAACTGCTTCTGCCAGTTAGGTGCCTGGATGACTTCAGAGATATTCTGCTTGAATAGCTCGGCCTTGGCTCCAAGCGGCGAGCTGCCTGCTGTTAGTGCGCTGGTCGAGATTACCGAGATGCCCCGGCCCGCAAGAATTGAGTGAGCAAAAGTGCCAAAAGCGCTGAATCCATCAGGACTAAAGTCGACGATATGCGTTGACATAGGGGCCCAATGGCTGCAGGAAAGTCGACAGTGTGTTCGCAGATGCTTCTCACCAAGTAGCTAGTAAGATCAGGCTCATACCGCAAATCGTGGCCGTCGTTGGTGGCACGAGTCTCAGTCCTCAGGTCGGCAGCGTCAAACGCCCAGCCCTTCTCCGCAGCATACGAAAGCTGGCGGCCGATAGTGGGTAGAAGGATGTCACAGTGGTACGGCTGGCTAATGCTCAGAAAGGTCATCCTGGCAATAGGCTTGCGCTGCGAGTACGGGATATGCGACTGATCATCGCTGTGCTGTGCGCATTTACCGCGCAGCCACTGGACAAACACCGCGACTGAACGCGTACTACCAGAAACAACTATCCGGTTGTTGGTGTTTACAAGCGACAGATAGACGGGCCCAACAGTGCCTGTGCTGCGTTCATTAAACTCGGTAATGAATTTGCTGAGCTGGTCCTTGGCTATGCCACGAATTGACACCATCGGTGATGGCGGACCTTCGTTGGAAATAGACTCATCAGTGAGCGCTAGATCAACCTCGGCATCAGGGCACTCCAGATCAGGAATGGCACCACAGAGGAAAAAGGATGCCAAGAGCCTTCTCCGAGAGTGCGTAGAATGATTCCTCATCCGACACTGATGCAAAAAGGGTGGCAGGGACGGTTCCCTGGCTGTGCCCAACCACGACTACAGATGGCAACGAAAGCCTGCTAATGTCAGAAAACATGCCAACGGCACTGCAATGAAACTGACTTGCCAGCCACTGTCGACTCTTACCTTTGAAGTGCCTGGTCAGGTCGCCGGGGTTAATGCCCAATGTCTTGTACAAGATCATTACGTGCATGAGCTGGAGCAGCCCAGCGAGCGGAAGTTCCACCGATGCTCTAGTTAGGTAGCCATGCGATGGCTGCAACTCAGCATGGGTGCACCACTTGAGCACATCAAGGCCGTGCTCGTAGAGAATAGAGACGCGAGAGTCATGCGCTTCGTTATCAAGAAACGCTGACATCTTGGCGAGATAGTCGGTGAGCAGAGGGCGAAAGACATCGAGGAGCCGGCGTGCCTCGTCGACATTGGTGCCGCTTCCACTCTGGCCGCCAATCAGTGCCATCAGGTTGACATCTGGATCCGAAAATAGAGCAGGCAGCGTCGAGGGGATACAGAGGCTACCGCGGGGCTCAGTAAGTGACCACACGGAGTAATAGCCCTTGAGCACATTGCGTGCCTGCTCCTCATCAAGGCCGAGATCGCCAGATGACTAGAGTAAACGCTGCTGGTCTTGGAGGAAATTCTTTGCAAAGAATTCAAATGTCGCAAGAGCCGTGGCAGCATTGCGCGTGCTGCAGTAATGCACGAACAGAGCAACGAGCTCAATCTCACTGGTAATGGACCAAGAGCTTCGTCGGCGAAAGCTGTTGGCTAACTTGGTTGCATGAAGAATAGCTTCAGCACCAAGAGACACCTCGATGGAATGGTTTGAATACTTGAGTAGCATGGCTGCAAATGGGATGTTACTTTGGCAAATAAGGTATTGATATTCTCTGTGAAGCAGTTTATTGACCAAATGGTATTTGTGGTATCGTAGTGGCTGTTGGCAAGATACGAATGGGCATGCAATACTTTATATACAGTCGATTCTCCTGGAATGCTGGTCTTGTCCGTCGTCGTTTCGCAAAATGCCACCTACCTTGTGAGGCGCTACTTGACTGTCTGTGATACACTGCGGAAATATTTCCCACTGCTTTTCAGATAACGACATTTGCACTGAGTGCTGTATGGCTCCACAATCATTTGTTCCCAACACTCTCATGCCTTGACAATGTACACACTATTTGAATGGCACGCACAATAGGACTCGCCGGTGGGTGAAGGAACCTAGTGGAAATTTGCGATTAAAGTTGCAGATTGGCTTCCAACAACAGCCCCTCTGTTTAGGCGTCCCTCAAGTGCCATTGCTGCGCCAGGTCCTCTACCGAATAAGCCAGCGTGTGGTATCGCAATCAACATATGAAATGTTATTTATCTCTGCCCAGCATCTTCAAATCCGCGCTCTCAGAAGCTGTCTCAAGCACGTCTGCACTGTTTTCAAGAAGCTTGGACATTGCACTATGTCTTAGCCTCTGGTGGCTGGCTTGTGTCTGCGAGTGAGAATTGTAAAGACAATAGGACAATCACCCAGCCTTCAGAAAGAATGGTTTGCGAGCCCGGCACATTATTTTATAGCAGGCAGGAAATAGTATGTAATCCATGCAGGTCCAAGAAGACATATCACTTGCTATACCATTGCATTTAGCAAGGCAGAACAACCGCGCGATATCGTCCTTGGCAGAGATATAACCGCTGACAATAGCCGAAGCTGGAAGTGACAAGGATAGGTGATATAGCTTGCACCGACACGAGACATCCCTCGCCCGCGCTACAGAGGAGCAGTGCTCAGATGAGCAGTCACATGGAATATCCCCATTAATGCGAATGGACTTGTAGACAAGTGCATGCAGATACCCATGAAGCAAATAGTGTTCTGCCCTACAATGTACCCTTCTGGCTCCGTGTTGAGGCTGGGAAACGGTGCTGGAACCCCCAATCCCCGAATCCCCGAATCCCCGAATCCCCGAATCCCCGAATCCCCGAATCCCTGTCATGATTGAACCTTTCTTGACAGCATATGGCTTGTGAGCACGTCTGTGAGCACGTCTGTGAGCACAATTCCCGTATCCATTTTCAGCTGAACCACTGGTATTGCCAAGGAGTGTCTTGCACCTATCGTGTCCTTCTGCCTGCTTCTGCTGCTGGGTTGCGCATTGGCAGAGCCACTACATGCATGCGATGTGCCTCCTCCAAGCTAGGCTGCATGGAAGCATGTGTGTGCCTTGCACCACCTGTTCCTTAGCCACCACTGCGCTAATATGCACTTGGGGCATTTGTGTGTGTAGTTTAAATTGAACTGGTCTACTACCCACTAACCTTCTACTCACCTACCTCGCGCTATTGTTTTAGATATGTTTGCTCGTATATCCATATTTCTCGTGTTCTTCTGGCCATCGCTATGCTCGCCGGTAATCCGCGTAACCAATGGTACAGCTGTTGACCAAGGCCAGGCGCCATTCTTTGTTCGCATCATTGCGCTCTCAGAGAGATCGGCAGAGCTGTGTGGTGGAACAATAATCGACCAAACCACTGTCATCACTGCCGCGCACTGCGTAATGCCGCCTCGTGATCCAATCCTTCACCAGGCAAGTGCCATTGAGATATATTACGGGAATGTCAACACCAAGCAGCAGAGCCTAACACATGCAACTGCGGTGTATGTGCATCCTGACTACAACACATTCACACTGGAAAACGACATTGCAGTTCTGAAGACCAACCCGTTTGAATATGCTGCAGATGCGGTGCAGCCGGCACCAATATACAACGGCGAATGTCTGGCCACTATATCAGATGGAAATATATGGCTGGGGTCTCAGAGTCACTGGCGGGTCGGCGCAAGACCTCGCACCGTCTCTGTTGACAAACAAGGTGTATATATCGTTTCCTGCTGATTGCAGAGCCATTGATGCAAGATACTCGAGCGCCAATGGACCGACAATTTGCGCCAACAACAACTACAACAAGGGCGTTGATGTATGTTCTGGCGACTCAGGGCAGGGCACTGTTATACGTAGGCATGGCACGGCGTACATTGCTGGGCTGGTGAGCTATGGCACTGATGCAAACGGCAGGCTAACATGTGGTGAGCCGGGCAGCTTTGGCATATACACACACATATGGAGATATGTGAGCTGGATCACAACGATTGCCAACACAACATACACAGCAGGGCCACTGCCCAGCGTATTGGTAGCACCTCCAGCCGCTCCAACACCAACCAGATGTATTCTAGGCTACTGCTTCTAAGGTGAATATACGTCAGCGCACTTGGTGAATGGAAACCAAATGCACACAGCTAAACAAGCCATCGCATTTGCCTTGTTGTGACCACTCCCCATGTCTGCGCCCATCTACAACATGGCAGGGATGGGTAGCATTCCCTGGGCGCCGCTGTCGTCTCTATACCAGACCCTTCAAACCCTCTTTCCATATCATGGTTCGCACTGGAGCCGACCGACCACCGAGCAAACTACAGAAGCTCGGACACAAGATACTGCGCATTTCGCGCAGCATCGGGATACGAACTGGCAGACCTGCATGTAGGACAGGTCGATTTGTACCACAGCCAGCTCATGCTTGCTGGAGCCATGCCCGCATTTGCCCTGTTTCCACACAGCTCGCCGCGACAAAACCGGCCGCTGCGGCACTGGAACTCGGCCGACGGTGTTATGGTTGACCACGAGCAGGCCGATCCTGATGGCATAGCCGATGCAGTAACTCTGTGCGGCGAGCAGCCAGCACCTGCCAGACAATAAAACACACACGGCTAACGCGGATTGGCTCAGACCAGGCTCTTTTCTCTTTCCAGCTTTAAAATCATTTACCCTCTCCATTCGCAATGGTCGACGCTGGACTGCTTCTCGCCTATTCGGTCATTGGGACCATGGCCGTGGCGCCAATTTACTTTGGCTCGTTTGACTCGCTGGACCGCCTGAAGAGCAGCTACAAGAAGAAGGCGCGGCCGCAATTCGCAGAGTTCTCCGACTCCGAGGACGAGGACGACAGCGAGACCGAGTCGGTCTCAGCCGAGGACGCGTACATGTTCCCGGTCTACGGGTCAGCGGCGCTGTTCTCAATGTACCTGGTGTTCAAGTATCCTGAACAAGGACTGGGTCAACGTCCTGCTGTCAGGCTACTTTGCCATCATGGGCGTTGCCGCGCTCTCGCAGGTCAGCGTCAAGGTCGTCAAGAGCGTCGCCAAGGTCAAGCTGCCGCTGTACCACGTCCACATCGTGCACAAGTCAAAGTCGATCTTTAGCTTCCGCTTCAGCAACCTGCACATTGCAATGCTGGGCACGTCGGCGGTGGTCACTGGCTTCTACCTCTGGTCAAAGAACTGGATTGTGTCGAACCTGTTTGGCCTCGCGTTCTCGTTCTCGGCCATCGGCCTCATTCGCCTGGACTCGTTCAAGAGCGGCATGATCATGCTCGGCGGCCTGTTCGCCTACGACATCTTCTGGGTATTCGGCACCGAAGTCATGGTTTCGGTGGCCAAGAACTTTGACGCGCCAATCAAGGTCGTATTCCCCAAGGAGCTGCTTCCGGCAGATGGCGCTCTAAAGTTCACCATGCTGGGTCTGGGCGACATCGTCGTGCCCGGCATTTTTGTTGCGCTGTGCCTGCGCTTCGACCGCCACCGCTACCTGGCCAGACTCGGCTACGCCAAGGACAAGCACCTGCCTGATGCGCTGGGCGGTCGCCACCACGGCTTCCTGTTCCCGGACGCCTTACTTCACGTCCTGCATGATCGCTTATGTCGCTGGACTCGCCACCACCATCACTGTCATGCACACGTTCAAGGCAGCCCAGCCCGCGCTGCTGTATCTGTCGCCCGCGTGCACGCTCTCGGTGATCATCACTGCCATGATCCGCGGCGAGCTGGGTGCCGTGTTTGCGTATTCTGAGGACACAAAATCAGAGAACGAAAAGGAGAACGCTGATGACAAGGAGGATGTCAGCGAGCAGAAGGCACTGGGCGTCCCCAGTGTTGCCGATGCTCCGCTCCGCAAGAACCTGCACTCTCGGCTCGACAGCCCCACACCCGGCAGCGGCATGACCCCCACAAGCGCTGGAGAAATGGCCGACGACGAGCAGGAAGGGATCCGGGCGCGCAAGGTGCTGGACGAGAAGGTCGACCCCATTTCGGACATGTCTGACAACGAATCGGAAGCCGTGTCCAAGAAAAAGAAGAAGGGCAAGGGCAAAGGGCAAGGGCAAGGGTCGCAAGTAGCTATGTAACATCCAGCGGAATGTGGGCCATGCGGGCCCGTTATTTTCCAATTGCAATAAATCTGTACCCTCTTCCCATCCACCTGCCGAGCTGTTTGGTCAGGGTTAGGTAAGGTAGGCAGGAGTTACGAAGATGCTAGCGCCGAGATGGCCAAGAGGCAAGCTGATATAACACGAGCCGAACAAGGCTCATGTTTGTCGTCCATTGCTGATATCCAATTTTCCTACTGTTTTTAGCATGTTGACGTGGCAGCAAGAGGCTAGACTCCAGCGTTTTAACCAGCACGTCTGTAGACAGCCTGTGCGGGATCAGGCTGCGTCCGCCTGGCTCGTTCTCGTTCGAGCTGCACGATGTGAGCTCGGTTGCGCTTGGGCTCTACTGCATGAGCCGGTCGGCCATTCCCTACCCTACACAATCGCTATATCAGCTCCCTGAGGCATCACGGTCCACCGAATGCTTGGCTACCATTGCCGAGGAAGTAGAAGATGAAGAGTCCGACGCCACTGATGACACCGAGGACCACTACAAATCGCTCAACGCGTGCTTTCTCCAGACATTCAAGGACGCTACAGACTACGCACACGTCGAATGTGACGAGCAAGAGGATGAGCAGGTGGACGAAGCCGACGAGACCGACGATGCAGCCACATCAACAGCAGATGACAGTGACAGCTGCTATGATGACGGGAAACAGCCAGAAGGCCGCAGGACGCCAAGATAGCCGAACGGTCCAGGAGTGAGATGCACACCATGGATATCTGCTGCGACATTTTGCGCAACCGCATGGACTACGTCGGCGAGAAGGCCGACTGCAGGTACTGGCCACTGGTCCAGCGCCTGATTTCGCATGCAGAAGACACATGTACCCCGACGCGACGTTCGCTGGCATCAATACTGCCAAAGCTCTTCCACAGCAAGTCGTCTGACAGCCCGGCCGACATCGCCACATTCTGGGTCAAGCGGCTAGCCACGCAGCAGGACTACCCGCCAGCGCTGTACACGATCGGATGCTGGTACGCCGACGGCTGGCTACGTATCAAGCCGAATGTGAAGCTGGCAACCCAGTACCTATGCCGGGCAGCGACCCTCGAGCACCCACCAGCAACGCTCAAGCTAGCCTCAGTGTTTGAGAGCCAGGACGAGATAATCAAGTCGCGGCTCTTTTACATGCGCGCTGCGCAGCTGCTGGATCCAGTGGCCATGATCCGCCTGGCCGTGGCCTACCTGCAGGGCGAGCTGGGCGTGGTTCCAAACAGCCGCATGGCGAATAAAGTACCTGAAGGAGGCCACAGACCACGCAACCGAGGACTGCCCCTACGGAGCCTACCTGCTGGCCCGCGTGCACTCTCGGAGAGTCCCTGAGCAATCTGCCCCTGGACAGATATGTGCCCTACTGTCCGCACTCGGCACGGAAGCTATTGCGCAAGGCTGCCAGCCTTGGCTGTGGGCCAGCCATGCGGCGTCTGTCTGGGCTGTACGGGACCGGCGAGCACGAGACCAAGGTCGATTACTCCAAGGCACTGGAGCTGTTCAGCGATGCCAGTCAGAAACCGGTTCCGCAATGCTGCTGCAGCGCCACTCTTTGTGCGATCCAGCGTGCGGCTGACGATCTGGAGAGGTGTTTGTATAGATGACTTTTATTTTTTGCAGTTTAGGCTTTTTTTTCTCTTCTCTTGACTTTCGTTTCTTTTTACTCGCTCATTTGTCGATTATGAAATGGGATGCGGTCTCAACCAAATACCAGCACGTCGGCGACACACAGCACAAATGCAAGGGACAGAGGTGGGCAAATGCAAAGCCCAGCTCCGTCGTCCGACGGCACAGAGCAATTCATGTCAAGCCCGCTAGCTGTGCTAGATAGCAACTATATGCTGTCACCTCCGAGCCTGCCGCAAGCAGCACTGTACCCTGTTGGGTCCAGCCTTGGCCGGACAGGACGCAGAGGAGATCCAGCTGTTTGCTGGGAACACCTGCATCAGCCACCTACTGCCCTCTGTCCAGGGACTCGATGGTGTGTCAATAAACATTACCAATGGCCTACATATATTGCGCAATAATGGCAGTGGGGGTGACCAGGCTGGTGTGTTCCTTGGGAGCCGGCGACAGCGTATCCAGAAGCAGCTAGAGTACGTGCTGCATGATGGCAAGATGGTCGCTTTTGGAAACGCGTCGTTCTGGTATCGAATACTGGACGCATCGCAGCTGCCGTCGTCGCCGCCACCACCATGGCGCACACCAACTGGTGGTGTGTCAAGAAACATAGGAGGCAATGGACGTGGCTTGCGCCGGGAGAAGCGTAGACCAAGCATGGATTTGCAGAGCTCGCCGGTGCTTCGGTCTAGCGGTATGGGCCTCCAAAATGGACTGTTCTCTGGGCAAATTCTAGCGCAAGACTCCCAGTCAGCCAGTGCCAGGGTCAACGAACCGTCACCTGGTTCAAACATGTTCATGGGATCGCAAAATAGCGACATGTTTGAGTTTCCACCAGATCTGGACAAGTCTATAAGGTACGACTCTGACGAGGAATCGCTCCCACAGGATACCGAACCAATGACTCAGCATTCGCTGGTTGATGTGGGGCTATCCAGTATTGGCGTCCACATGTCTCCGCCCTTTGTTGCATCATCGTCCCCGCCACAAATACCACCCAGCGTTGACCTGGAGATTCAGAATCTGTGCGTGCACGAAGATGCAGACATGGAGCTCCCGAGCGAGGCAAGTGTTCGCGACGAGCCTGGATGAGAGCGGCGGCATGGAATCATCGCCAATTCCTGAATCATCGCTCTATAAGCCGCCGACCGATGACAATGAGCAGCCCAATGTGGCAACCCAGCCGACTTCGCCTTCCTGCGTGCCACCGACAACAGCTGGCCACCGCGTATCGTCGGTTAGTTCGCTGGCTGCCTTTGAGAATCGGCTCGATGGCTCGCAGATGGTACAGTTTTTGCCTGAGCCGCCAGCGCTGGTGTATGCGCCGGATCACGTAATTGTGACTGCATCCGGCAGTATCCCGCGGTACCCGTACGACTCTGTCAACCTGCCCATTCATTCTACGGCAACCCAGATGACTGAGCTGACACAGCCCGAGAACGACATACAGATGACAGCAGAAACGACCATGAGCAGCGATTTTTCGCAGTATTTTTTGTCTCCGCCAGAACCATCCAACATCGGGCTGCGAATCGGTGTAGACGTGCCGTCAACCCAAAAGACAGTGGCTGAAGAAGACAGGCACAGTAGCAGCAATGACGACAGCGGCCGCAGCGACGGGGGCATTTGCAAGGCATCAGCGACATCTGGGAAGAAGCCTGGCAGACGGCTTGGGACGGGGTCGTCTAGTCCGATCCATATGCACAGCACACAGAGGACGCTAATGGGGACAGCGCCACGGCCATCGCGAGCCCCGCTGGTGCTACAATCCAGCGCCCGCAGTGCTGGCTTTCCGATGCCTCCTCCGCCGGTACCTCTGTTCCCGCGCGCATCGCCATCCCAAAGGATGCAGAACACGTTGGCAATGGCTGCGCAGTCGCCTCTAACTCCCCTGGCACGTGTTTCAGGTATCGACGGCTCATGTGGATTTCCCTGACGAGCTCCCCAAACTGTTTAGCATACAGAGCACAAGGAGAATCGCGGGCCATGTGCGGAATGCCAGCGCTGAGTCGCGGCATAATTCGACTGCAGATACCACGCCAACAAAGGCCCGGACAAAGGCAGCATCGACTAGCGCCTTGCCTGCTGTGCTGCCAGAAAAGAGGGGCGCAATTGAATCGCCAGATTCGTCGCCATCCTTGCCACAGGCCAGCATCCTGCTACAGACGCACAGCACTGGTCCACACCGTGAGAAGACAGGCCATGCAAACGACAAACTTGTAGTTGAGATCAAGCCGCCCCCTCCAACACCCACTACCAGCAAGACGCCTTCACTGGTCAAGAAGGATGCGGCCACTGCTGACTGGATCAACGTTGACAAGCACCGCACAGCAGCGGCAGCGGCTGCTGCTGCCAGCCAGCCAGTGAAACCACGACGCACTAGCCGCCTAACCACCAGACATAAGCCAGCAGCAGCAACCAACCGGCGTAGCGGCGAGGGGAGCGATTCCTCGGCAGCAAGCTCACGCAACAAGCCTCTGCGCGAAATGCTAAAGAACATGCCTGGTAACCGTGGTCTGCGGCGAGCCGGTCTCTATTCGCGCCAGTCCCCAGCAAAGCGGCGTGCCCGGATTCCAGCCTCAACCCGAGCCTGTGCCAAAGGCCATTGGCGATGACGACCCCAAGAAGCCAGAGAAGCGCCTTCGGACGAATGAGCGGGCGGTCGTCGCATCGAAATCTCGGGCTAGGAGGGACTCTCCAGAGTGCTGTAGCGTCAGCACAGATGACCGAGGCCGAGACTACTGAGGCCGGAGGAAGAGCCACGCGCGGAGGTTCGGTTTGTAACGATTACCGGTGTGCAGGGTGAGGAGCGCGTCCGGCTTACACGGCAGCTAGAAATCAACGGGGCCAGCGTCACCGAGAACCCGCTCTTGGCCGACGTGTGTATTCGGCAGGGCAAGCTGGGCCGCACGCTGAAGGTGCTATGTGCGATGGCACGCGGCACGCCCATCGTATCGATGTCGTGGATTGCCGAGCTCAGCTAGCACAATCAAGGCAAGGATGGATGCTGAGGATATGTGCGCGCTGGCCAACCGGCATCTGCTGGAAGATAAAGAGACCGAGACCGAATGGGGCGTGTCGCTGGCTGGCATACTGGCAAAGGCGAAGAAGCTGCGGGCTAAGCTGCTGTCGCGATTCTGTGTGTCTGATTTCGGACGAGGTGCAGAGGCCGGACCCTGTGTGCTTGGGCGTCATGGTTCGTGCAGCCGGCGGAGCTTCTGTTCAACGACTTTGGCAAGCGCGAAGAGGACTTGCTTGAGGGCCCATCAGTAACAGAGCTGATCCAGAATGACCGCCGACGGTCAGCTGGAGTATCGCCAGAGAAATCGGCCTTAATCGGCCAGGAGATGGAGGCACAGTCTGGAAAGGCAGGCTCTGGATAGTGACAGCAGCAGCAGCAGCAGTGAGCCCGACGACGACGAAGACGAGGACTGGAGCTTGGAGGGCACTGAGCGAAGCAGAGGCCCGCGTCTCAAGCCTGAGGAATCTCTGGTAATTGCATCGCCATCCGAACCAACCACGCCTGTTGTGCCATCACCGTCCGTTAAACAAGCGCCGCAGAGTGGTGCTGATGGATGAGAGTCCAAGCATGGCGACGACGCCGGTGGCAGGGCACAGTGTGGTGCAAAGTTCGGCACTATTCGGTCCCCATGCAACGAGGCCGGAGCTAATAGATGCGATTACCGAGAGGTACAAGGAGCTCGGGCTCCCCGAGAAAACCCGACTTGTGGTGGTTGCCGCCAACCCAGCCGGTCTGAAGGACCACTGGAGCGACCTCTCGTATGCCGTCGTCGAGCCAGAAGCGGTTATTCAGAGCATCATCAAATGCAAGGTTCAATTCATTAAATAAAAGTCTGTAAATGCCTGAAAGAGAGCCTGGCTGGAACCAGCGTCAGTGGTGCTAGCCCTTTGGCGGCAACCTTGTGCTCGAGGGGTTTCTCGGCAGTGTTCAGCGACACGCCGTGGCGGATAGCCTCGGACTTGGCCTTCATTTCGCGTGGGTCCAGGACCATGGTCCCATTGGTGATGCGATGGATCACCGCCTGCTCCTCAGCCTTGCTCAGGATCTTGGTGACCTTGCCCACGCCCTTGGTGCGGCCCTCGCGGAAGATCAACCGGGCACCGGGCACCAGGTACTCGGGGAACTTTATGAACTGGAACATAACTGTGGCGCGATCGCCGGTGCGCAGTGTGCCGGTGTCGTTGTCCTTCTGCTCAATGGACAGCACGCGTGCAGTCTGACGCACAGACCCGCAGTGCAGCATGGCCTGGTAGCGCGATGCAATGGTTGTCGAATGGTAGAGAACCACCACCTCTGCCTCGAATGTGCACGATGCAGAGGGCTCCTGGGCCGAGGACTTTTCCAGCAGAACCATCCCCTTGCGCACCTGCGAGCGCTTGATCTTCTTGAACCCGAACGAGGCGCTCTGGCCAGCGTAGGCCGTGTCGACATTGGCGCGCTTGCGCTGGATCGACTTTATTGTAGCAGGCACAAAGTGGCCGAGGCTGTCTGGGCCGAGCCAGACAGAGTCTCCGGTAGAGACCTTGCCGGAGCTGACCACGCCAGCCACCACAGTGCCGACGAAGGGGACGGAGAAGGTCTCGTTGATTTCAAAGCGGAACTCGTCGTTGGGCCCGATTGCCTGGTGCCGCTGGTTGAGCGGCAGCACGTTGAGGAAGGTGGACAGACAGTCGACGCCCTCGCCGGTGACGTTACTGATCTGGAAGATCGGGCAGATGCGCTGGTTGACAAACTTTGCCGCTGTCGAAATCACCGACGCATGGTCTCGCACTGCAATGGGCACCTTGCGGCACCCAGTACTGCGCAGCACCTTTGTGAGCTGGCGCAAGGTCGAGTCGAGGATCAGCGGCGGGCACATATCGATCTTGGTGATGACGACGAACACTGGGACATTGAGGGCCAGTGCCAGGCCCAAGTGCTCCTTGGCCATGCCAGTCAGCCCTGCGTTGGCAGCGACCATCAGCATGACAAAGTCGGGCGCACCCCCAGCCATTCCAAACACTGTGGTCTTCAGGTACTTCTCGTGGCCGGCCAAGTCCAGGAACGAGATCAGCTTGGACGATTTGCGGCACACTTCGTCCCAGCCGGCCTTGTGGTGCTTGTTGGTGTGGCGGATAGGCCGACCCGACTCGGTATCGTAGCCCAGGATCTCCATTCCCACCGACGACGTGCGTCCGCTCTCTATCTCGTGCTTGTGGCGGAACAGCGCTACTCGTGCCTTCCCACGGCCATCATCCAGGCTGCCCTGGGTCAGTACGCCTAGCATGGTGCTCTTCCCCGCATCGACATTGCCCGCCACAGCTATGCGCACCTCAAGCATCTCCTCAACATTGGCTGGCTTGTGCCGAATCAGGAACGACAGCGTATGCGCCTTGCTGACGCCGGGAGTCGGCGACTGGCTGGTGGCAGCACGCGCTCTGCGTGCCGTGGTAGCGTCGATGATCGCGAGAGAACTTGCTGGACGGTGTCTCAGTAGCGGCACGGCTGTCATACAGCAGCTGGCAGAGAGCACTGACGCGCTCATCCTGGACCACACGCTTGAGGCCAACCGTGATGAGGTCGGCAGCAAGACCCTCGTCGTTGTTGACCTCCAGGATGGCCTCGCCACGACCCTCGGCCAGTCGGTCGCTGACCAAAGTGACAAGCGAGCCAAGCTCATTGTCCTTGGTATCAGCAAGCATGCTTGCTATGCTGCGCTTCTGCTCGCTGTCGTTGACCGATAGGCCGCTGGCATTGTCGACCAAGGCATCAAAGACGGCGGTGTCTATCGAGTACTTGTTCTTGGCAGGTCGCAGACCCTGATATCCGGAATCCCAGCTTGCTATCCATGGTTTGTGTAGGGCTGGCAGTAAGAGGCAATAGCTAGGTTAAAACGACAGTGGTATATGTAGAGAAAAGAAGTGCTGTTCTGCTGCAAAGTGTGAAAAGGCGCATGGAACTAAAGACAGACAGAGTGAATGCGTATCAAAGTGCCCTCGTGGTGCAGATAGCTTTGGATGTGTGAAACAAGCGACAACAGAAAGCGATGGCCCCCGCTGACGAGTGTCGTTTTATAGGTTTTTTCTTTTCATGTCTCCCAGCCAGCCCGTCTAGGTGCCAGCAGGCTGCGATATTACTCACAACTGCTGGCAGATGTCGAATGCGCACGGAAGAGGCTGCGGCCAGAGCACTGGCCAATGTCACGCTGCACTGTTCTGCACAAGCGTGTTTCGCTTGATTTATGATTTTGCCCAGTCTCGACTGCGGCTTGCGGCAATGCTGAGTCACCACAGGGCATGTGTGTATCCAGGCATATATGCAGCTGATGTGCTGGTGTCGAGCAATGTAGAACCTGGCACCGTGGTTTCAGCTTGAGCAAATGCAGCTGTGATGTCACCGCACTTCATTGCGCAGCGGGCAGTTAAATCACGCCGATTAGATCTGGCCCCAGCGCCTGCTGTTGGCTTTGGTCAGTCCTGTTTGGAACTGCAAAAATACACTAGCCAATTTCGAAATGTCCTGGTTTCTTTGTATTTTTTTTCCAACTATGGACAACGACTTGAACACATTACGCCAGCAGCTGCGGCAGGCAGTGTCTGAATGTTCCTTGCGTGGGCTGCTGGTGTCGGCCAAATGGGCGGCCGAGCAGCTGTGCAGCCTGCCTGCGTCAGAGACACCAGCAACACCGGCCAGTGTTGCGGAGCCGACAGAGCAGCAGCAAGCGGTGGGCACAGCAGGACACAGTGGATGCAGACAGGCTGTCGCTGGCAAAATGCCTGTTTGACACACGCGAGTTTGAGCGAGTGCAGTTTTACCTGCAAGACTGCCGGGGACCGCGAGCGCGGTTCCTGCGGTTGTACTCGCGGTTTCTGAACCACGAGCGGCAGCCTGCGCCAGTCCACAGCGAGCCAATCGTCGGCAGTTAGGATACACGAGGAGAATACGGCAGACAGTGACCTGCTTGAGATCAGAGAGGAGCTGGAAATTGTCCCAGCAGGACTTGGATTTGGACGCATTCGGCATGTACTTGCTGGCAGCCGTGTACAAGCAGCAGGGGCAGAAGGAGATGGCGCGCGCAATGTGTCTGCAGTCGCTGCACCAGTTCGAGTACAACTGGAGCTGCTGGCTGCTGCTCGAGTCATGTGTGGATGTGCGGCAGCCTCTGGAAAAGCTCAGCAGTGAGCTGCCGAGCGGGTGGATGCGGCACGCGTTCCTGTCACACCTGCTGCTTGATCTGTTCTCGGCCGGAACCGTCGAGTTCGACATGCACTACCAAGCGCTGGAACGGGTGATCCCGCAGAGCTTGTTTGTGCTGGGCCTGCGCGCGGTGCGGTACTACAACCAGCGGGACTTTGAGCAGGCCAGCCAGGTGTTCGGCGAGCTGCAGCAGGTCGACCCGTACCGGCTCGATCTGAGCGACATCCACTCGAACATCCTGTACGTGATGGAGGACAAGGCGCGGCTCGGCTCACTGGCGCACCGCTGCGCAGCGCTGGACCGGTTCCGGCCGGAAACCTGCTGCGTGATAGGTAACTACTACAGCCTGCGGCGCGAGAACGAGAAGGCGGTCGGATATTTCCAGCGCGCGCTGCAGCTGGACCGGAACTATCTGGCAGCGTGGACACTGATGGGCCACGAGTACATGGAGATGAAGAACACGGCGGCGGCGGTGGACGCGTACCGCCACGCAGTGGATGTCGATGAGCGCGACTACCGCGCGTGGCACGGGCTGGGGCAGACGTACGAGCTTTTGAAGATGCCGCACTATGCGATCAACTACTACATGCGAGCAGCGGCCCTAAGGCCGTATGACTCGCGCATGTGGCGGGCGCTGGCCAACTGCTACGAGCAGTCGGGGCAGGCGGTCAGGGCCATCGACTGCTACAAGCGCGCACTGATCGGCACCTCGGAGGACGAGCTATTGTCGATATCTAGGCTGGCCAAACTGTACGTCCAGACCGAGGACCGCAAGTCGGCGGCCTACTACTATCAGCTGGCGTATGAGAACTCCAGCGCCCAGCGGCCGGATGAGTTGGCCACAGCCTGCTTGTTTTTGGCCGACTTTGAGCAAGCACGGGGGAACACTAGCGCGGCCAGGCAGTATCTGGCTGAGGTGGTCGAGAGCGGCGCGGGCGTGCAGCAGGTCGAGGAGGCAAAGGCCATGATGCGGGCAATGGCCAGCAGCGGCCGGCAATAACAAAAAGCGGCAGCCGATTGTGGCCCCAGCAGCGAATAATGCGGGCAACAATGTGTGCATGAAATGTGTATCAGCGATATATCACGCTAGTGCGCCGAATAAAAAAAAACAAATAATTCGCGCAGACAAAATAGTCTCCACCGTGTACCCTTCCTGGCACACCCTTTTGTGACAAGATAGCACGGATATATAGAGGAAATTATGTCCAAAACGTGCTTTTAACATAGTTCAAAGATAAAAAGCGAGCGACAAGTGCAGAAATATCCGCAACAGAGCAAGTGAGCAAGAAAAAATGGAGAGGATCCGCGGTAAATTTAGGTGCCTCAGCTCCTCACCACCCGCATTGCAGAGAGGGTCAAGCTAGCGGGAAAAAATTGGGTAGAAGCGATCGAACTGCATTATTCAGTTGGCTCTTTTTTATCCTCGCCTCGGCATTTTTTTTCTCTATTCCGTAGTACTTTTAGTTAATACTCCATATTTCCAGCGTATCTTTTTCCCCTTTTGAATGAGTCCAATGAGCACAGAACAGTCCAGAGCACATGCAGGCAGTGTCGGAAAAGGACCGGGTGCTGTGCAAAGACGGGCGGGTGTTCCATGCGTGCGAGGTATGCCGCAAAAGACGGTTCACGGTGTGACGGGGCCCGGCCACAGTGCAATTCGTGCGTGAAGCGCGGGCTGACATGCGAGTACCGGGCAATGCGGAAGCGCGGGCGGCACGGCAAGAAATCATCGACACCGCAGCTGCCAACCAGCAGCGAAGGCCCCGGCGAACTACGACAGCGCATGGCTGGTCAGCTCACAGCCGCCGCCGGCAGCGGTCAAGAACGAGGCCAAGCACAGCGAACCGCTGAGCCTGCTGGGGTACCCGCCGTTCTTTGGCCCGCTGTCGTCGACGTCGGGCGAGGTGGAGCAAATGATCAGTGCCATGACCTCGCCGCCAACCAATGGTGCAGCGGCTCAGACACAGGAGCCTGAGGCACGTATGCATGTCCCGCATCAGATCCGGCAGCAATCTGCAGCATCGATTGACGGCAGCATTTTCTCGTCGCTAGGCACGGGGATTGCGTCGCCGGTGAACATTGGCAGGGATTCTGCCATCGCCCAGCAATGCATTTGCCCACACGTCGCCGGTGGTCTCGCCCACGGCCAACCAGCACCCGGGGCTGTTTGCTGCAGTGGCGGCCATGCAGCAGTTCTCGACGCAGACGATGATGGCCAACATCCCAGCACCGCAGGAGCAGCCGGCTCGGATCGGTTCGATGCCGCCGCCCTCGCTGCCAGCTGCCAATGGATCGAGCCGTAAGCGCACGCGCGACGCGACCGGTGTCTGCAGCAGAGGCGGCAGCCAAGCGGCATGAGAGCGGGAACTGGTCGCGTGATATGGACGACGAGGAGCAGGTGCTGGGGGCACTGAACACACGCGAGAACGACAGCTTCGGGCGGCCGGTCTACGACCCGATGTCGTACCCGCTGCCACCACAGGCAGAGCTGGACGAGCACGTGAACGGGGTGTTTGAGTACTTTTACATGGGCGGGCAGACATTGCATGAGGCCAGCTTCAGGCGGCGGCTCGCGTGCGGTTCGGTGGAGCCAGTGCTAGTGTATGCGATGATGGCAGTGGCAAGCCGGTACTCACGGCGGCCGAGCCTTCATGCGCTGAAACGGCATGGCGTTCCTGAATGGCGATCGGCACGCGATTGTTGCATGCGGCTTGGCCAGCGTGCAGCTGAACCACGGCGACCTGAGCACCAACGACGCGGTCCACGCGATGCTGTTTCTGTCTGGTATACTTTATGGGCCAGGGCAACATGCTCAAGTCGCGCATGTATCTGGTCAAGGCGGTGTGCTACTGCGCGCACCATGGGGTTCCAGCACCTGGACGCACCGTTCACGCCGTCGAATCCGATGATGTCATTCAATGGCAGCTTCGATCGGGTGCGGGGCGGACCGCTCACGTGCGCGTGTCCCAAGACAGTGGGTGAGCTGGTGGCGCAGGAGACGCGGCGGCGGGTCTGGTGGTTCCTGGTGTTTGTCGACTACTTCACGGCCAACGTGATGAATGTGCCGCTGGAGATCCCGCCCGACTCGTACTGCGTGCGGCTGCCGTGCAGCGACGAGGAGTGGATGAGCGAGTCGCTGATGAGCATCGACGACATGATGGCGAGCGAGCCGGCGCCCCTGGACAGCGAGCCGGTGCGGCGCTGCAACGGTCTGCACAGCTGCCAGCCGCCGTGGAAGTTCCATGCCAGCGCATTCTACCTGGAGCGCCTGATGGTGGAAGTTCTGCGACCACCTGCGGCGGCTCAACAGCCTGCGGTCATTAGCGTCGCGGTCGTTTTTCTTTGCCGAGCCCATCTTTATTGAAGAGGACTACCCGTACCTAAAGCGTGCCAAGCAGGTGCAGTCGTGGGTCGAGCGGCTGGCCAAGGTCAAGGCGCAGTGGTCGTGGCTGCATCTGCAGCTGAACAAGTGGCTCGACTCGATCCTGCTGCGGTTTACCGAGGTCCTGAATCCGCGTTCCATTGGATCTATACAACCGCCAGTACCGCCACCAGTACTACTACTATCTGATTGCAGCCCATGCCGCCATCATCATGTCGCATGGTGTTATTCTGCAGCTGTTTACAGACCTGTCACGGTACATCAAAGCAGCAGCAGGATCAAGCGGCGCTGGGCACAGCCCGCCGATCGCCCATGGCTGTCCAATGGCCTGGGACTGGTGGGCTCGCCCTGAGTTTGGCCATTTTCCGGCCGGCCCCGCCTCGTCTCTGTCGCCGGCCACGGCCGCTGCAGCGATGGGTCTGCTGGGCGGCAACGGCAGCGACAGCCTGGCCGAGTTCGGCATTGGTGCGCTGAACAGCGTCATGACTCCGCTGATGAACAGCAACTCGTCGGTCTACAGCAGTCCTGATGGGCAGCCCGATGAGCTACCCGTCGGCGCAGTCGCTGAGCGGCGGCCACGGCATGCTGGACGATTTCATTGAGGCCAGCTCCGACCACCTCGGCACCCATGCGGCCAACGCGGGGCCGAGCAACCCGCAACCCCGCAATACCCCAAATAGCGTATTACGCGACCTGCACGACATGGCCAATATTGCCTGGGAGAGCTGCGTGTCGACGGCCGAGCAGCTGGCGTCGGTGCTCCGCGGCCGCCACCCGAAATTCGTGCTGCTGGGCGGGCCCGCCTCGGATGTCATGCAGGACCTAGCAAGCGATGCCAACACGCAGACTTCGTCACCATTCAATGCTCCGGGTTCGGGGCCGGGCACCGACAACCCGATTCTGTCCTGACCCCGACCTGTACATGCGGCTGCAGCCATCGACGGCGTGGTGGATTTTTCTGGTGGCCCAGGTGCAGGTCGGCCACATCAAGCGCATGCTGCGCGAAAGCGACGGGTGCTTCCGAGCATCCGGGCCGCGCCCACAGCACCTCGGCCACGCCTGAAATCAGCCCTGTAGGACCGCGACGGCGGCCTGGGCAAGGAGGCCGAGGAAGTGCTGGGCATTTCGCCCGGACTCAGCCGGCCCACCGACAAGATCCGCCCACTGTCGGCGTCCGTCAGCAACTCGGCCTTTATGCTGGCCACCGCGGTGCAGCTGTCAAATGCCGCGCCGCCGCCGCCCACCCGCCAAGGCGCCGAGAAGCGGGCGACCATCAAGATCAGGGCCTCGCGCCTCGGCAAGGCCTACGAGAACCTGTCGTGCATGGTGCGTGTGCTCGAGGGAATGCAGCAGTACTGGCACTGCATGGACTACGTTACTGTGATCCAGAAGATCCTGAAGGGCTCGGAGGACCCGTTTAATTGATTGCGATGTTTATTTAATGGTATTTGTACAAGAGGTTGCTAGGCGATTCAGAGAAACGACGCCTCCACCGAGTCGCGCCGTGCGTGCGACGCGTTGCTGACCAGAACCTCAGTAAGCACGATGCAGGTAAGCGTGAGCACGAAATTCAACAGCATTAGTAATGGGTTACTAGCAGGGGGGCATGAGAAGAGACGACTTTTTTTTTTTTTTCCATTTATCACCTGACCTCTTCAGACATGACGATGCCTATTTATACTGTCGATACCGACAATGTTCATTTTCACAAGCCCTGGCTTCTTACTCGCTCAACGCACAGGCGGTGTTACCCACCATTCTGGGCAAGAGATTAATGGCGCTTGCTTATTTCAGCATCGAAAGTTGGGGAACCCGAGAAAATTTCCGAATCAGGCGTTTGCCGAGTAAAGCACTGCTCAGGGAAGTGGATATAAGCCAAGACCTGGACGCCTGTCAGGGCACTGAACACAGGCTGGACCATTAATTTTAGACTAGCATGCAGACCACTTCATGCTCTCACTATTCCTGCCTGCTAATCACCGTCGAGTGGATCGCATGCGCTGACTCCTATTTCTCCTGCCGAGAAGCCAGCAGCATCTTGGTAATAGTGCCCATCAGCAAACTGAGCTCTACCCAGCGACAGTGCGATTATGTAGCGAAGATGTATAGTTTTTGGGGGCTGTTTTTCAAAAAATAATGGCGAGTACAGGAAAACAAAAAAAGAAAATTATGAAGCTGAAAAGGTCTTGTCACCCACCACATATTCTAGCGCAGCACCGACGGCTTGCCATTCGGGTATTTCTGCTGGTAGTCCTTTTCGCGCTTGAAAAGCAGCACATGCGGCTCCGGGACTACAGAACGTAGATTCATTAGCTTTATCGAAACTGTCCACATATACTATTCCTGCAAGGACAAAAGAAAACATACCGTGAACCATATAGTGCTCCCAGCCAGGCGACTGGCGCACGCCCAGGGCTCGCCACTCGTCCTCGCTCATCAGCCGCGGCGGCTTCGGCAGGTATTTCCGCAGGCCCTCGGGTATCGACACATGCCGGTATTCGAACTGGTCGTCGTGGTAGTGGTCAGAGTAGTAGATTTCGTCACTGAAACTGTTTGATATCTATCCAGCCACTGGTCTTCGGCGGAAAGCTTGGCCACGATTCTCCTTTTTGGCGTTATTATATGCCTTCATCGCGTAGGTTAGCGAGCGAAAAATAGCGTATGCAGGGAGAAATAAAGGGAGGGAAAGGCGAGGGGGATGGAAACTGAATATGTCTTTTGGAGTTTTAATGGTAAAAATATAATAGAAATCTTTGCCAGTACCGATCCCTCCATGCGCAATGGAAATGGGACAACTTTAACCTCCACGCTGGCCTGCACAGCCAATCGCGGCCGGCCGGCTCTAATCTTGTGATCGGGAAATACGGAACCGTTGCGCCTGTCCTTCGCAGAGCCGCATTAACATATTAACTGCTTTTGATGCTCTATCCGAATAGCTTCTCTACTGCTCCCCGTTTCGTCTCCATTTCCTGCTAATAGCCCCTCCTGCCCTATTCTATTATTCAGTAATGGCAAGCCAACTGTGCTCCTCAGTCTCAACCATGGACGCGCTGACGCTCTCCAAATACGACGACCTGCTTAACGACGTGCTGCTGGATCAAGTGGGACTGATGGTTCGACACGCGCAAAATGTTTCCGCGACACCGGCGAGCGCGAATTCACCAGCCTAGCGTCTTGGACCTGGTGCAAAAGTTGGCGGCAGCCGAAATGACGCTGGCCGAGGCCCTCGGGGAGCTGCTGAAAGACGAATACATTGCCTCCTTTCTGCGGCACAAGTCTGCGCTCCGCCTTGAAGACTTTCGGCTGCACGCAGCACGGTACTTCTCCATGTACCTGCCCGAGGCCGGGTACGAGATTGGGCAGACCGACCGGTACAAGGTTGTGACGGGCAAGAGCGAGGCCAAGATTGTGGCCACCAAGCAGTACACGCTGGGCATGGTGATAAACCTGTGCTCGGGCAGCGTCGCCAAGCTGAGCGAGCACGAGATTGGGCGGCTGGAGCGCGAGCGCGCAGACTTTAGCGTGATGTGGTGGAGCAAGAAGAAGAGCATGTGTCTGTTTCTGGGCCCGGCCCGGTTCGTCAACCACGACTGCGACTCAAACTGTCGGTTCACAGCTCTGGGCTCCGACGCCATCTGCTTTCCAGGCGCTCCGGACCATTGAGCCCGGCGAGGAGATCACAACGCACTATGGCAGCAGCTACTTTGGCGAAAACAACTGCGAGTGCCTGTGCGCCACCTGCGAAAAATACTCGCGCGGCTGGTACGCGCGCAACAGCAACAGAGGCTCGGCCTGTCGGCGGAATCGTCGAATACCGGTCGCAGGCATCGACCGACACAGAGTCGCACCCGTCGACGCCCGGCGGCAGCGACGATATCCGGCTGCGCACACGCAACAAGGGCCGGCGATCGGTGACCCCAGCCAGCTGCATGAACGGCCACAAGAGCATGATTGGGCGCAGCACCGACCCGGCTATCGTCTACTGCACGTGCTGCGGCGAGGAGTACGACGGCCCGCCGGTTGCTGAGAGCGTCTGGCAGGCACGGGCGGCCGAGATGCTCAAGCCGAAGAAAAAACGCAAGGCCGTGCCTAGTATCTGCTGCAACCGGTGCGCCCGCCACCAGCTGCTCTACGGCGTTCGCGTGGCCGGACCGCAAGGTCCTGAAAAGCAAGACTGGCAGGCGGCGTGTGGGCAAAAAGGACAAAGCTGGCAGCGCAACGGCCAGCGACAGTGAGTCGGCAGGCGAGCGGAAGCGGCGGAAACAGGCCCAGGAGAAGAAGGTGGCCACGATCTACGCTGGCCCTCTGGGGCCATTAGCCGCGGCACCAGCCGAGATGTTTGCCGAATTCGCCATTGGCACGCCGGTGTTTGTTGATCCGCTCGACGGATCGATCGAGTACTGGTGGCCGGGGGTCATTGTCGACCACCTGGACGGCGAGGACGGCTCCAGGCGGTACCAGGTGCGGTACTTTGAGGACTCGTCGTTCTCGCAGTGTCTGGGCCAGGACCTGGCGCTGTTTGATCCGACAAAGGCGCCGTTTGCCCTGTGGCTCGACCGGACGCCACGTATGCTGGCCGACCCAGCCATCCGGCGCGCACTGGCATATTACGAATGGCGTTTTTTGGCGCCATCACGATCAGCACTTGTGGAAACAAAAGAGAAGCTGGCCAGCAGCGGCGTCAACGAGATCGTGCGGCTGCGGCAGATCTACCCGGACTCGCCGGTGCTGGGGGACGCGCCGACCGCAGCGGACATGCCGCAGCTCGAGCTCGACGACTTTTTCCACGCGCCCATTCCACGCGCCAGCCATGCAGCATTCGGGTGCATCCAGCCGTATTTGCTGAGCCTTCAAGGATCAGGTCAAGGTGTTTGACGGGCGGGACGGCAATGTGTACCAGGCGCAGATCACTGATGTCGATTTTGTCTGCAACGAGGCGAGGTTCGGACTGTACTATTACATGCACTTCAAGGGCTGGAACAAAAAGTTTGACGAGTGGGTGCCGCCCTGCCGCATCATATATGATGACGCTGCAAAGCAATAGACTTCATAGATTGGTCATGAACATCTGGCGTTTGCAAAAAAAAAAAAATACAACGCCCAAGCTCGACTATGTCTTTAAATTGCGTCGCGCTGCTTCATCCATTTCTCGACCCTTTGCGGCAGCAGCTTTTCGGCTTTGTTTCTCCTACCTGCCGACTGCTCGAGGACAATCCAATCACCAAGGGCCAGAAGCAGCGTGTCAATGGCACCCACCCGCTCCGCCCTCCCAATGCCCTCGCCAGCATTCGCCTCCAGCATGCTCTCAAACAAAACGACTGAGCGCTCGGCGTTAAAAATAGCACTCTGTGCATCGCCAAGCTGCCGCCAAGATTCTGCAGTGTCCTTGTAGGCGGTCGCGCGATCAACTAGCAGCCTCCAGAGCTGCAAAGACGTGACGGTGCGTTTATTTTTGGGCCTGGTCGTGTCGAACGAACGAATTGCCGGGTCGTTGTCGAGCACCGAGCAGATCTTTGCCAAACACGCTGCTTTTGTCCGGCTATCGGTCGCCGGGCTGCTGATTGCTGCTCGGTAGAGCGACAGGGACTGTGAGGTGTCGGGTGAGGATGACATCTTGTCAATACGTCTAGAATGGAATAATGGCGTGTAGTGATCCCCGCACACGCGATGCTTCTGAGTTTAGCCTGAAGCTGGCGTTTGTTTGGTCCTATGGGTTATTTGGCCGAGATCACGCATGATTCACAGCACTGCCTGCATGCAATTTGCTGGGACCATTCGCCTGCTAGCGAGGCGGGGGAGCGGAACATGATGTGCGTTTTCCAGATGCTGCAATTACAGAACTTCTTGGCAAGGCTGCAGCAATGCGGGCAGGTGGACTCCGAGGGAGCTCCACCTCTCTGCCGCCAAAGGGCAGGTGCGGAAAAACATCTGGCCGTACACTATTTGGCAAGCAAGAGGTTGCGCATTTTGGGGGAGGGGAAGGGGAAGGGAGCGCAGGGAGGAGACCTCATAGAAGTGAAAAATAGAGGCGACTGGGTCCACGAAGCCTGCGTATCTCGGTGCTGGCACGGCAGCAAATCCTGAGACGTCAGAGTACAGCAACCACTTTCTCGGTGTTGGCAGCACGACCTATTGGCGGGCATGTACAGGCAGCAAAAATGGGGAGGGCGGGAAAGAGCGAAAAAATGCTGGTGTTGTCAGGAAATTCGTGGATTTTTTTTCGAAAAAACGAGATAAATCCGCGATATTATTTATGAGTGCGGGCGGGGTTTTCGATGTGCGCTTTCGCTTGGACGACTCTTCTGTGCGGAATCCCGTGTTTGCACGCAGGTCTATGCTGAAAACGGGAGTGAGGGCAAGCTGGAAATCTGCAAAACAGTATATATTCCTCCTGCCCGTTCTGTTGCCTTGAGCTATACCCAAATTCCGCACGCCTGTATCTTTTTTTCTTCCTGCCTGATTTTTGTCTACTATTAAAAACCCGTACCGTATTCCACGAGCACCCTGGATCCTGGTGGCTCTGCAGCGTATAATCCAGTCACAGCATTTCTAGACAAATCGGCCGGCTCGCACGCATCGAAGATCGCGCCTTGTTTGTTTTTTCTTGGCACATTCCTTACTAAGAACTATTTTGTGGGGAGATTGGTGCTATTGAGCGATCGCTTTCAATTAGTACCCAAGTTATACCACCGCCGGTCCACAATGAATTCAGACCACCGTCCATTCACAGGCTGGTTTCCTGGCCGCCCAATGGTGAGTATAGATTGGCCCAATACTATGCCGGGTGCCTATTTGCTGAACCTCGCTCTGTTAGCAGTCTGCATGCCAAGAGATTCTGATTCTGGTTTGACGTGAGATGTCCGAGGCAGCAGACGCCCTTTATTCCTGCTTGGTGCTTGGCACGGAGAGGGGAAGACCGAGTTTTGCTCGTGCAGCTCGATTTCTGTCCAGGCCGTTCCATCTACAGGGGGTTTTTTCTTGGCTTTCTTTTTCTTGCTGTTTACAACGCTGCATGCCGTAGGCAATCCCATTCTTCTTGTTGCTGTCTCTTTCAGCAGTGGCCGGCACCTCTCAGTCGCTCCATTTTTCCGCCTGCCTGCGTGTACATTCTGCATTTGTAGAGCAGAAGATCGCCTCAATTCTCTTCTCCATTATTTCGTTTTTCGCTTGGGGGCTACTATTTTTATAAAAGAGCAAGATGGCATAACCCACCATACCAGTTTTATTCAATCACGCTTGATGAGACCCCCTTTCCTTTTTCCGTCAATTATTTTTCTTCATATTTCTCCACACTATTATCACCTCGCATATTCTCTTTTCTGCCACGACTGATATTTCCGTTTATTTCTTCATATATCTAGGACTCCCCGTTTATGTACGCAGCCATGGGCCATGAAGGAGCATCCGCCGCTGCCGCCGCTGCTGCTGCGCCGCCGCCGCTGCTGCTGCTGCCGCTGCCGGCACCCCCATCTGCAACTCGACCCATTGGAGCACAGAAGAGACGCGGCTATTGATCAAAACATGGGGCGACCACCGCGACGAGTTTGCCGAGATCAAGCGCAACCTCAGCGTATGGAACAAGGTGCTTGAGAAGCTGCTGGGCGCGGGCTTCTTCCGCACTGTTGAGCAGTGCCGGAATCGCTGGAAGTTTCTCGAGACAAAATACAAGACTGCAACCAAGGAGATTGCAAGCGCCGGGCGCACGCCTTGGGAGTTCTTTGATGACATGGACTACGCCAAGCACGGCGATAAGCGCCCGCGCCACAAGGACATTTACGACTCGCCGCCGCCGCCGCCTAAATCCGCTACTCCATCGTCACAGCAAGCTTATGCACCCATGTTCTCTAAAAACTACTCTCTCCGCAATGGCGCCAGCCAGCCCATGCCAGGAGCACCGGAGCCGGCTCACCAGCCACAGTACAGCCAGCTGCCAATTCACAGCCAAGGGTCGAGTGGTGGGGGGTCACCCCGACATAACCCCGTGCGCTCGTCGCTGTTTACTGACTCGCAGGGTCGCGTGCAGCTGCCGCCTATCCGGTCGCCATCCGGCAACAACGGGTACCAAGCAGCCGGCACTTCCCGCTCGCACCAGGGCTCGCCAGTGATGCCCGCCAACAACCAGGCTGGGTATGGCACCAGCCCGTACTCGCAGCCACTGCACATGCGGAGCATCTCGCCTAGCCACTACGATTCCAGCGCCTCGCAGCGCCACCAACTACCAATCTCCCGGATGCACCACCAGCCTACATACCATCCACTGGCCACAGGCACCACGCCTGGTTCTCTGCCGTCATCCGAGTCGTCCCCGCCCAACGACGGCCCGCTCCATCGCCGTGGCTCGCCGCGGTCTCAGCCCATGGCTATGAATGGAATGCCTGCCCACGGGCTGCCGCGGGACAATTTCCACCAGCACATCCGGTCTTTGTCGCCAGCAGCTACGCCTCAAGTGACTGCTTTGCGTGGCAGCCACATGCAGCACCACCGCGCGTCGTCTGCTGACACGCTTGTCTTTTCGCAGCAGAGACTCGGCCGCGCGCCATCCACATCCATTAGCCTGGGCTCCAAGCGGGACAGCCTGTCCAGCAGCCACGATACACCCCGCATCTCTGCTCGCCGCACATCCATGTCCAATGGTGCCTCAGCAACGCAGCACCCCCGCAGCTCCACCCGGATAGAGTCCAGCGACCACTCCCGCAAGCGCAAGCTGTCAGCAGAGCCGACGACACTTCCTGGTAGCGTGTTTTTCGGCGATCACATCCAGACGCAAGCCTCGCCAAGAGATGAGATGATGATGAACGGCATTGTCAGCAGCAGTGCTCAGGTTGAGCTGACTGGCAAGGTGCGCCGCGTGGATCTGCTTGAGTTCCTGCGCGACCAGGCACAGAGCCGCGAGCGCCGCGAGCAAATGCGGATGCAGGAGCGCCAGCGCATAGAGCAGGCCCAGATTGAGGAGGACCGTCGGTTCCACGAGTTCCAGATGTCGCTGATGAACATTATTGAGCACCGGCTGGCGCCCCACGCCACTGCTGACCACGACGACATGCCCGTGACCAACAGGCAATTCAGCTCAGTCAATGTCGATGCACAATAGCGATGATCTGTCGGATGCCAAGCCCGCGATCGACAATCATGTGGGGCACACCTCACCAGGCAGTGGTGGTCAAGTAGAGCTGGGGTCGCGAGAACCGACACCCGGCGAATCTGGGGCTGCCAGCACCGAAAGCTGAGCCAGCCCTTAAGCCAGCCACTGGCACGGCAAGCTCGCACGAATCCACATAGACTGTTCTTTCCACAACCACCTCTCCACTGGCAAACGGAAACAACAAACCCCTTGCGAATGTGTACAATAAACATCCTACTCCTTCCACAAACCACTGGATCTACCGCTACACAGCCTCTAGCCTGGTTCTAGAAACACTAAGGCGCGACCGAGCTAAACCCGAATCAGCAGCTCAATTATCCCAAAGTTCTGGGAAAAGCGCAACCTGCAAGCAGCGCCGATCGTGCTTGGGTTATTATCGCCCAACGGAGAATCTACATTTGAATAACCCGATTTATACAGCCCCGTGTCGTATATTTTTGTCCGCCTTTAGCCATGCATGGCGTTCCGCTTTGTTGCGGGTATGTTCGACACAGATGCTGTCTTAGGGCTTTGCATACTTAATATACGTGCAATATATAATCTGTCACTATACAGACGCTACTGAGCAAATGCTGCTCAATCCCCTGTTTATTGCCGCTAATATATTGGACAGGCCACGTAACGCTTTATTGCTTTTTGCGTTTTGAACATTTGTGCTATTGGCTTCCATTGCGCATAATCGTCATTTCTTTTTGCCATGGGCAATTCTCTTTTATGCATCTGAGGGGAAAACAAGCGTGAATTGGTCTGTATGCGCATCAACATGTATTAATTTTACTTGAAAACATGCATGTATGCCAGTAATGCTATGCATGCGTGCTTCATTTTCGTTTGCTCAAAATAAAGGTTATGCTCGACTCTTGGTTCCCGCAGAAAAAAGAAAGCACACATCGGTTTTCGGCCGACTAGTGCCAGCACTCCTAGCCATATGATTCCCTCATAGACCAATGGCGACCAATGCATCCATAGGCTGGAGCACTGTCAATGACATGTATAGTTGCCCAAAAAGAAAATACACTAGTCCATTCGCAACTGATGAAGTAATGAACGAAATGCACTCTAGTATAATGTGAAATGATGGTAATAGTACGTTCTCCAAATATACACACTACTGCGCAATAAGCAAAGTGCAGCATTAGACGTTTTCCGTCTATTAACTTCTACTCTCCTGCTAGACCCGGGCAAATGAGAGGACGGGAGAAAAACAGACCGGGGATTAAGCACGTACATATGCATATTGCAAAGGGGGAAATGGCCAAACAGCTTTATTCCTTTCTCTTGCTCGTTTCTTAAATGCAAGCACGGGGATAGGGGAGCAGCTTTAGCTTGTCAGAGAGCGACGCATTATTTGTCTTTGCGCATATATACATTTTGGCAGGACGTGAATCCAGTCCTTTTTTCACACCCTTCTCTGTCCTCGACAGCCATCGTTTTCTTCTTTTTTTTTTCTTGTTCGTTACCACCACTGTCTGCTCTCTCCATTATTGTGAATTGTGCTTTCACAAAAAGCGTAGCTGAAACCTTATCTGCCAGCTTTATTTTTTTTCCTTGCTGCCAGTAAGTATATTCCTCCATCACCAGTATCCTACCTTGCAAATCCCCTGGTATTAGCACTCTGATCGCACAAGGCGTGTCACTCGCTCCAGCTTGCGTGGCGTTGATGTAAGGGACAAAATGCGTTTTTTTGTGGAGCCACCGCCTCTTGACTCCTGTTTCTTGAAAGCCGCGTCCTCGTCCCTCTACTTTCTTTTGTATTGTTGTAATATCCTCGCCTCACATACAACAGGCTGCCTCTGTTCAGAAAGCCACTGCGACGGGGCACCGGTATGTCGCCGGCTTCGCCTCTTCGGCCTCTTCGCCTCTTGGCCTCAAGCTGATTTCAAGCCACAGAGTGCCTGAAAATGACAGCTGGTGTTGCGAAACAAGCGGACTGTAGATGGGCACTGCTCATTGATGTCCGCATTAAGAAGGCGGTATGCGCTAGTCGCTTGTATCTGCGTCCCCTCCTCCTCCCATCCACGAATGACGCTGGCCATATCAACCCGGGTAATTCTCGCTACCGCTGTTTTATTGCGGTGTCCCAATAGCTGCGGGTGACAGAATTGCATAGCCCCCTGTCACAACCACTTTATGCACCTTGCCTCGGTCACTTCAATTGTCGGTGAGCTCGGCACCGCGCCTGGATGATCACCCGGTCCCTCCTTCTCTTTGATTGCTCCAGTGTCCATTTATTTGGACAGAATTTTCAGGATGCATGTGTGGCCCCGCTCGAGTTCCTTTGCTTTCTGGCTATGCTAATAGGAAGCATTTTTGTCCGTCGAGCCAACCTAAAACCGCTGGTCAAGAGGGAGGGCAGGTCACTCGCCCGCATTGTCCTCCCAATGTCGATAAACTATTGTTTGAGCATATTTTCCACCTTGCTCCCCCATTCACACGCACTTTGTGCACCTTGGGTGGGCATACGGCGGGCAAAGGCTGCTCCCTAACTTTTGTGCCCGCGCAACCACCACCAGACGGATTTTTGCTGCGTCCTGTCCTTGAGGACCGGGCGAAGATCCCTATTTTGCACGCCATCTAGTCGATTCCCATTCACCACATCCCGTGGTCAGCACCCGCCATTTGAGATCACCCTTGAAATCGTTGTCTGGTGCTCAAAGGCGAGCTTGTGCATTCATCCTATTGTATCCTGTGTGTCGCTCTACCTCGGCCCCATCTGAAACTTGAGCCTGCGCAATGCGCAAGGAGGAAGTCGGTAAAAGCGCTGCACGCCTACAGCCAGAGTTCACACAGCAGAGCAGCATGCGGGTGCTGGGCAGCCGGCTGTGTGCGAAATCGGCACCAGGGACACCCGCCGTTGCCCTGGGTTGCCAACCCACCCCCGCTCCTGCTCATTATTTGCAAACGCACTCATGGACAGAATATTCCCTTTTGGTGTGTACTGCCCCATGTCCCCTTGTTTTTCTTGCGCAAAAACCGCTTTCTGCGCGAACCGTGTTTTCTCCCCCGTCTCCTTTTCCGCTACTACGACATAACAAACATCCCAACTGTATGGAAAAAGCCAAGCGCTTCCAGTTTGCTCTTGGCACTAAAGTTACATCTTTGGGCATGCTGTTTTTTTATTCTGGCAGCCATTGGAATCACTAGCCCTCCTAAAAAAAGGACCATCCCGCCTCCATTCTTCACATTTTGACGCAACTCGGGAAAAAGTTGAGTTGCCTTATTCTCCAAACTTACCCACCCCTCCTGCACCCCCCGTACCTCGCTTGTCCTTCAGAGTTGTTGGACTAGATGGGCATCCACGCATCACTAGCCACCCCTTTCTTATTTATAAAAAACCGACTACAGGGAAATCGCTCAATCGCGAGCTCCTCTCTCCCCAAGCCAGTTTTTCTTTCCCTCCCCTTTCCCTCCCCTCAGTCTACTCCTCATATACTGCCTGCATCCCATTGCGTCCTCATCTCATTCATCCCAACTCATTACATACACTTGTGTTCTCTCTTGTAGCATTATCTAAACCAGCAGAATGTCCGGGTACTCCCTCAGTGATTCAACCGCAGCTATGGCCGGTGTATCCGCAGAAAATACCACACACAGCAGCGACTCTTTGCCCTCGCTCGCCGCACACACCTACCACCACCACCATCACCACCACCATCAGCAGCAGCAGCAGCAACATCAACAACAACCACAGCAGAACGACAGCCACTACCATCACCATAGCCACAGCACCAGCGGCCCAGACAACTCACACAGTGCTGTCATGCGCACATCGCTCGCGGGAAATACGTCGGCGACTCTGAATCATGCATTGACCGAGATTGACGCAACTCCGGTCGACGAGAATGCCTTTGCAGACTATTTTTTCAAACAGCAGGTTCTTGGCCTCGACTCAGCGTCACAGGTTACATCTAGCGGGGATTACCGCGGAAACGGCGCTTTGAATCCGCAGGCCACAACCAGCCTAGAGGACCCGCATTCATACCATCAGGGCCAGTCAGACATCACTGCTGCTGCTGCTGCTGCTGCCGCTGTGGTAGCAGCTGCTACCTCTGCAAACCCTAGCCATTCCGAGTTTCAGTCGTCACCAGTATTTAGCCATCGCCCGCCGCCGCCACCACCACCAGGTTACCATTCTCAGAATGGCACTAACGATGACTCCAGCCACTATAGTCCAACCGCATCGGCAGCAATGGCAAGCGTCCCAGCCTCATCTACAAACAACACAACAAACCAGCATCCCTACCACCCTCACCACCAAGACCGCAATAACAATAACAGTGGCGGTGACGGTGGTGGCGGCACTGGTGCAACCTCAGCATCGTCGTGCTTGGTCGACCCGCTGCCCAGCTTTTTGTCGTCACTTCCCCTGCCAAACTCTCTGGAATCGTCAAAATATCCTAGCATGGTCTCGGTGGCTGGTGGCGCGCACAATCGCAGCACAGAGGAGGCGACTATAGCCTCAGGTAACAGCGACATCTTTAGCGCCGCAGCCGCTGTGGCTGCTGCAGCTTCGGGCACCCACTCACACCAGTACCACGGTCAGCACATGTCGCAGTCTGGGATGCACTCGCAGCCGCAAACATCCGCACATCACCCCTCCTACGACACCAGCAGCTTGGCATTTTCACAAAGCAACCCTGGCACGGCGGCTGGGCTGTCGAGCCAAGACGCTGCTGCCGCTGCCGCTGCTGCTGCCGCGGTGTTGGCAAACAACACGGGGTCAACAACGAGTCCGCTGGACCTCAACGCCTACAGCATTTCGGCGTTCAGCCGTCCGTTGAGCCAGTCGAGCAGCACTGCTGCTGTGCTTCTGGGCAACGAGAACACAGGCAGCACGACGCCTGGGCGCGAGAGCCTGTCATCATACTCGTTTGGTGGCAGCTCGCTGAGCGGCGCGCTCCAGCCTACCACGGGCATTTTATCGCCTCAGCAGCAGCAGCAGCACCAGCACCAGCAGCACCGCAGTTACAGCGACTACTCAGCGTACTACCGCTCACCATCGACTGCTCTCGGAGTCACCTCGTCCTCAGCGCCAGGCACCGGATCATCAACCAGCTCAGCACTCGCCGCTGGATCGGCAGCGGGTGCCAATGGCGGCCAGTTTTCATCTTCGGTGGGCATGGGGCAGACGCCGTACTACCAGCAAACCACGTACCAGCAGTACATGCGGTCGGGCAGCACCCACCCGTACTACTACTCGCAGATTCCCTCACGCTACGTACCCTACGGCGCATGTCCGCCGATCCGGCACTTTGTGTCTCCGGCGCGGCCCTTCAAGTGCCCGACATGCGAGCAGTCATTCTCCAGAAACCATGACCTGAAGCGGCACGTCAAAATCCACTCTGGAATCAAGCCGCACCGGTGTCCAAAATGCGGCAAGAGCTTTGGCAGATCCGATGCCCTGAAGCGCCATTCAATGGTTAAGCGGTGCCGCTCATCGACCACCATTGCTGCGTCTTCCACAACCGCGGCCCCGGTCTCACAGTCGACGGGCATGCATGGGCAATCCTCCCAGCCCGCGGTGATGACCTCGGTGCCGAGCAGTTCGCGGCTGGCATCGAGTGCTACAGGCTCGATGTTTGGGCAGTCTGCTGCGCCTGGCATGTCAAACAATACGAGCTCGATTGTCTCGAGCATGCTGTCATCCAGAACAAACGCCATTTGAGATGCAGCGCAGACCTGAGTCGTTTTTTCTCTTTGAACCAAAAAATAATATTCTCATATACTACATGGTTTTTCCTCTTTTCACATCAACCGTCTGTCGCCTCAGGTAGAGAGGTAGCACAGAAAGATGCCAGCGGGAAATGCGCCATGCTCAGGCGGCATTTCGATAATTAAAGTTTTTCAGAATTTCGATAATATTGTAATGCAGGTGTAAAATATCTTTTGAAAATGATCGGCATGTGCAGCTAATGTGCATGGATTTGTCCTTAAATTCCCGATAATTTCCGTATTGGCCAACAGCGCCTCCAGCAGCGAGTTTAGCCATCGAGCGAGTCCAAAATGGCAAAGGCCGATTGTTGGCCCACTGGCCCAGCCTCGTCCTCGTCCTCGGTGTCCTCCCCCTCTTGCTCCTCGGAGGGGCTTTCGCCCTCATCATTACCATGCTCTGCCTGCTCCCTGCCATGCGATTCTTGCTGATGGCCAGCCACCTCGTAATTTTCAGGGGCGTCCGTCAGGTACGAGTGGTCAGAGAAGAAGGTTGGCGGTTTGAACGACAAAAGGATGCGGCCATCCAGCTCCCACTTTAGAATATCGAGCGCTACAGCGGATGGCATGGAGCGGTGTGTTAGACAATTGAAAGACGTGTGGATCCCACATGTCCAGCATGAGCTTCGTCGCGTGTGGCCAGTTGAGTAAAGGGAAAAGGTGGCAGAGCGCTCAGTGACATGGAGTGAATGCAGGAGGCAGCAGCTGCGAACTCCGCTGCTCGGTTTTTGGTGAACTATAGGAATTTGTTCACCGGCACGCGGGAGCCCAACCATGACACACAATTGTGCTATAGCGAATACAGCAAAGTGCGAATCTGGTGATGAACGCCATACATCCCCACGCATGTGCCCCCCGTTGATATGTGCTGGCTGGCTAGCCGTCAGGATGGATGGCGCGGATGGAATGCTAGGATGGGCAGGATTTGCAAATACCCATCCATTCACCCTCCCTATTTTTTGTCACTAGTACGGCAAAAAGTCGGTCCAACAGGCGGTAGGAAATTGTTGATAGCTTACCTGCTCGGTACACATCAGGGCGGGCAGCCTTGGATGTGTAGTAGCCGCGGTCAACCGCGAACGCTACAAAGATGAAAGTGCACAAGTCAGTAACAGCTCATTTCAGCAGGACTGCAAACCGCGCACATGGCTGGAAATGCGGCAGGAGCATCAGCTCAAAAAAAAAAAACTCACCTTCACAAATGGCCCAGGCTGACCACTCATCGCCTGCCAGCGCTGTTGGCTCGGGCTTTTCCAGATTCAGTACACGCTCGACGGGCACGCGCTCTGCCAGGTACTGGACACAGGTAAACGGCTCCTGCACTTGCGCAATGTTGTAGAGGCCAGCCAGAATCTGGAGCGGGCGCTCTATAACACATGGGAACACCAGGCCAGGACAATCACACAAACGCAGGGTGGGCGTAACATGGATGGTCTGGAAGTGTTTGGTGTGGCCGGGTGTGCGGCTGGCACTCACAACGGTGCGGCCCATGATGCTGTTGATAACTGTGCTCTTGCCCACGTTCGGGTGGCCCACGAGCCCCAACGTAACGTACTTGCTGCTCACCGTCTCGACATGACCCGCTAGTGCCGACTGGCTCGGCTCCGCGGCGTCCGAGCCGCCTTGCTCACCCTCATCATCCGAGTCGCCCTCCTCACTGTCGCTGTCCGATTCGTGGCCAGGCAGCTCATTTGCAGCCTCACTAGTGGGCTGGTACCGCGCAATGAGCGAATCCCACTCGACCAAATCACGCTTCTCAGCGACGCACACATGGCGACAGGCGGCAAGTAGATCGCTGACCTGCGACGAATCATAGACACGCTTACGCGGCTTCTTCCGGCGCAGCTTCAGATCGCACACATTAGTGTCGTTCAGGATCTCCTCGCTGTTCCTGTAGCAGCCAAAGCTCGTCAGCGTCACCGATGGGAACTGTTCCTTAAAGTACCGCTTCCACGCCTTGACGGTGTTGGCTGCGACCAGGTCGGTCTTGTTCAGCACGACCACGATTGGCTTGCCGGTGGTCTCGGAGATGTATCGGTAGAGCGATGGCGGGAAATGCAAGACTGGATGGCGGATGTCCACAACCAGCAGCAGGATGTCGCTGATTTCGACCACGCGCCACAGCTGCCGCCAGACCTCAAGGTTCTTCTCGTACAGGCTGACGGTGTCCATGTCCTTCAGCTTCTGGATCTTCTGCAGCCAGACATCAAAGTACGCTTCCTCACGGCGCTCCAGCGCCTCCCTCGACAGCTCGTATGACCACGGCGGACGCACCGGGATGTCCACGTCGGCCGAGTACGCATCCGCAAATGACATGGTCAGGCCATCCTGGCTGCTGAGCCGGTGCAGCGGCAGCATGCTGCGCTTTTTGTTGGCGTCGATCTCCTGTCGTGTCAGCTTATCGAATTGCGAAGTCAGCTTGCTACGGCTCGGCGCAGCCGCAGTAAGCGCATTCCTGACTGCGGCGCTTGGTGCCACTGGCTGCGCCGGGACGGCCTTGCCGGTGTAGTCAGGAAGGTTCTGCTTATTGAAATCCCACGCGTCGGCATCCTCCTCGGCCTGGGCGCGCTTGCGTATGCGCTTGGCCTGAATTTGCGCCTTCTTCTGCTTTGTGCTGAACGGCTTTTTGCGATTGCCCATGACAAGAGAGAATTGTGGAAAAAGGAGGCGAGCTTGCTTTCTGGCTCGGCGCCAAGCACCCTTTTTTTCGTCATCGCTTTTGCGGGCTATAATTAGATTAGCGATTAATATGCACGATGCATAGAAGACGGCCAGGGCATGATGCGCATGCTGCATCTGCTATTTTTCTGGAACCCCCGCGCTCCAGCAGAGGCGGAAGGGCTAAGGGGCGGTCAGTTGCCAGCGCGATGCACGGTGTTCATGCATGAGCGGGCTTCGCTTGACTGCAGTAGGATATCAGCAGTGTGCCTGCGACCAGGTCACGCTGAGATGAGGCACGGGCGATCTCAGCCATCGCGGCATAACAAATGAGCAGCAGCAAAGAGCCTCTGATTTCTATTCTTAGGATCATCCGCTGCACGGGCAAAAATCAATGTTATTCTGCAAAATAAAAAATTTTCCTTTCAGTATGTTGTCTGTTCGCGCGGTGTTGTCACTATCTACATGGGCAGGACAATGCCCAGCGTGAGTCAAAAGTGCATGGGTGGTGGTGGGAGTGCAGCTCATTTGTAAGCTGCGATGACAAAAAAGCAGGCTGCGGCACGTAACTGCCGTGTACCGTGGTGACAAATGGGAGCGGATCCCCCGGGCCCGCAGTTCCGCCAGCATATCAGCCATCAGCCATCAGCCATCAGTCATCAGTCATTATAGGCCGGACTGCTTGGCGAAACCGCGGTGGCCGCAGAAAAACCCATCGCTGGGCTTTCAGGGACGCCCAGAGATTTGCTTGCCAGACTGTGTTTGTTGTCTGCTGGCTGAAAAATCGAGCGACGCAAGGCGCGCCGGCTGAAAAGAAACTGCGGGACTTGTCATCATGCGGCCCAGCCGCAGACACTCAAACGCAGCCATTATTCGTGATTTCTTGTCCTTTCTCCCTCTTCCCAATGGAAATTGCACATTTTTTATTGGCTGCGGGGGTGGAGCCAGGCTAATTTCTTACTGCGCAGCATTTGCTGCTGCTGCCTTGGCCTTTTTTGGCTGGGGGTGGGGCGAATCAGCGGGCTTCCAGCCAACCCCCCGACACAGTCAAAGTGTGTCAGCAAAATGCTAGCGATTTGCGCCTGTTGGCCGCAACATGATTTTTCCACACTCTTTGCCAGCGTGCCGCAGAGAGGAAAAAAAAATAAAAAGGCCTTTCCCCCCTCCTTTTCTCCCTCCTCGTTGACTCTACCAGCAATTACTCAAATTATTACCTTTTCGCACCCCCTCCCACCGCAATCGCCTTCGCTATATAAGGGCAAACTTCCCTTGGAAATACTCAAACACCTCTCGCAGTGCTAACAGACAGAAAAAGGCTCATTTGCAAGCTGGTTCACTAAAAATTTTGTAATTCTCTTTTCTTAAGCATGGTTTCTTACTCGTCTAACAGTCATATTGAACCGAGCGCCCGTCTACACGACCAGGACGCCGCGATGAGCTCCCGTGTTCAGGGTGCGCTCAGCAGCAACCTGGTGTTGCATGTAGACGGGTGGTACCAGCAGCAACAACACCAGCAGCCGACGGCTCACTTACATACCGAGGCCTCTACCAACGAGAGGCCACTTGTTTTTGATCGTATTGCCTCACACTCGACTATTCACTCGGCTGGCGCGAAGCGGAGCGCAGGCCCAGCAGATGGCAGCGACTCCCTTGACCGGTCCAGCAAGCGGACTCGAGACGATAACGATTCAACCTTTCACCACGGCGGCGTTCGCATCAACGATTTGCTGAATCCAGCCGCCGCCGCGGTTGCTGCTACCGCCGCCACAGCCCCGCTGGCCGCAGCGAAGAAGCTGTCGGTGCCCAGCGCGCTCACCCGCACGCGTAGCGCCGACACGAAGCAGTACCTCAACCTGCTCCAGCTGCAGCTGCAGAAGCAGACTACCGAGGCCGACCCGCGGAGGAGTTTTGTTCGCACCTTTTCGGCACCCGAGAAGGCAGAGTCGCCCAAGTCTGACAGCGCCCAGGGCCTTGTTCGCGAAGCCCTGGAACTGGACAAGCTCTACGGTAAGTCTTGCCTTTGGACTTGTTTTTCTTTTCTTTTCTTCTCTCCCCTCCACACCTGAAACATTAGGCCTTCTTCAGCCTGATTTTTTGTGCTCTATTTTTCTGGCAGGGGGCCAGTATGTGGCCCTCGTTCACCCGCTGCCCGTTGTTGGCCTTTCTTTTTCTGCCTTGTGTATTGAAATAGTGGTGGCTGAATTTCCACTGGCAACGGGCCACGTGACGCGGATTTTCTGCACTCTGCGTCAGCCGGCATTTGTTGTGCATGTTTGCACGCATGGCTGGAGGTTGGTTGATTTCCCTTGGGTGCGGCGGGCTTGTCGTCTGTAGCGCCCTGTCCTGTATCCCGCTGCTGCCTTCCCTGACTGAAAGCCTGATGGTGATCATGATGGCGGCGGCGGTGGTGATGTATGAAGAAGTGGCCAGATAATAGTTCCGCATGGCCATCTTATCGGCCAGCGGTGTTGTTGCTGGCGCAGAGGGTGCTGTTCTCACACCCATCTCTGGGTCACACCACTCTTCCTTGATTTTGTTCTCATGTACACTGACCCCACATGTGCTCCAAGTAGATATTGCATGCGTGATCATCGAGAGCATCTGGCCCAACCACTCCTGTATCGCAGCGGACGCAGCTGTGCTCGCTGCGCTGCTTTGTGGCCGAGACGCACCGGCAGTCGCGTCTGGGCGTCGATGCGCTGGAGCTGTGCATGTTTTACCTGCTGCGCGCCAAGTCGATTATCCAGGCAAGGCAGCGCGCAGCGCGCCAGAAGGAGGAGGCCGAGGAGGAACAGCGGAAGCAGCAGATTGAGCAGATCGAGAAGCAGAGCCAGATGTCGTTCCAGTCCATCCTGGAGGCGACCCAGAACACACCCCCGCTCTCGCCTAGCAGCCCCATGTCCCTGAGCCGCGCCAGCACCAATAACGTTATCGTCACCAAGTCGTCGTCTGCACACAACGCCAACTCTATCCTCTCTCCGCCCTCGTCCAGCCCCATCACGCCCAACTCCACGCAGCAGGCCATTGCCCAGGCCCCGTTTGTCACCATGGACAAGCAACTGCTGGACAACGGCATTATTAGCCCGGCCCAGGCCACGCCCGAGAAGCGCCAGCAGCAGCAGCAGCAGCAGCAGCAGCAGTCTCGGGCTCTGGCAGGGAAACACAAAGGCCCTGCCTATGTCGTTCCGCGAGTTCATGAGCAAGGACACACCGCTGATGGCAGTCTCTTGCAACAACACCATGGCCTCGCCTGCCGCCTCGCCCAAGGAGGCCGGCAGCACGCCCAAGCCCAAGAAGCCCGACGTCACCAAGTGCGGGCGGCGCATGTTTGTGGCGGCACTTGTCAGTGCTTCCAAGTTTATGTACGACCGCACGTACTCGAACCGGGCCTGGAACAAGATCACCAAGCTTCCCCTGGCGCAGATCAGCGACATGGAGCGCGCGTTCCTCAGCATGATCGACTACCGCCTGTACGTTGACCAGCGCACGTACGACAAGTTCCACCGGCTCCTTGCGCGCTCCGGCATGCGCAACGGCCGGCTGATGGTCTGCGAGCCCGCATCGGCAGGCGATGCCGCTGGCCCGCGCCTTCAGTCCCAGCAGCAGCAGCAGACTCAGTCTCAGACTCAGACTCAGTCTCAGTCTCAGCAGCAGACTCAGATGTCTCCGACCACTGCTGATTTCACGTTTGCTGCTCCGTCGGCCACGCCGTCTCCCGAGCAGCAGCGTGCCAAGGTGCAGAAGATGATGATCCAGTACTCGATGTCGGCGTCGCCCAACACGCCGGTGACTGGCGATCTGCGCTCGGCAATGAACGTTCCTCTGTCGGTTGCCTCAACTCCGGCTGGCATGCACAGCGCGGTGTCGATGCCCATGATGGGTGGCAGCGATCCTCGTGCGATGCAGGTCCAGGAGCAGCTCCTGAACTTTTTGCGTGCCAAACAGGCTCAGCAGCAGCAGCAGCAGCGGATCATCCTCCAGCACCAGCAGCAGGTCATGCATCACCATCACGTCTCCCAGCAGCGCGTGCCTGCTGCTGGAGAAGTATCTTTCGAATAGGATCTTGGGTTTTATTATGTCTTATTCACATACTTTTCTCCCCCTTTCCTTTCCCTTTCACGCACCCCTTTTTTCTTCTACTCCCCCTCCCATTCACGACGCAAGCAAGAAACATCTTTTTTTTTCTTCCCGCAGTGTTCATGGATTGGCAAAGAAAAGCGCGAAAGCGGCAATGGCTGTACAATATCGGCGAGTACCGCAGCAGCCAGCATGAAGGGCTGATAATAATACATCAGCGCTCAATGCATGCACATGTATTTGAGTACATCCCCCCCCCAATTTGGGAAATCAAGCGGCCTATCTATATCTTGGTTGGGACCTTTTTTTCTTTCACAAAAGCCCGCGTCACTCCTCTGACTCTTGCACAGCCGAGTTATCAGTAAGAAGGGCAGATCGTGTGTGGTGGGTGGGCTGGTTTGGTCTGGACATGATGGGTGCAGCACGAGACCAGAGGGGAGGAATTTCGAGATATCGTTGACAAAGGGGGAATATGAGAAACTACAGGAGATTACTTTGCGGGGGCACCCCAGACACGCCTAATCCAAGCCTTCAAGTCGAGCTTCTTTGCAGGCGGAGTTGACAATAAAGGGGTGCTCGAGGAGCTGGCTCGGGGTGGGCCGCAGGCCGGGCTCCTTGATGAAGGCAGGCGCGGACAAAGTCGCAGCACTGCTGGGAAAACCTGGCGGCGTCCATTTCGGGCACCGGCATGTGGATGATGTACTCGAGCAGCTCGATCTCCGACAGCTGGCGGTGGCCGGGGGGCGGGAACGGGAACTGGCGCTGCGAGACCTCGATCATGGTCAGGCCCAGGGACCAGACATCGGACTGCACGGCATACCTGTCGCCCTTGATGCGCTCGGGGGCCATGTAGTAGCTGGTGCCAACGAAGGTCTGTGCAATGGAGTCGACCAGCTCGCCCGAGACGCCAAAGTCGCACAGCTTGATCTCGCCGCGGCCGGTCACCAGGATGTTGGACGGCTTGACGTCGCGGTGGATCACCTTGGCCTTGTACAGATTGACCAGGCCGTTGAGCACCGCCACGGCGACCTTGCCCAGGACGCCCTCGCCAATATGGCCGTTCATGGCCTGCACGCGCTTGTAGACGGCCTCGAGGACTGCCGCCCTCGCAGTACTCCATGCAGATGGCGATGGACTGGCCGTCGTCGTCGTCGGAGAAGTACGCGCCGTAGAACGTCACAATGTGCGGCGACCGGCACTGCTTCAGGAGCTTCAGCTCCCGGATGATCTGCCTGTGGTTGGTCTCGTCGGGATACACCGACATCAGCTTGCGCGCCATGATCTTCTTTTTCGGCACATACTCCACCTTGTGCACCGTGCCCACCGAGCCCTCCCCCAGCTTCTTCAGCACCCGGATGTTCGCCACCTTCAGGTCGTACTCCTCCGGGTCCTCCAGCGGGTCGGCCACCGAGAGCCCGCCCAGGCGCGACGTCACCCCGGCCACGTCCTGCTGCCCGCCCCCGTTGGCTATGTACTGCGCGACGTCCGGGTACGGCAGCGCCGACGTGCTCTCGCTGGACTTGCTGTCGATGGACAGCTGCGGCGGCGCCGGCGTGCTCTCGCTGGGCCTGCTGCTGTCAATGGTCAATTGCGGCAGATTGGGCGGCGGCGCGAACCCGCGACACTGGGATGTTTAGGCGGGGCACGGCGGCTGGCGGCTGCCCCCGCGGGGTTGTTGGAATGTAGAGTCGCCGCACGGCCGGGCGCACATGCCGGGTGGATGTTGCGTTGGAGCGATTGAGCGACATTTATAGATGGGCCAAGAAATATAAATAAAATAATAGAGTCGAATGAGCGCTGGGCGAAAAACAGAAAACTGCCCCTGCTCTTTTCAGGTGTATTTGTGGTTACAAGGTGTTGTTTACATTACCAAACATTTGTCCTGGTCGGCAGGCCTTGGCCTTCTTTGCAGCCGCCTCGTGGGGCAGGAACGTGTCGGCCATGTGGCGGGAGAAGTTCTCGTCGGATTTTGTCCTGAAGATGGTCTGCGCAAGCTTCTTTTCGCTCTCCTTGGTGACGACCGGCACGCCGTACAGATGGCCGCGCTGGCGGACGTCCAGGCCCGGCGGCAGCTTGTCCTGCTGGCGCACCTGCAGCTTCTGCTTCTCCTGGCGCTGCACCTGCTGGCGGTCCTCCTCCTCCTGCAGCGACAGGGCAAAGGCAAAGTCCTCGTCCAGCTGCTTGGCATCGGTGGTTGTGGCAATGTCCTCGTGGACAAAGTCCGGCTCCTTGCCATGCGGCGCCTGCTGGCTGCTGCTGCTGTTGCTGCTGCTGCTGCTGCTGCTGCTGCTGCTGCTGCTCGCCCATGCGGCGGAACTGCGAGTCGAGGAACTCGGATGTGGTCTGGTGGACGTCGCGCAGGGACTCCCAGACTACGCGCTGATCGCCAGCCATCGAGTCGTCGGTGCAGAGCAAGAAGAGCTCGCCGCACCCGCGCTTGAACAGCGTCGAGAAATGGTTGTTGCGGAACAGCACTGCCAGATGGCGGGCAGGCAGCAGAGTGCCCAGGCTCTGCAGACCAAACTCTGTCAGCTGCGTGGCCGACCGGTCGAGCCACTGGTTGACGGCGCGCGCGCCCCGGACCATCACCTGCTGGCGCTCGGTCAGCGCCTGGCCGGAGCCCTTCTGCTTCCCGACGATGCCGTCGAGCTCATCGGCGGCAAAAATAAACTCAACCGCGCCCTCATAGCTGTTGCGGCACTCGCGCATCAGAACGTCCGCCACCGAGTGCTCGCGCTCCGGATCCACCACCCACCCATGCACCAGGTCCACATTGAACGCCTTGAACAGCTGCGTGGCCGGGCTGGCCGCGAAATCATACACATGCGAGAACTGCAAGTCGACGTCCAGCCCCGTGCTCAGCGTCGGCAGCAGCCGCAGAATCACCTGCACGTCATCGCTGCTCAGCGCTGTGCGCTCGTCCTGCGCTGCGCTATCGCCAAAGAGCTGGTCGCCCAGCATCCCCACCAGCTCCGTCGCACTGATCGTGGTGCGGTCGCCGGCGATGCTCAGGTCGCCGCGCAGCACCAGCGCGTTGGCCAGCGCGATGAGCGGACATGGGCCGTTCTCGTTCTGCGTCACAATCTTGACGTCCCGCAGCCGCTGCGTCTCGGGGTCCTGCCACTGGATGTCCTTGAGCTTGTACTCTTGCGTGCTGGCGCTGCTGCCCGGGAACGTCTTGGATGTCTGCAGAAGCGGCGTGTTCTGTGCTGAGTTGTCGTCGTCGCGCGCTGGTGGCTCCGACGCAGCCTTGTCGGGCGGTGCTGCCGGACCGGGCTGCAGCAAGGCCTCGGGCTGCTCAGTATTGTCGTCGCTCATTTGTGTGATCTTGTAAATATTGTAATAGTACTGAAAAAATAAAAAAATAGAATGGAGGCGGTAAAGAGACCAAGCTTTTTTTTTTTGTTTTTCGCCCAGGCCACGCATGCTTTCTGCAGCGAGTTTGTGAGCCCGTGTGTGACGATAGCATTTTGCTTTTTTGCTTTTTGGTGTTTTTCTGGAAAGCTTGCTCCACACTGGCGGTTGATCAGATGAACAGATCCCAGATGGCGTCGGGGCTCTTGTACTCGTTATCGACGACATTGACCAGCCAGCACTCGTGGGCGACCTTCTCGAGGAACTCGCAGCCCTGCATCCACTCGCGCCACGTCTGGAAGGCCTCGGCGCGCCAGGCCAAGAAGCTGATCTTCTCGATCAGCGTCGGCTGCACAACCGCGCGGCCCGGGAACACCCCCCACGTCAGCGCCGTGGCCGCCTCGCCGTACGCGTTGGTCAGAAAGTCGCCACGCATGTTCGACGCATAGTACGTCACGCGGGGCGTCCGACTGGATCCGCGCCAAGAACCCCGGGAACCGGTCGCCCGGCACAAAGCACTCGATGAACGCCTTCTGGTACACGTACCCGCCGCGCGGGCCCCACCCGTGCAATTCATCGGCGCTGCTAACCCCGTCCAGCGCCGGCTGGCTCGCCAGCGTCCAGTACCCGAGCCGGTTGATCCGGGCCAGCTCATCGCGGATCCGGTCGCTCTCGGCCCGCAGCGGCTCGTCGTTCCACGGCAGCGACGTGATCTGGCCCGTCACGTAGCGCTCGAACAGTTGGCTGATCTCGTCCAGAGACTGGGGGCGGCCCCAGATGTGTGCGGCGCCGCGCGGGTCAAACTTTAGCATCTCGCCATACGTGCTCAGGTTGCCAAACGCCGGCGAGCGCGCGTCGCCCCACCGCCCGTTCGGGAAGTCGTCCCAGAGCCGCGGCTGCGCAGTCTCCGCCGGCCTGGGTGGCGAGCGGCCCATAGCCCAGGCGCTCCAGCACGCGCTGCACCGAGCTCTCGAGGTTGAGCGTCGTCACATGTACGCCCCATACCCCCGCCTTCTGCAGCGCCCGGATCGTGCTCGCCGCATGCTCCACCCCCAACTCCTTGACCGCCTGGTCGTTGGCGCGCACCTCCTCGAGGCTGGTTCCCAGCGGCTCCGGCACACTGACCTTGGTCAGGTGCAGCAGCCGCCGGAACGACTGGATACGACTGCACTGGCTAGAACCCCCGGCAGAATTGGCACCGCAATGCCGGCGCTGCGGCATTTCTGCTCCCACTTGATGAACGTCTCGGGGTCATACACCAGCTGCGACACGATGAAATCGGCCCCCGCCTGCACCTTCTCCACCAGGAACTCAAAGTCCCGGTCCTTGTCGGGATTCTCAATGTGGCCCTCGGGGTAGCCGGCCACGCCAATGCAGAAGTAGTCGCCGTATTTCTGCCGCACATATCTGACCAGGTCCGCCGCATGGCTGAAGCCGCCGTCGCACGCCGTCCAGTACTCGGAGCCGCGCGGCGTGTCGCCACGCAATGCCAGGATGTTCTGCACATTGGCCGCCTTGGCTGACTCCAGGGCCGAATCCAGCTTCGCCTTGTCCATGTTCGTGCATGTCAGGTGCATCACCGTCTCGATTCCGAACACCCCCTTGGCATGCCCCGCACAGCTCCAGCGTGCGCTTCCGCCGTGGCCACCGCCGGCTCCCCACGTCACAGCCACAAACAGCGGGCCCAGCTTCGACATGCGCTCAATGCGGTCATACAGGTTCACCAGGCCCTAAATGATTCAGGTATTAGCGCGGATCCCTGTTACCGGTTGCAAATAATAATACTAGTAATCTGCCGTGTTTGTACTTGCCTGTTCGGTCTTGGGCGGGAAGTACTCGAACGAGAAAAACGGCGTCCCAGCGGACCTGTGCCTCGGCAATCTTTTCGCTGACCTTCATCGCAAGTGGTGTATTTAAAAGAGTTTATTAAAGAAACAAAGCAGAAAGAGGTTTTTGCATTGCCGTTGACCGATAATCACAGCTTCCTGTTTAGCGGAACTGCATAGATCCGTCATGGTACCAAATCTAATTCCCAGATCCAGCACCAGCTGCTCTGCACACGCCAGAAACCAGAACATTGCCTCGGCTCTCCTCCCAAAAAAAAGATATAGCAAGGATTTCTAGTGCTTCTGAACTGATAATCACAGCTATCTGTCTAGTGAGGCTGTACATTATCCAGCACAAACTGCCGCACACGCTGCCGGTCATAGAGGAACAGAGTGGTTGTGGCCGCTACCAGTGCGCTGATGCCGCCAATACGCAACACCCAGCCGACGACCTCGCGGCCCGCCACAGCCATGGCTAGGTATTCAGGCCGACCGCAGCCCATTAGCAGGCTCGCTGCCGAACCACGCAAAGACCAGCGACGCAATGCCATTGATCAGGAACTGCGGCAGCACCACGTACATATTGTGAATGCCCAGTATGGTGCCTGCGGCCAGCCGGTCGTCGGCACTGGGTTCTGCAGGGCGCTGGCTTGGCGGGCGCCCTGCGCAGTGCACTGGACAGGGTCGTCCTGGATGGTCGACGCAATGCTGTCGATGCGCGGATGCCACGGCTCGGTCTCCACGGCTGTCGACGACGACCCGCGCCTCCACCCATTGTCGAGCCGCATGATGCGATTCAATGGACGCACAGCAATAAAGTCCTCGTCATCCGGACTCGCTGTCAGGCTCCGGCGCCTGCGCCATAATCGCCACGTACTCGCCGACCAGCGCAAACGGCGCCCACATGGCCAGTGCCCAGGGGAACGCCATCGAGACAATCACCACTGTGGCCAAAAGCACATTTGGCACGAAATACGTGCTGAGCAGAATCAGTCCCATGGCGAGAAGCGAGAGCCGCCACATGGCACGCAGCCCGATGGTCCACGGCTTTCCTTCCTCACTGACAAACACCGGCAGCACTAATGAGCACCCCAGGGATGTGACCGAATACAGGAAGAGCGCGAATGACCCCGCGCGTGTCGCACGGTCAAGGAACTCGGGCGAGTCGGCCGGTTCGGTTCGGGCCATGATCTCGGTCACCCAGGTCGTGGCAAAGAACAGGAACGGGAACCACGCGATCCACGCAAACACCTGCACATTGCAGATGCGCTGCACCGGCGCTGGCAGCTGCCGCACGCCCCTGACTATATGCGCCAGCGTCTGCCCCGCCGGCTCGCTGCGCACGGCCTCGGGCTGCAGCGGCTGCTCGCGCACCTGCAAGACACGTCCATGTGATGGTCACCACAAACACCAGAATTGCCAGGACACACAGCGCCTGCATCTGCGACTGCGCAGGCACCAGGACACGCAGGTCCATGAATCCCATCAGGTAGCCCGAGACGCTGCCCAGATTAAGCATCCGCCCGGCGTACGCATTCGCCAGGTCCTGCTGTGCCAGCGGCGGAATATCCAGCGCCAATGCCCGGGCGCATGCCTGCGATGTGTTGATGCTAAAGTCCAGCACATAGAAGCCGATGACTGCCAGGACGATGGCTGTGCGCGTGACCTACCCAAAGGGCCAAAGGAAATATCCGCTGTTTGTTAGCGTAGTGAATTAATGCACGCCAGATATTCCTTTTTAGTACTTACAAAGTCGGTGCTTGGATCTGCCCCGTATATCAGCTGGGCCAGCAGCTGGGCAAGTTCACGCGCATACGCTATGGCCACCATCGACATGACCACGAAGGCGGCGCCGCCAATAATGTACGGCCTGCGACGGCCCAGCCGCGATGTGCATTTGTCGCTGAGTCCGCCCACCACCGGCTGGATTATTAGCCCTACATAGCGCAATTAGCGACAATCATTAAACACAGCTCCCGCATGATGCGTGCTGTTTCCGCATTCTCCTCCCCTCCCTGACTAGCAGCAACATTGAAGCCCCATTCAGACTTTGCAAATAATGAATATCTAAAGTCTCCCATTCACTATTGTACAATTGACTCCCAGTTTAAGGGCCGCGGTTCGCGATACAACTTACCTGAAAGGGGTCCGGCCATCCACACCAGAGTCATCAGCGGCTTGGACAGCCCCAGGGAGAGCAGGTACGGTGTCCCGTAGCCCAGCTCCACCGTCCACACAAATTGGATGCCTGCCAAAAGAACAGTCATCCCGATCATCTCGCGCGACGTCAGTTCCCGCTTTGCTTCATCGCTGCCGTCTGCGCGCCCTCTTCGCCCGCCTGCTACCAGTGGTGTGCGCTCTAACGCCGGCTGTGTCATAGTCGAATGGATTCTAGAGCGGAGAGTAAGAAAGGCTTCAAGTGTAGTAAGATAGGGTTTTTTCTTCGCAATAAAACACAAAGTGCAGTTAAGAAAGTGTGCGGCTGTATCTGGAAAAAATGTGTGGAGAGAATGGAAAAGCAAGTTGGCCAGAGTGGTGGTGCCCAGGTTGGCATTACTATATATCATGGTGGCCAAGCCCAGGCGGATCACACGCCGCAGAAAAAAAAGTAGTCATGTTGGCAAAGCGAAAGAAAAATCATGATCTCTAGTCACAAGCCGCCTACAATCAGTGGACCCGGCCGCTGCGCACACCTGCAAGAAATATCCTCCCCGGGTCAGCCACCCAGCCCACAGTGACTCCCCGACAATATGGTTGGAGCAACCACAGCGCCCTTCACAGTGGGATGCATGAGCCCAACGCCGCGCATGCATCGGCAATTTCTATGAAAGGAGGGCTCCTGGTATCCCAGACCATCGCCAGGAACCCGATCGCAGCACTGCTTTTTGTTACTCCTTGACGGCCTTGCCCTGCAGCGCTACCGACCACACATTTGCCTCGACACCCGGCGGATTCACCACCGAGCACTTGCCCTCGACCTCCAGCATAATCTTGGCCGCCCGCTCCTCCGTGCGCGCATTCATGCGAGCTTTCCGCGACCTCTCCTCAATCTGCACCGTCACCCGCCGCCCTTTCTCCAGAAACTCGACCACCTTGCGCAGCTTGATCTCGAAGTCGTGATCGCCGATATTGGCATTCAGCCGCACCACCTGCGGCTTCGCTGCCTTCACTGCCGTTTTCTTCTGCCGCTTCGCCTGCCGCTCGCGCTCATACAGCAGCTTGCGCGAAAACACCCGGCACGCGGGCGGCGTCTGCTGCGGATCCACCACCATCAATGTAAACTGGTCGCGGTCCAGCTCCCGCAGCACCTGCGCCAGCGGCCGCGCTCCCTCCACCACGCCCTCAAGCGAAATCAGCGTGATCACTGCCGACTGGATCTCCTCGTCCCGCGCTGCCCGCTCATTGCCCGGCTCGGCCTTTGCTAACGGGGCCGCCCCGAAACTGGGCCGCGCTATTTGGGGCTTCGGCCGGGGCGCTATGGGCTTGGCGTTGGAAACCGATGGTTTCGGGGCAGTGGCCGGACGCATGCCGCCGATGCCGGTGCCGCGGCTGCCCATAGCGCGCAGCTTTGACGCGAGAAACGCTGTGCGGTTATTGCCAGCCGGCTGTGCTCGGTCGCAGGCCCTGGCGCTGGTGTGGATGTGGAAGCGGCTTGCTGCCGCCCAGCCCTTTGTTACATTCCGCGACAGCATTGAATCAAAAATGAAAATATTCAGCATGCAAATAGCGTAGTCTAGGGGGAAAAAGGCGGATAGGCTCACGTCACGTTATTGCTTTGGCCTTGGGTCTGCACGATAAGCCGAGCGGCTTGGCCGGCTCGCGGCTCGCTACTTGCCAATGCAGAATGTGCTGAACAGCGCGTCAAGGACATCCTCAATGCCAGTCTTGCCGGTGATTCGGCCGAGGGCATTGCTCGCCTTGCGAAGTTCCTCGGCTGCCAGAACAACAAGGTCTTCGTCGATCCCTACGATAAACACAAACCCGCGTCAGCAACTGAGTAACACCAACAAAAAAGAAAAAGGAAAAGCAATAGGACTTACGCAAAAATGCCTCAAGGTGCACCAGACACTGCTCCAGATGCTCCCGATGTCTGGCCTTGGTCAGGGGCATCTGCGCTGCCGCTGCCGACTCCCAATTGGCGCCAATCCGACCAGCAAGCGTATCCATTAGCTGCTCCCAGCCCAGCATAGTGGAGCACGACACGGTCATGACGTTGTTTGTGATTCCCAGGCGTTCCTTCCACATCCCAATCCGGGCACTGTCGAGATTGCCTGCACCAATCTTATCCGCCTTATTGAGGACGACAAATGTATTTGGCATCGCCAAGATCGGGTCCCAGTCGTGCTCGTCTGCGGTCGTACCAGGGTCGGCCAGCTCTTGTATGTCGAACATGCAGATCCGGAGGTCTGCGTGCTTTGCTGAGTCGACAGCCCGCCGGATGCCTTCCTGCTCAATGGCGTCATTGGCGACTCGCAATCCTGCCGTATCTTGCACGACCACTGGGTATCCGCCAATGTCCAATGTCGTCTCCACAATGTCCCGGGTGGTACCGGCGATTGGCGAAACAATTGCCACCTGCCGCTGTGCTACAACCCAAGCAGACCATACATATTACCAGGCTTGCTATCATTTTTTTTGGTGCAGGACTACCTGTATCCATTAGCCTACTTGGCGGTAATGGATTGGAGCAACCTACCGAGTCTGTTGAGCAACGTGCTCTTGCCAGCATTGGGTGGGCCGACAATCGACAGCAATACACCATTGCGCATTATCTCACCACGTCGCCGGTCATCCAAGTGCCTAGAGATTTGCGCCTCCAGCAGCTCCACCTGCCTGCGTACCGCCTGATACACGCCATCCTCGATGTTCTCCTCCTCGCTAAAGTCAATGTAGGCCTCAACCATCGCCATTCCCTTGACCATCTCCACCCGCCACTGCTCGTACATCTGGTGCAGTTCGCCCTGCGCCTGGCGGACTGCCAGCCGGCGCTGCGCTTCGGTCTCGGCGTTGATCAAATCGGCCACGCCCTCGAGCTCGGTCAAGTCCATCTTGTCATTGGCGAAGGCGCGCCTGGAGAACTCGCCGGGCTCGGCCATACGCAGGTTGAGCTTGCGCAGGGCAGAAAGAATGCTGGCGATCACCGCGGTCCCGCCATGTACGTGCAATTCGCCCATGTCCTCGCCTGTGTACGAGTGCGGACTGGCAAAATACAAACACAGGGCGGTGTCCAATGTGTTGCTCGGATCGGCCGGATCCCACAGCCGCCGCAGCACTGCCTGGCGCGGACTTGGTACCCGGTTACATAGCAGCTGCCCAAGAGCCTATAGGGGTGAACTTTAGAATGTAGTGCCGAATTTCACCCGGGGAGGGGGGCTTCATATATGGCTGTAAACAAACAAATGCATCTTACATCTCTTGTTTGCGCGCCAGAGATCCTAATAATAGCTATTGCCGCTTTACCCGGGTGAGTCGATAGCGCGTAGATCGTGTCCTTGGCGCGGTTCCTGTGGTTGGTCGTGCTGTCGGACGACAATTGCCTAAACATAGATCGGCCGCCCCAGGCAGTCGAGGGTGCCCTTATAGTTGTCCAACAAGAACCCACGAGATTCGCTTGTCTAACCGCAGTCGCAGGCGCCCATAGGCCCATTCGCGCAAACTGATAAAGTGATCGGTGCAATAAGCGGGGCACAGCACGAACGATCATTTTGAGGCCAATATTGTGTTCCAGAATATGAAGTAAAAGCAGTACACGACGCTGTCGGTTAGCTCAATCGCAGGTTGTACAATTCCACCTGGCAGTGGGTGCCGCCAAACACTATGTCTTGTGGGTCTTTTGTTAGTCTGGATCTGGCGCTGAGAGACTTTGCTGGTTGGGCATCGGAGTACAGAGAGGCTTAATAGGTTTGCTCACGCGGGATTTGTGCTTCCATTTCCCTCCAGACAGACTCCACTGGCCAGGACTATCGCTGTGGTGTTCCCGCACAATCTCAGTCCGAGACACAAAGAGACCTGGAGGCAAGGTTGTGCCATTGATCTCGGTACTGGCAGAAACAAGGGACGGGAATGGGCGGTGGCAAGCAGGGGGCTGATAGCAATAGCTTACGCCACACCTCCCTCCTCTGCCCACCCAAGCATAAGGCCGGATGAATTGGCCCCACTCGCAATGTCCCGCAAAAGGGAGCCGGGAGTGATAGTGCGTGTCCTGCCTTCCTAGGCCAGTCGAAGGACGGATCGCACTGCTATATTCGACTTGTGCTGCTACAGTCTGCGTCAGAGTGTAGCAGGCTAGTCACTCTTCTCGAAAGGATGACTTTCGCCAGACAACACTCGCCCACCCAACCAGCGGCATGTAAATAGAAGTCCACTGTTGTCTTAAAAAAGAGGACCCAGTGCCCACGCCCAAGTGGACAAGGCATCTGTTTTTATTTCTTTTCTGAAGCCGATCGTACATTAAAAAGCACACTCACAGGTAAATGAATCAAGAATGCAATGTTGCACAAGCATAGCTTGAATTGGGTCTGTGAAGACATAAAAAAATGGTTCCTAGCTTATGAGCTGGACAATTTTTCCCTTCCAGTGCAACGTCGCACTGATCGGGGACGGAGATGTGATGTCGGCATGGTGGAAGAAAGAAGCAGCATTTTACAAAGGACATGGAACTTGGCCTATGGCCTTTCAACATGGACATGCTTTGCAAAAGGCCGGTCCTGGAAAGCCACATTGCGAACTGTCAGAACATGCTGCCAGTGCCTTCACTCTAAGACTTTAAACCTCGGCTGTTTTGCCCCCTCCCCCTTTTCCCGCTTTCTCGTTGAAAAAGGAAGGCAAATCCAGGGTTGACCCATGTCCAACAGCAGGCGACTTTCATAGGACGAGGGATGGGACAGGGAATGCAGGACGTGCAGTGGATGGCCATTGTCGCCGCCCAAATGACCACTTATCCTCACTTTGACGCCAACGAAACAAAACAACACAAAAGCAGCCTCCTTGGAAGTCCTGGCCATCTCGACTTTCTCCCTGTCCCTGTTTTTCGTCTGAAGTCTGGTGACATGAGGCCACCATCTCGGTGATGGACGTGGGACTGGGGAGGAAACGTATGCCTTTTTGCTGCTGCCAAAACAATCAAATGGAAGGTGCGTGTTAATACATTGCTGTTATCGATTAATGGCGTGCGTGCACCGAGCCTAGATGGCCTCCCCGTCTTTTGTATATGTTTTCCGCCCAGGCCCCTGTCCCGGCAGAAAGACTCGTATGAAGCTATACATGATGTCCCAGTGTCGCGGGTGGCCTGTGCTGGGCTAGTGGTTGTTTGTGCAAAGCTCCATGGGGACGCATTACGCAGAGCAGCCAAGGGGGGTGGGATGAACTGCATAGGACGAGGGTAAATTTTTTAATGGCCAGCATGGCTTTCCAGATTCCTGACCGGGCAGACAGCGAAATTGAAATCGCTGCCAATGTGTGCACCAATATTCCCGTCCACACTCATTACGATGATTTCCACACTAGATGGCGGCTCGATTACGCATTTTTTCGTAGTGCATTCTGTGCATTTAATAGTCGGGCTTGTTATGAGCGAGCATGGGCGCTCGTTTTTTATCACTTCGTTCGCCGGCTGTTTAAAAAAAGGCGATGCTTAATTGACTGAGAACACACCGTGCCCCGTGTGGCCAATACCCGCCCTCTGCTGGCATCCTGCAGCACTGGGATGGGCATGGGGAGGGGCAATACCAGGGGTGGCGACCACCCCATCCTCCCGCCTTCGCCGTCCCACGTCCGAGCCTTTTTTGGGTCAATCGCTAAAAAGTTTTTGGAATTCATAAAGTTGGCTAGCAGGTCATTTCCTTTCGCCCTTCCCTTTTTCCTGCAATGAGCAGCGAGTGTTCCTGTGTTCAGCGAACAGAATAAATACGGCCTGCCTTTTTCCACCTCGTCATTTTTCTCCTCTTCTCCCACCGTGCCCAGCTTTCTTTTCCTCCCCCCTCTTCTGACAGCTCCCTCAAAAAGGACCTGATAATACTAATAACTCTCTTTTTCTCCTCTTCTGACTACCTATTATACCTGGCTCTATTTCATTCTTCCCTCCTTCTCTTGTACTTGGTAACCATTCTTTCTTTAAAAATAACACTAAAATGGATGTTCGTCCAGCCCCCGCGCCGTATGGCCAGCAGCCGTTGGCGTCTGTTTCTACCGCTGGGTCTTACTACTCTCCCCACCAAAATATGCAAGCATCCCAACCACCACAGCAGGCTGTGCCTGTGACAGTGCAGCAGCAACAGCAGCCAATAGCTCCCATGTACCGCGTTGACCAGGCGCGCCATGGCCAGCACATGTCTCCCTCCCATCCCTACGCCAGCAATGTCCCGCCGATCACCATGTCTGGCAGCCAGCAGCCGCCCAGCAATCATGGGCAGCAGCACCCGCTGTCGATGGTGTCGGTCAAGGGCAAGCGCAAGCGGGCAAGCCCGCAGCAGCTGCAGATTTTGAACAAGGTTTTTGCCGAGACGTCATTCCCGTCGACCGAGACGCGTAACCAGCTTGCGCAGCAGCTGCAGATGACGCCGCGCACGGTTCAGATCTGGTTCCAGAACAAGCGCCAGGCGGCGCGCATGAAGGACACCTCTGGCAACGGGCCGCGGCTGTCGAATCACATCAGGCCCAAGCCCAGCACCAACAAGTCCATGTCGCCGGTGGCCACAAGCAGCCGCCGGATGTCCATATCCTCGCACTCAGCGGCATCGTCGACGTCTCCAGTGGCCAACAGTGCGCTGAGCGTGCAGTCGAGCCAACAGAACAAGAGCTCGGCCTCGCCGGTATGGAGCGAGGAGAGCGGGGCGGTGATAAAATCAGCACTTGGCTATATGATCAGCAGCGCGCCCACAGCGATTTCAACGCCGCCGCCGGTCACACCAACCTCTGCGACGTATGCCCAGCAGCCGGCAATCATGACACCGCCGCCGCCAATGCCGCACAGCGCGGAGCCGGTGGTGCTATCACGCAAGCCAGATGTGCCAGCCATGGTGACCACGTTCTCGAGCGACCACCTCATTCCGTCGGCCGTGCGGTCGTCATCGTTCATCAGCGACCGGGGCTTCAACCCGCAGCTGCAGCATACGCGGCGCGACCCGTGGTTCAGCAACGACCGCTCAACAGGCAAAATGGGGTACTTGTACTCGAATAGCACGCCGTCGCAGGTGTCATTCATGCGGTCAAAGTCTGATTGTAACAGCGCAGGCAATACCGTGCTGCCCCAGCTGCAGCAGCATTCAGCACAACGCTCATACTCCCTGATGCCGCCAACAATGAATAGGCACCCCGTCGCTGTCATATTCCGAAAAGCCCGCTGCAGCCAGCCATTAGCAGCAGCAACACCAGCAGCCGCAGCGCCCTGACGCCGCCTGATGCCGTCCCCGTGCAGCGGTCAATGTCGCTGCTGGCAATGCTCGATGCCCCGCCTGAGCAGCGCACGCTCCCCCCACTCCCCCCACTCCCCCATCCACCCCTAAAGCCTTTTTACAGTACCAAAAACAAGATTATGTATATTCCCAACCCACACCCAGTGCACGCACATATGCGCCTATTCAATTTAATTCCAGCGGCTGCCGTCCAATGACACCTCGCAATGTGACCAATAAATAAAAAAAGTGGGTGTCACCAACCTGGCACGTTTGAACGCAATGGCATGAAACCGTGTCCGCTTTAGCAAGCAAACAGATAGACAGCCGATTCGCTTTGGATTTTTTTATTAGGCACAAGTATGCAGTGTTCCAATTCTGAACGCATACATGAATGTCCCTCCTACCTCCGCAGTCTCACCCATGCTCTCTTTGTGCTTTGCGCCCGACGTGCATATCCCACTGCATTTCGACACGGGTACAGACATCATATCCGGGTATGAAAATCAGCATCCCCTCCAATGTAGTAACGAGATACAAATACCCACGTCAGCCAACCATATCCCCCTTGGTACACTAACCACCAAGCCCAAAATTTATGAGAACGCCTGGAACACAGGATTGCTGTGATCTTCTCATGACAAAGTCGCTTTGCAAATCCACGGCCTCATCCGCAGAATGAACAGACGAAAAGGAGCCCAGAAAAAACTGGTACATTATGCCTGTCCACACACCTCCGCTACCGGCCGATCACAGCTGCCACTCCTCCTTTCTACAGCCCTTTGTAGTAATGCTTTTGCGCGGGTCGACCTTCCTTCGCATGGCAGACTGGTGCAAACCACGTCGACGGATCCGAGCGGCGTGCATGCTGGGGGCGTGTTTAACTTTATGATAGGCGCGACTGCGTGATCCGAATGATTGCCTGTCGACCGAGTCGGTGTCATTTGTAAAAGGGAGTTCAATATATTTTCTCTATACAATGAACAGCACATCCTCAGTAGCCACCATACCTGGCTTCATCCTGTTGGAGTGCCTTTGCAAAATAAAAAACGAATGAACCTAAAAATATCGTTGAATGATCTGCCTCTGCTCCTGTCGTGATAGCATACCCGTGCCAGAGAAGAAGAGATTAGCCCTAAAACAAAATTAATTGTTGTTCCAGCGCGGTATTCAAAAAATGGGCGGATTGTTGAATTATGCAGCTACAAGGTAATGCAAGTGTCATCCGGTTCCGAGGCAGGCGAAGAAAAAAACAGCTGCCGACTTTGCCGCATGCCTCGCTCTGTTCGTGCAGAGACGAACACTTGGCCTCTGCGGACGTCCGTCTGCGAAAAAGAAAACAGGACAATCCTCGCTGGCGCTCCTAAATATGGCAATGGACTCGGCTTATGCGCTGCTTTTAATTAAACCATCTCAACGCGATTCATATATCTTTTTTAACCTGGCGACACAGGTGCCAGCAGACATGGCACGATAAAAATGTGGGCTCCCCCTTTGTGACCCGTTTCCCAGCTGAGAAAATGGCCGCTGCAAGATAAAGACGCACTATTGCCCACGCATGCCGCACCCCAATGTCATGCGGTGGTGCGGGCCGGTCATGCGACTCGCGCCCATCTGCGGAAGCCACAAAAAGGAATGCTCACACACCCCATCACCAGCCATCAGCCATATGGAGTGATCAGATCGATCATCGAATCAACAGATACAACGATTCAATCACCCATTTCGAAATTACCACGTCCAATGGCCCAAATCCAAACTAGCGAAGTCGCTCAGCGCACAGTGGCTGCGATCCTTCTTTTAAACACATTGGCTTTTCAAAGTGACATTAAAAAATGGTAAGGAGAACCGGACGCGCGCGGCACAAACAGGAGTTAGCCCGCAGTGGATGGATGCGGTATTTTGCAGCGACGGATACGGAGCAGAAAGCGAGAGCTGCCGGGAGCAGACATTTCGAATCAGACATGGCCATTGGGGGAATTTCGAATTTTGGAATGCGAATTTCGGAGCTCCTGATGGAGAGAATTCGGCCCAGAGTCTGATTTCTTCCCGCAACCACCAGACAGATTTGTGTGTTGTTAAAACCCCCCACCCGCCATCTCACCACACCTGTAGACCAAGGGTACCACTAGCTTCGGTAGGCGTCACACCAAGACCCACTCTCTGTGCAAGCGCTGCGGTCGCCGCGCCTTCCACAACCAGAAGAAGACTTGCGCTTCGTGCGGTTACCCGTCGGCCAAGATCCGCTCCTACAACTGGGGCATGAAGGCCAAGCGCAGAAAGACCACCGGTAGTGGCCGCATGCGCTACCTCAAGACGGTCAACAACCGCTTCAAGAACGGTTTCCGTGAGGGTGTCAAGGCTGCCAAGTCTGACTAAGCTCCTAAGCAGTTTAGAAGAATCCCCCAATTCCATTCTTGTGCCTGACCTGAACTCGTGCGCCTGTGTTTTTTTGATCTTGTTGCCGAAGGGAATAGCTTTTGTGTTCTTTTTGCAAGCCATGCGGGAGATGAAAAATACCAAACGAGATCACATTGAAGTAATATTTACGTTGAAAATGCTAATGGTACATGGGCCGCGATGGCGGTGGTGCGTAGTCGTCGCGGTTCTGACGTAACTGCCGCTGCGCAGAGTCCTGCTCGGAGGCCTGCCTGCGCAGGTCCAGGGTGATGGCCGACAGGGCTTCGGGGTTCAGCCCCAGGCTCAGGAGCCGCATGGCTGCCGATATCTGCTGCTGTGTCAGGTCGCCGCCCATTTCGCGCGACATGGCCTCGAGAACTACAGTGCATGAGCAAAATTAGCGCCAATGCAAGGGGGCGAATGCAAGCCGGGCTGAAATATGCGTGGGGGCTGCTTACCTTCGAGCACAGCGGACTGCGTGTCCTGGTGGTGCCTGCTCATTGTCAATGGACTGCAAATTGGTGCAAAAAAATGGGGCGGAGAAGCTTAGGGCGGAACGCGCTTCGACGCGTCTGCAGCAGTGTTTGGCTGGCTCTGGCGTGCGCCTTTTTTATTTTTTATTTTGGCTTAATCAGAAACCTGGGCCCACTTGATCGCGCATTGTTTTTCTGCCTGCTTCCAGAGAAAAAACCTTGGGCGAAAATGGTGAACCGTGACGCTGCCTACCACAGCCGCCGCCCCTGCCTTGGCCACTCTTGCTCTTTGCTCTGCTTTTTTCTTTCCTTCTAGCTTTACTTTCAAAGTCTCTTGGAGCACCTCACTCTATACTCTATTTTCCACCGTGGTTCGAAATCTGGGAACATAGCAAGCATCTCGTTATTGACACTGTACATACCCAACCCCAATTTCTCCTCTCTCGAGACCTCTTATTCTCAGTGCACTCACTAGGTTTGCGTTATTGTACGAATGGCCAGAAAGTCAAAGAAGGGTAGTAACGCTGCCGCCCCTAAGGAGCATGCCGAGCCGGCAGTCCCCATCCAGGAACCGGCTGCCGCGGACCCGGTTCAGCAGTCCGGCGAGGACAGCGACTCGGGTGCCACGGGGCATGTGGCGACTGACGACTCGTCTGCTCTGGAGGCAGCCACTGCAAAGAAGCCGTCTGCGCTGACGGCAGCCATCATGAAGAAGCTCCGCAACTACCGCAAGAAGCTGGTAAGTACAATACCTGTTGGTCAGCTGGACATGCATATCTTTTGGACATCTTTTTATGGACGATACATGCTCTTGGCTTCGTACAATTTCCAGCCAGCCAGCCACCCAACTCACGCATAAGCTTTTTTTTTGCACCAACAATTCGTTGTCGTGTAGCAGCGCGCAGAACAGTACGAACAAAAGAAGCTGAGCGGCGGTGAGGTCAACGCCGACCAGATTCTGACGATCGCAAAGAAGGAGCAGTACCAGCTGCTGGTCAAGGAGCTGAGCGAACTCCACCAGCTGTCGCTGGAGCAGGACGCTGAAGAGAGCGATACGATGGAAAAGGTTGTCCAAGACTTCACACAGACAGCCTCCGACTCGATTGCCAAGACTAGCTTGGAGCTGGCGACCGGCATTCTGGCTAACGAAGAGCTTGCGCATAAGCAAGCGCTACGCCTGTTCAGTGCGGACCAACAGGTTGCCCAGAACCGGCGAAGAGATCTCTGCCGACAATCGCGCAGCCCTGCAGGGATTTTACGAATTGGTCGTTGTGCCTGATGAGAAGGACGTGTCATTCACTGACGCTGGTCTTAGCCATGTGCGTGCGCTGGCAAAGAGCGCCGACAGTCTGGTCCAGGGACTGGAGGGCGAGATTACGTACGGTAATGTTGTCAATATCATTGATCAAGTGCTTGCGGCCGAGCTTGTCCGAAGAGCAGCCAGTCACTGAGGAATTGAAGCTTGATGTCGCTGGTGAGGAGGTGGAGGGGAGTGACGCCAAGCCAGCTGCTGCTTCCAGGGATGTGCAGGAACCATCCAAAGAAGAGCTAGCTGCTGCTGCGGCTGCCAGGGTCGAAGGGACCAACAAGGGCGAGGATGCGTTTGATGGGGTGCGCATGCCCAAGATGCCCAGTGTGTATATCGACTCCACTACTGGCGGCGACCCAAACAGCGACTTTGTCACCAAGGTCGTTGTGCCTCCTGGTGGCCTCACTTTTATGACCCATGTTGACCTGCCTGGGGCTTCCAGCAACGAGCCAGCCGAAGACAAGGACGGGGCCAAGCCTGAAGAGACAGCGGAGCAGCTCTCGCAGCTCCCTGCAGAAACGACACCTGATCTGGCGATGCCTGGCGGTGAGAAGGCCTGAGGACACCACTGAGGACGCTGCTGTCCCCGAAACAGAGACTGAACTGGTTGGCGGCTTTGCCCAGCCTGCAAAGGTGGTTGTTCCCAACGCACACACGCCAATGCACGGGTCTGTCGGTGCTGGCATGGATCCGAGCCAGCAGCCACCTGCTGGCTTTGGTCTCTATGGCGGACACCCTGGCGTTGGCATGCCCAACTGGTCGGCTGCTGCAGCCACTGCTGCCGGAATGCCTGGCATGCCTGGCGGCTACGGCATGATTCCGCTGCCGTACCCTCCGCACTTTGCCATACAGTACGGCTATATGCCACCTCACATGTTTGGTATGGCTGGCGCGGGTATGCCATCCAACTCGGGTGTGAACACTGGGCATCCGTCGGCAGTCGCCTCCAATGCATCGCACGTGGGAACGCCTTCGGCCAGGGCTTCGCCTGCAGTGCCCGACCCCAGCAGCTCGGCATCGGCGTCGGCATCAGTCATTGGCGGCGGCCCAGGGCGAGCAGATTTGGCCGCCCACTTCTGACGGCCCGGCCAAGGCTATGCCTACTGCATTCGATGGCGCGGCACCAGGGCTCGCCCAGCCGAACCAGCAGCAGCAGCCGCCGCCGCCTGCGGGGGACGCATATCACGCAATGGCAGCTGCTGCCAATGTCGTTGCTGCCGGGTATCCGCTCAACGTGCCGTTCATGTATCCGCATGTGGATGCATCGAACGTGTCTACTGCAGCGACTGGTGGTGGATCCGAGAACAACGAGTCTGTTAACTCGTTGGAGTCGTCGTCAAACAAAGGCGGGAGCGCTCGGACCCTCGTCAGGCTCATTTCCAGCAGCAGCAGGCCAGCAGCCGCAGCCGGACGTAGCCCCCCGCGGGTTTACCCAGCCTGGAATGGGCGAGTATCCCAATGCTGCCACTGCTCAGTATGGATGGCCGGCTCCACCCGGAGATTTCGTCAAGGCATACCAGCAGCAGCACCAGCAGCAACTGCAGCAGCCCGGTGGTCCATACGGCGGATATGCTCACTACCAGCAACACCCCAGCACCCCAGCATCCCCAGCATCCCAGCATCCCCAGCATCCCCAGCATCCCCAGCATCCCCAGCAGCAGCCCGGCGGTCCTGGGCAGCTCCAGGCACAGGGACAGAACTTCCGCCGCCGCGGCTCTGGGAGCAACAGCAGCGGCAGTGGGTCGAGCCACCATCACCACCACCACCCACAGCAGCGCGACCGGCGCAACAACTCTGGGTACCAGCAGCGCCAGCGCTGGGGCAATTCGCAAAACCACAGGCAATGGCGGCCAGGGATTCAGGCAGCAGGGCCACCATCACGGCCAGAACACAGCCGAGCAGGCAGGCTATGGTCGCGCCTGCTTGGCGATGTCTCGGCATTGGGCGCAAACCCAGCAGCCTATTATGCCTGGCAACTACGGACGGCAGTGAGGTCTATTCATGACGGTCTCTGCACTGCAGCCTCATGCGGCTCTCACTAACAAAACGGCAATGGTCCTTGCCACCCACCCGTTTGCTCCACACCCCCAGGCCTCCTGCAGCTTGCTGGCATCGAGTGTGTTGACACGCCTGCTTCCTAGTTTCCTTCTGGCTCTTTAATTTCTCGCTAGCTTCTGATTTTCTTAACCTTCCAATCCACGTGTATTTTACACCATGTCATAGGCAGAGCGTATTCGGATCATGCTGACCAGACAATCTATTGAAGTCATACACCCTGGGCCATATCTAGAACCAGCGTGCCCATCCCTCACCCTCGAGCATGGCCCTGGCAGCTCTCTCAACCGCCTTGCCGGCTTCGTTGACCGGTGTCTCTGCGAGATTAAACAGGAAGCAGTCGTCAAGCAGGAGCCGTAGGTCGCACACAAAGTCAGCGACATACCGGTACACCTTCTTGGTCAGCTTGCGCTGAATCGTCGAAAAGTCCATCGGGTTCTTGACAATGGCAAAGTACGTCGGCACGCCCAGAGCAATCGGATCTACAGGCTTCAAGAATGGCCACGCGTGCTCGCCCTGCTTCAGCTTGGTCAGCATTGTGCGTGCCCGTGCATGTTCCCGGTCGCTCATCGGCGGGTCCTCAGGCAGCGGCGTGGGCACCAGGTACCTGGGGCTCGACGCCAAGAGTGAGCAGTCCAGGCCGTGCGAAAGGCTTCCTGCAGATTCAGCCCCTGCGTGTGCACATATGTGTTCGGCACATTGAACAAGAAGCAGTTGTGCAGCACCAGCTGGACATCGTCACGGAACTCCTCGGCAGTGCGATACTTCTGGCGGTCCAGCTTCTTGCGGATAGTGCCCAGGTCCATGGGCTTCTTGATGATGTCAAAGTAGGTTGGCACGTTCTGCTTGACTGGGTCCACGGGCGCCATAAACTCCATCGCCGCCGGCAACGCCTGCAGCCGCAGGAGCACGCGTGCGCACACACGCATGGCGTCTTGTGATACCGGCGGACCACGAGTCGGACCGGCAGCCTGGTCAAGGTACCGCATTATTGTGTCTGGGTCGTCCAGGGAGACCAGCGACTCGGCTGGCCCCTGCCTGCTGGGCGACGCGGACTGCTGTCCACTTGAGGTGCCGGCATGTTTGGGCGATGCCGAATGGCCCTTGCTGACCTTGAGCTTTAGATGGTTGCTGCCCGGGCTCGATTCTGTGGACACCGGCTTGCTCGTCTGCTTTGTGCGCGGGATCTTGATGTTCTTGATGGTCGCCGCAATATGGCTGCTTCCGGGCAGCGCATTCTCCATCTCCAGGTCTGCCTTGCCGCTTCTGCTTTCCACTGGGTCCGTGCTGGCTTTGCGCTCAGCAGGGCTGCGGTCGTCGCCTTTGTCCACTCGCGCTCAAACGCCGCCTCCACCTCCTTGCCCATTCGTGTGCACAGGCGTGCCAGCCGGGTTGAAGGCAAAGCAGTTGGCGAGCATCAGGCGCATGTCTGCAGCAAAGGCATCCATCGATGTGTATCGGCTTGCATCCAGCTTCTCCCGCACTGTCCGCAAGTCCATTGGATTCTTGATCACATCGTAGTACGTTGGACAGCCATCCAGGACTGTGTCCACTGGACGCATGAACGGGAATGCAGAGGCGTGCCGACTGACCTTCCGCCATACACGCAGCAGCAGCTTGGCCTGCGACGAGTCTAGAGCTGCAGACGTTGACGGCTGCAGCACATCGCCGCTATCACGTTCGCAAACGACCCAGACTCAATCCTGCGCTTCTTGCGCTTGACTGTCTCGGGCGGCGCGACCACCGGATCATTCACTGGGTAGTATGTGTCCTGGTGGTGCTGCCGAGTAGTCAGGCTCGACTGGCGAATACGCAGCGCTGGCCAGTCCAGACCGCCCAGCCATCAATTGATCTGGTTCCTGTGGACTGTATACGGGCGACCAGGCTGTTCGGCGTGACTCTTCCTTGCGAGCGACGTGATGGCGAAGCAGCATGAACGGCCAGTGGCGACGAGACCCGTGGTGCGGTCGAGTGATACTGTGGCGGTGACATGCTCGGCGAAAACGCAGGCGTAGCATGATGGCCGTACGGTGACCGGTGGGTGGGAGATCCGCGCGAGGCTGGTGCTGCTGGCTGCGGTTTGGACTTTGAGGTTTTCAGTTTGAGCTTCAGTTTGAGCTTGGTTGGCGGCGCCGGAGCTGCCGATGGCAGAGGCTCTGGACTCTGTCGTCGCTGACTGTCAATGGCTTGATATCACCTGTCAACGGTGTCTGGGCAGCTGGCACTGCCGGTCGCTCGGGAGCTGGCGGTACAAAGATCGGTGGCGGCCGGGTACCTGCAATGGCAGGTAATGCTGAGTATCCTGGAGACAGCGGCTGTGCGGGCAATCCATCTGTAGATGAGTCCCTGTTGTGGTGGTGCTTGCGCTTCTTCTTTCTATTTTCCGTCCACTCATCTCCATGCGCCGAGAACAGTGTACTTGGCGGGCTGCCAAACTCGCCAGGCACCACATCTGCCGAATACGGATCCTCGTTGACTGTCAGGCCGCCAGACACAGCTGGCGGGTAGCGACTTGTCGCATGGCTCAGCGACATCAGCGGCACATCTTCGCTGTCGCTGGATGCATTCGAGCGGTTGACTGAGTGCGACTCACGCGCCACCCCGCCCTTGCGCTTGCTGCCCAGCTTGATCTTCAGCTTCTTGGGCGCAGCAGAGACTGGTGGTGGTGCCGACGAGTCAAAGGTTTGGTAGAGCAGCATGTGGAAGTACCCGAGCAGGGTGCGTGCCGGCGCTGCCAGCGTCGAGTCATACATGGCTGACGACAGAATGGTCTGCAGCTGGGGCGAGTCCTCCACCGTCTCTATAAACGACTCGAGGCCGCCAACTAACCGCGCGTCTGTGTCGATATACTCTGTTGCACCGCTGCCCTCCTGTTCCAGGAACAGAAGGCTGTTGTGCTGCTGGCCGTACATCATCGACCGTGTCATCAGCATCTCCATCATGTAGCGGTTGACAGTTGTTGCCAAGCGCGGTGCATCCGAATCGGTTGCCAGCATCATGAAGTACCGGTTAAACACCGGGTCGCCCATGCCCCAGTGCAGCAGCAGCCCACCCACAGCCACCTCACGCACAGTCACGTAGCTATCGATCGAAGCCATGCTGAAAGAACATGGCTGTGTTGAACAGGTGCTCCTGCGCCTGCACCAGCGACAGCCGCAGCAGAATAGTCCATGGCGCCCACTGTGATGACATTGTGGTAAGACGGCACCAGCATGTCGAGCTTGCGCAGGCGCTCAACCTCATTGAGAATCCCGTCCTCGGCCTGTGGATCGCTGCCCAGCGCGTACTTTTGCGAGAACCGGTCGCTGGCAATGATCCCGTTAGACAGCGCCCGCACAAGATCTGCCAGATAGTAGCAGTCCGAGTACATGTTCTCGCTGTTGTCGTTGTACCGCAGCGCACCGATCATCAGAGTACGTGCTGCCGCCGGCGCTTCGTTGTTGCGATTGCGGATGTTGGACAGAGCCGCCAGTAGCGCCTTCTGCGTGAAGTATTCGCCAATGTTGGCAAAGTTATTGGGCTTGGGTAGCCGTGGCACCGAGATGTCCTCGCTATCACCTTCGTCACTGGCTTCGTCAGCAGCTGGCGGCATGCAGTACCGGTTTTTGTAGATTTTGATCAGGTGGTGCAACCCGATCCAGTCCAGGCTCTCTTTAGCAAACCGCTCCAGCGCCATGGCAGCATCGACCCGCACCCGGTAGAACACTCGGCCGTCCATCACCGTGCGCATCAATGTGGTCGATGCCGCTGAGGATGGCAGCAGCCGCAAGGCGTCGACGGCCTCGAGCTGCGCAACCACATCGCGATCCTTCTGCAGCTGCGCCGCCCACATAAAGTCTGGCTGCTCAAAGTGAATCACACATGCCCACTCCAGATCCGAATCCATCCGGATCCACTCGAATGTCGCACTGGCCAGGCTCTCCTCGTCGTCCTCGCCCCACTCAACCACGCGCCAGTTGCGCTTCTCCTGCTCGTTCTCAGCACCAAACAACGCAATATTGCTGTATGTCTCGTCGTCATCCTCGATGCCCAGGACATCCGCGTTGACGCTAAGCTCCTCGGCCGCCGCCGCCATTTGCCGCATGTGGAACCGCTTGGTGCTGCGTCGGATTCGCTTGTACTTTGTGTTAAACTGCACCTCGAACTTTTTGCACGACTCTCGGATATCCAGAACGTGCTCGTAGGGCGTTCCATCGGCCTCACGAATACGCGCTGTCATCTGCCCGTTGAACAACTGCGGGCGGGCCCACGGCGCCTGTGGCCTTCGAGTTGGTCGACTCCTGGTGCATGGTGATCTCGACCACCAGCTTCTTGCGGTTGAATGCATAGCTGAAGTGAAATACTGGGCACCCAGTACCCTGGATCCACTGCTCAGCAAATGTCTTGAGATCGACTCCACTGACCTTGCGGCACATCTTCAAAAACCACCCGGTGCGAATCGCATTCGATCGCGTCCAGATCACCGACTCATCGCTGCCACCAGGATCTTTGGCACAATGCGGTGCAGTCCCAAAGACATTCCACCCTTCATCATGCGCTTATCAAGCATGTAAAGCACAATCGGGGCCTTGAGCTGCATAAACTGGATTCTCGGCCGGATCAGTCACAGGCGGCTGGCCATCGTAGCTGATCGGCCGCTGGTTGACATCTGCGTGGCATAACCGCGACATGTCGCGCTTCAGGCGATACCGGTACTCGTTGTTGCCCAGGTTGTGCTTGACAAACAGGCCAGCAGCAAATCCTGCCAGCCCAACCACCAGCCACATGTCGCTCCACTCGTCTGGCGTGATATACGTCCCAAACCACTGCTGCGCGATTGCCAGTCCCAGACACCGCCGTGTCTCATACACCTGCTCGATAATGTTTGGCGGGTGGCAGAAAGTCAGTGCGCACAATTGTCAGCGACGCACACGTGATGATGGGCTCCCGTAGCCCATCCATGAACACGATCTTGTACGTAGTGTACGGGTATGAGCCAAATTCTTGCGAGTGGAAAGCTAGCGCCTCCGGGATGAAACTGCACGTGGTCTCGAGCTCCGTCTGCAATCCAGGATACGTGAACGCAAACACCCCGCCGATTGCATCGACTGTAGACCTCTTGAGCTTTGAGTTGTGGCTGGTCTTGGCTGCCTGCTGCTCACCTGCAGGCCCCATTAGCTGCAGCCTCATCAGGTTGTACCTTCTTCTGCCCCTTGTCGTTGGTGGTCAGCCTTCGGCTTCGCCACTAACAGATTCCATGTCCCCTTTATCCTTGTCTCTCTCCTCTGCATCCCTCTCTTCTGTGCCATCTTCCTTTGACTGCTCCTGTGCCGGACTCGCCAATGCCGCTAGACGCCTCCGGGTTCATATCTGTGCCAGTTGGCCAGCAGACTGCCATCCAACGTGTAGGCACTTGTGAAAGGGCCAACTACGAACCCAATAGTCGATGCCGGCGACGCAGTTGACATGAATGTAGCGAAAAACGCGCTTAGTCGGATCGCGTGGGTGCACCACCAGCGAGCTCAGCTCTCCGCTGGCCACGACCGTCAGCGGCAGCAGCTTTGATGGATCATCTTCAAGATCGCCAAGACACGCTGGCACGCTGAAGAACATATCCCAGGTGCAGCGTGCATGCACACTATCAAGGCAGGGCAGCCAGGCACGTGTAAAACTCGGGTAGGTCTGCGTCTCGGTGTGAACCGTTACCAGGTTTTCATCAGTATCAGAGGCGCTGAACACTATACCGCTCGACGGGTTGACCAGGTAAAACTCGATCTTCAGTCTCAGTGTTTCGAACACCAGCTCTCCTTCTGTCTCGCCGCTGTTAGTGCTAGCTGCTGCCTCAATCCGCACCTCGGGAGGTATCTGGATCTCCAGCTCGCCGTCATCAGAGTCGTCGCCAAGGAGACCGCGACAGCTTTCTTTAGTAGCTGCTGTCGTGTTGCTGGCACTGTACGCTTATATGCGCAGGCAACGCCGTTGATGGTGACCTTCCTCACAACTAGAGAGTAGGGGGCGTGAGTAGTTTGCGGGATATATTGCCTTGGCAGTGCTGTGTGTTCAATGTGTAGTCTTTACCTGGCCGCTCACAGTGCAACCGAATTGCCGTGATGTCCTGCGTTTTGGGCTCAATCGTGAGCTCTGTCAGTCCCTTTATTACGCGCCGGTCAAAGTCAATGTCCAGCGACACGAGCTGGTGGTTGACAACGAAACTCGGCATGGTTGTATAGACAGCTATCTTCTGTGCGTATGTGTCTGATCTGATGCCGATAGGTTTCAGGACTGGTAATTACCCACGCGCCCCTTCTTTTATATTGCTGCAACAAACTATGTACCGGGTGGTGTTAATATAATGTATAGACAGCCGTGTCTAGATGTATGCACAAGTGGGGAAAGGGCTGGGGAGAAATAGAGGGAACGCAAGGCAATAAATATGTGATGGGTATCCGAAACACCTCAAAACGGGCGCAAAATCACAAATCGAAACATCTGCGTCACTCGCCATCCATAGGTTTGTGGTTCGATCACGTGAATCTCTGGCTGGTGAGGAAAAAAATTGGAAAGGCCTATTCCAAGTCATGGAAGTTGAATTTGCCAACATGGCCGATCTGGTGCTTGGTCAGCAGCGCAATGATGGCGTACTGCTGGATGATCGTGCAGACCGAGGCGAGCCAGCCTGACAGTACAGGGCGATTTTGGGCAAACGAACCGAGTGTAGCCCGAGAATCGCATTGTACTCCTCCACATCTCTCAGCGCCAAGCGATGTCTGGATAACCTGGCTTCAGGAAGAGATGACTTGAACGCAGCATCAAGCATCGAAGTTGCAGTATCCCATGAGGTCACATCCGCCAAATCATGCTCAACATAGTAGTTGACAAGTGGCAGCGGATACTGCATTATGAACGAGCGCCAGTTCAAACTTGCAGTGGACGCGTCAACAACATACGAGGGGACGAACGAGTCGAGGTATTCCCTAGGATCATGGTAAAACTCAAACTCATTAAACTCTGCAATTTTTGCACCCGCCGCTGACTCAAAGTATCGCTCGAACTCGAATATGATCGAGAGCTTTGTGTCGGACAAAGGTAACCTGTTCATGTGCTGCTCGATACACTCGCGCAGGGAACTGATTGTTTTATCAATGGCCATCACCATTTCAGAGTCATACAGATCGCTATCGCTGGCCTCGGCATCAAGACTGCTATTTATCCCTAGGATAGACTGACACAGCACATGTCGCATCAATATCAGGGAGGTCACAGTTTCCAGCATCATCTGGAGGGACTCAGACATATGTTTGTCTGACAAGACAGAGAATGCTCTCTTGCTATCACGACCCTGCCATACGGTCGTGAGACTGTCGTTGCTGGAATTGCTGAATAACATGGAGGGCTGTACGAAAGAGTAAGAATACAGTGTGGGTAAAGCGGAGGAGGAATACCTCGCTGAAGCAGGACACTGTGCTGTGTTAGTCTCGAAGCACACACACAAACAATGCTAACCTGCATATCCGCCTCCCCAAAACTCTCACATCAACCACACTTCCATTCTTGCCATGTGATAGGAAAATATGCAACGTCTGCATAAGAACAAAGCTCTGTCTAGTGATGTCTGCATGCATGTAGGGCTTTGAGCTGCTCACGCTGATGTTTCTGACATGTACATGTATCCATCATCAAGTGTGCAAGCCAGAAAATGATCTTGCGTAGGTTTGGGGTGCCAAAGCAGAAAAGCGGTATATGCATCATTCGGATCCTTCACTAATTTAATCACCGGTAATATTTATTGCGCTGGCCATTGCTTCATATGCATCAAATATACATATATGCTGTAGACTACGAATAGCTTATCGAAATCACCATAAATTAATGTACAGCATCAATCTAAATTATGTTGTAATAACCATCGCCCGCATATCTGTTACATGAAATTGGACTAATCTACCAATCAGCAAGCATACTGCAAATGATGAGTAGGATGCCTTGGTCTCTATACCCACCGTGCTGCAAACACAGCGATTTACATCGCAAATGGCGAAGATCACTATCTGGTCTAATCCTTGCGTTGCTTTGTACAGGTCCTAATCATAAAGTTCCAGATGCTCATACTATCACGCACTGACATGGATCCATTTCCTGTATACATGCCAGTCATAGATCAAGACAGGTCCTTCAAAGTAGACATATTATACTATTAAGTGGTACGATGATCTACATTGAGTGCGGATACTAATAAATGCATGTATACACATGGTATCCAAGGTAGCAGTAATGGTTGGTTAGACCTTCGTACCATGGCAGAGAAATTCCCTGCTCATCTAGCTACAAGCGAATCGCTAGTGAGATGGTGCTGACAGGAGAGCATCGTCCACATCAGAGGCTTGGCCAGGAGTGGCATTTCCGTAAAGCCTCGTTTGTATGGCAAACAGAATCTCGGTCAACTTTCGCTTGATGCACGGTTTGTATCTGAATGCAGCCATGCACATGCCCCACTCACACAGTACCCCGGACATTCCTTTTCACTCTTCGCTGCAGTGCGCAATTCCTGTTGCAGATAACAAGCTAGTTGAGTTTCTGCAAACTACACAGCACTTTTCGATCTCCGTTAAGAAAGTGATGCGTAGGTGTGCGTTACACGACAGGATCGAGCCGGTTATTTCGGCACGGCCAAGCCCATCAGAGCGGTGGTTGCCGATTTTAAAAATAAACCAAAACTAAAATTTTCTATTCGTCGAGAGCACCCATTTTTTATAGCAATTAACGCAGGTCGAAACCGCATGTGCATAAGACAATTTGGACATGCTACGCCTCATTGCACGGCGACATTGGGGAGGGAGCATTCTCGTGGAGATGCTGGCAGAAGACGAGCAAGTGGTTTCGCGAAACAAGATGCACACCTGCTTTTCTATGCCAGGTTTTTCCGAAAGGCATATCTGAGGCCATCGCCTGGACCTTTCCCTTCGGCGAGAGGGACGCCCATCGCATGCATCATCCAATTGCAAAGGGTTAAAACAAAACAATTATCGGCACAGTGTGCTATTACCGGCCACCCGTTTCACGCGGATCCGGCTATGTCGCGTGTACGAGAAGGCGATGTCCGCCTGCTGGAGCCGGGCTGAGTCTGCAGTTGTCTTGAGCAATAAAAGGCACGAAAGAGGCGGCTCACCACAGACTCGCATAAATTGGGTCCGATTTTTGAAGATTCCCCTCCCAACTGACAGAGAAAGACGAAAAGCAATCAATTTAAGCACCTCGTGCATATGTGGCCAAAAATGTACATTATTATGTTTTCTCTGCCGGGCCGACCCGTGCATAAAAGTTTTTTTTTTACAATGACGGCGAGTGTGAGGAGGCTGAGAATCCCCAGGAGGGGCGGGACGAGAAATCAAGTCGATGCATGCGCTGCAAAAGTATGCAAGGTATTCCCGCTGCTGGCCCTGCCCAACCACTAAAGAGGCGAAACAGAACGCAAGCATACTCACAATGGCAGCGGTAAGGAATAAGTGGTCTTGCCAACATCAAGTGCGCGCGCCATAGCATTACCCGCATGATTCACATGGTCACGCGGTCTGTAGTTGCCCAGCTCCGTCTGGATTACTTGTTGCTAAAACACATTAGCAATGTTTTGTTGTGCAAAAGCGAACGGAGGATCGCCTGGTGCTCCATGTCGTCATCGGCGATGTGAGCTAGCCATCTGCAAAAACGGCGCGGGTACAGGCTGATTTATTTAGCGTATCTGCCCCTGTACGTAGCCGAAGAGATGCATCTCTATATGCAAGACTATGCATTGCTTAGGACGTAGGATAAATCAGGAGCAACAAAATAGAAAACCGGTTCAAATGCAGACAGACAAAGAGCCTTGCATTCTTCATACAGATCCAAGCACAAGGACCCGTGCCCACCAATGTGGTCGCTCTTGACCTAGACGCAAGAGCAGCACACATTCACACTACGTCCGATTCTTCATGCCCTTGGTTCGGAGATGCACTATGCGGGATCTGCACCGGGGTGTCTGAATTGCAATGCTCGCCCACCTTACCCAGATTGGCTACTGGGCCAAAAGAAGGAATGGGTAGGCGTCTGGCTGCTGCCTATGCAATTGCTACGCGGGGAGGAGCAGAGACAACAGCAACAATCATGCACCAAAAATTGGGAAGAGGATAGTGTGTTTGTCTGAATGTGAAATCTAGCAGAATGTCGAGGCAGCGGGCAATGTGGCTACAGACTGGCGCTGCTACATATGTCAAGGAGACAGAGCAGATGGCCTGAACGGCGGATAGCACAAGGTGTCGTGTGCCTTGTATTTGGCGAAGACAGCCATGGTCCATTTGAGCAGTACTATCTTTGTGGGGTTCGATTTATTTATAAACAACAGGATGATGCAGAATGAAAAAAACAGACAGAAAAGGGGAGAGGATGAGCTCACTCTTCGCTCCATCAGCGCTGGTGCTGGGTGCTGCTCACAAACATTGTCGGCAATCCACTGCCAATCGACGATGCAGCGGCGGCAGCATCGGCAGCCATATATGGCTGGTGCATGACCGGCACGGCCGGGCCGTTAAGAGACACAGGCGACTGGCGGCCGGACATGTGGCTATCCAGAGCGACGCCCAGCGCCGGTGGGATCTCGGAGGCGGCTGTCACCTGGGGAGCAGCAGCTGGGTGAGGAATCGCCGAGAAGGTCGAGATGACCCCGCGGTTTGCGGTTGAGCTGCTCTTGCCCTTGGCAGTAGGCGCAGTCTTCTTGCACGTCGGTCCCTTAGACGTGTGACGGCGGAGTGCATCGGCACGGGCAAACCCACGGTTGCAGTGCAGGCAGATGAAGGGCTTAGCGCCGCTGTGGATCTTCTTGTGGCGCTTCAGATCGTGGTTCCTGCTGAATTTGGCCTCGCACGCATCGCACTCGAACGGGCGCTCGTTGGTGTGCGTCCTCTCATGTGACTTGAGGTTGTACTTGCGCGTGAAGCGCTTGCTGCACTCGGGGTGCGGGCATGTAATCGGGTCGCACTCGTCATCCTTGGTGCCCATGCGCGACTTGCACTGGGCCGGGGAGGCCTTGCGGCGCTTGCCTGTCGATCCGTTGGTCGGGACAGAGTCATCAAAGGCAACAGCCCGCTGCTTGCCACGGCGCTTGGCACTGCCGGCCTTGGTCTGTGCCTGCTCCTTCACGAGGGCACCGCTGTTGGCCAGGTCGTTCGGGTTGACGGCTGATGACATGGGGTAGAGGGGCTCTCCCTCGGTCGACTTGACTTCGTGCAGAGTTGGCAGCCTTCCGCCAGCCGGGGCAGCACCGAAGAAGCTCTCCATCGAGGCGCGCGGGTCCAAGTACTGCATGAAGCTGCCTGGCTGCGGCGGTGGGTGCCCGTTCGAGATGTCCATGTTGAAGCTGTAGTTGGATGCCTTGCTGGTGCCATCGCGGTCGTCCTCCTCGTCAGAGCACTGGGCAGTGAGCGGTGGGGTATCAACCGCCACCGATACCGCGTTAACGTTGCCTAAGCCGAGGGCGTTCTCGCAAGCGCTGACCCGCAGCGATGCACCGGCACTGACCGACCGGTGCGGGAACCCTGGCGCGGTGCTGTAAACCGAGGCAGGCGCCGCCGACATGGGCTTCAGGCCGCTGAGGGTGCTTGCCTTGGCGTTGAGGCCGACTGAAAGCGCAGTATGAAGATTGGGGTCAGCCCGGTACTGCTGCATAATGGCAACGTCGTTCGCTACTGTGCTCGAACCAAGAACAACTGGCATCGGGAAGGGGCTCGGCGGCACAGTAGAGCCTGCAGTGGGGTAGGATGGCCCCAGAGCCGACAATGTTTTCGTTCGCTGGGAAGACGATCTCAAACCGGTACGCGTCGGAGATAGGCAGTGTGCTCGAGACACTGCGGTTGTTGGCTGCGACGTTGCTAGCGACAGCAGTGTTGCTCACCGTGTCAGCGGTGTCCACCACGGACTTGCGGCGGTAGCGGTGCTCGGTCGTACCGTAGCTCTTGCGGCACCGAGTGGTGCGCTTGGCATAGCCAGATGCCCTTGGCGATGAGTCGGCAACGGTATTATCGTAGACAGCAGTCTGGTACTCGCTAGCCTGCGGATACGCCGCAGAGTCGGGCGACCGCAGGGCATTCTGCGAAAACTCGAGCACGTTGGGTGGGGCCGAGTTGACCGAGCCCATGGACACAGACAGCGAGCCCGGCGGCATCCCAGGCATCCCAACGGGGCTAGCGCTTGTAGAAGCAATAACCGCAGCAGCGGCAGCAGCAACTGCAGCAGCGGCGTTGGCGCTGGCATTGACGTTGGGGCTGTGGTTCTGGGTTGGTGTGTACATCTGTGACGGACAGGCTGACATCTCAACATCAAACTGTGTGGCTCCCTGTGGTGGGAAGGATGTGGCCGAGACAGGTGTAGACGGAACAAGACCCACGTTGAACTGCGATGGCATTGGGGCTGCATAGTCGCTGAACTCGCCAAAGTTGTTGTGGTTAAGCAGCGTGAGCGCATGAGAGTCAAAGATTGCCGGCGGCCCAGCGTCTCTGGACTGGCTCTGGTAGGCGAATGAAAGATCTAGATGGAGAGCGGTGCAAAGCATGGTTAGCGAAAAAGGTTAAATAAAGACTGACGGAAATTAATGCGAAAAAAAGTCAGTTGCAGAAAGAAGTTGTGAAATAGGTTGAAAGATGGTGGCCAGCTGCCAGGGACGGCAGGTTAAATAGAACGCAGGTCGTGAGGGGGAGTAGGGAGGGAGAGGCTAAAGCGATCTTAAAATTCATCCTGCGTCTCGAGTTATACACCCCAAATGCTCAATACTCAGGACCAGCGCCGGTACCGACTCACCAGGGGTAAAAACGAGTGCGAACAAATCCTTCCCTGCTTTTTCCTCGAAATAAAGTAGAGGTCGTGTTTGGGGAGGGTCGGCTTACAGGGGGGGATGGGCGAGAAACGTATGTGCAGGTTGGCCAAGAAAGGCAATCAATTAACGCAGCATACTTATTGCAACATGGGCACTCCAGACGAAGCTGGTCTTTTGGAGGCACTTTTTTCGCAAGGGTGGATTCTCTCCCCCGACTCTATTTACGATACAAAATAGGACATACAGAATTGGCGATCCAGAGCAAAGGAGGGGAGTGTAGGGTCAAGACGAGTTAGCCGAAGCCCGCCTGGCGATCCATCACTGAGCTGGCTCCATAAACAAGAGCTCCCGGGCGGGATAGATGGAGCAGATCATGCGCAAGCGGTTGGGTCTCTCACTAGCCGACCCTGAAATTAGCCAGTGAATTGCAGGGTTCGTCAGGGCAGATTTCTGTCCCCTGGCCGTCACTGGCTAGCACCTGTAAAGCCGCACACACACTTTCATCATTCACACACTCGATAGGAGACAACCGACATGCATAGCAATCGCCGAAATGTGCACAATGTGGCCAGGTCAGGGGAAGTTGGGTGCACATATCCAGTTATTTTCTGCTGCCAGCGCTGGTGGAAACGGGGGAGCGGGGCGTGACGGCGAAGCAATACGTTGGTCAGGAGAGACCCAGCCATACGAGCCCCAGTTACGATTGTAGCGCACAACAGCAGCATATTTGAACAACTGGAAAAGGGGGCCGTGGCGAATCCCTGGAGTGCAAACAGCTGTGGAATAGAGTATCTGAGTCAAATGATCATGGCAGACACTAGACAGGGCAAAGCGATGGGAGAGTCAATGGGAGGAGGGGGAGGTGGGATTCAGCATTGCATATAGCGAACAATAGGCCCGGGAAAGCAGGTACAGTGAGAGGGGGAGACGAGGGTGGCGAGCCAATAGAAGGAATTGGGCAGAAACTAGTAACTTACCAACTGGGGGGACATTGCTCGGGTACGAGCTGACAGGACCCGAGGTGGTCGCTCCGACGTAGAGTGGCGGCGTAACAAGCGTGTTTGATGGGACGGACGACACAGCAGAACCGCCGCTGGCAGGGAATGTCGAGTAGGAGGAAGACATTGGCGTCATGGAGGTGACGCAATGAGACTCGCACCCCGAGCCCTGCAGCGTGCCCGGCTGGTAAAGCGACTGGCACGGCGTCTGCGAGGCGCTCTGGGTGTTGGAGTCGAGGGTCATCAGTGCAAACGATGCCGACGCCTCGGACCCAAGCGACTGCGACTTCACTGCGCCGTGGTGCGACTGCGGATACCCACCCGAGGTCGCACCGCCATCGATGTTGTGGTATGACGAGGCCGAGTCAGTGGCACCCACGTCCATCGGGTACAGATCGTTCTGGCTTGCAGCCGAAAGATGGTACATTCCTGTGGAGTCCATTACGAATGTAGTTTCCGGTTGTGTGAATGGGTGTAGAGTACAGAAGATATGAATGGAGGTAGGTGAGAGAAAGTAATAGTGCGAAATAAAGGGTTAATTATTTCTGCAGCCAGAAGAAGGGGGGAGCTGGTGAAATAAGGGCTGGCTCCAGGCGAGATCTAGAATAAATGGCCTAGCGATGTGGTGCCAGCTGATGTAACTTGGAATTAGCTTAGCCGAAGCGGTTTTGAAGCGAGGAAAAATAAAACCGGAATGGATAAACTACTTCGTGATTGAGATGATGGATGTGATGGCAATGGTGACAGGGCAAATTGATGCGGGCGGGGTGTGTGCTAGATTCCACCCTCGCGCAGTAAATGGAAGCAAAGGAGCGGTCTCAACAGGCCGGAGGAAGAGGGGTAGTAGTGGCCGGTGGGGCAGGGAGCAGGACAGGCTGGGATAATATGATGGCTAGTAATAAAATATGGACAAGCCAGCCTTTGGTAGCAATGAAAGCGCTTAAGTAGTAGAATGGGCTTTTGGAGGCTGTTCAAGGGGGTTAGAAGTAAAAGAATAGAGGGGAAGTTTGTTTTGCAGAGCAAATTCGATGAGGGGAGAGGAAGAGTCCATCGTGGCGCCGGGCGACACAACTTTATATAGCCGTGGCCCTTGCTAGAGGCGAACCCCTGCGACAAGAGACAGCAGTGGGGAGGGTAGCCTGCTCCAGCATTTTTCGCAACAAAAACATTTGGTGCATTTGGGCCATAGAGGCAACATAGCCCGGCAAGTGGGGGACGGCGAAAAACAGAGGGGAGCCGTGGTGTTCATAACCCTGATATTGGACCCGGTCATGGACATGGGGGGTGCCGTTCTCTTGCTGAATAGCAGCGTGCAAAAAGAGCGCTCCTGCCGAAAGGGGGTGGGTGATAACCCGTGCCTAATTTTTCTTTATTCGTGCTTTTTTCCTCGCATTTACATGGTCTGCCGTTTTTTCTTATTTCGCCAGAGCTGATTTTATTTTTGCGCCTTGTACAAGGCACATTTGCGTGTCCATATATGGCAGCTGGGACAACAATATAATGGCCCATTTTGCATGTAGCGGTTCGACTAAAATGGCCACAGCAAAGGCAACAAAGGGGGCGGACGAGAAAGCGAGAGGCGAAACACCACAACAAAAAGAAATCACCAAAACGCAACCCGCCTGGCAGCAGCGACAACGCACGTCAGAAGAGAAACAAAAAACGAGACCGCATTGCACAAGGCCAGATTATGCGGGTTGGGCCACCTTGGGATCTCGTAGTGGCAGTCTGGAGGATACACGGGGCGGGCTGAGCGGGTGTGGGTGAACTTGGTGGATAATGTTCTTTTTGTCGAGTTCTAGCGTGGCCCAAGACACCTCACATAGCCTCTGCAATACCAAGAAGCCCTGCCTGCGCACGAGCTCCAGGTGTATTTATGTAATCAGGTATGGCGGCGCATCTGTATTCCACGTATCCTTTGGTGCTGCAAAGTAGAGTTCAAAGATACCAAGAATCGGTGCTTGTGCTCAGAGTTCCAAAACTCGGCCTCCTCCGATTCGGCGTGTGCGAGCACATAGCGAACAGCCCCATAGTACCACATGCGATACCACTATCCCTCTGGGTCCAATTTCGCACAGGAGGGTATTGGGACGTTGTGTATTTGGTGTGTCGCTTCTCCCTTGCAAACAACGCAGAGTAAATTTGAACGTACTATTCCACCATGTTTTCGTGGGCTTCATTTTGATATTCATATTCAGCGGACCTATTAGAACTATCTCTGCCAAGGCTTCCCCTTCCCATGCCAGAACAAGGAACAATTAGACGATGTTGCCATTGGGTATTAGCCAGCAACTTTTTTCGCAGTCGCACTATCCTCATAAACCACGCATATTGGGTGTATCGCGCAAAAATGAAGAAAACCCCTGCCAAATTTTAACCAGACGACAACGGCCAGTAGAACCCACGGGGAGGAACATTGGCCAGCGCTTGTCCTGCTGCTGTCAACAAGAGAGAGAGCCAGAAACCAAAACAAAAAACCTGTCCCAAGACACAAAGACGGCCTCCTTGGCTCGACAATCGGCCCCCGTCGCCCAAAAGACGGTCAATGGCTCACAACAACTGTTGATTCACCTAGACACGTACAGGCTTTACAGGACACTCCGCTGCCCTCGTAACCGTTCCCCCTAGCACAGATTACCTTTTGTATAGGCAGAATATGCATGTTGCTTTCATGGCCCTGTGTTTATCTTTTGCACAATAATGTGCGTCATTTATGGAGTGAAAGGCAGTGCTAGAAGGGAAGCCAAACAAGCTGGGTATGGGCTCTGGACAAAATAGTCCCGTATAGTGATAGAGGGTGTATGTTTGAATTATTTCAAAGCACAGCGCATTGTTAATGTCTAGCATTCGGAAATATTCAAAGACAAGTGGAAAAAATATTGAGCAGCCCAACGTACATGGCATATTCCACGTGATGAGCATATGCGATCATATGCGACTTGTCACGGTAGCACCAGCCAGACCATGTATGATAGACAGGTTACTGTTAGAGTTTGTTGGGCATGGCGATTGCTGTGGTGATGGGACCATCCTCTGTGCTTGGAGGGGGCTGGCTGTGAAAAGCAAATTCGCCGGAACGGCTGGGCGGGGTTTAAGGATACCCCTGCCTGCCAAGCAAAACACTAGCAGGGCCAGGATGATTTTCTTTATTTTCTCCAGGAGAAAATAGAGCCGCTAGTTGCTGGGTATTTGGCAAATAGAGATAGAGCTGTTTTAGGCGTGGACCTGCCCTTTGTCGCCTGCTGGGTTTATTTTATTCTGCAAGTGTCGGGCACCGAGGACAAGAGCCAGCGACCATCTTTTCTTCCCCCTTTTTCGACCGGCATTGCATGGGTGAGCAAATAGTGCGAGCTGAGGTGCATGGCCGGGCACAATTGCCCGCAGGTATGTCAAACTCGCCCCTTGGTGGACTAATAAGGTCATATTAAAATCTCGACCGTCAACAACCATGCATGTGCTGGGTAATTTTTTCAAGCTGGGCTCGTCCCTCACTGTTGCTTGGAGGCGAAAGGCTCGTTATTGTATGCTGGTGCAGCTTCGCTATGTCTAGTAACAATTAGACATGGGCGGCACAATTGCAATAATAAAATGGCTCCTGCCTTTGTTTTAACAAGCAGGCTGTGGTTGGGTTTTGACAACATTTTGGCTCCTCTTTTTCTGACCCGCTCCGTGCATCCTTGGCGGCAAAACTAGCTGCACGAAGAATCGCAAAACGGGAAAGCTCAGGCGCCACTCTGGCTATACCCTCCCCCCAGCAAATAGCATTGCTCTGACGATCGTTTGCCGAATAGGCCTCGTTCCTTCTTCATGCTACGTGTGCTAATTTTGACATACATGTTTGCTGTTGTGGTCATGCCAGCCTGGTGATAAGCAGCATGCATGGGCACATATCCATTTTTTCACACAGTCCGGCATCATAGGTTAGTCTGGCCAGGATCAGCGACATGCAGTGGAGTGCCTTTGGGGGGAGAGCAGGTGTGCTGCTGTCAATTGATCATGGGGTGAGCAGGCACGCTTGTTGGCGAAAAAGCGACGATTCAGCATTGCAACAAAGGCCAGGAGCGTTGTCAGCTGGTCGCAAGGCTGGACCGCCAGTCCTGGACCAGGTCCTGGGCCGCCGGAGGAAAAGTCATAGGCAGACCTCCGTCGATCAGCAGCAACAGGGCAGGCATGCAAATCACGATGCCGAGTCACTGATGATGGTGATTGGTAATTTGATCAGCTAATAATCTCTATAAGCTCCAGCCTTGCTTATTTTCTGAATTCCCAGCTCGCTCGAGGCCCGTGGCAATGCAGCTTTACTCTCTTCTTGCAGGCGAAATTCAGCATTCTTTTATTTTCTTTTCATAGCCAATTCGGCAGCGGAACTACAGAGACACTATGTTTGGAAGGGTTCTTTCGACGTTTGCTGGACCTCGCACGAGCGGACTTGCAGCGCGCATTGGCAGCTGCACGCCAGCAGGCAGCATCATGTCCAGGTCAGTATTTGCATATTGTGCTGTGAGAGGGAGTGATTTTATAATGCATCGTTTGAGACCGTACAATGAGGGGATCTCCCCCGCCCGCTGTCCCTTGGCAGGATCTTGGGCTCTGGTCGGCGGGGCCGCGTATAGTCATAAAATTGCGAAAAAAAAAGGCCATGACAAAGGATAAGCTGCGCCATTTGGGGCGAAGGAGGGAGGTGGCAGGATGCTGTGCAGGATCAAGTGTGTATTGCAAATACGAAGCACCGAGGGGGCAGCCACGACTGGAGCGGCAAAAGGAGGTTGAGGCGTGGGTGTTCAATGATGCTTCATAGAGCTTGGACACAAGGGTGAAATCCCAGCGGGTGGGCAGAAACAAAAAAACGTAAAATTGGGACCGGGCCTTTTCTCCTTCTTCGTTCTCCTGGATGGCTCTAGGAGGGCGCGGAGAGTGTCTCGCAAGGGGGGTGGAGCGAATGTTTTATTTCTTTGCCACATGCTTAGAACAATTGTCGTGGTTCGAATGTGCAGCTAATAACATGCAAGTGTACTAACAAAGCGGGCAAAAATGGGCCATGCACGTTATATTTAGGTTGGACGGTGGCGCAACCGGCGGCTGGGTGGCGGATGCCTGGTGAGCATTGGCGCGCTGCAGGTGCGCTGGCGGACGTACGGAAACGAGTACCAGCCGAGCAACCTGAAGCGCAAGAGACGGCACGGGTTCCTGAGCCGGCTGCGCACCAAGGACGGGACGGCGGGTGCTGACCCGTCGCAAGCTCAAGGGGCGCAAGTTCCTGTCGCACTAAACAGCTTTATGCTTTTCGGAAATACATGACTAGCAAAGGGAGAGGTGGAAATACATGTCAGGCATTGTAGTACATGGACCAGGCCGAGTCGCCCACGACCGAGTGGAGGCCAGGAAATGCGCTTCTTGATCCACGCCTTGACCGACTCGGTGCTCGGCCCGGCAATGCGCACAGGCGACGCCCTCGATGCCGCGCTCGCAGACCTCGGAGACCGACCAGCGGACCTCCGACTCGTCGACATCCACGCCGCACGCATTGGGGCGGAACGGCCTGATGCGCTGCACGCTGTGTTCGTCACGGAACACCCGAGCAATGTGCTCGACCTGCTTCCCCAGCACCAGAAGATACGCAAACACATCGACATTATGCAGGCGGTCAAGCGCCCCCATGTGTTTCTCCAGCAGCAGCGCATCGCGCACAATCACCGTGCCCTGTGTCTCGACGACATTGACGCTCAGGTACTTGTCGAACGCCCAGCGCTCGCCGCGGCTCATCCGGCCGCTGGTCATCCAGTCCAGCAGCACCAGCGACGCCGATTCCTGCATATGCACCATTTGGCGCTGGTTGTACTTGGCGCTTTCGAAGCACGTCACGGGGTCCGGCAGCAAGCACACCAGCGCGTTGCTGTGCACAGTCACAATCAATGTCTGGTATGTCTGGCCGATGTCGAATTTGCCCTCGTTCCGCGGGTTCTTCAGGTACGAGGGCGGGCGGCCGGGCCGGTACCGGTAGACCTTGGTCGAGCCCTGCGTGAGCAGGAGAAGCGCTGTGCCGGGGTGTGCGTGCACGTCGACGTGGATTTGGTCCCCGTGGACGATCCCGCCGCCGTACGAGAGAATGTAGCTGACGGCCGGCAGAAGCTGCGTGGTGCCGGGCACAGCCTCGGGCGACAGCAGCTTGAGCGGATATGCAGATGACAGCGACTGGTGCACCCGCCCGGCAATAACTTTGCAGTCGATTTTGCCTTCTCCGGGCCGTGGCATTATTGTGAGATTTTGCTAAGAGGCTTTGAAAAATAGACAAGAAAGAAGAGGGAGAAAGAGGTTAGAGAAGCACACCCCGAAGCACTGGGCGGGGGCTTTTGTTAGAGCCACATGATAAAAGGCCGGGGATCGTTAATCACTCGGTCTCGTCTGAGCGACCGTCGCTGTCGCCCTCATCTTCGTCGCCCGCGTTATCTCCCTCATCGCCATCGGGCTCCTCCTCTTCCTTCTCACCAGCAAACTTCTTCTGGCGCTTCCGCTCGTTCCAGTTCAAGCAGCGGCTCAGACTCGCCATCCAGTCCTGGGTCTGCGACTGCGATGCACAGACAGTCGGCAGGGGGTACTTTGACGCGGTGATCTGGATATGGTCGCCGCGCCGCAGCTCAATGCGATGGCGGCCGTCAAACGACGCCCAGGCGGTGTTTCTGCTGTCGGGCGGCAACACCACCCGGACCACCATCGAGTCCGGGAGCAGCATCGGCCGGAACGATAGCGTGTGCGGGCAGATTGGCGTCACCATGATGGCCGGGATCTCCGGGTGCACCAGCGAGCCGCCGGCCGCCAGACTGTACGCTGTGGAGCCCGTCGGCGTCGCCAGGCACAGGCCGTCGGCCTCGACCGTGGTCAGGTGGTTGCCGTCGCCGTACAGCTCGATCTGCGACAGATACGGGCTCGGCCCGCGGTCCACCACCAGCTCGTTGAGCACCTGGAAGCTCTCGCCGCGCCGCCACGCCCGCTTCGCCTTGCCCTGGTACGCCTGCGGCACGTCCTCCCACTCGGACTCGGGCAGGTCCAGCGGCTCCGGCGGCACAAACACCGGCTCGTCGCATTTAATGCCGTCGGGGGATTGGTGCACGTGACGTCGCCCCCCGCGTCTCCGCACCCGCACCGAGCCGTCTGAGCTGGCCTCGGTGCTGCGCCGTCTCCGCCGCTCCTTCTTGGTTCCGCTAAACGACCTCGTCGGCTTGGCTATTTTGCCCGAGGCCACCTCGGCTGAGCACAGCTCCTCGCCGCCGCGAATGCCCCGGGTGGCGGTCTCGTGGTCGATGGCGCGGTTGCAGTCGGCTGCATCGGCCAGCACATTGGCTGCTTCTGCATCGGCGGCGTCGGCCAGACGGTAGACAGTGCAGGTGAACCGCATGCGCAGGTTGATGCGCACGCCCGCGTGGATGGCCGACGCCAGGACGCGGCGCGCGTGGTGGTGGTCAAACACTGTCAGGAAGCCCAAGGAGCCCAAATGGAAGGGAATGATCGGCGGCACCGTCCTCTGGAACAGCCACGACGTATACAGGACCGTGCCGTCGCCGCCCAGCGTGACCACAAAATCAAACATCTCCGGGTGCTCGGCACACAATTCCATGGTCCAGTACTGCAGGCCAGCGAATCTCGCAAAGCGCTGCAGATGGAACCGCCGCTGCTGCGCCAGCCGCTCCTCGACAAACACCGACAGGCCCTGCTCCAGAAGCCAGAGCGCCAGGTCGCGCGTCAGGCTCACCAGCCCCGTGTCGTTGGGCTTGGTCACGATCATGATCCGCCGCACTCGCCCCACCTGCACCACCGTGCGGCCAATCCGCTTCGACACTTCCCGCACGCTCACCGCCGTCTCCACCAGCCCCACCGTCGGCGTCTCCGACCCGCGGCCCAGCTCATGCGCGCTCTGCATAAGATTACGTGCTGCATGTGTCACCATGGCCGCGCTTGACGATGACGACTTGCGGCCCAGCAATGTCGATGAGCTTGGCGGCGACTGCCGCTCATTGCTTATAACCAGCTGCTCCAGCTGCTGCTCCACCACCCGCATTGAAAGCCCTGGCTTGTCGTCTGCTTCTTCTTCCTCCACCGGTGGTGACGACACTGTGGCCCGGCGCGACAGACACGGGTGGAGCGCGCACTGCCCGACACCGATCGGATTGGTCACCGTCAGGCTGTCGGTCTCTTTGATGAACTTGTCGCCCAGCGTCTCGGTCATGTCGCTTGTCGAGCTGCCGCTCCACTCGAGCTGTGACGAAGCTGGCTGTGCGGACATTTGGTGATTCAGAAGCAATAAGAGTAAGACAAATACAAAAAAAGGGATTACTAATGGTGAGAGGAGAGGAGAGTTTGCGTGTGGAGCGAGGAAGACTACTGCCAAAAAAAAAAAAAAAAAAAAAAAGCCAGCCACAAGAAAAACAAGACACCGCGTGCTCGCTTCGCATGGGACGGGGATCCAAAAACAAGTGCAAAACAAAAAATTCTGGTATTTCAAAGCTGCGGTTTCGAAATACCAAAGAAATTAAAAAAACAAAGCCAGCACTGAGAAGCACAGGTCACGATAAGAGCTTGCGATGACGAGAAATGGAGAATATTACTACGAAATACTAAAAAGAAAAGTTGGCGAAAACGAGAAGAGCCTAGGCGGTCTTTGGCGGCACCGTCGGCACAACCGTACCGGTAGGCGATGCACTGGACGGCAGACTTGGATTCGATTGCCGCAGCTTGTCGGCGCCAATAATGCTTGCGCGGTTGCGCGCCTTCTCGGACGTCGGCGCCAGCAGCTCCTTGATCGGCAGGGCCTTGGACGCCTCCGTATTAGCCCGCCTGGCAGCCTGCGGCAACGACGCGCGCGACGCGCCCAATGCACTCCCCACTGGGCGCTCCTCCTCCTCGTGGACAGTCACGTTGCTGTCGGCGCTAGCCGAAGGCTCCTCGGGGATGGCCAGCTCGTCCTGCGCTGTGCGGATGGCCTTCTCCAGGTAGTCGGCGTAGCTCTGGTATTTGATCAGCTCCTTCAGAATGTACTGCGCCTTGCGCTCCCAGTTGGAGAACGCGCGCTGGTGCTGCTGCGTGCGCGCAAAGAACCGCTCGTCAATGCTGCCCTGCACCTTCTTGTGCGCCACCAGCTCGTCCTCCAGGTACGCAATGTGGTGCAGCAGCGACCCGAGCTGACTCGACTCGTCCAGCTCCGACCGCTGCATCGGGTTGGTGGGCGGCGTCCACTCCAGAATGCTCGCATTGCGGCTCGCTTCGCGCTCCTCGGCCACCCGGCGCTCCTCGGCCGCCCGCTCGGCCACCGTCGGCTCTTCGCCGCGCTCCAGCCGTGCCTCGCGCTCCTCAAGCCGCAGCGCAAAGTCGCCGGTGTTGTCCCACCCATACTCCATGTTGTATACACCGCCGATCATATACGGGGCCTTGGACTCGCGTGCTGCCCAGTAGTTGCAGGCAGCCACCCAGTCCCGCAGCTCCACCTCCGACGCCGTCTGAAACAGATACACGCCGCCGCTCGGCAGCTGCAAGGCAAACACGTGCGGCCGCGACCGCGAATAGCCCGGCGGCGGCATCATCTGAGTCAGCGTGTGGCGTAGCGACACCGAGCCGAGCTGCAGCGACGTGTCGGTCAGCTCGCGGCCGTCCGGGTGCCCGCCGTGGCGCCCGTCCATCTTGTACATGGCCACGGTCCCGCGGTCCACCGACACGTAGCACGTGCGCCACGACCGCTGTGACGCCTTCTTGCCCGAGCGCTCAAACAAGTGCTTGCGCACCAGTACGCCCGACCGGATGAACCGGTTCTCGATCGGTGACCGCATGCACGACGCGTATGTTCCCCCGAACACCCCCATCGACGCGGACGACGGCGACGCCCGCACTGCATTGAACCCCAGCATCGACGTGCCCGACCGCCGCATCGCCTCGCCGCCCACCGCCCGCCGCCCACCACTCTGGTTCAGTGAGCTGATCGACCGCGTGCGCTGCACTGCATGCAGCGGTACGCTACGCACTGAGCTCGGCCGCCCGCCCGCCGGGGATCCGACGTCGCCAAACTCACTCTCGTCCATCGACGCCTTGGCCCGCCCCACCGCCATGCTGGCTCGCAGGTCCCCCTGGCTGCCGTCGCCGCCACGCCGTGCAAATGCCGGCTGCCCCAGCGGCCGGTTCTTGATCCCCACATACACATCCTTCAGCACACCGGTTAGATCCGCCAGGCTCGCCCCGCTGCGCACCGCCGCTTCCGACTCGCAGGGCTCCGGCGACTCCTCCGCCGACCCGCGCGGGCTGTTCGTCGACACCTTGCGCCGCAGCCGGTCGAACGCCCGCAGCGATGTTGGGCTGGCCACGCCAGTACGGACTGGCCACCGGCGCCGGCCCTGCAATCCCACCGCCCGCCGTGCTGCCGTCGAAGAACGAAAACCGCTTGCCGCGCGATCCCATCAGCCGCACCACATCGCGTGACGACCGGGGTACCGGCTGCGTCGACGACGGTGACGTCAGCGTGATGTTCAGCGACGCCATCGACCCCACAAGGCTCCGCCGCCCCTCCTCAAACCCCTCGCCCTGCGACGCCACCGTTGACGGCGTCGCTGCTTCCTCCATTGACGCCTTGACTGCCGCCTCCTCCATCGACGCCTTGGCTGCCGCTGCGCTGCCCCGCCGCCGCAGATCCAGCTCCGGCAGCTGCGGCGCCGGCGACAGCTCCGCCTGCGATTCCTCCAAGACCGCCGGCTCTTCTGCCATCGCCGATGCCCCCTGGAACTGCGCGATCGTGTCGATTGTGTTCCGCACGAACCGGCTCTTCGACATGCGCTCACTGGTGCGGATCTGTGCCATGTGCAGGTCCGTGTTCAGCAGCAGCGTCGAGTATGTCACCGCATGTGCTACATCTACCGTGCGCAGCCGCGACTCCGGATTGCACACGATGAACCGCCGCGCCAGCTCCTCCAGCAGCCGGTCAATCACCTGCGACTCTCCGCGCAGGTACATGTGCTTGCACAGCCGCCGCAGGCACTCGTCAATCCGCAGCCCTGCAAAGTCGTAGTTCCCCATGTAATGCTGCAGCACCCGCCCGCTGAACGACGACCGCCGCCCCAGCCACTCCGCGTGCTCCACCAGCCCTGGTACATGCACTCCCTGCAGTGCTTCTGGCAGAGCCGGCTCCAGGGGCTTCTGCCCTGCCGCGCCGCAGTGCGCCTCCTCCAGCTGGTACAGGTACCGCCCCAGCGCAACCGCCTGCTCCTCAGCGCGCTCCGCCTCCGTCTGCACAATTTTCACCTGCTTTGCTGGCATGTCTGGCGAGAACTGCAGCCGCCCGGGCTGGGGACTCGCCTCCGCCTCGCTGATTCCCAGCCCGCCGCCCGCCGAGCCCGCATCTGAGCCCACCGCCGTCGCATCTGCCGGCAGCTCGCCCGCCGCCACCGCATACTCTGCTGTCTCTCCGCCTTGTTCCGGCATCCCCACGCCCTCTGTGATTGAGTCGTCCTGCGTGGCCACCGATTCCGCACGCGACTGCCCCGACATCACGCGCTCACTCAGTTTCTCCGACAAATTATCCACTGCCACTGCTGCCGCTGTCGTCAGGGACTCAAATTCCTGGTCTGGCGTATGATATCCAGATGCAACAACGCTCGAGCGCCGCTTACTGCTCGCTACTGCCGCTACTTCTGTACTGTCCTCCAATGGCTGTGCTATTGTTTCTGCCTGCTCCACTGATGGCATCAATCGAGCTGCCGCCTTGTCGCGCTTGCTGGCTGCTGCCGCCCGGATATTCGACAGGCTGACTGATGCCGCCAAAACTACCGAGGATGACCGCCGTCTGCGAAGATAGCTGTGGCTGGCGCTATCACTGTCGTGCCGAGCCGATATGTCCTTCTAAAAATAAACGTTTTAGTGCTTTTGTGTTACCCGTCTCAGTGTTTAAAGACCAGCGAGGGGAGCACAAGAGAGTCGGTTTATGATGGCGCGGGAAAGGAGAAATAATATATGCAAGTGAAAGAAGATAAATACAGGCGCAAGGCAAAATAACGGAAACAAGAAACGAGCACGATTCCTCAGAGATAAAGCGAAAAATCTCAGCCCGAGGGGATGTGCAGAAAAAGGTGAAAAAAATTTGGGCTAGAAGAAAACAAAAACAAAAAACACTTGACTGGGCAGCTCCCTCCCGTCCCTCAGCAGCATAAATAGAGCCAGAAAACGGCTGGCCGGTCCAAGGAAAAAACCTTTTTGCCAATGAATCCCAGTGCCTGTTTCATAATCGACCTTCAAGCCACCACCAAGCTCCCGCATTGCCAAAGGGAAACCCGCCATTTGTTTTATTCTGCCTCCCAAGACACAAAAAGGCATGGTAGGAGAAGTCAGCACAAGCTCTAACCCAATCCACCCCGCCGTCCATAGCAAACACTCGAGCGAAATGTAGCCAAAGCGCCCGGAAATAAATGGGCCAGATAGATCCCGCATCATCACTTACCTCGTCTGCGCTCTGCTCCTTGCGCGCTGAGCCGCCGCGAAAGATCGACCAGAACGACGGCTTGCGCATCTTGCTGCTGCCTCTGCTGCCCGTCTGGTACTGCTCGCTGCTGATGCCCAGCTGCCCCGACCCCAGGCCCTTGAGCGGCTCCGATTTCACCGGCATCTCCGGCGATGAAAGCTTTGGTGGTGGCCGCGGCTGCGGGGTGCTGAACTGCGTTACGTGTACGGCGCTCTGGAATGCGCTAGTGCTGGTGGGCGGCCCCTGGTCCTTGCTGGTGCTGAGCCGGCCGCTGAATATGCTCTCGATAAGTCGCTGCGATTCGTCAGAGAGCACCACTGAGCTGGTGCGATTATCTGGTCCTGGCGGTCCGGGGAACTATAGCAAAGTATATGCGTTATGAATAGTGCGTCCCCTGTTTATGCAAAAAGGTATGCGCGAGAATAGGAAGAAAAGGGGGAGTGGAGGGAGTGGCAAAACAAGAATACTATAAAAATAGGAAATGCAGAAGCAAATGAGAGATGCGTGCTCTGGGAAACAGCTGCAAAAGTGCTACAAAAAGAGTAGAACGCGTGCTCTTCAAGGGCGGAACCTCCAGAAAAAGTGCACTGGAATAATTGCCGAGGCAATCAGCTACACAACCAGGCTGAGCGCGTCCATCCTCCTCGGCAGAGCAAATAAAATACTTCAGAACGAGGGACCAAAGCTGCCCATTCTTCGCTTTGGTTCTCGTGGTATTGCATCTCCCCCTTTTTTATCCTGGACAACAAGCCGGTCTGCCTGTCGGTCCGAGACCGAATTTCCGAATGGATCCCAGCATAATTATGTTTGTTGTACGCTAGCAGTTGCACTGACGTAAAAGAGACAGACCGCTGGATAATGCGTGTGGAAACGGGATGTGGCCCCTTGGGCAAAAAAGTCGCTGCTGTCTGTCCTCCCCCAACTGGGCGTTTACCTTGTAGTAGATATGGACAATAACGCCAGCTAGCGCAGTAATGAGAACGTAGCCGAGAAAACAGCACGCGCAGATCATGGAGAGAATTTTGCTGTTTTGCAAGGAGCCAGGAACACACAGCTTGGACAAAGAGTAGAAAAAGGGTGCTTTACAAAGGAAAAAAGTGCGCTCAGGAGCCACGGTCCGTTATCGAAATCGAGACCGCGGGCCCTGCCAAACACCCCCCGGCTTGGGCCCACCGGTCTCATCCAAGAAATAAAAGCGGAGAGTATGAGTAATGTGCTCCTTCTTTTGGCGGAAAATTGCCCAACCTGTTCGTCCGTTGTGGATATATGGCACCAGGCGGCTCGCAAGGTTAGGAGAAAATGACAACAACACAATGAGCGATTCGCACATCATAAATTGGACTGCCCAGCACGATCGGCCAAAAATTACATATCAGTGTTTGACGAATGAAAGAAACATCCATGTCAAGTGGACTCGTTGCTGATCTGCATCACACCACACTGCACCAGCAGCGCCCTGGCTATCCAGCACAGCCCACGAAATACAGCCATGGGCGAAAATGTAAAGGGGGAGATGTGACGCGTAGTGAACGGCTATATCGGCAGCTGACAATTGACAAGGCTTTGGCAACAATAGGCGCATTCTGTATTCCATATATGGTGTCCCTCGAATCACGACACCCGCGCATGCCCTGTGTAGCAAGCATGCGCCACTACCCAGCAAAAAACACCACTTACCACTGAATCAATCGCCGCCGGGTATCCGCGCGCCATGCCCTCGACCCTGAGCGCCGTGTCCTCAACCACGCTGTCTGCCTCGCTCTCCTCTTCAGTGTCGTTTACTGGACCCACGGCGCTAGTAGCTGCCACGTTGCTCATGGAAAGATCGGCGCCGGTTACTGCGGTGGCCATGCCCCATGATTCCAGAACGCTCTCAGTCGACAGCCGGCCCTTTTCCAGCCGGCCCGCCACCACAGATGCCGAGCCCTGCTGCCGCCCCTGTACCGTCTGCCGGCTACTTTGCGCACTTGCAGCCATCCCGCCAGCAGTTCCCGCATATGGGCGCTCCGAGTCAAACTCCAGGTCAATTTTGAAGCTTCCCGCATCGCCCAAGCCAGCTGCCGCCCGGCTCTGCTGCCCGGTCGGTGTCCTGGGCTCCATTCTCGCTGCACGAGCGCGCGTTGCCGGCCGTCCATTGCCGCTGGTTGACGCCATTAATGCGGCAGTGGTCGACAGCAGCGCCCTCTGGGCGGTGTACTTGAGCTCGGCGGCGCTGGGCGGTGGCAGCTCCAGCTCCTCCTCGCTGCTCTTATCCTCGCTGACCAGAATCGGCGCGCGCACCACGGCCTTGCCGCTATGCGTATTGATTACCCGGACATGGAACCCCTGCAGTTTGCTGTGTGTATCGGCCTCCTGTGACGCTTTGGACTTTATGCTGGCGCTGGTTGCCGTGCGTCGCACCTGTGCTCCGTCGCTGCTCGCTATGGGCGTCTTTGGCGTGCGTGTGGATATCGGATACCCAGTTGTCTGGGTGCGCGCCACGTCCAGTACCTGCGGCTTCGCCGTCCGCTGCGCTGAACTGTATAGATCCATTTCTGACGGCTTCCTGCCCGTCGAGTACAGTCGGCGTAGGAGCGTGTGTGGCCCTTGCTCGCCGGCCTCGTGTGTTTGCAATGCTGCCTGCTTCAAGTCGGGCGTCGACGGTGTGTATCGGCTGCTTCCTTTCAATAGCCGCGCGCTGACTGACCGCCGGAGCCCCGTATGGCTGCTTTTGCTGGTGGAATGCTTTTGGCTGCTGACTACAGAAGAGCATGGGTGCGGTTAGTATCGAGTTCACTGCACTCGTGTGATCCCTGGTGCTGAGGCTGAATATCGTAAACATCTCTGCCCGCACATCCTCCATCCCGCATGGGTTACACAGCACGAAAAGGGAATGGGCCCAGGGACTACGCAGGCAGGCCACATACACATTAAAGGGAGAGCAGGCCCTTGAGGAGGGAGAAATAAAAATAAAAATTGTCGACAAAAAGGAAGGAAGAGAGGGGTGTAGAAAAATTAGTGCTTTCTGAGCTCCCTCTTGGAAGATAATAACAAATCCAAAATTTCGCAAAAACGCATGCCCGTGTGCTAAATAAAAACGCACACACATCCCTCCCTTTTTTGCTTGCGACCTTCCAAATGACAGCCGGCTGAAGAGATCTTGAAGCGTGAAGCTTTTCTGAACACGAAATGCGTCAATGGCAAGGATCGGCTTTCAAGAGCAGACATAAAACTTCTTTTTGGAGAACCCGATGCCTGAATGGCTGCAAATCTCCAACGTGGACGCTTCCTTTGAGCTCAAAATAGCTGGGGAACGAGCCAAAGGTAAAGACATGCAGTCTCTCGTCTGCCAGTCCTCAGAGCATCGTGCAAACCGGCCCTCTGCCTCCCTCCATTCTGCGAGCTCCCTCCCTTGTTTTCATCTGCGCTGGCGGCCCCTTACTACCGAGCTCCAAAACAAGTCTTTCTGCGTGACTTCTGCCCTCGGCTGACGGAATGGGGGGGGAGCTGAAAACCGAAGCATGCTTCCGCCCGCATGAGCACATGGTTCAGTAATGCACTATCCCCATGGGCTTGTCGCTGCTGGATGAATGCAGTATTACGACACACCCGCATTGGATAATACAGATCCATGAGCTATAGCCTGCACACGCATCTGTTTGCGCCTTGGATGGGGGCAGGACCGGTTTCCGGGATAGCGTAGACTAATGGGACCCGCAGCAGCTTACTCGCTGTGCTTACCTTTTTAAGAGACCGTGCTGGAGCTGCAAGAAGCCAGGTTGTGCTCCAATCGCTTTTGCTGGCCTGGATATTGGGCGGCCAGAGAAAGAATAGGAAAAAGGATTGTGAGTTGCTGAAAAGGGAATAATAAACTCGAGAATGCAAAAGAGAAAAGCGCAAAAAGAGAAAGCGCAAGCCCTTGGAATGCCGTGCCTCCACTTCTCCAGTGCTGGCTAATTTGTTGAATGGGGCAGGAGAACGTCCGATTCTCCAGAGGTGACAAAAGCCGGGGGCGCTATCCAGTGGTTATGCGCCACAGCGGGTTCCACAAAGCCTAACGCGACTGAGCAAAATAAACTCGCTATTGAGCCGCAAAGTGGTGCAGGCGGTGTACGATTAAAGATAAACGTAGTCAACCTTGCGTGGCGCGCGTGCCCTCACCCCAGAAGTATATTTAGGCAAAATTATCCCAGACACTAGGTTATGCGTGCGGCCTATCCGCAGATGTGGACAAAGAAATCAATGACCTTTCCTTGAATGTCCGGTTCAGGCTGCTCTGGTCCATCGCCAGCTCTTCTTCGCGCGAGACACCGGCGCGGGCGCCTGAGACCAGGTCGATCTCGGCCAGCGACAGGAACTTTGTCTTGAACCAGAACTTCCACCCGAAATAGAAGATGGCAAACAGTGGCAGTTCCAAGAACGATGAAAAGAACGTAACCGCGTCAAACCCAAACTGGAACGACGGGTACGCCTGGCCAAACACAATCACGGCAATCAGTACCAGACAGAACACAGGCCCGAACGGATATGCAAATGCCTTGTACCGGAGCTCGCTGAGACTGTGTCCCTGCACCTTCCACGCCATGCGGAACCGAATGTGGACAATGCAGATCGCCGCCCACGCCAGGTACCCGGTGACACCCGAGATGCCGGTCAAAAAGTCAAACACGACTCCCTGGCCAACGAAATTGAACGCCCACAGGAAGAACGTGAACAAGATGCAGAAAGTAAGGGCGAGAAGCGGCACACCACGGCGCGTCGTGCGGCCCAGGATCCTGGGCGCCATGCCCTGCGTCGCCATCAGGTGGGTGGTGCGGCACGCGGCGTACATGCCGGAGCTGCAGGCCGAGATGCTGGAAATCACCATGATCGCATTGATGATGTGTGCGGCAGGCTTGATCCCGGCCTTCAGGAACAGGATCGTGAATGGCGACATCAGGCTGGCTTCGGCGCCCTGGTTGACCAGCATCGGGTCGTCGTACTCGATCACCAGGCCCATGAGCAGGATCGTCAGGACAAAGAAGAACACGAGGCGGAAGAAAATCTGCCGGGTCGCCCGGGGAATGTGCTTGGATGGGTTGCGCGACTCGGCCGCAGTCACACCGACCAGCTCTGATCCTTGCATCGAGAAGCCCGCCTGGATAAATGTATTAATCAGACCGCCGAACCCGGCCACAAACGGGCCCTCCTTGTAGTGCCACAGCTCAAACCCGTACCGGTGCCCGCCAAGCCCGCCCGATGCAACAATAATCGCCACAATAATGAACATCAGCACGGCCAGGATCTTGATCAGAGCGAACCAGAACTCGGCCTCGCCGTAGCCCTTGACGGAGATCGAGTTGATGGCATAGACGATCATGATCATGATCACTCCCACACGGCAAAGTGCACGTTCGGCAGCCAGTAGCTGATCGGCATGGCCACGGCGCCGGCCTCATACGCAACCACAGTGACCCAGTTCAGCCAGTAGTTCCACGACAGTGCAAAGCCAAACGCCGGATCAATGAACCGCCCGCCATACGCGTTGAACGAGCCCGGGATCGGAAGATATGTGGCGAGCTCGCCCAGAGACGACATGGTGAAGTAGATCACAACGGAGACCATTGCATAGGCGACGAAGGAGCCGCCAGGACCGGCAGCATTCAGGGCCTGGCCCGATCCAATGAACAGTCCGCTGCCCATGACTCCGCCGAGCGTGATCATGGCAATGTGCCTAATGATGTGATCAAGTGCTTAAATACATAATGTAGCCGACTCACGTGGTGGCGGGTACGTGGGAGAAGCAAACGCAGCTGCAAGTGGAGCGCACTATTGCCGCCATGCCTCTAGCTAATAAATCGTATTTACCTTTCAGAGAGGCCGCGGCTCAGACCAGCGCTGGCTGATGAGTCCTTGCTGGGTCCATCATCGCGCCCAGCCTCCTCACCAACAACATCCACGATAGCAATCTTGGACGGGCTGCTATCGTGACCCGCAGATTCAAAAGAGTTATCTGTGCCGCATCTTTCCGCCATAAACATCGATAGACAGGCTTGGCCAACCCGGAGCGTATGAGCTAGAGCGTAGTGGGGTAATTTTCGAGAAAGACAAACGACAAAATTAGCACTGCTAACAAAAGCAGAAGTATTGGTGCACACAGTGGGAAAAGAATGAAAGTAACGAGGGGTTCAGGAGAAGAAGTAGCCGATGCTTGAAACAGCCTTTGTCTTGACGGGGGTATTCAGGATAAGTGAGCTTGGTTCACACTACACGCAGCCTCCAGCCAATGTCAGGGGAGTTTATATAGGCGATGGACAGGCGTGTCCGAAGGCGATCGTAGACGGGAGGCAATCACCCGGACTATCCGCTCCAATATCATCGAGCCAGAGGAGGAGGGCATTATTTTTCCAGCTCCAGATGCTACAGCGATAAAGCACCAATCCACCAACGGGGCGAAAACAAGCGATTTCCCTTGTCTTATGCAAGCGGGCACTATCGTTTTTCCAGGAATAAATGAGATGGTCATTTGACAAGCAGCACTGCAAATCTCGAGCAGCAGAGGATTTCTTTGTCACAGTCCTTGGCAGGGGAAGGCAGGCGAGTACAGGCTGATTTTCATTCAGCCATAGGGGTGGAACCCAGCCTCACACGGCCAGCGGAGAGGTTTTGTGCAACATGTGACCTCCTATGTTACATGTCGTGCCCGTATACATGTTTATGCATCTGCGCCGAAAGCAGTCGGAACTTCAGCGCCTACGGTCTGCCGGAGATCGGAGCAGCGGATTGTGCCCAAAAGCAACCAGCCGCTCCAAGCAAATCACGATAGGATGCAAAATACTGTGCTGCCGACTGGATGCACAGCTACATGTGGTTTGCCACGGTGCCCGACAACATACAGCGATCCCACACAGTATACGTCTGTTCGCATACGTGCCCAGATATTGGCAATAGAAGAAAGTGATTAGAAAACAAACAAAACGAACTAGAGGTCAACCTTGATCATGGCATCACGGCTCGCACCGACACCAATCCACTCGACAGGCACGCCCAGGTCCTTCTCGATGAAGCGCACGTAGTCCTGGCAGTTCTTGGGCAGCTCCTCGAACTTGCGGCACTTGCTGATATCCTGGTTCCATCCGGGCAGCGTGACGTAGTTGACGGTGGCGGTCTCCAGGTCGTCGAGGTCGGCCGGGAACGAGGTGACATTCCGGCCGTTGATGGTGTACGACACAGCGACCTTGATCTCCTCAAACACGTCCAGCACATCGAGCTTGGTCAGGTTCAGGCTCGTGTACCCGTTCACCATGTTCGAGTACCGCAGGACCACCAGATCCAGCCAGCCGCAGCGGCGCGGGCGGCCGGTGGTGACACCGTACTCGGCACCCACGTCGCGCAGCTTCTGGCCGACCTCGTCGGTCAGCTCGCTGGGGAACGGACCACCGCCCACACGGGTCGTGTACGCCTTGGCCACACCAATAACCTTGCCGATGCGCGAGGGCGGGATGCCGAGGCCGGTAGACGCACCGCCGACGGAGGTGCTCGAGCTGGTGACGTACGGGTATGTGCCAAAGTCAATGTCCAGCATCAGCGCGTTGGCGCCCTCAATCAGCACCTTCTTCTGGGCCTTGAGCTCGTTGTGCAGGTACTCGACCGAGTCAATGACGTACGGGCGCAGGCGCTCAGCCAGCTCCCTGTACCGCTGCAGCTCCTTCTCGATGTCGTACTCAAAATCGCCGTACCGGCGATGGCGGCTCGCCACCAGCGAGCGGAAGCGCTTCTCGAACTCGTCAAAGTGGTAGAGGTGGTGGACGCGGATGCCCGAGCGCGACGCCTTGGTGGAGTAGGTCGGTCCGATACCCTTGCGCGTGGTGCCGATGGAGCCGCGGCCCAGCTCGACCTCCTTGAGACCGTCGACGATCTGGTGCAGGTCAAACACGAGGTGGCAGCGGTCCGAGACAAACAGGCGGCCGTCGCAGTTCAGGCCCTTCTGCTCAAGCTCCTCAAGCTCGCTGAAGAAGCCCGGGAGGTGCAGAACCACACCAGAGCCAACCACCGAGACGCAGGACGGGTTGACCAGGCCGGAAGGCAGCATGTGGAAGGCGTACTTGATGTCGTTCACGACGATCGTGTGACCGGCGTTGTTGCCACCCTAAAGAATGGTTGATTTGCAGTTGAGTCATATGTGATTACAGGTGCGCTTTGCCAAGCATTATCACAGCACAGGCTCCCTTGCCTGGTACCATGCAGGTGAGCAGCGGGTCAACGTACCTGGCAACGGGCGCAAATGTCGACGTCGGCGGCAAGCAGATCGGCGAGCTTGCCCTTGCCCTCGTCGCCCCACTGCGAGCCGAGGACGACAGTAGCCTTATTGGTGTCAGCCATTGGGAGGTGCTACATTGTGGTGCAAGAGTAGTTAGCATGCCTCTGGCATAGAGCGGGGTTGGACGTGTGGAAATCGGACATGGCCTCTCCTGCTTACCTTTTGAACAGGTGTGGTTTGGTTAGAGCAGGTGGTGTGACCTTCTTCAAGTGATCTCGAGCAAGCTAGTAAACCTGCGGTTCCTTGAAGTGAATAGAGTGAATGGATCAGAACGGAAAAGAGCCATTATTTCTTTACTCGCTGGGAGCGCGAGGGGCGCTCGGTCCTTTTATACCCCACCCCCGGCTTTGAGACATGGCACAGAAGCTAGACCCCCGCTCGGGCAAATCAGCAGCTCTTCGCCCCCCTGGTCCACAGAGATAAAGCGCCCCACCGGGCTGGCAGGGGCCAATCGGCAGGCTGCTGGCACCACGCCGTTTGGGGCGACATTTTTTTCTGCAGATTTTTCATCTGCCAGTATTCGCCGCTTCCCGCAGAGTCACGCAAGCTGCATCCGAGCCGAGCCGCAGTCCTGGCCAAGGTTGCGCCCAAAAAAAATGCAGCGATCGCAGAAACGCAGCCTCTAAATCTTGCTTTTCTTCTGCTTCAGACTGCCGGCCGCCTATACTCTAGACACGTTGAATTTCCTACGCTCCACTCTCAGTTTCCTTCTTCCCGCAGCCAGCCGCTCACCGTCGATACTACGCAAAGGTACGCCAGCCATGACACAGACCGAGAGGCCCGCGCATTTCACTCTTACCGAGGACGAGATCAAGGCCAAGTTCCCCGAGCGCCTGCGCGGCTACGACCTGTTCCGCGCCATGGGCAGCCCCAAGCACATCGTGGCCCCCATGGTCGACCAGTCAGAGCTTGCCTGGCGCATGCTCTCGCGGCGCTACGGAGCCGACCTCTGCTACACGCCCATGTTCCACGCAAAGATGTTCTCGGACGCCAAGTCGTCAAAGTACCGCGACGAGCAGTGGCAGACAAACGAGACAGACAAGCCTGTGATTGTGCAGTTCTGCGCCAACGAGCCTGACGCGCTGCTGGCGGCAGCCAGGCTGGTGGTGGGCGAGGCTGATGCCGTGGACCTGAACCTGGGCTGTCCGCAGCACATTGCCAAGCGTGGCCACTACGGGTCGTTCTTGATGGAGGACTGGGATCTGGTCAGCAAGCTGATCCGCAAGCTGCACGAGAACCTGGAGATCCCTGTGACCGCAAAGATCCGCGTCTACCCCGAACTCGAAAAGACCATCGCGTATGCAAAGATGGTCGAGGCTGCCGGCGCCCAGATCATCTGTGTGCACGGCCGCCTGCGCGAGCAGAAGGGCCACAAGACAGGTCTGGCGGACTGGGACAAGATCAAGGCCGTCAAGGAGGCAGTCAGCGTGCCGGTGTTTGCCAACGGCAATATCCTGTACCATGAGGACATCCAGAAGTGCATTGATGCGACCGGCGTCGACGGCGTCATGTCGGCCGAGACCAACCTGTACAACCCGGCGTTGTTCTCAGGCAAGGTCCTGCCGACGTGGCAGATGGCCGAGGAGTATATCGAGATCTGCAAACAGGTGCCGACCAAGAACTCGTTTGTGCGTGGCCACCTGTTCAAGCTGTTCCGGTACAGCCTGCCGATACACACTGACCTCAGGCAGCAGTTGGCGCAGGCGCGCACTCCTGAGGAGGTCGAGCAGTTTGTGGGCGCTATGAAGAAGCGGCTGATGGAGGACGAGGAGAAGGAGGGCAAGTTCGAGCCCGGGAGCGTCGTGGCCGATGAGTTTGGGTACAAAAAGTACCCTCACTGGATCTGCCAGCCCGCATTGCGCTTCGAGCACGACAAGGAGCACTCGCAGTCAAAGCGGCTGCTGAACGAGGCCAAGGCTAGCCCAGCCAAGCCCGAAGAATCCAAGAAGACCGCTCGCGAGGATGTCGAGGAGGCTGATTCCAATGCCAAGCGGCAAAAGGTCGCTGCTGCATAGTGTATTTATCGTTTTCCTTTAAGCACATAAAATACTACCCTACTCATTTCGATGGCGCATATCTTAGCGGCATGGTCGGGTCCCATGTCCCGCCCTGGCTGCTGTTGGGCGGCGCACTAGGCGCGCTAGGCGCGGTGCTCGCATCGTACGGTGCCTGGGATATATCCGATGGCATATCCGACTGGCTGATCCCCATCAGGTCCTGCGCGTCGATATGCCTGGCCATGGCAAAGTCCAGGCACCCTTCCTTCAGTTTGTTCAAATCGGCCTCGAGCGACGCATAGAACCGTGCTCCGTCGTGCAGATTGAACGACGCCTCCCGGTATCTCTTGATCGCAGTCTCCAAGTTCACCAGCGCCTTCTCGCGCTGCTGCAACAGCGGATGCGTCGACCGTGCCGCAATAAACGCCTGGTTCGCCTCGCGAATGCTATCCAGAAGCTCGCTCTGTGCTTCACGCTCCTCCTCGATATACACTTTCCAGGAGGTGTACTTGTCGAGCCGCTCCGCAAACAGGTCCTCGAACTGGTGGAGCTCGAATTTGAGGATCGGTGTCGATGACTGTGCTGCCAACCTCTGCATCTCCTCATTGAGGACTGGTGCCACATCGTCCTCGCTGGCAAGACGCTTCAGCTTCTCAATGGACTTGAGCCGCTCGCGCCGCATAATCGATACCTCGCCCATGTACTGCTGCAGGCGCGCAATGATCTGGCTATGGTGCGGGTCCGTCAGCGGGTTTGCTGTGGTAGACGGCACTTGCCGTTCGATCTCGTCGCGCGACGAACTCAGCAGCATAAAGAACTTGCTCCACGCCTCCACCTGCGACTGCAGAGCTGCGTCGCTCTCGCGTGCCTTCTCCACGATCCCGCGGTACTTTTGGATCTCGCTGCGGAACGTATTCGTCAGCTCCGTTGACTCCACACGTTTGGCACGCTCAGAGCCTGGAGCTGCACCGAGTCGCACTTGTGCATCCTCACGCATCTCGTCGTCCAGTGCCTTTTCGGATGCATCAACCAGCGCCGTAGCTGACTGGTTCGACTTTAACGCATTGTCCAGCAGGCGCTTGAGTCCGATATATCCACCGTCCGACCGTATCTCGTCGGCGCCCACCAGAACGCTTGGTGGCAAACCGATCGGCTTCTGAATCGCCTCCAGCGCATTGGGCAGGTTGAGTGATGCCAATACTGACTCGCAGTCCGCCGTAAGCTCATCCAGGACTGCCACAATGTCCTTGGAAATCAGCTGGTCCTTGCGGTCCTCGTACAGACTCGCAGCCTGGTGGATCACAAATGGCACCAGGCCCTTGAACAGCGGCGTGCCCAGCTCCTCCTCTCCCAGGAACGCTCCTGGGTTCTCGATGATCTCGGGGCACTTTGGCATTGCCAGTTTGTACGGCGTGACAGGCGCCAGCGAAGTGACAGCCGGAACCGGATCGAGGTAAATAACATCGTTATCCCGCTCTGCCCGTGTCCTGCTGGTACTAACAAACTCCTGCTGTGCCTTGAGCGCATCGACGATCACCGGCCGAATGTGCTTCGCCCACCGCTGGTCGTAGTTCACGAGCTCTTGCGCCTGATTGCACAGTTCCTGCGCTGCCTGCAGCCTAGCGACCTCCTCTCCGTAATGCGCGCCAGCTAGACACTCGTTGGCCTTCTTCGTTTGTGCTTCCGCAAGGAAGAACAGCCTCTTGATCTTGAAGTGATCCACCCAGCTCGCCGGAATCGTGCTTGTTAGCGACCCCTGCGACCCACTCTCAATCGCCGCATCGTAAAACTCGACTACCTGCATGGCAATCCTCGCAACATTTGCATCCTTCATGTGCGTCAGGACCGAGCGCTGCCACACGCACTCTTGCGCCTGGCAGAGCATCAGATTTTCGAGCGTGGTCAGCATGTACGAGGACAGGTCGGTGGTCAGCTGTGTACGGCACTCGCTGACAATCTTGGAGCGCAGGAGATTGAAGACGCCTGCTGCGTTCTGGAAGTGGCCAAAGGCACGGGTCAGGCTGTCCTTGTCGTTGCGGCTCTCGCGGCAGCCGAGCTGAGAGTAGAACGCACCGATGTTGAACAGGACCGAGGCCCGCTCAAAGTACAGGTCCTTGCCGGATGCTACCAAAAATACCAGGGATGCATGAGTATGTCTGTGCGACTGGCTCTAGACCCATTTGCCGACTTGTGTGCTTACCTCCTGACTCAGGGTCAAATGCGCTGCTCCACATAAAGTTGATGTTGGCGTCGGCCGGAAACTTTGTCAAGATAAACGACAACTGTCCGTAGTACCTACAAAGCTCGGCAAACTTGAGTATGTGGGCATTCTTATGCCACCACCAACCAGTAGCTATATGCCTACCTGATATTGCGCTTGAGCACGTTGGAATTCACGTCAAATGTTGCTGCTGCTGCCTCACGCAGCTCGTCCAAAACCCGCAGGTCGTCGCGGTACGCCTCTGGCGGTTCTGCGTATGACGAGGAAATGTACTCAGCAAGTGCCTTGCTGTAGACGGACTTGTCCGTCGTCTTGAATTTAACGCACAGGAGCGTTGAATTGTCGTTGCTGTCCTTGTCAACAGCCGCTTGTCTGAACAGGAACATTGCTGACAGGGGAGTTAGAATGAGGAGGAAGTTTGGAGGAAGCAGTGAAGTGAAAAACAAAAGCTTGGCAAAAAGAAGGGCGACTGCTGGTTGGTGACGTAGGGTTGGTATTATATCGAGCCATAATCAGCGTGAGTCTAGCTAGCGTTTACTATATATAAAAGTGAGGCTGGAACTTTACTCTGCCATTATTTCATCGTATCGCCACCACCACCCACCATGTCAGTACACGAGGCCAACGACGTTGAGCGCCTGCTCAAGCACGAGGAGACCCAGCTGTCGCGTCAAACAGAAGTAGAGCGCATAATGTCACTCAGTATGCTCGATCCCTTTGCCATCCTCTCTCTCCCACTAACCTGCACGCCCCAGGACGTGAAGCTCGCATACCGCTCTAAATCCCGTCTCATTCACCCAGACAAAACCACCCATGCCAATGCCCGCGAGGCGTTTGAGCGTCTTAAAAAGGCAGAAACAGAGCTGATGGACGACGAAAAGCGCAAATCCATTCTCACAATGGTCGACGAAGCGAAACGTGAACTTGCTGTCGAATGGACCAAGGAGGTGGAATCCGGAAAGCGCCAGGAATTCGATGTCGTGTCGAAGGAGTTTGAAAAGGCAGCAATGGAAAAGTACCGTGCGATCATGGTTGATATTGAATGGCGGAGGCGCCAGAGGGTGAAGCAGGAAATGGCAGCAGAGGGCGCGGCAGCGAGCAAGAGGGAAGAGGAAGTCAAGGAGAAGAAGAGGAAGCGAGACGAGGAGAAGGCATGGGAGGACAAACGTGAGGAGAGAGTTAGCAGCTGGAGAAACTTTCAGAAAAAGTCAAAAAAGAGCAAAAAGTCGAAAGGTGCAAAGAGCAGTGCAACACCGAGTTCCAAGTAGATATACAATCAATACACATTTAATACCTCTTTGGACATTGTCAGCATGCTGGCATGTATATATTTACTCGCTTGATAAGAGTGGAAGTGGATGCGCTCACAAATTCCAAGACCCATCTCTATTCATCCCAAGATTCAAGGATTTGGTGTGACCAGAATATCTGGATCATGCCATCGTGCTTAGCTGGAGACAAAGTTGTTGGTGTTGGAATTGACAGCGTCGCTGGCCTGGTTAGCATTGACGTTGTTAGCGTACACTGTGTTCTCGTTAAAGTTGGCACGGTTAGAAGCACGATCGAAGTCGTTGTTGGATGAGCTCACGAATGGGAATCCCCAGCCGCCATAGCCGCCATAGCCGCCGTATCCACCATATCCACCATATCCACCATAGCCGCCGCAGATACCGCAGCCGTAGCCACCACAAGAACCGCAGCCATACTGGCGACGAGTAAGTTCAGGCTGGTGAGAAGAACTGGTGCTGGCCGGGAGCACAGCAGGATCCTGGACCAACAGGGCGCTGATAGGTTCAGGGACAGAAATTGCATGAGCAGATGGAGAAAAGGTTGTCAGAGCAACGAGAGCAATAAGAGAGGTGTAGGTGTTGAACATGATGAAGATGAACTGTAAAGCTATTTGCCAGTGTAGCTGTTGGGTGCTGATGCTGGATGAATGTTGAATAAGTGACCTTCGGTCGTTGCTTATATATCCAAGAGAGCCTTCTCAACTACATATCTAGAAGATATATCAGATGCAACTACTGCCACCAAGTGCTTAGCCAGAAACAACCCATCAACCACCACATCTTATCTCTGTCAAACAATTGTATTGATCGATTATATATCTGCATCTAAATGAGTACCGATATATTATTCAGTGACAGGTTGCTCTTGTTGCGAATATATTGAATCTAATATGGATGGGTTTATTTCTACTTTTGCAAGATCTATCTTTAGAATGACTTGGCAACAACATATGGAACAGGGGGCAACCCTGTCATATCAAGCCCAGCATTGCCAGCAGCATTTCCAGATGCCTTGATTCCACTCATCTCACAGTGCTTAATAAGTTTCTTGGGGAGCGTCTGCGTCTTCTGCAGAACATCAGGGGCCTCAACAAGCGTCATGAGCATCCGCAGACTCTCGGGGCTGCCGTGAATATTGACATGGCAGTGGTACAACCAGACACCCGGGTTGTCGGCGCGGAACCTGACCTTTATGTACGAGTATGGTGGTATCTCCATGACATCACGCTGGATCGGGGCAACAAGCGACTGGACAAGCGGAGAGAATGTGAACCCAGGTGTGAAACCATCTAGCGACGGACCATACTCGGTGACCTGGAACGCGTGACCATGCAGATGCATAGGGTGAGGGACTCTGTTCGGGTTATGCACTTCAAGTTCGACAACCTCGTTGTGCTTCAACACCACTGGGTGTGTCCGGTTATTGTAGACATCAGGGTTCATTGCCAGGTCGCCAGTGGTCATTGCGGTGAACAGGGAGGGAACCAGCGGTGCGTAGTAAGTGATGTTGCTGATATGGTCCATGTGCTGGCCAGAGGACATGATGTTGTTACCGACCCACAGATACAGCGAGCGGTCGACTGGCAGTGGCGGTTGCTTATCGAGCGCCGTCATCTTGATGTCCTCGACCCAGGTCAGCTTGCTATCATCGACGTCGGGGAGCTCCTTGACCGGTGAATCCTGCCTGTACTCAACTAGACCTGAATAGAACCGCGGGTTCTCACCTGGCGACGCTGGAATAAAGTCTGCGTACATCTTGACCTTGTAGTAGTAGTTGAACTCGTCAGACTCATGTGCAGTGACCAGAACCGAGTAGCGCATGGCAGGTGCTAGCTGCACGCCATCAACTATATGTTCGTCGCTCAGGATTCCATCGACTTCAATAACGCGCAGCTTGAGGCCGGGGATCCGGAACTTGAACCACAAGGTGCTGGACATGTTGATAAGGCGGATGCGGTAGGTCTTCTTCGGCTCAAACTTAATCGGCTTTGTGCTGTTGCCGTTGTAGCCGTTAATCAAACCAAACCCGTAGCTAGATGGCGGCGGGAACGGCTTTGTTGGGTCAGTAGTCAGCGCAGCACGGTCAGCAAACTGCCCTGCAAACCAGTCCTCGAAGGTGAACAAATGCTCTGCGTCGTACTTGTACGGCGGCTCCTCGTCATAGACGACAAGCGCAGTACGCAGCCCGTCGGCGTTATGATCGTGGTCGTGGCCATGGAGCCAGAATGTGCCCTCCTGCTCGAGGTGGTACTCGTACGTGAACGACTCGCCAGGCGGGATTCCGCACTGGTTGGTCATTCCTGGCCCATCCATGTAAGACATGCCGCGCATGAACAGGCCGTGGGCATGGATCGTGGTGGTTACGTTCAGCGAATTGTGCACGTTGAGGATGAGGGTGTCGCCGCGAGTTGCATACACAGGCGGGATCGGGGACTGGCCATTGACGCCAATCGACCGCCTGTAGTTGATTCCATCGCGCATCATGTAGACATAGCCGACGTCCCAGTCAACCACAACACGTTTTGCCAGCGCAGCAGCAGAGAAGACTAGCAAAAATAGAGTATGCAATAGCATGGGAATTGTAAAGATATGCTGAAGGTGTAAGCAAAAGGCCGATGACAAAGAGAATGTATCGCCAGGAGGCTATTGTATTTATATTCCACAAATATCACAAGCCTATGCTGCTAGTAGCAAGGATTGGCTGGGCTTAATTTGCTCATTTGAGGGGCTGGCTTGGCTCCAAAATATGCAAATGCTTCATTGGTTTCAAGCAGGTGGCGCAATTGAAGGAGCGTCTGTGTGTATATTCAGGAGGCAGCGCCACATGTTTTGTACGCTAGACTCCGCTTCCGACTCATTGTCCAAAGCAATATTTGAAAATCAAAAGGGCCAAATATTGTAAGCAGCATGCCCATGAATCCAAGCATTTTTGCGCTCGCAACTTCACCATGGTTCAAGTGCAAGACCAGGGTATGGGGACACTAGAGTTTTGATATGGTAGTTGCATATATTAACACTGTCTACAGACCAGGATATTTGGAATGGTCGTCTGTGCTGTAATCGTCAGCATCGACACTGTTCTGGCACTGTTTGTTCTCAGTGGTACTGCCACACCACTTGGGCTCACCCGATAGCTGGTACCACACTTCTTGGTTGAAATGCTTGAATCCGAAAAGCTGAGGAGGGAGATGGGGCACGATATCCTGCTTGTAGGTGACACGGTATATCGGGAAGCCGCGATTGCTCATCCATGTAGCGAACTCCTTGTTGCCAACTCGCGGCTGACCGTATGTGAACAGCTGCATCTGCTTGATTCTGCTTGGGGCATTCTGTGCGACATCGGCAGCATTCAGCGAAGCAAGCGCACCACCCAAAGAGTGCCCAACAAAGATGATCTTATACGTAGGCAGTGACTCTGTCAGCGCGCTCAGCGACTTGCTTACGAACGACTGTGACGCTTTGTATGCCTTTAGGAACCCCTGGTGTACCTCGGAGTCCTCCACGCCCGATGGCCAATCGTCCTTGAAGTATTTGACGTTGGTGATCCAGCCCTGAGGCGTTTTGGTGCCGCGGTATGCGACAATGATTTCCTCGTTTTTGTGATTGTATGCCATGTAGCCTGTACTGGCTACCTTTGGGTAGTTCCATGTTGCGTAAACAGTGGTGCCAGCAGTTGCATTTGTTTTGCATGCACCACTGCAGCTCCATGTATCGACTTTGACATCAGCATATGCGGCATCGGCGTAGTTGGCATACTTGACAAGGTTGTCCGTGCTTGTTACTGAGATGCTTGCACGCCTGTCGAACGGAGATGAAGGAAGGGCAGTCACAAGGAGAGCAACTGTGCCAATAGCAAGAGTTTGTAGAAGCATTTTTACAAAGTAACAATAGTCGATGGACACAAGTTATACTTGATAATGTAGAAGCTGTGGCAGGCGAGCACAGGAACCTCAGCTTAAATAGCAATAGTTCATAAAAGCTATTTTTAGATAGGTTCTTGGTCAGCAAGAGCTCAGACTCATTCACAAGATTCTAGCAAGTCCCTACTGGCATGTTTGTCTCACGGTAGCATTGCCGATTTATAACCCCAGCTATTTTTAGTTCTCATTGTGGATTATCACCATGTTGCATATGATATGCACTCATAAACAGGATCTAGAGTTGCTGTCTACAAAGGCCGACACAGAACTGTTCTCATTGTAAAATCTGTATTGGCAATATCTTCGTGCATACCTATTTAAAGATACATTCTGCATAGCCAGTGCCAATTTTAGTTATTCTGGATAGTATTGAACAGCAGCCATGTCCCATGGTTCAGAAAGAAAATATCCAGCTGGCTATGCATGTACAACTACAGAAAGCTACCCGGATTGAAACCTGTTTTCTCTTATTCCGAACTATGATTCTTGGCGGTGTTCCCTGTACTCCGCAGCTTGTGCATTGGAATTACCGCTGTCGTTGGTTATCTTGCACCCAAGGAAGCTGCCAATCAAATCCTGGATCATCTTATTGCGCTCTTTGCTGTTGACATTTGGACCTGCTGACACCAGAATGCAAGACCACTCTTGCTTCGCCATACCGATGACCAACCCACACAAAGCCGGACTCCAAGCTAACTGGACACCCTCCCTTTTCTCCTGCCAACTTTTCAGATCAGCTCTCTCTACATAGCTCGTAGCTACGCACTTGATCCTGAAGGCTATCAGCAATAGTTGCTTTATTGTATACAAGCCACGCGTGGAGAAGAGATGGGGTTGTCAGCAGCGTATTCTCTGGTGTAGCTTTGCAGTGCGTCAATTGGGCACCCATTTCCATTTATGTTTACATGCATTACATCGCATATCTGTGCTAATTCCTTTCTGCACCCACTGTGTGCTCCTATTTCTTTTTTCAATGGGTAGCTATTCTTCGCGTCTAGTGCCCACCTTTGATTTCGATAGCCTGAATGTGCCTCAGAACTCAGGGGCTATCACAGGGTACTAACCCGGTCTAGTTTTTGTCAGAATTTATGATTCTCTGAGTTTCTACAATTTTTCCTTCCTCATCGGATCCATGTGTCATCACAGCCATGACTCCGATCCTCCTTTGGGATCTCTCTCTTCTCCACTCTCGATTTCTTTCTTATAACTACTTTCTCTTCTTATTCGTAGTTCTTTCTTTTTTCTGGCTGCTTACAGCCCATTCCTTATACAATACAATAATTGTCTGGCTGACTCAGCTCAAACCACTCGCTGAAACTCGTGACCTTCCAACAGTTTTGGACTGTAGCAAAGCGGCCAGCCGCGTACCGGGGAAAATTAGGGGTATCCTAGCAGTACTGGTCGGGCCAGCTGGGTCAACAACTTTGTCACTGTTCCGTCCTCCCGTTTAGCGTACAGGTTACAGTGACTCTGCCACCAGTAAATCTGCGGTATTTGGTGTTGGTCATCCGATGTCATTCGCAGTATAAGGCCTGGGAATGCCGCAGTGCTGGCACCAAACTGATTTTGCATCAAAGAGCGAGCCCGAACCTGAGCAGTGGATTGAAGGAGTTATCACGGACCTAGGCGGGGATAATCCAAAGGCGACAGGGATGGCCATCAAGAGACTACAGACTATTCTAGACTCGCTGGACCAGTCATCAGGCATGGCGATGCAGATTTACTGGTCGTATATAGCTATGGCTACTGATGCATCCATTCCATCACCATCTCAGCTGGCTCTGCACCACATTGCCAAGTTGACGGGTAACGTTCTTTTTAAGTTATTTTCCTACCCTCGTCTGGCGCTAGCAGTACTACAGAGCATAATGAGCACATTGCTTGAAGAACAGATTCGTCGAATCGTCGGCTTTGCATTGAAGCCAGACAAGCATGGTGTGTGCCACTTTTGTGATAGAGAGCAGCTGTTCAAGGGGCTCCACGCGCTTATCATCAGGATTCTGGACAAGGCTGACCGCACTCGTGCGTTTTATCATTGATCCAGCTTATGATGTCGAGTCATTCTGAGAATGCGCCCAATGTACCACCAGTCGGTGTTTGTATCGATATATCGCTGAAATTCTGGCAGCTCATGTAATGTCTACCAGATGTCCAAGTCTCTACCCAATGACACGGAACACCAGTTGTGCTGTGTCAAGTTTATGAAGCAGATGCTGACATTTCCAGTGGCATTCTTAGCCTGTGTTTCAGTGACCATTGTGGAATTACACATTCGACAAGTTGCGTGACAGACCAGGGCCAGGGTGATGCAGACGTAAAGAGCGACCGCTTGTTGATGACAATCCCAGCTCAGACATGCATAGAGCCTGTCTTAACTCCAGAACTATTAATTCTATAACCCACTTCCAGAAGAGCTCAATTTCTCCATTGGCTCGGATTTGAGACAAAACATGTGCAATGAGCCATTTGAGACTATGGTAGGCAGATTCCCGGGGGGAGGGGAAGCGTATTGGCAAAGAAAAATGGTTACGATGATGTTGGTAGGAGACATGAAATACCGTCTTTATTCCCTGTATCTCCGTGTCTCCATATAAGCTTTTGGCCCATCCACACTCCGCACCCAACAATCAAGCACTTTTCACCAAGTACCCCTACAATGCAATTTCCTTCAATGAGTTTATCTTCTTCCATCATATGAGTAGTATAGTGCACGTACAGATTGTCGTTTTAGAGATTGTTCTCTTCATTTGACGCTGCTCGTTAAATTGGCTCAAAAACTCAACTGTCCAACGCGTCCTTCTTCAAAAACTCATAGTATATGCTGACGTTAAAATTTTTATTACTCTCTGTCAGCTCTTACTTTAACATTGGCTACCAGCAGCTTGTGCAGTCATACCATGATATTATATAACTACATGAAGTTGCTTAGTGAGCGTACCAGCAATGCAGTCGGCGTGTTTCAACTGTAGTTAAGTGCTACTTTGAATATATCATATAAATGATGCAGAACTTCATGGGCTACCAATAGTGAATACAAGGAAACTGTCTCATAGATTTCATTTTGTTTCTGTGAGTGCAGTCAATTAACAAGCTATCACAGATATGACAGATAGGCCTATAAATTCCTAATTGCAGGGTACACTTTATTCCGGTAAACTCAGCTGAATTTCAATGAATTCTTACTAAGCAGCCGTTATTTAGCAAGCAGATATTACTTTTGGCATCGCTTTGGTCTAAGTCGAACTTCATGCATATAATAGCCATAGTACAAAATAACCACACAATTTCAAGGATATGTATTGCAATTTCATGATATAGAGCTTATGTTTATTGGCGGGAATATATTCGTGCTAGTTAACGCGTAGCTATGCATGAACTACTTGTAGGTGTTGTTGGTAGCAGCTACGTAACAAGTACAGAAGAAGGTATGCTTGCTAGCACCAGAGGTTAGGAATGATATCAGTACCTTTAGGTGAGCTAAGTTTAGGCTTAGGTACTGCACTGAGACGAAGCATGCTCAACGAGTCTAATGAGGTCATGATAGGCAAAAGTAAAAAAAAAAGTGTATTGGTGAAGGGGGAGTGTTGACTAAATGTTGAAGAAAGATGGGAAGTGCTACCCCGATCCTCTGTTTCTCTGAGCTTATATAATATTTTTTTTGGCACATCCACACTATGAACACGGTTGCCAAAAGTATTCCTCTCCGTATATTAGCCATACTCTTTCTTGACAAATGCAGCACGCTCTGTTTAATACAATCATTTAACCTGTAAGAGAAAATTGCTTCTTTATGAGCTTGCGGGGCCGGTGACAAGGCCACATGCAGCAACCAATTTAGAGCACGAAGAGTTGTGTAAAGTAGACAAAGAGTATCTCCCCCTGCTAGCGGTAATGCCGAGGTAGAACAGATGGTACCTCGGACTCCTTACCCCTGCGAAGATGAAATTCGCGCCTGTGCGTTTCTGAATCTTGGGCTGACCCAACAAATATGCACATTGTCTTCTGTTAAAGCCGCTTGAATGATATAGTGCAAGTATGCATTGTTGTTTCACGTATTGTATTGCGCCAAGCGCTGTTTATATGAATATTCGCAAAAAACTTGAAACATGAATTGGTTTCAGCTCCTTACACAGGTATCTGTTCAGCATGCGCAGACTTTCGCTTCAGATTCTTGCAATTTACAACGGCCTGCTAACTTTGTAAGCAGCAATGTGTACGAACACCACCAATCAACATCAAGCATATGAGTTTTTAATTCAAATATTATATGTTGAATATTTGATTTCTGGTACGATCAGATCTACATGGCAGGTGCTCTCAGAGCTGCTGGGTGGCTATATGGGCGGCTATGTACCTACACTAAATTGGGAGTCTCTTCCGTTTCTCAATTAGGTACTAGTTAATTTATTTAGGCATTTATTCATCAATATAACTCAACTAGCCTTACGAAGTGCAGGTGCAAATGAGCAAACCTCAATCCTTCTCCCACTGCCAACAAATTGCCTTTCAAGGTCTTCGTGGAAACTCTCGTTAACCGAGACCGAGAGCAGTGTCGGCACACATTCAACAAAGTTGCGTACGGCTGTCTTGTCGAAAAACTTCTCCGAAAGAAGTTCAAACTTGAGCAGGCCACAGGACGGAGAGATGGTGTAGGCAGGACCGGTACTATTCTCAGTGCGTCTTTTCTTTATTGGCGGGGGCATAATGTCACTGTTGTTATTGGTGGACTGGGCATTGATGTTGGTGTTGCTGGTAGAAGGCATGTTTATCCTGGCAGTGCTAGCCGAGACAACAGCGGCTGGCTTGGGAGTAATAGCTGGCAAAATGAACCTTTGCACGGCAGCTGGCATAGCACGCTGGATCCTGACTGGGCTAATTCCAGCGTCCATGTGGCTCATGGAGTTGCACCAGATTCGTAGGTGCTGCAAGCGAGGCAGCATCCACAGAATGTCCACGATATCGTCAATCGTGACTGTATGTAACGTGATGTAAAAGATGCGGAGGTTAAATAGGCGAATGTCTTCAGGCACTGCATAACGCGCACCAATAAAGTACAGTTCCTCGACGTCAGAGTCAGCAGTGAGCAGATGTGCGACTTCCTCCTTAATCGGACTCACTGGCCTGTCACCACTAGGGATACCAGCAATAATAGTCACTGATTTGGCATGTCGGATTACGTTCGCGTTAACAGCACTGAGCCTTTTGTAATGTTCCGTAATCCGCAACGTAGAAAGCACTGGCGAGCCGAACAGTGTGTAGAAGTCAGTATAGAGGCGTGTGGAAAAATCAACAGATAAATCTCTGAGTCTTGGGAAGTGAACTTCAAGGTCTTGTAGCAAATATGGCACTAGTCCTTCAGGCTCAGCTGAAAAGCTGAGGTCCAGAGAAGTGAGATTGCTGAAATTGACCACGCCGGTCATGTCAAAGTCAAATTTTTCCCATGTCAAATCCTCATTAATATCGGTGATGGTCAAGGACTCTAGGTTGTCGGCGGGCAGCAGCGGCAATATCATATCGGTTAGAGGATGTAACAAGTAGTAATCGAGACGGAGATTCCGGATGTTGTTTCCAAGCACTGGATAGTCTCCCTCTGGGAACGGCGGCATGAGCTCCACATCCGTAGCCTGTGACAGGTACTGGAGCTGTAGCTCTGAGTACAGTCCGAGAGGCTCAAAAGTCAACTCACCATCAGCGTCGCGTGCTGCCCATTCTCCAGTCAGCTCGCGAAACATCAGAGATCTGACGTTCGGCAGATGGGTTCTGAAGAAGAGGCATGTGTCACGGATAATCGCGCGCTGCTCATCAGGTGACTGAAGAGTACTACCGGCGAAGAACCCGAGCCCATAGACCTCAATAGTTTCAACCAAGTTCCACACGGCCGAACCGAACTGGAGTTGCTGCAGGATCTCCAGCAGCCCGAGTGGGCATTGAACAGCATTCCGCATAACGATTTGAAGGCATCGCGTCTCCTCTGCCTTTCCAGCACGCAGACATTCAGGTATGTTGGAATACCAGTTGTGGTTCATCACCTGTGTTGGTGGAGTGACACTCGGGTCGTACTGAGGGGTACGTGTGATATAGACTGTCTTGTAGAGTAGCTGCTGGACAGCCCCGTAGAAGTTGCTATTGAGGGCCGCCATAGACTGCAGCCAGCGGTATCCGCTGCCGCCTGGAGTTTTGGTGAATTTCTCCTCTGCAAGCAGCGACAGAATAGGCATGAGGATGTCTGGTGGGAGACTGTTCGCACCCGCCAGCTTGCAAGCGTTCATGGTATTTAACTGGCAAATTGTTTTGTTCTGGTGTAAAATGGGTGAGGTATGCTTACTAAGATGTTGCAAAAAAAAAAGGCTGCGAAGAAAAGTGATGTGAAGAAAAAGACCCCGTCGCCTGTTGGTTGCCTATTTATCCCTGAAGTTTGAAATAGAGGATTGCTGGGTACCTCCACACAAGATACGCAGGTTTTTGTCTCATTATGAAAAGTGGGCATCGCCTATACTGCCACCCGATTTATTCCACAAGTAGTCCCAAACACGGCCAGCACGCCAGAATCCATTTCCCAACTTGCATGTTGGCGGGCGTGGTGATGCTCACAAGATATGAAAACTGGTTTAAAGGGAGGGATTGGCGAGCCATGGCTGCTGGGACAATGGGTGACACCCTGCAAGTGGGCAATGCATGACATCCCCTATGTTGCTTCTCCGCTCTCTCACTCTCGCGCTCGCTGGCCCAGGTTGCTCCGACAGGAACACACTCATTCATGAACAGTATACTTTAATTGATTTTTCTCGGCGTTCTCGGCTTTGGGAATCGCCTGTCCATTTTTGGCACAGCCTACCACCCATGTGTCTTTGCTGTTTTGGCGCTGTCTATTGCGGTGCTGCATATAGCCCGATGACAGAGCATTGTTCACATTTCGTAATGGCTTGGCCGCCTGGCAGCTTCCTAATGTTCATGGGTGACTTGTCTTAAGCAAGCGGCTCGTAAAATAACACATCTCTAGGGCTGAACATCTCGCCATCTGTAATGTTGACTAGTATAGATTCTAAACACTCAGGGGTGGTTGTCATGAACCCTGCCGCTCAACCACCAAACATAGCACACAGTTAAATAATCAGAGCTCTTTTCGTATGGTTCATCCTTGGCATATCACTCCTTTTGTCTGACAAAGCTGCAGGAATAAGGGAGTCTCTTGGCGGAAAATGAAGCAGCAACTGCTGGACAAGCCAGCATTCAGCCACAGAAGCTGTGCCCAGGATGACGAACGCTGGCCTCTCCAATGTTCACCATGGTCGACAATGCAGTATCGATCTCGGTGTGCAAAGGGGATGGGGGCTGCTAGCTATGCCACAACAGCAAAACCTGGCCAAAATATCCTGGTCGTGTTCCGACAGAGGGCAACGGGCATGTATTTGCAATTGCTAGAGACAAGTGGGCAAATTCTTCAATGGAAACATCCGACAACAGACCCCATGTGCAAACAGATGCAGACAGCGACAGGTGCTTCATCCCCGGCTTGTCCAAATTGACAGCTGGGCACATGAGGTTTGTGATGTCGGCGAATGCAGCCCGTCCACCTTCACCCATAGAATCAATGCGATTATGTGTACTAGATTCGTTGCAAGCAAATGTACAGTTGCTTCATGGAATCTGCCCACTATTATAGTCAGTGCTGAATCGTGCACCTGTATCATCGCGAGTTCCGTATCGTATGTATGCGAAGCTCACATCGACCAGCCATCACCTTTTTCTTCTCCATGTCTTTATTTTTTTGGGGAATATGACTATTAAAAACAGCTAGCTGTCAACAAGGGCTCCTGCAGCATTTGAGGAAGGGTTGGGCACCACCACAGACACATGCATGGGAGCTTATATCAAGCCATGGGCCAATGTCGCTGCAGGTGTTGTTGACAACAGGGCTGTCCTTCTTATTCTACACCAGGCCGGGCACCTTGGATTCTTGTGTTCTGGCCTCGTCGGCATTCCAAATGGCGAAATACACACCCTGTTGTGAATATCGATAAGCATGGGACGCTGGTGTGCCATTTGAAGTTTCGCTGTGCTCCGACATTGCGCAGTAGCGATGCTGGGACAACAAACTGCGACCAACCAGACCTTCCACCATACGTACCATTAACTGGTGCCAGCTTCGCTCGTTTTGCTAGCGGCTCAGATGAAAGCTGTCCACCAAGCCATTTTCGAAAACGTGTCGTCACCAGATACAAATTGTGAGTGCAAATTCCCAGAAGCCGCCATGCGTCTTCTCTCCCTTTGCTCTTTTCGGCTGTTGTTTTTGCTCTTTTTCTTCAATTTACACTATTTTTAAATGACAAAATCCAGACGGCGCAGTGGTGCTGATGCAGCGTCGAATGAACAAGGACCGCTTCCAGACCTTGACAGTGATAATGGAACCGGCGCCACGGCAGTGTACAACAGTAGCGAGCAGGCAGAAGACATTTCTGGTGACAATGACATTGAAGACGAGGAGTATGATGACGACGAAGAGTATGACGAGGACGATGAAGAGCCAGCACTGCGCTACAAGCGGCTGGGTGGCAATATACAAGCACTGTTTGAGAAGGACACCGCGAGCGCGCTGATAGCGTCAGACCGGTTCCTGGTCCTGGGCACGCACTGGGGCCACGTTGTGATTCTGGACTTTGAAGGCAACGAGATTAAGAGGTGGCGGGCGCACTCGGCCACAGTCAACAGCGTCAGCATCGACCTGGACAACGAGTACGTGGCCAGCGCGGGCGACGACGGGCGCGTGGTAATCTGTGCATTATACAGCGACGAGATTATGGCGGCGGACTACAGCCGACCAGTGAAGGCAGTGGCCCTGGACCCAATGTTCAGCCGCAGGGCCAGCCGGCGGTTCGTGTCGGGCGGCACCTCGGGCCAGCTGATTATGAATGAGAAGAAGTGGTTTGGCAAGAGCGACACAATTCTGTTTACCAGCGAGGGCCCGATCCAGACCATCCAATGGCAGGACAATTTGATTGCGTGGGCGTGCGACGAGGGAGTCCAGATATACGATACAGAGCATGGCACCAGGATCTCGCAGATTGCGCGGCCGGAAGGCAGTCCGCGCGCTGACCTGTTCCGGTGCCGGCTGCACTGGCGGGATACCCGCACGTTGATTGTGGGCTGGGCCAACTGCATTCAGATCGTCGAGATGCGCGAGCGTCTGCAGGCAGCGGGCGCCGGGGATGGTGGCGCGGGACCATCTCTGTTTGCCGAGATCTCGGTGCTGTTCCGCACCGACTTCATCGTATGCGGCTTGGCTATGTACCGCGACCAGTTCCTGGTTCTATCGTATGGCGACGAGGAGCTCGTCTATAGCACCATGGCAGAACGCGATGACCAGGTCCCGGACGAGCAGCACCAGCAGAAGTCACGCAATGCGCAGCCACCGGAGCTGCGCATGATCAACCGCAATATTGAGGAAGTGTCCAGCGACGTGCTGGCGCTGGAGGGATTCCAGCTTTTGCAGCCCAACGACTACGGATTCGCATACTGCACTGCACGTGCACACTCAACGCAGGCCACGCCCAGGCCCGACAGCGATGCAGCATCGGCCCAGCGCGAGCCATCGGTGCCCTTGGCTGAGGCCGATACATGGTTTATTCTGAGCCCGAAGCAGCTGGTGTCAGTGCATCCGCGCGGGCTCAAGGACCATGTGCAGTGGCTGACCGAGCGCGACGACTACCGCCAGGCTCTGCTTGACATCGAGGAGGCGTACCGCGGCGACGGTGCCTGGGCAATGTACCGCGACCAGATCAAGGAGGCAGAGTACCAGGGCATCGGGCAGAGCTATGCGCAGATGCTGATGGACGACGGCAATACGAAGGAGGCGGCCGAGGTGTGCGCGCGTGCGCTGCCGCATGTCAATACACCCGAGGCTGTCGATGTGTGGGAGTCGTGGGTGTTCGCGTTTGCTGAGGCCAATGCGCTACAGGCGATTGTGCCGTATATTCCGACCGAGGGCCTGAAACTGACCAGCACAGTGTATGAGATGGTGCTGGGGCTCATGATGGCCACAGATGTGCCAGAGTTCAGACGCCTGGTCTTCACCTGGCCGTCGTCCCTGTTCAACGCCTACAGCGTAGTGCTGGCGGTCGAGGACCACCTGGAAAAATCGACCAGGGGTGAGGATGTGGACCAGCTAAAGACAGTCCTGGCGTTTCTGTATGACAGACTCAATCAGCCGTCCAAATCACTGCTGTACCATCTGCAGCTGTTCGCAGAGGGTGTTCTGGAGCGCGTGCGCAACGAGAACCTGTTTGGTGCGATCCGTGACAAGGCCGAGCTGGTGATGCTCTACGACGACCATACGCTGGCGGAGCAGGAGGAGGTATCACTGAAGGACAGATGCGAGGCTGCGGGCGTGCAGCTCCTGACTGACAACACCGATGCGATTCCATCGGCCAATGTGGTCAAGCAGCTGGTCAATGCACCTCGACACCTGCACATCTACCTGCACTCGCTGCTGACCAAAGACCCGCATTTAGGCGCGCCCTTCGCGGACCTGCAGGTAGAGCTTTATGCCGAATACAACCCGGAGAAGCTGCTAAACTTTCTGCGCATCAGCACGTACTATTCGTTCGACAAGGCGCTGGAGATCTGCGAGGAGCGCAATCTGGTGCCTGAAATGGTGTTCATTCTGGGGCGCATGGGCGACAACCATCGGGCGCTGATGCTGATTATCGAGCGGCTGCAGGATGTGCCCAAGGCGATAGAGTTCGCCAAGGAGCAGAACGATCCGGAGCTGTGGAACGACCTGCTGATGTACTCGCGCGACAAGCCAGAGTTCATCCTGGGCCTGCTGGAACTCGGCGGCACCCACATCAACCCAACCAAGCTGATTCGCAACATCCCCTCGGAGCTCTCGGTGCCAGGCATCCGCAGGGCGCTGACCAACGTCCTGCACGACTACCATCTGCAGGTCGAGCTGTGCATAGACTGCAAACACGTGCTGAACGGCGATGTCGATGTGCTGTCGGATGGCCTGCGTCATATGCAGCACCAGGGCCTGGGCATCGAGAACGACCAGATGTGCCTTGTCTGCCAGCTGCCGCTCGAGGACCTGCCCAGGGGCTCGGCGGTATTGGCGTTCTGGTGCGGCCACATCTTCCACGACAAGTGCATTTTGCATCCGGACGTGGTGGCCAAGACGCAGATGCGCAGTACTGCCGAGTCATCGACGCTGTCGATGTCGAATAGCCGGCGGCAGATCGCAGTGCATGGGCGGCGGGACCAGCGCCGGATGCTGCTGCAGACAAAGCTGGACCGGTCGCTGCTGATCAAGCAGTACAGTCCAGTGTGCCCGGTGTGCGCCGAATACGACCAGAAGAAAGTCCAGCAGTCGACCACGGGCTGGTCGCAAAGCGAGCGCCGCGACCACCTGGAGGACCCGGAGGACCCGGAGGCTACGACTGACGCAGGTGACACCGGTGACCTGCTTCTGCCGCCAATGCAGATGCTCCAGATATAATAACGATTTAATAACAAAATGTCAAGAAGAGGATGCAGCTTTACAGCTTGGCCCGGAGCTGGTTGACCTTTTTCTGCTGGCGGCGCACCGAGCTCTGCACCCACCGGGACTCGGGCTCCAGGATATACGAGTCGTCGATCTCGCCAATGGTGCGTGTGCCGGACAGCATCATGGTCAGCTCGAGCTCGCTCTGCAGCAGGTCGAGCGCGTGCTTGGCGCCGGCCTCGCCGTTATATGCCAGACCCCACAGCACCGGCCGGGCGACGAACACAGCGCGGGCGCCCAGAGCCAGCGCCTTGAAGATATCGGTGCCCTTGCGGATACCGCCGTCCATATAGACCTCGATTTTGTCGCCGGCAGCCTCGACGACCTGCGGCAACGCGTCGATGCTGGCCAGAGTCCCGTCGAGCTGGCGGCCGCCGTGGTTGGACACAATGACGCCAGCGCACCCGTACTTGATGGCCAGCCTGGTGTCCTCGGCGGTCAAGATGCCCTTGACGATAATGGGCAGCTTGGTGATGGACTTTAGCCACGCAATGCCGTTCTCCCACGACAGCGACTGGTCGCCATTGGCGCCAAAGGTCGCGCCAAAGGTCTCCGAGGCGCTCTTGCTGAGGTCAGCGCCGTAGCCGTCCGGATTATTGACAATCTCGGGATCAATAAAGTTCTCCAGATGCAGATGCGCTGGCGGATTGAACTTGTTGCGCGCATCGACCAGCCGGCGGCCCAATGCCGGAGCATCCACAGTCAACACCAGGGCCTTGAAGCCTGCGCGCTCCGCCCTCCGCACAATCTGCTCCGAGACCGACCGCTCCTTGTACACATACAGCTGCATCCAGTACTGCATGTTGCTGTTGCCCTGCGCAATGACCTTCTCCAGGGAGGTCGTCGAGTATGTCGAGAGGATCATGACGCCGCCGTGCTGCGATGCCGCGCGCGAGGTCGCCAGTTCGCCGTCGGCGTGGGCCAGCTTGTGCATGGCACAGGGGGCCACGCCCAGGGGCGTCGGCACCGGCTGGCCCAGGATCGTCGTTGCTGTCGAGATGTTGGAGACATCGCGCAGCATACGCGGGTGCAGGCGGTACTTGTCAAAGGCTGTCATGTTGTCGAGCTTTGTCTGCTCGTCGTTCGCGCCCGAGTCGTAGTAGCCCCAGGCGCCCGAGGGCATGACCTTGCTGGCGATGCGCTCGAGGTCCTTGATGCAGACAGGTCCGTTTGAATACTCCATTGGAAAAGAAAAGCTGGATGGGGTGAGAAGGAGAAAGAGAAGAGGTAGGGAGCTTCCACTCGCATCCACGCGCGAGGGGGTATTTATTACCCGTAGGAAGGAGCTCCTTGCCTGGCCACGTAGCTGGGAATATCCTTTCTCCGTCATGAGGCCGGAAATCCCACTCCCGCTTTTGCTCTGTCCTGTCCCTCTGCCGGAATCCGTGTCTTGGGAGACTGCCAGATTCGCATGCACACGCCAATCCGTGCACATCATGCACCCGATACAGTCGAGTCTGAATGTGTCCGACATGCTGAGCAAAGCTCTCCCCCACCGTTTATGTCAGACGAGATGGCCATGAGCCACCAATGGTTCAGCAAAACATAGGGGGTAGGCAAGGCAGCAATGTGTTTTCGGCTATCCAGCAAGCATATATATATCCGTCTGTGTCTCACCAATTCTATAAGCCGGGGGTGAGCGGGATTGGCGGGCTCTTCCCATTGGAGACAGTATCCGCGGCAGACCAACCACCGGGTGGTGCGCAGTCTAGTGGCTATTAGCGCGGAGCGATGGCTGGAGGAACCCAAACGGATAAAAAAAAAAGCCCCCCCACGCACAACGAGCCCAGCCCTGATTGCTTGAAGTCGATGGCACGCTGCGCACAGACGCTAATACCACGATTAGATTGTAATCACCAGGCAAAAATAGCCAGATTGGTCCGGGACGCGTCATTTCCCACAAACGCACACACAAGGCTTCGTCGACGTCGTCCAGGCGGCATTGGCGCTACGGGCCTTCCTTTGTCTCTCTATCGCATACATTTCACCACATTTCATTTTTCGCTTATTCTAGAATGGTTAAAGGCAAGTAGTTCGGCATTGCAGCTGGGACCCGGGGACCACAGCCCGAATAAAGAATGAGCACTAATGTACGTTTTGTGCTTGTAGTCAAGGTCAGCTGGCAAGGCAAAAAGTACGACGTCGACGTCGACACGACACAGCCCGGGGAGATCTTCAAGATGCAGCTGTTTTCGCTGACAGGGGTGTCGCCCGAGCGGCAGAAGATCCTGGTCAAGGGCGGACAGCTCAAGGACGACACGGACATGTCGCACCTGGGGCTCAAGGATGGGCAGATCCTGCGTATGATGGGCACGGTGGGTGAGCTGCCGAAGGCGCCGGAGCAGGCAGTGAAGTTCATGGAGGACATGGGCGAGAACGAGGTGGCGCAGGCGCTGGCAATTCCGGCCGGGCTGACAAACATGGGCAATACGTGCTACATGAATGCAACACTGCAGTGCATGAAGGCGGTGCCGGAGCTGCAGAAGGCGCTGGCGGCGTACCCGGGCGGGCTTGGCCAGGCGAATGCGCAAGGCAATATGACGGCAGCGCTGAGTAAGCTGTTCAAGCTGCTGTCGGAGTCGGGCGAGGGCGTGGCGCCGATCGTGTTTCTGCAGTTCCTGCGCCAGGTGTTCCCCAAGTTCGCGGAGCGCGATCCGCAGTTCGGCGGATATAGGCAGCAGGACGCGGAGGAGTGCTATAATGAGATTCTGACGGCGCTGGGGCGCGAGCTCAAGGACAGCAATGGTAATGTGGTGGACCAGTTCATGGGCGGCATGATGGAGACCACGTGGCGGACGGAGGAGGCGCCCGAGGAGGCGGCCACGGTGAAGCAGGAGTCGTTCCGCAAGCTGGACTGCCACATCGACAAGTCGGTTAGCTACGTCCACCAGGGCATCAAGCAAGGGCTGGAGCAGACGATCGAGAAGCACTCAGAGGCGCTGGGCCGCAATGCGCACTACACGGCCACGTCGCGCATTGCGCGTCTGCCCGAATACCTGACGGTCGCATTCAACCGGTTCTTCTGGAAGGCGTCCGAGTCGGTCGACGCCAAGATCGTCAAGGCGGTCAAGTTCCCGCTCGATCTCGACGTCAGCGAGTTCTGCACGCCCGAGCTGCAGGACCGCATGCGGCCGGTCAAGCAGCGGCTGCGCGAAATCGAAGATAGGAAGGCGCAGGAGCGCAAGCTCGCTAAGCGCAATAACCAGGGCGAAGGCGCGATGGATACGCTGCCGGAGCTGCCGCCGTTTGAGCTCGACGCGCAGTTCAAGGGCGACCAGGGGTGCAACCCGAGCGGCATGTATGAGCTGGTGGGCGTGATCACGCATATTGGACGCACAGCCAACTCGGGCCACTACATGGCGTGGGTGCGCAAGGAAAAGGACCAGGGCGGACCAGATCCCTCGGGTGCCAATCTGCCAGAGACGTCGCACTGGTGGTACAAGTTCGATGACGACGTCGTGTCGATGGTCACGGATGACGACGTTCTGAAGCTGTGCGGTGGCGGCGACTGGCATACGGCGTATGTGACGCTGTACCGTGCCAAGCGGCTGGAGTAGAAGATAGGATATTCTTTTGCTGGCATCAACAGCAATCCAGCCACTATTTGCTTTTGTGTTGTTGGAGCCAACAACATTCTGGACCTGAGTCGTTATTTTTGTAACACCATGCATGACGGGGCCGACGAAGTTGCAAACATAAAATAAGCAGCTGCATGCAGCTCTGAATTCCCACAACACGGTAGAGTGCCGAGGCTCCTATGAGGATATTCCGGCGGTGGCGGGATGCACAAAGGCAAGAGCTGGTCTTGTGGAACCCCTGCCGGCGGCGGTAGTCTTTTCTATTATCTAAGTGGCATTGTGCATGAGTTTGCATCCACAGCACAGGCCATTGACAAGCGGGGCAGCCTCCGCCTTTGGTCCAAGCCAAAACCACCCGGTGGCGACTGATTGAGGGGGATGGCAACAAGGCATAAAAACGAGTGATGAAAAAAGCAACTAATACTATTTTCCCTCGCTTCCCTCTCCTCTGTCTTTCGCAAAAAAAAACATCTCGGCACGTTATTTGGACATAGTATTCCATATGGGCATATCATTTATCGTGATCCACGACAAGTCGGCGGAAACACGGCTTCTGTATTTATCCTCGGGGTGCGCGCAGCCATGGGGTTCCAGCCGGCAGCGATGCTGGGACAGAGCGCATATGTGTTTATTGCCGACGACGCCTACAAGCTGGACTACCCGGCGGTGTACAGTAACGACACTGCATCAGTGCTGGTAATGCGGCTGAACGCCAAGGCGCAAGACGGCGCCTCAGTGGCCACCCGCCTGGTGGCTTTCAACTGCGACACATGCATTCTGGCAGTGGCGGTGATGTTCCCGGAGCAGCCGGCCGAGCCGCTGCCGCACCTGGCCGTGCGCCAAATCGATGCACTGCATGAGACGCAGCGCGCAATGGCTGCGGCTGAGGCTGTCAGCCAGCAAGGAATATATGTGACGCAGGCGACGCAGCCCAAGGCGTGCTTTGTTTTGGAATGCCCCAGCGACCAGGCAATGGCGCCTGGGCTGGTGGCGACGCCGATTGGGCCCAGTATCGTGTTTGTCACTAATTCAGTAGACAGGCTGTTGCTGGTTGACGGGGATGAGCTGATTGGCACGCCGTTCTTACGGCTGGTTGCGCCCGAATCCATGGTCACTGCGTCCAAGTTCATTGATGATTTGGGCAGAACCGACGAGATCGTGTTTGCGTCGTTCTTTTTGATGCTGCAGCCGGCAAGCGGCGATGAGCTGCCCAACGACCGTCGTGTCGAGGTCGAGGTGGTGGGTGCGCAGTCGGATGATGGCGTTGTGTTTCTGTGCAGAAGGATCCGCGTCTGCGCCGAGCCCGGCATGCCTTCGGAGGTCTGTGTCGACGAGGACATAGAGGACGGGTATCTGTCGCTGGCTGAAATTATCAGCTCCGAGCCCGAGACTTCGGATTGCCCGTCGCAGTGGACCAGCCTGGCCTGAACAAAAAAAATAAAATAAAGACGCTACGATCGCACATGCTCCTATGCTCCACTATTTCTCCTTCGCTCATATTTAGCTCTATAAATTCTTCAGTTCTAATCATGGCAGCAGTCCGCGACAATGTGTTTCCTACTCGCATGAACCTGACGGTGACCAAGATGCGGCTAAAGGGCGCGCAGACCGGGCACTCGCTTCTGAAGCGCAAGTCGGAGGCCCTGACGACGCGGTTCCGTGCAATTGTGCGCAAAATCGAGGAGGCCAAGCTCAAGATGGGCAAGGTGCTGCAGACGGCGTCGTTCTCGCTGGCCGAAGTGGCCTACATAGCCGGCGACATCTCGTACCAGGTGCGCGAGAGTGCCAAGCGCGCGTCGTTCACGGTTGCGGCCAAGCAGGAGAACGTCTCGGGTGTGTTTCTGCCGGCGTTTGAGCGCGCGGGCGACGCGCAGGGCAGCGGCTTCGAGCTGACGGGGCTGGGGCGCGGCGGGCAGCAGATCCAGAAGGCACGCGCGGTGTATGTGAAGGCGGTGGAGACGCTGGTGGAGCTGGCGTCGCTGCAGACGGCGTTTGTGATTCTGGACGAGGTCATTAAGCTGACCAACCGCCGCGTCAATGCCATCGAGTATGTGATTATTCCGCGGATCGAGAACACGATTGCGTACATCAACTCGGAGCTCGACGAGCAGGACCGCGAGGAGTTCTACCGGCTCAAGATGATCCAGTCGAAGAAGAAGGCCCGGGCGGCCGATGCTACGGGCGATAGGGCCGAGCTGCAGGCGATCCAGGACGGCGAGCTGCACGGCGCTGGCCGCAATCTGCTGGCGGAGCAGGTGGACGACGACATTATCTTTTAGAACCACGGGGACCGCTCTTGTGTATTTTTCTCTCCCATCGTGCTCAAATAAATCCCTCAGCGGTGTTTCAGCCGGCGGAACAGACTCCGGACCGTGCGTCGCGAGGACGCAGTGCTGGAAATGCTGGTGCTGTCGCTGATGGGCGGCGTGCCCATCAAGGAGTCGGGCAGCCGCCGGGGCTCCGCCGACGGTGTGTGACGCATGTGCGCCAGCGGCGACCGCAGGCGCTGGCTCAGCTGCCGCGCCAGTGTTGGCGAAGCCCTTGGCAGAATCCCGGTGGTCTGGGTAGCCGGTATTTGCAGCGGCTCGCCAGTGAACGATAGCAGCCCGCTGTCGGTGCGCGGAATGCGCGGCGGCTCGTTAGCTGCGGCTGGCGAGTCGAATGCGCTATCGGGTTTGGGCGACTCGGGCGACTCCACAGCGCGCAGGGTCGGCGTCTCCACCGGCGTCCTGTTTGGCAGGCCGAGAAAGCGCGACATGCGGTGGCTGGCACGATATGCCCGGCTTTCCCTGGCAGTGTCCAGCGGTGGGTCGGCGGGCGGGCTGTTGACCCAGTGGGGCACGGCGCGGCCCTGCGACTGGTAGTAGGTTTCGAGCATGTCCTCGATCTGCGTCTTGGGCCGTAGTTCGGTGGGGCTGCCGGATGACAGCAGCGTGTAGAGTCCCGTGGTCAGCCGCTGGATGAGCGACGGCTGGCTGGCAAGCTCTGAGGTTGAGCTGAGGCGCACCGTGTCCTCGTGGATTTGCGGCTTGGCGGGAGCGGTCGGAGTGCTGGCCAGAGTGATGCCCAGGCCCCAGGACCGCCGGTCGCCTGTGTTGATTGTCGTGGGGAGTGGGGTTTCGGTCATTGTGTTATAGATACGAAGTGGAAAGAGAAAGCCGAATGCGCAGCATTCTCCCGGAGGATGAAAGCCAAGTCCTGTGCTATTTTATGTGCGAGCACGAACTAGGGCTGGTGTTTGTTTGTCGATGCTCTCCGTTTGCTGACAGACCCCTGATCTCAATTGGCTACTAGAAATACTCTGCCCGCGATGCGAGCTCGGCTGCTAGTCAGCATGGGTTGACACGTCGATAAGAGCATCACGGTGAACCGGCCATTTGAACGTGTCGGATGGTTGTTGGTGCAATAGCGATCATGGACATCTCCCATCTTGATAGCCTGCTGCTGCACGCCTCTTGCGCGGGTGCTTTGCTGACGGGGTGGTGCCAGAAGCATTGGCAGCAACGGCCGTAGAACGACGGAACCGTTCAGGAATACTGCCTGAATCACAGAGTGACTGGAAAATGAGTCTGAAGTTTAGAACTGCTGCGAGATCGCGGTTCAAGAGCCGAGACGAATAGGCTCGCCTGTATTGTGCCATGGTCTGCTTACATGACTCGCTTGTACAGCGGAGAAGGCCATGGCACTTCACAGTTGGGTTCTTCGATCTCTGGTAGGGCCGCGGGTTGGGAACATGCCGGAATGTCTGCAGCGACTTTTCGCAGCAGAACGGGCACATCGACGATGTCCGGAATTCGTCGACTAGATAGACCTCAAAGCCATGGTGCTTGAACTTGTCGCGCCATCCCTTGCCACGGATCGGCGCATGGTGTCGGGCCATCGGCGCACTCCAATTGCCCATGATCAGCACTGGGTCTGGACCGAACTTGCTCCAGAGTTTCGCGGCAAGCCTGTGGTCTGCACGGGCCTGGTTCATGAATGAATCAAGGCGCAGCTTGCGGTGAAGCGGGTACACCTTGGGACTGGTCCCGACACCCGGATGGGCCTTCCAGCGCCTCTGGTGCTGCTTGATTGACTTAGTGGGCTGCTGCTCTGGTAACCTCCGCGCTGTCATCGTGCTGGCATAAAACGGTGCTAGGACACACCGCACAGATGCACAGGCAGCAACGTAGGCACGGAATTTTGCTGGGCTAAGGGTCCGGCACCAGTGCTTGGAAAGCTCTGCCTCTGCTCTGCGGACAGCATCTTCTGGGACTTGATCCTTTGTAGCCTGACGAATCCTGTCGTAGTGGCGCAGCTTGAGCTCCTTATTGTGCTGCTGCCGTGTGTAGCGGTAGAGCATTTTTCACCCCCTTTCCCATTACTGTTATTTTCGTGCATCATGTATAGCAAATCGCCCTGACCTGGATCGATGAATACACAGCGGCCTTTCAGTTTCTGCAGCTCTGGCTGTGGGATCTGGTGGATATGGCGACAGCCCGCTGTAGCATCGCCTCCCACAGCACCACCTCCTGCAGCATCGCCTGTAGCATTGCCTCCCACAGCATTGCCTCCTGCAGCATCAGCATCTACTGCACCATCAGCCTTAGATACCTTGTCTTATAATAAAATGCATATCATTACACCATCTGTTGTCACCATTATGTAGAATTTTCTATCACCATGTGCCTTAAAAGGCTTTGATGTTAGATCTGCAACCCGGCTCCACACATCCCACACATATTGTGTGATCCCTTGGACATATTGCCCATTGTACTGTGCAGTGTGTTTTTGCGGCTGCGAATATCAATCAATTTGGCCAGAATCCGCTGTAGGCAAGTGCCATAGTGCAACACAATGTTGTTCTTGTATGCTGTCATCAGCTCGGTATCCACGTATGTTGCTACCTGATTCATTTCGCGCATGCCATGTAGCTCGATATCGCCATTATGCAATAGATAATCATAAATATGGTATCTAACTACATCACCGAAATCTGCACTCAACAGTTCTGACCTATCCATGTAAAGATAGGGGCGCTTGCCTATCAGACCTGTTTCACTTCCGCTCGCCTCTCATCATCCAGTGCCTCATATGTATTTAAAACACCATGCTGACTATATATAGCTCATATGGCACCCCCTTATGTGTCAACGTACTGCGGGCCATCGCCGCCCTCGGGCACAGTCCAGTTGATGTTCTGCGACGGGTCCTTGATATCGCAGGTCTTGCAGTGGATGCAGTTCTGCGAGTTGATCTGGAACCGCTTCTTGCCTGGATTTGCCTCATCATCCACATACTCGTAGACACCGGCCGGGCAGAACCGCTGCTCGGGGCCGTCAAACACGGGCAGATTATGCGCAATCTCCACCTGCGGGTCCTTGAGCCGCAGATGAACCGGCTGGTTCTCGGCGTGGTTGGTGCCGGTGCGCGACACGCTGGTCAGGATATCGAACGTGATCTCGTTGTCGGGCTTCGGGTAGTCGATCGGCTTGAAGTGCGCAGCCGGCTTCAGCATCGCGTGGTCCGGGTGCTTGTGCTGGAATGTGAACGGCACCCGGCCCTTCAGGAACATCGTGTCCAGGCCCGACCACATCATGCCGCCCCAGATCCCCAGCGCCGTGTCAAACGACGGCCGCACATTGCGCGCCTCATACAGCTCCTTGTAGATGCTGCTGTTCTTGAACGCCTCCTCGTAGCTCTGCAGCTCAACCGCTGCCCCGTCCTCGCCCCGGCCCTCCGTCACGATGGCCTTGTATGCCTCGTCGGCCGCCAAGATCCCGCTCTTCATCGCGTTATGCGTGCCCTTGATCTTGGGCATGTTCAGGAACCCGGCCGTGTCGCCGATCAGCGCACCGCCCGGGAAATACAGCTTCGGCAGCGACTGCAGTCCGCCCTCCACCAGCGCCCGCGCTCCGTACGAGATCACACGCCCGCCCTTCAGCAGATTCGTCACGAACGGGTGCGCCTTGAGCCGCTGGAACTCCTTGTACGGCGACAGGTACGGGTTCTGGTAGTCCAGCCCCACCACCAGGCCCACCGCCACCTTGTTGTCCTCCATATGGTACACCAGTCCGCCGCCGTACGTGCGGTAGTCCAGCGGGTACCCCATCGTGTGCGTGACCTCACCCGCGTTATGCTTGGCCGGGTCCACCTCCCACACCTCCTTGATGCCAATGCCGTATGTCTGGAACTTGCCCTCGTCGCGCAGCTTCAGCTTGCGGATCAGCCCCTTGGTCAGCGACCCGTGGCAGCCCTCGGCAAACAGCGTGACCTTGCCACGCAGCTCAATGCCTGGCGTAAATGTGTCCTTGGGCTTGAACTGCTTGTCCACGCCAGCGTCGTTGGTGACAATGCCCTGCACGCTGCCATCCTCGCCATAGATAACCTAGTGCATAAAAGATTGTCAGCTTTTGGCTCCTCCCCCGTGAGACTGTTGGTGAATCGATCTGTGGGAAAAAAAAAAAATGAAACTTGCCTCTTTCGCTGCTGTCGCTGGGAACACATCCACCCCGAGCTCCTCCGCCTGCTCGCCCAGCCACTTGACGACGTTGCTCAGGCTGACAATATAGTTGCCTGCGTTGCTCATAGTCGGCGGGTGCGGCAGCGGGAACACATGCTTCTCCGTCAGGAACCGCATGTGGTCCTCTAGCGCTGGCTGGTTCAGCGGCGCTCCCCGCTCCTTCCAGTCCGGGAACAGCTCTTCCAGCGGCCCCGTCTCGATGCACGCTCCCGACATCGTATGCGCGCCAAGCTCCCCGCCCTTCTCAATCAAAACCACATTCACCTCCTTGTCCTCCGCCGCCGCCTGCTGCTTCAGCCGGATCGCCGCCGAAAGCCCCGCCGGCCCGCCGCCCACAATCACCACGTCGTATTCCATCACCTCGCGCGGCTCCTCCACTTCGGCCATGTCAGAGGTGTTCAGCGACGGACGCGTGGTCGACAGGTGCCGCATCGCCATGGGCCGCGCCGCCCGGCTAGTGAGGATGCGCGATGCGCGCATTGTCGCTCTGGCTGCTAGCGGTGCCAGCGCCCTGACCCGGTTGAGAGTAGCTGCTGAGCGATACATTCTAAAATAAAATACTTGAATTGCACTTGTTAAACCGTTACTCGTTGTGTTAGTATCGATGTTGGGGAGGGTGAACAAGACGAGAAATGGTACTGAAGCCCACTGAAGGAGAAAAGGAGAAAAGAAAAATGCGTGCGTCTGAAGATGAGATAACAGAGTCGCTGGGTGACTGATAAACAGCGCAATTCGCTGTGCCCTTGCGTGCCTCGGTGGCATGTGCTTTCAGCGGGGCTCGCCCGGAGCCTCGCTGCTTGGCCAGCCAGGTGTGTGCGCGTGAAAGGCACATGCGTCAGGAGGGGGGCGAGCCGGAAGATTATCCTGACCGAGCAGCTCACAGCGGATCTCGCAATGTTAACTCCCCGGCACAAAAGCGGACACAAAAATACCGGCTCGGCTCTGGAGACTTGGAGCTGGACCATCTGGCAAAAAAGGGGCTGGCCCTGCCCACAACATCTGACACGGCAGCAGGCTTCAAGTTCTACGGCTCTGATGCGCAAAAAGTGCTCAAAGTGCCAAACACTGATCCCCTGCCTCGCCCTCCTGCAAAACGCCCTGTACAGAAATGAGCAGCCACGTACCGCTTCCGCCAGACCGCCACAGCAAAACAAAGCTATTTGTGACTGTCTCTGCCCTTGCATCAAAGAAACGCGAGCATCTCAAGTGCATCGAAACACACCCGTTCAACTACCAGTGCACAGCGATCCTACCTAGTGCCCACAGCGCACAGCAGCTCCTTGAATCCCGCCCCTTCGGCCACTACTACACTGGCACAATGACTCTGTCCCAGCTCATTGACCCACAGTTCATTTCCCGGTACATCAAATCCACGGGCAGCCTGGTGGCACTGAGCCAGAGTAATGCAATCGACTCTGGCGACCTCTTCGCCATCGACGGCCATGGCCGCCTGATCCTGAGTCTGGGCAAGGACTCGTACGAGTCAGCGGGCTTGGTTGGACAGACCGCAAAGTTTCCGCTTGAGCGCGGCGTGCGGCACATTGTCACGGTCGATCTGACGCTGGACAGCATGGCACCTGGCCGCAAAATGTACGAGCGCGTGAAATGGAGCTTCGACACAGTACTGAACCAGCCAGTCGAGTTCCAGCTGGGATTCTTTGCAGCCGAAACCGGCCAGTCACTAGACATTGACTTGCCGGGTCTGACCAAACACCTGCCAGCGGTCAGCATTGGCGAGCGCGCTGGGATCTTGGTGCCAGAGACCAGCAGCCTGTTGGAAACATCCCAGAAGCCGTCCGAGGACTGGGTCGAGGGTGCGCAGGAGCTTTTTGAGTGGATCGGCCAGGTGGCCTTTGAGTCCGAGCGTCTGACGGATGACAGGGTCGATCCGTTCATCAACGCCTATAGCGTCTCGCAGCCCTGCACCAAAGCCGATGCATCGGTTCTGACCGTCTCAGGGTTGCTGGCGCCCGCCGCCATTGCCAAGTTCGCCCAGCACCTTGCCGACCAGGCAAGTGACTTTTTCCTGTGCGTCTGGGGCCACGAGGACGCGCCAATTTCGTGGAATACCAGCGAGCACGGCTACCTGGTTAGCGGCGAGAACATGTTCGCCCAGGCCTACCGCCTCTCCGACCAGCACTGCATAACCTTCCAGGCATGCGGGGCATGGGACTCGTTCTCATAAGTAAAAAACATGTATTTGCCATTACACAGAATAAACCGCTTACGCACTCTTCTTTGACTCCCTTGCAACCTTGAGCATCCGGTACCGCCGGATCGCCTGCTCGCGCTCCGCCTCCATGATGCGCTTCTCGGCGGCCGATCCGCCCTCCATCTTCGCCTTGCGCTTCGCCTGCATGCGCTCCAGCGGCGACAGCCTGGCAGTCCTCCGGATCATCTTCTTGACCGCCAGCTCCTCGCGCAGCTTCTTCTGCTGCGCCTCCTCCCTTGACGCTGGCAGCGGCACCATCCTTTTGAACGTCTCCTTTGGCAAGGCCTTGAAAATCGGCGGCGCCTGCGCCTGCTCGCCAAACTTTGGCTGCACGGCCATTTGCTCCTCGTCGGAATCCGCTGCCCCGTGCTTCTTCAGCCGCTTGCGCTCCCGCCGCACCATGTCGTTCTTGCGCTTGCGCTCGGACCGTCCCGACACCACGATCTCCTCGCCCTCGTCCAATGCCGGGTTGTCGTGCTTTTTGGCCTTCACCGATGCCGACGTGCCCACTAGCTGCAGGTTGTTGGCCATCTTTTGCCGCACACGGCGGTTGAACTCGGCAATTGTCTCGCCGGCCTGCAGCTTCAGGTCCTCGGTGATCTCCTTGGGCCCCTGGGGCGCCTTTGCCTTCTCCTTCTCGGTCTTCTCCTCGGCCTGCTTCTTTTGCTGCTGCTTGCGCTGGTCGTTCTTCTGCTTCATCTCCATGAACTGCATGATGTGCTGGAACGCCTTGGGCGCATCCGACGTGTTTCTGTTCTTGCGCTTCGACGACTTGCCTCCGCCGCTCACCACCTGTGTCGGATCCAGGTTGCGCTGCACCTTGTCGTCATTCTCGTTGTACGTGTCCACACGGTACGACTTTGATGTCTTTGGCTTCTTGAAACCCATGGCTGGAAGTATTGGAAATGTGGTATGTGTGAAGGAGAAGCGGCCTTGGCCTGTGTTTTTTTGGGCCAGCGAAAAAATGCAGTCGAGCCGCTAATCACCCAATCTACGATTACGGACTGGCTATTAATCAATCAGCCGGATATGCTGCCATCACATCCGGCGGCACATGTATGCAGGAGCAGCCAGCCCTATAGGTTAGATGAGTGGAATTGTAGAAAGAACAGAACAAAAGGAAGATCTTATAGGCCAAGGAGAAGCTACTAAAAGGCGGGTGGAGCAGAAGCACAGGAAGCAGAGAAAGAACCCCCAAAAAGCACGCTGGGATCTCTTCAAGACGAAGAAAGCGCCGGGCGCGAAAGAAAGCAAAGAGACGCTATAAACAAGTTCTCCACGCAGGACTGACAAAAAGAACAGAAAGAGATGAGCAAAGAGAAGGGCGGCGGCGGCGGCGACGGCAGCGGTGAGAAAGTTAGAAAAGAGAGAAAGGGTAGAGTTGCGTAATATGAGGAAATGCGTGTGTGGCTTTCATATAAGAGGTTCTCAATTCATATTTTCTTCGAGGGGGAGGGCTGAGCTTCTTGTTTTACTGGAGCGCAAGGGGGAGCGGGTTGGGCATGGGCTTGGGGACAAAGTTGTGCAGATCGATGCCGCTGGCCTCGATGTCGGCGACCCGGTGGGCCGGTACCAGCTGTGGGATCAGGCCCGGGTCCACCGACAGCTCGTCCGCCGTAAAGTCAAACAGCTCTGGCAGCGGCTGGCCGTTGTGCAGCCTGGTGTTCGGGTCGCGCAGCTCGTCAAAGAACGGGTGGGTCATGGCCTGGATCGAGCTCAGGCGCTTTGTCGGCGTGTAGTCGAGCAGCTTTGTGATCAGATCGATCGCCTCGGGCGACGCGCGGTTGCGGAAGATGCGCGAGAACGGATGCGGCTTGATCTGCGGGAAGCGGTGGTCCATGTAGTTCGGGTTCATTGTGCGGATCTGCTCCTTGGTCGGCGTGCCCAGCACCTTGATGATCTCCACCAGCTGGTCAATGCCCGACTCGCCCGGGAACAGCGGCTGGCCGAGCATCAGCTCTGCCATCACACACCCTGCAGACCAGATGTCGATCCGCCCTGTGTAATTTGTCGCGCCAAAGATGAGCTCGGGCGCGCGGTAGTAGCGCGAGCAAATGTACGACACGTTCGGCTCGCCGGCAATCAGCGTCTTTGCGCTGCCGAAATCGCACAGCTTCAGCACGCCCGTCGTCGAGTTGACAAGCAGGTTCTGCGGTTTGATGTCGCGGTGGCAGATGCCCAGGGAGTGGATGTAGTTGAGCGACCGGAACAGCTGGTACATGAACAGCTTCACGTACAGCATCGGCACAAACTGCTTCGCCTTGGCGTATTGCCGCGTCACGCGGTAGATTGTTTCGGGCACGTACTCGAGCACAAGATTCAGATAGATGTCGTCCTTGTCGCCCTGCGAGTAGAAAAAGTACCTCAGCCCAACGACGTTGCGGTGGAAGACGCTCCTCATGACAGCGAGCTCGCGGTTCTATGGAGATCAGGTGCAGGATTAGTAATCGCGTGGGTTTTTGCAATTAGTGGTCATCTGCCCAGTCACTGAAGGGCGAATACAAAGCCAGCACGCACACAAGGCCGACAGCAGCGACGCCGGTGACAGCAGAGCGGTTGTTGTGCGCTTTTTTGGGGAAGACGAGGAGCAGGACGACGAATGCCAAAGGAGAGAACCCCCCAAACACAAGGATTGACACCGAGACCGTCTTCGTGGCAGTTATTATAACGGGCGCAGCCGCTTTGAAACTCAGAGCATGTCTGGACGCGTCAGACGTCATCTAATGAAATACTTGCCTTGAAGCGCTTGTCCTGCAGGACCTTCTTAATGGCGACCTGCTCGCCACTGGGGACCAGCTCGGCCTGGAAAACAACGCCAAAGGAGCCGTTGCCGACAACTTTGCAATTCGTGTACACGATCTCGGTTTCCTCGCCGGTCCTGGCGTCGTGGGCCATGCCTCTGTTGACTTTACGGGGGTCCAAATCGCCTACAAATTGAGGAGTGGTGGGCGGTTCAGCTGTGCGCGATTACAAACCAGCACAGGGGAGATTTGAATCCTAGCAATAAAAAACACGTACCGAGCATCTTCAATCCGTTCATAGTGGGGTAACGAGCAATTACGAGAAAGTACGAGTGCGAAAAAGAAAGCTGTTCTTGAGGAAAAGATAAAAGTGTGTGGAGCGCGCAAAAAGAGTAGAAAACGAGTAGGAGAAACGAGGTGTGGGTTATAAAGTAGAGCGAATAATAATATAGAGCCTAAGGTCAGACAGGAGAGAAAGAGGGTGTTAGCTGCAAAAAATGCGTTGAATAAGCACAAGGACAGGAAATCGATGGGGAGGCACAAACCAGGGCCCGATGGTGAGCTGGCCGCGCTGATGAGATACCAGCGCATGGTACCCACAGCATAGACTGCAACAGGCAGTCGCCGTCCACTCCTCGGGCACCGTCTCAGTCCCGCTCAGCCTAGAACCTGCTCCTCTCCCCAAGCAGCCCACGGCTGAGGCGACGAGAACCCTCCCCGCAGCGGAGTCGCAGGCAAACAAAAAGCAGTTTTTGCAGGACCCGCGCGTCTCCTGCTACGCGTCGATTTGCCCAGCGGGGCTGCACTCCCCTACTCCCAGCTTGGAGGTGCACGGAAAAGGCTTGGGCTGACCCCTGCTCGCCCTCGGCAAAGCGCGCATCACGTGTCCACAGAGCCGACGGCATCCATTGCAGGCACGCCTGCCCGAGGAGGCTGCTCGCTGCGGGCGCGGTAGCAATGGCTCGGGGGCGAAATGAACTGCGGGCGCTTTGTCGAGAGCAGGCGGGCAGGCGTATCCTCGATGCCGACGTAAGCACTCTCTGGCAAGCAGCAAGGCGAGAGAAAAATACAAACCTTTGTGTGTTACTGCGTCAGCAGGCTGCAAGAGCTAACTCGAGTTGTGTGGAATAATGGAAATGGTGGAGGAGAGGAAGGAGAGAAGCCTTGTGGGCCTGCCGGCAAAAAGGGCCAGACGGACTGCACTTTATATGTGCGCGACCACACCTGCCTGTCTGTCTGCCTGTCGCCGCTCTACATGACCTCTCGCCCGCCAAAACACACAAGCTGCCGATTTCCCCAACAGAAAGACGGGTCACGGGGACAGCACTCAACAAAATAAAACCACGCAAGCTCCGTCTGCGGGCCACCCATCATTCGGGCTTGGGCCAGCAAGCGGATGGGGGATCCACAATCATTCAAGGAACTGCTCAATCGCCATAGCTGGGCGCCCCCTGCCGTGGGCCAGCAGAGCCTGCCAGCACTGTATATCCCCCTGCCTTTCTTCCGGTCTGCCTTGCATCTCCCGCCTGCACTGCCCGCCTCTCACTCTGGGCGGAATTAATATTTGCACATATCCGAGCAGGAAATTCATATACGAAAAAGGATGGCACGCGACGGCAGTCCGCCACCACGCCCCCGCTGCGCACTGCCCGCCTGGCTAACCAGCCCGCGGCTGTTCGCCGCACTGCTGGCATTCCGCCTGCTCAACGTCAGCCTGGTGCAAACGTACATCCACCCGGACGAAACGTGGCAATCACTTGAGGTCGCCCATCGCAGCGTGTTCGGCTACGGCTTCGTCACATGGGAATGGCACTACACTCTGCGTGGGTATGCGCACCCGATGATGTTTGCCGTCGTGTACAAGATACTGGAGCTCCTGCATCTCGACGGTACAAGGCTCATTGTAAGTGCGACAATCGGCGAGGAGAGTGCTCGAGGGCATATGACGTCTTGTCTGCTGAGATATCCTCCCCACAGTGACCTCTGGCCTATTAGAACGCCATCACCGGAGGTTATGCGGTGAGCGCCTGCCTCAGCTATAAAGGAGAGATCATTCCGCTGGCAGCGCAAGTCGCTTTTTCTCCCCCAAAAAGCGCATGACGTCTGCTCGACATTTGCATGCCATTCTCCAGATGGCCTTGAGATCAATGGAGATCCCTCCTCTGGCCCCTTTCTGCCTTAATTGCATGTCATGCGGGCCCAGCGGGACAGCCAACGACCCCAAGCACATATGCAGTGCATTGCATTGCATGTGCATAGCGGACACGGCCTTTTCGTTAAAGCAATCCACGATGTCTACGCTCTCCATATGTAGCTCACGGCGCCGTATATCCTGGTCGCGATTATTGCAGCCGCAGCTGATTTCTCGACATATCATTTTGCCAAGCGCCTGGGCGGCTCCCGGGTGGGCACATGGGCGGTAAGTACCCATTACGTGACCAGTGCAAATAAAGCACATGCATGTTGATTCCCCATTTGACACATACTTATTTTTGGACCACTATACATGCTGAAACTGCGTAGCTCGCGTGCTCGGTCATTTCGTGGACGATGGGCAGCGGAGTTGTGCGGCCCTTGGCCAATTCAGCCGAAACGGCATTGACTGCAGCAGCCTTTGTATACTGGCCATGGCACGCCGCCTCACGTAGCCCTCGCGTGACTCATGCACCGTCCCTGCGGCTTGCCTTGGCATTTGCCGCGCTCAGCTGCATTGTGCGGCCGACCAGCGGAGCCCTGTGGCTATGTGCTGGCGTCGTTTTGCTAGTTCGCCAACCGCGCCAAAACCGCATTAGACGCACACTGCACATAGTACAAACTAGCGCTATCATCGGTGTCGTAGCAATAATCGCGATGGTGGGAATTGACCGGATGGGATACGGCAAATGGGTGTTCCCACCGTACAGTTTCTACAGATTCAACGTGCAAGAAGACCTGGCGACCTGGTTTGGCAACTCCTCGCCGTTCTACCATCTGGTGGTCAGCTTCCCAACAATGTTCACGTCGATGCTGCCGCTCATCATTCATGGCGTGTGGGTTGCACACCAAACGCAGACCGCTTCGATGGAGCCCGCTTTGGTTGCGATCATGGCATCATTCGCATTTTCGCTGGTTGGGCATATGGAGTATCGGTTCCTTTACCCGCTCCTGCCCATCGGATTCATGTACGCCGCCGTATCCTTGCAGACGCTTTCCGGAATCGCCCCATCGCCAAAGACTAGTAGACTGCCGAGGCTGACAGTAAACCAACTGGTTGTGTTCTTGGTAGCGACGAATCTACCAGCAATGCTGTACTTGAATTTAGTGCACCAGCGTGGCGTAGTCGATGTCATGGCGTATTTGCGAAATGCCGATGCTGCCAGCATTGGCTTCATTATGCCATGCCACTCGACGCCATTTTACAGCCACTTGCACAAAAATACCCCTATGTGGTTCCTCTCGTGCGAGCCGCCGCTTAAGCGCGCCCACTTGGGCTCGCACTACTGTGAGGCTGACGACTTTGAACAGGATCCAGCGCAGTTCCTGCAGCGAGTCTTGGTGGATCCTGAGGATTTGAAGACGGAATCGCTCCATCTCGGCAATTTGCACCCGGCTCCAGGTAGCGCACGCCCAAAACCCAGCCATCTTGTGTTCTATGACGTCATGCTGCCGCGGATTCACACGTACTTGACAGAATCTGGCTACAGCGAATGCGCACGGTTCTTCAACACGCATTTCAGCGGGGACTCGCGACGTGCTGGCGACGTTCTCGTATATTGCATATAATAAGCTATTCAATTGTGATTTCCGGAAGTGGCAGATACCATTGCATCAAATTCACACTCGATTTTACCATATTCAACGCACACTAAATGTATTGCTTATTAACACGGGTACTTGCATGCACTAGGCTGAACAGGATATATGCTAAAATATGCTCCGGCAAGTGTTTCATTGATAATAAGGTATATCCTCTGTGAGTTCAAGTAAATAGCCGCTGCTGTTAATATTATTTGCCATGGCTAAACACGCACTTTGAAACAATATTGTGCCTTGAGAGAAAACCAATCCTTTTTGCGGGATATATGCCCAGCACAACACAATACCAGCTGTCAGTAGCTCCCAAGTCAGCACTAGTTTTGAACGGCCATGGATGTATTTTCTTGAACATTTGCCTTTATCTGACGAACTGTGAGCTGAGCAACTACTTAGTACACCCCGGAGACTACACAATATAACCTTCATTCTATTGTTGTTATCGCAGAATATTTAAGCAAAGAAAAAGCTTACTGACAGACATGAATAATACACATTTACAGAATTGACAACCCTCGGCTGCTGCTAAGCTACCAGACTGGTAAACTAGTATAAAATATTAACCTGTGGTAAGCTTGGATCGGTGTGATTTCGGTATTTTACTTGTAGCTTTCCAAGAGTACAGTCTAGTGAGTCAATGTGAGAACAGCGTGCCTTGCCTATACGGCTATCATCGTATTTGGTACCTCCAGCTGTACCCATGTCGCTAAATAATATGATATCATGAGGACAATAGCGAGCTAGAACAATATTATTGAGACCGACGAGGCTGGATAACGGTGAAAAGATATGTTCATTAGCATACGAGCATGTGGTGATATGTGGGACGGTCCGATGGTCGATTGAGCTCGGTCGATTGTGAGGCTCACTTAGGACCACGAATTAGCTCTAACCAGTTATCTCTATTCATATCTTTACCAGATGGGCCTATCTCTGGCTTCGTTGTTGAATGGTACCATTCTACGTTTTCGTTGCCGTGTAGTTTCATCAGGTTTGTATGAGAAGTGAGCATAGCCAAAGTATATTATATAGAAGAGTTGGAAGTACTGTTAACGGGGCGAAAAAGATAGTGGAAAGAACTGGTGCTGAACTGCACCAATTTCGCTGAGGTTTGCTTGTTTTTATATTGCCACAACCTCAGAAGACACAACTCCTAAGACTCCGCACTCTAATGCCAACACTTTCTTCTGTTCTATTGTCTCTCAGCCAGACCTGTTGATTTCTAGGCGTAAGCAGTCCGCATAGTATTGTCTATACATGCAGTACTGATAAGACCTTGTCAGTTTCACCTGAAGACGGAGTCATCATGACCGACTTTTTCTCTACAGACACCAAAGGTGACCCGGTGGCGGCGGCCAGGCTTTCCTATTCATCGGATTGCGACTGCAGCAGAGGCGAAGGGAGCATTGTGAATTATCATCTTGGTCAAGTTCGGGACATTCACCATTGTTCATTCCAGCCTGCATGCATACAATCCAACTGTCACTGCCATTAGGGCATGTCGGGACACACAGCACTTACTAAGATCAACAAATATGTGAGCTGCCTTGGCCGTAGCACGTCATTTGGTGTGCTGCTACAACGTTGAGGGTTGGAACTTCTCTGACATGTCTCCACAGCGCCTGAGGTTGAAGTTCCAGAAAGGTGTTGCTAATGGACTCCACATCGTCAAGTTTCAGCTCAGCATGGATCCTATCAATGACAAGGGCTTGGTCAGGGAAGAGAGTCTGTTCAACATCCCTGCGGTCCGTTGAATAGCAATGAATACGCAGAATTTCCAGCAAGGGCAGCTGAAAGATCAGTTTGGCCAAGCCCAGCTTATCAGCGATGCTAGCCATCATGATGAGTTTGCGTAGCTGTTTCCAGTTGATGCGCTCGGGTAGTGCTCAGTAGATGCCTCCAACAGATACCTCCTGGAGGATTGACGATTGTTCAAAGAGGTACACGGGTTGGCTCACAGAATATCTTGGTGTGTGGAGTCCCGGTTGGATGTACGATTGTCAACGATGCTGCCGTGCTGATAATGCCCATGCCTCCCGCAATAAAATGGCCCGGGTCCTCGGATATATGCAGCCCATTGATTGGATTGCTTTCAAGTGCTGGGTAGAGCCAGCTGTAGGTGCCAGCTGAACCACAAACTTTCAACATCCCCAGAGACCCAAAACGAATGGAGCAAACTGCACCAGGAAACGGCACTCGCTCCATACCAGTAGGTATGAAGTCGAGAGACAACTCTTCCAAGCTAGACAGATCAACCACACCACTTGCATGTCGAAAAAGCCAGAACGGAGCCATCCCAAAGATGCGAAAAATCCGAACAACGACTAGCTTCTTTGTGGGAATCACCGGGAAAGCTCTGAGCGATGTGATGTATATTGCGTCCAAAACCAACTTTGTCAGGTTTGCTGAAAAGCTGGTTGCTCCGTCGGGGAAAGGCACAGCTGACTGGACATACATAAGCTGGTGTAGGTACTTCTGCGTTAGGACCTCATACAGCGGTGAGGTGTCGGGTAGGATTGTGGCGACATTATCACCATGAGAGTTTTCAACCTTGGACAGCCTATAGCTCAAGTCATTGGCATCAGGAAACAGCTCCAAAATTAACGCCGCTGTACAGTCAGCTTCGAAATACCGTGGACCTATACCCAGCTTCATTCCAGCGGTAAAACCCCATTTCCAAGAGGTCGGATGCGCTCGACGGCTCTCAGCGGTTGGCCAAGTGTGGTTGCCAGATGCGCTAACATGGTATCTGCATATCCACATGACATATCCTATTTTCATGTGGCTTTTCAGAGTAGCAGGGTAGGAATGTAGATGTGTGGACGCTAGTTGCAGTGCCCAGCAATGTAGACACATGTGTCCCCAGTTGATAATCATAGAAAGGAGATCCGAACAGGTTTTCCAGCGCATACGTCAGATGTGCTTTGAGCATGTGGCATGGGTGCAGGAGCTTGCACTGGTGGCAGAAATATGCTCACTTTTGTTCACAGACATTTCAGAAACATAGACTGTTGTCCGTGGGCTGTTTTTGGTGAATTTTATGGTTCGTTTGAACCTAAACACAACCGTACTCCCAGACTCTCTTGCACTGCTCTGATGATGATGAAGTTCGCTGTTTCCCTGGGCAGCTTTGCAGAAAATTGACAACCCTTTGGGCGCATGACATTGACAAATGCACAAAGTGCATACATTCGCTTTTTATGCTTTGACAACCTCCGCAAAGAGTTGCCACATCCAAACCGCCGAGTAATCACCTCTAATCTCGAGACATCCATCATTCAACATGATCAGGTATTGACAAGGAAAGAGAACCCGGATAGTTCTTTGCTAGCGGTGAGTGCACCCATGAGACTACTTTCCAGTATGGTACTTGGCTATATTGATGAAGTTTTATCTCATGGAACAGCAAGTTCTGGCGGCACTATGGATGTGACTATATATACCACGTTATTACCTGCAAGTATATGACATCCACCCGCTCCCAGATTTACTCTTGGGTATTCAGATCACTATTGACCCGGGACAGATCTATGGTTCACTCAGGTATGAAACCTCGGGGTAGGTTTCTCCGAGTTAGATTCTTGCGGGAACTAGTGTCACAAGGGGTTCTCTCCAGTTGAAGGCACATAAATAGGCTTTAAGCGCTATTCGGAAAGATGGGCAGTATCGACTAGGGTATGTGATGTGCAAACTGGACTAGCAGATAGAGTGCATGTGCCCTGTTCTTCAGCTGCCTCCCCCTACAATATTGATTCGGATGCAGAGGATGGCAAGAGAAGTGTGCCTAGGCAGCAGCTTCGCCATTGAGTATACCGTGAAAGTGTGATAACTTTCTCGGCCGCTTCAAATGCACCCCAAAACAGAGCTGGACATCGTATATCGCAAATGAACTACATTCAGCTCCAAAAAAAAAAGGTTCAAATAGCTTCTATTAAGCGTGCTACACTACTCCTGGACTCCTTTTCCGGCCCGTCAACTTATCAACATTAGAAACCGATGTCGCCGACGACCGACTGGTAGACCTCCTCAGCCTATCCAGGCCCTGATTCTCTGGCGTTCTCATTTCATATCCATCATCCAGGGAATCAATCGACAGCCTAAACTCGTCGCCCATGCCATCTGTCCGCGGCACCCCAGGAACCCGGTACCCATCGGTAGTATCGACGATCCCGTCGATATCCCCAATGACGTCCAAAAAGTCAGATCCCCGGTTGCTGTTGAAGTCAACATTCATGTCGCGTGCATCCAGCTGCCGCCGGTTCTTGCGCAGCGTTGCCAGTAGCCGGAATACCTGTGCAGCATTGCGGATCACCAGGAGGATAGTATTGATGAGCTCCTCAGAGTTAGAGGACGCTGAGCAGCCGCGCGACAGGAAAATAAGCGTAATCGAGCAGAAAAGGACAAGGACTATGTCAAAGTAGTTCCACCAGGACTTGAGGAACTGCTTGCCCATGGCGATGCCGCGGGTTATAATCTCAAGGATCATGCAGATGCAGAGGACCGACTCGATGACAATGAAAAACAGCGACGGGCTACACAGTACAATAGCTAGCATCAGTCTGGCGGACCTTTAAAGGCAGTTTGTTCTCCGTCTCTGACAACTTACCATTTCTCGACGAACGCCTAGAGCCAAGGAAGAAAGGGGTATTAGGAACGATGCAGCTGCTGGTGTCGCTGAAGAGTCGCGGTGCGCGCGTAGACTTACTGTGACCATGGTCGTTAGACCAAGCAGGAACATGGCGATGTAGTACGCTGTGTAGAACTGCGAGTACATCAGGCGGTTCGCTGCACCGTGCAGAATCTCCTGGCGCGACAGGCCGCTGAACGGGATAGAGCTAGGTTGCCAAGGGAGTGTTTTTAGCAGTAGTTTCTTGTTTGCTGCCTCGTAGCCCAAACGCCCGCTGCCGGCCCTAGTCCTCACCTTATGCGGTTAAACTCCATATGTCGGCAAATGCGAAGAACAGGGCGTGGTGAAATTGAACGGGAATGCGGTGATGGAGGATGCTACGAAATCGCAAGTGAAGAGAGGGAAAAAAGATGCAAGATAGAAAAATCAGCCTCTGTCTTGTTCAAAGCAAGCAGTAAAAATAGCACTAGTCTCGTTGATGTCTCGAACAGACGCTTAGAGCATGACCAGGCCGATCTTGCTCGGCTCAAAGGGACGGGCCAGCCAGTTGTAGAAGTAGTAGCGCAGGAACCCGTCACCAGGGCCAAAGCCCAGCTCCTCCAAAAACTCGCGGTTGTCCATCATGTGCAGGCAGTTGACGACGTCGAACCCAGCAGCCTTGGCCAGCACCAGCATATCCTGCATAAGCTCAACCAGCCGCCCCTTGATCAGCTCGTTCTGCTTCTGCTTGGCCAGCGCCTTCTGCTGCTTCTGGCCCGTGCACGCAGCCTTCTCCTCATCGGTCAGCTTCACCTCGTAGTCGGTCTTGGTTCCGTAGTAGAACAGATACACGGGCTTGATCGTGCCGCGCACGGTGGTCGAGCCCTGCTTGTTAGACTTCAGGACCGAGCTCGGCAGCGAGTAGAACGAGAAAAAGTCCGAAAGCTTGCCTGGATGCTCGGCGTCGTCGACCACATACGTCCACATCACGTCTTCGCGCGGCAGGAACCAGTGAGCAACCTCGGCATCGGTCTTGAAGATTGGCAGCACCTCGCACCGGTTCTTCAGGTAGCGGTTCAGCAGCTTGCGCACCTGCGAGACATCACCCTTGCGCATCGGCCGCAGCCCAGGCGTGCTCGTCTGCGGCGGCAGGCGCAGCATCGACATAAGCTTGACGAGATCGGGGCCAGACACCTTCTTGGAGAACCCGGCGTCCATCAGCTTGCGCGGATTCAGGGACCGGTGGAAGTACCGGCATGTAGACACCGGCTTGGGCAGCTGCCGCCCTGCCGTGTAGACGGCCTGGAAAATGCCGACCTGGTGCACATGGCGGGTAACCTCCTTGATCAGCAGCGGCGCCAGGCGCTGGCTGCGCAGGCCCTTGTGCACGCAGAGGAAGTTGATCTCGGCCATGGTGATCGTCTTATCGCGCACCATCACCTCAACTGGAATGCCGCTGATGAACGCGACAAGCGCGCCAGTCGCCGCATCGCGCACGCCAATGTGCCAGTCCTTGCGCACATTGGGCGGCAGCAGCGCCCAGCGCAGGAACTCGGTCGAGTAGTTGAACCGGAACTTCGAGTCCACGTCCTCGACGTAGTGGTCCATCAGCAGATCGTGCATCTCCTGCATCTGCTCCTCAACCTCAATGTCCACCAGGCACCACGACAGGGACGGCGGCAGCGGGTATGGATCCTTGGGGATCTGCTCGGGCTTCAGCGGCGGGTGCAGCGGCCCGTCTTCCTTGACCTCATCGGTCGACTTGGGCACCGGCTGTGTCTCCCAGAACTCGTGCTTGGTGTTCTTCTCCTCCTCCTCCTCGCGCCTCAGCTTGCTGGTCGGCGCATCAACCAGCGATTGCGCGCCTAGCTGCTGCAGAAGCTGCATCAGCTTCTTGTTGTCGATCGGAAGCGCGTCAGAGGGATCCTTGTCTGCCATGGGTGATAAGCTCTTGCTGAACCGAGATTGGAGCAGGCGCAAAATGTAAATTTAAGAAAGGCAAGGTGATGGCCTGAGAGAAGCTCACGAAACGTGGAACTTTGGTAGTCTTGGGCGCTGAATGGTCTGGCAGCTCGGCTCAAACCCAGCCGAAGCACTACGAGCCGCATAAACTCTGCGCGATTTGGACGCGCCAGACGCGCCGAGGCGAAAAATATTTGGCACTCGTCCTGCCTGCTTTCGCTATTCCTGGCCCAGTTTTATGCTCTCCTAATTCGAAATGCCTACAGAATCAAACGACTTTGAAAAGGCCCTGCAGTCGAGCTTCTTGGGCAGTTCGATGCTATCTGACTCGACGCTGCTGGGCAGCGCTGATGCGCCCAGTACCCCCGCCCAAACTGCCCTCAACTCGGTTGCCCAGGCAATGCAGTACCCCGATACACTCGACGACGAGCCTAGCGACCAGCTCGAGCTGATGGCGGGTGCTGAGGACTCTGACGATGAGCAGGATGACATGGGTGCCGGGTTCTCGCAGTTCTCTATATTTTCTGACGCCCGCGTTGTGCGCAACCAGGAGACCGGCCAAGCCGAGCTGCAGCCCTTCAACATGCCGGATGACTCCAGAGTAGACGTGGATCTACAGCCTGCGCCCGGGTGGAATGAATCGAGAGGCAAGCGGAGGCGCCATGGCGATGCGATGCCGGAGCATCCAACAGGCGATGCTGCAAGCCGTATGGCAGACATTCGCCGGTCAGCGGAGAGGCAGGCAAAGGAAATCACTGACATTTTGAAGCAGGCAATGCCTGGCGCTAGGGAAAACAGTACGTCCATAGAAGGATTCCAGCACGGTGGTGTTTCAGTGCTGACACCTGCTGACAGAACCAAAGGATACCGTGATGCCATTGCCCTCCGACAGGAGATGGACAGCCGCGAGTCGGAGGAGAGCCGGCGCCAAAAGATCATGCGCATGGAGGAGGATGCTATGGAGCCGCCTAATGCCCAGCCCATCATACCTGTCGCTGGTCTATCGACCCGTGTGCAACCGACAACAGCGCGGTTTGCATCCAAATATTCACTGCCGCCAGAGTCTGGCGACTTTATGACATCGCGCACATCCTCTGGCTCGAACCTGTACTTTGCTATGCGTTCTGAGATTGATATTGCCAAGCAAATGGACTCCATCATGTCTCTGCGCGACTCGGATCGCATGTCATCCAGCATCGCCAACCGGGTTGTCAAGGAAATCGAGTGCGATCTGGACACCGAAATAGCGAGGCAGATTTCCGAACGCGAAGCAGAGGAGCTGCGCAGCCGCATGCGCGAAATCGACCCTGACGATGAGATGGCGGTCGACCAACTTGCTGAGCATGTCGAGCGCACCAGCATTGCCGACTCAACGCTGTGGGTCGACAAATATAGAGCCCAGTCGTTTTTGGACCTCGTCAGCGACGAGCGCGTCAACCGCGCAGTGATGCAGTGGATCAAGGAGTGGGACTACTGTGTGTTCGGACGCGACAATGCCCTGACCACTCGTACCAATGTCAACACAAATGGGTTTGGCAGAGCCTTGCCGCCAAAGCCAAAGAGCACAGACAAGTGGAAGCGGCCAGACAAGCGCATTTTGCTTCTGTCGGGCCCGCCGGGTCTGGGAAAGACGACGCTGGCGCACGTAGTTGCCAAGCAGGCGGGATACGCTACCATCGAAATCAATGCCAGCGACGACCGCACTGTCAGCAAGGTGCGCGACCGCATTCTGGGCGTTACGCAGACCCACGCAGTCGGGCTCCACGGGTCCACCAGACCGCAGCTGCTGGTCATTGACGAGATTGACGGTGCTGCCCAGGCGCAGTCCAGCCAAGGAGATTTTATTTCGACGCTTGTTAGCCTGGCCACTGCCGACGAGTCCTCTGGCGACAAGGCCAAGGCCAAGAAGCATCCACCAGCCAAGGGCAAATTCGGGCCGCTGCTTCGCCCAATCATCTGTATCTGCAACAACGTCTATGCGCCTGTGCTCCGGCCGCTGCGCCAGGTCGCCCAGTGCTACCAGATACACGCCCCAACCGCAGTGCAATTGGCGAAGCGGCTCGAGGAGGTGTGCGAGAACGAGGGTATGGCTGCTGACGCCTGGTCGTTGATGGCGCTGGCCAAGCAGAACGAGGGCGATATTCGCGCGTGCCTCAATTCGCTGCAGATGATCCGCGCGCACTCGTCTGCCCTGGGTGCTGACCATTTGAGGGGAAACAACATTGGCATCAAGGACGTCCAGCGGTCTTTGTTTGCCGTCTGGGATATGATATTTACTAGGCCCTCGGCTGCCAGCCTTCAGCGCGCTCAGCCAGCCCAGAAATCGTCCAACCGGCGCATGGACGACAGCGCCATCGACAGATCGTACAGTGAGATGCTGCTAGAGGCAGTGCAATCGGCAGGCGAGAACGAGCGCATCATGCAAGGCTGCTTTGAGAACTATCTGCGCATGGACTTCCGTGATCTGACACATACTAAGGTTGCTTCTCTGTGCACAGACTGGCTCGAGTTCTACGACTTTGTTGACTCTGCCTGTCGCAAGAACCCGTCGGTTGCTGAGCCCTTATACGGATACCTGCATTACCCGATACTGGCCATACATAGGACGTGCAGTACGGCATTGGGTCTGGCAAGCGGTGAATTCGAATACCCGCATTCCGAGTACGCCGCATTCCAGGCACGCCAAGTCGCCACATCTATTATCCAGTCACTTGCTGCTGGCTGCACATCGGTGCGCGCGCGTGCTACATGTACTATCAACTCAGTGGCAACATCCCTACTCGACCCGCTGCTGCACATCATCTCACCGACGCTGATGACTGCCAACAAGCAGCTACTGAAGGGTGGCGAGAAGGACCGGCTGATGCGGCTACTCGATGTCATGAGCTCCTGGCAACTGACATTTGTACAGAGCAAGGAAACCGACGGCCAATTTGTATATAAGCTGGAGCCGCCGATCGATCGTCTGTTTGCGTTCGCCGATCGCCGACCTGCACGCAACATCCTGCCCATGCGGTACCCAGTACGCCAGCTCGTAGCCCAAGAACTCGAGCGCATGCGCATGGCGCGCATAGCAGCAAAGGAGGAGATGCAGAACGGGAAGAAGGGCGGATCGGGTGGCGCCAAGGAAGCAGCGAAACGCGAGTATCTGGACAAGCTGTTCGCTGACCCCCTGGCGAATGCCATTCAGGCGCCAAAGAGCAAGGACGTGCCAATGGACGAGGATGGTGAGCCGCTCATCAAGGACTTCTTTGGACGATTGGTCAAGCGCAAGACTAAGCAGACAGGGCCAAAGGAAGCTACTCCCGGCACGAATGCCAGTGCCAGTGGCGGCAGGCATGAGGCAGGAAAATCAAAGATGTGGTTCCACTTCTTTGAGGGGTTCTCGAATGCTGTGCGTAAGCCAACACAGATGAAAGAGCTGTTTGAATAAAGCGGCGCTTCTGAACCTCCGAACTGGCAATAGAAGCTCAGGAATGTTTCTTACACCCCTCGCCACAATTGTCAACCAATACTAGCACTCGTAACAGAAAGCACTTGTAGTTAGCGAAGCCTGGCATATATTCTTTGACCGAGCACCTGCTGTATATGTTGGTAAGGACATGTACTACTAAAGGGGAGATGCAGCGGGAAAGTTCGAGTAAAACGCTTGTTTTGCCAGGTGCACCCTGATGTGCGCGGGATGCTGAGTAGAATAAATCGCGAGAGGCGATTTAAGATGAGCCTACAGAAGCTCAAACTTGATACCCTGCTTCTTGGAAAGCTTTAAACCAGATCTGAGATATTTACGCTGTGCTCTAACAACCATGAGACGTGGCGATCGTAGAATAAGCTGCTGGATAAATGAAGAAGCGTTAGCGTCAGGCTTTTTGAGGAAGTCTTGATACATGAACTCCTCAAGGACTGGGCTAATGGGGGATGTTGATGTGGGTGTATAGCTTTTGATCTCGCTCCTGAACAACATTGCCTCACCTCCAAGCCTATGTCTAAACACATTCGAAACAGTCAGAGCTCTTAGATGTAAAAGCCCTGGGAGAATTACCTCCAGTGAATTCCAGTCAAGTATGCTAACTGCGAGGTCTAGGCGTATGAGATTCGGCCAATCGAGTTTAGCACTTGGGAGCAGGGGAATGGTGAGCTCAGCAGTTCTAGCGTTGGAGTAGGACCCAAACAACCGAGCAGGCGTGTCTATCCATAGGCTACTACTGCCTGCCTCGAATAGGTAGGAAAGGTCGATAGACACCTTGTCCGTATTTGCCAGGGGCATCGAGTTAATGGATGGCAGACTCATTGGCCACTCGTTAATCTCTAGTAAACCAAGTTTGACATTGGCGAAAAGATCCTTGAAGTCAACATGGGCGTTAAATATATGGCGGGTTTTTAGTGTATGAAGTTTGGGGAATAGCAGCGTTTGCTGCCCGTAAAAGGTTGAAAGGCGAGGAGAAGGTAGTGGCTGGCCTGGTCTCATTATGAATGAGACATCCAACGTTCTCAGCTCATCGAACTCAATCGTATTGGCATCGCTGTCGATGAATTGCCGCCAGCTCAGCAATGATTCAAAGCGAATACCTATCAGGAGATTTCTGAGCGTTGGTGCGAAAAATGTGATCAGATGGTGGCTGCTCAGACCCATTTTATCGTTAATACTCAGGGTGGTCAAGTGTGGGAAATATGTGGAAGTCAAATGGCGGCCTGACTGTGTATCAAGATGTAGCCTTTGTTTAGAAAGCCTGTTGTCAAGCGCGTTGAAAACTGGATGCGGGATTGAATAGATGCTGCTAAGGGATGGTGCAAATGTCGATAGATATGAATGTACCAAGTCGATGTGCTCTTTTTCTCCTAGATTTGTTTGAAACTCGAGATCTTTGTGTAGTATGATTTCGCGGAGGTTCGTCCATGCTGTTTTGCCAAAGCCGCTCCCCTGTAAAAGAACATTGAGCGTAGGAGTAGCATCGTTATTGTGGTTGAATATGTATAGCCGTTTTACAAAGTGGGTCCCGCCGATGCTGATAACCGACTTAATATTTGACTTCCAGCGCTTCTGCGGTATCTGTGATGAGAATTTGTGTAGAATCCTCGATTTGATGGTCTGCGGTGCTTCGGAGGGGAGACTAGCGATATAAATGATGCGTAAAAAATATGGCCTCAAATACTGCATCCACTGGCGAGAGACAAGGGCGTACTGAATGGCAGTTAAGTGGTCGCTATAAACAGAGTTAAAATTGTAGTCGGTCGAAGGTGCGCCGGAATAGAGCTCAATATCCCGAATTAAGCGATCGAGGATTTGCTCAAGTACCATGCCACCGGCAATGTCGCCAAGTTTAAGGGCGTGTTTCCTCATTAGCGACAAAAATATAGTGTAGAAGAGCCAAAGCGGAACTAAAGTGCACATGGATAAAGTCCAGCCGCCTCAGTGTTGTGATTTTCATGCCCACACTTTGCCAGCAAGGCTATTGCAGCAGCCAACAAGCATGCATGCCCTCGATTCAACGATTGGAGAATCAGCTGCGATAATTAAATCATATTTATGTCACCTAAGCAGACATGCACTTTGAGGACACCTAGTGCCTTCAGATAAACGATGGTTTTGGCGATGTGCCCTGGCTGCAAGTCATATGTAAAGGGCAAGGCAGTATGCCAACTCTGACACTGCGGATTCTGTCGCATATGTACCATATATATGTAACAGGGCAGTATTAGCGGTACAGTTTTACTTGGCAGAAATGCCATCTCTGGTATATCGAGAAGAGGTGGTGAGAGCTGCTATGACGAATTGATATGCTGGGCATTCAATACTATTTTGGGAAATGGTATATTGGTAGATTGTTGCTGAGGATAGAGAACGAAAACAGATGCGGAAGATGGAAAAAGATAACCATGGTATAATATCTGGGAAAGAAAAGTGTACTTGTATTAGCTTTTACAAAAAATATTCTTCGACGCATGCAAACCAGTCGCAGGAAATTATCATGGCAAACTGGGGTTGGGGAATGGATCTATTAGGATCTGAACTCGATATTCTGACTAGCGATAACCGCTATTAGCCCTTCATCGTATATATCTCTTGACTTGATGACCATGAGCGACGGCGTACGCGAAACCAACTGCAGGACAAACTCGGAAATACCGGCATCTTTCGTACCTGCAAGATTATAATATTCAAACCCTTCAAGGCTTTTACTGATTTCCCTCGTTGAGGTGGGATTGTAGCTCTCAATCTCATGCCCAAGTGACAGGGCAGCTGTTAGTTGACGATTGCCCTGATCTCGTATGATAGTCAATGTCCGTAGACATGGGAGTCCCTCGAGAAGCGATTCTACTATATTCCAGTCAATGCTGATGATTCTAAGTTTGAGATTTATGAGATTTGGCCAATTGAGCGCCGTGATAGGGAGCATTGTGATTTGAACATCTGCATGTCTGACATCTGAAGAAACCTCAAATAACTGAGTGACTGAGCTTTTCAATATAGCGATGCTTTGTGGTGTAGACGAAGGCAAAGTATCAAAATACAGCGTATCGACATGTTTCAGGGGTACTGAGTGGATAGATGGTGTAAACTCGGGCCGCTCAGTAACCCTCAGCGATTGTAGTCTAGCATCAATGAATAGCTCGTTGAAGTCGACACGGCCATTGAATATATTTGTGGCCTGTAATGACTGGAGCTTTGGGAATATCGGGAGCTGTTGTCCGTAGTGGTTTGAAAGGCGAGGAAGGGTGGCGAGGGTGAGTCAGGCCCTAATTTAAAGTATATTTCCAACGTTTTCAGCTCCTCAAATTTGCCTGCGTTGCTATCCTTGTCGAAGAATTGCCACCATGAAAAGGACGAGTCGAAGCTGAGATGGATTTTCAGCTCACAGAGTGCAGGTGCAATAAGTTTCATCAGCCGGACACTTGCCAGGCTAGAAGTATCGTTTATATACAGACTGGTCAAGTGCGGAAAATATGCGGTTGATAGATGGCGAGCTGGCGCTACGTCAAGATACCACTTGCGGTTAGTGAACCTTTTGTCAAGCAAATCAAGAACGTAATTTGGTCTTGAGTGGATATTACCGAGAGAAGGTGCCAACTTATGCAGATATGAATAGGCCCGATCAACGTGGTTGCTCGCCCACAGTACCGGTTGAAAAGCAACATAGTCACAAAATACGATGTCTCTGAGATTCAACCACGTTGCTGCACCAAATCCAAAACCGTCTAAAAGCATATCGAGGGGAGGAAGGGGTCCACTATTCTGAGTGTTGATATACAGCCTGGTTGTATAATTTAGTCCGCTCATCCGAATAACAGAGTTTATGTTTGACCTCCAGCGTTTATACGACTCTTTTGGACGCAGCGTCTTGGTCAAAAATTTGGATTTCACCATAAACTTTAGTGCTGGCGAATCGCTTGTAATATAGATCGTGCTGAAAATGAAAGGCTTCATTGACTTCATCCATTGATGAGAAACGAGAGCGTACTGAATACCGGTGTGCGTGGCGATAGAATGCTTGTCAAAATCAAAAGTTGTTGAAAAAGGACAGTAGAATGTCCCAAGGCTGCGCATTAGGTAGCCGATAATTTTCCCGAGTATCCTTTCTTTGGCCAGGGCCGTACGCGCGAAAGTGTGTTGTTCCATAGTGAAAGTAAAAAAGTAGGTAGTGTGACAAGTAACTGAAAGTGGAAGTGGAAGATTTGTGCAAAAGGTCGGACGCATCGGCACTAACAGGTCCTGTAGGTATTTATAGAACACCCAGCACAAGAAGCCAGTGGCTCGCTTGGCGAAGAATGACCGCCTTCTAGATTTACTCCACGCATGCCGTAGAAATAGTGCTCCAAGATTCGCCTACTGTAATTAGATTAAGACCAGGTAGTAACACTAGGTTTATATACATCTCGGAGATAGCAAGCATTTGCAAAGAGGATGGCAATGCTGCTACCATTGATTCTCGTATAGACCATATACATGTACATATTAAAATCACCTAGTCGAAAAAAAAAACAACCTCCTACTGCAGTGTTAATTACAGATATCGTGTTTCAATATTACTAAATTTATATGCAATAAAGCAGATAAAGATAACCAGCCAACTCCTTGGGGAGAGGAATTAGGAGAAATGGCCTGCTAGGCAGGAAGTTATCAAGCATAAGACCTTTGCTCACAAAACGTGGAGCAAGTAGCTCTACAAATGTTTGAACTCCACATCCTGATTGGTGATATGCATGGTGATATTTTCAAGGAACGATTTGCATGCCTGAATGACCATGAGCGATGGGGTCCGAATAACAAGTTGTTGGATAAACCCAGAGGCATCGGAGTCTGCCGTCATGTCGGAGTTTTTAAATGAGAATTCTTCTAGGCTCTGGCTCATAGAGGATGTTGATAAAGGAGTATATCTGTTTATCTCGCGCCTGAGCGATAGGGCAAAAGCAGCGTTGTCATAGCTGGTGCTTTTTATAATCATCAGCATTCTCAGATGTGTGAGCTCCCCAAGAAGTGACTCAACTATGTTCCAGTCAACCTCAGTGACTCCAAGCTCGAGGTTTATAAGATTTGGCCAATTCAACCTTGTATTAGGAAGCAGAGGAACGCGGATATCTGCATATCTGGTTTTGGAGTAAGAGTCGAAAAGGTATGTGATTATGCTCATCAATTGTGCATCGTATTCGGTATTGAAGTATGTCAATAGGAAAAGCGATAGCTTGTCAGTATATCTGAGGGGCATCGAATCTGCGGATGGAACACCTCTAGATACTTCAGTGATGCTCAATGACTTCAACAGGACACTATCGAATAGGCTCCTAAAGTTAACAAGAGCATTAAATGAATTAAAAGTCTCCAGTGTGTGGAGCTTTGGAAAGAGTAGCTGCTGCTGTCCATAAAAAGAAGGATGGCGTGGAGTGGATGGCAAAGGAGTGTTTGGGTGTATATAGAATATCAACCTCAATGTCGTCAGCTGCTTAAACTCAATAGTATCGGTGTCACTGCCGATGAATTGTCGCCATGAAAACGACGAGTTGAGGCGGACATTAAGCTCCAGTTCGTTGAGTGATGGCGCAAAAAACGACACTAGCCGGTGGGCGCTTTGGCCATGTCTATCGTCTATGTTGAGGGCAGTCAAGTGCAGAAATTGCGTGGCTGTTAAATGTCTATCTGAGGCTGTATGTAGATGCCGCCTTTGATAAGCAAGTGTGTTGTCAAGCCTATGCACAGCAGGGTTTGATGGGGAATAGGCATTGCCAACTGATGGTGCAAACTTCAACAAATAGGAATGGGCCAGGTCGATATGTCTGTCTTCCCCAACGACAGCCTGAAATGTAAACTCGCCGAGAAAGATGATGTCTTCGATTTTTGGCCATGTGGCCTAACCAAATCCGTAGCCATCCAAAAACACATCAAGTGTAGGAATGGGACCGCGGTGGCTGTTTAAAATGTATAGTGCTTTGGCGTAGCGAGCGCCGTCCATAGAAACAACTGATTTGATGTTTGACGTCCAGAATTTGTGTGGCTTTGGAGAACGTAGGCCCTTGAGCACATTCTTAAACCTCGCAAGATTTGACAGCTTTGGCGGGTGGCTCTTTATATATAGCGTACTGCAAAGGCGTGGCTTCAAGAATGCCAACCACTGACGACAAACAAGGGCATACTGGATGGTAGCTTGAATTTTGTTGTAAAGCATATTCAAGCCGTAGTCGGACGCAGCTGTGTTAGAAGAAACTGCCAGGTCCTCCAATAGGCAGCCGAGAACACGTCGAAGTATCGTTCCGCCGGCCAGGCCGTTTAGTTGAAGGGTCTGCTTCTCCATGCTCAAGGATAGTTGGATTATTTGCTACGAAAGATAGCGCGGAAACAAAGAGAGCGTGTCTGACGCATGGGTGTTTCTGTGCTGCTTTTCTCTCGAAATAGATATACGATTTTTCGCAGCCCTTTGGAACAGGCCCGTGCATGTCTCTGAAATAGTGTTTGGAGACTCCTTTTCACTAATTAAATCATGCAGCTTACAGTATGTGTGGCCAGAGCATACATGTCCAGCTACATCTGCCTCCAGAGCAAATTAGTATTTTGTATGCAATCAGATATTTATTAACAGTTCTAAATCCGCACAACATTTAGTATCCCCGGCTCTCTTTAATAACAGCCTGCTGCTGCTGCATGTTCATCTGCCCAAAGCCCACGACCTCCATGGTGAAACTGCCACCGCCAGCGGTCAAGCTGCGCAGCATCGACGAATACCCAACCATAGTGCTTAGGGGCATCTCAGCAACTAGCAGCTTCCCAGCACCCACGCCCTCCTCGGAGTCATCCAGGCTGATGACGCGACCGCGCCTGGCGCCATTGAGATCACTGAGCACCGACCCCACGTGTTTCTCGGGGCAGGAAATGGTGGTCCGCGCAATGGGCTCAAGGAGAGCCGGCGAGCAGCCGTTCAGCGCCTGCGCCAGTGCCTGGCCTGCACACGCCCGGTACGCGGGAATGGTCGACAGGTCCTCACCGAAATACTCGATATCAGTGACGGTGATGCGGGTGCGCGTGACGGGGAACCCGAGAATGCTGCCGCGGAATGCAGCATTGGAGATGCCGTCGTGGATTGCAGCGCGCACGGAGTCGCATAGCTCGTGGTCATCGTCGCGTGCATGCGTGGGCGCGGTTTCGCCAGCCACAACCAGGTGGTCTGGCATGTTGATTTCAATGATGTTGTCATCGGTCTCCGGGTCGCCGATGGGCTCGACGCTGACGCGCAATGCGGCCTTGCCGGCCTTACCAGCGATCTCGCGTGCATACGTATGCTGGGCACTGGCGGGCTGGCCGGCGGTTTCGCGGTACGACACGCGCATCTTGCCAAAGGTGGCGTTGATTTTCATATCCTTGACCATCCGGTCCTGGATGACCTCCAGATGCAATTCACCCATGCCGCTTAGCAATGTCTGGCCGGTTTCCTCGTCGTGCGAGACATGCAGAGACGGGTCCTCGAGCGTCAGGTTTGCCAGGGCATCGGCTAGCGGCCGCTCGTCTTGCGGAGAGTCGGCCTCGACAGCGCAGAAGAACACAGGCGGGGGCACGGAAATGCCGTGCAGCTGCCAGCCCACAGGCGCGGAATTGGCGCTGTGCACCGAGCGGCTCTTTTTGGCAGACTTCAGGGACTTTGGCAGACTCGGGTGCTGGGCATGCAGTAGCGTGTCGCCGGTCTTTGTCATCTTCAGGCCCAGCACAACGCCAATATGGCCGGCTTGGATGGCAGGGATCTCTTCGGGCTGGTCGGCGTACATTTGCAGCAGCTTGGTCGCGCGCTCCTTGATGCCGCCCTGGGTGCCATTGACCAGGGTCATGCGCGAGTCTAATGTGCCCGAGTATACGCGCACAAAGACCATGGGCCCGCGCTGCGCATCGACAATGACCTTGAAGGCAAAAGCAACCAGCTTGTTGCTGTCCAGGGGCACGACCTCTGTGGACTTTTTGCCGCTCTGGCCAGGCACCACTGCCATTGTGGGCTGGGCCTTGTTGGTAGGCGACGGCAGGTACTCGAGCACAGCATCAAGCAGCGGCTGGACGCCAACATTGCGGAACGATGCGCCGAGCAGGACTGGGCTCGCCTGCGACGACTGTGTGACTCGCCGGATCGCATCCCTAATGTCCTTCTCTGGCACCTGCAGATGGTCGCCGTCGACAGCATCGCTCAGGAACACGTCGACGATCTGCTGGTCAATCTCCGCCAGAGTCTCCACCAGCAGAGTGCGGGCGTCGGCCATTTTCTCAAACGCCGGGTCGGTTTCCGAAATCGCAGATCTTCGAACCGTCGACCCAGTGTTGTCCTGCTCGATATCAAACTCGATCCGCTCCATGGTCACGGCATCGATCCACCGCTCGAGCCCACGGCCCTCGAGCCTGGCCATCTCGCTCTCGGGCACCTGCAGGACCAGCGGCCGCGTGTCGAGCTTTGCGCCAATATCGTCTACGCATTTCTGCCAGTTGGCGCCATCTCTGTCCATCTTGTTGATGAAGATTATGCGCGGAATACCGTACCGCGTCGCCTGCTTCCACACCGTCAGGGTCTGGGCCTGCACACCCGCCACGGCATCCAGAATCGCCACTGCCCCGTCAAGCACCCGCATTGCCCGCTCCACCTCCACGGTGAAGTCGACATGTCCGGGCGTGTCGATTAAATGCAGCTGGCTGTCTTTCCATCCGAACGTAATGGCTGCCGACTGGATCGTGATCCCGCGCTCACGCTCCGCGGGCAAGTAGTCCATGACTGTGTCCCCGTCGTCGACGTCGCCGATGGAGCGTGTGAAGCCCGCATAGTGCAGCATCCGCTCGGTGGTTGTGGTTTTGCCTGCGTCGATATGGGCGATAATGCCGATGTTGCGCACCCTGTCCAGGGGATCGGGCCGCCGGGATGTGTATGCGCGGGTGCTGCTGCGTGGGAGCGTGTGCCGGAGCGTGCGCAGCAGACTGCTGCTGGCTGCGGTGCGGTGGGCAATTGCCCAGCTCATTCGAAGCGCCATTAGGTGTAGGGAGGAATGCGGAAAGAGATAAAGCCGCGATCTGTTGCTTCGAACCGCCCAAAAGACCGCCGATGCTCACGGTAATTGGCAGATTCCCCGATAATAATCCCCTGATTGTAATCCCATTTTTTGTCCATGCTGGCCGGGCAAATCCTGGACTGGCTCAATAAAACCACCTGCATTGGCCCGGTGAACATGGCTCATGCATTTCCTTTATCTTTTCTGTTATCCCCTTGATGCTGTTATCTCGGACAATACGCTGCAGGTGCCTGGCAATCAAACCGCGGCGCCTGTACGGCACACAGGCTGACGATCTGCTCCGAGCGCCGATGCAGGAGAACTACAAGCTGCGGCTGGGCGGCCGCAACTTCACCGATCGCATGCGCTGCACGGCCATCGGCGGCCACGGCGGCAGCGGCTGCGTCAGCTTCTTCCGCGACGTGTTTGTGCCCCGCGGGCCTCCCAACGGCGGCGACGGTGGCCATGGTGGCGACGTGTGGTTCGAGGTGGACGAGAACGAGACCAGCCTGAGCTGCGTCAAGCAGCGCCTGAGCGCGCGGCCCGGCATGAACGGCCGCGGCAAGGCAATGCATGGGCCGCGGGGCAGCGATCTAGTGGTCAGGGTGCCCAAGGGCACTTTGGTCAGGGAGATTGTGCCCGAAAAGGACCTGGAGAGCTGCAGTGCGGACGGGTTTCTGGGCGAGCTGATCGAGCAGGAGAATGCGGAGGCGGAGAGGAAGCGCAGGGACAAGTCGGCGCTGTTCGTGCATTACCCGCGGTGGGAGGATAAGAACGATCTAAAGCGGGTGCCGCTGCCGCAGGAATTCAAGGCCTACATGTACGAGATGCGCACGGCTGAGCCGCTCCATGCCGATCTGACTACGCACGGCCAGCGCGTTCTGGTGGCCCGCGGCGGGCTGGGCGGGCCGGGGAACCCGCATTTCTCGTCACCCACCGACCGCCAGCCGCACTACGCCCTGCGCGGGCTGGCCGGCCAGACACGCACGCTTGACCTGGAGCTGAAGACCATTGCTGACGTCGGCCTGGTGGGCCTGCCGAATGCCGGCAAGAGCACGTTTCTGTCGGCCGTGTCGAACGCCCACCCCAAAATCGCCGCCTACCCGTTCACCACTCTGAACCCGTACATTGGCACAGTGACCTTCCGCGACACTCACCAGATCACGGTAGCCGATATCCCCGGCCTGATCCCGGGCGCACACAGGAATGTTGGCCTCGGCCATTCGTTCCTGAGACACGTCGAGCGGTCCCGGATTCTGGTCTATATCGTCGATATCAGCCGCCCCGATCCCTGGAACGATCTCAGGGCTTTGCAGACCGAGCTGGATCTGTACAAGCCTGGCTTGGCCGAGCGCCCGTCGCTGGTCGTGGCGAACAAGGCGGATGCCGCCAATGCCAGGGAGAACTTTGAGAAATGGCGTGCCATGGCCGATATTCCCATGATCCCTGTGTCGGCCAAGCAGGCAAAGAACATCACCAAGGTCACCGCAACCATCCGCACCATGCTAGAGCAGCTCAAGTAAGAAGCTCCCTGAACCGCCCCCTCGCCTGCGCAGCAATGGAAGACCAGAGCATTATCGTATGACTCGGCAGCTTGGGTCGGAATGCGTTCCTCTGGAGCCCCACTGCACGCCGTCACGCCTTTTTGGCCCCGGGCGGGGGAAAGGGACCAACCAGCCTGCGCCAATTTCCACCCCCTGTAATCCCGCATGTGTGGTTCGGGAAGAGACGAAATATCCCACCCAGCAGCTGGGACGCATAGGAAGGGCGCAATTTTTCGTCCTTCTCTTGCCCATGCTGCTGCTGTCCGTCGCCCAAACACCCGAGGAGGGCAGTGCGAGTTTTTTTTTTACTTGCTGGCCAGGGTATATAAAGCGACCCTCCCTTCGGCCAGACATTTGGGCTCAAGACTCCCTTGCCAGACATCTTTGCAAAATATTTTTTTCTCGAAACTCCAAAATATGCTTCCCACCACCCGCCGTGCTTTTCTCACATCTGCCGCCCGCACTCTGCCGCGCGCGGCCATTCTGTCTCGCTCCTATACCAACACATCCGTCTACACACGCTCCGACACCATGTCGCATGAGGAGCATCTCAAGGCGCTGATGGAGGAGCAAAAGTACCTGATGGATCTGCTCAAAACCGACGACACCTCGGCGCCCTGGACAAAGGACTCTGTCGAGATGGTGAGTCGCGAGGTGCAGGAGGGCTTCCATGAGCCCAAGACCTGGGTCCCCGAGGAGGTATTCCAGCACTGAAAGTTTTCAATTCTGCTCTTCTCTGTACAAATAACAAAACTCCTTTCGCATTCATCCCTGCTCCACCCGAGGCGCCATCCAGTCATGGGTTTTGTTTGCGGCGTGCGTTGGACACGCAATATACCGTGAATGTGGCCAGTGTTGCCCCACCACTCGAGAAAAAAAATCACATTGTGAGCTTTGCCGCCTTTTTGCATCCGCTTCTCCAGTGTGCAGAAAGAGGGGGAGGCATACTCAGCACAGGGGGCCTAAATCGGAGGAGATGGGCAGGCTGCAGTGGCCATAGTCACCATTTAGGGCGCGTCCAGCACAGTGTATGCACGCCATCACATGGCCATTGCTCGCTCTTTTTTGGGGCTTATCGTCGCCGCGCTAGAAAAAAAAATATCAGTTGGCAGTCACAGAAAGCAGCCCGCTCCACATGCAGCCCTTATCCTCTGTTGTCACATGCCGCGATTACCTGTCCCTCCCATCGGAAGCAAGCCGTGCAGTGTGCATTCGGAAGAAGCCGCTACACCATTGGCCCAATACATGGCTGATATGTAGACATTGGTTAGTCTCGCTCATGTTTGCATAATATGGCCATGTATTTGTTTGGACAAGCAAAAACCATAGTGCCATTTGTCGAGAACTAGCCGCAGGGACATGCCTTTGCAGATGCCTTGGGAGCGACACGATCGCTTCTTGAGTCCGCTTGCTAAACCCCTTCGCCCCTTCATGATCTGGCCGATGTAGCACATTGCCAGTGTGGACTTCTTTTCTAGTGGACGTCACATTAGGGCAGCTGCAGCCCGTATATGGAGTGATGGAATGACCCGGGCGGTGATCCCTACGGTATCTCATTCTCACGAGTTTTATTCGCAGGATGCGGGCGGAAAGAGTTATTGCTTGAAAATATGTACGTAATTAGTGAGCTGCATCAAACTCCGCGATGATTGACGGCCCGCTGCATTTTGTACGTTGCACGCCGGGCAGGGCATTCTTTGGAGATGTTGTAGCAGCGGCACCATCGCGGCCGCCAGCGAACGCACACCGGCTGTTTGTCTCGAGCTCTGCTGCTGAACGGCAATTTCCGCTGCCCCCTTTCCAGAGGGAGAAGCGGCCGGCAGCAAATAGCCAAGAGGCACCCAGGGTGTGCAGATAGTTTTGCATGTGTCCCGGAGGATTAGCGCCATATTTGGCCAGCTGCATGGTTGCTGTGCTGATAAATAGATGGCTCTGGGACTGCTAGAAAATCGTCGCCATTACGTCCGACTGTGCTTGGTTTTCTGCCCAGCGCCTTTCACACGCCAATTGTGCCAGCCGGACGGACATCAGCTGCACTTGCATCGATGGAATCGATGCTCGGGTTCCGGGCAGCCAATCGCATGGCTGGGGATTTGCGCTGCTGAGGAATTGGTGGTTGCGTGGCCGGTGCGTTCCGATGCTCAAAATTTCCCAGCCGTATCCCGCCCTACTAACTGGCCTGCCCGCTTTTTGACCCTTCGCCATGCTGGGGCAAAACGGATATAAAAGGAGCGCATCTCCCTCCCTTTCGCCTGAAAAATATCATCCCGTCCCAGCCCTCAAGAAAACCCCGTTTCCGCGCAAGACAGAGTAAAATATAAAATGTTCGCCGCCGCTCGCACCTCCGCCATTCGCACCCTTGTTGCTCGCCGCTCGCCTGTCGCCGCTCGGGCATTCTCGACCGAGAACTTCCAGGAGGTCCACTCGGCATACGAGGCCGCGGTGCCCAAGCAGGCGTACCTGCAGCAGCTGCTCAGCTCGGACGACGCGCAGGCGCCGTGGAACTCTGCGCCCATCGAGATGGCCAGCCGCGAAGTGCAGCAGCTGTCGACGGGCTCCGCCGAGGCATGGAACGCCTGAAAGAACCGGCCTCTACTCATTTTTGTTCCCAAACTATTTTCTGTAAAATAACATCCCATCAATATTTCTACCGCGCTGGGAACCGGGAGGGGAGCAGCCTGAGACTGCTTTTTCGCAGAGACTTTTCAACCTCTGCTGTGAATCATCTCAAAAAAAAGGGGAATGCACATGATGCAGCAGCGCTTTATCTGGCCAATGGGAGACGGGCAAACTGAGGCGGGGTGAGCGAGGGCGTGGTGCATTCAAGGCGTGGGGCCAGGCCCTGCCTCCTTTGTCTCTCTCCTCTGCAACGCCACGCTTCATGGTTTCTTTTTCACACTGTTCAGCTCCACCCGACGCTATGGCACCGCTTCGCAAGAACACGGGGTCGGGGTTCCTGTCCGAGGTCGGCGGAATGCTGTCGACGTCCCCGCACTTTATCGATCTGCCCCAACTCGAGGGCCGCAAGTGTAAGTAGAAAATTTTTCCCACCCAGCCTCCCCCCGCACGCACACCACACCTGTGCAGCAACTCAAAAGAAAAAGCAGCCCTTGCTAGCAATAATCGGAATCTGCGCGATGGACAATAAGGCGCGGTCAAAGCCGATGGCAAATATCCTGAACCGGCTGATCGCAACCGGGCACTATGAGGTCATTTTCTTCGGCGACAAGACGATCCTGGACGAGGACGTGGAAAAATGGCCGCTGTGCGATTTCCTAATATCCTTCTTCTCCCGGGGCTTCCCGCTGGAAAAGGCGTTCCAGTACTTCCGGCTGCGCAAGCCATTCTCGGTGAACTCGCTGATCCGGCAGTTCCTATTGTTCGACCGGCGCATTGTGCTGGAGATGCTGCACAGCATCGGGGTGACGACGCCGCGCCATCTGATTGCCAGCCGCGACGGCGGGCCAGATGTCCACCCGGCACTGAGACGCGTGGTCGAGCAAAAGATGAACATCCAGCTGGGCACGCTGGCGGGATCCAGCGATGTGGAAGAGATTGACGAGGACACGCTGCGGGTGGGCGACCAGATTATCCGCAAGCCGTTTGTGGAGAAGCCGTGCGACGCCGAGGACCACAATATCTACATCTATTACTCGCGCGAGCAGGGCGGCGGGGTGCGCAGGCTGTTCCGTAAGATCGGGAACAAGTCGAGCGAGTTCCACGCCGGGTACTTCCCCGTGCGCCGCGACGGCTCGTTCATCTACGAGGAGTTTATCGACGTGGACAACTCGGTTGACGTCAAGGTCTATACGGTGGGCAAGGAGTATGCGCATGCCGAGACCCGCAAGTCGCCAGTCGTGGACGGCCATGTCAGGCGCAACAACGAGGGCAAGGAGATGCGGTTCGTGACGCCGCTTAGCGAGGAGGAGGAGGACATCGCCCGGGCTGTCTCTGAGGCGTTCGGCCAGCGCGTGTGCGGATTCGACCTGCTGCGCGCCAACGGCCAGTCGATGGTGATCGACGTCAACGGCTGGTCGTTTGTCAAGGGCAACGACCAGTACTACGACGACACTGCAAGCATCCTCGACACACGCTTCCAGGAGGCCCTGCACCACCGCTGGGTGGCCCGCTTTGTCGACGCAGACAACGTCGGCAAGCAGACATACGAGTCGCGCTGGGTACTAAAGGGTGTGTTCAATGTGTGTCGCCATGCCGATCGCACGCCCAAGCAGAAGATAAAGTACGTGCTGCGCAGTCTGCCGATCATGCAGCTGCTGGGCGAATCCACCAGCGAGATCATGCTTCGGACCCCCGAAGCGCTGCGTGGCGCCTTGGAGGCGCTGCAGAAGGCAAGGGCGCTCGATCCGGGCGTCGACGCACCCGGCGATCTGGAGCACCTGGAGGACGTGCTGCAGAGAAAGATCGACTTTCTGGGCACCAAGGTGCAGGTGAAGCCGCAGAAAAACAAGGAGACAAAGCATGTGGACTGCGTGCAGTTTGTGCTGAAGTGGGGCGGCGAGTGCACCCATGCAGGCATCGTGCAGTCGCAGGACCTGGGCGAGAACATGCGCAAGGACCTGCTGCTCATCAACCGCCACCTTCTGGATGACGTCAAGATTTACTCCAGCACTGAGCGCCGTGTGCTGTCGACTGTAAACGCATACTGCGCGGCGTTTCTGAATGGAAAGCCGTTCAAGGATCTGATTACCGTGCGCGCAGACATGCTCGACGACAGCACGGAGGCGAAGGACGAGATGGAGAGAGCAAAGACGCAGATCCGCGGCTTCTTCAACTTTGACGGGCCCCTGGCCGCCAACCCGTTCTGCACGCCCAACATGCGCCTGCCCAAAGACATGGGCAGCCATCCCAGGGTGTTTGTCCGCGAGTTGTGCTCGCTGATGTGCCGCCTGATTGCGCGCATGGAACGCAATTTCCAGGACCTGGGCAAGGACGGGCTGAGGGAGCTGCAGGACGAGTGGTGCTGCGGCGAGACCCCCGAGCTGTTCCGCGAGAGGTGGAAGAAGATCCTCAGCGACTTCCAGTTGGTCAACAAGGACGGCAGCGAAATGTACGATCCAGCCAAGGTCGGCGAACTCTACGACTCGCTCAAATACGACGCGCTGCACAACCGCCGGTTCCTGGAGCGCATCTTCATGTCGCCCGACAAGCTTAGTGCCGAGCGCATCGCTGCTGCACATTCGAGTGCACTGTCATCAGTAGCCGACATGCTGGGCGTCGACAGCGACGAGGACATTTTGGAGATGAGCTCCGAAAAGGGCGACTCGCTGGCCAAGCTGGCCATTTCCCGGAACGCCTGCGATACCGTGTCGTCGTCGCCGGTGCTTCGTGCGCGTCCGTCGTCGTCGGGCCAGATGTCCAAGAGCTACGAGCACTCGGCGCCGCCCGACTACCCGCCCGACCTGCTGTTCACGCAGCAGGACGTGCGTGCGCTCTACTACAAGGCCAAGCTGCTGTTTGATTTTGTCACAAGGCGCGAGTACGGCATTGAGCCGCCGCAGCGCATGGCCATCGGCGTCCAGGCGCTTGTGCCGCTGCTGCGCCAGCTGGCTGACGATCTGACCGATGTCAAGAACGGGAAGGACGCGCGCGTGCGGTTCTATTTCACCAAGGAGTCGCACATCCACACGCTGCTGAACCTGGTGTTTATGTGCGACATGCAGACCATGATCCCGTACGAGAAGGTCGAGGAGCTGGATTATCTGACCCACATTATCTTTGAGGTGTATGAACGCAAGCCCGACGTGGACGCCGCGCTGGACCGCGAGTACTCGCTTCGCATTGGGTTCAGCCCAGGCGCCAATTGCTATCACGTGCTCGACATGAACATTGACGCCACGCATGCGCTCAAGGTTCTGCCGCGCCGCAACTTCACCTATCATATTCCCCTCGACAAGGCCATTGACAAGCTCCGGGGTCTTTTAAACGAGATAGAATGAGTCTTTTAGAATACGATAATAAACACCTAATGGTTCTTGATAGCCGCCAGGTCAATGTACTTGTTCTTGTTCTTGTACGTCTTGTGCCAGATAAAGTTGTCGTCCTCCTGCACAAATGTCACGTTCTTCTCGCCACAGCCCGACGTGACCATGCCGCCAAACACCGCGTCCTCATTGCGCGGGCCATTGTACTTGAACTCCACGTCCAGGCACCTGACTAGGTTCATGTTGAACATGTAGAACTTGCCATTGCCGTACAGAACGTGGTCCAGTGTGCCCTCGTTCCAGGGATCGCGGAACCTTGTGTGGTCGCTGATATAAACGGGCTTCTTCGAGCCCTGGTGCTCAAGCATCAGCCTTTTGATATAGTCTTTGTCGATAAACGAGTCGTCGTCGAGCTTGATAAAGAACTCAATATCTTTGTAGTTCTTGAGCGCCCGCGAGAAGCAGAACGTCTTCTGGTCCAGCGTATGGTACGTCGACTCCTGGTTGCACACAATCTTGCAATCCGGCCCGTCGAAATCGCACACCGGGTGCAGGTAGTCGCGCAGCCACATGTTCTTGTAGAACTGCATGTCTGTGTTGTGGTTCACCGGGAACACGATCGCCAGCTTTGAGAACAGCTCGCGCTCCTTCTCCTGCGGCGAAAGCTCCTTGGGCGGAGGCACTTGCTCGTGCTCAGGCGGCGGGAACGCGCCCCAGTAGTTATGCCGGTCCGAGGTCAGCACGACGCTGGTGCCTACAATGCCCAGGACTATCAGCAGTATCAGGATGCGCGGCCGCGACAGTGTGATTGGTGCCATTGTTGTATGTGATATCAGGGGCTGCGCTGAGTAGTGAGGAGATAGGGGAAGGGTGTCGATGGGGAGGGTAGAAAAGGAAGAGAAAGAAAAAGGAGAAAAGGGGTTTTGAGCTTTTTTCAGCTCTTGGCACTCGGGGAGCCGCTTTGCTGTGCTTATAAACAAACTCGCTGGGCCAGCTGCTTTCAACGGCTCCACGCATTGAAAGTGAGAATCTGCCTCTTTATTTTCCCAAAAAAATCATACGGGGACGCTATAATTGGAACGACCTCGCTTCGGCAGGATGTGCATGAGCGACTGGGTGCTAGGATCGGCACATCTTATTTTCGCGAATGAAGCACATTCGCCCGCCCACTCCCCGCCCGCTGCTTCCCAGGACCGCCGTGATATCACTCTGTTATTAGCCATCGCCGAACACGGAAATATGTGGCTAAAATTATATTTTCACACTAGTGCCCACCTGTACAACACTAGTGGTGCAACGGCCTCACACCCACGGAAAAGCAGCTCTCCACGCCCTGCAAAAAGAGAAAGGCTGCCTTAGGCACTGGCCTTGCTCGACATCAAGCTTCTGGAAAATAAAAGCTAAACAGCATGGATGGGGACTGTCAGTGCTGGCAATCTTTTCCGCAGACTGCACCTTGCTGCCCCTTCCTTCCAAGGCAGCCCTCCCCTTTGCACGAATCCCATATCGAGATGACATGCAGGAGCTTGTGGTGACGGCACGGGCGAGAGGGAAACTATCCGTCGTGGTACAACCCTAGGCTTCCACCTCAACAGGCATCCTGCCGGTTTCAGGCTGCTTTTAGCAGAGCTCCTTTGGCAGGCCTTGCCGCCGGGATTGGCGTTTGCAGACATACCATCGGCGGACCAGGGCTACATACAGACTTAGTGTTTGGCTGTGCTGGAGTGTCTGTCTACAGACAATGTATGCTTCGTGGTGATAGGGTGACCCACTCTCCCCTGGGGTTGTCCATTGTCTGTGAGCGTAATTGGCCGGGCGGTGTGCGGTATATAAATAGACTCCCACTTGAACAATCAGCTTTGCGTAACGTAATGCAAACGGATCCTCAGGCCAGCCGAGGCAGGCAGCCTTCCATCCGCAATGACTCCCGGGCATCCAACATCCGCGCAATTGTTGTATTGAATTGGGCCGTCCCAGACGGTCTCTAGGCGAGGTGCTTCTATTGCCACCCGGAACCACCAGCCGGAAACTGAATTCATGGCCGGATTGCATCCGAGGCACCATGCTCCTGCTATCCCCAGACACGATGGCTGATATCTCTTGTGTATCTGTTTACCTAATCTATGAACCGAAGGCGAGGAGGGGCAGTAACGTGATTACTGCGTGTGGGGTCTAAACAATGACAAGCTGGAGAGAACCGTCCAGTCGATACGCTTAGACAGGGCCCGCCAGCCGGTCTCTCCATTGTCCGAGTCAGCCCACCCCTTCCAGGCGCACAAATAAACGGACCTGCTACTGCCCAAGCCATGTTGAGATGGGCTAAATACAGTTTTCTATTTCTCTGACAACGAAACTGGTTACAGCTCCCAGTCTTCAACCACACGGTTGGGAATGGCTGTCAGATTGATAAATTTGTTTTTGTTGGCATACCTGCGGTGCCAGATCTTGTCGTCGTTCTCCGGTACCATCACGATGTCAGTGCCGCATCCGTTGGCCACCATGGCGCCAAAGACCGCATCTTCGTTGCGGTGACCCGTGTACTGGATCTTGTCGTCAATGCAGTCCAGGAGCCGGCGGTTGAACATGTAGAACTTGCCGTTGCCGTACCATGTGTTGTTCATGTTCAGGTTCTCGCCGTCCAGGTTGAGAATGAAGTCGCTGATGTACACGGGCTTCGGGTGTCGGTGGTACTTGTACATCAGCTCGCGGATATACGTTTTGTCAACAAACGCGTCGTCGTCCAGCTTAATAAAGAACTCGGTGCCACGGTACCGCTCCTTCAGCGCTTTTGTGAAGCAAATCGTCTTGCTGTCCAGCGTCTCCCATGTCGACTTCTGGTTGCATACTATCCGGCACCCATCGCCCTCGAAATCGCACACCGGATGCAAGTAGTCGTTCACCCACATGTTCCCGTAGAACTGCAGGTCGGTGTTTTCGTTGACAGGCATAACCACCGCCAGGTCGCGCTCATGGCCCATGTGGTCGTGTGCGCGCGGCGGCGGCGGGCGCCAGAAAGTGTCCAAGGAACCTATCTCCTCGTGTGCAAACATGATGGTGGTCACAATGGCCAGGAGAAGAATCACCAAGAGGACCGTCCGGCGGCTCGAGAAGATGGAAAGGACCATGGTTATCGGATAATAGATAGCGTGTATGTGGGAGTAGGAGGAGAAAATAGGTCGAAGAGAGAACTTTAATGGCGCATTATCAGAAAACTAAAAAGCGAATCTGTTGCTTTAGCAGAAAAGATTCCCAGATCCGCAAGCACTGGCTTGTTTGTTGAGCCAGGAGAAACGCATGATTCGCTGGAAAATCAGAACTGCCAACAGCGCCGATCGACACATGGTTCAGCAGGCCGGCCATGGCCACAACATGACGTTTGCTGCCACTCTCAGTGGGTTTTCAGTGCTGCTAGATCGATGAACTTGTTTTTGTTCTGGTAGGTTTTGTGCCAGATCTTTGCGTCGTCCTCCAGAACCCGTGTGACGCTCTTGCCGCATCCCCTATGCACCATGGACCCAAACACTGCATCTTCGTTCCGCCGTCCGCGGTAATCAATATCCGTGTCCATGCACTCCACCAGCTTGCGGTTGAACATGTAGAACTTGCCGTTGCCGTAGTAAGTCCCGTCTAAAACCGAGTTGCGGTGGTCCAGATTCAGGATGAAGTCGCTAATGTACAGCGGCTGCCGGTAGCCACGATACCTGCGCATAAGGTGGTGGATATAGTCTCGATCAACAAGGGCGTCGTCATCGAGCTTGATGAAAAACTCAGTGTCGCTGAAGCCCTGCTGGATCGCGCGCGAAAAACAAATGGTCTTCTTGTCTAGTGTCTGGTACGTCGAGCTCCGATTGCAAACAATGCTGCATCCAGGTCCGTCAAAATCGCAGACGGGGTGAAGGTAGTCCCCGACCCACATGTTGTGGTAGAATTGCATATCTGTGTTGTTTGTGACCGGCAATAGTATCGCCAGGCCGCTGAGCCCCTTGTCGGCGGCGTACATGCGTCGGTATGCGAATGAAAGCTGCTGGTACAGCAGTAGCGTTGTCGCCCATGTCAATCCAGCCAGAACTGCTAGTGCAAGCATCCGTGTGGTGAGCAGGTGTCGCTTCAAATGCACCATCAGTGGAAGAAAATAGGGGTAGTGGCAGGCTGAGGAAAGGACTGCATGCTGGATGTTTGCGAAGACGAGGGCCGCGACTATTTGGGTCCAGAATTGCTGGCTGGACATGACGGTGTGATGGCGTAACTACTATACCTGGACCATTGTTACCTGTCTGAAAAGGTGTGCGCTGGTGCATCCTCTCACGCCCCTTTGACATCGCCACCAAAAGGCTCCAAGATGCTTGTCGACAAGAGCGTCTTGGGGAGAGCATTATTTCCGAGTTCCGTATAAATTCTCAAACTGCTCGGTTTCCGTGGAGCAGCAATTCCATAAATAGTGGATACTTCTATAGTTTATCATACGTGCTGAGTCTGAAGCATGTGCAGGCACGCTATATTTTCCCCGGCCAGCCTCTGTACTCCGTGGCGCAATGGCTCAGTGCCTTGTTATTATGAACTGTTTTGCTCCCAGTGTGATGAAAATCCAGCCTATCGCAATGGGTGCCAAAAATTGCTCATTTGCGATTCTCGCATAATCACAAATGCGGGGCATTCGGCTTTGGTGCTGCTACAGCAAATCATTTTCGTTTGCAAGGCAAAATAGCCCGAAGCCTGTCTGACAAATAGGCCTCGCGTGCGCTATAAAAGTCCTCTGTAATCCCCTTTTCCTCCTCCGCTGTTCTCCAATATTCCTTTCTTTATGCTTGTCGCCGCCACCCGCCGTCTCGGACAACTAACCAGCATTTTTAAGCGCACCATGGCCACCCAGGACCTGACGATTCCGTCCGTTATCTCGACATCACGCGAAGGCACCCAGCTCGCGACCTTCGCCGCCGGCTGCTTCTGGTCAGTCGAGCTGGTGTTCCAGCGCAAGGACGGCGTTCTGCAGACCCAGGTCGGCTACACCGGCGGGCACGAGGGCAGCACCACGTACAAGGAGGTGTGCTCGGGCACCACCAACCACGCCGAGGCTGTGCGGCTTGAATTCGATCCCAAGGTCATCTCGTACGATACACTGCTGACGGCCTTCTGGAACAAGCACGACCCGACCCAGGGCAGCCGCCAGGGTGGCGATGTCGGCACTCAGTACCGGTCAGCTATCTTTTACCACACCGAGGAGCAGCGCAACCTGGCCGAGGCTAGCAAGGTGGAGCGCCAGAAGCTGTACGAGAACAAGATTACAACTGAGATCGTGCCGGCAGGCACCTTCTACGCTGCTGAGACATACCACCAGCGGTACCTCGAAAAGGGCGGCCAGTGTGCGTCCAAGGGCTGCTCTGACAACATCCGCTGCTACGGATAAGTGCATCTCCAGAAAAATATCTCCTTTGAATCACGTAAACTTCTGTCTAAATTGTCATTCTAAAAGCTTTAAACTACTACTAAGCGTATATGTAAAGGTTGTTGGCTGTGGGGCATGCATCGACGGTGCTGGGTGTTGGTGCATACCTCGAGTCCCTTGGAACAGCGAAATCTTGCACCCAGAATCCATTGGCAACCTGCACGCCCATGAATCGTATGTTTGGGTTGAGTATGTTGGCCAGATGTCCAGGCGACCTAGTCCACGCATCCATTATCGCATCTTCGCTATTAGCGCCGCCGCCGACATTCTCCAGGAACAGCACCGCCCAGTCGATCCCGAGTGCTGTCAGTCTGTCGCCGATTTCGCCGCTGCTGTCGGCATGTGTGATAACCTTGTATCTGGATTGGAAGAGCGCATGCCGCATGGCCAGCGAGAGCAGGCTTGAATGATACACCACTGGCTGCAGCCCATGGCTCATACGTAGGCGGTTAACTAGACATAGCATGGTTGCCATGTTGTACGAATTGACTGTCGCTGGATTTTGTGGATAGTATATGACTTCCTGGTCAGCCTGGCCTGGCCCAAGCCACGGAAAGTTGGGTATATACCTCGGAGCCTGGCTAGCGGGAATCGGTGCTGGGTAAGCAGCTCGAGTGTCAGCTTCGAATCCTGCGACAGCACTGGATGCACTGACCAGGGCTGCGAATATGAAACGTATATTCATCTACTTGCAATTGACAAGGTGTTTGCGTATCCGTGTATGTATAAAATGACTATAAGGATATAGGTAGAACAAGTCACGATCACCTTTTGTGTCAGATATAGCCGTTTTATTCTTTTCGCATCCTGTCAGTGCTGGAAATCTAGGATATGCAATATATTGAAATCATGGCGCACTGTTAAATGCACATACTTGAGCGCTGCGGTCGCGTAAAGTACTCGGCCTGTTGTAAACAATATCTTGGAAATGGGCAATGCAGACCTTGAAAGAAAGACAAAAGTCACTTCAATTAGCTACAAATCATGAAGTGTACTACATGTGATGTAAATGGGCATGGTCGATTTTATTCAGCGCACCTCCAAAATGGTCTGTTGTAGCCGTGCATATTCCCCCGCTTTCAAATAGAATTGACCTTACATCTGCATGCATCCTACCATTACTGAATGTATGTGTGCATACGTTAAGCCCACATCTTTGCACATATGTTTGAGTTCATTGCGTTATACATGCAAGGCTATTTTATTTTGAAGCATAACAATAAGAATATAGGAAGGAGCCATTGGCAAATCCCAGGTTTGTTTCATAAAGCTCATGCTCTGCGTGGAAAAGTGACCTTATGTATTTATGGTAACTGAGAAAATGAACTATGCGATATCTGCGACTAGCCGTTTGCTCCACAGACAATTCCCATCTTGTCGGCTATCTGTGGGCTGAGTGACCGTAATACTGCTTGAGCAACATGACTATTGACTATTACAGTGAAGCCAGCTTTTCTCGAGCCCCCAAATGCCGCTTCAATATCAGACAATCTGGGAAGGGTGCGTGTCCCGCCAGCGGTTGTACCAGATGCAGTGTCCAGTGTGTGGTTCCTGTATGCATTGTATTTCTTCAGCAGCCTTCCTTAAATCCAAAATCGTGCTCCCGAATATCAATCGCAGAGTATACTGGATTGTCAGCGCGTTTGCGGGACATTTCTGCTATGAGCTGGTGGCGGTTGTTGGTGATCGTCTTGAACCCGGGTCAGTGTACCCCACATCAGTAAGCTTCAGCAGGCTGACCTCAAAATTATCTTTGCTGGTGTTCAATTGAAAGTCGTAGATAGTCGCGGTGCAATTCCCAAGCGACTGGTTGTTCAGCATGTTTTGTTTCGCGTAGGTGATCCGATAGTAATTATCCTTGTAAAGATATCTATGAACTGTGCTGTTGCATGATATCTTGGCCATACCTTTTATCACAATGAGCTCAATATAGTAATACGTTGTATAATTTTCTGTCGAGGGTACTGTCTGGATGAGGGTGTGCCTCATCGTGGTGCTGTCTAGCAAGTCGTTGGAGTTAAAGGACAACTGGTTTTGACATGCCATCATGTATCTGAGCGTGCCTTTTTCGTGGAAATCGGCAAACTAGCCCCAACATCGCATCGACATACGTTTCCAAGTGCTCACCCACAACTTGGACGTGGCTGGATGCGTACAAAATTGAATCTGTTTTGTAGAATAGCTTTGTGTAATCTAGGAGCGCTGCAACCAAAATTTGTAGGCAGCCCTTCGGATTTCGAGTTGCTCATACCTGTGCATCAGCGTCAAATGGTGTTGCGAGCAGCTTTGGTCCTAACGGATTGATGGTGAAGGTGCGACCATCTGCAGTGTCTATGCCGTTTTAAAACTTGAAGCTGTCGTCTACAGAATTGCCGCACAGGCCAACAATTACATATGGAAAGAATTTGCTATCCAGTGTGATATATATGCCGGATCAAGCAGCGTGCTTAGCTGGCCCAAACTGGCCATATTTGCATAACAAGTGATACGTGGAGGGGCGTCCAGACAACAGCTGTTGCTGCTCCATACACAATCATCAAATCCAAGCCCAGACGACGCGCCAACCTTCGCAACTCGAAAACCATGCTAGCCCCGGAGAGCACAAACTGCGAAAGCTGAAAGGCGGAGAATGCCTCTGCCCCGGCCATTATTACTGTTATGATGATACTAGAAATACTTTGCTCGCGATGCGAGCTCGGCTGCTAGTCAGCATGGGTTGACACGTCGATAAGAGCATCACGGCGAACCGGTCATTTGAACGTGTCGGATGGTTGTTGGTGCAATGGCGATCACGGACATCTCCCATCTTGATGGCCTGCTCAGCGCAGGCGCTTCAGCGCTGGTTCGCTGCTGCTGGCAGCAGAATCGCCTGCTGCACGCCTCTTGCGCGGCCTCTTTGTTGCCAGGGTGGTGCCAGAAGCATTGGCAACAATGGCCGTAAAGCGACGGAACTGTTCAGGAATACTGCCTGAATCACAGAGTGACTGGAAAATGAGTCTGAAGTTTAGAACTGCTGCGAGATCGCGGTTCAAGAGCCGAGACGAATAGGCCCGCCTGTATTGTGCCATGGCCCGCTTACATGACTCGCTTGTACAGCGGAGAAGGCCATGGCACTTCACAGTTGGGTTCCTCGATCTCTGGTAGGGCCGCAGGTTGGGAACATACCGGAATGTCTGCTGCTGCAGCCGATGCACCAGCAAGTGAATCGGCCGCTACTGCTGCAGTTGCAGCAGTGGCCTCTGTTGCATCCGATTGAATCTTCGCTGCTTCGCGTGCAGCCTTCTTGGCCAACTTTTCGCCCTCTTCTGCTGCTTTCCTTGTCTTATATATAGGTAAAGACAAGTGCATTGCTGATGGCCATGATGACCTGGAACCGAAACTGAGATACAGTGGTGGCGGTCATCCATATGTATGAAAAAGGGAGAGTAGGCAAGTGAAAGAGATATTTGACGGCTCTGTTGTCTTCTAAGGGTACACTTTGTAAAAGAAAACTTCAGATATTTGTAGCAGCAGTACGCATGCATAGCCTGATGTAGTCCTTCTGTGATCTTCAGCTACTGGCTAACAGTCCAATTGGACGGCGTTTTAGTTTCGGCTTGAACCTTGTGGTGTATTGGACATCTGCCAGCCAGTCTATGAATAAATATAGAGATTATTGGGACTCGGGCATGCGTCAATTCTGCTTAGTGGCGGTACATATGTCGGATCCATTGGGGCAGCAAAGTCCTGCACCCAAAATCCATTGGTGACATGGACGCCAATGAATCGTATACTTGGATTGAGAATGTTGGCAAGATGGCCAGGCGATTTACTCCACGCGTCCATGATCGCATATTCATTGTCGGCACCGCCGCCGACATTCTCCAACAACAAAGCCCAGTCAAAACCTAGAGCTGTCACCCGCTCACCAATTTGACCGCCACTATCAGCATGTGTGATGACTCGATATCTTGCTTGAAAGCTGGCATGCCGTACAGCCAGTGTGAGTAGACTTTCATGGTAGACAACAGGATGTAGCCCATGGCCCGTGCGCAGACGGTTGACGAGGCACAGCATGTTTGCCATATTGTATGCATTCGCTGTCGAGGGATTCTGTGGGAAATAAATGACATCCGAGTCGCCTTGGCTGGGTTCGAGGTTCGGGAAGTTAGGTATGCCACTCGCGGCCACTCTGGCTTTAATACGAACTGGCTCTGATGCTGGAGACAGTGCCATAGACCCAGCACACAAGCTGGCTGCGGTTAATGTGAATAAAAAGCTAGTTTGTAGGTTCATTGTTTATGCTATATATGTAACAATGCACAGAAGTAAGGGAGAGGACGCCAAGGGCATGTGGAGATAGCATGCATATTTCACATAGCGATATGCTACGGTTATCTATCCTCATGCCCTCTTTGCACCTTCACACACTCTTGGATACTAAAAAAGGTACGCAGATGGCGCATTAGTAAATGCAAAGAGATGCGGAAACTACCTTTTGTGAAAAGAGCCTTGGACTGGGTTAACGGGAGCTTTAGAAGTATCTTTTACAGCATGTCAAGGAATTGTTAATAGCCGGGTCGAATCAAAAATATCATTACCATCATGGCCAGCTCACATTCAAATCGATAACAGCCACGTATATGTCTCCATTTCCAAGTGCATGAACTAATCCTCCATTGGTTAATGGCCACAGATTCATGCATTATGAATGTGTATGTGCATTTGTGTGTGTGTGGGGGGGGAGGCCAAATATACACTATTGCGAGTGCCAGCAAACAGGTAGAATGAAGCCAGTTGTTTATTATTTTGAACTTATCAAAGAATCTGTTGGAGATTGAAAATACACCGAGAAATTGGAATCTGTCATCAGGCTGGTAAAGCAATAGTCGGTGTGCGTAAGACCTATAAGCAAGTGATCACATCTGGGCGCTGCGGAGAAAATACACGCCTTCACGACCCAGTGCACAGTGGATCCTTGGTATCCTTGCAATCACGAGCACCCATAGTCTGGGCACCGCTCGCCATGATTGCAATCGCGAGAACAGCCAAGAGACTATATTTGAACATCATAGCTGTTTGTCTAGAACAGGATGAGAAAAGGCGAGTACACGATAGGAAGGGGATGAAAAAGGACAGGAATGAAGACTACAGCCTAGGTGAGAAAAAAAGCTGCCGCTTGCAAGATTTTGGAGCAGGCGGATTATATAGCAGCAGGCGAAGTGGGTTTGCGTTTTTCGGTAAACCAGCTTGTTTTTAATGACTAGCTTTTGCAATCGAACGATTGGAGGGCCGGTCCTGTTAGTTGGGTGGCAGATGTGTGCTGTTATTCGCAAGTATCGTGATTGATATTAAATGGCAGCGAGGACAAGATATGGAAGAGGCTAGGCCAAAGGCAATTGTAAATGAGAAGATTCCAGGAGGAAGCGGAAGGGGGGAGGGCATTTGGGAATGAGACCTCGTTTTATTGGAGTCGTCTTTTCCATATTCTACCTACAAAGACCGCGTCAAGACAAGGTCGTTTTTTGGGTGTACATTCGTGGCCAATATCAGTGTGGATTCTAGTGGTACACACAAAATACCGCCACACTTGTCCAGTGAATAAAGAGGTGCGGAAAAAGCACCATCGCCGCGGATACAGAATATCGATTCATATATTTTACTTGTACAAAGGTTGAAATGGGGCGGAAAGTGGTGGTTTAGCGAGAAAGGAGGTTAGAGGGAGAGAGAAGATATGCAAAATGTGTAGCTTTTTTGTTTTGTCTCGGCCGTGGGCTCAGTGGGAATACTGGGGGTGGTCGCGGAAGTCGTATACACCCACGCTGCCATCGTTGTCGCCAATGATGAAGCGTGTGTCGCTGATGGCCACGCAGTTGACAGCTGCCGCCGACGCCAGCAATGTGTGTAGGCATGCATGCGAGCTGGTGTCCCAGATCTTGACGGTACCGTCGTTGGATCCAGACACGATGCGCAGCGAGTCAAACGTCATAGACCAGATGCCCTCGACGTGGCCGAAGATCGTATCCAGGCACTCGCCGGTCTCAATATCCCAGACGCGCATCGTGCTGTCTAGCGAACCGGTGATCAAGAACGGCCGCTCGGAGACGGGCTCAGGTGCGCGGCTGCCCAGACGCGCCATCGATGACTGCTGGGCTTGCAGGCTGGATGGCATGCGTGTCGACAGCTGCAGCGACTGCACGTGGTGTGAGTGGCCGGTGTACGTGCGCACGCACCGGCGCTGGTCCAGGTCCCAGCGCTTCACCAGCATGTCGTCAGAGCACGAGAACAGAGTCGAGTCGCCGTACAGCTTTACAGAATTGACCCAGTCAGTATGGCCAGTCAGCGTGAAGCTGGTCATCTTCGCAATATTGTAGACACGGATGGTACCGTTCTCGCCGCCGGCGACCAGTGTGCCACCAGAGTAGTGGAGCGAGATGACCCCGCCGTTCTCAAACACGCGCAGGGTGCGGATGCATGTGCCGTCACGGTAGTTCCAGATCCGCACGGTCCCATCGAGCGACCCGCTGAACAGCTTGCACTCGTCGAATTCGAGCGCACGCACCGGCATTGTGTGGCCGCTGAGCTCGCTGACCATCTCAAAAGTCTCGGCGTCCCACACACGCACCTTGCTGTCATACGACCCGGTGATGACATACTCGTCGTTGAACTGCACGCACAGAATGCCGTCCGTGTGGGCCTGGATTCGGGACTCCTGGTACCGGAACCGGCGCCAGTTGTTGGCGATTATTTGGCGCTCGGCGAAAATCTCCTTCCATGGCCGCCGCTTATGGCGCATGCTGCCAGACCTCGACGTGCTGCAGTCGTTGGTGCTGCTGCAGTCGCTGACATTGCCGCTCTCCGAATCTGCCGGCTCATGCACAAATGCAGCACGGCGTGAGATACTGCCCAGTGGCTGCGATCCTGTGCTATTGCTGCTGCTGCCGCCGTCAGCAAGCGCCTGCGGTCCTTGCATGAACTCGATGGTGTTTTGCGGTGCGCACACGCTGCTGACAAGCGACACGTCCAAGTCCGAGCTGTTGATTAGCGACGAAACCGGGATCATCTGCTGGCGCTCGGAACTGACTCGGCGACGATGACGACTCGCCAGCTGGCTGATAGCTGAGGATTTGCGAGGCCGGCTCGATCGCCACGTTGTTCGTGGGCAGCGCAAAAGTGTAGTTGGGGTTGAATTTCCCGCTGGCTGGTGTCGCCGCGCCATTTGTGCTGCTGGCCGCAATCCGAAGCGCCTTGTTGTGGCCACGCACATCTATCGCGTTGCTTGACGCCAGCCGCATGGCGCGCCGCGCTGTGGCCTCGTAGACGCGACGGCTGGACTTGTCAAGCAGCGGCAGGCCCCAGCCGCACTTTTTGCATACTTTGTCGATGTGCTGGGCACACATGCGGTGCCACAGAAATGTCATCGTTGGCCAGCGACGCCCATGTGCGCGACACCTGGGCGGCCTGGCACAGCGACTGCGCGTCCAGGTACGACAGAATCTTCAGCGAGACGTCTGGCGGCGCTGCTGCCAAAAAGTCCACTCGCAGCTGCTGGGGCACAACCTTGTTGAGATACGAGAGCTGTGGGATGCAGCACAGGATTGACAATCCCCTGAAGGATAAGCAGCCGCCGCTCGGCCGGCTCTGACGCAAAGTTGCTCCATATTCCACTGATCTTCTCCTGCTCGGCCGACGGCAAAGCGCGCAGCGACGCCTGCAGCTGCCGCTGTGTGTTGTCGCACTCTGCCAGGTAAACCTGTGTGGAGTGCCGGTAGCACTTGCCGCCAAAGGCGGGGTACCGCCGCAGCGCCAGTAGGTCCAGCTCCCGAACCGAGCTGCCTGAGACGAACTCGGCAAAGTTGCGCTTCCGCCCAGCTGTGGAGGACGGGCTGGCGCTGCCATCGCGCTCAGACCCACCCTGCTCTGCTGCTGTAGTTGTTGCTGCTGTGTCCGCGTGACTATCGGCACGGATATGCTGCTGGGCGTCGGCTGCTATGTAGCCTGTGGTAGCGGGAGAGAAGGTCGACAGCGTCGAGCTCATTTTGTCTGCCAGTGTATCAACGTGCTGCTGTGCTGAGTTTGGGGTGGAGGAAGGGGCAAGAGGCGAATCGGAATTAGGTCTCGAAGGGTCTATAGTCATTCTTACAGGAAATTAAAAGAAAGGAAAGCGGGGCAGGGGCGGCGGGCAGGTGTGCTGTCTTAATATATGCGCGGCGTTCAGTGAAGGGGAGAGCAAACAAAGAAGGCTGGAAAGTAGGCTAGTGCGTGCAAGTATTGCGTGCTTGGAAGCGGCATAGAGAGGCCAAAAAATTTCTGTGCCAGAGGGCAGAAAGAGGACAAAATCAGCTTGTGAGCGCACCGCGGTCCCTTTCTGGTGGGGGTTCGCCGCCTCTGCATGGAATCCCCCTGCCAATCATCGCTCGCTGATCGTGCAATTTTCGCAAACGATGGCGAAATGCCAGGGTTCGCAGGCTGGCGTAGCGGTGGGTGGTCGCAACCCACCCCTCCGCTCTCTCCTGCCCCCGCCGCCGATGCAAGGATGGAGACGCGCTGCGAATCCTGCGCGCTAGTATCCCTGTCGCATATAAGCCCAGTCAATATCTTGTTTCCTCATTCGTGCTGGAATGTCACCATTTTTATTTGTTATTCACTTGCGCGTAACAAGAACCAGGCGGATCTCTGCCGTCGCATTCGGATGGCACAGCGACTCCATTTTGGAGTCGGTCAGGTCCATGACTGACTTGCCCAGCACACCCGTGTCGTCTACATTGGATATTTTTGATTTATAAGCGGGCTCGTGGGCACGTCACTGCGACATGGAATGTGCATGTGGGATGTGTGGTGCATCACCTGGTCTCGCTCTGCGCCTTTCTCATCCACCCATTCTGCATGTTCCACACACTTACCAATAAGCTTGAGAAACAGGTCGAATGTCTCCTCATTCCTAATAGTCGCCGTAATATACGCAACTTGCTGCGACGATACGAGTATTTCCTCGAGTGCTCCAACCAACATCGGCACAATCGTTGGGTCATATGTCTACAGCGAAAAGCGCAACATGTAAACACGCCTCTTACTTTGCCGCTGACGTAGTGTGGGGTACTTACGATATCTGCGCCAATAATGACATCAACGCCGTTAGACAGCTTCGCGCAGTCGTTTGTGTTTTGCCAATCAAGCTCCGCAATCTGAAGCCTGTCCTTGTACGTAGGGTCTACATGTCATGTGTTTAGTATCCACGCGCAGAGATAGCCGAAGCGATAAGAGGCCCCCGCCCCCAACTGTCTTTGTGTGGCTTCTTTCTCAACAAAAACACATTCCGGCATGCACTTACTCTGCGCCTTGTTGCTTTCAAGCAGCTTCAATACGTCCCCATTACAGTCCGTCGACATGACATGCGTCGCTCCCAACGCCGCACATGTGAATCCTATACAGAAAGCCATGTTTGTTTATCTTTTTCGTTCTTTTTCTCATGGAATGGCGCAATCGTCATATCTGGATGGCGAAATCCTGTACTGCAATGTGCAAGAAAGCTCATGTCTCTTACCTGCCAATCCACACCCAGCGCCGAGCTCGAGCACATGCATTCCTCGCACAATGTCTATGAGTGGAGGGGAACAACCAGTTTGTCAACACCATGAAGCCAGTTTGGGCGAACATCCGCTGATGGCATATGCGTCCTGTTCTCTGCACATTACCTGGGTGCTCGACAAAGAAATCCGCCAGCCGCAGGCTCGCCTCCCACGACTGCAGCCCCGTTGTTCCCTGCGAAATCATCATCTGCTCCTCCTTCAGCACAATCCTCGTGTACTGCTCCTCATCCAGCGCATATGTCTTGTAGCAGAACCCCGAGACCATGGGCGACATGTCCGTAGTCGCCGCCAACGACACATAAAACTCCATCAGCTCGTCATTTAGCTCATAGTGGTCGAGGCTTTCGATCCTGGCGACGTAGTTTTTCAGAAACAGTGCAATGTACTTGTTGGACGGGCTGTACGTGGTCGTGTGCTCGTGGAATATGATGCTTTTCATGACTTCGCCCTGGATCCGCATGCACGCCAGCAGTGGGATGTTTTCGTTGGTTTCGTAGTCGAGTGTGCGCCAGTCGCCCCACATGAAGGAGCGCATTGGGATCATCTGCCAAAACTGCTTGCGCAGGCTCGATACAAGCACGTCGTGGTAGTGGTAGGTCGCACTTTTGCAAATTACGCACGTCTGGTCCATGGCTTGGCTAGCTGGAAGTCTATGACTGAGATAAGCGTGTACAAATAGCTTGGCTAGTCTGCAGACACCGGCAGCCCAGACCGGTTTGGTCTACACCAATCGGTGTTATATACCCTTGTGGGAGATCAGAGCAAAAATGCCCATCTGCCGCTCTGCTAATATAGACGAAGGATTTAGCAGAGTGTGGTTAATAGGGGTGATCGTGACAATCTGTGCTATATGCAAATGCGCATAGTGCCAAACAGCGGGTATTGCAGTGCTGTCGCGCATATTAGATGTCCAGCACACACAGTGTAAATTGCTGGAGATTTGTGATTTCATTGATTGGCTAAATAGTGTTTGCTGTGCATTTTTAACGCTGAGCAGGACTAGTACCCCGGCCTTAACAGCGGCTATACATCCATTTTCATATTTACGTAATTACAAGGTTTGGAAATACCCTCCACGCGGGAAGAAGCGGCATGTCTTGCCACCAAATCAGCGCTGCTTCGCTAGTGGGGCGGAAGGCCAGGGGTGCAGGGCATTGGCGGTGCAATAAGACGGCCGAGCCTGGATAGCGGGCTGTGACGGGGCGACACGTACCAGACCATCGGGCCGGTCCCAGCATGGGTTTCAGTTATCGGGCGCATCGTATAAATGGCTACACAAAGCAGTGCATAGTATTGTGAAAAATAAGTTGATAGAGAAGAGAGGAAATGGTCGCCAATGCACCACCATAAAACCATGCTCCGTTTGCTGCCTCCCTCATCCGCGAACGGTCACCAGACAGTCATTGTCGCCAGCATGTTCGGAAACGACACAGGCGTGCAGCAGGGATTGCCAGCGTATACATGGCAGCCTCATTGCCTCGGCTCACTTTACACTGCTTGTTGTCTCAGCGACATGTATCACTTGCAGTGCCATTTCTCAAAAATGTCAAGTTGGAAACAGCAATGCCATGAAGGGTCGGGTTAGGGTGATATTTTATTTGCTTCGTTTGAAGGCCGCAGGTAATGTCTGGAAAGGTCTACATCACACATGCAACCCCGCAGGCAATGTCCCTTGCATGTGTCCAGCAACATCATGGTACGGTACGGCATGCCGCTCAGTAGTCATCGTCGCTGTCATAGTAGAAATCATCGTCCTCATCGTCACCGAGCTGGGTGACATCGAGCTGCCAGCGCAGCATGCCGCCCATACCACCAAAGCCCTTGACAAACTGGGAACCTTCGGGCGACCGGTCAGTGATAAACTCGAGCGCAGCACCCTTCTGCTTGTACACCTCGGCCAGCCACTCAAGCAGCGGCTCCTTCTTAATGACCTCCATCTCAGCGCCTGTGGTCTTGTCGGCATAGTTCGACTTGTCTTCCTCCTGGATCGGGTTCAGGAACTTCTCGACCTCGCCGCCCTCAGAGTCCCGGAACACATAGCGGTTGGTGTCCAGGTTCTCCCACACGATCAGGGTCTCGACGGCGCCCATGTCCAGAGCCTTGAGCGTATCGTCAATACCATACACAACCTTGCCCGAGTCCCGCGAGATCTCGTCAAAGTACTTGTCAATGAGCTTCTTCTCCTGGATGAACTTGACGTTGGCCAGGTATTCCTGCGACAGACCGATAGCCTGGTCGAAGCCGTTCTCACCGCCATACGAGACATCGACAATCTTCACCACCTTCTCCAGCAGACGCGGATCGAACAAATCAGACTTGTGCAGGTCGGACTTGAAGTCGGCCGAACCAGCAAGAATCAGGCCAGCAACGTTGACCTTGTCGTTGGTAATGAACATCTGCACAGCAGTTTCAGCGACCTTGCGCACATAGTTGTGGCGCTTCTCGTCACGCAGACGCGAGAAACGCAGCGCAGACTGACCGCCTCGGCCGTGCTTCTTGGGAAGCTCGACCGTGAACTTGTGCAGCACCTCGCGGTTGCTTCCACACAGCGATCCAAACAGCGTGCCGTTACCGTCCATGACAATGAATCCGAACCGCGCGTCCGTCTCCAACAGCTCTGCCAGCGCCTCGACGTGGAACTTGTTGTCGCACATGTACAGCGACGTGTTCACAGGCTTGAATGGCTCAAAGTCAATGTTCACCTTCTTCTCCTTTCCCTCCTCGGTCATGATCGTACCGCAGTACACAACAAGGCCGTTCGGCGGGCACCGCGTGTACAGCTTCAGGCGCTGCTGCGTCGATGTAATCGCTGACAGAACGGACAGGCGGTTCACGCGCGACTTAATGTTGGAGGCTGTTCCGTACTCGTTGGCCAGCATGCCGTTGGTCTGCGCCAGCTGCGTCTTGGGCGGCAGAACCAGGGAAATCATAGAGGTGCCGTTTCTAAAGAAAGTCAAGGTCGAAATCCAGCGGAGGTGTTTAGCTACCGAGTCCGCCCCCAACAGCCGCCCATGGCTAATGCTCCACGCACACTTGAACTTACCCGCGCGCCGCCTCCAGGCTCTTAATGAGCTTCTTCATCTTCCACAGCTCGACCTGCTGATCAACCTCGTTGGTGCTCATGATTTCCTATGAATTTCTGCTCGTTCGGCAAAACTATGTAAAAACTGGAAAAGAGGCGTATGAATCCTGCCACGCGAGAAAATGAGCAAAAAGCAGGCTGAAAATATAACTTTCCCTAGTGTATGAATGGAGCTAGAAGCGAGGAAAAGAAGGGGCAGGACTTGCAGGCTCTTGATCCCTGCGCTGTGGGCCAGCAGCCGCAGTGGGTGGCCATGGCTACCCAGTACTGAAAAAAATTTTCGCCCTCCAAAGAGTTGTTGGGACAAGGCCAATCACGCTGCCTGATGTCACAATGAAGTAAAGCCCGTAGGAAATACCCGGTTTGCAGACACGCACGCGCACCAAGGGCAGCCTGGCACACGCCATGTTGGTAGCGGCAGCGGCAGCAGCAGCACTGAATCGCTTCTCTGCTCCAGCCAGCTGGTGCTTTGAGGTGGGACGGGCTGGATCTGGGACTTTTATTTATTTGGATCCGGTGCCAGTCCCAAGGTAATCTGATTCGGAAGCCACAATCACGATCACTGCAGATCGATCACGCCCTGATCCAGACCCGGCTGGCTGTGTATCTCGCGCTGGGCATTTCTGGAGATTATCTCGACAGAGCGGGAGATAGTTTGGCTGCTAGAGCTGAATGCGCACGCTGTTATTGTCTGTTTTCCGGCTCTCAATCTTTGACGCCCTTTCAAATTTGCCCTCTATTGTATAACCTGCAACGGAAATAATGCTGTCGTCCGTTCGTGCACTTCGCAATGCTTCGGCCCGTGCCAGCAGTAAGTTGTCTCAGCGAGTGGAGAATGCAAACGAGCCAGCAAAAGGACAGGGGAATGAAGGATCAGTAGCAGCGACCTCTAAATTACACACCAACCTTGGTGGCACACTATCTGCTATGTAGCTCTGGCTGCTGCGCGCACTGCCCCGGCCTCATACATCCACACCTCGCGCTTTGTCAGGGACGAAGGTAAGCATTGATAGGGCAGTCACACCGTTCTGGGCACATTGTGTATCATCCTTCGCCCACAAGCCCACATCTAATTCATCAAGACCCCCGTAGACCACGTAAAGAAGCTCGAGGAGGCCGACCCCGCTAAGCGCGAATCCGATGCCTCGCTGTACGAGTTTGGCAAGTACGTCTCCAGCGTTCTCCCGAAATACGTGCAGCAGTTCTCGGTGTGGAAGGACGAGCTGGTGATCTACACGGCGCCCTCGGGCCTTCTGCAGGTCGTCGAGTTCCTGCGGGACCACACGAATGCGCAGTTCAAGCAGCTCTCTGACTCGACGGGTGCCGACTACCCGACGAAGCCGAATCGCTTCGAGGTGATCCACAACCTCATCTCGTACCGTTACAACACGCGCATCCGCGTCAAGACGTACGCCGACGAGGCTGCGCCTGTGCCCTCGCTCGCCCCCCTGCACAAGTCTGCTGTCTGGGGCGAGCGCGAGGTCTGGGACATGTACGGCATCTTCTTCACGGGTCACCCGGATCTCCGCCGCATCCTGACTGACTATGGCTTTGAGGGCCACCCGCTGCGCAAGGACTTCCCGATCCACGGCTACACCGAGGTGCGCTACGATGAGGAGAAGAAGCGTGTGGTGTCGGAGCCCATCGAGCTTGCCCAGGCTTTCCGTAACTGGGACTACTCGTCTGCCTGGGAGCAGACTGGCGATGGTCGCGACAGCGCCCCCAAGGGCTTCGAGAAGCTGCCCAAGGCCGAGTAACCGCTTTCCTACACAAAACAGTTTTTCCTACAGCCTTCGTTCCTTATATACTTTTCCTCTACATCCTGTCACCAACGAACCTGCTAGAGCACGCGCACAGAGCATGGGCACGGTGGGGCTGGCAGTCGTACGGTCCACAGGTCCAGCTGGGCTGTGACGCCGCACAATCGCTTTGTTTTTCTTGGCTTCCAATATTTTTATTTTCGACATGGACGGGTTTGCATTTCAATTCGAGGCTGATGCCGCCGAAGCTGAGGGCTACACACCCGAGAAGTCTGCTCCCAGCACTCCGCGCAACGAAGCAGCCAAAGATAGCGCTGCTAACGACAGCACAGCCAAGCAAAGCCCAAGCGCTGAGGGCGAACTTGCTCCCAAGCCAACCACTAGCAATGAGGGTGCAGCGAAACAGGACACGCTGCCCTCGTTTGGCTCCATGTTTGGCTTCGCTGCCAGCTGGGGCAAAAAACTGCAAGCCGACCTCCAAATCGACCAGTTTGTCGACAGTGTCAAGAAGCAATCCGAGGAGGTGACCAAAGCGTACAAGCAGGATATCTCGGAATTTGCCCAGGCAGTCAAGGTTGGTGCCACGCGCGGCATGGACGAGCTTTCGACGCGGTTCGCGCATATGAAGACCGGACTTGAGACGGAGCTCAACGCCAGCGACACACCAGCGGCTGAAGGCGAGTCTCGCGAGATCGAGGTGCAGCAAGAGAGCACGGGCTTGTTCCAAGGCATGGGCAGGCATTTCCAGATTGACTCGCTAAAGCAGCGCCAGGAGAAGGCGAAGCGGCTGATGAGCAAGCTTGGCACTGATCTTGAGGACCTGCTGCGCGACGCCATTGTGATTGAGGCTCCTGGCAGCGGGACCACGGAGGAGCAGCGCAAGGCAGCGCGTAAGATTATCTACGACCGACGCATGGCTCAGCTGGCGGCGGTGCAGGAGAACGAAGACACCTATCTGGTCAACCCGAGCACAACGGACATCTCAATTCCTGGAGGCGTGCCAAAGAGCGACAAGGACGGCGATGAGAAGGCCGGCTCGGATTTCGAGGAGTTCATAAAGACATTCAAGCTTGAGGACAGCAAGGACAAGGTGACCGAGCTTCTTAAGGATGGATCAGCAGTTGCGGAGATGCACAAGACGCTGGTGCCCGATAGGGTCGCCGAAGAGGACTTCTGGACTCGCTATTTCTTCAATGCTTGGTTGATTGACCAGGCCGAGCTTCGCCGGAAGAAGCTTGTTGAAGCCGCTGTTGCTGCGACTGAGGAGGAGGAATTCAGCTGGGATATGGAGGGCGAGTCTGATTCTGAAGATAAGACTGGCGATGAAAAGCAGGATACGGCTGAAGCTGTTGAGCCGGCGAAGGAAAAGGATATGGATGTGAAGGAGAAGGAGGAGGAGAAGGAGGAGAAGAAGGATGACAATGAGGATAATGATGTCAAGATCGGCAAGAGCAAGGCTGCCGATATCGAGGAAAAGGAACCAAAGGCTCGTGAGGAAGAGGATGACGATGCCTGGGACGAGTGGGAATGAGTATATGCATATTTAATAAACGACATGCGTATGTGCCAAATATCCCTGTGCTCTGGACGGGCCATATGCTACTTTGGATGCTTCTCATCAACATCTGGTTTCGATAAAGAATGGTGTGATGCTGAGATACACAGGTGCCATTGGTGATATGATGCAGTGTATGCTGCCAACCACTCTCATATATGGCTGCTTCTTCAGTCATCGCAAAGATGTATTTGAAGACTAAATTGTAGCATATCTGAACTGGTATACAGGCTAGTGCCCACCCTCATGTTGGCTATAGGAACCTGAAGCGTCAGATATCAATTGGCCCATTAGATCTTTTCCTAGCCCTTTTCTTGCACACATTATTCATAATCCTGACATCCCAGTATCGTCAAGCCCAACGTCACCATGAACAACCCCATATACACGGATGCATATATGCCAACTGTAACGGCCACATCATAACTTTTTTCCTGAGCAATTATGATAATTGATGACTTTCACAGGGGAATGGGAGTTAGCGGGCTTGTAAGGAATCAGTCAACCTGAAATGGTGCTTGGTGTAGCCATATCCAGCCGACAGATTCACGCTCTCACGTTCAAGCGACATACACTGTGTCTGTCATTCCACCCATGCTTCTCGTACAATGATGAGTACAGGTCAATATAGCAGTAGCACACACATGTAGAGGCTCAGCGAACGAGTAGGGAAGATAAAACACGTTGAAATGAGATACGAGAACGATGAATGTCTAGTAGATCTTCTTGTACTTGCAGTAGTCATGCTGGTCCAGTACAGCAAGCGAAGCACCCAGGCACCAGCCGGTTTCGGCGTCCTTGATCTTGCGGGTGCTGCGGACAACGCGGTTCTCGGGCATGCCAACGCCATCGCGCAGCAGTGCATACTGGAAAGACAGGTCCAGACAGTAGTCCTCCTTCTTGATCTCCTCCTGCTCCTTGTCAGCAAACAGCGAAAGATTGTGCTTGCAGACCTTGTCGGCCAGGGCCTTGATGTCGGAGAGCTTGAACTCGTCGCGTACGCCCAGCGGGTATGTGCGGTCGTAGAAGTACGAGAAAATGTAGAACGGGTTGTTAATAAAGGTCTTGTCAAGCTCCGGCTGGTACACGCCGTTGAAGGAGCACGGCGACTGGGAGCATGGCGCGTCCTTCTTCAGGATCTTCTTGACCTCCTTGTAGCACTGATCGTATGCAGACTTGCCCTTCAGCGACGCCTTGGAAATACCGCGGATGGTGACCGGGCTGGTGCTGCCCTCGACCGAGAGCTCCTCACGGTAATCGGGCGGGAAGCACGGGTGCTCGACCGAGAACTTGCCGCTGGCTGAGGCCTCCTGGGCAATCAGCTTTTTGATGCTCTTGCGGGCCTCCATCATGCCGTAGCCCAGATACGAGTGCTGATAGAGCGTGTACTCCTGTCCGCCGTACTTCATCTCGTACCGGTGCTCGCCGGGCGCCAGCTGCGGGCCACCGGTCGTGCTGTTCCAGTTCTCGAACCGCGGCTCAAATACAATCTGCGTCGAGCCGCCGCCCAGGTCAAAGGTGGCAGCGGTCTTGTGGTCCTCGTCGCCCAGCACGCCCAAGAGGTAGTTCACTGTGATCCACGCGTAGATGCCCTCGTCCTTGCCGTCCATGATCTCGACAGGGCTCTCGGGGATCAGCTTGAACGGGTAGTCCTTGCTCAGATGGCTCTCGACGGCCTTCAGAATGCCCTCGCTCTTCTCAGCACCCAGCATGCGCAGACCAGCAGTGGCCTTGACGGCGATCGGCGTGCACGAGCGCAGGCTCTCGGGAACACCCTTCATGGCGACGTCCATCAGATGGTCCAGGCTATGGGCGGCACCGTTAGGGTCATCGGGGAACGACGACAGACCGGGCTTCAGCTGCTCAAAGATCTCGTCCTCAAGCTCGGGGTGATTCTTGCAGTAGTTGAACTTGTACACATGGATGCGCGAGCCAGTCGACCCAGCGTCCAACATCAGCACATACTGCACCAGCGGGCGGCCCGGGTGCGGGATATCGCAGTGCAGCGACTGCAAACGCGAATCAACACCGCTGTACATGTCCGAGTCCGTGGCACCGGACGATGACCGCAGCGTGGCAATGCCAAGGTATCCTAGACCGAGAATAAAAATGACCAGACCCGCCAGGCGCAGCCAGGTCTTGGCGGCAATTTTCCGGTACTTGTTCGGGTACTGGCCCAGACCGGTGTAGCTGTTGGTGCTAAACAGCCCGCCGACGGAGCTGAGGGCGTCGCGGAACATGCTTGGCTCGGTGTCGCGGCGGTACTTTTGGCTTGTGTCCGTGCGCTGTGCTTGAGGTGCTAGCTCGATGTCGCTGCCAGGCGCGAGATTAATCTGGTAGGCGATGCGGCTCTTGCCGGTCTGCGGGGTGCTGCTGCCGGAAATTGGTGTTTGGCGTGAAGATGAGGAATTCGACGGAACCAAGGTTGGTGTCGAACTGGCACTGTCCCAGGAAGACTGTGTGTTGCTTTGTGTGTTGCGGCGTTGAACTCTGCTTCTGTCTGAGCCGCCAAATGCACGCGAGGTCATAAAGTAAAGGGCACTGAAGGAAAGGGAGAGTAACAGAGAGAAAGGTGGATGAGACTGCAAGAAAAGAAATTGCGAAATGCGGCAGGCAGAGGCTATTTATGAGGCAAGCGAGGATGTAAAGCAGGAAAAAGCCATTTTGCTCTATTTTCTGGACCTGTGTTCCTATTTCGGGATCACCAGTGTGGGGCTCGCATTCCGATTCTGCTTGTTGCGCGCTGGTTTTACCAATCAGCCGTTGTGCGCTTCAGCAGCTCTCGACGCCTCCCCCAACAAGGTGTGGCAACGGCAGCGCTTCGACTGTGTTTGCGGTGTGGGGCAACCGGGGTGAGCAACGATAAACAAAAGGCTGCCAGTCTGCCGGAAAAGCAAATGCCGGTCCAGGCTTTGATAACTGGCTGGTAGTACCATACTTTTTGCACCAATACCAGTGGCGCAAAAGGGCTCCAGCCGACAAAAAAGCCACGGCTGGCCCTATGTAACAAACACTCTATTTCCACCCCAAAAGCAAAAAAAGATGGCAGACGAGCAAGACCAGCAGCAGCGCGGCGTGCAGGCATTCGAGCGCCTGGTCAAGGGCGACGACCAGACAGTGACACATAGCACCTGCCGCAAGTGCGGTGGCATGGGCCATCTCACATACGAGTGCAAGAACGACATCAAGGTAAAGCCCCGGGCGTCGGCCGCAAAGAAAGACCCGTTCGCTGACGAAAAGGCCAAGCTGCGCGCCCGCATTGCCGAGCTCGAGGACCGTGCGCGTAGTCGCGCCAGGCGCAGAGAAGAGGAGGAAAGGCGTCGCCACAGACACCGTAGCAGACGCCGCCGGTCGTCGTACAGCGACAGCAGGTCGTCGGGAAGCGAGAGCAGCAGTGCATCGGAGTCTAGTGGCAGCGAGTCGTCGGACTACAGCAGGCGGAGAAGGCGCCATAGAAACCGTCGGCATCGTCGGCCTAGCCGTTCACGCAGCCCCGTCTCACGCAAGGCTGATGATTCGTCAAACGAGTCCTCCGATGGCAGTGGCAGCAGCAGCAGATCGCGCTCTCCTGTATCCCCGAGACGGAAGAATTGACAGCAACTAGTTTCCACAGACCACAATCCAGTAGTAACAGGGAAGGTTTTCTGGCTGCGTGCCAAACCGCCATTTCTAAATACTATTTCTGGATATACCCACACAAGCATTGCGCCGATAAAATTATACAAATAGATGCCACTTCACTTTGCTCTACTTGCACCTATTTTCGTTTCAATGCATTACGTAGTAGAGGGTCGCTCGGAGAATAAAACACTTCAGCCAACCTCCATTCTCAGAGCATGTGGAAGTAGCGGGGAGCACTGCAGCCTCGATCTATGCTGGGGAAATCATTAGGGTTGTCATACATGGAAATCAGCGCGCTGCCGCGACTCACCTTGGGTTGTCAGCATGCCGTGGGGTCTGATGTCCTTGCATGTTCTAAAATAAAAGCCTGTCAAGCCTCTAGACATCGTAGTGCAAGCTATTCCTGGACCAGTCTTGCGCAACGAGCACAGAATCCCTGGCATAAAAGGGCTGCGATCTGGGACATGCTCCTCACATTCCAGCACCACTACCAGCAGATACATTCCAGCATCGACACCAAAGGAACAGCCAACTTCTCCAAAGAACCTAGAATGAAGGCCGCTATCATCGCCACCACTCTCCTCGCCTTGGCCGCACCCCTCGCTGCTGCCGTCAACCCCAAGACCTACGGGCCAGTCGCTGCCTTCAAAGACTCCTGGATCTCAGTCGCCCCTATTGAGTCTGCCAAACCCCACGGCTCCGAGCCTGTGCTGAAGGCAAGCACCGAAAAGTTCGCACTCCTCGGCTTCACTCTTCCCTCGGAGGCTACGCAGGCACCCAACCGCCTTCTGAGCTGCGAACTGACGCTGCCGCCATTCAACACTCCTGTCCCGCCCCTGAACATCACGCTCCAGGTCGCTGTCGCCAATACCTGGGACGAGGCTACGGTCAATGGTGACAACAGGCCAGGGCTCTTGGGCGATGAGTTCACGTTCTACGTCGAGGACACGAAGCAGCCGATCAAGATCGATGCCACTGAGCAGTGCAAGATTGCGGCAGGCAAGGGAACCGGGTTCTCGCTTTTTGTGGGCAGTCCCAAGGCGCCGTATGAGTTCAAGTCGCGCGAGACTGGCATGGGTGCAACGCTCGTCGCGACTGTCAGTAGCTGGGCGTGAAAACTGGATCTCTCAACGACTATAGATAGTGTACATGTTTCGTTCGTATATAAGTAAAAATTGCACCAACCACATGCATATTATGTCTGCGCTTCAAAGGCAAATAGCATTGAGAATGTGTTAGTTATTCGTGGTTTGCTCTCTATTCTGGAGTTTGAACGGGGCTTTAATTTGAGCAACAGAAAATGAAGGAAAGGGAGAGAAGAAAAGGGCGCGTGGCATGTAGGAATGTCCTGGCCATGGCGCGCTGCATCGTCGACTCGATGCAAAACGCACCGCATCACCATGCACAGCCATTGTCAGGTTCAAATGTCAGGCCCATTATCAGGTGCCTGATCCAGGATATCAACACCATCTTCACTATTGCTATCGATACCCGCGCCAGCCAAGAAGCAACAAATGTGTGATGTGTGTATTATAGAGGGTTTATGCTATATGTAAAGGCCACAATGCCAGACGCTACTCAGCCTTGGCCTTTGTGCTTGACTCTTCGACAACTCTCGCCAGGGCGCTCAGCATCGATGCAGCAGCCAACCACAGGCGTCCCGAGAAATGCGTCTTTTTGTCCAGCTGCACAGCCCATGCAAGCACATGCTGTCCTGCAGCCACCACATGCTCGTGGACTTTGAGCTGTACCCCGAGTCCGTACGCCCATGCGGCGAGCTGCAAGATCAGGTGGCCCAGCATCTCGGGGAGCTGCGAGTTCTTGAACTGCACGGCAGCCCATACAAACACGTTGCCCAGGAACACGAGCCACATAACCATCGCCTGGTTGAATAGACTCATGGCAGTAGCCAGAGTAGATGCCAGCGAGGCTTTCAAGCTGTCCGACAGAGCAGAGTCGCTTGCCTGCAGTTGGGCCTGCGCTGCATTATCAGTGCGCTGCTCAACTACTGTGGGCTCGCTGGCTAAAAGCTTGGCAAACTGCGGGTTATGCGATGGATCCAGATGGCAGCTCGACTCGAGCAGCAATTTCAGCGTTGTCAGCCTTTCACGTGTATTCACGTTCTCAATGCGGCCAATGTCCTGCAGTGCCAAAGCCATGCGCTCAAGCGCAGCAACGAATAGGTCAGAGGCCGCATGTGTATTGCCTGCGCGGTCCTCCTGCCGGGCGCGCACCGCCAGCGCAATGGCCACATCGACCTGCGCCGAGTTGATCAGTGGCGGCTGCTGCATCTGGTACTGCAGCAGAGCGAGGTTGGTGGCAGAGTCCTCGGAGGCGTTGGACAGGGTGCGTGGACGCCCGGTGTAGAGCGTGGTGTCGTCGGAGATGGATGGCTCGTAGTCGTCGGGCTGTGTGGTGGGCTTTTCGGAATGCGCGATCTTGGACAGCCAGCGCTTGACGCGAATATACCCCCTGTCGCCGTCGACTAGGCGGTTGGCTAGAGTGGACGCCATTACAAACGAGGAGGCCATGTTTGGGGAAAAAATGAGCAGATGGAGTAGAATAGAGGGCTGTGTATGAATGGAGAAGAGAAAAAGTTCATGTAACTGTTGACGTAGAAGTGCTGTTGAGGCTGGGGAGTTTTTCAAAGAACACACTCGGGCTTTTGCAGGCGAATGCGAGGCAGCAACAAAAATATTTTTAGGCTTTCACGTGTCTTTCAGCATCCCAGAGAGTGGAGGCTAGCCTGCGTTGAATCAGCGTGGATTCAAGTGTCACCTTGAATTCGACACACGATCTGCGTGCTGTTGTTGGGGGCGGGTAGAAGGGATGATGACAGCACGTTCTACGGGATGTTCCGCAGATATATTGCTGATTGTGCAAGGGTATGTCGTGTGTCTGGGAGAATACCGCACGATGTTATATCTGTCGATCATCTTGCATTAATCGGTAGCCAGACACAAAAAAGTCATCACAGTTGGGTGGACCGCATAGGCAGATGCCTCGCAGGCTGATTACGGTGCCAATGAAAGACTCACGTCAGTATTAACTAGAACACAGAAATCCTGCGGCAGTAGTAGAGGCATGTATTTCCACTGGTCACCCGCAGGCTGGTAGTATCCGATGTGCTGCGGGAAAGATCAGTCATGGTATTGGCATGCTTACACTTGGTTGTTAACCAACTAATTTTATGCCAGTGCATTGCTTTCCTGCAAAACATCAAAATCCAACGCACCTTGGTGAGCTTCCTGAAGCCTGTGCAGCTGATAGCTATATAGCGGGGGCAGGTTTCCCGGGTGAGGGTTCCTAACAGAGCTCGCCAGAAACGGTACATCGAAACCAGGTTTTCTTTTCTCTACACAAACCACCAACAGCATCTTTTGTTTACTCTACCAGCATGCAGATACACAAGAACATCCCCTACGCCGTGAACGCCGTCACCCGGCAGGACCTGAACCTGTACATCCTGGACACTGCAGCAGCAGGCAAGAGGCTGCCGCTGGTGATTTTCGTGCACGGCGGCGGCTGGCGCGCGCACGACAAGAGCGACTTTGTCAATCTCTGCCAGAGCCTGGTCGCCTTGTCCAGCAATACGGTGGCGGTGGCCGCGCTGAACTACCGGCTCAGCGTCCAGGACAACCTGTCAACCAAGCACCCGATGCATATCAACGACGTGATTGCCGGCGTGTGCTTCCTCCTGACCGGAACGTACCCGGACCATGCGTCGAGGTTTGCCAGCCAGCTGGTGCACTCGAGGTATGAGGATGTCCCGCTGGTGGTGCGCGATATGGGCACGCACTTTGACAAGCTGGAGAACCCAAGGCTCTGACAGGCCATCGTCAAGCACCTCCTTCCGTAAACTCGCTTTCATAGAGCCCGCTATATTGGTATATCTATGTGTGGTAATTAATGACCTGGGCGGTATATTGCTTGCTGGAGTTCTTTTGTGGAGCGCCAATATGAAATACATCATTGGATGATCATGGCGATCGTCGGGCTCTGGTGGCGGGGGGCAATCCCAGTACCGGCGGGATGCACAGCAATAGCAAGCCCACATCATCGTTCAGCCTTGTTCCCACTGAAACCTCGCACTCTTTCACAAACACTTCAATCTCTCAGGCTCCACCGCTTATCAGCTAGGTTTTTATTTCCTGCCAGCAAAATGCAAATTCACAGCGACATTCCCTATGTCTCGGACCACGCGGCGCTGCAGACGCTCGACCTGTACATGCCGGACTCGGCCACAGCAAAACACCCGCTAGTTGTTTACATCCACGGGGGCGCCTGGCGGAGCGGCGACAAAAGCGAATCAAGCACCCTGGCCAAGGGCCTGGTAGGGTTATCCCGGGACCGGCTGGCCGTGGCAGTAATCAACTACCGGCTCAGCGTGCGCGGCGACCCGGCAACCATGCATCCGATGCATCTGAATGACACGGTTTCGGCAGTAAAGTTCCTTGTTGCCGGGCAGTACCCGGGCTGCGACCGCGTGGATACCGACAATCTGTATCTGGTCGGGCATTCGGCGGGCGCGCAGCTGGCGGGCGCGCTGGTTTTGCGGGAGCATGTGTTTGCTTTGGGCAAAAGAATCAGGGGTGTGGTGGGTGTGGGCGGGATCTACAACCTCGACGGCTTGCTGCAGGCGTATCCAAGCTACAGCGACTTTGTCGACATGGCGTTCGTCAAGGACCAGTATGAGGAGGCAAGCCCGTATGTGCTGGCAGAGAACAAGCTTGCGGAGGCAGCGCATATCAGGTTCCTGGTGGCCAACAGCACGACCGACGAGCTGATCGGGTCGGACCAGGCAGCGCAGTTCGCGGGGCGCCTGGTGGGCTCGGGGTACGAGGACGTCACGCTGGTGGTGCGCGACATGGGCACGCACTTTGGGCAGCTCGACGACAGGCGGTTCTGGCAGATTGTGGTTGACTTTGTTTTGTAGTAGGAAGAGGTAATAAAAAGGTGCGGGCGCCAGCGGTTTATTTTTTGGGGGCCGCGCGGGAACTGCTAGCAGTGGCGGTCGACGTCACCGATGACTTGGATTTGATGGGCACCACGGGGATGGTTTCGGGGATGGGACTGCACGACTGCTGGAAGTCTGGCGGCTTGGCCGGGGCTATGGCCGGGACGGACTTGCGGCGGATGCGGGGCTTTTTCTCGGTCTGCTGGGGCAGCGGCGGCAGCGGCAGCTTGGCGGCGGACGCCGGCGGCACGTAGGGCTCGGGGCCGACAATCTCGGCCCACTTGGCCAGCACATTGTCCTCGTGTGGGAACTGCATCTGCAGGGCCACCAGGTCGCGCAGCAAGTACATGATGTTGGCCATCTCCAGGTGCTGCATGGAGCACGGCGGCAGACTGCACTCGTCGGGCGGCTGCTTGCCGTGGGCCGACTTGCGGCGACGCGGCGGCGGCAGCTCGCGCGGCCACGCCAGGTTGCGCATGATGGTCGCGTCGGCCGACCGCGTCATCGCGTCGTCGGCGCCGCTGGGGCGCTTGCGCGGCAGCAGGATCGTCGAGTCGGCGGCGCTGAACGCCCACAGGTGGATGCTGAACGCCGGGTCGAAGATCACGCGCAGGTCGCCGGTCTCCACCACGCGGCGCCCGTTGGCATAGGCGGTGGTGACCAGCACGCCGTGGAAGGCCACTATGGACGATGCGCGGTCCACCAAGTGAACGCTGGCGTCGCCCAGGGCCACGTGGATTGCCGTCGCATTGCCCTCGGTGAACAGCTGGTGGTAGAACCGCGCGGCCGTCTCAATCGGCATGTCGTACGCCTGCTGCCCCAGATCCATGCGGATGTTGGCTCGGCCCGTGAAGTGGTCGCGGATGGCCGCCTGCCAGAACCCCTCGGTCTGCGTGCCTGCCCCCGCCGACAGTCGGCTGTGGAACGACAGCAGCCGCTCGATGCCCGAGCCCAGCACCTGCTGCGCCGTCAGCCGCGGCAGACTAGGCGCTGGAGCCATTGGCACCACTGGCGGCCGGCTGCTGGTCCTGGACAGCGCCTGCGGAATCTGCTGGCTTTGCTGCGGCTGCTGCGCCAGCGGATTCGACGCACGCAGCCCGCCAACGCCCGCCGACATGGGCATGGCGGGCGGCAGCATGGCTCCGCTGGCCAGCACACCACCCGGTGCTGATGTGTCAACCGCCAGCTGCTGAGGGACCACTGGCATGGTGCGCGAGCGCTTGGTGGTTGGTGGCACGCTGCGCTTTCCCGCAGGCGGCGGCATAGCCTCGCTGTCTTTTTTGGCCGCGGCCTTGCGCTTCGACTCCTTGGGCGCCCGCTTACTTATCCGTGGCGACCCCTTGGACTTGCGCGTCGCCGTGCTGAGCGCCGGGCTGGCAGCTGGCACCCCCGGAACTGTCTGAGGCATTAGCGGCAGCCCAGCGGTCGCCAGGGCCGGTGTGCTGAGTGCTGCCGATGCTGCGCTGCTGACTGTGCCTGGGGCGGTGGAGTCGGCCAAGTGCTGCTGCCGCTGCAGCTGCGCCATCAGTGTGTACGGCAGCTGCCCCGACGCTGCAGCTGCCGCCATCATCGCTGCCGTCGGGACCTGCGTCTCACCCTGCTGGGCCATGGCAATCTGGGCCAATAGCGGGTTCTGCTGCTGCACCATGCCTGGCTGAGCTACGCCCGCCCCTGCATGGAATGCCCATCCGCCATTCACTGAACCCAGCAGCTGTTGCTGCTGCTGATGCTGCTGATGCTGCTGCTGCATGAGCGTGGCTGTCGACTGCTGCTGTGACTGGGGCATCGGTGCTGCCCCGTGCGCCACCTGTCCGATCCCGTTCGCCAGCATCCCCGGCGGCAGCGTGCCGGCCGAGAACATCCCTGCCCCCTGTCCTAGGTGATATGCAATTGGGTTCATCGCTGTGTTGCCCGTCTGCGTCTGTCCGCCAGCCGGTGGTCCGTCAAGGTTGAGTGGCAGGCTCATGTGTGTCTATGCTTGTGCTTTACAATGGGGGTTTGCGGCTATATTACGCTGCTTCCGTCTTACTGCTAGTTCAATAACGGGATGCGGGGGGGGGTGTTGTGTGAAAAGAGTACAAGAGTGGGGGAGTAATAGGAGTGGTGAGATGCTGAGAAACAGTACAGGGGACCAAGAGTAACCCGGACCAGATAGAGATAATCAAAGGCTCTTGCGTGCTTCCCTTCGAGCAAAACACAAGGCGAATGAAAAAATATTAGGCTGCAAAATAGAAGAGAGAAAAAGGGCTGAGGAAAACTACACTGCAAAGGGAAAAAAGGGCTGTCATGCTGTGATTGCAGCATCAATGGGCGGTTGGCCTGGCGGGATGGCTGCCAGGGCACATGACCGCTCCAGGGCCCAATCAGCTTGCTGCCTCCCCCTCTACCGGCCTTCTTCACGATGCTGGGAGCCTCACAAGCACAAATGCTATACGAGTCTGGAGGCGTGTTCGTCTACTCGGACTAATTACTGCCGCTGGGAGAACCCGGTAAGTGGGCCCGTGTTGGGGGAGGGGTAGTGGAGTAAACGGAACACTTGGTGGGCAGACGTGGATGCAGTGCCGCCAGACGGACACTTCTGGACTGCATATCTTCCGGCACCCAGCGCACTGCCCGTGCTGTTCAGATTCGGTGCCAAAGTACCGCGAGCCACCGTCATGTTCAGCCTGAATTTCTTGCGCCGACCAAAACAAAATGGGCAAGGCTGATGGGAGCTGCCAGTCTCGCGGCGGTCTGTGCATGGGCTTGTAAAGGAAAAACAGGCTGGTCTTCAGACCACTGGCAGCGCAACCAATGCACAAAAGGATCTCATCAGCCCAAGCGTGGTGGCATGATGCTGCGCAGGCCCGGGTCACTGCTGTCCTCCGGTGCTCCTCCTGGCTATGTTTACCCAAGGATCATAAAGGCACTCTGTTTTCATGTGCTTCTGTCCGTGTGTGCCAAATACGACTAAAATGGATGGGTCTGGTGAGCAAGCACGAGTAGCTGCATGTTTTCCCTTGTACCTTCCCAGCCAAACTCCCCCTTGCTTGAACATCCCCTCCGCATGCAAACTCTCCCTCGGTCTGTATACAAGGGGCGCGGGTTTTGGCCTGCGGAAGCTACACCTTTTCTTCCTCACACCGCACTTTTATTTTTTCTTCACCTTGTTTTTGTCTTCAGTACCGCCATATAATACGAATGACCACCGATAATACAGAAGTTGTCCAAGAGACCACCGAGTGGGTGGCAGAGAACGGCCACGAGTTCTACACCCACCTGTATAAATCCGTCGTGCAGCCGCCCAAGGCCACAGTGACGCTGGTGCATGGGCTGAGCGAGCACATCGACCGGTACGAGGACCTGGCCAGGGCCTTTGCGCGCGCAGGCATCCAGGCATTGGGGTTCGATCAGCGCGGCTTCGGCAGGACTGGCGAGAAGGACGGCAACCTCGGCCACAACCAGGGCATCCAGAATGTCCTGGACGATGTGGCTGCCATGAACAAGCGGGCGACAATCGACGGCGTGCCGCATTTCCTGGTAAGCAATTAGAGAACGGGGAGGAGCCTTCAATGGAGCCCTGCGGTTTGCTGGGTCTTGGCAGGAGCTACCAAAAAGTCCTTGTGCTGTTCTGTAGTTTGGCCATTCGATGGGCGGGTTTATTTCGCTAAAGTACTGCGCTGAGCGCAACAGTGATAAGCACGTCAGGGGCGTGGTCTGCTCGGCACCGGCGCTGAGGCCCGGGAAGACCGCGCAGCCGGCCAAGGTCGTCGAGCTTATTCTCAAGCAGGTGGTCAAATTCGCGCCGAGCATCAAGAAGGAGTCAGGCATTGCCACCGAGCACCTGACCAACAACCAGGCCGAGCTGGACAAGTTCAATGCGTCGCCGCTGAACCTCTCGTACTGCTCGCTGGGCACCATGGCCGACATCTACTTTGGCGGCCTGAAGCTGCTGAAGGAGGCCGCTGCCTTCGCCACGCCCGTGTATCTGATCCACGCTGACGGCGATATGGCCACCGACTACGAGGGCACAAGGGAGTTTTACAGCAAGCTGCCCGAGCACCTCGACAAGCACTACGAGGAGATCAAGGGGTGCAAGTACCACGAGATCCATTTCCAGAACGACCTTGACATTGACATTCCCAAGACGTACACGCAGTGGATCCTGCAGCGTCTTGACTAAGGCGCACTAGACACCTCTTTTACGTACGTTTTTTTTCTTGTAATGCGAATGGGGAGGAAGGGTGTGCATGTGCATACCCCCGCCTCTTATTGGAACTAGTATAAAGTGCATGTAGCTGGCCATCTCCATTCCCCTCAGATGGGCGGCAAGCGCGAGCCGCCCGATTTCAGCGGCTCCGGCATCCGGATCTGGTAGTCGCCGTTCTTTGTAATGTACCGGACCCAGGGCAGCGCCTGGTACCCGGACTTTTCGACAATCTTCAGGTAGCGCACCTGGATGCCCGACGTGGTAAAGTACGGGATCTCGAACTTGACCGAGATTGGCGGGCGCCTCTCGGGGTCGTCGTCGCGGATACTGGGCAGTCCAAAGTGCGCCCGCAGGAGGGCCTCCTTGCCGCCCTGGAACTGCTTGATCTTCCACACAAACGCCGAGCGCTCAGGCGCGTACTTGACTGAGCCAATGGTCGACTTGAACTTGGGCGAGTCGGCGTCGTCGGGCACCGGCACGATGATCTCGACGTTGTTCGCCGTCGACCGGTGCTTGAACTGCGCCTTGGCCTTGACCATGTACTCGACGCGCCCGCGGTGGCTCTCGACCACCGATTCGCACCAGATCAGCGGCTTGATCTGCGTGTTCAGCCGGTACGTCATCAGCTCGAATTCGCCGTCGGGCGGAATAAACGAGATTGTCCGGTCCGTCTCGAACTTGGACAGCCGCACGCACTGGTGGAACCGGATGTCCTCCATCTCCACCGCCTTGCCCTTGGCGCTGCGCCCCGTGCTCTCAAACATCACCTTGTCGTTCAGCCCCAGCCGCAGCTCCGGCATCCCGCTCAGATACACCTTCATCTTCACCGCCCCCTGGATCTCGCTGCTCAGCACATTGCCGTTCGCGTTCACCATCATGTTGATCGACTCCACCACATCCAGGAACACCTCGTTCTTGCGGTACGTTATGCCCTCCGACCGCCACGACACCGCGTTCGTCACCGCCATCGGCGGCCGCGGCGTAATCTCCAGCATATGGCTCTCCTGCGTAATGTACTCCTTCAGAATCTTCGGCTCCGTTATCTGCGGAATCCCGTAGTCCATCATCTCGTCCAGCAGCTCGTAAATTATCACAAAGTTGTCGCGAATCGACTCCTCCTCCAGCGTCTTGAAGTACTCGGTGAATACCTGCGACAGGTGGTGCAGGAACTGCAGCAGCGTCATTGCGTTTGTGTTTTTGCGCGTCAGCGCAACCAGGTACACATCCTTCTCGCGCAGATGCAGGTACGTCACTCCATTCTCTGTCATTACCGGCAGACTCGTGCCTTCCTCATCTTCCCTCTCCTGCAAAAGGGGCATGAACCGGTCGATGGCCGACAGCGGAATGTCGCCGCGGTAATCGCGTGCAATGAGCGGCTTGCCCTTCAAATCTACCAGGAATATCGCTGACGCCATAGTATGAAAAAAAAAAAAAGAAGGAAATAATTACGAACAGGGTTTAAATGACAGAGATGAGGGAAGGACTCAAGCTCCGACAGGCTCGCAAGTCATGCGAATAATGTAGAGCTGTGGTCCACTAGGCGGCTCACTTGGGAAAAAGCTTGTGGAGGCGAGCAGCGCCTAGAGCCTGACGCGATTCCAAGTGCACGTTTTTTTTTTTCAGAGTCGCTCTCTTTCCCGCTGTCACCTACCCGCGCGCTTTTTTGTTTAACATATATTTTTAAACCTAATTCAACCCTTGGTCCAGACATTCCTTTTGCCATGTCGTTTCGGTACCGCAATCACGAGTCGGCACACTACGCCAGAACAGCAGCCACTGGCCACAACCAGCGCGCCCTGCTGCGCACTCACACACCAGCCAGAGGGCGCCCGCCACCCACCAGCTTGTCATTGAGAAGCGGCACAGCCTCTGAGCTCAGCAGCACCGAGGAAGAAGAAGAGGAAGAAGTCTCGCCAATGTTTTCGCGCCGCACACAGCACTCAATGGCGCAAAACAAGCACGTCGCCGAAACCACGCTGCGCAATGTAATAACGATGGAGTCGCCAAACAACCAGGCAATAGCACTAACCATGATGCTGCGCGGCTGGCGGCTCATGGCCGAGGCCAAGCGGCAGCGGCGCGAAGAGCTTGTTGACATGTGGGCGCTGGCCGTGCGGGTGCACCGCGACAACATGCTGCACCGGGTAGCTGTGGGTGTAAAGCGGGCCGCACGCAAGGTGATTGCCGGGCCAGGGCATCGCTTCCAGCGCCTATACTATGACTTGGCCGACAGATACTGCCGGAAGATCCTGCTGAGCCGCACGATGCAGCGCCTGACATATGCTAGCGAGGTGCTGAACCGGTTTACGTACTGGCAGCATGAGCACAATAGGCGGCTGGTGGCCGGGTGCCTGTCGGTGTTGCGCCAGGAGATGGGGCATCGCCGGGAAATTGCACTCCAGGAGGCCCAGCGCAGGGACCGCCAGGGCCTGTTGCTGGGGAGGTGGCATATGGCGATGATGGAGGAGCGCAGGAAGTCGGAGCAGAAGGCGTTGGCAAGCAGGGCTCTCTGTGGGTGGCACAGAGTGTCGATGCTTGAGTCTGAATGTGAGCGCACGGCCGACAAGTTCGGTGAGAGGCAGCTCAAACATCGAACGCTTGGCAGGCTGCGGAGCATCAGGAGGCAGCAGAAAGATAGCAGGACTGCAAGTGTCGGGCGCCAGCGGACAAATCAGCATCGCCCCAGTGGTCGCCATCTGTCGCTTTCAGCCCCTCATGACACGGCTGGCAGTGTGGACAGTTCGCGTGGTGCTCAAACAGCAGGTCGCAGTCCTCGGGGCATTGATGCAGTAACTCAGACTAGCATGCTTGAACGACCCGGACTGGTAACACGGCGGGATGTGGCGGTTGAGGCGAAGGACGATGATATGTCTCAGCGGGCACTAGACCTGCAATATCAGGATAGTACGGATATTGTACGCAGCGGCGATCCAGATGATCTGGGTGATCTGGATGCCGCAGAGCTTGAGCGTGCCAGACAGAGTATCACCAGACGTCACAAGCGCCGGGTCCTCAACAGATGGCGCACGCAGGCACTGAGAGATGTCGAGGATATGCGGATAGCAGACATGCACTACGCAAGGACTAAGCGGCAACAGTTCGTTGAGCGTCTCTTTAACCAGTTCTACAAGGTCAAGGAGATGGGCCAGCAGGCGGATACGTTCCGCCGGACGCTTGTTATCTCCGATTTCTGGGGCGCCATCACGGGGGGATATTGCAAGCTGCAAATTGAGCGCGAGGATGCGGCGGAACTGAACCACGGTATGCTTGCGGAGGCAGCTGATCTCCTTGCTGAGCAAAGCGCTGATCTAGTGGCGGAGAACCAGGAGTTTGAGCCGCTCGGCTACGAAGATATCGAGGCAGAGGCCGGGCTTGAGCCGATCATCGAAGATGCTGACAACGAGAGGATTGCACAGATGTTTGACGCGTGGCACAAGCTGGTGCGCGACAGACAAGTCCTCGAGGACCGGGTGTACGCAGGCCTGCCTAATATCATGCAAGAGCAGGCCTTTTACAATTCGGACGGCTATTTGGTGTTCGATTGGGGAGTTGTGCACAGACACAGTCTGCTGCGTCGCTGCCTGCATGAATTCTGCCGCATCGCTGTGGACCAAAATATCCAGAAGGCTACTCCGTATATGGCCAGCGGCATGCTTGAAGATAGCGCCAACACGCATGTCTCGATTATCGAGCTCACCGAGGACTTTGATTCGGACGGCAGCGACCTCGACGGCCAGAACGGCGACACTCTGCGGCAGCTCGAGGCTCGCATCTCATCGACACACGAGCAGAACATGGTCGCTGATTCCATCCGCAAATGGATTGTGGCGACGCGCGGCAGCCTTCTGGGCAAGGGGCGGCTGGTCAGGTCGATGAGGCCGGTATTTGCAAGTATTGCGCGGTGTGCACGCATCGCCAATGTCGCGCGCGACAAGGAGCGCGAGGCGCTGCTTAATCCTGCGATCCATCGCTGGCGGAACCGCCTGTATGCGCACCGCGTGGCCATGGATAACTCGGCGGTGCAGAGCGACGCGGTGCTGGTGCAGACATGCTTCCGCCGGCTCGTTGACAAGCACCGGCGACATGCAGATCAAGATCCGGCGGGTCCGGCGGAGAAGCACAGCAGGGATATGTATATGCAGGCCCTGGCGTTCCGGTGGGAGAGCCAAACACGCATGGCAGTGGGCCGGTGGATGCGCGCTTCTAGCGACGACCGGGTCAAGATCCGTGTGGCCCAGCGCGACGAGACAATGAGGGAGAGCCGGATAGAGAGAGTTGCCGAGGGGTGGAGTCGGAAGCGCATTGCGAGAAATGCGTTCAGGCGGCTGCGGACAGTGGCGCGTAACCGCAGGCTGCAGCACGACCTGGAGATGCGGTTTGCCGACGCCTGGTGCAATGCTAACCTGCGGCGACAGGTGCTGCTGGCGTGGCGGGCAAAAACGTCGCCGAACAGCTTGGCGTTCTTTTCGGTGTCAGAGCCAATCGCTGGATACTAATATGCGATGCTGTGAAGGTTTGCAGAAATGGCCGATGTAGTGATGGGTGGGCTATAGGCTTACTGCTTTTCTGTTCATCTATTAAAGGCGTTCTTGAGAACCGAATCGTTTTGCAGTTGTCTGCCCTAGATTTCTCATCACTCGCAAAGCTGTAATCGCCGGCAAACCCAGCGAGTACATGAGGCGGTGAATAGGCGAGTAACCCACCACGGAATGCAGATGGATGAATATACCTTTGTAGATTTCCAAAATGCTGATGCTAGCTAACATGGCCTCAGCTATTCTGCCTTCTCAATGCTATTTGCCTTTGAAGCGCAGAAATAATATGCGTGTGGTTGGTGCAATTTTTACTTATATACGAACGAAACATGTACACTATCTATAGTCGTTGAGAGATCCAGTTTTCACGCCCAGCTACTGACAGTCGCGACGAGCGTTGCACCCATGCCAGTCTCGCGCGACTTGAACTCATACGGCGCCTTGGGACTGCCCACAAAAAGCGAGAACCCGGTTCCCTTGCCTGCCGCAATCTTGCACTGCTCAGTGGCATCGATCTTGATCGGCTGCTTCGTGTCCTCGACGTAGAACGTGAACTCATCGCCCAAGAGCCCTGGCCTGTTGTCACCATTGACCGTAGCCTCGTCCCAGGTATTGGCGACAGCGACCTGGAGCGTGATGTTCAGGGGCGGGACAGGAGTGTTGAATGGCGGCAGTGTCAGTTCGCAGCTCAGAAGGCGGTTGGGTGCCTGCGTAGCCTCCGAGGGAAGAGTGAAGCCGAGGAGTGCGAACTTTTCGGTGCTTGCCTTCAGCACAGGCTCGGAGCCGTGGGTTTTGGCAGACTCAATAGGGGCGACTGAGATCCAGGAGTCTTTGAAGGCAGCGACTGGCCCGTAGGTCTTGGGGTTGACGGCAGCAGCGAGGGGTGCGGCCAAGGCGAGGAGAGTGGTGGCGATGATGGCGGCCTTCATTCTAGGTTCTTTGGAGAAGTTGGCTGTTCCTTTGGTGTCGATGCTGGAATGTATCTGCTGGTAGTGGTGCTGGAATGTGAGGAGCATGTCCCAGATCGCAGCCCTTTTATGCCAGGGATTCTGTGCTCGCTGCGCAAGACTGGTCCAGGAATAGCTTGCACTACGATGTCTAGAGGCTTGACAGGCTTTTATTTTAGAACATGCAAGGACATCAGACCCCACGGCATACTGACAACCCAAGGTGAGTCACGGCAGCGCGCTGATTTCCATGTATGACAACCCTAATGATTTCCCCAGCAAGTTGAACTGGCAGAAAGTATCGATGGTACTATTTGATATGTACATGTCCAATAGTGTCAGCGAGTCCTCGGATCCACGCAGAAGGGTATCGTCTTCAAATGGATACAAACCATAAAATACCAAAGTTTTGAGCGCAGAAAACGGCACTCCATCAGTTGAAACAAGGTCCAGCATCGAATTCTGGTACTGTATACTGGTACGTATATGAAGCATGTGAAGCTGAGGATACATGGCAGTTGCACCATCGCTGCAGATTGTGACATGTCTGAACTCACTGGATACAGTCAGTTCTAGGCGTAGACATAGCAAGGATTGAGCGTTTTTTGCGCACAAGAGCGTAAACTGACTTTGACTTATAAACCGAACTGATGTCTAAGCTCTGTAATGGAGCTGCATTTGGTGGGAATGGAAGAATATCGCTCAGACAATACTCGTCGGTTGTACTTCCGGCCCTTCCATTTAATAGACGTTGTAAAAGATTGTGCAAGTAAGATGGAGGATCTGTTGTTGCGGTTTCCCAGGATTGTTTCACTCCAATATGCGTGATAGATGGAAATATGCGAAAAAGTTCGTCACTGAATTCACGAGAATACAGGTCAGCCAATGGATTGTTTACCTTGTAAGAGCTTCCAAAAAAGATGAAGGTGAGATTTGTAACATTCGCTAAGGTATGGCCGTTCAGTATGTGCTTCTTTAACAGAGCAGCTCCTGGAGAATGGAATATGCTGTTCGTCTGAAGTATTATTGTGACTCCTTTGATCTTGTCACAAACGTTAAGGGTATGGGCCAGTCTGAGAGCTGGTCTAGTTTGGGTCCCCACATAGACATGCTGGAATTTGTGACAGAGGGATATGTGCTGCCATGACTGGCAAACATGCGTTATAGGCTTAACAATCTCATATGCATCCTCCTTGTCACGCCACTCAAGGGGAAACTCGGGTGAAAGATAAAAGAGTATACGCTCTAGGATGAGCAAAGGAGGGTGCTGAATGGCCGGCTGCATGAGAGGACAACAAGCGATATTTGAAATGGAAAAATGTTAAAGCTCAAAAGGGTGAAAAATTCAGAAGATGTTTCAAGAGATATAGAAAAGGAGGATTGGAATTGAAGATAAATGTTGTCAAGAGGAGGAGTCCATGCATTTCGTTAGACCCAGCAGACCTTATACTTACCTATCACTAGGAATAGGTACAGGTGCTTGCATTCCCCAGCCATCCTTTGAAACTGCTATTCCTATACGCATTTACATACCACTTTGTGCGCCTAGCAGTGCAGCACACCAGTATTATCGGGTCTGTCACTCACATATGACTCCATGGCCCTATGGTTCGCCGGCCGCCCTTAGTACTCGCACTATTTCTACTCCATCTGGAACAAGGGTATGCAATTACCGCATATTTTGGTATGATTCTGCAACCCCCTGAAATGACGTCTGCCGCTTGGCAAACATGTGCAGGCTGCGTATCTGCAACAATGGCAGTCGGCATTGGCTGCTTTGCCATATCTGGCATGGCCGACCACGCTGTTACGACATACAATATACATCCTAATTTGGCAATATTTTAACATTGTTCATGGCAGCTCACCAATTTAATTTTTAGGACCCACCCACAGCGAGTTTGCTGAAGGGTGTCTTGGAGAAGCGCTCACAGTGGAACTTCAAGTCCTATGAGAGCGAGAGAATCCAAGGGGAAGAAACCTCCTTCTTAATGCATTTTAAATTCAGGCCGGGTTTCATGTCCTCCAAAACTTTTCCCTCATCTTTCTTTAGAAATCCTACTACATAAACCCCTTTTATTACGCTTATTCTCAAGTCCTTCTTAACGCATGAGTCGACCACGTAAACTCGCTACTTGGAGTTTTTCTCGCAGCACTTCTACCCAACCCTTTGCCGTCCGGTACTATTTTTTGAACTAGTAAGTATTCGATCATAACTTGTCGCTTTGTGTTTGGTAGTAGCCTATTCATACTGCTGTTGTCTGCTAGCACACATTTTACGAAATAGAAAACCCCTGTTTTTGCTGCATGTTAGATTCCCAACAGCACAGTGCTTTTGTACAGCACATTTTGGACCTGCCCTTGCAGGTCTCTAGTTGCTGTTCGACCTCTCCTCTCTCTCGTTTTTATCTTCCTGCTGACCCTCACATGTTCGTTCTAGTCGTTGTGTGGTGTTTGTATGGATCCAGTTTTCCATAGTCGTACACTCCTGGTCTAGGTAAATCAGCTATCGTCAAGCATAGGGTAGTACTAGGGGGACGGCTGCTGAAGAGGTAGCCCGGGGATAGGGACGCGGACGTCATTCAAAACTCACCCCGGTAACGGAGTTTTGCAAGTTACTGACTTTATAAAATCCTAACGCAGGTACTTTTATGGACTGGTAAACCTTTCACTTTCACTTTGCAGGACTTTCTAGCAGGGGTTGGTACTGCATTTGGATTATTGAGGGCGAGCAGCAAACTGAGAGACAGTGGTAACTAGAGGTCTGCAAGCGCTGGAGCAAAATGTGCTGCCCAATTGCTACGTGCATTTGTTGGGTTCAATTCCAATGAGCTGAGCATCATTCATGTAAAACGAAACTAACACACAAGTCATAAACTCATTTTATCACTTTATGATCATACACAATATTTTGCATCGCTGATATCGAGGGTGAAATGCGACTCAGCGGTCCGGATTCCTTAGCAAGAAAGCTGTTTTGACTTGCACAGGGTAAGGCGCTGAATATCTGCTTCTGAACAATGAGGTCTTTGAGGCTTGGCTCAAGGTCCTGCTAGAAAACAGATGCTTGGCAAAAAATTAGTTCAGTCCGTGCCATGCTGCCATTGTGCCACACGGTCACCCAGATGCTCGCAGAGCGCAAAAACATGCAAAAAATACTGGGAGTGATGAGTCTATCGGGGGGTACTGATGATCCAAGCTAGCTTTGCAGGGGATTAGGCATGGTCGTATGTCGACCATATCTTCAAGGCATTCTTTTTTACATATGGACGGCGTGATACCGCAGCCTTCAAGCACTTCGAGATAAGGTCTCTCTCATATGCTTGTAGCATTTCAGTATTTACTCCACCCTTTTGATGTTTCATCGCCATGAATAAGAGGGTTGGATAGATCAACGAGAAGTTGCCGATCTAGTACAATGTCACTAGAACACAATAAAATGGACTCAAGTGTAGCTTTGAAATTTATTGTAACCTTGGTTCCCCTTGCCACAATGCTATATTCAGCTTGTTGGATTTTGTTAATGGGTATATGGGCGTTTGGAGGTTTGGAATATATTTGCCTAAAGGACTGGAGGGTAGAACAGAAGGGAAGGGGGTGTGGACATATGGTGTATGGCTGTGCCTGGTTAGGCGGCACATCTTGCATCGAACCAACAATGCGGTGGGCCCTGGCCTGGATAGGTATATGCCAAGCACCCTTGTCTTTTCCTTTCCATTCTTCTCTTCAGTTCCATAGCGCAACATGGTTCTCCAGACATCAAAAGCAGCATAGTAATCACTGGAAACCAGCATATTCTGTTTATGCTGCGGTACATGGTGCAAAATTCACGCAATTTGCTCACATGATTGTGTACCACAAGCAGATGGATAATTGGCAAACGTATATTTTCTACAGCGTTGACTGGCCAAGCTGCGCGTTCGTAAGCACGCTTTTCTTTCGCACTGCAGCTATTCCGAGCAATTACAGACACACGCAATGGCCTTCGACGATGATCTCTTGGCAGAACTTGACGAGCTGGGTGGCGACTTTAGCGACAACGAGTCAATGCATTCAAACGGCAATGAAGCAACTGAGACAGGCACAGCAACAGAATCCAACAGTCTTCAGGACATCGCCCCGATTAGCTCCAGCCACGAACTGCAGACCCTGCTGGCCAATATTCAGGCGTCACTAGAGGTTGCGGCTGCAGATAAAAAGGTCGAAGGCCGGATCGAGGACGACCCCGACTACCTTCTCATGGTGGCAGCAAACAAGCACACGGCCGAGATTGCCAACGAAATGGTCGACATGCACAGGTATATTTTGGACCACTACAAGCAGCGGTTCCCGGAGCTCGAGACGCTAGTACGCAACCCGATCGACTATACGCGCACAGTCAAGGCGATTGGCGCTGCCACAGACATCACAAAAGTCGACCTGGAGAACATTTTGCCCAATGCCATCCGCATGGTCGTCACAGTCACAGGATCAACAACCACTGGCAGGGTACTCGACAATGATGAGCTGCAGCACATCCTCGATGCCTGCGACTGTCTGCTCAGGATGCAGGACGCCCTGAATCAAATCATCAGCTTCATCGAGTCGCGCATGCCGTTGATTGCACCCAACCTCACCGCAGTGGTTGGCTCGTCGACCGCAGCCAAGCTAATTGCCGAGGCTGGCGGACTGACGGCATTGAGCAAGATCCCGTCATGTAACATCCAGGTTCTGGGAAAGACGCAGAGCGCTGGGCTGGGGTTATCTGCAATTACCACCCAGAAGCATGTCGGCATCGTGTTCTACTCTGATGTAGTGCGTTCAGTGCCCGAGGATTTCCGGCACAAGATGATGCGCAAGGTCTCGGCCAAATGCGCCCTGGCAGTACGTGTTGACGCTCAGCACGAGTCGGCTGACGGCGCACTGGGCAAAAAGTTCCGCACAGACCTGGATGCCCAGGTGGCAAAGCTCTTGGAAGCAGCGCCAAACAACAGCGTCAAGCCGTTGCCGAAGCCAGACGATGCACCAAAGAAGCGCAGGGCTGGAAGGAAGGTGCGTAAGATGAAGGAGCCGTTCCAGATGTCGGAGCTGCGCAAGCAGAGGGATCGGCTGCAGTTTGGTGCGCCCCAGGAGGAGGTCGTCGTGATGGACGAGATGGAGGGGCTGGGCATGATGAACAAGATGGTTGGCCAGGTGCGTGGAACGCAGATGAACAACAAGGCTAAGGCCAAGGTCGCGAAAAAGTACGAAAAGTACATGAAGGCACCGTCGGGTGCTGGTACGTCGGGTATTGCGTCGCTGGCGTTCACGCCGGTGCAGGGCTTCGAGCTGGCCAACCCGCAAGCTGCGGTAGAGCATCGGCAGAAGCGGCAGCGGCTGGCCAACGACAAGTACTTTGCATCCAGCACGCCGTTCATGGGAAAGAAAGAGTCCAAGTAAATAAAAGATTTATTCCATCCATTTCGGAGGCGTTTCTAATGGTAGAACTCGAGGTCGGTGTTCTGCTTGCTGACATTAGACTTGTAGCCGGTTTCAATGTCGCTGGGGAGGATGACGTAGCGGTTCTTGCGCACTGCCTGCATTCCGGCCTCCTGGCAGATGGCAGCAATCTCGGCGCCGCTGAGCTTGTCGGGACGCGACACGAAATCCTCGAGGTCGACCTCCTCCGACAGGTTCATCTTTGATGTGATTGTCTGGAAAATCAGGCGCTTCTGACGGCGGTCGGGCGTCGGGAACTCGATCTTGCGGTCCAGGCGACCAGGGCGCAGCAGGGCCGGGTCGAGCGTGTCGGCACGGTTGGTGGCCATGATGACCTTGACGTTGGACGTCTGGTCGAAACCATCCATCTGGTTGAGCAGCTCAAGAAGAATACGCTGCACCTCACGATCAGCGCCCGTCTGCGCATCGAAGCGCTTGGTCGCCACCGCGTCGATCTCGTCAATGAAGATGATTGCCGGCGAGTTCTCGCGTGCCAGACGGAACACATCGCGCACCATGCGCGGTCCCTCGCCAAGGTACTTTTGCACAAACTCCGAGCCGTTGACGCGAATGAAAGCAGCGGTGGTGTGGTGTGCAACAGCCTTGACAAGCATGGTCTTTCCCGTTCCCGGCGGTCCATACAGCAGCACACCGCGCGGTGGGTCAATACCAATCTGTCTGTACAGGTCAAAGTGCGTCAGCGGCAGCTCCACCGCCTCACGGATCTCCTGCTTCTGCATATCCAGGCCACCGATATCGGCATACGTCACATCCGGCCGCTCGTTGGCGTCCAGCAGAGCAACGCTCGAGTCGGCCTCGGGAGGCAGAACCTCGACCACAGCGTTCGAATGCCTGTGCAGCGCAATCGACGTGTTGGGCTTCAGCAGCTCGCGGTCGATGGTCGACAGTATGCGCACCAGGTTGTTTGAGCCCGCCGTCGACGTGACGATACCCGTGTCGCGGTCAATCGGCTCCATGAACTGGCCCAGCACCAGCGGCACTGCGCGGATGCGCTTGACTTCCTCCTGCGCACGCACCAGCTCACGCTTCAGGTTCTTCTGCTCGTCCTTGATATACTCCTCCTGCAGCTCCAACAGCTCCAAATGCCGCTCAAGGCGCTTCTGGCGCAGGTACAGGTCCGTTTCGTCCAGGTCGCCAAGCAGCTCGGGCCTAATCAGCGACACGCCCAGGTCCTTGATTCCAGGCGCAACCTCAACGGGGCGAATTCCAATTTCCTCCATGGCTTGGTAGCTTGTTTTAGGTGCAAATGAAGTGTGTTGTAAAAGTCTGTTTTCCAAAGGAGGGTTGTGTTGCGGAAGCAGGCTCTCGCGCTCTCTGCTGTCTTGCGTGAAAAGCCAGCCACGTCCGCGCTCTAAGACACTGATGATGTAACTGATCAGCCAATCCACAAATTTCTTGATCATGGCGTTGGTATATTACTGGTCCAAATTAGGGACAGCGATGTGAATGTATCTCGGCACAGTAGCAGCAGAATGGAGGATGATGGAGTCAAAGAAGGGTGGGTGTTGCTGCAAACCAATATCCGCTAGTAGGCTGTGCCTTTGCATCGACGGGTGCACATGTAATTAATTACATCGCCATCGGCGGCAGCTCGCTTAAACCCAAGCACTCACATGACCTGATCACACATTTGCTGATGAGCAGCATGATTAATGGGTTCAATGGCATTCATGCCAAATGCAAGGGCTCTTGGAGTATCGAATAATTGAAAGTTTCTCAAAGACCGTGTTGCAGTCTCGATATAAAATGGGCATCGCACACCTGCTACAGCTTGTAGATGGCTTATATGAGAACATGCTGAGAATTGGAGTGACCATCTCTTGATATATTAATCCAATGTTTAGAAACATGAACTACGTGTACTTTGCAAGGTCATCAATGCCGTGCAAAATATACTTGCCCGACAGCGAGTGCTCGGCATATAGAGCCAGATTCCCAATAATCTTTCCTGGAACTTCAGGTCCGATTTTCTTTGCGTCAAGGAAATCGGAAAACTCCCTGGCGCTTGGCCCTACCTCCTTAAACTCGTCTTGCATAGCAGCAAACAGAGGGGTATCGACAACGCCGGGGTGGAGCGCAACTGTAGTGATATCAGGCTCTTCAACTGCTAGCACAGAGGTAATGTAGTTGAGTGCTGCCTTTGTTGCACCGTACGTTGCATGGTTGATGACCGGAAGCATACACGCATTCGACGTGATATTAATTATGCGTCCATTGACAGAGCGCAAGTGAGGAAGCGTCTTCTGAATCAATGCGAGCGGGGCTACGACGTTGAGCCGCAGTTGGGATTCGAAAGCCGTCAGCGAGACATTCACAATGGATCCAGTTGGCTGTACCATGCCAGCACTGTTGACCAAAGCGACTAGCGTGCCGCTTGCAATGGCCTTGTCGACAGCAAGCTGCTGCACTTCCTCGTCGGTGACATCGCCAAGCACTGGAACAAACTTTGCAGAAAATGAAAGCCGGTCAATCTCGCTGGTGAGCTTCTGCAGACCGTCTTCGTTGAGTTCTACGCCAACAACGGATATATCCTTGGACAGAAGATGAAGGACGACTGCCTTGCCAATTCCGCGCGAAACGCCGGTGACAATGATGACTTGGCTTGAGGTCATGGTAGAGCAAAATATTCAAGCAATAGCTGACTAGATGGACAGAAGAGTGGAGAAAAAGTGCTGGTTGCAGTTCCGCATGTCTGCCTTCCGTGTCTCCTTAAAGGATATAGACAATAGGCAGGTCTGGGATTTCTCACACATAGAGGCAATTGTGGATAGGGGTTGAATGTGCTATATATATCTTACTGTGGGAGCTGACTCAAATGCCACCGCCACCATCTTGTGCAGGCGCGGTGTAGTGCCAGGAAGGGATGAGAAGCAGCTAGAATGATGGGACTAATGGAATTTTCAGAGCTTTCTTGCACATTTCCCGCTGGCAATGAGCACAGGAGCTCACTGTCCTTTGTGCATTTACAGCCCCCACTTCTAGGGGCCAGGATCAATCTGAACGGTAATGTAGTATCTGCCCACTTCATCCCGAGGAACTGGCTGATGATGATATGAAGAACGTCTGGGGATCTGATGTATATTCCTGGTTATATATTTGCTCTATATAAACATTCTGGATACGCGGTCTACTCGTCCATCTCGGATTCGGACCCACCCTCCTCCCCTAGGACCTCGATGTTGGGCTTGGGGCCCTTTCCGTGCAATATCGACGACGGATCAATAACCACCTTCGATCCGAACAACCGGCTGGGCACGCCTTCGCCATCCTCGCTATCGCTGTCGCCTGAAGACTGCTGTGTGCCAATATGAATATCGCTCTTGCCATCCTTTTTCTTTGGCTTCATATCAAACACGCCCAATCCCAAGTCCATCTCAATGTACTGTGGTTCGTCCTCGCCGATGTTCTCAATGTTGACCTTGTCGGGATCCTCAGCAGCTGTTTCCTCAAGCTTCTGGTTGGCGACAGCAATCTGCGGCAGGAACTCTTGCAACCGCGAGAGCAGATCAGAGGGTGGCTGGACACGGAATGTCTTGCGCTCCTCATTCTTTGCAGGTTTGGCTCCCACACCGGAGCCAAGAGCTAGTTGTGGGCTGGGAGGCGCGCTGTCGCTGTCGCTATCGGGTATGTCTAGCAAGCAGTTGCTGGTCGTAGCCTTCGACTTGTCCTTGCCCATGGTATCTGAAAAAATTGCGGAAAAGGGGGAGGAAAAATTTTCGTGTTAAAAAAAACACGCTTGGGTTTCTCTCTGGCGGAGCGGCGCAACTGGCTCCGCAGCCAGGTTATGGAAGTTTGCTGATTTTGATTTCGGTCTGGGCGAGAAAAAAAGGCACTGCATTTCGAAGCTGGTTTGTTGACACTTGCTTTACCTTCACAGCTGTTCTTCTAATTTCACACAATGTCGGTGCTTCGAAAGCTGCTAATTCAAGGGATTCGGTCGTTTGACCCGCAGAACCAGGACATCATCGAGTTCTACACGCCGCTGACGATTATTGTCGGCCAGAACGGGTGCGGCAAGACCACAGTTATCGAGAGTCTGAAATATGCCACCACCGGCGAGTTACCACCAAACAGCAAGGGAGGCGCGTTCATCCATGACCCAAAGGTGAGCTAGAGCAATGCATGAGTTGTTGTGCCAAAACCTGCCTTTTGTGACTACTAACTGCGTCCCACTGGTAGCTGGCTGGCGAGAACGAGGTCAAGGCGCAGGTCAAGCTGCGGTTCTACAATGTGACGCAGCGCTCAATGACATGTGTGCGCTCGATGCTGCTGACGCAAAAGAAAGTCACAGTCTCGCAGCGTACATTAGAGGGTGCTCTCTCCTTCGATGCGACCCCGACCGAGGACAAGGTCAGCATCAGCAGCCGGTGTGCAGACCTGGATGCCATGATGCCGGCGCAGATGGGTGTCTCTAAGGCGGTGCTGGAGAGCGTCATTTTCTGCCACCAGGAAGAGAGCAACTGGCCGTTGTCTGAGCCGTCAGTCCTGAAAAAGAAGTTTGATGAGATTTTTGCTGCCACGCGCTACACCAAGGCACTGGACTCAATCAAGACCATTCGCAAGGACCAGAAGGACAATCTCCGTGTCAGCCAGACCGAGCTCAAGAGCGTGGAGGCGAAGAAGATAAAATCTATAAGCGTGCGTGGCGAGTACGAGAGATCTACAGCAGATATCCACGAATACCGCACACGGATCCAGAGCATCTATGACCAGGAGAAAGAGGTCACAGCGCAGATCGAGGCGCTGGCGGAGCAGATCCAAGAGTTTATGAGTCTGCGCTCCAAGATCGAGGCGCTGGAGATGGGCCTGAAGCAAAAGGTCAGTAGCTACAAGGAGACAGCTGCTAACACGGAAGTGATGGAACTCTCAGACAGCGAGCTTGGCGCAACGCGGGCAGATATCGAGCGCAGTATCGAGTCAAGGGATTCAGACGTCACAAGGAAGCGTAAGGAATGCGACGAGCTCTCGTGCATGGCCCAGGAGCTCCGGGCACAAATCGATGAGACGGTTGCGGAAATCGGAGTCCTGAAGGCTGCACAAAACAGCATGGAGGAGAAAATCGTCAACCGGGCGACGGTCATTGCTGAACTGTGTGCCCAGCATGGCCTTGTCATCGATGTCGCTGCTGGTGCAGATGGCCAGGCCAGCGACTGCAGGGCTCAGATCGAGGATAGCCTCACATCCGCTGAGCAAGAGTCTGCCAAGGTCCAGCGCGAGGGCGAGGCAAGGGAGCACGAGCTGCAGCAGGATATCCAGCGGGTGCAATCTGAAATGCAGTCACACGCAAACACAGCGACGCTCTGCGAGCAGCACATCGCATCGAGTGAAGCAGAGATCGAGTCATTGAAGCGCAAGCAGACGTCGCTGCAAGTAGACGAAGCACATGTCAAGAGGCTACAGCTGGAGATTGAGACCGAAAAGGAGAGGCTGGCAGCCATAGAGGCGGTGGACTACAAAGCAGAGTATGAGGAGAAGGCACGCCATAATCGGTTCGAGGTGGCTGGCATCCATGAGGAGATCGCTCGGATTCAAGGAGAAATCCAGCGCAATAACATGCAAGCTGATACGCGCGCTAAGCTGGATATTAAGCGCAAGGAGCTCGAGGACAAAGAGCCACGCTGGCAGGCGCTCAAAGACGATAAAGACCTGGCCGGGTTTGCCGACACCTCGCAAATCTGCAACGACGAGAGTAGGCGCACATCTATGATTGAGGATCGCATTTCTCAGCAAAAGGCAGACCTGGCCGACTGTGACATGAAGCTAAAGGCGTCACAGCATGATCTGGGCAACATACAGACGCGCCTGGGACTGGCCAAGTCGTCGCTTGAGAAGCAGACAAAGGAAATGGCAGCCAAAGAGGACCGCATTCGCGGCGTTTGTGGCGACAAGCCCTTTAACGAAGTCTATGCCGATGCACAATCTGAAATGCATGAGCTGGTCGAGGAGGCTGGCCACTACAAGAGCGCGTCATCGATGTTTGAGACATACATTCACAAGATTGAGAGCGACCACATGTGCCCGGTATGCCACCGTGGGTGGGAGAGCAAGTCTGATGAAACCAAACTGGTCAGCAAGCTGAAGCTTGACTACGCATCAGCACCGGCTGAGCTGCTCAAGGTGGAGGCAGAGATGAAGGTGTGCGAGCGCCGGATCGAGGAGCTGAGCGGGCTGCAGTCGATTGTACGAGATGTCAAGCTGTGGAACACGGAGGAGCGCGTTGAGCTCGAATCCCAGATCAAGTCCCTTACCGAGTCAGGGAACGAGCTGAGCGAGATGTGCGACAACATCGACATGGAGCGCGTGTCATTGGGCAGCGAGATCGACTTTATGGCCGGTCTGAAAGTCAAATCGGAGGAGCTGGCCGTGCTGAGCAAGGCGCGAAAGGTGCTCTTGGGGGATATTGAAGGGTTCGAGCGTGAGCTGCGTGTGACTGGGTCCACCAAGACCGTTTCTGAGTTGCAGCAGGAAATCTCTGCCTTGCAGGCGCAGGAACGCAATGCACGGGCTGAGACCGAACGACTGAACCAGGAGTTTATGCTCAAGCAGCAGGAAATCGGTACCCAGCAGGCAAAGATCCGCCAGATCCAGGATAAGCTCAGCGAGACCGACCGCCAAATCATGGCGCTTCGGTCGATTGACGAGCGCATTGCTGAGCTGGGGGCAGGTATTGTCGAAAACCAGCGCAAAGCCAAGGAGGCGCGCCAGGATGCCGACAAGGTGGAGCCGCGGTTGCAGAACTGCCAGCAGGCATTGTCAGATTTCCGGACGGACCTGAAAAGCGAGGAGGCGAAGGTGCACCAGCGCGTGCGCGAACTGAACCGGGATAAGGACCGGCTGCAGATGATCACCTGTGAGATCGAGTCTGCACGCGAGTCGCTGAGGTGCCCACCTGGCGAGAAACGGTACCCAGACCGGCTGGCGATGATTACCGCGCACAGAGACGAGCTGCAGGCAAAAGAGGTTGATGTGAATCGCCGGCTCGACGCAGCGAAAACACAGGTACAGGAATCTGACCGACTTGCGACTGAGCTAACAGTGAAGCTGCGCCAGGTGAACGACAACCTGCTCTTGCGTTCCAACCTGCGTGACCAGGAAAGCCTCAAAATGGAGCTCCAGGAGATCACCGAACGACAGACGCATCTTGAGAGCCAGCTCAGCGCCATAGACAACGAGGAGGACGCGGCAGATGTGTCTGACGATGAGGTTCTGGCAGTGGACAGCGACGAGGACGCTGTGGCAAGCAGCGCACGCAAGAGACGCCACGGAACCAGCTCACACGGCACAGGGCCCAACAAGCGCCGCAGTCCCGGCGGATCGCGTCTCCAGCGGCGGCGCGACGTACTGAACGCCAAGCTCTCACAGCTGACCAGCGAGCGCGCTGGCCTACAGGGCGAGGTCAAGCAGCTCGAGGACCAGGCACAGCGGCTCAGAAAGGAGCTGTCGACCGACTACAAAGATATCGACATGCTCTATGTAAAGCAGCTGGTGCAGTGCAAGACAGAGGAGCTGGCCAGCACCGATCTGGAAAAGTACGGCAAAGCATTGGATTCAGCCATCATGCAGTACCACTCGCTCAAGATGCAAGGCATCAACCGGATTATCCGAGAGCTGTGGATCAACACCTACCAGGGCAACGACATAGACACCATCGAGATCCGGTCGGAAATGGAAGGTGCGCGCAATAGCCGGTCGCACAACTACCGGGTCGTCATGATTAAGGGCGGCCATGCCATCGACATGCGTGGCCGGTGCAGCGCTGGCCAGAAGGTCCTGGCGTGTCTGATTATCCGGCTGGCGCTGGCAGAGACATTTAGCATCAACTGCGGAATCCTAGCCCTGGATGAGCCGACAACCAACCTCGACCAGGAGAACATTGACAGCTTGGCGCGCAGCCTGGCACGTATCATCAAGTCTAGGCAGGGGCAGCGCAACTTCCAGCTCATTGTCATCACGCACGACGAAATCTTCATGCAGCTGCTGGGCAAGTCCGAGTATGCCGACTATTACTGGCGGGTGTACAAGGACGAGAACCAGTGCAGTGTTCTTGCCCGACGCCCCATCACTTCCAGTTAGGTGTCTTTCTGTGCTTGACGAGAATTGAATCATCGACACTTGTGTACAACGCAGAGCCCAACAACCATGTTTCCCGGACGGAGCAAGAGAGAGACTTGGTGGGTTCCGAAATGCTGGGAAGCCGACGTGTGAGGCTGCGGTGGCACCTGCGCGCCCAGCCATTGGGGAGCGACCCTGATAGAGTGTGTAGACCACCAGACCGCTGCAGGACGCCAGCGCTGCCGGCCGGTAGGTGCATATACACCATATGGCGCATAGTGTTGCGCGGCTATGCATACGGGCGGAACTTGACTGAGCCCAGAAGCGAAAGCAGCAGAACCAGCAACAGCCCGGAGCCTCGCATGATCCGGCAACAGCATTGGGGGGATGGGGGCGGGTTTTGAGAATTCCCTGCCCAACCTGATCAGCGCGCGGCGCATTTTCTCCTGGAAACCAAGAAAAAAAAATTCAGGCGTCATCCTTGCTTTCCTCTCTCTTCAACAAAAATTTTTTTTCTCTTCATTGAACTTGTACAGATAGCAGACATGGTGAACACGCACATTACCCAGTCTGTCAGCAAATGGACGCCCACGCACACGAAGCTGGCAGAGCTGATCCTCAACGAGTCAGGCAAAGTGCCTCTGTTCCAGCGGTACCGCGCGCTGTTCAGCCTCAAGGGCATGGGCGACGACATGGCCGTCGACATCGTGTGCCAGTGCCTTGACATGGAGGACGACTCGGACCTGTTCAAGCACGAGGTGGCCTATGTGCTTGGACAGATGGGCAACGCCAACGCGCTGCCGGCGCTGAACGCAGCCATGGCCAAGGTCAGCAACAACGCTATGGTCCGCCACGAGGCTGCCGAGTCGCTGGGCGCGATCTCCAGCCTGGCCTCGATCCCTGAGCTGGAGAAGTACGTCAACGATGAGTGCAAGCCGCTGGCGGACACGTGCATTCTGGCCCTGGACAAGATCAAGTTCGACCACTCGGAGGATGCGCAGAAGGCTGACCCCAAGCCAGATGTTTCCACGAACGTGTTCGCCTCGATCGATCCGGCACCGGCCACCACGTCTACAAGGTCCATCTCCGAGCTGCGTGACATGCTGTGCGACGAGTCGGCCAGCCTGTGGAAGCGCTACCGCGCCATGTTCGCGCTGCGCGAGATTGGCACTGACGAGGCCGTGCTGGCGCTGTGCGAGGGCATGGAGCTGGACAAGAGCTCGGCGCTGTTCCGCCACGAGATCGGCTTTATTTTCGGCGAGATGCAGCACCCCGCCAGCGTGCCTGCCCTGGCCCGCGTCCTGGGCAAGGTGGACGAGGCCCCCATGGTCCGCCACGAGGCCGCCGAGGCCCTGGGATCGATTGCTACTCCCGAATGCAACGAGATCCTGAACAAGTACATCAACGACCCCGAGCCCGTCGTCCGCGACAGCTGCCTTGTTGCGTTGGACATGTACGAGCACGAGAACAGCGACGAGTTCCAGTATGCCATCATCCCTGATGCCGAAAAGTCGGCCGAGCTTGTTAGCGCTTAAAAGCATCTATATTTTTTCTTAACATGCCAAGCTACGCAAACAGTATGTGCCTGATGAGCTCAGCGACCACCTTGACGTTGAGGCTGTTGCCAAGGAGCTGCAGCTGCTGCCGCTGCGTGAGCGACGCTGGGAATCCCAGGTAATGCCTGCCATCGGCCACAGGCGAATCCGCCGCGCGGTACGGGAAGTGATGCAGCAGCGCAACCTCCTTGGGTGAGAAGAACCGGATCCCCAAATCAAGCAGCCGCTCGGGAGCTCCAAATCCATTCTCCACCACGTCCAGGTTCCTCGTCTGCAGCAGCGACCCGGATCCGATCAGGTTCCGTGACCCATACGACTTGGTAAACGTCGACGTCTGTGCAGACGACGCCCTGACAATGTCGAATTCCAGCCGCTGCCGCTTCAAGATCGCCGACTGAGGCACCCTGAGAGACTCAACAGCATCCAGGCTCGCGTCAATATACGAGCTGAGCGGAATGGCACAGACAGCGTCTATAGACTTGACTGCCGGTCCAAACGGCCAGTCCTTATGCACAGCATCGGCGCCCCTGGCAAGATACTTGGTAGTCCGAGCTGCATTCTCCACGTCGTCCGCTGCCCACCGCCGCTGTGCGATCAAAAAATATCTGAGCCGGTTATTCGGCACCCCCATCTGCACTGGCGAAACCAGACACTCGTTAACCTCAAACCCAAGCGTCCCTAGCGTCTCCACCAGCCTGGTCCTAGACTGGGAGTTTTCAAAGTTCATCACATTCTCCAGAAACACGTACCGGGGCACGTTCCGTAGCTTGGGCAGCATCTCGATCAGGTGAATCAACCCGCGTGCCCGATCGTCTTCATCATCCAGATACTTGCCCCCACGTGTGTACGGCTGGCACGGTGGGCTCAGGAGCCAGCAGTTTGCGCTGTACTTGTCGATATCGGCGGTCTCCAGATAATCGATTGCGCGGTTGTTTGGACGGAGACCAAAATTGTGCTCGTACACTGTGTTGGCGTTCTCATTCATGTCAAACGCCATGGCAACGGTGCCTGGTATGCCGCTCTGCTCAAAGCCATAGTGCAGGCCGCCGATTCCGCTGAAAAACTCGAGGCACACGACCGGATCATCCATCATCAAAACTTGAATATGGCGCTGACGCCTCATCTTCGCCGGGCCACTTCCCAATCGGGCCCAGGTTCCAGAACTCCACCCGATAATGGGTCCTTTTCGCCACACATGCACAATGGGTCCTCCCCCCCACGCGCCTGGCAAACACCAGAAACCCTCACCACAACGAGCATGATGTCGCACACGCAGTTTACTAAAGTACAAAAAACAGTCGCTTGGAAACTAGTATCGCTTAGAGCCCGTCAGGCGGTGGTCGCTGCGTGTACTCTGTCGGCCACACCCCTGCGCGCTTCCACCCGTGCACAAGCATCGGTATCGCATCCCTCAGGGGCAGCGGTTTCTTTAGCCGGCGCTTGTCCACAATGAGGCCGCGGAATATGCTCGTGTACATACGCGGGTTCACACGTCCTTCAGAGTATGTCCCGTCAAGGCTGCCTGGTGTCAGGGGCTCTGCAACACCCTTGGGCTTTGTGCCCGCCCGCCACCGCGCGTTCTGCGCTTTCCAGTGCTCCAATCCAATAAGCGGTTTGGTTGTGATAGAGTCGGCCATTATGTGGAATTCACTGCAATGCTGGCTAAAAGGCGGGAAGGTGAGGAGAGTTTTTTTTCTCCTGGCGCTGCAAGTCTAAGCGCGAAGGGCTCGGAAAACACCAATCGCGACATGGTGATCACACTCTAATTAGAAGTCAACAGCAATTAGTGGATCACTGTTAGGCGCAGTCCGCAGGCACAACCTTGTGATATCGGCGCTGGTGTCATGGTGCAGCTCACTAGTGGTCCACTCATGAAACTCGACGGCAGTTCTGTCGCTGCGAGGACCCGAGCAGTACCTTTGGAGCCAGATCACCCGCCTGCTGATCTCGGCAACAAAGCGTCAGCCCGGCCGCTTTTCGTGATGCGATTGGTTGCCCTGACGGCGCTGACACCAAAGCTTTGGGACGGAATTTTGCTGATAGCAGCAGTTTCCAGGCTCAGGAAGCACCAGGCAATTTTCTCCCTCGCTTTCCTAGTCATTCGAACTACATTGGCTTTCCTTCTAAATGACCAGTCGCATTTTAGCGTTTACGCTCCCTCAGCAGCGGCAGTTGCCTGTGCTGCTTGGGCGTAGGCAGGGAATTCAGTTTCCACGAGCAGCCGCTAGCTTTATCCTGTCACCAAAACTCTTGGCCTTGTCGCGAGCCGCTCCTACTCGGCATAGCAGCACTGTCACTGCAGGCATTCTAGACAGGAGCGTTCAGGTGTCTAGTTTTAAAACCCTTACTCCAAGCTACTTGCCTAACACCGTCTTTACTTTTGATGAAGTCGCTTCAAAAGAGGCGGATCAAGACAGCCGAAGACGCTCTGCACTGTTTAACTGAGGCGCGATCTCTAACAGACAACAAATATCTTATTGAGATCGTGAAGAGAATGCGAGAGCCAGTCAGAGACCCACGTAGGTTGCCTCCTTCGGAGCAGCCGTTCCAGTCGCAGCTTATGAGTAGGCAGGTGTGCCAGGATCTGCTGAAGGTCATTACAAAGGCAGACGAATCTGGGAACCTTCCGCGTATCGATGCACAGGCGGTCCTCGATATCTACGGCTACGCAAAGTCACAAGGGTGGGAGATCGATTCGCCGGTGCTTTCTGATACTGCTGAATTCCTTGCCAACAGCAGCTATAACGGATATGTCGATGCGGTGGCGATCATGCACAAGGAGCATCTCAAAACTGTCGCCGATTTGCGACTTACCAACGACAGCGGTTACGTGAAACTGCAGAGAAAGCGGCTTATCTTGCAGCTGGAGAGGCTCAATGTCTCGAAGTTGGAGTCAAACCAGATCCCGCTCAACGAGCTGCAATCACGCATAGACGAGCTCTCGGCAGACCAGAAGCGCCAAGCAAACGCTGCTCTTGCAGTTGATCCGCTTGATACTGCGATGGAGATTGCACGCACTTTGGCAGACCGCTCCTTTGTTTCGCAGATTGGCTTCTTCTCGGTCCTGGTACGGGCCCTGTGCGTGCGCGAACGTGTAGCAGATGCTGAATGGCTGTTTGGGATAATGAAGAGCCATGGCAGGTTCAAGCATGCTGGCAACATTTATGCGTCGATGATGTCGCTATACTACAGGGTCAACAGGCCGAGCAAGGCCGAGGCGCTGTTTAGTGAGTTCAGATCCCTGTGGCAAGCTGAGTGGAGCCAGATCCAGTCGGTGCGAGTTATGCCTGACCCAGTTAGCGCAACCGCAGAGGAGTGGCGGTTAAAGCATGAGGAGCATATCGAAAACCCGCACGTCATCACTACCGGAGAGCTCCAGGCGATTCGAAGCACAGCCGCCGATCCATTCTACCAGTATTCACTGGCGCAGCTTGGAAGCGAGGACGTAAGCAACGTGGTTGACTTTATCGTTGACGCCAAATACAGGGAGTTTGTCGCCTTCACGCCCAACCACTTCGACATACTGAATCGCCTTGTTGTGGAGTGCGACTATCTGGACTTGGGCGTTAAGCTTTTTCTGGAGATTATGCGAGGTGCTCATATTGACGGCGGTCGAGGCGTTGTGGCGAAGGATGTCATCTATTCTGAGCAGCCGCGCTATCGCAACATGAGCCGTATACTGTGGGCGCTCCCAAAGGCTGGCCGGTGGGAGGAGGCATGGAAAATAGTTGACGCCGAGAACATGAACAGCGATACCCCAATGCTCCATAGTAACGCCCTGAAAGCTCTCATGCGAATTGCACTGGCAAAAGGCAGCGTTGTCGAGGCCAAGGCCTGTGCTGAGAGGCTCCGGGAGCTTGTGCATTATTATCCCAAGGCAGCTCATAATATCACTAATAGCTGGCTGGACGATGTCTTTATTTACACACAGCGTATATACCGGCAACCAGTGCCGAGCGGGCAGCACCCAGTCAGCGAGCTCGTCGAAGCACTTGTTTGTTCCGGCGACCGGATACACGGCTTCTCTATGGCAGAATGGAATGCACGGCTAATCAAGTACACGTTCTATTCGAGAGTTCTTGGCAACGCAGTCCGTGCGCAGGTGCATGATGAGCTTTTCTCCATTATATGCCGCCATGACCTTTTGAGTCTCTTGCAGGTACGGAGAGTGGCACTCGCAGCTGTCGATGAGGTGCTGGATCGGATTCCCCAGAGTGCAAAGCGAGTACCGGTCAAAATCAGCGATGCAGCATTGGGGTGGAAGCTGTTCATCGAGACAGATATGACGCCTAGTGACCAGCTGCAGCTGAAGCTGGAAAAACATTTCCCGGAACGTTCGGATAGTGCATTTTGGCAGTGTGTACTCGAGTTGGTTACCAGGGAGACTCGCCAAACGACCATTGACGATGATGCACGCAAAGCACTGCTGGTGCTAAAGCTGGCATTCATTGCCCAGGCCAAGATCCCGCCACCAACACTCACTATGGCAAACCAGCTCTTGCTCGAGGCTCGCCTGCCGATTGTCGACATTAGCACAGGCGACCTGCTTCCGGAGATTGAGCAGATCAGGAGAGCGTCAGCATATGAGCAGTTGTCAGAGAAGGAAAGAGCTGCAGCAATGGTAGTGGCAACCGGCCAGGTTCCAAGGAGTCGATGGAGAATTACCAAGGAAGGCATCCTTGCAGCTAGCAAAATCAACAACGAGTCGCCAATCAGGGAGAAAGCCCGGTGGTATCTTGCCTGTCGCCGACGCTTCGAGATTCCTGCCTTAAAGCAGCTCACACTTCTGGTTATTGACCTGGTCAATCATGGCAGTCGTGACCAATGGGAGCCGATATTCCGTGACCATATGCCCGAATTCCTTGAGTCTATGTGCAATCCGTCGTTCAGCAGTGCTCGCGAGCGGATCCTATATGCTAGATCAATCTGGTCTCACGCAATCGTCGCCTATTCCCGACTTGGTGAGATTGAAGCGGCGGCCAGCTACTACAACAAGATCATCGATATCGGCAGCTTTCCAAATCCGCAGGCTGCGGGTGACCTCCTTTCTGCCCTTAAATCTTCGGATACACCGCTTCCTGTTCTGCGTGCAAACTGGTCTGCCTCTGCTAACACTCTCTATGGGCTTGATCCAACGCTTCCCCCGACGGGCCAGTCTCCTGCCGATCCGTTTCTCGCCACTGTAGACCAGGAGGAGCGCAATGAGCAGCTGGTACAGATCGGTCTCTGCATGCTTTATGGATCCTATCGGTCAAACCCTCGAGTGACGGATTACTTCATCAACACTGTGCTTAATGTCCTCCGCATGTCTGGAAAAATGGACCTTATTCGACATCTATTCGAGACCGTTGCTCCCACGGCTATCCAAAGCATGCCTCATTTCGAACGGCATCATCCTTCTTACCAACTATCTGCTGCAACATGGGCACTTTTCATTTCTGCAGCTGTAGAATTTGGTGAGCGCGCCCTGGCAGAGCACTGGTTCAAGGGGTACCGCTTGACTGCTTTGCCCTTATTCCTCAAGCATAGACATGCCTACTCGCCATTTACAGACAAACTGTCGCCAAATGCCAAGCTATATCATCTCGCGATTCCTTACTATATCACACCACAGGTATGGCATCCGCGCGACAGATATGGCAGAGTACCTGACCCTGCCTACAATATCGAAGAGGTGAAGCGACAGATAGAAATGGATCGGCTGCGTGAGCTAGATGGCTTGCGCCCAACAACTGCAGGCTCGCAGAAGATGATTTCGATATACACGTGTGTTGTCGAATACCGAGATATGGCGAAGGCTGAATCGTTAGCCACTGGGATTCTTGCACTGTCACAGGACAAGATCCTACCCAAAGCTGTGACTATTCTCCCAAAGCTCAACTGGGCAAAATGTACATCCCACATGGTAAGAGGGTATCTTGACGAGCTGCGACAACTACAGACGTTGTCCAGCCCTGATGTTGCGAAGGTCAATTATTCATCAGAACGGCTGGCTCATTGGTACGCGGTGTGGGAGAGGGCTTATTTGCTGGCCCGTAAGGAAGACATCAGTATCACCAGGCTCCCCGTTAGGCTGACTAGACACGAGAGGGACGAAATCGAGGATATAGCGCGATCTCGGGGCAAGAAAACACGACACTCTACATTCCAGCTATTCAAATAATATATTTGGTTAAGGAGTACTAACAGTGTATATTGGTATGTCGTCCCCAGCAGCAACACAGACCAAGGCTAAAGGGTTGGATCACCCCAACGTGGCAATACAAAACTATCCAGAAATAGCTCGGTGCTACCCGCTTACTCCTATTACAGAATTGGACAGGCTAGAGAGAATGACCCTCTGCATCTTGCAATGTGCTGCATTGCTAGATACCAGCATTGGAGCCATGTTTAAGGCTGATGATCCAACATAATAGTCCAAGGGTTTCTACAGGCTATTTGACCACGATCAGCAAAAAAGCTAGACTCGTGAGATATCGACATGTGCCACCAAATGCCACCTTTAGTCAAATAGCCAGTAGGCCCCCTATAGTGCACATATTGGATCGTCAGCCATACACATGGCTCCAATGCTAGTATCTAGCAATGCAGCACATTGCAAGATGCAGAGGCCCCGTTCCTTTGGTCAGCCAGAATCCGCAAAATGCATAAATAGGAGATACTGCACAGTTTCCAAATAGTTTTCTAAGACTACACCTGAGCACTCCAGTCATTCAATATTGGCCTGCATAGCTGCTGGAAACAACAAATTGTCGAAGCATGGTGGGCAGTAGACTAGACCATTTTTCTATCTGCCAGAGTACCTGCCTCCTACCAGATCCTGGCCAAAACGGACTCTAGTCAGTTTGCCAATGGTTTCTCTGTAGCAAGTTCGCTTGGGAACAGGTGTGCCACCTCCACTACCCTTGATGAATGCCGACCACCACCTACAACCGCTGTTGGCACAATATCGAGACCAGTTACATTCAGTTGCTGGGTTGGTATCGCGTCTGAAGCTTGCGCAGTCCCAGCCTTGGTAATCTATAAATTCTTGCCCCCCGCCAGCGGTGAACTACTAGGGTATACCTGGAGATGGAATAGACGAAGGCATTGATGGAGAACAGTAACGAAATATGCTGATTTCCCTTCCTATACCATTAGGCATTTATGCCAAAGTGAGGAAAACCTCTTTTTCATCTGACATTTTCTGCGTGCCCCTTTAATTCTTCCCTCCGCTGCTCACATGATGCAAGCGAGAAACACTACATCAGAAGGGGATGCAATAGACAGCGGTCGCTTTCTTGCCATCCGTCATTCCATTTTATATGCACATCGTTGTCGCGGCAATACTAGCGCAGGATTTCAATAGTAGCAAATTTAGACAACAAGCATGGTGCAATTTGTGCAGAACCTGACACTGACATATGCATGTAGAGGTTCGTTGTGATATCATTCTCCGCAGTTATAAAGGCAACAATAGCTGAATGCTACGCTTTCTATCCAAATAGCACCGCAATGAGCTCCAAAATGAGCCAGGAAATGCTGATAAGATTCTCGACAAAGTGGAGCATTTGTCTGTTCCAAAAACCGGATACATTCCTTTCCCATGTGGTGCTCCCTGTATAGCCGTATCATTCCCTCTGCTTGCAGATGTACACTCAGGACCCTATTAGAACACGGGGTGTATCATAAAGCCGAGAATACCCGGAGAAAACATAATAGGATGCTGGAAAGGGAGTACATCCATGAAGAGACATTGGAGGAGTATGTTACAACCCTCATTCTGTTAGAGAAGACAGCAGGTTTGGTTCGGTGTTGTCCTCCAGCGCCATTCTCTTGATTTCTTCACAGTGGCCATGTTTGTCACCGAGTAAGCATATCCGAATATGCACATGGCGCTGGTATTATTGGCACTCTCCACCTATGACGCACGGTTTGAAAACAAAAAAGAGAGCACAGCTGCTGCGGTATCCAGAAAAACAAACAGTAATTCTTGTGTTTGTCAATCCCAATGCGAGCAGCTGGGTAAGCATACACCTGGACAAGTACCCATTCAGCAGCCATTGAGCAGGTGCCAAAATAGGTAGTCAGCGCAGTGAGAAACTACTGGTTGGATTTATCGCCCTTTTCTGTTCAAATGGCACTTGGCAATACCACGTACGCAGAGTACTGCTTTTTATTTGAACACTGGTGTAGATATCTTCTTGGATAGTTTATTGCACCGCCCAGATAAGTGTTACTTTAGCTTCCTCCAGGGACACTCCCGACGAAAAGGAAACCCGGCGACTCTTATGGTGCGTAACATATGCAAATGCATGGCTACCAGATGCTGTAGCTATGCGTTCTGGTAATCTGCAATGGCAACATTATTATGGATTCCATTGTCCAGGTTTTCGACATCCCGTTCACCAAGAAACTGTTTGCAATTTCTATACATAATATCTTCACTGCAATATGATCAGGCTAGTGAAGGGTGGTCCCAAGGTGCCTTGCCATCGATAGAAAGGCGTCATGGGAGGGCGTACCCGACAAAGGTGATTATATATTCATTTTGGCTCTCTTGATACCGTAGGTCGGACTGTGGGTCCCAGTGTATTCTGAAATATATATTGACATATGTAGTGGATATGCGATACTCGCTTGTGCCTAGAGCTACCCTTGGGTATCGCAGATCCTAGGAAGCCTGGAGCAAATTCTCCATGGGCTGCCCTGGTTCAGAACCACAAGGTGAGTTTCTCCGAGTTGGATTCTTGAGAAAAGCAGTGTCGCTTGCTTTACCACCAGGCTTCAGGACATCCAATTAGACTTTAGACAAGAAACGGAAATGTGGGCAGGATTGTCGAGCGTATGTGGTGTGCAAATTGGTTTCTTGCATATCAGAAAGCGGCCAAAAGTGCTGGGTATGTGTGCTCTTGTCCTCACAGCTGCGCCTACGTCCTTAGACAAAACAAATGCCAGTCGGATTCCCCTTCCTCTTCAACAGGATGCCTGCACAACCTACCCAGTGGCGACTCAGAAAAATAGGCTCCACTTGTCAGCATGCTGACAGAATTGCTGAACAGGAAACAAGGGCATAGCGTTCTCCAAACGTACAGACTATAAATGACAGACAGCCATCCTCCCTACCCCTTAAACACTAGCACCATTTATTTTTCTCTTCTCTTGACTCGAACCATGTACGCCTCAGTTATTATCAGCCTCCCAAGCAGCGACATCTACCCTGGTAAAAGGTGTCCCTGTTGTTAACCTTAGGAATGGGACGAGTGTTTACGAGCGTGTATGTGAGCTAAAATCAAAATGAAACAAGATTGACTGAAGGAAAAGGGGAGGGTCCGGTCGGCCTGAGGTCTGATTTTATGTGGTTTGGTTGTTGGCATGGTGACGTGGGAGTGGATCGACACTCCAATGTCAACATCACCCCCGCCTAGATCTGAGCTTGTAGGGTTCCCTGAGCTTGGGCTCGTTGTCTTTCTTCTTTCGGTCATGTTCTTGCCAGTAGTCACGTATTATACTGGGACTATCGAAGTTGGCGAAGGACTCCCAGGAATCTGCTTCAGTATTGTCCTTCCAGCGTACTCGGTACTCATAGTCATCGAGCTTGTTCAAGCGATGCCCAATGATCTTGTCGACTTCCAGAGATGATTCTTGGAATAGTGGGACGTCTGATATCATGTGAAGTTCGGACACTGTATAATGTCTGGCCAGCTGTTGGCCCTCCAGGTCCTGTAGCGCATAACTACCTCCCTTAGTAATAGCTGTTACCAGGAATGGTCCCTCATTAGCCGGGTCCAGCTTGTTGGCGCGGTTACGTTGCATGACCATTACATATGAGCCGACCGGGATCTCTGTAATCTTGTGTGTCAGGCCATGCTGTCGGCGGTAGGCGATGGAAACCTTGACTGCGGCGCGCTTGATGGCTGGGAACAGGACCTTCTTCATGAACTTCTCATGTGCAGCTTGGCCACGTGTGTTGACTTGACCAGGTCGTGTGCCTCTATGGTCTTGCCAGGCGTTTGGTGCACGGCCAAACATGATGGAGAATGGTGCCGAGTGGTGACGTCGAACAATGCTGCAGTTGATGCAATACTGGGTGAATGGTAAGTACAAGTCCCACTCGTTCAGGACTCCTTCAACCAACTTGAGGATCATGTTTTTCGCTGTTCGTACAGTTCGCTCCGCTGCGCCGTTGGCCTCTGGGTGGTATGGCGTTATCAACCGGTGGTCGATGCGTGCTTCTTTGACCACTGCTGCCATGACCTCATTTACGAACTCCCTGCCATTGTCGCTCTGTATGATCCGCGGAAATCCGAAGTCAAAGAATACCAGTATAACTGCCTTGGCAACTGCAGATGCTGATTTATCTGGCAGGGCACGCAGGATGACAAATCGTGAGTGGATGTCAATGAGTACTAGCAGGTAATGGTTCTCCTGTGTAGAGGTTGTGAATGGGCCAGCTAGATCGATAGCCACATGATCAAATGGTGCGTCAGCAAGGATGGGTGTGATCGGGTGGTACCCACGTCTAGGTATGTTGTAGCGTAGGCATTGAATGCACCGGCCCGTGACTTTCTTGGCATCATCCAGCATGTTCGACCACTTGTATCCATTCTGGCGTAGTGTGCGTACCATGGATTCAGCGCCAAAGTGCCCGACTGCATGCTGCTTCATCAGTAGCTCATGTCTCAGTGCCTCTGGTGTCACCTCGTATGCATCGACATCTGCCAGCGGTATCCTGCGGATGGTGAGCGTAGTTTTTTGCTGTGCTAGACTGGAGCCGGGTCCCCCCCTCCCAGACTCGGACTGTGGGTAGAGGCGGGATAGTGAATCAGGCAGGACGTTCCAGATGCCTGGCCGGTGTACCACCTCGAAGTCGTGGGCGAATATGGTGTCGTACCATCCAACCATCATGGGAGATAGATGTGGCTGCGTGTGAAGATATGTCAGCGCTTTGTGGTCGGTGAATAGTGTGAATTGACGCCCCCAGATATATGCGTGGAACTTCTTCAGGGCGAATACGATGGCCAGGAGCTCACGCTTGGTGGTTGAGTAGTTGCGTTCGCTGGCAGTGAGCATGCGTGCCTGCCAGGACACATATTGTTTGTTGCCATTCGTCGGGTCCACGTGGTAGAGACCAGCACCGATGCCTACGTCCGAAGCATCTGTTGCAATAAAGAAGTGGCGATTAAAATCTGGGAAGTGGAGGAACGGTGGGGCTTGGAGGATAGCCTTCACGGCATCAAATGCTGCCACCCGCTCAGTGGTCCAATCCTCGACCCGAATAGTTGTCAATTGGGACAGTTGATTTAGCGGTGCTGTGAGGGTGCTCATATTGGGCACATGTTCACGGAAGTAGTTCAGGAATCCCATTAAGGCTTGGGCCTGCCTGCCTGTACGTGGACGCTCTAGGCCAGCCACTTGGGCTCTGCGTTTGGTGTCCAATGTGTGTCCGCCAGCAGTTATTTGAAAGCCAAGTAGGGTCAGGGAAGTCCTGAAGAAGTGGCACTTCTCGATATTGAGTATGAGTGCAGCTTCATTGAGCCTAGTGATGACATCACGCACATGTCGCATGTGCTCCTCAAGAGTGAGGCTGTATATGATGATATCATCAATATATGCTTGCGCGAATGGCATATCGTACAGGATGGTCACGATGAGGCGCTGAAAATGCGAAGGCAGGGTTTTGAGTCCGAATGGTGCACGTGTGAACATGTACTGGCGATTCCGCCAGGTGAATGCCGTCTTGTGCTGATGCTCCTCGAGCACTGGCATGCGCAGGTATGCAGACTTCAGATCGAGTGACGTAAAGTACATCGCGGTCGCTAGATCTGCGAAGATGTCCCTTATCACAGGGAGAGGGTACTTGTCTTCGTCGATTGTGTCGTTCAATGCGCGGAAGTCCATGCACGGACGGCATAAGGTAGGCTTACCATTAGCGTCTTTTTTGGGCACTGGAAACATCGGCGAATTATATAGTGATGCTTTCGATACCGGGACCACTACACCATCATCTATCCAGCCTTGGACTACACCATCATATGATGCTCGCATTGTCTGTGCGATTGGGTATTGGCGTTGGAATACAGCTCGGTGTTTACCCGTGTATATCGTTACCTGTGCCTCAGGTAGTGGGCAGGGGGTTCGAGGGTCGATTCTACGATTTTCTTCCAGAGCATCGTGAATAAATGCCATGCACTGTTCTGGAGTACAAGCAGATATCACATCTGCTGTTCCCTCTGAGGTGACGCAAGGCACTTCGTTATCTGGGGTACCATCATCTCTGGACATGCCCATATCAGGGTAGTAATAGTGATGAGCAGCTATATTGACGTTAAGGCTCTTGATCTCAGGATATCCCAGGATCATGCCAACGGAATCCACCGTTGGGACTACCAGGAGTGTGGTCTTCGTCATATGGGACCGAGTGCTCAAGGTAACCTCGACCTGGCCGAGGGTTTTAAGCAGTTCACCAGGATTGGCCGTCTGCGGTTTCATACTAGTAGGCGTAATCTCAACACCAAGCTCTTCGACCACTTCCTCCGAAATGGTTGAAATGTCCGCACCCGTATCCACGAATGCTTGGACTGCCAGCCCGTTGACCTTGGCTATAATGATGCGATCGTCTTGCTGTTCCAGTCGCATGGTGATGCGACGGTTCTTGTTGGTCTTACGTGGGCACTCGTGGGCCATATGCCCTAGTTCACCACAGCGATAACACGTGATGTCTTGGCCCTTGGCCCTAGCCGTGTTCGCCTCATTGTCGGGCTCAGTCTCCGATATGCTCTCCTTGCGCTTGGGTTCTGGCGATAGGCGTCGCTCCTTGCGTGGTTTGAGGGTGCGCTCATGAGTCCAGTGGCCATACTGTCTGTGGGTGTCACCATACCTTCCGCCGCTGCGTGGCCTCTTTTTCGGTGGTGCTAACGAGGTTGGGATTGGCTTGTCTGCAATGTTCATAGACTTGAGCTGTTGGGCGATATCAATGAGTGCACTGCCTCGGCCTCCTTGGCGTCTCCACGCTAAAAGTACACAGCTGACGCTTTCGGGTAACAGGTTGATCAGTCTGTTGACCAAGATGATGTCCTCGTCCTTGCCACCGGCCTTGAGCGCAATGGTGCGAAATCGATGCGCAAATTGAGCCGCTGACTCATCGACCTCTTGGCTGCATTTGAATAACTCCTCACAGTATTTGCGCCTGACTTGCTCGCCGGCTAAATGGTCCAGGATAGCTTGTCTGGCTTGTCTCCAACTCAAGTCACACGACACATGGGTGCGTAGCCAGAGATCCTCCTCATCCTCGAGGCATATGGGTAGTAGTCGGGTCCAGTGATGGTCAGGCTGAAGGCCGTTAGCATACAGCTTCTTCTGGAACTTGTTCAGGAAGACCTCGATGTCATCCCCTTTATCGTCCATGGTGGAGTACGAGGGCAGGTTGCGTGGTATGCGGAATTCCTCCTTGTTTTCCTCTGTCGGGCGTCGTATATGTGGTTCCCACGGTGCGGCGATCGGCTCGTCAGTTGGCAGAATGGGTGCCTCATTGGTTTTGGCTCCTTCCAAGATCGGCTGTGGTTGGTATAGTACATTGTGAGTGACTTGGCCACAGGCCGTCAGCCTCTCTAGCTGAGCCTTGGTTGCCTCGAGCTGCTTTTCGATTTTCGACAGCTCCTGTTCGGCCTGTTGGCATGTCTCGCTGTCTGGGTCCATGAGGACCAGGTCGGTCAGCTTCAGCGTCTGGTCGGTCTTGCGGTCCTCCAGCGTTTTGACGCCCATCATCAGTTTGAGCAAGTGTTCGCGTAATAGTTCGTCGCGTGGTGCTGATGCCGGTGTCTCCGTTTTGTCTTCAGTCAGGTGGTTAAGCTCCATGTTGCTTCCTTTCACTCAAAAAAAATGTTAACCTTAGGAATGGGACGAGTGTTTACGAGCGTGTATGTGAGCTAAAATCAAAATGAAACAAGATTGACTGAAGGAAAAGGGGAGGGTCCGGTCGGCCTGAGGTCTGATTTTATGTGGTTTGGTTGTTGGCATGGTGACGTGGGAGTGGATCGACACTCCAATGTCAACACCTGTGATATCTGCAGTGGATCCACTGACTAGTAGCCCCAAGGATTATGGATCCTGGTAGCTGCGCCTAGCTCTCTTGCTCATACCTTCGTGGGAATGTTGCGCATTTTGCAATAAATAAACGTATATATACTCTTTTCCAAAAAAAAAAAAAAAACTGCGCGGTTATGTTCAAGCAACTACAAGTGCCCGCAGCGTGTGATAGTGCATGTATTCTCCTAGCGAATGCTTTTATAATCAGCTATAGCTGACAGCTACAATTTCTAAGGGCCCTGAGTCTATGTTGAGCATAACGTGCTGCAGACCAGCGGACAAGGGTAGCCCGTCGGCAACAGCAGAGGCACGGAGGCGTATTCGCCGATGACGTTACACATTCTCTGATTAGATTACTTCTTGGAGCTGATCTCGCTGAAAATCACCTACGCTGTAGTAATCACCAGATCGCGCTTTTTGCAGGTACTCTTCAATGCTGCAGTCGAATATAGTTGCCAGCGACGGAAACCGGCGTGGGCTCAATCTTTCGATTTCACTGCCTCTAGGTAACAACACAAAAAATGGTAAAAATCGATCGTTGGATAAGGCCGCAGGGACAAGGCGTGTTGGATGCGGAGCTGCGTTAGGCGGGAGAGGATAGATGCGGATGAATATATTGCTGCCCGAGAAGCAGAGAGAAAGTCCAGAAATTCAAAATGCGGCCTGCGTGAAATTGGACGTTTGAATGTACCGTTTTCTCACCCCCTACGACCGCACCAACACCCTGCAGCAGCCCGGAACCCACAGGCTATGGCAAGCTAGGCAGCCTGCAGGCGCAATGCAGAACCTGTGATCCTCCCGCGTTTTTCTCAAATTGTTTGTTGTTTTGCATCTGTAGGACGCTAAGCAGCAGGTTAAGCTCGCCAAGGTTACTAAGGTTCTCGGCCGCACTGGCTCCCGTGGTGGTGTCACCCAGGTCCGCGTTGAGTTCATGGACGATACCTCTCGTTCCATCATCCGTAACGTCAAGGGTCCCGTCCGCGAGAACGACATCCTGACCCTTCTCGAGTCTGAGCGTGAGGCCCGCCGTCTCCGTTAAGGAACTCTGGGGATTATTCTTTCTCTTTGCTCTCCTCAACGGATCGAACTGCGAAGAATAGGCGTTTCTTTGTTCGTGTATGAGTGTTTTCTAGCCCAAACACAAATAAAATCTCAAGCTCTACAGATCCACGGCTGTTTCAGAGGGCGGAGGAGTGTTTAGTCAGCAGCATGTAGCCAATTCTCTACCGCGGACTGCTCTTTTCCGGCCTTTTCTTTATCGCAAGCTTTGGGTAACAGGCCTCGCCTCCTTTTTTACACTCTTGTTCGCTTTACAATGCCTGTTGGAGACAGAACTTCGCTTGAATCCTTGTCAAAGGTCGGTCTCGGGTGCGGCGTGTTCAGCGGCGCATACGGCCCAGCCTCACAGGAGAATGCGATCGAGGCTGTGCGCACGGCCTTCAGCAGCGGCATCAACCTGGTAGACACTTCGCCTTATTACAACGACAGCGAGATAAAGCTGGGAAAGGCGCTGTTGGCACTGCGTCCCGAGTTCCCGCGCTCGTCGTACCACATCTGCACCAAGCTCGGGCGCTACGGCTACCACACCGCAGATTTTGATTACTCGCGCGAGCGTGTCCAAGCCAGTGTCAGCGAGAGCATGCGCCGTATGCACACCGACTACCTGGACATTGTTCTGTGCCATGACGTCGAGTTTGTCAGTATCTCCGAGGTTGTTGACCAGGCGCTGCCCGAGTTGTTTGTGCTCAAGGCTAAGGGCATTGTGCGCAATGTCGGGATCAGCGGTTACCCGCTGCCAGTGCTGCTGGAGATTGCCCAGATCCAGCAGCAGCGTGGGAATCCGCTCGACGTTGTCCTGTCGTACTGCAACTACAACCTGCATTGCCAGACGCTGAAGGAGTACGTGCCCAGGCTGCGCGACGCAGGCGTAACGACCATCATTGCGGCCAGCCCGCTGTCCATGGGATTGCTAACCTCTGGCCCAACGCCCGAATGGCACCCAGCCAAGGATGAGGTCAAGAGCGCAGTTGCAGAGTGCGTCGCTTTGGTTGACAAGACATTGGTGAACAAGCATGGCGTGACGCTGGCGGAGATGGCAGAGAAGTTTGCGTTCGGGTTTGATGGAGTCGATGTGCATCTGGTTGGTGCAAGGACCAAGGAGGAAGTGATGCGTGCACTGAGTGCCTATGAGAGCACGCAGGAGTCGAAGATGTCGAATGGCGGCAAGTACAGGGACGAGGAAGTGCAGGCTGTTTATGAGCAAGTGAAAGAGATTCTGGAACCCTTTTCCAACTACACCTGGCCGTCGCCACCTGCAGACGCCTGACTGTTGGGCATTTAGCCAAGGGCACACACTAGAAGGTATATCAATACATGACAAGCGTTTGTTAACATCCCTACAAAAGTTTGCTTATTGCGTTTTCTTGCGGGCAGGCGTCACTGGGGCTACTAGTCTCCTGGGCCTTGGCCCCTTGGATGCCGTGCTTATCGTCAGCCGTTTCTTCTGGCCACGAGATCCCGAAAACGCAAACAGCCAGGCCTCAGCAGCAGCAATAATAATCGCAGAAGCCAACCCCAGCAGGATCCGGAAGCCCAGCTCCGACGTCAGCGTGTACGAAGCATAGAACACTGCAAACCCGACGCCCAGCGCACTGAACAGGATATTCGCAATAACAGAAATCTGCCTGTTAACCTCCTTCATCTCCTGCTGCGCTGATATCGGCCCTGCCGACACACCAATGCGCACGCCGGGGACCACTGTATCCAGATCTGTTGTATTATTACCACCAGGCTTCTCGTGCATCTTCAACTGAACATTGTCGGTCATCTTCTTGTACTCCTGCTCTTCCAGCATTCGGCTGATTTTGGCCAGCCGTGCCTCGAGCTCCGGGTTGCGCGGCTTCGGCTTCGGCTTCTCAATGTAGATGCGACTGCCACGCAGCAAAGTGTGGATCCAGGCTTCCTCACCTTGAGCGAGCAAGTGCTGTGAGACTGCTTTCACTGTGGCCAGCGCCATAGTGGTGTCTGTATCGCTGGTGAGCCTTACTTTAGTGATCCGTGCGATTTCCTCCCGCTGAAGGTGGGTCTTGGGCAGGCTTGGCAGGCTGTTCTTGCATGCCTGCTGCAGCACTGCAGTCACCACGAACTGCATTTCGTCGGCTGCTGCCGTCATTCGGGGCAAAGGTGAGAAATTAAAAAGGAAATTATGAGGTTGCAGATGACAAGCAGAGAAGAAAGGCTGTGTGATCCTGGCGGATCAGCAGCAGGCTGGTGTGGCAGATATAAAAGGGTGGCGGCGGGACCGGAGCAGGTCGTCCACATCTCTTTTCCACTCGCTAAATTTTTATATCTGTTTTTTGAATCGTAAGTTTGCTGAATCAGTTGTGAATCGGGCATTTTGTGCTGTGGAACTCCCTTCTTCCTTTGCGTTTGTGAGGATGCAGTGGCGAAACTTTCCCTTACTCGCTGTATTGCTAACCCTCGTCACCTCTCGTCGAGACGCGGTCTACGTGCCTTGTCGAGAGGAGTTCGTTTCTCGAGCATAACGCTATATCAATCCCCACTACGTCAATGCCTGGTTCTTGGACTCCTTTGGGATGCCTTTGCGTGTCTCAGCGACCACTCTGGGAACCAACCTTTCACATTGTGTAGACATTCAGAAACTCTAAAAACCCTTACACTTTAGGACTCATCGGGATCAGGCAAGGTAAAGCAGCGGGCTCCGCTGATCGGGCGCTTTGGCGTGCCAATGGTGCCAGGATGGTGTATGCGTGTAGATAGATGGACTCTTGCGTGTAAATAGCTCTTTGAATACATTTTTGCCCTATTAAAAAACTACGAAGCATTGCCACATCCAGGCCAGGTTTTTTTGCTGCTTCAGACGGGCTGTGCCAGCGACCTGATCTGATCAATGAATCGGAGCAGATAACTCGGGCTCTTTTTTGCATTTTGCTGAGCTTCGCAATCTCTCCATTTCCCTTCCAATTCGCATTCTTTTTCCATTCAATTACACTAAGCAACCACCAGCAATGCTCGCTCCCTTGACCCGGCAACTGCCTCGGCTCCCGCACACCGCTACACGCCTCATGTCCACGCAGCCGTCGGCCGCAGGCAAGTTCTGGAAGATCACGCTGCAGCGGTCGCCGATCGGCCTGCCTCCGCGCACACGCCAGAACGCCGAGGCTCTGGGCCTCAGGCGCCGCGGCAACATCGTGTACCGGCCTATCACCAACGAGCTGGCTGGCGTGGTGCTGAAGCTGAAGGAGATTGTCAAGCTTGAGATCGTTGACAGCGTCCAGGAGAGCAAGACTCCGGCGAACGATGGGTTCGAGGTTATCGGTCGGATGAACCCGATGATTGCTTCCGGGTACACGCCGGCCAAGCCCTCCAGTGTGTTTTCGTGGAAGAACAAGCGCTAAATGTTTCGGGGTTAAATGTCAGATATATATATGCCATCCGGAAATCATAGAGTTGTACTTTGGAGAAAGAAAGGTGAGGAGGAAATATGCTGGTTTGCACTTTGCGAAGTGGATTTCGAGTGATATGGATGTGAAAAGGGAGACGATGAAAGGAAAAGTAAAGATCGGGGTGTTATTTTTTGTGTTGCTCTACCAGCACGGTCCTATTTCTTCACGCCCGACAATGGCTGCGGCATCGTCGGCGGAACCAGCTGGCTGTAGTGGCCGACCGTGCGTGCCCGCTGCAACTTGCCGACGGAGCTCGCTACAGTAGGCAGCACATGGCTGTGGTTCATCTCTGGGACTGCCTCGACATCGCATTGGGCAACCACGGCCTCTGAAGCGTTGCGGCCTGACGACCCAGCAGATCCCAGGCTCGACTGGCTGCCGGTGCTGATCACACTGAGGCGATGGCGCTGGATCATTTCAGGCCGGGTGAACCGCAGTGATCCGGCGTGTGGCGAATGCCGACGCATAGGGACCCTGTCAGACCGCGAGACAGCCCGCAGTGCAGAGCCAGACACAGTGCCGTAGACGCCGATGCTTGGAGTGTGGCCGCTCATCATTCATGCCTAATGGATCGGTCTCCGACTCTGAGAACGACCGCACACGCCGCTCTAGATCCGACCTGATGTTCAGTCCCAGATCAGTAGGTCGCACACGGCCTGCATTGTGGCCAGAGCCCGAATGGTCACTCCCGGCACTGCCTGGTGTTCCGATCGCCACGGCTGTGCGAAGATGATGGGCGGCTATTGACCATGGCTGCGGAAGCAGTCAGTGTACATAGGGCGGGCGACACTCCCACACTAGCCAGCGCGTGCTTGGCTGAGTTCAGCGTGCTGCCGGGCATCAGTGGATCCTCTAGCACTGGAACGCGTGGATGGCCCAGGCCGTCAGAAAGCGTGCGCCCTGACGACGAGCTCCATGTCGACATGCGCTCAGAGTTGGACTTCACAAGCACGCTGCCCGGAGAGTCGCGCTCAGGGATATCATCCATCAGGGTATTGCGGGGCCGCGCCTGCACATGCTCTTCGATCGACGAGTCGCCTGTCTCGATCATGCTAATAAGGTTGTGCGTGACTGACGACGCACGCTCGCGGCCACCAGTACTGCTGCGCTTCGAGTCAGCACCCGAATCACGGCTATTCTGCCGGCTAAGCATGGCCATCGACTGCCGCACACGCTCCGGAGACATGGTCTGCGATCCTGGCCGGGAGTTGCCAGGGCTTCTAGTGCTTGCACTGTCAGCTGACTCCAATCACCAATTTAAGCATACGCGATGCTTCCGAGGTTGTGCCCTGCGGTGTAGGTGACCCAGATGGCATTTGGTGCGGCGTCCGCCGTCTCTGACACACTTAGAATGCTCAGTGCATTAGTCGTGACCTGAGCCATTGGCGATGACATCGGCGTGGGCAACAAGACTGACGCAACCGACTGCGACGACGAGACCGACGACCCTGACGGCATTGTTATGGCGCGAGGCATCGACCGCGGCGAAACAGCACCTGGCTGATGCTGTGTACTCTGCTGTTGCGACACCCGCTGTTGCGCTGGCTTGGCATTAGCAGTAAACACAATGTCACGCGCCCGAGGCATAGCCTCTGACGCACTACCCGCACTTATCCGCCGCAATGTTGACGACCGCGAGTTACCAGGTGACGACACATTAGCCTTCATTCCCGCTCTCCAAGCTGTGATCGCCGCCAAGCTCCCGGTCGCCTTCGGTGTTTCTGCTGTCATCGTCACAATCGCCGCCGACCATCGGTGTTGGTATTGCGCTGCGAAAGGAATCGTCCAGTGGCGCACAGGTCGCTCATCCTTGGCAGCCTCGCAGCGGTCGGCACTAATACTTCCCGGTAGCCCAGCATCAAACAGCGACTGGCCCAATACAGGAAGCACAAACGCCGCCTCGCCTTGGCTTGTTGTCGACTGTGGCGACCACAGCCCTTGCTCGCCGGCTAATGCTGTCTGATCCAAGCGCCCCGAGTACACACTATCTGTGCACACTGAGACTACCGAGCTTGGCCGCTTTGCAGAATTAAGCATATGCGACGATATATACTGCGACGACCGAGGCCGGGTCTGCACTGATGGCCAGCTCTGACGTAAACGATGTTCTGTGACTACTCCGAACCCCTGCCATGCTCATCGTCTGACACCAGTGACTGATCTGCCGAACCCTCGCCATTACCACCGATTGACCTGGCAGCAGTGGCTGGCGAATAGCTGCCGTCATATGATACACGCGATCTAGCCTGCGGTCCAGGGCGAGTTGGACCGGCTCGACGCATTTCCCACCTCCAGAGCTCGCCAGGCTGGTTCGGGACATCCGTTTGCGTAGAGACAGTGCATCAGGCACATACTTGCCGTGCGCTCGGCCGGCTGGGGACAACGCCGACGACCTATGCACCAGTCCAGCCGTCTGCGAGCGCTGCATCCTGGGCAATTCGCCGTGCGACTGCGATGGCGACAGGCTGGTTGCTCTTCCCGAGAATGCCGGGATAGGTCCCTTGCGCGAAGCAATCTGCCTCCGCATACTGATGGTCGAGGTTGGAGATGCAATCGGCTGCAGGCTCCGCCGTCGCTGTCCCAGAACACGCCGCAAATGCGGAAACTCCTTGCTCGCCTGGCTCTCGCTCCCAAAGAACCGTGTGCTGGCTGGCAGTGCTGCCTCCAACCGCTCGATGTCGCCCAAAATCTCCTGCATCATCTCGTACGCTTTCTCGGCCTGTCGCTGCAATGACTTGAGCGCCATCGCCCCTTCGCGCTCCTGCTTGGCCAGATGGCTGACGTGGCTCAGCTGCATGGCCGACTCGGCAGCCCGGCCACCCAGCTGCCTGGCAGCATGCACTGCATCGCTCTGGCGGTCACACACGCGCTGCACGCGATCGGTCACGTAGTCGCGGAAGCTGAAGCAGAATCCTGTGAGCTCCGTCTCGTCCAGATTCAACTCTACAGAATCAGGCAGCAGCAGCGAGATAAGAAGCCATTAGTTGCTGCACGCGGGATTGGGGAATACTGATTTCGCACGCATGTGCATCCCTGGCGGCTGGGAAATAAAACGTGTCCACGACAATGTGCTGCATGCATAAACAATGAGACATCTACATCTACACATTGCCATGATTACTTACGTTCTGCCGATGGCTCGACATACCGTGTCGCCGACTGAAACAGCCCTGATAGCCGGTTGTTTGATGGCGCCAGCACTAATGGTCTGTACTTTGGAATCTGGTTAAACGCCTCGAGGTCGGTATCTAGCGGCGGCGGCTTCTGAACGCCGCTGAACACTGTGAACAATCCCTTGCTATTTAATAAGGAGCAGATATTGTCTCTTGTGGTTAGTGGTAATGTTGATAGTATCCCAGAAAGGGGGGAGCCATTGTCGTCCATCACAAGCATTGCCATTGAGCAGATGGACGTTGTATAATGCCCATGTCCTTGCTGCTGCTTGCCAATGCCTGGGAACGGCGCGTACCAGCAGATGTCAGCAGGCCAGTGTGCAAAGAGTAGGGGCAGGTCGAAAAACGTTGGTTCCTCGGTTTACGGTAGGGCATCGTTTCCGGGTACCATGGGCGCAAGGGCTATCCGCCATTGTTGTTCGCCCGCATTCCTCTCTTTTCAATGGGTGTAACTGCAATGTCCTTGGCCAGCTGTGTTCCCTGCCAGCATTGCACAGGAGGCTTGAAGCAAAAAAGCAAGTAGCAGCTTGCTTTGCTCGACTCTCTCTTTTCATGTCTCTAACGCGGAGGAGGGGAAGGGAGAGGATGTACATTTAGAGAACAACAGCAGTGCAAACTTACCTCTGACGATTGTGTACGGCTCCTGGGCCTCCCCATTATCGACACATGGCTAGCCGGCTGGCTCGACAGCACCCTCGACACCTTTGGCCAATTTGGACCGTGGGGCCTAGCGACAGTCGTGTGCGCTCCACTCCGTCATCATGCAACGAGTCCTCGCGCGGCGGCGTGGCCAGCGATAGCAGCGACACTCTGCTGTCGTTTTTTGGTCGGCCCATGTAAAACGAGCTGTGCTGTGTTGTTGGCGCGTGTGTCTGCTGGTGCTGATGTTGGTGCTGGTGCTGGTGGTGCTGGCTGTGTATAGTCTGCGGCTCCTTAAAGCTGCTGCTGCCAGCCGCTGTAAATCCCTGCGACAGCCGCGATCGCGCTGTTGACGGTCCGAGCCCGCTGCGACGAAAGGTCAATCCCACGCATATTCATGCTGGACGCGCTGACTACTCAAAAATCAAAACAAGCGTCTGATTAGCACGCAAGAGTTTGCCTTATGACAAGAGCGTTCTGTGCCCCTTTGCGTTACCTGACAGCTGCTGCGGGCCTCGGCCCGTGCCGACCTGCACCGAGCGCACGCCGCTGACCCGCCGACTGCTGTTGACGCCATTGCCGCCGCCCCCTTTAGCACTCGAGTGACTGTTTCCCTATAATTCCAGCCAAAGGCATTGTTAGTCTTGCTGCTTTCGCCACGCATTTTCTGGGTGATAATTTACCGCCTCCTACGCGGCTATTGCACTCAGCACTGCTAGGAGGAGGCCCTGGATTCATCCACATCCCAGAACAGCCTGCCTGTCTCATAAAAGACGCTCAATAATAACCCTCGTATCTCCAGGCTGGTAGTAGCGGCCAATACCGAGGCAAGAACTGCTGACCACGCTCCCGCAACGCGCGACTTACCATCCTCTAGAAAGGGCAAAAGGACGCAAAGAGAATGAGAAGAATTACAACAGAGGAGGAATGAGAATATAGCGAAAGAGATAGACACGGCTTTGCGTCGGGAACCAGACGGTCTCTTCTATTCTTTTCGTTCTAGGTGCTATCAAGACGCTGGTTGAAAAAAATAAGGCACCCCTCCCCGCACCAAAGCTTGGAGAAAAGAACGAGTTCAAGATACGGAAAAGTTACAAAAGGAGGGAACTGGAGAAGAGAGCGCTGGCTGGCTGGCTGGAGTTGAATTCAGAAGGCAGAGCAGGGAAGGCAGTGATAGAAAAAGTTTGAAAAGTGGGGCTTTAGTTTAGAAAAGAACGATTTGGGATGGCTGATAAACGCAAGTGGTAGAAAGGAATCAGCCATCACCGCCCGGTGTTGACGGGATATGAGGTAGGGAGCGCTAGAAAAAATGCACTACTGGCCCAATTCGGAAAATAAAACTGGGGACGCTCGCTGGACACCTCCAACAGAGCCCGCGAAGACTATTTTATGGCGCCGATTTAGAGCTTCTATAAGGGCGATAAACCACAGCTGGCGTGCTCGTAGCTGCACATGCAATGCCGATTTGCACAAACGAGCAAACCGGCCATTCGCTAGAAACGCGACGACACACAATGGCAGCAGAATAGAGTTCCACTTTATTAAGGCTACTCCTCGCGGCGCTGGTACGGCATATGGCGATGCTCCTTGGTGGCATTCCTCTTTCGCCGCTTCTCCAAAAACCTGTCGAGCTTGGCCGAGTCCTTGAGCTTGGAGAACTTCTCGGCAACCTCCAGGTTCTTCAGATCGCGCTTCTTTAGGAAGTACGGCATCTTGCCCTGCTTGGCAGCCTCCATCTCCTTCTTCCTGTGCGTGCGCTTGAGCTCCTGCATATGCTTGCGCTGCTTCTTGGATGCCTCGCGCGACTGCATCGAGTTCACTAGCTTCTGGATCCGCTCGGCCTCGTTGGGGTCGGAATTGCGCAGCTTGCGCACCTGCTGCTTCAGCGACTCCAGCTCCTCGTTGCGCTGGGCGTCCAGGAACGCGTACGACTTCTCAAACAGGTCCTCGTTGAAGTTGCCCGAGAGGCTGTCGAAGCGCGGATCGCGCGTCTGGTTCTTGGGCACATCCACCACCTGCCGGAACCGCCCCACCGGCCGCTTGGCCGACATCATCGAGGGCTTCTTCTTGCTATCGCGGGAGAAATCCTGGCTCGCTGGCTTGTTCGACACCATTTCGGGCCCGCTGTCGCTGCTCTCAGAGTCGCTACCCGAGTCTGCTGAGCCTTCCGAGTCGGACGAGACTGCCTCCCCTTTCATGCGCTTTAGTGCTTTGGCCGCTTTGCGCCGCGCATCCGCCTTGCTGCTCGGCATGCCCATGCTCTCGTTGAATTTTTTGGTGCCCATCTGCTGCTGGATCCGGATCAGTTGACTGAACGGCACATCGGCAAGCTGCTGACGGATACTGGCTGCCCTGTCGCCCTCGTCCTCGTCCCCGTCTTCGTCTTCTGATCCCGAGATCTGTTCAAGCTGCTCACCCTCAGCATCGCTGCTCTCAATGTGGGAGAACTCACCGGCAGCATCGTCGCTGCTGTCCTCGTCGGACGAGTACTGAATTACTTTGGACGGCTTAGGCATTGGAGCAGGTATATGTGAGAGGAAAAATGCGAAAGTCGAAGAGAAAAGAGTTTTTTTTCGGAGCCGGTGATCAAGCCCGGGTTAATTTGCTTGTCCCAGGAAACACGGACATGTGAGCAGCCAAAGCTCCGAGAAAGCACCTTGACCAGATTGCTAGAGCAGCGCCCTTTTCATGTGCACATGCCTCTGGGTCAGCTATCTTTGCTCCTCTCTTCTTTTCCTCGCTCTCCGCGCTTTCCACGCTTTCCACCCACATTTTTAATACGCCTTATACAGACCATGGCGATGCGGTACAGGACAGCCGGCTTCAAAGGCTACAACGTAAAGTTCAGTCCCTTCAACGACCGCCTTTTGGCCGCTGCAACCAGCGCCAACTTTGGCCTCGTAGGCAACGGCCGCCTCAGTGTGCTCCAGATGTGCGCTGGGCCCGAGGGTCTGCAGCCGCGGCAAAGCTATGATACGCAGGATGCCCTGTTTGATCTGACATGGAACGAGGTGCACGAGAACCAAGTAGCTACCGGCAGCGGCGACGGTAGCATTAAACTCTGGGACATCACGCTTCAGCAGCATCCAGTAGCACGGTGGAAGGAGCACAGCCGCGAGGTGATGAGTGTCGAGTGGAACTACACGCAGAAGACGACCTTCCTCTCGTCTGCGTGGGATGGATCCGTGAAGCTGTGGAATCCGGTGCAGCCAAAGTCACTGCGCACCTTTGCCGAGCACACTGGATGCGTATACACAGCTGCATGGTCACCGCGCCAGGCTGACCAGTTTGCCACATGCGGCGAGGACCGCGCAGTCAAGCTGTGGAGTGTCAATGAGCCGAATGGCCGCTCGGTGGCGACGTTTGGCGGCCACCTCGATCAGGTTTTGTCGCTGGACTGGAACAAGTATTCTCCCGAGCTGTTCGCTACATCATCGGTCGACCGCACCATCAAGATCTGGGACATCCGCAACCCTCGTGGTCAGGTATCCATGTTTGGGCCATTTGAATTCTCCGTCCGCCGCGTCAAGTTCTCGCCCTTCTCGCCACACTATCTGGCCACGGCTGGATACGACATGTCTGCTAGCATCTGGGATGTGCGCACCGGCGCAGTCACACATGTGCATGATGCGCACTCTGAATTTGTCGTTGGCGTCGACTGGTCGTTCTTCCACCCTGGCCAGATGGCCACCTGCTCGTGGGACGAGCAAGTACATGTGTTCAATGTCCCGATCCCGCAAAACTAGACATATCGGTGATGTGATCAGAAAATCTGTGATTAAGTCTTTTTTCTGCGATTTTTTTTCATAGGTGCATTTCGTCCTTGAGCCAGCCTCGGAATTGAACCTTTTGCCTCTACATTTCCTAGACCTGACCTTCATTCGTTACATACATAGTATTTAGTATTCTGTCATGGTAGACCCGACAACGGCAGCTGACCAGGTATCAAAGCGGCCAGCGATCGCGTTCAGCGACTCCTCAGATGAAGATGAGCAGCCGCGTCCGCAGGCCAGACAGCCGGTGTCGAAGAAGCCTCGCCACCATATGCCCAACCCCAAGGATGCCGAGGAAGAGGATCTGGAAAATCTTGTGTTTGGTGGCGAAGATGGTGGCCATGCCAGTGCTATCTTCAGCAAAATCGGGCAAGAAGCCGGTGGTTTGGCGCCCAACACATTCGCTAGCAAGCACAGCGATAGCGAAGAGGATGAGGATGAGGACGAGGACGAGGATGATGATCGGGAAGAAGACGAGGAGGACGAAGAGGATGAGCAAGAAGATGCCGGCGACTCGCTGTTCTTTGTCGACACAGCCGCCAACGGTGGTTCTGGAGCTGTCCCGGACCAGGAAGAGTCTGACGAGGAAGAGTCCAGCGAAAGCGAAGAAGAGCCCAGCGGCCCTGCCCCAGCCTGGGTTGATGACGACATGGAGGATGTCACAGTCGCGCTGAAGACGTCGGCCAAGACCCGCCGCGTGCGCACGGATATCAAGGAAACGCATGTATCCGGAGATGTCTACGAAGAGCGGCTGCGTGAGCAGTTCCAAAAAGTCAATCCGGTCCCCAAGTGGGCTGCCGAGGCCGAGGCCAGCGCCTGGGACGATGAGGACGAGCCTGCTGATCCCTCACGCATCTCCAGCGAGCTGCTCAAATCGACAAAGTCGCTGGTCTCCAAGGCTAGTGCTCTGCTGCCCTCAACCACCATCAACATCACGCCTCTGCGCAACGCCAACCAGGCGGCGCCCTCCCAGTCGGTGGTCTCTTGCGTGCAGTTCCACCCCACAGCTAGTGTGGTCATGACCGCGGGCCTCGACAAGACTCTGCGGCTGTTTGAGGTCGACGGCAAGGAGAATCACAAGATCCAGTCCGTGTACTTTAAGGACCTTCCCATCCGCTCCGCACAGTTTATCCGCCAGGGCCAGGAGATTGTTGTCAGCGGTCGCCGTGGCTTCTACTACTCGGTCGATGTCGAGCGGGCGGCTGTCACCCGCATCGCCGGCATTACTGGCCACAAGATCCCGAGCCTCGAGCGCATGTTTGGTAGCCCCAACAGCGACCGGCTCGCGTTCATGTCGAACGGCGGCCAGATCCACCTAGTGTCTGCTCGCACCAAGCAGTTTATGCACACTTTGCCCATGAACGGCGTTGTGCGCGATCTGGCCTTCACCAACGATGGGCAGTACCTGTGGAGCGTGGGACTCGACAACGAGGTGTACCAGTGGGATCTTCGCCAGAACCGCTGCCTTAGCCGCTGGCACGACCCGACCTCCTTCCGCCCGGCATGCCTGGGTCTCAGCCCTGACAACTCATACTACGCCTGCGGTGATAACTCGGGCATCGTCAACCTGTATGAGGCCGGCGCCATGCTTAACAACTTGGCACAGGCCACCAGCCGGGCCTTCAGCATCAACCCGTTCAAGTCAATCGACAATCTGACCACGCCCATCAATGGTGTCAAGTTCAACCACAACTCAGAACTCATGGGCTTCTACTCGGCGCGCAAGTCGGGCCAGTTCAAGCTCGTTCATCTGCCTTCTGCCACTGTGTTCGCCAACTGGCCTACAGCCTCTACTCCATTGGGCACTGTCGAGAGTTTCGACTTTTCGCCTCACTCGGGATTCCTCGCCATCGGCAGCAGTTCTGGCAAGGCTCTTCTGTACCGGCTCACGCACTACAACACATATTAAACGAGGCTATTCGATATTTAAAAAAAATCCGATACAAGGAATCTATGCCTGCTTGTGAATCGGTTGCAGCCTTGGAGTCTGTCTGGGATCACATCCCCTTGTCGCTGCTCTGCTTCTTGATCGCCTCAAGCTTGGACAGAATGTTCGGAGGCGGTAGTACTGCCCTTAGTGATCTGTGACGAATCGCTGCAACACTGCGCGATGCTGGAGATATCAGGTTGTCGGTCGGGCTCATTAGCCTCATAGGGAGTAGATACGGAAAGGGTCGCTTCTTGTGGATCTTTGCTCCGCTGCCCCTTTGCGGGTACTGCACTACCGGTCTAATAGGCGTCAATGGCGGTGTAGTTCCTGCAGGTGTTGAATATTTCATATTTAGATATCGCCTGAGAGAGGTTGATTTGAGAATGTGTGAATTGGCAAGGACAAGAGAAGTGAGCATTGCTGAGGTGGATGTTGAAGCATCAGCGATGTGTCCTTTGGCCCATCCGCAGTCTGCACCGTCCATGAAAGCTAAACATATACAAGAGCTTCCTTAGTTAATAAGCACGGCGGCATCCTATATCCACACGTGTTTTGGCACTGCTGGTCGGGGGCATGATGTTTCAGCATGTATTTCATAATTCTTTTTTACTTTTCCATACCCTTCCACTCACAAACAGGATCTCTGAAAGAAAGAAAAAAACAAGACGTGAGGGAGGAGTAGCTTTGGTCGTGCATTAACTGTGTAGCCTGGCAGGTAGAGATCCCATGTAAAAACTAAAAAAAAAGCCTATTTCACGTGCAAACCCTAAAACATAAACAACAACAGTCATGCCGCTAGAGTTGTTCCGTCGTACCCGGGGCGGCGTACTCACTGAGAGTGGCACAGCTTCATCCTGGGCCGTGCGCGGCTTAGCTAAGGGCTCTGTATGCGCACTCGGCGCTTGCTTAAATGCCCCTTGCTGGCTCCTAGCAGTGGAGATTCTTCCTGGGTTTTCCAATATATTTTTGTGAATGCTTACACTTGGTTTTATCAGCACCCAACACAATTCTGAATAACACTATTGAATATGAAATAACTGTGATATTGTGTTATTTGGTGTCTATTATATCCGGCTTTTGCTGTATAAACTCTACTTATTAACCAGTGAAATTTCCATGCATTGAATTCGATCCTCTCCGTTGCTATCAAAGCACCTGCTTTGCTTTGCCTCTTCCAACGCTGCAAGGATCTCTGCATCGTGCTTCTTGTTGCGACTGCGGATTCTTATGCACTGGATAGATCTGAAAATGCTTGCCAGTAGCAGGGCGTGCTGTGCGGTGCGTGGCCTTGTAGTGAAAACAAATTTGCTAATCTCCAGCACCCTGAGCCGCAAATTCAGGGTTTGCTTATTCTTTTCCTGGAACATTTTGATTTCGGCGTCGGAGACGTCGCCTCGCTCGTTCACATCATTGCCGGTTTTCAGGGAGAGTACCACTGACTGTAGGTTTGAGAACTTGTTGATCAGCGCAATTGCTTCGGTAACGGTGAACTGGACACCGGCTAGATTTAGCTCTTTCAAACCCTTGCATCTGTAGAGTGGAGCTACTGCGCTGCTGGAACTAAAGACGGGTGTATCGAAAACAACATTCTCAAAAACAAGACTGAGCAGCAACACGCGCCGGAGCTGACTTGTTGGATCGGCAATCGAAAGGTTGCTACCATCAGTGTACCATGAAAAATTGACATGACGCAGGCTTGGGAACGAGTCAGAATCAAACACGCCGTCTCTGACAAACCTCGCATAGGCCAAGCCAGTGAAATTGACCTCCATCACTTCGACCGTAGGCTGAATCCAGTAAAACACACTGCTGGTACTGAACGGGCACAAGTGCTTGCAGACAAGCTGTTGCAGAACTGGGAAAGGGTTGGCCCTTGGCGCACAAGCAGAGTACCCATATCTCCAGCCATGCTCGTATGTCGTCTTGAATGCACGCAGCCGCGAATATACAACCGGCGACCTATCCACAGGGTTCTGGAACAACCTGTTGAGCGTTTCGGAGTTTTGCAGATCGACAGTTAGCGTCTCCAGATGGTCGGCATTGCGCACCACCAGCTCGAGGATCCCATTGCTGCTGCCGTTGCACAAATCAACATGCATGTGCTTGACATTGGGTGCCAACTCGCTGTCCAGGTCGGCATACCAGATCCTGCTTCCAAGGAGGCTCAGATATTCAACTGACGGTACGGCGCCTAAAAGCGCCAACAATGCAGCAGTATTCAGTCGCCGTCTGCGTAGCTTGGAATCTTGGTCGCCAGAATACACGACCGAAGCGATGTTTGGCATCACCTCCCTCAGCAGTTCGCTGACACGGCAGATATTCTCACAAAAACCCCTTTTTACGCTGGCAATTTCCTGCAGGTCAATCTCAGGCCGCTCATGCGAATTGAGGATTGAGACACAGAGAATGACCGTGTGGACGTTCCTGAGCTTGCCTTTGCATTGAGTGAACAGAGAGTCCATTGCTGAGTACACGGTTCCGTTGGCGACATCCTCGGGAGTGCACTCAAGCTGCAAATGATGGACATGCCGCTCGAGTCCAGCTGCAATAATGTCTTCTAGTGGCAGCGCATCTCCATATTTGCTGTGATATATTGGCTTAGGCAGACTGGCGAAGAGAGTGGCAGACTCGCTGATGAACCCACTGACAGCATATCTCCACTCTTGGCAAACACCCATCAGCGAGAATAACGCACGGGGCACAGTTGGGGGTTTGGCATTAGTCCGAAGCCCTGGGAGCAACCTGCCTCTTCCGATAGTGTACGAGACGATACTTTCGATGATGTGCGGTGGGAGACTACCCATGGCAATGGTTGTAGAACTAGGTGATAGTTGAAGAAAAAGAAATGAAGAAAGAACTGTGCGCCTCCCTGTGTGTTGGCAAGTGGCTCTCTGGCCTCTGCTTCTGCTAGGGAAGGGGGCTAATTGGCTGCTTAGGTTGGCTGGCAAAGAGTTCAAAAAGAGCTGGGCTGGTTTTGTAAGAATCCATTTTTAAAGATCATCCGCCGGTTCATAGGTGTAGTATCTCGAATATGAAATACGTGTCGTAGTGCTGATGACGCTGGTGCCATATCATCCTACTCCTTAGAACATAGATTTGTAGAAAACTACATTAAGCTCCGGGTGGGACCAAATCCATCTTGAGCCACCATGAACTGTGTCAGCAATTGACTGCTTCACTGGTTAAGCTACAAGTGTAAATATGGATGCAAGAAAAGAAAAGATAATAGGGTAGTGTTGCGGGATGTATGTCGATATCGGCGCATGGTTTAGCACTGACGTCAACATTGCTCACCCTTACCTAAGATGAATGCCTAGCTGTATGTGCGCAACATCAACACTGTGTACTTACTTTTTCATTAGTGTGCAGATTAAAAAATACATGCCTTGTAGAATAGCTTATCGTGACTGCTGTGCATGGTGCATGAGCTGGTTGACACCTTGACCATAGTCGCCTCTGATGGGGCTTCAACTGCTTGTACCGCAGAGGCAGCGATGGGATCTGCGGCTTTCTTGCTATGGCTTCTATGATATCCCTCTTGTCATCGTCGGCAGTGCTGGGCTGCCTAATGGCTTAGTATTGAGCAGTACGACTTGCCAGGTTTGACCTTAGCTGGTGGTTTGTTTCCTAGTAATCCAACTACAGCCATGCCACCGATGGGTGTGGTGCTGTTGTGCTCCCATGGCATGAGCGGTGGTTGGCCTTGCAGACAATATGTTTAAGAGAGCTGCAGGTGACCGTTCGATTGCACCAATCTTGGCAGCCAGACACGTGAACACGATGACGTTGTTGTTTTTTTTTTTTTTCTCAGACACACCTGCGTGCAGTGTGTGCTTTTGAACCTCCAGCCGACAACAGCCTTTTTCTTTTATGCTCTTTTTGCACTTACTTTCACAATTGCCATGGTTTCATGTATTCAGGGGACGCAAAACATATTTAATGACAGCACGAGCTCCAACCTGTCAAACTTTTGGCTTGTGTACAACCAGACCATCTATATGAGTCTGGAAAAGGTCAGCTTGGCAGACATCAATTGCACAACCAACAGCGAGAGCGACGTGAGCTGCTGCTACCACAACAACTGCACCAGTGTGCACTGCCCCGGCGCGTACCCAAGCGCAGAGGACACAAAGCTTATGAGCAACTTGATTCTGCAGTCGCACTCTGACGCAGCTCACCCAAAATGCACGGGCTATTCGCTGCTGTTACTTCTGCTGATGCCCCTCGTTCTTGGTGCATGAGCTCCACACAATGCGATGCGCAGCATGTCTACCACCTTTTGACCAAGCATGTTGTCTTTGATGTGGCTGGTCCTTTAAAGGGGGATCATGTTGACTTCTACTGTCAAACGCTCTGTCTCTCCTCCCTCAGCTCTTAAAATCCTTTTTCAAAACAATCCCATTCAATCCTTTGGCTTGTATGAGCAAGGTGGACGAGTTTTTCACACCCACATCAACACCACCAACCATGGACACCAGTTCTGAAGTGGCTACGAGCGACATCATATCCTTGTCTACGTCTACCTCAGAATCAGCGCCTATCACTACACCCGTCTGTGTCTATGAATGAGAGTAACAGTATCAGTTACTTCCGTGATCTAGTTGCAACCAGGGACACTCTAAACGACAGCCTCACTAGCAGCCTAGTCAATGCGTATGGCGATGTTGTCCGCAAAGAGTTCCTGCGTCCGTTGGCTAACCCAAGTGTCCATGATATGATTGATCTGTCAACCTGCAGCATCGACAGACACGGTGATCTGCTCAAGGGCATCAAGAGCGACATCTACCGCGCTCTGCTACCGCTTGACACGGCGATATGGAAGTGCCTACACAGCGCATTAGACAAATATGATATTGTGGAGCTGCCTGGCAAGCAGCCAGATATCTTCTCTGGCATCATGCGCAGCGAAAGCAGCCGATTCAACTGCTACGCGTTCTCGCTGAGCCCCGCTAAATATCTGCCCCGGTTTATACCCTCTGGCGTCAAGACACTGGACAATGGGCGTCTCAACTGGAGAAGCTATTAAAGTTTGGCTGTAAAATGACATGCAATATATGAAGTCTCTGGCAGCAGGATCTCAATAAGCTGGGCACAGGTCATCTGCAATGTGGAACGGCAGAGCCATATCGTCAAAGTTGTGCTATATGCAGCCAATATGATTGTGTCCGAGAGAAATTGACTTTTCGTGTTTAGTTTACAGAGATAGAAGAAAAGGTAACTTTCGCCAGAAAGAGAAAACCGAAGCCCACCTCCGCTCTCAAAAAGTACAGGTTTGGAGGGCGGTGGGAGTCCAGGATGAAAGGAAAAAAGCTCTAAGAGGTAAAAATCTATTCCGCCTTCATATGGTGGGTGTGGGACTTTGCGGGGCAGTTTGTATGGCAGACCTCAATCTCCTTCATCCACTGGCTGTCGAGGACTTGGTCCATGGTCATGCGCGCGGTCGAGTCGGGGTGCACCATGCCCTCAATGACGCTCTTGCCGTCGTGGCGGAGGGTGGGCAGCTGCGCCAGCAGCTTCTCACGTCCGCGCGGCCAGTCGCGGATGTACGAGCCGTAGTTGCGGTCGTTGTCGATTTCGGCGATGCGCCAGGGGAACTTGAGCAGGGTCATGCACATGTACATGATGCCGACGGACCAGATATCGGCGACCTGGGCGTAGTATGGCAGCTGGCGGCGCGACTGCAGGACCTCGGGGCAATGTACGGGTCGGAGCCGCACACGCCGACGACCTTGCTGGGCTCCTTCTGGAACGGCGTCTTGAAGACGGTGGCACAGCCAAAATCGATGATTTTGACGATGCCGCGCTCGGTCAGCAGACAGTTCTCGAGCTTGAGGTCGCGGTGGGCAATGCCGATCTTGTGCAGATACTGGACGCCCTGACACACTTGCTTGAACCAGCAGAAGGTCTCGTCAAGGTCCATGTCGCCCATGGCCACAAAGGTAAATAGGTCGTGGGGGCAGTACTCCATGATCTCGTAGACGCGCTCGCCCTCAAAGATCAGATCCAGCGTCTCAATCACATTCTCGTTGTGGATGCTCGAGCCGATGCAGAACTCGGACGTGACCTTCTTCATGTACGCACGGGGCGTCTCGTCGGGCCGGCGTTTGCGGAACTCCTTGACTGCAAACAGCCGGTGCTCGCTAGGCGTGTAAGCGTGCGGCTCGTCACCGTGATGCGACGACGGCGGCCCGCTGCGCAGGCTTGGCGGCCGCACCTCAACGTCGACGCCTTGCAGCAGCCGCACAGTACCGCCGGTGCCCTTGCCGATGACCTTGGTCTGGCGCCCAAACTGGTTGAGCGTGGCCTTGTGCGATGAGTAGACCGGCCCAGGCTTCTTGTGCTGCGTCGTGGCCGAGCGCGGCAGCTGATTGGGCGCTGTCACGCCAGCCGGCGACGCAGGTGTGCTGGTAGCCTCAAAGTGCGGGTGGCTCAGGGCCGCCGGTGCGCCGGGCTTGTGCCGTAGGCTCGAGTCCTCGGCCGACTTGGACAGCGTCTTGCCCTCGAGCTGCGTGCGCGCATCGCCAGCGGGTTTGGATCCAGGTGGACTTCCGGAGGGGCTCAGCTGAGCAGCTGATTGGCGGGCAGGCATCTGCGAGTCATGTGCGATCTCGCCCGATGCGTTGTGGTGCAGCGTGGCCTGGCTCGGCTCCCTGGACATGGTGTGCACCGAGGTGCTGCTGGACTCGGCTACCGGCTCAAGGCTCATCTGCTGAGTGCCCTGCACAATGCTGTTCGCATCGTCGTGTGGCGGTGGTGGTGGTGGCGGCGGCGGCGGCGGCGAGCAGTGGGCGTGGCCAGCGTTGACTGACCGCAGGTTGGCATCGCTGATTGCGAAAATCGAGTCAGCGGTCATGGGCTCAAAGTTGCGCTGTGCATGATACGCCTTGGGCAGCGACTCCTTGCGCTGGTGCTGCGTGCTGCGCGGCGATCCGCTGGGCGGTGAGTTGGTGCCCGAGCGCTGCCCGCTGGCATCGGACCGGTCGGTCATTTGCGTCTGCGTCGTCGGGGTGCGGTAGGCGATTGTTGGCTGCTCGACGTGCCGCCGCGGGTTCGGTGCCTTGGTTGACTTGGTCGACTTGTCGCGGTGCAGGAGGCTGTGCAAGCGCTGCGAGAAGCTGGTGTTGCGCTTGATCAGCGTCGGCCCGGCCAGCCCGCTCTGTGCGGGCTTGACGCTGGCTGACTGTGTGCCTGATGCTGTGCTGGCTTTAGGAATATGCATGCCCTCAGTGCGAATCCGGAGCTGCTGCGGCTGCGACCCGCTGGGCGGCGTGTTAGGGTGGGAGCTGATGCCCCGCTCCGCCCCCGCCGTCATGTTGGGCAGTGCATTCGACAGCTTGCTGTGCGAGACTGATCGCTGGGGCGCCCCGGACCTTGCCTCGGCTGGCAGCTTGCCCGAGACATCCGAGGTCTTCCGCGAGAGAGTCGAGATTATGCCCATGGTTGCTATGAGGCTGGTTTTTCCGGGGATAATAAGCTAGACCGCGTTCCGCAAAAAAGTTTCTGGTATTGGTTCCTTAACCTCCTCCGCGTTGAGTTTGAAATCGTGTAGAAAGTATGCAGCGAGCGTGCCTCCCAAAGGTTCTCGAATATCGTGTCTGAGGCTATCCAGTGTCTATGGATCTATAGCAAAATTGGCCACCCTATTAGCAAAACAAAGGGCTATTGAAAACCACCATCCACTGGGCGCCATACGGGGCCTGGATTCCAGAGCACAAAACAACAACACAGCAGCAGAGCCCCGAGCTCTCCTTTTGAGATATCCGGAATAGCGCAGTACGTGCGCTTGGCGCATGCCTTCAGGCGCCATCCATTAAATACGAACCACAGGGGATGTCGAGCACGTACAGAATCGGGCGGGAAAGCAAAGAGACAGGGCGTTGCAAATAAGAAGAAAATCGTTGCGGTGTTTTTAATCCACTTTTCGGTAAATGCGAGGGAAGCAGGCGATAAATGCTCAGTGGGCGAGCCCAAGAGGACTCCAAGACGTCAGGGCTGTGTGATAACGTCCACCCCTCTGGCCACGTAAAGTACGCCGGGCTAACAGAAAAAAAAGGAATAGAGCCGGATCTCCTTTGGCGCTATGGTATTTGGCGACCCCTCCGATACCAGAGAAATAATCGGGAAAAAAAGATAGGAAAGAGAAAGAAAGAGAAAAGGAGGCTCCTTTCTAGCCCTCGGCCGAGGTCTACCACTCGCCCCCAGCCTTTATATAATGGAAGCCATGAAAGGGGGGTGCAGAGGGGGCGGGTGGATGACCCACGCCGGGGTATTATCCAAACAATCGTCACCCAAACTTACTTTTATAACGCCCAGTATCCGCTCTAACGGTTATACTCGCAAAGGAGAATCTGGATTTAAAGAAAATAGCAAAGAAAGTGGAAAAATTGTAAAAGAGAGATTCGTAGCTCCGTTGGCAAAAACCGACAACAGCTCCACCCAAGCGCGCACCAGGATAACTTTTTCTGCCCAACAAGCGAAAAACAGGCGAGCTCGTCGGGCGGTTCAGTCATCCAATCTGGTGTTTCAGAATTTGGCTTGACCCCTGACTCGCAGGCCTGGCTGCAAATCGCACCGAGCTCATTGCTATGGTTCAGTGGAGGTTGCGTCATTGGACAAGTGCTGCTGCCCGTCTGCTGCCCGGCTCGTGACACCTGCGTCCCAGAGACTGAAGCGTGCAACCGCCCCTCGACCGCCAGGTCTCCTGGCGATGCCCGCTGGTGCTGCTGATGCTGCTGATGCTGATGGCGCCTGCAATCCGGGTGGTCGGACAGTCTCCACCCGCAGCCATGCAGCGGCTCATTTTATGCAGCTCAGCCTCCCACTGATCAGCTATCGCCTGTCGCTTTGCCAGCAAAATACCCGCCATTCTGCTCAATTGCCTTCTCCCCCGCACTTTTGCTGAACCCTGGCTGGCGGTCACCCAACCCCGGGGAACCCTACTGCGCTTGGGCGCAGCCAGGCTGGGGCAGAGCGGTTGAGATAATGAGGATAGTAGACGGCTGCGACAGCGCATTGTGCGTGGATTCATTGAGTCCTGGTCATTGCAGGGGCGTCTTCTGCCCAGAAATCTACGCCGCCAGAGAATAAAGACAGCAGAGCATGCAACGTGCTTCTAGAAGTGCTTCTTCCCTCCCCCATGCTTCCTTGTATGCTGCAATACTTACATACTACACGATGGCGGCATTGTTGAAGTGGAAGCGAGACATGTCCGCGCATTCTTCCGTTAGCACCGCCAGCACCCAACATTCGAGAAGATACCATGTGGCTGAGTAGATATTGTCTTTTTTTCCAGAAGGCCTTTTATTTTTTGGATCCTACATGAAGTGGGCCCGCATGTAGGTCGTGACCTGGTCATAGACGACAAGCAGAATACCACCGCCGGGGCCCAGACGCAGCACCTTGGGCACATACCCCTTGTAGAGTGCCTTGGCGCCCTCCTCCTGCAGAATGACCTTGGCGCCCGGCAGGAACGACTTGTACCTGGGCGGGCCACTGGCCGAGTTGTGGTTCTGGATCCGGGTCTTGACCACATCGGCCGGAGTGTTCAGCGTCGTGCCAATGGTGCCGCCAATGGCGCCAGCGACAAAGTTGTTCAGCAGCTGGCCCTGCTTGGACTCGGCCTTGGGTAGCATCTGCTTGATGCCGAAGATGGACCCAAAGTACCCGCCGTTCCACAGCGCATGCCGCCACACGGTGCACTCCAGCCCATTCGCAAACGCCTTCAGGCCCTCCTGGGCGTAGATCTTCCGCACGCAGTCCATGGTGCCGTTGTACTTGCCAGCGTTGCCCTTCGCCTGCAGCCGGATCTTCACCAGCTCCGGCGTCGACACAATCATCGCCTCCGTCACGCCCGCCGTCACGCCCGTCAGAATCGCCAGTGGCTGCGTCAGCTTCTCCGCCCCAAACATCTTCATGTACATCGGCCCGTACGTGTCGTTCGACGCAAACTTGATCGCCCGCTTCGGCGCCTCCACCATGATGGGCGGCAGAATCCCGCGGTACAGCCGCGACGGGCCCTCCTCGCGGATAATCCGCAGGAACACGTCGCTGATCGACTTGTACTGGTCGGCGCCGCCTGTGCCCACCTGCAGCATCAGCCGCGTCTTGGCCACGTCCAGTGGGTACATGCACAGAATTTCAGACACGCCGGCAATTGCGCCGGCCGCGAACTGGAACGAAAACGGCAGGGCTACAAAATACACCGCTGGGGGCGTTAGTCCAATCCCTGCTCAATGCCTCCCCAGAAGGGCTTTCTTCAAAAAAGCCAGATCCTTACGTGCTTCAGCCTTGGCACTCATGTTTCGCTAAGAGTATGGAAAATGTGGAAGCCGAGAGATAAGTGAGAAAAGGGAGTTGAGCGGACCCCACGCGTTGCCTGCTCCTTTTCAATTGTGACCCCTGTCATGCCCGCCTGCTCAATCCCCTCCCCACGCAAACCCGCCCTTGTGTGTCATTGCCGGCCCAAAAGCGGGATACCAATACGTGCTGGGTTGATCGTTATCGGACCACGCTACGAATCATCAAGCCCCCGAGTCACAGCGACAAAGGAGCGGCCGCACACCCTCCCCGATCCCCCCGGCATCCGGGCAGCTTCGTTTTTTCTACACGGCAGCTCGCCAATACCTCCTTTTAGGACGCCAGGCACATAATGCCCGGGCCAAAGCTCAGACAGAGTTTGGCTGATATGCATAATATCTCCGCTGCAGTCGGCTTGCATACGCCCGACCTCGACCCCACATCCACGCCCCGTCTATTGGATAGAAAATATGCGTTCTTCAGCCAGGGCATGCAGCGCCGACGATCCCACCACTCCGACATTGTCCGACACATAAAGCCAGCCGGTTTATTCACTCTAGTCGATCTTGATAGCGCCATAAATCCTCCTAACAAACATGTGGCTCGCCACGAACCCAATGGCGCCTGTCAGCACAAAGAACAGGAGGCATGCAATCGCCATCCACCCAAAGTAAATGACCAGCGACGCAAACGACGCCAGCCGCAGCCGCGAGAAGTAGAACAGCACCCCGTACAAAAACACGTACAGCGCCGACGCTCCCGCCGTGTACACCGAGCGCCAGTGCCACCTGTAGTCCTCGGCGCACAGGTGGAAGTACGTCAAAAGCACAGTGACCTCGGCCGTCGTCACCACCAGGATCAGGAACACCAGGAACAGGAACCCAAACACATAGTACACCTTGTGGAACCAGATGCTGTTCATGATAAAGTACAGCTCGATGAAGATCGCTCCGAACGTCAGCACGCCGCCCATCAGCGCCGAGGGCACCGGCTTCAGGTACCACGGCTGGTCGGGGATCTGGCGCGGGATCTGGTTCACACGCACCGGCGGATCAATCGTCTTGCGCCGGTACCCAAAGTACGCCCCGGCAATCGTCAGCGGGATCGAAATCACAAACCACATCGCCATGAGCCCAAACAGCGCTCCCACCGGCGCCGCTGCCGACGACCGCATCGCCATTAGGCTGATGTTGATAATGACCAGGATGGTGCAGCACGATCCCGGCACAAACAGCATTGTCATGATAACGATGCGCTTCAGCGACGTGCCACCGAACGAATGGTACATGTGCGCCGCATTGAATCCTGCGGAGAACGAATACACAATGTACAGCACAAGCATCGCCGTCGACAGAGAGCCGCGGCTTGACGGCGACAGGAATCCGAGGAGTGCAATTACCAGCGTCGTTAGCGACATCCAGAACAGCTGGTACCCGCTCCCCAAAATCACAGACAGCATCGGGAAGTGCTGCGGCGCCCGGAACACATCGCCGTGCACCAGCTTCCATCCAAAATCCTCCTGCAAGTCCTCAGCGTCGTCGGCATTGTACCGCGCAATGTCCTTGTGCAGCGCACGCATCAGAATCAGGCCCACCATCGCGCTCAGGAAAATCACAATCACAGCCGAGTTGATTAGGCTGAACCAGTGGATCTTGGGGTCCATTGCATGCAGGTAGTCGTCCCAGCGGGTCGCCCACGACTTGTCTGACTTCTCCCACGTCACAGAGTAAGTGTACACAACTTGCGTATCCTTGCCCTGGTTCAGGAGCATCGGCTCCGTCGAGTCACACGTTGGCGCTGTGTCTGCCGAATACCGCGTCTTCTTGCTCGACGGGTACACCACAACACCAACCACGCGGTGGTGCACGCTGTCCAGCGTGTGGTACTGGATCCTTATGTCATAGTGGTTGTTAAAATGCGGCAGGATTTGCCCGCTGGCCGCACTGCCCAGCCCAAACCCGACAGAGTAAAACTCCTGCTGCGTCCGGTCCTCAACCTTCACTGTTGCTGCCGGCAGCCCGTCGATCAGCCAGTTGTAGTTGTAGCCCTTCATAATTTTATCGTTGATAAAGCCTGCGCTCTTGCCTGACACCAGCTGCGAACACAGCATCTGGCACTGGGTGTTCTTCAGCATCTCCACGTCAAATGCCGACGAGAAGATCCGGTCACCAAACAGCATGCTGCCCAGCGACTCATGTGCCGACTTTGGTCCGCCCTCGGGCTTGCAGAAGTTGAACCGCTCATCATAGTAGCTGTACGAGAGAACCGACTCGAGCTTATTGTCTGCATTCAGCGACGGCGTCAGCGAATTCACCTGCAACTCTACCTTCTCGCCCGCCTTGTAGTCGTGCGGCGCTATGCCGGGCAGATAGAATGCTGACACCTGCTGTGCCAGCGCCAAGAGACCAGTGGCCAGTGCTGCGGTGCGCCAGCCTGGAGACAACCTGTTGACTCTCATCTGGAGGAGAGCAATTTGGACCGTTTAAGTGTTTGTGTCTGCTAACTGTCTGCTCCTGTTGTAAGTAGTATACCAAAGAAAGAGCGCCAGGCAGAATGGAATGAGAGCTGTGTTTATGGAAATGAAATGCGCAAAGTAAACCACAAAGAACCGAGCTGAAGACAGGGACACGGGCCACCTGCCAGTATGCGGCAGTGCATCATTCTCAGGGTGCCAAGTCCGCCATGTTCTGATCAGTGATCACCAGGCGCTGATGGATCACTGTGTATGCTCGCACCCAACCCAACCACCACATGCACCACTCTGCCCAACCCCAACGGCGCTTGGCCATGTACGCACTGTCACCACTATAGTACAGATGTCGCCATATCCAGGGGCTTGATTAGCTGCGTCGACCTGCCCCTATATGGCCCGTGATTTGCAACCTGTTCAGGTTGCGATTGGATATGCAGTATCAGTATTTTTACCTGTATATAAGATTTTATAGTCGAAAAAGTGTCTGACCGTCTGCTAGAAACTTTTTATTTGGTTAAAAGATAAAACTTTTAAACCTCAAAGCGAGTTTGGATGACTTGCTCTGTAAACTCCTTTTGATCTTGTGCGGCATCTGACCTCATCGGTGAAACCAGGGTGACAAGAGCTGCTCTCATTGTCGGTCGGCCTGATAACTTCCATGGCGCCATCATGGTGGTCATCACTGGCTGCGCAACACCCTTAGGATATCTATTTATGAGCACATTGAATAAGGCCATATAGCTCTTCTAGCGGTCATGCAATATTTGTAGGTTTATTTTATAAATTAATTTGTCTTATGAACATGTGTAAGCAGTAGTATTTGGGCCACAATGGACCCAGTCTGTATAGACTGATTCAAGAGACTGTATCAGTGCTAAGGGCCCCAAGAACCATGCAAGCCAGGTCATTTTTAATAAAAAGTTCTTAATGCTATGCATACGCAATAAAGCAAAACTGAACAGCATCATTTCTCTTCTTACTTGCCTACTGAATTTCTCAAATGAACATTACCCGCAGCACTACTGTCATAAAAACATCACTTGGTGGTATTGGCTTCCGTGATTCTATGTTGTCCCGCCTAGAGCAATTTGTACACAGCGTCAATATCATCAAAGAGCATACATACATGCTTGCACGATGGATATTACTCCATCAGCTAGCCGACGATGATTTTGACCCTTCAATATTTGTGAAAAAGGGATTCTTTCGTTCCATTTATTTATTTATTTATTTATCACAACCTGAAGGCAAAGACGGTCATGTCTGCCAAGGATTTCGTCAACCGGATGGACAGGTCCGAACTGTCGAGCGCAGATTTCGGTGATGTAATTAGATACCATATTTATGATTATCTATTGCATAATGGCGACATCGAGCTACATGGCATATGCGACATGAATCAGGTAGCGACATACGTGGATACCGAGCTGATGACAGCATACAAGAACAACATTGTGTTGCACTATGGCACTTGCCTACAGCGGATTCTGGCCAAATTGATTGATATTCGCAGCCGCAAAAACACACTGGACAGAACAATGGGCAATGTGTCCAAGGCTGAGTTCAATAATGCATGTCAAGTGTGTATTTATACACCTGCACAGAAACTCCGCCAGGCAGTTGCCTCTAGACGCCCTGATCTCAGTGTGCTCACTCCACCGATGCTTGCAATCTACAACACAGCAAAGAAGGCAGCAACAGAGGCAAGGAAAGCAGCAGAAAAGGGCGAAGAATTGGCCAAGAAGGCTGCACGCGAAGCAGCGAAGATGCCATCAGATGCAACTGAGGCCACTGCAGCAGACATTCCGGCATGTTCCCAACCCGCGGCCCTACCAGAGATCGAAGAACCCAACTGTGAAGTGCCATGGCCTTCTCCGCTGTACAAGCGAGTCATGTAAGCAGGCCATGGCACAATACAGGCGGGCCTATTCGTCTCGGCTCTTGAACCGCGATCTCGCAGCAGTTCTAAACTTCAGACTCATTTTCCAGTCACTCTGTGATTCAGGCGGTATTCCTGAACGGTTCCGTCGCTTTACGGCCATTGCTGCCAATGCTTCTGGCACCACCCCTGCAACAAAGAACCCGCGCAAGAGGCGTGCAGCAGCAGGCGATTCTGCTGCCAGCAGCAGCGAACCAGCGCTGAAGCGCCTACGCTGAGCAGGCCATCAAGATGGGAGATGTCTGTGATCGCCATTGCACCAACAACCATCTGACACGTTCAAATGACCGGTTCGCCGTGATGCTTTTATCAACGTGTCAACCCATGCTGACTAGCAGCCGAGCTCGCATCGCGAGCAGAGCAATTCTGGTATTTCATATGCTGATATGCCTGACCCACTTTCCTACGTACACGGCGGCTGTGCAATTAGCTAAACGCCCTAATCGTATTTCCACCTTTACTACTATTGACCCACACGCGTGGCTGAATTGTCCATGTCTTATGACGCATTGGCCAGTGTTGGGTCTGTATTGCGCACTTTGCGCCTGGCAGCTCAGCTTGTTTGAGCAGCTCCGATAAGCGGATCGCTACAGCTTCTGCGCCTCTCCCTGCTACTTTCTGGATCCCTCGCTGGACCTCAGACAGGCGCTGCGGCTGTGAGAAGGATCGCCCAATATGTCTTCTTTGTTTGCGTTTTTACAATAAATGTGTGCCTGTTCCTGATTATACGCACCAAAAAATAAAGGGCTCCTCCAAGCTGCGTACCAAGGCCAGCGAGGGATAAAGAGAGAAAAATTTTCCTCCACCCGGCAAAGTCAGCAGGTCTGAATCACACCTTACTGTGGAGAAAAGGAGGCAAATAAGGTGCAAGCGTATGCAGTGTTGCATCCTTGCTTCGCTCCAGCATCACTCCGGCTTATTTTCTCTTCTATTAGTATTGAGTTATCAGCATAATTTGTACTTTGTATCTACCTGTATCTTTCTTCGCTCTTGGTAGTCACTATTTTCCTTTACCTCGACGTATTGTTTATAACTCGTTTATCATCTACATATTTGCGGTTTTCCCCGGTATCGTCAGGCGAGCTGGGTGCTTTTGTGAATATCACGCATTATACCGAGAATCTCGTTAGCGAGCATATCGACTCTATCGGCTCTTCAATATCACCTGTACATTTTGCCTATACTTTTAACGAACCTTTGGCACCACCAGGCCAAGATCCCAAAAAGCGCAAGTAGGTATTCGATAGACCGCGCAAACTGACTGCGTGCTTAGACTCGACATAGCTTTGTCTCATTTCCTAGACCTGTTGACGCTTTGCGATTCAACTGGGGCGCCGGTGTTTTGTGGTTTTTCTACAAACAAAAGTTACTCGCCCTCCCCCTATTCTCTGCGGTGCCTCATTCTGCGTTGTCCTGCTTGTGCCGCTACCTATACATTTTTCTGGAGGGGCGGAGGGGAGTGGAATCAAGTAGAATCGGTGAAAGCAGAGTCCACAGCGCTTTTTGCATGCCTTGCGGATTGTCTAACCGAAATGTGCCGAGGCTGTGTGATGAAAGTGGCCAGGCATTTTTTACACTTTGCTCGCCCGGCACCTTCTGGAGTCACAGATGAAGGAACTCTGGAGCAGCCCAAAAGGCATGCGGCCCTTTGTTCTCCTGGTACCGCGCATGTTCCTATTCCCCTTCCGTCACATGTCTGAATCTCTTGCTCTTTGTCTGCAAGAAAAAAAACCTTTTCAAAGCGCTGGAAAAGTTTGCGGCTGTATCGTGTAGAGGTGATTTCTAAATTGCACACGAAAAGCGAAAAACAACTTTGCTCCGGCTTCCTAGTCCACCAGATAAAACGTGTGGAGCATCTATCTTGTCTCTTCATCTCTCCGGCCTCATCTTTTTCGTACGAATTTCCTTTCTCTTTTTCTTTCTCTTTTTCTTTTTCTCTTTTCTCTGTTGCTCATGACCCGGTGCCTCACTTTACACTTTGTACATATATCAACGTGATAAAAAAGCGCTATTTCACATGTCTCATATATTCTACTCGCCCTTGGATGGCCGCCCCTCTATCTATAGCATGTCGACGGTAAAGACCGGGCACTGCAAGTTCTTCAACAGCACCAAGGGATACGGCTTCGTTATACCCGACGAGCCCATCGAAGGTAATGCTGAAGGTAAGCAAGCTTTTTTTTCCTCCCCCAAAAACCTCCGTCGCATGTAAGATGATGTACATTGGCATTCAGAAATCCCCTGCTATATATTTGAACCGGTTCTTAATTGGACGAAAAAGCAGGAGGCAGACTGGGAACGCGAAGTTCCAGGTGTGTTAAATGCGGTACCGCATGCTGTTTTTTTTGGGACGAAAACAGAACTGATATTCTGGCTCATTCACCAAATAGTATTCGTTCACCATACAGTGATCCACAACAGCGGAGGATTCAAGAGCCTGGCTGAGGTAGAGTATACACATGGCATGTCCACTACCATTGCTGCATTGCAATCTTGTCGATACACTTTACTAACTGGGGGCCTCTAATGTTCTGCCAAACGACACTGGGCTGACACCCGAATCCCTGCTGGCGTCGCATGGTTGGGCGCAAGTCGCTTTAGGGAGAACTGGTAAGTGCCGCATTCTCTGCTGCAATCGGAATGACAGATGCACACCCCTCACACTGTTCGCGAAGGGCATGAGTTCTGCAAGTTTAGGGGAGTAACCAGCTGAAGGTCTTTTTGCTGAGCCACGCACGCCTCTTTGAACAGCGCTGCATTGTTGCCGTGGTTCTTACCCAGAAAAAGCGGCCCATTGTGCCAGCAAGAAAATATCCTAATGCCCAGCAACCACAACCCAACTGTATTCTTCATTTATGCATTCCAAGTAGGTCGAGTTCGACGTCATAAAAGGACCCAAAGGACTGCAGGCGTCGCGTGTCACCGGCCCAAACGGTGCGCCAGTGCGCGGCGATCCGTACTCGCGGCTACGCACCCGCACTAGCCCTCCGTCACAGGTGCCGATGCCACGCAGCACAGCATCGGCGGCTTCGAATCTATATCCATACTACCCAATAAACTACCCGCAGGTCGTTGGATTCAGTAGCCAGTCCGCACCGCAACAAAACTTTGGTCCGTTCCCGTTCCAAGCTACACCACAGCCGAACAACGGGTTTGTGATGCCGGCTCCTAATGCGACAATGGGTGGGTCGCGCACCGTAATCGGTGGATCGCAGGTGCCGCCGGTGTTCTTTACCGGCACACCACACGTGCAGCAAGCGCTGTCGTCAGGGTACGACCCGTTCAACCGCCAGGTGCTGGGACACACGTACGAGGGCCCCGGATACACCCAGCAGATCAGCTCACAAGCGACACAGCAGACGTTCCAGCAGCCAGCCGGATTCCCGCAGGTGAGCCGCCAGGACTCGGGCACGTCGCAAATGAGCTCAAAGTTTGCAAAGTTCCCCGAATGACAGCCGGCCCACCAGGCACCGCTTCTCCTCAGTTTACCTTTCCCTTAGCTTGTATGTTTGTTAGTTCAATTGGGAAGCTCATTATCAGCCCTCTATTAACTCGGAAACCAGGTTTACATAGGCATCTCTCCCTCTTCGAGTTCGCTCGAGTAATCCTCCTCGGTCCTAGGCTTGGTGCTGCGGCTTTCGGTCGCTGATCCGCCCACCGCCGGACTGCGCGAGCGCTTGCGTGCCTCGGCCTCCAGCGACTCCTGCCGGCGCTTCTTTTGCTGCACCTTCTCCTTCATGCGATCGACAACCTGGTCAAACGTAGCGCGACATGCCTTCTCGTCGCCCACGTCCTTGAACTCGGGCAGAGCATATACCTTAGCTTGCACAGCCTCCCACGTCGTGTCGGCGCTGATGGGCGGATCCAGGTAGTATAGTGCATACTTGAAGTCGTCCAGCAGTCGGCGCCGGTGCCGCTCGTTGCGCTCCTCCTCTTCCTCCTTCCGGCGCACTGCCTTTAGCACCAGCTGCTCGTGAATGTATGTGAGGTTGTCCATGGCCACTGTTGTGTGGTCGCGGGCGAATTTCTCGACCTCGCTCAATGGCGTGTCAATCAGCACCCGGAACCCGCGGTCCCGCATGATGGCCTCCAGCTTCTTGCGGTCATGGTACACGTCCTCGTTCAGCAGCTCGACCTCGTCCCAGAACAGCTCCAGCGGCGTCGACCCACTCTGGCCCAGCATCTCGGTGTAGCGCGGGTCCGTCCGGATCAACGGGAAGAACTCCTTCCAGGTCATTACGGGTGTGATCTTGGCCTTGTTTTCGCGCAAAAGCTCACGGAATCGGTCCCGGCGGATTCTTTCTTCGCGGAACATAGCCTCTTTCTCACGTCGCCGCTGCTCGCTGTCCCGCTGCTCGGCTTCGGACATGGCTCGCTCAAACACCTCAATCAAATCCAGCATCGTCAGGCCAGCCTCGGGATCTACCGCCGACGCATCGGTCTGCAGACGCAGTGTATCCAGAGGCACACGCTGGTCGTCGGAGCGCACAACCGGCATCAGCGAGTCCTGGAATCTTTCCACAAGCTTCTTTTTCATATCCTCCCATTTGGTGCTGATAGTTACCTGTGACAGGAACTCCGCTACCTCCTGCATCTGCTTGGTTTTGGTCTTGCGCCGCTCTTCCTTAAGCTTGTGTCGGTACTCATCCATGTACTCGTCAAACAGCCGCATTTGATCCGATTCGCGCTCCACTGCTTGCATCGCCGGATGGTTGGCTGCAACCTTGGCCACCTTGCTGAATCGGGTGTATTCGGAGATCGCCAGCGTGCTCATCATGGCGTTGAAGTCCTCGCGCTGCTTCTTTTGTCTCTGGCGCCGCTCCTCGCGCTCCTTCTCCAGCGTTCGGTCAATATACCGGTCAAACGCATCCCGCCGTTCCTGCGCAGAACGCAAGGCATGATACATTGGGTCCTTGGACACTGTGCGCACTGTCTGCTGCCACGTCCAGTTGCCAGTAACACCGTGTGCATGCAGCATGTCCATAAAGGCCTTTTCAGCTTCCTCTGCCGTTCGGAATTCAAGACGGTTGGTCTTCTTTGGCTGATATGGTTGCTGACTGTTTGACACTGCCGACTGAGGTCCGGGCTTGACTGGTTCTGTTGCCAATGCTGGAACAACGGCCGGTACCGGCACTGGTACCGATGCTGGCACTGACACGGGCACTGGCACGGGCACTGGCACGGGCACCGGGGCCGGAGCTGGGGCTGGAGCTGGAGCTGTGGAAGCTGGAACCAACTCAACAGGCCGAGTCCAGGTCGACTTCTTCGTCGCGGTGTTGTACCAGTATGGCTTTCCGTCTTTGGCGTACTCCTTCCACACCGAAGCACGCTCCTGCGGCGTCTTCAGCTCGTCGGGCTTCTCCCAGCTCGTCACCCGCGTCTCACGGTTGTAGTAGTACGCGCGACCGTCCGGTGATGTGTACTCTGTCCACGCCGACATTCCTTGAGAATAAATTGAAAGCAAAATTCTGACACAAAAGCGAGAATAAAAGAAACTGTGGAAATCCGTTTGTGGACCTGAGAGACTAAGGGCGTTATTTTGGGAATTGATTCCATTTGATTCTATGGCGATTATGGCCGACACCTGGATCTTTGATCAGCAGTTTCGCCGAGTTCGACACTCCTTTGCGACACGCTGCCTTCCAGTTTTCTATAGCGACTGTCGCTTTCAGTACAGCATGAATCCCGTCAAGGTACTGCAAGCCATTGAGTCAGCGCTCAAAATAGACCCATTGCGTAAACCAACAACATTCACACTTGCTATTTAGTGCAATCCGCGGTGTCCAGTTGCTTCATGGATGTCTGGCAAACCCCAATGATTTGTCACTTTGAAAACATTCACAGGCTTCATGGGCTCTGACTCGCTTCCGCGTTAGCAGTGCCCGCCGGAACTCGACACATAACCCGGCCTCAATACCAGCCTCTATGAATTTGACTGTCTGCCTATCTATTCCTTCCTCTCCCTATATCCATGCATGTTTGATGGCTACTCAATCACCCATGCTACCTCGCATATTGGGTATTAGCGATTGGGCTGCTGGGAACAAGCTCTTCAAAATTCTAGCTATTGCTAGCCATACTGCGACACTCGGATATACGAGTATGCATGCATACTAGTACGAGTCGTCGCTTGCCACTACCTGCAGACGTTGGAGAGGCTTGCTGAAGGCTCGCATCAGTCGTCGTGCAAATGTCTATTACTAGGGTACAACCAACAGCAAGCGTCTATTAAGCTGCCAGTGGAAATCAAACACCAGCTCCAACATCTCGCTCAGAACAGCGTAGCATACAAAGTGGGTTGAAATTACAAGCATTGAAGGTGCACCTATTCCTGGCTTTCCTCACATGTTTGAGGCATTTAGATCCTACGCTGATGCATGGGATAATAGCTTAGCATTGGACTTCTTTGGGCTTGAAGACTCTGAAAATTCAGCGACGATAGCCCCTCAGCTTTCGGTACCTTTCTGCAATTTCACCTGCTTCCACATGCCTGGGCTTGCCTGCACCGACTTTGTGCCCGACTATGAAGACCACAAGCTCGCACTGCTGAGCCGAGGGCTGGCTGCCCACCTTATAACTCAGTTCCACTCACTGAATTTTGCACCCAATATGCTGCCTCGGCTCAAGGTCATTGACGTGGCCAACTCCTGATGTATTTGCCGGTTTCTATGCGAGTTTTCTGACGTACCAAGCTGGCTTGCTAACTATCAGAGACAGTCCGACCCCACTGGGCCACATTCATTCACTAGCATTCGGCACTGCAGATCACATTGATATACGAATCAGCAACGGTGCCGCAGGCATACATGGTCAAAACTGAGCAATATTTTTCCGTGCTCTGCCGCAAAGTACATGTCTTTCAATACTGAAGCCATTGCTATCAAGGGGTGGCAAACTGTGTAGCATGGCTGCACGCTGCATCTTGTGTTTTGTTAAAGCAAATACATCTATTCAGACGTCCATATCGGCACCTTCCTGTCATTGAAGAAAAATGCGGTCATGTTTAATGTCGGGTGATTCGCCATCCCAAGGATACCATGCTCCGAAATCTTTGTCTGTCCCTGGCATATTCCTGACTCGATACTGAAGCTGAACAATTCCGACTTGTCAGAGACAGCGAGGATGTACTTGCCTTGAGGTGTGATGCTCGCACAAAGGAATTCGTTGCAAGCACCTTCTTTTGGGCTAAATGTCTTTTTGACATCGCCGTCAAGGGTGACAATATACATGGTAGGTGACTTGGTGCATACAAAAATATCGGTCGACGATCCAGGGACACGCGCTGCGCTATGCGTCTCAGGCAGAGCCAAACCAGCATTCCTCTCATTTGGTACGATGGTGTGCATGCAACTGGCCGATTTGGTATCCCAAATACGGACTGAGCCATCCCCAGATGTGCTGACGACGCGGGACATATCGTCGCTGAACAGAACGCTGGTGATGTACGCGGTGTGGCCAACAAACTCACGGATGCATTTTCCAGACTTGAGCCCATGAATCCGAACAGTGTTATCGAACCCGCCGCTGATAACCTGCGTGCTGTCTTTGGAAAACGCAATACAGGTGACACCCTGGCTGTGTGCTGCAGGAATCCGCCTCGTGCAAGCCCCAGTTTTTACATTCCACACCTTTATCTTTCCATCGCTTGAGCCCGAGCAAATAGCCTCACCACTGCAGCTGATCGACAAGCATGTCACCGACTGGTCCATCATCATCAGTGCGCTGTCAGCCTGGTACTTCAGATCGGTACGCAGCTTGCCAGTCATGGGGTTCCAAATCTCAATGAACCCATCGGCACTCCCTGTGGCCACATAGTTGCCGCTTGGCGAAAACGCTAAACTCTCTGGGTGCTGCTTCTTTGGGAACTTTATCGTGGCATGGATCTTCGACGGTACTTTATCTTCTCCCTGCTGGACAGCATGCTTCTTCCCGTAGAACAGATCGTACCTGTCACCAAGCGTGATGCTCCCCTGCTCCTGTTGCCACTTCAGTGCCTGCCCCAAAAGAGTCAAAAGACGGGATGGCTGGGCCGACGTGACCTCTGCCGTCAGACTCTCTGCAATCGCTGCGCGCCTTGATTCCTTGGTACCCTCTCCCTTGTACACAAATTGCGCATCGAATGTGGTCCGCGACAGCAGCTGCTCCAGCCTGAGATAGCGCTCAGGCTGTTCTGTCCGCATGATCTGCATTGGCTCCGTCTGTCGAAGCAGGACGCGGGCAGGAGCCAGGTCAAGCAACTCGGCAAGCTCAAAGATTACTTGCTCATACAAATCGATAAGCCTGCTGGGCTCGAGATTAGCCTGTTCAACGCTGCCTAACACAATGTCCCACCGACCCTTTAAAATATTGCTCTTGAAGGCATCGATATTGTCAATAGTGTTCAGCCGGATTGACGATTCGCTTTGCAGGACGTCAAGTGTGCGCTTCAAGTTGTGCTCCTTGAGGAATTGCTCAATAAGCCTAATCACGTCGGCCGATTCGATTTCCATGGGGGTTGCTGAGATAGAAATTGAAAATTGATGTTACTACTAGAGATCCAAAATTTGCTTGTGGCTCACCGATCACAAGCCATACTAACGCATGTTATGGATCTGTGCTGTGCATACCATCAGGATGTTCTGTATCGCTGCAGATGGACCCTATGCATTCTAGGCTAAGATCTGCAGGTCTAACGTCTGTCATAATATCCAAGGAATCTTGCCAAACGCTATGGTTGCTGAAACGTCATTATGTATTCCACTAGTTCGGAGGTGAATTCTCCCAACAATAATGGCAGATGGGAAAATAGCAAAGTGGACGCTGTCCTTGTCATTTAATACCAGACTTATGGCGCTCGCGATGCGATCTCAGCTAGTCAGTATGTGCCCACAAAGAGAGCCCAGCGCAACCAGCCTGTAGGTACTGTATACCGATATTTATCACGGAAGATTTGCAAAGCAAAAGCAGGATTCCATCCCACTATCCAGGATAGATAGTTCTTGCATAGTCAGACGTATCCATCGAGTGGTTGCCGATGCACATCACCAAATCGAGCCCCGCACCAAGGTATGCCGCGGCTGGCAGTCACGAAGATTAAATAGCGGAATGTAAAGGAGGAGTTTGTAGGGAAGTCGGAATGTATGGAAAGGGGTGAGGTATTTGAAAACGCCAGATGACGCAGGAAGGGCCACTTCTAGATGTAGGATATATATTGGCCAGTAAGCCAGTGGTGCCTTTTTAAGCACTCAAAAACCAATGAGACTGATTGCGGGCTGTGCAGACAACCTGCTATCGCCCCCACCGGCTTAAGCCCATGGTTACAAGGTTGGGTGCTGAGGATGTGGAAGTTGGGCGGTTTGTTTATTACATTACTGCATCAGCAAAATGCGAACTGAGATGGATGGTGCTTTGATAGAACGAAGGTTCTGGGTTCGGTTTTTCGAGAAGACATATATTTGTCACTTTAGGATCTGAATCCATCGGCCAAAAGAGAGTACTGTTTGTTAAAAGTTTACAGAGCGAGCCACGCATGTTCGCTATGGAGCTCAAAAAAGCTTGAATCCCCTCAATCAAAAATGCTCTACCGGACGGTCGGACACCTTTGGACTATAAAATCGTACAAAGATTGATACAACAGCATTCATAGCATGACAGTGTAGTTTGCCACTAATAGTGTCCATTTATTTTATATATATCCTTAGGTTCACCGCATATATGGCAAAAGTACCATTTTATATCTTCATGGGTTCGCATTTGACACAAATAACATTTGAAATGACTGCCGATTCTTTGGATTATTATTGGTAGTAAATATGCCAGTCCTCATGACCTTACCATTCAGGGATATCGTCTACTATGCTGCAGCCATCAAGTGGAAGACACATCGTTGCAGATTTCTATTTAAAGGATAGTTTTCCCAGACAATGATTTTAGGCTAAGGGTTTGCCCTTGGATAGACAGCACAAAGGCATACTTCAGAGAGCAGTGATCAGTGACCGTGGCAATCTGGGGAACCTCACTCATGGATGCAGCCTCGGATCGGACCAACTACCAAATTTTACAATACGCCAGAGCCAAGTTTCATTCGTAAATAAATGATTACAGCCTCGGTACAAGTGTCCATGATTACAGTATACGTTCTCTTCATCCCATCCGTGTTTTCTCTAATTTCATTTTATTTCTTATCACCATGTCTCAATCCATTCAGAAGGGCGGGTTCTGCCCCCAATACCGGACGCTGAAAGGATTGCAGCAGCCAAGGGGCTATTCAATGGTACGCTCGAGCCGGTTGGAAAGGGCTACACCGCGCTTATAATTATTGGCAATCTTATGCTTGCCTATACAGGCGCTCTTGTTGTCTGCGGCTGGTGGTACAAAGACTACCAACCAGTTCGTGCCAAAAAACCTTCCTCTGGCAACGTCCATGTATCTTGGCTCAACCATATGGTTTATTGGCGACCTACATGTAAACCGGAACGTTAGGCTCCTGGGAGCCTGGTAGGTTTACAAGGTCTTCGGTCTGTACTTTCGTGTAGCGTGGGTATTTGGGTTCCCAATTACGATGTTTGTGCGTATATACACGCTGGATCTCATCTTCATTCAGAAGAAGCCGGTTCGCGGCTGGCCATTCTATGCTCCAATTGCCGGATGGTCCCTCTGTGGATTGGCCTGTTTGCTCATTGGGCAATTCCTACCGGATGTGAGCAGCGAGCGTTTTGTACCCCAGATCCAGCTGTGCATTGTAAGCTATAGGTTTCTATACATTTCACTAGGGTATTTGTGAGCTATTTGTTTCGGGGTATCATGCATTATGTGGCGCGTGCAAGCGATATACAGCGGGTTTGCAGAAGGTTGGGAGACGCTAATCATTATATTAATTGGAGTAACGGACGTCATCCAGGCTACGATTTTGAACTTGAGTGATAACCTGTACATCTTCAGTGCCAGATCCCGTATTATGAGCACTGCATACAACTCTGAGGTGGCTTTTACAGTTATTTAGGTTACCCTTGCTGTACCTATGTACAACGCATTTTTCAACCACGATATATATTTGGAGGAGTGGCTCAATATGCTAGCTGATGAAGGGTTGAAAAACGTTTACAACCATATCTAGCGCCACTCAGGGCAAGGAGAACGGCAGTACTCCATGATGGAAAGTGAGATGGAGATTGCACAGCAGGGATACTCGCCAACAACACAAGGCAAAAATACCAGAAATGAAAGCGACAAGACATGTAATTCTCAAAAAGGGGGTTCGATCATGGTGTCGGATATCAGTGGCAGACTCATAGCCCCCAAACCATTCCCTCAGTCTTATTTGAACGACCCAGGCGCAACATGGTATGACCCAGACGGAGAATCAACCCAATATATCCTGTGAAGGTCGAGATATTATCCGCCTTTTAGTTTTCCACTGATAATGTCAATCACATGCTACGGCTAGGCCAAGCTAGACATGATGGCATATATACTCCATGGATAGATTTTGCTTGTGTCATTTGAGTTTACACTGGAAAAACAGTATATAATTACTCCGGTGCACTGTATCTACAGATAACAACAATTGTCCCCTTAATGAAATGATTCTACATGCAATCCGGGACTACGGTTTCCAAACTGGGATGTGTAGCAGCAGCAGACACAACACCAAGGATAGAAAATGGCTTGGTAAAGCTATTTCTTCAAGAATCCATCTCGCAGTTACGTAACGCTGCCGCAATAGGAATAGGCTCTTCTCTAGCTGCACATTGAGTTCGGATGGCAGCCCTAATCACCATGTGGTCAGCGATATAGTAGTTGCCTTTTGTAAGAAATCGTTTTACTGCGCAAAAAGCGATTGTTACTATTTGACTGGTTACTCAATTGTTTTCTTGCGCTCCTTGCCAAGTTCAACATGCCTAATCGCAAAGCAGGATACGAAGGCGATCCCGCCGATAGCAACAAATACGTAAAACGCACTGTGCATGCTGTCAGCCCAAAGATGGATGATTCTTGACTGAATGTCTTGAGGAATAATATCGCTGTATATGTTGCGCTGGTCGGCGAGAGTAGAGGCTATATCTGACGCATGCGAAGGGAACTCGTTCACCAAGCCGGTGATACCTGTCTTGATGCGGCTGTTCAGAATCGAATTCATAATGCTGGTAGCGAGGATCCCACCCAGAGTCCGCAAAAAGGAAAATGATGTTGTCACTGAAGCCATATGCTTGCCAGCAACGCTAGCTTGACAGACAACCATGGCTGGCTGAGATATGAAACCAAAGCCAAGACCAGATAAAAACAGATATCCAATCCTTTCCCCAAAGCCAGTGCCCACTTTGTACCGCAGAAGCAAAGACAGGCCAGTCACAGTAAGGATTGCTCCAAAACGGATCGGTAGGAGGAATCGACCTGACCTGGCCATATAGATGCCGCACAGAGGCGAAGCAAATACAATCCCTAGTGCAATAGGGAGGAGATGCAATCCACCCGACATAGTTGACGCATGCTTGATCGCGAGTTCCCAGATAGGAATGATATTCGACGTTCCAAATAAGTTTGCACCCAAGGTAAGGGCTGCTACTAGTGCCGCAAGGACATTGAGGCTTCGGAAGAGACGGACAGGGACAATCGGCTCGACAGCATAATGGTACTCGACGTATCCAAACACAAGCAGTACGACAAATCCGCAAATGAGACACGCCAGGACCTGCGCCGATGTCCACTCGTACTGTTGGCCACCCCAGGAAAGCCCGAGCAAAATAGGAACCATTCCAATGGTAAATAGCGCGCAGCCAATAAAGTCAACACGCTGGACCTTCTCCCTGAGCGTTCCCTTGGTCTTTGGCAGCTTGAGCGTGAAGAAGATCAGGGCCATTGCAATGACGCATATCGGAATATTGATCCAGAACACGATTCGCCATGAAGCGTGCTCGACGATGCCGCCACCCATCACCGGTCCGATTACGACGGCAAGCCCAAACACTGATGAAAGCGCACCCATGTATTTTCCACGTTCGCGCTCGCTGAAAATATCACCCAACAGAACCACTGTCAGTCCCAGTATCCCTCCGCCACCGACTCCTTGGATTGTGCGGCTGGCGATGAGCATGTTCATCGACTGCGATGCCCCGCAGAGAATGGAGCCAAGTATAAACATTATGATGCTAGCTTGAGTGGTCTCAACGCGGCCAAGAATGTCGCTGATTTTGCCGATAATCGCCTGTACAATCGTCGACGATAGCATGTACGTGGTGAGAATCCAGACAGCCTGGCCCAGCGCACCGAAATCACTCGCAATCGGCACGTAAATGCTGGCCATGATAGTTGCATCCAATGAAGCAATGAATGTAAGCATACACATGCTTACAAGAGAGCCAATTTGTTGTCTCTTGGAAAGCGTATACGACGCCAAATCGGCATTTTCCGCCTCATCACCAGCTCCAGGGCCGTTGCTAGTTACTCCATTGGAGGGTGCTTCTGCCCCTGCGCCAGCCTCAAGCGCTTTCTCGGAAATAGGCTGCTCATTGATATCTGCCACGGCTGGCATGGCACCCGAATTCTGCACAGTGAGGGTCTCGTCGAGAGCAGTGTCGGTCTCGGTCTTGATTATAGACATTATAGCTCCTAGAATAAACTTGTAGAGTGAAGGTGAGTAGGGCTAAGTGCCACATTGCCTCCTGTTTTAATACACATGTACACGGTATGTTTAGGTACTATATCATGAGCAACCATATCCCACGCCTCGCTCGCACCTTCAATGCATTTTTTGAGGCCGAGCAATCTCCGCCAAACAGATGATATGTACAAGCACACACTCTACCTATTCATATAAAGTGTCTTCGAGTAACGAGCAACATTCTTACACAGGATCCGGCTACAAAGTGTGTTGGCTGGGCAAGCGAAAAAAGCATTTTCACGCAACCAGCATGTATGGCGTTGTGTGGCGCTGGTTGATCTTCAAACAATACCTGTCCTAAGTATCGAGGGTGCACTGCACAAGTGCTAGAGGTTGGGTTTAACCCCTGATCCTTAGCCAACGTGTACGTCAAAATGATGTACAAAATACAAGCTTGTCGTGATTAAAAACGACATTGGTTTATTCAATAGTTTTCTGGTGGAGTATGCTAGGCTCAACATGCTTAATGACAAAAGTTGACATTAAAAGGAATCCTTCACTTGCAGCAAGCGTGAATAAAAAATGCGCTGTCCATACTAAAGCCACAAGATACTCGAAAGACACCATATTGCAGCATAGCAGCCATATCATATAGTCCACGACTCATCCGCAGCAAGATCGCTTGTGACAAACGGCTCGGCAACTGACTTGATCATGACCTCTCCGCATAGCACACACTCCCCAGCTACCAGCGTATCCAGCTGCTTGCGCACCCTCCTGCCCTGCGCCTCCAGCGCCTCATCAGACTCGCCCGTCTGCTTGCCTGTCAATGGCGCCAACCGCAGCTGCCGCCGTTGCTTCATGATCTCGACGCTCTGGCTTTGCAGCTCGTGGATTCGGCGCCGCTGAACCCGGTTGCAGGTGCTGACAATCTTGCGCGTCAAGCAGTCGGCGTGGCAGGCATGCTGGCATGGGAACGCGTAGAACTGGCGCAGCCACAGCGGCTGGTCGCAGAGCTGGCAAGCTTCTTCGGCGTTCAGGATCGCGAACCTGTGCTTCAGTCCTTGCATATTGCGCTGCATGTTTTCGGCCGTACGGGTGGACTCATCCATCTCGCTCCGCAGGTCCTGGATCTGTGTCTCGTAGTCCTCGAGTGCTGTGCAGATATCCTCTTTGAAATCATCGACGCGGGTGAAATCGGGGAAGAACGGCAGAATGTCCTCGACGCCCAGACGGTTCGACCGGTGCACAAGCTCCATGACATCGGCAGCAGAGGTGTTGGCCTTAATGACGTGCTGGGCGATCTTGAGCCATAGACGCTTGCATAGTTTGTCGTCGCCCTCGGGTCGCTCGGCGTGTATTTGCGCCAGTTCAATGTCCCCATGCTCCAGTGCCAGATCGACGGCGTCTTCATGCAGCTTTAAAAGACTGTAAAGGTGGACGCAGCTCTGAATCCGTCCGAATCGCTTGCACATGCGTAGAGCATAGTCGGGATCATACAGCATTTCCTTGCCGTATGTGGTCAAGAATGCCATCAGTTCGGACTCGTCGCTTGACGTCGACTCGTGTACCAGCAGTGTCAGGTAGTAGTTGTATACTGTGGGGTCACGGCACATTTGCCGCTGTGTGCAGAAATGCAGGTAGCGCAATGCCTGGTTGGTAGGGCCGCTGCGGCCAGGCTGGTACTTCATCAGTGCCGGAATCAGCTTGCTCGGGGTCAGGTTCGGCTGGCGCATCAGGATATCAACCAGGGCCTCGGGCTGGGTGCTCATCAGCACCGGCGCATAGTGGTACAGCATCTCAGGCGTGCCGTAGTGGCCAAGCACCTGCAGTGCACGTATGAACTCCTCCTTCTCCATCCAGTATTCAACCACCCGCTCGTAATCGCCACGCAGGGAGGCATAGTGTAGCCAGAATTCGCGTTGCCCGTGGCTTTCGGCTAGCTGATATGCGGTGTGGGGGTCAACGGCGTTCTTGTAGCGCTCGACAAGCGAGTACAGCTCCTCCTGCGTCGTGGCATGCTCGCCCTCAAACTCATCTACCACCATATGCTGCTCCTGCGACGCACCGCTGGCACCAGCATTGGCCCTGGCCGCGTTCAGCTTGGCATCGATAGCGCTGAGCATTCCCAGATATATGTCGATCAGCCACATCACCAAGAGTGTGGTCTGGGTCTGGTCCTGGCGACGCAAGGTGTCGAGCTTGGACAGCAAGTAGCTCTTGAGTGCAGCATTCTGCTTCTTGTCGATGAACTTGAGCACGGCTTCCTCAAAGCCGATCGATGACTTGGCATAGCACTCGGCAGCAGCGACGTACTCATTCCTTTTTGAACAGGTGCTCGGCCTGTGCGCGCCAAACCTGATCCCGCTGGGCGTCGTTGTGACAGCGCTTCAGGGCGCTGTCAAACTGCCGCCGCGCCAGAAAGATCTCCCACACATCCCGGTCCTCGTCAGTAATCACAATCTCGTAGATGTCGTTGGGAGAGAACAGCCAGTATGTCTTGTTGGCGGAATCAACCACCATACCCTGCAGGTTGTCGTTCACCGGCTGGTCATAGGCGGGCTTGCAGTTGAGCATGTTGAGAGCGCGGATCTGGTTGCTGTACTGCAGCAGGATGTGGAATTCTGTCAGTTCTAGCGACAATGGCTGTTCGTTGCCGGCAGAAGCAGGGTACGGCAGCAGCGATGCATTCTCAATGACGCTGTCGCCCGATTCCTGGCTTCCAAACACCAGCTTGCCAAAGAACACGCCCATAGACGTGAGCCAAGCGAAGTCAGTCGCTGTGGTTCCATTGTGGTACACAGCCAGGGACCCAGGGCCGGGCATTCCAGGGATCTCTTGGAAGTTTGGGTTAGCGAAGCCCTCTGTAAACAGTCCCTCGAACGCGCACAGCTTGTCGCTGCTGGCCGCGGTATCCGCAGCGCCAACAAGCTGGTACAGGCGGGTCCCAGTCGATACCAGGACCAGGTTCTGCTTTGTGCGCTTTGGGAACGACACCATGGCTATACCTGTAATGCGCTCGCGCACAGGTACATTGCCGGCCAGCTTCAGCGGAATCTCGCTGCGCTTTGCCTTTGCGTCACTACCAGGCCGCAGTTCGGACTCGTATATCCGGCCGTCGTGGGTCCCCAGCAGAATGCGCTTCGTCGAGTCTCCGTTGGTCGTCGCCATGTGGTTCCATGCCACTGCCGTCACCTCCATGTTCTTGAAGCGGCTAAGCGGCTTGGCCGCCTCCCAGTCCTCGTAGTGGTAAAAGTTCTCGCCCTGCGGCGTCGATATCAGCAGATGGCGGCCAGTGGGGTCTAGGAACGCGCTGCATGCCTTGAGGTCGGTTGGCTTCACTGGGATCTCAAACTCGCGGATGTTGTGTGCTTCCTGCAGGTCGATACGCATGATACGGGCACCTTCGATGACCAGCACAAGCATGTCGTTGGCAACTGCCATGGCGATTACCTGGTTCGGAACCTGGAACTGGACTCTATCCAGCGAGAAAATCGGCGCATCCTCGAGCGTCGTTGTTACGTAGCCGTCAGTCGCCAGAAGGGTCTGCAGCCACGTCCTCGCTGTCGAAATCTGAATGTGCCAGCTGCTGCTGCTGGTGGTTAGCGCCCGATTCGTATTCGGCATAGTCGTCGAGCAAAGACATTGTGTGGGATTATGACAGGGCGAGTGAGCAAAATTAATAAAAGGCTGAGGAAACGAAGAAAAAGAGAAAATTACAACACCGAAATGAGCTACGCAATCGGCGCCTTTGAAGAAAAAAGTGGTGAAAAGTGCTGGGCCGGGTTTACTGGAAAGCCGGGCTCGGCCAGCCCTACTTGCCAAACTCTGTCAGCTCGTTGACCTGCTCTTCCAGCTCAGCCTGGCACTCGGCCAGCACCTTCTTCTGGTCGCTCTGCGAGATGCTGATTCCCGGCAGTGACGCAACGGTCTCACGCAGACGGTTCATGTGCAGAGTGATGGCCTCCATCTTGCGTGCCAGCTCGGCGCGGCGCTCGCTGGTGTCGACGCAGATATCCAGCAGTTCGGCGCATTGCGGCAGGAGCGTGAAGTCGCTGGGCTTGAGCTGGTCCATCGGTGCTTAAAAACAGTGTCTGTGCGAAGGGCAAAAAGGAAGGGTCCGGGGCTGGTGAATGCGGGCAAGCCCAGCTGCACAGCGCACAGGGGCTGGCGTGGTGTAGCCAAATAAGCTTGTGGGTTCAGGCAAGGAGGGTGGAAAATAGATGTGCCGCACAAACACTGCGCGGTCAAGTGGCAGTTGGCGATCGAAAAATAAGAGCGCCGCTGCGACCACTTGCCAGCTTGGCTCCAAACAGCTTTAATTTTATCTCCTATCTTTTGCTTCTCACACTAGTCTCTTCTACAGCAACCATCTAGTACTATTGTAGCTATCCTCAACCATGGCCCACGAGAGTTCGCCATTCCTTCCACAGTCCCCGCGCGGCCGGCCGCGCACTGTCCGGAGCTGGTGGCATTCGCGCAGCCGCGACGTGGTCTCGCTTCTGACGCTGCTGCTGCTGGTGGGCACCGGGCTGGGAATCTGGGTGTACGGCACCCTGCCCACGTCCGACCCCGACGGGCACCCGCACGAGTACGCCCTGAGCACCACGCGCATCCGCAACCACCTCAGCAAGTTCCTAGAGATCGCCGAGGCGCACAACAACTCGCGCTCGGTCACCAACGGCCACGCGGCCAGCGCCCAGTACGTCATCGACCAGCTGCAGCAGCACGGCAGCTGCGACGTGCACGTCCAGCACTTCATGTCGCCGGTGTGGACGGTCAACAAGGCGCCGGTGCTCCGGGCGTCTGGCCCGGTCGAACGTCGACTTTATCTTCGAGACGGACTTCCAGGTCATGCGCTATGGCGGGCAGGGTGCCGATATCAAGAACGCAAAGGTGGCGGTGGTTGACGACGGGTGCACGGCCAGCACAATTGGGGACGTTGAGGGGCGTATAGTGCTGGTCCACCCGCATGGCAAGTGCACGGATCTTCGAGTCGGCATTCTTGCTGGAGCAGCTCGGCGCAAGCGCTGTGGTGTTCATTCGCTCGTCTCGGTATCCGACGCCGTCGAGGGCGCGTGTGCGTATTTCCGACTGGAAGGAGGGAGACCCGCTGATGACTGTGCCGGTGCTCTCGGTGACTCACTCAGTGGGACAGGTGCTCGAGAGCCTCAAGGGCGTGCGCCTGGATGTCTTCACCGACACCCGCATCGATGTCGTCAAGACATTCAATGTGATCTGTGTTGGCCGCCATGGAGACCCCTGACAGCACGGTCCTGGTCGGCTCCCACCTGGACTCTGTGGCCGCCGGCCCCGGCATCAACGACAATGGCTCTGGATCGGCGTCGACGCTCGAGATCCAGCTCACTCTGACTGCCCTCAACTACCGCCCGCACAACCGCCTGGTGTTTGCTTGGTGGGGCGCCGAGGAGGACGGGCTGCTGGGATCGCGCCATTTCGCGCGCGTGCTGGCGCAGGGGTGGAAGAACCGGTGGACCGACAGCGAGACTGTCGGCGGAGTCACATGGAGCCAGATCGCACTTGACCTGAACTTTGACATGCTCGGGTCGCCCAACTACATTGCGCTTGTGCATAACGGCACTGATGCGCCCAGCAATGCCCGCATGGGCTCGCAGCGCATCCAGCGTGTGTTTGAGGACTATTTTGTGCGGCACCAGTACCCGTTCCAGGTCACCGATATGCTGGCCGGGTCGGATTTCCTGCCATTCGTCGACAACGGCATTCCTGCAGGCGGCGTGCTGACAGGCGCGGGTGAGCTCAAGACCATTCAGGAGCGCCGCGAGCATGGCGGCATGGCCAACGCTCCGCTGGACACGTGCTACCACCGCGACTGCGACGGCGTCCTCAACATCAACGTCCGGGGGTTGGACCAGATGTCCAAGGCCGCCATGTATGCCGTGTCGACCCTGTCCAGCACACCGCACCTCCGAGAATTCCTTGGCACGCCTTTTAGCAACTAGATGTTATTATAAACGCCGTTCTAGACTGAAACTGTCGCCTTTGCCAGTAGCTGGGCCCATGACGAGCGCAGCTTGTCTTCGTCAACGTTGCGCCCAATCACAACCAGCTTCAGCAGTCCGTCGTCAGAGTGTGCAGGCACGGAGAATGAGTCGTACATTTCGCGCACGCCCTGCACTACTACTGTAGCGCTTTCCAGCTTGGTCTCTCCGCCGACCGGAATGTAGTCCTTGGCGCCCAGCAGCGCCTTGAGCCGCAGAACTTCTGTTGCCGGCATGCCATCGGCAGCGCCGCTAGTGCCGGGAATACGTGCATCCCACAGCAGCTCCTGGATCCACTCGTCGACAATCTCCCATTGCACCAGAGCCGGTGCGGCCATGGCCACGGTGCCGATGCGCGAATCGACATGGTGGTGGTGGCCATGCTCAGTATCGGCAGCGTGCTTGGTTGTGACGCTGCTGTATGCGTTGATGTTCAGCACATAGTCGAGCGGCACACCCGCGAACTGCGACCGGCGGATATCTGCCTCCGAGTTGATCTCGCCAATCGTCTGTTCGATCCGCGCCAGCGCTGCGTCGTCGGCGAGATCGGTCTTGTTCAGAATAATGCGGTCGGCAAATGCCACCTTGCTTCTGGCACTCGTTCATGGTCTCGCCCTCTGGCGCAGGCTCGTTCAGCTCCTTGTCAAAGTTCTTCGCATCGACCAGCGTCACGATTCCGTCCAGGCGGATATCGCTGCCCAGATCCTCGTTTCGCCCACAGCATTGTGGCGATGCGGCCCGGATCCGCCAGACCAGTAGGTCTCGAGCAGGATGTAGTCGAACTTGCCCTTGCGCTCCATCAGCGACTCGATCGCCTTCAGGCCCTTGTCCTTGACCGTGCAGCACAGACAGCCGTTCTTCAGATCCAGCCACTCGTCGACCATTGCGCCCTCGTCGGTCACCGTCGTGAACGCCTGGTCGATGCCCTGCGAGTCGCCGAACTCGTTCATGATCACGGCGATGCGCTTGCCGTGCTCGGCCTGCAGAATGTAGTTTAGCAGTGTGGTCTTGCCCGACCCCAGGTAGCCGGTCAGAATCGTTGCTGGCACGATCTTGTTCGGGTCGCTGGTGGCCATGGCGAGGCAGGCTGCGGGGTCGCGGGTGCAGTGGGCTCTTCGATCAGCTCGGGGATTTCGTCGTCCATCGTGGTGTCTGTATATGAGCGATGCGTGGAATGAGTTGCGGTGTCCTTTGCTCCTCGCTCCGCTCCGCTCCCCAATATATATCATATGGCCTCGTAGCACACGGCCTAAGGTTTATGGTGTATGAGAATCGGAAACAAATCGTTAGGGAGTGAGAGATATCTGACGGACGCAATGTCCGAACGAAGCACCGAGGCAGTGCTACAGGAACATGGCGCATGGGCGCCCGGAGAAAGCGCCAGTGGGCTGTTCAAGGCCATCACGTATACTACCATCTCCTGCATTTACATGTAGACGTGGATGGACATTTATGGAAAAACAGGTGGCTCCAAAACCCAGAACATTGTGTGGAAAGCATGTGCGATGCTGGCTTAGTTGCCGCCCCAGCTGAAGAACCCGCCCGAGGTCCGGCCAGTGCTGACCTTCTCCTCGACCGCGGCGGGCTGCTGGGAGCCGCCTCCGCCGCGCATGGGCTTCACAATGCGCTGTGAAGCGCAGCACGGATCCAGGCGCAGACGGCTGCTTGGCGGCATTGGCGGCAGGCCGGCTAGCCTCAAGCGACAGAAGGTTCTTGAGCTCCTCCGTCTTGCGCTTCCAGGCCTCGGCCTGCCTGTTGGTGCTCTCGAGATGCTCCTCCAGGCACTTGATGCGGGTTTGCCGGGCATCGAGCTTGCGCTCGGCCAGCGCATCCCGCTTCTTCAGCTCGGCGTTCTGCTCAACCAGGCGCTTCTGCATGGCGGTCAGCTCGGCCACGTTCTTCTCCAGCAGCGACATGCGCTGGGGCTGCGACATGTTGCCCAGCTTGTGGCTCAGCTGCGACACCTGCTCCCGCGACTCGTCGAGCGCCATCTCCAGCTCGATGATCTTCTCGCAGCGGTTCTGCACATCGCGCATCAGCGACTTGCGCATGGTGTCGTACTCGAGGATGCGCTGCGCCATGTCGCGCCGCATGGCCTGCATCTCGCGCTCCTTCAGCATTGCGTGCTCCGGTGGCTGCCACGGACGACGAGTCGGCAACGCCAATGGCGCTGCTGCCCGTCTTCTGGGCGCTAGCAAGAGCAGTCTCGGCCTTGGTCTTCTCTTCGGCCAGCGCCTCGACCCGGGCCAGCAGGTCACGGTTCTCCGAGCGCATCTCGCGGATCGACGCATTGAGCTTGGCCACTTCCTCGTGGCGCCGCTGCAGGTCGCTGAGCGTCGACTCAAGCTGCGCCTTCTGCGTGTTGAGTTTGTTGGTGTAGTGGGCTTCCAGCTTCTGCTTCAGCTCGTTGATGGTCTCGGTGTCGCGGCTGTTCTGCTGCTCTTCAGCCGCAATCGACTGCTCGATCATCTCCTCGTAGTCAGTCAGCAGGCGCTCGTACTTGCCGTCGGTGTCCTCGCACTGGTGCGCCAGATCGCCTGTTCTTGGCCAGCAGCTCCTCGATGTACCGCTCGCGCTCCTGCAGCAGGTCGTTCATCTCATCGACGTCCTTGCGCATCTTGGTCAGCAGCTCGACCTTCTTGCTGTCGTCGTCGCCGGCCTCCACCAGCGCCCGCAGCAGGTCGCCCATGCCTGCCTCGTGCCGCGAAATGGCCTTGGCCGAGTCCATGTCGTTGATCATGGCTGCAACACGGGCCTCGCGCAGCTTCTCCTTGTCGGCGGCGCTGACCTCCTGGTCGGCCTGCACCTTGAGCTTCTCGATCTCCTCGCGCACCTTGTTGAGCTGCTCCGTGAGCTCATTGTTGGCCTCGGTGAGGCTGTCGACGGTGATCTCGGCCTCCTTCTGGCTGAACGACACCTTGTCGAGCTCCAGCTTCAGCTGTGCTGCTTCCCTTCGCCAGCTCCTCGTTGCGCGACCCCATGTCTGACGTCTCGCTCTTCAGGAAATCGAGCTGCTCGCGCATGGTCTCGTTCTCCTTGCGCGTATCCTTGCAGGCTGTGTTCCTTCTCCGTCAGCGCATCGTTGAGCTCGTTCTCGCGCCGCAAAAACTCCTCGCGCTCGTCCTCGCTCATCACCGTGGTGGGCGAGCCGGACCGCGAGCCGAGCTCCGACAGCAGCGAGTCGTTGAGCTGCAGCGTAGGCGTCGGTGAGCCCACACGCGTAGCGGTTGGGGTAGGGCTCAGCGGCATCGCACTATTGCCCACCCCGGCGCTGACAGAGTGCCGCGCAGCCGACCGCGGGGTCGACGCTCCGGTGCCACGCCCGCCAGCAGTGTGGGTGCGCTGCGGGGCCGCCGGCAAAGCCTTGGCGTCCTTGCCATGCGATCCGCTCCCATGTCGCGTAGTTCTCGGCATCGACCGAGCCGCCGGTACGCCAGATTTTGACTTCGCCCTCGAGCGCCGAAATGTACGTCTGGAACGAAACCGCCTGCGAGCGCGCCTTCTTGAGCATGGCCTTGAGCTCTGCCGGGCTGAACTCCTGGTTGATCTTGGCCTTGTTCTTGATCGACTTGGCCCGCATACCGAACCGCAGCGTGCTCACTGTTTCGGCTGCATTGAACGACATGGGCGAGCAGTTGATAATCAGCGTTGTGCGCGAGTTACCTCCCAGGGACTCCTGCAGGATACGCGTCAGCTTCGAGTCGCGGTAAGGAATATGCGACGATTTGCCGTCAGTCAGCGCGTTGATGACCATGCCGAGCGCCGAGAGCGACTTGTTGATCTTCTTGGCCTCCTCAAGCGTCTGCCCGGTGGCTCCGGTCTTGCCGACCTTCTCCGAGCCAGCCAGATCGACGAGGAACAGCCGGCCCATCTTAGTCTTGCCGCTGACCGTGTCCTTCTGCTCGATCGAGATCTGGAAGATGCTGTGACTGCGCGAACTCTCGGCGTTCATGTTGGTGTATGCCACCACGCGGTTCTTGCTTCCCTGCCGCATAACCTGGTACACCTCGTCGATGCTGCTGACAAACACCTCCATCAGGCCCTTGACATAGACGCCGTTGGTCTTGTCCTCATGCACAGGGCAGGATTGGTGTCCTCCGGGCGCAGCAGATCGCGGATCCGCTCCATATAAATCTCCATGTACGAGGCCTTGACCATGTACTCGACGGTCGGCGGCGACTCGATGATCTTGGCGAAGATCCCCTCCACAATACGTGGGATGATACCTTTGAGATCGTCGTTGTCAATATCCGCGCCCATCATTGTGAACGTCTTTCCGGAGCCAGTCTGGCCATAGCAGAAGACCGTGCCGTTGTATCCGTTGAAGATGTCTATGGAGTGCAGGGGAATGGGGTCAGCGGGATTGCGTACAATAGAGGCGCAGCAAAAACAAGCCGAATATCTTTTTTCTTCCCATTCTCACTGCCAGGCAACTATTTCATGCATACTATCACGCGTGCATGTGTGAACCCGGAAGTTGTGTGCCCGGACTGTGGAAAGGAAACCATCAGCTTACCTTCGAGCGTGTCGCTAATCGCGTAGTTGTAAATCTGCGACTGCGTTGTGTCCGACCCAAACACCTTGTCAAAGGCGAAGCTGCCCGTATGCTCCTCGCACTACACCCAAAACACAAAAGCGCATGCTTTCAGCTGTGTTGCATTCCAGCAGTCGAGTGCTCGTAGTCTGCATGCCCGCCCCTTGCTTTGCCTGTGCTTACCTTGAGGGCCACGGTGGACTCATCTTCAATTTCAATGACCGATGTACTGCCCGACTTCTTCTCCAGCGCATTGGGAGGCCGGAAGCGGGCAATAACCTTGATATTATTGTCCTGCTGCGACATGGCTTACAACTCGGCCGCTTGTGTAGACCAGAAACAGACACTGAAATATAGGAGTGGAATCGGCGGAGAACGCTCACTTGAAGGTAAATTTATAACTGAAGAGCAATAAAAAAAAAAGGAAGAAACAGGACCAGCGGTATTCTTTGTGCCAGAACCTTTCTTTCCCAAGGAGAATAGTTTGGCTTGCAGGTCTGAATACACGAAAAATGTACAAGTAAAAATGAAGGTTGCAAAGAGAGAGGACAAGAGGATGGAGAAAGCGATTGTGAGGAGGTTTCGAGCTGGAGCAGGATTTGTATTGCTCGATGTTTTCGCTGAATCGGTGGGCCGAACGAGCTCTGCCCATGAAACAAAAAACACCAACAAATGCGGGTGGATTTGCCGGACAGTCCAGCAAATCATTTTTCTGGCTGAAACACAAGCTTTCGCATTTAGAACTCGAGGGAATCAATTAAGAAATTGCCCGGCCAAACCAGCAGGCCTGCATGTCCGCCTGGCAGCAACTCAGACTCGCTCTCGCCGGAGCCTCTGCACCATCTGCGAGTTGGTATCGCACAGCGCCGAGAACGCACAATTGCACGTCATCTGCTCGTTGATTGTTCGGATGGTAATCGACCAGCGCTCGCACCGCTCCCGCACCCTGCCGTCGACCAGATCTGAGCGCCGCATCCGAATCGCGTGCTCCCAGCCGTACCGTGCCTCGCCGGTCATCACCACCAGACTGCGCGGCTCCAGGTCAATCGTAACCAACGAGTCGTGGCTGGCTGGCTTGCGGAAGTCCATCTGCACCGGCGAGCCCATCGACAGAATCACAATCATGTCGGTGAACGCCGTATGGCTATCAGTGTGGAAGGCGATGCCGGAGCCAGGCGGGTACCGCTGGATCGTCAGCTGGTTCGGGGTCCCTGGGTAGCCGGGCAGCTTGGTCCGGATCCGGTCGATAAATGGCTGCATCCACGGCGGCAGCTCTGTTGAGGCCGTCAGAGAGTCCGACCCGACATGCTTGGTGTGATAGTCGAATGAGTGGCCGTAGTGCTTGACGTAGCGCTCCTGGACCTGCGTCCACTTGTCGCTGCCGTTGTTGCGGGCAATTTCCGCTTCCTCGTCTATCCGGATGTGCTCCATGATATCCTTCTCCTCCTGCTCTGTGATGAAGTCGTCAAAGTAGTGCAGCCCCCGGGATGCATCCAGCAGTTCACTCTCTGTGTCGTCGGGAGACACGCGGTCTGCCAGGTATGCAAAGTTGCGGTGAGTCAGGTACTCCAGGAACAGGATCTTCCCAAGCGGCTCGCACATCCTCTCATGCAAGACCTCGTGTGCAGCTTGCGCGTTCTCGCCGCTGCGGAATGTCACAAAACTGTACGGCTTGCCTAGCTTCATCACAACGCGCTCGAATCCCTCGAATTCGCTAAACACCGCCTCGAGCTCTGCCACTGTGGCTCCGCCGACGGCCCCGAAGCCAATGTTGACTATGCACATGGTTTTGCGCGGCCTCTGGTCAAACACCGTGGACAGGTCGCAGATCTTCTCCATGCGCTGCAGAGTCGCATATGCCTCGGTGCGCTTCTTTGTCAGCTTGTACTGCTCGTTGCGTTCGCGCCGTGTGAGCCCGTCGCCTTGGCGCGACTTGCTCGCTGTCGAGTCGCTAGGGGAATCCTGCTCGAGTGCTAAACCCCCAAGATCGAGGAGTCCGGCCAGTGGCTCTTCCTTGGTCGGCTGCGAATTGCTCGGTGTGGCCCATTTGCTGTCTACAAGGTGCAAAATGATCGATGGAGCGAAACGGAGAAAAGGCGGATCCAGTAGAAAAGGTGCCGGCGGTCCCACTGTGCTCCCAGAAATAGGTCCTGCGGCCAATCTGATTTTTATGGCCACGAAACATGCCACATCACAGAACCGGTTGCTTCTGCCTGCCTGCCTGCCGCCATGTGCAGACCAGGCTTTCCTTTTCGCTACCGCCAGCTAACCTCTTTTTCTGTATCTACTTTTCACACTTCCCTTTCGCCGCGCAATCTGTATTCTTACATTACAATGACAAACACGCCAACGCGCAAACGGCCACAGCCGCACATCGTGGTCGGTCCCCTCCAGGTGCCGACGTCAGTGCGGATGCCCGAGCAAGTCGAGGGCCAGCCCGCATCGCTGGCAGGCGACGCAATCTCCAGGGCCCAATACAAGCCCACTGTGCACCTGATATCATCGGCAACAGGGAACCCAGCGCCGCTGACCACGTCGCGCACCACAGACCATTTTCGAGCGCTCCAAGCGGGCGGACCGGCTAGCAGATCACCAGCGGTAGTGCATCGCACCAACCGGCTGGGATGACACGCTGACAGGGTTCCTGAGTAGATTCTGCTCGGCGCATGCGTTTGGGCTGGAGAGCCTGTCTATCTGGAACGACGAAGTGGCGAGGATCAAACGTGCCTGAGGTTCAGACACGCGAGCAGTGGGGCGAGACAGACAGATATGCCAAATACATTGCACGACAGCTGGCAGACAACAATGCACTGACGGGGAATCTGCACTGGGCGATGCTGCATTTTCTGGTGCATATGCGTTGCCTGCGCACATTGGACTTCCTGGGCGATGTCAGCCCGGTGCTGCGCAATTTGCAGTTTGTCTTGCGGCTGGTTTTTAAGGGCATGTGTCTGGCGCTGACCAGCGGCAGGATGCGCTAAGGCTCTGGCTGACCGCAGCGTGTCGGCAGGCACTGTGGATCTGATCATGGACAAGTATGCCGCGCTGGAGGATGGCGAGGTGCGGTCACACGCGTTCAGACAAGTGCTAGCCGACACACGGCCACTGCACCAACAGGTGCTACACTATGTGGTATTGGCAGTGGCCAAACTTGACCTTCGGGGGGTCGCAGACAGCATATGCATTCCACCAGGAACTGCTGGCCATGCTGTCAGATATTTTTGCATCTCAGGTATACGCTGAGGGCGTGGCTGACGCCAGCAATATGCTGATTGACGAGCTGCTCATGAATGTCGGATCATCGACGGCATTCAACATTGGCAGGACGCCGGCGGAGGACATTGTTGATGCATTGCTGCTGTACGTGGGTGATCCGCCGCCGGTACCAACCGGCCACAGCCTCGTATCAAGCGCGTACTCGTATTTCTTTGCGCGCCAGTATGCGGTGCAGACCAAGAGCCTGGAGCAAGCTGTCGCTGATGCTGCTGCTGCTGGCTGGTGGTCCAGCCAGGCAGGGACGCGGGGAACCCATTCTTGCAAGGCGCTTGAAAGGGCAGTGGATGCACCTGAAGGCCGCTCGGTGGACTGCAAGGTGTCGTTCCGCAGGCTGTTTGAGAAGGCAGTTGAGGAGATCCAGAGCGTCGAGTGGGCAGTGCTGGTGCCAGATTCTGGTGGCCCGCAATGAGGCATTCCGTACCTACGTACTGGCGCGGACAGATCCAGATCACATTGATTATACCGCTGCTGAAGCGCATTGCAGCTGCAACAGCACTGCCGATTCCTGCAGCGTCGTCGCATGTGCAGCCAGCAAGTACCAGCTCAGGCCACCACCAACGCAAGCACTCGGTGTCGAAGGGCGAGAAATCAGGATACTCTGCACAGAAGCAGGCGCCAACCACCATATTGACATACACAAACAGAGCCAGCACAGCACGATGGTGGAGGCACACAGGGCTAGTAGCACGCCAGCAAGCACTGGCGGTAGCAATAGGTGCAACGCTGCCGTCGCCTGGAGCGAAGCTCCGGCAAGGCGTGCCGGCGGCATTGGCGCTGGACACAGTGCCGTACGTGCACCTGTATCTTTGGCTCGACATTCTGGAACTATTTACAGAAGACATGCGATTTGTTGAGCAGCTCCAGCGCACGACCGTGGAGTTCTGGCCAGCAAATCCCGCACCCAATGCGGCGACAGCCGCTCTCGCAGTGCATAGTCGCTGAGGCGCTGCGTGTGTTCCAGCTGAACCTGATGCTGCTGAAAGATCGCACAGGTGCATGCGCAGGTCCTGGCGATCCTAATCAACGTGCTGAATGGTGCGACTGAGACGCCAACTGCAGTGGCGCAGAAGCTGGTGAAGCTGTTTGAAATGATCCATAGGCGCAGCGCGCGGCTCTCTGGAATGGGCAGCATGCTGGTGGGCGAGGAAAGGCAGGAGCTGGAGGTGTACGAGCAGACATTGGGTGCGCTGCTGGCACTGTTTTGCCGGCTGGCGTACAGCAACAACGCGCAGTTCATCTACTGTCTTCTGCAGGCGCGCGAGCTCGTCAGTTCGACGGGTCGCGGCGATGACCGGGGCGTCGTCGGCGTGTATGCGGCGCAGCTACGAGTCAGAGGTTGCGTATTTCCATGCACGGATTTCGTCATTGAGCAATCCGCTGGCCAAGGACATCTTGGGTGTCATCCAGTCGGTCGTCGGGAAAGAGGCGCCCGGCAGTCAGCTTGCTGCTGAGGAAGTGCGGGTTGCAGGCGTGGCCAGGGTGGCTCCCGAGAGGGAGTGGACAGGGTTTATGCTGCCGCTGGTGTGGGAGCTGAATGGCGGCCAGCGGGTTGGTCGCGGTTGAGGGGCGGACGCCGCTGCTGGAGGAGTTTGAGAGCCTGGTGCTGTGAGCAGCTGCAGGTACCCAATACATGACATAATTGAGAAGTGTGGCTTGGTGGCCAGTGCATGTGAACTCGGAGTCATCGGTGAGAAATCGATGCTTATCTGAATGCACAGTCGGGCCAGGCGAGGCCGGGGGAGCAATTAGGCTGCATTTAGAAGATGCAAGGCTCCGGCGGAGGCGTTTTGAGTGCGGTGCAACATGGAAATGAAGAAGGAATCTTATTTACAACGTACATAAGTCAAGAGTGATGGGGTGGGTGGTGGCTGTTTGTGGTGGTGGTGATGAAGTAGGGCGTTGGGGGGGGTTTTTTTGGTCTACTCGGCGTAGTCAGAGGTTAGACGCTTTGACGGGCGAGTGACTCTCGACGATTTGCGCACCTTGTTGCTTCGCGAGGTGGCGGCGGCCTTTGGCGCGTCCGACGACCCACTGTCGCGCTGGGCAGACGCCTTGCGTTTCCGTGTGGTCCTCGGGGTGGTCTGATGGGTCCCGTTCTTGGCGCTGTCGCTGTGGGCGTTGTTTCTTGGCGAGCACATGTACGGCAGCCGGCACTTGGGCAGCTCGACCAGGATCTTCTTGCGCCGCACGTTGTCGATGCACGTCGGCTCGCAGTACCAGCGCTTGTCGAAGCGCACGCACTCGTCGGCGATGCCCTCCGGGTGGCACTCCTGGTGGTAGGCGCGGTGGCAGCCGTCACAGTGCATCAGGACGTTGTCGTGCTCGGAAAAGTCCTTCTGGCACACCTGGCAGAAGGTCTGCAGCACGGGCCGCAGACGCTCCTCGACAGCCTCCTCGGCGAAGTTGCGGAGGTTCAGGCGCGGCATCTTGGAGGCAAAGCCGTAGCCCTTGTAGTCGCACCCGTGCTTGTTGCACAGCGTGCGCTTGCCCCAGGGCCCCGGGCGCCAGTTGATGCCCTCGGTTGTCCCGCAGTACCGGCACCAGTCGATTCCGCTGTGGGTCATCTCTTCGAATACCGTCGGGCGCAGGCTTGCGCGGACCGCGGCGGGCTCAGGGGCAGTCGAGTCAACACATGATTCTCCGCTCAGTGACGCCGTCTCAGTGTCAGCCGGGCTATAAATAACAAATGGGAATAATTGCATTAGCGAGATCTTCTCTAGCCGGAAGGGGGATGGGGAGGGGGTGCATTTTTCCACTCTGGCGTTGGACAAGCGCGAGCAATTCCAGGCGCGGGAGCCTGAAAAGTGCAGGCATGCGCGCGCTTCACTGTCAAACAACGCGAGGCCAGTCTGGAGGCATTTGCAAAGGGAGAGGGGAAAGAGAAAATGCAGCATCGAATAAGAAGCCAGAAGGCAAATGTACGGTAGATCCCCACAAATAAGTTTGCAGTAGGCATACGGGCAGCAGGCAGCAGCTTCATAGAGAAGCCAGTCCTGGAAAAAACGGATAGCGTCTGCGCTCTCGGTTGTGCCGGTTCGTGCCAATCGCACTCGAAGCCAATGCAACAATCGTGCATAAGGCTGAGCCCAGAAAAAAGAGGCCTGCAAGAGTGCAGCACAGAATGGGCTCGTTGTGAAAGGAAAAAAGGAACAACGGCATGAAATTGGACGCATCCCACCCACGTCTCTTACTGCGTGCTACTATCTTGCGCGAGTGACAAAGCACGCAGAAGGACAAGAATGGCCAGAGGTCTCCTCCCCAGCGGGCGGCTGCGAGTGTCCAGAGAGAGGGGAGGGACAGGAATGTCGGCTGGCAACGTGCGTCATGACACTCGGCGACAAATTGCAGATCGCCCTAAAGTCTCCGGACGACCCGAAACCGGCAGGAAAGGGTCGCTCTGGAGGGCAAATCTCGCACAGGCCGAAACCAGCATGAGGTGAAATGTGGGAGCATGCGAAGTGACCAACCCGATGCCATTAGGGATTGGACGATCTCCTCTCTCCGGGAACGCTGGCAGAGTGGTGAGGGGAAGGGAATGGCGTGAAACAGCAGCGCAAAAGAGAGCTTACCTCAAGTACTGTGACTTTGACTGTGCAACGTGGGCGGAGAGCGGCGACGAGTGGGCCTTGGCAGACACCAGCATCATCAGCGAGCTCAACTGTGGAACTGACCAGGGCTGCATGATCGCGGTCAGATGTAACAGTCGGTGTGGGCGAGGGCTGGCGGGTGCTCGCACAAACAGTGTCGATTTCCTCCGCCGCTGCCCACACACCACGGGCTGCCGCCTCGCGCGGGTCGGCAAACATCGCCAGGTCCGCCGACAGATCGAGACCAGTGGTCATGTCGTCGTCGTCCGACGAGTCGTCCTCGGGCGCCAGCAGCTTGTCGCGGGTATCCTCGACTTCGCTTACGGGCGTCAGCTGCGGCGACTCGTGCCGCTCCTCCTGCGTGAAAAACACATCGTTGATTATCTTCTGCTTGTACGTGGGCGCAGCCAGACCCAGCAGAACCTCGAGCGGCAGCGCAGCCAGCATCCAGGCCGGCGGCGCCAGCTGCTGCGCGGAGACAGGCCGCGGAGCAGCTATCGGGTGGGGCATATGACCGCCGGGCTGGGCAGCGGTCCGGCCCAGCATGCCGATGGAATTGTTCGCATCGCCACCAAAAGCGACATTATCTGCTGGCACAATCGGCGCACCCAGTGGCATACCGGCTGTGGCCGGCGGGTGGTAGTGGTGCAGCGATGGCGCAGCGCTCACTGCTGCTGCTACTGTGGCCGCTGCCATCGCAAATGCCGAGGCAGTCGCCGCATCGTAAGCAGTATTATTCGGGTGCGTGTGCGCAAGGGCGGAGTCGAGCGTGGTGGCCAGCGCTGGTGCACCCCCATTCGCCGAGGCATTGACGGCGTGCATCCGCTGCCCAAACGCCGACGGGTTGCTGGCTGCCGTGGCCCTTGTCGGCTGCTGCTGCTGCTGCTGCATGGACGCCGATGCTGGGGCAAAGCAGTGGTGAGGGTGCACGTGTGATTCTAGAATATTGTTCGTTGACAGCATATCCGTGTTATATCTGTATGGTTGGAAGGCTGTGTGTGAGAGGAAAAAGGAAGCTGTGTCTCGTTATCCTCTGAGAAGCGAATAAAAACAGAGATAATCCCTCTCCAAAAAGGTATCTGCTATGGTGTTGTTGTTGTTGACAAGTCCGACGGTAGGAAGTGGTGGATGTCAAGGGTGCTTCTTTGGCTGTGTCTCCCAGATGGAACTGGCTGCTAGTGGAGAGAGCGGTTTGGAACGTGGGAGAGAGCGCGCAAGAACGAGAGAGAGGGCTATCACTTGTCTACTACAAGCACACTGGGTCGAGAGGAAAGCTTCGCTTTAAAAAAAGTTGGAGAAGGGAAAGAGAGAGTCCCACTCCGGCGCGAGGCGTGCTCCAGCCCCTATATACTCGCTGTGAGACAAGAATGAGAAAAGGGCTTCTTGGGCGCTTTTTCTGTATGCATGGTGTGCGTGTTTCGACAAGATGTGCCTGTACTTAAAAATAGTCGCTCACTGCGCTGGCGCGGGCGGGTTTGCCAAGGTCCGGCGCTGGGGTCACCTGCACCCCCTCTCTGGCGATTCTTGGCACTGTCCGGGCATTCTAGCCGAAGGGAGTGGTCTGGCGCGCGGTGATTGGTCCCAAATACATCACTGTAATCGCATTTTACTCTCCCCCAGCCCCTGGCCAGCAGCAGCGCGGCCGTTGAAATATTTCGATTCGGCTATTCCACCTGCGCACACTCATCGATTAGTTCTCAGAAATAGCCACCGAAGGCTGGGCCCGCGAGAGCTAACAGACAAGCGCACGTCCAGGCCGCCTGGCAGCCGACGCTGTGGCAGAGATCTTGCGGCTGCCCGTGCAGCGCAGCATCCCGTTCGAGGAGCATGCGCCTGTCTGGCCCACGACATTGGAGAGGGAGATGGTGCGAGAATCCACACTAATTGCCCAGATCGTCCTCGGCAGCGCGCCGGAGGCAAGCGGAAGCCAATTGGTATCGAACACCCTCCTCATGTGCGAAGCAGTCGCCCCCTTGTAGACGCGCTTTTCTCTAAGCGGGGATGGGACCGACGGGTAGCGAAACTGGCGTGATGTGCTTTCGGCACATCGATGGATCGGCCATTCTGCTCTATTTACAAGAGCGAATCCTGTAATGTTGTGTCTACAAAGACTGGGCGCTTGGCAGAAAGGGGGACACGATGAGGAATCCACGCTGTTTTACCCACACTTGCAAGCGATCATCCTTCGAGTGTTCTGCGAGCATCGGGTGCGCACTGGCTCCTCCAGCTCAAGAGATGCACATGTCCGTGCATGCCCGCTCCGCCCTGTCCCAGCCAAGAACAACAAAGAACCGCCCTTTTTTTTAATCGGATATGTCCGACTCGCTTCTGCAAGAAGGAAGTAGGACACCAGGGATTGCCGACTGAAACAGCAACAAACAGCAAATCTGGTCGACATGTTCATCCGAGAAACAGAATTTATAATGAGGAAAATTAATTGAGCTCAGCGTCTGCTCGGCCCGCTCTTCTCCTTCGGGAAGGAGACCGGTGCCTTGAGCACCGCCTTCTTCGGAGCCCCCGCAGCACGCTTGCTGCTCGAGAACCTTGCGATTTCCTCCTTGGATGCGGCTTCGAGCTTGCACCCAACGCTCTCGAGATACTTTTCAGCCCTAAAAATAATACATCAATGTCAGTCAAGTGTGAATACGTGGAGATGTCGCGCTGAGGGGAAAAATCAGTGCAGGTCACAAAAAACAACGGGCGCCTTTTGTGCAGACATGGAACAACCAGTGAGAATGTCTGCAAAAGGCAAGGGCTGACCCAGGTCGTGTCTTGTGAATGCAGCTCAGGTACTCCCGCTGTTCGGCGGCAGCAGCGGCGGCGGCAGAGCAAATGCGTGTGAATCGGCGAACCCAATGTCCAATATAGACACTGGGAGGCGCACCATTTCGTCAATAAATAACGCGGCAGAAACAACCATGGGTATGTCCTTTTGCGGAAAAGATGCAGCCGAAATAACAATGCGCAGCTCTAGTCAGGGTGAAATGGCTGGGGTATCAGCCAGGGGCGCCAGGCAGCGGGATATACACCATAGACGTGGAAATGTCAACCATGCCAAGACCCGCGCTGGCTCTCCGCAACCGCTTCATTTTTCTGCGGAGAATACTTACTTCTTTGTGGGCATGCCAAGGTCCGCCGCCATGGCGCTCGGGTACATGATCCACTCATTAAGCGACAGCATCAGGATGGCAATGTAGCAAATCAGCTTGTTGTCCATGCCCGGCGTCTTCTTGTACACGGGGCTGCCGTCGGGGTTCAGCGCGCCAGCAACGCACTCTGCGAATTTCTCAAAGATGACGTCGGCAATCTCGGGCGCGCAGCGCATCTGCTTGGCTGCAGGCATCGCGGCTCTGCGTCGCCTTTCCACGCATAGTGGCAAACTTCATCAGATATGCCAAGAACAGCGCGCGACGCAGCAGCGCCAGGTTGGGCTTGCCCGAGTCCAGGATCTTGTCGACCTTGGCCGACACAAAAGTGGACTGCACGGGGATAAACCGCTTGTAGTCATCCGGCGACTTGGCCTTGACAAACGACGACACGTTGATGTGCGAGGCCTCGGCCTTTGACAGCACGTCCTCCATGTCGTAGACGTCGGCAGGCACAGTCGTGGTGGAGTCGTAGTTGGGCAGCGGACGGTTCTGGTTGGCTTCGTCGGCCAGGTCCTTGGACGTGGGCATGGAGGTGGTGCGTGCCTCGATAGACGTGCTGATAATGCCCGCGCTGCCCTGGATCTGGTCCATGTTGATCTTGTTGCGCTCCTCGGCGCGGATCTGTGCCTTCCTCTTCTTGTTACCAAACTTCTCGCCCAGCTCGTTGCGCGCCTCCAGGATCCGGTTCGAAATGTCATGCTCCTTGACGCCGCGCGAGCTCTTCAGCGACTTCACGACGGTGTTGATCCGCACGAGCGGTGCGCGCCGGAACGTCACTGTGTTGGTGGCCTTGTCGTACACGCCGACCATGTATTTGCATCCCTTAAAGAGGGCAGAGCCGTCCTCAGAGCTCTGGCCCACGTACTCCACCTTGTCGCCCTCGCTAACTACAAGGCATTCCTGGTTCTGATCCTTATCCCCCGACTTGAATGTGGTGAACGTCGAGGCAACCGGCGGGGCAACAGCCGAAAATGTAGCTATACAGGCAGGTAATTGTGCCAATCGTCAGTATGTGGTGGTGGAAGCAACAGAAGGGACAGCCCGGTGCTGCGTGTTCGTTGGTGACTTACCGAGCACTGGCTGGATATCGGCCCGCGAGTTGTCTACTTTGACAGTGGCGCTGCTGCCTCCCTTGGCCTCGAGTTCTGACGACTTGCGCTTGTTGGCCATGTTTGAAAATGTCAGGTTGTCCGAATAGAAAGACAAGGTATAATGTCAATTGAACGAAGAAGCAGAGACGAAATTGCCGACGTTGCTGGCGAGCCAGGTGTTAAAAAATATTTTTTTGCTAGCGAACCGATCTGGCGCCTCTGTGCATACGGCTCGGTTCGGCTGAGACTCCAACTGCTCATAACGCGCTTGCTGGCAGCCAGTTTCCCTTTTCACTCACAAATCGCACATTTCCTCCAATTTCAGCACTGTTTTTTTTTTTTTTTTCACTATGCCCACTTACGGCGGAGACGAGGTTAATGCACTGGTGATTGATGTCGGCAGCACATGGACGCGTGCCGGTTTCGCTGGCGAAGACATGCCCAAGGCATACTTCCCCTCACACGTTGGCTACGTCGAGACTGAGGTTGAGGCCACCGAAACCGTCGACACGCCTGCCTCAAAGCCTGCCACCGAGACCGACGTCGAGATGAACGGACAGCCCACCGAAGCCAACGGCGTCACAACGAAGCAAAAAGGTTCGCAGCTATTATGTCGGCGACTCAGAGTCAGCAACGTGGCGCGCAAACATGGAGATTGGTCGGCCGCTGGAGCACGGGCTGGTCAAGGACTGGGACATTTACGAGAAGATTTGGGAGTACGCGTTCAAGTCGCGTCTGCACGTGAACCCGTCGGAGCACCCGGTGATGGTTAGCGAGGCGGCGTGGAACACGACTGCGTTGCGCGAAAAGCTGATCGAGATGGCCTTTGAGAAGTTCAGCTCACCGGCATTCTATGTGTGCAAGACGCCGGTGCTGGCAGCCTTCGGCACTGGAAAGCATACAGGCCTGGTGGTGGATGTGGGCGGCGAAATGGCCAGCGCGTGTGCCGTGTACGAGGGCTTCTGCCTGTCAAAGACCATAGTCAAGCAGGAGCTCGGCGGCGAGCTTTTGTCTGAGCAGATCCTAGCCATGCTTAAGGACAGCCAGCAGTACGAGCCGACGCCAATTTTCGACATCAAGGCCAAGGCGGCTGTCGAGACGCTGCAGCAGCCGCAAGTTGAGCGGTTTGGACGGGCTGGCACGACCGACTCGTTCCTCCATGATATGCGGCTGCGCGCAGTGCAGGAGTTCAAGGAGGCCACATGCGAGTTCATCGAGACGCCGTTCATGGAGCAGAATGCCGGCTCGCGCCCGCACAAGCCGTTCGAGTTCCCAGACGGCTTCAACATGTCTGTTGGCTCAGCGCGGTTCAAGATCCCCGAGATCCTGTTTGATCCAAACACATACATGGTTAAGCGGCCGAAGCGGCTGGAGAACGTGCAGCTGATGGGCCTGCACGAGCTGGCCATCAAGAGCGTGGTTGCCAGCGACATTGATCTGCGGCCCCAGCTTCTGAACAACGTGGTGCTGGCGGGTGCCGGTGCATCGCTGTTCCCAGCGTACGCCGACCGCATGTCGTTTATGCTGACGAACTCGATCCCCGGCGGCAAAATCAAGCTGCACGCGCCAAACACAAACACAGAGCGCAAGGTGTCGTCGTGGCTCGGAGGATCGATCCTGGCGTCTCTGGGCACATTCCACCAGCTGTGGATCTCGCGCGCCGAGTACGACGAACACGGCGCCTCGATTGTCGACAAAAAGTGCCAGTAAATTTCTTCTACGCTTAAGAACATATCAATTGCAACTCTACTCAGTGCTTCTGCCAGCGGCCAGGGCTGAGCTGAATCATGCCGTACTTGCCAGAGACCATCCAGTCGGGCTCTGTGGCAGCCAGGCTCGTGGACTTTTCATTGGCAACGCCGACAACTGTGTCGCACTTTGACGTGCGCAGCGCGACAATTGCTGGAGCATTCGGAGCATCGGCGATGGGCCCAATGGCCGCAACAAACGGCGTCGCATGCGGCCACTCGAGGTCGTAGATGAGCTTGCGGTAGTTGAGATCCCCCTTGAACATGACAATGTCGGACTTGGTCAGATCCTCCCACACTGCCTTGCCCTCGGTCGGCAGATAACGGTACCCGTATGGCCCTGTCCAGTACAGCTCGTCCTGCAGCGACCAGACACCGTCCGCCAGGTACTTTGACCACTGCTCGCCCATGGCCTGCAGCGCCTTCTTGTCGTCGCTGGAGACATCGGCGCCGTCGACGAAATGCGGGTTGCGCATCGAGTCGACCAGCCAGTGGAAGTCCTCGTTGGTAACATCCGAGACATACCAGGGCACCCGCTTCGGGTGGAACACAACATTCTTGGCATAGCCAACCTTGACCAGCCAGTGCGCCAAAAGCACGTCCTGCAGGAGCTCGAACCCAGAGTTATCAAGGACAATGTCGACGCGGCCGCCCTGGAGCGTGCTGACAATCTCCCATATCTTCTCGCCGTCGTTAGCAACGATCTTGGCGTTGTTCTCGCCCGACGATATGCGCGCCTGCATCTCCTCGATCCGGGCAGAGTCGAGATCGGGGAACATGCTGAGATCCGTCTGGTTGCCCCACAGGCTGGCCTGCAGCAGCTCAATGAACGTCACATGCAGCTTGGTTGTGTTTTTAATGTCTGCCAGGCACTCGTTGGTCAGCTCATCGACGCGCTTGCACAGCTTCGCAACTGCAGCCTTGGACGCCTTGAACGTTGCCTCCTTCTTGGCAAAGAAAAAATCAAACGTGTTCCAGTGCTTTGACGTTCTGAAGATTGCGGCGATGCGCCGGTACATGTACGTCTCCCACGTCAGAAACGGCGTCGAGTACCAAGTGCCTCCAGGGAAAAACCTTTGCAGCCAGTCGTTCCATGCCTGCGTGTCGCCGAGACCGTCGTCCTCAAGAGGCGACAATGGCTTGTCAGTGACCATCTCGTGCTTGAGCTTGGACAGCTGGCTGGTTATCTGCTTGCCCTCAGCGGCTGCCAGCTCCTTGTTGGGACCGTCGTAGTCCTGGATAGCCGTGTAGTAGCCATTGATGATGTCCGTGAGGATATGCGGCACGCGGTCGTGCAATGACTCGTAGGTGAAGTTCAACCCGTCGCGCGAGGCAATAAGAGGCTTGAACGGCGTCTTGTTGGGCGCAAAATCGGAGAAATGATCGGTGGACATGGTGTTAAGAGCGACAGTAAGAATATCGGAGCTGGGAGAAGAGTGAGAACCAGAAAGAGACCGCGGCACAAGCCGATCCTTTTATACCGCAGGTGGCCCCTGGCTGTGGGCAAGGTTTAGGGTTGGGCCGTTTCATTTTGAGGAAAAGGCATTGAGGTGGTAGCGCTGACAGCAACATCATCTGCCCTTCTGGGCACCACCACAAATTGACTACACGCTGTATTCTCATATTCAATCCAGGGGAGCAAGAACACATGGACTGTTGCGTAGATTTTGTGAAAAGGGCAAAACCATCGCTGTTGTGTCGTTGGCCATACAAGCAAGAATGGCACTGTGGTTCACTAGAATCATTCCAAGTTCAAGATCCTAAACATGGCTTGCTGTTGCTCTCACATCACAGTAGACATGGAGTGGCCTCAGCCCAGTTCCTTAGTACCCGCCGAGTTGTCAAAATGCAGCGCCCGTGGCCTCAAAGACCAGGAGTACTAAACGAAACTGCTGACAATGCGCTTCTCAGATGCAAGCGAGTTGGTTGAGTCGGTCAAATCGGCTCGCTCCTGCGAGCTGATTTTCAGTGATTGCTACAAGCTCAGGCTGGTTTTGCAACGTCAACCTCTCGCTTCTCAGCGCAATTCACACACTTTTTTTTTTTTTTTTTTGGAACTCTGGTACCGTCTACATGCAATGAGAACAATTTCACTGTCATCGCGCTTGCAGTGGGCATTCCGCGGCACAGTCTTGCCGGGCGCATTAACAACTGGAGACGTCGACAACGACGGTGTAAGTAGCTGACAAAAAACTAATACATATCATGGGTAGCTCTTCTTTGCCTTGGCCTTTGCCTTTGCCTTTGCCTTTGCATGAGCTTACCACTTGCAAGGATTGCTTTGTAGTGCAAGGAGTTTGTAGTTGGAAGTGTACAGGGGGAGCTGGCGATTTTCCGTGGACGTGGAGGCTGCGGGTCATGGCGGTCCTCAGAGGATCAAATCGAACCCGAGTTTGACTGCTGGGAAGCTGTTGTGCGCGGTGAGATCCCATCTGATAGCATTAGTGGTGCAGCGTCCGTAATCGATGCAATGAGTCTGCGCCGCCAAAGTACTGACCCTAGCTTGCTACCGAGCATGTCTTCGCGTCGTGAGTCGTTTTCGTTTGACAATATTCTGCAAATGTTTGAGCCCAGTGAGCACGCATCGCACGCTGACAGCTCCAATGAGACCAGCGAGGATGAGGGCGACCGAAAGCCGTTTGGCCGGCGAAACGACCCGAAGCTAACCGGACATGTCAAATGGGAGGACGCATTGGAGATTGAGCGCGATGGACGCAAGCCGTGGATCCTGGCACAAAAGCTTGGGACCATCACGTCGGTGCTGGTGGCCGACATCTCAAATGCTGGGCATAACTCGATTGTGGTCATTAATGGGGAAGGAAAGTGCCATATTTTCGATTATCCATTCAAACGCCGCCTGCATCCGGACCTGGCCCGGCGCAATAGGCAGCGCAGGCATTTCCGAAGGTTTTCGCAGGACCGATTCTTCCGTAACAGCACACACGGTCCGCAGCGGCCAGAGCGCCCGTCGGACCAAGTCCACGGCATGGAGTGTACTGGCAATCTGGAAAAGGCTGGCGATTGCAATGGAGTGGCCGAAGCCATGCATGCCATGAGGCCAGCATCGTATGCGCGTGACTCAATTCACGGCGAGCAGTCGCAGCAGGCGAGTCTGGACACACCATGTACGGGCCTGGATAAGGCTCACGCCATGTCGCCATTTGCGACATCAAAGTCAGCCCTGCCACGGGCAACAGCAAGCACTGCAGTTCTGAACACCATGGCGAATACGGCTGCAGTCGAGCCAGCAATGTCTTGGGGCCCGGAATCGGCTGACGCACATCTGATGGGCAAGCAGAGCTTTCTCAGCACACATACGTCCAACGCACTGCATGCAGGCATCAGAGATGCCGGGCTACTACCTGGCGACAGTGGCAATGCCGATGTCCTGGCCACGAGCAATGTGTCGTCACAAGCCGACCCACCCCTGACAATGTTCAGCCGGCACGATCCAGCCAATATGAATGGACTGAAGGTGCTTGTTGACGATGGTCACCCGTACGGAGATGAAAAAGGCAACGGCGCTCCAGTACTCTCTCCAGGTCGTACTCACCACATGGACAACACAGGCGAAGAAGGCAGCCTTGGAGCGCACAACACGCTGTCTGATGCCCCAATCGACGCAATGAGCATCGGCTACGACTTTCTCGACAGCGACTCTGAGAACGAGATGGCAGATGTAAATCCCGACGGCACCCATGTCTCGCTTCTCACTCACGAGGAGGTCCAGGACATTGAGAAGATATGGGGCGCCAATGTCGGCAAGAAGAGCGGCGACTGGTTCCCATTTGTGCTCGACCACCCAGACATGACGTTTGAGATCCCCACCAACGTTGAGCACGCCATGGTAAAGGACATAGACAATAACGGCCTGAACGAGCTGGTGTTGACAGCCACCGACGGGTTTGTGTACATCTTCCGGATCCTAGCGCCAACCAAGCAGTCGGTCAAACCCACGTTCGCCTCGCTTGGCATGTTCAGCGGCATCCCGACTACTTTGCCCAGCGTCAACATGACTGGTGCTGGGTCTCCCTACCTGGTCATGTCTGCGCCGCGCTCACCGGTTGCGTCAGATACAGACTTCTACGACCGCAAGGACAGCGACGCAGCCAACGAGGTGGGCCAAAGAGCTGATTTTGTCAGTGCACCAGCGTCGGCATTCCCGCACGAAGAGCAGCCTGCCAACCATTGCTCCGATATCAAGCTAGTCAACAAACTGTTGAAGACGATCGACCTGTCGGCCACCCCCAGCGATCGCCGGTCGCAGGGTGTTTCAACTTCTGGCGGGTCGTTTTCAGGCGGCACCACTGACCTACAGTCAGCATCAGCAGCACAGACCCCGCGCATTGCATTTGCTGACTCAGCACAAAGCGCAGGCACTACCAGCAGCATTGCTATGCCGACAAACGCCAGAAGCCCACATCTGCTGAACCTGCCTCCCGCACCGCCCCCGTCCCTGCAGCCAACCATTCCATCGGTGCTGACTGCCGCCCCGCCGTTTGCCAGCTCGCCAGCCAAGCGGCGTGGGAGTACCGGACGCAGAACCTCGCTGACTAGCCGCATGCGCGAAAGTTTTGGTGGCATCCTTGCTGGCTGGGAAGGACCTCGCCGGAGTGCTTTTGTGCACAACCAAACGGCGCCGCCCAGCCTCAACCACTCGCGGGCTCAGACCGCTGAGAACAGTGGACACTCTACTCAGGCGCATTCGCGTATGCCCAGCGGTGGAAATGAGGAGCAGCTGGATTTAGTGCAGGTTGCTGCAAAACTCCATGACCCGAAAAACGACACCGATGCAAAGACGCTCTTGACCCAGCAACGCAGCACTTCAACTAACACGGCTGACAATTCGCCACAGGTACCAAAAGGCAGCCGGCGGCTCAGCCACACCATTGGAGCATTGGGCGTGGTCGAGGAAGAGATACCGGAGCGCAGATCGAGTGAGCCAGATCAAAAGGCACAGTGCTTGGTAGAGGATAGCATTGGATGCTCGCCCAGTGCGCCTGTCAGTAGACGGTCCAGCGTCTCAAAGACACGGCCAGTCAAGCCGTTTGCCGAGCTCGCTCCAGGCCCTGATGCCGTGCCTGCTTTAGGTAAGGCATCGATAAAGCCAGCAGATCCTACGGCAGATTCGTTGTCTGCCACGGAGAACTTCCCAGATTGGTATTCATCTCGCCGCCGCACTGGCGGACCAGGGAGTAGCCGCACACATAGCCGGCGCGCCAGCATCTCGCGACCACTAGGCCCAGGCAGTCGAGGGCATAGCCGCCAGGGCAGCTTGACTGGCAGCGTGATGCGGCTGCGGTTGCCACTTGCTGGGTCCACGCATGCTGCGGAGAGTGGTAGTGACTCCAAGGGTCTATCTGAGACAGAGGGAGGCAGCGGGCGCCGTGAGAGTGTCAGCAGCAATATAAGCGTGCGCGAAGGCAGCATCCACAGCAACATAAATGCAGGGCTTGCTGCTGAACCGCTCGAGGTCGCTGTCAATGCTCGCGGCAGCTTCTCAAAGCTTGGACCCTCGCACCCCTCGGTGCCCGGCTATATTGGCGCCGGTGGTGATGATACAAGCATCTTGTCGCACGTGTCAGAGAAGCTTGCTGAGCTCAGCATGCGGTCGTCGACAAAGAGTCTTACGCCAAAGGTTGAGACCCGCAGCATCGATGGGATGCCTGGCTCCCGTGGCGAAGGCAACTTTGCAGTGTCTATTGCAGATATGCTGGAGCGCGATGTCAATCTGCAGTTACCGCCAAGCCGCACCGTTGTTGACTGGTCGGCAACCAAGGCGGATAAAATCGCAACATGGTTCCTCGACAACATTCCTGGCAACATATCGCTAGTCACAGCGCCTGTGGGTGCCTTTGGCGAGGGCACTGCGCAACGAAACAGCGGGTTTGGTTCGGATTCTGAGTCGGAGTGTAGCTGCTCATCGTGCAGCTGTTCGTTTTCGAGCAGTGACAGCGAAGGAAGCACGTCTTCTGAATCGGACTATGGCAACAACCCTGGCACGGGTGACATGGGCATGAAAAGGCCCTCTACCCAGATATCTCTGGATGCATCGGTCCCTCTTGCGGCGCCCATGGACCTATCAGCAGTTGCACCGGTTAGCCATGTCGGTGTCAACCTGCCTAAGCCAGTTGGCATGAGTGCGATTCACAAGGAGCGTCAAAACGAAGACACGACCTGTAGCTCCAATGGAGGTGCTGGCCAGCAAGGGCCAGAGACTGACATCCCTGGCTCGCCGCATAAATCCACATCCGAACCAAAGGCAGGCGAAGATGCGGAGCTTGCCAGGTCTGGTGAGGAAGCGGAGCAGGCATTCCTGATCCTGAGTAAGCCCGGCGGACGGTTTGTGCCAATTGATATGGTTCGAGGCCGACTGCTGTCGACGGTAGAACCGCCACCGGTCCCAAGGCCGTCGGATACTGGTGGCAACGTGACCCACATGATGAATATCGACACCAGTGACTCGCTTCGCGGACTGCAAATGTCTGCGGCAGCAGACCTCTACATGCAGCAGTATGCTGGCGTTGACATTTCAACTCTTTCAAGCTCATACTTTGGCAGATCGTCTAGCTGGCATAGCAACAGCATTGTGTGGCCGACGAACATTCCAATCGCCTCGTATAACTCCACCGGTAACCCGATCGACCGCAGCATAGCCCATGCTTCGGGCGATGGTCCGGTGCTAAAGTCTCAGCGCAGCCACCCATCGCTTGCCGATAAGACCACCCCTATTCCGGCACATCCTGCAGGCGACGACTCGAGCGTCCCGCCAACACCGAGTGATACCGGCAGCTTCGTCAGTGTCAACATCGCCCACCGCGTGCCCCACGATGTGGGCAGCGTCGGCAGTATGCTTAGTGGCCAGCCAGGGTCGCGTCGGTCGCAGGTCAGCGGTGGCGCGCAGTCATATTTCAACTCGGTTCAATCAATGAGTGGTGGAGCGCCCTCTGCTTCTGGGATCCGCCCAGCCCGCGGCATGTACCGCGGCAGCAACGACGGCTATCGCAACTCCTCTGGCGGCAGTGTCGGTCTCAATTCTCTCTATCTCCGTGGAGCTGCAACCAGCGGCAGCGCGACGCCAGTTGGGACCAACGCATATAGCCGGATGGTGACCTTGGGAGCAGCTGGTTTGCGCGGCTACATTGGCAATCCGACAAATCGCCAGCGTAACAGCGGCAGCTCGAGCGTTCACTACCGCGGAGATGACAGCAGCCTTTCCTCGGGAATGCACACGCTCAACTCTGCGTACACTGCGTCGCGCGGCTACAGCATGGGGTTTGGATCGAACACGGCGTCAGGTGTGGTGCTACGCGACAACCTTCCTATCGTGCCTTCTACCCCGTCGAACATGGCAGCGGGTCAGTCGCTGGTGAGCGGCACAGACCGCTCGGCAAAGTATCGGTTGGAAGTGGCCCGCCAGGGTGCAAAGGGTAGGCGCGGTAGCTCGTCGATCCCGACTGTCGCCTCAGCATCTCCGCAGAAGGGGCAGCATATTTCTCGATACAGCCCATCGTTCGCTGGGTGGTCGGCTAGCTACAAGGAAAGCAGCATACTCAGCACCATTCGGGACCAGGACGACGCAGATGAAGCTGAGAGAGGCTGCGCACCAGAGCATGACACTAGCAAGTCAGATGTTGGTGCTCGTGGTACAGTTGCGGCTACCGGCAGCAGTGGTCGCAAGGTACCCCCTGGCGCCTTGCCCTCAGACCCCCTTTCCACGCCCGTAAAGGACCTGTACACGAGTCCGTTTGGGGATGAGTCCGGTCGAAGCTACTGGCAGCACACCGAACCGCAATCTGTCCGCTCACATTCGTCGCTGGGCACCGGCACAAGCGCGCACCAACTGGCCATGGGTGGAGAGAAGGAAGAGGAAGTAGAGGATGCGCCCCAGCCGATGGAAGCCGACGTGGCAACGTTCATGGTCGGCGGTGTGTCGACTGGAAAGCGTAAGCGCGCTATCCTCGGCTCTATTACCGGCGATAAGATGCCTGCCAATCCAGAAACTGACGATGTCGACGAGCAAGAATCCAACCAGCTCGTTGCGCTGGTGACCATGGACGGCATCATTAACTGCTACGACCCCAGGCGCAAGACTAACCACTTCCTCTGCCTCAACTCGCGGGACCCGGTTCTGGGCATCTGGAAGATCAAGATGCACGAGGAAGTGTGTAACCCGTCGCCGCTGGAGACTATGGCTCGCATTGCCAATGTCGACTTTGACTTGGAGGCTGGCGACGAGTTATTGGCAAGTACCCCAGCCAAGCGCATCTACCGCCGTGTTGGTCTGTCTCGTCGCGACCTGTACCACGCCGTATGCCATTCGATCTATGTCGAGGACCGCCTCTATGCAGTTGACCAGGTCGAGGCGCGCCGCCGCAGGCGCATCAAGCGCAGAATCAACAGCTCGCGGAGCCAGCTTATGGATAATCCACCAGTGAGAGGAAGGGGCCAAGATGGATTACCGCGGGTCAAGAAGCAGGCGAAACAGCTCAGACAAGCGCAAGAAAGCACATCTAGAGCACAAAAGGCAGCCAGGTACAACCGTGTTGGCCGTGCTATGCGTAGCCTCGGCCATCACCTTCGTGACCTGGCAACTGGAAGTGGTCTGCAGACGGCAGCTGTCGATCCGGCAGCTGGAGACGCACCGCCTTCGTCACAGCCGATCACCGACGATGAGGACGGCCACGGCTCGAGAAGTGGTGCACCAATATCTCCAAACAACCGGAGGTTTGCTGATATCAACAAGAAGCCCCTTACCCTCGAAAATAGGCCAGGAGGGGCCCGGACCGTACGCGACGAGGGCCCACATCCGGCTGCAGCTCACAACTTTGACACATTAGGCATGGGTGCAATCCAGACACAGGATATGAATGCGGCATTCCTCCAGCTTGTGACCGGCGGACTCCCCAAACCTGTCAGCACTGATCTGACTGCTGCTTTAACTGGCTGGTATGGCGAGAACCGCAACGATTACCGCCGTAGTCTTCGTGTTGCTGACAGTTTGGTCGTGAGCACATGGCGTGGTACCACATACTTTGTCGATACAGGGACGCTCCTCGATGTTGCTCATTACTTGCAGCTGTTCATGCAGCGCTGGAATCGCAGCAGAGATGCGGCACGATCAGCAGGAACTGGGTCTGATAATGACGGGAGCCATAGCGACATACAGAGCTGTGCCATGGCCAGTATGTACGGCCAATTGAGCCAGTTCACCGATATCAGTGGCCTTATCTCGCGCTTGCGTGCCAATGCCAGCGTCATCCAGTTCAAATTCCAGGACACAGTGGCAGCATTTGTGTCTGATACATATGCGCCAGCGACGGGCGGACCCAATGTCCCATGTCTTTTCTACGTTGACTACAAGGATCGGATCTGGGTTTACTACCATCTGGACGAAATCGCCGAAATGGACGATGTCTATGGTGCGACATGGTTCCGCGAGGAGATTCCAAACCTGCAGCTGACCGATGAGAAGCGCGAGGAGATGCAAAAGAGTAACCAGAAGTACAACTACGACAAGCCATTTTCGATTGTCGACCTTGCGTATCGCCGCATCAACTTGGATCCATGGATGCCGCTTCCCGGTGATGATTGGTACAAGAAGCTTGTGTCCAGCAATGAGCACCAGTATCCGTACTCGTCCAAGACATGGCGCAAGATGAGCTCTGTATGCAGGAAGCAGGACAGCGAGCCTTCAAACACGAGCGATGCGCCAAAAGAAAAGTCGGTGGCCAACTTCGAGATGCACCTGGAGGACCTGCGCACATTTGACACCAACCACGCACCAAGCGAGGTGAGCACGCAGGGACGCAGCATAGGCCAAATCAATGCCAATGTCACTGGCCGCTTCCACACATCGTTTTTGCCTGGGCCGTACATGTGTCCAATCTGGGCGGATATCGAGTCTGTCGACCTGTACGATGTTGGCTCGTGCTCGCTGATGGAGCTGGCTACCCCGGAGCTCCTTGCAGTCAAGGACATTTTCTGCGACGAGCTCGGGATTGATCCCGAGTCTGTCGACAAGAGAGTCAACTTGGCCACAATCCCCGGCTTGGCAAACTGGGTTCGCAGCTGTCTATATCTCCCGTAAAATCTTGATATCTATGGATGAATGCTACTTGCAGTACGCCTCCAGTATCCATCGCGTATGGTCCTGCATATCCTCAGTTCTGCGAGCACAAAGCGAAGCAACAGCATGTTGCTTGGTGCCTAGCACGGCATGACAGAGTCCACGATCAATGGGGTGCTTAGTGATGGACATATGATAAGGACCAACCTCTTGCCAAAGCACACTACAACCCCTGCCTATATCGTATCAGCTACTGCCTCTGTGACCTTGCTCGATTGGCTTGCAGTCTTGAGCGATATTATAGTGTCGGAATTATTGTGCAAAGTAGTATCAGGAATAAATAGCTATTAAACCCTGCCCGGAGAAAGCAGCTCGCCGCTCGCAGTGTAGCTAGGCGAGAGCGAATGGCAGGAGGGTCAGCGTGAGGAGAAGCGCAGCACCTACACGTATCTTGCCCGCAGAGCTTGCGGTATTCTGGACATTAGCTGCCTGCTGCATAGCAGCGCTCAGAAGACTGTAGTCGCTGCTGCTGGCCTCATCTCCAGGGCAAACAAAATTCTTGCACTCGTTAGAGTAGCAGCAGCTGAGAGTATCCTTGTCTGTTGTGCAGTTGACTAAAGATGTGTCGATGTTTTTCCACACCTGCTGCACAGTGCCATTGTAGGCGATCCAGTACGAGTTGCCGCCATTAGCCACCAGTGCACCTTGAGCACAGCCTGACATTATTTAGAAAATGAGTTGTTGACGCTGTAAAAGAATATTGAAGAACAATAAAAATTTCCTCCACAGACCGCGGGCCGGCTAGTCATTTAAACGTATCTCCAAACAGCCTTCCTAAGCGGGGTCTGCCTTGAACCCATTCTCGAAAACTAGCAATTCCATTAGGATACAGGTTTTTTTTTTTTTTTTTAAATACCCGTGCCACGAAATATTTTTGGCTGGTTAAAATCAAACATCAATTGTTGGGAATAGGCGCGGATTTCTCCTTTGCCGATTCCCAGAAAACAAGAAAAACGGTGAGAGGAGTGGGCCTATTCCGTACAGAACTACTGCATAGAAGGGCATCGCCATGTTCTTATTTGGACATTTACACCATGCGCATTTCTGCCGTGTCTGTGACAAAAGGAGGACGCGTTGTATCTGGGCTGTGATGGGGCTCAGTCTACGTACTGTTCCTGGAAAATGTCTATATGTGCTATCCTTTGTATGTTGAAAGAAAGCGATAGATGCTTGGCAAGGGCAATCCGGCCATTTTTGCATCTTGTTTGTTTATCGATTTTGATGCCAGACTGATGATCGACAGATGTGGCCCGGGACCACCAAAAGCGTGAATGGGTATCCTGGATGCCGCGCTGCTATTGCAGCAAGCACGAGGCTGGCACGACCAGTCTGCAGACTGATGCCTAATAGCGGCCATCAATAGGTGGGCTGAATTAGACTTTACTAACATCGATACATATCAAGGGTTAGCGTAGTATATCTTTGGAATAATAGCTGCAAGAGCGCTAAACATGGAACCGCAACATCTATTAAAAGCTGGTTATTCAATAGTTTATAGTTTTGCGCTTTCACAAGCTCGAGCATATGCGGTCCATCACCCCCACACCGATCGCATCCCCTTGTCGAAGCCAAGATGGCCCCCAGCAAGTACTATTGCTGGTTAAAAGACGCGCAAATTTCGGCAAGATATATGTATACTGAGATGAGATGAAGAGCAAACACTTACCCCAGTGCTGAGCATCCACAAGCCTAGTGCCGTTCAGCACCACCTACCAAGGGAGAAGAGTGGGTGAATACAAAGAAAAGTCCGATATACCCTGCCACTACCAACAGGACCATGCCCAAAACAGAACTCAAGAGGATTCAGTCCATATATAACCTACTACCCCCAGGAACTGAACCCTAAGTACTGGAACCAAAAGTCCTAGCACAAACAGCATGATTCTCTGCAGCTGGGGAAACATAATAGCAAAAAACAAATACAGATACAAATACACAAGATCAACCAGACACTTAACTTTCGGTACGTAGGCGATAATTGTCCTTCGATGGCTATAGCGATGACACCATTTGTGCCTCAATAGAAAACATCGATGGAAAGTGTAGGTGTCGATAATAGCTTTAAAACTAGCTAGGAGAAAAATGGCTGAAGACCAGGTGCTGTGTGCATACGCTGACAGGCCCTTACACCATGTCGAGATGCTGCGATATTATCAGAGGCAACGATATCATGACATGCAATCATCATACATAGGAGTGCCATGGTCAGTGGTTGGACCTAAACAATGATAAAATGGGCACATAGTACTGTATTAGGAACAAGTAGCTCAAGGGCCATGTTGATTCTAGAATGTATGCTGCCCTAGCGTGCAAAAGATATATGAATGTCAGAAAAGTAGGATCAGAAAGCTGTATGCAAAAAGCGAAGAGTTTAGTCGATGTAGCTACCCCTCTTGCATGTTGTGCTGGGGAATGATAAAGTGCGACATAGTCGCAGCTAGAATACACAGCGGCGCAGGGAACAGGTTCATGCTGTAGCCAAATATATACTTGGGTATGTCCCTGTTATGGTAAATATATGGAGTGCAGAGGCGACCCAGGATCACATTCATACCACTAGAGGTGCTGAGCCAATGGAAATATTAAGTAGAGGTGTGTAATCACTGCGATCATAGCTTGCTGCTCTGGTATCGTTACTGGTCAACGTCTGAGTGGTAAGACGAAATCTTCATAAAGGGCAGCAGGTGGTGCCATTAATTTCTGTTCTACTTTTTCCCTGTGGGGTTTAACTTCATTCTATTTCGCAAACACGCAGAAAAGCTCTGGCACTACTTGTTCCCACATCTTATCACAACGCTAGGACTATCATAACTACACCATATCTAAGTGTATTTGCATTATTTCGCTGTAGTGTTGCTTTCCGCCAACTCCAGGCACCAATGCCAGTGACATCACCAATGACGGCACCCAGGATCAGACACAGCAGCAGGGGCTCTGGTCCAGCCGCAAACAATGGCAGCTCGGATTCAGACTTCTAAAGGGCGATGTTTAGATGGCCGAGGCATGGGTGTCTCGATCATACCAAAAAATCGACGACGCTCGCGCAACAACTGAGATGTATATATTATGTCCATGTCCTCATAATTTTCACTCCTGTTTCATAAGAACTCACTATAACCCCAATCACCCAACACAAAGAAAATGTTAGCAGTAGACCGACCTATACTTTATTCTATGCTGTAATTATTCAATTGTTTTCTTGCGCTCCTTGCCAAGATCGACATGCCTAATTGCTGAACAGAATATGACCAATATTCCACTAAATGCAACAAATACGTAAAACGCACTGTGCATGCTGTCAGCCCAAAGATGGATGATTCTTGACTGGATGTCGTGCGGAATAGTATCACTGTAAATGTTGCGCTGGTCTCCAAGAGTAGACGCTATATCTGACGCATGCGTAGGGAATTCGTTCACCAAGCCGGTGATACCTGTCTTGATGCGGCTGTCCAGGATTGAAGTCATAATGCTGGTTGCGAGGATTCCACCCAGTGTTCGAATGAAGGAATATGATGTCGTCACTGTTGCCATGTGCTTGCCAGCAACACTAGCTTGGCAGACAAGCAGAGGTGGCTGAGACACGAAACCAACGCCGAGCCCAAGTAGAAATAGATAAACAATCCTTTCTCCAAAGCCAGTACTCGCTTTGTACAGCAAAAGTAAGGACGCACCGGCTGCAGCAAGGACTGCACCAACACGAATCGGTATGAGGAATCGACCTGACCTGGCGATATAAATACCACACAGAGGCGATGCCAATACAACCCCAAGGGCCATAGGAAGAAGATGCAATCCACCTGATGTAGTTGACGCGTGCTTGATCGCGAGTTCCCAGGCAGGAATGTTATTAAGGGCCCCAAATGATACTCCACCTATGGCAAACACTGCCATTAAGGCTGAAAGGACATTGCGGTTTCCTAGGAGACGTACTGGGATGATTGGGTCAGTAACAAAGCGGTACTCGACATATCCAAACACAAGCAGTACGACAAATCCGCAAATGAGACACGCCAGGACCTGCGCCGATGTCCACTCGTACTGTTGGCCACCCCAAGACAGTCCAAGCAAAATAGGAACCATCCCAATGGTGAACAACACACAGCCGATAAAGTCAATGCGCTTGATTTTCTCCTTGAACGTTCCCTTGGTCTTTGGCAGCTTGAGCGTGAAGAAGATCAGGGCCATGGCAATGACACAGACTGGAATATTGATCCAGAATACGATTCGCCATGAAGCATGCTCGACGATGCCGCCACCCATCACCGGTCCGACTACGGTGGCAATAGTGAATATTGCACTAAACACGCCAATGTAGTTGCCACGCTCCCGTTCGCTGAAAAGATCGCCTAATACAACCATCCCCAGACCAAGGATTCCACCACCGCCGACTCCTTGGATTGTGCGGCTGGCGATGAGCATGTTCATCGACTGCGATGCCCCGCAGAGAACGGAGCCAACCAAAAATATAGCGATACTGGTTAAAATAGTCTCAACGCGGCCAAGGATGTCGCTGATTTTGCCGATAATCGCCTGTACAATCGTCGACGATAGCATGTACGTGGTGATGATCCAGACAGCCTGGCCTAGCGCATCAAAATCACTGGCAATTGGTACATAAATGCTGGCCATGATAGTTGCATCCAGAGCAGAAATAAAAAACAGCATGCCTATGCTAGCAATTGCGCAAAAAAGCTGCTTCTTGGAAAGCGTATATGAAGCCAAATCACCACCGGCTGCTTCGTTGGAAGCAACAGGACTGCCATTGGCCGCTTCACTAGAGTGACTCTCTGCACCTGCACCAGCCTCAAGCGCTTTCTCGGAAATAGGCTGCTCATTGATATCTGGCACAGCTTCCATAGCGCCCGAATCCCGCAGAGTGAGGGTCTCGTCGAGAGCGGTTTTAGTCCCGGTCTCGGTGACAGACATTATAGATTAGAGAATAAACTTGTAGGGGTGAAGAGTAAGGCTAAGCGTCAAGTTTCTTTCTTTTCAGCTGATATGCTGGCACTCTGCCTCCATGCAGTACTCAAGGGGCTACTCGTCCCATGCCTTGCTTATATCTTTTGTGTAGAGTGCTGAGGCCGAGAAACTTGAGTCCAACAGAAATGGCAAACAACCACACTATACAGTTCCTAACATTGTTCACTCGAATAGCGATTACTATATTGTGTGGACATCCAACAATTTGATTTCGCCACCAAACAAGTAAAATAGCACCCATGCAACAATGCCATATGCCGTTTTGTGGCGGTGGTTGCTTGGCCCACCCCTCTCCCTATTGTTAAAATGTTGACAACAGGGAATTAGCTGGCAGACATGCTGGTGCTCGCACAGGTTGAACCTTTGCTCAAAATACATGGAGGTAGCAGTCTCGTTGTTTGTCGAACGCTCGGCCATCAGTTTCAGGCGCTCTTCCCTGGCCTTTTCAAGCGACATGGGCCACTCAATGTGCTCGAACAAGCAGTCGTTGATTGTAAGAGGCAGGCTGCCAAATCGCGGGAGCTCGAACAGCTTCTCAGCCCACCAGTCCTGCTGCTGCGGGGGAACGACCTTGGTTGATGGGATCCTCATGGACGGATCGATGAGGAAAAAGGCAAGGATCTTGCGGTGGCCAGGCTTCGACGGATCCTTGAGCTTGAAGCCAGAGACCTGGTGCTGGTAGATATTTGGGAAGCAAATGCAGCGACCGCTGAGTGCCTCAACGCTGCCAAGTTCTTGAGACAACATAGCATCTAGATTGCCATCCACTTCAATGCCATATCCAAGCCTTACGCCACGCTTATCACCTTGCTCATAGTGAATCAACCTCTTGATGGACTGACGGAAGTTGAGCCTGCTCTCTGTGATATTGTCGACATCGTAGTAGTAGATTCCCGTGGCAACGATATGCTCGTTGGCCATGGCTTCAACATGCCAGCTGCCTCCCTCGTACTCTGGCTTGTCTGGAGTCAGCACGATGTTCGACATCTTGACGATCGCCTGAAGGCGACGACTACGGAAGCTGAAGGCAGGAATAGGACGGTCTGGCATTTTGAACTCCTCTGGAGGAGGCGGAATGAACTCCCTGGTTTCTAGCCACCTTCTATACTCGTCGTCAAACCCAACCACATCACTTTCTCCTGAATCCGCGCCATCGCTTTCGACCAAGTCTGGGTTTCCATCTTCTGAAAATCACGCATACGGGTCAGGTACGACGCGGCGGCCACGCATAAACGCAAGATCCGTGACCATGTTCTCAAACATGGGCACGAAACGAGCAAAGATGTTTGCAATAGTTGGATACAGCTTTGCATGCCTCACAGGATGGAGGTTATTGATGTACGACTCGACTTCGACCGAGCCATCGTCGCGAACATGGAACTCACTAGGGAGCCAGCAGTACTGCCTCGACAAATAATCGCCGTCGACTGGAACGTTGCCCATGTCTGAGTCTGCCGTTTCCTTGCGCCACTCATGAACACCGCACGGCCGACACTTGATAGTCAGCGGTTCCAGGGCGGCAGCTGGCGAGGCGATGGGCTGGCACAGGAAAGACCCGTCGTAAAAGAGTGGGTACAGCGACGGATGGATGAGGTTCAGCACCTGCTCGTTCGTGCTCGGGTGCCAGTCTTTCAGCTTGGCGTAGTAGTCGAGTTCTTCCAGAACATACTTGATTTCTAGATCAGTCAGACCCTGGCTTTTGGCCTCAGTAGTCCACTTCTGGCGAATCGCACCGTCCTGCATCTTGACGGTCCAGCCTGGCTTGGCCCTGATAGCACCGCTCATTGCGACCATACGCATCTCCATTACCGTGCGCATTTCAGTGTCCACTTTGGCGTACACAGCACCGCCGCCATGCTTCTTACGGAGACATTTGAATAGTGTATTGATACTCATTGGAGGAGCAAAGGAGTAGAAAGACGGAATCCAGCGGAAGAAAAGAAGACAGTAAATGACTGGGCTTTGTCGTGCTTGTTTCTGAGTGATGGTCAAAGGGCATTTTATAGTCATTTTCATGGCAAATTATCCGCAGCCATTTCGCGCGGGTTCTGCGGCTTGAGCCGAGTTGCACATCCAGACCATACATTCGGATATACGGGAACCGAAAGCGGTGCTTCTGAGCATTCGAATATTTATTCAGCAGACAAGGACCTCCGCCAACAGACTGACACCGTCGCTTTGTGCGTCCCTGATCTGAATGGACTGTGTGTCCATGCTATGCGACTGAATGGCGTTCTCTTCGTCCCCATGATGCTGCGCAGCAACATCCTTGTAATAATAGAACTCTTGGTTGAAGTAGACACTCCCACAGAACCGGCTGTTTGTGTCGGCAATGCCGTTTAGCACAAAGAACTGGCGGAACCAGATGCAGACCACCATGGTAATTATCATCGCCACTATTCCAGCAAACAGAATTTCGATTTACTGGCCGTTGCGAGGATACGCACCGGTGACCAGATACTGGAAGATGCGACAGCCATTGTACGATGGTATGGCATAGAAGAACCTGTAGGGGCCAGAGGTGAGCTTAGGGGGTGTTGCACACGAGATAATTGTGCTGATAACAGTCGGGACGGTTGCACAGACAAGGAGTATTGGTGGGCTGTTGATGTATAAATGGAACAGCTAAAGCGCATACGCAGCGTTGACTGTTGTGCCGAGGAACCAAATTTTGAAAAAACGAGGCAGTTTTATATTTTAACGCGCTTTCACCATACTCAGGTTCGCAGTAGATTAGAAACGCCAGTGAAAAGTAGAACGACACGATTAACGACATGCAGAAGATATGAGCCGGTCACATAATGGCTAAGTCTCTGAATCGAACTTTGGTAAACAGCGGGTATGATGCAGTCCTCCATATGAGCATTTTTGACAGCGAGCACACCATCATGCAGAGGCAGCCAGATAAAAATACAAGCCGTGCATTGCTGGAAGTATCTAGAGACTCATCAACTGTTGTATATCCGATCGGCTGAAGCAATGCTACAGGGGTTGTTTGTGCTCCATCTGATCTACTGGCGTCCATTCTGTGCAACTGGAATGCTTGAACTATCTTGAACGAGTACTGATATAAAACTGTAGAGATAGCGTTCCTCATGGCGGTTTTGATGAACATCATTTCTCCAGTTGGGTGTCGATCACTGGACTCAATAACAGTCAGCGCCTGTGAGGAGTTGTAGGAGGAGCCGTTATGTAGTGTGTTGCTCAGGCTGTCACTCAATGCAGGGTTGATGACAAGTGCGCTCCATGCGCTGTCCCGAATCCATGTCTCGACGCTTTCAGAAGAGCCCAAGCCATCCACACGAGACCAGATTGGAAGTGAATCCTTTGTAGGGGTATCCAATACCATCTGTGTTATATTGGCGCCGACTGGACCGCCATCTAGATCGACTATCTGCACGACCACGTTGTGTGCAAATGTACTGCACTTATACACGGAGCTGTAGTATAGACACAGAAGTGTCCAGATCACGACTATGCCAACCAAAATGATTCTGAGATGGCCGATTATACATCTAGTTATACAAGGGTGGATTTCGCTGCTGAATATGCCTATTCGACCACTGTCGCTGTCGGGTTGGAATTTCCAATAACATAGTCTGCACATTGAGGATATGAGTGGGGTAAAATTAAAGAGGGCGCAAAGGATGACACCTAAAATGCGAGTCTACCTACAGCGGCGATAGGGGCGGCTGATTTATACCTATGCACTTATATTCTTTGCTGCTTTGACCCTTTCGTCTACAGTACTTAATATCCGGAATGAATATATTTCCAGTGCAGCGACTATACGGCCAGTGTACGATCCTGGGGCTTCACTGATAGATACAACCATTCTAGGCACCAAAGAGCTGGAGAAACTATCACCCACGTTTGAGCGAATCGGCTGGTAGAACACTATATTTAGGGTAAGAAATCTAAATTGACTAGGATAAGCCTCAGCAGACAACAGCAGATGTATGAAGAACCGGTACCAAAGGTAGCCATCATGTAACCCGGCATATTTGTATGACTGGTGTCGGTTTGAGTGTCGGTAGAACGTTTCCCCATATGGCTGCATTCATGGAAATGTTTCAGGACTGGGGTTGCTCACTGGAAGGGTCCAGACACTAACCGAGGCATGATGAGAAAGGAAGTACGAACACAATGAAGGACAGCTATAGACCTTAGGTGAACGTCAAGATGAGCGTTGGCAGTTTCGCGTACCAGGAAGAGCTGGCAAATGGTTTATCAAAAAGATTGTATCGGTTGTATGGTGGCAAGTTTGCAGCTTCTCAGGCTAAGCTCTTACATTGCATTGCTTTGGCCATCAGTATCATCTCCATTAGGATATATTATGTATCCGTTGTTGTTTGGTACAGAAAAATGACGAAGATAATATCACCACCATGCTGCTTATATAAGGGCAGCAATGGGAAGCAGTACAGATAGCAATACGGCAGTCGATTTGACGGTCAAGCGGCTTGCCGGGCTGGACTTGGGGGCTTGGTTCGCTGCTCTCCTCATTGCATCTATAAGAAGTAGCTGGTCGGAGCCACTGGTAACGATGCCAGGACATGTGAACGAGCGGCAATCGCTATTATAGCAACACTTGAGCATACCATTCTCTGCCATGCATTGTACCTTGTTGCCATCGATATTGCTCCAAACTTGGTCAACTTTCCCCATATGCACGACCCAGAACGAGTCACCGTTGGTGCTGGAGATTACTCCTTGGTTGCATGATACCATTCTGCTAGTTGGAGATTAGTTGGTTGCAAATACAAATGTAATATATTGGCTAAACAAACGTGGGCAGCAAGTGTGGTTTGTGTGTGATGGCGTGTAGGGAGGCAGAGAGAGAGAGGTAGTCGTTTTTATAGGCAGCGGTGGTAGCAGGTAGCAAGATAAATTGACGGAAGCTAAAAACTATTCGCTGTGCCAGAAATACTGCACATGGCAGTCATTGTCATCATGCGGATACTTGGTAGCCTTGTGACCATTGGCTATCATACTCCTTCTGTGCCAGAAACCAATGCATGACTGAGAAAGCAATATATGGGAGTGTGACAGAGCAGCAGTTGGCAGAGGCTGGCAGCCATATTGGGTCTGTTGGGCAGAGGTACCATATGTTAGTGACTTGGCTTTTGTTAGTAGAAAAGCATCGGGAGCCAAAGAGGTACTGTAGTGTACGGGCACGTGAGACTAGCCGCGAGGGAACGAAGCCCACCCCCAGAACGCACAGATAAAAGGCCGTGTGCGAGAGATGCTGATTCCACAGGTTTATTCTTATACTCAAAATGCAAACACGCCAGTACTCAAACCAAACAACCATACTTTCGAATACTGATCCAGAAACATTATATGCTAGCTGTGCGTTTTTTTTTTTTCAAGCAGACTGTGCTCTTAAATCCATTCGCTACCACCATACGACCTTTACCTGACATCAGTCTGAGATGCCACCAGACGATTCCGGATTTAAAGCCCCAGCGCTCCCGCGGCCACGCATGCCTGATGCTACCCATGGTCATCCCACAGAAACCCCACCACCACAGGCGCCTCCTCTCCCCTATACCCCACCCGACAACGCCGAACGACCCGCGCGCTCATACATCCTCGAGGAGATAAAAGACGGGATGCTAGTAGAAACCCACGCAATTCCGCGCACCAAGACATTCTTTGTCTTTGGGCGCCTGCCCATGTGCGATTTCCCCATGGACCACCAGTCGATATCACGGTACCACTGCGTCCTGCAGTTTGCTGCATCCAACCACACAACTCTTGTGGATTTAGGCAGCAGCCATGGCACGTTTGTCAACAAGCAGCAGATCCGGCCGAGCACACCGCGCACGCTGGATATTGGCGACCAGATCAGGTTCGGAATGAGCACAAGGACATGGTGTTTGGGAACCACCGATGCGGAGTTTTTGGAGCAGCGCGAAGAATCCAGGCACCAGGCAATGCAGAAAGCGATTTTGGAGCGTGCTCGGCAGACGGAAGCCCTGGGTGTGGCCAGAACAGCGGCAAGGCAAGGTGGCCACCCGCAGATGACATTGGACGATAGTAATTCTGGGCTGCTGCATATGAGCCGAGGCAACCCTGTGGCGGCCGATTGGGCAGCTAGTGACCGTGCATGGTACAGGCGAAATCCCATTGACAGTCTGCAGACTGTTTTAGATGACAATAACCAGGAGTACGAACCTGAAATCATCGACGGCAATTTAAATGGCGATGATGACGACGATGACAGGATGAAGCAGCACAAGAAGCCAGGGTTAGTCACTGTGCGGGTTGCCCTTCCGTTCATTGACGAGCACGGAAAGCCTCTGTTTGGTGTTGGAAAGGCAACCAAACATCACGAGGCTGAGCGCCGTGCCTGCATCGATGCGCTGGAGGAGCTTGATAAGCGGTCGTATCTTGAAGACCCGCGAGAGCAGCGCCGGAGGGCAGCCAAGAGCAAAAAGGAAGCAGTGGGCGACGACGACGACGACGACGAAGATGAATTCTACGACCGCACACTCTTGAACAAGAGGACACGCAAGAGCAAGGCATCAGAAGTTGAGACATTCGAGTCCTTAATGGAAAAGCACCGAATTGTCTGCACCGATATCGAGGATGCTGAGCAGCAGCTGAAGGAGGCTGAGGAGGAGACAGTCGAGTCAACGGCCAACGGTGCCATGGATGAGCTGGATGCATACATGAATTCGCTGACTCGAAAAGAACAGGAGAGCACGCGGAAGTTGCTGGAGCAGAGGCTCGGGGAGATGAAGAAGGAGGTTGAGCGACTGGAGGTGTTGATCAGGATTGCAGCGCCAGACTACCAGCCACAAATCAGATCGGGTCTGAAGCCAGAGGGTAAGCCAAACCCAGAGCCACAGGCTAGGTCCGAGCCTAAGCCGCCAGCTTCTTCGCCAATGCCTCCGCCTGCTCTGCCAGCGAAACGACCGGCAGCCGAAGTGAAGGAGGCGACTACACCAAAGCAGCCCAAGGTTGTTGCCGGGCCAACGTTGCCACCGCCCATGGCAGCGCCAAGGAAGCGAGATGAGCCAGCGTGGCAGGCGCCAACGGGCCAAACCGGTGACGGCAAGACCGCTTTGAACGACAAGCTCGGGTACTAGGATAACGGTTTCAAATTTGTAGCGAAATGCGAATAAAGAAAGTGAACATTTAGGCTTGGGCTGGAATCGGCGAGTTCATCTTCAGACTGTCGGCAACCGATGGCGCGACCGGAGCGGCCTCGTGACCAGCAACGTGCTCGTCATCCTCCTTATTCTTGGCATCCTTCTGGGCATCGTTGCCCGGCATGGTCACAGCCTTCTTCATCTCCTCGTTCAGACGGTCTGCGTTCGAGTTCAGACGGTCCTGGTCGATATGCGGAGCAGGCTCATTGAGCTTGTTTTCATGCTCCAAGAGATCGACGTTCTCAGCCGCAGGCGGGTCCTCCGGGTTCTTGGCCGGCGCCGACGCAATGGTGACGGCGATCGGGTCACCCAAGTTTGGCGCAGCGACGGTAGGAACGGGCGGCGCAGGCTTGACGTCCAGATCCATGTAGCGCTTGCAGTCGTAGTCCCACGATCCGAGCCACTTGCTGCGCTCGCAGCCCTGGCGCGTCCACGGTGTGCCGTACGCGATGTGGCTATACTGGAAGTACATCCGCACAACCAGCAGCAGCAGGACGGCCATCAGGACCTGGCGCACCTTGCGGCTCATGCGGCGGGTGAACAGATCGAGCGAGCCAATCATGGCACAAACAGCGAGCCACAGCGCAGGCAGGTAGTGATGCAGGAACAGCTGGCGGCCCATCAGGAAGAAGGGGATCCAGTGCAGCACCCAGCCAATGGCCAGGAAGCCGACGCTCTCAAAGTACCGCTCGCGCACACCCAGCAGGCGATCGTGCATGCCGCGGCAGTCGCGCAGGAACAGGACAGCCTGGATGACAGCAAATGCCACGATGGCCACAAACGACGTCCACCACAGAATCGGGGTTCCCATCAGGTAGATTCCGCGGTCGCCACTGCCCCAGAAGGCCATACCGCGGCGCATCCACGGCCAGGTGGTCGGGCGGCTCTCGTACGGGTGGCTCTTGGTCAGTCCGTTGTTGACCCGCCACATGACCCGCGTCGCCTCCAGCACCTTGGCGATCAGGCCCGGGCGCGTGTACTCGGCCAGCGGTGCGTTGACAGGCGTGCGCTCGTTCTGGTTGGTCTCGATGCGCCACAGAGTCTTGGGGAACTTAGCCGACTTCATGCATGTGACCTCGACCTGCTCGTGGCCCCACTTGGGCAGCTTCTTGCGGTTGGAGAACAGGGCGCAGCGCTGGTTGACATGTACCAGACGGAACTTGCTGTAGATGGCCATCAGCTTTGTCTTGGACTCGGGAACCGACGAATCGCCCTCGAGGATCTGCACACGCCAGTGGTCGTTCGAGTCGCCCTTGAAGCCCTCCCAGCCGTAGCCGCTGACCTCGTTCTGGTAGTCATTTGTGGTGACGGGCGGGCGCTCGTCGTGCGAATGCAGGCGGCGGTGGGTGCGCCAGTGCATCAGCCGCACAATATCGCCATCCTTGATCTGCTGCAGAGCCGTCGGATCGGACGAGTTCTGGAACTTCTCCTCGTCGGCCTCGGTGCGCGTGATTGTCCAGTAGTTGTTGTCGTCACGGAACCCGTACAGCGTGATCTGCTGCTGCTTGGATCCAGTCTCATAGTTGCTCAAGTGCGAGTGAAGGTAGCCAGCGTTGGTTGCATCATGGCGAATGCGGATCCGGGCGCCGTAGTAGATGTCACGCGGGGTGTGTCCCAGCGTCACGCCGTCAAGCGAGTTCTGGAACTCGGGGCTCATGAACGCATTGCCGTCACCCGACTTGTGCAGAGCCATGAAGTGGACCTGGAACCAGAACAGGTACACGGTCACAGGCACGATGATCAGGCCAATTGCCCGGGCAACAAAGTGCTTGGTGTACTGGACCGGCGAGATGCTGAGATCGCCCAGCTTCTCCCACAGGTCCTTGAGCGTCCATATGCCAATGGTGGCAACCAAAAACAGGCCAACCCACTTGCAGCTCAGCGCATTGCCCAGGTTGGCACCGGTCAAGAGCAGGTACGTCCACCAGCGGTTGCTGAATGGACGGTGGGCCTCAGTGAAGAACAGCGCCCAGAACATGATCGTGAGGCCAGTGAAGAAGATCAGCGCCGAGTCCAGCAGAATCAGACGCGACTGCGTCAGCAGCGCGTTCTCGAACGCAATCACCAGCGCTCCCAGGGCACAGGCGTCGGCTGCATGGCCCAGAGCCGCCAGCGTGATATACGTAATGGGTACCATTGCCAGACCCAGCAGGGCCGGCATCAGCCGCATGCCAACGTAGGGCACGCCTGCCGCCGCATAGTCCAGGCCGATCGACTTGAAGTCAAACACGCCGTCGTAGCCTGCAATCTTGCCTGCCGCAGCAAACATCATCTTGGCCAGTGGCGGGTGCACATCGAAGAAGTAAGTGCCGTTGATGTACTTGCCAGCAAACTTGCCGAAATGGACCTCGTCGAATACAACGTTGCCAGGGTTCGACAGCCGCCACAGCCGCACGTAGCTGGCCACCACCATGATTAGCGCCAGCGTGATCCACTGGTTCTTCGTGATCCGGAGCCGCGGGTGCCGGTCAGACGCACCGGTGTGCCGTCCACCAGACGGGCCGGTGGTCAGCCGCTCGGAGTAGTCGAGGTCCTTCTTCTCGTAGCTGTACCCAATGTCGTTGTTGGGCGTTGCCATGTCATCATCGTAGTCGCCGCGGGGAGTGGCTGCCGGCGTGCCGGCCGCGGACCCGGTTGACATTCCAGAGATCACTGTGGCATCGTCATAAATCGCCGTGGCCCCAGGCTGCTTCCGGTAGCGCATGCTCTCGAGATGCGCCATCTTGTGGAATGAAGCAAAAAAAAGAGCAGAAATAGTCGTGAAAAAAGAAACAGAGATGCCCTTAATGAGGTGAAGGAAACGGAGATGAGGAGGAAAGGAGGAGGGGAAGAGCAGCTGAGCAAGAATGACTCTGCTGAGCCCGCTCATATATTGGGGAGGCAGTTTTTTCTGCCTCGGCCATTGCCCCGTGCTAGCGCATCAGGCAGCGTAGCACTAAAAAAACCGCCGATCTCTGAAGCTTCAGTTGGTCCACCCAGAGCGCTTGACAACAATGCTAGGCTCTGCCGTATGCGGGGTAAGTGGGCAGCAGGAGCTTTCAATGGCAGGGCTCTGCATGCGCAGGCCGGGCTCCCGAACAAAGGGCGCGGGTGTGAGAAACCGGTCTGCCAGCCATTTCAGAGTCCAAATGCATGTTGCCCTTCCCCTCTTTTGCTCTGGCATAGCCTGAGCATCGGCCGTCCCCCGGGCCAATCATTCGGAGCCACAGCATTAGCAGCCTTTGCAAAAATGCACAGACTAGCCTCGCATTTTCCATGCCGCCTTCGGCGACGAGTGCTCATGCACCAGAGAATGCACATACCGAGGCACCACAGAGCGAATGCTTAAACGGGATATACTGGTAACGCTGAGCAAGCAAAGGGGAATTAAAATGCTGTATGCTGTAGTCTCGCCCGGGCGCGCTCAGACCAGCGGGCCCTGCGCCTTGGCCGCAGGCGTCTCCTGCTCTGCCTCAGCGTCCTCCTTCTGTCGCTTGGCCGCAAAGTCATTCATTGCTCTCAGAATGTCCTCGGCTGCCTTGGCCTGCTGTTCGGGCGTCAGCGATGTCTTGGGCTTGGTGCTCTTCACACTCGTGCTAGATTTGCCGAACCACGGCGAGAACACCTGGTACAGTACGCTACCCAGGGTCAGCACCAGCAGCGCAATTACCAGCTTACGGCTGCCGGCAGCTGGGCCGGGCATGCCACTGCCCAGGCCCTTCTTGCGCAGCCGCTCGGCCTCGATCTTCTGCTCCTTCTCCGGGTTCAGCGACTTCTTCACGCTGCCGCGTTTGTTGATGTTCTTGTCGTAGATCTCAGACCGCTTGCGGAGCTGTGCTGGCATAGGCATGGTGAATGGTGGGCTATTATTTTGAAGGGGAGGTTGAAAATCGGGCTGGTTGATGACAATGTGAGACGGAAAGGAGAAGAGCTCTGACATTGGCCGGGCGCTCTGGCTTCCAGCCACCTCCGACGTTGCACACAGGCAGTAGATCTGATCCATTCCGGAATATTGGAAATCATATCAGCATGAGTTGTGCAAACTTGGCGTGGAAGCAATCGTCTACTGGATGATCGTCTCAACCCACGATATATCCTGCACCATATAAAGTGGTGTTCCGCTCATGGTTGAGTTGTAAACGCCATGTAGTACTAGACTTATCGCGCTCACGATTCGATCTCGGCTGGCCAGTATGCTTTAGACAGTCGATAATGTGGCAAGGAGTCTGCCACCGGGCTTCATCGACACAAGTGATGGTGGTTTGGCTCGCCATTGCTGGCAGCAGCAGAGCCATCGGAGGCAGAGTCAGTAGCGAAACCTTGCAAGAGCCTTGCCTGTCTGGCACAGCAGGAGGTATGCGCCCACAAAAAGAGCCCAGCGCAATCAGCCTATAGGTATTGTATACCGATATTTATCGCGGAAGGTTTGCAAAGCAAAAGCAGTATTTCATCCCACTATCCAGGATAGATAGTTCTTGCATAGTCAGACGTATCCATCGAGTGGTTGCAAATGCACATCACCAAGTCGAGCCCCGCACCGAGGTATGCCACAACTGGCAGTCACGAAGATCAAATAACGGAATGTAAAGGAGGAGTTTATAGGGAAGTCGGAATGTGTGGAAAGGGGTGAGGTATTTGAAAAAGCCAGATGACGCAGGAAGGGCCATTTCTAAATGTAGGATATATGTTGGCCAGTAAGCCAATGGTGCCTTTTTTGAGCACTCAAAAATAAATGAGACCGATTGCGGGCTGTGCAGACAACCTGCTATCGCCCCCACCGGCTTAAGACCATGGTTCCAAGTTTGGGTGCTGAGGATGTGGAAGTTGGGCGGTTTGTTTATTACATTACTGCATCAACAAAATGCGAACTGATATGAATAGTACTTTGATAGAACGAAGGTTCTGGGTTCGGTTTTTCGAGTGCTTTCAAGACATATATTTGTCACCTTAGGATCTGAATCCATCGGCCAAAAGAGAGAATACCGGTTTTCTAGGCGTTCGCAGAGTGAGCCACACACGCTCGCTGTGAGGCTCAAAAGAGCTTGAATTTTTCAGCTATTTAACAATGTTCTAGTGGACGATCGGCCACTTTTTGGGCTATAAAATCATACAGAGGTAAAGATTTTAGAGATATGGTCGGGTATAAGAGGATATGTGGGCTAAAAGATAAACGTTGAAGAAAGGATGGGAGAGCGACAAGGAAAAGATGTTAAGCTACAAGGAAGAGGAAGAAAATATATGCGGGTAGATATGAAGCAGCAACAGAAAGAAAGGTGCGTATTTTGTGTAGCGACACTTAGATGCCAGCCCTTGGATTGAACTCGAGGATAGGCGCGCCAATCTCCTTGATCTCCTCAAAGTTCGGTCTCAAGTCGAACGTCTTGCTGAGCACGATCTTGAAAATACTCTTCACATTGATCGAATGCATCGACGAGCAAAAGATAACCGGCGCCCGCATCGCTCGCGCCACAGCCCGCGCCTGCTCGGTAACCACATACCGCTCCTCCTTGCTCACCCACAGATCATCAACAAATTTGTCGTACTTGGTGCCTACCAGGATGGGGACAGCCGAGCCATTGAATGCGCGGGCCTGCCGGAACCACTGGGGAATCGAGTTTAGCGTGTCGCGCCGCGTCAGGTCAAACAGAAACAGGATCGCAGACGAGTCCGAGCAGACAAGAGGAAGCATGTTCAGGAACTCGCGCTCACCACCCAGATCCCAGATGCTGAAGCGCACGCGTGTGTTCCGCAAGTGTATCGTCTTCTCCAGGTAGTTGACGCCCAAGGTCTGCACGATTGTCTGGTCGAACTGGCCAAACACATACCGCACCATTAGTGTCGTCTTGCCGATCTGGGCGTCGCCGAGCATGCCCACCTTGATCACAATCCTACACGAAAACAGGCATGGAAAATCAGATGCAGGCTCAATTGGACAGACACAAAGCAGCGGGTAGTGGACAAAACCAGTGCAGACATTCCATTAATTGGGACCGGCGCTTGCTGCTCCCCACGTCCGCTCATTTACTGCACCGGCTCACCATAACAAACAGCACAAAGGCAACACTTACTCATCGTCTGCTTCCGTTTCTGCATACGCTGCCGTCTCAACCATGCCGCTGTCTATCTCTCGACTCGTCCGCCCCGAATACATGTCTGGAAGACGGTTGTTTGCAGCAAGGAAATCAATGCGGGAATGGATTATCAGTTGCACTACACCCGGCTGTAAGATATGAGGTTCTGGCTGGTGGAGGCGGGGCTTTATGCTTCTTCACGGGCGCTTCGAGAAATGACGAGGCCAGAAATGCAGAAAGAAGCAAAGAAAGAAAGCAGAAAGCGTCTGTTGCGTAAAAGTACAGGAGGTGAATTCGTGGTGGACCTGGAAAAAAGAGCGAGGGCTGTCTTGTTGGCCTCGCGGAGAACCCAGCTGGTTTGTTTACGTTTGGCCTGTTCTGGAAGGTCTCTCGCACTGTCGAGTGAACTAAATTAGCACTAAATTCTGGTCCTCCTATCCTGTGGATACAGCCAACAAAAAGTAAATAAAATCCTGCAACAAAAAAAGGAAAGGAAGCACAGATTGCAGAGCAAGAGAAAACGAAATGAGGCAGCGGCAGAGAAAAAAGAGGGGGAGTAGGGTGCGATATCGAGATACCCAGAAACTCTGCATCACACGGCAGTCACCCAACGGCCAGCAGCAGGCTATTGTGGCCAAAGCGCATGCGTCGCTGAGACGGGCAGCCAAGAATAAGCAGCGGGTAGAGAGAAGGCTGGATTTGACTGCGTAGAGCCGGGGAGCTGTTACTCATACATACACAGGCCCGTCTCGAAGCAGCCAACAATGGCTGGGAACAATGGCTGGCAAGAGATCCAGCACCGAAGGTACGATCCGATGAAAGAAAGTGGCCGCCGGGCTGGCGAGTCACGTCTGACTGTCAAGGTGCTGAGACAGACTCTGAGGCATGCAAGACTTTGGCAGGGATGCAGCCATCGCCATTCGAAACCTCACTGCAGAGTCTGTCCGACAAGTTGGGTGGTTCTCGAAAGCCAGGCCTGTTGGCTGTCTATTCAGAAAATATACTGTTCAAAAAGGTATTAACACAGCCTGCTGCTCTTTGTGGAAAGAGGCTCACGTCGACGATGACGCCGACGTGCTGACAGCCAGGGCCGACGTGGGCGCCGGTGTCGAGGCCTGCGATTCCTTGGGCGTCGCTGCCGCGCTGTTCTTGGCCGAAACACTCGTGCGGGTGCGCTTGGCTGCTGGCTCTGGCGTGCCAGCACGAGAGCCACTGCGGCTGGTTACAGTGCTGCTCTTGCGCGCCCTAGGCTTGCGCTTTTCGCGCGGCTGCAATCCACCACGTCGCCCACGGCTGCCGCGCGACCCGGGTCCGCCGCGCTTCAGCAGGAGCTGCATCTTTTGACGCTCAGCCTCCTGGTCGTTTTGCTTCTGGATCGCCGCGTCCAGCACAGCATCAGCAGCGCCCGTGACCTCGGGCAACTCCTCAATGGGTCTTGGCGGCGGCAGCACAATGGCCGTCTCCCATGGCTCTTGGCCGTCGACAGCAGGCACATTCGGCACGCCTGGGAGTGGAAAGCTGCTGTACAGTCGATTGGAAGTGGCCTGGGCGAGCCGCTCCATCACCAGCCGCTCGTTGCGCACCTTGTCATCGTCATCGGTAGCCTCGTCGAGCAGCAGAGTGACAAGCTCCTTCGAGTTCATCTCAAAGTTGGACGAGAATCCCTCACCGAATGTTTCACCATCGGCTTCGGCGTCGCCCGACCGTATCGTCGATATAGCTGCGGCGCTCTTCTGGTCGCCGCCAGCAATGACCATGCGGTGGATTTCGTCCTTCTGCCGCGCACGCTGCAGAATCCGCTCTTCGACAGTACCACGGGTGATCAGTCGGTACACAACCACCTGCTTGGTCTGGCCCAGCCGGTGGGCACGGTCCATAGCCTGGCTGTCGACGGTCGGGTTCCAGTCGCTCTCAAAGAAGATGACCGTGTCAGCTGCAGTCAGGTTGATGCCAAGGCCACCAGCGCGCGTGCTGAGCAGGAAAATGAAGATGTCGTCGCGTGTCTGCCAGTCCATAACCATGTCTCGGCGGTCGGAGATCCTGGACGATCCGTCCAGACGCAGATACGTATACTTGCGGTAGGCAAGGTACTCCTCGAACAGGTCAATCATCTTGGTCATCTGGAAGTAGAGCAGCACCCGGTGGCCCTCAGCCTTCAGCCGCGTCAGCAGCTTGTCCAGCACAGCCATCTTGCCCGAGTACCGAATCAGCTTGTCCATCGATGGCATCCAGATATCGCTGCCGCCCTGTGCCCGGAACGGCCGCGTCCAATCGTCGCTCGCAAACGTCTTGCCACCCGTGATGCGTGATGCCAGCGGGTTGAGCAGCATGTAGTCGGCGTTCTCCCAGGCTGCGGACCGGTCGCTGACCGCTAGTTCGATTGGTGGGGCTACAGCTGGCGGCTTGTACGCTGGCGGCACAATACTAAGCAGCGAGTGAGCAAACTCGCTGGCTGTGATTTGTGCCAGACCGCGCAGGTTGGGTGACACTGCCAGGTTCTCCCGCGTGAACAAGTTGCTCAGCACATGCAGAGCCGATCCCTGGGCAGCATAGCGCAGCGAGTCTGGAACCTCATCACTGTCATGGCCAGACATCAGCAGGCTCTGTCGCAGACCGCTTTCTTTGGCATCGACGGCTTCAATGTCGTCTAGCCGCTGCGCCAACGAACCCGAGAATGCCCTGGTGGCGATGCTCGCTGACGGTGTACACAGACGGAGCAGCGACATCAGGCTGGACTCCGACTGCTGCGACGCAATGTTCTCTGGCGTCCACAGCGACAGCCTGTTGTTGAGAATGTGGTCACGCACCGTGAGCACATTGGGTAGCATGGGCGAGTCGCGGTACAGGAGCTTGGGCATCTTGAACTCGAGTAGGCTACGTGTTGCGTAGCTGCACCACAGCTCATCGCCCTCGCGGATCAGCGAGCCCGTGGTCGGGAACGACCCACAGACATAGGGGCTCTCGACCTCAGCACGCTCAAACAGCTCCGGGTGACTGCAGACCTTGCGGAACTGCATGACCAGGTTCATCAGGCTCTCGTCCGAGTCGTCCTTACCACCACGCGATCCATTGCCGCCGTTCTGCACCCGCTCCAGCAGCTCAGGAACCGAGATCTTGCTCATGAGGCCGCGATACATGATCTTTTGCCGCTGTGTCAGATCGCACGGCACCAGGTGCTCGATCTTCTCGCCCAGCTCGTGCTGCACGTGCCGCTTGTTGCGTCGCAGCATAAACGGCTTCAGAATCATGTGTAGACGGTGCAGCTGGTGCTGATTCATCACCGACCGGTTCTCGGCGTGCGCCTCGATATCGCGCGAGAACCACTCGCTGAACTCCTCGTGCGAGTCAAACAGCGTCGGCATGATAAAGTGCAGCAGCGCCCACAGCTCCTGCATGCTGTTCTGGATGGGTGTACCCGTCAAAAGCAGCCGGTTGCGGCAGTGGAAGCCAAGCAGCGTCTTCCAACGTGCCGAAGTTGAGCTTTTGATCGCCTGCGCCTCGTCCAGCACCATGTACTGCCACTTGACGCGGTTCAGGTACGACTCATCCGAGACCACCAGTTGGTACGAGGTGACCAGTACGTGGAATGCAGAGTCCTTGCGCGAGAGGTTCTGCGGGTTATACAGTGACTTGCGCAGCACCTTGCGGTCCTTCTGCGAGCCCCAGTACGGCAGGACCTTGAACTCGGGCACGAACCGCGTCAGCTCCTGCTGCCAGTTGTGCAGCGTCGAAGCGGGCGCAACCACCATGAACGGCCCCCAGATATTGTGTGTCTCAGCAAGGTACGCCAGCAGCGAGATCGACTGCACTGTCTTGCCAAGACCCATCTCGTCAGCCAGGATGCCGTTGATGCCCTGCTCGTACAGGTTGGCCAGCCAGTTCAGGCCCTTGAGCTGGTACTCCTTGAGCTGGCACATAAGCATGTGCGGCTGCGCCACTTCGGTACCAGACAGGGTCTCGGGCTGCTGGAAGTCCATCGCATCGAGTGCACTGGCTACATTGCTGTCAGCAGCCTCGCCCTGCTGCTCGGCCAGCTGCTCCTTGCGCTGGGCGTCAAACTCACGTGTCTTCTCCTGCTGCTGCGCCAAAGCATTCTGGGCGCTGAGCTTAGCGTGGGCTTGGATCGATGCATCGTCGGCCTCATCAAAGTCGAGCTCGCCGAACGCAGTGGATGCGCTGCTCGGTCCGTCTGCCTTGTCGGTGCTGCCCTTGGATCCGCCGCTGATCTTGTCGCCAATGAAATGGCTGTACAGCTCAGTCTGAGTGATCAGGAAGTTGAGCTTGCGCGCCTGTCGCCTGGCTTCACGCGCCTCCTCCTCCTGGCGCTGGCGGTCAATCGCCTCTTTCTCCGCGCGCTTGCGCATCTCACGCTCCTCCTTCTCATGCCGCTTCCAAAACATCAGCATCTCGCGCATGCTGCGCCGAGCCCTTGTCAGCAGCTCCTTGGGTGGTCTCTGGATATACGTCGGCTGATGCGGGTTGAGCTGGATGACACGCGTGGACGGTGGCCCATAGATGCGGCGGATTTCGCGCTGCGCCAGCTGGGAGATCTTGAGCAGATTGCCGTTGCGCAGAACAACATTCGCCTGCATGTGCCGGTAAGCCCTCGGAATGTAGTCGACGGCAATGTGTGCCCACATGCTCTTGCGTCCATCGCTCTCACGCTGAGCCTCGTCCTCGCGACGCATCTGCGCGATTTCCTCCTCGGTCATATGCGGCTCAATGCCACGCATGTCCGACAGAGGGGAGTCGTTGCGGCGGTAGCCATAGTCGTACTGCGCATCGTGCCCATCGTCGACCACGCCAGGCGACGCAGGCCGAGACGGGGTAAAGTAGCCCATCGCTGGCGGCTGCATTGAGCCGAGCTGCGACACAGCAAACGGCGAGTCAAATTCGCCACTCTCACCCCGATAGCCGTTCTGCCCACGACGCGTCGACTGGCTGGCGTTGCGACGGTGGTGTGGCCCGTTCTTGCGCTTGCGTGATCCAGGCATCTGGTCGTGAACGTCGTCCATTAGATCGTACTCGTCCTCGCGCGGCAAGCCCGATGGCTGGTGGTAGCTCTCATCTTGCGTGTTGCGAGTACCCTCCATATGGTCAGTGTACCGCTGCAGATACGGGCCGTACTTGCGCATGATGTGCTCCTGCATGCGCTCATACTTTTGCCGCGACTTCTCCTCGTACTTCTCAATGGCACGAGAGTTGCGTTGCCGCACGTGCTGGATGTACTCTTGCACATGCTGATCAACGCTGGAGTCGCCGTTCTCGAGGCTGCGGTGGATGGCAGTGGTCGTTGTCACGGCTGCTGCACCGTCGCCCTCGTCGGCATTAGGCACTGCTACCTCCTGGTCGCCAGTGGACCTGTGTGTATATCCGTTACCATCAAAGGCGGATGCGTTCTGCTCTAGCACCGACGGATCGTCCTCATCGGCATCCTCGTCGTAGACAAACTGGCTGCTGAGCTCAACCTTCTTGGATCCGCGGCCCTTGCGACCCGTCTTGCGTCGGCTACTACCCTTGGTGCTGTTGGCAGTGCTGTCGTCGCCTGTGGCATTGTTGCTTTGAGCGGCCGTGCCTGCAGAAGTGGAAGTCCGGCGGCGGGTGCCTTGCGCACGCGACTGGCGACGGCGCTTCGCAGGAGGCGGCTTGGGCTGATCAAGAGTCAGGCCGCTCGCTGTGCGGTTGGCCAACGGCTGGCTGTCCTCGTCGCTAAAGGCGGCCATCGGCTCACCCGCCTTTCCTGCGGACGCCGGAGGCAGCGCGGGCGTAGCGTCGTCGTCAGATACCACGATGGGGCCCTGCTGCTTCGCATGCCAGGTGGACTGCCGCTTGGCCAGTGGTACATCAGGCGACCGGCCGGAATCGCACTCTGACCGCATGGGTGGTCCACTTTGCTCCTGCTGCTGCTGTTGCTGCTGCTGCTCTATCTGGTCCTCTGGGATGGGATTTTGGCCGGGGTAGTTCTCGAAGTAGCCAGCCTGCGGATGGTTGTGATAATGCGACGAGGGCGGGGGCGGTGTGTAGCGCTGGAATGCAGACGAAGTGCGGTGCGCATATTCTGCTTGTTCGCCTGCTGCCTCTGCACTGTTCCCAACCAGCTGCGAGATCGACATCATTCTGTGCGAATCCGCATGAGGCTCGCCCTGCGGCTGGTAGCGCGCCTGAGTATCCGCATATCCTGATCCAGGTGGCACTGGGCTCCGGTACTCTCTGCCAGCCCGATCATAATGCCCGTGTCTACCGTAGCTGCCGTTGCTGTACTGGTAGTCGTAGTCTGCCTGGTGCTGGTCGTGTTGGTGGTACTGCTGCTGGGCTGATGTTGACGATGGTCGGTCAGCTAAAAGCGAGGCAATACCAAATCCAGATGACTGCTGCCCATGCCCAGTCCTCTCAACAGACCCTACCCGATCGTTGCTGCCCTAAAAATGTAAAATGTCGTAGAAGCGTCAGTAACCCGAAACTCCATTTTCGTTTACATGCACTCATTCACACGCACTGGCAGTGGCAGTTACCGTGCACTTGACTTACATAGTAGCCCATCTCCACAGTATATCCTGGGTTTGTTCCGTATGCGGACGAGCCCTGCGGCGGATTTGACGACCGCTGGTATTGCTGCGGCTGTGGTGTTGCTCCTGCAGGATCGGGGGTGCGTCCGTTATAGGCTTGACGTGCAGGATCCGGTGTAGTGTACTCATACCCCTGGGTACCAGCCTGCCGGTTCAGGTGCATGTCGAGATTGTATCTGCGGTCAGGTATCTGGCTGTCCTGTGCGTAGCTGGACTCTGGATATCCAGCTGGATACGTCGAGTGTGATCGGTACGCAGTGTCCCCAGCTGCTGGTGCTACTGAGCTGTATTCTGGACCTGACACATGCATCTCGCTCTGCGAATTGCGGTATCCATATCCTGCGGTAGCACCTCCGTCGGCCGCCCCGCTGGTCTGCGGGTACCGATCATAGTAGCTGGTCGAATGGTGCGGGCCATCAGCGCCATTGCCGGAGCTGATTGAATGTTGGCCGTACGATGATGTGGCCGGCTGGCTGTATCCGTAGCGTGCATAGTACTCGTCCTGCTGCTGCTGTTGGTAGTGGTGGTTGTGGTGGTCCGACCGGTACCCAGAGGTCTGCTGGGCGTACCCCTGCCAGCCAGCTTCCCGCCGGTCATAGTCATATGCGTACCGCTGTGCCTCGTAATCATAGTCGCGCTGCCGCGAACTATATGGCTCTTGCCGGTAACCTGCATAGTCAGCATGTGCCTGATCTTGGTATGCCTGCTGCTGGTTCGCATATTCGTAGGCACGATTGTCCTGTGCGTATTCCCGGCTGCTAGAAGGCTGCTGCTGCTGCTGCTGCTGCTGCTGCTGCTGCTGCTGCTGCTGCTGCTGCTGCTGCTGTTGTTGCTCTTGTTCTTGTTCTTGCTGCTGCTGTTGCTGTTGCTGTCGAGGGTACTCATACCCAGCCCTGCTGTAGTGAGCGTAATCATCGCCACCATGAGAGTACCCGTGCTGATGGTACGGCTGCGTCCGTGGGCTGCTGTAGGTGGGTGCTGTCTGCCGGTATCCAGGCGCATCTGCAGGTTGATAATTTGCCGGTTGCCGGTACGCTCCGTCCTGCTGCTGCGGTTGTGGTTGCGGTTGCGGTTGCTGCTGGTAGTGGTGGTCAACAGACCCGTCCTCACCACCGCTTCTATTGGCGCCTGGTGACAGGATGCGGTTGAGGTTGTGGGCACCGGAGCCGTCGCTGTTAGATGTGCGGTCGTAAGACATGGTGTATAATCAGCCTAGCCCCTTGCGTTATCTGAGGACAGGTGGAAAGGGGAAGGTATAAATCACAGAAAAAAGTGCAACAGAAAATGGAGGCAGGAAGGAGAGAAAGATGGTGGTGGGGACACTGAAATAAGGACGCTCTGGGGCTATTGAGCAATTTTCCGGATGTATTTACTCTGCAGCAAACGACGACACGAAAAACCCGCCGAGACCTGTGATGATGTCTCCTATTTCGCAGATGATGGCGATTGATGGGGAGAAGTGTATGCCTTCTGTGGTTCACAGGGCACGCCTAATGTCTTTTTTATCCCGAGTGCCAGGCTAAAGGACTCAGAAGCGGTGACCGTGGTGTCAGGGCTCTTGGACCGAAATTTAAGAAAAGGGCGGTGGTTGAAGATCTGGTGTTTAGCAATTTAGCTTCAACGCGCCAGGGAGACACTAGCGGTTTAGGCCCACGCGGCGAGAAAGATAATATACGAGGTTTGAAATTTGCCGGGACCAAATGCGAAATTAGGCTGTGGACCGGTTTCTGACAACTGCGAAATCGCGCCAAAAGTGTGCGCTAAAACCGATATCGAAAGTATAGGAGCGAAAACAAACTGTGGGAAAAAGAGAGGAATAAACGGCAGAGAACGAAAAATTTCGTGGACGGAAAGGAGAACTCGCGAGGCGAACGCAATTCTTTTTTTTAACACCAAGTTTTGCTTGTCAGGGGGGAGGGGCCCGGCTGCCCGGCTGATGCGGGTTGCGACCCGCGTCCATGAGTTTTTTCAAGATTTTCGCGGGCTTTCCTATTTTCTCGGCATTGTGATTGGGTAGTCAGGATAATGGCTTGAGGGGGTTATAGAAAAGCAACACATCATAGTCGAAAAATCGGCGAAGGAGCCGGCTCCAGAAACGACGATGGCGCTCCAATGGCCCAGTAGGCGCGCCAACGGCATTTTTGCGAGCCATGGCCCGCGAGTCGCCAGCATACTTGGGGGCTCCAAGGGGACGAGTGCATGCCCGGTCTCAGCTGACTTTCAAAAAATAAGCGCTAATGATGAGGGGAGGTGATGGTGCGCGACGGGTTACATGCAGGCCACAGACGGAAAATCATGGACCACTTTTTCCGGACGAAGCAAGGCCAAGACGACGTAAAAAATTTTCAACCCGGGAGAACCGGGGGCTCCTTCTCGTCAACACCGTCTCCAAAGCAACTCGAATTTCTTTTGGCCTTGCAGGCTTTATACCGCTCTGGCACAATCCAATGCAATTATATACGATTTCGGGGCTCAGCCACACCAAGAACATAAAATCACGCTACGCATATGCGCACGCATGGGTGGGTGCCGATGATGGCTTATCGATATGGTGTGCCCCACATGGCATTGCACTCGCTGTGTTTACATCCCCTCCTCCCCGTGTATACTTTCGGAAGCCTTTGCCAAGGAGTGGAGCACCGGATGGATCCTGAATGCGCTGCAATGGCTGGAAATAGGGATGACGATCTCCCCCACGGGCTGGCGTTGTCTGTGCATTATTGTGAAAATTAACGATCAGAGTGGCGATTGTCAGCAGTCACGTGGACAATGCCTTGTCAAGAGCTTGAGGTGCTATCATTTACTAGGACTAAGCGTTCGCCTACAAGAACACGCGCCGGCGACTTGTCTCCAGGTCGGCCTTATAGATCCACTCGTACTCGCCATTGAGCGGGTCATACAGGCCCTTCTGCAGCCACCTCAAGCGCAGCGTAAACCTGGGCCCGATCTCCTGCAGATCAACCCTCTTGCCGCTTCTAAACACATACCGGTGGCGGCGGAAGAAGATAAAGTCTCTCTGGTTGTGGAAGGTCACCGCCTGGCGACCCTGGAACTCGGGCACTTGCGGGAACAGCGCAGCAAACATCCGTCCGACAGTGTGGCCGAGGCGGGTCGTAAACTGGTTCAGAATCAGCTCTGGGTGGTGCGCCGTCGCGCGTGCATGGCCCGAGATCTCCTTGCCGCCCTTGATCCGCGTCAGCCGGAAATGTGCCGTCGGGCCCTCTGGCAAATGCACAATCGTCAGGTGCGTCGGCTCCTTGTGGTCCTCGGACACCACCATTAGGTCGGTGTAGTCGCGGTTGCGGCAAAACTGGATAATCTGCTGCAGCTCAAACTTCTTGCCGCGCTTGATGTACTCGAGATTCGGAATCACAGACAGCAGCTCCTTCACAAACGACACTGTCTTGCCACCGGCATTCGGCGTCGTCGTTATAAGCACCTTGGGCGTTTGTCCGCTAAAGTACTGTGCAAACTCGTCCTCTTCCTCGTCCTTCGCCACCTCCTCGTCGGCATCGGCTACAACAGCCTCATCAAACTCGCGAGTGTTCTCTTGCGTGGCAGGCACGTTCTCGCGCAGCCGCTTCTCGCGCAGCTCGGGGTTCTCCGCCTCCTCCCTCTTCATCTCCTTGCGCTTCTGCCGCTTCGCCTTGGCCTTCAGTGTCTTCTGTTTTCCGTAGATCTCTTCGCGCCGCGCCTTGTTCCGGACATCGGCGGGCCGAATGCTGGGCACTGAATTGTCAGGCATGGCTGCTTTCGAATTTGTGTGTACGATATGGAGTTTTGTCTGCTAAATAGAGAGAAAGAAAATTTTCGTGTGGGCAACCGCAGAAAAGTGCTGAGCAGAAAAAACCCAAACAAATCCAGTGATCTGATTGTGGTGATATTTCACCGACGTCCACGGCTGCCGCCAGCTCCGCCGAATCCGCCAAGACCAGGCATGCCGCCGCCGCCCATCATCTGCTTCATCATCTCCTGCATACCGCCCATGCCGCCGCCGCCGCCGCCGCCTCCCATCATCTGCTTCATCATGTCCTGCACGCCGCCCATACCGCCCATTTGCTGGATCATCTTCTGCATGCCGCCCATGCCGCCCATCTGCTTCAGCATATTCGGGTTCATGGCTGCAGCCGGATTCTTGGCCATCTGCTGCATCATGTTGGGGTTCATCTTGCTCAGCATGCCCTTTGGCCCGCCCATCCGCTTGATCATCTGGCCAAACTGCTGGTGCTGGTGCAGCATCGCCTGGATATCGACTAGCCGCACGCCCGAGCCGCGCGCCACGCGCCGCAGCCGCTTCTCGTCGGTAAACATCTTGCCGTCGCTGTTCAGCTCGTCTTCCGTCATCGAGTCGAATACACACATGTAGCTGCGCAGCCGGCGCGTGCTCTCCTCAGCATCCATGCCCGCCATCATCTCGGGCGTCATGCCGGGCATCATGCCCATGATTTTGCTCAGCGGGCCCATTTTCAGGATGTTTGTCAGCTGGTCACGCATGTCCTTGAGCGTGAACACACCCTTGACAATGTTCTTCATCATGTCCTCGTTCTTTTCCAGGTGCAGATCCTGCACGGTCTCCACCAGGCCGCTGAGGTCACCCATGCCCAGCATCTTGCTGACAAACGGCCGTGCCGAGAACCGATCCAGGTCGTGCATGTGCTCACCGGTTCCAATGAAAATAATCGGGCTGCTGGTCGCCGCCACCGCACTGATAGCACCTCCGCCCTTGGCGTGGCCATCCATCTTGGTGATAATAATCGACCCAATGTCCACCGACTCCTTGAAGGCGCGCGCCTGCGCATCGGCTGCCTGGCCGATAGTCCCGTCCATCACAAAGATCGTGTTGTCGGGCTGCACAGCCTGGGAAATCTGCACCATCTCGGCAAACAGCTCAGCCTCCTGCTTGTGCCGTCCGCTGGTATCGACAATGATAATGTCAAACTTGTCGGCCTTGAACTTGTCCACGCCCTCCCGCGCAATCTGCACTGGGTCCGCCTCAGTATAGCTTCCGTAGTACGGAATGTGCACGCGCGACGCATTCTGCTTCAGCTGATCGAATGCTCCCGCACGGAACGTATCGGCACACACAAGCCCCACCTTCATGCCCTTGCGCTTATAGTATGCCGCCAGCTTCGTACACGACGTTGTCTTTCCGCTTCCCTGCAGACCAACAAACATGATGACGTTCTGCTTGCCCTTGCGCGGCTTCCACGGCTCCACGCCTGGATCCACCAGACCGCACAGCTCGTCGAATACCGCCGTCTGGATTATCTTGCGCTTGTTGGCGCTCGATGCTAGCTCCTCGACATTTACCCGCTTCTTGACGTTCTGCCGCAGCTGCTGCACGAGCCTTACATTCACATCTGATTCGAGCAGCGCACCGCAGATGTCACGCAGCAGCGCATCCAGAGCCTTGTCGTCAATGACAGACTCCCGCGACAGCGCCTGCAGCGCGCCGTTGATACGCGCTCCGAGTTCGTTCAAAACCATGCTGTGGGATTAGAGTATATGTGGAACGATTTGGATAAAAGGTAATTGTGAATTGGCGAGAGCACACGGAGAAGAGAAAACTCGCTGCTCTTCAGCCAGCTTTCAGCGAAAAAAAACTAGGCAGCTGCTCCGAGTCACATGATTTATACGAGACATGTATTGATTGGACAAATGGTTGAGGGGGCTTTAGTAGCGCGCAGTGATGGCACCGTCGACCCACTTGCCGAGCGGCTTCTTTGAGAACTTGTCCTCCCAGTCGGCGTTGTCCTCGGTCTTGGAGATATCGTAGACGACGTTGCCGCGGACTATGGTCTGGTGGACCAATCCCTGGCACTCGCGCTCCTGGTACGGAGTGAGCTTGTTGCGGAAGTGCAGCTTGTCCTTGGTGATGCTGTTGGTCTCCTCGGGGTTCCAGACGACGAAATCAGCGTCCAGGCCGACAGCAATCTGGCCCTTGCGGTCCTTGAGACCCGAGTGGATAGCAGTGCGCTCCGAGATCAGCCGCACGACATCCTGGACCTTCAGGCCGCGACGCTGGCCCTCAGTCCACAACAGCGGCAGACCAATGCCAACCGAGGCGATGCCGCCCCAGGCCTTGACAAAGTCGCCCTCGACGGAGCCCTGCGAGATGTGGCCGCCGCAGCACGGGTGAAGCTTGAGATCGGGGGTGCAGGGCGAGTGGTCCGAGACAACAAAGTCAATGGTTCCGTCCAGGACTGCCTCCCAGAGTTTGTCGCGGTTCGCCTGGCTGCGGATGGGCGGACAGCACTTGTACTCGGTGCTCTTGGCCGGCACATCTTCGGCGCTGATGGTCAGGTAGTGGAAGCATGTCTCAACTGTCAGAGGCAGGCCCTCGGCCTTCGCGGCGCGGATCGCCGGCAGCGCATCGGCAGCCGACAGGTGGACGATGTGGCAGGGAACGTGGGGAGCAAACTCGCGGCACATCTTGATGACAAGATCAATGGCCTTGACCTCCATGTTGGGCGGGCGTGAGTCCAAGAAGGTCTTATACGCAGTCGGGTCCTGCTCCTCGTTGACAGTCGCGCCGGTCTCCATCTCGGCGTGGAACATGATCAGCCCGCTCTCCTTCTTGAGCTCGGTCATCGCCAAGGCGCAGCTGCTCCTCGTTGACTGGTGGGAACTCGGCAACGCCAGAATCGCACAGGAAGCATTTGAAGCCGCGGGCACCAGCCGCCAGCATCGGGACCAGGTCCTGGGCGTTGCCTGGAACAACCCCACCCCATGTGCCGACGTCAACCCACATGCCGTCCTTGAAGCTGTCGCGCTTCTGCTCGTATGCATCAACGGTGACGGTCGACGGAATGCAGTTCAGCGGCATGTCGACGATGGTCGTGACTCCACCGGCAGCGGCAGCATGCGAGGCGGTGACGACTCCCTCCCACTGCGTGCGGCCAGGGCTTGGTTGATGTGAACGTGGCCGTCGACGATTCCGGGCATCAGCAGCTTGTCGCCGGCGTCAAGGGTAGCACCAGTGGGCCTGTACTCGGCCTCGATGCGAGCCACCTTGCCCGCGCCATCGACGTAGATGGTGGCGGGGCCGACCTCGGATGTCGAGTTGAGAAGAACGCGCTTGCCGGTGAAAACAGTCTCCTGGCTCATGGTGTGCGATAATTTACTGAAGAAAGCGTGTAGAGTCGAATCGGCAGATGATGAGAAAAAAGGAGCCTCCTGTGGGAGAGAACAAGCAGACAGACGACTGCTCTTTTATAGCTGCTGGCACCCCGTCTTATCTCTACCAAAGAGTCTAGTAGGCGTCACCGAGACAGAATAGGGGAGGGGAACGACGGTACTATGCTCTAAGGATCACATAAAACATCCCGCACTAGTGGTTGAGACGGAAATAGCGGCGAATTTCCAAGATCTACTCTTTCTTTGCTCGCTTACTGCCCTTGCGCTCCATCCACAGCCGGTTGCGCACCTCAACCGGCTCGGCCCGCTTGCGTTGAAGCTATTGGCACGTACTTGCCCACATGCTTGACCTTCCCTCCGCCCAGGATAAAATCTGCTCCACCAGGCTTGGGCGCCGGCTTGTACTCGTTCCACGGCAGGCTCTGGCCATCGCCGACGGGGACCACAGCGTTCTGCACAATATCCAGTCAGGGCGCTGGCCATCACGGCCTGCGTGTTCAACTCACCCCACTGCCTCGACAGCTCGCGCGTCAGCACCGTCATATTGCCCATGTCCGTGCCGGGTGTCTTGACGCGGATCCACTGCACATCCTCCTCGTCATATGCGCAGTCAGCAAGCACCAGCGGCAAGTCAGACGCCATTTCGTACTCGGGCTTGCCATTAGTTGTCCTCAACGTCTAGCAGCGTATCGACAATACTCGGCTCCTCGAGCCCCTGACCGACCATCAGTAGGACCGCCATCATGCAGCGCACCTGATGCCACAGGAATGCCGTGCCACGCAGCTCCAGCTGCCACCAGCGCGACGCTGGGTTCTGCGAATCGCCCACGAGCGACACACGCTCTGGCACCGGCCGGATCGCAATGTCCATCACGGTGCGCTCAAAATTCTTTGATCTGTTTTGCCGGATCCAATCGGCAGAAATTACGGAAATCGTGCGATCCGAGGTACCGCTGGGCCGCATCCTGCATGCGCGCAATGTCCAGGCCCTTTTCGGTGAAAAAGTACCGGTAGAACCGCCACCGGCACGAGAAGCGCGCGTCAAATGTGGGGCTTACCGGCGACCACGCCAGGATCCGGATCTCTGCCGGCAGTATCTTGTTTAGCATGTTGATATACGGGAGCTCCTTGTCATCCGCCGGCAACCGCACGGGCCGCCTATCATTGCGATCGTCGCGGAACACATCATCGCCCTCAGCCTCCTCCTCAGTCAGGAATTTGCCAGCTGAGCGCACATACAAGGCGATGACCTGCCCAAACCCGCTGACACCACGGTCCGTGCGCCCGCACCTAGAGTAATCGCACTCGTCCTCACTGGCAATCAGCTTGCATCTGGCAAGCGCTTTAAACAGCTCTCCCTCAACCGTAGGGTACTCGTCCTCGATCTCGCGCTTCTCTGCATTCGCCAGTGCATTGCCCTGCCGCGCCAGCCCGTGATACGGGCCACCCAAAGTAGCTGAACTTGAAGGCAACTTTGCGCTGCGGGAAACTGTCAAAGTTGAACTTGTCTGCACGCCGCTGCTTCTTGGCTTTACGGACCAGCACGTGTTCTGGCTCCGTGGGCTGCTCGGCAGGTTGTTCGGCAGGTTGTTCGGCAGGTTGCTCAGCAGGCTGCTCCAGAGATCGGATCCTGGCAATCAGCGCGTCCTTGCTCCAGGAATCGTAGTCGGGCGTCTGCGACATTGTTGGTGGCCGGGTCGTGTATCTCTGTATTGAAATCCTGAATATCCCGTGTACACGCTGAACTCGTGCAAGCATGAACCAAGAAAATATAAAATGCCTCGACTATGCTAATCGACCATACCGCAGCCGGCCCCGTCTCTCACTCCCGATATCCTCCCAGCATCGCCAAAGGCAATATTTTGGGCTCTTCTCAACACATGCCCATTTTCGATCTTCGATGCATACAAACTGTCCATGTATTTTTAATGCCCTCAAAACCTTAGAACCCAGCCGGCGTTGTGCGCGGGATCGGCCGCTTTGTGAAGTGTGGCACTTTGTGCACTCCCTTCCGGTGGTTCTTGGCCGTCCGCGAGAACGTCGTGTACTTGTCGCGCGCCAGCATCTCCGCCTCCCGCGGCATGTCCTTGATCGCGTCCAGCTGCTTGCACTGCACGCCCGACGCCAGCAGCGTATCGACGACGCTGTCCACCTCGCGCAGGCGCTTGCGCACGTTGGCCTTGCGCGTCTTGCTCAGCCGCCAGGGAATCCGCCACGCACGGCCGCCGAGTGTCGCCATGGTGGGCTTGAACGCGCCTAGGAAGGAACCAAACATTCTTTGTATAGAGAGGGAGGGGCGATTATGAAATGAGAATTGCGCGAAATTGAAGAGCAGAAAACTGCAAAACTGCAAATTTACTGAAGATAAAAAGGCGCGTGATTTGATCACGATTTTGTTATTTGGCCCGCTTCCTGTTTGCTGCTGACACGATCGACTTTTTCAGCGGCGTAGCTAGCACGCCCGCCGCACAGACGGTCTGATCCAGCTCTGCACTGGTCAGCTGTCCGCCGAACTTGTTGACAAAATGGAGCATGCACACGCTCAACTTCCTTGACCTGCTGTTCGCCGGCACCACTACATGCAGCATCTCTGCCCATCGCGCACCTAGCCCGCAGCCTCCGGACACAGCGTCAGACGGTAGCGCACTGATTGCTGCCTCAGCAATTGTCCACAATGCATCGTTGTCGGCAAAGTCCCGCGAATTCTTCTTTGCCACTGCAACAACTTCGCCCAACACCCACATAACGGTCACCATAGGCATATCCACGGCTTTCAGCAGCTTTACTGCCAAGCCTGCTGCCGGCCCTGTCAATCTGCCCGGCTCTTCGATGAGCTTTGCAATCAGCCCCTGTGCAATGGTCATGGACTGTGTTGAGAGCATTGCGCTAAGCTGGCTGTGTACCACAGCTGGAATCACCTGCTGGCTGGAGAACCACTCGCTGGCAGCGGCACGCCCTAGCAAGTAATGTTGGTTCTCAAGGCTCACTGCTGAGTTTGATAGCACGGATTTGATGAACTGCGCAAGAGCTGGGCCACTGGCATTGTGCACGTCCAGACCAGCATCACATACCCGCCGCAGCGTTGCGTTCGGGAGCTGCCAGACACGTATTGCTGCATCATAGTCAGTGATCGCTGATAGCATCTCAATTGCCCAGCTGATATCCTCCATGTCGTCGCTTGCTTCAGACGACTGCGTTTCTGCCGCCTCCGGTGCTTTCTCCAGATGCTGCTGCTGTCGGACTAGCTGCAATGGCGTTGCTCGGCCAACAAATGGCGGATTGGTCAGAGGGCTGCTGAGCTGGACATCCGAGCATAGGGTGTACCTTGTTGTCTCCGAAGGATCGCGCGTTTCCTTGAGATACTGCACCACAGCACCCCATGGATCCGGATCGGTTTCTGCTACTGCACGATAGCTGGACATGACAAGCGACACTGTTGGAAAACACACCACCCGTGCATAACCCCGTCCTAGCATCCCCTGCGATATATTCGCTGCCTGCATTGTTCGACAGAAATGGTTCCATGGCCTTCTCACACCTCAGGGCTGACTTTTCGCAATGATTTATTCATTCGAGCAGGCCCTCTACAAGGAGGCACCCGCTGTTATAAAACAATAGTCTTTTGGGTGAAAAGTGCATTGCACACCACGAAAAGGGTGCTGACCACAGCCGTTCGAGCACGAGCAAACGTGCTCAGCGAGCCAAGCCAACGGGCGAAGTGATTAATTTACTTCGAGCGGGCACGCATCTTTCTGCGCTTGCGCTTCAGGCGTCTGGTACGCTTCTTCTTCCACTTGTCTCTCATCTACAAAAGGATACACGTGTTTAGATAAAAGGCCCATCCATGCATGCACGTATCCCGCTTGCTCCCCAAACCCGCGCCCGTCGTTGGTAGCCGCTCTTCCGTCAATGGATACGATCGATTCGCAGCCCAAAAATAAATGGCGATAGATTCGTACCTTTGTTGATTTTTAGGATGAAAAAGAGAATGAGAGAGATCAATCAGCTTCCCCGCGTCAGACTGCTCCTTTATAGATCCCATCACGTGTACTAATCTGCGGAGATTGGATTACCCACTGGCTGATCTGCCAATGGTCTGCTTTGTTGCTGTGCCTCGTTGGGTCAACAACGCCATGCTGTTCGGGGATCGTGAACCGCTGGATCCCTCCTAGAAGCGTGCAACAAAAAAACATATCTTTTGAGCGGGATCCCGCAGGCCTGGAGCCATGGCGGTGCTCTCTTGCCAATGCCAGCAAGATACGCTCGAACAGGGCGCTATATTAAAGCTATAGCGAGAACAAATGTATTTGCTACACATTTCACGCCTGCGACCTAAACACCATCGGTCTCAGTGGCGCTGCAAGGTCTGACCGCTGCTACTTCTGAAGGGCTGCCGTCTGGACTGGTGGGGCCCGTGCTGCTGCCTGTTGCTGCTGCTGCACTGCCGATCTAGGCCGTGCTCCGCCGCTGTGCGCTTGTGAAAGAAGCTCGCGCAGCCTCCTCACGTGTGCCTCATACTGTTCATACAGCCGTGCCTCCAGCAGACTGCTGGCTCTCCCTGAGCTGCCTCCAACACGACCACCATTGTGTCCGTCGCTGTTGCTGTAAATAAGCTCCAGTAGCTGGCGGTAGTTTTCTAGCGAGAACATGGCTCCATTGTCTGCGATATGCTTGAGAATTCCGTCTGCACCGAGGTTGTACAGCTCGTAGAACTTGAGCGCCCGATCCAGTCCGCCCTCTTCCGGCAGCGCAATGTTGGTCAGGTTCTGCTGCAGAGCCAGGATGTTGCGCGTCATCTTGCGACTTCCCGATTCGTTGTAGTGCCGGATATGCCGGATGTTCGTGATCAGCGTGTGTGCCATCAGGATCGAGATACCGCCAAACACCAGGTTTAGGCGGTCTGCTGGCAAGCAGCTCTCCATCTTCTCCTCGATCGTAGAAATGTCGGCGTTGAGTGACTGAATGTATGTGTCGGGCTCCATCGAGTTGGCAATCAAGGCCGATGCGTAGTCTCCCTCGCGCGTGGCAAGATCCAGATAATACGTACAGTGTGCGCGCACCTCGATACGCAGCACAATCAGACACTTGACCGACAGCCGGTGGTACTTGTCGACCAGCTCAGCCCGGTCAGCCTCGTGCTTCTTGAGCAGTGCCGCGGCCGTCGCCTTTTCGTGGTTCTTGGCCAAAACCTTGGCGCGGTCTTCCGAGATCTTGGTCAGCTGCATCAGCAGCCACTCGAGTGTCTGATGCAGCTGCGCAAGCGTCACCAGCCGCTTGACGTCAAAGATAAGCTCGTCAATGCTCAGCGACCGCTCTGTACGCAGGCTCTCCTCGAGCCGGATCTCGTTGTCCGTATCGACTGCCAGCTGTGACTTGTTCTGGGCACCAATAAGCTTGATTCGTCTGTCAAATAGCTGCAAAAAACTCGTCGGAATTTGCCCATTTGACGCTGGTGTACTCGGAATTCTTGTTGTGGACCGTCTCCAGGAACAGCCGATTGCAGCACTCGTAGAATCTGCCAGACATCTGCAGCAGAATATTCCAGTTCTCGCCGCGCAGAAGGTTCAGGCTGTTGAGCAGTCGGCTGAAGCTGCGGAACAGCGGCACCAGAACAGCAGCACTGCGGAATATCGGCCGCCCATTCCAGTGCGTATTCAAGTCGACCTGGAACGCATCGCTGGAGGTGGTGATCGCGTCAAACCTGCGCATTGCATGTGCTTCAGCACACGGCAAAAAAACGCTCTTGAAGAAAATATGCAAGTATTCCTCAGCCTCAGGCTCCTTGTTCGGGGACCCAGACCCAGGCACCTGCATCGACATGCGGTTCTGCGATGCCTGGTCGCCAGCAAGCATGCTGCGGCGCGCCATTGCTGCTGTCAGAGCCGTGGCCAGCATGGGCCGGATGCGTCGGGTGAACTGCAACGCCAGATTGAGCATCGTCGGCGCATGGTCTATGTTGGCAGGCACCAGCATCGTGTGCTGCAGCCCGTTCTGCTGGTCCGAGTACTCGTCCACAACTGTTGTGAGACCAATATCCTTACGCTTGCCAGCAATCGATACAGTCATATCCTGGAAGCGGCTTTCGATCTGCGCGTACATGGATTCAACTGCGCTCGCCATCTCGTCAGTGCTCTCCATATGGAACAGGTCCTTCATTCCTGACCGCATGCCGCTGGTACGCGTGATATCGACATTGCTCAGGGCCTGAGTATCGACTGGTACCAGATAGTCTTTAAGAATTGACAGGATCTCGGTTTTCATGGCACTCCACACATCCAAGATTGTGTACAGCCGCGTGCGCCGTGACCGATCGCCCAGCACGCCATTACTGGTACCTGGCGAAGAAACTATTGAATACCGTTCGCGGCGGTCCATGCTATGCATAACGTCAAGCACAAAGTCGTGGTACTCGAGTACAGTTTCAAGTCGGGCAAACAGTATGCGTGCAAAGTCAATCAAGATTTCGCGGTCCGTGTCCTGGCCCATGGTCTCCTCCTGGGACTGCTGCTGTTGCTGGTTGCTACTGCTGCTCGTCTTTGTAATCAGCGCCCTGTTGCGCTCTTCGACTTCGGCTACGATACCATCGATCAGACGAGACAATTCCAGGCTGACCGAGCTCTTGATCTCCTGCATTGCTTCGCTCGTGTTGTCGAGCGTAACCAGGCTCTCCAGAAGCATCTCGACGTATGCAAACGAGTCAGCCTCAGGGTTGTCCTCATCGCCGCTATCGTTGGCAGAATTGCCCTTGGCTGTGGCACCCTTTGCACGCCTGCCATCGCGTCTACCTGCCCTGCGTGGCTTTGCGCTACCGCTACCAGTATTGCTGCCGTCGACTGCTTCCTCAGAGCTCCCATCGTCCTCGCCCTCGGTACCCATCTTGCGCTCGCAGTATGGGCTCTTCAAGTAAATGTGGCTGTGCAGCTCATCGATAATAATCTGTAGCAAGTCTGCCTTCTCCTTCTCCAGCTGCTGACGCAGCCCAGCCAGCGCGTCAATCGGATTCAGTTCCGGGTCCAACACAAACTGCATATCTTGCACAAGTTTGCTGACAGCAGTCAAGAACTTCTTCTCGCGCACGTACCCTGCGATTTCCTCGGGCAACCTCTTGATCTCCTCCAGGCGATCCAGGATGGCTACAATCGACCCCAGTTGGTTGCTCTTGGTGTACAACTGGTCTAGGCTGCTGCGCTCCTCCGTAATCATGCGCCGTACTTTGTACAAGTTGTTCTTGACGTGGTTGACCGAGCCTGACGCGCCCTGGATCTTGTCGTGCAACCCGCTGAACGTCAGAATCGAGTTGTTGAACCCACCATAGTATTCATTCACAATGCCGTCCAAAGACTCATTCAAGAGCATGTGGTACTGCTGGAATTCGTCGTAGCTCTTTCCTAGCGAGCTTGAGTCCATCATCTCCAATGCAAGCGAGACCGGATTAAAGTCCTGGCGCTTCAGCCCCTCGAGGCTCCGAGGAAGTTGCCAAAATTGCATCTACGGAAAATGTGGATTGCCAATTAGTCTAGATGCCTGGAGAAAAGGCATTCACCCTGGGTGGTGTTCGAAAAGCACACGCTAGTGCTTGCAGACTTGTACCTTCTGCCTGGCGCAAGGCAAGCTCTTTGCGCTCCTCACTGGACGCTATTTCATCTTCAGGAAGTCGTCCAAACTGTGGTTGCTGCTGCTGCTGGAACCGCTGTCGATTAGATTGCTGGCGGTGCATTAGTGCAGAAAAAATATATTATATTTGTCTAAAAATGTGGAAAAGCGTAAAAGAACAAGTGACACGACACACCCAAGAATGCAGCGATTTTCGCTGCTGAAATGATGCTGGCCCCTTACCCTAGACACTAGACAGCCGGGTTTACCGCCTGAACCCGACATGCACTCGGGGAAGCAGTCAACCTTCGCCCAAGTAGAAGAAGTTATAGCGAGAGACTGCTATGATTACCTCACCGCCTTATGCTAACTCCGCCGCCTTTCACTGGATATAGTTGCCTCTTTAACGTAGATTTTGCAACTTGAACCTACAGAAGGAAATCTAGGTAGAGACGTTAGTACTGTTGCGCAGCCGGTGATGGCAATCATGGTGACACCATGTTAGTTGCCACATCAACCAACAGTGAGAGCGGCTCCCACGCTGAATTGATGAAGATATCCGGTGGAAGCCTGTGATTATTACAATCACAGCCTGCAGCTCTCGCTTCGCCGATGCGCCCAGATACCGCATAACGACGAAATCTTCAAAGAAGGTAGCGTGCGGCATCTATAGTTTTCTTTTCTCCCTTCTCTCGCCTCCCTTTTTCGTTAGCTTTGCAACTCCATATATCTGGAACCACATATAGCAAATAGTAATGGAACTATGTACCATATATATTTGCAATATTGGCACATCGCAACACTAGATATTTTGCCAAACATGGACATCAACTTGTTGGAATATTGTAAGCATTGATTGCTTCAATGTATATTCATTCAATTGTTTTCTTGCGTTCCTTGCCAAGATCGACATGCCTAATTGCTGAACAGAATATGACCAATATTCCACTAAATGCAACAAATACGTAAAACGCACTGTGCATGCTGTCAGCCCAAAGATGGATGATTCTTGACTGGATGTCGTGCGGAATAGTATCACTGTAAATGTTGCGCTGGTCTCCAAGAGTAGACGCTATATCTGACGCATGCGTAGGGAATTCGTTCACCAAGCTGGTGATACCTGTCTTGATGCGGCTGTCCAGGATCGAGGTTATAATACTGGTAGCCAGGATTCCACCCAGTGTTCGAATAAAGGAATATGATGTCGTCACTGTTGCCATGTGCTTGCCAGCAACACTAGCTTGACAGACAAGCCAGAGGTGGCTGAGACACGAAACCAACGCCGAGCCCAAGTAGAAATAGATAAACAATCCTTTCTCCAAAGCCAGTGCTCGCTTTGTACAGCAAAAGCAAGGACGCACCGGCTGCAGCAAGGACTGCACCAACACGAATCGGTATGAGGAATCGACCTGACCTGGCGATATAGATGCCGCACAGAGGCGATGCCAATACAACCCCAAGGGCCATAGGAAGAAGATGCAATCCACCTGACGTAGTTGACGCGTGCTTGATCGCGAGTTCCCAGGCAGGAATGTTATTAAGGGCCCCAAATGATACTCCACCTATGGCAAACACTGCCATTAAGGCTGAAAGGACATTGCGGTTTCCTAGAAGACGTACTGGGATGATTGGGTCAGCAACAAAGCGGTACTCGACATATCCAAACACAAGCAGTACGACAAATCCGCAAATGAGACACGCCAGGACCTGCGCCGATGTCCACTCGTACTGTTGGCCACCCCAAGACAGTCCAAGCAAAATAGGAACCATTCCAATGGTGAACAACACACAGCCGATAAAGTCAATGCGCTTGATTTTCTCCTTGAACGTTCCCTTGGTCTTTGGCAGCTTGAGCGTGAAGAAGATCAGGGCCATGGCAATGACACAGACTGGAATATTGATCCAGAACACGATTCGCCATGAAGCGTGCTCGACGATGCCGCCACCCATCACCGGTCCGACCACGGTGGCAATAGTGAATATTGCACTGAACACGCCAATGTAGTTGCCACGCTCCCGTTCGCTGAAAAGATCGCCTAATACAACCATCCCCAGACCAAGGATTCCACCACCGCCGACTCCTTGGATTGTGCGGCTGGCGATGAGCATGTTCATCGACTGCGATGCCCCGCAGAGAACGGAGCCAACCAAAAATATAGCGATACTGGTTAAAATAGTCTCAACGCGGCCAAGGATGTCGCTGATTTTGCCGATAATCGCCTGTACAATCGTCGACGATAGCATGTACGTGGTGATGATCCAGACAGCCTGGCCTAGCGCGTCAAAATCACTGGCAATTGGTACATAAATGCTGGCCATGATGGTTGCATCCAGAGCAGAAATAAAAAACAGCATGCCTATGCTAGCAATTGCGCAAAAAAGCTGCTTCTTGGAAAGCGTATATGAAGCCAAATCACCACCGGCTGCTTCGTTGGAAGCAACAGGACTACCACTGGCCACTTCACTAGAGTGACTCTCTGCACCTGCACCAGCCTCAAGCGCTTTCTCGGAAATAGGCTGCTCGTTGATATCTGGCACAGCTTCCATAGCGCCTGAATCCTGCACAGTGAGGGTCTCGTCGAGAGCGGTTTTAGTCCCGGTCTCGGTGACAGACATTATAGATTAGATAACAAACTTGTAGGGGTGAAGAGTAAGGCTAAGTGCCAAGTTTCTTTCTTTCCAGCTGATATGCTGGCATTCTGCCTCCATGCAGTACCCAAGGGGCTACACGTCCCATGTCCTGCTTATATCTTTTGTGTAGAGTGCCGAGGCCGAGAAACTTGAGTCCAACAGAAATGGCAAACAACCACACTATACAGCTCCTAACATTGTTCACTCGAATAACGATTACTATATTGTGCGGACATCCAACAGTCTGATTTCGCCACCAAACAAGTAAAATAGCACCCATGCAACAATGCTATATGCCGTTTTGTGGCGGTGGTTGCTTGGCCCATCCCTCTCCCTATTGTTGAAATGTTGACAACAGGGAATTAGCTGGCAGACATGCTAGTGCTCGCACAGGTTGAACCTTTGCTCAAAATACATGGAGGTAGCAGTCTCGTTGTTCGTCGAACGCTCGGCCATGAGTTTCAGGCGCTCTTCCCTGGCCTTTTCAAGCGACATGGGCCACTCAATGTGCTCGAACAAGCAGTCGTTGATTGTAAGAGGCAGGCTGCCAAATCGCGGGAGCTCGAACAGCTTCTCAGCCCACCAGTCCTGCTGCTGCGGGGGAACGACCTTGGCTGATGGGATCCTCGTGGACGGATCGATGAGGAAAAAGGCAAGGATCTTGCGGTCGCCAGGCTTCGACGGATCCCTGAGCTTGAAGCCAGAGACCTGGTGCTGGTAGATATTTGGGAAGCAAATGCAGCGACCGCTGAGAGCCTCAACGCTGCCAAGTTCTTGAGACAACATAGCAGCTAGATTGCCATCCACTTCAATGCCATATCCAAGCCTTATGCCACGCTTATCACCTTGCTCATAGTGAATCAACCTCTTGATGGACTGATGGAAGCTGAGCCTGCTCTCTGTGATATTGTTGACATCGTAGTAGTAGATTCCCGTGGCAACGATATGCTCGTTGGCCATGGCTTCAACATACCAGCTGCCTCCCTTGTACTCTGGCTTGTCTGGAGTCAGCATGATGTTCGACATCTTGACGATCACCTGAAGGCGACAACTACGGAAGCTGAAGGCGGGAATAGGACGGTCTGGCATTTTGAACTCCTCTGGAGGAGGCGGAATGAACTCCCTGGTTTCTAACCATCTTCTATACTCGTCGTCAATCCCAACCACACCACCTTCTCCTGAATCCACGCCATCGCTTTCGACCAAGTCTGGGTTTCCATCTTCTGAAAACAACGCATACAGGTCAGGTACAACGCGGCGGCCACGCATAAACGCAAGATCCGTAACCACGTTCTCAAACATGGGCACGAAACGCGCAAAGATGTTTGCAATAGTCGGATACAGCTTTGCATGCCTCACAGGATGGAGGTTGTTGATGTACGACTCGACTTCGACCGAGCCATCGTCGCGAACATGGAACTCACTAGGGAGCCAGCAGTACTGCCTCGACAAATAATCACCGTCAACTGGAACGTTGCCCATGCCTGAGTGCCGTTTCCTTGCGCCGCTCATGAACACCGCACAGCCGACACTTGATAGTCAGCGGTTCCGGGGCGGCAGCTGGCGAGGCGATGGGCTGGTACAGGAAAGATCCGTCGTAAAAGAGCGGGTACAGCGACGGGTGGATGAGGTTCAGCACCTGCTCGTTCGTGTTCGGGTGCCAGTCCTTCAGCTTTGCAGGAATATCCTCCAAGATAGCCGCATATTCGCGCAGCTCTTGTGCCAGGGCGTTGTCAATAAGGGAGTCAGAAGCCCAGACCATGTCGACGCCACTGACCTCGATACCAGTCTCTGGGTCACGCAGCTTGGCGTAGTAGTCGAGTTCTTCCGAACATACTTGGTTTCTAGATCAGTCAGACCCTGGCTTTTGGTCTCGGTAGTCCATTTCTGGCGAATCGCACCGTCCTGCATCTTGACGGTCCAGCCTGGCTTGGCCCTGATAGCACCGCTCATTGCGACCATACGCATCTCCATTACCGTGCGCATTTCAGTGTCCACTTTGGCGTACACAGCACCGCCGCCAAGCTTCTTACGAAGACATTTTAATAGTGTATTGATACTCATTGGAGGAGCAAAGGAGTAGAAAGACGGAGTCCAGCGGAAGAAAAGAAGACAGTAAATGACTGGGCTTTGTCGTGCTTGTTTCTGAGTGATGGTCAAAGGGCATTTTATAGTCATTTTCATGGCAGATTATCCGCAGCCATTTCGCGCGGGTTCTGCGGCTTCAGCCGAGTTGCACATCCAGATCATCCATTTGGATTTACAGGAACCGAAAGCGGTGCTTCTGAGCATTCGAATACTTATTCAGCAGACAAGGACCTCCACCAGCAGACTGACACCGTCGCTTTGTACGTCGCTGATCTGAATGGACTGTGTGCCCATGCTATGCAACTGAATGGTGCTCTCTTCGTCCCCATGATGCTGCGCAGCAACGTCCTTGTAATATTGAACTCTGAGATGAAAGTAGATAGAGCTTTTTAAACTGTCCACAGAAATATACATGTCTTCAGGTTTACTCTCAGTACCATTTCGTGGATACTCCGGATGTTAGATCCAATCCTATGCTAGATATTCTCCATATATCTCCATGATCCACTAGATATTATTTGAGAATTAATGAATAGACCTATATCAAATACCCAGCTAGGCGTACTCACTATAATAATGTCGACAAAACAAATATATTCAAGTTAAAAGTATGGAGCAGGAGCTACTATATCCACCGGCACACGCATAAATTTGTGCTAGAATCCAGGTCCCAATTAGGTCAGAGAGACGAAGGAGGAAAGCACCAGGAGGACAAGCACGGATCTCATGTTAAGACGAGAGCCAGCATTAGCCTTGCTCTCAGTCACAGTGGTGGCCACAGTCACAGTGGCACCTTCAGTCTTGGGTGTGACATAAGTGGAAGAAGTGCCTGTAGTGGGGGAGCTGTCTCCGGAGGAAGCACTGATCCTAGTCGACAAGCTGCCCTCAGCCAGGGAACTGCCCTTGGGTGAGGAAAACTCCCCGGTGCGAGAATACTGAATAATGGCATTCTTCAGGTTTTCGATATCCTCGCGGGCGGGGTGGTTCCCGGGGCAGTTGAAGTCGCGGCAGTCGCTGCCATTGCAGCACGTGAAGGTGTCGAAATTCTTGTTACAATCAATGTTGATATTGTTGACGTTCTTCCAAAGCAGATCAACCATGCCATCGTGCGCCATGAAGAAGGCAGAGTACTGGCCATTGGCACGTCCGGGCTTGCAGGAAACCATGATTTCGTCTTCGATAGACTTGCTGCTGGTAGGGGGTTTAGAAATATTGTCCAAGAAGTGGATAAAGCTGTGGCGAGCTGTGTTGCTTTGGTAATGTGGTAAGACCAAGATGGTGGGTGGGCTCTGCCTGCTTTATACTGAAGTCGGTCTTTAAAAGAAATGTTTTTTTGACCTACTAGCCACACCCTGGCAGGGTGCCCACACAGACCACAGTGAATGCGGAAACCCTGAGAGGTAGAAGGAAAAATCGCCGTCCTTGCCAAAAATAAATTATCGCCAAGGTGGGCTTTAGAAAAAGCGAACATTCCAGTAATCTCACTTAGTGAGATATGCAGAAAAGCGAAGGGCCTGCTTGAGTAAGATATCCCCAACAGGAAGCTCTATGGCCACCTGTCTGAGCTGCTATGTGTAGTGTGGTTTGAAAATCAGTCTTGGCTGAGATTCTTTAGATCTCAAGACAAGAGCTCGCGGGGGTTATATTTTTGGGTAGATTCATTCATAATTCATCAAGGACTGTGCATTTGCGGACTACCGAGACTGCTACACTGGTGTTGCCATGGGGAGGTGTTCTATAGGCAATGCATCGGCTGACTTGGCATGCAGATTGCTTGCAGAACTGACTGCTCGAAATTGCCGCCGCAGTTACATTCTGGCCGTTCATGGCAGTATCCTAGCTCCACATGTCAGTACCAGATCCATAGCTGGGTGATGAAATAAAGTTATACTGAGGATATGTTGATGAGCTTTGGATATAACATTGCTGCTCAAAGGACAGTGGTTTCAGGTAATAGTATTATTAGCGATAGTAATGTATGTAGGCGGTGTTTGCAGCCCAATGGTCACCAAATAAACTGCGTACATGTAATAAAAACGAACAATGCTGATAGATATGAGTGTCATAGGTAAATATTTAATAGCGACTTGGTTGGAAATGGCGGCTACTGGTTTTCAAGTAAATCCGGTTACTGACTACTGGCAATACGCTTATTGAGCTCACCATGCAAACGGTATACAAAGCGAATTGGTTGATCGATGAGTATTTCTACCTTGGCTATATTAGGCATCCTGTCCATGATATAATCGCAGACGGCATCCTCATAGCTGTATTCCCGGTCATACAACCTATAGTAGAAGCTCCCGGTAAAGGCAATGCTTTCTACACTAGTCCATTGGCCACTATCAAACCCCTGGTTCTGTAGAGTCTCGTGGAAGTAGAACAGCATGGTTAGTTGGACACCAACAACATACATTGCCTTTGCATTGCTGCACATGCCCGAGGACGTGATAAAGGGAATGTTGGATGCCCATTGGTATTTCTGGTGGGCCTCTTCGGTGGCTCGCTCGTTGGGCTTGGTTCTGCTCTGGACGATAATGGTCTGGGAAAGAGGGTGTTTCAGGACATCCATCCATAGGCGGCATACGCAGGCATAGTTAAGGAGTTCGTGGTACTTGAAAATGGTGAGCTCGTCAGTCATCACTTGGTTGGCGAGTATGCCTAGTACACGGTATATGATATTGCCGTTTTCCAGTGTGTTAGCATTAGAGATGCTTTGGGCCATGGAGAGATACAAAAAATACAATTGTGTGGGGCTAGTGTTGGTGGGAGTAGATTCGTGTAGTCATGGCTAGTTTTTTCTCAGCGCTCTCGAATATCGATGCATTATGAGATGCAAGTTGCATCACAATGCAAATTGTGATCAGCGTCGATAAGAAATGGAGCATCCTTACATATGGATCAAAAATTGTAGCCCATTACTGGATTGATGCTGATATCAGGTATAAATGAACATTACTACATACAAAGTCAGCAAAGCACCTGTTTTTTTTAACAATGTCGAAATCGCCAATTGACCGTGCACCGCCATGCCAGATGCCACTCATAGCCACTGACTGGCTGTACACGAACGAAGGCAACGAAAACATGGTGTTTGCATACACTGGTACCGACGAAACACTGCGCGGATGGCTACTGCGGTTGACAAAAAGCCCCGTAGGCAAGTGCACCGACATGCCTGAGCACCAGCAGCTCCACTACAAGCAAGATAGCATCGGGTACACAAGGCAGGTAATCGGCAGTTTGATCGGCAGCGAGTATATTCTCCCGCAGCGTCTAGTATCGGTAACCAAGGAGTTCATAACGGCGCTGGGAGGGCTGGCGGAGGACTCACGGCCTAGCCACCGCAAACACCGGCAGATCGATGCAGGGCAGCGCATTGCAGTAGTTACACCAAACATGATCGGACCCGGCATACTTACAGTGGAGGTGAAGCCCAAATGGGGGTATTTGCCTGACGCCGAGCAGATTTCGGCGGCGACGCAGGTAAAACGCACAGTTTGCCGGTACTGCATGCACCAGCGGCTGAAGCACACAGAGCGCATTAGCGGGTTCTGCCCACTGGACCTGTATTCAACCGACCAGCAGCGCGTACTGCAGGCGCTCAGGCATCTAGCCGAGTCACCACAAAACAACCTGCGTGTGTTCGCCGATGGCCGGCAAATCGAGCTTTCCAACGGCAAAACAGTCGACTGGAAAAAGACTAGCAAGGAGATAGCGCGGGTTTTGGAGCACGAGGGGCTTCTTTTGCGGCTCAAGCAGCTGCAGCAGAGGCTGGACCGGTTCGACATTGAGGGCGTGTTTCCGATGTACCAGCGAGCACAAAGCGATGGCATATTTGTGAGCGGGCAGCCGGACATTGGCGACTGGGTTGAGGCAGAGCGGCGGTTTTTGGCACGTGCGGATGCCGACGTGTGTTCGGACAAACAGGCAGTTCTGGAGTTCCTGCTGGCAACGACGCTGAAGGACATTTCGGTTCTGATCCAGCTGGCTTCATCGGATGCTGCTGCAGACCAGCCCGGGGCAGGCGCTGTGCCGTGGAAGACGGCTTCTGTTGCTGGACAGCACGTGCGGTACCGCATGGTGATCATCGACGCCGACCCAAAGAAGCTCTCCAAGCTGCCCGATTACCTGGCAAAGGACCAGGAGATTGTGTTAAATTACCTGCAAGTAGGTGAGGACAGAAGATGCGTTGAATAAAAGAAGAATAACTGTTAAAGTGTGTCTACGCGAGCCTGCGACGCGGGCCGCGGGTTGGCCGGCAACGGCGGCGGCAAACGTGCCGGAGCCAGACTCGTATCCTGAGTGCTGGTGGTAGCGCTGGACGACGACCGGTCGCGACGGATAGCCTTTGTCATTTCGTACTTCATCTGGCTGGCCCTCAGCTCCAGCTGCTGGTCGACAAAGGCCGCTGCGTCCTTATCGTAGCGCAGCCGCAGCAGCCGCAGAATCACGTCGCTCTTGTCAGTGACCAGCATGTTCTGGCGACGCAGCTTGTTGGCAGTGGCGGCGTTGCGGTGGGCCCAAACGGAGCGGGTGCGCGCCAGGGTGGGCGTGGCGGGGCTGGGGAATACAGGCGTGCGGACCTCCTCGGTGTGCGAGGGGGTCGAGAGGTTCTCGCTGGACGAGTCGAAGCCGGTGGTGTAGCCGCTGAAGCGCGGGCGCGTCAGGTTATCGGTGTTGAGCGGATGCAGGCCCTGCTGCGTGGGGATAGGCGGCAGTGGCCGCTCGTACCGCGACAGGTCATCGAGTGTCGGTTGGGCGTTCAGCGCCGGCAGAGGTGGCTCGGCGGCTGGCTCGGCAGCCTGGGCGGCCTGGGCACGCTCAGTGGATGCAGTGCGGGCGGTGGCAATGGCCGAGGCATGCAGCTCATGCATGTACTCCTCCATCAGCTCCTTGGTGGTCATAAAGTACATGTCGCGGACGACCTTGAGCTCGCGGAACTTGCGGCTCGTCAGGATTTCTTCAGAGATGCCGTCGTGGTCGTCACCCCCTTCAAAGTACCACTTTAGGAATTGCAGGCAGTCGAAGACGTTGTTGACGTCGGACTCGGTCAGCGGCTTGGCCAGGCCCTTGGCGCGGCCATGCAGTGGTGGCAACAGGATGTCTTCGAAGGCATTGAGGATCTCCTTCCAGACACGGGCAATCACGCCGTTGGCGGTGTCCACGTTGAGATCAAAGAACAGCACATGCAGGTTCTCCTCGAGATAGTCGATCAGCGGCAGCAGCGCCTCGTGGCAGCTCTCTTGGGTCACGCGTACGGTGGCGGGGCCGCTGTCGGACAGCTTCAGGAACTGGATGGAGCGCTCAATGGCCGACACGTTGCTGGCCAGGCGCGTGTGGCGGAAGCGCGGCTTCTGGACGACCAGAATCTGCCGCAGGTAGTCGCGCACGTACACCGCCAGCTGCTCGACGATGCGCTGCTGCAGGTCAGCCAGCGTGTGCTCGAGGCAGCGGAACATGCGGCCGCTGTAAAAGTCGACGTCGTCGCGCTCGCCATCAACGGTGACGCGCATCAGCAGGTGCCCAGCGGGCTCAAGGTCTAGCATAACGTCCTGTGTGCCCTCAGTCTGGCCAGCCATCTGCGGCGACAGCACAAAGTACCCGCGGCAGTGCACCTTCTCCTTGTGGCCCAGCCGCTTGGGGCCGTCACGTGTACATACCCGCACCTCAACAGGCGTAGCTTGCGGGGTGCTGGTGGCCGGCAATGCCACGTCGAACGACTGGTTCCACCGCGGATTCATGGAGTTCAGTGCTACTGCGCGCGTCTTGCCGATTTTCTCGCGGTGGACTGAGCCGTCGTCGGCCTGCGACGCAATGCTCAGCTTGATGTACGGCTGCGCACTGGTATCCACCTGCACGTCGTGTGCACGCCGGTACAGCTCAAGGTTCTCCCCATGGACTACTTTGAGCGAGAACAGGAATCCGCTGGGTGCCGACGCCGTCAGTGACGGCCGCGTCTCGCCGCCCAGCGCGTCTGTCAGCTTGCGGATCTCCAGCTCGTCGTACAGCTCGTGCAGCCGGTCCATTGCCACTGCAAGATTGTTGAGCTTGACGCACGCGTCGCTGCCCACCTGCAGCCCGGTGGCCTGGTCGAGCCGAGCTGCCGCTGCCTGCACCGCCGGGGCCACCGCCAGCGACTGCTCGCGGTATTTGCGGTTTAGCCGTACCCCGCCGAATCCATCGGAGCGGCTGCCCGGCCGGTCCTCGGCTGACAGGCTCAGGCTGACCAGGAATTGCTTGACCATTTCGTCGGCGTATGTCTCAAAGCACTGGCACAGCGTTTTCATGAAGTGCGTCAGGAACCGCGCTTCTGCCTCAATGTCGGGCCAGGCAATGCGGCGGATCGTACCCACTTGCTGCGAAAAACACGTGATCAGATCGATGACGGATGTCGAATGCCGCGGTGCAGGCTCGCTGCCAGCTGGAGTCTCAATGACCTTGTCCATGGCCAGTGCGTTGCGCACCCAGCCGTCCGACTCGGTGGCCAGCTGGCTGAGCCACAGTGCCGTTGCTTCATCAAAAAGGCGCTGCGTGTCGATGCCCTCGAGCGCGCGGTCCGAGTAGCGGCTGTGGATTTTGGCCATGCGCTGCAGCAGCCCAAACAGAGCCAGCGCAGCTTCGATGTTGGCATTCTCAGTGCAGTACCCGGCATGCTCAAGGTGTTGCATCAGATCAGTGTAGAAATACTCGATCTGGAGTTCGCCAACGATCCCGGCAATGTCGAACCGCCGATCGCCGTCGCACAAGAGCGGCTCGGTGAAGATACTCCGGCAGTTTTCGTAGTCGCCGAGCACAAGCTCGCCCAGGAACTCATAGCTCTCGAGCTTTGCTGGACCCGACGGTTCAATGCCAAAGTACCGGTCCTTGAGGCAGCTGTAGCGGTACTGGATTGATCCCTCCAGCATGCCGATGACCTCATCGCGCCGCCCGGGGATGTTGGGCATGGGCTGGTTGGGGACTACCGGGCACGTGACGTCGTTAATGACCAGACAGCGCAGCGTGCGCTTCAAGACCGCATTGTGGTCGGGCCGCTGCTGGTCCAGCTCCTCGATGACGTCCTCGACACACCCAAGCGTGTGGAACTCTATGGCCTTTTCGATGTTCAGCAGATACGTGTAATGCGAGATCGGCCACTCGTGCGGCTTGATCATGTGGATGATGCGTTCAACCTTGCCAAACGCGTCCAGCAGGTACGCAGCCGGCAGGATGCCCTCGATGTAGTAGTCCTTGACTACATCCAGGTAGCAGGCCGTGCGGTAGGGGACACTGATACGCCATGCGATCATGCACTGTTTGAGCAGGTCCTCGCCCGCCATCGACAGCGGCAGAGTTGTTTTTGGGTCTGCAGTGTCGAGATTGCCGATAATGTCGTGCACCACAGCGCGCTGCACCAGCATGCGATAGTGTGATGCCGCACTGGCTGGAATGTACTCAAACGCCGAGTCGGCGTCGACTGCGCCGGCGAGCTCGCTGGCTGGTGGCCGCATGGGCTGCGCTCCCAGCTTGCCGCCAGCAATGAAGTTTTGTTTGAGGGAGCTGGTGATGATCAGCTGCTCCAGCGATGTGATCTCGCGCTGCTTCCAGCATTCGTACGCCTGCCGCGAGGCAAAGTCCGCAGGTGTGCCCACAAAGCTCTGGTCCTGCTTGACTACTGCCAAGCACGCCCGCAGATCGCTCACCGCCTTCTAGAAACAAAGGAGCAAAAAATCACATTGAGTTGTACGTAGGTCAGAGAATGTCCCGCGTGCATTGGCTCTGTACTGCAACTTACCTCCTGTGTCACCACTCGCCGCAGTTCAGTCATGATCGAGTTGTGCTCATGATCCGGCACTTGGAACACGCTCTTCAGCCATGCGCAGATCGACTTGTCTGACTGCGAGCTGTCCAGCGTCGATGTGCCGCTGACCGTTGACGGTGCATCTGACTGTGCCCGCAGCCGGGTTCCGCCGCCCGTCTGCAGCACCGGTGAGTTGCCCTCGCTGAAGTCGTCCAATTTGAGAAGCGCCAGCCCAGCCTCGCGCGATGCCTGGGCCTTCTTCTGCAGCACCGTCCTGAGCAGCTTGACAAACTTGTCCGCCTGGCTGCGCACGGTACGCGCAACATCCGCGTCATTGACGATGCCCTGCGCATGGCACCGCTTGCGGGCAATGTCCGAAAACATTATCACTAGGTCCTCAACCGTGCCGCGCTCGCCCAGTGCCTCGCTGTGGGCACGGCTCTTCAGGTGCACATGCAGGTCTGCGTAGCAGCCGGCGGTAAACGGATGAACCGACGACTCGCTTGCTGACGTCTTCGCCTGCCGCGCCACCGCCCGCACAATCCCGCTGGTGAGCCGCCCTGCATTGGGGCCCTCGTTTGCATGCGAGCCGCCCACCAGCCCAGTCAGCTTGCCCAGCGCCTTGAGCCGGCCGCCGCCATTCGCCTCCTTCAGCATGCGCGACGCATTGTCACCGAAATCGAACAAACTGGAGCGCCAGTTCTTGTACTTTCTGCCTGCCTGAATGTGCGGCCCCAGGTCCCCCGGCTCGCCATTCTGTGGGCGCACCAGCGTCGGCGTGCGATTGTTCAGGTTTGGTGTCCCGCTGGCCACCCCCACCGTCCGCACTGCAAACTGCGTTCCACCACTCACTGTATGCGCTCCCGACGCATGCACTGCCCGCGCTGTCCCCGAGCTGACACTCGCTGAGCGTACCCGCAGCTGCTCGTTCTCGGCGTCCAGCAGAATTGCATACCGCAGCGCGTACTGGTATGTGATGCGCTCGTCGATTCCTGCTGGCGCATTCAGGCTGCGCATGCTGTATGTGCTGAGGTTTGTGCTGGAGAACTGGGTTCCTAGGTTGGGTGCCGCGCTGGACGCCGCTGTGCTCTGCCGTGTCATCACTGCCGGTCCGTCAAGAGAGGCAGCCGATCCGTAGAGGCTGTCGTGCCGGATGGCCTGGAGGTTGCGCTGGAAGTCTACTGCTGTGGGCAGTGCTGAGAGGTCCTGCGGGCCGCCGTGCAGTGATGCACCCGACCCACCGTACTGGTCTGTGTATTCGCTCGTGTGCTGCTGGTTCATACAAAGAATACAGAAAAATAGGGCTTTAAAAAATGGAAAAAGAACAGAGGTTGCTCGTGTCAAGATGCACCTCAGTGGTGTTCCTTTTCTGGGTCCTCGGTTAAAAATAGCTCAGGGAAAGGAAGCTAAATAGATAAACGGAACGCCAAGGTTTTTTGTTTATGAAATGGAGCAAAGCAAGAAAGAGAAAGAACTTTAGACCGCTTCGTCTGGGCGAGCACATATAATCCCCCACCCCCACACAGGACGCATGCTGGACGGAAGGGATTCACATCTGTTGTGCTCAAGCTGTACCAAGATCGTCGCTGCTTCTGGATGTCAGCAAGGTTCTTAAACCCCTCCCGAGTGTTCTTGGTACAAACCATTCAGAGACAATTGTAACCTGCCAAAACTCACCCACCTGCGCCCGACTATTCCCATGCTAGCGGCAATCGGTGGTCATGCGCAATACATGTTTTCCGACAGCATGCACGCTACAAGCGGAGCAGATGATGCTTTTCTTGTGTTGTTTTGACATTGCTGATGCTCTCCCTAAACCTAATTACAAATGACGACATTGCCTGCGGGCCCATGCCAGGCGGCACGTCGCCGTAGTCGTGTTGCACTGTCAGCTCCGGCCTTTCTACTCCTGAGCAGGCTGGTGTGTACAATGCGGTTTCTTCCAAAACAAGCAGTCGCCAGGAGCTTTCTCCCCACATCTGGAACTGTGGCGAGTGAAAAAAATCAACGGGATATCCGGCTCCCAGCTCAAGCTCCTCCCGATGACTCGGCTCATCGCTCGTTTTTCACCACCTCTTCATTATCTTAAGCATTCCGACACTCTTGCTCTCCAATTCGACACACTTTTTACTACACAATTATGAAGATTGACAAAATTCTCTCAGCGCTCGAGTCTGGCCTAGGAGCAACCCGCTTGTCGCCCAACATCTCCGGCCTGACACTGACTCTCTCGCAGCGCACACGTGCCTCAGGCGCCCGCCACTTCTGGCGCGAGCACCTGCGGCGGATCCAGTTCGCCAACCCCGCCCTGCCGATCACAGTGAACTACCCGCGCGAGCCATGCCCGCCAAAACTCGACATCCAGTTCGCCAACGCCAGCGTTGAGACAATCAGCGTCTCGGGCATGAAATCGGAAGACATCTGCAAAAGGCTGCTTGAGAAGAGCGTCTGACAGTTTTTTAGTTTCAAAATAAAATTTTCCCTACTGTGTTGTGCTGATCAGCTCTTGCGCCAGAGCCTCGAATTCGGGCTGCTGCTGCCGGAGACTGCGGATCGCTGCCACCGGGTCGGGGTCGGAGAGCGCTGCTGCGATTAGCGTCCGCAGATTCGGGTTCTGCAGCTGCTCTTTGAGGTGGATCGAGGACGAGAGCTTCTGCAGGTCGGCTAGCTTGAGCCGGTGCTTTTCCTCCTCTTCCTCGTTGTCTATCTCGGGGATGTTGGCGGATACCTGCGGCTTGGGCGTCGGCTTGGGCGGCTCGGGTGCGGGTACTGCGCATGGCTCGCTCTTGTGGATCTTGAAGCATTTGACTGAACAGTACCCGGCCAAGCACTTTGGGCACTTGTACTTAGACGCCGCGTCGTGGCAGACTGTGCACTGCGCCATGCTACTCTTCGGTTATGAGAATGAAAATAAAAGTGGACAAGGTCCAGAATCGGTCTCGTAGCGGTTTGGTAATACGCATGTCTGCGAAACCTGCATTAAAATGGGCTTTCATAGCCAAGAAAGAGCCCAGAACCCATTTATGCAGCGTCTGTGCGTACCCAGCAAAACAAAAAACAAAACAAGCAAATACCGCCCACGCCCGCTCACATCATTCGGCCCTTCACACATCTGCCAATAATGCGTGCTCTGAAATCCTACAACTTCCAATTCTCCAACCTACGCGTGCCACACCCGAGCCTGGACTTCCTACGCTTTACGCGTGCGGAGGAACCCGCCGACGACACAAACTTCACCGCCATCGTGTCGACACCGATAACCATCGACCTGTCGGTCTTCCATGGCTACCTGCACGGCTCCTCGATCGCCGAACTCGTCGCCACCCTGCAGACCGAGCCTGACATGCAAGGGGCCCCGACCTCCGCCATTGCCGAGTACGTCAAAGGCCAGATGTACCTGTTCCAGCACATCGAATATTTCCTGCACCGACCGCGGTACTTTCTGGAGCAGCAGCACATGTTGCCGCTCAGCATGCAAGCCAGGACGTCGCTGATCGAGCGCTACTATATGTTTGACGAGCCCGTGATGCTCGAGCTGCTGGGGCGCAAGCTGACGTCGCGCACGCGCACTGCATTGCCGGAGGTCGCAGCGCGCGCAAACATTGCCGTGGCCAGCTGCCGCAGGCAGTTCGAGAATGCAAAGCGCATCGCCAAGCAGGTGGAGGACGTCGAGGGCGTGTCGCTGGCAACCGAGATCATGCAAAAGTTCGCCCTGCCCGAGGAGCTGGCGAACCAGTACACGCATATTCTGTTTCTCACCATCAACCGCATTGACACTACCAAGCGCTGTTTGGCCCACTTTTCCTTCAGTGACTTTGACTTTTGCGCTTGCACCATTATCGAGCTCTGGACATCGCCCGCCAGCACCATGACATTGGATAGCATTGACGCTGATCTGACTGCGGCTGCCCAGCAGTTGAAGGGAATGCTTGTTGATGACCGCGAGCGATTCGATGCGTTGTTCGCCAGTCTCCGCCAGGCCATCCAGACGCCGGGCCAGCCGCTAGTGGCCATTCTAGAGAACCGAAATGGCAAGGGCCTTGCGCAGGTGCGCGCGGTTATGCGGTCCTCGTTTGCCATTGTCGCCGGCCTGGCTACAACGTCGACTCTGCGTAATGTCCTGGGGCTCATTGTCGAAAAGATTGTCGATGCATTCGTCGCCCTGGGGCTACGCTCGGAGGATATGGTGGTCATGTACAATGCGTTTGTCATGCAGGCAACGCGGCTCCTCGGCGAACAGCATGGCCAGGATACGGCAGCGCTGGTCAATGCGCTTGAGAGATCTCTGACAGGCATCAGGCTGCTTGGCTGCCGCCTGTTCCGATACAAGCCCAGCCTGTTTGACCAGCTCAACAAGATCCGGCCCACATAGCGCGCTGCTGTCTTATATGTAAAATCTTAATTTTTTTAGTTGCGAGATATAGAAAAAAGCTTGTGGAAAAGGGAGAAGTGAGCCCGTGGACATGCGAATGATGCTTCGTAATTTTAGATAACACCGTACTGGACTGGGATCAGGGCCACAGACTCCGAATAGTCCACCTGCTGGCCGTCGGGCGTCGCGATTCCAGTGATGTCGAGGTCATAGTACGACTTGCTGCATGCAAACGAGATCATGACCGGGAAGAAAGCTCCGGCATCGTCGCCAGGCACACTAAAGTCCAGACTGCCATCCTTGTTGCTGGCGTCAACAGTTGGGATCTGCCAGTCGAGCGTGCTGCGGGCATGGTTCACGCTGTACAGCCCATCGACCTCGCCCACCGTCGGCTGCGCGCCGTGCGGGATTGGGATCGACACCACAACATCGTCCAGCACCAGCCGCTCGTTTGTCAGCTCATATTCAATGTTCACATCAATTGAGCCGTTGCCGTTAGGCGTCGGCCAGCAGTTGATCGTGAACGGCACCGCGTCCTCGTCACCCGAGACGATGCGCCACTTGAGCACGCCAATGGGCTGGCCCAGTGGGAACGAGCCGTTGGCGTCGCGCAGCGCAATCACCGACTCGGCGTGGAACTTCTTCTTGTCGATCTTGGGGTGCGTCTTGACCTGCGCGTTGTGCGTGTCGTTCGACAGCAAGCCCAGCTGCACGTTCGCATACGCTTCATCGTTGACCACCAATGACAGATCACCCTTGACCTCCATCTGCTCCAGCCCACCGTCCCGATTAACGATAGCTGTGATATGCTCCTCGACCTGCACATGCACGCCCTTCATGTCGATAGCAGGCAGCGGTGCAGCAGCGGCAGCGGGAGCCGTCGCAGGAACCTCTTCGGTGATCGACAGGTCCTGCTGGAACTGCTGCACAAGATCAACTTCATTCTTCATGGCACCCATGATGTCGGCACCCTTGGGCTTGCGACCCAGCCTCATGCCGCGTGCGGTTGATGTGAATGCCGACGTGGATGCTGCCGGTGCCGTGTTCTGTGCGAACGATTGACGCACGGGCTCCGGCTCCTGCGACAGCAGCGGCTCGTAGCTGCCGCCCATCCGGCCACCGCCGCTGCCTATCATCGAACCGCTGGAGCCCGACCCAATGCCTCCCAGGCTCGGGTTGCCCATGCCGCGCTTAGCCGCCTCCCGGCGCTGCTGATCAAACATCTTGGCTTTCCGCTTGAGTTCCTGCTTCGCCTCGCGCTCCTTGTTCCGCTCGATGATCTCCTGGATCTTCTCCTCGTGGCTCTCCATCTCCATGATCGTGCGCAGCTTGCCCAGATCCACGTTATCCCTGTACCCAAGCGTGATGATCTCGTCGAATGACGACAGGATCTCAAACCCGTGCATGATCACGTCCTGCTGGTCGCCGATGTCACAGATGTCAGAGACTGCGCGCGCAATCAGATGCAGCGTGTCCATGTCCTGCACAATGTTGTTCTGCCGACTCGTGATCAGAACCGCGTACATGTCCTCGCCGATCGGCTGGTATACGTACCGGATCGTCTCGGTCTCCACCGTTGTATGTTGCTGCTTAGGGACCATCAGCTTGGGAAACGACGCCAGGAGTCCCTCGATGCGCGTGCGGGGCATCTCAACAAACTGCCGCGACACCAGGGCTACAAGGATGCTGCTGTTTTTAGTAGCCCAACTCGCAAAGCCCTCAGATGACCCTCCCCTGTCCTCATTCAATTCTCCATTGTAACGTACCCTTGCCGGTCTTTGTACAGATAGACGACGCAAGCACAACCTAGAATGCAAAGAGAGAGGCAGGATTTGGTGAGTGTGCGTTCAGCCTATACTATGTCGGTGCTATACTGTACTGGGCTGGGCTTGAATTCCAGCCGCCTGAATTCAGGCTGCTCTTTACCATTTCGTTAATTCTCTCTGTGTATGTGCTAAAGACAGATGCGAGTGGTCAAATCGGAGAAAGAGATGTGCCAAACAGTGCAGTCTGAAGAAGAAAAAGGTGCTGAAAGTCTTTCGGTGAAAGGGGGAACAGACGTAAGCCTGGAGAGTGAAAATGCCAGGGCTAGCTGCTGGCTCGGCTGGCAGGTGTGGGTGCGGGAAGGGCTTCTGACGCGCTGCTTCCACACTGAGCGCTGCAAGAAAAACATGGCCACAGCCCATTGGCCCGGCCCACCGACCAAGAAAAAAGGCGTGGAAATCGCCCACCCACCCTCCAGCACACCAGCGCCGTGGCTGCAGCCTGTTCAGGATGCACTCGACATACCCGCCATCTGCACATTGCATATACACTGGAATAATGATGTTGATGTTGTTGATGTTGTGGTGGATATTTGGAAAATATAACGTTTTTGCTGCTCGCTAGAGACCACATTGTATTGATTTGACAAACAAGAAGTGAGGAGAATAGCAAGCAGTGTGCCTGGCAGGGGCGCGAAGCGAGTAGCTTACTTCAACTTCTTCTTGGGGCGGAGCTGGTTGGTGTGTCCGCACTTCTTCTTGCGGCAGTTGGTGGCACGAGGCGGCAGACGAGCGTAGCACTTGCGGCAGATCATCTTATCGCAGTTGTAGGTCGACGCCAGGGCCTTGAGCGACGGCTCAATGATACCACCACGCAGGCGGAGCACCAGGTGAAGGGTCGACTCCTTCTGGATGTTGTAGTCCGAAAGGGTGCGGCCGTCCTCGAGCTGCTTGCCGGCGAAGATCAGGCGCTGCTGGTCAGGGGGGATACCCTCCTTGTCCTGGATCTTCTGCTTAACGTTATCGATGGTGTCGGAAGACTCCACCTCGAGGGTGATGGTCTTGCCCGTCAGGGTCTTAACGAAAATCTGCATGGCTACAAAAAGGTGGACGCAATTGAGCATTAGTGTGGTCGTCGACCGTCCTCACCCAAGCAACCCAGCAATGCGCACATTCCAGAGAAAGCCAACAGCGTCGCCCTGGTGCCAAGAATTCCGAGCATCCACCCCATTTCGAATTCACGCATTGGAATTCGAGAGTGTGCTGCCGTACTTCTGGCCTCCATTCTGCCGCCATGATTCTCCGTATCCATCCACGCATGGATTCGCCACACCGTTTCCCCCGACACCCCGACGGATGCGCGCAAGCGTCTAATTATTCCAGAACTTACTTAGCGAAAACTCTCGATAAAATAAAAGTGAAAGATGGATCCGAGGCTGACTGTCGCGCCGAACTTGTTTTGTGGTTTGCCCACTCCAGCGCTGGTTTGATCCGTGATCTGATTCTGTTCGATCAGCTCTCTACAAACAACTCCTGTTGTCCATAGATTGTGGGTTGACCTTTCCCCTACGCTGAAATCACGTGAATTGACCTGCGCTTTTGGTACCAGGAGTGTCCTGATGAAGCCCTGGAAGGAATTCGAAACCACCTGCCGCGCCATCCATATAGCACACATTAGTGTTCTGGTGGAGATGGCAATATGCGTCATTTGCGTGGCAACTGGCTGTCTTCGAGAAGATGTGCAAACGCTGCTAAGAGCATCACAGCAGCAGCAGCTCCCACTGCTCGCCGCTTTTTGGCTGCTGTTCTGTAGATCCGCTCCACATATCCACGTGACTCCTACGACCAATTGGGACTTTGGGGTTGGTACCGGGGTAATTTGTCAGAGCTGCCGAGCCCTGCACTTCAGCTCTGTTATCTTCGCTTTAAGAATAAGCTATCTACTTTACCTTCTGCCACACGTAGTCGAAATGTCAGGTAAATTGCTCAGTCGACTCCCCGCATACACGCCTGCACGGAACCGTGTTGCTCATTACTCTCACGTAGCCGCCTACCTCGCCAAGGAAAGAGCCGTCGCCATCGAGGCCGTCGAGCGCGCATCCCTCGTGTGTCAGGCCGTGTTCAAGCACCTGGTCACTGGCGAAACACTAGTCAAGAAGGACAAGTCTCCTGTGACTGTTGCCGATTTCAGCGCCCAGGCTGTGGTCAACTCAATCCTAGAGCGGCACTTCCCTGCCGACCCGATCGTGGGTGAAGAGGATTCAAAGGACCTGCAGGGTGACGCTGGCCGCGTACTGCGCGAAAAGGTCGTCGAGCTGACTAACACCGCCACAGAAGCACCCATGACAACCGCTGAGATCCTGCGCGCAATCGACCGTGGCCAATACGCCGGTGGCTCGTCTGGCCGCCATTGGACGCTAGACCCGATTGACGGAACTAAGGGATTCTTGCGTGGTGAGCAGTTCGCTGTGTGCCTGGCGCTGATCATCGACGGCCAGGTGCGTCTGGGTGTTGTCGGGTGTCCGAACCTGCCCTACGATATGAGCAAGCCAGACGGCGAGCGCGGAGTGCTGATGGTGGCCGTCGAGGGCCAGGGTGCGTTCCAGCGGAGGCTCAATTCTGGCTCAGATGATGTCGAGACGCCTATTCACGTGTCTAATGTCCCTGATACTAAGGATGCCAGCTTCTGCGAGTCTGTCGAGTCAGGACATTCGAACCATGGCGACAATGCCAACATTGCCAAGCTACTCGGAATCACCAAGCCCTCGGTGCGCATGGACAGCCAGTGCAAGTACGCGGCTGTGGCCCGCGGCGACCGCCGATATTTATCTGCGCCTGCCCGTGTCTGACACCTATGTCGAGAAGATCTGGGACCATGGTGCTGGCAACGTGATCATACGTGAGGCTGGCGGCCGAGTGTCCGACATCCACGGCAAGCCGCTGGACTTCTCCCTTGGCCGCACGCTCAGCGCCAACAAGGGTGTTGTCGCTGCCAGTGCGAGCATTTTTGATGACGTTATCAAGGCTGTGCAGGAGACACTTGCAGGCAAGCTTTAATGACCTCCTGTTGTTTTATACAAAGATATGCGACTCGTACATCTCTACACACACTCGGTTGACATTGCTGATGATTGTATCCACAGCATGCTGCCAGCCCTTGCCCTTGCTGCTTGCCCAGTACTTCAGGTGCTTGAGCATGCGTTCTGAGGCGGACAAGTCATGGAACTTGACCAAAGACGCAGCGTAATTGCTGAATTCGTCAACATCCTCGTCGAGAGGGCCATGCGAGTATGCATCGACCCACTGCCGGACAAGATCAAGCACGTCGTCCAGGCTGCTTGCATTGAACAGTACTGGGACTGCATGCGTGCTACCCTCATCCTTTGCCACGCCTTCAGAAGAAGATGGGTCAGCCACTGGTAAGCGTTCTTGTGGACCAACACTTGCCGTGTCCTCTTCGTTTCTGGCTAGTGTTGGCGTGGTTGGTGTTGGCGTGGTCTTAGTGTGCTCGCGTGCAAGCTCTCGGCGGATATTCATTGGCAGCTCTTCCCACACACTTCTGTCCATCTGCGATGGCATTACCGGATCCAGCACCTCGGCCTTTCGGAATGCTTGCATCAGGCTCTGGCCACCTTTGCTACCGGAATTTGGCGGGAACACTAGCTTGCGTGGGCGGCCTCGACCACTGTACCCTGAACTCCCGCTCGCCTTCCGCCCGGGCTTGCGCGTGGCAGATGAAGAGCCGCTGGACGTTGGAGTGGCCCTGGTCTTTAGCGCACCTTTTCCTTGGACAATGTTTATGCTGGGGTCGATCTGCTGGTATACCGCCTGTAGCTCCTGGCGAATCGACTCTGGCAACTCATTAAAAACGCTGGAGTCCAACTGTGACGCCGACGGCAGCTCGATGACAGGAATGGCACCGCTGGGCTTCGATGTGTCAGCTGCGGGTTTTGTCAACAGATCGCCAATGTCGCCTGCTACATCCATCGAGTTGAGCTTTGACACCTGGATCCCAACCGACCGAATATCTAGAGGGTCGATTTTAAGCTGCTGCAGCAGGTCAAACGCATACAGCTGAGATCTTGGCCGGGTCATTGGTCATTGACGAAAGCCCCGTGCTCTTGCTCAGGCTGTCACAGATGCCGTGCCCGAGAAACTTGTGCGGTTTGCCTTCGCCTTCCCGTCGCTTCTTTACCTTCAGTGTCACCCCTCTCCCTGTGCGCTTGGCGGCGCACATCATTTCGCATACAACTGCTGACAACTGTCCAATAAATTGGTCTGCCTCCTGCTGGCTCGAAAAACGGACTCCCCAGCCAACGTCTGCCCCAAACACCTGGCGCAGCTTGTCTGACTCCAGCACTCGGTCGTCGATTCCGCGGCTGTGATTGTATAGTGTTTGGCCTGTCTTTTCGCCACAGATGGCCTGAAGCTCTGCCAGAGCTGTTTTACGGATATCCTTGACTGATGTGATGTTGTGCTGTGCAAGATCTTGCTCAAGTGTATAACCAACACCTGGCAGATCACGCACCCTCAAGTCAATGTCTTCAAATTGCTCTGCAGAGATGGCAAAGACCCCGTCTGGCTTTGCTTTATTTGTAGCCACCCGTGCCAGGAGGATACTGGACCCGATTCCGATACTGGCAGTGCACTGCGTCTGCTCGAGGAGGATCTGGCGGATATGCTGTGCTAAACGCTCTGGCTTGCCGTCAAAGTCACGATACACAACCTCGGTGACGTCAAGAAGAGCCTCGTCGATGCTGGCTGCCTGGATCTCGTCGGCAATTTGTGTGAGCTCCTCGTAGAATTTCCGCGATACACGCTTGTACGTGTCAAAGTAGTACGGCACTGTCATCAGCCCTGGGCACCTCTCACGCGCCGGTCCCAGGAACATGCCGTTGCGGACCCCAAACGACCGAGCGACGTAGTTGCACGATGCAATTTGGCTGGTACTCCCTGGATGGCCCATGCCCTGTAAACTATCCTCATCGATCTGGTTGCTGTCTGATGGCTGCAGCTGCTTTGAATGACAAACGACAACAGGCTTGTCTTTCAGATAAGGATGTGACAGCAGACTCGCTGTGACGAAGAAGCAGTCAAAATCGACATGCATAATAATGCGCTGACTCCGACCCACCTTGTCTGCACCCGTGCCCTTCTTATACTTGGACCGCAGCTGTGCAACATAATCCTTCATCTCGGCCCGCCATGCTGACATGTGGTGCAGGCGAGAGTTCTCGTAATACCGCTTGATAAAGTCCTTGTCAGATGCCAAGTTCTTTCGCACCCAGCTCCGATTGAGCCCTTCATTGAATCTGTCGATCACAGGCGCTGGCCTTGCCAGCAGTCCGAGATCGGATGGTCCTGGGTCTTGCGTCGGCCGCTGGGCAGCCAACTGCGACAGGGGGTCATTGACTGCTTTTATACTGACACCAGTATTGCCTTGGCCGATAAGCTTGTATTTGTGCCACGACAACTGCTTTCCAACACGCACGCTGTCAACAACCCACTCTGGTCGAACCACCTTATAGTGTCTAAACTCCTTTTCCTTGGTCAGCGTCAGACTCGATGCAATAATATGCGTTACCTTCGTCTTGGATAGATAGTGGAGAAACTGGCCGCCGCGTTCAATCAGCAGTCGCTTCAATTCGTAATGTGACGGCTGCGTGTATCCGTTGATGTGGAACACGACGCCAGAGAATATCGTCTCGTGTGCTGGTAGTTTAGCAATGCGCTGCTCGGCTTGCTCGGCTAGCTTGCCGCTTGCGCTCGCCAATATATGTGTGGAAGTCGCCGAACCCTGGCACTACAGTGCCAGACTCTTTAGCTTGCTCGACACCAAGCAGCCTCATGGTGGAGTCTGCACCCTCTGGTTCCTTATGTTCGCCAGTGGCAAGATAGGTGCTCCTGCCATAGCGCTCGCTATCAGGCAAGACTGGCTCCAGCTGGTACTCGACGACAGAGTTATCATTCTCGTCTTCTGTTGTTTTGCTTGTAAGGTTAGACATTATATAAAAATTGGCTGCTGAATATATATCTGTATACACATGGGAAGCAGAAGATGCAAACGGGAGAGAGTTAACCGAGGACAAAAGGTACAAGTCGTGTGCCTAGCGCACCCATCTTCAATAAAAAACAATCAACCTTTTCCGCAGTCGGTGTATGGGAGTGCATCATTTCTAGGCTACCGATTTTGCCATTGTGGAAAAATGCTCCCACTGTTTCTGCGCTGCCTCCATCTCGTCGGCTATGTCTTTAAGTGCACTGGTTGTCTGCTCTATGTCTTTCTCCAGCGTCTTCAGACGGTCTTCGTCAATCACTAGCTGGTCCTCCTCCTGCCCCAGAAGGAAGTTCATGTATGAATCGTCAAACTCAAAATTCCCTGTGTCCTTTGGTCGACTGCGGGCTTGCCGCTTCAACGATGCCTGTGTGGACGTGATGCCAGCATTGCGGAGCTGTTCGTTCTCCCAGTCGCTAGCCTCGCTGGCTTCCTGAGCCTCCTCAATCAGTTGCTCTTTGGCTAAACGCGAGCTTTCCCTGTATTGCTCACGCTCCTTCTTGTCGATTATTACGGCATCGTCTTCGTCCTCAGCCGCTACGTTTCCTGAGATGTCATCGTCGTCATCGTATGGATTGTCAAGGCCTGGCCCGCTAATTCGTGACCCGGCAAGGTTATCTGACAGGGAAATGTAGTCAGGTTCGTTGCTCCTGCCACCGAATCCTTCATCGTCCTCGTCAAATTCGCCGTCCAGTCCGTATGCTCCTGCTGCCTGACGCTGTCGCCGCAATATCTTGGCTTGCAGAATCTGCTGTGCATCGGGGATTCCGTCGGTTTGCAAATGGATACGGTGCTTGCTGACCCTTTACCGGATTTCTCTCTGGCTCATCAACAGCTGATTTGATACTCGCTCCTTCATCTTTGGAATGCGGTATGCGCGTGTCCGCTGCAGAAGTATCTTGGTCTGGCACTACACTCCCATTCCATTTGCCTGGCGTAGGCTCTGTAGGTGCTGCTTCTGCGCTAAAGCTGAGCCCTGTACTGCCGCCAATTGTCCGCTCAGGCTTTGCGGCTGGTTTTGCTGAGCGCTTGACGATGTCAGCCGTAGCGCCGTCGTCTTCGAAGGCACTGTCATCCTTTTTGCGGATGTTGCGGCGCCCTTTTGACTTTTTAAATCCAAACATAGCTCCAAGTAGAGAGTGAAATGGTGATCTGAGTGATGTTGACAAATGAGACCGTGCAGATCGTGGCCTCCCTCCTCATTGGCACACATAGGCAATGCACAGCGACAATTTATGGGGAGTGTGCTACTGGCCCATCCACCACCCCTATATATGCTATTGCATTGTCGGCGCCCCTTCCCCTCCTTTCAAACAAGACATGGCACTATTCCACGCTGGGCTGCGCGCACATAGGCTCCGCTTAGCTGGCTATCTTTAGAGGTCGGCCAATTCCCACCACCACCTTGCGTACTCGTATTTGAAGCGCGAAGCTGACTTTCTGGAATGCTCTTTCCTGCGCAGCACCGTGATTGACTAGGACTGAACTCGACCTCAGCATGGGCAAGGTGCCTCTCACAATTCTAAAATTGGGTTTCCAGGATAAACAAATCAGCAGTGGAAATTTTTAGCGGGATACCCCTATTTTTAGCGTGGCAAATGGATGTTCAAAGCGCCTTACCTGTTGTGCACTGCGAGCACGCACCCCCTCTCTCGCGTGAATGGCGCCGTCTTTCGGATTGTTCGACTCAAAAACCTTGCTTCTACTATACTGCTGGAATAATTGTCAGCACTGTCCTGAATCCCCTCCCTCCCCCGCACTTTAAGCCGTATAAGTGGGAGGCCGCGGACTGGTCTCTGCTCGATTCCGCCATTCTCTCTGCTCCAAATACATTCCTGCTCTGCTCCTCCCCCACTCCTCATAATTCCTCAGTCTAAGAACACAGCCTGTTATTTTGCACAATGAAGGTTTTTTCCTCGTCTGTCATCGCTGCTGCCGCCATGGCTCTTGCTCAAGCATGCACCATTAATGTTCGCGTTGCCCGTGACTCTACTGTTTCATACAACGGTATGACCTGCGACAACAACATCCCCTGCAACTCGATCCCGTTCGGCTTGGACAAGGCTCTTACGGCGTTCAGAGGCAACCGCGACTTCGAGCGCGTTCTACTGGGATTTGACTTGCCTACTACCAAGCCGATTTCCAAGTGTGTCCTCAAGATCCCGACTCCAATTGAGGTTGCCACAACTGGCGAGTACACGCTGACCGCCTTAGTTACAGATAACAACTGGAACGAGACCGCTGTGGCTGGTGCTAACAAGGATATGAGTGGAACACAAGTTGGCTCGGTCAAGGTTGTGGCTGGCCAGACCCCTGGCGACATCGATGTCACCTCTGCCTGCCAGAATGCTAAGGATGACAAGCTCAGCCTCTTTATCGATACCAGCTTCCCCATGGTTCGCTTCAATTCCATCCAGTCGGGAAGCCCTGCCATCTTCTCCCTTGACATCACGTACTGAGCGTTGTTATGTGGCATGGCACTCGCAGGCGGATTGCTCCCGCGGAAAACAGATTCTTATTTATATTTGCTTGGTCTTTGTGGTTTTACGGAACAAAGACTTTACCACTCATGGCTGCACCACATACCAGGCACCAGTGACTGGGCTATTATTTGATACACCCTGGCCGACTACGCGACTGATTAATATATGGAGCGGTGGGCAGCTAAACTTTTTCTCGATTTTGTGCAGGATGGCATCTGATCGGATTAGCGACACATCACCATGTAACCCTACTTGTACGATACAGTGCCGATGGGCAATCAGAGATTCCTCGGAACTATATGGCAGTGTACAAAAAGTGGCGTGGTATAAACAAACTGCTGCACAAGACCAGTCAGCGTTGCTGAATATTTTTGAATGGTACTATTAGGAAAAATAGCGTTTGTAGAGTCTATACCGGCACCAGTTAAACAGCTTGCTAAATGTAGTTATTTGTTACTGAAAACGCCCAAGATTGTCGGCCACGGTACAGGCTACATGTTGCTCGATCACTCAATTCAGCTGTCTCTTGTGAGGCATCTGATCAATTGGCAGCCAACCTGTATCGAATACAGCCAAAACCTGCTCTATACTCAGCTTTCCAGGCTGACGACCTCTGAATGAATGGAAGCAGATAAATATGGTATTATTGTCTGTTCCCTGGAGTGAAGGACAAGACTTAGTCTGCAAAGGCGCCAGACAATATTCACAGCTGTGTGCAATATGGCATAGCCGAATGATGGCCTGCTGTGCAGAGGGTGGACAGCTAAATCCTCCGTTGCAAAAAGCAGGTCCACACCGTTTGCTTAGTCGATAGCTGGTAGGCTCGAGGCTAAGCCTCACCATTCTAACGTTCCTCGAAGATAGGATCATGCGTGGCCGGTATTTCCTCTGGGCTATGATTTGTGCGACACTACTTCACCGTATTGTCAAAGACTATCAGCAGACCTTTTGCAACCACCACAAAGTCGGTCCTTGGCTGATTCGGTGTTTAGCAGAATCACAAATTCATGCAAATTTGGCGATGCACAATAAACCCCTTGCAAAGCTAGGCACGGTATTCCTCTCGGCCATGACTTTTTCTGGTTTTCATGACACAGCAGGTTCTCCTGTCTTTTGTAGCCTATGTATTTAATGCGGGTCCGCCGCCTGAGAAATGAGAAAAATCTTACTCCCCTCATTCCAATATACTTTACTTTCCATATTCCTAACTCCAAACCCTCAGTCTATTGCCCATGAACAAGCTGGAAAACGAAACTATCAGCTCAGCGTATAGCATTAACTTTGAAAAGTCGTGGCTGGACCTTGGACCTGAGGAAAACAAAAGCAAATGCAGGCAATCGCTAAAATTCTGGCACAAGATTCGGTCATCAAAACATGAGCAGACCTCCAATATAGATAGTATGCTGCGCTCAAGAAGTAAATCGATGCACATTCGCAAGCCACCAATTAATTTTTCACTCTTCCGCTGAAGGCCCGCGTACATCTACTCTTTGCAGGAAGCTGCTTCATGAACTCATCTTTCATATGTATCATAACACGAGGCAATAATAAAACATTTATGTGCTGCATCTTTGTGAAGCGAATAAAATGATGTATTATTTTGCTACCTTTGCCAGTACATAGATCAATGTACTAAATTTAAAGCATTCCTTAATAGCTTTGTCACTAATTCAAATCTGAGTTCTCGGCATTCTGTATTTCTGACGCCAATTTATTACACTGCTTTTAAATGGGAAGCAATATAATAAACTAATTCCTTATTTTTTGCACTATTTGTTGATATAGTGCCTTTTTGTCAAATGTGTAATTGTTGCAATAGCATATTAAACAATATGCTGTATACAATTCTGGACTCACTCAGTGTAGTTTGTGTAACTGAAAGTCAAAGCTAGATATAGCTTTATTTATCATAAAGAATTATTTGATGCATAATAATAACAGATGCTATTATTACTATAACTATTTATGCATATCATACATCATTAGTAGCAATAAGGTATATAAGGATAATACTTTTTTGCTTATACTACAACTCTTGGGTCTATTTGAAGCTATCTAAAAGGGGTTATTCTTAGATATAAGTTTTAGTAATTTGTTATTTTATTAGTTGCTTATTTAAATAATCATTTTCAAAGCAGTATTTGGCCACTAGTTATTTTTAGCACCTCAAAAACCATCAGATACCTTAATTTCACAGGGTACACTGTTTTGCGCGTTACAGTGCAGTATGTGGTAGAGTGGAGCAATGGCATAATCTGAAACAGGCTACTGAAAGACATTAAACCTAAAAAGGATGGAAACAACAAGAGCAAATTGGGTTAGCTTGTTGAGCAGGATCCGATGATCAGGGGCTTTAGCTCAGTGGTAGAGCAATCGGCTGCAGTCCGATAGGTCACCGGTTCAACTCCGGTAGGTCCCTCTTTTTGCTGAATTTTTGCATTCTCGTTTGCCAGCCTGAATGCCGCCCCCGAAGTGGCCAATTCTGATTGCTGTTTTCACAAGAGTATACTTGTTGAACTATGCCTCGGTAATAATAATCCACCGAGTATCTGCCTCGTTTTTGCAAGTGCATCAAAGCGTACACTGAGATATCGAGGTGTTATTCCTGAAGTCTGGAGCTATCCAGAAGACCGATGGATTTCAGGTATAGGCAAAGGGAGTAGGCAAAAATACTGACCACAGATTGGACAATATGCTATTCTGGCCAACAACCAATATTTATACTATTTAAAATTGCAAAGATGATGCTGCAAATAACAAGTCGACCTGCTCACCTTGTTGGGATCTCAAGATCTGATTACTGTGAACTACATAGCTTTTTATCCTGTTTTTTCTCTTCTTCTTTTTAGTTGTGCCATCTGAACGATGGTATAAAACCTTTTTGCTCGCCTTTCCTTTCTTACATCTCTTTAGCTTTCCTTTATCAATATATATTCCTTGACTCTGTCACTCTCTATTGCTGATACGCTCACAACGCTCGCATATTTCTGGATTGATACCATCGCTTGACAGCTTATTCAGAATCTGCGCTACACGAAAGTTACACACATACTCATATATAAGGTATCTTTCGCTACTTATTCCTTATTTCTTTCTCTTGCCCTATACCACCCACTGTGCTTTCGACCTACATCACACCTATCAGCCATGCAACGAGTCCCTAATACTAATCCAGAGTCTGAGTGCGAAGATGTTCATAATTCTTTCTTGCTCTCCTTGCGCATAAAGCATTCGCAAAATACCTATGCTCACTGACTCCTCCCCTTGCATTAAGAAGTAACCAATACCAACCTCTCGTTCTAGCCTTCCACTGTAGGTATAGGCCTCAAGATCTGCTCTGAATCAGATATGGTACATCCAGTATCAGCTGTGTATACAGTATCATAGGTGGGTGCTTGTCTCTGAATTGATTGTGTATTAAGTTTAACTGGCAGGCCCAACCACTTGGTGTTTGGTGATCTACTTGCTAAATATTGGGCTGCAATAGTATATCTGATAGTATCCATGGCTGATATTTTATGCAAATTGCTACGCTTTGTTAGAAAAAAAACTCGGCAATGTTTGTCCAAAATTCGTTTTTCAAAATATTTTCCTTGACTTTGGGTGACACCGTCAAGTTGACAAGCACATCCTTGCATGGTGGTGGTGAGGGTAGAAGAATGATGGAGCCTTCTCCAAAATCCGGAATTATAGTAGCAAAGCTCTGCACACCATTGCCGAAATCTGCCTTGTAGATACCGAACCGGGTCTGATTTGATATCCAAAGAGTAAGCCTGTAGGAAGTCATGCCAACGATGAAGTTGCCCAGGCTAGTACCTCCGGACTCTAAAAGCTCATAGAGCGATCCAATGTATGGGGGTGTTGCGAGTGACACTGCCTGACGCACCTGGAAAGCAATTGTGGCCAATGCTTCTGGGCTAATTCGCCTTGTAGCGTATTCAGCTGAAGTAGGGATGAAAACCTGATGGATTGGATTTCCGATATAGTTTAAATCCTCCATACCAAGGCGGTGGCGGACATCGCAAGATATTCCAAGGCAGTGTCCGTCCTTTATTCCCATCGCGCGACTGATAGCACTTGAGATCCACCCAGATCCACCGCCAGTAGCCTCCATTGTGGCCTGCGTTAGTACTTTGTACGTTAGTGCCGAAATGAGATCGTTATCCGAGATGCGGGTTCCAGGAGGGACATAGTTGAGCACTTGGCTGCGAAGCTCATCAAGTTTGACGCGTGGAATTCGGAATAGGCAGCCTTCGACTGGATTCTTGCTGCTCGAGTAGCGCATCAGTTTTCCACGCATACTTGGAGAGAGCCAGCTTATCCAGTTTGTCAAATACGAACTTTTAGTGTACATGTCCCGCGTGGTTTGGTTAAGTGGAGCCCGTTCGCTAGGCATTAGCCTACGGATAACAGCACGATCAAAGCAATACCTGCTTTCTTGTACCGGCTGTCCAGTAATAAGCGCACGGGTCTGGTCTCCCCAGCAGTTAAGAAACTCGAAGCAACCATATCCGTCTGTGACTGCGTGGGCAAAACTGGTCGATATGATGACGCCACTATTGTCCTTCAGACGTATTACGTGTATGTTGGCGAGCTTAATCCGGTTTGTTTCAGCGTCAGGGCATGCAATAGTACCAGTGGTTGACAAGTTGGTTGGCCATGTCGACTGATTAAAGCTGAGTGACTCAATGTCGCTGAAAGAAACATCAGATTGCGACTCCATGTAACCGGGAATGTTGAGATTATCCTTGTCTATAACAATCTCCATGCGGCCGTCAGCTCGTTGGGAAAGGTCACCGACAAAAAGAGGGAACAGGCTGAGTGTCTTGTAGAACGCCGTCTCAAGCTTATCGGCCGGCATAAAATCGGTAGTGGCATCTCGGTTTGAATAAAAGTTTACGTGGCGGATATTGACATAGGAGATAATTTCATCAAAAGCACTGAGCGGATAGACACCGGATTCAATTTTGTCCAGTAAATCGTCCATTTTCTGCGACACAAGTTTAGGGGAAAGGGTTAGCAAGCAAACAAGTAGCGGAATAGCAAAGTGAAAAACAGTCGTATTTCCAACGGCGCTAAGCGCACTGTACTTATGGGGTCTCTTATATATTGCTGCTTTGCTGCTGGCAAGAGAAATCAACTGGTGCCAACAATAGTGTGCTGAAGGATTGATAATGACCTTCACTTGGAGCATATGCCTGGTTATTGCTGCAGAATCCTTGATTTGTGCTTATCTCCTCATTCCTACTTTTTCCTCAACCAATAGCAGTGCAAATGTTTGGAGATTTTCATGTATGGGCCTTGAATGCACATGCATGAGGTTGTGAAACGCAATTTCCACTTGCCTGATTTGGATCCACGATGAGCCGGAAGCTTGCGGATCAGTACTCGATCTGCTAGGTGTAAACAGCGATGAATCCCCAACAACTTTGGTTCACAATGGGCTATAAAGGCATCACCAATACCACATGGTGGTATTACCATACATACTGTTGGGTGAATCAGTCATTTTGAATAGAGGTACATAAAGCTAGCTGCGAGGTAATGCTTGTTGCTACAGACATTGCATCCGTTGTGATGTGTATGCATAAAGATTTTGAAATTGGTGTTAATACCAGAAAGAGAATGCGAAAGCGAAAAATGTGCTATGCGGCTGCATTGGCGCACATATATGCTTAGCCATTGGCACTGGTCAACCTATTGCGTTCTGCCAAATCCGAGTACCGACAACAACAATAATTATGACGTTGGTATTCCAGACGGCAACGGGTGCTATGATCTTGCTAAGGATATTGGGTGACCAGACCCCAGCCTATGAGCCTGACAATGGCTGTGTTTGGTCAGAGAATGCGTTTTGCATCAAACAAACGATGGAACCTGCCCTGGCTAGGACACAGCCATATGGCATATGTCGTTTGCCATATGCCCTTGTTTTTCCTCCTTTTATCCGTTTTTGTTCTTTTAATAATAGCTTTTAACCCCATAAAAATACATAGTAAAACTCCAAACCAACACGCTCAATTTGGAATGCTTCGGCTGAAGTGCACTGGCCAATGCAATTGACATGACCTTTTGTGCTGGTTCTCCAAATACGCTCAGGATCAAACGAAGCGGTGTTGGGTTGCTGTTCTTGTTGACATCAGGCCGCCAACGCCGCCCTGCGCCACCATGCTCAAGTTTTACCTCACTCTTGCAATAGCCCCAAGCCCCAAACAGCCCATTATTCTCCTCTGTTGATATTACACCTACTTCCCTCCATATATGCTAATAAACAATTTTTCATCTTATTGTTTCAGTTCTCCTTGTCCTCACACAAAGTGATGACTTGGGTTGATATAAGTTGACACCTACCACTTGCAATCAGCTAAAAATGGAGGACTCAAGACTCTTATCCCTATTATTTGTTCCATTCGTATATGTATCAGCCAGCATCTGTAGAACTGCAAGCAATGCTATGAAGCAAATGTCTGTTAGAAATATTCTTATCGATATTGCTATCTGTGCTAGAAATTGAGCTGGTTGTTGCTAAGCGTAGTAAGTGTTGTTGGCCTCGAAATGGCAACGCATTTCAAAACCACCACACTAAATCAACCACACAAAATTTTGACATCCAGAACCACCCAATCCCGCCTTCTCTCCTCAGTTATTTTTCCATCTCAGTTTTCCATAAAGCTCGAGAACATTTATTCCATGAAACATTGACAAGTGTGTTCAAAATCGATGCGTTGTGTAGCTTTTTGTTTGTACCCCAATCAGGTAACTACTGTTGCGCGCCCGATGCGGCTGTCCCTGACATCGACATGTCAGCCGAATCAGGTGACAGAAATCCAGGCGCCAACGAGAGCCCCGCTACAGCCTACGATATGGAGGTAGAGTCTAGCCTCTGATAAGTTGCACAAATGGCAGTATTAAAAACTCCCCTGCGCAACTCGTCTATTCCCTTTTCTCTCTTTTCTTCAGTATTAAATATACATTTAAAAACCCCTACATAGTCGACCGACACAACACTACTACTTCTGACTCTTCTGGTATCGACATGTGTGCTTGTGTTGCCATATGAAGTCGAATTCAAGGGGGTTGTCAAACTGTGTTTTGAATCACTCAGTTCTGTTGTCTGTTGGCTGGCTGTAGATGCTTTTCTAGTCGAACTATTTTCCTTATTAGTTCAAGCGTGCGGCAGCATCAGGTTACACGACAAGTGCGAATTGTCACCACCGCGTTGCTGTGTTTGGAGCTGGTTCGGTGCAATATAAATGTGGGTCCCTCTATTCGCCCGCAACAATGAGTGTGAAATGAGAAGGCTGTGCGCAAATATTGCTTGCGGACATAAATCGGAAATCGAGTGGCGTTGCAGAATGGAGCTGCATGGCTGGAAATAGAAATGGGCACGCAAGGGATGCCTTCCCTCCCTTTTTCTTTCCCGAGTGGCCGGAGAAAGCGCAGTTGACGTTGTGACAAGGGGCCCAGCCACAGCGCTCTTGTCGATTCACAAAACACTAGTTGCCGATACTCACATGACTGGGTGTTTACGACAATTAATGCACTCGCTGCTTAAATTGAAGGGACAGCGAAAGGCGCTATTGCTGGAATAGAGCAGTGAGAGGGGTTGTCATCTAGTAGCACGGGATGCCGGGGTGGCTGCAGCAACGACAATGGAGGTTGCATTCAAGGGCTGATGAATTTGGCAGGCGGGAGGTTGCCAATCTGCATCCCGCCTTGCATAAGTCACACTGCCCTGCGTCCTGCTGGCCCTTGTGCTGGCGGGCGTGTCACTCTGAGCGCATCCAGCATCCTGCAAAAACCAAAAATAAAGGGTAGGGGTACCCATATGACCCTTCATTTGCCGAGACGCCCACTATATGCGGGAAAAGCTCAACGATAATGGATGGGCAGGACACCCACATGCATTGTGCATAAATTTTTTACATTCTCCTTCCAAGCTGCAAGGGATGTGGGTGCCAGAAATAAAGCAGGATGGCCTGTCGGGGGAGGGGAGGGAGCGGGCATTCGAAGAAGAGCGAAATGGCTGGCATTGTGCCTGGGCGACTGCATGCCCAGCCGTACCGGAGCGTGGAACTGGCAGTGCAGTGCTGAATGGCTGCGGCTGCGGCGATGCCGGGAAGGGAGCAATTTATTTGTGGACAGCACGTATCCCTGAATCTATTTTATTGTAGTCAATGACTCGCGACGTGTCCTGCAGCAAGGTTCCATGCCAATCGGAGAGCAGCCGAGGGCCAAGACATGCGGCCACGACGTCATGTGCACTTGGCCAATTAGCCGTCTAGTATAGTGGCTGCTATATATATGAGCCCATAGAGAACCCGGCTGCCGAGGCATTCGCTAATGTAAATAGCGTCCCCGGGCAATAATCGAAAAATTGGGGATGCCTGTGGCGAGGGCGTGGCTCGCACACACTTGGAATGGAGACGGAGCTGGCAAAGGCTCCGAGGCAGCAGGAGTCATCACCGAATGGAGAATAGGGAAATCGCCCGTCTGCTACACAGATCTAGTCCCCCGCGCCAAGGCTGGATCGCAGGGCATAGCGCTCTCACAGAAGCAGGAGGGGAGGTTCGGATATGCATAGCCCTCCCCAAATGTCAATTTGTCAGCATCGACTGGGCGTTGGCTGTGCTTAAATCAACAAGACAAAAAATTCACCGCAGAAGGGGCGGCCGCGATCGACACCACCGCGCATCCTGCGCTGCCTTAATCTGCCAGTGCACGCGGTTCCTCAGTGCGTCGCCGGCGGGATTTGCTAGGAACGCAAGGGGCCGTATCCAAGAACAAAATAATGCGCCGGGTGATAGTAGAATCAAGTTTCCTGGGTGTTGTTTTGTTTGCTTCTGGGCGTCCCTGGCAAGGTCGCTTGGCAAGGCCCAGCTGTGCGGATCTCCTTTTTGCAAACGGGCAAATATACAAAACCAAAACAAATGTCTGCATTGGAAGTGCGCTGCACGCAAGGATGATAGTGCGTGGTTCTCACTGTCTGGAGATGATGTGGGCTGTGGTGGCGATCGCGCTAGAATTAGCAGCTGCGGGTATGGGCAGGGGGTAGCCGATGCTGGCAAGGCATCTTTGTTTATGAGCTTGTGTGCAATCCATGCTGTGCTGCATAGATTCCATGCTGTGCCTGCACCATGGCAGCAGCCATCAGTGATGGCCCACTGCATGTAGCGCAGCATGGCTCTCAGTGTGGCTCCAGTTTCGGCCATTGGGTCTGGCTTGGCCAAGAGATCAGCGAATTATGTCATTGACGGACAGCAAACACGCTTGAAACCCGATTAGCGAGGGGCGAGGATCGGGGAAAGCCGTGCCAACAGCAAGCAGTCAGGGCGCCAGCCAGTGGGATTCCCCCTTGTGTCTACAAAGCCCACCACAGCCAAAGAACACAGAACAGAAATCGCAGCCGCCATCCTTCACCCACAGTGCGATGGACCGACGAATCAGCGATTTCACACGCGCAGGCATCGGGTACGCAATAGGCATGCACATCGAGCACCCGCCGCGGCAGCATTTGGAAGGAACCAATGTTCGCATTCAGTGCGAATTAAAAGGGACATGGCGGTTCTATTTTTACCCCTTTCAAGGGTCGTGCAAGCGCATGCATCGGGACGGGGAGAGCACGCATGGCTTGAGCTGCAGCTGAGCAGAAACCTTTGTCTCTTGGGCCAGGGACATCACCACTCTTGTCGGCATACACAGCGGCGATCCGCGGCGACGATTTGCGTTTCTCCATTCTACAAACATACCGAAGAGCAGCCGCGCGTATGTCTGCCCACTTCTCCTTGCGAAATCGTCTAAACTCTCAAGGCCACAATATATCCAGAGACTGGCCAGCCGGCCTTGCTGGCCTTTGTCCTGCCGATCAGCACATACTGGTCTGCACGCAATTATGTATCCGGATCCTTGTTTAAAAGCTGTTTCCAGCCGAGAAGGGTTGGGAATGGAGCTTGGAGTAGGGGCGGACGACGGTAGATCGCATCTGTATGCCTGCTCCACTGAGCATAAAGCGCACATGAGTACTTTGGCCAGGTCACCAGGTGCATGGACAACAAGCATAAGGACGACATGCGTTGTTGTTTTGCTGCCAGAGTGTGCTTGCCATCGCCTCTTGCATGGTTGCGTCTGGTGATTGTCGCTTGCCATGGGCTCTTGCACAGAATTCGAGTGCGGCACGACATATCAGCCGGACAGAGAAGAAAAACAGGTGTCGATGCTGGTGTCAGGGACGGAGTAGTGGGCTTTGTACGGTGTCAAATTGCAAATGTATGGAAACGTAAAGCAAGGAAAAATTAATGCATTTACTGCGCGCGGGTTGAATGATGCATGCTTGTGATGAATTGGTGCAAAGTGCCTCAGTAGTAAGCCATGGGGCCAGCAGCCGCGGTGCGGGGAGCCGCAGTAGACGGCTGCTTGGGCATGCTGTGATGGTACTCGTGCGATGTCGCCGGGGATCCCGGAGCGACATTATTAGCTGCCAGCATGTGGACTGCCGGAAGCCCATACGGCTGAGCTGGTGCCCGCTGACCAGTCACCTGCGGCTGCTGATATTGCTGGGGGACAGATGTCGGCACGCTCGCCGAGTACCGCTGGGCATGGTGGGGATGGGCATGGGGATGGGCATAGGGATGGTGGACAGGGGCAGTGTTGGCATAGTTTGGTGTGCCATACATGCTAGGGCTCGCCCGGTACGGGTCGACAACAGGGTCGAGGAAGACAACTTTGCGCGGGCTGCCATTTCGCCGCGACTTTGACGACAAGTGTGTGCGGTAGTGCTGCATCATGTTGTCTTGCCGCGAGAAGCGGCTGGTGCAGCCCGGGAACAGGCAGGGGAAGTTCTTCTCGCCCGTGTGTATCCGCTGGTGGCGGGCCAGGTGGCCGCTGGTGGTGAACGCTTTGCCGCACCCGGTGAATGTGCACTTGTACTTGCGCTTGGCCATGGTCTTGTTGGTCTGTGTGGGAGGCGGAGGCGGTGCCTGGCGGTGGAGCGGCATCACAGGGAGGCTGTGCGTCCGATTGTTAGCCGGCGGGGGCACTGCTGATGACTCGGATGTCACTAGTCCCACAGCCTGGACCAGCGTGTTCAGGGAAGGCAGCGATGACGGGGCCTGTTGCGGTGTGGCGCCAGGTGTTGACTGGGCGCGGAACGGGCTGTAGCTAGCCGTTGAGTACACGGGCGAGGGCCCAGGAACAGACAAGCACCGCTTGCGGTCGTGTGTGGCAGCGGGATCCTGGTCAGAGTCATTGAGGATGCTGACTCTGCTTCCGTCGGCAGTCTTTGTTGACAACGACGGAATTGAATGGCGTGCGCACTTCAGGGGTGGCGGCCGAGCGTAAGAGCACTCGGAGAGACCCAGGTGCATCGGGGTCCGCATGGTTGCGGGACCCGTAGCCGCCGAGTGGTTGATGTGGTTGAAGAGACCCGGCGAAGAGCGGGTGCTTCCAGGAGTGGTGATTGCAGGGTTCATTGTGGGAATAAGAGATGTGGGGTAGATGTCAATGTACAGACGAGTGGAGGGAGAACCAACCTTCAGGAGTATTTTTAATAAGAGCAAGAAGAGAAGGACTAAAAAGGACAGTGGTGATGCAGGTAGAGGAAAAGAATACACGAGCTCAGCAATTAAAAACAAGGTCAGGTACCCGCCAGAGGAAAGGGAAAAGGGGGAGGAATCAAGGCGCTTCTATATAAACGGCGGGCGCAGAGGCAGGAGCCTGAGCGCCTTTTGCTTGCCTGCTGGATTACCAACCCACACTCTCTTCAAAGTACAGGAAAATGGCCAGCATGCGTCGCCCGTCGTAGTCAGAATAAGGTAAAATGGTTTCTGATACGAGGAGCGGGGGGTGTAGAGGGGAGGGGTCGATCTACCGGGCCGTTTCTATTTGTTTGTTGGTCGAGTGGCGGAGCTCACTGGTACAAAAAGGGGGAACCGGGGACAAAGTCCATCGGGTGGCGGGATGCGAGAAGGGGTGGGTGATCGCCCCTCCTTGTCGCTCGGTAAACAACCGCCCCCTCAAGCCCACTGTGCATGGCCCTGGCGTGCCAATGTGGATGAGTTAGAGCGCTGTGACATGGCGCCTCTGCAACCACGGCCGCAGATGCTGACATACACAGGCACAGACACAGACACAGACACAGGCATGGACATAGCCATTCGCACCAAAACAAGCAGGAAACCCGACACAGCCGCTAGTGGAAGGGGGACCCTTTGGGATTGTGGGGAGAGCACAAGCTGCTCTGACGAGGCAATGCGAGCAGACGGACTTGGCAGCAACGGTGACCAGTGGAACCTCAATGCAGATGCGAAACAGGAGCGTTAGTGTACTACATTGCAGCTGCTTTTGGCAACTCAACCAGGCCACAGCGATGAGTGTTGCAATCGCTCAGGGATAGGAAAAAGCAGAGATCGGCCGCTGCCAGCAGCATCTGGCGATTAACAGGCTGCCCATGCATGAGTTTCAATGTCTTTTGCGGCCACCTCGCTCTTCTCACTGGCACTGTCGAACCAAGCGGACGCTGCACCAGATCTACCTTTCATAGGCCAGGTCCATGTCGAGTGATGTCAGTAAAGAGAAAACTGGTTTTATGTCATTACCAGTTGTTTACCGCGCGCGCGCCGTCCTGTCTCCCTCCTCCGCCTTGTTCTCGGAAACCGCACTGTGTGACAACGTAGAAAAATTAGTAACAGTGCAACGGGTCAACAAAAATTGAGGCCAGCGAATTGCGGTTTGGGAAAAAGAATAGTAAGTGATGTCTCTACTGTCCGGGGCACACAGCAAGTTGTCATCTCTCCAGGCATCAGTGGATGCCGGGCCGAGTCTGTGACGTGACTAGCAGGTTTGAATGCAATTGCCGTCCCAGCGTGGTGTGTGTGTGTGCCTTCGTGTTGCCCTGTCACCTCGAAAAATACCAGCTGTTCTGGCACGGTTCACCAACCCATGTTCACAGATGAAAGGTGTGGGCTCCCTTTTTTGTTGCCCACCGCCCTTCCTTAACCATGCCCTCACACCACTTGCTGCCACTTGAAATCAAAACAAAATGGTGCAGTGCGCTACTGTCCGTTGGAGGGAATAGGGAGGTAATAAAAAAGAGGGACAGGCACGAAGCTGGACAAATGAATCCCAGGAAGCGGAGACAACAGAAAGTGCATGCGCTTGCAGTCTGTCTAGCTAAAAGGCTGTAATCATTGTCGGTTCAACTGAATACAAGGAGAGGGAGAAGGTCAGGGATAATGCCGGATCCTTCTTTCGGCACACACAATATCTGCATCCTATGCTCACCCCTCTCTTCCCCCACCTCGCTGTCCAGTCGGTCCCCTTTGCCCATGACCGAGCTGGCTGGATCGGCTGGTGGTGTGAGCTATGAGGCACCCCTATGCGCATGTAGTGAAAAGGGACACACCAAGAAACAATATCTGTTTGAAAACCTGAAGCGTGCAATCCATACGCAGACGCTGCATGAAAGGGAGATGGCAGGAGCAGCCGTGCCAACAAAATAAACAGGGCAGTGTGTGTGCTTTGTTCGCAGGATTTATACGTTGGTGTTTAGAGCCATCCAGCCCAGCCATTACTCTTTGTGGATTGAGAATAGCCCCATGCATGGACAAACAGACGGACAACACTGAATATGATCGGTTCTGCGCTTTCCCAGACCGAGTCCTCCAAGTTGGTTGAAGCAGAAGGTGAAGCAGGCGGGTAAAAAGGAGGCGCATTGGACCTAATTTGCTGCTACCCAAACCGGATCCTGTAAATGCTGTTCATGTACGCAGAGTGCACGGGGCACAATGGACCACGAAATATATTAGGTGGCGCCGTTGCATGGACAATATGCCATCCGGATTTCAGCCGACGCATGTACGGGTATTCCCCCTAGGACTCAGGAGAAGCAGCACACCGTGCCAGGAGCTGTCGACGCAATTGCCCAAAACTGGCTGCCTGCCTCTTTGTTATATATCGGTGATGGCGTGTTTGCATTTGGTTACAAAACAAGCCCTTGGGGCCCCGGCTTGGCATACAGCTATGCAGCCATACAGCCGTGGCCCCAGGACCACATGTCCGCGACGAGGGATGCCGCAAGAGCATACTGCAATTGCGCCTTCATCTCAAAGGCGGGATCAAAACAATTCCTGACCTCAACACCCAGGTGTCTTGCCTGGCCATTTTTGGACTGGTAAATAATTGTGTCAAATGCCAGCTACGCATAGCACCAGGAGTGTTCCGTCAGCGCAATGTGGACAGTTCCTGGTTGCATGAATAAGCGAATATACTAAGACGCAATTGATTTGGCGTTGGAAGTTGTTTATTTAATTTTCTCTCTATCGTCCACTGGTTGCGCAAAAATCGACTGGTGCTGTGTGGCCGACGGGCGAGCAAACAGATGAGCACTATCCTCACCAGCAATTATTGTCCGTTCCTCCGGCATAGACGGGCCAAGAGCACCCGCTAGAAATCATTGGGAGAACGGACAATATTTTATAGTGACACTGAGGGCTGGCAGGTGGTGGCCATGACCGCAGATCGTGCTCGCAGCAGCAGCGAATGGGTGGGTTCTTTGGTTCGATGTCATGGTCGGAGCCTGATCCGCCCATTGCCACTTCAGGACATCATGAAGGTACCCAATACCTTGCAGGTGCGGTACGATTTGCATTCGTATGCTTGGCTCGCCCTTTTTCCCACATTGGGGCCGTCAGCAGGACACGGACGCTCATTCGCCTAAGAGTCACACCGATCATCATCAGTTCTACCCGGGTTCACCCTTCCCGAAAAGCCCCACACCCCCCAACGGCCTGCTTTCCTAGGCTCATTCGGCGCACGCTAGCTGTCCTTTTTCTCCTTCAACCGAAGATTTGCAATTTGCAATATCTCTCCTGAAGACCCGAGTGCGCAGAGCTTCCTTAATGCATGGTCACAGCATCGAATATCAAGCACTATGAGTCGTTCCTCTACCATATCTATTGACGCACGCAGACCATCTCGAGGCAATCGTGCAATCCTGGTGCTGAAAATCGCTTCAGTCTGCAGTCAGCGGAATTCGGTGCTCACACTCTTTCTCAACCAGCGCTTCGGCGAATAGCTGCACACTGACAAAAACGGGTGGCACTTTGAAAATAGACCAAATATAGGTGATGTGGAGGGAATACAAGCCCGAATGTGGCATTGCGCACTGCAACAGATGTGAACCATCGAATACCATGACCAGTTATTATCGTATCTTCACCAACAAACCACACGTGTGATTGTTCATACTTCCACCATTCATTGGCGATTCAATGGACTTCACTTTAAATGCCGTTGTGAACAGGGGAAGCTGATGATACCCATTGAGGAACAGGACTCTAACTTGCCAAAACTTTAAAAGGAAATAGTAAACAGAGGTTGCCAGGCAAACAGGATGTGGCGATGGAAACAAGCCCTATCTTTGTCTACTGGTATCCGCCTTCTTCTACTACAACAATAGAGCCGTGAGCACACACACCAACCACAGAGTTTAACTACTATTTAACCTTGGTGACAGCATTGGGTCACAGACGACGGGCAATTGTAGGATGGAGTGACATGCACACAGGTGGCTGTTGCTGTATTGAAGCAGATAACACACAAAAGCCACTGTCACTCCTGCTTGAGTACATTCCTGAAGACCCGTATCTTGTAAAACGCAGACCCGTTTTAGGAAGTATTCATACAGTGTTTATCTGTTTTCCTATGCTCATTATCTGCTTCTTAAAATCAGCATTATGTTGGTACCAGCACAATTCGGTGGCCATATGCCACTACAGCGGCAAATGGGCCGCTGCGGCTGCGGTGGCACATGTCAGATCCTGCTTCCGAGTTGCTGATCCAGGCAATGATCTGGCTGGTTCAACCAGGTACAGCTGAGGCATGTGGCTACAGGTTCTGCACCATTACAATGCCACAGCCCACCTTCGAATAATGGCAGGACCAGTGAAAATGACAATACTCAAATACTCTAAAGCTATGTGTATTACCTTGGTTGGTAGGCCACGTACCATTGTTGCAAGTTCAGATGCGGTTTGGAATGTATATTCCCAGATATTTCATTAATAGGCGGTGTAGGTTGCTGCTACGCATATAATTTATTCTGCTTAAAAAAACTCTTGTGAAAACAGCAATCAGAATTGGCCACTTTGGGGGTGGCATTCAGGCTGGTAAACGAGAATGCAAAAAATTCAGCAAAAAAGAGGGACCTACCGGAGTTGAACCGGTGACCTATCGGACTGCAGCCGATTGCTCTACCACTGAGCTAAAGCCCCTGATCATCGGATCCTGCTCAATAAGCTAATCCAACTTGCTCTTGTTGTGTTATCGCTCGGCGGGAGTGATAATATGCTAGCAAAGGAGCTAGCGTTGGAAGAGCTCGAACCGGAGCTCAGACGTCGGGGAGAGAAGGTCGGGATTGTAACGGGTTATATTGGGAAACAGGTTCTGAGTCAAGGAGTATCCGGGGGCTTGTTCTTCTTGTCTTGTCCTGTCGGTCTGACTTCTCCATATATATGGAGTAGTCAACGAGTGTCTTGGCTACGCTTTAGGTGTAGCATATACGATAGGAATTCCTGTGTTAGGATCCGTAAGAGGAGCATAAAGGGCGGACTTGTTCCGTAGACGAGGCAGTGTACTTGTGTTTATATTGCGAGTGGAACCTTGTGCGTGTGTGACGTTGTCTTGGCCCGGGTCTTGATCTTGATCTTGATCTCGCAGGTGGGCTTCGTCATGTTCATGCTCATCCGAGTTGAGCATAACAGTTGTTTCCATCCTTTTTAGTTTTGATGTCTTTCAGTAGCCTGTTTCAGATTGTGCCATTGCTCCACTCTACCACATACTGCACTGTAACACGCAAAACAGTATACCCTGTGAAATTAAGGTATCTGATGGTTTTTGAGATGCTAAAAATACTTATAATCTTTAAGGGGCTCCTGCAATATGTTTAACTATTCTGTAGTTATTAAGAGTGAGCCTATATATTTATGATCCTTTTCTAGTATAATATATGCAATTGGCTATTCAGAAACACTATCCTACTATTGCGCAATAGAGGTCATTCATAGAAGAGGGTATTCACAGATAAGAAAATATTAGGAAATTAAAAATCTTATACTAGAATAACAAATTAATAAGTTATATATTATTTACTAGTATCTAATAAATAAAAATACCAAAAAGGTACTTCTATAAAACCCCTATTAGTAGGTAGTATTAAATAGATTCTATTACTATCTTTTACTAGAAGGATATTACTACCTCTAGTATATCCTACTATGCATATCTCTTAGCTATAAAGAGATTGGTTTCAAAGAACTAACCCCTACAATCTCAGGTCAGCCAATTTATACTTAATAGTTGACTGAAGGGATATTTAGTAATAAGTAGGTACTAGCTAGTGCCTACAGATTCTTAGTTTAGTTCTATTAATTAGATTAGTAATAGGCATAGGCAATAGATCAATAATTTATATAAAAGGAGGCATACATGCGTGGGGTATCACTTCTGGGGCAATGTTTCCAGGGACTAAAGCAGCAAAAACTATGGAAAAGGCTGACTGACAGTAATCCACATCATTATATACAGTCAACTTTTTAGGAGAGCAAGAATTCGTAGGCAGATCGGATTAGTTTAATCCGGTTGTTTCAGGGGGTCTAGCTCAAATGGGAGAGCGCGCGCTTAGCATGCGCGAGGCACTGGGATCGATACCCAGGTCCTCCATTTTTGTTTTGCCTGTCAAGCCTATGATTTTGCTCTAGCTTGTTCCTACTGGCCGAAGGGGTTGCTTAGAAGTCACTCTTTTATAAAGCCCCAATTTTATAGGTGGACTGCTGGTAGTATGCCTAACTAGATGTGCTGTTGGTGTATTTACTTGGCTATGTGAGCAGTAAATGCCAATTAATGGTTAATATGTCCTGCTCTAAGCTACAATCGCAGCCCAATCATTTCATGCTTTCTTTTGTTTTTGGACACATAGTAATTAAGCTTTTTCCCATTCTACCCTAATGGTCTACACAAATTTTGAGAGATACATAGAGAGCCTGTGTGGTAAGGTAGTCATTGTTACTGGTGCAGCTAGTGGATTTGGCAAGCGGCTCTCGGAGCAGCTAGCAGAGTGCCAAGCCCAGGTAATGATGGTCGACATCAACCCAGACATCAAGCTGATTTCTGAAGAAATCAACAAGCACGTCGGAACTACTGCAACCGCATATGTCATCTGCGATGTGCGTAAGGCATCCTGCATCCAAGAGTACTTTGATAAGGCAATCGAGGTATTTGGATACATCGATATTGTGGTCAATAACGCTGGAATTGCTAATGAATGCTCGCTGTTCAGCCAAAGCGACGATGTCGAGCTTGATAGAATCATCGACATTAACCTGCGTGCGCCTATGGTGGCGACCCGTATTGCCGTCCGGTATTTCAAGCAAACAGAAAGACAAGGTGTCGTGGTTAATACAGCGTCAGTCGGTGGGTTATTGCCGATTTCGCTGATGGAGAGCTATGGTACTACAAAAGCAGGCCTGATTTTCTTCACAACGTCATGCCGCGGACTGGCACCGGGTATACGTGTTAATGCCGTCGCACCGTACTTTGCTGACACGTCGCTGGTTGCGCACAACCGACTAGTAAACTCGTACCCACTCATCAGGCAGATTGGGCTGATGAGCACAGACAAGGTTGTCAAGACCATGATCAAGGCAGTGTGCGATGAGACACTGGCAGGTGACACGCTGCTAATCTCAATGGGCAACAAGGCACTGAAGCTTTGCTTCTACGACAAGTTGACTGCCGATGTTACGTCATACATTGCCAGTGGGACGGTGAGCAAGTATGCTGGCAACATATACAAGCTGTTCGCATCCGGTTTAGATTACGTTATCAAGATGATTAGAAGCCCGGTTGACTAAGCTGTAGGGTGATATTACATGCATGATCTTTACCTATATATAAGATTTTATTGTCCAAAAGGTGTCCGAACGTCCGCTAGAACCTTTTAAATTAGTTAAAAAATAAAATTTTTAAGCTTCAACATGAGTTTGGGTGACTTGCTCCGTAAACTCCTTTTTGATCTTATGCGGCATCTGACCTCATCAGTGAAACCAGGGCGATAAGTTGTTATTGTAGTGGTCACTGGTTTCCACTAGATATCTCCATTGGTTCAGCGCAAGAGCTGCTCTCATTGTCGGTCGACTCGATAACTTCCATGGCGTCATCATGGCGGTCATCGCCGACCGCGCAACACTATGAACACATATATATAGTAGCATTTGGGTCCACAAATGGATCCAGTTTGTATAGACTGATCCAAGAGACTGTATCAGTGCTAAAAGCCCCAAGAACCATGCAAGCCAGATAATTTTTAATAAAAAGTTCTTAATGCTATGCATCTGCAATACAGCAAAACCGAACAGCATCATTTCTCTTCTTACTTTGCCTATTGAACTTTTCAAATGAATATTACCCGCAGCACTACTGTCATAAAGACATCACTTGGTGGTATTGGCTTCCATGATTCTATGTTGCCCCGCCTAGAGCAATTTGTACACAGCATCAATACCATCAAAGAGCATACATACATGCTTGCACGATGGATATTACTCCATCAACTAACTTATGATGGTACTTTTGACCCTGCAACATTTGTGAAAAAGGGATTCTTTCGTTCAATTTATTTATTCATTTACTACAATCTGAAGGCGAAGACGGCCATATCTGCCGAGGATTTCGTTAACCAGAAGGACAGGTCAAAACTGTCAAGCGCAGATTTCAGTGATGTAGTTAGATACCATATTTATGATTATCTATTACATAATGGCGATATCGAGCTACATGGCATACGCGAAATGAATCAGGTAGCGACATATGTTGACACCGAGCTGATGACAGCATACAAGAACAACATTGTGTTGCACTATGGCACTTGCCTACAGCGGATTCCGGCCAAATTGATTGATATTCGCAGCCGTAAAAACATACTGCACAGTACAATGGGCAATGTGTCCAAGGCTGAGTTCAATAATGCATGTCAAGTGTATATCTATACACCTGCACAGAAGCTCCGCCAGACAGTTGCCTCTAGGCACTCTGATCTCAGTGTGTTCACCCCACCGATGCTTGCAATCTACAACAGGCTGTCACCAGTCCTTAATGCCTATGATGCCAAGTACAGATTCGCCAAAGACAGCTGATACTATGATGCCAAGGTAAATCCACTTAAGCATCTGCGTGCATATATTCGCCTATGCTGGCTTATCGAGAATGAGCAGCTTGACAAGTCTCCCCCCAATGCTTGCCTCTGCGGACATCATGGATCCCAGGCCATGTGCGCTTAGACAAGCAAATAATCAAGCAGGTGTTTATTTCGAAAACACGCGAGCAGGTTACCATGGCCAATGCAGCAAAGAGGGCAGCAACAGAGGCAAGGAAAACAGCAGAAAGGGGAGAAAAATTGGCCAAGAAGGCTACACGCGAAGCAGCGAAGATGCCATCAGATGAAACAGAGGTCACTGCAGCAACTGCAGTAGTAGCAGCTGATTCACTTGCTGGTGCATCGGCTGCTGCAGTAGACATTCCGGCATGTTCCAACCCGCGGCCCTACCAGAGATCGAAGAACCCAACTGTGAAGTGCCATGGCCTTCTCCGCTGTACAAGCGAGTCATGTAAGCGGGCCATGGCACAATACAGGTGGGCCTATTCGTCTCGGCTCTTGAACCGCGATCTCGCAGCAGTTCTAAACTTCAGACTCACTTTCCAGTCACTCTGTGATCCAGGCAGTATTCCTGAACGGCTCCGTCGCTTTACGGCCATTGTTACCAATGCTTCTGGCAGCATCCCTGCAACAAAGAGGCCATGCAAGAGGCATGCAGCAGCGAACCAGCACTGAAACGCCTGCACTGAGCGGACCATCAAGACAGGAGATGTCCAAGATCACCATTCCACTAACAACAGTCCGAACACGTTCAAATGACCGGTTCGTCGTGATGCTCTTATCGACGTGTCAACCCATGCTGACTAGCAGCCGAGTTCGTATCATGAGCAGAGTATTTCTAGTATAGTAAGGCGAGTGGATTAGCAATAATTTAAAGCACAGGTTACTGCTCATCGGACGACCCAGACGGGATCTGTTCGCAGTGGTGGGTGGGATGAGCAAGCGAAGGATATGTTGACGGTAGGCTGGCCAGCAGTGTCGGGTCCAGGGATGAGCTGCGGTACTGGCGACCAAAGCTTAGGCCGCTGCTGATCTGGTAAGCGTTCAAAAACGGTGGGAGTACTGATATTGATGCAGGCTCCACCGAGTCTGGCAGCTGCTCGCTGTCGGCCTTTGGGCGGGGATTGGAGCCCATTTGCTGCTCCCCTAGGTACGCTGATATCGAGTCCTGTGGTTGTGTATTCTCACCCCAATAGATGCTATGGAGTTCCTCGGCCTCAATAGGCAAGGGCGTCAGTGTGGTCGGGCCCTGTGGGAGTGTAGAAAGGACTGTCTCAGCATCGTTTCCTAGGTTGCTGGCCTCGTCTCCAGTGCCACCTTCAGTTACCGGCGACAACATGTCGGCGCTGAATTCGTTCCAGACACGGTTCCCATGGACCCGAGGAGAGAAGCTGGTGGATAGCGGCTGGATGCGGTGCTTCGCTGCGAGGGATGAGCCGCTGCCATCAAGCAGGCTGCGCTGGTAAGAGACATTGCGGCGCTCTTGGATGCGCTCCAGATGCTTTGAGAAGAGTCGTCCGACCATCCGGCGATGCAGTGCCTCAAAGCCCTCATGAGAGTGGCGGCGAATCATCTCCAAGCGGCTCTGGGGGATTTCCACTGTGCCAGCGGCAATGCTGAGACGCCTGCCCTCGTTCAGCACTCGCGAGTGAGTGCGTGAAATCGCTTTTGATCGCGACTCTGACGGCCACGAGTACATATCGCTGTTGGCACCAACCGGGGGGCTGACTTTGTGCTTATTGTCAGGCGTGAGGCGGCTCCATGCCTTCAGGTTCTTGTCTAGGCTGAGCAGCAGCTTATCGTCCACGGGAAACAGCGACACGAGCTCAATGAAAAATGGACGAATGATGATGTTGCCAAAGTCCAGGGATACCTGGCGTTGGTCGGTTGTGTCACGGTCCATGTTGGGCGAGACCGGTAGCCCCATATTCTTCTCCAGGTCACCCTGGTTGAATGACTCGATGTTCATCAGGTCCGACCACTTTTTGCACATTGTCCATGGTAGTACCGGGTTGAAGATATCGACAGCATGCAGCAGAATGTTGACCAGGCTCTGCCGCTGTGTGCTGTCCAGCAGCGCATCGCACATTGAGATTGACCGACGGACCTTGATATGCGGCTTGCTTGTAGTTAGCAAAGGCGGCTCATCCCCTGCCAGATCTTGGCCCGGCTCTTTTGACTTGCCGGCCGTTGTTGGTGGCGTGGGCAGTGTTGTTAGTTCCAAGTCTTCTATGCGGCGTCGGGACTCTGTGCGAGAAGCAATGCTAATAGCTGTGTTTTGCATGGTTGACAGAAGCGGCAGCATAGGCGTGGGGGCTCGCTAGGCGAACGGAAGCGTGGCGACTGCCTGGCAGCCTGGGCAGCCTGTCTGATGGCAGGGACTGCGCCTGTTGTCCTGGCACGGCTTACTGTCCTCTCAGAAGCAGCACCAGAGACCGGTGGCAGCTTGGAGTCTGGTGTGCCGCTGATGCGAGGGCTATGGTCTGGGCGCTCGCAGTACCCGTTGGGGCATTCTTCCTGGGGCAGGTCGTGACCAGATATCCTGCGGGCTTTCTTGGAGAGCACCGAGATTAGCAGCTTGCATTCCTCGACCTCCTCAAAATGCCGGCTCATGTCGGTGTAGAGAATTGCTGTGCGCATGCCATGCATCATGCGCGATGCAATATCTCTCTCTGTCGCAGTGTTATCGTTGTAAACCGGGTCACGGACATTTTCCACATTGCGAAGCAGCTTGTGCTTCTCCACGTATTCAACGGCGAGGTCAATAGAGAACCGTTCCAGGATAGCATCCGGGTATTTCTGTGCGTATTTCGTGTTGGCGTTCCTTTGGAACAGGTTGTTGAGCCCAGGCTATAAAGAGAAGGCACAGGTAGGGTTTAGCAGCAGGGGGTTCTTCTGAACTGCAAATCATACACTGGAAGCGCCGTAGGGGCGGCTATTTGTTTACTTACATGACCAGCGTCGTGACAAAGGCCGCTGATTAGCAGGACTGCGACATCGTAGGAGGCCAAATAGGACGATGCCTGTAAATCGTTCAGTACAAAGTACAGCTTCACGACCACATCGATAGCGTGGTTGAACGAGTGGTATGGAACGTCGTTGTATAGTGCTTCGATGTCGAGGCAAAAATCGAGCATCTCGCTGGGCGTCAGCTCCAGAACACGCAAAACGTGCATTTTCGAAAACACGCCCAGCAGAATTCCCAGCTTCTCTGCATGCGAGTATTTCCATGGATCGAAATCCATGCCCACCTGAGCCCATTGCTCGTCAAAATACGTTGTCATAACCTAATGTTGCAAGCAGACAATACGTGCAGAAAATTAGCGCAATTATTGCCAGCCGCAGTTGTAGTAACACTTTGCAAACAATGACCTCAAAGCAAGTTGGCTTGAGGGCTGTCGATTCTCTCCAATGTCAGTGACGTCCGATAGCGCCTCTCCAGCCGTGGGGGTAGGAGAGGAGGGGTAAGCGGCGTCATGTTTATCTGTCAAGCAGCCGGTAATATTTCAGATAACGCCTGCTGCTTGTTGTGCAGTCCCAGGCCCGCTTGCCACCTCCGCACGCCTTAACGCCTCTTGCGGCGGATAGAAAGTTGCTAATAGTCCTTACCTCCTCGACCGTAGCGAGCTCATCCTCGCTCAGGAGGTTCTGTTTTGAGCAGAGCATGTGTTAAAAACAGGACTTGGCCGCGTGCCAATAGAGTATATAAACGAGAGGTTAGCGCGAGCGTAGTAGGAAGGGGTGGGAGTTGAAAGAGTGCGAAAAATAAAATTAATAAGGGCTGTAAAAATCGAAGGGAAGGAGAGAGAGGTGTGTAACGAATGAACCGGGCTGTGCGCTCCTGGCTTTTTATCCCCGAAAATCTCAATTGTCAGCTTCCCAGAAAAATAGCGATGGAGGTTTTTGAAAATGAAAAGGACAACACCGGTGTGCTTGAGTCCATCAATTGTCTCGCAACAACACCCTTTTGGGCACGCCATCTATTCACGACGGCTCCACTGGTGCCTCTCGGGGGTTCGGTGCAAAGAGCGAACGCACCACCAATAGCTATGCTCTATGTAAAGCCCAACGGTCACCTTTGCCTTGTAGTGGAGGTGCTGCTCTGACAAAGACAAAGCAGCCTTTTGTAGCGGGCACTCAGAACAATAGACTGTCTCATGCAAGTGATCGAAGATCACTAATGAGGCTTTGTTGGGTCTTAAGGCCTTAGAAATCAGCGCTGTCCGCTCCGCCAATGGGGGCTTCCTAGAGGGCAGCGCGTCGTCACGTTCATGGTGCTCGCAGCCTCTCCGCTCAAGCAATAGTGCTTTCATTGAATAAGCAGATTAGCGCCGCAGAAAGATCAATACCGAACAGGCGCGATAGTGTTTGTAGGTTCGCAGATGCACAAAGCAGTCGACAAGAGGGAGGGTACTCATGCCATCTTGGCACCGTGGCACGTAAAGAGGAGGGGCAAAAGGCAGCTCTACACCGCCTACCAATAACTGGCAAGGCATGGGACTAATCGGCAGCGGTAATCGCCGTGATCAATTAGGCGGCCATGGATAGGCCAGCGGGTGCTGGGGGAGAGGGTTCATATCTAGCAAAGCACCCACTGCCCCAACGGCACGAATCTTGTCAGGAACCTGGCGCGTTCACTGGGCTAGAGCCGGCTAGGTGTCACTGAAGACGGACTGCATCTGTTGTCACAGATTCCTAATTATGGAAATGCTCCATTTTGCTTGACGTCAAAGGCCTGCAAGCAGTCCCCGAGCAAGCGCGCATCCTATTCCATGAAGCCAGTGTTCCCGCGGCCTGCACAGCCTTCGGATGGACCGGACCTTTGCACACCTCCAGAACAGCCCGGACATTGGTAAACAAGAAGCGCAAGCAGCGCCGGTGGCTGCTGGACGGGGCAAGTAGTAGCAGCAGCAACAAGGGCGCCTCATTTTTGGCGCAATCTCACACTGGGGCCTCTGCCTCCCTGCCACGTAGCAGACCCTGACAGCATTTCACACTGGTTGGGCGTAGCACTATAGCGGCCCGCCCGGTGGCCTCCTTTCACACGCACTGGCCTCCGGCGCCAGACGATACACAGGCGTGAATTTGCAGCAGATAGCAGCGGGCTGGCTATCATCCAGGAGGCTGCCAGCAGCAGCGATAGCATGTGGAAGTCGGCTGGACCGGGGAATAAAGCCAAGCCAGGGAAATTATCAGCCAGTCTTATCGCTCGCAGATGTCTCCGAACGGGAGCGACGAGGCGGCGTGCCTGCCACCTGCTCCGCACACACCGTCCTGTCCCCCCCAAAATTTCGCTCATGAAAGCAAAAACGATCTTTATGATTTCCTTATCTCGAGGCCATTTTCTCCGATACCCACACTGGCCGTGACGGAGGTGGAGGAGGGCTAGCCGCTTATAAAAGGGAACCGTCGTTCCGCGTCCCTATTCAGCTGCGTTCTCCTTTTCTGCTGTTATTCATCTCCTTCTTCCCAACTCATTTTTATACACATTAGCCACAATGTTCGCTCTGCGCACTGCCAACAACGTCTCTGCTCGTTCGGTAAGTACCAAAGCTGCGCACCGGTCACTGCCCTTGATTTGCCTCTACGCTCTTCATCTCCAAGAAGCCCCTGCGGTATCTCCTTCCCTACCTCTTCCCTCTTCCACCCAGCACGAAATCGCAGTGGTTCTAGCACCAGGTGCGACTGCTGAATCCTCTGCTGTTGTGTCAGGGGGTGAGCGGGGGATAGGTAGCCTGCACGGACTATAGACTCCTCTCAGCCAAGGGGATCTTGCTCAACTTTATGCGCGTCTTTATGCACATGCATGCCCAAGGCAGGACATCTGTAATAAAGAGCTGCGCGGATGGGTAAGGAGCAGCTCTGGTTGGCTGGTCCAAGTCCGTCGGGAGAAGAGGCTGCAGAAGGGCGACTTCTCGATCTACAAACTTGGGTCGGGTCCCGATCTCACCCGCGAGCCAGCCTGGCTATTTCTCCGCCCTTTCGCTTACTCGCCTTTATGTGGCCGGGCTGGGCGTGTGAGCGCACGAACCAGCTTGCTATTGTGCGTCCTTGACAGCGACGTGGAATTATTCTGTGCCGCGCGTCGGATCCCGATCTCCACTTTGTGGGAAGAGAGATTTGTGGAATTGCAAGATTGCACTGGTGGCTAATTTACCCTTTTCCCGCTCCACTGTAGGCCAACCTTGCCCCGGCTATCGCCGCACTGGCCCGCTTCAAGTCCACCGCCTCGTCCACCTCGGTAAGTATCGGTGTCTGTTTGTTCATGCGACTCCCGTCAACACGGCGGATCGCTGTTCAGACCCAACCGCCACCGGCAGTGTCGGTCGATGGCGAGGGATTGCCACCCGCCCGTAGGGAGAACCCGGGAGACCGACCAAGTAGCTAACCAGACTTCCTGTTGTCGCAATATTGTAGTCGCTGAAGCAGCGTGTCCAGGAGCTCATCCCCGAGAAGGTCGCTGAGGTCAAGGAGGTCAAGCAAAAGTACGGCGATCGCGTCCTCGGCGAGACCACTGTCAACATGGCTTACGGTGGCATGCGCGGCATCAAGGGTATGATCTGGGACACCTCTCTGCTCGATGCCAGCGAGGGTATCCGCTTCCGCGGCATGACTATCCCCGAGGTCCAGGAGTCGCTGCCCAAGGCCGAGGGCACCACTGAGGTCACCCCCGAGGGTCTGTTCTGGCTCCTGCTTACCGGCGAGGTCCCGACCCTGGCCCAGGCCCAGTCTGTCACCGACGAGCTCAACTCGCGCGCTGTCCTGCCGTCGTTTGTCGAGGATCTGATTGACCGGTGCCCCAACACACTGCACCCGATGTCGCAGTTCTCGATCGCCGTCAACGCCCTCCAGCATGAGTCCAAGTTTGCCAAGGCGTACCACGCCGGCATCAACCGCAAGGACTACTGGGACCCGGTGTTCGAGGACTCGCTCGACCTGCTGGCCAAGCTGCCGCTCGTCGCCTCGCGCATCTACCGCAATGTCTTCAAGGACGGCAAGTACGGCGCCATCGACACCTCGGTTGACTACTCGCAGAACTTTGCCAACCTCCTCGGGTTCTCGGAGAACAAGGAGTTTGCCGATCTGATGCGCATGTACCTCGTCATCCACTCTGACCACGAGGGCGGCAATGTCTCGGCTCACACCACCCATCTTGTCGGCTCTGCCCTGTCCGACCCGTACCTGTCGTTCGCTGCTGGTCTCAACGGCCTCGCCGGTCCGCTGCACGGCCTTGCCAACCAGGAGGTCCTCCGCTGGATCCTTGACATGACCACCGCCCTGGGCACTGAGACCCCGACCGAGGACCAGATCCGCGACTACTGCTGGAAGACCCTGAACTCGGGCCGCGTCGTGCCTGGCTACGGGCACGCCGTGCTGCGCAAGACCGATCCGCGCTACATGGCCCAGCGCGAGTTTGCGCTCAAGCACCTGCCCAACGACAACCTGTTCAAGACCGTGTCGGCCATGTACAAGGTTGTTCCGGGAGTCCTGACCGAGCACGGCAAGACCAAGAACCCGTGGCCCAACGTCGATGCCCACTCGGGTGTCCTCCTCCGTCACTACGGCCTTGTCGAGCAGGACTTCTACACTGTCCTGTTCGGTGTGTCGCGCGCCTACGGTGTCCTGGCCCAGCTCATCTGGGACCGCGCCCTCGGTCTGTCGATCGAGCGCCCCAAGTCGCTGACCACCGAGTCCATCCGCAAGATGTTCGAGAAGTAAGCGCTCCAAAAGTAACACTCTTCTTCTGTACACACCTTCAACGATATTTCCCAATATTTTCCGCTCTAAACTCGCAATGCTATGATGACACTATCAAAGCACACGTGCAAAGGGTCACGCTACTGCATCCCATATGCCGTCTGATGGCGCCAATCATGGTGATGGGGTTAAAGGGCAGGTGGGGCAGGGAGAGGTATAAAAGGCGCGAGAGCACACCTTTCCTCCACTTTTTTTCGCTTTTTTCATTGCTAAACGGCTACGTTTTTGCGCTCGCATCTCAGAAATGCCTTCATACTACGAGCTCTATCGCACCAGCACTCTCGGCATGGCCCTGACAGACTCTCTGGATGAGCTGATCCAGGCTGGACACATTACGCCACAGCTGGCAATACAGGTGCTGGAGCAATACGACAAGAGCATCTCTGAGGCCCTGGCCAACAAGGTCAAGGCCAAGGCGATGCTGAAGGGGCACCTCAGCACATACCGGTTCTGCGACGATGTCTGGACGTTCATAATCAAGGACCCGACATTCAAGTTTGAGCACGACACGGCGAGCTGTAACAAGGTGAAGATTGTTGCGTGCAATGCTAGGCGTCCAGGAGAAGTCTAAATGTATTAAAATAAAGCTATTGAAGTCGCCGCCGGATCACGCCCACCAGGCCGCCGATGCGTCGCCAGTGGCGGGCCCATTGCGTGGCGATGCTCAGCGTGAAGCCCTGGACAAAGGGGATGAGCATGGCATCGACGAACAGGCGTTTCCACCAGGGCTTGCCAAGCGGAGGCAGCGGTCTTGTTGTCTTTGGCGGTTCAGCAGGGTGCGGCTGCGGCTGCGGCGGGTGGGGTACTAGTACGCGGCCAATGCCGCTGACGTGCGCAGAATATAGCGTGTCGGTGTGCCGTGCTGTGTCCATTAGGTGCGAATATGCCGATATGCTTTAAGCTGTCGGGTTGGGCAGCCGTGAAGCCAGCACAGCGGTTTCCGATTTGTGACGTGGGCGTTTCTCGTTAATATGGGACGGTGTGGCGGGGGCAAGTGCAGCAGCAGCAGCCAATGGAGCCTGCCCAGCAAGCCAGCATGGTCTTTTTTATTGTGTGCCCAAGCTGCTGTTCAATTGTCAAGCAATTTCAGCTTCACTTTCTTCCTTTTTTGCAATTGAAACACCGTTACTTTAAAATGTACAACATCTTTCAGCGGCTCAGCAGCATAACGTCGTTCGCAATGTCGACGCTGATGGTGTTGGCGGTGCTGATTTCGCTGACGACGCCGTTCATTCCGTCGTCGCCGACGCACAGCGTGACGCTGCATTCGGTGCAGAACGCCAAGGGCCGCGTGGTGGACCAGTTTGACCGGACAGCGCGCAAGTCGGAGTTTGCGCGGCTGACGTTTGACCTTGATGCGGACCTGTCGTCGATGTTCAACTGGAACACGAAGCTGCTGTTTGCGTATATCACGGCGGACTTTGAGAGCGCCGATTACTCGACGAACCGCGTGGTGGTGTGGGACAGGATCATCCGGAACACGCGGCAGGCGAAGCTGCGGCTGCGGAAGCACCACAACAAGTACACGCTGAGAAACATGAAGCAGACGTTCGAGGGCGTGGAGGGAGCGAACCTGACGCTGCACATTAACCCGGTGCCGTACCTTGGCATTATGTATGACAAGGAGGTTGTGAGCATCCCATTCAGTATCCCGCGCCCGGTGGTCAAGGACAGCGCCAAGGAGAAGGCAAAGACAAAGAGGGGCAAGAAGGTCTGAGGTGTTTGCAGTCAATAAATACGATCCAATGACGGACTAGCAGGAACTGCTGAGCGTAACAGGACACGCGTAACGGGGGCCGGTGCAACCCGGGAGCTGCGGGCAGGTCGGAATATTCTGGCGGATAAATAAGAGCGGCGGTGGCAGCCTCTAGTCTTCGGCAAACGGAGAACCGGGACCACAGAAGGCGCGCTGGGGGCTTCTGCCGCCCAGCCCAAAAAGGCCAAAGTTCCACGGCTGCTAATTCCACGCACAGGCACGGTCGCCGCAAAGTCACTGGCTGGGTGTGACAGGCGGGGTAGCCGGATCGTCCACAGGAGCTGGCCGGAGTGACCTCCAGCAAATTCACTTGCGCCTTATCTAGCGCACAGGCCCTCCTGGGTGCTCCTTGTGCCTCGCGTTATCAGCTGCATTTCCTATCCTGCTCCGGCATGTGCCAGACGGCTAGGGCGATACCAAAAGGAGGATTTTTGGCTCGTTATCTCTCCCGACCCTAATGCTTGAAGCGATAAAATGGACATTGAGGAACACGGGACAAGCTAGTAGTCGTTAATTGCCGGGCCCAGCGTCGGGCGGAATCCCTTTGGGCCAAAGTGCTTCGCGTAGCACTGGCGGCAGTAGATCTCGCCATCGCGTTCGGTCAGCTGCAGCGAGCTGATGGTTGTGTTGCAGAGTCTGCAGCGGATGCACTTCTTGTGGTACTTGCGGCCAGCAGCAACGCCGGCCTCGGCTGCGTAGATGCGGTCGTTGCATCGCGGGCAGATGTCGGCTGGCACGTTGAACGCCATTTTCTTGGGCTGGTATGCGCGCCCATACAGCCCGCCCCGCGACGAGCCGGGCCGAGGCGCGGTCTGCACCGGCGACGGCGGGCCCACCGACGATGCCACTGCCGCAGCCGCAGCCGCAGCCGCCGATGCCGCACTAATAGTGCTGGTGTTGTATGAGCCGAGCGCCGGGCCGCGCGATCCACCGTCGAGGCTGCCGCTGTGCATGTGCTGCCGCGGAGGGCTGGCCGAGTATGGCGACACCAGGGGCATTGGCGGCACAGCATTGCTGGCGGCGCGGCTGCTGCGAGTCGGGGACTGCGAGTGGTCGGTGGAGCTGGACGTGGCGCGGGACCGCGTAATCCCGGCCTCGCTTACAGTCTCGGTGGACCCGCCGATGTTGTAGCCGCGCGGGCTGAACAGCTTCGTGTAGCAGTTGCGGCAGAACGCTTCGCCGTCGTGCTCTGTCACCGTGGCCGAGCTCAGCGACGTGCTGCAGCGCTTGCATCGGAAGCACGCCTTGTGCCATGGGCCCCGGGGGCCAACGACCTTCTCGGCGTGGTAGATCTGCTTGCTGCACCGCGGGCAGATGTCCTTGTTGGCTGCCACATTGAACCGCGGCCGCCCCGAGCTGAACACGCTTGACGGCGAGATGTCGCCCACGTGCTTGTATCCGCCCACCGTCACGCTGCTGCGCGATGGCGTTGTCCGGGGTGGTATCTGCGGCGGCTGGCTGGTATATGATGCCGGACGAATACACGCTGGCCCGGGACGGCGCCTCCGGTGCTGTCTGGTCTCGGTAGCTGCTGCTGACTGTTGCAATGCTGCGCTGGGGCAGCGCCGGTGCTTGCTGGTCGCGCGAATCGACTCGGGTGTTCTGTGGCGACTCGGCATACTGAGCGACCGGGCGTGCATTGACTGGCGGCGGTGGAGCCGCAGCGGCGCCTGAGATCGCATTGCGCGCTACAGGAAGAGAAAGACAAAACAAAGCGCTGGTATTAATACAAGGCCACAGGGAATGCCCCTCTACACACAATGCTTCCCATGCATTGTCAGTGCATGCACGCATTGTCCTGTTTCAGTATATTTCTTCGCTGAGCGCGTCGCAGTATAGAGGCTCGTGGCTCTTACCTCCAGGCCTGAACATGCGCGAGTGACACGTCCTGCAATACACTTCGTGCTCGTGCTCTGTCATCGTCGTCGAGTCCAGTCGCCGCTGGCATTCCTACATTGCCCGTGGCTGTTAGAACGTGTGGCCATTTGGAGGCTGCTGACCTGCAGGGTGGTTGTTTGAACTTGCGTGTGCCTCGTTGATATGTTACCTTACACTTGAAGCAGGACCGGTGCCAGGGGCCGTCGGGGCCGATAACCTAAAAGACCAAAGCGTTTAGCGGCTAAAGTCGACTTTCTTATTTTGGCTGGAATGGCGCTCACTGTCTGGGCAATTTCGGCCTCTATTTACCTCCTCTGCAGCATACACGCTTTTGCTGCACCGAGGGCATTTTGGAGCTTCGCCAAAGACGACCATTTCGGGTTGAATTTCTTATGAACAGCAGGAAAAAATAATAGCGAAAAAAAACGAAGCGAGCTGAACTAAAAAGAAAGGCAGAAAAACAACCTCCGCCAAGCGGGCTGGCCCGGTTATAGCCGATGATGTCGACCGCGCACAACCCACAAAGATGCAGCGCATTTTGGCAGGGCCTTAGCGCAAGACATAATTCGCCCAAAATCCGATGGGTGTTTTCTTCGTTTCGCATTTCGCCACTCCCTCTCTATAACCGCAGCGCAATGGTAAGGGTGCTGACGCAGCAAAACAATTACCGGCCGCCGGTGGTTGCTGACAAAGACACGCGTGTCGCTTGCATCTCCCGATCGCGATTCCCGATCACACTTGCTGATCGACAAACGCGTACCAGCTGTAGGACCATCTCAAGACGACCTTCGATAGCATCTGCGCCATCAACGGCAGCACCGGCGCCGTCATGATCCGGGCTGACGACGGCGAGATCATCCGCCAGTCAGGCCTGCAGTACAATTCAGACGAGACATTTGTTCTGTCGGGGCTGATGAAGGATGCCGCGCGCCTGGTAAGCATCGTCGACCCGAACATCAAGTCGTTGACACGCGTGACCATCTCCAGACAAAACGGCTCGTCAATTGTCGCCACAACGCACCAGGACCATGTGTTTGCAGTCAAGCTGGCGACCCGCTAGATCCCCAGGGCCCTATCGGTGATCACGCAGGGCTACAGCCTAGTGCCAAGCCTGCTGTTTCACCACCACCGCAGCTTTTCCTCTTCTGTTAGGTGCCCATTCTGAATTTTCTTTTCCTCATTTTTTCCATCTCTTTGTACTTTGAATTTTTGAATTCACATAATGTCGACCACAGCACAGCCAGACGCCGACGCCTACAACTCAAAGCTGCGCGCCATGGCCACATCGATGTTCCCGGGCCGCTCGCTGTCGCCCGAGGAGATTGACTATATTGTCCGACGAGAAAAGTTCAACGACAAGCACAAGGGCCACGAGGGCATGCACCTGATCATGTTTCTGATTCTGGTTGTCGCCATGGCCTCGCTACCGCAGACCGTAGCATTCTGGCGGAGACGGCACCCGCGGTCGTACCGGCTCGTCAGCATCGCCTCGATCTGCCTGATTCCGCCCTACTTTGCGCTGGGGTCCGGCTACTACCGGTTCATTGCCTATGTGGCTTGTCTACGCCATCGCCAACATTTATGTTTTGTACAAGGCGACGCGTGAGCCATTGCATCCGAGCACCCCGCGCAACGTGTACCAGTGGTTTGCCTTCATCAACAAGGCATCGTATGCGGTGTCGTTTCTGGGCGGGATCTTGTTCATGTTTTGTTTCTTTGACGTCATCCCGCGCTACACCTGACAGCGACTTTTTCATCCAAATGAGCATGACCACCGTGTTCTACGGGCTGTATTTCGGCTTGATGAGTCGCGATCTGGTCACGCTGTGCACAGACAAGATGGCTGCGACTCTGGGATACTCGAGCATGGCAAGTCTTCCAACAAAGACTCTGCCGAAGCACGTCTGTTGTGTGTGCGGTGCTGGACTCGTTCAGCGATGAGAGCGACCATGGCATGCTGTTTAGTGATTCGGATCTGTCGTCTGGCTCGAATGCTGGACCAGGTGTCAATGTCATTGCGGAGCCGACACATAGACTGGAGTGCGGACACGAGTTCCACGCCAGCTGCATCCGCGGGTGGTGTGTGGTTGGCAAGCGCGACATCTGCCCGTTCTGCCGTGAAAAGGTCGATCTTGAGACATTCAAGCAGAACCCGTGGGACAAGCAGGAGATCGTCTATGTCACAGCGCTCGAGTACATGCGCTACTTTATCAGCTGGCAGCCACTCACTATTCTGGTCCTGGCAACGATATACTGGATCCTTGGGCTGGAGTAGGTTGTAATGTGATCGCAATAGATGTCCTATAAGTGTGTCTTGCCCACGTTTATCGGCATTGTGACGAGGAAACAGCCCGCTGATCTGGGGCAGCACAAACGCTATCTGGTTAATTTCTTCCCTTGCTCTATTCTACCTGCACAATGTCTATTATCCTGGCCGAGCGGCTGAAGAGTCTGCAGCTCGATGGCCAGCCGGGGATCGCTCCCAAGGCCCTCCAGTTCTACGACATGATCACTCAGCGCGTGCGCACCTCCCGTAACAGCTCCTTCACGCTATGCCGCGAAACCATTGCCATCCAGCTGGCCTGCGAAAAGCTCTCAATCGAGTTCAACCAGGTTGCTGCCAGCACCATATCATCTGTAAGCCTGCCCATATACCAGGCATCAGTGCAGGAGGCGCGCGCTGCCCTAGGCCTGATCAAAAACATCACATTGGAGGAGCTCGACGTGCAGTTTGGCCCGCCCGAGGGCGTCATCCCGTATGCGCGCCAGCTGCTCGACGAATTCAAAGAAACACTAGGTGCGACTATGCCGGCGGCTGCCAGACGCAGCATGGACTGGTCCGGGTCTGTGTATGTTGCTGCGGCTTTCGCGCTAGCGTGCAAACATATGAAAAAGCGGGTGGTGGCCAAGACGAAATTGTTGAGCTTGGCAGGGATTAAGCCGACGGTGTTTGCGGGCGTGCAGAAAAAGATGGAGGACTACGGGAAAAAGACGCTGCAGGAGATTGCGGCGGGCGGGGGAGCTATGGCTAAGGCAGTAGCGAGAGCGCCTACGAAGAAGCGGGCAGCAGCTGTGGAACCACCGGCTGATTCGGCAGTATTGACGCAACCCAAACGAACCAGAACTCAGTCCGGCCGTTGGTAGAGGAAGAGGCAACGCAGTCTGCATTGCAGACAAGGAGTAGGCGTCGGGCTACTGCACCATCCGCAGCCGCCACGCCGCCACCACCTGTCAGAAAACAGCCAGCTAGAGCAGCAAGGGCGTCATCCGTCCGATCAGCAAAAGCACCGGTAGTACCTGTTAGGAAGACAGTGCGCAAACCTACATCGAAGAAGCCAGCCAAGCAGCCTCGAATTGGAATTGTGTCGATGATCCAGGACCGCGACTACAAATCGACTGCGTTGTATGCGGACTATCAGCAGTGGAAGCAGAACATATTATCACATTAGTCTCTCGAGGTTTCGTATTTCCAAACATGCGCACCGTGCAGTCAGTGCCAGTATCTTCGAGCAGCACTCATGGTGTTTGTGTGGAGGTTTTAGGAGGGAGCAGTGCGATACAGGCAGTCTATTGTGATGTCCACGACACAAACAAAAGCTTTCCTGAGTGAAGGGATGTTTAGTATCCAAGTGATGCACTGCAATAGTATTTCTTCAATATAATTCAATATTCTGCTCTGTCCATCCTCTTGGCAGCTTAATAATGTTTTTATGTGGTCATGTAGCTGTGGTGTGTGTACAAGCATGCTGGTGTGTGTATTGTATATTTGAGTGTAGTGGAATGCAGATGATGTAAAACGTAAACTGGTAATTTAACTATGCAATAAATATGTGGTGACATTTCTATATTGCCACAACGGCAGACTTTGAAGCGCAGCTGACTTTTCTGCCCGGCGGGGTCGGTGTAGGCAAGGGCTTGCGTACACTCTCAGTCCACTCAGTGACCATCGAGATGGGTCGCGGCTTCTTGGGGGCGCCAGCGTTCTTCAAGCGATCTGTTCCGGGACCCGGCCTTGGTACTCGGAGTGCTGTTGGTCTCCGCATCATCACTCTCGCTATCATCATCTGACTCTTGCTCGTCCTTGTCCACACCGTCGGCGTCGGCGTCGGCGTCCTTGCGCGTGCTCGAGGCGCTGCTAAAAACTGACTTGCAGATGCTTGCGGGCGATAGAGACGCAGCAGACCTGGGGGATCCTGAGCCAGAGCGGGACCTTTTTATACTGGCCATAGCGCGGAGCAGCGGCGACCTAGTCTTAGTGCTGTCGATACTCGTTTTGGCAGCTGCATTTGTTTTGGCTTTGGCTTTTTCCTTAGTCGTTTCCTTGGCCTTCGCCTTGGATTTGGTCTTCGCCTTGCCTTTTCTCTCCGGCTCCGAATCATCCGACTCCAAGGCATACTCCTGGCGGTGGTGCCTGCGCTCGCCGCGACCGGAGCCCTTCTTGTCGCGCGGATCCTCAAGCTCGCCGATGATGCGCTTCACTGGGCCTGGGACCTCGTCCCTGCCACCGGCTCTCTCCTGCGAGGGCACACGGTGGCGGTTTCCAGCACGCGCCTCGCGTTCGCGCCCGCGCCTTGACGTCGGCGGGCGATCCTGGTATCTGCGATGGTTGCCGCCGCGTCTGCTGCGGTAGTTGTCATCGCGCTCGTCATAGTGGTGGGCGTCATATTCACGATCATCGTACTCATCGTAGTAGTCGCTGCGGTAGGGCTCCTCGTCATCGTAGTCGTAGTAGTCGTAGTAGTCATCATTGTGCTGGCTTCTGCGACGCGCACGAGCGAGGAGCTTGCGCGGCTTGGACTGGTACGGGGAGGTGCGCTGGCGGAACTCGCGCTGTCTGTGGCGATCGGCCTCGTCGTACTCGCTGGAGTACGTCGGGTGCCGGTGAGCGTTGCCTCCATGCGGGCGTCTAGTGTGCCCGCGGTGCTCACCACCCTTCGAGGTATAGCGCTCGGAATCAATGTATGAAGTCGACGAGGAGACACTCAGTCTGCCGTGGTTCTTTTGAAGGGCGTGGCAGGAGGGCGAGCCCTGGTTGGGCGTGTCGTGGCGGCCGCCACGGTTGGGCTCGCGCTGGTGCTGCTGGCGCGGCGTCTGCTGCGACTGCGATGGTGGGGTCTGCTGCGGCTGCGATGGTGGGGTCTGCGGCTCCATTTGGCCTTGGAGCTGCTGCTGCTGGATCTGGAGCTGCTGCTGCAAGTACAGAAGCTGCTTCTGCGCCTGGGCAATGTCGGGCTGGAAGCTGTGACTGGAGCTGCCGCCAAGCCCGGGAATCGCCTTTTTGGCGACCTTGCGCGAATCAGCCTCGGCAAGAAGGGTCGGGCGGGTAGCGTAATCGCTGGTTGAGAACCGCTTCATCTTGCTGAGATCGCGCATGAGCGGGTTCTTGGCCATCGAGCCCTTGGCCGTCATTGGCAGGTTCGGAATGAAGCTCATCAATGACTGGTGGTTAGTCGCTGGCGTTATGTTCGGGGTCTTGGGTGCAAACACCGGAGTGCCATTGGGACCAACACCGACCTGGCCCATCATCCCGTTGAGCTGCATTGTACGTGGGTCACCCTGAATCACTGGCGACTGGGCAAACTGGGGGCCGCCGGGCTGATGAATGCCCATTGGGATTCCGTTCTGTGCGTAAAACTGCTGCATATGCTGCTGCTGGAGCTGCTGGGACAGCTTGCCAGGGTGCTCCATCATGCTGGCCATCTGCGCCAAGCCGACGTTATTGTAGAGCGCGCTTGTGCTGCTGCTGCCGTTGACACGCTGGCCGTTGCTGTTCATCAAAACCATGTGCGGGCCTATTGGGGTCCGGGCATTGTACATGGGCGAAATCGGCGAGGACTGCATTTGGGGCGTGAGAATCGTGTTTGGAAGCTGGCGCCCAGGGGTCATATTCGGAGTACCTGGGTACGCCCGACTGCCGACCATTGGGTTTCCCGCTGCTGCCGCCATCAGCATCTGCTGCTGCTGCATAAGAACCTGGTGTGGGAGCTGCTGGGACATCTGCCGAGGCGTTTGTGGACCAGATAGCGGCAGCTGCTGTTGGTCCTGCGCTGATGCCGATGCCAGTGACTGGGACTCGCATTCCTCGGTCGGCTTCGCTTCCGACAGTTGCTCCAAGCCCTGCTCTACCGGCACCTGCTGCGATTCAGTTTGAGACAGCCGATCGACCGCTGGCTGGCGATGCGATTTTTGGGAGGTAGGCGATGCTTTTTGGGACTGCTGGTGCGGCAGAAACTGGCCTTGGGCAGCCATCACAGTTTGTTGTGCATGGTACATGTTCATCTGTGCAGTCATGTGGGGGTGGTTGAGAGGCATGCTGAGCAGGGCCGGGTGCTGCATTGACGGGTGCAACTGCATCTGGTTGGTAAGCGATTGCGAGTTGGCGACGGGCTGGGGATTGAACTGGAGCGCGAGCTGCTGCATTTGCTGCTGCCTCAGCATCTTTATATGGCCGGGCTCTGTGCTGTGGGTCTGAGTGGGCGCACCATATGCTATATAGATTAGACACCCAGCGAGGGGGGAATGTTTAGTGTCGCATTTTTATCAGATATCGCACAGTACCGTCGGTCATTGCAGGGCAGGGGCAAGTTCCAGTGATATCAAATGCGAGCAGTCTCCACAATCTCCATCTGCAAGAGGCCCAATGGGAGACATTTAATCGGAGAGCAGTGAGTAGAACGCCCAGAATATCCCACATGGGTTGATAGGCAGATAAAGAAATAAGACACGGAGGAAAGCGATAGTGAAATATGACTGGAGGAGCATGTGGGCCAAGCAGATATGCACCTTTTGGTCAACATACAGAAGCGTTGCATTCAGTGGGCGGCGCAAATTACTTACCTTGCTGGGGTATCATGGCCGCGGAACTGCCGGACTGCTGGCTAGTCGTCGTGCCGGCCGCACGCCTCAGGCCGCCCAGCGGCACTGAGTCATTCTGGTCATCCAGCATTTCCCCCGAACCCGCCGGCACCGTTCCCAGTATGAATCATGCCAAATGCCATATTCTTGCCCATTGCGCTGGCCTCGCGCATGCGCTGAATATTAGCCGCCCGGTCGGTTATCTTGCGGTTCGGATCGCTGGATGGCTCTGGCTTGCTGCTGGTCAATGTCATAGTGGTCGCCTGCTTTGTAAGCGTCACCATTGCCTCTTCATCGCTGGACGTCGGGCTGCTAGAGCCGCGGGAGCCGCGGGAGCTGCGGGAAATGGCAAACTGCCGCTCAATCACATCCGTCGCCTCCATGGCGTTGTTCCCAGATACCATGGTCGCATGCTGTGCCATGGCTGCTGCCGCCGATACTGCAACCGGCTTGTGCGCGGCGGGCGGGGAGACCATGGGCTGGACGCGCGCCTGCACTTGCATCATCGGCTGCGCCTGCGCCTGCACCAATGGATGCACCAGCGGGCGTGGCTGCGCGGGTTCCCGGGCAAACTGGCTTGGAGGCTCCGCTGGCGTCATGGCAACCTGGTAGCCTCCACCATCATTTGACGACCCAATGGTATTCGAGTGGGGCCGTCCAAACTGCTCCCGTAGCTGCATCTCCAGCATAGCCTTCGGGTCAATCGGATCCAGGGACTCTTCGATATTTAGCAAAAAATCATAGTCCGACTGAACAGTGTTTTTGCGCGACGGCGCTTGCTGCATTGTGGCCAGCGCACTGAGTTCTGCCAGTGATTGCTCGGGAGCCGGGTCGGGTTGCGTGGCTGGCTGGCTTGGCTGGTCAAATACGATGCTGGCCGAGGGCAGATCTGACAATTCAAGGTTTACGTCAAGCGTAGGCAATGGCTTGAAGGGCTCGGCCGGCTGCTGGAACGAAGAGGTGTGCGGCTGGTGCGTAGCTGAGCGGCGACGGAGGCTGCGGCGGCTGCGGCGGCTTCGGCGATCCCTGGCTGTGTGCGCCCTTGCCTTTGCGATTAAAGAGCCGCATGGTTGCGAGTTTTTAGCAGAAATATTTGGGTAGGTTGTCTGGTTTGAGTTTGGTGCAAGGAGCGAGAGATAGTCTAAAAATGGTTGATGCTCAATAACCTATTTGTCTAGGTACGAAAGCGAAAGAAAGAAGAAGGCGAGAAAAAGAGACCAGGCCAAAATGTCTATCTTGAGGAGATATATTAATATGCGCTTTGAGGTGGAGAAAGGGTGAGTGGGTCGAGAAGTGTGCGAAAAAGGAGGGGAAAGGGTAATGAGAGAGGGGAAGTAGAAGAGTGTAGGATATTTAGGGCGTATTAAGAGAGTATCTCGAATGAAACAAAGATGCCAGAGAGAGGAACATCGGCGAGAAATATAAGGATGTTTACGAAAAGGGGCCAGTGTCAATGTAGGGTCCAGCGTGTTTTACAACCGCACTTGCACCTGGGAGTGATCGAGGGGAATGTAGCATTATCGCATGCTGGGATTTCAGGAGTTGTATCCCCCGGCCATTAGGCACGGCGCTGCTGTGTGGGTGAAATCTGGGAAGAAGCATGTCCGGTATTCATCTTTCCTGTGTGCTGTGCACGTCAGGTACACTGGTGTGCAGCTTTGTTTGCTCTGAACTTGCCTCCCCGCAGTAGTCCCAGTCGGTGTTACTTGCGCGGAGGCGCTCCCCTCCCCAGCATGGCGGGCAATAGATGGGAAATGCTGTACATGTCTTGGTCCATGGGAATGTCCAATTAAAGAAAAAGGGAGCATCGAGCAGAGTCACACAGCATGGTGGATGTCTCGGAGGCACATTCTGCAGAGAGGTATGTGCATCCACATTGCCCTGCATGTCTAGCAAGGAGGGGAGGGTTGAAACAGAGACAGCATGATATTATTGCAAGTAAAAATGCGTGTGCTGATCTGCTTAGTCCTCGTCTTCGGCGGGCAGGACAAAGAACTTGTCAGGGGCCATCAGGAAATAGCGTTCCATGGCTTCGCGGAACCTATTCTTGTACTGCTTGGGGGACACAATGGTGGGGCCCTTGCCGCCGCCACCGCCCAATATGCCAGACTCCTTGACCCAGCTCTCGAGCTTCTTGTCCCAAGTGAAGGTGCGGATAAAGTCGACGATGCCGACGACTAGCTGGTTCGAAGACTCGTCAAAGCCGACCAACAGCGAGTAGTCCATGACGTTCATTTTGGACAGAAACAGCGTGTCGTTCCAGATGGCATCATGCAGGTGCTGCTTGGTGAGCTGGCGGATGCAAGATGGGGTTTTCGCGGATAAGCCGGAGCAGGTTTTGGTCCTGGAAGACTGACGCGCCCTCGGTCTCGTCGACCATGCGGTTGCGCTCCGAGCCCTTGAGATCGAAGACACGCGAGCATGTGCGCTGGTAGAAGAGATTCTCCATAATGACGACGTTCATTTTCATGGACTTGCCGGTGGCGGCATTGCGGTAGGAGATGCGGCAGACACCAAAGATCTTGGCAAGTAGGGTGTGCATGACATCCCGGTATGTGCGGTACATGTGCTCGAAATAGAAGGGCGCGAGCTTCTCAAACGCATCCATCTCGGCCTTGGGTACCTGCTTGATAATAAAGCGCTTGTCGCGGGTCTCCAGAAAGGCGCTGCCCGACTTGCCCCCTTGTGCATCATAGGTAGCGCAGCGGGCCAGTGACTCAATGTAGCTGTCCTCACAACCGCTGCACCGCCGCAGCCCGTCGAACTGCGGCGCAAACATCACCTTGCATTTGAATAATGTGCGGACCAGGCTGGTGAACTGCAATTTCAAGTGCGATAGGGGTGCATGGAGCATTGCGTATTCAATTAGTTCCTGGGCATGCTCGGCCGGTGTTGTCCGCGCGAACTCGTTGCGTGGCGAGCGCACAGACGGTGGGCTGCTGGGGGAGCCCGGCGAGTTGCCGTCGGGAGTGGCAGTGGGCGGGACAGCGGGCTCCAGGACCTTGTGCAGCTCGGTGCGGTACTCGCTGGCCATCAGGGTGAAGGCGATGATGGAGCTGGGCTCGGACTCGCGCACAATGATTGGGGACCCAGCGATCACATGCTCGGTCGATTCCAGCGGGTACTTGAGGTCAAGGCCGATCTGGAACAGCTGCTGGTTGCCGGGCGCCGAGATCAGCCCAGAGATCGTCTTCCAGATGGTGGTCAGGTTTTCCTGCGGCACCGGAACCGCCGATGTGTCAATGGAGCCCTGGTCGGCGGCCAAAGCGGATGTCTGGAACTTTGGGTAATGGCGGGGGCTGCTGGGTGCCAGATGCCCGCACAACGGACTCTAGATATGCGGCGGCGTTCTCAGCATCCTGCTCAGTCATGGCAGTGATATTCTCAGAGTCGCTGCCGGCGTCGCTCTCGCCGAAATGCAGGTCAGGGCTGGTGTGTGTCGTCTTCATCAGTGGACGAGTCGTGGTGCTGGTGGGTGGAGATGCGGCGGCGGTTGGATTCGAGTACGTGGACGCAGGTCGGTGTCCAGCAGGCTGAGGTTGCCGTCGGAGTCGGGCGAGGTTGGGCGGCGCTTGGCAGGGACCGGCGAGCTCATGATCAGATCGACCTGCGGCGAGGCCAGAGGGTTAGCTGAGTGGGTGGAGCGGTAGCTCAGGCGGCGGCGGTCCAGGTGATCGTCGATGGCTGAGTCGCTGTCGGAGCTCGAGTCAATCGAAATCGAAGGACGAGCTGCTAGACACGTGAACTGCTTCGAAGGCCTCAGGGATCGGTGCGCGCTCTGACCGACCTATATCCATGGATGCAGTAGACCGATTGTCGGTTGGGCGCTGACCGAACGGGAACCCCAGACCGAGTCTCCGTGTAATGCTCGGAATAATGCTAGAAGCGCGTGCCGGCGGCTCCGGCTGCCTCAAGGGCTGCACGTTCCCATACCGACCATTAAGCGGCGGCCTAGCAACCGTCGCGGCCCGGCGCCTCGCCGGCTGCTCGTCAGCTGCATCATGGTCCAGTATTACGAAATCATCCTCCACGTGCGAATGGCGACGCATTGGTGCATCAGTGGGACGCGCCCGGAACACCTGCACCTGCGGCATAGCAGGACGCCTCGGATGCTGCATGTACTGGGCGGCAGCTGGCAGCAGAAGATTCATTTTACGCGGCATTGTGCCGAGCGCTGGTGCTGGCTGCACGTCCTTGGCCCGGTTCAGCCGCCGCGCCAGCCGCAGAAACACATTGGGCTTGGACGAATCAGCAGTTGAGCCAGGTGGGGATGTCGGGCGGGCGCGGGGGGCCCGTGGGATGCTTGAGTTGTTGGCGGGCGGCGGGCGGCCGAAGCTCGAGAGCGGGCGGACGTTGGCGGCGCGGGCGGCTGGTGGAGCGCGGTATGCAGGGATGCGCGATGGCGGCTCTTTCTGCGGCTCTTTCTGTGTCTCTTTGAGCGCCTCTTTGGGTTTGGCCTTCTGGTCCTTGAGCTCCGGGAACTCGGCCGGGGTGCGCGCAATTTCGTCAGCGTGAGCGCGCTCCGGCTCAGGTTTCTGCAGTGCATTTTTCAGGGCGCTCCGGGGCGCCCGGGTGCGGCCAAAGCCTGCAGCCTCCACAAGGTTCCTGCGGGCACGCTCGATCTGGCGCTCCTGGCGCTCGCGCTCACGGCGCATCATCTGCATTGACAGGCGGCGGTGCAGGCGCGACACTGTGTAGGGCCCTGCCATGTGGCTTTCTTCCACCGGCGACTCGCCCAGAACCGGCATTGCAAACTGCGGACTCTCGGCGTCCTGGTGCATTTCGTCGACAGTCTCAGGCACCTGGCCTTCAGTTGGAACCGGTGCGCTTGACGGCTGCTGAGCGGGCATCGAGCTGGATGAATACCTGGGCGAGGTCCGAGAACTGCAGGTTCCATTCGACCACCTTGGTCTGCAGCTGCTCGTAGACTACCACAACCACCAGGAGTGTCGGCCGGATGGCTGTTGCGGATGGTCTGCTCGAGCGACTGGCGGAAGTACACGTGCTCGGTGTGGGCGCGATCGCGCAGACCCTCAATGATAGGCCTTGCATTCATCAAGCCTATCGTCATACACCATGTCCATGGGGAAGGCCTCGAGGCAGCCACGCAGCGACGCATAGTAGGCATCCAGGCGGGTACGCAGCTCAGCCGCCTCGCGCTCCTTGAGGCGGATGCTGACTTCGACATCAAAAAACAGCGGGATGGTGGGCACAGCCATGCGCCAGAGCGCCAATGGTGCATATTCGAAGCGCACCACCATATGGCGCAATGCAAAGCACCGCACGTAGTCGTGATGCACATCATGGTCCACAGATGCTGGCGCGCGGCAAAAGACAGGCATTGTAGAAGGTTGTCTCTAGGTACTTGCCGAACGAGTAGCGCCAGGCTTCGTCGGACATTTTGGAGACCGGCGTGCGGCTGTGGCAGATGCGGCAGCTGCCCCACATCAATATGATATCGCTTAGGCGCTCGATCGGGCTCGGGTGCTCGTCCATGGTGACATCAATGCGGCCATTGTGGTGGATGTAGCTGCGGCGGTGCTCGTACATGGGGTGGGTGCATGTGCGGCTGCTGCCAGGGCAGTCGTAGTTCAGATCGAAACACATCTCCTCCAGATATTGCCCTAGGGTCACGTCAGTGCGGCCGTAAAAGGAGATGGCGTGGGGCTGCGGACCAGCACACACCAGGTGGTCGTGACGGCGACATGTGACCATATATGAAACCACGATGCTCTGGTAGTCCCACAGCGACACGGCCTGCGGGTTAGCGTCCAGGAAGTGCTCGCCCTCGCGCACCACGCCCTCATGCAGCGCCATCTCGCTGGCGTACTGCTGGCGCATGCGGCTCGTGCTGGCCGCGCTCTGCTGCCGCGACACAAGGAAGGCCACGCCAGTCGCCGCATGCACAGCATCGTCAGATGGGCCGCCTGCCGACAGCTCGCGGAACCGCTCGGTCAGCTCGCTCAGCGCCCGCTCCCCGTCGCGCATTCGCTCCAGCACGTGCGGCGGCGGAATCCGCACAGATGGCGATGAGGACAGCACCACATTATACTCGGCCAATGCCGCTGCTGCCAGCGAGTTGCCTGGATCACTGGATACTACGTTGTACTGGCCAGGCACCGCCAGCGCAAACTCGTTGACCAGCAAGGCGGTCTCCAGATGGAGGCTGTATGCGAAGCACACGGCCAGATCCACCACCTGCTTGATATCTGCCAGGCGCTCAAACGACTCGCCGCGCAACACAATGGTTCCGCCGCGGCTCGGCTCACAGCCGTCCAGGAACACAAACGACTTGCGGACCTGTGGCAGCGACGGGTGCTGGTATGTTTGCGCGACCATTTCGCGGCAGGTGCCGATGCGCGGGCGGCCGCTAAACTTATCCATCGACGTGACGATCTCGGCGCCGGTGCAGCGGGCGATGGCGCGCAGGACGCTGCGTTTAACGCCCGCGACGACGGCTACGCGGTTGCGCATCAGGGCCTCGAGGATGTTGCGTGGCACGGGTTTCTCGGCCAGCACCACATCGGGTCCGGCACCTACAATGCGCTGGACCAGCTTTTCGGCAAAGCCCTGCTGCACGCGCAGCTCTGCGTCAAACGACACGTAGCGGGAGGGAGCCGCATGCTCGAGCGGCAACGCCAGAAGCATGATGCGGGGGGACGAGTATATGCGCGGCATGCGGCGGTGGGCCAGGCTCTTGGTAAACACCAGCCCGGCGATGTACTGGCTGTCGCCGGGCACCCCACCCGGAATGCGCTTGATGCGCACGTACCGCCGCAAGTCCATATTATCGCCGTGCCGCACGTCCGGCCGCACGCTGCCCACCGCACCTACCGCCAGATCATACACGACGCCGTCCCACCCGGCGGCCTCGTCGACGTCGATTTCTGCCAGCAGCTGCCGGACGATCCTCCGCAGATGCTCACCGGCGAATTCGCCCATAGCGCCACCGGGCCGCTCGCGCGCTGCCTGGTTGAAGTCGCAGATGGCCTCGAGCTCGTCGTACACTTGCGAGGGCATTTCGGGCGGCGCCAGCAGCCGGTCAGGCAGGACGCTGGTGTGTGTGGTGGGCTGCAGGCGGCCGGCCAGCTGCGGGAGGATAAGCCGGGAGCGCTCGAGCTCACCAAGCCAGGGCTCGTGGTGCGCCAGAAACGCCAGCTCGCCCTTGTCATCCTGCGTTGCGATCTCAACGGCGTTGGTGCGGAACGGAATGTCGCGCTCGTCCTGGTACCCGTCGCTGTCGCTGTCGCTTGCTGCCAATGACCGCACGCTGGCGGCGGGGTCGCTGGGCGCTGGCTGGTGCTCGGCCTGGGTTTGTCTGAGTGACTGCAGCGATGCCAGCTCGCCTGTCATGCCCAGCACTGGCCGCACAATCTCCGATGCCCGCGTCAGCTCCACATCGGGCGCTGGCGTCACCAACTCGACCGTTGGTTGCGCGCTGCGTCGTAGACTGCTCGGCAGGAACGCCCGGTGCTGCCGAACCGCTGACCGCGAGCTGCCACTGCCAGTTGTCGTCGATGGCGTCGACGGCTTGGAGTGCTTGCTGTACAGCGCTGTGAAAGGGTCGTCTCGTCTATTGGTGCGCTCGGCGCTGGGCTTCTTTCTGCCTGAGCCAAACATTGAATGCAGAAAAATAAAAATAAAAAGCTGAAATAGTGCCAATTCCGAAAGACAAAAAGAAGCAAAAAGTTAGCATACATGCTCAGCTGCTGCCTGCCAGTCCAGTTGGCCTGTGCGGGCCAGAGCCTGTGTGTAGCTAACGATTTCCATGTCTGACTTGTTGAACGAATCACGAATGTAGCACGAAGGAAAGAGAAAGAAAGAAAGCACCTAATGTCCCATTGCCTCTAGATGCCTGCAACCAAGGCAATCGCAAACGCTGCCGCCGCAGCAAACGCCATCGACGCAGCGGTCCCCGACGCCGTGTTCGTCGGCACATACCCCGTCATGCTCACCATCTGGTAGGGTACTGACGTCGCATCGGTGCTGTTCGTCCCGCATTTGACCTTGTTACCGTCGGGTATGCAGAAACCCGAGTCGCATTTGGAGTCCACCCACACATTGCCATTGCACTCCTGGTACTTGGTCGATCCGCTGCCTACGCACCGCTGCTGATCCTTGACCGAGCACTTCTCGCGGTTCGCCGCCGCCTTGGTGATGCATGCCGTCTTGCCGGCGTCGTCCTTCCCACACACATTGCCTGAGCCGCAGGTCTGCGCAATCCAGTTCGAGCCGTCGCACTTCTGGTAGCTGGATGAACCCGTTCCCACACATTGGATCTCGCCATCCTTCGAGCACGTTGCGCCGGTCGGAGATGGCGTCGTGTCTTCCTCGTCTTCATTATCTGTATTATTCTCAGTCGGCTCCTCGTCCGTGTCGGTCGTTGCCGCTGTTGTCTTGGGCGTCGATGTCGCCTTCGTCTTGTCGGTGTCGTTGTCCTTGGTCTTGCTGGTCTTTGTGTCCTTGGTATCGGTGACATTGCCATCATCCGTGGTCGGAGACGCAGCCGTGGTTGGGGGTGCTAGCGTATGTAAACACAAGTTCTGTTTTTTTTAGAAATCATGCAATTTATCCTCCGAACTCATTGCCCAAAATAGCCTGCGGAATTGAGAAAATTTGGTTCCATGGAAGAGTGCGGGGGAGGAAAGGAGGAAGATGGACCGCTGGTCCCGCCCCACATCATTCCAGACCCTCTCTCCATCACCTTCCAGTGCCACGGAGCTGTATCCATTGTTTGTTCAACTTACCAGTAGTGGCGGGTGCCTTGGAACTGCTCTTGCTCGTGGCCGGCGAGGCGGCAGTGGTCTCATCATCTGTAGCCGCGTGTCCGAAGAAATCGCCCACGGCCTGTCCAACACTCGAGAAGAACCCAGCAACATCTGGCTCGCGCTTAACGAGCTGATTATGCCCCTGCTGCTCAGCAAACGTCGTGCTCACCGCAGTAAGCACCAGAATGGCTGGTACAAAAAGCTTCATTATTTGCTGTTCGAAAGGGAAAGTAGGTGTAAAAGGTAATAGGGGAGCGGTAGAAAAAGGGTGAAGGGAAAGCAAAGGAGTTTCCTGCTCGCGGCTGTGCGTTTTTCCCACTTCCCCCTCCCTGCTTGCTCTGCCCGCCACCCCAAGCAATTCTGAAAATAACCTGCCTTGAGAAGCAAGAAGCTCGGAAATCAAATCGTCAGAGCCTGCTCTTGTTTTCACACACTTAACTTGCCGATCCTGGCTGAATGGAATGTTCTGCCAACTGCGCCAAGTTTGTGCTTTCTTGTCTTTCGGCTAGACATGAAGTGCTTGCGCTGGCAACCATCCTGGCCTCGATATCTCCCACCAAGTGCGAACACATGTTGACACGCCGCTGAGGTCATGCGTACACAAGGAAAATAGGACTAAAATTAGGCCCTGGTGTTGTGATGTGGCTCAGGCCGCTGCGACCCGCGGTTTGAAATCCCCGCCGTCGGCTCGGCTCACCGAAATGGCCCGCCCTATCACATGAGGTGTTGATCTTGGAGTTTCCACTTGCGCCGTACTATCTCTCTCCATCCCCCCTTCACAGCACGTATTTTTCCTACTTCCAATGAGTTCTGCCGATTTGCCACAGACCGACCCGCAGCAGCGGTGGAAGGGCTCATGGCAGGATGCCAAAACGCGGCTGCTCAGCAACACACAGCGCACGGCCCTGCACGTAGTGCCGCGGACAGCGCGCGTCAGCAAGTTGGACGCCGATCTCCTTGACGACGAGCTGACCGAGATGCTGCGGGAGCCGGTGACGCACGCCCTGTCACTAGTGCAGCCGGGCATGATGGACAGCTGGAAGCTGGAAATCGACACTGCAATCAAGGCGATTCTGTTCTGGCTATCTGTGGGATCGCACCGGCGGGCCACATATGGTCAGACATTGCAGAACTTGACGTACAAAGTGCAGGGGCGCAATTTCCACCAGCGGTTGCACATGTTTGGAATTCTGTCGATCGGTGGTGGGTACCTGTGGACGCGCCTACTGCGCCACCTATCATTGCGCGGCTGGGCGGACGCGCCCGCTGGCAGCATGCGCGCGCGGCTCTGGGCACTCGTGGACCGGCTGGAGCGCCTGTTCAAGATTGTAACGCTGGTGAATTTCCTGGCGTTCATCTCGACGGGCCAGTACAAGACCGTGGTGGAGCGCCTGCTGGGGCTGGGGCTGGTGTATGCGCGCCCGCAAATGTCGCATTCGGTGTCGTTTGAGTTCCTGAACCGCCAGATGGTGTGGCATGCGTTTACCGAGTTCGTCATGTTTGCTCTACCGCTGGTCAATCCGGCCAGAGCGCGCGCCTGGATGGTGCGCAATGTGCGCGCGGCGCTGCATCTGCCAGCTGCCAGCGTGGATCCTGCAGTGGCTGCACTGCCCGAGCACATTTGCGCGATCTGTTTCACACAGACTGACGAGGCGCAGCAGCAGGGCAGTGCTGAGGATGCGAACCATATAATCAACCCGTATGTGACCGAGTGCGGCCATATGTACTGCTATGTGTGCATCCGGACCAAGATCATGGCCGAGGGCGATGAGTGCTGCTGTCTGCGGTGCGGATCGCAGGTCAAGCAGGTGTGCCAGCACGTCGAACAGTAATATGTTGTACTAGTATTTCTCTTCTTTTTTCTTCCGCGTCACATACAAAAACACATGGTTGCAAGATGAGTCGACATGGGATGGCTATGAGGCATAAAAGCCGGCTCAGTGCTACCACACCACAAGAGCCACCAAATAAGGCAGCTTGCAGATCGGCTCTAAGCCGACACGTCTCGCAAAACGTACGCGTTATTTTGGACCTTTCTCTTGCCTCTACAAAAAAATTAAACAGTTCCCACCTTATTTTTTATATTACTGCATTGCTCGGGAAGCTAAATTGCCTTTCTACACGACATATACATGGCGTCGCTAGAGGATTCGTTCGAGTTCACGCAGCCCACGCAGCCCCTGGAGGAGACAAGCCAGCCGACACAGGACGACACGCCCCTGATTGCTGCGCACAAGAAGCCCGTCGGCAAAGTGGTTTATAAGAAGAACGAAGCCATCACAGGCAAGTATCAGTCCCCTCCAAGCGGTCTAGCCTAACGCCCCCTCTGCATAGCAGTCTAAATGTGATCACACGCTGTAGACCACGACCTGTACCTCGACACGCCAATCATCATCGGGCGGCACCGGTCGAGCAATATCCAAGTCTCAAGCAGCGTGTCCTCAAACAAGCACTGCAAGCTCTTGGTGACATTCGACAAGGCAGCCAACGACTACCTGGTGATCTGCGAGGACCTGAGCTCAAACGGCACGTTTTGGAATGGCAAGAAGATTGGCAAGAACAAGTCAGTGATCCTGACCCACGGCGACGTGCTCGAGATCAAAAAGGGCTACTACTACACATACCTACAGCTGGTGCACAAGCACGACACGTCGCAGCGCGACTCGCACATCGACAGCAAGTACCAGATCACCGACAAGGTCCTGGGCAAGGGCACATTTGCCGAGATTCGCCAGGTTCTGCGCAAGGACACGCAGGAGCAGATTGCCGTCAAGATCATGGAGAAACGCAACTTCAGCCTGCGCGGCACCGCCGAGGGCGGCACAAACTACATCCATGAGATCAACCTGTTGCGCGGCATCAAGCACCCGAACATCGTGCGCGTCTTCGATGTTGCTGAGACTCCCAAGCACATCTACATCTTCATGCCGCTGCTGCGTGGCGGCGACCTGTTCGACTACATCATTGATCACGAGCGCCTCGACGAGGCCGAGGCAAAGTACATTGTCTTCCAGATCCTGCTCGCCCTAAAGTACCTGCACGACGCCAACATTGCCCACCGCGACCTCAAGCCCGAGAACACCCTGCTTGTCTCCAAGAAGCCCTACAGCCAGATCATGCTGACTGACTTTGGCATGGCCAAGGCCACCGGCCAGAACGACCTGATGAAGACCATGTGCGGCACCCTGCAGTACATTGCGCCCGAGATGCTCTCGCCCGGCGTCCAGCCCGGCCAGGCGCTCAAGGTCGGCTACAGCAAGGCCGTCGACTGCTGGAGCCTCGGCGTCATGACCTACGTCATGGTCTCCGGCATGCTGCCCTTCAGCGACGACGAAAGCAACCCGTCCATGCTGTTCCAGCAGATCCTGTCTGGCCACATTGATTTCTCCGTCAGCTGCTGGCAGTCCATCAGCCTCGAGTGCCAGTCGTTCATCTACGGCCTGATGCGCCAGAAGCCCGACGAGCGCATGTCGGTTGAAAAGGCCTTGCGGCACCCGTGGATCGCAAAGGACATGCCGCGGCTGGCTAAAATCTACGCCGAGGCTAACAAGCCCAATGAGGCTCCGGTCTCTGTTGTTAACACTCCTGCCCAATCACCGGCCCGCCCGAAGAAACATGCCAGGCCCCGGGACGACGATGCAAGCGCCATGGGGCCGCCGGTGCCCTCGAAGAGAGCGCGCTACCAGGGCGGGCATATGGATGACGCCTAAGGTTTCTGGCTCTAAAAATACACCCACGGTATCAATGCAATCCATCTCTTTCCCTGCTGTTTTTCCTGCTTGGGCTCACACGGCAATGGGAAGAACCGAAGAAATCTAGGAAAGCGGGGGCGGATTGACGCCTATTTTTAACGCTCTGGCGCTCTGATTTTTCTTAGTGGGCTGCTTTTGGCGGTTCTCCTCATCATAGCCTTGTTTTTCATGACCTTTCTAACGTCACAATATTTATTACCGGGCACTTTTCGTCTGCTTCACTTGCTATTTTTCTACACTCGTGCAATTCCACACAATTCTTCAGTAGACCGGTTCCAAAAGCGGCAGATACAAGAAGGGGGACATTATACCGATGGCTACACCAACCATGTCAGAGACGCTGAGCAGCACCTTGCTGCCGGCACAGACACTGAGCAGCACCATGTTGCCGACACAGACGCCAAGCACCATGATGCCCGTGAACGACGAGGTGTTCAGCTGCCAGCTAGTCGGCGGGTTCTCCATCTTGGTGCAGGTGCTGGTCGGCACGCTCGGGTTCTCGACGCTCATCATCAAGCGGCAGTTTGAAAAGCCACGCCGGTCGTGGCTCGTATGGTATGTCTCCACGCTTTCTTTTTGCTCAATATTTGCTTCCGACACTATGGAGATGCGGCCAATGAACGAAAGGGAGTCCATGGCTAGCATGTTCCGTGCTTGGCGCGAATCTATGAGGGGCTGTTTGGCTCACACTGCAAGCGCGTCTTCTAAACCGCTCAATTGCCGTGTTATTTTCTCTTGGAGTGTAGGAGCTTTGACGTTAGCAAACAGGTGATTGGCGGGTCGCTGATGCACATGAGCAATCTGCTCGTGTCCGCTCTCAGCGGTGGAACCAAGGGCGAGTCGCAGACCAACCCCTGCTCGTGGTAAGTAGTGACGTGGAATGAACAGGATCGCTGTCACCAGGCAAAAGAAACTGCCAAAGAACAAAAGGGATCTCAACAATACCTGGGGAGCCATTGTTATTTCCAAACATAGGTACGTACTGAACCTGACGCTGGACTGCACGCTGGGCGTCCTGATCCTGACCGGATACCTGAAGCTATTCAAACTGCTGGTGCGGCGGTACAAGATCGAGGGCATGGAGTCGGGCGACTACGGCGAGCCACCGCAGTGGAGGTGGTGGGTGAGGCAGCTGTCGATGTTCTGCATGGGCATGGTGTTTATGAAGCTGACGGTCGTGTTTCTAATCGCGGTCCTGCCGTTCCTGGTCAGCATTGGCGATATGATTCTGAAACCCGTGCAGCTCACGCACAGCCCGCGGTTCGAGATTGTGTTTGTCATGGCAGTCTGGCCACTGTCGCTCAACATATTTGAGTCCTGGGTGATCGACCATTTCATCAAGACCCATCGGCCGCACGGGCACATGCCGGTTGTTGGCTCGGAGTCAGCGACGTCGTTCGAAATGGCCGGCACGGCTGTCTCCAGCGGGACTGTGGGCGAGCACAACCAGCAGTTTTCGATCGATATGGATGGCGAGTTTGACTTCTCCGACGACGACGATGACGAGGAAAGGACGGCGGCAGCCGGTGGGTTTGCAGGACGCAAGGCGAACTACGCGGCTGTAAAGTCCGAGGACACGCTGACGATGCGGGACAGCCTCGCGCTGGACGACGAGGAGCACGACATAGGGCTCAGCAAGCAGCACCAGGACTGATATGCATGCACGAAACGGCGCGTCTCTGCGAATCGCCTCCAACATAGCATTTTGCGAACTATTTTTCTTTCAGCCTGTATAGTATACACACGTATGTCACGAACATTGTGTTATAAGCACCAGTTCCCCCTCCACACGTAGACAATAGCATGGCTCGATGTAAACGCTGGCGAGCCATTATGCGCGCAGCAGCGCGCGGATCACTTGCGACACATTCATCTTGCGCAGGTCGGTGTACGTCTGGCCCGTGCCAACAAACACAATGGGCTGGCCTGTAGTGTATGTCATGGACAGCGCCGCACCGACGCGATCGTCGATCGTGTCGAACTTTGTCAAGATCATGCCGTCGATATGGCGCGGCTTCGACATGCCCGAGAAATCGCGCAGCGCCTGGTTGAACTTTGTCAGCTGGTCAACCGCCTCGTTGCCCACCAGGGCCTCGCCAACAAACAGAATCTTGTCGGGGCTGTTGACGCTGACCAGCTTGGCCAGGGCTCGCATCAGCGGCTCGTTGTCCTGCATCCGGCCCGCAGTGTCGATTAGCACCACGTCGAAGTTGTTGGCTGCGCCAAAGGCAATTGCGTCCTTGGCGATGGCGGCCGAGTCCTTGCCGTAGCCGCGCTCAAAGATCTCGACGTCCTGGTTGGTCGACAGCGCACGCAGGTTGCGCACGTGCACGCGCAGCTGCTCCACAGCGCCCGACCGGAATGTGTCGCAGGCGGCGATCAGCACGCGCTTGTTGTTCTGCAGCAGCCAGTAGCACACCTTGGACAGGTTGGTCGACTTGCCGACGCCGTTGACGCCCACAAAGGCCATTGTGTACGGCCGGTTCTGCGTGCGCGCCTGCGCTATATCGCGGATAATGTCCGTCGAAGAAATCGGCGTCAGGATGCGGGTCAGCGCGCGCTCCATGTTCTCCTCCACCAGCGCCTTGATGCTCTGCAGCCCGCCCACACGCACACCCACCATGCCCTGGGCTACTGACCGGCAGATCTCGGCTGCAATGTCGGCCGCTACGTTCTTGTTGGCAAGATGCTCGCGCATGCGGGCCATGGGCTCGGCCAGCGTCTCGGCAGTCAGCACACGTCCGCTGGTCAGGCTCTTGAACATGCCGAACAGGCCACCTGCTGAGGAGCCGCTGGACTCGTCGAGCTCTTCGTCATCAAGAAGCACAAATCCGTCAGAGTCATCGCCGCCATTCCGCTCGGCCACATCAGCAACCTCATAGATGCCGTCGGCGGTGCGGGCGCCCATAGATCGTTCGTCGACGAGCGACGAGATCTCACGGGCGGGCTCCGGCGTCTTGTCGCCCGAGTAATCCAGCGCTTCCATCGACTCCTTGGTCACTTGGCCCTCCCACACCCGGTTCTGCTTGCCCTTCTTTTTCCCGCCCTTCTTGCCACCCTCCTTGTCGCTGCCATGCTTGTCTGCCCACGAGCGCATCTTGCCCGGCCGCTTTCCCTTGCTCTCCAGGGCTGCAGCCTCGCCGGCCTTGACCATCTCGTCGAGCTCGCGCTTGGCGCCCTCAGCTGTGGCCTGGAATCGCTTGGTCTCTTCGAACCGCCGCGGCGCATGCTGCCTTGACTTGCGCTCGCGGAACTCGCGCTCCTCAACTGCCTGCAGTACTTGCTCAAACTCATCCTCAAAGCTGCTGAAATCAGGGAACTCGTCGTCGTCGCCATCCATGAGCTGCTGCAGCTCATCCTTGAACCGTGTCACAAAGTGCCGCTTAGCGTGCTTCAGCAGGTCGTCGATGTAGGGCAGCTGCAGGATCTTCTGGTAGACCGCAATGAATATCACATTGAGCTCGTTGGCGAAGGTCCAGTGGAGGCCGTAGGGACCAGCCACGTACTTGCTGTCGGCCCGTGTGCCCTGGATTAGCACTTCCTGCACTAAAGAGTCAATTGGCTGCCCATCAATGGGTGCGTAGTCGCGCGACCACAAAACTACTCCGCCCTTGGTTGCGATTGTGAACCCGTCCAGCATATCTTTGGTATTCGGACCCTGTGTGCCTGTAAGTGGAAAAGTATTCTCAGAAATTGTAGATGAGAAGGAGAGCTGCGAAGCTACCGCGCCCAAACTGCAGGGACGGCGGTAATACCTGTTCGCTGATTCGACCCACCCAATAGACTCTTTTAGAAGAATGGCTGATTCTACACCTTCAATCCATCAGGTGATCAAGCCTGCCAAAGGCTGTGTGCCTGAGCTGCCCATGGATGAAGCCAGCTCCATCGTCATCCCTGAACGCTGCGGATGCAGCGATGGCGAAACAAGAGACAGGCGGGAGTGGACTACCTGTCTCGTCTTTGTAAGATCTGTCTGTAATCGGCTCGCTTGCTCGGCTGGGCAGTGGCCAGTAGGGGGAGGTTCAGCAACTCCCAAACCACCAGCATTTGGATATAATGTATTGCGTCGTCGTACACACTATTCTCCGCTAGTATCCCTTGTGGATGAGGGGGAGGGGAGTAGCAACTCATAAATGCTGCAGCAGGTGCCGCCAGTCTGCGCCAACTTTGCCTTCTCTCTCAACCCACCACATTCTTGTAAAAAAAATCGCACCCTTTTTAAACAACCAGCCATGAAGATTCTTATGCTCTCCGGTGACTACGTCGAGGACTACGAGCTGTATGCGCCACTCAAGGCCCTCGAGATGCTGGGCATCGACGTGCATGTTGTGTGCCCAGACAAGAAGACTGGCGATACCATTGCCACTGCCCTGCACACCGTCGAGGGCTTCCAGACTTACACCGAGCGCCCGGGACATCTGTTCACGCTGACTCACACATTCGCCGACATTAACCTGGACGACTATGCCGGCCTTCTTGTTCCTGGCGGCCGCTTCCCCGAGTACCAGCGCTATGACCAAAGGGTGCTGGACCTGGTGAGGCATTTCTTTAACAAGGACCTGCCGGTTGCCGCCATCTGCCACGGTCTGCAGATCCTGGCTGCTGCTGGTGTGCTGAAGGGCCGCGAGTGCTCTGCCTTCCCCATGTGCAAGCTGGACGTTGAGGCGGGCGGCGCCAAGTATGTTGACTTTGAGGCATTCAGCTTGAACGCCCATGTCGAGGGCAATCTGGTCACTGCACCTGCTTACCCAGCCATTGGTGTCTGGCTCAAGGAGTTTATCAAGCTGCTTGGTATCAAGGTGCAACTCTAAAATGGTCAGCCTTGTTCTTTAACGTATCAACAATACTATTTGGATACATCAGCGCCTGCGTGATGTGCATCCCCAAAGAGTAGGGTACAGGTTTGGACAATTAGCCCAAGGGTGGAGTGATTTTAGCGTCTGTCAGCGCTAGCTCGTCAGTCTGCCTTGCGCACCAACTCCAAAGCCATCACATTTAAGGACCAGAGTTGTCAGACTTGATGCGTCAGTCATAGCGTGTTGCGATACCAGAGTATAGAGCTGTATTGACAGAAATAAATAAAAAATGGAATGTGCTGGTAATGTGACTTGTCTAGCTGGTTTTCTAACTGGATACCAGAGCTGCTTACTTCCTACCTCCACTAGAAACATGCTTGTGACAACTAGGTGCCATTTAGAAGGTTGGTGGCGGGGGCTGGATTCAAATGTGAGTTCGCTATTGAGTAGGATGATGCTGTTTGTGCGCGGAGAGAGCATGGTAATGACGAAGAGTTTGGGCCCAGGAAATTTTAAATGTCTGTATGCGAAACCACGAAAGATAAATATTAAAATTGGCTGTCGTTAACCTTAGGAGCAGCTGCTTCTCTTCCCTTTTATATGACACACGCTAGCCGCATTGCTGAGAATCTTGTCTCTCTGTCCCTCTTGAGGGCCCAATGTTGCTGTACGCCTCGTTCCAAGAGCACAAAAGATCAATGTAGGGTTCATTCATCCCTGACTTCTCGAGATTCGGTAATTGTCGTTGGAATGCAACCACCGCCTCCTTTTGAGCATTCTCCTTTCCTCTCAGCTGACATCTCTTGTCAGGAGCAACCTACGGGTGCCAAAAGCTGTCTTTAGCAAGCAGGACACATCTTTTCAGAGTGTGCAACCATCAACTCGAAATACCAACATCTCCGTTCTCTCAATAAGGCTATAGTAGGTGCAAGTACAGAGGCGCCTTCTGCACCCCGCTTGTAAACACTACATTAAGAGTCACAACATTTGACCACGCCGCTTTTTCTTTAGCCATATATGGCAAGAAATTGGGGGCAAAAGTCTTTGTTTGGATAACGTGTAGCTGGTGTTTGGCGAGTTTCAAGTGGCAGAGGTCTTGTGGCACCCAATTCGCCACTGTTCTTGCTTCACCGAGCATTTTCAAGCAGCAGGCATGGTAGAAACACGTCTCAGTGCCCTCCAGTTCAATAACAGCCTATCTAGCTGCATTTTATGACAACCACACGCTATTCGTTTCAACAGCATAGCCACCATACAGTGTCTCATTCGCTTTTCAAAGAGCGCGAATACGTCTAAACAAAAGTAAGGAAACACAAATACTAGGGAAACGGCTCAAAGGCGATATTGCGGTTGACTTTGAAGACTTGATGGAGCAGATTCATGACATGCGGGATCATATGGTGGTTGACCCTGATCTTGTGCACACCCGAGGAAGGCGCGACACCAGCTCACAGAAACCAACCATGTCGAATGCGCCGCGAACAAAGAGATCCAGACGCTCGAGGCTCTCGCTGACAGGCAAATTGCTGCTTGAATCCAGGATCTCGCCGATCTCGTCAAATGTGATCTTCTGGTCCGGGAAGTTGGTTGAACCGACATCCTTCTGGCTCATAGAGAAACAGTCCACGATGAGTGTATGTAAAAGCGGTAGCTGTCCCAGTAGATTGGCGAGCCCGTGCTTGTCCGCGATACTGGCTGTCAGAGTAAGCGAGCGCAAGTTGACCCATGCAATCAACTCAGGCAGTGGATAGTCGAGGAGTCCTAAGACGGCTTCCTCAGCATTAGACGGCAGCTGATACAGGCGCTCAACCATGTCGACCGAGTACATGTTGACGAACGGGATTCTAGTTGGGTGGCCGATCTTGAGTATCTTCACCGACTCGAACGCCTGCTCGTTGATGCGTTCAAAGTTCGTCGGGTCGTCCATAATAGTCAGTCTCTCGAATGTTCTGCCCTGGAAATAGGCGTAGATGTCGGTGTAGACGTAAGCGGAGCCAGTAATGTTAAGAGCACTCAATTTAGGGAAATGGATGGGGTAATCGCAGCCTGGAAAATTGACAGTCTGAGCGGCGGCCTGGATAAATTCCAGGTGTAAACTTTCAAGGTTGCCAAAGTCCAGCGCGCCTTCGGTGATATCGAAGAGGTGCCACGGGATAACAGCCTCGATCTGGAACACCTCGAGGATACGCAAGCATTGTGTCGGAATGGCTGGCAAGTCGCGGCGCAGACGGACGTAGCGGATGTTAATTGAAAGTGATGTGAGATTGTCGAAGAGCTTGGGCACATTCAGGGGGAATGGGATAAGCATCTGGACATGTTCCAGCTGATGCATGTACTCCTTGAGCGTACATTCATACAGAGGGCAAAGTCTCGAGATCTCACTGGTTATGTTAGCTGCCGGGCCCCAGTTCTTGAACAGGTGGTACCTCAAGTCAGTGACACATGGAAACAGCCTTCGGATAGGACTTTGCAGCTGACTCAGCCGCCTCAAATTCCTCAATGGGGTCCACGTCATTTGCAGCCCTGCCATGAATATGCCTTCCCCGAGGAATAGAATCGAGCGCACATTTGGCAGTGACGAAGGTAGCCTGCTGGCCATGTCCTTAATCACCTTATCCATGTCCATTGGCAGCCTGCATCGGTTGTATATAATCACACGGAGCTCTGTGACAAGATGTAGCTTGCTATGTTTGGTAAGGAACCCTAGGTTCCACATCCAATCACGAGCGTGGCTTTTGCCGCACGGGCACTTCTCGCGGTCGCACTCGACATAGCAGTCGAGAAGGAGTGGACGGAACACTGCCTCCGGGAGCTCACAGACGCGATGTGGGTATGAATCACCGAAATTGATGATGTTCGAATACTCTTTAGCCTGTCGATGTACGGGTGAGGGACTTGGCACAGAGGTCAGCTATGTCTGTGAAGGAGGCTGGACTCTAGCTGGCTATCTGGCTGCTGGATGTCCATGCTATATAGTAGAATAAATTAATGCGATGAGGAGGGTGCAGAACGTAGACTGGAATAAGTAATGTGAAATGCCAGAGGAAATGGGAGCTGAGAGAAAAATGCGATGGTGAGCTGATTCCGCTGTGCTTCGACCGCTGACTATATATTTCGAGACACAAGCTGCTACTGCACTTGTCAAAAACTGACAACCCTGCAATAGACACCAGCACGCACGACACACCTCGCCGGCATGTACACGCCAATGTGGATATCCGGCCATCTCTATGGACATACTCGTTATTCGAACAATGGAACAAGAGCTGCCGTTCTGCCAATTGCTGGAAAAAGAATGCAATCTCATGTGCGTGAGTGGTTGGCTGGCGAGAGAAAAGAGGCACGGTAGAATGCAGCATGGCAAGAACCGGGTCCCTTTGTAGTTGTCTGCAGCACTGCCCAAAGTAGATACCAAAGCCCGCATTTTGCGTTCACGAATGCAGCACAGGCGCTGATCCACACCTTATGCAGCACCATACAAAGGGATGAGGCCCAGCGTCCTCAGTTGGTCAATGCAAAGCTATATGGCCAGAGCTGTGTTCGCGAACGAGCAATTAATGCACGCATATTCGCAGCCCCCGGCCACAGCAGTGGGCACTCTGTCCACCGTAGATACCAGATGGTTGGCTGTGCACCACAAAAATGCCTATCTGCAGTTATTTGGAGCCAGTTATTTGGAGCTCAGGCTGTCCAGTATATCCTGAGATGAAGTAGATGAGATGCACTTGGATATGCGACCATATCGGCTATCACTATACTGGACATGCATGGAGATAAAGTGCCATCCATATATCGGTCCATATAATTATCAGGAGATAGACATGCCAAATTGGCAAGGTAGGTATCTAACACAGCATGGCTACAAGTGTTTATTGAACCAGCATCTCCCCAGCTTGATGCTGCTGGCCTATTTGGGTAGCATGCCTTTTCCAGTTCAAGACCAGCTCCATGATTTGTGATCTAGTCTATTGTGATATGTAAAAAATGCCAGAGGACTTCCATTCTACGTACGCTTTGGAGAGCTGGCAGGCGTGCTAGAGGGATTGTGCATGCTCTGAATCTGCCTGTCCAGTTGACGCGTTGTGCAGATCAAGCAGCTGCTCTGCCTTGTCATCGTCCAGTTTATCAACCACTGTACTGTCGAGGGGTTGTCCAAACGTGCTTGTGCCCTGGGTCTGCTGCCGCAGAAGATCAAGATACGATGTCCACTGCGCAAAAAAGGGCTCCAGGTAGCGCTTGTCAGTGACGGTCTGGTGGCTGCGGAACTCGGCACGCACATACTGGTCACCTACGAACCGCATCTCTTTGGGCAGCAGTCGGTGTACACGCAAAATGCTGCGATAGAGGTACAGAGGGCCTAGTCATTATTCGTGAGGTGGTGGACAAGGGAAGAGAGGCAGGGTCCAGAGAGAAACGAGAGAGCAAAAGGAAGCAGAAACTGATTAGCCCAATTGGGCACTGCAGCCCAAGCGGTTATCGGAGAGATAACACTTAGAGTATCCAACACGTGACCTAGACCGCTTGCTTGCAAAAGCAAATTTTCCGGACCTGATAGGGATTTTGCTCGGCTATTCAGGAGCTGCAGCTCCTTGAAGGTAGAAAATGCTGGACACTTTGTGCGTGTTGTGCCCGTCTAGGCTGTAGTGTATTCAAGCGGGGTACCTTGGCACTCTGCAAGGTGGCCAGTGGCCAGTGGCCAGTCTGGTGAAACCCATATCTGCGCTACTCTTGGAGCACCGGTTGCGACCATGATCAAGCGGTTTTGTGGATATTCGATGCTTGTTTTTCAACCGCAACCTCAATTAATTCATTTGTACAAAACGCTTATTCAACCCAATGAACGACCACAAGCGGAAGGTATCGGTAGAGAGTGTATCAGGACAATGAATACAGCACAGAGGCATCGCAGGGAAAAGCGAATCGCGCTAGTCAAGCGGCCGACGTATCGACGGCAGTCGGCACGAGAGCGCACTCGCTCTGGCATCCACATCGGGCAACAACAAAGCTGTGGCATTAGCCGGGCCCAAGCGCACGTCTGGGCTGCAGGCACCCATCATGCATCTATCGGGTCACGCGGGCGACGTGACCTCCTGCCGGTTCTCGCCCACAGGCGAACACATTGCGTCTGGCTCGGCAGATGCGCGGGTATTCCTGTGGAATACGTATGGTCGACTGCACAAACTACGGTGTGCTGCAGGGCCACAAGGCAGGCGTGCTGGAGGTGCAGTGGATGCCCAACGGCCGGCTGATCACGGCCAGCGCCGACAAGACTGTGGCGGTCTGGGACACCCTGACCGGCGAGCGGCTGAAGCGGTCCAAGGGCCATTCAGGAGCAGTCAATGCTTGCTGCCCGCTCAACTTTGTAGCTGGCGACGATAACCTGTATGCCAGTGCATCCGACGACGGAACAGTGATGCTGTGGGATGCCCGACAGCGGCATGCGACTGCTGAAATCGACCATGACCTGCCACTGACATCGATTGCGGTAAACGGAAACACGGTGTATGCTGGGTCGTTGGACAACAATGTTACGGGCTGGGATATCCGGACCTTGGGTCAGTCGCTGGTGCTGCGCGGACACTCCGACACAGTGATGGGGCTGACGACGTCACCCAAGACAGGGCACTACCTGCTGTCAACGTCGCTAGACAACACTGTGCGGCTCTGGGATCTGCGGCCATTCAGCAGCAATGTGAACCGTTGCGAGCGCGTGTTCACAGGCGCTCCGCACGGGTACGAGCGGAATCTGATCCGCCCAGCCTTCGACAAGGACGAGACGTTGGTTGCATCGGGCAGTGCTGACCGGACTCTGACGATCTGGAATATGCGATCGGGCGAGATCAAATACAAGTTGCCAGGGCATAAGGGCAGCGTGAACCAGGCCGACTTCCACCCGTTGGAGCCTATCGTGCTGTCGGGCAGTGTCGACAAGACCATGTTCCTTGGAGAGATATAGTGTGTTGTTTTGCACCAATAGCACTTGTGGTTAGAGTTGAATGGGATTTGCTAGGTACGTTTGAACTATTGGATATTGTGCTGCTTGAGCTTCTCCTCCAGCTCATGTCTCTCGCGGATTCGCCGGCGGTAGCGCTTGAGCTTGGCGACGGCATGGATGACCGGCATGATGTCGTAAATGGGCTGGATGACCTGATCCAGATCCTCCTGCGTGACTGCGCTAACAACGTGCTTGCAGTTGGCCCCCTTGTCGGTGATCCTGTACGTGCCGTTCTGTGTGACCCACGGGTGCTCGCGGATCTTCATCGACAGTAATGCGTTCTGTCGGCTCCTGCTTCAGCATGTGCACCAGCAGGTCATCCAGCTGCGAATCGCCTCCCTCGGGAATCTCAAGCTTTCCCTCAGACACTGCGTCCATGATCTCCAGAACCGTCTCGCCAGTGAATGGCAGCTTCCCGTAGATGAACGAGTAGAGACACACGCCCAGCGACCAGATATCGGCAGCCTCGCCCGACACCTCGCTAGTGTTGGTGCAGAGCTCGGGCGCCATGAATGCTGGTGTGCCCGAGTACCCCTTGATCTTCTCACCGTGCTTGCTCAACAGCTTAGACTCGCCAAAGTCGGTAATCTTGAGCACGTTGTCGCTGGTAATCAGCATGTTGTCAGGCTTGAGGTCGCGGTGAACAATACCGTGCTCGTGCAGGTACTCGAGCGCCAGCATTGCCTCGACAAAAAACTTGTGCGCCAGCTCGCAGTCCAGGGGCTCGGACGTGAACTCGTTTTGGTCCAGCTTCTGCACAGGTCCGTTCCTGCACAGGTCCATGACTACACCGGGTAAAAATGCGCTCATTGTTAGCTGGGAATATGTGCGGGAGATTCGCGCTGGTTGCATGCCTCTGGGAAAATCAAGCACTCTATCGCAGATGGAATACACGCTGCAGAATCTTGGAAGCGCAAACTTTTTCCCATTTTCCTTACCTAGATAGAGAACGTCCTGCTCAGGGTCGTTTAGCACCTCGTGGAGCCGCACCAAGTTTTGGTGCTGCAGCTTCTTCCAGATGGCAAGCTCCATGCGGATAAGCGAGAACGGGTCCTGCTGCTCGTCCTTTTGCTGGTCAAGCATCGCCTGGCGCATCGCAAACAGTCCACCGCGCCCGCGCCCGCGCGCCATAGGGCCTCCACCGCGCGCCTTCTTCACCATGTCCGCCTGCACACGCTTGCGCAGCGCAGCCTTGAGGTACTCCTTCATGGCCTAGGTAGTGCCGGGGTCAGTCAGCAATAGGACAGATTGGGGTGTTCTTGTTACTGCAGGCGGGAAGAGTTCCATGCAACTTACATATTCCTTTTCGGTGCTGCGGTGCCTAACTAGGTACACGGTGCCGTACGAGCCCTTGCCCAGCTCCCTGACTATAGAGTAGTCGCCGACAATCATGTACCCCTCAGCATCCTCGCTGGCCTCGGCCGCGGCCGTGTATTTGACTTCGTCGGGGCGCGAAACCTTGTACATTCCCTTCAATTAAAAAGACAGCGCAGAAAATATCTGTGGATATAAAGAAAAATACTGCTGGAGAAAAACAGGCCTCTTGCATGGAAAAAAACTGGGGTCTCGCAATGCAGCGGCTCTCTGGCCATGCGCCGTCTCGGCGTGCCAGGGTGGAGGGGAGCACAGCCAGCCCTGCTTGTGTGACGTTAGTCGTTTTTGAAGAACCGCGAGCCGCTCTCCAGCTGCGCCCTCGAGTAGTCAATGATGCGCTCGCCAATGTCGAGGTACTGCCTGGCCAGACCCTGCACCGTGTTGCCCGTGCCGTCAAGGTTTGGTCTACACCGCACAGTTGCGTTCTTAGTTTCAAAGCCCGACTCTGCCGCTGCTGCCTGCTTCCTGCTGTCTTTCAGGAAAATCCGCTCACATGTCTCAGCCTTGGTGCAACGCATACTTACGTCAGTCCAGTCGACCGGCGGATGCCTGCCAGCACCGTCGATACCAATACCAGGTCGACGCCGTAGTGAATTGCCTTGCCAATAATCGCCATGTTAAAGGTGAATAGCCGAATTTCGAACCAACAAAAGGAACTAGGCCAGAAAGGTACCGGGCTGGAAAAATAACTGCAAACTTGTTTGTTAAGGGCACATGACTAGACTGTCCCTCTTTCGCTATTGCCAGCACCTACAGAATGTCCTGCAGGTTCCATAGCGAGATTCGGTGGTCCTGGCTGGCGACGACCAGCCACTGCGGCCGCTCATTCCAGCGTGCTTGGGCCATTTCGCTGCTGATACTCTCTGCGCTGCCTTTGGCTAGCGTGCTCACGTCTACTGATGTCAGGGCAGCACGATGGAAGCGTATCTCGCGGTATGGCTTCAAGTCAGTGTCGAACAGGTGCAGGGCGTAGTCCCAGCCAGCGGCGGCCACCAGCTTTGGTAATGAGAAGCACCGGATCTCAGCCAGCCCGCTATGCTTGACAGTACCGGGCTCCTGAGCCACCTGAAAACCAGCGCTGTTAATGGCGTAGCGGCATATCTTGCTATCGGCCGAGCACGTGTAGACGGTCTTTCCGTCACTGTCGTAGTCGATGCTCATAATCGGCTCACTGTGCGCAGTCTCCTGGGTAGACTTGAGCACAGCTGCGTGCTGATCTTTGGACACATTAACAGCAAACAGCTGCAGAGTCGTGCTTTCGTAGCCAACCACGAGTCCCAGAGCGTCACCGTCACCATCCACAGGAACCAGCTTCAAGCACATCGGGGAGTCTTCGCGAGCCCCGGCGTCAGTGTGCGACCTGCGACCAACATCGGCGACAATTTTCGTCTCAGTCGCAAGGTTATAGAGAAAGGCCTTTCCCTCACCTGCCTGCTCCAGCCCAGCAATCCAGGTTGCACCCTGGTGCTGGATGTGCGAGAATTTGCAAAAGCTCATCGAGTCAATTGCCAGAGTCGTTGCAATATCGAACGTCGCGTAAAACTCACCAGCGTGAAGTCTCCAGATGTGAAGCTTGTTGTCACGGCCCTGGCTAATCACAGTACTGTCACTGATCCCACAGACAGCCAAGATTGAACCGCCATGTGCGCCTGTGAAGTTGACGAGTGGCCGCTTGAGCAGCATATTCCAGATAATCAGCTGCCCGCTTTGGTCGCCCGAAACCATGAGCCGGTCGTCGCCAAAGAACCGAGCACAGTTTACTGGTGACGTATGCGCTCTGAAAATAAATGCTGGTTGTGCCATTGTATGCTTGACGAGTACGTGGAGGTGGAAAATTCTGCAACGATAAACAATTACCCCGTCGTGTTTTGGGCCCACAAAAACAGTTGTACACAATTGACAAACTGAAATGGGTATGGCACATGCTAGTTGCGCTAGCGCACAGCTTTGGGTATGTGTAGTTCTCTAGATACACACAGTATTTACTTGAATGATAGAGTACAAAAGAAGGCACATCTGCTCAAAGCTCGTGAGCAATTATTAGACCAAAGGTTAGCAAACCCCATCCCCGGCTAGCAGCTACGCTTCCTACATAGATGTCATTTCGACATACTGGTTTTGATCCTGGGTCTTGGCACGACTAGCATGTCCTCTATCCACCTCGCCCCCATCATTTCCGAATATCCTTTGGCCATGGATCGCCAGATACCTATACGTATTACATGCGGTAAAAGAATAGCTGCAAAGCCGGCTGGCACGAAAATTAACGGAAGGAAAGAGGCGTAGAGTGTACTGTATGGTTCAGCAGTCTCCTTTTCTAAGGACCTGTGACTTTGGTGCTTGAACTAGTACCTCAATTCTAACGAACCGAGTTGCTTTGTGTTGATTGCAGTCAAATCTTACATATGAAGGGCCGCAAACAACAAGTAGCTCAGGCGGCGTGTATCATTATTAGAACTATCCTCTAGTAATGGAAAAGGTACAGCGCTCTCCCTAGAAACAAGGGCGCTGCTGGCTGCTTCTTTCACCTCATTCTTTGGCTAAAGAACACTACCGAAAAGCGTATCTGTCTGTCTTTGCCCTCCAACAGCTGCACAGCATCCGCAGCATGTATCCATCTGGTTGTTTTTTGCTATAGGAATCACCGGCAAAAGAAGCTGCGAGCAGTGCACAGTTGAAAAATGGAGAGGAAACACACACATTCTGTGCCATCAAGGCCGAGAAACAACCACCCGCGCATATTTCTAGCCCAGTGCAGTCATTTGCAACAGGGGAAATGTCAGAAAAGCAGGCTGCAATCCTGCCTATTAACCTAGGGGATGAGTGGTTATCGGGTATATGGAAAAAATAACTTTTCAAAAATGACTGAGGGGAAGAAGGAAGGCTGATAGTCTGCCTGGGCCTTTATACGTATGCGTTTCGGCCTTGCCCATAGTGGTGCAAGGGGACTCCAGACCCCGGATGTCAGCACAGCGCAAGCAGCACGCATGCGATCCACAGCTTTAGCTGGGGCTCTGTGTGGCGGGCCGACAGAATCCCGGGCTCAGTCTCTGCTATCACTGTGTTGCCTTTAGTTCCTAAGTATACAGCTCCCAGTGTCCTATGTTTTGTGCTGGCTTTGGTTTTGGTACATCTTTCACATATGCTTGCGAGCACTCATCCAAGGGGTTAATACCATCAACTCGATGTCAGCAGGAAGATTAAATCAAATTAATATCCGCTAGCTTTTTGTTTTTTTCTTGAGGTCTCGCGTCTGAGGAATTTACGTAGCTCGCCTTTCAATTTTGCAGACACCTCGCCTTTTCCTCCGTTTAAATCTTGTGTATTGATTCTATATTCCCTCACCGCTCAAACTTATTTCCACAAAACACATTTTATAGTACATATTCGAACAAGTGACTTGCTCCAATGAATGTGTCACTCCTGGAATTGAAAAAGTAAGTACGGAAACAAATGGGGGGGTCGACAATGCTGAAATCAAAACATTCCAAGCAGCCTTATTCTAATTGAGGTCACTTGTTCACATAGGAGTGCAAACACGACGTGGGTGCCGGAGACGTTCTCTAACCTCAGCAAGCTCCTTGGGGAGTGTGCCGAGCTTAAGGGTGAGTCACCTCTGCTCGAGAAATTGGTCACAGACGTGAAAGACCTGCTGGGTGACCTTGCCTTCCCGCTCGCGTACCCAGGAAAGAGCTCGCAGCACCGCGCCGCGCTTGAGAAGGGGACGCCAACCATCAATGGAGAGGAGTTCAAAGTCAGCCAGGACTTCATTACGGAGGCAAAGAAGCTGTCAGATTTTTTGGACCTTGACGAGGGCCTGGCATCGGCGCTGATCAACGCTGGCAAGGAATACGAGCACCGGTTTGAGCTCCCTGCACCCGAGTCTGCGGTTGTCATTTACTTTAACGAGCGCGAAGCCAAGCTCCTGAGCATCCAGCGCTTCATCCAGGTCTCTGCAAACCACACATTGCCTGAGAGCTACGTGCAAAAGCTACTGGAGCTTGTAACGTACATGCTGGCAGCGACCCCCACAACGGGCGAGAAGATGTTTGTTGAGCGCATCTTTGACACGCTTAATGAGCTGAAGGCTACACAGGAGAAGGTCACAGCGATACTGGACGGCCCGACGGCCGATGTCCCCTACCAGCACGACATTGTCGAGTTTGTGAAAGTTAAGCTCGGCGAGGAGCGCAAGCAGATGGCGACAATTCTCCTGGAGATTGTATTTAACCACCGTGTTGGTCGGCCAGAGATGATGATGCTGGCAAAGTGGCTTCGTACTAGCGACGTCGAGGACCCGGTGACGCTTCGTCTGACGGTGGCGCTGCTGTCCACGCTGACATCGTTCTCGAACAAATTCGACCCAACTAATGTCGACTTGGTGCTGAAGACTAAGGTTGAGGACCTGGCCTTGCATCCGGAGTTTGTGACAGAGTTCAACGCAGAGATTCTCGACCAGCCGTGGAGTGACGACGGAATGAAGGGCATGGTGTGGCTTCAGTGGTCGCTTCTTGTCTTGTTCGCGCTTAAGACCAGCCCCGGATTCAACGAAATCATCGGCTATCGCGAGGATCGCGTCGAGAGGATCGCAGAGCAGGCTGTCCAGATGGGTGCCTATCGCTTTGCTGTCGACTATTTGCTAGGCTACCGCATTTCCGGCGACCTTGAGTACGAGCTATCGGCTGAGTTCGATGTGCTCCTGCGCCAGCACAACCCACTGCCAGCTACCTTAGAGATCGACGAGCCGCGGAAGCGGTACCCGCACTTCACCGATATCCCAGTCGATGTGCAGGTTCAGATTGAGCAGAAGCTGGAAGACACACTTGCAGCCTTCATCAGCCGCATGTCCAGTCTCATTCGCCGCATGCGCTACAACGAGGAGGACGCCATCTACCAGGCAAAGCAGGCTGAGCAGGAGCGCGCAGCTCTGGAGGAGAAGCGGAAGAGGGAGTTGCAGGAGCAGCAGATCCGGCACCAGCAGCAGCTGCTCCACGGCGACTACCGGCAGGGCCACAGGCTTAACATCAATGCTGCACTAGAGGAGCCGTTGCCCGAAATTCCGCAGCCTCGTCGCGACACAGAGGCGCTGTTTCTGTGGGTCACTGTGCTGTTCAACGACCGCCCTGACGCTGGTCTTCGTTTCTGGGGCTACCGGGGTGGCAAGCAGCTGGACCTTACCGACCGTCTGGTCGTGTTTGTGCGCTGGGGGTCTGACTTCCGCGAGCAGGGCATGATCCGCAGCTACTTCCACATGCTTTCTGCCATTGCCTGTGGCCAACAGGCTAGCACATTTGCCTACGACTTTTTGAGCTGCTCAGACAGCTCTGTGATGGCTCCGAGCCGCTCCCATGTCGCCTCGAACCAGGCACCGCTCTGCTCGTGGCCTGCGCTGTTTGGAGCGCTCGAGTTCTACGCTAGCAACATGCGCAAGAGCGGCCCTGATGCCGCGGCTACACCGCCATCGATCCCTGATGCCGAGATTGAGCTTTTGCGTGCATTCCTGCGTCTTTGTCGCACCGTTGTGCGCTACTCGATCTCTGCGCGCACGACCCTGTATGAGAACCAGCAGTTCAGCGCGATTCTGAATATGTTCAATCTGCTGGGTTGCATCGTGCCGGTGTCGCTGAAGGCCAGCCTGCTCAACACGATCTCTGCGTTCTGCCAGCTTGACGACGACTTTGAATTCGATGACGAGGCCCACGCTGCAAACGTGCGCCAGGCGGTCAACAAGATTGCGTGCAGCACCTGGACTGTACTTGAGCAGAGCCAGATGCTGAAGACTACCAGCGATTTGGAGGCGCTTCGGCAGGCTCGCCCGGCTGGAACTCAGCCGGTGCCTACACCAAAGAAGCCGATGCATGCATTGACGGTTGGTCGGACCAACAGCAGCGGCCTGTACAGCCAGAAGGAGGCCGGGATTGTCTACGAGGTTGAGGAGATTGAGTCGGTTGTAGAGACGTACCCCGAGATGCGTGCCTTTGTCCGTCTCATTGTCACGCTCATCCACATGTCGAGCAATGCTCCGGCTCTGTCAGATATGGAGCATGACCCGGTGCTGTACTCGTCGCCGTCGCCGACGATTCCAGCTAACCTCGGCGAGACGTACCGTATCCCAGGAGTCGGGCCATTTATCGGATTTGTGTTGGATCATTCGTTCCTGAAGGCAGACCAGCGGGTGTATCGCAATCCGGAGGAAAAGTGGAGTGTCTACGCGCTCTCGCTTGATGCTATCGAGCGCAGTCTTGCCACGATGAACCTCAGTACCTTTGCCTCGGATCCGAATGCGACGGTGGCTAACGGAGAGAGCCAGGTGTCGATGCTGCGGGCCTTGGTTACGCATCCAGGATTCGAAATTGCCGTCCGCATCCTCTGCGGCTCGAAGCTTCTCGACAGCCTTCTTCAGATCCTAGATGTAGGCGTTGACGCGCTCAACAGCGCTACTGGCGATATGGCAGATTCAATTGGGTTCTCCGTCTTGACCACCCTGCGCATTCTGCTGCGCATCCAGCGCATCCAGGACACGCTGCTGCACAAGGCGGTCCCGGCCCTGGTCGAGTCCACCGATAGCCTCGGCTTCCCCCTCAACCTGCCCCGCTCCCTTACCACGCTTGAGCAGCTGCTGCTTACTCGCCGCACGTCTGTGGTGCAGATCGTCACGTACATCAACTGCGTCGTCTCGGCTGATGTCTGCCTGGCATCGGTCAAGATTCTGCGCAACTTGTCGGACTCGAGCGTCTTCAGTGGCATTGACGACAGCGTAACGCGCGGCAACAGCCTGCTTACCCTGAACCGGCTCGTGAGCATGATTGACAGCAGCGAGGAAAGCGTTCGAATTCTCCATGGATTCATCAACTGCCTGGAAAACGAGGGTACGTCGGCTGCGGAGTCGACGTCTGGCGCGCTGGTTGAGGAAGCTGCCAAGGGATTCACCAGCGGGCTCGATGACCAGCGGCTGACCACGGCCGCGCAGTCGATCCGCATCGCCATCATTGACCTGCTGCTTGCGAACCTGTCGCCCTCGAAGCCTGCGCCGACCATTGCTCACTGGCTACTGGGCTTTGATATGAGGAAGCCAGCGTCGGTGGATCTGCCCAAGGCGTCGGAGCGTGTGACGTGCCTTAGCTCGATCCTGAATCTGATGCGCGCGAGCGCCACTCCAGATGCAGATGCTGCTAACCCCGATGCATTCGATGCTGACTCGTCTGCGCTGCTCCAGAGCCGCCCGCGTCTGGCTGAGCGGTGCTACCACTTGGTGTACCATCTGTGCTCGGACCCAGTTACAAGTGAGATGACCATTCGCTTCCTCCGTTCGCAAGATGAGTTCTTCTATAGCCAGCTAACCAGCATCCCGGCTACCATTGTGCCTAGCCTGCAGGACGCCAGTCTGCAGCAGCTCTTCCCGCAGGCTGGCGCTGGCAACAGCAGCTCGGGCATCGACCCTAGCCTGTACAGCCCAATTAGCGTCTACGCCCAGATGCACGCGCGTGCCTGGTTCTGGCGCAGCACGGCGCTTGACCTGCACACACTTGTGCTCCAAAAGTCGTCAGAGGACGCCAAGCGCATGATCGAGTGGCTCGTCGGCGATGTGGGCCAGTCGTCGGATGGCGCTCAGAGCGACGCCAACTTTGGTATCAACGCAGGCCAGGGGAGCCAGACGTTCCTCAACTCGCGTATGCGTCTTATGGCTCTGTTCGAGTCCCTCCGCCAGGCGTACCGCGACTCGTCGTACTCTCTGCGCCACCAGCGTCGCCTCGCCGAGAGAAAGTATCTGTCGATGGCGAGCTCGTTGGCGATGGATGCGGATGACGACATGGCAGGGCAGTCGCAGCGGGTCGTATGGCTCCGGAGCCGACTGTGCAAATCGCGTTGCCTCCGATGCAGCCCTGCTGAATGTAGATATCAACTCGTGCCGCGTATCCAACGAGCGCGGGTGCGTCGTGTTCGATCTCCACGCGCTGGTCGTCCTGCTGCGCAAGTCGCAGTCGATCCTCGAGTCGAGTGGCCAGATCAGCTCTACTGGAGCTCGCGATGGCGTGTATATGGCGATTCGCCGGCTGGTGATCCATTGCTACTTTGCGAACCAGGAGTGCGAGCTGTATGCGGCGTATGCCAGTGCCCTGTTTGGCTGGAAGGATATTGCCGAGGTTATTGTCACGTCGGCCTGGGACAGGATTGAGCGCGGTGGACGTGTCGGCCGTGAGCTGACAGCGTTCCAGCTGCTCAAGAGCCTTGTTCAGGTCTTGTCGGAGAACGATCCTGTCTACAAGTCCGGCAACAGTGGCTTGTCGTCGTCGGCCAGCAGCTGGTGGATCGAGGCGCCTACGAGTGAGCACGAAGCCCGGCATGCGGAGCTGCTCAGCGCGCTCTCGCCGACTCTTGCTCTGTTCACTGAGAAGCTTTCGTTCGAGTGGACCCGCTCTGGTACTCTGGCGCGAGCGTCGCTGGCAATGAGCAAGCCTGGTGTCGCTGGCCAGTCACGCCCGGCACCTGCGGCAGCTGATAGCCAGCTCCCGATCGAGCCGCTGCTTGATGTCTGGAAGCAGCTGGTTGCGGCAGCCCTGACGCCCGCGGCGCAGTCGTCGCTGCCTCTGCGTGGCAACGTGTATGCGTCGATGCTGCACTTCCTCAGCGGTGTGCGTAAGCTGGCGGCTGCCGAGGCCAAGGCTGATGGCAGCGAGGCCAGTGCTTCACCAGGCAAGCTCATTGCTACTCCGTCGGCGGACCAAGGTGCGTACCAAGAGCAAGCTTGTTACTGGGACCCTCGATGTCCTGACCGATTCAGCGCTGGGAGACCGTCTGCTGGAGTCAGGCCTGCGCAGATGCTGCTGATGCCTCGGACGCGTGGAAGACAGTTGCATTTAGCCTGCTCGACTCGCTGGCGTCGCTGTTTTACATCGAGTCGCGTCCCAACCGGGTGGTCATGTACCTTGCGCGCAAGAACTACTTTGCGTCCTACATTGGAGCGATTCTGCGGCGCGAGGACCAGGCACTGCAGGCTACGCTCCAGGCCGAGCCGGCGTCGCTGAATCCTCTGTATATCTATGAGGCAAAGCTGGCGTTCTTCATGCGGCTGGCTCTGCGCCAGGACGGTGCTGAGAAGCTTATCGAGAATGGGATCCTGGATGTGCTTACCGACTGCAGCTTCCTGGACATGAAGCCCAGTATCGGCGGCGACTCCGCAAAGTCGGGCTTTGGCGACTCGCTGATGCCTGCGCGCTCTGAGCGGTACCACCAGCTTCTGATGCCGGCGCTCAATCTGGTGCTGCTGCTGGTTACCAAGATTGGCCGCGACAACCTGCCCATGTGGACGAAGGCGGCCCGCTTTGTGTCGCAGCACTTTAGCGTGCTTGAAGCTATTCTGAAGGAGGCGACGGCCACATCCCAGCCGCTCACCATTGCGCTGCTGACTGAAGTCAAGGCTAGTCACAGCCACTGGTCTCATATCTGGCCCGCCAGCGCGCAGTCATTGAGCGTGAGATCGCGCAGGCGGGTTCTGGACACGTTGGCATCAGCACCCTGCACCTGTCGATCCTGGCTCTGCTGCCCAAGTTTGCCACAAGCAACGAGTGGACCCGCCGTCTGCAGACAACAAATGAAGTCGAAGCGTGCCCAGGCACAAATTCCGGCGTCGGTGTTTGATGACGAGGCCAGGGACTCGGCAGCCGCTACACTCGGTGAGTCGCTGCTGACAGACATCCAGCACACGGTCTTTGGCCAGCAGGCGTCGGAGCTGGTTGACTCAGTAGTCCGCAATGTGATGACGTACGCCCAGTCGGTTACTGAGCGACCGCTGGCACCCCAGACAGCAACTACTGCGCGGCCGTTCCGCCCAGCGTTTGCATGGCCGGTTGAGCACGACCGGGAGTCGGACTACACCCCGTCGGTGGCCACACTGATTGCGTTTGTGCGTCGCTCGCTGGCGCAGGTCGAGCGCGGGCGCAAGGCGCGGGACGACAAGCTGCGGCTCTCGAAGAACACCAGCGCAATGCCGACGTCCGACCTTCGCAAGATCGTCGCAGCATCGCCGTATGTGCAGCTTCCCGAGGAGCTGGGCTTGCCGCAGATGCGGGCAGTAGCATCGGCCCTGCTTGCGCAGCAGGGCCAGCGGATCGGCAGCAGCCTGAGCCTTCTGGCCACGACGCTCGAGCAGGCGCTGGTGCTGATGTGGCGGCATCTGGTGTATTTCACCAACTCGGCTGCGGCTGCGGCCAACGACGGCAGCGCCGTGTATGCCTCGAGCTATGCACGCCAGCAGCCGGCTGCCGACGCAGATGAACATGCCGACGCTGCAGGAGCAGGACATGCTGCGTGCTGCGGCGTCAATCCAGCTGCCGCCTCTGCTGAGCCAGCTGTCCGAGTTCAAGCTCACCGAGCAGGAGCTGGTGGCGGCCAGTGGGCACAACACCTTCATCCAGATGCTGGTGCGCAACATGCGGGACTTGATCCTGCGCGACGGCTCGGCGGTCTGAGATCCGGGGATCAAATCTACTATTTTTCTCTTTTTCCGGGTATTCAATTTCAAAAAATTTCGCCTCTTTGGTAGTTTCTTTTTCAAACTACAGCCAGCTTCTTTGGCATTCTCTACTCCCAATTTTCACTCTCTCATACACACAAACCAAACATGGCATCAAATTCAAAGGCGGCTGACTTTATGAACCTGCATGAGAGCGAGGAGAGCGACGCGGGGTCTGAGTCCGAGGCAGAGCAGGGACGGACCAGCGCGATCCGGTCTCGCCAGGCCTATGGCGGATCAAGCGACAGCGATGCCAGCGACGAAGAAGACACCAACAGCACAAATGTCGAAGAACGCGAGGCGGCAGGATGCCGAGACGAAGGATACAGCGAGTAAGGAGGAGTCTGAGGACGACTACTTTATCGGCGATGATGCTGGGGAGGACAATGAGGATGGAGAGCCTGCTGCGGAGGACTCCAAAAAGAGAAAGGAGCGGCTGCTCTCGGAGAAGGACATCGAGGCTGCGCGGCTGGCGGAGAAGCGCTCCGGAGTCATCTACATGTCGCGGGTGCCGCCGTTCATGAAGCCGGCCAAAGTGCGGCACCTTTTGTCGAAATACGGCGAGATCGGGCGCATATACCTTGCCAGAGGAGGACGAGAAGCGGCGGACGCGGCGGATCAAAAGCGGCGGCAACCGCAAGCGCCAGTTCGTCGAAGGGTGGATTGAGTTCAAGAACAAGAAATACGCCAAGGCTGTTGCACAGATGCTGAACAACACGCAGGTAGGCGGCAAGAAGCACGGGTTCTACCATGACGACCTATGGAATTTAAAGTACCTAAGCAAGTTCAAGTGGCGCCATTTGACCGAGCAGCTGGCTAACGAGAAGGCGTCCAAGGCCCAGAGGCTGGAGAACGAAGGTCAACCAGTCGCGTCGCGAGCTTCGAGGCGTACTTGAAGACTGTCGATCAGTCGAAGAAGCTGAGCAGCATCAAGGCCAAGCGCGAAGCGAAGCTTCAGAAGGGCGAGGCGGTCAAGCCGATGGAGGATCTGGCCCGCAATGTGCGGCAGAGAGATGTCATGGTCCGCGGGAAGGCTGCCGACGACAATGGCGATGAGGGCAGCGGACGCAAGCGGCGCCGCACCGAGGGATCGCTGGGGAACGTGCTCAGCAGCATCTTCTGATGATCTGGCGATTAATCTGGCCTCTGATCAAAATCTTTTTTTTTTTGCTCTCAAACGTATGCAGCTGCCTTGTGGACTAGCGCCAGCTCCATTTTCTTCCTACGACTTTTCACTATAACTACTTATTCAAAATGGCGACTTCTTTGGCTAGTCAGCTTCAAAAGATGCGCGCGGTCGATCGCGCCATCACCACGGAGAAGGCACAGCGGATCCGGGCGTCGTTCCTGTTCGAGGGCGGACAGGCAGCCAACATCGACAACCAGACGGTGTTTGACATTGGGCGCGACGGGACTCAAGCGAGCTGCGCCAGGTCAGCCGGCGCTTCGACGTCTATGCGACCACGCTGTTTTCAGAGGCCGTCAAGGACCTTGATCGCGTGCTGCAAACCTAAGGAGGAGAACAAGAAGCTGGACAAGAGCATCCGGTCGTTCCTGTTCCTGCTGGCGCCGCACTTTCTGACCAAGCCAGCTGGCAAGGCTCTGGAGTGGTTGATCCGGCGGTTCCGCATCCAAGAGTTCAACGCCAAGGATATCCTTGCGGCGTTCTTCCCGTACCACGAGACGAAGGCGTTCCTGACGCTGCTGACTATTATTACATTCGATACGAGCGACATGGATCTGTTTGGGTTCTTGGTGACGCAGCGCAAGGCGCGTCCGGCTGCTGGATCGGGCAACGCTGATGGCGCAGTGCCTGCGCGACCGCAGCCTGATGGCGTTTATCTGCAACGGCGTGTTTGATGCCACCCGCAAGGGCTTCGATTACCCTGGGCTGCACTCGTTCTACGCGATGCTGATGTCGCAGTACATTGGCCAGCTGCCGGTTGTCGAGAACAGCGCCGTGCAGTTTGTGCTGCCGTATGTGGTCGACGGCATTGACTTTGCCAGCAAGGATGCGCAGCTTGCAGCGTACCTGGTGCTGGGCTCGCTTGCGTCGCGTGTTACATTCGACGCTGAGGCGCTGGAGAAGACGCTGTGTGCGGTTGCGCAGAGCCCGAAGGACGTCAAGGCGATGACCATGTGCCTGATCCAGCTGATGCAGACCCAGGTAACAGCAATCGACAGTCTGCTGTCGCCGCGCTTCCTGACTCTGTTGTCCGCACATAGGGACTTTGCGCGCGTGCTCGGCGCTCTGGCGGTGGCGTTTGACATCGAGCTGTTCATGCAGCCGTTGGTTGCTTCGCTGGCGCACTATTCGTTTGAAGATACGGCTGTGTCGGCGTTCTTGTCCGGAGCTCATTCCTGCGCTGCCGTCGCGGATTGCCCCTCTGCTGTGCGAGAGGCTGGTGAAGGAGCTCCTTGAGCGCGATGGCGAGTCGGAAAATGCCATGGGGATTCTTGATCTGCTGCAGCTGCGCTACCAGCAGCAGCTGGAGGACGCAATTGGTGCTGCATCGAACGCGGTCAGCCAGCATAGCCGCCTGGGCGAGCAGCAGAAGGAGGCCATGCACAAGAAGCTGTACAGCCTCAAGATGCGCAGCGGTGCTGGCAAGTCTGGCGTCAGCGGGGTGTTGCCTCTGAAGGAGACTGCGACGACCCTGTTCCTCAGCATGAACCACGCTGACTCGGGCATCCGTCTGGTTGCGGCCAAGGCTCTCAGCGATATTGTCTCGGGCAAGAACACGGAGTTTTCGCTGCCTGCAGAGGACGCGAGCAGCCTGATTCTCGAGCGCCTGGATCAGGAGGATGACGAGCGTGTGCTGGGCTGTCGTCCTGTCGCTGCCCCTGACTGATTATATTGCCGCTCCTCAGCTAGGTATCCGCGCTGTCGGCACTGATCGAGAGCGACCGGGTCCCGCTTGCCGGTCTTTCGGACAAGATTGTTGGCCACATTCTGTCGGTCGACACATCGTCTGACTGCACAGCTTTATACCGCTGTGGTCACAGCAGTGTTCCCGTACCTGATCTGCGTCAGGGACACAGCAGTCCATTACCAAGTCAGCTGGTCTCGATCCTGCCTTCCAGCGCTGTACGGCAAGCAGAAGAACGGATGGCTGGCGTCCGCTTGCCAAGACCAAGAAGCTGTCTGTCGATGAGGCCGAGTACAATGCGACGCGTGGTCGATGTGCTTGCCACCGCTCTGGTCAAGAGCTGGAGCGAGATTGCTGAGGACCAGAATGGGCTCTGGGCCACGCAGCTTGGCTCAAGGCAATGCTGCGGCGCGCACTGCAGCCTTGGCCATTGGTGCCCAGGCAGTCACGATTCTGGCAGCCAAGGGCAAGGTCGACGAGTGTGTTATGGCGGCAGCATCTGTGATCAAGCCTCTGCTGGCCACCATGGCAACCGAGACCAGCGCGAAGGCAGTCAAGCTTGACGATGATCTGCTGCTCAGCGCTACGTCGAGCCAGGGCTGGACCAACCTGCTGCTTGGCCTGGCGACTGATAAGAGCGTGACTGGCGCTAGTGTCAGAGTCGCTATTGGTGCGCTTTCCGTGATTCTGTCGGTGCTGCCAGAGCTGGTCAAGCTCGCTCCTCACGGATGGATTGGCGCTTCCCCAGCTGCTGCTGATAGCCCGGAGGCCCGGTACCGCGAGTTCCTACGCACCACGTTCATTGCAGTGGTGTCGCGGCCCAGCGACCTCACCGGATGCCGACGGTATCCTGATCGGCCGCATGTTGAACGTGTGCATGGGATCCGACTGGGCGCAGTTCCTAGCATCGCAGTGGCTGTCCGACATCAACGCTGTTGCCCGTTCGCGCTGCCTGCTCTCGTTCCAGGCCCTTGTCAAGCACGCTGCGTCAGGAAAGCCCAATGCTGTCAATGACTACCAGACGGTGCTGCCGTCTCTTCTTGTCGCCCTACTTGATGACGACGCAGGTGTGCGCGGAGCTGCTGCCGCTTGCATCCAGGCGCTCAAGTCAGTGTACCCTGCGAGCAAGGGCAAAAAGGCACATCGCAAGAGCAAGGGCGACAATGCTGAGGCTGAGCAGGACATCTACATGTATGACGAGTTCTACGGCCCCACGTCCGATAGGCTGCAGTACTTGCCGCTGGACGTTGCGGCAATGTTTGTGCACCAGCTGGCATCGCAGTCTGATGTACTGGCCGAGGACGCGTATGCAGTCAAGCACCAGTTGGCTGCGATTCTGAACAAGGGCCATGTCGGAGGCGATGCCTCTGTGGCGAAGCTCAACACCAAGGCGCGCGAAAGCGTTGTTGCGTTCCTGCTTGCCCACGTCACTGCTGCTGATGGTGTTCTGGCGCAGTTCCAGATCAGCCTTCTGGAGTCTGATGGGTCTGGCTACGTCGCCGCTGTTTGTGTCGCAGCTGTTCCCGCTGATTGTCAGCCATGCCAAGAGCCTGGAGAGCGCGGGTATGCCGGCCACCGGCAGTGTCGAGGATCAGCTCACGCACTCGCTGTTCGCGGCGGTCTTCTCTCCATCCAATGCCAGTGTTATTGCAGGTGGCTCTGACAAGCACTTTAATGCTTTGCTCAAGTTCGTCAAGGGCGTGACCAAGATCCCCAGCTCCAAGTTTGCGGACTGGAGCGCGGAGCTGCGCGCCAAGGCGTATCTGCAGCAGGTCTCGTTCGAGTGCCTGACAGCCGACTTTGTTGCGTCGTTGGGATCGCAGCAGGCCCTGGCTGGCATCACCCAGTGTCTGTTTGACGTGGCGACGCTGGGCAACTCGTACTTTGTGCCGGGGGCTACCAAGGCCACGCTGCGCGATCTGTTCAGCAAGGTGCCGCTTGACCCGGCCACTGTCGCGGAGAGCCTGGCTGCTATTGCTGGCAAGATTTCGCAGGACGACAGCGATGGAGCCCGTTCGGGCAAGCGTGCGCGCGGATCGCAAGCCAAGTCGCCGGTGGATGTGACTGCCGGAGCTGTCAACGCTTCTCGAGTATGTGCAGTGCTCGGCGCTGCTGTCAGCGAATCCGATCCTGGCCCCTGCTCTGTTCTCGCTGCTGTCGGTGTTTGTGTCGGATCTGTCGACCCCTGCTAGTACCGATGAGGGCTCGGCCGAATCGCTGGCGGCTCCAGGCCTAAGGAGCTTGTGTCGATCGACTACCTGAAGCAGCTGGTGCTGACGATGCTGACGCGTATCTTTGACGAGGCGAACAAGGCGGGAGCGCTCATCGAAGAGAGCGTCGTGCGTGTGGACGTGATTGTGCAGTCGATCCGGACGTCGAGCAGCCCACAGACGCACAACCAGACGCTTCTTCTGCTGGCAGCCGTCGCTGTTCAGCACCCGCAGGCCGGTGCTTCACCACGTGATGGCTATCTTTACGTTCATGGGTGCCAATGTGCTGCGTCAGGACGACGAGTACAGCTTCCGTGTCATCCACCAGACACTGGAGAAGGTGATTCCGCCGCTGGTCAAGGCAAAGCCCGGCGAGCAGGCTATCAGCAAGCGCGAGGAGGTTGCCCTGGCGGGTCCGATCCTGCGCGTGTTTGTTGATACCCTGTCGCATATCCCGCGTCACCGGCGTATGGCCTTGTTTACGTCGCTTGTCAAGAGTCTGGGCGTCAAGACGTACGCGATCTGCGGTATGCTCGCTACTGCTGGAGAAGAATGCGGCGCGTCTGCTGAAGAGCAGCAAGGGTGAGGGCTCGTCGATCGACGACCAGGAGGACATCTACTCGTTCACGCTGTCGCTGGTGCACGAGTTTGATGCTTTGCAGCAGGTGGCAAGTGCCGAGATGCTGCTGTACGATCTGATCCTGCTGCCAGCCGAGAAGGAGGCCACCTGCTGACGACAGCGAGCTGGAGTCGGCGGCTGCTGAGCTGTACATCGACCTGCCGCGTATGAATAGCAAGCAGCTGCGCACGTACCGTCTGGTTGTGCTGGACTTTGTACACAAGCTGCTCACCAGCCAGCAGTTCCGGAGCAAGTACCGCGCTACCGACATCACGCCCGAGGTCAGCCAGCAGCTGTCGTCGGCGGTGTCGACCGTGCTGGAGCTGATCACCAAGATGGCCACGCAGTACGGGACAGCTGACGCAGCAGCAGCGCCTGACGACGCAGGCATCGGACCGTGCGTGGAAGCAGTCGATCCACATTGCGTACAACGTGATCGACGACATCAACAGCCTGATGGACCGCCGGTCGTTTGTCCAGACCGTCGCCAAGCTCCTGGCCCAGAGCGACTACAAGATCCGGCGCAAGGTGCTGGCGCTGGCCCACAAGCGCATCGAGGCATTCGATACGCGTCTGTACGAGGCCGACGCCAAGCCGATCGACGACATGCTGGAGCTGGTGGGCTCGGTAATGGAAATTGTCGACGAGAAGACCGAGGACTCGGCCGAGGGCTTCAGCCAGAAGGAGTTTGTGGCGAACAAGCAGGCGGCGCTTCTGTGCGTGGCAGCCGCGGCCAGACGGCTTGGCTCGCTGCGGCCGGTGGTGTTCACCAAGCTGGTCAAGCGCGTGTCTGGGCCTGAGAGCCTGGATTCGCCGTACCCCGTTGTCGTGTCGGCGGCGCTGGTCACCGTAGCGGTGCTGTGCAGCGAGCTTGGATCGCGCCTGATTCCAAGCCTGCCGATGTTTTTGCCGTCGATCCTCAAGCACATGCACTCGGTTGACTGGCAACTACCGCAAGGCGTCGGCTGATGACGTTGCCGTGCTTCCTGAGCGCCCTGGGCGCCATGGAGACTGTGGTTGAGAACATGTCGGCCTTCCTGGTGCCGTCGCTGGCGCCGCTGTTCAACTGTCTGCTCAACCCGGAGCTGCGTGCCTGTGGTCGAGGATAAGGCTGGCGAGTCCGACGACGAGTCCGAGGGCACTGCGCTTGACTCGCTGCACTCGCAGGTACTGGCCAAGGTGGATGTGCTGCTTACGGCTCTGGCCAAGAACATCCCGACGCGGCAGCTGCTGCCAGCGCAGTTTGCCTTCTATCAGAAGGAGGCGTGCAAGCAGGGGCCGGCGGTCATCGTGCCGTTTGTGCAGTTCGTGGGCAAGACCGGCGGTTCGGTCCAGCGCACGCAGCTGCTGCAGTTCTACAAGCCGCTGTTCAAGTTCTTCCTGTCGGTGTTTGATCTTGCGCGTAACCCCAGCATCCCAGTCATCGAGGCTCGTGCCATCGAGGACACGACGCTGGATGCGTTCATGCGGTTCGTGGTCAAGCTCAGCGAGAATCTGTTCAAGCCCCTGTTCCTGTCGTTTGTTGACTGGGCCACGACCGATCCGCTCCTTCTGTCGGCGCCGACGCCTGCACTGTGGGTCAGCAAGACCAGCAGCACGAACTGGCTCCGAGCAGTTTGCCAGCGAGGCGCGCCTGCGCGTGTTCTTCCGCGTGCTGAACGTGCTGTTCGACAAGCTCAAGTCCATCATCACGCCCTACTACAGCTCGGTTATTGATGTTGCCATCGCGCAGCTCACGCGGTTCGGCGTCGAGGCCGACAGCGTCGAGATGCAGGACCGCGAGGACCGCGAGGAGAAGCCTGTGCCGAGCATGCTGTGGCAGGCAATTGTGCGCTCGGTGTACCAGAGCGCGCTGCACGATACCAGCGACTTCTGGACCGAGGACACGTTCAACAAGGTGTGCAAGCCGCTGGTTGCGCAGCTTGGCAACACCAAGGTGGCCGAGGGCGACGCGTATCGACGTGCATGTTGCGCGGATACGCGAGTTCATTGCGCCCGCTATCAGCCAGCTGGCGGTCGCTGTCAGCAATGACGCGATGTGGAAGCGCATCAACATGGACGTGATGATGAAGTCCAGGGCCGATGCGCCGGCTGTGCGTGTCGGCGCGCTGATTGTGCAGCAGGCGTTCTACGACAAGCTCGGCGAGGAGTTCCTGATCCTGCTGCCCGAGACCATCCCGTATCTGGCGGAGCTTCTGGAGGACGACGACCACCGTGTCGAGCGGGCTACCCAGGAGACCATCAAGACCATCGAGTCGTATCTGGGCGAGTCTCTGCAGTCGTACCTGCGCTAAGTATAAAACCACTGATTTTCTTTTTTGGAGAGCACGCTCTGCATTCCCTTTTTCTCCTTTTTCGAATTGAATTTCACTCTGATTTTTCCTCTCTACATTTGTAATGAGCGCTCGCACGGAAAAATCCAAGGAGCCTGCACCCAAATTGAGCATCTGGCAGAAGGCATTGCTGCGGGATGAGGAGTGGCAGAAGGACGAGCTGCGGACCCTCGTGTTCTGGATCGTGTTCGGGTTCTCGGTCGTCCTGGGTGTGTTCTACGGCCTGCTGTCGCTGCGCGGGCTGCCGTGTCTGATCGGATATTTCATCGGCTCGGTGGCGGTGCCGACAATCTACTGGACAAACTACCTGGGTGTGGACGACGAGGACTTTGGCGGCAAGATGGAAGTGCTGGGCGATAGCATTGGCGCTGGGTTTGCTTCGTTCACGCTCACGTGGATCGGCGTTTACACGGCAATGCAGTCGTAATGTGAGACGGTTCTAGGCCCGCATCCGTAGGCAAAAGGTACACAGGCTGTGGCACCACACGCCCTCTTAGATGCTCCATCGCCCCCTCGGTGTCGGCTGGGGCCTGGCTGTATACTGGGCCGCGCGGTTAGTGTGGGAGAAGGCTCTCTTGCCTCTCTTTCGTCCAACGACAAAAAGTTTTTAATACAGCACATCCTTTCCATCCACATATGACTGGGCTCGCAGCAATCTCAGTGACAGTTACCGACGGCATTGGCAACGGCGACATCTTGTCCTCATCGATGCGCCGGATGGTCGATATTACTGGCAGCAAAGAATCGGCGACCGTCACAATGATCTGCACTGTGGACGACAAGACCGAGACCCTATCGGGCGAGATCTCAGGAGACCGGTACCAGAAGGACGTGGTCGAACAGACCGAAGCGCTAATGCGGCTGCCGCGGCAGTCCGATGCCAGCTCGACCGACGTGTGGGGCGCCGACATGTCGATTCTCCTGATTCTGTCAGGCCAGGTTGCATGGGCGAACGCTGTGCAGAAGACCGCGCCCGAAGGCACTGCCGTGCCGGAGGAGGCAAGGGCTCAATTTAAGCAGATCGCGGACACGCTGCTGAAGGCAGGCAGCGACGCAGTCCATGTGCAATAAAAATTTTACCCACGGGCTTCGTGCCAACACAGGCTTTTTTTCTGGGCTGGACATGTGACGTCAAGAGAAACTCGCAATCACGCAATCCCTTTTTTGCAGTGGGTCTTGGCGATGCACAGGGAGGGTATAAATTGCTGGTGTTTGGCGATGCCCTCATCCTCTCGTCCTTTAACTCATTCCCGAATTTTCTTCTTCACCAGTAGTATACACCAGCGCTTTCACCTTTGCAATTATGAGCGACGACCTTCACATCACCGTAGTGGACTATGTCTCAGGGACTTGGTGTTCCTGGCATCATGCCCCCCAAGCTTCGGTACGTAACATAGCCAACAAACGAAAGCGCGCACAATTCAAACAAGAATACATGGCTACGACTAACAAGCAGCACTATACCTCTGTAGCAGCACAACCGAGATCTCTGGAACTCCTGCCGGCGCCAAGTTCACGCAGAAGCTCTTCAACGGACAGCCGGTCGAGTCCGTCACCAAGTCCGGCGAGCTGGTCGGCGACTCTCTCACCACCGTGTTTGCCCTTGTCGATGAGTTGCAGCAGCTGCCGACACCTGAGCAGCCCGGGCTGGGCGACGTGTTTGGCGAGAACAAGGTGGTGCTGGTGCGCAAGGGCCGGAGCGTGCTGTGGGGGTACAACCCCAGCGCGGGCTGTGGCGCCGGGCCAGATAGCCGGGGCTGTGCCCCGGTGTTTGCACTGAGCACCGACCACATGAGCAAGTTCAAGAGAATCGTCGATGGCATCCTCCAGGCGACTAGCGATAGCTTCTAGGGTGTATTAAATCAAACAGATTTTGTGGTCCATAAACCAGCTGCTGCTGGCTGCGGCACGATGATGAATTCAGCCCCTCTTGGCATTTTTCCCTCGCCCAACAGCGCTTCCGACCTCTCATTTTCCACAACATGTCTGAGAAACCGCCGTGCCAAGCCGAAGCCTGCAGGCTCCAGGACTGCCTGTGGCGAAGCGACTTTCAGGAATCGCGCTGCATGGACGCCTGTGCGCAGACTCGAGAAATGCTGCAATGAACTGCTTGCCAAGGGCGGGACGTCCCGGTGCTGCCCAAGCAAGCCCATGCACAAGACCAGCCAGAGCAGCGCCAGCCCCCAACAATAAGCCAACTAGGAATGAAATAAATCAGCGTTGTTCGCAAAACTGAGCATGTTCCAAGTCTATCGCTGCCCGAGGGAAACAGAACAGGTCCAGCGAGCCAAGAGGCTGGAGGTCTGGCTGACAGGCGCAACGCGTCACCTCTGGCTCATCCTGCAACATAGACCCAGGAGCTGGAAAAACGGATCCGAGATGATCAAACAAAAAATTATTTGCTGTGACGAAAAATGCGTTATTTTTTCTTGTGTATACCGAACACAACAGCTTTATTTCATCGAATCCTTTTTTCGCTTCTTGTTTCTTCTCAATTCCCGCTCTGTTCTCTGTCCTTGTTATTTCCAGCACGCGGTTCAGTGGCAATTTAACTTTATATCTGCAGACAGGATAGTCAAAGGGGAAGAGGACCCTCTCGTTTTTACACGGCTATAACATACAGAAAGACGGCCGGCGTATTACCTTCGTATTCTATGGAGCTTGGAGGCAGCGGAGGGGCTTCGAATTTGGCCAGGTACCGTATACCATGTTTGGCTGCAGAGCTGCTACAACCGGCAGTGCTCCAGCAAGCAGAGAACCCCACGTACACACTCCCAAATGCTGGCGCTAATTTAAGGCTCTGTTGCAAATGTGCTGGTGTGTCGCTTGTAGATCTGATTCAGGACGGCCCATTGTTCAGCCCCATGCATATACCGAGCCCGCAAGTCCACGCACACCTACACCGCCGCCATCATCATCACTACTGACTGTGGCGCCGGCTATGGACGGACACACACGGATTGCAGAGTCGCCAGGCGGCAAGGACGCGCAGGATGACGGCAGCGACGACAACTCAGACCTGACCGGAGTTGATGTAACGGCACGAGCGCTGCGGCAGTTTGAGGTTATTGACAAGAACGTGCTTGTTCGTGTGACAACAGACGGCACAAAGCACGAGGAGTCGATCCCTTGCCACTGCCACTACAACCCATCGCGCGACGCGCGGACGCAGGCATGCGGCGAAAACTCGGACTGCATCAACCGGCTTGTACAGATGGAGTGCAACCCATTGACATGTCCATGCGGCAGCTACTGCCTGAACCGACGGTTCCAGAAAAGACAGTACGCAGAGGTGCGGCTGATTGACGCCGGCCGCAAGGGCTTTGGGATGCAGGCGCTGACGGATCTGGAGAGCGGCCAGTTTGTGATGGAGTACATGGGCGAAATTGTGTCCACTGCACAGTTCCGGAAGCGCGCTCGCGTGTACCAGCAGGAAGGCATTCGGCACCAGTATTTCATGAGTATCGGGAACAACAAGATCATCGATGCGACGCGCAAGGGCTCGATTGCGCGGTTCATCAACCATAGCTGCGGCCCAAACTGCGTGCTGCAGAAGTGGATGGTTGCTGGTGCTATTCGCATGGGCATTTTTGCCGAGCGGCCGATCAAGCGCGGCGAGGAGATCACGTTCGACTACAAGTTTGAGCGTATGGCTGGTGCAGAGCCGCAGCCCTGCTACTGCGGGGCGCCTGAATGCAAAGGAATTATTGGTGTGGCCAAGGAACGGCGCCGCAAGCATGTGCAGGTTGCGGAAGAAACAGACGTGGATATCGAGGAGGATGGCGACGACGCTGCTGAAATTGATGAGGAAATTGATGACCTCACGGTCACCAAGCGACAGCGCGACGATATCCGGCGAAGGCACGCGGCTATGGACGATGACGACTATGGCAGCGGCAGCAACCGCGACGATTTCTCAGAGTCGGACAACTCTGACGACCCTGACGCCGCATACGGCATCCGTCAGCAGCGGCGTGGCCGGAGGAAAGGGCTGACATCGCCAGAGCAGGTGCTGAAGTTTGTGCAGATCATGCACCAGTCGGCCGGCGAAACCCGCATCATTGGCATTCTGATCGGTAAGCTGATGGAGACCAGCGACCGACGGCTGCTCAAGTCGCTTGTTGGGCTACAGGCGCTCGGGATCCTGCGCTCCTGGCTACAGGATTACAAGGACGACGACGTAATGCTGATCAAGATCCTCCAGTGTATTGACCACTTGCCCATATCGACGCGCAACTCGATTGAGGAGAGCAGGCTCGAGGACGCAGTAGCGCCGCTGTGCTCGTTTAGCGACGAAAACGTGGCCAGCATAGCGGCAAAGCTGACAGAGCGGTGGAAGACGCTGCGGGTGGTGTTCAAGATCCCAAAGAAGAGCCGCAAGGAGTCTGCCAACGTCACGCCCTCAGCATCGGTGCGGGAGAGCCCTAATCGCACAAACAGCACGCCGCCCGTGGTCAGCCATGCAGAGAATGCCAGCACCTAACTCACCTGCACATCCAGTCGAGTAGCTCTGGCTGGTACCAGCAGGCAGCAGGCAGCTCTGTATCAGCCTCTGCCCGCATGCGGTCGGCGTCGCCTGCGCCACACGACTCGGGGATACATGGGCACTCGACAGGTCCACACTCGGTGGCCGCCAATGGCTGGGGTGCCCGGCCAGCATTTGGCTTCCGCATGCACTCGCCAGCCGGGGGTGCCAGCAGATTCAGCAGATCGCCTGGCCGCTCTGGCCCGTCGCCATACTCAAGCGGGTTCCGGCCACGGTACGGCAGCAGCTTTCACACATCTAGATCACGGTCTCCGCTTGGGTTCAGACGAGCCGCCTCTTACTCACGGTTCTCAAGGAATGCCAACAGCTGGCAGCGACTACCAGACGTATCCGCCGCATGCGGCACGCGGGTCCCAGCAGCAGCAACCGTTTAACGCACGAGCATCGTCACCCGGATCCATGGCCAACGATACCCAGCCTGCAGTAGCAGTGGGCTCGAGTACTAAGGTGCAGTCTGCTGGCGGCAAGGCGCTGGCGCCTGGGTGGCGCACTGCATATACAGCGGATGGCACGCCATATTATTACCACGAGACAACTAAGAAGACGCAGTGGGAAGCGCCGTTAGCCGAGCCTGATCGCGCAATAGCCGCAACTGACGAGCCTGATCGGGCACTGCCATTGGCAGCTACGGCTGCTGTTGCGCCTGAGCCTATGGCTGCGCAGCCTATGGACCAGTTGCGAGCTTTGTCGGCTGCTGGAGATGCCACGGTGCCGATGGCTGGGATCAGCGACTCGCGCATGCCGGTGGAGAGCGGCCGCTGGCCCCCAGCAGCCGTGCGGCGCCAGCTAGCAGGGGTTTCACCAGTGTAGCTGTGACATCGGCCGTGGGTGTGCCCATGGCAGCGTCGGGCGCAGCAACACCAGCAGCTGTACAGGAGGAGAAGGTCGACGGGTTCTCAAAGTCGCGCGTTGACGAGATCATCGAGCGCACCATGCGGCTGGGCAATCCGTCGTCGTCCACAGCATCGCTGCCCCAGCTCCCTGGTTCCACAGCTTCGAATGGCGCTGGATCTATGCAGCAGCTGGTGACGCCCGATACTGACGGAGAGCCCAGCGGATCCGCCGTGCACCAGTCCAAATCGCTAGCAGGGCTCATCGTCGCTGCGGAAACATTCGACGCCCAGCAGCTTGAGTGGATCACCATCGACAGGGCCCGGCGGCCCAGCGCGCCGCGAGAAGCTGGAGAAGAAAGCTACAGCTGAACTGGCAGCGTATGTGGTGCGGCAGATGAACAAGTACAAGTCGCAGATGGGCCACGACGAGTTCAAGCACGAAGCACGCAAGATCACCAAGATCCTCATGGAGAAGGAGCGCAAGTTGCCTGGCTTCGACCCCATGAAGCTGATCGGGCTGTCGGCGCACAAGAAGGCCAAGGTCAAGCAGTTTGTCAGCGAGTACATGGTGAGGCTGGTGGGCCGCCGCGTTTCATCGCTGGGGAGTGCTGCTGGCAGCCCTGCCGGACCGGCTGCTGGCCAGACGCCGCCAGGCCCACCGTTCACCCCAGCCAACAACTAAAGCCTTTTCTCTGCTCTTCATTTTTGAAAGAAAAAAAACACTGTGAATAAGCCGGAAACTATGACAGAGCCTCGCCGATCCAGCTCTCAACGTACGTGACGCCGCCCAGGTCGTGGCCCTGCACCAGCACGCACTCGTTGAACTGGACGTCGTTCTGTATGTCGTCGAACGAGAACTTTTTGCCGTCATAGCCCAGGAAATCGCCTGCCCGCGCATCGTCCTCGGCCGTGTCGCCCAGGGCATCCAGAGCAGCCTGACGCGATCCCCTCAGGTTGTCAATCTCGTCCTCCAGCAGCTTCCGCACACGAGTGTTGGTCAGGGCTGCCATCTCATCCTGCTTGTTGCACACCACAAGCACAGGCGTCTCCAGCTCCTGCACCTTGCTGTTCGCCAGAACCTCGTACAGCTGCTCCGCAGTCTCTCTGACGTTGTCGGCGACCGCCACGCTGTCCACCACAAACACCACGCCCCTTGCACCTGCCAGCTGTGCATCCCGGTCGAACAAAAACTTTTGGTGGCCCGGCACATCAACCAGAAACGCCCTCGTCGAGTCAACCGTCACCTCGCTGGCATTCACAGCCATCGACGTTTGCGTCGGCTGCTGCTTCTTGTACTTTAGCTGCGTGTAGAGCGCGGTTTTGCCGGCTCCCATAGGGCCTGTGAGAACGATCGTGTTCCGTTTCTTTTGTGAAGCTGCCATGCCCAAGGCGCTTTGATTGCTGAGCGCATTTGAGCGCTGCTGAAGGACGTAGAACCCGACAAGACCCAGCACTGCCACAGCGAGCGTGAGCACCAGTGCGAGTGTCCCGAAATTGCTCGAAGCGTCAGGGGTTGCGTCGGCCATCTGCAAGAAAAATTGAAACAATAATGAGGAATGCTTGAAGAAAGAAGAGAATAGAAGCAATTCCAATCGTCATTGAACCAGTCCGGCGGCTTGGCAGCGCTACTGGGCAAAATCACCGTATCGCCAGATCGGATTGAGGCTGGGTAGCTTTGGGACAAGGCACAGATCCAGCGACCAGGTCCATGGATCCGCACCGCTGGGACCTCAAGGGTAGCTGGGCCGCCACCTTGCCAGAACTCCAGCTACAGTTCTGCTTGGGTCTGTGGCAATGCAATGCAATCAGCCCAGCGGCCATCTCTTGCAGCTCTTCTCAGCCAAATGCACTGTCCACGTCACCCAATGACATGTCACTCCACATTCTAAAACATATTCATCAGCCACAGGCACCTATGAACACGCCATGCACCAGCATTTATTGGCAGCTGAAAAAACAACGCACAGCTCATTCCTTGCCCTGCTTCTTCTTTACCGGTGCTATCTTCCTCATAGACTTGAAATCTTTAAGCCGGTTCCCTTGCTCATTTGTCTTCTTTATGTGCCAAATGTTGATCGCTTCGAGAATCAGCCTGTCTACCGTCGATGTAGTTTTCAAAGGCATTTTGTACACACCGGTGAGCACATCTAAAACTGTTGCCCCTTCTTCAAGCATAGCATCAAACATGTCCATATACTCTACAAGAATATCTTGGTATTTATCCAGATCCTCCTGATCAGCGCACTGTAGCTTCTTAGCATCACGAGCATAGACGCGGTTAATATCCATTTGCTTCCTTGTGGGCAGCGAAATGTTTATTCCAGGAATATTTTTCGGGCGGGAGGACTTGTCAGGGAGTGTAAAGCTAAATCCTGACGATGACGAGCCAAGAGGTGATGGGCTCGAGGTGTTGGAAGGTTGGTCAGCCATATCGTGTTCTATGGACGGTTAATGCAGACAGGAAACGCCAAGCAAGTACTGCAGAGTTGGATATGTGAGTACAAATGGACAGCTCAAACAGTCTACTGCAAGTAAAGATAAAGTAGTGAACCGTGCAGAGAAGCAAAGAAGTTGAAGCGGAGAATAGCGGTCTAGTAGTGAAAATAAAGAGCAGCAGAGAGCTGCGCAGAATGCAAGCGCTTTTTATAACCGCGAGACAGAGAGAGCCAATTGTGGTGTGGCGCAGGAGGTGAATGAAAACGCAAACAAGCTAGTGATCGCCTGGTTACCTTGGGAGGCGAAGAGGCTGGAACCCAGGTGTGCATGTGGAAAATCATGACTGATGAAGAACTCCGATTCCAGCTAGCAAGAGAGCGGTGGGACTGGGCTTTGGGCGGTGAGACACTGTGTTTCTGCAAGCAGCACACAGATGCTGAATATGTCCATTTAATGGCAGACATTCATGCACACAGGTGCTCAAGTTGCTATAGCCGTCAGCAGACAGTATATTGCATGCCTATTTTCAGTTGTTAGCAGCTGCTAGTGCCAGCAGGTGCCTCTTTGTAGGCTTGAACGAAGGCATACCTTTCAAGGCTGCACTGGTGTACAATGCGCTTATCAATTCCGTAAGTAACAAAGAAATGGCGGTCACTTTGGGCACAAAAGCACTGGATGAGGGACAAGCCAGCATATGTCGATGCACAATCTCATCCCAGCAAATGGATCGGGTCCAAGTGCATTGAAATAGGTCCAACCTGCTCGGAAGCTGGGTAGTTCCCTTGGAATCAGGGCGTCAAAAGCGAAGTTTTGTGAGCAAACTTGATCAGTGCTCTAGCAAATGTACTTGGCATATTTAGATCTGGTGCCAAGGGAATAGACAAGAGAACGATCATTTCTAGGATATGTCAATGGTCCCGAAATTCAAGCTGGCAAATATACCACAGGGAGTTTGGTTTTAGTGCAGGGTGCTTGAAACAGGTGTGCTGTTCACAGTAGAAACGGCCTTTTCTTGATAATGGCGAGCATGTCTTTGAGCTTGATGCACACGCCACAAATCTCAAGCCGCTGAATCGAAGGATCAGTATTGTCGAGTCCTGCCCTAACATCTTTCGAAATCGCAACAGCGGATGCCGAATCTTTAGAGTAAGCGACAACCTACGGCCAAGCTGAAGGGAGGTGTCCACTACGCGCGTGGTCGACTGTTACCCGCCCTCATACAGAATCGCGGCCACTTCCAGGGCAGGATAGGGCTGGTGGTCACATTGAAGCTGAGCCGGATGTGCTGGAGGGTCTTGTTGCTCCTATGAAGTAAAAGCCTGTGGACAAAGCTGGGGCTGGAGTCGCAGCACAAATGTTTAAGTTTGGTGAGCATTGCGCTGTTTGGGAGGATGTTGGTAAGGGGACATCCAGTGAAGTTCAAAGGTGACAGCAGCAACGGAGCAAAAAACATAGCCATGCAGACCTGTCGATTAGAAGTCCTTTGATAGACCGGGAAAGGTGACAGGCCATAATAGTTGCTGGCAAAGTGAATAGACGGTCACTATTGCACACCACGACAGCATTGTATAAAGACGCCCTGAGAGGGGGTGGGAGAATTCGTGCCAGACGCACAGAGTGTGGTGGCGGTAGCGAGGCTCTCCAAGGATGGCGTTTTAAAGATGGGATGGTAGGATATGATCCGCAATACAGGATACAGATGTGAGATGTGATTTGAAAGCAGCAGAAGCCACCAATCGCATATCACAACTATTTGGTAAGGGCTCATGCTTTTGTCAATTCAACGGCGCTATCTCAATAAACATAAACGCAGTGAGCTGCGGGTCCAGCACCACCAGGCCCATCGGCGCAAAGAACGACTCATTCTCCTGTGCAATAAACCTCGAGATCCGGTCAATGGTCTTGCGGAAATGCGGCTTGATTATGAGTGTCGACAGATACAGCGTTGCAAATGCCAGGCATCCTTCCAGCACATTCCTTAGCGTCGCGCCCTCGGCCTCAGCCAGCATGCCATTGATTCTGCGCACAAACCGCTTAAATCTCTGCTCATCGATCCTGCCCTGCAGCTGCACAGGCACGTCCAACGAAAACTGCCGCATGTCGCCTGTCGAATAGTCGCGCTCAATCCGAATCCGCTGTGTCTGCGCAAACTCCACCGCATTACTTGAGGCGCTATCTGTGTTTCCTAGTCCGTAGGTCTTTTTCACGCCTTCATCATCCGCCCGCTGCTGCAGCGGATGTTGCTGGTGCTGGTTCTGATGCTGTTGGTTCTGATGCTGCTGGTTCTGATGCTGCTGGTGCTGCTGCTGGTGCTGCTGTGATGGGCCACCCAGCACCATAATACTCTGCGGCCTTGGCTGCGTTGGTGTGGCTATCAGTGTCGGAGTTGGTGTCGCCTGCCTCGGCTGCTGTGCATTGGCAGTCCCTGACGACTGCCCATCGGAATGATATCGAGTCGCGTGGCGACGAGTCCCGTACATAAGCACGTGCAGGCGCTGCCACCTTATCCAGCGCCACTATTGACGAGCGCTTCGATTCCGTGTCTCTGTCTTGCCTGCTGCGTGTATACACGGCCCGGTTCGACTGCATTGATGTCCACCTGAGTCGTGCTCGAATAAAACAAAGGCATGGCGCTGTCTGTGCCTTGCTGGTACATCGACGACTGGTTTGACTTCACCGATGCCCCACTGCTTTCGTTGTACCGCCGCTGCTGGCTCTGCAAATGCAAGGCACGCACGCTGGTACCGCTCAGGACGCGTGGTAGAGATGTAGGCTGGGTCTGCTGTGTTGTTGTGGTGGTGCTTGCAGGCGAAGGGAGTTGTTCCGGCGCTGCTTAGGACCACTGACAGTCGGCGGTGTGTCGGTTTTGTGACTCTCGTTGCTGTTGCGTAGCGGATATCCCGAGTCTGTGCTCTGTCCGAAATTTTCAAACGACCACTGCTCCGACGCGCTGTCAATGTTGGACATTATGAAATTAGACGAGTTACAGAAAATAAAGACGAAGAAAGGGAAACAAGACTTGGAATTACGGCTATAGTGGACAGGAAAATAAAGAGGGACTGAAGAGTGCGCGCTGCAAGGAGGTTCGCTTTCTAGGCTTGCAAGCAAATAGAGGATCGCTGTTCTCGTCTCAGACGCTGATATTATTGCATAAAGATGAATCGGCAACAACAAGCGCTCATCGAGCAAAAATGACCAGCTCATTTCCGAGTTGCCGTTATTTTCAACGGTCGATAGCAGGTGCAGCGGCAGACAATCATCCGCACCAACGACAACAACAGGGCGGGAGTGGAGAACAGCAAAATAGCCTGGGTCAATGAAGATACATACGGTCCTTGTTGTCTGTGAATCCGGGTTTCCATAGTTGTCGCAGTCCCGCCACCGAGCGTCATCAGCGAGTCCTACCAGAGATAAATATTGCTGTCGCTCGTCTAGCCACACTGTCCAAAATACCAACTCTCAAACCACACAAGCCACCCCCATGTCCAGATCACCGACGCCCACATACGAGGATGAGATCGACTACGAGGTTGAACAGATCCTCGACGACAGGATCGAGGACTCGAAGCACATGTACCTGATTAAATGGAAGGGATACGCCGACGAGTACAACACCTGGGAGCCCGAGGAGAACACTGACTGCCCCGATATCCTGGCCAAGTACTACGAGTCGAAGGCAAGCAAGCTGACGTACAAGGACTACCGCATCGGCTTCAACCTCTCGCAAATCCTCCCGGTACCTGCCATCCACCGTGTAACTGTGCTTAACGCTGTCGACCAGGACCGGTTCCCGACCGATTTCACGTACACAGACTCGTATGTGTACGGCAAGGATGTGGTGCAGCCGTCAACCGTCAATTTCCCATGCGCGTGTACAGGTCCAAAGTGCTCGGCTTTATGCGGATGCATGCACGGGAACGCATACTACGACGAGAACGGGCTGCTATTGCCTGACTATAATGGCGCGAATCTACGAGTGCTCGTACATGTGCAAGTGCTCGAAGGACTGCCCAAACCGTGCCATCCAGCGCGGCAGCAACCTGAAGCTGACCATCTTCCGCACGACGAGGAAGGGCTGGGGAGTATGCACCGAGCAGCCGATCCGCCGTGGCCAGTACATCTGCAGGTACACAGGTGAGCTACTGACGTTCCAGGAGTCCGACACCCGCAATACCTCCGACATGACATATCTTTTCGACCTCGACAAAGAGGTGCCGATTGGCGAGCAGCCAGAATACACAATTGATGCCCGCCGCTACGGCAACGTGTCGAGGTTCTTCAACCACTCGTGCGACCCGAACCTGACTGCGTTTGCCGCGTATGTCACGCACCTGAATCCTATGATGACAGAGCTGGCGTTCTTTGCGAACTGCGATATCATGCCTGGCAAGGAGCTCACTTTTGATTACCAGCCAGTTCCAGCGGTTGGCGGTGGACCTTACGGCAATCGCGACGACGCCGATCCAGAAGCATATCATTTCACATGTCGGTGCGGTGCCGACAACTGCCGCAGGGTGATATTTTAGCATATGGTTTGGTCATGGATATCATCCAGCTGTCTACAAGCACATAGCATGTAGGCGGCTAGCAGCCGAATGGTCTTAAATAAGGATACATTAATATGGAAGATGCACTGCTATTCTTCAATCTTCATTCGCTTTCTTCGTCGTCATCCTCGTCCTCGAGCTCTAGTTCCAGGCGCTTGCTGAATTCCAGCAGCATCCTCGGGGATCTGGCGCTATCCTGGCCCACCAGGAGCCGGTGCTTCAGCAGCCGCGACGCAGTTGGCCGCTCAGCACTGCCGACTGTACAACATAGGTTCATAAATCCAACCAGATCCCTCGACCACGCCGTTGGATCTGATGGCGCAGGCATCCCCTTGGTCGACGCCAGTTCTAGCACCTTCAGTTCTGGGTACTCCTCGTACGGTGGGTGGCCCTCGATCATCTCGTAGACAGTTGCGCCCAGCGCCCACACATCAGTGCTCGGCGCATACCCGGATCCCTTGGCCAATTCGGGTGCCATCCAGTAGACTGCGCCCAGCGTAGACTTGTGTACAGATTTTTGGTCCGCTGTCAAATGCACGGCGCTGCTAAAGTCCGACAATTTGACATGGCCATTGGTGCCAATCAAGATGTTGTCGCTGTAGATTTCGCAGTGTACGATGCTACGCTCGTGCAGGTACGCCAGCGCAGAGAGAACCTCGTTGATTACGTACGTCACGACAGGCTCGGGAATGCGCAGGGTCGGGTATCCCTCGAGGAGATCTGCCAGGGATCCACCGCCCATGTACTCGTAGACAATCCACACAGAATCATCCACCGCCAAGTACTCGTAGAACCGCACGACGTGGTGCGACCGCACGCGCCTCAGGATCTTTAGCTCTGTCCGCAGCTTGCGGTACCGCGCCTTGGCCGTCTTCGGGATCACCTTGATTGCGACTTGCCGGTTGTTTTTCTTGTTTGTTGTCTTGTATACCATCCCGGACTCGCCCTCCGCAAACGGCTCCAGCTCACCGTAGTTTATCCGCGACGCCTTGTGTCCCGACGACGACTCAGGTGGGCTGGTTAGCGAGGAGGATGCAGCCACGGAGGCCGATGGCTCGTCCAGCAGATGCTTCTCACCACCCTGCGTACGCTGGTATTTTTTGCTGCCGCTCGGATGCGCCAGCGTCACCTGCCGCTCGGCTGTAGGGATGTCTGTGGCGAGCTTTGGCGGCTCTGCTCCGAGCAGCGTTGGCGTGTGGTGCGTGCTTGAGCCGGCACCAACACTCAGATCCGGAGACCGGGTGCCGTGAAGGCTGTGGGTGGACCCAAACGACGACTGGCGCTGCAGCCACTGTCCCTTCTCTCCCTCGACTGACCGCGATACCAGGCCCTCGCTGTTGCCAGTGCCCACTCCCTCCACGCCATACATGCGCGCCTTGGCTGACTGCGGGCTGCTGGGCATGGCGTCGCTACCAGAGGGCGATGTGTTTTTCACGTACTCGAGGCTGCGGCTGCGACACTGATGCGGGCATATCGGGTGTGACAGGCGTAACCATCGATCCGCTTGATCCCGGAGAGTCGCCGCCCCGGCCGCTGAGCATCTGGCGCGCATGCTGGATGTGCTGCAGCCGCACCTGCTCGCGCGAGTTCACCTGTGCCAGTAAAGGTGCGCATAGGACTTGGTCGACGACGCTGCGCTGGCTGTCCGCTGCTGCGGTTGCTGTTGCTTCTGCTGCGCCTGCTGGTGGTACGGGTGCTGGGTCCTGATCTGGTCCAGCTGTGTCTGCAGACGAGTGGCCGGTGATTTTGCTGTTGCCTGCAGAGTCGCTGCCAAGGCTTGCTGCGCTGGCCCGGCTTTTCAAAGCGCCGACACGATCGTTATCGTGCTTTGTCGTCATTTCCTCGTATATTGGTGTGCGCGGGGAGCTGGTGCTCGAGTCCGCCTTGGGGGACTGGGTGTTCCGGTCTGTCATTACTGCTGTGGAGGAAACCGACGGTGTTTTCTGAGGGCCAATGTACTGCTTAAGAGCATCTGGCATATACTACAACATGCTACCTGGTGGTTAGCGCGTTCCTTTTATACATCTGATCTTCGGAACATGCTGGAACGCATTTGGGAAAAGCCGCATATCCCCTTTGGGTCTTTCTGGCCCAATTGCGAACCAATAGTCGCTCTGTTACCCACATAGCAGAAACAAAGCTGCATATTTATAGGCTGCAAACGAGCCAAAAAAGGTCCCTTTTGAGCGACCGGCGCAGCAGATTTGAGGGCCCATTTCACTGGGCCACCGTTCGTCGAAAGTGTCCCCAAGGGATTTTCGGTAGAACCAGATGGGAATCGGAAAGTGACACATGCTGCATATTCCAGCAGCAGCGCATGCTGTTGCGTCTAGGAGAGAGAAAAAAGGACACGCAGCGCGCAATGCAACAATTGGATACGTTACCTTGAGCACATCGTCAATGTCCTCGATGCTGATGTGCATGTCGTGCTTGACATTGAACGGCGCACTGATGTCGTTGATTTTTTTGACCTTTGGTTTGCCTAGGATGTTGAAGATAAAGGAGGAAACCCGGGACTGAGTGGACATTATAACAGGAATAGTACAGGTAGAAGAAGAGATATCAGGGGTAGATAAACGGCCATGTAACGATAAAGCTTTTTTACAAATCCCGCCAAGGCAGCACACAGCCATTAAAATATCGCACAGACCTGAAAAAGAAACCAGGGAGAGGAGAAAGAGTAGGCGGCTGGTATCGGGCACTGGTCTATTTTGAACGGAATCCCAGCGGACCAGCTGCCACAATGGAGTAAGCGGGGTGGCAAACAAAAACGGCAGAAGGAAGTCTGACAGCCCAAGCTCGGGCTGGAGTCCTTGCCACACAAAGCCAGGTATCAATCGACATCAAAGAAATACAAACATGCGCAATGAAAAGGGGGAGATGAAGCGCCGGGTTTATTGCTGGACAAAGAATAGCCAGCGGGATTAGGATGATTCCCAGACACCTGCCCGCACGCACGACGACTGCGCTGGGCAGCATAAGCCACAGAGCGCCAGGTAGGAGGAGAGCCGAACAAGCTGCAAGCGCTGTGCCTGGGACCCAAATTTAGCACAGGCGGTAGCTGACGATAATACGGGTCATGCACGCCGAACGACGCACAGAAACCTAAAGGGCAGTCTCATGCAATCAACAACCGGCGCGGTGTGCGACGATGCAAAGTGCTTGCAGCAAGCGATCTTATTATAGACGGCCCATGCAGCGCCACCGCACTTTTGCTCGAGACCGGTTTCGTCGCAATTAAACTGAAGCATAAGCTATTCGCCGGTTTGGGCAAGAGGCAAAAGTATGCGTAATATCCTTCGTAAGGACCATTATGAAAGGCCACACGGTCGGTGCAATATTGAGGCTGCGTGCGTGCAATGTACATACCTTCTTCTGGCGACACCGGCGGGTCCTTGGCGGACGATGACTTCAACGACTGCTGCGACCCATTACGACGACAGGTACGACTGCTGCGACCGCTGACGACGCATGCTCCAGCATTGGCCGTAGAATCTTACTCTGGTATTGCGACACCGAAACATGGTTGACGTGCTGCACAGCGATCGGTCCGCTCACCGGCTGCCCACGCACGCTCGGTCGATACCCGCCCTTGTCTGGGCTGCCCTGCTTCTTTGAGCCCAGCGAAAACGCACTCGTGTACTCCTTCTTCAGCCGCATTCGACAGCTTGCTGGGCCCGCTGCGGCTGCTGGGCTTTGTCTGCGGGACAGGTCGCCGAGTACTGCAGCTTCGGGTTCACCCGGGTGTCTTCCGTGGGCAGCTGAATTGCGTACATTTGTGAGCCGGCGGCGTTCACGACCAGACCATCGGATACCACGCTGGTGCGATACTGCTGCTTTTGGTCTGACGGCTTTTGGTCCGGAGAGTTTGGCTGGCGGCGGCGGGCGTTTCAGCAGGGTCGCGAAAATGCCTCCTTCCTTGGCGCGTGACCGATGCCAGGATGGTGCTGTCGGACTAGTAGCGCTGTTCTGGCCACCGGCTGCCGAACTCATTTGCTGCTGTGTCTATGGAATTGCGCTCGAATGCCTGGGGTACGGTATAAAGAGGAGCAGTAAAAGTGGAAAACGTGGGGGAGTTGGTGGTCTCAGGAAAAGCGTGCTTGTCGGGTTGACAACAAATAAGCCGAAAGGGGGGTTATGAGGGGTCCAGGAGCCTCCGGCGGGCTGGAGAACGCAAATGGCCTGTGGGGCTGTAGAAAAACAATAGCCCGCTCGGGTCTATCTGGAGGGAAAGAGCGAGTTTCTGTGTAAGAAGCCGGCACACTCCTCTTGCACCGACAGAATAATAACGCTGTTCGAAATTCCAGCCTTTTCGCAAAAAGCAGAACTGCAGGTGCAACAAAGAACAGCTCGTTGTGGAAAGGAAGGTGTACAAAACACGAGCAAGCGAATAGAGTAGAAGGTTAAAAATAAACGAAATTTGCAATAGACATTCGGTAGCGGAGAGGAAGAAAGGGCGGACGACATGAAGCTGCTCGTGCCTGGCCTTGTTGAAAAATTTTAGTGGAGACGATCAAGCGCCTCGTGCCTTTAAACAAAAAATTGCTCGCTGGGATGGGCACGCACACCTGGGCCGTATTGTAGCGCCTTTGCAAAAGATGACAGGCAATCCCTTGAGGTTCGATAGAATTACCCAGGGCGGTGCGTCCGCTCGCGCTTCGGTGAATAGCCATTGTGTTTTCCAGGAACCGACCTCGACACATCACTGTGCAAAGGAGAGATGATATCCATTGCGCACCGCTGATAGTGTAGGCTAGTCGTGCTATTTATGGCCACCACTGGGTGTGCGTGATACGCTGCATGCATTAGATACAAATGCCTCGAGGCTGTATGACTGCATGTAGAGCTGGATGTTGCGAGAAATCATGTTCAAAAATAGCCGTGTTAGTTGGATCCCTTCTTCGCATCCTCCTTGAGCGTCACAATGCGGTTCATGATCAGCTTGGTGCCCTTGATATCATCGCCCTCGATGGCGGCAGTGGGACAGCTCCGTGTCCTTGTCAAAGGCAAAGTAGCCGATGCGCGTGAACTGGAAGCGGATGTTCTCGACGTGGTGTTCGGCCAGCTCCTTCTTGCCGGCGGCGGTCGCAGCATGCCGCTTGATCAGATCCCACAGGCCGACCTCGGCCACAGCTCCCTTGGCTACAACAAGCGACTTGTCGTTGACGTCCGACAGCCAGCCGCCCGGCACCTCGTTCTTGTCGTACGGGTTGGCGTGCTTGAACAGCGCGTCGTACACACGCACCTCGTCGAGGCGCACCGGCGATCCGTGCTCGGGGCTCTCGGCCACCCACTGGATGTACGTCTTGGGCTTGGCGGCCGTGGCTGCATCCTCGAGGCGGCACACGATCTCGCTGATCGACCCATCAGCGTTCTTGCGCACATCCGTGCACGTGATCGGGCCGGCCACGTTCTGCAGACCGACGGTCTTGTTGGGCGCGAGGCGGTAGTAGTCCGCCGAGTCGGTCTCGCGGAAGTCTGACGCATCGATATACAGCGTGCGCGTGAACGGCACCTTGTGCGTGCCGAACGACTCGTCACGCGGCTTGTAGAGCACATCGATCATCTCGAGGTGGTCCGCAGGCAGGTTCTCAATCACCACCTTGACCGGGCTAATGGCAGCCATGACGCGCGGCGCCAGCTCGTTCAGCGCGTCGCGGATGTGGTTCTCTAGGCGCACCACATCGATGGTGGTGTTGGCCTGTGGTCACGCCCAGCTCGCGCACAAAGGCATTGATGGCCTGCGGCGGCACACCGCGGCGACGCAGCGCCGGCAGCGTGTACAGGCGCGGGTCGTCGAGCGCCGTCACATGGCCGTCGTCGCGCAGCTTGAGCAGCTTGCGCTTGGACAGCACCGTGTTGGTGATGTTGAGACGGCCGTACTCCCACTGCACCGGTTTGTAGACCTCGACCGCATCGCACAGCCAGTAGTACGACTGGCGCGAGTTGGTGAACTCGCGTGTGCACAGCGAGTGGGTGATGTTCTCGAACGAGTCGCACAGGCAATGCGTGAAGTCGTATGTCGGATAGATGCACCACTGCGTGCCAGTGCGGTGGATGGCTGGCGTACAAGATGCGGTACGCGACAAGATCCCACATCTGCGGGTTGCCGTCCTCCAGATCCATCTTCATGCGCAGAATCGCCTCGTTGGCTGCGTACCGCCCGTCCTTCATCTTCTGGAACTCCGCCAGCGACTCGGCCACCGGCCGCTCGCGGTGTGGGCAGGCAAACCGCGGGCCCATGGCTTCACCGCCGCGCTGCTGATGGATCTCCTCGCCAGAGCAGTGGCACACATACGCATGGCCCGCCTCAATCAGCTTGACGGCCAGCTCGTACAGCTGCTGGAAGTAGTCCGACGAGTACAGCACCTGAGCCGGCTCAAATCCCAAGCCACCGGACCATGTCGAGAATCGACCGCACATACTCCTCCTCCTCGGCCTCGGGGTTTGTGTCGTCGTAGCGCAGGTTGCACACGCCGCCGTGCGTTCTTCGCGTACCCAAAGTTGACGTTGATGGCCTTGGCGTGGCCAATATGCAGGTAGCCGTTGGGCTCGGGCGGGAACCGCGTCACAACCTTGCCCCCAGGTCGCCGCCAGATGCGCAGCCCGCAGCGACTCGTTGATCTGTGGGTTCTCGCCCGCCTTGTGCAGCCGGCTGATCTCGCCCTCGGCAAACATGCTCTCCAGCGTCGCCGGCTCCCATCCCTTCGACTCCTGCTGAGCCGCATTCTTCGCCGGCTTGGCTGCCTTGGCTGCCTTCTTCAGCTTCGCCGGGTCGTCGCGCTCGTCCTTGGGACCCAACAGCGCCAGCACCTGCGCATCAAACTCGTCCTTGACCTTGCCCGAGTTCGCCCACCGCAGCTCCGACGTCTTCTTGACTGCGCCCAGCGCCCGCCCCAGCGCCCGGTACCGCTGCTCGACCAGCATCGCCTTCATGCTATCAATCACCGCGGTCACATGCTGCGCAATCGCCGCATCGCTCACCTCCACGCCCACGCCGCACGCCTCGTCGAACGCCTGCTCGTTGGCTGCCGGGTCGTTCTTGGCGCAGAACTTTGTCGCTGCAGACACCTGCTCGGACGACGCCAGTCCGGCCAGAGGCGATAGCCCTGGCGATGTACTCCACATGCGGCGTCTTCTCCTTTGGTAGCCGTCGTGCCCAGGCTGTACAGCAGCATGCCCATCGACTTTTTCGAACGACGACTGGCCCGTTGCATCGACGATCGTGTTCAGCGTCGGCGCCAGCTTCTTGTTGCCAGCCGCCTCCTTGGCCTTGTCGCCTGTGAGTCCAAGCGACGCGAATTTCGTGGTCAGGTCCTCTACGCTAGCCATTTCGGGATACTTTTTGTTGAATTAAGAATGCCTTTCCTTAGATTTGTGAGTAAGAGAAGGATATGAGTGAAATCGAATTGTGGTGTGAGGAAAGGAGGAAAAATTTTAGGTGTCGTTTTTTTTTTTTTCATTGCTGTCCTTTGGCTGGTTGGGATGTTTTTTAAAGCCCGGTTCAGGCATCTACAGTTACTCACATTTTCGCAAAAAGTGCGGCGCAGCCAGGCCGTCTTTGACTCACTACGCGCACCCTGCGCTTCTTTATAGCCGGCTTCTGGTCGCATGACCTTTTGCTTTTCTATGGCACTGGCATGTGCAAGATATCTCTTATCGATCAAGTAGCATGTGGCCATGATGGCCAAATATATCAGCGATACACGGCTGGCCGCAGTGTCTGCATATCACACCCAGCGATGCTCTCAGACCTAGCGCCTCCCCGAACCGTGTCCGATCCTGTCGTCATTCTAGAAAGGGGCTTGTGCTTGTGAAGCCGCTCCATGGCTTGACAATACCTGCGCCTTGATACACCACACCTTCTACTTCCCGTCCACCGTTTGGGGAGGGGATGAAGGGCTTATCGAGAGACCACCGCCATGCGTTTGCCCAGAACAACGCACGAGTGTACCTGCAAAGCTTAAGGCAAACCAGCTGCCATTGTTGACCCGCATACAGCGACTGTTCTTGCTCGATTCACAGCTGGGAGGATAATACGTTTTTCATATTACTGTGTGCACTATAGCTCAAAAACAGTGCGAGCTTTCTCTCTGCTGCATCCTCTGGTTGCCCTATATATATTTTGTAGGCAATGGTGCCTGGAAGAGGCCATACTGGAACCTCGTACAAGCCATTTCCCTCACTCCCTTTCTCTCGCTCTCTTTCTGCAGCAAGGTGCTCTCTTGTACATTTAATTTTTCGTTGTTTCACCATGGACTCGTACATACTCCAGCATCTATTTGTGGCAGTAGCTTTACTGCTGGCCGCTGTGTGGATTCGAAAACTCTATATTCGCAGCTGCCGCATCCAGCTATTCGCTTACCGTCCACCGAATGCCTCTCCCACACAGTACAATGCCATTCGCCAGTCGCGGGCCCTGCATCCGTGACTTACCTTGACGCTGGCTGCCCCTCGCTGACCTGATCCCAAGCGCGCCTACTTTGTCCCTACGCCCTATCTGTTTTTCAGTATCTTGCAGACCAGCCTACGTGGTAATCAATGCACACCGTCGAGACAAGCACTCTGATGTCAGCTATGAACGTGAAATCCTGACAGCTGGTGATGGTGGCTCTGTTGCTATTGACTGGTACCCATCGCACAACAGCAACAAGCCCGACACTCGCCCAATCGCTGTAGTTATGTCAGGTGTGGGTGGCTCCAGCAAGGAATACTATGTTCGGTGTTCTGGCCAAGTCACTAGCGGATGGGAAGCTAAACTACCGTGTGGTGGTCATGAACCACCGTGGGTGTGGTGGTGCGAGGCTCACCTCCCCAAGGCCCTACAATGCCCATGAGACAGCCGACATCCGCCTCACCGTCAACCATGTCCCATGCGCGCTACCCGGATGCGCCGCTTGTTGCGGTGGCCTTCTCCATGGGCGCCAATGTTCTAACCCGCTACGTTGGCGAGGAATCCAGCAACTGTGTCTTATCCGCGGCAGTCGGCATCTCGTCGCCCTTTGATATGCCAACGACTGTGCGTGCCATGGAGGACCGCAACTTCCTCAACGACTACGTGTTCCGCCCAGCACTTGTGGCTGGAACGAAACGGTACTTGCTAAAGAACGAGAGTGCGCTGAATAGCGGCAAGATTCACTTCGACATGGAGCATGTGAAAAGAGCAGCGTAGCCTGTCCGAGCTCGACGATATTATCACTGCCAAGGTGTTCAATACCAAAGACAGCTGGGGGTACTATGAGCTAGCATCCAGCAAGCCTTATGTCGAGCACATCAAGATCCCATTCCTGGTCTTTGCTAGTCGCGACGACACGATTAATCCGGTCACTGGCACCCCCTTTGACTTATTTGAGAGCAACCCAAACACGGCCTTGGTGGTGACCAACCACGGTGGGCACATTGGGTTTTACCAGGGCCTGCGCCCACGCTCGTGGCACACTGATCCGGTAGCTGAGTTCTTTGGTACTGTTGTCCAGCCCTCCAAGAAGCCCAAACCGCACCACATCCTGGATATTGCCAAATAAACAACAATACTTTCAAATAGCACTGGTAATCAGGCTCTGGAGTATCCACGCTAGTGTACAGGAGACCAATCTGAAAGACGCCGGGCAAGCGACCTCAGTGACATAGGACGCCATGCGTGTCGCCACTCATTGCATAGCAATGTCCTTCAGGCAAATATGCGGAAAACACAGTGGCACTGGTGGTGCTGCAACTGCGCTCAACTATGAACGACATGCAGCCGAGCAGTTTAATACTGTGGCAACGCGCCTTTCAAGGACGCATAAGGAAAGTAAACCCCTATCAATATATCTAGCATGTTGCTTTTCAACTCTAGCCTGGCGCCCAGGCAGCATGTTAACTAGGAGGCTGCCAGCTTGCAAGCATTTGAACCCCCAAAGGCTAATTGTCGACTCTTGAATCCATCCAGCTGCCTCATACTAATACAAGTCTGCCTCAACTATACAGTGGTCATGTCTACACGGAGCAAGAATAGTCGCAACCAGGTGCAGTTAATCCACGCCGACAAAACGGTACCAACAAAATCCAACAGCCAACAAACACTGGCGGGTGTGCTCCAAGAAGAGTGCCCGAATCTGGCCAACGGTGCACGCTTTGTTCCCTCACCGCTTGTTCCTGGTCCTCATGCCCAGACAATATACGCATTCTTGGCATACTATGTCTATTACGCTGAAAGCATCATGTTCCCAAAGTTTACTCGTGAGCTGTTCAAGTTGCCCGACGGCGGCACGCTGGCGCTGGATTGGGCGCGCTGCAATAACTACACAGAGAGGCCGGTTGTGGTCATTATTTCGGGTGTAACTGGCACAAGCAACGACTTTTATGTGCGGAGGTGCTATGCTGCACTGATAAAGCTAGACTACTCGGTGGTCGTCGTGCATAGCCGGGGATGTAAGTAGATTGCAACTTGCTGAATACGTGTAGTTGTGTGCGGCATTAATGCATTCTAACGCATGGTGTGACCTACCAATAGGCGGCGGATCGAAGCTGACATCACCGATGCCATTTCACTGCGGATATACTGGTGACTACCGTGAGGTTGTTGCTCATCTGCACACCAGACCTCCCAAACTGCAGGCTGCTGGGGCTCGGGTTCTCTCTGGGTGCAAACATTCTTGCAAAGTATATCGGTGAAGAGGGCGCCAGCTGCCTTTTGACCGCAGCCTATCGCTGTCGGCAACCCGTATAACCTCTACAAGGTCGTCGTGCATCTCGACTCGCAGTTTATCCTCCATCCCAGCAAGGTCTATGGAGTGGCGATCCTGAACTTTTTGAAAACCGCATTTGCCACTAACAAACAGCAGATCCTGGAGGCACCTATCAAACTAGATGAGGACAGGATCCGGTGTGCGGCTACGCTGGTCGAATTCACCGAGGCGATGACGCGGCGGGTGTATGGTTATCCGTCTGCAAAAGCCCTGCTTGAGGACTCGAACAGTGGCGATTTTTTGCACAACATCCAGATCCCAATGCTGTTCTTGAACTCGCTGGATGACCCAATTTGTGTTGAACGGCTTATTCCGTACAAGGCGTTTTTAGGCCAACCCGCATATTGTCCTTGGATTGACGGAGCATGGAGGACACATCGGGTATATGGGGCGCACATGGCCCACATCGTGGATCGAGCTGCCTGTGGCCCAGTTCTTCCAGTGCGCCCTAAAGCACTATGGCTGAGTCCTCTCAGCAGTTACGGCTTCTGCGCGGAGTAGCATGACGCTTCAGGCTATTTAAATATATTGCCCATCCAACCAGCAGTCTTGGAGTAGGGCACACGAATACATTAGTCGGTAAAAATGGTATCTACAGATGCGCCTAACGAATCAGAGTCTGGTTGTTCCAGGCGTGCGCAGTTGCATATGCTACATATACTTGTGGCCGATTGCTTTGTGCCCAAACTCAGCATTAAGAGGTACTTTGAAGGACTGCAGCTGGCTACGGGCGACAATGCAAGGGGGAGAATGGGGAAGAGGGAGGCTGTCTAAACAGCTAATTTGCAGAATGCAATTAGTGGCATGGGTTGCTAGTTGGCAGCCCAATGTGTGGCGCTGCAAGTCGACTGAGCGACAAGCCATTCATGGTTTAAAGCGTGTGGAAATAACAAGGCACCAGTGCCTGTCCTTTCTTTTATAGATAGACAGCTGTTGTTGCGCAGTAGCAGCTGCCTTGTTTCCTTCTGCACTCCTCTCTGCTGGGCTCTATATCGAACCGCGCTCTGCTTTGCTGTCTCCTGGGTATCCCGGTCGTTATTTTGTATTTCCCATCTGTATTTTCCATTATTTGTTGGTCTGTTGTTACATCGGCACACACGTGGGCGTGAGGTATCGACACGATGCTATACACAGCGCTGCTTCCCAAGTCGTGCTTTCGCGTAAGCCTGACACAGGGCCAACGAGGAAAAGCAGCCGCGGCGTGGGATCAAAACCATGTACCAGCAGCTCCAGGACTGCTGCCCGTTGCTGACGGATCCAAAGAGGGCGTACTACACACCCTCATGGGTCGTGCCCCACGGCGACCTTGCAGACCATATTCCTGTACACCCAGCACTTCAAGCCTGCAGGGTGTGCTGTCGAGTTCGAGCGCGAGGTGTTCACGTTCTCAGATGGCGGTGTGGCCGCAGTTGACTGGGCGCTGCCGCGGCTGGATACGTCAGAGACCTACGCCGCTGGTGCTGCTGGTTCCGGGGATTGCCGGGTGCAGCTTCGACTACTACTCGCGGTCGTTCATCCAGGAAATCCAGCGGGCACCGTACGGATATCAGGTGGCTGTGCTGCAGAGCCGCGGCGTCAACGGCGTTGACTTGGTTACGCCGAAGATGTTCCATGGCGGACTGACGGACGATATCCGCGAGTACGTCAGTTACCTGGTGCAGGAGCATCCCGATACGCCTATTATTGGCATAGGATTCTCGTTGGGGGCCAACATGTTGACCAAGTACGTCGGCGAGGAGGGTGCAAGCTGCAGGCTGGTGGCAGCTGTGTCGGTGTGCAATCCGTTCGATATCGACACAACAATTTCTAAAATGTGCGAGCCGACAATCAAAAACCGCTATCTGTACGCAAGCTCTTTGCTTGCGTCGCTCAAGGGGCTCTTCAACGCGAACGAGAAGGTCATTGCTGCAGGAAATGCAGAGATCGACCCTGAAGCAATCAACGCAGGCCAAGAACATCAACGACTTCAACGAGGAGTTTACCGCCAAGGCGTTTGGGTACAGGTCAGCCAAGGAGCTCAACGAGCAGGGCAGCTGCGTGCCGTACCTGAAGAATATTGCAGTGCCGATGCTGTTTATGAATGCCTCTCGACGACCCCATGTGCTACAGGTGCACGATTCCGTTCGACGAAATAGAGAGCAACCCGAACCTGGTGCTGGCGTGCACGCGTTACGGCGGCCATCTAGCATACTTCGAAACCACTAGCCTGACGCCCTGGCTACCCAAGCCGCTGGCGCAGTACGCAAAGGCAATGCTCGAATGGAAGTAGATCCGCGTTATCCTCCTTCCACCTCTAGCTGTTATAATTAAAATGATCCTGGATGTGATACCGAAGACGCTTGAAAGGTTCGGGGAGCCTCACATGGCAAGCTCGCCGAGCCAGCCGCCCTGGAAGAAAAGCATGGGCGCAACTTTAGCCGGCTACCCTATCCCGCCTCTATTTAAGTAGACAATTTGCGGATATTGCCGCCTGTAGCCAGGCTCTTCCAAAGCCGGTCCGCAGAATACGCCAATCTCGACAGATCGTTACAGACGCATGCCAGGATATGCGATTCTCCTCTCTGGTTTCTGAGACGCTGCCCGGGCGAATCCCTCTCAGACCATCGGTCTTGCAGTTCCGTCCCCGCGCGGTTGGGGAGACAGTGTATGCTTGCCACTTCTTTTTCGGTACGCCTGTGGACGATAAGCAGCCAACTGCTTGGTCGAGGTGCAAGCAGCACAATGCAGCCCGATATTTCGAGCGGCACGTATAAAGCGTCGGCCGCCAGCCACTTCTGCGTGACCCAGGATCTCATTTCCTGTCTTCCAATCCCTCTCCAGCTCTTCAGCAACTTCATTTCTATTTTTGTTCTCTGAGCCTGCTTTCATTTGCCTGGAAATGACCATTAGCCCGTTCACTGCCACCGCTGTCGCTGCCACTGGAGCCATGCTGTTTGCCCGCAAGCGCACCCTCGACAACTCGGAGGTCAACCTCATTCATGCAAAGGACTCTGCCGAGGTCGGCGCGGGCAAGACGCTGATCGACATTGTAAGGGCCGAGTGCCCGTCGCTAGCAGACCCGGAGCTGGCCAAGTTTGTGCCGTCAGCGATGCTGCCCAACACGCACCTGATGACATGCTTCAACAGCATCAAGGGCCAGTTCCAGCGCGTGCGGCTGGTCAAGTACGAGCGCGAGCTGATCAACACCGAGGATGGCGGCACAATCGGCCTTGACTGGTCGCCGCCCTTCAGCGAGATGCCTGAGGACGACCGCCCGATTGTGCTTCTCTCACACGGCCTGTCGGGTGGAAGCCAGGAAGAGTACGTCCAGCAGACCGTCAAGAAGCTCACATCGGCGCCGTACAACTTCCGCACGGTCGTTGTCAACTTCCGTGGCTGCGCCGGTGTGCCGCTGACCACACCAGTTCTGTACAACGCCGGGTTTACCTCGGACTATGGATTCGCAGTGGGCCACGTGCAAAAGCGGTTCCCCCAGTCAAAGCTGGTTGGGATCGGCTTCTCGCTGGGCGCCAATTTGGTCACAAAGTTTGCTGGCGAGCAGGGCGAGAGCTGTCCGCTCAAGGCGGTGGTCGCAGTGTGCAATCCCTTCGATCTGCACGAGTCGACTCTGTGCATCGAAGCGCCCAAAGTTCAGCAGCCAAAACATCTACACTCCCGCAATGCTCCTTGGCCTCAAGCGCATCGTCAGCCGCCATCGGAAGATGATGGAGACGGCTCCAGTCAAGATTCGATTTTGACGCACTGGACAGCATCAAGAGGATCAGCCAATTCGACGACATCATCACGTCAAAGGTGTTTGGGTACAAGGACAGCACCGACTACTACAAGAAGAACAGCTCCTCCAAGTTTATGCCTGGCATTCGCGTGCCGTACCTGGCAATCTCGTCGCTGGACGACCCTGTTTGCCCCGAGTCTGCTTTGCCGCGTGATACCTTTACCAGCAACCCGTACCTAATTCTGGCACTGACATTCTATGGCGGCCACCTGGGATACCACGAGGATCTGTCGTCGCACTGGTTCCCGCGCCCAATTGCCGAATTCTGCAAGGCCATCTTTCAACAACACAACAGCCTAGGCTCAGTGTGGACCGCGGTCTGCCATGTGCTGGGGCGGGCGTGGTGTGGAGGCCCAGTCCCACAAAGGTCGCGCACATGCTTTGTTCATTGCTGCAAGCTTGCTGGAGCCCGCCCCGCATGTGCCCTGACAGCAGGCCGAGTCCATTCCTTTTGTTTTATGCTAACTCCATCCATTCATCTTTCTACAATACACACACTGGCCTGGCGGAACATGCACTATGAGCAAGTCTGTCATTGAATCGATCTACAAGCATACCCAACCGCTAGGCGACTTCATGGCCCAGCTGGTTGAAGGATCTGGCTGTGTGCGGAGCAACGACCGGAAAGCCCTATAAGCGATTTCTCGCGACTACGATTGTTGGGTTTAATCGACCCCTGCCGAAGATTCGGTACTTTGAGCCCATGGAGAGCCTGTCCGACATTGTCAACATGTCTGTCCAGTGGATCATAAAGAGGTCCTCGCAAAGCAGTGGCTCTGGCGGGCCGCTGGGGTATCCGCCGAAAAACGTTCTGACGCAAGGGTACCGGCTGCGCGATGACCGAAGCAGCCATCAGCCTGAGCGGTGCGACTGATGTCGCGTGCCACCAGTTGAACTCGTCTGTCATTGAGCTTGGGAATCCGCAGTGGCAGGTGCTGTTTGAGCGGGTTGGGTCTGGCCCCATGATGTACCTGCTCAAGCACACGTCGGTGTTTTTGCAGCTGCGCAACAGGAACTACCAGCAGCTGTGCGGGACACCGATAACTGATATGTCGATGCCTCAGGCGCAGCCGATTCATATGCCCGCCATCGACAACATCCTTGGAGAGTCGGGAGACCATTCACCAGTGCACAAGCGCAAACATAGCCCTGATATCGGGGAAGCACAGCACAGGGCACTGTCGATAGGTAGGCGTGAAGGCAAAAGAAGAAAAGGCAGCGACGAGCATGGCCCCACGCTATCTCTGACATCCATCGTTATCAACAGGTCCTCCATGTTGTACCGCGCACCCCGGCTGACCCGGCCGAAGTCTAGCACAGCTGAGCCTCAAAGCAGGATTACGGCGTAGCGTTTTCTGGGATCTGCCAAAGAGGTTCCCTGCCAAAGCCGCGTTTGATCCTGCTCAGAGAGAAACCCGCACCAGCGTGCTGCTAAGCTGAGATATTTGCTCACAGCCCGATGCTTCGTACCAATCCGCCGCCAGCAGTAAGAGACATGGTCGCTCGCCTGCTCAAGCTCCATAGCAAGTTCGACTACCGGCGCCAGCTGTTTCGGTGGTGTCCAGCGCCTTGGCAGCAGGAGGGCGAGCAGTTCAGCATGCCCAACACGCAGCCCGACAACTTGTTTGACAGCGACAGTGATGGCGATCTACCACTCTCATCGTCGATTCTTGCCATGTCCCAGAAGCCCAGGCACAGCAGGTCGTCTCGTAAGCAGAAAGCACTGCATTTGAGCAATGTCGAGGCATCAACACCGGGCAGCACAGGTGATAGCTCGGCATCGAGCTTTTTGGATATGGCGACAGTACACCATGATGTCTTTATGTTCATCCAGAAGTGCGTCCAAGGCGTAATACCCCACGGTCTGATCGGCGGCAAGCGCAACCACCGCCGGCTGTACAACGTCATCCATAAGGTTATCGAGGATGGACGGTTTGAAATCCTGACCCTGCACGAGGTTATGCAAAAGTTTCGGATCAGCGAAGTCGCGTCATGGCTCTCAGTCAAGGACTCTGGCAGCTTTGACATTTATGCCGGCTTCATCCATTGGGTGCTTGTCGACTATGTGCTGGCTCTACTCCGCCACTTCTTCTATGTGACTGAGAGCGCACCGTACCGCTACAAGTTGTTCTACTTCCGAAACGACGTGTGGGTAAACATTACGCACAGGGCGTGGCGCAACCTCGAGTCGAGCATGTATGTCAAGCGTTCGCGGGAATCGGCTGTAGAAACCGACGCAGGGAAGCCCGAGATCAAGTACTCGAGGATCCGGCTGTTGCCCAAGGAGCGCGGGTTCAGAACGATCGCCAATCCTCGGTCGGTCAGAGATGGTGGTGCGTGAAGGCGGCAAGCTGGTTGAGAAAGCCGCACGGCCAACTAATCGCAAGTTGGCGGATACGCTGGCTGCGCTGACAAGCATGCGCAAAGCAGACCCAAGGAATGATGGGCGCATCGGCGTATTGCTTTGATGATGTGCTTGATCGGCTGAAACAGTTCAGGGCACGCCTTGGGCTGTTGCCTGGCACATCAGCCGGCAAGTTGTTCATGGCCAAGATCGATATCCACCGAGCATTCGACACAATCCGACACGACAAGCTGCTTGAGCTGCTTGAGCAGAGACTTCCCGACGAAGAGTATGCCATCTACAAGTACTGGATGCTGTCACCCTCTTTTGGCAAATATCGCGTAACGTTTCAGCGCCATGGGCAGCGATCCAGCGATCCAGCAGAGTTTGGCCAGCTGGCAAACAATCTGGCCAAGCGCACTAGAAATGTCGTCTACGGCGACCACTGCTCGACGACGTATATAGACACCCAGGATGCACTCAGGATCATCCGCGGACACATCACTGGAAACCTGGTCCGCAACAGCCACGGGCTGTGGCAGCAGCGTGTAGGAATTCCGCAAGGGTCGACTGTTTCCTCGTTTCTGTGCAACTTCTTCTATGCGCAGCTCGAGCGGAGAGCATCTGCATGATATCATCGACGACTCAGCGCTGTTTATGCGCATGACTGACGATTTCATTATTGTTTCGCGCCACCAAGCAACCGTCATTCGCTTTCTTGAGCGGATCATGGATGGCGTGCCAGAGTACGGCGCTAAGCTGAACAAGACAAAGACGCTGGTGAACTTTGAGGGGACGATCAAGGGGCGAAAAGGTCGAGAGCTCGACATCCCAGTGGTTTCCATGGTGCGGTCTGCTGATCAACGAGCAGACGCTCGAGATTCGCTCGGACTACAAGCGCATGATGCGTACAAACCTGCGAATGGTCACTAACAATCAATGCCGGCAAGGCGGCAGGCACGATGTTCCGACAAAAGATGCTGGCTGCGCTCCGCACGAAGCTGGTGCCGATCTTGATGGACTGCAGATTCAACAGCCGGCACATAGTGCTACTAAACCTCTACCAGCATTTTCTCGTGTGCGGCATGAAATTGCACACCATATACCGGCAGCTACCGGTCAAGGGAAGAAACAGCCAGTACGTGGTCAAGGTCATCTGGGACTTCATTCGCCTGGCGTTTGTGCTACTGCGGTCAAAATGCGGCTTCAACGACATCCCGCCAGCCGATGTCACTTGGCTCGCGCTGTGCGCATTCCAGCGGGTTTTGTCGCAAAGGCAGTCTCGGTACCCGCAGGTCCTTGCTCGCATTCGCAGTGCGATGGGAGTGCCCAGGTACGCGAAAATGGCCGCGCGCCACGCCGAGATCATCCAGTCCCTGGAAAATGAGGATGTGCTGCTGATCAACTTCTAGATGGCCCTTTGGTGCTACACTTGTCCGAATCGGGAATCCCCGTCCCACGCCAAGCCGGCTGTGCAACTGTAAGCGCTTAGAATAAAGCTCCATTGTGTGCCCCTTTGGCGCAACGGCTTTGTCCGAGTAATCGAGGAGGGGGTTCCGTGCATTTCTCCTGCTGCGCGGCCAGGCAGATGCGCAGAACGTGGGCCAACCCAGCCCTGAAAATAGTGGCCGGCCCAACACCTTCTGCGAATTACATCCGTATTCACCTGCCTCGTTTTCCTGCCCTCCTCCTCTAGGTGTTACTCTAATTTGTCTATTTTACACACCGTTTTTCTAATTCACAGCATGGACACCGAAGAGCCTCAGCAGCATGAGAAACAACGGCCATTAACACCAGACAGCCCGCTGCCCCAGCTACCCTCAGCACACGTAAGCTCACGCACTAGCCCGCACCACAGACATCATCGTCGTCGCTCAGAGAGCAACGAGCAGCGGGGGAGCACCGTAGGGACGGCAGTAAGTCCAGGGACGGGACTGCGAACCGGGACTATGGTCATAAATCGAGGCACAGAGGAGCGGGTCGGGACGGCACGGCACACAGTAGTCTTACGAGCTGGCTCAAAGACAGTTTCAAACAGGGACCAGACGGTAGTGAAGATAAGAGCACGCATCCCAGGAAACACCGCTCAGAGTCTTCCTCGTCCCGACAACGGCCTCGCAGGGCATCAGTGGCAAAGACGCCGTCGGGCTTTAGTGCGCTTGGACGATTGTTCCATCGCTCGCCGTCGCCTCGGCCACTGGCGAGTTCAGAAAGAAGGAAAAGGCGCGAGCGCCACGAGCAGCCAGGGGTGGCGAGGAAGCGGCCGGCTACACCTCCTGTGCCAGTAGAAGTGGCAGAGCATGAAGACAGCGGCGTCAGCGATGCTGAGAAGATGCAGACAGCAAAACAGCCAGCAACTGTAGCAGAGGGCACCGCTGGACCCCAGCAGCGACTGTCTGGAAGTAGCTAGAGACGAAGCTCTGCAGGGTGACGGTTCTGAGGCAGAGAGTCTGGCGCAAATCCCATCAGCGGAATCGCTGGTAGCCTATCCGCTTGTATCGTCGCAGACAGAGCCCATGTCGTCAGCTGGAGATGACAGTCCGGAAGAGTCCCTGCGGCCACCGCCAATAGGTGCCATGCCGACATTTACGGCCAAATACATGAGCAACCCAGTCCCAGGGCAGTGGGAGCATAGCCTGCCAACAAGTGCAGCGAAAGGAGAGGGACCCCCGCATGGGCAATATGCCACTCGAGCCTGACGAGTACTCGGAACAGAACGTACCCTGGATCGTAGAGCAGCTGGGCATGGGCGAGCAGCCATTCAGAAGTCTCCTTGAGGACAACCAGGACGATGGGTGGGACGGAAAGTTTGAGCGCCGGCGTAGACGCAAGCTGGCATTCTCGGTGCTGAAGCGCCGTGTTGTCGAGGCGCGAATCGGCATTCCACGGGCCCGTGCACCGCCCAGCACCAGCGACTACAAGCGCAGCAACGGGACCATCGACTACTTTTCGTACTGGGGAAACCTGGCCAAGTACTATGCGGATACGCAACTTGCACACAAGATCGACTACCGCCACGATACCAGCGACCCATGCAAGCTCGACCGCTTTTTGCTAACGCTGCAGCGACTAGTCGAGGCTTCTGCACCGTACCAGCGATTCTTCGTGTGGCTGTATCAGCTCGCCCGCTGGGACAACCCGAAGCTCTCAGCATGGTGGTGCATTGCGTACTTCTTGGTACTGTACTTGGATCTGCTGGCGATGGTGCTGTGGATGTCGCCGGTGTTTGTCATCGTCTACTACCGTCTCCGTCCGAGCCAGGCGTACCAGTGGCTGGGATTCGACCGTGTTGAAACCAGCTTCATTTCGCCAAAGTACATCAAGGAGGCGTCGGAAGGTACCATTGGCAAGGGGCTGATTGCTAACCGCCTCTGGGATATATGGCGCGAAACTCTGGGCACACATATCCAGATGCTGCTGGCTGATTTGGCGGACTGGATGGAACGGGCAAAGAACTGCGTGACATGGAAGCGGCCGTGGGCTACGCGCTCGCTGATGATCGTGCTGGTTGTTATCGCTGGCTGTGCTTACATGATCCCCATCTACGTCTACCAGAAGCTGCTTGGCATTGCAGTTGGAGTGGAGTTCTTTTTCCTGGCTCCCTTGATGATCCGGAACCAGCGCTACCGTCGCATGCTGCTGCTGCCTGACTGGCTGCTCTGGCACTCACCGACCGATGTAGAGCTGGCTGTCGAGACACTCTATTCGGTCAACCCGGGCCGTGGCGCGCATTCGCACAAGAGCCAAAAGCCTGGTATGGAGAACCAGAGCCTGTCTGGTGCCGAGCTCCTGCGCAATGTTGCCAACGACTTTATCCATGCGTATAACCCGCTGGGCCCACGCAACTTCCCACCAGTGATGATTCTGCAGACTGCATCCTCGACGGCCCTGGACCATCTTGGCGACGACATTGAGTCAAACACAGATGCCAGCATTATCGCCGACAGCAGGCGGTTTGCTGAGAAGCTGGTTAGCAAAAAGCTCATTATCGGCAGCGACATCTCGGACTTTGATGACGAGGAGTATACGGGCATCAGCGCTGGACAGCGCGGTCATCTGCCGTCGATGATGGAGGCATCTGAGGAAATGGAGCTGTTTCAAAATGGTACCCTTAGAGGCTCACGCCCAGCGGTTCCACGAGCATTCTCGCTTGCAAGCATGAGTACCGCCGATACAGGCAGCACGCTTCCCCAGCCGTTCATGATTGCGCGAACCAGCCATCTATCGAATGCCCTCATGCCGCAGACTGGTGCTGGTAGGACCCGTGAGCATTCACGCACAGCGAGCACCAGGCTCGGTAGCTGACATACGCGAGAAGAATTCGTCTGGTGTGTCGGACCAAAAGATGCATAGTCGCTTCAGTGGCGGCATGCTGGTGTCCCGGGCGAAGGAGATCTCATCAAAGCTTATGCGAAAGCCATTAAGTGTATCTCAGCTCTCAGGCTCAAGGACAGACCATGATGGCACGGCCATTGCCCACATGAAGGACGCCCAACAGGATGGAGCTACGTCCGCATCGGTCTTGTCGCTTGACGGCCTGCAGCACCGGCTCTCTGATACAGCCATCGGCCGCCCGTCAATCTCGAGCGAGTTCTCATTGCAGTCGATAGACAGCGCCGAGCTAGCCCAAGAGCTGGACCAGATTCTCGAACGGCTCGGCTCTGACGCCTCTGATCTCTCGCAGGATGACGGCGATAGCCACCAGTTCAGCCATAAGCAAGGCGAAGGGCACTGAGGACGGCATCGACCTGACATCGCTCTACGCATTCCGGTGCGTGCACCGTGGCAAGTACGGCACGATGTTCGTGACCCACGACCAGTGCATCTTCCGCCGCTCGCGCATCCTCGGCGGGCGCAAAGTCGAGCATGGCTACGTACCCGCTTAGCAGCGTAGTGGCGATTCGCAAGTCGAACAAGCGATTCGGCAAGTCCAGCGGCATCCAGCTGCTGCTGAGCGACGGCAAGTCGGTCTCGTTCTACGGGCTGGGTCCGCAGGGACGATGTCTTTGGATTCCTGCTGATCCGCTGTGGGTGCCAGCACGTTTTCTGAGTTAATCACCCTACAAGATCCAGATTACATTGCTTGAGAATAACAGCCATTGGTCGCTTTGTGTTTACCTTAGCCGGAACCCCAGCCCATGCAAGCCGGAGCGGCTCTATTTATTTTTCGAGCCTCAGCAGATGGCTCGCACGTCCAGAAAGCAAAAGCGCTTCTTTGCTCAGCGCTTCCTTTTCGCTTTTCTATACTCGTTTCTGCTGTCCTTTATTTGCTAGCCTGCAATATTTCTAAGTTTATTTTATATTTCCTTCAAACTCCTTTCATTGTAGCAAAATGTCCACAAAAGAAAACGGTGCCTCCGGAGCGCTATTTCAAGCTCGACAAGGTTGGCGAGGGTACATACGGTGTTGTTTACAAGGCACGGGACCGCACGACGAACCAAATTGTCGCAATGAAGAAGATTCGCCTTGAGGGCGACGACGAAGGTGTGCCATCGACGGCTATCCGGGAGATCTCGCTGCTCAAGGAGCTCCAGCACGAGAATATTGTCAGGTAAGGCGCTCGCAAACAGCGATATATTGGCCATCCCAGCCACATACTAACCTCCATTTGCACCTTAGGCTCTTGGACATTGTGTACCATGGCGCGAAGCTGTACCTGGTGTTTGAGTTCCTGGATCTGGATCTGAAAAAAGTACATGGACAGCGTAGGGCCAGGCCGGACTCTCGCCGACGCAAGTCAAGGTAAACAAAACAGCACAGACATGCCGGCATGCGCGTCTTGCATACATCGCCAACCGTGCACTGCAACTCACACACATCTCCCCTCGTAGAGCTACATGCACCAGCTGGTCAAGGGTCTTTCATTCTGCCACGCACACCGCACCCTGCACCGCGATCTGAAGCCGCAGAACCTCCTGATTGACCAGTCCGGCATGCTCAAGATCGCCGATTTCGGCCTGGGCCGTGCATTCGGCGTGCCGCTGCGCGTCTATACACACGAGGTGGTGACGCTGTGGTACCGGCGCCCGAGATCCTGATGGGCTCGCGCCACTACTCAATCGGCATGGACATGTGGTCGGTGGGCTGTATCTTTGCAGAAATGGTGCAGCGGAAGCCGCTGTTCCCCGGCGACTCTGAAATCGACGAGATCTTCAAGATCTTCCGGGTGCTGGGCACGCCAACCAAGGAGATCTGGCCCGAGGTCACGCTGCTGCCCGACTACAAGCCCAGCTTCCCCAGGTGGCAACCGCAGGATCTGCAGGCGAAGCTGCCGAAGCTGGATGCGGTGGGCATCGATCTGCTCAAGCGTATGCTGACCTACGACCCAGCGTACCGCATATCCGCGAAGCAGGCCCTGCTGCACCCGTACTTTAATGACATCCAAAAGTGATGCCATGCAGGAAAGCATAGGAGACTAATTTGTGGAACCGTCTTTAGCGGGTTTAGGCCTTGAATAGTAAATACTACAGCGCCCTGTTCCCTAGCCTCTCTCTTTTGGGATGAAGCAAGAGTCTTGGGGCAAAGTGGACGGTGCCGCAGAGACCGGATCCAATCGCCCCTGTCGTGCTAGCCGCCACAAGTGTCGCTTTGTGAGCGCTTTGCTCCTTCAAGCAAGGCGGGACTGCCCAATGCTGTACTGGGGATTTTCGCCTTAGCACAGCTCCCCAGCCCGCTAGCCACTAGCGGTGTCGCAGCTGACCCGCTTCCGGAGATGAATGAATGAGCGTCGCTCATGGTCATCTCTGTTTGTGCATTTGACCGCGGTTTCGCGTCTCCCGAATGTGCATTGTGACTGGCACCAACAGCCGCTGGGCCTATAAATTGGCGTAGCCACAGGCGCTGCCAGCAGCACCCAAACATCACCACCACTCCCCCTTATCTTTACTCATTGAAACAGCCAGTCTTCTTTATTTACAACTTGCATACTGGCACCTTTAATTTTCCTCGAGATGGCCACTACACCCAGTCTGGTGCAGCTGCCAGTCATGGTCCTGACCAAGATCTTTTCGCAGTGCGACCCGTACGCGCTCACAGATGTCAACAGCACGTATATTCGCAGCATTATAAACACAACCGTATTCCGGTGCGCGTGGGCATGCGAGCTCGCAAACGGCGCGAGCTTGCCAACCGAAATCTCACGCATCAGCGATATCCAGCTCATCCGGTCACAGGTCATTGGGCGCGTCTCAAGATTTGTTGGAACAACGTCTTGGATCACAGTCCGAATTTGTGCGCGCACTGCGCATGCACCGGCCCAGGTTGCTGAATGCCATCGCGCCGGGTCTGCTGTGGGAGTCGTTGGCTGGCCAGCGCGAGGATGTCGCTTCACTGGTTGTTGAGCTATCAGATGTTGACCTGAGCATGGTCGACGGTCGTCTGGCAAGAGAGCTGATCGAGCATTACGGATCGGTCCGTCTGATGGTCTGGATGGAGAATAACGGCCTGGATTTTGTCGAGCTGGCAAAGAACGAATGCTGCTTTGACTTTGCGCTGCTGAGGCCCTGGGTCGAGGGCTCGCGCATAGACATGCTTGCATTCCTGAACACCAAAGGAAATCCGCCTGCCTGTCCGTACCCTGGTCGACTACGCGCTGAGCAACTCGACGCCCGAGCTGGTCAATTTTCTGATGACGCTTGACGACGAGGACAAGCCGTCGTGGGACGACTTGCTGCTGATGGCGTGTGCAGAGCCCAAAACGACCTGTGCAGTGTTTACGCTGGCTGTGCGACAAGACGCAGCCGGGCATTCTGTGGACGCACGCGGGGCTGTGCGTGGCAGCACATGCAAGCGCAGACAGCGCCGCTTACGAAAAGTTTTCGGTCATACGCCAGATGCCTGGCGCTGATAAGTGGTTGGCAAGGTCACTGCAGGGCGTTACACCAATCGAGCGGCTGTGCGAGCGGCTGACCTTTGAGAACCTGTGCATGCTGCTGCCATTCTTCCGCGAGTACATTGCATTGGGCGTGCCACCAACTGGGATGCCGAGTTCCGTGGCCCTATTCTGCCAATGAGCTTGGATTCCTCGGTTCGATTAGCGCGCATTCTTGTTCTTTTTTGTACCAACACACTCATGCTGCAGCCGACTGAAAAGCACTCTTTGTCAATGCCATACTCGCCACTGCTGATTGAAGCAGGGGCACACTATCCAAATCCAACATGTTTTCCGATCCTATGCTGTGGATTAGTGTAGGCGGAGCAGAGTGCTATCAATTCCGAGAGATATTGCTTCCAGGAATCATGCTGGTTGCATTTGAATCTAGGCCGCTACCCTAAGCAGGATCAGCTTCCAGGTGTGCAGCGGTTGCCTTGCAGAGGTGCTGGTTCCAGTAGCAGTGCTCGTTGTTTCCCTGTTTGCAACTGCGCATGGAGATAGAAGTTTGTACTGCTGTATGGCAGTAGGACAGATATTGGAATTCGGAAATGATCAAAATAGAGAAACTGTTTCGCTCTACTGTCACGCTCGGGATGTTTACTCCTTTTGCATGTCTCAGTGTACCATTACCAGCAACACTAGGCAAGATGAACCCGGGGATGTGATATGTTCAGGTATTGTTTAGCTACAGCACATCAGCGCCATGGGAATGGGCCGGTATCCAATAGCAGGCGCAGAGTGGGTGACTGGCAGCTACAAAGGGCGTGCTTTACTGTGAGCTACTGCTGGATGGAATCCTTTCTGCGTTTGCAGCTGGCAATTGCTCCCTACTCGTGCGCAAATCCGCCTGGGGATGGGCTCTGTCTGCACCTACATATCTGTGGTGATTAATGGAGAGTAAGCTCCCTGACAACATGCAAACAGCCTTGGTATTGGGCTTGATTTGGATATGACGGCTATCTCCGCTGGGCAATCCACAACAACACTGGCAGATGTTCGGGGAGACAAGCAGGGGAGAATGACGGCAGCGGCTGGGCGTCTGTCAATCTCCATCGCGCAGAGAGCAGAGTGCGACAGTGGTATGTGGGTGAGGTAGGGGCAGGGCTGGCTGGCTAGACGGTCCAGAAAAATGGGAGTGGGCTGTGCGAGAGACCGGTTGGAACCGTTGAACAAAGAGTAAACAAACGGCAGCGAAGGTCACACCAACTGTCGACAATATTGCGACGCGCAGCAAGAGGTGCTGGATTTCGCATACGTCGGCGGCACATCGATGAGTGGGTGTGGGCGCCGCATTCGAGCCCACTACATACCTAGCGCGCCCGCCTGCCCGAGTGCTGCTGTCCGCCATCCATGTCCAGCAGTCAAGACTAGAAGCGAAGCGGCCAAGGTGCGTCGCATTCACCCCCAAGCATTCTATTTGCAGCAGCTTTTTACCCCACCCTAGGCTCAAATTTTGGCACACCACCTTTACTGTCCTGGCCTGGTCCTCCGAAAAATAGCAAGCTTGGTGTGAGCGTGTTGCGAGCCCAAAGCCAGCCAAACAGAATCGGCACTGTGTGATCCTTGGGCGGCAGCCATCCTCTCTCTTCTGATTCTTACGCTCTATTATCGCCTGACTTGCTCTTTTGCATCTCGTCTCCATTGTGCGCTTCTTTCTCCCCCTTTCCTCAAAGCTACTATTTTCTACACTTGTATATTACAGCAAACACCGACCTTGGCCGTTAGCAGCCGCTCCTTGATACTTTCCTGCGCTCTGCCTTCGTCTATTTCTTGATAGGGACGGCCTTTTATTATTGACTTTAATTATTCACTAGCTGAGCAGAGAACGCAGCAGCAGCAGCAGCAGCAGCAAAAGAAAACGCGCTCTACTCCTTCAGCCAAAAGCATGCTCAAGGCGTTCTCTCGCGTGTTCCACAAGACCCAGAGCCATGAGGATGGTATAGAGGGCCAGTCGCTGCCGACAAATGAGCCAAATGGAGTGCCAGACCAACACGGCGGGCAGCGGGTGCTGGAGCGGAAGCAACCAGCGGGGCTTGGGGTTCCGCGGGCAGCAGGCAAGGGGGTGGGGTCGCCGCGCTCGGGAAACCACCACCATCCCCACAGCAGCTACGCTCGGCCACTGGCCAAGGACATCGCCGCGGCCTACGGTGGCAAGGATCTGCCGCGGCGGACATCATTCCAGCAGCCAAAGCTTCACATGAAGGGCCCGCCGCCGGGCTCCGATGGTACATACCCGCTGACGTCCGACAACATCGAATGGCATCTGAGAATGGTAAGTGGTGGACTTGGCACCTTGTTTGGCCTCGGTCAGTGGGCAGCGATATCGCAAACACATAATGCCGCTTTATGCCGCGCTTGCCTTTTGTTGCGCGCTGTGGGCTCTCCGTGGTGTGAAGGTCACACGGGCGTGTAGGCGCCGGGAGGATATGCGCGTCTCTGCCACCTCCGCCCTTTCTCCACAGATACCTCGCTCCGGTAGTTTTGTTCCCATGTCCATGATTCCTTCTGCCCTGGCAGGCACAGGCCGCGGCGGGGAGAATAGGGTGTGCTGTCGCATGGGCAACTCTGTTATTCCCAATTGTGCCTGTTTTTTTCACCCGGAGCAGGAGCGCGTGGATTCCCCATTGAGATTGCTTTTTGGGCCAAAAATAGCATCTGTGAAGGAGCAAGGCAGCAGCTCAGCCAACCATTCTATTCCTGTAGATTCCGCCGATGAAGGAGTCCAAATACGACCGGATCCTGCGGTACGTCCATATGCAGCAGCAGAACGTCGCGGTGATGGCCGATATGGTGCAGCGCGACATTGATGCGTCGATGCTGATGAGCGGGCAGATCCCGTACGACCTGGATTTGGCCAGCCCGCCGCGGCACTCGTTTGAGCAAAGCATGGTTGTGCCGCAGGGCCAGCAGCCCCAGGTGATTCACAACGGGCACCCCCATGCAGCGTCGTCCATCGGCGGCGTAGGCATGCCAGGCGTTGTGCTGCATCACCCAGGCGGGCTGCCAGGCGGCGGTCATGCGTACGTGCCAAATAATGCCATGCCGCCCCCTCCTATTCAGCATACGGTGACAAACAATACCAATACGTCGGCGACACCGCAGCTGAACATCAAATCCCACGACGCAGAGGAGGACGATGACACTCCGCTTGCAGCCATAAACGGCGCGACTAGTCCACAGCAGCAGCAGCAGCCGCAGCCTGAAATTGGACAGGACAGTAACAGCGGTAATGGCATGGTGAACACGCTGGAGCGGTACGCTCAGGAAGCAGCAGACTTGCCGCTGCCTGAACCCATCTCGCCAACCAACCAAGCACGCATGTCGGTGGTCAGCTTCAGCTCCAACATGGCAGCAAACCTTCATGTCAGCGACATGCCTGTGTCGCGGTCCCAGTCGCAGTCCCACTCGCTATCAAACCCGCAGTCTGGGTCGCTGCACGAGTCAGTGGTTCGGATGACACCGGTCGCCCGGTCGCCGACAGTGCAGGAAGCCGGCAGCAGCTCGCAGCAGTTTACAGTGAATCCAATGAGTGGGCAAATCCAGCAGTCTTCATTCTCGTCACGGGTAAACAACCGCCCGAAGCCTCGATGCCATCACTCCGCAAACTGCCAGGCCGGTGCATAACGCCAATGGCGATGAGGGATGACGATGACGACGCACCGCTGCTGGGAAAGCTCAACCTTGGGGATGTAGCCAAGGCAGCGGGCGCGGGCGCAGCAGGAGCTGGAGGACGAGGACGAGGAGGACGACAACGAGCCCCTTCAGAACCAGCTGCGAGCGAGCAAGCTTGTGGAGCCCGGACAGATGCGGCCAGAGGTCGACCTGGCTGTCAACGAGTTTGCAGCGAAAATGAGCTCGGCGTTCAAATCGGAAATAGGCGACAAGGAGATCACTCAGCTCGGCGAGGCGTGTCTGGCTGAAGAGGAGGCGCACCGACACATGGATGGCGCCGGCGGCGACGGCAACCAGGCACTGGCAGATTCGCTACCAACCTTGGGTCTGAAGGTTGTCAACGCTGTGGACAACGGAGATGACAGCGATGGGTCGGCCAACGAAAATGAGGCAGCAGATGCCGCTGAGGAAACCACAGAGCGGTGCATTGTGCGCAATGACGAAGACGATGACAACCAGCCGCTGGCAACTCTGTCGCGGCATCTCAGCAACGGCAGCATGCAGCCAAGGCAGCAGATGCTGGGTCAAAACCTAAATGTGGTGGTCATGTCGGACAGCATGTCAGCTGCAAACACCCAGCTGCAGAGCAACATTGCCGAGGATGGCGGTGACGACGACGACCAGCCCCTGTCGAGTCTGCTAGCGCCGGTTCAGGACACGGTTGGTATTGACGAGTTCGGGTACCTGCCATTGCCAGTTCCGCCATCCATCACAGATCCGAACGCGGTTATAGCGAGCACAAGCGAGTGCATTAGCCCTGGACGTGCTAGCTTTGGCGACAGGTCGATGTCCCCGTCGCTGTCATCTGGCATCGTGCGCAAGCCGTCGTCCCTGTCGCGGTCGGTTAACATTGCTGGCGACGTATCCCCCAAGGGCATCGCCATTGAGGGGTTTGATGTCCCCACAAACCAGTCGACGCCCAATATCCACAACGGCGGAGACCGCCGCTCGTCGCTGCTTAGCAAGCAGCCGTCTAATCTGTCTGGCTACAGCCTGCCTGTTACCTCGGCAGCGATGGCCATGGGGCAAGACCAACAGTCTTCCCAAGTCGCTGCGGATTGCGCCTGCAGCCGGTGGAATCAGTGCTACTCTGCCCTCCATGTCGCATGGCCGCACGTCGTTTGGTATTGCTGCCCAGGATGTGATCGCTGAAGACGAGAACGAGATCGACGCTGTCCAGCCAGCACCCGAGCCCGCTGCAGCCGCTGCGGGCCAAATAGCCGACGATGGATTGGTGGAGTCCAGGGAGATCGAATTTTCCGCCGACATTCTAGACACAGCGCAGCTGACTGGCGCTGGAAGTGTTGGGCGGCCATGGGCAGCAGGCAGCGTGTTCAACCGATCCTCGACGTCGCTGTCGGGCAAGCGCGCCGTGCGCGGCAGCACCTTGGGCCAGAACCTGACCGACGAGCTGCACAGGATCCGCGAGGATCTGGCGCGGTCTCGCAGAGATGATGCGTCGAGCCGGCGGTCATGGCAGTCAACAGTGGCATTAGGCATGCGCAAGCCGTGGATGCGGCATGAGAGCGCACGTTCCGAGACAGCACTGGACAAGCCGGGATCGCTGGGCCAGCACTCAGGCAGCGGCGGTTCTGGAGCAGGCATCGCTGGATGACACGACACCAGGCCTGAGCGACTTGCCGGCGGGCTGGGAGCAGACGAATCCGCGACCGATGACTGCGTACCACAATCGCACGTCCCGGTGGTTCGGCAGCCACAAGAAGCACGCGGCGAGCGACGCACAGCCTAAGGATGATTCGGCAGTCGTGCTCTCTGGGTCGCCACAGTCGGCATCGCACTCGCTGACCTCACGCTTCAACATGAAACTCGGCAAGCTCAAGAAGACATTCAAGCACAACTAATCAATCGCCACCTCGCGCTCTATACTATCCTTCCATTTTCTATCCTCCGTCTTTGAAACATGTTGCATACACGAAGAAAACGTTATCCCGGCAAGCACCCATGATGTACTATCGACGGCGCCGATGCACATGTCCCACCACACAGTGGACGTGAGGATGCTGCCAACAAAAAAAAAAAAAGCAAAAAGCGAGACATCGGTGCCTTTGATCATGTGAAGAGTCCCATAGTCTGGGAAGCGCGGCGAATCTGTGCCCGCAGGTATAAAGCTGGCCAGTGTCAGGGCACAAGGAGTGTGGCTCCTCATTCTGGCGCAGTGGCTCTTCTATTCTGCGAACAAGTATCTCGCCTTTTACTAGATACTTCCGTGGGAGGGCCACAATGAAACGCGTCTACGTGAATTTTTGGAAACCACTCCTTGCTCGTTTTCCCCAGCGGAGAATTGCGTGCAAGAACCACCCACCACAAGAAACAGAAAATAGAGAGATATCGGCACGGCTGACCCTGCGAGCCGCGCCTGGCCGCAGTGGACGAGCATGGCTGCTTCCTGCACAGAAGTGCAGCCATTTGGCGATTTCTGACTGTGGGCCGCGTATCGCCTGACCTTCCCTTTTCCGCCGTCTCGTAGGTGGATGAGGGGCCAGGCTGCTGAAATGCGGGCGGATCAAGGGCACAGAGCACGCTTTATTGTAGCCGTGCTATCTCCGGCTTCGGCGGCACTGTGCAACCAGCGGTGACACCTGCGATATACCTGCTTGATCGCTGCCCTAAAAGCCATCTGCCGCGGCCAGCGGTTCTTCCAGGCCCTTCTCTGCTTTCTCTCTTCTAATAACCTCGTACTTTAAATATTCTCCTTCTTACAGCCCCGTCTATATTTTTCTGACCAGGTATGTGGGAGGGGAATTCTGCGTTTGCTTGCCTGCGTGCCTGCCTGCTCATCCCGGCTAGCCCGTGATGTGCGATGTATCTGCAGCAGCCGATTCGGGCGTCGCTGTGCCTTGGCCCAGAGTTGTGCCGTTGCTGGCCAGAGCAGTAGTGTGCGGGTGCGGCACAAGTCGCCTTGCCATTTGATAGTCTTTTTTAATTTCGCCGATGATTCTAGCCTCGGGGGAACTCTGGGGCTTCCTGGCGAGCCTCACCACGGGGCTTTCATTTTCATTGCTTTCGCCTCTCTTTCCTCCCAATCTCTCGACCCGACGCCTTTTTCTATCTCTCGTCCTAGCAAGCCAGGAAACCAAACCCACAAAACACTCGTACCTCATATCGACTAAACCAGAGGCAAACCCGTGTACGATTCCATTGTTCGCTTTGCGTACATATCTATATCCTGTAGCCAAAAAAGAAAAAAGCCCTCTCTCTTCTCTCTCTTTTTACTCTTTCTTAGCGCTTACAGCAGCATCAGCTACAGCAAATGTCTCCGTCCACCGCCGCACCTGTGACCGCAGGCAAGGCTGTTGATAACAAGGAAATCGACGAGCAGCAGTCGGCGCCGTCGACAGCGGCAGCACAGCCCAGCGGGGCCGCGAATCAGACCGCCTCAACGAACGTGTGGAAGGTGCCTGGCCAGGCGGCTTCGGCTGACGGTAAGTGCGCACAGTGTTTGTTATCTGTCCGTCGTGCACAGTGGCCACTATCTATGGGTGCTTCCTGTGGTTCGAGCGTCGCACATGCCAGAAAAAGGAGCACCTTTTTATTTTTTGGCTTAATCCTGTTGGTGGGCACCAGTTTGCAGCTCAGAACCCCGGAGAAGGATTCGCGACGCAGCCGGAGCCAGGCCGTCACCCTCCTCTCTTGCCGATTCAGGCCGGCTTTTGGTCCTTGCCTCCCCAATCGCAAATTGCCGCCTAGCTCGCGGGGGTTCTGTGTCCGACTTTGCTCGTCGCCCTGGGATGGCTGGTGTCGGCTTTGCGAATCATTCGCTTCCTTTGCAATGGCTTAGCCGGTAGCCAGAGTAGCCACACCAGGCAGCATCAGGGCCCGCTTTTTTTTCGCCTGCAAAGCGTGCTCTTGCCACGGACTGTCGTTCTCTTCATGGGTTGTATTGGGAAAAATTTTCCTGCCCCCTGTCCCAGGCTGCAACACCAGCACCACTCCTTTTGCATAACGCCTGCTGCTCAGTCGTATCAGCTGAGAAAATAGCTGAGTGGGAGCCCGTGTGCTGCAAATAAACACCTCCCTCCACACACTCGTTGCTGCTGCTGGCTGCTGCCTATCCCCTACCAGCCGTGGTATTAGGCGCTTTTCCTTTGTCCACCGGCCGCAATGGCAGCGGCCCTGGGCGCGGCAAGCACACCCAACTCTATCTGTGCCTAGTAAATGGCCAGGTCATTCCTCCCTGCAGCTATGCTCACAATACCCCCATCGTTCTCAATAATGTAGCCAAGAAGGTCAACCCTGCGTCAGCGGATCCGGATAACTGGCCCGATCCAGCGACAGCTGCGGCAGCCGCCACCGAGAGCCATTTGAATCACCACCCGTCGTCGCCGCCACAGCAGGGCGAGACGGCCAAGAAGGCTGCCGGTAAGGGCAGCAGCAAGGGCAAGTGGCAGCCGCTGGATGCCGAGATCCAGTACCCGAAGCCCAAGAATGCTACCGCAGCGTCGAATGCCCACCGCCAGCCCAAGCAGCAGACTGGCGGTAACCGCGGCAGCAGCACTAGCAACGCCGCTGGCCACCGCCACCCGAAGGACGGCAGCAAACAGGCCAAGACCGACGGCAAGTCGTCGGATAGCGACGGCAAGCCGCAGCACAAGGGCCACGGTAAGGGCGCGCACAAGGCGCACACAAACGGAAGCCAGGCTGAGGGCAGCACCCAGCAGAGCCAGCGCCAGTCGCGGAGCAGCGGCCGTGGACGTGGTCGCGGGCCGCGGCCAAAGCCATAGCAACCAGCAGGGACGCCGGACAGGCAGCGGGCCTAACCACCACCAGCAGCAGCGCACGGCGGGCCATGCCCCAAGCCATTACCATGGCAAGGGCAACGTCCAGCCGGGCAACTTTGTGCCGGCCCCTCTGCCGGTGCCGGTGCCGGGCGACGAGGAGTCGGTGAAGCAGTTTGTCAAGGCGCAGGTCGAGTACTACTTTAGTGTAGACAACCTGTGCAAGGACATCTTCTTCCGCACGCAGATGGACCCCGACGGCTATGTGCCGCTGAAGCTGATCTCGGAGTTCAACCGGGTGAAGAAGGCGACCGAGGACTTGGATCTGATCCGCAGCGCGCTGGACTCGTCGACCGAAGTCGTGCTGAACGCGGCCCGCGACCGCGTCCGGAAGCAGAAGGACTGGAAGACGTGGCTCTTCCCGAAGCAGGAGGTCGTCCAGCAGCAGAAGCAGCAGAATGATGCGCTGAAAAGTGAGTGAACCCCATCCATCCCCCTTCCCAACATCCTCATCACCATCGCATTGACAATTTTTTCGCCATACCTCCCTCTCACCCCCTCTCCCGCTTGCATACCACCTTATGTGCACTGGCTGCCCTCATTTACTCACTTCCCCCCTCCTATCCTCGACATTTGCCTGTCATTTTCTCACATCCCCTCCACACCCTTTACACCGACCACACCGCTCTTTTCGCTTGTGCCATCGCTTTTTTCCATCTTCCGGCTTCATTTCTATTTATCGCCAGGCAGATTATGCGCAGAGCGCCATTTGATACAGTTTTGAGGGCAATCTTTGGGATGGTCTAGACTGGGTCTTGCGCTCCCTCCCCTCGACTCTTCTGTCTGGCCACAGAAATGCAAACACGGAGGATGAGAAAGGAAGAATGGCGCTTTATCAACACTATCCATCATTCGATTCCCGTCCGTCTGCAGATGAAATACCCGCGCACGTGGGTGTCTGTCTCCCCCTCCCCTGTCTCCCCTGTGACCCCCTTTAATATGCACATGGACGCCACCACTGACGATACACTCCGTTTTATAAAAGCCATTACTACTATATACATATTACATATACATTCTGCATCCCACATGTACACATACCCACCCAACCACATCCCTCTCACATTCTGTGTCCGGTGACGGACATCGGGGCTTCCCACGCCAGCATTTCCCGCCCAATCTGGAAGGGGTTAGAAACCCGAAAGAGGATAGACTCCGATCACCCAACATTTACTGACAACATCACACGCTGATCCTACACGCCCTTTCTCTGCGCTCCCTCGCATTCCGCCATTGCCCCCCCCCCCAATAGAGGACACTCCAGCGACATCGTTCCCGCCTACACAGCCGACAATCCCGACTGTTGGCATCCTGCCGCCGACCGCAGCTGGCTGGTCGTCCATGTCGGGACGCATCTCGACGCTGCCGGCGCTGTCTTCGCACCAGCCGGCTCCAGTCAGCCAGGGCTACGACGATGACGACGACCTGTTCCAGATGGACGAGGAGCTGGACAGCCGCAACCGCAATACCAAGCAGCGGCGCAACACCAGCACGCACCGCCAGAGTCCGGCGTCTATCGCGGCAGTACGACTACGACTACCGCAGCAACGACGAGGACGACGACTGGTACTCCTGAAGACGACGATGTCGATGAGGACGTGATTGCGCGGCTGCTGATTGTGACGCAGAAGCGCACGCGCGACCGCACACACTACCAGTACGAGCGCAAGCAGGTGCAGGACGATCTGGCCGATATCATCAACGAGGGCCTGCAGCACTACGAGCGCGATCCTGCGGATCAAGCAGTCGCAGGACCGGCACAGCAACGTCAAGGTCAGCACAGTGAGCAGGGATGAGTTCTCGAAGCTGAACAGCGAGCGCGGGCAGTCGAGCGGGACGCGCCCCGAGTCGCTTGGCGCAGCCGGGTCGTTCTCGACGCTGGATGTGGCAGAACAGATCCAGCGCGAGGTGGCCGAGGCGGAGAACGCGCGGGCGATCCCGGTCGACGAGCAGGCGGGCGGCAAGGGCGGGCGTCGCGGGCGCAAGGGCAGCAAGCGGCTGGCAGCGCGGTTCCTGCCGGTGCACGGCGAAGGACGGCCAGCAGGCGCAGCAGGTGCCGGTGGGCAGCGCCGGGTCGTATGGCAAGTCGCCGATGTTTGGCCCGGGCAACGGCCCGCGGTTCCCGCGCAAGTACCGCGACACACGCAAGTACCAGGCGCAGGCCCCGGTTGGGTGGCTCGTGGGCACGCAGCCGTACACGGCGGCCGAGGCGGAGCTGTCCAAGTCGCTTGACCGCACAGGCACCAGCTTCACGGGCAGCGCGTCGACGGGCAGCTACCTGGAACAGCACATGGCGGGCAGCCATGGGGCGCACCACGAGCACCCATCGCACGAGCTGACTGCGCGAGAACGGATTTGTGCAGCACAAGTACTACCGGTACCACGCCAAGGCGCTGAAGGAGCGCAAGCGGCTGGGAGTGGGGCAGTCGCAGGAGATGAACACGCTGTTCCGGTTCTGGTCGCACTTTATGCGCGACTCGTTCAACAAGAAGATGTACTCGGAGTTCAAGCGGCTTTGCGCTGGAGGATGCCAAGAGCAACTACCGGTATGGGCTGGAGTGCTTGTTCCGGTTCTACTCGTATGGGCTGGAGAAGAAGTTCCGCAAGGAGATCTTTGAGGACTTCCAGGAGATGACCAAGTGGGATGTGGAGCAGGGCGAGCTGTACGGGCTGGAGAAGTTCTGGGCGTACCTGTACTACCGCAAGGACAAGAGCACGCGCGAGCTCAAGGTCGACGAGGGCTTGTCCAAGCGCCTCGAGGTGTTCAAGTCGGTCGACGACTTCAAGCGCGCCAACCGCGAGCGGCGGGACTCGATTGCGCACCAGACGCAGGAGGCGACGAACCAGAAGGCGCTGGCAGCGGCCGAGCAGGTTGTGCCGTCGGTATGATGAAGCTCGATAGCTGGCGTGGATAGGAATCCGTTCTTTCTTTTACATCATTTCTTTTTCTCTATCGGTCCGATTTCTTTTAACTAAAAAAATTCATTCCTTTTTTGACGAGTTCTGGCAGAGGCTGAATCTCCTGTACCACCAGCACACCAGCAGCTCTTGCTGCACAGATCCTCTCGCATTGTTGGTGCGAGGGGGCAGCAATCCCGGGTGATGTAATGATGACCTGGACAAAGCTCAGACCAGTAATTGGATGTCATCCCAGACATCGGAGGCTGGCTTGACAGTGCTCCTTGACGGGGGCACGTATGTATTTCTCGCACTTGCCATAGCGAGCATGTCTAGACAGACAGGAAAACAACGTGCATGGTACATTGCCTCGATGCAGGACGCAAACCAGGCTCTAGGCTGGCCAGAAAAAAGGATTCCATGTTGGCAGAACAAACATTTTGGAAAAAAAAAAAAAAAAAAAAAGAAACCGAGGGAGGAGAATGGACGAATGGCAGTCAGTAGTGGTCCTCTTTCCAACAATTTTTCGAGCTGCTCGTTTATTTTCTTCTTTTTCTCAGTATTTTTTGTTTTCATTTCTCTTGCCATTTTTCCTTTTCAATTGAAGCAGTCCTCTGTCTACTTTCCCTCCAAAGCCCCTTTATATTCTATTTGATATTGACGAAAGTTGCAGAGCGACACACTCCCTTGACACCATGGGTGACAGCGGGTCAGACGGGCATTCGCCTCTGCGTATATTTACGCGAAGCAAAAGCGTTGACGCCGGGCAAGATGAGGGCCAATCGGGAGGGTCGTCAGCGCCGCGGGAGACGGCGAATGCGCTGCTAAGCAGTGCGTTTTCGGCGCCATACGAGGACGAGGGCGCGGGGGACACAGGGCGGCGGTCTCCAGCGACAGTAGTGGGCGGGGTGCGGATTGGGCGCGGCAGCAAGGGCAAGCTGGTAGCGCGCGGGGCGCGGCAGGCGTACCACCCGCTGCCAAGCTACTGGCGTGAGACGGACAACAGCCCGACGTCGAGCGGATTGGGGTCGCCGGTGACGCCGGACGGATTATCGGACGACCAGCCGCGCAGTCTGCCGGCCGGGATAACGGCGAACTCGCCGCTGGCGATCGAGACGTCGCGGTCGTTCCAGGGGCCCAGGAGCAAGACCACCGGGAGCCCGTCTGTGAGCCCGCGGGCTGCGCTGGGCGGGATCCGCGAGGCATTTGATTCGGCGTCGAGTCTAGCGTGGACGGAGCGGCCAGGCTCAACCTACTCGTATGCGAGCGTGGAGCCGCCGCACGACTACGCGGAATCGCCGATTGATCCGCCGAACAGCCTGGGACGGTTCCCGCTGAGTCGCAATGGCTGGGGCGACCGGCCGGACGGCCACGGTACCCGGGCAACGGCGAGAGCGCGTCGCCAGTGCGCGAGGCTGCAGGCGAGGAGATTGTGCGGCGGTATTTTGCGGGCCAGCGGCGGGCCGGACGCGACACAGAGGCGGCCGAGGTAGCCGAGGCCGAGACTGGCGGGCGACGCGGGGGCGATGCGGCGGGCGCTGTCGTCGGGCGACCTGGTGGGGCTGGAGGATCTGGGCGAGATGCACAACAAGAGCATGCTGACGGCGGACCTGGTGGAGTCACCGCTGGAGGCGCTGGTGCGGACAGCTGACGGTGGAGCTGTTCCAGCTGTACGTCAGCGAGGACAGGAAGAAGAGCAAGGCGGCGGGTGACGGCGACAGGCGCGAGCAGCCGGATGTTATCCAGCAGTTCCGGCTTGGGCCAAGCCAGCGCCCGGGCACCAGCACGCCGGCGGTGACCATGGACGGGTACTTTCAGCCGGCCAAGCCCGAGCAGCCCGGGACCGGTGCGGCCGCGGCCACGGCACCGGCTGGTGCAGCGCACGTGGATGGAGGAGGAGCTGCTCAAAGCCAGACGCGTGTCGACGATTGACGAGCACGCCGAGGAGTCAATTCTGCAGGCGCTGCGGGCGCCGGAGCCCAGCAGACCGGCGCTGGCCAAGGCCACGTCGCCAGGCCCAGCCGAGGATGTCGCACTGTTTGCACACCGGCCTGGGGCCCCCAGCGTGCGACCGGTGCGGCAGGTGCAGGCGCAGGAGCGGGCGCGGGCGCGGCCGGGTCTGGAGCTGGGCGACCTGGCGGTGCACCCGCAGGAGATCCTGCAGCAGCTGGCGCAGGACAGCCACCCAAAGTCGCCACGCGGGTACTACCGTGCACGCGATCCGGCAGCCCCGCATCGCAAGGGCACACCGGACGGACCGGCCCAGGCGCCGGCGCGACCGCGGGCGCCAGGAATTTCGCCGGCGAAGGCGTCGCTGCTGCGGGCAGTGGGGCGGCGACAGAGCGTGCGGCTGCAGCCGGGCAAGGGCCAGATTGTGGTGGCCGAGACATCGCCGGCTGCGCTTGCAGGACGCCGGCGCCCGGGCGAAGCGGTCAAATTCGCTGCCGGAGCTGGCGCCGGTGCCTGAGACCCGGGAGGTGTCGTACCGCGAGCTGCAGCGGAAGGCCGCGCGCACCGTCACGCTGACGAAGACGCAGGTCTGCACACGTGACGCGCAGGGCCGAGCGCATGGTGCTGGGCAGTGCCCGGCCTGCGCGCGAGCGTAAGCGCGCGGCCAAGCGACCCGACCTGGACATGCACCTTGTGGCCTACAATCTGCCGCCGCCGGTGCCGCTGCGCGTGCGACGCGATCCGTTCCGGGCGGCGCTGGAGCCATTGATCATCGTGCGGCAGCCGGCGCTGGTTTCACGAACAGCGCCAGGCACGCGCGAGCACGAGCTGCTGCGCGTCCACAACCAGCTGCTGGGCGTGCAGGCGGTGCTGTCGCGACACACGTCGATGGCAGCCAGACGCAACATCACGCCCAGCACGGCAAAGCGCGGCGGCGTCGGCGAGAAGGTCGGAGTCAAGAATGCAGTGCGCAACCAGGCCCTGGACGTGGTCATGCTGGACTACGCGGTGGATGAGCACGAGGAAGGAGAGCCAGAGGCAGAGCCGGCTCGCGAGCCGCAGCGGTGGAATGCGGCCACAAGACGGTCGCTGCGACGCAAGGAACGGCAGGCCGAGGCTGAGGCACCGGCGCCGGCACTGCCCGGGCGGCGGCTGCTGCTGCACGGGTCGGCGTACCGGGTGTACTCGGGGCTGAAGGCGCGCGGCGACACGTACCTGTTTCTGTTCAGCGATGTGCTGGTGGTGACGACCAAGATCGGCGCCGACGCGAACACGCGCGTGCTGCTGCCGCCGTCGGCCGATGCGACGCGTGTGCCAGATGCGCGGTTCCGTATCCACATGGCGATTCCGGTGGCAGGTGCATCGCTGCGGTTCGCGCGCGACGGCGGCTCGAAGCGGCTCGGCGAGGACGACGAGGCCGAGGAGCGGCGGCTGCTGCGCCAGGAGGAGCGCATCCGCCGCGCCTGCCTCACGTTTGAGAAGAACACCAGCGAGGCGGTGGTGTATCTGATCAACCGCAACATCATCGAGCCGATGCCCGAGCTGATCGCCGGGTTCCTATACCGCTGCACTGCGCTGAGCCGCCGCCAGCTGGGGCAGTTCCTGGGCGCTGGTGTGCTGGGCGAGAACCTGCACGAGAACCCGACGCTGGACGAGATCGAACAGGAGAAGCTGTTCCACCGCCAGATCTGGAGCGCCTTCCTGGACCGCTGCGATGTGGTCGGCGTGCCCATCGACGAGGCCCTGCGGTCGGCGCTGTTCTACGTGCGTCTGCCCAACAACCCGCGCGCCATCAGTGTCCTGCTGGAGGTGGCTGCGCTGCACTGGCACGCGAAGAACACTGAGCACGTGACGCCCGGCCTCTTCGTGCCCGAGTCGCCCGACGTGGCAGTGAAGCTGGCGTTCTCAATCATGACCGTCAACACCGAGCTGCACAACCCGCTGCTGCGCGACGAGATCCAGCCCGAGGCGGCCTTCCGCGACCTGGCAGCCAAGTTCCGCGCAGCCCTGGTCGACGATCCAGCCATACGCTGCCAAGCGCAAGGGCAATGTGCTGCGCAAACGCGACCAGCCGCGCGTGGTGGCCATCATGGAGGTGCCGCACGAGAGCCTGCGGGCCATCTTCGACCGGGTGGCGGCTCATCCGGCTCGTGACCAGCTCGGATGCGCGCCCAGCGGCGCCCGAGTTCGACATCACGTGGGTGCGCGATGCCAACGACCCGAATGCCGCCTGCGCTGACCGACGACCAGGTCGCGCAGGAAATCGAGGATGTGTACTGCGACCCGGGCTTCCGCGACGGCCTGCTGTTCAATGCCTCCAGCGACCGTCTGCCCGCACGGCTCAACGCCGACCCGCCGGCCTGGCTGCGCGTCACCGTGCGGATCCCGGAGCCCGACAGCAAGTTCTCCATCAGCATCCGTGCAGTCAACGCATCTGGCTACGAGGTCGTCAGCATTCTGCCCGGCCCGCGCCTGAGCTTCCGCGGAACCAACTCGGCCAGCTTTGTGATCCGGCCATTGATGCCGGGCCATTTCACGCTGCATTTTGCCGCTGAGGGCGCCCATGCCCGGTACTACCATCCGATCCCGTCGCGGACGCTGGTGGTCGAGGGTGCGTTTATGCGCCATACCGTGCAGGTCGGCTGGCGCAAGGAGGCCGAGCGCCGCGCCTGGTACATGTTTGGCATGGACTCCAAGCAGACAAAGGCCATGTGGGCCCGCTGCCTGAAGACTGCCGTCAAGCAGGCTGCTGGCTCGGACTCTGCCGATAGCGCGGTCAAGGCGCTGACAAAGGACGGCGACCAGGTTGTGTCTGGCCTGGAGCTGGTCACGATGATGGGTGGCTCGCTGTGAATGCGATAAAAATACATAATGATGCTTTGGCTGCGAAGTGCATACACTTAATCTCGCCCTACTCCGTTAAACCTCCCATCCTCTTTCTCTCTGCTTCCTGTCTGTCTCTCAAATATTACTATATCCCCCTCCTAATGGAGTACTTTGCTAAATTCACCCGGCCTAGCTGCTCCCAAGAGACCCCCACCCACAGCATCGGCTACACATTTGGCCAAATTCGAAAAGGCTTGGAAATCTGTCCAGAACATTTGCTACTATCCAGTCCAAATGGCGAGACCTCTCGGTAGGGCAGACACCGCTGCCCACGCAATTGGGCGTAATGGTTGACTTGCTGGTGCAGGAGGACATTCGCCAAGCAGATGCCGACGACTCGACGACCGGTGCCTGCATGGAGTACCTGCTAGACAATGACGTGCTCGACGACCTGGTGAAACTGGCCGAGGCCGACGTGCCGGTGGGAGTGCGCGGTGTGGTGATTAGCAACCTGTCGACGTTTATCAATCTGACCGACGACAAGCTGCTGGTGCAGAAGGCCGTCCACAACCCCATCCTGGCGCTGCTGCGAGCGTACCTCCAGACAGAAAACAACGGCATTAGCCAGTCAACAGCCAGCCTGTTCGACGCGAAGATGCATGCGTATGACGACGAGTTTGTCGACTTGATGTACGCGCTGTGCAGCAAGATCCGGGGCGAGCCGATGCTGCTAAACATCTTTTTCCAGGACCGGCGGTGGTTGCGCAGCCTGGAGCAGCGCTGTCTGTCGTCTGACTCGATACCGGCGATGAACCGCAGCGTCGAGAGCCTGCGGGAAGCCACTGCCACTGCACCACCACTACAGCCAGCACCATGTACGAGTTCATCCTGTTCTCGCACCTGTTGCGATTCGTGCATATCGAGGGCAAGGCAGGCGACACCGCGCGCACCAGCCTGCTGTTCCTGCTGGAACTGGCCACGACCGAGATCATGGCCTCGAATGGCGGCGCCACGGCGCTTCGAGCGATTCATCCTCGACGACAGCGGCTTTGCTCCGCTATTGGCAGCTAGTCTGGGCGCACTGTACTCACAGCTGCCGCGCAGCCTGACGCTGTCTGCGAAACCCGGCGGCCGTGGTACCTGAGTCGTTCCCGAGCTACACAGCCGACCTGCAGAATGCCATTGAGTCGTCGATTTTCGCGGCCGGTGGCGCAGGCGAGCGCGGTGAGGACCGCGGGGCAATCAGCTCGACCAGCCCGCAGTTCCGCAGCCGCCTGGCATGGTTTGCCCAGCTACTGGGATTCGTCCAGGAGGTGCTGTTCCGGTGCCCGTCGCTGGCCATCTGCGGCGAGGTCCTGCGGCATCTGCGCGAGCACTTTTTGCGGGCGATCCTCTACCCAAGCCTGCTGGAGAGCTCCGACACCGACGGCAGCAGCATTGCAGTCATGGTCTATCTGGAGCTGATGCTCGCCACTGCCCGCCACGAGGACCTGGTTGCCGCCATCATGGAATTCCTGACAGAGGAGCCGAGCGCTGGCGGGCAGGAGTCGTGCCTGCCGTTCACATTGCGTGATCTGATATACACAAATCTGCAGTCGACGGTCTCGACCGACGCGGTCATCGCCGCGCTCAACCTCCTGCGGCTGGTGCTATCCAGACATTGTCGCTACGCCGCGCGCCTGGTGGAGCTCGAGAAGGTGGCCGCCAGTGGCAGCACCAACGTGTGGATGATGAACTGCACCGTGGCCATCGACGTGCACCGCCAGGAGCTGGAAATGTACGCACGGTTGATGGGCCAGCTCGAGGGCAATGGTCCGCTCGCCGGCTCGACCCGACCACGACGGGCTGTATATCCCGTGGCGGCGTGAGGCCGCACAGCAGCCGTCGAACCGGCGCGCGCTGGTGCCCGAGTCATTCGTCATTGGCTACGATGAGTACCTGGAGGACGCAGCGCACGAGTGGGAGGCTCACGAAGCGTATCATTTCGAGATCGACGCGCTAACCGAAGTGCAGCGCACACGCGACCGTCTCGCCCACTCTGGCACTCTGTCGCCCATGGCCAAGTCTGGCATCGGCATCGGCATCGGCATCGGCGTCGCCCGGCGTCAAGCGTGCAGTGCGTCCGCGCAAATACTCGGAAGCCGTGATGCGACCGCCAGCAACCCCAGCAACCGCTGCCCCCGAAACCTGTAGCAGCAAGCCGAAGCCGCGCATCCGCTGGCGAGTCAAGCAGTCGGACCCAGTGGTGCGCGTGCTGATGGGCCTGCTGGCGCGGTACTTTGCACAGCCGCGCGAATGCAATCTGGCGCTGACCGGCGTGCTGGCTGCGCTGGTCGGCTGCCCCCACCGCACACTCGATCCATGGCTTCGGCTTCAACCTAGCGTCGCTCATTGATGGTGTGTTGGCGTCGCCGTGGCAGATCTGGCTTGACAATCTGCGCAATCTCAGCGACTCCGCTGACAGCGACAGTGACGGCGACGGCGACGGCGACGGCAACAGCAACGGCAACGATCTGCATCGGCGCACCGGCAATTCTAGCCGCCGATGCCTCGCAGTTCCTCGGCCTCGACAAGGAGCTGCAGGACGCAGTACGCGCGTTGCCGCATGGTGCTACGCCGCCTGCGCTCTACGTGGTCATCAGTGGGCTGGCACAGCAAGCAGCAGGTTCTGCGCAATGAAGTTCCTGGCTTTGACAGTCGGCTACGGCGCGCGCGCAACGCCTTGATGGGCATTGTTGAGGACGCTGACGCGCTGGATCTGGAGCTGGAGGCTGCCAATCCGCCACGCCGCGACCGTGGCCTCTCATCGGCCAGTCTCGAGCACGTGCGCAATGTCCTGCCCCCGCCGCCAGTGCGCCGCGACAGCCTGCGTCCAGAGAGCCGCGCTCGCGCTGGATCCGCCAGCCAGACGTCAGGACAATGACAGCACACATAATACCCGGCAGGCAATGCTGGCGAACCCGCTGGCGGGCAACTGGCAGGCGCTGAGCGTGCCGCCCAAGGACGCAAACATCGCAGAGTTCCTCGAAAACGTCATTATCCTGCAAGAGTCAATCAAGGAGATCATTGCCCGCGTCCAGGTGCGCCGTGAGAACGGCGGCGACGAGGATGCCATCGTGTAAAGAAACTAGACTTATCTCCCCGCTGCTTCATGCGCTCAGGTTTATTTTTGAAAGTTGTACAGTGGGCAATAGTAATGTAGCAATGCTTTTAATCTTTTGACTTTAGCGTGTCCGACCTCAGCCAATATGCGGTCAGTTGACACAAAAAATATGCTGTTTTGAGGCCGCACAAACACTCAGCCCAGCTGACATTTCATGAGTAATGCATATCTGGATGCATCTCCACTATAAAAAAACTTTATAGCCTAAGAAGTGTCCAGCCATCTGCTAGAGCATTCTTTGCTGACTGATAGAAGCCACGCTCAGTTGAGCCTCGCAGTGAGTATGCGTGTCTTGTCTTGTGAACTCCTTAAAAACAATATTCTCTCTTTTGGCTGATGGATTCAGATCCTAAGGCGTCAAATACACATCTTAACCATATTAAATAGTAAAAAACATAACCTCGAATCTGGAGCCATATATTAAAATGCCATTTGTCTCGGCTCCTTCGCATTTCGTAAACCCTACCAGTCCAATAAACAAACCAGCCAACTTCCGAATCCTCGGCACTCAGACTCTGAAGAGTTGGCTTGCTGGCCAGCATATTCTGCACATAAAAGCAGTCCTTCCTATATTGTCTACCATTTCCTTTTCCTTGCCCCCTTCCATATATTCCAGTCTCCCTACAGAAGAGATCTAAGGCAGCACATAGTTGTCATATCGATTTGAGCAGTTATTTTGGAGTACATTTGACAAAAGCAGGGTATATACTAGTGGCAGCAGTAGCACAGTTCTGGTTTAGTAGCAAGCACATCTATACAGTTATGAAATTGCATATATTCATAGTTGCATTTTCTACTATAGCCATATATATAAGCAGTAATATTTAGGTAACAGTGAACCTAGTCAGTACATAAGCAAATTCAATAGAGTATCAATACTAGCATCCCTAAAACTATATAAGCAAGTTGGATTATAATAGATATTATTCTGATATTCTATAATAGTAGTTATTTATTTTATCTGAATATTTTTACTCCTATACTAAATATAGTGCTTATCTAAAACCCCTATCAGTACCCTAAAAAATTTCAGTTGATACATAATTAGTATGCTTCTACTGAGATTTAGGCTAGGTCATAAGAAATTAACTGAAATTTTTTAGGATACTAATAGGGGTTTTATAGAAGTGCCTATTTTAGTACTTTTATTTATTTATTAATTTAGTTGATAATATCTTTTTGGATGGTACAAAATAATCTAGTTTTTAAAATATTTAGTAGATGCTTGTAAAAGATTTATAATTTATTAATTTGTTACTCTGATATATAGTATTTAGATTTTTAAAATTTCCTTAACTGTGAATAACCTCCTATTATAACCCAACTAGCTTATATAGTTTTAGGGCTGCTAGTATTGATACTCTATTGAATTTGCTTATGTACTGACTAGGTTCACTGTTACCTAAATATTACTGCTTATATATGTATGGCCATAGCAGAAAATGCAACTATGAATATATGCAATTTCATAACTATATAAATATGCTTGCTACTAAAGCAGAACTGTGCTACTGCTGCCACTAGTATATACCCTGCTTTTGTCAAATGTACTCCAAAATAACTGCTCAAATCGATATGACAACTATGTGCTGCCTTAGATCTCTTCTGTAGGGAGACTGGAATATATGGAAGGGGGTAAGGAAAAGGAAATGGTAGACAATATAGGAAGGACTGCTTTTATGTGCAGAATATGCTGGCCAGCAAGCCAACTCTTCAGAGTCTGAGTGCCGAGGATTCGGAAGTTGGCTGGTTTGTTTATTGGACTGGTAGGTTTACGAAATGTGAAGGAGCCAAGACAAATGGCATTTTAATATATGGCTCCAGATTCGAGGTTATGTTTTTTACTATTTAATATGGCTAAGATGTGCATTTGACGCCTTAGGATCTGAATCCATCAGCCAAAAGAGAGAATATTGTTTTTAAGAGTTCACAGGACAAGACACGCATACTCACTGCGAGGCTCAACTGAGCGTGGCTTCTATCAGTCAGCAAAGAATGCTCTAGCGGATGGCTGGACACTTCTTAGGCTATAAAGTTTTTTATAGTGGAGAAATATACAACCATACATCGCAATAGTGGCAAACGATAATGATATTTGAAACACACTATTCTACACCTTGTGCTAGCTAGCGAAAAATGATTATGCAAAAAGCCATTAATCCCCTAATCGAGCGTGTACACTGAGACTCGTGTTCAGGTTGCGCGTCAGGGGGAAGCGGTTTTCTGAGCATATTCGAGATGTAGAGCTTCTAAAAACGTGAACGTTTCAATCTCGGGAAGCTTCTCAGGCACCTTTCGTTTTTCTCCCCCTTATGCCAGATCTACTCGCACACACACCCACTTACCTTACCCATCTGCTGGCACTCGGCTGGCCGCCACTACTTGCCACGCTGGCGCTGCTGCTGCTCACCTACCTCCTCGCTCGCCGCCCGCCTGCAGCGTCCATCCCGCCCAGCGCCGTCCTCCTGCCCTCCACCTCGACCTATCCGTCGCCTGCTTACTCCGCCGCCTACAAACTGCCAATCGCTCGGCTCCTCAATGACCTCCTACACGGCCACACCGAACTGCGCAATGCCCACTCTGGCCAGGCGCTGCTGCGGCTGCCCGACATCGCCAACTTCACACCCACGCCCACCCTACTCTTCCAGTATCTCGCCACCAGACACTCGGCCTGCAACAGCATCGATAATTACGTGCTCGCCAGCGACGCCGTTCTCGAGGCCATCCAGGGGCCCGACCGACTGCCACTGGCTGGCTGCTTCCGCGACAGCGCGCCTTCCCAACTAGAATCGGCGCTGGACGCCCAGCTGGCGCGCATCGGCCGCGACTACCTCGACCTGCAGCCCGACGACCAGCTGCTCGACATCGGCATGCACTGGGGTGACGTTTCAGTCTATCTCGCTCACGAGCATCGCGTCAAAACCACCGCCGTCCTGCCCGCTGCCTCGCAGCTCGCCCACGCCGCAAACCTGGCTGGGGAGTCAAACGCCCGCCACCTCGTCGAGCTGGTCCACGGCGACCACTGCACGCTCCCCGACAGGCAGTTCACCAAGGCCATGGCCCTTGATGCCCTCGACTTTGTTGGCGCCCGCAACCTCCCGGCGTTCTTTGCCGCCATGGGCCAGCACCTCGAGCTCAACGCCCGCCTGTTTCTGCAGGTCACCACGACACCCGCCTGTATGGGCCCGGCGGACCGCCCGCGCGGCCAGCTCATCCTGCAGGCGGACGAGGATGAGGGCGAGGAGGTAGCCACGCTAAGGCTTAGCGAGCCTGAGGAGCATGCTGAGATCTGGTGGTACCACGCGTTCCGCTTGCGCCATATCGCCCCGGGCGCCGACACCCAGGCAAATGTTTCCATCGAGCATGTCCTCACTGAGCTCCAGCGCGCCGGCTTCGAGGTCATGCAGCTTGAGAGCCTCACCACCGACTACGCCCTCACCATGGCCACCTGGTGCCGCAGGCTCTGCGCCAATAAACGCCAGATCGAAGCTGAGGTCGGTCCAGACGCCTACCGTGCTTGGGAGCTCTACTTGAATTGGACACAGAGCCTGCTTGCCCGCGGCCGCCTCCACAAGCACTTTGTCCTGGCCGTCAAGCGGGTGTAGCTACTCTTTCTTCTTCTGGTTGCTAGACACTTTTCGCACCATCTACAAATATCTGCCATGCCATCTGCTCCCCCTCCCCTCAAGGGCCACTGTGATATCTGGTGTGCTTACATCTGAGGGCAAAAATATGTGGGTGCAAGCCAGGAAGGACAACTGACGATAAGGTGGAAAAGAATTATTTGAACTAAAAGTGAAAAGCCCAGGAACCACATGTGCGAGGAAAAGAAGGGGCTCGTCTCAGAGCGGAAGGCCAGCAAAGCAAGATGCCGTCTGCGCCCTGGTAGGATAAAAAAGAAAAAGAAAAATACGTGCGGTCGTGTGTGCGCAGCTTTTGGTTAATGGATGTCGCGATATATGGCTGCTGCAATGCTATATCCATAGCTCTGCCAGCTCGAGCTGGCAACAATGTGGTTGCTGTCGTTTGTTGTTGCTGCTGCTGCTGCTACCCGTTGACGTTTGCTGATCGGTAGGACATGACTAGCGGGAATTCAATCGAACCTCCTTGATAATGGTATAGAGACGGCATTTGTGGAGAAGGGAAGGGAAGGTATAAGACCGCTGGTGGTCCCGGAGGTTGAGAACGGCCCCTGCAGTCACTATCCGTCACTCTCTTTAGCAAGACGCGAGTTGCTGCGCAGGGAGGGAGTCTGAGGGGAGGAGAGGGGAGAGGCATAATATCTGGCATCCAAGACTGAGTGATCATATAAATGGCTACAGATGCGGAAAGAGAGGGTGTGCAAACCAACAAGCCCGCAAAAACAGAGAAGAGAATGCGTATCGGCTGAATGTGAGTGAATCGAAGAGAAAGTGTGAGCAATGACAACCAGAGAAAGAGAACGAAAAAGTAAGAGAACAAAAACTGGGAGGAAAGAAGTGATCTAGCATCGGTCCTTACCTGGAGAAACAAATAGAGGATCCAACTTCACCACTGCCCACCAGGATGAGCGCTAGCCATCTTTTCCTTAATCAGCGCGTAGGCTTGTCTCACGTTTTGCTCTTGTCCAGTAATGACAATAAGCCGGTTCCGCGCGCTAGGGTCAGGCGTTTTGGATCTCAACATCCGCGTTGGTCGCGCGCCGGATCCCGTTGATGGTCTCGCCCTTACGCCCAATGAGTACCCCGACCCTATCCGCCGGAATATACATCTGCTGGATCGTGCTGCCCACGCCGCTAGGCCCAGACGGGTACCTGCCGTCAGACCCGACACCGCCGCTATGCATGGGCCCAGACCCCATGTGCGGCCGACCACCTCCACCCCCGCCTACGCGAGTTGTATGGCCGTGGATTCGGGTACCCGCCGCCTGCACCCTGCCCAGGGCCAGAGCCATACATTGGCTGCATCGGCGCCGAGTATCCGTAAGAAACAGGCGTCGCCATCGGATATGGAACAGGACCCCCGCTGCTGCCGCCGTAGCTGCCAGCACTGCCGCCGCCGCCGTAGCCGCTACCGCCGTAGCTGCTGCCACCGTAGCCATTGCCATTCGATCCTATCGGCCCCTGACTGGGCATGGGATTGCTGTAGCGCGATCCTCCACCATTTTGCGGAGTGTAAGGCTGGTAGCTGCTCGTGGCAGGCCCAGAGTACCTGTATCCGCCACCGCTGCCGCCCACTCCAGGACCAGGCCGCATCCCGTTGCCCTGGCTCCGAAAGTTGCTGTACGGTCCAGACTGCCGTGGCGCAATAGCGCTACGGTTGGGCGGCGACATGTTGCTGGGCGCACGGCCGCGTCCAATACCCCGGGGCGGTCGTTGTAGTCAAACCGGCCGCCAGCGCCATTCGGGTACCGGCTGTTCCTGTCAAAACGGTCGCGGTCACGGTCGCGGTCGCGGTCACGGTTGTTGTAGCTGCCTCCAGCCCCGCCCCGGTTGGCGCTGCTGTAGCCCTGGGTATAGCTGTTCTGCGCGCCACCCTGCCGGAAGTTGGTGTTGTACCGGCCGCCATTGTTGTTGGCATTAGTACCCGGGCCGCGGCTGTTGTGGTAGTTGGTATAGCGCTGTCCTCCAGGACGGTGGCTGTGGTAGCGCTTGTCGCCAGAGCGCGAGCGGTTGTTGAATGGCTTGCTACGGCGGTTCGACATGTTGACTGTCATTGCCGACGGCAGATTGACTGCGGGGACATAGCAATCGCTGGTGGTATATGCGCTCATGTCCTTGGCCAGAACTCTGGCCACCAGCCTCATCGCCTTGGCAATCGCCGACGGCGCACCTATCAGAGCTACCACGCGCTCCGACGAGTGCGGCAGCATCGACTCGGACGTCCGGATGTTGACCCCCGCCTCGTCGCGGATGCTGTTGATCGTCGAGCCGCCATGGCCCATGATGCTGCCTATGCACCGGTTCGGCACAAGCATGCGCAGGGTCAGACGCGGACCGGACGAGGCTTTCTCTGCCTTGCCGCCCTTGCCTGCAGGCGCGGAATTGTCTTTGGCTGTCTTTGACATGCTGGCACCTTCAGCGTCAGCATCAGCATCAGCCTCAGTCTCAGCATCAGCCTCAACTCCAGCCTCGGCCTCGGCTTGCGTCGTCTTCTCGTTGCTAGCGCCATTCTCGCTCTTCCCGTGCTCATCATCGCTATCATCGGCATCGTGGTCATGGTGATCGGCCGTTGAGTCGGTTGGTACACCCGCCTTCCTATCTTCCTCGCGCTTTCTGCTCGCGGCCTCCTTGATCTCCAGCATAGCCTTCAGAGATCTGTAAATATGCCGCGCCCACGCCGTCAATCGGCCCTTTGACAACTAGCACCCGATCAACCACAATTTCGGGATCGTCCTTGCCAGCAATGATAGTGATTGACACACTGTTCTGCTGCTCGAGCCGCTCCTTGCTCCCCTCATCGTGTTCGAAAATAACATCGACATCCTTGCGCGTAACCACTGTGCGCACCGCAAAGCTGCTTCAGTGCGCTGGCGGTTGCTGCAGTAGTGGCGCTGCTGCTGGCGCGCTTCCTCGTAGACGCTGCTGCCTTGTCCTCGCCGGCTGTGCCAGTGGCCTGGCGCTTGGCTGGGTGGTCTGCCTCGTCGCGCTCGTCATCAGACCATAGCGGGTCGGGGTGCAGCTTGAAATCATCGCCAGCCACATCGTTTTCGGCGCCCTCCTGAGCCTCGGCTGAGCTCTTGCGTGGCCGCTTATTGTTCCGCTGCCCATTTCCCATTTTCTCCTCATCTTGTGTCCGGCTCGCGGACTGCGACCACGTAGCTGCTTCTTTGCTGCCTGCCTATCCTTTGGGCCGGCCTTGTGGTCGTCCACCAGCAACTCGTGGTAGTCTGACCCGCCAGGAGCAATGGAAATCTGGTCTAAATTCACACTCTCTGTGTCTGACATTGTCGTTGGGGCGTGGACAAGTGCTGGAATAGACTGCCTTAATATGCTTGTGATGAGAATCAATAGACGAAAAATAAAAAAGCGAGCAAAAGTATAAAAAAATCGTGACAAACAAGTGCGAAGAAAGAAAAGCTGGCATGTTTGTAGTGTGCGAAGGCAGTTTTCTATCACCATCTGCTTGCCATGAGCCGAAAAATTGTCAAGGTAAAACCCGTGACCTGTAAATAGCATGTCTCGCCAAACCACTGGCCTGTCAAAAACACGCTCCAGCTCCTCCCCAAGCCTGCTTACGTCGTCGCTTTCTTCCTTCCGTGCAAACTCCATTTTTCTACAATTTCAGACACGCGCAATCAAGTACTTGACAATGAGCCGGGTGCAGCAGTTTGCAACAAAGATATCCGAGCTGCTGAATTCAGAGCACTCAGCGGAAGAAGGGTCGCCCGCAATCAGACAGTTCTTGGAGCACAAGCTCAAGGCGAGTGCTTCAACTGAGAGCGAGCAGCACGAGCTGCTCATCGGCATTGTCGACGCGTGTCTGAGCCCACAGGTGACCACGGCCAATGCGCGAGTGACGCTAATGGAGCTGGTGGAGTTGGCGATGGATGAAAAATCCAAGCTGACTGCGGAAACAAAGCAGACAGCGTTCCAGTACATCCTGAGCAAGATTCAGCAGCGCTTGTCCGAGTTCGAGGATGTAATCTTCAGGACACGCATCTGCCTGTCGAAGGTCTACGAGAGCGAGGAAGAGTGGACAAAGGCAGCAGCCGAGCTGCAGAGCCTGCCGTTTGACCAGGCACAGCGGTCCTACGACCCCGACTTCCGGTTTACGCAGTACGTGGCCACGATGCGGCTGTATCTGGAGGCTGAAGACCCGACCATGGCTATGGCTGCGCTGCAGCGGGCTACGCCTCTGCAGACTTTGGTCACGGACAAGCTACAGATTATGCTCTTCCGACTGTCCCAGGCGCGCATCTTCGACTCGGAGCACAAGTACATCGAGGCGGCCAACCTGTATCAGACTGTTGCGCAGTCAGACGACCTGGCCTTTGACCAAAAGTCCATGTGTATGAGTGCTGCCATCAACTGTGCGGTTTTGAGTGCTGCCGGGCCACAGCGTAGCCAAATGCTGGCGCGGCTGTACCGCGACAAGCTTGCCAGCCGAACTGCCAACATTCACTGTGCTTGAGAGCATGCATCTGAAGCGCCTGATCAAGCCCAAGGACCTAGAGCACTTTGAGCAGGGCCTACAGCCCCACCAAAAAGCAGTGCTGGGCGACGGCAAGACTACGATTCTGTCGCGCGCTGTGCGCGAGCACAACATGTTTGTCCTGTCGGTCGCTGTACTCGAACATCAAGTTCGAGAACCTGGGCCGCTCACTGGGCGTTGACGCCGACAAGGCCGAGGAGATGTGCGCCAGGATGATTGCTGAGGGCCGCATGAAGGGCCGCATTGACCAGGTCGATGGCGTCATCATGTTTGAGGGCGCGCGCGAGGTCAAGGAGGTGGCATCGGCCATCTCAATCAAGCAGCGCAGCGAGGAGCAGGAGCAGCCGGCGCCCATGTACTTGCGCGAGATGGTCGCTGCCAAGTGGGACAAGCGCATTGTCGGGCTGTGCCAGACGATGGAGGAGGCAGTTGACCTGCTGATCGAGAAGCAGCCAACGTGCGCCAGAGCGCTGTTCAGCCAGCTCTAGAACACCCCATGTATGAAAAACAAGTTTAAAGTGTAGCAAACATGTGTTACTTTTCAAAGTCCCTGACGCTGTCCTTGATCAGCCTGCGTGCGCATGAGACCTTGTCGGCGCGACCGACAATTGTGACGATGCGGTCCGACATGTTCTGAATGCGAGGCGACAGCTCAATGTGTGCGCCACTGCGGTCTTGCAGCAGGGCCAGGAACGTGCCGTTGCGGCCAATGAGTCTGCCAGCGACCCGGTCCGGAACCACCAGCTTCTCTTTGGTGTCCGACTTGATTGCCGCGTGTGCTGTGTATGTGCTTAGGCGCTTCGGCCCACTGGTACTGCTGTGTCTGGATGAGCGCGAGTATCTTGTTGGTGATGACCCACTGCGTGCCCTGCCTTCCTCAGACTGCCTGCGCAGGCGCTTCGAGTCCGAATCGACATGCCCTAGCCCTATCATCGATCTTGACCGCTTCCTGTTGCCGTCCTCCCTTCCTACAGTAGACTCGCTGGCCTCGGCAGCCATTGTGCGCTGGTTCATGGCCAGGAACTGCCGCAGTCCCGTCTCTGACCGGTTTGTATAAAGTCGACGACTCCTGCAGCTGTGTCAGATTCGACTTTGTGTGGTCTACCAGCCATTGTGCAGCCATCTGCATAGCCTCGGGCGTGGCACCAACCTCCACCACGCGCTCCTGCGTGAACGGGATCGTGCTCTTGTAGATGTGCAAGCGCTGCACACCCGGCTTGGCCCTAAGCTCTTCGATGTATGATCCGCCAGGCCCGACAATAGCTCCAATGGCCCGGAAGGGGAACAGGTAGCGCAGGAGCAGCGAGCCTGGGTTTGTAGGGTGCCGGGCCTCGGTACACAGGTGTTTGGAGAGCTCGTGGATTGCCTGAAAGGTGCAATACAAGATAGTTGTCGTAGTGGTGGCATGGATAATGGATTAGAACTTGTGCGTGTGGAGTGAGATGGGGAGTGTGAGCGGGGGAGAGTATCGTTGTATTGGCGTAACATGGCTAGTAGGCGGGCTCATCGCTCCGCATTACATGGCAATGATGCTCCCTCAGCACCGCAGCTTCCTGTCTGCCTCGGTTCGGGGTGTGGGGAATGGGGGTTGCTGGAGCAATGTGGGGCACAGAGTAGGCAGATACCCCAAAGGAATACAAAACCATGGGCCATGCTGCAGATGTTCTTACCTGCGATATGTGGTCAACGGCCCCGCGCAGTATAACGACGCGATCCTCGCGATCCGAGTTGTTGCTGGTGATGAGCCATGTGGCTTTGGTCGCTTCTTTGAGCTTAGTAATGTGTCTGCCCTCCTTGCCAATCAGCACGCCGCCGTCCTCATGCGGGAAAATGAGCCTGACGGTGAACTGCTCCGCCTTGGGCACGTCGTCGTCGCCGGCGCTCATGGCCATTCCGCGCCTTGCATCCTCCTTGACGCTGTGGCTCCCCTCAGCAGTAGCATCGTCGACGCCCTCGTCATCTACGCAATGCACCGGTGATTAGCAGCAGTAAAACAGGGTGGCAATTGATGGAAGGTGCTGATCAGATGTAGCTGGAGATTTTTTACACGGGGACATGCAAGACGGTGGGTGCGCCAATAACATTCTGTGAGTAGCGATGACACTCTGGTGGATCTGTCTGCCTGCATTGCTGATTTTTTGTGTTGCAAAAGGCCATTCGCAGCGGCGGGCTTACCTAGCATCATGTCCGAGAGGCTATAGTGGCCGTCATCGCTCGATGCGTGCGATTCGGCCATGGCTATGCTGTGGTTGTGCTGCTGCTGCTGCTGCTCCTGCGCTAGCGAAATCATTGTGTGGCGAAAAAAAAGGGGAAGTCTATTGAAAGGAGGGGTAAAAAGCGGTGCTCGGGAGTAGAAAGTGGAATCGAAAGCAGGCTGGCAACAAGCAAATGGGCATGCATTGCGGCTGTGTATCACAGTTCTTTTTATATAAACCCCTGCTTCCTCCATACGGGCGAGCCTTGCTTCTTTTGTATTGCCTGTGTAATTGCCCGCAACGCAGGGCAGAGTGTGTGGAGCAGTCCCAATGTCTGCTCTCCCTCCTCTCTCCTCGTGCTTTGCTCCACAAGCAGCCTTGCATTGGATTAGCGGGGAGAGTGGTGGGCGGCTGTGCGACCGGCATCCAGAAGAAACGAAATCAGACTCAAGCTTTTTGTTCTTTGCAGGAAGCACCGTGACACTTGGCATTCGATGGCGGTGCGCCAAGAACCAAATTACCAAGCAGCCCAGGGCCGTGCCAGTGATTTCTGTTTAGCGGCTATCTCCTGCAGGCAAGCCTTGGGTGTCCATGGCATGGCCGGCAGTGCCCGGCTGGCGTATGTGATGTGCACACATGCCGCGAGCCACACCCTGGCCCACGTTCGTCCCAGAAAAACCGAGCGAGGGATTGCTGCGAGCCGGGTGGACAAAGCGACGAGCCGATCTGCAGCTGTGGCGTGAGCCGGCCCACTCTTGACCAGAAAATCTTGTCAACGGTGGAGGGAAAAACGCGTCAACACGCATTTTGGCCCTCTCTTTTACTTTTTCTCCTACCCCCGTCTTCCTTGTATTGGCACCTCAGCTACCAGCACGGACAGCATTGCTCGAGATATCTCGGGCTGGTTTTATTTTATACTTTCTGGCATATTTTCGGGAGGGCTTTTTAATTAGCGTCAGCAAATGAGTGACGGGCCAAAGCGGTTCTCGCTCTCCGATTACCAGAGCAAGCGCGGGGCAGCGCGGCCGGCCGAATCGCATGTGTCGGGCGAGCAGAGGAATGAGCTGGAGGAGCTGCACATGCTGCTGGGCACAGGCTTTGGCAGCGGCGACGGAGCGCTGGACGACGACGACATGGACGACGGCACTGAGAACGACATTCTCCGCACACCTGGCGCGTCCCCAAAGAACGGGTATGGTGAATTCGAAGATCTGGACAAGAATGGCGAGGAGGGCGAAGAAGGCGAAGACATGGAAGTCGACACCCGGTTGGACGACCGCAACGGAGCGCCGCTCTGACAAAAAGTCGAGTCGCAGCAGCCGCCGCCGCCGCCGCCGTGGAAGCCGGCGCAGCAGGTCGCCGCGGTCGGCCCGGACCGTCGGGTCGCGGGTCGGTGGCACTCGAGCTCGCGGTCTCGATCGCCGTCAGCCGACAGCGACAGCCACTCGAGGAGCCACAGGTCGTCGCGCAGGAGGAGACGCGAGGAGCCGGATCGCTCGCGGTCGCGCGATCGCGTTGTCAGCGTGCGCGCGGTGTTCCCGTACGAGGACGGAGGCATCATTATCGGCCTGCGCGGAGCGCACCTGACCAAGCTGCGCAGAGCGACGCAGCAGGTGGAGTGGAAGATTTCGAGCGAGACAAACGACAAGCAGGACCGCATTCTTGTTGTCAAGGGCAGTGTCCGCAAGGTTGCCGAGGTAAGTCCATTTTTTCCAAGCGCGTAGTTGTAATAGCGACAGTGGCAGTGGCTGGGCGTTGCTTCTCTCCCTCCTCTTCCTTTCCTGCCCGCTGCCGATAAAGCGATATGCAGCGTGCTGACCTACACCCTTATTTTGGTGGTGGCTGGCATTGTCGCCGGTGTTTTTGCTTGTTCACGCCCCCAGGTTTACAAAGGAGAGCGTGAACTGCGCTCAAGGTTTCGCCCATCTGTTCTCACCCATCTCCGCTGCCCAGAAAGATGTGATTTCCTGCTTGGGCCAGCCCTAATGAAGTAAATCTACAGCGCGCTCGCTGATCCGATATGCCGCATACATGACTCTGCCAATCCACAGTCACCACCTCTCTCTACCACAAAGCTTCGTCTTTTTGTAAACAGCATATGCCACACCCTTTGACCCATCCATACACCATTTGCCTGGCCGACATGCATCATACCAAGAAGCCAACTTGGAGCCAGAAGCGCGAGGAGGAAACTTCGGCTCTGATCTAGCGCCGCCCTTCGTCTTCTCCTGGTCATGCCTCTCGTCTTCCTCTCCTCCTCCGCCCCCTCGAACCCCAGCCTCTCTGCCAGTCTGCCCTTGCTGTAGCGTCATTCCTCTGCTTTTGTTTCTTCACTGGCCATAAACCCCTGCCACCCAGCCCCTCTGCCCCTCTCCCTGCAACTACCAACATGCATCCATACGTCGTTATTTCTCCAGCCGTGCGTCTTCTAACTCACTATCCTGCCTGCTCCTCCCTTTTCTGCTACGTCTGCACTTCCGTCATGCGTCTAGGCTTTCCGCGAGCTCGCCGAGCACTTCATCTCGCAAGGCATGCACGTCGACTACCCGCCGCAGATGCGTGGACGCGGGATCAAGGAGGTCGACACCGACAAGCCGTTTGTCCCGATCCGTCTCCTGATCCCGCACAAGACATGCGGCGCCATCATTGGGCAGAAGAGTGAAACGCTGATCAACACGCGCGTAAACTGCGCGGCGAGGCGTGTGTACGTGTACCGTGAGCGCATCTCCGAGAGCCGTGAGCGCGTGGTAGAGATCGTGGGCACGCCGAGCTCGGTAGAGCGCGTGATCCAGGTGATCGGCAACCAGGTGCGGCGCACTTTGACCAGCGACCAGCAAGAGTCGCAGCCGTACAAGCCGGAGCGCGACGGGCTGCGCAAGTTCCTTGCAAAGCAGGGAGTGCCGCGGAACCGCGTGAGTCTGGAGCCGATCAAGACAGATGAGCGGTCGTCGCGGAGGCGGCGCAGCCGGTCATCGCGCTCGCCGTCGTCGTCGGCGTCATCGCGGTCGAGCTCGAATGACAGCCGGTCGCGCAGCCGGCACCGGCACCGATCGCGGCGGCACCGCAGGCGGTCGCACACGCGGTCCAAGTCGCGGCGCAGCCGGCACCGCAGCCGGCGGAGCAGCCGGCGGTCGAAGCGCACGAGCCGGAGCCGCAGCGAGAGCCGCAGTGCGAGCCGCAGCGAGAGCGAGAGTAGGAGCCGGAGCCGCCGGCGCAGCTCACGGCATCGCGGCTTGCGCAAGAGCGAGGATGCGCGGAAGCGCAATGGGTCGGTGACAGGCAGGTCGCGGCCGATCAAGCAGGACTCGGAGGGCAGTGGGAAGGCGGAGAACGGGGCCAGACGGCTCTCGAATGCGACGGTGAGGTCAGTGCTGGCGAGGTGTCCTCGCCCGGTGGAGCTTCTGGGTGGGGGGAGAGCGATAGGCAGGATGACGTGGAGCCTGGGGAGAAGAATGGCAACACTGGTGATGATTGGGCCTCGGAGCGCAGTGGGTTTGCTGATGGTGGCTCGTGGTAAATGAAATGTGCTGGTCCCCGACGGGCTGCTTTACTCCTCAGGATCCGTTCGGTGCATAATGCACAGCATGGTGGTTCAGCACCTCTTTTTCCATACCTATGTTTCTTTCTTGGCACACTTTTAAAATCATATTTGACAACTTGTTGCTCTTTTGGCTAGATGTACGTAGCATACTGCTGGATTAGAGATGTGTAGCTGTACAACTGTAGTTGTTTGCCCCATGGAACCTGGGGCGTACCCTGGCTGGGTGCCTGATTTGCATGGTGCCTCAGGTGGGAAAGCACCGGCTTATCAACTTTGGCAGGGAATGCCAGCATTGGTTGTATTGTGCGAGCACGTTCACGACATGATGGATGTGCTTCACCCGACCCAATTTTTGTTGCACAGAAAAGCCAGCAGCCAGCCCAACAACCAGATGGAACCACTGCCTGATTACACAGCGATGATGAATGTCATACTATCCATGCAAAGCAAGAAATGAGGCGCAGCAGCAGCCCACCAGCTGGCGATATATGACGGGGGAATATTCCCCAGAAGCGCTTGTCACGCACCATTCGCACTCTTGCTTCTCCATCTCCTCGGCGCAGCAGGCGCGTGTCATTTTTCCAGGGAGCAGGCATGGAAGGAAAAGCTGAGGGTGAAATTAAAACACCTCCTCGGGTGTGGTAGACATGGTTTCTTTCCTTTACCAGCCTGTAGTTATTTTTTTCCTTGTCGTATCTGCAAAGTGTAATTTTAAAGGTGAAACTGTGTATATGGCGTACATGGACCAGGGGACTAGTGATGGCGAGACACGCAGGGGTTGGCTGGAGATGCTGGGGTTGCCGGCGCTGGCAGTGCGCAGGAGAAATGAGGCAACCATACTGCCAGAACCGCCGGCTTTGACACCGTCATCCTGTCTGTCTGAACGCCCCGCGGGCACATATAGGTGGGTCAGATGGTTATGCATGGATCCGGTGGTGTGGGGGGGCAGCTGCACAATATAAGCGAGTCGGGACACTAGCCAGTGAGCCGAGCCTCTGTGCCATGACATTGCCGATTTCCGAACCGGCATCTACTCCGGAGAATGCCTATTTTTGTTGACGCAGCAGCTGGCATACAGCCTCAGCTTTTATTTTAGTTATTTTAATTTCCTTGTTGCATTCACGCATTCTGCTTTTTTGTGGACGGGTGCATTCACCAGGAACACACGTTTATTTTAGAGTACTTTTGCGACAGGACGCGAGAAAACAGCGGAATGGCGGCGGAACTGGAGAAACTGCCGGTGGCCACTTGGCTGAACCCGAGCTCTGAATGTCGCGTTGTGGTGGGAGGCAACGACGGGGTTCGGCTTTATCGCATGAATGCGTATAGCGACAAGGTAAGAGGGCGAGACGGGAAAGGCAAAACGAAAACTCGAATGCCTCAGCATGGGATTTTTTAAGAGCAGGTGGTGACGCAGACAACGATCGGTGAGGAGGCTGATAGTCTCCGTTTGGCAAAAAAAAAGAAAAAGAATGGCACTAGATTCCTTGAGGGGGTGTAGTCTAATACAGGCGGGCAGCAAAGTGCAGTTCGATCTGGAAGCACATCGGGTATTGCACCAGCGGACAACAGCACTGGCAGCGTACGGACGGGAGCTGGACATGTCAGGTGTTGTAGCGGTGGGCAGCGCAGCGGGTGAAGTGGATCTGCACTTCTTCCCTCTGCATGGCGACCACAGCACGCTGAACAGCCATATGCACGCAGCCGTAGTGGGGGTATATCCGAGCAGCGGGCGGGTGTGCCAGGCATTGGCGTTCAATCCTGGGCGCAGCGACATTCTGGCATGCGGATTCGACCATATGGATGGGCGCAGAAAGCCTGCACATTTACGACATTACGCGGACAGACGAGGTGCGGCAGATGCTGGGCTCGCAGTCGGCGCCGTGGTCAAGCTACAGCGGCAATGTGGAGTCAGTGTATGACGGGTCGCACATGTCGACACCGCTGAATGCAGGCGGCACGAGCGACAGGTACATTCCGGGGATGGCGGGGCAGGAGAGGGACGGCGAGTATGGGCCGGCGTACAGCGGGTCGGGGATCACATCGCTGTGCTGGACACCAGGGATCAACAGACAGCATTCCTGGTTGGGTCGCGCAAGACGCGGTGCTCGATCCGGCTCTGCGATCTGCGGTCGCGCAACGGCGGCGACACGTTCCTGTACATTGCGAATCCCGGAAACAGCTCGTCGGGGTGTGCGACAGCAGGGACGGTGTATGATCTGCAGTTTGACCCGTTCAACAATGCACGATATATGGCTCACGACCGGCAGGGGATCGTGAACATGTGGGATCTGCGGTGGGCCACGCAGGCGGTCCACCGGTTCGACATTGGGAGTGGGCCAGTAGCCAAGGTCGAGTTCTCACCGCGGCGATCCGGGTGCATTGGTGTCAAGGTGAGCGGGCGAGACACAATAGATCTGTTCAGCGTCAATGAATACAGCAGCGGCAAGGTGGCGGTGAGTCGAGGGCCGACAGCCGACGCATTCCAGGACGAAGCACGGCTCAAGGACCGGTACGACAGCGATCCAGCAGCGCAGATAGCATCGGCACCACCCAAGGGTCTGCACATCTGGACGCAACTCGAGGGGTCGACGCTGGCTGACAGCAGGCTGCTGCAGGGTCTGTTCCTGTGGGTGCCACCGGCGGCCAGCGCCAAGATAGCAAAGCGATACCAGCTGGCCACCATTGGCAGCGACGGAGAGCCGCATGCGTCGGTGCTGCCAATACCGCGGCCGGGTGCGTTCAGCTGCCGCGGGGCGCTGGCGGTGGCCAACAACTGGGCGGCGCTTGACGGGGTGCTGGCATCGAGCTTTGCGCAGCAGAAGATGCACCACATGGCGGTGGCAGAGATGCATGTGATCACGCCCACCACCGGGCGCTCGCCGCCCACCGCCAGCCGCAAGCCATCAGCACAAGCGGCGGCAGCGGCAGCTCCTCATGGGACCGCTGGCAGTCTGCTGGCGCGGCGACAGCAGGCAGCGCGGCAGCAGAGCCTGGATGGCAGGGACGCGGGCAGTGCACGACCAGCTCTCGGGGCTCAACCTGAACCTGGGCAACGCGGCGGCTCACACAACAAGCAGCTCGGCCAAGGTCACGTCGCCGCGCCTGTATGAGCGGCTTGCATCGGGGGCAGTGACGTTCAGTCCGGCGGTGGACGGGTGGGGGAACGAAGCGGCAGCGCTGGCCGACGACATATTGGTGCGGATGCGCCAGCGCGTGCTGCTGGGCTACGGCATTGGCGCCGAAGCCAACATACCGCGTAGTGCGTGGGCAGGCGGCGCTGCGGGACCTGTGGCAGTGGATCCGTGACGCAGAAATCCGGCGGCAGGACGGGACGCATTTTGCAGCGCCGCGCATGGACATCAGCTTCACGGGCGTCTATGCGCTGCTGCGGCTCAAGGACAAGCAGCTGGCGTACCTGCACGCGCAGTCGGCCAGTGCGGCAGCACGCGGGCGGCTGGTGATCCGGGACAGGTCCAAGATCAACGCGCAGCGGGCGCTGGCGCTGCAGTACTGCGGGTGGGGGCTGGAGGGAGCGTTGCGCGACCGCCATATCCGCGCGCTGGAGGCCCGTGGCGACTGGGCACGTGCGGCGGCCACGGCGTTTGTTTACGGCGACGATGCGCGGTGCCTGCAGGCGCTGGAGGCCAGCAGCCAGCAGGACCACAAGGTGCTGGCCTTCATGCTGCGGGCACGCGGCAGCCTGGGCGCCGGGGACGCTGGGGCCCTGCCGCCGGGTGACATGTATGCGTCGCCGCACCTGCAGCTGATCTTCACGTATCTGTTCACGCGTGACTGGGCTGCCGTTATCGCCGCCATGCACACGCTGCCGCTCAGCGACCGGCTCGCTGTCGCGCTGCGGCATCTGGACGACTCGGCGCTGCTGCGGATTCGTGCGCGACATGTACCGCCAGGCCGTGGTGCGTGGCGAGCCGGACGGGCTGCTGGTGACTGGGCTGGCTGGCCACGGACTACATGTGCTGCGCGCGTACGTGGACCGCACGGCTGACGTGCAGACCGCAGCACTGGCAGCAATCTTCGACATGGAGCCGGGCGTGGCGGCAGCGGAGCCGGCCGAGCGGTGGATCTACGCCTACCGCCATCTGCTCAACAAGTGGCGCATGTTCTCCACGCGCTGCCTGTTCGACATTGCGCAGGGCAGCTGGCGCACCGCTAAGGGTCTGCCGCGGGCCTCCAAGGTTGCGCTGGAGCTGGCCATGAACCCGACCGACGTGCGCTGCACCTTCTGCCACCAGAGCCTCAGCTACGCCGCCCCCAAGCCGCCGTCCGAGGGCGCGTCCTCGGCCTCCGCCGGACCCGGGATCGGCGGCCTACACGGTGGCAACAAGAACAGCGGCGCGCCGGGCCTCAATGCCGGGCCCGCCTGATGCTCGTATGTTGCGCCCGGCATCGTCCGGTAGTCAGCCAGTGTCTGCGCGATCGGCTGCGTCGGCTACGACGGTACCAGCGCTGCGGCGGAACCAGCAGGGGATGCAGACGCGGCTGGCGTATACGCACTGTCCGCGGTGCGGCAACAACCTGCCGCGGTGCATAGTGTGCCGGATGACGCTGGGCACTGCCATAGCTCCGTCCAGCATCGAGGCCGACTCGCGCAATTTCGGCGGCGACTTTGCCCAGTGGTTCTCGTGGTGCCAGACCTGTGGCCACGGCGGCCATGTCGCCCACATGCAGGGCTGGTTTGCCTCGCACCTGGAGTGCCCAGTGCCCGACTGCGCCTGCCAGTGCGACAAGCGGAGCTGAACCCAACATTTTTTGTTTGTTAGTTTGCTGGAGTCAGCTGGTTTAAATGAATCGTCCTCTTTCTTTCCCACATTTCCCCCTCCCCTTTGCGCTGCTGATGCACGCCGTGCATAGATTTTAGCTGGTGCCGCTGCTATCGTTAATCGTCTGCCATCTCTTATCGTCTGCCTGCTGACAGCTGCTGGATGACTAGTGCCTGAAGCGCCTCCACACCACGTTTCCGCCCAGTTTTCCTCCATTATTTTCTTTTTATGTCCACCGCTCATTCGAGTGAAGCGTTTGAAATGCTTCCACAGGACCAAACCCCCGTACCGAGCGCAGTAACCGCCCTCAGCGCAATTGCCCCGAATAATCGCCCGCCCACCACCGAGTACACGCGACTGAACAATGATGACGCTTCCGAGATGCCCGAAAAGCCCAATGCCTCGCGCCAATACACCTTCGGCCTGGTGTTTCTGCGGCGCCTTTACCACCTTTTCCGCGTGATGCTGTCGAAGCAGTCTCCAGAGCGCATTGGCCTGTGCTGCGTCGGCCTGGTAATTGGAAAGCTTCTGGCCGAAGTTGTGTTTTATTTCTCCGGCTCCCTGCCGTCGCACTTCTACAAAGTCCTGGGAGACAAGGATCAGAAAGCGTTCTACCCGCTACTATTGGAGTGCATCGGGATCGTGGTTCTGTCGGGCACCGCCAAAGCCTCATTGTTGTTTGTCAATGGCATATTGGGCGTGATGATGCGCAATGCGCTGACGCAGTTTACGCACGAGCAGTATGTAAAGGCACAGAGCTTCTATGCGCTGGTGAGCCAGGGCCAGATCGACAATCCCGACCAGCGCATCTCCCAGGACATCGAGAAGCTGTCGGCGAACCTGGCCGAGGTTCTGTCCGAGCTCCTGATCGCGCCCTTCCTGGTTCTCTACTACACCTACAAGTGCTTTGCCATATCGGGCGTATTTGGCCCGCTTTCCGTCTACCTGTACTTTATTCTGGGCGCTCTGGTGACGCGCCTTGGTGATGCCGCCGGTGATCAAGAACGTCTATGTACAGGAGAAGGAGGAGGGGAATTTCCGCTTCCAGCAGGTCAGGATTCGCGAGTTCGCCGAGTCCATTGCTTTCTATGGCGGCGAGGAGACCGAGCGCGAGATTGCAGACAAGGCCTTGCTTCAGGTGGTGGGTGCGCAGCGGCGTTTGGTGCGCAGCCAGTTCTGGGTCAACTTTGTCACCCAGCTGTTCTCGTATCTGGGCGCCACCGTCTCGTACATAATCATTGCCATTCCGATCTTCCTGGGTGCCTATGGCGACAAATCCGGCACTGAGCTCAGCAGCATTATCAGCATGAACGCATTCGTTTCGCTCTACCTGATCTACCGCTTCACGCTCGTCATCGAACAGGCCAAAAAGCTGACCGATGTCGCTGGATTCACCGCGCGTATTGTGCAAATGTGGGAGGAGCTCGACAGCATTGCCAGCAATGAAGGCGGCATTTGTGCGGCCCAGGGCGATGCCCAATCGGGGATCCAGGCTGTTGGCCTGGACGTCACTACCCCGAAGGGCCTGCCTCTGGTGGCCAATCTGTCGGTTGCGGTGGCCCCGCGCGATTCCCTGGTAATCACCGGCGCTAACGGCGTCGGTAAGACATCGGTTCTGCGTACACTCTGCGGGCTGTGGCCGCCATCCGCCGGCACAATCACCCTGCCGTACACAAACAACGCCCTGGACGTGTTCTTTTTACCGCAGACCCCCTACATAGTCGCCGGTAGCCTGCGCGAGCAACTGACATATCCGGGCGCCTGGGGCAATTCCCTGCGTGTGTGCTCCGACCAGGACCTGGCTAACTTGCTCGAGCTGGTTGGCTTGGCACACCTGCGCCTATTGCCGCATGATGAGCCGCATTCCGTGCAGTTCTGGCTCGGCACCCTGTCGCCGGGCGAGCAGCAGCGCGTGTCTATTGCAAGGGTGCTGTTCTGGCGTCCCAGATTTGCCGTACTGGATGAGTGCACGAGCTCGTTAGATCCTGGTGCCGAGGCGTCGCTCTACCAGGCCATGGTGGATTTGGATATCACCCTGGTGTCTGTTAGCCACCGTGAAGGCCTGTACCGTTTCCATCGCCGTCGGCTGGATCTGACTCGCGACGGATACACTATCACCGATATATAATCCTTTCATAAATGCTTTTCAACTATGTAAAATCCGTGTTTTAGTGATTGCTTGGCGCTGCTTGCAGTTGCTCAAGCACTTGACTGCGCGGCACTGTGGCAATGACAGGTGGTGCAGGCATGCCCGCCATGTCCAGCCCCGCGTTGCCTGCGCCATTGCCTGTGCGGCGAATCCCCTGCTTATCGCACATCTGCAGCATTTCCTCCGGCATCCTCAGTGTTCTCGCAAGCACATCCGGAGCCTCGACCACTGTCGCCTGCATGCCCCGTATCATATGGCTCACGACATGGCAATGCATGATCCAGACGCCCGGGTTATCTGCGCGCAAGCGCAGCTTGGTGTATGTGAACGCCGAGAGCTCCACTGTATCGCGGGCAATCGGGAACGGGCTGGCGACCTTGCGTTGCGGCGGCACTGGAGTAACAAACGACGTGTTATGCGGGCTAAAGTACGGCCCCGGGGTTGGCCCGTATTCAGCAATCTGGAGCACATGTCCGTGGATGTGCATCGGGTGGTCGCGGTCCGTCGGGTTGATGATATTGAACTCAATGTACTCCATGTGGTTCAACACGATTGCGTTCGTTTGCGGTCCGTATGCAACCGGGTTATGCGCCAGGTCTCCCAGGGATAGCGCCGAGAGCAGGGTCGGGATTTTGGGCTCAATGTAGGTGATATTGTTGACGGAGGCTAGTGTCTCTCCGCTAGTATACAGATGATCAGCAACAACCAGGTCGATGGTGCGGTCGACTGGCAGCAGTGGCGTGCGGTCCTTGTTTGACAATTCAATATCATCAATCACTCTTTCCTGTGCCCGTCCACGCCACAGTCTGGACTGGGGCGCCATGCTTGTATTCGACCAGACCAAGGTACACGCGTGGGTTGACTTGCAGAACCATCAATTCAAGGCCGATATACACTGTGGCGTTGTAGTAGTAGTTGAACTCGTTGGAGTTCTTTGCCGTCACCAGTGCTGAGTACCGCTGGCCCGGAGTCAGGTCCAGGATATCTACCGCATGCGGCAGAGAGTAAATACCATCCGCCTCGATGACATTGAGCGTGTGGCCGGGAATGCTGAACTGGAAGTTCTCGGTAGTAGACATGTTAATGACACGGACACGGTATGTCTTGCCAGGCGCAAATGCAACGGGCTGGGCAGCATTGCCGCTGTAGCCGTTTATCAGCGCCGTCGGAAACGAGGGCTTGGGCGGGAAGTCCTTGGTAGGGTCCATAATCTCCGCATGTCTCTCTGCAAATTCCTTGGAATACCAGTCCTCGAGCGCAAACGTGTATTCGTCGTCATACTCGTACGGCTTCACTTTGTCCCTGACAATCAGTGGTGCACGCAATCCGTCGGAATTCTGCGCTTGCGCGTGGCCGTGGAGCCAAAACGTCCCAGTCTGCGTGATCTGGTATTCATATGTGAACGACTCGCCCGGCGGGATGCCGCATTCGGTGACCATCAGCGGGCCGTCCATGTAGTTGGTGCCGTTCTGGAATATCCCGTGGCTGTGGACTGATGTCGGCTGGTCAAGCGAGTTGTGGACGTTTAGAACCAGCGTGTCGTCGACTGTCATTTCGATAGGCGGGATGGGCACCTGCCCGTTGACGCCGATGCAGCGTCGCATCCTGACGCCGTCGCGATTGGCCATCACGTAGCCCACGTCCCAGTTGACAACAACACGGGCCGCTAGGGCGATAGGGAGGACGGCTAGAAAGTTGAGAAGCATTTTGCGTCTATATTGAAGATGGAAAGCATCAAAACCCTAGATGGAAACGAGCAAAGCAGTCATCGGATGTAGTGAAGTGGGGTTTTACCAGTTATATTGCCCAACTGGATGTTTGGTTTTTTATGCTGCTGACAGACAGTCACTTTTAGCCTGCTGTGCCAATCTGCGGCTTGGGCATAGGAAAGAAAGATTGTTGATGATACTCATATGCCGAAATAGCACCATGTAGCTGATAAGCCACATAAGCCAGCACTATGCGTCTCCCACAGCGAGACTCCCATGGGTGATAGTCAACAGTAATTCGGTGTGTGAATCAATGCACATTGACCATGGCGTACTCCCAACACGCATTTTTCTGATTGACACGAGCTCCACATTGTGTTCTGCTAGCGTAGAGCCCGGAACCTGCCGCTGCACAGTTGTCAGTGTAGAGGCAGATTGTTTGTGCTACTTTGCCAATGAACTCTACCCTGCACTTGCAGCCTCAGCATGAACCCACCATCCCTAAACCTAGGCTACATATGCACACATGGTATTTTCGCCTCCCTTCCTGCCATCGCCGACAGCCCTCTCGGCCGAGCTGTAGTTGGCGGGCATTCCAGCCGGTATTCACATGACCCGGGCCAAGGTACTCCTTTATTCTTGCTTAGCGAAATGCTGCCGCGTGCCATGGGGCCGTACGGCCATGAAAATCGCTTGTGTTTAAGCAACAACTGCGTCTTGCTAAAACGCAAGGGCTTTTTTCCGTGCGTTGGTAAAAAGCAGGGGAGGGATTTGAAATCACCGATGTCTTCCCCCAAAAAAGTGGCCCAGCGCAGACTCGCGGCCCGAGCCTGACACGAGCACTCTGCCACCAATTTCCAGGCCGTCTCCCTTCTGTGAAATGCAGCTACGCAGAACGGCCAATTCTCACCGCCTCCCCTCCTTCTCTTCCCTCAGCCGTCCTTCTGAATACATTTTCTTCGCCTCTTTCGCCTCCAGCAATTACCCAGGCCGCTTGTTTGTGCTTCTCCATCGGCCCTTCCTACTGCTTTTTAAAGCCCGCACAACACTCCGCCTCACTTGCCCGTGTGCTTTCCCGAAAAAAAAAAAACGCAACAGTCCCACAAATCCCTCCCTGGTCTTGCAGGCGTGTGGAGGACAACGGACCGCCACAGCAGTCCCGCACCGACAGAATAGTAGAGGCCTGGCAGGAGGCCCGTCCTGAGCCAAGCCAGCCTTCTTTTCTCTCATTTTTTGCGCACTATTTCAATTGTGGTGTTTTTTTTATTGTAGGTGCTATTGTACAGCCAGTATTCTCTAATGCGACCGCGGGCAGCGACATACTACGAAGGGCGGGCACAGCGCGAGGTGCCACGCACCAGGGGCGACATGGAGCGTGCTCTGTCCCACCGGCGCAACGCGCCCGCCTCGTTCAACGCAATGGTGGTTGGGCGTGTGGGAGTGGGAAAATCGACGCTCCTGCAGACCCTGTGTGACTCGTTCTACAGCATCCGCCTGAACTCCCTGGAAGACATGGGGTGCGGGCCCATTTTCGACAACCAGCGTGACTGCGACAAGTCCAAAGAGGTCACAATCGACCCCTTTTGCCTATTCAACACGACGCGGCCCACGGAGGACTTCCGCCACTGCAAGATCGTGACTAGCGATGTCGACAATATGAACAAGATTAATGTCGAGCTCATCGACACACCAGGCATCGACAGCCAGGATTTGGCCAAGGCGCGCCAGCAGGTCAACAAAATCCAGTGGGCGATCGAGCAAAGGCTGCAGGCCACTGTCCAGGATGAAATACAGGCGCGGCGCAGCAAGCATACGCGGAATCGCCACATTCACGCCATCATCTACATGCTGGCACCGCCCGTCCATGAAAGCGCCTTCAAGAAGCCGCACTCACCGCATCCTGAATCTGCCATGGATTTGGTGACCAAGACTGACCTCATGGCTATCACTCAGCTGGGCCAATTTGCCAACATCATTCTGGTCTTTGGCAAGTGCGACACAATTGACAGGCATACCAAGGAGGCTATCCGAAAGGGCTCGTTCTTCCGCCAGCTAAGAGAGCGTGTCGAGCCTGCCAAGCTGTTTGACTTCACTGATCATCGGACGCTTCCTGTCGATGAGGCCCAGGATGTGGCCAACTTCCGCGAGTACATCATTGACCGCCTCCCGTTGATGGTATGCGGCAGCAGCCATGTCACCGAGTGGCAGAAGATGCGTCTCCCCGATTTCATGGCTCCCAAGTTGACGGGCTTGCTGGACTGGCGCTACCTCGACCACCATCTCAACTCCCCGCGGTTCTCCGAGTCGGCAATTGCCGAGAATACGCTTGGTCCATTTGGCTCCGACGTAAGCGAGGTGTCTATCAGCAACGGCAGCATCGTAGGCAATGGCCATGGGCCCGGTCGCGGGCTTGCCTACGCTGCCATACAGGCGACCCCCGACGCATCAATGATCTCGCTGCGCTCGCAGTACTCGCTGCCCCGCAACACGAAACACAGTTCCAATCAAGCGCTATGCACAGCGGCGCAATATCGCGCTGGTCCGCGAGTTCGGCTGGGGTGTCCTGCAGCTGACCAACCCGGACCACTGCAATTTCTCGCTCCTCCACGACATCCTGTTCAAGTCGTACCGCGAGGCGCTTGAGACATGGACCAACGAGTATTTCTACGAAAACTACCGCATGAGCAGGCTGGCTTCGAACCCCGACATCTCTCAGTGGAGCAGGGCGCAGCAGATGATCTTCCAGCAGGAGCTGGAGGCCAAGCACACTGCGTTGCCACTAGACCCACCTGGCGCATGCACTGGCGACCAAGCATGCAATGTCGCTATTGCTAGCTCATACCCGAACACGGCCATGAGCGGCGCCAACATGCTAAGCGCGAACACGAGCCCATCAAAGGACGGGGCGAATGGCCAGCCGCAGTTCAACTTCTCGATTCCGTTTCCACCGCCAGGCGGGTTCTCGCCGTTCAGCTATAGGTGGCAAGACACCATCGCAAGCCGCAGACTTTTCGTTCACCAAAGATAGGGACCAGCGCGTGTCTGATGCAACCACCTTGACGTCACGCACTGCGCACCTTAGTGTCGGCAAAGATGTGTCGGACACAATGTCCGATAGGAGAAGCAGTAGCGTTTCCTCGTCTCTTAGACGGAACCGCTACGCCGTCACCACCAGCACACAGCCTGTTATATTTTAATCATATCATTACCTAGCCACTGTTCATATAACACTTTAACATGTCCAGACAACTCTGCAGTCTTTCCATCTCAAGTATACACAATGTCCTATTTGGCTCACACATGTGTACTGCTTTGAGCATTAGCAGATGTTGCTGCCACGCTGGCCGGGTCCATACTAGGGTGCTCGTGTCCATCCACAGGCTCACCGGCTACCTGGGGGCTGTCTTTGGCGACTCTAGTCTCGCGTCTTGCCCCCCGCATTGCAAAATTGCGGCTAGCCATGCACTCGCGCACAAACGCCATCGCCTCCTGCCTTTGGCTATATGAGAACCCGTTGCGCTCTTCGTCGATCCAGGCGTACACCACATCTTCGTACTGCACCAGCGCACCAGTGCGCGCCAGAGCCCGCGCCAGCGCCATAAATACAAACGGCGACATCGTCAATGTCCGCACGCGCTCCTGGAACATGTAGATGTCTTCCCACACCCGCAACAACGCCGTCTGGTCGCCAAGCTCGCCGATCGCCTCCAGGACACACACCAGCACGTTGCGATGCCACACAAGCTCATTGCGCTCAATAAATCCGTCAATGAACTGCTCGGGGTGCTGCAGCGAGCCCCCTTGCGCACAAGACTCGCTGTGCCCAGGGCCTCTTGTGCCCATACCGCCGTGTGTAGTGGTGTCGTCGATATTCACCGCCTGCTGCTCGATGCTGGATTTTTTCGCTTGCGCAACTAGCGCCTCATGCACGACGCTGTACCAGCGCAGCACCATCTCGTAGTTGCCCGTCCGCGTGAATGCCTCCAGCGCTGCTGACACAACAATGTATGTATATGGAATGTTGCGCGCCGCCATAGTTGCCAGAATCTTGTCACATACCTCGATCTGGCCCTGCTTGGCGAACCCGAGCAATATACGTTTCCAGGCCGTGTGCGGAATGACATGCCCGTCGTCTTCCATCAAGTTCAGGTACTTTTCGACTGTCGCCCAGTCGCCACGCACTGCCAGCAGCCCCAGCAGCGAGCTGTACATTGACAGCGTCGGCCATAGGCCCATGGTCGTTCCGCACATACTCAAATACTGCTACTGCCTCGTCGGCAAACCGAATCTTGCTCAGCCCACGCAAGAGCAGCTCGTATTTTTGCGCCGTCTGCAGAGCCAGCGGCTCCTTGGCCAACTCCTCAGCATTTGTCGTGGCGGCTGCGACCTCAAAGGCCTCGTTGGCCATTCCATTGATCGCCAGTCCGTACACCATGACTCTCTCGGCCCAGTACCCAGGCCTGACACCTGCCCACTGCCGCGACAGCACCTTCTGGTATGTATTCACTGCGATATCCACCTTGCCAGTGTGCAACGCAATCTTCATTGCCAGCTGGACGTTGGTTTGCGACGGGGCAAAGTTTGGTAGCTCTACAAGTGCCACCCACAGATTGCACGCCAGCTGCCGGTCCGCACGGCAGCCCTGAAGCTCTGTGAGCAATGCAGTCATGGTCATCGATCCAATCTGGGCTGGCCTCAGACACAGCCCAAACACACCCTCGCGCAGTCTGTCGTCCTGGCCCAGATGCATATACGCGCACAGCATCAGCTCCTCCACACTCTGAATGCTGCTTGCACGCAGCACCCGCAGCGATTTTGTCATCCACTCCATGCTGCGCGTGTCCTTCAAGTCGTGGCACTGGCTTAGCAGCATCCAAGGCGTGCGCGAATTCAGCGGCAGCTTCGGGACCACCTTTCTATACAGGTCAATTGCCCGCGGTAGCGTATCAGGGCTCTGTGCTAACTGCATAATCTCCCCTTCCCGCTCGCTGACCCAGCTGGCGGTTGAGTAGTTGCTGCGGTACTTTGTCGAGTCGTCCAGGCGCAGCATCGGCACGTAGCTGGTAACCCGACCAGAGGGCGAGTATGTTAGCAGCGAGTGGATTGTCCGCCCCCAGAGTGTTAAAATCGTTATCGGAACCACTGGCAGCGACCCATGCGCCCGAGACATGCGAATACTGGTGAATTGTCGGCATTGTGTGGCGAGCGACAGTGTCAGAATGTTGCTGCTGAGTGGGTCGATAGGCGACGCTACTGCCGCATGCCACCCGCCACGATACCTTGAACTGCCTCTAAAGCATACATATCCGGGCCGGTTGGAACGAGTGCCTTTTAATGTGTCCATCGACGCATTAGAAAACTGAACAAAGTTTGAATTGGCGAAGGGCTGAAAAGAGGGCGAGCGCCGCAAAGGCTGGAGTGAAAATCATTTTCAGGAGCCGATAAGAGTAGTCTCGATCGCGGCTCGGTTAGCACCAGCCGGCTCGGTATGGCGCAATATTACAAGAAGCATTGACAGTGTTGAACCTAAAAAAAAATGAAGCCACTGGGTGGCGCTGTGCAGTAGCTGCCTGGGATAGGAAGGCGTCCAAACACCGAGGTCGGTTTTCTTTACTCTTCAGCGTTTTCACGCATTTATTTTACTACTCGCAGTACGCTAAGGATGCCTCTCCAAGTAGGAACGTGGGTCTGTATTCAAAGCAGATCAAGAGAGGGCTACATTTTGTATGTGTCGTCTGCCTTCCGAGATATCCTGGGCTATAATCCAGTTGAAGCCATTGGGAAGCCAGCAAGCCAGTTTCTCGACAGTGACGACTTTGTCGTGTACAACGACTTGTACTTGTCGGGTACTCCGGACAACATCGTGATTGGGCTACATATCTCTTATGTGGCTGGATGGGACCCGGTTATATCTTCAGAACCATCACGTTTTTCTGCGGTGAAATCAACTTCCATGTTGTTTCCTACAACCCACAGACTTATCAATATGGCATCCATGGAGAGGGCTCGGACTAGACGGTTCAATTTCTCGGGCAGTGATGGCAATATGCAGGCGACGCTAGAGCAGATTCAGCAAGCAATTGACTGCAATCATGACGATCACCATGACACTGCAGAGGCGCAGCACCAGCCAGAAAGGCGTCGTCTGACCACACGTTCCAAGCATGCCAAGCATGCTTAGTTCTTGACCTGGTCAGTCGACTGCGCGAGCCTATGCCCCTTGGCCCAAATGTAATCTTCGCAACAAACAGCATCGAGCAGATCATCGGGGTTGAGGCAACAGAGTTCCAGGGCTTGCCATTCCTCTCTGCTGTTGCACCCGCAGATGTCACAAAGGCAGGCGAGTTCTTGCAGAATATCTCGACAAGCAATGCAATTGCATTTGTTACAATTCAGCTGTTGCAAAATCCGTTCTCGGAAGAGAGTCCAGATGGCTCACGGCAGGTGGAGGTTGAAATCATGGGTGCCGGATACGATGACGGTGCAATCCTACTCTGTCAGCCAGTGCAGCAGCACAGACTCGGTGACACGCAGCCATTCGCAGGCCATGCAGCAAACTACGATGACGACACTGGCTATCTCAGCCTGGAGGAGCTCATATCGACCGATGCCGAGACAAGCGGAGTTGATGCTACCTGGCATGACGCCTAGCTCAACTGAGCGCTGGAAATAACCATTGGGCAAGGCAGTAATGATTTACACGAGAATCTATTTGAATCCTCCAAAAATACGATAAAAGGGACTTCACATAAATAGGCGTGTCTGTTGGGCGAGTCGGCTGCGACCACTATCCCTAGTCCCCACTCTCCGAGTTGTCACCTATATCTCTCAGGCATGTGGCGGACTTGCAGAATGCGCCTGGCCGTCATGAGATCTGGAGCGGACCTGATGTCTTTATTACTAGGGGAGCAATTGTCAAGTTCCCGCCTGCTTGTGGCACCCGCTATGTCTGCTGATCCACCATTATTCAGAGAGTGGAAAACGCTGAGCAAAATGGTAAAAATAGGGCTTGCCGCGCTTGCACTAAAAATGGATCGGACCTTCGTCTTCCCCGTGCAGATGGCGACAGAGATTTCTCGGGAACGGACAACTCGGAGGAGCCCCTCAAGATCCATCGCAAGGGTATAAAAGGCGCGAGCTGCCTGGCTGTTCTCTTGCAAAAACACTCAACATTGTCAACACTAACACAGCTGTTCGCAAGGTCTTTCTTCCATACATTTTCACCTACAACATTTCTTAAGCTGCTCACAAATGGCTCGCGTTTCCTGCAACCATCCTCCTCGTCTCTGCGCTTGGCATGGTGGCCAGTGGTGCCCAGTGCTCAGGCAACGAATCCATGTGCCCCAACGGTGTGGACGGCGTCTCTCCTACCTACCTCCAGTGCGACAGCTGGAGCGGAACCTTGGCAGACCCAGACCTGTACCGCTGGCCAGGTCTGCTATGCAAACCCGAAAGATCCGAAGGGCACCATGTGTGGCGCCCCTGGTGGCAGTGGAACTCCCAGCAACCCCCCTACTCCTCCTCGTCAGTGCTCAGGTAATGAGATGATGTGCCCTAACCATGCCGATGGTGTATCTAACATCTACCTCCAGTGCGACAACGAGAGCGGAACCTGGCAGACTAAGACCTGCACCACTGGCCAAGTCTGTTTCGCTAACCCGAAGGATCCCAAGGGCACCATGTGTGGTGTGCCAACTGGCAGTGGAGGCCAGAGTGCTACTCCGACTCCTAGCAGCACCCCCGCTCCTAGTAGCACCCCCGCACCTCCTCGTCCAGTGCTCTGGTGACGAGATGATGTGCCCTAACCATGCTGACGGCGTCTCTTCTACCTACCTTCCAGTGCGACCGCTGGAGTGGCACGTGGCAAGACCAAGACCTGCACTAGCTGGCCAGGTCTGCTACGCCAACCCAAGCGACCCCAAGGGCACTGTTTGTGGTGCTCCCAGCGGCAACCCTGGCAACGGTACCAACACCCCTCGTGAGTGCTCTGGCTGACGAGATGATGTGCCCTAACCATGCTGGACGGCGTCTCTTCTACCTACCTCCAGTGCGACCGCTGGAGCGGCAAGTGGCAGACCAAGACCTGCACTGCTGGCCAGGTTTGCTACGCCAACCCGGGCGATCCCAAGGGCGTTGTCTGCGGATTCCCTGGCAACGCTGTCAAGAGGGATAATGTCGCGGCAGGCAGCAAGGCAGGAGCCCCCAGTGCTCTGGCAACCAGTCGATGTGCCCTAACCATGCTGACGGTGTTTCGACCACCTACCTCCAGTGCGACAGCTGGAGCGGCACGTGGCAGACCCAATCCTGCACCAACGGTCCAGGTCTGCTACGCCAACCCGAAGAAGCCCAACACTACCATGTGCGGCGCACCCAACAATGGCAGCAACCCTGGTGCTGGAAAGTGCACTGGAAACACTGCCAAGTGCCTGGCTCCTGGCAAGACTGGTGATTTCGTGCAGTGCGAGAGCTGGAGTGGCCAGTTCATTAACCAGAGCTGCCCAGCTGGTCTCAAGTGCAACAGCAACAACGCTGGCACTGGTGTATACTGTGCCTAGGCCATATGGGAATGATTTCCTCTAAATACCCTTTACTATTTCCTGCTAGAAACCAGAATAAATTATCATAGTAGAAAACTTAAAAACATGTCAATGCAAATGTGATAATAACGTCTGTGATAGCATCCAGCAGGTGAATATCTAATGTCCAGCATAAAACAAAATCAATTCGTCTAGCGTACACGGGCTATATTGACAATTCTGACCCGGGTGCTAATTTGAAGGTTAATGAATACTAGTCAGTTGGTTACCTACACTGTCGATAACACTACAATGTCCATACAGATACAATCCTGATGATGGTATTGCTTCGCCATTGTAACATAGGCTTCAGCAGATATATTTGCTCCTAGAATATATATATATATATATATATATTTCTGGTTGTGACAATGGCAACAAATATTCTACAGGTATCTCATGGTGTTGCACGGTCGGTGATGGCCACCATGGTGATGCCATGAAAGTTATCCAGGTCGACCGACAGCGAGAGCAGCCCTCACACTGAACCAATGGAGATATCCAAGGGACCTGTGACCACTACAATCACAGCTTGTCCCTCTGGTTTCATTGATGAGGTCAGATCCTGTGCAGCAGCGAACTCTTCAAAAGTGGCCAGCGCGTGGTATTAGTAGCTTTCCATTTTCCTATCCTTTTTCTTTAGCTTTGAAATCAGTACACACCTTAAATCCCCTAGTAGCACAACAATAGCAACTATCATTTATTTACATATTCTGCTATTTTTGTATCCTTCGCCTCTTGTTTTTCAAGTATTAGCATATTCACGCCTCAATTCCACCAATATATTTTGCATATATTCTCAATACACATTCGCATATTGATCCCCATTTGCGCGTTCATTCCATTTGCAACATTCCATTGATAAGTTGGAAGGCCTGTGATAAAATATTCTTTGCTTGTCTCGTGCGAATCATGAGTGAACGATTCAGAAAAGCAGCACAATACACTGAATATTTTCACTATCGGCTATTTTCTGGAACTGCATTCGTTAACAGAAAAAGTAGCGAACCCAGTGCAGTGTATACTTGAACAAAACCGAAATATAAATACCACAAACGCTCATATCTCTGCAATAATATAGGCAAGGCAATCGGTTTCAAACCCTCAGGCCTATATCACACAAGCATAGCAAACATTTTCTTCAATGATTGACATTAGCGCACTCTTCTCTGTCAAGGACAGGTCATTTGTCATTACTGGTGGGGGCTCTGGCCTTGGCCGTATGATGGCTGAGGGTCTGGTTTCGGCAGGCGCCCGTGTCTACATAACCAGTCGCAATGAAGAGGTACTCAAAGAAACCGCTGCAGTCTTTGACTGCTGATGGGCCTGGAACATGCAGCTATATTGCATGTAATATTACTGATGCCAAGCAGGTACATGCACTTAGCCAGAAAGTTTCAGATCTCGAACCAAACGGCTTGCATGCATTAATCAATAACTCTGGAGTCATTCATTATGCAGATTTTGAAAACCATTCCCGATGAAGGAGTTTCAAAATATTCTCAAGATCAACCTTTTCAGCCCGTTTTTGCTCGCCAAAGCTTTTTCTGCCGTTGCTAAAGAGAGCAGCTACGAAAGAGCGCCCTACGCGCATTGTGAATATTGCTAGCATTGCTGGGCATGTGGCCCCAAACCTAGCTATTCCAGGATATGCTGCTTCCAAGGCTGCACTGGTTCATATGACAAAGGATATGGCGCAGAAGTTCGCTGAATACAACATTAATGTTAACTCAATCTCTCCAGGGTTTTTTGACTCGAAGCTTATGAGGACAGTTGTTCCGGATGAGGAGCTTGGCAGAACTTTTGAAAACAATTCCGATGCATAAGCTTGGATCGCCAGGTGACATGGCTGGAACTATTCTATTCCTCTCATCAGATGCCAGCGCGTTCTTAACAGGCTCTGATATTGTGGTTGATGGCGGGTACATTATCAAGGCATAGCATGGATCGGTGTAGCTTGGACCCAAGGTTTAGTGTTCACATTGTTGGTCCGGATTAGGAAGGGAATAAAAGTAGTTTTAACATGAGAATCATTGGAATAGATGTGTATTTCATACAACCACTGCTTCTCTAGATATATTGCACATCTAGCGATTTACAATCGCCAATAGCTTTTCCCATTTAACTGCCATACACAAGAATATGTGCAATTACAGAAGCAGGCGTGTTGATATCAGTGCTAAACTATGCTCTGGTGCCAATAATGGCAACTGATTTGTGATAAGGTACAATGAAATACATTTTACAAGATTCAGTTAAGATGATCCCCCTTCGCAGCATATTAATATATGTGGTGTCAAGTGCCTTTCTTCTGTCAGCACTCATCATAACCCTACAAAATATACTTAAATAATACGGTGCGTGCCTAAAACGACCTTGGTCAAATGTCAGGGAAGAGGAAACTAGGTAGCGTGTTCTCCAAGTGATGGATTATAAACGTGCTGATAAAACCAAAATTAAGCGTTCACAAAAATATATTGGAAAAACCAGGAGGAATCCCCTGCTGCTAGGAGCCAGTCAGGGGTATTTAAGCAAGCGCCGTGTGCGCATACTGAGCCCTCATCTAAGCTGCGTACGGTCCTGGATAAAGCTGTGCCACTCTCAGTGAGTAATCCGCCTTGGGTGAGTCGGAACCACCCTAGCGGCATGACAGATATGGCATAGGCTCGCTTGGGCGCATATTTCTTTCTGAAGACTCACTCGATGAACTCCTCGCCGACATAGAGTACAGGCAGTGTCATAGTTTCACACAAGTACTAGACAAGTTACCAGAAGGAATTAGAATATGCATCTGCTTTTCGTTCACAATAGCAAAGTCATCGCTGATGGCCGATGTCAGCATGTTCGTATTCTGGCGAAGCAACTTCACCGCGTGCCATTCGTTTCCGGTTGCATTATTGACAACTACACCGTTGTGTGCTTGTGTAAATGGAGATACAAACACGCCCATATAGTTGTTAACAAAGCGCACGCCGATTATATAATTGACATGTGCGCCTGAGAAACACGATCCCGCTTCAGGAACGACCGTGTCTGACTGTATAACTTCAAACGAACTCGTGTCGATGAATAGCCTGGCAGCCATCTGCTCAGCATGGACAACTAGGCAGGCTATGTGTCCGGTTCCTGGAACTCCCTTGAAACCGACACCACGGAAGCTGCGAAAAATTGTGTTGGCGAAGATACTGGGGATACAAGTGGCACAAAATCTGGCGGTTGGGAATATCATAAATGATGATGCTTCCGTCGGTCAGCAGAGCTGCCAGGTGCCTCTTTGAAATGAACTTGACAATGCGCATCTAGGACAACGAGAGAACTGTCAGTGTGCATAGCAGCCTGTGGGTTGTGTACGGTGCATGGTTTCCTCTACTTGCCTTAGTTTCGTTGCGCAGAATGGCCACTGTTTTTACCTGGGTGTTTGCTAGATCCATCGCCACATCCAGCGGGTATGAATAGACCGTCGCCACATTCGCACCGCTATCCAATACAACAAACTGGTCAGCCAATATGTCAATGCCCCTGATTGTGCTGTTTGTCCGGCGAATCGACAGCATGCACTTTTTGTCTTCTGGCGAGAATACCAGGTATATGGCGCAAAAGAGTAGAACAAATAACCAGCCCCGACTCTGCGCATATCGCCAGGCGAAGAGCAGTGGATGGGGTTGCGAAACAGGACGGCCCACCGATACTATCCTCATTCCACCGCCCACACTCGGAGCATCTCTCCACTACATACAGCAGCCCACCTGCCGCTGCACGCCACTGCTCCGGGCATCGATACGTCAGCACCCTGGAGGCACCTGCACTTTCCCTCCTCCATGCCAAGTCGCGCCGATTCAGCCAATGAAAGATGGCCGACGTATCGTGCATGAGTGACGGCGGTGGGTGGCTGTCAGCCATGTGCCGCTTGACAGCTTGGTGTAGAACTCTGTTTGAGTGAACAAGGTTGTACCAGCCGCGAGAAACCTGGGTGCAGGTGCGCATATCCGCAAGGTCCAGGTATGAGAGCGTGTGGGTGGATATCACTTCGGGTATGCTTAGTAGTATGTCGAATTTCTCTCCCGAGGACCTAAGCAGCAGTTTCTTAGCCTTGGCGGTCTCGTACAGCGACAGCGACCCAAGTATATCTCTTAAACTACAAAGCATATATATCTCATAAGCGCCAATTTGCAGAAGTGATGTCTGCAGCACCAGCAGGGTCAGGAGCACTTGCCATTCAAGTCTGTCGACCTGCGACAGATGAGCGAACCGAGACGCCAACTCATGCATGGCTGGGACAAGCAAGTGGGAAAGAATATGTGCTAATCAGGATGAATGTTGTGTGGCAAAAGATGATACATTAGATAATTGATTCTACGAATACAAGAAAATCAGGAATGAAACGAGTACAATGGGAGCTGGCATGCTAAGTCATACACAGCAATCGCCGAAGCATGCACCCGACCGATACCCTCCGTCTCTGCTGGCGCGCGTTCTCCCAGTCCTCCTCGACATCCAGGCTCTGGAGCCTTATCGGGTCTCCGTGTTTTGACAGCCTCGGCTCCGCAGCATTCATTTGCGGCATGCTTCTGCTGAACCAAACGTCATAGCACATTTTGGTCAGCATCCTGAACGCCGAAGCGACATTCCTGCCTGTCTTTGCACTGACATCAATCCACTCCACGTCCTGGTTACCCAGGTAGACACGCACAAAAGTCCATCGCCTCCTTTTCTCCAACCTCGCTGCTGCAGTCGCTTTTGTTTTGCACCAGCAGGACAGGCACTGGGCGCGCCTGGCTGCTGACCACGCGGTTCACCAGCGCCGCGTGCCGCTCGAGCGCGTAGAGTGAGGAGGCATTGCTGGCGTCGTATACTAGGGCGATGCCGTCGGCGTCCATGCAGAGCGAGGTGGCTACGGTGAGATCGCGTGCGCTGCCGTCGGTGTCCCAGAGCTGGACGGCGGTGAGCGTGGAGTCGAGGGATACGTAGGTGGCGATAAAGTCGGGGGTGGTTGTGCGCGTGTATGACTGCGAGAAGGTGTTGTAGAGAAAGTGGCTGCGCAGCGAGCTTTTGCCGGAGCCAGCGTCGCCAAGCAGGACTATTTTAAATACTTTTGTCCATTGCGATGAAGACTGGGAATAAAAAATTTGCAGAGCAGAGGAAGGTCTGTTTACTGGATTTTCCTGCCTGCTGCCAACTCCAGCGCGCCTCCTGTTCTTGAACTCTTGGCAGATGCGATGTCACACTCCATTGCCAGACCACACAGAACGTGACCACCTCTCCCCATCCCCGGCGGTATTGGGCGCAGCCTCAGCATTCGCACTACTGCATTCATCGTTGAACACTGAAAAGGACTACAGGAAGTGGTCAGGAATCGTCGTCTGCAGCTTGTGCCCCTGAGGCGCGCCAGGCAGTGCCGGTACGCCTTCTGCCGCCATTGCGCCTAGACGGTGCCTTGGCCACAAAGGTCGCGCCTGGCACACCTGCTGGCTGCGGCGCCGCAGCACTGGTCGCTCTGGCCCTGCGTGCAGCCTGCTCGCGCATGCCTTGCATCCTCTGCTCCTCCAGGATCGCGCTGCTCGTAGTTGAGCACAATCTTCTTCAGGTTCTGCTTCTCGCGCATCGTCGCCTGCTCGTGAATCCGCAGGTTGCGTGCAATCGCCGACTCGACAGGGATGTCGACTGCGCGGACAACCGGCCGCTGCTTCTTGCCAGTCAGCAGCGCAAAGCGGATGGCATTGTCGGCTGGCTCGCCCTCGTCCGAGTCGTCGCTGTTCTGGCGCAAGGTCGCTGGTGGTGGTCTTGCCGAGCAGATGCATGGGGATGCCCACGTCCAGCTTGCCAGTCCGCTCGTTGGTGCGCTGGTCAGACGAGTCGACCATGAGCCGCATGAATTCATGTTCCAAACGATCCTCCTCTTCCTTCTCCAGCAGCCGCTTCAGATCCTCCATCTGCCGCCGTGCTTCCTCCATCTCAGGCCTCCTCGTCGGCCTCGGTGCGCTGATGAACCGGCCCATCGATATACTCGCTGTCGCTGTCGCTGATCGCTGGCGCCCAGGTCCTCGTCCTCTTCTTCCTCTTCCTCCTCTTCCTCCTCGTAGGCTGCAGCGGCAGCCTGGTCGTTGGCACTCTGTGTCTGCGGTGCCTGCACCTCGCTATTGGTACGCATCGACTTGGTTTGAACCAGCGCCTCCATGGCCTGCGCAGCCTCCTCCCACGTCGCGAATCGCTGCACCTTGCGGAGTCCTGCCTCAAACGTCTGATCGACTGTGTATCCAATGTCGATCGGTAACGGCTGCTGCTTGGCTAGAATGTACATCTGGAAATAAACCGAGAACTCCTCAATCGCGCGCTGTGCTTCTGCGCCCTTGATGAAGTTGCGCGTGGCAATTAGCAGCGTGCAAATGAGACGGATCCGGAAGTGGTCGTCAAAAGCGTCGATTTCGCAGCTTCGCCCAGGCACCGGGTGCGGCTCGTGGTGCCCATAGCGTGTCAGCATATACAGCGATGCTGAGCAGCATCTTGTCATCAATCAGACGGCACAGGAACATTTGGCCTACGTACCGAATCTCAGCGATCCGTCGCTGGTTGTGCACAAAGAGATTGCGCTCCAACCCCACCTTGATGTTCTCCAAGACCGTGTCAACGATCGTGACACGGAGCCACGGATGATAGACGTGCAGCTCCACGAGCAACTAGCACTACCAGTGGCATCTGTGCGTGATTCACCTTCCAGATCTTGGTGAAGCAGTTCACTAGTGCCAGCTTCACGCGCTGCGGGTCCTGGTCAGAGGTGTCGTTCCACGGCAGCCTGCGCAGTCGCTTGGCCACATCAGCCAAGGTGCCTGTCGACAGGTCCTCGTAGATCAACTTGCGGATGTACCGCTCATACGGTGTGCGGAACTTGCTCACCACCATTCCCTGCGTGTCTCCTGGCTGGCACAGACGGCACGCATTGTCAATGAGCAGGCTGATGCGATCGTCGAGATCCAGCACCCTACGTTTGCGCCTTAGAATGTCCAGGATGTTCTCAATGCGGCCTGCAGTCTCGACCTGCGCCAGCAGGAACCGTCCGCAGTTATCGAGCAGCGAGCAAAGCACCTCAATATTCAGCGCATTGAACTGCTCGAGCAGCGACTTGCCACACCGAAACGCCACGTGCAGCGGCGCAACCTTGAATTTTGTTAGCTCAGCAATGTACCGCACGTTCTTGAGCCGCAAGTCCAGCAGATCCTTTGATTTTTTGGCGCAGCAGCCAGCGGAATTCCTGTGCCAGCTCCTCGACCACGCCATCGCCGATTTCGGGGAAGTACGGGCTGCAGGGTAGCCATGATCCGTGCATAGTAGGGGATCAAGAACAGCTGCTTCCGTGGAACGTCGGCCAGCGCACGAATCAGCCTTACCCGGTTCCCCTTGCTGTTGACGTAGCAAAAGTTCACGGCCATCTGGTCGACGCGCTCCTTGCTGGTCATTGTTGGCAGCTGAGATAGCAGCTCATGGAACTTCACTGGCACAAATGAATGGACCGTGTCGCCGCTTGACCCGGATTTTTGCACCACTGTCAGCCCATCCTTGGCATCATCTACACCTTCAGCAGGGCTGCTCTCCTTGGGCTCCTTTTCAGCGACAGGTGCAGCAATCTCTGAATCGGATTTAGCATCCTGTCCGTCGCCAGCACCACCACGCTGGCGCTGCTCCAGGAACTGCTGGTACTCGATCATGCTCGCTGCGTTGGCCGCCTCGTCAACGCCTGCGTCATCATCGCCGTCCTCGGCACCTGCCTGCAAATCAACCTTAATGTCCTCCTCGTTGAGGTCGTCCATCTTGGTGTCAGAGGCAGCAGCTGGCTTCCTCCTTGGCAGGTGCTTCGTCCCCGTCAGGCTCCCCTGCGTCAAACTCTGTCGGCTGGTTCTTCTTCTTCTTCTGAGTCGCGAGCAGCGTGGGCGGCAGCTGTGACTGCAGGTCTAGCACAACCTCATAGAATAGGCGCTCCTCATCGTCGTCCCAGACCTTGGACCTCCACTTGCGCGCAGGTGTCGCAGGTGCATCGAAGCTGATTCCAAGCTGGTCATCGTCATCCGCCTTGTCCTCTAGGTGCGGCGGCTCACGGGCTAGCGACTCGCACAGCAGCCGCACGCTCTCGGCAAGCCTGTCAAACGACTTTTCGTGCCGCTCCAGCTTCTCCTTGACCTCCGTGTGCACAACGCCCTTCGTGAACAGGCGCTCCTCGGCCTTGCGGCGCATCTTAACAAGGTTCTTGTGCATGCTAGTGACGTGCTCGACAGCAGTGTCGCAGTACTCTTGCAAAATAGACTTGACGCGCTTGCACATGTCCTCGGTGACGACGTGTTCGCTGGTGTCGTTCTGCATTCCAGCAAGATTGACCACGCTGGCTGCAGTGTCCAGTGAATCGCCCTCAGCCAAAGCAAAGTCGCTGCGGAACGCCTTCGCCACAGACGCAGCCAGGACACAGCTCAGATGGTGCTCCTTGTCGCTCAAAAACAGATTCTGCAAAACGCCCGCAAACACGCTGTATCCAGGCTGCTTCACCAGATCACGCACCTTGCCTGCTACTTTGCTACCGCTTGCCGCGCCAGCAAACGACAGCAAAAACGCCTCCACCCTGTCAATTCCCTCGACGCCGTCAGGAATTGCGTCAATGCCCCACAGCAGGCCGCTCAGAAACATCTCGCCGACAATCCTCAGCAGGGCCCTTTGCTTTGCCTGCCGCGCCTGCTCTTCCTTCTCCCGCTGCTCGCTAGTCATCTGCGCTAGCGCTGTGACCTTGGGTGCCTGTAGATGCTTTAGGATCTGCACAATCAGCGGCACAGTAAACGTAGCCGGGAAGCGCGTGTGCAGGGCCGAGATCACATCAATGGCGGCGTTTACGTCACTCGCCTGCTTGCATTTGAGCAGACCTTCGGCGGCCGCAGGCACAATCTCGCTGACGTACTTGTCAAGACGCAGCAGCTTTACTTCGCGCAGTAGCTGCGGTGCGTTGTCCTGGCCCATCGACGCCTTGCACTTTTTGATGAAGCCGGTGTTCTTCTTCAGGTTGGCATCCAAGGCCCTTGTGTCGAGGCGCGCATTCCTGTCTAGCCACGAGTCGATGTTGGCCCGCTGCAGCGTCTGTTGGCGCTGGCGTCGTTTTTGTATGGATTCGTCCATAGGCTGTTGTTTATCTCAGGGAATTCGAAGGGTGAAAACTGAAATAATTGAAGCTTGTGTCTGTCGAATCAGTAGGGCATCTCCAAACAGGCGCTTAATTTCGAAAAATAGGACAAATTGGGCGCGAATAAATAAATACTTTTAGTCTGAAGCTGAGAGAGAGAGAGAAAGGAAAAGCGGTGCTGGACAGGTTTCTCTTTTCGAAGCACGCATTCTTTTTGACTCTTTGGGAGTCTACCAGCGGCCCGATTCTGCACTCTATCCCCATGGTGGCTACATAGCGTGTATACAGATGTTTTACGGGCTTATGTATTGTTTTTGATAGCTAAAGGTTACAGTTGTAGGGGATTCATGCAGCAAAGTATCCAGCCTTGCTCTGCTTCAGCGACTGGAAGTACTGGCGACGGAATGCATATCGCCGCGCAGTTCCCAATGCGTGGGCAATGATGCCAACCCCCAGGATTGCACTAACCAGGTACAGGCCTGTGAGCGGCGCAGCCAGCTGCGTGCCCAGCGGGTTCGTCTCGACATCATAGTTCGGGTCGCCCTTGATGTACTTTAGCGGCGGCAGGTACGTCTCCGACGTGTTGTTTGTCTCCTGAGCGGCCTTGGGCTGATCGTTGCTATTGGGGGTCTCAGTGCTGCTGTCTCCTTAGCTGTTGCCGTTGCAGTCTCGTCCTTCGATGTCTTTGACGCCTTTGCGGTCTCTGGCGTTGCCTTGGTCTCCTCAGCGGTCGTCTTCAGATCCACCAGTGAGCCGACGCGCGGCAGTGTTTCCCATGGGCCAAACGCCGCCTTTGGTACCTCCGCCAGATTGACGCCCTGGTTGACGGTGTAGTCCGAACCCTTCTGCCATTATATACCCGCGGCTCTGCGATGTCGGCACTGTCTGCGGCACCAGAATGATCGCTTCAGGCACTGCCAGCCGCATCACCGTGTTCTCGAGGTCCATCTTGCCGCTTGTCTGCCCTGTGAAGTCCAGCTCGTCAAAGGGGCTGCTGCTCGTCATCACGGCCCACGTCGAGTGGTCGTATCTGCCGAGCTGCCAGCCAGGCGTGATGTTGGTGATGTTGGTGTTGGCATTCTCTGCGTACCGTACCAAGAGCGACCACCGTGTGCTGCTATCGTACATGCTCGTTGCGCTCGCCTGCATGGTCACGCCGAATCGCGCCTTTTCGACGTCTATCCAGCGGATGTTGTACGTGAATTTGATACCCAGCGGGTTGATTGTTGTGCTGGCAGCCTGCGCAGTAACCATAGCCACAGAGCTGAGCAGTGCTGCCAGCAGTGATATTGTGCGGAACCAGCGCGCAAATGTATCCATGTTTGGTCGTTAAGAATGAGAGCGATGAAAAAAGGAAAAGAGCGAAAATAGATGAGAAGAGCAGAAGACGGTCCGCGTTGCTGCTGGCGTTGTTTCTCTGAAACTCAATAGCAGGAGGGGAAGACTGGGCTGGCCGGAATGCAGATTAAGTCACGGCCGGTTTGGTTATATTTAGCAACAGGATGCTTTGTCAAATGGCAATACGCCCGGAGCGGCTAGAAAGAAGGCTCCAAGTCCGCACCTTTTTTCAGCGCAGAAAATAAACCAGCTCAGAAAATAAACCAGCTCAGATGAGAGTTAGAAAAGCCAGTCCTGCTTAGCTGCCAATTGTGCGACACCTGGTTTCTAAGAGGCGCTGCACAGTCTGGTAAGGTTGTGGTCCTATTTTTAACAATGGGACCGAGGTCTATCGCTTTGTGAAGTATGCCACACGGAGGGACCGAGTTGCTGAAAAGTAAAGATAAAAATAGTAAGGACTGAGGCACTGAGGGAAAGAAAAGTGACCAGCACAGAAAATTAGGTGGTTAGAGATGCGAGGAGTGAGTGAAAAGGGGGAGGGAGCGCCAGGTTCCTTTGTTTTATAGAAGTGAAAATGCCTGGACGCCAGTTCCAAGTATTGTCAATTTTATAGGCGCAGAAAACGAGGGAGGGGAGAGGATGAAGAGAGAGAGCGTGGCCGCCGAATCAGCCGGCTGCGATTTTAATACTGGTTGGCCATCCAAACAATGAAGGCTCTGGGCGGCCGTGAATGGCAGTTCGGGGATCCTTTTTTGAGTGGGCGTTCAGTTGATCATCGCTGTCCACGCATTCTCACTCGCGGCCACACCGGCCCGGCCGTTCCAGAAAGCAGACAAGGTTGAGGCCTGCTCAGTAGTATTCCGGACACCGCCTTGACCCTATGCGCCTGTGCATGGGGTTTACGGGCGGGGGAAGCCATGCCGCATGTTTGCTCCACAAGAACTGCATGCAGGATGGAGCGCGCTCTGCGCATCCCTGAATCCTGCTTGCGCATGTTTGGGATCCAAAGCGGGCGGTGTAACATCTGCGTTGATGGATCCCCTTCCTTACCAAGACACGCACATCCCCGTCCCCGCTGGGCGACTCCATGCACGGGGCGGACCGCATGCACATGCCATCTGACATGGATCGACGGTTTTGCCCGAGGTGATCTGATCGGCAGCCACATTCGGTATTAGATCAGGAATATCTGGAAAAGTTATGCGCAGGGCTGTGCTTCTGGCATGGCAATCGGCATCTCTCTCCTCCCTGGCCCTCTCTCTGCAGTCTCCAAACACAAGCAAACAAGCAAACAATGGCGTCAATTCGCAATCGACCATTGATCTCCATGCTGCGCACAGTCGTCAGACCGCCAGCCACCTGCCGCCACTATAGCACTGAGAAGCGGCACAGCAGGCCAGTGTTCACAACCACGGCTGATTCGCTGAAGGAGGCAGTCAGAGTGGGCAAGAGCGAGGAGCTGTCCAACAGGCAGCTGTTCTCGCGGCTGCAGCCTGACGCAAAAACGCTGGACGCACTGGACATGCTGCAGCTGGGCACAGAGAAGCGCGGGCGGTTCGAGCGGCGCAAGTGGTTTCCGGTACAGCGAGCCAGAGGTGAAGCTGCCACACATCAGCTTCTTTGCCGGGGCGCTCACGCCCGAGTCGTTCCCTGCAGAGACGCTGCCAGAGATCGGGTTTGTAGGGCGCTCGAATGTGGGCAAATCGACGCTGGTGAATACGCTGTGCGGGTCGTCGGCGGCGCGTGTCTCGGAGCGGCCCGGGCTGACGCAGCAGATCAACTTTTACACGGCCGACAATGACTTCCATTTGGTCGATATGCCGGGGTACGGGTTCGCGTACGTCAAGGAGGAGCAGAAGCAGGCGTGGGTGCCGCTGATCGAAAAGTATGTGCGCGAGCGCAAGCGTCTGAAGCGGGTTATGCTGCTTCTGGATGCCCGGCATGGCATCAAGGCGAACGACCAGGAGTTCATGGAGCTGCTGGACCGCACTGGCACAAAGTACCAGGTGGTGATGACAAAGTGCGATCTGGTGAGCCGCATTGATCTGGCGAAGCGGCACCTGCTGGTGGCCCAGGAGACACAGAAATCGAGGAACTGCATCCCGCGGGTGCTGATGGTCAGCGCCAAACACGAGCGCGGCCTGAACGACCTGCGCAAGGAGATCCTGCATACGTGCGGGCTGGGCAAAAAGTACCTGGCTATGCACAAGAAGAAGGAGGTTATTGCCAAAGCAGAGTACATGGAGCAGCTGGCCATCTTCAAGGAAACCTCGCGGCCGAAAAAGCGCCGCCAGTAGCGAAGCAGGGCCCTAATCAAGCGATCGAGCCTGTTCGCCATTTTCTCTCACTCAATAGCACTTTTGTTGAATTTCATAATGCACAGCACACTAAGAACGCTTCAATTGGCACGAATCTCGCGGACGCTGGCAGCAGCTGGGCGGCAAGGACTGAAGAGCCCCTCTGCCCGCCTGTACTCAACCAAGGCACCGGCGCATTCGTGGGCCGAGGCGAATGCAAAGAACCCGGCGTTCGCGGTGGAGCGGGAGCTGCCGGAGCCCAAGAGCCGCAAGAAGGAGATCTCGATCTTTGTGGCCGTGGCCGCCGTAACGTGGGGCCTGGGCACGATTATTGCCTTCAACTACCAGCGCATGACCAGCACGCCCGTGACAGCAGCGCTCTTCACGGCCCGCCACAACGACGAGATCCGCGAGGTGTTTGGCACGCAGCTCAACTTCACGTCGGCGTTCCCATGGATCAGTGGCGACATCAGCCATCTGAAGGGCTTTGTGGACGTCGAGTTCAACGTGGTCGGCAGCAAAGGCGTCAAGGGCCATCTGGTGCTACGGTCGCGGCGCATTGGCAAGCAGAACGGCGAGTGGGAGACGCAGGAGTTTTATGTGCGCGCGCCCGATGGCCGCGTTGTTGACTGCCTGTAATCTGGCCAGACTTTGGGAAACCCTTCTCTCCCCATCGTTTTTTCTTTTCTTTGAAAAAAATACAAATATTCGAGCTTTTGTTTTTTCAAGCCGATAAGACCTTTATGTATTCTCCGGACTCTTGTGCTCTCCAGGCCCCTGCATCCCCTTCCTTCTAGCTTGTATTGATAACTACTTTGAGCAAAAGAATGGCACACCGTGAGTCGACAGACAAGCGGCCAGCTAACAGCGTGTCCTCGTCGGCGTCAACGACGGACCCGCACCTCAGCCGAATAGGCACGCCGCGGCAATACTCTGCCATTAACGCCATTCCGCCGCCGCAACCACACGCCAAGGGCACGCCAACCCCTGCTGCGTCGCTCGAGAGCCAGGGTGCCCTGCAGCCATTGACTGGAACGAGCAGCACGCCGCGGTCGCTCGAGCAGGTGTCGCGGCCGGCCAGCCGATTGAGCCACGCACCGTTTACCTATTCAGGCGTGTTTGGGCAGAACACATGGGATGAGGCCGCAAAGCAGAGAGAGGAGGGCAGCAGCAGTAGCAGCGAGGAGGAGGAGGAGAGCGAGAGCGACGGCGAGTCCTACGAGGGTCTGGCAGTCGAGGACATTAACGAGACGTATGACCAGGATCTGCCCGAATACGGTATGTGCCAAAGCTGCATACGTGCACCTCGGAATCCCTGTCTTTCAGCAGCTAAGCAATGCAATCCCGTGTAGTGCACAACCCAGATCCGTTCACGCAGAGCATTTTTCTCGAGGAGGAAGGAGTCACGGTAAGTCTTCTATTTCCTCTCTTTGACGTGGGCCAGCCAGATCTGCTGCGGCAACAGCGGGCGGCTGGAGAATCTGGTGATCAATGCCGCTAACCAGGGCATCATTTTTGAAGGTAGATACACCTGCGCGGCATGTCCAGCAGCGTGCTGGCTGGGTGGGCGTACACAGTCCTCGGCATTCTGTCGTGCGGCGTGATTCCGCTGCTGTGCCGATGGGTCCCCAAATGGAAGATCGCGTGGACAATGCAGCCTGCCCGCCTCGCTGACGCCGAGACTGTTGTGGTTACCGACGAGTTTGGCGCCATTGCCAGCGTGCCCGTGCAGCGGCGGTTCTATGGCGGATCGCTCGAGTCCATATTTGGCTCGCTGACCCGCAAGGGGCCGCTGCAGGACCACAACGACGACATTGTGAACAGCCTGGCCATGTTCTCGCACATGTACTACCGGTTCGTGTACCACCCGTATTTGGAGAAGTTCCTGCCGAACGCGTGCTGGATGGACTCGCAGTGGACCCGCGCGCCGGTCAGCATCCGCGCAGGGCTCACATATGACGTGCGCGACCTGCGCAGCACGATTTTCGGCGACAACAGCATTGACATTGAGGAGAAGTCGACGGTCAGGCTGCTGTTCGACGAGGTGCTGAACCCGTTCTACATGTTCCAGGCCGGAAGCGTGGTGCTGTGGTGCTTCGACAACTACTACTACTACGCGACGTGCATCCTGATCATCTCCATCTCGGGCATCCTCGAGACGCTGGTCGAGACCAAGCGCAACACGCGCAAGATCAAGGAGATGGCACACTTTTCGTGCCCCGTACGCATTCTGCGCGACGGCATCTGGCGCGACGGTATTGCCGAAGATCTGCTGCCTGGCGACGTCTTCGAGGTTGCTTCCAACATGTACACGCTGCCATGCGACGCGGTGCTGCTCGAAGGCGACTGCATTGTCAACGAGAGCATGCTGACCGGCGAGAGCGTTCCTGTGGCCAAAACTCCGGTGGTGCCGGCGGTGTTTGGCAAGATGCGGCTGGCCAGCTCGACTTTTGGAGCGGATATCGCCAAGCACGTGCTGTTTTCCGGGACCAAGCTTGTGCGCGTCAAGAAGACGGCCGTCGGGCTCGGCGGCGACCGGTGGCTCAGTCTCGAGCCGCAGCGCACCGGGATGCCCGCCCGTGCCACGGCCATGGTCCTGCGCACAGGCTTCAACACGACCAAGGGCGCATTAGTCCGGTCGATCCTGTTCCCCAGGCCAAACAAGTTCAAGTTCTACGAGGACTCGTTCCGCTTCATCGGCGTGCTGGCCGCCATCGCCGTGATCGGATTCTTGGCCAGCATCAGCAACTTTCTGCGTCTGGGCCTGACTGCCCACATCATCACCGTGCGCGCACTCGATCTGATCACCGTAGTTGTGCCGCCTGCCCTGCCTGCCACCATGTCGATCGGCGTCAGCTTCGCCCTGGCGCGCCTGCGCAAGCAGAGCATTTTCTGCATCAGCCCAACCCGCATCAACGTGTGCGGCAAGGTCAATGTCATGTGCTTTGACAAGACCGGCACGCTGACTGAGGAGGGCCTGGATGTGCTGGGCGTCAGGTCCGTCAACTACGACTCGTGCACATTTGGCGCAATGCAAGAAGACCCGGCATCGCTGCCAACTGGGCCCATGGCTGCACCCAGCGCCCCGAGCTCGGCATTCAGCAGCATGGACAACCGGTATGCAGGCGGTCTGGCTGGTCTGGGCAGAAGCGCATCGGTCTCGGCGCCGCGCCGCGCGGTGGACCCGTCGAAGCTCAGCGTCCTGCATGCCCTGGCGACATGCCACGCCGTCAAGGTCATCGACGGCCAACTGGTCGGCGACCCGCTGGACGTCAAGATGTTTGAGTCAACTGGCTGGATCATCGAGGAAGGCGACGAGCAGAGCAGCCAGGAGCCGCCCACCGGAGAGCAGCTGGCAGGCGGCTCGCTGAAAGTGGCCGGCCCGGTGCCCACGGTCGTGCGGCCGCCGCAGGCCAGCCGGTTCACCCTGGACCATGCACCGCAGAGCGTCTACGAGCTGGGCATCATCCGCACCTTTGATTTTTCAGCCGCGCTGCGTCGCCAGAGCGTGGTGGCCAAGCGCCTAGGCGCCAAGTACAACGAGGTCTATGTGAAGGGCGCGCCTGAGGCTATCCGCGAGCTGTGCTTCCCCGACACTGTGCCGCAGAGCTTTGACAAGATCCTGCTCGAATACACCAACCACGGGTACCGCGTTATTGCGCTGGCTGGCAAGCCGCTGAAGATGTCGTGGCCCAAGCTGCAGCGGCTCAAGCGCGACTCGGTCGAGCAGGACCTGGTGTTCCTGGGCTTCCTGGTGTTTGAGAACAAGCTCAAGGACACGACGGCGCCGGTGCTCCGCGAGCTGCAGCAGGCGCGTATCCGCCAGATCATGTGTACTGGCGACAACGTGCTGACTGCCATCAGCGTTGGCAGGGAGTGCGGCATGGTGCCTGAGGGCATGCGTGTCTATGTGCCACAGCTGGTGCGTCCCTGCCAAGCCCTGGCAGCCACCAGCGACGACCCGCAGGACCTGGATTCCCTGGCTGCGCGCGCACTGGTTGTGTGGGTCGCGACTGACGACGACAAGTACATTCTGGACCCCTACACGCTCGAGCCACGCGTCGCCACATCCCCTGTCAATGAGGAGCTGCTGGAGGACTCGGCGGAGACCATGGAGGAGATGCGCGAGCAGATGCGCCAGTACTACGACTGGCTGCACAACTACACTGATACAGACCTGCGCCTGACAACCACTGGTGACTACTGCGTAGCCGTCACTGGCGAGGTCTTCCGATACATGATGGACGAGTCGCCGATGGCCACCGTCGACCGCATGCTGATGCGCGGCGCCATCTACGCGCGCATGTCGCCCGACGAGAAAGCGGAGCTGGTAGAGAAGCTGCAGGGGCTGGGCTACTGCGCTGGGTTCTGCGGCGACGGCGCCAATGACTGCGGGGCGCTGCGTGCTGCCGATGTCGGCCTGTCGCTCAGCGAGGCGGAGGCGAGCGTTGCCGCGCCGTTCACGTCGCAGTCCACCGATATCAGGTGTGTGCTGGAGGTGATCCGCGAGGGCCGTGCGGCTCTGGTGACATCCTTCTCGTGCTTCAAGTACATGGCCCTGTACAGCATCATCCAGTTCACATCCGTCAGCCTGCTGTACGAGTTTGGCGGCGGGCTCGGCGACTTCCAGTTCCTCTACATTGACCTGTTCATCATTGTGCCGCTGGCGGTCTTCATGGGCCGCACGCCGGCCTACCACAAGATCATGCCGAAGCGGCCCACAGCTAACCTGATGAGCAAGCGCGTGCTGACGTCGCTGTTTGGCCAGATCGTCGTCAACTCGGGCATCCAGTTCATTGTCTACCGTGCGGTCAAGCAGTCGCCCGGATACACGCCGCCCGTGCGCACCGACCCGACCGACCTGGACTCGCTGCTGATCATGAGCTACGAGAACACCGCCTTGTTCCTGATCTCTTGCTTCCAGTACATCCTGGTCGCCTGTGTGTTCAGCATCGGCCCGCCGTTCCGCCAGAGCAACCTGAGGAACCACGGCTTTGTCATCACTGCCGCTGTACTGGTGCTGTTCACAGTCCTTGTCACGCTCTGGCCGACCGACTGGATCAACGGTGTGTTCGAGCTCATCGATGTCAGCACCGGGTTCCGCCGCACTGTTCTTGTCTGGGCAGCAATCAACTTTGCCGCCAGCCAGATCGGCGAATCGTACGCGTTCCCGTGGATTGCCCCGACCATGGCCAAGGTCACGCGCATTGCCAGATATCTAGCCCGCAGCGCAATGTGCCGCACGAATCCGTACCAGAGAGTCTCAGGGGGCGCCAGGGGTAATGCCGATCCGGGCAAGGATATTGACGATTTAGAGGATGGTCGTGCCCCGGTCACCTGGGAGGAGATTGCCCGCAAGACCGATATCAAGCCCTACAAGCGTGTGATGCGTGAGATGGCCATCCCGCTCTGGTACTAGCTTTGAGTTATTCTACATGTACAACCATTCCAAAATTTCATTATTTTCTCTGCAGCCTTTGGGGGCCTACATTTCTTACCAAGCCGCTTGTGTGTTGGCGAACGAAAAAAAAATTTTTTTTTCTCGCCGGGATGCTCCGTTCTTATGAAAAAAAGATGTTGGATCGTCCCCGGACACGGCGACAAGAGAATGAAAAACAAATTTGCGCCGTCCGAAAAGTGGGGACACCCGCTGCACGCCTGCCGTGGCTCCAACCTGCTTATGCTGCACGCTGGCTATAAAAGACACTGCATGTGATGCCCTTGGGCTGCTCTCTATTGTCTCCACTTGTCGATATCTCTAATCTTGCCCAGCCCAACATCGCCCGAGCTTATCTCGTTCCAGCCACCGCCAACTCTTAAAATCCACGCCACCCGCTGCTGCATGCACCCGTATTCACTCGAGCCGCTCACTCTGCACAGTTCATGGACTCGGTAACTGTCCCACCCCCTCTCCCGCCGCCGCTGTCGACGCGGTCGCATTCCATCTCCGACTTGAATGGTAAGTGGCCAGGCGATAGCGCCATACGTCGCACACGCATTGTCTGTTCTCATTCGGCGTGCTGCTGCAACCGACCATTGTCTCATTCTGGGAACCTCTGCAAGAGAAAATTTTTTTGCTTGGGGAAGATGGGCAAGCCATTTCCAGTGTGCCTGGGTACTCCCGGATGACTAGAGAGGCGCATTTTAAAAGGGACAGGCTTGGTGTGCTCTTTGTCAATGCGCGTCCCAAGAGTACTTGTCTATTTTTCCTTTCTATAATCCTGCAGTGAATCCTCCCCGGTTCACCTTCCTTCTTCAAGACCTGCCTTAATCCTCCTCTTATGCGATCGCCTGCGCATTATCCTGCCCGCATTATCCTCGTGCCATCCCGATACTAAATGTTTACTCGCACACAACTAGCAAACACCGATGGAGTCCACCAGCTCGTCCGTCTTGAGGAGGAGGACATGACGATACAGCTGCGCGGGCTGCGCCGCACCCTGCCTGGTGCCATGCTCTACTGGACCCTGGTTTTCTGCACCGCCGGGCTCCTGTATGTGGTCGACACCTGGTTCCACACAATCTCGCTCTGGTTCATCATGAAGCCCGCGCCCCTGGCCACGGCCGAGTACATCCAGGTTACCGACGAAGGCAAGCACCTGTCGATGGAGCGGGTTCAGCACATTAAATTTGACGGCACCCTGACCATGGTGTTTGGTGCCAGCAGCAAGTCAGGCGACAATATGGCTCTGGACGAGCTGCGTGTGTTTGTGTTCCGCCATAACCGGTTCATCATGCACCCGGTGTCGCTCGAGTACATTTCGACCAGCAAGTGGAAGGATGCGCAGTGGCAGCAGGGCGTGGTGACCGGCCGGCATGGCCTGACGGGCCAGGAGGTCGACCAGCGGCTGCGTATCTTTGACCGCTGTCTGATCGACATTGAGGAAAAGTCGTGGGTACGCCTCCTGGTTGAGGAGGTCCTGAACCCGTTCTATGTGTTCCAGATCGCCAGCATCATTATCTGGAGTTGCGAGGACTACTACTACTATGCCGCGTGTATCTTTTTCATCTCTGCCGTGTCCATCGCCGTCACGCTCATTTCAACCAAGAGAACAGTGCGCAAGATCAAGCAGATGGCAGCATACTCGTGTCCTGTGCGCGTCCTGCGCGACCGCAAGTGGGAGGTCATTGACTCGGAGGGCCTGGTGCCTGGCGATATCTTTGACATGTCCGACGAGGGCATCTCGGTGCTGCCGTGCGAGGCCGTCATGCTCGAGGGCGACTGCATCGTCAACGAGAGTATGCTGACTGGCGAGAGTGTGCCAGAGTCAAAGTCGCCGCTCGAGCCCAGCAGCAGCGTCATGGAGCTGATCGATCTGAGCTCGCACACATTCAAGCCCGAGATTGCCCGCCACGTCGTGTTTGCTGGGACAAAGATTGTGCGTGTCCGCAAGGCTGTCAGCCGCTTCCCGCGCGACCGCTCTGCCTCGCCACCCACCGATGGTGCTGGCAGACTGGCAATCGATGAGAACTTCTCGGACCAGATGTCGTCGACGGTCTCGGCCGACATGAGCAATGGTCCGAACGTGCGCGCCACAGCCATGGTCCTGCGCACAGGCTTCAACACAACCAAGGGCAGTCTGGTGCGCTCCATCCTGTTCCCGCGTCCAACCAAGTTCCGTTTCTACCGCGATGCCTTCCGCTTTATCGGCGTGCTGGCCGTCATCGCCGTGTGTGGATTCATCGCAAACACCATCAATCTCCACCGCATCGGCGTGTCGGCTGGCGCGATCGCCAAGAAGGCACTCGATCTGATCACCGTGGTTGTGCCGCCTGCCCTGCCGGCGTCCATGTCCATTGGTATGGCGTTTGCTGCCCGCAGACTGCGCAAGGTTGGCATCTTCTGCATCAGTCCGTCGCGTATCAACGTGGCCAGCAAGGTCGCCGTTATGTGCTTCGACAAGACTGGCACGCTGACTGAGGAGGGGCTGGATCTGCTCGGTGTGCGTGTGGTTAGCCAGACGAGCGGCTCATTCGTCCCAATGCACTCTGATGTGCAGCAAGTTGCCGAGTCGGTCACCACCAAGGACGGCGAACTACAGGACACCATTGGCGTTTCCGGCATCACTGTGTTCAATGCGCTTGCCACCTGCCACTCGCTGCGCCTGGTTGACAATGTGCCGATTGGCGATCCGCTTGAGGCCAAAATGTTCGAGTTCACTGGCTGGCAGATGGAGGAGAACGAGGGCAGCGAGCCTGACAGCGACCAGGCCAGCAGCGCGACGCCCCTTCCTACGGTCATTCGCCCGCCCACTGGCTCTGCTGTCCCGGCTGGCCTAGAGGAGCTCGGCATCCTCCGGTGCTTCGAATTCTCGCCAGCGCTGCGCCGCGCCAGTGTCATCACCAAGCGCCTGCACAACAAGTACGCCGAGACATACACCAAGGGTGCTCCCGAGGTCATCCGCACCATTTGCCGCGCCGCCACCATCCCCAGCGACTTTGACTCAGCTCTTGACCAGTACACGCAGAGCGGCTATCGTGTCATTGCGCTGGCCGGCAAGCCCCTGCACATGTCGTATCGCAAGACGGCAGCGCTGGAGCGCAACGAGGTCGAGTGTGATCTGACGTTCATGGGCTTCATGGTATTCGAGAACCGGCTCAAGCCGACCACGGCTGGTGTGCTGAAGGACCTGCGCGATGCCAGGATCCGCATGGTCATGTGCACTGGCGACAACCCGCTCACCGCTGTCAGCGTTGCCAAGGAGTGCGAGCTGGTGAACAAGACCACCACGGTGTTCGTCTCGTACCTGCACAGCGAGCCGCATTCGGCTGACTACGAGAAGGACCGCATTGAGAGCGAGATCGCCAACCCACACTCGTCGCTGGCCAGCGTATCGTGGCGCGAGAGCTCGGGCGTAAAGGTCGCCCTGGACCCGATCACCCTGGTTCCGTATGCCACTGATCCCGAGGACGCGCGTGCGGTCGCCATGGCCCAGGAGCTGGGCAAGACGGGACACTACGGCGTTGCCGTCACTGGCGACGTGTTTGGATATCTTTCCGAGCACGCCATGCGCACCGAGACCTTCAAGCACATGCTGATGCGCGGCACTGTCTACGCACGCATGTCGCCGGAGCAGAAGGCAGAGATGATCCAGTGCCTGCAGGAGCTCGGTTACATTACCGGCTTCTGTGGCGACGGGGCCAACGACTGCAGCGCGCTCAAGTCGGCCGACATGGGTATTTCGTTGAGCGAAGCCGAGGCCAGCGTAGCTGCACCGTTCACATCCAACTCGACCGACATCCAGTGCGTAGTGCAGCTGATCAGGGAGGGCCGGTGCTCCATTGCGACGTCGTTCTCGTGCTTCAAGTTCATGGCTCTGTACAGCATGGTGCAGTTTACCACTGTCTGCTTGCTGTACATCTACAATGTCAACCTGACTGACTTCCAGTACCTGTGGGCCGATCTGTTCACCATCATGTCCATCGCCATCTGCATGGACCGCGCCAGGCCGTACAAGAAGCTCGTACCCAAGCGCCCCTCGGCCAGTCTGACCAGCAAGAAGGTGCTAACATCGCTTATTGGAAACACCCTGCTGATTATTGGCTTCCAGATCTCCATGTACTTCATGGTCGAGTCGCGCAGCTGGTACCAGAAGCAGCTGCCTGTGGATCCCGAAGACCCGGACTCGGTCGAGAACGAGGGCGACCTGAACACCACCATGTTCCTGCTGACCATGTTCCAGTACGTGTTTGCCGGTGCCGTCTTCACCATCGGCCCGCCGTACCGCGAGTCGGCCTTCCGCAACTACTGGTACGTGGGCGTCATCGCCCTGCTGACCATCCTGGACCTGTGGATCCTGCTTGTCCCTGTGGGCAAGATCTACTCGATTTTTGGCATCATGCACACGTCTGTCGGCTGGCGCTTCACCATCTTCGGCATGGTTGCTGGCAACTTCCTCGCGTGCTACCTGGGCGAGCGCTTCGTGTTCCCGCGCCTCGCCATCCCGCTGGCCAAGATCTTCCGTCTGATCGGGCTTGGCTACACGCGCTGCTTCCACAGGCGCAAGCCCGGGCACCACGCCGACGCATCGTCGGACTATGCCAGCGACGACAAGCAGAAGGTCTCGTCGCGCACCTCGCTCGAGGAGCTCGGCCATGTCTCCCAGGCTGCCTACGACCGCAATGTCAGCGGCATGAGCCTCTGGACGCGCCTCGGCCGGCGCACCAGCCGCAAGCCGTACAAGTACCTGCAGGAGGCCATGGTCGGCACCAACACCTGGCACTAATGGACGTTGTTGGTTACTCTCTTTATTAAAGCACACCTAATAATGAATGGCTAGAACTTTTGCTCGTCGATCGTCAGCTGGTTGGCGACGTCGGTCCGGGCAACAAACCGCCGGAACTCGTCAAAATCAATCTTGCCGTCGCCGTTCTTGTCGGCCTCCATGATCGTCTTGTCGACGATCTGCTGCAGCTGCTGCGGCGTCAGGTTGTTGCCCACCATCATCTTGAGCACCAGAAACAGCTCGCCATTCGAGATATACCCGTCGCGGTCCATGTCGTAGATTTTGAACATGAACCGCAGCTTCTCCTCCTCGCGCCCCTTGCTGCTGAACGTGCTCAGGCCAGTAATGAACTCCTTAAAGTCAACGTCACCGCCGCCGTCTGTGTCGAAAATGTCAATCAGCCGCGACGACAGCGGGTTGTTGGCCAGCTGCGGGATCGAGAAAAACTCGTCCTTGTCAATTGTGCCAGAGTTGTCGCGGTCCAGCTTGGAGAACCGCTTGTGCAGCCGCTGAATTTCCTCTGCTGTGACTACATGTGCTCAAGTATGTTTTTTTCGGTCCCGAAACCCGTTAGCACTACAAATACGGCTCCTTTGCCAAACCCCCAGTGACGCTATGCGCCTCTGAGACACTGTCTGCCTGCTTCTTCGTCTTACAGTTTGTCGACCCAACGAGGTCCTCCAGCTGGACGGAATTTGCATTGCCCATCGTGTCGAATTCGAGGAAAGAAAAAAGCAGTGTTGAATGTCTGGCCGAGAGGGAGGAAAAGAGATTCCTTGTGTCTGCTGGGCCCAGTGGCCAAAGTGACAACCTGGGCGGGGGATTCTGGCAAATGTGGAGACGGCTGCAACCCGTGCTGGCCAGGCTGCGCGTGATTTCCCGCTTGCGCTTGTAGGGGCAGCAGCCGCTGGGCAGCCCGACGGTTCTCCACAGAACCGCCCCATCCCCACCCCCATCCCCATCCTGCAGCATCTCGGTAAGCCCTCCATGTCCCGACCATTCCACATCGCTGGAGGATGACGGGTGATAGTCTTTGAACATAGGAGAGTGGTGGCCCTGACTGCTGCCCTCCCCAAAATCCGGCAGAACGCGGACTGCCTTCAGCTGACCCGCCCAAGCCCCAGGCACGCGGCAATAAGCAGCTGACGCCAGACTCCAGGCCGGCAGTGGGCGACCTTTGCAGATATCTTGGATGTTTGGGCTCCGTGCTGTGTAACGCGCCCAATCGGCCGTGGGGGACTACATCGATTCTGCGAGATCCGTCGCCTATTGTTGGTGACGTCTGACCACACCACATCACCCCTGGCGAATTGCCCGACGGCCATTTCGACAAGATTGGGGACGCTGGAATGTGCTGGCAGCATTGGCGGTGATGGCGCAGCACCCCGGGATAAGGGCGGGATAAGGGGGCAGCACCTGATGCAAGCGGTTTTCTGCGTGCTACATGCAAGACACGGGAGTGTAGTCCAGACATGCCCTAGGCATTGCCCGCTGGCAAGGGACACCGGCCATATATAAGGCACCACCCGGGGCCCGTTCCGCCCTCTCCTTTTTCCAAGCAAGGATTACCTCACTCTTTTCCCATCTTCCAACTTCACAAGCACACTTTTCTCTACAATGACCTCTTCAGCTGTTCCTCCCAACCGCATTGCCGTCATCGGTGGTGGTGGCAACGTCGGCGCTGCCGCTGCATTCGCCCTGATCGCCAAGGGCGTGCCCGCCGAAGTCCTCATTGTTGACGTTGTCGACAAGGCCGCCCAGGGCCAGGCTCTCGACATCAGCGACGCCTCGTTCCTCAAGCCCGGCACCTGCCGCAAGGCCTCCTTCCAGGAAGCCGGCCAGTCCGACGTCATCATTGTCACCGCCGGCGCCCGCCAGCAGCCCGGCGAGCCCCGCTCGAACCTGATCGAGCGCAACTACAAGATCATCAAGTCGATCATGGACAGCATGCAGCCAATCAAGCCCTCGGCCAAGGTCCTGATGGTGTCGAACCCGGTCGACGTGCTGACGCATATTGCCCAGAAGGCCTCGGGTCTGCCGGTCAACCAGGTCATCGGCTCCGGAACCTTCCTGGACTCGGGCCGTCTGCGCAACACCCTGTCCGAGATCACCGGCGTCTCGCCCTCCTCCGTCCACGCCTACATGCTTGGCGAGCACGGCGACAACCAGTTCACCGGCTGGTCTGCTGCCCGCATTGGTGGCCGGCCCCTGCTGGACCACCCCAAGATGCAGGGCGTCGACCTCGATAGCATCAACGAGAAGATCATGCGCAAGGCCTACGATATCATCGACGCCAAGGGCTCGACCTACTTTGGCATCGGTATCTGCGCCGCCACCCTCGCCGAGGCTCTGCTGAACAACACCAGCCAGGTGTTCCCGGTCGTCAACTTTGTCGAGAAGTACGGCTGCTACATGTCGTGGCCCGCTGCTATCGGCGCCAGCGGTGTCGAGCAGGCCTTTGACGTCCCTGTCAACGCTGCCGAGGCCAAGAAGCTCGAGGTTGCCGTCAACGCCATCAAGGAGGCGTGCGCCAAGTACGACTAAGCTTCTTGCTCACTCCATATTTCCCCTCGAGCGGCCAACTACCTAGCCCGTTTCTCTACCTTGACTTGTCAAATAATACCACATTTCTTGTAACTTATTTTGCAACGATGATGTTTATGAGCTTGTTGGGCACGTGGATGGTCTTGACAACTTGCTTCGGTGTGCCGTCGTCAGAGCGTAGCCATTTCTTGGCCTGCGGCTGCTCCATGATGGTTGCAAGGATACTCTCCTTGTCCTGGTCGGGCTCGGCGTCCTCAAGCCTGAACCGCACCTTGCCGTTGATCTGCACCACGATGGTTACACTAAGCTTCCTGAGTGCGGACTGGTCGACATCAGGCCAGCTCTGCGCAAACACGCCACCGCCAGCGCTGGTCGCCAGATCGGCAGCTGTCAGGAACCCAGCCTTGCCGAGCACCTCCCACAGCTCCTCGCCGACGCTGGGCGCGAATGGGCTGACCATCTTGACCAGGCTCGCAATGCCATACGCAAATGTCGCGTGCGATGTGTCCTTCACCGTCGCCAGGTAGTTTGACAGTTCGATCAGCGCTGCAATCGCCGTGTTGAACGCAAACGAGCCGCTTAGGGACTCGCTGGCGCGCTGCACGGCCACATTCGTCTGCCTGTATGTCTCCTGCGCTTCCTTGCTCCATCTGGCGCGCTCACCTACGCACTGCAGCCAGCTCTGCTTGGGTGCATTCTCTGCAGCACTGTCTACCAGACGGCCAAGGCGGTTGATCCACCGCTGCATACCGACGATGCTCTGTGTGTCCCACTCCAGCACGTCCTGTGGCGGCGCCAGATACAGCATATGTAGGCGAGTTGCGTCGGCTCCGTATTTCGCCACTGTCTCGGTTGGATCCACGCCATTGTACTTGGACTTGGACATTTTCTCGTAGGATACAGCCGGTGCCTCGCCAGTCGCGATGATCCTCGCTCCATTGCCAGCCTTGCTGGGCACTTCGACTTCATCGGGCTTCAGGAACCGGCCAGTATGTGGGTCCTTGTATGTGAGGCCATGCACCATTCCCTGCGTCAGCAGCCGCTTGAATGGCTCGCCATTACGAGCCCCACTGCTCGTCTCCCTGGCCAGCGCTGCCAACTTTGCGGCATCGTCCAGAGCGCTCAGATCTGCTTTGGACCCGTACGCGCCAGTCTTCCACAGGAACTTGCTGATAAACCGCGAGTACAGCAGATGCAGGATGGCGTGCTCGACACCGCCAATGTAGATATCAACTGGCATAGCAGCAGTCGCCTTTGCTGCGCTGAACGGCTTTGCCGCATTTTGGGCATCAGCGTAGCGCAAAAAGTACCATGACGAATCGACAAACGTGTCCAGGGTATCGGTATCGCGCTTCGCCGCACCATTGCACTTGGGGCATTTGCAGTTGACCCAGTCGGCTGCCCTTGCCAGCGGGCTACCGCCACGCCCCGACAGCTGCACATTGGACGGGAGCTCCACGGGCAGGTCCTTCTCGGGCACTGGCACTACACCGCACGACTCACAGTGGATGATCGGGACCGGTGCACCCCAATAGCGCTGTCGCGACAGGAGCCAGTCGCGTAGCCGGTAGTTGACTACAGCCTTACCAGCGCCGGTCTTGGAGGCTGCAGCGACAACCGCCTTCATTGCGTCCTCGCTGGTCATACCACCAAAGGGCCCGTTCTCTGGCACACGCCGCAAGACCCCCAGATTGGTGAATACTGGGAGCTCGCCACTCGGAGCAGCACTGCCATCAGAGGGACTGCTGGGCTCCACTACGGCATTGCCGATTTCAATTCTGTTCGCCTGGGAGAACTCGTAGTCGCGAATGTCATGGGCTGGTACACCCATCACTGCACCGGTACCGTAGGTCGACAGCACGTAGTCCGCAATGTAGACTGGCACCTTGCGCGCTGGGTCAAGTGGATGCTTGGCGTACAATCCAGTAAACACACCAGCCTTTGATCCCTGCGCGGCACGGTCACCACCACCAGCCAGACTGCTGCTGATCTCTTTAGCACGCCTCACCACCTCATCCGCCCGGTCTTTGGGCAGGTACTCTGCCGATACAAGCGGGTGATCAGCGGCAATGGCCAGGTAGGACACACCAAACAGCGTGTCGGGACGACTGGTAAACACGCTGATCGAGTCAGCAGGCAGCTCTGAGCTACCTTCTTGGATGAGGCTGAACGAAAACTCTGCGCCCTCAGACCGGCCGATCCAGTTCGACTGCATGCTCTTTACATGCTCGGGCCAGTCCAGACCCTCCAGGTCCTTGAGCAGGTCCTCGGCATAGTCAGTGATCTTGGCGAACCACTGCTTGAGCTTGCGCTGCTCAACCACAGCACCCGATCTCCACGACCGCCCGTTCTTGTCGACCTGTTCGTTCGCCAGCACTGTCTGGTCGACTGGGTCCCAGTTGACAACAGCCTCTTTCCGATACACCATGTCGTTGTTGAACAGCTGCAGGAATATATGCTGCGTCCATTTGTAGTACTCTGGATCGCATGTCGCCAGCTCGCGGTCCCAGTTGAAGTCGGTCAGAATTGTCTCCAGTTGCTCTTTCATCGCCGCAATGTTGCGCTTCGTCCAGTCGCCAGGAGCAACATTGCGCTCGATCGCAGCGTTCTCTGCCGGCAGCCCAAACGCATCCCAGCCCATCGGGTGCAGCACGTGCTTGCCGGTCATCCGGTGGAACCGCGACAGCGTGTCGCTGATTGTGTATACACGCACATGCCCCATGTGCAGCATTCCTGACGGGTACGGGAACATGACCAGCACATAGAACATCTTTTCGATCTCCGCCGCGCTCAGCTCCTGGCTGCCGAGGTCGGGCTGGCTGGCTTTCAGTTCAGCCCACCGTGCTTTCCACTTGGTCTCGAGTGCCTTCGAGTCAAGCTTGCCCGTGTTGTCGATCCATTCGGCAAACTTTGCATGCTGCGCCAGAAGCGCCCGACAGGTGCTGAACATCCTATGGCTGCACACTGCAACTCTGCAAGCCGCGATCTGGCCAGACTGCTGAACACACCGGCTGAGTCTGAGCATGCTGAAGTATAATTAGGCTTTTTTTCGAATTTAAATGTGGAAAGGGGAGGTCGCTAAAGCATTGGAGTGAAGGCAGGGGATCAGACGGAGGCAGATAGATGACGCTAATAGAGTTTAGAATCGGTCCGGCTCGCGCAGTCTGGCGGCTCACTCGCTTGCACGAGTCGCTAGAGGCTCACTACGCGTTGGTGGTAGGAACATAGACTGAAGGCTCAGCCTTCTAACAAACACATGATGGGACTAAGGGACTACAGCGGACCAGGTCCAAATTCAACATCATGGTCGGTTGAGAGCTCCACCATCAACCACAACGTCGGCACCAGTGATGTATGAGCCGGCATCCGATGTCAGAAATATCACAGTGGTGGCGATATCTCGAGTAGCCCCGAGCCTGCGTAAAGGGATTATGTCTGGAAGATTTGTGTACGTGCCCTCATTCATGATATTACGAAGCAATTCCGACTCAAACATGCCTGGTGAGATCGAATTGACCGTGATGTTGTACTGCGCAAACTTTTGTGCCATGTCCTTGGTCAGATGGATCAGACCGGCCTTGGACGACATGTACGCTGGGTAAGTGATTGCAGGAACTCGAGTACCAGCAATGCTAGCGATGTTGATTATACGCGCTGGGCACTCCTTAGTTGCCACGCGCTTCAGCAGCGGCAGGAATGTCTTGGACACTAGGAAGGGGGTGAACATATTCAGTTGCAAAGTACTGAGAAACTCGTCGTCAGAGTGATCCTCATAGTTCGATTTGTGCATTTTTCCGGAGTTGTTGATTAGAGCGTGTAGTCCGTTTGGCTCGAGCTCGGTAAGCTTGTGCGCCAGTTGCTGCACTTGTTCAGGATCCGTGATGTCGCAGACGATGTAGTCGCATTTGCCGGGACCTTGGGCTGTCAGGGACTGCGATGCCTCCTTGAGCACCTGCTCGTTGCGACTGGTAATATAGACACGTGCACCAGCTGATACTAGCCCTTCAGCCATCATGCGGCCAATACCGGTGCCGCCACCAGTAACAACGAACGCTTTGTCCTTGACACTGAAGAGTGAGTATATGTCCATTTTGATAGTTAAAAAAAGTATTGAAAAAGTGAGTTCAGAAAGAACGAAAGGCAAAGGGAAACAGCCGTTTTATGATAACCGGAAAGGTATAGTCGACCATTTTGAAGCAAGTTTAGGAAACGAATAGTACGGTTAAGATGAGGGTCCGAGTATGATCCCTCTGCCCCCGAGAATTAGATACAGTAAGGAATTTGTGGTTTCTACTTTCCTTACTTCCATCAGTTTTGAGTTTCCATTGCTCATAATACTTCAAAAACATAAACAAAGCGTATGTGCGCTCTTTCTTTCGGCAACGAGATTATATTTATGCGACCCATGTAAATGCATGAAGTTGAGTATTGTAGATAGTAAAGTATGCTTCGGGAAGTGCTGACAAGGATTGTCATGTACAGAACAAGTGCGAGCTGACAACTGTTATTGACAAGAACTGCATTTCTCTTTCCCTCCTCTTCCAAAACTTATTTTTCCTCGCTAATGGCAAACTCGGCAACACTGAAACCATGTATTCTCCAGCGAATTGTCAACACACTTGGCAATATCATTACTCTGCGTGATCCGGATGATATCGATATTTATCTGTTATGTCTCCAGCCTAACCAGGTTTGCTAGCACTGGAGACACTATAAAAAGGAGCTTCTGCAATGCTGCAACTATCTTGTGAAACGTTTGACGCATAACGCGCCCTATTATCCAGTGAATAACTCACCAGTGTTTCCATTCAGTGATGTCGAACTTTCACGTACCATGGCTACAAAAAGTAATAATCTTTATCTTTACCTATATATAAGATTTTATAGTCGAAAAAGTGTCCAACCGCCCGCTAGAACCTTATTAGTTGGTTAAAAGATAAAACTTTTAAATCTCAAAGCGAGTTTGGGTGACTTGCTCCGTAAACTCCTTTTGATCTTGTGCGGCATCTGACCTCATCGGTGAAACCAGGGCGACAAGCTGGTATTGTAGTGGCCACAGGTCTCCACTAGATATCTCCACTAGATATCTCTATTGGTTTAGCGCAAGAGCTGCTCTCATTGCTGATCGGCCTGATAACTTCCATGGCGTCATCATGGTGGTCATCACCGGCTGCGCAACACTCTTAGGATGTTTATTTATGAGCATCTATTGAATAAGGCCATATAGCTCTTCTGGTGGTTATGCAATATTTGTGGGTTTATTTTATAAATTAATCTGTCTTATGAACATGCGTAAGCGGTAGCATTTGGGCCACAATGGACCCAGTCTGTATAGATTGATTCAAGCGACTGTATCAGTGCTAAGGGCCCCAAGAACCATGCAAGCCAGATCATTTTTAATAAAAAGTTCTTAATGCTATGCATATGCAATAAAGCAAAACTGAACAGCATCATTTCTCTTCTTACTTGCCTATTGAATTTCTCAAATGAATATTACCCGCAGCACTACTGTCATAAAGATATCACTTGGTGGTATTGGCTTCCGTGGTTCTATGTTGCCCCGCCTAGAGCAATTTGTACACAGCGTCAATATCATCAAAGAGCATACATACATGCTTGCACGATGGATACTACTCCATCAACTAGCTGACAATGATGGCTTTGACCCTACAATATTTATGAAAAAGGAGTTTGTTTCGTTCTATTTATTTATTCATTTACCAAAATCTAAAGACAAAGACGGCTATATCTGCTAATGATTTTGCTAACTGGAAGGACAGGTCAGAACTGTCGAGTGCAGATTTCGGTGATGTAATTAGATACCATATTTATGATTATCTATTACATAATGGCGATATCGAGCTACATGGCGTACGCGAAATGAATCAGGTAGCAACATATGTTGACACCGAGCTGATGACAGCATACAAGAACAACATTGTGTTGCACTATGGCACTTGCCTACAGCGGATTCTGGCCAAATTGATTGATATTCGCAGCCGCAAAAACACACTGCACAGTACAATGGGCAATGTGTCTAAGGCTGAGTTCAAAAATGCATGTCAAGTGTATATTTATACACCTGCACAGAAGCTCCGCTAGGCAGTTGCCTCTAGGCGCCCTGATCTCAGTGTGCTCACCCCATCGATGCTTGCAATCTACAACAAGCTGGCACCAGTCCTTAATGCCTATGATGCCAAGTACAGATTCGCCAAAGACAGCCGATACTATGATGCCAAGGCAAATCCACTTAAGCATCTGCGTGCATACATTCGCCTATGTCAGCTTATCGAGAATGAGCAGCTTGGCAAGTCTCCTCCCAATGCTTGCCTCTGCGGACATCATGGATCCCAGGCCATGTGCGCTTAGACAAGCAAATAATCAAGCAGGTGTGTATTTCGAAAACACGCGAGCAGGCTACAGAGATCAACGCAGCAAAGAGGGCAGCAACAGAGGCAAGGAAAGCAGCAGAAAGGGGCAAAAAAAATTGGCCGAGAAGGCTGCACACGAAGCAGCGAAGATGCCATCAGATGCAACAGAGGCCACAGCAGCAACTGCAGCAGTAGCGGCCGATTCACTTGCTGGTGCATTGGCGGCAAGGAACACAACAGCTCCAGTAATACCTATGGTGTTTCCTAACCTGCGCAGCGGAACTAAATCTGGCAGCTGCATAAAGAAGTCCTCTGGCAAGGTATCCCGCAGCATCGGCGAGTCAATCGAGCCTGGTGAGATCGAATTGACCGTGATGTTGTCCGGTGCAAACTTTTGCGCCATGTCCTTGGTCAGATGGATCAGACCGGCCTTGGATGATATGTACGCCGGGTGAGTGGACACAAATTCGGTAATCAGCAACGCTAGTTATGTTGATTATACGCGTTGGGCACTCCTTAGTTGCCACGCGCTTCAGCAGCGGCAGGAGTGTCTTGGACACTAAGAAGGGGGTAAACATATTCAGTTGCAAGGTACTGAGAAACTCGTCGTCAGGATGATCATTGTAGTTAGCTACGTACGTCCGTCCACAGTTGTTAATTAGGGCGTGTAGTCCGTTTGGCTCAAGCTCGGTAAGCTTGTGCGCCAGTTGCTGCACTTGTTCAGGATCCGTGATGTCGCAGACAATGTAGTCGCATTTGCCGGGACCTTGGGCTGTCAGGGACTGCGATGCCTCCTTGAGTACCTGCTCACTGCGACTGGTAATATAGACACGCGCACCAGCTGCCACTAGGCCCTCAACCATCATGCTTGGTCAAGAGTGCCCTGGGAAGATTGGGTGCTTCCTACGCCACCGCCTATGTTGGCATTATCGTCTTGTAGAATAGTACGTGAAGCTTCAACTACATCAGTCAGGTGGAATAAACACTAAATGCTCCTGGTAGCCACTACATGCAGTCTATTTATGAGCGGCAATAAATGTACAATCGCGAAATGCAAAAAATAAAAAGCTATAAACAAAATACGCGCCTGAAGTACAGGGACCAGTCAGAACAGTTTCGTGCACATGGCACCGTCGCTGACGACCCAGACCGCAAGGCCCTCGCGCAAATACTCCTTCCAGACGACCATATGGTAGGCATAGCTAATGAAGCTATACCAGGCAACATGCAACCCACCAGCCATGGCCATGGCAGCTAGCAGCTGCACTGTGGGGATTTCGCGCTCAGCCGCCCACTGGCGCACAACGCGCTGGTCGAGCAAATCGCGCGTCGGCGAGTACCCTGACAGATCCCACGAGACCGACAAGCACGGGTACCATTTCCAGGCCCATGCAATTAAAATCGGCGCCACCAGCGAGTACGCGCGGTGGCTCCAGTGCAGGACGGAGCTGGCACGGATCTTGCGCTCAAATACCACAATTCCGATGGCCGTGCGGCGCACATACCAGATGAACACATGGATTGCCAAAAGGCTGGTCGGCGGCACCGCCAGAGTGCTGTCATTGCACAGCACCAATACCCAGGCGGCTGCCCACGCAAACGGCGAATGGAAGATCACTGTGCGCTCGAACCATGTCGGCTTGTAGTTCAGCGCCAGGAAAAAGCACACGTGGTATGAGACCACCAGCAATAGGCAGATGCTTGGTAATGTGCCCAGCGAATATACCAGCGGCGCTGATGACAGACTGGCCAGGTACGCAAACACCAGCAGTAGGAGTGCGGCCAGATGGACAGCATAGAGCCACCAGCTGTACGTTATTTGGGTGTCGGCAGTGCGCATCCACTGCTGCGCGATTATGTGCTCGGTAGAAAAAAACTTTGTCAGAAACGGACTGCCGCTGGAGACCTCAAAGTAGCCGCCCAGGAAGCGGATGTCATGGGTGTTGTGCTTTAGCTGCGAAAACAAATTGCGCTTGACAAAGTAGTCGTCAAGGACAACCAATGGGCGGGTCTTCATTTACAGAGGAAAAAAAAGGAGGGGAGTGCAAAAACAAGAGAAAAGGTGGGTTAGCAAAGAGGGGAGGCGCGATGGGCATTTTCATATTCCAGGGCTGTGGAAGGTGACGGGGCGTGCTTGCTTTTGTAGGACCGCCCCGAACTTTCATGTGGATGAACATGAATCACGCCTGTTTCTCAATAGAAACCAAGCCATCTGTTTGGGAAGCACAGGCAATCAGGAGCGGCATGTGAAAGCGATCGATAAATAGCCCCAGCTGCAGACCAGCCCATGAGTCTATTTCACGCTCTCGATCTCATAGCACAAGCACACGTTGTTGCTGACGCCATCCCACCCGCGGTTCCCACAGGCAGTGACCATGAAGCGCGCAGCCTCGTCGACCAAGGCACACGACACGGTGCTGCCGTGGTGGCCCGGGATGACCATAAAGCGCACGCCCTTCTGCTCATCCAGATCCCACATGCGCACGTTATCGGTGGAGCAGCAGATCAGGCTGCGGTTGTTGGGCAAAGCAGCCAGCGCGGTCACAGGGCCCGAGTTGGGCGGCAAGCGCAGGGATCGGACGGGCTGGTTGCCCTGGTTGAACTCGTACTCGTCGACAGTGTTGTTGCGGCGGCCGACGAAGATGCGCTTGCCATCGGGGCTCCAGCACGCAGAGGCAGCCCAGGGCGGGGTGCGCGGCGGCGGATCGAAGCGGTGCGGCAATGCAGCGCGCATGCGTACGTCCCACAGCAGACACTGCCCGTCGATGCTGGCGGTCATCAGCACGGGGCTGGGCGTCTTGAAGTCAAAGCCCTCGTTCTCTGCTGGCGCCTGCGAGTCGTCTGCTGGGGAGTTTTTCAAGGCATTGTATTTGGCAGCATCCCATGTGGGCTGGAAGGCAATGCTGCTGATCTGCGAGGCGTGGCCGGCAAAGCTGCGGGCCAGGCGACCCGAGTCCAGGTCCCAGTACAGCACAGCGCGGTCCCAGGCGCCGCTGACCAGGCCGCGCTCATCGGGGGAAATGCGCAGCACCGACACGGGCTGGCGGTGCTTGCTGAGCACGTGCAGCTTCCGGCCCTCGTCATGGCGCACACTCCACAGGGCAATGCGGCCGCTCTGCATGCCCGACACCAGCCACAGCGCCTGGGCCTGCACGTCCATGCTGAACACCGGCGACAGCACGTCGTTGTCCGAATGCTCCCAGTACCCAGCCATGACGCCGGCCTTGGAGACGCTGTCCACGTGCGCATGCCGCTGCCCCTGCGTCATCATCTGCCGGCCGTTCATGGTCGCTGCAAAGTCCCACCGCTTGATGTACCCGTCGGCGCCCCCGCTGAACACCCACCGCATGTCGGCTGTTGCTGTCAGCGTGTGGATCTGGTATGCATTCAGCAGGGCTGCTGTGGGCACCACCTCGTATCTGCGGCTCTGCGCCCGCTGCCCAGCCGCCGCAAACTGCGCCCGCGGTGCGTTCTCCAGCACTGTCAAGGCGCCTGGCGGCGTGTCCATCTCAATGTCCAGCTGCGGTACTGCCCGGCTGACCTTTGCTGTGCCGGGCTTGGCCACCGGCGCTGGTGTGCTGCCTGTAGCTGCTGCTGCTGGCGTTGCCCGTCCCGTGATGCTCTCGCTGAGACTCAGCATGTCGTCCACGTCCATATTGGCATCCATGCCGCCCTCCAGCGAGTCCGACTCTGCGCCAAATAGCTCACGCTCCAAAAGGTCGTCATTGAACCCGCTGTCCGACATTTTGAAGAGAGAAAAAAAATAAATGAAATTAGAAAAAAAAGACTGGGAATCAAAAGAAGAGAACAAAGAAATCCCGAGAACTGTCCTCTCAAGTCGACTTGGCCGCTTCCTCGACAATCGAGCCCGTGGTCTGCAGGTACTGCTGGATGCTCTGGTACAGCTCGACCTGGCGCTCGGGCGTCAGCAGCAGGAACTTGTTGAACATGGCGGCCGCCGTCAGCGTCGACACCTTGATGAAGCTCGAATAATAAATGTGCGAGAACGCGGCCATGAAGAACTGGCAGTCGAACCGGTCCGTCACTCCGCCATGGCCCGGAATCGAGTTGCCAAAGTCCTTGATGTTGAACGCCCGCTTCACGCCCGACGCAAAGAACCCGCCGAACGGCGCGATCAGCGACGCAAACGCCGAAATCGCCAGCGAGTGGAACTGCACCGGCTTGATCCACACCGTCGCGATGCTGCGCCGGAACACCCACGACAGCACCGTCGCCACAGCCGCCGGCAGCCGGTACTCGGACGCGACAAACACCGGGTTCAGCTCGCACTCCACCGCCGAAAACGCCGTCATGTGCAGATTCGGCGGCGGACACGTCATGAACCGCCAGTTGCTCAGCACCGCCGTAAACAGGAACCCAAACGCCATCGTCGTCAGCCCGCCTCCAATGTACCCCTTCCCACGTCTTCTTCGGGCTCAGCTCAATCAGCTGGTGCCGCCCAAAGAAAAACCCAAACACATACGCAAAGATGTCGTTCACAATCACCAGCGCTATCGGCAGGAAGAACCAGAAGATGCCCTCAAAGATGTTCTCGATCATGTACTGGCTCTGCATCACCACCAGCCCCAGCGCCATGTGCGTCCACGCAAACTGCCCCATCTGGAACCGGTAGTACCCCTTGCGCAGCGTCCCCACAAACCACATGAACCCCACGAGATATAGGCTGAACGAGATAAACCGGTGGTGCGCAAACAGCGGCTGCAGATACGCCTCCAGCCACGCGTGCCGCTGGATCGCCCGGTGCACATTCCGCCCATACAGATAGTACTCCAGGCAGATCAGGAAATACACGTTCATCGCCCGCGACCACGGCAGCGACCGCTCCTTCTTCGGCACCGACGCCAGCGAAATCACCTCCCGGTAGATCAGCACCTGCAGGCACAGCACCATCAGCATGATCGAGAGCGGCCCCAGCGCTATCACCGTGAAGAACCCCCCGATCATCGCAAACGTAAACGTCGTCCGCTGCCGCCAGTTCCGCCACTTCTTTTGCGTCTCCTCCGCCGCCAGCAGCACCGGCGCTGCGCTCTCCTCGCCGCCCTACATCGCCATGCAGTAAGCCCAAAGCAAGAAAGTCTTAGCAGCCTGCCTTTGGATATCCTCTGCTACTCGCGGATTCCAAACAAATGCCCCTGCTCTGCTTACCCGCTTGTCGTTGCCGTGGTTGCTCTTACGATGCCGAAGCTTCGACGGGCTCTCTGTGCCTCGCAGCGACGCCCCGGACGTCTTCTTTGATACCTTTGCTGCCATTCTCTGTCTGCAAAATTAGCCTAATCTTAAAAATAGATAGACTAGTCGAACAAGAGGAACTGAAAAAAATAAAATGGTGCCGAGCTGGACAAGAGGTGGCCACGCCAGCAGCCGATGATCAGCAAGGGCAGACCAGGTGGTGCGCTCCTCAATAATCAGGTGCATTTTCTCCAACCACGGCATCAACGGCTGCGTGTGGTGGGGCCCGTGTGGCACGTCGAGAAAGCGGAAAAAAGAGAGGAAGGTTCTATTCGTTTCTTGGGGTGGGAACAATGAAAATTTAGTCGACGTCCATCTCCTCGGCGGGCTTGGTCCGGCTTCTCCTCGGCCGGGTTGGGCGTGGCCGTGCCAGAGCCCGCTGCCGCCTGCTCCTCGGGCTTGGGCTCCTCCTTGGGCTTGGGCCGCGACATGATCGGGCTGGCAAAGTACACCAGCTCCTGCTTCTGCGTGCGGATCTCGTGCGCAAACACAACCGGCGCCTCCCACTTCTTCTTGAGGCTCTGCTTCTCCAGCTTCTCGTCCAGCCAGTTCTGCACCTTCTCGATGCGGTCAATCACCCGCTGGCGCTCCTCCTCGGTGATGTGCGCATACCGCTCCTCCTGCGACATCGCGCGCTCGGCCCACTGCTCGATGATTTCGCGCAGCTCGCGCGCCGCCACCGGCCGCTCGCGGTCCTCGCGCGACCGCTCCACAATCGGATCGCCGACAGCCTTCAGCGTCGCCAGCTTCTCCACATAGGCCGCCTTGGTCGTGTCCTCGCCGTCCTCGTACAGCCAGTCCTCGGCCTCCATCAGCCGCGACAGGAACCCGTCGCGCTCGCTCGGGTCCACGTACGCCGAGCAGTCGCCCTCGACCTTGCCGCGGATCTCGTAGATGTACTCCTCCAGCGAGTTCTTGGCGTGCTCCGTCTCAAACACAAGCGCGTCCGTCTTGTGCATCTCCTGCTCCTTCTTGGCCAGCGCTGTCAGCGTCTCGTTGTCCAGGCACTGCGACGCCTGCGACACCGGCAGATCCGCCTTCTTCTGCAGCTTCTTCACCTTGCGCATCTCGGGAGCCGCCGCCTCCTCGCCCTCCTTGGGCTCCGCCTGCGGCACCGGCTCCTCAACCTCAATCTCCTCGACCGTGTACGCACTGGTGATGTTCAGCACGCCGCTCTGGTCCAGCCGCGCCTTGACCTTGATCGTCGACAGATCGCCCGTCGCCGTCGCCTCGACGTTCTTGACGTCGAACCGCGCGATCCACGGGTTGGTGCCCTGCGGCAGGTGAGCCGGGTCGGCATAGTACGCCTCGATCGTGAACGGCTGCTTGCGGTAGAACGTCAGCATCTTGGTGCTGGGGATCGTGTTGTACCGCCCAAACACATCCAGCTGCGTGTCGTCGCTGCCCTGCGACGCCTCCCACTGGAACCGGATCGGGTGCGCTGTGACGTCGTGGATGGCAAAGTCACGCACCCGGAACACCGGCGACGCAATCGCGCACTGGAACGCGCAGCCGCGAGCAACTGCCTCGTCCTGGTTGAGCGTGTAGGACAGCTCGCGGCCAAAGAAGTCAGTCAGGCGCTTCTTCACCGCCGGGATACGGATCGAGCCGCCCACCAGCTCGATCGAGTGGATCTCGTCCGCCGACAGGTTCGCGTCGCTGATCGCCTGCTTGATCGGGGCCTCCAGGCGCTGCAGCAGCGGCTCAATCAGCTCCACGAACTCGTCACGCGAGTACATGGCGCTGGCGTCAATGTCGTTCATCAGGTTCTCGACCGTGATCGGCGCCGATGCATTGGCCGACAGAATCTTCTTCAGCTTCTCGCACGCCGCCAGCAGGCGCACCATCGCCTTGTCCTTGGTGCGCACATCGATCTTGTACTTCTCGTTGAACACCTGCACAAAGTGGTCCAGCAGCGCCTTGTCAAAGTTGCGGCCACCAACGTTGCGGTCGTACGCAACAGCCTTGACCGTCAGCTCGCCCTTCTTGAAGGCAACAACCGACACCGAGAACGAGCTGTGGCCCAGGTCCACAAAAACAACGTTGCGCGCCTTGTCCTCGGGCAGGTCCGTCTTGGTGATGCCATATCCCAGCGCCGCCGCCGCGTTGTCGTTGATCAGCCGCAGCGGGTTCAGCCCGGCAATCTTGCTCGCCTGCAGCACAGCACGGCGCTGGCGGTCGGTGTACCAGCCCGGCACCGAGATCACAACATCGGAGACTGAGCCGTTCAGCTCCTTCGCCGTGATGTCGCGCAGCTTGCCCAGATACATCGCATACAGCTGGGTCGCGCTCACCTTGGTCACCTCGTCCAGGTAGCTCACCTCGACACCAACCTCGCCGTTAACGTCGCACAGCTTGCCCCCGATGAACTGCTGCTCAAACTCTGCAACCTCAGGGTCGTTGAACGACCGCCCAATCAGGCGCTTGAGCCCGATCACCGTGTTCTTGAAGTTGCTCATCTCCTGGTTCTTTGCGCTCTCGCCAATGTACCGCTGCTTGCTGCCAAACGACACCATGCTGGGAGTAGCCCGGTTCGACACCTCGTTAGCCACAATATCGATACCGCGGTTACGCGCCACCGCAATAACCGACTGGAGGTTTCCGACGTCAAATCCTAGAAAGTGATCCGATGGAGAGCATATTAGACGACTGTAGGATATATATATATATATATATATATAGCAGTACATCACACAGCACAGGCCGCTCCCTCCTCCTTCTCCCCACACCTGGGCCCTAGTACTTACCGACAACCGACATATTTCTTTTCTTATTTCAAAGCCTTGGTGGTATGTGTATACGCGCTTTCAGCCGTGGTAAAAAGGCAATAAAAGATTTGTACAAAATGTAGATTCAGCTAGTGAAAAGTTTGGAGGTGGCCAGAGAAAGGAAAGGGCTTGCTTTTGGTGAGCGCACTCGCTGGGCGGGGGTGTGCTGCCCAAAGCGGACCGACACTCTTGCCTCACCGACTGCAGCACAGTGGGCCCACTCAACAAAAAATTCTAGGCTGTTCGATCCCTTGATCTGCTGATGCCACCAGCTGAACGGTGTAATCGGATCATCGTCTCGTCTCGTCTCGTCCCGTGACTCTCCGCACCCAAGTGCAAAGCCATGCTCCATCCTGTGTGCTGCTGCAAGCAGCTGTATCGCCCATAGCAGCATGCGCAACAAGGAAATGGCAGCTCTTAATATCCACTCGGCTCTATTGCTGATAGCGCTGATGCTTCATGCTACTCACTGAAAGCGAAGCAGGATGTCGAAGAGGAATCAAAAAGTAGCTACCAGCATGCTGCTGGTCACGATCGGGGGCAATTGCTTGAAACAACACCGCTTTGTTCACTGATATTTTGCTTTATCTTTTGCAGGCAGCTGGTGAATCTGTTTGTATATCGCCTATTTCCTTACACGCTGTATGCACGCCTTGAAAAACTATGGATAGCCTTCCGCTAATAAATACACAGCAGCAGCCCTGTGGAGCAGCTCATTAGTCTAGAACTGCACCAGCCTTTAACCCATCACTACGGGGGCGCCAGTGTTGTTAATGCCTTGGGTGTCATGCAACGCAGCATGGTGACACTGCTGCTAACCATGCCATATATATTTAAATAATCTCTCCTCCATCCACATTATTTTCCAAATCACAAAAAAAGTCAAAAAGCTTTGACCCAGATCTGACTTCGCCCTAGCGAACAGCGCAAAGGGAACCGAGAAGCTGCTAAAAAGAATCCGACAAACCTGATTCGAACAGGTGGCCTAGAGATTTCAAGAGCTCTTCAGCTCCACTACAGTCTCCCGCTCTACCAACTGAGCTATTGTCGGCAAACCAAGTTGCTGACCTGGCAAGTTCGTTGGTACCAAAGAAGATCTGCTGTATCTTCAGATCTGAATCTGATTTCTTTAATTGATCTTGCACTCTGCAGCAGTTAATAAATATGATTGGATCCCATCAGAATATGTGCAGTTTGCTCAGCATGTATAGAGGATATTCTTAGCTACTAAACTACTTGATATACATCTAACTCTTCTTAAATATCATATTCTGATGTTATTAGGACGCTTCTACGAAACCCCTATCAGCATCCTGAAAAAGTTTATTTCTTGTGACCCAGCCTGTATCTCAGTAGAAGCATACTAATTATGTATCAGCTGAAATTTTTCAGGATACTGATGGGGTTTCATAGAAGCACCTAAATAACTTCATATTTATTTAGCTCTTCTAAATATTCTTGCTCTTAAGTAGTTTAGTAGTCTATGTTTTCCAACTGCAAGAAGATATCCTATTCATTCTATGACCTCCAGTTTCAGTATTTACAGTTCAGTCCTTAAGATAGTAGGTACTGTATGGATCAAGTCCTCTTGGGTTCTGTTTTGGGCATAGCTCTGTAGCAGAGGCAGAGTATTTCTAGTTTTTCTTTGTGTTCACTCACTCCTCCCTTGGCGGGTGATGCAAAATAGCACTGGACTTGTCGGTACTCAGCGCCGAGGGAGGAGACTCTCTCTTCACCTCAACTCGGTGTATATTCACCTTGCTAATCACTTTGTGCAAATAAGCTACCAGTACAGCCGCTGAGAGTCCACTCAGCCTGGAATAAAGGGGAGCAATCGGTGCGGAGTGCTGGGTTGCATATGGCCGAGCTTGAGAGAGCGCCGACAGGGTCAAAACCAAGGTACCATCCAATGGTGTGTTCACTCATAGCCGGACCGCAGGTGGCCTGGTTATCGTTACGCAAACTCGGGACAATCGTCATCCACGGTAACAATCGGCGCAGTTTGAGTGCGATCGCTAATATAGTGCTTTTGAGTAGTAGAATCCTCGCAAAGTCTAGGAAATCCAATGTAGGCGACGCCCATGGCTATCAGAGAGAACGGCAATTTGCAATTCCTTTCTCATAATATAGAAACTCCGAATAACGGCGGCCTGCTCTCCACACACCTCTCTCCCTCTCCTTCTCTTCAATTCATTTCATCCTGTCCATATCCTGGCCTGGCCGGTTTAATATAGCTTTTTCTTTGGTACGCCTCGAGTATCGTCATTAGACCTTCAAAAGGCAGCCAGCTTGTTTACCTTTCAACGACGCCCAGAGCAAGGCTATTTTGCCAATCCCTCTTTTCTCTTTCTTCTCGCTCGTGTCGGGCCTTTTCTTATTTTCTCCTTTCGTCTTTCTGCATTTCACATATACAAAGCTTTTTCTGTTGGTCATTAGCTAAATGTCGTCGGCTTCAGTAAGGTGAGTATCGATCTGTATGCGAACAGCCTGTCTGGTCCTATTTCATTAGTGCTCACAGAGCCTCCTTGGTCATATAGGGTTGCGCTGCGTGTGCGGCCACTGTCGCCGCAGGAGCAGGTAAATGGGGAGTCGGAATGCGTCACGCAGCTGCCTGGCGTGCCTCAGATAGTCATCGGCGCCGACCGCGCATTCACGTTCGACCATGTGTTTGCACCGGAGGTCACGCAGGAGCAGGTCTACGAGGACGCAGTTCTACCGCTCGTACGCCAGTTTCTCAAAGGGTAGGTTTCTCGCATGACGTGCGACATGGACCGGCATTGCTATCAACTGGACGCATGAGACTAATGCAACAGCTACCTGTGTAGATACAACGCCACCGTGCTGGCATACGGGTAAGCGAGGGAGAGGTGATGATGCAATTGCGTATTTGATAGCGAACTGTGAACGAGGGGACGCAAATAGAACGGCTATTTTTACTTCAACGGGGGGGGGGCACCGGTGGCGGCAGTCGGACAGCGCAGCCAACGTTTGGTCCTGATAAACATGCATGCAACCGTATATAGAAGAACGATGACACCGGTGGCTAACACTCATTCTCTCTTCCTTTTGTACCCTTTGCCAATCGCTTGCGGAACATGCAACCACGCCCAACGGCAATAGTCAGGTACGTCTCTCACACATGCACGCTTGCTGTCGCAGAAATTGGGGGCGGTTCCTTTTACTGATGTACAAATGTCTATTTTTGGCTCGCTATTGTAGACAGGGAGCGGAAAGACGTTCAGCATGGGCACGGGTCTCTCGACATCCTCGGCGATTTCAGACACCCAGGGCGTGGTGCCCCGTGCCATCGGCGACATATGGACCAGCCTCGAGAAGCGGGCGACTGAGGACAACAAGTTCTCGTACTCGCTCGAGGTCTCATTCATGGAGCTGTACAATGAGGACATGATTGATCTGCTGAACCCGCGCCTAGCAATCGCCGGCAGCCGCGGGCCCTCGATTCGCGAAGACAGTCGCGGCAACATGGTTCTGGTTGGTGTCGAGCGCAAGGCCGCTAGCAGCCAGGATGAGATCATTTCGTTTTTGCACCAGGGCACCCTGTCGCGCACCACTGCCTCGACAGATATGAATCGCACGTCATCGCGGTCCCACGCAATTTTCACAGTCATTCTGCGTCAGCAAGGCAGACGGTCAGCCGGACAGGCAGCAAGGAGCGGAGAGTCGCCTGCCAGCGACTACATGACACTGGATAATGGCCCGCTGATGATCTCAAAGATGCACTTTGTCGACCTGGCCGGCTCTGAGCGGATAAAGCGGACTGGCGCAGCTGGCACGCGCGTAAAAGAGGGCATCTCAATCAACGCCGGCCTGCTGGCCCTTGGTAATGTTATCTCAGCACTGGGCAATAGCACGCAACAGGGCAAGCGCCAGACGCATGTGCCGTACCGCGATAGCAAATTGACCCGTCTTCTGCAGGACTCGCTGGGTGGAAATTCACAGACCCTCATGTTGGCCTGTATCTCGCCATCCAACAAGAACCACGCGGAGAGCCTAAACACAATCCGCTATGCGAACCGCGCGCGCAATATCCGCAACAAGGTCGCTGTCAACTTTGACAAGAACAGCTCAGCCGAGCTCAGTATTTTGAAGACAGAGGTAGCGAGGCTGCGTGGTGAGATCGCCAAGCTCAAGCTTTTGCGTCGCCAGTCGTCGCTCATGCCCAGCGACCAGGCCGCGGGTCAGACCATGGCCCGTCTCGAGGCAGAGCTCAGTCGGCTCGAGGCTGTCAATATGGAAATCACGGAGAAGCTCGAGCAGGCAGTGCGCCAGGCAGCCATTCTGGAGATTGAGCGGGATTCGCTGCGCCGGAAGATTGTCGATCTCGGCGGCACCGTCGATATGAAGATGGCTGATTCTGCCATAGCTATGCTCGATTCATCCCTGCTGAAACACCCTGGTGCGGCTGTCCCCATGGGTTCGGTCGGTAATTCAGCACCCAGCGGCATTCAGTCACCCCGTCCCAACAGTATCTTCACTGACGGTAATCCGGGCATACTGAGCGACCAGATGCTCAACACCATGGACCGCGAGCTGTCTGACCAAGCTGAGCGCCACGAGCAGCAGATCGACAGCGTCCGCCACCACTATGAGTCCAAGCTGGAGCTTCTGCAGGAGACCCTGGCAATTGTACAAAAGGAGCGCGATGTCGCTCTCCAACGTCTGGCCAACGCCAACAAGTCCTCGGTCTCGCTATCGTCGGGCTCCAGTGGCCCACCCAACCGGCGCGCTCTGGGCCTAGAGAACGGTGCCTCGACGCCGACAAAGCTCCGCCAGCCGAGCCGTATCGCCAAGGCTTCCGTGTCGCGCAAAGCATCCAGTGTTGACATCCCAGGTCGCAGTTCTCCAGTGCCCGTTGTACGTGAGCTGCAGGAGCAGCTCGAGCAGCTGAGGCGCGAAAACCAGGCGCTTCTGGACAAGGCCACCGCTGACTCTGAAAGCCTGGCGCTGCAGGTGCAGGAGCAGGCACGCGAGATCGCCACCCTGCGGCGCAAGCGCACCGGCCGTACCGACAGCCGGCGGTTCTCGTTCCTGCCGCACCGCGACAACACCTGGGGCGTGGCCAGAGACGTGGCCGAAGAGGAGAACACTCCCAATCTCTTGCGCGCCGCCTTCATCAAGAAGGTGCTTGAGGGCGAGCTCCAGCGCTGCGTGCAGGCTCGCCAGATGCTGCGTGAGCGCGACTCGTACCTGAGCAAGCAGGACGAGCTGATGAACGAGCAGAACGACATGATGTTGTTGCAGCTGCAGGGCGACGATATTGACGGCGACCACGATCCAGCTGACGAGCCGGCGAATCCGGCATCCCCCGGCACCACCATGGAGTGGGCAAACCAGCGCATCGAAATCATCGACGCTGAGCTGCATTACCTTGATCTCAAGGTACGCGATGTTGAGGCTGAGATTGCCCGCCTCTCTGAGGACACCACCGAGAGCGCCAGCGACCTGCAGGGCAGTGGCTTGCTGTCGCGGCCTTTGCTGCTCAACATGAGCGGCCTGGCCATGCGCATGGTCGAGGATGTGGTGCGCATCGACTACCGCGCCTTTGCTGACATGTTTGATGCCATGGAGCCCAAGGATGTTACTGGTTTGTCGTACCTACTGATGCAGGATATCATCGATCTGCGCCTCATGTCACACCGCGAAGAGATTGCGCGCAAGGAGGTCGAAGAACAGACCATGGACTTGCGCCGCACTTTGCTTGTCATGCAGAAGACTGCGGTCAATGCCGCCCTGTCTTATGAGCATGAGCTGGGAAATGCCGAGCGCAGGCTGTCGCTGTTGAAGTCGCCCGAGTTCGCGCCCAGCGTCATCGAGTCGGTCGGAGACGACCACATCCCCCAGGCCTCACTGCCACGTGATATCAGCCAGGAACTGGCCCATACGCCTATCCACAGCACACTCTCTGACCAGGGTCGTTCAGTGTACGACAATGTGCGTGAGCGTGGTATCCTGCTCCGCTCTGCGATCCTCAGTGCCGGCAACGGCTATGACGACGATACAATTTCAACAACTACCTCATACTCGCCACGTCCAGTCATGGTTGCACCGCCAGTAAAGGAGTCCGACTCATCCCAGGTCTCGCTGGCGCCGTTCTCTGCCAACACCGAAATCGGCAGCCTTGGCAGTGCATCCGGGAATGATACTCAGAATCAGTTGATGCAGGTCACCAGTCATGATGCAAGCGTCAGCCTTGCAAACTCCACGCCAGTTGTAGACTCACGCACCTCTGGCGACTCAGCGTTCTTTCAGGAATCAGTGAAGAGCATATCGATAAGCAACATGGCCCGCTCGCCGAGCCCGATACCCGAGGTGCCGCCGCCGCCCCCGTCGGCCGTGACTGCGCAGACATCGATCATCCAAAGCACTGATTCGCAGCCTGCCACCCGGAACAGCAACTCCAGCGAGCGAAGCACACGCATTGCTGACAGCAAGGACTTTGTGGTGTCGTCGGCAGCGCTAAGCTCCGATACGCCTCATTCCTCGCAGGACCCCTCAACACGAGCAAACTCTGCGCAGCTCAACCGCATCAGTTCTTACAACTCACCAATTGAATCCGACTACAGCTTAGCTGCAACCAACCGGGCACTGCGCATTAGCGGTACCTTTGGTCGCAGTTTTGTCGACGTCGGACAATTCGTCGATGACATGGATGGCATGTTCATGTCTGATCCTGAGGACATGCCCAGCGAGGTTGAGCCCAATATCATTTACCGGTCGGGCTCCAGCGAGTTCTTCCGTCAGCCCAACATGGCCCGCAACCCATCGACGCGCAGCCGCCACCGCTCGCGTCATCTTGTGCGTCGCTCGCAGAAGCGCAACGACAAAACCAGGCAGCCGCGCATGGACAAGGCCACTATGCAGCACCTGCGCATCAGTCTGCCCATCGTGCCGCCCGAGATGATGGAATACATTGACCAGCGCAACCCGACCGCGCTGCGTGTCAGCGACCATGATGCGGTGGTTGCCTCGCCTGAGATTCTCAAGCAGATGAACATCCCTGACAATGCCGAGTACCACGAAAATATCGCCGCATTCTCATCGTTTGCTGTCAAGAAGCCGGCGGTTTCAACACCCGCCACACCAACCACGCCCTCACATTCTGCCGAAGGGCTTGCAAATGGTCGTGCACACCAGATTCCGCCATGCAGGCAGCCGCGAGGCGATCACGAGACGTCATCCGAGAGCGAGTCGGACTTTAGGGACGCACCTGATCATATCGCAGCGTCTATTCCTGACGACAGTGCTAGGCCCAGCGAGGATGTGAATGAAGGATTTGACGACTCCCGGACCAAGGTTCACTTTGCCCAGCCTGCTGACAATGATAGCGACTCGAGTTCGCCTGACAACTCACCTGTGCAGCTGCTTGGCTACCACCGTCTCCGCAGCCCCGGGCTCATGCCCACGCGCCGCTTCCCTGGCAGCCCGCAGAGCCGCTATAGCTATCCGTCCACTACAGATAGCAACGAGCAGGTGTTTAACACCCTCGAGCACGACATGCGCTCCTCTCTAGTTGTGACCAGTGCTGAAAACCTTCTCAGCGACAATTATGAGGGCGATGTAGAGTATACGCCGAGGCTGGATGATGAGGACCACACGGCACTGTATCCGCCGCGGGTTCCATCCAAAGGACCCAATGTGCTGAAGCCGCTGCCGCACCGGCCAGTGTCAAAGCCCGTGCCGCCGAGACCCAAGTCCCCGGAAAAGCCCGCACATCGGTTCCTGTCGCCCACAGAGCAGGTCAACGCATCGCTGTTCTCGATGATCGATGCTGCCAAGATCGACCCGGCTGAGCTCCAGCGGCTGCGCGAGAAACAGTCGGTACAAACCACTATCTCGTCCAAACTCAGTCAAGAGCAGTTCCTGACTAAATTTGGCGATGACTATGACTCCTGTGCACATCTGGATCCAGAGGCGCAGGCCATGGAAAACAGCATTGAGGAGTCGATGCAGAAGGATTCGACGAAGCCGATGAAGATCCGTCGTCGCGCACACTCATCCAACGCAGACGAGGAGTCGCCAATCCCAACCTCCAAGCACAAGAGCAACAACCGCCTTACCAAGCTGTTGTCGGGGATCGGGCTGGGCAATAGCGGCAACGGCCAAAAGCCCAAAGAACAAGCAGAGTCTCAGCTGCGCTCAAACAATGTCCATCAGACTCACCACGCGATGCCTGCGGAGCCGCAGAATGTGGACAAGAGCAAGAAGCGCCTACCTGAGCTGCCTACTGAGTTCAACCGCGCATTTTCAGACGACACCCATGATCTGCCCCTGCCCCGTATCCAGCGCAACCGCAGTCAGTCAGATTCATCCATGAACCAACGTATGCGCGAGGGTGCTGGTGACCGCAATGGACACCACTACTCAAGACCGTCAGGAGCCACGTCTCCCAGAAGCAGTGACAAGTACATGGCCTCGCCGATGGCTCGTCAGCGGCATGCTGCACACAGGAATGCCAATTCACATGCTCGTCATTCGCATGCGTTCTATCTGAATGAATCTGCAAGCTCGTCGATGGGAAATACCAACAAGGCGCTGCCTAATCCACCTACCCGCTCGCCGGACGCCATGTATGGTAGACACGGGATGGTGACTCAGACATATTATGAATATTAAGCTTTCATTTTATGTGCACTTAATGTCATGGAAACCAGATGTTGGCATTTTGAGGAATGCGATCAAACATACCAGCAGTTGCAAGTCCACTGTTTTATATTTCACGGTGCAGCTATAATGTGGAGAGCACGATGTGATGAGCTAAGAGGCACTGAAGCATGGATCATGGAGTGGCATCAAGCACAATGTAGTTGGATATATACTCTTGAACATAATGCATATTCTGCGTTTTCTATAGATCTATGCTGCCTTAAAAATACTAAAGATATCTATTGATAGGAATGAAATTTGTATGAGAAAATAGCGCTGCCAAAATCAAGTCAAGAGTTGTTCAGAATGTGTACTGCTTGGTTTTTGAGTCAAGTTTAGCCCTTGCACCAGGATCCAGGAACACAGATGCCTCCTGTTCCTGTGAGAACGGGGGCTCTTCCTTTGCCTGGAAATATGTGTGGTTTCCAAGAAGTGCTCCCTGCCAGTAGCGGGTCGATCTCTTCATGCGCTCATCGACTTTAGCTGTGTACTCGACCAGCTCCTCCTTTGAAAGTGTTGCGAATAGGTAGTCCGGATGAACGATAAGCCCTGCTCCATTGGACTGGCTGAATCCAAACGACGTGAACAGCGCGGCCTTGATAGTTGGCGCACGAATAGTCTTGCTCAGGTATACAAGGTGCTCGTGCTGTTCCAACTCGTCATCGATATTATCCGCATTCCTATTCCCCGGAATGAGTCCCGTTGTCATTGACTGAAGAATGCCATGCATTGAACAGCTCGTTGCTGGGGCCTTTGTATGACCAAGAATCCACTTCTGACAAACTACTGGAACCGGAAGACCAGGCGTGCGCCCAACGTGCTTCATGAGCATGTTCACAATGTTTGACTCGTTTACATCATTCAACTTTGTCGATGTTCCGTGGAATGACGCCAGCCCAATATCATCTGCATCAAGACCCCATGTCGCTAGCGCAGCACGAAGGGGTGAGGTCGACTTGCACATCTTGTAGAAATCATTACCCCATGTCGTTTTAACTGCTTGTCTTATATCTTTCGCTACGCCAGTGTTACCCAGCTGCTCAAGCGCAGCTAGTTGCCTATCACGCATCTGCCTCCTATAATGGATGTCAAGCAGTTGCAGGTCCGATAGGGTGGGGTTCTCCTTTCCAATGGACAGTATCCCTTGGCCCGGGGCGCTATAATTACGGGTCGACTTGTCGGTAGCAGTGGCGGACATTGCTAAAATTCCATAAATAGGCGCTCCAATTTTAAGCGCCGCGGTAGCTGACATCAAAACAGCAACTCCCGAGCCGTGACTCTCAACAAACCCACTTCTGGTAGATGTGCAGGGCCGTGACATTTCCTGAGGAATTCTCCCCTTTACTAGCTCATCCCTGGCACTTGCTGTGGCATTCATCAAACCAAACTCAAATGAGGTATCGTTCGTGAACCCTTCTCCTGCACCAGCGATCATGACATCCGCTTTACCCTGGATAATCGATTCTGCAGCAAGGTCTAGCGCGATGGCTGAGGTAGCACATGCGCCAACAGTCGGTTTTAGTGGACCTGATGCCGAAAATAGAAGCATATTGAGCCATGCGCTCATATGATTGACGGTACATTCAGTCATCATGTCCGAGTTCACATTCTTGTCCAGATATCTGTTGCGGAACACATTAACAAGGGTTTTTGCCCCACCCGCACTAGAGCCAATCGCATGCCCGACCTTTGAAACGTGGAAATACTGGTAGAGTTCATACGGATCTGTAATGCCAGATCTGACGAGCGCCTCCATTGTAGCAATAAGGGTATAGTGGTTCGCATCATCCATATTCAGTGCGAGATCCTCTGGTATTCCTAGCCGAACTGGATCCCACCCGGTCGGTGTTTGAGAAAGAACAGTGTGTCCAATATCGATTGCTTTTGGCACATGGATAACAGTGCCTTTAAGAAGTCTGACCGACCACGTTCCATCAGGGTTCTCCCATGTGTCAACCTTGTCGCCATTTCTCTGTTTGAAATGAAGAGCCTCCTCTGCACTGGTCTCGAAAGGAGGCATGTCCTGATCGATCTGAAGTTCACGGATGAAGGACTTCATATCAACATCCTTCTCACCCCAAATTTCTGGTTCAACAAGACGAATGCCGGTATGTTCCAAGATATATGGCTCGTACTTTGCCCTCATTTCCATATCGTGCACTGGCTCTTGTGTCTTTGCGTCAACCCAGCCAGTATAGTGGCTCCCTGTTCCTGGATGATCGCCAGAGAACCTTTTGATCAGCCCCATCATCCATGCCAGCTCAATGCAGCCTTCCATCGAGAACATACCATATGCCTCCTGCTCCCAGCGCAAGGCTGCATTCCCAAATGGACCAACTTCACCGAATCCTGTCACAACCACGACCTTATCCAAGTCAACCATGCCCTCCAGGTATCTAAGGTGGTCGAGTTGCTCGTATTCTTTTACAGCCGGGGAGTCAACCCTGTGTTGAGCACGTGGTATCGTCTTGTTTACAAATGACAGTGTCACAGAATCCTCTTTCTGCTCAGTGAAATACACTGCACACACATCCGAGTGCGCGGCTTTCCTTAATCTGGCAGTTTCTATCAGCATTGAGCGCCGCTTCGATAGCTCCTTGCCCACTGTCTCAATAGAATATGACCCACCATTGAAGTTGCCAAACACAGGATTGTCGTGCGCTGTCTCTTCCATCCCTTGTGATAGCAGGCAAAGTATGTTGAACGACATTTCCTCACGAGAGAACGTACGCATGCCCATTTCCTCCATGGCTGCATACACATTTGCACTTCCAGATGTCAGTTTCGTGCTGCGGGTCCATCCAATTTCACCACCAGTGATTGAAATGTACTCTGACCATGATTCTGTGTGCCAGCGGTTGTACAGCGTATGCAAAGCTGCCTTTGTTTCACCATACATACCGTCATTTCCTGCTATTCCATGATTGGATGAATGTGGCAAAACAAGTAGCGATGGGTGGAGAGTATTTCCAGTTCTTACTTTAGCTGCTTTAACCTGTCCTATCATCCGGAACAGATTAGTTAGAAGGGTACGGAGTGTTAACTCAGAATAAGAGTCGACACTCCCTGCATCTTTGCCATGTTCTGGGAAAGCAGCAAATGGAGCAATGTAGTCCAAATCCCAGCCAAGTCCATCTTTGCCGTAGATATACTGGATGAGGGCCTCTACATCACATGATGATGCCTGGTTGAAGGGGACAAGAACCAGCTCAGATCCGCGGGAACCAAACTTCCGGTACATCTCTTCGAAGGATCGGATCGAGGCAAGGGAATAGTTGGACGTTGTAGCAACCACTTTGGCTCCACCGGATAGCAAGCCCTCAACCAATCCTGAGCCAATGGACCCCTTTCCACACCCGGTAACCAGTGCACATTTGCCCTCAAAAGATATACCGTTAACCGCTGCGTCCTCCATCGAACTGAAGTATTCATCAGAAATTTCCTTGCTATATGACCAGGCGTTTCCAGCCTGTCGACCATACATATACAGGAGAGGTAACCCATCCTTGCTGGCACATTTCATGTGTTGAATGTAGTCACCTATCGATTGCTCCCCCTCTCTGGGAAGCTCACAGCTGTCGATATCACCTCTGAACGTGATCTCTGTATGAGGACGCAGTGGGGTCGAAAGCTCTTTGTAGACAGGAGACACATTTTCTGACTCCCTACACGCTGCATAGATAATCTCCGTTTGCTTCAGTGCACGGCTGGCAAACGGACACAGGTCTGCTTTGAGAGTCCCAATAAATGCCTGTAGCATTGAGAGCAGTCCGGGGTTGGACCGGTTCTTGAGCATATGAACACGTTTCATATACGTGGCACGGTCCATGCTTGAGTCCTCTCCGCTCAGAATGCCAGAGATCCATTCCAGTACATCCTGACGAGCCCAGTTCCAGTAGGAGTCAAAGTGACGAGCCTTGTTTGCGTCAAACAGGGTGTTGGTTTTATCTATCAACCCGCTGCCGAATTCACGCTTAACTTTGTCATTCTCTGACTTGAGAACTGCTACCTCCAGCTGCAGCTTTTCTGCTGATCTAGTACCTTGGCGCGTATCGAGACCCACATGCTTAGTAAGCGTCTCAATCTGGTCAAGAATGAGGTTTCTTTGGTTCTTCTGAGCCTTGTCAAATTCAGCGCTGTTAATAACAGCGGAGGCCGCCATAGCACCATTTCTATTTCCATTTTGTGCTGTGGCTGTCAGTGATAGACCCACATGGCTGGCATACATCTGGGCTGCTGACTCCAACCAGACTTGGGCTGCCTCTTCATCTGCAAGCCGGCAGGAGGGCTCCATTGTAACTGACATGAGCAGTAGAGCATCCTGTCTGCGTGGACCCAGGCCATAGTTGTCCTTCAAATACGAACGAGCAACTGACTGTGTGAACCCATTCGGAAGCTTCTCAACAAAAATCCTGTTGATAAGCGACTGAGAGTGTTTACCAAGAGAATTTGTAGAGTTCCCAAGGACTTTGGCAAGTTCCTCCAAGGTTTGCTCTTCGGCATGTTCAGGTAGGCCCTTGCCAAATTCCTTTTGGAAATCTCCGAAAAGCTCATTTTGCACCATTGACTTCCCAGCAACAAGCTCCTTGATCGACATCGTGGGATACACTTTAGCGATTGCTGTGGAGAGCTTCCATGAAATTGTTGCTCGTAGAATATCAATAATTGGAATTGGCACGTCATCAACAGAGCATGTAGCAGCTGGCAGGACTGGATGCAAGGCCGCTTGCTCTTCCACAGCAGGGCCAGGGGGTTTGGGTGCTCCTTCTTGCTTAGTTGGTTTGCTGCTTGTGCTCTGACCTGACCTCAGCGACAAAGGGTCAGTATTTATATCAGCATACTCGGTCTGAGACGCTGTATAATATACATCATCTCTATCCTTGCTTGCATGTAGAATAGCGACTTCTTCGCAGAGCCAGCTGTTGCTACCCAGAGTTTGTGTTGCCATACGACATAATATTGGCCTTGGGCCAATCTCGACCAGACGCTTCACCGAGCAGCTTTTGAACATCGAATCTTGGGTTTCAATCCATTTTACTGGTGAGGAAAGCTGGAATGAAAGGAGCTCAATCAGAAGCGTACGCGCAAGGTATACCTGGTTACCAAGTGTATCGGTACCATCTGTTTCCCGGTATTGGAGTATATCTTCAATAACTGGTGAGTGGGTGATGGAATAAACACGATCGAAATATTCCTTTGTGATTTCAAAGGGTTCTCCGGTCAGATTGGGGATGTATCTTCCACACAGCAATGAAGTAAGCCTCTTTATATGAGGAATTCTGCTGTCGAGTACCCTGCGGAATGTGCTGATACTTGCTGCTAGCTGGCTTGAATGTGAAGGGGCATCGATTCCAGGAATTGCAATAGTTGCGTTGCCAGTTTGCAATACCCGTGTATGAGGATGTTCATTCAAAATACCGTCGATAGTCTTTGTTATTTCTTCGCCTTCTTCAATTTCAGCAAGCGTAATGCTCTCTGCAGACAGTCGGTCTATAATCCTGCACATGGCAGTTAAGCTCTCGATATGTCCCGTGACTATATACTGTTGCCCACGGACGTTGTAGTTGATCACTTCCAGGAGCTGCTGCTTTCTTTCGCAAATAAGATCAACAAGTCGGAGAAGGTTAGATATTCCAAAGAGCTTCCCAGCACGCTGAGGGCTGACTGATACCATCGCATACTCGGAGCAGCCATTGATGTCGCGATCTACTGACATATGGAGAAGCAGTCCACGATAGAGAGCAATGTCCACAGCATCCTCGACGGAAACAATCTCAGCAATTGCAGCAAGTGACCCAATCTCGCCAAGCGAATGGCCAGCGAAAATGGCATCATCCTGGATAAGACCATGAGCACGCATGTCCGCAGCCTGAGCCAACGACATCACCGTCTGGATCGGCTGTGTGAACAGTGTTGCATTGAGCAGGCCATTTGCATACCGGTGCGTGTATGATGTAGATGTTTGCGTGATCCCTGGGATCAACTGCACAATATCGCTGTCAAATTCACGTACCAAGGAGAGGTATTGTGCGCGAATCTGATTACCCTTTTTGCCCCCAAACTTAACCAAATACTCTCTCGGATTCTCTTGGACAATTTTCAAAAGAGAAACGCCATACTTATTCAGCATGTGCTTATCAGCTCGGTCCCACACATCTCTGGCAGCAGTGGACGATACGTAGAGATCCATCCCCATGCCGACGAACTGTGATCCCTGGCCTGTAAATACATATGCGGTCTTTGCCTGGGCAACCTCTGCTGTGAGTGCCATCACTGTTTCCCGGTTCTGGTTTACAGTCTTGCCATTGATGACCATGTAACCACTGGCCATTCCCGTGTGAACCAGTTCTACTTGAAGGTCATTGCTGGGATAAACTTTTCCGATAAAGTTGACCTCGTATGAGCGCATACGCCTAGGATCGTTATCAGCAACAATGCTCTCAACAACAGCGCGGGTTGCAGCTGAGGTCCACATGCCGTGGCAAATCACCTCCGATTCTCCGATGTATGCAACCACATAGGGGTTTGTATGGAGCATGTTCTGATCGCCAGAAGCATGAGCAAACTCCCAATTTTCAGATGGCGCTTTGATAGACATGGCATCAACATTCCCTGCATATCGGATTGGGACGCCACCGTGCTCAAAACGTACCGAATCACTGGCTACGTGTTGGTTCTGATTGAGATAGTCGACTACTTGGTTACCATATACATCAGTAGTCTCAAAGTAAACGTCGGCAATATGTTCGAGCTCTCCGTATGGTTTCAACCGATATACAGGTCCATAGGTTTTGATATGCGAAATCAGCCCCTTTGATTTGAAACGGTAACACGATTGGAGCCTGAACTCCAGGACTTCCCCAGGTGCGGCTTTTACTGGCTCCAGTGTATCCTTGTACGTAAACCATTCTTTGGCTTCAAGTACAGTGGCCTTCTCATCCGATAAGATCAGCATGTGTCGCACAGGTTCATCAGTCAGTCTGAAAGCCTGTTTGTATGCCACATATTGGTTAGGTGAGACAATCATATCTTCAGATGCAGCAATGAGGAGTCCATCGCGGTAAAACCTTGATGTGAATGTCATTCTTAGGCCAGGATCAACATTCTCGAGTGCGGTCAGCACCATCTGGTAGTAAATTGTATCTCCCACATGCAGTGGAGACACACCTGATTCGTACTCTGTGTTGTGATAGAGATGCAGAATTCCCATCATCCCCTGGTTCAAAGGCAGGCCAGTTAAGATAGATGTCAGCTGCTTGATTGTAATGCTGAAGAATATGTCAATTGGAGCCATAGACGATCCACTGGCTGCCCTTTTGTAATACTCTGATGCGTTGTGAACACTAGAGCAGTACTTCCGAACAAAGTCTTCAGTAACAGTGAATGGCTTAAGCACAGCATCTGTAAAGTGCTGTTCTATATCATCACACACGATGTAACCAGGGTCGCTTGTGATGCCATGCATACTCAGTATTGACCTACAGTACGCTATATCCCGACCATGCGTATCTTCAGCAATAAGCACCGCCGATTTGGATGGCGTGTAGATGTACGGGAATTGGATCTCAAACTGCTCTTCGCCAATCCGATGGTAAATAATCATCAGAATATTCTTTTCACCATGGAGCTGTATGCGAATGTCCAATACCCCAGTTGGTCCATGGATATCGAGCTTGACCGGCTTATTGGCATCAAATGACGCCTCTGCTGTTTGCCCTGCCATTGGTCGCAGAACCTGCCTTATTGGATTTGCAGCGTACAGTGATTTGCGAACCACCACTGGCGATGTGAGAAGTGCACGAAGCCAGCTCTGAGTAGGACCTGCCAATGCCTCCAGCCATACATCAGGATCTGGAAGCAGTGCTGCATCAGTTGGGAGCTTGTATGTGCGGCTTGACTCATCAACAGCCACTGCAACTGAGGTAGGGAGCGATACTGGAAAAGGCTCTGGTGCAAGGTACTCGCAAGGACGGACTAGAGATGCATCCTTATCGAAATTGCACATGCTAAGCTTTTCCGTTAGCCCGGTGTAAACACGGTCGAGTATATCCTTGACCGGTTCGTTGACTGTGGTGGCATACTTCGCAGACACAGGGCCCAAGGCAATAACAGTGCGCTGGACATCTCTGTCAACAACTGTATCCAAATCCTCGGCTTGTGAATTGATGTCTTTCGTCATCCAAACATGCAGGTCGGCGTCGAGGATAGGAACGAATGGAACTGGCTTGGTTCCAGACCGCTTGCAAAGCCAGACCAGATACTGGACATCCTCAAGCGCAAGAAGAGTGTGGCCGATATCTGGGAATGCCTTAATCGCCAGGTTGATAATCACATGCGGGTCTTGAAGTTGGACGAAGCGTTGGAATACGCGTCGGCTTTCTATCTTGGAAACACGGTCCTCGGCTCTTGAAATAAATTCACCAAACAGCCTGACATACGACACATCCAGCCACCTGGATTTGTCTGCGACATACATGAACTCCACGAGTCGGTTGAGCACTTCCAGGTACGTCATCTCCTCCAAATCGACCACTCGACCATCGGACTTCATGCCAAACCATGGCCGTGTATAGTCCTCATTGAGCCACTTGATGATACGGTCCTTGTTTGCCATGATTATTGGCAGCTGTTCAGCATATGGCTTCGTGAAGATCATGTCATTCAACTCTCTGAGAGCCAGTGCAGCGCGATTAGCCACACAATGGGCGATCTCACCATATCCTGACATTGCTGATATCACTCCACCAGCATTACCAGTGTATGACAATTCCCACTCGCTGTCCTCAACGCCAGTAGCTGCCGCAATGAGCTCCTTTGCTTCCAGAGATATGGCACTCTCTTTTGCAGTGAGGACGCATGAAGCTAACAATACTCCATCAACAGGCATGGGTGCATATCCAAACTGGACACTCCACTGGCCGGAGAGATATGGCAGAATGCCGTCCGTGTCACCAAACCCAGACCCAACGACCAGGATGGTGTTCGGCAGAGACCGGATCTTACTGTACGTTTCCAACATTGGCTCATGGAAGTCTTCACACGAATGGTGGCCACCAGCACGGCCGCCAGTCCACTGGATAATGATGGGGAAGTCAGGGTTTGCTCTGGCAATTGCAATCGCCTGGAGAATTGTAGCCACTGACCCGGGCTTAAAGGCAACATGACGTATGCCCGCGTCACGCAACTCCTCGATTATACTGTTGGCAACGTCAACTGAGGGAACACCACCACCAATACAGAGCCCTGTGATCGGCACACCTTCCCGCCGCATACGCAGGATACTGGGATACTGGAACACCCACTGCTTCCGATCCATGTAGACCGTGTTGACAGCGAATCCGTTACCTGGCTCAAGGAACTGAACCAGATTGTCGACCCTTTCCCTGAACACTTTTTCAGTGTAGATCCCACCACCACCAAACTCGACATGGTATCCAGCATTGCTTATGGCTGCGACAAAGTGCTCGTTGGACGTAGTCGGGGTCATCCCTGCAACCATCACAGGCGGGAGTCCAAGAGCGAGTGACATGCGGGTGCAAATATGAAGCAGACCGTCATGTGCGGCTCGAACAAGGCATGGACTGAAAGCACTCTCCCAGCTTGGCACTGTGAAGACGTCAGAGATATTCAGTTTGAACAAATCGGCCTTGGATCCCATGCGCGACTCGGTGCATGGAGTAGGCGAGCTGGTGCTGATGATGGTTTTGCCGTAGCCGTCTAGAATGTCTCTGGCGAGTTTGCCGAATGTACTGAAAGTCCCTGGGCTGAAGTCGACGATGAATGTGGCATCGGCGCTGTTGACAGCTGTTGGCCAGTCAACACGGTACACGCACATACTGTCGATCAAGAACCTGGTAAGGTCTACTTCATCACGAAGGTCATGTCCGTCCACGACAGCGTTGACTTGAGTACGAAGAGTGTCAGGATTGAGAATCCAGCCCTTGGCAGTCACAAACTCGTACACAATTGGTGCAATATCTAGCTGAAGTTTGCAGTGGGTTGGTACCGACATGCTCAGTGGGCTGATATCGGCTACTGGCTTGCGCTGGGAGAACCGGACGCGCGATTGATCCTCTGTTGGCGGCACAGTGTGTTTTCTAAGGTGCCTAGCAAAGTATGTAACGGCATCCGTTTTGCCTGCAACAACAAAGGTCGAGCGACCGTTGATTAGGGCCAGGCTGACTTCCGAATCCTCGTCCATGCAGTCCCCATTAAACGCAGCAATGAACGACTCTAGCGTTTCTTGGGCTAGACCACGAACAGAAACCATTGGCACGGGTAAGCCATCAGTACGCAGCAAAAATCCCGGTGCACCTGCATGTGAAGGGTTTGACGAGAAATTCTGCTGGACAATCGCGGATGTTGCAAGAAGAATACCGAGCACCTTCTCGGTAGCAACATAGAATGATGCCTCGACAGTCACGGAAGCAAAGGCAGCAGCCATGGTTAGACCCTGGCTGTGTCCAATTGCAACTACAGATGGAGAAATGAATAATTAGTAGCGGAGAACACCGGCATTGTTGCATACACTGGAACCAGTGATGAATGATGTGTGCTTACCTTTAAAGCGTGAGACGAGGTCGCCAGGGCTCATATTGAGCGTCTTATACAAGACAGCCACATGCATCGCCTGAATCAGTCCTAGCATGGGCGTAATGACTGGCGCAGTCAGCAGATACTTGGCGTCAGGCATTGCATCGGGAGAAGCAAGCCAGCCAGCAATGTCCAGTGGACGTGAATGGGCTTTCGCCAATAGGGGGTCAGCGGATTCGCGCTTGAGGAAGTCAGACATATGAGTGACAAAGTCTGACAGCAGCGGGCCATAAACATCGAGAAGCCATGCTGCTTCGTCAACGTAGCTGTCTGCTCCGCCTGGACTACCAAACATAGCGGCAAGTCTGATGTTTGCATCGGAAAAGATAGCGGGAACAGGGACTTCGGGCAGCAACTGACGCGCCTCAAGGGTGTTCCAAACCGAGTAATACCCCTTCAGGACGGTTCGCGCTTGCTCAGCAGACAGGTTCAGCTGCTGGACAACCACATGGATGTTCTCATCGGCACAGAATTCTTGGTGGAAGTGAAGAAATACGGCGACGGCAACATCGGGGCTACGGGAGCTGCAGTACGCCAAAAAGAGTGCGACGAGTTCGATTTCCGTGGAAACAGCAGGAGGACCGCCATCCAGAAAAGACGCAGCGAGCTCCTTGGCGACAGGGAAGTTGTCACCAGGAATTGGAATGTTAGTTGACACTCCGCCAGATGCGAGTACAACCTTGCAGGTAAACAAGTTCATTCTGCAGGATAAGTTGAAGCGGGTTCAGAAAGAGTTAATTCTTGAGTGGTTGAGCTGTGCAATGTTTGCAAGAAAAGTGAGATAGGGAATCAGCGTTGCATGGCAAATGAGCAGGTTTATACACAATTTTGACAAGCTGCATACACGTAAAATGGTGTTGCAAAGCTGGCCAAATGGTCAGTGGTCCTCCAAGTGTGTGAAATTTCTCAGGGGCGTTGGTGGGGCATGACTGTGACACCATACAGGCAATTTCACAGAAATATCGCCTCCATTGTATCCTTCCTTTCCCAGGCCAGAAAAGCTCCTACGACAGGAGTGTCTTTTTCAAATTGGGAAATTGTGTACATGCAGGAAGGAACAAAGAAAAAGTGCGTGTATGGGCAAGGTGCGGAAAATGACTGTTGGCATCAAAATTCTTCACAATGCTCTTCAAGCCATTGCGGAAATCAGTCTCACACCTGAAATGTATTCATAGATAAAATGCTGGAAGGCTTGCATATATAGGCTTTGTCTATGTTGCGATTGTCAGCCTAGGAGGTGAGTTGTTATCTAGTACTAGAATTGCTCTGCTCGCGATGCGAGCTCGGCTGCTAGTCAGCATGGGTTGACACGTCGATAAGGGCATCACGGCGAACCGGTCATTTGAACGTGTCGGATGGTTGTTGGTGCAATGTCGATCATGGACATCTCCCACCTTGGTAGCCTGCTCAGCGCAGGCGCTTCAGCGCTGGCTCGCTGCTGCTAGCAACAGAATCGCCTGCTGCTGCACGCCTCTTGCGCGACCTCTTTGTTGCAGGGGTGGTGCCAGAAGCATTGGCAACAATGGCCGTAGAACAACGGAACCGTTCAGGAATACTGCCTGAATCACAGAGTGACTGGAAAATGAGTCTGAAGTTTAGAACTGCTGCGAGGTCGCGGTTCAAGAGCCAAGACGAATAGGCTCGCCTGTATTGTGCCATGGCCCGCTTACATGACTCGCTTGTACAGCGGAGAAGGCCATGGCACTTCACAGTTGGGTTCTTCGATCTCTGGTAGGGCCGCGGATTGGGAACATGCCGGAATGTCTGCAGTGACTTATCGCAGCAGAACGGGCACATCGACGATGTCCGGAATTCGTCGATCAGATAGACTTCAAAGCCATGGTGTTTGAACTTGTCGCGCCATCCCTTGCCACGGATCGGCGCATGGTGTCGGGCCATTGGCGCACTCCAATTGCCCATGATCAGCACTGGGTCTGGACCGAACTTGCTCCGGAGTTTTGCGGCAAGCCTGTGGTCTGCACGGGCCTGATTCATGAATGAATCAAGGCGCAGCTTGCGGTGAAGCGGGTACACCTTGGGACTGGTACTGACACCCGGATGGGCCTTCCAGCGCCTCTGATGCTGCTTGTTTGACTTAGTGGGCTGCTGCTCTAGTAGCCTTCGCGCTGTCATCGTGTTGGCATAAAATGGTGCTAGGACACACCGCACAGATGCACGGGCAGCAACGTAGGCACGGAATTTTGCTGGGCTAAGGGTCCGGCAGCAGTGTTTGGAAAGCTCTGCCTCTGCTCTGCGGACAGCATCTTCTGGGACTTGATCCTTTGTACCCCGACGAATCCTGTCATAGTGGCGCAGCTTGAGCTCCTTATTGCGCTGCTGCCGTGTGTAGCGGTAGAGCATTTTTCACCCTCTTTCCCATTGCTGCTATTTTCGTGCATCATGTATAGCAAATCGCCCCAACCTGGATCGATGAATACACAGCGGCCTTTCAGATTCTGCAGCTCTGGCTGTGGTATTTGGTGGATATAGCAACAGTCAGCTGTAGCATCAGCATCTACTGCAGCACCAGTCTTAGGTACCTTGTCTTGTAACAAAATGCATATCGTTACACCATCTGTTGTCGCCATTCCGTGGAATTTTCTATCACCATGCGCCTTAAATGGCTTTGATGTCAGATCTGCGACCCGGCCCCACACATCCCACACAGGTTGTGTGATCCCTTGGACCGGGTCGTGTGCACAGACTGGGGGTGCTGGTGCATATGCATTGTTAAGTGCTGCAACAGTGTCTGCTGCTGCCGCCGATGCAGCAGCAAGCGAATCAGCCGCTACTGCTGCAGTTGCTGCAGTGGCCTCTGTTTCATCTGATGGCATCTTCGCTGCTTCGCGTGCAGCCTTCTTGGCCAATTTTTCGCCCTTTTCTGCTGCTTTCCTTGCCTCTGTTGCTGCCCTCTTTGCTGCGTTGATCTCTGTAACCTGCTCGCATGTTTTCGAAATAAACACCTGCTTGATTATTTGCTTGTATAAGCGCACATGGCCTGGGATCCAGGGTATCCGCGGAGGCAAGCATTGGGGAGGAGACGTGCCAAGCTGCTCATTCTCAATAAGCTGGCATAGGCGAATGTATGCATGCAGATGCTTAAGTGGATTTGCCTTGGCATCATAGTATCGGCTGTCTTTGGCGAATCTGTACTTGGCATCATAGGCATTGAGGACTGGTGCCAGCTTGTTGTAGATTGCAAGCATCGTTGGGGTGAGCACACTGAGACCAGGGTGCCTAGAGGCAACTGCCTGGCGGAGCTTCTGTGCAGGTGTATAAATATACACTTGACATGCATTATCGAACTCAGCCTTAGACACATTGCCCATTGTACTGTGCAGTGTGTTTTTACGGCTGCGAATATCAATCAATTTGGCCAGAATCCGCTGTAGGCAAGTGCCATAGTGCAACACAATGTTGTTCTTGTATGCTGTCATCAGCTCGGTATCCACGTATGTCGCTACTTGATTCATGTCGCATACACCATGTAGCTCAATATCGCCATTATGTAATAGATAATCATAAATATGGTATCTAACTACATCACCGAAATCTGCGCTCGACAGTTCTGACCTGTCCTTCCGGTTAACGAAATCCTTGGCAGATATGGTCGTCTTCGCCTTCAGGTTGCGATAAATGAATAAATAAATAAAACGAAAAACCCCCTTTTTCACAAATGTTGCTGGGTCAAAAGCATCCCCGTCAGCTAGCTGATGGAGTAATATCCATCGTGCAAGCATGTATGTATGCTCTTTGATGATATTGACGCTGTGTACAAATTGCTCTAGGCGGGGCAGCATAGAATCACGGAAGCCAATACCACCAAGTGATGTCTTTATGACAGTAGCGCTGCGGGTAATATTCATTTGAGAAATTCAATAGGCAAAGTAAGAAGAGAAATGATGCTGTTCAGTTTTGCTTTATTGCGTATGCATAGCATTAAGAACTTTTTATTAAAAATTATCTGGCTTGCATGGTTCTTGGGGCCCTTAGCACTGATACAGTCTCTTGAATAAGCCTATACAGACTGGGTCCATTGTGGCCCAAATACTACTGCTTACGCATGTTCATAAGACAAATTAATTTATAAAATAAACCCACAAATATTGCATGACCACCAGAAGAGCTATATGGCCTTATTCAATAGGTGCTCGTAAATAAATATCCTAAGAGTGTTGCGCAGCTGGTGATGACCACCATGATGACGCCATGGAAGTTATCAGGTCGACCGATACTGAGAGCAGCTCTTGCGCTGAACCAATGGAGATATCCAGTAGTGACCTGTGACCACTACAATAATAACTTGTCACCCTGGTTTCACCGATGAGGTCAGATGCCGCACAAGATCAAAAGGAGTTTACAGAGCAAGTCACCCAAACTCGCTTCGAGGTTTAAAAGAGTTTTATCTTTTAACCAACTAAAAAGGTTCTAGCAGATGGTCGGACACTTTTTCGACTATAAAGTCTTAAATATAGGTAAAGATAAAAGGAAAGCAACTCCCTACAAGTATGTCTGAGGGAAAGAAGGAAAACTGGTGGTCTGACTGAGCGTTTATATGTGCATTTCGGTCTTGCCCATGGTGGGGCAGGGGGACTCTGGATCCCGAATGCCAGCAGTGATAATGGTGGCCCACTGCCAAGAATTTAGCTCGCATATGTTATGCGAGTTGGGTTGCCAGATTGCATTTTGAAAGCTGTGACAAAGCCTGGCGCCATGAAGTAGCGTATACTCATATCGATGACGGTAAAATATACTGGTATTATCACCATAGCTATCATGCATATAAATGCACGGATAGAAAAATTTAAATGTAAATTGGCTCAAATATATAAAGAAAGCGATGCCAAAAAATCAGCAAAAAACAAAAAGGGACGTATTACGCGTACTTGGGGAATAGCGGCAGGAGGTCGTTCATGTTGAGCGTGCTCTTGACACTGGCGTCATCCCGCTTCTTGTCGCAGAAGAACTGCGAAATGTCGAATTCGGCCTTCTCAACTGCCTCCTTGGCCGCGTCCTCGCCGTCAGCCTTGATGATCTGCTTCAGCAGCGCAAGGGAGATGTTCAGGGCGGGCGGGCGCAGGGTTGTGGTCTTGGTGGCCAGCTCGCCGAGCACCTCGGTGAAGCGCGACAGCGGGATCTGCGCAGCAGCAACTAGAGTGCCGAAGAACTTGTACGCGTTAGGGGCATCCAGAGCAATGTCCTCAATCACAGTGCTGTACTCGACAAAGCCGGCGGCAAAGAGGTCCTCAGAGACGACATCCTTGGAGCACAGTACTGTGACACCACGAGCGATCATGTCGACCTCGTCGGCCTTGCGGTCCATGGAGTAGTTGATGAGCTCGTAGACAGCCGACGAGTAGTTGACCTCGCCCAGCTCCTTGAAGCACTCGACCAGCTCGGTGTTGTCCTTGATGTTCATGTACTCCTCGAGCATGCCCTTGACCTTGGTCTGCACGGTCTTCGAGTCCATTGTCTTGGGCTTGGACGCGTCCTCAGCCGGCGCGGTCTCCGACATGACGGTCGGTGACAGCGGCTCGACATTCGGCTGGCCCTTGGTGGCATCGGCGCGCGGCGACATGTGCTCCTCCTCATCGTCGTTGCCCAGCACGCCAAACATGTTGCGCGAACCAACGGGCTCGGGAGTCCCAGCAGCGCTCGAGTCGGCTCCACGCGACGAATGCGAAGGCGTGCGGCCGCCCGGACCCAGAACCAGCGAGCGAGGACGATCGTCGCCGCGGTTGCGACGGCCATCGTTCGAGTTGGTACGCCAGCCGCGAGAGCGCCGGCCAGCTGGCTGAATGGGTTGGCACCGAGTGGGCCGTTGCGGGCTCCCTCCTGCTTGGAGCGCGACAGGTTGCCAAAGCCAGTGAGGTCGCCGGGTGCGCTGGCTCTGCTCGCGGCCGCTGTTGCTAGGCCCGCCGACGGTGTTCCAGCCGCCACGGCGTCCGCGGTGCGACTCGCTGCGGCCGGCGTGGGAGCCGGTGCCGCGGCCAGAATGCGACGGGGCACGGCGCATGGCAGCCTGCTCGGCCTTCTGGCGCTCGGCCTCCTCGTGGATCTCGGCGATGGTCTTGGGGCCGTCGGCCTTGGTCCGGTTGACCCACTTGGCGGCGCGCAGGTCCATGACGTCGCGCAGCATAAAACGGATACGCGAGTTGAGCTTCTTGTTCTTGGCCATGGTGTCGATACGCTGGAAGTACGCGTCCATGTAGCTCTTGGCCTGGTCGCGGTCCAGCTTTTTACCAACGGTGGTGATGAGCTTGGCCAGCGACTCGGTCTCCTCCTCCTCGGGCGTCTCGACATTGGACAGCAGGCGCTTGACGCACTCGTGCATGATGCGCTCAGTGAGCATATCGAGCAGGAACAGCTCGCCAATGAACTTGACCAGACCCAGACCGCGGCGCTTGATCTTGGCCGCCTCGTAGTACTCCTCGGACTCGAGATCCTCGGGCATGTCGACCTTCCAGCCGCGCTCAAAGTCCTCCTGACACTTGGTCAGCAGGTACTTGCGCACCAGGTAGCCGCCGCTGAGGAACTTGCCCTCCTTGGTCATCAGGCTGTGGTCCTCGACGTCGGGGTTGGTCTGCGTCATCAGCTTGTGGCACAGGCGTGCGTACATGCTGGCCCAGGTTGGCTCATCGGTGGCCTTCTGGAACACAAGCATGATGAGATGCCGCAGAATGCGGCCGTCGGTCTCGGCGGCTGACTTGTTGCCCCACTTGAGCAGATCGTCAGACACGTCGTCAAAGTTGTCGAGCGTCAGCTTGTTGAGAAGCGCGCGGATCTTGCGGTCAATGACCTCAATGTCATTCTCGTCCTCCTCGCCGTCCTTACCACTGCGCAGAGACTTGGCAATGTACCGGTTCTCGCTCTTCTTCAGCGGCTCAAAGTTGGTAGGCAGCTCGGGCTGGGGCGGGCCGTGGTGCCGGTCGCCGCGGTCACCGTGCTGCGAACCACCACGTCCACGACCGCGGCCGCGACCGCGACCACCCTGGCGTCCGCCACGGCTTTCGCGGCCTCCTCCGGGTCCGCGGTACTGGCCAGATGGCGGGCGGCCGCCCATCATCGGCCCACTGTTGCGGCCATGATCGCGATCACCGCTCATTCCAGGGCTGTGGTTCTTGATCATGGTGCTCTCACGGAACCGCTCATCCGACGTCTTGGGTGTGGGGTTGTTCGAGCGGAACTGCCCAAAGCCGCCGAAGCCGCCGGTCTGGTTGTTGTCACGATGGCGCCCCGAGCCAGAGGCCGAGCGGCGCATGCCCGAACGGCGGTCCTCCGAGCGGCGGTCGTCGGTGTTGGAGATCTCAAAGTGGAATGAGGGGGGCGGGTGGCAGATGTCAACGAACCGCTCCAGGAACACGCTCGGGTAGCGCAGGATCTCACCGACAAGGACGGGGGCGTTGTCCTGGTCCTGGTACAGCTCGACAACCTCGGACTTGGACAGCGTGCGGTGGGTCGATGCTGGCGGTTCGCTGAAGGTGACCTGGCGAGTGCGGTTCTTGAGCGGGGTGGGGTTGCTGGCATCGGTCTCATCGTCCTCAATCTCGCCCTCCTCTTTGTTATCCTCGTCAGGAACAACCGCATCCTCAGTCTCAACGCCGAACGCTGACGGTCGACGGAGCAGCCTGCCTGGCGGCGGCAGCGGCAGCAGCAGCAGCTTCCTGGGCAGCCTTCTCCTGCTCCGCAGCAAAACGGGCAGCCTCCTCGGCCTCAGCCTTGGCCTTAGCCTCAGCCTCAGCCTCAGCCTTGGCGGCAGCGGCAGCAGCAGCAGCAGCCTCCTCCTCGGCCTTAGCCTTGGCGGCAGCAGCAGCGGCGGCCTCCTCTTCGGCCTTCTTCCGAGCGGCCTCAGCCTCTTCCTCAGCCTTGCGCTTAGCCTCCGCTTCTTCCTCAGCCTTGACGCTTAGCCTCCGCCCTCCTCACCTTGCCTTAGCCTCGGCCTCCTCCTCGCCTTGCGCTTGGCTTCGGCCTCCTCCTCAGCCTTGCGCTTTAGCCTCTGCTTCCTCCTCGGCCTTGCGCTTGGCTTCAGCCTCTTCCTCGGCCTTGCGCTTGGCCTCCTCCTCTGCCTTGCGCTGGGCCTCCTCCTCCTTATCTGCGCTGGGCTTGGAGATCTTCACGGCACGGGCGCTGGGAATCTTGAACTTGGGCTTGGCGTCCTCCTCAGCTGCCGACGAGTCGGCGGGCGTAGCAGAGTCACGCAGTCCGCTCGGCATCGGTGACGGCTGGAGCCGGCGACACCGTACCCTCGGGGCCAGAGCTGTTGGCAGCGCTCGAGGCAGCACGCACGCGCGTCGACAGATCGACCTCCTTCTTAGTGTTGGGGTTGACGATACGCACAGGCGTACGCTTGGCCGGCACAAACGGCGAGGCAGTCGAGCTGAGCGCGTGGTGCTGCTGGCCGCCCATCGGCGAAGCAGTCATGTTGGGCATTGGTGCAACGCCCATGGGCGCCGGGACGTGACCAGGCGCGCCAATCTGCGACGACACGGCGTGGCTCGGCTGGGGCATGCTGTAGTTTCCAACCGGGTACATGTTGGGCGGCATTGGCGGACCACCGGCGGTCTGGGGCGGGCGGTAGTACTGCTCGTAGCCGGGAGCAGGACCCTGCATCGGCATGTACGCGTACTGCTGGCCAGGTGCAGGCGGCATCCAGCCCTGCATCGGCGGCATGTTGGGCTGTGAGGTCATCATCGGGCCCTGCATCGGTGGCTGGCCAGGTCCGCTCATCGGGTAGGCCATTGGCTGCGGCATCTGCTGGCCCTGCGGGGCACTCATGTGGTGCGGCTGGTAGGGAGGGCCGCTCATCTGCGGCTTATAAGCGCCGCCTGGCCCCTGGGCAGGAGGCCGCATGTGCTGGTGGCCCTGGCTGCGGTAAGGGTTGCCAGGGTAGTGGGGCGGCTGCTGCGAGCCGGAACCCGGGGCGCCGCCTGAGGAGGGAGCGCCGCTGTTGCCCGAGGCAGGGGCCGAGCCCGACTGCGATCCGTCCCGGCGGTGGCCGTGGAAGTCAGCGTCGGAGTCGTGCGGCTTGGGCTTGGTGCCGCTGTGGCGATTGTAGCTGTCCTTGCGACCAGGAGTGAAATTCTGCGACTGGCGGCCGTGGCCCGAAGACCGCGACCCAGGACGGTTCTGCTGACGGCCGTGGTGGCTCTGGCGACCCGATGCATCGTTCGGGCCATGGGGGCCAGGCGCATGACTATGTACAGGCTTCTTGCCGTCATCATTGTTGTGGCTCTGGACTGTGCCAAAGCTCGGCTTCGAGGCACCCTTGCCCACAGCCGATGGCGGTACGCCTGCCGCCGCTCGTGGCCAGACCAGCAGCCGCGCGATTGGCGGCGGTATTGGCAGGCGAAGGCGACCGGTTGTTCTGGTTGAGCGAGCCAAACTGAATGCCAGCAGCACCCGATGATACCGATTTGCGTGAGGGAAGGCTCACAGCCGGATCATTGGTGCGCGGCCGATTGCTGCTGGAGCTGTTCACACGATCTCTCGCATTGTTGCTACCATTGCTGCTGGGAGGTCCATTGGTTCCGTTGGCTGGGGTACGCTGCTGCTGCTGCTGCTGTTTGTCTGCCTTTGCCGGTACTGCCGCTGGTGTACTGCTGCTGGTCGCCTTGGGCGGTTGTGTCGCTGCTGGTGCTGGGTTGAGGGCGTTGCCTGGCTTGTTGCTGCTTGCTAGTTGCGCGTACGTGAGTGGTTGCTGCTGAGAACCGCTGGTCTTTGAGTTTGCCGCTGCTTGACTGTATTTACGACTCATTTAGTTTTTGTCGCCGGTTTGAACTGGCTGAATAATGGGAAATAAAAGGAAAAACCTGTCGTTGGCTATGAAGCGGGTGTGCGTGTGCCCGGTAGAGATTTGCTGTGTCTAATTCGGCTAACTGCAAAAGTTCAGACCGAAGAAGGAATTTCAGGGAGCAAATCCTCAATCTCTCTTCTGTTGAATAATATGTAAACCTTAAATCCCGTGGGCTGAAATGGACCAAGGGAAGCGTGTCAGTTGACGAGCGGTAGGAAAAGAAGACAAAAAAGTTAGAAGAGAGAGAATAAAGAGGAAAAGAGCCAATTCAGAAATTCGCCTTGCACTACCCCATGCTTATACCGCTGATGGAAAATTTTTTTATTTTTTGACAAAGAGTGGCCCCTCACGCTCTCTCACCCGGCGCCATGGCCAGAAAGCAGAGATTTTGGGGGAATCAAATCAGCAAGCCCGCGCCTATCGAGACGGCCAGACTCAACAAGTGATGGCGATAACGGCATGTTCATCACGAGTGCATGTGCGCTGCGGCCATGGCCACCTGATACATCGGATACCGCCCTCCCCGCAGACGTCGCACCGGCACTGCAGCTGTGCGAAGCAGGCGATCGCTGCACCAGGCTCTTTCCTACGGCGTCAGTGGCCAGCAGTTTCCGAATGCCTCTCCAGTGCAGGGTCTCGACAATGCTCGCACTACTGCCGTCAGTGATATCAAGCCATACTACTACTTGGCCACGCGATTCAGTGCCTCAGTCGCCAGCTCCTGGGCCTTGCTGTCATCGGTAACCTTGGCCACCTCGATTGCCTGCCGGTACTGCACGCGGGCGTCATCGTGCTTGTTGGCAGCCTCATAGACGGCGCCCAGGTTGTAGGTCAGCGCAACAAAGCTGTTGAGGCAGTCGGCGTTCTGCGGGAACCTCTTCGCCAGCGCCAGGCCGTCGATAGCCCATTTCTCGGCTGCTGGCAGGTTGCTGGTCATCACAGCGGCATTGGCCAGATGGCTCATCAGCACGCTCGACCGGCACACGCCCGTCTCGGTGCCATCAGCCCCGCGACGCAGCAGATCCAGCGCGCGCTGCAGCAGAGGCACGGCAAACCCGTACTGTGCGTGTGTCGAAAAGAACGCGGCGGCATTGTAGAATAGGCTGGTGACGACCTCAACCGACAAGAACTTTGGCAGCGTATCGGGGTCAAACGATGGCGTGTTGGTCAGCGGCAGCTTCTTCTCCAGCTGCAGATGGTTGTAGTGGTTCTGGTAGGCCAGCATCACCACCTGCAGGCACCACTGGTACCACCGGCTGGCCTCCTGCACGTCGTGCGAGGCCAGGTCAGGGTCGGCTAGCAGAGCGCTGCGGCGCTTCGACCGCATCGCCCGCTCCTCGTACGTCTCCGCCAGCTTGTTGGCACATCCAAGCGCACGCAGCGTGTTTTCGCGCTTATCCTTGGGCTGCTTCTCGTCGAGCAGAACCCGTACCTGCGTGTGCGGATCCGCCATCCCATCGTCGCCCAGAATTCGACTCAGCAAGTCCTTGTAGAGCCGGACCGTGTTTTCCAAATCGCCCATTTCGTGGTACACGGCAGCGATACGCGCTACCAGGCCGGTTATGTGCGGTGCGTCGCGCGAGTGCTCAGGATCAGACTGGACCCAGCTCGTCCAGCCGCCCCAGCGCCCTTTCGTACGCGTCGACAGCCTTGGGCAGATCCTGCTTGTCGGCTGTGCGCAGATACGCCATCCCGCCTTCGCGCAGCAGCTTGCGAACGTCGCCCGGGTACTTGCTGCCCGGCCCGAAGAACGTGGAGAATGCAAAAAACCCAATCGTTGACAGACCCAGGGCTGCCGAGATAACCACGACTGGCGTGCGCCAAGAGTTGTCGCCCACTCTGAATGACGGCATCGCCATGAACGTGCGTCGGTGCTGCTGGCGGATCCGTCGGCCGGCATTGCCGAGTGCCTGCTGCTGGGCTGCTCGCGATGCTACTGCTGCTGATGCTCTGGCTGCGAAACGGAACATTGGTAAATAAGTGTAGCGAAAGCTGAGTTGGGTTCTGGGCTGACGTAGGTAGATCGCTCGCACTGGCTTTTTATCATTTCGTCGATTTTTCTCCTGACGATAAGCGCAATTCCCTGATTTCGATGAGGATCACTGTCCCCAGTCTCAGCAATGCACGCGACTCATAATGCGCGGTCGGTCAGCAGCCCATGATAGCAGTCCTGAGCATGCCAGCACACCCGGTCAAGACACCCAGCTACCCAGCCCTCCGTCTCTCCCTCCGAACCCGCCCAGCCAACGGATGTCTTCGTTTGCCCGTTTCTGGCAGAACAACGCCGCCAAGCGCCCGCTGGTCACCCTAGCATTGACCAACGGAGCGCTGGCTGGCATCGGCGACTTGATCGCCCAGTACATCACACTGCCCACCGACCCCGGCCCCAAAAAGGCTTCATTCCTCGCCAACTACGACGCAGTCCGGACACTGCGCTTCTTCACCTACGGCTGCATGTTCGCCCCTGTCGCTCACAAATGGTACTCGCTGCTTGACCGGCGGTTCGCATTCCCAGCTGCGGCAAAGTCTGTGCACCAGAACAAGGCTGCCATGCTGCTGGTCACTGGCAGGCGCGTGGCGGCTGACCAGATCATCTTTGCACCAGTCGCCATTGCTGCCTTCTTTGGTGTCATGGGCACAATGGAGGGCAAAACTATGAGTGAGCTGAGGCAGACCTTCCGCGACCGCTATCCAGAAGCGCTAGTGGGAAACTACGTGCTGTGGCCCGCGGCTCAGCTCATCAACTTTGGTCTTGTGCCGCTCATATATCGCGTGCCGTTTTCTAGCGTTGTCAGCGTGTTCTGGAACACGTATTTGAGCTGGGTCAACAGCAAGAATACCACTGCGGAGCCGCCCATTTGAGAAAACATTTATCCGACCCTGCCCCCTGTTAGGCGGTAAGGCAAAGAGAAGAGAATAAAATACCGCATTTTGTTTCTGACATAAAGGCAAAGGAATAATTATTCCATCGACCATCAATTCTCCATGAGTCAGCTCCCGAGCTAATAGACAGCCTTGCTCGGCATTTGTGACTGCTTCCGCCTCCTTTCTTCATTGTGCTTTTGCTTTACCTTTCTGTTTTGCTCGAAATCCCTCCTAATAATCCATGGCAACAAGGGCACAGCTGCTCAAGCTCGCGCTGTTCAGCGGATCGGTCTCGGCATCAGGCAACACCATTGCACAGTACCTTTCCCAAGGCCGGCCACAGAAAGACCATTCTCCACACAGCAAGCCATGGCCGCTTATTACCAATTACAGCCCAGTGCAGACCCTCCGGTTCTTTGTCCTACGGTCTGGCCTTCGCCCCTGTCTCGTACCGGTGGCACGCGCTGCTCAACAAACGGTTCCCACTTGAAGGGGCAACCACAGCCAAGGCTAAGGCCACCATGGTCATGAAGCGCATGGCCATCGACCAGACCCTGTTTGCACCGCTCGCCACTGGCTCGTTCGTTGTCTGCATGGGTCTGCTCGAGGGTCTGACGCCAACCGAGCTCGCCGAGCGAGTAAAGGTGCAGTACCCGAGGGTTTTGGTGGCTGGCTATGTGCTCTGGCCAGCTGCGCAGCTTATTAATTTCAGCGTGATCCCGCTTGCCTATCGCGTGCCGTTTGGCAGCACCGTCAGCCTGTTCTGGAACACATATTTGGGATGGAGCAACAACAAACTGTCGCGAGAAATGGCTGCTGAGCAGACAAATTGCGCGGAAGAGTGTGCCCCCGTGAACACAGGGCCTGCTGTAGTATAGAATCCCTCAAGATAACCCCCTTACACGATATGCCTCAATACACATGATACACACCAGTGGAAGGCACATTCTCCAGTACCCACCAGCGAATGCCATGGGAGTATGCACACCTCCCTTTCTTCTCACAAGAGCTGCCTGGGGCAAAAATCTCCTGATAACCAGCATACGGGAATGTGCACGGCTGGGTATCGGTCATGCCTAAAGGTCCACAAGCACTGCGGTCAGGGGACCGCGATATGCGCCTTGCATCAATCTCGCCTCTGTAGAACGGCTCGTTCAACGCTCTTTCTCAGTGCTATTAATGCAGCATCGGCACACCCACCTGCCAAACGTGTTTGAGGTCGCATAGACCATTTCTTGCACGGTAGAAGGTAGCAAATATGCCAAAATAGGATTTTAAAAAAAGGCAGCGCCCTAGCGGCAAGCTCATGTCACATTAGGTTTACATTCGCATACGGGAACACCTCGTGCTCAAGCATCAGCTTGCCGTCATGGTCAAAGTGGAACGGCGTGTAGCACTTTTCGCAAAAGTAGCACGGGCTCATGCCACTGTGGAAGTCGCTCTTGGTTACATACTGCGCCGGGTATGCCGAGCACATCCGGCACTTGTGCCGCATATGCCGCGTGCGGAACACCTGCTTCGGATAGCTTTCAACATGCTGGTCGTCGTTCGGGCCCAGCAGCCGCAAGTCTGTGAACATCAGCACATGCTCGCAGTCGCCCTGGTGCATGAATATGTACGGATACTTGAGCCTGATCGACAGGTCCTGGAACCGCGCGCCATCCATCAGCCGTGACTGCAGTCCCTGCAGCTTCGGGTTGTTTTCCTGCCGCTCTGGGTCGTTCGCCCACTCCATGATCACGCGGCTGTAGTCGGTGGCCAGCGGCGACCGCATGTCGTTGTAGAACGTGTTTTCGATGAAAAAGTAGCTTGAGCTGACCTTTTTGTCTTTGGTGTTGACGTTTGTCTCATCGCGTTGCGACACCAGGAAGTCAGAGATGCAGTAGAACGCGTCGCGCAGAACTGTCAGAGTCTGCGAGCCAAGAACCAGGTATTCCTCCATCTTTGCCGTCGGCGTGCGTGGGTTGAACAGGCACACACTCAGAATCACCTCGTCGTCGGCTACCTGCGTCGCCTCGGGTCCCGGATCGGGCAGCGCGCGGTTGGTCAAAAAGTTGACCTCCAGACGGTACTTGTTGGGCACCATCCGGCGGTTGACCTTGCGCAGCGATGCGAGTGTTGACTCATCCAGTAGGTTTTTGACGGTACTAAACTTGGCCTCCAGATCAGACACACCGGTAGGCTCCTCGGTGCCGTCGCGGTTCTCGTCGCCATCTTGACCAGGCTGATCTGCCCTCTGTATCTGGAATTGCCGGCGCTTGGTCGCGAGCTGCTTGCTGTCAGTTACGTCATGGCTGCGCTCAAACTCTGTCTTGGCCAGCGCCTCCTTCAGCATCTCCTTGGTAATCCCACTGGGAAGCTCTGTGTCAGATGTCATCACCTCGACATCCTGACGACCCCTTCTGGACCGGCGGGTTCGGACTGGTGACGCCGCGCCATCACTGTTATCCTTTGCCTTGGTCTTAGCCTTGGTCTTAGCCTTTCCCTTGCCATTACGCGCTGGCGTTTTCTCTTCATCGTCTTTCACGCTCAATTGTGCCTTTTGGAGAGCGCTTTGGCGTCTGGTTAGCGGCCGGCGAGGTACTTCAGCCGGCGTTTCGCTACGCTCCTTGCTAGACGACGCATCAGATGAACCATCACTCTCGTTCTCCTCTTTGCTGTCACTGTCCTCCTCTGCCTCTGCCTCTGCCTCTGCCTCGGCTTCCTCCTCAGCGTCAGTGCCCTTTTGGTCATTTGCTTCGTCGCCAGCGTCACTGTTAGTTTCGGAAGCTGCCTTTTGGATCTCGGCAACAACCGATTCGTCTGCCTTTTCCTCATCTTTGTTCGCATCTACGGCTTCGGTGCTCTCGGCGCCTTCCTCGACCAAATCACCAGAGTCAGAACAGCCTTCAGTAGCTTCTGAGGGTGCTGATGCGGCTGTATATTCGGCTGTCTCCTTGACACCAACTGATGGCACCTCAGCGGACCTTACACTTTCAGGCTCTGTCTCCATATGCTCTGTCTCAGTAGCCGTTTGAGCGGCCAATATTGAACCAGCAGCCTCTGCGGCTGCGGCTTCAACAGCCGGCTCGACAGTCAGAATACTAGCATCCGCGGCTGCTAGCTGTGCCTGTGCATCGTCGTCAGCTACTGCTATGTCAGCCTCCATGGTATCTATTGTTGCCCCAGCTTCAGTTGAGATGGCTTCGTCGATGGCTAGTATCACGCTGCTATCGGCCATCGTTGCATCGGCGTCTGCTACCACTGTACCATCAGCTAGATCCTGTGATACATCCTGAGCAGGCTCCTCGACATCCAGGCCAAGCTCCCTGCGTCGTGCGGCCGCCTCCTCAGCTTGTCTCCTCTCTAGGCGCTTGCGCTCGAGCTCAGCAGCCATTTCACGCTTCTTCTTTAGCAAGTCGCGCTCGGTAGCCTCATTGAACTCGCGGTGCTGCCGCAGCATGTGGAAAAGCGTCGGGTTGACAAATGCTGCGTTGGAAAAGCTTAGTTCTTCGGCAATTTGGCACCGCGCCTCCACCCTCTTACGCTCCTCTTCGGTCCACTCGCTCTGCGCGTTGAATACGTTGTGGTCGATCTGGCTGCGGCGCAGACCAGGCGAACTTGTCCCGGAAATTGCGCACAGAAATTAAATCGGACGGTGGCATGGTGTGGGTAGTAGTGAATGAATAAAATAAATAAAATAAAAAGCAAAGTGCGAAAACGCTAGAACAAAACGCGAAAGTGAGTTTTTGGTGTTGGGTGTCGCTTCAGCCTCAGCCTTGACTGAGCCGAGCCGACTGGCGAGCCGCAGCTCGGATGCATTCGTTTGCCCCAGCTGCCTATATGCCATTTGCGTACATCACACACGCCTGTTTATGCACCGAACTTTAAGGCAAGTATATCACTCCGCCCATCTCCTGGCGATGCATCAACTCGCAAGCTGGGCACACAGATCACAAATACCATTCGTCTGTTTAGTATTGCCAGCCCAATCGGCTGAATGGACAGATTAGACAGCGCGCCTAGAACTTGATGATCGTAGCTCGGCCATCGCAGCAACCGATTTCTCTGCCACTGTTTCCTGTCCGCTAAAGGCTGGTCGCCATATTGTGATGCGCAGATGGCATCTGGACAGGATTCACACAATGTGTCGCCTTAAAGTCATTTATAGCAGGTGCTACCTGGCGCACCTGACTTGATCAATGAAAAAAGGAAGCTTTCCTCGTTCCTCTTTCTCCATATCAAAACGCCTCTAGCGCAGGCATTAAGGCATACTCTCTTTCAATTCATTTCTCCGACTTGGCGCATTTCTCTACAGACGCATCCCACATAGCAAGAAAGCTATTACTACGTCGGAGTGTCTGTCTTTATTTTTGCACGTACATATACTATTTTCCCTTCTACTACGACCCCGCTCTTTTTCTTGTCCGATAGTTTGTTGCGACCCTTCTGGGCCCAAGCCCCGCCTCAGTCTCCCCCACAAGGTTGCTCGATCAAAGATCTCTATTTTTCGCTGTTCGCGCTTGAAATATCCCTACAGGTAAGCGCTGCCATTAATAGACCGATGTCATCCCCCTCCTCATATGTACGGCGCTAGCATGAACAGCCCTGTTTGGGAAATACACCATGGGAAAGGTGAAATCCAAGACACTGCGAAATCCTGCAGCCCAGTAACTCGCGCTATTTTCCAACGATGCCTTGTCTATTTTGCGCTAGAGTCCTTTTCTGAAATGCTCGGTTTTTGGTCTCCGTGGTGGTGCATGTTTTTCTAATATCACTGGCTGAAGTCTGTCAGATCCTTTGCTCTGCCTCTTTCTCCTGTCCTTCCCTTTCGCGCTTTGCACTCATATTTTGACTGCGCAGCTCTCGCCATTTAAATTCTATTGTGCATTTACCAGCCACTTACCAACGACACCTTGAAGGCACAGGGCTTGGCTGCATATACGATAGGATACTCTTATCCTCACCGCATTTTACTTTTTCTCCCTCTTTCCACAATTCCTCCATCCACCACACCTACGCACCACCCTACCCTATTCTCCTTTTCCGATCCAAAAGTACGTGAATGAGCATGTCATGGTTGTCAATTGCAGATGCGTCCTGCTTACTCTGAGTGCTGCTGCACCAAGTGCCTTTGGCACCAAATGCTACTTTATCAGGGCGATTCTGAGGCATCACCGCAGCCATTTGCTTCCAATACCGATTACTCATACGTCCCTGGTTATATGTCAGACGCATATTTTTTGCAATACTATTCCAAAACCGTCGTCTTTTTGTGATATCCTCCCCAGGTTCGTCTTGTGGCGACCTTCCATATACCTGTGCCACCTTGCGCCATTCCCCTCCCCCGACTATATGCTCCCCGATACCCGACAGCATGCTGGCTTTTGCTCCCGCTCGCTTTCCTATCCCCAACTGGACAAGTATCTGGTTTTGTCTGGAGAATTTGCACATTAACGAGCCGTAGTCGTTTACCCAATGGGCATTATGCTTCTACCCCGTCCTCCACTTACCTGCCCCGCATCCATGATCGTTGATGTCTGTCTGTGCTGCACTTGGCCCGATTTAGACAGCAGTCCTTACACCCTCAGCGGTGTGTTTTGGATATTCTGAATAACTGGTTCTCTCTGTTTATTTATACAGCTATTGCCACCTCCCTCCAGCCGTGGTGGCTGATAGTAGCTCGCTCCATTCTTCCCTCACCTGTACTTCACTAGGTTCACATTTGCTAGTATTCTAACATACGAATATTTATCACCTGCCATTGTAGAGGAAAGAGGGAAAGAGCATACACACGCCCGTCACGCATACCAACCGCTATTCACACACCTACCGTTGTAAGTATCGGGTTTGCTCATTTTGTCTGCATCCCATTAAACCATGATGAACTCACCGCTCAAATGAATCATGTAGCTCAGCATTATCACCTCACCCACTCACTCCCCAAAGATACTGCACACCTTCCAACGGTAAGTTTTAAGAGTGGCAGCCTGCATTCATTTCCGTATCCATAGCATCTATGAGATCTAGACGAACATGTGTCTCCTTTATTTTGGTGCTACCAATGGTGGAATATTGATATGCAAATGGTTGGATTCTTGCAATGGGGGATGGGTAAGTAGGAGGAGTTTACACAAAGGCGCTGTCTTAGAATTTCCACTCTTATAGCAACCACCGTGTTTCATACCGTACTTTCACATTTTCTCCATCTCTCAACTGCTGAAGCATCCGCGAAACACCCCCACATTTTCCTTTAACTTTGCAGTCAATGACAAAGTATCTCTATGCTTTCGCAACGGACTGCGGTTAGGCGGAATGCCTTTATGTATACGCGGTGCTGTCACTGTCTCTGAACTTCCAATACTCGCTAATTGACCTTACCAGCTTTCCTTTTAGACATCCCCCTTTTCATCTTTGGAATAGCACGTTTAGACTTGGTACCTTATACGTACTCTTCACGCTCGCACTACGTTGCCAGTGCATACCAAATTTTGTGTCCCCTTTGTACACCTCGGCTACACGTACGTCCTCCACCGCATCACTCCCTTTCGCTTCTTCTTGAAGTGAAGCTGCAATGATGTTATCACCGCATGCTTCTAACAACATACAGTCCACTCAAGATCAGCAGCAGCAGACCAAACATCAGCAGTCGTTATTGCAGCGATCCCAGACCTATCTGTCGCCATCGGATTATCTCACCGTGAAATCTCAGCTGCCAAAGGACCTGGGCAACCCTGCCCGGTTCCCTTTCGGTCCTGCAGATCCGCCATTCGGCCTTGGCAGCGCGCTTGCTATGCAGCCAGACCTGGGAGCAGACCCAAAGTCCTCTTCACATGGGATCAGCGGGACCACGAGTAGTGCGCTGAATACTGCTGATATGCAGTTTTCAGGGTATTTGCTCAACGGACAGCCCGAGCTCGCTCGCGCATACTACTCGGGTCAGAATGGTGGTTACCCGTATGCCGACCGCCGCAGGTTTCATGACAGCACAGCGTGGGGCTGGCCGTCTAATGGACAGCATTGGACTTGCCGAGGGCCAAGACTTCTCGAGCCCTATGATGGGTGCCCCGGGTTTAGCAGCCTCGCCATCTCACGGGTGCCAAGTGGGCTCTGGGCCGCTTCTCTCGCCATCTCAGCCCACAGCCACCAATATGGCAGCGTCAGCGACATCATCAGCGGTGCAAACACCATCGTTAGCCAGCTTACCCTCGGTTGGAAATATCCCGATCCTCGGCTACAGTTCGTATGCGTCGCTGCTCAACAAGGCGAATCTCAAATTTGAAAACAACCTCGACTCGATGATGATTGAATGGTAACGTATCCCCAGGTCACACCTGTCTCTTGTCTGGAATATTTCCTCTACTCCGCAAACTGCAGCTAGACCGGTGCATCCTCCATCCTCTTTTGCTCGCTCTTTTCCGCTCCGCACTCCACCTTATAGCGGGGATGTCTCCTCCACAAATGCACTATTTTCGATGTTCATGTCTTGGTGGCCTGTTAAGACACGTAGTAGGCATAGGTTTACTGCTTCCAGTGGCCTGCTATTGTGAGATTCTGCTTGCACAGAGAGGTCTGGGGGAGGCGGCTACCGACATGCGGGGTAAATGCCCAACCACCTCCACCAGTGCTTATTCATCAAATACTGAACAAGCCTGCATCTAATATCATGGATCTACGACATTAGGTCTCTCGAAGAGCGTGAGTGCAGACGCCGGCTTGTCCAGTTCTGGCGCCGGCATGAGAACAACAACATCTTCTGCACTTTCAAGTCAGTGGCAGCCGCCGATCGTGTTCCCAACAGTATCGTTCGTATCATGCATATACTGGGAGGAGAAGCACGACTTCTTCATCACCAGCGTCGACTGCATATACCTGCTCGAGTCCCTGATCGCAGTGCGCTTTACCGTCGAGGAGAAGAACCGCATCCGACGCAATCTCGAGGGGTTCCGGCCACTCACCGTGAGCAAGTGTAAGGTCGAGTCTGCCGAATTCTTCAAGCTGATCATGTCGTTCCCAAACCCAAAGCCGCGCAATATCGAAAAGGACGTCAAGGTGTTTCCGTGGCGTATTCTGCCACTGGCCCTGAAAAAGATTATCGGCAAGTATACGGCCAGCCACAGCAGTACTGCCAGCGTCACTCTGGATCCGTATCCGACGTCCCGTGTGTCCAGCTACTCACAGATTCGCCGGCATCTCGTCGGCACCTAGTGCAGGAGCTGCGTTTGGATCGGTTGGTGCCACGGGCGGAATGGCTGTCTTCCCGCCGTGCTCCCCAACCAGTGGCGGCTTAGGCAGTGGATCTGCATCGGCAGCGATCGTTGCTGCAGCAAATGCAGGCAGCAAGGCCACAGCAGTCTGCGGGACGCCGACCCTTCGCAGCAGCGGTAGCGGCAGCACCAGCACTGGTGTCAACAGTGGAGGCCGTCACCAGAGTTCTGGATTGCCAACACCGTCCATGTCGTCGAGCTCGTCGACGCTGAACGCCTTTGTTGAGGCACGTCGCCGCCAGTCGTTCTCGAGACTTGACAGCTTGGGCTTGCGCCAATGGCTCGAGCGGAGCATCTGGCTCGTCACTTCTGTCACCTTCTACTAGCTTTGGCATGGGGATGGGCATCGATCTTGGAATGGCAATAGGGGCTTCTGGTGGACAGGATGTCTCTTGCAGCAGCACGCCTTTTCCAAATATGGCTGCGTCATCCACAATCTCAGACATGAGCTCGCTGTTGATGTTTGGTGACATTCAGCAGAACCTTGCCCGTCCGCAGCTGCTGCAGCCAGTGCCGGTGCCGGTTCCGGATCTGGCGCTTGTACTGCCCCCTCGCTGACGGCATCCTCTGCGTACCTGAATGGTGTTGAAATGAGCCACAGTGGGCAGCCGTTCAGCTACATGATACCGACCAGCTGCAGCACCCAGCTTGACCTAGCTGGCATGGCGTCCGTCAATCCCGCTGCATTCCTAGACACGTCAATATCTGCCTCATCCGCGTCTGCAGCCGCTCAGTGCTCGACGGACTCTTCTGCTGAGTCAATTTCGTCAACATCAACACTGATCGACCAAATGTCGGGTGGCTATGTGACTTCGAGCTCTGATCGCCAAAGCTCTAGTAGCTCCAGCAGTTCAGGATCCACTAGCAAGAGCAGCTCGAGGTCACCTCTCGGCAACCGTCAAAAGCAGCATGTGGTGCGCACCTCACACACCAAGCATGCATCGACTGCAGGCACCGTACTCGACAGACCGTGGCTCCCGGCGCAGCGCAGGCAGCGGCATAAGTGGCGATGACAGCAGCTCAGAAAAGACTGAATGTATTAGCGCGTACTTGCCAACCGAGACTGCTTTTGGAGAGCATAGCGACGAGTCTGGTGTGCGCGAGCAATCGCCATCGATCCCGCTAATAGCATCAACAGCGGCAAATGAAGCAGGTGGCACATGGCTCTAACGGCAACGATAGCTCTTCAGCGCCCGATCCACTTGTCATGCACTACGGTGAGTCAGCACCTGTGTTCTCCAATGCTGATGCGCCCAATCTCAGCACATACATGGCGATGGATGGCGACCAGGAGATGAAGGAGAAAGACTACATGCCGCTGTGCAACCTGCTGACCAATGCATTCCACAACTCGACAAAAGGCGGTGATGTTGTGCTGAGTAGTGCGTACAGCCAGGATAATGCAGAGCCCGACGACTCTACCGCCACAGGCCACCATTCTAGCAGCACCATAGCAGCAGCTGGTAGTACCGCTAGTGAGGGCGAGCTGGGGTTGGCTGGCGACCCGTCGATATTCAAGCTTGCAATGAACGGCGGATTTGCGCCCGGCGATGTCGCATTCCTCAACAACCTCATCGGCATTCCTGGCGACCAAACTCACCACGATATCTTTGGCAGTGCATCTGAATCGCTGAGCAAAGGGACCAGCAGCAATCCCTCCTCGGATACTGCAGCCGACAATGACAGTGGGAGCCGAGACGACCATGCCAGCGATGGTGCGGAGTCTGGCTCTGGCTTTGCATTCGTATCGGTGCCTTCGTCATCGCCCTCGCAAGACATGGACCTGCTTCGACTAATGCAGGCCAGTGTGGATGCGCGGGACCTAGGCGACAAGCAGGGGCTGCTAAATGCGGCTGCTGCAGTGTCTGCAGCGCTCACCTCCGAGCCCAACGGCGTCGGAACTCCTGCGCTATCTGAAGAACACCTGGCACATTCATCACAGATCCTGGCCCAGATACTATCTCCTCCGGAGTACCTGGCGTCAGCCAAGTCGACACTCAAGAGCAATCCACCGGCGGCCGGATTGTCAGCACCACATCACAGTCTGGCATCGCCGCTTGTATTCAGCACTAGTGCCCTGTTCGGCGACGCAAAGTCCTCTTACCTCCTGGACAGCACCCATGGCGGCTACTAGCCACTCGGCACTTCCGGCCAGCAAGCCAGCGCGGCAGCAGCAGCAAGCAGAAAGCAGCAGTAATCTTTCATCCGTCTGTCTCTTCCCCCCCCCCCTTTTCCAAAACCCTCATTTTCACAATAGACTCGCACTTTTCGTTCTTGCGCTCGAGATTGCCGTCCTTCCCATGGGCAGCCAGCTGGCGCCTAATGGGCAGCCTGCATCACCGCCCAGCACATCCATTGCGCGGAGAAGTGCTGGATATGTGTATGCTGGCATGGGAGGGGATTTGCGTTCGCATTGTGCCGACAAAGGATACTGCCGCGTACGTGTTGCACTCAGGGGCGAGCTTGAAAATTTTTCTTCAGCAACACGCCGCCGCCAAGTGTGAGCCGCTCGCCCATACCGGCAACTGGCCAGCGACAAGTGGGTGTGTTTGCAAGCCCCTTCAGCCGTCACGGGGAAAGGGCGTGCTTTTATTCTACGCCCGGCCAGCTCCTCTTGCCTTCAATTTTAACGCCATCTACTTGCACACCTCCTTCCTGCTGTATTTCCAGGAGCCGACAGCGACGTCAAGCAGACCCAGCCCGCGCTTGAATCCGAAGTCCCAAACAGCAATAGCATAGGCTCGGAGTGTATGTAATTCGCCCCTCAGCTGAGCCAGCAAAACCACCCTCTCTGGGCTTACACTATTCGACGTCAGACACGTTGCAGGCCGTGAGCTCTAGCCAACTCTCCCCTCTCTTTTTCCCGGATAGCTTGGAAACTCAATTGCAGCCGTTTCTCTCTCTCTTTGTTCAACTGCCTTTTTTTATTTCGCAGCTATTTTTCAAGCTTATTAGCAGGCGAACAGCATGAACAGCGGAACCCCTGCTGAGCCAATGTCGGCCTCAATTCCAACCGGGGCAGTGGCAACAGCAGCAGACCCTGCGGCGAGCCACACGCCTAGCGAGAGCTTTATCGACGAGCCATACTCTGTCGAGCTCTACGACTATCTGCGCAACACGCCCAAGCGGTACAACTACATGCTCACCCCAGCAGCCCGCAAGGACATCCTGCACAAGGTGTCCTGGTATCTTCTATCCAAGGACGATCGTCTGGCGGACCTGGTCCCGCTGGACGAGCGAACAGGCGGCGCGCCGCGGGAGGAGCTGCAGGATGAATTTGAGACACCTATTGAATATACTGAGGTCAGGCGCGGACAGCCGTGTGGGCATGTGTTTAAGCGCGGCGAAGGCGTCTATAGATGCAAGTAAGTATTGTTCTCCCCCACTGACCTGAAAGCCCCGACTATTGTTGCAAAGACTGTTTAAGCGCGTAGAGCAAAGGGGCTGCGTATGCGTTTCCCCCCAGCTACGTACCTGCCTGCCTGCCTGCCTGCCTGCTGGCTAGCTTGCTGCTTTTCCAGCAACTTCCCCTCCCTCCATCCCATTTGCACTGCTTCCGAAAACGCACAATATGGCGTGCACGTCTATCCTTCATACTCTTCCTACCCCAACCATTGTTGACTGTCGCAGTCGCAAATGCAGGCGAGGTGGTAGGAGGAGATGAAGCGCATTAGACATGCAGCAAGGCAAGCGCTTCCCCAGGCTCTTATCCGCTGCTATCTACCCGCTGTCGTACTGATCACGTACAAACAAATGCATTTTCGCTGGCTAGGAACTGTGCCATGGACGATACCTGTGTTTTATGCACACGGTGCTTCCAGGCCACTGACCACACGGGTCACGACACCTCATTCAGCGTAAACTCGGGTACAGGCGGCTGTTGCGATTGCGGCGATCCCGAGGCGTGGAAGATTCCGCTGCGCTGCCGCCACCACAGCAGTTTCGAAGAGCTCGACGAAATCGGCTTTGACCCTATCATCTCTTCGGCCGGAGCGCCCTTTGTTCCTGGCTACAACAACCACAACGAGTGCCCAGTAAGCGTCAGACGCGCTATCGAGCTGACCATTGCAGTGGTACTGGAGTTCATTCTGGAGACGTTCTCCACATCGCCAGTACACTTGCGCACTAGCTTTGACGAGCGATCCATCATTGAGGATGCGCAGAGTGCGAGCGAGGCACTGGGAGATCCCGAGGTGCAGACAAAGTTCGCCATCGTCTTGTGGAACGACGAGGTCCACTCATTCCAGGACGTCATCGACCAGTGCACACAGGCGCTAGACTGCTCGCCTGTGGAGGCTCGCAAGATCGCCGAGACAGTCGATGTCAGCGGCCGCGACGTCCTGCGGGTCAGCACATCGATCACAGATCTCATCGAAATTGCGACGTCCATGGTCAATGTGTCGCTCTGCATATCTATTCGTGCTGCCCGCGACGTGTTCCGTGAGCAGCTGTCGGCGTCGCTTCTCATATGGCTTCGCGACCTGGCGTGCTGCAAGTTCCGCCCGCTTGCGCGCGTCTTCCAGGGCAAGGTCAACAACGAGATCCGCTCAGAAATTAGCCACCAGCTGTGCTTGCGTTGGGAGGCGCCATTCCGCAACAGCTATTTGGCAGACATCCTCTTCAAGCAGTACAGCTACGACATCCGTCCGATGGACTCCGACACAGAGGACGTGTATGCCGATGGCGAGCTCGATGACGAAGAGTACCTTGATGAAGACGACGAAGAGAGCGTCGACGACGAAGGCGCCATTACACAGGACGAGAGCAACGCAGTACAATCACCCGCAGGCGCAGCAGCAGCTCCAGGAAACGCAGCCTCCCAGCATGCACATGCTGCTACATCTGCTGCGGCTGCTGCTCAAGAGATAGGCATGGTGGTTGATCTGTCGGATGCACAGGATGCCCAGATGCGGGGCAGAAGGCGGCTCAGGTCAGACAGCACCGACTCGCTGAGGCAGCAAGGCGAGGAGCGCGGCAGCCCACGCAACTATCCGCAGCCCGGTGCTGTACACGGGCGCAATGATAGCGACGCTGGGGCCCCTCCTCCCAGCCTCTGGCTCAATGAGACGGCTGGTGGCACTGGCGTTCCATCCTTGCACGCAGCTGTTGGCGCAGCTGTGGATGCCGTTGACGCAGCACGATTGTCGCTTGCCCGCTTTATGCAGCCTAACTACATGCCCGGACACCCACAGCACTCGATGGCTCCTGGTGCGTTCCCAAGCACAACGTACCTGTCCGAGGACCCGAATGCAGACCCGACGCACTTGCTCATGGCCACGCAGATTGAGAACGCACCACAGCAGGACCCAGATCGGGCATATGATCACGCGACGTCCCACGCCATCAGGCGAGTGCTGCGTGGGTGTGGGCAGCAGCGTCTGGACTGGTTCCTCATTTTCGATCTACAGCTGTGGAAGGAGGTGCGGAGCGGCCTGCGTGAGCTGTACATGGCCACGCTGATGCTTGACGGCCGGTACAAGATGAAGATTGCGCTGACCTTCTCGCGCAACTACCCACGCCTGTCCCGGGCGTTCCTGACGCAGGACCGTGCACCTGAACACTCGGTGCTACTGTTCTCGGTACAGCTGTTTACTGCCCCGACGCTCTCGGCAGAGCTGGTTGACCACCACCGGTTCCTCTACATAATACTGAGCGTGCTCAAGAGGTTCTTTGTCGAGCCGACACCCGAGTTTTTGCGCCACCAGGGTGTTGTTCTGTGCGATACAGAGTCGTTCCGTAATCGCCGGTACTTCCATGTGTTCCACGACATGCGCTATCTGGCCGGCACACCACAGGTGCGCAACTGGGTGTCGTCCCAGCACCAGTTTCTGGCCACATATGTAGGCTTCATTGGCCTCTTCCAGGGCATGAACCCGAATCGCCGTGCAGTCCTTCAGCACGTCGAGTTTGAGGCCGATACATGGGTCAACGCGTTCAACGTCACCCTGCAGGTTGCCAAGAGCTGTCGCCAGTTTGCCGAGTGCTATGGCATCTCGGCGCGGGATCTGTTTTTTGCCATGCGCGGCACACTGCGTGCGCTACGCCATTCAGTAGCGCTGATGGCCGAAGAGAACTGTGCTGTAATCATCCGCACTGCGCAGATGCAGGGTCTCTTGGGCCCCGAAGCTGGGCATACTGTCAACACAGGCGGCAACCTGGGCGATGCTATGCCGCTCGTTGCTGAGGCCCACATTCGGTCGACCATGTGGGGCAGCCAGTACTACATCGTCAAGTACGATGTGGCCTCTTGCCCAGTCAGCTTCCACCACCCGCTGCACTGGTTTATGGCTGAGCTGTGCCAGCACGTAAAGCTGCTGTCAGAGGACATTGCGCGCGAGTACGGGTTTGACAGCATTCGCCACATGATCTTCACCGCGTTCAATGTCTCATACGACAGCGCACTCGAGGGCCCGACGGACGCAGCCATGGATGGCTCTGATGCGGGTTCATCGGGCAGCAGTGGCGCTGCTAGCCGCGCAGCACGCTCCCATAGACGAATCATGACTCAGACCGACATTGAGCGGGCCCAGCACGAGCTCCTGCGTATCCTTGACTACCCGATTCGTGTTTGTGTCGTGATGGCGCAGATCCGCGCCGGTCTCTGGGTGCGCAACGGCTATGTGATCCGGTCGCAGTCGCACCACTATCGCGAGGTGTCTCTTCGCGAAAACACGTACGACCAGGACATTGTCATGATCCAGTTCTTCCTCAGCATCTGGCCGGATACCGATCACATCCTGATGGCCTTGCTTGACCGCTTCGGGCTCTATGACTGGTTCAGCGGCCAGCCACATGTGTCGGAGGTGTACGAGCAGTCGCATCTCCAATACATGGTGGAGGAGTTCCTGAATGTGCTCATTGTGCTGGTGTCGGAACGCCATGTCGCCACTGGCAAGAATGCGCTGGATCTGGCACGCCGTGAGATTGTGCACGGATGCCTGAGCCCGATCGCATACTCGGAGCTGTCAAAGAAGATCCCCGAGCGCTTGGCTGAGCACACCGAGTTTGACAATCTGCTACAGGAGATGGCCGAGTACCGCTCTCCCGTCAGCATCATGGACTTTGGAATGTACGAGCTCAAGGACGAGTATCTGGACGAGGTCGATCCCTACTTTATCCACTACTCGCGCAACCAGCGTGAAGAGGTCGAAGAGCTCCTGCACGAACGACTGAAGAAGCGGTTGCGTCGCAGCGGCGGCGACCCTGATGCCGTGCCTGCCTATATCCCGCCCAAGCTTGACCCGATTCGGTTTGGTCCGTTCCAGCGGCTTGGAATGGTGCTGCATACGCCCCTGGCATGCCAGGTGCTCTTCAACGCCCTGTACCACGCGACAAACACGCCAAACCACTACATGTCCGAGACCATGGTTGACGAGGCGCTGCAACTTGTAGTGCTCGCACTCGAGGACGGTCGCCGCGGAGCCGTGGCTCGTGAGATCGGCGGCCCAGATGTCAATCCAGACGGTGAAGAGGGCAACACCCCGAACCGCGGTGGCCTGTGGAAGTACGCCCTCGAGCAGGGCTATCCAATGTCCAAGGGCGGCAAGCCAATGAACTTCCTGGCTCTGGTGCTGTCGCTGGGCCTGCGGTCTGAGCTGAAGCAGTGGAAGCCCAAGCTGGACTACATCCTCAAGCTCTTCCGCGAGGGTGGGCCGCGCGTCATCAGCTGCATCGACGAGTACTACGCAAGCCTCGAGTCAACCCCCCTGGGTAGCCATGTGCTGAGGACGGCGCAGGACGAGGCCAGCGCTGCCGAGCGCAAAAAGCAGGAGGCCAAAGCGCGCCAGGCGGCGATCCTGGCCGACTTTGCCAACCGCCAGCAGAATTTCATGGCCCAGTTTGGCGACGAGTTTGACGACCTGACTGATGAGGAGGATATCGACAAGGCAGATGACGTAGTCGAGACCTCCGCTGACAAGGGCAAGGGGTCCGATATGAGCCGGGTGCACAACTCGCTGTGGACTACGCCCGGCGGAACCTGCATTGTGTGTCAGGAGGAATGCGATGGCACAAAGCCGTATGGCATTCTGTCGCTGGTTCAGGCGTCGCGTGTAGCGCGCACTGCACCGCTTTCTGACGTTGTCAGCGTCACTGATATCCTGGGCATGCCTGGTGGTCTCGACTGCGAAATCAACGATGCGCCAGCCATTGCACCACAGACCCCCGAGAGCTCCATGTCAGCGAGCAAGATCAGTGCGCAAATGCGGCTGGCCGACCAAGCTGGACTCAATGGGCAGGTCGCAGCTGGAGCATATGGCGCGCCGTCCGGCCTTAAGGGGTTCCCTGTGCTGTACCACGAGCGCGGGATGGTTGCCAATACCTGTGGCCACCTGATGCACCTGCGGTGCTTTACCCAGTACTACCAGGGAATCGAGGCTAAGCGCCAGAATCAGCCTACACGCAACCACCCAGAGAACCCGCACCGCAAGGAGTACCTGTGCCCGCTCTGCAAGAGCCTTGGAAATATCCTTTTGCCCGTCTTGCCCCACGTCGGCGACTACGACCCTCTGACAATCACGGACCAGAATCCGGAGCGGTTCGCAGTACCGGCCAGCCAGCGCACCGACCAGGCCACCGCCGAGTTTGAGCACTGGCTGCAAGGCGACTGGCGCGAGCTTGGCGAGACGATTGTCGCTGTCACCAATGGGCGGACTTCGTCCAAGGTCGCCCCTGTACTGAGTGGTGGTCCGGGCTCGCAGGCCGAAAGCAGCTCTGGATCCGACCGTGAAGGAACCTCGCAGGCCAGGACGCCGTCGTCGTCTACTCCTGCCATTGGCGCGGCGGCAGCGGCAGCACCAGGAGGCTCAACACCCGAGGCACCTGCGGGATTCCGCGCCATGGGTCAGACAGCTGAGGATACCCTGGCCAGCGGCCTGATTGCGTCGCTTCGGAACGCAGGCGGCTTCAGCTTCAACCTGCCTGAGGGCCTGACCGAGTCCCTGCCGCGCAACCTGGATCTCCTGCGTGCCGCCCAGCATCTGCCAGGTGGCTTCGCTGCTGTTCAGACTCTTCTCCAGCGGTTCCTGCAACCCAGCACGAATGCCGCCTTCTCGCTTGTCCCGGGCTCTGAGCGCATGGTTTTACCCCTGTCGCAGTATGTGCGGTGGATGTTCGGCATGCACTTTGCCGACACACATCATCACCAGCGCAGGCAGGCGCATAGCGGCACTGGCTCGCACAGCGGATACTCGACTCCTGAGGCCTCTGGCTATGACCAAGCGTTTGCTGCTGGAGGACGGCACATGTTTGCACAAAATACCGAGGCGCAGAGCCGTGCTGCTGCTGAAAAGGAAAGCCGTATGCGTGGGCAGCTTGAGGAGTACCAGTTCATGTATACGCGCCTGTATGAGGTTGTGCAGCAAGTCCAGCGTGACAACCACGTCGGGCTGCCGTCGGTTTCCTTGTTTGAACACATCGGCAAGGGCAAGGGCAAGGGCAAGAGCAAGGGCAAGAGCAAGAGTGCTTTGGGTGTCCATGGCCAATATCGTGAAGGCTCGGACAGCCTCCCCTTCGACGAGGACGAGGAGTTTGAGGATGCATACGAGGATGAGGATGGCGATGAGATCGATAGCGACAGTGCTTCCTTCAATCCTGCTGCACCTGTGGGCGCATCTGCTGGCACCAGTAGTCCTATCCACAACGCTGCCCATGGCCGCCAAGGATACCTGACTGACTCGCCCTTGGCTGGGTTGCCGCAGCTGATGCAGGTCCTGAGCGACAATCTGCGCTCAATTGGCTCCGCTGGTAATGCGTTGCCCAGTATCCTTGGTGGAGGCGGTGCCGGCGGATCTGCTGCCCCAGCTCATGGCGACCCCTCTGCCCCCCGTATCTTCCCGTTCGATCGGGCAGCCACGGCTCTGTTCTCACACTCGCTGGCCATCCTTGAGCTGGCACAGCGCGGCGTGCGTAACCCGCCGGTCTTTGATCACGAGGATTCGCGAAGCCAGCCGTCTGGCACGCTGGTCGATGGAGTTCCTGAAGCCCACGCGGTATTCATGCACTCGCTGGCCAAGATCGCAGAGATGCATTACCGCACTGCTTTTGGACCAGTATCCGACCTGGCCACAGGCACTGCCAACACTGATCCTCCAGCTCTGACCCCAGCACAAAAACTGAGGTGGCTGATGTCTCAGCCGTCGCCGTTGCCGTCGCCGTCGCCCTCACCTGCTCACACCCCTGGGGCAGCAACGGCCCAGAGAGAGGCAATGCAGCAGACGCGCATGTCAATGCTTAAGGACCTTAGCTACATCCTGGGCCCTCTCACCGGTATCCCTGTTGTGCGGCCGCGCGAGTCTCTGCACGACCAGTCGGTATGGCTGACCGGAACCGATGGCCTGCCGCCGCGCCCGCTGCTGATGCAAGACTCGGCATCGATCTTCACCGAGCTGAGCATGTCGCTCGTTGTGCCCTTGGGCGTCGATATCTGGCAGCTTGTACGCCTGTTCATGACCGTGGAGCTTGTCCGTGTCTGTGTTGCTGTCGGAGACAGTGTCATTGGCGAGTACAGCGGTGCGCCCAAGGCACTTCGCGCTGCTCAGCACTTCCCCGTTGATATTGGCGCCAGCATCGCCAATGCTTCGAGCTCTATTCCTGGAGCTGCCGGATCGACGCGCTCACAAGCTGCAGCCGCTGCCGCCGCCGCAGCAGCCGCCGCCGTGGTGTCGGAAAACTCACACCAGCCGTGGATTGACGCCCCTGAGGCCCGCGACTCCAAGCTGCTGTCGTCGATTTCGGGTGGTACCGACGCAAAGGTGGTTGAGGCATCGGCCCCGGGCATCAACTCGCTCATTCTGTGGGTCATTCGCCAGATCCGTGGGTCAGATATGGATGAAGAGGTCTTGACGCGCTTTAGGTACAGTGCACACCGGACCACGGTGACTAAGCTCGTTGTGTCGCTGATGCTGCCGTTCTTGCGCCGTCTTGCGCTGACACTGTACCTCCAATACGGCATTGATCTGGCCCGTGAGGCGCCATGGATGCGCGAAGAACGTGCACGCGCAGCCACAAACAACGATCCCCAGATCATGGCTCAATCGGAGCCCGAATGTGTGCGTCTGCTCAAGATCTTGAACTTGCCCGAGCTGCACAAGGTGTTTGTCCCCGAGGCACAGCCTGGCATGACAGCCATTGTCAGCAACTGGCTCAAGGATCTGCGCACGTTCCGCAGTCGCCACGGCTCGGCAGTGTCGCTGGGCGCCGGATACACAATGGCAGTGCCCGTAAGCATGCCCACGCCATACACCCTGGTTGAAATGCCTGATCGGTTCGAGGTGCTGTTCGAGCGCTCGGCCAAGGCGTTCTGTCCCCGCTGCAATAGCGTCCCAAGCGACCCCGCGCTGTGTCTGCTGTGCGGCAGCTTTGTCTGTTCACAGAGCTTCTGCTGCGAAGTCCAGGGCATCGGCGAATGCAACATGCACATGAAGTCATGCGGTGGAACCGTCGGCGTCTACCTGCTTGTCAAGAAGTGCGGCCTGCTGCTCTTGCACCATGACAACGGCTGCTTCATGTCGGCGCCGTACCTCGACCAACACGGCGAGGTGGACCTGGGGCTGAAGCGTGGCCGTCCGCTATTCATCAACCAGAACCGCTACGACGAGATGCGCAAGCTTGTTCTGACCCAGAAGATTCCGGTGTTTGTTGCTCGCAAGATTGACCAGGCGTTTGATATTGGAGGCTGGGTCTCGCTCTGACCTTGACAAAACAAAAAAATTATTCTCTACGCTCTTCTCTCCTTCGATGGCAACCCCATCTGTATTGAAAACATTCATTGATCGCTGCCTCAGTATGTCTATGCAATGTGTAGTCTAGTGCCGGTGTGCCCAATGTGTCGACATTTGGTCGTCAGATGCAGTGAACCCCTGCTTGATCCTGTCTGTGTACATCCGCAGGCCATTACCCATCACGGTGATCCGCGCCAGCGTCTTCTCCATACCCTCAGCCTCTTGGGTCAGTGCTGTAAACGTGTAGCGGCCGAACGCGTGGTTCAGAATGTACATGATTCCCTGCGACGCATCCACGTCTTCGCCCTCGCCGGATGACTTGGCCCCCATGTTGCCTTCGTCCTCCACGCGAGCCGAGAGGCGTACAAGACCCTTAACACGATACACATCCTCAGCGGGTAGCGACTTGAGGAACTGCGTGAACTGGGTTGGCTCAAGCAACTGGGTACCCTCGGTAAATTCGCGGCGGATCTCGATCAGATCAACCTCGTTGTCGTGGTGCGACGTGTCGGCATCGGCGGGCTTCTCAGACAGGCGGAACAGGTTGGTATCAAGCCCAAACACCACATTCGGATCTACGCCCGCGTCCTTGTCTGCCTTGATCTTTGGCGTATCTGTGTTAAGCTCATTGATATGGTCGATGACAATATCGAGCTTGCGTTCATTGACGAGCTCCCACTTGTTCAGCAGTACCAAGTCTGTATACTGCGCCTGCATCTTGGCTGTGTACGAGTTGTCTTCGTACCCGCAAAAGTTGGCGCAGTCGATGACGGTGAGAATGGCGTCCAGGTGGAACCCCTCGCTCTCCATCTCGCGGATTTGCCAGGCAATGGGTGCCGGGAACGCCGAGCCCGATGTCTCAACAATGATACGGTCTGGACTGTACTTTGCCTTCATTTCCTCGAGTGCCAGCTTCATCTGGCCAACCAGCACACAGCAGAGGCAGCCGTTTGTCATCTCCGTCACCTGAATATGGCTCTCGCGCACCAGGGCACTGTCTGTCTCGGCATCGCCAAACTCGTTCTTTAGAAGGACGACCTTGTAGTCTGGGTCGGTGCGCTTCAAGAGGTTCAGAATGATAGATGTTTTGCCAGCACCAAGGAACCCGGTGAACACCGTGATCGGTATGACTGACGAGCCGATGACTGTATGCGACTTTGGAACGTGGGCAATAGCGCTGGTCATGGTCTGCGTGTCTAATTCCTCGTGTAAGCGAATTTCAAGAATAAAAACGAGTGGTGAAAAGGAAGAAGCGATGGAGAACCACTGCTGAAGTTCGGGATGGGGGTGGCACTTTTTAACCCGAGTTTTGGCACGATCATAATTGTTGGGGCTACGATTTTTGCTGCCAGTTTCTTTGATCTGGCATCATCCACAGCACGTTCCGCTCTCCCCAAGCAATATTGCTGCGCACCAGCGGCCGGCTCCTGCAGGGATCGGGTGATGTGTGCTTGTGCACAGGAACTGTTCGAGTCAGGTTTAGAAGTGCGGGAATGAGGTGGCACTGGAGCAACCTGGTGTGACACGACAAGAGTGGTAAGCGAGGGATGGCAATGCACTGCTAGTAGAATGAAACAGAAATGACTAATTGAAAGTATGAGTGATGCTCTAAAGGAGCCACATCTGGCACCAGCACTATAGTGGCTTTTATACGACCAGCACTGGTGCTGCGCTGGCGTATAAACCAAAGTCAGTTCATAGGTTAAGATATATCGCATGCAACTAATGATCCAGACATGTTGCTGAAAACAATTAGAGTGGATATGCAGGATGGTGTAAATGAGTATGAAGCATTGATCAACGTTTTTATCAACAGGACAATATACAGATGTGTACAACATGGCTTGGGGGTTTAAATATTCAAAATGAAACCCGATATTCTGCTATTTCGGGCCAAATTTGCTGATAGCAAGACCACATCCGACTAGAAATGACAGCTGGATCCAATGAAACTGAGGAATGACATTGTCGTTGGCATCTAGATATACCACTGGTCTCTACGTCAAAGACATGCATGCGCTACATAATGTTCTGTTGTTTGTCGCTCACCAACCTCCTGCTGATGTATACCATCCTCCTATTTGCGGTACTGAAAAGGATAAAAATAATTGAATAAACATCTATGGTGTTTCGAGCTCATGCGAGGAGCTACATCTTGAGGTGCTCGAGTCTAGCGTAGTGAGCAGGCAACGACAAGCTGAAGGGCCAGCACACTGCCACTAGAAGGCACTGAAGTACGTTCAAGCATTGCACTGTTGTTTGTCTTTGAAGTTTGGCTCAAGGCCCTGCCAGAAATCAGATGCTTGGCTAACATTAGCCCTACCCATGCCATGCTGCCATTGTGCCCTACGGTCCCCCAAATACTCCCAGAGCTCAAAAACATGCAAGAGATACTTAGAGCGACGAGTCCATCGGGCTACTGATGATGCAGGCTAACTTTGCAGATGGTTGAGTATGGCCGTATGTCGATGACATCTCTAAGGGATTCTTGCCGCGCATAAATGATGTATCGCGGCAGCCTTCAGACAAGCATTTGGATATGGTAGCAGCCACTCGACAGCGGACACAGTGATCAGGAAGATGGACAAGAAGGTCAGACAAACGCAATAAGAAGCATGGCAGTGACCCGGCACTCAACGCTATAGAGGCATTTATTGGTGGCAAATAGGATGCATTGCTTGAATTCGCTTTAGTGCGTTCTAGTGAGATTGCACTGGCTCGCCAATCCATTGTTGATATCTTTATCTTTATCTTTACCTACCTATATATAAGATTTTATAGTCTAAAAAGTGTCCGACCGTCCGCTAGAACCTTTTTAATTGAATAAAAGATAAAACTTTTAAGCTTCAACACGGGTTTGAGTGACTTGCTCTGTAAACTCCCTTTGGTTTTGTGCGGCATCTGACCTCACCGGTGAAACCAGGGTGACAAGTTATTATTGTAGTGGTCACAGGTCTCTACTGGATATCTCCATTGGTTCAGCGCAAGAGCTGCTCTCAGTATCGGTCGACCTGATGACTTCCATGGCGTCATCATGGTGGTCATCACCGGCTGCGCAACACCCTTAGGATATTCATTCATGAGCACCTATTGAATAAAGCCATATAGCTCTTCTGGTGGTTATGCAATATTTGTGGGTTTATTTTATAAATTAATTTGTCTTATGAACATGCATAAGCGGTAGTATTTGAGTCACAACGGACCCAGTCTGTATAGACTGATTCAAGAGACTGTATCAGTGCTAAGGGCCCCAAGAACCATGCAAGCCAGAAAATCTTTAATAAAAAGTTCTTAATGCTATGCATACGCAATACAGCAAAACTGAACAGCATCATTTCTCTTCTTACTTTGCCTATTGAACTTCTCAAATGGATATTACCCGCAGCACTACTGTCATAAAGACATCACTTGGTGGTATTGGCTTCCGTGATTCTATGTTGCCCCGCCTAGAGCAATTTGTACACAGCGTCAATATCATCAAAGAGCATACATACATGCTTGCACGATGGATATTACTCCATCAACTAGCTGACGATGATGCCTTTGACCCTGCAATATTTGTGAAAAAGGGGTTTTTTCGTTCCATTTATTTATTTATTTATCGCAACCTGAAGGCGAAGACTGTCATATCTGCCGAGGATTTCGTCAACCGGAAGGACCGGCCAGAACTGTCGAGCGCAGATTTCGGTGATGTAGTTAGATACCATATTTATGATTATCTATTGCATAATGGCGATATCGAGCTACATGGCGTACGTGAAATGAATCAGGTAGCGACATACGTGGATACCGAGCTGATGACAGCATACAAGAACAACATTGTGTTGCACTATGGCACTTGCCTACAGCGGATTCTGGCCAAATTGATTGATATTCGCAGCCGCAAAACCACACTGCACAGTACAATGGGCAATGTGTCTAAGGCTGAGTTCAATAATGCATGTCAAGTGTGTATTTATACACCTGCACAGAAGCTCCGCCAGGCAGTTGCCTCTAGGCACCCTGATCTCAGTGTGCTCACCCCACCGATGCTTGCAATCTACAACAAGCTGGCACCAGTCCTCAATGCCTATGGTGCCAAGTACAGATTCGCCAAAGACAGCCGATACTATGATGCCAAGGTAAACCCACTTAAGCATCTGCGTGCATACATTCGTCTATGCCAGCTTATTGAGAATGAGCAGCTTGGCAAGTCTCCCCCTCAATGCTTGCCTCTGCGGACATCATGGATCCCAGGCCATGTGCGCTTAGACAAGCAAATAATCAAGCGGGTGTTTGTTTCGAAAACCCGTGAGCAGGCTACAGAGATCAACGCAGCAAAGAGGGCAGCAACAGAGGCAAGGAAAGCAGCAGAAAAGGGCGAAAAATTGGCCAAGAAGGCTGCACGCGAAGCAGCGAAGATGCCATCAGATGAAACAGAGGCCACTGCAGCAACTGCAGCAGTAGCGGCTGATTCGCTTGCTGCTGCATCGGCGGCAGCAGCAGACACTGTTGCAGCACTTAACAATGCATATGCACCAGCACCCCCAGTCTGTGCACACGACCCGGTCCAAGGGATCACACAACCTGTGTGGGATGTGTGGGGCCGGGTCGCAGATCTGACATCAAAGCCATTTAAGGCGCATGGTGATAGAAAATTCCACGGAATGGCGACAACAGATGGTGTAACGATATGCATTTTGTTACAAGACAAGGTACCTAAGACTGGTGCTGCAGTAGATGCTGATGCTACAGCTGACTGTTGCTATATCCACCAAATACCACAGCCAGAGCTGCAGAATCTGAAAGGCCGCTGTGTATTCATCGATCCAGGTTGGGGCGATTTGCTATACATGATGCACGAAAATAGCAGCAATGGGAAAGAGGGTGAAAAATGCTCTACCGCTACACACGGCAGCAGCGCAATAAGGAGCTCAAGCTGCGCCACTATGACAGGATTCGTCGGGCTACAAAGGATCAAGTCCTAGAAGATGCTGTCCGCAGAGCAGAGGCAGAGCTTTCCAAACACTGCTGCCGGACCCTTAGCCCAGCAAAATTCCGTGCCTACGTTGCTGCCCGTGCATCTGTGCGGTGTGTCCTAGCACCGTTTTATGCCAACACGATGACAGCGCGAAGGTTACCAGAGCAGCAGCCCACTAAGTCAAACAAGCAGCACCAGAGGCGGTGGAAGGCCCATCCGGGTGTCAGTACCAGTCCCAAGGTGTACCCGCTTCACCGCAAGCTGCGCCTTGATTCATTCATGAACCAGGCCCGTGCAGACCACAGGCTTGCTGCGAAACTCCGGAGCAAGTTCGGTCCAGATCCAGTGCTGATCATGGGCAGTTGGAGTGCGCCGATGGCCCGGCACCATGCGCCGATTCGTGGCAAGGGATGGCGCGACAAGTTCAAGCACCATGGCTTTGAAGTCTATCTGATCGACGAATTCCGGACATCATCAATGTGCCCGCTCTGCTGCGATAAGTCACTGCAGACATTCCGGCATGTTCCCAATCCGCGGCCCTACCAGAGATCGAAGAACCCAACTGTGAAGTGCCATGGCCTTCTCCGCTGTACAAGCGAGTCATGTAAGCGGGCCATGGCACAATACAGGCGAGCCTATTCGTCTCGGCTCTTGAACCGCGATCTCGCAGCAGTTCTAAACTTCAGACTCATTTTCCAGTCACTCTGTGATTCAGGCAGTATTCCTGAACGGTTCTGTTGTTCTACGGCCATTGCTGCCGATACTTCTGGCACCACCCCTGCAACAAAGAACCCGCACAAGAGGCGTGGACCAGCTGCAGGTGATTCTGCTGCCAGCAGCAGCGAACCAGCCCTGAAACGTCTGCGCTGAGCAGGCAATCAAGGTGGGAGATGTCCATGATCGACATTGCACCAACAACCATCCGACATGTTCAAATGACCGGTTCGCCGTGATGCCCTTATCGACGTGTCAACCCATGCTGACTAGCAGCCGAGCTCGCATCGCGAGCAGATATTTCTAGTATCTAAAGTTAATGCAGCAGCAAGAATGCTATTATCTGTCACCTCATCTAGCAGGAGATATTGCGATGTACAGGCTGAGGCAAACCAAAGACAGCGAGGATGTTCCAGTATATTTCAAACCGCTTCTGTGCAGTAGCATCCAGGCCACTGCATTCAATTTGGCCGTTGATGGCACGAATGGTCTTTCCAAAGTCCATTGAGTCGATCACACCAGACACAACGCGGACGCGCTCACGCCAATACCAAAACGCCGTCGCCCATGCCACATTAATGTCGCGGGCTACCCAGTCGGGATCATCGATCAAAATGTTACCATTGCCATACAGTGCTAGCGACGCGTCCTTGTAGTTTTCAGGCCAACTCAGCTGTAAGCATCCTCTGCCAAAATAGTATTTGTCTTTCCGACCAAGAGGGCTTGCATAGCGTGCGGCAGCCTGCTGGTCCACCAGTGCTGCGTGCTCTTCAAACTGCGTTAATCCGCCGGTCTCGAGCAGCACATGGGCAAGAAACATGGCGAGCTCAGTTCGGGTCTGGATCCGGCCCAGACGCGAGGCGTCACGGTTGAGAATTTGGCAGTGTGCCTCTAAGTCATCGCCAGCAGTGTATCCGTTGCGTATGATAATTTGACGCAGCTCTGAGCAAGAAATCAGCGTTGTGGACTGTGTAGGCGTGGGATAGGATTGAAGACGTGGCGGCTGTAGCCAATTCAATAGCCCGTCTGGCCTGCCAGGTCCGTGTGGTCTGTAGTGAAGGACGTTGGAAAAGGCTGGGGCAGACTGAATGTATAGAATAGCTGCCAGTATTAGAGGCACGAATATATTCATGGATAGAGTTGGTTTAGACTGGTGGAGAATCGGTTAAAGGAAAAAGAGCCAAGAGCGCAGCATACTAGCTGACACTGCTTTGTGCACAAGTATTAGCAGGCTACACCTCGCCGTCCACGGTTTCAAGGGTCCATTCGTGTGTGGGAGTTTTGTTTCTTAGAGCTACTGCGGTGAGGTGGTTTTTGCTGCATGCACATAATTAACGATGGGACTACCTGCCACTATACTAGCTTTTGCAGGAACCCTACGCTCGTGGGACTGGAGTACAGCTGCATCTTGGGTCCAGATCCACAATCCAGTGTCTCATAATGTCCGATATTGCCAGGCAGCTATATGTGGATAGTATCTAGTGCTGGCTGATTTCTGAAAAGCCAACTCGTTTTTCACAACTACATTGACAAGCACCCTTTTTCAAAAATGCGTGTATTCTTTGCCATTGGGCTGACAAGTTTCCTGTGCTTTGGGTCGTTGAAGAAGAAATCGCTGTCGACGTCTGGTGCACTGGCTGCTGGATTCGTGGGGCTGTCGACGGCCAGTAACGACAACCTGCTCTTCACAGTGGTTCTGGTTGTGTTTTTTGTGACCAGCTCATTCTGGACCAAGTATCAGAAGAAAGCGAAGATGAAGATCGACCCTGGGTTCGCCCAGGCGTCGCAGCGCGACTGGAAGCAAGTGCTGAGCAATGGCTTTGTAGGATCAGTCATCTCGCTGGTCTACCAATACTACTTTGATGGGCGGGATGTTGCCGAGCTGTCGCTGGCGGAGCGCAGGTTCATGACCTTGCTTATCTGGGCATATATTGGGTTCTATGGGTGCTGCGCAGCGGATACGTGGGCAAGCGAGCTGGGAGCACTGAGCAGTAATTGGCCGATCCTAATCACCACATTCAAACCGGTACGTACATGTACAGCGACAGAGGCACCAAATTTGCTCATGCATGATGCATGAGCACATATTGCGGTCCTGGCCTGGAGACAAACAATGCTGCATTTGTTTACACTTTGGTGCTCACGAATATAAGCCGACATGCCGAGTGCATGTCTGTGCATGGATATAGGTGCCGCCTGGAACCAACGGAGGCGTAAGCAAGCTGGGGTTATTGGCGTCGTTTGCGGGTGGTGCAGCGGTCGGACTCGCGGCGGACGTGGCAATGTGGGTGCAGTATTTCCCAGAGTACCGTTCGGGAACCCTGCCACGCATCCCGTACAACCTCATTGGGTCGCTGTTTGGCACGCTGGGCTCGCTGGTAAGTACAATGGCAGATCCGGCCCATCGCCGGCCTCCATGTGAAGTCACTCTTGGGGAGTTTGGTCAAGACTACGTGCAGGTTCTGGAATCAGAACGCGTTGGTTTATAGCTAGAGCGCGCATCCTGAGACGGGCATCCTGCGCGTGCTGGGTGGGTGGTAGAAAAACAAAAGAAGACTGCCATGACGTTGTGAGTCCGAAGGGCCGCAGATCATCGGCACTAGCCGCTATTTTCAGTGCAATGTCTGGTGAATGCGGCGAACTGCATGCTGCACGTCTGCCCCTCTGACCATCGCTTGTGACCAGCTTATTTTGTTCGAGCGCGCAGTTGTAAATGGTGTTGCACTTTTTCGCACTTGTAGATCGATTCGCTGCTCGGGGCAACCATTCAGGCATCATACCTTGTTGACAACAAGATCGCCACTGACCACTCGCACACGGACCGCACGAAGCTAAAGAAGGATGCGCGGCTGATCGCTGGCATCGACGTCTTGGACAACAACCAGGTAAATACTAGAAGCCAGATGCCAAAAAAATCTCGCGCACCCCATTAGGCTGATCGTGACTGACAGCCAGGTCCAATCAGGCCAGTTTCTTGGCTTGCTGCTCTGACAGGCGCGTTATTCGGCAGGTCCGATGACAGCCTTGCCAAGCGACATGGGGATCTGCTGCTTGGTTGCTAGAGCCAATGGTCTCGTCTCTACCGCACATCACTGTGGCCACCCCTCAGCTCTGCACCCTGGGGCGGCACGGACAAAGGCGGGGAATCCGCCTTGCGGTCGGAAGCGCGGGCACAAAAGCGCAAGCGTAGGCGGAGAATAGGCCATTCGGATGTGGGATGCTGGGCGCAGTTATCTATAAACAAAAAAATCTGAGATTCCTCGCGGGACCTCTGTCCGTTTTCACTATTTCTCGCATGTAGGTTAATGTGGTCGCATCGGTGCTCACGACCATCATTGCGGCTTCAATCCAGAAAATGCTGTTCTAAATATACGGCCCAACCGGCTTTCTCTCATGCGTTGCGAATACGCCGTGCATATTTGAAACAAGCGTGCAGAAACACTGAATAAGCCGCGCCCTTTCCACTGCCCGAAACGGCAGCGCTTGCGCCTTGCCCGTTGTGGAAGTATCGATGATGGCAGAAACTCCTGGCGGCTGCCTGCGCACTGCACTGCATGCATATGCAATGACATGCTGCTACTAAAGCAGGTGCAGGATTAAATAAAAGCAATATTATTAGGTGCGAGGGTTGGGAGAGGCTGTATCAGTAAGAATGAGGGTGCATAGATGTGTGCGCTTAGTAGTTGACCCCGACGTTGGATGGTGTCAGCGAAATGGCCATGGTGAAGCCTTCGTCTTCTTCAAGCAGCTTGTCAAAAGCAGTGGAGGAAGCGAGCTGGTCGCGAATCCTGCGGCGGGCTAGCGGGTCATCAACCAGTGTGGCCACGACGTGGCCCGAATCCGCATTCGAGGGGCGCAGCTGGATTGCCTGGGCCTCGGACAGGCTGCCCACGGGTGAGTCCAGGTTGTGTCTGCCAAAGGGCATCTTGCGCATCGACTTTGAGTGCGAAACCGACATGGGCGCAGCACCCACGCTCACATTCGTGTCGGCCGATGAGCGGACCGGCAGGTTGGTCGCCGAGCGCGACAGGATGTCGGGCGAGCTGGTAGGCGACAAGAGCGCCTGGGTGTAGATGTGCTGCTGGCTGAACTTGCGCGCGCCGGGCAGCGGCGGGTGGCGCTGGCTGGCAGTAGCTGGCAATGACAGCATGGCGTCGATCGACGACGACACGGCAGTAGTGCTGCCGCTGCTGAGGCTGGTGACGGACCCGGTTGGGGAGGCAATGTCGGTGTAGATCCCCAGGTGTGGCCGGTGGGTGCCGTGGGGCTCCGCCCACTGCGTGTAACTGCTGCGCGACTGCATCCCCGGTCTGCTACTGTGCTGGATGGAGTCGTCAGGGAACCGGTCTGCTATGGGGGTCGTTGACGTGCTGCAGCTGGCATTGTACTTGGCCGTCGGCGAGAAGATAGGCGGCCCGGTGGTCTCGCTGTTATGCGGCAGACGCAGCGGCGGGTTTACCGAGAGATGGTGCGGACGGCCCTGGCCGGGCACGGGCGGCCCTGGGGTGGTGGGCGCGCGCAGCATCCTGTGTCCGAGTGCAGTGGGCGATTTCAGCACGCTGCATGTGGGTGAGCCGGAGGAGCTCTGTGAAGCAGGTGCGCCCGGGGGCGCCAGGAGCGAGCTTAGGCGCGATGCAAGGGGCCGTGACGCGGTCTCGATGGAGTGGGCAGCATGTGTTTCTGCGGCCCTGGACCGCCTCGTGGCAGTCGACGGTCTTGCATCATCGGCCATCTTACTATTGCGTCTGCAGGCTGAACCGCTTTCAGGCCGCGGCTTGCAGCGGCATGGTAGAGCACTCATACGTAATGCCGCTAGAATTGGGGGTGCCGTGATGCGCGTTTCTATAGCCGTCGGCCATCAGCGTAGAGCTGGAAGGATCGGCGTGCGCTTCGTCAAATGCGGTCTCGAATGATGCATGGCCACTGGCAATCCCCTTCGGCATGTGCTGCTGTATGTGGACCGCTGTGGCCAGCTCAGCATCACCTACAACACTCTCGTCGTCGCTGCAGATATTGCGCTGTGCAGGCGCGAATCCCGCACCCCCGGACATATCTGCTTGACTACTGGGAATGCCGTCCAAATCAAGTTCCTCGGCTAGCTGCGAGCCGCTTCTGGCTGCTATGCGCGGCTGGCATAGGCATTGGCTCCAGGTCGCCGCCGACAGCGCGGGCAGCAGCCGCACGGGCACCGCCAGTAAACGACATAGTGTTCCGGCGTGCATCACGGCGGCGCTGGCGGCGGGCCTCCAGAGCCGTGTTGCGCTGGATGGTCAGCAAAAAGTCCATGTCGAGATTGCCCAAATCGCCGACGCTGTCGTCGCGCTCCAGCATATCGCCCTGCATTATGCCTGGCGACGCATCGCCACACGTGTCCTCGTCAAGGCCAGCCAGCAGGCTGCCAAGAGACTTGCCTGGCGGTCCATGGCCAGCCGAGCGCCCGTGGCTGGTTGCTGGCGCCGTGGGTACCGAAACAAGCGGCGACTGCGGGTAGAGCTGCGGATGGACTGTGATATCAACAGACCGCTCGTCAAATGACTGGTGCCGCTGGCGGCGCGAATCGGGGCGGCGCGAGTTTGTGAAACTCAGCTTTGTCCGCCAGAGCGGGCTCCGCCGTTTGCCTTCGGTCGTTGCCTGGGCCGATGAGCCCTGGCTTGGGTCCGTAAAACACATCGTCACTGTCATTGCCGTCGTCCCGAGCCATCCTGGGCGTGAGTGCCGACTGGGGCATTGGTGGAACATCAGTCCATTGCAGCTTTGCGTATGGCTGCTGCTGGGTACCATCCGCTGCCCCATCGAGTCTGAGCATGGCCGGACGCCGACGCTGGTATTCGTGCGATGATCCCGCAGATATTGACTTGCTCTTGATCAGTGGCTCAGACTCAATAGCGTTGCTGTCCTTTGTTGTTGCTGCTGATGCTGCTGATGTCAACATATGCGTTAGCGAGGAGCACTGCTGCTGGCGGTGCTGGCGGTGCTGGCGGTGCTGGCCAGCAGAGATGGTCATCGGCCGCTGGGCGATAGTAGATGGTGGCGACTGTGTTTCGGGGCTGTTGTCCTCACTTTTGATTCCCGCTTTCAGTGCATGGTACTGGTTTGTGGTGATTTCTGGGACCGGTGGTGGGGTATCCCGACCCGCATAAACTTCTGTCGGTGAGAGCAGTGCTCCGACCATGGCCTCCTGGGCAAAAAAGTCCTTCGACGAGATGCCCACTGTGGATTTGTTCTTTGCGTGCTTAACCGTCGACGGCGACTTGCGAAGCATTTTGCTCAGCAGCCCACGCGTGCGCGCCGTCAATGGCCGCTGCATGGGCACTGTGCCGTCGCTGTTCGGACCTGCCGACGCTAACCTAGTGTCATCAGCATTCATTATATGGCTATTAAGAGAAAGCTGGTGCAAACGATGCCCTTGTATTCAAGAATCCTTAGACAGGTAATGCTGGTGCCGAAATACGTGTGGAAAATACAGGAGGGAGAGATAGAAAAAACGTCGTCAGGTAAATGGATGAAAAAGAAAAAAAATAAGGGAACGGAAAATGGCGAAGACTTTATGAAGTTTGCTGGCTGGGTGGGCGATCGCCAGACAGGTTTTAAACAGATTGGAGGGAATTGGTGGTCAGCGGAGCAAAGAGCGAAAGGAGGAAAGCTGGTGCATTGGTGGACATGCAGGTAGCAGGCAAGCGGGCTACTTTTAACAAGTAGCAGGCGGCGGGGGAGCGAGGGAGAAGCTCCATCGTCACCCTCTCACAAGCTTGTGCCAAACAAGGAGAAAAAGCCACCTGGGTCCGTTTTGACTGCTCCCAGCACATGCTTGTGAGTTGCTGCCGTCGGGCTGCAACTTTAAAAAAAGGAGCAAAATAGCTCATATTGGGGAGGGGCATGGTGAACACCACCCGGATCAACCCACCCCTGGACCGATACGGTCTGGCCAAATTGCCTGTGTTTTTGTCTGGAGCAAATCCAAAGCTTGTTTATTTGGGATCCAGCCAACGATACTCTGGAGCGTGCCTTTGCTAATGCTGCGACAGTAGCAATTGGTTTCCAAGTGTCAGACCGGTTTTCGCCGTTCATTTCTTTGATTTCTGGTCCCATCCCCCGCTTCTTGATTGTCCCAGCAATACTAGTTATTACGCTGTCGCACCCGGCACAGTAGCCGGGTTGTGCGCTGGAAATGGCCTTCTCTGCCTCTGCGATCTGCCACGCTGGAGAAGCTGGGCTAGCACACAGGGCGATTTGGCTGTTAGTTCAAAACATCCAAAGCGAGGACGATCCATACACGCGGGTCACTGCTCTGCTGTGTGCGCCTCAGCACCACCTCACACTATTCCTCCCCGAGACACGGCCGTCCCGGCATTCGAGATGTTCTCGAGCCGAGGATTGTTGCCTCTGTCTCAGCGACGCATTGTGGATTGTGTCCATGCTGCGACGTTCGATTGACGTGTGGTTCTGTGTTGCCTCCTTTGGCTGGTCCTAAAGAGAGTTATTTTAGTGTGCAAAGCCTCACCCCCCCTTCTCCCGGTTCCTTCCATGAGGAATACCGGCTCTGCATATGGCACGGGCTGCATTCTTGCGGCTTAGGCGTGAGCCACAGTTAAGGTTTTTCGGGAACTGCGTGCTGCACAGAGCGAGGGGTCCTCTCACAGCAGCGCCCAGCCCAGCACGGCTCAGCCATCTGCGAACGAAGGAGTCAGTTGTTGCGGAATTGGGTAATTTTAAGGGGGAATTATGAAGAAAGTAGAATGCGGACGGATATCCATAAATGGCGAGCCGTTAGACAAAGTCGCTAATAACGATTTCGTCGTCGTCATCGCCCTTGGGGTTGCTCTCTTTGGCTGCCTGTGCCTTGGCCGCAGCCTCGTGCTCGGCCTGCAGGCGCTTGGAGATATCCTCGGCCGACACAGGCTTGGGCGTCGCCGACTCCACCAAGTCGCTTCTGCCCATGGCCTCCGCCAGGGCAGCAATATCCTCGTCACTGGCCTGCACCAGGCTGTTGTCGTCGTTCTTGGGCTGTGCCGTGGGCGGGGTGCGGCGCGGGGGCTTGGTTGGTGGAATATCGCCGCGTGGTGTGCTGCGACGGACAGGCTTGGGCGGCGGCTTCCGCTGTGCGGCCTGTTCTTTCGCCTGTGCCTCGGCGGCCTCGAGCGTCGGCTTGAAGATGGTCTGGTACTGGTCGATCATGAGTTTGGCCAGCGACACAACATTCGGGCGGTTCTCGTCGTCACGGGCAGTTAGATCCAGCACGTCGTCATCGTCTTCTTCTTCGTCGTCTTCTTCGTCGTCGTCGTCGTCGTCCTCGTTGTCGCTGTTGTCATGGCGCACATGCGTGTTGTCGGAGAAACGAGTCACCGAACACATGGAAATGTCAATGTCGGGCTGCGACGAGCGCACAAAATTGGGCGCCCACGCTGCTGCCAGCTTGGCCGCCGTCATATTGTTCACGGCTGCATGGTCGGCTACAGCACGCAGCAGACCAAACAGGGCCGCCAGCAGCAGCGCCACACACGGCGGATCCGACAGTGCGGGCAGGATGACATCGCGCACATATGCAGCAGCTGGCTCGGGCTGGCTGTCGGGGTTCGGCATGAGCCGGATCAGCTCGTAGTAGTGCGACGGCACCAGTGGCTGCGGCAGCTCACGGCACCAGGTCTTCAGGATGGCTGCAGCCACGTGCTCGCCCCACACGGCATACGATACCGACGCCATGCCCTCGGACTCGTACTGACTGCGAACCTTGAGCAGCGTAGCCGACGCCGGCGACCGGCGGAACAGATCCTGCACCTCCAGCGCATGCGTATACAGGTAGTCCAGTGCGTCGGCCACCGGAGCCGGCAAGCCTAACTCGCCGTGAGTGCCCATCAGGCTTTCCAGCGGCACGCCAAAGTAGCGGCTCGCCGGGCCGACGTGTTTGGGGATTGTAATCTCGGCCTCCTTGGTTGCGTTGAACTGGTAGACCTCGGGCGGGATGTTGATCTGGTCGATGGGCACAAAGTGGGCCAGCTCCGAGAGCGTGTCGAGCCACTTGACCTTCTTGGCGAACTTTGGGCTCAGCATTGTGTTCATTGCCGTCATCAGGAACTGCACCCACTTTGCAGGGTGCACAATGTACAGCGCCTTCAGGTTCTTCTTGTACTTGCGCCCCAGCCGCCGGTACGCCGTGTACAGCCACTTTGGGCTGGGCTTGTAGCGCGCATTGGCCGCAAACAGCACCACCGTGTAGTCGCTCTCGACAAAGTCGTCGAGCCGGAACTGTATCAGATTCAGCAGCCGGTCGTAGTCCACCACGTCGGGGTTCAGCAGCCGGCATGCCGAGAACACTAGAATCGGCCGGCTCTCGTAGTCCACGCCTGCCTCAAACACCAGCTTCTCGTTGACATACGTGGCCAGCTCGCCGCCGTCGTTGCCTGTTATGGTTGCTTCGCGGAACGCCTCGGCGTCGAGCCCAAGCACGTCATCCGAGGACGAGGGCGCACGCCGCGGGGTGTTGCCCAGCGGCCCGTCGTTGAACGCCTTCTTGATGTTGTCGCCTAGTGTGTTGAACTTTTTGGCGAAATCCGCAAACCCGTTGTTTGAATTCATCTTGTCTGAAACGTAATGAGGAATGTTTGTTATCAAGCAAGGTGGGGAAGTAAAGGGGGACAAGGGCCGCCGGGTGTGGGCCAACAACGCAAAAGTCGAGCAGCGGCGCGGGCACAGACGGTGGAGAAATCTCAGTGTCACTTGATCACCGCCCGTGCTGCAGCATGCGCCCTCAGCTGTATGCGCCGCTCCTTTCGAGCCTTGGCCCATGGGCGGCTGCCAGATCCCGCACAGCTCATTGCTGGCATACTCGGACCACCACGGAGCCAGTGCCCGGTCTCCGCCACTGATCATGTAGGCCAAAAGGGAGGTTTATTTAGTGCCTTCCGGCCAGAAACCAAATGCTATTTATGTGGATTTAGGCGTGGGTCTTCTTGAGCTCCTCGACCAGCGCAATGTACTTGGCCTGGGCGTCCTCCTTGCTGGTGCCCTTGAGGGCAGTCCAGGCGTTCCACTTGGCCTTGCCGGTGAAGTCCATGAAGCCCGGGGCAGGAGTCGTGTTGTCGCCGTTGATGCCCTGCTTGAAGTTGGCGTACAGCTGCAGCTTGATGTCGTTCGAGGGAGCAGTGCTCAGCTTCGTGACCTCCTGCGAGGCAGTGACGAAGGCAGCGTTTCCGGTAGAGGCGGCTTCAGACATGGCGAATGGAATCTGGTGTGAAATTGACGAAAAGTGGAACTATCAAGAGACAGAAAGGGTGAGTGGTGACGGCCGCTGGCTGTTTTGAGAAGCCTGAAGCTGCAGTTGCTGGGGGCTTTTCGATGCTGCCACTTTCACGTTCTGGGACAGCTCAGCCGACCCCCGATCCCAAGCCAATAAAGCAATACTGCCAACATTGCGGTTTTGAAGGCAGGTGATCAGACTTCATGTGATCCGCTAATCACAAGTCTGACCACTGATAGCTGGTAGCTGAATCTGGATGCTTCTGGCACAAAGGCTGCCAGGACCAGTGGCGGATGATTGGCAATGTGCGCGGGCGGACACATAGGTCGGACGCAGCACTGCCATTGACGTAGAAAGCAACCGGCACACATGGACACCACCTCGCCGCCCCGCTCACTGGGCATCGCGCACAGCTGCGGGTGTAACATCCAGCATATTCTAGGCGCCTCCAGTGCTTGCTGGGACACCAGTCCTTGGAATGCAACGTCACTGTCAATCAGTATAAAAGGGACCTGGCCACTTGCCTACCAGCCGGGAGACACGCAAACAAGTTTTTTCTTGCTACACTATACGCTTTTTCTTCTTCTCTTATCTAGAGTGCACACACTATCCATCCTTTTGTAAATACCTGTACACGCCCACACGCCCAAGATGTCATTCAACGCAGAAGAGTACACCGACAAGCTGCTGGAGGCTGTCAAGTCGTCGATGGCGCTGGCCGTCGAGAACCAGAACCTCACAGTTGATCTCGCCCACCTCCTACTCGCCCTTTGGGAGCAGGACGACGGCTACCTCAAGAACATTATCGACAAGGTCGGTGCACAGCCGGTCGAGTTTGAGCGCGCAGTCCGCAGCGCGATCGCCCGCCTTCCCGCGCAGGACCCCGCGCCGCCCGAGCCCGGCTTCAGCCGCAGCTTCTTTGACACCCTGCCACAAGCCAAGAAGGAGATGCAGGCAATGGGCGACTCTCTGGTGGCTGTCGACACCTTCCTCCTGGCTTTGACCTATCAACGATCGGTGCAGGAGATCCTGGATCGCGCCCGCGTCTCGCTGAAGCAGCTGCGCGATATAATCAAGAAGACGCGCGGGTCGCGCAAGGTCACGTCGAAGAACGCCGAGGAGAATTTTGACGCACTGAGCAAGTATGCGGTCGACATGATCAAGCAGGTCGAGGGCGGCAAGATCGACCCCATCATCGGCCGCGACGACGAAATCAGGCAGGTCATCCGCGTGCTGTGCCGCCGCAACAAGTCGAATCCGATCCTGGCCGGTCCGCCCGGTACAGGCAAGACCGCCATTGTCGAGGGCCTGGCGCAGCGCATTGTCGCCAATGACGTGCCAAAAACTCTCCAGACGCACCTGTTCTCACTGGACATGGGCGCGCTGATTGCCGGCGCCAAGTACCGCGGCGAGTTTGAGGAGCGCCTGAAGGCTGTGCTCAAGGAGGTCACCGAGTGTGAGGGCGGCGCCATCCTGTTCATTGACGAGATCCACTTGGTGCTCGGTGCCGGAAAGACCGATGGCGCCATGGATGCCGCCAACCTGCTCAAGCCCATGCTGGCCCGCGGCGAACTGCGCGTCATCGGCGCTACCACCGACGACGAGTACCAGAAGTATGTTGAAAAGGATGCCGCCTTTGAGCGCCGCTTCCAGAGGGTCAATGTCTCGGAGCCCTCCGTACAGGACACGATTTCGATCCTGCGTGGACTGAAGGAGCGTTATGAAAGCCATCACGGCGTCAAGGTGCTTGATGCCGCGCTGGTCACTGCTGCCCAGCTCTCCGACCGCTACATCACCAACCGCCGCCTGCCTGACAAGGCCCTGGATGTTGTCGACGAGGCCATGGCGTGGACCCGCGTCCAGCTCGACTCGCAGCCCGAGCAAATCGATCACCTGGAGCGCCGTTTGCAGCAGCTTGAAATCGAGCGCATTGCACTGCAGAAGGAAAAGGACGACTCTTCGCGCATGCGCCTTGAAGCAGTCGGCAAGGAAATTGAACAGATCAACGAGGAACTGCGCCCGCTCAAGCTGCGCTACGAGTCTGAAAAGGGTCTCCTGGACGAGATCCGCAGCGCAAACCAGAAGATGGACGAGCTGCGTCTGAAGGCCGAAGACGCGCGCCGTCGCCACGACCTTGAGCGCGCTGCAGATATGGAGTTCTACGCGATTCCTGAGCTCCAGAGCCACCTCAAGGAGCTGCACAGGCGCCAGGCCGAGCACGAGGCCAAGGTTGCTAGCGGGGAGATCAAGGAGGAGATGCTGAGCTCGGTGGTTGGGCCTGACCAGGTTGCCGAGGTCATCGCCCGCTGGACCGGCATCCCTGTGCAGCGCCTGACGCAGTCGCAGGTCGAGCGCTTGATGACCCTGGCTGAGCGCCTGAAGAAATCAGTTGTCGGCCAGGACCGCGCTATTGACGCTGTCGCCGACGCCATTCTGCGGTCGCGCGCCGGCATGGCTCGCACTAACCAGCCCACCGGCTCGTTCCTGTTCCTTGGTCCCACAGGAACCGGAAAGACGGAGCTTGCCAAGGCGCTGGCACGCGAACTCTTCGATAACGAGAAGTACATGATGCGCCTCGACATGTCCGAGTATATGGAGCAGCACACTGTGTCGCGCATGATTGGCTCAGCACCCGGCTATGTCGGCTATGAGGAGGGCGGCCAGCTGACCGAGATCGTGCGCAGGCGGCCGTACAACGTCATCCTATTCGATGAGATCGAGAAGGCACATCCCAACGTCCTTAACATTCTGCTGCAGGTACTCGACGATGGCCGACTGACCGACGGCCAGGGCCGCCTGATCGACTTCACTCAGTGCGTGATCATCCTGACATCCAACATCGGCCAGGACAAGATCCTTGAGTACACATCGCAGCTCAACCCGTCGCTCACCGATACCGGTGTGCTGCCCCAGGGTGTTCAGGACTTGGTCATGAACGACCTGCGCCGTACACTGCGCCCAGAGCTGCTCAACCGTCTTGACGAGATCGTCGTGTTTAACCGCTTGGGATACGATAACCTGCGCAGCGTGGTACGTCTGCAGCTGAGCCAGATCGAATCGCGCCTGGCTGAGCGCGACATCACGCTTACCATGGATGATGGGGGTATCAACCATGTGCTGAAGGAGAGCTATGATCCGCTGTATGGCGCTCGTCCCATTCGCCGCTTCCTGGAAAAGAACCTCGTCACTGCGATTTCTAAGGAGATCATCCGCGGTTCGCTGCCTGACCACAGCATCATCAAAATTACCCATGTCGATGGTCTGCCTGAGGAGTTTGTCTTCACAGTCGACGCCAAGCCGGAAGAGACAGACGCTGACATGCAGATGTAAACGAAAAATTTCTCATTTAAGACACCCAAAAGCACTGTTTTCATATAGATTTACACGTTCGAACCCAATCACCTGACCGTGTTTCAGCCATGGAATTGATATAGTTAATATGTTGCGCGCCCACTGCGGCTGTCCGTGACGTCGACATGTCAGCCGAACCAGATGGCGGCAAGCCGGGAGCCAACGAGACCTTTGCTACAGCCTACACAATAGAGGCAACATCGAGCCTCTGATAAGTTGCACAGACGGCCGTATTGAAAACTCTCCTGCGCAACTCATCTATTCCCTTTTCTCTCTTTTCTTCAGTATTAAATATACCTTTTAAAATCCCCACACATTCAACAAACACAACAGCATCCCTGTTTCTGCGATGGCTCGTCTTTTCCCCCAAGCTGTATGATCCATACTAATACCTTATCAGTTAATCACTTTTGCCACTAAAAAGGTCAATTTTACGTGTCTTTGTCGTGTCCCTGACACTTGGTCTATGTGGCTATTGAATACCATACCAGCCAGTACCGGATTATAGATATTCAAAAAATTACTAGCTGCTTTTTAGTTTCTTCAGATGCTCAGTTAGCTTTTCGACTTCGGCAGCGGGGGTGGAGTGTACGTAGCCGTCTTCGTATGCATGGTCGATATTCCATGTCTTGCTGTACGCGTAGGAGAAGTCGATCAGTTTGATCTCATCCCCGTTTACCAAGATGTTTTGCGGCCCCAAGTCGCCATGAACTATCTCCTTGTCATGGAGGACCTTCAGCGCCGCAAGGCATTTGCTTTTCCCCACATCCGATAGGCTGTCCACCATCGAAAGCTCCTCTCCTTCGAAGTATTCAGAGACCAGGCCGTTTGGTGTGACTCCGAGATACTCCTGTATATATGCGTGCTTTGGGAGGAATCTAAATCCTATCACCGATTCAGCGATGAGAGCCGTCACCTTGTCTTCGTCGCGAGCATACTTCACAAAGACATCTCTTCCCTGGTATTCAGCCTTGAAGGCTATAGTAGTGGAAAAGCAGCGGAGAAGCTTCTTGTTCTTCAGGTCTTCTTCTTTAATAATGCGCTTGTACACTTTTTCGAAACCAACAGTACTTGGCTGGGGAACATTGTGTATGCCCTCTACCAGTCGCATCGGCCAGCGGAACGTGTATTCCCCTTTGGGATACCGGAGGAAAACTAAGCTCCCGATGTACATCTTCAGCGTCACCAAGCGGCTACCATAATCAATCAGCCTGCCTTCTGACTCGACTATCGCCCTCATAGTATTAGTTGTGTGTGGGTCAAGCAGAAAATATAGTGTTTCCAAACGTTAAGGCAATTTAGCGAGCAGAGAATGAGAGTGTTGTAGACATGAGTATAGCTTGTTGCACAATTAGTAGCAATTAGTATTAACAACAGAGACTCTAGTAATGTGGGTTGCTGTATCCTGTGAAGTAGGGAGCTGCTGGATTGCATAAGTGCATGTGATCCTGATTAGGGCTTTCAGATTAGACTTGGTATATACCTGAGTGCTCCGCGCTTGCGATATGAGCCCACCTCTATGCGATATAAGCGTTGTTTGTCTTGCATAATTGTGGTGACTTTTAGCGCCTACAGCGGGCGGAAACATCGTGATTAGTATAACATATGACTTGTATAAGCAGCCTGTCTATCCTTTCTCGTTTATGTTGTTGTGGCATGACTAATCCCAAAGTTATATTCGCCGCCACATCACTGAAGATTGGCACTACCACTTCTCGTAACACATATATAGATGTATGAGAGCCTTGAAATACGCCCTATTGCGTTTAGTGTGCGCGCTGCATTATGCAATAGTTCATCCTTGGCAAGGATGAACGAGTTCCCAGGTGGGGTATTGCGCGATATGGCTACATACTGTTAGCCATGGGTGAACATATTCAAGCATATAGATACCAGTTGTGTTTAGTGTCTGATCCTGTACCTTATTAGTTGGAATAGCAAATGACAACATCGGTGAGAGCTACAGATTCTCTAGAGCAAATCATAAGTGCTCATCGAATGACAGGATAATGTGTATGATTATCTCCAGTTATGCGTCTCAAAAAAGTAGTACATAGGATAGAGCAGTTTAAAGGATATTCCCTATACTAGAAACACTCTGCTCGCGATGCGAGCTCGGTTGCTAGTCAGCATGGGTTGACACGTCGATAAGAGCATCACGGCGAACCGGTCATTTGAACGTGTCGGATGATTGTTGGTGCAATGGCGATCAGGGTGCCTAGAGGCAACTGCCTGGCGGAGCTTCTGTGCAGGTGTACAAATACACACTTGACATGCGTCATTGAACTCAGCCTTGGACACATTGCCCATTGTACTGTGCAGTGTGTTTTTGTGGCTGCGAATATCAATCAATTTGGCCAGAATCCGCTGTAGGCAACTGCCATAGTGCAACACAATGTTGTTCTTGTATGATGCTAGCAGCTCGGTATCCACATATGTTGCTACTTGATTCATTCCGCGCGCTATGTAGCTCGATATCGCCATTATGTAGTAGATAATCATAAATATGGTATCTAATTACATCACCGAAATCTGCGCTCGACAGTTCTGACCTGTCCTTCCGGCTAACGAAATCCTCGGCAGATATGACAGTCTTCGCCTTCAGGTTACGATAAATGAATAAATAAATTGAACGAAAGAATCCCTTTTTCATAGGTATTGAAGGGTCAAAAGCATCCCCGCCAGCTAGTTGATGGAGTAATATCCATCGTGCAAGCATGTATGTATGCTCTTTGATGATATTGACGCTGTGTACAAATTGCTCTAGGCGGGGCAACATAGAATCACGGAAGCCAATACCACCAAGTGATGTCTTTATGACAGTAGTGCTGCGGGTAATATTCATTTGAGAAATTCAATAGGCAAGTAAGAAGAGAAATGATGCTGTTCAGTTTTGCTGTATTGCGTATGCATAGCATTAAGAACTCTTTATTAATAATGATCTGGCTTGCATGGTTCTTGGGGCCCTTAGCACTGATACCGTCTCTTGAATCAGTCTATACAGACTGGGTCCATTGTGGCCCAAATACTACCACTTACGCATGTTCATAAGCCAAATTAATTTATAAAATAAACCCACAAATATTGCATGACCGCTAGAAGAGCTATATGGCCTTATTCAATAGGTGCTCATAAATAGATATCCTAAGAGTGTTGCGCAGCCGGTGATGACCACCATGATGACACCATGGAAGTTATCAGGCCGACCGACAACGAGAGCAGCTCTTGCACTGAACCAATGGAGATATCTAGTGGAGACCTGTGACCACTACAATAACAACTCGTCCTAGTTTCACCGACGAGGTCAGATACCGCACAAGATCAAACGGAGTTTACGGAGCAAGTCACCCAAACTCGCATTGAGGTTTAAAAGGGATATTTTTAATTAAAAAGGTTCTAGCAGACAGTCGGACACTTTTGGACTATAAAATCTTATATATAGGTAAAGATAAAGATAAAGCTAAAGATAAAGACAAGTAGAGTAAAAACTTGAGAAATGACGCACCTTGTTCAACTAGTAGCCAATCAACAACTGAAACATACCGCTTGAAAGTCGTGCAGACACTACCTGTATTTCAGTTTATGTCTAGAATAGCCATATAATCGCCTAACTGCGTTTCAGCCATGGAATTGGTATAGTTAGCGTGCACCTGATGGAGATGCATGTGCAGCAGATGGAATATGGATGACAAAAGCGACATCAGTATTTGGTGAAGCATCCTCCAAAGGTTGATCTTAATGGCTATTCTTGACTTGGCCAGATCGATCGCCAGTATTGTGGTGATGGTAATGATGATTATGTGAGTGGTGGTGTCTTTTGCGACGTTGTAGTGATTGTAGATGTAGTGGTAATAGTTGCTGTGACTGTAACTATAGTCGCGGAAGTGCTCTCAGAGAATGGGGCAGTTTCCGTATTCTCAATAATGCTAAATGTATCAGTATCATCGCTATCGCCATTGTCGCCGTTGTCGACCACCCGAGAAAGCTGAATGACCCCCATAAAATAGCCTGCAGCGAGACAAGAGGGGGTTCGGTTGCGAGGAAGTCATCTGTAGACATGTCAACTGGCGCACGACGAACTAGGCCAGCAAAAGCGAGTGTAGCACAGAAAATTGCCAAGATATATATGATTGCACGCATGGTCGATTTTTGATAGCTGTAAAGAGTAATCTGGTTTCTACTTGTGGTTCAAGAAATAAATGTTTCTCATAACGACAAGGTAGTCCGACTATAAGTACCGCCGCTAAATGTATGTATCTTCTAGTTTGTGGAGGTCCTGATACATCTGTGTTGCATCAAATATTTCCGAGCATGAGAGCTGTTTCGCATTTGACTATGTACCCGTGGATTGGGCACCAAAAAACGCCGACGATGGCATGATGCATGCAATTTCCTCCTCTCAGCCTCTCCCATGTTCCTGTTGTTAAAAGGCAGGCAAATATAATAGCCGAATGAGCAAGCATTACCGGCATAAACTACATAGCTGGAGATACCTGTCAATAATACTACAGCGAGGGACAACGCGGAGCAACTGCAAATAGTACGAGTGTGCTGGAGCATTTCGTATTATAGTTTTCTAGTACGAGTTTCATATTTACCGAACAAATCTTCTCATACGTACCTGCATTAAGCCACCTGTATGTTTGCTGCAGTGAACTAATAGTACTGCTGACGAAACTCAAATCGATACAAATATGAGAGGAATTGGGTATGTATATACAATATGCACTTGTTGAATAAATACAAAATAGAAATGCAGGGCTGGTACCTATGAAAGGCACTTGGCCGATGTGACAGTGGATATGGTGTATTGAAGCAACGAAAAAAGAGAAGTTGAAATCCTGTTTAACTGGACCTGGTGTTCGGCTCATTTTATACTCGACATGGCTGCCCTAGGAAGAGTAGCAATCCCGACCTATCTGCCTGAATACCAGGACGTGTGTGGTCCAGGGTGGAGGTGCTCTGTCAGCGTCTCCAGTACCGAAAGCTAAAAAAGTGCCAATAATGACCGTCTTGGCAATGAGTGAGATCTGTGCTGGCTTGTAGATCGTCAGCGGAACTGCGGTGGATATTGTTTTCCCCCTAACCTTCAGGAGACATGCCGAATGTGTACGTTCATGAGTGTGCTAAACAAGGTGGCTGGCTGACCCACGGTGCTGTTCAATGCCAATTTCATAAATTAGACTCGAAGGTATCGGAGGTAGATTCGGCACTGTTGCCTGCCGTGGATATCCAGAAAGCATGCAACTATCTGGAATTGTCCCATCTGTCTCTCCCCAAGGCGCCGTGTATCCTGTATTTCGTTTTTGGGCAGCAAGTGGCGGCCACGCTCATTAAACAGCTATTAATAACGTTGCCTATGTACTGTCGGTTGCTCCAATGTGGCGAAGCATCTGGGCACAGGTTTGGGGAGGAGGGCAGATATTCTCGAGACAGCAGCTCGCTCTGAAGGCCATTGCACTATGAGCTGCCAAGAATTAGAAACTTGGGTCTCCGCAGGGAATCTCGCTTGTGGCTAAGGGCCTAGGAGCCCTGTGAGGAGGGATCAGGCATTTTCCACGCGTGCGAGGTAGCAGTGCGACGAGTAGTGTACGCTACGGCTTGCGTGGCTGCACGTATCTGGCAGGCTTGGACAAACGGCGGATCATTGATTGCAGCTCCTGTCAAGGGGGTTCGGCCGATGCTCAAATCCAACCTGAAAGAAAAAGCTGGCAGATGCCTTTTGAAAATGATCGTTCGTACTTGCCATGCAGAGCGAGATGTTTGCGGCTGTGAGCCCCATGTCAACTGAAATAGCTTACTGTCTTTAATGCTGGCGAATGATACTTCGGCCACCAAGGACAGGCTTGTAGTCCAGAGACAGAGACCCAAAAAGCAGAAGCACGCTTTTGTGCCTGAAGCCTACTCGTAGCCTTCGCCCACTACCAGCCTGTAAAATATCGGGCCAAGACATTAAGCGCCCACTACATATAGACGCGATTTATTCCGGGTGAAGACGACTAGATAGGTATTTTTACAGTGGATATGGTACTTCACCTCCAGCCTTCGGTGTTTCGCAGGGGTAGTGTATAAAAGTATCCCATAGTATAGTGTCTCTAGAACAGCGAGCGCGCGGTCTCAATCTCCTTATTCATAGCGATGAGCTCCTCCACTCTGGCCAGCTTCTTCGGATCCTTGCGCAGTGCAAACTTAAAGTCCTCGACAGTCACCCGTCCGCGCTTACCAGCAGCCTTTGCTGCCTGGATGCATGTGTCGTTGATGTAGTCAACCAAGATGTCTTCCAGGACGTTGACGCTTTCAGGGAGCGGCGAAATAACGTCGCCGAATCCGTACATGAGCAGGGGCAGTTCCTTGCCAAATAGCTTGTGCCGCTGGAACTGCTTTGACGTGAGATCCACATGTCCCTCCATGCCTGAAAAGTAAAGTGATGGGTATGTAAATGTGCGGTATGTTTATTGACATGCGCATATTAGATAGAAAGTGTTTAGAACATATACCCTAGACACGCGGGCTGCTCACTTTTGGGTGCAAACAGTGATGGATTCTGAATGCAGCTACTGTGCCAGTGTCACAGGCTATTGCAGGCGAGTGAAGGCATGCACGGTGTGCGCGGGCTTGGCCATCCGTCAACGCGTCGCTCGTGTGGTGGTCTGCGCGGGTGGGTCTGTGAACGCGCTCTCAATGATACCAAAATGCTCGTGTTTTTGGGCACGACCTGGATTGGCGCCTTTTCTCTTCCTAAAAAAAATCTTTTCGCTTCTTACTTTTGTCTAATCTCTTCGCATTCACCAGGCAAATGAGCACGGCCAACGACAGCATTCTTGACGAAAGCTACGTGGAAGACAATGCGATAACAACGCCGCGCTCTGCCACCAGCGAACCAGCCGATGCCGAATTAGAAGAACTGCGCAGTGTGCGTCGCGCGCTCAGCAAAATGAACCAGGGCCTCGAGAACGTACAGCACCAGCTAAAGTACTTCAACAGCAATGTGGGCCAGACCACGCAGCTTCTGGACGCCTGGGTGCGCATACTGTCGCAGACCTCGCACAACCTGTCGTTCCTGGCAAATGACGCATGGCAGGGCGGCAGCAAGGACACAGAAAAGCTGGCGGAGCTGGCGCAGCGTGACCTTGAGCGCCAGGAGGAGGAGAAGCGGAGGGAGCGGGAGGAGGCCGAGCGCCGGGAGAAGGAGGCTGCCGAGGAGCTGGAGAGGAAGAGGCGGAGAGCAGAGGCTCTTGCGAGCCACCAGCAGAACCCAAGACGGCCGCCTGTGCATGCGGGGATTCGGCCAGGAAGCCGCGGCCTGCCACGGCCAGCCGGCACAGGTGCTGGTAGCAGGATTGGCAGGGGTGGAGGTGTTGCGAGCGGACGTGGACGGGTGCGTGGGCGTGGCCTCAGCAGAGGCGTGCGTGGGCGCGCCTTGCCCTCGGACGTGCGGAGCCGGATCCAGCCACCAAAGTAGGCATATCTTTTTCGTGATATAGACATGCGCTTGTGTATATTCTCTTCGCTTATGAAGTACAGTTGGAAAGCTTTTGTGGCTATGGTAGTGTCTAGTGAATGTGTGACTACGCAGCTGTCGGGTTGTTGGTGGCCAGCAGAGCAATGTCGTTGCCCACTGCGACCAGGTCTGGGTCAATTGCAGAGGCGCCAATACTGTCCAGTCTCTGCGGCTCAAAGACATTCTCCGCGCCGTGGCCCGCACCCAGCCTGCCGGCAGAATTACCGAGCCCCCATGAGAATACCTGGAGCCGGTCGTCCAAAGCCAGGCAGCGATCGGTTGAAGCCCAAACATGCGTAATATCCTTGACACCCTCGACAACGGTTGGCTGGAGCACAGAAATAATCTCCGGCCCCAGGCCCAGTGCACCGTACCCGCACGTATGGACACGGCCAAGCGTGTCCAGCACCAGGCTATGTGCGCCGCCGGCAGCAATTCCAGCAATAGGCGAGGCGAACGGCACCTCGATGGGAGCCAGCACGCGGTCGATTTTCTCGCCCGTCATGCACTGCCCGTACTCAGCATTGCCCCAGTAAAACAGCCTGCGGTCGGCAGACACTGCCAGCGTGAAGTCGGTCGACGATGAGATATCGGATATCGGCGACGACTCTAAGCCAAACACCAGGGTAGGCGTGCAGTGGTCGGCAGTGGATCCGGGGCCTTTGCCCAGCTGCCCGTCGGCGCCCCAGCCCATGGCAAACACGCGGCCGGCCGTTGTCAGGATCAGCGTATGGTCCAGCCCGCACTGCACCTTGGCCGGCAATTCCCCGGATTCCAGGACGCCGTCCAGGGCTGCGAGGTTGCAGAGCTGCGAGTGCTGGAGGGCTGGCGGATCAGCCTCAGCCCTGGGCAGTCCCAGCTGGCCGAACGAGTTGCTGCCGCATACGAGTACCTGCCGCGAGCCGCCTTTCTGCTCGACAATCATGGCCGAGTGCTCGCGCCCGCACGCCATCTGCACAACCTTGCCAGTGACAGCATACCGTCGGACTGCATCTGTCTGGTCGCCGGTACTTTGGCCTAGCTGGCTGCACCGGTTCAGTCCAAACCCAACAATATCGGTCTTATCATCAGCAGTGGCAGCAACAAGCGCGTGGCGGACACCCGCACCCATAGCGCTGATCGATAGCGCATCGGCGTCCTTTCCAAACAGCTGCGAAAGCGACAGCTGGGCCGGAGTCAGCTGTGCGTGGGCTTCGGCGCCAGGCAGATCGGCAGGCGGGGCAGTAGCAGTGAACTGGCGAACATATGCGCCCCATGCAGTCACTGATGAGTAGGGCCGCGTTCCAGCATTGCGGGGGATCATGCGCTGGCACAGACCATGGGCGAACAAGGACCGCATGACAACAATAGATGATAAAGAAGTGCAGGCGAAGGAGGAGGTCGAACGAGGGGGAGAAAGGGGCAGGCAAGCCAAGGGTACTGAGGCAATTTCTGAGCGGGGAACACAGCTCACAGATCGGCTCAGGCGAACCGCAGGGAGCCGCGAGAGTCAAGGACGAGTCGCAGGACAGTCCTAAACCCCTCAGTGTCTCCCAGCTCCCCCTCCCACCATACCTTCCTCCTTTTTTATTTTTGTGGTGAAATGGCCGAGCCGCTGTACATTTCTGACAGCGACGACAATGACTTTGTAGAGATAGTGCCGGCAAAGCGGCCGAAAACAGAGCTCGCAGCACAACGCCAAGCGCTGGCCGACAAGCTCTCGGAGCTCGACACGCAGATAGCGCGTCTGCAGCACCAGAAGCGGCGTGTTCTTCAGCAGATCGCGGCCATTGATGGGAAGATTGACGACGAGGCGCGCAATGTCCAGCAGCACCACAACGAGAAGCTGAAGGCCGGGTACGAGGGCAGCTCGTGGCCGTGGTCGGACCGCGTCCACGCGCTCCTTGCGCAGCGTATTCAATATCAATGGGTTCCGCGGCAACCAGGAGGCTGTGATCAACGCGACACTGGATAATCGCGACGAGGTGGTGATTATGCCGACAGGCGGTGGCAAGTCGCTGTGCTACCAGCTGCCGGCGCTGATGACGGAGGGGCTGACCTTGGTTGTATCGCCGCTGATTGCATTGATGGACGACCAAGTCATGCAGCTCGGGGAGCTGGGGATTGATGCCGAGGCATTCACGTCCGAGTCGCGCAATGCAGTTGAAATCAGGGCCAAGATCAGAGCGTACATTCCAAAGACTAGGCGGCAGCGGGGCGTGCCTATGGACGGGATTCTGACCGATCCCGACGCACCGGTTCCCGACGGTCTGCGGCTGCTGTATGTGGCGCCCGAGAAGATCGTCTCTGGCAAGCAGCTGCTGGCGCAGCTCGAGAAGGTCTATGCGGCAGGCAAGCTGTCGCGCATTGTCATTGACGAGTGCCACTGCGCGTCAGAGTACGGCAACGATTTCCGGCCCGACTACCACAAGCTCGGCATGCTGAAATACATGTTCCCGGATGTGCCCCTGATGGCACTCTCGGCGACTTGCCCGCCGCGGGTGCTGGACAGCGTGCGCAAGATCCTGGGCATTGAGGGCGGCCACAACCGGCCCAGCGCCATTGTCTATACGGCACCGCTATGGCGGGCGAACCTGAGATACAGCGTTGTGCGTAAAAAGGACAACCAGGCCAAGCAGAAGATGCAGCTTCTGCAGTGGATTGTCGAGCACCACGCAACCGACCGCGGAATCGTGTACTGCGCGACTCGCAACGACGCATACGAGATCGCCGTGCTGCTGAACGACAACGAAACCAGACGGTTCTCCGCCGGGCTGTACTATGGCGCGCTGGAGCGGGACAAGAAAGAGCAGCTGCACAACATGTGGCGAGCCGGCACAATGCAGGTTATTGTGGCGACCAATGCATTCGGAATGGGCATAAACTCGCTGGACGTGCGGTTTGTCGCCCACTTTACGGCGCCAAAGACACTGGAGAACTACTACCAGGAGTCGGGCCGGGCGGGCAGGGACGGTGGGCCGGCGGACTGCGTTTTGTTTTACCGCTCGATGGATTCGGCCAAGCTTGCCGGCTGGGGATTCGACGACCAGTCGGTGGAGGGATTGCAAAAGGCCAGGGCCATGGTCAGCTACGCCGAGTGCCGACACCGGTGCCGCAAGAGTGTCCTGCAGTCGTATCTGCTTGAGGGCAATGTTGGAGGGGAGGCTGGGGACATTGGCGCATGCGGTGTGTGCGATTTCTGCCGCCAGATGCCGCAGATTGTAAATGTGGACTGCACTAGCAGGGTCATTTCACTAGTCAACCTGATAGCTGCTGCTGGCGACGAGCGTCTGACATTGGCAAAGCTGTTCAAGTACTGGCGTGGGTATGCTCTGGACAAGGTCCCTGGCGTCGCCGAGCTGCGAGAGAATAACCAGGCACAGCTGTTTCCGATGCTTCCAGACGACTGCGGGTATATTATCAGCAGGCTGGTCGACATGGGCGTCTTGACAGAAAAGTTTAGCCACACGGCGTATTCGACAAACGCATATCTCGACATCTCCAGCGAGTACCGGCACATGGTTGGGCGAAGAGTAGACCAAACCGGTGGGGTCGGGCCGTTCAGTTTCGAGTTTGTTGCGGGCAAGCTGCCACGGGAGTTTGGCGACAAGACCCGGGTGTCAAATGACGATGACGAGTAGTCGTATTGCATTAATTATGTATTCGAAAGGCATTCAAAGCGCTAGTACTGAGCATCAGATGCCCCCGTAGCCACCACCGCCAGGGGAGAGCACGACAATATGGTCTCCCGGCTTGACAAACACAGTGTTCTTTCCGCCCATGTTCAGCTCCTTCAGGCCGCTCTCTCCCTTGCGCTTCCACAGATTCATGCCGCGGACGCCATTACCGCCGCCATTGAGGCCCGGCGGCGCAAACACGCGGCGCTCAGTCAGCAGAGACACGCTCATGGGCTCCAGGAACTCGAGATCGCGCACACATCCATCGCCGCCCGGGTGCTTCCCCTGGCCGCCTGTGCCGGCCCGCAGCGAGAACTGGTGCAGGATGACTGGGTACCGGCGCTCGAGGATCTCGGGGTCGGTGATCCGTGTATTGGTCATGTGGGTGTGTACGCCGCTCTGTCCGCTCCATGAGGGACCGGCGCCATGACCGCCGGCGATGGTCTCGTAGTACCCCCAGCCTTCCAGGCGCTGGCCGTTTTCCTCAACGACAGGCACGCCGAATGTCAGATTGTTCATGCAGCCCTGAGAGGCCGCGGCAGCACCGAACGCCGACAGAATGACATCGCACAGACGCTGCGACGTCAGCACATTGCCGCCGACAACAGCCGCAGTCTCGGATGGCGACAGCAGCGAGCCATCGGGAATAATGACCGTGACGGGCGCCAGGCACCCCTGGTTGAGCGGCAGCTCGCTCTGCACCATGCAGCGCAGGCAGTAGATGATGGCGCTGTAGGTGACTGACGGTGGAGCATTTGTGTTGCCGTAGACTTCCGGCGACGTCCCAGTAAAGTCAAACACCGCGCTGCCGTCCTCGGAGATCTCGACATTGAGCACAATCTGGCTGCCATCGTCCATGAAGTCGCTGCCAGACAGCTTTCCGGATCCCCGGGAGGCGCGGGTCTCGCGCAGAAGGGAGCGGACCGCCAGCTCAGCAGTGCGCTGGATGTGGGCCATATACGCCTGCACGACCTGCAGTCCGTACTCGGCACACAGATGGTGCACCAGGGTGATTCCGCGGTGGTTGGCGGCAATCTGCGCCTTGAGGTCCGACACCACGTCCTTCAGGTTGCGCGTGCCGCTGCATCCAGGGTGCTTGGCTGGTTCCTCGAGCAAAACACGGACCACCTCGGCCTCCTGGAACTCGCCCCCCTTGACAATCTTCATGCCCATGATGCTGGCGCCTTCCTGGAACAGCTCCTTGGAGGTCGGCGGCATGCTTCCCGGCGAGATCCCGCCAATGTCGGCATGGTGGCCGCGGGAGGCCACGAAGAATATAATCTCTCCGTCCTTGAACACAGGCGTAATCAGGGTGATGTCCGGCAGGTGAGACCCGCCGGCCTGCGGATGGTTGGCCATGATCACGTCGCCTTCGGAGAGATCTCCTGCAAAGCGCTTGAGCTGGAACTGCACCGCATGCGACATTGAGCCCAGATGCACAGGGATGTGCGGCGCATTGGCCACCAGGCTGCCTTGCTGGTCAAACAGCGCGCACGAGAAATCCAGCCGCTCCTTGATGTTGGTGCTGACGCTGGTCTTTTCGAGTGTGCGGCCCATCTGCTCGGCAATGCTCATGAAGCGGTGCGCAAACACCGACAGCTGGATCGGGTCCAGATCAGTCGACACCTGGGCATGCTGGGCATTGTCGCCTTGGCGCTCCAGAACCAGCTGCGCCGATGTCACGGTCGCCGACCACTCGGGTTCGACCAGAACTGTGCTGTTGCGGTCAAGCACGATCGCCGGGCCATCGACAACCTCGCCGGGCACCAGGCTGTCGAGCCGGAAGATGGCCGTCTGCTGGAACCCGCCGTCAAAGTACACAGGCACCTCCTCAACAAACGCCTTGTGGCTCGTCGACCGCTCAACAGCTGTCAGCGGCAGGTCGCGCAGTTCGTCGTATACTTGGCCGAACTTGGTTTCAGACAGCCTCCCCATACCGCGCACACGCAGATCATCCACGATGATGCTGCGCGAACGCAGGATGAACCCGAATTCACGCTGGATGCATGGCCTCGAACTGGCCAACAAAGTCGCCATCCTCGGGCTCAGGGACCATCAGCGCCGTGTCGGTGCCTTCGTAGCGCATGTTGAGGAACCGGTCGATCTTGATCTGCTTTCCGGCAAAGCCCTGATCCGACAGCTTCGTCTGGCATGCAGCCGTCAGCTCATCGAGTCTGCGTAGCACCGCCGGCCTGGCGCTATCGCCCCACACGTCGGCGGCCGGCGCCTGCTCTTCATTCGACAACCTCAGCCTAGACCCAGCCCGTACGCCTGACAGAACCGACGCTAGCCGGTGGACAAATACCCGGCGGATGCCAAGGTTGGCAGCGACAGCGCATGCGTGCTGGCCGCCGGCACCGCCAAAGCACGCCAGCACGTGCTTCTGCACATCGTGGCCCTTGGCCTCGGTCAGGGCGCGGATCGGCCTGCACATTGTCTCATTGGCGACCTTCAGGAACCCAGCCGCGATTTCCTCCAGCGACTTGTCCTCGTAGTCTTGGCCCACCGCCAGCCGCTCGCGACGCATCTCCTCGTTGATGGTCGTTGCCAGCTCAGCAAACAGCCTGCGGGTCGCCTCGATATCCAGCGGCTGGTCCTCGGTCTCGCCGAAAATGCTGGGGAAGTGCTCGGCCCGCAGCCGACCAAGCAGCAGATTGGCGTCGGTGACCGCCAGCGGCCCGCCCTTGCGGTAGCAGGCTGGCCCAGGGTGGGCACCGGCACTCTCCGGCCCTACCATCATCAGCCCGTTGCGGAAAAACAGACGAGAGCCTCCTCCCGCTGCCACCGTGTTGATGTCCAGCTGCGGCGCCTGGATGGTAACGCCTGCCGTGGTCGTCTCAAAGACGTGCTCGAACCGCCCGTCGAACCTGCTCACATCGGTGCTGGTCCCGCCCATGTCGAATCCGATCACCGGCACCTTGGCCTGCTTGTTGAACGAGGTAACTGCGTACCCAACGACACCTGCTGCTGGCCCAGACAGGATGGCCTGGAGCCCCGAAAACTGGTCGACCGGCGCAAGGCCGCCGTCCGACTGCATAAAGTCCACACGAATCTGCGAGAACCCTGCATCAAACCCGCCCGCAAACCCATCAACGTACCGTCTGATTCCAGGCGTCAGGTACGCGTCGGCAGTAGCTGAATGTGCGCGCGGCACGATCTTGATCATGGGCACCAGCGACGACGACAGGGTGATGTGGGTGAACCCGAGCTCCTTTGCGATCCGGCCCACCTGCTCTTCGTGAGCAACAAACGTATACGAGTGCATCAGGACAGACGGCCACGCTGCGGATCCCACTGTCATACACCTGCTGCAGCTGCTGCCGGACAGCGTCCCAATCGGGCTGCGTCAGTACCTCCACAAACTCGCCCGATTTACCCTCGATGGCGTTGGTGAGGTCGACGTTGGCGTGCACTCCGCGCGGGTCCATTGTATACCCGACAAGAGTCACCCGCTCGTCCACCTCCACCACATCCTGGTACAGCACATCGGGCTTGGTAATCGACAGGTCGAAGATGCGCGGCCTCGCCTGGTTCCCGATCTTCAGCAGGTCGTGGAATCCCTTGGTGATGACAAGCGCGCACGGCTCGCCCTTGCGCTCCAGCAGCGCGTTGGTTGCCACAGTTGTGCCCATGCGGATTGACTCCAGATTGCTGGTGTCCAGCGGCGTGCTGCGCGGATGCGGCTGCCCGGTAGCCAGCTCCAGGATGCGCCGGATTCCCTCGCGCGGTGCATCCGGGTAGTGCGCCGGGTCCTCCGGACAGCAGCTTGATAACCACTGTGCGCTCGCCAGTCGGGTGCTTCTCCGATGCCTGCACTGGGAACACTCCGACACAGTCGGTGAATGTGCCACCGCGGTCGATACAGACCCGTACCTTGTGCTGTCCGATGTCCGATGGCGGGAGTTGAATACTGCTGTCGCTCATAGCCAGGTGAATAAGAGAATCTAAAAAAATAGTGCGATTTCTGTGGATGTGAAGATGTGGGGGAGTGGAAGAGAGATGCTTGAATCCCGGAGAAGGGGGCGAGAGTCACGTTGTTATTAGTAATCCAAACCCTCTGGCTCGTTATCTTGCTGGTGCGTCGTGAGAATACGCGCGGCGACAAGCGGAGAGGGGAGGATATAAGTTTGCCCGCAGAACCTGTGACTATCTCCAGAAGACAATCATGCAGAGCCGATCCATGCCAGGCTGATCATCCCACCGGTGCAGAGCCGGTTCCTGAGCCATGGCCACATCTGGCAGCATAGGGACGGGCGCTGCTTGAAGCAAAAGGTCATCTAATACCAGTATGGCCGGAAGCGATGCGCACCAAACGGCCCTGGCCATACCCCAGGCGCCGCTGTATATTGCTTTACCATGCATCAAGAGAGTTTCTCGGCCGATTGCAAAGCGACCTCAGACAGAATCCAAGCGCATACCGTCAGTCAGGCATAAGCCGGCACGCCAGGCATGACGATACTGGTGGATACTTGGTGCTTCTCGAATACCAAAGCGGAATCCTGACCAACACTTGCTCTCGCCCAAAGCTATTCACTGCAATGCTCACCAAGCGGACTTCCCCCCCCCCAGCCTGCCGTATCAGTTACCGCTTGTCATACGAGGATACTTGTCACTGGCATTTTTTGTTCCACGATCTTTTTCTGATCGCGAGTGCTCACCAATTTCTTGCAAGTGGATGCATTCATGTGCTAGCGCAGCCCTGGTGCTGCCAGCTCACCCATGTCCAGCACACTAGCCCGGCCCAGAGTTGCCAGCAACGTACAGCCAAATGCGCGAAGCGTCCAGTTGTGCACCGTCCTACTTTGTTCTCTTTGAGGAGAGCAGTGTGGAGGTTGGTTGCAGCAACGCCTTTTGGCTAAAACGAGGCCATTGCTGTCCAGCTTCCATTCGCACAATTCTGACCTATTGGAGCCAGTTCGTTTTGGTGGTCCGTTTGACATACGCTTGTGCGCATATGGCCAGGTGCAATTTGGGGAAGAGAACCGACTGGATAGAACAGACCTTAAATATCCACCACTGGCGTGTGGCGACATCACTTGATAAGTGACGCTCTGAACATGGCTGGAGGGAGGAACGCAAATGCTCATCGGGACCCATTGGCTCTCAAATGTCTTCTCCACTCTAGGAGTGAGTGGACTGTCTGCCAGCTGGGTGTTAGACCGCACCTTGGTTTTGAATATCCCTGCTGTGTCGGCTGGAATTCAAAAGCTGTGGTCTTTTGTTTTACGCGCTCTTTCTTCAGTCTGCATTTTCCTGGTGTATTTTTCGCTCACCTACTTTTCTCTCTAGCTATCCGTTTCATTTGATACTCATAGCACACTGTACTTTTACTCTAGCTGCCTCTTGTATTTTGCCCATGCTCTTATCTGTCCTCTGACCTATACACGGAACATCCTGCCTTGGTGACGAACAAAACATAGCGCTACCATTCCCTCCATATGCAGCCCTTCATTAGGCATTGAGTACTCCATCGCCCAGCACTGGTTAGTTTCCTGAGGGCCTTTTCTCTTCATATTTTATCCTAGCTCATATCCGTAATCGTGGATCCTCTAGACAGCATCCCCAGCTATGTTGCTGATCAAGCCAAGCCCACACCGGTCTCGATCGCGTCATTCTGCTCTGACCAGACAGCATACACAGTTTTGTCGGTGCTCTCACTGGTTGGCAGCCTCATTATTCTTCTCCTGGTGCTGTACCTGCGGTATGTTCGGGAGTGGAAGTTCACAACCTTCATGGGCGTCAGCATGATGATGGCCCTGTCTGGAGTACCGAGCGAACTGGCTTTCATAATCCAGGTCAACTTTTATGACCTACCAGCATACATCCAGAACAGCAAGGCATTTGCAAGACTTGTGTTCGGCTACTTCTTTTATGGCCAGCTGTCGTTCATGTACCTGTTCTCCACGATCGTGTTCACTGTCGACCTCCTGTTCAGGTACATCCTGCATCTGAAAAAGTTCCAGTTCTCCCTAAGGTGGTCGCTGATCGCCACATACATCCTGTCGCACACATTCTCGATCCCGCTGCTGTTCGTCGATGTCTACGTCCAGGACTGTATTTTATCGCCGGCTGAGGATTCCACCGGTGCCTGGATCGCCGTGTCGTTCCACCTGTATGCAATCGTATTCGGTGTCTGCACTATCTTCGTCATCATCGCCATCTCCTTCAGCATCTTCAAGGCCATGCGCATGCTCCGCAGCGCCCGCAGGTGCCACAGCGAAGCATGTGTCAACCAGCCGGCATTCGTTCGCGACCTGTACTTTGGGCAGATCACCCGGCTCAACATGTACTACGTTGTGCTCTACCCCGGTCTGTTCATGGTCGAGAACCTGTACATGTCGTCGGCGCGCATTTTCACACTGCCGGTTATGATGCTGAACAACACTCTTGTGCAGTATGCAATGTACTTGCGTGTGGTGACGGGGATGGCTGACCTGGCCGTCGTTTTGCTGAGCCCGGTGATTCTGCGCAACATCCACAAGGCTATCAATAGGCTGCGCAGGCGCCACCATAGCAGCCTGGAGATGTGCGATGATTCGCTGCCTCCGGACACGCTGCTTGTGCACAGGTTGTCGGACTTTGTACTCAGGATATCGCCCCAGGCAGTCATCCAAAGATTCAGCTGGACCAGCATGAGTATGGATAAGGAGCAGCTGCCTCATGAATCTCCAGGCCCCCACGGCCAGTCGCAATTCCAGGTCAGCACCGCAACCATGGTCGAGGACCCTATAGCCGAGCACCAGGCCATCGATATCTCGTCTGAATCCCGGCTTGCGGTCCCCAAGCGCTGCCACTAGTTGGGGGCGGCGCTGCTGAAGTTTACCGAGCGCTTTTCTCGGATCCTGCTACCTGGTGGTGGGGTTTCGAATTCTCGCTATGTAGGCAACCCAAAATCATATATTCCGACTGCATTGCGGAGGGACCACGGCTCGGCTTCCGCCTCGGCTGCGTGCTTTTTCTTTTGATTCGTCTGCATCGACTAGTCTTTGTAAATAAAGGTGGTGTGCTTCGTCCTTATTGTAATAACCCACGCTCTCTTTCCCTCACGAAATGTCTGCGCTTGCCTCGCTCAGAGCCGTCCGCTCGATGGCCGCTCGGGCCGTCTCGCCCCACAACAGCATCCGCCTTGGATCAGTCCGACCGTCGGTATTGGCATTCATCCACACGGCCATGCCCACACCGGCAGCCACTGGTCTCCAGTCTACGTGTGGCCGCACCCAACGGCCATGGGTTTTCCGGCGCAGCAAGTCGACCGACACGAAGCCGCCTAGCACTACTGCGTCAGCACCCACGGCCGCCAGCGACCCGAACGAGGCACGCATGCTGATTGGATTCACCTGCAAGGTGTGCAAGCACCGGCAGTACAAGACGATGGCCAAGCAGGCGTACGAGAAGGGCGTGGTGCTGATTCAGTGCGACAGCTGCAAGAACCGGCATCTGATCGCGGATAACCTGGGCTGGTTCCGCGACAAGAGCGTCAACATCGAGCAGATCATGAAGGATAAGGGCGAGTCCGTACGCCAGATGGCTGATGCCGGCCTGCTGGACAACATCGAGGCCGAGCAGGTCGAGAAGGCGCTCAACGAGTACGAGCAGGTCAAGGAGAGCCGATCGAAGAAGCCCGAGGGCCAGTGAGCCGAACCACTTTTCCTAGTTTACCATCAGAAAAAAATTAGAAGCTATCGCGATCCATGCTTTCTTCAGCTCTGTACACACCTTGAATGCTCGCTCATTAGAACCGCCATTTATTCGCAATGCTTCGGCAGACACTACTCCAGCTGCATCAGCTTGCGGGCCGCCGCGCCTTCACACAGCAGACAGCAATGGGCCTGCGCATGGCGGACAGACTGCAAACGCCCAAACCAGTGCTGCAACAACAGCGTGTCTATCGACAGCAGGACGGCCTGCCGACACCCAATACCTATGCGTCTGTTGCCTCCGACATCAGCAGCTGAGCCGAAGCTGACTGTGCGTGTATCGAATTTGCCTCCGACGGCAACAGCAGCAGATGTTCGCAGCCGGCTAACCTCAATAAACTTTGCGTCCAAGATCCGGTGGGTCCGGTTTGAGTACGACTACACTCTGCGGGCGCTGAACTCGTGCCGCGTAAAATTCTATGAGCTCGACGATGCGGCCTCATTCCTGACGCATGCCAAACAAGACGCAGTTTGCCGGGTCGACGGTGCGTGCAGATTTCGTTGCCCTTGACAGTGTCCCGAATCCGACTGTCAGCCAGTATTTGGGCGGCGCACAGGGCAGGCTTGTGTTTTTATCTGGGCTGCCACAGTACTCGAACGTGCACTCGGTGCGCGACGTGTTTAAGGAGTATGACCTGGTAGACACGTCGCTCCCGGCGGTGCAGCAGGCGCCGCAGATGGGCAAGACCTTCCTGACGCGCAAGGGCGCTTTCATAATGCAGTTTGCCACGCCCGCAGAGGCCCGCCGGTTCGTCCGTGATGTCCATTTGACCGAGTTCAGGGCCAAAAGCGACGAATCTGAGACAGATGCAACCGACGACAGCAAGGTGCAGCCAGCAAAATATCTCATGAAGGCACTCCTGATCCAATAGTCTGTAATGTACCTCAAATGCAATATTGGCATGAACATTCTGGTGTGCTGCGTATCTGTCGAGTCGAATTTATGTAGAGTAGGTGAAAGGAAGAAATGGCTGCGTAGACAGATGTGTTTTTTAGGCTGTGGCCTCGTTCTGCCAGAAGCTGCGCACATACTGCGCGTTCCACTTCCTGATCTGGCCATCGCCCATGTACGTGCCATCGATGTCGGTCGAGGGCTGGTTCTCGGCAGCAGCCTCGCTCTTGCCCTTGTAGGCGAGCTGGGTGGCCAGGTACAGCCAGTTGACGGACTGGAAGGGCGTGAAGTACTGCTGGCGCTTGCTGTCCTGCTCCTTGCTGCGCAGGGTCTCGATGAAGCCCTGATAGTATGCATAATCGGTGAACAAGGCGCACCAGCGCGTCGGACACGCCCTGGGTGTTGCCACGCTCAATCAGGATACCAGTCTTGCCGTCCTCGATCTGCAGCGGGATTCCGCCCGAGCGGTAGGCAATGACGGGCTTGTACTTGGATAGCGACTCGGTGACCTTGACCTCGAAGCCCTCACGGTGCGACAGCTGCAGGGCACAGAAGGACCCGCGCAGAACAGCGCACAGGAGCTGGTCGGATGCCGGCAACCGCGCCACACAGATATCCCTGGCGTACGGCTGGTAGGGAGCAGTGCAGATCAGGTCGATGACCTGCTGGTAGACGACAGTGCCGTCGGGGTCGTCAATGCTGCCGTGGCCGCACAGCACCAGCTGCGGCTGCAGACTGGGCTCAATACCCATGGCGTCGAGCTGAACACGGAAGCCGCGGTACGCCTCGATTACGTCGGGGATGCCCTTGGCCGGGTCAAAGCGCGCAATCTGGATCACATACGGGCGGTCCTTCTGGATGCCGGGGCTGGCCTGGTCCTCCGCGCAGCGGTTGAACACGCGGCGGTAGTACTCGAGGTCAGCGCTGTTCAGGCGCTTGTTGAGGCCATCGAGCTCATCGGTGGCAGCGGGCATCAGGGCGACCTTGGAGTGTGGCACGCGAGGCGGGATGAAGCCAGCGACCGGATGCGAGATGAACAGGTCGCTTTGGTTGATGAAGCCGCCCCACAGGAAGTCCCAGAGGTCGTACTGCATCGAGCCCTCAATCGAGGCCAGATCAGAGCGGATCTCAATGTGCGAGCGGTAGATGACACGGGCGGTCGGGTTGAGCTTGCGGATGCGCGGGATGATGGCCGACACCTGCGGATCATCCATGATAATGACGTCGGCATCATCGATAACACCCTTGCCCTTCCCCCAGTACTGGTCAAAGTTGGCCTCGCACCACTCAGTCCACAGGTCCTTGTCGGCCTGCTGCAGCCGGTACTGCTCGTCGTCGGTGACACCCTGGAAGACGTTGTGGAACTTGCGCTTGGTAATGACAAACACGTCGGGATTGGGCTTGGCAACAAACCAGCGGCAGTCAACACCCAGTAGGCGCATCAGACGGATGGTGGCATGGCGCATCAGCGCAACACCACCACCCTGCGGAGTCGAGTTAAAGAACAAGATCTTGAGCTTGCGCTGCTTGCACTCGTCGGCCAGCGCCAGCAGCTTGTCCCAGGTCGGCTTGTCGGTGGTGTCCTCAAAGTGCTTCAGATCGAGCATGTGGCAATGGCCATCCATGTCGACCTGCACCTCGTTGGTATCGGGGTCGACCGAGATGCGCGGAATGCTGCCAGGGAACTGCGGCGTGAACCAGTCATACACCTTGCGCGCGGCTGATGCAGCCTCTTCGGTCAGCGACAGGCCGCGCAGCTTGTAGATGCACGGGGTCGCGTCAAGGTCGAACCAGAAGCGCGTGCACATCTCGCGCACCGGGTTGATCAGTGCCGGATCGGCCTCGATGACCTTGGAAGTCGCCTCGTCGCAGCCAATGCACACGCCCTGGATGCGGAAGTTGTGCGAGTTGGAATACTCGCCCACAACATTGATGATCTGGTCGTTGAGCTGGTTGAGCTGCTCGAGATTCGAGACGCCCGAGCTGCCCTTGAACGTGTCCTCGTGGTTCTGGAAGTCGGTTCCGTCGTAGCTCGAGCACGCCCACTCGATATCACCGTTCTTGTCAAACGAAATGGCAACGCCGAGGTAGATCGACTTGGGAATCGCCTTGTTGCGGGCAAGGATGTAGCGCGGGGATCCAGTCTCGAGGAAGCTGAACTTGCGGCGGAGAGGAGGCATTGCTGTTCAAAAAAAAAAAAGGTGTTTCTGTTGCAGCAAAGAAAGAAAAGCGATGTCTCGACGACGGGCTTGGCAGAAGGAGAGATTTTATGTGTGCGGGTTACGCTGCTTGTCTTTTCTAAACGTTCTCGGTTGGAGAAGCGAAAATAAAGAACGCCTCGATTTTACGAGCAAGTAATGTGACAAAATACCACTGAGCGAAGCGCCGGAAGGTGGTGATGACGAAATGCGGGTGAAATCACAGAGCCAAGGACGCAGTATTTGTGCAACACCAGGATGGATGTGTGATACGCCGAATGTAACGAGATGGAGAGGGCTTCAGGCTGGTGATGGCGATGAAGACCGGAGAAATGCGGAGCAGAGCGGGTGGACCAAAAAGAATGCGAGGCAGGCGCCGTTTTGCAGGGAATACCGAAGGGCAGATGAAGGAGGACACGGTTTGGCTGGGAGGATTCCTGTGGCAGGTTCTGGGCCCTTTATATATGCTTGTATCGTGTGCCTTGCTAGCATAAACGGTGGTCGACTTCTTTTTCCTGAGGCTTTCTTCACTGCCCAAAATTCCCATCCCCAAATGCAAAACAGCAAAACGGGCAGAGGGACAGGCGTCCAATGTCTTCCTACATCCCGCGACGGCGGAGTAGGGGGCAAGGACGTGTGGAAAAATGCAGTGGGATTATGTTTCGTTGGAGCATTTTACAAGCAGTAAATAAAACGGCCCAGAGAAATGCGTAGGCTGCTCGGCCCATGCACGGTGGGGTGTATCCCAGGCCCACTGCCGTCTCGGGAAAGGGAGGGGAGGGGAGAGGAGGGGGCGAGGGAGGGGTCAATTGCCCAGATATATAGGCAGGTGGCGCCTGCCACTATTCGGTGGGAGGGTAGAGCGAGGTGCGATTCTTCACATATCGTAGACATCAGGGAGAGTGCTACGTCCAGTCGCCCGCACCAACCACCTCGCCTGGGTGCCCTGTGTGGCCAGCAATCGAAGTACTGCATATGGGCAGTAGTGACATTATTTCTCTCCTCCCCTTCTCTTTTGCCACAATGGCAAGCACTCACTATTCGTCCTCTGCGCAGTAGTGCCCTCTGTGGGACAGCTGGCCGCTGCACATGTTGTTCCTTACGCGAGCGACACGTTCCGACAATTGCCAGCATTTCTCTCCCGCATCTCGGGATGCACAGCACAAACGATCCCAGTCCAAGCGCCGCTCGTCGGGTGGGGGTGAAGATGTGAGCCATCAGCGGACTATGCAGAATGCAAGCAGCGACTGCATACATTACTGGGACGCCGGGAGGACATGCCTGCTGCATCCAAGACATGCATCTTGCCTGCATTTCTGTCATCCCCGTGGTTTGCCTTGACTATCGGAGAATTTCGCTTCAACAGGGGCGGGCGGAATGCGACCATCGCCGGTCAGGTGGTGCCATGTATGGCCGATCGATGACATCGCTGGCGGCACCTGTCAATGATGCATAAATAGGCATACCACTTGACCTTCCCCCAACATCGCCCGCTTGTCCAGAACCAGGAGCTGCGTCGAAAAACGTGCCAGTGCAGTTGGGAAAGAGAAAATGGCTCAGGTTAGGCGCTCGACCGACACATATTGTCCTGTCCATGCTCGCCCTCCCCCATTCCTCTCTGGCAGACGCCGCAGCTGCCCTTGTTTGCACACATTTGCATCCCAACACCATGCATGCGGGCGCAAGTACCGGCAGCTCGAATGTACCAGCGACATCACTGTCCAAAATAGCCAGCCTATGCGCACATGCTGCATGCTCGTTTCTCCCCAAAAAAGAGGTGCAGAGTAGCAATTCGCCGAGCACTATTCGTTGCACCGAAACTGGCCATATCTTGTCCTCGAGCTGGGATGCTCCCAGCATTGTCCTCATTACTGCTAGCACTGGGCGGGTTTGGAAAAATCCACAAGATGGCGTTTCCTTGAGTTTTTCTGACCCGGCGAAGTGTGCGTGTAAATGCGGTAGACAGGTTACGACGCGTGAATGGCCTGGAAACCACGTTGCTGTCTCGTTTTGATTGCTTCGCCCACATCTGCCGAGTCGCAGAACAAGAGCCGCCCTAAGAACGGATGGCGCACCTCCCTTATCCACACGACTATTGTCTGCTGCATTGTCGCAGCAGAGGAGGAATTCAGTGCCCGCTGGCATACCGCAGAATGCGCCATTTTCCGCTGGCACCCGGTCATTTCCAGCCCACTCAGGCGGGACCAGCGCCGGCACCGTCTGCGAGACCCATGCAGCTACACGCCGTCGGGAACTCCACCCCATCTTGCCCCGGATCAGAACACAATATATTGCTCGTAAAAAGGACACAGGCTACACATGACATAGGAAAAGGGCCGATCGGTAGATTGGGGATGTGGGCATGATCTCTACCACTCAGCGATCCCGGCTCCGCGATCTGTCGTTGCCACCGCGGCCACGCTTCATGCCCCCCTGCTGCTTACCCGAATCCCTGCCCGGGCTGCTACTGCCGCTGGCGCGAATGAGATGCCGGTTCCTCGATGCTTTCTTGTTACTGTTGCGCTGGTGGAACTGTCCCTTGTTGGCATCCCTCCCATCGCGGTGTCCTGGCGGTGGCCCATGCTCGACCATGTGCGGCAGAGGCATGCCAGGTGGCATACCGCCCATCATGCTGGCGCCGTTCGGGAACCCGTCTGGCGGCGGTCCTGGTGGCGGTCCACGTGGAGGAGGGCCGTTGCCACGGTTTTCGCGTCCGCCCATTTGTCCGTGCAGGCGCTTCTGCGGCCCGCTGGACGGGTGGTGGTGGCCGTGGCGGTGGTCGTCATCGTGGTACATCTGCTGCGGCCCGCCCTGCTGGCTTGGGCCGCCGCCCTGGTTGCTGCGCGGCTCCGGCGAGCCATTGCGACCAGTCTGCAGCGCTTTCTTCTCAGCCCGAGCCTTCACAAGGAGCTTGGTGATCATTTCGTTGGCGTCCGCTTCCTCAATGCACAGCTGCAAGGTCTTGGTAGTGGGCGCCTTGCTGCTGTTCCAAGCAGCTAACCGCACTGTCGATAGTCTTGATCCAGCGCGCAATGGCCATCTGCTTGTCGCTGTACTGTTGCGGCGGCGGCGACATCTGGCTGGCGGGAAACATGGTGCGTGCTCGCTCCTCCGCCTGTTCGCGTAGCGATGTCAGCAGCTTCTTGCACTCCTCAGCAATGTTCGGATATGCCTGGGAGATTGCCATGACGGCGTTGAGCATCGCATTGGCCAGCACCAGCTGCTCGGGCACCGCTGTGCCAATAATTTGGGCCAATGTCGTCTGCACATGTGGCAGGATAACCTCCTTGGCCATGCCCTCGTTGGCCACGATCGGATACTTGGTAGTGATGGCAGCGGCCAGCTTGATCGCAAAGTGCTGCAGCCGCAGCGACGGGTGCATCAGGAGTTCGGGGATGAACTCGGAACACGCGTGCATCGACGGTACATATTCAACCATGTCGGAGATTGTCGCAATGTCGTATGCCTGGAAGTGCAGCAGCTTCTGGATCGCGCGCTGCTCGAGGAACCGGGCGTGCACAAACCCAAACACCACTCGCTTCACATCGACGTCGTTGACGAACGGCGTCAGCTCAAGCAGGAGCTGCAGAGCGCCGGATTCCTGCAGCTGTAGCATCGCAGTCATATGCGACTGCTTCAGCGTGCCCGCATCCTTCTGCCGCAGCCGATACAGCCGCCGCAGACTGGCCCTGGACAGCAGCAGGAACTCGGACAGGATGGTCAAAAACACGTCAGCCAGGTTGGCAGACTGGATGATGCTCGGGTTCAGGCGGAACAGGACCAGCGGGTCGAGCCACAAGTCCTGCGTGATAAACTTGGGCTTGGTCATCTCAGACCTGCTGCGCCATGCGTTCACGGTTGCTGTTGATACCGCGTGCGGGTTCAGCGTGTGCGCCATGTACCAGATGCGTCTGACTACCGTGGTGAGCTCCTTGTTCTGCGCATGCTGTGCCGCCAGACCACAAACTGTCGCTGCCAGCTGCTCGGCTGTCTCCATGCGAACGGCCTCGGGGAGCGCGGTGTACTGGTCAGCAAACTGAATCAGATGCTGCGTCTGCGTGGTATCCGGCGGCGGTACCAGCACCTGCTCGATCATCGCGCGTGCACTGCTGGTGAGGCGGACAAAGTCGCTCTGGCTCAGTTGCCTCAAGGCGCACGACGTGCTGTCAGAGTGGCGGAAGGCGTTAACCGCCAGCTCGCGCTGCAGCACCGATACTGGTTCGACCTGGTCTGGGAACTGCGCCGTAGCCATCGACACAATGTCGGGCCAAATCAGCTGGTACTCGGCGGAGTTACTGGCGGTCTGGAGGATCCACGCTACTGGTAGCGAGTCCAAGAGCTGATCCGAATATTCACCGCGGCGAGCCACACCGGTCATGTTCCCCAGCGGCGTCGTCCGTCCGGTGTCCGGGCGACTGCCTGGCGCAGGCGAGTTGTGGCTGCTGCCCCACGCTCCTGGTGTGTTCCCTGAGCCAGCATATCCGAACTGGCCACTGCGAGCCATGGGGCCGTTTGCCGAAAGGCCGCCAGCAGTCGATGTCCGGCCGCTTGGGCACTGATGCAAACGCGTTGGTTGACTGCTTGGGCTGATCGAGTAAGTGCTCGTTATAATACAGAATGTAGAGCAGATACAGAGCCATGGCCGGCGGCACCGAAGCAGCCTGGCCACCAGCGACAGACTCGGCTGCAAACCCCCGCTGCAGCATGGCCTCGGGAATAGGCGTGATGGCAGCAGAGCCAAATATGCCATTGACGTAGCTCTTGACCAGCGGCCCCAAGAGACCGGCGTTGGTCATGTCCGTTGTCCGAACCATGTGCGTGACCCATTCGCGCACATCGATGCCCTGGTCCTGGAACACATTGCTCTGCAGGCAATACAGCACGGCATTGCGATGCAGCCTTGAGCAAGAGGCGCTGTCGGTGGCGCCTGCAACCAGAGGCCGAGCTGGCTGTGGAACGCGGACGAGTCGGCGCGCGATGCTGGCGTCAGCAAAGTGACTCGAGTCGGACTGCTGCATGATCTCCTTCAGATAAAACAGGCGGTCGCGCGGAAACACGAAATCCATTCCCAGCGTGTCTATGGCAAACCGCTCGACGTCCTCTGCATGATCGGTGCTTAGATGCGCTAGCAGGCAGTCGACCTGCCGGCCAACGGGCGTATGCGCAGTGGCGGTTATTGCGTCGAGGGTGTCGCGGGCAGTCATCTGTGCGCCAAACCCGACAAGAGTCAGAAGCAAGGCTGCACAGAGGCTGACCTCGTGATCCGAATTGGTCAGCTGCGCCACGCGCTGGAAAAAGCCAAAGTCTGCGCTCAGCGCCTCCAGCCGCAAATACCCAATCAGCCCCGACACAATCCGGGTGTACGACGACAAATTGAGCTGCTGCTCCTCGGTCGTCAGCGCGTTGAACTGGCGGTACACTGCGTCGCGGATGCTCGAGCCGACCTTTGAGCACTTTGCTTTGCCGATCCACAGAGTCACGCCCGTGCTCAGCAGCCCGTCGAGGTACCGCCGCACGTCGGTGGCGCTAGCTATGTCGAGCTGGCTTGCCAGCGTGCGGAACATGACTCCCGCCAGCACGCGATGCCGCCGCAGCTCGTGTGCCACGGTGCGCGCGTTGGCAGGGCCCAGTGAAGCCATGTATTCGACTGAATCTTTGATAACGGCCTTATACATATCGGGCAGGACACGGTACACGCTCAGCAGCGTGCTGGCCAGGTCCTGCTGCACTGCAACGCAGTCCATCGACAGGCGCGCGATGCACTTTAGTGCCTCGGCACCCTGCCCTGCAAGCACTAGGCCTCGAGCACATGCGGCAAAGGACTCCCAGATGGCTCCGGTGTTCTCAATGGCCTCCTGGAGCACAGACACGACCAGCGACTGCACACACGCCAACTTGTCGCCAGTGTGCCTCATCATCTTCAGCTAGCGGTGACTGCTGCACAACCTCCTGCACCACAGCCTTCTCAAAGATCAGCAGCGAGCACCGCAGCTTGAGGTCCTTCCATGCAGCATTCAGTTGCCGCTCAAGCCGCGAAAGCGATGCTGCCGAGTTTCTCGACGAGCTGTTTTTGCTCCAGAATACGGTAAATCGTGGGCGCCCGGTCAATGAGCTCGTGGAGCTGCACCTAGAACAAGACGCAGTCGCCGCCGGGCCGAGCCACTCATAAATTCCCGTACATCGGTTTTCGACTACAAAAATAACAAAAAGGGGAGCCAACAGTAAACATTAGCAGCACATGCCCGAAATGGACGGGTTTGGCAGAGGGACGCTTCCGACAGCATTGGATATGCAAGTCTGATTTGAGGTCCCATGCGCTGGCGGGCTCAAGCCTGCTACCTGGCCTCCTCCCGCTCTTCATGCCAGAGACATGCAATAAAAGGGGCGCGTCTGGCACATGAGATCACCAGGTCACCGCGCTCTACTACCAGACGCTCTCACACGCACGCTGTGTCGAGCAGTGCATAGGACAACAATGGCAAAGAGCGACCCCTCCGCGCCCTTCCATGCAGCAGCGCAGCGGCTACAGGGACATAGACAGAATGCGAGGGAGGTCATGCAAATGTCAAATGTAAAAGATGGTATTACCTGTTCGATGGCGTTATCAGGTTGCTTGATCCGGGCATGCCATTGCTGCAGAGCCTCGCGATTGACGGCGGTGTAGTCATCGGCGGACGAGATCGGCTGCGCGTCATTGGCTATGGGCGCGTCGCGGGTCGTCGGGTCAGTGAAGGAAGCGCCCATCAGGGCATCAGAGAGGGTGGAGTTTTGCAGAGACGGGGGAATGAGTGACGAGTCTAGAGGCCGTGTCGATGACGACGAATGCAGCTGGTGATGCTATTTTCGGAATCAGCGAGGCGACCAGAATTGTCTCCTCCTCCTCCTCATCCTTATAAACACCAGCAGCAGAGGCAGTAGCAGTAAGACCCCTGTCGGCCACAGCCACTGGACGGGCCTGGTGCTGGCGGTGATAGCGACTGCACGGCGACATTCGACAGCAGAGGCGGCCGTGCCTGCCTGCTATCATCACCGGTCTTGCCGTTGGTGGCAACAGCAACACTGCCGCCACCTACCACCACCTCTTCATCAGAATCACCGCTACCACCACCACTGCCCCCAGGAAGCCCATTGACAGCAATCAAGTGAGAGCCTGGGCTCGGCTGTCCAGCCAAATTGGCCTCATTTCCATCTGCAACAGAACCCAGTGAAGGTGAAAGTTCGGCTGTCACGCCAGCTGCACCCATGGTACTGATATGATGTGGGGTGTCTGGCATGCAAGTAGGCTGAAAGGTGGGAAAATGCAGAAAAGAGATATGGCAGAGAACTGCGAAGCAGAGCGGGCGTATATAGGCACAGGCACTAGGCAGGAATATGAAATATTGTCGAAAAGCTGGCTCGCACACTAGACGAATAATAAGTGCGTGGGTTAGATAACCAAGGGGAGTTGGGGAGGGCTGTGGAGCAAGAGGGGAGTAACTAGCTAGAAGCACGAATTTGGTTGGAATGTGAAACACAAATTCGGGGGATGAGGAATAGGAATAAGCAAAATTCACAAGCGTGAAATTCAAACAGTGAGCGAGAAGAAGAGCAGAGCTTTTGTTGCTAGCAGTTGTGCTTGGGTAAATGTCCCGTGTGTAAATGAAGAGGCCCCCAGTGCATAATTTTCCAGATAGAGCGAAAAAAGGCTACAGCTTTTTGGAGAGTGAAGGAAAGAAGGCGAATTTTTATATCGACGCCTCGGTGAGTAGTGCTAGGGGCAGCATCATCGCCGTCGAAAACCACTAAATTTTTGACCCCTCCCCTGCCAGCTCGCTGTGGGCTCGCACGCAACGCCATTGGCTGCACGAGTCATCCAGCAGCAGGCTCCAGCTCTTCCACTCCGCTGGGTTGCACACAGGCTCTGCGGCGCTACTGCCTCCGCCAGAGATGCTGGTGCTGGCGCGTATTCAGATCAGCAACGGCTTCTTTCTGGCATCGGCTCAACAGGCCCAGAAACCACTCGAGGATGGGCTTGGTAGGACCCCAAGCCCCCAGCGTAATCAATCCAGTGATATGCGATCGCCAATCATCGCGCAGCCATCAGCGAATCAGCGTGCTGCCGGCTCCCAGTCGTTTTTTTTTTTTTTGCTTGCGCTAATGGCTAGCTAAAAGCACCCAGCCTGGCGAGATTGGGTAAAAATTCTCTGCACCTCTTCTCCTCCATATTCATATCCTCCCTATCCTTATTGACAAGCATGCAGAGGTTCATTGCCACAACAAGCCGGATCGCGCCGCGCTCTCTGGCCAGCCTGCGGGCAGCCCGCGTCGCTACCACCAGCAGCACGCTGCCTGCATTGGGCAGCCGCATGATCGCACCCTCGACTGCCACACAATATCTCACTAGTCAGCGGAACAGCCCGCTGGCAATGTTTGCGCGTTTCCTAGCCAGTGAGGCTGTCGCACGGCAAAGTGCCACCGAGGAGCTCGAGCAGCAGCCCGCTACAGCGCAGATCGGCACCGAGTCCAAGAAGGCTGATGCTGACGAGTACGTGCCCGTGCCTTTCGCCGACTACAAGGACATCGACGCCAACACCATGCGCGCCATCACCAACATCCTAAAGTTCAAGACGGCCAGCAAGGTGCAGGACAAGATCATCTCGCTGATGCCCATTAAGAACGATATCATGATCAAGGCCAAGACAGGCACAGGAAAGACAACAGCGTTCCTCGTGCCGGCCATTGATGTCCTGAAGCGCGCGTACGAGCAGGACCCGGAGCGCGGGCGGAAGGGCCGCGCCGTTGGCTGTCTGGTTGTCAGCCCGACGCGCGAAGCTGGCCAAGCAGATCGCGGTCGAGGCCAACAAGCTCGCCACGTTCCACGGCTGGAATGTCCAGTCGTTGATCGGTGGTGAGAGCTCGCGCTACCAGATCAACGACCTTGCGCGTAAGCGCTCGGATATCGTTATTGGCACGCCTGGACGGATTCTCGACTTCCTCAACAACCAGCCGATTTTCAGCAGCCTGGCCGACAAGACCAAGCTCCTGATTTTTGATGAGGCGGATGTGCTGCTGCAGATGGGGTTCAAGAAGGAGATTGACGAGATCATCTACCGTATGCCAGAGGACCGCCAGACGTTCCTGGTCTCGGCAACCATGGATCGCAAGATCCGCGAGCTGGCCCCGACCGTGTTCAAGCGTGGGTTTGATATCATCGACTGCGTAGACAAGGGCGAGACGAACACACATAAGAACGTCAAGCAGGAGTACATCACTGTTGAGCTTTCGAACCACTTCCCGGTTATCTGCGATGTCATCGAGTCGCACATTGCAAAGTGCACGGCTGAGAACCACGGAGCCAAGATTGTCATGTTCATGCCGACCACCAAGAGCACAGACATGTACGCCAAGCTGATCCGCAGTTTGCTGCGCAAGGGTGTGGCGAACCAGAACAGCGGCGGCAACCGCTTCGGCAACCGTCGCCAGCCACACAAGCGCCACGAACCGAATGGCGAGGAGGTCGTTGACATTATGATGATCCACGGTAAGATGTCACAGGACGCACGGTCGCGCGTGTCGGAGAGGTTCCGTAAGGCGCCGATCCGCGCCGGCCACAGCTCGATCTTGATCACTACCGACGTGTCTGCTCGCGGCGTTGACTACCCCGACGTGTCGATGGTCCTGCAGGTCGGCATTCCCACTGAGGCCGAGTCGTACATCCACCGTCTGGGTCGTACTGGTCGCGCTGGCAAGTCGGGCGAAGGTGTCATTCTCCTTACAGAGATGGAGACACAGTTCCTCAACCACCTAAAGAACCTGCCGATCAAGCACAGCGAGAAGTATACCCCTGAGTATCTCGAGAGCATTGTGGGCTTCCAGGGTGGCGATGTCGCGCACCTGGCGAAGCGCTGGGAGGCAGCAGCGATGTACACCGAGGCTGACAGGGTTCAGGATACGTTCTTGTCGCTGGTCGGCTTCTACCAGGGCCACACTGAGCTGATTGGTAACCCGCACGGCCAGGCTGTCCTGGAGTCCTCAGCCGAGATTCTGAAGCCGTTTGACTGCCCGCAGCCGCCCCTGCCGCGCGCTCTGCAGGATAGCCTTGGGCTGAACAGGAAGCCTCGTGGATCGCGCTTCGGCAACAACAACAACCGGGGCAACTCGCGCTTTGGCAACAATAACCGGAGCAACTCGCGCTTCCAGCAACGACCGTTACGGCGGATCGCGCTACGGTGGTGACCGTAGCGGCGGGTCTCGCTTCGGAGGCGACCGGGCGCCGCGCCAGTACAACAACTATGAGGACGGTGGAAACAGCAGATTTCGGAAAGAGCGAGCGCAAAAACGACTATGGCAACCGCTCGTTTGGCAATGACAGGGGCTACAGCCGTTCGCGTAGCTTTGGCGAGGACGGCAACGGCTCGTCTGAGGGCGGATACAGGTCAGGCCAGGGACACAGTGACCGCCCTAGGTTCAACCGTGACGGCGGCTCATCAAAGAGATCGTGGGAGCAGCGCGGCAAGACGGACGAGTATTAGCCTCCCAGACGTACATATACCCCCCTTGTTCAGTAGCAATGTGCGCAAGCAGTATATAGAGTGTTTCTAATACAAACGCATTTTATTCTCCAGCCTATGTTTGTCTACCAGACGAAGGGAATCAGCGCCCGCCGGTTGCGCGGGAACTTGTCGCCAAACGTGGACTTGTACCATTTCTGAGACTCGCTAGCAGGTGATCCCGAGGTTGACAGCGCTCCATATGGTCATGATCAGGATGGTGGTGCTCTGGCACGAGGTCACCAGCCAGAGTGCAATATACACAAGGATCTCGCACAGGTAGTGCGGAGACGATACATAGCGGAACAAGTCGCCAGTCGGAATCACGTACGCCGCCTGCACATTGGCCTCCTTCGCCGATGTCTCTGCCTCTGCCTCTCTTTCTCTGCGCTCTCGCTCCTCGCGCAACGACTGGAACCGCAGCTTGTACAAGATATGGTGGCATCGCCACTGGTGGATCGATGCATATGCAAACACGGCCATTCCAGTCAACACCAGGTATGCGTTTGCCGGCACCCACCCGGGCGTGTAAATGGCATCGCTGATGATCCCAAGCGGAGCAAACACATAGTGCACCAGACCCACCAGGTAATGCCCGACGTGCATCTGCGCCTTGGTTGCTGGCTGATGGTACACTGTCTCGTAGAGCCGCAGAATGACATGCAGATTGTACATGCCCATGGCTAGCAGCAGTGCTGATGTCGGGGCATCAATGAATGACTCGCGTGTCGCGCCAAGCAGCCAATACTCAAGCTGCATGTAGAATCGGAAGTAAAAGCGCTCGGGCGCAGCGTCCATGGCCTGCTGGGCTTTGAACTGGTACCAGTTGGAAAAGTCCGCGGTCAGCGCTGCGCTGACAATAACGCCGATTGCATAGAACTGGGCAAACATGTTCTTGGATACTGTTGCGCGGGCGAACCGGCCGAGAAGACTGGTGGGGTCTGTCTTTGCAACAGGCCGTGTCTTGCCGTACTTTATGAATGCCTCACGCATCCATGGCACAGCCTCGAAGGTCAAAGCGACCGTCGCCATCGACGTGAACACTAGACGGCTCAGATATGCCAGAAACATGGTATACGAGGGTGCTAGTAGATAATAAGATAGGGATAGAGGAAGCGAAGAAAAAGAAGGAGGGCAATGGCAGCAACAGCGCGTCTAGTCTAGCGAGCTGAATGTCGTGTGGGCCAGCTCTTTGACTGGAATTGAGCCAGCGCACCGACGATCCGGCTGCCACTAAAGAGAAATAAAACACGAAATCGTCATTGAGCGCAGGACACTTCCCCACATCCAGAACTCGAGCCGCTTCAGCCAGCGAGGCCTATAAAGTGAAAATTTTTCGGTCTTGTTTCCTGGTTCGCCCATTCAGCTTTTACTTTTCCTCCAAACGTGCATTACGAACAAAACAACAATGTCGGTCGCCATTTCCAGCAACGATTCCGCGCTGAAGCTGCTGTTCGCCAGCCTGCCTGAGGCCCAGAAGGATCTTTCGGTTGACGCTGTCGCTGATCAGGTAACTTGCTCAAATGCACATGCTTCCTCCACACGCGAGTCCCGAACCGTAAACAGCACGCTAACAGTCCACTCTGCTGTGTATAGATCTCGCAGCTCACGCTCGATGGCCAGAAGGTCGAGGGCACCAACTCGATTGCGCAGCAGCTTGCGGCCAAGTACAACAAGGACCTGGCTGGTAAGACCGAGACGGACCAGGCCGAGGTTAGCCAGTGGATGACCATGTCGGCGCGGCACGGGCCCACGGAGCGCCAGGCGTTCTCGCAGACCATCAACGAGCACCTGAACGGTAAGACATACCTGGTGGCCAACTACCTGACCGTTGCCGATATCGTTGCGTTCGGAAACGTGCACGCCTACATGGAGGGCCTGTCGGCTCAGAAGCGGTTCAACTGGAGCAACTTCTCGCGCTGGTTCGATCTGGTGCAGCACACCGTCTCGGCCGAGGCCCTGGCTGCTGCTGGGCTGAAGCTTGTTGAGATCGACCTGAATGCCCCGGCGCCGGCCAAGAAGCAGGCGGCCGACCAACGGCAAGAAGGACAAGAAGGACAAGAAGACTGAGGAGAAGCCGGCTGCCGCTGCCGCCGCCGCTGCCCGCTGGCGACAAGAAGGAGAAGAAGGCCAAGAAGGAGAAGAAGCCGCAGCCACCCAAGGCCGAGGTCAAGATCGTGCCCTCAATGATCGACCTGCGTGTGGGCCACATCACCGACGTCAAGAAGCACCCGGATGCCGATGCGCTGTACGTTGAGCAGATCGAGGTGGGCGAGGAGGCCCCGCGTACGGTGGTGTCGGGGCTGGTGCGGTTCATTCCGATCGAGCAGATGCAGAACCGCGACGTGGTGCTTGTGTGCAACCTGAAGCCGGCGGCCATGCGTGGCGTCAAGTCGTTCGCCATGGTGCTGTGCGGCACCAGCCCCGACGGCAACACGGTCGAGTTTGTCGAGCCGCCCAAGGGCAGCAAGCCTGGTGACCGCGTGTACTTTGAGGGCTTTGAGGGCCAGGAGCCCGAGCCCCTGCTCAAGCCCAAGCAGAAGATCTTTGAGACCATCCAGCCCGGCCTGTTCACCAACGACGACTGCGAGGCCGGCTGGTACAACGAGGACAAGAAGTTCCACAAGCTGCTGGTCAACGGCCAGGTCTGCACCACTGCCACCGTCGCCAAGGCCACGCTGAAGTAGGGCTCTCCCGTCAGTATCAAAAATATTATATTCTTTTCTTTTTGTTGGAAATTACAGAGCCAGAGTGACAAGCGACAGCCAGCCAGCGACCATGGTGAGACCGCCGAGCGGCGTCATCAGGGCAATGCTGTGCGCACGCTCGCCCAGCAACACCAGCGTGTAGATGGAGCCGGCGAACATGATGGAGCCCGCGGTCAGCAGATAGACCGCATACGGAGCCTGCTTGCCCGACAGTCCAATGGCGAGCAGCGCGCACGCGTGAATCTGCTGGTAGCGCGACGCAGTGCCCCACTGCTGGATCTTGTGCGGGTCCTCAACAATCCGCTTGAGCGCGTGCGCGCCGAAGGCACCCAGGGCGACACCGGATCCGCCAAGAATGGCAGCGGCCTTGATAGCGAGAGCAGACGACATGAACGAACGGCGGTGCGAGAGATTACAAAGAAAAAGCTGCGTGGTGCGGTTAACGACAAAGAGGCGGCAGAAGAAGGAAAAGAGGCCGCCTGGCTTGCAGTCTACCTCGCGCTTTTATCGCCTCCCCCAGAGAGCTCAGGTGGCCAAAACAAACACCCTTAGATGCTTGCGGTAATGCATCAGATTTGGGCCGCACATGCAAAAGGCAGCCAGCGAGCGAGCCCACACTCATCGCGATAAGACCAGCGCAAACAGATAGACCGGCATTCCAGGCGAACATTCGATATGCCAAGCCGTTCAAGCAAACCGTCGCACATGCTGGCGTTGCCCGGAGATACCGCGCATCCCGCACGGCTCTTTCGCACGTCATGTACACGATCTCCCTCCAATTTTCAGTGTCCGCCATCCAAATCGAAGGCGTCCGACAGAGCAGAGCCCTTCAATGGCAGTGTAGTGGTCGCCGGCCGCCTAGATGGGGAAACCGGGCTGGCGTTCGAGAACGTCGCTGTGCCCAACTCCGAGCAGGTCCGCTGCCTGGCTCGGCCCATCCGAGCCTGCCTCTGGTGCTGTCGGGGTTTCCGAGCATCGGGATGCAGTAATCAAACTGCATGATTGCTGGTGATTCGCCAGAGAGATAGGGATCATGATTTGGCCCTAGAGATAATCGGCTGGCTCTGCCCATTCGAGGTTTAGCAGCCCGTGTCCAAATTCGACATTTCGACATTTCGACGCTGCATTTATTGCTCTCTTTTTCAGACCTCAATTCATACACACATCCCATTCAACGAACCGACAATGAGACTCGCGCGCGTTCTATTCCAGAAGGTACATTAACGACAGACATGTCCGCAAAATGGAGCGCTAGAAAACCGCCCCTCAGCCCGAGGCTAAGCGCACAATTTCTATTTAGGTCACGACCGGCATTGTTGGAGTCCCAGTCAACCCCGAGGCGCGCCCGCAGCTCATCGCCCTGTACAAGCGGACTCTGGAGGAGGTGAAGACGAAGATTCCCGAGAAGGCCGTGTACCGCCAGTCCGTCGAGGCCCTGACCGCGCACCGCCTGAAGATCGTAGAGCAGAACGAGGACGCTGAGAAGATCGAGGCGCTGATTGACGGCGGTCAGCTGGAGGAGCTGATCAAGGTCGCAAATGACGAGCTGAGCCTGATTGGCAAGATGGCCGAGTGGAAGGCCTGGGAGCCGCTCGAGGAGCTTGCGCCCCCGCGCCAGTGGGAGTACTTCAAGAAAGCGCCGCTCCGGGAGTAGACGTGTTTTACGATATACAAGACATTTTTAAAGACTATGTGAAAGAGATAGAAACATTGGTGTGTGGCTATGCGGCTAGGCTTCGCGCAGCGACCATGCGGCCCTGTTGATGATCTCAGCCGTGTGCTTCACCAGCCTGTTGAATAGCTTCCAATCGGCATCCTCGATGGCCTCCGCCAGCGCTGGTAGTGTCTGAGAGCCATATCCGAGCCGCCTGCCTGGGCTCACTAGCACATGTCGGTACCACTTGCGGCCTGGCAACCCCATGGGGTCGATGAAGTCGCGCTCCAGCTTGTACAGCCGTTGGTTGATGCTGCTGCGAATGTCGCTGCACACGACAAGCCGGTGGTGTCCGGTCATGTTGCACTGATCGCCGTACTTCTTCTGCAGATGGCGCCGCTCCGCATCGATATGGCGCGCGCTAGTACCAAGCTCACCAGCGGCCTTGTAGAGCCGCTTCAGCGCTCTCTCTGCCATTGCGTGGCCGACCCCAAACGAGCGGACTATGCTGGGTTTCAGGTCGTCAATGTACTTGTGCAGGTCTTTGGCGTACTGCCGTGCATCGAAAGGCAGAACGGGTTCGTCGGCCAAGGCGATGGTCAAGGCACCCCAGATCTGTGTACTGGCGCGGTGGTAGGTGAAGTCAGGGTCAATAAAGCCCGTCATCCATTTGAAGCTGTCATAGTTTGAGTGGTATACGCCAGATCCACCTTTGAACCCAAAGTCAATCGAGGACACGCCCAGGTGGTTGAGGAACACAGTGTAGTCGCTGCCTGACCCTAAGGGCCCTACAGCGGGCTTACGGCGCCTGCTCAGATGCTTTTGAATGGCGCTGTCGCGCTCAGACCAGACATCATATACAGACTTGCTCGAGTGAGGGTGCTTGACCCGTTTGGTCACGTCGTATATGAGTGGGCGCAGATTAGGCGATGCCTTGAACTGAATGTCGTGCCCACGCACACCACCATCCAGATTCAGGTATGCAACCGTGTTCTCATGAATCCAATCTTTCTTGTCCTCGCCCCACTCTGTCGAACCGACCAGGCCGTACTCCTCGGCATCCCACGATGCGAGGATGATGGTGCGGCGCGGGCGCCATCCCTGCTTCAATAGCTCGCCAAAGCCGCGGGCAACCTCCAGCAATGCTGCCGAGCCAGAAGACGGGTCGGATGCACCAGCACACCAGGCATCGCGGTGGTTGCCAATAATAACAGTGTCCTCAGACTCTTCCCACCCTGGGATCTTGGCGATAACGTTCTGGATTGGGGTGTTCTTGTACTCGACCTTGTTGAGCAGGTTGACATCGAGCTCACTGGGTCCAGTCCAGTACTCAACACCCTTCGATGTCAGGCCGCCGACCCAGTTATCGCCTACATCCTTTGCAGGCTTGCCTTGGCCCTTCAAGGCACGCAGCAGCGGCTCGGCATCGCGGTATGACAGAGGCAGTGATGGGATGTGGTTCAGACTCTCTGCCTTGTCGACATCAATGCGCGGCGCATCCTTGGTTGAAGCATAGCCAGGCGTTAGCGGGTCACCAGGGTAGTTGCTCAGCCGTAGAACAGATCCCCGCTGGAATGACGATTCAGGTCTCCACGGCCCTTCCGGGTAGACCGGACCTTGGACGTAGCCATCATCGGCAGGGTCCGAGTAGATCAGGACACCACGAGCACCATCCAGCTCGGCTCCGTAGACCTTCAGCCCACGGAACACATCTCCGTAGCGCACCAGCACAATCTTGTCCTTTACGCTAATTCCAGCCGCCTTGAGAGCCTTGAAATCCTCATGCGATCCGTAATTGGCATAGACGAGCTGGCCAGTGACGTTGCCATCGGCGGAGTACCCGTGGAAGGCAGGCAGGTTGTTCGGATCCTCTGATGCAGGGTCGTCTGGAATAACATCTTCCTTGAGCCCAGCCTCAAAGTGAACTTGGCCCGTGGTTGCATTGAATAGCGCAACCCTCTGGTCAGCCGGGTAGTTCAGCCACGGATAGTACTCGACAATCTCTGCGTCGATTCCCTGCGCTTGAATATAGTCGCGGGTGTAGACAGCCTGGGTGCGGTTTATGCCAGCAACGTGTGTCCCAGATGTATAGTACTGCAGATTGTCGCGCAGATGCTCCGTCGACGGAATATCAAGGAACAGGTGCAAGGCATCGAGCTGCTGCTTTGTGGGCTCGTCAAAGTGGTCGATATCACTCCAGCATTGGCACAAAACAGTGACAACACCGGCCAGGATCAGCGCACCAGCCACCACAAGTAAGGTTGCTGCTGCGTGAGCCGACCGCCGCGATCGGTCGGAGCGTGAGAGCAGAGGAAGCTTCTCTGATATATCAGATAGGGACAGCGACTGGTCGTGCATTTAACCGTGCTTAAAGATACTTCGTCCCTGATGAACGTGGGTGGTAATAGAGGGGTGATAGGTAGAATAGTGTTGGTAGAGCAGAGAAAAAACAGGGTGTGCGGTCTTTGACAGACCATTCGTTCTGCGCAGGTGCGGTGGTTCTATATACACAGCGCTTCCCATGCCATCCATCCAACAATCACCCGAGCTGCACCAGTGGCCGACATGCATTTGCACTTTTCCTGACTCGGAGCAGTCATGTGCTCTAAAGTGCTAGTTGGGCACTGGCAGGGGTGCTATGCCGTTTAAATTAACAGCCGAGTGCATGTCATGCTTGGGCAAACATGCACTCAACGTTAAATACTAAAACAAATACAAAAGCTAGATCTCGCGGAGGAACCAGGCTGCACCATACAGGATCTCTGCCGTCTTCTTCTCGTGCTGCTGGAACCTCTTCCAGTCGTGATCTTCGATGGCCTCAGCCAGCGCCGGGAACACCTGCGAGCCGTATCCGAGCCAGCGCCCGGGACTTGCCAAAATGTGCTTGTACCACTCGCGACCCGGAATGCCCTCGGGGTCGAGGAACTGGCGCTCCAGGCGCATCGTGCAGGTCGTTGATCTGCTTGCGTAGATGCACACAGATGGCCTGGCGCCGCTTGCTGGTCATCTCGCAGTCCTCGCCGTACACGCGAAGCAGGCGCTTCTTATCCTGCTCGATGGCTCGGGCGTTGGCCAAAAGTAGCTGCTGGGCTTTGCGGACATGCCGTAGCTTTTTGGCAATTATCGCATCCATGTCCTTGCTCTTGTACTTCTTCGACTTGTGCAGCTCCTTGGCGAGCTGAGTCCTCGATCTGTACAACATACTGCTTGATCTCCTTGGCATAGGCAACAGGATTGAGATCCAGGACCGGGATCAGAGGCAAGTTGGATGGCCATCAGGCCCCAGATCTGAGCAACGGCTTCGTGGTACTTCATATCGGGATCGACATTCTGCACCATCCAATTGTAGCTGTCGTAGTTGGAGTGCGCCGTCGAATCCTGGCCGCTGAACCCCATGTCAAGCGACGATATGCCAGCGTGAGCCATGAACGCAGTGTAGTCGCTGCCAGATCCAAGCGGCTCTACATGAGGCTGTGCTTTCTTGACACGAAGCTTCTTGCCGCGGGACGGGGCGACCTCGACGGCGTCTTTTCCTAGCGATTTCTTAGCCCACATGCTGTAGACAGACTCGGTGCTGTTAGGATGGTGCACCTTTTTCGTCACGTCAGTAGAGAATAGTCCTTCAGAACCGGCGAAGCAGCATGCAGTGAAGTCATGGCCAGCAACTGCCATATCGACGTTCAGGTATGCGACAGCCTCGGCGCGCAGCCAGTCTAGATTCTCCTCAACCCACTCAGTCGAACCGACCAGGCCGTACTCCTCGGCATCCCACGATGCCAGAATAATAGTGCGGCGTGGACGCCAGCCAAGTTTCAGCAGTTCGCCCAAGCCATGTGCAATCTCTAAGAGTCGCTGCCTGAGCCGGATGCTGGATCGGTAGCACCTGCCGACCAGGAGTCAAAATGGTTACCAATGATGATGGCCCGATTCGGCTCATCGCTTCCACGGATCTTTCCAATAACGTTCTGGAATTGGGGTGTTCTTGTACTCGACCTTGTTGAGGAGGTTGACATCGAGCTCACTCGGTCCAGTCCAGTACTCAACACCCTTTCGATGTCAGGCCACCGACCCAGTTATCGCCTACATCCTTTGCAGGCTTGCCTTGGCCCTTCAAGGCACGCAGCAGCGGCTCTGCATCGCGGTATGACAGAGGCAGTGATGGGATGCGGTTCAGACTCTCTGCCTTGTCGACATCAATGCGCGGCGCATCCTTGGTTGAAGCATAGCCAGGCGTTAGTGGGTCACCTGGATAGAGACTGAGTCGCTGGACAGACCCCCGCTGGAATGACGATTCAGGTCTCCACGGCCCTTCCGGGTAGACCGGACCTTGGACATAGCCGTCATCGGCAGGGTCCGAGTAGATCAGGACACCACGAGCACCATCCAGCTCGGCTCCGTAGACCTTCAGCCCACGGAACACATCTCCGTAGCGCACCAGCACAATCTTGTCCTTTACGCTAATTCCAGCCGCCTTGAGAGCCTTGAAATCCTCATGCGATCCGTAATTGGCATAGACGAGCTGGCCAGTGACGTTGCCATCGGCGGAGTAGCCATGGAAGGCAGGCAGGTTGCTAGCGTACTCTGATGCAGGGTCGTCTGGAATAACATCCTCCTTGAGCCCAGCCTCGAAGTGAACTTGGCCCGTGGTTGCATTGAATAGCGCAACCCTCTGGTCAACCTGGATAGTTCAGCCACGGATAGTACTCTGCAACCTGGGTGTCGAGTCCAAGCTTCAAAAAGTAGTCGCGTGTGTATTCTACGAACTTTTTGTTCCTTCCACCCAAACGGGTCTCGGACGTATATTTCTGCAGGTTATCCCGCAAGCGATCGGTAGAAGTGAGACCGAGGAATATCTTCCCAGCATCGAGACTGCCGCCTGCAGTGGCAGCGGACACATTTGCCATTGGCATGGCTGTGTGAGCGTACATGCACTCGGGCATTGGTAGTCCGGAGAGCGCACCGAATGCAGCCAGCAGGCCGGCTGCCGACAGCAAACCAGCAGCAACCTTCTTTGCGCAAGAGCGCTGCGCCTTTCGCAGCAGCCGCGGTATTCTCGGGAACAAGCTGTTCCTTCTCGTCAGTTAGCCCCATGAGCGACAAAAAGAGATAGGGTTTAAGGTAGGTGCGGAAAATTTGGGGAGGAGAGATAGACACAGCGGCACAGTGTACCACGCTTGCGGATTTTGCGGTTTGGCCATTCTGGTACCTTGCTCTGATGATCGGCACTTTCTAGGCAAGTCAGCTCACTCTCAGTGCTGGCCGGACAAGCCGGGCAAGCCGGCTCGGGCTACTGCGCCAAGTGGACTGTTTCGCCAAAGCAGCCTTGGGCTGGTATAGGTTTAAAGCGCTGCTTGCCGCCAACCGCTTTCCGACGCTTAGCACACGCTTTTTCTCCTCCTAATTCCATACTATCTTCTAAATTCAGCGCCACCATGCAGTGCGTACTCAGGAAAGCCCGCGATGAGAAAGCCCGCGCCTTACGCCTACTCAGCACTAGCGCCAACAGCAAGCACCCCAAGGTCGGCGTCCTGCTGATGAACATGGGTGGGCCGCGCACACAAGACGACGTCAAGCAGTTCCTTGACGGCATCTTCCTTGATCGCGACATCATGACGCTACCGGCACAGAACCTGCTTGGCCCTTTCATCGCTAAGCGGCGCGTGGAGAAGGTCAAGGACCAGTACAGGCAGATCGGCGGTGGCTCGCCCATTGAAAAGTGGACCAGGCTGCAGGGTGAGGGCATGGTGAGGTCGCTGGACCAGATCTGCCCAAAGACTGCGCCGCACCAGTACTACGTGGGCTTCCGCTACACTGCGCCCGATACGCAGGAAGCGCTGGAGGAAATGATCAGGGATGGTGTCGAGCATGTCATTGCATTCACGCAGTACCAGCAGTTCTCAGGATCGACCACTGGCAGCAACCTGAACGAGCTGTACCGCAAGCAGAAGGAGCTGGACCCAGAGTCCAGGCTGCAGTGGAGCTTCATTGACCGCTGGGGCACGCACCCAAAGTTGGTGTCGGCGTTTGCTGATCGTGTCGAGGCGAAGGTGAAGGAGCTGGCTGAAGACGTGCGCGATACAGCACCAATCTTGTTCTCAGCGCACTCCCTCCCGCTTAATGTCATTGACCGTGGTGATCCGTATGTAGCGGAGGTTGGCGGCACCGTCGCCTACGTTGTCGATGAGCTGCGCCGTCGGGGCATCAAGAACCCCTACCGCCTCGTGTGGCAGTCGGCAGTCGGCCCGCTCAGGTGGATGGGTCCCCAGACAGAGTCGGTCATCGAGCAGTACGGCAAAATGGGCTACAAATCGCTAGTGATGGTCCCGATTGCCTTCACATCGGACCATATCGAAACGCTGTTTGAGCTCGATATCGAGTATGGCGAGGTTGCCGAGGAGGTTGGAATTACACAGTTCTTGCGTGCCTGAGGCACTCAACGACCTACCCGCCCTTCATCGATGCCTTGGCAACCATTGTCAAAGAGCACATTGACGCCGGGTTCCCAACCAGCAATCAGCTTCTGCTGCCAGACCCCGGCTTCGAGTCGGAGCAGACAAAGACGACGCGCGAATGGATTGCTGCTCAGGCAAAAAGGCTAGGCAAGCCAGGCAACAGCTGGTAACACAGCGGTGTGAGAAGTCCTCTCTTCACAAGTTTTGAAGTTGCATCTCAAAATGGTTGGTAATTTAGACGAAAACGTGAAACACTAAAAAAGCCGCTAAGCTGCTTGAGCAACAGCCGTCCCCTGAGCGGCCTTTGCCTGCTGCTCCTCGAGCGCCTTCTTGCGTTCAGCGTGCCGGATCCTCCGCCTCTCTTGTCTCAGCAGGCCGAGCTGGTACAGATTGTTGCCAATATCTACAAAAATATTCCAATGTTAGCACACATACTCCAGAGTATCCGCTGTCAGATCAACCTATCTCACACTTTCCACGCCAACAACTTACTGTACTGAACCGGTGGGGCATGGCGTGGGTCCCACAGACAGCTGACGATGAAGTTTAGAATGCTGTGCGGCCAGTACGGGATGGTTGTAAACGAGTCAGTGGCACCGCATCTCAGTCCGAGACGATCGAATGTGCACTGGACGTATGTCTCAGGGGTCGGCACGGACAGCGTTGGGTTGCGGAACCCAGACATCTTTGAGGTCACCCAGAAGCTGAATACATGCGATACTGTGATGCCGTCTGGCTCCAGCTCGATATGCCAGACTCTGCGACCATGGTCTTGACAAAGCCCTTGGTTCCAGCATAGACGGAGAGGAATGGCAAGGAGCGGAGGGCTGCAAACGAACCCATGTTGAGGATCAGGCCCGTCTTACGCTCGCGCAGCTGCGGCACAATTAGCCGAGTCATATTCATCATGGTCGAGATATTGATCCTCAACCATATCGTCGCAGATTGCTGGATCCTCCTCGTCGAAAATAAATGGGATTAGGGTGGCAGAATCCGACATTGTTCACTACATGCGATTTATACCATTAGTTGATGTCTGCACGCGTAGTGGCAAACTATCTCCTGGTAGCGCATACTTAGAATGTTCACTTTGTTCGGAGTTCACCAGCTCGCCGATATCTGCCCACTGCTTCTCAGTACATCTTGAAAAATCCACAGCGTAGCTCCTGGCCATGACACCGCGCTTTTCTAAAGATCCGAGTGCTATTTAGTTGATGCCCAAGCGATGAGGGCAAGCGGACAGGTTGATTCGACTACTTACTTATCTCCAGCTCCATCTCGTCCAGCTTTCGACTGCGTTCTTGATAGAAGGATTATGTTGAACCCCTTGTCAGGCAAGCTGGAGTGCCATCTCTTTTCCAATGCCGTCCGTACATCCGGTAACAACTATCCAAATAGAGAAATAGAGATGCGGTTAGCACATAGCCATCGCTTTTCAACTATGCCCGCATTGCTCTGCGTACTTACCTGCCCAGAACCCCTTGCCAGCTCCAAACTTGTCAAACTATGACCTCAAAGTATGCATGTTAGCTCCAGTAGTTGCATTTCGGTATAACTGACAGTATATGCTGGACACTGTTACTTACCGATATCCCCTGTCGGACAAACAGGTCCATCAATACGTCCAAGCCATGAATGACGTAGTACATTGCCTGCGACCGATCCGTACAGCATCATAATAATCCACAGCGAGCTAATCGATAATACTGTCAGTGTCTATTCTACGCTTAGCATGTGCTCAAACACCCCTGCAAATGTTTCGGCTTACTTGAAAGACTGGTATTTGATGTAAGCATCGGATATGGCTTCCACTGCGGATGTTTCCATGTTTGATTATTCTGATAGTTGAATGTAAGGAAAATACTATATTGGCTGTGTGAAGCACGTCTGGCAAGTGAAGATATGCAAAGATAAAGAGTGTGGATGTAAACGCCGACTATGTGGTTGGCCTAGCCTTGGCAAAGAAGCGTATGGCCGCTGCTCATCTGCCCAGCCATTATGCCCAGATGCCGATGTCCACTACTGCATGCAATTTGTGCCACACACCACTTCAATAGAGAAGAAAGTTAGTGCTATGAAATTCAGTAACCAGCAATACATCTGGGTGCTACTGCGTTTAGAATGGTCAGCCTCGCTCGGCTTGAACACAATCAGGGAAGGGGTTTTCTTGCAGAAAAAGATGATTGGCGGCGGCCCGTTTTGGGCAATTGTCTGTGCGCAGTTCGACGCGCGTCTTTGGCGTCATTCTGGCGTCCCACACTTTTCAATAATTAGCTGCAGCGGGATATCATAGCCATGTCCTGAACGCCCACCTGAGGCTAGCAAGGCTATCCAGTCTTTCCTTTACTAGCTCTGTTTCACTTTTTAGTTATTACAGCTGAAATGTCTGCAGCAAATTCGGGCTGGCCACCCGACAACTATGCAACCATGCAACACCAGAGTGCACCACTGTCGCCGCCCGTTGAGGCACAGTCGGTGCTTGACGTCCAAATTACCAGCATCAGCCCGCATATGGCAGCACCAACCCCAGCCGACTGCGTGCTAAAAACGCCATACAACATTTTCAGCGAGCCGCTGCGACAGGTCCCGATAATCCGGGATATTTGGCTCTACAAAAACAAGGCAGCGAATCTGTCTGCATGTGCACCAAGCGTGGCCCTACATGTACATACGGTACGATGGACCGAGCAGCCTCGACTCTGTGCGCGAGTTTGGATATCAGTTGGGGCTGAGTCTGAACCATGCACTGAATATCTCCTTCAAGAGCGCAAAGCCGCAGATATATGTCGCAGCCGTCATTCCAGTCAAGGGCTGTTCCGTTCTACGGGTACCATGCGGGGTACAGGCCGTTTCTGAAGATCCTGTTGAGCAACCCAGGCGTTATGTCGCGCGCTAGCATGCTGCTGGCGTCGGGCGCTGTCATGAACCAAAAGTTTGACCTGTTTGAGTCACACCTGCCGTACACACTGCAGTTCCTGGTCGACTATAATCTGTTTGGAATGGATTGGGTAAACCTGGCCAATGTTCGGTACCGCTCACCGCTCCCTGTCACCGAAGACACGGAAATGATCTCGGATGCTACTGTTGGCGAAGCGCAGCGGTGGGTTCCGGGTGGAATGCCCCTGTACTTGGTCAATCCGCAGCCACCCCCGCGTATCAGCCGGTGTGAGCTTGAGGCAGATGCAGTAGCTGCGGACATTATCAATCGGCAGCATGTGCCTGAGCGACATGTGCATCATGTGTTCAAGGAAGGCCAGCTGGGTATGCATTTTGGCAAACTAGTGCACTCCCTGAGCCAGGTATGGGCTGACGAAAACCAACGGCGTGCTGTTCACGGCATGAAGATGCAGCAGCAGCATGATAGCCAGGTGTTGGAGCGGAGAAAGGATGCGCCGCAAGTTGAAGCCGCAGCTCAGCGGAATAGACCAGGACTGGAGTGGTCAAACCACTGGCGGATACAGAGTCTGCTGCAAAGCGCGCTAGCAAACGACAGACAGCATGTGGACCACGGGGTGTCGGGCGAGTCACTAGCGATGTGGGAGGATGTCAGTCAGAAATTGAGCGATATTGGAAGCGAGCTTGCCCAGGATAGCTCTTCGATGTATATAGCAAACACGGCGGAAGGAAGCAGCTCGTGGGTTGATTCGTGGCCGACCTGCCGTGAAGTCGATACTGGCGAGGTTCGCCTTATCTCTGCTGCAAGCGAACACAGATCACATTTTTACCTAAACTTTGCTCACAACCTGTCGCCCGGACAGTCCAGCCTAGAAAGCTCTCCGGCGTTTAAACTCGATCCTCAAACCTTCGACGAGTCGCTGTTGCTATCGCAGAGTTCTCAGCCTTCACAAACCCGACCGCTTGTGGACGAGTCAATTATCAGCCAGGGTGTCTCCGACAGTGCTACAAAGGACCACGGCTCAAACTGCTCCGATGTCGATGGCTTGGACGACATGCTTGCAGATGCATTTGTGAGTGCATCGCAGAAGAGTGAGTTTGATGAATTTGGCGACCTCGATGGACTGGACAATTCGTGGATTGAAGGTGAGCTGCAGAAGCTCAATGACTACGAATCTGCTGACGCAGCAAAGCCTATTCCGCAGGTTGACGGTGGGGACGACGACAGCGATGACTTTGTGCCATCAGACAGATCAAGACGCACCACCACTCACTCGAGTGCTCGTCGCAGGCATCGTGTACGTCGTGTCCTTACACCACTTGCCCTGAAGCCATCCCCCAAGATGCCACAGCGTGTCGAGCAGAAGAAGAGCTCGTATAGCAGCGATTTTGATGATCAGTTTGAGGAACTTCAGCGGTCGCTTAATCCACCGAAACGGCACCAGCGCAGTGGCCCGAGTCAGGCATCAGGAACTAAGCCTGTCTGCGAGCCAGACAGCCGGCAAGACACCATCCCAGGCTGTGAAGGCACCCAGTCGGGATGTTGGGAGTGATTTTTATATTGATATTGTTCGGCCATCGCGGAGTGATAGTGGAAGCAAGGAGGTCCACTGTATACCGAGCTCGCCCGAACCAAAAGCTGATGCCATCGGTGACAAGTCACCATATATCGGCAAGAATACCAATGTAAGCACTGGGCAAGAAATACCGGATAGCTCAGGAGCAGCAATAGCCGGAACAGCCGATACACGTAGTCGACAAGAGTCCATCCGGTCAACTATTCTGATATTGGCATGCTAACTGTTGTCGACAAGGCTCCTGCCAGCATCGACGCTCAGTCGCCAGATCCCAGTATTCTATCAAGCGATGATGAGGCACCGGTTGAGCCATCCTGGGACGATACCGTGGTATTCCGGTTTGCAAAGCCATCACCGACTGCTGAACATCTTGCAGCGAGCTTGTCCCGATACAACCTACCTGAAGTAGTCACTCCAATTCCGTTCTTCTCCAAAACGCGGGATCTGCCGAATCGCACAAAGTCGTATGCTGGACAGACGATCAAGTTCGCATCAGCCGATCCGTCGGAGCTGCCTGTGTTTGATCCAGTGCTCGCTCAAGACTTGGACCGATCAAGCATGGAGCAGCAGAGAGCAGCACGAATAGAGCGCCAGCAGCGGCGTCAGCAAATGTGGAGCCCAGCGGCAATAAGCGCAACAAACGCAGCTATGAGCCAACGAGCGCAAAGGAGCTCTGGTATTGCTGACGGATGGTGGGAGTTTGCCATACGACCGCCACATCCGCACACAGCTGTAGCTGGGTACGCATCGGTAAAACACAGCGCTGTGCCATCACAACTGGCTGATTCGGCAGATGCCTTGCATACTCCAGCCAGGAAGCGCCAGCGCGATCAGTCAGACCTGAAGTGGGGCTCAGTGCTGGGAAAGCTCTCTGGGTTCACCAACACACAGTCCATGTCTGTGACGCCTACAATGTCCTCGACGTCACAGCAGCTAAATTGTATTGGGAAACGCGAAAAAGTCCCCATGTCGCAGATGTCGCTCGAGATTATCACTAGCACGCGGGACTGGCTGCTTCCAGACCCCAAGCTCGACTCGGTTCTATGTATGGTTGCGTGTATGGTGACTGACAAACCGCAATGGGATGTATCGCCGTACTCTGGATGCAGGACTGTTGTGTGGACCCACGGTACGTCTAGGCCATTGTCGCGACTCGGGTTTCCGGGCCATGTCGAGCATTTGAACCTGGACGACGAAGTCCAGATGATAACTGAATTCACGCAGTGGGTGTGCACGCATGACCCTGATGTTTTGTGTGGATACGAAGTGCAGAATAGCTCGTGGGGGTATCTGATCGAGCGCGCCGACGTTGTCTATGGCATGCGGCTGAGCAGCGACCTATCACGGATAATCGATCCACCATGGCGCCGCCAGCAGAGCGGATATGGACGCGAGCAAGACTCGTGGAGCTACAAGAAAGGTGCAGCATTGAGCATCGCTGGGCGACATGTACTCAACGTCTGGCGTCTGATGCGCAGCGAGCTCGCGCTGACGTCGTATTCGCTCGAAAAGATCGCTGAGGAAGTCCTGAAAGAGAAAGTTCCGCATTTCACACACAGCAAAATCTCTCAGTGGTTTTTGAATGGGCCAGCGGTGGCTGGGATTCGAGCTATCCGGCATGTCATGTACCGGGCGCGGGCAGATCTGCGGCTGCTGGACACCATGGATATCGTGCAAAGGGCGTCTGAGTTTGCCAGCATCATCGGCATAGACTTTGACTCAGTGATCACTCGTGGATCGCAGCTGCGTGTCGAGTCGCTAATGGCGCGTATTGCACACCCAGAGCTGTATATCCTTTCGTCGCCGACCCGCGAGCAAGTCGCGCAGCAACGGGCTGCCGAATGCGCTCCGCTGGTGCTTGAGCCGCAGAGCCGGTACTACACGGACCCAGTGGTGGTGCTTGACTTCCAGAGTCTCTACCCGAGCATTATGATCGCATACAACTACTGCTTCTCAACGTGCCTTGGCAGTGTCGAGGATGCAGTATCGCAAGCCCCCGGCACCAAGCGACGACTTGGCTTCACCGATGTGCATATCCCGCCCGGCATCCTGTCGAAGCTGCGCGACCATGTCACAATCTCCCCTAACGGCGCTGTGTTTGTCAAGCCCGAGATCCGCAAGGGTCTGCTGGGTCGAATGCTGCAGGAGATCCTTGAGAGCCGGGTGATGCTTAAAAATGCGATGAAGACGTGGAGCGATGATGAGATGCTGTGCAAGAACCTGGATGCACGGCAGCTGGGTCTCAAGCTGATTGCCAACGTCACCTACGGGTACGCAGGCGCGTCATTTTCTGGCCGAATGCCGTGCGTGGAGATTGCCGATGCCATTGTGCAATCTGGGCGCGAGACACTGGAGAGTGCTATCCGGTTCATTCACTCGAAGCACGACGAGTGGGGTGCCCGCGTAGTGTATGGCGATACCGACTCAGTGTTTGTTCATTTCCCAGGGAAGAGCCGGCAGACAGCATTCAAGCTGGGCCACGAGATTGCCCAGGCCGTTACTGCGTTGAATCCGGCGCCGGTCAAGCTCAAGTTTGAGAAAGTGTACCAGCCCTGCGTGCTGTTGACAAAGAAGCGCTATGCCGGCTGGATGTACACGGCGCCAGACCAGACCGACCCGATGCTTGACGTCAAGGGCATGGAGCTGGTGCGGCGCGATGGATGCGTGGCCGCCCAAAAGATCATCGAAGGTACAATGGACCGTCTGTTTGCGACCAACGATCTGTCGCAGGTCAAGTCGTTCATCACCGACGAGATCTCCAAGGTATCGCAGGGCGAGTACCCGATGATGGACTTTTTCATTGCCAAAGAAGTGCGGCTTGGCACATACTCGGCGCAGGTTCTGCCACCACATGCCAAGGTCAGCATGGATGACATGCAGAGTGACGCCAGAGCCGAGCCGCAGTACGGCGAGCGGGTTCCATATGTGGTGGTTGATGGCGGGCCAAATGCCCGGCTGACTGACCAGGTTGTCAGGCCGCTGGCGCTGCTGAACAGGCCAGAACTGCACCTAAACTACCAGTACTACATCAGCAAGCAGATTGTGCCGGCACTCGACCGGGTCCTGGGCCTGGTGGGCATCGATGTCAGGACATGGGTCAATGACATGCCTCGCCACCGGCGCAAGGGGCTGCATGATTCTCTTATCGATGTGTTTCTGGCGACCAAGCCCGACGATGATAATGACGGACTCGACAAGCCTGTCAAAAGGAGGCCGGCACGCCGAACTCTCGACCACTTCTACCACGAACGCTCATGCCTGCTGTGCCGCCAGACCATGCCACACCTGCCGTCGCCGGGTCGCGCCAAGGGGGCCAGTGACAAGCTGCTGCGCGTGTGCGAGGCATGCCTGGACGACAGGCCAGCGCTGATGTCAAGGCTGGCCCGGATCCAGATGGGTATTGACTGGGCGTCGAAGGCGGTATTGGACAGGTGTGTACAGTGTGTTGGTGGCGGGAACCGAGCCGATGTGCTGATGGCCGTTGAGGGCTGTGACAGCCTCGACTGCCCGACGATGTTTGAGCGGCACAAGCTGGCGCGCAGGAACCAGGCGTGGGCTCGGCTCCGCGCTGAGATGGAGAGCCAAGGCATTTAAGCTTCACTGGGCAAAGGCGATTAGCGCAACCCCTTTTCTCGCCAGTTTTCCTCAAACAATTATTTGCACTTTGTACTTTTTTCTGGCAACCCTGAACAACAAAAACGGCGTGTTTCCACCAAAAATAGTCGGCCTGCACGCAGCCCAGATTCTCTTCTATCGACAGCAGCGTGTCTGCTTCCCTGTACAACTGCTTTCTTGTTTTTATTTCGCATTTCCCCTGCACACAGTCACATTCCAACAGCAGCAACCAAATGGTCTCGCTCCCTGCCCTCAACAGACAGCGCCAGGCGCTTCCCCTGGCAGGCAGACTCGAGGCATGCAGCGGCACCGTCGGTAAGTTCCATCAGAGCACCTTGGCGCCCTGTCCACCACGTCTGCACAACCAGTATTACTAATAGCTGCTGACCTATCAATTTCCCTGATGCCCACTGTAGCTCAGTGGTCGCGAAGCACTTGCAACATCCAGAACATGGAGCTGCGGCAGTCACTCCAAGGTCACGAAGGCTGCGTAAATGCACTATGGTAAGCCAAACAAAATTATCCCGGTGGTGTGGGGAGCATGAGACTCGCACTCCAGAAGGTGGCATCCGTATTTTCATTCCAGCCTTGCGGCACACATGCTGCGCCCTCCGAAACTGCTGCTGCCGCTGCCGTTGCTGCTGCTGCTATATGCACTCCACATGCACTCAACTACCAACCGCCCATTGCTACTTTCATTAGTTGGTCGCCCGACGGCCAGTACCTGTTCTCTGGATCGGACGACTCGACGATCTGTATCTGGAGAGCCGCATCCGATGGATCACGCATCTGTAAGATCAAGACTGGGTTTGCCGAGCGCGTATTTGACCTCAAGGTCATGCCTGCGCCCAATGACCACTTGCTCATTGCCTGCTCAATGGACCACAGTATCAAAATATTCGATATCAACCGCATCCTGCTTGCGGCCAGTGGCACAGAAAGCTCGGCGGTCATTGGGCCAGCTGACTTCTGTATCCGCACATTTACTGCGCACTCGAGCCCCGTGAAACGGGCTGCACCGATTCCCGATTCGCCGAATCAGTTTCTGTCTTGTTCTGAGGATGGCACTGCACGGCACTACGATATTCGAGAACCGCCCAGGCGCAGCCTAGGTCACCCCGATGGCAGCCGTATAGTCGCAGACTACCACATGATTCACGCAGAGCTGCATGCACTGGACGTGAACCCATTCTACACCCACAGCTTTGCCGTCGGCGGCACAATGCTTTCGATCATGGTCCATGACCTGCGCATGCCGCGGGTGTCATCCACGCCACAGAGAAGATGCGACTCGTGTGGTCAAGACGTTGCCAGTAGCGGCTGCGTCGTGAGGCTGCGGCGTGGTCGCGCCAAGGACAGGCGAGAGGTTTTTGAAAAGGCGACACAGAACCCTGTCACTGGGCTGAGATTTTCGAGGGATGTGCCAAACCAGATCATTGGCAGCTGGTGCTACGACTACGTGTACTTGTTTGATCTGAACCAATCGCAGACATACATGCACAGCTTGGCCGCCAGGGAGACATCGCTCCCCAGCAAGGTGTCTGGAGACAGCGGGCTCGGGAGTAGTAGTCGGCCTGTGTTGCCAAACGTAAAGCGTGTCCGCTCTGGAAATAGCGACACTTTGGGAGTTGTGTCATCGAAGCAGGAAGGCGGCAGCAGGTGGCCGGGGTCAGAGACTGACAGTAGCACAGCGTCTAGTCTGGACCACTCGAAGGTCGATAGGCGCCGACAGGACTCAGCATTTGCCAACTCGGAATGGAGCCCTATGGCAGCTTCAAGGAACATGGCTATCGCCGACACCACTTCAGAAGACATTGCTAGCTCTGTACAACAAAGTACACCGTCGTTCGGCATACGCGTCATAAGCCAGGACGAAGCGCCATACTTGTTTGAGAGCCACAGCGACACGGATGCCTATCCCGCCAGTACTGCGGAGAGCAGCGATAACTCTGCAAGTAGCTCATACAAGCAGAGTAGGCCATGGATGATGCATAGTGAGCACCATGAGTACACTCCATCGTGCGACAAATGCGTCAAGAACGGCGGTCGACAGGAGCATGCCAAACACAGCCTCAGGGCAGCTCTGGATGGTGGCCAGCGTGGCATGAGGTGGGCACTGTCGCCAGATGAAAAGGACCAGATCAACCGATATATGTATCAGTTCGCTGATCTCCTCGATGACGGTGAGTACAAGGAAGCCATTGGCATCATGTCGCTGTTTATTCGTGGCTTTGAGGGTGGCAGCTTTACCTACAGTGCCGATCTGCCCACCTTGTTGGAATCCGCCGACAATATGAAGAGCGAGCAAAAAATAGTCGACACCTGGAAGGACCTCTACATGGACGACGATATGGACCGCCGCCGCGTCTTCGCCATCGGCCACACCAACCGTGCCGCTATGAACATGTTTGTTTACCGTTGCCGATGGCTCCACCGCTTCCAGGTATACCTGCTGCGTGATCTGCGCCAGTTGAGCATCGGCCAGCTCCAGACGATCCGGCAGGACTTTGAGCTCATTCGAAGTGATTTGGAGTGGGCGCGTCGCGACTGCGAGATGGCATTGCAGCTCAACCCGTTTAGCATCCTTGCTCACTCGCATATGCTCAACATCGAGTGGGAGATGTACCGCTCAGACGTGCTAATGTTCATCCTGGAGCTGATACCAACGGTTGACGATTTCTTCCGCACTGAATCATCGCCACCGTATTGGGATGACGACAATGTGCCGGTCCGGAGCCGCCTGCGTGCAGAGTTTGGCAACATGCCCCAGCGACTCCATGAGCTGTGTCAACGGACAAGCCGCTCGTTCAAGCGCATGCGGGCCGAGTGCGAGCAGATCGGTGGGCTCGCGTTCCATCTCGGAATCACTGATGACAAACCGAACATATCCTTCGATTCTATCTGGTGCCGGTTGCGCTATGTCAACCGCCGGTTCTATGGGATGCCATCGGCAACTGTCCTCGCTGTGCACCAAGACAGCACCAATCTGGAAGCCCGGTTGGATAATGCTGGCTGGATGCTTGACGAGGGCGTGGTTGAGGATATCGATAGTACCGAGGGCATGGTAGTGTTGGCGCATCTTGCCAAATACTGGGTGTCGCTGAACGCTGAGTCGATAAGCACCAGCAATACGCTGGTCGACGACCCAAGCTCTTTGGCCGGCATGTTCTTGTGCAATGCCCAAGATGACCTCGGTCACCATCCATTCGACCCAGGCATGTACTACTTGGACAAGTTCGTCGAAGGAAATTTTGATTGTCAGACGCTTCCAGCGATCGGCCCAAAGAAACTTGATGAGAATCTCCAGTACGCTGGCTCGTTCTCCGACGACGGGGAAGAAGTCGGCCACGTCTACAGCTCGAGTGGGCTGCTGGTTAAAGACCTTCACGCACCATCGGCCCATGCGGCTCACAAGGCACCACGCCCCCCGCCCTTCTCTATCAGCATGCGTGTTGAGAGTGGGCGCGACAGGAGTGACAGCAGCAGCTCTGCATGCAGCGTCAGCCACGGAGATACGTACGCTACCACGGGCAGTGGCAGCGAAGCCAGCTCAAGCGACATGAGCTCCAGCGACATGAGCTCTACCAGCACTGACTCGAGCGAAGACGATGACAGCAGTGATATGGAATTCAGCGACCAGAGCGAATCGGCATCATCGCTATTCAGCGATACAGACTGGCCACGTCCCACAGTCGAATTTATCCCTGGTCGCGACATGGCGATAAACGACCGTGAGGCAAGCTCTCAGACGGGATCACGCACAAACACCCGGCCAGAACTAGACTCCTCCGCCGAACCAACGCCGATCGTCCAGCCGCATATGTGCTACAAGGGCCATTGCAACTTCCAGACGATCAAGGACGTAAACTTTGTCTTTGACAAGTACATTGCGTCTGGCTCCGACGACGGCCGCATGTTCATCTGGGACCGGCAGTCCATGGAGATAGTGCAGATTATCCGTGGCGACAACGAAGTCGTCAACATCATCGAGTCCCACCCAACACTGCCGCTCATCGCGGTGTCGGGAATCGACTGCGAGGTCCACATCTTCAGCATCAACCAAGGCGGTCCATCGCCTATCCATCGCCAGACCTTTCCCCTGGTCCGCCGCGAGCACCTTGCCCTGGTCAGCATCACCAATGGCACCTCCAAGTACATCGACGATATCTATGCGTGCGACCCGTACGCGCAGGATCTCGCCTACTCTGGCCACTCGCTTTGGCCGTCTGACGCCATCTATGATGCGGTTGCAAAGCAGGTGTCGTACACATTCCCGGCTGTCAGTGAAAGCGAGCTCGCCAACAAAACCCAGATCGTGTTTGCGAACCAGGAGCTGCGGCAGAACGGTATCACCAACGCCTCGCTGACTCACCGGCTGATGAGCAACATCTTCTTCAACGCCATGCTTGGATCGCGTCGTATAGCTAACGACGACACGTCAGAGCAAAGCGACGACGATATGGACGAGGACTATGATAGCGACATGGATGGCTTTAGCGATGGGTTCATTAGAGAGGCCCAAGCCAGTACCTTTTTCGGTAGCAGTTTCTAGCGTGTATACAACAGGGCAGTGATTCTATTGCACATGAATAAAATGGAGGTTGCTTGGCATTCCCAATATTCAGTCGCTGCGGATAAGAGCTGCGAGCCTGTCTGTGTCAACTTCGATGTCAGCGATGCCCTTTGCTACGCACGACACAGTGCTGTTCCACTCGGTCTTTGCCTGCGGGATTGCGTTGTTTGACAGACGCGACGACAGCGCCTCGTACTTGTTCATGACATCCGGCTTGCTCTCCTTCCACGATGGCATGGTCTAAAACAGGTATGGTATTCCCATGGTTTAGTATGTTGTCTCGCGCCCTGGCTGGGGGTGCAATTGCAAGTCACGGCATCATACCTGCTTCTGGCCTGTCGAGGCTTCCCTCAAAACAGCCGCGGCCTTTTGCAGCTTGTAGTTCATGACATGGCTCTGCTCTGTGAAATGCGAGGTGAAGGTGTACACTGCTGCCGAGCCGACCACGAGTCCCGAAGTGAATGTCGCGAGAACGTTTGCCATTTTATGAGAATTTCTGTTGTGGAGGAGTGGAAATTAGCGCGGAGAGCAGAAATGCATTTCTCCACAAAATTCGAACCAAATAGGAGTGCAATCCACTTATCGCTGATCCGCAGAGTTAATCCGGCTGCCATCATCGGATTCAACGTAGATGCACCTAGTGATGGCTTGTCGACATCAGACCGCCACTACATGCTGCTGGCTAATGTGGTCTTCAGAGTTTACAACCAACGGGTTTGCCAGCAGCAACAAAGGTATATTGCGGTTGTAGAGTGCTTTGGTGAGAATGTATTCATATCGGCTCAAACCAGAAAAGCTATAGAGTACCAGAACCAGCACGCTCAAGGTGATGCATGAGGTTTGCATGGTGCCTTGTTTCTTCCACGTCAGCTCGAGCAATAAATGTATCTGGTGTAAACATGGAGCAGCCACTTCGTTTGTCCTCTAGCCAGTTGGTTTGTACCCGCTGAATACTGGGACAGAGCACGATGAGAATGGCAACCATCTTCGAACTAGCTATCGGCTCACTGTCGTCATATGCTTTGTTCAAAATGGTCAGAGTAGTGGACAGAGGGTAGCACTCTGTATAGATCTCATCCATGAAATCCATTTCTGAGTAGACAATGTCTAAATGGTCGAACAGGAACTCACAAAGGAGATCGTTACAGCTGCAGCCACCGTTGTAATACCGGTCATAGCTATCTCTTGAATTGCCGCTGCCTATGTCGCTGGTATTTTCCAAGCCATCATCTGTTTCTGTATCCACCGGTCCTTCTGTACCACCACTGGACAGATCGTCCAATCCCCAGCTATGGCGGCACTTGCCAATGCACCTGCTATGCGTCTGGTCAGCGCTACGCAGCCCATCGGTGATCTCGATTCCAGTTGCCATCCGTCGTAAAAAGGGCAATACCTTTATCAGCTGAACAGTCCACCGGAGAGTGAATCGAATGGTCGGGATGTCGAGGATGGTGATATTATGCCCAAAGCTATCAATCGAAATCCCCAGTTGGTCGAAATCGCAGTAAGCTGAGACGCTTTTAATGATCTGAGCTTTTGCGCCCAAGAGGAGGACCGACCTGGTATCCTCATTGAGGGTGACATCCGCATCACCAAGCGATATCCGTGTATTGAGATATTCCAGTACGGGGAACCGGCTAGCGCTAAAAACACTGTGCCTGTTTAAGACTGAGACAGATCGTGTGTCCAAATCAAGCTTTAGGCTTGCAAGCGATTTACTGTTTCCCTTGAAGAGTATATCGTTGCTGAACGGGTAGACCTGTTCACACTCAAGCTTCTCCAGGGCTGGAAAGGGGGCGCCATCTGGCGAATCAAGGAATATAGAACCACCAGGGACAAGGTATGAGCTAAAGGATATCTGAAGGGACCGAACGCGTGGGTACACTATTGGTGTATTGTCGTCAGAGCAAATGGTTTTGGTAAACACCTTGTGTGAGTCGCTAGAGATACCAATATACTCAAGCGAGGGTGCGTTGCGGTGGATCATCTCGATAGCTGGTGAATCTGTGCTCAGGATGTTGAGTGATAGGCTGCGTATGTCGGTTCTGCTGAAAGGGATAATATTGAGATTCGGTTGCCACGGTTCGCGGAAATCGATTGAGGCTGCTTGTGAACACAAGCCTGAAAGCAGAGCACGAATGAACGAACTGCACGGAAGATCCGTGGAAGCAGAGCAATCGGATAGCATGATGCTTCTCATGTTGGGAAGCATCCGTCGTATCTCGCTGCAGAACTTCTCTGCATGCAGGGTCTCGTTAAATTTGGTACTGGCTAGCTTTCTATCCCAATCATCAAAGGATATAACAAGAATAATCATGTTGGGAAAAACCTGATTGAGGGGAGGGTTCATGAACATCAGATTCGCTGTGCCGTCTATGATACCGCTAATATTCCAATGGAGCTCTAATTTCTTCACGCGCATGATATCCCCAGCAGACATTTGCCCCTTCAGTTCGCATGTCAGTGGGCGCTCACAGCAATCGATCATCTCACGATGACAATAATCATCCATGCCACACCACTAGTTGCCTTTGTAAAGCTTATCTAGTGCAGCCTCTCGCCACCAACGGCAGGTAGCAAGTAGGACAGCGATGCGAATATAGGGTTTGCAGAAGCAAGCACCAATGGTGGGATCATCGGGAATGATATCGCCGACGTACACATCTACAATCCTCTCGAGGATAAGCGTAGGCAGATTCTGAGCGAGCGAAGGCATGCCGCAAAATAGGTAGTAGCAGTTGCTGGAAGAAACTGAGAGAAATAATTTCGGAGGTTCAGAAAATAAATAGACAGCTGCAGTGGTCCTGAGCATTGAAGTAAGGTCGGGCCACTAACCACCAAAGCGATCGTCCATTTTCATGCTGCGGTTCCAAGGCTGAAATCAGACCTACCGCTTTGCGGTATGGTAGTTATTCCGCAACTAGGCATATATTCCGCCCAACTACTCATTCAGGCTCCTCTTGGTCACTGCTACTTGCGGACAAAATGTCAGGCACAGCCAGACTGCTTACTGCTAGAACTTTGTTATTTATTGAGCACACATCCACTGGTGGTTTCCAGCATATGCAGACTGTAGCGCGACTAAATGCGCTGAATAGTAGACTTTGCCAGTTTCCCCTGCTCCTCGAGTTTGTCAACAATGGTGGTGATGCCATCGTCACAAGCCATGCGCAGTGTTTCGACTGTAGCTGGGATATCCATGTGCAGGGTACCGTGGCTGGCTCTAGCCGCCTTGACTGCCTCCCGCAGCCCAAAGAACACTGACGAGCCAAGGAACAGGGGCGGCTCGCCCACAGCTCGTGACGAATGGATGTTGTTCAGATGCTTGTACTCGACGCCCTCCAGAATCGCCACACGGAAATCGCGCGGGATGTCCATGCATGTGGGCACCCGGTACAGACCCAGGCGGTTAGTGCTCAGGGCACCACTGGAAGTGTCAAGCATCAGCTCTTCGGTCGTGCACCATCCAACGCCCTGCATGAATGCGCCTTCAATCTGCCCAATATCCACTGCCTTGTTGAGCGAGCGACCGACATCCATGAGTATGTCGACACGGTGGGCAGTGTGGGCTCCGGTCAATGTATCCAGCTCCACCTCGGCAATCGCCACGCCCTGTGTGTAGTAGAGGTAGTTGAAACCACGCTTGTTGGCAAAATCCTCGGGGATCATGTCAATGTTGAAGAATGCCCGCTCAGACAGGTCGACCTGGTCAGTGAATGCGGCTCTGACCGCAGCTGGGAAGTCACTGTTAGGCATGGGTTCGCGATATGGCTGTAGACGGCTGGCCAAGGCTTTACACGCCTTCAGAACAGCGCCACCATTGAGGTCTGTCGAAATCGATGCACCTGTTGGTGTTGAGTTTGCGAGAACTTCGGTAGATGAGCCGGGTATATATACTGAGCTCAGCGGTACACCTAGGGCATCCGCTGCAATCATGGCGATCTTGGTGTGCAGTCCCTGACCCATTTCCACGCCATGGTGGTGCACCATGACACTGCCATCGAGGTGTATGTGCACCAGCGCTGCTGCTTCGAGCATCTCGCGGCTACCAATAGTAATGCCATGCTTGGTTGGGACCAGCGCAATACCTCGCTTTCTGAACATCGACTGCTTGTTGTACTCGTCGACAGCAACCTTGCGCTTCGCGTACTCGGCCGACTGCTGGATCTCTTCAAACATTTGTGGCACCGTCCAGTCATGAATGTGATAGCTTGATGGACTCAGCTCGCCCTCCTTGTACAGATTGATTCGGCGGAGCAAGTCGGCATCCATGCCCAGGCTCTCAGCGACCTCGCGCATCATCGACTCGACAATAAACTCGCCTTGGCATGCACCGAATCCCCTGAATGCTGTTGTACTGGCAATGTTTGTCTTGCACACCCGCCCGACAAAATGAGCACTCGGACTGTAATAGCAACCATCGAGCGACGATAGGCAGTTGTTCATGACTGGGACTGAGCAGTCATGCGAATGTCCGCCATTGCTGAACACCTCGACCCTGCGTCCGATGATACGGCCATCCTGCATTACACCGACCTTCCATTTGCCTAGGAATGGGTGCCGCTGGCCTGTAATTCGCATGTCTTGATCGCGACGGAATACTAGACGGCTGGGCTTCCTTGTGCCTTGCGCTACAACAGCAGCAACTGATGCAAAGAGCGGGGGTGGCATATCCTTGCCTCCAAACGCTCCACCAAGACGCTTGGCACGGCAATAGACTCGATTGGCTGGAATACCAAGCGTTTTGGCAACAGTTGCCTGACAGTTATGCGGCGACTGGGATGTAGCAAAAACATCGTACTCGTCATCCTCGCCCTTTGGGACAACTAGGAACGCTTGCGGCTCCATATACAGATGCTCCTGAGCGCCGCACCGCGCCTCTCCTTCGAATACATAATCAGCGCTGGCAAACGCAGCCTCGACGTCCCCACACTCAATCTCGCTGACTTCCTCAAAGAACGACTCTTGTTCGATGGCCTGGTCGATCGAGTAGATTGCAGGGAGGTCCTCGTACTCGATCACAACAGCGTCTGCGGCGCGTCTAGCAGTCTCGCGGTCTTTGGCGGCAACAGCGGCAACAATCTGGCCATGGAAATGCACTTCCTTAGATGGGAGGATTTCCTCGTCCTGCCAAAGGTTCCAGACATTTTTGCCAGGTATGTCAGAGGCAGTGAACAGCTTGGGATAGACACCCTCCATGCCCAGTGCCTGTGATGGGTCAATCGACAGGATCCGGGCGTGCGAGCGTGTCGACAGCACCAAGCCAACAGAGAGCTCGCCGTGGACTGGCGGCATGTCGTCAATATATACTGCCTGTCCAGTTGTGTGCTTGAGCGCCGATAGGTGCGGCTCGCCCTTACCGATGATCGCCTTCTCCTCAACTGGTGCAAATGCCTGTTCTGAGATCATCGACTTGGGCTGCGTGTACGCCAGATAGTCGTCTGGAATGCGTGGTCCGAGCCCATGGTCGATGCCAAATTCCTTGCACGATGCCATCCAGAACTGATACAGCAGGCTGGCAGCAAGTGATACGCGGTACTTGGGCCTGTCGACATTGTCAGCTAATGCTGATGCGGCCTCTTGTGCACACGTCTCAAGCAGTGTGCTGTTGATAAAGCCGCTGTCTGACCAGTCCGCTCCATGAGCCAAGCTAGCTGTCTCCTGGGCGACAAAATATGTTCGGTCAAGTCCAGCAAACACAAAGCTTGCATCCAGAACCCTGAATGTAACTGGGTCGATGCTCACACGCATGCCACAGCTCACGATTGTTGAGTCGTTGGCCTTGCGCATCGACTGCTTCTGCGAGTGAACAAACACCAGTGCACCACTTGCCGCTGAAGGCAAGTTCAGTGGGATGTGTATGTGCATGATGATCTCGCCATCAGCTAGACCAACACCATCATGCAGGTATCTATCCAGACTGACTGTGCGTTGCACTCCCGAAACAGCGTGCTGTAGGCTAACCGCTGCGTGTAGAATGAGCAGCACAGGGATAAGATCTGATGAGGAGGGTATGGTGGCAATGTGGCCACCCACAGTTGCCGCATTGCGCACATGCGGGTTGCCAATACGTGCCAGGCAGTCGCGCAGAGCACCAAGTCTGCTAATGGTCTGGGCTTTTTGCAGCAGTTGCGCCAGCGTGACACATCCACCAATAACCAGCTCGTGTCCCTCGTCAGAAAGATGTAGTTCCTGCAGCTCCACAATGTCGCCAATGTACACATGTGGCCTCCTCACCAGGTCCGCATAGCTCTGGAGGCGGAATGCGGTGTTTCCAGCAACAAGTGCCGCGTGATGGTGCTTGGAGAATATGTCTTGCACGCCCGCCATTGACATAGGCCGATATACAGGCGCTATGCTAGAGGCCGATGCAAGGCGCAAATGCCCCATGCACTGCTCTGCATCGCCGTCAATCTGTGCTTTGGCGTAGCGGACAAGCGCCGGAGGGAAAATGAGCTCCTGAGATGCGTCATACCTTCGGAACTGGTTTTTTGTTTCACACGGGGCAGCATCCTGCCCAGCCTTGAGCTTGCAGCAATCAACCCTGCCACAGCCAGCACCGTCCTGGTTCCAGCGGTTGTCGCGCGCCAGCGTCTTTGCCGCATCCAGGATAGGGCGGTAGCCAGTGCAGCGGCACAGGTTCCCAGCCAGGCATTCCTCGATCTCGGCCTCGGTGGGCAGCTCGTGCGGGTTGTTCCTGAGCAGAGCGTAGAGCGACATTGAGAACCCAGGCGAGCAGAAACCGCACTGCGTGCCGTGCAACAGGGCGATGCGTTCCTGCACTGGGTGCGGGTAGGTCGGCGAGCCAATACCCTCGATTGTGGTGACATGCTTGCCATCCAGCGCATACAGCGGTGTCAAGCAGCTGTTGATGGCCAGGTGCTCGACCTTGTTCTCGACGGTGTCAAACTTTGACAGCATGATGGTACAGGCACTGCACACACCCTCATTACAGCCCAGCTTTGTGCCGGTCAGTCCCTCGCTGCGTAGATAGTTGGCCAGCGACATCGCCATGTCCATGGAGCCTGACTGGATGATGCGGCGCTCGCCGTTGACGTAAAAGAGAAGGCTCTCGCGATACTTGTTCATGTCTTGAAAAAAAGGCGATTTTTAGAAATAAAACGACTGCACTAGAAGAGGAATTGGTGTTTACTAACAAGTCACTACTTGCTGCGGCCGGTCTTAAAGGAAACTTGTTGCCTTTGTCAGTATACGGCACAGACGAGGATTAATATGTGGAATTAGCCACTCAGGAGCGCCGTATATTCCTATCTCTGCATCTCAGAGATCATCTACACGCTGATGATACGGGAAATTAGGCTGCCTGACGACTTCATTGGCCAGCAACTTTGATACAGGGCCCATATCAACCCCCAGGTACTTTGACATGTAGTCGCTGATTTGCACGTTCTCATAGCTGCCGCGCAAATCGCTCGTGCCAGCTCCATATGCGTAAAGTCCAACATCGCCTCCAGTGTGCCCTCCAGTGGTCCAGCCAATGTGTGCGCGGGCAGATACGGCCTGGCCAATGAACCGACGGCATATTTGCGAATCCATACTTGATGCCCTGACGATACTCAGTATCTCTTCCTGAGAAGCATCGTTGATGCCCATGAGGTAGGGAAACACGATACCAGAGACAAATTCCACGCGGTTCTGTACCGGAACATGCTTCATATCGGAACATATCGATGCTGCTGACCGCTTTACGGGGGCAAGAGCCCGTGGATACCACGCATAGTCCGGGTCTATTCCTAGTGTCAGCCCGCCGGTCTCATGGTCCGAGGTGGCCACCATGGCGGTGTCGGGATGCATATCGATGAATTTGTGCACTGCGGTGACAGTCTCCCAGTAAGCAACGATCTCGTGCAGGTGAGTAGCAGGGTCGTTGTCGTGGGCAGCCATGTCGATACGCGCGCCTTCGATCATGACAAAGAACCCAGGGCCATTCTGGCTGTTGCTGTTTAGCACATTGAGCCCTTTGTAAACCATTTCGGACAACGAGGGCTCTTGGTCTGCACTGCGGTCAATTTCATACGACATGTGCTCGCTGGCGAACAGACCCATCAGTGGTAGCTTGGTGGTGTTGACATTGAGCGAGTCAAATTCAGCTTTGCTGGATATCTGTGTGTATCCATTGCTTCTGGCTATGCCCCACACATCTATATCATCCGTGCGGCAACTCCCGGCATCGGTGCTGGGCAGGAACAGGCACTTGCCGCCACCGAACAACAGGTCGACCTTGTTCTGGATTGTGTTGTTACCGATCTCTTGCAACGCAACCAGCTCCTCCATGTTGCGATTGACAACATGTGCAGCAAAAGCGGCAGGTGTCGCGTGGGTGATACGGGCCGTTGTGATCAAACCAGTCTTGTAGCCCTTCGCCTTTGCGGCCTCGAGCACAGTTCCGCATGGCTTGCTGTCTGTAGTTATGCCAACAGCGCCGTTAAAACTCTTGACCCCACATGAGAATGCCGTCGCAGCAGCAGCAGAGTCGGTTACAAACGAGCTGTTGGAGCTTGTGCGTGTGGAGCCGACCAGCAACCCGTCAAGAACGCTGACCCAGCTGTTTTCAATGCCGTTTTCAGACCGAATAAAGTCGCGTGCGAGTGTCTCTGACGATGTGCCAAACCCATCGGATATCATGAAGATAAGATTACGACGCGGTGGCAGAGGGGCTGCGAGTATAGCTGACTGCAGGAGTACAGCAGTGAAGATGGTAGGAATAATCATAAAATGTAAACATGCCAAGGGACCATGCTGTCCAACAAAGCAGGTTTCTGGCCGCCTGCTTATGTACTACCCCGCACATGGCAAAATAAAAGAATGTGTCCAGCACTCCACATATGATGGAGATTAAAGGGGTTGCCCGCACTCTAGAGTTAACACCCCGTAGTTGGGACAAGTCATTGCAAATAGCACAGACTGTAAATGTAGCCCAAGCGATTGGTATTTGAGCAGTTCGCAGGCCCTTTGCATGGTGCAGAGATAGGCCTGCTGGGCTAGCCAGCTAGTTACTGCTCATCCATAGACCGTGCTACTACTACTTTTGAGTGTATAATTAGACACGATAAAGCAATACCGTTTTGTAAAAGAAAAATCATACTGTCTAATATACGTGCCACAATTTGGAGAGCAAACATGTGCTACAGCATCACTGCTAAGTAATTCTAGGGGAAAATGATATGTAAAAAGACATAGAACTGTTCACATTTAGAAAGTTTTGTACATGCATGCACTGGTGTTTACTCAGTTGCAGTATACGCCGGTGCTAGCAGCGTTGTTGTAGCACTTGAGACCGCCTTGGCAAGCAGCGTTCTTGAACTGGCCACTCCAGCTCTCACACTGCAGGTAATCGCCAGTCTGGCCAGCAGAGACGCACTTGGCAGTGTTTCCAGCGCATTGGCCAGCGCCAGCGTTGCCACCAGTGCCAGGCATGCCGCACATGGTAGTGCCAGGCTTGTTCGGATTAGCATAGCACACCTGGCCATTGGCGCATGTCTGTGTCTGCCACGTTCCACTCCAGTTATCGCATTGCCAGTAGGTAGCTGAAACACCGTCAGCTCCGTTCGGGCACTTTGACTCATTTCCATTGCACTGGCGGGCATTGGTGTTGCCGCTGTTCGGCGCCTGGTTCCTCTTCTGGGTGCTGGCGCCAGGGAATCCACACATGGCGGTTCCAGGCTTGTTCGGGTTGGCGTAGCAGACCTGGCCGGTGACGCAGCTCTGTGTCTGCCAGGTGCCGCTCCAGCTGTCGCACTGGAGATAGGTTGAAGAGACACCATCGACACCGTTGGGGCACATCGACTGGTTGCCAGAGCAGTCAGCAGCGCTGGCCATGAAGCCGAGAGAGGAGGCGATCAGAAGGAGAGTAGCAGTGTAGCGAGCCATTTCTGTGTTGCTGTGTTGCTGTAGTAGAAGAAAAGAGTGCTTTGTGTTGTTGATGATGCGTGAGTCGCAAACTGCATATACAGATGTGGTTCTTTTATACAAGACGGTAACCAGGCATGGTGAGCAATATCTGGGTTTCAAATATGCAGGAAAGCACGCACTGGCATCTTGGACAGCCGTGCTCAGAGCCATTTTTAGATCATTCAGGCACTGTCTATTTTTGCCACGCAACAATTGGCCGTGACACCTGGTAGTCAGAGCAGAACAAGGCAAAAATCAGCTCAGGAGCCATAGCGGGGACATCTGGAAAACGCCCTGCTGCAAATCAGACAGCCCTGCAGGTCCCCCTGAAATTGCGTGGTTAAGGAGCTCCTCGCCGGGGTGTCTATGCGGCCATGGTTTCTGATATCTTTTGCAGCTGGAATATTTTTAGAATTACTCGCGACGCACCCACCGTTGACCTGCCATCCACTTACAAGCTGAGTCTAATAAAAAGAGAATAATACACCGCAGAATGGACAGTGTGGGCGAAAGCGGTGTCCATCACACTATTTCCACATGTGCGCAATACTCAGGACAGCTGCAGTCGAGTGCATATCAGTATGCTGGAGCACCTGGGCTGTGCCTATGTATTCCTACTGTTACATTAGGTGCTTGATCTGGCCACAAGTGATGTAGATGATATTTGCGAACCCCGAATCATCCACTTGGACATGTGTTTCGCTACCTCTTTATGCGGCCCCATGCACACGTGAGAACGGCTCTCAGGTGAAGGATTGCCGCCTACGGCCATTACCACTCGTCGACGGCGTCCCCTGCTCCGAATTGGCCAGGATCTCGCAGATTCCATATCTCATCTCAAGGAGCACAAACTTCCCCTGGTTTTTCTTCCCACCATTCTTTTACCACTTGACCCTTATCACATATTTTGCTCCTCTCTTAGTGCACACTCAGGTTTACTGTGTCGGTAAAGATGACCCAAGACACGCCGAGTTTCCCCGTCAAGGTCGCCATTGTTGGCTGCGGCAACCGCGGCAATATCTACAGCACCTACGCGCAGCAATCGTCGCGGATGCAGGTGGTCCAGCTGGCCGACCGCTCGCCCGCACGCCTGAATTCGCTTGCCAAGAAGCTTTCTCTGGACGACTCGTCCTGCTACTCATCATGGGAGGACCTGCTGAATGCACCCAAGATTGCCGACGCCGTGCTCATCTGCGTTCTCGACCGCCTGCACAAGGAGGTGGCAGTAGCATTTGCCAACAAGGGCTATCACATTCTCTTGGAGAAGCCCATGGCAACCGAAATCGACGACTGCAAGGAGGTGTACGAGGCCGTGCGCCGCAACAACGTTATACTAGGCATCTGCCATGTGCTGAGGTACACAGCCTATAACCAGAAGATTAAGGAAATCATCGACTCGGGTGCCCTGGGCGATATCGCCGGGATCCAGCACATGGAGCCAGTCGGACACTACCACTTTGCGCACTCGTTTGTGCGTGGCAACTGGCGCAAGGAGGCTGAGACCTCGTTTGCACTGATGTCCAAGAGCTGCCACGACATTGATATCCTGCTGTATTTCCTCGGCGACAAGGCTCAGTGCACCAAGGTGTCGTCGTTCGGCGGGCTGTCTCACTTTACCAAGGACAAGAAGCCGGCAGAGGCACAGGGTGCCACCAAGTGCCTGGACTGCCCGCACGAGCAGAACTGCGCGTACTCGGCCAAGAAGATCTATCTCGAGCCCACTGAGAAGGGACATACTGGGTGGCCGGTTGATGTCATTACCGATATCGTCGACATTGAAAACGTCCACGAAGCCCTAGCTACTGGCCCCTACGGCCGGTGTGTGTACGAGTGCGACAACGACGTGTGCGACAACCAAGTGGTGAATATGGAATTCGCTGGCAACAAGTACGTCTCGTTCTCCATGGTTGCGTTCACCGAGGAGATTTGTGTGCGCAAGACACGCATCTTTGGCTCCAAGGGCGAGTTGGTAGGCGACGGCAACCAGTCGATCGAAGTCTACGACTTTTTGACTGGGCAAAAGACCAAGCACACGCCCCAGCTGGTCTCTGGCAGCCTGGCTGGCCACGGAGGTGGTGACATGGGCATGATCACGGCGTTTGTCAGCGCGGTTGCATACAACGACCAGAGCTTCCTGTCATCCGACGCCTGGAGCTCGCTTGATTCGTGCGTTGTTGTCTTTGCCGCCGAGGAAGCACGCCGGCAGGGGAAGGTGGTCAACCTGGACGAGTTCCGCAAGCAACACAACATCACTAACATTTGAGGGCGATATATCGGCCATTTTAACGGATTTTTTTCATGGGGTCAGCCACGCGATACATGATATACCAATAGCATTTAGCCTTCTACAACATGAGTTCCAGGTGATGTGCCGTTTATAGCACGTGCTGGATTTATTATAGGTATGGATGTCAAAATTACAGGATGGTGTGCACGATTAGGCAACGGCTACGGCTTGCGATGAGCGGGGACACCGACCTTATTGGTACAGCAGCAGGCGGCATCACCGACCCGCCGATCATCTGGCGCTGGTTGCGGACTGGTGCCATTGATGCCGCAAACACAAATGGCCAGTCAGGGAACTTGGTCTTGAAGATGACATGCTCGAACCCACGCACTTCGTGCCATACAGAGGCCGACTTGGGGCGCGGCGGAATGCATGTGTCCCTGAACGAGCATGTTTGCAAAGTTGACGGCACATTTGCGCACAGCCGGGTTGCACGGCTCGTTGCGCCACCAGATGAACACATCGGCCCATGTGTCGAGCACTACGACGCCGCCCATGGGCACCTTCAGCAGGGTGGCCGCCTGCACATCCGATCCTACGCTGAGGATGGTTGCTGGCGGCACGGCTTCCCAGAACCCGTACAGAACCTTGCGTCGCTCCAGGGCACGCTCAAAGTCAGCGTCGTCGCCGGCCCGACTCGTCGGCGTGATCTGCGAGTACAGCGACGGAACAGTGACCGACCCCATGCCGCGGCTATCGATTGAATTCAGGCGCGTGAAGAACTTGCGCCGCGCGCTGTCGGATGCTGTCGACTCGTCAATGATAACCACTGCGGCCTTTCCGAGCAGCTCGCGGTCGCGGATCTCCATGGCAACGCGGGTGATGGCATCGCGCTTGATTGCTGCTGCGTGGGCGCCGATCCACACATAAATAACCCGCGATGCCATGGCACAGATCGACTTGCGTCGGTTGTACTCCTGGGCAAGCAGGGGCTCGGCGTTGCGCTGCGAGTTCCGACGCGACTTGGCTAGCGACGTGTGTCCCTCTTCGTCGGCAAGCGGGAACGAGACCATGGAAGTCAGCGCAGTCTGGCTGAGTTTGCGGAACAGGCACGGGTAGAGTAGGAACGCGTCCTTGTGGTTGAGCGACGAGATGCTGGTCGGCACTGTGACGACATGCAGGTTCACCATACCCTTGCACTTTAGCAGCGTCCACTGAACATCTGTCCCGCCATCATCGGTTGGTTCCAGAGGCGGGGTCAGCGGCTCCTTCGGCAGGGCCATGGGTGCCTCTGGCTCCGCCTTCTTAGCCGGCAGAGTGTTGCTACGCAAGATGGAGCGCGGACTGGGGCTCGGGCGAGACGGTAGCAGGTCTGCATGCGCGGGCTCAGTGTCGGTGACCGCTTTAGTGATAGGGGCCTCAGGGTCGGCGATGTCGCACTCTTGGACAGCGTGTGCGGGTTGACAGTGCTGCTCTTGGAAGTTACAGTTCGCCGCAGCTTGTTGAGCACGCCTCCAGTATTTTTTGGGATCATCGGAGGCTCGGTGCTCTCCTCACTCGACCGGCCAGCAGTGTGGATACTCGACGCCCTCGACAAGCGAATGCTGTGACGAGCTGCTGGAAGACTTGGACGACCGTGAGCGAATGCTGCCGAAGCGGCGCTTCCACCAGCCGCTGGATGGCTCTGTCACCGAACTATCGTCGCTCCCATCGCTGCTGTGGCTGCTGCGATACGAGTTTGAGCGCGAACAATTGGAAACAGTAGCAGTGTGTGACGTAGCTGGCGACCCGACCTCGCACTGCCCGTCAAACCCGTCATCAGTGTCGCAGCATAAGGCACCTGCATCCTCGTCGTCGTCGTCGTCGTCGTCGTCGTCATCGTCATCGCTAACATTAAACACGGCGGCTGGCACGGTTCTCTACACGGGTGATTTTCAGTGCAAGTGCGGCCCACAGGAGCAGGACATTTTTAGAACAATAGGCGTGATGATGTGTAAGAATAGAGTCGTGCATTTCCACAGTGATCTCTTGTCCGCACACTACACGCGTGGTGTAGCGCTGACGCATGCCCGCATGTCAAGCCAGGCAGGACAGCCGAGGGTGTCAACAAGACAGACAATGTGGGAATTCAGCTGGCTATGGACAAGGCAGCCAGCAGCCTTTGTTTTTGATCGGCTTGCAACATAAGTGTATATGGCCGTTGGCGTAAATCCTGATATGCAGGCTCGATTTGCGCAGCACCGCAGAAAAATCATCGTGAAAAGCGCAGCCGCATGCGCGGAAAAGGGGACAGGCGATGGTTGGCCAAGCAGACACGCGCAGCGAGCAATCCAGGGCATCACCCTGACGACATCCCGATTTCAGCAGTACATTGCGCACGTAGCAACAATGCGGCGCATGCATTGCGCGTTTTCGTCCAGGAATCACAGCAGGCAGCACAAAGAACGAGTAGTAGACAATGACGACAGCAGAGAAGCAGAGGGAAGAAAAACGACTTACCTTGTCCGGTACTCTTGGGTGCGCCGGTTCGCAATTGCCGGGACCCTCTGATCCAGCGGGTTTCAGGTCACCAGGCCCGCTCCGCGACAACGCAGGTGATGCATGGCTGGACGCCATCCGGCCATTATTAAGCCCGGTATTGGCATCATCTGCCATGATGTGGTTTATATTGCTGCGCTCACGCGCTCTGCTGTGCACAGACTGGCTATCCAGCGACGACATGGACGCGTTCTCCAGCATGAACTCGAGCACGTCGTGGCATAGCGGCGACCGGCGGCGGACCTTGCTGTAGTGGTCCCTTTGCGCTGGCGGCTGCTGCGCCTGGGTTGCCGGGTACCCCACGGGGCAGCTTCTGTGTCGGCGTGCGCGGCGAGTGGAAAGGGTGCGATGATGCCGGCCCCGATGTCGTCTGTGCGCGCCGGATTCTCAATCTCTCGATCGCTGGCAACAACTATTTTTGGCAGGATGTCAGTAAACAGATCGTCCATCGGTCAATGCGAAAGAGCTGAGCTTTGTAGCTGTTCCCGTCTTCAACAAATCGGTTGGGTCCAGACTTTGGAGGAGCAAAGTAAAAAATAACGGAAGTAAAAATGGGGAACGGGGAAGCTGATGAGGCAAGAGAAATTATAAGCTGCGAAACAAGGTTGCGAATTCTGGCGGGGAGAGGGGGGAGATTGTCGAGTTCGAGCAGGTTTGTATGCAGATAAGAGCCGTGATATCTTCTATTTTCTACACCGATCAGTCCGGGCGCAGGCAAGAGTGGCTCCACCAGCACAGGCTCGGAGAAATGTGGAAGTGGATGGGCGGCCGAAAATCCAGATTGTGCCAAGAGGGCAGGACACTCGAGATAGGCGTCTCTGCTCTCCGCTGTGTGTAATAACAGTGCTGAATGAGCCGCGTCTGTTCGGAGAACCGCAGGCCAGTAGATTAGGGCGAATAGGAAAGCACCAGACAGCGCAAGGAACAGTAGCAAAAGAGTAGAATGGCGAGTGGAAAAATAACGCTGCAGCGAACACACGCAAGCAGAAGCGAGCAAAGATGAGGACAGACACAACCCGCTAGAAGAACGAAAAAGCTGAAGGAAAAACAGGGACAGGCGGGATGCGTATCGGAACCCATGTTCGTTTTATAGTTGGCGCCAGCTGCTGCCTATATGCACAAATCGCGTAGCCAATATTTGCACCGCATGACGGAGTCTGTGGATGCGCGCTGTTATCAATCAGCCTTTTCGCGGACCTGGTCTAGAACGGCAGAATCGCTTTGCACTACCTCCCTCTCCCCCACCATGCATGGTCGCAAAGCGCCAGTCAGGAAGAATGCCGATCAGAGGCAGCAGCAATGGGAGAGCACGGACAGCACGGCTCCCTGGGCCAAACACAGTTTTGGCAAGAATGTCCGGCGGGGGGCAGTGGAGGCGGTGCCAGCACCGAACATGCCGACTGCAGTTTGACAAGGTGCAAGGCATGGTCGGTAGAAACGCAGAGGCAGCCAGAGAGGCGGGGATTGGCTCAGCAAAAGGGAGAGAGACCATTGTTGTGACATGCTGCAGGCGCACACCTCGCTTCGCCTGCCTCGCGGCGTGTGCACATCACTTGAGCTCAGAATCTCGAGCCTCGCCTGCATATATGGGCGCAATTCAGCAAATAGGGAGCTGCGTGCGGCGCATATATAGGCCCATTCACTGGCCGGCAGACAAGCGGATAGCGCCAGCAAAGACAACTGGGTGGCCATACACATTATGTTACCCAGTTCACACACACCTGGCTCCCCGTAGAGGGAGCGAAAAGAAACATGCCGAGGCGCCTGAAACATGGCCTTGGAACGTGCACCCCGCACCGGCCAAAACGGGCATTATATGATGTGAATGTCAACAAACACAAAAATGGTCAGCGCTGCTGGAGCGTCGAAAGAAACCCTTCTGAAAGCGAGATTCAGCCCGGTTTTTTGGAGTCTGGCTACCCTTTGTCACATCGTTTCTCCCTCCCCCAACGACGCCATATGGCGAAAATCATAGCAGCTGCCTGCGCAGTCACCTCCGCCCCAGACGTAGAGGAAACTGGATACGTACCATTCGCAATACTGCTTTTCGCCACGTGAAACCTTTGCGCAGACGCCATCTCTGCCGGTCCGAATGCCATCGAGTCGCCCCGCACGCGATGCCTGCGAATGCTTCCGTAGCGCCGCTGGTGTGGATACTGACCGGTGCCGTTTCATCACAACCCCTTCAACCGAGACCGACGAGTATCTGCGTCCTTTAGGCGACTGGCGATCGGCATAGTCGGAAACTACACGGAAGTGAAGCGGACAACGCAGCACAACAAAAAAAAAGGCACCCGTGTTTTGTTTTAGGAAAAGCCTGCTGCGAGGTTGGGTAAAAGGATGTGCACCGCTGTTTTCTTCTTGCTGCGGTGCTCATGCCAAGATATCAGCGCAGGGCAATGTAGCGGCGACGTGGCGGAGCTCGGCGGAATATTGGTCACTAGGAATGCCTCTGCATATGCCTGATTTTTTCTTCGCTCCATTCGCACAAGGCCATACTAACCTGACGTGTCTGGCTTTTCAACAAAGCAGAACGAGTCCAGGTCACGGTTCCGCGCTGCAGCGTCATCGCTCCCCTTTGAACGGTGGCGTCCGATCAGGGACCGCAGAGACCCGCTCCGACTGGCCCGAACCCGTGAGCCAAGACTGTGCTGGTCAGGCGCCACGGGCTGTGAATCGTAGCGCTTCCGAAAGAGCATCATCTGTGCGTTGAAATGGTCTAGGTTTGCCTGGATTGATTTGTCGAGCAGGCACCGGTAGACGCCTTGCTAATGAAGTAAAGAAAGTGCACAAAGAAGGAGAATGCGTGAATATGAACAGTACAAGGTGGGGGGAAACAGAGAAGAAAGCAAAGTGGAATACTAGTGTGCGTATGAAGTGGACGGCTCTAGGATTCTGTGCACCACCATGTTCCAGAGCGACCAGCCCTGCCTTTATAATGCCCAGGCCCAGGAAACGAAAAAGACAGCCCCACAGGTGTGCCTCAGACACTGCTGGCGACCCCACGACAGCACAGCATGTTCGCCCAAAAATAGTTTCCTGCTGTGTTCCCGCCGTCTGTCGGCGCTAAAAACGGCAAATTTTGTTCCAGTGATGTCCAGGGAGGGGCCGGAGGGGTGGGTAGGGTTACCCTTGGCCAGCCTCCTGCAGAGAGAAAGGGGCGATCTGTCAGAATTTTCGGCGAGTGGGAGATTCGTTTGTTGGCTCCTACGCCAGCCTAGCGCAAATTGCATCCAGTAGGAGAAGACGGCTGAAAATACAACAATAGGTGTGTTTGAGTGGCCGGCTTTGCCTCTCCCCCACCGGCTTGCCTTTCGCAGTCCGCCAGGATCTCTCAGAAGCGTGCTCTATGCCACATGTAGAGCAGGCTCGCCAGCTCCGGGGCTATACTGAGAGAAACAAGAAACCCGGCAATATCCATGAAAGCAATATATCGCAGCTCACAACCACTGGTAAGCCATGGACTACATCCTGCTGTCCATGCAAGACTGAATGTGCAAATGTTGGAACGGCTAATGCAAACTTACACTTAGATTCCGCTGCTGCGTTCTTCGCACACCACTGTAAAGCTGCTGGCTGTTAACTGCGTACGATTCCGGCTGCCATCGATTCCTGCCGCCGCCCGCCACGCCCAGTACCGAAGAAGCATCCCAATGACCAGTAACCGTGTCATGGGCACATGGCCCTGTAGTGCGCTGGGCACTCGCCCCAGGTTGCACAGGCGATTTGTCTGTCATACCTCTGCTGTTCCTCTGCCAGTCCGCCCTCACGCATGCGCTTATTCGTGCACCGGGTTGCATGGAGCACCCTGCGTGGTGAATTCCTCAGCGCGGACTTTTCTGGGCATGGCACTAAGGAACTCGGGACTCCTGGCTCTGTATGCTGCCTGTCGCTCCCATGGATCATGACTGCTCGGCCCTCCTGCATTGCGAATATGCATCGGTCTACCAGAGACAACGGCGAATGCTGGGCCTGGCAGATACTAGCCTGAGCAATTGTCCCAGTACGCACCAAGCCTGTGTGCATCTGCGCTGCGCCCATTCGCTCATCCTCGCTCGCCGTTACGTAGCGATGTTGTCTGTAAAGCCATGCGGCATTTGCTGCTGGGCTTCCAGTATCGTCGAGGTTCGCTGTGTAGTAGTATTGTCCGCTGGCTGTCTGCAGCCTCAACACCCGGACCTGTCCTGGGAGCAGCCCAGTACGGCTCTGCGAAGGGGTGGATGTCGACATCTTGGAGTTCCCCCAGCCTGCGCGTCTGAATTTTAGAGGCTACAATAGCACCTTTTGGTTTGTTAGCATCCCTACTATACGTCTTGTAGGTAAGGTGGTTCCGTTTTGTTTCTCCATTGGTGTGAACAAACGAGCCCAACAATGTGCATGGTGGTGGTGAATTATTCGCAAAACTGCCCATCATATATTCCTCCCAGGAGCCAGGGAGTGGTTGGGGGAAGCGAGCACAGCAGAAAACGGCAAACATGGCTTGGGCTCTCCCTAGATAGCCACTCGAGTCGGCGACATTTCAACCATACATGTCACCATGCTCCACTTGATTATATCCGCAGACAATGGCACATTTTTACAAAATTCCAAATGCGTCTATCCCGATGGCGTGTCAATGCAGTAGAGGTGCAAGCTCGGCCAGTTCTCGGAGTCTCAGCAAGATAGCCAGCCGAGCACCAGCGCATTCGTGGCGTGGCAACCCACATACACACTTGCCTAATATGGAATTGCCGGTCCTTCCTGCCTATGTCTACACCCTGGCAATTTACAAGGCTCTGTCGGATATGTGAAGACTATTGTATGGCTGTCGCTGCAGGACGTTTCGCGCCGAAAGCTTCGTTTTTGCCAACTGCTTCACTCCGTGTTTGATGTATAATATTAATTGCAGAGTATTGCAAACAAGCGTAGAAAAAAGAACGAAAATGAAAAGCAGGCATAGAGGGAATGCAATCGTACCGCTTCGTCACTTCACCGGTTCCTCGGCCCCACAAAACTGCAATTGTCATTTTTAAGCATTCAGAAGAGCAGTATACCGAGCAGGCACCGCCTAGTGCCCTTGAAAACGATTGCTAGCATTATCTTGTAACCTTATCGGAAGAGATATTCGGGGGACAAGGTGAGTGAAGAGTCAGGTTCTAAGGAAAGTGATTGGCACGCCGTAATGCCTGAAACATGATACGGGACCAGGAAAGCGGCATTCGCTTCACGAAGAAAAAGACGGTATGTCTGGGTGTCTAAAAATGGAGGATCGGTTGAATAGCCTTTAGCAAGCTCAAAAGCCCGGTGAATGGAGACAAGTAGCACCCGAGACCAGTCACATTTTATGACATTCTTCATGCATGTAGTGGTGAGTGACTCAGGGGTGTTTGGTAGCAATGTCTCACACAAGCTGCGTGTCCAGCTCCTCTACATTCTCCCCTCTGAAATCCGCATCGCAGCAGAAGTAGAGCAGCTTGCAGGGGTGTGGGAGCAATGATATGCTATATACGTGGCCAATTCTATTCACCATTCTTAATGTCTGCGGATAAAATCAAGACACAAGTCGCTGACCCTGCCTAATGGGAACAGTATCTTGCCTGATCCCGCCAGCCGCACAAACTCGGGCTTGCTCCGGATGCTGGCCAGCGCCGCCTTGGTCGCTTCCTCCCTGGCAAGATCCTCAGCCTGGAACTTGCCGTCCGCATCAGTGGTGCTGTTGATGCACTGCACCGGCGCCTTCACCATCCCCCACAGCTTGCGGTCAAACTGCTCCCACATTAGCAGGTCACTCAGCACCCCTGGCTTGCGCAGATTCCAGTGCGAGAAAAACACACTGATGCCTTCGTACAGCTGGGCCATCGCCATATCATCGTCGATCTCCGCAATGCTCTCGCTGCCGCATATCTCTGACACCATCTGCCGGAAGTATGGGTCATCTGAGGATCGCGCAAGCGCGCTGTACGCGGCTCGTGTCCGCGTCCACTCGGGGCCAAGCAGCCCTAGCCGGTCTGATAGTCGCCGTGCCTTTCCAGGCGGCGACAGGTGTGGATCAATCAGCGACACTGAGCGCACACGCTGCCGGAACCCAGACAGCGCCGCGATCTCCAGCGCAATCGGCCCTGCAACCTGGTGTGCGATAATGTGGACTGAGGGAACTCGCAGGTTCTCCACCAGCCGAGCAATCGCTGTGGCCTGCGATGCAAAGGTCGGCGTATGTGACGACGATGTTTCCAGGTACCCTGGCCGAGACAGACTCAACAGGCTTAACGGCGGCGCCGGTTCGACATACCGTGCCCTCGATCTTTTCGGCTCTGTCTCGCCAACCTTCTCTGTCTTGACTCTAGTATACATGGGCTCGTCCTCCAGACCTCCCTCAAACTGGTTGAATGTTCCGCCAAACTCCTGCACGTTGTAGACCGAATACGAGCCGAACTTGCTGGGCATCAGCGGGTTCATCAGCTGGTGCGCGTGCGAGATCCCACCCGCCATCCACCGGGCCACATCAAATCCACCAGGCTCATTGCCGTGTAGGAGCAGGATACATGGCAGGTGCCGCAGGCTCGGCTCGAACGATGAGTGGAACCGCGGGGTGGATGCCAAAAACGGCTGCGGAAAGTTCGAGGTCGAGTCGAACGCATACTGTATGGTCACCGTCGCATGCCGGCTCTCGACGGCAAACCGCTGATTCATGCGCTCGCTGTGCCGCTTGTGATGCTGGTGGTTCATCGCCTGTGCACCTGAATTCGACAGGTTGAACGGCTCCGCACTCAACGTCATTGTCATATGGTTGAACCGCAGCAGCTTATCGACGTGGTTCTTCCATCGCAAAAACCCTGAAGCCATGTGTCGAAACTAGTAGATTTGCAGGTCGAATCGAGGAGTAGAATGGAAACTGTGCAGCGCTTTGGAAATGAGCTGAAAGGGTGAGGTTGGGAGCATTGCAGACGCCAGCAGCCTGGACACCAGAGCGCTGCTGATTACGTCGCGCGGAAAGCCGGCTGCGAGGCAGGGACAACCCGATAGGCCGAACCGCTGAGCCGAACCGCCTCGTGGGTTTAGAGCTCCGCCGGCTTGTCTGACGGGCTGCAGTCGTAGTGCAAGGCAAGATGCATGCAGCAGAAGAGCCCTGGCGACAGACACCAGACACACTATTTGCGACGCACGCTCGGCCACTGGCCTGCCATTCCGAGCGACCAGGAGGTGCCTGGGGCCTGATACTCTGAACCAAACTGCATGCGCGCATGGTCTAGTAGAGAGCCTGAACCTGACCCGGGCTGCGTAGGCGCAACCTGGCAGGCAGATCAATATGGCCAGCTTTCTTGCAAACAAAAGTTTGAGCTGCTAATCCTTCACGAAAATGCGAGGTCCTGGGCACTATTTCTAAAGGCTGCCTAGAAAGAGCGGTGGCAGAAAAAGAGTGCAGAGGGAGGAACACCCATTTAAAAGCAGCAGCGACGCCCGGCAAGGCGCGGTTGCAAAAGGGACAGCAGCTCTCTTCTACACTCTCTTTTCTTTATTGTCTTATCTCCTCCCCTCTCCCCTGTAATACTAGGCAGCAACAAAAAATTAGCAAACAGTAAGAATGCCAGAGGCAAAGACGGAGACATCGGTGTCTGTTACCGAAGAGTTCTCGAGCTCGCACAAGCACCACCACCACGACCATGACCACCACGGCCATAGCCACAATCACCATGGCCATGACCACCACGGCCATGACCACCACCACGGTCACAACCACGACCACGACCACGGCCACTCGCACAACCACCACCATCACCATAGCCACGACCACAGCCACAGCCACACGCACGAGGACGTTAAGGTCACGACCTCTGTTGACAGCAGCTCCAGCGGCTCAAAGACCGTAATCAAGGAAAAGGTCGAGGTGGACGTCGCGGACGAGCATGTCGAAGTAGAAGTCAAGGAGACCTCAAAGGAGGTTTCGCTCCACAGCCACAGCCACGACCACCACCACCACGACCATAGCCATAGCCACCATCCCGGCCAGGCAATTATGTACCGGGAGGCGCCGCCTCAGTTTGGCCTCGCAAAGCACGTCGACAGTAAGTACCTTCAAACACGCGCCTAGTTGCTCTGCACATGCAGAGAAATAGGCGTATATAAGTGCCCATGCCTGCCAGATGCTTTGGACAGGAGTAAATCCCAGGATTGCACCACGAAACTAAGGCATCACGCCATGTTCTTGCTTGTAGAGATCATTCACTCAGAGTTCGGCTATGTGCCAGGATTCAGGCCGTTCCAATACGACTCGCCGGGCAGCTGCCTTGGCCCACTGGTTGGCGAGGAGCGCCAGAGCAACGAATAGGCTCATTGCCTGTGTTTTTGAGGAGATATATGCACAAAGACCCCCTTTGCTTGCACATGGTCCTCCAGCAACATTAGGGGTGGTCCAGCATGCGTGTCAGCTTGCTCTTTCTCTAATTACAAAAATACATTATACCCCTTTCCACATCACAAATGAACCGCCATAGTCCCCCAGCCGGCTCGGCCAGAACAGCGAACCAGCAGGCTCATGGGAGAGGGATTTGCACATATGCATGCCGTGCCTACAACATGCATGATACTCGTCGTCTAAAAAGTATCTTCCTGCCTCCCAGCGACAGGCTTTCATTCATTGTGAGGGCAGGCTTGCGTCAAAGAGACAAAGCTGTACAGAATCCCCAGGTCCACGACAATGAATTAAACACGGAGGACGTAGGCAACAACGCTGGGCCTCATAGCCTCTCCAATTGTACTGCGTGTCCTGTGACATTGGAGCAGCGAGAGCCACGCAGCCGTGTAGAACAGAGCGCAGTTCGTGATGCCAATGACTTATCCGCCCGGCCATCATTTCGTGCATACTGCATACGGCTTTTGGGGTGGGGGAAGGAGCACGGCACATTCCAGCACGGGGTTATCAAGGCTCTTCGGGTGCAGCCTTGGCTGTCCTTGCAGACTATAAAAGGCCTCCATGTACTGCCCATGCAGATGAGCATATCATCCTTTGCAATTCCTTCTTCTCTTTCGCTATCTTTCTGCACCTTACAATGGTCCCCGATACGTCAAAGCCTTCTGATCAGTTTGAGTGGACACACGAGCTGTGGATGGGCCGTCCAAGGTGGTTTGTCGCTGACCACATCTACGAGCTCATTGGCGCCCGCGAGACATTCGTCCCTGGGCTCGTGCCCATCCCCACGGGCCAGCACCCGGACTCGGCGTTCAAGGACGAGCTCAAGTAGACTACATGCAGCGGAATGGCAGGGGCTAGGCATAGCGATGCGCTCCCCGCCCGTAAATTATAAGTTCCTTGTTGAATAAACTCCTTCTTTCAAAACGAGTCGGCGATGCTGCCAGTGAGGACGGAGATGTGTGCCATGGGCCTAGGGCCGTGCGTGGAGCGACTCTTCTGAACAGGATGCGAGTAAGCTGGCAGTGTGTGCGTTATTTGCTCGAGCGAGACAGACATTCAGCGACACCCTGGCCACTGCTTCCGGATTACATATCGAGCTGCCAATGCAAGGCAAATACACCAACACTTGTACCACTGGGAGATAGGACGAGCACATAAACTGCCACCAAAAATGGTCGAAAAAGCAGCGGATAGAAAAAAACAGCCGATGGCAGCATGACCTTTCTGTTCTTCACTTCTGTTCTCGTTTTAGCCCTTCTATTTTTTCAAATTCCAAACCCTGTCAACAATGGACATGCCCGGACACGGAGACCACGGCGGCCATGGCGGCCACGGCGGTGACTCGACGCGGCCCATGTGCGCAATGAACATGTCGTTCAACTGGGAGACCGAAAACGTCTGCGTTCTGTTCGACTTTTGGCGCATCAACTCCAACGCGTCGCTAGTGTTCACCTGCCTCGCAGTGTTCCTGCTCGGATACTTGTACGAGGCGGCTCGCACAAGCGTGCGCTCGTGGGAGAAGTCGATGGCTCCTGCTGGCACGACGCTGCCGATAGACGGAGCCGGGGCGCCGCTTATTCGCACGGCCGCAGTGCTGAACAAGGTGCGCTGGCAGCGGGCCATTTTCTACGGCCTGATGGTGGCCTACTCGTACTCACTCATGCTTATCTTTATGACCTACAACGGCTTCCTCATCCTGGCAGTCATTGGCGGCGCCATTGCCGGACACTACAAGTACTCGACTGACGACTGGGGAGCCGTGCGTGGAGCCAGCTGCCACTAGCCCCCTCTGTCTGCCAGCGAGCACATACATCCATGTCAGTGTTTTTTATTGCTTGGTATGATAATAAACTGAGTCGTCGTTTAATAGCCGCGTTCCTGCTGTCGCCTCAGCACAGCAGCAAAGTCATGAATGGCTGCCACGTCAGACAGCCGACGCACGATGTCCTTGGCGTACTCTTTGCTGGCCAGATTGCCCACGACGTTGCCGGGAGCCATGGCGCCCCAGCGCTGCACGCCGTGCTGTTTCAGATACTCCATGGACTGCAGCCACTGCACGGTGTTGTCAACCTGCCGCACCAGCAGCTCCTCGACATCCGCAGCAGTCTGGTATGGCCGCGCTGTGACATTGGAGATCACCGGCATCAGCCATTCGTCTGGGCCACGCACCGGCTTCAGCTCGCCGATCCGCTTCTCCAGCGCTTCGCTCGCCGGCGTCATCAGCTTGCAGTGGAATGGCGCCGACACCGGCAGGTTGATGGCGCGCATGGCCAGGCGCTTCGCATGCAGCACCCCAATGGCCCGCTCCACGGCTTTCTTCGACCCGCTCAGCACGATCTGGCTGCTCGAGTTGATGTTGGCCACCTGCACAACCTCGCCAGCCCCCAGCTCGTTTGCCACCTCGGTGTGCTGGATCCGGTCGACCTCGGCCACCACGTCCGCAACCGTGGCCCGCCGCAGCATGCATGCCGACATCGCATACTCGCGCTCCTTGACTGCATCCTGCATTGATTCCCCGCGCGTGCGAATCAGCCGGATCCCGTCCTCCAGCGACACCACGCCTGCCACTATCAGCGCCGAAAACTCGCCAACAGAGTGGCCCATTGTGTATGCATACATTTCCTCTGCCTTCAGCCCAGTAGCATGCTCCAGCGCACGTGTTGCGGCCACAGAGACAGTCACGATGGCCGGCTGTGCGTTCTTGGTCAGCGTCAGCTCTGCCTGGTTTCCTTCGAACATCAGGGAGCTCAGCTTGAATCCCAGCACCTCGTCGACCTCCTCAAACACCTGCTTTGATGCCGGAAATGTCTCGTACAGATCCTTGCCCATGCCAACGACCTGCGAGCCCTGGCCAGGGAATATCAGCGCACGCTCGTTGCGGTACATTTGTAGTTTCCGGGCTGTATCCGAATATAGCCGCGCAGAGGTGCCGCTGCTTGGCCTCCGCAAAGCTGCCAGTGCCCGTGCCAGCTTCATTTGAAAAGTAGAGCCGCGCAAAATGAGGGGTAGTGCAAAGTGTACTGGTGCAGAAAAGTAACTGTAGAAAAGGAGGGGTGAAGTAGAGAAGAACAAGGTGCCGGGCAATAAAAAGCTCTGCCACCTTGCCTTTGGCCGTTTCGTCAGTGATGATGATGACAAGCCAAACTTTTATTTTTCCGAGAATTTCCCATCAACAGAGCACTATCTACGCGAGATAAGCAGTCTAGCGCCGCTTGTAGATGCACGGCTTGAGCAGCGTCGAGTTTGCATTGAACGACGCTGGCGGATTTTTTGTTTTGACGAAATCCAGCATGATAAACATCTTGTTTGACGCATCCTACAGCAGCAGCGACAGCATGTGAGTTGGCATGGCCGGCCTGTATAGTTGCCCATTCTAGCCGAGATGCTTACCTTGTGCGTGTGTTTGAACCCCTGGCCCTCCAGCGCCTTGACGAACCCATCGATGTCCGGGATTCGGCTCACCACCTCGGCAATCTTGAGCTCTCCGCCCTTGCGCAGAATGCGGTTCGCCTCGCGGATGAATTTCAAAAAGTCCGTGCCCATCAGCGCCAGCGAAAAGATAACAACGTCAGCCGTGTCCCTTTCCATCGGCACGTTGGCGATATTGCACGGCGTGATGTACTTGTTGTGTGCAACAAGGTCGAACGAGTGGATCTCGTGCTGATTGCCCACGGCCGCGGCAATCCCAGCCTCGCCGCAGCCCATGTCGGCGACCACCAGCTTCTTGCTGCTCTTTTTCAGATACCCGATAAACACGTCGATGGGGTTGACAGGCCATTTCTCGACCTGCGACGAGAACCCGCGGTGGTATTCCTCAAAGATGGCCGGGTCCTTCTGCACCATGTCGAAGGCCCTGTCGCCGGTGGTCGTATACAGCATTTCGTTGATCCACCGGAACCGTGCGCCCTTCAGCTTCTGCTGCATCTTCTGCTGCAGCGCGCTGAGCTTTGGCGCAGCCTGGCCGGGCTTAGCCGCTGGCTTGGTGGCTGGACTTTGCTGGCTTGGCGGCTGGTTGCTCTTTGGCCTTTTTAGCCGCCAGCAGGGCCTGCAGCTTTTCCCGTTTCAGAGCATTGGACGTTCTTTGGCTTTTTGGCAACCTTTGATCCAGTGCTGTCTGTCTTTGGTACTGCGCGGTCCGATCCAGTCTTGCTCTTTGCGTTCGATTTCATAGTATGGCATATATATAGTTGGATTTTTCGAGCAGTTTCTGGCCGGCCCAAGGAAAGCGAGGTTTGCTGTCCTCAACCGGCAGATTAGCCCTGCATATGGGGCCGTGTCACCAGAGCGTTTTTCTAGACCATAAATCGAGCCATGGCCTTTCAGCCCTCTTCAGCCAAAAACTACCTTTTAGCCGCACCCTTCCATTTCGCCGTATCTCCGTTTATCTCCGCCATGAGTAATATCTACATCAGCGAGCCGCCAACCAACGGCAAGGTCATATTAGAGACGACAGCGGGCGACATCGAGATCGAGCTGTGGCCGAAGGAATGTCCCAAAGCCTGCCGCAACTTCATCCAACTTGGCCTTGAAGGGTACTACGACAACACGCAGTTCCACCGCATCGTGCCTGGCTGGATTGTTCAAGGCGGCGATCCAACCGGCACCGGCACCGGCGGCACCTCCATCTACAATGGGCCGTTTGCCGACGAGTTCCACTCGCGACTGAGGTTCACACGCCGCGGCCTTCTGGCCATGGCCAACGCTGGACCGAATGATAACGGCAGCCAGTTCTTTTTCACGCTGGGAGCCACGCCTGAGCTGCAAAAGAAGCACACAATCTTTGGGACCGTTGTTGGTGACAGCGTGTTCAATATGCTCAAGCTGGGCGAAGGAGAGGTCGACAAGGAGACCGAGCGGCCGGTGTATCAGAGGTCGATCAAGCATGTGCGTGTCCTGGACAACCCGTTCCTTGATATTGTCCCCCGTACGCTGCCCAGGCAGGGTGAGGAGCCAGCCACCAAAAAGAAACAAAGGGATCAAAACAGTCAAGAACAAGAAGCTTTTGTCGTTTGACGACGATGACGAAGAAGAGGATTTCAAACCGCGGGCCGGATCCAAAATGAAGAGCAGCCATGACCTGCTCACCAACGACCCGATGCTTAGCAAGGAAACGGCAAAGGTCAGTGCTCCAAAAAAGACAAAGGCAGCCAAGGATATCGAACCAGTTCCCAAGCCAATGCCCGGGCCAGAGCCTGCAGTCGTGAAGACTGCCGTCCAGTCTAAGCAAGCCGAGATGCAATCGCAGATTCAGAGCGTCGAGGCAGAGATCAGGAAGCTCAAGGAGCGCGAGGACAAGCGCAAGGCAGCCGATGGAGAAGACACCGAAACAAACCCCAAACCAAAGAGGCAAGCCAACGCACTGACGGCGCTGCTGTCCCAGTACAAGACATCTGGTCCCAAAAAGTCCTAAGCAGGACAAGAGGTCGCGCGAGGACGAGCTGTTTGCACGTCTAGGCAGCTTCCAGAGCAAGATCCGCTCGAGCAAGTCCAAGCCAGCAAACCCAAAGCCCGCCACAGAAGACACAGGCAAGTGCATGCTCCATGGCGTGGCTGACTGCCAGTCGTGCCAGCGCAGCCAGTTCGATGCCGATGTCGACAACCTGAACGATTCGGGCGGCTCGGACAGTTGGCTTGCGCACTCGCTGGCATTCAAGCGGAACCGCGATCGCGTCGAGTCAGAGTATGCACCAAAAGTCGAGGACTACGTCGTCATCGATCCGCGCGACCGGGAAGCCGGCATCAAGAAGCGGCGAAAGTGAGGATGGCTCCCTTTCTCTTCTCTCCAGTTTTATAAAATTGCAAGCATACCTCTCTTTTTCTAATGAGCGCCGATTTAAATACCACCGCGCGGCTACTGTCTGCCCTGTCGCTAGATGGCGGGAATGCCTCCGAGGGCCGACAACTCAACGAGAATGCGTTGGAATTCCTGCTGCCTGAGCTCGTCAACACGGTAGTGTCAACGACACTAGAGACCAAGCGGATAGCAGCGCGGCTCTCGCTTGGCCTGGACCCCGAGGAAGAGCCACAGGAGGCCGCTACCGACAATTCAACCCGCGGCGACAGCACAGCAATGGCATCGGGGTGGACAGAGCTGCCAGACGACAACGAGGTCCTGGAGCAGGTGTATGTAAAGCTGGAGAACATTGGGTTCCGGGTTGGCCGGCGGCTGGCCGAGCGCTACGCGCCTGTGGGTCGGCGCTTGACAGACACGCTTGATGTCGTCAAGTTTGTGTGCAAGGACATGTGGATGGTGCTGTTCAACAGACAGGTCGACAACCTGAAAACGAACCACCGCGGTATATATGTGCTGCAGGACAACAAGTTCAAGTGGTTCCTGCGCATGTCAAGCAACCACGGCGGAGCAGCCGCGGCGCGCAGGGCACAGCCGTACACCTGGCTGCCGTGCGGCATCATCCGCGGTGTGCTGGACAGCTTTGGCGTCAATGCCGTGGTTAGTCCGGAAACGCTGGGTTTGCCGCAGTGTACATTCCAAATCAAGGTCGTTGCAAACGAATAGATGCGCGTAAATGCATGGCTTTTGGTTTATTGGGTGCAATGCGAGGTGTATAAAAGGAGGCTATGTATAGGGGCGAGGAGTTAGTGAATGCAAGCTTGCAGAGTAACAGGTGTCTTCAGTATCCGCTGCTCTTCATCTCCGCTAGCACGCGGTTGACGACCTCAGCAGGCGCCAGCGTAAATGCAGTGGCCGGGTAAATATGAGTGCCCCAGTGCGGGTGCGACAGCACAAAGCAGCAGCCGATGTTGAACGGGCGATAGTGCAGCAGAATCTCGGCTCCCTCGACATCCGGGTACGGCGACGGCCCGCAGTGCGAAAATAGGGCCATTCCTGACATTGGGTCGGTAATGTCTGCCCAGTACCCTGCTGCCTGCAGCCGCCCCACCAGCTCGCCGCCCCACCGGTAGAACAGATGCAGCTTCTCGTCCTTTTCTTCCTGTGAGTCACCACCTCCGGCGATCATCGCTGAAACGGTTTTTTGGAATGTCGGTATGAACAAAAGGTCGCTCTCACGGCCGACAACGTCAGGGAACACGAGTCCGATTTCGCGCTTTACGCGGCGCGGACACGCATGCACAGAATATTGCAGGGTCACTGAGCCCGCAGCTGTGCTGACGGGGACGTGCAGGTCCGAGAGCAGCTTTGGCAGGCGCTTGCCCAGCGTGAATGTGGCCACAGTTGGCTCGACCAGGGGCGGGTTGCGCACACGGTGTGTAGGAACGCGGGCCGGCTCGTTGGCGCCAAGCGCTGAAGAAGGCTGGATGCATACTTGGACAGGCGAAGGCATATTCTAAGTGTACAAAAATGGAGGAGTGTGGAACGGAGTGAAGGTAAAAGTGAGTAAAAATTTTTTGCAAATGAAAAACAGTCTCGAAGCCCAGCCAAAATCCCAGAAGCTCTCTCAACGCTCACACCTGAAATTTGCGCATGGTAACAGCTCGATCTAGCGGCGAGCCGGCATGGCTGGCGAGCCGGCTTACCGGAATTTTTCGCTGCTCTTTATCGATCCGCGGCCTTTTCGCAGCTAGCCCGAATTCGTCTGCAACTGAAGCTGAAATCAGCGCTTTCCTTTGCAAATTTTTCTGCTTCTCCTGCACATTGCTCGAAATCATGTTTGCTGCGTTCCAGAACCTGCGCATTAGCGCTGCACCACGCCTCACGACAAGGCTGCCGACCATGGCCTCGATGATCTCACAGCAGCCGCAGCACGCGACCATGGCCACGCTGAACCAGGTCATGCGCGGCATGCGCAAGCGCGTCACCAGCATGAGCAAGGCGCCTGCTCTCGACAAGTCCCCGCAGCGCAAGGGCGTGTGCGTGAAGGTCTACACAACAAAGCCCAAGAAGCCCAATTCGGCCGTGCGCAAGGTCGCCCGTGTGCGTCTGACCAACGGCAAGACCATCATCGCGTATATCCCCGGCGAGGGCCACAACCTGCAGGAGCACAGCGTCGTGCTTGTGCGCGGCGGGCGAGTCCCGGATCTGCCTGGTGTGCTGTACCATATTGTGCGCGGTGCGCTTGATCTGCAGGGTGTCCAGGGACGGATGTCCGGCCAGAAGCAAGTACGGTGCGTCCAAGCCCAAGAAATAATGTCGGAATGCAAAATAAACTCTCCGGTGTACGCAGCAGCTCTGAATATATGGTGTGGTGTATTTGAGACAAAAACGTAAGACTTTGGTATATGCGCTCTAGTGGCCGCCCTCCTCCTTGTGGCCGTGGCTGCCGTGGTCACCGTGCTCCCAGGGATGACGCAGACCCTACACAACAGCAAGTCTTCAGCTCTGTTAGTACACACGTAAGGGGGGCTCACTCTGCCGCATTCAGAATTGAAACTTACAAAGAGAGCTGGTCCGTCCTGCTTCATGCGGTACATCATCCAGAACCACATTGCAGCACCGAGCCCCTTCGACAGAACGCGGTACCTCATAGGCACTGTGGGCTGGCACGTATCCTCCGTATTGTCCAGCGGGCATTGTGGTAATAATAGCGAATTCGGGCAGAATTGTGAAAATTCAAATTGAAGAAAACGAGAAAAGAGCTAAAAATCCAGAGACTGGCCAGGACTCTTATCTAGTGCCTAGATCAAATTGTGATTATCTGGGGCTTGCGGCTTGAAGTGATCTGCCCGACCTGTGCAGCCAAAATGCATAAAATCCCACGATTTGGCTGCCGCCGCCTCGGACCTTTGTGATGCCCATTGCGCCAGCGCATGTGGCAGGCCGACAGTGCAATTCTTGGCACCATCCAGCACCCTGTAAATACCTGGCTTCTCTCCCTCCTCCCATTTGTTTTGCCATTATCACCCCATTACCCTCCACACTACATTATTTTTCTATATAGCATGCTTGATGAGAAGCAGCCCCTCGTTTCCACGCCGGCTGAACCTGCCACGCACACGCCAGACAAGTGTCAGCGTATGTACAAGAGGATCAAGATTGGTCTGCTGGCTATCGCTGGTACTGCCATAGCCTTCCACATCCTTGCCAACGGTGTGCACGGATGCGAGCACGAGCATCTGACCCCGCACACACCCGATTTTGACGCAGGCAAGGTCTTCCTCAGCTTCCCCAGCACCAAGCGCCTGCGTCAAAACCTTGACTACTACACGTCCGGGACACATGTTGCAGGCGTCAACCGCACCCAGGCTGTCTACACGCGTGACTATATTCAAGCGCAGGGAATCGACGCAGAGATTGTCGAGTACTACCCGTGGATGAACTATCCGGTTGACCAGCGCGTTGCACTGTTTAATGCAACCACGAGCAATGTTGTCTACGAGGCTGGGCTCAAGGAAGACGTCATTCCTGGAGACCCTGCATCGGAGGACCCAAACAACCTGCCTGCCTTTCCACGGGTACTCAGCCAACGGAAACGTCACCTGGTCAGCTTGTCTATGCAAATTACGGGCTCACTCGACGATTTCAAGGCCCTCAAGGCAGCCGGTATCAGCATCAAGGACAAGGTTGTGCTTGTGCGCTACGGCGGCATGACACGCGGTCTCAAGGTCTATGCTGCTGGTCTGGGTGGCGCGCGCGGCGTGCTTATTTACTCGGACCCTGCCGATGATGGCTACGTCCAGGGCCCTGTCTACCCAGATGGGCCGTGGAGGCCCGAGTCGTCGTTCCAGCGTGGCTCTGTCTCGCTCATCCAGATTTACCCTGGCGATCCGCTCACGCCCTGGCTATGCTGCGACTAAGGATGCGCCGCGCCTTGATCCCAAGTGAAGTAACCAGCATCAACCACATCCCGTCACTACCTCTGTCGTACCGCGATGCCGAGCCGTTGCTGCGTGCCTTGAAGGGACTCGGCAAACCTGCAAAGGATGTAGGCGACAACTGGGTCGGTGGTCTGACATCGAAGGGCGTTGAGTACTGGACTGGTCCGAGCGAGTTGAGCGTCAATCTGCTCAACAAGGTTGAGTACAAGATTACTCCTATCCAGAACGTCATCGCCAGAATCCCAGGCTGGGGTGAGCCAAACCGCGCTGTCGTGATCGGCAACCACCGCGATGCCTGGTGTGCTGGTGCATCTGACCCGTCTTCTGGCTCTGCTGCCCTTCTTGAGCTCTCGCGCGGTCTCGGCAAGCTTCTAAAGCTTGGCTGGCGCCCGCGTCGCACCATCATCCTCGGCTCCTGGGATGCTGAGGAGTACAGCCTGATCGGTTCCACCGAGTGGGTTGAGGAGAACCGCAGCTGGCTCAAGGCAGAGGCTGTCGCCTACATCAATGTCGACGGTGCTGTGGGTGGTAGGAGATATGCTGTTGGTGCATCACCAGTGTTCAAGCATTTGCTGCATGAAGCTACCAAGCAAGTGCCGTACCCCAACTCTAACCAGACTGTTTACGATGTTTGGCTGAGGGATTCAGCCAGGAATGCTGGCGACGATAAGCTTGAGAAGCCAACTGTGTTCCCGCTCGGGTCGGGTAGCGACTTCACTGCGTTCATGGCACATGCTGGAATCTCGTCAATCGACATGGGTTTCGGTGGTTATGTGGGCTCATACCACTCCAACTATGACAGCTTTAACTGGATGTCAAAGTTTGTTGACCCTGACTTCAAGCTCCACCAGGCCATGACACGCCTGTGGGGTCTACTGACTATCCGCATCGCAGACGACCCAGTTCTTGACCTCAAGCCAACGACATATGCTGAGGAACTACAGCAATATCTCAACGTCATTGAGAAATACGTTGCCTCCCAGATCCCTGACAAGACCGATATAGAGTGGGCTGTTGCCAAAAAGTTCCACAATCTCCGTCATGCCCAGCACAATCTGCTTCGCAGTGCACAGTATCTGGAGAGGAGACTCCAATATCTGCAGCGTGTCTACGGTGAGGGCTGCCAGATGGCCGGCAATCGCCGCCGCGCTCGCTGCCACCAGCTGCGCAAGAGCATCAATGAGCGGGTTGCCAAACTCGAGCGCCATTTCATTGACCCCAGTGGCATTCCGGGTCGCGAGTGGTACAAGCACATTCTGGTCAGTCCCTGGCCGCTGGATGGGCTATGACTCGCAGGTATTCCCAGCCCTGGCTGAAGCTGCCGAGGATGGCGATTGGGAGGCATTCCAGGTCTACGAGGAGCGTGCAGCTGGGCTCGTTAACGATGCTGCTCGGTTCCTGCGCAAGTTTTGAGCTGTTTAGCGCTGTTTTACCACGGTGATTAGTTGAACCGATACATATGCTATGCTGAATTATATCCCAGCCTGGCCTGCTAAAAGTTTACGCGGAAACCATCGACTTCTGTTGTAGAACATGCGGCTGTTGACGAAACCTGCTGCACAAATTGCCCAATTCAGTCTCTGCAATGTGCTGTTGGCCACTTCCAGCCCTGGTCGTCATGTGCCCTGTGCTGTTCGCACACGTCAATCATCCAGCGGATTCCGACATATACCGTCTGTTGTTGTACCACGGAAATGGCGTGCAAAGCCGGTGGTGAAGGATCAACTGGTCATCTCACCTCTTGGCAGAAACACACTGAAAAGGAGCACGCCAGGAACTCCTCGACCTCGTTCCTCAATTGCTTTCTTTTGTAAACTTTTTTGCCCTTTTCCCGCTATTTGTAGCCCATGTCTGACGAGAAAGTTCAGTTAGTTCACGAGACATTGGATGCTGCTGTGACGGCTCCAGCCAAGCGCCACAGTCGGCCCACAGCAGCCAAAGTCAGGATTGGTTTGCTGGCGCTGGTTGGGTCGCTCTTGACTCTAGGTTTTGTCAGTCGGCACTTTAGCGCTTGCACCCACCACAACAGCAAGATTCATACACCAGACCCCAACTTCGATGCAGGCAAGGCATTTGTTGCCATCCCTTCGACTGAGCGCCTGCGCGAAAACCTCTGGTATTACACGTCCGGGACACATGTCGCCGGCATAAACCGCACTCAGGCTGTCTACACCCGCGACTACTTCCGTGATCAAGGAATCCATGCTGAGATTGCAGAGTACTATCCGTGGCTGAACTACCCGGTTGACCAGAGAGTTGCGCTGTTCAATGCAACCACGGGCCAAGTTCACTTTCGAGGCTGGGCTCAAGGAAGATGTTATTCCAGACGACCCTGCATCAGAGGATCCGAACAACCTGCCTGCCTTCCACGGGCTACTCCGCCGATGGCAACGTCACTGGTCAGCTTGTCTATGCCAATTACGGATCGCATGAGGATTTCAAGGCTCTCAAGGCGGCTGGGATTAGCGTAAAGGACAAGATTGTGCTGGTGCGCTACGGAGATGTGTTCCGTGGGCTGAAGGTCTACGGAGCCTGAGCTGGATGGTGCTCGTGGTGTCCTGATCTACTCGGACCCTGCCGATGACGGCTACGTCCAAGGTCCGGTCTACCCGGAAGGGCCGTGGAGACCTGAATCGTCATTCCAGCGGGGGTCTGTCCAGCGACTCAGTCTCTATCCAGGTGACCCACTAACGCCTGGCTATGCTTCAACCAAGGATGCACCGCGCATTGATGTCGACAAGGCAGAGAGTCTGAACCACATCCCATCACTGCCTCTGTCATACCGCGATGCCGAGCCGCTGCTGCGTGCCTTGAAGGGCCAAGGCAAGCCTGCAAAGGATGTAGGCGATAACTGGGTCGGCGGTCCTGACATCGAAGGGTGTTGAGTACTGGACTGGACCGAGCGAGCTTGATGTCAACCTGCCTCAACAAGGTCGAGTACAAGAACACCCCAATTCAAAACGTCATTGCGCGCATTGAAGGCTGGGAAGAACCCAACCGCGTTGTAATCATTGGTAATCACCGCGATGCCTGGTGTGCCGGTGCATCCGACCCGTCTTCAGGATCGGCTGCTCTTCTTGAACTTTCACGCGGTTTTGGCGAACTATTGAAGCATGGATGGCGCCCACGTCGCTCTATTATTCTGGCATCGTGGGATGCCGAGGAGTATGGCTTGGTCGGTTCGACAGAGTGGGTCGAAGAGCACCAGAAACTGCTCGGTGCCGAGGCTGTTGCGTATGTCAATGTGGATGTGGCTGTTCGCGGTTCGCTATTCTACTCGAGTGCATCGCCGCTGTACAAGTCTCTGCTGTATAGCGTCGCAAAGGAGGTTCCGTATGTTGACAGCAATCAGACTGTCTACCAGCACTGGGTGGGCGAGTATGAGCGAGAGCAGGCCAGTCGCAGGAGGCCACACCACCACCCAGGTGACAAGGCTCCACCTATCGGGCCACTCGGATCGGGCAGCGATTTTACTGCGTTCAACGATTTTATCGGCGTTTCGTCGGTTGATCTTGGGTTTAGTGGACCTGGCAGCGTTTACCATTCCAACTACGACAGCTTCAAGTTTGCCGAGACCTTCACCGACCCTGGCTTCAAGATCCACAAGACACTGACTCAGGTCTGGGGTCTACTGACAATCCGTCTGGCTGACGAACCGCTGGTCCCATTCAACCCGGTCTCGCATGCGTGGGACTTTAAGCACTATGTCGATGACCTCGAGCAGGCTGTTCTTTCCAAGCTCTCGGAGGATGGCCGTGGCTCGTCGCACCGCAACCATCGCCAGGCCAAGAAGGCAGTCAGGAACCTGCGTCATGCACAGAAGAAGCTGCTTGCTGCTGCCCACCACTATATTTTTGCCCGGGATGCCCTTGTAAGAAGGTTTGGCGGCGATTGCGCTGCCGCTACTGGCCCGAGACAAACGTACTGCATCCAGTGGAAGAAGGAGCTGAACGACAAGGTGGCTTTCTATGAGCGCCACTTCTTAGACGAGGAGGGGCTTCCTGGCCGCAGCTGGTTCAAGAATGTTCTGGTTAGTCCTGCGCTCTGGAAGGGATATGGAGCGCAGACACTCCCTGGCTTGACCGAGGCAGCAACCGACGGTGACTGGAAGCGCTTCAAGCGCTTGGAGAGACGCACAGCGAAGCTAGCAGAGTCTGCTGCGAAGTCCCTGTTTTCTGGGAAGCGCCAGAAGGATGGCAAGCACTAGCTTTAACTAGCCTACTTCAATGCACTAGTGAGCGTTGGTCATTTAATATCCAGCTGCAAGATTGACTCATTAGATACTAGCGAAGTTGCTGTCAGCATATAGCCATGGGTTCGAGAGCTTCATAGTAAATGTGAAGGTTTTGGGAAACATCCTAACAAAGTGTAACGTTAACCCTGATATTCCTTGAATTTCTGGTCGCTACCCTTGATAGCCTGACCTGTATGGCTGGTACAAATGTATTTGCCTGGCATGATGAGTATACAGAATATAGAGTGTTGTGGTTCTATAGATACTGGCAATAACCACTAGTTATTTCCCATACGGATGTGCGCCAAGAATGTGGTCCCAGCACTGCGTAACACTGGGAAATTCATCAAAGCAATACATGCATGGCCAGACATCGTCTGACGGAGAATCTGGCAGTGGTTTGCTTATCGATATCAGACATGCTGTGCGAGTAAGTTTGGTTATTTAACGGAAGAGAGACAGCGTGCCTTCTTATGAAAGGCGACTGGACACGTATTTATAAGGGAGTCTTTGAAAAATGCACGTCGCAAAAACATACAACGCGAGTGATGTTATCAGCTAGCTAGCCGCCTATCCATTGTTAGAATGTTGAGGGGAGATTAGTTAAAGGCGAAGCGTGTTATCGAGTAGCTCCAAACGCTGATGACTGGCTGTATATGTGCTTTACCATTATGTGACTACAGTATTTCCTAAAATCGCCGAATGCTGTATCATAATACCCATGCTGGCATTCATAGAGGTCGTAGAAAGAAACGAGGGATAGGTGTGGGCTATGATTGCAAAGCGTCTGTGTTAATACGGTTGGCTGTTTGGAAAGAGAGGAGGTGTTGAATATGGCAGCTGACTGCCTATCATTCGACATGCGCACCCTGTATCGTTTTATTGAACTGGAGCTCTTCCTGGTTGGCCCATTAGTTGGATTGACGCTGGTGTTATTACTGTTAGCCACTCAATGATGGCCGCAGTTGGCCCCTCTGATGCCTAGTATTCTGATTTGCATCATCTCGACCACGAAGCACTCAATAGCCAGCAGTTCGGGAAATACACTAATAACATTTATTTAAAGCAGCTTGTTTACTACTCGAATTCGCCATGTCTATTCGGGTGCCATGCTATTAGGTGGTTCATGGCTAGAATAGGGCTGTCAAACACGGCTTGGCAGAATGGACACACCCAGGTTTTACTGTGGGAAACGAACGGTGATATTGTGGTTAGTTGTCTGGGCATTTTGTGAGGCAAGATGCTTTGTACAAAGAAAAAACAAGCCGATGGTAATGATCAGCTAGCCAAGGATCCTCTTGCCATATTTATATTTTACCAGTTCCGCAGCCTGCTCATCGGTCTGGATGGTCTAATGAGTCACGGCCAATGAAAATGGAAAACAGCTCATCGACTATGCGTCAGCTATTTGTGGCGATAGTAGCAGAAAATGCCTCCACATGTGTACATATGACTAACTCTATGCATCTGTAAACATCGAACAGCGCACTTGGGTGGCTGGATAATAGATTATCATTTATTTCTTAATCATCAATAGCATGGAGGTGTGGAGTTACATGAGCAACAAAGGCGTCAAAATCAGTGAACTCCATATTGCATTCCCAGCAGGTACCAACGAAAGTATTACAGGCGAACGGAGACATATCGGCTAGAATATTAGGAGTCGAATAGCAGGATAACTTGCGGGAAATGGGGACGCACTTCATAGCCAGGCACTTCGTTTGCTACTTCTTATACAGCTGCCTTTGTCGATCTTTTATAATTTTATAGTATTAGGCTGGGTAGCTGATGGTCGGAATAGTGAGCAAGCAGGGGAAGACCAGCTCGCCTTTAGTGATGCGAAAGAGCAGCTTTATGAATGGCTCCCTTCCACAATTGTTGACGAGGCTGAATGGCTAGTTTAAACTGATATCAGATCAAACCCTTGTGTGGCCGTTGCCTCCGCTGCTGATGTCGCAGGAATATGGCTTGGCAGCAAAACATGGTGGATGGCAGCGTGTACATACATGGCAAACTCAGACATACTGAATCACTAGCAGAAGTGACATCATGGTGTGCTGCATAGAAATATATTGTCTAGTGTTGATTGAGGAACGTTGAAGGGTCTTGGAGCATTTAGGAACAATGGGATGAATAATGCTGAAGGTAGACATCGATATTTCTGAATGTCTCGCTGCAGAATATGCACAAAGAAATTTGGGTTGCGGCGGCAAATACTGGCATATCTGCTAGTTTGCTTTGTGTCAGACCAAAAAAAAAAGAAGTGAGCTACAGCCGCTTTCCTAGTGCTGTCTCTCAGATATAGTATATCTTATTGAGGTCTTCCTATAACAAATGACTTTCAGTGTTTTGACGCCTATGTGGAAACTCTGGTGCAAACAAACAATGCTGATCGCATGCTGCTTCTGTGGTGACTTGGTTGTATTTAAACGCTTTTGTGTGGGAAATGAAATGATGATGCTTGATTCTGAAGATATTTGTCTACGCCATGCCTACCACCGAGAAGCTTCAGAACAAGCAGCTTTTCTCTGTCACTTGGTATCAGTTTATGCCTTTTCTTTCTTCTCCTTCTTGTCCATCTCGTCCAGGGCTCGGATCAAGTCGGCATCCAGGAACCGTGTTCTTGGTCTCCTTGATGATGAGGTAGAACCAGTAATAGCTCATTGTCAACAGCACCAGGTTGGAAAGTCGAATGTATGCCGAGGCGAGCGGGCTGATCGGGATGGTTGTGTTTCTCAACTCGCGCCAGACATTGATGGTCAGCATGGTACCATAGACCAGGCGCGCAAAGAAGAAGCTCGAGACAACCTGCCATTCCGTTGATAAAGTACATGACATAGTCGGTCCATCCGAGGTCATTGAGACCCAGATGGATGTTGAGGAAGATTGTACTGACTTCAAACATCATGAAGCACGCGCCATAGTACTGGAGCAGCGGCGAATATGCGAGAATGTAGACACCAAAGGACAGCACAGCGTGGAATCATGAAGCCCCAGCCGTTTACGTGCAGGTTCTGGTAAGTATTGACCAATGTCCCACAAAAAGTAGCTACAAGATTACAGGGTTTAGGATTTGTCAGCAATGTGCAGGATCCTCAGTCACCCATGTAGAACAACATCCTACGATACTTTACCCAACTGTGACAGTGAACGCCTTTTCAGCAACTGGATCCGTGCCGTGGACTGGATCCCTCCTGAGATCCATGTTGGCAATAATTACCAGTGCTTGGGTCACAATAAAGACGGCGTGAGCAATCGATGCCTTCCGGACACACCACTTGTATTTTTGCACCTTGGTCAGACGCGCCCACATTCCCGAAAAGATGAGTGATGTAAGCATGCCCACAACTAGATAGATCAGCTGGAAAGCTGCGGCAGCCATAAGGATACACGGCCAGTACGGGGCCAGTCGTGGGAGCCCGATAGAATTGAAGAAGCTGACCGAGAGCTTGTTATCCACAAGCGTATTGTATACTATGTCAAAGGTTGAACTCATGGCCAGAGCTGAATAACAAAAAATAACTGGTGGAGATATAGAGTAGGCAGGGGTATGGAGACTGTGTGATCAGCTTGGAGAATGTGCGAGAGGAGAACAGAGAGTGGAAGATATCTAGGAGAGCGAGACTGTCAAGGCTCATTTTGGCGAGGTGGTCTCAATGCACGTAAGAGTGGAGTTTGAAAAGGCCATTTTACAAAAAAGTAGCTCGTAATGGCTACAATACATGGAGCAGATATACAAGGCAGTAGCCACATTGGAGTTATTTCTTGCGAAAATAATCAGAATGAAGGTGCATGGAACATACGTTAACGCGCATAAGCCGTAACGCGTATTATTGACACCTCCTTGCTGCCACCGCCACACGCATATGCAATGTTAGTATTTTATTATACGTATAAGCGATGCGAGCACCTCTATTGCCTTTGCTGGGATTGCAGATGTGAAATAGAGGAGGTGGGCAGGAGCAGTATTTGTATGATGGTTTGGGGCGCTCACTCAGTATCCTGGTGGCCATAGGTGCAACTGAAACACTCGGTATCATCGATAAGAAAGCGGCAGTCATGATATAATCAAGGACGACATAAAAGAATCATTAAACTGATAGAAGCAGCCACACATACTCTTCATTGGGTCTTCTTTGCCTTTATCAGCGGTGGCCGGTGTGAAGCGTTTCCGGACAGCGTTGATCATCAGGTAGAACCAGTAGTAGCTGAGCAGCAACACGGACGAATTGCTGACGCGGTAGAAGTAGTACAGCGAAGCCGAGGTCTGGGTGCCGTTGGCCTTCAGATCCTCAAACATCTGGTATGACATGTAGGTACCAAAGATCAGGCGTACGGTCAGGTACAGGAACAGCAGAATCGACGCGTTGTAGAACTGCAGGCGGCTGCCGGTCATGCCCAGCTTGTCGAGCCACCAGTTGATGTTGAGGAAAATGGTACTGGCCTCAAACATGATAAACGACGAGCCATAGTACTGCAGGGAGGGGCGCTACACAAAACAAAGACATGGCACATGTCATTGTTAGTTGGTCAGACACAAATCTATGTTACTAAGAGCCACGTGCAGTGTGCAATCTGGAGTGATATACCAAAATCATTGACATATGCCACACGGCAGCCTTCCTTGACTCAACGCCAGTATATTTGTGGAGATACTTACGAATGAGAGAATATATACACCAAACGATGCGACCGCGTGGACAACGAATCCCACTCCGATATGCTTCATGTCAGAAATGCTAACACAAATATCCCACATGAAATACCTACAGAATAGCACGCAGCGCAGCCATGGCACGAGGTTAGCAGCACGCTCAACGCAACAAAAATACCTGGCATCATGTGGGCCTGCATGCCGCTCATGCCGTTTTCATACAAAGAGCGCACTCCTATTTGGATACTTTACCCACAGACAATGGTGTAGACACACGCGGGGTAGTGGTCGAAGCCGTAGAGCGTGTCCTCGAGCAGCACCTTGTTGAAAAAGATGGGGATGGACATGATGACAACGACAATAGCGTGCACCTGCGACACGACGCGAATCCCCCAGTCGTACTGTTGGCGCGCGGTCAGACTGTCAAACTTTTTGCCAAAGACTATCGAGGACATGGTGTTGGACGACAGGCGCAATAGCTGGAACGCAACAGCAAGACCGAGCATGGCTGGCCAGTAATCGACTAGCTTGGGCAGCCCTAAATAGCTGCACAGCCACTGTGCCTGCGGAAGGTCTACGAGCTGCTGGTAGTGCTCCGCGACCTGGGACGAGAGGGACATGATTGTTTTCGTTAGCTGATAGCAGGCAAGGGCTGGAGAGTAATAGGAATTCAGTAAAAAAAAAAAAAGAAGGAATAGGAGCGTGCCCGGAATTGCAAGCGAGAGAGGATAATAGGAGAATGGAAGGAGGCACAGTAGAGAAAGGTGCTGAGAAGACAGAGCAGGTTTATCGGAAGCAAGGACTCTGGTTCAATACCCGGAGAGGCGTTGTTTGGCTAGAGGACGGAGACGCTTTATAAAAAAGCAACAGGCTGTCCAGGAGTGACCAGGAGCAACACGCTAGCCCAGAGCGAATAATTCCAGCAGGGCGATTGGCTATTTGCTGGGCCAAAACCACACCACCCCGGACATGCGGACACGGCGGAAACCGTCCACTACCGAATGCACGTCCTGCCTTTCCCCACAGTCCAGGGAGGGACAGCGCGTTTTGGGTTGAGCCAGCAGTAGAAACCGCCACGCATATTGGCATATACCCGGAAAAGAAGCTTGCCAGTGGATGTTATTCATGGAAACCGCTTAGGAAAGAGATTGGGAGAGATATGCACAGAGAGCAAATGGAGAATGGACAGGGTTGGCCAGGCGGAGCGGCGGCGACACTGCAGCACACTCTGAACTGAATCAGCGGTAGAACGGGCTGCTGTTGTTGTTTGACGGTGGCGCTGCGGACGGTGGTGGCGAGTAGTGGCCCTCGGGTACAACATGGATCTGCGACGGCACTGCAGGCGGATGCGATGATGACGACAGAGTCTGGTAGTTGTAGAGCTCTGGATCTGTGCGCAGGTGAGCGGCGCCCGAGCCGCGGGTGCCCATGTTGCCGCCGTGTGACACGATCTCGTTGGGGCTAGGCAATCGGTGACATTTCGCGCAGGGGCAGGTCATCGCTATACTTTGGCTCATTCTGCATCCCGAGCTGGTCGTAGGTCTGCTTGTTGATTTTGTAGCGCACGGCCCCGTTGATGTCCATTCGGCCGAAGCGGCCCTTCTCGGAGTCGGGCTCGGCCGGGTAGCGGCCTGTCAGCGGCGCAACCATCCACCGCAGCTCGTACCAGATCTCGTAGATAAAGTCCATGAAGTTGAGCGAATCGATGAAGGCGCGCTTGGTTGATGTGCGGCCAACGCCATCGGGACGGCGGTACGGTTCAACGGGGAACGCCTTGATGAACAGCAGCCCGAACAGCACCATCTCAATGCAGATGATCAGCGCAGTCAGCCCCTCAACGACGTTGTCCTTGGACCAGTACTTTGTGCCCTTGATGACATGGATGTTGCTGCTTCCGAGCCATCGAGATGATGAAGGCCTCCCAGAACGTTACAAACACAATTGCCTTGATGGCCATGAACTTTATCAGCGGCTTGTCCTGTTTGATATCCTCTTTGATGACACGGTACAGGGACACCAGTGCATACATGGCTACTGTGATGGAGATAAAGTCGACGCACGCAATCCACACGTGCGCGTACTTTGGCCGCATGCTGTCTGGGCAGAACACGCCCTTGGCGTGCGTGATGATGGTGATGATGGTGTTGGTGGGGCTGACAATGACATATTGCATGATTCCCCACTTTAGCAGAATGAACGTCCGGCGGCCGGCTGGGTTCATCTTTATGCATCCGAACGGGAACGTCCACTTTATGCCGCGCTTGGACAGCATGGCCTTCTTCTGCTCCGCCGACGAGGCTCCAATGTACTGCAGCAATAGCATGTAGAACGACGCAATCGCAAAAGCCTCGTAGCAGTCGCGCACAGCAGTGTAGTACGGAGCCTCGCGGTAGAACCGGTAGCTGAGGAACGAGATAATGCTATAAATCGGAATCATGAGGCAGATTCGGACAATGTGACGCTGTTGGCTTGGCTACAATAGCATAAGTACATTCGGATTGAGGAAAGTTGCTGTTCCTGTGCAACCTCAGCAGTCGGTGCGGAATTTTGCCGATGGAATAATTCCATGGGCGACGGATGTGCGGTCTACGTACCACGGTGTAGTTCTTAAGGTGCCGAACAATATGGATGCCCGAGAGAATGGTAGCTACCAGAGCAAACACGCCAGCAACTATCCAGCCGACCTTGTGCGCATTGAACTGGTACCATGCCAGGTTGTCGGAGCCGTGCATAGTGACCCAGCAGCCTTCGCTGCCAGTTGCGTACGGGTCAGTGCCGTTGCCCGTGCCGTTAGAATCAATCCACTCGAGCCGGTGTATTCCTAAGGCCATGGCGGATATGAGGACCAAGATAAAGTCTGCAGAGTATTAAAGATGGAAAAAAGGATGGAAATGGTGGAAAATAGAAGGGAGGAAAAAGAACAATGTTGGCAAAGGCATCAAGCGCAGAAAGACAGTGCTTGCCTATTTATAGCGTGCGCGCGGCAAGGCGCAAGGCCCATGCATGCAGAGACTGCTGCTGCTGGCCATACTCTTCTGCCCCAGCAAAGTCACAACAGCCAATGTCCCCGTAGACGGCTGTCCTTTGTCTTGCCCGCCACTATACGACCCGGCGATGGACCTCCGCAAGGCCAGAGTGCGTCGGATGTTGAGACTGAGCAACGGAAGCAGGATGCGTTGATTTCTGGACGCGCCAAGAACCCGCATCCCCTTTTCCGTTCCAGCAAATTTGCAGACAATCCGCCTATTATTAGCCCGGCAATAGAATGGAGGGGAAAGGCAGATGAGAGGGCAGCGAGGAGACAGGTGTAAGGCGACGCCACTGACGGCAGCGCGCTCTGCACCTGATATATTGCTGGATCAAAAATGAACACGCTCATTTATTAACTTGCTCACATATACAAAGGGCTTAGCGGGCCTCGAACTGGACCATCTTCTTGGTGCGCTTCTTGTACAGGATGCGGTACCCGCACTCGCGGCAGCGGATCGGCTCCTTGGGCTTGATGTCGTTGTCGGCACCGCAATCCGCGCACATGTACGTCATCTGGACCGGCTGCTGTCTGATGGGAGCCGGCTGTCCCTGGTACTGCATGCTCACGTCCATGATGTCAGTGGGAAGTTACAAATGAGAAATACAAGCAAAAAATTTTTTGACGGCGACGCAACTGAAAAATTCTGCCAGCGCCAACTTGTACCTGCGCATTTTTTGCTGGCCGTCGCCACAGCGTATGGGGTCTGGCAATAAAAATCGCATGATCCGCAGAGCCGTGATTACTCAGCCAATTGCCGCAGATCTGCTCGAGCTACACACGGAGCGGCAGCTTTTTTTTGTTGAGGGGAAAAAACTGCAGCATATATATTTTTTTCGATCTCTTTTTGAAGGCCTTCCCTCTCTTCCAGCCTTCCACTGCCCTCAATTCGCTCCTCGTCCTCTTCACACACATTTAGCACATATAAACCATGACTCGTGTTCGTCGCAAGCGCATGCACTGCAACAACAAGGAGTTGCACCACAAGTACAAGACAAAGCGCCGCACCAAGGATCTCGACCAGATCCAGGAGGACCTGCTGCCCGAGAACCGGTCAAAGTTCCAGAGCATGCCCGAGGATGAAGACCTGCCTGGCCTCGGCCAGCACTACTGCATCGAGTGCAGCAAATTCTTTGTCAACGACCTGACACTAAAGGAACACAAGCGCGCCCGTGAGCACAAGCGCCGCATCCGCGACCTCAAGGTGCCCGCATACACACAGAAGGAGGCCGAGGCCGCTGCAGGCCTGACAACAGACAATGGCAAGAGCCTTGCCATGTCAGGCCGGGTCGCTGGTCCCCAGTCGCTGCTGTCGCTGAAGCAAAAGAACGAGGCGGCCAAGGCGGTCCAAGGCCGACGCAGCACCCGTCCAGGCGATGGATGTCACTGCAGTCTAGGCTATCCACCTGCGTTGACCTTCAAATAAACAATTCCGTGTATGTGTGAAAAGGACTGCATCTCCGATGGAGGCCATCGTTAGTTAACATGCGTATGTATGTTTGTGGCACAGACAATGAAACGCATACACAGTATGCGTAGAGTCACGATATTTAGGCCAAGTCGATATGCGAGAGATAGTGGGTCGAGAGAAAGGCCTGGCAGCAGAAATGAATAGATGGAATTGATGTATCCGCAATTACATTCTGTCTGACTGTAGGTGGTGATTGTCACCACCAACAGCGACGTAAACAACCTCCAAGAATATTCAAACATATATTCAGCAATTTAACGTGTAATAAAGTGCGCATGTTATTGTCATGTTACTGGATGGACTGTTAGACAATAATTTTACAATCAGAGAAAAGCTTGGTCAGTTTCTTTTGGCCGATAAGAGTCAAAATTCCCTCGATCTGTTCATCAGTCGGGTCTGGGATGATATCCTTGGTGGATTGTTTTCCAGATAATCGCATGCTTTTTTCAAGTCGCCTGGTGAACCACCAACTGTTATTGCCACCAGCCTTCTGGATAAAGGGTTCGCTTGGTTGCTCTATTCATCTCGAACACACTTGAGTTCAGAGTTAGCTTAGCTTGAGCGCAAGCAGCGTTAGCGACGAAGATGACCGGCCGAAATGATCTTGAAGAGCTGCATATTTGAATAAAATAAAATAAAATAAAAATAAAGAAACGAAGGTGGTGGGCAACTAAAGAGACACCAGCTATTTCGCAATATTTATGTCCTCCAGAGCACAGCTGCCACATAACTGTAATGCACCGTATTGGCATAATGTTGCTGGTCGGTTGTCTACAGAAACGCCACCAGCCCTGAAAGGATATGGCGTGGCAGCCTTTCCCAATAATAAGGGAATCAAATGGCACAACACTATGTGCCACATACGCCAACAGCCTCAAGGATTAATAGTGATGCAAGGGTTCTCTTGGCGTTTTAATATTAGCGCTTCATTTCAAATCTATAATCATATCGCCCAAAGGCATGTGTCTTGTACTGCTCTGGCAGTTCGACTTGGAAGTCTTCCACAGCTCCACTCTGACAGTTTGTGTCGATGGGGGCTAGCAAGATATTGCACTGGTGCATGAAGTAACTGCAAATACATATGATATCGTGCAATTCGCCGCATACCTATGTGTATGTGGTATTAGGGATAGTTAACGTAACAAGGTATTGATATGCAACGGTTGACAACCTATTTAATCAAGCATTATATCAACTCATCTACACATGTCATATTGCCTGTAGCCGTTCCTCAAGGGCTGTGTCTGAATAGCAGTTGCTGCATCACCTGATAGGCCCAGTGCGAACTGTAGTGTCTTTGGAACAATCGCTCATGCACATTTTGTATCCGCCTCTTTTGTCTCCTGTTCTCCAATAATCAGAGTTCCAAGTTTCGGTCTGCACGTCCCAGCTTGTGGCATTCCGAAGAACATTGTGAAGACAATATTTCCTACAAAAAAGATAATAGATCCCTAACATTTTACACTACCGTTTCTGGCTTTATATAGCATGCAATCCAGGATCCTTGGCCGTTCAGTTGTCACCCTCTATTCCTCCTTTCAATATTTTTGCAATGCTTTTCATCTAACCATCATCGCCAGTCATTTAAAAACGCCAGTCCTGCTGTCCACTTGTGCAAGGGCCTCGATGGGTCGCTTGACGGCCTATGTACTCAGGTCCTATGCTCAATGATTGCGTTCATCATGGGATTGTGCATTTTGGATCATGACCAGCATCCTCCTGTCTATCAAGGTATCTACACCAACGAGAAATGCTCAAACATTGCTGTTGATGATTCGCAAGATATGCTCTCGCTTCTTTGCCAGTCGAGCTTTTCCTGCTACAAGGCACTTCTGCTTGGGAAATTCTCATATGTCGAGTTTAGAGAGCTGGTGGACGAGGCTTTGGACCGGCTAGATGGACCTCCTGGCGGCCTCGATGGCCCCTGCATGCAAGGATTTTGCTAGAATGATGGACTGTGGTGGCTGTAGGGAAGCCCAGCAGAAATGAACTTCTTTTGGTAGCTACTAGGCTGCGGATCAGCACAGCATGTGGATTTGTTTCCTAAATGTCTACGCTATTGCTGAGAACTGGTACTCTGTCCCAAACGAACCGTCATTCATCTGTCCTGGCGCTGATCACCCAATCGCAATCCATGCCAACCGATGTGATCAATTACAGCGTGATCGGCTAAATCTGCCCAACAAAAAAAAGTTCTTTGTTGAACAGCAGGCTTGGTAGAGCTCCCAATTCTTCTGTTCTCCTTGAATACCTTCGACTGTCTTCTACATACTCACTATTTTGCAGCAGCACCAGACAGGCCAAAAAGAACATGGATCTAACGGAGAAGGAGGTTGCGTTTGGCAAAAAACTGGCGCACGTGGACAAGGAGGTGCGGGACCAGGCGGTGGGCAAGCTGTCGGTATTCCTGTCACAGGACACTGAGCTGGAGTACATGGAGATGCTGCGGCAGTGGAAGGCGCTGTTCTACTGTTTTTGGCTCTCAGACAAGCCGCTGGTGCAGCAGGAGCTGGCATGGAACCTGGGCAACATGATCCTGGCATGCAAGGGCGTGAACCGCGGCAGGTTCCTGCAGGCATTCTGGGAGACGATCTGCCGCGAATGGTCGGCGCTGGACAAGCACCGGATCGACAAGTACCTTCTGCTTCTGCGCCGAGTGGTGTTCTTTTCGCTCAAGTCGCTTGAGCAGAGCTTCGTGGGACGCGGAGCTTGTTGGCGAGTATGCTCAGATCTACGGCACGTTCCCGCTGCATCCGACGAATCTGCGGATCCCGCACAGCGTGCGCACGCAGGTGGCGAATGTGTTTATTGACGAGCTGGTGCGGTTAAATTCAGAGATGCTCAAGGAGGAGCGCGATAACACAGACATGCCGGTAGGTGCGCTTCTGGAGCCGTTTGCGCGGTTCATCGGGGCCACCACGATCCGGCATCTGCCGCCGATTATCCAGGAGTCAGTGTTTGACAATATGGTGGTGCGGATTGCCGAGGCTGAGGAGGCCCAGATGAGCAAGGGCTCGGATGACGAGAGCGAGTCCGAGGACGAGCTGCACGACAACGAAATCACCAGCGAGACGATCGAGAAGCTGCAAATATTGGTGGACCAGATGAGCAGCATAAAGAAGCATGTGCTGGATGTGGCTGGCGAAGAGAAGCTGACGTCGCTGGGACGCAAGCGGCTGCATGCGCTGTACCAGGGGCTGTGCGAGACGTTCCCCGAAGAATCCGATATTCTGCTCGGCGGGCCGATCACGGTGCGCGAGCCGGTGGGCGCGCAAGAGCGCAAGCGGGCAGAAAAAGTTCAAGCGCAAGCTGGAGAAGAAGACCAAGGAGCGCAAGGAGAAGAAGGCGTCGCTGCGGGCCATGATTGACTCGAGCAATGTCGATTTGGACATCAACGCGCTGGTGAACACGGCCACCGAGGAGGAGAAGCGGCAGTACGAGCGGGACGTGCAAAAGATCCAGGAGCTGAAGAAGAAGGCGGGCGTGGAGAGCGACGACAAGCCGCTGAGCAAGAAAGACAAGCGGGCGCAGAAGAAGAAGGTGCAGAAGACCGACTAGCAAGCCGGTTGTTGCCAATGAGGAGATCCCGGAGCTGGTACCCATCAGCGAGCCGGTGAAGGCCAAGAAGCCCCGCATTGACGTCAGGGTCAACGCAGACGACGACAGCTGGGTGGTGCGCGATAAGCCCTCCACGCGCAAGCGCGCGCTCCAGGAGGAGTCGGAATTCGTTGTCAAGGAGAAGAAGCAGACAGCAGCCAAAAGGATCCAGCCGGTCGCAGTGCCCGCAGATGGCTCGCCAGGCTCCTCGAAGAAGCAGCTCAAGTGGGCACTGGAGCGCAATTCGGTCAAGCGGTTCCAGAAGAAGGTGCCGCTGATGGCCATGGGCGAGCCGGTTGTGACGCCGCCGGTCATCAAGCTCAAGTCGGCACTGCGCAAGGAATCGGCATACGGCGATGCGTCGCCCGAAGAGTCGCCGCTCAAGCGCGTGCGGCGGACGCCGGCCGCGGGCAAGAAGGCCAAGCGAGGAAAGCGCGCGGCAATCTCTTTCTAGACCAGCTTTTCCCGGAGAAATAATTTACCCCTCTTTTGCAGCTATAAAAACAAGGCGGCCCAGCTTCCAGCAGACGCAGCGCACTTCCTTCCTCACTATCTCTAAAATTGCAACTTTAAGAAATGACAGCTCGTTCGTTTGTCCAGACCGGTCGCAAGATCGTCGCCATCGGGCGCAACTTCAGCGAGCACGCCAAGGAGCTGGGCAACGCGGTCCCCACAAAGCCGTTCTTTTTCCTCAAGCCGACGTCGTCGTACGTCACGTCTCCAGGCACGATCGAGATCCCTGCCGGCTGCACAGTCCACCATGAGGTCGAGCTGGGCGTGGTCATCGGCAAGTCTGGGCGCGACATCCCCGCGGCACTAGCCTCCGAGCACATCGCTGGGTATGCGCTGGCGCTGGACCTGACAGCGCGCAACGTGCAGGATGAGGCCAAGAAGAAGGGCCATCCGTGGTCGGCGGCCAAGGGCTACGACACATTCACACCCGTGGGCGAGTTCATTCCGAACGAGCCAGATCAGGGACCCGCAGAACGTGCGTTTGTGGATTGAGGTGGCCGGACAGATCAGGCAGGACGGCGTCACAGATGCCATGATCTTCCAGATCCCGCAGCTGGTCGAGCACGTCAGCAAGATCATGCGCCTGGAGGAGGGCGACCTGATTCTGACCGGCACCCCCAAGGGTGTCGGCCCCATTCTGCCCGGTGAGACCGTTGTTGCGGGCCTGGAGTCCGAGGGGACCGAGCTCAGCAGGATTGAGTTCCAGGCCGTAGCCCGGGATTAGCGGTTACGGCTTGTGATCGCTAGCAGATGACGTGGGCTGCAGGAATTGGCTCCCTGTGCAGCGCGTCCACCTGGCCGTATAAAATGGCAGGAGAGAGGAAACTTTCCAGCCAGCCTGCGCTTTCTTCTTATCTTGCTATCTTTCTTTGCAATAGACCAATGATTACCAGGAGCTCTATTCTTGCCCTTACCGCCGGTCTGGCGCTGCTGCCAGCCGCCCTGGGCATGTACGGCGCCGGGTCGCCGGTGGCCGAGCTGACGCCAAAGAACTTTGAGAAGACAATCACAAAGTCGCAGCTGCCAAAGTTTGTCAAATTCTACGCGCCGTGGTGCGGCCACTGCAAAAACCTCGAGCCCGAGTACAACAAGGCTGCGCGGAACGCTGTGGGCTCGGCCAAGTTCTTTGCTGTCAACTGCGACGAGGACGCAAACAAGCCGCTGTGCGGTGAATACAACGTCCAGGGCTTCCCCACCATCAAGGTCTTCACCGGCAAGCGCAGCAAGAAGGGCAGGCTGAGGAGCAGCGACTACAATGGCGAGCGCACAGGCCAGCGCCCTGGTCCGCCACGCAAGGGACGCCGTGCCTAATCTCAGCAAGCACGTGACGGAGGACGGGCTGACCGGCGGTGCTGGAGAGCGCCAAGCGCCCGACTGCGGTGTTGCTGTCGGAGCGCAAAAAGGTTGCATCGCTGTGGAAGAGCCTGAGCGCGCAGTTTGCCTGGCAAAATCGACTTCTCGCAGGTGCCAGCCGCCAGCCAGGAGCTGATGGCCAAGTACGGCGTCAAGAGCCTACCGGCCATTCTCATGTTCACCAACCCCGACACCTACGACGTCTTCCCCGACAAGACGCATTGGGAGCCACGCACAAAGTTCGTCGCCGTGGCCAAGTGGATGCAGCAGGTGCAGGGCGGTAAGAAGCCGCGCAGGAGCCTGGGATCGGTCGATGAGATTGTGAATCAAAGAGGACCTGGAGCGTCTCTGCATTGGTCCTGCCGATGCCTCGCCCGTCCCCGTGGTCTGCGTGATCGGCGTTGTCCCGCTGGAGCCCGAGTACGAGGAGTCGCGCGAGGATCCATGCCAAGACTATCCAGCAGCTCACCAGCATCCTCAACAATCCAGAAGCTGGTCACTCAGCATGCGCGGGTCGAGGACGACGATGACGAGGATGATGAGGATGGCGACAAGGAAGGAGAGCGTCTGCCGCCGTTGCGTGTCTCGTGGGTCAATGCCTTGTCGCCGGTCGGCATGCGCATCCGCGAAATGTTTGGTTTGTCGGATGATCCTGCCGGTGGTGTTTGCTGTTGACCCGCGCAAGAGCGCGTCGGCGCTGTACCGTGGCGCCTTTGAGGAATCAGAGATCCAGCAGTGGGCTGAGGCCGCCGCTACTGGTGTCGGCATGCGTAGGTTCCTGTTTAATCTCGACGTGTCTAAGCCCAAGCAGAGCAAGGAGCGCGCCAAGGACGAACTGTAGATGCCAACGGCGCCGCAGCATAGTTTTTAAAACCATTTATCAGAATCAATTTTTCTATTCAATCAGTCTCCATGGCATCGCCGGGTGGCAGAATCGACGACTGACTGCCCGGCCTGCACCTCTTCCATGTCGTCAGCCTCATCGTCGCCCATGTCCTCCTCATCCTCAAGCCCATCGGCCTCGTCCTGTTCCTCAAGCATCTCCAGATCAACCTCATCCTTGTCATCGTCCTCCTCGTCCTCCGTCCTCGTCCTCCTCGCCGCCCTCATCGACGATATCGTGGCTGCCATCATCCATCGCCCGCTCCTCCTCCTCCTTGACCTCGGGCTGCGCCTGGCGGCTGCTCCTCGCGCAGCGGGATCGTCCCAGTTGATCGGGAACCGCGTGACGCGCGGCTTGTCTGCCAGGATGCTGCGGAACACGCGCTCCAGGACCGGCACCTCGGGCGGGCTCTGCTGCAGCTCTTCGTCACTTATACGCGTTGTCCACGTAGTACCCTATCCGAACAAACTCCTTGGTCTTGTACGAGCACGTCAGCAGAATCACCGTCACCCCGATTATGTCCTCCTTCGGCAGCTTGTGCACTTGCGGCGCATCTGCCTCAAACACAAACTTGTTCACTCCCACCGGCACCGGCCCCACCAACAGCGAGTCCAGTTCCTGGTCCAGCGTCGTGTTCTCGGCCGAGCCAACGTACACCAGCTTGAACTCGAGATCTATAGCCCATGAATCGTGCCCGTTAGCTGGCGCAATCGTCCTTGTGCTCTTGGCTTTTTGTATTGGGCTCACTTACCGTCGTCAAGCTGTGACAGACACTCGAACGTGATTTCAAACTTGTACGGGTCCATGAAATGGCCCTGCGGCTCGAGAATAGTAACGTTCGTAATGTTAACAACGCTCATGCTGAAATTAAATACAAGGACTACAGAACAAGAGAAATGGCCCGGCTGAATTGGAGAAGAGAGATGTGCAGGAGCAATTTTTTCTTCTGGTCCATGCCAGTATTTACGGTCTGCCACGGAACACGAACACGAACCGAAACTGCAACGCGTTAATTAATCGATTCGATCCCTATGTGATTAACTATATTTTGTTGTCTTTTGTCTGATATTTGCTTTGAAAGCATAGTTCAAATGAGGGGGATGGAGCACTTCCATCGCACATGTTGCAGTAAGAATTGGGTGGCGGTTGGGCTGCGGTCGGCAGCAGATGGCGTGGTGGCCACGTAAGGGACAAAGCGAGACACCCGGCTAGAGCAGAGAGCTAGCTCTACTGCGCACCGACTACTATCGAGCTTGGAATGTCCGGCGTCCAACGTTGATTTTGGACGCAGCACGAGCTGGCTGCCTCGGTGGTGTCCACTACTAGCGATGAAGCTGTGGTCGTGTCACCGACTAGCATTTGCTAACGCAATGGCTAATCGACTATAATTAAGGCCGAGTACCTCTGATCACGCCGTCGAGGTATACGCCCCTGTTGAGCATAAAGCACATTCCACCGAACAGCGCCTCCTCCCGATCGTCCCGCTTTGCGCCGCATCCGGGACGGTAATTTTGACGCTGTGTGGCGTCGGTGTTATCGAAAATTGCACAATGCACTGAAATCTTTTTGGGTGCCAGGCGCGGATCCCCTGTTTATTCATTGATTCTTTTGCGCGAGGAACAAACCACGGTCTTAGAGCCGAGGACCGGGAGAAACAAAACACTTCTGTGTTCATTGTGGTCCTCCGTTGAAAAAAAAGATGGAATACATGGATTCTTTTTTGACAAAAGTGCTTGTCGTTTCGTCAACAGAGAAGGATTATATTGTTCACAGATTTTAAACACTAGTAAAGAGAAAAACGGGGTTTGTATGAGCGGGATATACAGTCCTCCCCTTTTTTCATGTGTATGTTCAGCTAACGGCAATGACCGGCCAGTCGCGGTTGGGCGACGCGCCAGTTGAACCGCTATCCCTCTTTGCTGCCACGGCGGCTGCATCTCCAGACTGGTTGGTGGTGGTCGGCCAGTCACGGGGCAACGGCGACGCAGACGACACGGTGGCCACAAGCAAGATGGCCAGCGAAACGATAACAGAACGCATTGTGTGTATGTGGTAAAAAAAAAAAGTATGGTCGTGAGCGCGGTCGTCCGGATGAAAACTCTCCTGTGGATAATTTTGTCTAGTGGCAAAAAAGGAGAGGTGCAAGGAGGCTGAAGGGAGGCAGGAGGAGAAAGGGAGCGGAATGTGGGAGCGGAGGAGAGAAAAGCTGTTCAATGATGAAATGAGACATCTTGTCAAGCCTGAGGATGTGGCAAACGTATTTATATGCCAGCCAGCGGATGAAACTCCAGCATTTCCCAAGCGGCAACAGACAAAATAGAAGGCGGGGAGGGGGTGCGAGTCGCAATTTACTTTCTCGCAGTTACCAGGAGGAAAATGGAATGTGGCAAAAGCCGGGCGTCTTGGGTGGGCGTTGCTCAGCACCACGCAGTGCAACCCCCCGCCTTTGGGAGCCTCATTTTCCGGGTTCCGTCGGTATTTTTCGCTTCCTAAAGCGTACAGTTTTCTGCAGTATGCTTTCTCCCTCGCCACTCATTTGTGTGTTTCGAGTCGTGTGTGAAGACTCGAAGGGAGCCAAACCCGGGCTTCCCCCAGAGACCACAGAATCCGAGGCAATATGCTCAATCTCCGGGACTCCAAGGCGGAGTGAGCAAGTGGAGTAAATGAACCTGCTCTGCTTTTTCTGGCTGGCGCACACCGCTCTCAAACATCCCGCCCATGGGCATATGTCCGAATAGCCGGAGCGCAATTTCGTGCCTTCCTCATTATGCACACTGGATTTGGAATGCATGTTTCGGCTTTGCGCGCTCCCAAATACAGCGAAATTTCGCGATGGTTAAAAAAGAAAAACAACGCCATTTGCAATACGCTCGCTCGCCCACCGCCACTTGCCGATTCTCTTGAAAATGAGCCTTATCTATATGGCCCCACCTCGTCATTATCACCCAGTGTTTTCCTCGCTCATGCCGGGCAGTTACTTTCTGTGACCCGGCGGTTTAGATTTCCCGTGGCGGATAATGCACATCTGAATTCACAGCCCCACCGTCCCCCTCTCGTTTCCGCCATCTGCTGCTACTGCTCGGTTTTTTGTTCGCTCATTAACACCAGCAGGGTAACTGCTAATTGCGCCCGGAAATGTACTGCGTCAGATATACGTATGCTTCAAATAGTGCCGCAGGGTTACGTTTCCGGAACATGCAGAGACTTGGCAATAACGTCGGGGCACGTTTGAGGAATAGCACCTTCGGCAGATCGCTCATTCCAGTGTATTTTGCCCAATATGATATGGACCGGACCCGGCGCTTCTCGAATCACTGCGGTATATGCCTGGAGCGGCTGTGGGTTCATTCGGGCATGCATTATAAATGGATCCGCAAGGCTTCCTTAACTGGCGCTCACAGTACATTATATTCGCAGCTAATTAAGCAATGGGCCTGCCAGGCGGAACATTCCACTCATTAACAGCAATTGTTGGACAAGGAGATGCATTCTGCTGCTGCGGCTCTGTATTGTATCGTGCTAATTTTAAGAAAACTGCTTGGCATCTTGGGCTCGCTTGGCAGCATCGGCAAGGATATTCAAACTCGCCGGACTTTTCACACATGCTCCGGAAGATACTGCCTTGTCTGTTGAGCAAGTTGGCCGGAGTGTCAAACTCGGCAACCTTGCCCTTGTCCAGTACCAGCACGCGGTCATAGTCGATGATGGTGCGCAGCCGGTGAGCAATGCAGAACAGGGTCGAGTCGGCAAACTCGGAGCCACGGATCGTGCGCTGGATACGGTCATCGGTATCGAAATCGACCGACGCCGTCGCCTCGTCCATGATGATCAGCCGCGACTGGCGCACCAGAGCGCGAGCCAGCGCCACTAGCTGACGCTGACCCAGCGACAGGTTCTGGCCATTCTCCTTGATCTCGGCCTCCAGGCTAGTGAATATGCCCTGACATGCGCTCCAGCGAGCTGTCGATGGCATTGCCTTCAAACACGCTGATTGCGGTGCTGGCGGTCTGGCTGCCACGCTCGCGCACCAGATGCGCACGGTGCAGCGCATCCCACACAATCTCATCGGGTACTCGCTGAACGGGTCGAGGTTGAAGCGGATAGTGCCGTTGAACAGCACTGGGTCCTGCGGGATGATGGTGACATTGCGACGGAGATCCTCCAGGCCAATCTTCGAGATGTCGACCCCGTCGAGCACGATCCGGCCCTTGGCTGCCTCGATGAACCGCAGGAACGCCAGCGACAGCGTCGACTTGCCAGCGCCGGTGCGGACCAACCACACCAATCTTCTCGCCGTGCTTGATCGACATGCTCAGGCCATGCAACACTGGGACATTGGGCACGTACTCGACGACCAGGTCCTCAATCTCAAGGATCACCAGTCCTGGGCCAGTTGCTGGCGGGCTTGTTCTCGGGCGTCGACTGAGCGCTGGCCTCCTGGTCAAGCTTTAGATACTGGCTGACCCGCTCAACACCGTTCATGCTCAGCTCGTTATCGCCATAGTTCCGGATGGCAGACAGCATATAGTCTTTAAACTGCAGTGCATGTACCAATGCAAATCCAGCAAGACCGGCGTCGAAGCTGTGGACATTCCACAAGATGAAGAAAGCGCAGAAGAACGACACCGTTGCACCTGCGGCATCAAGTCGGACGGACATCCAGCGGGTCGACACCATTGTCAGGTAGAATGGGCGATTCAGCTCATCTGATCTGTTAATAGCCTCCATGATGTAGTACTTTTTGAGACCAAATGCGCGGATCGACGATACACCCTGTATCAGTTCGCCAAACAGCGACAGCAGCGGCGCTGAGGCGTTTGACTCAAGTCGCTTCAGCTCGCGGGTTGAATCCAAGTAACACTTGGCAATCACCACGTATGCGACTACGATGGCAACAGCAACAAAAATGAACGGCGGCGTAACTGCAGTGATGATGATGATAACACCCAATGCAGAGGTGAAGTCTGCGAGCATCCAAATGAGTGGATCCAGCGTATCTGTGCCAATCGATTCCATATCGCGGGAGAACCGGTTAATGATCCGACCGAATGGTGTCGAATCAAAGAAGCGTGGTGTAGCATGGACAACCGACCTGATCAACTTTGCATGCACATTTCTGGCGGCTTTGATCACTCCAGAATATGCATAGGCAGCCTTGATAAACAGCGCAAAAACTTCGATGACACCGATTGCCAGGTAAATACCGAATCCAAAACGATACTGTATGCTGGCCGACTATGTTGGTGTTTGCTGTTGGTGATACTGTGTCGATGGAATCGCGTAGAACCACGTGTGGAGATGCTGTGTTGTTTGCCTCTACCCAGATGCGGATCCAGTAGTCTTGAACAATCAGAAGCACGTCGGTCAGGGAGTTTAACAAAAGTACAGCAATCCAGTACCAATGGCTTCCGCATGCTGAGAAGAACATGCCCCAAACCTCCATTTTGACCCGTCCAGTCTCACGCTCCTCGTCCTCAACCAAAGTTCCTTCAAGGTTTACCGGATTGATACCTGCACCCAAGCCCCCATCAACGACCAGTTTGTGCAGTCCTCTTGCTGTTGTACTCGTCTTCCGATGTCGGATCATTGACAGCCTTGACTCGCTCGGCATTGCCATCATCTTCGATGTCATCAACCTCTTTGCCCTTCGATCCATCCTCAGCCTTTGTGTCGTCCTTGGTGTCGAGCTCAGCAAGAGTCGCCGAGAACTTGCCCATTGGCCTTGCAGTTCCTGCGGATTTCCCTTGAGCGCAATCTCACCCTCACGCATCACCACGATGTACTGCGCATACGGAAGGCACATCGACACATGGTGGGTGACGAGGACACAAGTGCGGCCTGCATCAGCGATGTCTTGTTCAGCAGGCATTCCATCAAGGATGTGCTTGGCAGTGTGCGCATCGACAGCTGACAGACAATCGTCAATAAGCAGGATCTTGCGGTCCGAGTACACAGCACGCGCCAATGCAACGCGCTGCTTCTGGCCACCCGACAGCGTCACGCCGCGCTCGCCAATCTCGGTCTGGTCGCCAGCAGTCAGGATCCGCAGATCGGGCTTCAGTGCACAGACACGCAGCACCTCCTCATAGCGCTGCTGATCATACGGCTCGCCGAACAGGATGTTCTCGCGGATGGTGGCATTGCGCAGCCATGCCTCCTGCGCAACATAGGCAATATCGCGAATTGCCATCTGTTCGCGTGACAGCTCGATAACGTCTTGATAGCCCTGGTTCGAAGCGATGCTCTGGTCGGCATTGACAGTTGGCAGCTGAATAGACCCGCTGATCAATGTCATCTCGCCAATGAGCGCTGACAGCAACGACGACTTGCCACTGCCCGTTGGACCAGCAATGATTGACAAGCCACCAACAGCGGAAGTGAACATTGATGTCCTTGAGGCCTGAATGCAACCTTATCTGGCTGCTCCTGCTGGCTGTCCAACGAAGCATCTGAACGGGTCGAAGCGTCCGATATCAGTGGTGTGTTCTCGTCGACCTTCGCCATATACCCAGTATCATCGGCTGAATTAGTTGAGCTGTCTTTCCCATGTGTGTCCCAGACTAGACTAGCCTTGACAAATCCCAGCACATCACCACTGCCATCTACTCGACAGATCCGCTCTTCGAGGTCCTGGGCCTGAGGCATCACAAGGATATGAATCGATACGTTTCAGCGACACATAGCTTGAAATGGCCCAGCTCAAAAAGGTCGGGGAAACGCTCCAGTGAAATTCGCAGGAGCTGGCAACACCGAATCGTTGTAAATGCAACCTCAGGCATTGATCTGATGTCCGAATATGCCGGTATATGACGCAAGTATCAGTACCATGACGATCATCGGTGACAGAGACGTGACGATGGATGCATAGGCCCAGCCGAGTAGCCATCTCCACGTTGAATCCCAGCTGCTTTTCGTGGATGCGCATCGATCTTTTTGAGGAACTGGGACTCCCAGCCATAGAGCTTGACAGCCTTAATTCCTTGCAGAAGCTCTGTAATCGCTTCCACACGCTCGTCGCTCAGCTCCAAAGTTTTCTCCTCAAGATCCGACAGATAGCTGAATAGTTTCCTTGTCAGTGGGTAGTACGGAATCACGATCGAGAATCCGATGAGCGATGACCATCCCAGCAGCTTGAACATGTAAATGACACCAATGACTGTTGACAGAGGCAGCGTGTACAGGTCATCCAGGTAGGCGACGATCTTGGTGACACGGTTGAGATCTGTGGTGAGCAGATTCATTATTTTGCCATCTGTTGCTTCCTGCGCCGACTCTAACCCATCGTCGCTGCTATCCTCATCGTCATCGCCCGTGACGCCCTCAAGTGATCCCTTTGCGCGACGGTTCAAGGTCTTGGTAGACAGCTCGCCAACCAAGAGACCCTTCATGCGGAAATCCATATGACGGCCAATCCACATCGCTTGGTCAATAAGCTGCATATTTAGGAATGTGAAGACGAACAGCCCGAATGCATCCAGATATGCACTACGGATCGATTTTGCTGGAGTACCACCCACGGTAGTATTGCCAATAATCTCGATTGACTGCAAAATGCGCTGCAGGAAGAACGGACCAGAGTAGCTTAAGTACTGCGACAGCCACAGAAAGCAGCAGCTGAGTGAGGAGCTGAGGGGCAAACGTCAGCATTAGCGACAATAGCAGAGACCGACCTGGTTTGCGGTGCTTTGCATAGCGGCTCCAGTTTGGAATCGCCGTGTCACTCGTATCCAGTTTGTAAAGATCCGCATAATCGAGCTGACGACGAGAGCCCTTGTAGAATATGTCGCTGACCCACGAGAATGTGAATGTATCGAGCCACGAACCACTGTACTCGGGTGTATCGACCAGGGAAGGAGAGCCATTCTTTCCACGTGTTTGTGCCAACGGCGTTTCGACAAAGTCTCTGTCCGACTCAGCATCCACATATTCCTCGGTCTCATCGGTGCAGGGTTGGTGTGGGCGGAGGAAAATTGCACGGTGCTGCGCGGCTCCATGGAGGAAAAACAAGACAGCGTTGGTGACTGTAATCAAGAGCAAGTAGCGCGAACGCTGCGAGGCACCAAACCAGAACGGAGTGTCACTGTTCTCGGGTGTGAAGAACGAGAAGTAGACCTCAAGCAAGTCCAGGGCAAGTAGAATACCAATAGCCCCGGTCAAAAACGGCGGAAACAGCCCTCTGTACGAGATGCGATCGGCAGCGCGCATGAAAGCCGTGTAATAGAATACCGATGCTACTGCGATCGCCAGCATGGCTAGTACAAGGCCGCCAGAAAATAGCCTCTCGGGTGTTGCTTTGGCAGAAAACTGCCATCCGAGCGAGAGTCCGGCCAAAAGAATCGACAGCAGGGTACTGGCCGCACCGATCGTAGGCACGGTTGTCAATCAGACGGGTGTTGCCCGGTGGGCGGCGAACTGGCTTTGAATCCTCAGCTACGGCCAAGCTTTTGGACAATAGGTTTGACAACAGCTAGAGCCGATCCAGCTGCTGTGATCAACAGAGTGATCGAAGGGAGCAAGACTCCAAACCGGAAGCAGTCGCTGTGCAGAGACCAGGACCAGGTTTTGCCATCGCACAGTCTATCGCGATCGCGTGCAGCAGTTGATGCAAGGGATGCGAGCTGTCCCAGCGAAATTGCAGCGAGCCCTGCAGCGGCGAGGGCTAACGGTTTTCGGCCAAGTGGGGGACTGAAAGGGGGCATACGTCGAGAAAAAGTGCTTCTAGAAACATGGAAGTCAAGCCAGAATCAGTTCGTGCCACTAGCTGATAACATTGCGCAGCTCCAGAATTGGTTGTCTACTGACCTTTGAGGAACGGATGTTGCGGAAAGTGTATTTTTCAAAAAGGGTGTAGCTGTTTGAATGAGGAAAGAGTTGCATCACAAGGAACTTGACTATTTTTATAGCATCCGTGCGGAGGGGGCTAGGTTGTGCGGAGCTGTGCAAGGCTTATTGCTTGCGGACCGCAGCATTTGTACCGCAGCATTCGTGCCGCAGCAACAGCCGAAAAACAGCGGTGCCTTGCAAATAAAGCACAAGGGAGGGCGGGGCGGACAAAATGCAGAAACCTGTATGATTTCCACTCCTTGAAGCGAATGTGGGAATTTGTACCCTTGGACCTGTGGCATTTCTGCTGGCACAACGCTTTCGCTTGCTTTTTGCCGGCAGTCTTCAGTAGAAGGACCGCCAATGCAAGTCGCCAGCGGTCTTGCCATGGACCCATGACGTTGTGAGCCTGATAAATCCTCCTCCTGCTTTAGATTTGATTTCTGGGAATCTAAATTCACCTCACAGTAGCTGCTCTGTCGCCTTGTGTGAAGCGCAGGCTTTGAGTACAAGCACCGTTCGACACCTGCTCTTTCGGCGCTGTAGTTTCCATATATTGAAAAGTTGCTAAGCATCTTTATCAGAATTTATGATTCTCTGAGTTTCTACTTTTTTTCTTTCCTCATCGGATCCATGTGTCATCACAATCATGACTCCGATCCTCCTTAGGGATCTCTCTCTCTTCTCCACTCTCGATTTCTTTCTTATAACTACTTTCTCTTCTTATTCGTAGTTCTTTCTTTTTCTGGCTGCTTACAGCCCAATCCTTATTCAATACAACAATTATCTGGCTGACTCAGCCCAAACCACTCGCTGAAACTCGTGACCTTCCGTGGGTCCTGTGGTGTTAGCACCACTAAAGATTGTTGGAAGGTCAGCACCCAACTCGGAATTTTTGCTGATGGCGGAATATGCGAAGGGAGCAAAATTCCTGAAATTTTTTCCCGGAAAGCTGTCGCGCGTAACTTCGGAGTATCAGCGACGGCACTAATTTGCCAAGACTGCCAAGACCGCTCCATTGCTGTTTATAGAATTAGTTGTGGACACTTCAGCTGTACCCAATTAAAAATCATGTCCATTTGTTTTGTAAACAACAAACTCGCGGAGAGTTCCGATAAGAAATAAAACCAGCCAGGCGCGCCGCGATGTTCACAACATATCCACTCAGCTTTTCATAACCACCTAATTCGTTCAGCAATGGATTTTGTCCAAGAATTTACGTTTTTTGATGCCCATGATACGTCAAAGTCGGCCATAGTGTACTCTGGGCACTTTGGGACCAAAGATAGTACCGTCGGTCATCCTATCGCCTATACAGTGCAGGTAGAACGGCGAAACATCGCGGTATATGGATCGCCGAGCACAGGTGGGCAAGTGCTTGTTGCTGGATCCCTCGAAGGAATTACCAGGAGTTACGCATCACTTAGTGGTATTGGTGGATCGGGGTCAGCCAAGAAGGAAGGGCATTTTCGGGGAGCATGGTCGTTTACTGACTTTAAGGGAAACGCATACAAATGGGACGTCAAGGTCATTAGAAACCAATATCGGCTGTATGACTCAGAGAACAAGGAGATTGCATACATTGACTGCAGGCCAAGGAGGGCAGAGAACGAAGGGCCATTTATATATCCTTAAGCCTATCTCTGAGGACTTGCTTTCGCTAGTCATTCTCACAAAGCAACTTGTACACAACCGTACCAGAAGCAGCGAGCAAAGAAATACTCAGTCGTGAGTTTTTTTGATACTGTAACCTATCATTGTTTATCCATTAAAATTGTTTACTGCATCGGCCAATGGTATCATACATACATTGACTGATCTAGTTGTATGAGGTTATAAACCTGGCCATAAACGAGGAACACTGCAACAAGAATGCGATTGGCAGCACTCTGCATAAAGGAAGGCGCAATACTACTTACGCGTCCCCTACTAGCCTAGTACATAAGCAGCTACCAACCTACTGCTTTAAGAGGATTCTTTATCTTCTCTCCTGATACTAGTTCTATGCATATCGGAAACCTGATACTCATATACGGCATGATATACTTTCCAACCCCGATTTCTCTTCTCTGTTTATTTATGCCATGCCCCGCTCCGACTTTGACAGAATCCCTGTTCTCAGTATTGACCAGGATTATTAGCGAGTTAATTGGATATGCGCCTACTCATCTTGAACTGGAGCTTGCTCGTACCCGACCAGTTCAAGAGTATGCTGCTATTCCGATAATGAACCGGACATGGAGCCAGATCATTGAATCGAAGAAAAGCGCGTTCGCAGCAAAAGAAATGGTCGTGTGGGGGAAGCTCTGGGTGAATAGAGGCCATGTATATCTCCAATATCGTCCAGAAGATGTTATTGCCGATAGCCACCAAAGGTTGCTAAAGTCCTTCTGGCTAAAAATCGGATTTTCTAGCGAGCATTACAGGAAACACGTCAATGAACTGGGGGTAATGCTTCAAGGCAACATGTTCCCGGCTGTCCGATACCTCTCGCTCACATTGTGTTCTGAGCATTCATACTGGTCTTCTAGGGACGTTGTGAAGCAATACGCATCAGCGTAGGGGTTCATCCCGGTATTCTCTTTGACTCCAGCACAGGAAGGTCCGTGCTGGTCTAATTACTGGCTGCCAGATTAAGAGGTATTCGGAAAGCCTGGGCCAGATGCTTCGTGCCACATTCCCAAATGCACAGAGTCTACGCTTAGATGTAACGGATATATCCAGGTAGGAATAAGCTCGCTTATCTTACCAGGGGTTTATGGCGCATTGTCGAAGGACCTCCACCGGCTATCAGTACATGACGATGCCTCGTATGGCATGGATTTGGAGATGCCCACGGCATCTCTTCAAACCATCAGGATCTACTATGACACAATTGCTCCGGAAGTGATTGAGCTGATCCGCGGGAATGCCCTGACCCTCCAAACTATATGTATCCTCAATCGCCTTTTTACGACATTCTGACATGTGCTCATTGATAGTAACAGCAAGCCAGTTACCTACCCCAGCTCCATCGCCTTGATGTAGGGTGCAATTACCCTACTAGGATTCAAGCAGGCGATGGTACTCTCCAGGACTACACTGCTTGCCCCTTTCCTCAGTTGAGGTACCTGCATTCTGACCCTGGTGCACCACAAAAATTGGCAGCGGTGTTACTGACCTCTTCTAAAACACTCGAACACGTCTTATTTGAGCAGAGAAGTGCGATATTTAGGATTATTGTGGATCCTCCACCTGGACAGAATTATATCTTTCCGAATGTACGCCAAGTGGTGTTTAGTCAAAGCCATTCTGACCAGGATGAGTTCCTATGGAATATTGGCGACGAATCGCTGCTCTGCAGACTTAACACCCCAGACTTCTTAACACCTGGTCACAAGCGCAGTATTTCTCGTATAGCGAAGAGCGTCTTGTTAACCAAGGGGCGTTTTCAGCACTGTCGCTTAGCCTGCCCAGTCTGCGCATTATGAAACTCCCCTGGGTGGTGCTCAGCGCTACAGATATGCTGTACCTGGTCAACCAATTGCCGGCGCTGTACCGCTTGGGGTTTTCGTACTATGCACATGGAAGCCCACGCTGGGAACTTGATCAGCTTTCAGGTGAACAAGTTGCTAGTACCAGGGACGCACTTCGGCTCGTGAATACCTACTGTCTTCAAGAAGTTGTAGTCTGGCGCTTGGTCGACAATGTTCATGAATACTTTGCAGTTCTGAGAGCCAACTGCTCGCTGATACTTGCTGGATCGCGGCTCCGTTCGCTGGTCAAGATCACCAACGTGCAGAATTATGCTCAGAGATATCCTGGAGTTGTGCAGGACATCGGCGGTTTCTTTCGCTACCCCATGTTTGATATGCCTCACATTTGCGATATTGAAGTAATCAATGACACACCATAGTGTTAAAATGTGATTCTCATACCTATTGCTATGGGCTTTCTGAAGTTTTCTGATATAAACAATGTAGTTTGCGGCAGCTGGGTGCGCATCGTTGCCAGCAACGTGGCCTCGGGCCAGGTGCGTGGCAGTGTGCGTCCTGAGTCCATTGCGGGCAATGGGAGCACAGACTAGAACATTTATAGCCGGCAATAGCCTCTTTTCATGTGGGGTATCGGTATTGTCAAACTGATACTAGAGTCCTCCACCCCACAATATTTGTGTGATCGTACTAGCCTATATTATCCAAACAGGAAAATTTTGAGATAATTTTGCATCGATTTTTTCACACAATTTTTTACTCTTCAAATATGTCAATTGGAGTTCCTGTGAAGCTTCTACACGAGTCCCAGGGCCACGTTGTAACGCTCGAACTAAAGACCGGGCAATTGTACCGCGGAACGCTGACTGACACCGAGGACAACATGAACGTGCAGATGAAGGATATCACAGTTACCGAGCGCGATGGACGCACATCGCATCTGAAACATGTGTATGTACGCGGCTCCAATGTGCGGTTCTTTGTGGTCCCGGATATGCTCAAGAATGCACCCATGTTCAAGCGCATGGACCCCAAATTCGCAAAGATGCGCGGCATTGGCATGGGCCGTGGCAAGGCGGCGGGGCGCGGTCGTGGCCGGGGTCGCGGTGGATCTACGAGGGGTCGTGGTCCGTACTAATTCTTCGTGTTTGTTGTTTTTAAAAAAAGACTCATTTCGGTACTAGAATTAATCTGCTCGCGATGCGAGCTCGGCTGCTAGTCAGCATGGGTTGACACGTCGATAAGAGCATCACGGCGAACCGGTCATTTGAACGTGTCGGATGGTTGTTGGTGCAATGGTGGTCATGGACATTTCCCATTTTGATTGGTCTGCTCAATGCAGGCACCTCAGCGCTGGTTTGCTGCTGCCGCACACCTCTTGCGTGGGGTTCTTTGTTGCAGGGGTGGTGCCGGAAGTATCGGCAACAATGGCCGTAGAACGACAGAACCGTTCAGGAATACTGCCTGAATCACAGAGTGACTGGAAAATGAGTCTGAAGTTTAGAACTGCTGCGAGATCGCGGTTCAAGAGCCGAGACGAATAGGCTCGCCTGTATTGTGCCATGGCCTGCTTACATGACTCGCTTGTACAGCGGAGAAGACCATGGCACTTCACAGTTGGGTTCTTCGATCTCTGGTAGGGCCGCGGGTTGGGAACATGCCGGAATGTCTGCAGCGACTTTTCGCAGCAGAACGGGCACATCGACGATGTCCGGAATTCGTCGATCAGATAGAATTCAAAGCCATGATGCTTGAACGTGTCGCGCCATCTCTTGCCACGAATCGGCGCATGGTGTCGGGCCATCGGCGCACTCCAATTGCCCATGATCAGCACTGGATCTGGACCGAACTAGGACTGGAAGTATCGCAGGCAAGCCTGTGGTCTGCACGGGCCTGGTTCATGAATGAATCAAGGCGCAGCTTGCGGTGAAGCGGGTACACCTTGGGACTGGTCCCGACACCCGGATGGGCCTTCCAGCGCCTCTGGTGCTGCTTGTTTGACTTAGTGGGCTGCTGCTCTGGCAACCTTCGTGTTGTCATCATGTTGGCATAAAATGGTGCTAGGACACACCGCACAGATGCACGGGCAGCAACGTAGGCACGGAATTTTGCTGGGCTAAGGGTCCGGCAGCAGTGCTTGGAAAGCTCTGCCTCTGCTCTGCGGACAGCATCTTCTGGGACTTGATTCTTTGTACCCCGACGAATCCTGTCATAGTGGCGCAGCTTGAGCTCCTTGTTGCGCTGCTGCCATGTGTAGCGGTAGAGCATTTTTCACCCTCTTTCCCATTGCTGCTATTTTCGTGCATCATGTATAGCAAATCGCCCCGACCTGGATCGATGAATACACAGCGGCCTTTCAGATTCTGCAGCTCTGGCTGTGGGATCTGGTGGATAGAGCAACAGTCAGCTGTAGTATCACCTCCCGCAGCATCGGCTGTAGCATCAGCTGTAACATTGCCCCTGCTGCATTGCCTCCCGCAGCATTGCCTCCTGCAGCACCAGCCTTAGGTACCTTGTCTTGTAACAAAATGCATATCGTTATACCATCTGTTGTTGCCATTCCGTGGAATTTTCTATCACCATGCGCCTTAAATGGCTTTGATGTTAGATCTGCGACCCGGCCCATACATCTCACACAGCTTGTATGATCCCTTGGACCGGGTCGTGTGCACAGACTAGGGGTGCTGGTGCATATGCATTGTCAAGTGCTGCAACAGTGTCTGCTGCTGCTTGCCGATGCAGCAGTAAGTGGATTTGCCTTCAGATTGTGGTAAATGAATAAATAAATTGGAACGAGTGAAACCCTTTTTCACAAGCATTGCAGGGTCAAAGGCATCATCGTCTGCTAGTTGATGGAGTAATATCCATCGTGCAAGCATGTATGTATGCTCTTTGATGATATTGACGCTGTGTACAAATTGCTCTAGGCGGGGCAACATAGAATCACGGAAGCCAATACCACCAAATGATATCTTTATGACAGTAGTGCTGCGGGTAATATTCATTTGAGAAATTCAGTAGGCAAGTAAGAAGAGAAATGATGCTGTTCAGTTTTGCTTTATTGCGTATGCATAGCATTAAGAACTTTTTATTAAAAATGATTTGGCTTGCATGGTTCTTGGGACCCTTAGCACTGATACAGTCTCCTGAATCAGTCTATACAGACTGGGTCCATTGTGGCCCAAATACTACTGCTTACGCATGGTCATAAGACAAATTAATTTGTAAAATAAACCCACAAATATTGCATGACCGCTAGAAGAGTTACATGGCCTCATTCAATAGGTGCTCATAAATAAATATCCTGAGTGTTGCGCAGCTGATGATGACCACCATGATGACGCCATGGAAGTTATCAGGCCGACCGACAATGAGAGCAGCTCTTGCGCTGAACCAGTGGAGATATCTAGTGGAGACCTGTGACCACTACAATACTAGCTTGTCACCCTGGTTTCACCGATGAGGTCAGATGCCGCGCAAGATCAAAAGGGAGCTTACAGGAGCAAGTCACCCAGAACTCGCTTTGAAGGCTTAAAAGAGCTTTACTTTTAATCCAATTAATAAGGTTCTAGCGGACGGTCGGGCATTTTTGGACTATAGAATCTTGTATAGTAGTAAAAGGATACGAGTTAGTAGGCTGGTGGCAAATGCCAATTGTGGTTCAGCTGGACAGACTACTGATGACGCGGGAGAACTTTGCGCTGTCATCGGGCTTGGGCGTGGCCAGGTCTCCAACATCGTACACATACACTGTGCCGTCGGCACCACCGGTAGCCACACGCTTGCCCGGGCGATCCCAGGCCAGGCGGTTCAGGGCACGGCCCACATTGACAGTCTGCACTGGCAGCTCAGTATCGCGGTTGAGGTTCCACAGCGCCAGGCGGCCAGCACCGTCGGATGACGCAAACACAGCTGGGATGCGACGGCGACCATTTTGCATCGCACACATAGTCATCAAAGGCATCAAAGACATGCACAGGACGGATATCAGTGGGCACAGTCGATGCAGGCTTGGCTGCAGGGCGTGCGCGCCACAGTCGTGTGGTCCAGTCGGCAGATGTGGTCAGAAATAGATCGGAGAAGTCCGACGCGATCGGCGGGATGGAATGACAGCGATGTCAGTGGGGCGGTATGGGCGCGGTAGGCGTCAAAGCCAGCAAGTCCAGCCTTGCTGCCTGCGCGGTCATAGCGGTTGACCTGGTAAGCCACGCCTTCGGCAGTGCCAGCAACAAAGGCAGCTGGTTTCGTTGTCTGCAAAGTCAAAGCATGTCACCGAGACCTCGTCAGTGCGCAGATGCGCCGGATGCGCCAGCTCCAGGGTTTCCTGCGGTTGGGCCAGCATATCCAGCTGCCACGAGCACACAAGTCCGTCAGTGCTGGCGCTGATCAGCTGGTGAGCGTTAGTGGTGCCAACCTACCTTCAGGGCATACACCGGATGCGTATGTCCTCCGGACGTCAGCGGTGTCTTGAGCACGGGCTGCGACCTGGCACGCGTATCCCACAGCAGGATCTGGCCCGAGTAGGCACCGCCAACGATAATATTCGGGTTGAAGTCCGAGAAGGTCACCTTCAGCACGTCGGACGGAGCGTGGAACACAAACTCTGGCCGCTCTTTCAGATGCGTGTTCCAGATCGCCACCACACCGTCAGGCTCGTTGGGCGCCATTGGGTTCCGGTTATAGGCGGCAGCTACCAGCTCTGTAAAGCGGCCCGACCAGGCAACGTCCATGACTGAGCGACCACGCGACACACGGTCGTCGCTGAACGCAATTGCCAGCTTTCAGCTTCTCCGCAGCCGACTCATCCTCGGGCACAGTCGGCCAGCGAGTAGTCCACCATGACATCGTAGTCTTCGTCGAGCGCGCGCTCCATGACACGCGACATGGTGTCAACAAACCCAGCAAACTCGGTTGACTGCAGGATGCCCGCCCGCTGCTCCTCAGTCAGCCGCCGGATCTCGTTCTCCTTGGCCTTGGCCTCGGCCTCGCGACGCATGCGCTCCTCTTCGCGCTCCTGCCTCGCCTTCTCGTCCTTTTCGCGGATCTCAGCGAACACGCCGCTCAACCTCCTCCTCGGCAATTAGTCCAGTGTCCTCGGCCACTGCCTCGCTGGTCTGTGTCTCCTTGTTGTATGCCACCTTCTCCTTGGGTGCAAAGTCAAAAATCACGGTCTCGGTTGTGGTGAACTCGGGAACCAGCCGTTGCTGTGCTACTGGCCGCGGTGACATCGCTCCTGTTGACATGCTGTCGGGCGTATCTGACCGCGGTGCGCTGGCCGCCGCCCGCACATGTGCTGAAAACGACGATGCTACAGGCGACAGCGGCTCGGCGTCGTGGATGCGTGATGCTAGGCGAACGCGCCCGGTCACCAACCAGTGAATTCACCAAATCGTTAATGTCGTTTGTGTCCAACCTGCTCGAGGAGGCCTAAGTGGGAGGAAATGCACCTGCATCGTCAGTAAAAACAGTGCAATCTAGCGTTCAGCTGTTCATTTGGCTACATACAGTAGACTGCTGCTGGCTCTGGAGTGCTGCACGCTTGCGCTCTTCACGCTGGCGCCGCAGTTCAGCCGAGCTTGGCGCGCTTCTTCTCGAGCTCCTCCTTGCGCGAGTCCATTGCAAAAGAAAGAAGAGAGAAAACTACTGTAATTGAATCGGAAATGCGAAGTTGAAAGGCAAAACAAAAAGCTGGTTTGCTGCCAGAGCTTGACGCAAGTCGGAAGCCACGCCCTCAACCCACCTGACAATTTCTGACTGAGAAACGCCTGGCTTGCCTTTCTTCTTCCATGCATTGTCAAGTTTTTCTTCTGTATTCTACATGCACCTGCTGGACTTTATCTTTGCGCTCGTCATATCGCTCAGTGCTGTATATCGTGCCGTTTACCAAGGTCGAAGAGAGCTTCTTTGTGCAGGCCGTGCACGACCTGTACAAGTCGCCCTTCATCAACAGTGGCTATGACCACTTGGCGTTCCCTGGCGTAGTCCCCCGCTCATTCGTGTCGCCACTACTGATTTCTGCCCTCCTGTCACCGATCAGGCTGTTCACCAATGCCACCGAGGGGATTTGGCTCCAAGTTGCGTCGCGGCTTGTGCTTGGGTGGGCTGTGGCGTGGGCTAACAGCAGGCTGCGCAGTGCAATTCGTATCCGGTTTGGCGGAACAACAGCAGCTTGGTACGGTGTGTTCTGCATCTGCCAGTTCCACATGACGTTCTGGACATCGCGCATGCTGGGAAATACTATTGCGCTGGTGCCTATGCTGCTGGCACAGGCGTGCTGGATCGATGGCCGGAGATTCACAGCCATGACGGTCTTGCTGGCGTTCACAGCCATTGTGCTGCGTTTCGATACTGTGGTCTTTGCAGCGGTGATGGTGCTATCGAGCATTCAGTGTTTGACATGGCAATCAGTTAGGCGCACGGTGCTGGCCGCGGCTGGGTTCGTTGCATTGACTGTTATTGTCGATTCATACTACTGGCAGACTGCCTGGATGTGGCCCGAGTTCCATGTTTTCAGATTCAATGTGGTCGAGCAGCGCAGCTCCGAGTGGGGAGTGTCGCCGGCCCACTTCTACGTGACGTACTTTATGCCCCGTCTGTTGCTGGGGGCCCTGCCGTTTGCAATTTCGGGTGTTGCGCTTTCAGTCGATGCTGCCAAGCTGGCGGTCCCGTATATAGCAGCCATTGCGGTGTTTTCAGCGAATCCGCACAAGGAATGGCGATTCATCGTATATGTCGTACCGGTTTTCAACATATGCGCAGCGCTGGGAATCGCCAAGCTCCTAAGGCATCGCCGGATTCGCACACTGGCAAGGCTGACCGCTGTTGGTGTGTCGGCCGCCAGTTTTGCCGCGGTGGTTCTGATGACATACGTCTCCAGCTTAAATTATCCAGGGGGCCATGCCCTGTCTGCACTGCACAGGATCGCTACTTCATCCAATGCCCATGTCCACATCGACACGTACTCAGCCATGACGGGAGTGACAAGATTTGGGCAAACTCGATCCGACTGGATATACGACAAAACCGAGGACTTGATGCCACCCCAGTTCTCCAATTTCACGCATCTGCTGACGTCTGAACCAGGTCTCCACAAGGACGAGTTTCTCGTCAGCACGGCGGTCTCTGGGTATGCAGGCGTCCGGCTACAGCCCAAGGCCATTCTGTCAGGCCACCTACCCATTGCAATTCAGCAAAAGCCCCTGGTCTATATTATGCAGAACGTTAATCTATAAAGACACTACATATCCTTAAATTGTATTCAGCCCACGCATGACAAACTCGTAGGCGACAAAGGTGACGCCAGCAGCCGGAATACTCCTGATGATGCTGGGAGAGTAGCCACGGAAGAACCCCTTGACCCCCTGCTCCTTGCTAATTGCCTGCGCTGCCTCGATGATGCCGCCAAGGCGCTTTGGTGGAACTGGTGAGTTCTGCACACGGCTCTTGATGACATCCAGCGGATAGCTGGCAGTCCAGTAGCAAATGCCTGCAAACGATCCCGAGGCCATCAGTGGCAAAACGCCCAGCTTATCTACATTGCCGCCTGTTAGGCTATCAGCGAATTTGCGCTTTGCGAACTCGAATCCCGTGTAGAAGCCCGCGTATGCTGGGATCTCACGCGCAACTGTCGACCAGAATCCCCACATAATGCCGCGCGCACCAAACTGCTGTACTAGGTGCTTGGCCAACGGAATCGGGCCCTTGAACGTGTTTCCAGCACCGCTGTACTGCGTTTGCAGCCGCACCTTGAGCAGCTCCACTGGCGATGCCAGCACACTGTTGACGATGCCAGCACCTGAGCCCGCAATGGCCACCTGGCCAAGTGTCGGCGACGTGCTATTGGTCTGCAGCCGTTTTCCGAGAGAGTATGCCCAGAACAGAAGCGAGTTTACAGCAGCAATTCCTACCAGCGGCGACGCCATGCCCTTGTACAGGCCGAGGAACCCCTCGTTGCGGACCGTCTTCATCAGGCAGTCAACGGGGCCCTTGAACACGCCCGAGCCTTCGATTTGAATGCGCACCTAAGTACAGGGGAGTTCGATGTTAGAAGAGCAATGGCTGAGCAGCGACATGATGGATCGACAGAAAAATGAAGCACTGGTAGCAGGTACTTTTGCTTGATCAGCAGATGGCGCCATAGATGCTGGAAATGACTTCAGTGGCTCTCATTGCAGCAACGGGCACGGCAGCCATGGTAAACACCAACGTACCTTGACAGTGTCCAGCGGGTGTCCGACAGCGACCTGGGCGGCGCCAGCAATGCTACAAGCGATATAATAAAAAGCATTGAGACCTGTGCGTTGTTCAAGGAATTGGCTGGCAGGATCGAGTAGCTTGCTTACCTGCCCGCCACAAAGTCCTTCCACCCGCCTCCACTGGCTGTCTGCTTTGCAGTATTAGCAGCAGCAGCGTCGACCTTGTGTGTGTCAGCCATAGTACGTGTGGATATGTGAGGAATGATAACCTAAGGGGAGTAAAATAAAAAGCTGCGAAGAGCAGGAAGCAAAGAAGAAATGGGTTCAGCGCCTTTTCTGCGGAACACTAGACTTCCGGAACTCCCGGAGCCTGGCAGAGCGAAAAATTAACAGCCTGTTCTCGGGTGGACAAATAGCAGACGTCACAGCCGATCACAATCGCAGAGCAAACAGGGCAGCATCCGATCTCTGATTTCGCACCTGTTTGCACCGCTTGTCCTGCCCGCCATATTCCCTGCCCTGCCATTTGGGGCTACCAAATAGGCTGGTCCTACGGTTATCTTCGTGGACTTGTGGTCAACGCCATGAATCCAGGCATTAGTCCACTTGGCACCAATGGCCGCCTTTGCACACAAAAGTACCTGTGGTCTTCTGGTGTCTGTAATTGGCATAGCTTTAGCGCAGTGCCTGTAAATGTGGGCGACAAGTCGTCACCAGAGCTCAATAGGATCATGGCACAACTGCAACATTGCCGCCTATTTCCGGTCATCAATGTGCAATCGTAAATCGTATCTGTAATGTGTTTGCCTCACTTGTATGTGGTCTCGCACCCGCCTATGACCATGGCCGGGGTTTTTGCAAGTGGCATTGAACTATTACAAGCGACTTTAATCCCGGGCAGCATTCTACTTGCCCATCTTTTGACAGCACGCCTGTTTGAGATGGTACTTTGATAGGCGCTGCGCTTTTGCGCTGACTACAGAGAAGAGTACGCGAGAGATTTGGATTGCCATTCCATTACGAAGCGGGCAAGGAAAAGCGTGCTCCTGTCTCGCGCATGGAATGATTACCTCTGTGCTGCCAGTGATACCATTTCGTGCCCTCGCACTTTCTGAGAATGGCAGGTGGTGGCAAGTGACCTCAGACTGAGGACCCGCGCGGGGCGAGTTCTCTGTGCACAAGGGCAGGACAGAAAGCGGTTGCACAGTATACTCGGAAAATATTCGACTATGCCCGTGGGCAGGACGCCCTAATTTCCTTGCTGCCCGCGGGCAGGGCCAGGCGCACGATAGTCAAACGGGTGCTAGAGAGACGGGCAGGGGAAGGCGAGGGCTGTTCTCGAGTATAAATACTGGCAGACACATCCAAAATATCACCTCAGGCTACCCAAGCTCATTCAGCAATACAACACCTAATACTCTGCTCAGACGCAAGTCGAAATCCCCTTGTCGCCTCTCTTACACTTTACACAGCCGCAAGAACCAGCCCTTCTCTTTGTCAGCCATGTCTACCGATACCTATGCCAAGATCGCCGCTACCATGGACGCGTATAAGCCGGCCTCTGTCGCCCAGACTCTCGAGTGGGAGAAGAAGTATGTTGCGCGCAACTCGTCGACCATTGAGGCGGTTGTGTCCAAGGCTCAGGGCGTCCACATTTGGGACACCGAGGGCAAGCACTACCTTGACTTTGGATCTGCCTTCGCTGCTGTCAGCCAGGGCCACTGCCACCCAGACATTGTGCGCGTCCTCTACGAGCAGGCGCAGACCGTGTCCCTGTCGTCGCGTGCCTTTGTGCCCGAGAAGATGGTCAGCTTTGCAAAGTACATCACCGAGACCTTTGGCTATGACCGCGTCCTGCCCATGAACGCCGGCGCCGAGGCTGTCGAGACCGCGATAAAGATGGCGCGCAAGTGGGGATACCTGAAGAAGAAGATCCCTGAGAACCAGGCCATCGTGCTGTCGGCCGCGGGCTGCTACCACGGTATCACCACCGGCACCATGTCGGTGACCTCGAACGATGTGCTGCGCACCAACTTTGGCCCGTACCTGCCTAATGTTGGCCCCATTGACCCGGTCACAAAGAAGTACATCCGCTACAACAACACCGACGACCTCGAGGAGGCCCTCAAGAACAACGGCCCTAACGTCTGCGCCTTCCTCGTCGAGCCGATCCAGGGCGAAGCCGGTGTAATCATCCCCGATACCGGCTACCTGAAGCGCTGCGCCGAGCTCTGCAAGGAGCACAACGTGCTGTTCATCTGTGACGAGGTCCAGACCGGCATTGGCCGCACCGGAACCATGCTCTACCACTATCAGGAGAACATCCGCCCAGACATCGTCACCCTCGGCAAGGCGCTCGGCGGTGGTGTGTTCCCGGTCTCTGCCGTGCTCGCCGACGAGCACATCATGGACGTGTGGGGCCCCGACGAGAACGACTCGACCTGGGGTGGCAACCCGCTTGGCTCGGCCGTCGCCATGGCGGCCCTTGAGGTTGTCAAGCACGAGAAGCTCGCCGAGCGCGCTGCTGTCCTCGGCAAGCGCTTCCGTGAGGGGCTTTCCAAGATCCAGTCGCCTGTGGTCAAGGAGATCCGCGGCCGCGGCCTGCTCAACGCCCTCGAGGTCAACCTGACCCATGGCCCCCGCACTGCCTGGGACCTCTGCTATCTGCTGATGGAGCGCGGTCTGCTGGCCAAGCCCACCCACCAGACCAACATCCGCCTGTCGCCTGCTCTCACCATCACCGAGCAGGAGATCGATGAGGCCGTCGACATCATCGCCCAGGCCATCGCCGACTTTGAGAAGCGCCCGGCTCCCGCCCAGTAAATGCACACAATGGACTCTATTTTTCACATATTTCTAAGCCTGTAACTTCAAGAACTACCTCGTAAACATTTAAGCGCGGCGGTTTCACATGCCGGTGCCTTATCACAAAAGCGAGAAAAGGGCATCGGAAAATATTCACGTGCCGCCAATGCGATGACGCTCCAGCACGCGGGCAGGAACACCAGCCGTCACGCACGGGCCGAAGGCCGCGGAAATGCACCCGTCCCGGGAGGCATAGGCACCCGCACGCCTCTATCTGCCGCCCGACAACGCCTCTCGTCTCCACTCTCCATTATTTCGCACACTACTACTTTGGCACCCTCGTAGATTAAACACCCCATGTCGTCGCAAGCCTTTATCGTCGCAGCCAAGCGCACTCCCTTTGGCGCCTTCGGTGGTAAGCTCAAGGATCTGAGCGCCAACGAGCTCGGCGGCCTCGCTGCCAAGGCCGCGCTCGCCCAGCTGCCTGCCAGCGCCCAAGCCCACCTCACACAGAGCACGTCCGAGCGGCAGTCGGTGATTTTCGGCAACGTCGCACAGACCTCGACCGATGCGCCCTACCTGGCTCGGCACGTCGGCCTGCGCGCCGGCCTGCCAATCACCACCCCAGCCTACACGGTCAACCGGCTCTGCACGTCTGGGTTCCAGACGATCATCAACGCGGTGCAGGAGATCAAGGTTGGCGATGTTGATGTGGCCGTGACCGGCGGAAGCGAGAGCATGAGCCAGGCGCCGTACGTGCTGCGCAATGTCCGCTGGGGCACAAAGTTCGGGCCCGAGTACCTGAAGATGGAGGACGCTCTGGCGGCCTCGCTGACCGACCGGTACCCGGAGGTCGTCCCCATGGCGATCACCGCCGAGCGCCTTGCCGACCAGTACAGCGTCTCCCGCACGGACTGCGACGAGTTTGCTCTGCGCTCGCAGACACTGTGGGCGCAGGCCCAGGAGTCGGGTGTGTACGATGCCGAGATTGCCCCGGTCGAGGTCAAGGTCAAGCGCGCGGTTGAGCAGGTCACCAAGGACGAGCACCCGCGCCCCAAGACGACCATCGAGGGGCTCGCCAAGCTGCCTGCTGTGTTCAAGAAGGACGGTGTTGTGTCAGCCGGCAATGCCTCGGGCATCAGTGACGGCGGCAGTGCCTGTGATCGTTGCTGGCGAGCAGTTCGTCAAGCAGCACGACATCCAGCCGCTCGCCCGCATCGTGGCCTACCACATCGTCGGTGTCGACCCGGGACTCATGGGCATCGGCCCTGTCGGTGCCATCCAGGGCGCCCTGGCCAAGTCGAACCTGACCATGGACCAGATGGACATCATCGAAATCAACGAGGCCTTTGCTGCCCAGGTCCTGTCGTGCGCCAAGGCTCTGGACATCGATCCTGCTCGCCTCAACGTGTCCGGTGGTGCCATTGCCCTGGGCCATCCGCTCGGTGCCTCGGGATCGCGCATCATGGGCCACCTGGCGCACCGCCTGAAGGCTACCGGCGGCCGCTACGCTGTTGGATCTGCCTGCGCCGGCGGTGGCCAGGGCGTGGCCATCATCATCGAGGCCCTCTGAGCTTGCTCCTAGAAGATATTTGAAAAACCGAAATTTATGTTTTGTAAAACACAGAAGGAACAGGAAATAGGAGTTTAAAAAGGAAAACGTCAAGGAAAAAGAGGGGAGGGGAAACGATGAGGCTGCTTGGGCAACCCGTGCAGAAGCAAAAGTACCCCAGGCATGGTATGGAAGTGGGGAGAGAACAAGATAACATAAGGAGGGTTGGTGGTGTGCCATTTTGCGAGAATTCGTGTATATGTGGGCAGCAGCGAGGGCATGTGCGGTCTCATCACATGAGCTCGGCCCATTCGGTGGTCTTGGGTGGCGTGTCGCTGACATAGGTGGCCGGGAACACTCCCTGCTCGAGCGGCTGGTCAGCGCCATGGTCCACAATTCCCATCCACCAGATCTCGTCGCTCTGGTCAATGACAAACACCCGCTCGCCAGCACGGAACCCAAGCTCGCCCGTCTCACGCGAGCTGAACGTGAACTTGGCATAGAACACCGGGTATTGCCGCAGCGAGTCACGGATCGGCAGGGGCTCGCGTGGGCCAGAGGCATCGGACCGTCCATTGCTGGTATCTGCCGACGAGCTGGCTGCAGACAGTGACCGCCGCCGGATAGCTGCTGCCGCGCTCTCAGACTCGGACTCGGGTTCAGATCCAGAGTCCTTGCTGTTCTTCTTGGAAGCGACAGCACCGGGTGGTGCTGCTGCTGTCGCTGCTGCTGTCGCTGCTGTTGCCGCCGCTGCTGCTGCTGTTGTGACCGTAGCACCAGCCAGCACTGCTGCCGCCGCCTGCTCGCTGTCCTGATGCCGTGGTGTCGGCATCGGGATATAGGCAGACGATGTATCGCCTGCCTCAGCAGCGAACGGCCCAGCTGGCGGGAACGCACCCTGCGACTCGCGCAGAGCCAAGCGCTGCTCGAACGGGTTGGTCGAGTCGGGCCGGTACATGCTGCTGCGGCTGCCGTACGACGACGTCATGCCGCCATCGTCGCTGCCAGAAAGCAGGTCTGTTGCAGGCGCTGGCATTGCTAGCGACCGCGGAATTGGCGCCGCCAGCGACGCTCCACCAGCGGGTTGTGGCGATCCAGTCTTGGCCTTGATATTGCTCAGCTCGTTCTCGGCCTGCTGCTGCGACAGCTCGTTGCCCCTCTGGTCGTAGTGGTGCGGTGCTGGCATCGCGTAGCCGTGGCTGCCGCTCTTCTCGTTGCTCGCAGCAGCGGCAGCGGCAGCGGCAGCAGCGGTGGTAGCAGCCTGTTCGGCCTCGGCCTCAGCAGCAGCCGACTCAAAGATAGAGTCCAGGCTGTCGTCAGGGATTCCACGCGTCTGGTCGCCCGCACCAACGTTGCCATGCTTATCGACATAGGTATCGGACGACACCGCTGCCTGGCGACCTGCAGCCGTGGCCAGCCCAGCAAGCCCGGTTGACGAGCCCGAGGCCACGCGGCCAGTCTTGGACGCCATGTTGTTGTAGCGGAGCTCTGACGCCGCCATCAGCGCATCCTCATCCCAGGTGTCACGGTCACCAGCAGCCGCTGCTGCATGTCGAGGACGGTCGTCGTCATCGCCCAGGTCACCTGTAGCTGCCGCCATCGCACCAGCGCCGACACTGAATCCAGCAGCGCCCATTCCCGAGCCATGAAGGTACCCGGTGCCGGTGGCACTCTTGGCCAGCATCTGCGGGGGCTTCATCGTGCCTGCGCCGCCTGCAGCAGCCGCCGCAATGGCAGCAGCAGCAGCAGACGCCGTAGCAGCAGCCTCGCGGCGGTTGCGGAAGTACACATAGGCCAGACCGACCAGGACGATCAGGAAGGTGATGCCGAGCGCAATCACCACAGCAATCAGAATTACTAGCGCCGTCGACATGAGCTTCTTCTCGTACACGCTGAGCGGCGGGTTCTCGTAGAAGAACGACGACACGTAGCCGGCGCTTCCGTCACTCTGCACCGTGGACAGGAACGGTGCCCACTTGGAGCCGTCAAAGAACGCGCTGGACGCACGCTTATTGCCGGACAGAACCAGGTCGCCGGAAATAGATAATGCATAGCCAGACGGAATCGCCGACTCGCCGTCGGCGCGCCGGGACAGCGCCGACCGCGCACTCGCCGACAGAACTGATGCGGGAATCCGCGACAGAGGGGTCAGAGTGACTCCACGGATCGAGCTATTGGATCCCAGGTTGACTGACAGCTGAGTGAATGACCTGCCGTCAAAGCGCGCCAGATAGGACTTTCCAGACGACCTGTCAGCGCCTGCCACAAAGAACGACTTTGTGTCGCCAGTGGCTGCGACTGGTGCCAGAACTGCCGCAGGCCCTGGCAGCGAGGCGACGTCGGCGACCTCCTCCCATGCGCTCTTGTCAAAGTTGTAGTGCATCAGGTACTGGATGGGCTGCGAGCCATTCTGGAATGTGCCCGCTACTACGAGCTGGTTGCCGGCGAACAGCATGTCAGTGACCGGGCCTGTCAGCGAGCTGGATGCCAGCGGCGACCACTGAGCATCGTTGATGTCCCAGGAGCACACGTATGGGCAGGACAGAGATCCAGACAGCTGGAAGTCGCCGCCCACGATTACTTGCGCCGTGTTGGCGCGCACAGCAACCTTGTTGATCTTGACCTGCGTGGTCGAGCCGCTGGCAGCCATGAAGCGCGGCATGCTCATTGTGTCGCCGCTGTCCATGTCATACACAGTGAGACCCATGAACCCAGTGGTCTTCTGCGATGACGACGACGTGGTGAGGTTGGCCTTGCCGCCGATGAACAGGAACTTGGCTGCATTGGCCAGCGTCAGGACCTCGCCGTTGACGCCGGAGACCAGCTTGCGCCATCTGCCCTGATCCAGCTGTGCAATGTTGGTTGACCCGTCGGCGGTTGTGAACTGGCCGCCGACGATGAGCTTGGCGGCCGTGCCGTTGCTCTTGGCGTACCACAGACCAGTGTTCACTGCAAAGGCCTGGTTAGCCGTAGGCCGCAGGCTGTAGCCGACATACTCGAGTGACCGCACGCTGGAGTCAGAATCCAGCAGCAACGTGCCCCCAGCACTAATAGCTGCAGCAGCCGAGAACTTGCCGGCAATCAGCCCGGCTTGGTTGGGGCGCGACTTGTTCCAGGCATCCGAGAACACCAGCGTCGGCGTGCCCTCGACGTAGGGTGTAGCCACCCAATCGCCCGCCGTTGTGTTCCACATAATCAACGGGCTGACAGCGACGTTTTCGCTCTTTGGCACACGGGGGTCAGCCAGCAGCTGCGCAAATGAACCTGTCACTGCCACAATGTCCGATCCAAATGGCGCATAGGGCACCATGTGGGTGACAGCGCCATTGACACCACCGGCCAGCGGATACCACTGCGAGTCGCTGGTGTTGTACTGTGCGATGTTGTTGAAGGCGACTTTCTTGTCACCAGTGCCGTTGAACTGGCCGCCGACAAACAGCGATTTGCCGTTGAGCACCAGCGCGCTGACCGATCCAAGCACACCAGTGTTGTTCAGCGGCTGGAGCTTGTTGTCTTTGTACTGCACGACGCCCTCATATCCAGACGTCTGGTTGGCAAAGTTGCCGCCAAGGTACACGTTCCCACTCTTGTCCGAGGCATCAGCTGCGATTGAGTAGACCACGGCCTGCTCGGGCAGGGTGTCGTTGAGCGGCATGTACAGAGGACCGTACGTTTGGAGTTCCGAGTTGAGGTCGGTATACAGACGCATCACGCCGCGCAGATCAGTGTACGACGTGGTCCGCTCGAAGCGGAAGTAGTCTACAACAGCCTCGATCTGTGTGGTCTGCGGACTGACCTTGGCATCAGACACGATGCCCACACTCACCGACATTGTGAAGTTGCTGGTCGACGCCGGCGTGTAGCCCCTGTACACCAGCACCTCCTGGTCAACAAAGTTGTGCTGGCCGACTGTGGCCACCACCTCCTGCGAGCGCGTCATCCCCAGCGTCACCTTGGCTGAAGCCCGCCGGATGCACGTGTTGGTGTTCTCACAGCCAGGAATCATCATATAGATGTTGTAGAAGCCGGCTTCGGGGATGCTCGGGTACAGGCGCACCTGCGAGTTCTGCGTCGTCGCGCTGTCCACATCGCCGGCATTCACGGTCAGCGTGCGGTAAGTGCCGTGGTAAGACGAGGGCGAGGTCGGCTTCCAGTCGCCTACCATATTCGAGGTTGGCTGGATTGCCTGCTGGCTGCAGGGTGAGCCATTGAAGCTGCTGTCGACGTACACGCGCGGATCTAGAAAAAGAAACAAGCAGGGGGAGGCAATAAGCAGTGTTTGCCAGAAGCGCGAACAATCGGCGGACCGGTAGAAACACAATCGAAACTGCAACTGCACCATTGCGCAATGATTTGTTTTCGTAGTTCTTCTGGACAATCGGGTGGCCTGTTTCTACTTACCTCGTTGGTACAATTCGACCTTGTTGAAGCCGCCTCCCTCACCGTACCAGTCGGTAACGACAATATTGACACCTGTCAGATTGGCCACTGTAGCAGAGTCGTCGGCAAACCTAAAGTCCTGCCACGAGTAGTCGTGGTTCAGCGGGCACGATTGGACGCAGATAACCTCGGCGCCGAGAGCCGAGTCCATATACGCCATCCTCAGCGCCAGGTTCGTGCTGGCAGCTTCAACCCTAAACGATTTTGTTCCACGGCCCTGGTACATGGTGTTAATTAGCCGCAGGAGCGACGGCGTGGTGCGGAACGGGAAGTCAATGCGGAAAAATCCAGTGAGCTTGTCGCGCATCAGCCACGTATTGCTAACAGTATCCAGTCTCTTCGTACAAATCGCGTTGTGCGGGTCGCCAAATCCAAAGATCTCGGCACTGTTGCCGCCGGTGATGGTGCACGCTGTCAGGTTGACCGGCTGTGTGCCCAATGACACATGCGTGGCATTGTCAACTGTGGCCGAAAACTCGCCTGCGGCAAACACATAGTCGCGCGTGCGCCCGAACGCGTAGACCGGCCCGTCCACGCCGCTGAACGGCAGCGTCCTCCAGCTGCTAGCCGCCACATCATACAGCACCAGGTGGCCCGTGGCTGCAGAGTCTGATGTCGACACCGACTTCAATGTGGCCGCAGCCGTGGTGGTGAAATTGCCGCCAACATACACGACCTGCTTGTCCTGGTCGCAGTACAGAGCGTTGACAGGGCCGTTGACTCCGCCCTGCATGCTGTCAATTTTGCCTGATGCTGAAATACCAGCAACATACGATACGTCGGTTGAGTTTACCTTGGACAGCGAGCTGCCGCCCACAAACACCTGCGACACCGAGCCGTCCGAGTTGTAGAATGCGCAGGCAGCCGTAATGTCTCCATCCGACGGCGCATTGCTGAGGAACGACACAGTGTCCTGCGACAGCGAGATTATCGACGACACGGTGCTGTCTAGCTTTAGGGTGGCGCCGCCAGTGTTGCCAGCATACAGCGACACGCCACGGAACCCACCCACGATGCCAATGCTGCCGCCGTTTGTCGTGTTGCTGCTGCCGGCCTTACCGCTGACGTCGTCAATTTCGCCCAGCTCGTCCATGGACTCACTTTCGCTCCCAGATTCGGATTGCGAGGCATGGGTCGGTCCGCGCACTGCCGTCGTTGTTGGCGTTGGTGTGGTCAGTGAGGTGCTCGTAGAGTCTGCCGCCAGTGCAGGCGTGAACACCGCAAGCATGGCGACCAGGGCCAGCGCCGCCCATTTTTTCGTCCGGCCACCACTACCTTGGCGACTGCTGTATGCCACGCATGATGCCCGCGTAGTTTGCTGCACCAGTTGCTGCTGCTGTTGTTGTTTCGTAATGGTGCCATCTACTGCTGCTGCCGCCGCTGCTGCTGCCGAGAGCCCGCGTCGCTCATCACTGTTATCCACTGCTAGCATTTCGCGGTAGAGTGGTGTAAATAGAGAGCCGCGAGAAGTCTACAGCCACCGAGGATACAAAGAAAAGTAAAACAAAAAGAAACCCCCCGTTTTTGGGAAGCAATATGAAGTTGCCACCCTTTTAGTATGCAAAGTGTGGAGCTAAAAACAATTTTCGAGCACGCGGTAGCGGACTGGCGGTCTGCGCCTTCGAGGCTAGTATTAATCAAGGCCGGGCCACGGACCTGGGGGTTGGCTTCGCGGTCCTGTCTCTGCGGGGGAGTGCAAGTGTGTGTGGTCTGCTCTTATATACAGCAGCAAAAAAATGTCTGTGCCAAATCGTCCTTGCCAAATTGGCCCTCCAGAAACAAGATAAATAGTATAGAGCACGGAAATAAATAATTGAAGTGAGAAAGGAGAAGCGAGTGGGAAGACAGCAGGCCATACTTTCGCCACCCTGAGCATGTCTAAAAATACAAGAGTCTCTGCCATTTACCTTGATGCGTGCCCGTCTCCGTTTTGATGAGAGGGGAGTGGTTTCTCTGCAGCCAAAAGAGATCTGTTCCTGTCTGTGCTGAGTGTTAAGGAAAGAAGTGACGTGAAAAGGGGTGTGTCAAAGCGTAGGACTGAAAGTATGTATGTCGGAGCGATAGGTATATAACGAAAATAGCGAGGGAAGTAGGAGCGTGCGTGAAAAGAGAGAAAGGGAAGATGTTGAGAAAGGGGGAGGGAAATAAGAAAAGGGGGCGAAGCTCTGCTTAACCAGACTGAGCGTGGTGTGGCTCTGGTTAAAAAGGAATAAGAGAGGAAAAAGTGCTTCTACGCCTGAATTTGAAGTAAACGGAGGGGAAGAGAAGGAACCTTGAACTCTCTAACGGGTCAGACGGTCTTGGTTGTTTCCCCCTCTCTTTCTGCTCAGTCGCCCACTCTTACTCAATGGACGATCGTCTGTTGTGCCTCCAGCAGGCAATCTCAAATGGGACAAGGAGGCCCTCTTCTGCCGGACCGCTATCCGGCAGCGGCAACGACGACACTATGCATAATTCGCCAATCATATGGCGGGCGTAGCAGGCTTCCAGATTCCATTTGCACACTTGAGAAATAAACAACAAACGCATATGCTTTTTGGAAGGCATCAGTATCCGTCTTTGAGCAGGCGCCCACCAGACGGGATATGCCACAGACGGATAGTGCTGTCGGCGCCCGCCGTGCAGGCCTTGATTTCTGCAGGGTGCGTCGCCACAGCATAGACGCGGTCCGAGTGCCCCTCGAGCTTCTGCCGCGATCCGCGCTTGGTCTATTTTCAAAGAAGGCGGTTTATAAATAACGCGGTCCTCACTATTTTTTGCCCTGAAGGCTCTCAGTCCGAATCCCCAACCATTTCGGGGATGTTCTAGTTCCATGACCTGAGCGAGCCCAAGACAGTAGCAGCAGAGAGCGCCTATGCCGGGGGAGTTTTCACCTGCTACACACACGCACAGGGTGGTACAGTCCAGCACCACACAACGGCAGACCAGGAATTTGCCCCTGTCAGCCTTGCAGCCAACAAGCGGGCCACTATACGCAACCGCTTTGCTGTACAGCCCCTTCTTACCTTGTCGTCCACTCCGACGGTTTTGGAGTGAGAGCTGAGTCTGTACAGATACGCAAACGGCTCTGCGCTGCCCGTCATCAAGAACAGCATTGACCGGAGCCCCTTCATCTCGTTTTGCGACCGCGTGTCCAGCTCGTAGTAGTCGCCGCCGCGGTAAAGCCCCAGCAGCTGCTCTTCAGGAGATGTTGCTCGGGCTGAAGAATGCATTCTTGATCGGCCAGTTGCGGCTGCGCACACCGCGCAGCTCGTGGATGACACGCGGTACCGGCACGCTCGGATCGTCGACGCGGTCATACACCCGGACAACATTGTCATACGAGTTGACGGCCATGTACTCGGTGCCGCTGGTCTCCTTCTTGACGACGCTAATGTGGCTGATGGCGCGCTTCTCGGCATCGGCGCTCACCAGTCGCATGAACTTGCCGATCCGCACGTCCCACATTTTGATCTCGCCGTTGCGGTCACCTGACACCAACCGCGTCTCGTCGTTGAAGCAGTAGATCGTGTTGACCATAGCCCCGTCGTTGGACAGCTTGGTGGCCACCGTCGGCGTCCTTGTGTCGAGGATCGAGATGAACCCCGACGAGTCGCCGGCATAGACAACATTGGGGTTATGTGTCGAGTATCGGGCACACTGCACCAGCCCGTTGCACGGCATGTGCGCGCGCGGCGCACGGCTCTCCAAGTCCCACTCGATGCAGGAGCGATCAAACGACGCCGACACCACTGCCTGCGAGTCGAACCGCCACGCCACGTCAAACACGCTCTGCACGTGGCCCTCGAGAACCGCCAGGGCCTTCTGCTCGCCCACATCCCAGATCCGCAGGGTCTTGTCAAACGACGCGCTGGCTATCATCCCGCCGTCTGGCGAATACTGCGTCGAGTAAATCGCGCCGTCGTGCCCGTCCAGCTCGGCGTAGCACTTTACCTGCCGGGCCTCCTTGCGCCGGGCCAGGCCGCTGTGCCGCTGCTCGTCGTCGTCGCGCATACTCCCCAGCTTCTTCTCTTTGGGGACAGCTGCTGGCTCGCCGTCGCCGTTGTGCTTGGACGAGCCGTCGCGGTCGGTAATGTCGGATTTATCGGCCGCTGGGCGACGATCTTTCTTATCGCGGGCCCCAGAGCCGGCGGCCTTTTTGGCTGCTGGCGATGTGCTTTCGGCATCGGCGTCGCCGTCTTCGGCGTAAGCGGACGCATCATTGCCACCAGCCGCCTCCTTGTCGCGTCTCGGCTTCGCTGTGCCCTCGGCAGCAGAGCGCTTGTTCGCCCTTGGCGAGCCCTTGCCTGCCAGCGTGACCTGGGGGTCATCAATGGCCACCTTGGGCAGATCAGCACTCGCCTCCTCGGGCTCCTTCCCCGACAGCTCGCCCTCTTCGACGCTGTACCCGGCTCCGCTGACCTCGTTGTTATCGCTGGATCGTACTTCCTCGGCATTGTCTGGTAGCGGGGTTTCGTCATCGGAGAACTCGAGCTCAAACGGGTTGCGCCGGTTCTCGGCACTGCGGCCATACCGCATCGACAGGTCAAAGTTGCGCTGCTTCAGCAAGCGGTTCTCACGTTCCAGCTCATCGAGCCTGCCCTTAAGCGCACGATTCTCGCGCAGTAGCCGCTCCAGCTCCTCCTGGTCCAGCTCAGCTTTCGAGTCTAGAAGCTCGGCCGGGTCCTCCATTTGTGCGTTGTGTTGTTGCAATTGTGAATTTATCCAGAGGCAGGACGCATTAAAAGTAGAAAATATTTATTTGAAACCGGGAGCGCGAGAGAAAAGGGGCCAGCTTTCCTGACCACAGCACTACCACACGTGTGACTGACCATCGCCAGGAGAGAAGAAAAAACATGGCTGCCACTCACCGCTCCCCATCGGAACAATTCTGATGTCATCACACATCGGACACAGGTGATCTCAAGGGCATGTATGTGCAGGTACACGTAGTATATGGTTAGAAAGAGGTGTACTCTCCGCCACACTCTCAGTATTCAATAAAGAATTCCATGGTAGAAAATGAAAAACACATGTTTACTTGAGGGGGATGAAGCGCGACGAGTGGGTGGCACCAATACCGGGGCGACCGTGGCGGACCGGCTTGTAGGTGATCGAGAACTCAGCCAGCATGTGGCCGATCATCTCGGGCTTGACCTCAACCTGGTTGAAGGTCTTGCCGTTGTAGACACCGACGACGGAGCCGACCATCTCGGGGACGATGATCATGTCGCGCAGGTGGGTCTTGACGATCTCGGGCTTCTCGTTCTCCGGAGCGTTCTGCTTGGCAATGCGCAGCTTCTTGATCAGGCCCATGGGCTTGCGCTTAAGACCGCGCTTGAACTTTCTGCGGGCACGGCAGTTGACCATGTCCATGAACTGCTCGCTGGAGACATCGAGCAGCTGCTCGAGGTCAACACCACGGTACGAGAACTTGCGGAAGGTCCTCTTCTTATGAGCGGAAGCGTCGGCCTACAAAAAGGTGGTTGAAATGCGAAGCGAAGGTCCACCCAGATGTACGATTCAGTACCAAATGTTTTCTCAAATTTCCTCCCTCGCCATTCCGCAATTCAGCCACACGCGCTCCTCCGCCGCCATCGTTCTCCATCGGGGCCGTATCTGCCAGCCGCCCCCGCGTATCCATTCTTAATTGCCGGCGCATCCATCCGCAGAACGCCTGCTATCGCTGCCCAGTCATCGTATATGCGGCCCTTACCATTTTTATTTTTTGCTATAGGCTAGAGAAAAGATCGAACTCGATGCTGACATGCGCTGGCACCCGCCTAAACACAATGGGCTCTGCCAGCCAAAAGTCCAAATGCGCGCTGATCACTCTTGTGATTAGCAGTGATCAATCACATGCTACCGGCCTGATTAAATGCCCGAATCTGGGTCTTGGTGTGCTGGCACCTGTAGCCTGGCTTCTGAGCTTCTGAGCTCTTCCAGCTCGCTTGCTGCCCATCTCAGTCCGTAAATTATACTTGCCTCCCCTTGCCCTCCCCGAATTGAACACGCGCGATGTCAACCCCCGAAACCGAAGCACAGCGCCGCCGCCGCCTCAGACAGGAGCGCATTCTTAACCGTGGCACTGACCGTCTGTCGCGCATCAAGGGCACGTTCTCGCAGGTCCAGGCAGAGTCAGACAAAAGCGAAATGGCCATTGTTGGCGGCCACGAGCTGCACGCGTCCTCGGCTGAGAGTTCGCCACAGCCCAGCACCAGACAGCCGCAGCAGCAGCATGTAGCGGGGATCTCGCTAGACAGCGCGACAGAGAACCCAAAGCCACGCCGTAGAGTCGGAAATCTGGCGCGCAAGGCCGCGCAGGAGAAGCGCGAGAAGGCAGAATCGGCCGGCAGTGCGGCAGAGTCTAAGCCTGCCAGCACCAGGGTGGAGAAGCGACCTGCGGTCAGCGTAGCAGATATCAACAGCGACGCCCTGCATGATTCAGCTGATGCCACGATCGCTGACCCTGGTGCCAACGCTTCCACTGGCCCCCAGGGTGCACTGGGCGGGCTACTGGTGCCACGGCAGTTCTCGATGATCGGCGCATCCAGGGCATTTGTGCGGCTGCTGCCAGTGGCGACCCTGTTTGTATACGGCACCATGCGCGAATCCAGGCACGACAGATTGCTAGGCGAGGACGCAGAGGCCACCAATGCTAAATGGTCCGGCCTGCTGAACACCCGGCCTGACAGCCAGATGGCTGAGTGGTCTACAGGCGGCTACCTGCTGTGGTACTGATGATCCTGGAGATTGGCATCTTCAGCGCTTACGTGCTCCTGTCGGACCGGCCACCGCGCGTCGCGCGTCCAGCCATTGCGCAGCTGCCTGGAATCCCTGACTGGCCTTTTGTGGCGCTGTCTGCAGGCAACCGCATTCTAGAGAGCGCATCGCTGCTGCTTTTCTTGACTGCTATCAACTGTATCGTTTCGTAGATGTCGCTTTTTTTAAAATCAGGATATGTATTTTCGACCCACTTCCAGAATCAATAGTTCTCCACGCCATACGGGTCGGCATTCAGATCGTAGTTGACTCTCTGGCGCCTGCGTGTCCTCGTCTCATACACATGCACGTTGGCAAACTGCCGTGCGTTGCGCTCCAGCTTGCGCTCCAGCTTCTCCTTGCGCAAAGCCTGCTTCTCGACAAACGGCACCACTTCTTCGCGGATCCGCTCCGCCAGCTCCTTGTGCACGCGCAATCTGCCTGCTTCCAGCTCATCTGCCACCCTCTCAAACTCATCAACTGTCTGCGCCAGCAGCTCAAACTTGTTGCGCGTCCGCCTCGATCCGCCCTCCAAATACAGTTGCCGGGTTTTGTTACCAAACATCCAGTACCGCTGCTTGGAGATCTCGCCAAATGGCTGCAGGCGCACGAGCTGGGTGTCCATCTCGTCGGCCGTGGTCACACGCTTGGCCTTTTCTGACTCGCTGTCTATGAGCTCCTTGACAGCGGTGTTGTACATGATTGTACACTCGCTGAGCCAATACAGGACATCGATGTGCACCGCTGCGTCCAGCAGAATGAACGCATCAAGGGAGTCGGCAACTTGCTCAGGCACCTGCAGACCCTTGAGCAGGAACACAGTTTTGGACGCCAGCTCGCTGCACATCTTTGACCATTGGCTTTCCCTATCAAGGCGCAAAAAACTGGTTAGTCCGATATTGCTGCGGATATGCACGATTCAATCGGGCTCGATACACACACCGACTTTGTGGTCTTGGGGTTCTTGTCGGATGCTGCAGCAAGCAATGCCAGCGCCAGGGCCCTCAGCCGCACGCCATTATCGGTGCATCGCACTGTCGCGTCCAATTCCTACACATGCAGAGGCCTGTCAGCAATTGAGGGCCAATCGATGGCAAATCCTGGTCTGGCATGAAGCTGCCATCAGGGCAACAAGTGCCTGGGAACTGCGCTTCGCGACCCAATTGAGACCAAACGCGCCAAAAGTGCCTTACCTCGGGCTCATGGATACCGGACATTATGACTGATTTGAAGCTGTCGAGGACCGCATACACCGACGCGAAGTTGGCTGGCGAGTAGCTCGTGTTGGCAATCTCTGTGCTTGTGTTTGACGCAGGCGACATCTGGGGGAGGTTGTGGTATATGGTACAGCTCGGGAGTGTATAATGAATGGGCTAGGCACGTACAAGGGGCAGAAAAATGGATGGTGGAGCAATGGAGCAATGGAGCAAAGGAGAAAACCGCTGATGGGGTGGGGCTTTTCTGCCGGAGTGTCGCGACGTTCAACCACAAAACGCAGCTGGCGCAACTTTGGCGTCAATAAATCTCAAGCTGCGCCTGATATTAGATCAGCGGCTAGGAATGAGCCTCAGCGGTGAGCCGCCCTATTCCAGCTGGCCGTTTCCATGAGCCGCACCGACATGTGCGCCGAACCGCCAGCAGCCGGTCCCTGGCGTCGGGCAGTTCTGCCTCTAGCTCATCAGCGAGCTAGCCCACAAACACACAAGGTCTGGTCGACGATCTCCTGGTGGATCCCGCTCCTTTATTGGCCGTCATGCAAACGCGCACATGGCAGGAAGAGCGAGCCTTGGATGAACGAGTCCACGCTGACGCCTTTCTCCTCAGCCTCCCTCCTGTACTCTTTTTCCCTCTAAAACCTGCGCAATCTATTCAAAGAAATGTCGTCGACGACTAGACGCAAGAAGCAGACGAAAGGGCGACGACTCTCCGCAGCTCACAGACAGCAAACCCGTGCTCGATGCTGCCTACAAGGTGCTTGGCCCACGCACTACAGCCCCGGCTGGTCCGTCGCTGCCCACAGTCATCTCGATATTCATCGGCTTTATGTCGACAAACATCCTGTCCTCGTCGCTGATCCGTCTGGGCCCGCAGTACCTCGAGCCCGTGTTCGGCAACGTGCTGCCGTACCTCAACTACTTTTACGGCATCCTGTTCAGTTTCATTTTAGGCGGGCTGATGGGGTCCAGCTACTGGCGCTATATCCTGTCGGCTATGTCGCCCGTCAAAAAGCGCAAGGGCGACCAACTGACCATTGACACCAAGACCACTCGTGCCATCGCCATGGCATTCGACATGGCAGCAATTCTGACTGCTCTGGCGCCGACACGCGCCTCGTACCTGTTCCGTTACTCCGATATGGTGAGCCCGATGTGGGGCCCCATGATTGTCTACTGCCTGTTCACGTTCCCGGCGTTTGTGCTGGGCGGGTTCGTCGCAGTGCTCAGCGCGGCGCGCGTCTCGTACAACCCGCAGTCAAAGATCCTGCAGGGCGCAATCTCCATCGCGTACCTAAGTGCTGTCGCCATGTCAGTCTGGCTTGGCCACACATTTGCCCGCCCCCAGGTTGCCTGCACTGGCATTCTTTTCAACGCCATCTTCGCTGGGCTCAGCAGTGTTATCATCAAGCTGCTGACTGGCTACCAGGAGACTGTTGATTCTGCAGATGCCCTCGAGGCACTCAAGGCTGCATCGCCGGATGGCAAGCTCGAGAAGGGCGCCGAGGAGCTGACCGCAAACCTGCGCGATAGGCAGATCCGCAAACTGCAATTCCTGCCGGCTGGAGGCGTGCTGTTCTTTGCCCTAACCACGTTCTTCTCGCAGCCCTCTTGCACCAACGGCCTGACAGCTGCCAACAACCGCAACACGACACAGTATCACATGCTGTCGCGGCATGAGTCTATCACCGGCTGGGTCTCTGTATCTGACGAGGCTCAGCGAGGAATACGCCTGCTCCGCAGTGGCCATTCCATTCTCGGCGGCCAGTGGAACACGACCAACGAGTCCATCTTTGGCGTGTTCTATTACCCGGACGCCTGTGCGTCTGATCAAGGACAACAAGCACCACCCGGCGTCCAAGTCCAAGGGCATGATGGTCACAAAAAAGTCGCTGATCGGCGATGGCTCTGGAGCGCGCCCTGCAGATCGGCCTCGGCATTGGCGTGTCAGCACGTTCGCTGCACGAGCAGAATGTGCGTGTGGACGTTGTCGAGATCGACCCCGAAGTCTACAAGGCTGCAGTCGACTATTTTATGCTGCCAAAGAACCTCAATGGCGTGTACCTGCAAGACGGCCGCACCTTCATTGACGAGTCGCCCGACCACACATACGACTACATTGTGCATGACGTGTTCACCGGCGGCTCTGTCCCCAGCTCGTTGTTCTCCGAATCGGCCTATTGCTCAGCTCGAGCGCATCCTCAAGCCCAATGGCACCCTGGCCATGAACTACGTCGGCATCATGTCCGACACGCGCTCCCTTTACCATGTCGCTCGCACTATCTCGACTGTGTTCTCGCATGTCCGCTGCTTTGCTGAGTCATTGGATGATATGGATGGGCTGACCAACATGATGTTCTTTGCATCAAACAGCCCGCTCGAGTTTGACATTTCGCACAAGGTCCTGCGCGCAATGGACCAATACACAATCCGCTCCAACATGCTGTCCAAGATGGAGGAGCGGGAGATCAACATCGATGCGGCGTATGCCGACGATGTCAAGCCCATCACTGACCAGTGGAACCCGCTGCCTCAGTGGCAGGTCGGCTCTGCCATCGCCCACTGGAAGGCCATGCGCGATCTGTTCCCGACGGAGTACTGGCTCAACTACTAAGAAATAGTCCTGCGTATTGTCTCCCAAAAGTGAAATACGCATTGTCGATTCATGCGTGAATGTGCAGTACAACCACTTTCTCTACGTGGTGCTAGACAACAGGTCCACATTAGTAAAAGATCCTCGATTATGACAATCCGCCACACAATAGCTACCAGCCTGTAACCGGAAAATGCTTAAGCACTACAACCGCCTTCCTTGTCGTGTCCCTCTTTGCACAATGCAAGTAAGCCGGCGGCATAGCCGAACCGGGCATGCGGCAGGACAGCCATAAATGTGAATACATGCCATCAATCGCCCCTACTATTTATGCACCTCGTGCATTTGTGAACGCATCACCGCCTCTTCGATAAAGAGTGCCGGCAGTTTTGTAAAAACAAAAAGTGTACATTCAAGAACACTCCTCTTGTTCCAACTCGCATCTCGGCCCTCTCTCTCCCTCTCTCCCGACGCTTTTCATCATCTCGACATATTTCTGTACATGAACATGGAATACGACTATTCGCCTGAGCAACAAGGCTTTATAAACTATTCAATTTCGAATCCTGTCGGTCAGGATCAGAGATGCCTTGCCGTTCTATTGTGAAAGCGAGTTTTCGCGGCTCATGCGTATGCCTATCCTCCAGTTCTTGAACCTGGTTACCCTCCTTAATGGCCATGAGTGCTTTGGTACCTGGAGCTACAGTGATGTTGTGCTCCAAGTCGCTGTGTGCATACACCGTCTAGGCAACGGCGGGCTGGCGCACCGCACTGCGGCTATATTTGGCGTATCATCCAAAAACGTAAACGAGTACACATGCCGCGTTATTGACATTATCATTGATCGACTAGCAAACTCGGTAGCGTTTCCAAAGACCGCATGCAACCCAGATGGACCATTTGACGGCAAGTTTGATACACGGGTCGGGTTTTTGGGTGCAGGGAGTGTCTGGCTGGGCCTGGAGCCAGCATACCTAGAGCCGTCGTTTTGCTCTTATGACAAGTCAGCGTATGGCAAATACAGTATACGTATCATGGCTGCAATTGCGCCATCGCTGAAATTCATGTATTTCCTATCAGACCATGCTGGTGCCACTCCGTTTGAGCGCATCATGGAGCTGTCCCCGCTTGTTCAGCAGCCGGGAAAGTTTATGACTGGGTGCCAATATCTGCTAGCGGATAACGGTAAGTATGCATTTTGGAAGAATAACACGACCATACAATGCCTACACGCTAATACAACTTCTTGGACTATAGCACCCAAGAAGAGTCGGAATCTTTTCACGCCATACCTTGAGGATCAGTACGTCCATGAGCTGGCCGAGCAAGCCGAAACAACGCCCCGCCATAGGTCTGCTACATTCGCAGTCAACCGTGCCTTCTGGATGTGGAAGTGCATATTCCGCTCGCTCAATGCGCTACCAATATGCATAGTGAACGAACGTGCCATGACCATTGCTAAAAAGTGGATCAATGCCACTGCCTACTTGTACAATTTTTTGCATCCCAACCTCGCGTACGTACAATGGCTAGATTGGCTGGACAAGGATGCAAGTCTTAGGGGAGTGCAAGCTATGAAGCAAAAGACAAATTCGAACTATCCGATCCATACTACGAGTCAGCATGCATACTAAGGGTCCTTTGTTCATTCCTCACAATTAATTATGAATGTACTTAAAAATAGACCTAATATCTAATGGCAAACTACAAATGATAAATGTATAAAAGCCCAACCTACGTCCCCTGTATTCATCTCTCGACTCTGGACTCTCGACTCTCGATCCCTAACCTCAAACCGCTCACTTTTCATTTATCTCGATCGTGCCACATATGGAGTACAACTACACCTTGGAGGAGTCCAAGTATATCACCCATGCCCTTGAGAATATCACTATGAGCACACGGCGCCTCTTGCCATTTCATTCTGAAAAAGCCTTCATCAAGAAACTGCGTATGCCAATTCTAAAGTTCCTCATGCTTGCCGATGCTCTGAGTGATGACTATTGCCTTCAACGTTACATTACAGACAGCATAGATGCTGCCTTTCTTGTCGGCCTAACATTAGCCCAGTTTAGCTCTGTTACTTGGGTGCACAAGGACTTTACCATTTCGCACGCTGTAGCAAAGGTACTTGTGGCCCAGGTTTCGGCTGCAATCGTCAGAGCCTTTAGTGATAGAGCCAAGTGGAAAAAGCACATCATGCCTGGCTACACATCCTGTAGTAAGCGGCCATCGTATTGGATACCTTGGTTCTTCGGAGGTAATCCTAGAGTACTCGCCTCGCTACAGGGAGATAGACTTCCGTCGGAAGCAGCCAGAGAAAGGAACAGGGCATTCATTTAAAGTCCTAGCTCCTATTTCGCTGACCTATGATTTTCTGGTGATACCAGAGGTATATCCAGGCGGATGCTCTAACAACCAGATGACCCAGATATCAGACATCTGCACCAACCAAAACGACCACTTCCAGAATGGATACCATGTTGTCACGGACAACGGTAAGCATTAAACATACGATACGTGTTGCATGCTAGTCTTTCTCTTGCCAACAGCTTATCTGGGCTGCTCAATATCCATCTGTAGGCAAGGAAGATTCAGAACTGTGCATCAAGCCGTTCGAGGAGCTCAAGCAGCCAACAGCAGTCACCGAGGCAATTAGGCATAATAGGGTCATTAGCGCATGCAGCTTGGATGCAATGGAAGCTGTCAACACCTGCTTCTCACAGTGGAGAACTGTGTTTCCTTCGCTAAGGTCGTTGCCAAAACGAGTGTATAAAGAGAAGGACTATAAGGAGGCTGAGAGTTGGATCCAAGCTACCGCATGTGTTTACAACTTTATCCAAGTAACTCCAGCGTACATCCGACAGCTTTCCTTGCTGGACTATTTGCACAACCCTCCTGTTAGCAATGACTAGTATGTGTGGCCATTGTCACATTGAGGCTGGTCGCTAGAAAAGACAATAAACTACAGTTCAGCGGTATATTATTAAGGGTTTTGGGCTTGGCAACACGCTTTTCCGGAAAGGCACGCGTCTCTCATTTATGCGGGGCGTCACCCCATGCTGTGTTGGTGAACACGGCCTGCATGAAAATCTATCGACCTAGTGTCTCTCCACATCGCATTTTGCTTTATTAACCAGCCCCTGGTGTTTGTGGCACGCATGCTCGTCTCTTTTTCTACTCACCGCTACTTTATCTCTCTTTGCACCTTTTCTCCACCATAATTGTGGTTTCCAGTCAAGAGCTATGGCTGAGTATACGCTCGATCAGCAGATATACATACACCGAGCGCTGGCAGAGATATCCCCGTACACGCGAGGTTTTCTTCCGTTTCATGATGAGCAGGCGTTTATGAAGACCACCCGAATGTCAGTGCTCAAGTTTTTGCGGCTGGTCGACTTACTAAAGAGCCATCGCTTGCTTGCGGTTGACGACATCAGAGACGCAGCACTTCAGATAGCTTTCACCCTGTTTCGTCTGTGCAGTACCCACAGCATAAGCATAGCTGCTGAAAAGTTCCAAATACTGCCGGCACAGGGCCGAAAGTACACTGTGCGAGTGGTCCAGGCGATTGTAGACACCCTCCAGCACCTCATTTCCTTTCCAGACCCTGTGTCCAGCCAAGCCAGACAAAGTGCACTTCGGTTCAAGGACAGGGCCGGGTATTTGGGAGCGGGCAACATATGGCTGTCGTACAAGCCAGAATACCAGCGTGAGCTGTTTCTGTGCCGAGATGAGGGGAGTGAGGGAAACCCTGGTATCCGGATACTAGCTGCAGTGTCTGATGAGTGCCGCTTTATGTATTTATTCGTCGAGTGTCCTGCATCTTATTCATACAAAGAAGTAATGTGTGCCTCGCCCTTGTATCAGAACCAGGGTAGCTTCCTCAAAGGTAGCACGTATTTGCTTACTGACACGACCTCCAGAGAAAGCCCAGATATCTCCTAGGCCGTATCTCGAAAATCAGTATATGATGGACGCACCCCACGGCCAGACCGCACTAAACGTGCCTTGTCCGCCCCATGTCTCGGCAGTCATGGCTGTTGGCAACACGTTCTCTATGTGGAAAAGGGTATTCCCATCGTTGATCCAGCTGCCACTGCTTATTCGATCCCACTCTAGCCTCCAAAGCTGCAAAAGGTGGATAGAGGCAGCAGCGTGCTTGTACAACTATCTGCAGCCCAGCCCCATGTATGTCCAACGACTGGGTCAGCTGGATGCCATGTACGATCGCCAAGGCGGCTCAAGCAGCGCTGCGGCTAATACTGGTAATTAGATTAGCTCCCTCACCCGTGCCCGCTCCACCAGCAGCGACTCATTCGCACATGCAGACCGTGCATTGCAGGAATTGCAAGGGATGTCTGGTTGGCGTTTCTCGACTTGCCGTCCGGCAAGCTAGGCATGCAGTGCAGCTGGCGCACATCTCTCCCACCCACATCCGAAGTGCGTGCATCTTGCTCGCTTTTCTTGTCAATCTCTTTCACTCCCCTGATTGTCGTTTTGTGCAAAACAATAGCCCTATTTTTTTCCTTTTCTCGTACAGAAATGCAGTTCGCCGATTCCCCAGAGGACAGAGCGTATATCGACTTGTAAGGTTTATACTGCTCCCAAAAGTGTGCCCAATTCCGCAGCCCTTTGTAAACATGTGCCATAAATTACACCCAGCGCTTTTTTTTTGGTAGATGCTTGTCTGGTCTGTCCGACGACACCAAGAATCTACTCCCGTTCGGCAACCCCGACGCGTTCATGCAACTCGTGCGCATGTCACCGCTAATGTTCTTCAAGTTGGTCGAACTATTAGAGCCACACAAGGCGTTCCATGGCCGCATGTCCAAGCAGCGCGAGGTTGCCTTTCAGGTGGCCCTCATACTGATTCGCCTTGGTTCGACCACCGACAAAATCAACACAATGGCCAAACGATACAAGATATCGATGGTGACCATTGGCATGCTCGAACATCGTGTAGTAACAGCCATATTGGACAAAATGAAGAGCTATGCCACCTGGCCTAAGAACCCCACCGACGTCGTTCGTGCTACCAGGCAACAGGGCGCTCCAACACACAACATGAATAGGGTCGGATATTTGGCAGCTGGAAAAATATACCTGTCATATGCGCCATCCTACCGCAAAGCTGAGTTTGTCGCAGAAGAAGATAAAGGGCAGATTCGAAATGGATATTTCAGCATTCGCGTGCTGGCAGTCATCTCGCCGACAACAAACAGATTCCTGCATTTTTTCGCTGGAAAACCGGGCTTCAGTCTCCAACAGTAGCTTGCTTCAGTCGTCGTTGCTGTTTCGCAAACAAAAGGAGATATTTCGTGATGACCAGCACATTCTAACAGACACAGGTAGGTAGATATACACATTGCTTTTTCCTGGCTGATGTGCTGACGATTGAGGTAATACGCACTTTGTGTAGGGAACAACGAAGGTGATGACACGCACATTGCGGCGCCATATCGTATGGAGCAGTTCATACCGCTGTTTGAGCGTAGCTCCAGTGAGCAAGCAGTGGGTCCGGACGACAAGGGAAACCAGGGGGCAGCACTGGCGATTGGCCAGACAGGGTGGATGTGGAAGTCTATATTCCGCCAACTCAATGCGCTCAGCATCAGGATACAGAGCGAGAAGAGCCTCAAGGATGCAAACTCGACGATTGTGGCTACTGTCTACCTGTTCAACTACCTCCAGCCCACCCCGACTACGTGAAGAGAGTTGATTCGTCTTGACAAGATGAGTGCTTGACGTACAGCTGCAGCTGCGGCTGCAACTGTGTGCCATGTAGATCACTCCCTTTTCCCTTCCTCCTTCTCTATCTACTCCAGTGTAGTTGAAATTGAAGCAATGACATGCAGGCTTTTTGTGCTGAAACAGCAAGTTTGCTTGGCTGATATCTTCCTGGCGGGATTTTAGCAAATGTTGCCATGGTCAGCAGGCATGCAAACAGTGAGCGCAGTGGATTTCTTTTGTCTTCCGGCAATGCATATATTGCCGGGGATTTTTGTTCTCTCCAGGTGTACGTACGCCATCACATGAGTGACAGCTCCCGCAATGAGCTTATTGAGAATGTCCCTGCCGCCCATACGAGTGTAAGCCCACCGTATCCCCTGCTCTGATGCTTGGCCTGAGAGCTGCTGCTCGCCACTCATCTATAAAGCGCGCCCCCACCCTCGATTTTCCTCCTCCCTTCCAAACAAGACAGACAAACGTAAACTGCTTTTCGCCTTAACCATGCTACATCTTCCATACACCCGCAAGGAGAAAGCCTACGTCGTCAGGTACGGTGATACCATTCTATTGTCCACTGGTGCTGTTGCACGCAAGAATTATTGAAGCTAACTGCATTGTTGCTATTGTTGTCATTCTTGTGGGCGGCGATGGCCGCTGTTGCTACTGTAGGTCGTTGCAAAAGGTTCACCCTGACATTGCTGACTTGTTTCTGTTTGATGATGAGCGTGAGTTCATCAAGACTGTGCGCATGCCCCTGCTCAAGTTTTTCCAGCTGATAGACATCATCCAATCCCACCCGAGGACCAGCATTGCCTTTGCGAAAATGAAAAAGAAAACACTCATCCATGCTGTCTGCGTGGTGCTTAACCGCTTCGGAACCATCTACGACCACTCGTACTCTGTTGCTGAGAGGTTCAAGCTGGCCGAGGTGTCTTTGCGAACGTATACAGATTATGTTCTCCAGGCAATACTCGACATCTTCAAGGACCATGATGCTCTCTGCAGGACCAGCAACTACAACGGAACTACAACGGCAATTACAACGGCAACTACAACGGCAACTACAGCTGTAGCTACAGTGACAGCGACAGTGACAGCGCCAGCGACTTGGAGGAGGGTGAGATCCGCACTGTACCCAAGAGAGAACGCCGTTGCGAAGTGGTTGGCCTAACCACCTGTCCGACTTCACTACAAGCCTGCGTTCCAGACTGGCGACTACATCTACGATGACAAGCTGATGTCAACTAAGGGAGTTTGGTGTACGGGTGCTGAGCAGCTATCTCCCCTTCTCGTAACCGGCTGCGCGTCCTTGTCAGTAGGCCAGCTGTTCATTCCGAGAGCGAGCTCCTGAAGCAGTCAGCAATGTTTGACGCCCCCTCAGCACACCGTCTGCAAGAAAGAGCATGGTGACCTACCAGACAGGAAGGAAGCAGGTAAGGAAAAGGCGCCTATGGGAGTGGATGGGAGATATATAGCCCGATACAAGCATATGGTTTTCTTAACCAACATTTCCTTCTTTCATAGATGCTCCGGCCAGTGTCAACTCGAAGGCTCTAGTGGACCACATTACTACGCTTTGGCAAAATGACCAAAAAATACTTGTGCGCAGCCACACGAGACACCAGCCGCTGTCCGCCTACAAACGCAGGGCAGGCGAGCATGCCATCGAGCAGACATTTGACGCCTGGAAAACAGTTTTCCGGTCCCTCGACGCGCTGCCTGTGCGTATCAGGAGTCCAAAGTCGCAGATATTTGTCAGCGACTGGATTTCGGCTACCGGTTACCTCTACAACTTCATCAGCCCAGATGAAAAGTATGTGGAGTTGCTGCGCCGCCTAGACGAGGAGGATGTGACCATATGCACACCGCTGTTCGACGTCGTGCACGACTCTAACCTGAGCGACTCGGGGGAGGAGGAAGAGATAGACATGGATGACGAGGCTGATATCTAAATCTTGTATATTTAATTTATCATGGTAATTTAAATGAGTGTGGGGGAAGTCAGGGTGTTGATTCGGATCCACATGGCGGATCATTGGTGTAGTTGACACATTGCCGCTCTCTCGGTTACTCTAGAAATATGAGAAAACAAGCAAGGGCGGATTCTATCGAAATTCTACAAATGGCATTTAAACATGCTGGACTCATTCCACTCAGAGTCACTCTTTGTCTGCTGTTGAAATCTCACCGCATATATCTACAAACTATCAGCAATACCAATGTATCCGGAATACACCGACGAGCAGCGCGAGTACATTGAGTGGTAAGGGACTATATCGACCGCCAGCAACGAAGAAGGCGTATATAATACTGATGCGTTTCTTATGGCTGTAGGAAGTTAGAGCAGCTCCCAGAGCATGTAAAACAAAAGCTACCGTTCCACCAAGAGCGCGAGTTCATCCAGACCACACGTATGTCGGTATTCAAATATCTTCCATCTAGTACGCCTGCTTCGTAAGCATCCGGTGTTTAGCATTAGCACACCCGGCCTCCCCGACGCTGCGCTACAGATTGGCATCGCCTTGTACCAATTTGGTGGTGAAACAAGCAATATGCGCACGGTCGCACGCCTGTTTGATGTATCAGAAAAGACAGTAATGCAGTCAACCAAGCACACGGTGACAGCAGTAATCGACTGTCTAGGAGCCAAGATCACATGGCCTGATTCTGAGGATGCCGAGGACTTTGGTGATCCGCAGTTCGAGGGTGCAGTTGGGTTCATGGGGGCAAGCAGCATCGGGCTCGACATTGAGCCAGAGTATCTGCCGGAGGACTTTCGATCTCGGGCTGGAGATTTGTGCGACAAGAAGTTCTGTATTCGCGTAATTGCCGTTGTCTCGCCCGCACGCGAGTTTGTGTACTTTTTCCCTGGGGGCCCTGGCTCAACCCCCGACAACACAATGCTGCGCAGTACATCACTGTTTGAAGGCCAAGACACATATTTCGGCGACGACGAATACGTTTTGGCAAGCAGGGGGTTCACATGCAGTGCACACATCATGCCACCATTTGTGGGCGACCGGCTGGCACCTCGTCTGACACGGACCGGCGAAGCGCAGAGGCTGTATAACAAGGCACACGAGCACCTGCGGAAGACGACTATAAAGTACGTGTTTACTGCGTGGAAGCACGTTTTCCCGTCGCTGCACCATCTCCCTGTCCAGATCCGCAACGCAAAGTCTCTTCTGTTTGCAAAGGACTGGATCCAGGCAACGGCGTACCTGTATAACTTCCTCCAGCTGACTCCCAGCGATATCGACAAGGTGTGCCTGATATACGCGAATGGCGAGTATCACCCTGGGTACGAGTACGACGAGGACTACGACGAGGACAGCAACCTGCTACCACTTGACACCAGTGTTACACTGCTGCCACAGGACATGTAGGATGCCAATCATTCCGAATTTTGAATAGAGTATAGAAAGCACTACATCAAAAGCACCACTCGGCTGTCTAGAACAGCATAACAGCCGCAACAATACCAATGGCAGTCAGAGCCACGCCGTTCGAGTACTGGCGCGACGAGGCGCCGCTCGGGTACACGACGCCAGTCGGGGGAATCATCTCCCAGTACGTCGCATCCTGGTTGGTAACGATGGGGTTGCCCTCTTCGTCAGTCGCAACCTCGCCGCTGACGGCCTCACTGTTATCGTTATTGCCCTTCGAATTCTTATTTCCCTTGCCGCTGGCGCTCTCCTCTTCCTTATCGTTCTCTAGCGTGCCTTCTTCCTTGGTTGACTTGCCTGAGCCGCTGCCCTTGGAAGAGGATTTGGCAGAGGACGTCGGCGAGGGTGAGTTCTTCTCCGACGACGTTGCCTTTGTCGCAGACTCGGCCTTTGTGGAAGAAGGCGAGCTGTCCTTGTTATCCTTGTTATCGTTGTTGTCCTTGTTATCTGCGCTAGTGGGCTCATCCGCACGCTTGAACAGGGCCAGCTGGTCCTTCGGAATGATCCCGATCTTCAGGTTTCTACAGAAGTCAGAATGCACGGAGATGCTTAGGTCAATGGCAATGTCAACACAGAAAGGCAGTGCTTACAGGGCATCACAGACGCAGAGGCAGTTGGACAACCCATTGTGAACGCGGCAAGCGCCACCATTTCAGGGAAAGAAAAAGCAAAACAAACCGCATAGCGCAGGACGCTTTGCCAATAGCCTCGAGGTCGTGTCAAACGACGGCATCTACGCACATCGAGACATATTTTGAAGCGAGCCTCTCGCATTGCTGGGCAATAGCTGTGCTTACCTCTGAAGGATCTTTCCATCAGCGCGCTTCAGAACACCGCCCACGTTGTTGTTGCTAGCCTCGGCAGAAACGAAGCTGCTAAGGGCCAGGGCGGAGACCGTGAGTGCAGTGGCAAACGCAGGAGTCTTCATGGTCGATATGTGTATGGGTGCGGGGAGGTGCTAGTAAATAAGGGATGTGGAGTAATTTAACAAGTGAGGGCGAATTGGAATGTACGAAAGGAATCTGAAGTGGGTTTGGCAAAGGAGAGAGAAAAATACTGCCACCATCTTTCTCATCGTGCCCAACAAACGAGCCAAGGTTCTATTTTTGGGCAGAGCCGTTATTGGGCGCACGCTCCATGTATCTCTGGCAATGTCCTCAAACAGTAACAAAAATGCTGAAGGATCTCGACATTAAACAAAAAGTAAAGCATACGAATGTATAAAAGTATCACGAGACGAGGTAGCGCAGGGGAGAGATGCTTAGAACATGGCGGCAAAGACAGCGACACCCAGCAGACCAGCAGCCAGGGCAGGGCGCGAGGCACCGTTCGAGTGGGACGACGACTCAGCCTTTGAGGGCTTGGCCGACGAAGACTCCTCCTCCTCCTCCGAAGAGGTGGGCTTGGCCGACGACGTGGCCTTAGACTTGGTGGCCGAAGCCTTGTCCGAGGTGGTCTTGGGCTTGGCCGACGAAGCCTCAGTGGCATCCGAATCCTCGCTCAGGGAGCCGAGCTCGGAGGTCTTGTGCGAGGCGGGGGCGGAGGCGGTGGCAGAGGTGGTGGCAGGGGCGGTGGCAGAGGCAGTGGTCGACGCTGCCGACGACGACGGCGCCTCAGTCACGTCCGGGTTACCGGCAGCGAAGAAGTGGCTGTAGTGGGGGCCATCGACGCTGGAGGTGATGCGGATCGCATAGTAGGTACCGAAGGGCAGGGTGGTCGCAGGGGTGTACGAGACCTTGCCAGCCGAGGCAGCGAGGCCAGTGGCGATGGTGTCGACCAGAGAGAGGTTGTTGGGATCAGAGCCGCTCATCAGCTGGACAGTCACAGTGCCGGTCAGAGCAGTGCTGTCGTCGGAACTACAGAATTGCCGCCAAACAAACATTCAGTGGGGGCCATTGTTAGTGCCCACAGAATTGAACGTGGTTAAACACAAATAGTGCTCACATGCGCAGGAATGGCATATTCCGAGGAATCAATGGAAAGAGGGCCTGTGTTTCCAGTACGCTGGAAACAAGCATGCACAACCGGCAGAGCGAGGCCCACTGGAGACAATGCTGGCTCCAAAATTGGGCAATAAAGCGCAGGCACCGTCGGGAACGAAGCTGCGGTGCATGGCATGACCCATCGGACAAGACAGACAGACAGACAATTGGAACGCGCTCTGAGGAAAGGTGACACAATATTTAATACCGCGTTCCACTGGCACCCGTGTCATTGAGATAGCACCACACACGTCCTTGGGAGTCCAGGCCTGGATGGCACCTTGAAGCAGCCAGGGAGGGGAGGGAGAACCAAAAATGGAAGCTGCCAAAAGCAAACCTGTTCGCAAACGATTTTGTATACATGGAAAGCGAGCATGCAGCCAGCATGCATTGATACGCAAGTGCATTCCCCCAAACGACATTTATTGCCGTGATGGAGCAATTGCAGAACGTGCGGGGTGCGATGGCAGGACAGGCATGTGGAGCTGGGGCGTGAGTGTCTACTGGTACTTACATCCAGGTAATGGTCTCAGCGGCGCCGTTGGCCCACTTGGTACCCGCGACGGGGCCGTTGATGCTGAGGGCAGCAAAGGCCGAGGTGGCAAAGGCGGCAATGGCAGCGATGGTAAGCTTCATTATGCGTTGCGTTGCTTGGGAGAGTAAAGGATGTGGGAGCGAGGTGGGGGTAAGGTCGTAGGTAAGCGAGACTAGAGAGCGGAAGGTAGAGGTAGTGGAGAAGAAAGGGAGAGAGCTTCTTAAGACTCAGAAAAGTGCGTGGAAACGAAGAAGCAAGAGCCCTGGCGCAAAGAAATCCCGATTTTTATTTGCCATTTGAAAAATTTGCAGCGTCGCAAACTGGTCGCAAGCTAGAAAATAATGCGCCGGACCATCTGAAGTTTTGCGCGTGGGATTCACAACACAAAAAGAGAGGGGCCCGGGCTGGATGTCGACAACAAGTGCCAAAGCGGCACGGTTGATAGGCTGGGCACAATGCGAACTTCCCTTTTGTGCGCACTGCCTCGCTTCCTTTTGTCATCAGCATTGTCATATCAGAGCAGCCGCGAGCCACTGCGCAGAGATAGCAAAAGCAGAGTACCCGCCAGCCAGCCAACCAGCCAGTGTAAAGGTACTACGAAGCATGTGTGGGCACTGGTCTTACAGAAGCCTGCTATTAGTAGTCGAGCGCTGTGCTGAACACGATGTTGGGCGGAAAGGTGTCCTTTTGCTCCTTTCTATGTATTGGCGATCGCTGCAGCTGCCCGACCGGTCAATTACTGTGCTATGCGAAGCGATGCCGCAATCTAGTGATCGACGGTCCGGGTGGTTCGCAGCACAGCCTACACTCGGTTCTCACTGGTGAGTGGATCGTAAATGTCGATCACCAACAGCAGCCCTTCGCCGCGCACGAATAAACTCCCCGACGCAGACTCAGCAGGCGGCGTGCGGCTCGTACGCGCTGGATGCAGGAAGGCGCTGGCAAGTAACTGCTTACCCGGGAAGCACTGGCCTTTCCGTGTGGCAGCAGCCAGGCGTGCTCGCCTAAGTAAAGAATGAGCACTGGTTGCGGTCCCAGACTTCCGGCAATCCGAGAAGCTCCAAAGTCCACAGCCCAGTGAGTATTTTTAATACACTGCGCCAACTACATGGGCCCGTTCTATTTTTAACTCTGACCAGTCCAAAAAGCTGTTTTTCTCAATCGCTTCTGTCGAGAAGATCGGCCAGGGTGCTGTCTGTGAGTATGATGCGGTCTTTCTTTTGCCGCAGAACCCAATGACATACATGATGAGTAGTGGTAATGAAAGGTATTGGGAGTAGAAGAGAAACAAAGACTTTGACAACAAGAGCATTGAAACAAAAAATACTATGAGCGATGACAAAAGTTTACCCAGAGGATTGTGTGTGCAACCCAGCAAGCCACATTCAGGCCGACAGAGAAGACTCACTTGATCCAAAAAGCATTCCCTGCATGGCTACAAGGATATAGCAAGAGACATGTAAAGTCAGTGCTGCAGGTTGATATAAGATGCAGCAGCTATTAACCAGACGGCGGCGGCGAAGATAGAGCCCGAGGACCAGCTAGGCGCGGCGTTTGTCAGTCCGGTACCACTCATCTTGTCAGACTCGCCATCGGTGTCCTTTGCGCTTCCCTTGCCAGCCGTACCCTTGAGTGCCTTGACCGGCTTCTTGACGGCCTTTTTTGGTGCTGAATCCTTTGGCGAGTCCCTGTCCGAACCCGAATCTGCCTTCTGGATTTTGGCTGGCGCGCTATCGTCCGAGTCGCTGCTATTTCCGCTGTTCTTGGAGTTCTTGTCCGACTTCCGAGTTACGTCGGTTTTGCCACCCTGGCCCTTGAAGTACCGGCCATAGTACTCTTCGCCGTCCTCGTCGACAATCTTGATGGCGTAGTTGTTGCTGTTCTTGAGGTTCTTGGGGACATTCCATGCCAGCTGCTGGTTGGCAGCAGGGATGTTTTCAGCAATGGTTGTGACCGAGTCCATGTTCATGGGATCTGAACCCTCCATCAGCTCAATTGAGACGCGGCCGTGCAGATTGCCGTCAATCGGCTTCCACCTGATCGTCTCGGATGTACCGGCCTCCCATTCAGTATGCGAGTTGGGCAACGTGATCTGCAGCTTGGCCAAGGCAGTGGCTGCAACAAGTGAAAGAGCATATGCCTGAAAGGAACTTCATGGTTTTATGTGTATTGTTTTGTTACAAAGGGAATGTGCGAGTGTGTGTGTGCGGGTGTGAGTGTGTGTGTCGGACAAGTGACAAAAAATACTGATAACGGAAATGTGCATGTGGCAATGGCTTGCTGGCCCTCATGGGCGAGATGATCACTACTTAAAGCCCGCCACATATTACCGCGGCTCTTGCCATAGACAAGGGAACGGGGTAGAACACACCGGCTCTAAGCTATTAGGATGCATACGCGGAGATCTTGCCAGGGAATTGTCCTTGGGTATGGACTGATTCTAAGACATCTGCTCGTTTCATAATCTGGGGAAATTCCTTTTGGTTCTCTCGCAGTCGCGAATTAAATATTCCAATATTGCCGGCCATTCTTCATATGTGCGCAGGCGGTAGTGAGCATGCCGTCAGGACTTCTCTGGGTCCGCGTTCTGGACTAGAGCAGACAGAAAATGAGTTTCAATCGTTTCTCACCAAATTACGACTATCTGGAGCGAGACACTGCGAGCACTCTCAAACTGGCTCCCGCCTACCCCGCACTGGAGACAGAAAAGGAGACAAAAGCCGAGTTTCGAGCTGTGTGTGGGGTAAATAGATGTGCAATGGCCACAGTGGCCCAGTATCTCCTAGCCTTCGAGACAGCAATGCTTTTGGTGGTATATGAAAAGAGTCTATTAGCGCACCGAGAACACAGCATCAAAGGGCTCATTTGGACTTGGACTTGGGCTTGGGCTTAGGGTTAGATTTGGGTTTCGGCCGGGAACCCTTGGATTTGGACTTGCCACCTCCACTGCCGGGCCCAGGCTTCTGGCCTGGATTCAGACCTGCCAGGGCCCTTGTGGCGGACGGGCTTCCGGGAATGCTGGCGGCGGCAAGCCTGTCGCCTCCTTGGTCCCATCGACAAGATCCGGCGAAATAGGCTTGCGGCTGCGATTAATAACAATCTTGCCTTTGGGTGTCTTGTTTTTCCACAGGTTCCGGCGTGAGATCCTCCGCAGAATCTTCACCAGCGGCGACAGCTCGTCTTCAGGGGTATCGGGTGCGGCACGCTCAAAGTACGTCGCCTGCTTCAAGCGCAGCGCGCGGTAGTGCCGCTGGATATCGGACTGCGGATCGCGCGACTTTGTCAGGCGCCAGTTGACAAACCACTCGTCGTCCTTGCTCCGCACCGTCACAGGCTCGTCGGTGTCGGCGTTGTTGACCGTGGAGAAGGCTTCCATAGAGTATTTGAGGATGGGCACAGGTGGTGTTAACATAGATCTCCTCGCTCGGATCAAGGCACTCGTCAGCCAGCTCGTCAATCAGGTCCTGGTCGCTCTTGGATGCAGTGTCTAGAGGGTCGGTAGTGGCAAACGGATCGGTGGCACCTGGCATCTGGCGCTTTTGCTTCTTCATTGCCCCCTTCTGCTGCTTCAGGCTCCTCAGAAACCCTTCCTCCGAGTACTGCTGCATGGCGACTGCTTCGGCTTCGTCGTCAATAACCTCAACCCAGATGTTCAGTCGCCTATCACTAGTCTCGCTGTCAAACGTAACGCGCAGGTCCTTTTTTGGGTACTGGTCGACCGTGGTGCGCAGCACCTTGCCCAGCAATATCAGGACGGCCTTGAACGCCTTGTTCCCAGTAGCCTCGTTGCCGTACAGGATGCGGTCCATCTCGCCGCGATTGATGTACTGGAACCCAAACATCTTGGCGGTGTTGTGGTATGCGACGAAAATGCCGTCCATGTTGCCGATACGCGTCTGGAAGTTGTATTTGAGGAACGCTGAGCGGATCATATCATAGTACTCGCGCTCAAACGACTCCAGGCGCCCCTTCATGTTGTTGATCTGGTAGCCCTTGCTGATCTCATAGTTCTCCATGTCCATGCGGATAGCAAGCGAGCCTCGTGTCTTCAAATCAAATGTGCGGCGCGGCAGCCGGTCGTCACGGCAATCCGAGCTGCGAGCGCAATACGAAATCATCAACCATCACGTAGTGGTAGTTCTCCTCGGGTATCTCTTTGACCTGCCACGAGTTTTGCTTTTTGAACATGTCAAATTCCTGCGGTGTGCTCGTCAAGAGCTTCTCAAGCGATTTACCCAGAATGCTCAGAATGCTATCCTGCACATCGAAGCTCTTGTCGGCGTCAATTCCGTACACGCCGTCGTGGTACCGCAGAGATATCGATGCCGGATACCGCATACTGCGTGTGTATCTGCTCGGCATGTCGTTGAATGCCATGGACATGCACGACACGTCAGGCTGCTTCCACGCCGATACGATGAAATACAAATGCGACAGAACGTGGGTCATCGATGACGTCGATCCGACAAACTGCTTTTTGCGGTCGCGCGCATACTGCATCAGCGTCTGGTCCTTGGATGATGTGATGTACGGCGTCAGCTTGTCATAGTCGAACTCGGCTGGCTGAGTGATGTTGCGGATATATGGGTCAAAGTTATACACATGGCTGTGTGGGTCCTGCAGACAGTGCACGCCTGGGCTGAACAAGACGCGCTCGAGCCCGTGCGCCAGCTTGGGCACCCGGTGCACATGGCTGGTGCCCGTCTGTGTGAATGTCAGCGACTCGGGGTTCAGGCGGTACCACTTGTTGTTCTGCACCGGGTACGCCATTTCGTGCACCACCGACAGGCTCGCGCTCCTTGATGAAGTCTGCGCGAGCACCCGCCTTGCCCTTGCGCGCACCCTTGTCACTGGGCTCCTGCTGCCTCATCCTTGGTGTACACAGGTGCAGCATCGACTACCGTCGGTGACTCCTTCTGATCTGTGCCGTCGGCCCTGCCCTGATCCACCGCTGTCTGTGGGCTAAGGATCTCTGTCAGAGCTGTGCCAGCGCGCCTGCCGCTTCACAAGTCTTGCAGCGGACATGGTAGCCCGATGCTGACGATAAGCGAGCATTTTTATGATATGGAATATTGGAGGAAAAAATAGTAGGAGCGAGGTTTGAGAGACAGCGCAGGCGAGAGCGACGAATGCTGACGAGCGATCGGGAACGGCGAGTTGGCAAAATCTTTGTCTATCGCCGAATCATCAAAACTCGCAGATGAAATCACAAAATCAAACAGGGTAGCTATAAAAAGATGCTGCACACTAATGGTCCCATGGCCAAAACGGCCACCTCAGCTGTTTACTTTAAAAAAGCATTTTTACTCTTCTACCTGTACACTTTCCCACACGCTTTCTTATGAGGTCGAAGCTATTTGTGGCAGCCTCTTGTAGTGGCCCTGGCCCAGCCCACACAGGCCGAGGAAACGCGCAACGGCGGCGTGGCCGACGGCATGATGAATATATTTGGCGACTATGCCCAGGACACAGCCCAGCAAGGGTACCAGTGGTGGAATGCACTGGCTCTGCATGCAGCCAACTATCATGAACCCAGACACATTCGCCTCGTTCATCGAGTCCTATGACCAAAGACGGCTGGGAAGCCAACGGCGAGCTCCGCCTGCCAAAAGACGCTGCCTGGCTGAAAACCATCCAGGACAAGGCCATTGAGGACCTGGACAAGGTCATTGAGCTGGTGAAAGGGGCAGGCGGGCACTGACAAGCAGCGGGCACTGGAGATCATTGACAGACTCCGCAACCTCGCGCACAATAGCCAGGGATCGGCTGAATGGCCAGACGATCAGTTTGGCGAAGGCAGCGATCCCGAGGTCGTACGATACCTCGAGACGCTGAGACATGCAACCGAGCAGCGGTACGGCTCATTGACTGAGCACTCCAAGGCTGCTAACATCTGCTGTGGAAACTATCGGCCAAGGGTACTTTTCTGCCCGCCTGCCGCTGGCCAGCGGCTACAACGCCGTCATTGCGTTCTTGCTCATATACCTGATCTATAAAATCATGGGCCGCAAGGCAGGAGCTGCAGAACCGGGTAAGACTACGCAACGCGGTAGACAGACAGGGCGGGCAGGTCACAGAGGCGTACCAGGACGAGTGCGATCTGATATCCGACACCATCACAGTTGCCTGCGCATACCTGGCCATTGTGCCCTTGACCAGCATTTTGCTGATCATCCTGGAGCTCAATGGGACCACTCCGTGGCTAATCAGCTCCAGCTACGTATGCTTGATCTCAGGCATCATCATCGCTGCGCGGCCCTCGCTGCTCACAAATCTGTGGGACCGCAACTCGCTGCTGGCTGTCGGACAGCGGCTGATTCTCGGCATCATGACTATCACCGCCCTGGGCTGTCTGGTCCACTCAAAGTACGCGGTGCCGGATTACTCGTAAGATTTTGTTTGAATATACCAAAGATTTACTTTCTCCGAGAAACTACGTACTCGCCGTCCTTGAACGGCCGCTGGTGCCGGCGGAACTCCTCGGGGAACCGCCTGCTCAGCGACCGATGCTGCGGATCTGTCAGATCCCAGCTATAGGAGGTGCCCCATTTGCGGTGCAGTGCACGGCGGGCCGCATTCAGAGGCTTCCGCATGCACAGCCCGCGGATATCCAGTGCTGATGCCTTGTCGCCAGCCACCACCGCATTCTGGTATAGGCTGTTGACATCCTCCATGTTCGGCGTGTGCGGGTGCTCCAGGATATCGTTCTTCTCTTCGCGGATCAGCTGGATTGCCGCCCGGAAGTCGCCGCAGCTGCCCAGCAAGGTGATCATTTCGATGTAGGTAGCATGCTCAACCTTCATGTCGCAGCCAACGCGCCTACGCGCTGTCTCGCGATCAGCCGGAAGCACAGCAAGGGCACCGCCAGCCACACACGCTGGGAGCGCATTCTCGCCAGGGAACTCGAGGCCCTTGGCCAGCGCCATCATGTCCTGGCTCGCTGTATTGAGCGCCTCGATATCACCTGCCTCAGAATTGCCAAACGAGCGATTGCCCGTGTCTGTCTTGTACAGCTTCGTCGATCCTGCAGCTAGGTCTTCAGACCCAGGCGTCTGGAGCTCCTTTTCGACTGCCACACGCCACGCTTTGTACTCATCCCACACCCGCCAGGCGCTCGGCACATCACGCGTGCGCGCACACAGACGGATCATGCGCTGGAACGTCCATCCGTCCTTCTGCACATTGAACTGCTTGAAGTCGCTTAGGAATGTGCGCCAGGCCTCATAGAAGCGGCCATTATTGATCATGGCCGAGATGTACGCGTTCAGCAGCTGCGACGTGACATTGCCCTTGATAATATCCAGGTAGAACGCCATCAGCCGCGTTGCCTCCGACCCGATCGCGTTGTGCTTGTTAGGCAGCTGCTCGGGCATCAGCGCGTCAATAAGCTCGATAAGTATCTTGTTGGTATCGTCCGATCCGCTCTCAGCAGTCTTGTTCTCAGCAAGGCTGCGACCAATCTCTGCCGCCTTGGCCTGTGCCTCGACTAATGCTGCCGACGTGATATCGGATACAAACGCTGAGTCAGCCTTGGACATGATCTGCCCCAGCCGCCCCAGGTTCCCTTGCTTCTCTGAGTTTTGTGTCGCCTCCAGAGCTTCCATCGCCAGATTTTCGTAGCTCTTTGCGACCTTCCATGAGCAGTTCTTGACCGGATCCAGGTAGCTCGAGTACGCCCACAGCATGTTGGCAATAGTTACCGAGTCGATCTTGATCAGCCCTTGGTTCTTTGCCTGCAGCGACTGCTGCAGCATGTCGCGGAAAATGCTGCGCGCCAGCCCTAGATTCTTCTTGCGCGCACAGGCGTAAATCAGCGTATTGTACGTGTAGAAGTCTGGCTGGAACCCGTGCGCCTCCATGAGCTGCAGCAGCCGGAATCCCTCGTCGAAGTAGTCGGGGCGCAGCGAACATGCGTGGATCAGCGAATTGAACGTGACATCAGTCAGTGCCAGCTTATTGCTGACCATCTCGTCAAACAAGTTCATTGCCTTCTCGACCTCTCCGTTCTTGGCGCACGCATGGATCATGATCGTGAAGCTCACTTCGTCTGGCTGTGCGATGGCGTACCGCAGGTGCTCAAACACACCCCACGCCCGCTTCAGATCACCCACTTTCAGGCACGACACGATCAGGCTGTTGTAGATGGGAAGGCTCGGCCAGATCTCGCGCTTCTTCATTGTCTCATACACCCTAAATGCATCGTCGACGCGGTCGAACTCCATGTATGCGCGGATCAGTGTGCCGTACGAGTGCATATTGGGCTCCAGCCCTTCGCTCTCCAGCCTCTTGAACATAGATATAGCCGACTCAAGATCACCGGCCTTGGCATGCGCGACCGTCAGGTTAGCAAACGTCGTCTGGTCGGGCTTGATACCGGCTTCACGCATCAGCTCAAAAGCTTCTGTGGCCTCATTGACCCGGCCCGCCAGCGTGTTAGCATATATAGCATAATTGAATTCGTCCAGGGTCAGCTCCGACACCAGATCGGTGGAGCCGCCCTCCTCAGCTTCGTCTAGGTTGTCGCTGGTCTCTTCCTCCAGCCTCCGCTCCGTAGGCGCATTTGAACGCACCTTTTCGCGCAGTTTGCTCACGCTGGCCGAGTCCATTGTGGTGATTACTGCGCGCTTTGCCTCCTCCATCTCGCGCACCGCCCGCGTATCAATATAAACCATATTCTCCATCGACGAGTCGGAGATTGTTGCGATCTGTGGCGTCCTCTCAGCATCCTTTTCCGTCTCCACCGCTTTCTCCGGTGCCTTTTCTTCCTCGACCGGAAGATACTGATTCTCCCTATTCTTCCTGCGCGACTCGAGGAACTCTGCTCGCGACATATGCTTCATAGACAGCCTGTCCAGCTGCTGCCGCTGCTCAGGCGTGATGATCGACTCGTATATCTTGTTGATCTCGTCGTCCGTGATCTTGATCGACTCGACCAGTTTCTCGCCTTTCAAGCCGTTTGTTTCCTGAATGAGCTCGGCAGTGGCCACCTTCTCAGGCCGGTCGGGCCGCCGGGCGCGGGCACGCGGGTACCGCGAGTAGTCTTTGTGCTTTCTCGGCTCTCCCTCAACGACGCCTGTGGTGGAGATCAGGCGGATCGCAAGCGATGGGGGCTGAGTTGGACCCCACGCCGAAGGCACGGCTGGTGACACGAATGCGCGCTGCGAAATGCGACTGGTAACCGCACGAAGCATTATAAAAAAGTATGTAATTCCCTAGCGAAATGCAGGCAAGAGAACGAGAACACCGCTCAGGCAAGATATTTGCTAAGCACTGTGGCATAATTTTTGTGATGCTGGCTCGAGCCGGCTCCGCCCTGGCTAGCAGCTCGCCTGGTATTATATGGTGGGTGGCAAATTAATTCCTTGACATTGAAATGGCTATAGGCAAGCCTACTAGCAGCTGCAGTAGCGCGTATATACATCTGCATAGAGCATCAGGAGAACCTCATCCTTGGCTTCGTCGAGAATGGTGAGTGACATCTCATTGTTATCAAGACGCTCCTGGATCCGCTGCCTCATTGCCTGGGGAGGTTGAGCGCCATTGGAGACTGCGAGTTGATGTACACCGAAAACACGGTGACTAGCTTGTCCAGCACAACCGATGGGAATAAAGTGGACTCGCTGATGTCGTAATGCGAGTACACGGCCTTGGCTGTCTCAAGAATGCTGATGGTGGCACTGGTATTGAGATTGAGTGGCTGGGCTTTAGCAACCCGGTGAGGGCCGCCCTTGGCTCCGTGACGAGGGGCAGAGACAGCACCATGCTCGGGTGGACCAAGGTTGATACTCTGGTCATCGCTGAGCATCAAGTTACCAATGCTCTGTTCGAGGGTCGTTGGTTGGCAGTGCTGGTTGTTCAGCGCAAACACAGTCGCAGTTTTCAACGACTGGTACTCGTCTACAAACGCAGTGAGCTCGGAGCTGAAGCATGTGGCAGTGAATTCGCGGAACTTGCTATAGGCATGGGGGCTGTCCATCATCTGCCTAAACTCTACCCGACGAACTCGTCCCAGGGCCCTGATGCTAGGACGCGGCCCAAGCGCTGAAAAGCTAGAAGCTATTGAGCTTGTTGTGCTCTCTGAATACATCTGGTTCTCAACGCGCTTTGAATGGCGGCTGGCTCGATATAGCGGAATTGCCACCGATGACGTGTGGATAAGAATAGCTGCAATCCACACAAAGAACAGACCGGACCATGCCTGGCGGATCTTGTGGAGCTCAAGCTCCCACAGCAGCGAAGCAATGATGCACAGGACACCGACCGTGTCGCAGACAAGAAGGTCGTTGCGGATGCCATAGGCATCTTTCAATCTCCAAACCTTTAACAGCAGGGCGGGGCAGATGACGACGACAAACAGTGCAATGACGCAGAATACCGGAACCAGCCCCCAGACAAATGGGCAGTTGAGACTCAGCGGGCGGATGGAGTAGTCGGTATTGAGGATGTTGATGACCAAGGTTATGTCGATGACGATAAAGGTGAGTGCCCCGATAAACAATATCAGAGCGCGGTCAGTGACCAGGTGCTGCATACTTATGTACCGCTGCAGTCGATCTTGGATATCAGCCATCACCTGCTGGTTCTCAGCAATTCTTGGCATCGACAAACAGTTGTCCTGGCGAGTGTCAGCCAAAGCCTCGTACTTTTCGTATCTCTCGGTGTTGTTGACCTGGTAGAACCGTGAAATGGCAGTGCATTTGTTTGCAATTCTCGCTGCCAAACGTGGGTAGAGGCTCTTGCTGACCATGTCCTGGCCGTCCATGAGTTGACCGTTTAGAATATGTATGTGGGACACAACAATGAGCTGGACTGCGCGTGCAGTGAGTGCGGATACTGCGATAACAAAACCAACATTAAACATCCACAGCTTCGAGAAGCACGCCCAGCGGTTTATTGCCGTGCTGACCAGCCCTAGGGTGCCAATAATAAAGCAGCCAGCGGCCTGGATGGTGACCAGCTTCACTGACCGCTTCGATAGCTCGCTGTAGGGATTGCGTGACTGGATGTGGAATAGGACCATTGTCACGATAACATACAGCGCATATACAATGTAGGCTGTGAACATGACACCGACCCGTGCTTTATAGTTCTTTGATCCGGGCTCCCAGTTTGGGTCGCGTGGAAGCTGTGATGCGTCCATGTTGTTCAGGCTAGTGTGGAAATATGTTAATTTAGTAGCAGCAGTGTAGAGATAGCAAAAGTTAGTAACCAGGCTTGGGAAAGAGTGGAAGATGGAGGCGTTTACCACACCAACAAAGGCATATACAGTCGGGCTGTTGGCGGGCAAGTGTATTTTAAATGCAGCCTGTGGCATCTTCAAACGCTATTGTACTGCAAATGCATGTGAAGCATAGTGGCAATCTGGTCGGGTACAGGCTTAACTTCCAAAAGGGTATTGCTCCCTTTGCCTGGCAATCATGGAACCTAGCGTGGAGCAAAAACAATAGCACATTGTCTATACAATTTACAGAATGGTGCAAGAATCCGGCTGCGCACACACCCTATGACATTCCATTAGCACTTTCTCTGCGCAACTAAAAGGCAGATGTTTATATATAGCTCTGGCCTGGTATTAATGGCTCTGCAGATCGGCAGGATTAGTTTAGCTGAGTGTTAGTGAAAGCCATCTGGTGATGCAGCTAAATGTGCACTGGTGAACCCAAAACCATTAAGCACAGAAACCGTAGTCTGAGTTCAAGTAACACTGCAGCAGGCGGGAAGAATATGTGATCCCATTGGACCACAAGTATAGGACTTCGTCAAAAATGATAGTGGTCACAAAGAATTCCTAATATTCATTGACAATAAAACAAAAGGTATCCATTCTACCAATACCCAGCAGCTGTCCTTTACAAACGACAATAGCGCGTATATATGTCGGCGTATAGCATGTGCATGACTTCCTCCTTGATTTCATCCAGGATGGTCAACGGAATGATGTCTTGATAAAGATGTTCCTGGACTCGGCTCATCACGACCTGAGAAACATTGAGCCCCATCGGCGAGCGTGGGTTGAGGTATACTGAAAAGATTGACACGAGCATATCCATTGCTGCCGATGGGAATACTGTGGACTCATCGATATCAAGGTTAGGGTAATATACCTGGACTGCCTCCAGTATGCTCACCATGGGGCTGGCTGTGGGATCGAGCGGCACCCTGCCAATGGCATTGCATTTTCCGTCAGTTTCGCGCGATAAGTGGGGTAGCTCCGGCAAATGCTCAGCAGAAGCAAATGTCTCACTGTCCATGTACGCCGGCGTCAATGTTCTGATGCTGCTATTTATCCCAGACGACAGCTCATCTTGTGAACCCAGCGCAGCTATAGTTGCGTCTTTGAGCAGCCGATATTCGTCAATAAAGCCCGTTAGCTCGGAGCTGAAGCAGGTGGCTGCGAACTCGCGGAACCTGCTGTATGCGCTTGGATCGTCGAGAATCTGTTTAAATTCAGCTTGGCGCGTCTTCCTAGGAACCTTGGAGTCCGTAGTAAGCTTGGCACCCAAGAAAAACATTGTTGATGTACCCAAGCTGTCGCCATGAATCATTTCGAGCTCGAGGATCTTTGAGTGGCGCATCGCCCGGTATAGCGGGATGGCAACTGAGGACGTGTGGACAAGGATAGTGGCGGCCCACATGAAGAACAGACCAGACCATATCTTGCGGACAGTGGGCATTTCTAGTTCCCATATAAGTGAAAAGACGATACAGATGAATCCAGCAACGACGCAGATGATCAGGTCGTTGCGGATACCAAAGGCATCCTTGAACCTCCAGATCTTGATCAACAGCACCGGGCTGATAACAAGCACAAACACAGCGACTATGCCAAACACGGGCAGCAAGCCCCAAATGAACGAGCACTGGGTGCTGACTGGACTAATCGAGTACTCCTTGTTGAGGATCTGGATGGCGACCGGTGAGTCCTATGCCCACCAAGGTCATGATCCCGATATAGCACATCATCGCACGATCAGTAACAAAGCGGCCCAGTCGACGGTACCGCTGCAGTCGTTTCTGTAACATGTCTACCAGTGTCTGGCCATCTGCATCGCATGAGAATTCAGACACTCTTTGAGCGTAGCCGTCTTGGCCAGCCTTTCTTGAATTGAAACTCGGCGGCCACGCTAGTTGCTCGCCTATTGTAAGGGCCATGGCCTTAGAGATAGCTTTGTCCTTCTGCTGTAGCTGACCGCTGAGGCTGTGGATATTAGATGCGACAATGAGCTGGACTCCGCGGGCAGTAAGCGATGATATGAGGACAACAAAGCCAATGTTGAACATCCAGAGCTTTGGGAAACACGCCCATGTATTGAGAGCAGTGCCTATGGCCCCAAGTGAGCCGACAATAAAGCATCCGATGATCTGGATGAAAACGAGCTTCACAGACCGCTTCGACAGCTCGCTGTTGGGGTCACGAGATAGCCTGTAAAACATGACCGTGGTGACCACCACATAGAGTGTGTACAATATGTAGCATCCGAACATCACGCCGGCCCGCACCTTGAAATTTGTGGTCCCAACCTCCCATTCGGGGATGCTCGATGTTGGGTCTGATGCCATGACAAACAGCGACGTGACGATAAAACAAATAATAAAAATAATATATGCTAGAAGAGAAGAAACACGACGGCGAAGGAGTGGCCCCTGGAAGCAAAGCTCGAATAGCTCATAGTCCTAGCTGAACTCCCTTGAGGTATATTCAACCGATTTGTCCTGTTGCTTCCTTCCAATTCAGACGGCCATTCAGAGGCTCTTTGCCAACACAACGCTCGCCTGGGGTGCCATCCGCGATTTGCACAAAATGCCTTGGATGGAGATCTCAGAGAGATTCTGTTGCTTGGTGTGCTTTGTAAGATCCCAGCAAAAATACCATTGAAGGCCACAGCCATTTGAGAAATGACAATATACGGCTGCATGCCGCATGGAGACATTCAAAGCTGCCGCTCCTGGAAGGATTGCCTGACCAAAACAGATTGCCACACCTCTTCCCCAATGCATGGGCGATGCATTTTGATTTCTTAGGCAACATGGCGGAGCGAGGTGGACTAGTAGTGGCAATGAGGCAGGATGTCATGCCAGTGCTGTCGTACGCCGCTGTGTGCGCTTTCTCGATAACAGAGTCTGCAATCAACTGGCATTCAGCAAAGCCCGGCGCAGAGTCAATTATTTATTGCGTATTTCTTTCTACATGATGATACACGGCTTGTGTCTGGACTGTGCAGCCGTGATGATTCCAACCTCCTCCTCAGAAATCTCCTGCTGGATATCGGCCTGCTTCTCTTTGATTTCCTTTGGGAAGTAGAGTTTCAAAAAGTTCAGCAGTGCCTGGTCGACGTTGTCCACGCCTGCCCTGTAAATCGCACCCTTTGCGCGGCACACGGGACAGTTGAACATGCGGCGGCGCGATGCCTTGACCACGCAGCGCGAGCAGAAAACGTGGTTGCACTCGAGACGCAGCGGACGCCAGGCGACGTTCAGGCACATTGGACATAGATAGTCGTCGATCTGCGGCACAATACCGACCAGGTCATTGTGGATAGTGAAGATGAGCGCCTTGGTCAGCGTGGTGGTGTCGATGGCGACGAACTGCGGGAACTGGGTCTTCGCCACCAGGTGTGTGCGCTTATCGTGCTTCTTGATGATTTTCCGCGTGGCCGCCTCGTTCATCTCCTGCAGCAGCTTCATGTAAATGAGCTCCGTGTTCAGCTTGTAGAAGCTGACCAGCAGCTTGCCCGACAGCTTGTCGCGGAACTTGCGTGGCAGACCGAGCTTTTCGATATGCCGTGTAAAGGCGGTAAACCGCTCCTGGCCCTCATGTGCCGAATTCGTCGGCCGGAAGTCTCCCTCAGTATGGCTCCAGATATCCGCATCCATGTAGAGCCGGAAGATCTCGCGCCAGATCTCGAAATCATGCTTGAACGGCGACGTGACCGCAGTTAAATCGACGCCCAGCGTCTGCACATTCGTGTTGTACTGGTGCGTGTAGTCTTTCTCGAACGCCCGCGTCCGCTCGATGTAGTCAATCAGCTGGTCGAAAAACGCCTGGTCGGTTTGCAGCCGCACCGTCACCTGCGTTTCCGTCACGTTGCCGTCCTGCTTTGTCTCAATCTGTACGACGTTCCCGGCAACGTGCGGGGTGTTGCTGGTGGGGGGCACGATGGCGGCTTCCGGGAGGCTGATTTGCTGCGCCAGCGTGGGTGTGGTTGGCGGCAGAGACAGTTCGTCGAGGGGCGCCGATCCATCGTCGTTCAGCTCCACGATTGGGTCGATAGGCGGCGACACCGGGTGGCTGCGCAACTTGACTGTGATGACCGGATGCACAACGCCGTCCTCGTCTTCTATGTACAAAAGGGAGATGTCCGGTTAGAAGCATGCTGCATGGGCATCAGCGTGACCTGGAATACGGGTCATCCGGGCAGTGGGTGCATGATGCATGCAAGTGTGGGAGCGAAAAAAGAGATGCAGCAGACAGATCAACCTGTTCTCGCGCATGTCACGCTCCCCCCCCCATTTCTTAAGCAACCTGGAAAATAGGAATTCAATGCGGAGGGAGCATGGCTATTGTTCCAGTTCCGTTGCCTCTCCCTATCTTACGTACGCGATCGCTGGTGTGGAGAGCAGAAAAGGGGGTGGAGGACGGAGGCAAGAGTGGGTTGGGACCCAATGGTTGGGATTCCAAACAGTTGTATCCGTGACAAAAAATTGTGGAGGCGAGGGCCTTAGAACCCCAGGGGCCAAAAATTCTAGCCATTACTTACTCTCAATGAGATACTCGATCTTGCCCGCAGTGTCAGCAGCAGACACGGGCCCAGACAAGGCGCTATCGGCCTGGTCAGTGGTCTCCTGGGACATGATGCTGGCGGCGCCGCTATGCACAGACTCGGAGTCCAAAAGAATCGCGTCGTCGGATATGGCCGAGGCATCGAGGTTGAGCAGGCGGAAGGTGTCGTCGAGCTCGTTCACGATGCGCTTGATGTTTTTCTTCAGCAGCTTGTACTGGATAATGTACGGCTGCCAGTCCTCGGGCAGCTCCTTGGCGCTGGTTTCGATTGTCTTGCCAAACTTCATTACCGGAGAGAAGGTGGTGTAGAAATACAAAAGATATCAAGGGCAGGATATAAATGAAAAGTGTGGTGAGAGAAAAGAAAATGAGCAGGCAGCAGACAGCAAAGGACGTTGAAAGTGTTGGCCAAACGGGCACGGCGCCGGGTAACAGCACTCGCAGAAATTATCTTTTAATCTGGTGGTTGGACCACACAGCATGCAGCACGATGATGCTGCGTTTCACGATTTGCCCCGCCTGCCTATGTGCATTGGTCGGTTGGGCGGGGGCGACGAGGAACCCGAAACGATGTCGGATCAACCTCTGGGTGGGTGGCAAATGAACATGGGAGCTATACATACATATCTATTAGTGCGCAAGTTTCTACACGCACACGCCACACCAGCGCTATTCTGCACAGCACATCCGACCCTGGGGGCCGATTGTTTGCGAATGTCACCATCAGGTTTACTGCGTGCTCGGTTTGGTTAGTGCAGCAATTCAAAATTGTATTTTTGGTCTACAACACCAGAAAAGGCACTAAGGGAAGCCTAGAGGCGAGGGGTTCTACGTGGAAACAACGCGGGAATGGGTTGCTTAGTCGAACAGACCGAAGCCCATGTCGTCGTCGGACTCCTCCTCCTCCTCAGCGGGCTTCTCCTCCACGGCAGCCTCGGCGGCACCGCCGGCGGCAGCGGCACCACCAGCAGGGGCGGCACCACCCGAGGGGACCGAAGCGAGCTTGGACGAACCCTCAGCGATGAGCTCGGCAATGTCCTTGCCCTCAAGCTCGGCGAGGAGCTTGGAAATGCGCTCGCTGTCGGCGTCAATGCCAACGGACGAGAGGATGCTCTCGATGCCCTCAGCGGACGGGGTGGTCTCAGCGAGCTGGAGCAGAAGGTAGGCGGCAATATAACGCATTTTAGACTACACAAATTCGGAATGATTGGGGGTGATTCAGTGAAATGCTCAGGGCGGCGTTTTGCGTCGCATTGCGTATCCATCGATCCAGCGAGAGTCCGGCGCGCGCATCCATTCAGCGTTGAATCCACAAGCGTACATTTATTCGGCTTACTTAACGCAAGGTTTAACCGGGGTGTCGGAGCTATTAAGTTTTTCAACGAACGACAAGGTACGGAGAGAGAGAGACTCTACACTTTAGCGCGGTTCGGTGGATAGTTTTAATGCACTAGCGAGAAAGCGCAGATTTGAAAAAAAAAAAAAACTCGAAAAGGGTGCAATCAGAAGATCAGATCACAGTATCCTGATCAAGAAGCAGCGGCTTTGCTGACAGTGGAGCTGATTTCATGCGGAGAATGGGCAGCGCAGGCGCTAAGCAGGCCCGTCGCCCACTCGTACTTCTCTGCAAATTCAACCCCCCCATATCAATTCTAACAAGTTCGCCCTAGAGAGCAATGTACAGCCAGACACTGCTACGGACAGCAACAGCGGCACCCAGATTCGCAGGCGTGAGCCGGGCCGCCTCGGCACGGAGGTTCATTTCGCTCAAATCACTATTTGCACCCTCGCCGAAAGGCGACGGCGGGGTGAGCGGGGGATCGGGGCAGCAACGGCTGCTGGTGAAGAGTGACGATCTGTTTCACCCACTATCCAAGTCGCCAATCAAGGAGATGCGCGAGAAGGGCTTGCTGATCCAGGAGCACGGCAGCTGCCCGACGTGTGTCAGCGAGACGTCGAGCAGCGGCACGGCAGCGACACGCGAGCCCATGTTCGAGTGCCCCGACTGCGGGTATCCGACACACTGTAGCGAGACGCACTGGGTCAGCGACAAGCAGCACCATGCAGAGCACTGCGGGTACCTGCGGGAGGCGAACGAGGACGAGCACGATCTGCGGTCGGGACGCACGCTGCGGGAGTTCGAGTTCCCGTCGGCGCAGCTGCCGGAGGTGGTGGTGAATCTGAGCGACTGGGACACGTTCCTGTACACGCGGTCGTTCACAAACGTGGAGTCGGACCGGTCAATGCGGCACGTGAGCAAGGTGCTAACGTACCCGATCACGATGGGCGCGGTGCTGCACCAGTACAGCCCGTTTGCGCTGGGCGCGGGGCTGACGCCCGAGGGCCTGAAGTCGCTGACGGCGCTGCGGACGACGATCAAGGAGCACGAGCTGGCACGCAGCGAGAAGGAGCTGGAGATGCAGGTCACGCCGCTGCGCGTGTTTGTGCTAGGCGCGCGCGCCGAGGCCATGCTGCCGCCGCACCTGTATCTGCAGCTGTCGTATCTGCTGCCGCACAGCCCGATCAACATCTACTTTGTCGGTCCAGAGTGCATTCCGTCGCCCGACGAGACGCGCTCGACCATTGCCGTGTCGTCGCGTCTGGCGCTCAAGTACCACAAGGGCTACTTCCACGACGCCATCTGGAACTTTGCCCCCTTCGATCCGTACACCGACATCTTCTTCATGTTCAGCCCCGGTATCGCCCACCCGCGCGGCCGCGACGGCTGGCGTCCCACCGTCGAGAAGCTGCTCGAGACAAAGTGCGCCGTGTTTGCCACCGGCTTCCACGAGAAGGACATGCTGAGCGACGTCAAGGCGCTGGAGGACGACTTTGCCGGCAAGATGGACTGGCTGCTGCAGCCCCAGCCGAACCCCTTTGCCAGCCTCAAGCGCGACTTTGGCATCCGCAACCTGCGCGAGTGGGCCATTGCCAACTGGGGCATCTACGGCTTCCGCGGCAAGAGATACGAGGTCCAGGGCAAGAAATCATAATTTTTCTCGTGTTAGCCCAACAAGCCCAATAGCGCCCCTATCCGGCCACATAAAAATTTGCTTGAAAACCGGGTGGCATCTGCCTCTCGCTGGCAGCCCACCACTCTTTTTTCCACGCGTCTCAGCTGTTTATACTTTCTCTCCTCTCAAATTTCCCTCCTCGTCCTTTCTGTCCCCTCTCCACAACCAGCAACATACAAAAAGAAAACCATGCCTGGCAAGAGTAAGTTGTCCTGGCCAGACGCGTCGGTCGGAGCTATCGATGGGGAGTAAACATGTCGCCGCTGGGCGGTTCAGATAAGCTTCTCCTGGGCTCGGTATTTTCAGGGGGTGCTTAGGATTTTAGGCATACTGAAGGCCGGAGCAAGCTGCCGTAACCACTATATAGGCACCCTGAGTGTTCAGAAATGGGCGATAAAGCAGGCCATGATTCATGTTTTTGACAAAACCAGGCTGCATCACGCTTACCCCCTGCATCTGCAATATAGGAGCACGTAAATCAGACACGGCCCCCGTCGCCACCAACGGCTCCGCGGCAAAGAAGAGCAAGGTGCTGACCGTCGAGGTCAAGGCCCCGGTCAAAACACGCGTCATTCCTGCGAGGAACGCCACTACGAAGAAGACCACACCGCCTGCTGCGAAGAAGGCTGCTCCAGCTAAGAAGGCTGGTCCGGCTAAGAAGGCTAGTCCGGCTAAGAAGGCTCCTGCAAAGAAGGCCCCTGCAAAGAAGGCCCCGGCTAAGAAGGCCCCTGCAAAGAAGCGTGCTACTCCCAAACCTGCCGCACCTGCCGTGCCTGTTGCTGCTGCTCCCGCCGAGCCGAAGCTCCCTGAGCCCATGCAGTTCCTGAAGCCGCGCACCGCGCCTGTGCATGCGCTGGCCACACGGTCCACTGTGCCCGGCACAGTGTTTGTGTTTGGCAACGGCGACTGTGGCCAGCTGGGTCTGGGTGACGACATGATTGAGCGCAAGAAGCCGTTCCCGGTGACAGCGATTGAAGAGCAGCAGATCGTCGACATAGTATCGGGTGGCCTGCACACCATCGCAGTTGCTGCCGACGGCAAGCTGTGGTCGTGGGGATGCAACGACCAGAAGGCCCTGGGTCGCGGCGGCGATGAGTACACGGCCGCGCGCGTCGAGGGCCTGGATAATGTGGGGATTGCCAAGGTTGCGTGCAGCGACTCGGCGTCGTTTGCGCTGTCGGACGACGGCCACGTGTACTCGTGGGGCACGTTCCGCAGCGCAGAGGGCATCATGGGCTTCAACGAGGGCGTCGAGATCCAGGGCCTGCCAATGGTGATCAATGAGTTCCGCGAGCCGATCATCGATCTGTGTGCTGGCGTCGACCACGCCATCGGCCTGGCTGCCAGCGGCAAGGTCTACGCCTGGGGCTACGGCCAACAGGGCCAGCTCGGCCGCCTGGTCATCGAGCGCCGCCGCAAGCACGGTCTGATCCCCGAGCGCCTGCGCATCCTGGACGTTGCCCACATCGGCTCCGGCTCGTACCACAGCTTCGCCATCACCAAGACCGGCGAGGTTCTAGCCTGGGGTCTGAACAACTTCCACCAGCTGGGCCTGCGCCCCGAGGATGGCGGCAACGATGAGGTCGTCCACGAGCCGACCAGGATCACTGCCCTCGAGGGCGTGGAGGTCGTCAAGATCTCGGGCGGCGAGCACCACTCCATTGCGCTGTCCAAGGACGGCAAGCTGTATGCCTTTGGCCGTTCTGACTCCCACCAGACCGGCCTTCCCTTCGACACGCTCGATGCGGACAAGAAGCCCGCCGAGGGTGGCGAGTCCTCGCACAAGAAGGCCATCTCGAAGCCGACGTTGATCGAGGGCCTGCCCAAGATTGTCGATTTCGTGTGCGGATCGAACCACAATATCGCTCTGGCTGAGGATGGCTCTGCGTATACCTGGGGCTACGGTGAGATGCTGCAGCTGGGCAATGGTGAGGAGGAGGATGTTGCGCTGCCGACACGTCTTGCAGGCCAGAAGATTGAGGGCAAGACGCTTATCAAGATCGCTGCTGGTGGCCAGCACTCAGTCATTCTGGCCAAGAAGTAAGATGCCTCGCATGCATGCATCATCATGCCATTACAGAGTGAGCCCAGTTTTGAATAAATACTACATAGCCGAATGCCTGTGTACATGACTACGTGGATGCCTGCGGTTATTCACCAATGCGATATACAGATCCATCATCGCGCATTGTTGTGTGTAGGATTAGGGAGGCGACATCAAGAGGATCGGCATAGTTGCCCAAATATGCATCATGTGGCGAATGGCAGGTGGGGGCAGAACAGCTCTTTCTCATCTCTACTCTTCTCGCAATTCCACAGTTTTCTCAGGAATGGCCACCGTTAACGATATTTCCGATACGGTCTTGAGGAGGATACTATTACACTTGATTAGCGGCTCATTTGCCTGTGATATCTTGTATACATGTATCCACCCGGTAGACCCTTCTCCGGCCCAGGTCTGCAGCCGATGGAGAAGAATATTGCTACCGTATCTATACTCGCACGCATACCTTGGCCTCTTTACTAAAGATGAAGACAGCAGAGATTATCCACTCAGCATTGCAGACCTCAATGTCTGCTCCAATATCAACCTGACAGTGGAAAACGGCTTTTCGCACTTGGTTACCAACATTCACTTGTATGGATTTAGTCTATACCTGTGCGATTTTGATCTTATTGAGCTACTACGCAGACAGCAATTCGATAAAGCAGAGTGGCTGTCAGTCACTAACCTCGTTGTCAAAGACTATCAAGGTCCTCTTTATGCTGATACTGGAACCAAAAACTTCAACATTGAAAGGAATACGTCCGAATCGGCACATCTTTATACTCATCTACCCCAACTATCGTCGGTATCGTTCAACACAAGTGGGATTGGATTCCCATCATGCCCTATATCTCCTCTGATCAACCAGGCGTTATACCGAATCGAACATCTGAGTATTGAAGGGACCCCGGTTGAGTTCACACAAAAGTACTTCTCAGCGTGCCTTACACATCTTGAGCTTAGCATGGGTGGGAAAAACTGCAAGCTTCCTAGAATCTATCCCCCTGCTCTCAAAGTCTTGATTCTACGGGATTTGTCTTTGGATTTTACATTGAGCTTTACCGATCCAGACTCCAGGAGCTCGCTGATATTCCCTGAGCTAAATACACTTGAGGTCAGCTTTACTGACCTTAGTTATGCGGAGTTTGAGCCCGCTTCTGATGACGGCATGATACTCCCGCCTGTAGCTGGAACAAAAGGGGTTTATGCTCCGAAACTGAAGAATTTGCGACTCCAGAATCTACCATCACTTGTTCCCACATTTGATAGTTCATGCTTGTGCCCTGCCCTCGAGTCTGTTGAACTCAGTGGCTGGCTCGATGCGCTTCGCGGCATCGCTACACATCTACTGAATTGCAAATCGGTAGATATTGCTCTACTAGATAACTTTGCGCAGGAAGTTACGGAGGAAAAGTACAACACCTACACCCAATCCATGTTAAGCCAGGCTTCAGTGGCTACGTCTGCCAAGTTTAGATCCAAACTCCCTTTTAATCTTTTTATTGACTCTGTCCGGTGGACCAACCTCAGGCATTTGGAGCTGTACACATTTATTACCTGTGGCTCACTCAACCGCCTGATGTCTCAGCTTCCACTTTTGGAATATTTTTGTTTGCAGTCTATCGCTCGAGATGATGAGTTGGATCAGGCAAATGGGTTTCCAGATACCACACCACATTTCCCATCCTGTCGCTCCTTCAGTACATACATGCGAACGGTGAGGGCTTTTGCAGGTGTCTTCAAGTACAATGCGGATGATATGGACCAGATCGGCTTCGAATTCATTGGTGCTTTTCCATCGCTTCAGGAGGTTCAGGTTCCAGTCTCTTTCCATCAGGAAATACAAAGTCATATCGAAACCACCTTTGCACAACTCTACCCTCATCTCTCACTTCTGAAACTCGCTGGTCTATCATATAATCGATAGCACAAGGCAGCATCTTGCTTGACCGATCAGGATCTCTCTCTCTCTCTCTCTCTCTCTCTCTTTCGTTCCTGTTTTCTTTTATTCCTATCTTCCAGCAATAAACACACTGGCCTTATCACTTCATTTTCAAGGTTGTTATATTGCAAGGTTCTGAAGTATCTTAGCTTGGTTACAAACGAAAATTACCTTGGGGAGTTGCATGGGCACACATCTACATCTGAATTACTATGTACATGCATTTTCCAGCAATGCAACAGACAGCGGATCTGCATATATACATGAGCCCACAAAAGACAAAAGTATGTAATGCCTGGCTGTATATCGGCGTTCAGCAGAGCCCACAAAAACCACGTCGCTGGCTGTCGATGGTGGTCAATCGCATTCCACAGATCTCGTGGTCTGCGATTGGGCAGTAGTACATGTGCGATTGTGTGAGTGCAGCTGTCCTACAAACTCGATTAAAAGTTCATAAAGCCTTTCTCTACTCCGGCTGCTGTCACTTTATACCTTTTCTCACACCTTCTATTAGACAATAATGAACAGCTTCTTTGGAGGAGGACCCGTGGGTGCAGGCAAGCAGCCGGCCAGCGCGGCCAGAAGCAATTCGTCGGCGCCGAGCAGCAAGCAGGCGAATTCAAGCGGGTGGGGCAACATGTTCAAAAACGCAATCAACCAAATGGAGACACAGCTAGACAAGTACCTTGAAATTCCAGCCAGCGAAGCCGGGCAGATACGGCCGGTTGCTGGGCGCGGGCGCGGGGCACGCGGCGGGTACGTAGGCAGTCGACAGACGCACGCAGGAAGACAGGTTGAGCGCAAGAACGCAACCGGTGCTAGCCCACTTGACTCGCCCCGGCCACAATCCCGTATGAGCAATGCAAGCGGCGGCGGTTCAAGGAGCGCGACACCGAGGCCAGTTAACGCGAGCGAGCAGAAGAACTCGGCGGTAGAGCCTGCTGTTGCGGCAAAGCAGAGTAAAAGTGAGCCACAGCCAGGTGCGGAGGAGCTGGACGCAGATCTCTTTGACGCGTTTGGGATTGCAGCGGACGACGGGCAACAAACAAATGGCAAGTCAGTGGATAGGGATGTGGGTGGTAATGAGTTTGAGCGAAAGGCCACAGGCACACAGGAACCACAAGCTGTTGAGGAGTCGACGGTAGCCAGCCCACGAACCAGCTCGGATCGGCATGAGCACGCACCGGCCACTGCTACCAGTAGCCAGAATGGGTCGCAAGTACCAGACGCGTCTGAGCCGGCTTCAACACATGACAGCGATGTAGCATCAAATGCCGATCTTGCTGATGCTCCTGCAGATTCCAAGGTCGAGAACCCGTATATCCAGGCAGAGCTGAAGCGGCTACGCACAGCGCCGATTCCGGACCAGCCCGCCGAGATGCGAGTACTGATCGAGGAGCGCAATAAGAAGGTCGAGGCATTGCTGCTCGAGGGTCAGTCATGGTCGGCCAAAGAGCTGCGTCTATCAAACACGATCAAGAAGCTGCGGGCCGACGCCAAGCAGCACGACAAGGCCACAGGGCTACTGCAAAAGAAGATTGATGCAGCAAATGCCAAAAGCGAAGAACTGAACGGGAAGCTGAAGAAGGCGTCGCAGGTTGACCGCACGACGGTCGACAATATCAAATCTCTAAACACAAAGATCTATGAGCTTGGCACGCAGCGCAAGACAATGGAGCGTGAACTGAAGAGCGTCATGGATGAGCGGAAGGTGCTGGCAGGCAAACTCGAAAAGGCTGAGGCCGAGATTGCTAGGCTGCGGAAAGAGGTCGATAGCGCCAGAGGATCGCAGGAAGAAGATAAGAAGGGCCGTGAGGAGTCGGTTCGGCGGCAGGTCGAGCAGCAGGCAGCCAAGATCAGAACCGATGCCGAATCCACGCAGCACCGGTTGCAAATGCAGGTCGAGGAGCTGCAGCAGCGGCTGCTGGTGGTTGAAGAGGACGCGCGCGACCGTGAAGTGTCGTCGCTGGCACAGATCCGCACCCTGCAGGCACAGCTGCGCGGAGCCGAATCCAAGAGCAGCGACGAGACAGCCAGCATCCAGGAGCACACCCTGCCGCTGCTGCAGCAAATCGAGGACCTGCAGATGCGGCAGACCGAGCAGCGTCACCAGTGGGCGGCCAAGGAGCGCGAGTGGGCAGCGCAGACGCGTGCAGCTGCCCGATCGGCCGATAAGCTTCAGGCGCAGATCGATGCGAAGGCGGTTGAGGCCGATGAGATAAGGCAGTCGCTTGACCAAGAGACGAGGCTGTGTGCAGAGGTGCGTGCCGAGGCCGATCAGCTCAAAATCCAGCTGCAGACTGAGGCGAAGATCCGCGCGGATATTAGGCAGCAGCTCGACAGCCTTCACGAGACGAACCGGCAGCTCAGCGCCAAGCTCGAGAGCGCAAACGAGTCGTATAGCGCGCGGCTCGCAGCCCTGCGTGTCCACAGCATGTCGCCGGTGGGCTTGTCGCCAGCGGGCGGCATGGTTGCTGCTGATGATGGAGAGCCCGTGACTCCAGTGCCAGCGCTGCCTCGCGAGTTCATGTCGGCTGCAGCTCCCACGGGCAGCGGGTACTCGTCAGCCGCCAATGACCGGTTCAGCCACACGCGCAACCTGTCCAACAGCTCAGTCTCGTCGACCAACAGCCGCACGCGGCGTGGCAGTGGCACCGAGGCCATGTCGCCACTGCAGCAGCCGCACAGCCAGCACGCCGACCTGGCTGCCCATGCAGCAACCAAGAAGCTTGGGGCACAGGTCACGTCGCTGAAGGCCCAGCTGCAGACGGCGCTGCGCCAGAAGCACGAGTACTCGCAGGACCTGGTCACCGCCACCATGGAGCTGGAGGGCATACGCAAGGACGCCGAGCAGCAGGGCTCGCTGGCCAAGGAGCTGGCTGAGCTCAAGCGGCGCCACGAGACGGCGCTGGAGATGCTGGGCGAGAAGACCGAGGAGGTCATGGAGCTGCAGGCGGACATCAAGGAGATCAAAAGGGCCTTCCGCGAGCAGATCCAGGAGCTCTCTGGCGCCAGCAGGTAGAGCGGCTCCGCGCAACCACGGGTCAGCTGTCGGTGGCGCCTATGGCCGGCTGCACTGGAAACCGCCAGAGTGTCCAAATGCGATTGGTCCATCGGTGGCCGCGTCTAAACAACAACAGAGACGATCACACTGAAGCTGGAGTATATAGGCTGTTCTTATTTTTGGTTTCCGCCGCCAAATGTACTCCGTGGGGCCAAGAGCGAGGGCAGCGCTAGGACTAAGCAAAGGCCGGGAAAGTGTAGGTTTCTCATTGGCTTTCCAGACCAGAAACCCCGGGTCGCCTGGTTCCTTTGCACGAGCACGCAAAAGCGCATTTTTAGAAGGCGGCACACGGCCAGGGTGTCTCTTTTTGCGCGGCCGCGGGTCGTGCGAGCCAGTTTGCAACCCGGCCCGCCCAGGACGCTCTTTTTTTAATTATCCGCGCGTGAGCAGCATGGGATTTTTTGCCCCCGCCTTGGCTCACAGCCCATCCCTCCTCTCCTGTTTTTGGGAGCGCTGAAGCGATCGCCGTCACTCGTCGGCTAGCAGAACACAAGTCGCAGTCACAACCCACGACACGGGCGGCTATGCAGAGAAAGGTGCTGTGGAAAAACCAAGCCCAGTGGCGAGTCATACCCTCCACTTCCCACACTGCCTGCCGCCCCCACCCAGCCAAACAGGAGGCTCGGGTGGCGACTGCTCGGCGTCTCCTGTGTCAAGACAGGCCAATGTCACCAACAATGGCCCTTTTGCTGGCTGCATGTCTGCAACGTTTAAAAGGGGTCGGACGTGAGCCCACCCTCGCAGGAGCCACTCGCACCATTTCCTTTTCTCTCCTTTGTCGCTACTACTGCTAGCAATATAATTTCCACAGCTCTTTTCTCCTTCATCCACACACATCACACATCACACGCAACAGACATGGCGAACGCTATCGAGACAGTACAGCCCATTCCAGTCGTTGGGCACATCGAGAAGAAGGCTCTGTCGTGGAGCAATATTGCTCTGGGTGCTGCCATCCAGACCTTTGAGGTGTCGACCCTGGGCCAGCCGTTTGAGGTCGTCAAGACACACATGGCAGGTAGGTTCCTCGCATGGTTTGTGGGCTAGGCTTGTACAGGGCTGAAGGGTTGCGGGCGGGGCGTTTCAACAGCAATTCACGTGCTGTGCATACTCTACCTCCGTCAGCATCGCCTCCTTGTTCCCTCGCAGGTACGCATGCCAGCCTGCGTAAGCAATCCTCACACATGATGCAGGTCCTTGTACCCGGTGTCTCCGCGAGCATCTGCACTGATTTCTCGGTCTTTCCTGTAGCTAACCGCGGCGACAGCATTGCCACTGCGTTGAAAAGGACCTACGCCCGCGGCGGCATTTCCGGCTTCTACCAGGGCCTGATTCCGGTAAGTTTTCGAGCTTGTGTTGTGGTCTAAGGATGACCCGGGGAGACCGAGCGGGATATTTAGACGCCGCCGATCCAACACGCGATTTCCTTTTTGCTAACTGCTCGCAGTTTATATGTATTTTTGTGCTGCACCGGTATATAGTGGGCGTGGATCGAAGCTTCCACCAAGGGCGGCGTCCTGCTCTTCACGTCGTCGGAGGTTGACTACCGCGCGCGCGTCGCCGGCTTCTCGTCGAGCTGGGCTGGACTCTTTGGCGGTGTCGCCGGGGGTGTCGCCCAGGCATACACCACCATGGGCTTCTGCACCTTCATGAAGACTGTCGAGGTCACCCGCCACAAGTCGCCTGACGCCAGTGCGTCCACCTGGCGCATCGCATACGACGTGTTCCAGCGCGAGGGCATCCGCGGGCTCAACCGCGGAGTGTCGGCCGTGGCCTTGCGCCAGATGACAAATTGGGGCTCGCGCTTTGGTATTTCGCGTGTCACCGAGTCCATCTTCCGCGGCAAGGACAAGACTCGCAAGCTGTCGACCAGCGAGCGCCTGGCGTCGTCGGCCATCGGTGGTGCCCTGGCGTGCTGGAACCAGCCGATCGAAGTCATTCGCGTTGAGATGCAGTCGCAGACAAAGGCCGCCGACCGCCCCGAGAAGCTGAACCTGGTGTCGACTGCCCGCTACATCTACCAGAAGAACGGCTTCCTCGGATTCTACCGCGGCGTTACCCCGAGAATTGGCCTGAGCGTCTACCTCACCGTGTGCATGGTGTTCGGTGGTGACAGCGTCAAGGAGTACTTTAACAAAAGCAAGAAGTCCGCTCAGAACGCCAACGCCTAAGACACAACTCTCAGTAAATTCATCAATAGTCCAGCATAGCTCTTCGCCTCCAAAAATATTTCATCCTTGCAGCGAACTGGCTTCAGCTCATCCTAGCAACCTAGAACAGATCAGGAACTCGGGACAGTGACTCGTGGCTCGGCCAGAGTCGTAGCTCAAAGACTGCTACCTGTGATTGGTCCGTGAAAATTTTTCTCATCTTCTCAGCGCGCTGGCTGGGGTGGTTTATGCCAGCGCTGCCTGTGCATCGCCTGAATCCGATTCCTCCTCTTCTTTCCTCATTTCAATTTTCCTTCGCGGTTAAGAAAATCTAGTCAAAATGGGTCGCATGCACACTCCGGGCAAGGGTATCAGCTCCTCTGCCACCCCCTACCGTCGCACTCCCGCCTCGTGGGTCAAGGCCACCCCCGAGGACGTCTGCGACCAGATCTGCAAGCTCGCTCGCAAGGGTATCAACCCGTCCGCAGATCGGTGTCATCCTGCGTGACTCGCAGGGCGTCCCCATGGTCGCTCCGATCACCGGCACCAAGGTCACCCGCATCCTGCGCGCCAACGGTCTGGCCCCCGAGATCCCCGAGGACCTGTACTTCCTTATCAAGAAGGCTGTCTCCGTCCGCAAGCACCTCGAGCGCAACCGCAAGGACAACGACGCCAAGTACCGCCTCATTCTCATCGAGTCGCGTATCCACCGCCTTGCCCGCTACTACAAGACCGCTGGCCAGCTCCCGCCCAACTGGAAGTAGTAAGTATCGCCCACTCTGTATATTGCCTGTGTATTTCTAGTGCCAGCGAAGCTGTGGACATTGCGCGGGTTTTGCAAACTGGAGAGCTGTCTGATGGGGCGCTCTCCTTCTCCGTTCAACGGCCTGGGCTCTGGTTCCTGGCCGGGAGAGCGCAGCACCTCTGGGTGCTGTGTGCGTTGCTTTGCTTGCCGATAGTCGTCAAGTGCATCTTGTCGCTAACTCTTGCCTGCGTTTTTCTGTTTCTTTTCTGTAGCGAGGCTGCCACCGCTTCGACCATCGTCTCTTAAGCAATCCTGCATTGCTTGTCAAGTTGCCAGTATGGCCAAGCACCATGGATGCCTCTTTGTTGTTGTTGCTTCTTGCCAATAAATGAAAGGTGTTCACATAGCTGCATTGCTGGAACTGCTGGCTGTGGTTTGTCAGAGTAGACGCGATGGTATGTGGTGGATATGTGCCAAGTAGAACACGCCTATCCCCACGATTGATGACTGCAGCTTGCAGGAACGCACATATAAGGAAGCCCCTCAGGACAAAGTAGCTAGGGGTCTGTGTTCTTCATTGCGTTGGCTGATATACCGCTGGGTGAGCAGAACGGTGCAATGTGGGCTACTACGGACAGCCTTTTTTGTTCGACCTACTGGGCATATGCGTGGTGCATGCCACCTCGCCCGTCACACCAAAGCAGCTCGTTTACACATGTCAATGCTGTCAGACCAGCTACTTGGGAATTAGCCTTGCCCAGTCCCTTTCCAACATCTGCTGTTTCCCCTGAGCTCATCTCCGAGTGTGCGATCCGCCAGACTGGCTGCGTAGTGCTCCTGTGAGCAGGCGTGCAGCACATGTTTGCGACTGCTCAGGGCAATTGCAGCAGGATACAACCTTTCAGCATAATCGGGCATGTTTAACAGCAACTCAGACAGATGTGCCGAATATATCCAGCAACGACAGATAAACAGCGGCACTATCAAGTCCCAGTCGTAGAAACAGCGCGTTAACACTTGCTCTAAGAGACAAATAAGAGAACGAAACTCTGTCGATTCGCACTCTATTGCCCAACCATGAGGGCGGCGGACATTGAAGTGTTCGCACTCCTTTCAAGCGTAAAAAGGCTCACATGGTTCGACCCTGTGCTGCATACGTGCATGACTGGACAAAGACTGGCTCCCGCAGCACTGTTTCCTCAATGGCCATGGGATTCAGACGTTGCGTCTCCAGGATGCTTTGCACATTTTTACTCTACTCGGATACATGTCTCAGCACGGAGGTATGCTGCTGACATGTCCAGAGGACGAAGCAGCCCTTGTCCAGCACCTACAGAACGATCATAAGTGTGGGTGTGGCCGCCATGGAGCACACTAGAATCATTCAGTCTTCTCCAACCTCCTTCCAACCACGACCAGAGACAACCTTAACGACCTGCCTGCGCCTATCATTCACAGCATCCCTACTCTCCTATGCCAGGACACATCTCAATCATTCGATTTTACGACCCCACCACGCTATCCGTCATTACTCTCGATATACACCCGCAAGCTCATCTATCTACAGCACGCCCCGCCGGTGGCCTTGATTCTTGACACACCAATTACTCTCCACTTAGCAGCACTAGGGCTTGATATGAATTGTTTACTTGACTCTGGGCTGCTAGTGTTTTCTCTTGATGCTCTTGAGACAATGAGGCTCTTCGACATAGGCAGGCGACTTCCCTTGCTCGACCTTCAACCACAATCTGATGAGCAACTATCGCTTCCCACCCTGACAGTTCTCAAACTTGGAATTGAAGACACATCAACATCCCCAACTATCCGACCTTCTGTCAACTGCCCAAATTTACCATCCATACCCAAGGCTCTCAAGGCTACCGACTAGTCGTTCCGCTGGGGGTTGTCAAAAGTTGCATTCCTCGCTCACAGACGCACCAGTGAAGACATTGCAGATCAAGCGAGAATCCGCCGTGTGCTTGCACATATCGATACAACCACCATTTGCAGTATTGACAGCTTGTAGCTGTTCGCGATTCCTCCTGAAGATGATAGACGGTGGGATGACCCCACATCCGCTGTAACTCGCTGCCTATTCGGTAGAATCACGAGTGCGCAGGGCTGTTTTAGGTGGGGTTGTTCCTTTTCCGGTACAAATCAGTTGGCTAAACCTGGTGAGCCTATGTCTATACACAGGATATTGCACCTGCATCTCACATTGGACGTCTTTTGGAGCAGCTGTCGGTTCTGAAGTATCTCCGCATTTTGTGTGCATCAATGGACTGGCATGATCCTGGCAGTTATTTCTGGGAATCAGGCGACCGGCAGGCTGATATCTGTGCTGTTACAAGGCCAGCTGTTCTCGATTCTGCTATAGCACTTGGCATCCAGAGTGCGCAGGGGATACCTCAGAACTGATTACATTTGTTAACCTTCAGAGAGTCCAGTAGTTATGAGCTTTATGGAATGAATAAAATGGAAAATTTGCTGAGGAGAAAAAGGGAGGATGGGGCCGTTCCGGCCCACAAAGTTAATACAGGTGGGGATTTGGATCTGCACATGGTGACGGAGGGCATAGGGTTGCCCGAATGTCAACAACATTAACCGGGACCTGGAGCCTATCTATCAAGTTATCCCAGATGATTCAGACTGGAGTTCCAAACGTGGTCCACTTGCACGCATGTGCATTATATCTCCCAACGAGCTCAAGCCCTTCATTTTGCAGGCGATATATGGAGCATATTCGCACGCAGTCCAACAGCTTTCTGTATATGGTACCATCACTGAGGATATGGCTGGTGTGCGTAGCTGTGCTGCGGTTCAGCATACCGATACCAGTTCTTGCGAGCTAGGGCCTGGAGAAGTCGAGATAATCCATCGTAATGCACAAACTCTCCAGAAACTGATTTTTAATATCGATGATCTCGATATATCTTTGCGCATACTGCCTGACTATAGTTGCAATCTGGCAATCAACCCAGAGCTCGGCTAACTAAAGGTCGTCGATTCAGTTGGGTCTGGCAATCACACCGGAGCAATTGATCTCAAAGATTGCTCGGCATGCCGTTTCCCTAAGCTAAAGTATTTCTAGTCGAGTATTTGGATTTCAGTCGGATTGGCCAAGGCGGTGCTGGTTTCTTCAGAAAGTAGCGACCTTCTCTCTATCGGATACGGCGACATGTGCCATAGGATTCTAAAGGAAATGCCATCGACGCAACATCGCTTCTTTCCAGATCTGCAACGTCTGTTTGTGGCCTGATATCATAGCTGATCTTGGCCACGGGTTTTACTATGCAAGCTAGTGAAACCGTGCAAGGATCTGAGAAAGCTACTCGACTTAGAACCACTTGTCACAAGCACTGCTTGCATGAAATTGCCTGTCCTGTTAGGCAAGGTACATTCTCACAGCTGCTGCTTAGCCTGCCCAATCTAGGGGTCCTGGAAACTAAACGAAGGCGAATGGATATTGAGGACATGCTAGTATCTCATAAACCAGTTGCCAGAACTCTGTCACTTGGGGTTCACCTATGGCACAGATGAGAACCCCGACTGGGATATCGGCCAATCTCACCGACAAGCAACTTGTTACAGCGCGAGATGGACTTCCAACTGCGGCTGCTAGCAATATGCAGAGAGTCGTAGCCAGGTATACCAGCAGTCCGGGGCAAAGACAGTGTATATGAATTGGAATCATATATGGTGCTCGTTGTTGCGTTGGTAAAGTGATCCTTTTTGCTTAATGCTCAAGTGATGGCAAGCTATATCGAATCATTCCTAGTCATACCACCGGACATCATCGAATTCACCCGCCGCGCAGCCTTTAGTGGCACCCCACATGTTCGCAGTATCGAGTACGTGTCGAATTAGCGGCACTATGCTAGTTGCAATTCCAGTCTTAGTATTAAAGCTAAACAGGTAATCCCAAAGTCTCACTCAGATATGCCGCGGGGTTGAGCAATGCACCACGATCACAAGCATGGTGGCCATAAGGCTCATCACCAGCATTAAAATATACTGTCATCATCATCATCACCATTGGCGCACTTTCTGAGGACAAGAGTCTACACTTCCCTCCGTATTGCGTATATATATTTTTTGTCCGGCCACTCCCTATGTCAGTTATTTTCAAGGCAAAGCTCAAAAACGCAAAGTCGGCTATTGCCGACAAAAACTACGACTACGCATACGACCTGTGCCATGATCTGCTCGAGCTAGACGACAGAAACTACAATGTTCACATTCTGCTCGGAGTCTCGTGCCAGCACATGGAGAAGTGGGCCGAAGGCGAAAAGGTCTATAGAAGCGCCATGGCCATGCCCAAGGCTAACCTGCTGGCGTGGCAGGGTCTCTGTGCGCTATTCGAGAATGCGAATATGCCAGACAAGTACGAAGGTGCGCTGGCAGAGATGCGCGACAAATGCATTGCTGAGGGGAACACAGCAAAGGCATGGGAGGCGATGGGCAAGATTCTGAAGGCTGAATGAGGACGCTGGCGACCAGCGCAAACTAATCGGGGTTTTGCGTGAGCTGACGCCCGCTGGCAAGTTCTATTCGTTGCTTGAGGAGACTAGTGGTGAGCAGAAGCCGCCGACTGCAGGCGAGGTTCTGCAGCAGATCTTTACCATTGAGCGCGACCTGGAGCAGAGGACGATTGAGCGTGAGATCAACAAGCGCAAGACCCGGTTGGGCGCTGGGCCAATAAGCAAGGTGCGCAAGGACGTCCGGATGGAGGTATGGGCGGAGTCCAGTATGCTTGATACGCTGAGCCAGCTAATTTCGTTCTACTCGGACGAGAGCGAGAGCGAGAGGCGGCTCGAGTACGAGGAGTACTATTTCGAGGCATTGATTGAGCGGGCGGCGTACCTACGACGACGCGCAGCAGAAGCGCACGATGGGCGAAGAGGCACAGCGCGTGGCGTGGGACCTGGCATCGAACGGCAAGTCGCAGGCGGCGTTTGAGCACTTGATCGAGCTGGCTGACAGCAGCAATGAGGACGGCAATCTGCGCGGGCTGATTGACGGGTACTTGGAGCTATTCCCGACTGGCAAGCTGGTAAAGTCAGCACAGCTATGGACTCAGACCGAGGACGGCGTGGCAGGCGAGGATGTGATTGAAGCGGCGCAGCAGGGCCGCGAGGCAGCCAGCGACTCGCCGTTCGCGCAGGTGCTGCTGGTGCGGCTGGCAGTCAAGAGCAAGATGTTCAGGCTGGCGGCAGATAGTGGGGTTGCGTCGCGCCCGGTGCTTAGCGGGTTCTGCAAAAGCTACGGCGTCAGTTTGCCAAACAGCCAGCTGGTGGTTGACCTGGGTGTTGCCGATGCATACATGGGTCTGGGGCTCGAGGATGTGAGCGAGGCCGAGAGGCTGTATCGCCAGTGCCTTGAAGCTGCTCCGGGCAACGCACGGGCAGTACTCGGGCTTGGCCTTTCGCTGTGCTCGCTGGGGCACTTTGATGAGAGCAAGCAGCTCCTGCAGTCGGCGCTGGTGAATGATCCCAATAACCACTTGGCGCTAGGCGGACTTGGACGTGTTTTGATGGCTGAGGGTGACATGCCTGGCGCTGTTGAGTACTTCACCAAGGCGATCTCCATTGACAGCAACTACGCGGACCACTACATCTATCTCGGCGACACATACTGGAATCTGGGCGGCGAGTACCAGGAAGACAAGCAGTTTGCATACAGCAGCTGGATTAGCGCAGCAAAGATCGATCCGAATGCGTCGCAAGCATTCTGCGGGCTGGGGCAGTGGTACCAGCAGTTCGGGCACGACGAGAGCCGGGCCAAGAGGTGCTTTGCTAAGGCATTCCAGCTGAACAACGCCGACAGCGAGGCTGGGCAGGCGCTGGCGCAGATCTACCTGTCCGAGGGCAGCGACGACTTGTGTGAGGCGATGCTAGTCAAGGCAACCGGATTCGCAGTACAACCAAAAGTGGGCGTGGAAGCTGCTTGGGGTTCCTGCGGCTGCAGCAGAACCAAAGCGAGCAGGCGATAGTCGCGTTCCGCAATGCGCTGACGATGGATCGCACGGATCGGCTGTGCTGGGAAGGTCTGTGCGAGGGATACATGGCAATCGGGCGGCTGGACTACGTGCATCAAGGTGGCACGCAAGGTGATTGAGCTGGATCCTGAGAGGGTGTCGGGCTACTGGCTGGGCGCCAAGGCCGCGATGGCAGCACACGAGTACGGCGAGGCACTAGGGATGTTTGACCAGGCCGTTGCCTGTGCGAGTCAGCTGGAGGATGAGGCGGCGGCGGGGGTCTGGCAGAGGACGCTTGCTGATATCGAAGGCAGAGTGCCTGGTGACGCATGCTGCCCAGTGGCATGAGGAGGGCTTCTTTGGCCGCGTCATTGATGCCAGCAACGAGGCACTCGATGTGTTGATGCTGGTCGTCGAGAGCGACGAGCAAGGCGCCCAGGGAGTATCTGGTGTGGAAGATTGTGTGCTCAGGCTTGCGTCTGGATTTCGAGAATGCGGGCGATGCTCGATGGGCGAGCTGATCTCGAGCGTGCTGAGACCGTTGGCCGCTTCATTGAGGCTGCGAAGGCTGCTGGGGCGGAGCTGGAGGAGCCAGAGTTCTTGGCGCAGGTCGCAGCGGAGGCAGGGTGTCGCGGGCAGCACCGATGAGCCCAATGGGTATGTGCGGCGGCTGTTTGTTTTGGCGGAGCGGTCGGCGCGGCAAGTGCATTCTTCCTTGCAACGTCGACGTCACTGGCGTCGATGGCGTGGGTGGATCTGGGACATATTTACTTTGAGATCAATGCCCCCCAGCACCACGTCCTGCTGCACAAGCAGCCAGGCACAGGCCAACGCCAGGCTCGACAGTGCTGCTGGAGGCTGCTGGCAAGTGTGCGCAGGCAGCGCAGCAGCTGGACTCGATGAGTGTGCGTGCTTACAATATGCAGGGAGTGGTGGCGACGATGCTCCAATCAGCCGGCGATTGCGCAACACGCGTTTATTGTTGCGTCACGACTGGCGCCGGGCAGCGCGGTCCCATGGGTGAATCTGGGATTCCTGTACTTGCAGAATGACGATGTGGAGCTGGCGAACAAGGCGTTCTCGCACGCGCAGATTGTGGACCCCGAGTTCATGCCCGCATGGCTGGGCCAGGCGATGATTGCGGAGACGCTCGGGTATGCGGACAGCATGGTGCTGTTCGAGCACTGTCTGCTCTCGGCGGGCGTGTCAAAGGTAAGGATTTGCTGAACATGAGCACGGAAGAGTGCATCATGCATGCATATGTATTTGGTGACATAGCTACGTGGACCCCGGCTGGGGATTGCATCGCCCCGCCATTGTTCGCTGCATCGGCCATTGTAGGAGAGGGGCACTGCTGCAAAGAGGCTGATTTTCTGGCAGAAAGACGCAAGAGAAGAAGCATATTGCATGTCCGTTGCCCAGCGATATCTACCGACCATGTGAAAACGGCCTGCATGTTAGCACTGGACGGAAATTCCAAGCGATAGGCTCGGCTGACGTGGATTGCTTGTGCTAATGCCCCTTTTTTTGCTTGTCCAAGAATAGGCTGTTGGGGATTTTGGCTACGCCAAGCAAGTCTGGCAGGCGGCGGTTCGTAAGAATGCAGGCGATAAGACGTTGGCGCAGCAGCCTGTGAAGACTGGGAGTACTGGAGACCACGCGCTGCTCTCAGCCAGTGAGCAGAGCCGCCTGACGCTAGCCATCTACGCAGCCCGCAGGTACGTCGAGCGCTCAGGAGATGGCGATGGCGCTGGTCATCATCTGCTGGGGCTGCTGCTTGAGCAGAACGCCCAGTACGAGGATGCAGCAGACGCCTATGCAGCGGCGCTTGCGCGCGTTGCGGAGACAAGCGACAGCAAGCGGATATGGATTGGTCTTGCGCACCTGGGCCGTGCGCTGTGTAGTGCTGGGCGCTGCGCCGAGGCGTCCGATGTCTATGACAGAGCGGCCGAGCTGCAGGCGTCTGTGGAGATCAACAGCCGGCAGGCTTTCTATGCGACGCTGGGCCACAGCCTGGCGCTGTTTTTCGCTGAGCGGCTCGAGGAGAGCCTGGGGCTGTTTGAGCGGGCGCTGGAGCAGAGCGAGGCAGTGCCGGCGCTGCGGCCGGTGGTAGCGGTGATGCTGGCGCAGGTCCTGTGGGCGCTGGGCAGCGATGAGCACCGTATGCTGGCCCGCCAGCACCTGCTGGAGGTGATGGCTGACCACACAGGCTTCCTGCCAGGGCTGGCCACGCTGTTTGGCATCGGGCTGCTGCAGGGGGACGGCGATCTGATAGCCGCCACTTTCCCGGAGCTCCGGAAGCTGCGCGACCAGGACCCTGCCCATGACGTGGCCAAGATCGAGTCGTACGTGGCGCTGCTGCGCGACGACCCGCCCGCCGGCCGTCCGCGCCCTCAGCAAGGCTGCATACCGGAGCCCCTCGGATGCCCAGCTGTGGGTGCTGCTGGCGCAGTTTGAGCTGCGGTGCGGCCAGCACACGCAGGCAATGCATGCGGCCAACTCGGCGCTGTCAGTGTTCAGCCAGGCCACCCGCGGCCAGTTCTCGTGGAGCGCTGCTCCTTCGCGTGCACTCAGCAACTCGGCCACGCTCGGAGTCGTTGTTGGCGCGTCGGCCGTCAGGGCAATGGCTGCCGGCCCGGGTCAGCCCGCAGTGGCCAAGTCTGCCGCCAGGCGGGCAGTGATGTATCAGCCGTGGGCGGAGGCCGCGTGGAGTGCGCTGCGTGGCGACTGAAATAAAGAGCCTGGATGAGCTGATAGAAACGATAAATCTCGCTGTGACCTGCATCGCATGCAGACGCTGCTGTAATTATACCCGCATAAGGAGACTGCAGCTGTAGCATCTCTCGCCCACCCCTCCTCAGATCGGACTGAACATGGTGTGGTGGCAGCGAGGAAACGTGTCGGCGATTGCGTCTTTGTTGATATCTATTTTTGCCAAGCGGCAGCACAAGATGCGGTGGGCACCGGGGAAATTAGGCTTCGCCCAATGGATCGCCGCTTCTATCACAAATATCTGGCGGTCCCGGGTACAAGGTCTCTTCTACGCTCCCCAATAAAGGCACCTGGGGCAATCGCGTATATTATCTCCAAAATAAAGACCCGCTCGGCAACTACCGATTTCGTGACGTCCCTGGCCCCCATGTACCCGATATAGCACCCCTGTGGGCGGACTGGATTGCAAAGGGGAGGGAAACGCAGTCTCCCCCTGAAGTTCGGAGCACACATCACAGATGACGCGCCTCCCCGATATCAAACCGGCATCCGCTCAAAGGATCGGGGGGCGCTTGTCTGAGGATGTGTTAGAAAAGAGGGGAAGGGGTGGGAAACCTAGCAGACACCCGTCACTGATAGCAGGAGATGGCGAGGGGGTGGTAGTGCTACCCGGGCACGCGGGCTCGTCCAGCCCAGCCCAAACAATTCCTGGCCAATCCGCGATCGAGAAGATCCACCCAGATAACGTTCCCAGTTTCGCCCGCAGGTGTGCCCATTGGTGCGAAAATGCAGGCCTTTTGCCCCCACAGCTTGGGGAGGAGTGGAGCGGCTAGGCAGCAGCGAAAGGAACACGCATCGCTTGCTTTTATAAAACGCGGGCAGTCTCGGCACAGGACTCTTGGGACTTCTTGAACACCGCTCTTTCTCCTCTGTTTCAACTTGTTTAATAGCCTATATAAGCTGCTGCCTGCACATTATATACTTTCAGTGGCTGTACCCGCCCCTAGTTACCAACGCCCGCCACGCAACTAAAAAGATAATAGAAGCCGTAGCCCTCCTGCTACTTCAAACCACTTTTTCTCGTTGTTTGCACAAGTGCGGCCACAGCGCATTTCTTCCTTAATCGAGCAAACAGCCCACTTTTTTTATAAAGGACCCAAGCTGGCCCTTTCGGCTCTGAACATATTTTTTCTCTCCACCTCTCGTCTGGGTTTTATTTCATATCCCTCTTTTTGTACCCATTCCATACACTGCCACTGGCCATTTTTATACCCCCATGGAGGACATACACGAGCTCGTTGATGTCCTGCTGCTCTGCGACTGCAACCTGTATGAGCGCTATCCAGAGCTGGTGCAGCGGGTGGACTATTTTTTGTACGACTGGACAGAACATACACTCGCACGCACACAGGCACTGCTGCGCCGGCATGCCAAGCGCCTGAGACGGCCCATGCCGAATTCCGCAACTTGCTACCAGAACAATGGCGAAGACGAGTCCTTCACACATGCGCGGTCAGTCAACGTGGTATGGCGCCAGTGGGCCGTCGGCCGCCTGCAGCTGCCGCCGTACCCGCCCGAGCGCATCAACTGGAACAAGGACGCGGACCCAGTGTTTCTGTACGCACAGATGCCGGCGCTGCGGCTCGAGGTGCCGTGGTCAGCACACTCGCTGTCGCTGACGTCAAAGGAGAGCACTCCAGTAGCGGCTGCACCGATAGCCGTGCCGCTGAAGCCGGCACTGAAGCCCGGCGCTGAAGCGGACGGACTTGCAGACATTCCTGACTTCGCCGACGCTGAGCCCGGCGTCAAGCCCGCCGTATTCGCCGATGCACTCGCCAGCCATGTCGATTCGCGAGAGCATGTCCACGAGCTCCCTGGGCTCTGACACGACTCTGGAGAACACGCCAGCGGTGCAGGAGGGCGGTATGCGGCCGCGCCTGCGCTTCAACGATCAGGTCGAGCAGTGCATGGTGGTGTTCAAGCAGGAGCGCGAGTGTCTGCCCGCTGACTACGAGGATAACTGCGATGAGGAGGGTGACGCCGCGATGCGTTATACCAATAATGTGCCTGTGCGGCGTACCCTGCGAAATGGCGGCGCTGCCAGCCGCGGCCGCCGCTCGCTTGTGATCAAGCTTGCTCCCACACAGCTCAAGGGAGACCACCGTAGGCTGACGGCCACGCCGGCCCCAGCCCTCAGTCCGCCGCCAAGCATGTACGACGATAGCGACGATGAAGATCTGTTCAATGACTTTAACAGTGGCATTGCGCTCTTTGGCGGTCCCACGCCTGCCGATCGGATTACCAGTGCGCACTTGAGTCACAACGCCATTCCGGGTGACAGCAAGAATGGCGTCAGTGGATACGTGCAGGGCTACGTCCAGTCGGTCGCAGGCCAGGTCCGCCGCTTTGTCAGCGATGCTGTGTCGGTCTCGTCGTTCACTGTCGAGAAGCAGGCTCGGTCGACCACCAGCAGCACCTCGTCAACCTCGGTGGCATCGTACGTGCCTGACCCGTTTGCTGCGCGGCACACCCAGCAGCCCTCGACGCCCACTGCGCCTTACATGAATGCTGGCTCCAGCATTAGAGCAACCAGTGATACGCATTGTCATCAGGCCTCCACCGCTGCCTCCTCGAGCATTGTGCGAGACCCGTTTGCAGCTGCAAACCACAAGAGCTCCCACGCCGACCGTGTGCCCTTTGATGATGACGAGGACGCAATCATCCAAGAGTTCGAGCGCGAGATGCAGCAGTACCACTACAAGCCTGCCGCGGTGACGAGTCCCTCGACATCATTGCCAAAGCATCACGCTGGCTATGCAGCCAGCGGTAATGTGCATCATGCAGCACAACCACGCGATCGCGATGCCTACATCGGCAGCGAATACCACTTCCATGGCATTGATGACGAGGACGACGACGACATGGCCGCGTACAGCACCCGTATGGATCTTGCTGAGCCCCACAGCGCCTATGTGACAGCGCGGGGATCACCGCTTACCTCAACCGACAGTCTCGAGCGGAGCAACACAGCCGGCGGCCCCAAGCAGTTCCAGCAGCGCCATGATTCACTCATTGACCGTGCTGAGGACACTATCGTCAACACGGTCGATGCCGTCAAGTGGTGTGCGTCCTTCATCTCCAACTACACTATCTTCTGAGTGAGTGCGTAGTAGGCTGAGCGGGACGGTTGCCAGACCTTGAGGGGCTGAGCGGGCAATGCCCAAAAAATACCTTGCATTCTCTGTGTTGTATTCACCACTCTACACCAACCACCCCTTTCTCGCTCATCTAGCTGTCATATTTCTTTACCCTTCTTCCCACTCGTAGCTTGTACATGTCCTTTTCTCAGTTCACTTATTGTCGTTAGTTTTGCATTATACACACTCCTCTCAGCTGGAATTCACAATGTCTTGCAGCACTTTTTTTCGTAGCCACATGTCCAAACATGCATTGTTCAATATCTCTTGTGCATGCATGCAATCCCAGTTCACAGCCAGAAATCCAGCTGGAGAGGAATGACATTGATGCCCAGCTCGCCCTTTGCAGCTTCTCTGCACGACCCCTCTGAAAAGGATGCACTGAGCTGTGGAAAGGGCGCATACAGCACCATGCATGCAGACACGGGAAGTAGATATGCTGAGCACAGGCCAGCACCATATCGCAGCACCGCCTCCTGCCATCTCCAGTCACAGATAATATATACATCTTGGCTGTTCTCTTTTGGGGAAGGGGAAGAGCGCATGGGCCTGTCACTGCTTACTGTGCTAGTGACTGCTCCCCATAGAATCCTCCAGCTGGCAGTTTCTGCCTGGATCCCACCCGAGCGCAGGTCACACTGGTTTGCGGGGAGTGGGAGGATCGCCACTTCCCAGCTCGTAGCAACAGAAAAGGACGCAGACGACGGCTGCCCTGCCATTTCCCAGGTGACCAAAGAGTCCAGCACGTTTGTGCTGCTATTTGGGAAATAAGCGCAAATACACCCATGAAATCACGCACAATTGGATTTAGTCCCTTGCGGAGGGGGTGCGGTTCTCCCGGATTTTTTTGCCAGCTCCGGGGCTCGCTACACATAGCCGGATCCCGGTGCCGCGGTACACATCTGAACGTACATGTCTCTTTTTTACGAATGGCATGTGAAGGAAGAAAAAAAAAAGCAGCCTTCTATAGCCTCCCCATTCACCATACTTGCCATGCATGCTCTTCAGTGGATATATTGGGTGGCGATTGCTTTTCGCCGTTAATGGATTGCCACCACTACGGTTTTTTCAACACATGTTCTACCTAATTACAATATCATTAATAGCGCTCCTGTCTGCGCGGCTGTACTGGGTGCTACCGGCATTCGCCACACGTCCGCCGTCGTCGCGGCTTCGGAAAGGCAAGGAACCGAGCACAGGCGGCAACAAGGTGCTCTGTGTGGTGCTGGGGTCGGGCGGACACACAGCCGAGATGGTGCGGCTAATGCACGGCATAGATTTCGAGCGATACACAAAGCGCCTGTATATAGTCAGCGAATCAGACGCGCTGTCGGCAAACCAGATTGCAGAGATTGAGCGGCCGCTGATGTCCGACTATTCGCAGGAATACGTAGTCGGCCGGGTACCCCGCAGCCGCCAGGTCGGCCAGTCGCTGGTGTCGGCGCTCATATCGGCTGTACGGTGTTTGGCGGCTACTGCGTGGCTGCTTCAGTCACATTTGCCTGACATCGTCCTGTGTAATGGGCCGGGGAATTGTGTCATTGTGTGCGTGCTGGTCATGGTGCTGCGGGTGCTGGGCGTGAAGCGGATCCCGATCGTGCATGTCGAGTCATTCGCACGCGTAAGATCGCTCTCGCTGTCAGGCAAAATTGCCTATTACCTGGCCGATCGGTTTATCGTGCAATGGTCTGGTCTGCAGCAAAAGTATCCACGGGCCGAATACATTCCAAATCTCGTCTAACATGCCATATATTCTCCAGCCAAATATCTTTTTCTATTTGTATTTGAAACTGAAATTCTTGAAGCAACACGGGATTTTTTAGAACAGCTTCTTGTACCGGTTCTTGATCTCGCGCATCACGTCCTCAGGGAACGGCGGGATGCCCGGCACTGCGTTGAACGTGACCTTCTGGACCGCATCTGGATCGGTGTCCAGCACACCGTCTCTCCACGTCTTCTGGTACGACAGATCGACCTTCTTCGGGATATATGTGCCAGTGCCCACCGCGTACCTGCGCTTCTCCTTGACACCCGTCTCCGGATCAACATAGCTCGCCAACCGCACCTTGGTCGGCTGGTTTGTGCTCGGATCCACCAGCGCCACATTCGACACATGGATCGGCATCTCCTTCTGGATCTTGCCTGTCGGCGACTCCTGCGTCTTGGGCACCGTCTTGAATGCCAGCTTGAGCCCGCGCACGTACACGCTGTTGGTCTTGCGTGCCACCTCCGTTACCATGCCCCGCTGGCCCCGGTCTTTGCCCGAAATCACCACTACCTCGTCGCCCTTGATGATCTTCCACTTGCCCAGCCGCAGGTGCTTCGGCAGCGTTTTGTCCCGCGGCATGGCGCGTGTGCTGGTGGATTTGAGAATCGAGCGGTGGAGACGCATTCTTTTTTAACGCTTTTCTTTGTTGGAGTCTGAATTCGGTAATGACCACGCGCAGCTGCTTCCTTTTTGCTCGGCGAACGTCGTAGTGAATTAAAGGAGAGAAGAATGCAGGAACGAGGAATTAATAGACCGTCGAAAGGAGAAATGCAAGAATTTCGAAATAACGGTGAGACGCTATCATTTTTCCCCGATCATAAGGCGTGATCGGCTGATTAGCAGTGTGATCAGCACACAGACACTTTTTGGAACTTGTCGCCCCGATCTGTTCGCTCTGCGCTTGACTCAAGGGACCTGTGGGCGCTTGTAGAAGGGAGCGCAAGTCCCAGTGGCATGTATATCTTCTGCTTTTCGATGAGCACTGCCAACATAGCTTTTTGTTGGCCCCATGTTTGTAGCTGCATATTCAGCAAAGTATGTGGCCATTTCCTCGATGGAATTGAGCCGCACCGCATAGATCCTGCCATCCAGCAGTGCATCTACGCAAAGAGTTGGCCATCGTAATATGCTTGTGCCGATCCTGGTGTGGGCTGTGTGCATAGTCAACTACCGTACCTGGAGGCAGAATGGCCTCCAACTTAATGGCGATAACTATAGCTACTCGCCAAATTACAATTGCTCTCGATATGATTCTGTCAAAATTGCTTATAGGATACCAAAGCAACAGAGGGCTGTCGCTTGTTTGATTGTAATCGTCTCTGTCTGATGTGGACACAACCTCAATCGACACTGTTGCAATTTCAGACATTAACTTCGTATAACCAGCAATACTTACAGTACTTGTGACTCGAATTAATGAGAGGGGTGTTTTAGAATATTGATGGCAACAACTTATAATTGAACTACATGATACTGCATAAGTAGGATGTTTAAAGTAAAGGGCTGGATGTTTGTCTAGCCATGCCTAGAACATAAGTGAGGGTGGCAACAAGCATGTCTTTTTCCCTAACTCGCTCCTCAAATGGGTTGAACCGCATGCCGCCAGCAAACGCAGTGCCTTTGCAGCGGATACCGCCGAGAGATGGGTTCCAAAATAAATTGGTGTAGATATCTCTTGCTAGCGCCCGCAGATACTCGATATCAGGCTGGCGGTTGTTAAAACGGCGGATTAGTAGGCCTCTCAAAGGCAGGAAGGGATCCCAGTGCCAGTGTCTTTAATATCCCGACCATTGGGGCAGCACTGATGCACCAGCTTCTAATTGCCAGCATCTCCATATTTCCGAGTGATTGACCACAATTTTCTCCGACACCGGCTGTTGCGCAGAGGCACAGTAGGTAGAGTAGGGATTCCCAATCGTCCAGCTCTGTCCGCTCCACATCCGAGCCTTGAAGATTGTTGATGCTCCTATAGAGGAACATCCCCACATTCACTGGATTTGGTGGCTGACGCTCGCTTACATCCACTGCGCAGCCAAAGTCAATCAGTAGTCCACGGGGGTGGTTTGCCTTCGTCACGCACAATAAGGATGTTTCTTTCAGAGATGGAACGATGAAGGATGTTGCACCGTCGCAGTACCTCGGTGTGGCAGCGCATCACATCACTTAGTACAATGATAATCTCATGAACAGATTCAGCAGTTCCTAGTGGTTCCCCGATTGGCGATATGACTAAACGCTTGTGTGCGTGGAAAGGTATTGCTGTGCTGTCTGGCATGTGCAACGAGCAAAGTGGGCCCAGTATGTTCTTGGTGTTATCCTCAAATCGGCCCCGGTCAGTATCAATTACAACACGGCCACCAGCATCGAGCTTCAGATAAAACAAGTCCTCGACATCCGAGTTTTCTAATTCCTTCGTGATTCGGCGCACAAACTGAACCTCGTCTCGCCTGTCTCTGGTGTGGTCCTCCGTGGCTTCCGGCCATGCATCTTTCAAAATAAACTTGGGCTTGACTTTGTCACCAGTGGGCTTCTCGTCTGTCATCAAGAAGCAATCGGTATGTCGTCCAAAGAGATCGATATCACTAGGCAGCATCGTATCAAAATAATATATCTTTGGCCTACCATTGCCGGACGAATCGGCTGCTGTATCTGGACACTTGATCACCCAGCAGTTATTATCCTCATCCTTGTGGATTGTAGTGTCAAATCCCAACTGGTCCTCATCGCAGAGAGACCAATTAACTAGCAGCTCAGTAAATTGAAGGCGACCACCTGCTGTTGACATGTCGAGAGCGCTGGACGAGAAGACCGCGTCGTTGGAAAATAAGCACACTCGAACCTCACTATCGCAAACAGTCAAGCCAAACACAAAGCGCCGGCCAAACTCAGAGTTATAGAAGTTGTGTGTGCTCCGCATCAGCTGCGCGTACGCCTTGTCAACGATGCACGGGATTTTACTTTGTCGTGCCTCGATGATTGCTATTGCATCGCCATAGTAGAGATTGTTGATCAGCTTGATATCGCTGTTTCTGTACTCTATAGTGATACCAGCCCCGATGGCTGGAGAGTCACCATCATTGCTAGGCTCATAGTCTTGAATCACGCATGGCAGGACATGGCGATATGCACAAAGGTGGTTTGCAAAGGTGCATGGGTCCAGTGCACTAATGAAACAGTCGATGTGTTGAGAGACAAAATATACAAACGACTGTACCGATGTGTGGATCTGCTTAGCATCGTCCGTGTCGTCGCCATGCATACTCTCCAGTGGTGCAGATGGCGACCCTATAGGCTGTTGCTGTATTGGCCTAGGCGAGATCCACTCCTGAAATACTGCAAATGCGTTGGCTGTGGTTCCGCTGCGCTCGTACTTCTTCTTCGCATATGCTGCTGTGTCGAATAGCGGCCGCTGTCGATTGTTGCTGTAGGGTACAAGCTCATCAAGAGCTGGCAGGGTTATACAGGTGTCAAATATCGCATATTTGCTGGTTGCGTTGAGCCGATGCTCCAGATCAGCTGAAATGTGCTTGGAAATGTTGATGGCAAGCACTCGCGAAGCAGCGCTCCGCGGTTTCATCATGTCGAGCACTGCATTCGCATCTCTGATGACCCGTGTCTCGACCCACATATCCTCCTTGGTCTTTACCTCATCGCCACTCCCGCTGTTGTCGTTCTGCTGCTTGGTATCAAGTGAAGAATCTTCTTGTAGATGATGCTTATACTCGAGGTGGAAACTGCTGTGGAGCTGGAAGACTTGTTTGACGCGGTAGCGGCCCCAGCATCGCTGGTATCTGAAGACTGCTTCTGTGCAAGAGCAAGTTTGCTGTCCATTTTATGAAAGCGCAATGCGAAATGTTATTGCGTATGAAAAAAAAACTTAGAAAAGAGAATGGATACCAAGGTGGTTTCAAACGCAAAGCTGTCTTTTATATGTAGAGCAGCAGACAGCGCTGTTGGCCACATAATGCCAACACGGATAATCAGTCGTTGTTGACGTTAAGATCAAACTGTTTACACAGTGCAGGAGCAGATCGAATTTGATCTAGCCAGCGTCCGCCACACATCAGATACCAAATATGGCTATGAATAGCTAGCGCATAGTCATTAATAAAAAATCTTGACTACACTCGACAGATTTGAATCAGGCATGTCCCTGTTCTCCATTGGTGTTGCTTGTGATACTGGTTCAACCAGGGCTAAATTGGCTAAGTAAACTGATTGACCCCCTGTATCGGCGTACTGCGCACCTGCAAAAACATATATGTTCAAGGATTATAGCCAGAGAAAAGTTCAATGCTCATATCGAGCTTTCTTCCAGTGACAAGTATAGGCAGGTTTGGAGTAGTTACAATTTATGTATTCACCTGCTCTTCAAATGGATCTACTCTATGCTTCCCTGCATTAGCCATCCCTGCAGTTGATCCTTCGTAAAGTACATCATCAAGGCAGTGATGAATAAGCTAACAAGCATATATTTTGCTAACAAGACATTGTAAATACCTTCGTTTGCAGCTCTTACTAGGACTAGCAAGATATTTAGTATTCCCAAAGTCTCTGTTAGAAGGTTACAGGCGATACAAGTAGAGTGTAGAGCAGGCTGAAACACCCGAAGATATATGTATTGAGAAAGTGTGAAAGTGTGCAGAAAGGCACTAAGCAAGTAGAGAAATATAGAAGAAAGACAAGAAGGATCCAGTCCAGTATTGGACTGGGTAGCAAAATATAAAGAGAAAACTAGAACAGTAAAATGAGGAAAATCTAACTTCTGATAGTTCTTTCCAGAAATGCTGCTCGTGTGTTTGGGAGCCGTCATTATAGAAATGTCTGGTATGAAGAATATGTTGATGTCAAAGTGGAGAAAGGGAGAAAGGAATAATAAAAAGATGCACTGCGGAGCCGTATCGGCAGGCCGATATAATTTGATGCTGCTACTGCTAGCCACATAGCGGCCTACAACGAGCTGCCAGAAATACCTCGTACTTTCAGCACAGCCGCATACGCAGCACATCAAAGACTACAACTCATATACTCTGAGGTGCCTGCAGTAGGGTGCTTGTTGGCGTTTGATTCATCATTCATATCATCAGCTGCAATGTTAACGTCTGGAACGGCCCCAGCTAGCGCGCAATAGACCGTGCTATATCATACCTATGCCATACTCTACCATGCTACTCTTCAAGCAAAATGAGTTCATTTATTCAGCATACCTGGCTAGCTTAGGTTCGTTGTATTCAACAAACGCGCCAGTTAACTCATGGTCTACGTGGAGGGCAAGATTCCCGATGATGCGTCCAGGAACATCAGCCTCAATCATGGAGGGTATAGATAAATCGCCTGCTGAGCTTTTACTTGGCTCAACTCCAAAGGCCTTGTAAAAGAAAACACGAGTCATGTCTGTGTTGACAAGTCCTGGATGAATCGCAACAGCGGTAATGTCTGGCTCTTCTGATGCTAAAGTTGCAGTGATGTAGTTAATAGCTGCCTTTGTTGCGCCATAGCAAACTGCTTCCTTGAACGGGATCTTGTAAACGGTGGATGACAGGTTGATAACCCTGCCTTTGGACTGACGCAATTGCGGTATAACCCTCTGGGTCATACTCAGCGGTGCAATGACGTTGACGGCAAACATATTTGACCAGTCATCGACAGACCCAGTAGCAATCGATGCAAGCGGCATATTAGTTCCTGCGTTGTTGACCAGCGCGATCAGGGTTCCGTTTTGCGCGGCATAATCGGCAGCCTGCTGCTGGACCGATTGATCAGTGATATCGCCAACGACAGGAAGAAACTTGGCAGCTGTTTGGAGCTGGGCCACCTCCTCCGACAGGGTGCTGAGAGTATCAGCACTGCGAGCAATCCCTACAACAGATACATTCTTGGACAGGAGATGAAGCGAGGTAGCCTTGCCAATTCCACGCGACGCGCCGGTAACGATAACAACTTTGGTGCTGCTGGAGGATAAAGCCATTTTAGAATGACAAATATTTGTTAACAAGGACAGCACACGAGGGTTATATATGGTTAAGGAGGGAGGAAAACAAGACAGTGAAATACACTGGCTACAGAAGAGAGGTGGTTTTGCTTTCCTGGGATATGCTAGGAATGCTAGAGAGTTAATGGTGGTGTTGAGATACTAGGGTACCTATGTTGGATTATTGAGTGGTCAAGAAATGAAATAAACTAGGATTAGTAAAGAAACTAAAGGGCATCCTCAGGTACACTGGGAGGGTTGGCTGTAGTGTACCCCTAGGGGCTCGCGTAAGCAGTGTAGATCAAATTTAGGAGTCTCGGATCTAATACATCACACCCTATGTGCCAATAGCGTTTGACATCACATGGACAAGTCTACAGCATACTATACTCTTGTGCAACAGCAAGATAATAGCGGGTTCAAAACAAGTGGTACTGTGAAAGCTGAAGCACCAGAACAAGTGTGTGAAGCTGGATATCCTTATATACCTGCACGTGGTGACATAGGCGGCTCCGCGGTGAGCAGTTTAGCCAGGCTAGTTACGAGTCGGTAATGCCGTTACAGTTTGGACTCAAGGGGGCAAATGCTGTTCCTCTTCAGTTCATCGCCCTCAACTCTTTGTATTTCCACTATAAAAAGGTAGTAGCCGATCAATCTTATTGTTGGCAGTGCTGGTGGTGTGTATAGAGTAGAGCTCTACAAGAAAGATGCAAGCATAAAAGCATGCAAACACCCATGGGTGGTAGGGCTTCTGGTTGCAAAGGCTCAGGATAGAGATATAGGAGTGTAGCAGATCGTAAGCCAAGCAGTTGGATCGTGCTGCTCCAGGTGGGACTGAGCTGGATATTGCACGACGGTATGGAAGTGGCACGAGATCTCACCTGGGGTTCGATATGTCCAGGCAAGCATTCAGTTCATATGTGCACCATTGAAGTTTCTGCATCTTGGTACAACGGAAAGCGGGGCTTTCCCCATGCAAACATGTACCAGACTATGCACACATCCATATCCGCCATTTGAATACATCCGTTCTTTGTAAAGTCGATCTCTTGGAAGCTATCAGGCTAACTGCCTTGCCAAGAGCTGCTTGTGTCATAGACATTTATACTGTAGTTTTTTTTATTTTGAAACAGAGTCACTTGCACCTGGCTGCTGCTCTTTCTGGGACTCTTCGATCAGCTGGCGACGTCGCTTTTCGTACGCCTGGCGGGTAAATCCGCTCCACATGTACCCAGTAACGGCGCCGGTTGCTACATGAATATAATTAGTCGATATGGTATCCATAGCGGTATTTCTGGCTGGTCAATCTAAATACGTACCGGCAGATGAGAACGCATTGGCTTTGCTTCCGAGGCTCAGGGCGCGGCTGCCAAACACCGAGGCAACGAACAGAGCGCTGAAACCGTACAGGGCACCAAGCTTGCGCGACTCCCAGGAGATCTCGTCGTCGGTGAGGATCTTGTCTCTGCTGCCGATATCCATGTGTGGCTGGTGGTAAGTATGCGAAAAGTAGCTAAGCGACAGTGCGTGCGCCAAAGCCACGCTCCGAGCCCACCACGCTCAGACACTCACTTATCAGCAGCGGTCGATCAATATGGTACTTGAATATTAAGGAATTTTATTATGAAAAAATCTGTGGAGAGCCCCAGTGCAGGCTGCAGCTTACTTGCTCGAGCTGCCCTCGGCCTCATCCTCAAACTCATCGTCGCTGCCGCCGTCGACCAGGATCGGGTACGAGATGCGGACACCAAAGATGCCAAAGCCCTCGAGCCATCCGACGACGTAGTGGCGGCCCGGAATGTGGTAGGTCTTGAACGAGTCGATGCTGGCGCCGGTAATCTTCTCCAGCTGGGCGACAACAGCATTGCGGTGCTCCTTGAGCAGCTGCAGGCCCTTCTCGGCGCCAGCAAGCTCAATCTCGTTCTCCTCGAACGGAAGCTCCTCGTTGAGGTCGATCACGTCATCGGCACAGCCGCAGTCATCACCGTGCTCGTGATCGTGCTCCTCATCGTGGCCGTGGTCGTGCTCCTCCTCAGTCTCCTCGGCGGCGGCCTTGCCCTTGCCCTTGATGGCAGCCTCAGCGAGCGCCTTGAGCTCCTCCTCATCCATATCCTCCTCATCATCATCATCCTCGTCCTCCTCGTCCTCCCACTCCTCATCCTCCTCGTCCGAGTCCTCGTACATGCAGTCCATCTCGTGGTTGAGGGCGAGCTTGACAAACTCGGGAGCCTCCTCGGGCAGAGCAGCCAGCTCCCGCTTGTACAGGTGCTTGATATCAACATTGTACAGGCAGAAGGGACGCACGTAGATCTCGTCCTCGATGTCCTCATCGGCAACACCCTCCTCCTCGATCGCAGCCTTGTCCTCCTCCGACAGATCGTACTTGATCTTGCCGTCAAGCTCCTTGCACAAGGCGCGGATCTCGGGATCGATCTTGGAGCGAATGACCATGGCGCGGTGGCGGAGGGCAGACAGGTTGTCGTTGTCGCCAAAGATGTGACCGATGGGCGACAGGTCGGCGGCCAGCTTCTCGTTGATGATGTCCTTGAACTCGCCCTCGTACTCGCCCTCGATGGCGGCAGCGATCACCTCCTCCTGCATCATATGGGCGATGAACTCGCGGTAGAGCTCGTCGTCGCTCTTGTCGAAGGTAATGTTCTTGTAGGACATGGCAGTGGCAAGTGTAGAAAGGCCTGTACAGGGAATAAAATTGTAGAATTGAGAAGAATAGAGAAGAGCCGGAGCAGACTGCAGTGGCCCGGGCCTAAGTCGCTGGGCGGCTGCGACAAACACCAAAACAAATTTTTCTAAAGGTGGCAAATCCCTCAGTCAAAAATTTTTTTTTCCAAGGTTGGGGAATTGGGGGCACAGCCGTGGTGAGCTGGGAGCTTGAGTATAATTCTGCGACGACGAGTCTACTTGAGTTTCCGGCTGTTCAGGCGTCTCGGCTGCGCTCTTGACTGCTGTCTTGCCTGCAGGCGTGCCTTTGGGGATCAGCCAGGTCCACCCGAGCCGCTGCGCCTGGCGCGCCGACCACGGCAGAATTGCAGCAGTAACGGCGGCGCGCAGAGGAGTCAGACACTTGTGAACCGCATAGCCGACGATAAGAATCGTCACCCACTTGTCGCTACCGCCATCCCCGCCCTCCTCCATCCGCTGGGCGGCCTTCTGCAACCGTGGGATATACTGGCCCAGGTACGAGTTGATTGTGAACACGAGGCTGTCGCCGCCCAGCCAGACGGCCCACACGCAGAGCGTCAGGTCAATGGCAGACACAACCAGATACGCGACCACGGCGATGCGCCCGTACTGCTGGAGCATCATGCGCAGCTTGCCCGGCTTCTTGGCGTCGCCCTCTGCGTTCGCCTTGGCTCCCTCCTCGGCGGCGCCCTTCTCCAGGTCAAGCTCGCTCTGCTTTTCCGACAGGTCCCGCTTCTGCGTGCTGAATTGGCGCGCGCCAGCCAGAGACGACGCCGACGTGGGCGTGGTCAGGCCGCTGTGTGAGCCGGGTGTAGACGGAACCGAAATTGTGTACTGCGACGACATTTTAGCGCTGCGTGCCGTGGTAGTGGAATATTTGGAAGCAAGGGAGAAAAAAGAGAGCGGCGTGGGCATGGCAGAAAATGGCGGTTTATGCGTACCCCGCACGACAGATGGCAGCGCGGAAATCGCCGCCAAGCCCTGGCGGTGCCTGCTGCCAGCAGCCCTTGCTGACGGTAAATTCGAAATCGAGCGAATTCCAGACCCGACGCCGCCCAGACCGGGCCTCAGCGCCAGGAGCGGCGAGGGCGTGCTCCCAAGCACTGCTGGCAGCCTGTGCTGGGCAAAGCGCAGGGCCTGGGAGTGCGTCGATGGCGACGCCAGAAGCTGCCGGGTGACTCTCTGCATGACTATGCTTGCGGCGGTTCGGGTTTGTCTACTAAAAACGAATATCTGCGTGCTGCGAAGAGGACGAGGAAGAGAAAATGCACGATCTGCGCGATCCTGTTTGCACAACGCACTGAAGAGCTCAAGAGAAAAAAGTGTGCAGGGATCAGAGAAGAGAAAGCTTGCGGTCTGAGTCCCCTGCCGCAAAGCAAGCGATGCTTATGTGATCCGGCACTTCTTGGCAACTTTGCAAATAAATCGTCAGGCTCACCAAAAAGACATGTATTTTTCAAATGAATCAGATATGTGCGGATTAAAAATGCCATGCTCTTTCATATGTGCATCTAGACCGAGTACAGGACCTTGGGCCCGCTCTTGGCGTTGTCGGTGTGCGGCATGTACTCGAGCTGGTGCTCGCCATTGAGCACTGTCTTCAGGTGCCGGCCGATAGCCTCGCATGCCTCCTTGTCGGCCGCATTGCGCGTCCAGATGGCAATACGGAAGCACTGCTTACGGTTGGAGAACACGGCTCCGCACACATCGGTGCTCGCATCAAAAGTCTCGCCAATGCACGCCAGCAGCGTGTTGAGCCACAGATCGTTGGCCTTGCCGCCAACGCTGCGCTGGAGCTGGATCCCCCAACGTCCGCCGTTCGCGTTTGCCGCATCCTCCCACATGGGCTTGATGCCCTTGCGGAACAAGTGGTAGTTGGAGCCGTTCGGCAGGTCCACCGCCTTCGTCACGTTGCTGTGCACTCCCCAAAAGTCCTCCACCGTGCCCAGCGTCACAATCTCCTTCAGGTTCTGCGTCCAGCTCGACGTGTTCGTCCGCCGGCTCGGGTTGTCGAACCACAGGGTCCACTCAGAGTTCAGCGGGTGCACCGTGTCGAAGTTTTCCGCGTCTGTGAGAACAGTCTTTGCTGCTGCAGTATTCTGGACCTCTGTCATTTCGCTAACGTATGCTTAATCTGAACTACACAGTACAAGTGGCGTCTGCCTGGGTCAGCCTTGTGCACTGAATTCAGCGTGCTGCATGGCCCGTGCCTAGAATGCAATCTGCTCCTTACATAAATGTTCGACCTCCAATTGAGAAGAATGAAAAATTTCGCACAAGGAGTAGAAAAATCCAAAAAGCCCACACCCCTGCAACACCCCCAAAAGTAGCAAAATGCCGGGTTCCAATCGGATTACGCCGTGATTTGATCGCAGGTGTAGCGGATATGTGGATATGCGGCTGAGCGCGACTCGCTCGAGCAGTTGGGAGAAATGCTCCAGCTACATGATAAAATGTGTACTTCTGTGGGCATAGCAGCATGCTGCCTCCATATCCTTATTTGGGAATCCTCACAATGGTTGTGTGTATTCTGGAATTCCCTTGCCAAGCATCGGCTAGTTGTGGTGATTGCTATGCTGTCAAAAAACCACTGGCCTGTTTCTAATTGGATATGCGTAGATTTTTGACAACTACCTTCTCCAATCCTGTTAAAAAGCATATACTGACAACCTCAGTAGGTGTTGAAGGGGGCAGCAGAGCATCATTGCTCGTGTTATATAAGCCACTATGCCGGCCCGACAACGCACTACTGCATTAGTCCAACCCCATTTCACATCATCCCAAACCATGTCTAACCAAATGTTTACTGAATCTAACGCCTTTATCCCTGACAGTTGGCTCAGCGCTGAGACATTCCAAAATGACCGCTGACGGGCTCACCGGCATTATCGGACAGATCATAAAGCACACATCCTCATCCGACGTCACTATCGTGCGCGACAAGGGCGGTGTCTTCAGACGCGGCTGGTTCGGTCCCAAGAAGCTTCGCCAAGGTACACGATTGGAGCTTAATATGAAGTCTGTGAAAGTGTGTTGTCCTCGCTGCCATGTAACAGACTTTACAGAAATCAGAAAGGAGAATGGCAAGAGGACGCTTTTTGTCATGGTTGCGCTCGCAATCATCCTCATCATCTTAAAGGGGCCACACCATGCAGCATCTGCTGTGTCCACAGCAGCTCAGCTAAAGGCATTCAGGCGCAGGTCACACTTTTGCAGAAGCTGCAACATTAAGCTTGGAAAGAATGTCCTCCATTTTGGTTCCCAAGAGAACCTTTCTGCAGCGCCTTGGATTTTGATCTTGTATCCGAAATAAATGGCGACATACCCAACAGCACCTGGCTCGTCGCTGTAATATCTAAGCGCAACCCACCTCTGCCCCCGAAAGAGCAGACGCTAGTGAAAACAACTGCATATCAAGTAGTATATGGCACTTGTAACGGGATATGTGTGGTGAGTTGAGTATTTTGTGCATATCACCATTAGGCACCGGTAATAGCCAAATATTACTTGATCGCAGCACTCGAAATTTTTTTATTTTTGCCCACAGCCCAAAAGCGATACATTTAGCTCACTAAGCACTCGATTCCCACAAAAGGCTTCTTTTTTACAAAACAGCAGCGATGGCAGCAAACATCCAGGACAGAAAAGCGTATTAACGGACCCACACGCAGCGTCGAGCCCCTTTCAGTCGCCGAACCTGTGGAGCCCTTTGCCAACGGACGCCTTGATGGCCGTGCTCTGGACCAGGTCCGGCCAATTTTCATGAAGACCGGGTCTCTTGACAGCCAGACATCGACGCAGGCATCGCCTTCTGGCTCGGCATACTATGAGCAGGGCAAAATTCGCATCAGCTGCGCTGTGTATGGCCCGCGCCAGGGCCGCAAGAGCAACGCAAAGATGGGTATTTTCAGCTGCGACTTCAAATACACACCGTTCTCGTGCAGTTGGCGGAAATCGCACATCAAAAGCTCTGACGAGAAGGAGATTGCGCTGATTCTGGAGCAGGCCGTCGCGCCTGCCATCCGCCTGGAGCTGTACCCGAAGGCATGTGTCGACGCGTTCATCACTGTCATCGAGAGCGACGGCAAGGCAGCAACGATTGCGGCGGCTATCAACTGCATCTCGGCGGCTCTGGTTGATGCTGGAATCGAGCTGTACGACAGTGTTGCGGCTTGCTCGATGGCCCTGAATGGCACCCAGTGGATCTTCCGACTGCACCCAGATCGAAGAGGACAGTGCCTCGTGCTCGTTGCTCGTTGCGCGCATGCCCAGCGCCGGACGAAGTCGCGTATATCCTGCAGCACGGGAAGACAAAACTCGAGCAGACCGAGGAGGGTTTCCAGGCATGCGTCAACGCGTGCACCAAGGTATACGCTGTTATCTGCCGCTACCTCCAGGGCTCCGTGTAGGGTGTGGGGCAGGTGTCGTTGCAAAATAAACCTGTTTTTACATATTTGATTGAGAAGGGCAGTTGAAAAGCGTCTACGAAAGCGGTGGTGGCAGGGCAACATGCTGTTTCAAGCTCTCAAACGTGTACCTTCCAAACGTATCTGAGGCGGTACACTAGCACGTTGTAGACGCCACTGAGCACAAACAGCTCGGCGAGAAGAACGGCAACCAGTATGCCTACTATCAGCAGCGGGTTCTGCGTGATGCTGTCAACAGCCCTTGTAGCAATGCGCTTAGCTGTATCCAACAGCCATCGCGGCGTATCGCGTCTGATGACTTTGGCCGATCCAGCACTCACCGGCAGCAGCGGGATCACTGGGTCCCTTGCCACTTTCGATGTCTCCAGCATATCCAAGCGTAGATCAAGGCTGCTGAGCAGCTTCATAATACTTTCTAGCTTCGGGTCATCAGGCAGCGGGGGCTGCTGGCCGCGGCTGGCTCACCTCGCGCTGGATAGCAAAGACTGCGGTCTTGGTTTCCTCCATCATCTTGCGCAGCACTTGGACATGCTCTTCTAGCTCTTTTGCAGCAGATAGTTGAGCTTGGGGGTCCAAGACAATTTGCTTGGTTCTGGCAGCAGCTAGATTGGCGATACTGCGGTTCAGGTCTTGCTCGGCTCTATCGATCACCGCAATGCTGGCATCCAGCTCATCTAGACCTGTTTGGTGCTGTGGTTCCCTGAGACTTGAGTGAATGGTGCTGGTTGGCTCAGTGTGCTTGCTTCTATTGTCGTCGTCAGCCGTAATCTGGTCGTCCAAATCTATCTGCTGGCCGAAGGAGAAGTGTGCTGGGCTCAGTCCACGACCTGCCTTTTCTTGCTGTATGTTCGGAGCTGTCGAGTTGTCTGCTAGCTGTGCCATGTCACTATCGAGCACATTGGTCTGTTGGTTGGCAGTGCTTAATTGTGTTGGCGAGCCCAACAGGCTCTGATCCTGGTGGGCTCGCTTTCCTGGCCCGACTGGCGATGGAGAGACGCTACCTGAATCCAGCCCACCTGCAGCACCCTGCTGCTGACTAGTGGCATCGGCGCCTAGTATCAGGGAGCTTGTATCCTTATGACCTGAAGTGTTGGTCTGGGCCAGTTCTTCGGCAGATGGTGCCTGTTGCGCATGCTCTAGGCCCATTCCTCCGTAGAACCTTCGCAGGTCCCCCATGCGTTCATTATGTCTCTGCCGCGGCGTGTTTGGTGTGCGCATGTACTGAGAAATTGGCAATGGCTTCTCATAGTCATCTTCTATCGATTCATTCGATGCGCTGAATCCACTCGACCTGTCTGACAACGCGCGCACATGTCTATAAGAATTGGTGCCTCGTGGTGCTCCCGATCTTGTAGCCGGGGTCTGATAAGTTTTCAGTTGGTCGTCTTGCGTCTCCTGCTGCTGCCGTGACGGGCCAATAGAGTCTAGCGATGCACTGAGAAACTGCGACTCATCGTCACTGAGTTGAGTGCTGCCGGGTGCTCGAATCGGCGTGCCAGTAATAAAAATTGGTGCTCGCGGTGTCTGGTGAGGGTTGACTGTAGTTGCTGCTGCCAAAGCCTCTGAGCTGCCCTTAATTCTGTCTAGGATCCCAGTAGCACGGTGTGACGAGCGAATCCTTAGCACCGATTGTGTAGGCTCCTCGTCATTCTCCGCCTGCGCGCCCCGACTCCGTGAAATTGCAGTTGGAGTAGTTATCGATGCAATGTTGTCCATGAGCGACGCCAGGTTGCTCTCCTTTCCCCGTTTCGATGGAGACCCGGCGTCACTGTATTGGCTGCTGCGCCTTAGCAAAGACCCAGTCCCGTTAGACCTGGCTGGCGTCTGGCGCCTCTTTTGCCGTGAAATCGACTTTGCTGTCAGCTCTCCGAGCTTCTCTAATGCCATTGGCGTGCCTGGTGTGACACCCTGCAGCTCATGCTCGTCAGCCTCGTCGAGGAACATCGCTATATTGGTTGGGTCGTCACTGTCACTGTTGTTGTCACTGTTGTCAAATGCATTGTCGCCAAAGGAGTCGCTTGCATTTGTGCGCTCCGCAGGCTCTCTTAACGCTGCTTCAAAGTCGTTTATCGCGTCAGCTGGTTTCCGGGTGACCAAGCTATTCAAGAACTCCTCCATGTCCGACATGGGTGGTATCCGGGTGTATAACTACAAAAAGTGTACTAAAGCAAATAGTGCTTCATGACAACATGTCCAGACTCTTAAATACTGGACGATCACAAGTGAACAACGGCGATGAGCCGATCTCTCTCGAGCTGCGAGCTGCAGAATCGGCTCGCTCCTGATTGGTCCGTGAAAATTTTTCTCATCTTCTCAGCGCGCTGGCTGGGGTGGTTTATGCCAGCGCTGCCTGTGCATCGCCTGAATCCGATTCCTCCTCTTCTTTCCTCATTTCAATTTTCCTTCGCGGTTAAGAAAATCTAGTCAAAATGGGTCGCATGCACACTCCGGGCAAGGGTATCAGCTCCTCTGCCACTCCCTACCGTCGCACTCCCGCCTCGTGGGTCAAGGCCACTCCCGAGGACGTCTGCGACCAGATTTGCAAGCTCGCTCGCAAGGGTATCAACCCGTCGCAGATCGGTGTCATCCTGCGTGACTCGCAGGGCGTCCCCATGGTCGCTCCGATCACCGGCACCAAGGTCACCCGCATCCTGCGCGCCAACGGTCTGGCCCCCGAGATCCCCGAGGACCTGTACTTCCTTATCAAGAAGGCTGTCTCCGTCCGCAAGCACCTCGAGCGCAACCGCAAGGACAACGACGCCAAGTACCGCCTCATTCTCATCGAGTCGCGTATCCACCGCCTTGCCCGCTACTACAAGACCGCTGGCCAGCTCCCGCCCAACTGGAAGTAGTAAGTATCGCCCACTCTGTATATTGCCTGTGTATTTCTAGTGCCAGCGAAGCTGTGGACATTGCGCGGGTTTTGCAAACTGGAGAGCTGTCTGATGGGGCGCTCTCCTTCTCCGTTCAACGGCCTGGGCTCTGGTTCCTGGCCGGGAGAGCGCAGCACCTCTGGGTGCTGTGTGCGTTGCTTTGCTTGCCGATAGTCGTCAAGTGCATCTTGTCGCTAACTCTTGCCTGCGTTTTTCTGTTTCTTTTCTGTAGCGAGGCTGCCACCGCTTCGACCATCGTCTCTTAAGCAATCCTGCATTGCTTGTCAAGTTGCCAGTATGGCCAAGCACCATGGATGCCTCTTTGTTGTTGTTGCTTCTTGCCAATAAATGAAAGGTGTTCACATAGCTGCATTGTTGGAATTGCTGGCTGTGGTTTGTCAGAGTAGACGCGATGGTATGTGGTGGATATGTGCCAAGTAGAACACGCCTATCCCCACGATTGATGACTGCAGCTTGCAGGAACGCACATATCAGGAAGCCCCTCAGGACGAAGTAGCTAGGGGTCTGTGTTCTTCATTGCGTTGGCTGATATACCGCTGGGTGAGCAGAACGGTGCAATGTGGGCTACTACGGACAGCCTTTTTTGTTCGACCTACTGGGCATATGCGTGGTGCATGCCACCTCGCCCGTCACACCAAAGCAGCTCGTTTACACATGGCAATGCTGTCAGACCAGCTACTTGGGAATTAGCCTTGCTCAGCCCTTTCCAACATCTGCTGTTTCCCTGAGCTCATCTCCGAGTGTGCGATCCGCCAGACTGGCTGCGTGTGCTCCTGTGAGCAGGCGTGCAGCACATGTTTGCGACTGCTCAGGGCAATTGCAGCAGGATACAACCCTTCAGCATAATGGGCATGTTTAACAGCAACTCAGACAGATGTGCCTAATATATCCAGGCACTATAGAACGAGCATAAATGTGGGGTTGGTGTGCCGCCGCCATGGGAGCCACACTGGAATTATTAAGTCTTCTCCAACCTCTTCCAACCACGGACCCAGAGACAACCTTAACGACCTTGCCTGGCCGCTTATCATTCATTCACAGCATCCCCTACTCTCCTGTGCCAGGACACATCTCAATCATTCGATTTTACGACCTCACCGCGCTATCCGTCATTACTCTCGATATACACCCGCAGGCTCATCTATCTACAGTACGCCCCGCCGGTGGCCTTGATTCTTGACACACCAATTACTCTCCACTTAGCAGCACTAGGGCTTGATATGAATTGTTTACTTGACTCTGGGCTGCTAGTGTTTTCTCTTGATGCTCTTGAGACAATGAGGCTCTTCGACATAGGCAGGCGACTTCCCTTGCTCGACCTTCAACCACAATCTGATGAGAAACTATCGCTTCCCACCCTGACAGTTCTCAAACTTGGAATTGAAGACACATCAACATCCCAACTATCCGACCTTCTGTCAACTGCCCAAATTTACCATCCATACCCAAGGCTCTCAAGGCTACCGACTAGTCGTTCCGCTGGGGGTTGTCAAAAGTTGCATTCCTCGCTCACAGACGCACCAGTGAAGACATTGCAGATCAGCGAGAATCGCCGTGTGCTTGCACATATCGATACAACCACCATTTGCAGTATTGACAGCTTGTAGCTGTTCGCGATTCCTCCTGAAGATGATAGCCGGTGGGATGACCCCACATCCGCTGTAACTCGCTGCCATTCGGTAGAATCACGAGTGCGCAGGGCTGTTTTAGGTGGGGTTGTTCCTTTTCCGGTACAAATCAGTTGGCTAAACCTGGTGAGCCTATGTCTATACACAGATATTGCACCTGCATCTCACATTGGTCGTCTTTTGGAGCAGCTGTCGGTTCTGAATTATCTCCACATTTTGTGTGCATCAATGGACTGGCATGATCCTGGCAGTTATTTCTGGGAATCAGGCGACCGGCAGGCTGATATCTGTGCTGTTACAAGGCCAACTGTTCTCGATTCTGCTATAGCACTTGGCATCCAGAGTGCGCAAGATAAACGGCCTGCAGGCCCTTGATGTATGCTCTGTAAATAGAATCGAAGGCGATAAACTTTCCAAAGTCGCCTTTTCCTACCATCGGTGATGAGAGTCACTGCTAAGGCTGAGTTTGTCGATGCGATTAGAAACAGCCTGGAACGATTCCAGATAAATGTTTCGGTTTGCACAATTGCAGAAGCTGGCAAATATTTAAAATTACATCAGCAATGAATAAACAATTGCTCTGCTCGCGACGCGAGCTTGGCTGCTAGTCAGCATGGGTTGGCACGTCGATAAGAGCATCACGGCGAACCGGTCATTTGAACGTGTCGGATGGTTGTTGGTGCAATGGCGATCATGGACATCTCCCATCTTGATGGGCTGCTCAGCGTAGGCGCTTCAGCGCTGGTTCGCTGCTGCTGCCAGCAGAATCGCATGTTGTTGTACGCCTCTTGCGCGGCTCTTTGTTGCAGAGGTGGTGCCAGAACCATCGGCAGCAATGGCCGTAGAATGACGAAACCGTTCAGGAATTCTGCCTGAATCACAGAGTGACTGGAAAATGAGTCTGAAGTTTAGAACTGCTGCGAGATCGCGGTTCAAGAGTCGAGACAAATAGGCCCGCCTGTATTATGCCATGGCCCGCTTACGTGACTCGCTTGTACAGCGGAGAAGGCCATGGCACTTCACAGTTGGGTTCTTCGATCTCTGGTAGGGCCGCGGGTTGGGGAACATGCCGGAATGTCTGCAGCGACTTTTCGCAGCAGAACGTGTTGTAGGTCTAGAGCACATGGTAGGTGATGTAGGGCAAGAAGGAAAAAGAAATAAGAAACGAGTAGCGAAAAGATACCATATATGTGAGCATGTGTGTAACTTTTCGTGTAGCGCGGATTCTGAACAAGCTGTCAAGCGATGGTATGTTAATCCAGAAATGTGCGAGCGGTGTGAGCGTATCAGCAATAGAAAGTGACAGAGTCAAGGAATATATATTGATGAAGAAAGCTAAAGAGAAGTAGGAAGGGAGAGGCGAGCGCAAAGGTTTTATACCATCGCTCGGGTGGCACAGCCAAAAAAGAAGAAAAAAGGACAACAGGATGAAAAACTATGTAGTTCACAGTAATCGGATCTTGAGATTCTAACACTGGCAAGCCAGGTGCCAACAAGAGCCCTACTACAGCCTACACAATGGAAGTAACATCGGATCTCCGACAAGTTGCACAAACGGGTTGCATTGAAGGTACATCTCCGCAGCCCGTCTTTTCTCTTTCCTCTTTTCTCTTTTTTCTTCAATTCTAAATATCACCTTTAAATATCCTTCTCGCATTTATCAGGACGCAACAAGCTTAAAATAGCAGGTATGCTTTGGATCAACCAGCTGTATGATAGGTCAGTCTGGCATCACTACAAACACTCCTTGTTTCATAATTTACAAAATATCATCGGATCCTAACACTACCGCATACACACATTGAATCAAAAATTATTTATGAGTTGCGGTGGCTGCCTCAAGTTTCTAAGTCCAGTTACATAAAATAATCCACCAAGGGGGATTAGAAAAACTACAATCGACCTTATTTATGATATTGCACTAATGTCATCTCGTATGTAACCGACCAGCAAATATGCTTTCCACATGAAGCTTAAAAGTACCCGAGTAGCAAACATAGTTTTAGGTTCACCTCAATGCTCCTCAACATTGGTATAGTACTATTTCTTGGTTGCATAGTTTGTACTTCTTTCTTACACTTCGCCAACTATTAGCGATCGTGAAGTATCACAAGACTAGTATAGCTAAATATATCTTATCATATATTGAACACAATCGCGAGCATACCGCCTCCCTTGTATATACTTTATGAACTAGGACTGGTCCAATCGTGTTGACATTGGAATGCCTGATCCACTCCCACGTCACCATGCCAACAACCAAACCACATAAAATCAGACCTAAGGCCGATTGGACCCTCCCCTTTTTCCTTCAGCTAATCTTGTTTCACCTTTTATTCTGCTCACATACACGCTCGTAAACACTCGTCCCATCCCTAAGGTTAACAAATAGAAACACGCAATGTTGTCATTTTGTCATTGGCAAAAAGTGTTAAAATCGCACCTTGACCCCAGGTAATATCATGGAGCTATTACTGTAAACGACTTTCTTGACTCATGGAATTTCTTAATCGTTTGAACTCATGGTCCGAAATGTGAGGGGGGTTTGGAAGGGTGATGTTTTTTTTCTAATTGAGAGCCTATGTATACTTTCCGCATGACTGCTGGGCTACAGGACGGGTGAACAAATAGGTGGTTCATGAGACCACCTCGTGCAATATCCCAATTACAAACGGACAGCACCTTCTCTGCTTGATTCAGACTAACTTTGGAATAAGAACTGAGGCATTTACAATTGTGAGAGGTATTACCTGATTGCACATGTATCCTTCAAAAGTTCATGCTGTAACATATGTATTCCATGTTTCAGGATTCGCCAGTGTTTGGCAAATGTACCACAGGTATGTTAGCACTCGACATCCAGTATGTAAAAAATAATTGCTCTTATTGAGTGTGCTTCTTGCGCTTGCTCGACTCGATTGGTGTGTTGCTGACCTCGAACTGGCATCCTCTACTGCGAAGCCGAGAGAGCAGGGCATTGCCCATGATGATTGAAGGCGGGTACACTCCTGGCTTGAATGAGCTGTCGCGGTCCAGTGCCAGACACAGTGCACTCTCGCCCAGATATTTGATGGTCTCACCATAACCCGGGTCGCTGGTGCCCACGACCTTGCCGTACACGGCGCTACCCTCATCGGTGAATCCTTCCAGACTCAGTGTGAAATGCCCCTTCCTTGGTTGCCCGCTCACTCGGTCCACTCCCGGGCCGAGGAATGATGCTGAGCGCAAACAGAAGATTGCGAATGAAAGCTGAACAGCATCAAGAATGCAAAATATGCCAAACCAATGGGCACTAGTACTGCATGGATGACGTTATATGCCGACATGGACTCGCTGTAGGTGAATCGCGGACCGTAGTTGAGAACCTGACCAGCCCACCCAGCAACGCGATTGTTGACTTCACCCATGATCCAGAATGTCTGCCAGCGCTTGACATGATTATCATAGTGGATCATGCTGCGGTTGAATGTCGGGTTTCTGAGGGTCTTTTCAGTGTCTGTGGACTCTTCGCTGCCCAGGAACTTTTCAGACAGGATGGTCTTGAAGTCGCCAATCTGCTCGATGGCAGTGGCCAATGTTCCACCGCTAACTCCACCACGCACCCTGGTAATTGAGCCCTTGACGTGAAGCAGCGGCTTGTCCAGCTTCTGCTTCGCATATTCAGCCAGCATGAAGCAACCAATGTCGGCCGGAATGCTGTCGAAACCACAGAACGACGCAATGTGAACCTTATTACGAACAGCCTTGTCGTTCAGCTCGTCGTGCATTTTCTTGACCCACGGTACCTCGCCAGTGATGTCACAGTAGTCAGTCTTTTCCTCAACGCAGGCACGGACCAGCTCTGACCCGTGCAGCGCGTAAGGGCCAACCGTTGTCGCAACAACCCTGGTCTGTGCAACAATCTCACGGATGCGCTTTTCGTTGCTGACACTGCCGACCAGGACGTCCATAGACTTGACCCGGTCCTTGAGTTCAGGGTTATTGGCAATGATCCGGCGCTGGGTGGCCTCGACCTTGTACTCGCTGCGACCACCTACGGCGATCTTGACATCTTCGGGTGCGTTCTGTGCCAGGTAGGTGATAAGCCGGGCTCCGGTGAAGCCTGATGCGCCCCAAATGAGGATATCTTACTTGCGCGACGAGTCCATAGTTTTCAGTAACGAAAATTAAATAGGAGGGCTGAAAAGAGGGAAAGATGGTGTCGAGTGTGTTCAAGCAGGGGGAGAGGGCGAAACTCGATCTGGGCTGCCTGCTTTTTGTACTTCCCCCCAATTCTTTTGTGCACGCGGCCCGGCAGTTGTGGCCGCTCTCCGCTACGGCGGTTTCCTCGCCTCCGAGAAGTGAGCGAGGAGAGATGGGGCAGCACAGTAACTGGAAATATACTTGAATATTGAGTAGCGGTAACATGTGAAATTATTACAAGTTCATCCTGGTAGTAGCTGCCTGCAGCAAGACTACCTTTAGTCAGTGTCGTCTCTAGTCGATTTTGCCGAGACTAGACCCCTGCTATCTTAGGTGGCCATGGGCGGTAGCTTTCGAAACTAGCAGCATATATCTGCATGGCGTCGCTAGAACTATTGGCAATATCAGTAACCAGCCTATGCATACAGCGGCTGGGGGCAGACAGACCACCACTTGCTGGTGGTTGCTCTATGCGCACTTGTCAGTTCCTACACAGGCCACAAAGGAAGTGAAGTGGGCTACCTAATCAGAGTCATATTTCTTCTTAAAGATCCATGAGTTGCCAAACACTTCGTGCCCTTGCTTGTGTGCAAGGCGGTAGTAATGTGCAGCTTTCTTCTTGTCGCGCTTGACACCGTCGCCAGACTCGTAACAGGCAGCCAAATCAGCCTGGGCATCGGCGTCGCCAAGTTCAGCGGCAATTTCAAAATAGTACGCTGCGGTCTTCTTGTTGCGCGACACGCCCCACCCCTGGCGGTAGCTCTGGCCGAGCTCATAGATGGCCATTGCCAGCTCCTCCTTGGCCATACCGGCGACGGCCGGATTCATGTCCTTGACGCTGGGGATAACGAGCTCGCCTGCCTTTTGCAGGTACAGGAACGCAATCTTCTCGTTTGGCTGGCAGCCCCAGCCATGGCGCAACGACAGTCCATAAAACAGCATGCCGAGGGGACTGTGCGCGTCGGCGGCCTTCTTGAAATACGCTGTGGCACTGACAAAGTCGCCTTCCTCGTGGAAATTAACCTGCCGTTGAAAAGTACTCGTCGGCCAGCTCCTCTGGTGACTTGGGCTTTACCTCTTCCTTCGGCTTGCCGCGGCCCGACAGTGATCCAGGGAGCTGCGGCATTGCGGGTCCTGCTCCTGGTTCTTGCCGGCCGAACGCAGAAATGCCTCCCGGAGGCATGTGGCCATCGGTGCTGTAATAGCTGTCGAGGTCATGGCGCTGCGCATACGCTACCCCACGCGACTGCTGGGCCATGTACTGATAGCGAGATGGTGCGGCCTGCGCATAGTCTCCATCGGCAGCGTGTTTTGAGCTCACTGTGCCAGACATCCCCGGGATCGACGATGTCGAATGGTAGCTGGCAGCATCGTCAAAGTCGTCATGGGGGTCATCCAAGTTGCCACGTTGTGGAATAACCATGGCCTCGTTGTAGAGGCCTGGCGGCGACACTGGCGATGCTGGCTGGGGCTGGAACTGCTGCTGGCCAGGCTGTGGCGACAGATAGTGCTGTTGTGATGGCTGCTGGTACTGGGACGAGGGCTTCCGTGCAATGCTATTGTTGGCGAGTACATGCTCATACCGTCATCATACTGTTGCGCCTGGTGCTGACGGCCATGGTCCATCCTGGCTGCCTCAATGCCTGCATCGAGATAGCGCTGTGGGGAGGCCGCCTGGTTAGCGTCCGCCTTCGGCTTGGACCGCGACATGGTCCGCTTGAAGAAGCTCATTTGCAATGCCTCTGCTTGATGTGAAGTACAAATATGGAGCCGAGTGGATGGATGAGTGAAAAATGGGGGAGGAATGGAGGGAGCAGTGGGAGGCGGTATTAATACAATGAATAGCTGGCTTTGAGAACAGAGGACATGCTCTGCCAGAAAGAAAGAGGTATGCAGCGAGACTGGCCGGCGGGCCCAACGGCCTGTTGTTGTCGATCGCTGGGATCAGACGTGGGATCAAGGCTGGCGGATCAAGGGCCAGTTCGCCTAGTGCGTAGACACAGGGCAGAGCGAAAAAGTTATTGTAAACAGAGGTTCAGCTCATTTCAATTCGCACACACTAGTCTTACAAGCCTCAATCAGTCACAGTATGCCCAAGAGGACACAGCAGCCAAGCGCAGACACGATCTCGTCGCTGCGGTCGGTGATACCGGGGATATTCGACGCGGCACAGCGCAACAGCACAGGGCTGCGCAAGCACGCTGTGTCTCTGCGCAAATTGCAGGTGCAATGCCACGAGTTTGACAAAGCAGAGCTGACTGGCGAAGCCGCATTCAACAAGGAAATAATCCGCAACCTGAACAAAATGCTGGCGGTTAAGAAACGCGAGCCCAGCGCAGACCGCGTCGTCAAGCTGCTGGCGACGTTTGTGCAGGTCAGCTACGAGAAAGACCAGCAGGCAGCAGCAAAGGAAAAGGCCCAAAAGGACAAGGACGATGTGTTTGGAGGTGACGACGACGACGAGGATGAGGACTCTGTATCATCGCGGTTCGTTGAGCTCCTGATCCGGTACTTGCTGCAGGGGTTCCAGGCGAAGGAGAAGATGACACGGCTTCGGTGCTGCCAGATCGTAGCCATGTCAGTGACTTGTTTGGGTGAGATTGACGAGGAGCTGTATTTCGACTTGATCAAGAAGCTCAGCGAGCGCATCCGCGACAAGGAGGCGGGGATTCGCGTGCATGCAGCGATTGCGCTTTCCAAGCTGCAGTCGGGCGAGGACGCCGAGGGCGGCGAAGTCACGGATTCGTTGCTGAACCTCATGCAGCATGATCCGAACGCAGAGGTGCGGCGGGCGGTGCTTCTAAACATTGAGAAGAACACGGCCACCCTGCCGCTGGTGCTGGAGCGAGCGCGCGATGTCGATGCGACCAACAGAAAGTGCCTGTTCTTGAAAGTCATGCCGTCGCTCGGACTACCGGCTGCTCAGCATCGAAGACCGCGAGCGGCTGCTGACAGCCGGAGTCAACGATCGAGACGCCAATGTCAAGCGAGCGTGCGTGCGCATGATTGGCGAGAGCTGGCTGACGTATGCGGACCAGAACCTCCTGGAGCTGACAGCAGCGCTGGATGTGGTTGACAGCCCCAATGCAGCCAAGGTCATGCAGGCGCTATTCACGGCGTATCCGGAGATCCCAGAGAACCTGCAGTTCGACGAGGAGCTGTGGAACAACCTGTCGCCGGAGATGGCGTTTGTGATCCGGTCGACCCTCGAGTTTTTCAACGAGCGCAAGGACACGGACCGCATGGACCAGCATCTGCCAGAGGCAATGAAGCTGGCGCAGCTGATGGAGGTGTTTGGCGCCAAGCTCGAGGCAGCGACCGACGATGAGTCTCGGCCCGACATTGAGTTTGTGATCCACCAGCTGCTGCTGATCGCAAAGATGTCCGACTTCCCCGACGAGCTCGGGCGGCGGGAGATGCTGACGCTGATGCGCAAGATGCTGCTGGTGCCGGAGATTCCCGAGAACAACATCGAGGCTATCGCCGACATTATCCGCAAGCTGTCGATCAACGAGCAGGACTTTATTCGCATCATGGTCGAAGTTGTGTCGGATGTGCGCGAGCTGGGTGCTGCCAACGAGCCCGAAGACGCAGAGAATGCCCGGCTCGAGGCACTGCTGGTCAGCATCAAGTGCCTGATCATCATCAAGTACATTCTGCAGCGCTGCTTTGACGCGCTGTCAGAGGGCTCGTCCATGTACGGTCTGCTCACCGAGTGCGTGGTGCCTGCCGTGCAGAGCTCCGAGAGCGTTCTGCAAGAGTACGGTATCGAGTGTCTGGCGCTGTGCTGCTTGCTGGACAAGAATATGGCGGTCGACAACATCGGCTTGTTTGCCCAGGCAGTGCGCCAGGGGGCTGGTGAGCTGCACACAAAGGGCCTGGCGGCAATGCTGGATCTGTCGTTCTTGTATGGCGTGCGTGAGCTGGCGCCTTCGGTTGGGTCGGTCGAGGAGTTCATGGAGGTGCTGTATCTGGAGCTCGAGAGCGAAAGTTTGGCTGTGCAGGCGACTGTCGCCGAGGGCATTGCACGGCTGCTGTATGCGCGCCGAATCCCCGAACCCGCTGCTGTTCTTGAGGAGCTGCTGGTGTTGTACTACCACCCATCGACAGTCAACAACTACAGGTTGCGCCAGTGCCTGACCTATTTCTTCCCGGCATACAGCTACATCACTCCAGAGAACCAGCAGCAGATGCGCGACGTAGCTATCGAGGCCATCTGTCGCCTGAGCAATCTCCTGAAGCAGACCGCAACCGCCGATGCCCAGAGCACCGCCACGCCCGGACAGGTCGTGCAGCAGCTGGTCGCCTGGACAGACCCCCGTATCTTCGAGGCCATCTATGCCATGAACAATAACGCGCCTATTCGCTCGACAACACGCATGGACGGGTTTGTCAAGCTGGGCATCGACGCACTGAAGCGCACATTCCGTGCCCCGCATAACACCCGCAAGGTTCTAGTGCAGATGCTCAACAAGCTGGGGCTCGACGATGCGACGCCAATGATCCAGACGCAGGAGCTGTTTGTGCTGGCGCGCGCATTGGCCGACAAGCAGCTGATCACCGACATGATCACCAAAAACGCCCTGCATCGCTTCGAGACGCTGCTTCTGAAGCTGCTTGATGTTGACAAGGTAGAGGATGCTACCATGGAGGCGTGGAGGGAGGAGCCCGAAATGGCGAGTGTCTTTGAGTTCCTTGCTGTCGTGGAGACGGAGTCGCCGGAGCAACACAACTTTGACATCGACGGTGTCAGTGCCAGTGATTCTGAGTCGGATGAAGATGCACCAGTACCGCCCAGGACGCCTGTAACACGCAGAGCTGCAGCTCTCTCGATGATAGATGACGGCACACCATCGTATCACAGTCCTATGAAGCTTGCCAAAGAGGCACGTATCGAGGAGATTACGCGCGATCTTGACAATTTGCTCTCCGCATCATCCGAAGATGAGGACGATGAATCCGACGAGGATGTGTATCAAGAGTAATCGAGTGTTTTTATAAATAAACTGGGGTGATGAATATAATGACAATATGAAGCATCTGTGAGCATGAAGGATGGCCAAAGGCTTGCTGTCTAACAAATAGTGGTATTTCTTGTGTTGAAAAAGGGCTAAAAGCTAAGCTTATGCCTTGTACAGGGTGTCGATAAAGCGGTAGGCGATCTCGTCGACCAACGACGAGTCAGGCACCGTCGAGGCAAAGCCGTAGAGGGCCTGCGATCCCTTCTTGTAGTTGTCTGGGTTTGCCTTGACAGTGGCAACAGAGTCCGTCAGATCACGGATAAACTCGTCGGCGACAGGCACGGTCAGGCGGGTGCAGGCCAGATGCAGGGCTGCAGGGTACTGCAGGGGGCTGAGGTCCCAGCCGCGCTTCTTCATTTCATCGAGGACGCCAAAGATGCCAACTGGCTCGTGTGCCGAAAACGCGACGACAGAGGACACGGGGTTGCCGATAATGTAGAGCTCAGGGATCTGCTCAATGGCGTTCTGGATCTTGACGCGGCAGCCAACAATCTCCTTGCACTGCTGGAGGTATCCGTCCTTGCCCATCTTGGTGAGGGCGGCCCAGGCACCGGCAATGACGGCGCCGCAGCGGGAGCCAGCGATCGTGGGCGAGGCGTAGATGCCGCCAGGCCAGGTGGCGATGGAAAAGTACTGGTAGCGGCGGATATGCTCGTTGCGGTACATGACCACGGAGGTGCCCTTGGGAGCGAACCCGTACTTGTGGGTGTCGCAGGAGATCGAGGTGACGCCGGGCAGGCGGAAGTCGCACGGGACCTCGGGGAAGCCGGCCTCCTTGAGGAACGGCATGATGAAGCTGCCGAGACAGCTATCGACATGGAACCCGATCTTGTATTTAATGGCCATCTCACTCATTGCCTTGAGATCGTCAGGCGACGCCGTGCGGGTAGTTGGCGGAGGAGCCGGCGATCATGATTGTGTTGGAGTCGATGGCGCGACGCATGGATGCGCAGGATCGGCCTGGCCGGTGGTTGGGTCGACGGGCACGTGGGTAATGCCGATGCGGAAGTACTCGGCAGCCTTATCGAAGGCGGCATGGATGGTCACAGGCACGACAATGTTCGGGATCAGTGATTCCGCGCTCCTCGCGCGCCCACACCAGGTGCGCACGCACCGCCATGATGATGCTCTCCAGTGCCGCCCGACGTGGTGGTTCCGCAGCAGCCGTCGCCATTGTACAGATCCAGCACCATCTGCACGACCTCGGCCTCGATGCGGCGCAGGCCCGGGAACACTCCCGGGTGCAGCGGGTTGGACAGATTGAACATGCCGTAGGCCTGGTTTGTCAGCTTAACCATATCCTCGCCGCCATGGTAGACAGCGCCCGACGCACGGCCCTTCTCCCACTCAATGCCGGCCTCGTGCTGCCGGCGCTCCAGCACCGCTAGGATCTGGTCGTCGGCCATGCCAGATTCGGGGATCGTCAGGTACCGCGACTCGCCGGGGATGTCTGCGATCATGCCCTTTTCGATATCGCGGGCGATAGCCTCGATGTTGCGCTGCACTACGATGCCAGGTGCCAGGGGCCCGGCGGATGTGGCGCAGGAGAGGCGCCGGCGATTTCGCGGAACATGGCCGAGAAGGTGCTGCGAATGCCGTAGATGGTTACGCGCTTGCCGAGGCGCTAGGACTTGGCGCAGGGCGTAGTAGGCGAGGACCACGTTGATGAAAGCCTGCTTGGGGTTGTTGGCGGTGTAGACAGCCATTGACCGCCAGTCGACCTTGCTCAGAGTGCTGAGGACCTGCGTCATGGTTGCTGTGTCGATGGCTTTTGGCAGTGGGAGAGGAGTATCAAATTAGAGGGTTCTGTGAGAGAACGAGAAAGAGACGTGGGGTGGGAGGTGTGGGCCGCGTGGGAGGGAGTAAGGGGTGTTTATAAGGAGTGCGGAGTTGGGAGAAGCCCGCTGCGCTGCTTTTGGACAAGGCGAGTGTGCTGCTGTCGTGTTCCAAGAAGCAAGTGGGGCAAGCAGTGGATTAGAGGTGGTTTTAATTGAGTAGCGATCAGGCGATCATTGCCAGCAGTTTTCGGGATATGCAGCAGCAGCTGAAATGCAGAGCAGCACGCTCCTTTATTCCGGGCACAGGTACGTGCAAGCGTGCCTCTTTTGAATAAAAGCGATATATTGGGAGATTATAGCGGTGTTGAGACTAGTCCTCAGCGGAGCCGTCGCGCGGGTGGTATGTGAATCCGCGCTGGGCCAGTTTGTCTTCAATGTACTCGGGGATGCGGCCCGTGACATGGGCGGCGTAGACCCCAGGGACAAAGCTGTCTACAGCAATCGCAAACAAAGGCAGTAGGAATTAGTCATATGTGCACTAGGCTGCATGTGTGAAGGTCACAGGGGCACGGGAACTTACTGATGTGCGAGAACTTTGCGACCCAGCTGGCGTCGGGCTTGAAGAGGGCGACGCAGCCGTCGAATGTGCTGCTGGTGCAGTCGGTTACCGTGTCGGGGTGGCCGCGCATTTTGATGTAGGTTTCGCAGTTGTCGCAGCCGCGGTCGCGGAACATGTGCTGGTTTTTGACGAAGGCCGCAGATGAGGCAGGCGCGCAGCTGGCGTTTGTCCTGGGGAACGATGGAGGCCATTGTGAAGGAAGATATCGAAGGTATTGGAAGAGGGAGAGGTGTCCTGTGCCCGGGGTGGCATCACTGGCTGTATATTTCGATGCGATGGGCGGACGGGTGGGTGTTGTGGGAGAATGGGCTGTGGGTGCGGTGATCAAGAGCGTGTGTTGACTGCGGTGTAGCCATTTGTGGCTGGCACTTCATGGCGTGGATTGCATACAGGCCTGCTGGCTGGGGGAGGGGGCGAATGGACACGATCAGCACATGTGGGGTGTATGCGAGAAGGTGTGAAGGCAATGTGTAGAACATAGATCGTGGCAGCAGATGGTGATCAGAGCCGGCTTGATCACTAAAAAAATTTGAGCTCAATTTTTTTCCTCAGTAGCTGGATCGGTTTTTTTTTATTGAAAAACAGTTTTCTTCCTCTCCTGTGCAGGTTTTTGCTTCCACACTTTATATAATAGACGGCACATACATATTACAAATTGCAATGCAGGTCCACCGGTGTCGGTTCACAGACTACGTGCCGCAGGCAATCAATGCGATGGAGTTCACACCGCGGACATGGAAGTGGCCGCTGCTGGCAGTTGGGCGGGGCAACGGCGACATTGAGCTGTGGCGGGTGAAGCGCAACCTGGTGTACGAGAAGACGATCCCGGGAGTGGTGAACGGCTCGCTGGAGACACTGGCGTGGGCACACCAGACGGAGCTGACGCAAGACGATATGGAGCTGTTTGACACGAAGGAAGAGCAGGCGCGGGAGCGGGAGCGGCTGCGCAGCAGCAGCCCGCGGCTGTTCTCGGCGGGACTGAATGCGGTGATTGTGGAGTGGGACCTGGCAACGCTGACGCCGCGACGCGCAGTGGACTCGTATGGCGGAGCAGTGTGGTGCATGGCAGTGAACAACGCGCAGACGCAGCTGGCGGTGGGCACGGAGGACGGACATATCCGGATCTTCGACATCGCAGGCGGGGAGCTGGCGTACGTGCGGTGCTACGACCGGGTGCGCAGCCGCATCCTGGCAGTGGCGTGGGGGGCAGATGACGCGACGGTGGTGACGGGATCGGCGGACGGATCGGTGCGGGTGTGGGGTGCGGACGGACACGTGGCCACGCGCATGACGGTGCCCAAGGAAGGGGCGGAGGCGACGCTGGTGTGGGCGGTGGCAGTGCTGCGCGACGGCACAGTTGTGTCGGGGGACTCGCGCGGCCACGTGATGTTCTGGGATGCGGCGATGCGGGTGGTGCAGCAGGACTTCAAGGCCCTGGGCGCCGACGTGCTCAGCCTGGCAGTGGACCGTGCGGGCCATACGGTGTTTGCGTCGGGCGTTGATCCGAAGATCACGCAGTTCCGGCTGTTCGTGGGTGGGGCCGAGGCCACAAACACGACGTCGATGGCGCCGCGCAAGTGGCAGCTGACGGGGTTCCGGCGGTACCACACGCACGACGTGCGGGCGCTGGCGCTGGAGACGAGCAAGGGTGTCAATCTGCTGGCGTCGGGCGGTGTCGACACGCAGGTGACGGCCATGCGGGCCCGCAGCTTCCCCGACCGTGCGCCGCACCGCCAGCCGTGCTTCCCGCCGCTCAGCACCGTGGCCAGCGTGGCTCCCCAGGCTGGACTGGTGCTGCAGCGCCAGGGCGCCCAGCTCAAGGTGTGGGCGCTGGGCCAGGCTGCACCGCTGGCTCCGGCGCTGGCCGAGCAGATGGAGAGCGGCACGGCGGTTGCAGCGCCAACGCCCGCCGATCTGCTGCGCATGGACGTCAAGACTCGCACGTCGCTCACGTGCAGCGCGATCTCGGCCTCGGGCCAGTTCATCCTGGCGTCCGATGCCGTCGGCCCCAAGCTGTTCCACGTGGCCGGTCTGCAGCCTGGCAGCGACCGCGTCCGCGTCAAGCGTGTGCGCTGCTTCCCGCCTGCTGACTTTGTGCCGGCCGAGTCGGCGAACCGCGGCGTGGTGCAGGCGCGGTTCACGTCGGACGAGTCGCGTGTGGTGCTGGCGACGGCTGACGCGTACGTGGTGGTGGTGGATGTGTCGCAGTGGCAGCAGGGCCGCACGGTGACCGAGCGCCGGCTGTGCGCTCACCGCTGCACTGAGGCCGAGACTGCGGCTGATGCGCTGTGCGATGACGGTGTGCCGACGCATGCGGGCCGCGCGCGCAAGCAGGCGGGGGCTCTGGCGCCGCTGCGCACGATTGTGCATATGGCGGTCTCACGTGACGACACCCTGGTGGCCACTGCCGACACCGCGGGCACCGTAGCTGTGTCGCGGCTGGACGGCTCGCAGCAGCTGGTGGTGCCGCGGCTGGGCCAGGGCAGCGCGTGCGTGACGGCTTTGGGGTTCAGCCTGGCCAACCACGTGCTGCTGGCTACCAGCGACAACCGCATCTACGCCTGGGACGCCCACGCGCAGCGTCTGACGCCCTGGTCGCAGCAGTACTCGGACGCCCACATCCCGCGGCCGTTCCGCGAGCAGGACTGCTGCATTGCGGGCTTCCTGGTGAACCCAGCCGAGCCGCAGTGCGTCTATGCCTGGGCCACCACCCATATCACGCGCATCGACCTGTCGCAGGCCCCCGGCCCGCGCGAGACTCTGCTGAACATCCACAAGCGCAAGCAGATTGAGCAGGAGATCATTTCCCGCGTGGTCGAGGAGAAGGACGTGGCCCGCCGCCGGCTCGAGCGCCAGCACGCGAAGCGCGTGGCCAAGCTGCCGGCCGAGCTGTCGATGGAGGAGCGCGCCGATGCGCTGGAGCGCGACTGGGAGGAGACGGTGGTGGCGCGTCTGCGTGAGGCCGGCATTGATGTGCGGCAGCCGAACAACTTCCGCATGACGCAGCGCTACCAGAGCCTGATGGCCGCCGAGTTCCTAGCCGACGACGCCATGGTGGTGGTCGAGCGGCCCTGGATCGACGTTGCTGCTGCTCTGCCGTCTGCCTACCACCGCCGCCGCTACGGCCAGTAAAACCGACTATCTTTTTATTTCCCTAAAACACAATCCCAAAGAAAGCACATATTCCAGTCCAGGAAGGCAGCGGCAGTGCTAGTGTAGCAACCGAGGTTCCCTCCAGCATCCTCCACACAGCACTACCCTAAACCAGCCACGCATCTATTCTGATTGACCCCTTCCCTTGCAATAGCTACTACCAAGCGCTAGCCTCTCGCTCCAGTCTTCTGTTATAGGCTCAGGCTTCAGGGTTTCTTTAAACCTAGACCTGCTACATCCAGTGCCGGCTATGTGCACAGTGCTACGTGTGAATGCTTGTCTCTGGCCCGACTGCGTGCTGGGTTTGGCTGGCTGGCCCATCTGCCAAGCGGTGGGCGGCCTGGTGGCTAGGCGAAACAGGCTTCGCCTTCTATTTCTCTGATTTGCATCGCCCAAGCCTTGTTTTGTAGCTGAGTTTTCTGCTGCAAGTGGCGCTTGTGTTCCAGTCACACAGGCTTTGCCTCAGCGATGCACCTCCCAGGCTGCACTTCTTGTTCTTCTTTCCTGCAGCAATTTCAATTCAACCGCTTTTTACATATTCTTTTTTCTTTCGCAGAGCCGCTTACTTCAAATGGAGCCAGTATTGAATTGGGATACCCAGCGCGTGGTCCGCTGGTTCAGCCAGAACGGCTTCCCCGGTTACGACACTGCTCTGAAAGGTAAGCACCTGGCCGTTCTCGCCAGCCTACTGCTGGACCAAAGAGTCCCCCTCTTCAGCATTACTTCCATGTACCCCCTCCCAACATGCCTACTGACCCTCCCCGTCATCTGATTTCTGCTTGTAGACAACGAAATTGATGGCCAGGTGCTGGTCAACCTGGACCACGAGTCGCTAAAGGACCTGGGCATCCGAGCGCTGGGCAAACGCATACTAGTGCTAAAGTCCATATATTTCCTGAAGCTGCAGCATGACATCCCAATAACGACCGATAGCTACGTGCCGCAGACCGTGGACGTTGGAGCCCGACTCGGTGCGCACCTCGGCGCAGCGCCGCCCGCGGCAGCAGATCGAGCAGGAGGTGTCACGCATGATGGACGACATATACTACCTGACCAGTGAGCTGACGAACATGCGGAGCGACCTGCAGCGCGTGTTCCGTGCGAACGTGCTGGCGAAGCCGCTGCCGGCATTGGCCGACACGACGAAGCCGAAGACGCTGAATTTGGCGACACCGGCGCCGGCGTCGCCGCAGAATGCGAGTCCGCAGGCGCAGACGCCCGTGACGCCGCATATTCGCGTCTACGGCGACAACGCATTGCAGCGGGAGAACGAGTCGTACAAGAGCTTCCGCATATCCATCGACGATCCGTGCAGCCGCGTGCTGCCGCATGCACTGAAGAAGTACCATATTGACGACGACTGGCAGAACTACACGCTGTGTATTCAGTACGGGAAGAGCCAGGGGAAGGGGAAGAAGATCGAGCGCAGGCTGAACCTGGATGAGCGGCCGCTGCGTCTGTTCCAGCAGCTCAAGGATGCGGGCGAGGAGCCTGTGTTCGTGCTCAAGCTGGTTAAGCCCGGTGCGTCGCCGAATGCCCTGGCGGACTCGCCTTCCGCCAACCAGCTGTACATGTCGGGAGCTGCCCGCGATTCGTCGGTCAGCTTGTTGTCAAACAACGAGCGCAATGCATCGTCCACCTCGCTCGATACTGCTCTGCAGGCCTCTGCTGTCAGCCAGACCTCGACCACGCGGACTATGAGCTCGTACCTGGCCACGCCCAACAAGCATGGAGGAGGCGTGCTGGATACCGCCAGCACAATACACACATAGATGGCCATGTGGAGCTGCTCCTTGCACTGCGCTTGGGCGTTTCCTTTGCACATAGTAAACCTCCGATGTAAAGCGTAGGCATTCGGGCCTCTTGCCTTTCGCTGGCAGGGGAGTGGGGCTGCGGAATGTCCTCGAAAAGTGCGATTTGTATTCGGTTAAAGTAAAAAAAAAAGTTTTGCTGCTGCAAACCGTCTCACGAAATAAAGTCCATCGGGTTCGCCGGCAAGTCATCGGCTGTCAGAATCGCCTGCTTCCACGCATTCAGCGCCAGCGTGTGGTGCTTGATCTGCTCCTCGACCATGCGGTGATACAGCGTCTGCAAAAAGCTGTCGTAGCACCTGTACTTTGCCAGCTCCTGGTAGAACCGCACCTCCACGCACCTCTGCTCGCCCTCGAGTCGACTCAGCTCATTCATGTCCTCCTGCAGCGTGCGCTCGAGCCGCTCGGCCGCTGCTCTGTCAAACGACACCGGCGTGGCAGTGCCCGACCCGCTCGGCGACCTGCCCGTCATCGCATCAAGCGCCTTCTGGCTGACCTCGGCGCGCTCATTGACGCGCTGGATCTCCTTGCGGCGGTCGGCCAGCCGCAGCCTATCCATCAGAAGCTTCATCGCCACCACAATATCATACAGCCTCCGCAGGTGCTCCGCCGAGATGGTCTTGATGACCTCGCCCTCGGACTTTTCAAGCAACGACGCGTCGCCAAAGTTCATCGACAGCTCGTTCAGGTTGCTGTCGAGCCGGCGCTTGCCCGCAGTGTGTCGGTGGAACTGCGGGTCGCCGGTGCGGCTCTCGCCCGGCATGTTGCGGGTGCGCAGTGTGTCGCTGTATGCATAGAGTTCGTCGCCGATCGCCTGCTTGTAGCGCGCGATCTTCTCCAAGGCCGTGATTTGCGTGCGGCAGCGCTCCTCGTCGCGCATTATGCGCTGGTAGTAGTCCTCGAAGGACTGGTACGTCTGGTTAACCTCCGACAGCGGCGTGTTGCCGGCCTCGTCCTTGGCGTCGAACTGCTCCGCGTCCTGGTCGAAATTGCCAATCTTGACGATCCGCGAGAACTCGTCGGTGTTGCTGAAAAACTGGATCACCAATGGGTCGCGGCTCAGGAACGGCGTGCGCTGGATTGCACACGCAAAACGCGTCAGACCCTTTATCCGGTTGTCTAAAAATTGCCGGTCCACTAGCGGGAGCCACGTAATAGTAAACCAACAAAGGCGGGTTAATGTCGTTCAAAAGAGAAAGGCGGGGATACAAGGGGTTTAAAAAATCTGGATGTTTGGAGTGAGGGGGCAACGTGTGTGAGCAACAAGACATAGTTCGCGTATATACAAAACAGGCAGCAACACATCATGGTTTTCGGTGACTTTACCTGGAAAGCCCTTGGGCGGAATGTTTGGCAGTATCCGGTACGGGTAGCGCTTGACGAGGTAGTTGGAGATCCAGAAGAAGTCATTGTACCGTCTCACCACCATCGCTCCAAAGCTGCGCGTCGACACCTCGTAGTTTGTGTGCTTGAACACCAGCCCGCCCTTCTCTGCCGACTCCTGGATCTTGACATCCTCCAGGTCCAGCTGCCACTGCACTGCCTCCATGTTAATCGTCGGCACACTAACCGCCCCGGTATTCGCGCTGCTAACGCTCGCCCGCCCATTGCTCTCCGCCGACCGCTCCTTCTTCACCGCCGCGCCATCCGAGCCCGCCACTGCCGAATCCGAAACCGACACCGCCCCAATCGCTGCAGTCGCTGTGCCAACAGCAGCCGCCTTTGTCTTGGTCACTGACGACCAGGGGTCGCCAGAATCGTCTGGGAACGCTGCACCAGCTGCCACTCCGCTGACCGCACCAGCCGCCTTTGCCGCAAACTCCTGCAGCCCGGAGATGTCGGGCAATGGAAGGTCGTCCTTGTGGAAGGCCACGGATTCGAGCGTCGGCGACATGTTCTTCTGCGCCATCGCCGCCATTGCCAGCGCCAGGTTGAAGTCCCGCTGCGTCAGAATGCCCCCGCCGCCGCTCGGCTCCGCTGTCATCAGAATGCGGCTGATGCTCTCGCGCGGAATGTCCGTCATGCTCAGCAGCTGTTGCAGAGCGTCACGCGTAATCGCCCCACCGCCGGCTTTCATCGTCGCAGAGTATGCCATCGTGTATATGGGCGGCAGAACGACATTGTCTACAATGCATACGTAATTTAGTGCGCCAGGTGCTGTTTACACGCTGTTCTCGAGGGATTTGCCGCTGCTACTCACCAAGGCAATTGCGGATGGAGGTGGCTGACATGCCCGGCAGTCCGGCACCAAGCCCGGAATTTACCGTGCTGTTGCCGCCGCTGCCGCCGCTGCCGCCACCACCGCCAGTGCTGCTACCGTTCGAGTTGCCCCACGGGTCAAGAACATCGAAGAGGTCGCTCATTTCCAGACTGAAATTCTCCTTGCGCAGGAGCTATTAAGGTATCGAAAAAAGGTGGTGTCTTGGAGTGAAAGGGAGCCGGAGAATAATGCCAGCGCTCGCAGTCCACATGACTGTGCCCAAGCAAGCCCTGGGAGTGGGGGTTTTGTTGCCAAGAGCACTATTTTTCTGGTTTGACGAATTCTGGTCTTTTTAAAACAACAGTAAAACAGGCGTCTACATGTCATACATGTCCTCGTAGATGTTCCACGTCTTGAGCCACCGGCGCCCAGCCAGCTCCTTCATGGGCTTGTTCCACCCAAAGGTGAACGGTGCAAAGTACAAAAACACGACAAACACAGCTGCACCAATGCCCCACGCCGCCACAGTCAGATAGCGACCACGCCGCCAGCGCTTCAGCGCAAAGTCAATGTCAAACGCCAGCTGCAGCAGCGCAAAGTACAGCGCCGGCAAGTAGTGGTGGATGTACGTGACACGGCCCATCAAGAAGAACGGAATGTAGTGCAGCGCCCACCCGCCCCACAGGAACTTGCTGTTGTCCCAGAACTCGCGGAACCCGTTGCGCGGCCAGTCGTTGCACTGCCGCTGCCACCGCAGAACAAAGTACAGGAGCCGGAACGGATACAGGAAGCACACAAGCGCCGACGCCCACCACAGGATCGGGTTGCCGATCTCGTAGTACTTTATCGTCTTGTTGCCCCACCCGACCATGCGCATCGGGAATGTCAGCAGCGGCCACGACCACGGGTCGCTCTCCAGCGAGTTGTACTTGTCGCGGTCCGGCGACAGCGCATTGTTGGTCTTGCCCATCTCGATATTCAGCGTCACCATGTCGACGATGAAGTTGCTGCTCACGTACTTGGACAGATCGTCCTTGGCCAGCCGCGTGTTGGTGTTGTGCTCAATGTACCACAGCACATCGTTGCTCCTCACGTTCTTCTTGCGCGTGCTGTCGGGCAGACACGTCACCTCGGACTGGTGCCAGCCCCACTCGGGCAGCTTGCGCCCGCCCACACGCATGATGCAGCCAGTGTCTTCGTGCCGCAGCCGGAACACCGTTGTCATCGCATGGATCCGCTTGCCAGCCCGGCTCGCCTTCTGCTTGACAACCTCGATCTTCCAGTTGGTCAGCCCAACATCTGTCGCGTGGGTGATGTTCTCTGCCGCCACCTCATAGTGGCTGACGGTCAACGGCGCTAGGATGCCCTTGGACGCGCGGATCGTCGCGCCAGTCAGGTTGTGCGTCAGCTGAATGATATCGCCGTCCTGCACAAAATCAATCGGATCGATCGTGTAATTGGCTGGTGACCCTGCCGGTCGCCGCAGCTGCCACACGTTGTTGGAGTCGCGGTGGGGGAAGCACGTAACCTGCTGCTGTCGGGAGCCCTTGGGGTACTGGTGCACGTGTGAGTGAAGCAGGCCAGGGCCATTGTACACAGCGCGGATATCCACCAGCGCACCGTAGGCAATGTCGTACGGCTGGCTGTTTAGCATGTTGCCCTTCAGGTTGGCCTGGAAGTTGGCTGGCATCTTAAAGTCGCCTGAGCCAGCCTTGTACAGAACCTTGAAGTGGATCCAGAACGTGAGCGTGTACACCAGCAGCGGAATCAGGATCAGGCACAGCGCCCGGGCCACCCAATGCCTTCCGTACTCGCGCCACGGCATCATGTCGCAGTATTTGCGCACCAAATCCTCAGCAGTGGCAATGCCGACCATGATGACACAGAACAGGCCGACCCACTTTGAGCTCATCACGCAGCCAAGCGAGAACCCCGTCATGCCCAGCCAGCTCCACCACGCGCGCGTGTACGGCGGCCCGTGCTTGTTGCGGTTCTGGAAGTTGGATGCGCTCCACAGCGTCAGGGCCGTGAAAAACAGCAGCGGCTCGTCCAGCAGGATAAACCGGCTCATCACACATAGCGCATTGTCAAACAATACAAACACCGCAGCCAGCGTTGCCATGGGCCGGCTCAGCCTGAACTGTATGCATGTCAGGAATGCCAGCGGCACCAGCGCAACACCATACATGGCGATCTGCGCTCGCATCAGCGTGTAGTCGACGTACTCGGGGTACTTCTTTCCCGAGCTGAACCGGAACGTGCCGTTGTGGCCAGCAATGACCTCAGCCAGGGCCACCATCATCTTTGCCAGCGGCGGGTGCACGTCGTGGTAGAACGTGTGGTTTATGTAGTACGCGCCGAACTTGCCAAAGTGGGCCTCGTCCCACGTTACGTTTGGTCGCCGCCCGATCTGGTACAGCCGGGTGAACAGCGACGCCAGCGTGAGCAGAAACACTATGGCCGCGTCCTTGCTGCGCAAAAGCCCAGGAACCCCGTCACGCAGACTGAACAAGTGCAGGTCGCCGATCTGTACCGCCATCCTGTCGCTGCCCTGGCTACTGGACGGCGCTGCCGCTGCATAAGCCGTGCTGAACGCCTTGTGCTTGCTGTGCACCTTGCTGTCAGATACATACGCGTCGAATCCTTCTGCTGGCATGCGATCCCGCCCATACGGCACGCTGTCGTCGTTGGAATAAGAGGGGAGCACCGATGCCGTCGCTGGTTCGTGCGACTGGTGCCGACCTCGCTGTTTTAAATGGTGCGGCTCCATCTGTCCATTCAATCGTGAAATAGAGCAAGCACTCGTTAGAAAGGGAAATGTGTTTAGGGAAAAGAGAAAGGAAAATGTGAAATCGCGTCTGGAGCGAGATGACAAAAAAGCGTTGAGCATAGGTGCTGGAAATAGACCCACTTTTAGAGCACATGCGATTCGCACATCGCCTCCCCCGCACGATATGGTTAGCATCGCGCAAGGAGGCAATCAAGGTGCGAGCCAAGGGTTGTTTGCTACCCCGCACCCAGCTGGCCGATCTCCGCATGCCCCGGCTTGGCGGTCTGCCTTGCAGCAGTGAGAACCATTGATGCTTGAAATAGGCACATTGAAAGTAGGGTACTCCAGAAACAGTAGACCGCAGCACTCGCATTCTTATCCCCCCTCGCCATTGTACTCCCAAAAAAGTCGAAGCGACATGTATGTGCGCTTTATTTTAAAACAGCAGCTGCTAACCCCACAACCACTAAACCCGATCCTCTACGACCTATTCGCCCATCCTACAGTCTGTAGGCTCATCCTGGCGAATATGGCTGCCAGTGGTACCAATGTTCCTTGCACCAACGACATTGCTCTTGATGTATCGGACTTGCTAAACGCTTTAGCGCTCTGGCTGCCAATGCCCCAGATCTGTCTGCCACGCTTCACAGAGGTGCTCGGTGAGCTGGCCACCAAGACCACAACCCTGCGCCTGCCCGCCCTGAACATCTCCCCTGCCTTGCTGAAGCAGATCACCAAGGCTGATGGCGAGGATGCGGCCAAGGAAACAGTTTAGAAAGCCAAATTCGATATTTTTGCTGCTCTTCTGCGACAAGAAGGGGGATGACGCCAGTGTCAAGAGCACACTCAGCATAAACGACCACCTGCTGCTGTTCCCCAAGCATGCGTAATACCTCTTTGTTTTTCGTCAGATCTTTTAGTATCGCTTTCGTTATATATTTGAACCGATATACATATATACCTTCTTATGCGCGCATTCTTATGCATCATAACTTTGGTGATAATGTAGGTATGCCATCGTCTTCAATATGATTATATACCACTCCATGGTGTCAGGCTTTGTCACAGCTTTCAAAATGCAATTTGGAAGCCCAGTTCACACAACTGCCCTAAGAGAACTAAATACTCAGCAGTGGGTCTCTATTATCCAAACATAGACCTGGTCTAAATATGCAAACCCTCCAGCATTTCACTTTTGAATATATTTTATGTGTGAAAAGGCACTATGTGATTCTTGCAGTGGCCTGGAGAGCATTGTAGGGAGTTGTGATGCCAACAGCCATTTTCCGCACCTTGCCCATACACGCACTTTCTCTTTGTTCCCTCCTGCATGTACACAATCTCCCAATTTGAAGAGACCCTCCTGTCATAGGCGGCTTTTCTGGCCTGGGAAAGGAAGGATACAATGGAGGCGATATTTCTGTGAAATTGCCTGTATGATGTCACAGTCATGCCCCACCAACGCCCTTGAGAACTTTCACACACTTGAAGGACCACTGACCATTTGGCCAGCTTTGCAACACCATTTTACGTGTATGCAGCTTGTCAAAATTGTGTATAAACCTGCTCACTTGCCATGCAACGTTGGTTCCCTATCTCACTTTTCTTGCAAACATTGCACACCTCAACCACTCAAGAATTAACTCTCTCTGAACCCGCTTCAACTTGTCCCGCAGAATGAACCTGTTTACCTGCAAGGTTGTACTCGCACATGGCGGGGTGTCAACCAGCATCCCCATTCCTGGGGACAACTTCCTTGTCGCCAAGGAGCTCGCCACGTCTTTTCTGGATGGCGGTCCTCCTGCTGTTTCCACGGAAATCGAACTCGTCGCACTCTTTTTGACGTACTGCAGCTCCTGTAATCCCGATGTTGCCGTCGCTGTATTTCTTCACTTCCACCAAGGATTTTGCGCCAACGAGAACATCCATGCTGTGGTCCAGCAGCTGAGCCTGTCCTTTGAGCAAGCGCGAACCGTCATGAAGGGGTATTACTCGGTCTGGAACACCCTTGAGATGCGTCAGTTGCTGCCTGAGGTCTCTGCTCCTGCTATCTTTTCAGACCCAGGCATAAAACTTGCTGCCATGTTTGGTGGGCAGGGCGGAGCAGACAGCTACGTTGACGAAGCAGCATGGCTTCTCGATGTTTATGGCCCGCTGCTGTCAGACTTTGTCGCTCATATGTCTGACTTCCTCAAGCGCGAATCCGCTGACCCCCTATTGGCGAAAGCCCATTCACGTCCACTGGACATTGCTGGCTGGCTTGCTTCTCCCGACGCAATGCCTGACGCCAAGTATCTGCTGACTGCACCAGTCAATACGCCCATGCTAGGACTGATTCAGGCGATGCATGTGGCTGTCTTGTATAAGACACTCAATATGAGCCCTGGCGACCTCGTCTCACGCTTTAATGGTAAGCGCACATCATTCATAACTGGCTCCAGTGTATGCAACAATGCCAGTGTTCGCCGTTACTAGCCATTCATTTCTCCTTCTATAGTTGCAATCGGACACAGCCAGGGCCTACCAATGGCTGCTGCCTTTGCTTCCGTGACTGACGAGGCATCATTCTATGCTGCCACCGAGAACGCCCTTGGTATTCTCCTTATGCTGCCTTCGATTGGTCAACAGAATTGGTCTTCGAGCATTTCAGGCATCAACATATCGGGATCTTCGCTGCTGCAAACTGCTGGCTCATTGGCAATAATGATCTCAGTTCGTGGTCTGGCCCAAGAAACGCTAGAGTCACTAATTTCTGTATTCAATGAAGATCGCACGGACAGAGAATCAAGGGTTAGCCTGGCCCTAATCAACAGCCGCTCTGATTTTGTCGTTGCTGGCCACCCGAATGTCATCGCCTGCTTTGCAAAGCTTATTAACAAGCACAGCGTCCTCCCAACACAGAGTCAGTCGCGCATCCAATTCTCACAACGCAAGCCTGCTGCTGCCGTTAGCCCACTTGCAATGACGGTGCCAACTCACTGTGAGCACGTAAGGGATTACGCACCAGCGGGGTACGAATGTGCGGCTTCCAAGGGGTGGGCTTTCGATGCCAGTGCTCTTCGTATCCAAGTCAATGGTGGAGATGATGGGCACGACCTTCGTGATGAAGCTGATCTCACTCGGTTCTTGATTGACAGTCTGGCTATGAACCGTGTTAACTGGCCGGCAGCAGTCAACAGCACTGATACCGCGTTTATCATTGACTTCAGTCCAGGTGGCTTCAGCATCTTTGGGAAATACACCAGAGACATTCTGGATGGCTACGGCAAAACCGTCATCAGCACCAGCTCGCTTATTGCTAACACTAAGTTTCGCATGGGGTCTAAGGCCGATTTGTTCAAGCGGAATATATCCGACGTCTTCTTGGCACCAAACTGGCAGAGCGCTTTCGGTCCACGCCTTGTTCGCACCGCACATGACGGTCGGCTTCATATTTGCACCCGCATGTCCCTCACTCTTGGACTCCCGCCTGTGATGGTTGCAGGGATGACCCCGACTACGTCCAACGAGCACTTTGTTGCAGCTATCAGCAATGCCGGGTACTATGTCGAGCTTGCTGGTGGCGGGATGTTTAACGAGAGGTTGTTCAGTAAGAAGGTTGGGAATTTGGTCAACCTCCTTGAATCTGGTAGCGGATTCGCGGTCAACACGGTCTACATGAATCAGAAGCAGTGGGCGTTCCAGTATCCCAGTATCCTGCGTATGCGGCGGGAAGGAGTGCCGATCACAGGGCTCTGCATTGGCGGTGGTGTTCCCTCAGTTGACGTTGCCAACAGTATAATCGCAAACTTGCGCAATGCAGGCATAAAGCATGTTGCCTTCAAGCCCGGGTCAGTGGCTACAATTCTCCAGACACTTGCGATCGCCAGGACAAACCCCGACTTTCCTGTCATTATCCAGTGGACTGGCGGTCGCGGTGGTGGCCACCATTCGTGTGAAGACTTCCACAGGCCAATTCTGGAGACCTACAGCAAGATCCGGGCACTGCCAAACACCATCCTGGTCGTTGGGTCAGGGTTCGGCGACGCCGATAGCATTCTGCCATATCTCTCCGGCCAGTGGAGTGTCCAGTTTGGATATGCGCCTATGCCTGTTGATGGAGTATTGTTAGCGTCGTGTGTCCTCACTGCAAAAGAGAGTGCCATATCTCTGGAAGCAAAGGAGCTCATTGCGGCAGCCACTGGCGTTGAGGACAGCGAGTGGGAGTCATCATATACTGGCAATGCTGGCGGAGTGATATCAACCTTGTCCGATTTTGGAGAACATGTCCACCTTCTAGCTACTCGAGCTGCGCTGGCTCTCAGAGAGTTGAACGACATGGTCTTCACGAAGCCATATGCTGACCAGCTGCCGACAATCATGGCAAACAAGGATCATATCATTAAGCGGCTCAATATTGACTGTGCGCGGCCATGGTTTGGCAAGAAATCCGACGGGCGGGTGGTTGATCTGGAAGAGATGACGTACCTGGAAGTACTCAATCGACTCGTGGAACTGATGTACGTCGCAGACAAGTCCAGGTGGTTGGATGTGTCGTATGGAAGGCTGTTTGGGGAATTCGTTTCTAGGGTCGAGGACCGAGTATCTGGAGCAGAAAGTCCACGCATGTTCCAACGCTACATTCAACTCCAGGAGCCACTAACCATTATCAAGTTGGTGGACAAGAGCTACCCAGAGATAAGCCGGGTCCTTATTGCGCTTGAGGATGTTCAGTATCTGGTCTGGCTTTGCAAGCGCTCTGGGGCCAAGCCAGTTCCATTCATTCCTATCCTCGACGCCGACCTGCATGTTTGGATGACAAAGGACATGTATTCACAGGCTGAGGATTTGGATACAGTTGTTGACAGAGATGTCCAGCGCACTGTTATTGCCTTGGGCCCTGTGTCTGCGAAGTATGCCACCACAGTCAACGAACCGGTCAAGGATATACTCGACCGTGTTTACACCGGGCTAACGGAAAAGCTTAGCATGTGCAGTTTCGATAAGGATGCATCTCTAGTCCGTCCTTGCGAGTACCTTGCACCAGAGCCTTTTCCAGTATCGCTCCCTACCTCGGTTGCAGTGGCTGTTGATGAGTCAAGCCGCACATACAAGCTCCCAACTGATGCAGCACTGCTTCCAGATCCTGATGTATGGCTGGAGGCACTGGCTGGTCCTACTCAGAGCTGGTTTCGTGCACTTCTCACATCGCCAGTGGTGGTTCGCAAATCACTGTACGCTGCAAATCCAATAAGGCAGGTTCTGCAGCCGATGGCAGGGCAGACAGCGGAGGTGGTCCTTGCTGGCGATAGGCCGGTCAAGCTCGATATCCATGGACCAACTGGGCTATTGGACATTCGCATACAGCTCCATGATGAGAAGATTATTCTGATGATTATTTACCATCGGATTGGCGAGGAGCAGTTTGAGATTCGGTTCCCGTACATCTACATGCCATCCAAACCTGCAGTACTTGTTGCTGAGGACGTTGAGGGCCGGGATTTATCATTCCGCGATATTTATCTGCGTGTGCATGGCCTTGCAGACGAGCCTAGCAACATAAACCGCGCTGACGTAGAACAGCACTTCTCGGCTCGTGCGCTCAAATCATTCACCATCAGCCAAGAGTTTGTTCAGAAGTACTGTTCTAGTGCTCACATCACGTCAAAGTATTACAAAATGGCGGCCGACGAGCTACAGCTGGCCCCAATGGACATATTCTTCAGCATCGGGATTAGCCAGCTGGCGTCTGTCCTGACCACTCCCCCTCTGCATAGAGGTCTCCTCGGGATCATTCACTTGAGCCACAGTACAAAATATGCAGCAGGCGCATTGCCACTGCGAGCTGGAGAAACTATAGACTACGGCGTGAGTCTCTCTGCATTGGAGAATATCGACATTGGCCATAAGCTGACATTCATTTCGAGGTTTTGGCGCGAAGGAATCCTCACTGCTACATCTGAAGATGTTATTGCCATACGTGGCCAGTATTCAGCATGCAACCAAATGTTCCGATCAATGGATGAACCCGCGCGACGCATGTTAATCACATCCGATGAGAAGGCGGCATTACTTGAATCCAAAGAATGGTTTGTGTCCATGGAATCTCCTGAGCCATTCAAAATCGCCTGCGGAGATATGCTGGAGTTTAGGCTTTACTCGCACTATCAGTTCAAATCCAAAGATCTGTATTCCAAGATCAAAACCTATGGACCCGTATATCGCCTGAAACCATATAGGGAGGCCGAACATGTTGCCGATGTTTATTATGAAACTGTAAATTCATATGGCAACCCGGTCATCGAATATATCAGCCAGAATATACAAAATGACATTGGTTCAGTGCGCTTTGAGCACTGTGGCTTACCGATCCAGTGTGCAGAAGCTTCTGACATCATGACTGCGAAGGCGCCGTCAGAAAACTGCGAATTTGCCCACGTTTCTGGAGATCAGAACATGCTGCACACAAATCCGTATGTTGCAGCATATATCGGAGAATCGGAAATGATTTGCCATGGCATGTGGTCATCAGCCGCATCCCGCGCTATTGTTGAACGTGTTGTTGCAGATAACGACCCTCGGCGCATGCGCTCATACAGCGTCCAGTTTGTTGGAAAGGTCTATCCAAACGACAAACTTCGGGTAGAACTGGCTCACACAGGAATGAACAGCGGACACATGGTTATCGATGGCAAGACTGTAAACCAGAATGGGGAAACAGTGCTGACGCTCACAGCTGAGGTTGCCCAGGCAAAGACTGCATATGTGTTTACTGGCCAGGGGTCGCAGTTTGTTGGCATGGGGATGGATCTATACATGTCATCCACAGCTGCCAGAGATGTGTGGGACCGAGCTGACAGACACATGTTGAAGCACTATGGTGTCTCACTACTGAAAATAGTCCAGGAGAACCCGAGCGAGTACTTGGTTAAACTCGGTGGCAAGAAGGGCACACCAATTCGTACAAACTACCTCTCTTTGGTACGTGAATATGACGGCAAGATAGAGCAACTGATTCCCGGAATCACTCAGTCATCGAAATCATACACGCACCGCTATGCAAATGGCCTGCTCAATGCGACACTGTTTACACAGCCGATACAGACGGTGATGTCGCTGGCTCAAGCTGCAGACATGCGTGCTCATGGTCTTATCCAGGATGATGCCATTGTCGCTGGCCATTCGCTTGGCGAGATTGGGTCACTTGCTGCAATTGCTGAGATTGTTTCTGTCGAGGATGCGGTCGATATTGCTCTCTATCGCGGGCTTTTGCTCCATACATCAGTAGATCGGGATGCCAATGGCTGCTCCCAGTATGCGATGGTATCTGTCAACCCTAAGCGTGTTGTAACTGGCTTCAGCGAGGTTCAACTACTCCTAATTGTTGACTATATTCGTGAGCGGAAGCAACAGCTCCTAGAAGTTATCAACTACAACGTCCGCGGACAACAGTACATTGTTACAGGGCATATTGAGAGTTTGAATATCATGTGTGAGACTCTAGATAGACTCTCAGCAGGGCATAATAAGCTTGCAGATAAAGGAGATGATGCGCTGCCAAACATTATCGCCGATGTTCTAGCTGAGTATCCAACTGCACATCTACTCGAGAATGGTAGAGCAATAATCAGCATTCCTGGAATTGATGTTCCCTCGCACTCTAGCATATTGCTGTCAAGTGTTGATACTTTCCGCAGAGTGCTTGACCGAAAAATCACGCATATACAAAAGCTTGGCATACTGCTGTGTGGGAAGTATATACCAAAACTGACTGGGCAGCCATTTGAGACCACAAAGGAATATATCGAGAGTGTCTATGCCCTCACTCGCTCACTAGTCCTTGAAGGTATTCTTCAACGATGGGACACATGTAGCGACGATCCACCAAACAACTTGGAACATATTGCACGAGCTCTTCTTATTGAACTGCTATCTTTCCAGTTTGCCTCGTCAGTAAATTGGATTGAGACCCAAGATTCAGTCTTCAACAAGTGCTCAGTAGAACGCCTCATTGAGATTGGTCCGAAGCCTACGCTGTGTCGTATGGCAGCACAGACTTTGGAGGCTAGCAGCTGGTCCAAGGATATAGTATCTATTCGACATGCAGCCCAAGATAGGGCTGAGGTATATCATTTAGCTGCTCGGGAAGAGGCCAGTGTACCTGCTGACTTCTTATCAGTGGCACCACCTCAGACTTCAGGCAGCAAACCAACTAAGCAAGAGGGATCATCCGAGGCCTCTAGCCCCACTGTGGACGAGCAAGCAGCCTTGCATACAATCCAGTCAGCTGCTATGACCTCGGTTGATGATGTGCCAATTCCAATTGTTGATGTTATAAGGGCAGTGATATCTCAAAAACTTTCTATAGCTGTATCCGAAGTGTATCCTAACAAGTCGATTAAGGAGCTTGTTACTGGAAAGTCCACGATACAAAATGAGCTTTTTGGGGACTTTCAGAAGGAGTTTGACAATGGCCTACCTGGACATGCAGAGGACCGACCCTTGGAGGAGCTTGCCAAAATCCTTGGAACCTCAACGACTTCTCTTGGCAAGCACTCCCAGGCACTAGTCAATAAGGTGTTTGCCGGAAAGTTCCCAAGTGGGTTCAAACAATCAGTTGCTCGTTCGTATTTGAGAAACAAATACAGGCTAGGTCCGCGTAGACAGGATGCTCTGCTATTATTGTCGGTTACAATGGAGCCCCTCACCCGACTTGCGGATGAGGAAGCAGCTAAAGCTTGGTTGGAGTCAGCAGCCCAGATGTATGCAGACCACGCGGGGCTGTCATTGACAGCACTGTTGCGCGGTGGTGAAAACAGGAACACAAATTCACCATCCGTTGCTATTAACAGTGCTGAATTCGACAAAGCACAAAATGCCCACAGGAGGCTCGTCCTTGAGCAGATAGAAGCACTCGCCAGACATGCAGGACTCGATATGCGCCAAGGGGCTAGATCAGCTGAAGAGCTCCAATTAAAAGTTGCAGTCCTAGAATCGCGAATAGATGGCATCATGCATGAGTTTGGTAGTGAATTGATAGATAAGGCCAACACACTATTCGACGCAAACAAGGCTCGCCATTTTAACTCGTACTGGAATTGGGCCCGCCAGGACGTGTTTGAATGGGTCTCTGGCATTTTGGGCGGAGAGGAACCAGGCATGGACTGTGCTACGTATATGAAACGTGTTCATATGCTCAAGAACCGGTCCAACCCTGGACTGCTCTCAATGCTACAGGCATTTATTGGGACTCTCAAAGCAGACCCTTGCCCATATGCTCAACGTGCACTGAAGCAAACGGAGATTATCTATGCAGCGTGTAGGGAGTCAGAAAATGTGCCTCCAGTCTACAAAGAGCTTTCGACCCCACTGCGTCCTCATACAGAGATCACGTTCAGAGGTGATATCGACAGCTGTGAGTTTCCCAGAGAGGGGGAGCAATCGATAGGTGACTACGTTCAACAGATGAAATGTGCCAGCAAGGATGGGCTACCTCTGCTGTATATGTACGGTCGGCAGGCTGGAAACGCCTGGACATATAGCAAGGAGATTTCTGACGCATACTTTGCTTCAATGGAGGATGCAGCAGTGAATGGTATATCATTTGAAGGCAGGTGTGCACTGGTTACCGGGTGTGGAAAGGGATCCATTGGCTCAGGTTTGGTTGAGGGCTTGCTATCTGGTGGAGCCAAAGTGGTTGCTACAACGTCCAATTATTCCCTGTCGTCAATCCGATTCTTCGAAGAGATGTACCGGAAGTTTGGTTCCCGCGGATCTGAGCTGGTTCTTGTCCCCTTCAACCAGGCATCATCATGTGATATAGAGGCTCTCATCCAGTATATCTACAATAAGGATGGCCTTGACTGGGATCTGGACTATATTGCTCCATTTGCTGTGTTCCCAGATCATGGCAAAGATGCAGGGAGCATCGACTCCCACTCTGAGTTAACGATTCGCATTCTATTGACAAACTTGTTCCGGATAATAGGACAGGTTAAGGCGGCTAAAATAAAGACAGGGAATTCTCTTCTTCCATCGCTGCTTATTTTACCACATTCGTCTAATCAAGGAGTAATGGGCAATGACGGAATGTACGGCGAAACAAAGGCTGCATTACACACGCTGTATGCCCGCTGGCATACCGAACCATGGTCAGAGTACATTTCAATCACTGGTGGTGTAATCGGGTGGACCCGTAGCACGAGGCTGACGTCTGGAAGTGCAAATATGTTTGAAACTATGGAGGAAATGGGGATGCGTACGTTCTCTCGTGAGGAAATGTCATTCAACATACTTTGCCTGCTATCACAAGGGATGGAAGAGGCAGCGCACAACAATCCTGTGTTTGGCAACTTCAATGGAGGGTCATATTCTATTGAGACAGTGAGCAGGGAGCTATCAGCGCGACGCCTGAAACTAGTAAAAGCTGCTAGCCTAAGAAGAGCCACCTATCTGGATGTCTGCACATCGTATTCTGTTGAGAAACAGGAAGGTTGGGCAAAAATGACGCATGTGAGCCAAACTGTGCCTCGGCCCAGCACAGAATAGACGCGCCACTTGTAAAGTCACATGAACAACTCGAACACCTAAGATACCTGGAGGGCATGGTTGACTTGGATAAGATTGTGGTTGTGACAGGATTCGGTGAAGTTGGACCATTTGGGAATGCAGCCTTGCGCTGGGAACAGGAGGCATATGGTATGTTCTCGATGGAAGGCTGCATTGAGCTGGCATGGATGATGGGGCTGATCAAGAGGTTCTCTGGCGACCATCCGGGGATAGGTACCCATTACATTGGCTGGGTTGACGCAAAGACACAGGAGCCAGTGCATGACATGAATGTCAAGGCTAAGTACGAGTCATATATCTTGGAACATACCGGCATTCGTGTTGCTGAACCTGAAGTTTGGGGAGAGGATGCGGTGAATATGAAGTCCTTCATGCGCGAGCTTCAGATCGATCAGGATATGCCTCCATTTGAGACCAGTGCTGAGGAAGCTGTCCATTTCAAGCAGATTTCTGGCGAGAAAGTTGACACGTGGGAGAACCCTGATGGAACGTGGTCGGTCAGACTCCTTAAAGGCGCTGTAATCCATGTGCCAAAAGCAGTTGAAATCGGACACACTGTTCTTTCTCAAATACCGACTGGGTGGGACCCAGTTCGGCTGGGAATACCTGGGGATCTTGCGCTGAAAATGGATGATATTAACCACTACACCCTTATTGCTATGATGGAGGCGCTCGTCAGATCTGGCATTACAGATCCGTATGAGCTCTACCAGTACTTCCATGTCTCAAAGGTCGGGCATTCAGTCGGATCTTGCTTTGGTGGGGCGAAAAATCTTGTTGGCGTCATACGCGACAAGTATCTAGAGAAGAAAGTGGGCTCGGGAATGATGGTTGAGAGCACCATCAATAATATGAGCGCATGGCTCAATACGCTTCTGTTCTCGGCATCAGGCCCATTAAAGCCGACTGTTGGCGCATGTGCTACCTCAGCCATTGCACTAGATCTTGCCGCGGAGTCAATTGTCCAGGGTAAAGCGGATGTCATGATCGCTGGTGCAGGAGAAGGGTTCGCGAATGATACTACATATGAGTTCAATATGATCAGTGCCACAGCAAGTGCCAGAGATGAGCTAAGAAAGGGGAGAGCTCCTCAGGAAATTTCACGGCCCTGCACGTCTACCAGAAGCGGGTTTGCCGATAGCTATGGCTCGGGGATGGCTGTTCTCATGTCCGCGTCTGCAGCACTTAAAATTGGAGCACCTATCTATGGAATTTTGGCAATGTCTGCCACTGCCACCGACAAGTCAACACGTAACCCCACTGCTCCAGGCCAAGGAATACTGTCGATTGGAAAAGAGAGTCCTACCCCGTCAGACTTGCAACTGCTTGATATCCATTATAGGAGGCAGATGCGTGACGCACAGCTGGCTGCATTAGATCACATCAGCAGTACCAGCGTGGCGAACAAGATGAAAAAGATAGCCAAGACAACATGGGGCAACGACTTTTACAAAATGGGTGAGTCCATCTCGCTCCTTCGTGCTGCACTAGCGACATGGGGTCTTGGTGCAGATGATATTGGGCTGGCGTCATTCCACGGAACATCGACAAAGTTGAATGATGTAAACGAGTCGAACATTGTGAACATGCTCTTGAAGCACGTTGGACGCACGCCTGGTCTTCCGGTTCCTGTGGTTTGCCAAAAGTGGCTTATAGGTCATAAAAAGGCTCCAGCAACGATTTGTTCAATGCATGGCATTCTTCAGTCAATGACAACAGGACTCATTCCGGGGAATAGGAACGCGGATAATATCGATGACGAGCTGGAGCAGCACGAACACCTTGTATACCTGAGCAAGACTATTCGTGCGCCAGCTATCAAGGCCGCGCTGTTCACGTCGTTTGGATTCAGCCAGTCCAATGGAGCGGGGCTTATCGTTCATCCGGACTACCTATTCGCAACACTTTCAAAGGAGGAGCTGGTCGAGTACACAACTAAAGTCGATGAGCGCATGAAGAGATCGACCCGCTACTGGCAGGGAGCACTTCTTGGAAACCACACATATTTCCAGGCAAAGGAGGAGCCCCCGTTCTCACAGGAGCAGGAGGCATCTGTGTTCCTGGATCCTGGTGTAAGGGCCAAACTTGACTCGAAAACCAAGCAGTACAGGTTCTAAACCACTCACCTAGTCCTTCGATATTAGTAGGATACTCCCAGCTAAAACGCACTACTTCCAAATAAATAGCTTGCGCATTGGTACATGAAAGATCATACCAGAATTGCTCTGCTCGCGATGCGAGCTCGGCTGCTAGTCAGCATGGGTTGACACGTCGATAAGGGCATCACGGCGAACCGGTCATTTGAACGTGTCGGATGGTTGTTGGTGCAATGTCGATCATGGACATCTCCCACCTTGGTGGCCTGCTCAGCGTAGGCGCTTCAGCGCTGGCTCGCTGCTGCTGGCAGCAGAATCGCCTGCTGCTGCACGCCTCTTGCGCGGGTTCTTTGTTGCCAGGGTGGTGCCAGAAGCATCGGCAGCAATGGCTGTAAAGCGACGGAACCGTTCAGGAATATCGCCTGAACCACAGAGTGACTGGAAAACGAGTCTGAAGTTTAGAACTGCTGCAAGATCGCGGTTCAAGAGTCGAGACGAATAGGCCCGCCTGTATTGTGCCATGGCCCGCTTACATGACTCGCTTGTACAGCGGAGAAGGCCATGGCACTTCACAGTTGGGTTCTTCGATCTCTGGTAGGGCCGCGGATTGGGAACATGCCGGAATGTCTGCAGCGACTTTTCGCAGCAGAACGGGCACATCGACGATGTCTGGAATTCGTCGATCAGATAGACTTCAAAGCCATGATGCTTGAACTTGTCGCGCCATCCCTTGCCACGAATCGGCGCATGGTGTCGGGCCATCGGCGCACTCCAATTGCCCATGATCAGCACCGGATCTGGACCTAACTTGCTCCAGAGTTTCGCGGCAAGCCTGTGGTCTGCACGGGCCTGGTTCATGAATGAATCAAGGCGCAGCTTGCGGTGAAGCGGGTACACCTTGGGACTGGTACTGACACCTGGATGGGCCTTCCAGCGCCTTTGGTGCTGCTTGTTTGACTTAGTGGGCTGCTGCTCTGGTAACCTTCGCGCTGTCATCGTGTTGGCATAAAACGGTGCTAGGACACACCGCACAGATGCACGGGTAGCAACGTAGGCACGGAATTTTGCTGGGCTAAGGGTCCGGCAGCAGTGCTTGGAAAGCTCTGCCTCTGCTCTGCGGACAGCATCTTCTGGGACTTGATCCTTTGTAGCCCGACGAATCCTGTCATAGTGGCGCAGCTTGAGCTCCTTATTGCGCTGCTGCCGTGTGTAGCGGTAGAGCATTTTTTCACCCTCTTTCCCATTGCTGCTATTTTCGTGCATCATGTATAGCAAATCGCCCCGACCTGGATCGATGAATACACAGCGACCTTTCAGATTCTGCAGCTCTGGCTGTGGGATCTGGTGGATATAGCGACAGTCAGCTATAGTATTGCCTCCCACAGCATCACCTCCTGCAACATCGCCTGTAGCATCGCCTGTAGCATCGCCTCCCACAGAATTGCCTCCCGCAGCATCGCCTCCTGCAGCATCGCCTCCCGCAGCATCGCCTCCTGCACCATCAGCATCTACTGCACCATCAGCCTTGAATATCTTGTCTTGCAACAAAATGCATATCGTTACACCATCTGTTGTCGCCATTCCGTGGAATTTTCTATCACCATGCGCCTTAAATGGCTTTGATGTTAGATCTGCGACCCGGCCCCACACATCCCACACAGGTTGTGTGATCCCTTGGACCGGGTCATGTGCACAGACTGGGGGTGCTGGTGCATATGCATTGTTAAGTGCTGCAACAGTGTCTGCTGCTGCTGCCGATGCAGCAGCAAGTGAATCAGCCGCTACTGCTGCAGTTGCTGCAGTGGCCTCTGTTGCATCCGATGGCATCTTCGCTGCTTCGCGTGCAGCCTTCTTGGCCAATTTTTCGCCCCTTTCTGCTGCTTTCCTTACCTCTGTTGCTGCCCTCTTTGCTGCATTGATCTGTGTAACCTGCTCGCGTGTCTTCGAAACAAACACCTGCTTGATTATTTGCTTGTCCAAACGCACATGGCCTGGGATCCATGATGTCCGCAGAGGCAAGCATTGGGGAGGAGACTTGCCAAGCTGCTCATTCTCAATAAGCTGGCATAGGCGAATGTATGCACGCAGATGCTTAAGTGGATTTGCCTTGGCATCATAGTATCGGCTGTCTTTAGCGAATCTGTACTTGACATCATAGGCATTAAGCACTGGTGCCAGCTTGTTGTAGATTGCAAGCATCGGTGGGGTGAGCACACTGAGATCAGGGTGCCTAGAGGCAACTGCCTGGCGGAGCTTCTGTGCAGGTGTATAAATACACACTTGACATGCGTTATTGAACTCATCCTTGGACACATTGCCCATTGTACTGTGCAGTGTGTTTTTGCGGCTGCGAATATCAATCAATTTGGCCAGAATCCGCTGTAGGCAAGTGCCATAGTGCAACACAATGTTGTTCTTGTATGCTGTCATCAGCTCGGTATCCACGTATGTTGCTACTTGATTCATTTCACGTACACCATGTAGCTCGATATCGCCATTATGCAATAGATAATCATAAATATGATATCTAACTACATCATAGAAATCTGCGCTCGACAGTTCTGACTTGTCCTTCCGGTTGACGAAATCCTTGGCAGATATGACAGTCTTCGCCTTCAGGTTGTGATAAATAAATGAATAAATAAATGGAACGAAAGAATCCCTTTTTCACAAGTATTGAAGGGTCAAAGGCATCGTCGGCTAGTTGATGGAGTAATATCCACCGTGCAAGCATGTATGTATGCTCTTTGATGATATTGACGCTGTGTACAAATTGCTCTAGGCGGGGCAACATAGAATCATGGAAGCCAATACCACCAAGTGATGTCTTTATGACAGTAGTGGTGCGGGTAATATTCATTTGAGAAATTTGGTAGGCAAAGTAAGAAGAGAAATGATGCTGTTCAGTTTTGCTTTATTGCATATGCATAGCATTAAGAACTTTTTATTAAAAATGATCTGGCTTGCATGGTTCTTGGGGCCCTTAGCACTGATACAGTCTCTTGAATCAGTCTGTACAGACTGGGTCCATTGTGGCCCAAATACTACTGCTTGCGCATGTTCATAAGACAAATTAATTTATAAAATAAACCCACAAATATTGCATGACCGCTAGAAGAGCTATATGGCCTTATTCAATAGATGCTCATAAATAAACATCCTAAGAGTGTTGCGCAGCCGGTGATGACCACCATGATGACACCATGGAAGTTATCAGGCCGACCGATACTGAGAGCAGCTCTTGCGCTGAACCAATGGAGATTTCTAGTGGAGACCTATGACCACTACAATAACAACTTGTCACCCTGGTTTCACCGATGAGGTCAGATGCCGCACAAGATCAAAAGGAGTTTACAGAGCAAGTCACTCAAACCCGTGTTGAAGCTTAAGAGTTTTATTTTTAACCAATTTAAAAGGTTCTAGCGGACGGTCGGACACTTTTTCGACTATAAAATCTTATATAAAGGTAAAGATGGGTCTACTCAACACATGTTTTGCACCGCTAAACGTAGCTTTTTGAAGGTCCTCACTATGCAAAATGAATAATGGCAGATGAGTCATTTAAAGCGGGTGCTATTGCAGCCAGTGCACAACTGAGAAGAATTGGATTATCAAGCTGTGCACGTCAACATAAGGCTACATATTCGCTGTGAAGCCAAGACATTGGGCACTAATATAGGTAGAGTCCATTGCCACCAAGGCGGCAGTGGGGGGCAGTCTAAGAGAACTCAAGCCTGAGGCTAGCGCTGGTGTCTCAGGGAGCACAGGCATTGGTAAGGATTCCTCGCATATAATTCACCACCGAAAAATGCCAGCCTATGCGAGCCACTAGCCCTTGGCCACTTTTGCCCACACGACCTATGGAAGGATGTGCAAGTGACACCTCAACAGCAGAGTGCCCAACCGCCTGTACCTTGACAATGGCTTGCCAAAAACTAAAAGCCGTAAAATAAGTGTTTACCCCCAGTGAGAAGTATTCTAGGCCCGCCGCTCAGGCACGTGTGAAGAAGTGGCTGTCGTTTACAACAGCACCCTTCAAGCGCTATAAAGTTTGTGCCAAACGAGCCAAACAACCTCCCCCTCTTCTCTTCTCTCCCCCGAGCACTATACATAACTCTACGTCCACTCTAGCCATGAAGTTCGAACAGCAGCTGGCACTGAAAACCATCCCGTCGTGGTCCCCGCACTACCTAAACTACAAAAAGCTCAAGGCCACGCTCTACAGCAACGCCGAGCTCGCCAACGGTCACACCGATCAGTCCACCCGCGGCGAGCAGTTTTCTGGCTTCCGCACGTATTTCCTGTCCGAAGTCGAAAAAGTCAACCGCCGCTACGATGACCAGGAATCAAGCGCCCGCGATACCCTAAAGTCCCTGAAGGCACAGTGGAGCACAAACCAATCGGACCAGGAAACCGAGGAGTGGAAGGCTGCGTTCTCCAAGTTGCTCCGGCAGCTGGAGAACCTGGCAGACTTCACCCAGTCCAATATTACTGCGTGCCGGAAGATTTTGAAAAAGGCAGACAAGGTGACTAAGCTGGCCATGACTCGCGAGCTCTGGCCGATTGTGACGTCGTATCGGTTCGCCAAATCAGAGTCCGACGAGGCCCTGCTGCATGAAGCCCGCGCAGCGTGGAGAAAGCGCACTGCAATCCCAGTCCCCATCGATGAAAAGCCAAAGGATGTCGGCGCTCGCCGCGTTATGCCTGCAGTCCCCACTGTCTCCGAGCTGGACCTCAGCGCGTATCCGGTTGGCCAGATCTCCAGAGTCTGGGTGGCCCTCGCTGAAGATGGAATGGGGCTGCCGATTCGCGTCCCGGTGATTATTGCCAAGGGTACTACCGAGGGGCCGGTAGTCGGAATCACCGCAGCACTCCACGGCAACGAGCTCAACGGCATCCCGCTCATTCATCGCTTGATCAGCGAGCTCTCGCCCAGCTCCCTGCACGGCACGCTGGTGGCTGTGCCTGTCGCCAACTGCCCCGGCTTCCTACTGTCGCAGCGCGGGTACACAGACGGCACCGATCTGAACAGAGTCATGCCTGGTAAAGCCAACGGATCGAGCCCACAGGTGTATGCGTACAATCTGCTCCACCGTATTATCCGCAATTTCGAGTACTTGCTCGATCTGCACACTGCGTCGCGCGGCCGCGTCAACTCGCTGTATGTGCGCGCCAATCTGTTAGACCCACGCACGGCGCGTATGGCCCGTCTTCAGAACCCACAGATCATTGTCCACAATACGAGTCCCGATGGGTCGCTGCGTGGAGCGGCTATGCAGCGTGGCATCCCGGCGATCACTGTCGAGATCGGCGACCCGTCAAGATTCCAGAAGCGGTTTGTGAAGAATGCACTGATCGGCGTCACCAACATTCTGTCGCAGCTGCGCATGATCCCCGACGAGCAGAGCACGCCCGAGTACGACCCGGTCGTCTGCACCCGAAGCGTAAGTATCTACCAGCACATCGCCTGGTCCATGTCGCCGAATGCTGCAACGCATGTAGTAGACTAACTCAGCAACCCCTCCAATTTCTTCCCCTGCCCCTAGTTCTGGATCTTTGCCAAATCCGGCGGCATCCTGACCGTTATTCCAGATGTCAACACCTGGGTGCGCGCTGGCGACTTGATCGCGACAATACACAGCGTCTTCGGCGACCTTGAGGAGGAGTACTATGCGCCGTCGGATGGCATCATCGTCGGCAAGCATGTCGACCCCGTGTGCCAGAGCGGAAACCGGATCCTCCATCTAGGTGTTGTCGAGGACGAGCTGCCCCAGGTTGTCGACGATGGCCACATGTAAACGACTGTAGTCTTCATTGCAATGTCATTCAGCTATATTATTTCACCACAAAAACATCCTATTGCTGCACACATTGCTCGGCTGCTTGGTCTTCCAGCGTGTTGCCAGCAGTGGGATCTGTCTGGTTCCTGCGCATACGCCGGCGCTCGCCATAGCTGCTGCGTGCACGCGCTGCCAGTAGCGGCTGCTTAGTCGGACTCTTCCCCGCAGCTGCTGCTGTTGCGGTGCTGGGGGTGGCAGTGCGCTTGCGAGCAGGGAACCCGCCGAAGGGCTTAGCGGTCGTCTGGTCCGTCCCTTGTGTCATATTCACCATGCGCGAGTTCAGTCTGCTTTGCGGCACTGGCGACAGTGGACCTGCCGCCTTAAGATCGCGCGACAGGTGCAGCCGCTTCACATCGTCCTTTGCGGCTGTTGTGCGGTCCGATGCCAAGCGCGCCATGCTGGCCTTTGGACGACGATCTATTGGCACAGCAATCGGTGCATTTTTTGTTTGTTGCTGCTGCTGCTGCCGCTCGCTCAGCGCTGACTTCACACGCTGCAGCTCTTCCTCGACCGCCTTGGTTTTCTTTTCGCTCTCAGCCAACACCTCCTTCAGCTGCACTACAGCCTCACGCTGCTCCTCTTCCTCGGCATGTAGCCTAGTAATATCGGCTGTGTAGATATCGCGCAGTTTCAGGTTCTTCTTCTCGAGCTTTGCGTTGGCCGTTTGCAATTTCTCGATTTCCTGCTGGAGACGCGCAGTGCCCTCGCTCGAGATGCTTGCCGCTTTAGTGCTGGAAGACGCTGCCTCGGCCAACGCCCTGGTTGCCTCAGCTAGCTTCAGCTCTGCCTCGCCAGCTGCTGCATGCAGCTTGTCAGCCTCTGACTGGACATCGGCAAGCTGCTTGCTGGCTTCCAGGTTCGCCTGCTTCATGCTGTCCAGCTCCTTTAGCAGCTCGTCGCGCTGGGATGTCAGCTGAGTGATCGCTTCCTTGCTGCTGGCAGCTGCCTTGTTCAACTCAGCTTTATATCCGTCAACCTGTTCTTTTGCTGCCTGCTCGGCACGCTCCAGCGACCTGTCCTTCTCCAGCCCCTCCTTGACAGCAATCTCAAGCAGCTCTTGGTGCTGCGCAAGCTTGCTGTCAAGTTCGGCAATCTCGTCGTTCTTGACTTGTGCCAGCTCAGTCATCATCGACTTCAGCAAGTCAATTCCTTCACGGGCCCTATCGCGCTCGGCTGTTAGCGACTCGATCATTTCGGCGGCCTCATGCACGCTGTCCTCAGTGGCCAGACGTCCCCTGGTAGCCGTGTCAGCGAGGCTACTGCTGTTCGATGCCTGCTCCAGCGACTTGCTCTTCAGCTCAGCGCGCAGCTCAGCGACTGTGGTGTTCAGACCAGTGATAGTCTGCTCCATCTCCTGTGCTTTCGCCTCGAGCACTGCAATCTGTGAGCGGGCATCTTTGTGCGCCTGCGATGCCTTGGCGTTGGCGCTCAGCAATTCCTCTTCGGCCTCCTTCAAATCGACCTCCTTCTGGGTCAACTGGCGTTTGATCTCGGCGATTGTCTGCTCCAGCGCTGACTGTATGTCCTTAGTACGCTCCTCAAGCGCCTGGTAGCTACTCTTCAGCTGGCTGTGCTGCATCGAAATTTCGCTGATTTCAGAGCGCGCATCGGTAAGCTTCGTCGTGGCAGCATCGGCTTCGGTTGATTTGGCCAACAGCTGGTCGCACAAACCCTCGACTTCAGCTTCGAGCGAGCCGATGCGCCCGGCTGCCTCCTTCTCGGCGATCGCCCGCAACTTGCTCTGCTTGCCGAGTTCTGCTTTAAGATCACTGGCCATCTCTGTCGATGCTTGTAGTTTAGATTCGGACTCGTGCAGCAGCCGCTCGGTATCAGAGAGCCGTGATCCAGATTCCTCCTTCTGACGCCGTAGTTCATCAACTTGTCTCTCAAGCGACTGCAGCTGGTCAGCCTTATCGTCCAGGTCACGGCGCAGGCTTCGGATTTCATCCGTGTATCCCGACCTTTCCTTGTCCATGCTAGTCACCAATGTAGAACGACTGGACTCGGCCTGCGTAATACGGGCGTTGAGCTCGCTTACTGCGCTAGTCAGCTCGGCTTCGCGCGCGATTGAATCAGCAAGCTCGGTGGACTTCTGCTCTACATCCTGTTGCAGCTGCTTAAGCAGCACTTGGATCTCGGCCTTTTCTTCAGATGTCGCCATGAGGTCAGACTGCAGCGCTGCCAATCGAGCAGCAAGCTGGGTAAGTTGTTTCGTCGACTTCGTCTGCTCGGCCTTCATTCTGTCAATCTCCCTTTGCGCTCGCTCAGGGCATCGTTAAGCCGCTGGCCAACCGACACAGCGCTCTCTAGCCTCCCCTGGACATCCTTGAGATCGGTACTGAGCTTGGTGCGCTCCGCCGACAGTTGCTGAATAGTGGACTCCAGGTCAGCGACCTTGGCATCGTGCAATCTCTGGAGGCTCTCCTTCTGCTCAAGGTGCGCATTGACTGCTGACTTCCCAGACTCTGCCTCAGCAGCCTTGGCTGCCAGCTCACTCTTGGCCAACTCCAGCTCTTGACGCAGCTGACGCTCTGACTCTTGAGCAGCATCGTGCTGGATCCCAGCCAATTCCAATTGCTGGCACAGCCCAGTAGATTTGGACTCCAGTTCTGCCAAGGCACTTTCAAGCTGCGCAATGCACTCACGGCTGGAGTTGATCTGCGACTCGAACGCCGACGTCCTGGACTCCAGGTCCGCATTAGCAGACTCAAGCTCCTCCTGAAGCTGACGTGATGTCTCTTGCAAGTCGTCGCGCTGTTTCTCAGCCGACTTCAGCTGGCTGCGCAAACTGGAGGACTGTGACTCCAGCCCCGAAACGGCACTCTCCAGCTGAACTATAGCATCGTGGCCAGCGGCAATCTGAGATTCGAGCTCAGCAGTTTGGACAGCATATGAACTCGTTGACTCATCCAGAGCAGCCCTGACTTTAGCCAGCGACTCTTCAAGTTCAGCAACGGTGCCCTGCGACTTTTTGCGCTCGGTAGCCCACTTCTCAGCTGCCTCTGCATGCCCCTTCGTAGCAGCAGCCAATGTGCTATCGGCCTCGCCAACAGCTGATGTGAGTTTCCCGATCTCTTCCTGAGCATCGCGCAACGAACTCTCTGTCTCCTCAAGCTTGTTTCTGAGCTCTGCGTTCAACGATGCGATCGCACTCTTGCTCTCGTCAGTCTCGGCCATTTCGGTCTCCAGCGTAGCCAACCGATCACGCGCAGCAGCAAGCTGTATCTCAAGCTTAGCCACTGCTTGCTGGGACTTGCTTTCGCGCGCTTGCCAGTCAGAGATCTCGCGCTGGTGACCAGCGACTGCGCTGTCAAGCTTGTCAACCAAGTCGTGCAGCTCAGCGTCCTTGCTCGACAAGGTGCTCTCCCAGAGCGTCCTCTCGTCAACCAGGTTGCGAGTAGCATCGGCAAGCTCCGTGTTGACCGCAGCGTGCTCCGCTCGAAGTGCCTCCAGCTTGGACTCTGCCGACTGCAAGGAAGTCTTTGTCTGTAAAAGGGCGCCGTTGACCGCTGCGACCTCTGACTCTAGCGTCTCAGCGTAGGCGACAGCTGTCCCGTATGATGCCTGTGACTCGTCCAGCTCTGCCCTTAGCCTGCTAGCCTCGCTGACTAGTTCTTCCAGCTGACTTGTCAAACCCTTGGACCTTCTCAGACTTCGTGGGAGATAGTGCTGTTTGCGCGAGCGAGCTCTTCCTCGAGCGATTCAGTCTTTCTGGATGAATCCTCAAGCTGCTGCACCGCCTTCGCAGCATGGACCTCCAGGTCAGAGACCTGAGCACTGGACTTGCTCCAGCTTCTCCGTCAGCTTGTGATTCTCATCCTGAAGGACCTCAAGTTTCTGTGACAGGGATTCCGCGTCAGCTGCCTTTGCATCTAATGCTGACTGAAGTTTAGAGCTGGTCTCCTCCGCAGCAGCCAGCGTATCAGCGTGTTTGGCTATCAGCTCCTCATGCTGGGTCCTGGCCAAATCACGCTCCTGGATAGCTTCCGTCAGTTGCGCGTCCCTGCTGGCGACTTGACCTTCGAGACCAGCAGCATTACCTGCCAGATTCTCGTTGGTCAGAGTGAGCTCCGACACACGCTCCCAAACATCGGCATTTTGCGACTCGAGATCCTCGATCTTGGTCTGGAGGTGTGCCCGCTCCTCGACTGAGGAATCCAGTTCGTTCTGCCTGGCTGACAGCAGCTCTGACGCTTGGTCATATGCGGCGTGCAGCTCGGCAAGCTCGTTTTTGAGCCGGTCTGCCTCCTGCTGAAGCAAAGGAATAGCGCTGGCCTTGTCGCTGGTCTGGGCGAGATTTGTCTCCAGCTGTGCTTTATCTGCTTCAGCCTGTTGCAGCTTGTCTGACAGCGCCGCAACCTTGGCGTCGTTCAACGCTGCCTGCTCTGCCAACGCCTCCATTTGCTCATCAAGTGCTTGCTTTGCCTGCGTGTGGCTAGCCGTGAGATCTTCGATAGCACGCTTCTGCTCGGCAATCTCCTTAGCATGGATGATGTCGTTGTTAGACAGCGTGCTGCGCAACCCATCGAGTGCTGTCCTCAAATCCGCAGCCTCTGCAGCCTTCTGCTCAGAGGCATCCAGCTGCTTGCGTGACTCGCTCTCAAGCCGCGAGATTGTTTCTGTGAGCTCCGAAATCTGTGCAAGCGCCTGGTTGTGAGCTGCATCGAGCTGCTCAACCCGTGACTGTCTCGCTTCGGCCTCAGTCTGAACATTGGCTAGAGCATCCCGTTCATTCTCTGCTAACGCAATCCTTGCCTGCGCATCAGCCAGCTCGCGCTCAAGTCGCTCTATATTGGCTGTCCTCTTGTCAGCCAGCTTCTGCAGCTGCGCAATCGCGATCTCATGGCTTTCCTCATGCTGCTTGCTACCAATACTCATCGACTCGATGCGCTCGGTCTGCGAGGCGATTTTTGACTCAAGCAAACTGATCTCGGCCTGGAACCGCGCCTGATTCTGCTCCATCGATTGGGTTGTGTTGGACAGCTGCTTCGCAAGATCCATCTCGTGCTGGCGCTGGAGCATCTCAGCCTCCATGCGCAGCTGCACGACCATCCTTGCGCGCATCGACTCCAGACTCTTTGGAGATGGACAGCTCATCCTGCAGCTCCTGATGCTTGCGCTGCAGCTCAGACACAGCACTCTCAGCCTCCTGGCACCGAGCAAGCACATCGTCAGACTCGCGCATCAGATCGACCATATGCTCCTCCTTCTCGACAAGCGTCTCGCGCACTGCCTGTAGCTCCAGCTCCAGGAACTCGGCCTCGGGCCGCTGCGTCCGGAACTTCTGGCACTGGCGCTGCGACGCATCGAGCGTTGTGATCAGCGCACGGAGCTTTCGCCGGACTTGGACCACCTCACGCGGCGGCTGCGCAGCTGTTAGATCGCCCTTGGCTGGCGACGGCGGGATCGTATCGGCAGCTGCCAGCTGGCCCAGAGTTGACAGCAGCAGGTTGTTTTCACGCATGAAACGCTGGATGGTGGCTTCCATCTCGCGGTTCTCCTTGGTCATTTCCGCCTGTGTTTGCTGCAAGGCATCGTTTTGTGTCTCGAGTTCGCTAACCCTGTCGAATGACAGCTTGATCGACAGCATTGTTTCCTCTGCACATTCCCCGATGTCTGCGGCTCAGGACTCGAATCATCATCTTCACTGTCGTTGGTAAAGTTGATTGGCATTGTGCCGCCGTCGGTAGAGCGCTGAAGTCCTGGGAACCATGTCTGCCGGCGTGGTGTCAGGGCGGCATCAACCGGTCCCTTGTCATTTCCAGCTAGGGCGCTCAGCAAACATCTTGCTCTGCTGCTGCTCAAGTTCCTTTTGCAGTCGCTCCCGCTCCTTCTGCGACTTCCACAGTTGCCGCAGTAGCAGCCTCGTTGTCGGCCTCGATTTTATTCTTCTTCTTTTCCAAATCACGCATCTGCGCAACCTCCTTCTCAAGCTCGCTGGCACGCTTGAGGCGACGAAGCAGGGCATCGCCACGCAGCTCCTCGTTGACTTCGGGCTTGTTCTGGATGGTTTTGGCGCGAGACGCAAACTTGAGCGTCGACAGCGACTCCTTCAACGTAGTCCTGCGCTGGCGTAATTGTACATATAATCAATGTGCGCGCGTTGCCGCCTAGCGATGGCTGCAAGATGCGTGTCAGCTTCGAGTCGCGATACGGGATGTGACCACGATCACCGCCGTCTTCAGACAGGCGAGCAATGACTGTGCTCAGCGATAAAAGCGACTTGTTAATATGGCCACCTTCCTTCAGCCTCTGTCCCTCGGCACCAGTGAGCCCAACCCGCTCGGAGCCGGCCAGGTCGACCAAATTCAGGCACGACACCATTACAGCACCGGTAAACTCGCCAGTCTCGCCCAAGCTTCCCGAGCTGAGCCGCTGATGGTGCTTTTCCTGATCCACATCCATGTCGCCGTCCTGGCTACTGCTATCTGCCGACCCTGCCTCAGACTTTTCTCGGCTCTCAGCCACAATGCGGAAAATTGTGTGCGATCGGCTACTACGCTCGTTCATGTTTGTGCCAGCGATGTGCCGATTGCGGTCGCCCTTGGCAAGCAGCTCCTCCACCTGCTCTGCGTTGAACACGATATGCTCAGAGAGATCGCCAACAAAAATCTCGCGCTTCGCGTTCTCGTGGATCTTCAGGCTGGCCTTGGACGGCTCGAGCAGGTCGCGCAGCACTTCGTTGTAGATCTCCAAAAACGACACACGCAGCAGGTACTCGCGCCTCTCATCCTGCGCGATCTTGCTAAACATGTCGCGAACTGCCAGCTTGATGATTCCAGGCTCGGACCTCACTACCGTGCATTGTGTGGGTCTTGCCCGAAGACGTCTGTCCGTACGCAAATATCGTGCCGTTGAATCCTGCCAGCGTCGACTGGATGATCCCCTTCACACTGTTGTCGTAGACTTTCTGCGTTGTGTCTTTCTGATCAAACACCTTATCTACAACAAAATGTAGCTTAGCTGCATGGGCAGGCATGGGCGTACAATTACTTGCGGGTCTCGCGTCGTCTTACTTACCAAATGTGTACGAGTTTCCCTGACTAAAGCGTCCGTCGTGGTACTGCCTCTGTATGATGGTGTCGCGGTTTACGTGCCATGGCAGCTGGTTCAGTGCCACTGTGGTCGAGTTGCGAACCTCCCGCTGGTTGAGCGGGCGAATGCGAATGGCCACATTGATGTGGTCCTCCATTTTGGCACAGCTTTTCAGTAAAAGAACGAGAAAATTAGGAGTTGAATGAAGAGCAAAAGGCTGCTGGGTTCTGAGCAAATGCGCTGCGCATTTAGAAGCTGGTGAATTTTTCGCGACCAGGCAAATTCGAGCCCCTGCACTGCCATTGGCCCATTTCCAACAAAATAAACTCGGCTCGAGGGTCTCAACAGAGCCGCCGCTCGTCGCTTTTCTCAGGTTGGACCCAATTTGCCATTCGCCATTAGCCCAATTCGCTTTTTCCTTCACTCTTTATTACGTCGATTGGCATTGGACCCGCCTCTTCCTTTTCCACACAGTATATATAATGTCCAGCGCATTTGAAGACGAAGACGCGTTCTTGTATGGCGACACTGCTACTGCTGCGACTGCGCAGGCACCAGCAACTGACACAGAGCCAGCAAATGGCGAATCAGCCACAGGCACTCCAACAGCTGGTGGACCCGACGCGCAGGCCCAACCCAGTGCTCACCAGAGCGATGCTGAGACTCCCAGTGCTGACGAGGAATCGGGCAGCGAGTATGACGACGACGACGACGATCTCGAGGTGATTCTTGAGCCAGCGGATGCAGACGGCAGCGGTACCAACCAAGCGGAGGGCGGCACAGCAAGCACCGGCGCCGAAGCAGGAAAGGCCCTCGGCCAGCTGGGTGACGAGAAGGGGTCAGCAACCACCATCGAGCAGCTGCTGGCGACAAACAGCGACCGGATGGACATGATGACGGTTCCGCTGCTGAAAAACATCGATCTTTACAAAATCGACCTGGATTTGCTGGAGGAGAAGCCGTGGCGCAACCCTGGTGCCGATATCACGGATTACTTCAACTTTGGCTTCAACGAGCAGACGTGGCGCCTGTATTGCTTGAAGCAGAAGCAGCTGAGGGCCGACTTTAGCGTGCGCAAGATCATGCCGACCGGGATGATGATGCCAATGGGCAATCCAGGCATGTTCCCAGGGAACCCAATGATGCCACCAGGCATGGTCCCGCCGTTTATGCGGCAGCAGATGCCGCCAGGCGCACAGAAGCCGAGGGACGGTGGCCGGAGCGATGATGACGACGAGGGACGCGATGGTGGTGGCCGCAGTGAGTCGCGTGCGGCCCACAGCAAGGATGGTCAGCAGCGGCCAATGATGACCCCACAACAGATGCAGTACCAGCAGCAGATGCGGATGAACATGCCAATGCAGCAGGGGTACTATCCACCGGGCATGCCCGGAGGGCAGCGCAATATGCCGATGAACATGAGCCGGCAGGGCGGGCCAATGATGAACCCGCAGATGCAGATGGGTGGCAGGCCGCCGATGCCGCATGGTGGGCACCAGCAAGGCATGAACCCGGCGCAGCGGGGGCCAGGAATAAGCCACGGCCAGCAGCCACGGGAGCACTATGGCAGCCAGCGCGACGATGACCGCGGCAGCGAGTCGGGTAGGTCGTCGCGGCGGCACGGGAGTCGCGAGCGCTCGAGCTCGCGAATGAGGCAGCGGGACCGCGACGAGGAGCGCCCATCGCGGCGTGATCGGGACCGGCCACGTGAGCGCGACGGTGCGCGGGACAAGGCTGACAGCGGGTCGCGTAGGCCCGACCGCCGGCGGGAGCGCAGCCGGGAGCGTGGACGTGGCGCAGAGAGCGGCGGCCAGGCGGGTCGCGGAAACAATGGAGAGCGCCATGTGCAGAAGCGCCGGCGCTCGCCTTCGGGGGACAAGGAGGCAAGGAACATATCGAAACGCCGCCACTGAAGGCTGGCCTTGCATTTTATTTTCTTTCGTTTTGTTTGGGGTATTTCAAAAAAGAGTTCAGATGCCTCTGCGCTAATGAATTGCTTGGAGCTCAGGAGCGCGCCACCCGCGGGTCTAGCCCCTCGTCTGGGGGAGCTGAAATAAGGAAAATGGCCTGGCTCGCGACTTGGGTTTTATGCCTAATGGCACGAGACGGATGTCTCAAGGAGCGTGGTTCTAGCAGCTCATGCAGAACTGCCCTGTCATGGCATACTCGGCATCCTATGCGACAGAGCGTGCTGCGTGTCGGTGCAGCCAATTTGAGCTCCGACCTTATAACCCCAGACCGGGCAACCTGCCGACCAGACGTCTGCTGTAGTTTGCTTGATCGCCTTTGTATTTCCAAGCTCTCGCTGCCCCCTGCAATTCGTGATATCCGTGACCCATCCTGAGCCATCCAACCAGAATGTAAGGACACAGCACTGGTCACCCGTAACATGGTTTCTACTGCTGGCTTTTTGCGTCGAAATGCTGGAGAATGTAAAAGCCTGTTTTGGGCGTGCTACTTGCCACAACCCCACCCCAGCGGGCATCCTGGTGCCAGCGGCTGGGTGGGAATCCTAAGTGGCAAGGCCTCAGCACCGTTGTGCAGCCCCCGACCATGTCCCTTTATCTCCGGTGAGGTTTTCTGTGCAACGCCCTTCTGTTTACGCTCTACTGCCCCTCTGGTCGTTTCCTGTCGCAGGTGTGCAGAAAGTTACCGATCTGGCCAACGCTTTTGCGAGAAGGCCACGGGGAGATATGGATATGTTTTTGCCCAAGAATAGACATTGCGATGATTTGGCAAAAGAGCCGCCGATCAGCCACTGCCAAAGTGACTTCGAGACAACCAAGTGTTCGGCTTAAAAGGCTCCATATTGTGCCATTCTCTCCCGTCGTTTTTCGATTCAGACATTGCAAAATTGCGCTTTATTGCCGCACAACATGGCCATTGGAAAGACTAACCTATTTTCAGGTCGTCTACTACGCCCTTTTGTTGGCGACAACAAACTACTCAATACTGTTTTCCAGCCCAATTATTAGCAAAGCAACCCACCAAGACGAACCGTGCAAAGGCGCTTAAATAGCCACCAAGATGGACAGCTCGATTCCCTATGACCACCCGCTCTCCCACCCCCCTCACCACGAACACACATCCCAATACACGCCGCCGGCCACCACGCCCGAGCTAATCTACCCGCTCAGCTTCCAGCTCGGCAACCCTTCATTGCAAACCGCACAAGGCCAGGAAATGTCGTCAGACGTCGCAGCCAGCCTTATCTTCGGAGACCTCCGGGACTCGTACGATCGGCAGCAGGCACGCGTGGACATTTTGCGCGTGGCTACAGAGAACCTCGAGGCGCAGTTTCTGGGCTCGGTGCGCGATCGCACAACCAAGCCGAATAGCAAGATCACCGATGAGGAGAGACGGTGCCATGAGGAGCTGAGACGCACGCTCAACAGGACCAGGACTGCAGCTGGCCGATGAGGTCAAGGTTTTGCAATGGCTCAGAAGGCGCCACAACATGGCAGTCATTGGGCGCAAGGCGCGCAGCCGCTACCTGATCTACTAGGCACCACGCCCTCTGCCCACGGGCTAGATCCGGAAGGGCAGATCAGGATCAAAATTTTTGTTTTTTTTCGTCCTTCAGAGCCAGCGCGGCTGACTCTGAGACGAACCACAGACGGGCAAGCCATGTTTGATATTGTTTCTTTTCTTCTGTACTCGACGCAAATTCGCAAAATAGACTATTTTTATTTCTCCCTCAACACCCGTGCAGAATGGAGTTTAACGTGCAGCGTGCCGAGCGGACGCTATCATTGCTTACCAGTACGTACCTGGCCAACACAGATGCCGTGGCAGCGAACCTGGGTCTGGTGATCGAGACGTTCCAGTCGCAGAATCTCCTGGGGTTCACTGGCGCGCACACAGCACCGGCCGAGGTGGTGAAGCGCTACGAGGGCACAGTGCACAAGTGGCTGACGCGGATCAACTCGTTGGCGACTGGTAAGACGTCCGAGTCGCGCCTAGCAGGCGTGCTCCTGATGAAGTACACGGCCGAGCAGTCGCCGAAAATATTTGTCGAGAATGCGTCGAAATGGATGGCGAGTCTGCTGGCGATCCTGGGCAAGAGCGAGGTCGACCCGGTCTACGAGGCCACGATGGAGACTTTGGTGGGGTTCCTGGATGTGGTGCGCGAGGTGCCGGAATTGCAACGGGACGTAGCGGCAGCGCAGGTGCCGCGCGTAAACCAGACGGTGTTGGCGCTGGCTGAGAAGAACTCGGAGCTGGTTAACCCGATCATGGAGGTTCTGATGTGCTCAGGTGAACTGGTTCCCGACGCTGTTCCGGCCGTCGATCGACAAGACAGTCAAGTTGTGCTTAAAGTACTTGACCGGTGAGACGGTGCGGCGGAGCCCGGAGACAATGAAGCGGGCCGGCCGGTTGCTTTGCGTCGGTGTGCCAGGCGGGCGGCAAAATGACGGTGGAGGAGCGGTGGTTCGAGTACATGCAGCTGACGATGGGCACGATTGACTGGTGCATTGACCATATTATGTGTGTGGATGCAGGGGCGCCCGAGTCCGAGCGCAGGGAGTTTGGCGATCTGCCGAAGCTTTCGAGCGACTTCATGGCCTCGATCCCACAGGCAGTCGACCGCATCACAGGCATGGTGGAGCTGTTCACCGCCCTGCTTACACGGCCGACCAGCGCCAATATCGCGGTGCCCATCGAGCTGATTGTCGAGACGATCTCGCGGCTGGCGTTTGTCCCACTGCGCATCGCCAATGCCAAAACGGACCGGGCGGAGTACTCCTTGGTGCCGCTGCTGGCGCCGCGAATTCATATGGCGGCAGTCCACATGCTGGCCGCGCTGGCGGTTGCGCTGGGCGACTATCTGCAGCCATTCCTGGGCGGGATTGCGCGCACAGTGGCGGTGATCAACTCGAAGCTGATGGGCAGCGCGGCAACGCAGACGGCGGTGTTTGCGCTGATCCAGCTGTATGTTGAGCGGTTCGGGTTCGGATTCGTCCGTGTGGCTGCCTAAGGAGTTTGTGGCGCACATTGTCAGCAGCACAAATGTGCGTGGGCAGCAGCAACGCGCAGCCCCCGCGCCAGCCGCGTCCAAGGCATCGCGCAAACGCGGCAGCAAACAGGTGGTTGAGGAGGAGTCCGGGAGCGCCGAGTCATTGGAGTACGCATTAGTGCAGCTGAATTCGGTCAACCACAGCGCGCTGTGTGTTGTCACGGCTATCCTTGTCAACGCGCCGACGGCATTCACGACGGTGCAGCGCACGCAGATCGACGGGCAGCTTTTGACGCTTCTGCTGCTGCAGACGGTCAACCATGACCGGACGGTGTTTGCCGGGCGGCAGACGGACGTGGAATACACGGCACAGCTCTTTGAGTGCCTATTGGCGTCGGTTCTGTCGCCGGATCCCTGGCAAAAGGCGATTGTGCCGCATCGCCGTGTCGCTGTTTACGGCTGGGCTGGACAGCCCGTCAGCGAAGATCCAGTGTGTGTGCACACGGGCTCTGGCGGCGATTGAGCCGGTGGTCCACGCCAAGCTCCCGGCGCAGATGCGCGGACCAGCGCCAGAAGAAGAAGTGGAGATGGACAAGAGCATGCTGGACGAGCTGGTGCAGCCGCCGCAGCAAAACACGGTTGCGGAGGACGCAAATGCGCCGATTCAGGCGAAGCGTGTCAAGCTGGATGAACCGCTGATTGAGAAGACAAGGGAAGAGAAGGAGCCTGCTACTGCTGCTGATCTCCCGGCAAAGAAGAGCAGCCAGTCTGGTTGATACGCAATCGGTCCAGACACGGTCCATGACGAGCCTATTCTCCAAGGACAACTTTGCGGCGGTTGCGGAGACAGAGCCAGCAGCCAAAAAGCCAGTAGAGTCGGCGCTGCCCAAGCTGCCGGCCGTGCCAACATTCAAGCCAGCGGCCAGCGGTACGCCAGCAAACACAAGCGCTTCAACGAAGGAGGAAGAGAGTGACGGGGAGGAGTTCCCGGACATCGTCATGGAGGGATCGGACTCGGAGGACGAGGACTAGATGAGAATTTTTTTAGTGTTGTTGGCCACAATGTAATCAGCTCTATTGAACAGGACCCAGAGAAACATACGTCCAGAAGGAGTTTGTGATGGAGCGTGCCGGCTCGCTGCTCCGCTCGCCCTCGACCACCTGGTCCATGTCGTCGACGTGGCTACACGTGACCAGCAGCGGCAGCACCAGACAGTCGGTCTTCTCGACTGCGGCGACCTTGACCAGAATGGCAATGCGGTTCCCGTGCTTCTCGACAACGCCGTCCTGGGCACCGGCTAGCAGCTCACTCCGCATTGGTCCAGCCTCGTCGTCGTCGTCGTCGTACTCCCACAGCTCGGTGAACGGCGGCAGCGTGAATTGCTGCTTCATAATGCCCACCATGGCCGCTGCTGAGTCGGCATGGCAGGCGATCCTGCACGTGCATGTCGGTGTAGAGCGGATTGGCGAACCGCAGGACCACCGGCGCAGTGGTCCCGGCGCGCAGGCCCGGCGCATGGGCGACCAGGATTCGCGGCAAAAAGTGCATGGCCACCAGCTGGATCTTGAACCGCGTCAGCTGCGCCTTGCTCTCGGGCTTGATCAGAATGTGGTGGCATTGGCGGCACCGCCGCGCCAGCTTCATGTGCAGCCGCACGCGCTGCGGCTCCGCCTGCTCGGCGGTCGAGGCGGCAAAGTCGGCGTTTTCAACGGCCATGCGCTGGGTTACCTGCACATGATCGGTATCCTCATACCCTCCCGCCACATACCCTGCCGGCGCCTGTGCCTTCAACGCCGCCGCGCGCTGCACCGCCCGCCAATGCTCCAACAGCCCCGCATATTCGGTCCTGCTCCCGCGGCCGCGCAGCCTTTCGATCTGCGCCGAAATGCCCGTCGGCTTCTCGAACGCCCAGCCGATCGCCCTGGAGTCCCAGAAACACACTGCGCACGCCAGACTATAGGGCTTTGCAGCCGCAGTCTCCACGTCGCCCTCGACGACCGCCAGCACGTGGGTGCAGACGGGGCACTGGAAGCAGTTGCGCGCGCAGCTGTTCTGCTCCGACCGCACGCTGGCCGTGGGCACGTCGAACAGGCAGTTCGGGCAGTGGTAGCCGGCTGGCTCCTCGATCACGCAGTGCGGGCAGCGCAACGCACTGCAGTCGTCGCAGTAGTACAGGTGCTCCAGCGGGAACGCCCGCAGAGGGAGCAAGGGCGACGTGGGGAGTAGCGGCGGGCCTTGCGTCCGGAATGCTGTGCATCTGTCGCGCCTGTCGCCCCATTGCACGCGCAGTAGTAGAGAACGCTGGGCTGTGTTGTCATTCAGGCACTGTGATTCGGTAGGAAGGGGAATTAGAATTGGATAGGGGATTGGTATAAAAAAACTGTGTATGGAAACAAAAACAACGAGGACCTTGCTGCGTTGATCTCCTGGTCAAAAACACCCTGTCAGTAAACAAGCCGCTCGACCATTTCGGCAATGGCCAGCGACGACGTCAGCCCAGGACTCTCGATGCCGACCAGATTGACAAACCCCGGCATGCCTGCCCCCGTCTCCTCGCTAACCACAAAGTCATGGAACCTGCCTCCAGGCGGCTGCAGCTTCGGGCGGATGCCGGTGTATCCGAGGCTCAGATCCTCGGTGCGGATGCCGGGCAGGTATTCGGCGACCGCCTGCCTCACCTGGTCCAGCGACGCGCCGCCACGCATATCGTAGTCAGTGTTGGACTCGATCCACTCGAGGTCCGGGCCAAACCGGATGCCGCCGCCCATGTCCACAGTGAGGTGCGTGCCCAGCGACGTGATGTGCTTGTCGGGTACCGGGTAGATGAGCCGACTGACCCTGATCTGCGACCCGCTGTACGTGTAGTACCGGCCCTTGGCGAAATGCAGGCGGTACTTTTGCCGCCACCCGTCGCCGCCCGCCATGCCTGCGATCCGGATCGGCCCACAGGCCGGCTGCATTGACGAACTACTTTTGCCTGCACGCCCATCACCGGCGCGTCCGGATCGTGGGTGCGCACCAGCACGCGGTAGTGGTCCAAGCCACGTGCAATGGCTGTGACCTCAGTCAATGGCACAAAGTCGCTGCCATTCGAAAGCACGTCGGCGTGCAGCCTGCCCATATACGCGTGCGCATCGATGATGCCCGTGGTAGGGCTGGCCAGTGCGGCATGCGCGCGCACAGACGGCTCGCTGCGCAGCTCAGCACTGCCAATGAGCTCCGTCGGCACTCCCAGGTCCGCGCAGTGCATTGCCAGAGCGTGCAGGTACTGCGTCTGCGGCTCGTCCTGGGCCACCACCCACTTGCCCACGCGCGTGTACGGCACCTGGTGCTTATCGCAGTACTCGTACAGCAGGCTTTTGCCGCGGATGCACAATTTGGTTTTCAGCGAGTCCTTCGGGTAGTAGATGCCTGCGTGGATTACTTCGCTGTTTCGCGAACTAGGCAAACGAACTCGTCAGCCAAATGCATGCTTTTTCTTGTTCTTCCTGCAGAGCAGTAGGCAATGTTGCTTTTTTGAACTCACCTGGTTTCCATGCCAAACTGCTTGTTCTTCTCAACCACCAATGTGCTTGTGCCGGGCCGCCTCGATAGCCGACTGCCTACCGCTAGCCCGACAGCACCGCCGCCAATCACCAGGTGGTCCACCTGCATCATGTCCTGCGTCTTCAGCGACGCCAGGGTGTCGGCTGCGCTCGAGTACAGTCCGCCGCCCAAGTTGAATTTGTCTGCGAGCCATTTATCGAATTCGCGCTCTTTACAAAAGATAGTGTGAAAAGATAAAGAACCGAATCTGAGCACGGTCGCGTGACGACTGGGATCTGCAGGAATGTATCTTGTTCTGCTCGGCTGCACATATACTCCGAAAGATATTGGTATAGAACATGTACTTTTAATTACAAAGAAAAGACCAAGTACAGTGTGAAGAGCATGAAATGAAACAAAAAAAATTAGTTGTCGGCAACAGCGCTAGCCAGAGCCTGGGCAATGTCAGCCAGCAGATCATCGCCGTCCTCGACACCAACCGACAGGCGGATCAGGTTGTCAGTGATACCCAGCTCATTGCGCTCCTCGGGCGACAGACCGGCATGGGTCATGCGGGCCGGCAGCTCAGCCAGGCTCTCGACGCCGCCCAGGCTCTCGGCCAGGGTAATAAGCGCGGTGCGCTGCAGGAAGCGGTCGGCAGTGTTGGTGTCGCCCTTGATGCGGAACGACAGCATGCCGCCGAAGCCGCGCATCTGGCGCTTAGCAAGCTCATGCTGCGGGTGCGACTGCAGGCCCGGATACACGACGCTGTCGACATACGGCGACTGCTCGAGGAACTCGGCCACGCGCTGCGCATTCTCCGCATGCTGGCGCATGCGCAGATGCAGCGTCTTGATGCCGCGGTGCGCCTGGTAGCAGTCGAACGGCGACGGCACGGCGCCAATGGCGTTCTGCAGGAAGCGGATCTTGGACGCCAGCGCATCGTCATTGGTGGCAGCCACGCCCATGACCACATCCGAATGGCCGTTGATATACTTCGTCGCCGAATGCACCACCAGGTCGGCGCCCAGGTCCAGCGGGTTCTGGAAGTACGGCGACAGGAACGTGTTGTCCACCACCACGTACAGCCCAGCCTCATGGGCAATCGCCGACACGGCTACAATGTCCACCAGCCGCAATGTCGGGTTGGTAGGCGTCTCGATCCACACCATCTTGGTGTTCTCGCGCACCGCGTCGCGCAGGTTCTCGGCATCCGCCAGGTCGACAAAGGTCGTCTCGACGCCCAGGCTGCCGGCCACCTTGTTCAGGTACCGGTGCGTGCCGCCGTACACGTCGTTGACGCTGATTACGTGCGAGCCCGGCTGCAATGTGTTCAGCACCGTCGCCGTGGTCGCCGATCCCGAGGCAAACGCAAACCCGTGCTTGGCGTGCTCCAGCGCCGCGATCGCCGTCTCAAGGTGCGCCCGGTTCGGGTTGTCCGAGCGCGAGTACTCGTAGACGAAGTCACCCACTGCCCTCTGCTTGAAGGTCGTCGAGAGCGACAGCGGCGGGATCACCGCTCCGGTGTGGGGATCGGGCTCGGCACCGGCGTGGATGGCCAGCGTACCGAAGCCGTAGCGTGCGGGCTCCTGTCCGTTGGCGTAGAGGTTCTTTGTGTTGGCAGGCGACATGGGATGCTGTGGAGTTCTTTTCTTCCTTGGAACGAGGATTGTGAGGAATGAAGACAAAAGGTATTAGAGGGAGGCGCAATGGGCTTGCTTTGAGAATGAAAAGATACTGCTGCTGTTTTTTAATGACGGCCTGCTTGAGCGCCTGCCCGGCCCGTCCTTTTATACCAGTCCAGCCAATTTGTCAGCGCCAGACGAATGTTTTCTCTTGACAGCCTTTTTTCCCTTGACAGTTCTGAGACATGCCGAGCGCACATGATTGGTTTGCGTTTCTTTGCAGTTCGCCCAGCCCGTCCTGTAAGGTCCCCTACGCTTTCTTTTCCTAGCCAGCTCAGGCGGTTCCAGGCCTGAGCACGCCTTCTGTGTCGGTTCCCATTCGCCACTCCCGCGTAATTTTTGGGTGCCACACAGTTCCTCTTTAGGCAGCATTATTACGCAGGCATCAACCCTATCGCCTGTGTGTGGAGACCAGCACGCCATTAGCTTCTACGCGGGGGAGAGTCGCCCTACACCCACATTCGCCCCGGCACGATGATGTGCTTCGCCTGAGGATTGACTTGAGATGTCGCCCGCTTCTCACGCACTATAACCACTATTTTCTGTTCAATGAAAAAATTTTCGCCTGCAATGCGGAATATGGCTTGCCCAGCCTCCCTATTCGATTAGTGCCTTTTACTCAGTGGAAACCGGCTCCCCCACCCTCCGCAGTTTTTGAGATTACAAATTCTCAGTGTTGCGATGGCGAGCTCCCATGCACAAATGGTGCAATCGAGAAATTGCTTTCTCGGCCCCCTGCGTCTTTCCCCTCCCCTTCTCATGGGGTCTGTGTCACAGGATCCGCAACAAGAATTGCACATGGACGATACTGCCCGCAAAGCCGCATCATTTGTCATGATGACCCACAGCTGCCCAATGCTATGCTGTGCAGAATGCCAGCACCCGGTGGACATTCACACGCCCACTCTTTCTCACCAGCTACGGGGGATCTGGCGCGGCGACATCATCGACACAACAAAACCGCCAGCGATGCTTTTCTTTTTCTTTTGCTCGTGGGAGACGCTTTTTGCTCGTGGGAGACGATCTTTGTTGTGGACTGCATTCTTTGCTTTAAATATCTGGGTTTCTACTGCTTGGGATTTCCCGTACGCATTCATGATCGCTCCCGAGTCAAACGCAAATCCGCTGAGTGCCGACGACCCGTTTGCATGCGGCGGCATTGGCTGTTGCGGCGGCGTGCCCATCGGAGCTACGAACCCGTGGCTCACCGGCACCATTCCGAACGGGTGCATTCCGGGATGCGGCGCCATCATGCTGCCCACAAATGGTGCCACCATCGGCATTGGCATCATGCTCCCCTGAATAAACCCACTGCCATCCGCCAACACATGCGGGACCGCTGCTGGGCCAACCAGGGATGACGTCGGCGGCGGTGGCGGCGGTGGCGGTGTGCCCGAAATGCCATTCTGCTGCATCAACTTCGACAGCGCCAGGAGCTTGCTGTCTGCTTCGGGCCCATTGACTGGGCTGCTGACGCCGCTGGGCCGGCCCATCAGCGTCTGCAGAAGCGACGCCGACTTGCTCTCGGGCGTGGCCACCCCGAACCGCTGTTGCGCCTGGCCCACGCCCAGCATCGGACTTCCGTGCTGAGCCGCCACACTCGGCTCGATCGCCACCGACGCACTCCGCCGCCCCTGTCGGCTCAGCTGGCGGTGACTGCGCCCGGCTCACTGTCTTGAACAGATCCTGCACCGACATCTTGCCCGCTGCCACCAGCGGCGCTATGGCCTTGCTCTCCTCCCTGGCCCCCGGCGAGCCGATTCGAGCGTTCATGCGGCGCGCCATCCCCTGGTGCTTGCTGATCCATGTCTTGATTCGCTTGACAAACGGCTTGAATCAGATAGTACCGGTGCTCCTTCTCGTTGCCGTTCTTGGGCCCATTCCCAACATTGCCCTTGCCGCCCGCCGGCAAATCCGTGATGTTGTGCCACTGGATCTGGCTGATCTCCTTGCGCGTCGTCGGAATGAACTCTGTGTCCTCTGGAATCCCCGTAATTATGTACAGCAGGATCTTCTGGTCCGCCTGCGTGATCTCAATCCGCTCCTTCTCCTACCAGATGCGGCAGGATGTCAAACCCCGTCTCCTCAATAACCTCGCGCTGCGCACACTGCCACTCGGGCTCGTCCTTGTTGATCTTGCCGCGCGGGAACCCCCAGCTCGACCGCGAGCTCCACCCCTTCACCAGCAGCACCTTGTCCAGCGCCTCGTTCAGAATTATCGCTCCGCACACCGGCACCTTAAACTTGTACTCGAGGAATGTCTGGTATGCTGTCTCTGCGTCGTGCGCCCAATGCGACAAAAGCGGACAGTGCTTGAACATCCGCCCCGCAAACGTCTTTAGCGACATTGACGGCAGTGACGGGTTCTTCTCCCGCACAAAGTCATCGTAGAACCAGTGCGCCTGCTCTATCTGGAAGCAAATCCGCTCCACCTGCTGTAGCTCCTCTTCGGGCACGTTAATGATAAACCGGCTATATCCTGTGCACACAAGAAAGAATAAAAGAGGTGCTGTCAGCGTCCCTGAATTGCCTGTTTCTCATTTGCCCCCTCCCCTCCATTGCTCGCTCCCCGTGCTCGCTCGTTTTCTCCGGCTGTCAAATAAACGTTACCTGGCCAAGTCGTCCAGGACCTCTGAAAATGTCGCGTCCTCAAACATTGCGCTTGTAGCTAATAGTGTGTTTATGAAAAAAGTAAAAGAGTGGTGTAAAAAAATGCTGAATTGAAAAGTAAGAGCGAATAGAAAAAAGCAAGCTCTGCTGCAGCCAGCCTGCCACACTGGGCCTTGTTCGCAAAGCCGTGACTTTTTTGCCAGCGAGCCGCATCCGACTCGAGCCGAGCCATCGCGTGCACGCCACAGCCTACTCTGCCCCCAGCTCATACGGCAGCTGTGTCTCGGCAAAGCTGCTGATCCAGCGCAGCACCTCGGAGCACCACCTGACGGAATTGCCGGGCTTGTTCGTCCAGTGGTCCTCGTCGGCAAAGTACATGAGCTTGGCCGGGATGCCCTTGCGCCTGAGCAGCGTCCACGGCGCAACGGACTGCTCAGTCGTCAGCCGATAGTCCTTTTCGCCATGGATAAACAGCGTTGGCGTTGAGAACTCGCCAGCCAGCCGCTCGGGATTCCACCTCTCGTACACCTCCCTGCTTCGCTCGACAAACGGCACTCCACCTAGGTCGTGCTCCGGGAACCACAGTTCGTCGGTCGAGTAGTAGCCAGATATGGTGTTGAACTGTCCGTCGTGTGCCACCAGCGCGCGGAACCGCTTCGTGTTTCCGTTAATCCAGTTCATCATGTATCCGCCATACGAGCCGCCGAGCGCAACGAGTCCGGTCCTTGTCGATGTACTTGTTCGTAGAAATAGCGTGATCCAGTCCCTTCATTAGGTCCTCGTACGGCAGCCCGCCCCACTGCTGCGCGATCGAGTCTGTGAACTCCTGTCCGTACGACGAGGAGCCGTGGAAGTTTATCTGCACTGTGACAAACCCGGCACTAGCATACAGATTTGGGATTCCACTGGCTCAAGCTGAACATGTGCATATTGGCAGCCCTGTGGACCGCCATGCACCATCAGCGCCAATGGGTACTTTTTGGACGGGTCGAAATTGTACGGCTTCAGGAGCCACCCATGCACGCTGTCGTTGCGCGCACCTGCAAACCAAAAGTCCTCGGCCGGACTAACATGTACGTTCAGTAGTTTATCCTCATTCACATGCGTCAGCTGCCGCACCGGATGCTTCTCCCGCGGCCAACTCAACCACGTAGATGTTGGCTGGTGACGTGTCGTTTGTGTACATTGCAAGTAGTCTATCTGTCCCGAGCCGCATGATGCCCGACACATATCCATTTGCTGTCAGTGCCTTGCGATTGCCAGAATCGACATCTATCGAATAGAGCTTGCGGTTCCCCTGCTCGGGCACCAATGCAAAAATCTGCTTGCCTATCAGCCGACCACACCAGCGACTGCGGCGACATATTCCAGTCGCGTGCGATATTTGTTGTTGCACCCCACTCTCGATTGCGTGAATATAAATACGGTTGATATCAGCCTCGTATCCAGGCGTCTCCATCTGCAGCCATGCAATGCTTTTGCCGTCTGGCGAAAACGCCGGCCCGCCAGCCATGGCCTTGAACTTGTCAGTCAAAAGCTTGGGTACTGTTGCGCCGCTAGTCGAAACGAGGTAAATGTCGACGTCAGTCGACCACGCCATGTCCAACCCAGGATTACGCACCACTATAGCCACATGCTGCCCGTCGTCAGAAACTACGAATCCCTCTGAATCCCACCGAATCAGCTTGTTCTGGAACTCGGGAAACTCTCTCATGAGGTTTCTTGCCCCGCCCTTGCCCCACTCTTCGCCTGACTTCCATGGTAAACACATTAACCTTGACCGGCGACATCCACCTTGTTCCAGTGCCGTGCCCAGAGGTCATCGTAAATCTGGGCCGAGTCCTTTTTTTCTTTCTCTGCCTCTTGGTTACGACCCACACCTTGCAGTTCGCCATCTGGATACACGCTTGCCCCGAACACTACCCTGTTGGATTTCGATCTATACACAAATCCGCTGATTTGCGCTGTACCATTGTATAGCAGTGTGCCGTTTGTGCCAGGTGCAAGTGAGTGCCTATATATGCAGCCCTTGGAGAGATAGGCTGCCTCGGACTCGCTGAGCCACACCGGGTTGCCTATTTTCTGGTCCTCCATCATTGGCGTCAGTTGGGTGGTTTGTCCTGAGACTACGTCCAGGACATTCAGATAGCTGGTATCTTTATTCTTGGCACGATCGTAGTACGACGTTACGTACAGCGCTTTTGCCTGGCCAGGCGAAAGCACAGGCATACCGATGCGCGTCAGCGAGTGGAACAGATCGACTGTCAATGGGCTTTGTGCTGCCTGCGGGATGTCACGGTCATTGGCAGCGGCCGCACTGGCTAGCAATATACAGGTACTGGACTATTCTTGCAAACAACATTGGAGATAGGTATATTCGATCCAGCAAAAAGACTACAGAAAATGCGTCTTGGGTGAATTATAAAAGTGCGTTTAGCATGTTTGGATGGGGAGTATATACGATTACTGCTTCGTCACTACCACTGATATCTGTTCTAAATTTCCAACGACGGTTATTACGGAATGAGGAGCTCAAGTTTTATCTGGCACGGTTCTTGTGCATGCTTCCACAGCAGCATCTGTATCTGAGTAAAAAAAGATATTCATATTACGTATATCCAGTACGTCTTGAGATTTAATAAACTAGATATGCCCCCGAAACTTCTTTCACTCTTGTTTCGCCAATCTATCTAGTGGTTAGAATGGTAACCTCTGCGTACTTAAAATCAACGAGTAAATTCTCATCCCTTTCTGTTAACTATTTTTACCTTGGCTCGAATAAATAGTAAAAGTTACTCGTGTCGAATAGAGACCTGCCGGTCTTGGACCTCTAACCATATAGTGGTAAGCAGCATATATCCTATATACATGCATTGTCTAGGCCCGTTGTCCAAGCCACTTTGTCTCATACGTGCTTCGTCGCCAAAGCAGAATCTCCCATTCCTAAGGTGTTGATATTCGGGGTCCAGAGTCCCCCTGCACCACTATGGACAAGGTTGAAACACATAGATACAAAGTCCCAGGCAGACGATCAGTTTTTCTTCCGCCATATTTTTGAAAGATATACATATATACATATACATATACATATACATATACATATACATCCCCTCTCTCTGATAACCACTCATCACCTATGTTAACATAAGATATGTGGAGGGTGATCATCCATGCATTTCTTGGCCAAGGCTAGCATCGCATGGCCATTTGGCTGTTCTCAGTGACAGCCAGGGACATTATCGGCTCGTATATGACTACTGTTGCTCCCAGTATTCCCATTCAGCTATTTCAGTTAAACAAAAGGGTGACACTAGCCACTATATCTATTGTATTCTCTGACACAGAGGTGTGCCTCGAATTGCTGCCTGAGGGTGGGGGTACTTGACAAAGTGTAGCAAACGGTCACGATACCATTGGCATGAGGTTTCAGTTGTTCGCCATTTGTTGCCACTAATATTTTGCTGATCCTATGCTTTCTCATCTCCTCCTTCACTTTTTGACACTTTCAATTTGATTTTTCTTTACTGAGCACTATGGACTCGTTGCGCAAGTAAGATATCCTCATTTGGGGCGCATCAGGTTTCACCGGAGCCCGGCTTATCACCTACCTTGCACAGAACGCACCCGAAGATGTCAAGATCGCCGTAGGTGGTCGCAGCGAGTACAAGGTCGAGGCCACCCAGCGCCGGATCATTGCCAATAACCCTGAACTCAAGGACCTGGGTCAAGTCTATGGACGTCCTGGTCGGCAGTGTCAGCAACGAAAAGCGCATCCGTGAGATTGTTGCACAGACCAGGGTTGTTGCGACAACGGTTGGCCCTTACGCGCTGCGCGGGTCAGAGCTTGTCCGTGCCTGCGTTGAGGAAAAGACTGACTACTGTGACATCACTGGCGAGGTACCGTGGGTCAAGAAAATGCACGACGAGTTGAACGACAAGGCTGTTCGTAACAAGGTTCACATTGCGTCGTTTTGTGGTTTCGACAGCATTCCGGCCGACATTGGTTGCTTCATGCTGGCTGAATATGCGAAGCAGAAGCTGGACAAGCCGCTGCTTCACGTCAAAGGCTCAATTACCAGGGTGCGTGGTGGAGTTAGTGGTGGAACATTGGCCACTGCCATCGAGCAGATTGGCGACTTCAAGACCATCCTGTCTGAAAAGTTCCTGGGCAGCGAAGAGTCCACAGACGCTGAAAAGACCCTCAGAAACCCGACATTCAACCGCAGCATGATCCACTATGATAATCATGTCAAGCGCTGGCAGACATTCTGGATCATGGGTGAGGTCAACAATCGCGTTGCCGGGTGGGCTGGTCAGGTTCTCAACTACGGTCCGCGATTCACCTACAGCGAGTCCATGTCGGCATATAACGTCATCCATGCAGTACTAGTGCCCATTGGTTTGGCATATTTTGCATTCTTGATGCTGTTCAGCTTCATTCGCAATCTTCTGTTTGCGCTCAGCATCATTCCTCGGCCCGGGAGTGGACCGAGTGAGCGGGCAACCAAGAAGGGGCATTTCACACTGAGTCTGGAAGGATTCACCGATGAGGGTAGCGCCGTGTACGGCAAGGTCGTGGGCACCAGCGACCCGGGTTATGGTGAGACCATCAAATATCTGGGCGAGAGTGCACTGTGTCTGGCACTGGACCGCGACAGCTCATTCAAGCCAGGAGTGTACCCGCCTTCAATCATCATGGGCAATGCCCTGCTCTCTCGGCTTCGCAGTAGAGGATGCCAGTTCGAGGTCAGCAACACACCAATCGAGTGGAGCAAGCGCAAGAAGCACACTCAATAAGAGCAGTTATTTTTTACATACTGGATGTCGAGTGCTAACATACTTGTGATACATTCGCCAAACATTGCCATCCTGGAACATGGAATACATATGTTACAACATGTTCATTTTGAGAACGAGACATGTGTGTTATCGATGGTGCTTTTATCAAATACTGAGCGCTTAAAGCGAAGTTGTGGATATTAAGAACCTGTTTGAAACAATAAGCTTAAAAAGTGCAGAATACATTAAGGAAAGCAGATGAAGAAAAAGGGAGAATTGAAGGTATCCAAAGAACATCCTGATATCTTTCAGATTGAGCGGTTCTGGAAAAGATCACAGGGCGTGGCTCCTGGGCCAGCCTCATCCATAGACTGTAGTCACCTTGTGAGGGTGACAAGCCTCTGATGTTATTGGCTAGTGTCAAACAAAAGCGCTTTATTTAGCTGGTGGTTTGTACTTCACCACATACCACAACACATGTATTGTTGAACATTTAACACCTCGCGACACCTTGTATACAAATCACTAGCAACAGTGCTTGCGTTTTAGATACACTACAAAGCAACGACCATTCTATTGGAATAGACAGTGCTGTAATTTTCCAGTATTTTCCAGTATTTCCAACAGTAATGTCACCAATGTTGATATTGGAGTGCCGAATCACTCTTGCCGCACCATGCCAATGAACCAAATTCCACTATGACCAGGTCTCTAAACCGGTTGGATGTCTCCCCTTTTTCTTCAGTAAATCTTGGTATATCCTTTATTTGTCTACATGTGTAGTCTTGATGTATTGGATAAACTATTTTGACGGACACAGGCTTTTATCCACTAGCATTCTATCTAAATGGTCGCTTTATATTCCTAGTATTAACTTTACGCTGAAATACATAGCATATCTAGCAACCATTTATATAAACCGTTTCCAGACAGGAATCCTGCCATACACACAGTTCCTGCTATGGCGCTAGCCTGAACACTATAATAAGTCGCCTAATTCATGATGCACGTTTACATCTGTAGGCTCTCCTTTGGAATTGCACTATTGGAGCTACATCAAAAATAAATGAGATTGAAAACAGCGAACGGCCAGGGCTGTGTCAGAGTTGGTTTATTCATCGATTGATCATGAAATGGTTGAAGAACGCCGTGAAGGCTTTAGGTCTGAGACTAATCCTGCTGTTTCATGGACTTCTATTTCCCGAATCTACTGTGGCTAGTGGGCTATCCTCTTTTAGCTAAGGCTTGTACATCTCACAAAAAGCAACTGAGCTTGTTGCGCTGGCTTGACATAGCAGCAGCATGGACCTCTTATCCAAACGCAGCATTTCCTCGACTTTTAAGAATGACGCAAGATGTAAGAGGGTAGGCGGTGATTGAAAAATCGGATTTTTGTTTATAAAAAATGAAGATAACGGCTTATAATTTTTAGTTGTACGACCACTTGGGCTCCAGCGGACCCTTAGGGCGGATCTCGAGCTGGATCTGGCGGTGGACAGCACAGACAAAATCAACGTAGGTCATGTTGTCGTTGTTGCGGTCCTCCACAAGCAACGAAGCCAGGGCGACCTCGCTTTGGTCCAGACCCTGGCGCACGAATCTGCACACTGGCGTACTCGGCGCGCTAGCGGCACCAACTGACGCGCAATAGCGCGGATCTTCTGGTTCAGCGCCGTGTCGAGCTCTGGCAGCTGGTGGGCCAGTACATCAACCTGCTCCACTGCAGGTGCACCCAGCACCTCCTGGACAAAGGAAGCCGGCGTCTGGCGTCCGAGCCACAGGTACAGCGATGAGCCCTTGTTGACAATCAGGTATGCGCCAGTTGGGTCCAGGACCGTATACGAGGCGCGTGACAGAGGCGGAAGCGTGACCAGGACCGGTCTTCTCATCGACAGTGCCCTCAGCACCGTCGAGCGAGTGCACGGGTGCGAACGCGTGGGTAGAAGTACTCCATGGACCTGGGCACTGAGAACTGGCGCAGCAGGTTCATGTGGTACACGCGCTGGTCGATTGGCACATCGGCACCACCACGGAGCGCCGGGCTCTTGAGGAAGCGCTAGAGTGTAGAGCGGCGACAGCTTGTAGGCCTCGGGCAGGATCAGCTGGCCGGGCGAGCTGCCTGATGCGCAGTTGCGGCGGTATGCAGTCAGAATCTGCACAGTGCGATCAGTCAGCTTGTCGCGGATCTGCTTCAGCGGGGTGTGCATTGCATCAGCGACAGCCATCTTGGCCACCAGGTTCATGCTGGCATCAACCTCGGAGTGACGGAACATGTTGCCAATCAAAGTCGTGCACGGAATCGCCAGGTTGTGCACGCGGATACGCCGCTGGCCATCAGAGGTGGTGTACAGAAGCGCAACCTGGAAGTACACGTCCTGCTTCTCATCGAGCTTCCCGTCGTACTGGAGCAAGGCGCCGATAGCCGTGTCGCTGGTAATGCCTGCAAGCTCGACGTCGACATGATTGCGCATGTAAAGGTTGCCATAGTGCTCGTCGACGCGCAGACCGTCAGAGGTACGGATACGCAGGACGCCGTTGGTGCCGAACGGACGCTGGGCATCATAGCGCAGATCGCTGGCAAACTGGGGCCCGTCCCGATCGGTGTGGAAGGCCGGGTACATGTACATTTCGCCGCTGGTCACAGTCGACAGCTGGCCTAGTGTGGCCGCGTCGATGTAGGCAGCGGGGAACAGGTACAGGTTGCAGCTGATGCCTTGCTCAACAAGCTTGACAGCCCACTCGTGGTAGAACGAATCCTGTGGCTCGTACAGCGTCTTTTCCTTGTCAGTGTTGTGCAGCTTAGGCATCGTCGCGGTTGCGCAGCGTGCCAGGGCCGAGCGTGGGCAGCGCCGACGCCATCACAAACAGCTTACCGCCACAGCCGCTCAGTGTCTCATGGACAGCCTGAATAACAGCACCCAGCACGGGCTCGGCTGTGCGGTTGCGTGCAAACATGGCAGGCAGCGAGTCAAGCAACTGCTCAATGATGAGCTGAGATTCGATCGGATCGACAGCCAGCCCCTCGTTGAGCGGCACAAAGATGTCACGGATGTCGGGCACCACCATCATCTGTGCCTGATCCAGCGACGACAACAGGTTGTAAAAGTGCGCGCTACGATCAAAGGTAATGATGCCAACACGCGTGCCAGCCGGCAGACCGGGGCCCTGGTACAGAAGGTCCTTGATGGTCTTGGCTGCAGTAGCAACCATGCCACTCTGCACCGCGTTCCACGTCACGTCAATGGCGAAGATATAGGTGGCGGGCCTGGGGTTGTGGGTAATGAACTCCTTGGTGGCAACAAACTCGACCGATCCGCACCGCAGCTCAGGCCGTGCCTCACGATCCAGGCGCTGGCCAGCCATGTCCAGGTTGCAGAAGTAGTCCTCAGGCACCTCGTTCTCGTGGCGACACATGTTGCACACGAAACGCTTGCCACCCTCGATAAATGTCATGTGCGGGTTGATGTAGGTCTTGCAGCGGATGCAGCGGATCGGGCCTTCGGCGCCAAAGTCAATGAGCTGCACTGGAGCCTCGCTTGGAGCCAGGTCCGCAAGCGGCTGGACAATCATGCCGAGTGGCAGGTGCGACGCCTTGAGCAACTCCTTCCGGTGTGCGGCACATTGTACATAGTCATGCGCATGAAGCGCGGGTTGCTATTGCCTTCGTCAATGGCCGTGAAGTTGGTGGACGCCAGTGGGACATTGGTCTTGAGTGCCGTCGAGTATGGCTGCTCGTTGTGCAGCTCCTGGTCATGCGTGTGCACTGCAGACGGGGTGGGCATCTGGTTCGGGTCAATGCGTGGTCTGGGAGGCTCGTATGGCGCCTGCTGCGGGGCTCCTGCAACCCCGCCAGTCAGCGGCGCAGGGCGAGCATACGGACTACCGGCTGCTGGCCCAGGAGTCGGTGCCTGAGCGCCCGGCACAAATGTTTGCTGACCACCCGGCGCTGCGGGATAGCCAGGCTGAGGCTGGGCCTGGGCACCGTAGGGCATCTGCTGCGGCGGGGCGCCAGACATCGGCGGGTAGCCGGCCGGAGGAGCACCAGCAGCGGCGCCGGGAGCCCCCATGGAGGCGGCTGGCGCATACACGCGCTTGGCCCGGGCCTTGTGGGCGTGGGCGTGGGCGTGGGAGCCGGGGGGAGGCGATTGCATCCCCTGCTGCTGCTGCTGAGGCTGACCAAGGTTCATGTTTCCCATCTGCTGGGTCATGCCCGCCATGCCAGGCGCCATCGCCTGAGGCTGCTGAGCAATAGGCTGCTGCTGCTGGTACGGCATCGACATCGGCGGCCGCTGAATCTGAGGGGCATACTGCTGCTGTTGCTGCTGAGGCGATACTACCCGGGCCTGCTGTGGCATCTGCTGTTGCTGCTGCTGCTGCTGCTGGGGCATAGGGGCCTCATTTGCATTTGTGGCTGGGGCCGAATTCCAGGCTGTTGCTGCTGCATAGGCGGTCTGTACTGGGGCGGGTAGCCTTGGGCTGGCATACCGCCCATTCCGGGTGCCGGAGATCCCTGGGGCATCGGCGGGCGCATGCCTACCGGTGGCCTCTGGCCCGGCTGAGCTCCAGGCACCGATCCAGGCGGCGGCGGTGGCGGACGCTGTTGGGCGCCTGCGTGTTGCTGGTACGGAGCTGAGTTCATATTATCCGTCTAAAGCACGCTGTTGCTGATCGAACAAATACGAAATCTGTGGGTTGACGACGAACTGAAATGCCTTGCTGATGTGGGTTTCCAAGAGACTGTGAGATGTGCAGGGAGAAAGAGCTGTGTGGTGTTATAAGAACCCTTCCGGCACGAATAGAGCAACAAGACAAGTAAATTGCACCCCCGCTGGTTGGAGATGGAGTGGAAAGCGAAATATGGAAATAAGCTGAAATGCGCCAGGTAGAAAAAGGCCAAGGGCGGTGCTGTTCAGGCGAGCGATTTTTGTAAAGCGTCTGCCGTAAGAGCGTGGATGTCACCAGCAGTGCGTGGCGGAGACCCAAAGGGTGGGCAGACAGGCTCATGACAGGGCCAACGCCCATTGGTCTGCAGCAGCGATTTGATCGGTACGAAATATCTTTGCAGTGATCACTGGCTAATCTAATCCGTCCTAAGGGTAAACATGCTAGGGCCACAGGCAGACTGCCTGGCATCAGTGCCAGAGCGTGAGGGCTATTCAAATTGCAGGCTTTTCCCCTTGCACCTTTCTGTCCTCTCCATTCCGCGTCTGCACCCCTATTTCTCGTGTTTACTTCTCGCGTTTATACACTTTTTGATACATAGTTCCATTCTGAATCACCAGTCGCTGCAGCCATGTTCACCCCTAAGCATTCCAGAAGCAGGGAGGGGTCTCCTGACATCGCGACACCGCGTAGTGCCGGTACGCCGCAGACTCCGCGGGTGAATGACGATGCGGCCGAGCGCCGCCGCCGCCGCAGGTCGGCTATCGAGAGGCGGCGGTCAAACCTGGTGACGCCGCATCGCACGACAACCAAGACGAACCTCTTTTCGCCGAGCCCGCAGCTAAAGTCGCCGAAACGGGCAGTTCGCTGTGCAGCTTCCGCAGCTGACGCCTGAGGAGCTGAATCCAGCGGTACGAGGAGTGGATGAAGATTGCGGCAGACAACAAGATTAATGCCAACAACACATGGGACTTTGCGCTGATCGACTATTTCTACGACATGCGGCTGCTGAAGGACGGCGACTCGATCAACTTCCAGAAGGCGTCATGCACGCTCGATGGCTGCGTCAAGATCTTCTCGTCGCGCGTCGACTCTGTGGCATCGGAGACCGGGCGGCTGCTGAGTGGCCTGGCTGAGGCCCCAGGAAAGCGTGGTCGTGGGAATAACACCGCGGGTGAGGAGGAGCAGGACGAGGAGAGCGCTGCCGGGAAGCAAAAGTCGCGCCGTGCAAACAGATCGGTTAACACGCTGGCCAAGGACATGGCCAGCATCAGCGTGAAGAAGCTTGACCTCGAGTTTTCGGTCGACCCGCTGTTCAAGAAGACCGTCGGCTGACTTTGACGAGGGTGGGGCGCGCGGACTGCTGCTCAACCACCTGAGCGTGGATGGCGATGGCAAGATTGTCTTTTGATGCCAGCGACGCGCGCATGGTGGCCGACGATGACGAGGAAATTGCTGACCAGTCAGAGGACGGGGCAGATAGCCGAATGCCGTTGACTCAGAAGAGGGTCAAGACGACGCTGCTGGACCTGTCGCCAATGCAGGAGCTGTTTGACAACATCACACGGAACCTCGACGACGCGCAGATTTGCCCATCGCTGGCAGACTTTGAGTTTACCTGCGATACATCAGTTGACTTTTCGCTGCTGAAGGAGCATCTGCGGGAGGACGAGGCTGAGGAGGAGTTTCCCGCCTCTGTCGAGCGACCACAGCTCTGAAATTGTGCCGCCATCACCAGCGCTCATGAACGACGAGCAGAGCCCTAGCCTGGACGACGGGGGCGACGACATGGGCCACTTTTTGAACTTTGACGACGACAATGACGGACCGGTCCCGATGGAGACCGCAGCGATGCTGCAGATTGCCGAGGCTGAGGACGCGACTGAGCAAGGCACGCCGACCGGGATCCCCAGCGTGAATGTCGCTGTCGACCGCTGCAGACGAGGACAACCTGCTGTCGTATTTTGACACGAATCTGGCCAAGGGGTGGGCTGGGCCCGAGCACTGGCGGCTGCCGATTTCGCGCACTGCGATGAAGCGGCAGCACGAGCAGCAGAGAGGAGGCGGTGGAGGTCAATGGCGAGGAGGCGGCAAACAATGAGGAGGCTGCTGGGGCTGACCCGAAGCGCAAGCGGTCCGAGAAGCAAGCGTTCTTTGTTGACTTTATGAACGGGCCGGATCTAAGCGTCGAGACATTGTTTGCCAAACCGGCACGTGCGTCGGCCATCACAATGACGCGCAAGGCCATTATGAACCAGGACCACTCGCTGCCCGAGGACGTGCGCTTTTCGTCCAAGAACCTGTTCAATCTGCTGCTGAAGCCGAGGCTCAAGTTCAACCCGCGCCGCACCGTCAAGCGCGAGCAGACAGCGCCAGGGGACCGACTCGTACGGCGGATTTATGGTTGACGGCGACGATGCGGCCAATGCGCTGGGCAGCAGCGCTGATATCGGCGACGAGACGCAGATTGGCTTTGATGATGACTTTGACGACGATGGCTTGACATTCGGGAGTCCAGACCAGCGTCGACCCGGACCGACACCACGGCCGATGGCAATGCTGACGGCGACGTGCTCAATGCGGGCGTTCCGCAGCTGAAGCTTATCAAGCCGCTGTACGTAAGCTACGCGCGGCGCGCCAAGCGAGTCAACGTCAAGAAGCTCAAGGACAACATCTGGCGCGAGATGGCGCTCAAAACCGACGGTAGGCCCACGGACCGGCCCAGTGCTGCTGCGCTGGACGACGAGACGGTAGAGCTCGAGGGCGACCAGAAGTTCAGCGACGTCGTCAGCAGCCTAAAGTCCGTGTATCCACCCGAGAAGCTGAGCGAGCTCTCGGTGTCGTACTGCTTTATCTGCCTGCTCCACCTGGCAAACGAGCGTAACCTGCATATCGAAGGAGACTCGACGCTGAGCGACCTGGTCATCCGGCAGGACCGGTTCGAGCACGAGTAGGAATAAATTTATTCACATCAGCAAGAACGCGAATTGTCTCTGCTGCAGCCGGCTTCGATATAGTGCATTTGTGAACGGCCCTTTGGCTGTGATACAAGACTGGCGCTATTTTCCTCTGCGCAGCATAGGCGTGGTAGTGCAGGCTGCCTGATGCCGTCCACTATTTACTCTCTGCACGCACAGCCAATCACTTGCGGCAGCGCCTGCATCGCAGGAAAACGCATTCTATGCTGCCCTCGCGGCCAGTAGAGCCATTGCAATGCGGTGTTTGAATTCACTGCGTTTGCTACATGTATAGTGCAGCGCAGCGTCTGATTGTCGAGGGACGGGATTGACATGGGCTCCCTCGAACAACTGACAATGGCCATGGATGCGAGCGCGCGCAAGAGGAGGCAGCAAACAAAGAGCAAGCTTGCCAGCAGCGCCAAAAAGCAAAAAACACAGTTCGCCATGGTACGCGCTTGTGACGGTGGGATGCAGCTTCGCCTTTTTTGCCATGCTATTTTTGGGGAGATGAGGGATTGGAAGGGGGGATGGGACAGGATACTTTTTTGTTGTGCGAGGTGTTTGGTGTGTGCGAGCTGTCTAAACCGAGTCTCCTCTTTCTCCTATGTTCCCCTCTTCACGCTTTTCTCGCTGACGCCTCCTTTACTCTAATCTTAATGCCCCTCGGTCCCCGGAGACGGTCTGAAATAAGCACACTAATTGCCCTTATATCGGCTACCTGGTCTCGGTTTGTCAGACCGCTCTATTAGCCAACGGCTCCTTGCGCGGGGGTCACCATTTGCATCTGTTTATTTTCGTGTTCATGGCACTGCCTCTTTTGCAAACGGTCTACTAGCATCTGAGATTAAAAAAGACACTCGGACTCCCCTCCCCTCCCAACAGCCCTTTATATTTAGAGTTCGCTCTCGTCCATCTCCTTCGCAACGAAAGGAATCCTCGCCAAAGGACGTTATTTATTTGTTGTCTTTTTCGTTCATCGTCAGCTCCCCACCCCACCATCCATTATTCTTTCTGGCACTAGTAACTACTATTTTATTCAGACATCCTTCGGCCTCTATTCTTTTTCTTTATTCTCCACCTCCCTGTTTTGTGACACATTTCGCGCTATTCCCCTCTCTTCCATTTGTTCAGAAATGTACCACCAGCAGACCGCTGCGCCGCCACGGAGCAAAAACGAAGCGTCGATTGCCCAGCTGGTCTCGCTCTCAGCATCATCGTCGCTGGCGAGCCTTCCTATGCACCACGGCCACCACCACCGGCCACGCGCATCAACCACCACATCAAAGGGCGGCATGCAGACCGTGCCCATATCACCAGTATCGGTGCACAGCAGTTATAAGCGGCCGCGTGTATCGTCAAAGTCAGGCACACTTGGGTCGCGGCTACGGTCGCGATTCCATTCGCTTCGCGGCAACGGCAGCACGCAGGACGTCACAAAGGCCTGGGAAGTAAACATGGACGCACCAATGATGCTGGAGCAGGCATTGTTCAGCGACGAGAGCCTGTCGCCGCCGCCCTCGCGGTGGATGAGCAAGAGGACCACGGCACACGGCACGTTCCGGCGGTTCCGCACCGGCGGGGCGAATAAGGCGATAATGTCGTACCCGCCAGCGCAGGGCGAAACGTCGATTTACGATGAGCTGCTTGAAAATGAGGATTTTGTTTTGATTACCGCCAGCAGCGAGGCGTTGGGGCCCGCCAGCACCGTCGACGTGAATGGGATGAGACTGGCTGGCGCCATGGAGACAAGCACGCGAGGTGTCACCCCGCGGCTGAATAACCCGCTGGCAAGGTTCGGCTCGTCGAGGGCGCGTGCCAGCAGCCAGCAGCCGGCCGGATATAATCGGCGTGGCATGGCGGGCGGCGGCTCGTCGTGCGACTCGCTTGTTTCCGTGGCGACCCCGCCGCTATCAGTAACGTCGTCTGTGTCGACGACATCAACAACGTCATTGGTGCCGGCTGTGCCGCTGCCCCCTGTACCTACACGGCAGACGATTCCAGCAGCCAGCAGCAGCAGCAGCAGGGCTCAACCTCAGCCTCAGTCTCAGGCCTCAAGCTCAACCTCGATCGCAGCCCGAGTCTCAGCAAGCACAGCCAGCACGGCCACGGTCCATGACTGCATCAGCACGCCCAATGACGCTTTCGTCGACCGCGCGCATCCCAGCATCAACATCGGCTGCGGGTGGCAAGTTCCGGACGCCGCGCAAGATCTCCGAGTGCTCGTTTTCATCGACCGAGGAGCAGCGCAACGCCATGGGTCTGCAGGGAATGGAGCCAGTCCAGCAAATGGGCACATCGGCAGTCAACCATGCGCGGGAGCGGAGGCGGCGGTCGTCGGGTGTGCGTGGGCGCAGAACGCGGACATTTCAGGGACCATCGGTCCCAAGCGGTCTGGGCCCTGATGACGTGGGACGTGCGCACAGACGGCACTCGCGCAATGGCTCGGAGCTCTCGGGCATAACGGTAGATTTCCCTAACGGACATCGCACCCGGCGATCGTTTGACTTCCAGGTCGACGAGGCTGGATACGATGCCTATTGGCTGCGACGCGAATCCACCCTGCATAACGAGACAATCGACGAGGATGAGGACCGTGCGCGGGCAGCTACCTTCCCGGTGGCGCGCAGCTCGCGGTTCATGTTCGAGATGGGGATGCAGTCGGGCACCACCTTTGTCGACCGCGATTCGCAGCAGGAGCGCAGCTCGTCGGGCGTCAACCAATCGGCAATTGACGAGATTCGCAGCACGGCGTTCCCGTTCCTGGCCCACGACTACCAAGGGCCACAGGCCGAAGAGCTGCCTCCGATGGACCCGCGCAGCCCGTTCGTCAGCGACATTGCATCGATCCGCATCTCACCTAGAAGCACTGTAGCCACCATCTTCCCTGAGCCTAGCCGCCCGTCGCGCGACAGGGCCATTGGAGGCGTGGCGATGGTGTCTGCGATATCCGTGGATACGCCCGAGAACGTCGATTTCGACGGCTCGACGCTGACGCAGCAGAACGACTGGCTGCTGATGTCGACGGCTGCTGCTGAGGACGGTTCCTCGCCCAGCAGCTCCGGAGGGCGGGCCCGTGGCCGGCGCAACAACCGCAAGCGCACAGTCCTGCCGCTCGAGCTGTTCAAGCACGGCCTCGATAGCCCGGAGAAGCTGCTGGGCGAGCGGGAGACGGCGATAGCACTTAGGTCAAAGCCATCCGAGATGCTGCTGCTGCCGCCGCCATGGTGCAGCGAGGATGGCGGCAGTAGGGCGGCAATATCCGGCGTTTGTGGTGAGAGAGCTGAAAAGCCCTGCGCAGTAGCCGCGGCTACTGCAGCTTCCGGTTCGTCATGCTCCTCCACTGCGCGCGGCGTGGCAGATGCCGCCAGCTCTACGGCGCTTAGAGGTGCACCACTTCCGCCGTACGCCAAGCCGGGGTACACCCCCAGCGTGCCGCCAAGCATGCGCATCGTGATTTCTACACAGAACGTTACACGACTCCAGCTAAAGTGCACTGGCGGCAGCTGGCAGGCAGCACGGAATTCCGCACTTTAGCCTGCGGCTGGTTGCGGCCCTCGAGCAGGCGGCGGCCGTGCGGGACCTAGCGCTGGTCAACCTGGGGGCTGGTGGCTGTACTACCAAGCCTATTGCGGTGTAGGGATCTGCAGCGCCTGGACATGTCACACAACTGGATTAATGCGGTCCCCGGCTGGCTCAGCCGGCTCCCTAAGCTGCGACGCATCGTGCTGGCTGCAAACCCAATCGCAACGGTGTCGGCAGACCTCGTCGAGATGCGATGCCGTCTGGAAACCCTGTGCCTTGGGACCGGTAAGTGGTCGCTTGTCAGTCGCAGTGAGGGCGCCATGGTGGCGCACTCCAAGGCGGAGCAGCAGCGCCGGGTGTGCCAGCGCATTGAGGCCACTGCCAACAGGCGCATGGCTGCATTCTTGAGCTCCACGCGGCTGGCATTGACCCCCAGACAGCACGAGGCGTCCTTGGACAAGGCCAAGCTGCTGCTCCAGTCCTACGCGCGCATCCTCCACTCGCAGCTGCATGAGGCCCGGCCCTGGGGCCACTCGGTCCCGCTGCCGTATCTGCCGCTGCTCCAGCATCCCCCAGCCGCTGTTCATACTGCAGGCATGTGAATCAGCAAGCGCGTCCCTTGGTGGGCGTGCATGGCTTGCCGGTATCGCGTTGTTCAAATACCTCTTTCTCCCTCTCACATACATGTACCTTACTATCGATTCAATATTTCTTATCCACCTTTCCCCTGTCCGCCTATGTCTGTCAGTTGGCCGTGGCACTGGTCTGTCTAGTGCATATATGCAGCGCTATATTTAACACCGAGCCCCATCACCTTGACCGACACTTGATTTCTGCAGCAAATAAAACCTCAGATCCCGTTGCAACTCGGCATCAAAGCGAATCACATTTGCTGCAGAGTGGATCCTCTCGAAGCAAAAAATCTATGCAGCAGCCAGTCGGGCCATTGCAGGATGAATTTTTTGTGTTGTTTCTGATCGAGTTCCTCACCAGAGCCACTAGGCAGACGCTGATTCACGTGTAGCATGCCCAAAGGTATTCTTAGGCTCTGGTTTTTTTTTTCATGTATCTGCCTGCTTTGACTCCTCTCTTCTCTTTTTTATATTTCCGCTATTTTTATTATACAAAGGCGTCCAATTCAGCCCAAAGTTCCCTCACCTTTTTTCGTTCTATGCTGTGGACATAGTTGTTTCGCTTCCCCCTTGGCGCGTACCCTCCCTCTCTCTTTTCCTTCTTGGCCGCCTTGATTTTTTCTTGCACAAGGGCGGTGCTCTTCTGCCTCTCGTTATATTTCTGCTCTCCTTTCCGCTTCCAACTGCCATCGGGCCAGCACCCAGTTTGCCCGCCTTAGGGATAAGCACGAGAAAAAGACGCAGCGCTCGACTCTGCTCTCCCCAAATATCTTTCCATCTTCTCTCGTAAAGCTCCAAAGTTTTATATTTATTCCTTACTTTGGACCTGCCTGTCCCCTCTTTTTTCCCTATTATATCGTATTTCCCTCCCCACCGTATATTTTCCAGTCACTCATTCCCAGCCAGCGATGGCGGCAAACGACAAAAAGCGCACGATGGACATGGCTGCCGAGGGCTACGGCGGGTGCAGGCAGCAGCAGCAGCAGCACCCGTGCTTCTGGGGGGTGCTGCACGGCGAGAGCCTGAACTTTGCCTTCTTTTCGGCGACGCTGAGCGATTTCCTGGGCCCTGAGAAAACATCGTCGCTACTGAACCAGTCGCTTTTTGACTACATTCACCCCGACGAAGTAAATCGGGCACGTAGCGATTTGGTCGACACGTTCATTTCAAAGTCATTCACGGGCTCAAGCATAAGGTAGGGAATACCGTTTTATTTGGGTTGCCGAAAAAGCCGGCTTTATGCGCTTAATCGAATGGAACGGGGCATGTTTCCTTATCCCCCTCCCCTTCCCTTCTGTGTTTGGCTTGTCTGCAATATGTGGGATTGCGCAAAATTTTCAAAGGACGCTTGTCCTCCCCCCCCTTGTTGTCCTTTGGCGTGCTGATAACACAAGCCCGCCCGCGATTGCAAATTTGCCCACAAGAAGCGCCAGCCTTGCCCTATTTTTAGTTGCCATGAGAGGTGCCAATTGTTTGCCTCCTACTGGACCAGGCAGGCTGCGCCCTATTTGCTGCTCTGGCACTCTTCCGTCCAACAAGCGCGCGCCATCCCACTGCTTGATCGGCAAATAATAGTCCCAGACCAGCAACTCCATAAATGGAGTCTGGAAGAGATGGCCATTGTTGCCTATACGGCTCGCACAACAATCACAAACAGCTGAGTTCATAATCTCGATGCAAGCTGTAGGTGCCGCCTGCGCAGACTCGACCTGGACAAAGTTGGCTTCTCGCAGGTATTCCGCCGCGCCTCCGAATCCCAGATCATGCACCAGACACGGCCCGCAAAGCATCTGCATGAATCGTTTGAGCGCAAGCTCTCGCTGCCCATCATCCCCGACATTGCAAAATTGCGCGGCATGCGGGAACCAGCTGCCCACGTATCATCGCCGCAGCAGCAGCAAGCACAGGCGCAACCACAGCAAACCCCGGCTCCGCCAAAGCGGTTAAGGACAATCCTCGAGGACGTGCAAGGCAACACCACCCCGTCCTCCGCAGACAGCGTCTGGGATTCACTGGACGCTGACAGCGAATACCTGGTTGCCAACATTGCGCTATATCTTGTATCGAAGCGCTTGTCGATCGTGATCGTCCACTATGAGGATGCGGCACCACAGAATGACGCCCTGGTACCGCTCACATATCCGTTTGAAATAGCGGCTGCTTCTGGAACAGCACTGCCAGTAATACCACCAGCCGCTATAACAGCAGCAGCAGCAGCGACAGCGACAGCGACAGCGACAGCAGCAGCAGCAACAGTGGCAACGGAGCCACCAGCAACATGCGGCCCCACACCAGCATCACTCTCCCCAGCAACACCATGTGAATGCGTATCCAACATGTCCTCGCTCTTAGATGCCCATCGAATCCGGCACCTGCTCAGCCAGATCCACAAGCTGGACACAATCGAAGCGGCCCGCACAAAGCTGCAAATGACAACAGCTAGCCAAAACGCCATGCTGTTGGTGGGAAAAACGGAGGGCTGTTTGGCATCCCGCCACGCCCAGATCTATGCGATCGACAGCGAACGCCTGCTGTGCGCATTTCCAGAGGAAGGATACAGTAGGATTTTCGGCGAGTCCCCTGTCGAAGCCACAAAGGCCTGGCGCAACCTTGCAGTCTTTGCAAAAGGATGGCAGTGGTGGGCGACGTCTCAGCAGCAGCATCCTGGGGCTGCTACAGCACCCACACGTCGCCAATACGGATCCTGTCAGAGTGGAGCTCCGGATAAAGCCCAAGGCCCACACCGACAGCACGTCGTCTCCCGCGCTCGATGTGGACTCCATCATGTTTCCGCTGGGGGCGCCTGCTGTTTGTTTGTCCAGCAGATGCGGGGCGACCAGATTGCAGTCGAGTCAAGCAACGCCAGCGTGACCGGTGGCGAGGATGGTACAAGCGTGCTTTCCAGCTACAACCTATCCACACCGCCCAACGACGAGCTTAAGCGGCCGCATGCTGCTGTTCCTGCCGACACCGCCAATGCCCACCCTTATCGGGACTACTCGATTGCCAGCTCAGCCCATACCAGCGGGCGCAGCACCGCACGGCCATCCCCATCGTACTCGATGATGCCGCACGCCAGCCCCCCGATGGCCGCGGTCAGCAGTGCAGCAAATGGGATGCCAATACAGCCAGTCTCTTCTTCGGCCGTAGCAATCTCCGAGGCCCGCCCATTCTCGCTGCCACGTGCCCCCGCATCGATCGTCGCCAATCTGCCCGCACGTCCCGCATTCACACTGACGCCCCCAGAATCGGTTCCGCCACGCCGGCAATCCTCGTATACATTGCCGCCACAAAAAAACTTTGAGGAGCGCCGGTTCTCGTATCCAATACAGGCTCTCAACGGCGACCGCCGCCCACCGCCAGCAGGCTCGGCGCTTGGCAGTATGGCCCATGGCGCTGGGGCTGGGTGCTGGGGCTAAAGGCAGCCCGGGAATGCTGCCGAGCCCAGGCACGCGCACACTTGATATGCGCCAGCGCATGGGGGCCGCTGCTGCAGCCGGGTCGTTTCGGATGGGCATTGCTGCCAAGGGCATCGGCGCTGGCACTTCGAACCAGCCCACACCCTCAGCCTCGCCGCTTGGCACGATTTCTCAGCAGCATACACCAGTGGCCATGTCGCCTGCACCTATGAGTTCAGCGGGACACGCGGGGTATGTGCAGGTCAACGTCTACCCACCACCACAGGCATCCGCCCAGCAGGACTCTGGTGAGATGTGGCAGCAGCAGCAGCAACAGCAACAGCAACAACAGCAACAGCCTAGTGCGCACAACAGCAGCGCCATGGTGACAGGAGTTCCTGCACAGCAAGTAGCTTGTTCAGCACTACCCGCCGCAGATGCAAGGCCCGACCGAATCGCTCGATCAATGGCTCGCCACATCCGCACTTTTTGCACGTAATCGCCCCGCAGCAGCAGCAGTTCCATCGGTCGCCCACGGGCTCAGTTATTGCCTCGCCAAGCATAGCCGGGCCGTACGTGCACCGCATAGACGAGCGGCATATCGTCATGGGCCGGCCCAACGAACCCGAGAAGAAGCTGTGCAAGAGCTGTGGGACCGACTCGAGCCCCGAGTGGCGCAAGGGACCGACAGGGCCATAAAACGTAAGTATTATGAAGTTCGACACACAGGGCCCGATCGATCGCAGGCGCTGCTCCCAGTCTGAGCCAGCTTGTGATGCCGGCGATCGATCACGGAATCCATTTTGTTCCACATGACCTGCGCATGCATTGTGATTGCTGATTGGCTGGCTTAAAATTGCTTTCTGTAGGCTCTGTAATGCATGTGGGCTGCGCTATGCCCGCTCGATCAACCGCGCAAACAAGAAGCAGGCTGCTGGATAGCGCGTTCGAGTAAATGTCTATTGTGCCTATCCATCCTGTTGCCTCGCATGTACTGTTTCCTCCACTCTCCATCATACCCTGCATACCTTATCTTTCCAGTAAAATTTATTTTTTATTCGCATTTATTACCGCAATATCAAAAGAAAAACATGCGTTGCTCCCTCTCCCTCTTATTTTCATCCTTCAGCCTGCCTCTTCTTTTACATACATATTGACCTGACAGCACACTGTCCCTATTAGCAATACCTCTTTCCTCTACTTATTCGCTACAATGTATTCAGTATCCGTCTTTTCCATCCATTATTCCACACATGGCGTGCGCTTGATACTAGCATTGTGATAGCCTGTGCGTGCAGCCCACTTCCAGATATATTTCTATAGTCACTGGTATCCTCAGTGCACGGCCTTAGGCCAGATATATGTAAAGTCGAGGATCATCGAGCGACCGCTGCAAGTACTCGCGGTCGATAAGCTTCCCGATCCCCTCCTTGATATTCTTCGACGACGGCAGGAACCGCGGCGAGAGCTGCACAATCGTCTCGTTGACAAGGTTCTCATGCATCATCTGCTTTCGGTCCTTCATTATGCGCACGATGGCAGCCTCAATCAGCAACTGTCGCTCCTGGCTGATCTTGGCCTGGGACGCTGCCTTCTCGCGGTCAGACTCCATGTGGTTGGTTGCAGCTACCAGAGGAATGCGGATGCGATACTGCGGTGCGCGGAAGTCGCTGTTGAACGCGAACGAGTCGGCGGGGCTGATATCGCGCGATTTGGGCGTTTTGTTCAGGATCTTGTACTTGGCACATGCCAGCGACTGCAGCTGCCGGGAAAGCTGCTCGCTGGGGATGCCTGTCTGCTGCTGGATTTGCTCAGTAGTCAGAGCATCGCTGGTGTCTGCGAAAAGCATCAATATCAGCATCTGGTAAGTCGACACATTGAGCTCGTGTGTGCGACTGCCAAAATGCACCTTGATATCGGCATTGCCCATTGAATACTCCCATGTCAGGCGCCGGCCAGAATGGCGATCTAGGTAGAATTTTGGTGAACGGCATCGGTAGCCTGCGCCAGACGCTCGCTAGGCTACGACATGCAGCTCCTCTTTAGAGTCGGCGCCAGTGCTCCAGAGCGACGGCCAGAACGTCGGCGTCAGCACCGACACACCCATGTCAAACGATGTGTCGGCAAGCACATCCGCATCCTTGACTGCCTGAACAAGGTCAGCAGATAGCTGAATATCCTTGAACATGCCTTCGAGCTTTTGCGTAAACTGCGAGCCACACTCAACCTTGAGCTTCGACACAAGACTCTGCTCGGCATCATCCGACACGGTTCTGCCGAACAGAAGGACGTCTTGCCAGATGCAGCTTGTAGTAGTGCTCGAATGCGTCCTTGTTCTGCAGGAACCTGAACAGCAGCACAGAGCGCTCGAGAATGTGCTCAACTTCCTGCTCCGCTTTGCCCTTGAGCCCGCGTTTCAAACTGTCGTCAATAAACAGCGAGAGCTGCTCGGGTGAGCGCGCATTTCGGTTGATAGTCTCGATAAACGCATCGTTGACAGCATTGCGCATGGCCAAGTTGCTCGTAAAGGACTCGACCAGGAACTCTTCGTAGACATCATACAACTTCAACATGTCTTGCACCCACCGGATCGCTGTCGCTGTCCGCTCCGCCAGTCCGTGTCGCTCCTGCGGTCCTTTGCCCTTAGCTCCTGGCTTGGGCGCGTCATCCGCTGTTGCTAACGGTGCGTTGATGTGGTCGCCAAGGCTGACAATATGGCTATGCACTTTGTCCTGCAGCAGCTTGACGGCGCTGGGTACTTGAGAGTACAGGCAGTACAAAACAGCCAGCGACGCAATGCTGCGCTGCTCAAGCATCTGCACTAGCCCGGCGTTCTCAATGTCGAGCACTGCCTGGGCGTTGGCAGATATCAGCTCCTGCAGCACGGTCTCACGAAGCAGTGCGGTGGTCCCTGACGACAGGTAATCTGAGATGCGCTGCATCTCTGCGATCCATGTCCGATTGCGCTGCCTTCACGTACTCAGCCGTGCCCAGTTCGCTGATACGGATCCGCAGCCTGTTCCTTGTAAAACGACCTTGTGTCGGCCAACAGCAGTGGCTCAAACGTAGCCTTGTACACCGAGCGCGTTTGGTCCTTGTCCTGCAGCTCAACCAGCATGTTGGTGATGCCGCGCATCGTGCTCTTATTGATATGCTCGCCGCGCCGTTCGCGGGCAATCTGGCTCAGCAGGGTAGTGGTTGTGATCAGATCAAGACGGAACTCGGCTCCCTGAAAGACCTGGTCTCGGAACACATGCATCCCCATGTCGTAGACGCACGGCAAGCGGGCGTTGCTGACAAACACCTTGTCCACGTACATCAGCACGTCCTTAATCATTAGCATAGCCGTGACATGCTCGCTCCACAGCAACCGCACACTGGACAAGAACTGCTCAGAATTTGTCAGTGAGGGCTCGTCTCGCGCCTTGGCTGCATACTGCATAATGCCAGTCTCAACACACTCGCGTAGGTGTCTCTCGAGGACACCCTTGACGCCATCGTAGAGCATCTGCCCGTTTTTACTCAGCACCAGGCCGTATGCTGTCCGATACAGCTCTTCGAACGACAGCTTTGACGCATTATGCTTGTATATCTCGCCTATAGCCAAGGCCAGTTTTTCAAACTGCGTCTTTGGGTCGACTTGCGGTGTCTACTGGCACAGGTAAACGGTCGAGACTGTTAGCGAGGCCGAATTGCTTGGCAGCGAAAATATATACCTGCTAAGGTGGGCTGCGTAATGAGCGAAACTTACCAGGCGCCGTGCAGGCAGAATGCGGCCACCAGGTCGTCTGTTAGCAAATGACATTCGGTTCAGAGTGGTATTTAACTTTAAGAAGGGAGCAGGGTAGTGTACGAAGGAGAAAATGCGGAGAGCGCAGGCAAGCAGGGCCACGAAAGGGTGTGTGAAAGTGTGTGCCAAGAGAGCTGGGCTACTGCGATTCGGTGATGACGAAAAATGGATGTTTTTTGCGCTGGAGCTACGCAAAAGCGCATGTCTCGCCGAGCGCTGCCAGCCGCATTCCTCTCTTCTGCTCCAACCTGTTTTTCCCTGCTTCAATTTACGCGGCCCTCCTTTTAGGACATTTACTTCACCCAATGGACATAGAAGAAACCGAATCGTCGAGCCCATTCTCACTGCTCGAGCCGTCGCCTGAGGCCGAGTACGAAGCGCGCATTGCCAACATGGAAAACAGCGTTGCCAGGCACACGACAGAGTTCTTCAGCTGGCGACTGCTGGCCGAGCTGTCGGGGCAGCTGCCAGCGATAATAGAAAAGTTTGGCGCGATCACAGCAACGAGTATGCGCGACTGCGTTGCACTAGGTACCGAGCGGGGCGTGGTCGTCGTAGTCGACTACTTGGGTCGGATAAAGACAGTGCTGGGATCGCAGACCACAGACTACGGCGCAGCATCGGCAGTTGCGTTTTCATCTGACTACGATGCGCTAGTTGCTGGGTATTCGCATGGGTATGTTGTTTTGTGGGACCTGGCCAAGAGCACGACTACGTCGGTGACTCCGGCCACTCAGCACAGGCGATAAGGCCGCGGTCGGGCACCTGTTTGGCTCGGCAATAACGTACGTGCACTTCATTGGCATCAGCAAGCACAGATATGTCAGCTGCAGCGCAGCCGGGTATGTCTTTTACCACCATGTTGTGCGGCGCTTGCTCACGACCCTGAACACAACGCAGCTGTCAAGCCCTGACACGGACCCTGGGATCATATTTGAGGTTGCTGCATTGCCCTATGGCAGCCATACGTGCTTCACCGACGATATGGGGCTCGTGGCGATTCTGACCAGCGCCAGCTTGACAGTATGCAAGACACGGCACGGGGTCAAGCAGATGTATCGGCACCGGTATGCGCACGCCCCAGCGCAGGGCGGCATGAAGCGCTCGTTCGCCAAGCGGCCATTTGCAGGCAGTGCCTGCTGGCTGCCGGCACTGAAACTCAAGCATAGCGCAGCAACTGAGACCTCGTTCTCACACCCCATGCTTGCCTTCTCGTGGGGATCGAATATCACTGTTCTGGAATTGCGGAGCAACGAGAACGAGCGATGGACCCCTGATCTCGATGCCGGACCAGCGATCAAGCTCCGGAAGATCGTCGAGTGGACAGCAGTTGAGGACGTGGTGCTGTGTCGCTTTATCGACGCGGATTCGCTGCTGTTCATGACGCGCAGCCAGCGTGTTTTTGTCGTTGAGGTGCCGTCGGGCCAAGAGACAGAGGTATGCGCAACACAGCCCGGAGCCATTGTTGGCCAGCCGTGGGTTACACTGTCGACGGGGACGGAGGCCGAGCCGTCGTATGCGCAGATGGTGACGATGTTTAAACACCGCGTCTTTGCACTGTGCAATGCGTCGTCAGTTTACTCGGGCCGACTGCTGTCGTGGACTGAGCGGCTGGCGGACTTGGCTGAGCGCAGGCAATATATTACAGCAATCACTCTGGCGGTCGGTCTATATACCGGTCAGACTGGGCAGATTGTTGTTGGGCTGCCTCGAACTGGAGCAAATACAGAGTCGACGCAGCACACAGTAGTGGCTAACAAGCTGATCGAGATGATCCGTTCGGCGCTGAAGGACATGTTTGACAATGGCGGCAGTGACAGCAGCGTGCCTAGCCCTGCAATGCAGCGGGCACTGGGCGTTGCTTGTATTGAAGCGTGCTTGGTGACGAAAAACTCACGGCTTCTGTTTGGCGAAGTGTTCGATGCGTACTTGCTGTCGCCAGCATCAACCCAGATCTACTTGGAAACGCTGGAGCCGTTCATCCTGAGCGGGCGCGTCACGTATCTGCCACCTCAGATCCTTAACGCAATGATCGACAACTACAAGGCGTCGTCGCGGCTCGTTCAGCGCCTGGGAGAACTGCTGATGCAGCTGGAGCTGGCGCCTGGCGAATTCGATGTTGATCGTGTCCTGCAGAGTTGTCGCAAGTACCAGCTCTGGCGCACATTTGCGCGCGTCTGGCTCAGCCTAGGAGACCCTGTTGCACCAATCATCAGTATGGTCAGTGATACAGGAACCAGTGGATCGGTGAGCGAGTCCAGCAGTGCGATTCGCGAGATCCTTGCGGATGACACGCCCAGCATCGAGCATGAGGATGAAACACCAGCGACAGTCATGTTTGAGTACCTGGATATGGTCATCCGCGGGCGATACTACCCAGATGGGCAACGGATCAAACCGCAGGAGCTGGCAGAAACGTACAGCAGGAGCGTGGTTGAGCTTGTGTTTCCTCCAGTTGACTCTGTCCCCACTGCTTCAAGCATCAGCAAGACATACAGCGTGCTGCTCGCGTTGCTGCAGCTTGGCACCGAGCACTTGCTCATCATGCTCAAGCATGTGTTGGAAGACCCGTTCATTGGGTATATAAGCATCATCGTAAAGCCAGGCAATGCGAGCGGCAACAAGTCTAGTGACCGGTCATTGCGTCGTCCGAGCCAGGTCAAGTCCGTTCCGCAGATCATTGTCGACACGATGTTTGTCCTCACATCTACCGCTAATTCAGCGACAGGCGATGGCAGCGACGACTGCATACTCACAGCACGACAGATCGGGCTCTTGTCGAGCTTTGCCTTGACCCTGTATGTGACGCGGTACCCGCTCATTTTTTTGCCAGACAAGACCGTCTCCGAATGGGCACACATTCTGCTGCATCTTGATGACCCGTCGACCAGGGCTGAGCGCGAATATGCCTTTGAGCTACTGTTCAAGCTCAACCCCCCGCGATCATTCTCCGACTACATTGATCCAACTCGCAGTGCCGGATTCTACCGGGTGCTCGAGTATATATACCATACGTTGGAACAGTACGACAAGGCACTCGGCACTTATCTGGACCACAGCGACTACGCGTACCGGCGCGCCGTGTTCTCCGCCATGCGCGAGCTTGCTGACGGCGGCAAACCCAAGGCTGCGGCATGTGTGGCCAGTTTTGTCCTGGAGCATGCAGGCAGCCTTGGTTGCTGTCGATGCCGAGACGTTTGTTGATGCTGTCGAAAACGCCCCTTCGTTGGACCATGGCACAGTCATCCACCAGCTGGAGGACAACCAGGCAGCGCTGTTCGCCTATATGCGTGCGCTGCTTGACCCGACATCAACATCAGGCATGCTGCGCCAAGTCATCGACCAAGGCGTGGCAGCATCTGACGAGCGCGCCCCGCCCAACATTGGACTGGCTGAGGAGCAGAACATGGTTGTCTACCCGTTCCAGTCGCTGGTACCAAACAGCAGCCAGCCCGTCGCCAAGTTCCCACAAGAATACCACGAAAAATACCTGGAGCTTTTGTGCCAGTTCAATCCAGGACAGGTGCTGCAGTACTTGAAGCAGCATGCAGACGACAGCACAGAGCCGTTCCGACTGAGTTTTGTTCAGAAGGTCTGCGAGCGCTATGGAGCAATTGATGGACTGGTGTGGACGCTGCAACGCCTGGGCGATTTCTCTGGGGCTCTGGATGCGCTGCTGCTAGAAACAGACAAGGAAATGGAAGCAGTAAAGTCTGTTATTAGCACGGCTATTGACGCAGCAGCTACTATGTCCGGCGGCTCCTCTGACTCCCTAGCTGATGCCGACCGCGAGCGGCTGCAGGACCATCTTCATATCGCGGCACAGCGTGTAAGCAGCAGCATCCAGGTGTGCAAGGCGGTAGTCTCCAAGCTCGGCAAGGATGTTGCGGCGCAGTCAGAGCGTGAGCATCAAAAACAGATCGATAGTGGCCATATCGATACGAATGCGGCCAAGGTGCAGGCTGGGTACCAGGGCCAGGTGCGGTCCGAGCTGTGCGATCTCTGGCTGGTGCTACTGCGGCAGGTGCTCGGGTACCTGCACAGCACCAACCGGCTGCTGGACACCATGCCTGTGACAATGGCGCCGACGCTGGCACAGACGGCGTGGCAGCTTGTGCTGAAGCATCAGCGGTGGATGCTGCAGAACATCCTGGATGCGCTGATCTTTGTTGCATCGCCGGCATCGTCCCTCATCTCGCTGCGGTACATTGTGCAAGAGCTGATGGCGCCAGCCAAGGAAGACGCGGCGGTACTGCCCAAGCACGAGCCGATTTCGCCCACGCGCACACTGGATGTGGCTGAGATCAAGCATCTGCTGGCGGTAGCTGTCGGTGCATACAAGTCCGAGGCCCAGCTGATGGCACTGACCAACATTCTGGTCGACTATGACCTGTTTACACAGCTGGCTCGGCTGATCAAGGCCCAGAAGCAGGGCTGGCTGGTATCGCCTGATGACAAGAAACAGGCGGCATCCGGTACCGTTCGCGCCTTCGACCAGCCGGTATGCTGATGGCAAGCTTGCCTGCGAAAAGTGCCATAGGGAGCTGTTTGTCGACCGCCGGCAGCCGCGCGCTATGGCGGCACTGCAGGCGCAGATCGCGCAGTACTTTGACAAGAGCCCGTTGCACATTGTCGACTTGCAGGTCTTTGAGGACCCGAGCTCTCAATGGCAGTGGATAAAGCTGCGCAACGCTGCCACGGCCTACGACGAGATCGTTGTCCATACAAGCCAGCAGCAGAAGCGGCGGACAGCGAGCTTTGCGGCGGCAGCATTGCCCGGCGAGGACGACGCCAAGGCATTCGTGGCAGCTGTTTAGGTGCGGCCACGGGTACCATTGGCACTGCCTAGGGCGACAAGGCCAAGGTGCCAAGCAGCAGTGCCCCCCGGTGTCCGCAGTGCCGCCAAGACGACCACCACATGTAATAAAGACGGGTTTTCTTCATGTCAGCTTTTCAATATCTTCCCATTCCTGTGACCACGTGGCCAGCAGACCTTTGCGCCAAGCAAATCGTAGCGGATAGCGGACCAGAAATCTCGCTGCCCAGATGTGACCGGCAAGCACGTCGCATGAGAGTGCATTTAGGGCTGGTGGAAGGAGCACAGTGCTGCTAAAAAAAACCCCTCAGCTGGCCTAGGGCCAGTCAGGTGCCGCGACGTCACCGGGGTCCAATCAGGGACGTTTCTCCATTTCGCAGCCCGCCCTCGTCCCGGATCAGGGGCCGGTGCATTGATGAGGGCTGGCGCTCTTTTTGCTGACAAGCAGGCACTTGCAGGAAACCTTGCAAGCACGGTCTGCAGGAGAAGCCCCCACTGGACAGCAGCAGCAGCAGCAGCAGCAGCAACAGCAGCAGGACTGCTCTAGACCAGGGCGAAAAAGGCACCAAGCAGACTGTGGAGCGGCGGACTGAAATAGCTGGGCCTGGCAGCAGGGATCGGGGTCGACAGCCAGGCACCAAAATAGCATTGGCATCGCCGCCCACGCTGGGCATCGCGCCAGCTGATGCGAGAGCGAGTCTGGGGCGATATGCGGATTGGCTCCTGTGGCAACCCAGAAACACTATAGCAGCGGGCGGTTGGTGTGCGCGGGGCTCAGGGAGAAGTATAGAAGCAGCGGTGTCCGCCCCCCATCCCAGCGCTTCCTTTTCCTCAAATTTTTTATCCTTGTGTTTTATTTCGCTTCTCTCTTCATCTTTTTCCTTCTTATTTGGCAAGTGTTGTCAGGCTCTGCTTTTTTTTTTCTTTCGCGAACTACCAAAAAGACTACTTTAAATCTTAACCATGGAGGACGAGGTTGCCGCTGTAAGTACCAACCCCTTGCTCTGTTTCCACATCTGCGTGTGATTCTGCTGTCATCTGCGACTAATTCGCAGATGGGGGCCGGCCAGGACGAGGCATGCCTGTCTGCACGGCCAGCACCGCTGGGAGTGCCGTGTGCGTCTGTGCCCTCATCTTTTGAAATTCGCGCATCTGAGTTTGAATGCTGTGGTTTGCTAATCTGTTGTCCCCTCATCTGAACCCACCTGTAGCTTGTTATCGATAACGGCTCCGGCATGTGCAAGGCCGGTTTCGCCGGTGACGACGCCCCGCGCGCTGTAAGTATCCAGGACCGAAACATCAACCCGCACAGCGGTCCCGCATAATGATGCCAATATTTGCGCTTATTAAACAACCCCCCGCATCGAACACCCCTGTCTCTGCACGAAAAATTTTCCGCCATAGGTCTTCCCGTCCATTGTTGGTCGTCCCCGCCACCACGGCGTGATGGTCGGCATGGGCCAGAAGGATTCGTATGTCGGTGACGAGGCTCAGTCCAAGCGTGGTATTCTTACCCTCCGCTACCCCATCGAGCACGGTATCGTGACCAACTGGGACGACATGGAGAAGATCTGGCACCACACTTTCTACAACGAGCTCCGCGTCGCCCCTGAGGAGCACCCGGTCCTGCTGACTGAGGCCCCGCTCAACCCCAAGAGCAACCGCGAGAAGATGACCCAGATCATGTTTGAGACCTTCAACACCCCGGCCTTCTACGTCGCCATTCAGGCCGTCCTGTCGCTGTACGCCTCGGGCCGTACCACCGGTATCGTCCTCGACTCGGGTGATGGTGTCACCCACACTGTCCCCATCTACGAGGGTTACGCCCTGCCCCACGCCATCCTGCGTCTCGACCTGGCTGGCCGCGACCTCACCGACCACCTCGTCAAGATCCTCACCGAGCGCGGCTACTCGTTCACCACCACGCCGAGCGTCGAGATTGTCCGTGACATCAAGGAGAAGCTGTGCTACGTCGCCCTCGACTTCGAGCAGGAGATGAACACCTCGAGCACCTCCACCTCGCTCGAGAAGAGCTACGAGCTGCCCGACGGCCAGGTCATCACCATCGGCAACGAGCGCTTCCGCTGCCCCGAGGCCCTGTTCAAGCCCAACGACCTGGGCATGGAGGCTGCCGGTATCCACGAGACCACCTACAACTCGATCATGAAGTGCGACGTCGATATCCGTAAGGACCTCTACGGCAACATTGTCCTGTCGGGTGGTACCACCATGTACCCGGGTATCTCGGACCGCATGCAGAAGGAGATCACTGCCCTGGCCCCCTCGACCATGAAGATCAAGATCGTTGCTCCCCCCGAGCGCAAGTACTCGGTCTGGATCGGTGGATCCATTCTCGCCTCCCTGTCGACCTTCCAGCAGATGTGGGTCTCGAAGCAGGAGTACGACGAGTCTGGTCCCTCGATTGTCCACCGCAAGTGCTTCTAAGCTGCCGCACTCGAAAGAGGGCCTGCGTCTCTCCCCACCGCTGCTGACGCTCGCCTCTGCGCGGCTCTAGTGCGCGCGTGCGTAGGGTGTAGTGCTCGCAGCGGCGCTCTATCAGGTCCTTTTTGTCGTTTCCTATACTTTCTGAGCAATTGATTTCTTTGCAATCATCCCCCCGAATTATTTTATCCGATCAGGCGTCGAGCCGCGCCTGTGCCTTGAGCGCCAGCAGCCACCTCACGCGACAGGAGCCAAGCGACGATTATGTCGGACAGGCGACGTATTTTTGTTTCGTCTCAACTTTTGGCTGACGCTCATTTGAACAACAGCTTTTTACATACACAGTCGGGAATGCAGCGGATTTCTTTGGCCAAGCCGGCGATGCTGTCGCTTCTGCGCCCTGCCATTAAGGTAAAGCTACTAGATTCAGGCAAGCAGAGCCTGAAATTCCACCTACACACGTCGGCGGCGGCAGCAGCGGCTACGAATAGTACTAAACGTGCCTGTATATAGCAGCCTGCTCGCCCAGCAGCTCTTGCCATGGCTGCCTCGCGTAGCATTAGCAACAGCCGTGTCTCCACAGTGGTCAAGCGTGTCAGCTCTGGGTCGCCAGACGACGCCTCAGCACTCTCCAGCAACGGCGGCAGCAAGGCTGCTTCCAATAGTAGCACGCCAGGAACCGACACATCTGGCAGCCTGTTTAACCCGTCCGAGGGCTATCTGACAGAATCGCAGTGGTCGACGTCCTTCAGCGGCGTGGGCGCCGAGCCGTTCGACGCACGGATCGTCGATATTCTGATGTCGCCGATTGACGAGGCTGACATTGAGATCAAGCCCGACGGCCTGATCTACCTTCCCGAAATAAAGTACCGGCGGATCCTGAACCGGGCGTTTGGGCCAGGCGGGTGGGGACTGATTCCACGCGGCGCGCACTCGGTGTCGGGCCGCACGCTGTCGCGCGAGTACGCACTGGATATGCCTGGGCCGGTTCATCTCGCAGGCGCGTGGCGAGCAGGATTTCTTTGACGAAGGCGGCCTGGCCACTGCGACTGAGGGATGCAAGTCGAACGCGCTGATGCGGTGCTGCAAGGACCTGGGCATTGCGAGCGAGCTGTGGGACCCGGCGTTTGTTTCGCAGTTCAAGGCCAAGCACTGCGTCGAGGAGTGGGTGACGCACGCGACCAAGGGCAACAAGAAGCGCATGTGGCGCCTGGCCAGTCGCCAGTGGGAGTACCCGTGGGCCAAGAAATAGGATGTCCTCTTTGCACCAGCGCTTCAAAAATGCATGTGCGAAATAGAATGCGGCAGCCACCAACACATGCAGCTACATGAGACATGTTGAAGTAGATATATGAAGTTGATACTGGAGTTCTTGTGGAGAAAGACATGGAATCAACGATTTGTTCTACGAAGTAAAAAATTCTGGCGAGAGGACTCTTGCTTGCGTAGCGATATTCTTCCATTCTCCCGATATCCAAAAGAAACTGACACTTTTTACTGCTTGGAGGCAGAGTTGCGGGAAGCAGACGAGCGGCGGCGGCGGAGCTCCTCCTTGCGCTCGCGGTGCTCCTTCTGGCGCTGGGCCAGGAGCTTGGCGTACTCGGCGGCAGCCTCCTTGGACTTCTCCTGCTGGCGCTTCTTGAGGGTGACCAGGCGGCGCTTGTGCTGCAGGGTGCGGGGAGTGACCAGGCGCTGGATCTTGGGAGCCTTGGTGTACGGCTTCTTGTCAGCGTTCTTGGGCTGGATCTCACGGCGGATAACAAACTTGCGCACGTCGTCCTCCTTGGTAAGGTTGAACAGCTTGCGGATGTTGTTGGCACGCTTGGGGCCAAGGCGCTTGGGAACCGAGGCGTCGGTCAGGCCCGGGATCTCGGCCTCACCCTGCTTGACAATAGCGAGCGAGAGGACGGACAGGTCCGAACCGACGATGCAGCCACGCACCGACTTGCGGCGGCGCTCACCAGTGCGGCGCTGGCGGTAGCACGAGTGGCCCTTCGACAGGAGCAGGCGGACACGGCCCGGAGACAGGACACCCTGCTTCATGGGGAAACCCTGCTTGTCGTTTCCACCAGTGATGCGGAAAACGTAGCCCTTGAACTCATCACCGACCGAGTCGCCCGGGACCTCCGCCGAGATGCGCTTATCGAAGAAGACGCGGAGCTTGCGCTCGTCGTCGATCTCAATGGTCTTCTGGCAGCCGTTGGCCAGGTTCGCGATGTTCAACTATTTTCGAGAAGCATTCCAGAGAGCCGTGGTTAGTTTACAGGATTTGCCTATGCTGTTGCTTCTGCCAGATTGCCCTAATCTCCATGGGCACGCAACACAGACGGGGAGTACGCCAGCGCAGGACTAAACAGACAGGAGCGGAGCCTAGTAACGCCGAGTGCCTTTACACTGCACGATCCAGAGCCGCCATGTGGTAGCGCTGGGCACCGTCGCCGCAGCGCTCATTCGAATTTCGCATTCGAGCCTAAATGCTCCTCTCTAAAAATTTTCTCCTTCCTTCCGGCTCCGTCCATCTGGTCGATCCCGCTCCTGTCTGTACCGCCCCGATTCTGCATCCATCCCGCCGGTCGCTTGCATTTTTTTCGATGGATACATGCCTTCATGGTCTGTAAGATGCGCTGATAAATTCGTCGCGGGGTGAAAGAAGGAACGGCCGTCAGCTGCGATGGACATCCAATTTTCGCCTCACCCAGCATTGCTGCACGAAACAGCTACTGGCAATTTCGCATTTTTCGAGCTGCAGTGGGCTGATCGCCTAATTCTCCCGCGATTAAATGTGATTTATTGTTGATTGGACGACAACGACGACGACACTGAAGGCGAGCTGCTGGTCAGGCTTGTGATGCGCCGTGCCAACCGCCGGGCGCCGCTGTTGTTGTGCGCACTGCTGCTGCCGTTGCTGCCGCTGCCTGCCTGTTTCTCGCTGGGGCTGTGTATTGAGGGCGTCCAGGTATTTTTGGGTTAGCGGTGTGAGCTTGCTGCTCGCCCCAGCGCGGCGGTCGTCTGGCTGAACTACCGGGTGCTGGCGGCGGCTTGGAGGTGGCAGCGGCGGCCTGGTGTACTTGGGTAGCCTGCCGTTGCCACTGCTATCCGAGACTGCATCGTTGATGCAAGAGACCAAACTGGTAATGCGCGATGACGACACCACCGAGGTCATTGATGCAGAGGGAGACGGTGTACGCCTTGGGATGTGCTCTGTCTCCTCATATCCCTCAACATCAAACAGCCTGATCCCACTGACAAGCTCGGACAGAGAATTTGAGCGCTGTGTGTCGTCTGGCGATGGCTCGATATCTGTATCCCGAGTCAGCAGGTTGGCACCACTATGACTAGGCGCGCCTTTCATGCGCAGATACCGCCGCGTTAACGGCTGTGTCGGCGGTTTGCTTTTGACATAGTGAATGATCTCGCGGGTCTGGGAGACGTGTGCCTTAATCAACCGATTTTGTTCCTCCAGCAGCGACCGGATATGCCGCTGCTCTTCCAGAAGATCATCCAAGCTCGACGCTGACGTCTCTGGCTCAGAGATAGTCCGAACAGCTCGTGCACCGGCCGGTGGATGGGATGGTGGTCCGCTGCGACAGCGACTGGAGCACCTCGGTAATGGGCTCAGTATTACTGTAGGTTGGTGAGGCTAGGGCTGCTGGTGGCACTGTGCTGGTTGAACCGCTGACCGGCATTCCAAACTGTAGGCATGCCCGTCTGAGCGCACCGATCACGTCTGTGTTTCTAGCATCAGGCACTGAGAAATCTGAGCGCCAGCACGATGCTTGCTGGCTCAAATGTGCTTGGACTGATGCCAACCTCGCAGACAGCCGTGACTGTGGGCCAACACGACGAACTTGCTTATGCCTTACCAGTGCTGATGTCCAGTCCTGTGATGGCCTGATCCACACAACATGTAGGGATTCTGGCGCACCAAGCTCCAGGTACGCATCCCGCACAGGCCTATAGGCGTCGTTGCCACTCCCAGACAGCGCCCATGCATGGCAGGGCCGAGTGCTGTTTGGTGTCCCAAACTGCGCTGTGAATTTTCCGTCTGGCTCTTCCTTCAACCAGCCGAACGGGTGCTGCACCAGCCTATTGCGAAGCTGGCCGAGCATCGATGACAGGCTGCCAAGATTTATCGGCAACGGTGCTGGTGTGATTGACACGCAGAGGTCTAGCTCAGCATTGACAAACTCGAGGCCAAGTGTTCCGCCCTGCGTTCCCTGGAACCAGCATGATATAGAGTTTGTCCGATTTGGCTTCAGTATTTCGGAATATACCATGTCTCGCGACTGACCACAATAGAGTGGAACCACAATGTCTGAGTCGCATGCCGCTGTTGGCACCAGCAAACCACTGCCACTGCGAACCCCACGATCCAGCCGGTTCAGGTACACCGACCCGTCATCCTCGCAGTACCCAAGTAAAAAAGATGCCAGCCTGACTTCCCTGCTGCTATTTGGTTGAATTTGTTCGCTGCTGCTCTGCAATTGCCTGGCAAGACCATTGGATACAGAGACTGCCGGCGCATTCCCGCCAGCGCTGCTAATGCGCATACTTTCAGGAACTTTCACTGCTGCTGCTGCTGCTCTCGGGCCCGCAGCGTGCTTCCGCACCCAAAGTGTGTCGCGAGCTGTCGCTGTTCCGTGGACGCTGCTGCCGAGGCAAATATACTGTTGGGCCCTCGGTCATGGTTTCATTAAGTGCAAATTGGATAATTATCTAGCTATCAACAAAAATGAAAAGTAAAAATAAACAAAAATTTGTGCGTGGGCAAAGCAAAAGTGGAAATCATTCAGACTGCACTTTGTCACACGGTCTTCCAATACTGGCAATGATCGAGACCCGTTGTTCTTGGTAAAAGTATCCAAAATTCATGCTAGTATTAGATCTCTAGAGGTATGCGCCAATGACTGCGGCGGCACCAGCAAGTGCGGCCGAGAAGACGGCCTGGCTCGAGGCACCGCTGGCATCAGGGGCAGCGACCTTGGTCTCCTTGGCGTCGTCCTTCTTGCTGGACTTGGACGGGGACTTGCCCTCGCTCTTCTTGTCCGAATCATGTGCTTTCTTGTCGCCCTTCTTGTCGGTATCGTGGCTCTTGGGCTTGTCGTCCTGAGCGGCAGCCAGCGCAGCGAAAACAATAGTGGCAACAATGGCAAGCTGAGCAGCCTTCATATTCGAGATTGGATATGTAGAGTCAAGGAGTTGGCCGAAAAATAGATATAGGAGGTATAAGGGAAAGGGGGGAACTAGGAAGAAAGGGAGAGGATGATACGAAATTGCTCTATTCGAGATATTTCGAATGCTTCGGCTAGGGTTTGTGGACATGTCGGGTTTTATAACAAGACATGGTTTACTGCATGGCTTTACTTGCTCTGCCAAACAGATCAGGATCGTTCTGCTACCGTCCATTAAGGATGTGGATATCGCAATTTTTGCCCGCACAGCATCACCCGCACCCCGCTCGCAGCAGAGTCACAGCCATGACGCTGTGGGGGAACAACACATTGGATATGTCCCCATATATAGTCTCAATATTGGCTGAGTACCAAGCATTCACACGAAGAAAGAGCCACATACTCTCGGTAATTAATACCTGTGGAGTGTTTTCCTATTGGGTCACTGGATATATTAGCACAGCAACGACGATGCCCATTGTTTCAGATACTGGAAATATATTTTGTCAACATAATCGCTGGAGGAGGAGGGCAGTAATGTATAGCGCTGGAATAGGATGAAAGTATGAGAGAGAAGCGTGGGCATGTTTTCTTTATTTTTTAGAACTGGACGGCTGCAAGGAAGGCTGCAGAGACAACCAGCGCAATCATGGCGCTTCCGCTCTTCGAGGCGGAATTCGACCCAGAAGCAGCAGCAGCGGATGCTGTGCGGCCGTCTTTGCTGCCAGAAGCACTAGACTCACCCGAAGCCGAGAACAGTGTCAGAGTAGCCTGGCCGGTCGGGGTAGCGAGTGATGCGGGGGAGGAGGCATGGGCAAGCTCAGAGACGGTGGTGCGGGGAACAGCGCCAGAGACAGCAGCAACAGACTCGGCAACCTTAGGCTCAACGGCCTTGGCCTCCCCCTTGGTCTCAGGCTTGGACTCGACGGTGACGACAGCAGCCGAGGCAGTGGCGGCAATGACGAGAGTGCAGATCGAGAACTTCATTGTAAATCAAAGAGTTTGCGCGCTTGCGAGTAATGCCAAAGGTAGGAGGAAGGAATGCTGGGGTGGGTTGCAATGGGATGTTTCCTGCGAATGCCAGGAGAACACCTTCCGTTTTATGCGGTCCTGTCCGATGAGGACAGAGGGGGAATCTGAAGACCGGCTGAGAAAGCAAGTAGCAGCCAATATGATCCTGCTTTTTCTGCGCAACGTTGCCGGCCAAACCGTTTTCAAGCGGCATTTTTCCTCACATGGTACCCCCTCTCCCTCTACGATGCTACGGCCCTTGGACCTGTGTAAGTGCTGATGACGTCGTGCGCAAAACAATAACAAGAACGGCCTGCACCTGTGTCCCTGAGTCGGAAATTGGCATGTCTGGCGGTTTGGGGTAGGCAATCGTGATTAGCTTCTCTGATCCATACTTGGCTCCATGGCCACCACAGTGTCATGTGTGGACATGCTGGGCGAGAGTAATTACGCAGGCATATTCCGCCTCCCCTCTACTTTACCCTTGTTGTTCAAAAATTTTTGGTTAAAAGAAAAACATGGATTCGAGCAGCCTCAAGTTAGCACAGAGCTTCGTAAAGGATGCACAGAAGGCGTCCAAGGGCGGATGGTTCTCCAAGCCCGAATGGGACCTGGCTGCCCAGTACTGGGACAAGGCAGCGACCGCGTTCAAGGCTGGTCGGCACTTTGAGCAGGCTGCTGACTGCTACTCCAAAGCCAGCGCTGCCTACGTCCAGATCAACACTGTCTACATGGCAGCCAAGTGCTGCGAGAATGCCGGCATCTTTGGCCGAACAGCAGCTGAAAGATTCGGCCAAGGCGATTGAATATTACACTCGGGCGAGCGACCTATTCTTGTCGCATGGCTCCTCACCAGACAAGGCTGCCGAGTTGATGGAGAAAGGCTGCCAAGGCGTGTGAGAGTGTGGACACCGAGAAGGCGATCCAGCTACACTACAACGCATTGTCGATATACGAAAACGAGGACCGCGGACGTTTTGGCCGTCGAGACCTTCCGCAAGACCACCGGCTACCTAATCGATCAGTCACGGCTCAACGAAGCGATTGAGGTGCAGCGGCGGCTCGTTGCCATCTGCGAGCAGACCAATAATCAGGCAGAGCTGAACAAGTGCTACTTGGGCATTATCATCATTACGCTCGCTTTTGGCGACGAGGTTGAAGCTGGAAAGTGCATGAATGAGTTTGTGCAGGATGACATTTTTATGCGCTCACGCGAGGCATACGTTGCTGACGGGCTGATGCAGGCATTCAGTGCTGGCGACGAGGAGGCCTTACAAACGTGCATTGAGGACCAGACGCTGTCATTCTTGGACGGGAAGTGTTGGCCGCCTGGCCAAGAGAATCCGTATCCCTGGGGCTCGGCGCATTGCCAAGAAACAGCCAGCACCTCCTCTACCTCCCCAGGCTAACCCTCCAGCGCAATCCCAGACCCCAGGCAGCATCCCACCTCCAACACCCGCAGCTCCAGTAGCCGAGCTGGATGATGACGATGACGACTTGCTGTAAGCAACATACTTAGTAGTCTTGTTGTTCTATGTTGAGTATGATTTTACCAATTGATGGAACATTATCCAATGTATATGGTGCATGTAGGAGGTGGTAATACCATATGCATATCTTATTCACAGTGACTCAGTAATGCAGGATGAAGTAAAGCATGATATGCCCCTACCCTGGATCTGCCTTATGAGTATTGCAGAATGACTGCTGCAATCGATGAGAGCATTAGTAGTATATACATTTTTAGTGCTTGGATAGGGACTTTCTGCCTTCTATTAAGGATTATAGGAAGCGTCTTTTGACTGTGCTGGATTCCTATTAAAAAGCCGAGTCAAAATCAGACCGAGGGTCCACCGAGTATCAACGCACTAAAAATCTCCTTGCAGTGCGTATTCTGTAGCAGGTATCCATTCTGTTCCTATAATGCAATTAATGCAAATGCAAATGGTAGTGCTTATGCAAAGTGGCAGCATGCATAATGGAAATATATGATGCATTAATGCTTATAGAGCTGCAAGTGATGTTGATATGTCTGTTTCATCCACTCCCCTATATGACTGCCTACAGCCACAGGATAACACCGACTCACATCCACTAAATATTGCTGGCATGCCTATGCCACCATAGGGATATTGATAGGCTTGTCTAGCCAGCAGCGAGCCGCGGCCACAAATGAGCCCAACTCAGCTCGCAGATCTGATCATGGGATTAGCACAACCAGATCAGTGGTTTTTGTGGTCAACTGCTGCAAACAACAGCTGTATTCTTCTCCTCGCCTTTCTTCTTTGCAGCTTAATGCTTCTTTCTTTTTTCGAACTACACACATTAAGCAGCTTCATTTGCACTTAGCACATGTCAGCCTCAGACAACGAACAGACCTCTGTGTCAAATGCGGCCTCCCTAGGAGAGAATGCACCCCAAAGCAGTAGCGCTGCTGCCGCAGCCCCTGCAGACTCGACAAGCCAGCAGACCATCCGGCACATCAGCAAGCAACACGGGCGCAACGGAGGCATCAACAGCACCAGCAGCAGAGAACAGCAACGCCGCAGTCTCGACACCCAGCAGCGCAGCAGCAGCAGCAGATGTGCCAGGATCGACGCCCAAGCCAGCGACCCCCGTGCCAAAGCCCAAGAAAAAGTCGGCTGGCAGCACGCTAAGCAGCAGCGCAAAGCGCATTCAGAAGGAGCTGGCCGAGATCAGCCTGGACCCGCCCAGCAACTGCAGCGCGGGACCAAAGGGCGACAACCTGTACGAATGGGTTTCGACGATTGTTGGACCGGGAGAGTCACCGTATGCCGGCGGCGTGTTCTTCCTGGACATCCACTTCCCGACAGACTACCCGTTCAAGCCGCCCAAGATTATTTTCCGGACGCGCATCTACCACTGCAATATCAACAGCCAGGGACAGATCTGCCTGGACATCCTGAAGGACAATTGGTCACCAGCGCTGACGATCTCCAAGGTGCTGTTATCGATTTGCTCGCTACTGACGGATCCTAACCCGCACGATCCGCTGGTGCACAGCATCGCGCAGCAGCTGCTGACAAACCGCAAGGAGCACGATGCGACAGCCAAGGAGTGGACCAAGCGCTATGCGTGTTGCTAGAGTGTAAACAAGCGTTCTATTAAAAATTTTCGTTGCTCTAAATAGCTCCCGAGAAAAGTGTTAAAAGTACAGAGATAGGTTTGGGATCTCACATAGTGCCAGACATGATGCTGACGCGCACCAGCTTGAGAGCGATGATGCTCAGCACTGACGCCCCAGCCAGAGAGCAATAGGTCCAAAGCCGGCTGTGTCTGCCGCGCTCGAGCTCGCTAGCAATCCTACGCGTGAACCTTTCATGATCTGCCATCTCGTCCTTTTGCGCATACTCGATCTCGAGCACCAGGCAGCGGTGATCTGACGCTTCAAAGTCCCTATTCTCCATCCAGTGCTTGGTGATTCCTGAGCTGGCGCACAAATGCCCAGTCGGCTTTGGCAGTCATGAAGCCGGCGTGGTTCGATATGGTGATGTCCTTGCAGATGTCGAAGGGATCAAACCAGCCAGGGTTGATCGCGGTGCGTAGTATCTGGCTCGAGAACTGCAGGATTCTCAGGCAGGCTCTGCTCTTCTAGGCAGCGGTTGATGGGGCCGTCGCTGTGATACCACGAAAGAATGTTCTTGAGCCACCATTCGGGCTCGGTCATGCCGATCGTACGCCAGCGGTACCAGTCGCACGCGTACTTTGGTGATAGGCGCGCCAGCGAATGCGCAAATGTGTTGAAGTCGCCAAACACCAGCTGGTGTGGCAGTGGGCCAGCATGTTGCTGGCTGTCATGCATCAGGTCGCTGAGCTGACCGACACGCCCGATGATACCAGAGAAGCACTCAAAGTGCGCGCTGTACGCCAGAATGCTCGGTCGTCTGGGAACAAGCACTTCCGCTGCAAGTGTAAAGCGTCGACCACGGCGGGGTTCCCCAAGGACAGCACCATCGCGATCCCAGTTATACGGCTGATGCTCGTGGTCGATAACACGCAGCTTCATATCGTACTTGGAGTAGATGGCGTTGCCGTGGATTCCGCCGCCCTGCTGGCCCTCGTCCCTAGCCGGGCTTTCGAGCTCTTGGAACTCGACAACCATGGTGCCGTTGAGCTTGAGGCGCTCAGCGATTATCTGTGCATGGTTGCCGCCGCCACTGCGCTTATTGCCGATGTCGATCTCCTGCAGGCAGACGATGTCGGCATCCAGGTGCTCAAGTATATTCACGACCTTGTCAAGCTGGTAGCCGCGTTCAATGTTCCATTGGATGACCCGCAGCGGTGCGGGGATCACTACTGCTTCATCCGAGGGCCTCTCTTGTCACGGTAATCATATGTCAGCAGTTCGCCAGGTAGTGCCAGCTCCATTGTCTTGTTCTGCGTTGAAATGTGCTGGAAGAGTAAGGAAAATGTCAACGCTGGGGCAAAAACCGGGATGTCATTGCGAGCTAGTAAACAGAAAAGCCAGCAACAGCGCCGACCAGTCGGACAATCTGCTTGCTGGCCAGCGGAGCGGGTTCAGCAAAGCCGCGAGACGAGAAATGATCCCACGAGATTGCTGGAGGGGAGCCAATCACACGTGCTTACATGGCAACCACACTTTTTTCAAGCACAGCAAAATTCGCTTCTCAGCCCCTCGGCGAAACTTCACACTGCTGCCCTGGTTCAGCTTTCCCCTCCAGCTTCTCACCGTCTCATCTTTATTAGTGCTCGATAGACATTGCCGACGTGGGCATCCCAGCATTTATTTCGCTCATCCAGCTAGTCTATATTCTCTAAATGTCTAATCTGCCGCCACGCCCGCCTCCGCCGCCGCCTGCAGGGTCGCAGGGAGGACCAGCGCGTACAGGAACTCCGCCAGTTGGATTTGGGCCAGGGTCATCTCCGCTGACGCAAGTGAGGCCGCAGCCAATTTCGCGCACAGCTACGCCGCAGGGTCCTTCAGCAGCCATGTCTCCGGGTCCTGCTGAGCCGCAGTCAGGGAGCCGGTCGCCATTTGTCGGCCAGCCTGCTGCATTCCGGCCGCCGCCACCGCCCAACATGCCGCCTCAGCCGCAGGCTGCTCGTGCCTTGTCTCCAGGCGGTGTCCCGACGCCACCGGTGCAGGGCCCACCTAGCAGCTATGGTGGATCGCCGAGGCCTCCTGCCCCGCCCTCGCAGTACCAAAACCAGCAGTACCCACCGCAGCCGCCTCAGCCCCAGCAGCAGTCAGCAGTATCAGCAGCAGCAGTACCAGCAGCAGCAGCAGCAGCAGACGCCGCCTGTGCCTCCACTCTCCCCGACAGTATCTGCTGCTGCTGCTCCCTCGTCGCGTCGCCGTATGTACCCAGAGCAGATGGCCACGGCGTACAGCGCGCAGCAGCAGCCGCAGGCACAGCAGCCACAGGGATTCCAGGCTCCTTACGGTGGTGGCAACCTGCCCCCACTGCCCGGATCTGCCCAGCAGCAGGTTCCGCAGCAGGCTGATCCGGCAGCTGGACCCGGTGGATTCTTTGTCCCGGGAGCCGCACAGGCGCCGGCTGTGCCTAGTCCGGCAGGTATGCCGCATGTGAGCGCGCCTGGTCCTGGCTATCCCATGCCGCCTCAGCAGCACAGCAGCAGCAGTTCCAGCCCCAGCCCCAGCAGATGCAGCAGCCGATGGCTGGCGTCACACAGCAGTTTTCGCAGATGGGTCTTGGGCCGACGCCGCAAGAGTACCAGGTTGCAATGCTTGGCGGGCAGCCTCAGCTCTCGGCTCTCGACGAGCCTGGCACCGATCATCAAGCTACCGCCTAACGCCGCATGCGTGCCATCGTCGCACATTATCTGCCCGGCCAAGCACAAGCGGAGCACACTTAACGCCATCCCCAAGACCGAAAAGCTGCTAAAGAAGTCGAAGCTACCGTTTGGCCTTGTGATCACGCCGTTCAAGTCGCAGGAGGAAGGCGAGGAGCCGATCCCAGTGGTCAACGAGATTGTGCGGTGCAGACGGTGCCGCACGTACATCAACCCGTTCGTTCAGTTCGTGGAGGGCGGGCGCAGATGGAAGTGTAACATGTGCGGACTCAACAACGATGTCCCTCTGTTCTTCGACTACGACTCAGCCACGCAGACCCAGAAGGACCGCTGGCAGCGGCATGACCTCAACCACGCCGTGGTCGAGTTTGTCGCGCCTGTCGAGTACATGGTGCGCCCACCGATGCCACCGGTCTATGTCTTCATCATCGATGTGTCATATGCGTCGGTGCAGATCGGTGCGCCTGGCGTCATTGGCCAAACCATCCTTGATGTCTTGGACAAAATCCCGAATGTGGACAAGCGCACAAAGGTCGCTTTCCTGGCAGTCGACACGTCGCTGCACTACTTCCAGGTCCGTCCTGGAAGCACTGAGCCGCAGCAGCTCGTTGTTAGCGATCTCGACGACGTGTTCCTGCCATCGCCGACGGATCTACTGCTGAATCCTGGACGAGTGCCGCCAGGGCATCGAGGGTCTCCTGTCGCGTCTGGGCAGCATGTTCAAGGATAACCACACTGTGGGCAACGCGCTGAGCCCAGCCGATCAAGGCTGCACAGAAGCTGCTGGGCACGCTGGGTGGCAAGATCATTGTCATGCAGGCATCTGCACCGACCATTGGCGAGGGCAAGGTCGAGCCGCGCGCTGAGGGCAAGGATCTGGGCACCCCACGCGAGTCGGAGCTGCTGCGCCCGCAGAACAACTGGTACAAGACGCTGGCTGCCGACAGCTCGCGCACGCAGGTCGCATTCGACACGATCTTCTTTGGCCAGCAGCCGATGGACATTGCCACTGTGTCGTGCCTGGCGAGATACACCGGCGGATCGGTGTTCTACTACCCGTCGTTCATGGCTACGCGCAAGCCTGAGGTTGATCGGTTCAGCAAGGAGTTTCGGCAGCCATCTGGCGGCCAAGGTTGGCCTGGAGGCAGTGCTGCGCATTCGTGCATCCAAGGGTCTGCGCATGGCATCGTACTATGGAAACTTCTTCCTGCGGTCGATGGACCTGCTGGCGCTGCCCAATGTCACACCCAACCACGCCTATGCCGTGGATGTCGAGATCGACGAGACACTAACCGCACCTGTGGTCTACTTCCAGACGGCGTTACTGCACACCACATCGTACGGTGAGCGGCGGATTCGCGTCTCGACGCTGGCGCTGCCAACTACCGACAACATCCACACTTTGTTCCACCACGCTGACCAGGTTGCAATCGCGTCGCTGTTGGCCAAGAAGGCCGTAGACCGTGCTCTGGTTGCCAAGCTGGAAGATGCTCGTGAGGCTCTGCAGCACAAGGCCCTCGAGATCATCGGCGCATTCAAGACCGAGTGCACACAGTCGTCGTCGGGCGCGACCACGCAGCTGCAGATCCCGCGCTCGCTGCAGCTCCTTCCCCTGCTGACTCTGGCGTCTCTCAAGCATACTTCGCTGCGTGGCGGCAACAACGTGCCTCCTGCACTGCGTCTGGCTGCCATGAACTTTGTGCTGACGCTGCCAGCCGAGCAGGGCGTGCAGCCTTTCTCGATGGCGCGCATGTACGCCCTACACAACCTGCCGGAGAACGCGGGCTACCCCGATCCCGAGACTGGTTTGACGGTCCTTCCGCCCAAGCTGAATCTGTCGGCCGAGTCGCTGTCCCCGTACGGCGTATTCCTGCTGCACGACGGCAATGATTCGTTCCTGTGGTTCGGTCGCGAGGTCAGCCCTGCGGTGTGCTCTGCTCTTCTCAACGTCACTGATGTGCGTACTGTGCCCAGCGGCGTGATCTCGTTCCCTGATCTGAGCAACGGCGCCGACACGCCTGCTGCCGGCTTTGAGCTCAACTTCCAAGTCAACGCCATCATCAAGCGCCTCAATGCCCTATGCCACAACCTGTGGAGCCCCGTCACGTATGTGTGCAAGGAGGACGGCGAGCCGGTTCTGCGTATGTGGATGATGCAGCGGCTGTCAGAGGACATGGACACCAGCGCTCCCAGCTACCAGCAGTTCCTGAACCAGCTGCGCGACAAGGTCAACCGCGGCAACTTTTAAACAAAATCCCTTCTTAGTTTACTGTTTCTCAATCTCTTCACTCATGAACCCCATTGCAGCTACATGGCATATATGGTTACTAGGCAGACGAAAACATGGATTAGAAACGTGAAAACGACATCATTTTGGTGACGGGTTGGGACGGATTGGGTACGGTGCTGTGGTGTTTGTCCACTGAGTAATCCAACTAAGCACCTCAGTATACCACTTTATCGAGTTTATGTTGCGGTTGATCCAGTGGTCCTCATCGGGGAAGTACAGCAGGCGCGCCGGGATTCCTCTGCGCCTCAACAGGGTAAAGCCGCCCAGGGACTCCGATACAGGGATCCTGAAATCCTTCTCTCCCTGGATGAACAGGGTGGGTGTGCGGAAGCTCGATGCAAACCGCTCCGGGTTATTCTCCTCCAAGATCTCCCTGCCGGCGGGCTCCCAGGGCTTGCCCAGATCCCACTCAGGGAACCACAGCTCGTCAGTACCGTAGTACCCTGATACCGTGCTGAGCTTTCCGTCGTGGGCGACCAGGCATTTGAACCGGTCTGTGTGTCCGTTGAACCAGTTCATCATATATGCGCCAAACGAGCCGCCCAGCGCGCACATGCGGGTCGTGTCAATAAACCTGTGCTTGTCAGCGATGTAGTCAATTCCACGCATCAAGTCGACATAGGGGTAGTTGCCCCAGTTGTGGCGGATGGAGTCGGTGAAGTTCTGGCCGTATGTTGGCGACCCGTGGAAGTTGATCTGGACGGTGACGAATCCGGCGCTGGCGTACATGTTCGGATTCCACTGGGCATGGCTGAACGAATGCGTGTTTGCTTGCTGCGGGCCGCCATGCACAAGATAGGCGAGCGGGTACTTTTTGCGCTTGTCGAAATTGTACGGCCGCAGAAGCCACCCGTGGACGAGGTCGCCGCGAGCACCAGGGAACCAGAAATCCTCGGCCTTGCTCAAGTAGACGTTGCGGAGTTTTTCCTCGTTGATATCGGTCAGCTGCTTTGTCTCGAATGATGATGTGTCGAGGATATGGATGTCGGAGCACTTGTCGTTGTCGCTATGGACATACAGGATCTTATTGGGGCCAGCGAGGCGCACAGAGCTGGATGAGCCCTCTTTGGTCAGTTCTCTGCGTGCACCGGTAGCAACATTGACAGCGATGAGCCGGTTGGTTCCCTCTTTCCCGGTCATTGTGATCAGCTCTGTGTCATCAGCCGACCACAGAAGAGAGTGCGGCGTCAGCTCCCAGTTTCGTGCGATCGATATGGTCTCACGGGTCGCAATGTCGTGCACATATATGCGGTTGATATCAGCCTCGTATCCTGGCGTCTCCATCTGCAGCCATGCTAATTTCCTGCCATCGGATGAGAATGCTGGGGAACTGGCCATCCCATGGACATGGCCGGTCAATAGACGCGGGTGAGTGCTGCCAGTAGTGGATACGAGGTAAATGTCGACGTCCGTTTTCCATGCCATATCTTCGGAAGGCGGTCGGGTCACGAATGCAACATTATCACCATGCGGCGAGATCGCAAATTCCTCGACAGACCAGTCAATCGAGCGGGTCCTGAGAACGAGGGCAAGAACGCCATTAGGTTCGTTTCGTTGCTGACAGACCATCCCAGCGGGCCCTTGGAGAGCGAGGCAACAAACACACGGGGCTTCTCCTTTGACATCCACTCGTTCCAGTGCCTGACCCACAGGTTGTCGAATACCATGCCGGAGTCCGTCTTGTTAGCCTCGGCACGTCTAATTACTGCGCTCTGCTCGAGCGTTGCATTGGGGAACACGCTTGCCTGTGAACGCCAGTAGCCCGGTGTTGGCCCGGTACGACACGCTGCTGATGGGTGTGGGCGGGTTGTATACAAGTAGAGGCGCTGCGTTGGCAGAAATCTGCTGGCAGTAGAGCGTACCGTGCCGCATGAATCCGATTGTCTCGTCGTCGAACCACAGGAGGTTGGAGGCAGCTTGACCAGGCTGGCTATCGGTCAGCTGCGTGATATTGCCCGTGGCAATGTCGAGAAGGCTGACGTATGAGGAAGACTTGTTGGAGTCTGGGTTGTAGGTTGTGGTGACGAATATCGCGTGGCCGTTGTTGGGGGATACCACCGGCCCACCGATGCGGTTCAGCGAATGGAACAGGCGAATGTCGAGGGGCCTGCCTGACGTTTCATCGGCAGCAAGGCAAATGCCTGCGTATTGGCTGGCCACGCATAGTGCAATTAGCGACAGGCGTCTTAGCAGCATTGTAGATAACGTTTGGCACCGGTAAGATACAGGAAACAGTCAACAATCAACAGAATGTGTTCTATAGGTGGGCTGAAATAGTACAAAGCTACAGGATAAACAGAAAAGGAGACAAAATATGAATAATAGAAGTGGAAATCCGGCAGGGGCGCAATAACGTAGAAGAGAAAAAGAGGTCGTGGTCAAGTAGATAGTAGTTTGGCACTACATCGTGCGGACCTGCGTGCACTCTGCTTTGTTGTCAGTTCGCAGCATTAATGGCAGGGATTTTTTTCCCTTGCTCATGCATTGCGAAATGATCTGACTACTACTGCAGGCAGGGAGTATTCTATGCTTCACACGCTCATACAGCCAATGTCTAGCATTATTCGCACCTATCGTCTAGTCGTTAGCTCTCACGGTTGAGCGAACATACTAATTGGAATATGCATTGGGAATATTTCGGCAATATATCTTGCAGGCCAGGTGCCCAGACAGGACATTCAGATGATGTTGCATTCGGATGTCTATGCACACGCGTAATCAACTATCGCCAAGTGGGAACCATTTCAACTATCACCAAGTGGCGCCATTTCAGCTATCACCAGCATCATCCCACCACCAACACCACCACAGCTTCATCCAGCAAGCAGCACAGCCGACATTTGGACATGAGCGAGCCGCGAGCCATTGGGATCGAACCGAGCTGCCTGCCAGCTAATGATGCTGACCTTTTTTGTTTTATTTGCTTGCTCTCGCTGGCCAACTCGTATTTCGCCTCTTCTTTCTTCACATTCCAGACTCTTTTTCACGCAAACAGGTGCAGAAAAACATCAATACATTATTGAATACGGAAGCATAAATGTCTGCTGCAGAATCTGATGCCATGGCCAGCCTTTCGTTGGAAAATCCGGGATCCAACCCGAGCGAATCGTGGGTCGAGAGCTACCGACAGCAGCTAGCGCGTGCTCCATACAACGCGGAGCTGTGGATGGAATTTCTTCATGCAGCTAAGGCCCAGAGCGACGGCGAACTGACTCGTGAAGTATATGCGGATATTCTTCAGCGGTATCCGCACAGCGGGCGCCTGCTATCTGAGTACGTCGAGCTGGAGCTCAGCCTGGGCGAGAAAGAGCGTGCTGAGTCTGTGTTTAACGAGAAGCTGTTCACAGCACCTTCGCTGGAGCTTTGGAAGTGCTACCTGAACTACGTGCTAAGATCGAACACGGATGCGAGTGGGATGGTAGCGCTGCCCGAGAACCGCACCACAGTGCTGAACTGCTACAAGCTGGTACTGGAAAACGTCGGTGGGGATCGGGAGGCAGGGCAAATATGGCTTCAGCTATATCGAATTCCTGAGCACTGGTGAGGTAAGGTGCCTGCGGATTGGGGGTGCAGGTAGCGTAATTGTACTTTTCTCGAATCATGATATACAGCTCAGGACTGACAATGGTGTGCGATGCCTGTGCATGCATGTGTTTGTTTAGGGGTATGGGCAGTACGAGGAGCAGCTGAAGGCCACGCAAATGCGTGAGGCATTCCAGCAGGCAGTGGCGATTCCGCTGCTCAAGGTCGAGGAGATCTGGAAGCGCTACGACGCGTTTGAGAATGGGCAGAACCGGGCAGCAGCCAAGCGGTACCTGAGCGAGCTGTCGCCCACATACATGACAGCGCGCACCGCGATGCGTGAAATGAGCAAATTCTTTGACGAAATGCAGCACACTGCACCAGTGCACAGTCTACCCAAGCAGCCCGAGTGGACGCAGCCCGAGATCACGTATCTGGAGGCATGGAAGCGCTACCTGAAATGGGAGATCAGCAACCCGCTGCGCCTGACAGAGAGCGCAGGGGTGCAGAAGCGTGTGATCTATGCGTACAACCAGGCATGCATGGCTCTGAGGTTCTTCCCAGAGGTGTGGATTGAATTTGCCAGCTACCTTTGGGCGTTGGGCCAGCGCGACGCAGCTCTGGCCAAGATCCGCGATGCTAGCGAGGTCATGCCGGAAAGCCTGGCGGTGCAGTTCTCGTACGCTGAGATGGCTGAGAAGATGAAGCAGTTCTCATTGTGCAAGGATATATACGAGGGCCTGGTCACGTCTGCGCGCAGTGCGCTGGAGAACGTGTCAGCCAAGTACACGCGTCGGCTCGACAAGCTATCGCAGAAACTGAATAAGATGAAGGAGGCAGCGAATGCCGGTGACCATGCGATGGACTCGCCGTCTGCTGCCCCAGCGAATGACGGCGAGGACAGTGCAGTGTCGTCGGAATCTGAGTGTGAGCAGTCTGCATCTGAGGGCGATGATTTCATGGGTGACAGTGAAGGTAAGGCAAAGCGCTTGCTGGAGAAGCGGATCAGCCGTACGCGTGTGCGCATGGAGGAAAAGATGTCCGAGAAGCGCACGACGTACACGCTGATATGGACCATGTACATGCGGTATGTGCGGCGGTCAGACAGCCTGGACGCAGCGCGGCAGCTGTTGCGGCGGCCGCGCAACGACCCCTGCCGGCTACATCACGTACCACTTGTTTGTGTCGGCGGCGCTGATCGAGTACCATGTGGGGAAGCGGCCTGATGTGGCCGGGCGGCTGTTTGAGTACTACTCCAAGAACTACTCTGACGACACCGAGTACATCTTGCAATACATTACCCACTTGATCAACTCCAATGACGACAAGAATGCGCGCGCCGTGTTTGAACGCTTCCACGCGCAAGCAGCCGGCGAGTCCAAGCAGCTCTGGGACATGTTCGCCGACTATGAGTACAACTACGGAGACATCTCGTCTATTGAGAAGCTCGAGTCTCGGTACATTGCAAAGTTCTCCGGACGAATCGGTGATTTCGCGTGCAGCGGCCAAGTTTGGATGCCTGGACATTGACTGCGTGGCTGAGCGCGACTTTGGCTTTGCCCAGCGGTATGGGCGGCGGCAGCGCGACGACGAGGACCGACTCAATCAGCCGCAACAACGATGACGACGACGACGACTTTGCTGGCGGCATGGGATACTCTGCAGCGATGCCTGGGCTAGCCGTCGGCACAGTGTACGGCAAGCAGATGAACAAGAAGCAGCTCCTGGCGCCAGTGCAGTCGAGCAGGTTTGTCAAGCCATCGGTGGGCGGACTGCAGCCGTACAATCCGACGATCGAGCCGCTGCCCGAGTTTGGCACTGACGCAATGGCAGGCACTGCCAGTGGGACTCCCACAGGCGGCATGGGCGCGGATATGTGTCGCGGCAACAGCGTCTTCTTGACAACGGCGATGTGCTGAGCTACGTGGCCTCAATGCTGTCGGCACCCGACACGTCGCCGTTCGAGCAGCAGCCGCTGGATGTGGCGCGCGTGCTCGACATGGTTATGGACGCGAAGGTGTCGGGTCCGCTGGTGCCGTCAGATTACCGGCCGTTGGAGTATATGCCGGCGGCTGTGCGTCCAGCACCAGCAGCAGCAGCCGTATGGGCGCCGTGACAACAGCGGGCATAGGGACAGCAGGAGCCGCAGTAAGAGCCGGTCGAGGAGGCATCCCGGAGCCAGCGTACCGTGGGTACAGTGCGGGGCAGAGCAGAGGGTCGCGTGGCGGGTACGGGGGCCGGTCAACCGGCAGCAGCTATCGCTCGACTCCTTACGACCGCAACACACGGTATGGTGGCGACGATCGCGGCCGGTCTGGATTCCGGGGTCCGCCGAATGAAAGACCGTACGGGCAGCGCTACGATTCGAACAGAAGCTACAGTAGAGACTGAGCGTAAAAGTTAACGTAAACAAGGGCTTGATTCAATTTCCGTGATTATTCCTGAATAAATGCCCTCTGAGCCTTTCCAGCTTGACAGAGTGGCCATTGTGGTTCTTGCCACTCCATTTCAAATTTCGCGCGCATTTCTGCACTCTTCTCATTTTCGCTCTTGAGCAGCTTATCTCATCGGCCTTGGCCCGTCGGTTCCCTTTCTCTGTTAGCATTTGGCGAGCGGTTCTATTGGGCGCAGTCGAGGACGCATTTCAGGGTCTACTATTCACACCGCATTTCTGATAGTCCTGAGTAAGGAGGAGGAGTCAGCCCAACGCAGGAAACAAACGGCTCCTGGAAGTAACAACAACAGCAGCAGCAACAGCAGGGCTTCACGCGTATACAGAATCGATTTCTGTCGGAGCTCTCACACACTGCCACCTATACCTGGGTCCAGCAATACCAGGCTTGGGCGATGTCGGCATCAATCGCGCCGCAGTACCAGCGGCATGCCCCTACCAGGACATACACAAATGCTGCGACATATACATGCAGCGATGGCGTGTCAGTGCCAGCTGTGTTTGTAAGCAACAAAAACCCGTCGGTGAAGTACCGCGTTCTGGGGATGCTAGGACGGGTAAGTTGGGCTTTGTTATACGTGTAGAATCGCTGTTGGTACTGCGCTGAGAGGAGGGTGTTCGGACAGTGGTAGTAGAGACCGATTCAGTCCAAGAGGCATGTCAAATGGTCGATATTCCAAGTGCACTTTTATTATATGCGAGCCAGTTTTTGCACATGCTGTTCTAAAATACCTCTTTGTTTGTTAGGGTGCATTTGGACGGTGTTACAAAGTGCAGCAGCTGAATGACCCAGCCCATTCTGTGTGGGCATGCAAGTCAATCGACAAGAGCGGATTCAACAGCAGGAAGCTGCTGGATCGGGTAAGTTTGCGCCAAAGAGCAGTCTGAGACAGGCTGTATTGCGCACAATACAGACGCGTTCTTTTGCGAACAGGACTGCATTGGCCATGTGCTCAGTGTTTTTAATCCTACATCTGCACGTCATGCATATATAGGTCAAGTACGAAATCAAGGTGATGAGACGGTTGCCACAGCACGAGAATGTGGTCCAGCTGCACCGTATATTTCAAGACGACGAGCGGGTGTTTATTACAATGGAGCTATGTACACCGCGCACGGTCCACGACCTTTTGCAGAAGCGCAAGCGGCTGACAGAGTTCGAGTCGCGGTATTTCATTGGGCAGGTCGCCAGCGGGCTTGCGGCGCTGCACAGGGTGTGTATCATCCACCGCGATATCAAGCACAGCAACCTGCTTTTAGACAGCAGAAATCGCGTAAAGATTGCCGATTTTGGACTTTCAACGATCCTGGATGTTGAGACCGACCGCAAAAAGTCGTTCCTGGGCACACCAAATTTTCTGGCACCCGAGCTGGTATCGCGCGACGAGAGGGGGCACAGTTTTGGAGTCGACGTGTGGGCAACGGGAGTGCTGCTGTATATTATGTTGTATGGGCGGCCGCCATTCAGCTCGCCCAACAGCGCAGTGAAAACCGGCTTGGAGGTTTTGTACGGGCGCATAGTAACTAACGATGTTGTATTTCCGACGCAGCCGCCTACGTCGTATGCAGCCAAGAAGATGGTCGAGAAGCTGTGCTGTAAGCGTGAGGACGAGCGGATCGAGGCCAGCGAGATCTTTTACGAAGACTGGTTCTTGGCGAACGGGGATTCAGCAATGCCAGGGTTTATGCCAGACTCGATATTCCACACGCCGATACGAAGTATCAGCGACTACCGGGATCTGGTGGCGGGGATTGAGGGCGCGGTGAAACCAGCGTCGCGCATTGCAGCGACGCTGAATCCAAGAGTGCCTGTGAGCAAACATACAGAGGGTGTGGCTCGGCGCAGCCGTGTGCGGCAGCCGCTGGAGCCGATCATTGAGCATGAGAACCAGGTGCGGCGGACCACAGGCGAGCCACCGAAGCCGATACTGCGCAGTGCTAGGCCAGTGGTGTCATCGGTTGATACGTCGGCGTCAACGACCAGGGTCAGCACCGAGACACTGCATCTGAGTGAGCGGGTTGCTCGGATACGCATGCTGTCCAATCAGCAGGCAAATGCAAAGGATGCGGGTGGTGCAACAGTAGCACCACCGCCTGCAACCACCAGCCGGTATGCTCTACGATCCAAGGGCGCCGAGGAGATACCGGCTAGGGAAGTTCCACGGAGCGTGCGCTGGTCAGATTCACCGCGGGCGGGGGCGCACTCGCCCAGGGCGCCCGAGGCACGATTGCCGCAAGCGGAAGACGCTGCGCTCGAGCCCACGGTGCAGGCAGAGTTTGGGCAGGTGACGAAGCTGTCGGAGGAGTACCTGCCGTCGCTGCAGCACTGGCACGACCGACTGCAGAAATTCCGGAGCACGGCCAGGCGGTACCAGCAGCTGTCAGGGCGCGAATACGAGGCGTGGCTGGCGCGCACGTCGTGGGCGGATGAGCCCGAGGCCAGGTATCCGCGCGTGGGCATGTACGTGTTAAACTGGATGATGCTGGTCCGGTACGGGCTTGGGTTCCGGATGAGCGACGGAACAATCGGCACGCTGTTCAATGACAACACGTCGCTGCTGCACATGAGCAATGCAGACGGGTATGCGTACGTGCGGCCATTCCAGGACCGGTCGTGCGTGGGGTACTATGCGGCGGACGCATTCCCGGCAGAGCTGGACAAGAAGCGGCGGGTGGTGAAGGGGTTTGGACACAAGATCGTGCGGGACCTTTTGTACAACGTGGATGCTGAGATATACCCGGTGCCGGAGCACGACGATGTTGTGCGGTGCATGCTGCAGGCGCTGGCGACGACCGCCGGCATGATGTTTTTGCTGACAGGCGGCGTGATACAGTTCAGTCTGTGCAACCACGCGAAGCTGTTTTTGTACGAGGACTCGCATATCTTTTACAAGGACTCGGATGGACGCAAGTGGCATTTCAATCTGGCGGATGGGCCGGCGCGGCTGGTGCGCGATGCCGAGATTGATGTGGACAAGTTCTTGCTGTGTCTGGAGTATGCGCAGAAGGTGCTGGCGTCGGACAAGTTTTCTGGGCACAGGGCGAGGTAGTGGCGGAGGACCAAGTGCCTTAATGTAGTTTCGTTTTGTAATGATCGGTAGCAAATATGTTTGTACGCAGGAGTGCAGCCTTGCACAGGGTATGTTATCTGAAACCGTGGTGTATGCCAGACTGAACATCGAGACCGCCGGGCGTTGCCCAATCATGTTTCGGGCTCCTCGATATCTACCTGCCAAGAAAGCTTACAGCGATGGAAAAAATCCTGAGGGCTGGAACAGGCTTGGAGAGGGTTTTTTTTTTTGAGATTTTTCCTCCCTCCTGCTCTTACCACAGCGTGTTGTCTCTTAATTCGACTCCCGTTTTTCCAATTCACGCAGCGACTATATTTTCTATTTCCCGCATTTCACCAAACCTCGCCTGTTCCTTATCAGCGCCTTAGAGCATAGCTACTCTTGGTATACGAAACTGGCGTAACAAGTGGTAGTACTGTAGTCGCCTCTCTCTCCTTTCATTCTCTCTTTCTTTTCAAGCATGGACAGCCTTATTCCTACAGTCAACAAGCTGCAAGACGTGTTCAACACGGTGGGTCAGGACGAAATTGACTTGCCCCAAATTGTGGTGGTCGGGTAAGGCTAATGTTGCAGAAGGCGAGAGAGGTGGTTTTCGTAGTGGCGTACCCCCACCAGCAGTAAAGCTGTATGCGGTCTGGTGTGACTGTTTATCGACATGAGAGCTGATGTTGTTGAAGGATACTTATAAATTGTAGGTCGCAATCGAGCGGCAAATCGTCGGTGCTCGAGAACCTTGTTGGACGGGACTTTCTGCCGCGCGGCAGCGGGATTGTGACGCGGCGGCCGCTGGTACTGCAGCTTGTGACAGCGACGGACCCGCAGGGGGCAGAGTCGAGCGAGGATGGGCCAGCCGAGGCGCGCGCGCAGTTCCTGCATCTGCCAAACAAGGAGTTCACTGACATGCACGAGGTGCGGCGCGAGATCGAGCGCGAGACGGACCGGCTGGCGGGCAGCAACAAGGGCATCGTCAAGACGCCGATCCACCTGCGGATCACGGCGCCGGACGTGCTGAATCTGACGCTGGTGGATCTGCCGGGCATCACCAAGATCCCGGTGGGCGACCAGCCGGCGGACATCGAGGTGCAGACGCGCGAGCTGGTGATGGACTACATTACCAAGCCCAACAGCGTGATTGTGGCGATCAGCCCGGCCAACGTGGACATTGTCAACTCGGAGAGCCTGAAGATGGCTCGCGAGGTGGACCCCGACGGCAAGCGCACGGTGGGAGTGGTGACCAAGATCGACCTAATGGACCGCGGGACCAACTCGCTGGACATCCTGACGGGACGCGTGTATCCGCTGCGGACTTGGGTTTGTGGGGGTGGTGAATCGTAGCCAAGAGGATACGCAGGCTAACAAGCCGATTGACGAGTCGCTGGCGCACGAGGCCGAGTTCTTCCGCACGCACCCGGTGTACCGCACGATCCAGCAGCACTGCGGGACGAGCAACCTGGCGAAGCAGCTGAGCCAGCTGCTGATGCACCATATCCGCGACCGGCTGCCCAGCATCAAGACCAAGATTAACGCGCTGATCAGCCAGACTGAGCAGGAGCTGGCGTCGTACGGGCGGGTGGGCGCTGGAGCGGGGGCGGGAGCAGGGACTGACGCCGGCCGACTGCTGAAGCTGATCACGCTGTTTGCAGCCGAGTTCGGCAGCTCGATCGAGGGCACGGGGGCGGAGATGTCGACGGCAGAGCTATGCGGTGGCGCCCGGCTATACTACATCTTCAACGACATCTTTGCCGCAGGGCTGGACAGCGTGGATCCAACGGCCAGCCTGACCAACAGCGATATCCGCACGGCTATCCGCAACTCGAACGGGTCCGCGTGCGGCGCTGTTTGTGCCGGAGATTGCGTTCCAGCTGCTGGTCAAGCCGCAGATCAAGGCGCTGGAGCCGCCGGCTCAGCGGTGCGTACAGCTGGCGTACGAGGAGCTGATGAAGGTTGCGCTGTCGTGCGGCAGCAACGAGATGCGGCGGTACCCGCGTCTGCACGCCAAGGCCATGGAGGTCGTCAGCGATCTGCTGCGCGAGCGCGTCGGCCCCACTGCCGCCTATGTCGAGAGCCTGATTTCCATCGAGCGCGCATACATCAACACCAACCACCCCGATTTCATTGGCGGTCCAGGCGCCCTGACCGAGCTGCAGCGCAAGCTCGAGCGCAAGCGCAAGGACGCCGCGCGCGAGCGTGTGCGCGAGGTCTCGCGGACCACTGCGCGTCGCCAGCGTCCTGGACAGCACTGGTTCCGTGATTGCCGAGCCGGACACCGAGCCGAGCGCTGTCGATCCGAGCGAAGTCGACGATCGCGTGGACGACGGCCGTGCTGCGCGCTCCACCCGCCTGACAAACGGCGCCCTGCCCGGCCACCAGCACACGGGATCAGGCGTCCTCGACGCAGCTGCGGCGGCCCGGCTCCGGCTCGCCACTGGGCGGACCGGCCGGCCACGGCAAGTTCTTCAACTCGTTCTTTGGCGCGCCGGGGGGTAAGCGCGACGGGCTGCAGATATCGGGCGACGAGGTGCGGGTTGGCCACGGGTCGGTGATCCCAGGTGCCGAATCGGCTCAGCAATTTCTCCAGCGAGGGCACGGCGCTGGACGACGAGGTGTCGGCGCTGTCGGCGCAGTTTGCCAGCGACCTGTCGGTGGGTGGCGAGCGGGATGAGCTGGAGACTTCGCTGATCCGGTCTCTTATCGGCTCGTACTTTGGTATTGTGCGCAAGTCCATCCAAGACCTGGTGCCCAAGGCCGTCATGCACTTGCTGGTTAACGAGGTCTGTGAGAACATGCAGAACCGCCTGGTTGAGGAGCTCTACAAGGAGCCGCTGACCACCGAGCTGATGCAGGAGGACCCGGCGCTGGTTGCCGAGCGTGACCAGTGCGCTGCCATGCTGGAGGTCTACAAAAAGGCCTTTGCCATCATCAACGAGGCCATGTAGGGTCTGCTTCTCGTCCCTTTCGCCAATCTGTTTCTTCCTCCTCTTCCTCCTCTTTTCCAATACAGTAGTTTGATAACATATCGGCATGTTTGAATATTTATTGCGAAACCTATTTTAACTGAAAAGGGGGTGATCTAGACGTTGAGCTGCTCTTTCATCTGCGACACCAGGTCATCCAGCTCGCTGCTGAGAGCCTCCGACGCTGTCTTCGGGGCATGCTCCGTGTCCTTCTTCTCCTCGTCCTCCTCGTCCTCCTCGTCCTCGTCCTCCTCCTCATCGTCAGTCAGCTCCTCCATATCTGACAGCGATCCAAGCACATCATCGTCAATGTCGTTCTCGGCCAGCGCCGCCTTGATCATCTCCACAGCATTGCTCTCCGCATCGAACCGGTTTCCGTTGAGCTCCAAGTTCACTAGTGCCTTGAGCCTGCGCACCGACTCGGCCAGCGCCAGCGCACCGTCCATCTCAATCTCATTGTACTGCATATTGATGTTCTTCAGCGAAGCGCGCTGCCCAAGCGCCTCGGCAACCAGCCGACCGCCCTCGGCGCCCAGCAGACAATCACCAACATTCAGCACCTCGAGTGCCTGCCAACCCGCCAGGGCCTCGGCGAGCGCCTTTGACCCAGTCGCCGTGAACGTGTTGTCCTGCAGATCCAGGGTGGCCAGGCTTTCGTTGTTGGCCAGCCCGGCGACCAGCTCCGCAATGCCCTCAGGGCGGATTCCGTTCTGCGGCATGCTCACATGGCGCATCGACTTTAGCGTCCCGAACGCGTTGGCGAAGGCCGGCGCCGAGCCATTCTCGAGCCGGTTGCGTCCACAAATAAGCGTATGCAGAGCCGCCGGCCTGCCCAGCCGCAGGCACTCTTTCTGGCACTCGACAAGCGCAGCAGCAATTGTCTGCCCGCCCTGGATCCCCAGCCCGTTGTTGTTCAGCTTGAGCACCTGCAGGCCCGTGTGTTTGCTCAGGAACGGCGCCATGGCCGTGGCGCCCAATGGACCGAAGGCGTTGTCCGAGAGATTGAGCTCGGTCAGCTCCGGCAGCTCCACCAGCGCCTCGGCCAATGCCTCCAGGCTGGCCTTGACGTCGTCCTTGAGCCGTCCGGTGAAAATGTCGTGCAGCGTCGCTACCTTGAGCGTCGTTTTGGTCTTCAGCGCGCTGGCCAGGGCTTGCGCGGCCTCGGGCCCGACCGTGTTGCCGTTTAGCCGCAGCTCCTCCAGGTTCTCAATCTTGCGCAGCTCCTCCACATACGGCGCTATGTCCTCGGCCGTCGTCAGCTTCAGGCCCTTGCCCTCCAGCGAGTAAATGCGGTCAGAAGGAATCGGCGACATTGGTAATTCAAACACAAGGTTAAAAAGTTTGACTCTAGATAATACTTTTGGGCGGTAAAGGAGAAATAGTCGTCGTTCAGCCGCCGTATAGCGTCGGTTCTTTTTCCCTGAACCTAGTCCTACTATTCGTTGCCAGTAGCCGGCTGAATCTCAAAGGCACTGGCACCCCCGGCTCGGCTCATGTATTTAAGGAAATCTGCGAGCCGAAAACTTTTGTCTCCGCCGGGCCGATATCACAAAGCAGCGCCGCGGGTATAAAACCACACCACTCGCTGGGAAACGCCGATTCCGCACTTTGTCTCTCTCTCTCTTGCGCCTTTCGCCCTTTCATCTACTCTATGTCCACTTGACGAGGTACCTATCCTGCAATCCTGCTGCCTGATCTCCCCGTGTGCTAGATATGATGCTTAACCAAATATAACTAGAGTTTATGACTTCTAAATTTCTCATGAATTTAACCTTCGGTCTGAACTATCTAGCCAAAAAGCGCTCGTTTTTCTTTGAACCCTCAGGATACGACACTAAATCACACTGCTTTGATCTCTGCATAGGCTCTATCCTCGTCAAGAAAACCAGCACCTTGTCCCTGGCACAGGCGCATCGGTGAACATGGGTCTCAGTACGGTAAGTCTCTCGTTTTTGCCTGGGCTTCTTGGGGTGATGATAGAACTTAGTTGGAATTACCGTCCGAAATTGTGATGAGGACGAAAACTTCGCGGCTTTATATACAAACTGACCATTATATTTGCACGTGCGATGCGTGCTGTGACGAGATGCGAGAGCCATATCACTGATGTTTTGATTCACTCGCTTTTAGGAATTTGATGGATTCGCCCTTGCTTCCCTGAGCCCGTCGCTGTAAGAGGTGGTAAGTGCTAGCTTTCTCCGATCCGTCTACTCCTGTTATGATGACCTCTTAGATGACGAGTCGGAAGAGTTATTCGCTGTCGACAACCCTTTTTTATACCATTCATGCATTACCTGAACACCCAACTCTGGGACTGTCCATATTGCATCTCTGCACGTGGCCATTTTGCTCAATTGCTGCATGTTCTTCTGTTGTATAGTCTGGGTGTATCTACTGCCGCATGCCCGTCCGGGTGTGGGCTGCTCCGGCTGGCATTGTGAACAGGTAAGGACCATGTGTTGTCGTTGTTGCTCCCTGGGTGGAGATGATGAGTTTATTTAATCACAAGCATATGTCCGAACACATGTGTGGACACCTTTTCGCGACTGACCATCCATCCATGCCGCTGGCGCTGTTGTGTGAATCTGATGTTCTAATGCGCTAAACATTCGTTTCTTGATTCGCATAGGCCTGCCACCACATGTGATCCACATCCTGTATCATATCTCCGTCGAGTCTTCCAAGACCACTAAGGCAAGTATCATGCATTGTTCGCTGCAGCTCCGGTGGGTGGTGTGTGTTACAATGATGATCCAATCACGACGGTCAACATAAGCCTGTTTTATAGGAAGAGCGGGTTTTGATGAAGTTGCCGGTAATGGCTTGAAACTGAACACAACACACATCATCTGCTTGTTTTGCTGCCCCGTTGTCCGCTCTCGACATGCATATCACTAATACGCTTCCTTTCCAATTTTAGGTAAGCAAACGAGCAAGCATGTATTTGTAGACCTTCTTTTTCTTTCTGTACATTTGTAACGCAAAATATACTCGCTGCAGCCTTTCTCTACTCGTTGCTGTCCTTGTCTGCTGCGGCGGACGTCTTTTTGAGCGTGACCGTCGGCGGGATGATGTCGCTGAGGAAGTCGTACTGCTCGATGCTCTGCACTGCCTTGGCCATGTCCTTGTACTGGACCGTCTTGCGCTTGTCGAAGCGGGCAAACTCGTAGCCCTCGCGCACCAAGCTGTCAATGAAGTACTCGGTTGCGCGCGACACCAAAAAGATGCTGTCAGCACCGCACGCGAAAATGTCCTTGTCCTCCTTGATGATGCGGCGGACGCGTGCGGCGGGCAGCGTGCTGACGCCGGGCTGCGAATGCGACTCGAAAGTGACCATGTCGAAAAGGCGCGTTGCAAAAAGGCGAGAAAAGAAAAAAGAAGGAATTTGTCGTTCGAAATGAAGGGGCTCAATTCTGAAGTCAGCAGAAGAGAAATCTGCTAGCACCGTTTGCATGCGGTGTGGATCAACAATGGGTTGCCAGCGCCACACCTTGCAAGGCGAAAAAAGCATGGTGCTGGCGCCCAAACAAACTCTTGCCTCGTTTTCCTTCAGAGATATCTTCTTTTTTTTTTTTGCACTACTCCCTGCTCTGCGTTGCTAGTCAGCAATTCAACATACAATGCCGCCAAAGAAAGCTCGGCCACAGCACGACTCGCGCGTCGGCTACGTGTTTGACGTGCGCATGAAGTACCACCAGATCCTGCCCGACATACATGAGCCCGACGAGACGCACCCAGAAGACCCGCGGCGCATCTACTGGATATACGAGATTCTGCAGCGGTCCGGCCTTCTGTCGCGGATGACCCGGGTGCAATCGCGACTGGCTACAGACACCGAGCTCCTGCGGGCGCACACACCAAGGCACCTGGAATTTATGCAGCGCACCGAGAGTCTGGAGCGGCCGAATCTGCTGGCTGAGGCGAGTAATCTGGCCGACTCGGATGTGTACCTGTGCCGCGAATCAAACTACTGCGGGAAGCTCAGTGCGGGCGCGCTGCTAGCGCTGTGCGAGCAGGTCGCGCTGGGCAGGCTGAGCTATGGCGTGGCCATCATCCGGCCGCCGGGGCACCATGCGTGCCAAGACAAGCCCATGGGATTCTGCCTGTTTAACAATGTGTCAGTGGCAGTGCATGATCTGCTGGCGCGTCGGTTAGCCGAAAAGATAGTGGTGGTGGATTGGGACGTGCACCACGGCAACGGCATCCAGGAGGCTTTCTATAACAAAGAGGATGTGCTGTATATATCGCTGCACCGGTACGACGGCGAGGAGTTCTATCCGGTGAGTGACGAGGGACGCATGGAGAAGGTGGGGTCTGGCGGTGGCGAGGGCTTCAACATCAACATTCCGTGGCCGTGCGAGGGCGTGGGCGACGGCGACTACCTGGATGCGTTCCGACGCGTGGTGATCCCGGTTGTGCGTGAGTTCGGCCCCGATATGGTCATTGTGTCGGCAGGCTTCGACGCGGCGGTCTGCGATCCGATCGGCCTGTGCAAGGTCACGCCGCAGTGCTACGCGGTCATGACCAGCATGCTGCGGTTGGCGAGCAAAGACAAGCTGGTGCTAGCGCTTGAGGGTGGGTACAATCTGGATGCGATTGCAAACTCGATGCTAGCGTGCACCAAGACGCTGCTGGACATTCGGTGGGACGCCGGGTTGATACCGCAGGCCGCCACTCGCTGCGACTACGCAACATTGTCGGAGGAGGAGATCAATGGCGTGCAGATGCCCAGGCGCCATTTCCACGAGGACTGGCGCTGCAAGGGGGCCTGGAATCCTGAGGCTGAGGTGCCTGAGTGCTTTAACGCCAAGCCATCGGATATCGGCAGGGATGTAGTCAATGGTGTGCTCAAGATCCAGCGGAAATACTGGAAGTCGCTTGCTGCGTAGCAGCGATTCGCCCATGTTCGCTATGTCCCAAGAAAAAGCCATATGGTTCCTCGCGAAGCACAGTTGCATCATTAGCTCTCATGATGGTATGTCCTAGGCTGAACTATGAAGTGTATGTCGATTTATTAGAATCGCTGCAAAGCAAACTGCATCCCGTCAATTTTAACCAGGTATGGCCGTATGCATATTGGCAGCCTGCCAACTACACAAATGTGACCTTGGTGCTGGCACTGAGGTTGATCTTCAGTCCTTCGATGACCGTGCTGTTGTTCTTTGTGGTGAACTTGGCTGCGACTGCAACACCGTTGACCTTGACAGATGTGACACCGCCGACACCCAGCAGGACAATCTTGGTCAGGGGAGGCGGCACTGTGTAGCTGCCGCTAGTCGAGCTAATGGCGAGGTTGTAGTCGTGATAGGCAAAGTTGACCCACCTGTGCGCGGTGCTCAGGGTCTCGCCATCGTCCCAGTACAGCTTGCCCTCAGCCGAGCCCTCGACATCAGCAGCGACAATGATCGAGAAGTCACCCTTGCGCGACTCGGTCGTGGTCAGGCCAGGAACCTGGGCCGGGATGATCTTGCCGCCGCGAATGTGCACGTTGACGTGCTCGAGCGGAGCGTCAAGCTTCACAACATTGTTGGACGCCCAGATGGCCTTGTAGTTGTACCAGTCGTACCAGACACCGGCAGGGAAGAAGGCGTCGACGGTGGTTGCGCCCTGGGTCAGCACCGGCGAAATCAGAATGCCGTCACCAATAAGGAACTGCGTGTCAATGCCGACAGTCTGCGAAGCGCTGGAGAACTCAAACACAAGGGGACGGGCAATCGGCCAGCCCTTCTCGACGGCATACTGGTTCGCAGTATAGATGTACGGCAGCAGAGTGTAGCGGATGCCCAGGGCACGGCGGCTGGCCTCGGCCACGGACTCCCAGCGGTACAGCTCGTGCGGCAGAGAGCTGACAAAGTAGTGGTCGCGGGCAAACGGATAGAATGCGCCGACCTCGACCCAGCGTGCGCACAGCTCCTCGGTGGTATCGCCAGAGAAGCCGCAGATATCGGAGCCGATCATCGGGATACCAAAGATGCCGTGGTCGAGCATAGCGGCAATGGTGATGTGCAGGATCCTTAAAGGTAGCGGCATTGTCGCCAGTCCAGTGGGCGGCAAAGGCACCCGAGCCAGCGCTTGTTCCCGGGCTGAGCAGGAACGGACGCTTGTTGGGACGCTTCTTCAGCAGAGCGCCGTATGCGGCCTTGGAGTGCATGTAGCCGTAGAGGTTGTGCGTGCTGTACTCGGTCGCGCCGTTGTAGTGGACAGCCGTGGTGTCAATAGTCGAGGATGACAGCTCAACCTCCCGGTTGTTGATCTTGTATGGGGGCACCTGCAGCAGGTTGGTGGCATTGGGCTCGCGCGGGGGAATCGCGCCAGCCTCCCAGGGGAATGGCGGGATCACTTCCTCAGGGATACCCGATCCGCAAGCTGCCAGTGCAGAATGACGACGCCTCGTTCTGGTCGAGCCAGAGACCGTCCACGGAGATCTTGTCCAGGAAGCGCGAAATCTCGCCGCTGTACCACTCATTGGTGTTGGGTGCGAACCAGTCCGGGAACGGAGTGTATCCGGGCCAGCCCTGGCTGACAAACTCAGGACCCATCAGGGTTCTTGACGAAGACATCAAGCGCCTTGCCACGCGCATAGGTTCCTAGAGACGAATTGCGGTGGACAGCCGGCTGTGTGATAAGCACAAGCTTCTGGTCCTTGCTGTGCAGCTCGCTGGCGAAACGCTGGAACTCCTTCGAGCGGGAACAGCTTGGGGTCGAATGTGTACTCGACAAACTTGTCCTTGTAGTCGACATCCGCCCACTGGGACTCGAGCGGAATGTTGGCCTTGGAGTAGTTGGCCACGACCTCCTCAATCTCGGCCAGATCCTTGTATCCGTAGCGGCAGTTGTGGAAACCAAGTGCCCAGTACGGAATGCGGGCAGGACGGCCAACCAGATCCGTGTACTGGTCGATGACATCGAGTGCGGTGGGGCCGTTGAGGAAGTAGAAATCGGCGGTTCCGCCAAGTATACGGTACTGGATCGCGTTGTTGTCGAGAACAATATCCATGCCGTGGAAGTTGTGCAGGTAGGCGCCGTGGAACTTGCCATTGCGCAGCTCCATGTGAATTGTTTGCGAGCCATAGATGTTCTCACCAAGGAGATACGATCCTCCACGGGACCACAGGGTCTTGGTGTTGTTGGTGGTGCTGCGACGGAACCACTCTGGGGTCTCACCGATACCGTAGATGTTGGCGTTGCTGGGCAGGTTCGATGTCACCTCAATGTACTGGTCCTCGAAGATCAGCGGGTGGCCGGTTGTGTCAAAGATCGTCTCAGTACCACGCGACACTTTGAAACCAAAGCCGTTCTTGGCGTCCTGGAAGTAGCTGAACTTTAAGCTGCTGCCACTGCTGCTGACGCCGGAGCCCTTGTTCAGGGCATGAACCGAGCTGGGGATCTGGAACTGCTTGCCAGCCGTGTCCTTGCACGTGTACTTGGAGGCGGTTCTTTGAATCAAAGCGCACATCGAGCTTCAGGTCATCAATATCGTTGCCATAGGCATTGCAGGGTGTACCAGCGAGTTTGAGCGATGCAGTGAACCCAGTCGCAGTGTCTTGCTTATTAACAACCTTGTAGCCCGGACACGCGCTGGTATCACGCTTGGAAAACAGAGCCGGGCTTGAGTCTGCCAATAGCAAGGGCTTCAGCAGTGGCTGAGAGGAACACTAGTGCAAGGATGCTGCACGTTACTTTCATGTTCAAGAGGAATAAGACGATTATCTATGAGGATAGGATTATCAGTGTAGTAAACAGAAGGGGAAGGAATGGGTGGGTGATCGTGGAGTGAAGAGGCACATGGATCCACTGGGTGGAAGCTCCTTTATATCTGCTGCCATGATCCTACGTGCTGCATGCTAATGGCGAAAAGTGTCGGCTCTTATGCCCGCCAGACACCCCTGTTCTTTCGCTTACAAGGGAATAACTGTGCGGCTAGTTTGGGTCATGCACATGTATGCACACTTGTCGATTCAAGAGGAACTTGATTTTGCAAACAAGAACGCTTGCGATGTGTGCTGTTGACGATACGCACGGCTTGGGAGTGTGAATAAGAGGAGGGGCAGGTGGCGGACTTGGCACACGGATTTGCCTGCCGCCGTCCTGCAACGAAGTTTCTGCTAATATCAGACAGCGTTGTGGTGCCAAGCAAGCTCACGATATGTACGGCATGTTGATCCTAAACAACGTCAAAAGGAGCACACCAAAGGAGGAGCATGGATGGCCGCAGTCGCCATGCCGCACTCGGATCCGTGATAAATAAAGGTGTGGACCTGAAAATGGGCCGAAAAGCGGTTTAGATAAGCAGACCACGGCAACTGGCATGCCATACTTGCATATCCAGACCGGATTTTCTATGGAAACGATGTGCCATGCAGAATAAACAGGAATGCAGCTGGCATTTTTCCACACCTTTCAATGCACACGCTTCACCCGGCCTGATTTCTAGAAACCGCCGAAACGGGCCGTTGTTCGCCTGCTCCTTCAAGGGACAGAAGCCAGCCGGGTAATTGACAGTGATTGCTGGATTGTGTAAATCTGTCGCTTACTCTACATAACGATGGGTGGCAGCTGTTGTGTCTCGGGTACGATACACTTATATAGACAGCCTCCTACAACTGTCTGGAATACGCTCGCTCTCCAAGCACCTTTCCACGGCGTATATTGAACATACGAAATATACTATATGAAAGAAGGAGGAATCGCCAGGTGAAAAGGGCGGGTGCCCGTCTAAGTAGTGGCGCCAGCCGCCTGGGATAGTATGGAATGGCAGTTGTGGCCTAAGGGTCTTGATCCATGGATTCCTGAAGTCATGTGGATTTGGAACCAAACATATATTTAAACAGCCATGTCCATCTGAATCTTGCCGTAGGGCTTGTAGCCAACCAGCTCCAAGTCTTCGATAGTGAAGTCTTCGATCCGCTCTGGCGTCCTCTTGATCTTCAGCTTCGGGAACTCCCTCGGCACCCGCTCGATCTGGGTTTCCAACGCCTTGACATGGTTCTTGTAAATATGCGTGTCGCCCATGCAATGCACGAACCACCCGGGCTTCAGTCCAGTGACCTGCGCAATCAACCGGGTCAGCAAAGCATAGGAGGCAATATTGAACGGCACGCCCAAGCCGACATCGCATGAACGCTGGTACATCTGGCAGGACAGCGCAGCATCCGGGGAACCCGGCTTGGAGACAAAAAACTGCGCAAACATATGGCACGGCGGCAACGCCATCTTGCCCATATCCTTGGGATTCCACGCGCTCAGAATGATCCGTCGGTCGGTTGGATTCTCCTTGATCGCTCGGATCACCTCCGCCAACTTGATCGACACCTTGACCAGAGTAGTCGGCGTCGGCGTCAGTGTATTCGGCGCCAAAATGCCGCCACTGGTAGCCGTACACCGGACCCAGGTCGCCGGTGCGCCGGTCGGTTAAGCCACGCGCATCCAGGAATTCTCGGCTGCCGTTACCGTCCCAGATGTGCACGCCCTGGGCGCTCAGCGTTTGTGCGTCGGTGCTGCCCCGGATAAACCACAGGAGCTCTTCTACTACGCCGCGCCAGAACACGCGCTTGGTTGTTAGAAGAGGGAAGGTGTCGTCGCTGAGGATGGAAGCGCAGTTGTGGTGGAGCAAACAACGCGATCGTGCCGGTGCCGGTGCGGTCGCTGCGGTCCTCACCGTGGGTGAGGATGTCTTTGATCAAGTCCAGATACTGCTGCTCTTCGGCGTTTGGTGAGACAAATTCAGGCATTTGTGGTTGAAAAGAAAAAAGTATTAGGAATAGCGACCAGTTGCAAGGAAAGCCAAAAAGTGACTTTGCGCTTTTCTTTCATGCTGCAGACTGAACGCGAAAAAAACGCGCTTTACGCAGGCCAAACGGGCGATCAGGTAATTTAATAAAGGAAGCGGAGTCAGCACCTCAGAAAATGCTGCCCAGGACCTCCAGGTATATGGCCAGGCCGGCATTGCGCTGCAGATGGCTGCAGAACTCGTCGTACTCCAGGCACGTCGGGTCTGCAGGCATAGCCTCTGCAAAGATATCGTCAATCATCAGGCGGAATGGCGTCCTGGCTCAGGGCCTCCATCACCGGCATATCGTACTCCTCGTCAAGCTCATCCATCGACGCATGAGTCGACGTGGCAGCCCTCTGCATGCCCTGGAGCGGCTCGCGCATCTGCAGGCGCGGCTGGACAGTGCTGGATTCGGGCAGCGGTGGCTGCTGGACGGGAGCAGCGGTACTGGACACAGTGCTTGGGCCAGTCGGGTGGACAGGCGGGCGCGGGGTGCTCAGCGAGGCCACGGTGCCGATGGTAGCTGAGGTGGTGGCAGCGAAGGAGACAGAGCTGGAGCTACTACCGTTGTGATCGTCGGGCTCGCGGCCCGAGTCAATGCGGGCACTGGCGCGACTGCTGGTCCGGCTTGTGTTGCGCGGTTCGGCGGTGTTCTCAGACTCGCTGGGTTCGCGTGTGCGTACCGGTAGCATGGCGACGCGGCGCGCAGCAGACGACTCGCGCATGGCCATGACTTCGGCACGCAGAGCCGAGACTTCCTTGTCTAGCGCTGAGGGCGAGTCGGCGGGGAATGGGGGCGGTGAAGGCAGCCTGAGATGGGCTGGCCCGGCAGCAGCTTGGCGGGCTCCTCGAAGGATATCATCCTCCATTGTGTGCACCATGTTGCGCGTCAGGTCGCGGTTTGTGTCAGCAAACGCCTCGAGCATGATTCGAAGGTCGTCGCGACTGATTTTGCCAGTCACCGTCAACGTCATAGGCACGGAATACGTGCGGGGTCTTCTCGGCCAATGTACCCTTGTTATACACGGAGAAGCTGCGTGCCAGCTCAGGGAACGTCAACACGCCGTCGCAGTCCGCGTCGAAGTAGGCGAAGAGCCGCGCGGCCAGCACGGACCGCGAGCCACCGAACTGGCCCAGGACATGTGAAGAAGGTGTCGCGTGTGATGACCTCACGGCCGTCCTCGGCAATGCTGGCCAGTACGCAGAACTCGCAGTACAGGCTGGCCAGGTCGACCGGGTGCAGGTGCGTGGAAGCCTCAAGTGGCTCGCTGATGTCGCGCGGCAGCTCACGCGGCTCCAAGTCGCCCGGGTAGAACCGCCGCTACCAAAGGCGTGCGTGGATTCATCAACGACGGCACAGGCACAGCGATTTTCAGCAGTACGTGATGGCGATGGACGTCGTGGGCTTCACATGCCTCGCACAGGTCGTAGTCGGCACATTGCGCACACTTGTATCGGGACGCCGCGGATCGGTACCTCGCTACAGTTATTGCACGTCATACCGCGGTGCACCACGCCAGCCCTCCGCGACTGGTCCTCAGAGATCGCACACAGTAGCGCCAGCAGCCGCATCTCCTTGTCCGCCCCTGTCTCTTCTTCTGACTCCGAGTCGCTATCCATGTGCTGCCGGCTCGCCTGCGATGCACGGCTCGACAATGCCGTCGGCTCGCTCACATCATTAATGTCAGATACTGTAGGCTGCGGTGGGTCAGCTGTGAGCTGTGTTGCTGAGGATGTGCCGTTGAGCGAGCCAGTCGTTTGTCGGCGCGGCCGCCGAATCGTACCGGTACGTCGCAATGTGGTGTTATGCCGGCCAACGGCTGCCGCGGCTGCTGCTGCTTCGCTGCCAAGAGACATAAATTCGCTGTTGGTCGACGATTGCCGCCGTGTCCGACGCCGGCCTGTGGGTGGTGGTGTATTTTCTTCTTGACGCTGCTGACGCATGGCCGAGTATACCCAGAGCCCTGCAACGCCTGCCAGGAGCCCCAGCGTTACCATGCTTAGCCGCGGCTGCAGCGACGGGTCCTGCTGACATTGTATGCGTATGCTGATTGAGAAACAGCGAAACAAATGCAAGAAATAAAAACGAAAAGGTGAAAAGCGAAGAGTGGCAGGAAGAAAACCGCCGCACGGTTTTTTTATTTTTTGGAATCTGCATGATTGCCTTATACCATCCAGGATTACAAGGGCCACAGGTCCCGTGTCCCAGGTCCGTACGAGTGGGTAGAAATGATTGCAAAAAATAGCTGCATTGGGTGCAGTACGAATAGCTAGGGTTGCCAGCGTTGAAGTCCATCGACATGGTTGGCTGGCGAGCACCTGAGTCAGTATAAAAGCCCTGCTATTTAAAATATCCACAGTCCATGAGTGTCTGTCTGCCGGCGCATTTCTGATCGGGTGAAGGGCACTGCCTGATAATGCTTCTCACTACACATAGCCCTCTTCCTTATTGGAATCCGACCGCTAACACGCTCCTGTACCGCCATGAACGAGGCTAAACACTGAAAATTGGCCGAGAAGCCAATGTAATGATGCTAGTTACCCATCTATCCACTGCCTTGTGCTTCGCTGGGGTTGCTGGCTGATGGCAAGCTTGTCAAGGAGTGAGGGATCTGAGGCGGCTGCTGCCGAAACATTCAATTTAAAGAGAATGTAATTAAACAATCAGGAAAATCAAAATGCCGATGCGGCTCAGAGAGTGGATAGCCCATCACTACGCTGGTCTCTCGGCCAATTTTCATTCATTCTACATATATGTTATTGCATTCAATACACAACGTCGAGAAAGACCACACAGGACGATAAACTGATTGGTAGTCCGGAATTCCGCTCACTGAGCATAGATCTACATTTTACTAGGTCAGGTATGAAACCACATGGTTACTCATGGCCTTCATATAATGTGTTGAATAGCGTACCCAAGTTAAACTAGTAACTGCAATGCCGTAGCCCTGGTTAGCAACTTTTTGTCAGATACTGAATATACATGTGTGATTTGAAATAGTATGTATAGCCATTGTTCTTAATTAGGTAATTCAGGCAGGCTTGTGAGGTCGCCTCCAAACATGTTTCTCTATAAATTGCAACAAGCTATCCAACCCTGGATACATGGCGTTCAGAGTGTGAACAGCCACCATTTAGACAGATAGCTGAAGTCACAGCCACCACGTTAAACAATGCACTGTCTCACTTTATATATTCGCCAGTTGCTTTGAATAAGACTACGCCTCATGGATTGGTTCTCACCAGAAAACTCGCCCACACCCTATATCCTCTGATGTTTCCTATAGAAGTGCTGGAAGCAGGGCTTCTAGCAAAAAACATTTCAACTTTTCGTTATCCAGTCTTACAGCTCTTACTCCCTTTACCTATGGACCACTTCGTAAACAGCATCATATCGCAAAAGTATATCTGCAGACGACTTCGATATGCTAATCTCGTATATAACAGTGCCAATGCTCTTCTTCTACGCCAATGACGCTAGCGATGAGGACTTCATGCCAGGCGACAAGCTCGAGGAGGGGTTCTATCGGACCCTTTCCCTCTGTCCCTGGTTTGCTGGTGATCTTCAAGCAGACACGAGGCGGTGGAATGGAGGTGATTGTCGACAAGGACTAACCTAAATATGCCTGCATACCGTGAGTCGCAGTCTTTGGTGCACTTCAGCAAGATACAGTCTGTTGGGTTCAACCCTACGACATGGCCCAGTGACCTGGTTCCTGTCGAGCAGGCCCCATACCTTGACAGCGCTACTAGGAAGGTCAAACTGTTGCGTGTTCACGTCGTGCGACTAAAAGACAACAGCGGGATGGCTATTTCGATTAGCTTCAACCATGGTATTGCTGATGGTACCACTATTATGACACTCCTCAACCGCTGGGCGGATGAGACACGTGCACTAATAGCTGGCGTACCTGTGGCGGAAGCAACCTTCTGCTTTGGTGCCGATATCATCAGCAAGCATTTACCGAGCGAGCGCGCACCCCTCAACGAAACAACCAGCAAGGTGCTTTCAGCAAAATCCCGCGTGGCAGATTTCATAATGTGGCTCTCGCCTAGCACGCGCAGGAAGGCTGGCGAGCTATTTGACCAGTCCTGCTTCACCGCGCGGGCATCTATTCCGGATTTCGCGTGCCAAGATTGATGGGCTTCGCAGTCAAGTACTCGAGCACTTGCCACACGGGACACGTCTGTCCACTAACGACATCATTTCTGCAGTTTTGCACAGGGGTCCACGAACAGGCTGTGACAATGACAAGTCGGGGTTGGGTGGCAAAACTAGCCGATTGGATTAATGGAGCTGCAGGCGAACACTGGACTTTGGTCGTTGTTGACTATCGCCGACATCTTGGTATGGCAGAGTTGAACTACATGGGCAATCCGATATTCGGCGAATTTGTTCTCACCCCACTGCACCAGGCACATCAGCCTATTACTGCTAAGACTATTGCTGTGGTTGCTAGCCAAATTCGGTCACAGATATCGGCGCTTACCATGCCGCTGCATTGGACAAGCCTACGATATAACTGATTCCGGTGAGACACATGCGATTAATTCCCTTGCCATTGCAATGAACTACAAGGTTGTGACAACAACGACAAATATTGCTTCTACCAAGATGTACGCTGCGGACTTTGGCCAATGGCGTGCAGGTGTTTTCAACAATACATCCTGACTTCGGCACAGGTGTATTTATTATTCTCCCTTCGCCACCCCCGAGCAAAGATATTCTTGTCAATATCTGTGACACGCCTTCGGTAATGGACGGCGTCTTGAAGAACGAGTTCTGGCGCGACTTTGCTGAACTAGTCTATTAATATATGAGCACCTCCATTGCTTTCTACTGGTATGCGACATGACGTCAGTGATTCTATGACTACTTGGGTAGTTTGTATTCTCAGATGAACAGCCCTAGGATAAACGGTGGAAACCGGTGCACTTGCAGCTTCATCGGCTGTTGATGAGGACTGCTGGCAACAAGCACCAGCGATCCTTCCATTGAAGATTGCTGGGGAAAAGCAAGCGAAGGCGTTGTGGCATAAGAAATTCCGCAGCATGAGCACCACAGGGCTACTACACCAAGTATAAACGCGTCCTGCTCCTACAGCCAGACTTCAGATTCTTTGTTCTAGCAATTTCCCGTTATTCAACTTTTACCTCTCCTTATCTATTGCCAATGGCCCAGGTTCCCATTTTCAAGCTTGCTCTAATCGGTGATGGCGGCTGTGGGAAGACCACCCTCATTAGGCGTCTTATCTCTGAGGAATTCGAGAGGAAACACGTCGCTACCACCGGTGTCGAGGTCCACCCCTTGAAGTTCACCACCAACAAGGGTGAGATCATTTTCAACACTTGGGATACTCCTGGTCAAGGGAGGTTCAGCGGACCTGTGCGACAGTTGCTACACCGAGAGCCAGTGTGCTATTATCATGTTCGACATCACATCGCGTATCACCTATAATAGCGCGTCCAAGTGGTACCACGATCTTGTCCGTGTCTGCGGGAACATCCCCATTGTTCTGTGCGGTAACAAGGTCGATATCAAGGAGCGGAAGGTTAAGGCCAAGACCATCGCCTTCCACAGGAAGAACCTACAGTACTACGATGTCTCGGCCAAGTTCAAGCGTAATATTGAAAAGGTCCTTCCTGTGGCTTGCTCGAAGGCTCCTCAACGACGACAGCCTGGAGTTCGTCCAGGCCCCAGCCCTGGCTCTGCCTGAGACTCAGATTGACACCAGCCTGTTGCAGGCATATCAGTGCAGATATTGCTGCAGCAGGCAGCTCTGCCTCTTCCTGAAGAAGACGAGGACCTCTGAACCACCTACACACTCCTGCCTTAGCCTCGCTTTTGCTAGAGCAGTACCTATGTTTGGACAAGAAGTCTGATACCAGCATTGCCAGTGTTACCTACAAGCGATATTAAACCCCAAAGTCGCCTTGGAACTAAACGGCGCGGGCTCAAACTTGCAACGGAAGTTCCAGCGGGCATGAATCTCGGAATGCCGCAGGACCTGCTATGCATAAAGCCAAGACGCCCGGCTCTATGATGTAGCTGAAACCGGCGATGCAAGCAGCCCAGCCCGCCTGATCAGAGATATTAGATCTGGCTCTTGCATAATCGAACAAGGATATTGCTGGCCGGTAAAAAGGAGGCGGTAATGCCCGTGGCCGACGCTCCTTCCCTATCTTAGAGGGGAAAGCGCCAACGACCCTCTGTGAACAGCGATGAAAACGGGTATTTACTTACTAATAGCCCCAAACCAAGGAGTCTAAGGGAAGAGATCTCTTGGGAAAAAAAAAAAGAAGCAGTATGTGCAACCGCGGATGTCAGTAAGCAATGGCGGACGATTGGACCGCAATTCCGACTGGTTCCGAGCATCACACGGGAACAAGAGTCGATTGCAGCGTGTGGCCCGCACTTGCGCCTCGCGCACAGCCCTCCCCAACGGCACAAGGCGATACGGAAATAAAGCCCATTTCTGGGGCGCTATACACGGTCCATCAAGACAGTGGTTGAGGGTGAAGTATATTAGCAAAAGCCAGTCCGTTGTTTTTGCAAGTCACTCCTCATCTTCTTATCATCATCACCCACCTGCCATAGACAACACCTACTATTCCCATTCCCCTCACATACAAATTCATAGAAATGTCTTCCCCGACCAAGCACCAGACCCGCCGCGAGCAGATGGAGGCGCTCGAACCAGGCCATCATGAGCGACAGTCTGATCGCACTGGGAGCGACGGCAGTCACGGACGGTTGGCCTGAGCTTCCTGGGTCCTCAAATACTCGAGGTGGTACCGCAGCACACCGATTTCAGCCAAGACGGCCATGATCCTGGGGCCCTCCATCGGCGCATTCTACATTCGCGGCGAGCACGTGGGCACTGAGTTCCGGCGGCAGCTGTACGCACACACACTGGAGGAGGAGGACGAGCGCGACCAGCCTTCTGCAGCAGAAGATGGAGCTGCAGCGGCGCGCCAGCTTCAGCCAGTCGGCCATTCAGTTTGTCACCGAGCACAGGTGGTCGATGCTCGGATATACGTGGCTGGCTGGCATCTCGGGGTCAATCTACCATCTGTATAGGCAGAAGGGCATGACGTGGACGCAGAAGGTCGTCCAGGCGCGTATGTACGCGCAGCTCATCACCATTGTTGGCATTCTCTCCACAGCCGCTGTCGCCTCGCTCGGCGACAAAAAGGAAGACGGCTACCAAGCAGCCCATCAGCGCTGCGCCTGCAGGCTGCCCTGGCCGAAGACACAAAGGTGTCGCTGCCAGCAGAGGCTGTCATTGCCCCTGCCACTGTGTCCAAGTAAACAAAAATTTTCGATTTCCGCTTACACTGTTTAATTAAGAAAATCTTCCACTAGAAGCTCATGAACTCAGTGACCGCATCGCCAGCACGGAACAGAGCCGTCGGCGGCTGCACGGCCAGCGCCGGAGCCTTCTTCGGCGTGCGAGCGGTGTCGCTCTCAAAGAAGGTCGAGTATGTGTGGTCCAGAAAGTCCTCCAGCAGGAACGTCGGCTTGTGGAACGGCTCGTTGAAAATGCGTGCCAGCGTGGCGATGTTCGGGTAGTAGTGGGTCTGCAGCGTAGCCATCTCCCACAGCGAGCTCTGCAGCGCATTGCACTTGGCTGGGTCGCGCTCCAGCGCATCGTATGGATCATCCTGCCATTGCTGCCTCCTCGCCGGTCGCCTCGTCGTAGCCCGGCATGCGGTGAATCAGCACCATGCACGCCGGGTGGGCCTTGAGCAGATTGTAAACCACCGGAATGGCCACCACCACGCCCGATGGCGGCGCCGACAGTGCCAGGCGCGTGATCCGCTTGATGAATGCAGCGATCAGATACGCCGGCAGATGCGACGATCCCAGGAACACCTCCAAAAGCCGGAAGAACCGCGCCCGGTACCGCACGTGGAACAGACTGCGGTCCACCAGCGCATACAGCTTCTCGTAGAACAGCGGGTAGTTCAGGTTGTGCTCGCCAATCAGCGTGTACAGCCCGTTCAGCGCCAGCAGGCTCACCGGGCCTCCGGCATCGTATGCGCTGGTCAAAAAGTCCATCAGCCGCCGCGGCTCCGCCATATACGGGATGATGCGCTTGTGCAGCCGCAGCAGAATCTGCTTGTACATGCCCACGTCCAGCCGCTGCCGCATCAGCCCTAGCCACGCCTCGGTGAACGCCTTCTGGTGCTGCTGCGCATTGCCCACCGCCAGCTGCTGCCGGTCCGCTTCCGCTGGCGGATCCACCCAGAACGACCCGTACTCGCTGCTGTCCTTGTGCGGCACCGACCGGATCGCCGTCATCACTGCAAACACATTCCGCACCACCGCATCATCGCCCGCCACCTCCTCAGCCAGCATCCGCGCCACCCCGCGGTAGAAATACAGCCGCACGTCATCGTACGAGTCAATGTACGCGTCCACCAGCGTACGCACCAGATGGTCACTAGGCGACTCGCTCGCCAGCACTGTCTGCAGCACCGCCTGCAGCATCTCGTTCGGGAAGTCGTAGCCGCCCGCCAGCCGGCCCAGATTCGCTCCCTCGTGCTGCATCAGCTGCATCAGAATCTTCACCGCCATCACCTGCATCGCCGCGTCGCTATGCTCCAGCTGCGTCTTCAGCAAGCCCCACGTAGTCGTTGTAGTTGTCGCGCAGCCAGTCTGCCACCTGCGCAGCCGCCAGACTCCGCCAGCTTCTTCGAGTCCTTGGTGCGGTTCATTAGCCCCTTGCTCAGCAGCCCTGAGAAGATCCGGCCCAGCGCGTTGATCGCCACAAACGACGCCTCCACGCTCGCGCCCTTGGCCACCTTAAGGATCTCCAGTACGTCGTTCAGGTTTTGCTGCTTGCCGAGCACGTTCGCCTCCCACTTGCGCACCTGCTCGATCAGCTCCTTGTCCTCCTTCTACACAGACGCACTCCTTTTTGATCCACTGTTAGTACTGATGCACTGCAATCCGCCTAATCCCCTCCACCTCTGCCTTGCTAAATCCCCCCTCCACGATCCCTACCTTGCTCTCCGAGCGTTTCCGCTTCAACGACATTGTGCTGCTCTAATGTATGTGGAGTCTGTAAATAAGGTATAGAGTTGGAAACGAAATGCAGACGCAAAAGCAGAGCAAGGTAAAAAATATCGGACGGACACTCGCACCAAAATTATTTTTTACTTGATTTCAGGGCCTGAGTGATCACCGCTAAATTAACCCCCTCTGGCCACTGTCTCCACCACAACCCATCCATCCTCGTTCACCGCCGAGAATCCTGTCGTACCCGAGAATCTCGTTTATCCGCCACTTGGTTTCTGTCCACTTCTGGAAGAAACTGAAACGGACCAAATGCACCATTTAGTGCCACCATACTTAGGAAAGTACCATATAGCACCCGCATATCTCATCCTAGGAGTGCTGGCACGGGCCTGATTCGCGTTCGCTGCTGGTGCCCTCGCAGAAGCAGTGGTACAGCCTGCCCCCAGTATCAATACTAGCGTCATGCCTCCAAGCTGCATTCAATAGCCTAAACGTACTCAGATTCATTTCTACCTCCACCTGCAGGCCAAGCACGAATTTTCAGCTCCCTGCAAGCACCTATATTTGTGGAGAATCTACACTGCCTCATCCATCCGCCAGCTGCACATTATAGAAATGCAGCACTCGCAGTTTCCGGCTCAGGATTCCGCAGCATGCCCGCTGTCTGCCACATGATCGCTCCTAGCAATTCCAGTTGTATATCCGTGGTGCGTTGCCCAAGGTGGAGGGCGGGCCGGACAACATCCTCCATTGACCTGGATAAGGAATGCCAGGAGGTCTTTATGCACATTCCCTATATTGCCCGGGGTTACCGGTCTGTATTCACTATGTCCCGCACTAGCTCTGTGATTGCCTGACTGCCAGCCTCAATATGGACTACACGGGGCGTTTGCTTGTTGCAGCGAAACAGCCCATTTTTGGGAAGTAGATAGTTTGGTGTGCACACCTAGCGAATCCAGGCCAGGGGACGGCGCCCCCTGGGGCTTTCCAGTGGCATGTCCTGAAAACCGCCGATTCCAATTGCATCATCGCCATGGGTGTAGTTCGCAAGCTCCCTTAGGTGTGAGGTGGAGCGCTACCAATGTGATGGCTGGGTATGTCAGCTGCGTCCCATCTTCGCTTTTCAGAATATCAAAGAACGACCCTTAGGTCTCGGAAGCATGCTCTGATCTCTTTCCAGTGTATGCCTATGCTGTCTAATATTCCTGGACTCTGCTTTCTGATGCGCCTAAACCATCGCCATTCAGGCGTTTCAGCACCACTTTCAACGGAATTATTCTGCTTGCATGCTCAAATAGATTATATACATTTACATAATGTTCAAGATATATTCCTATATATAGGGAGCAAATAGTCTAGTGACCGTTGCAGCCCGGAATAGGCCCGTCCGGTGCATACTCATCAAAGGCTCTGGATCATACACGAGCAGTTGCTCTGGCATGCACACTGTCGGCAAAACCAAAGCACCCTCTTGCCGCATGTTCCAGATCATCTTGGATGGTACGCGGTCTGGCAATCGTATTGTCCACTACCTACATACTAGCCATATGAGAGTCAGCCCATGTGGGAGTGTATCGGCCACCTTCAGCGAAGCAGTCTTAGGCGTTGACATGCTGGTACGAAGATGCAGTGTGCTGAAATGTGCACTGGAAGTGTTTTTGTCGGATGATCCGTTTGCGGGAATAGATGAGCAGGGGTGCGACATGCGCGAGTGTTTTATGTCATAGCGATCACTCGGCCAGCTTGACGAGGATACAGTATGGCCAATTTGATGTTGAGTGTTAAGAAGTAAGCATGAGGAGTAGGAGGGAGTATTTTGTTGTGTTGATATGTCCGTCGCCGGGAAGCAGCGTTCCTTGGGACTTCTTTTATACTCGGCAAGGACCTGGGGTTGCAGCACCAGAGTTCCAGGGTTAGGGAGGAACTGCCACAGTGCCCTTCCGGCCGGTGATGTCCTGCCATTTTGTAATTGTTTCTGAGCCGAAATCAGGAGCTGCAGACTTCACACAATGCCAGCTTTTTCCTAACCAGGCCGGTTATATATGCAAGCGCATACCGCGTGGGCGGGATCTGCCATTGTTGTGAGACTCGGTCCCCAACACCAGTTACTGCCCATCTCAGCGCTCTTCAAACATATGCTCTTTGATCTGGTAAGCCGACAATGGTGCGGTGTGTCTCCAATACTGATACAAGAGCACCAAACACTGGTGTAGTTGTTTTTTGCTGTCCACACCTGTCATCGTTGAATGGAATACAAACCAACCTATGACCAGATGGGGTTGCGGCTCGGAGTGTTTTTGAGTGCGTTTCTGTACCGACTAGGTAGCTGCAGAAACAGAGTGCATCTATTCAGTGTCCCTCGTCAGCATCCTATCGGTTGGGAAGACTTGTGAAGAGCGTGCTAATGGAAGGGACGACTCATCTGAAAGTCCAGGCCTAGCAACTGTAGTGTCTGTAAAATACAGTTAAGGAAGGTGCAGAGATGCAGGAGGACCATATCAGGCTATCACCATGTCGAAGATAAATTGGGAGCGCTGGGATGCTGTGCTAAACGGCTTACAAACATAATACTATGCCATTTACACCATGAAGTTCGGCAATATCCTATGAAGTCAACAGTAAGAGAAATCAGCTTGCAATCACTGACTGGAATTACTTTATCACCGGTACTGATAGCAGGTACACCGCCATACCGCTCCAGGGAAAGATCAGCTATGTACGGATTGGAGACAATAAATCTGCTCTGACTAACATTGTTCCCACATGGCTGCAACCACTGTATGAAACAATAAAATTGTCTTTGCAAAGTCCTTCGATCGCCACCAATGCCATCATGCGGGCCATGCTTCAGCGTGCAGCTTGTGTGGAGCCTCCTTGTAATTCCGGTGCTCATTCCAATTGACGGAATAAGACCGTTCAATTTCCTCACTGAGACTTGGACCAAGATGTCCATCAGACCATTTTTAATTGGAGGAGCTGAAAGCACATCGAACATATTCCCTGCCCTCCAACCTTACTTTCATTTCTGAACTGAATCAAAAGACGTGAACAGTCCATAAAACCGTGCAGATCTCTATTGGCACAATAGGCATATATGCAATTAGGGGAATATGTACTCTGGTTTATTGGCCTTTGCAAATGCGTTTCTGAAGCTTAATAGACTGATATACATGCAATCAATTGACGCAATTACAGTTTTACAAAGATCTCTCGTATATTGCAAGGATAATAGCATCAGCCTCTGCCCATATAAAAGGCAGGCAGCTCCCAGGGACTTGTTGGACTCACCAAATACCTACAGTCCTCTAATACCTAGCCAGCTTCAATATATAACAAATGAACACCTACTCGACTATCCTCGCAATTGCCGTCGTTGCTTTCGCTTCAGCCAACGCACAGGTCTTTTGGATTCACTAAGGATATACAACTATGCTAGCTGAGCGTTCTTAGAAAGTCCCTGTATTTAAAATAATAGCCTATTTTAGTCATATTCCAGCTTTTTTGCTGTAACCACCATGTGTTCAGTGTTGTAATTATACCATAGCTTTCCAACATTCTCATTGGCACTGCGCAAACATAAGCCTTTCCAAGGGACCTGATACCAGCCGAATCGGGTACGGATATCGATTGGGAACTCGTGGCTAAATTTGTCGGTGCTACCGAATTGGAGTGCTTGCGGTGCAACATGTTATGACGAAGGGAAGCAGCCATTGGACGTACGATCACCAAAAATTTATATAGGATCTTCCTAACCGGATGCGCGACTATATCAACAAGCACTGTCCACAGAAGCTGAAGTCCGAACTTCGCCTGCGGTATCTAATCACTTGTGGATTGTACAAGTGGGCTGTGTTGATATGTATCAACTCGCCCACCACCTGTTCCGATGAGCTGATAAGTTACAGGCAAACGCAATAGAAATGAAGAGCCAGAGATTTAGCTACTGGGACATTGCGCGGTACATACCGCCTTTGCTGACAAATAAATGGACCGATGTAGAAGTTTTTCAGTCTATGGCGACGCAACGCAACGCAGTCGCAGCTACATCGAGACAATAAAAGAAGAATGTTTGGGCAGCGGTGAATGGGCTTGCTGGGATAATTTCATGTGGAGATGTGCCAACTACAACCAAACTCGCGTATCCTGACGTCCCTACAGCACCATTCTATAGCACTATCCATTGCTATGTCGATACTCACAAGTTTTACCGGGACAAGCTCAAGAGACAAGATAAGCGCTGATCTTGTGTACCAGATGGAGACTAATGGGGTGTTTGCAGGCAGAAATTGCAGGCAAGCTTGATGTCTCAGCGAAAATGATCCAAGGCTTCTTTTTGCTAAAAAGCAGGACAGGTAGTTTCTCGAGTTGGCGAGCCAGAGAGAAAACCAACGAGCTGACTAAGTATGCATCTTCATCTCAAGGTCGGACTAATTGGGAACGTTGTGCAGTGATCCTTGGACCAAAAAGTCCACGGCAATGCTTCAAGAAGTGGCATGATGGATGGGAGAAAAACTATACACGAGCACGTTGAACAGCAAGTAAATTAGGTACTTTTGGTTTGCATTTCCTATGCCTGGTCTAGTAGCGAATACGTCTACGTATAGTGAGCGGAACTCTGGGTTGCCAATTGTTTTCTCCTTCGAGTGACCTTTCTCTACGCTATGTTTTGAACGCAAGTATCGGGTTGGAATGATGTGAAATGGAGGTATCTCTACTTACACGACAGGCGGTAGTTGATATGCAGTTTTGCGCTTCATTCCTCACTTGAAATGCTCTTGAAGCAGCAATGAATCTAGAAAAAGCATCTCCATAATGGGCATAGGAAAGGCACTATACTATGTTGCACAGGGCTGCGAATCGCTTGCGATACATGACTGCATGTATAGCAAGTAACCATGCGTGCGCTGGTGATGTGACTACATTTGCTATATTGCCAAAAATAGAGAGAAGCGGATAAAAGACATTGCGGCTAGGCAGAGTCGGGCGATGACAGGTTTACAATCTTGTGATCAGTGCCGTTCTGCTTGCTGTTCAGGTAGTTCTGATACTCCACAGACTTGATGGCACGGACGCGGGCGATCTAAAGGAAAGAGGTGGTGTTAGCGACATGTATACAACCACCATCCATTTATCGCACCAGCTATGTGCTTACCTCCTTGAAGTGGTGCAGGCACTCCAGATAGTCGTCACGAGCGGGCACGCAGTCGGCGTGGCCCTTCTCCTTGCTGCTGAAATAGCACTGCTGGAAGTCCTCCCAGAAGGGGAAGCAGCGGTTTGTGCCTACGAGATAAGAGAGGCATGTAGCCATTGTCAGCACTGGAGCCTCTCCGTGTCACTGAATGGTGTGCCCATTCATGAAAACCGCCTCTCCAGCTGCAGCTGGCTATCCCAGGCGCATTGTCCTCGGCTGAATTCACGGCCGCCTGTGTCTGCTCAATTGAAAAACTCACCCCTGTAGCCAAGTCCGGACGCCATTTTTAGAAATGTGTGTGATTTGGTCTGTGTTGTAAAATATAAGTGCAATTCGAAAAAGAGAGACAAAAGGCGCGCTCGCTGTCGCAAATTGCAAGCTGCTGTTCAATGCCAGAAGGCGAAGCACACACTAGGCAGCTCCGTTGCTGGGAGCCGAGCCTTTATCATCTAGATCTAAATCCATTGATCGGAAGATCAGGTGTCTGTGGCATTTTTTGCTAATCGCCACTTTAGCCAAAGCCATAGGGCCAGGGCTGAGCGTATCTCTTCTGCCATCCAAGAAACCTTTCCTCCACCTCTCCTTCAATTTCCAAACACACAATTAGTTTCAAAGTATGAATTCGAGACTGCTTGGAATGCGCGCCATGAACCGGGTGGCAGCTTCGGCCCGTGCTCTGCACCAGCAGACGCCTGTGTCGGCAGCTGGCGGTCTGTTTGGCAAGCTGTTTGGCGGCAAAAAGGCCGATGAGCCGGCAGCGCCGTCGGCAGCAGTCGGAGACATGATTAGCAACCAGCCCGAGCCTGTGCGGTTCGAGCGGACAGAGAAGGAGCCGCTGAGGTTGCGGTTCCCGAAGCGGCAGTACACGACCCAGCAGCTGGAGGATCGGATCCAGCGGATCCTGGCCAAGAACGACGTGGCGGTGGTCGAGGGCGATTGGAAGGCAACATCGCTGGCAGTAGGCGACGTAAAGCTGAAGGTGCTCGCTGACGTGATGAAGCTGGCGAAGCTCAAGGTGACGAACCGGATGCTGAACAACGTGCAGACGGCTGGCGATCTGGTGAATGAGCTGACGCAGAAGCCGGCGGCAAAGGATGCAGGCCATGTGGTTGCGCAGTTCTACAAGGAGCACGGCGAAGAGCTGCCGGCCAACATGAAGTTTGAGCCATTTACAAAGCATGGTCGCAAGCTGCACGCGTACCAGTAGGCGACGTTGTAGAGCGATAGCTTTTCGTTTTTCGTAGACAAATAAGGAGCTGGTAGAGTGTTATAGAGAGAAGTCCTAGAAGGTCCAGTCGCCGTCAACCTCCATGGCCCAGTTGAATTTCTCGCGCAGAGCCTTGTTGAAGATCTTGTCCTGCGAGACGCCGTACTTTTTGCACCAGGCGACAGAGATGCGCGGGTCGATGTAGTTGATCTTGGATGTCGACAGGGCAGTGGTCTTGTTCTCGTCCTTCTCGATCTTGTCGATTTCGATGTTGTTGATGCGGGCCGTCAGCTTTCTCGATTTTCTCTAGCATCTTTTCGGTGGTGGCCGTGCGGCCAGCGGGCGGCTCCTCTCTGTACGTGCCATCTGTTGATGCTCTTTTCCCGCTCGTCAATGGCTGCCAGCTGCTCGTCGAGCTTGGACTGCGGCAGCTCGGGCTCGCCCGCCCCCTTCAGCTTCTCGTTGTCACGCTCAAACTTTTTGCGTGCCTTCTCGCGATCCAGCTCGCACGTGGCCAGCCAGTGGCTCTTGATCCAGCTTTTGGTAACGCCGGGCTCCTTCTCGGCCAGCTCTGGGTGCTTCTTCTTCAGATCAGGCGCCACCCACAGCAGATGGTCCTTGAGCAGCTGGCGCTGGTACCGGACGGCCAGCAGCCTGGTCTTCGACCTTGGCCATCTGGGTCTCGAATCCCTTAGACACGGACCGCTGGTGGTTGCAGAGCACAGCAACCTCGCGATTGGCACGGTTGTAGGCCAGGAATCTTCTCGGCCTCGGTGCCGTCCATGGGGGTGGTGTTCAGCTGCTGCTGGAACACAAACGACGCGTTGTATGTACGGAACACCTTGGCGGTCAGCCCAGGCATCAGCTTCTGCAGGTGCTTGTTCAGCGCGGATGTGTTGAGGCGGTCAAACAGCATGTCCTCGGGTGTCTTGGGCTTCTTCTGGAAGATTTTCAGGTTCTTCCATACCTGCTGATCGACTTCGGTTGTGCGCTGGTACCGGATCGAGTCCTTACCCAGGAAGTCAAAGTGCACTGTGCGCGGCGGGAACAGCTGCACGTGCTCGACACGCAGCGAGCAGCAGCCGACAGTGTCTGCCTCGTCGTCGCCCTTTTCATTGCCAGCACGCAGCGCATAGCGGTCGATAAGGTACATGGCTGTGGCGCGCTGGCGAGCAGCCATGGTCTCGGACCGCAGATCCTTGGTGTACTGTCTGCGGATATCGGCCACGCAGCCCTTGAGGTTGCGCGCCTTTTCGAACTTGCGCATGTCGCTCTGGCCCTTGAGCGAGCTGCCGGCCGCCAGAAACACATATTTGATGTTGCCATTGACATTCTCTTTCCACATGGCCAGCCACGTCACTGTGTTGTCGTGTGTGACGCTGCCCCACCGGTGGCCGGCAGGCGGATCGGGCACCTTGGCGTCCTTCCCAATGTTAATGGTGACTTGCTCGGGCAGAACACGCTTCTTGAGCATGCCGGTCTTGGGGTGTGCGCCGCGGCCACGGAACAGATCGGGCGGCTCGATGCGGAAGTTGCCGACCTTCTCGCGGCGCCCGTCCATGAGGCAGAACTTGAATTTCTCCTCAATCGCCTGCTTCTCCAGCTTGGACCCGCTCCTTTTCTTCCTTGGACAGGGCCTTGCGCTTGGCTGACTGCTCATCAAGGATGCGCACGGATCAGCGTAAAGTCGCAGTGCTTGAAGTCCTTGATCGGGTGCTTGGGCATGGTGCGGTCAAGGATCTCCTTAAAATCGGTAAAGAAGTTCTTCTGGAACACGGGGTTGTTGCCGTGATCGCCATCTACTACTGCTGCGAAAAAGGTAGCAACCTCCTCGGCCTCAGACACCAGCCTGATCTCCTTTTTGCGGTAGATGAGCGGCACACCGTGGGGCACATAGTCGGGCGGGAACATGACGCCGTTGTGCTCCAGCGTATGCCACTTCTCCGACGAGCCGTCCTTCTCATCGAGCCACCACTTGTAGTCGCCCTCGCCCTCGCCCTCGCTGGCCACGCTGCCGTCTGCCGAGCTCTCGACCATCGACGACTCGGCCTTGATTAGCGGCTTGCGGTTGGCAACCGACTTTGCAGGCTGCTTTGGCTTACTGACCTCCGGACGCCTCCTTTTTAATACGCGGCTTCTTGTCTGTCCTGGTGACCGCAGGCTATGAACAGGAAGAAAAATCAGCGAAAATAAGCCCATGCTTGCTCATGCTTGCTCACGGATGCTTTTTTGCTCAATAAGGATTCAATAGGTTCCACATCGCAAGATTTGCTGCTTACCTTGCCGTTTGCCTTGGGTTCTGGCTTGGGCTTGGGCTTGGTGTTGGATTTGGGCATTGCCGCTGCTGCCCGCTTGGCCACAGCCTTCTTCACTGGCGTCTCCACCTTGACCTTTTTTGACAGGGGCTGATCGGACTCGCTGTCGCTGCTGTCGCTGGCTCCACTCGACACGGCCGGACGCCGTCTGGACAAAGGAACGTCGTCGTCGTTGGGCTTGCCATTGTTAATGTCAGTACTGACCCGTGCTGACAGAGGCACACCGTCGTCCGAATCTGAAGAACTCTAAAAATGTATTCCGCCATTTAGCATAGAGTATAAATGGGGTGCAGACAGCGGTCTGCGTGTTATGGTAGATATGACGTTTTCCTCTGGTCAGCCGACAACAAAAGCCGATATATGTGGACTGCCGCGGACCGACTTACCATGGCAAGCAGGTAACTCACGAAAAAAAAAGGGGGACAGAAAAACGAGGTGTATGCGCGAAGGGGGTTGCTTTAGGATTTTAGTCTGACGCGAAACGAAATAAAAAAGTATACAAAAATTGTATTCAGAGGAAGACGGGGTTCATGGGGAGAAGGGAAGAGCGCCGAAGGGTCAAAGGCGGGCGGCGATTGGGACTTTGCCAAAAATTATTTTTGCGCCTTGCGGCTGGCTCGGTTCAATTAATGGGGCTCCACTATGAAACCAAAAAACACTCGTTGCATGGGGATTAGCGCCGACGTCAGCACAAATACCAGCTGTGGCTGCATAGCAGCTGCGTCGCGCCGCTTCGCCTGGGGGTTTCTCTTCTCCTCCTGGCTTTTTATACTCTCTGCCTTCAACCTACAGCGCCCCGTATATCTTACTTTTCGGTACTCTTCTGTGCCTTGCAACTAAAGGTTTCAAGGCAGTTTGCATTTCCGAGATTGGAATATAGATTCTTCCCCGGTACAAAAATGAGGCTCGACGAGGTTAATTGGGCCAAGCTGCTGCCCTACAGCCGTGGTACTGAGGATTCCGACTTTGAGCACTGACTTCATTTCGCAGCTTCAGCTCTACATTCTCGGCTGCGACTACATGGCGGTCTCGGCGTTGATATCGCAGCTTGACAGGTAAGCAAAAGCCGCCTGTATGACGTACCCTTCTTGCGTGCTTGCACTTGCCCTGCGCAACTAATCTCCACCACGGAGCGCTATGTAGCAACTATATTGTCCTGTCGATGGAGCGGCGCACACAGCTATGCCGTGTCCTGTTCGAGCTTATCACCACGCAATCTCTCGATGCGACGCTCTTCAACAAGTGCTGCACTATACTATCCCGTGTGCTCAGGTAAGTCGAATCTTTTGCAGAGTGGGAAGCTGGCCAATGTGGCGGGCTGATATGACGCTGCCATGTGTGGTGTTTCCCAGAGAGGCTGCTGGCGCCTTTTACATTGGGATTACGTAGCCCCTGTAAACTTTCCTTGCGCCTGCTGAATTTCAGTCTTAATTGCGCCGAGCGTCGTCTGCTGACCTATTTTTAACGTTATTTCATTTGCCATATAGACGCGAAGATCGTCTGACGAGCAAAGATCTGACGCTGGCATGGCGCCCCATGTATGACCTGGCGCGGTCGATGGCGTTTCCCAAAGTGTGGCAGGACGGCATCATGCAGCGTAGATCAAAGCTCAAGTGTCTGATTGAGCTGATTCGCGCCGCCAACCACCTGTTTGAGTCCTCGGCGGTCGTGGAGATCCTGGACGAGATCCTGCCCCAGCTGCAGTTCAACTCGCTTGACTGGCAGGTCCCCATCGTCCAGCTCCTGCTGCTGTTTGTGCCCACGCGCTATCAGGAGGCCGAAACCGGGACACCGGCCAGCCCCGAAAACTGGCTGCCAACGGTGTTTTCGCTGTGGTCATTCCAATCTTCGCGCCACCAACTACGACGCAAGCTTTATGACGCTGGTGTCGTGGCTGGCAGCCGAGCAACAGGGCCACCTGACCTTTACCGACGACCAGCTGCGGCTAGTGTTTGCCAGTGGGCTGCACTTCTTCAACCTCCCGATCGCACATGACATGGCGGCGTTGCCGCGCAACGTGATGACCGTGTTCACTGACACATCGCGCTTCTATCGCTTCCCGCCGCCCAACGGCGCTCTGCCCATGAGCGAGGAAAAGGCACATTCGTTCTCGCGCTTTATTGTCTACACCATCCACGAGCAGAGCGGCACACTGGAGCAGTTTGAGCAGCTGGTACAGATGATCGAGCCGTTTTTCCACCCGTCCAACTACGGCAAATGGAGCAGCTCCCTGTCGCGCTTCCTGACGGTACCTGTCCAAGGATCTGCTGCAGCGCGTGCGCGACGAAGAGGCCGACAACTGCGAGACTCCGGAAAACATGCGTCTGACCCGCCCGCTGCGCCGCCGCTTTACTGTTTCCGTGCGTGCGCTAGCCATGCTGCTATTGTTCTCCAAGAGCGAGGATGTTGTCAGCTTGAGCCACTCGACGCTCCGATATCTGGCCCAGGTTGAGCCCAACCTGATCTTCCCCCCGCTGTTTGACACGCTGTACACAGCTGTTGATTCGGTCACTGAGACACACCGTATGATTTCAGCCATGCGCGCGCTGGCCAAGCTGGCGTCCACACTGTCTACGTTCGAGCTGTACCCTGAGGGCGCCCACCACGTCGCGCCGCTGCTGGCGCTGACTCTGCCTGGAATCGACGTCAACGACACAACAAAGACGTGGTTCACGCTGACGTTCATTTGCAACCTGTGTTTGAATGGGGTTATTTTCGAAGAGCTGCCACCAGCGACCGGCGATCTCCCTGCCATTGCTGACTCGGAGACAACATCGGTGAATGAGCCAGACGATGTTGAACAGGTGCCTGTGGCCAACATGGAGCAGGTCGAGTGGCTGACTCGCGTTAGCACCGCCCAGTTCGAAACATGGATCGACCAGTACCTGCGGCGCGTCTTCGCCCTGGTCGACAACCTGTCCAGCAGCCTGGACAGCGGCAGCGATTCCACGGGTTCGTCTGACCTGGGGCTCAAGGCCATGGTTGCGCACACGACCGAGGCTGTGCTGCTCCAGTGCAGCGAGCGCTACTACCCAATGGTGACCCGCCTGATCACCAACTTCGTGTCGAGCATCACCAGCCTCTCGGCTGTTGACAGCGTGTGCAAGATCGTCTATGCCTTCGCCAACGCTATCCCGGAGCAGGCACTGAAGAGCCTGATGCCCATGTGCTGTGAGCGGATCACCGAGGAGATTGAGAATGGGGTTGGCAGCACGCCGTCGCTGAGCACACGCTCCAGAGCCCATTCCGAAACCACGCTGACCTGGTTCCTGTCGGTGCTTTCGGTGCTAGTCGAGTGCCAGAATGGCATGTACCTGCTCCCGTACCGCGCCGACATCAAGCGCGTGGTCCAGCTGGTTCTCAGCGAATGCATGTCGCGCCCAATCTACAGCATTGGCTCGCGAATCCTGTACAATGCCATGGTGCGGCTGACGACGCTCTATCCGGAGCGCGGCCGCAGCGTCTCAGACAAGGTGTGGAACGACCCTGAGTTCCACGACAACCACTACAAGTACTGGGGCAAGCACTTGGCGGTCGAGGACGAGTCATTCGAGATGAAGTGGCATCAGCCGACGAACGAGGAGATTGAATTTGCCATGGAGCTGCTGCGGGACATTGCGATCCCACAGATCGACATGCTTAACCGCTTTATCGACGAGGCTGCCAATCCAGGCACAAAGGAGTCTGACGATCAGGACAACGTGCATCTGAACCGCATTCTGACCACCCTGCGCCAAGCCCTGCGCTGCATTGGCACGCTGATCCCCCCACCCAACGAGCAGGATGCCAATGATGGCGACAGCATGGCTGCTGACGACGGCTTTAGTCCCAAGACGTCTGCTGAGGCTATCATTGAGAGCGACACTGCCAGCAGCATGCCGCCGCAATACCGGATCAACCGCCCCATCGAGGCGGGGTACTGCTTCGCCGATCGTGCCAGCGCCGAGTACAAGGAGATCTCGCAGATTCGCCTCTCCATTGGCCAGGCAGCAGCCCGGACACTGGATTTCATGGCGGCGAAGCGCGAGGATGACGTCGAGAACATCAAGAGCCTGGTAAAGCTCGCCAGCATCTTCATCGGCGACCACGGCTCTGACCGTGGCACGTTTATTAGCCTGCGCAAGGCATGGAGCTTCGGCATCGATAGCTTCTACATTGACAGCCGCCAGAGCAACATTCCGCGGTACTTTGCTGGAAAGCGCCTGGTGTTCACGCAGAGCGCTCGGCTCCTGCACAATGCGCGATTCAAGCCCAACACTGTGCTGTACCGCACAATCACCAGCTCGCTTGCCGGATTCTGTCTGTCGCCGTATGCTGAGATCCGTAACCACGCTGTCTCAGCCATTGACAACGTCTGCTCGCTGATCCCGGCGCTAAAGTACCCGCTAATCCCGCGCTTCTTGGCTGAGCTCGAGGACAACGAAAACAGCGACTCGGACAAGATGATCGGTGCCCTGCGCCTGTTTGCCACGTCGCCGATCCACAGCACATGCGGCCGCGACTGGCACTACCTGCCCAAGGTCATTCTGGCCCTGTGTCGGGCACAGCACGAAGACAAGCCGCAGGTCAAGGAGCTGATCCGCAAGACGGCCTTCGGGCAGATCACCAATGCCATTGCACCGTCGCCGATCGAGGAACCCACAGAAAGCGTGCGCGAGATCGTCTGTCGCCTGGCACCCACCGAGGACATGGCAGGCGACATTGCCGAGCTGAAGAAGCAGTGCGAGGAGAAATACGCCTTTGCAGTGGCCGAGCACGCCAAGGTCACCACTGCGCTGGTCGAGATTCTGCGCGACGCGGGTACTACCTGGCGCTTTGCAGCGCTGTCCAGCTATTTCCTGGACCAGCTTGTCAGCATGACCCTGGCCCTGGATCCCGAGATGGCAAGCACGCTAGCAAACAATCTGACGTCGGACCTGGTTCTGTTCCGCGAGAGTGCCATGATCAGCCTGTCGTCGTTTATCAGCAAGCTCAAGCACAAGTGCAAGGAGCACTGCAGTGACCTGTCGATTGTGTCGCGGACGGCTGGTATTGGATCTCGACACACAGAGCAGCGGCTTTGACTTTGCTGGATACGCGACATTGACGAAACGCGCCATCGATGGCGATGAGGCTGCACTCAATGCACCGTACATCGACAATCCATCGACTGGCTGGTACGCGTGGCCCAAGGCGGCCAAGGCGTATGTGAGTCCTCCGACCACTGCCAAGCGCGCCTTTGACAAGATCGACCCGGAGTCGCTGCCGGCGTACCAGGCTATCCGCGATGTTATATTCGCCAAAGGAAAATGGGACAGCATTGCGCAGTGGTACTCGCAGGAGAGCATGCAGCCTGACGACGACTACTTTGGAGTGTCCAAGGCGAACCTGTACATGCAGCTGTTCTCGCTGTTCGAGGAAGAGGTGTTTGACCAGGCGTGGCCCGTCATCGAGAGACTAGCCATGGACACCGAGAAGCAGAGCTCGCAGCGGGCAGCCTCGGAGATGGTGTCTGGAATGCTGCGCGGTGCGAAGCACTGGTCAAAGGAGGCACTGTCGCGCATGTGGACCTCGCTCATCCCTGTGATGTCAACCGTTTTCTCCAAGCTCCGGCCCGACACGGTCCGGTTCTGGCAGACCGGTCTGCAGTATGTGTTTGCGCGCCGCGACCCGCGGCGGTTTGTGCCGCTGATCCACCTGCTGCTGTACGGAAATCCGTTCGACCCCACGTCCGAAGCAACGTTCATTGAAGCGACCAAGCTCGATCTGCTGCGTACCATGGTCAACAGCTGGGATTGGCGCATTGCGCCGGCCATCATCGCCAGCAATGTGCGGCTGATGGATGCCCTGGCACACCCATACAAGCAGGTGCGCGACTCTGCCGGCGTTCTGATGTACATCATGGCCTCGGCGGAGTTTTCGCCGTCGTATTCCAGCGTTGCTGAGGCGCTGGCTGACAGTCTGCAGCACGGTAGCACGGGCCGCGATTTCTCGCGCTGGACAGGCACGCCAGGAACGGTGGCAATGATCGAGGAGATCCGCAACCAGATCCTTAGATGGCACGTTGAGCATAAGCCGTCGAGCGAGGGCACGTCAAACTACAGCCGCGGTAGCAAGACGCTGCTAAACTTCTTGGTTGCTGGGTTCACGTACTGCAGCCGCCGGATTACGCTCTCGCATGTGCCGACATTCCTGCCCTTGCTGGCAACCATGCAGGACCAAAACGACGATGAGGACATGTCGCGACTAGCCAAGATCATCATGCAGTTTACGTCGCAGGTCCTGTATACATCGACTGTCGTTGAAGACGTGGCCAAGGACATTCTGACGCTTCTGACGGACTCGCCCAACAGCTGGCACACGATCACGAAGACCCTGCCGCTGATCTGCACCCTGACGTTCTCGAACCGGTTTGTGCTGTCGCGCGAGATGCGTGCCAGCCTGATGGACTCGACGTCGTCGTTCCTGGTCCACGACCAGGTCGAGGTGCGCCAGACCGCGGCTAAATCGCTGACCAGCCTGATCAAGTGTGCCAGCGGCAATGTGATCCTGGATATCAACGAGCAGTTTTCAAAGAAGCTGGCCAAGCGCCTGCCGCGCAACAGGCGGAATCTGAAGAACGTGCCCAAGTACACCCAGCTGGTCCTGACACGCCATGCGGGTGTCCTGGGCCTGTCGTGCCTGGTCCTGGCCTTCCCGTACACGATCCCCGAGTGGCTGCCCAACGTACTGGTCACGCTGGCAGAGTGCATCGATGACCCAAACCCGATTCAAAGCACGGTTCAGCACACGTTTGCCGAGTTCCGTCGCACGCATATGGATACGTGGCACGAGGATAGGAAAAAGTTCACCAGCGAGCAGCTTGAGCTGCTGACCGACATGCTTGTCTCTCCTTGCTACTACGCATAAGCATTCTGATTTACTCCATATTTTACATTTTCTACTGGCATATTCGCCATCCACATGTGTGTGTCCATAATGGGCATTCACATACTAATGTTCTGAAGTACATTCAGGCACGTGGCGATGTGTTGCGACGTGGTGACAATTTATTTCCATCCTAAGATACTGCAAATGAGCACTGCAGAGAGATTCATCCACGGCAAGCTGCTGGAAAAAGCAGTGATAGTCCTTGATGGAGGCCTGGGGACTGAGCTTCGCAAAGCCCACCTAACCGAAGCGGACTACCGCGGCGCACTCGATATCCCGGCAGCTCAAGCACAGCAGGGCAACTGCGCACTTCTTTCACTGACCCAGCGCGCGCTCGTACAGACACTGCACGAACGATTCCTCGAAGCAGGTGCAGACATAATACAGACGAATACGTTTTGCGCCAACGTCGTCGACCAGAACCGCTTTTACGGGATTGGCGTCGACTCGAAGCTAGTCGCTGAAATGAACAGGCAGTCTGTGCGCATTGCACTAGATGCTGTTGCAAGGTCCGGCCGAAACGCTCTCGTGTGCGGTTCAGTTGGACCTACGCATGCCGCGGTCACAATTGAAACATTCGAGCACATACACTTTGAGGAGCTCTTTGGCGTGTACTGCGATCAGATACGCGCGCTGGTCGAAGGCGGCTGCCGGGTATTCCTGGTTGAGAGCGTTATGGACTGGGTCAATGCGCGCGCCGCCATGGCCGCCATCCACCAGATCGCGGCAGTGTGCAATGTGCAGCTTCAGGCAATTGTCTCCGCTGGAGTTGGGGCCAAGGATGGCAGAATCATGTCGGGGCAGTCCTGGGAGGAGTTTGCACGTGCTTTCGCGGCATATCCGAATGTGCTAGCCGTGGGTCAGAACTGCGGCGACTGTGCTCCAGACTTTAGCAGCAGCACTGTCGGGCGTATCAGAGACAGCACCGATGCATGCGTCGCGTTTTATCCCTGTGCGGGGCTTCCGGATACGGACGGACAGTACTCACTGACACCCGAGACGTTTGCTGCAGAGATGGCAAGGTTTGTCGGTTCTGAGATGGTCGATATGGTGGGCGGGTGCTGCGGCATCACACCCATGCACATCAGGGCAATGGCCAGCCAGTGCAATGGCGAGTCAAGGACACTAGGTTCTGCTTTGCGGGTGCGAGAGAAGGTGTGCACGGTAAGTGGCCACGGGGCGCTACCAAGTATTGTCATATCCAGCACTTGGTCGACCGACGATATTGCGAGTGCGATCATGGCAGCAGTCAGTGGCACTGGCAGCGCGGTTCTGCGTGTCCAGTTTTCGTCGTCGGGGCAGTCGTTGCGTCTGCTTTGCGCATTGGCCAAACGCGCAGTGATTGAGCTCAGCTGCACCTTGGTTGTCGACTCAGCTGACACCTCAGGAATAGAACTGCTCCTTGAGCGCGCGCCCTGCATGTGCCTGGTTGACGCCGCCAATCACAATGTTACCCCAGACAAATGTGCAAGCTGGATTCGGTCCTATGGTGCAGGGCTATATTTAGCAGACGACCAGCCAAGCACCACGATGCGGGAATTCAAGGAAAATGTCGTTCGCTATATATAGTAGTTGTGTGCTTGCTAGCTGCTCTTGGTCGCTGCGTTGGGAATACATTCAAACCTGGCGGGGCGGGTACAATGTTGGGAGTTTATCATGGAACGGTAGGGGGAACAGAATTAACGAAAAAACGAGAGGGAAATTAACAGCGCGCAGGGAGCGAATCCATTCAATCCTCGCTCTCCTCGCTGAGCTGCTCCAGCGACTTGCCCTTGGTCTCGGGCACAAACCAGGTGAAGAGCAGACCGACGAGCATGAACAGCGCGAAGATCTGGATCAGCTGCGGGATAAACTTGTTCTTGCCTCCGCGGTCCTTGAGGTGGAAGAAGCCGAGCTGGGCAATGACAGCGCCGATCTTGCCGCTCGCCGCCGAGATGCCGTGGCAGGTCGAGCGGAAGCGGGTCGGGAAGGCCTCCGAGGGGATGATGAAGGTGGTGGTGTTGGGGCCAAAGTTCTGGAAGAAGTTTGCCAGCGTGATGAGGACCACAAAGGCAGCGACCGACTTGTCCAGGATCTGGTGGTATGCGAACCCGAGAATGCAGAAGAGGATCAGCAGCATCACAAAGCCGATGTACTGGATGGTCTTGCGGCCGAGGCGGTCAATGGTGAACACAGTGACCCAGTAGCCAGGCAGAGTGCCGAGCAGGTTGAGGATGATGTTACCGGCGGTGTTCTTCAGGATCGCCTTGTAGGGGCTCTCGGACGACACAAAGCCGATGGCCTGCAGGATGATGGACGAGTTCAGGTTGACGCCATAGAACGCGACGTCGAGGGCGAACCAGGTCACGGCAGTGCCCATGAGCACGCGGAAGTGCTTCCACTTCTTGAAGTGGTTGTAGAACTCGGTCCAGTTGGGCTTCTTGACCTTCTTGTCGTTGTGGGCGGCCTGGGCAGCATACGCCTCATCACCCAGGTCGCGGCGGCCGTTGACTGTGGTCTGGACGTCGATGGCAGCACGCTTGACGTTCTGCTCGATGTCAATGGTGTAGCGCGGGGTCTCGGGATAGTGAGGCGGAAGTACAGGGCGACGAGCGCGGGGACCGTGCCAAGACCCATGATGATACGCCAGACATAGTCGAGCTTGAGCTGGTCACCCTCGACAGCGCCCTTGAAGCATGCAAGCACAATAAGGGCCACAATGGCAGCAGCGACAATACCAAAGCCTTGCATGGCAAAGACCGCAGCAATCATGGCACCACGGTTCTTGGTGGTCGCGAACTCGGAGGTAATGATGGCCGACACGGGGTAGTCGCCACCAATACCAATACCGAGGACGAAGCGCCAGATGAACAGGACCCAGTAAACAGACAGACCACGCATAGTGTTTCCGGAGAAGGAAGCACCGATGGTGCACACAATGATGATGATGAGCTCGACACCGTAGATGCGCTTGCGGCCGAGACGGTCAGCCAGGTATCCAAACGTGAACTGTCCGATAATGCAACCGAGCTGGGTAGCACCCTTGATCCACATGTCGATGTTGGTAGGCGTCGTGTTCTTGGCCGGACCGACAGCGTCGGCGTAGTACACGTAGCCCATGATCAGCGAGCACAGGTTGATGGCGAAGATGTCGTAACTGTCAGTGAAGAATCCGATACCAGCGACCATGCATGCCTTGACGTGGAACATGCCAAACTTGGCGTTGTCGATTTCGGCCAGGGCCTGCTGGCGCAGGGCGACGACGTCGTTGTCAGAGAGCTGACGGTTGTACTTCTCCTGTGCTGTCTTGCGACGCGACACGGTACTCGGCAGCCTCTTCGACGCCCTGGAGCGGGTCATGCAAAGAATGGTCCGCGGACATTTTTAACTTTGCGAAAAAAGAAGGTTGGATGGAGTTGAAGAGTTGAAAGAATAAATCTGCGGTTCCATAGACAGGACAGCAGAGGCAAGAGTACCTTATATATACAGCCGCAGTTGCATCCCCATAGCCGGACAAAAAACATGGCGCACTCGGTTGCTTCCGTGCCCCACGGCCGGGCGATATGTGCAGCAAAAAAAGTGAGCTGAGTACCCCCGGGATGTAATGAATACGCCCGCCATTCAACAGAAATCAAACTGCTATATTCATCCAGTCATATGGCGCAGAGCAGCCACCCGTCCCTGAGGACTCGCAGGCATGGGCTGGCAGGCCAAGGCGATGGAAGTCAGCGTCCATGCACCCGAGATGTCGATCACTGAAATTGTGTTTCTTTGCTGCTTGAAAATCACCTAGGGGTAGCTCACCTGTCGGAAGGCGGCCAGAGAAAGACAGGCAGTGGACAGATCGCTTCCGGGCTATATTTGGTGAATGCCGCTGGGAACGTGCTGCACCACAGATGGTCCACGAGGGCTAAAGGAGAGCACGACCCACGTAACCGGTATCAGCAAACGGCGCGCCAGCGATATATGAAAACGACCAGTTTTCTGAGCTATTGCTTTGGAGCAACGGCTACTGCCAGACTAGTATGTTAAGCTTTGCAAAGCTATTTTCTAAAGAGTATGTTCTGTTTACTATCTAAGCGACAATGGAACAATTCCTGTAACATGACTTCAAATGTCAAGTAGAGAGCAGCGAGATGAATGTTCTTCATGGAAGCGTAACGGCAGTTTGTGAGACGATGCTTGCTGGGCAGCAAGTGCCAGCTGCGACTGAAGTAGACATGTGCGCACAACGATGGGCCCTGAGCGTCCCGGCGTTTTTCAATCCGATGCATGCTCATTGATGCGGTCTGACAATCGCTTCCCCCACCCGCTCCTCTTGTGCCGGTCGTGCCCATCAGTGTCTCTAGCAGACCCGGGTGGGGACGTCTGGGCGAGCTGTTTAAAAATAGGCATGTCCAAACGACGTCGCTATGATACACGCCTTGGCATGCTGGCACGGAGAAACCGCCTGCCTGCAGCTAGCCAATGCAAGTGCGATGGCGTTGTCCCTCATACGCATTGGGTGCGATCGAACGAGGCGATGCAAAGGCTGTGTTTTATGAAAGCACAATGAAAGGCAGTCCGGAATGGCGATTGTCCAACGCTATGGCGCCTCGTTCCTGGGACCACAAGGACCACAAGGACCACAAGGACTGCAGGCCCGCTAATCCCAAAGCAGAACGCCAATTGTTTACGTTGGAAATAGAATTACGGCTGGTGAAAGAAAAAAAAAGAAAAGATGGAAGATATAAAGGCAGCACAGAACACGCCGGGCTCGCATGCTCATTTTGTATAACCACGAATAAATTTAGCCGCAAATCTCGTTCCACATCAGCACCTTGAGCTGCTCAATGCTCAGCTTCTCCTTGTAGTTGTCAAAGTCGAAGAAATTGGGCGGCAGCGGCTGGCTCACAGGCTCGTCGTTGTCGTCATGGTACTGGGCAAGGTACTCGTGCGCCAGCGCCTCCTCCACCGTAATGCGCTTCTTCGGGTTGAACGTCAGCATCTTCTCCATCAGGTCAATTGCCAGCGGGCTGGCGGTCGGGAAGAGCTCCGAGAAATTGACCTTTTGCTTCAGCGACATGCCGCGGATAAAGTCGCGCGCACGGCGGCTCTTGATGCTCAGATAGTCGTCGGACGTGGGCGTGCCGAGGACGTCCAGGATGAGCTTCAGCTGGTGATGGTAGTCGCGGCCCGGGAACAGCGGCTGCCTGGAGATCATCTCAGCCATGATGCATCCTACCGACCAGATGTCGATGGCCTTGGTGTACTCCTTAAAGGTCAGCATGATCTCCGGCGCGCGGTACCACCGCGTGGCAACGTATTCGGTCATGAATGCACCCTCGTTATCGGGGTCGTCGTTGGCGCCGCGGGCCAGGCCAAAGTCGCAAATCTTCAGGTCGCAGTTGGCGTTCAAAAGGATGTTGGAGGGCTTCAGGTCGCGGTGCAGCACATTGCACGAGTGAATGTACTTTAGGGCGCGCAGAATCTGGTACAGGAAGTACTGCACGTGGTCCTCCGACAGCGGCTGCGTCTTGATGATGCGGTGCAGGTCAATGTCAACCAGCTCCTGGATGATGTACACCTCGTTGAACTGGTCGAACGAGGCCGGCCGCACGATGTCCAGGATGGAGATGATGTTTTCGTGGTTGAAGAACTTTAGCAGCTTAATCTCGCGCAGCGTGCGAAGGCAGAACATGGCTGACTCGAACGGCCGGATTCGCTTCGCCGCAACGTCAATGCCATTCGGCTTGTACGTGGCAGAGCTACAGAGTAATTGTGCTTAGCAGTTTAGCCGAAAAGGGCAGTAAAAGGTCTCCTGCGCTTCCCTGTGCGCGGTCCCTTCACATGGTCTGCGTTTATCAGCCCTCTCCCCCAAAAGAAAAGCAGCACCCTTATTTTTCTTTTTCGGAAATGGCTGGAGCACAGCGGAGAGCAGTTGCGAATTTCGCAGAGATTGCAAGCAGGCGGGGATCGTTTTAATAGACTTACCAGACAGTTCCGTATGCGCCCTCGCCAATAAGCTGCTGGACCTGGTAGAACGGTCCGAGGTTAAACGAGGCCAGCCTCTGCTGAATTGCCAGAGCCTGGGCGTTGGCTTGCTGCTGCTGCTGCTGCTGCTGCTGTTGCTGTGCCTGCTGCTGGGGGTCCATTATTAAAGTGCAATAGAGTGAATGAGGAGTGCAAGAAAAGAAAAGAATAAAGTGCGTGTGTTGTGCAGGATAGAGGAGGAAAAAGACTATTAGCCAAGGAAATTGAACATGAAAAAGGGGCAGCCAGGACAAACAATACGGCGCTGGCCGCAAGGAGGGGCGAGCTCTTGGGAAAGCGGTCTACAAAGCGGCCGTTCTTTGTGGACATGCACGCCCTGTTTGGGGAGTAGAGGGAAATGAGGAGGGATCGACAGTCGATAGCAGGAATTCGGCAATGGCGACAAGCGAAACGAATTAATTCAACCTTCAGACACGCTATCCTCTCAAGAAAGCCTAGCTCTGGACCAATACATCCTCCTCGACCGCGAGCTTCTGGCTGCTCTTTCCGTGGCTGATATCGCACGCCGACATGAGCATGTCCATGGTGCCCAGCAGCATCTCCATCTCCTGGTGCAGCTTGATCTCGGTGCGTGTCTTGGCGCGCACGCGCATCAGCAGCTCGGCCAGCGTGCTCGACTGGCTCAGCAGGTCGCCGTAGATGCTAAACAGCGACTCGGCCACGGTCGCCAGCACATTTGTGTACCTTGGGTTATCGATGTGCTTCGCCAGGAACCGCAGAATCGGCTCGAGCGTCAGCTCGTCGCGGCCAGCGAGGGCGGCCGTGAGGCCGTCACGGTGCATGAGCTCTTGCAGCAGCGACACCACTGTCAATCCCGCGCGGTTGTTGGACAGCACGGCGTCCAGGGCCTTGGCATACTGGAACTTGCGCAGGAACTGATCGTAATCCGCTAATCCACGACGCCGCCGGTGCTCGATGCGCAGGTCGTCGTCGGCGCCCTTGTTCGACTGCCCACGCAGGAAATATGCCTTGGAGCCGGGCAGCGGCTGCTTCTGCTCGCGCTGCTTCAGCGCCTGCTCCTTGGCGGTGACAGCACGCCGGCGCAGCGAGAATACGCCCGAGGTCATGCCCACAGCCAGCATCGTGTCGTCGGGCGACAGCGCCAGGCTCAGAATCGGCGCCGGGTAGTTCAGGTTGTACACCATCTTGAAGTTCTGCACGTCGTAGATCTTGACGTGGTGGTCGAGCGAGCCGGCCAGCAGGCGCCCGCCAGAGCTGTCCAGGCACATCGCCGTCACTGTCTTCTCATGGTTGCCCAGCGTGGTCATGTACCGGCCGCCCATCAGCATATCGTAGATGTGCACATTGGGTCCGCCCGACACCGCCAGCATGCCGCCGCCAGGGAACACCAGCACGTCTTCGACGGGGTCCTCGATCTCGATGGTGGTCGTGCACTGGTTGGCGCGCAGGTCCCAGATCTTCACCGTATGGTCGTATGAGCCTGTGGCCACCAGGTTCGGGTTGTCTGCAAACACCGCGCCGCTGCGCACGTAATCCGTGTGGTCCTCGAACGTATTAACTGCCGCCTGGCTTGGAATGTCCCAGATCCTTACCGTCTTGTCGTCAGACCCCGACATGACATTGACCTTGTTTGGCAGAAACTTGGTGACATGCACCGGATCCGTGTGCCCCTTGAATGTCCGCAGGATCGCGCGGCTGTTGCCATCAAAGACCTGGACCAGATTCGAGTCGTCGCCGGCCACCAGCAGCTTTCCGTCGGACCGGAACGACCCGCTGTGCGCCGGGCTTGTGAACCGCGTCACCGACCGTGTCAGCTGGCCGGTCCGCCCGTTGTAGATCTGCAACCGTGTCGACGCCGTCACCACCAGATCGTGCGGCTTGATCGGGCTGAACTCCACCGATGTCACCATGCCGTACTCTTTGACCATCACCTGCGACTGGAACCGCTTCCAGTACCCAGCCTCGGGCAGCGTGCGCTTGATTGTTTTGGCGACGCGTGTCGCGCCAGTCGGCTTGAACTCCATGTGAGAATGCTTTGAAAAGTGTAAATTGGTAGACGATTTTTGGACGGAGAAGGCGCAGACAAGCAAGAGCAGAAAACGAAAATTTTCTTGGATTTGTGGGCTCAAAGTTTTTATACGACTCGGCTCGAGCAAGGGAAGGACCCAGATCGGCTCGCTTTTTTTTTTTTTGCCGATATCTGTCAGCGTGGACATTTGTGCTTTTCCCCCTGTTCAATTCGCAGGCCTCTTGCTTCTGCTTCCTCGTTAATTTGCCCCCCCCCTCTCATTCTACACAGACGATTCAGTTTTTGCAATGGCCCAGCGGTTTGGTAACGCCAAGGTTTATTTCCCGAACCTCGTGTTTAAGATCATCCCGGACGCGCGCCTGGGCAAAAGCCAGGCGGCGTTCCGCGTGCCCCTGAACGTCAACAAGCTCGACATCAAGGACTATCTCTCGCATATGTACAATGTCACAGTCACCGATGTGCGCACAGCCGTGATGCCCGGCAAGTGGACTGTCAACCGCTTCACCGGCCAGAAGGAGCGCACCGCGAGGACCAAAAAGGCCATTGTCACAATCAAGGAGGACTTTGAGTACCCGGAGGAGGCAGACATTAACAGCGACTTTGGCGGGCTGGAGATCGAGTACGAGGAGAAGCGGAGAGCGAACAAGCTCAAGGGCTGGAGAATCCGTCCGTCCATGGAGATGATGGCACTGAGGCGCAAGATCTTGGAGCAGCGCTAAGGAGAACGCCGACGGCGAAGAGAAGAAGTAGACCAGCTCTTGAATAAATCCATACACTCCGCTTTCTACTGTGACGCTGCCCAAAGCGAGCTGCTGCTCTGAATGCCAAGCGGATCATGCACTCTTGCCAAGGATCCGGGGCGCGCTGTCTCGCTGAACACAATGGAGACCACATCTTGGCCCAATGAAAACAGATATAATTATGAAGAAAAACGCAACAGCAAGTAGAAAAGGCCATATCCACATTAGATAGGGTTGTGGAGATAGTCGCTCTGAGGCGCATGCGCCATGCTCGGGTTGGCGATCGAGCCGCTGTTGCCGTACTGCGACGAGTTCGGGTACTGGGCCGAGGTTGGGTATTGAGCAGACCCCTGGTACTGCCCGCCGGCCGGGTACCCGCCAGCCGCGCCATTGTGCATCGGCAACGACGAGTCCATTATACGCAACGCCGCCAGCCGCACTGGGCGCCGCATCCATGACGTAGTTTTCATTCTTCTTTGTCGTGTATGACAGGACTACGTAAACCACGCCAATACCCGCGAATAATGGAGCCAAAGATCCATCCCCACGCGTTGTGTCCGAGCGTCAGGCACCCAAAGAAAATGTAGAAGCAGCCGCGTCCGCGCCATGTGAACATGAACAGAACGTACTTCTTGAACGGCTCCATGTTGGCCACCTCGAACATGATAATCCCAGACTGCCAACAGGATCTCAAAGATGCCGAGCATGATCCGCGGGAAGCTCTTCCAGGTGAAGAACACGATGGAGACGATTATCATGAGGACGGCCACAACCAGGTTCGCTACGCGGAAGTAGAAGGGCGGCCCACCGGGGTGGCTGAGCCGCTCCTTCAGGTCGGTGAAGTATGTGAACGCCATCGATTTTTTATACAATTGAAAAAGCCAGGTACTCTGAAAGTGAAGAAGAAAGGATGAAAAATGGGGAAACGCAAGAATGTCGGTGCCTATCAAAGTGAATGCCTTGAGAGCCGCCTTTTTAACTGCTTGGTCGCGAAATCGTCATCGAGAATCCAGAGGCTCTGGACCCTCCCCCAACCCGGGATGCGGACACCTCTAAGCGATGAATCCAGGGTGGAAACGCCAAGACATCCCGTGTTCCGGACCTCGCTCTCTACCCGGCATACCCCTGGTTGCCTACATACGGATCCGGCACTGGGTACGCGTGCACTGGCGGCCGCTCGACCGGATACAGCTCGAACGCAGTGAACCACAGGCCAATGTACGCTAGACCGACGGCCCAGGTCAGCCCCCGGCTACATGCGTGTATACCTTGCCGCCAAACACGACGCAGCCGATACTACAAAAAAGTACCGTTGTCGAAAGTTAAATTAATCCTGATAAAAACGCCAGCGCCAAGAATGCGCAGCTGGTGTCGCATTGGGCAATGTACCTACAGTATGTTAACTATATATAGAAAGCGGATGGTTGGCGTGTTTTAGTGTCGTTCACGCCCCAGCGGCAACTTCTTGGTGCGTTCCTCGGCATCGCACTTACATATCCCCCGGCCCATAAAGTTCCAGAAGAACCCGCAGCTCGAAATTAGCACGTCCAGGCGATAAAACTCGAGCACAATCGACACCACGCCAAGCAATGCTACAAGGGCATATTAGCGTTAGTTATATAAGCGTCCACAGACACGCACTTGCGCTTGTGCTTCTACGTACAGCAAAAAGATGCCCTGCATTACCGACGCAAAGTACCCGTCAACAAAGTACAGAATGGCTGCTACAATCCACAGCGCCGCAACAATGATGTTAATCAGCAGCCATGCCACACGCGGAGTCGATGGCGTTCACGAGTTTGAGATTCATTGGAAAGATATGTGCAGAGAAAAAGGTATATAACAGGTTGAGACAAGAGGTGAGATGGGAGAAATAGCGCAAGAGCCAGACATGGAAGACCAACCAGAACCGAAGGGGACAATCGACCCGCTCGCGTCAATCATCCCTCTCCTTCGCTTATTCCAGAAAGAGCGGCAGACGTAATCTGCCCTGGCCAGCATCGGGGCTTACCCGCCATTTCTGGGCTTCCGCCGCATCGTCCGCTTCCCGATGCAGATGGTGCAGCAGCAGGTTGATCTGGTAGTACTCGCCGCTCGACGCCCGAAAGTCGTCCTCGTCAAACTCGTCCGGGTCGCCGGCGATTGGTGAGTACGAAACGATAGACGGCGGCGATGTGGCGGGTGTGGCGACACTGGGCTGGCTCATTTGGCTCTGCAGGTGCAAATTCGCCAATGCCTGTTGCTGCTGCTGTACTTGCTGCTGCTGCTGCTGCTGCTCGTGTTGGTGCTGCCAGTATGTGTCTACGTCAAACGGCGCAGTATGGCTGTGCTGTGTGTAGGACGGGTCTCGTTGGCCGCTTGCCAGAGCGAATTTCTTCAATGGACTCGTCGTCTCGCGAGCGCTTTCTGGGGACTGGCGTGGACTTCATGTATTAAACCGTGGCTGAGGGCAGGTATTGTCGAATATGTACACAGGGAGGGAATTAGAAGGAGAAAAACAGAGCCAAGAGCAAGGGCTGTGTGCTTGTTCCTTTGGCTCGACCCAGACGAAAAAATGTGTACGCGCAGCACTTCGACTTCCATCCCACTGACAAATCAAAGCGTGATTATCTCTAGTTTCCTTTAGCGCTCTTCTCTCCTTTTTTTTTTTTTCGTTTTTCTTTTGGCATTTCAGTAATGGAGCGGCTTGAGGCAGCGGTCAAGCCCCTGCTGCGCGGTGTCTTGCTCAAGGTGCACCCGGACTTCTTTGCGTCTGAGCCTGCCGCCAAGCGCATCAACCAGGAGGCTGTCCAGCGCCTGCAGTCTCTCATGGCGCCCATCACAAAGCAGCCCGCCGACAAGCCCACCACTGGGCCGATCGAATTCATGCTCCGGGCCAACAACTCGCTTCAGAAGCTGAGCTTCTCCTTCCTAGACCACGGCCCGCGCTCCAGCCGCTCGTACCTGGGTGCCTAACGTGCGCGCGAGCTCCTGGACCTGTGCGCAAAGCTCAATGTCCCTGTGCCAGCAGAGACTGCGAAGGAAGTCGACACAGCCGCAAAGGAGATCGAGGCAAAGGGCGGCGGTAGCAAGAGGCGCGGCAAGACGCCAATGTCTGATGCAGCTGTTGCCGCGCTGAGAGCAGCGAGAGCCCGGGAGGCGAGGCAAAACTACGCTCGTCCCCCGACACGCGACCCGTACGAGGAGTTCCGCGCGAAGCTGCGCCAGTCGGCATGGTCGCCCAGCAGCAGCAGCCTGAGTGCAAAAAAGGCACAGCCCCAGCTGGACCGGTCGCGGGTGTTCTTTGCCCAGGACATCGACCCGCGCTCCTACAATCGGGTCGTCCAGACAATCGAACGCAGGCTGCCCGAGCTGAACTACGCGCAGTGGAGCGCGCTGCCGCTGATGGTTGTCAGCAGCTGGAAGGACTCGTTCCACGGCAGCGGATCAAAGTATCCTGGCTTCGTCGTGATTCCTGCTGATTTCTCAGTATCCGGTAAGCCCCCATCATCAAACGTCACTTCCTGGCACCCATGATTGCGTATGCTCATTTGGCTATTATTGCTACATAGAATTCACTCGGTATCTGCAAGAGAACCTGGCCGACATCCGGCACATCCGCCAGCAGCGCACATCCCAGGCATGCCGCTAACCCCGCGTCGCTTAGTTCTTCTTGCCGCGGTCAAACATGCCGCCGAGCTCCTTGCGCTGCTTGGCCTCTGCCTCCTTCTCCTTGGCCGCGATTTTGGCCCGCTCGTTCTTGAACGCTGCGTCATCGGGCTTGTCCTTCTCCAGCTCGTCCAGCAGCGACCCAGCCTTGATCAGCGAGCCCTCTTCAATTAGCCCCTGCACCAGGCGGAACTTGGCCTTGGTATTGAACTTGTTGCGCTTCAGCGCCGTCTCGGCACACTCTACGGCGCGGCCCACCTTCTTCAGACGCACCTGGCATGCCGCCATGTTGCTATAAATAACCGATATCTGCTTGTCCAGGTCCGAAATGTCGTCCTCCGTGTTAATATCTGCTTTGGACGTGGTCGTGCCGCCCATCGGGTTCGAGTTCAATCCCAGCCAGTACAGCAGCGTGCGGTGGTATCCACGAAGCGCTACAAGTAAAAGGGTGCCTGTCAGCGCGCTGCGTCTAATGCCTTGCAAATATAGAACAGTGTAGAAACCCTAGAAACATACCTCCTACAAAGTCGCCGGCCTTGAACTTGTCGTTGGCCTCGTCCTTCTCGCTGAGACCCTGGTCGTACTTTTTCTGGTCAAAGCCAGAAGTGGGCAAGAGAGACTGCTCTGTCATTTGGCGAATTCAGCAAAATTAAACTAAGCAAACTGGTGGCAGCAAAAGAGAAAAGGGGACTGGTGATGTCGCGCACTATTTTTTGTCCTGGTCTAATAGGGGGTGTCACTGAACAGGCACAATAGCTGCAGAACTCAATGCGCGCAGCCTGTGATGCATGGAACGAAGCCAACGCAGCCAAGCTTAGCGCGCAGAAATAGGCGAACTGTCCACGAAGCCGGGCCAGCCCTACTTCCTTTCCTCTTCTCACCCACTTTCCAGCGCTTGTTTACTCTATTGCCCCCCTTCCTGCTTTGTCGCATTTTCACACACTATCCGCAAGGTAAGCGTGACCGGTCTCAGCGGTCTCTTTCCCCTCGCAGCCCTCGGACGCGCTCCGGGTCAACCCCTGGCCGACAAAATTGTCCACACACTATTGCTCAAGTCTCCAGGAGGTCCTGCCTGCCGCTCCGCACCTTGCTCCTTTGTAGCTCCCGACAGCGAAGAATCCTTTTTCCTCCACTATGAACTTCTTTTTCAAATCGAAGCAAAAGGGCCCGGTCGAATTGGTCAAGGCAACCCATGAGGCAATGGCAAAACTAGACAACGGCGAGCACCAGCGCAACAAGGCCAACGACGAGATCTCGAAGAACGTGGCCAACATGCTATCAATACTGCGCGAGGGCGGCGCCGACAAGAAGGTCCCCGACGTGACATCAGAGCAGGTTGCCCAGCTGGCCCAGGAAATATACACGACGGAGCTGCTGCCGCTGCTTATCACGAACCTGTCGCGTCTGGAGTTTGAGACACGCAAGGAGGTCAGCATCATCTTTGGCATGCTGCTGCGCCGGAAGATTGGCACACGGCAGCCCACCATCGAGTACCTACTGAAGCGCGAGCCGGTGCTGAGGGACCTTGTGCGTGGGTACGAGAACCCTGACGCCGCGGTGTTCTGCGGCAACATGCTGCGCGAGTGTCTGAAGCACGAGTCCCTGACCACAGCCGTCCTGGCCTCCCCGAGTTCTTCAACTTCTTTGACTACGTCGAGGGCCCCAACTTTGACGTGGCCAGCGATGCCTTTGCAAACTTCCGCGAAGCCCTGACAAAGTTCAAGGCACCAGCGACAAACTTTTTGAACGCCAACTACGATGCGTTCTTTGAAAAGTACACCAAGCTGATTCTGTCCAGCAACTACGTCATCCGGAGACAGTCGCTGAAGCTGCTGGGCGAGATCCTGCTTGACCGCCGCAACTTCCACACCATGACGCGCTACATCAACTACAGCGACAACCTCAAGCTCATCATGAATGCGCTGGCCGACAAGAGCAAGAGCATCCAGTACGAGGCCTTCCATATCTTCAAGATCTTTGTCGCTAACCCAAACAAGACGCCAGAGGTGTACAACATTCTGCGCAACAACAAGGACAAGCTGGTGGGCTTTTTGAGCAAAGTTCCAGGTTGACAAGGACGGCGACGAGCAGTTCAAAGACGAGAAAGCCTTCTTGATCCGCGAGATCCAGAAACTGCGAGCGCCCGCCCAGGTCTGATTTTTCTGCTACACCCTCTTTTCGCATGTGTTTTAAATACTTTCCTTGATATCTGCACCACCCACGGATCGTCTACTTGCTGCATCTATCCTGCCATCAGGTACGCATCGCATGTCAGCATGAAGCAGCGGTCACACTGTCCACGATATGTCAGCATGTCGGGACCACGGACTTTCCACTGCGCCTTCCGATTGTTCTCCGACGATGCTCCAGGGATTTTCAGTGAGGCAATTCTCGCACCATCATGACAGCAGGTTTGCACAAACCCTTGGCCAGTGTGCTGGAAGGGCTGCTGCGAGTCGTGAAACAGAAACAAAAGCTTGAGCCTGGCATCTCTTCCCTCCACTACCCATTAGTCATCACGTATTTTTCTTTAGTTCCTCGCCACACATATCCCCCTCTATCATGACACACGGCAACCATGCCGAAACAGGTGCCCTGCTGAACGGCGTGCCTGAGCTAGGACCACGCAGCGCTTGAATACGGAACAATCGACCCGCTTTCACCAGACCTGTGGAAAACCGCGGAACCACAAATGACCTCAGCCCCGATACATATACAGAGTGGCCTCATGTCAAGAGAGAACTTGTCTGGCTCATCCGCGCAGCCACACCTATCGTTGCCTCCTCGATGTCACAGCTGTTTCTCATGACACCAATGCTAGCCGCCGTCGGCCGGCTCGGGACCATAGCCCTGGCCTAGCATGAACCTCACCAGTCTATTTCGCCGGACTGGGCGGCTATTACGCCGCTGGCCGGTATCGCCATGGCCCTTGACACGTTTTGCAGCCAGAGCTACACCGGCGCAAAGGACAAGCGAATTCTCGGAGTTCTACTCCAACGCGCACTACTGATTGGCCTGGTTGTTGCCACCTTGATCTATCCCCTGTGGTGGTACTCTGAGCATGTGTTCAAGATGTTTGGCGTGCCCGATGAAGTTGCCCATGTCACGGGCAAGATCCTGCGTGTATACTACATCGGAGTCGTCTTGCTGATTGCATACGAGTGCCTGCGCAGCTTCTTGTTTGCACAAGGCATCCGCAGATTTGTGCTCATTGCACAGCCCATCGGTCTTGTCCGTCGGCTGGTCTCTTATCTGGCTTCTGATTGCTAACCCGTCGACGTCAATTGGAATCAGGGGCGTTGCGTTTGTTATCCTGGGTGTCGCATTGGCCTTTTGCACCATCACTGGTCATCTTCATTGCTACAGTGGAGGGATCACCAGTGCTGGGGAGGGTGGTCGCGCTGCCTCGCTGCACGACTGGATGCCAATGGCCAAGCTCGGTGCTGCAGGCACTATTGTGTCGTTCTTGGAGGCCTTGTCGATCCATGTCATTGACTTTGGCTCGATGTTCATTAGCGCGCAGGCGATGGCAGCGCAGGCAGTGCTGTCAATGCTGAATGGGGTCAACGTGGATCATGGGAATTGGATTCTCTGTTGCTGTCTGCAACCGTGTCGGCAACCACCTTGGGCTCTGGCCTGCCGAATCGCGCCAAGCTGTCGGTTCTGACATCGTTTGTGCTTTCAACGCTTTTATTCAGTATGCTCACAGCGGTGCTGGTTTACAACCGAACCTCGCTTCCTCCTATTTTCTCAAGCGACGGCGAAGTCATCGATTTGTTGGAAGCGCATATCCCGTGGACAGCTGTTGCCGGTGCTATCCAGGGGGTCAACATGGCATTGAACGGCATTCTGCGCGGACAGGGTCGCCAGAGCATCATCGCCCGCATTCGCTTCTTCTCCTTTGTCTTTGTTGGCGTGCCTGTCGGTTCGGTTGCCGTTTGGGTACTCCATTGGGGGCTGGCTGGTCTCTGGCTTGGCTTCAAGTGCCTGCCTGGCATCGGCGTTGGTATTCCAGGTCTGTGTCATTTTGACAACAGACTGGGACAAGGAGATCATTGCTTGCCAGAAGCGTGTTGCAGCGACTGTCAATACGTCAAGCACAGCTAATAGCGCTATCGTTAATAATGCAGACGGCAGGCTACTTCCTTGATTGTGGTCGATAGCCATACTACGTTTCGATGGCCCTTTCTGCATCCCAATTGTTCATGTCGCATATATAGGCATGTATCTGCTTCAAAGAGTAATTGTCTATACATATAGGATATGCTTATATAGCCATGTTCTGATTCCACAGGATAGTGTAGCGATAAAATGCGTAAAAGTTGCATGCTTATATACGCAATTTGTGTCGTCATTGGCCTACGTCACTCGGCATATTGGTATATTGTCTCGCCCGATAGGTGGCAGCCGTAATTGGGTTTGGTACACATGATTGCAATCATGTGTGTTTGCAGTTGGCCGAACTGCATCTGGTCAACTAGAGCGAAGATGTTTTGCTGCCGATTCGTCCTTGTGCTCTCTTTTAGCCTAGACACTTGTATCATATACTCCGCCGGCTCTACAGCATTCACCTCATTCAGGCATAAGCACACTGGTTACATGCCATGGAACACAACCAATTCACCTGAGACATGTGCATTGCGTGTGGACATACCCGACTTCAATCAAACAGTGCCTTGACTATGGAACCACAACCTCTGGCTTACAATTCAAACCGGCCAAGCTCCCCGCTGCTGTGGACATTGGCAATGGCGAATTTGTGCAGTGGTCCTTCGTCAAGAAGGAGCTCTTATGGCTTATTCGCTCTGCTGCACCCATCGCTATCTCGTCAACTGCGCAGCCGCTGATAATGATTCCTATGCTTTCCGCTGTCAGTAGATTTGGAAACACTGCACTGATGAGCATGAACCTCGCAAAACTATACTCTAATATATGCGGAGTCGCACCTACAGCTGGCATTTCGATGGCTCTCGACACGTACTGCAGCCAGGGTTTCACATCAGCAAGGGACAAGCGAATTCTCGGCGTTCTGCTACAGCGCGCTATGCTCATGGGGCTTGCTACCATGGCGATTTTTTGCCCTTTGTGGTGGAACTCTATGTGCGTGTTCAAGGTGCTTGGTGTCCCTGAAGATGTTGCTGAAATGGCTGGTCGGCTTGTGCATGTCTGCTTTTTTGGAAATGTCTTGCTGATGGCCTACGAGTTCCTGTGCAGCTTTTTGTTTGCACAAGGTATCCGCAGATTCGTTCTTGTCGCGCAACCTGCTGGGGTTGCAGTCGCTTGGGCTGCCATATGGCTGCTTCTTTCAGACCAGTCAACGTCGGCTGGAGTCCTGGGCACTGCATTCGTCAATGTTTGCACCATGGTCACACGCTGCACCACCACGGTCATCTTCATAGCTGTAGTTGATGGATATCAGTGCTGGGGCAGCTGGACACCTACCGCACTGCATGGCTGGAAGTCGATGGCCAAGCTTAGTGTTGCTGGGTTCATTGCTAGGCTCTTGGGGATGGCTTCAATGCACATCATTGACCTTGGATCGGTGCTGCTGGGCACACAAGCAATGGCTGCACAGACAGTGCTCACGGCACTGCTAGCAATACCATCTGCACTAGGGTATGCGCTTGCTATCGCTGCATGCAACCGTGTCGGCAACCATCTGGGGTTGGCTCTTTCCAACCATGTCCGTCTCACGGCTCTGGCAACAGCAGTACTGTCAGCACTCGTATTTGGGATGCTTGCTCTCGGATTCTTCCTCTGCAGATATGCACTACCACATGGGTTTACTGACAACAGCGAGGTCATCGACATCGTGGCCGTGCATACTCCATGGGTGGCCATCGCTGGAGCTATGCAGGGCGTCAATATTACGCTGAACGGCATATTGCGTGGACAAGGCAAGCAGGGCATTATTGCTCGCGTCCGTTTGTTCTCGTTTGCCCTGGTTGGAATACCTGCTGGCTTGGTTGCTATGTGGGTATTCCATTGGGAGCTCGCGGGTCTTTGGTTCGGCCACAGTGCCAGTCTGGCAACAGCGCTGTCGTTTCAGACCTACCTCCTCTGCACCACAGACTGGGACAAAGAGGTTGCCAAATGCCAGAGCCGCGTCGCGGCAATGGCCAGCACAGTATACACGGCGGACAGGGCTATCGCTGGCAACGAATGCAGCAGACATCTTCCATGAACCATGCATACTATTAAATTCGTTTTATTTGCTCCACATTGCCAACGCCCAAGCATCGTCTACTTGCGCACGATCTCAATGACATCGTCGTTGCTCAGCAAATGCGACAAACCCTACACGCTGTGGGCTATGTTTGGCCGACTTGCCCCACACCAGCGCATATTTGAACCCTTCCAGCAGCGTCTTGTGAATTGCCTTGCACGCCTCCTCGACAGTCGCCCCCTGCGAAGGATCAGGCCCTCGCTGAAATCTGGGAACTCGCCTATGCCGCTTCGTATAAACACGCAGCAAGTCGAGGTAATTCCAGATCGACTGCCTTCAGATAATCCATGTTCAAGTCCTGCTCGATACTAACCACGACCGTGTGGTCCTCGCGTGCGATCTTGTCGACCTCCTCGATCGTAATGGCGTCGATCTTGTTGTACGCGTACAGGCATGGCAGATAAATGCGGTTGCCGACGACCACATCGATAAAATCGTCCAGACTCACGTCCTCGCGCACCAGAACCTCGGCATTGAAGATCCGGTACTGGTGCAGGAGGTTGTAGACAAACTTTTCTGTCAGCACTGACTGCTTCGCGATGGCATTATAGCTGATCCCGCCGCCGGTCTTCACCTTGAAGTAAATGTTTGGCACATGCTTGTTCAGCCGGATGCCGACTGCCTCCAGCTCCTTCTCAAGCAGTGGCCGCTGCATGTGAGATTTCGTCGCATCCAGCATCATCAGAACCAAATCGGCCGGTGCGTGCTGTCGACACAACCTGCTTTCCGCGACCCACACCCTGGGCAGCGCCTTCGATGATTCCAGGGAGATCCAGGAGCTGGATTGTTGCGCCATTGTACTCCCACCGGCCAGGCGTGGCCGTCAGGGTGGTGAAGTCGACGCTGCTGACTGCGGCCTCGGTTTCGGTGACTGTCGAGAGGAGTGTCGATTTGCCTACCGATGGGAAGCCAATCAGAGCTACGCGGGCATCGCCACTGCGCTTCACATCGAAGCCCTCGCCTTTGGGCCCACCGCTCTTGACCTCAATGAGTTCGGCACGGTATTTGGCGAGCTTGCCCTTGAGCAGACCCAAGTGGTACTCGGTAGCCTTGTTCTTCTGCGTGCGGTTGATCTCGCGTTCGATATCTGCAATCTTCTCTGCGATTCCCATCTTGCTGCTGGAATTACGAGGGGTTTAATAGTGTCGGAAGTTGTAAAATTTGGGACGAACTGGAGGGATGTGAAGCAAACAGCAGCAGCTGCAGGGCGAAAAACCTGGGCAGCCACCCGCGCTGATTGAGCTGCGGTGATGCGATTAGCAAGGCGCAATATTATTAATCAGACGATCACAGGAAATCTGGTCAGTGGCTAATGGTGTCCAGCCACAGCGGCCATTCGAGGCTCGGGATCTGGCCGCCGTTGATGGTTCCAATCGGGCCAGGCACCCACGACTCCTCGGGCACCCGCTGCCAGCGCATAGGCTTGCTCTTGTCTGCCGGGACATCATCCATATGAGAGGTAGGCACCGCCTCCATGCCATCGTCGCTGTGGCCAAAGAACTCGTCGAGCCGCTTCTGCATTGTTGCTTCTTCTTGCATCATATCGCTCTCGCTAGCATGCGTCTGTTTGCTGGCCTTGCTCTTGGCGCTGGCCTCCTCAGCCACAAGCGCTGCCAATGCCTTGCCCATATAAGTCAACGAACGGCCGCAGATCGCGCTTCAGCGTCGGATCATGTGTGGATATTACCTTGAGCAGTGCCCGGGCATAGTAGCTTGGGTTGCGCAGGCAGCACTCTAGAAAGCTGCCAATGCTGATTGTCTCTGTGGAATCGTCAGGGCTGTAGTATACCTGCAAGATCCAATGCACCCACCCGACCAGTGCTGCTGCATGGCTGGTGCCCACTGCGTCATCTGCCATGCCAAAAATTCCTGTTTCTGACGAATCTGGGCACAGCAGGTTAACGATTCCCGACAGCAGTTCCTCAAAGAATACCAAGTCGCCCCAGGTCTCTTGGAATAGCCTGAACGCCGGCTTCCACAGCGCAACGACATCGTATGTGAGCTTGCAGTCTGGGAACTTGGGCCGCAGCTTCTTATCTGTTGGCACCAGAAACCCAACTTCGAGTAGGGTTGGGACAAGGTACAACCGAACCGCATCTATATGCAGCTTACCGACCAGATCGGCCAGCACTCCCAACGCCTGTTTCTCTGCCTTCACGCTCTTCGCTTTCCCATCGCCGGCAGCCGCCCTCGACTCAACGTATGCACCCAGCGATGCCTGGATCTCGTGCAATGTGTCTGCCGGCAATGTCCTCGACTGCTTACTCCAGTAATGGTCATACAGCCACTGAAGCGCCTGGTCGCACGCCGACCGCAGCACCGTAAGGCTCGGAATCTGCTTGTGTGTACCGGCATGTCGCAGTTCGACAAACCACGCCGGCATGCCAATCCGGTTCGCCAGCATTGCGACTGACTGTGCGTATACACCGCGCTGTTCCAGATCAACGATGGTGTTGACAAACCGAACGATGGCGATCGTGTACATGTGCCGCAGCTGGTTGTTGGTCATGGTGGTGCTGCGCTCCTGGTCGGCTACCCAGATCTCTGTCAGGTTGGCTGTAGCGTCGATGGCTGCGGGCACTTTCCCGCGCACTCGCCACGCCTTGACGATGCCAACACCGCGCTTCCGCTCGACGATGTCGTCAGAGTAGAGACAGTCAGAGACACCCAGGTACTCTTCAGTGCTGGTCCACGGAACGACTTTGGGAATTAGGGACATTTTGAATAGAAATTGAACTGCAGTGGAGAAGAAAAGTTTGCCAGCGAGATCGAAAATTTTTTTGCTGTGATCACAAGCATTCGAGATGGCACGTAGGAAACGCGTCTCTTTCACCCACAGCTCCTTGACATTTAAAATTCAGACAATGCCAATTGACGGACACACGGCCAAACGGTCGGCTGCCGACTCCACCACCTCCAATGCCAAGCGCCAGCGCACCTCCAAGCCTGGCCACACGCCCGACTGCGACGACACCGGATTGCACCGGTTGCGCCGACGGTGCCGTTACCCTAGGCCCGGAAGTCCTCAACCTCTCAGCAATCGAGATCGCCGCCATGGCCGCACAAGAAGCCGCCAACAGCGCTGACCGCAATGTCGTCACCACGCTTTATGAGACGGCCATTAGCAAGTTTGGCGCCGAGCCGTCCATTGCCCATGCGCAGACACTGATACAGTTTGCCGAGTATGTTGATTTTGGCGACCTTGCGGAGGATGCTGTCAGAATCGCCGACAAGTGCAAAGACGACAAGGACAAGAGCGAGGTGGCGCTGATCAGGAGCCGCAAGGCCGTGCTCGAGGTGTGTGTTGACCAAAAGAACTGGCTTGATCCCGGACTGTGACGAGGACGATGCCGAAGAAGCTGCGAGGGAAATCGTGGGTGCCGATAAGCTCGCCAAGGCGTCTGAGGACATTGTCAGTGCTCTTGTGCCAATCAAGGATTCTGCCGACTCTGCAGCCCTCTACAATGCCATCGATATCCTGCTGGCGTCGCTGGTTGCGCGGTCCGAGGTGCCTGCGCTGACACGCAAGCTCAAGCTCAACATCCTGGAAATTGCGCTCAAGGCTGCAGACACCGCCAATTTGTGGGCTCACCACGCAGACACAAAGGGCAAGAGCACTCTGGGTGTCACTGACACTACTCTTTTCACTACCGCCAAGGCTGTGTTCCGGTGGGCGCTTGTCGCTGCGGAGAGCATGGAAGAGACCGGACTGATCGAGAAGCGCCTGGAGCCGGCTGTCCAGTACCTGGAAGCACGCCAAGCCGACATTGACTGCTGCAAGCTGCTGGCGCAGGTGCTGATGGTGCTGAGTAGCGTAACCAGTGACGAGGATGAGGCAATTGGCGCATTTGACCGTGCAGTGGAGGCGCTCAACAGGGCCCACCAGCTGGACCCTACAGATGAGGATGTCAAGAGCCAGCTAGAGGACCTGGGGAGCACAGACAATTGACCCGTCCCACCCCACGCTTTTACAAAACAAGGTAGATAGGGTTTTGTATTGGGTTTGAACAAAATAAAAGAACGGTTTAGAAGCGAGGGGATCTCCTGCAGTCTGCCCAGCCGCGACTCGCACCTTACTACACGAGGGATCCAGGAAAAGGTTAGCAGCACATATAGTACCGGGTGCACAGCATACACGCTCAAAATAGTGCAAACAACTTACGTATCCGATGCCCCTCAGGTAGTCCGACACCGAGCCCAGCACCTTGTTGGCCTCTCCCGGCTGCGTGTTCTCGTCGTAGACAGCGACAATGATGGTCTGGTTGGTCTTGTCAATCAGCACGCCGTCGGCACCCTTCTTGCCGTGCACGTGGGTCGAGTCAACCTGCAGCGCAAGGTACTTGGTGCCCGCAGCACGAATACCGTTGGCTTGCAGAACACCCGCGTCGTCGAACCCAGCCTTGATGTTCTGGAACTCCTCAGGCGAAAGCTAGTGGCAGAAAGTACAGTTTAGCAGGCATGGGAGCCGGTAGCCTTTTGCCTCTTGATTGACCAGCCGAAATTCAGAGAAACTTACCGCAAAGCCAGCGCTGGACGCCCACTGTCCGCCATCTAGACCGTAAATTGCGGCCTTGACAATCTTTCCAGTGCCAACGAGGTTGGAATCAACATACGGCTGCCACGACATGATTATACTCAGCTAGTGATAATGAGAGGGAAAAGCGGGAATGAGAAAAGGACTAATTGAGGTTCAAATGAGAAGGGAAAGTCAGCGCCGTAGTCAAAGGAGGAGCTTTAAAAATAGCTGCACGGGGTTAGGGCCGATTGATCACTCTTTTGTGTTCAAAAAGCAGCGGATCGCTTGGCCGGAACCTAAACAGGGTTGTTTTTGTTTGTATCCAGGACCCAGCACCGCACAAGTGATTGTGGCAGGCCAGTATAGACATGCGGATGCATATGTATAGACTAGTTGCTACATGCATAGTGGCACCGTGATACATGCCATTGTCTAATGGGTGCACAGGGCTGTCTCAACTGTGGATAGCAGGCAATCCACATTGGGCTGGTGTCGGACCATCCATAGCGAGCCAGGCTGAATGCCATCCAGCCCTTGTCGTCATAGATCAGTAATTAGGGCTGTGGCTGCTGTCACGCTTCTCGTCATTTTTGTTAGCAATGCTTAGGCTGAAATGAGAGGGCGAGAATCTGCAGGCGTGACTTTGTCTCTGCTTGTACCCAGCTGCCTTCATTTTGTATCTTTTACCTCACCTCTTCAAGCAATGCATAGCCGACCCCGCGCGATTTCGCCTTTCTGTTCGGGACAGAGCGGGAGCTTTAGATGTGTATATTGCAGTGCAGAATACACCGACTTCCAGCTATATGTCGAGCATGTTGGGGCGGCACACACAGTCCTCGAATAGTCTGCTTTGTTACCCGCACTATTGTGTAGTGCGCACAGCACCAAGACAAAACTACTGAGGTATTCGAGCAATATCACATTTCAAGCGCGCATATTGATAAGCTGGACAATATCGCCCAAGGGATCATATTCAGTCACTACCAGCTGTGTGCTGGTCACGAAAACGCAGTGTTTTCAACAACTGGAGTGCCCGCCTAGTCCACCAAAGTGCAATTCTACGTCATCCGTGGATTTGTCATTCTACAATCAAATTCTAACTGTCATGAACTTCATCAACATAAGCCTGCATGCTTTTTGGACGAGGCCAGTTCCATGCAGCCACTGTGGTGTGGTATTTGATAAGTATACCCACTGCAATGTGCATGCTCGCACTGTCCACCTAGGTCTGTGATATCGTTTATACATTAAACTTTTTGGTGGTTCAAATATACATTGCGAAACCACTATCTGCATGCCCCAGTAGCCCTTCAACAGCTGCTTAGAAGATGGGCATTTGGCTCATCACTGCCACATGGAATATGCACGCAGTTTCAATATATGTGAAGCTTGCACCACTTTTCATGTAGAAAACAAGGGATGAAATCTGATGTAATTCTGAACCGATATGTACCCCTGTTTATATACATCAAATATATGAATGTGGAAGTAGTAGCCTGACAGGAATACTATGTGGATGGGGGCAGGTTTGACTACATACACTGTTTCTGAATATATCCGTGATGTTCCTAGTATAAGCGGTGCAAAATTGCATTTTATGTTGTATCCACGACAACGCTGAACCATTTATGCCAACACAAACTCGATGATTAGGCCAATCCACGAGTACAAGACACCGAGTGCTGTATACACGGAAACCATGGCCAGTGGCAGGAACTGCAGCCGCCCAAATGCTGCTGCTGGTACCAGCTCAGATACCACAAACAGCGGGATGTGGCCCAGCAGATATAGTTTTTCGATGCACGTCAGGCAACCCCAAGCCGAGACCCTGGATGTCGCCTTGAGAAGGGCCAGCGCGCACATGGCCCACAGCAGCATTATGCACACCTTGATCGGCAGTTCCTGGGTACCAAATAGCAACGGGAATAGGCTGTAGTATCCAGACCCAGCCAACACACTAAACATGCGCAGAGTACGCGGCGACGGAGATGCAGTCAGAAGGCTCAGTGGCACCAGCATCAGCATCACGGCCTTCTCATGTACATGCCAGCCAAACATGAACGATGCGTAAGCGCACAGAACCACCGACTGGATGAACCGCTGCGGCGTCGCCCGCCGTTTCGACGCCAGCATGGCGCAGGCAGGGAGCATAGCAACTAGCGTGATAACAAATGTCGCGGCTGGGGGTACGTCGGGCAGCACCGCAAACTCGGTGTCCCCGACCAGTCCGCGTGTGCTAGTTGCAGCCTTGTCGATGTTAGCCGCGATGGTCTCGGGCAGGAAGCGCGAGGCAAGGATCAGAACACGATCGAGGAAGATGTACAGAGCCCAGAAATTCGGCGCCCAGAACGCGTGGCACAGCCCACGCTTGAACGGAAACAGCCGCGAGGCTAGCTGCGGAATTTGGCCCATCGCAGCAAACGGCCCGAATGCCGCCGCAAAAACCAAGACGACAAGCGCCCCTAGCTTGGCCAGATTCGCCACCGACCCACCAATGTCAAGCTGCTGCTTGCCGGGCCGCCTCTGCGACTTTCCGACCACCTTGTACACCATGCAGTAGTGTACTAGCAGGTACGTAAAGTACGCCGGGGCAATGTACATAAAGATATGCTTGAAGCACAGCAAAACGGCAAATGCGGTGCCAGCCATCAGATCGCGGCCCTCCAGTGCCAGCACCAGTGAGTAGACTAGGATGCCAAAAAGAAAGCCGTTGTACTGGAAATGAACATGGTCCACGAACATGAACCCGGGACTCAAGAACGCCAGTGCTGCAGCGACCTTGCTCTGCACTGAACCCTTATTGAACTGCACAAACCGGCGCAGCGCCATGAACAGAACCAGCTCCGAGGCCATCGCCGACACACGCTGGAACAGGACACACGTGTCCGCCGCATAGCCGAGGTTGTCGATGTCTACGATTCGCGGATCCCACCACCGCGCTGCATGCGACATGGCCCACTCGAACCAGGCAAAGAATGGCGGGTAGTCAAGCGTCCACTCGCTTCGGTCCTCAAAGTACCACTTGCTTAGCGGCAAGGAGTTTGTTATCGCCAGCCAGTTGCGGTGCACTTCAAAGTCGGTAGAATGGCTACGCATGGATGGTGAAAAGGTGTTAGGATCCTGACAAGCCTGACAAGCCTGAAACCCCACACGCTCAACAAGACCCCACGGCAGCGTGGCCGGTTCCCTGAGGCCAGTGCCGGCTGTCTGGGTAGCCAGCGCGACGAGCTGTAAAAGAACTTACTAAGCAGGCAGGAGCAGGAGCTTGATGCCCAGCCCCACACCCAGCAGGGCAGCGTCATAGAGCATATAGAAAGGGTGAATTGGGGAGGCGAATTGGAGAGAGGTCGAAAGGTGAGACAGCAGAGCAGAAAAAGGCCACCGATCTGCTCACCGCAAGGGCTTGTGCTGAAACCGCCCAATCACCTGGACCAGCGTGGGGGAGGGCGCGCGATGGCTGGCGTGGACAGCAGCGCCAGGCTCGTAGCCTTCCTGTTACTGTCCCCAGCCGAGCGAAATCCCGCAAGGGCCAGGAGCGATGGGTGTCTCTTTGCAGCAGCGTGCCCGTGTGGGCCTAAGTCCAACAGGATTTTCCAGGAAACCAGAACCAGTTGGTCCCATTTTTGCCCCACACGCATTTTTGCTTTGCACAGCTCGGCCCGGCCCTTTTATGTGAGCCTGCATGCTGCCTACAAGGTTCCTCACCTCGCCCCAGGCCCTTTTCTTTCTCTTTCCTACAAGGCTAGCAGCACAGCTATTTTTCTATTGTTAACGCACGCTCACTTTTAATTACCTTAGCCTGCTATAGCCGATCGTGGTTGCCCCTTTAGCAAGACTATTGATTGAAGCCCGCCACTGCTCTGCCGAATCCGAGCTCGAACCGGTACAATTGGGTCGTCTGCAAGGTATGTGCTATCTCCTCTCTCTGGTATCACTGCCGACTTGTGCTCTCGTGGTGGGCTGGGAATTTGCGGAGAGCGCCGTCTGGCTACTGCGCCGGGCCGCCGTCTCGGCTTGATGGATACAGGGGCAGAGCGGCTCTTTCACAGCAGTGCGCGCCCTCCCTTCTCCACGCCACACAGGCCCACGGGCCAGCGCGTTATTGCGAGAATGCTAGCCATTGCATTACAATAGCCAGCAGCTGGCGTCGCATCGCACTGCATGGGCAACCGCACTTCGGGCCCTAGACTCGCCTCCTTGGCTGTGTGGCCCCTTCAGTGGTGCCGTGGCCCCTGACTGTGCATTTCTACGTCTTGACTGCATCTGTGTCTGACTGCCACTGCTGGCTGTCGGTTTGTACGACAGTGTCCCTTCACCGGCGATCCACCCGCCCAAATAGTCAACACCATGTTCTTTTGCGGTGCCCTCGCTGGCATCTGTTTTCCAGAAGGGAATTTGCGAGAATTTGCCCCACTGCGCTGGTTGCAAATATAGCCGCATCTTACCCCAAAGAGGCCAGGGCACACGCTACATACAAAGGGCAAAGCTTACTGCGTATTTGCTTGGCAGGCGCTTGTGCCGCGATTAACAAACCTTGCCATGCAATGCGAACAGCGTGGGCCTTGTCTAGGTCAGAGTGTGAAGGCCAGTGTATTTTTGGCACGCTTCCTTTCTGCCCCTTCCCCAATGTGGAGCTGGCGGCACTACTTAAAGACAGCTTACCGGCCTCATCCCGAACACTCTGTCTGAACTGACAGCATCCTCCTTGCTTTCTTCGCTCTACGCATTGCGTCTTTATCGGTGCCATCTTTCGCTGGGTGAGTTGGTTGTGGCAGAAATAGATTTATTTTTAATACCGGCCTCGCCGTCTGGACAATGGGGACTGGGTGGTCAGGCCTGCTAATATACGTGCTTCGCTGTGTGAAAGTGGCCACCGGTTTTATTCTCGATTTGCTGTTTTTCATTTAGCCATCTGTCCTGATGATCACGCTGCGATGCCCTTTGAGCTACTGTCGCATAAACAAAAAGCAGCGCCCGGGCCTTGCCGCTCAGCTTCCAGGCATTCCTCTCTTCGCTCCCTCCCTCTCCCTCTATTTTCGGTTGCTCTAGGCCCCCTTGCCTCTCAGTGTCTTCCTTGTGTAGAATGCGTCTGTAGCTGCGCGTCTCTTTGCCCAGGCTGCCGTTTCCGCTTTCGCACAGCTAATATTAAACCGGTGTTCTTCTTGGAATACCCGCTTTTGGATCTTAGAAACTCGGTCCGCCAGTCCAGCCAAACACATTCATCGGATCTACTCTGCCCCCACTATTCAAGCTTCCGCTCTTCGGTAACTGAGGGGAACTCTTGGCCACCAAAGCAGCACAGAGCAGCCAACATTCTCTCTTCCTCTTTCTCTTCTCCACCCTTCGCCTTCCGCTCATTTTTTATATTTTATTCGTCCTACCGGGTGCAAGCGAGCGGCCAGCAGTGAGCAAATTGTCGGGCTGCCTATTATTTGCTATCGCGCACAATCAACCGAGAACTCTCGAGGATTCATAATGGCATCGAATCAGCAGCACTTCCGCCGTGCAACAGGACGGGTTGCAGCAGTCCTCCCGGCAAACATGAATGGCGGTGATCAGCAGCAAAACTACCCGCCTGCGCCTAGACTGCAACAGCAGCAACAGCAGCAGCAGACGGCATACCATAATTACCAGCCCACGGGGTATGGGCAGCCGCCGCCACCAGTGGCTCAGCAGCAGCCGACCATGTACTACGAGCAGGATCCGTATGCACAGCAGCTTGCTGCCAACATCGGGGCGTACCAATACCAGCAGCAGCAACCGGTGCAGCAACCACGGAACAACAGCCACTATAATTCGATCTCTCCACAGCCCCCGCGCCCAGCACATGCGCAGCAACGGCAACCGCCAAGACAGCAGCACATGGCGTCTGTATTGAATCGGCATGACTCTGCTGGGGATTCTGGGGAGACGCTCGACATGCACGGTCAGCTGAGAGGCAAGCTGCAGACGCGCAGCAGTGACGAGGCAGGCGACTCGACGTTGACACAGAGCTCGCTGGCTGACGATATGCAACGCATGAACCTGAATGGAAAGGCCAGCCACGGCGCCATCAGGCCGACGGCATTACAGCGCAAGACAGCTCCGCCCGATCATGGGAGGAAGCGCGAGCAGGACCTCGAAAACGAATACGACAATGACGACGGCACCACGGGCATAGAGGTAGACTCGTCACTTTTCCCCGAGGATATCCAGCAGATGAGCCGGATCAAACGGTCTGAAAAGTACGGTGCGGGCCTGCCCAAGCCCGCCGCCGTTATCACCACTAATGTGCCACCCCCAGTTGCGTCGCAGCTGGCTCCTCAACAGCCCATCCACCAAGGTAAGACACTAATCACACTCCCACCACACTCCTTGCACATCCCCTCCCAGTCAACCCATGGAACTCCCATCAGCTTGCAGACGGCAAAAGGGCAATGTGCTGGTCCAGGGCGCCACGGCAGAAGCATCTGGCCGCGCTCAAACACCCTTTCTTCTCCCAAAGCCCCCGCTGGTGTCACCGACACCAACCACGGCATGTCTGATGCCAGGGGAGATGGACACTCCGTCAAGGCGCAGCAGCATACTCTTGCGCGCGCTGCCTATGCTGCCCTTGAGCAAAACCACCAAGCAGCACTCCTGCAGTATACAGCGATCGGTCACGGGCGCCATGCGGCAGCCTGCTAGTCAGACAGGCGGGCAGTCACCCACGACGCCTTCACTGCCATCCAAGCCGAACACGCTGAGAAGGCGACAGAGACGGGATAGCCCCTTGATGATGTCCCAGCCGCCATCGCCTAAAATGACCTGCTCATATGCTGTATCCACAATGACACAGAGCCAGTATTCACCCACCCACTCATTAACCCCATCTCCTCGTCATCCTCCTCCACCTCATCCACATTCTCCCACTACATTAGGTATTGAAATCGCCCACCAGCAGCGACCTGGCCAGATCAACACACAGCTGTCACGTGGCAACATGGGGTCTGGCCCTGGATCTGCCCACACGCCGTCCAGCGGCCATGTATCGTCGGCGCATACTGGACCCAACAGTGCGCTTGACGATGGATTTGACAGCCACGAGTCGCATTACTATGGCCGCGGAAGTCTGCCGCAGCCGTACCAAGGATCGCCGTACCAACAGCAGCAGCAGCAGAATCGCCCGCCACCACCGCCGCATGACTACCCGCATCAGCAGCACCACCAGCAGCAGAGCAATATGCGCAGTCCTATGCAGTCGCAGTACCAGCAGTATGGCTCTGTCGCTCCTCCAGAACGATCTCCTTACAGCTATCCTCAGCAGCTGCCACAACACCACCAGCAGCAGCAGCACAGCAGCAGCAGATGATGTATAGCCAATCGCCAGCTGGTCCTCCTCGTGGCCCACCACCGCATAGTCCGTACAACGATGGATACTACCATCAGCAAATGCGGGCTGGATCGATATACAGCAGCCACGACAGTAGCGGCGATGGTATGCCTGGGGCAGCTGCTGATCACGCTGGCATGATGCCTAGGCCGAACAGTAACCGGTCGTGGGCCGAAAGCACCAACTCGCTACCATCAGCGATCCCTGCACACTTCCAGGACAGAGGCAGCCCAAGCAGTGGATCAAGCAGTGCAGTCGGCATTGCGCAGATGGGCCATCCGCCGTCGGCGCGAGCTGAGCCGCCAAGCACGCCTACCAAGCTTCCGCCGCCAACACCCGCCAGCCTGGAGGCGTACCGGTCTAGCATCAAGCGGTCCATGACCCAGCAGCACAGCTCGAGTTTGCAAAGTATGTTCTGGAGCACGCCGAGGGCATGTCGCGGCAGGAGGTCAACGAGAAGCTGCAAAAGAAGCGGTACGACCAAATGACCAACGAGGGACTGAAGTGGATCAAGAAGCTGGCAGGCAGCGGCATCACGGTGCACCGCAGCAACATTGCAGCCGAGTCGCAGTTCTTCCTGGGCACTGTGTACTCACAGGGCATCTACGGCGTAGACCGCGATGACTCGAAGGCGTTTGCGTACTACCAACAGGCATCAAAGGCGCAGCACGCCGAGGCCAACTACCGCACAGCCGTATGCTACGAGGTCGGAGTCGGCACCCGGCGCGACGCGGCACGCGCAGTACAGTTCTACCGCAAGTCGGCAGCACAGAGCAACGTGCCTGCAATGTACAAGCTGGGTGTCGTCCTGATCAAGGGCCTGCTGGGCGTGTCGCCAGCGCCGCGCGAGGGCATCACGTGGCTGAAGCGCGGAGCAGAGAGTGCGACAGCCGAATGCCCACACCCGCTGCACGAGCTGGGGCTGTGCCACGAGCTAGGCGGGATTCCGGGCCTGATCCCCGACGAGCGGTATGCACGCGAGCTGTTCATCAAGGCGAGCAAGCTGGGATACGTGCCGTCACAGGTGCGGCTGGGCCAGGCATACGAGTACGGCACACTGGGCTGCCCTGTGGATCCGCGGCGGTCGATCGGGTGGTACACGCGCGCAGCGGAGAAGCGCGACCCGGATGCTGAGCTGGCGCTGTCTGGGTGGTACCTGACAGGAGCCGATCCGTTCCTGCCGCAGAACGACACCGAGGCGTATCTGTGGGCGCGCCGCGCTGCCGACAGCGGCCTGGCCAAGGCTGAGTATGCGGTCGGGTACTATGTTGAGTGCGGGATTGGCGTCAGCTCGCCCGACGTCAACGAGGCGCGCCAGTGGTATGTGAAGGCGGCGCAGAAGGGCAACCGCCGTGCAATTCATCGGCTCGATGAGCTGAAGCGCATGGGTGTGCAAGGCTCGACGCGCAGGAACATGGCGCGCCCGCGTCGGGGCAACGGCGGGGCGCCTGACGAGGGGTGCAAGCCCATGTAGAAACCCCGCTCATGCGGGGGCGGTGTCCTGGCTGTCCCCTGCTCCCTCTGCTCTTCCCACCCCATTCTCACGCCTCAAGCCAAATACACGAGTGTTCATTTCTTGCAGACTAGACGTATGCCACCTATTTCCTATATATAGAGCATCATTCACCTCCCCTCTCGGATCCCCTTTCAGGACTGTCTCCACCTTGTTGTACGCTCGTTTCGGCAGCTGTTTATGAATCTGTTTACTAAAGTTCTAATGTTGACGATTGGTCTGGATAGCGCCTCCCCTTGTCCGGGGATATAGCTCCATTGCATATATTTCTCGAGCAAAGAAAAAGGCATGCGTTAGTGTGAGAGCGCCGCTCAGGGGATAGACTGAGTGACAGTATTCACAGGACGAAAAACAAGGACCGGCAGTGGGAGGGAAATGCAGAATGCAAATTTATGTACGTCGAACAATACTAAGAATACATCTGGGCCGCTGGAGGTGTGTTTCCAGGCACCCACACTCTTCCGCCAGGGGGTTTCCTGCATCGCACATTTTCCTATTGCCGAGGCAAGCACCTCCCTTTGTGTGCACAGCGGAGATTCAGTCGGCTGGCGATATTGTTGTGATATTGGTGTGAGTTTACTTGCGCCATCATAGCGGGTGACACAAGGCGATCTTTTTTGAGTTTCTACACGAAGGTTCACGATATATCCACATCCACATCCGACATCCGCATCCACACCCACAGCGCACCGCGCGCAGTCCTCGCCGCCCTTTCCTTTGTCAACTGCTGAGCCGAAGAATGGACAAACTGGCCTTGTATTGCGCATGCCTGGATACCACACCAACACTGGATGCAGTGAAAATCTCGCCCAGATGCCAATTAAGCAGCTGCAGGCGAATTCCGTTCACAGTCCAGCAGGCAAGGTGCATCTTTATTTTGGGGCAGGCGAGAGAGCAGGCTGCCAAGGTGAATTCGAGTTTTTACGGCTGGAGGAAGGCAGCAAATCCACAGCACTTTTTTTCTCGCGAACAATCGCCTGCTGGACGAGCGTAGTCTTTCGCAGCCAATTGGGCTGGGCGATTCTGTTTGACCTTTTGCTCCCCCTTCTTGCACACGAAGACTTGCATATATTGGCTTGCACCTTTCTTCCCTTCCCTTCTTCTGCCATCCCCTCTTTTCTCCCTCCCTTCTCTCCTCTCGCCCGCACTGCCACCTCATTTTCTATATAGCCATTGCCTAGCGGAGTCCATTGGAGGCGAGCAGCACCCGCTTTTCTGCTTCCCGCTCCACTCCATTTACCAGCACGAGTGCTTTTGTATTTGGCACGTTTATTCGTTCAGAGTAGCCAGTCCAGTGCAGCACACGCCTTCGCCACGGAAATTCATTTCCTGCTGTAGCGCCGCTTGACGCCTTTAATTGTTTTGCTGCCAGGAAGGCATATCCCAAAGTAACGGGGGCCAATCCACACTTGTTGACGACAAGGAGGCCCTTTAACTGCGCTCCATTCATTCTGTTTTTGGGGAGCGCGGATCCAACATATTCATAGGAGACCCTACAGGTACGCAGCATGTTTCCAAGAGATGTCGCTGTTCTGTCCATGTACTGTGAGCTGTGAGGCACCCTCCCCCCAATCCACACGCGTCCTGCAGCTCCCGTTTTTTTGCATGTCTTCCTGGTGAGCGATTAATTCGCCTCTTGGTGGGCAAAACACTTTTTCCACGTCCTTTGTTGTCGAGATTTGTGTGCATGTGAGGTGTTTATTAAAAAAATGCTGCGTGCACGATGTCTTTTGCCGAGGTGATGCCTTTATTTGCTGGACAGGAAAGGAGGGACTTTGGGGAGGTGCCCATGGTGCTTTATTCCGAGTGACATGTCGCCGCAACAGGACATCTGCCTTGCAGTGTGATTCTGGTGGGTGGGGGAGTGGAAATATCATAAACGCAATACTGCTCCGCTTTCCATCATACAAACAGGGTCTATTCATGTATTTTTCTTACGGCTAATTACCGCTGCTCTCTCCTTTGCCCAATCATTTGTAGATATAATATAATAATAATGTCCGATACGCAGTCTTTCCCGCGACTGCGGCAGTCGCCAAGCACGCCCAGCTGAGGACACGTTCCGGTACGAGCCCAGCATTGCGCAGCCCTCGTTCCGGTCACTGCCAAATACGCCGCGCATCACGCAGGCGCACCGGCACTCGATCCCAGGCGCGCCCGCATACTGGTCGCGCCGACGCAGCGACCGGCGGCAGTACGCTGAGCTGCTGCTGATGCCGCGCAACCAGTCGCCGGGCACCCATATGGCGAGCTACGTGTCGGACCTGTATGCGGTGCCGTCCAGCGACAGGACGAAAAAGTGCCTAAAGACAAAGCGCAACGACATCCGTGCGATTGCAAAGGACGTCGGGTGGTCGATTGGCGCGGCAGGCACGGCCCGCACGGTGCTGCTGTCGCCGCTCGCGAGCATTCTGCGCACGACCAACCTGGATGAAGACGATGTGATTGACGAGTACTTGAGGATGGACGGCCGGATGACTACGGGCGACTTGCGGGTGCTTGATTTCGAGCGGATCCGGCAAGCTGTGGTGCTCAGGCAGACGCTGCGGCTGCTAGTGCGGCTGCAGCACGAGTTCCCGAACTCGAATGTGCGTGAGAACGCACAGGCGCTGGTCTCGATGCTGAACGGCAAAAAGTACCGCCGGCGGATCCCGATGCCGCGGCCACTGCGTGCTGGCCCGTCGTTCTTTTATGCGGCCGGAGAAGTTTGAGGTCCTGGGGCTACTGAGCCAGGTCGAAGAGCAGGGCGGCGCCGACGACTACGACTCGTTTGATGACGACTCGGACTATGAAGGCAGCATGCCAAAGTCGGTTGCCATCAGCAGCATGCTGGCAAGCACGCATGGCTCAGAGCAGCACCCGTGGACCGGCGATGCCTTGCGCGCGCTCTCGTTGGAGACCAGTCCTGGCGCACATGCCGACCGATACTGGATGAACCAGCTGATCCAGCACTCGTGCGAGCAATGGAACTACTCGATCCCACATGTAGTCCAGCTGCTGGCGCCGTTGCCGGAGTGCGGTGTCGCTCTTTTAGAAACAATCAACCATGTCTTTGACAAGCAGCATTCGGTGCTGAGCGAGGGCGAAGCATACTACCTGTTTGCTGCAGGTGCTGCGCAGGTCGGCTGCTACCCACTGGTGACGACTATCGAGAACAAGATTGTGTCAACATTTGTCACCGATCACTGCGACGACGACGACACAATGCGGTTCGATGGCAGCAACATGCCAGGCACGCCACGCACTCGCCACAACTTTGAGCATTGGATTTCAGGAGGCCTGCAGGCTGCCAGCTACAACGTGCAGCTTCTGGCGCAGTTTGGCGAGCGCATGGCAAAGCGGCCCATGGATCTGGGCGCCAACGACGTCCGGCAGTTTGTCAGCGGCTACGTCGATGCCTTTTATGACCATTATGCGGTGCCCGGTCGGGCGCGCGGCGGCAGCGGCGACCACCTGCCGAGTGCGACGCGGTCGACGGGCCAGCGCAGCTTTTCGACATCCGTTGTGACGGGCGGGTTTCCGATATCGCCGGCTGGCGGCGACCTGCCGCGCAAGTCGGTCGAAGAGCAGGCTATCCGCGACCTAATGCATGCAATCGTAGCGCTGGCTGTGGCACACGGACTGGGGTCGTTTGCATCGGCCTGCGGAATCACGCCGGACCTGGACACACCTGCTGGCACGCATTTCGGCGCGTTGGCAGGACTTGTCCCCGAAGAGCCGCTGCCGGGCGTGACACCGCAGTCGACTGCACTCGGATTTGCTGCCAATGGGGACATGCCGGTTGAGATTGAGGAACCTCAGCTACCGGCAGGTCTGGTAATGCAGGCCGAGCGCAACACGCACGAGTTCATCGACAGGCTGAGCCAGCCGTCTGCGCGGCAATTCGGACAGGCAAGTACTGATCAGATAAACGGGCAAGCACTGCTTCCACCATCGCTGTCGCCGCCTCTATCCACAGAATCGATGATGCGGCGAATCTCCGGACCAGACTCGAAGCACATGTCGTATATACAGAAGCTTGACTACATTGACCCACTGCTTCGCTCCGAGTCGCAGTTTGCCGCATTCCGCCAAATGCGCGACAAGAAGCTGGCCAAGTACTGCCTGGCAGTTGAAGACGAGGTGCCGATCCGCCGCCAGTCGTCTGAGCCCTTGCAGCTGTCACATCGGCATGAGCTGCGGTGGGATACGCTCAGCGACGCTTTGCGCCAGCGCCTGGACATGCAGCTTGATATTCTTGGCGACGAGACGCAGAAGGCACGCAGTATCACTGGCCGTGCGCTCACGGAGTCGCTGACGAGCGCTGCGCCGGTGCAGGATACGCCTGGGATCTTCACTGTGGACGAGAAGCGGTCGGCGTTCCACCACAGCAACTCGTTCGATTCCGAGGGCGGCTCGATCGAGGATGTCGTGGGCATGAGCCCGCGCGACTACAGCCAGGCCAGTGCACTGCCTGTGTACACCGAAAACGGCAACTCTGAGCGCCTCCAGCGAAACTGCCATATCGATGCGCGCCGGTTCCATGACGCCATCTGGCACTTCACTCTCGGCCAGTTCAATATCTACGAGGAGCTGTACTACTACCGCAAGTACTGCAATGATGCCGAGTGCAAGCCCGCCACGCCGCTACAGCTGTCCTTCCCCAGACGCAGCAGTTCCCATGGGCTGACCGCTGTCGAGATGGTCATGGATGTGGACCTGGACGCCGATCGCTATACTGGCGGGCAGACGCAGCAGTACAGCCATTGGATCAAGGACGAGCTCAAGGCACACATTCGCGCTGTTCTGTGGAACCCGTCGGGCATCTCTGCGCTGAGTGCCCAGCCGCCAGTGGCGACAGCGCTGAACCTGAGCGCCGAGGAGATGGTGCGCATCAACCTCATAATCTCGCTGGCGCGGCGGCAGGCTGAGATCATCCACGCGATGCGTGCCATCTACGAGTACGAGTCTCCGCCCAGGAGCTGACCCAGGGACTCGGCTTCGCGCTGTGGCTCCTGCCTACCCATGCTGATCAAAATCTGCCTTTCCCTGATTGTAATTAATTTTCAAAAATGTCTTTTTAGCTGAATCGCCCGTTCGTTATCGAATCGTGCTAATGTGTCCTGATCCAAGCAGGTTTATCGAATTCAGACTCTCTACTCGCTGATTTCGAACACCTACTTTTTTCTCTCTCTTGCACAAATCGTTAAGAATGCTTCGCTCAGTCCAGGGCCTGACTCGGTCGCTCCCCGTCGGCGGAGCTATGCGCGCCATCCACACAACAGCAGTCGTGCCCGCCCGCAAGCGCAACAACCGCAAGGCGGAGCTCGAGGCCAAGCGCAAGGCCGAGGCGGAGGCCGCTCAGCGGGCGCAAGAGCAGCTGCGCAAGCTCAAGGACACTGCGTTCCTGAATTCCCTGGTGAACGCCGGGCGGCTGTTTGACACGACGCAGATCTCGCAGCAGGACGCGGCTCTGCACAGCACGCGCGGCCAGCAGCAGGAGTCCGAGGGAGCGACGAAGCGGCAGGCGAGCTCTGGCCTGTTCTCGTGCCAGGTGAGCAACGAGGAGATCAACCTGGTTACCAAGGTTGCGCCCAAGGCGATTCTGGGCGGGTCGGCCGGGTACAGCTCGCATGTGATGCCCGAGCTGGCAATGAAGAACGCTGAGATCCAGGCCGATATTGTCAGGCGGATCGTGGCTCTGGAGAACGCAAACTCGAAGGCCGTGGTCAAGTTCAACGTGCAGAAGGCGCTAGGAGCGGTTCGGCAGGTCCACGGGCGATTCTGGGTCGGCGGAGGTGCAGGCAGCTGTGTGGACCGTGCGGATTAACAACCTGGAGGAGCATCCTGAGGGCCCACCGCAAGGACCATCACAACCGCCGGGCGTACACGCACCTGCTGCACAAGCGCGCCAAGATCCTGAAGTATCTGAAGCGGGAGTCGCTGGAGCGCTACTATCTGTGCCTGAAGCAGCTTGGTCTGACGAAGGAGATGGTCGAGGGAGAGATTGTCTCGCCCAAGCGTATCGAGTAAATACACAGCTAGTTTTTGTCGCAATCCGCTGAAAAGCAAACACGCAAAATGTCGAAACAAAAATGCACTCCTTTGGCACCCTATTGACCGAGGACTGGCGGGCTGGCCAGGACCTAATCGCTAGGCAGAGCTGCTGTGTTTGTAGATGAGCGGTCCCATGGCTGATGCCCCTGCCTCTCTCCCCTCTTTCTCTTCCCTTTTTTGTGCCTCAATTTAACAACAGCCTTTCTTTTCCAAGTACTCATACAATGCCACCACGGAGACGCCAGCCTGCCAAGGCGGTTACGTACACAGAGTCCTCCTCCACGTCGTCGCTGTCGTCACCCAGCGACACCGACTCGGGCGAGGACTCTGCTGCCTCGCCTCAGGCCCACTCCATCGAGCACACCACGCACCCGCGCGCGCACCACACGGCAGACCAGACGCACCGCGAATGAGCAGCCGACTGTCCGTCTGCGAACCCGACTTACGCGTGGCAAGCGCCCAGCAAAGCAAGGAGCTAACGCCTCCGCCGGGCCCGGCCAAGCGCAGGCGGGCAAGACGTGCGGTCGAGTCGCCGTCAGGCGCAGGCGCCTAGGATGCGCACCAGGAATGGCAGGGGAGCGAGGCAGGTTGTTACTGACACAGTTGAGGAGGATTCAGGGACTGAGTCTGAGGTAGAGTCAGCTATGGATGCTGTCGAGGAGCCTGAGGAATCGGATGATCCTGAAGAGTCCGATTGCTGCCGAGGCAGACGAGGGCGGCGAGGAAAGCGAAGACGAGGGCGAAAACGACGATGGCAATGAGGGCGAAGAGGACGACGTGGCGGAGGACAAGGATATTATTGAGCAGCCTGAAAAGGAGAAGCAGGATGAAGAAGAGGCCGACGAAGGCGATAAAGTGAGCGAGGACGAGGGCAAGGCCCAGGAGGACGTGGCCAGGCGAGCAAGGCAACAAGAGTAGCGAGGATGATGAGCAGGATGAAGATACGTCCAAGGCTGCTCCGGCTAGGCGCAAGCGCGGTGGACGCAAGCCACGCGGTGGCAGCGTTGCTCGCAAGATCGGGCGCGGCCGGCCGGCCAAGAAGGCTGCGGCAATGGTGCTGGAGAGCGACAGCGAGCCCACTAACCATGGATGCCCTGGGCGGCCTCGAATCTGGACTTGAGCTCGCACGACGGCGACTCGACGACTACGTCCCTGGCGAAACATGACGCGGCGGCAGCGTGCGCGCCTAACGCACGACTATGACGGAGGAGCTGATGGAGCTGCCGACTGAGGCGAAAAAGACAAAGTTCTCGGTCGAGGAGATGGCCCTGCGCAAGTCGGAGCAGGCGAGACGGCGCAAGTTCCAAAGCATGCAGCGCGAGGAGCAGCTCAAGAACGACACGATCAACCGGCTGCTGAACAAGCAGACATCCAAGGGCAGGAACAAGGTGGATGAGCCCGAGACGCGCTCGGCCAGCGAGGAGCCTGGTGCAGACACGCACGACCATGATTCGATACCGTCAAAGGTGTGCAAGGGTGGGCAAGGGAAAGCACGGGGAGCCGGTGCGAGTGCAGCGCCTGCTGCAGCTCCCAAAGAACACGGCGGTAAACGATGTGTTTCCTATGTCTGCTAAGGACAGTGCATATCCGCCGCAGCTGCCCAAATGCGCTGTCAAGGGCTGCGACAGGGAAAAAAAGTATCCGCGTCAACGACCAGGCTGCCTTGTTCGCTCGAGCATTGGAGGGTGCTAAAGGCCGCCCAGTAGAATAAACGCAATACCATAGTAATGCTGCGAGTGGCCAAAGACCATGGCTCAGTGGTGGGTCGGAGCGGAGATGTTTCCGAACATCCCAGTACTTTTTCCACGTTGTCCACACACCAGGCACATCACATCTCCATGTACATGCTGGCATCCATCCTTGTGTCACGCACCTCCTATCACGGTAGTGCACGAAGCTCGGCTAGATGTGCTGCACTTGCAGGAGAGCATTCCCACATGTGCTTGGCTGGGACGGCAACGAAAGGAGAGCAATACGCGTATCCGCACTTGTGCGGATATGTGGCAGCAGCGTCGAAAGGAGGGCATTGCCGCTAGAGAATGGGCAAAGTCAGGCTCTTGTTACCGCTGCAAACATCCCACACACAACATAGACAACACAGTGTATACTGTAGATGATGCCGAGTATTATAAACGAAGAAACAGGAGCTTTAAATGAAGAGTGGTGGTGGTTGCGCGCAAAAATAATGAAGTGTCTTACACAGGGTACTGCGACGGCGAGGCACCCAGCCGGTCAACAACCTGGCGGATGCCTGGCAGGCTGAACACCTGGCCGATGAACGGCAGCCGGCGCAGAAACCCAATGGCGATTGGGAAAAAGTCACCAAACAGATTGAGGAACCCGAAGGTTTCAACGACCATGCCGATAATCGACCACTTTAGCAGAATCAGGATGAAGCCGAGGAAGAACGACACTGAGCCCTTGAGCTTGTCCCGCCGCGAGAAGAAAAACAGCGTCTTCTTGAACCCAATGATCATCGACACGCCTGCCAGGAACAGAATGTTGCCAATGGCGATGAGCCCGGCGTCAAAGAACAGAACCACGCCCAGCCCGATCAAGCGCAAACCCGAACGCCGACAGCCCGACGCCAATTTCTAGCAGAAGGAAAGCATAATAGTACGGTTAATGACCTAGGAACTGCAAGCGACAGGGTGAATTCTACAGGGGTTGGGTGCATTCGGCGGAACGTACTCTGAGTGTCTGTCAACCACATTGCTCTGCTTCGTTTAAATGTCCAAGGTGGATTCGACTAGCGAGATGAGGAAAAGCTGGAAGAGCCAGGCTCGCCCAGCAGCTGGGACCGGTGCGCTGGCCACATATGCCTGGCTCACAGGGCCCTCGATCCGCTGATTCCTGCCTGCTAATAATAATCAGCCAGGCTGCTTTCGAGCTCCGCCTCAGCACCAGCATGCGACGCACAAGGCACATCGCGGCAGCGACGACGGCATCATGATGGCATTCGGAAGATGCACATTATGTCTGGCAGGTCACGCTCCATGGCGAGCACGGCGGTCCGGTGTGGAACACAGAAGAGAGGTGATTTTAAATGAGCTGCATTAGCCGACAGTTTTTCTTTGTCGAGACCACAGAAGAGAACGAGCAATCGCTTAGAACATGAGAAAAGAAAGAGTTAATCGGGGAAGGTGAGGAAGACAAGGGCGTCACAGGCAGCGTGCTGGCAGTTTACTTGGTCTTCATCATCTTGCAGAACTCCTCGTAGTTAATCTGGCCATCGCCGTCGACGTCAGCCTCGCGGATCATCTCCTCGACCTCCTCGTCGGTCAGCTTCTCGCCCAGCGAAGTCATGACGTGACGCAGCTCCGACGCCGAGATGACACCGTCGCCGTTCTTGTCGAACACGCGGAAGGCCTCCCGGATCTCAGCCTCCTCGTCGTTGCTGCTGGTCGCCTGGCGCGCCATGAGCGAGAGGAACTCGGCAAAGTCGATAGTGCCGTTGCCATCCTTGTCGACCTCGTTGATCATGTCCTGCAGCTCAGCCTCAGTCGGCTTCTGGCCAACAGACCGCATCACGGTGCCCAGCTCCTGGGCTGTGATGCTGCCGTCGTTGTCGCGGTCGAAAAGCGAGAACGCCTCGCGGTACTCGTTAATCTGCTCCTCGTTGAACTTCTCGCTCTACAGGTGACGGGAGAGGGGAACGCAGCGATGTATTTTAGCATCTGCCGTCTAAAAGGGAGCTCGATTGCCTCCTGCGGGCCGTGTAGTCTGGTGACGGCAGAGCGCGCCACGAGTCCGACAGAGCACGCTCTTCGCCTGGTCGGCAGAAGAGACAGGCGCCAAAGAAGAGCGGGGGCGGGAGGGGCAAAAACACAGCAGCAGCACAAGATTAGAACACGATGCCTACCATTTTGTCTGGGCTATACAGAGATTGGTGAAATGGGAGTTTGGAAAGGGGCGGGGAAATAGTGTAAAAGAAAAGCTACAGAGCAAAGAGGAGAAAAATAGGTGGAGGGGCTGGCGAACGAAAATTTATTCTGCGTCTCGGGGGCGAAAGCCCGCTTGACCACCCCTCTTCCTCCCAGGCCCGGCAAGGAGCAGTGCCGCCGTGATTGGCTGGCGGGCGCAGAGGTGACGCGAATGGCTGTCGTTTAAATGCTAAAAATCCCTTGGGGGTGCAACTGGAAAAGCCTGAGCGCCCGCGTTTCCCGACAGTGCAGAATTGTTCGGAACACAGCGCGCTGGCCCGCTGGCTGCCCTGACGTCTCTAACCACATGAGCAGATTCAGGAAACCCGGTCGCTCCTTGCCGCTCTCAACCCACTGGCCCGGAATGATCGGCTCGACACGAAAGTCCTTTAATTTTTCTCACTCGGCCCACTGGAGGAATTCCCGGCAGGGAGCTGGGCTTGCTCCAGAAATGCTGTGCCCCCTTTGGCCAACAAAGGCGGAGACCCAGGCACCCAGCTGCTGATCGCCTGTGCTGGTTGGTGCTCCGGCCACAGCAGGCTGCAATTGGCAGTTCGCAGTCCCAGATGGCGGCATGTGGGAAGCAGGCTCGGCTATTGGTAGCTGATGGGCACGGGGACTGGCCATCGCCGCTGACAAGGACCGCTCTAGCCCATCCTGGATGCAGCCACACCGCCAGCACTATCCGCACGTCTGATAGCCGTGCCGGACGGTCCTCGGCTACCGACGCTGAGCATGCTCTGGGCATCATGTCAAGGGGCATGACACCACTGAAGGCGTCGCATTGATTACTGGACCATCGAATGTTCGCGGGAAGAGCTCGACAATACATGCCTTGGCAGCCCAATTCGCCACACATTGACTCATGTCCGGCCGTGCATATCTCTACCCATTGTCAGTGGCACCTGTACAAGAGGACATGAGATTGGATGCTGATGCGAGTGGGGAGGGATTTCCTCAGAACACCGATAGTTGTTTTCAGAAACCTGCAGAAATTGGGTTGACCAAGACTAATAATTCCGGACGTTCCCATGTATGCTGACCTGGGCGGATTTGCAAATGCCGGCACTACAGATTGGACATGACGGACATTCCCAATTTCTCCATCTGCCCCGTCCGTGGCAAAAACAGGGCATTGCATGCAGTCCCTCCTCCTATAGATGCCCCCTTTGCTCTCTGTCTCTCCCACCGCAAGACAGTATAAATACTCCGTGTTTCATGTTTGTCCGTGCTCATCGCTCCCCGAATCGGAGTGCGAAGCAGAGAGAAAGCCTGCTGATACACATCGACTTCTACCTAGCTGCATCATGGATGTCCGCGTTCCTGAGCAGCCTCTGCGAACGCGCCAGGTGCAGGCTGCTGGGTAGATATACCCCACTCTTTCCAGATATTTCCTGGCACGATGCTCTACTGGAAGAAGCCTCTATAGCCACTGCTGCTGGCCGCTATCTATCAATTCACCACTGGCATATAGTACCACGTCTGCAATGCCACCGTCTTGCATGGATAGACGTGCATTTCTAAGGAAGGCAAAAGAGACAATGGCATTGTCAGCAAGTTATAAAGCAGTCGAGTCTAGAGCATCAGATCTCGACTGCATCCCCCATCCCCCATCCCCGCATTGCATCGACAAGCTCAGCAGCGCTAGTCCACTCGCTATTCTCACCTTGTATTTCTCCTGGCACTTTTCAATTCTCTGTAACAATGGAACCTGACAGCGACCAGGAGCCGCTATGTATAAAAAGCATACATTCGTCAGGATTTTAGACTGTCCCGAGTTCGGCGATGGTGGCTGTACGTATTCGACTGGCTCTCAGACATAGTCGCTGTAGTACTGTCGCGGGATAATCATGATCCCAGAACCACGTGCACAGCGGTTTCTAGTGACCGATCCACGCATTCAGCAAGTAGACCACGATGACCACACCAACATCAACCGCATCGCCGTGATTATAGCAACAGCTGTGCCGCTAGTTGCAATTATTGTGTGGTGCAGCTACAAGGATCGGCCGTTCCGGGAGTACCACCATGCGATCCTCGGGCTGGCCACAGCAATAAGCTTCACCGTCCTTATCTGTATCAATCGCCAAACAGTCAGCAGTCATCCTCTCACCAGGGTTTATTGATATATGCGCACCAACACCAGAGGTATATCGGAAAGCGTTCCTAAACTGGTCGCCCGATATCTACACATGACTGTACAGCATACGGAACAGGCAGGCTGCGGCAGGCTATGGTTGCATTTCCGACTGTATCATCGGGGCTTGCCAGCAGCTCTATGGGGTACCTGTCGCTGTATATCAGTAAAGAGCTCGGCCTACGCCTGCATCCGACTGTGCGGCGCCGTCTGCGGATGACTGCGGATGGACGTGACATTGATGCAAGTAGACCTGGCCAAGCCCATGATATCGCTAGTCAGCATCCTGCCATATGCTGCTGGTATGACATTTCCTGCTGTAATTACCGAGTTCGAAGGAGGTGGACGCGGCTGGGAAACCGCCAGTGGTATCGATCCTGGGCAGTATATTCGCTGTGTTGGGCCATATTCTCTATGGAGGTCGATATTGAGCCGCCATGACATTCCAAGTGTAGGCCAGAGTGTCTAGATTTGCCTGTCTCTAGGCCCCACTTGCACTGCAAGCATACTTCAGCTAAATCAGCCCCTCACATACTCTAGCCATTTTTCATCTGCTTTTGCTACTCCGCACTAGTACATTTTTTGCTCCTCTCATTCTATATACCACCCATGGCTGCCGATAGCCGTCTGGATCACATGTCTAAGAAGAGCAGCAGCGCTCATCTAACACCTCACAGGTCTCCGACGTCAAGCGCTGGTGGCTCTACGCATCCGACTGGCTCACGATAATTGTGGTCGTTACCGTATCTCAAGTCATCCTCATCCCCCCACCGCGCTCCCAACGATTTCAGGTAACCGATCCCCAGCCTCCAACAAGTAAACCACGACGACCGTGTCAACATCAATCGTTTATGTGTGGTTCTAATGACAGCAATACCGATAATCGTGATTATCCTGTGGTGTGGTTTCAATAACCGCCCAATCCACTGCTACCACCACGGAATCCTAGGGCTGGCCACATCCATCAGTTTCGCAATGCTGTTCCTGTCCATTAGCAAGCAGGTTTCTGTGCTGCTGTCGGCTGATTTCATCAGCGTGTGCGCACCGACACCCGAAGCGTACCAGAGAGCATTCTTAACCTGGTCGTCCTCTGTCGACACACGACTGCACCACGCCTAGTCACGGCAAGCTATACCACTCGATGAGGTACTACCCCTATGTATCGTCAGCGCTGTCTAGCAGCTCCATGGGGTATCTTGGGTTATATTTTAGCAAGGAACTGGGGCTGCACCTGCATCCGAGCGTTCGACAGCGCTTACAGAGGACTAATGGGTATCGTGGTGCTGAATATAGCCGGCCTGGCCAGACATTGGTCTGGTTTGTCTGCATCTTGCCCTATGCTGCCGGTATGGCGTATCCTGCTGTTCAGATTGAGCACCGGGGTGGCGGCCGTGGGTGGGAGGTCGTGTGCGGCATCATCATTGGGACGATATTTGCGGTTTGGGGGCATGTTTTATATGTAGCTGACATAATACCGTAAATACTCCATCTACAGAGAATATGAAATTCGCAGTTTCAAATACAGCTATACACCTGGGACCACGTGGGAATATAGGAGCATATTTATTGATTGACCGTCTTCATAATGCAGAAGAATCAATCCAAGTCGATGGCTATTGGGTCACCTGCAGCGACTGCTGCTCGACCAGCAGGTGGTACGTGCCCTTGAGTGCAATCAGTTCGTCGTGGGTGCCGCGCTCGACAATGCGGCCGTTCTTGAACACAACAATCATGTCGCAGTCCTGGATCGTGCTGAGGCGATGGGCGACCGTCAGCGTGGTGCGCTCCTTGGCTGCCTTGTCCAGCACCTGCTGCACGACCTTCTCGGAGCGCGAGTCCAGAGCGGCAGTGGCCTCATCGAGCAGCAGCAGCTTGGGCTTGCGCACCAAGGCACGCGCAATGGCGACGCGCTGTTTCTGACCACCGGACAGCCGACTGCCCTTCTGGCCCACGTTGGTGTTGAAGCCGTCAGGCAGATTCATGACGAAGTTGTAGATGTTGGCCTCCTTGGCCGCCTCCTCGATCTCCTGCTGCGTGGCGCCGTGCTTGCCGTAGGCAATGTTTTCGCCGATCGTGTAGTTGAACAGAATCGGCTCCTGGCCGACAATGGCCATGCTGTCGCGCAGCCCGGTGATGCTCCAGTCCTTGACGTCCAGGTTCTCAACTGACACTGAGCCGGTATCGGCATCGTACAGGCGCTGGGCCAGCAGAATCGACGTAGGACTTGCCGGAACCTGAGGCACCAACCAGAGCGACGCTCTTGCCCGCCATGCCCTCGAACGAGATACCCTTGAGAATCCTGGTGTCGGGGCGGATCGGGTAGCTGAACTTGACGTCCTTGAAGCTGGCATTGCCCTCGAACTTCTCCGAGACATCGCCGTCGGGGTTCATTCCATTGATTTTCGACTTGCGGTCCAGCGTCATGTAGATGCTGCGCGACGACACAGCGCCCTTGGACACCATAGTGGATAACTGCGCCAGCATGCCGATGGACATTGACGAGAACATTGTGACCATCAAGACATTGGACATCTGTGACATCGAGATCCACCCGTTGACAATGAATTTGCAGCCAGCGAAGAACACCAAGGCGTTGGTAAACAGATTGCACGCCTGCGCAAACCCAAAGCCCAAAGACGTAACCAGTGCGCTGCGGACGCTGGTGCTGTGCGGCTCGCGGTTGTGGTCGTTGAAGATCTTGATGAACGTCTCCTCGCGACGCAGAGTGGCCACGGTCTTGATGTTGCGGATGGTCTCGGCAGCGGACTGGCCCGACTTTTCGTATGCCTTCTTGGTGCGGGCCGCTGATTCCCAGATGGCACGCGCTTGTAAGTACTGAGCATAGCATTGGATTGGCCAGCATGCTATGGCAACCAGCGATAGGCGCCAGTCGTACACAAATGCAATGGCAATAGCCGTAACCAGCGCCCCCACAGCACTGACAAACGCGCCCTATGACATAAGCGACAAACTTGTAGATGTCCTCGGCTTCCGTGGCAAGACGTGCTGTTAGCATACCGGTGCCGTTGTCTTCGTCGTCAAAGTACCCGGATTCAAAGGTCAGATACGCCTTGAAGGTTTCGTGGCGAATCCGCTTGGTCATGCTTTCGCCGGCAATCGTGAGCAGACCAGCGCGACCAGACATGGCAACAAAGTCGACGACAGCAAACATCAGGAATATGCAGGCGTACTTGGTGGCCTCCTTTCTTCATCTCATGCATGTCGGGGTTACCGAGGGCAGCCAGGAGACGAGCGTAGACCAACGCAAAGCACGGCATCACTGCACCGTTAATGATGGTGAGAGCTGAACCGGGAATGGCGATCTTCATGGATCCACGGTACTGGTTCAACAGACGCCACAGCAGGTAAAAGTCGCTCGACTCCTCCAGCGACTTGTACTGCTTCTTAGCCTCGCGCTGTGACTGCGTCGTCGACATGCGCCTGACGCTCTGCATGGTCTGGCGGGTAGTTGCCTTCAGATCCAGCGCCTGCTCCTTCAGCTCTTTAGCAATCAGCGCATCGACGTCCTCCTCACCAGCAGTATCCCCACTATCGACATTGGCACGTACAGCCTGCCGCAGCTCCTGTGCCTTGACCATGGCAGCGTACTCGCCGGTGAACCCAATCAGTTCATCGTGGGTGCCGCTCTCAGACACAATGCCCTCGCGCACCACATAGATCTGGTCGCAGTTGCGGATGGTGGAGAGACGGTGCGCAATCGAGATCGTGGTGCGGTCGGCAGACAGCTTGTCCAGGGCATCCTGCACAAGACGCTCGGACGCAGTATCCAGGGCTGAGGTAGCCTCGTCGAGAAGCAGGATATCAGGGTTGCGGATAATGGCACGGGCAATGGCAATACGCTGCTTCTGACCACCCGACAGCAGGGCACCGCCCTCGCCGACCAGAGTTTCGTACTTGTTGGGCAGCATGTCGATGAACTGGTGCGCGTTGGCAGCCTTGCATGCCTCAACGACCTCCTCCTTGGTCGGCGGGTTGCCTTCGGGATCAACTGGCGCCCCAGACGATGTTCTGGTAGATCGAGGTCGAGAACAGGACAGGCTCCTGAGTGACGATGCCAATGCGGTGACGCAGCGACCCGATGTTGTAGTCCTTAATGCTGACACCATCGATGAGCACCTCACCTTGGGCCGGGTCGTAGAAGCGCTCAATCAGACCGATAGTCGTGGACTTGCCACAGCCAGACTCGCCGACCAGTGCAACCTTCTGCCCAGGCCGGATCTCGAGGTTGAAGCCCCTCAGGATGGGAACGCCAGGACGCGTCGGGTAGCTGAAATGCACGTCGCGGAACTCGATATGGCCATGTACACGATTGACCTTCTTGCCGTGCTCCGAGTCAAGCGGGTCGATAGGCGACTCGCGGTCAATGATAGCAAACACCTTGGCAGCACATCCCTGGGCGGTCGACACGGCCGAGAAGTTGGGCGCCGAACCAGCGATCGAGAATCCGCCCATCAGTAAAGCAAAAAACACAATAAGCAGTTGCTCCGCATTCAGATGGCCGTTGACGATACGCCAGATACCGTAGTTGAAGCCAATGCAGTACATGGTGAAGATGAAGAACTGCACTGCACCATAGCCAACGCCAAGAACCATTCCTTTCTTGCGACCGAAACTGGTATGCAGTCTCAAGCTTCTCGTCATACCGCTTCAGCTCGCTCTTCTGGCCGTTGAACGCCATCACCGTGCGGATGCCGCCAAGGACCTCGTCAGCGATGGCTCCCGATTCTGCAGTATTGTCTTGCTCAAATGTAGTCCATTTGGCGATCTTCCAGCCCATGACACTAGCGGAGCCAACAATGAATGGCAACACGCACACACAGATGAGCGCCATGTCCCAGCCCTTGACCAAGGCAATGATGAAACCAGTGATAAACGACGTGGTGTTCATCATAATGAACCCCCACTTTTCGCCAATGCCGTCCTGCACCAGGTTGACGTCGTTGGTGATGCGCGTAGTAAGCTCACCAGTCTTGATGGTGTCGAACCAGCCAATGTCCTGGCGCATAATCGACTCGTAGTACAGCTCGCGGATGCGCAGGCCCTGGTTCTCGGCAGCAATCATCCAGCACGCATTGAGCCCATACGACAGAATCCACATAAGGAAACCAAGACCCATGAACCACAAGCAATATTTGCGCGCATCATGATCAAGGACGACGATTGGCCTTCAGCCAGCTTCGCAGGTGACGGGTCAAACGAGTCGGTCTGGTAGTTGATGAGCGAGAATAGCAACCCTGAAGCGACAATAGTCATGGCTGGCGTTACCACGCCAGCGGCCAGTGAGCAGAAGGTGCCAACCAAGCAGAGGAGCTTGTCAGTCTTGTTGGAGAACCGGAACAAATGCCATAGTTTGACAGGCTTCGGCTGCTCCTCCTTGGCAATGACACGATCCTTATCGTCGTCGTCGATGAGCGGCAGCTGGTCGAGCTTGTCAAGTTCATAGACAGGGGCCTTCTCACTAGATGTCTTCTCGATGCTATCAGCTTTGAGATGCCTGCTCTCAGTAGACGTGATGGAGGTAGCTGGGGATGACACCCTGCTCGGGGATGGACCCGCGCGCATGACGTCATCGCAGGGAGTAGGGTTTGAAAGGAGATTGGGGGATAGATGTGTCTAGTAAGGAAGAGTGTAGATACAACGGATTTCGTGCTAGTCCCCCTCTGTCAAAAATGACTAGTATAAGTATCAGAGAGCAGCTAGAGATATAGAGACCTAAAGAAAGAAATTACGATGTAGAATGAAAGGAGGATGTTCAGATGGATTGCAGACACGCTTAAATACCAGGCAAGATGTCCAATTCCCAAAGCGACAACTTGTTTTTGTTGTGAGTGATATTTTCCAGAAGACGACGAAATGCAGACACTTGCTTCTGATAGGCCAAAGAGAATTGCAGGTGCAGTACCGCAGCAGCATTGGCGAAATGCCTCCTGTATAGCTGCTAGGGATTGTTGTTCTAGCTCAGCCATTCTTCTTCGTATCCAACGGTCTTTTTCGGCGTTCGGCTCTGCTATCCGAAATTCAGCGATAATCACTGGCAGAATCGTCAACTGTATCGATGTCGACACTATCCTATGCTGTTTATTGTGTAGCAAACCTGCCTGCTTGGTGGCAATGCTAAAGGCATATGCATGCAGCTTGGGGAGTCTAGCACTCGGACGACCTTTACTGCTTCCAACAATACGCCAGTTTGGTAGGCACTCGCACTAGCGGTATGGAATTGGGGCTGCAATCATCAGCTGAGCTGGGTGGGAGTTCACTTGCTGGCTGCCAGGTGCAATTTGCTGCGGCCACACGGACCAGTTGGGGAAGCTATACCAAAGCTGATCAATGCGTTTATACCTTTAAAAGGGCAATTGGGTTGGGAAGGGCTATTCAATGGTTTGTAGCGAGGCTTTTTATCAAGAGATCAGCTAGGGCTCAGTCAATTATCGTTTCCCCTATCTGTGTCCTCGACAGTCACCAAATCAAGTGACTGAATCCAGGCGCCAAGAGAGCCCGCTACAGCTTACGGATCATGGAGTAAGTCCTAGCCTCTGAAAGTGCACAGATGCAGTATTAAAAACTCCCCTGTCGCAACTGTCATTCCCTTTTCTCTTTTCTCAGTATTAAATATACACAATGGTGATGCCAGATCAAAGTGGATCACTGTTAGATATGATCAGGTATGCTGCTGTGCGTGGTGGGCAAATGTCCAATGCGATGGGTCTATATGGATATAACATATACACTATCAAAGCGAAAACAAAACATTGGTTGTGCTTTTCTCAGCTTTTATATACAACAAATATCGAAATAGCTCAACATGGTGATTTGATGGACATTTCTATTAGGATAATGCATAAAGACATTGCGGTTTGTAAAGAGCACGATACAATTAAAGCTCGAAATGAGACAGGCATAAAATTTAGTACTGTAAATGTTATACCGATTATATGAGCATTGTTGCACTAGCAGATTAGAGTTTGTTAAAATAAAATGGCGATATACATTACTTGAAGCTTGGGTATCAGAAAGGGAAAAAATAAAAGTGAAAACCAAAGTTGGGGTATATGTAGTGTAAAGAGGATATCCCCACTGGTGGTCATAATGGCAATGTATCGGTGGTAGGCGACCCATCATGATCAGCCGATGGCACATGCTAGTTGGTGATGCGGCTTCTGTCCGTCTCCACTGATAATTGTGCCAGCGTTCATGACGATACTCTGCTGGTCGGGGGGGGGGCATAGCAGTTGCACACCTACCTTGAGAGCAGATTACAAGCTGGCTGGTCTCAAAGTCGAAACCGAATTATAACATGGGATATACTAGCTGACCCTGGAAAACGACACTCATATCTATGCTGTGTGAGCAAGCCATGTTCGACCTAGCTTTCTGAACCGCTATAGCCAGTTGCCTCTTCATTTGAGTAATACCACATTATTTTCGTTGCTTTTAAAAGGATCGACCTATCTGCCTCGCTATATCCTATCATGTATAATTAATCTGGGTCTGATCTGGATCTGAGATGCTTACGCAACCCTGCTGGCGAACTGGTACATATAGCGCACTCCTGGTTGGGAGACATCATGTAAAAGCCTTGGTTTCTTTGCTGGCACCAATCATACAATGACACCACCTTGCTATACCCCAACCTATCACATACTTGCGGGTATGGATTCATCACTATCCTTTGCGCAGAACGCTCCGCCTGACATTCTCAGTCTTATTTTCGACCGCATCGAGTATGGCGAGAGATTAAGAACCGAGTGGGAAAAGCTGGACCACAAAAGGATGGCTGGCGGTACCAAATCGCTTCTTTCAGTAGCGCAGACCTGCCGCTCATGGAGAGCTGTTGCACTATCTTACTTTTACGAAAACGCTAGTATACTTCTCGAGCCTGTGCTGGATTCGCCTGATGGTGGCCCTAAACAAAATTACCCGGAGCTCTCGATGGCAGCCGCTGCCGGACACAGCGAACTTGTCCATTCAGCACACATCTTCCTGTCACTTGATCGTATTGTTGACGGCACCTCCACCACCCTGCTAAATACTGGTGTTCTAGCCACGGCGACATTCCCAAACGTGGCTGAGCTCAAGCTTAACTTTTACAGCAGCAGTGCCATTCTCCGAGGCAACCAATCGGCAGGAGTCAGTTCTTTCATTGAGCGTATCCGCCAGCTATTTCCCAGCGCATAGGACAGCTCCGTTCATTGTTTGCTCAGGGCTGTGGACTGGTCAGAAGGACATGTACAAGGACCTAATGGGTATTATCGCTCCAGCGCCGAGAACATTTATATTCCGCGGGTTTGAGAATGAAGGTGCCAGTCTGCAAGGCGGTTTCAGCACTGGGATTCAGCGTATGCATCTTGAAATGGGCCATTCCTCCGACTGTCTGATTGCTTATTCAAACAGAGAAACTATCGAAGCGCTGGTGGTGGCCTCCCCGCCCCCCCCATTCGACCCCCCCCCCCCTTCTCCGCATATCCATTGAACGTCAGCGAGGATATAACTGTCGGGGATCTATCAGAGGACCTGGCTTCGTTGTTCCGTAGCACGTATCCGAAACTCGCCAGTCTATCCATCGAAACAGGAAATGAAATAGATGGCTGTCTTCGCATGCCTGCTGTCAACCCGTTTCCATCGCTGACCAGCCTTTCCCTTCTCACACTCTGATATTAACATCAGTGGCTTTGTTGACAATGGTGGTAGAAACCTAACATCGTTTACGATGTTTCTCACTGAGCCCATTTTCAGGGCGCTTCGTGGCCGCGTGTTTCCTAACCTCACCTGTGTTCGTATTCAGAGCGCTGTCCTCTTTTCTTGGATCTAGTGCAAAAAGCGAGGCAATGGAGGCTGCATACTTGCCGTTTTTCATTGCACCTAATGCCGAGCACATCGAATTCCTTTACGACTCGCTCAGCTTCGGCCAGTCTCTGCCGTCTATCATCCCGCTAAACCACTCAAACTCATCGACTTTGCCATCTAATCATCAGAAAGATCATGCCCACCCTCGGTATACTCCAGCAGATCCTGACCCATTTCCCGGGGCTCAATTAGGAATTGGCATCGACGGAGTCAGGATCTGACGTAGGATACCGAACCAAATCTCTCGGATGACAAGGTTAGCAGGCTGCTGACGGAGCTCCCAGTCTTCAGCACTCGTCTGAGACGGATTGATTTGGATAAACGGTGGATCTGTCCAATTCGCAGCTGGCCGTCGCTATTTCGAAGCTGCCTTCCCTCAGGGTGGTCGCTGTAGGGAATGTCAGTGTGATGAGGAAACAGTTTAAGGAAGAGATCGGTAAATGGGTATACGACGAGTATCGCGATAGCCTGAGCCGGCCGCTGTTCTGTTTCAATGGCCATTAACAGGTGCGGCTTGGTTTCTGTTTGCAATATATTTGCTGTAACTTTCTGTGCCTTCACACCTGTTACCTTTTACTAATTACGAGGGTAGACGTGTGGATGTTGAAGAATTGGGGCAAGTTAGCCTTCAAACGTGGAGGAGAAGAAATGGAAAGAGATGTAGAAAATGTAACTAAAGCTAAGAGTTACTAGACTTAATCTGCTAGTCAGCATGGTTTGACTCGTTGATAAAAGCATCACGGCGAACAGATCATCTGAATGTGTCGGATGATTGCTAGTGTAATGGTGGTCTTGGACATCTCCAGTCTTGATGCCTGCTTAGCGTAGCGCATCTGCACTGGTTCACCGCTGGCAGCAGAATCGCCTGCAGCTGTAGTGCACTCCGCGGCTCTTCGTTGCGGGTGGTGTCAGAAGCATCGGCAATGACCGTAGAATGACGGAGCCGTCAGGAATATGGCCGGAATCATGGAATGACTGGAAAATGAGTCTGGAGCTTAGAACCGCTGCAAGATCGCGGTTCAAGAGCGAGGTGTGGAAGTTGAGTGATCCGTTTATTGGATTGCTGGCCTACAAAATGGAAGAGCTAAGACGAATGGCGCTTAATACATGGTCCGGTTCGATTATATCAGTCCTTTACATATATACTGCACCGTAAGATCTGAATCCATCGCCAAAAGAAAATACTGATTTACGAGTTCGGAGAGTGAGTTGCGCACACTCGTTGAGGCTCAAAAGACTGAATCTTTCAGTTAATAAAAACGTTCTAATGACGTTGCAGTTCAGTCTATAAAATCTTAGATTACAGAGATGCTATCACAAATCCACTGCACGTCGCAATGCAGTGTATCGGTATGACCATCGTACATAAAGATTGTGTGCACCTCGTTCAAAATGCTCGCAAGTTATGACAGGGTTAATAATTTCAATTTGAAAGGTATTTCTAATTCATCTACTCCTCGTCAGCACCGGCAGCAGTATCCACCAGCTCGTACTTGCCCAGGACATCATCCCAGGTAGTATCACCGGACACCAGGTCCTTAACCAGCACAATGATCTCATCGATCCGAGCCACGGATCTGCTTGGTCGTGTCACGCTCACGCAGCGTCACGGTCTGGTCCTGGGCAGTCTGGAAGTCGACGGTGATGGCAAACGGCGTGCCCAGCTCATCGTTACGGGCATACCGGCGGCCAATAGACGCCGAAGCAGCATCGTCGACACGGGCCGGGACACCGTTGGAGCGCAGGCGACGCGCAATGTCGCGCAGCGGCTTCTCGAAGCTGGCGTGGTTCGACAGAGGCAGGATCAGGCACTTGAAGGGCGCCACAGCCGGCTTGAAGCTCAGCACGGCGCGCTGCTCGTCGTCAGCGCGCACGCTGAACGAGTGCTCGATCAGCGAGTACAGAATGCGGCCGATACCAAAGGACGGCTCGATGACGTTCGGGGTGTACTCGCGCACGTGCTCGGTGAAGGTCTTCTTGGAAATCTCCACCATGTCCTTGGTGATCGCGTGCTCGCCGTCAGCGATGGTGCCGCTGAGCGTGATCTTGGCCAGGCCGTCGGCCAGCAGCTGCTCGTTGATCTTGGCCAGCTCGGCCTCGGGCAGGGTCTCGAGGTAGGTCTGCACGGGCTTGGCAGCCTTCTTCAGGGTCGGGCCGAACACCTTCTTGTTGGTCTCGCACACAAGCTTATCGTAGACGAGCGGCTCGGGCAGAGTCTCGCGCACGCACATCTTCTCCTTGGTCTTGTTGGCGTGCACAGTGAGGTCGTAGGCGGAGCGGTCGGCGCATCCGACGCACTCGATCCAGCCGTACGACGTCTTGATCTCGGCGTCCCAGCAGTCGCAGGCATAGTGGGCCATCTCGTTCTGCAGGTGCTGGCGGAACCGCAGCAGGTCGTGGTTGATGCCGATGGCCATCAGGAACAGGTAGATGCGGCCAACAAAGTAGCCGAGGGTCTTGTTGTCGATGATGCCCTGGGCGACCGCCTCGCCGATGGTGATGGTGATCGGCTCGGTCTTGCCCTCCAGCTGCACGGTGCCCGGCAGCAGACGCACCTTGATGTCCTTGACCTCGTCGAAGCGCGGGTGGATCTTGTCCTGCGGGTCGACAAAGTGCTCGATCTCAGCCATGGTGAACTCGCGCACACGCAGGAGGCCCGAGCGCGGCGAGATCTCGTTACGGAACGAACGGCCGACCATGGCCGACGCAAACGGCATCTTCTGGTTGTTGAACTCGAGCAGACGCGAGAAGTTCAGGAACTGGCCCTGCGCGGTCTCGGGCCGCAGGTAGCCCTTGAGCTGGCCGGTCGGGCCAATGCTGCTCTCGAACATCAGGTTGAACTCCACCGGCGCCGTCACCTCGTTGCCTGTGGTCGGGTTGCGGATATCGAAGCGCTTGATCAGCTCGCCCAGGCCCTGCCCGTCGTAGTTGTCGATCTGCGCCAGGATGCTGCGCAGCTCCTCGGCCACAGCGTCGTCCAGCTTGGTTGCTACCACGGGGCCGCCCTTCTTCTTGTTCTTCTTGGCCTTCTTGTCGTCGGCAGGCTTGGCCGCCTCGGCGACCTGCTCGCCAGCCGCCTTGCGCGCCAGCGCATCTCCCTCGAGACGCGCCTCCAGGACAGCCTCAACAAGGTGGTCAGCACGGAAGATCTCGCCGTTCTTGGTGTCTTTGCACATCCAGTCAGCGAACTTCTCGACGTGGCCAGAGGTCTTCAGCACCTCGGCCGGGGTCATGATCGAGCAGTCGACCTCGAGCATGTCCTCCTCAATAACGAAATGCTGGCGCCACATGCTGATCAGGTTCTGCTGCAGGGCAGTGCCAGTCGGTCCAAAGTCGTACAGACCAGCCACGCCGCCGTAAATGCCAAAGGACGGCGCGTAGAAGAAGCGCTTGAGCAGCAGAGACTCGAGCGTCGGGCGGTCGATCGCAAGCTTGTTATCCGACATGGGTACTGGTTTGAATAAGCCTGCTGTTTTCGTTGAACCAAGCCGTTGTGCGTATACAGAAAAGGTGGGTGGTCGAATTAGTCGTTTGCTGTGCCTTGCCAGAGATGCAAGTATGGTCATTGCTCTGAAGTTGGCCAGGGATTGCTACAGAACGGGAGAAAGAGAGATAGAGACTTACTGTAAGAGTTGGGGTGAGGAACTGTGGAATAAATATTAGTCGCAATTAGCCTTCGCAGAGTATCGAAAGTAGAGGAAGCGAGAGAAAAAAGCGGGTACAAAAGATCGGGGAAGCCAGCAGAAGGAAGCTCGGTCTGGAAAGGAAAAATTTTATACTGCGAGTGTCGTTTCGCAAAAAGTTGAGTCACGATTTGGCTGGCCGTATATGACAAACGGTCTGCTCCTGGCTACATATCGCATTTCGTTGTGTGCATAGTTTTATGTGTGGCTCTGCCTGCTAAATGGAGCCAGGCTGTTGCCGGGTATATATTGGCAAGATGTCGATGATCTGCTGTGGTGTCGTTAGAAAAAGAAGGAAAAGAAGGGGTGCTGGAGCGAGCAGGACCTGGCTCCAAGCAGGATCCAGGAGGGAAACCAACAACAGCGGGGATATTTGCTGTTGCTGCTATCCAACAGAAGGAAACAAAGGAGAGCCAGCCGCCACAAAAGAGGGGCTTGGGAATGACGCGGCTGTGGGGGAGGAATGGTGGTAGAGGCATCTCTTCATCAAGCTCCTCAAATAGAAGCTAACCGCCGGCTACCCTTAGAACATGTTCTGCGAAATGACCTGCTGCACAGTCTCGGGGATAGCCGGGGTGATTGGCACGCCGCCCTTGCGCTGCATCTCGCTGGTATACGCCTGCTCCAGCTGGTGGTTCTCCCAGACGTGCTCGACACCGCGCTTCCACCCAACATGCTTCTCTGAGTGCTCGCGGTCCTCACCGACACCGCAGCGGCCGCCCTCGGCAACCCAGTCCTCGGTGCGCTTGAGCCCCAGCTTGTTCCACACCGAGTCCAGGGCGCCCAGCAGGCGCGCGCGCATCATGTCCGAGTGGCCCGGGCTGGGCGTGATCCGCAGGCGCTCCTCGCCAACAGGCACAGTCGGGTAGTTGATGCTCTGCACGTAGATGTTGTGCTCGCTCAGCAGCATGTCGGACGCGCGCTTGGCGTTCTCGGCATCGCCCACCAGGACAGGCACAATGTGCGACGGGTTGGGCACCACGGGGATGCCGGCCGTGGCCAGGTCGCCCTTGAGCTGGCGCGTGTGCGTCTGCTGCAGGTAGCGCTCGCGCTGCGACTGCATCAGGTACTGGATGCTGGCCACGGCACCGGCGTTGATGGGCGGCGGCAGCGACGTGGTGAAGATGAAGCCAGGGGCGTACGAGCGGATCATGTCCACCAGCGACGACGACGCGGCGATGTAGCCGCCGACGATGCCAAAGGCCTTGCCCAGCGTGCCGGTGACAATGTCCACCTGGTCCATGACCGAGCCGGGGATGCGCTGGCCCATCGGGGCCACGCGGCTCGCCTCGTAGTCGTAGTGCTCGGCCACACCCGCGCCATGCGCGCCGTACATGCCCACCGCATGAACCTCGTCGAGGAAGGTGATGGCGCCGTACTTCTTGGCCAGGGCCACAATCTCGGGAATGCGCCCGACGGTGCCCGACATCGAGTACACGCTCTCGAACGCAATCATCTTGGGCTGCGAGCGCGGGTACTGCTGCAGCAGCGCCTCCAGGTGCTCCAGGTTGTTGTGGTCAAACACGTGCTTCTTGGCCTTCGAGTGCCGGATGCCCTGGATCATCGATGCGTGGTTCATCTTGTCCGAGAAGATCACGCAGTCGGGCAGCGCGCTGCACAGCGTCGAGATTGTCGCATCGTTCGCCACAAAGCACGACGAGAACACCAGCGCCGCCTCCTTGCGGTGCAGCGTCGCCAGCTCCGACTCGAGCCGCAGGTGCAGAGCAGAGTTGCCCGCGATGTTGCGCGTGCCGCCGGCTCCCGCGCCGTATGTCTCGATCGCCTGCTTCATTGCGTCGGTGACGACCGGGTTCTTGCTCTGTCCCAGGTAGTCGTTGCTGCACCACACGGTCACGATGTTCTTGGCGTTGGCCGTGTGCGCCTGCGGGTAGCGCGCCGCCAGCCGGTTGATGTTGTTGAAGTAGCGGTAGCTCTTGTCTGAGTGCTTCTTGGCCAGCTTGTCCTGGTACAGGCCCTCGTAGTCGAACGCCGCCTCCTTGGTCTGGTGTGTGGCTGGGGTCTCGGATGCTACTCAGACATATGCCATATTGTAATCAGAAAATCATGCTGCATTATCGTGAGAACAGAGGCAGAGATGGGGCATGCATGCGAATCGCCTTTGCGTAATCACAAGGAAAAAAAAGACACCGCGCAGGCAAGCTGGGCTGAGATCCACAGCGCGGCGATGATAAAATCATTTTGATCTTATCTCAAGAGCAGGCTGCAAAAACAAAAGCCCAGATCCTTCATGCTGCTGTGGTTTCATAGCTTCCGCCAGTGGCCCCTGGAGGCCACAACACAACCACTCTTTCCCGCTTCCCACAGTGGCACTGGGAAAATGGCAGGAAACTGCTCTCTCCGCCACTCTCCGCCTCCATTTAGTAATACTACACTTACCGGACGCAGTCGCAGCCTCGTCCTTGGCCTTGCACTTGAAGAACGGGCAGCCCTCAGGGTGCGCGCTCGCCGCCGACGCCTTGGGCACGGCCGCATCGTTGACGCGCAGCGACGGGCCCATCACGGGGCACTCGGAAACCTTGGCGAGAAGCGCCGACTGGCCCGTCTGCCCAGGGCACACGCTGCAGCGTGCCTGCTGCGAGGCCGAGGTCGTCACGGAACGGGCCCCAGAGACGCCGGCCAGGCTCTTCAGCCCGGACACGCCGGCACGTGCGAGATAAGGACACGCCTTGTTCAGCATAGACATTGCCTTGGTAGGATCCATCGAGAGAAAGGTCAGCTAGAAGAGTCTGGTAGTGGTAGCGAGGCTGTGAATTGCTGGTGAATCAAAATTAAGAAGTTTGTGAGGGAAAGAGAGAAAGAGAGAGAGGCCAGGATATGCGCGGTAACTGTTCATCTTTAAAGCCCGGGCTTTTTTTTTATCTTTCCCTCCCCAACGCCGCTGGGACTTGCCTCCTCTTGGCCCCGCACTCTCCGGATCGCCGGCCGTTTGCTGAATTGACACATGCCCAATCGGAGCAGTCGGCCTTCATGTCTGCCCTGGTGGTCCGCACTTCGGCACATGCCTTCTGCAGAGACCGCCTGCCTCGCAACCACACCCAGCTGCACACCGCTTGCGGATCAGTCCCGTCAATATATGTAAGAACACTGCTCACAAAAGAGTCAATCTATGACGCATTGCGCAGCTTCGCCAGCCGCTCCGTCAGCTCCGAGTCCTCGGGCAGCGCCTGCGGGGTCACCATGTTGCCCAGCTCCTGCTTGAGCTCCAAGCCCGCCTCATCCGCAACCTGCTGCATCAGCCCGTCCACCTCATCCTGCGGCGTAGTCAGCGTCGTCGCTCCGCCCATCGCCCCCTCCATATACCCGGTCTGCACATCGAGGTCCTCGAACTGCGACTCGAACTTGTCCATGACCATCGAGATTTTCTCGAGATTCATTGACTCCATTGCCCGGTCCATGCCGCGCACCACGTTGGCCATCGAGCCCGTCACTTGCCGCATCATCACCGCCGTCTGCACCCGGCTCGCCACGGCGTCGATGCGCGACGACAGCTTGATCAGATTTAGGCTCTCGTTCTTCTTGCGGATCGCGTTCGACGCGTAGATACGCGCGCTTTCGTTGTCGCCCTTCTGGATAGCCTACTTGAACATACCCTGTTAGCTCCCTCCCATGCGTCGTAGAGCAAACAGTGACCAAAACGAATGCCCAAAACCTCCTCCGTCTCGGATACCTGCCTTCTTCAGCTTTAGCCGCTCCTTCTGCTCCTCCTTCTCGCACCGCTTCGACTGTCGTGCTAGCGACTTGGCTGTAAACTACAGGGTCCCGCTCACCTCCATTAGTCTTTCCCTGTCCTCCTTTGTCGCCGCATCGCCAGCTGCTGGGCGCATTTCTGCGAGACTTACTTTGAGCTGGAACAGGCTGTCTACAAAGCAGAGGGTGTGGGTTATTTTAGTCAAGCTGCTCCTTTCCTGCTGCCGCCTTATGCTGGCTGCCAAACGCAATACGCACTCTCCATTGTGTGTCCTAATTTATAAAATCGTAGAGTTACAGAAAGAAAAGAGGGACGGGGGAGAGAAGCCCAGTGGAATTTCAGGCCAAGACCACACGTCGCCCAAGCGGGCTTTGTGCCTGGCCACCGGAATACGTGTGACCAAGGCGAGGTTTATGTGCCAAGAACGTGGCGGAACACGCAGCCCAGAAAATATATCCTCCGACATTTATTGGGAAATCTAGAGCTTAGCCATCACCGCCGGGAACCCAGACACGGTGACGCCGGGAGCAGGCTCCACGCCGACATACGTGACCCTCAGATCGTCGACGACGATTGCGAAGCGAGCCAGGCGGATCGGGCCCATGCGGCGCGCGGTGCCGTCATTAACCAGGCCAAGCTTGCTGCCGAGCTCGCCGTTCGCATCGCTGAGCATCAGGATGTCATCCTTGACGTTGTACGACTTGCCCCATGCGTGCATAACAAATTGGTCGTTCGACGCAACACACGCAACGATCTCCACGCCCTTGGCCTTCAGGTCCTGCACACCCGCGACATAGCCGGGCATGTGCTCCTCCGAGCACGTCGGCGTGAAGGCGCCTGGGACAGCAAACAGCACGACCTTCTTGCCCTTGAACGCCTCGTGCGTCTTGAGCTGCTGGGGCAGACCGCAGGCGTCCGGGTTGGCCGGATCATACGGAAGGTAGGTGAGAATCGCGTCCGGGAAAACGTCGCCGACCTTGATAACCATCTTGGCGGAAAAGTGTGTGGGCTTTTTTATTTTTGCAAGTGAAGAAGAGATTGAAGGGCCTTTCGAGATATCGCAGGGCTGCGTCTTGTGCTCTTTGTTGGCCTCATCGGAGTTGGGCGGTTGCGCCGTAGCGTCCGGTGCGGCGAATTTTTGCCACAGAAAGGCTCCGCTGTGGTCTCCGCAGCTGATTCGCCTACCAGGCGCTCCCCAACCATCATGGCTGAGGCTGTGGCCTGTTTGAACTGTGCCTGCCAGGACTCCAAAACCATGTATAGATGATGCCTTCTCTTTTGCCTTTCCATGCACTGCAGACAGTGGGCACATTGCAGTAAAAGCAAAAGGCACGAATGAAAGCAGGTATATACTTGGTAAGCACGAGTAGCTGAATACCTACTAACCTTACATTCTGGGCTCAAGCGATTGGGAATCAAGTGTGCTTTACCACACATCCACATCAGTGCCTAGCAGATTATGCATCCGGTTGCTGCTGCTGCGTCGCTACTTCTACATGCTGCCTGTATATTATCAATACAAGACATGTCAAGCCGCAAAGCCATCTGCCCTAGCCTGACTGACCACAGAGCAGCATGTAGAAGACGCTGAGAACTCGACACATTCCAAACGCCCAGCATGATTCCTAAACACAGGGGACTCTAGCAGTCCCGGCATATGCCTCTCAATATCATAGCGCTCTCCCTCGTCCCGGGCAACAACGTGCTTCATCATTGGCAGCAATATCGCCAGAACCAGTATGCGCTCTGCAACATACAGGCTGTCGTTAAGCTGAAACCACGCCAGCGCAAGTGTCTGGAACCGACACCTTTGCAGGATCGTGTGCCGTCGAGAGAGATACTTGACACCCGATTTGCCCACTCGCCGACGCGGTTGCCGCCGGGAATCCTCGATCCCGCACCTCAGCTTGACCTAGCTGTGGCAGCGACCCAATGACGCTAATTAGCCCATCCTGTGTGAACTTCATGTTGGGCAGGTCCAGCGACTGCACGCTATCCAGCACCTTGGAGTTATCGAGTAGGGTCAAAATATGGCTACAGCCTTCGGGCAGGTGCATCGGTGACTGAAGAGAGCGGAACCCGGGTGCCAGGCTCGATAGCAGGTTTAGGACCTGCAGGGACTCCTTCTCGAACTTGCCGTGTCTACTGTTGACTGGTCCGATGTTGATGTGGTAGAGATTCGGGAAATACCAGGGGTTCATAGCGATACGAAGCACAAAGTCATCGCGGAGCTCGCTAAACAGCGGCGCCGACAAGTGCTGTATCTTCGGGCTATTGCCACGCAGCAAAATGTCGCATTTGTACGGGTACTTGTCGTCGCACTCCAAGTACTTGAGCTCAGGGAACAGGACCACATCTGGCGCACTGAAGCCATCGGGCAGCTCAACCAGTGCCCAGGGCACTTTTTTGAACACAAGCCTTTTGAAGATGCGGGTACTTGAGAGGCAGCTTGATGTCGTCCTGGATAAGGTTGATGCACTGCTCCCGCTCCAATATGCTGAGACACAGCGATTCGAGCGTGCTGACACACAAGCGCGCAATCTGAACGTGTGCTCCTTCGGCGCTCGCGTCAGAGAAAGTCAAGGGATGTCAGTCCTTTTGAGTTGATTGCCTTGGGCATATACGGAGAGGTAGCGTATACGTTTTTGTTGACATAGTATACCCCCTTGGCGCTCTTGGTAATCAGCTCGAATATGCGGTCAATGTTTGGCTCGGAAATAGTCGCTGAATCGGCATCCAACCGAAAGACAATGTCGCTAGCTGCAGGGAGCATGGTCCGAAAGAGCCCGCAGAACTCGGATATGTTCTGGGCCACTTCTGCCTGCAAGCCCTCGGACACCGATATTTTGTCGGCACAGCCGGTAAAAATAACCCTCCTGATTTCTGGAAGCACCTTGCCCGCCAGAGGACCTGATTCCAAAAGTGGCACCAGCAGCCCACTGGCAATTTCTGCTAGCGGCACAGTAACATGCAGGGTCCTTTACCATCTGCTCTGCGCCAGAGTTGACTGCAGCCTCCAGGCTCGGAAAGTCGTTGTACTCGTCAGTGTTTCCGAAAATGTACATTTTGCTGCCGAGCTTGTCGCTGTCGCGCGAGACCTGCAAAAATACCTCTTGGTAAAGCAGAGGCCACGCAACGGCTCGCCAGTTCTGACACACTGACAGGAAAGAAAAGAACCCCTGGTCAATACCCAAGCCATCTGGGTAAGTGTTCAGGCGCTGCCTCGATGTCCTTTTCATATCTGAGGCAAAAAAGATTATTTGCTCGATAATACGCGGGGGAAGAACTGGGAAATTGAGTAAAACGACGGCATGCTGGCAAATGGCTGACTAGATTGTGAAAGCTGCGACAAAAGTTTGGAATAGGCAGGAGCAGTGAATGATGCGCGAAACCTTGTCCTTTTGTAATCGGTTAGCATCGGCTATGTCTGCTACAATGAGGTTGGCGCACAGCTTCCTTGTCCTGAGCCTGACCTACATATTCGGAAGAAGGATGACGCACATACAGACTTTACCAACAATGCAAGTGATTGCCATTGCTTAGATTCTTCGCTGTGTGAACAATAGGGTTATATCCCACATGATATAGTGCTAATTGGACGCGGGTACATTGAGATTAGGATCAAAGAACAGGAGAACAGGCCTGCAGCAGTTTGCCTCCACGATATGTCCTGTGTAGTCTAGTTGCATTGATGAAACATTGGCATGTGTAGATTTGTTATGGATGGATACACAGATATGTCGGCAAGAACAGCATCTCCATTGCCGACTATCCCGCACTTGCGATGCGAGATCAGCCAGCCAGTAAGTATTGATCACGCTGATAAGGCAGCAGAAAGGCAGCAGGAACCACGGCTGCAAGCCAATAAGTAACTGGTCGAACGAGTTAACTAATAATGCTATTATTATCTGCAGCATAGATTGAGGTTTGCTTGGCGCTGGTATTTCTGCTCCAGTTGGCCATTGGCAGTCACAACAGAATTGGCAGCAGCTGTTGTATTGAAGTATTCGGAGATGTTGACCTCGAAACGACAACGCACTTTGAAGCCACCATGCCAAACCAGCTGCATATAAGCCTGTACCCAGGACCACCCAGTCCCGCCTTTTATTCTCAGCCTTCACAGAAGTATTATCAAACTTTATGGATAATAAGATGGGGATCAAAAATGGCTATCAAGGAGGAATCCTGTCAGCCTCACCATCATCCAAAGCATAATTCTGAGATACTACATCCATGGCGGCATCTCCAGACCTACATAGCAGGTGGAAAGCACTCGCTTAGTTTCATAGGTATGCCACAGGTAGACGTCCTGAAGCAGGAAGACAGGTGGCTTATTTTAACACATTCGCGATATTCGATACTAAAATGGCATTTGTGAGCGTAATATAGTGTAAAGGGCAAATGCGATCAAACATTGTAGGTGGGCAGGGGCGTTTGCGTGGCTGTAGTCCAAGAACATATTCTAACAAATGGCGATGGGTATTGCAGCCACTCTATTCCGAGAGCAACCAAAATAAACCCAGGCTGCATTTGCCCGCTCGTTCGCTATCATTTGTATGTTCCTCCTACCACCCCCAGAATCCTACTATACAGCATCTTTGCATGCAAATTCTTATCCCTCTACTACTACTAGCCACACTGTGGACAGCATTCGCTAAGCGCGTTGTCCACAACTGGGACATCACCTATGTGACAACAAGTCGTGGCCTCGACCAGAAGCCCAAGCGCGGTATAGCAGTCAATGGGACGCTCCCGCTGCCGATAGTTCGTGCGTCCAAAGGCGATACGCTAGTTCTGCATGTCCACAACTCGCTCAGTGTGCCTACCTCTCTGCATGCCCACGGTATATTCCAGAACAATACCAACTACTATGATGGTACTGGCATGGTTCACTGAATGCTCTATCGCGCCGGGGACCGACTTTACCTACGAAATCCCGCTCAACCAGGCAGGAACATACTGGATTCACGGACATACGGCCGAACAAAACTTTGATGGTTTGAGCACGCCGCTTATCATTGACGACCCAGATGAACCGTATAGGTACGATGGCGAGTATCTGTTTGCTTTCGAAGACTGGTCTACAGCGACAATCAGAGAAATAAGGCCACTGATGGACATTCCCAGATCTCAAGGAATTCAGAAGCATGCTGCAACCGCTGACGCTAGTGAATGGGATTAGTTCCAATTACACGCCGCCGATTCACTTTCTCACCCGGAAAGACATACAGGATCAGACTGGTAGCAATGCAGAACTTGCCCACGGTGGAATTCTCCATCAACCAGCATACGCTGGAGGTTATCGAGGTTCGACTGGTGCGTTGATCCAAGCGCAGACCCATGCAGGCTGTCAGAGGTCAATCCTGGACAGCGCGTCTCAATGTTGGTTAGAGCCAAGCAGTCCCTGGCCAGCAACTACGCTTACCATATCAGTGTGACAAACTATTTCTCGCCGATTCCCCCAGGGTTCGTTCAACCACTTGTACAACGGAACAGTGGTCTATGCAGATGGACGCGGAGCTAGGCGCCGGTTGAATCCATCCTGTCTGAGCCGTTCGACGAGGTATCTCTTGGAGTCTCTGGACGAGTCACCGCAGCTTATTCCTGACCGCTCTCTGTTCATTAACTCGACAGTTGGTCATTCGCTGCAAAGTATCTACAAGGATACATTCAATAATGTGGAATTTATGGAGCCACTTGTGCCAACAATGTTCAGTGCGCTGACACTTGGTCACAGGATCATTGAACCCGTTCATGTATGGTCCCACAAACAAATGCACACATACTGAAAACACCTCGAGGTCGTTGAGCTGCTGCTGTATCACACAGGAAACATTCCCCACCCTTTGCACCTTCACGGCCACAGCTTTCAGGTGATTGCCCGCGGACTCGTCAACGACACCACAGGAGAATATCACCGCGAGGTCAAGCCAGGGCAGTCGCCGGTTACCAGAGATACGATATTTCTCATCCACGGAGAGTACGCACTTGTCCGATTCCGTGCAGATAATCCTGGGGCTTGGATGTTCCACTGCCATGTTGTTTTCCATGCTATTAGGGGCATGATGATGGTGTTTGTCGAGGCGCCGGATGTTATGCAGCAGAGGAATCAAGGTCCCGGAGTCAGTTGTCAGCCAGTGCAGACAGCAAGGTATCAAAACCACAGGAAATGTGGTCGGTAGCATGGGGTACAATATTGCCGGCGCCCCACATAGCCCGGATCTCTTGTTTTCATAATGTCCTTTAATGCATACTCTTCAGTAAGCATGGGCAAATATTCATATTCAGTTTTGTGGTAGTAAATACATATGAAGCAGCTACTTGCCATTGTTGCCGCTACCAGCAAACCCATCGTTGGCACCACTCCCATCCTCACACTCAGATTCCTTGTTATGCCTTCGATTCCTCGCTATCTGCAAGTTCCTCTTCCCCCTCTCCACGGTACCACCCTCGCCCTGCGATAGTGCCTCGCCCTCCTCATCTCTCTCTCCAAAGAATGGCTGTTCTCTCTCCTGGCTGCTACTCTCCTGCCCCTCACTGCCTCTACCGGTGTCAGCTCCTCCCCATCAATAATATTCTGGGTATCTACTTCGGCAAGCCCTGCCTGAATCTCACGCTTCTAGCTCGACCTTTCCTGTACTTGCCCAGTGTCAGCTGCCCCTCAACGCCAAGCTCCGTTACCAATGCCTTCAGGTAATGCACCTGCTATGCTACCCGAAAAGGGTGCGCTGGTGGCTGCCGAGCCCCAGCATACTCACCGGACCTGGCTATAAACACAGGTAGCCAGACAAGACATCATATGCTCCACACCCTACAGTCGTCCGTTTTTTCTTCCACTCAATATACGGTATACTCGTATTCTCGAGTAATGCCCCGTCCAGCAGATGGGCTGTTGTGCTCTGCAGCTGGGCCAAGACGGGTCTGGTCCCACCTGGGGCGAAGGTTTAATTTTCCACGTTGTCCGTATCTACGGATTACGAGGAAATAAAATCAGTTCAATCATCAACACGTCGCGCTGGCTTTTCTGGCAGCCCCTTGCTGTGGTTTCACGCTTTGCTTCAATTTATCCCGTACTCTTACCACAAGCTATAAATTCACACCACACAGCAAATGTCGGATGTAAGCAACTCACCGCCGGCATGACAACGCGCTGGACGACGAGCTTGATGACCTGTTTGGTGGAGCAGCGCCAACAAATGACAGCGAGCTCTTGGACAAGGTCGAGGAAGCTGAGGAGGAGGCGCCTGCCGAGGAGCTGTCAGCCGAAGCCTCGGCGCTACAGAAAATGCCAAAATTTAAGCGTGCAGTGGTACGAAGCAGCCCTACCACTGAGGCCCACCCGGAGGAGGCCGAGAGTCCGAGCCAGCCAGAGCCAGAGAGCGCGCTAATGGACGACGACGAAGAAAGCAGGCCGTCAGAACCCATTAACCCTAAGCAGGCTGAAATCGACGAGCTGAACCGGCGGATCGACGCGGCACTAAAGTCTGGCCGAGCGCGCAAGCGCAGAAAGGCTGACGAGGACGATGTCGCAATCGACGAGTCGATCGCCAACCTGCGCAAGCGGATGCGGGACGCGGCGTACCGCGACATTGACGATAATAAAGACGGGCTGCCGGCAATCCACAAGATGGGGATGCTGACCGACGTCACTGACGAACTGCGCAAGACGCACCTGTACGAGGCGTTTTTGGAAAACAACATCGTGGACTCGCTGCGGTTGTGGCTCGAGCCCTTGGACGACGGCAGTCTGCCGGCACTCGATATCCAGAACGCACTGCTGGATATCCTCGGAAAGCTGCCAATTCGGCGCGACCATCTGCGCGAGTCGGGCATTGGAAAGATCATCATGTTTATGAGCAAGTGCCCGCGCATTCCTGAGCGCAACCGCCGCGTGTGCGAGCAGTTCGTGCAGCGCTGGTCGCGTATGGTGATGAAGCTCAGCTCCAACTTCCGTGACCGCAAGATCCGCGAGACCAAGGTCAACCTGGATCGCCGCCACTTTGCTGGAAGGCCAATGCAAGGCAACGAGGAAACTAGGCGTGCGCCTGGCGGCATCCAGGTGCAGAGCGGCTCAGGGGAAGGATGGTGAGCGGGCCACCGCGCGCATCCCGCAGCGTGTAGCCGCGAACTACAACGTCATGCCGGTGTCGTCGGTCAACGCTTCAATGGAGCAGATGCGTGGCGCCGGCCGTGATGTAGACAAGTACAAGCGCCTGAAGCAAACCATGTACAAGGGCGGGCGTAGGCAGTGAGCCGGTATTCTACGAGCCGGAGTTTACAGGTCTGCAATACTTCGATTTCTCCGTCGACCTATGACAGGGATACATAAGCTTACGAGTTGAACATAAAAAGACAAGGTTAAAAACACAATTTAATACAGGGGAACATGGAAAAGCGACTTTCATTGCGGCGTGGCAGGAAGCAGTTTGGCGAGGTCAAATGTCGATTTGACCAGCCCGGAGTCGGCGCACGAGTTGCGGATGTACATTTCGCGCTGGTGGCTGCTGCCACACACCACCTCGTACAGGCTCTCCTCGACGCTCAAGCCCAGACTGGTGCCCATGGTAATCCTTGCGTGCTGCAGAAAGTCCTCCGAATATGGCCGGCGCACTGACTTTGTGACGCGCAGCATGGTGCCCAGCCCCTCGTGTGTCTCGAGCAGCGGCATGCCAACCAGCTCGCCGCAAGTCTGCTCCTCCATGCCTTCGATCTCGTCCAGCGAGTAGTTGACAGGGAATCCATGCACTGACATTGATTCGTCCTCGAGGGTGCATGCTGACATCCGGCTCGGCGACATTTCGCCGACCTGGCCGCGGTCCAAGAACGTGTCCTGGCTAGAGATAGCCGTGACATCTGACCCACGCGACGCCCGGCATCCTGGCTGCGAATCCTGGCCAACCAGCGCAGCAAGACGCCCAAGCTCCTCAGATATCTCTGTCCGGGACACAATCATACTGAGTGACCTCGCAGTGCCGTGTGCCTGGCGTATACCACACCTGGCATTCTCGCTCACCACGCGCGTCACATCGATGCGCGACGGCCGACGTGGACGTGGACCCAGCGCCAACGCAGACTCGAAATGCACCAGCGACGAGTGCGGGTCCATGTTCTCCGGGCTATTAAACTGCGGCCAATCGGGAGCATGGGGCTTCGTGCGTGTGTACAACCTTGTCGACGAATACAGCGTGTGCGGGCTGTCGCGGTACTCGCCCTGCCCTGGATCCAATGGCACCAGCGGAGCTGACCAGCTCACGCAGATCTGGCCATCCCGAGTCTTCACGCAATGGCGACCGCGCCACTAGCTTTGGCCGCTGAATGCCCCGCGGCTTGACAAAATTGGCTGGCGGATCACTCTTGCACGATGCGCTGCCTGGGTGAAAGTCGGCTGCAGGCTTGGCTGCAAATATTGTCTTGAATCGGGACATAATGCGGCTTGGTCGGTTCCTGCCATCCACCCGTGCCGGCTCGTGGGCGGGCAGGGATGGCCTCAGCAGAGCGGGAGGTGCCGAGTGCTGCGCCTTTCGCGATGTTGGTGGGTAGAACACTGGGTTCTTGGGAATGTCCATAAAGTCGGACATTGGGTAGTATTTCAAGGTGGGATCCGGGCTGGCTCGCCGAACCCTTGCTACGCAACCAGCGCATGGTATTATATATACGGCGTAGAAAATAGAGCAGTACCAGGAATAAAGGATATGCGTTCCCGTGTTGTATGTAGAAACCAGAAAGGCGACAGAGGAGATGGGGAGTGTCGTGCTCAAATGCGAAAAGTGAGGGAGGGAGAGGAGTTTCTGGATGGAGTTGAGCGAAGCAAGCTCGGTAGCGGACGCGGCGCCTGGCGGGGTACAAATATGTTCAAGGGAGCGCATGCTCCAGACACATTTGGGGAGGAGTGTGCACCGATTTGGAACTGCATATTTATTTTTACTTGGCACACATTGCACAGGACGCTCGGACGTCCCTCCCCGTGCCTTCCTCCACCTCCCGCTCTTTGTTAATTGGGAGGAGGACATGTCAATGCCAACCGACACCCAAACAGGAACCCACCACCTCTTATTCTTTGAACCATTAATGGGGCTATCATATCGGCTGCTAAATGTGGACTGGGGGGCGACCGAGGAAGAATGGCGTGGCCACCGATAATGCTGCTTCAGTACTATTTCATCAACCCGATTGCTCCCAGAATGATAATTGGCGCACCCCACCCGCTGTCCCTCCTCCCTCCTGCCCAGATGGAGCCGACATACACAGCTGCAGCAAGCAAGGACAGCAAAAGCAATTAGCGTGCGCGCCCCGTATTCCCTCAATTTCGCGCAACCATGGTGCTTGTATGAGCGAGAAGGAGCATGCGTTGTCTTGCAACCAGAACCAAAAATGAGCTGCATATGAGATACAATGCCGTTCGACTGCAGAGCATGATCATCTGCTCGGCATTCCTCTCAATTCCAGCGCAATACTTCCTGCTTGTGCTCTGCTTGGTTGGTCGGCATCCAATATTAGCAGCATTCAGCTGTGGTCCCAGCCCCTCTCCCAGGCAAACCCCAAGGTCGGGAGGATATATCGGATGACATGTTGTTCCATGAAAAGGGGGCTGCGATGCATGCTTGTAGAGCGAGTGGAGCAAGTGGGCACACGGGCATTGAGATGCGGAATAGGTCTTTTCAATATTTGCTCAGCACAAAGTGGCATGGGCTGGCCCTCTCCTCCTCCGTGCCCGCGTGTGCTAGTGGCTTGTTATTTCCACGATCCAATATGGCAGATGTTGTCAGTTCCTGTTGAACACACAATATGCCTCTGGTATTTTGCATTCTGCGTAGAATATTTTTCTTCAATTGCAAAGGAAATCGAAAACAAACGATTATAAATGTAAACAAAAACCTAGCAGCCTGTGAATGGGGATGGGAAAGTCAACAGCAGATAGTAGTGGCGAATGGCTACACCGGAATAGCTGGATTGCCGCTGGCCGACTATGTGCTACATTATCACACGACACTCCCTGTCTCTTGTTGCAGATGGTGCTGCTGCTCGACATACAAACGCAGATATTCCTCCCAGATGTTCTTCTCCTGCTCTTTGGACAGCAGCTCCAGGTGCAGCCGTCCAAACCGCCATATATGACACTGCGAATTTGTGTTCCGCTCCGGGTAATACATCGACGCCTGGCCATACTACTGCTGCTACATCATCGACGTGGTTGCCACGCACCCACAAGACACGCAGCATGCGACCAAAAATACGAATTCGCAGGATCTGGTTGGGTGCTGCAGGGAACATACGGTCACTGATTGACGAGCGCATCAGCAGACAGCACACGAGCCCGACAGCAACTAGTGCCATCATCCAGGCAAAGTTCACGTTATACGGTTTTGTATCGTACCGCTTGTAACCACTTGACAGATAGTGGTTGACAATACCTGTGAATGTCAGGCCGCCGCCAACCGACGCAATCGACCAGGCAGTCAGGAACACGCCGTGGCAGCTGCTTGTGTTGCTGGAGCCATACATATCGGACAGGAACGCAGGGACCATGCCGAACCCGCCGCCGTAGCAGAGAGTGGCTATCCATATTAGTATTAGGAACGGCCAGAAGTGGCCGCTGGTAATTGTCATTGGGATGCACGCGAGCACGACAATTTGCACGATGAGCAGGATGAGAAACGTAGTCTTGCGGCCGATCATATCTGACATGAAGCCAACCAAGACACGGCCGCTCATGTTGAATGCGCCCTCAATCGACACGGCTACATGCGATTCCAGAGGTGGAGCATGCGGTACTTTTCCTTCGCGTCCAAACAGGCGGTTGATTAGCGCTGGCAGGTTCGATAGCACAACTAAGCAGAAGACGATGTTGGCCAGGAATGCCACATACAGGAGCCAGAAATCGCGCGATTTTAGGGCCTCGCCCAAGGATATATGGATAGTCGGACGCTCGGTGGCAAGCGTGGTGGCATAGTATGACTGCTGAGTCTCAGACACGGTCACCGATGATTTAGCAGGAGCACTATCCCTGGCTGTCCGATCTAATGCAGCCCGGACCTCGCTGCTAGTGTCAACAACAGGAACGCCTTCAATATTGCGGCCAGGCGGCGGTGGGCAGATGAACTGGATGCAGACAAACATGGCTGAAATGTTGATCGCGCCAAGGATTATGAAGGCAGACGAAAGACTGTACGAGCCGATGAGCCACTTGTTGATGTAGCTGAAGGCCAGAGCCCCACCGCCAAACCCCATCACGGCGCCTCCAGCCGCTGCACCACGCGCCCTCGGCCACCACTTGCTGGAAGCGTCGATGGTCGATACATATCCGATTCCGAGTCCGATGCCAGCAATAAAGCCGTAGCCAAAGTATAGCAATGCAAACCTCTTCACATGGATGGCCAGGGCGGCCATGAGGTGCCCGGCGAAAAACATCACCATGCCAATATAGCCCGACTCCAGTGGATGGCTCGATTCGATCCAGGGCCCGAATATCGCACCTGTGACGCCCAATACGCCGAGCGCAATGTAGAACGTCGTCTCAGCACGGCCTTTGTCTGGGTCATTCGACAAAGCCTTGTTAATGGGGCTGTTGAAAACTGACCAGGCATATACGGACCCGTAGCAGAACAGAATAAGAAAGCCGGCAGGAATGGCCATCCAGGGCTGGCACCGCAGAAGCCCGAAAAACACCCACCGGTTGCGCTCGATCTGGGCCGGGTTTGGTTTGTATTCGGTGTAGCTGTAGTAGTCCATGAGTTTGCTATATATGCGCCTTGTCTTCCGGCAGCTTGCACTTTAGCGGTAGTCGGCTGGAAGCTGGGCTACCCTGTGCAGTAGCATCGCTGCTACTCGGATGAGGCATCTGAAGCGTGAGGATATGATAACAAAAGCTGGTTTGTGTTTGCCCTGCTCCTTCCAGAGAACGGAACGGTTCTGGCAGTGTGTCAAAAATCAAGTATAATATTCAAGCTGCTGGTGAACAGTGACCTCGGGGCACTGCCTGGTATAGGTGTAGGCAGGCAAGGCCGTGTTGGCAAAAAGAGCAAAAAAGAGCAAGGGGCAAAATGGATAAACTAGTTCGAGCAGAAAGCTGGAAAGGGATCTAGCTGCTATTTGATACCCCAGAACACTTGTCTAGCATATTGTCGAGCACCCGCCGCAGACGAGTTTGCTCGTGGAGGCAAGTGCTCAGCTGTATTTTGCTTTACGCAAATAATACATTAGAGAAGAATCTAGTTTCAACCATTGCATCCAGGATAAACCAAGCGCTCCAGTTGTTGGTGCACACCAATTCGGAGGGCACAGCTGCCCGACGCCACCTACTCAGGGCATTCACAAGGCGAAGACTGTCTGGAAAACAGCTGACACCCACCCACATCCCCGCTGCGCTAGCATTCGAGTCGTCGCGGTATGGGTTTGCAGACTTGTCACAGGAGTATATGAGCACTGCGCCGTGCATTCACTCATGCCTCAAAAGGCGGCACTGTCTAAACAATGCAGACATGTGAGACACACCCAGGCGTCGACAATAAATTCGGTGGCGGGTAGCGGTAGTATCACAGCTGGCCTGAGGAATATACATGTGCCTTTGCATATATTGGCAAAACAACAGCTACGCATGGCGTTCCTACAAGTCGCTTCAAATGGCTTGTCATTTGCATCCACGAATAAGGTAGAATGAGGTAAAAGACAATATAGTGCGGGCCCGAAGGAGTGGGGGTTCAGGGAGCAGCAGCGCCAGAGTCAACAGCCATTGCGGCGCCAGCATCCGCAGCTGGTTCAGAAGCGCCCACGGGACCGTCTGAGACATTCAAAAAATCCAGGATCTCGTTGTACATCATGACCTTCCACTCCTCGACAGGCAGGTCGGCGTCGTTGAACGACCAGTCGAACCGGTTCTCCGCCACGGGCTCATCGGCCTCGTCGTGGTAGGTGGCCAGGTACGGGTGCGCCAGGGCCTCAGCAGCAGTGATACGCCTGCGGGGATCAAACACCAGCATCTTCTCCAGCAGGTCCAGAGCCTGCGGGTCAATGGTGCGGAACCGCTCGCTGAATGGCACGGGTTCGCGGTGCGGCAGCGACTGCACAAACCGGAGCGTGTTCTCGCTGCCGATGGTCTGGATGACATCGTCGGGCGGCGTGCCCAGCAGCTCGGTGATGATCGAGAACTGGTGGACGTGGTCGTTGCCAGGGAACAGCGGCGTGCCCTCGAACATCTCGGCGAAAATGCACCCGGTGCTCCAGATGTCCACAGCCACATCGTAGTTCTGCCACGTCAGCATGATCTCGGGCGCGCGGTAGTAGCGCGTCGACACATACCCAGTCATCTGCGGGTCCTGTACGCGCGCTAATCCAAAGTCGCAGATCTTCAGGTCGCAGTTCTCGTTGATCACAATGTTGGACGGCTTCAGGTCACGGTGGATCACGCCTGCCGAGTGCACGTATTTCAGGCCGCGCAGGATCTGGTACAGGAAGTACTGGATGAACTGCTGCTCCAGCGGCCGCGACTGCCGCAGCCGGTGCAGGTCCGTGCCCAGCAGCTCTGTCACGAAATATATGTCCTCCAGCGACGAAATGAAGATGTCGCTCATGCTGATGATGTTCTCGTGCCGCAGGTGCTTCAGCAGCTTCAGCTCGCGGTACGTGCGCTTAGCCAGCACAGACGAGCTGAACGGCCGCATGATCTTCTTGACAGCGACCGCCTGCCCTGTCAGTTGATCGCGTGCAGAGCTACGTGTGGGAATGGGAACAGGAAAGCCAAGGCTGTCAGCAAGAAGGGCGCGCTTCCCTGCTGGCTCATGACACGCTCATATCTCTACTTACCAGACCAGACCAAATGCGCCCATGCCCACCGGCTGGAGGTCGGTGTATCTACAGCAGGCACCGGGGGATAAAATTAGAAATAAGGTCGACCCGGGCGAATTACCACGTATGAAAAAACCGGTTAATTTCCTTTTTGTGGAATGCTGGTGCTGGAACCCTATCCCACCCGCGACCGTCCTTACCTCGTTGTGACCTCGAACACAGTGCCGAAAATCGATAGTCTAACAAAGTCGGCCATGCCAATGACGCAAATGAGATTATGACTGCAATTAAAACAAGTGTAGAAAAAATAATGCGAGAAGCTCGGGTCAAAACAGGGAGACGAAAGTGGTATTTTTCGAAACGATCATTGGAGATACCAAATACTGAAAAAAGCCTGACCGCCGCCATTTTCTGGAAGTGTTCGCAGACAGCCTGTGCGTACATTTTTCAGCTCAGGCCAAGCACACGTCTATTTCTAAATATTTCAGTTGTCCGAAACAATGCCGATAACACGGCACACCCATTCAACAACCTCCTCGCTCGCGAGCCAGGTGGCCAGACTCATCCAGCGCGCATCCCAGCCGACCCGGTACGTGGACTTTGGATAGCTGCTGGTCAGCGAGTGCAGAATTGCGCCGACTGCATGGTGCGTCGGCAGAGCAAAGATCGGTGCCAGCTCATTCGAGGTCTGGATCCGGCGGATCATCGGGTCATACAGCGTCTGGTTCTCTGACCTCTCGGGCTCATTGGCAGGGGTAGCCGGCGATGACGACGGCGTAGCCACGGCCTCGTCGCCAGGCATGGCCACTGGTGACTCGCGGCCCGACTCATCGTCAATCTGCTCGGCGGAGCGGCGACGGCGCAACGGCAGCCCGTTCAGGCGCGAGTGGTGGAACTGCAGCTCGGCCTCGAGCTTTTTCCACAGTGCAGTGCGCGTTAGGCCGGGCTCGACCACCGATACCGACATGCCGCTATTGGCGAGCTCAAAATGCCAGGCGCGACTGGCAGCGGAGAGCGCAGCCTTGCTGGCGCAGTAGACGCCAAAGCCTGGGCCGATCAGCCATGCCATGATGCTCGACACATTGACGATCCGCCCGCTGCTGGCGCGCAGCAGAGGCATGAACTTTTGCGCGACGCCGACCGGCCCGGCAAAGTTCACAGCCATGCAGTAGTCGATGAAGCTTGTCGCTGCTATGTCCATGGGGCCCGAGGCTGTGACGCCTGCGTTGTTGACCAGGCCGACCAGCGGGATGCCGCGCTTCTCCAGCTCCTCGCTGACCTTGTCGAATGCACCATCGATCGACTTCTTGTCGGCCACATCGAGAATCACGGGGATGATCGATCCGGTCTCGCGAACCAGCTGCTCATACTCGGGTGCCGACTGGTCCCGCGCACTAACCGCGTTGGGATCGAAGTGCTCGGTCTTGCCGTTCACCGCCTGCGACCGCTGCTTGCGGCGCCTCAGCCGGCGGCTCGTGACGGTCTGCGGCACTATCGTCGCCTCGTCATCGCTGCTGGCCTCGGGCTCGGGCTGTTCCTCAGTGGCGCCCAGAGACCGGTGGATATTGGCCAATAGGCGTTCAACCCACGACGGCCTTGCCCACCGGTTCTTGTAGATAGTCTGCGGCTTGATCGAGTCCAGAAAGTCATTCTCCACACGTGCACCGTCCTCCCATCGCCGCACGCCTGCGAATACCGTGAATCCCTTGGATGCCAGGGCTATCGCCGTGTCGTGCCCGATGCCAGAGCTGGTGCCCGTGACCAGGATCGCCGGGTGGTAGTCGCTCGACGGCTTGTGCACCGGGAACACCACGCGCGCCTTGGGCAGCAGCGACAGGAGCATGCAGATGAGAACGTGCCACCAGTTGGTTACCGTGTCGACAACTGTCAGCAGGTGCGAGCCGACCACAACGACTAGCGAGCACACCAGGTACAGCGTGTGGTTGCGTATAAAGGACTCTTTCATTAGGGCTGTTTCGTTAAAGTTCGTTACAAAGGGGGAAGTAGAAAGGTAAAATCGATAGAGAAGAATGAAGTGGAAGCAGAGACATGAAGCGAGAGATCGAAAAGGGGAGCTCGAACTTTAACCGCTCATTTCATCATTCTGACATCTGAAAGAGGACCACCCAAACAGCTCCAGTTGAGGGGAACTATCACGTGATCTGATTTGCAGATCAGCAGGCGCTCGGCCAGATGCGGCTGCACACCCTGCCTGTATGCCTCTGTACGGCACGGAGCAGATATCGAACATAAGCACATGTGAGGCACACTGGAAGCGGCAGTATTCCACATTACACCGGCGGAGACCAGGGCCTGATCATGGAAAGCCAGGCACCATCGAGGAAACGACGGCTGTCAATAATGCGCGAAGGGAAAGCAAGGCGAGTGCTCTCCTACATCCCAGTGGCCAGTAGCAGGCTCACCGGAATGCCCGCTGCGATGGCAGGCGAAGTGAGCCCATTTCTACATCAATTGCAACTTGCATGGTGTTGCAGTCCGAATGCACCTTTGCGGTTTTGAAAACAGCGCCGTTGAGGTGTGTGGCATGTGCCGCTGCGTCTGAATAGATGCAGATTTCAAATGCTGCTTACCCACTGTCCCTATTCATGCAAATGACATATGCTTCCAGAAGCAGCACTGCCGACAAAGTGTTCCTGATCAGGTTCGCTGGCATAATCGCAAGCACAGGCTGTTGTTTGCAAAATGCAGCAGCATTTTACTGCGCCCTGCTGGCCACACATTGGGCACCAAGCAGAAAGAGTGATCCACTGACTTGATCTTTTGATCCCAGCTACGATGCCGACAGGCAGATGCTCAAGCGGGCCGCGTCACCACAGACTGGTTGCGTCAGGGCAAGCCAGCAGCAGGCTGCAAATTGACTGCTTTCTTTTTCTTGCCATTACAAACCCAGTATATCCCACACCAATTCAATATTTCTCCCCAATTCCACAGCTGACAGAGCATGGCTAGACGTTACGATTCGCGCACGACCATTTTCTCGCCTGAGGGTAAGGACACATTCAAGATGCATGCGGTACAGCTGCTTTGAACCACCCGGCTAACCAAGCGTGCCGACACTGTTTAGGGCGCCTGTACCAGGTGGAGTACGCGATGGAGGCGATCTCACACGCCGGCACAGTCATCGGTGTGCTGAGCAAGGACGGCATAGTGCTGGCAGCAGAGCGGCAGGCGACGTCGAAGCTGCTGGAGCAAGAAATCGGCAGCGAGAAGATCTACGAGATGAACGACAACGTGGTGGCAGGCGTTGCGGGTCTGACGGCGGACGCAAACATCCTGATCAACCAGTCGCGGCTGATTGCGCAGCGCTACCTGATGACCTACGACTCGCCCATCCCCGTCGAGCAGCTGGTGCGGCAGCTGTGCGATCTGAAGCAGGGGTACACACAATTCGGCGGTCTGCGTCCGTTCGGCGTGTCGTTTTTGTGCGCGGGCTGGGACCAAAAGTTTGGATTCCAGCTGTACCAGTCGGATCCGGCCGGCAACTACTCGAGCTGGAAGGCTGCGTGCATTGGCGAAAACTTCACGAATGCGCAGAGCATCCTGAAGCAGGAATATAAGGATGACGATGCAGCTGAGGGAGTCGATGGGGCGGCGACGCAGATGTCGCTGGACGATGCCCTGCAGCTTGCGTGCAAGGTGCTGTCCAAGACTATTGATACGGCAAAGCTGACCAGTGAGAAGCTCGAGTTTGCGACACTGACGCTCAAGGACGGCCGCCCAAGCATTTCTATCTACTCATCGGCCGAGATTGACGCGCTGCTGGAAAAGAACGAAGCAGTTATCAAGCCTGCCGACAACTAAATGGTTCTCTTTGGCCGTGTTTCTTTCTTCAAATATCAACGACACCATGTAATGGTATCACAGTTATTCGGTAGTGTCTGCTGTAGATGCGCACTTTTTCTGAGCAGGGAGATAGGGAAAATGTCTCCCGTACATATATACGTGTGTCTGGAGAGATGGTCTCGTTTTCTGAATATTTTTATTTCTCTTCACATTTGTTTCTAGCCTTGTTCGTTTGGGTATCGTCCATACATGTTTGCCAAAAAGCCATATGCTGCGCACATGGAGGGGCGCACAGCCATTGCTCCAGCCGCAACAGCCTCAGCAACAGCAACAGCAACATGCAATGTTTCCGTACGCACTGTACGGCATCCTCTATGACGACAGCAATGCTAGCTGGATTAGCTGGAGTACTGATGGGAGCAACTTTTCTATCCGCAGCTGGGACAATTTGACTACCGGCCATCAGGCATACAGCTTCACGACAACCCGGAGCGCCTCAACGATGAGCGTAGACACATCCCAGACCCTGAGGGCAAGATCTGGTCAACATACGAGTACGAGTGCTTCCACCAATATGAATATGAAAGTCATGTTTTTATACCGCGAAAAGATCCTGGCCCAAAAACAGGTCCGCCCACACATTGCACCTTTCTCTTCTTCGTAGTTTATTTGTTCTATAATGCATGTTCTTAAAAATTGCACTGAAAAGCGCATAAAATATGAACGGGATATAATTCTGCTCTAAAGGATTGGAGGCAGAACTTGTTTGAAGAGCGGCGTGGCACGGTGGTCTTTGTCTAATTGCCGAATCGATTTTTGTGGATCAACTGATGATGGTCGTTTAGCGATAACAGAGCTTCCAGCATAGGATCCGTGTAGCTCGCTTAAGCAGGCTTGCAATAAACACCTCTTCCCGCTACACGCTTAATTTACCTTTTCCTTTTTACTCCACAGTCTAATTCAGCAATGCACATGAGCAAAACAGGGCTGAACTGCACCAGAGTGCTGCTCTCGTCGCTGAGACCGCAGCCCGCGCGCGCCTACACCACCTCGCAGCATAGCCCTCGCGCCAGCGTCTCCGCCGGCCCGGTAGCAACCAAAAGCGACATCGAGTACTGCCGGCAGCTAGTGCAGCGCAGCGACTACGACAACTACCTTGTCTCACTGTTCTCTCCGCGCCTCGCGCGCGAAGCAGCGTGGGCGATCCGGGCGCTGAACATCGAGCTAGTGCACATCGGGCAGGCGGCCACAAACCCAACAGCAGCGCAGATGCGGTATGCGTTCTGGCACGGCGCCATCAACGACATCTACAAGGGCCAGCCGGCACACATGCCTGTAGCACGCGCTGTTCACGATGCCGTGCATCGGTTCGGAATCTCCAAGACGTGGATTAGGAGACTGGTTAGCGAGCGCGAGAAGCGGCTGGATAATGGCGGGTTCGAGGCGATTGCGGATGTGGAAAAGTATGGCGAGAAGGCGTTTGCGTGCTTGATCCACCCGCACTTGGAGGCTCTGGGCGTGCGCGACATGCATGCGGACAACGCTGCCCGGGCGATTGGGCAGGCAACAGCCATTGCTGGGTTTGCAAGAGCGCTGCCTATGTCGCTAAGAGAGAGGAGGTGTGATTTGCCACGCGAGCTGCTGGCGAAGCACAAGGTGGATCTGGATGATTTGTTTGAGAACCCACGGCCAACAGTGGAGCTGCAGGAGGCTGTGTTTGAGTTTGCTACTAAAGGGTATACGAGGCTGTGTGGTGTGGCAGAGCTGTATACGCCGAATAGCCCTAAGGAAGGGTTCCCGGCGCTGCTGACAGCGGTTCCTGTCAAGGACTGGCTGGAGCGACTGGAGAAAGCAGATTTCAACGTTTTTGACCCGCGGTTGCAGCAGCGGACACTGAAGCTGCTGTGGCACCTGTGGCAGGCAAACCGCAAGGGAACATGGATCAGCCAGACAAACATCAAGCATTGAATATACTAAAAAAAATACGTGCCCAAAAGATGTTGTGAACAACACAAGTTATTACTCGGCCTTGGCATGCAGTCGATGGCATCCAGCCGTGGCCATGTCATAGCAGTCGACACGCTAGCTGACAGCAAGAGAAGCTCTAGCGCTCCGTCAATGGAGACATCACGCGGAGGCCTGTAATCACACCGATCACGGCTTGCTGCTCTGGTTTTGCTGCTGCGCAAGAGCTGAGCGCAGCAACGAGAATCTTCATAAAAGGCAGCAGGCAGCGCCTGCTGTTTCCTTTTTCTTTTCAATTTCTTGTTATTTCATTCTTTCAAGCCACACCATTAGAGAACTCTCGGCACTACGTCCTACATCATATGTCGCAACAACAGAACATGAAAAGTGTTTCCGCGTTCTTCAGTAAAAGTTGGGGAGCCAGTGACGCTCTACTGAGTGGCAAACATGAGCAATGGGAAAGAGGAGATACGGCATAGCTAGCCATCCTTCCCCAGCCACTTATATCGCATTCACGCTTCTATTCTCTGCCATACTCAATACGTCCGAATATAAGGCCAGAAACTTCATGCTGGGCGTTCTGTGCAAGGGATAGCGACAGTTTCGTGTTGAAAGGAATGAAAGGAAGTACCAGAAAGAGCAGAGATGCGTGTAATGCAGAAGCATGTGTGTAGAGTTATCAAAAAACAGTAACCGAAAGAAGTTGTCTAATGCATGCTACTCAGGGGACAGGACATTAAGAGATGGCTGCACTCCTGACGACGCCAGCCGACTCGACGGGAGGGCTACACCCCTGGATTTCATTTTTTCTAAAGAATGGCATGGGTAGCTGTAGCAATTGTACCTCGCACTCTGTCACCTGGATGGACATACAGCCCGTGCCCAGGCCGATTCACAGCTCTTGCTCTCGATGCTACGCTCAGGACTTGACCAGCCTATAGATGCTATGCTGAGGGTAGGCCATGCGCAATCACACCTTGGTGGCCTAGGGTGAACTGGGGCGTGGTGGCTGTAGCATATGGACACGACCCCAAGTGCAGAATCTGTAGTAACCAGGCAAGTAGTGGGCTCAAAGGTTGGTTTGGTTGGAGCCGGCATCGTCGCTAGAGTCTTCCTCCTGGGACTTGCGCATAGTCTCCTGGTACTCGGCAAAGGTGAGCACGGAGAAGCCGGCAAGGATACCGAGGCCACCCAGCAGCACATTCCACGCCAGCACCTGCCCCTGCAGCACCATATCGACAACAGCCATGACTGGGATAGTCAGCATAACGCCAATGGCAGCAAACAGAGGAGACGTCAGCGCCAGAGCAATCATGAACGCGCCATTGTAGGCAATGCCAAAGAAGGCGTTAGCCAGGATAAACCAGAGCTGCTCGCGATCCGGCCAGTGGAACGGCTCGATGCCTAGGGCATTGAGCAGCGGCACCGGGAACCAATATATGGCGAAACGGTGCAGAAGCCCAGCAGGGCTGTCATGAAGTTGACATGGATACAGCGAATGGAAGCCCGAGGGGACGGCGTACTTTTTGTACAAAACCTGATACAGCCCGATACCGCATGCGCAGCACAGCGAGATCAGGTCGCCGAAGAGCTCGTTGCTGCGCAGGGCAGCGGCATTTTCCTTGGTCACATCCGGCATTGTCAGTGTCCAGTAGCACCATGACAATAACGCCGATGATGCTGATGCCGACAGCAATGCACTTGGAGAGACGCACGCGCTCGTGCAGTAGCAGGATCGAGAAGAGATAGGCGAAAAAGCATGACATATTGTAGATGGCGGTGACCTTGGACATGCTCGAAAAGTTCAGTGCTGCGTACCACAGGTAGGCCGAGGCGTTCAGCAGCCCGGCCTAGCAATGCCGCCAGGAAGAATGTGCGCAGCAGTGCTCGGCCCGGATGGCTCGTAGGCCAGGGCGTGCGATCCGTCGTCCTCTGGATCATCCACTTGCTGGCCAATCTGCTCTTCATTGTCGTCCTCGGTGGTCAGCTTGTGCCGCCGCCGCACACCCTGCACATCAGCATGACCGCCACGCTGCTCCCTATCCTGGTCACTTCCCTGGATGGGCCGATAAGCCGAGCTCCTGCCCTTCAGCTGCACGACAATTTTCGCACACCCAACCAGAACCTCGGCCTTCAGCGCAGAAAGCGAGCGCGGCCGGCGCTTCAGCTTCTCAAAGACCGTGTGCATGGGCAATAGCACGATCCACAGCGTATGCGAGACCCAGAGAATGAAGTAGGGCGCCGAGAAGGACTCTTGAACTTTGCGGGTGATTGTTGTCTGGAAGACAAACGAGACGATGCAGATGGACAGGGCCAGGCCGCCCAGCAGCATGCTGCGCTTGGCGGAGGGTGCTGCAGGGTCGACTGTGGCCATGCTGTGCACGGGCCGGGCGGGCGGGCGGCTCCTGGAGCCCAACGAGCAATCCGAGATATCCGAGGCTTGCGACGGCCGCCGTTCGGAAATTGCGTCGTACGAGTTTGCCATTCTCTTTATGGCAAATTAGCAGTAGGAATATGTGAGTACTTGTAGGAAAATAGCCAGGGCAAGAGGCGGGTAGAGGAGAAAGGTGGTTTTTTTTTATTTGCGCGCAAAAGAGCGGCAGGTGAGAAGGGTGAGTACCTTGTGCGGACAGAAACGGAAACTTCAAAGCATGTGAGTGACAGCTTCGACGTCATAGTACACGCCAGACTCGCCGCCCCAAGACGCCGGAGAGCGGGAGAATGCTGGGTGGCTTTTCCAGCCCTTGGAGCCAGCTCGCCTTCTGCATGAAAGAGCATATTCCGAGCCGCATCGCAAAAAGAGCAAAAAAGTAAACAAAAAAGGCGATTCCTTCATAAATGAAGGCAAATTGATCGACGCCCAAAGGGCAGTTGGCTTGCAAAACGTCCTCTCTTCTTTCCTCCCTCTTGCATTTACGTTTTTCTTCAATTGTTTTGTTCTATATATTCCCAGCACTATAATTATATCATGTCGGAGCACAAGCTGCGCAAGCTTATCGAGTACAACAACCGGCTCAAGGAGCAGCTGGAGCTGCAGCGGATTCCGGTGTCGCATGCCAGCCAGTCGCTCATTTCGTACACGCAGAACACCAAGGACTACCTGCTGCCGTCGCTGTGGGGTCCGCCGCCGCAGGATCCGTTTGCCACGCAGGCCAGTGGCGGGTGTGGGTGCTCGGTCATGTAGAAAGAGAGCGGACAGCGGGCCGTCTGCCGTGCATCTGGTTGCTGGAGGGGGGTCTAGGCTCTGGGAGTTTCCGTGTTTTAAGAACGCAATAATAAAGCCTTGTCCACCGTGCTCTGCCATATACGTGTTGGGATCGCTTTGAAAGTGCTAAAAGGGCTGTCTAGCACGAACATGACCGGCGGACTCGGTCTCGGCAGCGGGATCTGTATTCCCTCACATGAAAAGTCCAAGCGGACCTTTGCACAGCCCTGATCTCATCACTCTCTCCTCTGCTTTTCAAAAAAAATTGTTTTGGTGTTGACATTTTTCCTTCTACAGATATGAACCCGATTGTAAGGTAAGGGACTGGGAAGCATCTTCACGCTCGTACATGCGTGTGCGGAGGAGAGAGATAGCGAAAAGGGAGATGCAAGAGACGCACAGTTGCCTGTCTGCTGGCAAGTCAGCAGGGCAGGAGGCCTTGGCTTTCAAGGGGGAGGGGGCTCTCGCTCTCCCGGCGTTCTTCTGCTCTTTCTTCCTGCCACGCATTTAATTCCAGCTCTTGCGGCGTACTATTGTTCGACAACCGAAAGCACACTTGAGCAAATGGCAGCAAATTACACGCAACAGAGCGGGAGCGTTGACGCACCAGAACTGGCAGCTCCGGCCCACGCACTCGGAGCTGCTGTTTCCGCGGGGGCAGCGCAACCTGGCGCTGAGCAAGCGACAGAACGCGGTGCGCATAGCGGCAACATACCTTTTGTATCCGTGCATGTCGTGTTTCCGGACGCCTCTCTCGGGGGGCTCGCAGGCACCGGCTGACTTTATCCTGTTCCACCCACTCCTTAGACGATACGTGAAGCACGCGACGCTGATCGAAAAGTGCTTTCCGCCAGAGAAGCTGGGCGAGACGGTGCCGAACAGCAACGAGCTGTCGTACCTGGTATACTACGCGCAGAGCAAGCCGGCGAAGCTGGCCAAGGTAGGGGCGTACCTGGCGAAGCGTGGCAAGAAGGACCTGCAGCGGCGGCGGCGCGGCGACGTACTGGTGGGTCTGCGGATCTTCGACGCGCTTCTGGAGGAGTGCGGGCGGGACCTGAACTTCTTCGGCAAGGAGGTTCTGGGGGCGCTAGACGGGGCGCTGCATGAGGGCGATGCCAGAAGTTGCGTGGGCGGCAGTACGCACGTTTGAATTGTTCTGCAGGTGTCACACGGGCGCGACGCTGGCGATTGACACGGAGCTGCGTGCAATGTACACTGGCATGGTTCGGATGCTTGTCGCCAGCAAAGGTGCGCTGGGCATGCGCGCCATCCAGGCGGTGGTTGAGAGCCAGGCCACGTACGCGTCGGACCGCTACGACGAGCTGCCGCAGATTGCAGCAGGCGCTGCTGGACCGGCTCGCCAGCGCTCCCGACGTCGAGCCGGCCGAGGACGCACAGGCGCTGACGACGCAGATTCAGGAGATCCACCGGGACAAGCAGCCGGACAGGACAGGTTCTGGGGCAGTGGGCGTGGGAGTGCATGGCAGCGCTGGTGCGGCGCTCGCACGGGCAGCACTCGCAGGTGGTTACCGGCGAGGTGTTCAAGTACCTGGACACGCGGCTCATGTGGCAGCCAGGCTGAGTTCTGCGTGCGACTGGTCGAGTGCATTATTGGCAATCTGCAGGCACAGGACCAGAACATGGTGATAGTCGAGACGCTGGCGTTCCTGACTGACGGCACACGCGCGTCGCAGCGCTGCCTGGACAGCATCGCGCAGGCTGGCGCCCATGCACTCGAGCGCATCGACACGCAGGCGTCCGGGACCTCGCACGATGCGGCTGGTGAAGTGCGGCGGGCGACGATTGTCCGCGTGCTGGAAAGCCTGTTCTGCCGGCCGTACATTCTGGTGGGCATCTCGGTGATGGAGGTCTTGAACATCCTGGTGACATTCCTGCTTGAAGTGCTGGGCGAGAGCCGCGACGAGCCGGACCTGGAGCTATTCGGCAGGACACTGCAGGGCAGCGACTCGACCGAGCACCTGCCGACATACTACCATCTGCTGGCGGCCATTGGTGGGCTGGCCAAGCACCAGTACTACAGCGACCAGCTGGCCGACATGGTTGGGTACCTGGTCAAGCAGATGCAGCTGGAGGCCAGTGACGGGATGCGGCAGGCGTGGCTCCTGCAGGCGCTCTACCTGGTGCTCGCCAACAGCCGGACGGGCAGCAGCGGACGCATACCAATGGTGGTGCCGTTGAGCGTCTACGTGCCGTTGTTCACGCTGCTTTCACGCGAGCCCCGGGCGGTGCGTTCTCTGGCGGCCGACTGCATCATTGGGCTTCTGCGGCACGACCGCGCGGCAGCTGGCGGCTTTGCATTGCGCAGCTCGGCAGCGACTGCTGCTTGGAGCAACGAGCTGGCCACGGCGATCCGGCAGAAGCTCATCGACGGGCTGGAGCAGGCGGGCACGGCCGAGCATGCGGCTGCAGCCAGCATTATGTGCGAGTTGCTGGCGACGCACACGCCTATGGCTGAGCAGCTGGTGCTGGAGACGCTACAGCAGAGCAATGGCCAGGGCGCTGGGTCTGTATCCATGCGGGCAATGGTGTGGCGACGAATTGCCAGCGAGCGGCGCGCCGGCGACCTAACTGCCTATATTTCCAGAGTGGTGGTCGAGGCCAAGGAGAAGCAGTGCTGGAGCACACCAATTGAGCATGCGTGCGAGGGCCATGTGCGCATCGTCGCGATCATCGACGACAGCCCCTGCTCCGACGAGTTGCTGCTGCAGAAGCTCATGTATCCTGAGCTCTCCTCGTACCTGTCGCTGTCGCTGCCGGATCTCACGCCCAGCACCAGCCAGCAAGCAGACCAGGTGCTGCTGAACCACCAGAGCAGTGCGACGCCGGAGCTCGCCCGCAAGGCCGTGGAGCGCGTCAACGACATGCGTGCGCGGATTTCAATTGACTGGGAGACGCAGGCGAAGCGCGACTCGCTGGCGCCGCACGTCAACATGGACCAGCTGCGTGCAGCGCTGCGCACGGGACTCAACATGCGCTCGGCCGAGTTCAGCGAGGATCTCGAGAACAATGCCGACCTTGACGACGACATTGGAACCACCGCACGCAGTCTGCGTGTAGCCTCCCATGACCATAGCAGCAGCCGGAATGACGTGCCGGATGAGGTCCGCGCACTGCTGGAATCGCTAGATGAGCCGGCCGGGTCGCCGTACGAGCACCGGCGGGACTGCCAGACGAGCTCGTCGATCAGCACGCCGATAGTCAGCCACCTGGACTGAGAAATATACTTTTTTAATCATCTAAAGCTATGGTAGTGGTTTTTTTTCCTATGCAGCCGTCGCTAGACACTGGTTGACGACATCCAGCAAGTATGTGTTCTCGAGCGCCGCCGCCACGCGCTCCTTATCGTTCAGCTGCTTGTTGACCTGGGCCTCGCTCTGGTGGGTGCCTGAGCGCACACGGATATCCACCTTGAAGCGCTCGGGCAGGCTGCGCAACAGGCGCACGCGAATACACAGTCCGATCAGAGTCGCCATGGAGCAGTGCGGAATGGTCGGCGTGAACTCGACCAGGACATGGCTGGCCGAGTCGGCGACGAAGACGTGCTCGCGGTTCGTCACGTGCAGCTGCTCCAGCGTCAGCGGGTGCTCCGGGTCGTTGATGTTGCGGATCAGCTCGTATACCTCGTCGCGGTCGATCGGGTCCGCGTGCGAGTCGTCCAGGTCTGTCGCCTGGATGCGCCGCTCGAGCGACTCGACCTCGTAGACTAGCGGCGCGTCGTTGATTTTCTGCGTAATGTTCATTTTGCTTTCAGTAGGAATTAAAAGTGTAGAAATACAGGCGATTGAAGAAGGGAAGGAAAAAAGGACGAGTTCAGCACGGAGCGATGAGTGATGTTGCCTCACTAAAACCTGGGGGTCTCGTGATTGGGAGGCTTCTGCTCTCCTTTTCCTTAGCTTTACACCAGCCTCACACTCCTTTTCCTACTTTTACATTCCCGTGTTCATGGCGCTGAACCCCGAAGACAACCCGGTAGTGCTGGCAACGGCCGGCTACGACCACACAATTCGCATGTGGGATGCGCTGAAGAGCACATGCATTCGCACAATCCCGTTCACAGACTCGCAGGTGAATCGCATGGCGCTCTCCTCCGACAAGCACTACCTGGCGGTGGCAGGCAATCCGCGGGTCAGCCTGTACGACGTATTCGGGACGTCTGAGTCGCCGGTGATGAGCCTGGAGGGCCACAAGGCCAATGTCACGGCGGTGGAGTTTTCACAGGACTACAAGTACCTGGCGACAGCCAGCGAAGACAAAACCATCCGCTGGTGGGACGTGTACGCGGGGTCGTGCAAGCGCGTCCTGGAGAACAACGCGATGGTCAATGACGTGGCGGTGCATCCGGACATGCGCACGGACATTCTGGTATCGTGCGACCAAAAGGGCCTGGTCAGGGTCTGGGGATGGCTGCGCCAGGAGGTGCTGGCGCAGGCGCAGCCGTCGGGCGACACGGCGATGCGCTGCGTGGCCGTGTCGCCCGACGGCATGCTTGGTGGCTGCGGGCAACAACTTTGGCCAGGTGTTTGTGTTCCGGCTCACTGTCGAGGGCAGCGCGCCCAGGCAGGTGGAGCTGGAGCCGTATATCAACTTTGACGCGCACGAGGGCGCCAGGATCACAAAGATAGCCTTTAGCGCGAGCGGCGCGCTTTTGGCCACGGCGTCGTCGGACCGCACGGCCAGGCTGTGGCAACTGGCGGAGCGCGTGGTGCAGGCGCCCGATGGCTCCGAGGCGGTGGTGGCCGGGGCCGAGCTCATCAATACGCTGGCGTACCACCAGCGGTGGGTCTGGGACGTCGCCTTCTCCAGCGACTCCGGCTACCTGGTCACCGTGTCCACCGACACCAAGGCCGCACTGTGGGATGTGGCCAGCGGCGAGATCATCCGCGAATTCAAGGGCCACCAGAAGGGCGTGGTGTGCGTGGCACTGAACGATGCCACATAGAACTCTCCCTTGCAGCACATGCTTTTTTCTGTGAATAAAAGAAACTGATGGATTCTCGCAATGTACATTTTCAGTTTACCAGCTTGTAGGCAAAGTACACGGCCACCAGCGACGATACGCCGCCGAGCCGCAGAACCCAGGCGATCTCGCTTGCATGCTTGACGCTGCCGAGCCGCTCGAACACGGCGAAGATCAGGCTGCTGGCAAACGCCGTGATGAACTGCGGCACCACAATGTACATGTTGTGGATGCCCAGCACCGTGCCCGCCTCGACTGGCATAGCCGGCCTGTGCTCGCCCAGCTCATGCATTGGGATCGCATCGCCCACCAGTGCATACCCGGAGCTCTGCTTGCTGATGGCCTCGCCGATAATCGAGAACGGCACCCAGATCGTGACCGCCCACGAGAACCCGCACACGCCAATCAGCAAGGTCGCCGAGGGAACACTCTCGACAAACACAGTCATCAGCATTGCCACGCCAAACACCGCCAGCCCAGCCATCCACATCACCGCCAAGCGCACATTGAAGAGACGGCCCAGCCACGGCAGAACAAGCGAAAACGCCAGCGACGCCATTGCATATGTGAACATGGCGAACGAGCCGGCGCGCGCGCCTTCTGCCTCGTCGCTGTGGTCGGACAATGCCGCCACATATGTGGTACTGTAGAACAGGAACGGGAACCAGCCGATCCACGAAAACAGCTGCACCGTACAGACACGCCTCACCACCATTGGCAACGACCCAAAGGCCCGGGAGATCTGCCTGAACATGTGCGTGAGCCCGCGCGCGCTGGGCGCCTGGCGCAGCGGCTGCTCGGGTGTGAACCAGCACGTGATGCACACACTGCCCATCAGCGCCAAACACGCCAGCATACTGAGCACCTTCAACTGCGTGTCGCCCAGAACCCCCAGGAGCCGCGGGAGGTCGGCGAACCCGAGCAAGTACCCGACGACGTTGCCCACGCCGATCATGCGCGATGCCCACGCCTGTGCCTTGGTCCTGGCGCGACGCCGGCAGCACGTCAACCAATAGGGCGCGCAGACACGCCTGGATGCAGTTTATGGCAAAGTCCAGAACATAGAACGCCAGCACCTGCCACCAATGCCGCCTGCGAGCCGGCCAGCTCCCGCGCCCACCCAATCACCACCAGACACAGAACCACCAGCAATGTCGCCCCCATTATGTACGGCCGCCGCCGCCCGAACCGCGACATGCAGCGGTCGCTGAGCGCCCCCACCAGCGGCTGCGTGACCAGCCCCGAGAGCGGCCCGGCCAGCCACACCAGCGATAGAAGCGACTTCTTCAGTCCCAAGGAGAGCAGGTAGGGGGTGCCGTAGCCAGTCTCCACCGACCACACAAACTGCAGCCCGCCTAGCGCTAGCGTCAATGTCAGGTACTGGAGCGGGCCGGGGCCGGGCCGGGACGAGGGCGAGGGGGATGATATGTACTGTAGTGCTGCAGTGCTGGCTTGCCGGCTGGCGATGTCAACGCTGGAGAAATCCAGCGACCCGTCGTCATTATCCATGTCTTCAGCCACTGTGCGGTAGCGACTCATGCTTGGAACAAGAAAGTACAAACAGAAAATACAGCGGAAAGGGAGCGGAAAACAGGCGAGCCCAGGATGTGCATGCAGCAACCAACATGTACAGTCGTTGATGATGACAACAACACCCAGGGATTAATTGTGATCGCCGGATCTGCTGTCTGTGCAGGGTATGGGGGAGCATAGCCTGGGTCGCACTAGTCGCCAGAGCCACAGAAAAAATCCTTTTTCTCCCCCTTGTTTTTCTACACGCCTCCTATTTTCTACACGATGACCTTCGGACAGCTTAAAATCCTCGACCCTGATGCTGCGCAGCGCCGGACGCCCTCCCTGGTACGCGCCCGACGGCAAGAATTACGATGTCTACATGGTAGGCGTTGCCGGCGGCAGCGCCAGCGGCAAGACCAGCGTGGCGAAGCGCATTGTGCAGGCCCTGGACGTGCCTTGGGTGGTGATTGTCAGCATGGACTCGTTCTACCGCAAGCTGTCGCCGGAGGAGTCCCGGCAGGCGTTCCTGAACAACCACGACTTTGACCATCCGTCGAGCTACGATTACAACGAGGCACTGCGGTGTATGCGCGATCTGAAGCAAGGCAAGGCGACGACAATCCCACAGTACGACTTCACCAAGCACGCGCCCAGCTCCGAATCGCAACACGTCTACGGCGCCTCGGTGGTGATTTTCGAGGGCATCTTTGCACTGTACGATCCGGCGCTTCTGGAAATGATGGACGTCAAGGTGTTTGTGGACACCGACAGCGACATTTGCCTGGCCAGGCGAATCAAGCGCGATGTGACGGAGCGCGCGCGCGACCCGATCGGCATTCTGCAGCAGTACGACCGGTTTGTCAAGCCCGCGTACGACGGGTTTCGTCAGGCCGACCATGAATAACGCCGACGTGATTATCCCGCGCGGGCTCGACAACGAGGTGGCGATTGATCTTCTGATCAAGCATATCCAAAGGCAGCTGGACGCGCGCAGCCAGGCGATGATGCGGCCGGCGCTGGTGCGGCAGTTCCGCAGCGAGCACTGACCTCAGCGCACTGTTCTTCAAGATGCCCGAGACGAACCAGCTGCGCGCCATGCAGACCATCCTGTATGACGCGACCACCACACGCGACGACTTCATCTTCTACTCGGACCGCCTCTCGCGCCTTCTTGCTCGAGTTCGGCCTGGGCACCCTGGAGCTTCGCACCGTCCTCGGTCACGACGCCGATGGGCATGGAGTTCTCCGGCCGACGCCTGGCACCGAACGTCACCGGCGTGACGATCCTGCGCGCCGGCGGTGTGATGGAGAAGGCCTTGCATAGTGTGGTGAGGCCGGCACACTACGGCAAGATCCTGATTGTGGGCGACCCGACGACACACGAGCCGCGGCTGCACTACGTCAACCTGCCGCCATCGATTGGCCACGGCCAGGTGCTGCTGATGGACTCGACTGTTGTCAGCGGTGCCAATGCACTGATGGCCATCCGCATCTGCCTTGACCACGGCGTGCAGCAGGAGAACATCTTGTTCATGTCGCTGCTGGCCACCCCACACGGCGTCCACGCCATCCAGGCTGCTTTCCCCCGGGTCCGTGTCGTCGTCGCGCTGCTTGACTCGCACATCTCCGAGGACAATCTGCTGATCAAGGCCGGTTACGGCATCTTTGGCGACCGCTACTTTGGCACCGAGTGCTAGGACTTTTTTTATTCTTTCCGTAATCTGAGGTTTTTCTCAACTACTCTGTTACTCTCTTGTGGCTCTCGTCTGGGATCCCGGTGCCTGGCGGATACCGCACCGTCACCGTCTCCTCCCGCCGCCCGTTCTGCCACGTCACCTCACGTGTCTCAACTGCACCGTCCGCGCGCGTGCGCGTCGTGGACTGGTACGACCGCATGAATCCGTGCGGCTTCCGGAACAGCCGCTCGACGCCCTCCTGCACGTCATCTTTTAATGCATTGATCAGCGATCCCATAGGGCCGGTCCTTCTGTCCGGTCTCGCTTGCCACATGCTCCTCGATCCGGTCCATTGACTCGCGCAGCCGGCCCAAGCACATTGCCGACCGCCCACCGTGCGGACTCGCCCAACGCATCGTTCACATGTGCCATCACCCGGCTGCCTGCCACCCGCTCTGGCTTTGCTGTGGCCTGCTGGACAGCGTGCTGCGGCAGTGTAGGCAGGTCGTAGAGCCCGAGTCGCCGCAGCAGTCGTGCGTAGGGCGGTTCGGCTGCAATGAGCCGCTGGAGCACCATGCTGCTGGATGGCGTGTACTCGAGCATGTCCAGGGCGCCTGTGAGCGCGGCTAGTGGTGAGAGCAGCCCGAAGACCCCTGTGTCTGAGCGTGTCATAGTGCGTGGTGCGCGGAATGTCGCTGAAAAAGTCGTTCTCTGTCTTTCGTCATTTTAAGAAAAGGAGGATTAAATAGCCCAAGGTGTACAAGAGAAACGAAAAAGCGCTCTGGCCAAAGTAGCCAGGTTTTCTGTGATTTTCCTGTGCTTTTTCTGCCAAGGATTTTTTTGCACCAGTCTCCTGTCACACCCGATCACAGTAAGCCTTGCCTGAGCCCACTGTTTGCTGCGCGCAGCCCAAACTCACAGCCAGCCTTTCGCTGCCATTCTAGAACCAGACGCTTTATCCTCCGCATAGCCTTTCCCTACGTTATCTATTGGACTGTAAATAAAAGGCTGCACGAATGGAGTGAACCAAATGGACTCTCACTTTACCTAAGCGGATGGCCAATGCACCCTTCGCCTGAAGCACAACAGTGAAAGTTTAGCAAGGCAGCCATATAAGGGAGATTGCTATGTTACAATTCAACTGTTGGCGCCAAGCGGCTTGACTCTAGTATACCTGCGCTCGCTACTAATAGCACTGGCGTCTGTGGACCATGCGACTGGCTCGTCTTCATCGGTTGACCCTTCTGGCAGTCGTTGTGTCCCGGCTATCATAGCCAGTGTCGCAAGTATCGTCACGATTTCTGACATAGGACTAATCTCTCCTCCTCTTCCTTCATCATCGCCAGGGAAGCGGCATATCGTATATCCTGAGAGCTCCGAAACTGAGATGCCCCGTCTGGCAAGGAGCTCTATTTCACAGACGACTAAATTCTCTCGCAGAGCCTTTAACAATAAGAATTTGCTCTCACAACTCCCACGTAGACGATACAGCAATAATAAATCGCAATTAGCATTCAGCCGTGATATTCGAGTTAAGGAACAACAAGCTGATCATTTACAAATATAGCGTAAGCGCATTGCTCAGCTGGTCCTTAGAGTATTCGAAATAAGCAAGGCTCAACACAGGCATCTAATGCACCAATTCCGGGTTGTCACAGCCTGAGGTATCTCACGTACTGCCTCCAATGACTCATGAAACCAACCATACCACTGCATATTCGAGTAGTCTCTTCTTAACCACAGTCAGTTCGATTAGCACATACCCATGGTACGAAATCCACATAAAAGGAGACAATGTCCACAGCGCGTGACACGAATCATCATAATTTGAGAATGCTGGTGGATTGCACAGGGTGGTTAGCCTATCGCTTTGGTAACAGACATAGCAACAATTATATGCGGTATATATGGATATCAGAACTATCGTTTGTATGGCTATCTGCCCGTACGTATATATGTATATACATAATCATAACATGATGCTTATCCTATGCCCATGGCCGGTAATTAACTCGATTCCTCTTGCGGTTGCTACGCGTTGTATTTAAGTAGACATACACTCACTCACCCTCAGATTCACTGTTCTTAATTTCAAATAGCATACTTCATACCTCTAATCATACTACGTGGAGGGATGTGGTTTAAACTAGACGCTTTCGAGCAGCTGCAGGAGTCAATTCACCCAATAGCACGCATTGTCGTAGATATAAGTCAGCTATTTATTCTTTTGAATGAACATATGTACAATATTTAGCCATGTTCTTGAATTGGCTTGTAATCAGCCATGAGCGCCCTCTGCTTAGTTGCCATCGTTATCCCAGATATGCACACCGTCCGCATCTTCATAAATTGCATCGCCGATTTCACCGACATGGGGAGTTGGCAAAATGTCAGCACCATTAAGGAACGCACGCTCAGCACCATCCGAGCCACGAGTAACTGCAAGTTGACGACGGTGCAGGACATCGTATTCCTCGCGGTCCCAAATATGCACACCCTCAGCGTCTTCGTAAATAGCATCACCGATCTCACCAGCGCCTGGAGTTGGCAGAACTTCAGTGCCGCTGATGAAGGTATGCTCAGATCCGTCTGAGTCACGAATGACTGCAAGCTGGCGACGATGCAAGACATCGTATTCCTTTCTGATCCTTGTGTGATAGCCGCTGGCATCCACGTAAACGGCATCACCAATCTCACCAACATCAGGGGCTGGCGTAATTTCAGTACCACTGATGAATGTACGCTCAGCACCATCAGATTCACGAATAATTGCAAGTTGGCGACGGTGCAGGACATCGTATTCCTCGCGGTCCCAAATATGCACGCCCTCGGCGTCTTCGTAAATAGCATCACCGATCTCGCCAACATCGGGAGTCGGTATAATACCAGGACCGTTTATAAGCGTGTGTTCGGAGCCATCCGAAGCGCGAGCAATAGCCAGTTGACGACGGTCGAAGAGGTTGTCAGGATTGGGAACAGGAGCCGCAAGCGCAGCGGAGAAGAAAGCGAGGAGAGCGGGGCCGATCTGCATTATTATGATTTATCTGGGGGCTCGGGAGCTATGGTTGTGTGTGTGTTGACTAATGTCCTTGCATCAGCATTGGAGTTGGTGTGAAGTTTATATACTGGTGGACTGGGTCTGCCTTGACGACATAGACTCAGATCCATAGAGCTAGTATAACATACCAGCTAAAAATAGAAGTTGAGGGCGGAGGGATGCCAGCTGCAGCGAAATGTCTGTCTGCACGCTAATCCTCGATTTCTCCAGCACTAACCGCGTGCTAAAAATACAACAAGCCATGTGTTTTCAACGAAGCCGCTCTCTGTAACTGCAAATTCAAGGTCTGACATGCCAACATCAAGAACGATGTATAAGAACCCCCTGATCCGCTTGCCTTGATTGCAGGGAGGCTACAGCCATTTGACAACCTGTATCGGTGATATAGTGCGAAGCAACCTACATCCACACTACCGCAACCTCCACGACTGTTACTTGTCTATTAATAGCACACCCACCAGCAAGCTCTTGAATTATGAATTTTGTTCGAGGAAGGTCTATCAAGCAGCGTGAATCCCATGACGAATCTCGCCTTTGTGCAAAGGAACTACAGCAAAGGCTGTGTCGCTCAGCTGTATTCGACATAGGAAGGGTGGCCGTTGAACCGCAACACGCGCTGGTTTATCAGGCATTGTCTCGCCCACCGATGGCTGACAAGCCATGGGTCAGCCGAACTATCCGCATTTCCATCCGCATCGCCAAATGCCTCACCGATGCTTGGTTCAGTACCAAGGCCGCCTTCACTGCCCTTGTCCAGGATCGTTGAGACTCCGTCATCAACTCCGTAATCCTTGAGCGGAGAGCCGGTTTCAACGGCCATTGTATTCCACTGCTGCTGCGACAGCCGCCGATTCCGCGTGCACATCTTGGCCATCTTGCTCTCTTTGCCATTGCGCAGCTTTTTGTCGGACAGGATAAAGTCACAGACGATCTGCGGACTCTTTGCGGCTGTCCGTGACCCAAGCGCCGCTGCTGGTGGAGTAATAGTTTTGGCACCGGCTAATGTCAGCAGCTGGCACCAGTTGTGCTGGAACTGTGCTGAGCCCGAAACCAGCACTGTGGTGCCGTGCAAGAACCCTTCGATGAATGTGCTTGCGCACATGGCGCCTAGCTCCTCAGACCAGCCGTTTGAGAGCTGGAACGGCCGGTAGTCCTCTAGCTTCTGGCTCATAACGCACTCGCTGATCCACACTCCAGAAACACGCGGAACTCCCAGTGCTAGTGCCGTTAGGTATTTAGCTGTTGTTGACGCCTTATCCGCGATGAGATACATGTCAGGCAGGCTGCTTTCGACGCCAGCTTCTTCAAGCTGCTTCTGGTCTGAAAATATCTCAATGCACTTTTTGTGGTCGGGGACCACTGCCCCGCCACGCTGGGTGATCCATTCGGCTAGACGGGCTCGATCCATGACCACAGGCGCTCTTCGCAGGCAGAGGCTCGCTCATCAGCATCGTCTGTGCCTTGCTAGCCTTGGTCCATGAGTGCTTGGGCCGCCCTCTAGCGGGATCTACATCTGGGTAGTTGGGTGCCGAGCGCCGGGATCGGGCGCCACCTTCTTTGCTAGCCGCAGTATCAGCGCCTGGCTCCGAAACAGTAATCATGAAACTCATGCCTGCAAATATCTGCGGCAGGCTCTCCATCTGTTCACCAGCGCTGACTGGTGGCTCGTGCCCAACCCACGCAGCATTGGTCTTCTTCGGGGCAGGACGCTTGCGCTTAGCAGGCTGTCCCTTTTCAGCACTGGGTGCCGGCAAAGGAGTGCGGCATCACGATGTCAGGACGGCCTGCGCTTTGGACTGGCGACAGGTGCAGTTGACACAACGTTTGGCTGTGCCTTGCTTGTACTGCTGTCCTCTTCAGACATCTCTGGGTCACTCAGATGTAAATCATCATCCGGCACCGCGTCTTCCTCCGGTATGTTGTCGTCGACGACCATGCTAGTGTGCAGTGCGACTTCCTCAACCGAGACTGTCTGCTTAACGTTGTCCGAGTTGAACCGGACATTGACGCGAGTTGGAGCAGCCGAGTCCTTGGGCAGTACAGACAGCACTGTCGCCGACTCTAAAACGCGCGATTTTACACGGCGCGCCAGCACCAAGTCTGTTGGCGCCAGCGAGAACTCAACCAGCGACGATGGGTCCACCTCCCACTGCACTCCCGGTGTATGCCTGAATGTAACTGTCACTGTCCCCTGGTCACCAGCACTCTGCGAGTTGTCCAAGAACGCCTGGGCCATGTAATAGTTCCCAGGCAGAATCGACAGTTTGCGCTTGCCACTAACCATGCTCTCGTCAAGCATTGCCCACACGTAAATTTCCGCTGGAGTGCTGTCCACCTCTGTCTGCGGAACCTGCTCTCCGCTGAGGGGGCTTGGCATGGCATCAGTGTCCATGGCCGTGACCGCCTCCTGCAGAATTCTGGTGCTGTTGCGTCGCCATTTCCTGCTCCATGGCGACTCAGCACCCTGCTTCTCTGGTTCCGAGCTCCTTTTAGCGGACTCCGTACTAAGGCCGTATCTGAGCAGCCGTAGTGTCAGACGCCGGTCCTTGGATCTGCTAAATGCTCGCTTCAGCTGCCGCACAGAGTCATTCGATGTGTTGACCTTTCGCCGAGACGCACTCGCTGGCAATCCCAAAACTTGGTGAACCTGATCATTCGTTGAGGCAATATCCTCAGCCCCTTCGGCACCCCTATCCATGTGTCTCCTGCGAGCGACAGATGCCAGTGACAAGCCAGCACTGGGTGACATCATCAGGCTCGCTGACCCACGCTTGGTAGGTGTCTGCAGCTCGAACCCCATCCTTGGCCCTCTGATGCCTGGTGACAGTAGGGTGCGCGCTGCCTGCGGTCTGAGCTTTATTACCTTGCTCAGTCGATTTTGACTCATGCGTAGTACACTCTGTGGCGGGGCGACCGACGGCGACATCACATCTCCCGTAGCGTTCATCACCAGCACTTGCTTCGAACTGACTCCCAGGCCGAAGCCATTGGATGAGTGTCCTCGCTGCCTGCCCGATGACTTGCGTTCGGTTGCTACTGGAGAGTCAAGGGCGGTCATCAGATCGTCCAGTGCGTCAACCGCAAATTTTGGATCGTCTGCAGCGCTGGTGGACTGCCCCTTCTTCAGTAGCACTCTCTTCTTGCGAGCCTTAGCCCGCCTGGGTCGCCGAACTGTAATAGTATCGAGGTTTCGGTTCTAATGGATCTGTATCTTCTTCGTCACCACCATCTTCAGCGTGGCTGCTCAGGAGTCAGCCCCTGTTGAGATGTAGGCGGTTTGGCAGCGGCATCGTTGTCGGATGTGGAAATCGGCAGCAGCCTGAGGTTCATTTTCCATCAACCTATGGTAGTATCCCGGCTGTGCTGGCTGCTCTGCTTCGGTGCCTTCATCAGATTTGCCATGCGTGATTGGATGCTCGACAGGCTAGACAGTTTGGCTGATCCCTCCACTACTGTTGCTCCTAGTCTGTGGGTCCTCAGGCAAACTCTTGGCCGACGCCAGTTTCTGGTCAAGCCAGGGATTCCTGCCTCCTGCTCGCCTTGGCGTGTTTTGATGGGGTTCTGCTCGGTGGTCGTTTGCTGTCCTTCGCTACCAATGACTGGAAGGACCTACGTCGCATCGGCATATCGTCGATACGGATCCCGTCCAGTGGTGAACAGCGGGACACCCGGCCGGATCTGCGCGACGAGCCCTGCGCTGACTCTGGTGTCTCGATTGGATCCTCAGCAATGCCAACAGGCCGAGATTTGACGCGTGGAGTGACTAGTGTCGGAGACTGCTTGGAGCGAGCCGAACTAAACACACCCATGTCAATTGTTTCAGGCGTATTGGCAGTAGACCCCTGGCCACTGCCATCATCACTAACGCCATCCTGCGTTTGAGTATAAGGAGCAATATCGCTGTAGCGTTGGCTCGATCCCATTGCCCGCTTACGAGCAACAGCTGTTTGTAGCTGCGGTGCTGGGCTCGTGTTGCCCTTAGGCTTGGTAGGCGATACAGGCTCTCCGAGCTCAACCGACCCTGAGCGCTCTTCCGGCGACTCAACACTGTCGAAACTCGCTGATGGGAGTGCGAACTGCGTCTCCGCAACCCCCGCTGACTGCAGACCAAACGATTCACGGCGAGCCTGCTCGGGGCTCTGCTGCGTTGCCTCAGCCAAAACTGGAGTTTGGATCATTCGCCAATACAACATCGCCTTTGGCCGAAGACTCCGCAAGCAGCATCTCCGACTCCTCAACCATCGACAGCTGCGTGTTATCCAACTGCGACTCGTCGGCAAGTGCAAACACGACCCCTGTCTTCTTCTTGTCCTTCTTTGCCTGAGGTGATAATGCAGAAAATGCACTCGGAGGCCTATTTCCAGGCTGAGAGGCCGAGATAGGGCTCATACCGTCACCAAACAACAGACCACGACGCCTATCGTGCGGCTGTTGAGTAGGAGAAACAAATCCAGGTGAAACCGAGTCAGGGCCCTGTAGGTGGATCGCTGATGTATTATCTGCTGGATCGCGCTGGGTCGGACTAATATGCGAGAACGGAGTGCGGTCCCACTCCTCCATGGCTATGTCGCCGATCGACCGATCTGGCCGCATAGGCGTCTCTTCTGTGTCACCTAGTGGCAGCAGCCGAGTATGGTGTGGTTCTGATCTGCTGTTGCCGCGAGATATGGCGGGGTGTGCCTTAGTTGGTGTTGCAGAGAGGACACTGTTAGCTGAGCCCGGCGTGGCAACAGTGCGCGTCGGTGCCGTCTTAGTCCTGCTGGTTGGGCTACTAAGCCAGCCATGGCGCGATTCTGTTGGTGTGGCTGCGATCGGACTGTCAAATAGGCCCTGGTGTCTCGGATGCACTGTTCTGCGTGGCTTCTACAGCGCAAATTGAGCTGTCAGTTAAATATTCTGCAGAGTTCAGCATGAACAGTCTATTTTCCGGTGGTGGTTACTGTACCTATTGTCGAAAATGTGTTTGCTGAGGGCTCCTGGGAGCGAGAATTAGCTTGCCTGTGCCTGCCTCTCCTTACGACTGATTGCCATTGCAAATAGCTAGAAAAATATGAAATAAATGCGAAACGAAGAAACAAAAGCATAATTTCAATTTTTTTTTTTCTCTCTCTCTCTTCTCTCTCTGCCAGCCTGCGCAGCAAGGTGTCGGTTTATTGGACATGGATTAGCACGACTAAAAGATCAAGAGATAAAATCATTCATTTTGTTGTTCTAGCCTCGCCTCGATGTTCTTTGCACGCTTGAACGCACCGCCGGTCGCAGCACCGCACGCAAAGCATTTGGGTGTCTTGCGGTAGTTTGCCAACGCACACTTTTCACAGAAATAATGGCCACACTTGGTGCCCACCGGCTTCACAAACGGCTTGCGGCAGATCAGGCAGGCAAACGGCAGCTCCTCCTCTTTCTTGTCGGCTTCGTCATCAGACGCGTCAACCTTCCATAGCTTCTCGTTATCCCTCTGAACACCCTGCTGCGACTCCTCAAACTCCTTCTCAAGCTGCCAGCCCGTCTTGTACGTGCCACGGTCGTGTAGAAAGACACAGGAATCGCCATACCCACAGAACCCAGTCTCCTTGTAGTCCTTGCATACGTTTGGCTGGTAGTCGAAGACGCTGGTTGAGCGCACGTTTGTAGGTGCCTTGAATGGGCCGGTCTTTTTGGCGCCTGGGTCGTCTTTGATTCGGCTCTCGTATGCAGCCAGTCCCTTGTATATTCCTTGTTCACCGCCAGCAGGCGTGACGTTTCCTGTCTTTTGCCGTTTCGTCGCCTGCTCTGTAGCCTTTTCGTTTTCGACTGTGCGTGTAGCGTCCTGACCGCGCTTATAGTGATACTCGACTGCCTTTGCAGGCTCGGAAACCGCAGGGCTATCCTCTGCTTTGGAACCATCCCTTGACCGACCAGCGGTGATCCTGCCTGCACCAGGCTTAGCTGACCTGCGCTCATCGTCGCCCGCATCAGTCTGGACCTGGGTCGGTGCCTCCTGGTCAATGGCCTCTGCAGCGCGCTTTCTGATGTTGCTACCGCCGCCTCGCCGCCTGCTCTTCTTAAACAGCGCTGTGGCGGGTTTGTTCTCTGAAGCGGACATGAGTGTGGGCTGAATTTACAAGTGCGGAAGCGAAACTGCAATGCTGACTAATTGGTTGACGGAAGGCGCTTTTGGGCCCAACAAATCAGAGTTTTTTTTGTTTTACAATCCGTGATTTCTTTTAAGCTAATTGCTACAGCTAATGCGCAAGATCACCCACAGTGCCAAGCAATCGAGCGAATCGCAGCCGCGTATTTGGTTCTGTGCGCAATTAGCAGCCGAGCTCAGACTCCGACGTGCGGTTGGTAGAATAGAGCCCCAATCGGTCTGAGGAACCCAGACAAGCGTGATCTGGCTCTCAATTGAATATGCAGAACAAGCGCAGACGCATTCAAGACAGCTTGCATTTTCTCTGAGACTAGAATGCAGCCGATGCATGTGACCAGTAGCGCTGGGAAGCTGAAGGATGCCGCTGCGCGCCGCGTGGGCCCGGCTGGGCATTATCCGCTCGAACAGCCTGGCGTCCTTTGAGCATTGCAGGCATCACGGACTTTGAAAAAAGAAGTACGGTTTTCCACCCGACTCGCAGACCCCGCGCCTACTCCGCCGACTGCCCTTTCTGTTCTCCGCTCCCTTTCTACTTCAGTTCTTCTACACTTTTTTCTTCAAATTCGCAATTTTTACACTTTGCTACCTTGTTAGCTATCCGGCTTAGACAATGGCTTCAGTCAGAAACTACCACCCAAGGACCGGGCTCCTGGCTTCCTCTTTCGGCAGTGGCGCGGGTGGCGAGGCACCACTAGCACGCGGCAGCGCGGACGAGCCGATATTTGGAGACTTGGCAAACAACCTCGCGTGCGTTGTGCTGGTATTGGCTGGGTTCCTGTGGGCCCTCAAGGTGTTATCGCACTGCGTGGTGCAGCGGCGATACGTCAAGCGGCGGGCATTCGTGAACCGCTCGGCAGACGAGTATCCGGGTGTCACTGTCATCCGGCCGATGAAGGGAATTGACCTGGACATGTGCCGCACGCTCGAGTCAAGCTTCCGTCAAGAGTACCCAGGCAAGATGGAGCTGCTGTTTGCAGTCGAGGACGCGCAGGACCCGGCCGTGGCTGTGGCCGAGGAGCTGATCAGCAAGTACCCGAAGGTGCAGGCGCGGGTTCTGGTGGGCCGTGACAACGTCGGGATCAACCCCAAGATCAACAACATGCTGAAGGCATACAAGGCCGCCAGCTACGACCTGCTGTGGATATGCGACTCGAACGTGTGGACAGACCCGGGCACGCTGCGGCGGTCGGTTGATCTGATGCTGGACGACAAGCGCGTCGGTGTCATCCATCACGTGGTGTTTAGCGAGAATGCGACATCGTTTGGCGCCATGCTCGACCGTGCGTTCCTGACCACCAACCACTGCCGCATGTATCTGGCCATCAATGCGGTTGGGATCGCCAGCTGTCTGATGGGCAAGTCGAACCTCTATTACAAGAGCGCCCTCGACCACGCTGGCGGCCTGGCTGCGTTTGGCCACTACCTGGCTGAGGACAACATGATCGGCCAGGCGCTGTGGCATGCCGGGTGGAAGCACACCATGACCGGCGACCTGGCGCGCCAGCCTGCCGACATCCGCTCGTTCTCCGAGTACTGCAGCCGACGGGTGCGGTGGGTGCGCACACGCAAGTACAATGTCACATTTGCGACCTTCTACGAGCCGCTTACAGAGTCCCTGCTGCTTGGCTCGCTGGCTGCGTGGGCGATGCACCGGGTGTTTGCATTCGACGTGGCTGCGGTTCTGAGCACATTCCTGCTGTGCTGGTTCGCCTCCGACATGGTGTTCTTCTACCGCATCAACCACGGCCCGCCGCCGAGCTGGCCGTGGTTCGTGTTCAGCTGGGTGTGCCGCGAGGTGCTGGCGCTGCCGCTGTGGCTGTATGCGATCGTCCGGCGACACCGTGGTCTGGCGCGGCCAAAGGTACGAGTTTGGCCGGGGCGGCCGTGTAACTTTAATCGAGTAATTTAACATTAATATCGCATTCGTAATTTAATCTATTGAATTTGGGTCCTCTATGCGGTGATCGCTTTTTGCTCTGCTTGGGCCTTGCTGGGCGGGGGCTGCAGGCCCTGGGCAAAAGCTGCCAACTGAGCGGCAGCTATCACGATTTCCCCCTTTTTTTCGCAGGACACTTTGTCGTAAACTTTGAGTAAGTGGATACCTTCCGGTTTATTTTTGGCGGCATGGATACGCGACTTTTAAAAAAGAGGATGGATGCGCTCGATCTGTCGCAGGGGGCGGAATCGCGCGGCGGCAGCGGGGGAGAGTGCCAAAAATTTTGCTTTCCAAAACATGTTTGGGTGCTGAGGCACATTTGAGGAGGCAGAATTCGGAATTTGGACAGAATCCACGGCATGGCATTTGCAGCAATGGCGTGGCTGGACGCATGGCGCGAAATGGCACTCCAGCGCCGCCGCCGCCACCACCGGCGACAACAACAGCACCAAAGACATTTGTGGGATTGTCCACTAATCGCACCACTCCACCTTCTGTAGAAATATGTCGCACGTTCCCGCTTGCCTCAACGCCACCGAGGAGGATATTCAGCTCCTGCTGAGCGCCAAGGCCCACCTTGGTTCGCAGAACGTTGACTCGCACATGCTGCCGTACGTCTACAAGCGCCGCGCTGATGGTGTGCACCTGATCAACGCCGGTAAGACCTGGGAGAAGCTTGTTATGGCTGCTCGCATCATCGCCGCCGTCGAGAACCCCAAGGACGTGTGCGTGATCTCGGCCCGTCCGTTCGGCCAGCGCGCTGTCCTGAAGTTCGGTACCCACACCGGTGCCCAGGCCATCGCCGGTCGCTTCACCCCCGGTAACTTCACCAACTACATCACCCGCCAGTTCAAGGAGCCGCGTCTGATCGTTGTTGCTGACCCCCGCGCCGACCACCAGGCCATCCGTGAGGCTTCGTACGTGAACATCCCGGTCATCGCGTTCACCAACACCGACTCGCCCCTGGACCACGTTGATGTCGCTATTCCCATCAACAACGCCGGTAAGCACGCCATCGGTCTTGGCTTCTGGCTCCTGGCCCGTGAGGTCCTCCGCCTGCGCGGTACCCTCCCCCGCGACCAGCCTTGGGATGTCATGACCGACATGTTCTTCTACCGCGACCCGGAGGAGGTCGAGAAGGACCTGGAGGCTGCCGCCGAGAAGACTGAGGAGGCCGGTAACTGGGATGCCTCCGCCGACGCCAACGCCGAGTGGAGCGCCACCGGTGCCGCCGGTAACGACGTCGCTGCCCTGGCCAACTCGGGCAACTGGGACGCCGCTGCTGAGGGCGACTGGGCTGCCGATGGTGCCGCCCCCGCTGCCGACTGGGCTGCTGAGGGTGCCGCCAACTCTGGCTGGAGCGCTTAAGCAAACATGGAACCTCGGTTCTCGCTAACGAGGAAGATTCACGTTTTTATCCAATTAAACTAAAATCCCACCCCCTTACCAGCGATCTGCTGGAGAACCGGCCAAGTGCTTAACAAAAATATACTTCTCATTTCTGAAACGACATTTCATACTATCCCTGAGGGTGCTGCCATGATAACATAGCTCCACATATTTGCATCATGATGTGATCAGGCGCATGCAGGGCTCGGCCGGGAGGGGACAAGGCTGGTCCCACAAAATGCCTGGTCTACACAACGTTTGCAAAACCGCAGACCCTCGTGACCGCCTGGCAGCCGCTGACTGCTATTTCTACTCCTGCTCCTTGTAAAATGTTCACTACCCCCGACTACTTCCCATTGCTGACCCGGCAATTCCATCGCGAGACGCGCTGGAACGAAAACAACCTCTACTCGACGTTCTGCCGGACCTCGCAGTCGCTGCTCGACTTTGCCGTGCCCTTGGGCGTGTCCGTCAGCACCGGCCGCGGGGTCAGCAACAGCCTGCATTCGCAGTTTGTGTTCTCCATGATCCCCAGCCGGGCATCTTCGATTGGGTACTTGGCGACCTCGCGCCCACTGCTGGCCATCAGCCCAGAGGTCACAGATGCTGTCGAGGAAATGCAGCCAGCACTGGCAGACATGTCAGCGAAGAAGACAAAAAAGGCCAAGAAACGCAAAGCCGATGCGCCCAAGGAGACACTGCTGACTGGGTTCTTGCCGTCTGAGCCCAAGGATGTGCTGGCGAGCGGACAGAGCAAGCGGCTCCTTGATTTCGCCACGGCACGACAGCAAGCAATTGATAGCCGGGATGCACGCAACCTTCTGCAGAGCATTCGAGCGGGTACGTGGAAATACAACTGGGATCTGTGCGCCTCCCAGCAGCAAGCTGAGCCGCAGGCATTCAACGGCGACTACATGATTTCTGCACAGATGTACCCGTCGGTGTCCTCAGTTACAGGTACATGGGTGACGCGGCGGTCACAGTTCTCGGAGCTGCAGATGAGCGGAATAAGCCGCGCCGGCATGCAGTCCGACATGCAGCTGGTGGTGCAGCACACAGTCAACAAGCCCAAGTGGAGCACCGAGACGACCTTTGGCACGCTGGGCGCCATGCTGGGCGTCCGCGGGCTATACAACTTTGGCAATATCGCGATGCTGGACCGTGCCTCGCGGCTTTTCTACTGCGGCACCAATGCCGACGCCCGGCAGGTTCTGATGAACAAGGTGCATGGGCGGCTGGCGGTCGGCGGCGAGATGTACTTTGGTGCGCAGGACTCGAGCGCGGGGATCTCGCTTGGCGCCCGCTACCGCCACGACCTGCCCCTGTTTTCCGAGGTCACCTGTGTGGTGAATCCGATCATGGGCCACGTATCTGTGGCGTGGGCGCAGGCGCTGCGGCCGCGTCTGTGCTGTGCGGCGCGGTATGACTTCAATGTATTCAGCATTACGTCGGATCTGGCGCTGGGCGTCGAATGGCAACTGGACGATAGAAGCATTGTGAAGGCGCGGTGGAGCGACACGCAGGGGCTGAAGTGCCTGGTGGATGCGCGCATGAACAACATGGTGTTCAGCATGGGGCTAACGTTCAACAAGGACTGCAAGACAGACCAGTCGGCCGACATGACCAGGCTGATAAAGTCGTTTGGACTGCAGTTCCAGTGGTTCATTTAGAAATCCTACCATTGCAAAAATTTTGATTGTCCTGAATTGAAAATTTGATTTTCTGGCCTCTCCCGCCTGTTTCGCAGAAGCTTCACTCTTGTCGACCTCTTCTTTTCCCTCGCACTTTGCGCTTGTCCTGACTTTTTATTTATTTGCTCTTTTCACTTGAACGACTACCCTGTACATTTGGCCACTCTATATGGCGCCCGGACGCAAACCACACAGCAGCAATGCACGCACAGCAACACCAGAAAAGAACAGCAGTCCCACGAGTCTACACATTCCAACACCGCTGCTGTACTCGACCACCATGAGCAAGCAGGTCGGGTGCAACGTATGGCTCAAGCTGGAGAACCTGCAGCCAACGCAGTCGTTCAAGATAAGGTACGGTCAAAGACTGCAGTGGGTGTCCAACTCGGAAAGCGTCAAAACAAACTAGACACTGATTTTCTTCGCTTTTCCCAGTACTGCTTTATTAGAGGGATTGGCAATTACTGCGCAAAAGCGGTTTTGGAGCGCAACATCCAGCATTTGGTGACGGTTGGCGACACAAACGCAGCCCTGGCAGTGGCCTTCAGCAGCCGACAGCTCGACGTGCCATGCACGATATTTGTGCCCGTCGGCATGGCGGCGTCCTCCATGCGCACCAAGATTGAGATCGAAGGAGCGCAGATTGTCGAGCGCGGGGCGACGGTGCGGGAGGCATACGAGGCCGGCTTGGCGTTTGTATCGGAGACTTCGAATGCGCATATGGTGGAGTCCTCCGACGACGACGACGTGGTTGCTGGGTATGCGACGATGGCTGCGGAGATCAGCGTGCAGCTGCACCACAAGGACCCAGCAGCGGTGGTGTGCGCGGTGGGCAGCGGCGGGCTGCTTGCGGGCCTAATTACAGGTATGCAGCGGTGCCGATGGAGGAGCGTGCCGATTATTGCCGTAGAGACACACAATACGAATTCGTTCCAGCAGGCGCTATTGTCGGGAGCGAGCGATACGCCAACAACAGGAAGGAGGCCGAGGCGGACAGGCGGGAAATCGGCGCTGCAGCTGGGGCCAAAAATACCGTCGCTGTTTCCGCCTATGGATGGAGACGCGCTGCTAGAGAACGAAGCGAGGAGGGGCTCGCTGCCCAGGCTGACGAGGAGTAGCAGCAACACTGATCGGGCGTCAGAGCCAACAGTAGCCACGTGTCTGCAGGCGAGCGCGATCAGCTCGGTGGCGCTGGAGCTGGCGGGCACACACCCGGTGGTGCCGATCTCGGTGTCCGAGGCCATGGCGGCAGAAGGCGTGTCTGCGGCTGGTAGACGAGCACCAGATGCTCGTGGAGGTGGGCAGTGCGGCAGCACTGAGTGTGGTCGGCAAGTCTCTGGTGCACCAGATTGTGCCTGATCTTGATGCCCACAGCCATATCGTGGTAGTGGTGTCGGGCGGTGCCAACATTTCGTTTGAAAAGCTGGAGGCGTGCCGCCAGCGGTTCCCATTCCCGGCACCAATTATTGCAAAGTCGGGCCAGGAGATATTTATGCGCATGTCAGACTCCAATAGCACGCCAACAAGTATTCCAGCGGTGCGGCAGACGAGTGCAATTAGCACAAGCACGACGGCGGCTGCGGCGACGCTGGCAGTCGGTCCGGAATTAATGATATATCCTTTTTTTTGCAAAGTAATCCCGTAACCATTTAGCTTGAAAGTGATTTTGCGCAGTGGCTTGGTGTATTTTTATCGATCAGTCCACCGGTAAACACAGACAAATGCCAAGCGAGGCATTTGGCCATGTGCCAGCGACAGGCCCGTCATCTTTCCGGCCAGGTGCAGGAGCGACGGTTACAGTAGCTGGCGGAATCTTGTGCCGTTTGGCCAGGAAAGAGCTAATTGCGGAGGACCACACCGGTTCACTCGACCAGCGGCTTCCCCACAATGGGGCACAGTTTGGAAATAAGCAGTACCTGTCGTTTCAATTTTTCGACTGGTCCCGGGGCAATATTATACACTCGGCTAACTCTGTCTCGGAGCAGTATTCCTCTACCTCTACACTGTTTTTCATCTGCTCTTGCTAACATGGCGAACTCAGCGTACGAGTACGTGCGGAACTTTGAGCAAAACGACAGCCTCTTGCCTGCAACCTGGCTGGTAGTGCGGATCGACGGGCAGGGGTTCACCAAGTTCACGGCGAAGCATGGGTTCACCAAACCGAACGACATCCGTGCCCTGCGCTTAATGAACCGGTGCGCCAAGGAGGTCATGGAGTGCATGACGGAGATTGTGATTTCGTATGGACAGAGCGACGAGTACAGCTTTGTGTTTTCCAAGGACGCCAAGGCATACGACCGGCGAGCAAGGTAAGAATCCCCCATGAATGTCCGAGTGCGTACTGCGTAGCAGCCGCTTCTAATTTATCCTATCTGCCCGGGGGCTATAGCAAGCTGAACACACTGCTTGTGAGCAGATTCACATCGGCGTATGTGTTTTACTGGAGCGAGTTCTTTCCGGACACGAAGCTGCAGTTTCCGCCGGCGTTTGACTCGCGGGTGGTGCAGTACCCGTCGGACCGCATCATGCGCGACTACCTGTGCTGGCGGCAAGTAGACTGCCACATCAACAACATGTACAACACGTGCTTCTGGACGCTGGTCAAGGGCGGGATGTCGAACAAGGACGCCATGAACCGACTGGAGGTAAGATGTCAGAAGGGAAGCTGCCCACGTTTTTGGCCCGGTGACATTGCGATTTGCGCAACCACAGCCGCTGGCCCCTTTGTACCCAGCAACTAGCATGTACCGTCTGTCGTCATTAGGGCACGTTTTCGAAAGACAAGAACGAGCTGCTGTTCAGTGAGTTCGGGATCAACTACAACGACGAAAAGGAGATTTTCAAAAAGGGCAGTGTTCTTGTGCGCGAAAACACGCTGGTGGATGTGACGACGCCCGACGGCAAGTGCACAAAACGGACAAAAACCACAGTTGTGACCATGCACTGCGACATTATCCGCGATGCCTTCTGGAATGAGCGCCCCGAGCTCACCCGCGGCAAGCCGACCAGGGCCGAGCGCAAGGCAGAGAGAGCAAAGCAGAGGGAGGTGGAGCTGGCGGCTGAGGCCGAGGCTGAGCGGGTGAAGCAGCGCAAGACTGGCGACAGGGCAGAGGACGAGGCGGAAGGCGAGGCAGAGGCCAAGGCGCAGTAGCATCTTTCTGCTTTTTTATCTGGATGGGGGACTGGAGATCGACTGTTTTTGCTGTGGCGATTTGCCCTTTGCAAGAGCGACCGGGGTGGGGGATGTCCCAGTCGGCGGATTTCAGGCCACTCAGTGATGGAGGCAAGATGATGCTGCTTTTGAACAAAACATCGGCCCACGCGATCTCCACTGATACGGGTCGTCCTTGGTTCGAATAAAACGGCTTCTTCCACTGGACGCCTTTGGGGGATGCGCGATACAAAGCGCTGTGGGTTTTTTGGGGAGACGAAAGCACAGGCGGGCCTGCATGCATATGCGCGACTGCCAGCTTATATATGGCCGCCTGAGCATTGTTCGAGAGTGACCAAAGCTACCAGAGAGGCTGGTCACGCCCTAATCCTCTCCCGTTTAAGCGCCGGCAGCAACAAGGCTCGCACCATCGATATCGCCGAAAACAGGATGGGGGCAAGGGTCTGGCCCGGTTTCGCGAGCCGTGATAGAGGCTTTTGCGAATAAATAGCCTCGGTTGCCCGCGGCCTGGAGGAACAGGAACCGAAGGTATCTTCTCTGTTTTTTCTTCTTCTCTCGCAGCGCACAAGCTCTCTCTCTCTCCTCTGTTCATTCAAACCTCTTCCTTGTATAATCTTTCTCTCCCCGCAACATCACTTTTTGTTCAATCATGACTGGCAAGAAGAGAAACAGCAAGGTCCAGCCGTCCCGGCAAACCTCAATGTGAGCTCGGCTGCCAGCTCTGCGGCGTCCACGCCCAGATCGACGGCACCGCACTCGCCGGTGGCAGCATCGGCGCAGCCCACACTTGAGGGGCAACTTTATGGGGCCGCCAACCAAGGTTGCCGACAGCGCGTACCTGAGCGGCTCTGACCCAGAGATCGCCGGTGACGGCACTGACGTAATCAAGTCTGACGGCTATCTGGAGCCGCACAGGCAGTACTTTGGCCAGCGGTTTGCGCACTTCAAGCGGTGGGTGCGCGACATTGAGCTGAGCGAGGGCGGCATCGACAAGTTCTCGCGTGGATACGAGGATTTTGGTCTGCATGTCACCCCGCAGGGCGTGCGATACCGCGAGTGGGCACCTGGAGCCAAGGAGGCGTCGCTGGTGGGCGACTTCAACAGCTGGGATGTCAACGCCAACAAGATGACGCGCAACGAGTTTGGCGTATGGGAGTGCGTGGTTCCCAACGTCAATGGCAAGGTAGCGATCCCGCATGGCAGCCATATCAAGGTGTCGTTTGTGACGGGCAGCGGCGAGCGCGTGTACCGGCTGCCGGCGTGGAGCACGCATGTGACGCAGGATCTGAGCAAGAGCCCGATCTACGACAGCGTGTTCTACAACCCGCCCAACAAGTACAAGGTCAAGAACACGCAGCGCGTGGTGCCGCCGGCCGACCTGCGCATCTACGAGGCGCACGTGGGCATTTCGTCGCCGGAGCCGCGCGTGGCCACGTACAAGGAGTTCACGCGCGATGTGCTGCCTATCATCTGCGACCTGGGCTACAACTGTGTGCAGCTGATGGCGGTGATGGAGCACGCGTACTATGCGTCATTCGGGTACCAGGTGACGTCGTTCTTTGCGCCATCGTCGCGGTATGGCTCGCCCGACGATCTGCGCGAGCTGATTGACACGGCGCACGGCATGGGCATTGTGGTGTTCCTGGACGTGGTGCACTCGCATGCGTGCAACAACGTCGAGGATGGGCTGAACCAGTTTGACGGCACCGACCACTGCTACTTCCATGAGGGCGGCATGGGCCGGCACGAGCTGTGGAACAGCCGGCTGTTCAACTACGGCAGCCACGAGGTCATGCGGTTCCTGCTGTCGAACCTGCGCTACTGGGTCGAGGAGTTTGGGTTCGACGGGTTCCGGTTTGATGGTGTGACATCGATGATGTACAAGCACCACGGAATCGCGTACGGCTTCAGCGGCGACTACAACGAGTACTTTACGGGTAACACCGACGAGGACGCAATTGCGTACCTGATGCTGGCCAACTACATGTGCCACAAGCTGTACCCGGGGTTTGTCACGATCGCCGAGGACGTGTCGGGCATGCCGACGCTGTGCCGGGCAGTGCCTGAGGGCGGAGTGGGTTTTGACTACCGGCTGACGATGTCGATTCCAGACATGTGGATCAAGATGCTCAAGGAGCAGAAGGATGAGGACTGGAACATGGGCCACATTGCGCACCAGCTGACGAACCGGCGGTACCAGGAGCGGGCGATCACATACTGCGAGTCGCACGACCAGGCGCTGGTGGGCGACAAGACGCTGGCGTTCTGGCTGATGGACAAGGAGATGTACACCAACATGAGCGACCTGACTGAGCTGACGCCGGTGGTGGAGCGCGGGATGGCGCTGCACAAGATGATCCGGCTGGTGACGATGGGTCTGGGCGGCGAGGGCTACCTGAACTTTGAGGGCAACGAGTTCGGGCACCCCGAGTGGCTCGACTTCCCGCGCGAGGGCAACGGCTCGAGCTTCCACTACGCGCGGCGGCAGTTCAACCTGATCAAGGACGAGATGCTGCGGTACAAGTACCTGTACCGGTTCGACAGGGCGATGCACCATCTGGAGAACCAGTTCCACTGGCTGTCGTCTCAAGACCAGTGGGTCACGCTGAAGCACGAGGGCGACAAGGTGCTGGCGTTTGAGCGCGGGCATCTGCTGTGGGTCTTCAACTTCCACCCGACCAACTCGTACACGGACTACCGCATCGGGTGCAGGTGGGCTGGCAAGTACGTGCCGGTGCTTTCAACGGACGACAAGGAGTTTCTGGGACAGGGCCGCGTTGACCACTCGGTCGAGCACTTCTCGACGCCGCTGGAGTGGAACGGCCGCCCCAACTACATCCAGGCGTACCTGCCCGCGCGCACGGCCACGGTGTTCAAGGTGGTGGAGTAGGGAGAAAGCAGCGTGAGATTTTTTTGAGAATTCCAAATATTGAAGGCTATCTATTCAGGAAGGTGATCCACTGTGGAGGGGCGACGATAGTACATGGCGGCCCAGAAGGCGATGCCCAGTACCGAGCCAGAGATCAGCTCGAGCGGGCCGTGGAAGAACTTTGCGGTGAAGTGCAGCATGACGACCCAGACGGCGACCAGCGACACCGAGGCCACGCCGACCACAGTCCTATGGAGGCTGCGGTTAGCCCTTGGTAGCGGGCGGATGACCTCCTCGACCAAGAACAGCGTGGAGTGCAGCAGCAAAAAGCAGTGGCCGGAGATATCGTGGCCGCCGCTCCAGCTGCCGCCCGCCGATCGGCAGGCGCGCATGGAAGCGGCAGGCACCGAGCTGGGGCCAATCAGGCACGAGCCGCCAGTCATCAGAAACACTCGGTCAAACAGCGGCGCGCCGAAACACCATTGCGTCATCAAGTACCAGTATGTGGTTGCCAGAATGTATCGCGATATCACATGCAGCTGGCGGGCGATCGGTCGGCCCTGCGTCCGGACGACCAGCGCCAAGGCAAACAGCGCGGTTGTCCAGAGCCATGCCAGCTTGGCGAAATAGCGGTTCAGCGGGTTGGTCTTGGAGGACCAGATGGACGGCGCCGACGATGTGGAGGGGCTGTGCGGGTCGGTGCTGTGGTAGTATCCAATGGCTATTGTGAACAGCAGGGAGAGCGGCACCAGCTCTGTTGTCCGCCGATGCTGCGACATTGAGGTGTAATTACTAGAGGTTTGTAAAAAAAGAAAAAATTAGGGAGAAGTAAAAGTAAGGTTCGATATGGCATGAAGAGCAGGCAAATAAAAAAAGGCTTCAAATAAACTGGCCCATGATAAAGCCCGGCGGAAGACGGCCCGGATTCTTGGCAAGGGAAAAGGAGAGGAAGATGTCTGCTCCGGCGCAGTATTTTTATCCCGCCGCACGGCTTCCACGTGGAGAAACGGAGCCGCGCTCCTCGATCATCCCTCGGTGTTCAGTGTTTCAGGTGTGGAGGGGCTGTTCGGGGGGGTCGGGGGAGAGGCTGCGCGCAAAAGGATGCGAAGCGGCCAACCCGCGCTCACAAGGAGCAGCCATACGATCGCCGAGTGAGGAGGGGGGCGTGCGGGCGGAATCATCACCGGATGGAGTGATTCTCGGCGGCATTTTCCCAGTTGGCGAAACCCCGCCTTGCGTCCTTCACTCCCTCCGGGGCGCTTTATATAAGACTGGTGCGGCCGACCGGGTGGGCTTCCCTGCTAGAACAACCTCCCCCCACCGAACGCACTTGTACTTTTCCCCTTCCCTCTCTATATTCCTAAAAAGCATACAACATTTTTTTCTCCCCTTCAAGCCATGGTATCATCCCCAGTCAAGAGCCCGTCGCCCCCATCCACCACAGCGCCGCTGCCAGGCAACCCGCAGCAATGGACAGTGGATGATGTGTGCCGGTGGGCGCAGACGCTGCCTCTGATAGCCGACATATCGGCGGTGTTCAAGGAGCACGCAGTGGACGGCCATGTGCTGGTCAACTACGTTACCAACACGGTGCTGGCAGACGAGCTGGGCGTGTCGGCATTTGGCACACGCGTGCACATCCTGGAAGCCATCGAGACATTGCGGTGGAACTCTGGGCTGTGTGCCAAGCAGGGCAAGGCGGACTCGCGCAGCGTCTCGCACACGCCGGAAACCGAGGGCTCGGCGAAGGAGCACTCCGACGGCGAGTCGCCAAAGCCGGCGTCGAAGCGGTCGGCGTCGCGGATTGCCGATGCCGAGAAGAAGCGGCAGAAGCGGGCGGAGCTGAAGAAGAACCCGGTGCTCTATGCCGAGTACCTGCAGAAGGAGAGGGAGCGCAATGCCAGACGAAGGGCCAGGCTGAGGGCCGAGCGCGGCAGGTCCGATGGCTCGCAGGATGCGGGCAGGCCGGCGTATGTGCCGTATGCGGCCCAGGAGCATAAGCGCGCGGCCTCCACGTCGTCGTCGCTGTCGCTGTCGCCGTCGCTGCCGTCGCACTCGCCGAGTCTGGCGGCTGCGTACATCCAGCCGCTGCAGCCGCCCGTCCATAATCTGCGCCAGGGGCCTGAGCCCGAGGCAGAGCCCGGCCACCAGCAGACAGCCCAGGTCTAGCCCTTTGCCTTTCCTGATTGACTTTCTCTTCTGCTTCGCCTGCAGCTGCACTTTTCCCACTTGTAAATAAATTCCCTTTCTGCTCCGGAATTCCCCCCCCCCCCATGCGCATTGGCACCGTGACATACAACCTGGCGCAGCGGCGGCCGTCGGAAACGGCGCTGCGGGCATTGGTGCAGGGCGCCGGAGCCGCTGATGTCTTCATTGTGGCCGTGCAGGAGCACAGCGATTTTCTGGAAGCCATGCGGTTCCGCCGCGCATCGCAATACTCTGCCAATTTTGCCCACATCCTGCGCGGGCTGTCCGCCGCCCTCCCCTCCATGCATTGCATAGCCGCGGTGGAGCACGGCGCCCAAGGCCTGGCGGTATATCAGCGCATGCCCAGCGCGCAGCAGATCGCCACCATAGCCATAAACAAGGCCAGCACCGGGCCATGGCTGACCAGCAGCAAAGGCGGTATCGGCGTGTGTCTGAGGGTGCGCGAGGGCTCCGCCACTATGTCGCTGGCGGTGGTGGCGGCTCACCTGGCGGCGGGCATGGCGGCAGGCGTGCGGAACACCCATTTCCGCGACATCGTCGCGCGATTGGCGCTCGGCGGGTCGCTGCTGCACGCCGATGCTGCGGTGTTCCTGGGCGATCTCAATTACCGAGCCGCCCATGGCGAGCTGCACAAGGACCAGCTCCGCCAGGAAATCCTGGCCAACCGAGTCCTGCCGGCCTTTGCCGAGTCCGCGATCGCCTTTGCCCCCACATACCGCCTGGTGGTTGGTCCCCAGCGCCTGTACGACAATCTGCGCGCGCCGGCGTGGTGTGACCGGACGCTGGTCTATGTCAGGTCCCCGAGCGCCGCCGATGCTGTCCGCAGGTGGTGGGCGGGAGAACTATCTTCCGCCGCCGATAGGAACCGCCCTGCCAGCAACAGGAACCACCCTGCCTGTCCCGTTGTCTGGCGCAGATACGACTCTCTGCACGTCTGTGGCTCGGACCACCTGCCTGTGGCCGCCGAGTTCGACCTGGACCTTGCTGCGGCCGCCCGGCTTAGCGCTGTGTCCGGCGATCTGCCCGACATGGTCGACCCCCACTGGCTGCTCTGGCTGCTGCTGGGACAGGTCGCCGGCTACATTGCTGGCGAGGCCTACCACTTGGCCGTCACCCCCGTCCCACGCTCCCTCTGCCTCACACTACTCGCCACTGCCATCGCCTACTACATGTATTCCCTCAACACTATTACTCAAACCTAGTCTGCAAACCGCCGGGTTCCCGACGCATACTTTGGGTCCGACTCGATCACCACGCGGTTGTGCGAGAACATCTTGTTGACCAGACCCTGCCTCTGCATCACTGTCAGCTCCTGCCGCGCCTCTGCCACCGCCTGCGCAATCGCCGGCTCCTCCGTCAAAGTGCTGCTGGCGCGGAACCGATCGCGCGTACGCCGGTAAAAGTACTTGCGGAAGTTGTATGTCTCGAACTGCTGCGCTGCCTGCAACGACGAGCGGTAGAGCTTTAGCACCTGCGAACGTGTCACTGTCATGGCTGTTTCCCTCCTTGAATTTCGGTAGAAAAATGCGCTCTTGGAATGAACAAGCGAAAACCTCATAAAAGTGGAACTTGCCCCGTGATAGCGCTCCGTTTTTTTTTTTTGCCTGTGCTGACGCGAATATTCGCTCTGCTGAGTGGATCAGCGGTTTCCGTGGCCATTTTCTCCCCAGCTGGCTCGATCACGGCTCGACAAGAAAAACAATGGCTGCGCCAAACGGCTCCATCTCCTATACCCGTTGCCTCTCCTGGAGATCACTGCTGTGGCTGTGCCTTCTCTCCCTCCTGCAGCCCTGCACTCTCAACCTGTGCCATGTTCTGGATCCCACCCCTTCTTTCTGTTATCTTGGCTGTGCCGGCCCTGGCCGGTCCCGAGCAAATCGCATTCCAGTGCCACCAAGCCCGGATGGTCGAATGGCCGTCCTGGAGCGTCTGGGAATCATCCCACTGCCACCACTGACCGCATGCCTATCGTTGACTCCACATATCAGCGCTTCGACAGACGCAAGCTGTTCTGAAACCGTGCCTCGTCAATCCCATCTCTCCTTGCCCATGTCACACAAACACACCCACTTGCCCACATTCGCCTAACTCTGCTGGTCATTGGCGGGACCGTACTCAGTTCCTTTTGCAAACTGGGCACATACGCAGATTATGTGGAAAATATGCGATCGACACCTTGCTACTCTTCCCTCCCCAACTTCTGCCCTTTGCCCAGGGGCTTCATTTCCAGCTACACCTGGCCTACACGTGCCAGAAAGTCTACATTCTGCTCGTCTGGTGTTTCTAGCCATGTCGATATGCACACTGTTTTTTTCTGATCCAGGTTTTGTGCCGGCTCAGTCCGGCTAACCCCTAGCCTGTTTTCTAGTTGCCTTGACACACGTGTGGGAAACTATTGCTACTCTATGGCTTATACCTCGCCCTCCCATCCAAACGACCAAGATTACCCCTGTACAATCCCGCCTGCCTGATGCATGAACCACTACCACGTCCGTGATTGCAAGAAAAAGAAAACAAGCATTGCGTCCTGGGGGAGGTCCTACTTTTTTTGCTGCCAACGTTGCCTATATAAATACGTCTGTGCCACCTCTCAATTGTCTTGCATGTAAGCTTCTTATCCTCAGATACCCTTCCTTCGCCTTTCTATCCTTAACTAATTAATACACATATCATCATGAAGATCTCTGTTGTCTCCATCCTCTCCCTGGCCATTGCCGCCGTGTCTGCCATGCCCGCCAACAACTACTCAAACGGCGACTGTGATGGCAACGGCAATGGCAACGGCAACGGCAAGAAGCCCGCCAACAAGAACCTCATCATGATCGTCTCCGACGGCTTTGGCGTGGCCTCCGAGACCCTGGCTCGCACATACGTGCAGCAGATCGACCGCAAGCCCTACCAGTGGCTGTCGAACCTCGATGAGATCCTTGTTGGCACGTCGCGCACCAAGGCGTCTGACTCGCTGGTCACCGATTCGGCTGCCGGCGCCACCGCCTTTTCCTGCGGCAAGAAGTCGTATAACGGTGCTATCGGCGTCACTGACGACGAGAAGCCTTGCGGCACTGTCCTGGAGGCTGCCAAGCTCCAGGGCTACAAGACCGGTCTGGTCACTACCTCGCGTATCACCCACGCTACCCCAGCTTCGTTCGCCGCTCATGTCGTTGACCGCGACATGGAGGGTCTTATCGCTCAGCACGAGATCGGAGACAACGTTCTCGGAAACAAGGTTGACCTGCTGCTCGGCGGTGGTCTGTGCTTCTTCCAGCCTAACACCACCAAGGGTTCGTGCCGTACCGATACTCTTGATGCCTGGAAGCTGGCCCAAACCAAGGGATACTCGACCTTCTCTGACCGCGCCTCGTTCGATGCGCTGAAGACCTCTGCCAAGCTCCCGCTGCTTGGTCTGTTCACTTCCGGCCACATGTCGTACGAGATCGACCGTGATGCGGCCAAGGAGCCTTCGCTTGCCGAGATGGCCACCAAGGCTCTGAACATCTTGCACAAGAACACCGAGAACTCCAAGAAGGGCTTCTTCATCATGATCGAGGCTGCGCGCATCGACATGGCTGGCCACGACAACGACCCGGCTGCTCACCTCCGTGACATTCTCCAGTACTGGGAGACCATCACTGCCGTGCGCAAGTTCATTGATGCTCACCCCGACACCTCCATGGTGGCCACTTCGGACCACGAGACTGGCGGTCTGACGCTGGCTGTCGACCCCGACTACGTCTTCTACCCCAAGTTCCTGCAGCCGGTGAAGAAGTCTACTGAGGTCATCTGCCCCGAGATCAAGAAGATCCCGGCTGACAAGCGCAGCGAGTTTGTCCGCACAACCGTGATTCCTCAGTACCTGGGTCTTGCCAATGTCACGGACTCGGATGTCAAGAGCATCGTCGATGGCGTTGCCAGTGGCTCGACAGACTGCAAGCACAGCGTCGGTCATGTTGTTTCCAAGTATGCCCACATTGGCTGGACTACTGGTGGCCATACTGGTGTGGATGTCGGTCTGTATGCCTACGGCAAGGGTACTGAGAAGCTCCATGGTAACAACGAGAACACCCAGGTTGGCGAGTTCCTGCGCGACTTCCTGCGCCTTGAGTTGGACTCTGTCACCAAGCGTCTGGCCAACGAGACCACTGTGCAGCCTGGCTTCTCGTGGTCGCGCGCCCCGACCACCCTGCTCACTCGCCGCGATGCCAGCGGAAACAGCTACCACGAGCAGGTGGACTCGTACCACCCGGCCCGTGCTCACTTCCACTAGAAAAGCAATTTCCTGATCAGTGCAATTCAATACACTCCTCACCTCAGTGCACTCAGAATCTTGCTGTATATACTCGTGGTGCTTGTCAGATGCTGTGAACCTGTTTCTTGGAATGGGAAGAGCGCTTGACATCCTGCATGGCTCGAATTCTATGTGGAATACCTGAAGCTGGCACGAGTTTAGTTTTGTATTAATTTCTAAATATAGTACCCCGAACTGCCGTTCCCACGTACACATACAGATTACCAAATCATAGACCCTTCTATATTACGTTTGGAGTAATAGTTGCACATCTCTTGAATGTAATATATGGAATAGCACGTATCTCTGTTGAAATCCAACACATTCATAGAATCATATATATATCTACGGTGAATTAGCGCACATTATGACGCTACTCCTTGATAAAAATCAATGTGATACAGAGGTGGCTGCTGCTGCTTCCTTGGCCGCATTAATCGGTGACATTCAGTATCTAAATAATGCAGTTTGTTCGTGAACAAAGCTGGGTTTGCAGCTTAGATGTTGAACCTAGAGTCCGAACTTCACCACTGCCAACAGGGAATTGGTATCTGGCACTTCGCGATCCTGATTCAGCAATTGCAGATTTGGAGCGGCAGAACCATAGCCCCTTGATTTGGTCCCACAGCTATAGATGCCGTTTAAGTAATCATTACCATCACCGCGTCTGAAGACGGGTACCACTCTTCTACAGCAGGTTTACGCCGGGCTTTCGTTAAATTGCGCGTACCCGACGCACGCTGCACAGCTGACGTACTCCCACGCATACAGGCCCGCCCACACAATCGATGTCCTATGTAGTAGATGCAAAAGATTGACCAGCAATCCCCCAGGTTGACTGACGACGGATATCACATGCGCAACAGTTTGCCAACGCTGCTCAAGCCCACCCACTACCTGCTTGTACTGCTCGTCTGCGCACCATCCGGTTGCTGCACCCTTCAGATCCAGCACGACATCTCCCTTTGCAGCTTTCCTTTCATGGGAAGGTGGATCTTTCTGCATAGAAGCTTTCCGGCATTTCCTTTTTGTGCGCTCTGTCCGACTATACCTCGTCCCTTTTTTCCTATTTGTTTATTGCACGTGGGAAACAATAGCTGAGCTTGCTGTCAGCTAGGATTTTTCGTACGCCCGACGACCAGATGCACATGCGCTGGATGATTTCTGCTGTATGCAAGCATCTGCGGTTGGGTGCGGCGTAAGAAGAAAGGGCAGATAGGGAGGGTGGATGAGCAGCAGTGTCCGTGCTGACCCGGCGGTGCCATAGCAATTGGCAGGAAACCCCTTCCCCCAGGACCGTGCCTCGTTGCCGGTGAATCGGATATAAATACCCGCGGTCAGAGCGCCCTCCCTTCGTTTTCCAAGCCGAGTATTCTCAATCCTGAAGCGCCTGCCTTTAACTATCTATTCACTACACTAACTATCTACTATAATATTTTTAATTGCGTGATCCAGCTATTTCACTACTCATCATGAAGATCTCAATCCTCTCTGCCTTCTCCCTGGCCATCGCTGCCGTGTCTGCCATGCCCGCCAGCGACTACTCGAGCAACAAGGCCTGCAATGACAAGGGTCCTGCTAACAAGAACCTCATCATGATCGTCTCCGACGGCTTCGGTATTGCCTCTGAGGCCATGGCTCGCGGCTATGTGCAGCAGATCGACCGCAGGCCATACGAGTGGCTGTCCAGCCTCGATGAGATCCTTGTTGGTACGTCGCGCACAAAATCTACAAGCTCTCTGGTTACTGATTCTGCTGCTGGAGCAACCGTCTTTGCTTGCGGCAAGAAGTCGTATAACGGTGCTATCGGCGTCACTGACGACGAAAAGCCTTGCGGCACTGTCCTGGAGGCTGCCAAGCTCCAGGGCTACAAGACCGGTCTTGTTTCTACAGCACGCATCACCCACGCTACCCCGGCTTCGTTTGCCGCTCATGTCGTTGACCGCGACATGGAGGGTCTTATCGCTCAGCACGAGATCGGAGACAACGTTCTCGGAAACAAGGTTGACCTGCTGCTCGGCGGTGGTCTGTGCTTCTTCCAGCCTAACACCACCAAGGGTTCGTGCCGTACCGATACTCTCGACGCCTGGAAGCTGGCCCAAACCAAGGGGTACTCGACCTTCTCCGACCGCGCCTCGTTCGATGCGCTGAAGACCTCTGCCAAGCTCCCGCTGCTCGGCCTGTTCACTTCCGGCCACATGTCGTACGAGATCGACCGTGATGCGGCCAAGGAGCCTTCGCTTGCCGAGATGGCCACCAAGGCTCTGAACATCCTGCACAAGAACACCGAGAACTCCAAGAAGGGCTTCTTCATCATGATCGAGGCTGCGCGCATCGACATGGCTGGCCACGACAACGATCCGGCTGCTCACCTCCGTGATATCGTCCAGTACTGGGAGACCATCACTGCCGTGCGCAAGTTCATTGATGCTCACCCCGACACCTCCATGGTGGCCACTTCGGACCACGAGACCGGTGGGTTGACCGTTGGTATCAACCCAGACTACTCTTGGTTCCCCAAGTTCCTGCAGCCAGTGAAGAAGTCTACCGAGGTAATCTGCCCCGAGATTACTAAGCTTCCGGCTGACAAGCGCAGCGAGTTTGTCCGCACAACCGTGATTCCTCAGTACCTGGGTCTTGCCAATGTCACCGACTCGGATGTCAAGAGCATCGTCGATGGCGTTGCCAGTGGCTCGACAGACTGCAAGCACAGCGTCGGTCATGTTGTCTCCAAGTATGCCCGTCTTGGCTGGACTACTGGTGGCCATACTGGTGTGGATGTCGGTCTGTATGCCTACGGCAAGGGCACTGAGAAGCTGCGTGGCAGCAACGAGAACACCCAGGTTGGCGAGTTCCTGCGCGACTTCCTGCGCCTTGAGCTGGACTCTGTCACCAAGCGTCTGGCCAACGAGACCACTGTGCAGCCTGGCTTCTCGTGGTCGCGTGAGGAGACCACTTTGCTTACCCGCCGTAGCCTCAGCGGAAACAGCTACCACGAGCAGGTGGACTCGTACCACCCGGCCCGTGCTCACTACCATTAAACACCTAGTATCATTTATAAATTAATAATACGATTGCTCATAAGCATGCGTTCTTTTGAAGGTTGTATTGAGAATGATTATTTGCTTTATAGCTAATGAACGCAGCAGAGAACGCGATTATTTATTTTGGCCCCTGGCCGAGGTCGTTAGTCAGCTGGTTGACCAGCACACCTACTGCCTCAGTAAGGCCAGATAACGTCTTGACAACACCGCCGAGAGTGCCGTCATACGGGACGTGCTCAACAGGAGCAGGAGCAGGGGCAGCGGCAACAACGGCAGCGAAGATGGTAGCAACGAGGAAGAAGCGCATTATAGATTTGTTGGTTGAACTATGTGGGTTCGGTCCAGCGAATGGAGAAAATTAATTGAATTGGAGTTGTACCGAAGTGATATTGAAGCACCTGCTGGACTGTCGAAGTCTTCAGCTATTTATCCAATTCCAGGACAGTGCTCTCCTGTAGTAAGAGGTAGGTGGCTCAAAAGGAGACATGGAGGCATATCTTGTGAGGCATAGATCTAGAAGCAAAATCGATAAAGAGACAAACGTGTACTGGAAATTTAGGGACTATTTGTAGTAGACAAAATAATGCCTGCAATCCCTCCCTGAAATCCGATTTTCAATGAGAGAGATACTGCGTTGCTAAACAATATGTGGTTGATTCAGTATGTCTACTTCACAGGTATAGACGCATAAAAAGTCGTAAGCAGGTGCCAAGCGTGAAAATATATGCGTTGCAGGCAGTCCAGTAGGCTGATTGCAAATTTCAAATGTGAAGCATACATGTGCATTTTTGCCACTTGTACACACATGTACATATCCATATGACAAAGGTATCAAAAGGCCCCTTGGGCTGCATATTAAACCTGGAGCGCTTATTTTTCACGCCTCTCTCGTATTCCCGCTGGGTCATCTGGACCGCATGTCGTCACTGAATGCACAATTGAGACCGCGTTTGCTTTCTGCACTCCCAGCACCGCACGCCAAAAGCAGTCGCTCCAACAAAACAGCATTGCAAACAGCAGGTCCCCTTCTTGCCTGATAATAAGTGTCCGATTTTCCTTTGTGGCATTGTGCTTGGGCTTGGGCTGGATTCACGCACAGGTAGGAGCAGCAACAGCGACAGCAGCGGTGACAACAGCAGCGGTGACAGCAGCAGCAGCAGCAGCAGCAACTGTAGTAGTAGAGCACAGGTTGCGGCCATTTTCCAGACAAACGCAGACTGCTATTGCATTATCCGCCACTGGTCCTTGCGAAACAGAAAAAGAAAGATGGCGCCGCCACTGCGTCCTGGCAACAATGCGCGCAGCTGAAAAGGAGCCAGGCGAAAGAATAAACAGCCTGGTCCCACCTGTAGTGGCTGCTCCAGCCCAGGCTAAACGAAACAGAAAAAGAAAAAGAAAAAAAGAAGGAAGAGAAAACCGACGACAAAAACACTGGCCAGGATTCGATCCGCAGGCCTCGGCGCCAGAGCAAAAAGAGTGCTTAGCATCACCAAGTTTCGATCTTGGGACCTCAGGGTTATGAGCCCTGCGCGCTTCCTCTGCGCTATGATGCTTTCCAAGCTCTGATTAGCCGCTTCTGAAATGTGTATTCAACATAGTTGTTCAGGCGCCACCGATGCGTGGCCGCCTCCGTGCCGCTCTATCTCAACTGAAAAGCAGCCGGCCGCAGTTTCCATGAATGATGGCGTGTGCCAGTAGCAGACAAGCGGCAATGACGCGCAACATGTGCCAGCTCTTGCCAGCTTCAGGCACATGTGCTTGAGAAAGTCCACTCAGCTGATAGCATGCACCATGGTCGAGGGCCGCAGCTGCGGTGCTATGTACAACTACACGCACGAACATTATTAGCAGCCGCTATTTCAATTGAAGGAAGGGGACAGCCCCAGTTTTATTACCACCTTAAATTGGCTTGCTCAGGTACCCGCCATCCACCACCAGGTTGATCCCCGACACGTATGCGCTGGCCCGAGACGCCAGGTAAATGATCGCGCCTGCAATATCCTGCTCGCTGCCTGTACGGCCCAGCGGCACCATCTCCTGGATCGTCAGCGTGTTGTTCTTCCAGTAGTCCTGTACCTTGTTTGGCAGCGGGTTTGCGTCGGCTGGTGGCTCGCGCAGCATGCGCGACGGGAACATGCCCGGCGAGATGCTGTTGACGTTGATGTGGTCTGCCGCCAGCTTGTACGCCATGTCGCTTGTCAGGTGGATTAGCCCGGCCTTGGACGCATTGTACGAGTACGTGGTGCCGAGCAGCACATGGTTGCCTGAGATGCTTGCCACGTTGATGACCCGCGCTGGATTCTCTGCGCTGGCCGTCTTCTTCAGCAGCGGCAGCAGCGCCTGTGTGACCGTGAACGGCCGCTGCAGATTCAGCAGAAGGTCGTTACCGAATCCCTGGTCAGGCATCGTCTCAATGTCGCCATTCGTGTATCGCCCCGCGTTGTTCACCAGGACGTCGATTCCGCCAGGTGCAAGCTCGGCCATTTTGGTTGCCAGCGCCTGCACCTGCTCGTAATCAACTAGATCGCACACAACGTAGCTGCAGGTTCCAGGACCTTCTGCTGTCAGCCGCTCCGACTCGTCCTTCAGGTACTTCTCCTGGCGGCTGGTGATGTAGACGTTGGCCCCGTTGGCCACCAGTCCCTCAGCCATATAGAGCCCGATTCCTGACGACCCGCCTGTGATTACAATTGTCTTGCCCTTGACGCCAAAGAGTGTAGCGATATCCATGATGCAGAAAGTGGTGGTTCCCTTGTTGGTTAACAGTCTGACAGTAAAGAACAGAGGCGCTTTTATACTGTTCCTTGCAGCACCCTCTCGAGGACCGCAGCACAATTGTTGCTATTAAAAGCGGCCAGACTTTATCACCACAAGAAACCCCCTACCCCCAAACCGGCTGATCCTCATGCCTTTGGTTGCAGCCTCAAGGTGACGCGACCTTTTGCACTTGCAACTGCGGCCAGCTCCTTTGTCAGAATCAGCCAACCCCACATGCTGTAGAATGGTGCTTCCAGATAATTTAACTGATCTGAGACCACAAGTATGTTCAGCAGCTGCCTGAATCCATGCTTGAGACAGCCAGAGTAGAACGCCACTGCGCAGCAATACACACAATAGGAGCAGCGGCTGTCCTAGTATGCATGACAGAGCACCCAGCGGCCCTCACTACTACTGCACAGCTCACCCTAAATTCAATCAGGTGTTCTGTATTTGCGCACTGCCTTGTAGTGTTCAAAATCCAAATAGTATATTCTCAATCCATATTGCTACCCTGCTGCCTTCACGGCTTGTCCAGTGCTGGCAGTCTGCTGGTTGGTAGTTTGCTGGTCAGTGGTTCGCTGGTTGGTAGTCTGCTCGTCGGTGGTTCGCTGGTTGGTAGTCTGCTCGTCGGTGGTCTGCTGGCCGGGGCTCTGTGGAGGATTTTCAGTTGAAGAGTGTTCCTCACTACTCGCGCCATCAGCTTGGTCTGAATCCATTTCATATGCGCGCTGGAGTCCGTCACGGCGGAGCTTTGTGTACCACTCATCCAGATATCGGTCGTGGTCAAACATGCATTTGTATGTGGGGTGTGCGACTATGATCCAGATGCTGCTGTTACACATGATAATGTCGCTTGCCGTGGTAATAATCCGTACAACCCTGTTTAGCGGGTATTTGGGAAACACGATATGGAGAATCGTAGTCCCAAGTACAAAGGATAGAACTATGGTGATCATGTATGTATAGTTCCGGAATTCGTTGAATGAGGAATGGATTTTACGGATGCGGACAGTGAAGAATATAACCAAGAGCCACCAAAACCATACGATTGATAGACTCGAAATACGAAATGCCTCAGCATAATAGCAGACTTGAAGAGAATGGAGTAAGGACACTGTAAGACGGTCCTCGATTATCTGCCCAGCGATATCGTATGCAAGAATAGCCGTGGCGATTAGTAAGACTGGCCCGAATATAGCCCAACCCCGATAGGGCTTTCCACGATTGAAAACCACGTCGAAGGCATATGCACGCATCATTATCGATGACGAAAATATAAAGGCAGATGAGGCACGCCCCCATATTTCCCACAGCTTACATAAGGCCCATGGCCCAACAACGCTTACGTAGCCATTAGTAGGCAAGTCACCAATAAACCATAGGAGGCCGGATATGTATGTGACTGTGGTGAGGCGTATATTTTTGGCACGAATCGGGTGGTAGACAATGTTTATCCATCAGTATATGACTAGCAATAGCGACACGCTGTACACGCAGGTACCAATGATAACTATTGCCCAATCACCATATACAACTGAATCTAGGTGAAAGCCAAGCACCGCTGCTACCTACATTGTAGTTATCTATTAGCACATTGAGCAGCAGGTAGTTATAATGTGTTATCCATGCAAAGCTGCCTGTCGTTTTTGGTGTACCTCAGCCCGCTGCTCTTCAGTTATTGGTGGGTAATTATACATTGAATATGCTGGTAGTAGTTGAATTCAAATAAATGGGATTAGAAATTATATGACTTATGGACTGAGGATGTGTTGGTGGCAGTAGTCCTTTGTGTAGCCAGCCCTCATTTGTATAAATATTCGTGAGCTTTCCAAGGCTAGTGCTCCCACCAGGTCAGCCAGTTAGTCGATCTTAGTTGCTATTATGAAGCTCAAAATTTCTGAAAATCCAAACATTGTTTTTTAAGGAGTGATGCTAGGAGGAGTGGAGCATATATAAGTATATGGATCTTTAAATATATGACCCTATTGGCTGGCAAGAGGTGATCTTGTATTTGTTATCAAATTCCTTGATAAAATAGGTAATATATATTTAAGTTTAATATAATATATGGGATATTGCTTTTAATTATCAACCATAGGGCTATTAATTCCTATATTTCTTATATTTCTACTGGCTCTATTAGTAATCCCCTTTTTGCAGGTATCCACAGCCCAGATCTGTGGATAAGGAGTAGGTGTACTATATGATAATCAAAGTTAGAAAATATATTATTCATATTAACTTATCTACTATTTGTAATAACTATGCTGTATTTATATTTATCCCTCTAATACCCTTTTGCCTCTAGGGGGTTATCCTTAGACTTGTAATTTTTTATTAATTTGCAATTTAGATAGTTGTTTGAATAATCATTTTTAGAACTATTTTTTACTACTAATTTTTCAGTAGTTAGTATTAACTAGTATATCCAGAATATTTCTATGCTTATAAATTAATACTAAGGTAAGAATATTTTTCTTGCTGTTTCACCCAAACTGCTATTAGCATCTTAGAAAAGTATTAGTAGATATGATTTTAACTTGAAATAAAAAACTTTGTATATTTAGGGTTAATTTTCTTTAGGTAATAAAAGTCAACATCCTAATAGATATGGCTAAGCAGCCTTAAGGAAATCATATTTACTGAAACTTTTCTAAGATGGTAATAGTAGTTTAGGTGAAATTTTTATTTTATAGAAAGTACTACTAGCTATAATATATATAAATAATTATTATATAGATAAGTAACCCTGAATGACCTCTATAAATAAGTAGCAGATCTACTCTATAGTCTGATCCCTTAATTATGTCTATTCAGTCTTAGATATACTAGCTTCATTGTGGCAGTACATACAGCATATATATTGCAGAACCTATAAAAACAGGCTAGTAGTAATTATCCTATATTGCCTATATAACACTTACTAGCCAGAATACACTATATGCCAACTCCTAGGCCTACTTCTTCTATAGTATAGATTTTGTACTATGGTAAATAAGTTGAATATAACAGTACTTACTCTTATTTGAAGGTGGCTATTGGACCCAACTAGGGCTGGCTAAGTGCTAGCTGCCTATAATGCCTTCAGCCAAAATACCTACCAGACTCCATAAAGTCAACCTAACCATAAATAGATCTCAGCAAGGACATCCTGCTAGAACCCTTCTACCTACTATTGGCATATATCCCTCCCTATGCCTCTGTCTGGCTATAAACCACAGAAACTTGGCCAGCACTTCAGCTCTAAACATTATCTACAGGCTAATACACCTTACCTTTCTAATATATTACAAACCTTAACCAAGCATGAAGGTCGCTCTGTTGCTTACTCCTATCTTTGCCCTTGCGGCTCTTGTCTCAGGTTGCACTGACACGACTTCGTCTGCCTCAGCCTCCACTTCTACCAACTCTCCAACTCCCACTTCGACTCGTTCATCACCTGTGCGTGCTGCTGTGAGTATCTGGGCCAACGGCCAGGTTTCTATTGCCAAGAGCATGATTCTTGCCAACATCTCACCCTCTAGTTCTGCCAGCTGGTACTTTACGCAGGCTTCGTACATCACTGGCAATATGACCGGCTTCTGGAGCAGCAGCAGCAACATTATCCTGCCGACTATTCAATATAGCGGCGGTGTTAACAAGCCAGCCAACATTGACTCCCAGGCATTCCTGGTTGTGCTGCATACTGCTCTCGATGATGGATTTTATACTGTCGAATCTGACCAGATGCTGTCCACTTTTGTTGGTACTATCGCCAAGCTCCGGCCGCTATACGCGATCAATGCTGCTACCTCAGCCACTATCGCCGATACCACTGTCCCCATTGGAGTTGCTCTCCGCCGTTACCCTTAGGATACCTACAACGGATACAACCCTGGCCAGCAAGGTAACCCGTGGTTACTGTTTACTTCGGCTGCTGCCGAGTACAGCTACTGCTTGATTGAAACGTGGAATAGTGCAGGCAAGGTCACCGTCACCCAGGCTGTGTACAGCTACCTGGCGCAGCTCACCTCGCTGTAGAGTATCACCTTCACCAATTCGATCTCGGTTGGTAGCGCTCACCCAAAGGAGTCGGCTATATTCACTGAGATCCTGAACAGGGCCTACTCTGCCGGTGATCTCTACATGGCCCGCGCTGCTCACCACATGGCTGCTGATGGCAACATGTGGGAGGAGTGGAACTGCAAAGCTGGTGCCTCTCAGGGTGCCCCGTAGCTCATCTGGTCGCACCGGGCACACTCGGCCATCTCTCGCCACCGTGCTGCAGCACTTGCTATTGTCGGCGCTTAAACACTATATTTTAATGGCAGTAAAAGTGAACTTTATTGTATATGCTCGCAATTGCCCATGATAGCCGAAAGAAATACCTAGATATGATGCTGGAATAAAACGTCGGGTTCTGTTGTGATCATAAAGGGAATTTCACATCCATCTGCAAACACAACAGACAGCCCTGGTATAAATGTCTATTTAGTAAAACCGCCTTATCTAGTAGCTAGAACTCGTTAACTAAGCTTGAAACATAAAACAGCGTGTAATATTGGTGCCGTGCGATGTATGAGAAAATGTGTAGTGGGAGGTAGTGAGACTAATCACGCTCAGTGGATCTGGCGCAAGGTGCTGCAGACATGGAATGGTTATTACATCCCGTGGGCTTTGCGCGCAGCTGGCGAATGACCTGGCATCACAACAGTCGGCTCAATAATAATCTTGCCACCGCGCGTCCTCTCCGAGATGCTCCTTGCTGGCGGCAAGTGCGTGGACAGGGAGTTGATGTTCTTACTTGCAGTAGGCAGCTGGCTTTTGGCATCAGTCATTGGCGTAGGCCTAGGAATTGCTTGTGCCGACAACACCTTTCCGGGAGCCGCAGGCTTGGCAGAGAATACCTTTCCTGCACTATGGCTAGTAGCAGGCGTAGGTTTGGGCTTGGCATGGCTCACCACCGATGTGGGTTTAGCAGACAGGATCTTGGCGTGTGGAGCTGCTTTGGCAGACAATAGTTTGCCAGGCATAGGCTTAGCGGTCGGGGTTGCTGCGTGGGTTGAGAGGTGGGTTGTGTGCGCAAGTTGGACAGAAAGAATCTTACCAACCGCGGTCGATGGCTTGACTGATGAGACAGTCTTCTTAGTAGCAGTGGGCTTAGCCGACAAAGCCTTGCCGGTCACTGAAACATCCTTCTTTGTCGGAGTGGCCTTGGCCGATAGTACCTTGGCCGAAGATGCGTGCGCCTTGGTTGGTGTTGCCTTGGCAGACAAAACCTTGTCGCTGGAGGACGACTTTGCCGTAGGCTTTGGAGCAGGCTTTGAGGCAGGCTTTGCAGAAGTAGCCTTGAGCAAGGAGGGCTTGACAGCAGTAGACTTCATCACAGAGCTGTGGCTCGATGCAACAGTCGGTGTTGGCGAGCTCGAAGCTGCAGATGCTGTGGATTTAGCCGAGGCTGACGACGATCCAGCCAGCGCATTAATGTTGAGAATCTTGTCGCCAAGCGATGCCAGATCCAGGCTTGTATTGGTATCTGTCATTGCTGATAGCTCCTTAAGCAGCTCCGACTGCCTCTCTTCGCTGCTGCTGTCCTTGGTTGGCGAGCTGGAAGCATCATCGTTGTCGTCGTCGTCGTCGTTACCACCACCATTATCAAAGTCACCTCCGAACCCTCTTCCAGCGATTCCGCTGCCCATACCTGCGCCCATGGGAATGCGGTTGTGGCCCATCGGCCCCATCATCGGCCCGCCCATCATATCGCCGCCCTCATTGGGCATTGCGTGGCTACCATGGCGACCAAACCGGGCGTTGCCATACGGGTTGCGAGCCATTGGCCATTCGTCGACGTCAGCGTGCGCATGATACCGCTGACCACGCATGTAATGGCGGTTGTAGTTGCGCCCACCCTCCTCGCCTCCTGGCATATACATCGGTCCGCCATACTGGTTGCCCATCGGCCCACCCATCGGCCCACCCATCGGCCCACCCATCGGCCCGCCCATTGGTCCGCCCATCGGACCATTCATGCCTCCGTTGTTCATTGGATACCCACCCATCTGCGGGTATCCTCCCATGCCGCAATTGTTGTTGTAGGCACCCATACCTTGTGGCATGTATTGCGGGAGTGGAAGCCCATGAAGGAGTGAAATACCAGTGTAGATGACGAGAAGACAGGTGTGCGCAAAGGAACGCATGGTGTGAAAAAAGCGATTTGGAGCAGCAATAAGTGTAAGTGGTGTCCGAGTATATGTTTGAAGAAATTCTCACCAGGCCAGTAAGGAACCATGGGAGTCTTGACTAATATATAGACTGGTTAACAGGGCTGATGGCACACGAGCAAGAATATATTTTGTAAGTGCTGTCGCTGGAATAACTGCTGTCTCATGTATCGGTTTTGCAAAAGTCAGGCGAGAGTCGGTCTTGAATTGTCCAAATCCTTCTTCCACTCAAGTAAACCCCTTGTGTGTGGGGTAGGCACCAGGAACATTAACTGGTGGTTGCAATTGCCCATATGAAACATGCGCACGACAAAATCCCTACTGCTATATATTTCGGTACTCTGGTCGGACGAGGTGTGTGAGCAAGCAAGGCTGGCTAATTAAGACACCTGAATAACTACTTAAAACTGCGGCCATGGTTCATCTAGTGTCCATGGCACTACCACAGCCAGATTCCTGGGTAAACTGCCACAGCGTGATCACATTCCCTCTGATGGTATTAGGCTTCAGCAGATTTGGCAATAAACAAAGCGGATTTTGGGCTGGTATGTATATTTGGTTGTGAAATGTATGTATAAGAAAGGCACGATCCATGTAAACAGCCACCTCCTTAGCCGAGGTAGCGCATGGCAATCTCGAATCCGACAAAGGTGGCACCGTTGGCCGGGGCCGCCCTGAGCAGGCAGGGTGTGATACCGCGGAAGAATCCCTTGAGACCTTCCTGGCGCATGATCTTGCGCGCGCAATCCAGGGTACCGTAGTACTTGCGCTTCTCACCCGAGAAGCCATCAGTCTGGAGCTTGCTCTTGATGGCATCGATCGGGTACGATGTGCCCCACATGGCAAAGCCAGCAGCAGTGCCGTACAGGCACACGAGGGCCGTCGACAGCTCCGAACGCGACTTGCCAGTGGACGCCATGGTGCGCTGCACCAATGCCTCGTAGGCAAGGAAGTACATACCGTAGCCGTTGAACTCGCGAATGAGCGTGGCGACCTGGCCGCGGTAGATTCCCAGACCATCCGAATCCCTTGTAGATCTTCTTGATGCAGTCCACCGGGCCCTTGTACTCGGCGGCAGCACCCGAGCTCTGCACCTGCAGGCGAACACGGATGTGCTCGACAGGTCCTGACACAACACTGTTAGCGACACCAGCAGCAGCGCCAGCCATGTAGAGCTGCGAAGGGGTAAGCACAGGGGCCTGGCCGGCAGGAGTGCCGTTGATGCGACCAAAGGTCCGCTTCATGTGCTCCATGACCAGGAACTGGATCGACACGCACAGACCAACACCAACCAGGGGCGTGGTGGTGCCCTTGTAGAAGCCGCCGAAGCCGTCGTTCTGGATCGTCTTGCGCACAGCATCCATGGTTCCCTTGTACATATCCGGCTGGGTCTGCAGACGCACCTTGACAGTGTCGAACGGCTGGCCGACCAGCACCTGCGCGATACCGCCGGCTGACCCCGCGATGCAGTCCTTGACTGCACGCATCGCTCCGTCGTTGCTCTGAGGCTCTCCCTGCTGGCTCATGGCTGTGGGTTTATTGCGCGGGTGGGGTACGAATTCGCTTGGGCTGCAACTGAGAACCGAGTTGCAGGAATACTAGTACAGAGGAGGAAGAAGGCAAAAGTGTACCGCACGAGCAGGCCTTTTGTGTATGTGAAACAGAAAAGAAGAAAAAGAAAAGAATCGTGCCGCTTCTAGGTCAGTTCCGCCCGGTCGCAGGGGCGGGCAGACGACCTGATTTATACTCGCACAGCGCTGCGTCCTGTGGTCACAATGCGCTCATTTCCTGTGCTTTCAAAAAATTTTCATGATCCCATGCTGCTGGTCGCTGCCAGCCCTTCACAGAAATCGCCGCCCACACACTTATTTATCGCTTCCCACACAGCTTTGCGAGTCCGCTAAAGGTCGATCTCTGGAGCCGGTCAATTTTCACTGACCACTATCGCGAAGTCATCGGGCAAAAGTGGCTCGGTGACATCGGTTACCAAATCGACACATTCCCGGCGCTGGTCATGATTACATCCCTGTGCAATTAAGCAGGCTCCATATATGAGAGTAGGAAAGAGGTGACATTTATCGAGGCGAAAAAACTCTAGAAGAGGCAATTTAGTTCTCGACCTTGGGACGGGTCTCGACGATGGGGACGTTGTCCTACACTCAGGGAGGCTGCTGTTAGTTGTATGCACATAGAAGACAGGTTCATCTGCTGCGTTTGCCCAAGCACGACTGTGCGCCTAAGCTGCGATCCTTACCAGAACACCGGCCTTGCCGCTCTCCCACTTTGCGTACTTGAGGGACATGCCCTCGCGCTTGGCGATCTCGGTCTGGAGCTCGGCCTTGACGGTGCGACGCAGGGCACGGGCAGCAATGCTGCTGTACTGGAGGTAGCTAAAGATAGAAGCACAGCATCAATTAGAAAACAGGGCTGCATTCAGTTACTGTGGTTACCTCTAGCTATCGCTGCCGCTGCTATTGCCCAGAGCAGATGTAAATGCTAAAGCCGTTTGTCTGCCAGCCTGGCTCTTTGGCCTGACAAACTACGCCTGTCCAGGCGGTTGCTCTCTCGATTCCTTCGCCCGCCTCCCTCGCAGATTCACCCCTTCTCCTGAAGTGTACTTACTTCATACCGGCGGTTCTCCACGCGAACGACATTTTTCCAAAATTGAATGGGCTGTGTTAATTGAGAACAGGAAACAGATGCTAAAAAACAACAGGGAAAAAAGAAGTCTCAATTCGACAGACTCGTCAAATGCGCAATGCTGTGCTGCAGTGCTATCTTGTGGCCCTTTCCACACACCTGCAAGCGCCAGCGCTTGAGCTGATTGCTTATCAGTCGCTGGGCCCGATCCACTGATTAATCAGATCAGCTACCTGCAGATTACCACGCCAGCTACATGTGAACCTTGGCCCCATGGCAGGGCATGATGGTGCATATCGATGTTAATGATGAAGGCAGGCTACTCGAGAGATTTGAGGTACTCGGTGTGCAGCTTCTCCTGCGCAGCATACTCCTTGGCCAGCTTCTTCAGCTTGCCCTTGGCCAGGTCCTCGCCAGCCTTGTCCTTGGTCGGAATGCCCTTGCCATCCCACTCCGAGTACAGCTCCAGGTTCTGCGGCGTCTTGAACATATCCTTCGGCGCCAGCTTACCCTTCGCCAGCCGCTCCTGACGCTTGGCCTCGGCGGCGCGAGCTGCAGCCTCCTTGCGTGCACGCTTCTCGTCCTCAGCAGCCTGGCGAGCAGCCTTCTCGCGGCGCAGCTCCTCGGGGTCGGCAAACTTGACAAGAGCGCGGCCATCCCCGTGGTCGTCAATGACAATGCCAAGCTCGGGCAGATCGTCATCACGAAGCTTGTCGCAAAGCGCCAGAATCGCCTTCTTGTCGCCGCCAGCCAGCGCAATCTCACGGACAGCGTCACGGAAATCGCTCAAAGCAGTGGCCACAGGCAGCAGAACAGACTCACGGTCGGCAGGGCCCTCCAGAGCCAGCAACAGACGAGCCCCAGCCGACTAGCTGGCCCGGAGTCTCGGCAACAAGACCAAAGGCACGCACAATCTTGGTCACATACAAAGCGACCATCTCGACAATCTGCGGGTCAATTGCGGAGCGGCCACGCTGGAGATACACGTTGGTGCGGTTGACGATTTCCTGCAGCGAGCGCATGGCTGTGGGTGTATCAAACGAATCCTTGAGTGCAGCATGAACCTGCGCCTTAGTCTCCTTCAGCGCGCCCAGCAGCTCATGCTCGGCCTCGAGGAAGTGGCGCTTGCCATCGGACTCTTGGGCCCGCACACGGTAGTCGCGCAGCAGGGCAGTGGTGTTGGAGAAGAAGTTGTCGAATGTCTTTTCGACAGCCATAGCCTCATGCATCGAGTTCTCCTTGAAATACGAGGGCGAGTCCCAGCGCGACAGCACAAAGATGATGCGGATCTGCCTAGCAGTGTACTTTGCCAGCGCCTCCTTGATCGTGATAAAGTTCTTCAGCGACTTGGACATCTTCAGTCCCTCGATGTGCAGATGGCCAGCGTGCATAAAGTAGTTGACCCACTGCTCGTTATCAAAGCACGCCTCGGACTGCGCCAGCTCGTTGTCATGGTGCGGGAATGCCAGGTCAATTCCGCCAGTGTGCATGTCAATGTTCTGGCCCAGAATCTCGCTTGCCATCACACTGCACTCAATATGCCAGCCAGGGCGACCAGGGCCCCAGGGGCTGGGCCACGCAGGCTCTCCGGGCTTCGATGCCTTCCACAGCGCAAAGTCCGACTGGCTGCGCTTGCCCGACAGCTTGGCGCCCAGCGATCCCTCGCCATCGGCCAGCAGCTCCGCGTTACCCTTGGACTTGGGCTCGAGCTTGGCGTAGAAGTGGCCATTCTTGCCGTCAAAGCTAGCCACATCAAAGTACACCGAGCCATCGGCCTCATATGCGTAGCCGTTCTCGATGATGCGCTGCACAAACTGCACGATCTCGGGCACAAACTCGGATACACGCGTCAGCACATGCGGCCGCCGCACATTCAGCGCATCCATGTCCTCAAAGAAGTCCTTCTCCCAGTACGCTGCCAGATCGCGGAAGATCTGCGGATCAGTGACCTCGGCACCAAACTTCTTGTCGAGCCACAGCGCCAGCACGTCCTGCGACGCATCAACCAACGCCTGGGCTTCCGTAGCACTGGCCTTGCCCTCAACCAGGCCCTGGCGAGCATTGGCAATGGCAGTGAAATGTCGCACGCGCCGCATCATAGTGCATGGTGAATTTAGGATTGTCCCCAGTGATAACAGGGTCCTTGCCATCGCCTGTCTTGGCTACAAACGCCTTCCAGTCCTCGTCGCTACTGATCTCCACCTTGAGCTTCGACTCGACAAACGCCTTGAATGCACTGTCAACGTCCGAAATAGCGCTCTCGCTCAGCGCCACGGCCTTAGCCCGGTACTGCTTGAATAGGTGCGTGTGCCGCGCACGCTCGATGATCTTATCGTCGATATCAGTAATGTTCATGACCAGGTTGACGTCGTAGTTGAAGTAGTCCTCCATGATGCGCCGGAATGATGTCGAACGTCATATAGTTACGAGCATGGCCCAAATGGGCCGCGTCATAAACCGTCGGTCCGCACCCGTACCAGCTCACGTAGTTGCCCTCACGCGGCACAAACGGAACTTTGGACTTTGTCATCGAGTTGTACACCATGAGGCCGGTCTGCGGCTCCGTCGACTCGGGCTGCGTCCATGGCGAGCTGTTGTTGCTAGTCGAGGCCATCATTGAGCAATTGCGAATGCTGAGTGTACTGGGTGTTGCTGTGGCAGTAAAGTTTTGCTGGAATATCGAAATAGGGCGGGCAAGAGGTCGGGCAAGTCTAAACACCGACCTGAATACCATGAAAAGAGGTATAAAAATAGCGGCTAGTTTGTTTGCAAGGGTAAAACGAGAAAAAGCAAATTCGCTGGTCCAAAGAAAGAAGGAAGGGCTGTGGACAGCAGATCGGTGAGATGTGGGCAAGGAATACAGGCTGAGAATGAAGACTGGGCTTGAAAAATTTTCGGTGCAATTTTTGGGGCAGGAAATAAAGTGTAGAGGAACTCGAGAATGTGGTCGTCAGTGTGTGGAGTGGCCCTTATATATTCCTAAGATGCAGAATGCACGGCGCCACTCTTGCCGAGTACATGTCACTCTTGCCGAGTACATGCCTGCTGTTTCGAGGTTGCGCCATATAGATATGCATGGCACAAGCACTAGCAGTGTTTTTCGCACATACATGACTCACCACACATTCCTCGCAATATAATTAAAACCACGCCGCAGCAACATCAGCCATGAGTGAGTCACAGGTAATGCTGCTAAATGGATCTTATGCTATATCAAAATTCCTTCTTCTCACGCTCGACGACGACGAAGTGCATGTATTTGCACATCTCGCTGAACAATTTCTCATTCTTGATTTCGAATATCTCGATATCGTTTCCAAGCCGGCAGACGTCTTCGACTTTATCGCGTTTCCACCAATTGCTCTCAACTAAGAGGCCGACTGAGCCATCACTCATCTGGATATATGGCGGGTAGAGCTTAAGGGAAATCACCCTGAAATACCCTGCATTTAGCAATTCTGCGAATAAGCTCCTCCGCGCCCGCCGGGTCCTTGGGAAGTAAATAGGAGCGGATAACCGGGCTTCTTGGGCTTTGACTTGAACATTTGCAAAGATATATGAGAGATTTGTGAAGAGCAGAATGAAGGTGCACGCCTTGCTGGAGTATTTATATGTCGGTAAAGGAATCCCTGGTACAGCCAGGTTGAAAAACGGAAACCACATGCCCCTCCTCATCAGCCATATTTTTTCTTGGCATTACAGAAATCGCAACGATCTTCAGAAATGGTGCTTCTTCATACAACCTACAAGCCGGTTAGACTAACACCTGATGTCTTGGCACCTTGGTGGAATACTGAACAGTGTAGCCTTAGGGTATTGGTACCCTTTCAAAGAACCACACGTAACCTTTACATTCTATTGTTTATTCATACCCACAAAATTGCCTATAGAGAACATATAACTAACAGTCACCATTTTACATATCGACAACAGTATTTGCGATATGTATTAGTCCATTTTTCATACAGCTTTATATCCCACATACAAATGCATGTTTGACCACGACCGATATCTGGATGAGTGGTACACAAAGCTCCGCCGTGACGGACTCCAGCGCGCATATGAAATGGATTCAGACCAAGCTGATGGCGCGAGTAGTGAGGAACACTCTTCAACTGAAAATCCTCCACAGAGCCCCGGCCAGCAGACCACCGACGAGCAGACTACCAACCAGCGAACCACCGACGAGCAGACTACCAACCAGCGAACCACTGACCAGCAAACTACCAACCAGCAGACCAGCCAGGACTGCCAGCACTGGACAAGCCGTGAAGGCAGCAGGGTAGCAATATGGATTGAGAATATACTATTTGGATTTTGAACACTACAAGGCAGTGCGCAAATACAGAACACCTGATTGGAATTTAGGGTGAGCTGTGCAGTAGGTAGTGAGGGCCGCTGGGTGCTCTGTCATGCATACCTAGGACAGCCGCTGCTCCTATTGTGTGTATTGCTGCGCAGTGGCGTTCTACTCTGGCTGTCTCAAGCATGGATTCAGGCAGCTGCTGAACATACTTGTGGTCTCAGATCAGTTAAATTATCTGGAAGCACCATTCTACAGCATGTGGGGTTGGCTGATTCTGACAAAGGAGCTGGCCGCAGTATGCAAGTGCAAAAAGGTCGCGTCACCTTGAGGCTGCAACCAAAGGCATGAGGATCAGCCGGTTTGGGGGTAGGGGGTTTCTTGTGGTGATAAAGTCCTGGCCGCTTTTAATAGCAACGAATTGTGCTGCGGTCCTCGAGAGGGTGCTGCAAGGAACAGTATAAAAGCGCCTCTGTTCTTTACTGTCAGACTGTTAACCAACAAGGGAACCACCACTTTCTGCATCATGGATATCGCTACACTCTTTGGCGTCAAGGGCAAGACAATTGTAATCACAGGGCGGGTCGTCAGGAATCGGGCTCTATATGGCTGAGGGACTGGTGGCCAACGGGGCCAACGTCTACATCACCAGCCGCCAGGAGAAGTACCTGAAGGACGAGTCGGAGCGGCTGACAGCAGAAGGTCCTGGAACCTGCAGCTACGTTGTGTGCGATCTAGTTGATTACGAGCAGGTGCAGGCGCTGGCAACCAAAATGGCCGAGCTTGCACCTGGCGGAATCGACGTCCTGGTGAACAACGCGGGGCGGATACACGAATGGCGACATTGAGACGATGCCTGACCAGGGATTCGGTAACGACCTTCTGCTGAATCTGCAGCGGCCGTTCACGGTCACACAGGCGCTGCTGCCGCTGCTGAAGAAGACGGCCAGCGCAGAGAATCCAGCGCGGGTCATCAACGTGGCAAGCATCTCAGGCAACCATGTGCTGCTCGGCACCACGTACTCGTACAATGCGTCCAAGGCCGGGCTAATCCACCTGACAAGCGACATGGCGTACAAGCTGGCGGCAGACCACATCAACGTCAACAGCATCTCGCCGGGCATGTTCCCGTCGCGCATGCTGCGCGAGCCACCAGCCGACGCAAACCCGCTGCCAAACAAGGTACAGGACTACTGGAAGAACAACACGCTGACGATCCAGGAGATGGTGCCGCTGGGCCGTACAGGCAGCGAGCAGGATATTGCAGGCGCGATCATTTACCTTGGCGTCTCGGGCCAGCGCATACGTGTCGGGGATCAACCTGGTTGGTGGATGGCGGGTACCTGAGCAAGCCAATTTAAGGTGGTAATAAAACTGGGGCTGTCCCCTTCCTTCAATTGAAATAGCGGCTGCTAATAATGTTCGTGCGTGTAGTTGTACATAGCACTGCAGCTGCGGCCCTCGACCATGGTCGCATGCTATGCAGTGCTGAGTGGACTTTCTCAAGCACATGTGCCTGAAGCTGGCAAGAGCTGGCACATGTTGCGCGTCATTGCCGCTTGTCTGCTACTGGCACACGCCATCATTCATGGAAACTGCGGCCGGCTGCTTTTCAGTTGAGATAGAGCGGCACGGAGGCGGCCACGCATCGGTGGCGCCTGAACAACTATGTTGAATACACATTTCAGAAGCGGCTAATCAGAGCTTGGAAAGCATCATAGCGCAGAGGAAGCGCGCAGGGCTCATAACCCTGAGGTCCCAAGATCGAAACTTGGTGATGCTAAGCACTCTTTTTGCTCTGGCGCCGAGGCCTGCGGATCGAATCCTGGCCAGTGTTTTTGTCGTCGGTTTTCTCTTCCTTCTTTTTTTCTTTTTCTTTTTCTGTTTCGTTTAGCCTGGGCTGGAGCAGCCACTACAGGTGGGACCAGGCTGTTTATTCTTTCGCCTGGCTCCTTTTCAGCTGCGCGCATTGTTGCCAGGACGCAGTGGCGGCGCCATCTTTCTTTTTCTGTTTCGCAAGGACCAGTGGCGGATAATGCAATAGCAGTCTGCGTTTGTCTGGAAAATGGCCGCAACCTGTGCTCTACTACTACAGTTGCTGCTGCTGCTGCTGCTGCTGCTGCTGTTGTCACCGCTGCTGTCGCTGTTGCTGCTCCTACCTGTGCGTGAATCCAGCCCAAGCCCAAGCACAATGCCATCAAAGGAAAATCGGACACTTATTATCAGGCAAGAAGGGGACCTGCTGTTTGCAATGCTGTTTTGTTGGAGCGACTGCTTTTGGCGTGCGGTGCTGGGAGTGCAGAAAGCAAACGCGGTCTCAATTGTGCATTCAGTGACGACATGCGGTCCAGATGACCCAGCGGGAATACGAGAGAGGCGTGAAAAATAAGCGCTCCAGGTCTAATATGCAGACCAAGGAACACATCAGCCTCTCGTAGCGGATAGATAAATTGCATATAAAATGGTAATATTCTAAGGATTTTTCATCCAAATGGTCTTCCTTACAAGCGAATATAGCTCTTTACTCTAGTCCCCTTTGCACACCACCCGTCCCCTTCTACCACTTTATTCGCGGTTAACTCTACTCTAAACCCCTGATTCCCCCTTCACCATGCGTACCATTGCTCTCATTTCCCTTGTTGCTGCAATCTCATCCGCTGCCCCGCTTGCTGTGCGGCAGGTTGTAGGTGGCCTTGATGGTGCACAGCTTGCCAACGGCCCGTCTGCCATCGACAACACGCTGCTCAACAATGGCGCGTTTCAAAGAGGGTTCGGTCGATTCTGACCTGTCCTTCGACGGCGCTTTGATTGACGGTGCCTGTCGGCAACTCTATTATCACCGATTCGACCAACGTGGATGTTCACGACAACAACTTTATAAACCCGATTGTGAACGCAGCTACCGGCGGTGATGGACCTACAGCTGTCGGCAATGGTAACTTTGTGCTGCCGGTGAATAATGGTGGATCCAATGGGATCCATCCTCAAGCGCCAGGTCGTTGGCGGCAACGGTGATGCCCAGCTCGCCAATGGCCCCAGTGCGATCAACAGCCAGACTGTCAACAAGGGTGCAATGGACGAGGGCGTAGTCAAGGACACAACCTCGTTTGACGGTGCTGCCATCATCAACCCTGTCGGCAACACCATGGAGTCGGACACTACCAACGTTGTTTTGCACGACAACAACATCGTGAACCCTGAGATCAATGTGGCTACTGGCGACCACCACGGCCCCACCATCGTCGGTGACCGTAACACAGTTGAGGACATCAACTCCGGACCTGGGTTTGGCGGCATTGTATTTGATGTCCCCGTGTTTGATGGGCTCTTGTGGAAGCGTCAGCAGTTGGCCAATGCTCCCTTCGGCAATCAACGATCCGACGGTCAACCAGGGGTGTGCTGACTGAGGGCTCGACAGACTCGGGTACATCCTTCGATGGCGCTTATATCCCGAACGCCTGTTGGCAACTCGCTGACTGATGTCTCAGAAAACACCGAAATTGCCGGCAATGAGTTTGTTGACCCGACTTTCAACTCTGTTTCTGGAAACAATGGACCGGCACTGGCTGGCGACAACAACATCTTCATTCCCATCAACAACGAGGGCATGATTGTCAATCTGGATGGGAGCTTCGCAGCTCAGCAGGCTGCCAACCAGCAGGCTATCATCGACCGTTTCACACACCATGGGCTTTTCTAAGCGCAACGTGCTTGCAACTTGATAGCTACCGATTCCCATTTATTTTAGATAGCAATACATATGCTGGTCATGCTTGTTGTGGCTTGAAGGTCAGTGCTGGGGGAAGCCAGCATGCGTCAGTATGCCCAGTACACCGGCATCCTCAACCAGGTGCATCTCTTCCTTGGTTTTGCAGAGCAGCAGACCAGCGAACCCAAGGGAGTTGATTCCAATCCCGCTCCACGCGTTCTGGTGCCTCGGAAACAGCATCAATGCATGTTTTGTCATGACCATATTGTAAGAGGCGTCGTTAGAATATTGCGCCTGTCAGAGCCGCCAGTGCCCGCGCATACGCATCCTCAACAGATTTCGGGTCTAGCGGCGTATTGAGGCGTACACCGTAGTGCACAAACGGAAGCTTTTGCGACACCGCCACTGCCGCTCCCGGTGGCGCATCGCTAAGCCATAGCTCCATCACAGGCGGGTCGCTCATACTGTCGGGCATCGGTAATACCTGCAGATGCTTGTGCGGCTGGCTGGCCCCCGACTCCTCGCCGGCGTTATAGAACACGATCTGTGGGCAAGACATGTCCTCAAGAACGCCGATGGCGGCGGTAAAATCGTGCGTGGTCAGGGGCTCGCCTTGCTGAGCAAACTCTGCAGTGGTAATCAGCAGGTGGTTAGGCACAATGCAATACTTGTTGAGCAACAGCTGGTGGTGGGTGGCGGCGAGCGTTTTGACGTGCAGGTTGGCATCGAAGGGCAGGAACGGGTTGACAAAGGTCTTGCTTTGCTGCTTTTCCTTGGGCTTGCTGCTGGGCTTCTTGGCGAGCGCGGGCACGTAGCGGATCTCAAAAGCTATGTTGCTTTCATGCTTGTAGGTGATCTCGGAGTTAGTGAACAGCAGGCTGCCGTTGGCCACGGCGCTGGCGTAGCGGTCATGCACTAATGTATCCAGCGCGGTTAGTGGTTTGGCCATTGTTGAAGCGAGTCGCAATCTGAGGTTGATTCATGTATATGCAGCATAAGTGCAGTTTTTCTTTCCAGAAACAGAGGCGATTGACTCAATGGTGCGGTTCAGGTACATGTATTATAGGGCAGTAATCAGAAGCTCATGGTACGGCGCTCCTCGCTGCTCTGCTTCGCTAGCTCGATGATGCGGATGACACTGACAGCCTGTTCGGGCGTGACAATAAGCTGCTCATCCCCGCGGATAGCCGCAGCGACATTGTTGTAGTACGCAGCATAGTTGCCGTCGAGGGTCGCAACCTGGCCGCGCACGTTGATCTTGGGCAGCACCTCTGAGTCCAGGGTACCAAACTCGTTGTCCTTGCCATATGCAGTATCACGTGGAGTCAAACCGTCCTTGAGCTGCTGCTCCTGCACGTCAAGACCAAACTTGGTGAAGGTGCCACGGGTGCCGAGGACAGTGAATCTTGGCGGCTTGTCGCGCACCAGCATGCCGGCCCGGCAGACTGCCTTGAAATTGAGACTTGGGTAGTCCAGGACGACCAGGAAGGAATCGTCAGGGGCGCCATCTATCTGGCGCTCGTTGCGCACATTGCCAGTGACAAACTCGGGTGGGCCATACAGATCGACGATCTGGTCAAACAAGTGCGCACCCAGGTCGTACAACACACCGGAGCCGGGGAAGCTGGCGACCTCACGCCACGCGTTCGGCTTCTTGTATGTGCGGAACCGGTCGAACCGGCTCTCAATCTCGACCACGTCGCCCAGCGCCTTCTCCAACAGCAGCTGCTTAACAGTCAAAAAGTCGCCGTCCCAGCGGCGGTTCTGGAACACGCTCAGCACTTTGCCAGTCTTCTTGGCTACAGCGGCCAGCTCACGCGCCTCAGTCTCAGTCACTGCGAAGGGCTTCTCGACCACGCAGTGCTTGCCGGACTCAAGGATCTGTTTGGCGTAAGGGACGTGCGTATCGTTGGGCGTGGTCACAATAACCAGCTCGATATCGGAGATAGCCAGCAGCTCGTCAATGCTGCGCACGACTCGCACATGTGGATACTTGGCCTGGCTCTTTGCGCCGTGCCGCTCGACGACTGCAGCCAGCTCATAGCTGTCGTTGGAGTCAATCAGCGGGCAGTGGAACACCTGCGCCGACATGCCAAAACCAATAACGCCAACCTTGATCATATTGCGTGCTTATTGCTGCTAGTTGATAGTGGTGAGAAAATGGAGAATCAAGAACTTGGGTTCTAAGAAGGATAGCTCGTGGTCCAGACAATGGCGAGCAGTGTTTGATTTATACCCCGGACTGCAGACGATATCGCGTGCTAGGCGGCCAGATGCAAATCCAACAAAAATATTGGTGCGTTTGCTGAATAATGCAGTCTTTTTTGTTGTTTGGATCAGGGGAACGGCGGATTCCCGCAGTCCTCGGGTGATATAACCGAATGACATCGCCGGCGGTCCTCACGGCGAAGTTTGCAAATGATAAGGCACCAACCACAGCCAAGTGCCAATCGGTAGGCGTGCCTTGGATGTTTTTGCCTCCAACCAACACAGCTGCAGAGCTGTCTGGGGTGTTCAGCTCGGCTCGGGCGGCTCTGGGAGTCGGTGCAGTAGATGACTTGCGATTTGGTTCTGTCTTCATGGCTGGGAAACTGCCACGGCTGCTCTCACAGCAAGTTCCAGGCTTGTAAGCATGCATGCTATTGTTCGGTTATTAGCACACGTAATGGTAGACGTAATGTGGCATTGTGTACCACCCAGCTAAACGACAAAAAAAATAAGGCAGGGTGATGCAGTTTAGCTCAGGTCGAAATGGCCAGGGGAAATTCTAAACCCATTCCCACAGTGAACTCTAGACCTGCACTCGTATGTATCATTGTTCGTGTGCTAAAGCATATAATGGTAGGCGTAGCATATCCATCGCTCCTAAAGTATACAGTATAATAGATCTTCGGTGTGCATTTCTCGGTCAAACGAGCATAATATGGCAATATATCGTTTTGTCCAGTCCCGATGGCCGAAGTATTCCCACAAGCACTCACAGTGAGCTCCAGGCCTACATTCGTATGTATCATTGTTTATACACTAGCACACATAATGGTAGACGTAATGTCTTTGCCTCTCACAGTACAAATTACGTAGTAAGGTTTATTGTGTAGAGCACAACCAAACAGGTACAAACAAGCGAGCGCCTAGTGAATAGACATCCTTGCTTCTCGTATACTTTCTGTAGCTGATTGCTGATGTATCTCTCTCACCAATGTACGTGTAAGAGTTCTATAAAGGGCAAAGCTGCCGCCGCACTTCAAAACACCCAAATCATCCTTCTGAGCAAATCATACCATCAAAGCACAAGCAACAAAGACAACCTACCAACTCATCCAACTTCTTACCAATGCTGACCATCGCTTCCATCTTGTCATCGGACTGCTAACAAGTCCATTCTGATCACCGGGTGCGACACCTTCTGCGGGTACTCGATCGCGCTGGAGATGCTTCGCCACAAGGGCAAGACCTTCAGCGATGTGTACGTGACGTGCTACAAGGAAACGCAGCTGGTTCAAGTGCTGAAGAATAAGGGCGCTGTGGCCATCTGCTTGGCTGCTACCGGACCGCAACGCCATTATGTCGGCGTACCGCAAGGCAACTATTGTCGTCGTGGTGCCGCCCGTCACCGACGAGCAGTTCATGAATGGAGGCACTGAGGTCATGGTGGATATGGCCGGTGAGGCCGATGTCTCGGGCATGATCGTGTGCACCAAGCTGGACATGGAGAAGCTCCAGGAGCTTCCGTCGCTGAAGCATCTCAAGGCGTACGAGGACGCGTATGAGCGCACCAAGGGCAGGGTCAAGTATGCCTCGCTGGTGCGCTTGCCTGTGCACATGGGCCTGCTGTGGCTGATTCGCCAGCAGATCGCCATGGAGAACAAGATCAGGCTGCCTGTCAACCCTGATGCCAAGTTCACGGCAGTTGCCGATGCTGATGGCGGCCGCGCGCTATACAACATGATGATTGACGAAAAGATCAAGCCTGGCATGTATGATGTCACCGGCACTGAGCTTCTGACCTTCAACCAGGTTGCGCAAATTGCCTGCAAGGTGTTTGGTAAGGATGTCAAGTTCGAGAAGAACGGCAGGCAGGAGCTGACCGAGTACCTGCGTCAGCATGGTGATGTCAACGACAATGAGGTTGCGTTGGTCATCGACATTCTGGAGGCCGTGTCGCGCGGCTGGCTGTCGGTTAAGACTGACACTCTCAAGCGCATGCTGGGCAGGGAGCCCATGACATTCAACTCGTATCTCGAGCACAATGCCGATGGACTTCCAGCCCAAGGCCGACTCCGACTAAGCCGGTGTGTCCCTTACCCTATGCCTAGCTTTCATGCCGGGATCCTGTAGCCCTCTTGCTCACTCTGGTGTAGTAGTGTCTACTTTCTCAGTCCACAATGCAGATTCTTATGACGGAGCTCATTTGTTGGTCTCCCGAAATCTTCTCGGCTGTCTCTCGTACCTCTCTCGTGATGGGTCAGCCATGCAGGTGAGTGACGAAAGCAGCCTGGCAAAAAGGCAGCGCCACAAAAAGCAAGCCTGCAAGCGCGCTCCCCATCGCTGGCCCAGCACGCGCCAGGCCAAACACCACACCAACCCTCCCTCCGACCAGCATACCTACTTTAAAAGGAGCCCGCGGAGCCCCGACGCTCCTCAGCCTTCACTGAAAAGCAGAATAAATTGGTCGTCCTTCACCTCTTGGTCAATAGCAGAAATTAGTTTTCGGCGGTTATTTGTAGTTTCTCGTTTCTTCTACGCAGCACCTCTTTGCTCCATCAGCCAAAACAGACATACTTTCCGGGTTGTGCATCAAAGATCTTCTCTCCTCCACTCCTTCCCCCAAACACAATCCCAAACACAGATTTCCACCTTGCCAGCTCTCTTTCTTTATTTCTGCCACGTCTCTTTTGCTCTTTAGTACCACCAGCAACACAGCCAGCCCCGCGCACCCGCAGCAGCAACCAGGACTCTGAAATCAGCAAAAAAAGACTCAACACAAAAAACATGAGCCGGATTCAGCAACAGGAAGCGTATCTTGCCCGTGAGCTCGACGCTGAGCGCACCCGGGTCAAGCGTCTCGAGGCGGAGAACGCGCAGCTGCTGGCCCATCTCCAGTCGCTGCACATTGGCAGTCGGCCTGCTGCATCGTCGGCAGGAAACAGCAAGGTAAGGCCCCGCAAGTGAGCGCGCTGCACTATTGTTCGGATTATCTTCGACTATTCCGTCGACCCTCCCTTTCTTGCTTTCCTGCCCCAAAGTGGAATCTCCAGCAATGAAGCAGGCTGCTTTGGACTCCGGTTTTTTCTTCAAAGCTCTTTGATTCTCGAACAGCACAATTACACGCAGCAAGCGTCGCGGCTTTGATTGTGCGCCAGCATTTCATAGATGGCGGAAAGCAACAACCCAGCGCCAGACGAGGGGCCTCTATCCATTCAAAGTCTACTATTGCTAACTCTCGGAGAACAAGAAGAAACAGCAGCGGTAAATCGAAAACAACGCCTCCGCCTTCCCCCCGGGGAGCAAAGACTTTGTTACTACCTTGGTTTTGGTCTGCAACGTCATCAGCCAGATTCTAAAACACACACACCCAGTATCTTTAATAGGCCGACGAACCGCCTACGGAGTTTGAGGCGGAGCATATCGCCAACAACGCAGTGGAGCGCACCAGCAGCGTCGAGAGCGACTTTGCGCAAACATCAACCATCCCGATCAAGAATGCATCTGCAGGGTCAAAGCCCGGCAAGGGCACGCGGTCGCGGTCGCACAGCCGGCACTCGGGCAAGTTCCACACGCTCAGTGGATATCCGATCACACACCAGACCAGCACGGGGCCGATGATGTCTGGCAGCAACTCGAGCGAGGCGACAATAGCCTGAGCTGCAGCAGCGGCTCGAGAGCATGGCGCGCGAGAAGGCGAGTCCTGGAGACGGCGATGGAGCAGGAGCAGGAGCGGATGTTTAACCAGGGGCGGCGGCTCAGCGGCAGCATCAGCCCGGGCGGGCCGTTTGTGGCGAGCACTGGGGTTCCGGGGGCAGTGTCGCCGCGGTGGGCGCACTCGCGGTCGTCGTCTGTGTCGTCATTCGGCAACGGCAGCGTGGCATCGGTAGGGATCACGGAGACGCTGAAGGCAGGACGTGAACTCGCTGCGGCTGCGGCTGGCGGACTGCGAGCGCGAGCTGGTGTCGTGCTACAGCCAGAGCCAGATCTACAAGAAGGAGCTGGTGGCGCTGCGGCAGCGGCTGGGCATGAGCGTGGACGACCTGTACCTGGACGACCCGGTGCCCATGGCACTGAAGAGCACGTATGCCGAGGGCGGGTCGGCGCGGCCGCGACGCTCGCAGTCGGTCAGCTCGAGCTCATCGACGGGCACGACGCCGCAGCTGGCCAGGCGCGGCTCCGGCCACCACATGGGCGAGTATTTTGGCATGCTGCCCAGTGTTCCGCGGCGGGCGGCGCAGCGGCCGCGCAGCGTGCTGCTGTCGCCCAGGCGCTCGATGGAGGACCACCAGAGCGCGGCTGCCACGTTCAGTGCGGCCGACCAGGCGTCGCTGTTTGCATTCAAGTCGGGAACCACACATCGTGCCACGCGCAATATCAAGTGAGGCTGTAGTAATATTGTCAGGTGTGGAATACAGCAGTCGTCATGGGCATCTTCGGAAGCGGGGCGGTAAAAACAGCACAGGGGTGGGACTAGTTTTTGGCACTACTGGCACTATTTGTTGCTCTTCTTTGTCTGATCTCTTCAAGTTTAATTGACACATGGGGTGACATCTGCATTTTTAAAGCGCAATCCACGAGCCGCCACACACACAAAGAATATCGAACCTCCGGATCCAGCCGACCTCGGCCTGGCCGGGCTTCGCATTGTCGCTCAGGGCAGCACCGTGCGGATGCAGGCCCATGACAGCGGCAGCCAGCGGGGCCACGGGCTCGGGCAGATCGTCCTCGTGGACGCGGCGGGTAATGTGGCCGCATCTCAGGCACATCTTGACTGGAGCATTAGCCGGTAGCAGGGTCTTCTGGACAACATCGACCTGGTCAGCACCAGTAGCTTGCGGCAATGCATTCTGGCGCAGCACGCCCGAATGCACCTGGGCGGTCATTCTCCAGGCCCATTTCAGCAGCAATCTGGCCGGCAAGACCCGGCGTGCTGGCGACCTCAACAACCATGCCTTCGGAGCGCGACCAGTCAATACAGTAGGCAAAGGGCTCGTCGGTGGTCTGCGATGCCAGCGAGAACGCATGCTGCGCCAGCAGCGTCGGGATGTGCAGCGTCGGGTCGCGCGGCGTGCTGACGAACTGCCAGCCGGAGCTGCGCTCTTCGGGCGCCGTGCTCGAGTAGTGCGGCACAAAATGCTGCACGCGGCCGCCCGAGCGACGCATCACCGGCTCGCTGGCAATCGACAGACTGCCGGTACGCGGCGTCATTGCCGGCGAATGCGTGGCCACGGAGCTGGCGCGCGTCCGCGACGACCGCGGAGTCGGCGCCGAGTCCAGCGTCGCCAGGTCTGCGTAGACCGACGCGGCTGAATCAGCAAACAGAGGCATGGTGTAGTTGCTCTCGATGGCCAGCTCCGCCAGCGCCGACGGGCGCATCACGTGAAGCAACATCCGAAAAGTCCGGCACCCGCGTCGTAATCCGCACCGGCGCCCCGGGCACAGCCAGCGGCTCCGCGGGGGCTTCGCTGGGGTCGTAGAAAATGAACCCTGGGTCGTCAATGTCAAACAGCACATTGTCCTCGTCCAGCGCGCGCTCGAACTCGCTCTTCTCTTGCTCCCAGGCCGCCAGCTCTGCCGCCGGAACCAGCGCGTCAGGCGGGCCCGGCGACTGAGACCGGTAGACGCACGCGCCAGGGCGTCTCGAACACGGAAGGTGTTGTCGGACAGGCCAGGGATGGTGGCACGACACGTGACAATGCTCATCCACCGCGTGTCGTGCAGCACCAATGCATTGGGCACCGCCAGCTTGCGCTTGTGCGAGCTCGGCTCGTCGCCACCGCCCAGAATGAAACTGCGCAAACGCAGCGGCCACGCGCGGCAGGTACTTGCGAGCCGGCTCGGCAATGGTAGGAGGACGTCAATAGGACAGTCTGCGACTCCACCGACAGGCACTCGGCGTCGTCCGCATACATGTCCTGCACCTCGCCCAGAAACAGCGCCATCTCATCCATGCCCATGGGCAAGGTACTCCAGCGCATGCACCAGCTGCCGCGCAGTGGCCACCACCATGTCCTTGGCCTGCAGGATGCCTTGGTACGCGGGCATATTGGCCGCATTAGGCGGTAGCCCAGAGATAACGCCCACGCGCCACACAAGATCCGCCCGCAGCTGCCGCACAAACAGCATCAGCGTGCGCATGGCGTCCAGCGTCGGGCGGTGGAACAGCAGCGCAACACGGTTCGGGATACGGCCGACTGAGCCACGAGCTGCGTCCAGCTCGCTGAGCCGCCGCAGCGCTCCAGTGTTGTCGGCACACCGCACATGCAGATACAGGTACGTGTCGCGCACCAGAGCGGCAAACAGGTCGATGCACCAGAAGGCCAGCGCGGCGGTCGGCTGGAACGACCGGCGCCAGGAGGCCGAGAATGCATCCAGCGCCGCGTGGTTCGGCGGGCCATTCAGGGCGGCATGGCTCTGGATCACGTGGTCGTGCAGCGACGTCACCCGTGCATCCACCACCGACGCTATGTGCAACACCAGCCCCAGCGACGCAGCCTGGATCCCGTGCTGCGCCAGGAAGTGGATCTGCATGATGGCGCCCAGCAGCCGCCGCACAAACGGCGTCGTCGCCAGCTGCGGGTCCAGCTCCAGCCGCACAATTCCCAGCGCACTGGCTAGCAGCGAGCATGCGCGGCACAGCGCCTGCGCCAGCGTGCGAGACATGGGGATCGTCAGCGGGTCGTCCTCATCCTCCACTGCCTCCTCTTTGTCGCTGTCTTCTCGGGAACGCTTGCGCGGCGTGGCTGGCACTGGCTGGTTCTCCTCAGACGCTGCCATGTTGGCCAGGATGGCCACCAGGTCTGTCGGGTCCTCCTTGTTTAGCACGCGCACTGCCAGCAGATCGCCGCAGTATGCATGCACATGGCTGGCCACTGCCCCGTTGCCCGCCTTATGCTCGCTGAAGAACGGCGTCCACCCGAGCCGGAACCGCACATGGCCCTGGTTCCACGCACACTCGACTGCAGCGCCAGGCTTCCCGCGGCCCAGCTCGATCACACGCGGCCGCACTGCCAACTGGAAATACGCAGTGTAGTGCGGGCTCAGCACTCCGCCCACCACCCACTCGCGCGGCTTGGGTACCGGCGCCACGCACTGGTCGAAGCGCTCGGCTCCGTCCGCACCGGCCTTGTAGTTGCGTAGCATCTCAACCCGCCCGTTGCCCCACGTGAGCATCAGCGCCCGGTAGTCCTTGTCGCTGGGCGCCGCAAACAGATACCGCAGCTGCTGCCGCTCGGCCCGGTTTGCAATCACCGATAGAAGCAGCCCGCGTCGCACCTCGGTCCACACGTGCGCGAGCCGCAGCGGTGGTGGCCGGTTCAGTCGGTCCGTCAGCGATTTGTGCGTGTGCCGGGCGCCCTCGAGCCGCCACACCTGCATGTGTGTGGTGAAGCTGTCGTGCGTGGCCTCGCCACTATGCGCAGCCATGCGGCTCTGTGTCACAAACAGCAACGGGAAGTAATACTCCTCGCCCAGAATGTTCTTCTCCACCAGTCGCACCTCCGGGTTCAGCGCTGTGATCAGCTTCAGGTGCGTGACCCGCGGTCGCTCCTCCTCCCCCTCCCCCTTCTCCTCGTCATGGCTGCCGGCCAGCGTGATCGGCTGCACCACCAGCGGCGTTGCAAAAAGCCGCGGGCTGTAGTCCGACACAAACTCAATCTGCACCTGGTACACCTCCACCGTCGGTGCCACCAGCCGCCCGTCCTGCTTCAGCTCTTCGTCCACCGCTCCTGGTTCGTGCGGGTATTGCACAGGTGCTGCACCGGCTCGGTGGACCGCCAGGTAGATCCACTTCTTTGACACAAGCATCATGTCTGCATGCGTGATCAGGCCCTGCGGGATGTTGCTCCACGGGTCGCCGCGCACCTTCGGTTCCTCTCCGCGCGCCCACTGGTCGCGGCGCCGCGGCTGCAGCGGAGCCACCACACGCGTCCACTTCTCATCGCGTTGGTACACGAGTACCAGCTGGCCATCGGCTGTCAGTACCACCAGCGCATACTCGCCCTGCGTGTTGCGCGGCCCAAAGAACGGCAGCCGGCGCACGTAAATATCCGAGTCCACGTCCCACTTCGACTCGGTTGCTGCGCTGCTAGCACTCGACACAGGCACCTGGTGTGACGACATCGACGCCAGATCCGTGGTGCTGGCGGCGGTCTTTGTGGCGGCGGTCTTCCGGCTGATGCCATACTTGCGGTGGTCCGACAGCCACAAGCACGCAATCACCGGATGGTCAAAGTCCACGTGGTACACCGATTTCCACGAGTTCAGCTCGGCCTCCACCACAAAGATTTCAAACCGCCCGGCGCGGTCACCGGCCGCCAGCATGCGGCAGTCAGCACTCCACGCACACCGCGGCGCCGAAGCCACACGCATCTTCTCACCGACGCCCACCGATCCGGCGCCTGAATGCCAGCCGGACAGCGCCGACACATTGACGGTATTGCATGGCCACTGCGCCTTGGCGCCGCCCGGCTGCACCACCGGGTCCACCAACCGGTCCATGTTTGCCTGCGACACCTGCTCGTCCCACTGCTGCCGCATCCGCAGGTCGCACAGCGGCAGAAGCGACGGTCGGATCGCTGTGTGCTGCGGCGTCACGTCCCATGCTGGCGGCGGGTGCACGTGCAGACGGTACAGGTGGATCGCCGAGGACGGCGGCCGCCGCTGCTCCACCGCACGCATACTGTCGCTGGCTGTCATGCTTGACACATCCGCCACGTCACGCTGTGCTAGCCGCCGCGACGCCGCCGCCGCCACCTCCAGCTGCGGCCACGCCACCGCCACAATGTTCAGCGACGACCACTCGGCGTTTGTCGGTGCCACGCCGTGACACAGCGACCGGAACGCACCCTCCAGCCCTGTCAGCGGCTCAAAGCCCTTGGGCGGTGCTATCAGCTCTGGGCACACCACCTCCACCGACTCTGTCAAGAACTGCTCCTCCTCCTCCTCCTCCTCCTCTGCCTCCTCTGTCGCCTGCTTGTCGCTGGTCTCAGCTGCTGGCTCAACCATCTCGACATCCTCCTTCTCTGTCTTGTCCTCGGCCTTGACGACGGCCGACGGCCCAGCAGCTGCCGGGTCCACTGCAGGTTTTACCATGGTCACCGATCCCGCCGCAGCCGCTCGCACTGTCTGTGCCACCGGCCGTGGCGCACCGCCTGCCGGTCTCGGACTCGCTGCCGGCCTCACCACACTGCTTGGCGGGCCAGGCGACAGCGTCTGCGGGGCATTGGCAATCGGCGACCGGACACCTGCCGGTGGCCCGCCGGGCCGCACCACCGGCCGCATATTCGGCCTGGGCATTGGCCGTGCCGGCGTCGGCGACCTGACTGGTGCTGGCGCACCCGCCTGCACCGGTCGCATCATCGGCGGCCGCGGACGCTGAATTGGCCGTGCTCCTGGCCGTAGCGCCGCCGGGTTCGTCGGCGAGGTCGCCGGTCGCATTGGCGAACGTACTGCCATGCCCGGCCGCGGCCGCACTGCCGCTGCCTGTGCTGCCGGTCGCACTGCCGCCGGGCGCATCTGCGGTGCTGGTGCCGTCGGCGAGCTGGTGGCCGGTCGCACGGCTGGACGCGGCTTGGGCGCTGTGCTAACAGCCGGTGTCTGGCCTGGTGCCAGTGGTCGGGCGGGTGGCCGCACAGCTGGGCGCTGTGCCGGTGACACTGGAGGGTTGGCTGGCCGCACAGCTGTTGGCGGCGGCCCGCGGACCACGGGCTGTAGGCCGCCATCAGGTGGTCTGCTGCCTGCCGCTACTGGTGATCCTGCCACCCCCGCTGCGCTGACCTGAGGCGACCCGGCCACCTTTGCCCCATCTGCGCTCTCGCCGCTGACCACTACGGTCGCTGTCGGCACTGGACTTGACAGCGGATTGCCACTGGAGGTGCTCACCGGCACTGCTGATTTCGACACTGCCGCAATTGAGCCGCTGACCTGGCTCAGCAAATTCGCCATGGTCTCGTCGAACTCTATGCTCGACAGGCTCTGCAGGTTCTGCAGGTTCAGCGCATCGATATTAAAATCCAGCCCAAGCCCTGTCGATGCTACGGGCTGGCTGGTCAGAGGCAGGCTGCCGAGGGAACTCAAATCGAACGGGAGCCCGCCCAATTGGCTGCTCTCGCCACCTGTGGTTGCTGGCGCTGCACTGCTGCCTGGCGCCGACGCACTGCCGTCGTTGCTGCTACCCCCTCCTCCCTCTGCTGCATCCTTGGTCCAACTAGTGCTGAATTGTTCCATGCTCTACGCAAAACTCGCCGAGAGGATTGCGAATAATATTAGTAGTTAGGTTGGGAATTAAAAAATGCAGTGGGAAAGAAAACAAGAAAGATGCAAGGGCCTATTTGCTCAGCTTTTTGTTGGTTCTCCTTTGCTGCTATTTTCTTTCCGCTTCATAGCCTGGATTCCAACAACAAATCACTTCAAAATGGCGCTTTCAGAAACGACAATCGAGGAGCTTGAGACGCGCCATCGCAAAGAGACGAAGGAGCTGACCTCCAAGGTCATGTCGCTAAAAAAGTCCATACCCAAGGGGGACAAGCGCAAGAAGAAGGAAGTCACTGCTGAAATCGCTGTGCTCGAAGCTCAGCTCGCCGAGCGCCATGACGCCGAGCTCGCCGAGCTCAAGCAAGCACTGGCTGCCGCCCCCACAACAGACGAGGTCACTGAGGCCCTGGCCGACACCACCATCGACAGCGCTGTGCCAATCGGCGGCATGTACGGCGCGCAGCCCGCACGCCCGAATGGCAAAAAGAACAAGGCGAAGCAGCGCCAGCAAAAGCGCCAGGAGGAGATGCGGCGGATGCAGGAGGAGGCCGAGCGGGAGGCCGAGGGCCAGGTCGACCTGGGCCAGGTCGAGAGTGCGGCCATTGACAAGCTGGCTGAGCGCGATTGCCTGCTGGTGCACCAGATCAAGGCTGACGGCCACTGCCTGTACTCGGCCTTTGCCGACCAGCTCAACACCTACCATAATGCGGACGCCCTGGACTACGCCGATATGCGCGAAAAGGCCGCTCAGTATATGCGCAGCCACCGCGACGACTTTCTGCCGTTCATGGCGCGCGACGACGGCGACATGTTCAGTGAGATGGACTTTGAGGAGTACTGTGACAAGATCGAAAAGACCGCCGAGTGGGGTGGCCAGCAGGAAATCACTGCGCTGGCCCACGCCCTGGAGGTCCCTGTGCATGTCTACCAGATGGGAGCCCCCGTGCTCAAGATCGGCGACGAGCTGTACCAGCCCAAGAGCCCGGTGACGCTGTCGTACCATCGCCACGCCTACGGCCTTGGCGAACACTACAACTCGCTGCGCAAAAACTAGCCTTTGATTGGGGGGTTAAACCAAAATAAACGCTGTGATCTGCTGGTCTGATTAACTCCCGCTTGTCAAAGCTGACTGCGCAGCCAGCGGCTGCATTTTCTTTCTTTCACTTCTTGCCTTTCATATTTCTCCCACCGAACTCATACTGATACGATGCCGCCAAAGAAAGGATCCCATTCCAGCGACGAAGCCACGACCATCTACGACTACCTGGTACGTAGCAATCGGCCATACAGCGCCAATGACATTTCGAGCCAGCTCCATGGCCTGGTGTCACCGGCCGGTGCCAAAAAGATCCTGAACGAGCTGGCCGATGACAACAGAATCCAGCGGAAAGTAAACGGCAAGCAGCTGGTATTCTTCGCCATCCAGACCGATATTGACGTGCCCAGTGTCGAGGAAGCCGAAGAAGAGCAAGAGCAGATCCGGCAGCTTGAGGAGCAGCTCGCCGAGCGCAAGGAGCACAGCAAGGCGTTGGGCGGCAAGCTCCACGCCCTCAACAATGCGCTAACCGACGATCAGATGCGCGAGCGCATTGCGCAATTGACACAGGAGGCGATCGAAAACGAGCGCCGGCTGGAGAGTCTGCGCAAAGGCGAGGTGATTTCGCCCGAAGAGAAGGAAAAGATCGAAAAGGCACACGCAAACATGGTCAAGCACTGGGCCAAGCGCAAGCGCTTGTTCAAGAACATCGAGAACACCATCGCTGAGGGGTACCCGGGCAAGATGAAGGATCTATTTGCTGAGCTTGGCATCGAGACCGACGAGGATGTGGGCGCTGACGTGAACATCCTCAGAGCGTAAGATTTCCGGGTCCGATCTGGGTTGCACAGAACGATAGGTTCCTGAGTTTGCAAACGGATCGCAGATCTTGCGCAATCAGGGCTGCACGGGATTCGTCTATCACCCTCGTCTGCGTGAGCGCTCTTTTCTCCCGGAATTCGCCATCGCTGCCGGCAATGCGTTTCCACTAGCGCCCATTGTAGATCCTAGTGTGATTTCACTAGTATTTTTTCTGACGAGAATCCTAGCGCCATTTGACGTGTGAAATATGCATAGTCGGACATTGCTTGCTGATGCCCATGTATATGATTATCGCTACCTTGAGCGCGTTGCCTTCGAAAACACGGCGCGGTCAATCCTCGAGTTTTTATGGCTAGGGCACTCTTGGGCTCGTACTACGCTCGCTGCCTCTCTCCAATCCAAGTTTCCTCATAAAGAGCCCCCGGGCCATTGGGGTTGCCACGAATGTAAACGATGTTCATTTCGCAGGCCCAAAAAAGTGATGTTGGCGGTTAGACCCACTACGCTCTTTTTGCCTGCAACCGTGTTCTGGCGAATAGTCGCCATGAGCCATGGCGCAATTGCTGAGTAATATATTGCCATCGCAGATGTCTGGCACCATGTAGAGCTGAATCGCAGCTATCGACAGAAAGCTTTGAGTGCATTCTCTGCGAGCACCATGGGGTATTCTCAGATTGGCCACCCATGTATAAATGACCCCGCCCCCTCCCTACTTTTGCGCTCCAAATCTCTACAGCCCTAGCAAGCCACCTCCTTTACTGCCTCTCCTTTTGTACATTTATATTTCTCGCATCTAGTACTTGCCTAATAATGTTTACCTCCGTCGACGAGAAGGCGGATGCAAAGCAAGATCTGTCGGCGTTGCCGGCGGTATCCGCATCAGACTCTGACTCGAGTATCGAAAACAAGAACACCGCCGCATTTGAGGACTCGCCCATCGAGGAGGTCCGGGCAGCCGTCCTGCCTAGCGACGACACATCCATTCCCTCCACCACATTCCGGTCCCTGGTTCTGGGTGTAGTCTTCACGCTGGTTTTGAGCTTTGTCAACCAGTTCTTCTGGTTCCGTGCCCAGCCGTTGACCGTTGGCATTCTGGTTGTCCAGCTCGTCACATTCCCCATCGGCAAGTTCATGGCACGCATCATTCCCAACAAGACTGTCGGGTTCGGAAGGCTGAGGTTCTCGCTCAACCCTGGCGACTTCTCCGTCAAGGAGCACGTGCTGCTGACAATCATGGCCAACTCGGCAGCAACTACCGCCATGGGAATCGATATTATTGTTATCATGCGCACCAAATTCGAGCTCGGGTTTGGCTGGGGAGGCGATTTCTTGCTGGTCATTTCGTCGCAGATCCTCGGGTACTCGTTTCGCTGGCCTTCTCAGACGGTTCCTGGTTACACCCAGCTCCATGGTCTGGCCCGTCAACCTTGTCAATGCGACCTTGTTCAACACGCTGCACGGCCGTAAGCCGCCATCGGTTCAGGATGCCGAGAACGAGGGCAGCGAGCAGGAGCATGCGTCCTTCTGGGGCCGGCTGACCCGCGGCAAGTTCTTCCTGCTCGTGTTTGCATGCTCGTTCGTCTACTACTGGCTGCCTGGGTACATCTTCCCTCTGCTAGGTCAGCATCAGCTGGGTCTGCTGGATCAACAAGAAGAACGTGACCGTGTCGCAAATTGGATCGGGCCTGCATGGACTGGGTATCGGGTCGTTTGCGCTCGACTGGAACACGGTGGTCAGCTTTCTTGCCCACACCGCTCAGCATCCCCGTATGGGCCCACTTGAACATGCTTGTCGGCTTCGTGCTCTTCATCTGGATCCTTGTCCCCGCCTTCTACTGGACCGGCACCTTCCACGCCAAGTACTTCCCGATCTACAACACTAAGCTCTATGACTCGAATGGCAGCCGCTACGACCTCGATAGAGTCCTTATCAAGGGCACCAACATGCTGAACCGCGATGCCTACAACGAATACTCGCCGGTCTACCAGACCGTTTTCTTTGCGTTGTGCTATGGCCAGGGTTTGGCCACATTGGGCGCTATTATCTCACACACCATCCTGTACCACGGCAAGGATATTGTCCAGCGCTTCAAGGATGCCCGCAGCAGCATCGACGACGTGCATGCCCGTCTGATGCGCGCCTACCCCGAGGTTCCCTGACTGGTGGTACGCTGTGCTGTTTGTCGTTGCCTTCGCCATGGCCATGGTCACCATCACGTGCTTCCCCTCTGACACCCCATGGTGGGGCATGATCCTGGCGCTGGTGCTGGCCATAGGCTTTACGCTGCCGCTGGGTTTGATCATGGCCGTCACGTCCCAGACACCATCGATCTCGATGATCGCCGAGTGGGTCATGGGAGCCATCCTGCCGGGCCGGCCTGTCGCCAATCCTGATATTCAAGAACTTCAGCACTGTCATCTGCCAGCAGGCCCTGGGATTGACGCAGGATCTCAAGCTTGGCCACTACATGAAGATCCCGCCACGCGAGCTGTTCGCGTTCCAGATCGTTGGGACGCTGCTCGCCGGCATCGTCAACCTGGCCACCACCAACTACCTGTTCGACAACATCAAGGAATGTGTGCACGGAAGAAGGCTACCCATGGACCTGCCCGAACGCATCGACGTGGGGTGCCGGCTCGGTGATCTGGGGTGTGGTTGGACCCAAGGAGTACTTCAGCAAGCACTCGGTCTACCACTCTGTGCCGTACTTTTTGCTGATCGGATTCCTGCTTCCTATCCCTGTCTACTTTGTGTACCGCTGGAAGCCCCAGTCGTGGATCAGGCACGTTCACATTCCTGTCATGATGCTCGGTCCCGGGCCCTACCCGCCTGCGCCCACCTCCGAGCTGCCCACCTGGGTCGCCATTGGCCTCGTCTTCAACGGCATCATCAAGCGCTATCGCAACCGCTGGTGGCGCAAGTTCAACTACGTATTGTCGGCCGGTCTCGACTCTGGCGTGGCGATTGCGGCGCTTGTTATCTTCTTTGCGCTGCAGAACCAGGAAACCCACTTCCCGAATTGGTGGGGCAACCCCGCAGACGGTCCCGTAGACCAGTGCCCGCTGGCCACTGTGGCGGTCCAGGGCGCCTTGGCGTACCAGGGCTAAAAATAGCGCTCCGTGTGGTCCGGCGGATTCTCTTGCTCCTTTTAGAGTTCTGGTTGTTAGCATCCTTCGTGCGGCCGCACAAATGATATTTTGGCATAGTCTAGAAGGTGGCGGCGACCTAGGCGGTCCCGCAATAGCTGGAGCACCGCCAGCCGAATTGGCGCAATACACAGGAATCAGCGCCGAGTACAGCCTGTTCCTCATGCACAAACGAGGATCTGCCTCCGCAGGAAATTTGTGCCTAACTGAGAACCTCCTTTTCGAAGGCTTTGGTGTGCCGATCGCTCCTTTCACAAACGGAGGCAGGTGTTCGCACAAAAAGCGCGCACACACCAACACGCCCACATCTGCGCAAGCCATCTTCCATGAAGGCTGCTGTGGGGACGGCAGGCGGAGAGGCTGAGAGCACGCTGGCAGACGGTGTCCATCCGCCTGACATGCATGAGTGTGCGACGATTTGCAAGGCACCCACCGAAGCTGCTGATGAACAATGGGCATCACTCGGCAAAAGAGCACCTTGGCACAATAGCAAATCGGAACGTGAATAAACGAATCGAGTTCCACGCTCGGCTCCTAGAAAGAGCTGCAGCGCTCCTCCTCCTTCGTGCAAAGGGAAGGTGGAAACACAGTGATGAAGCGAACCACGGCATGGTCGGGAAAAAACAACAAAGCGCCACAGCGATGCGTTTTCCACCCTCCACCGGTCCTTTTCCATTGCCCATTTTATGAACTCGCGGCACTGCCTTCGCGAACAATACGGGCCTCCAACGCGTGACAGAGTTTCTCGGAACAGCTCCGAAGAAAAAGCTTTTTTGCATTGATTTGCCGGCCCTTGAGCCCAAACATTTCTGCCAAAAATTGCACATGATTTGCAGCAATAAAAAAGCGAGAACCCGCTTTACATCAATAACCCGCCCCTCAGCTCTCCAGAAAGTCATATAAAGGGCATCCGAATTCGCCCTTCATTCTCGCTTTCTGACTAGCCGTCTCAGAACTCCTTACTCCACGCACACCCCCTTTCTACCTGTCCACCTACAACAACCACCTCTAATTGCATTTAAGACCGACTCCCCCTGCACCTTCCCTCGGGGTTTCAGCACATACATTTTTCTTTCGGCTTCTACATCTCATTGCCCATTCTCGCCGCTAGCCCTCCTACGACATCGCCCTCATTAAATTCTCGCCTCCTGATAATGGATATCTACAAGCTCATCACCCTGAACCAGCCCTTTGCTACGTTCCCTCAGGCGCTCTACCGGTAAGTGCCTGGATGGGCACGCTGCACCATCACATAGCCTGTGTATTTTCCATCCTCTAAAGCAACTCCCCTTGTTAGGATTCTCGAGGAAGGCCACTCGTGGATAGAGTGGAACCCTGATGGCACGAAAATCCGCTACAACGACCCAGAGCGACTGATGCGCGAGCTGCAGGCCCTAGGGTTCAAGGCGCAGGACTCGGCGTCCCTGAGCAAAAACTTCAACGTAAGCACCATTCTACACCTCCCCGCCACAGTTTCCTGGTATCCTAAAACAGTCCTATATTAATTGCCCAATTTCTGCTTCTCATTTGTCACGATAGGACTACGGTTTCAAGCGCCTCAGCGATGCCCGCAAGTCCCGGTACGACCCCTACCGCACCTCGTGGACTGTATTTGCCCATGCAAGCTTCATCCGCCATGACCGCGAAAAGTGCAATTCGATCCAAAGACGCCGTGCCCACCGCCAGCGCTCGCACCACAAAAAATCCTCGCCAATGTCGGACGAGCTGATCTGGTGAGGCTCGCCATCTGCTTTCAGAGCCATGGCCAGCTCTGGCTCAGTCCCCTGCACCACTTTCTCCCCACCAACTAAAACACTTGCACCCCTTGTATAAAGCACTGCACCCATCTAGTATTCTTTTCTTCTTGTTCATAAACCCCCAGCCTTCAAACAATAAAAATTCAGCCTTTTCGTTTCGCATCTCCTAACCACGCACCTGTATTTTCAAGGCCCGACGCATACAGCAGCCTTCCACAAAATAGATGTGCAATCTGGCAACCCGTCCTTTAATGTTCGCCGCATATCCCCTAGCAACCACTGGGTTCTGCTCAAAGCCAGCTGTATCCACAGGATACCAGCAGCGCCAACTTTATTCAAGACGTCCTTTGTAGCGCTGCAATCTCAATGATGATTCGGAAACCCAAACATTCCTTGTCCTTTTTCCTCTTCCTTTCGGAGCTAAGCCTCCATTTCATTCATCACTTTATTTTCATTAACCATTATATGTATTGATGTTTTACTTGTGGAATTGTCTCATCACATCCGTTTTGGTGTCTTTGGCAGGGGGTCCTATTTGGACACTGGACCGAACGCCAACATAATGGACACATTTTCCAAATTCGCCATTGGCAGCAAAGAACTATTGCCAGTAGCTTTTTGCAGGCAATGCTGAGTGGCCATTTTCGTGGGACTTGTCAGTGGCACCACCAATCCTTTGATTGGAATCCTCGACACTCTTGATACCAGGAATCTTCAAGAACCACGCCTACTTTTGCCAGCAACCCACCACTTGCACAACAGCCTGCAGCCCCTTATGAGCAACCGCCATGTTAGCATCTGCACATGCATTCATATACACCTATTTGGCATGGCTGAACGAGCATTTATTAGCACTCTATGCACTCATCATAATGCTCCAAACACTCAACCACGACCCTGGTCCCTGGATGGCCAATAAAGTTGGCAAACATGGGAAGGTTCTCTTTGCTGACCCTTAGCTTCAGCAACGAGGGCAACCTTTGCGCAAACCGCTCCAGCAGCATATAGTCCTTCATAATCCATCGATACGTAACACCGAGCGTGAGCTCCTGGATGCTGCTGCTGAACATCTTCGACCGCGCTGTTATCGACGCATTCAAGAATGTGGACCTGTAGGCAAACGGCCGCCGCGACTCGCACCATAGGCCAAGGTGCCACAGCCGTGGAAGTCTGGCCAGCAACGCTTGGAACTCAACAAGCCGGATCCGGTCGAGTGTCAAGAACAGATACCGAAGATTCGGCCACTCCATGACCCTTGTGAAGTTCGCTAGCGACGCATTAATACTTAGTCGTGCTACAGAGATTGGCGACCTCACCGACACAACCCGCTGGAAGGCATCACTAGCGATGCCAGCGCCATTCTTGGTGACAACCATGCTGATTCTGTCGGCCGACCGGATTACCTGAGGATCGATGGAGCCTAGCTGCACGGGCCCGTCGATGCACTGCAAAATCCTAATAGGGGAGTTTTGGAACAACTGGTAAAAGTCAGAATACACCTTTGCCGAGTTCTCCACGCGCAGGACCATGAGGCTAGGAAACTGAATATTTAAACCATCCACAGAAACGAGCTGCTTCTTGGGTGTGCCGTCCTCATATTGGATATCGAGTTTCCTCAGATTCGTGAAGTGTATGGCACCCTGGGCATCGGCATCAAAGTAATCCCAGACAGGATCCCGGTTAAAGTTTCGGATCTTTAGATATGTTAGCTGGCTTGATGGAAACAGGGGCTGTCGGGGTGCATAGTTTAATATGAGCGAATCGACATCAATTTTAGATAGGCTTTTGGAGAAAGCAGTGATGCTCTGGATAGGGGACCAGCTATGCAGCGAAAGAGAGTGCAGTTTCGGTGCGTAGGACTGCTGAACCAGCTCACGCAGGCCAACGAACAGGTCGTTCCCAGTACTGTCTCCAAAATCAATCTCGGTGATACCGCTTGCGACTTTGGTTATGTATTCACAGATCGGTTCCTCAGATCTGATCTGCATGTCTGGGCTGTCGTAGAACGACCCCATGAACGTCAGCGCATGCAAATTTTCCCACCTGCCTCTGCTAAATCCAGTCTGCTCCAGAATCCCAAGCACACTTGATACTGGTGAGCAGCTGTCGCCGATAATTCTGAGCTCTACTGTGCACTCGGCCATGGTGTTGTGCAGTATGTAAGGGATATTGGACGACCAACTATGTTTTCCTAGACCAGAAACCTGAACATGGCTTGGGTGCGCAGTACCACCCATATGTGTATAGCACTTTTGTGTCTCAGCAGCAACAAATGCCACTCGGGACAGCAGCGGGTTTAGACACAACCTCCACCGCCGACACACTGCACCAAAAACCAACGCGTTCCGAAAGCCTTCCAATAGCTGACCCTCGGTCTAAGAGCCCATCGCACAAGATCTGCAGAATTCTTGACAATGTATCTGCGCCGATAATACCGTTAATGCTGGTAACTGTGAGGGCCATATAAAGGTCGTCAAAGTAGTAATATTCAGATAAAAGTGCGGGGTTTGCAAAAGCAGAAGCACAGTTCGCATATTTCGAGCAACAGACGAGTGCCATTTGCTGGAATACCTGTGCTTGGTATGCGGGCTAGGTCATGGGACATTCCTCCATTGAAGCAAGCAGAACGTGCGGGTCGGGGTGGTTCCTATGCAAGTCACAAGTACGCAGCACTAGCCTGTAGTTCCGCCTTGGTATATGGCAGCGCGCAGGGTAAGGGGGTGCAAGGGATTGCACTTGGTTCCTCTGATGACAAGGTGGGGCTCGCAATTGATGTGCTGCATGCCGTTGCAGTATAGTGTACCAAAAGCCGACATGCTGAGTTCACTCTCGGCAATTCTGTGCATGAGCTGCGAAATTGTGCATTCACGATGTTCCGGGTTTAGAGTTTTCGAGTGCCAAAAGTTAACAGTCAAAGCTACCACTGGGATTTGCTGCACACTAAAGTCGAATATATTTCTGCTTGGTACCTGAAGAAAAAATTTGTGCCTATTATAGTCACTAGATAGTTCCAAACATGCATTCGCAACTGGATAGCACAGGGAACTGAATGCATAACGAATGGATGTGGCATAGCTACTACCTGCACGACAAGGTATTATATAGGCTCTCCACTACTGCATAGGAACAGGGTGCGTCTTGGACCTCAATTGTGATGTAGATTAGAAGGCTGTATACCCAGAGATTAGCAACTATTCTAGAAATACTGCCAAGAGTTTATATCTAAAGATGTATCGCAAAATGATTTAAGCATCACCTTTATGCATGAGCATTCAGTTAGACTATAAGAGAAGTGTCAAATACTGGCAACAAACACATACTCGGCAACCCAACCAAATAGCGTCAGCAACTATTTAACCAATATATTCCAAGACAATTTCAAAATGACTACCACCTCTATCTCTGTCGCCATTCTTGTTGCTCTGGCCGCACTTGCGCCATCTGCCAGCACTACAGCCGCTCCTCGGCCTGAGCTTACCTGTCGCCAGTTCTATGGTGCCTGGTATTGGTATCCTGGATATGCAACCAGCTTTGGTTTCCCGGGAGTGACCTCTGTCGTAGTATTTCCAGCTGTGAGCAATGATGTGGCTTGAGTCAACCATTCCTTTTGTCCTACCGGTTGCGACGGCGTCAATTGCGGCTTCAGCTGCGCCATTCCTGACCAAGCGCCAGTACGGATATGGCAGATATGGCAGCTGGAGCTGGGGCTTCCCGTTTGTGAGCTTGCTTCGATAGTGGATTTGATTGCGTATCTGACCACGCCAACTTCAGCGAGAATACGCTGTATATCCAACAACATAAACGCCAACCAGACAAACGATGCCGTATTCATTCCAACACCAACAACTTCGTCTCTGACTAATTTTATTTCCCAGCTTGACCAATGCTGAGAATTCGTCGGACACCCATTGCAACAGCAACTTTCCATTAAGAGCTGTTTACCCACCCCAGCCAGAGATGTTGGTGAGGCGGGTGAACAAATGCGACAAGTATATAAATAAAATGCTGAATCTACCAGTATACAATCTGTGGTAGCATTGGTGTAGAGCGATGTACCATTTAGTGATGGAGTGTAATCTTGGTGGATGATATGGAATATCTGGCGTTTTATAGCTACCAAACGAGCAGAACGGAGCTCTCCCAAATGGTCTAGCTATATATTAGCACCAGTGTGTGAGGCATCAGAGTGGGACAGCACTCATTGGTAAGCATCCGCGAATCGATGTGGGAGATACAGATGCCATTCCTTTCATCACTGCATATATGGAGCAAGCTCAACAGTAGCACTGTATATTAGCAATAAGGAATAAAATTAAACGACCTGATTTCGGCTGTGAACGGCCCATTACTCCAATCAATCGGGCCAGCCCATCCACTCGTCTGTGTGCCATCCCAAATGCCCATGCGCATGCGGCTGGCCTCGGTTGGAAATGGCCGGTTGGTTTTATCCCAACTGTCAGCGAGTTTGCCGTCAACATACCACTTGACGCTATTCTCAGTCAACTCAATGGTATAGTTATGGAACGATTTGCTCAAATCACTTCGATGCTGCCAACTATTATGTTGGCATTCGACATCTGTCTCACACGCTGTGACTGCACATAAAATGTAGTCTGCACACTGTTGACATCCTTGCCCACCCACTCGAAATCGATTTCATCTGCAGGCGCTGGACCCATCAAAAGCATAGTTGTGACGACACCGCTACCAGCGCCAATCCGGATCTGCCCCTCTATTCTACCGTAATGGAAGTCCCATGGGTACACCATCGTTGTTCCACACTCCTCGGTTAAGCGCCATGTAACCGTGTCGCCTGTCTGGTAGGCATTCTGTGGGCACCATTCCTGGTCAAAGTACTTCAGCGAGTCGTCCTTGGAAAAGTCAATGAACTGGCTGGTGCATGTGTACCGGGTGTTAGGCTGCGTCGAGGCAGAAGCAGACCAGTTTATTCCAATTTCGCTGGCATTTGGCTGCTGTGCGGCGCCAGTTCGATTCGGGTGCTTCCGATGAAGATGTCTTTGATGATTGTCTTGACGTCGACGAAGTGGTTGTCTGCGATGGCTTTCCCGATGTAACAGCATTGGCACTAGGTGGTGGTTGAATGTGGAGGTGAGGCACTGCTGCCACCCCCGCTATTGCTACCAGTGCCACCAGCAAGCAGACTCGACAAATTAATCATGCCGCTGCCCGCAGAAATGACAATTTCCAGTGCGTCGTCATCGTCTTCCGCACGTGGTAAAAGCTCCTGGAAACGCAGGTTGGAGAATTTGGAGAGGCCATACCGCTGTGGGGCCAAGACGCCGCTTGTGGTCGCCATCCATGCCGAAAAAGATGTCGTTCAGGCACTGGCCAAGGCCCGCTGCCCTGGCTGTGGCAACAAGCAGTCCGTACGAGCAAAGGGCTGTCAGCAAGCGCATTATTGATAAAGAATGCAGAAAAGCAGCTATATACAAGTCACCATGAAGCAAAGTGGGGCGAGGCGAGGAGCAGCGAGGCCATGTAGGATATGTGCAGGCAAGGCAATACTATACCACTCGGCTGCTAATTGCGATTACCGGCCCTGGATCACAGCGGATTTTATTGCGGGATTTTCGAGGCTGATAAGGTGAAAAGTCGGCAGGCTGTGACGGCTTATTTGCCAAAATGCTGTAGCGGCTTCAGGCGCGGCGCAGAGAGCGCTGGAGGAGCCAAGCTGTCGAATTTGCAAAGAGTGGTGGGAGCTCAATTCGAGGCCTCGATTTTTCCACTCTTTCTTTTTCTTCAATTCGTTGATTTTGTAGTTTCCTACTTCATTTCTAGTTGGCTACACCCCTTTCCCTCTTTATTCTAGGTAAGTTTTGGCCGTTCGGATTCAACGCAAGCGCTGGTCTCCTCTCACCGCAAAGCGTGGATGGACAGCGCATAGGGAAAGATAAGGAGATTTCTGCAATCAGCGAATGGCACACCCCCGCTTCTAAACTGTACCTCCAAGCTGTAGAATCAGAAAGAAAATGTCTGTTGCCGGTCGCAAGTTCCTTACCTCGATCAACTGGCCCGTGGTCAGCTCTGTTCTGTCGAAGCACACCGAGATCACCAAGTCTCTTGGATCGTTCCGCAAGGCGTACGAGGAGGCCGAGCGCCAGCTCACGGTGCTGAAGGAGGCTGACCGCCCCGTGGACTTTGCGCACTACCGCAGCGTGCTGAAGAACAAGGAGATCGTCGACAAGCTGGAGAAGCTTGCCAACGCGCAGAAGGTGGCCAAGGTCGACCTTGCTGAGCAGCTCAAGACCATTGCGGCGTTCGAGGCCAAGGCTGTTGCGTCGGCGGAGCTGTACGTCAAGGAGACCGAGGCCAACCTGGTGGACCTGAGCGAGACCTGTCAAGAACATCGAGACCGCCCGCCCGATCACCCAGCTCACGGTAAGTTGCAGATGCGAGGAGAGTCAGATGACCAAGGATGCTGGAGAGGCGTGTGTACTAAATGCTTGCATGTGTGTAGGTCGACGATGTCGTCAAGGCCAAGCCCGAGGTTGTCCAGCGCACGGAGGAGATGGTCAAGAAGGGCCAGTTCACTGTCGAGGGCTACGACGAGAGGTTCCCGAACCTGTCGCTTCTCTAAGCCAAACCGCTTTATCTATCTCTTTTCATTTCCCCCGTACGTTTGTTATCAGGTTTAACAAAGCTGGAAGACTACATTTTGAGCAGGCTGGCTGGCGTGAGCGGTCGAAAATTTGGCCACGTAAACACAGCAAAATAGTGTGGTGGTGGGTACTAAATGGCAGATGTGTGTATGACGCACATGCATATCCGCAATATATGTATTTGGCCTGCAGTTCACCGCAGATAAAACAAACCTGCAGGCAGTGCGTTATCTCTGGAGAGGACAATGGGAGCAAAATGGCCGAACAAACATTTGGCCTATTGGGCCACCTTGCGCTTCTTGCGGATGACCATGGTGAGGTCGTTTACAGGCGGGGCCGCGTGTGCTGCAGGAGCTGGAGGAGCCGGGCCCACATGTGTTGTTCCCTGGGACTCGACCACGACGGCGCCTGCAACATCGAGGTTGTTTTCGTCCAACAAAATCAAAGAACTTTTTGGTCGACGCATGTGCAGCCTCCGTGTTCGAGAAGTCCATCTCGCTGGTCAAACAGCGCAGCGAGGGTGCGATCGAAGTCAGTCGAACGAGAGCGTCCCCTGGTCAGCATCCGGGCTGCCGCCATTTGGCAGGTCCTCGAGTTGCACTGAGAAGTAGGCTGCGCGGCCGGCCTGCCCCGCACTCCTCGCCGACGGCCAGCATGTCCAGCAGCATCTGGACAGTCCATGTATCGGAGTGGTCCTGGGCCAGCAGGCGCGTCATTGGGTCGTCGGGGAACTGCGCTACGCAGTCGTGTGCACGTGCCTCGAGCGGGTGCCGAGAACCCCAGCGCCATGCCGGCTGCTGATTGGCAAACTGGCGGAACCACGGCGCTTCGCTTGCGTCCAGGCCAGGCACAATGCAATGAGCCACGGCTGTGTGGCTGGGCGTGCATGTGATGGCAAACTGCAGCGTCCGCATCCACCACTTTATTAGGTCGAGGTCGCCGAGAATCCGTTTGGCCGTGTTGTGCTGCGATCGGGCAAACAAATACTCGGGCTGCGCTCGGGCAAACAGCGACAATGTTATGTGCGGCCGCATGCCCACCCCCATGTAGCGCCGGAGTGAGGCCGTGTATCCAGCCACCAGCGCGCGCGCTAGCGGCATGCGCTCGGACTGCGCCCCGGATGTGTCGAGCTTTTCGATGCATGCATCGACACTGACCGACGTGCTGGGCGGCGTGACCTCCGCCACCACTGTGGTGAACTCGTGGGCCTCCAGCGCCGCGACCATTGTGCCGTTCTGGCTGACGATTACCAGTATGCGGCGCCCGAAGGCGGTGGTCGAGTAGAAATGCGACGTGTGATGTTTCTGCGGCGTCAGCGATGAGACCGGATGATCCGCAGTCTGGATTACGCGGATTTGGAAGGACGCTTTTGGCAATGCACGCAGGGCGTCCGCGACGCATTCGGCGACGACATTGTGGATCGGCATAGCACGTAACGAAAATGGAGTGGTGAGAAAAAAAAGCGAATTACACTAAACAATGGCACACAGGCTGGCGGTGACCGCCAAGTTTGGGCGGGGACGTAAAGCAAGATTGGTTCTTGCTCAGCGCTGATTTGCTTTTATGGCTCCACCCCGATCGGCGCAACAAGGAAAGGAGCCGCGAGCGCTGCCTTTGCAGGCGCCTGTCAACAAACCTGCCCAGCATGCAAGCATGGAGTATTTTTCGGAGTAGCAGCTGCTAGTGTTTGGCGAACACGAGGTCGGCCAGTTCCCTTTGTTTTCTTCGTCGTGGGCAATGCAGCCCGTGTACAGAATGTCCGAGCTGCAGCGACTTGCCCTGCTATCCCGGCCGATTACACGGCCAATTATTGCTTGGAATTCCCCACTTTTCTTGCCGTTCTGTGATTGCTTCACATACAGCTATGCATGCCATGTGCCTTGTTCGCCGGGAGCACACATCACGCACCTGCGTGTATGGGCTCTGATAATCATGTAGAATGGATGGGGTTTGCCCGGTGCACGATAACGCATGTGCTTATTGTGGTGCGGGTTCGTCCTGCTGCTTTTGGGGTGGAGGGCGCAGAGCCGAGTATCGCAGTGCAGCGCAGCGCAGTGCAGTGCGGGATTCGATGAACAAACCGCACAAGCTTTGCACTTTCAGGGTTCATGGAACAGCTCAGTTTTATTGTTTTGGTTGTCAATCCGCAAAAAGACGCGCAAGGCTGATGAAGTAAATTTCGCCGGCAGTCTGCATCATCACAAGCACAATTATTACGAGACAAAGGGAAACTCGACGAAGTGCAGGCATGCAAGCACATATTGCCTGCGAAAAATCCTCCTTTGCGTGGAGCAATTTCTGGCATAGTTCGGAGCGCTCAGCTTGCGTCGAAAACGGCATTCATTTTCCGTGGCGGAAGGGAAGGACAAGAAAATATAAACACAAGGATGGCGTATATAATGGCCCAGACGCACTCTTGTCAAGCCCAAGGACAAGTGCGAAAATAGCACATGTGATTGTTTAGGCTGCCGGTGCCTACAAGACCACCGTTGGTTGGCCACAGGTCCTAGGCAAGCAAGCTTTTTTTAAAGTGATCGTGGCAACAGAGAGCGAGGCAAGAAAACAATTCTGCCTTTCGACATGAAACGTCGACAACAAAACCATCAACAAATAAAACCATTGGGGCGGATGAGGCACGGCAAAGAAGCGCGCTTTTTAGGTCATTATCGCCAAAGCGTCGATTTCATTGCCGAGCAGCCCCGGCGTATCCATTGTCGGGCTAGAATCGCCCAGCGCTTGGACAGTTTGTGCCACAGCCAAAAAGAAGGCGAGGCTGTCCAGATGGAATAGCAAAAAAATAGCGTCCCTAAAAAACCGCATTCTGTGCTAGGAGCGTTTAGCCAAATAGCGCTCCGGCATTCTATGAAAATACGCAAGGGCCAAAGCGAAGCGACGCAAGCAATTTTTAGAAATTGCTTTTTGGGGGGTGGGTCGCATCCACCCGCATGCACCCGCCCCCTCTGTCACGTAAAGGATTCCAAGAGCCGAAACCTCCGTCCGGCCTTCTCACCATGTATTTTCTGTCCTTTTGTACGGCCGCCGCTATCGATGTGCGTTTTTTTCCGAGTTGGCCCTTTTTAAACACGCCTGCATTGCCCATCAATTTTCCAGCTAGTTTTCTTCTCCTTCCCTCTTCGCTCTCCCAAGTCCCCATCCCCCTCGCTCCTTGCCTCCTACTCTTTTTAACTCCATCGGAAATACCAAATCGCCAGCTGTAAGGGACTTTGTCTGTTTATAGCAAACCACGCCAGGCTGAGCCACAGTCCACACATTATACCAGGGGCATAAAGACAGACATTCGTGTCCTTCGGAACATCTATTTCGTACAACACCCGGTTTTAGCACAGTCTCCAGTTTCTGCGTTTATCTCGTTTGCTTTTCCATGATCGACCACCAAAAAAGTACTCGAGTCCATTCCTAAATCCCTCGCTTCCCTAAGTCAATCTATAATTTATAACACCCCCTCCCCTGCGAGCACTACTACATTCGGGCCCTTTTTGTCTATTACCATCTTCCTTCTTCCTTCCGTCCATATCACTTATTCACTAACATTATAAACACCACATCCCCAAACCTGGGAGCTGTGGTCCTTACATCCATCCTCCACAGCCATTCTATTCCTCTTTTCTACACCATCCCTCCCCCTTCTCTTTTACAGCCCGTCCCCTAGCGCCCCTGTTTTGTCTACTATTTGCTTCTAGCTGCATCAGTCCCCCTCCCTCCTGCGTTCCTTGCGCTATGAACCAGCTAGAGCTGTTTGACAGGTACAGTACCGCACATTAGAATTACACACGCGATCCAGCCATTTCGTCTAATCACAGGTGTGTGCTGACATCCTCTTCGGCTTCTATAGTAGCATACTGCAGAAGATTCAAACAGCCAGATCGCTAAGCATGCGAGGTGACCAGCAAGCTACACTCTACCAACTCGAAGAAGCTAACCGCGCAATCGTGACTCTGTGCAATCGCTTGTCGCAAAACCAGACAAAGGTACGCTTTTTTCTCGCTCTCCCCTTGTTGCTACTGCGCTTGGACTGGAATGTTTTTTGTCGCCTCCGGATTGCGACAAACAAACAAACCTGCCTCTTTTTTGTTTTTTAGTACTCCATCCTCAGCTCCATGTCTTTTCGCCGCGACTTTTTATGCTAATACTCTTTTGGTACCTGATAGGAACCCCCAATGACTCCTGAAATGCCTCAGGCCAAGCGGCGACGCACTGATTCAAAGGTAGGTACTGATTCTCCTTATCAATGGCGCTGTTTTCCGTTGCAAGCGTCTGTTTCATATGACTGTGAAAAACTCCGTATTGCTCGTGCACATGCATCGGCATATTCTTTGCCTTTTACCTCGGAATTCAGCAACTAACCCACGCCGACCCACGCGACACTTGTGCTTCTGTAGGCTATTGATAATGAAATCCCTACCGCCAGCACTAGCCCCAGCGGCCACCACGCACCGATGGTGGCACACTTCACAGTCAGCCACTACTTCGCCGCTGCCGATTAGCCAGCCCCCACTGCCGCATTACTCGGCAACTACCCTGGCAATGGCGAATCCGTCGCTGTCATACCCATACCACTACTCACAGCCGGCATACTCGGCCTCGCAACAATATGTGCACGAGCAGCAACGTGCCGAGAGCGCAGGCATGCTGTCAGCTGAGCAGCCGCAGTCCGCAGTCGCAGCACAGCCAGCAACAGCAAGTGGGATCGATTCATTCGGCAGTTACTGCGGCAAGCTCGCCTGCTGACGCTGTAGCCATGGCAGTAGCCAATTCGCGCGCCTTGATGACCATCCCGTCATGCCAGCCTGCAGTGCTGCCAGCCATTTCAGCCTCCATCTCCACCCCCGCATCCTGTGACAACCGTGTCCACAGCCAACTCGGTATCGACCCCGCATCTGCAGCAGCCGTTTACATTGCTGGGCCAGAGCCCAAATGTTCACCAGCCCCGACTACAGCATGCTGCTCTACCAGCAGCCAATGTCGTCAGCTGATCGCTCAATGACAGTAACCGCCGCCCTTGCAAGCAGCACGAGCGTCAGCCCAATCGCGCAGCATGCATTGGCACCTGCGGCCAGTCACCAGTACCAGATGCACGGGCAGCTGGATGGCCAGATGCGGTACATGGCAGTGCCCAGCCAGCAGCACCAGCACATGCAGCACCAGCAGCCCTCGAGCCTGCCCAAGCCCATTGCACCAATGCATATGGACCGCTTCCGCCAGCCATCGCAGTCCGGACTGGCCCCAATGCAGCAGTACAACCCCCAGCAGCACTATTTCCATCCGGTCAGCGCCAGTGGTCAGATGTCCGGAATGGGGCTTCCTAATACAATGCGCCAGGGCAGCTACCCGGGGATCCACGCTTCCACAGGTGCACATCTCCCGAGTGGGCAGCAGTCCGTCGCACAGGTCGCCGCTGCAGTGGCTGCCGCGGCTGCCGCGCACACGATCCCTATTCCGAATACGGGCACCGCCGGCCGTCTGGGGATCAGCGTTGGGATGGAACACCAGGGTGGCATTCCTGACATCAAGTTCTCAGCCATGGACATGCAGTCTGTCGCCAGCGAGCAGCCAATGCCAGACTATCTGGAGGTAAGAGCATTTGAAAGCAGCAGGGTGCGTTTGGGGGATATGCTGCTCCCCAATTTTTGGTTCGCATTCACCGACATGTCTCGCCTCAGCCGTGTTCTCACGAATGCACTGGTCCCTCTTGGTCGATATGTAGGATTACACGCAGAGCTACATGGTCGGCGGTCCCTCGATTCTTGAGGCCAGCTCGGCCTCGCCCACGGAACAGACGCTGGACCTGGACCTGGTATCTCGGCTGGACGAGTTGTTTATGAAGTATCTAGAACAGATCTGCTCCAACAGTAAGTGACTTGCCGAGAAACTCTTCCATATTTGGATTCCCCTGGATGGATATGGAAATGGTGCAACATTTCCAGCCTGTATTATGTGCTGGATCCGCTAGTGCTGACTGGACAACCAAAAACACCCTGCTGCTTCATTGTAGACATCACGGTCGATTCGGAAGGAGAATCAATGTAAGTTTGTGCTGCCGGCTGAGCTCTCACATGCCAACCGTTTAACAGCCCTCCTGTGCGTCTGTTTGCTCCGCACAGCACTCGCCCAAAAAACCTGCCCTATGCGGCCCAATGACGCTCTGCCGCTCTATGTGCTCCATTTCCATCCTCGTGCCCCAACTTCCAAATCTTGCTTTTCACACGCACACTCACCGGTAATGACCCGTCATTCCAAAATCCCGCCTTGACCTTGCTACCGCTTGCGGTCTGACTGGCTTCCTACCTTGTTTTGAAGGGAAAACTTTGCCAGCCAGGATTTTCCCACACATGGCCGGCCAATCACACAAACAATAACGATGGCGCTGAGCCTGGATTTGCATTAACCTCCCTTCCCTCCACATGGGTCTTGCGCCTCACTACATGACCCCTACCTCACCATATTCCTCCAACCCATTCCCATGGAGGAAACGGATTATTCCCATTGCAGCCCAACCCCTGAGGACGTGCTTTCTGGGGATTCATTCTGCGTATTTGCTGCTCCTGCCTCGTGCATTTGGCTGCATCCGGGCGCATTCAGCCATGCCTCATCGCGCCCGTCTATTTTTAGCGGATTGCGTGTCTAGCTGACGGGTGGGGGTAGTGTGGATCTGTTTTCCTTTTTTTTTTTTTTCGCGCTACACGCTTTTGCGAGCCTGAGTGCTGCCGGTACATGTCGAATGTTGTCAGCTTCCCCCTTCTATTACCCAACACTCGCAAACCTGCTTTCTGTGCTTACCTCGAGGTGTCTGCGGGGTTTCTAGCAAACATGGGTTGCTCAGGGCCGCATATTGTGAAGGATTGACCAGGAGCGGATTTTCCGCCTATGAGAAACGCCAGTCGGTCTTTCCATATGCAGTTGAGAACTGTCGACCTGTGTTTGCGTCGTCATGCAATATTTAGGACGAGCGAGATTGCAGCAGGTTTTCTTTTTTTGCACCCGGCTGCTCCCAGTGCTGTTGCGCTTGCCTCCACTGTCTCTCCCATCCAGGGCTTATACATGGATGCATATTTGGCGATACATGATCGTTTTATGCATTCATGTATGTACGCAATTATTTGTGCCATTTAACCTGCCGCAACCATCAGGTTCTCAGTGAGGTGGGGCTATTAATTGGAGTAGATCTCGCTGAGCGCCGAGCTGAGAAAATGGTGTTGCTCTGTTTGATGTGCAAGCAAGCAAGGGGCTTGCATGGTGCTCGCACGTTGTGTATCCAATGCCGCCTCGCTTTACATGGCGGCCGCTTTTTTTCCTCGCCCTTTCTCTCAATCTTTCTTCCAGCCAATCCTGTGAACGCCGGTCGCGCTCATTATGCGGACTGCCATTGGGCTTTGGCCGGTATGCACGCTCACATTCACCTGCATTCGCGCTAAGGTGCTTCAATCCATGCGTACATAACCCGCTGCGATCCGCTGTTTTCCTCAGAGCAGCTATAGCACTCTGATTATAGTCGGCTTGCACACGATCTACTAATATCCGCTCCATCATCGATCTGTAGTCATCAAACGCAGATGGCCAAGAAGCTGGAGAAGCTGGAGCAATGCACCGAGTACCGCACGTTCCGGTTCCGGATCCAGGCATTCTCGAACGCATACCGCGAGTTCATCGAGCGCGAGGCCGGAATGACAGAGCAGGTGGTGAGCAAACAGCAGCTGCGCAACTACCTACACCAGCAAAGGTACATCTCGCGGTTCAACGAAGACGGCAAGAAAGCCAAGAGCAAGGGCCACCACGTGTGGAACGTCGAGGCGAAAAAGATCTCGCGGAACAGCTGGTGGTTCAAGGAGTTTGTGAGGCGGATTGCGAGCCCGCCGCCCAAGGCCGTCATCGGCGTGCCGTACGAGTGGACCCCGACGATCTGGGACCCTCAGGTCAGAGCGCCAAAGGTGTACTTTCATTCGCCGTGGCTGCCTGCGTGGCTCCGCTGGGAGAGCAACTCGCTGCGTGGGATTCCCCCATCCGATGCTGTTGACTGCAACATCAACGTGGTTGCCAGCTACTACCAAGGCAAAGAAGGTAAGCAGGAGAGGGAATCTATGTGCCTGAGCCAGTGGATGCATTCTGAATGTCTTGTCGCTAACTGAGGCTCCCCGCAATTGTGTAGTGTGCCGCCTCGAAACGTCGTTCACGGTCCATGTGGTCCCAAACACGCAGCTCAGCATGTTCATGCCCTAGATCTGCAGCGGCTCCATCCGAAGGCTCCCGTGTGTCATTATTATTTCTACCATTGATACTTTATTCGGCGCCGGCGAAAATCTCAACGTTCGAGCCCCGAGGAAGACCGAATGGCGAGATACGGTTACTTGCGTACCGGCATTCAGTATGTTGTACGTAACCATCACCGAGTGCCATATGTGTAATTATCGGTTTCATATATCACGATTCTTTATATTTCTCATGGTTGCGACAAACAACCCCAGCACCCGACCTCGCTTCTAGTTATCTACAGCATCTCCCCCTTTTCTTCCTCCAAGCGCGAGACTGCAATCCCTCTTCATCCCTCCTTCTTTTCACCTTTTCTTGGCTCTAATACTTTTTCTATCCGTGTTTCCATTTTTCTTCACATCTTTTCAACCTCCAAAATACACAAGAATGTTCAACCATCATTTTATTTGGCGCCTATTTGTAGACATCGGTGTTGCGAAAACTAGAGTTGTCCTTGAGTGAATCGTTATGTGCCTTGTACTCCATGATGGTTTCTGCAGGGACCTCGAGGACCTGCTTAATGATATCGCGAATATGCACATTGGTTTTGGCGTCGACAGCAGTGCGATTCCACAACGACAGAATGTCCTCCGAATTCCTTATAGACAGCACGATACCGCAGACCTCGTCGCCCACATCAAAGACATCGCCGACAACAGCCATTGCCAGGCGCTCCCACAGACGCGTTGCCAGCCCCTTCCTCAAGCGGATCATCCACTTGCCGCCATTCATGTTCGCCGGGTCTTCCCACACAGGCCGCACAGAGTCCCGGAACAGATGATAATCAGTGATCGTCGGGACCTGGTTCGGACGCAGAAGATGACTGTACACGCCCCAGAACCCTTCGACAGTGCCGAAACTAGCCAGGCGGATCATGGCCGACTCGTAGTCGGTGATTTTCTCGCCGGGCGCGCGGTGCATGAACCAGAAAGCCCACGCCGAGCGCAGCGGATGTTGGCCGTCGGCCGGGAATAACCGCGACTCGGTGCCCCACACAGACGGCGCCGTCGCGGGCTGCGCGGGCTTGTCGCGCTTGTACTGCACGAGCTTTGTCTGGGAGGCGGCCGGCGTGGCCGAGTAATTCGTCGCATCGCGTGTCTTCGTCGTGGCCGCGGGCGCTTTGGTTGGTGCTGCGTACATGTCCTGTGTTGAAATGAGAGAACTGTGGTTTTGTTGTTTTTCGCCCGCCTCTATAGAGAAAGTCTGGGTGCTGATTTGAGTACAGGGAGGTGTAGAGATGAATTAGGTTGGAAATTGAAAAGGCAAAGGAAGAAAAAAAAAAAAGGCGTTTAGCTAAGAAAAATTTCAAGCGCTGCTCACAAGCGTAGAAATATCACGGCTCGGTTTCTCTGGAATGGCGAGCCGGCAGGCCCAGCGTAATTTATTCTACAAAATGTTCTAGTTTATCTTTCGCAACACCTTGCGCATGGCCCGCAGGCCAATGACGGTCAGGGTGACGATGGACGTAAAGGCGACGCCCGACACAAAGTAAAAGGCCGTCGGGCTGCTTCTCTAGTGTATTGACCAGGTTCATGCCAAACAGGCCCGACAGGAACGTACCGGTGCTCAGGCCGACGGTCAGAATGGTCAGCCTGATCTCCAGCAGCAGCAGACTGTTTCGCTGCGAGTCGAGGATGATGTTGACAACATCCTCAGTGGTGCGCACATGTGAGGACACAGATTCGACGTGGTTGACAATCTCCTCAACCTGCTTCAGATACGTCTCCATCATCAGCTCGACCTCATCGTGGTCAGTGACAGCGCGCGTGTCGCCATTGATCTTTTGGGTCAGATACATGGCGGCCAGATCCTCGTCCTGCTCCAGCACCTCCTCGATCGCATCTCTGATATTCAGCGCCTTCTGCTCGAAGCGTGACAGCTTCTTCGAGTACTGCAGCAGTTCACGCAGCTTCGAGCGGTCAACGCTTTCTTCCAAATATGCCAGTAGATTTTGGACCAAGATTCACCAGCACCTCCTCGTCGCTCTGCAGCGAATTGACTACGCTGATCAACATTGCTTCCTAGTGCGCGGAACTCGAATGGCTGCTGCGACTCGCCGTCGGCCGCCAGAGCGCCTTGGCTGCTGCGTAGCCGCTCCTGCAGCTCGTAGACAAGCATGCTCTGGTTGTAGTTGCTGGCGGAGCCGATCGAATCGAAGAGCACGACCCGGTCGGCCTCGATCAGGGCGCGGATGTGCAGCAGGTTGACAAGGATTGCATGGCGGCGCACCAGGATTGCTGGCATCTGGTTGACGAACTTGCTGTCGATTTTGCGCAGGTCGCGCGGCTGCAGGCCATGTTGCGCGCACAGCTCTGACTTCTGGAACTCACCCGCACGCACCTGTCACATTACCCTCCTTGTCCAGCTCCGTGCACCGCAGCGTCAGCTCTGGCGTTTGCTGGTTCGGATCAACGCGAACCGGCTCCTTGGCCACGAATGTCTCTGGCTTCGGCTTCTTGGGCTGGTTGTCGCCCAGCGGCTTTGTCAGATGCTCAAAACCAGACAGAAAATCGGGTCGCACCTTGCCCTTGCCCACGGCTGCCTCCAGCTTCCGCGACCTTTTCGTCTTCAAGCGCTCGAGGTCTGGCAGTAGATCAAACATGTTGAATGACATGTACCGGCGGTGCAGCCTCTGCTGCTGCTGTTGCTGAGCGGGGCTGTGAGCTGGCTGACAGGCCATGGCCGAAAAGCGCCGAGGCGATGCAGCAAACACCTTGCGGTTAATGCCATTTGTTATCAAGAGCTCCTGTGCTTTTGACAGCGACCGGGCCGGCGCCAGCGTTTTCCAGAGCAGTGTGTTCATCGTGAATTGAATAGCGAAAGGGGGTGGGAAGTTGAAATTGTAGCAGGAACGAATTGCAGAGACAAGCAGGCGACTTCTGGGTCTGCGGCGAAGCATAAGGGCTAAAGAAAAATGGTTGGGTTGCAATCTCACTCTTGCTTACCGATATGCAACCCGCTTACTCTAGCATTGCACAGCCTGCTTCTCATTTCCTAAGCCAATTCAGCCATGCTTCGCACCCGACTGCAGCGCCTGGCATTTAGCACGCACGCACGACGCCTGTCGACCCGTCCGCTGCGGATCCTCGGGCTTGAATCGTCCGTGCGATGACACCGCCGCAGCGATCGTCACCAGCGACGGCCAAATCCTATCCGAAACCAACCAGCACCAGTACGCGGTTCCACGAACAGCACGGCGGTATTGTGCCTGGCCTGGCAGCCAACAGTCATCTCAAGCACATGCCCATGTCGTGCGCACCACGCTCGAAAAAGCCAGTCTGACTATCGCTGATCTCGATGCCATCGCTGTGACCCGCGGCCCAGGACTGCCAGCCAGCCTGGCGGTCTGCGTGGCGGCTGGGAAAACACTGGCGGCAGTCCACGGCAAGCCCCTGGTGGGTGTGCACCACATGGAGGCCCATGCTCTGATGGCCCGGATGGGCTCGTCCCTGCAATTCCCCTACCTGTGCCTGCTGATCAGCGGCGGCCACACGCTGAGTATCGTTGTTCACGACGTGAACGAGTACACACAGATCGGTACTACCCGCGACGACAGCATCGGCGAAGCCTTCGACAAGGTTGCCCGGGATCTGGGCATCCCCTGGATCGATGCACAGGACGGCGGCGGACCTGGCCCAGCTCTCGAGCTGCTGGCGCGCGAAGGCGAGCCGAGCCGGTTCCCGCTGCCAGTGCCCATGGACAAGTCGGGCACATCAACATCGCCCGACTTTAGCTTCTCGGGGCTCAAAACACGCATCCGGCGGATGAAGGACACGCGCGAATTTGATCCCTGCCAAGCGCCAGGACCAGGCCGACGTCGCAGCAGCCTTCCAGTCCACAGCAGCACGCCACTTGGTGAAGAAGACCGCGCTGGCGTTTAAGCGCGCAAAGGAAATGGGCGTGCCGCTGACGGCGCTGGTGGCCAGCGGCGGCGTTGCCAGCAACCTGGTCATCCGCAGCAGCCTGCAGGAGCTGGCAGCTCTGAATGGCGTTGCCCTGGTCTGCCCGCCACCGCGGACTGTGCACAGATAATGGCGTTATGATTGCCTGGGCCGGCATGGAGCGCCTGCAGCGAGGCCTGCTGGATCCCATACACGATTGACTTTATCCAGCGCTGGCCGCTCGAGGACCTGAAGCGCATGGGCTACCGGCAGCGGGACAGCAGCTTCTAACACGCGGTTCTGCAAATACATTCATCACTGATAGCCAGAGACTGGTGGATCGTCCGTGGGCTGATTTGCCTCATCTATGCTGGAAAGCAGCGCCAATCCTGCGAATGCGCGCCCCTTCCGCGAAAAGGCCCGGGCGCCGGGGTGGGCTCATTTCCATGGGCAGCCAATGGCGCGCACACAGCGCTCTGCAAGACTGCCGCCAAGGCTGCATCGCCAGCCGAACCCAAGAGAAGAAGGGCCTGCCCGCCCGGCCCGCGTGCTATAAAGGCCAGGCGGGGCGGCCCTGATCCCAGGATGCAGAGCACCATTGATAAACCCCCTTGCTAGTTCCTACACTTCTCTCCGCCTCTCCTCTCTTTAATCCCTATTCTCCCATATAGCCTGTAAGCAAACTATAATGTCTCTCCCAGTTGACCCCGCTGTTCTGTTTCTGACCGCCGTGGCCGCCGTGGCCGCGATCGTCTACGGTTACTATTTTTCTCCCCAGGCAAACCAGCCCGACATCCATCCGCTGCAGCTGGCCGAGCAGTCGTCGGTCAGCAAGGTGCGCGAGTCATCGCACGAGAGTGCTGTCTACCGCTCAAAGCGCACGCCCGAAGGGACCAACCTTCTGTCGAGTCCCTCATCGGAATTCGAGAACCTTCGTGACGCAATTCGTGCCGTGCGACCCTCGGCCTAATCCTGATGCGGTACTGTTTTTCGAGTCGGAGTCCAAGATCGCCAAGGTCGCTGTCGACGAGGTCGCCGCCCATATTGGCGCCTTTGCCGGCGGTCTTCAGCGCATGATCCAAGGCAAACGGAGGCAAGGCGGCGGCAGTTATTGCTCTGAAGGGCTCGGCCGAGTTCCTTGTTGCGTACCAGGCGTGTTTGGAGGCTGGTGTCGTTGCTGTGCCTGTGTATGTCGAGGAGACGCCCGAGAACATCGCTGCGGTTATTGCTCACTCAAAGGCCCAGGTGCTGGTTACGTCTACGGAGCTTGCGCTCAAGCTCGGTGGTCTGCTCGCTGGCACCTCGCTGGCCCACGCTGTGGTGCTCGGTGAGCTCGATGGATCCGACGAGGCCGAGGCCGTGCGCTCAGCAGTCGCTGTTGCGTCGTTCGAGGAGCTCCAGCAGGGCGAAGGCCTCGACAAGGATGTCAGCATTGCCCCCACCGACCCCGCCTACGTCCTCTACGAGAAGGACGAATCATCGAAGCTGCGTGGCGTAATTGTTTCGCACGCTAACGCCCTTGGCGCTGTTTCAGGCATTCTGGCTAACCTGCCTGCTGACAAGGCTCTGACTAGCAAGGATTCGTTCATGTCTGTCATGCCCATGGCCGAGCCAACCAACCTGAGCTTCCTCAACACTGCGCTGCTGAGCGGCTGCCCGATCTGCGTCTGCGAGACTACTGACGCCGAGCTGTTTGCCACCCAGGCCTACCCTTTCAAGCCCACCTTCACCTACATGAACACCACCATCACCAGCGACTTCTTCCAGCTCTTCTACTCGCACATTGAAAAGTACCCCAAGTTCGAGGCCAATCTGTTCCACCGCGGCTACAAGTCCGTTGTCGACACCCTGATGCGCGGCATGCGCCCTAAGCGCAACTTTACCGACTTTGCCTACCTCCGCCACTACCGCAATGTGATCGGTGGCAAGCTGCGCCTGCTGTATCTGTCCGCCGATGTTCCCTCCAAGCATGTCGAGTGGTTCCGCGCCCTGCACGGTGCCAACGTCATCCCCATGTTTGGCACTGCTCAGACCGCCGGTGTAGCCACCGCCGGAATGTTCTACGATTATGCGTCGGCCATCGAGAACCACAACGTCGGCGCCCCGCTAGCCTGCAACGAGATCAAGCTGATTGACACCAACCCCTTCACGGTTGAGGACAAGCCCAACCCGCGTGGCTCTGTCGCGATCCGCGGCTCCAACGTCTCAGCGGCCCTGTGGAACGAGGACCCGGTTGCGCTCAACGACGGCTGGCTGACGCTGCCTGTTACCGCCGAGATCCTCCCCAATGGTACCTTTGATATCATCGGCCCGCTGAGCACCATTACCAAGTCGGACGCTGCCTCTGGCCTGGTCCTGGCCCAACCGCTTGAGCGCACGCTGCTGTCAACCAACGTGATTACCTGATGTCTGCGTGTTTGCTGATTCCAAGTCGCGCAAGGTCTCGGTAGTTGCGCACCCACGCCCGATGGCCCTGTACCGCGTCGCCCACATGAAGAAGAAGACGTACAAGATGAAGCAAATCCAGGATTACCCGTGGTGTGCTGAGTATGTGCGCGCTGAGCTGCTCAAGGTCGCTGCCAGTAAGGGCTTTACGTGGGCTGCGGAGCTGGGCGATAGCTTTGTAGTCAAGCTGGTTTCGGAGCCTTTCTCGCTCAAAAACCAGCTGGCGTTTGCTGATGGTACTGTCAACCGCGCTGCCGTCAAGAAGCTGCTGGAGGCATAAGTAACTGTATTCGAAATTGTGCAGTTTAATTTCTAACATGTATTTGAAGCATCTTAAGGCTCGTACGGCGGAGGTGACTCTACGTCGCATCCCTGCGTGAGGTCAGGCTTGAGGCTAAAGCATTTGAACATGGCGAAAACGGAAGAGGCTGGAAGCAGCCTGTCTTTATGTATGGAGCACGATGGCTCAGCGCAAGGACCTTGCTTTATATACTGTGACCCGAGGCAGGCCGAGGCCACCTGCCCAGACATTTGTTGGCAGTTGATGTACATATCAGTAGTTGTTGTCATGCCAGGAATAGAAAAAGAGAGCATTGTATTCCCAGAACATGCAGCCAAATAACTGCATCAGCACACTCGAGATCGTATCAACTCACTAGTGCCCTCCACCACACCCTGCACCTTTCTGCATTGCCTGCTTGGCACTGGCAGCATAGTTCGGGTGTGCCGCATGCGCCTAACTTGCATCTCAAATCATTGCGCCCCTAAATGACCCCGGATACATTGCTTGGACCTCCCTTAGCTCATTTCCAAACGCCCTTGCCTCCACATAGCTAGCTGGATCCCCTACACCCGACCTTGCTGTTGCGCCCACAAACAGCTTGGTGTTTGTGTTGGCAAATTCCACGGCTATTCCAGGCAGAATCCCATGCATAACAATTGCACAATCCTGTTTGCTGCATGTACATTGAGTTGCCGCACCACCCATTGGTGTAGAACTGGATGAAAACCATGTCGATATATGTCCGTGACAGCACATTGCTGCGATTTGTGTCAGGGTACGGGCACTGCGGTGCTGCAGACAGGTAATAGTTGTTGTCCTTTGCTGCCAGTATTGTCTCAGCACATGGGTAAACTGTACAGCATCAAAGGTTTACGAAGTCTGCTCGAGGTCCTAAGACCACACCATCAACGACTGCATTGCCAAACGGTCGCTATACCGATGACCCTTCCATAAACCCCCCATATTTGTCTCGCAGCTGTACCTGCATCACTATTGAGTCTTAATGCAGGATCTCCTATTGATAATACCACGATTTTGCCACATGCTTGGTATTTCCTTGATGTTGCATCTTAAATCGGGACAATACATCAGCCATATGCCATGAAATGCTGTTATTATGTTTTGCCAGTAGCCGCAGCTATTACTAAAGTCTAGTGTTGGATTTCTCCCCAGACAATTGAGGATGTACAGATATGAGTGGAGAGTAATATCCATTTTGCCATTGTCGCAGTAAGTGCCTAGCAGCTTCTGGTTAGGCAAGCTGTGTGATCCAGTACCGTTTTGTCTCTAATATATGGCCATACCTGAGTTGCAGCTGAGATCAAATTTAGAACATGAAGCCAAGGGCATGCTAGCCAAATTCCCTATAGCAGTGTAGGTAAGTAATAATTATTTGTGATGATTATATAAATATGATATTGGATAAATAGGATATTTGATTTTGTAATATATACCTATAGGAATTAACTAGTAATTACTTAAGGCTTCAGGTAGCTAGGGATCTCTCAGTTTAGTATATATCTCTTAAAAGTATACTAGGATAGGAAAATGTAGAATAAGGTAGAGATATAATAGATAAAGGGATATCTCTTACCTTAATAGAGGCCATTCATAGTTAAGAGTATTTAGAGAAACTAATAAACTTTTATTAGAATAGCCAATTACTAAATTATAAAGTATTTACTAGTAACTAAGAGATATTTCAAAAGCCAGAATAATTAGTATAAGCCAAAAAGATAATAGCAACTAGATTAACAAATAAACAAAAATGCAAGAAAGGGCACTTCTACAAAACCCCTATCAGTATCCTAAAAAATTTCAGTTGATTTCTTATAACCCAGCCTCTATCTTAGTAGAAGCATATTAATTGCATATTAACTGAAATTCTTTAGGATACTGATAGGGGTTTTGTAGAAGTGCAAAGATAATAAAAGAATATAAAGTTTTAGAAGATTTAAATATATATTACCTAGTTTAGTAACTATAAATAACCTCTATATACTACATAGTAGATTTCTAACAACCAATTTTAAATTATTTAGTATTGTACTATATATTGACCCACCTATTACACCTTTGCATATGAAACCAGCTGGTTCACTGCATAGGACTAAAGGCGATGCGAAAGTTGGAGAAACATGGCAAACAAAATGCCTATGGGCAATTACAGATTGACTAATCAGTTCCTATCTCTCAATCACATACAATTGAAAAACTTGACTATTGTCATGTCGTAATCGGTCCACAGTTGGACCACGACAATGGTTACACATCAAGGGGTTTTATTTGTCTTCCTTTTTTCTTTTACTTCTCTTCTCTTCTTCGTCACATGCCGCTGTTCCGCTATCAGGACGGACCGCCCCTGACTATCGCCGGTCGAGTTGGCGCCCACGAATGGATTCGTGGCGATGTACCTGGCTCGCGACGTCCACCAACAGATGGCCTCTGATGTGTATACATCGGGTCTATACGGATGCGGGAACACTGTCCCGTGGTCGCCCGGCAGCCGATAGCAGCAAGTAGCATACTCCGTTTGCCGAAGTCCATCCCGCCGAACGAGTATAAATACAGCCACGAACAGTGAGCAACATTAAGTTTTATGGTCTACTTTTTAGTATATGATCTCGTTAAGGAAACAGTTCACTGAGTTATATTTCTATTTAGTTTTCCAAAGATAGTTAGGACTGTTACTGTCGAAGTAGTAGATTACCTCGCAGATTTCCACGAACGAGAGAAAAGAGCTTGGTAGTTTACTATTTCACTAGGATATCTGAATTTCCCGCGACCATTATTATTAGTATTATCATCATTATTACCGTTTATTCACGGATATTGTATTCAAGCAAGACCATCGACTACAATGTCCTTCATGACCGATCCAGACAGTGCTGGTGATCGACCCACTGATCAAGCCTCTCCTTCATTCCTTTTAAACCCCACATTATCGAAGATTCGACTGGTTCGGATATGGCGCGTTGATAGTTAAGAGGTATAATTGATGCCTTCCAAGCATTAGTCCCGGGTTCGATTCCCGGTCAACGCACATCTCTTTTGCCCTTTTCGCAGTGTTGTATTTTTTATCACCTGGTACTATCATCAATCCTGCTGGACGACAGGAGTTGCTGTGCTGATGCGCATTCGTCCTAGTGCCCTTGTTTTCAGAATGTAGCATTATTTTTTAAAGCTTTTAAGCGAATGTACTTGACAGCAGCATTGGCATACTTCATCTACACTAGTGATACGCAGCTTTAATAGCTGTGAGAAATATCTAGGCTGTTGTAGGTTTAACCCAGACTATTAAGCGTTTTAGCATGGTTGGTCACATTCTTTGAAAATGGCAAAAATATTCGCTCAATAGCGGTGAAGCAATAAATATGCTACCAGGCATGCCAACTGTCGTGTACGCTGTTGCCACCAGGTTGCTGCCCTGGCATTGTCGAGCACTAGTATTACTCGATACAACAGCTGCGAGCAGGCCTGTGACTTGGCGCAGCCAGCACACACAGGCACAGCTAGACAGATGCAATAATAGCGTTACTCTCCGGCTTTCTCTGATATACTTGGGGGTGGGAGAGGGTGGGCGTCGCCTGGAGGTAGTGCAATACCAGGGTCACCCGCGCCAACACCAGATATGCAAGCAGGGATCTGGCATGTTGGCATGCCCATGCAAAAAATTGCTGAACATAGGTTTTTCAGGCCGGAGCCCGAATCATATATGTTACTATATGAAGAACATGTTACTAAAAAATGATCGAAGCCATATGGCTTGAACGGAGTGTAAGGTTTCTTTACGCTTCTCCCGGCGCGGTCGCCACTTTATACCCAGCTGCCAATGTGGTGAGTTGTGGGAGACGTGTCACATGTGCCATGCACGGGGTCTGGTAGCCCACCATTGGTCCGATCTTAGCGCATAGCTGCGTCGCCTGATTGGCTGATTGTGCGCTGTGGCAGCAGCAGCGCATTTGTTGAGAGGGGTTTTCCGCAATTGTTAAATTTCAGGCATTGCTGGGTTGCAAGCTTTGTGCGTAGCCACTTAATTAATCGAAATCAAGGGGTGGAAGCACTGGTGGCAGTAGCCCAGCCACAGACCGCGAGCGACGCCACCCGGATCATCAAATGCCTGCCGCTATGCACCAGAGAACCCAACTATGTAGTCGGACCTGCATCGAGGGTATTACAGCGTATGTGCAATAAGGAGAAACAGCGCATCGAAAACCTGCAACTGATGATAGCTTGCCATCGGACTCTTGCTGAATGCCCATTGCCTCAGCTTCCACGCTACACTCCACGCACCTTTCCATTGCCACAGCGAGCAGTGATGTCAGTGATGTTTGGGAGATCAGTTGCTAAACATTGAAGCCAATTAACCTGACCACGCCAACGGCTGTCCATGCCATCTAGTGGTGGATATCTACATGCAGCGCACAACATTGCTGCTACTTGTGCTAGTCTGAACTTGGGTGTTTAATCTACTGTTGATAATACGAGGTGTTTAGAAGTGGGTGTCAGGTTGCAGGTTTTGTAGTGCAGAGGTGCACATGGTGTTTGAAATACAGTGGCAGCATTATCTGCTAAGCCCGAAGCGGCCGGTGCTCCGGGTACTGGAGCGGCTCCAGCCAGCTACTTTAGAGCTACAGGATTCAATCTCGGCTTTATTGCATGCTAGACCATGTGGTGGGGGTTGCAATAAATGCATGACAGCAACAATGGCTACTCTGTGGTGCTGCGGCTGCTAGCAATATTCCGGCTTATTTTAGAACAGGGGGTATAGGGAATTCATGTCCGGAATTAGCGCGCGCGGGGTTCCTTGTCAGCCACAAGGGAATGCCGTCGCATTAGTGTAGAGTGCAGAGAGATGCGGATGCGGCCAGGCCATTTTCAGGCCTGCGGATTGATTTGTCACCAGCTACGTTGTTGTGCACCAGTCCTCCAGCCGACTGCTGTTCCTAAGGGCCAGGCCACTTTGCCAGCGCTGGCTCTATGTTTGCATCCGTCATCAGTACAAACATGGGGGTCAACGATTGCCCACCGCTCTCTGGTAATCCTGTCAAGTCCTCGCACCAAAGTAGCCTTCAAGTGAACAGCAAGCGCGTGAAGGATCTAAATAGGGACCACACTGGAAGGGACCATTCTATTTTAGGCGCAAAGCCGGTTTCCCCAGGCTTCCCCTATTGTATCCGTCTCGGACATGCACGATGCTGCATACTCTACTCTTGCGTGCGATTGCCAGGAGAGGGCCGGCGCCGTTCTGCGTGCAAGCATACGCTATCGATTTTAGCCTCTCTTTTGCTGCATGCGGTCCAGCGCATCATTCCAGTAGTGGGCAGATTGGGTGGCCAAAAGGGCTGGCTTCTCTGTGTCGGCGCGTATATAATGCCGACGTGCTGCCGCCCTCCTGATTTGCACAGTAGGTCATTCACTCTTCTCGACTCTTCTTACACATCAAGCCCTTTGCGCTGCGACATCTATTTTGCCATTCACGCCCGTAAACGCCAGCCTCTTGTTTATTAACCCTTCATATCCATTTACCAACCAGCGCTCTATTATTAATATGAAAGTGACAAGCAGGTCAATCGTCGCCACACTTGTGGCATCTGCTATCGGCACCACAGCCTCGGTGGTGGATCTTTCTGGTGGGCACCCAGCCGGTGTAAGCGGGCTACAGGGCATGAAAGACGCACAAATGGCCAACACCACTAGGACGGTGCGGTCATTGCAGACACGCGATACACGCTACACCTGCGACAGCGCTTTCATCGACTTCTCAAAGCCTGATGCGCTCAGCAAGTTCAGCGTGGCATGGTGCCCGCAAAACACATACCTGACTGGCACATCGGTGGCCATGCGCCTGACGCCCGAGTGTGGCACGACCATGATCTACCCGTGGGACTTCAAGCACGGCAAGATGGAGGCACGGGTGCGCATGGCCGCTGGAAGTGGTGTGGTGTCGACGATTCTGTTGGCCGGGCCTGAGCCTGCCGATGAACTCGATGTCGAGTGGGTCGGAAAGGACACGTCGGACTGTGCAGACAATGTACTTTGCCAAAGGCCAGCGCGTGGATCCCAATGCCTGGTACTTTCATACGCCTGGGGACGTCCCGCAGGACATGTCGGCCACATACCACAACTATGCCATTGAGGTGACCCAGAACACTATAAAGTGGTGGATTGACGACTGGCTGGTCCGCACTCTGAACCGCGTCGATGGCGTTCCATTCCCAAGCGATGCCAGCCGTGCCCGCATGGGTGTTTGGGATGGCTCCAAGCAAGGCGGATGGGCTGGCACTGTCGACTGGAGCAAGGGGCCATTTATTGCCGAAATGCAGTGGTTCAAGTTCACACCATACTGCTAGATAGCTGCTTTCCACGTTTCGTCAATCTCAGTTGTACACAACCATTCTAGCAGCAAAGTTTTGTGCTTGGCGTTGGCATCAGGGTCCTGTTTGGTGCCGGAGCCATAGAAAGCCAAGGCAGCTCTACAGTCGATCCGTGTAATGGCCACAAAGTGAGCAGCTCGGCACCCAAAGATCAGTTCACCGATCACATACCGTATATCCATGGTTCTTGGTGCTCATGTACTCATTGGTTGCAGCCAGAGACCAGTAGCAGCCTTTGCAGATTCTGTGAGACAAGTGTATTTTTTTTAACTAAAAGGCTAATGCTTTTGTCTGCGCAAAGAGTCAAAGGCCATTAGTTCAATGGCATGTGGTATACTAGGCTGCGGCCCTAGGACAAAAGAGAAGTGTGCAGTAATATAATCAATCTTCTGTCATCACTCAATTTGGCTAGTCCAGGTATACTCTTCTTGCGTATAGCCATTGGTACCCGTAATCAGCTGGTCAGCAACATCATGGATGTCATAAGTGTGCTCAGCGAAGGGCCCAGATGTGCAAGAAGCACTGCCATAAATATGTCCAATGTATTATGTGCACCTTTCATAGCCATCCACAATTTCTGCAAGATTACCTGGTTGGCCTGCTGCCCAAGTTTTTGGTCGCGATATTCCTCGGTACTAAACACTATCATCTTTACAGTCGCCATTGTCGCTGCCATAGCCTGGGCTGTTCCATTGGCTGCTGTATCTGCCTTTGAAACAGCCAGCATGTGCTGTTGAACAATGTATCTGGTACCGAGACAGCTACTCCTAAGACGCTTGCGTTTGTTGACTGGACACGATATCGGTACACCGCAGAGACAGGGTAACTGACTGCACAGCAGTGCCCGCAACAGTGTATGCCCTCGCGCCTGGGGCCAGTTTAGTCTGAGTGCCATCTCTGGCGAGGCAAATACAAAGGTGGTTCTGCTGGTAGCTAGATTGTGGTTCAGGTATTGATATAGGCGTGGGTTCTGTGGTGGAGCTGGTGAGGTTGCGAGTCCAGCCATAGGCCATCGCCACTGTGGTTCTATGGTGACCCACAAACCGCATTTTGGTCTCAGAAATCGCCTTTCCTCGAACACTGCTATTAATTATCAGGCGAAGGGTGGATTGGCCACTACCTGGCATGTAAGTGGAATCCACTTCTTTTCATTTCATTCCAGTCACTTTTTATTACGTGTAATAAGGTTACGTATGGAAGATTAACTCGACAGGTTGAGCATTTGTCAGCCCGGGGTGTTGCCCCTACATGTAGATGTATTGGCTAACGACCTGGTGTAGAATTGCAGTCATAATAGTTTCCTCCTGACTTGCGCGAGGGTTCATGGTTTGGAAAGAGGTGTTTATCTATATATACCTGAGGTACCTATTATTTCCAGGCTCTCGGCCATGTCTCACTAGTAAGACCGCTGCGGATCAGCTTGCTGACATGAGGAGAAGGTTCGGATGCAGGCTATAATTACGCTCTTTGGGCGGGTTTGGGGGATGAGGAGAGATTCTGTGATCATGCGCATTGTGCGAATGTGGAAACTTGGCACAGGCAGTCTAAACGGAACTAGATTTTATGTCTTGGCAACACAGCAGTAATGGAGATAAAAAATCCGCCCACTTGCTCCGCCCCTGAACTCTCTTGAAACTCACAAGCTCACCCATTCCCAATTACATACTGTACCGCCTGAATTTACCATTTGAACTATTTTAAAATGGCAACAACACACCGCCTTTTGGACACAAACGATGAGCCACCGCCAACATACACGCCGTTCCCGCGGCCTGAAGAGCAGTCAATAGACGCTGGCGCTGGGGCGCCAATAGTGAGAGCAACACCGGCGCACGTTGTCATAAACCCGTCCGACCCACGCAGCGACTATGCACGCGAGTTCTTTGGCACACAAAACGTCACGTATCCGCCGTCACGTTCGGCAACTATAGGAGGCCCGCTGCCGCGCAGCCGCGGTGTGCCGCCCAGGCTGCAGTTTGGGTACGAAAATATGGCAGGCCCGCAGGCGCGGTCATCAGCTCCACAGACGCCCGATGCGACTGGTGATGCGACCAACCCGCTCTACCGGCCAGTAACCGCTGACGTTCCGCTGACGTCACAGCATGTATCGACCTCAGTGCCGCCAGTACCAGGGAGATACATGGCAGTGAACGACAGCCGGACGCAGACGCGGGTGGTGAGTCAGCCGAGCACCTTACACTATGGCAGCTATCCGGGACATGGACATGCTGGTCAGCCACCGGCGGGCCCGATGCCTGGGAGCTGGGGCAGTGGACTGCAGGGCGGATATTCAGCGGTAGCAACGCTGCCCGCAAATGTCACATACAGCGTGTGCCCGCACTGCTTAAACTCTGGATGGGTGCGCAGCAGTGTGCCATGTAACTGTGTTGCTGGCGTGGTTGCACGCGACCAGTTTATGCGGCCGCGGCCAACAAATTTCTTTGACGCCATCAACGGCCTGTTTGATCCGCAGCGACACACCTATACGGTAGCCTATGGCCCGGTTCTGCCGGTTCCGCCGGTTCCGCCTAGAAGTGGGGCAGCCCCTCCGCCGATGCCGCCCAGAGACATATCATACCAGCCCGAACCATTCTTTGCCCCACATGTTCCGGGGTCTGGCCAGCTGTGCCCCAATTGTCGTGGTAAAGATTCACTCACCTTGATTCCAGTGGGCACCCAGCACGGGTAGAGAAAAGCTGGCACGATCTCCCCATTGCCGCACTTGCATGGGTCTTTCCAGAAACAGGGACACAGGTGCCAGCAGTATACTCGCATTATGCATGGAAAACTAACATCCTATCTCTATTGCCTTTATTGTGTAATTGTAGGCCAGGCGTACTTTCGAACGCCTGCAGCGCGAGATTCGCCAGTGCGCATGGAGGTAGAGCGCAACTTCCAGGGCCAGCCACCGCCGCCGTGTGCCGTGTGCCATGATGCAGGGCGTGTGCCGGCCACGCCGTTATAGTAGCATATTACATGTCCATCCCCCATCTGCTAGAAACGCGAGGGGTTTAATGAGTTGTTGGTAGATACGAGGAGTTGAGGCAAAAATGAAAATATGACACACTGCGCTAATATAGACCGTACTAGAGAGCGGGGGAGTTTTTTGTTCAGAGTTTCAGGCGTTCTGGCGCCGAGCTGTGCCGATATGGCACGAGTTGACCTTGGTCGCAAACTGCAGCGAGCATAGCGACTCTTGCGTGCTGGCCGGACTCGGGTTGACGCACACAAACATTAGCGTTTTCGAGTTGCCGCTGCCCAGCGACTCCTGCAGCAGGTGCGTCAGCTTCGAGTTCCGGTACGGCACGTGCTTGTTTCCCTTGGCCAGCGCTGAAATGACGTCGCCCAGGCTCGACAGCGACTTGTTGATCGCCTGCGTTTCCTTGAGCCGCTCGCCGCGCGAGCCCGAGCTCGACAGCCGTTCGGAGCCGGCCAGGTCGATTAAATTCAGCACGCCCGATGACGACTCGCCTGTTAACTTGTTGGTTCCGTGCAGGTGCAGTGAAAACACGCTGTGCGAGCGCGACGACCGCTCGTTGCAGTTTGTTGCAGCCACAGTGCGGTTCTCTGCAGCCCGGGCCAGCAGCCAGTGCACACGCCGTGCGCTGTCGACCTTCACTGTTGTGACATTTTTAACCCGCGTGTGGCCCTCTGGGTCCTGGTGGATCTCCAGCTTTCCCTGCCTGTCGCTGGCACGATTTGCTGGTGCCAACAGATCTTGCAGCGTCTCGTTGTAGATTTCGACAAACTGACCCTCGAGCACATAGGTCCATCCGCGCTCGGCCAGCTTGCTGGTGGTCTCATAGATCTGCTGCACAGCGCGCGGGATGATTCCTAGTGCCGACTGGTCCAGCTCCTCCGACGGCGTCGCATCCGGCCCCTGCATCGTGTGCGTCTTACCGCTGCCAGTCTGGCCATAAGCAAATATGCACACCGGGTACCCATCCAGTGCTGACTGGATCAGCTGCGAGACCTCGTCAAAGACCTCGTCCTGGGTAGCAGTTGGGGAAAACACCCGGTCAAATTTGAAGGGGAACGTCTTGGACGTGGTTTTCCCCATAGCGTTTTCCGAGCCTTGCACTACCTCTAGCTCGTTGTCGTCGTCGCAGACAGGGAACGAGATTGGAAGGTCGTCAGCCATCTCCTTCTCGCTGCCAAGCAATGGCCGCACGCGGCAAAACACGCGGATGTTTCCCTTCAGCTCCTGGATTGTGTTGTGCAGCTGGCGCCGCATCGTCTCCTCCTTGCGCAGCTTCTCCTCGAGCTCCGGCTACTGTTGCTGTGCGCTCAGACACGTTGCTCTCCAGACCCACTATGTGCATCTCGCGTGCGCTGAGTTTGGTCTCTAGCGCCTCAAGCTTGGCACGCAGTGCGCGCGCATTGCTCTCCAAGTCCGTCTGTGTGGTTGCTTGCTTTGCGATTGTGTCCTCGAGCCGCGCACACTCATCCCGCTTGCTCTGCAACTTGCGCTCAGTGTCTTCCAGCGACTCGCGCAACTCGCTGGTGGTCTTTTCAAGCTTCCGCTTCTCGTCCTGTAAGCGCTCGGTGTCACGGGCAAAGTCACGGCGCTGCTGGTCGAGTTCGTCCTCCAGCTTACGCTTCTCGGCCTTCAGGCTCTGGTCGCGCTCGCCCAGAGATGCATCAAGGCTAGTGATCTTCTTCTCTGCCTCGGCAAACTTGGCCTCAATCAGCTGCTTCTCGAGCTGCAGCTGCGAAACCTGCATCGCATTCTGCTCCAGCTCAACCAGTCACAAGCTTCTTCCTCTTGCTAGTCGTGCGGTTCTTGCGGATCAGATACTGGGTGAACTGCTCCAGATCCTGCAGCCGTCCGTTGTAATCGTCTTCGGCACGTTTGTGCATTACCGGCGGTGGCCCAATCTCCTTGGTTTTCATCGTCGCTTTCCTCATCTTCGTTGCTGCTGCCCTTATTGACAGGTGTTGTCGGAATCTGCGATCTTGCTGCCTATTGCAGGCATATCCAGTCGCCGCCGTTTGTGGGCACCACCAGCGACCGGCTCATTATTACTGGCACGGCCCCGAGTGGTTGTAACACGGCCAATCTTGCTGGATGTTTGGGGAGCACGCGCCGTCGACCGCCGCGCCATATTTGCCGTCGACTCGCCCTTGGGTGATACCGTGAATCCGCTTGCTGACCGTCTCCCAGGAAGCACTGTTTCAGGTTGCCGTTTCCACGACGAACTGCTGGCCTTGATCCGCCAGCCACCCTGGGTTGCGGCCGGCCGTTGCTGGCACCGCGTGTCCCTGTAGATGAAGGCAGCCGTGCCGCCTGCTGGATTCCTGGTCTACGCCTGCTGGGGCCTGCGGTGCCGTTGCTTGTGGACGTGGTGGAGTGGTGTGTGGGTGCGCGAAGGCCACTGTTGAGTTTGCTGGGCGGTACCAGCCGCGAACCAGGAGGTCTTATTCCTGTTGTCTACACCCGTGGAACTTGCGCAAGCAGCGAATTAGTCCAATGCTGCCAAGTCAAAATAGGAAAGCGCGCAACATGTAGTATATCCATAGTGCTTACCATTTTTTGCGCACGAGAAAAAAGGACGTCTGAGTGGGACAGCGGCTGAAAGAAGGACAAAAAATGGTGCGTTCGACTTTTTCTAGGCAAAAGTGTATTGCGCGAGAGAAATAAAAAAAGTGGGGCTGAGAAGATCTCGCTACAATCCGCTTTAGTTGAGCCAAAAGTGCGCTTTTAACGTAAACAAGCATTTGCTAATCGCAATTACCCTCAGGGTGCCTGATTTCAGAGGATTTATTAAATCAAGACTAGCGTTTTTGGAAGCCGTATTTCTTGCGCTCATAGAACAGGTCGGTTCGCGCAGTGCCCAGATTGACAATCTTTGGGCACCCGTCGCGATCCTTCTCTAGGGTCACACACTCCTTGCAGTAGTAGGCATCAGAGATCCCACGTCCGTCACAGACGATACACCGGCCCTTGTACGTGCCATAGTTGCACTCGTCACAGATGTGCACGAGCTTGGCCGGCCGCACCAGCGAATCGCAGATCACACATTTGCCGTCGCATTTCTCACACAGCCGTCCCGATCGCGATTCCCGGCATCCGTCGGCAATAGAGGAGGTCTGGGTGATGTCTGGCCATGGGTTCGTTATGATACAGTAATGTGAAAGAGTGTATGCGTGGTTCTGAGAATAGTAATAAAAATCACGCTAATGTATCGCGGAGTACAGGTAGGTGTTTACAGATGATGCCCATGTGTTTTGGGAGAATCATTCATCGCTGAAGTAGCTGCCCTCATCGTCATTGCCGCCAACTATCTCCACATCTCCACCGTCGCCATCTGCACTATCTGCACTGGTACTCTTCTGTCCGAGAACCGCTGCATGTCGTTTGTGCTCGCGGATGCTGTTGAGCGCGGTGCGCAAGTCTTCCTCGGCTTGGTCCAGCGGGATTGTGTCAATGGTGCTGTACGACGAGCCAAATGGACCAGGAAACACAACATCGCTGGTTGTTTGTTTTTCGCCTTGCTCTTTTGACGGCACCAAAGGGTTCTTACGCCGCTGCGCCGTTGCACCCAAGCGTGGAAGCTGTGGTCTGGCTGCGAAATCGCCAATCGACGGGAGTGACATTTTTTTAATGATCAAACAAGGAATTGGAACGCAAAAAGGACATTTGTAAACGGGTATACTGCCCATTCGTCACCAGCTGGCTTGCAGCCATCAGTGAATCCATATATGGGGCGGGTGGGCTATAATGTATTCAGGCCGCGCACCTCAATAACTTAATCTGCTTCTGGCTGGGCAACACCATCGTGCTCGGGCCCACTAACTCGCTGCTGCTTAGGTGCTTTCTCGATCAGCACCACCACGTCGTTGGCCGCCTGCTCCTCTGAGTCCTCATCGTGTGCTCTGTGCTTCCTCTGCATGCGGAACTTTTCCAGCAGCGAGTCGTGCACGCACCAGATGGGCCGTGTCGATGGCGGGCGCTTTTCCTTGACAGCGTGCTCATGGATCAGTCGCTCCAGCTGCGCCTTCGATGCCTCGGGGACCCGAGTCTTGAGCTCGTCCACCAGCTTTGCTACGCCTAGTGGCGACGCATGCAGGACCTCAACCAGAATACGCAGGACATCGTCGGTGACCTCGATGTCCTTGCGGTTGCCGCCATCGGCGCCCTTGTTTTCCTTGTTGGTCAGCATCGGCTGCGGGTCGATACTGATGGTCAGCGGCATTGAACAATCGATACAAGTGACAGTCAATGCGGCCAACGCGCGGGCACGTGGGTCGTCGGCAGGCAGCTGGTCGCTGTCGTTCCATATAGGTCCTACTACGATAGGTGCCAGCGGCATGACCTTCTTGCGTCGCGGCTGCACCTGCTTATCGCTCTGGTGCTTAGGCGTTAGATGCCGGCCGCTGTGTGCGCTGGAGCGGGGCTGGTGTGCCGACCGCGTCGTAGGCTTGGTCTCCTCGGCCGCTTCTGGCTCTGGCAGAGCTAGATCAGCACCGACCTCTTCGTCCGGATCAATATCCTCCATGACCTCCTCCTCCGATACATAATCGTCCTCCGTGTCCGAGTTCAGTCCATTGTGATCCAGATCCTCCTCCTCGTCGCCGTCATCATCATCCTCATCACCAAGCGCAGATGGCCCACCAGAAAACTCGGTAATCACGTCGCTGTCGCCGACAATAAAGTCTGTATCATCCTCCTCATCCTCCTCATCCTCGTCGTCTTCGTCATCTTCGTCGTCACTCTTTAGCTCCTCACCTTCATCGTCCTCAATGCACCACTCCCCATCGCTGTCAAAATCGTAGTCCAGTGCTACGCTGTCACGGGCAAAGGGTCGCCGAGCGCTAACCGATTTGAGACGACGGCTCCATGTCCCCCAGTAGTCTGGCCGCCGGTTGTCGTAAAAGTGCAGGCATTTCATTGGCATAGAGCGTAGCCGGATCAAGTGCAGCTCAGCGTCATCGAGTTCGACTCCATCGCAAACAGCTGGTGGCTGGTCAGCAACAGCACGCCGGCGCGCCTCACACTCTGTGTTTGCTCTTGCAGCACTGTTCTTGAACTCAGCCAACAGGCAGCTGACATCGGTGTTGCTTGCTGATTGGGTTGCCTGGTTGAACCTGTCCTCACTGAACGTCGTAGGTCGCTGATAGCGATACATGGTTGCGCTCTGGCGAAGGTGGAACGGGTGAAACATTGCCTCGTAGCCAGACTTTGGGTCAGATGCGCTGGATATCTGCTCTACAGCCTGCTTTTTGTCCTTGTCGCTGCCCTTCTCCAATGTGAAAAAGTTTACAAGGCTCTTCTGGCCCCGTAAAATGTTCTTTGGCCGTTTTGGCGAAGCTAGATCCTGAGCAGCTTGCTTACTGGGTTTCGAGTTGGCTGAGGTTGAGCTGTCCATTAAGGCTGGTGTCGCCGCTGCCTCGCCTGTTCCTGTCGATTGCTTACAAGGGGTGATCCGTGCCTTCTTCAGAGTCCCTGCCAAAATCTGCTGCCGCGTCTCCTCATCAACCGTGGTGAACCACTGTGTGCACTCAGCCTGTGCCTCAGCTCGCCGTGCCCGCCTCTTTTTCACCGCTGAGTGCACGTCTTTGGGCAGCATTTCTATGTCCTTTACTTCCCATCGATATGTTGCCAGTGAGTGTGGCACATCGGCTGTCTCGGGCTCGCAGCACTGCCGAACTGCACTTGGCAGCACACCGTAGTTCCTGTGCTCAGCAATATCGGCAATAGCTGTCTCCAGCGTACTGGGTGCAAATACTGGCATTGTGCTTGTTCCCCCGTCCTCGTCGACGACCATCGGGCAGATTTGTGCCTCAACGATCTTGGCAAGCGTGGCGATGATGTTGTCCTTCTCTTGGACGATCAATGCGATCAGTGGATGGAATGCGGTAGGCACCTCTGTCAGCGGTAGCGATTTGCTTTCAGTCAGCTGTGCAACGAGCTGGTGGAAATGATATGTTGACGCGATTGCGGCTGGGTGCCGCTCCAGCGCCAGCCGTTTCTCACTGAGCGCCAGACCGACCGTTTTTGAATATGGCTAGTGCTCGAGGCTGCTCGTCATGCTGATGCTGCTGCGGCTGGCCGTTTTCATCTGTGACTGGTGCTGCTGGCGCTGGCTTTTTGCTCTTCTTTGCCGATACTGGATTCTGCTGCGGGGTTCTCCTCAACGGCTACGACCGTGATCTGGTCGACGGGTTGGACTGTGTCCTCGTTCGCGTCGCCTATAAAGTTGCTGATGAGCAGGCACATTGGGTCTCTTTGCTGTATGCCAATTGGCCTCGCAGCTCCTTCCGTGAGCTCTATACACCTACCCTCGTCAGCTTCTGCTCGACCAAAGAACCGCTTTATCGATGCACGCTTCTTCGGCTTTGCGTTTCCAGGAGAATCGCCGTCAACTATCATTTTCGCGGAAAAGTGATGCGATTACAGAAATATGGAGAGGAAAAACCAAAGGAAAAACGCTTAAAGGCAGAATTTTCGTCTTGTTGTTTGGCATTGCCGCGCACCTTGTTCGTGGGCTGATATGGGGAAGCCAGCTGGATGGTGGGGGCTTAGAAAATTGATGTGGAACAAGCAGGCGGTGTATCGAAGTCCCAGACGGGAAACGGTGTTAAAAACCGCAAAAGATGACAGCGTGATAGGCCGCTGAGAATCACCATTGCGCCATAGAAATACATCTCTGCCACTCAACCGGCAGGCGAGTAGTTGCTAGTTGGAGGACGGCAATGGGTTGACAGGGCGAGGGTATGCGAGCCACGTGTGGGGTCAGAAGGACTGGTCCTTGCCCTTGCTTGTCAGCTTGCCAACGTACGCGATGTTATATGATGCATTAACATCACGATTCCAAATCGTGTGGCAAGTGGTGCAGCGCTGGATGTATAGTGGACGCTTGGCTTTGTGATAGATATGTTCATCATCATATTCATTGCCAGCGCTCACAAGCTTGGGCGGCCGCACATCGTCAGGCCATGTCCACATTACACCTGGTCATTGCAGCTTTTGCCGTTATATCAGCGGCTTGGCTTTGGACTGCGTATGCTAATGTGCCACTTTGACAAAAGTGTAATATCCTAGTAACGGGTATATTGCAATTCAGAAAGTGCAGCCCTCAGACATTATTGCTAGTAATTTGGAGTAGTTCTGAGATAGTCAAAGTGCACGCATAGCGCCTACGATGATGGCCAGTTGCAATAGATGGACGAACCCGTCTGGAAGCACGCTGTTCCGGAGCCGCACCCCTGCTGGAGCCAAGCGCCGTTGATTGCAGACAAAGTACGCCGGGTTCTTTCCGCTTGAGTCAGCACACTGGAATGTGCCCTGTGATGAGCATGGTCCGCCAGCCACCGGTCCAGTACCAGCTGTCGTGGTGGAGGCAGGTGCAGATGTTGTAGCTGGAGCAGAGGTAGACGTTGTGGCAGGTGGAGTAGACGTTGCTGTTGTTGGAATAGGATTTAGGTCGAGGATGTACTCGAAGCTGGACCCGTAGTTGTACTCGAAGTTGGACCTCGTGGTCGTAGTCGTTGAGGACGGCGGGTTGGCAGAGCACCGGGACCCGGCCATCAGCGCCTGCTTTGCATTGGCGGCATAGTTCGGCGATGAGCCATATGCCCAGCTCATATCCCACATCATTGGCGCCGCCGAATGACTGTGTGTAGTTTCCTTGCAGCTCCTTAAGTTCTTGTGCAAAGAACGATGGCGACACGTACGACGATGGGTTGCCTGCGCCTGATCCTGCCGTGGCACCCACATACAGCTTCATGTTTGGGTTGGCAAACGATTTGTTCTGCCACGCATCCTCCCACATGTAGTAATTCTGCGCCTGCGGCCAGTGCGGCAGGCCGTACTTTGAGTTGTCGCACCAGCCCGAGTTGTAGAACTGGATAAAGGCCATATCCACATGCGCGCCGGTCAGCACCTTGTGCAGGTTGGCATCTGGGTACGGGCACTGCGGGGCCGTTGTCAAATAGTACTTGCGCGAGGTAGGGCTGGACTTGTAGTACTGGTTCATGTTGTTGGCGAATTGGACGATGTCCATCTGCGAGCTCTGCTCAAAGTCAAGATCGACACCGTCAATGATTGCGTCGTCGAATGGACGATATTGGGAAGACCCCTCCATGAATAGGTCCCAGACCTGCTTCGAGAACGTAGCCGCGTCAGAGTTGAGCTGCGCAGTGGCACCGCCGATTGAGAGCAGCACGATCTTGCCGCGCTTCTGGCACTTCTTGATATCGGCACCCATGTCGGAGCAGTGCATCAGTTCGGTACCCGGGAACACAGGCACTGACGAGTTTTTTGTATAGTCGCAAATGTTGGCAAAGTTCAGAACCGGGTAGCCGCCGGCCCCCTTGAGAATGATAGAGGAAGGACAAGAGGATGATGTCGACGTTATCGTCGTCGCAGTAGGCACCGAGGGGTTTCTGGTACGGCAGTGAGCCAGATGCACCGCTGTTCTGGCCCCAGTACACTGCGACGTTGGAATTGCAGTTGGGGTCAAACCCCAGCACACCAAGGACGATGTTGGTGAAGAGGAGGAAAAGGGGAGTTGCGAAGTTCTTCATGACGAGCAAGGAAAGGCCTGTTGAGTAGTAGTGTCGTATCCCGTCAAGGGAAGTTGGTCGAGATAAGGAAAAACCGTAAGAGTAGAGGACCGGTCAGTAGCAGAGGGGAGGGTGAAGTTGTCCATTTGCAGGCTGAATGCCGAGTTGCCTTTTTATATGCTCAGTCAGGATGCCGAGGTGGCTTCAGCGAGGGCGGGTTGGCAGTATTTGCCTGCTTGATGCCATGCTCTGGTATTTACTCCCAATAAAACAAACGAACCTCCTGCTGTACGAATGGAGTATGCTTCCTGCTTTGTGTGTCATGTCACCGAACCACCATGAGCATGTAAAGGACCGAATGATCTACATGTGCCATTCCTTTCCACCTCTGGCACGCAGTATTAGGGCGTGACCAGCAATTGCCCGTGATTCAATTGTACGTTTAATATACGCGCGGAGACTAGGTGCACCCAGGGCCGGCTGCCAAGCATGTTCTGTCAACCATGCGAGGACAACTAGCTGGAAGGCAGTCTGTGGCAATCTTGTACTCGCTTCCAGCTTTGCACACGCATGTCATATGACCCGAAATCGCCTCCTTCCTTGTCAGTGTATGCCCGGGTCCTGCTGCAAGACATATTAGCGCATGCAGACCGCTCCGGTCTTACAGTCGGGCTATAATAGGGACATCTGTTCGGATGTGCGTGCAGCATGGGCGGTCCATCCTTGCTGATTACACGCAAGCTTACTAGCTTGTGTTCCATCTCAAGCAGCAATCTTGGTTGGGACATCCAATGTGACCCTACAACTTTTAGCATGCCACTGCAAATCTACAGCAGCCTTCCACCTTTGATGGACATTGCGCGGAGGATCTTCGCCGAGCGTGCATTGGACTATGAGCATTTCTGGTTCAGTCCGGTATGGCCAGAATGGATGCTACATGTTTCAAGCTTACAAACCGCCTGTAGCATGTTGGCATACCCCATTTCTGCAAATGCTGCAAATGCTGCAAATGCTAGATTTGATGACACTCATCCAATTAGTGCCTATGGTTCAAGAGGAAAACCCGATATGGATTGGATCTTGGGCTGCGTAAGTCTTATGTGTATAGTATTCGATCTTAGTGACTAATGGTATGTAGATAGCAAGTGGTATTCCCACGTGAGATATCCAAGTGTCTATATCAACATCCACATTAGCACAGCTATATTCAGGTAGAATCGGAACGACCAAATGGCCGCATGGTGTATGCAAACGTGCTGCTATTAATATGTTTGATTTATTAAAGCATTTCCTGGACCCACTTGCCATTGGAGTCGGTTTTGATCATCATTGCTGGGTAATGATAGCCATCGAGTGTGATATGCTGGTTGCTTACATTCCCGCGCTCATCGACAAGCTGGATCTTGACCAACTGCTGCGGGGGAGGTCCAGTCATATCTCTGGCAAACCGCTCAGCCGCAGCTTTGCCTACAGTACGCTTGATTACCAAGACAAAGTCGTCGATGTTGCCGATGGAAATGCCATTGACACAGGTGATGACTTGCGGGCGGTGGATATGGTTTGCAGGTGCTGCAGCAGTAATACGGCCAAGATACACGCCTGAAGTGGGCCAATTTCCATGGCTGCGGATCTCCTCGGTCAACTCGCGGATGCACATTCCCGACCAGAACACCACCTTGTCAGGCATATCTGCAGGGTGTATCTTGAGCGTCGGCTTGGTCAGAGCCACTTCTTGGCCATCACGCAGAATGAGCAGGCTGGTGGGCATTTGGTCGTAAAACACGGCAATTTCAGACATGCTGTGCACGTACTTGCCATCCAGCTTAAGGACTATATCATCAACGCGCAGCAGGCTGTCGTTGACGGTGCCATTCGGATCGACGGTGGGCTCAACTCGAGTCCCAGTTCCTGGCGACAGCGAACACCATCCGTGAGTCGCTATTCATCATCAGCTCAGCGATCCTCGCAGTGCTCAGCCCGTATGCGCGTGCGTCCAGTAGACTGATAGGGCTGAATTCCGTGTTAAAGGTTGCTCGAACCGGGTGTGTGCCCTTCTTTAGCGCGTTGATGATCGGGGCAACAGTGCTCACATCGGATAAAAACAGAGTCGTGAACCCCTCGCCACACGAAGTCGGAGCGGGAATACCGTGTCCAGAAACCGCACACGCTGCCGCTCGTATTGCACATGAGGATGCTGTTTGGGTTAGGCGTAGCGTCTGTGGGCACAATGTCCTCAATGTTCAAGATGTGGCGACGCTCAGGGTCGATCTGGTCCATGGAGATCGGGCAGCGGGCTGAAATGCGCGTTTCATGTACCGCAGTGGTGAAGCGGTCCACCTTTGACAGCAAGAAAACAGTGTCACCCGGCACCGGCTTGGATCTCTGATCAAAATTGTAGAACACGGCCTCCTCAACCGCGCCAGGAGTCAATAGAGAAACGTCGTACTTTAGCACAACAAAGCAGCTGGCTGGGTCAATATAGGCGGCCGTTGCCGGAATAGAAATGGTATCGGCAATTATGATCATGACCTCGCCCACTGTTGTCGGAACCGCGACCTTTGTCGCAGACTACCAGGCCGTGCTCTTTCGATGCAACAAAACCGTAGCCACCATGGAGGCGAGTATGATGCAGGCTAACTGGTGCAATGCTGGTGAACGCAACCTTGACGATTGATGAATGGGCTCGGTTGAGATGCGCGTACTGTTGCGGCAAGCGTCCAGGAATCACCGAAGGCTGTTGCTCCGAAGTAGAACTGCTGGTCTCGGGCAGAATACGCGTGGTTGACCAGTATCCGCTAGCCCTGTCGCGGGTCATCAAGTCCATGGGAAACCCAGTGGACCAATGTGGGAGAACGCTCGTGTGCGGCTTTGTCGGGGCATCCATGCTGATGGTTGTGAATAGAATCGATTCAGACTCACGCAGCTTGGGCAGAATGTCGAGCAGCTCCGACATTGTGCGTGTTGGCTTGCGGTTGATGTGCGTTATGATGTCACCGCGGCTGACCCGAGCGTGAGCAAAGAGGCGGTTGGCGTCCGCAACCATGATTCCCTCAACAGGGAGACACTTGACACTGGCCGTGTTGAGTGAGACCTCGTGCAGGATGGTGGTAGAGAAGGTATCGGGGTGGCCATAGCCAATCTTCACCAGCTGCGTAGGGTTGAGCTGGAATAGGTCGTGAACGCTAACAGACACCTCGAACTGCTGGTTGTCGCGGTATGCGACAATGGTGATGCTCTGACCGACACATGAGTCAAGAATGTCGGTCAGAGCGTCAAAGTCAGAAACAGGCTTGCCGTCGGCAAGCGCCAGAACATCACCCTGCATCAGCTTCTGGAATGCCGGGCCACGTGGCACAGTCGACTCGATTTGCAGCAATCCTTTTTCTTTCCTGAACTCGCCAGACATGGCGATTACCTCGTCTACCGGAAACCCGATGCGCTCGAGCTCAGATGGCTCCTTGCGCACAAGCACAGCCTGAATTGTGCCTCTGGGCGGGAGCTCACCATCCTGCAGAATGGCCAGTGTCTTCTTTGCCTGGTGCAATGGCAGCATCATAATATGCCGGGAGGATGAGCTGCCGCCGCCCACAATCGCCAGCGCCTTGCCGTCGACATCCAACACAGGTGCGCCTGATGAGCCACGTGAATTCATGGTAAGCGACGTATAGTACACCGTGTTGACGTCAACAAGCTCCAGGCCATTCGAGCTGTACTCGGGCGGGCCGCGCATGACATCGTCTAGATATCCTACAGCAGAGGAGAGCTTCTCACCATTGTCGTTTCCGACCACCATGAACTCGGTGTTCCGTCGTGCCTTCTCGGGGGCGAGCTCAATCTCGATGGGCTTGGTTTTCAGCATAGATGGTTCATACTTGAAGAAGGCATAGTCATGAAGCGGGTCGTAGTACCACGGAGCAAGCTGAACCCAGTCGCCGTTGAAGAACTTGGCAGTGTGGGTGCTGGGGGCAGTGGTCATGACATGGCGGTTTGTCATGATGATTCCGCGCTTAGCATCGACGACAAAGCCAGTGCTGATGTGTGTGTCTTGGCACGCAGTGTCAAAGTGCAGATGTACATTGGTGGTGATGAACACAACCGCGCTGCAAGCGATGCGGTTTACCCTGTTCCACTTGGAGAGGTTCGGCAGAGTAGTGGGAGACGGCATACCTTTTTTTTTTTTTGGTTTCTTGAGGGAAAAGTAGCGGGTTGGTGTCGTAGAGGGAAGCAGAACAGAGCTGTAGTTTCCGACAGTTGTGGCAAGCGACAACAGCGGTCGGGATGTAGCCTCGTATTTATAGCTAGGGGATGTGGGTGACAGGATTTGCAACAAAGGTAGCTTCATGCATATTTCTGACTTGGTCATTCGCATATCTGACTCGGGAAAGATGCTATTGTGCAAAAAAGAGATGCCGACGTCAAATCAAAAACTCCTCAATCTGCTTTCGCAAATCGGCTGCGTCGGACGTCTGGTACCTGTGAGTGCTGAACTCTGGGAGGACCGTGCCAGGCTTTGCATCATGGAGAAGATTCTGGCATGAGTAGCAGAGCCGCTGTGTGATATCAATACCACCTGCAGCCAGCTTGGTCTCGGGCTCAGGCTCAGGCTTGGCCCCAGCGGCCACAGGCCCTTCCGACTCAGTCGAGGACACGTCACTCACCGTAAGCCGGTTTCGCCACGTCTGTGCCCCGGCCTCAGCAGGCATCCCACACACAAGGCAATGGACAGCATCTGCCGCATCGTCTTGCGGCTGCAGCTTCGTCACTGTCCTGCATATAGTGGCCACTGTGGATGGAAAATCCCTGTCGAGGGCAACAATAAACGACTCGGTCAGCCGGTCAATGGACGCCTTGGCCGGGGCACCAGTGGTAAAGGTCGGCACCACAGCTGATGGCTGCGCTGTCCACCTGTTGAAAAAAGCAACCTCCTTGGCAATCCACTCACGCATCGGGCGGAGCACAGCAATGTCGCCCCACTGCGACTCAGCCAGCACCTCGAACGGCAATGAGTAGCCGCGGCCGCGGCTGGTATATGTGACAACCTTTGTGGCCATGCGCGTCCCCGAGTCGCCGAGAAGTAATGTCCTGCATCCGCAGGACTGGGCCAGCTTTTTAATGAGGAACGTCTTGATACTGTCCAGCATGTCCTCGCGGTTTGTAGCCGTGCTCAGCCCACTAAACAGCTGCTTCAGCCGCTCCCTGGGTGACACACCTGGGTTCTGTCGCACAATCTGTGCAACAAATTTGTCGCGCACTGCGCCCGGAGTCACTGTCTTCTCGACCAGCTCCAGCCCCTCTTCGCTGTCAAACACGTCCTCGAGCCGGGCTGTCACCACCTCTACATCCTCGGCCTGAAGTATACGCTGCACTCCATCCTCACAGCCCGGAAACAGCGCCGACTCGTCAACGTGCCCGACTGTGACGCTTGCGAATGCGGTAGAGGCAGTCTTACCCTGGCGCCCGACGTTGTGGAAGTCAAGAATCAGCTTCAGCATCGCCATGCTGGTCGGTCCGCCGGAAACAGCTGCCATCAGTTTGGTACCGTGCTGGTTGGCCTTCTGCCGCGACTTGTTTAGCGCTGTGCGGAATTTGAATATTTCTGCCTTCACAAAGCACGGCTTGCAGTAGAGACTCAGCCGGATCGACACGTTTGGCTTTGCTGTCTTGCACTTGATGCACATGCCCGGGACACGCTGGCTTCGTGCCTGCCGTGGGGCAGGATGCTCGCTCTGGTCTACCGAATCGCACATTGGCAGTGAACGCTAAACAAATGTCGAGAAAGCTGGAGAGAAAAAAGCCGACTCTTGAGCCTGGGTCGCTTTGGTCCGGATCCAGGCTGGAGTGGTGCTGATCGCAAGGGCCCTTGATCGGGCGATCAGACAATTAGCCTGTCGAGGTTAGTCACATTGGCAGTCCATGAATCACACTCGGCTTCCTGGTATTGCTCACTAGACTCTCTCTGCACATAGCCCCTCTTCATCTTAGCTTCTCTCCATCTTTTGCCTACTTGCCATGCCGTCGACTTCCTTTGACATCAAGAAACTGGTGCGCCCAAACATCCTCAAGCTCGAGCCGTATCGCTGCGCCCGCGATGACTACAGCGAAGGGATTCTGCTCGATGCCAACGAGAACAGCTACGGCCCCGCATTCCAGACCACCATTGTCGATGACAGCATACAGGGGAACTACGACGCACAGAACCTGCACAGGTACCCAGATCCACTGGGCCGCGAGGTCAAGCAGCGCATTCTGAAGCTACGCCCGGGCGTTCCTGGTATTGAGAATGTGTTTCTGGGCGTGGGGAGCGATGAGGTCATCGACCTGTTAGTGCGCATTACGTGCCAGCCCGGCAAGGATGCAATGCTGATCACGCCGCCGACATATGGCATGTACAAGGTGGTGGCCAATATCAACGATGTTGGCGTTGTCAGGGTGCCGCTGACCACCGATGGCGGCTCATTCCAGCTTGACGTCGATGCGACCATTGAGGCGGCCGTCGGCAACCCGGCCATCAAGATCATCTGGCTGTGCTCGCCTGGGAACCCGACGGGCACGTACCTACGCGAAGCCGATGTTCGCAGGATCCTCGAGTCTGCCTTCTCTGGACTGGTGGTCATCGACGAAGCCTACGTTGACTTTGTGGAGCCATCCAAGGGCAGCTCGTATGCAAGGCTGGTGGCAGAGTATCCCAACGTCTTTGTCATGCAGACCATGAGCAAGAGCTTTGGGTTGGCGGGTATCCGCCTCGGTGTCGGTATCGGCTGTGCTGATATGGTGTATTACCTGAACAATGCCAAGGCACCGTACAATGTGTCGACACTGTCACTGGACGTGGCCAAGCAGGCGTTGTCGGACGGGAATGTGCAGAAGATGCTGGCCGTGGTTGGCAGCCTGCGCCAGCAGCGTGACCAGTACCTTATCCCCGAGCTGCGAAAGCTGCCGCACTTTGGGCAGATTCTGGGCGGCAACGATGCCAACTTTGTGCTGTGCCGGTTTGTCGACAGCAATGGCGTGGCGAGCAACGAGATTGCCAAGGGGGTGTATGCTGAGATGGCCGAGAACCGCGGCTGTGTTGTCAGGTACCGTGGCAGCGACTTGGGCTGCGCGGGCTGCCTGCGCATTACGGTGGGAACCGAGGAGGAGAACAGGACCGTCATTGCGACCATGCGGGATCTCCTGAGCGCCATTCCCTGAAATCCCCCAATTGGCCCGGGGACATGCAGGCGGGCGGATACATGAGGGGTGATGTGATAAACACCAGCAGCACATTATGTGTTCTGCTGTCCAATAAACGTTTTTTCCCCTCTTCATCCAGACATTCGCAAGCGATGCAGTTCCTAAATGCCCTCGCTTTGCAGCCGCGTGCCTCTGCGCTCCAGAAAAAGCCGATGCCCAGCAGCGGCGGCGGCAGTGATAGTAGCAGTGAGCAAAGCGGGGCGTGTGAGAGGCAGCACCCAGCCAGAGGAGCACCCGGCACGTGCAGCGGTCACGCGGGACATTATGCCTGCTGCCGGCCGGCTTGGTTGAACGGTGCTCGCATTTGCCTGCTCCCCGAATCCCAAACACCAGTGCGTCGCTGCTCGGGCGTCTTTTAAACGAGGTGACTGCCGAACGCTGCCCCTTCTTCCTTCAACACTCGACGTTATTTCTAATACCTGTTGTTTTCGCTGCCTCTTGCACCACCACCACTTTTCTCACCCAAGCCACCAGCAGCCTATATACGCTACTGCGCTTTTCGCATCTAACCTTTGTGAGAACAGCAAGCACCCTGTACTTTAAAACAGCACTTCTTTTTTGCTCTTCACACCTGGCACTCTACGCTTCACGCCATGCCAGTTATTACACACAGACGCCTGAGTGAAATGCGCAGCGGACGGCGACGTCTCAGTTCTGGAGGTGTGCTCAGCCCTGCCAGTCCGCGCGCCCGACACAGCAGCATAACCCGGTCAGCTACGCTTCCCAAGGACTGCGACGAGCCCGGCAAACCCGTTGCTGCGCGCCGCAGCTCTATAAACTCGTCCATCTCAGTCGACGGCTCGCCGACAGTGTGCTTTCGCCATCACGACAGTTTCAGCGAGGTGACGTCAATCACACTCGAGAGCGGCGGCGCTGGCGGCGGCAGAAAGCAATATCCGTTCCCACCAATATCGCCGGCTGCAAGCCCCGTGGGCCTTGCAATCCACGACTCAGCACCAGACGACGACACGATGGAGGTGGTCAGCGACGACGACGAGAACCTGGCGCCGCTGAAGAACGAGCCGCTGCCAACGCCAGAGCAGTTGATAATGTCACAGTCCTGGAGCACATGGCCCACAGCGTGCCATGATCTGTACTCGGGGTCGACGTTCTCGGGCATGCAGTCAAATGGCGTTCGGAGCTATGCCGTGGCGGTGACATTCAAATACGTTGACATGGGTGTACCAGAGATGTGTGGCCACTTTACTATCCGCGGTCTGACCACGGAGCTGCCCAAGCTGACGACATTCTTTGACGTGCAGATTGTGGGTACCGGCAACCACAGCTTCCTGACCAAGCAGTGGGACGCAACCGTAGATACCGACCGGACGCACTGGGTAAGTTGGAGACAATGTTGCTGAGTTGGCTTGCTGGTAGTGTCTGCTCACCGAAGCAATCGCGACCAGGCTCGAGGTCAATTGACAACTATGCACGCCATGCATTGCGGGCATTGTTCTCGGATAGCCCCAAGGCACTAAAATACAGCAGCACACCTGCTGCCAAAAACTCACTTTGTAGAGCTTCTTTCGCGGCATTTAAGCCTTACCGCAACACATTTGACCTGGGCGACTTTGCGTACACCATGAATCTGTCGGACAAATTTATATTCATGCGGTGGAAGGAGCGGTTCGTGGTTCCCAACTACAAGCTGAGCCGCATCAGCGGCGCCAGCTACGACGGCTTCTACTACGTGTGCTATGACCGTGCAGCAGCCTCCATCATCGGCTACTACTACCACAAAGACTCTGACCACTACCAGTGCCTACGGCTGGACCATGTAAAGCAGTCTTCATTCCCGCACTTTGAGATTGCATAAAAAGGACCTAGTATGATTTCGTGTGTACGATAGACGGCCCGTTTTCGTTGTATTCGGTCCGTGTGATGTTGTGCTTGCTGTCGTTGAGGGCGATTTTGGCGGTGATGCTGGCGCCCAGCAGGCTGGCTCGGTATCCCATGTTGCGCCAGCCATTGAAGTAATCAGGAATCGGCACAAACTTGATCTCGCGAGTCTGCGAGTTGGCAAAGATATTGCTGGCCGGCAGCACCGTCGCCTCGAGCTCGCGCTCCAGGTGCTCCTGCAGACCCGGGAACCGCGATGACCCGCCGACGAGGTGGATGCTGTCCCACAGCAGCGGGCGCTTGTCGATCTCGCTGCCCAGCACTGCCTGCCTGATCATGGTCGTCAGAGGTGTTGAGCCCTCGGAGCTCGGTGTCAGTAGGACTTGCGGTGCGCTGTGCAGAATGCGGGTCGGCAGCGTATACGTCTTGTCGCCGTCCTTGAACTCGACGGTCTCGAGAGCATTGCCTGGTGCACCAAGCTTGCATAGGCCAGACTCTTTGACTCGGACAAGCAAATTCCTCGGGAACTGTGCTGCCCTCAAACTGGCGCACGACACCTGCATCGCTCTGCAGCTGCTGCAAGAGATTCTGCGTCACAGCCTGCCCGCCAATGCTGCTAATCTGCACGCTGCTGGTCAGTACGCACGAATCGATTATCGGTGTCACCGTTGTGGTCGCGTGCCCAATGTCAATGACAAGGCCCGTCATGGCGCCATTGCCGTAGACCGCCATCAACGGCTGCTCGGTCACTAGGATGGCGGGCGCATTCAGGTGCTCAAACGCAATCTGCGCCAGGTTCTCCAAGTCGGTCTTGGGCCACAGCGGCGGCACACTGAATAGCACAGGGCTTCCGTTGTCAGAGATCTTGATGCTAAACTCTTTGGTCACAACATACCGCAGAAACGCTGACAGCATGTCCCAGTCCACCACCTCTCCATCAATGAAATCGACTGCCCTTTCAATCGTCGATGGGTCAGCCGCCTCGAGTGCGCTGCCAAACACATAGCTGTTATCTTCGGTATCCTTGATCACGTCGCCGCTGCCGTCATCCTTTTCTGCCGGCTCACCATTGATAACCGGCTCACCATCGTCGACTGCTGCTGTTGCCTGCAGTCGTCGGTGGTCCATTAGCATTTGCTTCGACTGTTCCATTGTTGATATTGTTAATTGGTGGTTGTGGTGGCGGCGGTGGTGATGGTGTCCTCATCCACCTGCATCTTGCTACCAGCCTCGCTGCCTTCATGTTCGTTTTCTTCAACCGGCTTCAGCTGACCGCAGCGTGTGCGAATGACCTTGCGCTCGGAAAAGTTCACGTCGCTGGTGTTCATCAGCGCACGCGTCGTGTGGCTGCCCAGCTCAATAACCACAAAGCTTTCCTCCCGAAACGAAACACCCATGGTTTAGTGGATTAATGGTTGCTGGAGATTGGCGATAAAATGTTCAGGCAGGCAATGCCGACAATACTGCCGCTTTTGGTAAAGCTACTTGGCCGCGATTGTCGGCGCTCGATTTCTATGGTTGCGCTCACGTGCTTCCGGATCTAGACAAGTTGCAAAAAACCTCTCTTGCACTGCTTTGCTCGGCTTGTCCGCTGCTTCCCACTACTTTTCTTTTTGAATTTTTCTAGCTAGTTCGTGATTGCGAGCAGAATAGATAATGTCGAGACATAGAGCGGTCAGAAACCTTGACCTTGACGACGGTATGTGACGTGGGCACAGACAGCACCGAGTGGCAGCTCACAGAACCAACAAGGCGGCTAACATTGCATACCCTGCGGCTGTAGAGCTTTACGACGACTTTGGCGAGTCCACATATGACGAGCTGCAGGATATCTCTGAGGAGGACGAGGGTAAGTTGAGCAGCAGCTGGATATAGCGGGCTGAGTAGGAATGCAGTCTTCACCTGAGTAATTTCATTTCGTGACTGTAGCACGGCTGCTGGAGGGAGTCGAGGCCGTCAAGGGCGTTATCGGCCGTAGCACAGGCATCAGCGACCAGGAGATCAAGGAAACGCTGTATTACTACTACTTTGACATCGACGCGTCCGTAGCCTGGCTGCAAAGTAAGTCTTAATCCTGTGCTAGCCTTCGCAGGTGGTGTATGCGCTATGGTCTCCTGCAAAAACACGCACTTACCTACTCCCTTGTTCGTGTAGAGGAGCACAAGCTGAATAAGAAAGGTATATATCGCACCAATTCTGCACGCATCTCGTCACCTTTGCTGCGAACTTCTTTGGGCTAAGCCAGAACATCATTTTACCCATGTCCTGGTATATGTTCTGTTTCGCTGTACATGCGCTGGTAGGTGAGGATATTGACAGAATTCTGGCAAACGCGTGTCACCGTCACCAGAAGCCCAAGTCGAGATTGCCGTCGCTGGTTGATTCAGCCAGACAAACAATGGCCGTCAGTAGCGGCAGCAGCGTTGGCATGCAAGGTCTGAGCGGTCTGAAAGCACTGAGCCAAGGAAGTAGTAGTAGTAGTAGCAGCAGCAGCAGCAGCAGCAACAAACCGGTATCGCTGAAGTCCTTGTCGTTGCTAGGAAAGAGCGGTAGCGGCAGTGGTGTCAGGCCAATCTCTCTCAGGTCCCTGTCCTCGCTGGGCGGACCGCCAAAGCCTAACCCTGCTGCGTCGCTGGCCAGCAGCAGTGTGGTTGGCCAGGCTCTGGCAGCTCTCAAACCCCAGTCGACCCAGCAGCAGCAGGGCCAGCAGGCACCTACAGCAACGGCAAAGGCTGGGCCTGGCAAAAGCAAGTCTGGCGGGACTTTTGGCCAAATCTTCGACGCCGACGCTAAGAAACTTTGCTGGACGCACACTGCCTTCACTGAGGCCAATCACATCGCCAAGAACCGCTGCTGACAAGTCGCTCGGTGCTGCTGCTGCCGGCCGCACGCGTGCATCTCTGGCCATTGACAGTCTCCCAATAGCCCCGCCGACGATGTACGCGGCGCCGTCGTCGCTGGCCGACTTTCTACTGCAGGACATCAGGCCCACAGGGCAGCGCACCATGGCCGAGGATGTGGTGGACCAGATGCAGCGCGAGATCCGTGCTATCATGGAGGGGAATGTGAAGGGCAATGTGGCGGATAGTGAGAGAATGGAAACTAACCGACGCGATGTGACATTTTTGACTGCACTCGTAGGCAAAAAGGAGAAAGCAAAGAGGCAGCCGTTTGCGTTCGATACGCCGAGTCCTGACGACAAGGTGTTTGCGGCCCAGAGCAAGGCCACGAACGCGCCTGTTGCGGCAGGCACTGAAAAGAAGGGTAATGTGTGA